GAGCTTATATCTGTTCCTTGTAAACCACTCTCGTTTTCTGCGTACTTACCACATCTATGGATAGAATGAACTGGAGGATCTATGTTCTCCCGTCTAGACATGCTGAATGAAACATCAAATTGCACTGTCATATTGGAAAGAGGTGGTTACGTATCAGGAATAAGTGCGGTGTGAAGGTAATACCTCAGGCAACAAACTCTTTGCACTATGTACAAACTTAATTTTCCCCACGCGCTCAGAAGTCAAAACTCAAGATGCAACATCCATTCTTTTGTTAATGAAAATCTTACTACTGTGTACAATTCAGCCGGAATCATACTACTCCGTGATCTAAAGATGGGATGTGTATGTCCCGCACGAATCAACCAATCCTAGTGGGTGATTGGTTAAACCCCGAGACGAGCGATTCAAGCGATGTGGATTGACCCATTGAGCTGGAATTATCCACCCGCCATTCACTCCGCATTCCACAGGATTGGATAAGACTTGTGGGACACAATCAATGCCGTGAGGACGAGGGAACCGAGAGATCTCCGCTACACGATATCATTGGCTGGATCAATGCGGCATAGCGTTCCTATACACAACCACGCTCCATGGAATGTACAAACATACCCTTATCCTCAGCCTTGGAACAAATCCGCCACCACCATGCACAATCGGTCGGAGCTCAAAAAAAATTCTCGGTGTGTGATCACATTGCGACAAGGACAAGGTCTAGCCGAGCGGTCCACGCCGCGTGTGTGGGGCAGGGAGAGGGAGAAACACCCTTGACAACCCCCAAATTTGCTTGCACACCGATATCCGAGGAACCGGTTCGCTCTGCGCGCTGCAAGGGGTGGATTCACTGATTCAAAATGCGGCTTGCCGCGAGTAAACACCAGCGCAGGAACACAGTTACAACACAAATGTACAACCAAGGAACCTACACACACTGAATTTTCACTAATCTGTATAGAGTGAGGCTGACGCGGGTGTCGCATCTCTTTACCCCAAGGAGAAGAAAAGAGGCGCCCTGGCGCACACACGCGCATTCACCACTGGGCTGCAGCCCTCTAGGGCTTAGCTTACCAACGCCTTACCGGACCAGCTGAAAACTCGATTGCTTTCCTGACGTTTCCTGCTGGACCGATCATCACTGCCTAAATCGGAGTGCAGAACCAGCATCAGCGCATCGAGCAGGTACATTAGCTTGGCTTTTTATTATTTATTTATTTTATTTCCGGATTGCCACAAAATATCCTCCGTTACAGACCTGATTCATTTGATAGCGTCAGTTCGTACACGTACGGAGTACAACCTAGACTAAACCAAGGCTTAAACGTGACGATCGGGGATTATTGTGGAAACCCCTAGTTCCCACCTGGAGATGGAACCGCCCGGTAGTTTACTCCGGAGTTACAGCCACACCGTCAGCTAGGGCGTTAACCAGCCAAGCCTTTTTTTTTTTTTTCGCGTCGCTACCATTGACCGCGTAAAGTCTTTTGAGATCAAGTCAGTAAAACTGTATATTGAAGCCTTGAACAAAGCACCTGAGTCAATGTCTTGAGGCTAGTATGTCAGGCGACCCAATATCTCCATCTCATATATTGAACTATTGATATTTGAGTGGTGTGGTAGGGCTACTCGTCCCATAGGCCGAGGTAAACCGCCTCAAATTCGGTAGCCTCTCAGGGGTATCCGTATTCTACTTGGAACTAGCTAACCGAACTAGGAAATCTATGCTAAGACTGGTAGAACTCGGAACCCGAAAGATTTCATTTCGAGGCGTTTTCTCTGTATCCGTGGATTTCTTGAGTTTTCCTCTTTGCAAAATGAAGAACCTTGGAAATGCAAGAAGAAACCAAAATCTTGAAGCTGGTGTGGAGCACAAGGTGATGACTCAGCAGCTGTCAACGTCGTTTTGCGTTTTTGATCTCTTTATCTTCTGATTTTCACTCATGTCTTACTTTTTGGTATGATCTTTTTTTTCGAAAAAGACACATTCTGGGATTATCACAGCAGATAACAAGCCAGATGACGGAGTTCGAAGTGGACAAATTCCCTTGTTCTCGATAAATGACAGCGGACCATCAGTGTGGCAGTGCATGCATGACTGGGTCCCAAGTGGGCCACGCTAGGAAATCAGTGGATCCGCTCCAACGACTCAGGATTGACCCTTGAAGTGGAGGCAATGAAAAAGAATGTTCTGTCTGCTTTTGAATGCTCCCTGTCCAGTCGTTAGACATAATTGGCGCTAGAACAAGGCATCCGAGATCGTCACAAAAATGTTGATTCCCCGTGATCTCCGTTGCTGACCACAATCCACGAGCATGGCCTTGGGTTTGTACACTAACTCGCTACAGAAAGAAGTCATTTTCCAAGTCCCGGCAGATATAAGCCTCTTGCCAAGACTTCCCAAGACCCCTCCGGTGCATATTGTTACTGGTTGTAAGCATTCATTACTCAACTCCTCCGGACTCTACCAATCACCTGTCACTTGCTCTGTGGAGGCCTCCGTTATGACCGCCGTTTTTCGGTGTTTATGTTTGTCAAGCAACGTGTGTACTACAGTTAATCTTGGTCATGCAACATTCACCAAGTCTCGACACCTCATATTTGATACGTATCTTATGACTCTCTGAAGAGAATTTCAAATGTTCATTTCCCCCGGACAATAACGATGCACAATTGTCAGTGATCCTTTTAAAGACGGCATTGGATCATCGCGAGGCGTTCAGTGTATACGAGAGATTTCATGTCACCCCCCACTCTAGCTCACCGCATATAGGAAGGTGCTTTTGATTTTTTGATTTTTTTTCTTTTTTTTCCTAGCTCCATTCCATAATGAATGCTCTGGGTGCCTTTACCGTACGGGATAGGAAAGTGTAAATATACGAGATGGGCATTCTATTTGTCGAAAGGAAGGGGGGGGGGGGGAACGCCTAGAACATAGCCCGTCGTCATTCTAGTTTCTGGAAGAACCTACTACTACCCAGGTTCCGATGAAGCGAACCACGGGATGATCCACCTACAGAGAAGTGAATAGCACTTGAGTAATGTAGTAGTGAAGAAAGTAACTGGGATCCGGATAACTCCGCGCATCTCCTAGGGCTAGGTCGTGATTTAATTTTTTTTTTTTTGGGATTTTTTTTTAAAAAAAATCCAGCCTTACCATACTAGCGAATTGATTCTCGCGTGGTCCTCATTTTTTTTCCTAGATCTGACGATACCATTGTAATCTAAGCTTATTCCCCTCTTTGTGGGTATCCCATGTAATGGTATGTAAGATGCTTACCATGTACATACATATACCCGTACCAAACCCCATTTTGCCTCTTTAACCACGTCAGACACTCCGAACTGCAGGTTAACTCCGGCCAAAGACCCATTCATTCATGCTTCTATGGGGTCTGTTTCTCTCTCTTTTTCTCTCTCTTTTTTTCCAGGTTTTTTTTTTTCTATTTTGTTAAGGTTCCAGAATCTTTCTTTTCTTATTCCCCCTTGGCTCCAAGGTTCAGCTCGATGAGATCACCACAATTGCCTCTCATTCGACCTTGACTCTCTCCCCCCCCCCTTCTAAAGCCCTCATCCAATCATTTACTTCCTGCGCCATTTGCCCCGACTTTCTACTGCCCGATTTCCCGTGCACATCACTGCCAATACATTACTCTCTTATTATCCTTCTCTGGACTAGTGCTCTGTTAATGGGGTGATTCTCAGCCTTTCAGTTACCCATTCCCTATTTTTTCTGCGGGTTTTTGTGTGTCCAGCCGAATCCAATTGTTCAGCTAGTGGCGGGGCCCCTCTAGAGAGAGAGAGTGAACACAGTGAACAGTCCTTATACTCGCGACAACTCATTTTTCTACCTTTTGCTTGTTGCATTCTAGTCGCAATAACCTTGCTTTTCTCTTTCTGGTCTTTACCAAGTTGTCAAACCACTTCATCTTTCTGCTTTTCTTGCACTTATTTCTCTTTTATTTTACCTAAAAAGGACCCAGAGAAGGGCATGTGTGGTACCAGTCCCGCAATTGCCCATTGATTGGTGTCTATGGGACGGCTTTTTCCACAGGGCTGTGCGTGTCACTACTGCAGCGGTCGTTTCATATTCCATGAGGCGAATCGCCGAACCAGGGTCTCGAAGGTAAGGACTTCTTTCTTCAGCCCTACTATTCCTTGCGCAATATCAGCTCACTGCGCTCATCCCGGTTCCACCAGTCTGACTTCCAACTAGTACAAGTCGCATGACATTCCGCGACTAACATACAGCCCCGTCGCCACCTTCAACCCATTCGCTTTCGCGCTTACACCTTCTAACAAAGCTGGATCTTCCTCGGAGGTGGGGTGAGGCTAGTCAACGGTCCGCTTAGGAATCCGAGCTGGTTTCACGACCGACGTTTGCGTTCAACTGGATTGGGTTATTGCTGCGACACCGGATCTTGATTCGATCCGCTTAACATTCCGATTCACCGTGGAAGCTTGAATATTTTTCTATTTTTTTTTTATCTTACGATATCTGTTTTTTTTTTTTTGTTCGCCTTCAAGGAGAGAGGGGAAATAAGGAAGAAACGAAAGCAAGACAAAAAAAAGAGGATCGAATCCTTCACCCCATTCGCGACGCCACCCCGATCTTTTTTAGCTCCGTTTATGTGACAGCGCGTCGGTTGCTATCGCCTTACATTCTAGTTTCTTAGAATGGACCCGAGACATACATCTGCGCCGAGCTTTTATGATTTTAAGGAACGAGACAACCATCGTCCACCCGAGAGATCCCCGCACGCAATGCCCAATTCGCGATTCTCATCGCTCGGCCCGTTACCCATACCTTCTCGACCCGCCATGGATACTGCGCCCCCTCCACTACCTCCGCCACCAAGAATTCGGGATTTGGAAAATGGCTATGATGCTGGCTGGCTCCATGCGAACTCCGAAAGGACGCCCACTTCTCTTCCCCCATAAATCCGAATTCAAGCTTATTTGGAGGACATCGACGAACCGATTCGACACCACGAAGTGATCCTATGGCGGTAGATGAGCTAGAAGGAAGACAAAGTGGCTTTCCCTTGTCCCGCAGTCCGGAAGCCCAGATTAAGATAGAGCCGCCTCCACCTACAAATGATGGATTCCCCAATTCCATGTCCGTCACTTCTCCCTCGGGTCCCATGTGAGTAAAATTCATTTTCGAAAACTTGCTTTTAAGACTCGATCTTATATGCGACTGGAAATCCATTTCCACCCAAAAGAAAACTCGGAGCAATGCGCTAACAGCCTGATAGATTGAAAGGAGAGCGTGATTTCTCTTTAAGAAGCATCAAAGATTCTTCCAATACGTATGATCAACATTTACTATCGAAGATTGGAAATTCGTTATCGCCGCGAGGCTCTATCAGTCATGGTTCAGATCACCGAGGCTCGATTTCTTCTCTTACCGTTCCTTCTCGGTCACCTAGCAATCTTCCATCGCCAGGACCGTCAGAAGGCTCTACGCTCGATGTTAAATGGTCTTATAGTCCCCAGTCAGGAGGAGTCTCCCCAAGATCTAGCGTTGCATGGAGGGATTATGTTGAAGGAGGCCGCAGTCCCAGCGTTGAAAGCACCGCACCTTCATCAGCAATCGAATACGACTATATGCGCGAGATGGGTCGAAGGCGTCATCACAAAACCACTCCCTCACGAGAAGATAGTATCAGTCTACCGAGTCGATCAAACCGTGGAAGTTATGATCAGGGTGTTTTCTCCGACATTGAAGGCGATTTTGGATCCGACGAGCCGATACTTCCCCGGCCATACATGGACGAGCCCGTGCCACCACAGCAATTCATTCTTCGAGAACCGACTCCACCATATCCCGAGCGCTCAAGGCAGGGCATGAAACGCAGAGCTTCCTCTCCTCCAAGAGACCCAATTGATACTCATACTTTACACGTGATGACCAGCAACGGAGACTTGTCGCAACGGAGGACTAGCGTACATCCGTTCACCAATAACTTGACAGTTAACAGCACTTATGCGCCAAGTCAACGGACTCTTTCAGCAGCTTCATCTTTGAGTATTAGAACTTCGGGGTCTTACTCGTCTACTCTGTCTATAGGAGGCAGTAGCATGACAAGCCTTTCGCCATATGACCGACCATCTCCTGGAGGACTCTCGCCCAGCTCGGATCTCGATACCTTTCATGAAAAGTCTATCATGAATCCTAGTTCCCCGAACTCATTGGTTCAATCAATGCCGAGGGCTGTAACGAGTTCAAATACTCTTGAGCCACCTGCCACTGATTCTACAGGCAAAGTTCCAATGCCAACGACATTGAACGTACCAAAAACCACCACTTCAAAAATAAGCGGACTATTCATCTGTGATTGTTGCCCCAAGAAACCGAAGAAATTCGCCAATCCAGAGGATCTCCGGTAAGAACCTATACCCTGCCATTCTTTGATTATAAAAAGAAAGAAAAAAGCCAATAATCGCATATACTAATATTCACCAGCACCCATGAAATGGAAAAACAGTACGCATGCCAGTACTGCAACAACCGCTTCAAAAACAAAAATGAAGCAGAACGACATCAAAACTCTCTCCACCTCCGGCGCCATTCCTGGTCCTGCGCCGCTCTCCAAAATTTCCACTCCGCCTTTCACGGCTCTGTATCCCCATCTTACCAAACAAACGCCGGCTCATCCCACGATACCTGCGGCTACTGTGGCGAGGAATTCCCCAACTTCCCACGCCCTGACTGGGATGCCCGATTCGAACATCTAACTACAGTACACAAGTTCGGCGAGTGCAACAATGCAAAGAAATTCTTCCGCGCGGATCATTTCCGTCAACATTTGAAGCATAGCCATGCCGGTACCAGTGGGAAGTGGACGAATATCCTGGAAAACGCCTGCATGAAGGACGAGATTCCGCCTGAGCCGAGGGATAAGAATACGAATCCGAGTCCGGTCTCGGGTGGAAATGGGTCTTTGGCTTCAAATACGATCGATGAGGTTCTTACGGAACAGTGACAACCATTGCGGTATGTCGAGTCTGGATCTGGATGGGTTAAATCTGTGGATTTCTTCTCGGCAATGGCCATCATGCGAGCACAAGCATACTTTTTCATTTCCTCCTTACTCGATACCCGGACATCGCAGCACTTATCTCGACGCCTCGTTTTCATCTGAGTCAATTTTCAAACCAACACACTTTCGTTTTCGTTTTCGCTCTGAAAGCAACATATACATCTACCCAGATCGAATATCCCAACAACCCCATGCAGATACAAAAGTGAAGTTCTTCAAAAGTTCATGAACGCTGGATATTAACGTGACACGATCTCTTTTTTCTCATTTCGATTTTCAAATCTTCATTTTCGTTTCATTTTCGGCGATCGTTTTTTTTTTCCGGGGTGGGAAAGTCGGTGGGAGTTTTCCTTGGATTCAAGGTACAGCCACTATATGTATACTGGTGCATTACCTGGGTGGATTCTGTTTTATCATTCATCTTCATCTTCATCATTCTCCATGACTCGGAGTATGTTTTTGCTTTCCATCGGTGGAGTTCACAACCTTCTTCTCTTTTTCTCTTCTCTTCTTTTATATACTTGGTTTTGGGGTCTTTGGATCCCCGCACACGTCTTGCCTTCTCACAAATATTTCGAGTGTGTATATACGTGTCAGCTATCGAAATTAGAGCGCCGAAATGGCTTCATTGAAACTTCCATGCTTCGCTTTTACTGTGATTTTAGTTCTCTGCCAGTAAACAAGACTTGGGACGTACTCAACGATCGTTCCACGCTCTGAGCAACCTTTTTTTTTTTTTTTTTCAAAGATCTGATGTGCAAGATATCTACGGAACCGGATGGATAGGTATTCCAGAAGAATACTGAGTATGTCAACCTTGGAGGGTCCAATTTCAAGTACTTTAGTACCTACTACATAGGTAGTCAGAGGCAACATTTGATCAATGGATGCCCCCACATGTGCACATGTGCAAGATAGAACATCCATCAACAGAACATCCTACGAGTGAAGCCACTTTGCCAAAATTTCAAATTTCGCTAACCTATTTATGTACACTGTATCAAGTAACGAACAAGAATCGCCAACGAAAAGATATTACCAATTAGCTCATTTAATAAAACACCCAGCCTGGACGTCTACTCAGTGACGCTGTCCTTGATACTTCGCAACGCACTAGTCTTATGCGCCGGGTCGATAGCCGCAGCATTCATCGCCCTCCTCCTCGCATCAGTCCACAGCATGAACTCCCCGTAACTCTTCGGCATAACATTGATATCCTTCTCGACCAAGAAAGTATAATTGAACATACCAGTCGACTTCTTGGTGCCGTGCTCAACATCCCGCACCTTGGTGTCAACACGCACCTGCACCTTCGTGTACTTACTACTGTCACCTTCACGCTCCTCGGGTTCGGTGTACGCGACCGTAGCACGGAGATACAGCACACTTCCCACCGGAACGGGGTTCTCGAATGTACTAGGATCCAGGGCCAAGAAGTTGGGTCGGGCGTGAGCGAATGATGCGGCGCAACAGAAGGCTAGCTCGAAGGATTGTTTTAAGAGGAAACCACCGAAGATCATAAAGTTGTGTCTGTTGCGATCTTGGGGTTGCATGATCATTGCTGATTTGAGGACGGTCTCGCTCATGAAGACTGAGTTTGAGGGACGGGCAATTGGGGTTTCGGGGTCTGGGGCTGTTAGCTTTTTGATGCGGATTGTGGGGGTTTAGTTTGTTTTGAAGGATTGCGTACTTAGGTAGGACATTTCCTTGGTCCACATAGAGTGGATGAGGTTACTCTCCTCGTCATCGGGTGCTTTCTCGAGCAGACTGCGGGTTCGAAGAGCCTTCTTAGCCTTGGAGTTCTCAGCGCCCTTCTGGAATAGACGCTTTTCTTCCTCGGTCTCAACCAGTAAAGGTGCAACACAAGCAGGCCTGTAGGTTGATGTTAGTATTAATCTGAAAGAGGTACAGGCAAGGGTTCAGACGGACTTCTTCGTCGCGGGGTCCAATGAGACCATAGTAAAAGCACAGGTGATCAAGACATCTTCGGGCTTAGGTGTCTGTCCTTCTGGTAGAACCTTGACAACCTGACACGAAACCTCCATACTTGATCGTCCAGTAGCATATGTGACCTGGCCGCTGAGCTCAAGATCACAGATCTCCATCAACGGGTTCTCAATAGTGATACGATCCACGGCAGCAGTGACGGTAGTAACTCCATCTCCAGTATGGCGGTATGCAATCACACCAGCCAGAGCATCAAGGTCCATAAGAAGAGACCCAAGTCTAAAAAAAGCGTTAGCTCGGCGATTCAGTCAAGACACTGAAACCCAAAAAAAAAAAAAAAAAAACGCACCGAATATGGCCCGAGGCATTAAGATATGTATCCAATAGCCACTTATCTTGAGCCAAAGGCAGAATCTATGAATCAAATAATCGTTAGCATCAAGCCTCCAAATCCCCCCCCCCCCCCCAAATCCAACAACCAGAAACAGAATTGGCATGCATACAGCACTATACCGGCCATCCGACATCTTCTTCGGCGTCAAATCCGGCTTAACAAGCGGCGGCGCCTGAACCCCCGCCTTAACATTACGCGCCGCCTCACGACTTTGCGTCAACGCATCAATCCACGGAGTCTTGACACGCATAGGCATCCACGTCGGGCGGAATGCGGCGTTTGTCGGCGTTGAGTGAAAGTCTCGGCTAGAGCTGGACGGCTGTGCGCCAGCTACAGCGCGCGCTGGGAGCGCACGAGCAGTTAAGCATTTTGACTGCGCAATTGCGCTTCTTTTCCCTGTGAGACTGAGCATTGTGTATAGGGGTTTGGGGGATATTGGGTATTTCGTGAGATGAGAGAAGAAAGATTAGTATGCGCGATGACGCTGTTGGTCCGAGGGATTGGCCTGATTGGGATTAGCGTCCGGCAGAGAAATCGGGCCGGGGAAGGTTAGTACGGGGAAACTCGGGACTTTGACTAATAATAAGTGCTGGCTCGGCGAGAGACGCCGAGAATGCGTCTTGTAGATCGGTAGATCTGGTGTGTGGCTGGTGTAGGGGGTTTACAGGGATTGTTTCGAATTGACTAGAATGAAGAGAATGAACTGAATTTTAAGCTTGCATAGAAAGATCTAATAGCGTGGTGTTTGTGGTGTCCATTTGCGCCGATTTATTATATGCCACGGCTGTAAGATAGCATTATTGATATTTCTTATTCGATGAATGACGTATTCAAGAAAGCCATGCGGAGCACTAGTCCTGTGTGGCGCCTTGCCTTCTCCAACGTTGTTGTCGGCGTGATGATTTTGCGCTGTGGCTTGGCATGAAAGAAGTAGTTGACAATGATAACTACTACGTCATTCTGGATTTCTTCCCTATGAATTCCTTTGATTTGAACCCCACCCGGCCCAAGTGAGAACATGCAGTTTAAGTAATTTCATTTGAATAGTAGTGAAAGTCCAATCTCTAGCGTTTTTCAATCTCGAATCTCGTTTGTCTTGAATTTAAAGCTTAGGTACATGCATACTATCGTTCTTACTATCTCAATTTGATTCACAATCAAACGTGTGCTTGATCATTTGTTGATCATCAAAAGCTATAAGACGATCCAGTTACCACTATGATACAAGTTAAACGACTGATTTTAAGGAGCCAAGTGTTTAAAGGCGTAAGTAGACAGCAAGTGCATAGTACAACTTGTATGAGATGCGGAAGAAATAACCTTAAATCCCCGCCTCGGGAACCACGGTTCCGAGACCATCAGATGTCCTGTTCAAGCATGCACAAAGGGCTGCTTTCGGTCTTTCCCCAATTTGTAATGGAGAAGCCATTCCAATTGGCTATTTCGCACATTAAAGATCATACATAAATCACAAAAATAAGCTTAAATCTCTCGTCCGAGAGAAATGACGAACTATGAAGTCATTGATGAGAACAAGAACTATAAAATTATCAAATATCATAACAATATTCCTTCTTGTGCACTAACTTCCTTGAGTACCTAGTGGTATAAGTGCCTACTACCAATCTTCTATTTTATTATCATGAGCGACCCAACGAACCCTCACATCACAGACCGTACTACGCCCCAATGGGGCCTCTACCAGCGGGAGAACTTCTGGAAAGCCAATGAAGGCCAGACACCGCTTTTCAACACAGGTAGATGACCATCAACTGATCGTAATTAACTTTAGTCTCAGTTGTTAACTCACGCGGCTTTACCAGACCCTCGCAAGCTGGAGGAACGAGCCAAAGAACGCCTCAGTGAAGGTGGCTGGTATGTACCATATTTATCTACATACGCACTAGTTGACTATGTATCCCAATGTCAGCATTACTGAAGCATTCAATGTTCTCCAGGTACTATGCCTCCTCCAACGCAGGAATGTCGACAACCCATCTCGCAAATCGCCAAGCATTCTACCGCCACAGAATCATCCCCAACCAACTAGTCGACACCAACAAACGCGACACAACAACCTCAATCTTCGGCCACAAGGTCTCTGCTCCCATCGGGTTCGCCCCGATCGGCATAAACAAGATCTACCACCCATCCGGCGAATCCGCAGTTGCAAAGGTAGCCGGCGAACTAAACCTGCCCTACTGCCTCAGCACAGCAGGAAGCACATCAATCGAAGACGTGGGCAAAGCGAACGGAACAGGTTCCCCGCGCTTCTATCAGCTATACATGCCACACGATAACGAGCTGACGCTCTCACTGCTCAACCGAGCATGGACGTCCGGCTTCGATGCACTGATCCTCACGACGGATACATGGCAGCTTGGCTGGCGACATGACGACGTAGCGACGTCGAATTATGCGTTTTACCGTGGTTTTGGAGCCGACCTTGGACTTTCAGACCCGGTGTTTCGGCGGCGCTGTGCGGAGGCCGGGATTGATCCTGATGTGGATACGGTTGCGGCGTCGGCTAAGTGGATTGATTCTGTTTGGCATGGGCGGGCGTGGTCGTGGGAGAAGATCCCGTGGTTGATTGGGGAATGGAAGAGGATTTCTGGGGGTAGGCCGTTTGCTATTAAGGGGATTCAGTCAGTGGGAGATGCGAAGAAGTGTGTTGAGATGGGCGTTGATGGGATTGTGGTTAGTAACCATGCTGGACGGCAGGTTGATGGGGCTGTTGCTAGTTTGGATGCGCTGGAAAAGATTGTTGAGGCAGTTGGTGAGAAGATTTATGTTATGTTTGATTCTGGAGTTAGGGGGGCGAGTGATGTTGTGAAGGCTTTGGCGATTGGAGCGAAGTTTGTGTTCATTGGGCGGTTGTGGATTTGGGGGTTGAGTATTATGGGTGAGGAGGGGGTGCGCCATGTGATGAAGTCGTTACTGGCTGATTTGGATATTTTGATGGGCGTGGCTGGGTTCAATGGTGTGGATGATTTTGATACTTCGATCCTTGGTAAGTGTTTGTGGGGAAAGGGTCCACTGTCTCTATTGAGGCATCTGCTGACGTTTATTCAGAGTCGGGTCCAAAGTCTTATACGTTGATTCCAGAGCGGACACTTTGAAGGAAGTAAGATAAATCAAGAAAGTCAATGTAGAGATTTCAGTTGATGGATTTCCATCGTCAAATTACTATGTTCTATTGTACATTGATGAGAATGACATCTGGAACTGAGAAATATTCAAAGGTCCCAGGAGACATGAAAAGGGTAATGCAGCTGTAGGTGCAAATAGCGATAGTAAACAAGTCACCCACATGATGAACGAATGGTATGTGCGAAAAGGATATCAACGAGGTGAGGAAATGATCCGCAAAATATGGACAGATGGTCCGGTAAAGATATGCGTGAGACCCAAATATGAACAGATAGAACGCCTCGGAAATGATAGGTAAATGCACAGGGGGCCGGTATGACGGGTGAATAGACTTGGAGTTGCCATAATCCGGGGGATTGAGTTGAAGAGAATGAATGGGTCGCACTTTTAAACAAAGATGGCGGCGATTATTACCAAGAGCGAAGGTACAACTGTGACCGAAAAGTGAGATCCTGAGTTGAGAGATGTCATGGACGTTGTTGAAGCCGCTGCAGCGGCAGTAGCAGTACTTTTTCCGGTGGCGGCAGAGCCTGCAATCGTAGTGACACTTGAAGGGACCTTATAAGTCCCATTCCCAGTGGCAGTGGCGTTATCCAGCGTTCCAAAGCCAATCTGGGCATTGTCGAAATCAAAGACCGAGTACACGTTTTTCAGGAAAACATCACCAACGAGCCAGTGGTCGACTCCGGAGGATTGATAGCCCACAATAGTCGACGCACAACCATCTGTACTTGAGCCACCAATATAATCCTCAGGCGAGATAGAGTACTTGATACCAGAAAATTCAAACTCAATTGATGTGGTGGAGTTGCACGGAATGATATAATTGTCACCCGATTTCACGGAACCGGGAACTTTGGCGAACAATGTTGCTGCATCCGCAGGTGGGATCAGGATATACGTGGTGCCAGTATCGATGGTAGCGGATTTGCCTGAGAAGCCGCACGCCTTGCCATTCACGTAGGCATCGCCCAGGGGAATGGACCATATGTCTGAGTCGGTAGCGGTATAGCTGATGTTGCCGTTGAATTTGGTAGTATCAAGTCGTCCAAAGTTGACCTCGCCAGTTCTCGCATCATCTGCAGCGCGCGATAGACTGAACCCAACAATATTAGAGGAGAGATAGCCAGCCTGTGCGACGGCATCCATGAATGAGGGAATCGTCCATCCCGCAGTTCCTGATCGGCCCAGTCCAAGAATTCCGTCTATAGGATAGTTTGCAAAGGCCGATGTTGCCGAGGTGGCTTGTCCAAATGTAAGGGTGACATCCATGTCCGCAATTGACAGTTTGTCTTGACCCAAGCCACCCTTGATGGTACCGCTTCCATAACCAACAGTGATAGACGAGCTGTTCGAGGTGTAGCTGGTTGAGTTATCTGTGTCGAAGGTGTTGTGGCGTGTGCACACCGAGTCCGTGCAGTCGGAACCAAATACCCAGGTACTTGGGGATCCAGTATCAAGGGCCAACCACATTTGTTCTTTCTGCGACCCAACTTCCACCATTGAGAAATAGGAGTAATCGTTTCCATTTTGATCCAGTGGGGCACTGTTGGGTAGAGTCGGAGTATTGGCCTCAACAATGGTGTAGGAATCATCACGGCGGACGGGGAGCTTTGTGATGCTGAGGGTCAATGGCTTGGCGTCCGTGTTGTCTTTCGTGGAGTCATCCGGTTGGAGGGTCCAGGGTAAAAATCGACGTTGCAGTGTCTCCAATGTCGAGACACTCGCTGGCGAGTCAAGCTTGATCTCAAATGGATAGAAGGCGTTCACGCCCATTGACAGACCTGCAAGGACGAGACATGGTGAGAGACGCATGATCCCGCGAAAGGATCTAGTAGCGAGCGGACTGATTCTTCATTTGTTGGAACAGAGCGAAGGCGAACAAGTCTTCGATCTGGAGCACTTCTTTCTTCAAATTGGTAGTAATCCGGGGTTCTCAGGGATGTGGAGGTGGTGGAGACGTTATTTTCGGAAGGATTCGTCAAAAGGGTGCGGAGTGAAATAGTCAAAGCCGAGGTGAAGCGACGAACGGGAACGAGTGTATGTTTAAATTGAAAAGAAATCAAATGCAATTAAAGAGAGACAAATGGCAAAAAAAAAAAGCGACATTTAAAAAAGCACGAGGATTGATAAAATCCAAGGAGCTCAAGAGGTTGGAAGAGATCAGTGAGGGGGCAAAAAAGAGCAAGGCGGCTCCACCCACCGAACCACTGGTTACGCTGCTCATAATCCCCTGACAAGAGCTACTAACCCACGCTGGGAGTCAAGGGTCCACCTTTTTGTCTCTTCCAGGGTGTGATCGTCCTACTCCCAAGACTTAGCCAAGCGCTAGTCCAAGGTTCGTCCGTTTAGTGGCCAGTCCAATTGGGGTTCCTGTTTTTGTGAGAGGCTAACAAACAGGGAATGAAGGTTGGACAAGTCTAATTCAGATTGCGGTGGATATCTGCAAGATGAGTTGATCATTTGATATTACATTCAATTATGGAGAGTGGGAAGTACAGATCTTCCGACTTGAATAGGGGTAGCATTGGAACATTGGAACGGGTGTTCATGATTTAACGCACGGAGCGCGAGTTGGCTTGGCGTGATCGACGTGACTGGTCAGTTCATAACAATTCCATAGTTATCAATGACTGGATCAACTGTCAGATAAGCGGCAATGTAGCCCTATACTCGTATATGCTGGGCTGATGGAATGTTGGCGTGAATAAATGGTAAATGAGGAATTATCTGTACGGAATCTCTCAATTATTTATGCAAACTCAAGCCACCACAGCAATTCCAAGGTCGTATCATCTTTATTTTTAGAGAAGTCTAATGCACCTAAAAAGAGGCTGAAATCAATGCAGATCTAGTGTTGCTGGCTCGGGAAGCCGATTGGATCTATGACATCTCCATAGTTGTCCATGTCCTCTCTTCTTATCTTCAATGTTTAATAAACAATTACCCAAATAGTAAAGAGGAGGTCAAGGACTTTGGAAGTCTCCCGCTAGTCAAGTTGTCTCCGGGTATCCATAACTGTACTCCCGAGATCAGACATCACTTTTTTCGTACATACATCTACCCACGACTTTGGGAGCTTGATACTCCATACTCTTTACTTTTTTACCTAACATCCAAGTTTCCTGGCAGTATGGGTAGGCGCCGCCGGATTCCTTCAGTTCTGGTCTGTCTTTCTACATACGCCTCTGCAGACTTCAACAAGCGGGACAGACCAGCCAATACTTATCGAATTCAGGGATTTTCCCTCATGCGTCCTGCCAGTAGCCAATTTACGGCTTTTAACACATCACAGCATCCGCGTGGGGTGGGTTGACAGCAACCTGGAATATGCCGTCATGAGAACCTCAAATGTTTTGATATGAGACAAGAGAGCCTTCAAAGACGGTAATGACCTGCACCTGAGTTCAACGCCAGCCTTCTTAGTATGCTTCTCAATTCATCTTGACTATAATCGGTTGTCACTACCAATCCATAACTCCTCCTACCTATGATTTTTTCTAACTTGCTCCGCCGTGGTGCATGTGGTGTGTTTGTTGGCGTTTTAAGGCCGGCCCAGAAAGGTTGGCCCAAAGTATTTAGAATCCAGACTAAACTTCACTATGCATGCAGAATCCACTCATTAACAGCCTCATGTCGTCAGTCAACATTTGAAGGACTACTAGTCTGCAAGCAGTTTAAGGTTGAAAATAATATAGCCCTAGCCCTTGATCCTCTCGGAGAAGACCGGGAGAATTACCCCGGAAAGACGAAAAGGCACTCAGTGGCTCAGGAAAAGCAAAATTGAACGACCAGCTGACCTGTCTATGGTTATTTTTGACATCACGACGCATTCCGTGTTGATTTCAAGGATGCATACTTGAGCCATTGTATGAATATGGCAGATGCTAATAGGTAGCCAATGCCAGTCCCATAAACCATGCACGACCGGTTCTCGCCTCGAGAACTAAATCCTCCGTGCTAAGTATACGCAGTAAAAACCTTTGACGTCAGCCTATTGCAAATCCAATTCCACTCCATACCCCGAACCAACTTCCTTAGCCGACCCCCGGGACAACGAAGTCGAACAAAACACATCACCGGAGCACAGTACTCCCCGTAAAAGCTCCAGCGTCTCGGGGTGGATAAAAACAAACCAGCCCAGGTAAAGCGAAACGCAAAGATCTAATCTCGGGAACCTAAAAGAAATCCACAAATAATGGTACCTAGATGAGGATGTGTTGTGGTTGGTTGAGGGGGAAAATTCCTTCAAGCGTGGGGTGTGGATCTTGCGTCACGCCATAGTCCCTTAACCGAGTTCCTCCGCGGTATGGGGTAGAATTGAAGACTGAAGAACCGACGGGATGGAAATCTCTACTCGGGTCTCATGACCTCGGGTTTATCGGGGATTAAATTGGCGTGGAGGTTGAGAATTTGCGGGATGGTCGGAGCGTTTGGTCCGGGTATGTGTAGATCCTCCATTGTCGATCCGGGATCTGGTTGTAGGGCTTGCGTATACCTCGGTAAAACGAAAATTAGATTCGGATGGCTTCAATGGTAGAAGGCTTAGGGAGGATTGCTAAATTTGATTACGCACAAGGTTTGTATAACTATTAATTTTCTTGGGAATTTTTTGGAGTCATGGAAATCAATCGACTTTGGTCCACTTGATCCGGGCTCTGGAGTGAATCAAGATATAATCAAATAGCATAAGATTCTCTGAAAAAAACAGTCAAGGAGAGCACTTCTCCAAAGACAACATCAATATCAATATTACAAAACCACAAACGCTAGTTCCAAAACACATCCAGGATCAGAATCGATCCCGGAAAATAAGGAGAGAAAAAAAATATAAAGAACATAGAAAACAAGTAGAACAAACTCGAGCCGAGCACCAAGAAAATTCGTGTTCATCAGCCATCAGATCTCGAAGTTCATTCAATCAAGGAACCAAGCCCAGCTTAGTTCCGCACAGAAGACTGTTTGGGACCAAGGACATCATCCAAAAATCCAGCCCACAACTCCTTAGCAATACCAGTCTGACCAACGCCGGAACCATTAGCCTGGCGCTGAAGCATCTCGCCGGTCCTTGAGCGGCCAACAGCCTCGGTAAATGAGAAGGGATCCAGATCCACAGCGTGGTTATCGACGACCTCGCTCATAGCGCTGGCAGCGACGTCAGCGCCGGCACCGGCGACAGTGTAGATCTGGGGCTTCATGGGTGGGGCGGAAGTGGAGTGGGAAGCTTGGTGGGAGGATAGGTCGGGAAGGACCGGAACACGGGGTGAAGAGAATTGGAGGGGGGCGGCTTCAAGATCGGCCATGGAAGGCATGTAGACCAGATCGACAGTGGAGTTGTCTCCGTTGGCCTTTGAGGAACGGGAAGTGTTGAATTGGCGGGAGGAAGAGCTGGAAGGGGGATAATGTTAGTGAGATATTTCTTTGGGACGATGTCTGATATATGGTAAGGAACATACTCGGAGAAAGCGCTGCTGTTGATTCTGCGCATGGCAATGCTGAATGCACGGGACTGGAGGACATCGTGATTGGCGAGGCGTTCGATGAGCTGGAGGCGTTGGTTAGATCAATTCATTATGACGTATTGGATGTGGTGGCTCAGTGGCACATACCTCGGACTTGCTGCCAGCAGCACGGAGAGAGCGTTTTTGGCACTCAGCCTTCAGGTCTGGGAGGGTACGAGCAGCGTAAAGAGAAGCCTTATCAGCAGAGCCGGCGGGTTGAGCAGACTTGACGCCGGTGATGTGAAGACCACGACGGGCGATGGGGGCAACGGAGTGCTGGTTGGAGATCTGGCGCAGAGCACGCAGAGAAGTAGAGCGAGGGGCAGCCATTGTGTGGAAAGTTTGCAATGTCGATATACAAAGCTAGGGTAGGATTCAGGAATGTGTAGGAGTGTATAAGGTAGAAGATGGGTATAGAGTGATATAAGTGTATGGGAAAAGCGGGAAAGTCCAAGGAAAAGGACAAAGATCAGATACGGTACAAGGGAAGAGTTCACGGGGGGGTGAGACCAACAGGCCCTTTATAGAATATCTGTACTGAGCAATGGACAGCTCACGGGGGGAATGGTTGGGGAGAGCTATGAATCCACTTCTTGGCGGTCTGGACCCGTTATCGATAGTGGGATCCACGTTCCAATAATTTGTCCGCAAATCTTCCAAGTCTTGACGTCCACTACTCCATATATTCTTTCAGGGGGTGATAAGGTAAAAAAAGAAAAAAAAAATTAGATGCTTTCAGATATGACTTAGAATTGACCACTTGTAGAGCAAAAAAAAAAAAAAAAAAAAAAAAAAAACATGATCGTTGCAGGACAAAGTTCCCTACGTACCACCCGAATTCTAAGGTCGGAGATCTACGGCGGTAGAACTGAGCATGTACCCGGTACTTGACGATCGGGTCTGGAGAGTACCCCGTACTCCCCGTCCCCACTCAACACTGAAATGTTCAGGTGACTCAAGTCACTCAACTAAGTCGCTATGTACTCGGTACATCACAGTACATCCATAATGGCATCATCAGTTTCCCCTCGGATGATCATTGCCCGGTGTTATTGGGGGCCTTTCCCGTGCATCTGCATGGAGTAATGGAAACCTTCCTATAGACTAGCCCCAGGAGGAAACGGACGCTTAACACACCCATGATCCTCAATCACTGCCACCTGAGTGGCTTCTTCCCCGCCGGAATTGACAAGCTCACAACCGCCCATGCATCAACTCCGCGTAAGCATTTCCAGAACTTTGTAATCGACGAATCAGGGCCCCACTAAAAAATGGATCTGCCTTCGTCGCAGATTGTTGAGAAGTGCCATCCCATGATCACATAGAGAGCGGTGAAGACGTGTGCCTCAATCTACGTAGGGAAATAAAGGATAGCAAACGCGATCTATTCTTAACTTTCAACTTCTCTCTCTTGTTTTTCCCGCCGGGAATTCTTGCTTATGGAGGGAATCGAGTCGCGGATGCCCCGGAATTCAAGATGCCCCATATCAATGATCAGCAGACCCTATACGGTGGCGCAGTCTTTCCATTTTTTTTTGGACATTTTCTGCCATCGTTGGGCTAGGGGCAATAGCTGAGTAGCTGTAAGGGTCAGGGCAGTGTCATCTCGGACTTGGCGGGATTCCTCAGATTCTTTAATTTTTTTTTTTTTTTTTTTTTTTTTGCCCCCCTGGATAAACAAAAGATATCATTACTCCGATATTTTCTTGTTGCTCTTCTATAGGCAAGTCCTGAAGAAAAAGGCAATATTTCAATCATGGCCCCAGTGGTGTGGCAAATTTATTCACATCGTGTCCCATCCCTGGCTAAAACATTTTGTTAAAAAAAAAAAGAATCCCCCCTCCCGTGTGTGTCTTGCGACTATTGCCATTCGCCTTTAGCTATGGTCCAAGCGTTGCGGGAACGGGAGGTCGGAACCAAAAAGACGATATCTCTGGTCATAAGGGGAAGAAGTTCCTGGAATGTTTGAATTGGCAATTTTCTGTGGCCAACAATGACTCTGTCCTCAAAATCATGGCCCTGATCGTACAAGTTGATTGGGTATTTCCAAGGAATCCCTGCAAGACAAACACGGGTTTAGCCAGGACAAGCCAGTACTTGTTAGCAATGTGAAAGAAAATGTCCATCGGGTAAAATAGCTAACTTCGAAACCTACTCAAGACCTCGAGCAGCTGATCTCTTTCCAGAATCCAACCAGATCTTGCCGGTCGCAACTGGGCTCCACTGCTTAGTTCTCTCCCGGATTTTCCCCCACACTGCTACTACTACTAGCTTCAAGCCACATCTTGATCGGCCTTAAATACAATTGCTTCTTCCGCCCAGTACGCAGTTTCTGAGTATGAACAAGGGTATGCATACGAATACATCTGTGTATGCACTTGGTGTGTTTTGTGATCTAGGCGACATTTCGATATGTAGCCTGAAAATTCTGCAAATGGCGTTTGTGCCCTGAACGTGCGACTGTTCAAATGCTATCTTAACACGAGATCCACTCCCTGGTTGTGGGATGCAACATATCAAAGTGCTCAGATTTTACACTTTTTTTCTGTCAAAAGACTCTAGTATACACGTCCAGATGACCACTGATTTGCGCAAAAGTAGAAATCAATCCCACTCTAGTTCACCCTGTGTAGAAATGCATCTATCTATTCAAGATCGCAATCGAAGAGTAGCATCTCCGTATCCGTAAGCTGAGAGGGGACGATCTCGGGGAGGGGAAGACTGTCTAGTGTGGTTTGGGTTGATTCGTATAAATCCTGAAAGCTGGACTCACCGCTGCTTCCGAGAAGCGGACCATCTGTTTCATCATCGACGTCAGTGCGTAGTGTTTGCGGGGAGGCTTCGAGTTCCCATTCGTTGTCAATTTCTAGGCTCCAATCATTTCCAAAGTCGAGGATTTCCCCCTCATGAAAGATGTCTTCTGTAAATGAAGCCGCGACGGCTCTCTCGGCATTTGTCTGGGGTTCGTCCGTCCCCTGGCCCTGGGAACGAAAAGATCCAAGTTTGTTTCCAAACTTTAACTGGCGGAGATTGGTTTGAGCCATGCACCACAAGCTGTCCGCGATCCACTGTTTGCCATCTCTGTGTATCTTCGAAACTTCTTTCTGCAAAATTGGGTTTGAGGTAGTGGCCAACATCGAGTTGACTGCTTTGGCGATTATGGGGCATGAAACGGATCTTTGATTCATAGCCTGCTTTTGTTAACAGAATCATACCAGCAAAATGAGCAGCCAAATCATACTTCACGATATTCGGGGTTGAAAATTGCCGGAGCAAGTTGCTGAAGGGTTTGGAGGTTGTTGTCAATGACGTGAATGCCAGAGAATTTCGTTGTCGCAGAGGACAGCAACTTCTGAAGACAAAAGTCCACTAGGGCATGCAAAGACCGTGATGAATGGTCAATTCTATCTTCCAAAGGTATCATATTGTTCTCTGTGAAGTTTGTAAAGCCCGCATATGAGTCCAAAGTCAAATCTGCCGCCAGGTTGGGGCATGATAAGAAGTGGAACCAGGGTGCGTTTTTGTTGTTAACTGTATTCCTGCGCTCGTGTGGATCTTTCTCTGGGCGAAACAAAAAGCCGCAGTCCAATGATATCTCGACTGTAGTCAAAGATACGACCGGCATTCCCTGGGGAGCGTGAGTATCTGGGGGGTTCTGTAGGATGACGCTTAAGAATCGGGTCTTTGTAGCGGAGGGCATGGTAAATTTTCTGTAAAGCCCGAACACAAGCAAATATTCGTCAGGGTGGTCGGGGTTCTTAGAAAGCCCATGGCTCTTGGGTGCTATCGTAAACCCGAGATCCAACCACACCTTTTAGGACAATGTCAGTCAAATGCAGACACATAGGGAGCCAGAGTATTGACAATGACTTGCCTTCGAGTTACACAGCATTTTGTCTAAGCTGGATATCAATTGAGGCCCAATGTGCGCCAGTCGCAAATCAAAACGGACGAAGAAGCATAGCTGGAGCTCGGGGGCTTCTGTGATCCACGATGTCGTTGGATCTGGCCATCGATGAGGGTATGGATCTGTCTCGGTTGAGGGGTAGGTAAGATAATTCAGGTTTGCAGTAGCTGCAAAGTGTACCTGGATCTGTGATTCTGAGGCATGAAGACGACATTGGCCTAGGTCGACAGTGTGCCTCATTGTGGGGGTAATTCATCTGGGATATGGATGTCAAGACAACCTTAGAAAGCCTCAAATGTTGACACTACTACCTTCGAATTTCCGAATCCATGGATGATGTATGACTGAAAGAGGATCTGAAGCGTTGGAAAAAAGCGTTCTCTACAAAAATCAAATGGGAAACCTGAGGCCATAACAAAAGCACATGATCTACAAATTCACACATAACAACAACCTTTGGAGCAAAGCACTGGAATATTGAATAGGAATATTTCCCAACTCCATTATCATATTCCAGGGCTATATAAAATCATGGAACCCGATCATGCATTCAAACTACTAGGTACATAGATTTGGATTTGCATGCTTTCATATGTATGGGTATTTTATCGAAATTTTAATGCTCTGGTTATGCAGACATACTAGTCTGCACTGATTGGTTAAGCATAAAATGAGAAAAGTCACAAGCAAATATACATAGCATAAAACCTTGGAATCCACGGAATTGGATTCTGCTAAAAAAACGGGGTCCCCACAGTTTTATCACGTCCTGAAACCAACTGCACCACATCGATCGGCGGGTCAACGCGTGGAACGGCCGTTATCAGCCGATGTACCTCTTATCGATAAGCATCACGTGCAGTCCCCCATAAGCTGGCCTCAAAGGACCTTCCACGTTCTTTCGACTTTCACGGTGCAACAATGCCCGAGGATGAGGGACACAATGGCCCCTTTACTGGCCAAAATGGACCAGACGAGCACGAAGCTCAGTCCTTCCTGACTCCGTCCACCGAGGAGCCTGACGACCTCATAGTCCACCATGGCCCTTTCATTTCGCCCCCAGGGACCATGCCGAACACTAGACCTCATGCGAAGCGCCAATCTTCAATATCTCAGCCAACACCCGATGGACAACGTCGCACGCCGCGTACTTTAAACCGTGTTCGATTCGACCTGGACGAGGAATCTGAGGGGGACAACCACCAATGGAGTGAGGAGGATCACGAAGAGAACGAACGCGCTCACAGCCCTGATGAGGCTGTGTGGCTAGACGAAGAAGATTATGAGCTTGGAAACCGGAACACACCTGGGGCGCGCCATGGGGGACAGTCTGTGCCTCTTTTGACCGATATCGAAGCCCCAAGTGTGACCCTTGCTACCTCAGATGACTTCTTTCCCGAGGAACACTTGGAGAACGCGCGGCCTCGAAGTGGAATGAAGATGGCGTTTATGAATATGGCCAACAGCATCATTGGGGCGGGAATCATTGGTCAACCTTACGCACTCCGCCAAGCGGGCATGACAACGGGGATTTTGCTGCTGGTGGCATTGACCATAACGGTGGACTGGACCATCCGACTGATCGTGATCAACTCAAAATTAAGTGGAGCGGATTCATTCCAAGCTACTATGCAGTATTGCTTTGGAAAAAGTGGACTTGTGGCAATCTCGGTTGCACAATGGGCCTTTGCATTCGGTGGCATGGTCGCATTCTGTATCATCGTCGGCGATACGATCCCGCATGTCCTAGGCGCTCTGTTTCCATCACTGCGAGAAATCCCTTTCTTGTGGCTATTGACAGATCGACGGGCTGTGATAGTTCTTTTTGTATTATGCATCTCTTATCCTCTGTCATTGTACAGAGACATTGCCAAGGTTAGTTCCTATTGGTTGTACTACAAGCACTTCCGAAGCTAATCGCTCCACAGTTGGCAAAAGCGTCCGCGTTGGCTTTTGTCAGTATGATCATCATTGTGGTCACTGTCATAACACAAGGTTTTCGTGTCCCAGCAGACTCACGGGGGGAAATCAAGAGTCATCTGCTTGTCAACTCCGGATTCTTCCAGGCTGTTGGCGTTATATCTTTTGGTAAGTTATTTCCACATCACGGGTCTTGACTAAACCGCTAACAAAAATTAGCATTTGTTTGCCGTAGGTTTGTTCGTTTCGAAAGAAGATATGGATACTAACCATCCTTCTAGATCACAACAGCCTTTTAATCTATGGATCGCTGAAGAGACCTACCCTTGACCGGTTTGCTACCGTTACCCATTACTCTACGGGAGTGTCTTTGATCATGTGTCTTGCCATGGGTATAGCGGGATTTCTCTCTTTTGGCTCAAAAACACAGGGCAACGTACTAAACAACTTTCCATCCGACAACATCTTAGTCAATATTGCTCGATTGTAAGATCCTCTCGTTGGTCTTTTTCTGGCTACATTCGCTAATCCAATCCAGTTGCTTTGGCTTAAACATGTTGACTACGCTGCCCTTGGAGGCTTTTGTCTGCCGATCCGTCATGACGACTTACTACTTCCCAGATGAGCCATTCAATCCCCACCGACACTTGATCTTCACCACTGTTTTAGTCGTGACATCTATGGTGCTAGCATTGATAACGTGTGACCTTGGTAGCGTGTTTGAGCTGATTGGAGCGACCAGTGCGGCCTCTCTGGCGTACATTTTCCCTCCACTCTGTTATATCAAACTGAGCAGCGTCAGCCGCCGAGAAAAAATCCCTGCCTATCTTTGTGTTGTCTTTGGGTTGGTTGTCATGGGTGTCAGTGTGGTACAATCAGTGGCCAAAGTCATTCGAAGTATGTTTCTCAATTCCCCTACTCCCATCCTTTACTCAAGGCTGACTCTGAAGTAGATGACGGCGGTGGCCATTCTTGTGCGGCTTAAGCCATCTTGATTAGTGTTTAGCCCATGTGCATGCTTTAGCTTTCTATTTTTCTAGTTCATTGTAAATACATAGTCCAGTGATAGACATACCACCATCCTACAATATTGTCTAGTACAACCCATTAATTGCATAGAAACTTGAAATACCCTTTCCTTGGGTTTTATTCTCTTTCAAATGTTATAAGACTACACAATCATACAATCAATATATAGTAGGTACACACCCTCTGGCATGCATAACTTGCAGTGGATGCTGCCCATAAAGGTAGTGGTGATTTACATGTAATAACAGTACATGAGAACCAAAATTGAATCTTGGATGCATCAATTGATGTGCAGCGCCAAACAGGGGATGCTTGATTCCCTGACAGTTTATCTTGTCCGATTGACTTTCTTCGCGTGGACCGACTCACATCGTAATAGCTGGTAATAGGTAGTAGTACTCCCTAACCCTGAGATCAATTATAGTCCTAAAGTTTTTACGAAGTAGCCGTTGACACAGAGGTAACTAGTCATATCTTGGATTGCATAGTAACAGTAGGATATAACGTGATCCAAATGTTTTGTTTACACCCATGATAATCTGCTCACAAACTCTTAACGCGCGTTCCACGCGACTTTTGCTTTTCACTTTCTCACTTCCTTTGTTTTCTTTCTTTTCTCCTTCCCCCACCCCTACAATCTTCTCTCATCTCTTCCTCACTGGCCTTTGCCTTGCTTTGGCAACACCGCCCTCGTTCATCATCATTTTCGTTCATCAGATTCTTTGTCATCACCGGATCCTACAAGCCCCTCTCCCTTTTTCGGGTATTGTTTCATGTTTAAGGTTGCTCGCATGTGATTGGAGTCTCAAAATGGAGTCCGAAACACAAAGAACTGCACGTCTGCAAGCCATGCAAATGGTAGGAGAGCTCTGTAGTTGCCACAGCCTCCCATAAGTATAATACTAATTATATTTCTTCCCAGGCTGATTTAGGGACTGCTCGGAGAGAGCATGTCTCGACAGTGGACAAACACTCGCATTTCGAGAACGTCAAATTGTCGGAGCTTGAGGCACACCGACAATCAAACATCCCTGGAACGCTTGCATACAAGCAGGCACAAAAACACAAAGACGGCTTGCAAGGTTGGCGAGGTAGTACTTAACCACAAATGATCTTCTATCCCTGTTCCGACTGACATGATGACTAGACTTGCACAAGACTGTCAGCGATGAGACTCAGATAGACACGCAACTCGATGATATGATGCACGGTCAGAGTCATCGTGCACAATTGAATGAACAGCTTCATGGATCTGCGAAGCCTACCGTTCCTATTTCTTCAATCAAAAAGAGCCCGCATCTTCCAAAGCAAGCCTTTGCCGTCAACAGATCAACCAATGAGGTGATAAAGAATCATCCATTGCCACCACGGCAGTCTGGCCGTGGAGGAGGTGTCATTGGTGGAAGAGGTCGTGGGAACTTCTCCCCCAAAGTGTTAGTGTGCAAGTTTTTTCTTTATCCAGCTCTCCCGCTAATGAAATTTCCTTTCTAGAAACACTGGCTCGAGAGTCTCGCTTGGACCAATTCCCACTGGAAAGGACCCTGCCTTGGACAGAAACAATGTATCTCCTCCCGTCCGCGGGCGTGGAATATCTAAAAGAGGGGGTTCCTCCTCTCGGGGATCGTTGATGCGCGGGATTACTCGCTCACCCCGAGGAGTGTCGCCTCGCGATGATACTCCACTGTAAGTGAAGTGGCTATTGTTCCATATATCTGCAACCGCTAATTTAATATGTAGATGTCAGCATTTTAACAAGATAGTCACACCGCAGCAGTTCATGGCACAAGTTCGATGGGCGTCGAATTTTGGAGCCATCAGCCAGCAGGAAACAGCCTCTCCTCTTCAGGAAAAGGTCGGAATTTTAGCAAAGCAAGTGGAAGTGGTCCCTAAGAAAGAAGAGCCATTGACGCCCCTAAAGGCTATACACGAGATACCCACAAGCCTGCAAGTTCCGAAAGAAGCAATCTCTCCCCTCAAAAGAAAGATCGGCGCAGTGGCAAAGCAGGTTGAGGTGCTTCCCAAAAAGAAAGAGTCACTGGCGTCCGTAAAGGCCATCCACGAGGAACCTGAAATCTCCAGCGATTCGACTGGATCTGAGGTGCTGTTGGATATCGGAGCTGAAATCAAATTCGAGCCTTCGCTGGATCTATTCTCTAGTCCTAGCTTGGCTGACTTGGATGGCCTTGATTTTGGCAAACAGCCAGGAAACCCTGCTTCTCTTGCCAGTGGAATTATTGAACCGCCCCAGAAAGAAGAAGAAATGGATAAGTTTGCCGAGGTCTTCGCGAGAATTTTCGAAACTATGCCTGGATTGAAGGAAAAAATCGATTCGAAATTGAAACTTAGTCCTACAACTCCTCCGCAGGCGGCCTTCCAAGAGTATCGGTCGCGCGCAACCACTGCTTCTTCCACTGATTCTAGTGGAGAGAAACCTTACGAAGTGGATGTGAGAGCAAGCCCCAAAAACCTTGTTCCCCACGAGGGGATCAAAGGATTCGGAGCATTGCGGTTGACCGAGTCATCCTCTCAGAATTCGGATTCCAAGAAGCCCACCGGGGGCCTCACACAGTCCATCTACGCATCGGCCGCCCCGCGGGCTAACTTCCGTGGCCATAGCCGGGAAAACAGTTCTGTTGTGGCCAGACCGGCTCCAAGGCCCGCCAGAACCATTGGACCCCAGCCATACAATCCATTGGCTGCCCGAGCGGGCAATACGCAGAACACTACACCAGAGCTTCAGACAGTGATTCCCAAGGGGGTGGAAGAGCTCAAACCGCGAATCAGAACCATCGGTCCGCCCCCGTGGCAGGGATCAAAGAAAGCGTGATCATTTGCGCCTTAAGCAACTGCATCAACATGTGTTCTCACTTGTGCTCGGCAAGAAAACTCCATTCTTTTTTTTACTTTTTTTATCATATGGTCGATCTCACATTACATGTTTATCCTCGAGAAGTGGCGGCGCGTGATATGGAGTTTGTGGTAATGGATGGATGGGAATGGATGGGTGGATGGTATTGGATGGGTGGGTGGTAATGAATGGATGGGTGGCGCCTGAATAACACACATGTCTTATGTTAGGGTTTGGATTTCCACTACGGAAGTCGAGAAAGGAATCTCAAAACGTTAAAAAAAACCCCCGTGCATTTACGGAGTATGGATTTGGTATCATTTACTGCTTTTGTGATGAACTCCGTCTTCCAAGGTTCGGCTCGGCGCGGGCCTCCATAGTACCCGCTGGTTAGTCATGCATCTCGAACTCCCCTTTGCAATTTGCGCCCACGCGAAGGAAAGTGATCGACACAAGTTGCGTTGGGCATATTCCCCTCGTAAAATCCGAAAGTGGCGACCGAGGAGTAGCGGTGGAGAAAAGACTCATTTACCAGGTCGGTCAAACACCTTTGTGGAGCTTCTTTTACTTCTGTTTTCTCATTTTCTTCTTGTTATTTTTTGTCTTTTTTTTTTGTTCCCCCAGAGCCGAAGTGCTTTTCTAGTTTCCCATTATGGCCCGTGGGCAAAAGTCTTTTCATGAAAAGCTGGGGTTTTGAAAAATCGGGGTTTTAAAAAAGCCCTGGAGGAGGTCCGTTCGCAGCGACCTGTTTTTTGCTAGTATAAAGTAGCTCTCACTTTGCTTGTATGAAGCTAGTACAGCCACTAAATACGCCTACTGCAGGAACCGAAGCCGGAATCTGGAAAGGGACTCCCGCGTCTCCTAGGCAAGTTTTCTCCAGACATTGAATTGTGATGCATTACTCAACCAGCGTAATTCCCGTTGTGTCATGCACGAGGGATCGACATGGACTTTGAAATGATGTGATCCGCCGGGTCTCCATGCCTGGTTCGGTTGTGTAGAATGAGAAAAACGAACCATACAAGGATACCCATGCTATTCTCGAACCTAGACTATAAATCACTATTGGAACTAAGAATGTGAGGCTTCAAACCCTAAGCTGATGAATTCATTTTGCATTTTGACAAGTAATTTTGGACTGAGTCTAAGCCCATAACTATCATTACATCTTAATAAAAGGGGTTCAAAATTAGTAACTGACGTGGCAGCGATCCAAGCCAAGCGGTGAGCCAAATCCTGAATTCTGTCCTTTGGTTAATTTCCAGGTACAGAGCACCCAGTATCATGCACGAGAAATGGCAATGACTCACAGAACCGAGTAGATCCACTTCGCGTTTCAGATTATTTGAATACAGAGTGGACATCGCAAATTTGGACATCCCTCCAGAGGGACCAGTACTTGATGGACTTTTTTAATTTTCAAGATCTTTGACCAGCCCTTTTTGACCGGGTTTAATGGTAAAATTTGACAAAGAACTCAACATTTGAGACTCTGGAACAAAGAAACGGATAGGTCCGTCTCGGGTTATGAAATAATAGCAATGTCTACAGGTCAATAAGAACTTGAAGAATTATCCAAATGAAACACAGCACCCCAGATTATGCGGCCACGTTTCGGTCTATAGTTCGTCTTCTTGTCAGAGACTCCTACTTAATAGGGAACTGTGGGTCCGTGGATCGCTAGGATATGTAATTAACAGACTTGATCCATCATTTCTGGTCATTGGACAATTGTTGGGCGATCATCAAAAGCCGCTGCAATTTGTAAATTGTTGTGGGGGGGGGGGAGGGGCGGAATTGCGCAAATGAGAAATGATTGGCGCAGCCCCCTATCATTTGAGCGAGCAAACTCGTTCCTTGAAGCTTCTCAACCTTTAAATCGGATCCGAGCACCTGATTGGGTGCACATGTGAGAGTGGCATCCAATTATGTATTATAACAACTCGGGAACGGACTGCGTTGTAGTTGACGGGCGCCTGTTGGTAAAATATATGGATAGCAAGGGAAATCTTTTCAAATGTTGTCACTAAATTGGAGATAGAGCGAGCATACAATGTAAGAACTTCGTTACCAATGACTGCTGCAAGTGCCCAAGGCCCACAAATGGTTTGGGATGATACTGGGTGATGGGAAGCAAAGGACCGGATTTTCTCTATACGTTTACTATTACTACATTCCGAATTTAATTTTCTCCCTGCCCTTATGTTCAGCTTTACATGGTCCCAGAAGCTCAATTTATCGCAGGTCAAACTCGAATCTCATCCGCCTAACACCCCCTTTTGTATATAGTCGACATCCTTGTCTTCTTGAGCAACCCTACGTCATCGCCATCGCCATCGCCATCGCCATCGGACATTATAATCCTTCCTATTCTGAGACGAGACAGGTGAGTGGGCTTTCCCGGGCGGGTGTAAGCAAGAGTATGGGGCTTTCTCACTATCCTCTGTGTGGAGATAAGGATCACGTTTCCGGATGGTTTTGCTTGGGTTCGTATCCCGCGATGAGATGAAAATGGGTTCCTAAAAGAGGACGAGAAGTGAATACATCAACTACCAAGACTCGGATCCAAATGTTGATGAGGAGAATTTCCAGCACTCACTAGCAAGTCTTTCGACTTATCTTCTGCCTGTTCCCTCTCAGCGGGCATTGGAGGTTCTTGCCCGATCATTCTGTTGAGAAAATCGACCACGCCAGTCGTAGCGCTAGCGGCGGCATTATGGATTGCTTCGTGGAGAGACATTCTGGAATAGCGGCTCGGTGAGATCGAGAAGGTAGTCAAGCAAGAGAATATTAGGTAGCCTGGTGAATGAGAGCAGAGTCTGGAGGGAAAGAGTCGGGGATTGGCTTTAAATAATTCGGCTTCGAAGGTCGTGCATTGAGCTTGTGTTGGCAAGTTTTCGAACTTGTGAAAGTAAGCCAATTTCTTTTTGGACACTTTGGGTATCTTTTCGCATGAGAAGCGCCTGTACATATATGTGCATGTGCATAATAATTTTTTTTCCGGCTTAATCTGCCCAGTTGGATTGTCCCATTTTGATCGGATTTTGATCGATTCTAAAGGTGTCCTAAAATGGAGGTGAAGAAAGGCCAGAATATTCAAAAGCGCCCCAAAGTGGGCAAGAGAGGGTCCGGGGATTCATCGCCTCCATGTATATTCTTTTGAAACCCCATTAACTTATAGCCATTACGATTAATATCATTATGACTAGCTGAATTCGAATCAGCACATCTTATATGCACATGTGGTAAATAAGCAGTCTACCATTAACTTATAGGATATGACCTTCTTATTGGACGCCACCAACCCTCAAATTAGTGCTTCCGGTGACGTTGTAACGAGCAAAGAAAAAAAAAGAAGAAAAAACAACTCTTTCATAGGCCAAGGGCCAGCATCTGCCCCACTATAAGAAAAATAAGAAAAATAAATACAAGTCGAAAAATATATAAATCATTTGTTGAATTCAATGTTCCGGGTTATGTACATCGTGCCCTTCATTTTTCGACGTATCATCTCAACCCTACCGGTATTATGACACGTTTGGGCGAAACGTGTCTGTCTCTACGAATGTGGGATACCTGTAAAACTGCTTTCCAGGAAAAAAAGGACGAATCGGGGAATTGCTTCGTACTTTTGGACTTTTGGACTTTGGTCTCGACCTTAGATCGACCTTTGTTTTGACCTCTCGGGGAAGCGGGCGAAGTTCCCCCCTTTCATACGTAGGCGCGACATAGCTTGGGAAGGGCAAAAATTGAATCTATCACCCGCGGGGAATGGAGATTAGACGGGCCTTTGCATGATGGCATCTCTTGTTACCTGTTCATCTCTTCCACGGAAAACATTGTGGAAAGTCCGACCCGGCTCAAATTCTCCAATGTCTCTTTCGACACTGAGAATTCAGCAAAACTGTTACACCTGTCACATTTATGATTGCACTGCCCCAACAGACGAAGGTGGTTATTTTCCCGATCCTGGATGGCTTGTGAGCCCGTGCTCTTCAATGAGGATCCCCGGCTCGGCGCGAGCTTCGTACCGAGTCAGACAGATCCGCTAGATCTTCCGATGCCCTAATTTCTCAAATAATATTTCCTTAATTTATACTAGTATACCTTATAACTGCCGTGCATACGAAAAAAAAAAAAAAAAAAAAAAACAAGATCGACGAGAGTCAAGTCACCCTTTCAATTTTTACGTCAAACGTTTCTGTGTAGTTTTAGTTGTTCGTTTTGCTTTATTTCAATTTTCTGTTCATTTATTCATATTTTATTTTTGAATCTTGTCAAGGGTCAATTAGAGGCCAAGGCGCCTTTCGATCCTTGATTCTGGTCAGATCGGGATTATTCATGATCCAAGTTAAGAATAAGGAGTTCGGATTAAAAATTATCAATTGATTGATTGGCTGGGAAAATTTCTCCCTCCAACGCATCACCCTCTGACATCGAGATGATATCGTATGTACTTCCGAGTCGTATCCCTTAAAAAAAAGGTACGCTATCTGTTTGCCACCTGCATCATCCACACGAGCTACCTTGGTCTCATCCGCATGATGTCTCTGTAGATCTCACTTCGCTTATCCAACATCAGTAACCAGCCGACGCAGGAACGGGTTCTCCATTTCCCCCGGAATACGGATATCCGTAATTTCCAGATTTCGTCAAGCAATAATTGCCGAGGAAAATCACCCATGTGGAGTACGCGTGCCTCAGTGAGATTGCCGTTTTTAGATTTTGAATTACCATACTAGTAGGATAAACACCGTCTAGTGAGAAAAACTAAAAAGATCAGGCTACTCCAAAACATCCTAGGTCGGTACTAGCACTGAGTAAATCCTTATTCTAGATCATCTGGCACTACCTTGTTTAATCAATCAAATTATTTTTACAACGTTGATATCCCGTGCGACTCATTCCAAATCCACCATTCAACAGCAGCCACCAGACACATTCAATTGTACACCGTGGCAAGAATCCAAATCATGTCTATCTGAGAACAACCTCAGGCAACCTCTTTTTGTACACCGCTAATCTGCATGAAGGCCAGCGTCCCTAGTCTGAAGCGAGGCCAGTGAGCACTTGAGTAGAATTTTCTTGATGATTGTAAAGGAAAGCCTGGATTTGTCTTACTGTGGTGTGGGAAGGGATAAGGATTGCGTTTTCTAATCGTCTCGTCTGGACTCGAGTTCTGGGTATCTCTCGATGAGACGAAAATGGGCTTCTAGAACGGACAGCAAGAATCCATTAGTAACCAAGACTCTTGTGTACATATGTACCCAATCTGGAGAGCTTCAAAACGAACTAGCAAGTCCTTCTTTTTTTCTTCTTTGATGGATATTATCGGCTCAGGTCTGTTGGTAACAGGAGTGACGAGAGTGATCACGGCACTGAGAGCGGCACGGGCGGCATTGATTGCTTCTTGAAGGGTCATTTTTGTATATAAATTCTCAAATTATCGGTAGATACGTTCGAATTGATGAAGAAAGTAAAATGGGGAGGAAGAATATAGCTTTATACCACTGGACTTTGCACTTCATTTTGGATATGCACGAAGGTTGTCGAAGTTGCGATTTTTCGAGGAAAAATCGCAACTGTTGGCCAACGTGCATATCATGATTAAATTTATTTTTTTATTTTTCCGTAAGGAGCTGCTCCTTTTTTCTATTCGAGTTTCCTTGGAAATTCCCTGGGCAGCTTGCATTCGTACTTATGTTGTTTCCCGGCGGTAAGCCGCGGATGTTCCTATAGGTTACCTTTGGTACCTGCAGATGTTATGAGTACTAGTACTTGAGTACGACCTGGCTTAATGAAAACTATATCCACTTGTTCCCCGGTTCAATGTTTCTTTGTACAAACAATGTCATTTCATTGAAATGGACTCGGCAGATCACTTCGCTACGTATCTCCCAAAAATTAGAAATTAAAAAGTTGATACTCATCCATTTTGGCTCTTTCAGAGTTTTCGATCGTGTCACTATATGATTAGGTTATTATTTCTGGATTTTTATTTCAAATGTTGGAAATTCCGTTCTATCACCCCCGCTGAGGCCCCAGTCGTTTCACCTTTTTAGCCCCGTCAAGCAGCCTCAACTCTCCATTGATTGATCGACACTAGGAACATTCTACTCCAGTAGATATCAGCCATGTAGTTAGTATTCAAATTGACTGCCGTTTTTTTTTTTTTTTTTTTTCATGACTGGAGATGTACCATTCAGGGCCATATGAGTACTTAACTCAATCAACGGTATATTTGGGATCGGTATGGTTGAGATTCGGAGATTTTCATTCCAGTAAGTTGGGGATGATGCACAATGTGCATGTAGTAGCGGTCTATCACTAACAACTCATTTACAAGGAAAAAGAAAATCAAGAACTAAATCAGTGTGGGAAATACCGGACTCTGATTCGCACCTTTCTCTCCATTTCCTCGTTCTTTGTCCTGGCCATGGTAATAGCCATGTTTTGATTACACTATGTTTTTCCAAACAAGAATATCCATCTCCTTGTCAATGGGATCAGCCCCAAACCGAGCCCATATTTCCTTAATGAACAGCTAGCCTTTACAAACTCTTTCTTTGGTTTTCTGACAGAGTATTTTTCGTTGGACAAGTGGGCCAAATCGGTGTGCAAAACTCCGCCCCCATATATGTACTGTACCAAAACCAAGTTAGCGTCGGTGCTGCCTATACTGCCTAGAACCCGATTTGACCATCCCAAGAAAAATTCTTTCCCCTGGTGATTCAAATGAAGATCAACATTTCAAGAGAATTTGCCCGGGTGTTTTTTTTTATTTGGCTCCAGCCACGCGTTGTTTTTCACCCATCCGTGGAAGAAGTTGGCGACAGTCCACCCATGTCGGCTCTCAGACCCACAGTAACAGGGTAACGCGCATTGCGCCCTGTTTTTCTCAAAGCGCAGCTCAGGGACATTTTCTGTTCTGTTTAATATTGCCAAATTCTCGTCACCGAAGGTGATAAGCTGGCCTTCCAGTTCCCCGGCCGCCGGAATTCTGGACGGAGGTGAACGAGTGAAATATTGATTGGTCCCAGACACGAATGACGGTCTGGCAATCACCTAGCTGTATGAATTCACCCCCAACTTGACTGATAATCCCAGTTCGGTTAATATTTTTGAGTCTTGATGACTCTGTGGCCTCCTTCCCCCATGCTTGTTCTCTCTGCGAGCTTTGCTCCGGTCGGCATGATGAGTCCAATGCAAGGTTGATTCCATGATTGAAGCCGATCAAGGTCTTTCAGGCGCTGCTACAGCTGACTGACTGCTCTTCTCTTTTGCTCTCTTCTGTTGGTTATTGTGTTGTCTCCCCTATCTCTCCTCCCTGTCGAGACTGCCCCGTGTTGGGGGTTCCAACGTGCAACAGAATAACAGGCAGTATGCTGACTATCCTTTCAAACAGCTCCGTTGATATTCGTTTCTTCTTGTATCTTTCCTCTCTCTCCGATAGCCGGTTCCTGTTGGTGGATGTCTGGGGGTGGTCGGGAATCTCGGAGGACAGTTCAAACGATGACTCCCCTCTGCTTCACTTGCTTGTGATGTAAGAACGAACATTCAATCATGGGAACTGTTTATTCGTGGTGAATACCTCCGCCAAAACCTGCCTCTGGTGTCCATAAGTTATCTTGAGGTGTGTTGTTGTTACTGTTGTTCTTGGGAGGATTCGGCATGGTAGGTCAAGAGACAACGCCCTGGGCGTCGAGGACGCAACATCTCCAGACCACTCGGTCGGCACTAATGAAACCTCACACCTCAGAACCACACTTGCGGTAGGTTTCACCCTTTGAAATAAAGTGGAATTAATATCTGAAGTCATGCAGAATCATTTCCTCAACTCAGATTTCATTTTTAGGGTGGTTGGGGAACTTACCTCCTACGCGGGAATGCTCTGCGCTGAGAATACACTGAACAAGAAGTACGAGATGAGCTTCAAAAATACGAAAAACATATCAAAACAGCAAAAACTCACCCTCGGTGCAAGCACCGGCAGGCTACAAAACCCGAAGGTTTTCGGAAGGTCCCGCTGCTAGCAGTTGGTGTACCACTAACGTTTCCTGCCCTCTCCCGAGGCACAGGTGCGTTACTTCCCTATTTCTAGGAAATAGAACCGAGGACTTGCTTCATTGCAGCAATGATCAAGTCAGAGACTCAACCACTACGCCACTCACCCTGCGGTTAGTAGAACTGGAACGAAATGCATTTTAACCCAGCCCCATGAAAACTTCAAGTCGATAATTCTCCACAGTGGAGCCACTCCACAATTCTAAAATTCTTGTGGAGATACCCGCAGCTTTGATCTAACCTCTGGCCTTTTTTTCAGGACTTTTTCTGTTAACGGGTGCGTGCTGTAGATCGAAAAGAGTGTTCCCCCTACAATTTCTCTGTGAAGTTATTCCCGTGGAGGTCGGGCTGACTTGGTGCTGGCACCACCAAATCGGGGTCAATTCGATGATTTGAAAAGTTCAAATTGATCTAGGACAGTCAATCGGGTCTGGGGAGTACATCTCAAGTCCTTTTTCCCTCTCTTTTCCCTCGTTTCCTCACGTTCAATTAACATTACGCCTCAGTTGGTGCTTTTGTCTATGGGCCCACAAAATGCATTCTAGCATGTACCAATAGAACAACATGTCTCCACATCCCGAGCTAATGTGTCCAACATCTTAGCGATCGAATCTCACCAACCGTGTGCTTTTGTCCTATGTACTTCTGTCAAAATTGACTGATCACATCCTATTTACATGGTGGGTTCCTCTGTTCTGTACCCAATTACGGTCGCACACCGGTTGAAACGGCGTGGAGACGAAAATCCTTACCCGAGCATGTTTTGGCGACTTCAAAGTATCGTTTCCAACTGAAATTCAAGCCCAAATGATTCTGTGGGTGTGCTGGAAGGCTGAAATGTCGAAAATAAGCGAAAAGAATCGAAATAAACGAGCAGAGCTGGACTTGATCTCACGACCTTCAGGTTTCTTGTTGACATTTTCAGATTAGGCAGTTACCTATTCTATATCAAAGGTTTGGCGGGGAAACGGGAGACGAACCATGGATCCGATTGTTTACTTTTTGCTTTTCTCGAATTTTTCCCGCCTTAAGTTACAGGCTTCAAATCCCCGGTAATGCGCTAGTAACTTGAACCCTTGATTACTGCTGACGTAGTGCAGCCCTAACAGTAAACGAAATGGTCAACTTGCATATAAGACACATGTGTACGACATGCCCCCTGACTCTGTCGTATAACTCAAATTCAACCTCGATCGGACCATTCTAACGTTGTTTTTTGCTCTCCTTTGCATGAACTTCAATGACACTACACCTGGCGGACTCTCCGGGTCATTTTCACTTCAGCTTATCTTGTTCTTCACTGGATTCATGCTTGAAGTTATTTATGATCACGAACATTATTCTCGTTTCCTGTCTCCAGAACACATGCACAGCGATACGATAAAAATAATTCGATTATAACACGCAACAGGCAACATTGAACAGGTAACGCCCAAAAAGAATCTATATACTACTTCCCATCTAATTCTAACCCCCTTTATTGGCGTCTCGAGCTTCTTGGCTGTCTAAGAATACGGAATTGTATCCCCGGCCTAATATTCTGTGTAAAAAAAGTTGCCTGTTTGCTTCAAAAAGTTGACAACGTGTCCGGAGGCGCGCCGCATCAGGCGTGCCAAACCACGAGGCAGGCGCATAGTGAAGGGCAGCCGCAAGTTTCTTGCTAGCAACTTCACGCAGTACACGATACTTATTTTCTAGTTGCCGATCGACACCTACGGTCAAGGCAAAAATTAATGCCGCCACCGTCATCATCATAAAATTCCAATAATACCAGTCGACGACACCAAACGCCAAAGCTGAGATCGCTTGATGCTGACTACCAGCCTGCCATTGTGTCCATACTCGAAAGGCTGGATTTCCAATGACATGAAACCAGCTTTCAGGAGATCCGGGAGTGCACATGACAAGCGCGGTCAAGAAGTCAGGGACGTTTCTCGGGGAATAACTTTGCCACAGAAATAGAGGCATATGATTGGCAAACTTTCTGACGAGACGGGGACGATCGCACCGAATTGCGTCGCCAATCGGGGTGAAATCGGTCATCATGCATCGCTGGGATGGACTAATTTGAGCTCTCCATGGAGTTCCCCTGAATGAAATAAAATGGTCGAATAAAGCCTCTCCGGCCGGGTTCCGCGCAAGTGCATGCCAGGAGTTTTTACCTAAAATCGTGCGATTGTTCCACAATAAAGCTCCATGTGAAAGAGCCACCCCACTGTTCCATCTTATCCATTCCGCAACACGTACTGAGGCCTTTTTGCACATGAAATAGTATTGTTGGGGACCAAGACAAAGATAAATTCGAGGATCGGGAATGCCCCCGAAATGACTCTCATGCCAGTCTTCCAACTGTTCAAGTGACTTTGCTGAACCCAAGCAACAAATCATTTCAAAGACAGTTCGACCGAGGGGTGGAGCATAGGGTCCTATAGTGGGAATACCAACAATCGTACAATAAGAACGCTTCCACGCTTGTCCACCGGGACCACTCAACTGCATAAGAAGACCCATAACGGCATCAAATTTCTCCTCTGCTAGGAGACCACCTTCCTCTCTTCTGCTTAACAAAGGCCAAAAAAGGGAGCATCCAGTTTCGGTGTAAGGCAAGAGATTATCCAAGGGTAAAATGTTCCAGCGCATCAATGCCTTTACGCAGTCGGTGCATCCGATACCAATTAATGCATGGGTGACAAAATCCGGGTTAATAGACGAGGTGGTTATTCCATTATCGTCGCACGGCTCAAGTACCGTGGGGGCGGCTCTCATAGCAGCTGTGATTCGAGCTGGACCGGCAGCACCCGTAATCAAGGGTATAAGTGTGGTATCATTTGGATGCCAGCGAATGTTTTCCAGGAAAAGATCCACAGTAGCGGGCAGTGCCATCCAAAACCGAAGAGCAGCGTATGTGTTTGGATATCTTGCACGGACTGATCTTGGGTTTTCAAGAAGCTGCTGCCGAAAAGCGCAGAATTCTGAATGTTCCACATCCCATCCACGAGCGTGCCAGTTCCCAAAGAGGATGTGATCGAATTGCGCATAGATGTTCGCCAGAGGCAATGTTTCCAGCGCCTGAAGTGCGGCCGGTGTAAATGGAGGCGGCATTTTTGAAGATTTGTAGATGTATAGTGGTGAGTATAAATTGGATGTTTGGGATATGAAACGGAAAAGTAAGTTCCTCGAGATGCTTGTTGGAGAAAAGACGTGGTTCATGGACCATTATAAACTATCTTGGGGGTTTTTGACATCCTATCCATCGAGTGTACATGAGAATACCATGATGGGAATTCGGATGAAAGGAACCACGAGATCAAAGAGAAATCTTAATTTAGAAATAAACAAGCATAGATAACAAAATAGAGTCAAAAGCCAAAACAAAAGGAAATTAAAGGAAGAAAAAGCAAAAGAAAGAAAAAGCCACAATTGAAGTCGAAAAACCAAAGCCAAACATGTGAGCCAAAAAAACCCCCCAACAACAAAGAGCAATGCAAAAGCCAAGATTTCTCCTTTCATTGTTTCAAATCACCGCCGAAGCAGTTGGTCCAGGATAGGTCCTCGCTCAGGTTCATCGCTCTCATCATTCAATTCCCATGCAACAAACTCCTCCATCATTGTCTCGTCATCCACACAAAACGACAGACGGATCTCAGTATCCCCCAAACCCGGAACGACAGCGCAACGAGTAGTAACCCAGTTCCATTCCGAAGGAGGGTCATTAGGCTGAGCCACGGCTACTTCAAGAGCAACGGCAGGATAAGCCCGAAGTACGCCATTCCCACAATGAAAGGCGCTGTAACCGATGGACATGTCGGCTGCATCCCCAAGTTGCTCAATTTGGGCCATTACACCAGAAGACAATATCATGGTGGTATCGCATCCTCTCACCAGGAACTGGGGCATTGGAAACCCCATTGTACTTTCGAGTATTTTCCGGAAATCGTCTTCGGTCATTTGAGAACCATAGTGCTGTCCGTAGAATTGATCCCGTGGTGCATCTAGAGGCTTGAAGGCAAGGGGGAGCTTTATGGCAAGTTAGCATGTTCCAACCCTTTCTCAGATGCAGATGTAGATTTGGGTGTGGATTTGAAGACGATCCAATCCCGGGAAATATTATCTTACCTGTCCTGGAAATGCAAAGTTTGCAGAGAAGCGGCGAAATGCTATCGGGCCTGCGCCATCGACCTTTATCATAGTCCGATGTCAGTCAAGAGTTCATTTAATACTAGTATCAAATCAAGCCTGTTTTTTGTTTTGTTCTTCTTACCCCCTCAATCCAGATTCCACCATGTCCTTTCGTGTTCTTTTGAAGCTTCATACATTCATCCCAGTCAAAATAAGTCAAGTTGCTCGCTAGCGCACCCCGACTCCAGTATGACACAGGTCCATCTGGCCATTTTTGATCTCCATTCTCGTAAGCTTCGGTGATAGCCTTGACAGTTGCTAGTTGATCTGGCTCGTTCAGAGACTCAAGTTCCTCTTGAATGACTCGGAGACATTCAAGACGCCTGACCACGTTCCAGCCGCGCTGTTTGTATGGGGAGTTGTCTAGAATTCGGGCCTTTTCTTCATGGGCCTTGACAATTTGATCGGCATAACTTGATTTGGGTTCCCCAGGGTAATCCCAAGACACATCCAGAGTGTCTGGATGAAATTCTCGTGCTTGGGGACCAGACATATTGATTTGATAGGTACTAGTAGAGATGCTGTATGTTGAATAAGTGATAAATTTCTTCAAGTGGAAGATGTGAAATGTGAAGTTTGCTTCAAGTTCTCCCTTAGGGTAAGCAAAATGTCCTGGAAAGTTCCGGTAGTGGTTTTTTTTCCCCTCGGGTTTCTTTGTCTGTACAGCGGGGGTGGACAGCTACCCTGGAGGTTGCCCGTTCCTCGAGAAAAGTTCAATACTTCTTTGTCTCGGCTTGGAATCCACCTGTTGCCCAGTGCCTTTCAAACTATTCCAAAGTTTTTCGTCGACTTTGTTCCTTGAAAATGGTCAGGTCGGACTTTTGAAAGAAAAATTGTAAAGCTGAACTATGAGATGGATTTGTGGCTGAATCTCTAAATCTGTGATGCGATAAAAGTAAAATTTGTTCATAGTTATTCCATTCAATCTGGTCCCCAGAAAGAAAAACGCCCTCCAACGCCCCGATTCCTACCCATGCGATCCACGCCGTAAACAAAGATTTTCGGTAAAACAACTCAGATGAAAGCAATATTGATGTCGCTAAATGCAGCTCGATGCATGTGACCTTGTTCACTCCAAAAACAAAAGTGGTACTATTGTGGAGCTTGCGCTTGCTGCTGCCCAGGGGCCACATCTGACACTCGGGGTCGCTTGGGGTCATTCTGACCCATGGCAATAGGCGCAGCATTTGTACCAGGCGATGTGGTAGCGTTAGTAACATCGTTCAAAGGAGGGCGCTTCCCGTTGGGATTATTTTGGGGCGGTACGCTCCCTCGATTCATTCCTGCGGGATTCATTGTATTCCTAGCATCGATATTTGGGCGGGTCAAAGGGCGGTAGGATGATGTTGATGGACCTCGAGACAATGGGCTGGCGATTCCACCAACCGGACCACCTGGAGCACCGACCTTACGCTGCAGATCAGTTGCTGGGTTGACAAAATCTCTCGAGTTATTGGGCGCTGGTGAAGCGGTTTTGAGCATTGGCCTGGTGATAGGGACACTTTTGGTATGATCCACACCAGCAGTTTTTCGAATGGATGGGCTTTCCGCGTGCGGGTCAAATTGAGTACCCGGAAGAGGGACCGCATTAGGGTTATCACGTAGCGTATCAGCCACTCTAGCAGAGTAGAATCCAACCGATTGAGAACCGGGGGGCAACTGATTTGGATCATTGTAAGGAACTGCGACTGGCTCTCGCTTCACTGGGACCTGTGCATTGTAATTCTGCATGGCAGTATCAGGACCACGTTGCTGAGGCGGCACTGGAGGTCTTGCGTTCTGCACATTATTGAGCTGGCCAGGTCCAGGAATTTGGCGTCTTTGGTCTGGCATGGCTACCGGGTTTGGTCGCGCATTCGGTGGCATTGACTGTCTCGCGCCTGCATTTCCCCCGTTCCATCTTTCTGGCTTCGACGGCGTCACAGCGCTTTGGTCCCACCGCCCTGCAGGCGGCCCTCTTGGAGGAATGGGACGATTCATAGGCGTTGGTGGTTGTTGAACTTGACGTGAGGGTTCTGGGTCTAAAGAGATTTCATCGGGGTTTCCATTTGAGGCAGATACCACAAAGTCAGCTTCATCGAATAGATCACCTATAACCATTAGCACAAGAGTTCAAAGGATTTAGTTGGTTCCATGCATACTGCCAAATTCGCCATCGCCCTCGATGATAGCATTGCTTGTATTGCTGCTCCTTGCCGGTGCGGGAGGGCGCACGGGGGGCAAATCATCATCCTCAGTAGCCTGCTTTGGTTGAACAGGCTCCTTTTTGATAGGCGCAAAGTCCCGATGGCGATGAAGGTCATTGACATCCCATTTTTTGGACTGCAGTATGGAGATGAGTCAATGACGAACAAGTCCCAGATTTTGCGATGGCTTCTTACCGGTACAGCTTTCACTTTGGTAACCTTAGAAAGATAGTCCTTATCATAGACACAGTTCCCCAGAACATTTCCAAATGTTCTCAGTGTGCGCTTTAATGCATCTGTCGTCCCCTCTTTCTTTGCTTTTTCGAATGCTGCTGCTTTGCCTTTGCAGTTCTCGATGTGACCGTAACCGATATCCTAACAACAAAACGTTATCTATTTGCAACATATAGAATATCCGATGGTTTGTTACCTCGTGAAACGTCCCGTCTTTCAATATCACTCGTACAATGACTGAAATCCCAAGGGAAACTTTGCCTGTGTTTTCATTCTCTTCGATCTAGGTGAGAAATATGTTAACCTAGCCGCTTCGGCGTGATTGGGTAGGATTGTGACGAACAAAGTCAATGTCAACTTTTTGAATAGAGCTGGACCAGCCGTTGAACCCGAAAACCTCATTGGCAAGGTTGATGCACTTATCCGCTGAGAGATAGTGTACTTTCTGCCCGCCAGCGCCAGGTCGTGCCGAGATGTATTCTGGTCCTAATTGCCTATCAAGCCGTGATTGTAGAGTAGCAATGTCTTGAGCGGTATACTCGTTGATCTGTCGAACGGGCTCTTCGAAGGGGTTTGCTGTGGAGGCGCCTGGGCCGTTGGCCATTCTGGGTCCGCCCCGATGTTGGTCACCAACACTGTGATGAATACGATTAGTTTTCAGATACAAGAATATTCGCGTATTAATTAACAAGGAGTCGGGTATGTCTTACGCTGGCATAATAAAGTGTCTGGATATGTTGTTGGTTGGCGTGGAGAGGGGAGCGTGTAGAGCGCGTCTCATCACCACGCGGGCCTCACGCTGTCACGTGGTGATAACCACCTTGCGAGATACTAGGCAGTACCTACTACTAACTAGGCACCAATCAACTCTAGTAGAACTAGTAGTAGTTACATAGTACTACTAGTTGTCGGGAAATTAGTATAATGATTCATCGAGTTAGAATGGTCCTCTCTGGTTCCTAGAATTAAATCGCCACCTACTAGTAAATTTCCGTCTATTTTACAGGTGATCGTACATCGCTATAATAAAATAAGTTTTCATTGAACTAATCTGGAAGAACAAATCCACCGCTTGCTCGTGGTCGGTATGCTATTTATTTAAGAAGCCATGTCATTTATCATTCTTTGCAAAGCAATGCCCAAGGTCCTCGACGAGTATGGGAATGAATCATTGAACAACCAAGCTGGCACTTGGTGTAAGTCCCAGCTCCTTCAGTGTCTCCCCAAAGAACTCCGCATTGAAAACCTTGCGAGGGAAATTCTGGGTGAAGCTCTGAACATCAATACCATCCTCCGATTTTAGTGCCGCAACAACCTCGAACAGTGTGGTAGTGACAGGAAGGGTCTTCATGATATTTCCACCAGCGGTCTGGAAGCGCAGACGAGTTTCGGTATAAGCGGATGCAGGCTTTGACGTGGTTGGACCGGAAGCTGTAGGCACGGGAGCGGCAGCAGCTTGTGGAGGCGGAGCGACGCCCGCGCGCTCGGCACGCTCACGCTCTGTCTTCAAGCGCCGTTCTTCCTTATCCGCTGCGATCTTAGCCCTGATGCGTTTTTTGGCTTCGATCTCCTCCGCTTTTTCCCTCTTGTTTGCTGCAGCATCTTGCAGTGCTTGTTTCCGCTTCAAGTCCTCCTTTGCATCTTGACTCTCCTTGGTACTCTTTCTCCGGATTTCCTGAAAAAGTAAGGTCAGAAAACCCGATTCACACGGACAAACGGGGTAGGGAGGGTAAATACTTCATTTCGCTTTTGGTCTGCCTTGTCTTGTTGTGACTGCATCAACCGTTTCTCCGCAAGTCTCTCCCGTAGCTCATCGAGTCGCTGCTTCTTTTGCTCGTCGGTCAATTGCGCAATCTCCTCGGTCGACTCGGAGAAATCCACGTGCTCGGACTTGGATGCGTGAAACTCGGCCTGGGCCTGGCTTCGGAACTTTTTGCCACACTCATTGCAGACCAAGCTGCGAGCCTCCTCGCCTGGCTTGAGTGCAGGGCCTTCCTCGTCCTCTCCTTCCTGTAGTTGTGCCGCTTTGATCTCCTCCAGTGTTTTGTCCTGATTCGCCTCAAGCCATTCCAAAGCTCCTTGCACTGTCCGATAGGTTAGTTGGGCTAGCTGAGAGGGTTTCGGTTGATGAAGACTTACGACCGCCAGTCTTGGAAACAGCAAGCTCTGACCGTTCCTTGTCGAAACCCATTTCAATGAGCTGATCGAGATCCGACGCCATGATTAACGATGGCAGGTTTGTGTGGTGACAAATTTAGTCGTGATCAAATACGTATGAAATTGAGCAAGTTGGGTAGAACAGCGATGTGGATATCAATAGGAACAGGCAATCGGTGAAGGTGGGGAGTTGAGCTTGCGGGTGACGTATCGCGTATCGCGAAGGCGGCGAGTGATAAGTGCAGGCAGCGGGTCCACTTGCACATCAACCACCTCATATCATGATGCATTGTAATTTTAGCCTAGATATGTCGATTTATATGCTGGTTTTGACAGCAGGTCATTCTTTGTGCTCACAAAATATAGAGTGTATCATATAATATGTCTATTCAGGAAGAATGACACATGGGTTGGAAGAAAGGAGGAAGAAAGTGAAGATGGTATTTACGCCTGGGGGACATTGGGCACGTCCCATTAGTCCCAGTACATACTAGTAGTAATACTTCGAACTCCATCAGAGCTGCTCAATCAGAGGGTATGTCTACATTCCCTTGAATTTTCTTCTTTGGTATTTTCTACTAAGCTTATTTTCTCAAAGCTCAGACAAGGATCGGAGCGTGAAAGTCAGCACTCTATCCCAATACTGTCCGGTACTTATTTTCTAATCTCTGCAGTTCATTTTACGCTCACTACTTGCAGACTCATAGAATTCAGTGTTCAATGTTCTTCGCACTGGCAAACTTACGTCTTGACAACTCAGCCAAGCCTTCTAATGTTGTAGCAACTACTTCACATGTAGTGAGTGTTGTTATTATTATTACTTAGCTTTACTCAATAACAATTATAACAATATACAAGTAAGTGACTGGTTAAATGGACCTCACTTGATTTGATGGTCAATGCTGTAAACAGCGAAATGGCAAAGTATTGAAAGAGTGGATATCGAATCTGATAGTTCTAATAGTTTCTACTTTAAATGGTCATTGGCAACCCCACTAACGTCACATGCTGTCCAGCTTTCACAGGTGACAATCCAACGAAACAACATTTCAACTTCTGACACCGAGGTACACAGTTCCACATTTATCTGCATCCCTGTCATCTTCAAATCTATTTCTCCTGCTTCTCAGATTCATCCAAGATCCTTGTCTTTGGTGTGCATGTCATCATCCATCACCTGATCGCATTAGTCAGCACATCCCGAATTAGACAATCGTCAACTCCTGAAGCCCCGGCTCCCTTGTCTTGATAACAATCCACACGCCGTTTCCTGTCCCAAGCGCACCTTCTTTGTGGCAGTCCCAGAAACTGTCCTCTCCCGAACCACACCCAACCCTGCGCTTATCATCTGAACGCCATCATGTCTGTTGACATCGATCCCCAGGAGCTTTCCTTTAAGCGTGAGTTCCCCAGCCGGTCGAAGCGGACAAAATCGCAGAACAGTCGGACTGATTTCAGCGTTTATGTTTGCTTTAAACAGGTCCTTTCAACCAGGAAGTCTGCCAGGTTCTTCGTCTTGGCAACACCACCCAAGAACCTCTGGTTTTCAAGGTATGCGCACTTTCCATCCCCTCGGGGCATTGTTGGGCATGGACCAAAGCTAACCAGAACAATTTTGTGTGTGCCAGGTCAAAACCACCGCCCCAAAGCAGTACGTTCCTACTGTCCTCGGCTCTTCCTTATATCTTTTTATCATCAAGTCCGACAACTAACTTGTGTGTAGCTATTGTGTGCGCCCCAACTCGGGTCGTGTGGAGCCTGGTAAACAGGTCGAAGTTCAAGGTTCGCATCACTTCTACGAATTCGACATGAGATATTTGAGCTAACTCGTCCCCATAGTCCTCCTGCAGGCTATGAAAGAAGAGCCAGCTTCTGATGCGAAGTGCAAGGATAAGTTTTTGGTTCAGTCTGTCGCAGTCACTAAGGACATGGAGTTCGCGAATGTGACGTCAATTGTTCGTATTTGCGATTTCACCCCAATTGTGGGGGTTTCTTACTGACAATCTCTTACAGTTCGAAAAGGCCTCGAAGTCCGCCGTGGTCGAGCGCAAGATTCGAGTTGTTTGGTTGGCCCCTACCGAGGTGAAGGAGGAACCGGTATGATTTAGAACTGCTCTCATTTGATGCTTTTTGCGCATAATCTAATGGCCCTCAATAGCTTGACGATGAGCCCCCATCCTACCCCTCTCCTGGCGCAACTCCTGGTGCGAACTTTGAAACACCGGCCCCCAGAAAGATGACTGCCACCCAAGGATCCCCGATCCCTCCTCCCCGAATTCTCCGAAAAGCCCAGCTCCGAATCCCCACCGCTCCACGACACAACCAGCACTTTCAACAACGCCAAGACCGCCATTATTAACGCCCTTCCCTCGAGCGATGACCTGAAGTCTCAGCTTGCCGATGCCAATGCGCAAATCCAAAGGCTGAAGGACCGTCTGGCAGATCAGGGCTTGCGGCAGCGGAAGACCGGTGGCGAGGCCAAGGCTGCCCCCGCGACAATGCAGCAGACACACACCCAGGGCGCGACCGGTGTACCACTCCAGGTCGTGGCTGCGCTCTGTCTAATGAGCTTCTTGATCGCCTATTTCTTCTTCTAGGCTTGCTCTGTCGTGCTTGTGCCTAGTTATCACGACTGGATGCCCCGAATAACCCGAGTTCCTCCCATCTACCGATTTTCATTTTTACCCTTTTTGGAGTGTCTCTTGAAGAGCCTACTCTAATTGATTCTAGCATCAGCCTTTTTCCTTGTGTCTTTTTTTCGCTTCTCTATCCCCCTCAAGTATCCATATCTCTTTTTATTCCACAATCACCCCCACTCTAGGCCATGGATTTGTTTTTTGGGAAATCCGCCCTGTGTCTTGTTTCATTCTTTCTGATCGCTTTTCTTAACTTTTCTGTCTTGTCTGATATCACGTTATGATGAACGGACCGAACGTGTTGGTTCCCCCTTTGGCGTCTTTGTGAGATAAATCTTGGCTCGATCCATCCACTGCAAGATAAAATATCTGCTCTTGCAATGAAAGTTTCTCCTAATGATTCCTGGTACCTAGATGGTTTGCTTCTAAATCCACCCACACTTGTGCATGTACCTAGTAGGTATATGCCTCTGGTGGGGGCTTTAGTATGTGAAAAGCATGTAAGTAGATTTCTAGTACATAGGTATGCACATACATACATTTAAATAGGGTACCTGGGTTGATCGATGCCTCCAAAGCTGTGTTCCAAGGTTGTGTCCACATGTGCAAGCCTGAGTGCAATATGTGCCCACATGCATGTCCATGCCCGGGTGTAAATAACCTTCAATTTTTGATCAGCACTCAAGTTGAACGTTCCAAAACTGGACATCGATTGGTTCAATGTTCGCCTACAGGTTGATTTTCCAACGTAATGCCCAGGCGGACATGCCTAGTATCATGTATGTACGTACTACATAGGTAGGTACCCCCTACCCAACAACCATGAACATTTGAATATTCAAACCAGGATTATGTTGGAAAAACTTGGGCATCTCTTTTGTAATTTCCAAGGGGTTTGACATCAATTACATCCATCCATGGATGAACATGGATTTGCATCAATAATGTTCAATCTGGTTCCTGGGCATTCTGAGAATGGATGGATGGTGCTGCTGTCCAGTGGACCAGTGGTGTACACCTCAAAATATATTCATACGGATTTCAGGGATCAGCCCTCCCCGTCAAAACCGATGGCCTTCGCGCGGTTATGAAGTAAAATTATTGATGTAGGAAATTCCCAAGAACTCTAGAGTTACAGCAAAATATTGAGCCCCGAATGCCACACACTCCTTTCAAAGGAAGAACATTGAAAATAATCCATATCAAGATGCTGGATTTGGGGGTTCAACCTGGTAATTAAAGTTGAACCCTTGAAGGAAGCCGAGGTGGCAGCTGATTGGCCCATTACTGGAGATTGCAAAGTCACGTGGTAAATCTATCTTTAGTTTCAAAAATGAAGACGTCACTATGCCTTATTTACTCCGGATGCTGATTGAATTAGGAAGGCATGGAAACTTGGAAGAGGTCATCGTACTTGCCAAAACTGTCAGACTAAATCAATGATGTGATGTTCGGACTGGGACTCGAGGGGCTTATCAATGTGGATATCTGGAGATAAGAATCATAGAATTTCTAAAAATAAATCACCAATTCCATGTTGATTGACCAATGCCATGCATGATATTTACGATTGCAATGGAAAACACCCGACCCATCATGAAACTATAGGAACAATTGAAAAACACAAGAGGAAACAAGTGAAAGAGCAAAAAGAAAGCTGAAGATCTAATCTAGCACTGAATCTCACTCTCCTTCCACCCATCACCCTCCTCACCCTGCGGACCCGCAGAAGCAGCAGAGATACCCTCCCCACCACGTCCAGTCCAAGTATCCTTTTTCTCCGATCCACCACCGCCAACAACGCGACCGCCCTGCGCCCGCTTCACACGGCACCAAAGCCCAACATTCTCATCGAGAATAAAAGTCCAGATAACCCACACCCAGCTGCGATGACAAGGCAAGGGATCGTAGAACTCGGACGCAATCTCCTTCAACTTGTGCAATCGAGTCCACGGGATAGCAGGGAAATCGTGGTGCTCGTTATGCAAGCCCACGTTGTAAGTCAGGATATTAAGCGGGCCGTAGTACGAGTATGTCTCCGGGGGAGCGAGGTCGTCCAGCGGGTGGGGCGCAGTGGTCTTTGCGGCGGGCTTGGTCTTCAGGTCGGCGAGGGACTCTGTGCCGCCGGTTTTGACTTGCGAGAAGAAGTAGTGCTCTGCGATGAAGTGGCCGGCGCAGGGGTGGAGGGAGCCGGCGAGGAAGGAGGAGGCGAGCAGGTAGAAGATTGGGGTTAGGGAGCCGCTGAAGCGGGCGAGGAAGTAGTCGAATGAGAGCTGGACGGCGAGGTTGATGAGGTGGATTGAGGTGAAGGGGGGACTGTAGATGAACATTGGGCGGACGGCGTAGAAGAGGATTTGGAATGTGCAGAAGAAGGTCTTGCCCAGGACGGAGTTGAGGACGAAGGCTTCGAATGCGGTGGGGAGGTCGGTGTCGAGACCTGCTACGCCCAGAGATTTGTGGTGGGTGAGGTGGTAGGGCTGTGGTGCAATTGATGCGTTAGTCACTTGATTGGTTTGATTTGAGGTGGTTTTTTGGCCTGGCTATGTGTGTTCTTGTTCTCCCGGGTGGCAACTACTCACCCTGAATGCTGCGCTGTATGGAACTCCGATAGGGAGGTTGGCAAAGATTGCCAGTAGGCGGTTGGCCAGCGGAGACCGGAAGGCCAGGTTGTGAGAGATCTCATGGATCGCAAGGAACAGGTTCTGGTTTGATGTGGCTCCGATCACGTAGGCAGTAGCCAGGAACTTCCAGTCGAGCATGGAGGTATTGCGGAGGAGGTATGCGCAGGTAAGCTGGAGGGACACGACACCGAAGACGACATATTTGGTGAGGCTCTCTGGGCCACAGAGCTTGGTCACCTATTCAAATCTAGAAGTTAGCAAGTAATTCCAGCTGTTTCAGTGCAGTGCCCTGGCGGGACAAGAAACGAATAGTTTCAACCGTGGCGCGATTTCCCCGAATCCAGGAACCCGGCGGTCCTGCACCACAAAACCACAAATCACGAAATGAATGATTTCACGTACCTCTGGATGGGCTTTGATAATTGCTTGTCTCCTTGACCGATGTGGCTCTTCAGTGTAGGTCCAGAAGAACTTATCCTCGACCGTGGAGGCATCCGGGGGTGGGACTCGTGAAGAGGGTTCGGATTGGGATTGAGACGATTTATTCTTCGCCGACACCCGGAGGTGAGGCGAGGTGGTTTCAACAACCGCAGACATGTTGAAAAGAGTGTAAGTAGAGAAGTGTCGACATTGACAGAAATGCGGATTTAAAAAAAAGGCGGAAGTGGCTCGATTTCACGTGGGGCGACACGGGAGACCTGGATGGTCCATTAACTTGATGATGTGGCTTGGCATGATCTACATTGCATTTTATTTGCTGGAATTTTCCGGGGATTTTTTTTTGTTTTATCTTGTACGCTGTATGACTTCGTTTAGTATTTTGAGAGTGCTATTCATAAAGTAGCTAGCTACATCAGTAGTCGTCTCCACGGCTGATGACCTCCTTGCAGTTTGGTCGGAGGAGGATAGTCTGTGATCGAGTCAGTCAAAGAACGATTTGAGGCATGTAATTGACAATGGGAGAGGAGAACTTACATGTTCATACTGAGCTGTGTAGGAGCCCTTGATATCGCAAAGGGGAGGGTAATCTTGCACAATTCCAGAGGAGACCAGGTTGTTCAACTAGTTAAATTGTTAGTTCGACTGTCCGCTTCACCCAAACAGTGGGGGTACATACTCCAAGGAGATACTTGTCTTGACCCAAGCGGTCCAAATAACGTCTGCAGAAAGGCAGAGTGCCAAAGTTCTTATTGATCACATTCAGGAGATTCTTGGCAGATGAGAGACGTAGAGGGACGTTGGGGGCATCCTGGGCAAGGGCATAGTGGGAGCATTCCATCTATCAAAAGTCAGTACTCAGTTTCAACTTGATTCGACAGCGATGAAAAATGAGCATACCTCTTCGCGGACATAACCCTTTCCAGTACTACCGAAAGTCTCAATAGCGAATGTTTCACCCTCCTCCATCTTAGTCTGATCGGTGCTCTTGACAATGGGCACACTCTTGCCTCCGTGGATGACGTGCTGCTCAATGTTGTGGCCGTTCAAGTTACGAATACACTTGACAGGGTACATGGTACCATTGAGCTCAACTTCGTAGCTCTCCATGGCTTCCTGAATGGCAGCACCGATATCGCTCATGCGAACGTCGATACCGGCTTCCTATAAGCAGAATCGAATCAGCATCATATACAAGAGGTTTTCATGAGATGAAAAAACTAACCCGAATACCAGTGTTGGTGGCATCCTTGACTGCCTCCAAAAGAGGGTCATATACAGGATCGAAAGCCAAAGTGAAGGCGCTGTCCACAATGCGACCATTGAGCTGAGCACCGAAATCAACCTTCATCACATCACCCTGTTGCAGGACCGTCTTGTTACCCGCATTGGGTGTGTAGTGAGCGGCGCAATGGTTGATGCTCAGACCGCAAGGGAAACCCATGCCACCCTTCAAGTTATCACCCTCCTCAAGACCAGAGTGACCGGTCAAGGCACGCACAGAGTCCTCAATGCCCTCCGCGATCTCCGTCAAGGTTTGACCGGGCCGAATGTTCTTCTGCGCATATTGGCGAACTTGACGGTGAATCTCAGCACCTTGGCGGTACTCCTGGAGGAAGTCATTGTTCATGCGATCGAGGTAGCGCTTCTCTTCGTCGGTGGTACGGTAGGCATTGTCGTTCAGGTATTCGACAATCTCACCCTCGGGGTATTGGCCGTTGGGGAAGAGGTTGGCAACAGGAACGCGGGGAGGTTCGCTCTGGACCTTAGCGCCACCCTTCTTCTTCTTCTTTGACTTGCGCTTCTTCTTCTTTTTGGCGGCTATGACAGGACGTCGTTAGTGACCATTGTGAATGTTCCCAGGGATCGTCAAAGGCGGGGTAAACAAGGTCAAGAAGCCATAGTTGAATATATGGGCTAAAGGGTACTAACCACCAGCAGCGCCAGCATCTGCAGCACCCTCTCCTTCCTCTTGCTCGTCGTCTGAGTCGTCTTCGGCGTCGGCTTGGCCGGCTGCGGGGGCGTCCGCGGGCACGTCCTTCTGGCCGTTCACTAAATTCAAGTAAGTTCCACAACCTAAAATTCACCGAGAAAGAAAAAAAACCCACAGCCCAGATCTTGCAGCTTTTCAGTCGCCTGAGCCGCCATGGTTGTGGTGTAGGAATTGTGGTAAAGTGGAGGAAGAGAGGGGAAACAATTCGGAATTCGGGGAAAGATTTTTGCTGCGATAAGATACGGGGGGCTTGTATAGTAAGAATATTAAAGTGGCGGGTTTCCAAATAACCAAAATTCTTCTCAAGAGACAAGTTCCATGGAATATTTGATTCTTTCTTATTCAATCTCATTCGTTTTGCCGTAATTTAGAGAGGGATTATTCCCTGATTAATTTCTCCATCGTTCTGCTTATATCGATTTGTGTCTTTAACACTGCTCGTGTGCCTACAAATTGAAACACACGAGTCTGTCAACTTTGTATAGGATATTGTACTATCTAACCTTGGAAAATTCAAGTTTTTGAGTTCTACAGCATACCAAGAAATGAGTATGTACTAGTATAAATGAGCCCCATGTTCTAATTCGCTGTGATCTTAATTGACTTCATGTTAGGTTTAGAGATGTAATTGTTGCTACAAGTAGCATGTATCCTGCACGAGAGTGATTACAGGCAAAGCCATACTGAGCTTAATCTACCATCCTTGGCATCATTCAACATGGCCTCAAAATAAGCCCTCTCAGTATAAAAAGATGATAATCAATCATACTTTGTGCGTATGTTGAAAAATAAGGGCTGGAGAATAGATATTTCTCGACTTTCATTACCTGCAGCCGAAGTTTGACATAGAATGGCTTCTACGTACTATGATCTATCATCCGTGACGTGACATATGCGTGCAAGTGAGGTGCTGGAGCTATAGGTTATTCTTTCACTTTGGCGTCTTTGGGTCATGATGAACTTAATTATTTTCTAAATCTCCACCTGGCAGAAGTAATGGTCATGTCGACACAATCAAAGCCATTACCGTGTATCTTATCGTAGCTAGAAGCTCTTTGATAATAATTTGTGCATCACGGCGGTTGGTTCTGATTGCGCAGTTTTTGCGACAAGATCTGAACTGGCCCAAGCCCCGTTTGAGCCCTTCTTCTATTTATACTAGTATCCATCAATTGGAAGATACGTCAGACTTGCAAAATCATCAAGAATGAAGGCAGTCTGGACAAACTATTAAGAGTAACAGCTAAGAAATACTTCCTCTACGTCTCCCTGCTGACTCTCGTTCTTCAAATCCTCACTTCGTGCCTTCCTTTCTCCCGACCTCCCTTTCCCCCTTTTTGAATCCTGGGGCTACCAAATGAAGCAAAAGAACAAGAAAAATAACAAGAAAGCTTCCAGTTACAACAGCGATATAAACACGGCTCCTAGTACGGAAATCGAGATGTCGGAAGAGGAGACGTTGCAAATTCAGAAAGATGGTGTTGATCCTGGAATGAACCCTGGTCAATTTGTGGGAGATCTGACTGCCAGCATACAAAGGTTCGCACTTTCACCTAGAAACCACGTCAAATATATTGATCTAAAGGCATTAGCTTTTTCAAATCTTCACAGTTTACGGATCTCGTCATCGCAACCGAAGAACAAGAGTTCAAAGTACACAGAGTAGTAGTCTGTGGGCAGTCTGAATACTTTGCGCGACTGTACAATGGAAAGTGGACGGTAAGATCCCACACACAAAGTTTTGTCCCGCATTCTGACCTAGGGATCAGGAAACAACTGATGCTACCATCAAGTTGATGGATGATGATCCACGTGCAATCGAAGCAATGATTCACTTCATGTATGGCTTTGACTACGATAGCAGCGGCAGCGAGCTTGGCCGCGTTTCTCCTATGATTTTCAACATCAAGCTATATCAGATGGCGGACAAATATTTTATTCCTCAGCTTAAGAAGAAGGCAAAATATAAGTTCGAACAGATCGCAAAAACGTGTTGGGAAATGGATGATTTCCCCATTGCCATTGCTGAGGCATACCAACGTACCCACAAACACGATCGAGATCTTCGAGAGCTGCTGGTGAAAATTTCACAGGAACATGTTGTTGAGCTGGCGGAGAATGAGAAGTTTTGCTCTGCACTTGAGGAAACAACGGGCTTTGCTGCTGATCTGGCACTATCACTGTCTGAAGCTGTTAACCACAAAGCTTCCTGTGCTTATTGTCGCAAGACGTGGACCTTGAGCGAGTCTGGGGCTCGCTATTGTCCATACTGTAGTAACTCTAGCATAGCACCATGCTAGCTACTTAGACGCCTTTGTTTTCGATCATAGCTCAAACTTATGCATCTACTCTGTGCTCACCTGTTTTGAATTTCATCGAGGAGGGTTGTCGGAGTTGAAAGTATTCAAAATAGATTGAGAACAATGTCCATTATCTGCATTACCACCCGGAGCATTCTCTAGCTAGTACATAAATTGGGCGTCCATCAGGACATGAGGGGCATGTGGGGGTAACACGATGCAGATGGTCTACATGTTATCTAATCTGATCATCAGCTGCTGCAAACACAAGCTTCAATACCACCTAACAGTAACAGTGGGAAATGATTTATCGCAAGCATAGACCGACTGGAAAAGATACTTCAAGCTCCATATAATATTTTAGCTTGACGCTTAGCAAAAAGATAGCTACAAGTAGTGGTGCAGCTGTGCTCTAGATGATCGACCCTTATCCACGATGACGCCACCCCGGCTTTCTCACCTCAACCTTCTTTCCTCTCCACAATCACTCTCCCAAATCCCCCCCCCGCCTCATTTCCCTCAACTTCGATGTAACACACAACAGTCATTAATAAAAACGGCAATGCCTCCTCCAAGACCAGCCACGCTTCTTCTCTACACACCCCACAAACCCAGCTGCGCATCTCCTCACCTCCGCACGCGCCAAAGCTGCTACTCTCTACTCACGCACACGACCACCAAGCGACCACACCCACAAAACCCACACACCCTCACACAAAACCCTATACCCAACCTCCTCAAACCCCGCCACTTCTCCTCAACTCGCCCCGCATACGCCCACGCACAGAACCACTATGAAACCCTCGGCCTCCCCGTAACCGCCTCCGCAGCCGAGATCAAAAAGTAACGAAAACCCACTCCCACAGCATCCTCTCTGCCTTCCTCCATGCCCTGCTACACCATTATACATAGAAAGCACAGTACTAACACCCCCAGGAAATTCTACGCCCTCTCTCTCCGCCACCACCCGGACCGCAACCGCACAGACCCAGAAGCAGGCCCGCGCTTCGCCCGCATCTCAGAAGCCTACAACACCCTCGGCCGCGCCGCAAAACGCGCAATCTACGACCGCGACCACGGCTTCCACTCCGCCCAACACACCCACCCTCACCACGGCGTCCCACACGGCACCCACAGCAGCCACACCGCGCACCCAAACAAAGGCGGCAGCTACGCCGGCTCCAGGCCCGCCAGCGGGCTAAGTAAACGGCGCAGCGCGTTCCACGGGCCGCCGCCCAGCTTCTACGAGCACGGCGGGTACGGGGCTACGGGGCGGACGGCTGGGGAGGGGGCGTATACCAGTGGCACTGCGGGCGGCGGTGGGTTCGGTGGTGATGAGTTTGGGGGAACGGGAACGGGGAAGAGGAAGCAGGATGATCCTGAGGATCCGATGGGGTTCATTTATCGGAATCCCTTGGGGCATTTTAATGCGCGGGCGCATTTTAAGACGCAGAGTGCGGAGGATCGGAGGCGCGGGGAGAGGAGGAGAGCTAGGATGGAGGAGGCGGTTAAGGTTAATGGGAATGTGATGGCTAGTGGGAACTTTCAGGCTAGTGAGTTCTTTACTGTTTGTGGGATTTTTGTGCTACTTATTGCTATTGGTGGCTTTATTGCGAATCCCATACCGATCCCGCCTACTTCTGCGCCTGCGTCTGGGACTGGGGATGGGACGGGAAGACGGAAGGAGAGTCGGGGTTCTTGATTGTGGAATTTTCGGACATTTGCATACAACAAGAACATACTAGTAGTACACTCTTAGTTATACTTGGGGGTTGTACATTCTGGGGCACAAATATGCTCTGGAGATATCATATTATATCCGCTGTCTTCAATGTTGGTATGTGAGCATTGGGCATCAACAATAGCACAATACATAATCTACTACACTATCTACAAAATCTGGCGCAATCTACTATAACTTCAAGTTGTAAAGCATTGGAGAAGATCGGGTATCCGTCAAACAAAGGAAATTTAAATTTGTGTACAACGTGTGAATAGCACAGTACTATAACACACAGATTATCTAGGCGAAAAGCCAATAGTTGATAAGCATCTGCTCCTCCACCACATAACCTTCTTCGGAAACATGATCAATGTGAACAAATAATTAAGAAACTTGCTTCACACCACGACACTATCAGATGATTAAGGGTAGTGGAACACTTAAGCCTCGAAGGTGAAGCTGGCGCCAACCTTGTGGGCAGCCTGGTTCAGGTTCTGGGTATCGAAAGAGGCACCGAGGCCGAGAGTGACACCGGGGCGGAGGAGAACGTTGTAAGCCAAAGCGGCGACACCACGGTCGTTGATCTTGGCCTGTAAAAGAGAGAGAAAAAATGATTGATTAGTTTCACGTTGGTTGATTCCGATATCGGATCAATAAGGAAGATGAATTACATACCTTGGCGAAGGAGGAGGGGTCCAGGCGGTACTTGCTGGCAACCTCAAGACCGACAGCGTTGCCGGACTTGGAGTCCCAGGAAGCCTTGGCACCGGCCTCGACCTGAGCGTTCACGCGGTGGTAGTAGCTGGCGGAGAACAGAGACAGGTTGTTGCTGGCGGTGATGGCAGCGGAGTACTGGGGAACGCTGTAACCGACGGCAGCGGAGTACTTGGTGATGGCAGCCTTGTTGACATCGTAACCACCCTCAGCACCGACGAGGAAGCCCTCGTGGCCGAGAACGGCGTCAAGGTTGGCAGTGGGGCCGTTAAGCAGGTCGAAGAAAGCACGGGCGTGCAGGTTGGGCTGCTTGAAGTAAAGGTTGAGCTTAGCACCCTTGGACTGCTTAGCGGGCTGGTACTGGGTCAGGATCTCAGCCTTGAGGCCCTTGGCGATGTTGTTGTCCAGCTCAAGCTTGGTGTCGAGAGCATTGGCGGTGGTCCAAGCCTGGGTCAGGGTGAGACCTGGGCGTAAGGGAATAATTAGCTTTACTGTGTCCCTGGAAAGATAGTGGAAAAAAAACAAGGAAACCTGGCGTGACGCGATGTAGCTCCAGGTACCCAGAAAATACGAAAACTGCATGCCAGGATCGGGTGGTTTGCAACGGGTGGGTTTATTACCAGTAGGCGCATCAACGTACTTGGCCTCGAGCTATACGTAAATCTGATATTAGCAATCTGATTCTGATTTCGTCGCAAGGAATTGGACCTTCTCCGCGTATAGGAGACGGTGGGGAAAAAAACTCACCTGGCCAGCGATGGAACCCTCGTGGGCGGACTTGCCCTTAACGGTGAAGGTAACACCGTTGGGAGCCTTGGACTTAACCTCAAGGTTGGCTAAAAGACGGTTAGTAAACGTGGTTGACGTTGGGGATAAATAATGAGACGAACCCGGGCTGGCGTGGTAGAAGTCCTTGTTAAGGAGCTATTAGAGGTGACATCAGCTACCCATCTTTGCGCAAGTAATATATATATTCGACTCAAAAGAGGTTCGTACATCGTTGGTCGCCTTGGCGATGTCGGAGAAGGCAGCGGGAGCAGACATGATGAATGTGTGTGATGAGAGACGTTGTGAGGCGTGTGAAGAAGGAAGAAAGGGAGTTTGGCGGGTTGTGAGGTGTTGGGAGAAGGGGGAGCCACCCGCCGAGCGTCCCGTGATTGATTGGTTGGTGCTCGGTTGCCGGGCGAATCCGCCGTAATAGTGATTAGGTAATTAGTCAAAGCTCCGATTAAACTCGGCATACATTTTACGGGGAAATAGAGAGGAAATATAAGGGGTAAAATGGTATATACATCCAATTCTATTTTGGAATATCTATAAAACCTTTGTCGAAATCTTCACCTTTTTATATCATTCACTACTTTACTCAGCAGACTTGTACTTCTTGTTGTGAGTGGCGATCGCACTAGAGAGCGGATTAGTATTCAACCACATCACATCATTTCTCCACGATTCATGTGCTTACCGGCCGCTAGGGTCGCTCTGCTTCGACCAAGTAGGGGTCCACCGCTCGACAGTACCCGCACAGTAAGGCGGGAACTGCTCATCGAACATAGTGCGGTACCAGTAACTATTAAAAAAAAGGTTCCACGTTAGTTGATTTTGATTTTTGCCAAGAAAATATGCCGGGTAACATACGCTTCCTTGGTGTCGGGAATATCGGTACCCCATTCAGGCTTGGGGTTCTTCATCATCTCATCAGTGACGTGCAGCTCGGCGGCATCCTTGAGACCGTCAATCCACCCGTATCCAACACCATCAGAGAACTGCTCCTTTTGGCGCCAGAGAATCTTCTCGGGAAGGTAAGGGGTTTCATCAGGCTCATCAGAGGTGTCAAAGGCCTTGCGCAGGATGTACTTCTCAATGTGGCCATCAGTGATCATCTTATCCTTAGGGTCCACAGCCATGGAGGTCTCCAGGAACTCCTTGTCGAGGAAGGGGACACGAGCCTCAAGACCCCAGGCAGAGGTCGACTTGTTGGCACGTAGGCAGTCAGCCAAGTGCAAGTTCTTGACACGGCGGACGGTCTCGGTGTGGAACTCCTCACGGTTGGGAGCAGCATGGAAGTAGAGGTAACCACCGAAGATCTCATCACTACCCTCACCACTCAGAACCATCTTAACACCCATAGCCTTAATCTTGCGAGAAAGCAAGTACATGGGGGTAGAGGCACGAATGGTGGTGACATCGTAGGTCTCGAGGTGGTAGATAACATCGGCGAGGGCGTTCAGGCCGTCCTCAATGGTAAAAGTGAAAGCATGGTGCTTGGTGCCCAGGAACTTGGCGACCTCAAGGGCAGCCTCGGTGTCAGGAGCGCCGGGCAGACCAATGGAGAAGGAGTGCAGCTGCTGGAAAGTGGTGACAGTGGACAGCTCGTTCTCATCGTCAATTCCAACCAGGTCAGAAGTGACGGCCTCGGACTTGAGAGCAGCGCGGGCAGCCTCCTGCATGCGGAGGGTCTCACGCTGAGCAATGGCAGCCACCAAGCTGGAGTCAAGACCACCGGAAAGCAGGACACCGTAGGGAACCTCAGCCATCAGACGCTTGCGGACAGACTTCTCCAGAGTGTGGCGGAGAACCTTCAAGTCGACGGGGGTGGTGGGGACGTTGGTGGGGTCCCACCACTTGGGCTCGAAGTAACGAGTCATCTTGTCGGTGCTAGAGTCGTAGATGTGACCGGGAGGGAAAGCGATGATGTCGTCACAAACCGGGTGCAGAGACTTGAGCTCGGAGGCGAAGTAGACAGCACCAGGGGTGGAAGAAGAGCGGCCGAGGTAGAAGCTGGTGATACCGATGGGATCACGGGCAGCAACGACACGGTCAAGCTTCTTGTCCCAGAGAACCCAGGAGAACATACCATCGAGGTGCTTGGGGGCATCAAGACCGTGCTCCATGTACTGAAAAAGGTGGGGGTTATCAGCCAAAATCCCTCCTGCGCGTCCACGGATTTCCATATCCACATACCAAGGGAATGATGACCTCACAATCGGAGTGAGTCTTGAAGTTGTACTTGGTCTTCAGGGCTTTCCGCAAGATGCGGTGGTTGTAAATCTCACCGTTGACGGCAAGGGCGAGGGTCTCATCATCGTTGACGAGGGGCTGGGCACCGGAATCTGGGGAGAGAACATGAGTAAAATGAACGGCAGTAACAAGACTAGAGCTTCAAGGATATTGCGACATACCGACACCGACAATGCTCAAACGCTCGTGGGCGAGGACTAGAGAACAGCGCCATTAGCTCCAACATTCAGAATCGCAACGGCGAGCCATTTCAAAAAATCAATTGACTCACTAGTGTTATCAGCGCAGAAGTTTCCGCCTGTCAAGAAAATAACCATGTCAATATCCTAGCTCCCAACTTGTGTGATATTCGAGCTTCGATTCCGGTGACTCACTCCAATCGGGACCACGGTGGCGCACACTGTAGAAGATGCATAATTAGGAACCATCCCTCTTTATTGAACAACGAAAGACAAGAAGAATATAGTAACTTACGCCTTAGCCATGCGCAAAGCCTGGGGCTTGAACTTTTGCACATCGGGGTGACTATTCGGAGTCCAGTTAGCAATGTCTCCAAACCCACCATCGCGTGTGCCTCTCCCGGGGGGACCAAGAGGCGTAGTGGGGTTAATAGAAAGTGGGATTCAGAACTAGTGATAACGCACTGGTGACACGCGAAGATTCCACACATGACGGGCAGATGATACTCTTGTTGAGTAGGAGATCAATTGGAGTCAATGGGAAGAAAGAAGAAGAAGATTGACTAATCCCGGAGTCTGGAAGAGTATCCGGTCAAGGCGATTTTTTTTCGTTTCCGGCGAGGGGCGATGTCGGACAGTCTTTGAGTCACCGATAAGATAAAAACCCACCAGTGGCACCGCGCCAATTACTCGGCGTTTCTCGGTTGAGACTTCAATGTTAGTCATTACTCTTTTCATACTTGATCTATATATCAATATGTATCCATATATTGATCTTTCACCAGTTGTGTTTTACTATCTTAAGAGTTGCTGGTTGCCGGAGAAAAAGGATCTTTGTTCATCTGTATATGGGGACTATTACTCACCCCGGGATGTCATACTGAATAATTGCTATGACTACCTACTAGTATAGAGTTTCGCTTTCGCAGAACAACTCTGGTCAATTGGCGTTTGTACTATGTAGGCTAGATATCAATCCCAGAATGGATCATATACCCGCAGATTGGCGATTTCCATCTCAAAACTACGCGCTAATAATGCATCTATGCGCCCATGCATATGATTGATTGCCATTGTTACAAACGGCTTACCTAATCCGATTGGCGGGGCGATTGAGATCGCAAGAAGTGAAGCTGCAAAGACCAAGCAGCTTTACTTTTTACTTCACTACCGACTTTCCAATTTACTTCTTCTCTTCTCCCTTCTTGATCAACCGATATTGCAATACTCCCACATCCGCCTTGATCCTCCCTCCACTAAGTCTTCAACAACCCGCTAAACAAAATGTCGCTTTGCCAGAATCGTCTCCAAGAAGAGCGGTATGTGCCTTTTCACGATCTCCCAGCGCAAAACAACGTGATACCTAAGCATCTGCTGACAATTTTGTCACTGTAATAGCAAACAATGGCGTCGTGATCACCCCTTTGGCTTCGTCGCGAAGCCTCAGCGGACAGCGCAGGGCACCTTGGACCTCAAGCAATGGACATGCGCCGTGCCCGGAAAGAAGGATACGCTCTGGGAGGGCGGTGTTTACCACCTGACCGTGACTTTCCCCGAAGGTGAGTGATATTGCGCATCCCTTGCCGACCAATATGCCGATTCTGATCGTCTTTTCGCCGTGTCCAGAATACCCTACCAAGCCTCCCAAGTGTACGTATTGCCACTCTTCTTACGTCCCACCATGAAGACCGCAACGCCACCTCCCTTTAAGCCGGCTAGCAAAGCTCACGATGAAAATCCACAGGCAAATTCACTCCCCCGCTCTTCCACCCGAATGTTTACCCCTCTGGCACAGTCTGCCTTTCCATCTTGAACGAGGAAGAAGCCTGGCGTCCGGCCATTACAATCCGCCAGATCTTGATCGGTATCCAGGATCTGCTGAATGACCCAAATCCGGAGTCACCTGCCCAGGCCGATGCCTACAACCTCTTCAAAAAAGACCGCCCTGCATACGAACGACGAGTCCGTCAGGTGGTGAAGGAGAACCCGCCCATGTAGGAGACTGTGGGTGTTGTGCATGGCTAACAACGGCGCACTTTTCTTTGAGGTTTTACTTGCTATATTCTTCCTGATTCTCCTTTTTTCTTATTTTTTTTTCTTACTGGCTACGGCGAGACATAGCAATATCTCGTATGCATTACGTTAACTACCTTTGCGCAGGGGAGCATTTCTTGCTTTTCTCAGCGACCGATCACCAGCGTGGCGTTTATTGAGCCAATGGATGGCGTTTTGCAGATCATGTATTATGGATGTTTAGGTTCCTTGTCCCTTGTAAAGAGACCGTAGGGTAATGTGTAACCTGAGTACTGACCTGCGAGGCTCCACGGGCTTGAGTATTTTGAGTGCACAGTCAGAAGGCAGAACCAGGACTGTCCTACGCAAGTAAGTAACAATATTTCGGGTCCTTGTTTCGAGTCTTTTATGCTTCAGAATTGTAACCACACGATGAACAAAGGGAATCTATGCATAAAGACCCATTCAACATGTAATGAAAGCCCGACTTTGGCTTGCTCCACTCTTAGATGACAGAAGAGCCAGTAAGATGGATCTACACACTAAAATAGTACCTTGGTCTCAAACAAGTCCCAAGCCCATTGAAAGAGAAACCCAAGCAAGTAAGCCATTATTCACAAACTAGAAATAGCTAACCGGAAATATCCTGCTAACTTCAAAGCCACAAGGGTATGAAAATAGTACACCTGCACATTCGTATCCTCGTCCCAGCCCATCAATCAAACATCTATAAAGACCAACCCAACTCCCCGAATCCCTATTACCTTATCCTCATCTATTACTAAAATCAGAATCAATATCAATATCAATATCAACCCAATAAACCCAAGCTCTCCAAAATGTGTCATGCTATTGTGTGGTACCACGCTCTTTGCCATCACCTAGACCAATCCCAATCATCCACTATCCCTTGCATCTATGCCACGGCAACAGGATACGATTGTCTACCGCACTACCAACCCGTGCTTGACTTTCCTCTTTCAGGAGAGTGCTGCACCTGCAAAGGCGAGCGGCGGTGGCAGCAGAAGCAGACGCAGATGCAGCGGAAACCTACTGATCAGCCCCAGCCCCAGCCCCAGCCCCAACCTGAACCTGCAAGCGCCGATATGAATGATCCGGCAAATCTTGAAAATGATCCCGAATATCATGAATTCTTAGAGGAGTGTGACCGCATTTTCAATCACAACCGCACAGCGGAGGATTGGGATATGCATCTATGGATGGGCGGCGCTGATTTGCTTGCTAGAGGATCCGAAACAGAAACAAACATGCAATTTGACATGGATTTGAACGATGATATCTGGTACGACGAAGAATTTTACTTTGGTGATGCTGAGGATATCCCTCCTTCATTATCTTGGTTAGATATGGGACCTGACTCTGGCTCTGACTCTGAGTCTGAGGTTGAATCTCATGCGTTGGAAGGAAACGATTTTACAGATTCCCCTACTTTGGGCTATGATTCCCCTGTTTGGGGGATGACTGGACAGCAGGATGAGAGCGCGACGCTGAAATCTATGATTCCTGCTCCGGTGAGTCGGAACAAGGCCCTTGAACGTGTCTGGGAGGCCTGGGAGTTGGAAGTTTTTGATCAGCTCACTTTCTAACTTTCTTATTATAGAACTGAGACCGATGACGTGTTATAACGTTGTATATCTCTTTTTGAATGTTTTTGTTGCATAGCATAGCGAGGCGCATTTGTTGGAATCTTGGCTAGGATTTCTGTTGCGGAGACTTTGATAGATATTTTGATTGGGGTTGAAAATAGTTGCATTACCAGCAATATCATCATGTCTGCGGCATGGTCATTAGATACTAGTACATCAATAGATTACTCCACATAAACTCCCTCTTCAAACTTTTCAGTATTGAAGAATCGCGCCGTGATGGCATTTCCATTGAAGATGCGTCCTTCAAGAGCATTTACCGCCTAAAGATAGTCCCCCGGTCAGTAAATGAAATGAGATAGGCCCAAAGAATCAAGCTTACCCGCAGAGCAGACAAAGGACTCGTAAATTTCACAAACACGGGAATTGGCATGCCTGCATCACGAGCAATATACACTCTTTCCACACTCCCGTACTATAAAGAAAGCAATCAGTATCAGCAAAGGCAGTCTCCAACAAGATTGGAACGCAACAAACCTTCTCGTTACACTCTTCGCCAATATCTTGCATCAAATCTCCACTCTCCAACTCGGCCTCAAGATCCATACCATCCAGCATGCCCCGAAGAATAATCACTTCGCTCATAGGTCCAAACTTGCCTGTATCTTCACCCTTCCTCTTACCCCCGATGATGGTTCCCCGTCCACCAGGAGTAACAAAGCCTCCCCCTTCAGCATCAGGGCGTTTCTTGCGTTTCTCAACCTTGACCTGCAATGGTTTCGCGATACCTGAGCCCGTAGCACCAAGTCCAGATCCCTTGGTCCAGCCATATTTCGAGAGTAGACGTTCTGCAAAGCCCTTCTGACCAGGACGAAGGGAGCGGGGCGCATCGTTGGAATCTTCTCCATCGTTTTCGGTTTGCGCATCTGCGGGTTGTTCCTTGGCAAGAACTTCCTCCAGCTCTGCTTCTGACGCAGGGATATCTGGCGGAGGGGGAGGAAGAGTATAGCGGACAGGCGCGCGGGAAATGGTTGCGGAGCTAGGTTGAAATGCATCGAGGCGAGAAGGAGGAGGAGGAGGAGGTGGTGGTGGGATCTGGTCCGGTGGAGGAGGTTGGTTGGTTTGCTGAAAGCGACGCTCATATACATCGTCGCCAATGGGAATTGAAGGCGGAGCAGGGGGTTCATTGGGTGGAGGGGGTGGTACTGAGGTAATGTCGGGCATATCTGTATCGTTATTTTCGCGTTGGCTCATGCGTGCACGGCGAGAAAAGGCATCCTCGCCAGACGAGTCGGGTCCAGGCGCCGGAGGTGGGGATACATCGTTGAGGTTCGGCGGAGGAGCGAAGCTGCCTGGGGGTGCAAATTGGCCTAAATATAAATGGTGAGCTTTGTTTTCTACTTTGAGTTGCAGTGTTCCAGCAGGTTAAATGGTCCATACGGTTCATGGGCCGGTCATAGTCATCACTATCCGAGTCCCTACTGGGCGAGCGTCTCATCCGGTGTGCGTAAAGGCGGTCCTTCCATTCGCGAACTTCGAGGATCTTCTCATCACTATGTCGGTACTCTTCGTAGTTATTTGGCCGTGACGGGTCATAGATGTCGTCCCAGTTTTGTGGAATTTCGTGCGGCTCATGGTTCTTCTTGCGCTTCTTCCTTCCGCCGCGCTGTCGCTTCTCGCCCACATACCCGTAATCATCATCCTCGGCGGCCCAGTCAGCCAAAGTCGATTTTATAGGTGCCGAAGCAGAGGCAGGCGCAGAAGGTTGGCTTGCGTTGGGTTGGATGGCCTTGGGTAAAGCGGGTTTGGGTTTGGTCTTTTGCGCTGCAAGTTGTGGCCGCTTGGTAGGCTGGAATCGAAGAGAAGCTGTCGGAGGGTAACGAAGGTGAGTGACTTTTGCCTCAGTGAAGTGATTCAAAGAAATTCAGAAAAGTACCAGGATTGAGTTGCTGTTTCTTGGCAGCAGACTCATCGGATTGCGCGTCGTTCTCGCCTTGCTTGAAGACGACGGGAGCGCGAGAAATAGTTCCCGGGGTCGCAGAGGCGTCAGCATCAGGTCCTAGCAGGTTGGCATAGAGCGACATCATACCCCCACCCTTCGTGGAGGCATTATCTGGAGGCATGGTGACTTCGTCGTACGACTAGTCGTTGTTTAAGGTGCGGAGCTGGATGAGGTTCAAGTGATAGCAATAAGCGCGTGATTGGCTTTGGATCACCTAAGCAATCACTTTTTGGCCAATGAGGTTCTGCATAGATCTTGGGATTTGTAGATTATGCTTGTATTTTTTCTAAAGGAATCATTACTATACATGCTACTAGATAACAATGGCCTATGTTGAATCTACTAGGAATTGCTGGTGTTCGAAGTGTCTCAAGGTCGTTAACTCCATACTAGTATACTCCATTTCTCAAGTTGGAGTCGACGGATCTTCCGGAAAAATGTGCGAACGTTTTCCCATTAATCTTATCCGGTTCAAGTCATATAATTGGTCTAACTCTTTAGATTCCCCCTTTCTCCTCCTTTAATTCCTTCCCCACAATAACACCCATCATGTATACTCTCGCCCAAGTCCTTCGAACCCCAGCTTCCCCCCACGCTCGGCAACTATTCCTCCGCGCTCCGTCCAAAACAGTTCCGGTGTCTTCACCCCTCTACAGACCTGCCAATTCCTTCATTTCCAATTCTCTTCATCTACGCACCATGTCTTCCGCTCCCGCTAAGCACGAGTTCCTCTGCATCTTGCCGGACTTCCCCGGCGCCCAGGCAAAGCGCCTGGAGGTCCGCCCGTAAGACAAGTTTCTACCCCTCGTGATGTCCCGAGCAAAGAGTTAACCGTTTGTCCCAGTGCCCACCTGGAGGGTGTGAAGCCTTTGGTTGCTGCCGGTTCCATTGTCAGCGGTGGTATGTTTACTCCACTACGAATTCACCATTGCTTTATATGTGATTCTTTTCAGAATCTCCTCTCGGTTCCTCTTTTTGACTTGAACCGGTGGATTTGAAATTGAATTCAATTCGCATATGAACTTTTGACTGACCTGTCCTTCTCTCCTTCTTAACAGGTGCCATGTTTGAATCTCACCCTGCCGAGGGCGAGGTTCCCTCTTTCAAGGGCAGCATGATGCTCGCCGTGGCCGAGAACGAGGCTGCCGTGCGCGCTATTCTGGAGAATGATATCTACTCTCGCTCCGGCGTTTGGGACTTGGAGAAGGCCCAGATCATTCCCGTAAGTTGAAACTAACTTCTTTCCTTTTCTTTCTTTTGTGATACGCGTTGCTAATAAATTTCGTTCGTTATAGTTCAAGTCTGCTGTGCGCCAGCAGCTGTAAAGGGGAACAGTAGTACCAATAGAAACCAAAGTGCATTATATCATCAACTCCAAAAATTGAATTATGAGCTAGTCCTTCTTACCTCGTCCCTGTTGCAGTAGATATTCAATACTAATATCTCACATTAAAAAATGGGCCTAAAGACTCAAGACTTGCTTGATCATCTCCATGGCCCGGCACTTCAAATGTTGGACCTAGAAATGGGGGTCGAATCTTCTTCAATATCCTAATTGGCTGGAACATTGAGATGGTTCATTTGGTGTAAATACTCTTGATTCTTGATCTATCCTTGACTCAATGCAAGGCTTGACTATATAAGCTTAAAGTGGTGGTAATGGGCATAAATCAGTACCAACATTGAAGCCTCATCCATGGCTTATTTCCATGCTCAAGTTGTGCATCAGTTACTTTTTGTCATTTCTGTTTCCCGCTGACAGTGCTACTACTTCCAAGGGATCCTAGTAGCTTTGCTGCAAGTGTAAGATGGCATGAGAATGAAGTATAGAGTTTCTGGATGGACTTCACTGTATTTTGTCTTGACGTACTTTATCGTGGGGACCGAAAGAGGTGTATAGTATTAGATGCTTCAAGCAATTTTTTATTACATCAATTGACAAGTCGGGTTTGCTAAGTTTGCGAGGTCATACAATCTGTTATATACACAATCAGCGACGTACACTGAAATCAACAGTGAAATTTTCCAAGGTCACCTGGCTCCCATCTATTATTACCATGACCAACCTCTTGGAAGAAGGCCTGTCGCTTTCAAGAAGGAAAAAACATGCTCGATGCAGGAGGGCGAAATTTGAACTAACCCTGCTCACACAGGGTCGAATGCTTGATATAAAACGAAAACAACATGATAGTGACGGTCCGGTTCGCGGTCCCTAATTTAGTTTGCAACAAGAAAAGAAAATGAAAGGAGAAAAGAGGTATTTAACATCCCGGACAATTTCCCTTCGGATAGGAAGAGAAGAAATGATCGCCGAGCGTAAAAAACACAAATTCAGTATATGAAGGTCTCAAGAACCGGCGAACTCTATAGACCTGCAGTTCCTGTCAAACAACGTTTTCCCCCGTAGCGCCAAGGTAACAAATACACAACACACGCACACTCCCTAGAACGCGGCACGAAGATAGTGGATTATGGAAATCATTAGGCCTCCGTCACGAAAACATCCCTCCAATGTCAAAGTAAAAGAAGAAGAAAAAAGAAGCGAACATGTATCACAGTGGTATAGGTTGATACCGTGGCTGGGCACAACGGGATGCCGTGGAGCTCCGTACGGTCGAACAAAAATGGAGGGGTGGATCCGAGACGGAACGGGGTTCAAAGATCAACTCTGTAGCCCAAGTAGCCAGTTCCCCGGCTAACAAAAGGCGGGGGTATCGCAGACTTAGTATGCCTTGCGGTCTCCTAGGTTGCCGGGCTTCTCGTCGGTATCGATGTGCCAGACCACGTAGTTGGGCAGACCGACGACTTGGTAGCCGGCTCGCTTGGCCATCTTGGCAAAACCTTCGGTTTCAGCCTGGTTCTCAAAAGCGTATGAAGGGAAGTTAATGCCTAGAAAGTAGCAAGTTAGAAAACCAAATAGAAGAAGAAGAAGAGCTTCAGGATCAAGCCCAGGAGAACTTGGAGAATGTATAATAACATACCTGAGCGGTGGACATCGGCCTTGACGAGAATGTTCACGCCACCAATTCCGTCAAGCTCAACCTCCTCGTCCTTATCCTTGCGCCAGTCACCCATGCTGACCATGTAGGTGCGGCCAGTATCGTATTCCTTGTAACCTTCAGCCAAGACGGTATCCGGGTCAAGGGTTTGGCGCAAGCGACGGCCCTTGTCAGACTCAATCCAAGAGTTATAATCAACTGCAATGAGTCAGCAAAATTGTAAGATGTAGGTTAAACAAGATAAGAGTTGACTTACAGCGACCTTCAACGTCGCGACCATCGCGGTAACGGTGGAACCAAATGTCTGTTAAAAATCCAAGTCAGTCCAACCCGAACAATGAAGCTCATAAGTAAATCATGGGAAGAGGTCTCAGGGTAAACGTACTAGGCACAAGGATATCCTTGTCGTGAGCCATAAAGTCCTCCAGGATGCGCTCGGGGCAGTCCACAATATCCACATCACGCCAGTAAACCCACGAGTGATCGGCCTTGAGCGCAGAGTAGAGCAGGTAGTTGCGAGCGCGACCAATGGCCTTTCTGCGAGGACCCTGAGCGGCGAATCCGTGTCGCTCCTCCACGCTCATCTCGACGTCAGATCCAAAGTCCTTGCGGACAACGGTCGCGCTGCGGAAGCGGATTTTTTCATCGGCGTGGTTTTGGATACGGTCGAGTTCGGAAGCCAGGTTGGCCAGGGTGTCATCCTTGGTGTCACCGACCAAGAAAGCGAGATCGATCAGTTCGTGGGGGTAGGTCAACTTATATAGGAGATCGAAGTATTTCTCGAGGTAGGGGGCGGCGTCGCGGAGAGGGGTCAGGATGAGCACGCGCTCACGGTTGTGGTAGGCCTGGGTGGTAGAGTAGATGGGGTTCAAGTCTACTTCAGAGATGGAGGTGTTGTTCACTTCGTAAGGTTCGTGGTGGTTGAAGAGGACAGGAGTCTGGGCGTGAGCGTTCCACTCGACCATCTCGTTGATGGACATTTCCATGGGGGATTTAGACGAGCCATAGCAGTAGAAACTGGAGCGAGCTGGGTTAGTAGATGAAAAGAGACGAAATGTTTCACCAAGGAAGTGGGATTCTGCATACTTTTGCATCTCTGATGCGGACTTGCTGACGCCACGCCACAGCAGGAGAACCAGACCAGTAATGGCGATGGAGATCAAGAAACGAGTGCGTGTCAGGAGCACGAGGACAGCCCTCCATGGTGGTAACTGGGATCTGGCGGACTTCCAGTTGACTCCGCCCTTTGGCAACAACATTTTGGGTATGAGGGAGGAGGATGTGAAGAGGTGTTTTGGATGAGATTCTGTGACTTTCAGGAGCCGGAGCGGCGACGATCCCGGGGCGGGCCTTGGTTCGAGGCCCGTCGAATACCCCTTACGGACCGAACGAGTGAGGCCTCAGAGGACGCGCAAAAGGCCACAAAGGTCGGGCAAGATAGGAGTTGAGGCGTTAATGGAGTTGTGATTGCGGTGTTGACAGATAGGGAGGAGGAAAACGATGAGGACGGGATCGTCGGGGGGGAATTTGCCAAGCGGGAAAACGGGTACGGAGTAAAATCAGCCCTTAATGAAGAGAGTCAAGTTCAGCCACGATCTATACAATCTTGTGAAGTTTTATATTTTGTTTCTGGCTTATGGATAAATTATACTACACATTCAGTCTTCTATCTGTTGGTTGTCTCCTGGAGACACAGTATCTGTTCCTCTTTTTCCTTTTTTTTTTTTTTTTTTTTTTTTTGGGCTGTTTCGGTACGGGAGCAAAAAGACCCTGGTTATTTTTAGTATAGGAGATCGACGAGGATAAGACATCTTCATTGATGAAGAAGAACTTTCAATTCTTTAACTTAGGCTGTATTTGTGTGAAGATATAGATATTTTCTCTAATCTCTATTCAGCCCCTGAGGCTTCATCATCAATTGTGGCATTGCGTGTCCCTGACGTGCTGTGGTCTCGACCGGGTGTGGCGTTATAGCCCCTAAATAGCACAAACTGCAGGGATGTTTGGAGGCAGTAAAAGCTCAATTGATGGGGAGTAAGAGAAAAAGAGATTCAAGTAAATAGAAAATATCAATGAAGAAACTCCTGTGAAAGATAGTTTATATCTAAGACATGGGGTATCTCCGCATTTGCTGGATAAAATGGAGATTCATGATTCTTCCATAGTTCTAGAACTAAAATGCTTGTATTTAGGATGGGGTCAATTTTCACCATATCAAGGTCATTTTCAAAGTACGCAAAATGATTTTCCATGTCTGTTCTGACATTTGTACACGGAGTATTATGTTTTGAATTCTCTTATTTTTCTCCGATGCTTTCTGGTCCACATAATCGTTGCCTTCAACCCCACTCAAAAGGCCCAGACTCCACCAGGCACAAAGCATTGTGTACGTAGACAAGGGCAAAAGAAGGCAATCCTAACCAAACCCCATTGATAAACCCAATATTACTTTTTAAAAGGAAAAAAGTCTCAGATAAAGTCCCAAACAGAAATAAGATATGTTCCATAATGCAATAATTCCCAAGGTCGTGGCGGCCGAGTATTATAATTTGTGATGAGTCTATGGCCTACTATATTAAGAACAAGTTCTCGATTCAACAGGCTTCGTGGCTAGATCCATGGATCCGATCTGCGATTCGAACTGAGGATGCCTCGTATACACATCACTGTCATAGGTAGGTACATAGGTAGGTACAACATTACATAGCCCTGCATTTGCAAACGGCAGTTTGTACCACTGGATGATGCCACGTTATACATACCCGGGACGCATCTGGGGATGTATCATGTAGTGCTACTTCACGAGTCATGCGGGCGAAGTACCTACAGAGATATACGAGGAAGAAAACAAAACACACAATTATGTTTAAAAGGATGATTGTAAGTACTGTCATATATTGACTTGACATTATGAACAAAGAAAGTAGACAAATAAACAAAAGGAAAAGAAAAATCCAACCCATTCATATACACCATATCGTACCAGCCGCTGCCAAAAAAAAAAAAAAACAAAAGAAAAGAAGAAAAAGAAAATAACCAGAAGAAAAAAGAAATAAACAAAAGAAACGAAAAGTAAATAATATGCCACCCGTTTTTGAAAGTTTTGAGAGCGAGCCAACGAAAAATAGACAGAAGAAATGAAAATATAAACACCGAGCGGGAAACTTCCACGTCTTCCAAAGAGGCAAACCTAATGTTACAGTAGTGCAGAGTCCAGACACGCTAAGAAGCACAATCGCAATGTGGCGGGATGAGGACGGCAAGAAATTGAAAGCCAATTGTCCTCGAACCCAAAAAATGACGCAGGGGGAGAGACGACGCCGCTGCCTGCAAGGGGGTGCGGGGAACTTAAAAGGGGAAATCATCAACACATCAGGATCGAGAGAACCACGCAGAATGAGGTCTGCACTTTCTTATGGCGACGGAATCAGCGAGTGGCGTCGGGAAGAAGGGTAGTTGAAAGAGGCGGGCTGCGAAGAGAGGAAAGCTGGTGATGAGGGACCTGTAACAGGGGGTGTTGATGTGAGGTATGATGTGCTGAAGGTTTGAGAAGTAGCACTCGGCATGGGATCATGGTAGATAGGAGTTTCGGGGCCCATGTTGATGTTTTGGCCGATCTCATCACAGAAGACACGTAGACCCGGTAGGCCAGCTTTCTTCTGGCGCTTGTGCTCAGGAACCTCGACTAGTGGTCGGGGACTTGTGCTCTCGGGCTTTGGGGAGCGGAACATGGCATCGTAGGACTTCAACTGGAACTCGAGGTGACGGTTGCGTTCCGCCAGCATCTCGTTCTCTGCCTTAGCGGTGCGGAGCTGTTGCTGGGTGGTCTGGTTCTGTTGCTGGAGGGATGTAACTAGCTGTTGCAGCTGCATGCAGCGGACTTGGGGCTGCAGCTTCTCAGAAAGCTGGGGGGTGACCTGCTCTTGTCGGATCAGGTGGACAATAATAGCAAGCATGAAGTCAACAAGGTAGACGGCGCCCTGGACGATATGCTCCTTGGATTGGATCAGGCTCTTAGATGGGTTCCAGCCGGCGCGCTCCAAGAAGAAGTCATGAATTCGGCTGTCCAGCTCACGGTGCAGCTGGCTGAGGTTCTTTCGGCGGTTGCCCTCGGCAATGCGGTGCTTTTCCCGCTGATCATCGGGATCAGGGGAGTCGGAGCTGCCCTTGCGTTTACGGCCGCACAGCTGCTGGAGAGGCTGCTTACGGTTGATGTTCTTGGGAGCAATCAATGCCATAATCTCAGTGGGAGAGAGATCATTGGGCCACTCGGTCGAGGCAGCCTTCTGGGCTGTGAAAGACTCTTGCCAAGAGCTCTCAGCAGAGTTGGCTGGCGAGGGAGGAGCCACGATGGGCTCACTACCAGACCATGATGACTTGAACTGGAAGGAGTCTTGTGGGCCCGGGGTACTGGGAGGGAAAGCCTCCTTGACATGGAAAGGGTTCAGGTGGAAAGGTCCGCGGGGCAATGGATCCACGCGGGGGAGAGGAGGCAGGCGGCGGTCCTCGCCCAAGTCAGAGCCACTCATACCGAGAGTGGAGGATTTCAAAATGCTGATTACCCCAATTAGAATGAGATGTAGATTCACACGGGCCATAGGCACTCACGGAAGCGAGCAGCGTCGCTGAATATCATCAGTCATAGAACCCATTTCCTCATACATCATGGTGAATCGTTGATATGTTTAAATGGGTGATATGTGCAGAAGCGAAGGTCGACTTAGGTCGTTTCAATGTAGCAAGCTGTGTATACTCAAAAATACCAAAATAGATCTTTGGTACTGATGTCCTTCCCTTGAAAAAACACACAAGAGATATTCACACGGTCGAGGATAGTATAATCGAATGGAGCAGGTGGCGGCAAAACACAGTGGGAACGATGTATATGCAAGACAAAGTGGAGACGAAACAAAGCACGTATAGACGATGATGGCGAGGGGATAAAGATCCACACGAGGCGATGATAATGAGTGAGACAATTCAACCCAGGGATACGGGGGCTGGGCTCATGGTTTATATGTCGAGGACCAGAACGATAGAACGAGAGGAACCAGTACTTTTGACTCGAGTTCCATCTCACATCGATATTTTGTGAGGTCCGGGCTTCGTACCTCTCCGGATCCAGGGAGGGGGGAAACGATGAACGATCCAGAGCCGATCATCGAGAGACCCAAGCGCAGCGCGGAAGCCGGATGTCATACAGACAGATACTGTGCATGGTGCATGGTCGACCCACGGGGAAACGAGCCTCGCATCCCGGGTGGGCTCTGGGCCATTAGGAAGACCCGCCCCGGAAAGAACGATAGAGGGGAAGGGTGAGATGTCGATTATCTGTCACATCTTGCACGGAGGAACATCGTCGTCAAGAAATATCAGATGAACGAATGAGGTTCCCACGATTTCGCCCCGAGTGGAAGGTTCACCGCGTTGATCCATGGCCCTTGATTTGTCACCAGACTGGTGGTATCAAGATCGACACGGGGAAGACAGTGCGGCGCTGCCCTTACATCAATAGTCACCAATTAATGACATTATCCTAAGCGTTCTCCGTGCATGGTTAGCCTGGGAACGGTTTAAACCCTTTTCCAAGGCATTGGATTCGAATAATCTTCCGAAAGGGCCCCATGTGGATGTAACTATTTACAGAATGCTATGTAATAGAGCAAAAAAAGAAAAGAAAGAGCAAAGAAAGAACCCTGGAAAAATAAAATAAAAATAAAATAAAAGCAGATATAACAAAAAGACGATCCACCAGATCTCAAGCTAGGAAATCGACCAACAAAAAACCCAGGAAATATTCAGGAAAACGAATCCCGGACAAGCGTCTCCACAATCACCTAGTGTTTTTCTTTTCTTTTCTTTACTTGCATATTCCAGATCAATTTCTGTCCACCCGCTAAGATTTGGATGCATCCATGAAACGCCCATTGTAAGATGCTATGCAAAGTTCACTTTCTAAATGTTCGATCGCATGCGTCGATATTCAGGAGAACCTACCCGTGTCAGGAAGATCAAGATTCAAGGGGTAAAACTCATCTCCTTCAGGATATCTCCTCAACCACTAATTAAAGCCACCCTAGAGAAATAGATGCAAGCAAGGACCCCAGAGATTCCATGGTGTGACATGCGAGGAGGCTCGTGATTAGACTAAAGGAGGTGCAATTTACTAACCATGCCATGGTAAACTATGGACTAGAAGAACTATAGCTTTGTCTAATATGAAAATACGAACAATCCGCCATTTCAATGAGGAATTGGATGTACAGATCAAAAGATGTCATCGTCTAGAACGTCATAGACAGTTGAGGTGGTACTACATCAGCTCTTAATTATAATTAGGGTCAATTTGGTTATAGGCGAATCACAATCCTAGAGGCAATGGAATCCATCCAGAAACGAAAGATCGCTCGAGGAAAACCACCGAGTTGGGACAGCCCCAAGACCCAGCGACCGGGATACGTTGCCTGTCAGTCATCGAATCAGAAGCTACCGATTGATTTGGAATTGAAAAAGTTCACAAACTAAGTGTTGGCGTCGTTAGTTTCTAGGCGAAGGCGAGTCAAAGCGCAATACATTTCAACGGGGGTCAAGCCCTAAGTGTAACAGTTGCACGTTCCTTTTTCTAATTAACCAAGGATCAAAAGGGATGAAAATGATGGAAAAATAGATTTGCCCCACCGATGATCCCTTTAAACAAAATTCGAATTGATCAAATGCCTCGAAAGTTCCTAATGTTAAGTTCGCTAAAGCGGGTGGGTCTGAACTCTTTAGTAGATCAGAGCTGTCATATTTCCCTTTCCTTCCCAACCTCCCCATGACGATCTGAGACACTAGTCTCTCTTCCACGTTCCTAATTTTGGTCCCTGGGATTGTAGAAAACATGGAGAATCATTCCAGAATCTCAACGGGAGACTGTCATCTTAAAAAAAAAGAAAAAGGAAAAGTCACCGGGGAAGCCAAGTCAGAATTATAAAACCCAAGTATAGATAGGGCTGTCATTACTACTGTTAATTTAATTTTTTGCCTTTCTCTTTAGCTTCCTCTTCCCCTCTTCTACATCCTTTTACTCAAGCCTTCACCTTGGAACACGACCCATCCGACTAAACCAATTTTTTCAACACCTGCATACGGCATGCTTGGAAAAGGCCCCCGCGCCTGCGCCTAGCACAAGTGTGCAGGCAGCACGCAGCTGCGGCTGGAGTCTACTGGAGAGAATTGACTCCCAGGCACGAACCATTTAAGATCCCAAACTCTGGACCTTCCGGGACTTCCCCGGACCCATCTCTTCCAAGGATCTTCGGAACTTTGCCCTCTCCCTACTTGCCGTTTCGAGTGACCTGCAGATAACTTCGCCTCCGGTACTTTACTCCAGATAAATCGAGCCCTATTGATTGACCGGGCTTTGAGTTTTTGACGATCAAAGTTCGGAGATCAGAGATCGGAGGCCCGAACCTGATCCCTGGGTTTCTAATCTCAATTGCCTCCTGCTTCTGAATTCTGATACAGATGTGCTTCAAATAAGCATCCCGGTTTTGTGCGACTCTGTTTGGTTGGATTTTGTCGGTTTCTCAAACCGCCTCTGCATTACGCATTACGCATTACGCATTACACGAAACCGAACGGGCTTATCCGCTGCGGCTCCCAGGTACAAGGGCTAACCCTGTTCCCACTAGGTTTCCGCCTCCACGCTCCTTCTGGTGAATGACGGACCAATCAATTGGCTCAGGTGCCCTTTTTTCGCTATGCCAACTTATTCCCAATAGCGGCCAGTAGTTGACACATCCGAGACCCGCCCTCGACCTGTCAGGTTTCAACTGTCATGGCGGATGACACGGGTGGGGACATTATAACGACAGGTGAGAATTTTTCTTTCATAGTGTTACACCCGAATGCACGAAAATATCAAAATGCGTTGTTCATTTGAGATCTCTGGCTGCTGCGTTGTTGTTCTTTTGGATCTCCACCCCACATGGGGCTAGATCGACCCAGAGGTGGGTTGCAAAAGTACCTGTTCATGCGCCTCTACTGCACCACTGCAAGATCAAATGCGTTCGTTTGCATGGATCTACCACAGTAGATACTTTTACTACAGCAGGCTACTGTACTAGAAGCCCACTTCTACCTTCCCTCACTGTCCACGCTACACAATGAACGATCAATTACGTGTTATGAGATCGATTTCTTCAGTCCGAGATCGATCTACCTTTGTTGTTTCTTGAAAATCCTTTTTTTTGCTTCCTCTTTTTCTCGGGATTTGCTGTTTGCCCCCCATTGACTGCAACCTTGGTCCGTGAATACAGGCTACAGCATACTAATTTCGCCCCGCTGCAGGACAATACACATTTATCCCAGTTTAGTGGCAAGCACGTACTCTGCTCTATACGGTATACTCGTGCCAGTATGAAAGAACGCATGGGTCCTACCCAGGGGGCATGCATTACCAATCATTTCAACATTCAACAAAGTTATTACTATCAACACTTCAAGTTGTTACAACCCCTATAACACAAATCTCAGCAAGCCACTATCAATGATTTGATGATCTCGAATAATTGTACTTTTGTCACAACACATAATATCAAATTAGGTGATTTCAGCAAGGGCAAAAAGGACCATGAGTAAGCACTATTTGGAACGTCATCGATTGCGGATCATTGAAGCCAAATGACACATTCCGAAATCTACAAAGTACCATGCGTTTGTTTCCGAAAGAAGAACATGCTGGTTGCACAGGCTTCCTGTGGGCTTCCCGGGACATGCAACCTGCATCTTTCCAAGGTTTCAAGATGATAATCCCCGAGTGGCCACCTGTATCTGTAGTCTAGCCGAGGCCAAGCTGCAAGGACGACAGGTACCATACAGAAATCTAGCAACGATAGTCTAGATGCAAAAGAAATGTAATAACTTAGGGGGAGAAAAGAAAAAAAAAATGGCTGATTCCTATTCTGGGCTCAACTACAAAAAACTCAAATTCGCCGCATCTGACACGTATCGTATTTCACACTTCCCCGAGATACTCCTGCACAATCCCCATAGCCCGTGGAGTTTGTCCTCGATCGAACCTTTGACCCAGAGCCCAGGAGACTTGGAAGATTTGGGTTCATAGCTTGCATTCCACGATCGATGTATGCTCGATTGTGCGCTCAGGGACTCATGAATCCCCGTTTCCTGGTTATCAAATTACCTCCAATGCAAGGTGGACGTAAATCCCGTGGAGTAGACTGGATCATGTATTCAGGTACCCTTTTTTCTCTCGTATCAATCGATGCAATAGAAATATCTACTATATGATTGAATGCAGAACAGGGTGGAGGCGGAGTACGCAGAGGGTCACACTATCTGTATCCCTTGCCACCTATTATTTCCCCATTACCCATTTCCCACGGTTCATATCACGCACATCTCGCTCTCCACGAGAATGCCAACGCATACATACAGATTGGCCTTTTGTTCGATCCACATGTGGTGGCTTCCCTCGTACCTGTAAGCTGTACACTCTTTACCTGTGCTTTGCGGAACAAGTCACAGACCTACTGCTAGACACCCGATACAGACACCGGATCCATTGTCTTTCACCTCTTTGGACCCATAGATCGCGAAGATTCACTCACAATGGCAATACCCACTCTAAACATCGCCCATCTAGATCCTCGTTCCATGGATCCCTCAAGAATCAGTTCAAGATCCACCTTGGCACGCGCCTTACCACAAAGCAAATCCCGATACACTTCGCTAGACACTTGCCCCCTCAACTCGTTTAGATTGAGGGGCGCTTACAGAGTTGAACCTAATCAGGATCTCCCTCTCGGCCTTGTTCGGTTCCACCAGTGGCTTGTGTCAAGTCCATCAAAGTTTAATTGGGTCCAAGAGACAGGGCTTGGTGGCCGGAGTCGATCATGATCATCTCTGGGGGGATATGGCTCATCACAGGAATTGAGAATCAATCGCGACGGTACACCGTATATCCCAGTGTTCAAGATCTAGCCTTTCAAGAAAGACACCGCTTGGAACTAATCGGGACCCCGTTTCTCACTTGTGCCGGGAAAAAAAGACTTAACCATGTGGACCGGATAGGACAGATCCACCGCCCTAACCTCGACCTGTCCGTCACTCCTTACCATGTCAGGTCACTTACATGAAAGCTTTTAGGCGTGCAGCCACGGTCCAAAGCCACATACGTGGATATTATATGTATGATACTCGGAGTGGACGGAGGGGCGGGGAATGGAGGATCGGGATCAATGCACACGGAGTATAGCAGTGGGAAATCCCGCCGCTCCACACGTCCAACAAAATGGAGCCCACTGCTCGATTTTCCTTGATTTTGGTCCCGTTCCTGCTTTTCGAGTATGCAAGATAAGGTCATTTTGGCGATGAAACCGATCATGGTTCTTTTGCCAGGAACTACTGTGTGCTGGGGGGAAATTTTGTTCCTCGGTTTCTTGTCGTGTGGTTAACTTCCCCTCTATTTTGCCCCCACTGCCCCAGCCACCAACACTAACAAGAGCACTAACCAGCAGATTCGACGCTTAACAGTAGATCAGCACAGAATTGAATCATCGCTAATAATCCATCCAATCGGAACAACTACTAAAATCCCAACCACACGGTATCTACAAGCGGGAAATAAAGAAAAAGAAAAGAAAAATAGAAAGAAAAAGAACAAATATTTCCCGTGCAGAACACTGTGGAAACAATGGAAGCCCCATTCCCCAACCCCAGTCTCAACTTCAACCCCAAAATCATTTCAATTCCCTATACTTCGTACGGGGAATTTGCAGCCCTCGCCAGCCCCCCAACAGCCTCCCGAATTTCCACCTTAAACTATCCCCACTAACCGTATGCACATCGTAAGCTCAACCCCCAAATCTGACTCTCGAATCGGATGGCGGGAATCGGGATGGCGTCCTAACATCCCGCGGTGGATTCGACACATCCACTCCACTGTTCGTGTACGGAGTACTCCGTACTGCATGACTGACACACTTGAGACGCACATGGACGGCAACGAGACGAGATCCCGATATGAGAGATCCCTCGGCTATGTTTGCGGAGAATTTGCACGTCTGTCTAGACCCGTTCTTATAAAAAATAAAAATAAACAGTCTACAGTTGTGGCTGGGTTGTCGCGCATGCCCAGTTGGTAAAGAACGGATGTGTGTTTTCAAGGTTTTACTAAGTGCAGTCGCTAGGCTCAACGCGGTTTCTAATGCATCAATGGGTCCTTGGTTCTTCAAGGGTTCCACGTTTGGTTTTCTTTCACTTTCCCTTCTGGGCAAAGTGTATATGTGCACTACATCGGCCATGTGTAAATGATCTCCGATCTGCCATTACCCGATTCTGTAGTTGGATCATATTACAGAGTTTCCCGCTTATACAATTTGTATCTAGCTTGCTGCTGGGAGATCCTACCTAGGTAGGTATTCAGATCCAATTCCCACTTGGGTACTTGGTGCCATGTAGCTAGCATCTAGCGCTAACTGGAGGATCTGTGATACTTTTTTTTCAGATCCCGGTTTTGATATTTTTCAAAGTTGACGCTGTCGAGTTTCTCACCGCTGGATGTGCATGCGATGACGATGTACTATCTAGAATGTATCACTTCTAGTTGGGCCTGGATCTCTTTTGGGGCCTTTTGTTTTATTAACGAGGTGTGGGATACATACTAAGTACAAGGAAGAGAGGGGAAAGAAAGCCCCAATGGCGATCGTTTGAATTCTCAGGTTTTGTCAGGGTCAACTGGAGAGAACCTACATTCTTTTTTTTCTCTTTCAATGTTGACTCTTACGCGCTACTATTTCTGTTTTGTTTTGTTTTGGCTCGGGGCTTTTTCTAATCTTGAAACAAAGCGCAGTACATTGCATCATGCGTAGGTACTGCCCAGGCGTGCTTAATATAAATATTTGGAATGCTATGGATCTAGTTCGATTTTCAGTTCAATGCTCACTCCATCCGCCCAAGTGTTGCCCAAGTGGGCGTTCAATATTTGGAGGGTTTCGTGGATATACATGTTTACGCATAGTACTTTGGATTTTCTGGGTAGGTCATATTGGATATCTCAAAAAAAAAAAAAAAAAGTAAGATGAAAATCTAGAAATGGACTCTAGCAGAAGAACCGAATCTGGAATTTGATCATTGAACCGAGGAATGCATTTCCTGGTATTCGGTCGTGTCGAGCGATCCCAAGCTTGCATATGTGGAAGTGCTGAGCACATTAGCCTGGAGGTAGTATATGCATGCACATGTGTGGTATGTGCTAACATCTGGAACAGGCACCTGGTTCCAAACACATGTTCAAATCAATGTCTGAAGTTTGCATCTGTACTTCAGGGCTGTAGGTAGACCTCCAGCGGGAACTATCAAAAGGTTCCAAAGATAAATGTTATAAGCCTATTCCTATTCCTTGGAATATTGCATACATAGTATGTATGGATCTATGGATGTAAAACATTGAATTTGAATACATGTATGGCACCCGGAACATTTGAACTTCCAACAACCTTGAAAGAATATCAAATTTATTCATAACATTCAAATGAATGTACTTCGTGTAGACTTGGTTGTAAGTACCAAGTTCTGGACTTCGGGATGCACAGTAATCAAACAAATGTTGAACATTTGAATGGGTGTTCATTGGATTTTCGTGCGCTCGTCGACCACCCCGGTGCCTGAATCAATCAGATGGATCTTCAAAGCTCAGGTGTTCAACTCAACAATTACAAAGTCAAACCTTGGAATGAATGATCAAATGAACTTCGAGTTTTCAAATCTTGGAAAACACTGATATATATTTTCATTACGTAGTGTAGTACCTACAGTTGACTGTTGGGATGATATTTCACTTGAAGTCCTCAAGTGCTGGACCTCGGGACATCTGGAGGTTCATTGATCTGAGATTGCTTATTCTAGCCCAAGCTTGAGTGTTTCTCAGCTCCATCATTTGAGGGCATTTAATGTATCAATTTCTAGGGTTTCAGATGAGATTAGGCCTGCTTGAGACCTGGGTAGGTGTAGTTGAAGCAGATTACATATTTACTATGTACGTACATGTAAACATGTGCGTTATGTACATACATTTTGCATGGGTGATTCTACTATCCATGTACCTGAACATGAAAAAGCAACCTTGGAATTGAAGCATCACTCGAGTGAGATAAGCAGTGAGATGCTCTAAATCAAGATACAAATCACACCTGCGCAGATATACAGATTTCGGGAGGAACAAATTCAATGTTTCAAATTTCAAACTTGGAAACAGCACTTGAGTGAAGGGATTTCCAACATTGAACATTGAGGTCGCCCCGTAACCTCAGGTAGCTCCAAGCTTTCAACGTTCAAATGTTACAAGGTTGAAGGGGCTCAAGATTTTGGTTCGAGAACTACTGCAAAAGATCTTTCAAGTGGATACTAGTTGGTACGCATGGGCACAAATTAAATGATTATTGGGCCGAGGATTGAGACAATCAAGGGATGTCCAATTGCATTCCAGAAGGTTGGAGTACATACTATACTATACTAATGCTTACTTTGAAGGTGAAAAGTTGGCATGTCTACAGGACCAGCTTCAAAGACGTATACAACGAAAGGTTACAGAAAGCAACCGAATACATTAAAGTACGGACAGCGATCTAGTATAAAACATATTGGGGCAATGAAACAGCGCAAGGGGTAATAAAAAGGTAAACTCCATTCCGATGAACGGCGCGAGGTGGTTGTCTTCCGAGGACAGAATCCAAATTGCGAATTTTCCTCATCAAGACGGAATTATTATCATGAGAACAACAATGTAAGGCGAAAAACAAAACCGTTGCTTGTAACTTCTGCATCTACAATCTCTCTCCAAAAACATATCTCTCCATCATTCCAAAGTCTCATACTTAGATGAGCTGAGCAAGGGCGTAGAAGACAGCGGCGACACCGGCAACGGGCATGGCGACACCGTTGGCAATGGCAGCACCGGAGCTGGTGGCAGTGGAGGTAGAGGTGGAGGAGGACTCGGTGCCGGACTCACCAGTGGAGGTGGTGGGGTCGGGGTCGGTAGCGTCGCAAGTCCACTTACCCTTGACAATGTCGGTAGCCTCGTAGGCGGCCTTCAACTTGGGGCAAGAGAAGGTACCGTTGGTGGACTCCAAGAGGAAAGCACCGGCAACACGCTCAAGGGAACCGAACTCAACCTCGTAGAAGTTACCGGTGAAGTCAATGGCACCAGCAACGGTCTCAAGGTCGGGAAGATCGATGACCTGGAGGTCGTCGTTGCGGGTAATGGTGAAACCACCGGAGACGGTCTTCAGGATGGGCATGCTGATGTTGGAAAGCTTGGAGTTGTCGGTGAAGACAAGGTCACCAGTGGTGGTGAGAGCAGGGGCGGAGAAAGTGGCGAAATCAGTGCCCCAGAATCCGAGCTGACCGGTCAGGGTCTCCAGGGAGGGGATAGAGATGCTGCTGATGTTACGGAAAGTCATGGAGGTACCAGTGCCAAGGTTGGCAAGGTCAACCTCGAGGGTGTCGAGGTTACCGGCGAAGCTGATAAGACCAGTGGCGTTCTGGAGGTTGCTGATGTTGACAGTCTTGAGGCCAGTGTTGTCCTCAATCTGGAACTGACCAACGGTCTTCAGGGAGATACCGTCCAGGGTGGTCAAGGCGGTGTTCAAGATGTTAAGATCACCGACCTCGGTAACACCGGCAGCGAAGTCCAGAGAGTACAGAGCGGGGAGTGCCTGCCAGGCGATGCTGCCAATGCTGGTGAGCTCAGCGAAGCTCAGCTCGCTGAGGGTGGTGAGACCATCCAGGGTGAAGTTACCACCAATGGAGGTGAGGGAGGCACCAGTGATGCTGGTGAGGTTGGAGGCGTCAGTGCAAGTGAGGGTACCGGTGATCTTCTTGATGCTACCCAGGTCAAGGGACTGGGAGTAGGACTCGGAGATGGTCACATCACCGCTGACAGTGGTGCAGTCAGCGGAGAGGGTGTCGGCATCAGTCTGGCTGGAGATGGTGGTGTCACCGCAAGCTATCACAGATTATCAGCAGGTGCCTCGATTTTTCCTTAGCCATTTTTGCATCTCAATCGGGATTTGACTCACAGGTGGAGGCAAAAGCAGCCTGGGTCACCGCAAGGGCGGGGAGAATGTACTTGGTGAAGGACATTGTGGAGGAACTCTGTGAAAAAAACGCGACCGTGTTAGAGAGGTTGTGGTTCTTGTTTTGCGTTGTCACTCAGGGGAAGACAACTTTGGAGAATAAATGTCAACATACCAGAGGATGAAGAAATTAATAAAATAGAAGGGGTTAACGAGTGGAAGAAAGGCCTCAAACGAAAGAGAGGCGATTGGAGAAAGAGCTGCACAAGGAAAGAACGAATGGACGGGTTTGGGGGGAAGAAGAAGAATAAGAAGTTTGGGGGAAAAAGAGGAAAGGAGGCGTACGTCCGAAGTGGAGATTTGTTATGTACCGCACACATACATAAATACAATACCTCCCCCCTACATTAGTTATAGTACAACACAGTACCGCATCCGGCGCACAATCCTGCTTTTTCTAATGACCCGCCGTTTTAGTGCTGTTTCCGTACCACTTTGGCACCAATCAGCTATTCCTTCCACTGCAAAGCCCCCCTTTCTCCTGGTGGATCTTGTTTTTTTTTTCCCTACACGTGTATTTGAGTTCAATCCATGGCTATGAACAATGAGAATCAAGACTGGACTGGAAACAGAATTGAATTGAATTGAAATCAACTTGGAAGACTTGTATAGTAAGTTCCAAAAAAAAAAACAAAGCGAGATTTATAGTCACTAATAGTAGGCCATTGCTATATCCATGACATTTATGCTAAAGTGATGATGCTATCGCGAGTAGGTTCTGTTGATGATTCGTACATGTTGGACGTGCTTTAGTGCCAAAGTTGCCACTCTGCATTACTTTGTACATGAACAGTCAACTGGTTGTACGACCAATAATACCACGTCTGGCAAAAGCAAAATAGCCATACTAAAATTCAAAAGCAACTCTATATCCATGGAAATCAAAACCATCCGCTGATGATAGGTTGATTACCTAGTAGATGCAACTTCTATATGTCTCTTTTGCTTACTGCTTCGTATCAGTTCTTTCTCTCTTTCTCTTGTCTCTCTATATCAAAATTTGATGTCCTTCATACCCCCCAAATTTGACCTGGTATCATCCAATACCAATTTTATTTTACTCAGTCTAATTTACTATAATTCCCACCCCGATCTCTTAAAACAGTTTAGTGAAATGGCCCCATCCCATATCTATCAGAAAAGCAGTCGTCATCGCACCAAAAGCTCGCCAAACCCCCTGATCTACGACATGTTCCCCCCCCCCATATGTACTCAACTTGACTCACGAGTCAAGGTGACGAAAGTGATTCATGATCCATGACCCTTTTACGGATCAAGATTGTATTTTCCTGACCCCATCCGGACCTATCGTTCAATCATGAGATGGGTTTTGCGCGTGGATGGTCGATCTAAATTTGCAGGAATTCAAGCCTTGACAGACCCGCCACGTCCCCCCCCGTTATCGTCGATGGCCCCGGTATGTGATGGACTCTGATTGGCACGCTGGAATGATTCACCCTGGATTAACACTGCGTTCCGTAATTGTACAAATTTTTATTTTATTTTGTTTTATCTGCGGCATTCGTTTGTTTTATTTTTTCTATTTTTTTTTTCTATTTTTTCCCCTTTTATTCTCGTTTTCGCGAATCAAAAGGCCGGGCTCGACTTTTTATGATTGCGGAGATATTAACCAGCCGATAATAATCCCCTGAGCAACAAGCACAACCCCCTGCACCGAAGCTTTACTATGAATATGGAGTAATATAGATTGCGATCGTCCAACCTGTCTATCGGAAAGCAGATTTTTCTGACTCTTGACATTTCAAGATTCTGATTGACTTGACCCGGTTAATCATTCAAGACCTAGCAAACTGAAGGCTGTGTATATACCGTAAGGGATTGATCGGATCAATTGATGTTGGTATTCTCCAGTTGTTGAATTCGGAAATGAAAACCTCAATTTTTTGCCACTACATATTATTGACTGAGCTCAGATAGATCCGCACGGAGCTTCTGTAGCTGGAACACTTACGACGATCGCACGCCTAGAGCTTAATAGGCTCTCGGGATCGGTCTCTGTAAAGAAAAGTTGTTATGCTAAGGATTTCTTCAGGTCATTTGATATCAATATAGAAGTATCTATAGAACAACATTTAACTAGTTCCAAGACCCCGCCAAGTCAATTGTCCAAAAATAAACACTTGACATGATCCAATCCAGAAGAAAATAATCAAAATCAAAAGCCAAAAAAGCCCGTGGTAACATCGTGCATTTCAATATTACCGTCACGCAGCCGTCACAACGGTAAAGTACGTGTAAAAATTGTTTCAGATCGCTGGGACCACACCTTGGCCAACTTTCTCTCCTGGAAAAAAAAAAAGAGTCCATCAAACTCCACTTTGACAACCATTAAGTTGCCAACTCCACTTATCAGCATCGCTTGTCCAAACTTGGTTGTTCAGATATCGATTTGAAGAGTTTTTCTTCTATTCGTGTATAACAGTCCCCCCTGGCCGCGTTGTCCTGCAGTGCTAGTGGCAATCCCAACTTATTCCTTGTTTACCTCTCGATGTTTACACACGTTGGGCATACTCGCAACTTCCACAACGTACATCCTAATCAGTAATTAGTCCGGGGGGGAAACCAAAAAAAAGAAAAAAGAAAAAAGACTTTAAAATCAAAACCCGGCAACGCCACAAATCGGTGGATACCGCGCGGCCTTAAGGACTAGACTCCTCGAACTTGGATTGTATGGAGTAAAGTAAAGCTCTTGTTGAATACACAAGAAATTTGCGGTCGGCTATCGTGGCAATTGCTTCTGATTTCACATTCCATTCAGCCTGACAGGAGCTGTTTCTTTTTTTGTTCCTGGAATGCGTGGCACAGCCGGCAGTACGCGCAGCCAAACCCCGGCGAGAAATGTTAAGGAGAGGGGGAGGCTGGGGTTAACATTCTTCGGCCCATGAGATCGGAGTAGACCACAGGGCTTTCGAAGAATTGAGCATGTTCTTCTGGGGTTGGGCAAATTGAGAATGGAGACGTCTTTAACTCGGTTTTGGTTTAGAGTGATGAGAGTGACACCGTAACGGGGGCGATCCGAAGCTTGCTTGCTTCCTTTCTCTATCTGTCCTGTTATACGAAAATCCACGCCCGAAAGGACCCTTTTATCAACCTTGCTAGTACGGAGTCCGAAGTACTTATTTCCAAGTCAGCCTTCGGTCGCACCGAACAGGGATTGATAATCTTGTTTTGACCTTGGGAACACCACAATCCCATCAAGCATCTGCTTGGCCAGATTTCCAATTGTTGATACTGGTTGGAGGATCGGTTATGTCCAAGGTTGAAGGACTTGGAAGATTGGATTCTACAGTATTTTATTTTCTCCAATCCCCACTTCTACTATCTTCAGATAGATCAGATATTTTTTGGTTTCATTTTATCTTTTGCCGGAGTTTCTTCTAAGAAGCCCAAAGTACCGGGGATCCAACTTCCATTACGGAGTACGCTCTAGGGCTGACGCAAGCCCCTAAACCCCGTGACTCGGGACTCACTAAGAATACACATCAAAAGCCACCATACCAGTCATGCTAGTTTAATCAGTTGGCCTATTTACGGTTCGTAATAGGTGAAGGTTTTTCAAGTGCAATTGCCCAAAATAGTTATTTCAGTACCTGTTTCTTGGGCCTTTCTTTTATGTAACGAACCGTGGATCTACTTGAATCTCGCTTGTTCCTTGACTTTGTTCCTTGGAACAAGTGCGGAGCGGAGTAGGTTTGACCCAATTGTATGACTTTGCTACATACAATATTTTTTTTCTCAATAGCTACATGTATCCATGGATTTAAAAATACTTGTTCCCGCCAATCAGGGCAGGCTTATTTTGCTTCTTTATACTTACAAGGTTTGGGGGATTTCGAATAACGGTCGTCTGGACTGGCTGATCCCATTGGATAGCCCATTAGCTTTGCCGAACTACCAAACTTGGCGTATTTCACGATCCATTCCCCGAAGTCTCTGCGTGCATACTATTCCCTATATTGGATATAAAATGAATCATCACCTACATCCAACTTCTACTAAGCATCGAAGTGTACCAGGGCCCTACTAAGGGTAGTTTGGGACTTTGGATAATCGAAAAGGACATTATGGGCTTCTAGGAGATAAAACATTATGTCCCCCTTCACTCCTCAGGTGTTTGTGGTTTTTGTTTTTCGCTACATGATTTTCCTGATTTATAATTCACAAGTAGTACTGAGTACTAGGCACTCATCCTGAGTATATGGCAACCAACTTCCACCCAGGTGCCCTGATAACCTTAACATTCTTGTCCTCGCCCGTTCTGTGGAACTGTTCTCCAGTTTGACTGTTCTGGGGAATTACTCCACAGCTTTGAGCACTGAATAGTGCCCGGGTCAATATCCGAGACTATGGAAATATCTCTTTGCTACGATAGCCCGGTGCAAAGCGGGTTGAAAGCATTTATTACGCGGCTACCAGAGGCCGGTAGAATCTTGCTCGCGAGGGATTTTAATGAGACATCTTCTGACCAGCATTTATACGATGTTTTCCTGAGTCTTTTCACCGGACTTGTTGTACCTTTGATTCCTTCAAAGTCTTGGTGGGGACCGCAAATTCTCCGTACTAAGTTTAGGAAACTAGATTGATTCTGGGGTTGATGTTGAGACTGGGATTGGGATTGGGAACATTTGGGGCTCTTTTGCTTGGCACGCGGGAGCCTGGAATCCGGGGACCCTCACAGGCAACGAGCTCCTCCTGAATTGCACCTGGACATGCCCACACTTCCGAGTCTCCTGCAGAGAAATATACAATCTCCCACCTCACATGCAGTATTACCGACCGTGAAGATTAGACCAAACATGGCTCTCAGGCGTTCAGCCCGATTGGCTTCCATCCCAACTATCAAAGCTCCAGTGCAGAGCTCCCCACCCAAAATGACAAGGGTGCAGAACAACGGAATCATCAAGCCCCGCAAGATCTCTACAGCCAAAAAAGCAGCTCCAAAAGCAGCTCCCATAGCACCCGCCAAGTCAGGAAGCTCATACTGGTCCCCGGAACCGCCAGCTCCCGAGACCTCGACACAAAACCTAGCCGATGATCCTACCACCACCACTACTACTAATCCCCCCGCAAACAACAGACTTCACACACCACCCCCTCTCGACCGCCCAGTCGACCCCCACCGAACAAATGCAACTCTCCTCACACCCCACGGCTCCTCGGTCGCCGCCTACCCGCCTCGTGCAGAAGATGCCTCGCCCTCGAAGACGGGACTTCCCCGCCCAGCCGCTACAACGGGCACCCTACTCGACCAAGCGATTGCTCACCTGATCGCCACAGATCCGCGCCTGAAAACCGTAATTGAGCAGCACCCGTGCCCACTCTTTTCGCCAGAAGGCCTCGCAGAGAAGATCGACCCCTTCAACAGCTTGACGAGCAGTATTATTGGACAACAAGTCTCCGGCGCCGCGGCGAAGTCGATCCGAAATAAATTCCTGGCGCTGTTCGGCATGGAAAGTAAAGACGATGGCTCGCGCTCAAGTTTCCCTTTGCCGGAGGAAGTTGCAAAGTGTGATATCGCAACGCTGCGGACAGCGGGATTATCTCAACGCAAGGCTGAGTATATACAGGGGTTGGCGGAGAAGTTTGCGAGTGGGGAGCTAAGTGCGAGGATGTTGGCGAGGGCCAGTGATGAGGAACTTGTCGAGAAATTGATTGCTGTGCGTGGGTTGGGCAAGTGGTCTGTGGAGATGTTTGCGACTTTCGCGTTGAAGCGGACTGATGTCTTCTCAACTGGAGATCTGGGCGTGCAGTAAGTCTTTTCCATTTCGTTTTTGTTCTTGGTTGTCTATTTTGGGATATATCTGACCTGACATTCTGAAGGAGAGGTTGCGCAGCGTTTGTCGGTCGAGATGTGAGTAAATTAAAGGGCAAGGGCGGTGGTAAGTTCAAGTACATGGCCGAAAAAGATATGTTGGAGCTAGCTGCCAAGTTTTCTCCGTACAGGAGCCTCTTCATGTGGTACATGTGGCGAATTGAGAATGTCGATGTGGCTGTTCTGACCGGGTGAACAAGGTTGCCGTCTATTATCGAACTACTACCTACTAGTATCTAACGAATAGGGCCACTTTCCATAAAACATTTGAACATTGAAATATACCTCTATTCAATATGTTCGAAGAACATATCATATAACGAAACTAGACAGAAAAAAACATGCATCTTTGTATCTATTTATGCCCGCATAAATAAAGTCCACCCGTGGACCTTTTCGTCGCTTCTAGTAGTTGGGGATGCAGACGCCAGCGTTCCACTCAGTGGCACCGACACATTTCCAACCATCGCAGCAGGCATTTCCAGAGTTGCAAGCAACCTCGTAGTCTAAAACAAACTATCAGCCGAAGGATTCTCAGAACCCGGGTCTATGTTAAGATGAACTCACTACCAACGCAGGAACGCTTCTTGTCGGCGGTCTGGGAGGCAGAGGCAACGGCGGCCAGGGTAGCAATGAAGATGGTGATGAACTGCATTTTGTTGATTGGAGTTGATTGAACGGTAGATCGTTGGTTGGTTTGGTTGATTGAATGGATTGTGGATTGGAATTGATGGAGATGATTGTGTTGATGATACTGAATACATCGAGGATATCTTTCACTATTTATCCTTGAGCGAAGTCATAGGGAGACGATATCACCCACGGCTATTCCACTCTCTCTGTTTCCGTAAACGTATACACCTACTATGGTCAAATGCATAGATCGTCCGCACATTTGCCCCAGGGGGTATCTTCAGATGTTTAGTATACAACGGATGCCCTTTTTGGGTCAGTCATATCTTGGCTACGCAGAGTTAGTAAATAGATGACCGTCTTTACCGCTTACGGATGAAGTCTTAGTGGGTGGATCCTTGATGTCTTCCAAACGAAGCAGAAGATTCTGGGGGCGATTGGGGATGGGGGCCATACTCACTCCCACATTGCCTATGTAGGTCATGCCAAGATTGCAACAAGGTAGTAATCCAGGTACATAGTATTACTCTCATTAAATCTTGGTTTCTGATTGTACTTGAGTCTATTTGTCTTCCTGGGTTTGCCCCGAGTCTGCGATGCGAGTGAGATAAGGAGCGAAGTCCTATTGGGTAATGTTGACTCCAGGTTGCCCGACTATTTTGAGGACTGAGGCGAAATACAGAAACTCTGGGACAGGTATAAGTATTCTGCTCTTTGGATCAGTTATCCGTGCAATATTTGCATTGCAGGTGTTACCCGAGCCTGTTCAAATTAGTATAACCTCTGACGATTGGCACCTCGGGTGGGTGGAAGTAAGCAAAGACGCAGGTAGCTTCACTGGAATTCAGGACAACTTGGCTACTGGAGGAGTGTATCGGGCAAATCGGTATGAATTGCAGTGGATCCTGAGTATTAAAGGAGAACAAAGAAGATCGATTTGTACAATATCAGTACACACATAGGATTATCCAAGAACCACCATCTACGGCTGGTCCGTATCCATCGCAAAAAATTGAATGTCTATCAAACGAAAACAACCCCATCGTACTTATAATTTCACCGGCTTTTCGTCGTCAAACCGCAGGACAGGCACAAGTGATTGCTGGGTGCGTTTACTTGCGGACGACGAGGTTGTCGAGGTCCTCACGCTCCTTGTTCTCCTTCTCGATCTCGCGGATGATGGGGCTGAGGTACTCAACGTCCTAAATGGTTCAAACAGTCAGTATTTAGTTGATTGAGGTGGCTTCGTGGTGGTTCAGGGTCTTGGATTATATGTGACAAATCCTTGCAACGGGATTGGCCAATATGGGGTCGGATTGCGGGGACGGTGAAATTCGGATAAGGAGGACTCACCTCGTGGGGCTTGATCTGCTCGTTGGGGGGAAGGAGAGTGTGGGAAATGGAGCACTGCGATTGCGATGTTCATTAGCGTTTTGATAGTCGAAAGCCGGGGAAGGGGGCTTGAGTTGGAACGAACCTGGAATGCGCGGCGGATGCGGAAGACACGGTCGTAAGCCTCCTTGGAAGGCAAACGCTTGATGGCCTTCTGGACAGTCTCGCTCTCCTCGGGGATGAGGTCGTCGAACCTAGTAGGGACGGGTTAGCAACCGTGATGGAAGAAAAGTCTCCGCGAGCGATCTGCGGGTAACCGGGACGTCGGCCTTGCGATAGCACATCGTTGACACTACCCACGGCGATGAGACGTCGTCTGTCAGGCTGTTTATGATGCAGATTTCAAGGTCGTCCTCAGTCGCTCGGAGAGAAAAGGCATTGGCGTGGAGGGGGACGATAATTACTTCAGTCCGAGCTTCCTGTAGCCGGCGGCATCAGTGTACCAATTGGCCAAGGGGGTCATCCAGCGCTTGAGCCATGGGCGCTTGACAATGTAGCTGGCAATCGAGGGGGCGGACATCTTGAAAACCGGGTATCCAGAGGCTCTGGGGAATGAGGGAAGGTTGGAAAGGGCGGTCCGATTGAACACGAGATGACCCGATGGAGGTTGTGCAAAACGGAAGCTGGAGGCGCTAGCCTGGAAATGGTAATCCTTACACCTGAGGCAACAACAGGAGTCATGTGACTTATATGCATATATGCCTCAGGCCACCGCGGAGACAGGAATGCCAATCAGTGACTCCACCTCGCACCACCAATTCCCCCATGTCATGATCTCGGACCCTGTCTGTCTTTGACGCTCACCTCTCTTCACTTTCTCGCCTTTGGTTTTTGCAGGCGAGACAGAGCGATTCCCTGGGCTTTTGATCACTCCGGCAGCTTGCTTACCAAGAGGAAATTACAAACCCCACCCCGGCCGAGTCCGTGCTCCGACATCATAGGGTATCGCATTCAGAACCGTTCGGTAACCATCGGCTCCAGAAAACTCTCCTCATTCGATTTCTCCATCCTCAGTCTCATCATAAATCAACACCCCTGACCGCTCCGCTCACTTCATCTACGAGTTTCAACGGACTTTTGGGTTCCGGATCGAGCACCGATATGCTCGAGTCCGGGAGCCCTCGGTGATCAAGACGGATAGACAAGTGTGAGCGCCTGTCATTCATCTACGATGCGCCCCGATGATAAGAGCAGCTCCGGAGCTGCCAGCCCTCCATCCGAGCTGAAGCATACCTCCAATGTTGATAGCGCTGCCACTCCCTCCGCCCATGTGAACGTCACCGGTACATCGTCAACCTCCGAGCTCATCAAACGCTTAGAGATTTTATCCACCCGCGTCCCCAACTTCTGGGTTGCTCCTTTTTGTGGTGGTGCGGCAGGTGTGGCCTCTGGGATTGTGACCTGCCCCCTCGATGTGATCAAGACCAAGTTGCAGGCCCAGGGTGGCTTTGCCCGGCGGAACGGGCCTGCCATGGAAACTAAAAAACTGTATCGGGGCATGCTTGGTACCGGAAAGGTGATTATACGAGAAGATGGAATTCGTGGTCTTTACCAGGGACTTGGCCCTATGCTCATGGGATACCTTCCGACATGGGCGGTCTATTTAGCTGTTTATGACCGAACTCGTGAATATTTCTATGAACAAACAGGTCAGTCTTGATTCTTACTTCTATCATATATGCATCTCACTAATATTCCTCCGCTACAGATAACTGGTGGTTATCCCGCGGATATGCTTCGATAACCGCTGGTGCATGTTCGACGATCGTTACAAATCCCATCTGGGTCATCAAGACAAGGCTCATGTCACAGAGTCTCAAACAAAACCACGAAGGAGCACGAGCTCCATGGCAGTACTCGGGTACATGGGATGCTGCTCGCAAGATGTATCAAGTCGAAGGCATTCGGTCTTTCTATTCTGGCCTGACACCCGCCCTCTTAGGACTTACCCATGTGGCTATTCAGTTTCCTCTTTACGAGTATTTGAAGATGGGGTTTACTGGATATGGAATTGGAGAGCATCCCGATACAGGGAGCTCTCACTGGGTGGGTATTTCGCTCGCTACGTTTCTCAGCAAAGTCTGTGCAAGCACCATTACCTATCCCCACGAGGTTTTACGAACCCGACTGCAAACTCAGCAACGCATGGTCCCAGCCCCATCTCATGAAGAAATTGCCTTCCGCGGTGGACTAAAGCACCCTCACGATCGTGGTCGACCCCTGGCATCTTCCTCGGACGGGATGCCTCTCAGACCCCGTTACTCGGGAATGATCCGCACATGTCAGACCATCCTCAAGGAAGAAGGCTGGCGTGCGTTCTATTCCGGCATTGGCGTCAACCTTTTCCGAGCTGTTCCGGCTGCCATGACGACAATGCTCACCTACGAGTATCTCCGAATGGTTATCCACAACTTCCAACACGAGGGTGAAATGAAGCTAGCCTTGGCAAAAGAGACCGATGCGTCTAGCATGATTTGATGACAAAGACCTGTCAACGATAACTATAGAAAGGCATCCACCTCCCACACTTCATCCTTCAGCTTCCGTGCACATAAAAAGCGTGCTTTTTTTATCGCCACTCATCGCTTTCATCTCTTTCATCTTTGCGCGATTTGTATAGAAATGGAAGGCAGTCTATTGCCTCCAGCTAGTGGGCTCTTCAGCGAGTAGGCATTATGCCTTGCATTACCAAAATATCTTACCAGTCTCAGGACTCGGCATAGATGGCAGTGATTCTACCCAGAGACTTTGCATGTGAAGTCTTTTCGGCCTATTTCATGATCACATGCCCAGGGGTCTGATAATTTCGCCAGCGATCAAAATTTCCCTGATTTTGAAGCGTGTTCCCTCCAAATCCTTTTAACCAATTTCGCATGCTTTTTACATATCCCACCCATTTGTACATACTACCCAGATCTTTTTTCCTTTTCATGGAATTACTTTTGATTGCCGCTTGTCACTGGCTGAAAAATTGTTCAGCGCTCTGTAGATTTCCTTGCCTTTGTCTTTCTAAAAACATTGACAAAGGCTCAAATCTGGCCCCCTGTGACCGAAACAAGGACCTCGGGAGGAATTGGGAACTTTTTGAATAACCATTGGTCAGCCACATCGCGATTTACCAGCTTTCAATGAGTCTCGTCTGAGCAGCGATATAGTTTGAGGATCAGATGAGTTCTCAAGCCATAGAATGGTTTGTTTCTACCTATAGCCCAAATGCACGCTATCTATAAAGTACTAGTACTATTGTGGAAAACCATTGCTCCAAACGGTCGAAGCACAACCTCTGCCTCTTCAAAGGATGATTCTCCTTGGTTCGAGGCCAAAACTCCAAATTTATCAACCCGTTGTGTGAAAACTCTTTGCTCCACGTCGGAAAAGTTAAGAAGCACAACCGCCTTCTGGCCAGCTTGAGAAATCCGCTCATACCCAAGCACCAGCTCACCAGTTTCTTCTTCTGAAATGGCAGTATAGGATCCATAAACAAACAGATCGGCCATTTCTTTTCTCAATGCAATAATCTTCTTCCAGTATCCCATCACACTCTCTGGATCATCGAGTTGACTAGCGACATTCCACTCCACATAATCCTTGTTGACAACCATCCTTTGAAGGCTCAGACCCGGTTGTAAAGCCTGCATTATATGAACCATCCCACTGCATAGGAAGCCGCCCATGGTCACGCGCTTTCAGCTGCAACTCCCTGAGCACATCTCCCATCTAACCAACATCTCCTCCACGAGCCGCCAAAATCTTATTGTAGTAGTTTTCCCCCTCAACATCAATACACGCATCAGCCTTGTACTCCTTTCCCAGGTTCGCCATCCCAATTTCCTGTCCCGCAAGTAGAAATGGCGTTCCACCCAGCGTAGTCAGGTACGTCGCCAACATCTTTGCTGAAGCAGTTCGATGTTCAGAAGAGTCCGACGCATACCGAGTGAGCGAACGTCCGCTATCATGATTATCGAGATAAACAGTGTTCCAGCCGTCAAATTTGGGCATAGCATTCTGCCAAAGATTGGTTAAATGCCGAATCTTTCTCGGATGGAAATCGTTTTGTCCATATTTTCCCTCAACTCCGAAATCCATATCCACTATGTCACCCGTGAACAACATATTGAGCTCGTGTCGGTCTTTGGCAACGTATTCACGTACAGACTTTTCATCTTTGGTGAATCCCAGCTCGCCAACAGTCATAATATCATACTTGTCGAAGACCTCAGTCCTCATTTCACGGATATAATCGTGCATCTTTGGGCCCGAGGCAAAGAACTCTTCTCCGCTTTGGTAGGGTTCGTCGTTGATAACCCTTGCATCAGGTAGATCAGGGTGTTTGGACATCAAATTCATGCTGTCTATGCGGAAGCCATCCACGCCACGATCGAGCCAGAAAGGCATGTCATCATGTGCTGCTTTACGCATGCTCTCGTTCTCCCAGTTCAGGGCTGGCTGGCTAGGCAAAAACAGAGCGAGGTAGTATTGGCCTGTTTGCTCATCGAATTGCCAGGCGGATCCACCGAAGATGGCAGCCCAGTTGTTGGGTTCCTTTCCTTGACCTGAGGAGTCGTACTTAGGGTCACGCCAGATGTACCAGTCGCGCTTTGAGTTTGTTCTTGAGCTTCGGGACTCTTTGAACCAGGCGTGTTCGTCGCTTGTGTGGTTTACGACGAGGTCCATTAGCAGTCGCATTCCATTCGAGTGGAGTAGGTCGATCAGCTCTTGGACGTCTTCGACTGTGCCATATGGTGCATGAATGGACCGGTAGTCAGATACATCATATCCCATGTCTTTTTGGGGTGAAGCGTAGATGGGTGAGAGCCATATTGTGTTTACGCCCAGGGACTTGATATAAGGAACTTTGTTGATGATCCCGCGAATGTCGCCAAGGCCGTCGCCATTGCTGTCTAAGAAGCTTGCTGGGTAGACCTGATACACGATGGTTTCTTTCCACCAGGTTTTCGCCACTGTGTATGAATTCGAAGTCATTTTGGGAGGGCAAAAGGCAATTGCACAAGTATCAATTGATGAGGAGAAATACTAGTAGTTATGCGTATTTCTTGTGCTCTCTTGCCAATGCCAATGACAAGAGCTTTATATTCGTGAAATCAATGGATGTTTCTCCGATACATCCCCAGAACTCACCTGGTGTGCATCAGGATGCACTAAGCTCGGAGTAACCTGGGAGTAGTACATCCCGCTGCTGGGCAAGATCTACTCAACGATTGCGGGGTGGAGATAAGAATTTCCCCGAAACATTCCCGGTCAAGTGTCAGTGCGACAATGTTTGTCGCTTCAAACTCTTATTTCCTAAGGAACTTGAGAGCAGCTGTGGTCTCATGTCGGTGAAAGGTCGGACTCGGTAAGAACTAGTAATTCACCAAGTGCTCGAGCGCATGTTACATGAAGCTTTTAGAAAATGTTAGTCTATAGTTCAATGTTGCCAGTGCAAAGTATCAACCAGGGAATTGAGCCTAGTATTGATATGTGACTGGGGCGGACCAGGGGCATCAACATTTGAACGGAAAAGGACAGCATAATTTATAAAAAGTCTCCTTACAACAGTATTGGAGATTTGAGTCTCGAGATTGATATCTGTAGCACTTCGAATCCCCTTAATGTTCGGCTTGCCCGGTCAGTCACCTCGTGGTCTTCCCTTGAGGTGAACCTTGTGTGCAATGTTGAGTATGTACACATGTATTGATTAATGCCCACCACTCTATATTGATTCTAAATACACATAGTTTCATCTATGTAATCCATGGATGTGAAAAAGAGCAGGTAAGTAAGCACTAGGTCTGTGAAAAGTTGTGCTTTCTCCAATCTGGAGAACTCGACAAATATACGAGATCTAAATTCCAGTCCATCTATATGTTCATCCAAGAGTCTATTGTGCACGAGCTGCATTGCAGTCATCGGCCAATTGCACACACTCCAGAATCAAGTTCCAGAACGCCTCAAGATCGACGCCGCGGGGAATAGCCACACCGGCCCCCTTGACCGGGGCAGCGATGGAGCGTCCAAGCTGGCCTGTAATAGACACGTTTTCACCATGAAGTCCATCGGTGACAATTTGGACAGCGAATCTCTCCCCTCCTTTATCATCGAATTTGATCACCCGATCCGGATGTTTTTGAGCGAAAGTGGGGTTCAAGTTTGACAGAATCACTGCTACCGCCAAGGGGTCATGCAGCGGTGGTCCGGTGGACAAACCAAAGACCTTCTCATATGTCCCGGCAAAAAAGATGAGCAGAGCATGGAGAATCCGTCGGATAACGGTTGGCTCGTCAGATGGTTCCCTGGCACCATTGAGAATTCGGGTTTGGATATCTGACGACGCAAGGACTTGATGAGTCAAGTCCAAGCTCATAATAGCTGTCTTAGCTGCCAACGGAGGGTTACTAAAGATTGCCTCTGAGGATTCAGGGTCACACTGTGAGGTCATTTGGATTAGCCCGTGTTCTCATGAGCGGGAAAGTGATTGACGAACATAGAGATTAAATTCTGCCCAAGGCGTCACATTTCCAATGCGTGATTTTTCACCTGGTAATTTGCTCATAGGAGCATCTGTGAACCCATTGCCAATAGCACCGCCCATGATACTAAGGCCGGCGATATGGTCCACAACCTCGGGAAACGTTGCGAACAAGAGGGCGACATTTGTCAATGTGCCAGTAGCCACTACCCATGGAGTACCTTTGGGTTGAGCCAGGAGCGCATTTCGCATAGCAAGGATCGGGTTCTGATCCGTAATAGGTGCCACAGATGCCTTTGGAAGAAGGTCTGTTCCATCGAGGCCCGATTCACCTATTCAAACATGTTAGCATAGGGGAAGCATATTGGGATCCTCAATTTTGCCTCACCATGAATATCAGGAGCATGGAGAGCAGGTCGTGAAAAGGGCTTTGCACTTCCTGGGTAAACGGGGACTTCTGGGCGGCCGATAGCTTCCAGGACGCTTCCGGCATTTGCCGTGGTCTTTGCTAGAGAAGCATTGCCATGTATGGTTGTGATTCCAAGCAGATTCAATGCGGGATGTAAAGCAGCAATTAGAATTGCAAACGCATCCTAGTTATTCGGCGTTAATACCTATTTAGGTGTCCATAACAACGCCGACAAGACTTACATCGTGGCCTGATAAGAGTCAGTTACATAAAGTTCCAAAGTTTTGAGGATTTTCAACATACCAGGATCACAGTCAAGCCACAGTGGAGTCCGGGTCTCAAATTCTTCGAATGCCATTGTTTCAAGTCTTCAGGAGGAGAGTTGATGATGAGTCAAAAGGGGACCTACAATGGAGTCGGGGTAACAACACTTTACTTATCTCCCCGCATCTTGATAAGCTCCTTATCTCCGCAGCCCTAAGCCCTACCTTCCTGATATAGAACACCCATGTCATGAACTTCGCGGTGAACGCGACAAACTGTTGTTCGCTTTCATCCAAAAGGGGTTGAACTCCTGGATTTCCTGTGATCTTCCACCAACATAACTTCAGAGAGATCTTGTGTATCTGCGATGCCATGACCGACCCTCTTCGCCCCGGTTTGCAACCGGTCTCCCACCTTAAGGCTGGACCGACAACTTCCAGCTCCAGATCCACCGCATTGCCTTCCCCGATTCAACCACCTATTACACGCCCCTCTTCTCGACTGAGAACCCAGAGAGCCTCTCATCGGGAGGAAGTGCTGGATGCTGGAAGTGATAAAGCCACTCTTGCCTTAATACGACGCGTGCTTTGTCCCCAGACAAGTAGTAACCATGGCGCCTCCTCTCCACAGCCTCCGGAAGAGCTGTTACCTCCCCTTACGAGCTCCAATGACGTTGATCGTCAGCTTTACGCGATTCTTGCTATTATAATGAAGGAGTTTGTCTACTCGTGGTACTCGAAGATCACCCCAGATCAGACATTCGTGAATGAGGTGCTACACGTCATTGCACATTGCACCCGTGCTTTGGAACAAAGGATCAGGAAGATTGATGCTGCACAATTGATCCTGGATGAGATTCCAGCACTGGTGGAAGCACATATACTTTGTAAGACCCGACTTGTCTCAGTCCTGCTCGATCCAATATCTGACTTCAATGGCAACTTTTCATAGCTCACAGATTGGCCAAACAACAGTCGCATCTATCTGGATTGCCAACGTCGCATAAGGCACTCTATCATGAGATGAACCCTCATCCTGGACTGTCTCCTGTTCCAGATTATGCAGATCCCGATACAATCACTGCGCAGTCTGAGAATGAGGCCGTGTATCGACAATTACTCGTTCATGGCACTTTGGCAATTTTGTTGCCCACGGAAGACCTGGGGAATGACACTGTTCGCGTACTTGTCGGCGACGTTCTGGCAGATTTGATCCTGGGCAAAGCAGTTGGAGACAGAATATGTGAAGCACGGTTCCTCTATGAAGTCGTCACTAAGCTCACCGAGATAATGAGACATCGTAAAAGTCCAGAGAATCCAGGCACGAGCGCTGCTCCTGCTAATCGATTAGAGAAGTTTGGTCTCCTATCGACCAACGAGGAGTCTGCCAGGCCGCAAACAGCCAGCCAATCGCTAGCCGCGGTCTGGGTATGGAACGTTCTCCAAAGCCTCTATCTTGGTTACGTTGCCTTGCGTTTCATTGCGACGGGTCTCTTCCGCGTCGCATCGAATCCAGGGCCGGGATCCTCGCACGGAGCCGGTGTTTCATTTCCCGCTGCAACGCCAGAGTCTTCCAAAGACGGCTTCGAGTCCCCGTTGTCAGACAAGACTACCAATAAGCGCCCTATTCTAGACTATAGAGTGGCCTCGATGGCCTCACAGTTACTTGGGATGTCCCAAAGAATGCCGTGGCTTTCCGGCTTCCTTGCCCTTATCCAACACCTGATCCTGGCGGGGCCAGGTCGGATTGGTGACACGGACGGGGTCTTTGACAGGTGAGTCTATTTCCATCCCGGAGTATTTCCTTGTCTTCTTTTTTTCTTCCTTTGCTTTTCTTGTTTTCACCCCTCCGGGCTCGGGCCTCCCAAAACTGCATGAACTCTCGACTGTGGAGCTACCACGATCTCCGAACCACGATCTACGGTCAAGTGTCACTCGTGCGAGTCATGGTGGGACGAGGAAGCGTCCTGCTCGCATATCGTTTCAGTCACTTGATCATGTAAGAAAGATTTGTCAAATTACAAAACGGGGCTGGTAATATACCGAAACCCTTACTGGCTGGTACGGGACAATACCGGTCTTGCTGACGGAGCGCTTCTGGGCTCTGATTGGCTGGTGCCGAGTTTGGTCCGAGCATACGATTTGCGTGCAGGGTTCCTTTTCTGGGCCTTTTCCTCTTCCCATATTCGCATATCCACTCTGCGTCTCATTTTCTTGTCGTGATAGCGCCGGGGGCCCGGCCCTTTCCGTGCCGCTTCTTCCTTGTTCATTGGATCTCGAACCACACTTCTGCTGCCGAAATCTGCGCTGTTCTCTTTGAAAGTTGCGATCTGCAAAAGAGAAACAACAATCGATCAAACAGGAAAATGCACGACAAAGAAAAGCAGAAAAAAAGAAAGAATACAAAGAAACTTTCCGGCTGCCGAAGGACGTTCGAAACTTTACTTCGGCCGGACGGGGCAAATCGTATGCACGAAGCAGAAATCGCCTGATGCCGATCCCTCCATCGGTGGGCGATGGATGACCATGCCCCTTTGAGAGCCTGCATGAAAAAAAAGACTTCGCCGAGGCTAGTGAATTTGTTTCCCTGGGTCCAATCAGCGAAATTCCTGGTAGCGAGATTTCGAATTCGCATGTTGACTGAGGCAGCTGCATGAAGCCCGCAGGTTGGTGCCAGGGCCAGGCACGCTACCGGGATCTTACCCGCTGAAAGAGAGAGAGAGGGGAAAGGGAGCTTGGCAAAAAGGCACAGAAAAAAAGGAAAAAGGCAGGATGAGGCAGGGCCCGCATTTCGCCTTGTTTCTTTACCTTTTTCATCTTACTTGCTGGTCACCTTGAGGTTTACAGGATTGACATCCCTGTTACACTCCAAATAACTGGCCCAAGCTCCCAGCTCACATCCACTAAGCCGATCATGCTCCGCCCACTTAACCCCACTCTGCAATTATTCAAATTGGGGGTCAAGCGGAAGCTCTTCTGGCGGTGGGACTCTTGAAAAACAAAACAAAGAAAACAGAAAGAAAAAAAAAAAAAAAAGCCCACGGCTTAACGTCCCCGCCAGACTAGCTCCACAGTCGAGAGAGCACCAAAGCGGAAAAAAGAGGGATTTTCCGCTCCAAGTTTGCTTTTTGTCTTTTCTTCGGTTCATCCGATGTCATAATTCAATTATTTGAGATCTTTGGCTGACTCCACCCCGTCTAGATTCCTCCGGGAAACCATTGAGGAGTATGTCCTGCCCCCCACTTTGTTGCCCAACCTTCTTCTCGCAACGAGGACCACTCTATTCCCAGCCAATACCCGTCCAGTACCTATAGCAGCGGTCGCTGCGAGTAACACTGCTGCCCCGGCCTCGACTCCACAAGTGTCCGTGCCCACCCTAACGCCTAGTGGGAAAGGACTCATCACGGTTCCGGCTTTCCAAACACCCATTGCGGAAGGAGGCAAGGTTATGCCTGCTACAATTGCTGGTAGCGAGATAGTTGGTAAAAGTAGTGCCGGCATTAGCAGCAGCAATCATGTTACTAGCGGGAACAACAATGTTAGCGGTGGCGTCAATGATCAGCTGCCCGCAGTATCAGAGCCAGTACCAGAGACAGCGGTATTATCGGGAGCAACTATATCCCAATTGACGACAGATGCGATCAAGAACTCAACAGACTCTCCCACCGGATCGGAGAAAAAACTTTCACTTGCTGATACGGAGATCGCCGCTATCAAGCGGCGATGTGCAGCTAGTCTACTGGGTCTCATTCCGCGCAATGTCGCACAAACCTACTTTGGCGGTCCGCCTCCCTCTAGACGTGATCGTACCTGCAGCACCACCACTGGGAGTTTGTCCTCCCTCACCACCACCACGACCTCCTCCCCGTGCTCTCCGTCCCCACCCGCATCAACCGGTGAGTCTGGTGGAGATCAGAGTACCCGATCGTCATCTCAGGGAAAGAAGCGGTCGCCACCAAGTCCAAGTCCAATTTCAATCTCAGTCCCACGCGACCCCTCGGCGTCTACCCTGTCAGGGCCAAGATGTGGCGACTCCATTGCCGCTGGGGAATCGCGCACAGACACGGATGACGAGGCCGGGGTGACTTCGGACGAATTGTTTCTTTTGGAGTCGATCGAGACTGATCTACTGGATCCTTTCTCGGATGAGTACTGTAACAAGCATCTCGTATATTCTATTATCGAGACTGTCTTGGCTAGAATTCTGCCTGAATTGGCTGAACGCAGTGTTGCCGATCTGATGGAGGATCGCGGTATTGTCCCTCTGCCTGCTGCAGGCATTTAGGGCGCACATATTTAGGGATCGCACTTTTGATTCCTCCTTGACAACATAACTTTTCTTTTCTGGCTACATACTTTAATGAGATATGTTTTGTACCTTGGGAAGCTACGGTACATGTACAAGTGTTTTTTCTCAGAATGCTTTTAGGTTTTAATCACGCGTAGAGTAAGTAGATTAACTTGAACGTAGATAAACATTTCAGGGGAAAAGTGGGAGTGGGGGTATAATATAATGTGTCAGGATCTTTCGAGTACAAAGGCCAGGAGAGTACTCTATACTCAAGCTAGCTCATGTACCCAAGAAGAAAAAAGGCGACAAAGCATAGAAATAAAGAGGAGAAAATCAAGGACGGGGGATTAATTTGACAATGACCGGCTGAGATCGTGTATAAGAGATCCAGCGTTCTTTCCGCGCGAGCGGGCTCAGTTTAGAAAAAAAAAATAGAAGAACAAAGATCAAAGAGAAGATAATACCGAAGAAATCAGGATCAAAAATAAGAAGAAGAAAGATTAAAGAGAGTCAAGAAAGAAAAATAAACATTATAAACCAGTGCAAGTGCACCAGAATATAAAGGGGAAGAAGAAACGAAAAGTATGAAGTAAAAAAGGGCGTAGAAACGAAGGAAAGAAGAAAAATAATAGAAACAAAATCAGGGAAAGGGTATGGGGTATGGGAGAAAGACAAAACAACACACAAAGGAAAGAAAGAAACCGAACAATAAGAATAAAACAACAGATCGAAACTCCACAAGATGGCCCAAATCTCCAAGGTCACGGTCTCCAAGACCCTCCTTCCATGTAATTTACCATTCACCATAGAACCGAGCCGAACCAAATCAAAATAAATCCATGTGCCATATCCCATGTACCATGAAACAGAACGAGAGCGAGTCAGCACTCTCGTCTTTTCCCGAGCGTTATATGCGTGTGCCGTGTGCGTGTTCCGTGTGCGTCTGTGTGCCGTGTACCAGCGCCAAATCCAAACCCCGTTCAAAGCAAGTTTTGAGGTCGCCCTCAGGTTTGTGTATGATCCTGGATCTTTTGGGGGGGTATTCCAGTGTTTGCCGAGTTCCAGATTCCGGCGTGGAATTGGAGTACAGTATAATAGATAGAGAGAAATGAAAGAAGAAGAAAGAAGAAAGGAGCATGAACAAAAGCAAGAGGAGCATGAAGCGTGGCCCCCAAAAAAAGACAAGAAGAACAAAAAAACAATACAGAGAAGCCGCCCGAAAAAAGGAATCCGATCAATAAGGGGGAATCATAGAATAGTGCAATGAGAAATGAGAGTAAGAGCAGTTGGGAAAGAGGAAAGCAAATGCGATGCGAAGGCGCGAGAAAGTCCAAGAGAGGAGAAGAATCGAAAAATGCAAAGCGGATACAAAATGAGGAGCGTTCGCAAGAAGAAACGGAAACAGCAGACTTGCTTGTCCGCTTCAACCAAGATTATGAATGCTCCGCTTCTTGCTCACACGAGGCCCATCATCATGCTCATCGATGCGAGGCAGTCCACCTGGAAAAGCATAGCCCTGACTCTTGGCCAGATCAAGCCTCTCCATCAGTTTTCCGATAGTCACATATTCCTGCGCCGCAAGACCAGCCGGTTGATGCTGGAAGTAGTTCATGACCAGCTCCAGCGCATGTCTCGCTTCATCCTGTGTCGGGGACCCGGGCGCACTGATGGGGGATACGGTGGCTGATTTGGAGACCACGGGCGGCGGCTGCATGGACTTTGTGGTGATCTCGGGGTTACTGCGGTTGCGCTTGATGAGTTTCCTTGGATCGGATCCCTTGATATGGGCGTGGGCATCTTCGTCGTCGAATTCCAGCGGGGATTCGAGGATGGCGACCGGTCCGGCTTTGCGCGGGTCTATCTTGCTGCTTTCGCGGTCGATCGAGTGGTCTGCTGTTATCAGGGTTGGGTCGATCGGGAGAGGGAAGGTTGAGCTGCGGGGTCGGCTGTTGTTGCCGTTGGTGTTGGTGTTGCTGCCCGAGTATGGGAGGCGAGATTGGCTGGTTGGTGTGAAGGGACTATCGGAGACCAGGGTTGAGCTGGGGCTGATCATTCCGGTGGAGTTGGTGTCCAGTGAAGTGGTGCTTTTCGAATGGGCATGTAGATAGCCACCGGACAGTTCGGGGACTGTGTCATATTCCCTCTTAATCCGGTCTGGACTCTGGCCAGGGGAAATGGGTGAACCCAGGACATTTGTAGGAGAAATTGGAGAGTGACTATGAGGGCTGTGGATGGCAGATCCGTTGGAAGAGAAATTGGTGTTGATGCGAGTAGGGCTGTTGGACCCGCTTCGTCGGGCATCAAGGGAGCCCTTTCGTGACGCAGCACCCAAAAGATTGTTCTTCTGCTTAAACTTCTCCAGCCATGCAGTAGTGAGCACCTTATCTTTACCCTCGGGGCCACAGGTAGTACTGGCAAAAAACAAGGCTTTCTCCCGGATGATCTCATCGTTAATTGGGTAACCCCCGCGTTGGTAGTTTCTCACCCAGTTTGATAGGGCCTTTTCAATGTCAGGAACCCGACCCTTGGCCCTTTTGATAGGCGATCGACTTCCATCGTCAGGGTTCAGATATCTTTCTTTTTGTCGCAAGACTTTGGAAACGGTACTATTTAAAAAAAACATTCACGTTAGGATTTAAATCACGAAAATGGGTTGATTTTGCAAGAAAAAGTGCTCCAATGTGTGTAGTATGTACCTTCTTTCGACCCCAAATAAAGCTGTGACGAAATGTCAGCCAAATAGCCCCCACCGTATAATCTTTGAATATAAAAAATAAGCTTACCTCCAATATCAGTCTGCTTTGCAGTCTTGTGTTCTTCGTGGTATAAACACATTTGCCGACGATCATCATCGGTCAATGTTCTTCGCGGAGTAGCTCCTCCTGTAGAAGATTTTCGAATTGGTGTGGGCGCAGAAGGGGAAACTGAAATCGGTGCTGGAGGTGGAGGAATTCCATCATGGAAAGGTGAATGGTGTGTTAACATGCTGGGCCAAGCATGCGCAGGCATCGGAAGTGGCATCGAGGTGTACGGTGGCGGCAAGTTCATGCCGTAACCATCCACGGACATAATGGGTGAAGGGCCATACTCAAACCCATTAAATTCAGGCATGGGTGGAGAATGTTGAGGCGAAGTGAAAGTTCCCAAATCTACCCAAGGTGAATGTGAGAATTCCCCTTCTGGTGCATGGGACTCCGTCTCCATGACGGGCGAGTTCTCCATGGACATTGGATTCAATGTCTGTGGGATACCTTGTTTTAAGGAATTTCCTTCGAAATGGCTGTAGATAGGGCTTTATTTTCCCCAGCACAATCAAAGGAACCTTAGAACCAAAAAAAAAAGAGAAAAAGAAAAGAATAAAGTGCCCCCGGTAATATGGGAACAATGTGACTAGAGGTGAGACAATGAGAGATAATGCATGTTCCACATACAACAACCCACAAAGTGACACGCCAGAACCCCGGTATAAAGTCGAGGACAAGGTGAACCCCAAATGTTTCCCCTTTCCAATAGACAAGATGGCAATGATGGAATTGCCGCGCGAGAAAGGGATCTCTTTAGAAGCAAGCTAGTCGCCTAATAAAGAGAAAGGGCGCGAAAAGAAAGATTATACATGCGGCAAGAGGGGGGAGGAAGATGCAACATGCGGGTAAGGCAATGGACGGAGTTAAAAGAAAACCAGTACTCAGACGATCCAAAATCGCGTGGATTAAAGACAGACCGTGAATCTCGATTCCAACTGGCAGAAGGGCACAGAGTCCGGAGAAATCCATGATAACCTTCTGCCCCGAGAAGAATACTGCCGATCTATACGGTGATTGGTTGATACCGAGGAAAAAAGGCATTCTGACTAGGGAAAAAAAGGAAAATACGAAAATGAGTAAATATGGATTTAGATGATTTTCGTTGAATAAATTCCCAAAAATTCCAAAAAATACCCCTGTAAAATGGGTGAGGGGAAGCTGGTTGGTCCAGAGCCATATAATAAAATGGCGTTGCATCAGTTTTTGGGTACCTGGTCAAGGTATTACCGTGTTCTGGTATTTGATTTCAGTGTATGAGGTTTGTCATTTTTCCTATAAAAATGGAAATAAAAATACATAAAATATATAAAATATATAAAAAAAAGAAATAATAAAAAAGAACTCAAGGGCAAACGCGGGAAGTCCGATCTCTCTCTCTCTATACTAGTACTTATTGAAGTCTTATATGAGTTTCTTTTTTTTCGATTTATCTCTTTTTTCCTTTTTCCTTTTTTTTCTTTTTTTTTTTCTGTCTAGGGGGAAGAGAACTTCTCAGATGTCTTTTTTTCGTTTTCAAAAATTATTTGATTATTTATTTATTTTTTTGGATATATTTCCATGCTGATTATTTGAGCAAAGGCTAAAGATTGATAGTATATTGCAAAGCACAGAATTGTTGGGCACCCAATCCCCTGGTACCGTAGCCCTAAGGCCTCTAGTCAACTCCAATGAGGGTCTCTATTCTCTATGATCCATGGTTCAATGGTATTTTTCCCTTCAATATTTACTTCCGTTATTCAAATCATTCTTCTTATTCTAATCATATCCACAATTTTAATTCCAATTACTTCTTCATCCCTCTTTTTCCCGTTAGTTTTTTTTTTGACGGCTGTCGGATCCTGCAGCATGACTCGCCCGTTGTCGGCGAAACTATAGAATCCACAAAATCCACTCAGATCCATGGTAGGCTATCAGTAGTAGATCATCCGTGTACGGAGTATACGGAGTACGGAGGAGGCGATATTACTCCATGCCAATGATTTGCTACAGAAGCCGGATAGCGGATAAAAACCGCTGAACTTAAAGCCCGCATGACATCCGTGTAGGTCAAGGACGATCAAGTGGACTATATTAGGGCGATTGCGGCGGTGCTCAATTTCATCCCGTCCAATATTTCAGCTATTTCAGGACGTAGAAAAGAAAAGGCCTAACGGTCTGTTTTACCAAAGCGGCCAACAAGAGCGTTGCATCCCAGTTTCGGATCCATACCATGTGATATAACCAAGGGGGCACGGAGCTTCGCCTCGGTCGAGATGAGAGTTGCGAATAAGAAGCCCGAAGTCATGATCTCTCTCATGACTGGGCCAACTTTTTCCCAACCAAATCTGTCAAGTCCAAGTCTAAGTTGGGGGGGGTCAGGGTAGGGTAGAGGGGGGCAAAGGTAATAATCGGGGTAGCAGCAGGAGAGCAAATCCCTAGATTGGATTTGAGCAACGATGGATCTGTGAAGGATATGCCGATCTCCCTGATTTTGATCTCTGCATTTACTTTTTTTTTTTTCTCTCGCTAGGGATTTTGATTTGGTAGGGGTGGAAGTCTTTTTATTTGGCTTTTTTATTTGGTTTCCTTTTGTTCTGGCTGGTTAGGATTCTGAGATGCATCAGAACATGAACACGATTAATGGACAAATAGGTCCCAAGGGCAAATGAGGAGCAGCATGGATCCTCTCCATCTGGGCAAATCCCCCACGTCCATTCGCTTGTGTACAATACGGACTCGATACAAGGGCCGAACTTGGTGGCTGAGGCTGGCCCTATCACAGGGCAGAGATGGCCTCTCGGCGAAGAAGAGGGGGAACTCCCCAATGATGCGATCGTGCCTTTTTAGCGCTAACTCCCTCAGCCCTCGTTTTCTTTTTTCTCCACTCTCCACCCATGCGCGACCCACAGCGGTCCTCTCCGGGCCGGGAACCTTCAGTAAAGAATGACAAGGGCGGGAGAGGGATCAGTCTGATCATCTAACAGCTTTTTGCACGGATCTTCGCCGGGAGGTATCCCACGGGCACAGTGGAACATTTCAAGCGAAAAACAAAGAGTCGAAGGGAAAATAAACATTGAAAACGGAGATGATTACGCGAGCCGAGAAGCGAGAAACCAGAAGAGCAAAGTGTCCAAATGGTGTATATCCGGTTGGCCATATTGATCGGGATTTTTGGATTGCGGTCTGGGTCGCATATGATTACGAGAGACTATACGGGAGTAACTTGTCCCCCGCTTGGGAAATAAAGGGGGAAAAAATACAGGTCAACTGGTATTAAAATATAAAACAAGAATAGAAAACAAAAAGAAACAAGGACAATGTAGAATTGGACTAGAAATTTCAATATCTCCAATCCCATTGCCATTGAAAACAGAATACAAAAAATCAATGACAAATTACTTGACGCGTATTGTTTGGTCAATTAAGCGTTCGTTAACGAGAGATTCTGATTGGTCCATTCGAACATTCTCGCTCGGTTTATTTTGTTTCTTTTTCTTTCTTGGCTATGACTTTTAACCAGTCATATCCTTTTCTGACTGGAAAATACCTTGTATTCTTTTTTCTCCATTTTTGCTTTTGATTCCTCATTTTCTTTCTATATGGGCTGACGCCATCAATTGCGGAAATGGAAAACGAAATCGTCCCTTGACGGCTTTTGGCAGCATATTCACTGATTTCGGAGCAGAAGAAGAAATGAGTCTAGGGCCAGGCGGAATTGAAATCCCCTAATATATTCTATAGTTGGGCAGCTTGGCTATGATTGCCTAGAATGATGTCAACTCTATCTTACGGTACTTTTTTTTTTTTTCGCTTCCCGCTTCCAAGGTTTACTATACATGTATCTGGCCATCATGCGCGATAAGGAGGGGGACCGAGTTGAGAAAAAAAAAGCAATTCACCGTTAGACTCAGGAACAGACCGGTCGGGGAACACAAGGTCGGGAATGCATGGGACAAGGATTAGAGCAGGGTTGATGGTTGGGTCGAGTCAGGTACGAAGATCTCGACCTGATTGTGAATGGAGGAAGTACTCCGTACCTAGGGAGTACATGATCTGGAGGTCACGTATGCCCTTAGCTACGTTGTGAAATCTTAGTAAATCTTAGTAAATGAAAATCCCAACTGCTAGACCCTCTTCAACACGGGAACTCCCCTCGTTAGAGTCAACATTGAACTAAACATTGAAATCTACCCACAATTTCGGCCGAGCAAACAATTCCATGTCGATCGCAGCTTTGCCCTAAAAGTTATTCCGATGAACTACTTTGGTGGAGTCTAACCGATGAGCCCTAACATGCTAGGGACCCATGACATAATTGACATCTTCTCGAGGTCATGCACATGTACTTGGTATGCTTTTGTTTTGTTTTTTTAATCCTTACTTTACACTCCGGGGAAAGATTGCAGACCCGCCTAATGCAATGCAATGCAACGGGGACCGATGGATCCTCCACGAGAATGAGTCCACATACCCGGCATCGGTTCTATAACAGTCACCTGATGGAAAAAAAAAAAAAAACTAGAACAGGAAATAATGATTATCTATCTTATGTTTTCTTTTTCTCAAGGATTATGTAGTTCTTACCAGAGAGGGGAAAGGGTAAGCCAATCTCACTAGTTTCCGTGTACAAAACTAGGTCAAATCCTGCCGATCTTGCATCTATGGCCCAGATCGTGAACAGCTCCCAGTGTGGTCTGGGCTGTGTGTAATCGAGATCGGCGATTTGCACGATAACTCCACTTTGAAAGTCATCTCCAAAATGTGATCAAGCTATATACCCTTATTGGTACATTCAAATGACCTGCCCATACACCTGTTGTGCTACCTGAATTCTCGTACTCCGACAGTCACCGGGTCTCGACAGGGAATGAAATTTGATCTGATAAAAAAAACCACTATGAGAACACATCGTCAATCCAACCAAGCATTCACCGCTTGTTTGAACTTTGGAATTTTCCAGGGTTATTTAGTAGACTGTTTACATTTGTAAATTCCTAGCTGGTTTTTTATTCGATTTTATTTTATTTTTTATAATACTTTTTTCAGTCATGTTCAAATGCAGGTCAATCCGCGAACGTGGGAACGTGAGCTTTGCGCAGATCCTGATTCCTGAGACCTAATTGCGCACGTTCAAGTTTTTTCTCGTACTTTTGACGAATCCAAAATTTGGTTCTCCAGAATGTTTGAATACCAGTAAACTATACTAGTTAAATATGAGGGTCCACGGTTCCAATTGACATATCATTTTTGCTTTGTCCCCTAATTTTCTGAACCTATCGGATCCCTAACTTCCTGGCTTATTTACCCGGGAGCTTGCGGGTGTACGCATCCTCCGAATTGAGCAGCTTAGTCCATGATCACCGTTGCCGAATTAGCACGCGGAAAGTGTGGAGGATTAAGGCGAAGGTCAGTGCACAAAGGCCCTTTCAAAGATTTTTGGAGTATTTCATCTTGAAACATTTCATGTTGACATGAAGACAAGAAAAAAATTTAAATCTTAACTTCCAAGGTTCTGCAAATGTATGTAATTGTTCAACCGGGTCGAAGCTATCAACTCCCCCGGAGCTTTGACCTGAAGCTGACCTGTAGCTGACCTGAAAAGCTGACATCTGGACCTGGGGACTCGTGGCAATCTGTGGATCGGCAAAATGGGAAACCGGGGTTTGGTCAATGGGGAGTTCAAATGTTGCCAATGTTCATGCTAGCAAGGATGTTTGTGCAGGACGGCACGGGGACTTGCCATTACTAGTCCATCTGGCTCCGTAACCTTGGAACTTCTCTCCCTTACCGATAAGGGAGTATATACCGGTGGCATCATTGGCTGTAAGCGAGAATAATAAAATTCCAATGCAGGTCGCATATTGGTTCCCTGAAGGGGAATTGTGGCTTGGTTTTCGATATTAAAGAGAAAAAAAATCTGAACACAAACCAGAAAAGGGAAAGAGAGAGCAAAAAAAAAGAAACAAAAAGCACACTATTCATCGTCATTTTTGAATTTGTTGGCTTTTGTTGCTGAACGAGGCGCCGCCATTGGGGATGTGTAGGGTGAAAACAACCATTTCAATCTAAATTTATGCAGTGAATGGTTTGGTTGACGATGCAAAGACCTTGAATCTAGAACTTTTGGGTTGTATTTTTTTTTCTGGGCTGACACTCATGAGAAACAAAGAACTTCTTCCCCACCCCCCTCCACTTTTCCCAAGAATCAATGGGTAATCATAACAATATGGACCGGTCGCTTGAAAGGCCAGACAAAATAACAAAAAAAAAAAAAGAAAATGCATAAACATTGAGACATGACTGCCAAGACCGTCAACAAGACGCCATAGCTTTTACCTCGTGCGCGCCCCTGAACCCTTGGACTTTGAACAAGACGCCCTCGTGGGTTCAGGTCACGCTACGAGGTACCAGGGGATGGGATTGAAAATCACAATAAGCAAGTGCATGCATGCATGTTCACTCACAGCCCAGAAATCAATCTCCACTCTCAAAAGCCTTAACAAAACTCTTCGAGCTCTTATTCGACGGGCCTCGGCTGTCCGTGCGAGAGCGATTCTCGCGATCCAACCACACTTGGGTTCCGTGGCGTCTTACAGGGAAGATGGCTGCAGTCCAGAAGCCCCGTACCTGTCATCATGGAAGATACAAGGCTAAGGTATTTTCTGGCACAGCCCAATCTGCCACCTTCCACCAGCATGTTTTGGACCGAACTCGTCGCCTCACTCAGTGGGCTGTGATGATCGAGTATTGGATTAAAATCCATTACCGCTTAACAATAGACACTAAAAAGCCACCGTCGTCAGTATTTTGCCCCCAATTGTCTCACTTTGCACGGCTGGTTGAGAACGCCCAAAAAGGAAAAAAAAAAAGAACAAAGTACGCACCAATATCCTCGTCACCCAACTCGTGCGAAAGACCAACACGCTGAGGCTGGTGCTTAACAGAGCGACCATACACAATGGCATGCTTGAATTGATCCTTGATCGTGCGGTGAATTTGGTTACACTAAATCCCCAATTGTTAGTTAAAAAAAAATCACAACCAAATTATGAAGTTCCAAGGTCCCTTACGAAGTCTTCCACCGTGCAGGAGCCGGAACGAAGGACAACGGGTGCTGAGTAGTCAGGAGCCCTGCCCTTGGGCTTGGTGTAAATTCTGCGCAAGTTGAGCTTCTCCCACATCATCTCCAACAATTCGTCGACGTTCCAGCCGTGCTCGGAACTGATGGGGACAGCGTTCGGAATTCGGTACAGAAGATCCAATTCCTCAATAGAGATGGCATCAATCTTGTTGAGCGCATAGACAACGGGAATGTAGCTTCGGCTCTTGGCTTCCAGAACATCAATCAGATCGTCAATAGTCGCGTCGCATCGAATAGCGATATCGGCAGAAGTGATCTTGTACTCGCTCATGACGGCTTTGATTTCCTATTTTAAGGTGTGAGTGACTGCTGTTGTGAAATGCCGATTTAATCAGCTCAGAAGACTCACCTCGGGGGTAATGTTCGTCAAGGGAACAGTGCTGGTGATTGCGATACCACCCTTCTCCTTCTTCTTGAAGTTGATGTTGGGGGGAGACTTGTTGATCCGGATACCGAAGCCCTCCAATTCATTCTCGATAACCCGCTTGTCGACCAATGGCTTGTTCACATCGAGAACAATGAAGATGAGATGGCAAGTCTTGGCCACGGCAATGACTTGACGACCACGACCCTTGCCGTCTTTGGCACCTTGAATAATTCCGGGAAGATCGAGAATCTGAATTTTGGCACCGTTGTACATAACCTGTCCGGGAACGGTCGTGAGGGTCGTGAACTCGTAAGCGGCAGCTGTGAAGCGAGTCAATGTCTGCGACTTGGATTTGGAGAGATGAAGCTTTGTTCAAACACACCTTCAGAGTGCTGGCCAGTAAGTCTGCTCATCAGAGTACTCTTTCCGACGGAGGGGAAACCAATGAAACCACTGCATGATAGATATGAGCAACCGATCCAATCTTGCGCCTGTACAGTTCTTCGTTCGCGATATACTTACACACTAGCAACACCAGTGCGAGCAACATCGAAACCGGCTAGAAAAATCCACATTAGCGATTTGATCTACATAGAATGTCTCAATGATGCAACTTACCACCACCGCCACCACCTCCACTGGTAGGGGTCAAAAGCTCTCGCTTCAGCTTAGCAAGCTTGGCCTTCAATTGTCCTGCACTGATTGTCAACCCTGTCCATTGTCGAGATCTACCTTCGCTCGTTCGTTTACTCGGTGTATCGTACCCAAGTGATAAGAGGTGTTCTTGTTCTTCTGGGTCCGAGCCATCTCGGACTCGACCTCCTTAATCTATACCAGTAACAATCCTGTCAGCATTGTCTTGTGCGCATTTTGAAGATATTCGAGTCCCGCACTAACCTTGTCAATTGTGGTCGACATTTTGGCGGTTGTATTTCACAGCAGGCACAGGGCAAAAAAAAAAAAAGTATCTGATCCTGGTTTATACCGCACAGGTTGGCTCTCTCTTCGGAGTAGTTTCCCTCTGCGAAAAAGCGACTCGTAAGTTGTGGCGAACAAAGTGCACCAAGGGTTGCGGAGACCACAATCTTTGAATTTTAGTCAGGGCGGGGTGCAGGCCTGAGGCAGTAAAGTGGGAAATTATGTCATATACTGCCTGAAACTTCGGGCTATAAACGGACCTTCCTGCCTCAGGCTGTTATCGCTTATCGAAAGCAGGAACCAAAAATTGTGGCAAGTACTGAATGAGTGGCTTTGTTCCAAATAGTGTTCAAGCTCGTCATTCAAAGGTTTTGTTTCTCAATTTCAGACTAATTCATTCCTTTTTTGTCTTCCAAACATCCATCATTCTCTCTCATACTCCAGCACAGCGAAGAAAAGAGAATTCCTAGTACTTAAAGCGGGAGTCCCGGCTTCGATCTCAAGCTCCGATAACGGTTTCCCTCCTTGGCCCTTTTCAAGAAATCACATCAAACACTGCAAATTGCCTTTGAAGGCTTTCGCCTGTATCATGCCGTTCCTCAACAATGGGTCTGAGACCCCATCTGACTCTGACAAAAGCTTAAATGAATTTGAAAAGCTCGTGCATGATCTTAGCGTGGCTTTGGGTCCAAGCTCCGGTCTCGACTCGGATGATGTCGACCCCAAGAATATTGAAATGCTCATGTCAAAATACATCTCCAACTCAGAAGAATGGGGAAATTGTGCCCTGGGAGACCCCAGCAGATCTTACACACGAAATTTGATTGATGAAGGGAATGGCAAAAGCAACCTAGTGAGTTCTATATGTATTCATATATTAATGCATAAACGCCATGCATGAGCCTATCTCACATGTGTGCCACACAAGCTTACTAATACTATTATCTAGCTGATTCTCGTCTGGAGTCCAGGAAAGGGCAGCGCGATACATGATCATGCCAATGCACACTGCGTCATGAAGGTATGTCATGCGGTCGTTGCTGGGCCATGCCAGAAGCTCTCGGCTGACTGTTTGGCAGATTCTCAAAGGAACGCTGAAGGAGACACTTTACTCCTGGCCTGATCAAGAAAAGATAAAGCATGGAGAGTCGGCCCCTCCTCAGATTACTCGAAAAACTACATTCGGAGAAAATGAGGTCACATACATGTCCGACAAGGTGTGTTGCCTTTGCACTGAGTGAAACATTTCCAAACACATGTAAACAATGCTAATTTGATTCAAGCTTGGCCTGCATAGAATATCGAATCCGGACCCAAACAACTTTGCTATCTCGCTACATCGTGAGTTTTTTCCACTGTTATTGTTCTTGAAACAATCGAATGTCCTCTCATCCACCGTCTAGTTTACACACCACCCAACGCAGCTAGGGATGGCTTTTGTCTCTATGACGAGAAAACTGGCAAAGCGAAACACATTAAACAGGCACATTTTTACTCTGTTCGCGGGAAGCGTCTTGACTATGGACAGTAACAAATATATGCTCTCTTTGATCCAGTGACCTGGGGGTTCCACCCCATCTTCACAGTGCGATAGGGGCTTTGTAACTTTAGGCGTGTTGTCTCTCTTTATATTTTTACGATTCAATGACACTCTACTTTTATCATATCCACTACAAAATCCGATGAGCTTTTTCAGGGTCCACTCCAGGGCTTCAACGGTTGGATGGCCTTCAAACCCAGGGGCCTAGGGACCGCGGGCAGAGGCGCAGCAATATGCAGGTACAGTGCCACAGGTGAGGACAACATTGAAACTTTGAATTACCAACCTCTGTTGGAAGGCCTTTGCAAATACGTAAGATATTCATATGGAGTATTGTTTATATCATAAAACATGTGCTTGATTAACCAGTAATCTATACTAACTCTAGTCTATAGAGCCCAAGCTATGCCAAAAAGAAGATGCTATATATGCAAATGCAAAATCGTAAACCAAACACCCCAAAATATTACAAAATAACCCATCAATATGATACACTGGCTTTAAGTATCAGTGTTCTTGCAAGTGAAGCTGTAGCTGCTGGTGTCATCATGGATGGCAGTACCAGAAGCGTACAGACCCAGCACGCAAAGGGCAAGACCAAAGAGGGCAATGGCCACGTTCAGCACGAACAGGGCAATCTTCCGCTTTGAGGAGAACCAAGCACCCTTGTTCAAGTGCAGCCAGTAGATACCGCTAAGACCGTAGCTGAACCAACTAGCAAACAGGGCACTGATCAAGCTGTTCAAGTCACTGAAGACAGGAATAGCCTCGGCAATGATCCAAGCAACAACCCAGCAAGACACGCCGAGAGCAACCCAGATTCCAATGGACTTCCAGCTGCGCTGGTGAATGAGATCAGACTTGGCGCAGAGACGGAAGTAGATGTACTTCAAGCCGATGTGACCGTTCACGACTCCCGCGCCGACAATAGTAGGGATGGCAATACCGTAGGCGACCTTCTTCATAAGGGGACCGGCAGCGCTAAGAGCAGGCGAGGGCACCTCGCTACCGACGTAGTAGTAGATAACGACACCAGCAGTGAGGTAGAGGGAGATTTCGAAGCCCTGCAGCATGAAGAGGGACTTCTTGAAGTCCTGGGGGGTCTCCATCTCGGCGATCAGGCCGAAGAAGGCGACGTGGGCGCAGTAGGCGAAGACGATGTTGGAGACGGCCTGGAAGGCAGTGTAGAGGGATTGTTCGGTGGTAGCTTCAACGATGCGGTCGGGGGTGGCCTCGACACCGACGGAGATCATGGTGATCATTACGGCGCTGAAAATGCTGATGAAGGATGCGAAGGAGATCCAGGTCATGCCCTTCATGGTACGGGGGATGGAGAGCACGAGGGAGATCAGCATGCCGACGAGCGCGAAGACGATCGAGCACGTGCCGTGGTTGGTGATGGTGTTCATCATGACGCGGAAGGTGAGGATGTGACTGCCCATGACGAAGATGCAGAACAGGAACTGGCCTCCGCCGAAGAGCTCGCGGCCGAATCGGCCCAGGAGAATCTCGCCGGCGTCTCCCAGGTTCTGGATGTGGGGGTAGCGCTCACGCATGAGACCAATGTTGTATCCGGTGTAGGTGGCAAGGAGACCAAGGCCGACAATAAGGATGACACCACTATCAAGAGTAGATATGTTAGTCGATGGTTCTTATATCCCAAGTTTGCAATTCCATGTTTCATCAAGGAAAGATAAGAGTACTCACGGGACCAATCCAAGAGTAGCCACGGCATTGGGCAGTGACAGGACACCGAGCGAGACAGACTCGCAAATCATGAGCAGACCACATTGCCTATAGAACAGTCCCAAATCAGCAAATCTTCTTCACATCAAACCCCTTCGAAGTATATAAAGAGCAATAAACATACCACCACTTCAAAGTCTTATACTTGATTTCAGCATACTCCTCATCACCAAAGGCATCCGAGACCTCGCCATGCTTCATGGCATGGACATCATCCTCCAGGTCCTGCTGATACTTGTGCTCCTCGCCAATCTTGTCATTGTGATAAGCCGGAGGCTGCTGGGTGTTGACGGACTCCATGTTGAACAGAGTAAAGATATGCACAGATTCCGGGGTGTTGTCAACAAGACCAGGGGGGATATGGGGAAGAAGTAGAGAATCCCACGCGCGGTAGGCATTTCATTAATAAAACAAACGGGTTAGAGTTTGTCTACCCCAATCTCCGCGTTGCCGATTTTGCCCCGTTGGAGGCAAAACTGCGTTCGGAAGGCCATCGAAGACCCACCGAACGTTCTCCTTCTCATGGTTGGCTGCGTGGACTGTCAACCGGGCCGAGAATCGGTTGGGTGACCAATCAGCGTCACGGGATCGATCAACTTTGACTAATAAAGTTTTCTGCACGTAAATTGACTCTAACGCTGTTACGGTTCCTTTCTAGTAACCACAAAGCATGTAAGGTACACACCAATCTCAATCTGATCTATACGGGGTAAATATCATTTATGCTTTGGATGATGGTAGAGGCAAATGTTTCATTTTCATCCTTGGAAAAGATTGCGAAAAGAATGTTCTTTTCCAAGTTTGGTCTCCACTGTTAGAGTTTTTTTTTTATTTTTTCCGTTCTCTCCAAGGTTTTCCCCTCTCATATCTCCGGTGTGGCTCGATGTGGCTCGGACGGATGCCGTTGAAACATTTTGAGTTGTTCCGGGTCGGCTCTATATTCTTCCTGACCTTGACTCCGGACTTGGACTGATTCACCCCGAGATTTCCCAGAGATTCCCAGAGATCTTAAAAGATCCGTTCTTCTGCGTAAGATCCGTCCTTGGCATCAACATTTTCCCCATCGTATGAGCTTCAGCACATTGGTCATTATTGCCGTTCAACTGAAACATTGGAAGCTCAAAAAAAAAAATTTCCAATAAAAAAAAATTGGTTAACTACATATGTAACATTCCAATCCTACGATTCAATCCCCATCAGCAAGTTTGCAAACACGAGTTATGCAGATCATGCAGTTGCCTTGGCGTGGCTGACATTTACTCTGTGGCTGGTCAGGATCGACAGCTATTTCTCTCACCGGCTCACCCGAGATCTTAGGTCAACACATTAGGTATGCCACAAGATAAGCATCTTTCTTTATTTCCCCTTCGTACTCTTCTATTGGTCTTCGCTTCGGGAGCCTGATCGGTTTTCGAGCTTTCTTAAGCTTACCAAAAGGTGGCGAACCCACTCGCATTTTGCCCTGCCGGAATAGGAAGGTCAATAGTCACAACGGTCTGGCGGCTCCGGATGGCCTTGGCAAATTCGGGCAGAACACAACAATTACTAATTCCGGGAGTTCAGCACATGACCATCTGCCATTCAAATGTTGAGGTCTAGATTGTCCAAATGTCAGGTGTCAAAAGGGCACTTCGAACCAGGGTTACTATGAGTATCCAATGCTTATTCATCAAATCCTCAAATATCGAAAGTTCATTCTTCAGAATAGCTGATGCAGTATGCAAGTGCAATGTACAAGGTGCAATGTGAACGCGAGTCAAACTGAATATCTGTGGCACAACAAAACGAATTCCAAAGCCCCGGTACAGTAGATGCTCATCAAGATTAGTAACGTATCGGGCATGCATATCCAAACTTAGAATCAATAAAAAAGACATCGCAAAATTTAGACCAATGGGAAATGGGGAAAATCAAGATGACAAACTGTATGCCTCGGTCCCCCAAGTACAGCTTTTAGAAACCATAATATGGCGGTCACTTCCTCCCCGTACAGTACTAGAACAACTAAGACTCCGGTTCACGAGGCATAGAGAGTTTTCTAAACCAATGATCCGGATCCTCCTGGGCTTCGGATTGTCGACGTCGGAGCTCTTCGAGCTGCATCAGGGGATTCTGTAGATCGCCATAATAAGTACGTTGCGCGGAGGAGGTGAGAGAATGCATCAACCGTGACACCCACCCAGTCCTCCTGGCTCGGAACCCCCTCTGCAGTTGGGAGGGTGGATGCATCATTGTCGTCACTCTGTAGACCTCGGACACGATGGATGGGCGCCGGGGTCACGGGGAGACTGGGCCGTTCGATCTCCGTGGGGAAATCAGTGAGCTTCATGCTTAGTCGGTGGCCAGCGGATGTGCCGGTTGTCGTGGCTGTGGAGGATGACGAGAAGTTGCTTGTACTCAGACTGGTGCTTCTGCTATGGCTCGAGCTTGCCTGCACGGAACCAGATATTACCTGGGTTTTTCCACGGCGATATTGTTGAAGTGAACCCATGTACCGCTGAATCTCTGGATCTTCGTCCCAGGCATTTAAGCGGGAATATTGCTCGTAGGTTTCTGCGGAAGGTTCGTATGGTGCTTGGATTGGGAAAATCTGAGGTTCGGCCTGAGGGGATTCAATGGGTAAAGAGTCGACCTGTTGCGGGAGCATGGGAATTTCTGGGGAAGGAGTACGAGGGACGACTGCCGCCTCCTCTGTAAAGACTCTGGTGGGTCTGGGTGCATTATTTTCCCAAGGGAAGATCTTTGTAACCCTTTCGGGCTCGGGTTTGGATTCGGGAACTTGGTAGTACATGTTTTTGGGGGCTTCGGGATACGATGGAGGTGGTTGGAAGAGGGCGGTGTCCTCGGACATGGTGTATGTCTTCTGCTCCAAGCTAATACCTTCCGGTCTAGTATTAAGCGGTGGCGGCTCGCTATTTTGTGTAAGCTGATTGTCATAAATAGATTAGTTGTCGAGTAGAAGCCAAGCCTTACCGGGAGGCATCCCATTCTGCCTTTGGTGCCTGGAAATGTGTCACTTCTGGTTCAGGCGAAGGGGCTCGGTGCCAATGCTCCACAGCCGGTGGGGGTGCAACGGGTTGCGGGTGATGTATGTGAGCCTCGGTCTGGTCGGACTGTTGGTGATGCTGGTGGTTGTGGTGGGGGTGCTGCTGCTGATGGTCGTGTTGTTGTTGTTGTTGTTGATGCTGATGATCGTGCTGCTGCTGCTGGTGAAGATGATGATGCCCATGATGCTGATCTTGCTGGTGATGATGCTGGTTGTCATGGCCATAGTGCATATACTGACCTTCTGGTTGTGCTTCATGGGATACATGGTGTTCATGAATCACAGGTGCAGGAGCATAGTGAACGGGCGGTATAAAGGTCGAATATTGTTCTTCTCCACGAACGTACTGTGGGACAGCACTCAAAACTGGTATATGGGACGAAAATGTATCCCGGTCCACGGCATGATGATCGTGTTGCGGTGGTACATAATGCGCTTCTCGAGACTCTAATGATACGAGAGCAGGCACATATTCACTCGAATGGCCTTCTTCGTGGTGATCACTAACCGACTGGTCCTCAGCATGATGAAAATGCTGGTGCCCCAATGAGGATTCGGGAAGACTTTGAAGTGACTCTGGTCGGTCTGTAGGATGAGCTGCCGGGAGAACGATTTCTTGTTGCGAGTAGGAGACCTGAATTCACTGTTAGTTGAACCCTCCCACTCCATCCGAGGCGCAATACTCACAAATGGCGCGTGATAATGTCTATCATAGACCGACCACCATTTGTTCAATAGCTGGTTATACGGTGACTCCAGCGGAACTACCTGCCTAGGCAAGTTCCACGGCTTTTGAGAACCAATGAAGTGAATGAGGCTGATGGTACTCTGGAAATGCTTGTATGCAGGAATGTACTGATAGTTCGCACTAGGCGTGCAGTTATACGTGAAGCTCAGTTTATGCCAATCCTGGAAGTGCATGTTCAACAATCCCTGGTCAGCTCCATCAAAGCTAATGCCCCGCTCAGCCAGCGCCTTCAGGGTATAATAGTCCTGCATATTAGGGCGGAGAACCATGAGCCCACTATTGAAACAATCTGGCCAGCCTACGTCGGGTGCAGCGGCAAAGTTCACGTCTAGTGAGAATAGCTCGTCTGGTGCGCGGAGAGCGATGACATCACAATCAATATAGACGATTCGTTTGTATTGTGTCAAGCGCCAGAGTTCAATTTTTGTGAAGGTCGCAATCAAATCCGGTCGGTCCATCAGCCATAAGTTTGCGGGGGTGCCATTCACGATCGAATTGACTGGGATGAGCTCGTCGTAGACCGTCTAGGGCACACGCCTATGTTAATTGGAGTCAGATGGAGATGATAATATGAAAAATAACATACCCGAAGTTCATTAACCGTCTCTGACCGGAGTGTATTCGGTGTAAACAGCGCAACCAGCTTAGCTGTCGTGCCATTGTCACGCAAGGAATGCGCAAGTACCATAGCACCTATAAATGAAGCTCTGGTCAGAATAGATAGTTTTTCAAGATGAAAGATCATGTCAGTCTCTTACCTGGGAGATAATTGTCGCTTAGCAGGAGCTACGGAAACAAAATCAGCTTCATTTGTTCTTTTTCTTCTTTTCTTCTTTTCTTCTTTTCTTCTTTTCTTCTTTTCTTCTTTTCTTCTTTTCTTTCAACAGATCAGACAAAACGGGGGACGTTCGGCTTCACTAACCGTGCAATAAACGTTCCTCTGTTCGGAAGCCATGACGACCCAAGCTTGCCTCAAAGCGACCCGACGCTTTGGGCAGTAGGTACAGTTGCAAGGCGCGCAATTGAGAGAGATCAAAACCACCGGAAAGCAGCGTTATTATTTATCCACGGTAGACTTGTTACTGTCACCAATAACGGTTTGGACTGGCCCCGCTGCTCAACAAGCAAGCGGGCCACAAAAGAGCTTGTGGTACCTGACCCGGACGCAGGTTCGAGGAAAACGAAAACGACTTGCTCTCACGAGAGCTGCAGCATTCTGGCCGGTAAAGTCGTGCGATGTGACTACCAGTCAATGTGGCAATCCAGTAAACCAGAGCTTTTCTCAAAAGCTCAAAAACTTCAAAACAGTGAAAGTTGTGGAGAATAAAAAGAGGGGAAGTGAACAACTAGGAAGCTAATCGAGGGGAAAGGTTTGGGGAAAATCCACTGCTGACACGGATGATCCGAGCTTTAGCACCCGCGTTCAGAGCTCCACCTTCCAAGTTTAGGGGAGATTTGGAACACGAGACTTCCAAGGAAATAGCACTTGAGAAAAGATGGACATATCAACTACATTGGAAAGAGATTGTATTCAATGCTTATAGTAGAATTTCTCCTATTTAACGTGAGTCGTGACTTTGCAATATTTTCCAATGGTTGAACTTTGCCAAGTTCAAGCCTAGAACATCATTGTTTCGCATAGAAAGAAGCAGAAAAAAAAATGAAAAAATGAAAAAAAGAAAAAAAGTAAAAGAAAAGGGGGGCGCATAATCCAACTAACATTATCATTCGGTCAAATTGATTTCCCATTCGGACTTGGTTGGGTTCCAAGGTTGCCAGGGAAGGTTAGAGCGGGACGCCACCCGATACTAGAGGCTAGAGCGTTGGTGATACAAAACCTCCGGTCAACGGTCACGATATTGATAACACCCGCGCTTTAATTGTAGGCTTTTGACATTTGAATTATAAATTCAATGGTCTCTTGCCATAGAATTTTACCTCCGGGCAAGCACTTTCACATTGAATTTCTCCAATGCTGCACCCACATCCCCTTGCTCACCCTCAATGGCCCATTGAATAGCCTTCGTTAGGGCCATGCGGCTTTCTAGCTCAATGGGGGTGAAATGTCCTGATTCGGGAAGCAGGACAATCTGGCTATCCTTGGGAATGAAATCAGCCATACCATCCAGACAGATGGCAGTATGAAGCGCAACATCTTTCTTGCCCCAGAACACAGTCGAGGGCGCCTTCAGAGCTCCCGGGGCTCCCTGCGGCTCTTTCCCACCAGCGAGCTTATCCAGAGCGACCACTGTCTCCAGAGATTTCTGCCAGTGACTACGCTCCGCACCGTCCCGGTAGTAGCCGGCTAGATTCATCACGTTGGCAAACTTGGAGTCGAAGCGAATGGTGGTCGGATATGTTTCGCCGTCAGCGGTTTGGGTCTTGGATTCTTCCAGAGAAGGTCCCATGCTACTGGCCATGGAGTTTGCCAGGTCTTGAGGAGTGGGCTTCGCTCTACCGTGAGAGCCAATGTGGATCATCGCCATCAATGAATGGTTGCCGCCCGTCAGGAAGTACCGGGCAAGGGGGGCGGGAAGCTGCATAACAAAGATATATCCTGACATTTTAAGTTGATATCTCAAGGGAGACAAGGTCTGCCATGCCTGGCGTAACGGTGCGCGAGCACCAAGGGGGGAATTCCATGCATCGTTGATCATCTTCCGCGCAGTGCAAAGCATGCGGCGGATATTAGAATCAATCAGGCTTGGCTGGGTAGAGAGTTAGCTTAGGTTACACAGCAGGCGATTAATTGTTATTGTTTCTTTCTTCTTCTTCTTCTTCTAAAAAAAAAACAACTTACCAGTGGGCCATTGCTCAAGAGAAAACGATCAGCAAGCGACGGAGCTTCAGTTGCGAGTCTCATCGCGATAACGCATCCCCAATCATGGGCGACGATAATTGTCTTCTTCTTACTCGTTTCCGTAGCATTGTCAACGCCATACTGAATTCGCAGGTTGATGATAAGCTGTGCCATGTTCTCCAAGACATTTGTGCCATTGTATTTCTTCACGCCTTGCGAGCCGCCGTAGCCAGGCATGTCAATGGCCACCAGTGTAGCAGATTCCTGCAAAGCAGGATTGCTGGCAATATGCCGCCACACAGCCCAACTATCTGGGAAACCATGGATAAAAATCACCAGAGGCTTGTTGGACGCCAACACTTCCTTGGAGTTGGGGACATCATTACTAAGGAAATGAAACTTGAAGCCAGAAGGAAGAGTCAAGAAGTAGTGGAAGAGTCCAGCATAATCCTTTGACAGATTCCACAGTCGGTCATGAGCTACAGTACTATTAGCAAAAAATCCGTGGTGGGGAGCCGTGAGAAAGCCCGTGATACATACCAAGTTGGAGCTCTAGCTGATCTTTCTCGGAGGGCTTTTTGAAAAATAAACCCAATCGAACCACTATGAGGCCGTACAAGATCATAGAAATAAATCCGTAGGTCCAAACCACCGCCCTGATGGTACCCTTGACGAGGAAACCTGCCATCTTAATGCGTTCAATGATTGATCATGGAACAGATCGAATTAATTTTGTGGAGGGGAATTTTTTTAAAGGTTACGCAGATTTATCAAAGAAAAGCTCGCACCAAGCTCTCACGCCAGAAAGGGACCTCGGCCTCCAGAGCTCGGATCCATTAATCAGCTACCGTGAGGTCTCCACCAGACAACAGCTAACGGACAAGATCCGGTTTATTACTTTGTTTGATTACAGCAGTCATTCTACAACTTCTTCAACCGTTTCAAGTATGCAATTCGCCTGGATAAGTGCTTTTTCCAAATACTTTGGTGAAATACAGCGGTGTCCGCCTCAGTGGATCGGATCCTCAGCCCAAGAAACGCCAAGTCCATCTTCACATGCAGTCAAATAAAAAACAAGTGTATCAGGGAGAGGCAAAAAAGCCTCCGTGGGCAAAATCAAATGAAGGAAATATTAGGAGGGAAACAACATCAAAAAGGGTATTAACACATGATGGGGTAGCGGCATGACGAAATATAAAAAAGGGGGGGGAATAACATCTAGAACATTGAAGACAACAAGGAAAAGGCCGTTATCTCGTCGAGTTCCCACACGAGGCTGTCTCGGTTCAGCATGCGGGAATGGGTGGGAAATTAGGGTATATACAAGAGTGATGTCTTGGAGAGAAGATGGAACGTTGGTGAGAATGCTATGCACTTCACAGCGAGAATCCGAGTCTTTCTCGGTTGTCATCCACCAGGCGGCCGTATCTAATATCAGGGTTAGTCAAAGGTTGGCTATAAATAAAGGGCAGGATGTAGCTTACTCTAGGAGCAGACGGAAGAACCAGACCTCCAAATCCTCATTTCGCAACACTTTCTGGGCCCAATCCTGACCCTGAGCTGCGATTCTCGGCGCTGTTTTCTTGCCATCTTCCTCGGAAACAAAGTAACGCATGGTTTCTGTATACTCATTGCCCTTCAAACTGAGGGGCGCGTAATGCACCCAAGGCTTGAGCCATTCATCATGCCACTCGCGGAAGATAGCGATCTTATAGACAAAACTGTTGCTGTGGAGGAAAGCATAGAATCGCCCACTGAATGCGTTACCATCTACATCAACCAGGTATTTGTGTGCCCAGGCATCCTGCTGACCAGCTGCCTTCACGACCTCAAAGTATTCCTCTTGGGCGTGACAATCGTCCGGATCACACTGCCCAATAAAGGTGAATTTGACATCGAAGGAATCCCGGAATTGCTCCTGTTTCACTTCCTGCGCGGCCCACAAATTATCTGCTTGACGTGCGAGGATCTTGGTTGTACCGAGAGAGTTGACGTTGTCCACAAATTGCTGCCGGTGTTGACGACGCCAGCCACCTGCACGCGAAAAGCCACCCGTGGTAGATCCACGCCAGTACATCCGGTCTGTCTTGGCCTCCCAGTTGTAATCCTTGTGTTGATCGTAGGGTACCTTGTCGGCCCAGTACCAGGGACTGGGGTAGAGGATATCCTGGAAGCTGGAAATTTTGCTTTGCGAAAAGATTGGGAACAGATCGTGGACAACATCGAAGGCATTTGGACGGTCAAAGAAGCCGTAGGTGTATCGAAGAGACGGGGTGTGGCAAATATCCGAGAAGGCGGTTGTGTTGTAGATGAAGCCCAATTCTCCATACGCATACGGTTCGCCGTCATCAGGCACGTTGTCGTCGAGCGATCGTGAAGGGCTATCGACAGGGCAGGAAATGCGCGAGTTGGTCCAGGTAGGCTGATGCGCGAAACGGTTGAAACGAGTCGTGCGCACCTCGTCAATGCGATCCCCCTTGTTCAGATCGGTGGGGCGTGGCGACCACACTTTTGTGGGAGTATTGCCCTGGAAAGCCGCAGGGATCACATAGTCCGTAGCGGTTTGTACCAGACGCTGGAGGTCTTCGCCAGGGATCACCACGCGAGGCTCATCGTGGGTATTGAAGACCAGATCCATGTCAGGGAGGTACTGGATGAATTGGGCCATCATGCCAGCCGTGGCCTCGCGCTGCCATTTTCGGCCATCACCACCACCTTCATTCAAAGTGACTTTGCCATCCCGGATCAGTACACCCAGCACTGCGTTATCAAAGCCCAGGGTTTCACGGGCGCGTTCACGGATGGTCGCCGGCTTCAGAGCCCAGAAAGGGAGCAAGGAATGGTAAATTGAATCGAATTCATCGATCAACTGCACGCCCTTGGATTGAGCAAAATAGAACCACTTATCGAAGTTGGGTGGCGGGTGCATTTTGTAGCGACGCTTGTACTCCTCGACGGCCTCAGCCAGGGTGGCGGACTGGCGCGATTGCATGTGGGCAAAGTGTTGCTCGGCATTGTCGACTAGGTTCGCGATCGGATGGATCTTCTCAGGGGAGTAGGAGGTCTGGCCAGCATGGAGTTGAGGGTGCTTGATCGGTTCGGGGGGAGGGATGTCTACCGGCTTGGGGTGTGATTGTGGTTGCCGGAGGTAAACGAGGGAGAAGCACGCGAGCAGAACGACGGCGAGCAGGATGATCAGACGTTGGGGTCGCATCCTGCCATCTGGAGAAGGCATGAAGGAGGGAAGGTAGCGAGGTTTGGGAGGGGGGTTAGCAGGGAAAAGGGTCTAAGGAGAAGGATCCATTTAACATTTAGTTGTTCCAGGTCGGCCAGGCTGGCCAAACCTATTTTCCAAGGTTATTTAAAAAACCGGGGCCACCAACCGCCAAGACGCTTGACATAATTTGTCTACGTACTATTTTTTGCTGGTTTTTTTGCTGGTTTTTTCTAATCTTATTGTATTCCGATTTCACCCTATGACGCGGTTGTATTAAGTCTTTATTTGCTTTTTTTTTTTCGGACAAAAAACCCCTGCGGACAAAGTGTCCAAAAAGGCGAAATTTATCCTAGTGCATACTAGTACAGGGAAGAGCTGCAAGTTATATATGCTATTTTAACCTTCAGTAACAAAGAGAAATTAAATAGAGTTATAGATGATCTGGTCCCGAACTAAAGCCGGCTTTGTTCATTCAAGTGGAGACAATGTTACATGGACTCCAGATGTCGCTTATTTATTTTTCCCTAAATAGCCCGAGTCCAGAACATTTGGAGACGCAGGTGTAAGACACCTTTGAGTACTAGTATAGAATAATAATAAAAACTTAAAAAAATACATACACAGCCATCATTTGAACCTTTCGATAACCTTGGAACCCATGATGCTGATTTAAGCTTGACCTCCCCATTGCACGGCCACCCAGGAGCCAACCGCATTCAAGACAAATGCACCCAATGATTGAGCCATATACCTCTGCGCTTGCGCAACATGGAAGTAAGCCGCACCACATAACACAACCACGAGCGAAACATGCACCAAATAGAAATACCGACGTCTATCCTGCATAGACCCAGCCACAACAGTAGCTCGTACCCTACTTGCACCCTTCTGTGCGGTACCACGAGGCCGGGCAAAGAGCAACAGAACGATTGCTGTAGACAGGGCTAGTAGACCACACTGAACATCGAGATCACGCACCCGCTTCGCCAACAGCGTCCCAAATTCCGGGTGACTGTTTTGCACAAAGAATAGGAGATAGAGAGTGGCATGACCGAAGATCAAAGGCGAAATGACCACACGGCCGAAGAGTCGGTGATATGGGGTAAGAGTTCCCTGAGGAACATTGGTGATGAACGAAAATATAGATGCTGCCGAGGGCTTGGAAGTTGATATGTACGCTGCGGGCGACATTAGAATCTGCAAGGGAACTTGAGAAAGACCGACATGACCCAGGGCCTTGGTCAAGTGGAGATAATCTGCACGGGAGTGAGCCAATGTTGACAAGGAAAGGGAGAAAAAAAACCACTTACCATCCCCGCTGTTCCACACACAGAGGCCGAATAGCCATGATAGCCAAAGGAAACACAGGGCATACTGCCGACGAGTTTCGAGCCACCCCGCAACCAGAGGTCGGTCCCACCATGAGACCGGTCCTCGGGATGCTTTCGCCTTCTTTTCTGTCTGAGACGGGGTCTTCCAGGTTTGATAGATGACTCGGAGGATCACAATGACTATCAGGATGGACCACTGCGCGAAGGCGCCCCGGACGTCCAGTAACTCCCTGCGATGGAGCTTCTCCTCCTCAGAAACAGTGACAAAATGCCATGGCCAAAGGAATACCATCTTGTAAGATGGATCGATGTAATCTTAATTAAGGGTTGGATCAAGCCTCTTCAGATATTAATTGTAGGAAGTGCTGTTTCCAAGTTTGATGGGCGTGCTGTACAGTATATAATAGACGGAACCGGCGAATCCGACACGTTACGGCTTCAGCAAGTTGAGACGAACATGCCGAAGGAAGATTAATGTTTGCAATGGTTCTTCTTGTTGTTCGATCGTTCAGCCAAACAGTTCCTGGAGGGATTGACCAGGTGTCATTGTACATGTGGCTGACGCGTGTACAGATTAGGAGTGTCCCTAGCCGCGCTGACAAATGGTGCAATTTTACTCGTCCGTACATGTAGTTATATGGACTTGAGGTATTATATGTACTGTTCCTGGTACACCCCTCCGGCACAACTGAGCTTTTCACTGCCTACCATGCTCCTACTAGGTTGATCTGATGCTTTACGAAGAATCCTGTGTAGATGGGTTGGTTTTCATGGAAATTGCCCAGGTGGGGAGATGTCAAGATCCGCCCACTCCCTCAGCAGCCCTGAACGAAGGTTCCAAGGTTGGAAAGCAACATCTACATAAGACCACAGTTTGTATGTGATTGTTTGAGTACCACATCCTCCCCAGGTGCCTCTACTAGCTACTTGGGTACCTACGACATATCAACCTTGGAATGCCTGACACACCGATACTAGCTGAGGTCCAAGGGTCTATCCAAATGGATGGATGATATCTACTACTTACGTTGTATCGGATCGACCAATGAAAGAATTAATACTGTCGTCGTTGCTTTTATGACTACCTCAGACCGGCATAGACCGTTATGTATGGATCAAAAAAACCTCTACATTAAAAAGACAAACGCCGTGAAGACATCTCATCCCGCAAAGGTGGCTATTCTATAGGCTGAAAATATGCCCATGGCCAGGAACCAAAAATGGGTTTGCGTTGAGTATGACCTTGTAATTTCCCGGGTGAATTCCTCTAAGGAGAGGTTTGCATGGCCTCCTCCGGGTCAGCACCCGCAGTAGTAGCAAAGTATCGGACATCGACATCGTCATCTTCCTGGAGCTTCTCCAGACTAGGCAAAACCTTTTGCTGAATGAGCTCTTGGCTGTGGGGCGAAGGAGTGACGGCTTCTCCGGATTTCTCTACCTCGACCAAAGTCTTGTCTGCTGGAAGGCGGCGCAAGGTCTCAATGAGGACAGCGTATGACTTGGCAACATTGAAACGGATGTTAGGGATCTCGTCCGCAACCAGTCGGTCCAGAATGGGAAGAATGGAGGTTTCGATAATATCCAGGGTGATAACTGGGGCAAGAGTCTGTATAAATTAGCACGAGTGGGAATCAGACGGGAACAAATATTCAAAACTCACAGAAATAGCGAAGCATGTTGTCATCCGGTAAAGGTAGTTGGGATGTTGTCCCATGGCGACAACCTTAGGAATAATAGACTCCTTGGACCATTCTACACCAAAAACTTCTGTAAGTTTCTTCAGGTTCAGGGTAGCAGCCTCTCGGATCGAAAAGACTGTGTCGCCCAACCAGCCCATGCACAGATCGCTCAACTGCTCATCAAAGAATTTAACTCCCAATTGGCTTGCAAGAAGGGGAATGTATTCGATGATGGCAAGACGCACGCGCCATTGCTTGTCCTCAGCCAGCTGAACAATGGCGGGGAGCAGGGATTGGGAGAGAAGATCAATGCCAATGACTGAGTGGAAAAAAGTTAGACAAAGCTCCGATTTTTTTTTTTAAAAAAATTAACAGATTCAAATATTACCTTTGTTAACCTGCTCAAGTTTAGAAATGATGTGAAGGCGAACATCAGGGAAATCATCCTTGAGCATCGAAAGGAACATAGGAAGAAGATGAGCAATGGTCCTAAGAACTGAAGTCAGCAGATGATAATCATGCGAAACAAGTGTACGAGAACGAACTCCTCTTTTCCAAGAATGGGTGCAAGACCGCTGATCTGAGTGCCCAGAGAAGCGCGGACATGCTGGGATTGATCCGAAACAAGGTCTTCCACACTGGTCATGATCTCGTTAAGTAGAGTATCGCGGTCAATCAAGCTACAGAAGCCGGGGATCTGGCCAGCGACCGCCGTGCGGACCTCGGCTTCAGTATCTTTCAATAGCTTCACGAAAGCAGGCACCATATCGCGTGTGATGACCTCTTCGTGAACTGCTTTAGCGATCTGCGTAAAACATTAGTATTGGAGTCAAGACAAATCCCCTATGTCATAGATCAGGGTACAAACCTTCTCGTATCTATCGGCGACCATGTATCGGACCCTCCAGCTCTTATCCTCGAACAAATTCCGCAGAGAAGTCAACAACACACCGTGGCTCGGCTGCTGTTCCTTGGGGATCTCCTCCGCGATCGCGATGAGGATGTCAACTGTCAGCAAGCGAACGCTGTCCTGGTCATCGCTTGCCAAATATTGGAAAAGGGGTATCATTTCATCGATAACGACAGGAGTCTGCATCTCCTTGACAAACTTGGCCAAGTTATTCGCTGCTTGTCGCCGCACCATGGGGGTCTCGTCGTGTACGAGAGCCCCGAAGTGTTGTCTGAGGTTCTGCTGGGTCGCGGCGGTGGCTTTCTTGTATGGCGCGCAGTACAGGCCGGTTGCTGAGACCTTCGAGGTGAACCAGTCGGCCTTCGAGAGGTGGAGGACCAAGGGGACAAAGAATTCTTCAACTTGGCTCACAGACAACTGCTCGCACACCTTGTTGAGAGATTCGACCGCCTGTATAACCAATCAGCAAAGTATCGACCCAACCTCTAAACATTCCCAACCCACCTTTTCGCGAACCAAAGGCTCCTCGATGGCCGCCAGGTTCTCCAGCGGGGACAGGAGCACGTGCGCGTGTTCCGGTCCTCCAACATATTCTGTGAAATTTCCCAGCTCTTCGCTCAGTGCGGTCAACACTTCATCTTCATCCTCTACGGAGTCTAGAAACAGTCGATATTAGGCGCATTCAAGGATTATGTGAGTGATTCAGTGGAAACCAACCGTCCAGGAATGGAATGAGCTCCTCCCGGGTTCTTTCGGGACCCAGAGCCAGGGCGATGGTAGATAGACGGTGAATTGCATTGAGGCGGAGGAGTACATCATCGTGCTAGAAGATTGAGATGTGAGCTTTGACAACATTAGAGTCACCCCTCCACCAGCCGACGGGCGATGGAGGGGGGAGGGGGGAAAGGGAAGGTATCATCCTCGAAATACCTTTAGCTCATCAATGAGTACCGCGATGGGGTAAAGCTCATCATTCTCAGTTTGGCCCTCCATCACGAATATCGGTGTAGGTTGTGTATTAGGTGGCGTGTCGGAGAGTCGGGGCGGGAGGTCCCAGTCCTGAGAGCAGGGTTGGTATCGGGGGCGTGTTGGTTCGACCCAGCGAAGTGGAAATGAATGATAATCACAGGAGGTATGACGGCATGAACTCAATAAGCTGAGGAGTCCGAGGGCAGGTGAGTTTTGACGTGGGGTGGATCAAAAATAGGTAGGGGAGAGTGGTAGTTGGAGAGAGAGCGGCCGGAGTGAGGTTTCGTGGGGTTTTGGGCCGCAGACCACCAATTTGGATGGTATGAAGCAACAAAAGGCAGGGGAAATGCGGAAGAAAAGAACACACCGAGCAATTGAAGAATGATATACAATGTACCGCCGAAGATCAGTTTGTACTTGGTTGGAAATCCTAGAAAAATCCCGAATCTTGTTTTTTTTTTCTATTGAATGTTTTCCACCAACTTCATTCTGAGCTTTCAGCGATTAAACAACTGCGGCTGGGTGTAATTTACATACGACATGGCACGGACCAGTTTCCACCGAGAACCAACATTATGAGGTCAGATTTCATGGCAGTGTGACAATACCATACAGTATCTGTCACAAAAGAGGGGGGAACATGGTGTGGCGGTGGTGGCTTGCGTGTAGAATTTCTGTCTCGGAGTCATTATCACTATCATATCTCTCCTTCTTCGCTAAGTATTCCCTTGGGTGACTAGGAATTGGTATGTCATTACCTCCCTTACAGATAAGCCGGCTTGACTTTGATGTCCACTGCCACTCCATTTATTTCACTCCGCTAACCTAGACGTTTTTTTTCTCGCTGCCAGATTTGTGTCGCATCGCATAGCGAAATTCCCCCGCCATGCCCACTATCTCGGTCGACAAGGCCGCTCTCTTCAAGGAGTTGGGCCGAGAGTATGTCATTTTGTCAGAGGATGCGTTTGTCTCAACTCATCTGACCTGATTTTGTGCAATTTTCTAGGTACACCACGGAAGAATTCGATGAGTTGTGCTTCGAGTTTGGTGAGTCAATCCCGTCGACACTTGCGGGGCATTGCGCTAACCAAATTTCTCAGGTATTGAACTTGACGAAGACGTATGACCTTCACCGACATCTCCCTTTACTTTGAATATGCGACTGAGAAACTACAGACCACCAATTCCGACCGACCCATCGTCAACGGCGTGCAGGAGCCCCCGCAGCTTAAGATTGAAATTCCCGCCAACCGGTATGTCCGATCCTACCAGAACACAATGAGGAGGGGACTAAGACAAGCCACAGATATGATTTGCTGTGCTTTGAGGGCATCCAATTGATGCTGAACATCTTCTTGGGCCGGAAACCCTTGCCTGAGTACAAGCTGGTCCCGCCGCCAAACGGCCAGCTCCAGGAGATTATTGTCAAGGAAGAGGTCAGTATCCATGGTGACGCTTGTCAACGACTCACTAACCAAAATGTTACCATAGACCACCAAGATTCGCCCCTACGTTTCCGGTGCTATCCTACGAAATGTCAAGTTCGACACCGCTCGTTACGAGTCCTTCATCGCTCTGCAGGACAAGCTTCACCAGAACCTGGCCCGTCAACGAACCCTTGTCTCAATCGGTACCCACGATTTGGATACTGTTCAAGGACCCTTCACCTACGAGGCTCTTCCCCCCAAGGACATCAAGTTTGCCCCATTGAACCAGACCCAGGAGATGAACGGCGAGGAAATGATGAACTTCTACGAGGTATGGCAGCATTCTAAAACACGTTGGTGCCCAAAGGCTCATTCGTTCTGCGCAATAGAAACACCAACAGCTGGGTAAATTCCTGCACATTATCCGCGACTCCCCCGTGTACCCCGTCATCTATGATTCGAAGCGCACCGTCTGTTCCTTGCCTCCCATTATTAACGGCGACCACTCCAAAATTTCCGTCAACACTACCAATGTCTTCATTGAGATTACTGCCCTTGACCGGACAAAGCTTGAGATTGTCAACCGCATGATGGTCACCATGTTCTCTCAATACACCTCGGAGCCGTTCACGTAAGTGCAATTATACGTCGATTCATATGGGTATACACTGATCACGTATACACAGTATCGAGCCCATCAAGGTTGTCTCCGAGCACAACAACGAGACTCGCATCACCCCCGATCTTTCTCCCCGCACCGCCGAGGCGGAGGTTTCTTACATTAACCAGTGCTGTGGTTTGAACCTCACCGCGGAGGACATCAGCACCCGGTTGTCCAAGATGGCCTTCCGCGCTAAGCCTTCCGCCACCAAGCCTGACATTGTCGAGGTCGAGATCCCACCGACCCGTGCCGATGTTCTTCACCAGTGCGACATTATGGAGGATGTCGCCATTGCCTACGGCTTCAACAACCTTCCGCGCTCGTTCCCCAGCAAGTCCGGAACCGTGGCCCAGCCTCTCCCCGTCAACAAGCTGACCGACATCATCCGTATGGAGGCCGCCATGGCCGGCTGGTCCGAAGTTCTCCCATTGATCCTCTGTTCGCACGACGAGAACTTTGCTTGGTTGAACCGCAAAGACGACGGCTCCACCGCTGTCAAGCTGGCCAACCCCAAGACTCAAGAGTTCCAGATTGTCCGCACCAGTCTGCTCCCTGGTCTCCTCAAGACCATCCGTGAGAACAAGAGTCACAGTGTGCCCATGAAGGTTTTCGAGGTCAGCGATGTTGCTTTCAAGGATCTTACATTGGAGCGCAAGAGCCGTAACGAGCGTCACTTTGCTGCTGCATGGTACGGAAAGACCAGCGGTTTCGAGATTGTCCACGGTCTCTTGGATCGTGTGATGGCCATGATGCGGAGTGCCTTCATCATCGGCGAGGAGGGTCTTGATAACCCTGATTCTGGTTCTGCGCAGTACTGGATCAAGGAGCTCGATGGTAAGCCTTTCATGACATGTCCATTTACCTGATCAGACGCTAATTTAGATTGTATAGACCCGACCTACTTCCACGGCCACGCCGCAACCATCCATGCTCGCATTGGTGACAAGGAACACGTCATTGGTACTTTCGGTATCCTTCACCCCACTGTGCTGGAGAAGTACGAGCTCAAGTACCCCGTCAGCACCCTTGAGATCAACATTGAGCCTTTCCTGTAGGCTGAACATAGCTATATCTTGTGAAGACTGACGCAGATGATGACATGATGAGGAGTGCTCTTATTATTGATATGCCCTGTTTCGATTAGAGCTACAGAGATGCCAAAATAAAATCAAACGTTATGCTTACCACCTGAGTTTGGACCCGCAAGAGTTACGACAGAAGCTCAAACATTTTGAAGAGTTTAGCGTAGAGTCGTAAATCACATCCTCTTAGGTACAATGTATTGATTGATCGCAGCGCCCTTTCCAACCTTGGGTTTACAGCTGGGATACATTGGCAAATCTTTCTGAAGTTTTCAAGTCAACCTATGGCTTAACTATCCGCATATAAGTAACCTGGCACGGAGCGACGTGCGTGGACCTCAGTAGCAACATTTGAAACCTTGGAAGACCTCGGGGGTACCTACTAGTATGGTCCAGTATGTTCGTAGATAGTATTCAAAAGTCTAGCACTTGAGGTGTCGGCAGATGTAAGTCTTCTTATACATGGGCCTGTGCGTATGTATGTGCATACTGACCAGTCAACAGGTACTTCCATGGTTGAACTTCAGCGTTGACCTATTCATCTAGAGAACTCCCCTGGTTGTCATCTACACGAGTTTCACTCATGGCTTCAGCTGGTCTTTCATCCGTATATTGGTGAAATTCCAGCTTTGCCTTGGCTCAGATGTTGGATTCAGGACCATTGGTGCACTTGTTGCATTCCAAGATTGACATGCATGGAATGCGAGGATATCGGGCTAGACCCACTTTTCTTTTGTAAATACCCCACGTAGATTTCAAGCTTTAATTCCATTCATAAGGATTTTCAGGAGATATTCCAAGGTTTGAACTGCTAAGTGGATCAATATCATAAATGTTGGAACATTGATTGATTCCTTATCTAGATAGAAAGCCCGGGGGTGATAGTAAACCCACCAGGCCGCAAGTGTAGTAGGCATTGGAAGTATGGATATTCGATTTCTTAAGCACCGGCACTTGTCTTGCAGAATGCAGTTTTTAAAGATTTTACGTAGATTTATAAACGTAGTAACGAATGACCATTACGTCAATGGAATATCTCCAATGCAAAAAAATCTTGAATCTTCATGTAATTTTGATTGCGTGAGGTAGGGAGTATGAGCTTAGGTTAGGAGAGGAAGTAAGAAAAGGAATAGCCAGGTTTTAATGAGAAAATAACATTTACTCCTGGGCGTAAGCCTCAGCACCACCCTCTGCCTCGGCAGCCTGCTGCTCGGCCAGGCGCTGCTGCTCAGCGAGCTGCTGGGCGGCAACAGCCTTGGCACCGTAGTCCTGGCTCATGGGCTGGAGAACGGGCTGCTCCTCCTTGGGCTCGATGATGGTGACCGAGTCGGGGAGGGTCTTCTGGGGGCCGGACTTGCCCTCGGGGTCGGAACCGCGCATGATCTTGACCTTGATTCCAAGAACACCCTGGCGGAGCAGGACGTGGCGGGTGGCGGAGTCAATGAACTCCTTGGCGGGCTGACCGGAGTGGATCATGAAACCGTCCTGTTGATACATGTTAGTGGTATATTCCGAGATAGATGCGAATTTCACGAGAAGTGCAAATTATGGGTTGAAGCGCGCATTGGGCCTGGGCGCAGTCTGATCGGTCGAGGGCCCAATATTCACCAACACGCAGCTTTCCATCCATATATCCGTCTTCTTCGTGATCGGTGCAAACATACAGTGAACTTCATGGACTTGGCACGGGCAGCGCGGAGCTTTCCGGACACGACAACCTCACAACCCTTAGCACCGGACTCCATGATGAAGCGGAGGACACCGTAACAGGCACGACGGACGGCAAGACCGTTCAGGAGCTTGTAGCGGAGGGACTCGCACTGAGCGACAGCGGAGAGACCACGGTTCTGGACCTTGGCGGCGTAGAGGGAGACGGAGTTCTCGGGGAACTTGAAACGCTTCTGGATGAGGGAGGTGAGCTCGCGGATGCGGCGACCCTGCTCACCGAGAACCTCCTGGGTGTGGGTGGCACGGACAACTGTTGGAAGCACCATCCGTTAGCATTGAATCCCATTTTTGACCGAATATGTCCCCCAAATTGATGATCTTTAAATTTTTTAAGGTCGGTAGTCGTGTAAATTCCATGCTCTTGTAGATCTCGAATTCCATCCAATATCCATCAACAATAGGGAGAAATCGAAGGGCGAACGTACTGATGTCGGTGACGGTGGGAGTAACACGGACTTCGACACCGGAGTAGCCCTCCTCGGCCAACTCGCGCTGGAAGAACTCGTTCAGCTCGGCATAGAAGACACCGTCGGCGACGAACTTCCTGCGCTTGGAAATAGCTCCCTGGACAGCGGCCATTTTTGCGTTCCTGGTTGGTGGAATTGGGGGTGTCGACGAGGTGGAGGGCGTGGTCGAGGTCGAGAGGTTGGTCGCTCGGTTGCGAGTTTCATTTAGTGGGGATTTTTTGGGCGTAGGGCTTCCATTGCCCGTTTAGGCTAGGGCTCAACCCTCGCTTACATTACAACACAGATAAAGTCTAGTGCAGACACCTTATCCATCAGGTGTCTATTGATTACTTTACGGCCCCAATGACATCACATCAGACATCAGATTAGAAGTATGGAAAGTGTTTCATGCGCTCGACTCCGATTTAGTTCTATGGACTAAAATCGGAAATGTGGGCCTGTGCCTACTAACTTCGCATAGACACTATGAATTGTCAACGAATATCAATATCTTTCGCCCTGTATTCTTACTTGCTCCCCAGGTCATCAGAAGATAGTACATCAGACCCTAACTGTCCACCTACTACGGCTCTTCTTATTGCATCTCCACTTCCATCTGTTTTTGGTTTTCTTCCCCTTTAGGTTCGGATTGATGGGTTTTGAGGATCGAAAGATTGGATATTCCGGACGTGACTGCAGCTAGTCCAGATGCTGCAACGTTGGAAGCATTGGCGCGAGAAGGACCGGTAGACGCCATTTCCTGCGCGGTCTCAATTCCAGTTACGACGGGAGCCTTATTCACATCCGGGCTGTCAGATTCACTTATGGGTGACGTATCAGAATGTCTGGGTCCGTTCATTTCTGCATCTGCTCGACCAAATGACTCGGCCCACCAACGTGTATCATTGGGACGAGGGAAGATTAGTCGTTCTTTTCCACGTTCATGGTCGTCCACTTGGGGGTCATATTGCGGGTTTGTGAATTGTTCCCTTCGAGCCAAGAACCAATCCCAAACACTGCGAGTTCGCTCTTTGGCTTTCGTATCCACCCGCTCTTTTTCGTTGTTGAACAGGAATGTTCCGAACTGACAAGAATAGAGATGGTACAGCAAGCGGCGAAGGAAGCGCTCGTTAAACTCAAATCGTGTTGGGTATTGATGCAGCAATTGATACGTCGCATCAAGGAACTGGTGGAAAACAGGACTTGTTTCTTTCACTTTGGTAACCTCCTTCTCAGACACCGCAGAGCGCGGGGGTGGACTGGGTTTTTTGGTGGCTGGTGAGTCTGAATCGTAACTCAGCATCTCCCCATCAGACTCTGGTAATGAATCGCGGCTATTGTTATCCCGGCCAAAGAAGCCCTTGGCACTGCGGAATGCATTTTCAAGAGCCTGTCCTGCACCGCTGCCCTCAAATCCACGATTGTTGTCGCCACCGATTCTCTCATTTTCAATCTGGAACCATTTTTCACTGTTCAAATGGCCAGAGCGATGGCGAAACATGTGTCCAAACGAAAGCCAATCCTTCTCTACCAAAACCATAAATCCCTCCAGAGTGCGGAAGTATGGGTCTAGGCAGACTTGGCTGAGGGCACTGAGTTGACTTGTTCGATCCCATCCATCAGAGCAGTGAATTAAAACATGAGAATGCTGCAATCCAACTTGACGGGCAATCACTTTGGCTCCTTCCAAAATACCAGCAATGTGCTTCAACCATCCACTTCTCGCTAGTTGATCACGGTTAGGACCAAGGGGAGTGACATCTGTCTCTTTCAGGGAATCAACAACTTTGTTCAAAGAATCACGCATAACATGGATGTTGTCAATGCCAAGATACACTTTGGTGGCAAACTTATAGTTATCCATATTCTCAGAACCCATACCAACAGCTTGCATTGCAAGTGCATTCACTGTAGGCCGTGCATCCACAATGAGATTTGATTGCTGTGCACCATATACAAGGCGCTGAGCTTCAGGGTCTAGCATGTCGTCTTTAATATCTTCAGCATTGGACATGCCAGGGCCTGTTTCGTTCCAGTCTGAGCTACCATGGCTAGAATCTGATTGCTCATTTTCAAGAGTAGGGTGAGCGAAGCTAGCCAGAGGTCGTTCCGATCGAGATGTTGAGAAGATGGTAGCAAGCAACTTCTCATCTTGGATACTGCGGTTTTGGCGTACACCCAGAAGGGGCTGCGAGCTTCTGGTAATGGTGCAGCTGTTCACGGGATGAAAGTATGTGAGAGCAGGAATTCTCGCTCTGGAACGGTATCGACTTGCGTAATTTATCGTATTATCTGAGATGGAGGAGGGTACAGCAATCAACGCCGGATATGTTGGAGAGAACTGTTGGCTGTGTTAGCAAATACAACATGTTGTGTTTATTAATCATGAAGCCCATACACTGTAATCAGTATTGATTTCTGATACACGCCAGCCTGACTCCCCTTTTAGGAGGCCCTGACGCGCCCACTCTCTCCGAGGATTGTACAACTCCCATCCATTAAACTCTTTCTCGGCAGCCAGAGGCTGGTAGGAAAAAGCATACAGTTTATCCAGCCGACCGGACTTGCAAGTCCATTGTTTGATGCTCTCAAAGACCTCACGTGCCTTTAGCTCGTTGGCGAAATAGAAGCAGACAAACGTGAAATCACGGCATCGAAGACGGATGGAAGATAGCTGGCGGGAGGCCGCGGGAACCAGTCGCAAGGTTCCAAAAGCAATTATAGGGTAGGTAATCCAAAGCTCTTTCGGTCTGACCGTTACACCCTTGGCCTGGTCTTCGCTAGAGATGGGCGGGAAATGGGAGAAAATGAGGTGGTGAGGGGTTAGGTGGAGGGTACCGTCGACTTGAACGCCGCGACGGGCCAAGGTCACATTGTCAACCTGCACAATCCAAATCAAAGGTCAGGAGACGTTTGGTATATTGTGTAATAGCAAGGATGATACTGACCTTAGCGATCTGTGTTTTTTCCATGCCGGGAACGGTGAATCACTATACGCGCATGGTCTTCATAATGGAGGGGGTCAACAGCTCTAGATGATGCAAGCCAGACCAGCTGGGGAACTGAGATGCCAGTGCGAAAAATAAGCTCTTGGGCGGACTAGAACAAATCGTCAATAAGGGCCAGAAAAATGTCGGGAAGAGACAGCCGGTGGTTGGGAAGGAAGAGTTACACGTCAAGGTCAGGCTTCGGGTCCCCGATACCCAGTGGGGCTGAATTCTCCGGGGCTGGATTCTATGGGGCGAGTGTACTACATAGTAGTACTTATGGCTCCGCCAACCAACCAACCCAGACCAACCCAAACCAAAAATTTTTTGTTCAAAAGCCCTGGAGTCTGCTTGCGAAGAAATTTCCCTTTGAAGATGTATGAGTAGTAGGCCTTTGCAAGAACGCGGTTGAGAACATGACAGAGAAAGGCATCTAATAAGGACGATCTGTAGATACCAAGTGGAAACATTTGAAGTTCTCTGTTTATTGTAACGACATTGAACTTCAATCTCCTTTTGCAGGCCATTAAAATACCTATTCGAACATTAAAGGATCAATAGCGCGGGCCATTTGACCAAGTTCCACGTCAAAGTAGCGGATCTCACTGGAGTAGAGAGCCACCAAACAATAACATCAAGGCATTTCCAAGGTTTTGACTACAATACAAGTATGCCCAGACATTATTTGATATTACTATGTTCTGATTGCATCATGTTTGTGGATCTCACTAGTCCTTCTGTGTGTATTCCCAGCTCCGTAGATCCTCCCGAACATCAAACTCGGATCGTTCATGCTCGGCATTCCGACTCTTCCAGCTTCGGCCTTTCCCGTCATATAAATGTTGCTCTAGATCCCTGTTCTTTTGAGAGGTCCCAAGGGTAGAAAGTGATTCTGGAGTCTTTCCACTACTGTGGGAGTGAATACTTGCAACGCTTTTGGGCCGTCGCTCAAAGCTAGGAGAGAGCTTTTTCCCTGAGCGAGGTTGGCGTTCAGCTGCTTCTACGCCGAGAAAGGCGCTTGAGTGGGTGTCGCCTGTCTCAGCTGTGTTATGGGCGTCATTGTTCCAGCATGAGCTTCCAGCAAATAGTTCTTCAATCAGCTTGTCAGCTGGTAAATCGCATGCTCGCGACATCCACGAGGCTGCCAGGGTACGCCGGTACATGTCTTGCATATCCGCCACTTCGTTCGTTTTTGTGTTAATTGATGGTAGATGGCCTGATTCATCCGAGTCCCCGGGCTCTGCTGTGTGGACTACTCTCGCAATACCTCCGAATACCGTGGCAGATTTCAAAGGTGGCCTGTTATTAATTAGTAGTTGCAGGGGAAAAAAGAATGACCAATGGTGGAAAAACGCACGTTGTGAAGTTTCTATCTCCCTCAACTTGGTGCATAGCAATGCCGATTTTGACTGTACTGTTGACCTTACTGTCAAACATCAGGTATCGCCTGATCACCCCTTCGTCTTCGTCAACCTTATCCACGTATTCGGAAAGATTGAGTTTGATTTTGCCCAGAATATTCTTTTCGTTGGATGGTGAGGAGTGAAATTCTTGAATAACTTCAAAGTTGATATCACACTCCTGCAGCATCGAGTTCCTGTCGATTGTGATTCTCACAAGAGAAGTTTTCTCGTAATTCCATGATGCACGGTGGTCTGCAAGGGGTGCCTTTTCCGTGTGACCCTGGCTTTCTGTGGCACCGCTTGATGATGGAAGACGCCATTTTATCCACGCAGTGCCATTTCCTAAGGGAACATTGTTGATATCGATGATCTTGAGATAGGTTAGTATAAAAACGCGTAAAGTGAGAGTAGATGATTGGAAGTTACCCTTAAAACAAGCTCGAACCGGGGCTAAGGCGCATGTTAGTCTGTACTTGCATTTTTGAAGTTTCCAACCGGCACTTACTCTTCTATTCTTCGGGACTGGGTTCCATAGCATGGTTAGTAAGTCTTTTCTCGCGAAATAAAAAAGTGAAAGGGTCTAAATCGAAATTCAAAGAGGGGGTGAAACTCACCAAACGCCTGCATGATGGCTCAATGTATGCAAACGAGCCCGATGCACCCAATTGGTGAAACGATGTCCAAGCTTGGGATCTTGTCGCCTAAAACAAGGCAAAAATGACACAACAGAGTCCAATCAGAATATTAATCTGAGATTTGTATTGTATTGACCGGAGAATTTAATGAGATCATGAATATTACACGTCAGAAAGTCCATGGAGATCAGATCCCCCGCATACGTCGTGTATATAGGCGGTCAGAGCTCTGTTCGTGGCAGAATATCAACGAGCCGTGTGAGCTTAACCTTCTACTTCACACCCATACCACCTTAAAAACACACCTCTACAGTGAATTTTGTCCAGCGCAAACTGTGATATCCCTCTTGCAAGCATGCTTGGAACAGAAGCCCCACCCATGTCTCCACCATTCGAGGCTACTCCTACTGTTCCGCTTGATTCGCCCATACGCACCACTCCCATCCACCCCGATCTTCCTGAAATCCAGGTACCAGGAGAGCCACATGAAGTTTATCGCTACAACCCGATCACCTGTCAACTGATTGATGAGCAAGATGTGCAGGCTGAGCTTGAGCAGTTACGCCAGGACTTCCCGACGCGCGAGGCTGCTTTAAGGGCACAAGAGCAAGCCGCCAAGGAAGTGAAAAGGAAAATCGAGGAGGCAGAAAAGAAGAGAGAACAAGTCCAAAGAGCAATGGATAAGAAAATCAAAGAACGGGACACCGAGCTCAAAGTTGTTACCAAATATCACCAAGCGAAAGCATCCGATATCCCATCTTGAGGAAACGCCAGCCGATACTCTGCCATCCTCATCTTTCGACAATGGGAATATCACCCATGGGCCATAAATCAGAGAACCAAAACGGATAAAGAGATCATAAATCTTTGTCCAGAAGAATTCGGGTTATTCTAGAAGGCTTATATATAAGCGCTTGCGCCTATCCAGATCAAAAGCCGACTCATTCCCCAGCGCCGGGTTCCCACATATTTAAGCTCGAAGGCCATATGTTGTTACCACCCGGGAAAAGCCTTGGGTGCTTTGAATTGGCTGATTTCAAAATCTGCCTCCAGAGCTGCGGGCGGCATTCGAAGTACATATCCGACATTCGCCCCCCGATTCTTCCCGTTGCAATGCGCATCCATCGTTATCATTTCTACATATCAAGTGAAACTTGATCAATTATTATCATGCTTGGAGCGCCAATGGTTTCCTGCTCTTTCTATCTCTACTGTGTACATCGTGGCTCTCGTGAGATATTTCTCGAATCTACGGTCTATCTAGAAAAGGCTCCCAAGCCAACGAGTGACGATAAACACAAAAGCATCAATAAATTAAATCGTATTAAACATACTCGGACATTATTTATGAGTTATATACTGTGGATTATCTGTTCTTGAACCTCAACGAGCATCTTACAGCGAATTCAACAATTCGGTAACCAGAGGGATAATCTGGAGGGAAAAGAAAGAGTAAGCAATCATTCAAAAATCTTTCAGGGACTTGAACTTACATCAGCAGCATCCTCGATCAACACTTGCGTCTCATTAACGAATTTCTTGGTAAGAAGATCGTCCGCATTGTTCAGCAACCCGCCAACTTGACCCAGAAGCTCAGGCGTGATAACGGGTGCAATACCATCAATCAGCCCGGCAGTCTTGTTGATGAATCCGGGGTTAAGCAGAGTGGTCCCGTTGCCCAGTAACCAAGACACGTTCTGCAACAGCTCTGGTGTCAAGACTGGTCCAACCATACCTAGAAGGTTGATCAACTCATTGGTAGTCTTCTCGGTCAAGAGGCTATTGGCATTGGATAGCAGTGCGTTCACCTCCTTGAGGAGCTCAGGACTAATATATGGCGCCACTGTGCCAATCAAGCCTTGAGTCTCATTGACAAAATTGGGCGACAGGAGCTTATTTCCATTGGAGAGCAAAGAGTTAACTTCCTTTAAGAGCTCGGGTGTGATCATCGGTGCCACAGTACTGATCAAATTACTGGTCTCAGTGATGAAGTCGGGGGTGAGAAGCTTGTTGCCGTTGGTAAGCAGGCTGTTAACTTCCTTCAGCAGCGCTGGTGTAATCACTGGCGCCACCGTTCCAATCAACGACTTGGTTTCATTTATGAAGTCAGGCGACAGCAACTTGTTACCGTTGGATAACAAAGAGTTGACCTCCTTCAACAGCTCAGGAGTAATGATTGGTGCCACAGTCCCAATCAACGACTTGGTTTCATCGATGAAATCCGGAGACAGCAACTTGTTACCGTTCGAGAGCAAGGAGTTCACCTCCTTCAACAAATCAGGGGTAATAACCGGCGCCACGATTCCAATAAGTGACTTTGTCTCGTCAACGAACTGGGGTGTGAGAAGCTTATTACCGTTGGTCAACAAGCTGTTGACCTCCTGAATCAACTCCGGCTTGATGACTGGCGCCAGAGTTGAGATCAAATTCTGAAGCCCAGATGTTGTCTCAGGGGTAAGAAGCTTGTTGGCATTATCGAGCAAACTACTCGCTTCTTTCAAAAGCTGGGGCGAAAGCTCGGGAAGTAGTTGCTTGAGATTTTGAACCACCTCGGGGGTGAGGAGATCGCTAGCACTGTCCAACAGACCCTCCAGCTTGTTTATAAGACTCTTTGTGAGAAGCCCAGAAGCAGTATTGATCAGATTCTTGGTGTTTGTGGTGGTTTGGTCATCAAGCAACCAAGCGACATGGTGGAAGAACGACTCGATATCCTCCAACAAAGTAGGGGAGAGGAGGCCTTTCAAACCATCTAGGAAATTGCCGAAATCACTCCAAGAGCTGAGCAGGGTACCATCGTCATCAGCGCCGTTATATGTGCCAGTACTGCTTGCAGCAGTACCAGTTTGGGTCACTGTCGCTGTCTCCGTGGCAGGTGTTCCAAGGGGGGTTGAGCCAGGAGCCTTGGTATGTTGAACAGTCTGTGCATCAGCACCAGTGGTTGAAGGCGCAGTGTTGCTGGTGTTCACAGGATCATTACTGGCTGCCACAAGGTCAGTTCCAGTGGGGTCTTGGGCACTTGCGTGAGGCATTTGTTGTGTTGGCGCAGAGCTTGGGCTCTCAGTAGCCTCGTTGCTTCTCTCTTCTTGGTGAGTGGAAGGATCAGCTGTCGCAGCGGCATGGTTCGTCACTTCTGTGGGTTCCAATGCGGCAGAGGCAGCGCTGGTGGCATCATTCTGGGGATCGGCGACAGGAGGAGTGTTTGGTGCAGCTTCAGCTTCGGCGTTCTGCTGAGCAATGGAGTGTGTCTCGGTATTATCCTGGGTTGCTGGAGAGGTCTGGTTGGCAAGCCCTGCTAGAGCTGTGCTAGACAACACAAGAGAGGAGATTAAAGTTGCTGAGAACCGCATCTTGCGCCGTTGCTCAATTCTATGTTCCTAAAGCACAGCACGAAATTGGTGGCTGGTGATTGACGTCTAGCAAAATCAATTCCAGGAGACCTTCGACCCCTTTTATGTCCCCGTTTCTTTTACTTCCCCATATCCACTTTATGGCTTGAGCCGAGGACGTTGGGACTCCACATGTGAGTTGACTGCTTCTCTTTAATGTCAGTTCCACCAGTGTTTGGACCCTTGAAGACGGGCCAATTTCCTTTTTAGTCTCCGAGATGTATGAATCTATAGTTCACAATGGGTCTCAAGGGTCTTGGAGCGGGAGCGAAAACCTGGGCAGCCCGTGGTCTCGAGGATCTGCATGTAACCATGACCCAAGTCGCTCAAGTCCATCGTTCGCTTAGCGCAGAGCGGCAGGTTGGCCATGCCACTTTAACTGCTGATCGTCTTGGTTTCGAGGTCCGTGCCATAAATAGGGCATCGTTTACGTACATACTTTTTCGCTGAGGGCATTCCTCTTGGTAGAATCACATGAGGGACTCTGTTCGATGTAAAGAGAGGGGCAAAAGCTCTGTTAGTATTTTGAGTCTAGTGATTTGTCCCAAAGCTCTCTCGTTGACGGTCATTGCAGCATTCAAAGTTGGCAAACTTTGAGTAGACAAAGGATGAGCCAGCCACGGGTTGAGCTATAGGTCCGGAAGTTACCCATGTACGTACCTAGTAGTATGACTGGTAGTTAGCAACATCTAAGTATCAAATGAAGGAATGATAATTACTACACAATTAAAGAACCAGATAGAAATTCGAAGCCTCTTATCTCCATATCGGAGATTCAATGGATAACTAACTATGGGATCGATTGCCGCTTATCTAAGTCGCTACCCTGACACTCGGGTGGCTGCATATTATCTACTTTGGTCTAGTCTATCTACAGTAGTTGATGGGGTAGACCCTGCATGAAGCCCCAGGGACCTACTGCAAAGAATGGCAGTTCTCTTGCACTAGCAGGAAGCCCAATTTCTCGTTCCGCTCACGGTGGGTCGTATGCGCTGCTAGCGCAATGACGATCGGCATCGCGGGGTTCGCGTAATGCATTGTCGGGGTTCTTTTGGAGCCGACGCCCCGGACAGGGTCTGACATCTCGATTCTTCAATATCATTCTCTGGGAATTTGTTCGACAATCAACAATTAATTGATTTTAAATTATGATCAGACGTTTAGATATGAGTTCTCAATTGAGGGGCATCAAGTTTGCCCCCTAAGTTCCGAATTAGTCTGAAAAGTGGAAGCAAAACGCGTGCGGAGTACACAATTCCCTGATCGAGCTCAGTCTGAAGAACGAGATCCCGAGGTCCACAATGAGGCGCAGTTGCCAAGTTCCTTACCCCAGAACCTGGGGGATTTCTTCCTGATGAAATGTGGTTCCAAGGTTTGATGGCCGATCGTCATTATGGCCAGCGATAGCTTCCCCAAAACCTCCAGTGCGGGCTTTTGGTCCCAATTCAAGGGTCCCAACGAGAATACAGTACATCCATCGATATGTTAATTTGGATCATTTCGTCACAGAATTCTTTTTCAAAGGTTCACTTGGGTCCAATCTAGGAACGGACCTTAAATCTTAGAATCACCACCCCTGCTCCTCTGCTGTCCGGTTTGGTTTTGTGTAAGCATGTTAAATGGCAGTGCAAAACTCACAGTACTATGGAAAATTTGGTCGGATCTTATTTCAAAAAAAAAAAAAAGAAGTTTTTCTTGGCCATGCATCACCGGGGTACATGGCCAATAAACCAATCAAGAATAAATTCTATATGTATACCTACTAGGTATTCTTGCTCGCGTGAAGCTTCTAAATTCGTTAATCAATTCCACACATGATGCAGGTTTTACTGCATAGACAATTGTGTACCCCCAAGAGGTCCTTGGATTCTTGCGCTCAAGATGCTATATCAAAATTAGGTATGCGTCAAATTAGGCATGCAGTCACTTTACCCCGGTGGAAGCATAGCTTTTAATCTTAGGAAATTTCATTTAAGATTCAAAGCATTCCAAGGTAGCATTATGGGTCCATCGAAATTGATATTGTACTTCCAAGGTTAGATTCTAAGATTTACGTATGGACCCATTGATGGAATGCTGCAAATGTGCCCACATGCAGGTACCTTCCAAAGTTTGAGGTATTCCGTCAAAAGCTTGAGACCCTTTGTTCCGGGATCCATGGATACATATTGATATAAACCTCTAATCTGTCTAATCTGGGTACTCCCGTTCTAGATTTATCATGCAGGTTACAATGTGTGACACAAAAAGAACATACATAGTAGATTTCAGATACCTAGTAGGTATATCAAGCACGGATGCACTTTAATGTTGTGCGGCGGGTATGTAGATAAACCTCATCTACTTTGAAAAAACCCGTGGGCCATCAATATGTATAATCTTCGAATACGAAAACATTGAACTATCAATATACCTACGTATATAAGCGTTGGATCTCAAGGATAAGATAACAGATTTTTATTGCGTCTACTAGTATGTATAGATAACCTTGGAAAAAACCACCTGCAGCACTCAAGCTGCGCTGCTATCAGAGTAAGCCCTTCTCTGCACATGTGAGATGTTTTGAGCACTTGTTGAGAACCTTGAAAGCTTATAATACATTTGCATGTACCTAGGTAGGACTCATAAAATTATCACAAATTTGCTCTGGTGTACAAATCCAAAGGTACTCAAATCTTATCATGGAAAGTCATGCGCAGGTGATTATTTAACTTGAGGCCACTACGGATCAATACTTGTAAGGTTGCTGGGTGGGATAGAGTCCGAACGAATGGATTTTTAGAGTGAGGCAATGGAAGTGGGGCAAAGAAAGATAGAGCAAGAAATTTGCCACATCGGATACCTCATCTCTAGCCTTGACCTCTGACCTCTGTTGCCTATTAAAAACCTTGGGAAATGCGGAACAATAAGAGTGAAGTATGTACTAAAGCCGTTGAGGGTGGCTAATGTAAGAAATGCATTGATCGGCATGGAATCTGAGAGATCCAAACCAATACCTTGAACTATGTGTATTCTAGACCCGATTACAATATCTGCAAATGCTTTGGATGGTTTCAGATACAGTGGTGGGTCACATCCACTAATGTAGCCGCCTTTGGAGGTTGTATGTCGTAACCCAGGCGCTTCGTCAAACCTTCAACTTTGACTCAACTCCATATGGTGAATTAAGCAGCACAAATATGGTTCTATAAAGAAGAGATCTTCAATAGTTGCAACTGTGGAACAGATTCATCAATATTTCAAAGACGTCAGTTCGATTCTAGGCTCCAGTTTTCTCACAAAGGTATTGATGTTTACTTCGTACCTAAGGTACGAGCTCTCGTATGTGACTGTATTCCTAGGGCGAGGAAAGAAAAACCTTGGAACATTTCAACCCGACTTGATCCGAAAGCGATGGGCTCTGGTTATCCATTAACGTGTTTTTGAACGATCAGCAGATCTCAAAATAGGATACCCTAAGCTCAGTACTATCTATAAATTAATGACAAGACATCCATATCTGGTAGATAAGATGTTATCCGTAACATTTGAAGGTTGGCTTTTTTCACTCAGCGAACCTTGTAATTCCCGTTCTCCCGTGGTCACATTTATTTACTTAGAAAACCTTGGAACATTAAAGGCTCTAGAATGTTCTGTACGAAGTAGATACTAAAAGACATTTATCCGAATACAGCGATGCTTGCAGTTCATCACGTATCCCATGCAAGACACTCTGCCGTATGTCACATAAGCGAATATTCCCATGGAAATTTCTACGTTCCAACGTGATCTATCACGCGTGTTCAGGCCGTCTGTGCAGGAATGATCCCGTTGGGGTTAGTGTCAGAGATAAACCTGGCATTCCCAGCCGTGGCTATGCCGTGCTGTAAAGGTGGTGTTTTCAGGAAACAGAGTCATGACGCATTTGAAGAGACCTTGAAGCATATGCGGGACTAGATTTTTTTTTGATGAAGTTCCCACCCTTTGTCGGGCATTGCTCCGAAATGCCCTCCGAGTATCTTGTCGGTGAAGAAAAAGACGGCTCAGTTTCAAACTGCCATAGTCGGCTGAGCCATGAGTCATAGATGTTTGAATAAGCTATTGGGAACTTAGTGTGTATTCTAGAAATATTCAAAAACTCTTTTGCCTAATCTATAATCAATGATTGATATTTTAGGCCTTGAGGTTGTACTACGGGGGCTTGATGGGCCCCACGTCATGTGCATCAGGGTGGTTTTGGGAACAAGCATTTGAGCTTAATTGATTGGGAATGAAGACAAGCTTGAGAACTTGTGTCAAGTTTTGTTACGCGCTTGTTAGGCAAGCACGCTGAGAAGTCGTGAATCATAACTTGAGCCTAAGATATAAGGCACCGCCACAGTTCCGATAGCCGGTGGCGAGTTGACGTGGCGCATAAGTGGCAGTGCAAAATCATACTATTTTAAGAAAAACAAAACATCGCTTTTCCCCGAGATCTGCCAACAAAGCAGGGAAATTGCATGAAAACCTGACTTCTTAGCTGAAGTCTCTGTAACTGACCTGTAGGGACCTGTAAAATTGTAGATTATTTTCTGAATATGCATGAGGTTGGAAAGGCCTTTTGATCACCGATTCCAACCGCTATGTACTCCGTACCCCCCCTGCAACCCCAGACCACATGACCGAAATCGTATGCCGCCCAGGCTCCAGGGTTGTTGAATTGCAAGCCGCTGATTGAAGGAGGAAAGCCTCATGGCGCATGGAAAGAGGGAAGTCGCTGTGAGATGAGATCACAATCATGTGGCCCTCACACAAGTGCTGAAGAACCAACAAAACCGGTATTGTTACCGCTGGTTTGAAAGCCGGGCGCCTCAAAAAAGTCAATGAGCGGGCAGCATTCAGCCCAATCGCAGATCGGAGCAGGGATCTCAGCTCGTTAGTGCGGGCGGACTCGGTCATGACCGACGAATCCGAGACCAGAAGCGGCCCAAGACCAACCTGCCCCACGTCTGCTCGACCCTCCATCAGCTGAGGTCCTCCACCAATTCGACTCATCGAAACGACGTTGGAGGAAAATACCATTGTTACCTGCCTGTTTTTTTTTTCGAGGGGGAACTCCCCCCTGCTTTTTAGTTTTTATTTTTTTTTTTCAACCCCCCTTTTTTATCAGATATAAAATAATATTGATGTCTGAAACAAAAGAAGTTCGAGACCGGGAACGTGGGAGAAGATATGTGCGATCTCCGTAAGAGATCAGCATTCTGGTTAGGGTTTGTGGAGTAATTATTAGCGGCATAAGGAAGCGCTCGTTGAAAAGAGTTCCATGGTTTGCTCTTTCTCTTTCCACATCTCCATCGCACAGTGGTATTTTTGGGGATTCCACTGAGCTGAGATTCATTCGTATAGCCCTGAAGACTGAACCTACGCACCTGAACATGAGGCCCATGTATGGAAAGGAAGTATTTCGATGGAATGCATGTCAAATTTCTAGATGCAAGCCAAGACGCCATATCCTAGTTTTATTTGTTTGTTTTTCTAATTCTGATTATTTCGAGAAGCTGGACTCGGAAGATTTCCTTTAAAAAAAAAGAAGCAAAGACTGTTCCGTAGTGCGGATCATCGGGGCTTAGCTTTTGCAGTTTGGGGCATCTTGCAGATGGCTCTGACCAAATGGACGTGCAACGCGCAGTGAGACTGGGAAACACTGTGCGATCAAGTATCAAAGTTTTGGTAATTTATCCCCGATAATACCTATTGATAAGTTCTAGGGTTAGGTTTTTTTCATTCTTTGCTTTTTTTTTCTTGTTGGGTACAATATAGGTTGTATACCAAAATAAACGGTTGGTTCTAACGATTTGCTTCAATGTTGTTTCAATAAGTTGTAACAAGTCCATCTTTCAACTTCATCTGTATCTTTGCCACCTAAAAAAAAGATAATAATAAAAAAAAGTCCCGGTAGAGATTGCTGCAGATCGGGGAGTCCGTGTGGTTCAGTACTTGTATCATACCCGACTCCATCTGGCTGCATACAGCAAGAAAAAGCCCTAGGCCTGTTAATGTGTATATAGAGAATTCAAATCTCCACCTGCATTGCGCCTCCGTTATGGATCCCGCCCCTCCGATTCTTCTTAATGGTATCGTCCATCCTTTCTTTTCTCTTTATATCACCCTGTTGACCACGTTCTCTCCTTTTTGATAGTTAATTTTCCCTTCATTTGTTTCCATTTCACCCCCCCGCGCATTCGCCCGCACTTTAATAGTAACGCAACCTTTTCTTTTCGGCCCCCTCAATAGGAACCTCTTGAAACCTTTCTCGCAGACTATGCGATCGATCTAAACAAGCGAGAGAAAAATCCCGAGATTTCCGAAAAACAAAAAAGAGAAAGAGAAGCAAGAGAAAACATCATCGTGAAAGTCATCACATCTCGGTGTTTCTTTATCTTTTACTGTGTGGGCGAATGTCGCCTTTATGATTCAGGACTTTTGATTATCTTCTACATTCTTTTATATTCCTTGCCAACGCCGGTCGTATCCCTATTCGCACAGAGTCATAATGCCAACAATGTTATTGCCGTCATCGGCAGCCGCCTTTGCGCCGCGGTCCTCCCCCAACGTCGTGTTAAATACCAAGGTCGCGCCATGGTTGACGGCCACCTTGAAACGAGTTAATCGGGTCAAACGTCCTCTGAACAATGTCACCCAACACACCCGGTGTCTGACAGAGACCCTGTCGTCTCAGAACGCCATTTGGACCTTGTGTTCGATGATGTTCACCAAGGCCCCCGAAGCGGAGCTACGGAAGGATGAGAACCCACTTGTCGAAGGTCTTTTCAACTACCAGATGATCCACATGGAAGCCTACGTTGTACACGTCGACATGGTCTCCCGAAACGAAGTCGCATTCAAACTAACCCCGGAGACGATTGAAGCCCTGGTGGATTATCATCAAGACGTCTACTCGGTGGATGCGGCCGCCAACACGTGGGATTGGTCGGGAAAGCAGAGCCAGCTGAAGAAGTTACAGGAGGAGTTCGTGCAAGCCGCTAACAAGTTCGTCTACCGTACCGATGCTGAAGCCCTGGAAGGATTGGAGGAGGATGGCGCCGGAGATCTGATGTGTGGACGGGGCGAGGATGCTAAGCAGGCCATCTCGAATCTCTTCGTGCCCCTGCTACCACCTCCACCACGGGTGGTGGATGTGATGCGCGCCGTGCCTCTCCTCCCCAGCTCGACTGGCCCGGAAGCCTGGTGGTGCCACAACCCCATCCCGCCATCCGCGCAACTCGACTCGTGGAAAGTACTGCCGCCCAGTCCAACCCCGGCCAGCGCGGATGATTCTAATCCGAATCTTTGGGCCAGTCTCAGTTTCAGTGATGCTCAACTACCATCACCGACCCCGTCCTACTGCCAGCCGTACACCACCGCCCCGTACCTCCCGTATGACAACATGGTAACGACCTCGGCACTCCTTGCGCCCCTCCCACTCCCGAGTACGCTCGTGCAACCTTGCGGTTCGGTAGCCAGCATTACAGGCTTCGGCTGGGGAGATTTCGCTCCGATGCCCTACGGCACGACGATCTACTAAGGAATAACACCTCATTACGCTTCGACTTCCATGGGTGTCTATTCCTCTCCCTCCATTTCCTGCCCTTGCTTCTCCTTGCCGGTCATACCTCCGCGGATCTCCCTAACCCCCCGGGGTCGCTACGCTGATTTCTCCTGAACGTGGACCGTTCTAGATCAGACCTCCCTCGTGCGACTTCGGACTTCTCCGACAATATTTGCGGAAGTGGGTCCAAACATGGATCAAATTCCAACCTTCCGACTAATTGGCATTCTTGACGGCGTTCTTGTTTGATTGACCTGTGTGCATCTGTGATACTCCACTTCGTTGTCATTGCATCTTCCAGAATAATCCTTTTTGGCATCTGCGTTGTACCTGTGATTCTTTTTATTTGCTTGCGTTTCTGTTTTTATTCAGCCAGCGATAGCGTCTTGTTAGTTTCTGCAGCTTTCCTTTTGCATCAAGAAGCGACGGGTCGGCTCTTGTGTTTATTTTCTCTTTTGTTTCATGTCCCATATATATGTCATGAAGACCAGGAAGCCTCGCGGCACACGGGATATGAATTCGGATGTGGATTTTCCACAGTTATGTCTTTTTTTTTTATGATTGGCGCTGCTCAATGGTGACCAAATGGGGAGTTACATCATTGACCGGATTCTATGTTGTGTTACTTCCATTGTGGGTTCCGCCATTGAAGATATCTTCTTTTCTGATACTGGATATCGGACTGGCAACCTGCCCTTGACTGGGACGGTTGGAGGAGATATCTACGCGTCTGGGTGTTTCCAGCATTTGACATGCTGGATCCATGCACCCTTTCTTTTCTCGCTTGTCATGGTCTTTGGCGTTGCAGCTCGACCGAAACGAAACACGGACCCTGTCCACGCCTCTCGTCAAACCCATATCTTCGCCTGTGGCGAATGATGGGCATGAAAGCCGGAATTGGATTTGAGCTTTTAAGGTCTGTGACCTGTAGCATTTTCTTACGTCCAGCCTTTTTGACGACCGGCAGGCTGGGTCTGTCCTTCTATTTGCTTCGATCTCACTGCCATATTACCACGACTCGCACACCATTGGGGTCAAACCCTACCTCATCCAGGCTGGGCTTTGAGCATTACTGGATGAGCTTGGATGTCAGGAGCTCTGTCACCAGATGATGAAGCTTTTTTTTTGGTTTTTCTACCTGACACCGAGATTGGGATGCCGGCTTTCATTCCTTTTGTCACGTACGGGAGGCAAGACCTCCCGCGCTGGCTGTCTATCTCTTCTCTTGTCTTTCTTGTCAATCTGTTACCTAAACCCCAATTTGTATGTATCTTTTAGAGTGAATTCTTTGAAAGGTGCATACTACCACAAAAGCGCTGTCCCTGTTCCACTCTTCGAGTAAAGTACTTGGCAGCTAAAATATGTAGATTATGTATTCAAATGTTCAAAACTCCTCAAAATAAGAGATTCGTTTCAATTGGTATTGAGTCTGTGGGCCCTTGAGAGACAAGAATTCTTCGTACATGTCCGAAATCTCACTATGGAGCTTCCAATACTCCCCGGAGTAACCTTGGAAGACTCAACGAGTTCCACAAATCTCCAGAAACAAGTATTGTAACCATGTAGATCTGCAGGTCATAACAAAATCAAATAGTGGTCAGAATGGGGGAACCATAGACCAGGGCCAATATACTACACTGTAGTTAGCAGCGACTCCACTTTATCCCCACGATAATGACGTCAGCAACAACTCCGGCCAAGCAGGCTTCAACATCGGCATGAATGCCAGATACCGTAATCGCCGAACTCCTATTCTCCTGAGAGGGAAAACAAATATAGTGGCAAAGGAGTGCCCTTTTTTAACCCCTACTAATATTGAATTGGGTTGGTGCTTTTGAAAGCTTGATCATTCTCACCTAAGCCTTCTATCTTATCGGAATCTCTCATTCCCCCACTGCACTTATCAATCATCTATCGCGTTTCGTGTACCATTTCCTGCATTATTTAACTCTTTGAGAGCAAAAAAAGCACCGATTCAAAAGTACAGTCGCGCCTTATTTGGAAAAGCAGTATGTACACTTTTTCTCTATCAACAGGGGGCCGTCTTCCCAATGGTTACTTATCTCCAGGGCCGTCAGCATTCGATTCGGCCCTGCAGATCCCACCGTGCCACATACACCACTATGTACATTACTGACAGTCTTTGGTGAAAGTCACAATATTATAGCTCCCGGTTCCTCTCTTCCCTACCAATCCGAACAACCCGGTCCTCAATCCCCATGGCCACCTTACATGATGCGCTCGAATGTCTAAAGCCGACAACATGGGATGATGTTCCCCAATCACCCGACGAACTCCGCAACTACATTCGTGACATCTTTCATCGCGCCCGATTAGTAGCGGAGTCACTCCCAGATCCCCCACCATATGAGAACGACAGCCAAAGTGATTCCGATTCCTCATCCACTCCCCGCGTTGTACCTTCGTCAGCTCGAGTCGGAGAGACAGACCCAGAAATTACATCTCTACAGAAGCAATGGGGTAAGCCCATCAAGATGGGTGGACCCAAGGATAATCCCCTCGGCGTGAATGTATGGAAGCTCTCCGCTCACGATGGAGGCGGGTCGTGGTTCGGGAGACGGAGCGTACATGAGGGTATGCCATTTACGCGGTGGCAAGAGAAGATCTCATCAGAGTATGACGAAACATTGAAGGTTAATCGGAAGAAAATCGACAAGGGGCAGACTCCCGATAAGAGCATCCGCGGTATTGGAGCTGAGCGAAAGGTTGAGTCGGTGGAGGTGAAGGACGAAGGCGGTTCCGTGATCGCACATGTTACCGTCTACCACGTTTCGGCGCAGTTTCCAAAGCCTACGGCTCCACGGGACTTTGTGACTATGATGATCACGTCGGATACCGGCTTGCGGATCGGTGGGACTAAGCAGCCCGGCCGGAGTTGGTTGATGATTTCCAAGCCGTGCGATCACCCCGACACACCGCATAAATCCGGGTATACCAGAGGTGAATATGAGTCTGTTGAACTTGTTCGTGAGATTCCCAGGCAAAGCACCCCTGGCACTAGCAGTAGCTCTTCCAGTGCAAAGAGTGCAAGGAAGAGCCAGGATAGTGGAACTGCTGATAGCTCTGAAAATGATCCTGAATCGAATCCAGTCGAGTGGATCATGGTCACCAGGAGTGATCCAGGCGGCAGTATCCCACGATGGATGGTGGATAAGGGCACACCAAAGAGCGTGGGAGCAGATGCAGCCAAATTTGTCGATTGGGCTATCCAGGAAGACAAGCCTGCGAAGCGAGAGAAGAGTTCACAGGGGGACATCAATGTTGAGAATCCCAAATCTCCGGAGATCAAGATTGAAAACAGCCACGATGAAGAAGAAAGCCAGTCTGAGTCGGACTCAGAATCGGACCTCACAGACTCAGATGTCCATTCTCACCACGGCCTGATTGCCAGCGTCACAGGTCTTGTCAACTCCAGTCTTGAAAGATACGCACCAGCAGTCTTCGACTACATCCCACACCACCAAGCACCATCCCGCTCGGTCCCGGGCGACTTCAACTCTCACGACGAGACAGCCGACGATGCCGAAGTGCGCAGCTTCAAATCTTCCAGCACAAAAGCCAGTCACGGCGCCCGATCTACAACCAGCAAAGACCCCGAACAAGCATCGTTAGCCTCCGCCCGCTCCAAGGCAGCAACACCTATAGTAGGCGAGGTGGTGCAAAACGACATCCCTCCAGCCGAACTAATGGAAATGACCAAAAACGGCAAACTAAGCTCCAACGAAAAGGAACTCGCCAAGCTAGCCCTTCGCAAACGCGAAATTGAGCTGAAACTCGACACGATCCGCGCGGATCTGGACAACATGCACATATCCTCTCAAAGCGGTCTGTTGACGCCCGCGAGGGGTCTCAACACCGACATCGATAGCGATACAAGCGGGATGCTCAAACGCGCAGCGGAGAACAGATCCGCAACGCCGAATAGCGTTTCGCCACGGCAAAGCCAGCGACACAGCAATAGCAGCGATGACAGGGACCCGGTGCAGACGCAGACTTCTACGCCGGAGCCACCGCCACAGGTGCACAAAGCGGCTGCACAGCTTCTCAATGAGGAAGCTAAGCTTTTGAAGCAGCTGCGCAAGGTTGAGGGTAGTCAGCTGAAAGTTGCTTCGAAGATTGAGGTTCGGCAGCGGAAAGATGCCGAACGCTCGGAGAAGTCCAAGTCTCGATCTGAGGTCGAGGGTTTGAGGCAGGAAGTGAAGGATTTGAAGAAAGAGGTGACTAGTCTGCGTTCTGAGCGCCAAAAGTGGGTTGATATCGTTGCCGCGTTGCAAGCGGAAAATACGAAGTTGGCCGCGAGAAATGTGGCTGAAGATTCTACTTGATTATCTGTTGGAGTTATTCAAAACTTTCCAGAATGACTGTACATATCATGTCAGATATTGAAGGGTTTATACTAGCGATGGAGTTTGTTTGTTATCAATTGAAGTGTATTGACTAAACTATGATCTCGGGCCATTGTATGAGCAGGGACTTTGTGGCACAGTACCTCCGCGTACTCCCAGTCCACTGTTGACAACTATCCTGTACACACGGATTTCCGGCCATGTGTAAAAATCTGAAGACCTATAGGACCAGGTTTCATTTTGTGCTTGGATAGTGTAACGGTCCTTCAGATTCAGGAATTCGTTTGCGCGGGAGCAATAGTTCCAAGTATGTCCGTGGGTACTATGTTTGCATCGATGGGTCGCCATATTCGATTTGCCAGCCCCGAGGTGAATAAAATATGGTTGGGGGTGTATTGAGTCGCCGTAGTTAGATCGGGTATCATTTTAGGCCTCTGGGCGCATTCGCAAGGGTAGAGTGAGGCATGGAGATGTAGTAGCTTCAGAAATATTTCTCATTCGAGAGGAGAGCTCCGAGTTGGGTATCAATTGTGTGGTACAAGCATTGGATATCGCAGAGATTCGTCTCAAGCTCGTTACTCCTGCGTCTATAATCCAAGCAAGAAAGGTCAGTTATTCGCTCTTGCGTCATCTCCAAGGAGAACAGCGTACCTCTGGAGGGTTACCAGCGCCCCTGACCATTTTCTCTAGCATAATCGTGCGTGTCTTCTCCTTTGATTCACCCATTCCAACGGCCATGTAGGAAAGAAGCGGGTTGTGTCCGACATACGACGCGCAGCTGTCGCGGATGATGTTGGAGGTCCATTCGTACTTGGTGGTATCGGCGTGTCCAGTACCGATGTAGCGGGCCTGAAGCGCCTCGAGGTTCTGGAGAGTGCGAAGTTTGTCGGCCATTGTGGGTTGTAAAGCTGTCTGCGGTGTCGAGGATGTATCGGGTGACAGGTAAAGTCTACTAGAGAAGGTTAAGATAAGACTGCCGCTGTAATGCGCGGTCATGTGACCATCTATCAAAATCGCAGATCAACCCACTTCGTACATTCCAAGTTAGGCACAAATTTAATCAAACGGTTCAGTAACATGCTCTTTGGGGCTTTTTTCTCATTCAATTTACTTTGCATGTGAAATTATGTCTGAACTGACACCTACGGCACCATTGCCGTCTCGGATAGCCTCGTTGGTACATGCTCATTTTGATGCATTGCCCACGCGCAGTAAACCAACTATTTTACCTGATGGCTCGAGGGAGTGGATTCCAATGACCGGCATTGTAGCTGTCAAGGGTACGTATATTTTTGGAAAATCTAAATTGGGATTTTAAATAACATGCCCGTTGTAATCGATAGGCGAAAATACATCTTCGGAAAGTCTTCATTGCATAACGGTCACGTAGGTTTGGCTCCATCTAGGAAAACTTCCCTGGTATGAGCCCTCAACTGACTGGCTTACAGAAGCGGTGCAAAATGTTTATCGGCATCTCATATTCCCCGGTGCCGAGGTCTCGTCCTTCATGATTGCCATGCAGAGATCTTATCCGTCCGTGCTTTCAACTACTGGCTTTTGACAGAATGCCATGGCTTAATGATGGAAGAACGAGTTGAGAATGCCAAGCCTACTCCATCTAAATTCATTCGAAGAAGGCAATCTTCAAAAGAGAGCAGCGACTCATCAGCATCGTCAATACATTGGCCGCCTTTTGAAATACAGCCCGACGTTAAATTATACATGTATTGTACATGTGCTCCTTGTGGCGATGGAAGCATGGAGCTCTGCATGGCCGCTCAAGACGACGCTACGCCATGGGAGGTGCTCCGTGAAACAAAACCTGTTCCAGAAACGCAGGAAGAATCTTCTTTGGTGGAGGATATCCTCCTCGATGGTCGAGCTCATTTCTCTCTTCTGGGCGTTGTGCGTCGCAAACCAGCCCGCACAGACGCAGAGTCAACACGCAGCAAATCCTGCTCGGATAAGCTGGCCTTGAAGCAGGTTTCTTCATTGATCTCATGGCAGACTAGTCGCCTTGTTGCCCCAACCCAGAATGCATACCTGGCAGGACTTGTTCTACCAGCGGATGAAATTAGCCACATTGCATGCGAGAGGGCTTTTGGAGAGAACGGCCGAATGAAGGATCTAAAAGGACGGGCCTGGCCATCTGATACATCGGATAATATCGGATATCGATTCAATCCATTTCAAATTCTGTCAGTGCCTGCTGAAGAAATTCATGCGCTGTGGAAATTCTCGAAGCAAAAATCTATTGCCAACTCTACAGCCGTGCCAAAGAAGGGTAAGCCGGGTAATGTAAGTGCAGTGTGGACTTTAGCTCCATCGCATTCGCATATGCACTGTGAACTACTTTCAGATACCGGTAGCAAGAAGTTGGCCACACTCTCTCGATCCAATACTGGCTTGCACGAAAGTATTATTGGGGGAGTGAAGCAAGGAAGCAAAATATCCTCACTTCTTCCACGGGGTGCTTCAGCCCTATCTCGGGCGAAACTTTGGGCTGTCAGCTCAAAAATCATTGAGTCAGAAGATCGCGTAAAGAATTTACAAGGCACCGAGGAGCAGCCGACGGATACAACTGCCCAGGTCCTTTCAGAAACATGCCCTTCGCCAGATACCCAAACAGCGGCGACATACCAAGACTCGAAGCAAGCGCAAAGAAATATACCAGACCCCCTTAAAGCTCGTGAAGATGCCATACGAGATGCCAGAGGGGTTCTTAAGGGGTGGGTACGCAACGTGGGAGATGAAAGTTGGGGGCTAGATGTTTTGGTCGATAATAAGAAGCGGAAGCGCTGAAGCTCATGGAGTCTGGGCAAAATAATAATAATTATATTACTGAAGAATAAGTGCTTCAGATCCAATACGTTACTGTGAACGTATGAACTTTTTAGTTGAGTTCATGAAACAACACATTAAAAAGTACTATACAGAAACCAAGTTTTTAGGCTAAGAGACAATAAACAATAGCGTCAAATTTGCGCTGAGTCTAGAATACCACTGTTTCCCTTGTCCACAAGGCGACATGTTATTCAAGAGGCAACCCTCTAGTAAATGCCGGGAATGATTCGGCTGCGAACCAGCGATGTATACCGCTTCCAGTCCGCGCCATACTTCCTCTCGCACTTCTCCTCGTCGCGCATCTCACGATGAATCAACAAGACCGCAAAGTACAGCATGTAGAAGTACGTGAAAACCATTCCCCAGCCGCGAACCTCGGGGGTCTGCACGGCCTGCTTCTCCAGGTGGCCACTGGCAGGGTTGATGGTTTCAATAATGGCATAACCCGCAATGCCAGTGGGCAGACAGTATGCCCAAGACATGGTCCAGTCACCCAGGTAGTTGATATGCCGGGCAAGGCCCCACCAGCCGGAAGTCATAAGCTTCGATCCACTAGCGGTTTCAATAAACTTGATATGGCTGACGCGCGGGTCGTTGGGGTCAGTGCGGAATCGATTCTTCTGGTTGTTGGCTCCACGGAAGATTGAGTATCCAACGGCAGTCACACCCACGACGAGCGCCATGCCGGACCAGCCCAACTGAAGGGGGAAGACGGCAAGGTAGCGGCTCTGGATGCTGTAGACATGGGGGACCCAAACCACATCTCCAAAGGAGAGCATGAAGCCGAATCCATCCATGATCACATCCATAGTGGTCATGATTGCCGGCTCCATGTAAAGGGAGTCCAGGATGTAGAATGCCTGGAAGATGGTGACGAGAACGATGGAATCGGTGACGTAGCCGTAGGTGCGGTACTGGTGAGCGACATTGGACAGGTTCAGGATGGTCCATCCGAGCAAACCAGGTCGCATCTCCATAAAGACCTTAATATCAAGAGTGCGCGACTCCTCGCTGATGAATGGAATTGGCAACCGAACTCGGGGGTTAAGTTCGCGACCGATAAAGAAGTCGTAAAGCACATTTCCGGTGTGACCGCCGGGAGCCAGTTCGCGGGAGTCGGGGTTGGCGCTGCCAGGCTCGGGGACCGAGAAACTCTTCAGATAGACGAAAAGGGCGACCACGGAAGAGATCAGAAGGTTGGCAGTAATGACCTTAACATAGTTGTTCCACAGGAAGGTCCACACCACGAAATCCGCTCCATGCATGTAGGTACCAGAGGCCAATCCGCCAAGTATGATGAGGGCTGAGGGGAAAGCTATCAAATGAAATCATTGTCAGCATACTCCTATATCATTGACCTTATCTGGGATAGCTCTGGGTCCCGCCATACCATTGAATTTATACTTGTGTCGTCCTCCGCAAGCCAAAGCAACACCCTCCAAGACCTGACCAGGCAGCGAAATCTGCAAGAACAGACTGAAAGCATAGTAACTCAAGATCCATAGGGTCACCTCAGTATCAAAGAGACCTGCAATGCCCTCCTCGGGCCAGCCCACTTCAAGTTTCAATTGGTCGATAGAGAAGGTCGAGGGGTTAAGCAATGAAGGCGCGGGGCATCCAGACACATCATTGCAGACGAAAGTGAAAACGTAAACTAGAATTGGGAGACCGAAGACGATTCCGAAGGCACCGAGCCTATAATATGTGTTAATTCAAGTTCTCATCAATCAATATGGGCGGCTGAAGTGCGTACGGCCCACCAAATTCATAGCCACGCTTTTCAGGGACAGGTTGCCCCTGTGACTTTGACAGTGAAGTCTTTGAGGCTTTTTTAGGAGACATGGCGAAGTTCCCAAGGATCCAATTCAGTGGAATTTGATCTTATCGAGAACGAGGGGGATTGGCGAATAAATAGGCGCGAATAACCAAGCTACGGATTGAGCCAAGTTTCGCGTACGACGCCGGATCCCGTGCTCCGGTTTCTCCGCAATCGCCAATCATAAGCGCAGCGTGAAAACAACAGATGATACGTAAGCTTCTTGTTTCAATTCTCCAAATCTCAACCCTTCCTTCATCCTTCACTTATCACACCCACAGAGAGCTGGACTCCCCCATATTCTTCGAATAGACGTTCTTTTTCTTACACTTTGCAAGTTTTAGACTTGCGCCATCTCATTTCAGTCATGAAACTCACTAGCTCCACTCATTATTCCCTTCTCTTCTTATCGTCCATATTGGGACTTTCATGCGCCGCCAGCAACTCTCACTTGACCGATGATTCCTCATGCGTGGCGCATTCGCCAACCAGTGGCCTCTATTATGATCTCAATCCGATCTCGTTATCCCCACCACCGATGAAGAACGGCAAGAAAGTATCATCGGAGGATCGGGATGAAAGTTGGCCCGCGAAGGGCCATGACTACCCCGCAAACTTCACACTCAATGTATGCGCGCCGGTGATTGAGAACTTTACCGATGTGGTGGGCGTGCCATCTTCCCGTTGGCAGAATATCAGCGCGTTCTACGAACAGCATGGGAAGATATATTCGCTGGGGTATGTTGATCCCTTGCGCTCCGGATCTTGGTGTTTCGCATACTGACTTTCTTGCGTTTTTGACAGTGAACAAGCATCGGATCCCTTCTTCCGTGGTCGCAAACTGGTCCTTAACTATACGAACGGTTCCCCTTGTCCCGATGAGCTCAATGGCGCTAGCTCGAATGCTTCCGTCCGAACCATGTCCACCCTGATGTCTTTTCTCTGTGATCGTGATGCTCCGGCAAACCAGGCAACCGCATCCTTTGTCGGCACTATGGATTCCTGCTCGTACTACTTTGAGATTCGCAGTTCCGCTGCATGTGGTGGAATCGCCGTGGACCCCAACTCCGGCGGAATGGGGCCGGGTGGTGTTTTCGGTGTCATGTAAGCTTTCACACTGAATTTCCTACCAGACTTGGGATTTGAAGAACACTAACATCTGGGAATTATAGTATGCTCATTGCCGTTGCCGCCTATTTCATTGGAGGTTGTGCTTATCAACGTACCGTCATGCACCAGCGTGGCTGGCGCCAATGCCCCAACTTCAGTTTGTGGGCTGGAATGCTTGACTTCATCAAGGTATGTCTCTTGGCTTTAATTCCCTGTCGGTCTCGGAGGGTCGGATATGGCACTGTGGCCTCGCATCAGCACAAAAACTCCAGCATGGCTGGATTACCTGTTTCGCGTTTAGATTAAGCATGCTCCAGCCGGTATGGGACTCGATCACATCAGAAAAGATCTTGTATTCATCTACCGCGCATTTGGTTTATCGAAGAGCTGGTCTCTCTGATTGATTTATTATCTTTTCTTCCTCCGCGCGTCTTGTTTCCACGTCAATCGGGTCTCTTTTTCTGCGTTGATCGCAGCATGTACTCGTCGCGAGTTTGAGGCCAGGTGCCATCATATACATTACAGACAGTTCATCTGGTCATTTGTCATTTTCTATCGACTCAATTCTTCTACTTGGTGGGCTGGACATCGGATGCATCCTAGATAGTCGCCACTCTGGGTAGTTGATTAATCGAGTACACCACCACACTTGCTTCATATCTATGACCGGGGACTCGATTTTCATGCGGTTATTTCAGCAAATCATCATGCTAATAATCTTTCCTGAAACAGGACATGTTCATCATCTCCTTCTCAACTATTGGCAGTTGCCTTCGTCTGAGACGTTCGCCATCGAATGGTGGATACACACGTGCTGGCTCCGATGACCGTGGAGGCTTCATTGGTGCTATTGGGGGTCGAGGAAGAGGCTCCAGTGGTCGGGGCGATGTTGATGCAGAGAATCGGTTGATAGATCAGCTGGATGAAGAATGGGATGATTAGATCCCGACCTTGTCATTATACGGCATCTCAGAGCTAATCCACACCGATTTCATGGTTTTTGCTGGAAAATCTCGCTGAAACATTGAACATTATCTTCCCTTCAGTCCAGTTCTAATAGAAATTTGAAAATTTGCACAGATGACCTTTGACTACTTTCATTCATGGATTTTCTTACATACATCCCTCATTCTTCACAATTACTTCCCTCAAGGGCTCTAACCATTGCTATCAGATAGTACAGTTGACCTTGGCTTGGGTGTGTCTCCAACATTGAATACTTGAGCATTTCCAAGGTTATTTAAAGCTTCAATGTTTAAGGCTGAAATCAACCTACTGTATCTCTATGCACATTGGAATTGATGTATTTATAGTATGTCTCATCTTAAGCACACATGTGCACATGATCTATTCAAATGACTTGAGAACATAGAGGTACTCAACATTGCTTTTCCCGCTCACCAGCATTAACTCCCAGGTGCCACCTGGGCAGACGGAGGCATGTAGAACTTTCAGAGAAATCATACATACTAGGTAGGTGATTTCAAGATACAGGCAACATCAAAATCGCAGCTTAATCAATTGATTATCAATTGATTGACCTTGGGATGCGTCCGGCCATCGATAGAAATTGCACCTGGGCATTGGTTCAATGTTAGCTAATTTCCAACATTGGTTTCAGGTGCATGTATCTATGTAGGTAGTGGCCTATGTCGCTACTTCAATGTTGAACTCTCCTGAGATTTTTTTGGACAAATTTCCGAACATTGAATGTTTAATGTTGAATTGGTGGATCAACAATATAAAATGCACCAGTGCATACATATATCCACCAAAGAATTTTTGGGATTTGCACAAGTCCCCTGACACCTGGGAGCCCCAGAGCTCAATATGAGAGAAATAAAGGGAAGAAGCGGTTAAAAAACATGGAGTTGATTGATAGTTTTCATACACATTTCGCCGAGTAAAGGAAACATTGAAGTCGAAATTCTCACACAGATATGAAACACTTGAGCATAACCTGAAGGTTTGTAACTCCGGGAAAAGGGAAAATTTCTATCTGGATTATATGGCAAAAGGCTGGTTCACTTTACATGAACTAGCATCATTGGTCTAGTGGTAGAATTCGTCGTTGCCATCGACGAGGCCCGTGTTCGATTCACGGATGATGCAAGGATTTTCTTTTTGTTCTTTTTGTTTTTGTTTGTGGCTCCACCCGACTAGTTGATGGAGGGATTTTTTCTTGGTGTGTTCCAAGGAAACTTGTTAATCAATTGATACCAGTTATATTATCTACCAGCCTGGGCCCGGTTTAAATGTGTCCAGGGCTGGTTTAAGCCCGAGGGCCTGAAGGTTCTACCTGCAGGCTTTCTTTTGAAAATCCGTTCAGAAATCGACTAAAAACTCACGAGTACAATTCGTTAGAGCCTAGATCACTACACGGGGGAATATAGGTACATGCAAGGTCAAGAATATGTACACCCGGGAGAACAGACCTGGGAAAGTACAGAAAATAAAACACCAGCCAGTAAACCAAAAACCAAAGCCAAACCAAATCCCTCTCATTATAAAAGATATTAAACACCACGTCTCAGTCGTTGAAGGGCCGAAGCCGTATGGTGCCCGTGTGGTTAAGATTACACGTGCCGCGAGGCTGGTCCCATATCTGGTCCGCCTAGGCCTAAATCATAGGCACTCAAGGGGAGATCGGCCGTTCCACCGAATGGTGGTATACCAACACTTGCAGAGCCGTTACCCGCAGCGGCGTCGGGAACGGGTGCTGGGGCAGTGCCGGGTGGAGGTGGTGCATTCCTAGCAGGTGGGGGGCCTGAGTTAGCACCACCACCACCACCACCACCAAGCGGGTCCAAATTGAATGGAAGGAACCACGCGCTGGGCTGATAGAATTCACCTGTTCCAGAGGGTGCGCCTGGATCGAGTTGACCGGTGAAAAGAGATTGCTCTGGAACTTGTGCATCGACGCCGTTGGCGGGTGGAATAGATGGGTTATTTGGGGGTATGAAGGCAGTGGGATCGAAGTCAGCGAACGAGCCGTAGACAAACTGTCTGTCTAGCTGGTGCAGCTGATCCTGCGGGATGCTGAAGTCGAATTGACTAAACGACATGGCCCGGTTTGGTGGGTACATGGATGGCTGGGGGAATGCGCTTCCTGGGATAGTCGGAGTACTTCCCATGGTCACATCCATCTGTGATGGAGATGTTTGATCCACACTAGAGGTATCAGAAAGCTTGCTGTTCTTGCGAGGGCGTACCTTGCGAGGAAGAACGGGTTGTGGTGTTGGTGATAGGCTGGCGAAGAAATCCTCGACGCTCTGAAGATCCGGCTTCTGGCCCATAACAGCATCATCTCCCGTCTCTTTATTCCGTGTATCCGGGTCCTCCCAGTGTAATCTGGATACACCATGTGGGTATTTGGAGAACCAGTCACCGTATTGGAACATTGGCGCTAATGAGCTGCCGTTTTGCGTGGCTACAGATCCCTTAATGGCCACATCGGCGAACTGTCGATACCGGTCTTTGGCACTTTCGACCATATAGTGAAACATGCCCCAATACTTCTTCATTTTGTTGAGATATCGATATGTATGTCGAAGATTCTCTTTTGAACGAGCCTCAAGTTGCACATTCTTTGAAAATATACCCCAGATATGAACAGTACTAGCTGTGTATGCACAGTATCCGGCAAAAGGAACGGTGAGCGGATAGGCTGAAGCCCGATCAAAAAGTACAGAGATGTGGTGAGCAGCTTCCACTGCTGCTCGCCCTGCGTTGCTAAGGAATGGTTTTGGCATGTCCCTGGGGGGCCGGCCTCCGGGCGAAAGAGGAATGGCAAACTGGTTGAGGAACAGCATATTCTGGTGGATGATGATGTGGAGGAACAGAAATTGGTTTGCTATCTTCTCAGCGGCATGAATTTGAAGATTTTCGTATGTAAATGTGAGAGGCCCTGGAAGTGAAGCGGAGAATTCTTCAATTTGTCGTTTCAACAGCGTGTATCCGGACTCCGGATGCCAAAGAGGATGAGTGTCTTTTCTCTTTCCACCGAGGTTTAAATAGTCAACAAGACGACCCCAGATGACGATGGCACGAATGATGTACGCCGAAACTCCCATATTGTCTCTGGCATTTGACAGTTGACCCGAGTTCTCGGGTGTAGGGTTCAAAACATCTCCATCCAAGTCTTCTGTAGGGCCAGGTATTTCCATCTGAAAGTGGGTTTCCTTAATGGGTAGTTGGATATGTAGAAACTTCTCATTTCCAATAGGTGGTCGCTGACTTCCCGAGGAGTTATAGCGATCCATCAAGTAACATGCCCACATAGTTCGCCTTCTGATCTCCCGGTCTGTGAAACTCAATTGCGAGTTGCCATTGCCCTGTCCGAGCAATGGGTCGCTTTCGAGCTCCATGTGAAGCTGTAGGGCGTATGCCATTCGTAATGCTTGACCTCCAAATGACCAGCTTCTTCCGCCATGGCATGTTCCAAACTCGTGCAGCCCCAGGAGAAGGAATACTGTTAGAATCGTGATGTTGGGCTCATCATGTCGGCTGAGCGCAATTGCTGCAGCTGGGTTAGCCCAGTTTTCTCCGCGGAGAAAAGGTGGCTCCGAGTTCAGCTGTGGGTGCGTTGAGAATCGAGCAGAGACTGCGCAAACGGCGAGAGTAAGGACCGGGGGAACAGTGCCAGCTTTGAGCCTCCTCATGAAGCTTGGCTTGTGTAGAAGTAGATATGACTGTCCATAGACACAGTCGAAGAAAACCTCGGCCAAATGCTCCTGTATCTCCAGCGAAGGTAAGAACTCCGCCCCTTCGGTCAGAAGTCCGGATCCATCCGAGGATCTGGCTTCGCGATTCATAGGCAGTGTCTCATGCGGCGGGCGACGCTCTTCTCGGGTCCATTCCTCCATTTCAGCTGTAAAGGCCTCGTCTGCGCTGCGTTTTTTCTGCTGCTTTGAAAGCTGAGCTTGCGCCGAAGGTTTGACTACCGACCTGCCGATCGAGGCCATGTCTCTCGCTTCATCCTTGGGGATGGTCTTGATCACGCGATCTTCCATCCGCTTCAATCGCTTATCCAGCATGGCCATATAGTCTGTCCGCGGGGCAGCTTTTCGCGTGGTGACTTTATATACGCAAGGGATTCTCGCGCGCGTGCAGTGCTTGCACGCGGGCTTTTCCCCCGAGCAACGGATTTTCTTGCGGCGACATGCGATACAGGCCAGCGGTAATCGCTTCCGCTCCTTTCCAGCTTTGGTCTTCATTTCGCTCCACATTGGTCTGTTGTCTTTATCGAGGGTTTCGAAGTTCAGGTCTCGGGTAGCGGCATCCAGGTGACTGTCTAGCGCACCGTCGGGACCCGTCGCGGGGTCAACAGTTCGTGTGCTACCGGGATCGCGGGAGCTCGCATGGCTTTGGGTATCAAAATCGTCCAGGAACGCTGCAGGGTCCTCCTGGGCTAGACCGAATCCAGCGCCAGAGGTCTTCAATGGTGAATCGTCGGAGTCGGGATGGCTCATGACGGGTGCGGGTACCCTAGGACCCAGACCCGAAGCATCGTTCGGCGTGGAGGGAAGAGAGAGAGAGAGAAAAGAGGCAACCCCAGCCGGAGACACAGGGAAGGCCGAAAGAAAGGGAAGGATATAGGCTCGGGCTGCTCAAAGGCGTGTGACGGGAGGGGGTTTTTTTAGGAGGAAGAAGAATGAAGGAATATGGGGAAAGGTTCAGCGGCGACTGGCGGCTTGGCACAGCAGCGTCCCACTGACAGCGCTTGGATATTTAATATTACGAGAGCTTGAAGCCGGCCTTTTTTTCCTTTGGCTTTTTTTCTTTTTCTCTGAATGAAGCCACCAATGATGGAGCGCCAATTTTCAGCCACAAGGATTTGTTAGATTAACAATATGCAAAGAGAAGCGAAAAAGAAAAAGTGAACCTCAGGACCCACGAAGTGGCTTGGGTTACATGCTATTCATCCGGACTGGGTTATGTGCCCAATATGGGTTTATTTTAGCCTATAAAGTAGAATAATTACTAATAGGTATCTCGATTAAACACCATGGCAGGTTAGCAAGCTGTCCAATAATACCTGGGGAGCTTCTACACATGAGCAGAGTACATTATTGAGGTCTGTATTGTTCTCTTGTTAGTGCGGTGCCCAGGTGGACCACCCTCGGCCCGACTTTTATGTTGACACACATCATTTTATACACTGCATGGGTTATCTTATCAATACTGATGATGATTTTGGTTTGATCTTTAAATATAATATTATTTATTGGAACTTGTTTTCAACATTGAAGGGATAGGTTTTTCCCCCTGCTGAAATCACTCGCCTATAGAAGAGGGGGGAAAAGGTCGGCTTTTCAGAAAGCCAGACTCCATCCTTCATGCGCAGCCTTATAGAAATAGTGACTCTAAAACAGTAACCAAAGCCGCTCGTAATTTAATATTCAATTTTATCGAATTGTTCATGTCACTCCTTGCAGGTGGAATTGGTCCTCATCTCTTAAGAGGCTTTGGGACGCCCCACGCGACCACGAGGGCTCGCTTGTTCCAAGGAATTAAGGATCTCGCCCCCAAGAGAATAGATGCTGTAAGTGGGGAAGACAATCCACATGCCACTATCATAGACCTGTTTAGCTTGAATATCTATCTAGGCATAGGCCAGTGACTCACTTTGGAATAATCCACAGAACGATCAGGGTAAGCGCATCATTGTGACCGATATTGTCGAAGCCCGAGAAGTATTCATTCAACCCTGTATGCGTATAGGTATAGGTTAGCTTTATTCAGCGCACCATAGTAAATTTCCTTCAAGGGAAGGGGCAGCCGAAGTCAGCTTACAGTAAAGAATGGTTTTGCTGAGAGTCATGACCGATGCAGTATACGCGACCATAAGCGCAATTGCGCCCGTCTTGCCAGCCACCACCTTATCACCTGTCACCAACCACATGAAACCCTTGGTCGGCTTCGAAGCGTTGCGACCATTCACTACCGTTGCACCATGTCGATACACAATCCACAGATAGTATAGGTAACCAATTGTCTCAACGACATTCAACGCGGTTTGCGCAGCAGTGAAACCATTACGCGCATTAAATGCAGGCCAGCCGTAGATGTAGTCGACCTTGCCATATAGCGCGTAAGGTGCCCAGAGAGGAGAATGCAAGCGACCTCCAGGCATACTATGCGGTCGCAAAAGCACATAGCCAGTATCCCAGATGACCAGCGGCACGGAGACGACAAGCCAGAGAGTCAGGGCGACGGACGGAGTGTGAACCCATTTGCGCGAATTTCCGGTAGTGGTGGGTGCAGGCGAGGACTTGACCAGTTCCTTTGCGGCTTGTGTGGGTGAGGGGAATTCTCGAGGGTGATGTCGTGTGGAGACCATGTTGAGCTAGGTTATGGAGGTTTGCGATATTGGAAGAAAGGGCCCAAGTGCATACAGTATAGGGTGTTGCGATCGAGATCAGTACGGAACGTGTGGGTTTGGGACCAAGACACGCGATTGAAAGGCAGGCGAAGATGAAAATAGGAATTCAGCTAGTGGGCTTTAGCGCGAGAGAAATGCTGGGGAATGCCACAGTTCGCCGCGAGCTGACGTCCAGTGACGTCGTTGTGCCCCCGAGGTGTTCGTTTGCGGGCAACGGCGTGGGCTCGTTTTAGACCAAGATTTGCCTTCCAAAGCTTCTACCGGAAACCAGCAACAAAAGAAAGGATTTCTACATTTCTCTCAAGTTTCAGTACAATATGTTGTAATAACCTGAAGAACCATTTATTCTCTTGATCCATCATAAACGATCGGTACTCCACGAAAGGGCTCGTGCATTTCCGGGGTCGACCCAATCACCTGCATTTGCCCCTTTTTATGGAGAGATTCCATCCCTGCTGCTGACCTGGAACCTACAACCCAGGTAGCGACCAGAGTGAATTTTAGCGCCTCGTGGAACATTGCGTACCTATAAAATTTATGATAGTACGGGGTATTTGTTATGTAGAAAAGCGCGGATGTTAGTTAGTAGGACCAGTTGACTTCTCGCTTGGTTACCAATCACGTTAACATTTAAAGCCTGAAGTTTCGGGCACTTAAGGCCTAAAGCAGTATAGCTGATTTTTGACTCTTCAAGATCTGATTTCATAACTCTCGTTGCTTCTGGGATTCGGCAAATCCTACACTCATTCCAGAAATGGAGGTAGAAGATAATATCAAGGTGCGTGGGTCCAGTTATCTTGATTCATGGAGTGAAATCTGACGCTCGGTCAAGAACTTGAAACGGTTGGCCCGTGTGCGTGAGAATCAGCGTAACAGTCGCGCTAGAAAGCAAGAGCATATTCGAGATCTTGAGCAGCGACTGGCAGTTTACAAAGAGCAAGCCCAACAAAAAGATATCCAGCATCGGTTGGCCATTCAAAAAGTGGAGGCGGAGAATAAAAATCTCAGAACCCTTTTGGGGTCGCTGGGAGTATCTGGGGATCTGATCCAGCAATACGTCACTTTGGCCGGACAAGGGACCATGATGGATCGCAAAGTCGCAATACCTGCAATATCCGCAACTCCACGACCGAAGAAAGAAGAGAACTCCTTGCCGCCCTGCAACGAGGTTGACTCAAGACTCACCTCGACATCCCTCGAGACACCAGAGGCACTGGAATCGGTAATTAAGTCGTCACCACAGCCCGAGGGCCCAACCCCGTCGCTTTGCAACTGCCCAGCGGAGCAATCAGATGCATGGTCATCCGAAGAAGATGTGCTCAACACGACTCTCTGCGCCATTGCAGAAGATCTTCTAGTTCAATACAATGCACGAGGTACCGATATAGAAGAGCTTCGGCGAAGACTCTGGTCAGGTTTTACAAAGGGACAGCCGGGTGATGGCTGCCGTGTTCAAAACAACATTTTATTCCAAGTTCTGGATGAGATAAGCAATGGCATTTGACCTTGATTGATTATTGCAAAGCTTAACTAGAGCTACAATCCTGGTTTACGTCAACCCCCACCACGCCACAGCCAATATTCTACCGTAAAGACAAGATCAACGTCCCTTGTCAGCGTGCGATGTCTCTGGGGAGTACTTCAACCGGTCGCCCTATTGAGAACTCTATCAATTCCGTCTCGCACAACATTGCGGTACCAAATCAGATCAGCAAGTGGCGGCTTCTTCCTGGCATATACACCCCCAGACAAACCATCGCATGGCTGGCAGTCATCCCAGAAAGCATTTCGGTTCAGCTTGGACCCGACGATGCTAAGCTAAAACATAGATTTTGATGGATGGCCTGCGTTCTAGAGGGCCGTGAATCGACGCTTCCCCTGCCCGACTGGAAAAGTGCGAACCCATCTAAAATGGCGCAGCAGGCCAATAATATTATAGACACCCTCCTGCATTACGCGCTGGAATACAATTATTTGGTTGCTGGTCTCGCTGGACTACAGGTCTACAGTCCCTGCGAAAGACATCAGTGAGTGCCTCCTGCTTGAGAACTCCTGCGGGGCTCACGCGGATCGCCCATTCTCATGAGGCTGTACAACGAATGATTGCATCAGATGACCTTTCTTCGCGATTCACTTCTCTCCTGTGAGAATTTCAAAGAAGTCCAAATCGATTTGTCGGACCACTCCCATTTCGGTACTTGCCGAATGGAGAGCATCCGAGGTTCTGTTTTATCTATTATTCGAACCCAGAGGCACTATGGTGCGGATATTCTTGAGGTTGCTCAAGTGTTGACCGCACCAAACCTTCCCCAGGGAGGTTGCGGGTATCAATACTAGTACCTATCCCAAGTATTAGGTACGTAGTATGTATACTTCAAGGTTAGTTACTCGGAGTCCTACTAAGTACCTAGCACATGTGGGACTTGAGCTGCGCGGCGCTCTGAACTGGTATTATATACTAGTAGATCAGGGGTGATTTTAGATGCCGCTCTATGGATAGGTTAAGGAAGCCTATCAACTCTATCGCCAGCTATCTAACATTTGAACCAGCCTTCAATCTGGCCGGCCCTCCTTGCTGCATCCTCCAGCGAAACATATCCCGACTCATCCGCATTAGCAAAACTGATCAAGGAATGCTGCACTGATCGTGCCCGAGTCGGCACCTCCATCTGCCTTTCCGACCAAGCCCAGGGGACCATTTCCACCTTGTCCGTGTCGAACTGGTGCACCGCGATAGTCACGGGCTCGGCATATGCGTCAGCTTGCAGCGAGATACCAGCGGGCGCGGTCAACCGAATCGTGCCTTTTTCTCCAGTCAAGGTCCACGATAGCGATGGATCGCCTGGGTAGGGCTGGCCGCGGAGAAAATATGCGATCAGACTGGCATTGGCGTGTATATGGGGGGATTCGGGTAGAGATCCTTTAGTCTTCATTAGCGCCTGGGATACCAACCGTCTTAATCCACTACATGTACTCACCATGCAGACTAAGCAAATCGGGTACGTCGGAGCGAATGGACTCGACAATCGTATCGGTCTGTGGATCTCGAACGCGGATATCTGGACGCTGGATCTGGGTCCGCGCTTCATCTGTTCCGGGGATGATATCGCCCACGACAGACTGGATATAGTCGATGACTAGATAATGTTAAAATGCAAACCACTAATTAATCGATTGGATCTTGAGAAATCAAAGGCATACATACCATGTCCAAAACCAATCACAATCGGATTGCCCCCGATATTTTTCTCGGCAAAGTATTTAAGTCCGATCGGCAAGATTTCTCGATCTCTCGTGCCCCCAAATATTCTTACCTCAGTACTCAATAGCTTACCCACCCTTCCCGACTCGAGAACCTCTTTGACCTTTAGCACCGGGGGCGCAAAACGTCCCTGTAATCCTATCGCCACACGGCCCCCGCCGAGAGCTGCAGCAGCAATCAACTCATCTATTTGGCTTTTGTTGCATGCGATTGGCCATTCGATATACACATCTTTTCCGGACAAGAGACTGGGCAGGACTGTTTCCAGGTGTTTATCAACCCGGGTGTTGCACAGGACGAGGTCGATGGCACGGTCCGCGGCGAGGGAGTCAGGGTCGCCGTAAGGCTTTACCGTAGAGGCATCGAGATTGTACGTCGAGATGGCATTGGAGGCTGCAGTGGGACTACTGTTGCAGAGAGAAATGATGCTGAAGAGTGTTTGACCGGTCGGGGAGATAAGGCAGGGTAGATGGGCGGCGGCTGCCCAGTTAGTAGCTGCGGAAGAGGAAAGGCCGATTATGGCGGTGCGAATGGGAGGCGACATTTGCTTTTTTAAGATGGGGATGTTTTAGATCTAATTCTTCGACTTGAATCTAGTCGTCACGGTGCCCAGGTGTTTATTTAGGTGAATTTTTAGAGTGGAAGATGGGGACGGAGGGTTTTTGTATGGATTTGTCAACTCTCCGAAGGATTGTTTTTGTATGGATTTGTCAACTATCCGAAGGATTGAAACTTATGTAGTTAACTCACTACTATAATATTGATTAGTAGTAGTACATTGTTGGACGACCATCTTACTCCGACAATCAATACCAGTTGACTTTCTCGTGCAGGTTCTTTCAAGCTTCGCTAGCCACATTTTCTTCCTCTATGTATTCTCCAGTCTCCAGGTAGTATATACCGAGTTTTCAAATGTTTGTACCCAAGGAAACCTGGAAGGTTGAATGTTCTTATGTACATAAAGTAAAGAATCGTCCAGATGTCCGCATCCTTGCACATGTGAACTTCAAATGTTCAAATCGGAAATATCGCCAACACTGTTACTATATATCAACAAACATGACATATGTACTATATTTATGTTTTTATTTCGTGCTAGGATCATCTCTATTCGCTTTCAATGTTGAAAGTTAATATTCCCTCTATCAAATCTCTCGTGTCCTGTCACAATAGTAGCAAAATAGCAGTGAAATGGTGGTATTCATTAATTTACACTCAATGACCTACTTCTACGATCGCTGAGCCCTGGGCGGTTGAAGTTATGATGAGAGTTGTTGGCACTATAATGTTTTGCTTATATAGCCATAAATTTACTTGCTTACATCAAGAACAGCCCGGGTGGTCTAGTGGTATGATTCGCGCTTAGGGCAGCAACTCCTAAGCACTCCTGCGCGAGGTCCCGTGTTCGATCCACGGCTCGGGCCTGTTATCTTTTTGATCTTTTTTTTTTCTTCGTAGTTTCACGAGGGAAGTGGGACAGTGGAGCATCCATTTTATTTATTTACTCCTGAGCTTCTTCTGTACACTCGTCAATAATTCCTTCTGCTTGTTTGCCTTAATTTTTTTAAAGAACACCAAAAGGCATGATGGAGCAGAAACGAACGCCAGGTGCTTCCCTCGCACCAGCCCACGTTGTTTCTTTTCCAGCACTCGTTGTACAACTTACATACTACTACCCTCCCTACTTCCATGCCTCGGTCATGCTAAGAGATTTCATTACACCTCCAATCGGGCGTCGCGAAAAGGTGTGGTTTCATCCTACTCAGCTGGTGCGTCCACACTTACAATTGACTCCACATTATATAATTCGCAGATGTAACAGCGCTGACGCATCCAAATGTAAGATCGTCTGGTTTGCCGTTCCAGAGCAGGGGTGATGCCAGACCCGCAGTATTTATGATTGTCGTACATATACTCTGCCAGCCTCGCCAACTCTCTACTCCATCGTATCACCTCCCTCAACCTCATCAAGAGCAATATCGGCAACCAACCTGATCATTACGAGGCAGAAAGACCTATTCTCCACGATCGACTGACATCGTATTGGTGTTCTTCCTGCTTTTCTTAACACTTGAGTGCCTTCTGGCTTGCTTCTGGCCGAAATGGCAATTATTTCCCCCGAAACACCGCCACCGAGTGTTCAACCAAATATCGCCGACCATTCTTCCGATGGCTACATTATGTACATCGTGGGAGGTATTTTGATGGTGATAATGTACACCACAGTCGGTCTCGCTTTATATGCGAAGCTCACTATCCGAAAACGAATAGCATCATATGATTGTGAGTGGAATCCCACACTGACCGATAGCCTAGAAAGCAGTCTAATGGATCCGGTCTAATGAAAAGCTATGTAGGGATGCGATTAATCGCCACGGTTTGTGTTTATTTTAATTATCCGGCTTCTTCAATTCTGACCATGTATTGGATGGATAGATTGGAGCGACGTTCTACTTCATCATTTGTATACTCGGTATGAAATCCTACTCGGGATCAATTTGACTTCATATTTCTGACCTTTGTTTCAGCTGTGAAGTTGGGGAAATACGGTACTCACATGTACGATATGTCAGCAGCTCAAAACCCGGACGAAGGCTTTATAATAGTATGCTAACTGAGATTGCGCATCCAACCAACTATACTCAGTAGGTAGGAATGAGCTGACTTCAATCCCAGACCTATTTTGCCAACTGGATGACCGCGTTAGTTTGGCCATTCGCCAAGTCATCTTTCTTCCTTATGTATCTCGAAATGTTCCGCACAATTACATGGCAGCGCTATGCGATCTACTTCGGCCTCTTCGTGAACTGGGCGTTTTATGCTGCCATCCTCGTCACAATTCTCTCTTATACCACACCCGCCCCTGGCCAAACCTGGGCGCAGGAGTTTTCATCCTTGCATTATGACAGAACACTCAACTGGGCCATTCCAATATCATCCGGTAACCTTATCATTGACCTTTACATTCTGGTTCTGCCCATGGCCCCGATTTGGAATCTACAAATGAGAATCAAGAAACGACTTGGTGTCATGGTTATATTTGCTACCGGCTTGTTGTGCGTGAAAACCTCCGGCACAACGGATACAGCACTAATAAATTGGTATATTTAGGGCCTGTATCGCTTCCTCACTCAGAATATACTTGAAAACGGATCTAATTCACCACGAAGAGGATATCAGCTATTACGAGTTTCCTGTACTGGTTATGGGCTTGGTGGAGATGTGTCTAGGTATATCGGCGAGCTCGATGCCATCGTTGGTGCTACTCATCCGCCACAACGGCAGCGGTTTGATTCGGGTTTTGAGCAGAATTACCTCGCGCACACCCTTCTACAAAAGCCAAAGGGAGGAGTTTTCTGACCAAAATGACTTCAGCGGGGATTCGGACCGCTTTCCCTTGGAAAATATTTTGCCTGCCGTCTCAAAGAGACCATCCCCAATGGTGAAGATTGATGACAGGCACAATCGTCGTCAGGACCAGTCCGTACGGACCTACATTGAAGCGGACTGCATTGCTAAACAGGTCACCCGAGATCAGATCCATATGAATTATGGATTTGATGTAGAGTACGAGGACCGTGGGAAGCGATCAAATCTCGATAAGCCGGTATAGACGGGTCAGGTTCCCTGGGAAATTGCAATTTTATTTTGTGCTTAGAATCTTAGTGATGGAAGGTCAGACAGATGGTACTCTACATACATAGAATGTGCTAGTCAAGAAAGCTAGTTGCAACCACTCCACACTTGATCGGGACGAAGATCGAGAGCAACTCAAAACTCTCTATAATTTCAATGTATGGGAGCCTTTGCGAGTGACCAAGGCCTTGGTGCCATTATTGATCAGGGCTCAAGTGCCTTTCATTTATGGGTGAATCTTAATCCGGGCCTCATGTACGAGTCCCATGTCAATGAGTGCTGCTGATGTCGGATAGAAGCGTATGCAGGCTCGAAGCGTGCAACACAGCTCACGGCCGATACGCTCCGACTGGAGCTGGTCCCCTTCAATGCCAAGGCCAGATCTGATACGACCTGCACTTTGGGCCAGACGTGCTTTGGAGATTTCAGATTGCCAGAGAGCTCGCTAGATAGGCCAATCGAAGAAACGATCGCGGCCCGGGCGCAGGGCGTTGATGGAATCGAGCGAATACTGTTTATGGATCATAGCGCGGAGGTGGTTGCCCAGATCTGGAAGGGCGCGACGGGCCGCCTCTGGTGTGGAGCCAATACCGCGAGTACGAAGGTAAACATGAGCGGCCAACTGATTCTAATGGAATGATGGTCAGTCGGAAGTCCGATTCGCACTATGGAATCTGAGCAGTCATAGCGCGTTCTTTTTTGGAAGGATGAGATCTTGGTCAAAGTAACTCAGCTGGATAAGTTGGGGGTAAATCTGCAGGAAAAAAACCTCAGAGCGAATGAGTAGGAAAGGGTCCAAAAGCCAAGGAATGGGAAACATTGAAAGGAATCCCGCTTCTCCGGATATCGGGCACGGCCCACGGGTCCTGGGGTTGGGGAAGCCGGAATCGGGCCCAAAGTCAACAAACACGAATGCCAAGAGAAGCAGTAGTACATGCCAACATTGAAACAAGGATATATTACATATTCAGTCACACTGTCACTTGAATAAAATCTCCATTAGGAAGGTAGTAAAGCGAGATTTGCGTAGATTCTCCAAGTGTTCGGAGTAAAAGTCGGCAAAATTCTTAAATTTGTCGGCACCATGCGACTTCGGGTCCTGGTCTGGGGGACCTGGAGCCCCGCATTGACAAACCCCGCCCCAGTCCCCCCGGGAATTTGATTCCAATGAATCCCAAACATACATAGCAGAGGATCAGCCTCCAAGCTTTGATAAAACAAGTAATGATCAACATAGCACTAACAAGCCGTGAGAGATATGCAACACTTGCTTAGCTTGTAAGATTGTCTGAGAGAAATACCGACTAGAAGTAGAGGTGCAAGTTGTTTCTACAAGTAGACTATACCGAAAAAAGCTTGGTCCATTAATTAGTAGCATCTAGGGTCCAACATGTTACATCTGGAGAAAGAGAGAAAAAGTGTAGATGACACCGATTTCCGGAAGTCAAAATGTGTATCCGTATCCAAGCTACGCAAATACGTGTAGCATGCGAGCGCCACCACGCCACCAGTACTAGTACCCCCACGCAGAGCAGCAAAACGACTTCTGTTGGTCTGTACTGCTCTAAAACCCGGATGACATCCGTAATGGCTTAGGGGAATTCCCTCATTTGGCAGTACAAGTGAAGATCAGACGATGAAAAAAACCTTCTCTCAATGCCGAAAATTATTCAAAATGGACCGACTCCACCCCGAATCTGTTATTTTGTATTGTCGAAGCGGTGTAATAGAGAAGAATGCCTCCTTGAAGGCCAAGGAAAGTATATTGAAAAGATGAAATATCCAAGTTACCACGGAGAATTACCCCGCTGTCAAATAAGAACATTCCTAGAACCCGTGGAGAGGCGGGGAATTAGCGGAGATCAACAAGGCCAAGTGGGCATGGTAGCAGTGGGAATGTCCCCGAAGTTTAGGCGACGGCTTGTTTTTCGGCACACTCGGCATCTGATTTCTCGGCGACTTCCTATACTTGATCTTTTGTATCGGCAAGGATTTTTATTACTCTGGAAATGGCGTCTGATCGCAAAACCAGGTTCCTTCGTTCTACCTTCTACATACAAAGAAAGGGATTGTCCCAAACCCCTTGATACAATGCAGGGCCCATACTTGAGCATCTCCTCGCGTATCCAGCCACTCCCATTACTTTCTCCCTTTCCTAGTAACAATTTTAACAATTTTAAAGCATTCAATTAGCAAATGAATTACATTTAAACGCGGTCGTGTATGCCAAGCCAAAAACAAAAGCAAAACAATGCATTACGCCCCTAGTACTCAATAGCCAGCTATTTGTCGATCCTTACTGGTTTCTCCACACTTTCCCAGCTTCCCCGTCTTGGAATCCGAGTGGAGCACCTACGCCATTCGTTGATTCCCCTGTCTCTGTAAACAACCCACAATTTAGTATTTTAAATAGCCAGGCTTTTCCTCCCCAGCTTGGGGGAAAATTGTATTCGCCACACTCTTTTCATCTCGGCGATTGGTGATTTGGTACCCTCTTCTAAAGGTTCCTAGATCTACCTTGCTTATTTTATACCGGCAACCATGAAGTTCGGGTTGCTGGAAGCAGGCCTTTTAGGCGTTGCTTCAGTGGCTAGTGCCAAGGTGAGATAATGAAGGAAAAATTTGGCTTTCTATTGAATCTAAAGACTAATTGCATACTGTGATAGGAACTGGCATATTCACCTCCTTTCTACCCGTCCCCATGGATGACCGGCCAGGGCGAGTGGGCAGAGGCTCACCGACGTGCAGTCGAGTTCGTGTCCAACCTAACATTGGCTGAGAAGGTCAACTTGACTACTGGTGCTGGGTATGTTGAAAATAAATTCACATGACGACTATAAAACTAACAAAGCCAGATGGGAGCAGGAACGATGCGTCGGAGAAACTGGAGGTATCCCCAGGTAAGAACTAAAAACCAAACTCGCTGTACATGGAAATAAGAATGAAGACTAACATGGTTCTAAAGACTAGGAATGTGGGGAATGTGTATGCAAGATTCGCCTTTGGGCATTCGCGACAGTAAGTCCAGCTGTGATCCGCCAACGTGATTTTTCTTTTCCTTTTCGAGGACTGACCCATGGCGAACAGGCGATTATAACTCGGGATTCTCTGCCGGAATCAACGTCGCTGCTACCTGGGACAAAAGGCTGGCCTATGCCCGTGGTACAGCCATGGGCGAGGAACACCGCGATAAGGGTGTGGATATCCAGTTGGGACCCGTCGCTGGTCCCCTCGGCAAGAACCCCGACGGTGGTCGTGTCTGGGAGGGTTTCTCCCCCGACCCCGTTCTTACTGGTGTGATGATGGCCGAGACCATCAAGGGAATGCAAGATGCTGGTATTATTGCTTGTGCCAAGCACTTCATTGGAAATGAACAGGAGCATTTCCGCCAAGCTGGCGAGGCTCAGGGATACGGATACAACATCACAGAGAGTATCAGCGCGAACATTGATGACACTACCATGCACGAGCTTTACCTTTGGCCCTTCGTCGATGCTGTGCGTGCTGGCGTGGGATCCATCATGTGCTCCTACAACCAGATCAACAACAGCTACGGTTGCTCCAACAGTCACACCCTGAACAAGCTGCTCAAGAGTGAGCTTGGATTCCAGGGCTTCGTGATGAGTGATTGGGGTGCCCACCACAGCGGTGTCGGTGACACTCTTGCTGGTTTGGATATGTCCATGCCCGGTGACGTTGTTCTGGGCAGCCCCTACTCGTTCTGGGGTACTAACCTGACTATCTCTGTACTGAACGGCACTGTCCCCGAATGGCGCATTGACGATATGGCAACTCGTATCATGGCGGCCTACTACAAGGTTGGTCGGGACCGTTACCGTACTCCCCCCAACTTCAGCTCCTGGACTCGCGACGAGTACGGCTACGAGCACTACATTGTGAGCGAGAACTGGGTCAAGCTCAACGAGCGTGTCAATGTGCAACGCGACCACGCCAATGTTATTCGCAAGATTGGAGCCGACAGCACTGTTCTCCTGAAGAACAACGGCGGTCTGCCCTTGACTCACCAGGAGAAATTCGTCGGAATCTTGGGAGAGGATGCTGGATCTAACCCCTACGGCGCTAATGGCTGCTCCGACCGTGGTTGCGACAACGGTACCTTGGCAATGGGCTGGGGCAGTGGAACTGCCAACTTCCCTTACCTGATTACCCCTGAACAGGCTATTCAGTATGAAATTCTGAACCACGGTAACGGCCAGACCAATGTCTTCGCTGTGACCGACAATGGTGCTCTTGACCAAATTGCCGCTACCGCCGCCCAAGCTAGGTAAGCAAAGCAACACTTTACCTTTACGCGATCTTCTAACTAACTTTCATTCTTAGCGTCTCTCTGGTTTTCGTGAATGCCGACTCCGGCGAGGGTTTCATCAATGTTGATGGCAACGAGGGTGACCGCAAGAACATGACTCTCTGGAAGAACGGCGAAGCAGTCATCAAGGCCGCTTCGGAGAACTGCAACAACACTATCGTTATCATGCACACCCCCAGCGCTGTCTTAATTGATGACTGGTACACGAACCCGAACATCACTGCCATCCTATGGGCTGGTCTGCCCGGTCAAGAGAGCGGCCGAAGCTTGGTGGATGTCCTTTACGGTCGCGTCAACCCTGGAGCCAAGACCCCCTTCACTTGGGGCAAGACCCGCAAGGACTACGGAGCCTCTATTCTCACTGAGCCCAACAATGGCATCGGTGCTCCCCAGGATGACTTCACCGATGGTGTCTTCATTGATTACCGCCGATTCGATAAGGATGGCGTGGAGCCAATCTACGAGTTTGGTTTCGGTATGAGCTACACTGACTTTGCTTTCTCCGATCTGAAGGTCAAGGCTTTGAATGCCGATAAGTACGTTAAGACCACCGGTTGGACTAAGGCTGCTCCCGTGCTGGGCAAGGTCGGCCCGATCTCGGACTACCTGTTCCCCAAGAACATCAAGCGTGTTACCCAGTACCTGTACCCCTGGTTGAACTCCACCAACCTGAAGGAGTCCTCCGGCGACCCATACTACGGAGAGAAGACCGAGAAATACGTTCCCGCAGGAGCGACAAACGGATCTGCTCAGCCCCTGCTGCCCGCCAGCGGCCCCAGTGGCGGCAACTCGGGTCTCTTTGACGACTTGGTCCAGGTCACTGCCACCATTACTAACACCGGCTCTGTGACCGGTGATGAAGTTCCTCAGCTTGTAAGTCCACCATTAAAGAAGTACAATTTAGTGGAGAAATTTCTAACCATCGGTTCTAGTATGTTTCTCTTGGTGGTGCCAACGATCCAGTCAAGGTGCTGCGCGCTTTTGACCGTGTTACCATTGCCCCCGGCCAGAAACTTCAGTGGACTGCCACCCTTACCCGCCGTGATCTCTCGAGCTGGGACGTTGCTGCCCAGAACTGGGTTGTTACTGACACTGCCAAGAAGGTGTATGTTGGAAACTCGTCTCGCAAGCTGCCTCTTTCGGCCGACTTGCCTTCTGTTCACTAGATGTGGAACTTGTATATACATTGCATTGGGGAGGAAGACTCAATGTGGGAAAATTAGGTATTTTATATACTGTAGGAACACCACACCTACCAATAATACTTTGATAGTACATTTTATTTTGAAGTTTCTGTAGTAAACTCCTTTACTTCTGATTCGCGCTACCATAGCAAGTACCGGAAAAGTCCACAAAATTAAAGTAGAAAGTTTTAAAGCTCAAATGGGTAACCTTGGTCAACTGGTTGGAATCTTCATGACATCACTAGTAAGCACCAGTCCGAAGTTTAACACGTGGAATCGTATGTATTGATACATATAAACATGATGACTACTACTATATAGTTGATTTTCAAGTTGATTTGCTGCCAAATTATCAGTGCTTCCAAAGTTATTTTCCACCACTATAATATAAAATTTCGCCGTCAACATGACACCCACCGGGCCTTGGTTTAGCCAGGGCCCAATGCAACATCTTTGTCACTCGTCGACACTGCAGCGATACTGCAGATGTCACATATTGACAGTCTTTGTTCTGCGGGTTGCAGGTTGGCGGATTAAAATTTCCGAACTGAGCCTAGCCTAGGTTCAACCTTAAGGTACTCAAAGTTGTTCTTCCTTTCTTATTTCTTTTCTCTTCTCTTTCTCTTTCTTTATTCTCTGTCTGTGTTTTTCTTGAGTTTCTAGGACCTCAGTACAATATCATTGTATCTTCACTTGTCGTGTCACAATCCTTAAGCTTGGTCAATTACTCCAACTTAGCCACCCACGGCAGGCCCATCCTCCTCCCCAGCAGGGCCTGTGGAAGATCAAGGATGCCATCAAAGAGTATGAGCATCAAATGAACAAGGAGTATGTGAGGGTGGACTACCCATCGTATGCTGCCATTGAGCTGTCGTGCACTTCCGCTGATGACCCGATTGTACATGCTATGATGCGAGTATACGTTCAGATTGCCTACACCAACACTGAGCTTGAAGACTCCGATATCTGCGCTAAGCAAGAGATGAAATTTAAGCCTGGGGAGTTAAAGGCCTTCCGGATACTTTCTGAGAACGGTGCAATCTCAAGTTTCACTCCTCGTCATCTCTGCGATCACAAATCTAAACAGGATACCTCGGGCCTGCCGCCTAGTGCCTAATAGTTTCATTTATTTTGTTGCTTGAGAAATCTTACCTGAAATCCCGCTTGGCAGTGCTTGGGGGCGCTTCAGGCTTCTGGGATTCCGTCCCGGATTTGGAAGAGCGAACTTTGATTCACGCTAAGTCCAAAGATAGCCTGTGGCGAGTTATCCTCTTCTTCCAAAATAGTATAATCTATTGATACCCAGTGTTATTAGGCTAATCCGTGCAGCTGGAATAGAACCAGAGCCTTTTGGCGCTTCCAATTTGGTGTGGGACTCTGAAAAAAAGACCCTGTAAGTAGTAAGTCATCACCGTTATTTTTTCTGTAACAGCAAATCCATCCCTACTAGCTTTTGGGTTGGCTTTAGAGAGTGGTTTTCTGGTGGACCAGCCCCATAGACAGACAGACGTCTGGTATCCTTTGTGATCTTGTGAAAGTTCTTCGGTATGAAAAACCTCCCGGGGGCCCCGAACGAAACGGTCATACAACAGAGTGGACGTGGCAATCCGGGAGATTAATTGATTACTCCCTACCATTTTGCCTTTTCAATGGTACCAACTGCCGGGCCTGCTATAAAGGGTTCTTTCTTTTTTCAAACTGGACTCCATTAATATCCAGCGCTAAAGGCCACTGGGTAGAAAACAGGGCGTTGCGCGGACTCAATGAACTTGCATTCTGTACATCTGTATAGGAAGTGATCTACCAACTTCATGCAGAGAGATACGACCCATGGTAGCTATGAATAGCATTTACCTACAGATTGGGACACCCGGGACTTTTTTACGTAAACCTGTACACGCCAAGAGATGAGCAGGTGCGATAGGGGTTTGCCTCGGTTCCTCCGTACATAGACGTGCACTCTGATTGCACTCTGGTTCGTCACCGGATACATCGGAAGGATCGTGGAGCGGCGCGGGCCATCTCCGTAACCCTAAGGACCCTTGAGGATCCACTATATTCAGCACCGAAGGGTCCTTCCATTAATGGTTAGGAGCCAAAAGTGAATTTAACCACGATTAGTGAAATGAAGATTGTAGCTCCAGTCTTACTGTATCCTAATGATTGGCCACTCTTGATTTGTGAAGAAGGGGTCGTCGCCAAGGTTCTCTGTATAATCAAGTCTCCACTCAAGATGATCTCAGCAGGTCTCAGTAGTTGAAGGGTAGAGACAAGAGCAAGATTGAAGACTGGGGGTCAAAATGAAGGTATAAAATGCAGCATGTTAACCCGAGATGAAGAAGTATCCAGCTTCCAATTCGAAAATCATTCATCTAGTCTTCAAACCAACTTCCAATATTCACCATGTACTTCCCTGCGTCCTTCCTCATGCTTGTGGCCGCTATTGGCGGAGCTACCGCCGCGCCCAGTGCTGAGGCTGTCGATATTCACGCAAGAGACGTCGCAGTCACCATCAAAATTTGCAGCGAAATCAACTTGGGAGGAGACTGTATTTCTCCTACTGTCTACTCTCAGCATGACTGCTGTAAGTGATATCTTTTCTCATAACCTATTTTCATTTCAGTCTTCGAGATCTTTCAATCAGTCTTTCATAGATGCAAGGAAAATCAACAATCAACTTCAAACATTAACTTATCCATTACGTGCAGACTCTTTGAACGGCAGCCCCGTCAACCAGCTGGCCAAGTCGGTCAGCATCCCGAATGGCTACCGTTGCCGCTTCTGGAGGTATGTTTTCGACCCATATTTGAGAATGCCCAGAAAGTGATGGCTGATTTGTACTCTCTTATAGCTCCACAACCTGCAATGGTGGTGGCACCGGCGATATCCAAAGCCCCGGAAACAACAACATTGGCTCTAGCGGAGTCAGCTCTGTCAAGTGCTATGTTAACTAAGTTGACCTTAGGTAGCACGAGGCACTGAGCTCACCTTCCAAAATCATCCCGATCATGCACATGTGTGGGTCCAAACTTGAAAGTGGGTCCAAGGTTGACGGGTGTGAGCATGGAGAACGGCTCGGGCCCCGGGAACGCTTCCTAACCAAGGCTGGGATTGTTGATACATCACAATTCATGTATTTCGATGATGCGCTAGGTGATATCAATTCTAAATGATCGCAGTTGGCGTTGGTAAACTCATTAAACTTGGAACCTTGGAATATTTCTTAGGTATCCATCCTATCCAGCCGACAGTAGTGGCGCAGAAAATAGTCCCTGCAGTAAGTAAGCCAATCAGTTAGTATAAGCGATGGATTGGACGAATTAAAATCGCCACAGTCTCGCTTTCATTTCATCCACATTAGCACCCATCTTGAGTAATATGTAGAGTGAATTGTGATGCTGCATTGAAGAGAAAACTTCCAAGGTTGCATCATCGACGTGATTCATCACCCCCGGAAGCTCGCTTCTGGTTTATGAACAAACGGAAGAAAAACCCCCATGTTATCAACGCGGGGATGATGCTGATCTTCCCCTGAAAGGACCTGTTTGCCATGCTTACCCCTGTTGACCCCCACCCGTTTTCTGAGTGAGCGGATGAGATTCCATTGGCACAAGCCCATGGAGGCTGAAACGCTGAAAAACGCACGTAATTTGGTGGTCTTGGAAGTTGAAAGTTGAAAGTTGAACGAACTTCTCAGGAGCCCGCATTTCCCTCCAGATATCTGTAACGCGAATTTCTTCCGGACATCTGGATTTCTCATAGCCCGTGTCATATCTGAAAGGAGTAAACTTTCCCAAATTATTGGATCCAGATGCCCATTGACTCCATTCACGTCAAGTTTTTTTCGCGTGTAGACATGGCCAGAAAGCAGTTTCTTTATATACACACTGGCACAGTACTGTTTATTTGCTTCAAAATATTCATATATCTGAGGTCTCTATGTTCTTTGGCTGTACATGGTGAAGCGCCCACAGCCAGCTCCAGATATCATCCTCGGCGGTGTCAAGCTTGGAAGTTTCTCTTTTTGGAATCGATCGCCGTATCCATCAAATGTGCTGCATGCAAAATTTAGGTTTGGCATTGCGACTCTAGGCGCAGAGAACACTGACTTTGTAAATATCTCTCAATTCCTGTGTGAGGCGCTCCACACACAGTGGGTGGCAAAGCGAGATCTTCGTAATGAATAAGATTCGAGGATATTTGTCACCACTTTCTTGGTGATTGCAGCTCATCCTGGGAAATGGTATTTGGATGGGCGCAAGGTCCGATCGAAAGTTGGCCGTTGTTAAGAGAAAGAGTTTCCCGTCACCAGGAAGCACGTATCGAAGCGATTATGGGATAATTCACGTATAATTTGTGCACATAGTAATTTTTTTTTTCATACCGTGGTACCAGAGATACTTACAGTAGCAGGTTTGCTAGTGGTTTCTGAGCCAGAGAAAGAGTAAAACTTTTCCAGAGGAGTCGTGCTTGTTGCTATAGAGCCATCATGCTCGGAAGAATTAGCAGCCGCTTTCGCCTGCTTTTTGGCTGCTTTCTCTTCTTGTCGCAAAATTTTGTGAGTGCGTGACAGATTCCGAGCCCATATTCCAGAGACAAGGTATATGATCATACACAAAAACTCCGGGAGAACTCCGAAGAGGGACAAGATTGTGATACCGCCTTGGTCGAAAAGGTGATAGACATAGCCGCAGTAAACGACATAGACAACGCGGAACCCGATCAAGGGCCAAGCCATTGTAGCGGCGTACAGAAGCTTCACACTTGTTAGTTCATACTAAAGTGATAAATTTGATGCCATGTATGACGTACCACTTTCTCATCGGGCAGACGGTACTTGTGGCCTTTTGAAGACCAGCTTCCGACTATCATCACGCCCGTATAGACCCAACCAAGAAGCCAGACAATGAGACCGGCTTTCAAGAGAATAAGTTCCGTGAGACCCTTCAGCGCCACAGAAATGCCAATGATAATTAGCACCTGGGCAGTGAGCGAACCCCACACTCCTGCAAATCTCGGTAGGTCTTTGCGGATGGAGAAATTCCTATAACCATCCTCGTCAGTCCCATTCATCAATATCAAACTTGGTATTACTCACGCTTCATTCAAAAATCCCTGGCACACCAGCGAAAATGGTGACAGAGCGACTCCGTTAATCACAAGCGGGATAATTATGCTGGGTATGCCCGTAGTCTTGATCGAATCAAAGGCGATAGCATTAGCGGCAATGCGTAGTGAGGTCCAAATAAATGTGTTGAGCCAGGGGCCGAGGCCCTGGAGTCCATGCATATAAAAACAATAGCAGACTGGAAGTACTGAGATCCCGAAGAAAATCAGGTTGGCTAACTCGAGCGCTTCGCTCGGAAGGTAGGCCATGATGTACACTGGAAGATGAATCGATGAAGATTTGCGATTAAGTCATGCAAACGTGCGGTACGAAGGCGTGGTAGCAGAAAAAAGAACGATCGGGTATGTAGGGATTGACATGTTTTTATCTGATAAATTCTTCTGTTAAGGGATGGAAGAGGGGATTGTGACCCTTGGATCCCTCGAAAGTCGTCAATATGGTAATCACCGGCGTAGAGACAAGCTATGGTGCAAAACCCTTGCCTCAAATGGCTAGGCTTTTGGTGGAAGCAAGGGAGCGCAGGAGCATAGTTAAACTCAGTAATAGACCATTCAGCAGTTGCGGGTAAAGTTTCACCTCCCGCGGATCTTCGTCGCGCCCGTGGCAAACTAGGGTGACAATCGTAGCATTCTCCTTTCATTCTCCTTCCAATAAATCTGAGTCAATTGGAGCACACCATGGTATATACATACAGAGATGGACCTCTGTATGGACTCCATGGTGGCTTACTGAGCCCAATTATTTGGTGGCGCCGTCAGCGCTTTTAATCCTGGGTTGAAGCGTCTCTTGTTGACCGTTCAATGCGACGTGAACTTCAGGCAACGGCGATCTCCCGGTATTTACTCACTTGATTGGATCACTGAAAACAAAGAGAATTCTTAGCATCACCCAATGGGCAAATAAAACTCAAGTGGCGTAAGTCGTGTTGCATCCATGAGATTCTTCATTCTTTTGTGTAATAGCTTATTATGATGAAGCATGAGGTAGAATTAGTGCAGCCGGAGGAGTTGAAATCTTATCCCCTTCAGCTGTAACTGAAGAGTCCTCGGCAATCAGAGTAAGTGGCCAGACCATGGTCCATTTCCATTCGGTCGGCATAATGCTGTCGATTCCACGAACCTCTCGCGCAGGAATTCCTTGAAGCCACCAAACATTCTCTACTTTCTTGGCCAAGGCGAACAAATACCCCAAAATTACGAGGGAGCGTGGGCGTTTCTCCGTAACCAGCTCACCAAATCGCCGGCGGGCCATTGGTGGAAACCCCGTGAACATTTTTCGAAGAACCCACGAAGGATTATCGGATTTCGAGGCCATATAGAGGCACTCGATATACTCGACACTATCCAAGTAGGCTCTTTCAGTGCCTTCGTCCATATCTTCTTCTTCTCGGCGATACTCAAGGATGAAATGGAATGGTTTTGCGGGCCCCTTGAATTTACTCAAACCTTCATCAAAACGGAGTGGATCCGTCAACAACAAGGGTTTGATCTTGGAGTTTGATTCGACGAGTTGATGAAAGACAGTCTTGAGAACTGTTCGGATACCCCGTGCGACCAACAACCATAATATTGGAGGCTCATAGGCGCCCGAGGAAGGTTCAGATCGGAGGAATAAAGTGTACAAAGAGAGCATCACAGCATTGATGCAGACTGCTTCACTGGTATTTCCATCTAGATCAGCCGTTGAGGAGCGATGCTGTTGAAGAGCGAAGTCAATATAAGCATGTTGAGTGGGCCGCAGAGAGTTTGCCTCGTCCGGATATAATATGGCGCGATGTGCTGCACTCATTGCGAGCAATGTGTGTAGAAGTGGCTCGTACTCAAACGCCATCTCGGGTACGTCAACAATCCACATCTCACAAACAGATGGTATTTCGGCGGAGTTCATGGTCGCAGCAGTGGCCGTCACCCAATGATGCATCAAACGTAATTGGTTGACTGGCAACCCTTCATGAAAAGTGGGCACGTCAGGCTCAGGGGCCTCGTTAGCTTGACGCTTTCGAGAGTTCGTCGACGGAGGTTGGCCCGGATTGTAAGCGCGAGTCACCAACAAAGCATATTCGCACGGTATGCCATGCCGATTACAATGGCTGCATTTGGGGCGCTTTTCATCACACTGCTCGAATGTGAGTTTCTTCTTTGTGGAATCAACAAAACCCACGAATCCCTCACCTTGACCTTCCGAGCTTTACACCGAAGACAGCCCGTTATGGATTTTCGGTGGTTAAGGTGCGGAACCATGATGTGTTAAATTAATTCAAGAGCTCTGCAATCAGTTGATCAACATGAGCTCGGTTTCGGGAGAGATGCTGAATGGGGTTGCTGAAAAGACGGAAGTGGGGTAGGTTTGACACGCGACGTGCCCCATTTAAGTTGATTTAACCATTGGCCTCAACGGGCTGTGCTTATCTTCGGTTTCGGTTCATTGTATCCGAATAGGTTTAGCGTGGCCAACTATGATTCTCAAAGTGGAAACTGTTAAGTTCTCATTTTGAACAGCCCCCAATCCATCGTCATCGATTCACTACGAAGGATATTCCACTTTAGGACGATTCATCAGATCCTCCCAGAAAAAACATACTATAAAGATGCCCTTCATCGTCGGGGGATTTTCTAGTCCTCACCAGCACTGTCCACCATACAAAGAGCGAGAAATTCTTGTTTACAACTTGAACTTACTATCAACATCTGACTTTCTACATATGCACCTACATCTACACCTACATCAAACATGGGTATCTTGAGGAAAGCTATCATGGGTTCTGCCGCAGCTTACATGGGCACAAAGTGAGTAGCCGCATCTAAACATTGAATTATTTAATTGTTCTAGACGCTAATTTCTTTTATTCGTGATAGGGATGGTAAAGACGACAAGAAGAATTCTCAAAATCAGTCACCCAACTCTCCACCACCTCAGCAACAGCCTTATTACCAACCAGGCTACCCACCCCAAAACCAATATGGCCAGCCTCCATATGGCCAGAACCCGTACAATCAGCCTCCAAACGGTCAACCTCCATATGGTCAGCAGCCTCCATACAACCAGAACAACCAGGGCCCAAACTCCTTCACCTCACCACATAACCAGCAGGGATATGGGCGCAACGACCAAGGATATCCACCCCAGCAGTACAACCAACGGGGCATGGAGGATCCAATGAATAATGGTGGCTCAAGACCCATGCAATCTTCTCCTCCCCCCTACCAGCACAACTCTGCCTATGACAATCGCGACGAGAAGTCTCCTGCATACCCCTCCGGCCAGGGAAAATAAAGGCTGCACAAAGTTTTTTTTCTTTTTTAAAAATGGTCTATTTGAATGCATTTGGCATGGAGCCTTGGGGAATTTTGTCGTTTGATTTTGGAGATACCGCCACTTCATCTCCTTGGATTTATGACATTTAATCTGTAATACTCGAAACGTTTAATGATTTACTTATAACAGTGTGTACATCAATTGATTCTAATTTCTGAACTAAGCCTAATCGGGACGCATTGATGCCTTCCAAGTTTATATGCCTGAATCTGCCTCGGGCAGCAACAGCTCTAGACCGCTTTCTATAAGTCTATGTATTCTAGCTTATCTACTAAAACCTATAATTTATATACACTTTTTTCTCAATAATGATACCAATACGCTAGTTATGAAGATACAGGGCTAGTATTTAAGTAACAGTAACTTCAGTTGACAGCTTCCCTGGCTTCCCCAGCTTCTACAGCAGTGGTGGCCTCTACAACAGTGGCATCTCCAACAAAAGCAGCTGCCTCCACGGATGAAGAGCTAGCAAGCCCACCATTTCAAGAAGTTCCGTGGTCGAAGCCAATCAGGCACATTGATAGCCTTGTGAAACACCACAATGGCTTTCGCCATGGCGGTAATTAAGTCGTCAGTGCCACCTTCAGCGTTTTTTAAAGGTCAGGTGGACCAACTTCAGGGTCAAAGTCGATAGACCTTCTGCCATCAAAGCGACCTTCTTTAGAATGGTACATTTCTCGAAAGCACAAAATAAAAGTTCAATCCCAATGGTATTCGCCGTTCGTCAATCATCTTGGAGGAAAAAACGCAAATCGACTCATTTTTCACAATGGCTACTACATGCCCGACAAAGCAGGACTTGACCAAGTTCTACGTCGGCAAAGACCAATCTCGCCGATGTACCCAAACCGGCGGCGGTGCTCGATGTAGCTATTATTCGCCAAAAACTGTGAGCGAATGAAGCTCACAGTGAAGGAACTGGGAGTTGCATTCCGAGCCCATGTGAAAACATATAAGGTATTATGCGATCCAACAAAATCAGAACACTGGGCCCCAGGTAACTTGTATCGGACAATTGAATTGACCGAAATGAAAGTGGACAAGACCATTCCCTCGGCCAAATCCATCGGTTCCACACTGTTGGAAATCGAAACATTGGTTCCTCTCCTCCGGGGGTTGAAGAAGTATCATGAAACTAATATCCAACGGACCTGGTAGGAGTATCCGATGGCAAGCTGCGATTTCCTTCGAGTTGCTAGAAGCAAATCACGCGCTGGGCACTTATACTAACCGACACCGCCGAGGCCGAGAAGCGCTATTCTCGACCCTGGGACTGGGCCTTTGTCATGAATTTAGATGTAGCAATACCACGACTGATAAAGTCTGTCGAACGAGCGCCAAACATCAGAGCCGGTTGATGATGACTAAAGACGCTAGGTGGGTGCAAAATATTGATAGTGATGGACAGGGGGCGGTGAAGCCTCTCCGGGTGGAAAGGCGGCCGTTTCTGGCGTCCAAAGCTGTCATTTTCGGCGTCGATTTCACAGGTCCCCATATTCTAGATGTAACGTCCGAGCGTTCGTGTCCGGAATAAAAGAAAGTGTTGATGGGCCTTGGCTAGACGGACACTAGGTTTCATGTATAAGCCTTCACTGATTCCATGTCAGCCAATAGTTGAGTAGTCTGTAGATGCGTGATTGCGATGACAACTCTGAATGGGTATGCAGTTCATAACATTGGACAACCATATAACAGGCACTATCACCGCCAATTCCGGTGAACTGATACCCAGAGGAACTTGTAGCCCCTGTCTGGCGATAATTTCGATCAAGCCATCGATCCTTCTATTTACTTCGGAGAACATGGCCGTGATGTGTGTTATATGTTGGTAACTTTTTACCCATGCTTTTCTCGGCCGGAGCCTAGTAAGGCGGGAGGCTGGGTCATGACGGCCCACTTCCCAGAAAACTCTCGCAGGGAAGTGGAGCGGCGATACGGTCAAAATCACGGTAAGAAAACGCAGCCTGGGAAACCCAGGCGCAGCCTCAGGGGCCAAAACTCGTGGAAAATGAGGACAGTACTCTGGATTTACTCGACAATTCCGAACATGGGGTATCCTCCTAGAGGCTCCTTCAAGATTCACGTTTGCTACCTTCGTACCCTATGCACAGACTTTGCAGAAAGTTAGCACATGACGGCATCCACATGGAATCGTCAAGGCGAAGAAGTTGATCGTTCGTATCATCGGAATTCGTCGCGCAATAATTGGCCGGGGGGTGAACCCACGGGCGATGCGAGCCGAGATGAGCCCCACAAGGCGCATCCACCAGTCCTGCAGCTGAAGAAGAAAATGGCAAAATGGTGGGGGAGCTGAAGCCCTAGCGTCAGATGGCCCCATTGAAGATTTCATGATTGGTGGAGTCAGGGAGCTTGGCCCGCGTCAGCTCCACAAGTTCATGCTGATGGGTTGAAAGTGGGTAAGTTTGTGCGATGGTTGGCCTTGATTGTAAAGCAATAAGCCCCCTAGTGTGGAATGGCGTAAAAAGAATGGGTTATAAGTAAGTAACTGTGGGGTCCTCGTCGCCTGGTTTGATTTTCGCTTCAAGTTCTGCAGCTTCTGCACTCCAATCAATCGATAATTTTTATCGCTTAATTATATCGCTTTTCGCCATGGATCCGGTTGATGTTGATTATGTCCCTGGCGAGGACTATGTTCTCCGTCAACGAAAAGACGCCCAGAACGTCCATGCCGCTATCCGAAAACGTATCATTGTTTGCTGCGACGGTACGTGGCAGTCTGCCACAACAGGTCGCAAAAATGTTCCATCAAACGTTACCCGTCTGTGTCGGGCCCTGAATCACATTGGCACAGATGAGAAGGGTGACCAGTGGCAGCAAGTTGTCTGGTATGACTCCGGGGTGGGAACAAACGCGGGCACAGTCGAAGATGTTGTAGAGGGCGCATTCGGTGAAGGCGTGGAACAGAACGTCATCGAGGCGTACAACTTCTGCGTGCTGAATTATAGGCCGGGTGACAAGATTATGTGTTTTGGTTTCTCTCGTGGAGCGTACACGGCGCGCACAATCGCGGGTTTGATTTCGGACATTGGAATTTGCCAGAAGTTTGAGCTGAACAAGTTCCCCGACCTATGGGCCATGTATAAGAAAGTCAAACACGGGAAGCGCTTCGATCGGAGCGACCTTTGGTTTGACTGGACTTGGGGTAAAGCAGATGAACATCAAGGTGCGGGTACCAAGGACAACCGAGAATTTGTTTATGAGCAAGCCCCCGAGGGCGATTGGGCACAGGAGGGATCGAAAGAAGTCGAAGTTGTTGGAGTCTTCGATACAGTCGGTGCTATCGGAATGCCTGAGGTTCTGGGAATGAAGTTACCCTCTGCGGGGAAGAATGGCTGGCACAACGTTGGTCTGTCACCAAGTGAGTTTGCTTCCCTCTAAATTATGCTCTGAATGGGATGCAAAATGGACCGCTGACATTGACTACCTAAGACATCAAATATGCCTACCAAGCTTTGGCTTTGGATGAGCACCGCCAGGCATTTTCGCCGTCAGTATATTACCTACCGAACAAAACAGCCACAGCCGAAGAAGTTGAAGCCAGAAAGAAGGAGGAAGTTGCGGCCCAAAGTAAATACTGGACAACCTTACAGAAAGCAAAGAGTCTGAAAGCAGGAGGCAAGGCCACGGACAAAGAAGTCAATACCGCCGCCCATGCTGTCAACGAGGCTGCCAGAGCCTGGAACAAGGCAAGCCGGAGACGAGTCAGATTCCAAAACCGACTGGGAGTTCACTCCAAGTTAACGCAAGTGTGGTTCCCTGGCTACCACGTCAATATTGGTGGAGGAGATTCCGAAACCCTGGACAATGTGGGAGATATGGAAGAAATGTCCAGCATCACCTTTTTCTGGATGCTCGATCAAATCAAAGCGCATCTTTCTATCGACGAGAGATTCATTATCAGAGAACATAATGCTCGTGTGCGGAATCTTCAAAAACTCAACAAGGCTTTCACTACTTGGGAGGCCGCAGAGACCAAGAGAACACAGTCTTTCAGAAATTGGGTCTACCACGCCGCGAAAGCAACGGCCTCTGTTATCATCCATCCTCTGGACTCGGGGGTTGAGCCAGCCTACAAGAAACTCCGCGCCTATGGCTGGGGAACAGGTGAATTGATTGACAGTTATAACTCCATGTACTGGCTCAATGGAAAGCACTGGCGAACACCAGGACAATATGGCATAAAGGATGGGCAAAATCTTGGCGAAACCTTCGAGTTCATTCACCCCGTTGTGAACTTCCGAGTGGAGCAAATGAAGGGTTTGAACAAAAAGAACAGCAAACTCCTCTTATACAAGCCCCTCAGTCCCGGTTGCAAATACGAACGCCGCAGAGTGAAGGACGCTGAAGGAAACGTGAGATTTGAGTATTATATGGGCGACTCATCATCGAAGCCTGTTCCAGAGTGGAAGCTGGGTGGACTAGACTCATATGAGCGACTGGCTATTGCTGGCGAGGAAGCGTATTCCTATGCCGACGTTCTGGATGAAGAACTACAGACTGGCTTTCGAACGGAGCGCTGTGACTTTGGATCTGCCGACGGGCCACAACTCTGCCTCAAGCCTGTCATTGTACAAAAGGCTGACGGCCTACTTACATTGTCACCAGTAAATGAAGCTTGGGGCGAGCAGTCTCAGTTGACAGCCGTGGAGGGCGAGACACCGACTCAAAAATCCTTCGCAGTCACTGACGCATCGAAATCATTTGGAGTGGAGATTTCAAATGTGGATGTCCCAAGCCAGGTCTCCCACGCACCTAACTTCACCTCGGTTCATTAATATTGTACAGGCTAGACGTAACTCTCAAGTTGTTTTCGAATTAATATGTCATTTAAGAATTGGAATGGACAAAACCCGTCACAGAAATCCCAGTCTATATGGTAGAAGGTTTTTTTTTTTGGTAATTCCCAGCCAAATTCCAAACAACTAGTATTTGAACATTGGCAGTAGTAAATTTTCGACTCGGGAGCTAGCTGGTAGTATCTCCTATATTTTTCCAAGGTATGAACCCCCTCCCTTTCACTATATGAGGTTATTTTCTGGAATCCCACTAGAACACATTATTTCCAATTCTACAACTCCATGCCCAGAGATAGCATTTAAATGCGCCGATCGACACACTGATGCCAAGCAACCCCATGAAAATAGAACAAAAGACATGACCAAGTCCACCAAGGATATCTATGGCCAGTCAAGAAGACATGACCATGTCGTCAAAGTATGGACAGGAGCCGGTTTTTTAAGATAAAAATAGCAACGGCGGAGGGCACTATTTCCCCACAACGATCTGACAACCAATCGAGTTGCATCAACATCCCGGAAGTGGGGCGCCAGGTTGCCGTATACTTTTGGCCCCAGTAAGCGCAATTCTAAGCCTCGAAGCAATGCCGCAGCCTTGCCAAGCTTCCAATGAGCGGCGTTCCGAATTCCCCAGAGAATCGATAAACTAGTACTGACACTCTCCGAGGCCATATAATAAGCGGGCCTGTTCGCTTATGTGCATGCGATCTGAGGAATCTCAGATCTCAACCTCATCTTTTCTGAAGCTGAGTTACACCAAAGAATCTTACAAACTTCGTTTGTCCTGCCGATCGTCAAACACCTTCCAACAGAATGACATTCACTCAGCTGCAGACCCGACCGGCTGAGTTGTGGCATCAATCTACAGATAAAGTGCACCGGTCGACTACCGATATCTGGCGTCGCTCTACAAATCTGTGGTACGACTCAAAAGATAAATGCCAGCAAACTACAGTGAATGCATGGCACCGCTCCACGGATTCGTGGACGAGTTCAATGAGTCGATATCGCCAGTCAACCTCAGATAAGTCGACAGATCAGTCAAGCAATACATCCATTATACCTGGCAATGGAACAAACGCCGAGGATAAAGCACCGATCACTTCGACAGCAATAATTCCTTCGTATACGCCTTATGCCTCAGCCCAAACCGCCTTTCAACCCCCTCATAATTCGTCTTATCCATTCTCACCGGAGTCCATTGGGTCTCCAGAGTCTCCTAAATCGCTGCAATTTTCACCACCCCCACAAATCAAATGCCGGCGCCGATCTCAATCAGAAGCCGATACACGCTCAACCTCACCAAGCATAATCTCCATCGATCTACAAACAGATAAGAAGATAGTACCAGACCAAAAAATCAAAGATCTCATTGAAATGATCACCAAGATTGATGCTCAGCTGGAGCAAGTGAAACAACTGAGATCATCCAAATCTGGTCAATTAGGCGAGATCGAGTACAACTGGATCAGCTCAACCATCATCGACATGGAAGAGTCAAAGCAAGAAGTGACTCGAGTCCTTGATTACTACCGTCTCATTCTAGAGAAGCACAAAGGAAAACTGAACTCATCAGGTCGCAAGCGCTGGAGAACTCGAGATTGCCAGCGCATCCGAGAAGAGTACCCTCGCCTCAGGCTACATCAAAGCCGACTTGAAAAAGTACTCCACCATATAACCAGCTTGGTAGCCATTCCAGAAGTTTTGCCCGAAGAGAAATGGGGGGTATCACTTTCAGATCCTCCCAACTGCAAAGCAACAATCAAGTCACCTGTGGAGCTTCCGGTGAATTGTGAAATCACAGTCTTCTCGCCAGTGGTTGCCGAGCTTCCTTCAGAACTGACATCTGTTGCTTCAAATAAGCGTATGATCCAAATACCGAAGATCATTGTGACTCAGGCAGTGGAGGATTTATTAGAGGACCAAAGAAGAAGCAAGGAAATGGAAGACCGCATCGATTATGAAAACAGAGAGATGGATGAGATGATGGCTTGGGAACAGACGAGAAATGATATTCAGGCGCAACAATCTGAGTCGCTGGCTCGGATTGTAGCTGAAATGGAAAAGAGATCTCGTTGATGGTACATGTCATGTTTTTAAGTGATTTTCAAAGTTAGGCGTGCTTTTGATATACCCTATGACTTCAATGTTGATGATATGAGAAATATTAGAATCAATCAACCTCGGAATTTTCATCAATTGATAAATTGTGTTAGAAATCTGATGCACTCTATTCGCAACCGCGCAACTTCATTGTCCAGATTCTTCATGCACATCATCTGTTCGCCAATCTTCAAAAAGTTCCAGATGCTGGGTGCTCGGTACCCGTCATAGCTCTGGAGGGACCTTGGGAGTGGCGGCTATCTACTATTAGGAGGGCAATTTCTATATAGTGGCGGAAATGGAATTTTTATTGAAAGACCAATTCGAGCACAAAGAATTAATGATGGGATTATAGACAAACGTGATTTATTTAATGAGGGCCTCCCTTGGATTAGAAATTAATGTTTCGGTCTGGTTTGATTTTCTGCCACACCACTTTGTCAACAATACCGTACGCGCGCCACGACTTCTCACAGCGAATCAGATCTGGCCAATACTTTCCCAATAAAAACTTGAGCGTGGCATTTAAATATACCAAACCTTGGAGGGTATAAACGTTACATCCAGTAAATTTCCTCTATGCTGGGAAATAGGATTTTATTCCAACCTTGAGGCTTGGTAGACTCACTGGAATTCTCAAGAGCTTGGAAGACAAAATCGCAACGTTCTGCCCAAGTAGGCGGCTTGTTCCAACATTGAACGGTTGAGCCAGAAAGACCTTCACACAATCATGAGTATTCATTCATTCATATTATTTACATCTATAGGTATTATAATTCAGCATCCCTTCCAAGGTTGTATCGGCCTTTGCCCATAAACTATATGTACTTTGGAGTACAAATGGTTCGAAAGGTCTTTTAATTCATGCCGAACACCTGCCAATAAAGCCTCGATCTGCACCCGATTCCAACCTAGCATGCGGGTGAAAAGCGCAAAAGTGTACGGTGGCATAGCTTCAAGCATGTTAAGCTGGTGGTACCGTCCGAGCTCCTTTAACTTGGGGTCTTTGGGCCAAGGGCTTTGTGGGAGCTACACTCAAGTTAGCAACCACTGAGCTCTATTTGATATGAAGTTAAGGATTCACCTTGTATATGTCTTCACGGACATTGGTAAAACCGACTTTTTCAAACCGGTCCTTCCATGTAGCCACAGAATTCATGTCCTTTCCAAACCTCTCGGATGAGGCTTGCAGATTTCTCACACTCTCCACCAAACACTTTGCATTGAGGTGGGTGCCGTCGTCTGAATGCGTGTTCACCTCCATTGATGCCATTTCGAACCATCCGTTTGGATTTAAATTTTGGAATGCTTGTTCAAATAGCCTGTCATGATCTCGGATGGCTCCCTCCAGCTCACGCCCATGAATGTAGTCAAATGGATGGCTGTAAGACCATGGCTCTTCAAAGTCATCGACTTGAAAGTGGCAGTTTGGTGGTACCCTGTGCTCATTAGTCTTCATTTTACTTTGCTTGCATGGTTTTTAAGGGATGGAACATATGTACCATGACGGTTGAATAGGACTGAGATCAATTCCTGCCTGAAATTAGTATCATTTTGGGGTAAGAAGATTTCAAAGCTCGTACCAATAACCGTAGAACCTGGATTTACACTTGTTGGTATTAGTACCGACATTATACAAGAGTATGGATGGTATTTGGGTGTCTTCGTACTCTGCAAAGTCAATTGCCCATATCCCCGTGCCCGTCCCGATATCAAGCACCCTTAACGGATTCCGGACAGGCGCACTATACAACTCGCCTTTGAGGAGCATTAAATAGATATGATGGCTCTATAAAATCATCCTTGTCAATATCAACCAGAAGAACATCGGTGACATCCTAATTTTAGGGGTACCAACTAGATCAAGGCGATCTTGTTCTTGCTCATCATTTGGCTATATGCAGAAGAAAGTTAGATTGGATACGCAAATGAATAGATCAACAGGTGGCTATTTACGAGAACATATTCTCCTTCGTGGTAGGAATGATACCTGCGACCGTTCTACATATGGTAGAAAATGAGCTAGTGGCTCACATGGCGCAACAAGATCGACGCTACCTCATATCTATAGGGTGTATGAAATGTTAGCAATTTCAAGGTCCTTCTGCGTTCTAAGATTCAGACATACTGATAATTTAATGCACTTGATGTGATGCTTTGGGTATAGCTTCCGTCTCTTGATATATCGTCAGCGCCAGGGTTGTACTAGGTTAACGTCATGACGCTATAACACTTACGAGCCGGAATATGCCGAATCCTTATCAGATATCTACCACATTGTCAGTGAACAGAGTTACAAGATCGATTCATCAAAAGGACTGACGTCAGGCTCGATGGAATCTAAGCCATTTGACATGACGAGGCGCATCCCTGATATTGCGCCCTTGGGGAAAACGCGCAGGGAAATTCAAGGTGAAGAAAACGGAGGAGTTGAGAAAAGTGAAAAATGCCAAAATGCAAATCTCAAGGGCCACACCGACTCCAGTCTTATGATTGTGACGACAACTGGGAGCGACCCAGAGTGTCGGGTTCAGCAGCATCCGTTGTAACTTGTATCATCGCCAAATAAGTGGTCCCTGTGCGCACTAACACGAGAAAAACCACCGTACCAGCCGGGCGGGTCAGGCCTCGCCCACGGAAAATCTGCTAGTAACCTAGCTGCAAAGCGGAGATTTCCAATCCTGCCCAAGTACTCGACTAATAATTATATATAAAGAATCTGGATATGCTACCTAAAATAATAAGAGGAATGCCAAGAGCAGCAACTGGGAATTAGAAAAAAAGACAAAAAAGAAATCTCTCCCTCGGGGAATCGAACCCCGGTCTCCCGCGCTTATCGGTTGTAATGACAAGCGGAAATCATGACCACTAGACCAAGGAAGATGATTGGTGAAAGTTTAGGAAATATTATGCTATATGATCCTAAGAGAGATTGACGGGATCTTTTCACCTGAGGCATCAATCTTCATGCCTCGGCGGGCGAAATTGATGTCATCCTCCACTTTGTCGTGACATCTACCTGTCCCTGTTTATTGCGACTTTCAACTTGCCAATTCCACAAGACATGACGCAGAAATAAATTAGCTCATCCTCTCACACTCTGCACTTATTCCACAACACTCGCTGGCGCCAGAAGATTTCCACAACTAGGGTCTCAAAAACCATCAACAATGGCCACACCCGCCCGACCTCCCCCCTCCGCGACCGTCCTCTTTATATATCCCGCGACCCTGTTGCTAGGATCTTTATTCTCAGCAATCTCACCAACGGCTCAAACCACAAGGGGGGTCGCATCTTCATCTTCCCAACCAGCAGGAGCCCTGGCGCCTTCCCTGGCAGCAGACCTACATCTTTCCGAGAGTCCAGTCAACTACTTTGCGCGGAAGAACAACATTTTCAACATCTACTTCGTTAAGATTGGATGGCTATGGACAACCCTCGCTTTTGTTTCCCTCCTCCTCACGCAACCGGCCTTCCGCCCTTACGCCTCGCTCCCTGAATCACAGCAACAGACACGAGTTCGCCGGGCCATCCAGGCCGTCTCTCGTTACGCACTCGCGACGACAGTATGGTATCTCATGACGCAGTGGTTCTTCGGCCCTGCTATAATTGATCGAAGCTTTGTGTTCACGGGCGGGAAATGCTCGGAAATCATTAAAACCGCAGGAGAAGCGACACCGAATTTGACTCCCTCTATCCAACTGGAGACGGTGTTCTCGGCTGCTGCCTGTAAATCGGCCGGTGGATTATGGGGAGGTGGTCATGACATTAGTGGCCACGTTTTTATGCTTGTCCTCACCACCGCCCTCCTCGCATTCGAGGCCATTGGCGTTGGTGCCTTCTCGTTCCCTTCGCGTGCCGAGGGGGATGGTTCTCGTGAGCGCAAGGCGAGCGACCCAACCAATATCAGAACATGTGAACAGGATGATGGCTCTGGGTTTGTAAGGACATGGGCCCTGCGTTTTGTTTGGGGAGTAGTGGCTCTAGGTTGGTGGATGCTTTTCATGACCGCTATCTGGTTCCATACATGGTTGGAGAAGGTAAGTTTTAATATACGAAGGAAATTACACTCGGAGTTATTACTAACGGTCTACCTCACAGTGGTCCGGATTGTTCATCGCCTTGAGCGCCGTGTTTGCTATTTACATTCTCCCAAGGAATCTACCCCCTTGGAGGAATATTGTCGGTGTACCAGGGGCTTAGTTACCCAGACCAGCACTTTCGGCTTTGCATATATTGTTTGGAAGGTGTATCATCGCATTATCCCGGGTGGGGTATTTTGAGTTCGCTATTAGACAAAGAATTCAAGTGTACTAATAGATATCTGCCAATCTCCCATCAAATTTCTGAGTACCACTTGAACGGTATAGAAGATTCTCCGCTTTATTTACCTCTGCAATGTCGGAGGCTCTGCACCCAGATACCCTGCACAGAATGCTGGATAGCACAGAAAGGTTAGCAAGTGCAATTTTCTTAATTTCAAAGATACGAAAAGATCAAAGATCATACCGCCTGGATTCAACGCAGTCGCATACATGACGCAGGTGATAGGTCGCAAGTCTTCTGGGGAGTGACTTTCAGATATGGACAGCTCCATATATGGGTCCCAATCGGTGATTATGGCATCAGACCAAGTCTTGAAATCGACAGCCCGTTCCTTATCGGTAGTTTGCAATGACTGACAAGAACTTCCCAGGCAGGTTCCGAATTCCCTAAAGGCCAAGCGAAATTTGATGTTCCGAGAAAGATACTGATCGACTTCGAATAAATTGTCTATTGCGGTGAACAAGAATCAGCATTAACGAGCTCCAACTCTAGGGAATGAAGGACGCACACATCTGGTCAAAGCATCTGGATGCCAGGTTCGATGCCCAATTTTCTTTCTCCGAGAACCAATGTGCCGTCCACAGGGTCATACCCAAGTCTAGGGTATCACTGGAAACAAAATGCTCCCCTTTTCGCTCCATCACTCGCTTGTAGTCGCCGATTTCCTCCGCCAATACTTCCCCATCGCCTGCACTTGCAGCCGTCGCCTGGACTATGCGAAAAATGACGAACCCGTCGATGGGATCTAGATTCCCCTCGGAAGATACAAGCGGCACTGATAAATCCATATTCATCTTCCACATCATACGTGGACGTCGCGCTGACCGATCCACAAAGAACTTTGGATGGATCGCGCGGGCCAGATTCACAGCTTGACGGTTGTATTCCATATCACCCGACGCGAGAGCCATTCGATTCAGTGCAAACATCCACACTGTCAAGTAGTGATGGTACTGGCCATCGCAGTCGGGTCCGTGCTCATTTTCTTTACCAATCCGCAATCCCCCACCAAGAGGATTCGACTCTGTCGCGCCTGGCAGTCGCGACAATCCGTCTCTTGTGCGACCCAATACATCATGCACGGTTTCAATCAGTCGACGAGCCAGCTGAAGATATCGATCATCAGAAATATTTTCCCCACCAGCGCGACAGTATTCGTGGTGCATAGTCAACAGGTTGATGACACCAAATGCATCAGTCCATAGATATCGACCGCGGTGCCCGCCTGACTTCGAAGGCGGATTCCAGCTCTTGGGGTCTTCTATTAGGCTGAAACTACCATATATTGATTCCATTGCTTGCTGGAAGCGGTCCAGGCGCGGGGAGGGACTACTGATCGGGAGAGCCATATTTGCTCTCCGGAGAGAAGGTCGCACAGTCGCGTGGATGTTAAAACGCGAAATATTTTTAAAGATGAGATGTGGCAAATGCCACCTAGCTCTGGATACGATCATAAAAATGTTCTTGCGATTTTATTAAGATACGCTTGTTTGAAGAAATGAAGGTTATTGGCTCGGGTTGATTGTGAAGTCATCATTACTGGCAAGTTACCCGACTGTGATCTCATGGAATGGATCGCTCCGGAAAGCCTAAACAGCTGAGCTAACAATCTTTGTATAGACCTGCATAAACGGGGAAAGATCGAAAATGCGTTTTGCAAGTACCGAAAATTTACTAGGTCCCGGCATATCCCGCTATGCGCCTGGGATCTCTCCGGCAATTATCAACATCTATGTCACAACTTCAAGAACTATTCAATCGGGCCATAGAGCCACTCCCAGCAATCACCGATAAGAACTTCGCATCTCACTTCGACGCCTATCGCGATGTGCAAATTTTACTTCTAGGCGATGGCAGCCATGGTACATCCGAGTTTTACCACGCGCGGGCCGAAATCACAAAAAGATACATCATGGAACATGGCTTCACGATGGTTGCCGTTGAGGCCGATTGGCCCGATGCCGAAGCCATTGACCGATATGTTCGCATGCGGGAAGGTCCCAAAGCGCCGCTTGGCCGTACAGATGATGGATTCGAGCCATTCAAACGTTTCCCGACCTGGATGTGGCGCAATCGTGAAATGCAAGATCTGGTGGAATGGATACGCAATTGGAACAAGGATCTTCCCCCAAACATGCGAGTTGGATTCTACGGCCTGGATCTATATAGTATGGGCACATCGATGCGAGCTGTGATTGAGTATCTTGACCGGGTAGACCCGGCAGCAGGTAAACAAGCACGAAAAAATTATGGGTGTCTTATGCCGTGGATGGAGGATCCAATTGAATATGGCTTGGCTTCCTTGCATGGACTGGAGGGTTGTGAACGTGAGGTGATGCTGATTCTGCGGGGTCTATTGGAGAAACGGCTTCGGTACATTGGAGAAAGATGTGAAGATCGCGATGAATATCACAGCGGGAAACAGAATGCCTATCTTGTACGCGATGCCGAGAAATATTATAAGGCAATGTTCTGGAGTGAGGCCAGCTCATGGACCTTGAGAGACAGCCACATGTTCGACACCCTGGTACGGATAATGCAGCACCGCCCACCGCCAGCTAACAAAGCTATTGTGTGGGCTCATAATTCACATGTTGGAGATGCCCGCTATACAAGCATGGGAATGCGTCGCAACGAACTCAACATCGGCCAATTGTGCAAAGAGAAATTCGGTCGAGATAATGTCGCTATTATTGGCTGCGGTACCCACACCGGTACCGTCGCTGCAGCTCATGACTGGGATGACGACATGAAAATCATGGATGTTCTACCCTCGAGAGATGACAGTTGGGAAATAATCGCTCATGATACTGGTGTACCGAGCTTTCTTCTCGAGCTCCGACGACCCTACTTAGATCCTACTCTCCGCGCCGCTCTTGCTCGTGAGAAGCGTCTCCAGCGTTTTATCGGTGTGATTTACAGACCAGAGACAGAAAGAGCATCTCATTACTCTCACGCCATTATTCATAGACAGTTTGATGGATATGTTTGGTTCGATCAGACAGAGGCCGTGAAGCCTTTGGAGGTTATCCAGCCCAAAACAGCCCTTGGAAAGGAGGAAACCTATCCATTTGGCCTTTAAAAGGTGGTCAGTTAACCACTTACTGTTCATCTGTGCTTGGTTTGTTTTATTTTGGTCGATCTGCGCTATGAATCATCAGATCTGCGCCGATTGCATTGTTGTTGAAAACCCATGTGGCCTTTGTCACGATACCAAGTGGTAGACACTTTCAAAAATAAATCCGAAAAAAGTCTTCCTTGAACACCCTAGGTGTCGGATATCACATTCTACCATTGTCATTGGCTCCCTCGCATACTTTGTAGAAGTCTGCGTTCAAAAATTGTGCTGTTTTGGTGGAAATTGCAGGCCCGAGCCGCAATTGGGGCGGGGCACCCTGCATCTGAGTGTATATCGTACATATGCGGCATTTCAACAAAGTCCCGAGGTCATCAAGAGCACAGCCTTTTCAAGGTTCAATTTTACCTTCATTCGGGCTGTAAACTTGGAATAAACCTTTTGAATTGTCAAATTTATATCAAGCTTCCCAAAGTTACAGTTATGATATCCAAAAATTTGAAGTCTCATACGACCTTGTGAACGGAACTCAATAGGACTATTGAGGCTTTGATCGGAACACTCGGCAGATGGCAGTAAGACTGGTGTAAAACGGCCCCCACAACACATCTTTCCTACTTCGGTATATGACTCGTGACCTATGCTTTTGCAGCTGCCAGCACGTTCCGATTATCTCCTCCCGCTCGGGAGGTCCAGCCCCCACCTGACTCTCACATCTATGGCTACAGGCCAGCCACTATGGATACTGCATCTGTGACTCTGCGGGTCACCCCCAAAATGGACTAGGGGCCGACTCAGCCTCTGATTAGAGTCCAAAGCCCCGCCTGGGCAGGGAGGTTCCGCTTCTTGTGTTTAATTTTGGGCTCAGCTCCGTGCACAGGTACGGCCCGCAGACGATGCTGCATCGCCCTATCCGCACGAACCTAGTACACACCAGTCAGTGTCACCTTGACCATGAGGGGAATCAAATTTAGCTCACAAAAGCATAAGCCGCATGATGCTAAACTAAATTCGTGTTGTTTCCCTTCATTTCGCCGCATTTAGCGTGCAGCTATCACGATCAACAGGCTAAGTTTGGGTCGGAGGATTCTATTTCCTACTAGCTTGACATCCAGCCTCGAGCTAGACATGCACATCCGGGTTGTTTCTGTTTACGCCCTAAGCAGTACACGGTCCCCTCATACCCCTGTCATAACCCCACCGACACGAGATTTCGACCAGATAAGAGGGTTTATCCGATGAAGATGGTGTCAATCATAATACGGGAATGCGCTAGATCAGAGACCTACTATGTTCATTTAAAACCGAGATCTTCTCCCTCCAGAGTCAGGCACCACAGTACACGACAATCGTTTATGATTATCACTCTATAATTGGGTGTGCCAAAGTGATTCTTCAAGATGATTGCATCTCTTCTCACAGGAATACTCTGTGTATTCTCTTCGTTGGATTTCACTACAGCCCTCGCCCCTGGAAATGTCGCACTACGAACTCGAAATGCCCCTGGAACGACTGATAAAGACACGATTAATGCAGTGGGCCATGCTCTTAACATGGCAACACTGAAATCGCGCGGCAATAAAGTGTATTCGATGAACAAAACATCACTGGCGAAAAGCTGGACTGGTGCGAATTTGTTCGTTTCTGGCGAGAGGTAAGATAATTTTATGGATGTAGTAAGCTTAGTCGAGAGGACAAGTCACTGACAATATAACAGTGGCAGCACCGATGAAACTTCGTCCTCGGATGTGACCGCAGCCATAGAGATAATATGTTCTACCTGTTATGTGGATGGCTCCGTGAGCGGAGCCTTGACCCTCACCGGGGGTTTCAACTTAAACGACACCATAACGGAAGTTACAAGCGATGTCAAAAATGTCACAGAGCAAGTTATCGACCAGCTAAAAGATTATGTCGAATCGACTCTCGAAGACATTGTCACGAACGACGCTGACGATATTTCGTGGCCGACCATTGATGTGGACCTGAACATGGAAGATACTCTTTCTGGTCTTCCGGATGCACAGATCCAGTTCAAGTTTGACAATTTGGAATTGTATCTTGAACTTGATATTAAGCTATCGACAGAAACTACCTATGCGCTCAACCTGTTTACGTCGGATACCCCTGTGGGATTTGAAGTTCCAGGTGTCGATGCAGGGGCAATTTTCAGCGTAAGCTTGATTCTGATTGCTGATGCTGAGATTGATATTGGAACTGGCATTCATATCAAGCTTGATGATGGGCTTGCCTTTGACATGGAAATGTTCAGCTCAAATGTGTCTAGTTTTACCATGTAAGTTTATGTCCTTGAACATCGTGGGATCTCTCTTGCTAATGAGACATATTCCATGATAGGCCCGGTGGTGTTTACGAGTTTTTACCGGTCACGATAGCTGGAAACGGATCCATACAGGCCATTCTGAGCCTCGAAGCGAGTCTCGGAGTAAATGTATACAGTACTAAAGAGGACCTGCTTGATACCAGCTTCAGCGCTGGCGTTGGGGCCGATATCTTTGCTTATGTCGCCGACTTCCAACTTGAAGTCGACGGCTCAACAACGGCGGATGACGGTGACTGTGAACTAGCCGCTATTGCAGAATATACCATGGCTGTCGGGGCAGCAGCTGGGGCAACGGTCGCAATTGATGCAATCGCCTGGGGTCCATCTCCCAACACCACAATTCCTGTCTGGTATACTACCTTGGCTAGTGTTTGCGCAACTAGCAAGACTTCAACAGCCACTACATCTGCCGTGATCACTGCTCGAGCAGAGCTAGATGCGCGAGATGATTCCACTACCACGACTATCTCAACCACAGAAACCTATACTATAATCAACTGCCAATCTCAGGGGCTGGTTAACTGTCCTGTGACTTTGCAGAGTACCACCTCCACCGAGCGTGTTATCACGTCGACCGTCACTGTTCAATCGGGTTCCTCGGCAACATTCCCCGCTACCACTATTTCATCGGTTACCAGCACCGTTGAATTTGGAACGAATGTGCGGAGCCTACGCGCAACAGCCGGGTCTCCCACATCTTACAACCCATCCACGGCAACTGGATCAACGGGAGGCAGTATACTTGATGGTACGACCGACGGAACTAGTAACAAGCTTATTATCGGATTGAGTGTTGGCTTGGGACTTCCATTCCTTGCAGCTCTGATCGTAGGAGTTGGGTAAGATAGTTCCCACACCCCCTCCAACGTTATTTTGAGACTCATGACTAACGCGCTTGGTTTCTTCTAGTCTATACATCGCAAAGCGGAAGAAATACGCTCTTGTTGCTCCTCAAGCAGAGGCAACCACCGAGTACTCGCCATCCATGTCATACGATTCACCTCCCATGCCAGGCACGCCTGGAATCGGGAAAGACGCGACTCGCGTATATACGACTGAGTCTTAGTAGAGAGCCTTTGGGAACATAACGATGATGAATCATGAAGCGTTTTGGAAGTTATGAGATGTGTGCATTGTTTGCTCTATGTAATTTACTCATATAGCAATAGCTATGGAGTAGGAAATTATCGAATATTATTTTGAGCCCAGTCATCCATCTCTATTTCTTCCCAAGGTTTCAGTTTGGTGGCATATGCCACTGATCGCCAACTCGAAAGCCCTCTGGAAACGGATCGGTCGAGTCCAAAACCACCTGTTTGAAACTCGTGATCCATGCTCGACCTTTGACGGTGGGGAGAACAGCAGCATATTTGCCAACCTTGGAAGTACCCCGAATTCGACTGATAAACTCCGTACCCAAGATACTTCGATGTTTGAAAATCTCCCCTTCTTTGATTTGACCTCTAGCATGCAAGACTGCTAATCGAGCAGAGGTGCCAGTGCCACAGGGGCTGCGATCGAATCGTCCCGGAGAAACCACCACGGTGTTTGCGGCAACCTTACACCCTCCTTCGATTCGTGGAGGCTCTGTAAATGCCAAGACACTGAAGCCAGTTATCCCGGCATTCTCAGGGTGAACCGGAGTGTAGACCACTTCGACCGCTCGCTTTATGCGTTCCGCAATCTCCACCAGCCTAGCAGATTGCTGATTTTCGACCTTTAACCCCAATGATGCGGCATCAACCAAGACATACATCATGCCTCCATAGGCAATATCAACAACCACCTCCCCGAGGCCCGGGACCAGAACGTTATAATCGAGTTCGAGGACGAATGACGGTACATTGTTGAATTCGACAGTTTTACACTTCCCAGCCTCGCATTCCGCAGTGACGGTCACCAGCCCGGCCGCGGTATCCAAAGCAATCTCGGTGATAGGTTCGTTCATGGGGATCATGCCGGTTTCCAGGAGGACGGTTGTTGTACAAATGATATTGGATCCGGACATGGGTGCATATTCTTCGCTTTCCATGATCAAGAATCCGGCATCGGCTCTTGGGTCGCAAGGGGGAAGAATGAGGTTCGTATTCATAGATGCTCGACCGCGGGGCTCGTTGAGAAGGAGCTGGCGCAAGTGGTCTTTTTTGGTGGACATGTGAACGAGCTTTTCCTGCATTGTTTTGCCAGGTACGTCGAGGACGCCGCCGGTGATGACATCGCCAACTTCGCCTTCTGCGTGGCAGCCAACGACTGTAAGGGAGCGTGAAAAGGGCATTGTTAGATGACTAGATCTAGAGATATGGGTTTGCGAGGTGATCCGGGTATTCCAAATATTGATTCCAAGATTCAACTGGAGTTGTTAATTGATCACATCATCTGGACATTTGAGCGAATATATACCAAGCGCAACCACGCGCCCTTCATTCCAGCCCTGCCTGTTTGTTCCCTTCAATGTTCAATTATTTCATGGACGACAAACCCCTATTCGTGGCCGGGTTCGTATTTTCATGCATCATAATCAGTCGTTCGGAGTCATTTGCTTTTCCAGTGAATTTTGGAAGGTTTGAATTGGCCCGCTCGGCGCCATTAGCGCGATAAATTGGCATTGTTCTCTCCTTTCCTTTTTCTTCCCGATGGCATCTCAAATGAAATGTTCAATGTTATAGCTCACAGGACCTTAGGGAAACCAGTCTCTAAGCTTGCACTTTGAGGCTTATCCTGGACGAAATGCTATCGCTTAAACTAACTCAAGGTCAATATGCTCGCACGGACTTCAAGTCCCTGGGGAAAGAGTTGGGGTCGAGCTGGTCTCGGTCAGGTGAGGTGTGGCCTTTGTGGGGTCAACGGTCACATGAACCATCCATCTTTTCTTTTGCGTAAAAGTGCATTCCCCTGCAGGAGAGAATCCTTTTAATGCACCTGCGGAGGAGTTCCAGATGTCCTAGTGAAACTCTGTATGTTTCTTCCCGATCACGTGGACGGTGCTTTGGAGATTCGAGCGGGGATGGAAGAGAAGCGATTCGATAAAAGCAGAATGCATTTGTCATGGGAAATAATGCTATTTTCCTGGATAATCACCTGAACTGCGCCCCAGAGGTGAATGCAATGCGTTCATTTCCCCTTGTTATTCAATATGGGGGCTCGGTCTCGCTTCGGGTGTTTGTCCTGCAAGCATCGCAAAAAGAAATGTGATGAACAGAAACCTATATGCACGGCCTGTTTGCGCAATAGTCTTGGCTGTGTGTGGCCAGACCCGATTACGGATACCCAGAGAGGATTTGCATCGCGACTGCAGCCATTGAACACGCGCCCTACCATTGAATTGGACGCGCGGACCCTCGTTCGTGCTGCACATCCTGATTTCCCGACTGGGTCCATTCCCTCGTGTCCAGCTAATTTTGCTCTACCCGGATCTATCGCGCAAGCATCTGAAACTTGGAGACTTCTTGACCATTACCTGAAGGATACTGCGAATCGGTTGGCGTGTTTGCAAGACAGCCAAAACCCGTTCCTTCATACACTGCTTCCGGCTGCTCTCAATGACGAACTTTTAATGAACGCAATTCTGGCCCTATCTGGGGTCCATATGATGCAGCGAATGCCTCAATTAGATCGGGATCTGCAGACTCTCACCTGGTCAAGTTACAATCGGGCATTGAAGCAGCTGCGAGTGGCATTGTCAACGGATTTTAATGGGCCCGTCAGTGTAGATGCGGCTTGGCGCGCGCTACTCGTTGTTCTAATATTTTATTTGTTAGAGGTAGGTCTGGAATTCTGGTTGCATTATAAATTTTGCTTACAAGCATGGGATCTAGGCTACTAGAGGCACTGATCATAATGCCATGCAAAAGCACCTCGACGGTGCACACCATTTGATGACCTATGTCAATCGTTTTGGCTCTAGTGCTACTCATTCTAGCATTGTGTCGCTAGTGACGGAGCTCTATGTATACAACTCTTCTCTGGCATCATTCACAGTGAACTGCCCGCCCTCGTCATTACCCAAGTATTTGTTGATTAGTTCCTCCACCATACCTATCAGTACATATGGCGTGATGTGCGGTTGCGCTTATGAACTTTTCACTTATATACCAAAGGTCTCCGCTCTTCTATGGGAATTCGCCTCCCATGAACCGGTGCTGCCAAAAAGAAGCTGCATTATTGAATACCATGCTCTGCGTGCTCAAGTCGCAAAGTGGAAGCCCCATAGCGAACAACGAGACATGGTTCTCTGCGCAGAACTTTATCAACAGAGCCTGCTTTTGCTTTTGGATTCCCACTTTGCTGGTGATGAAACTCAAATTAACATTGAAAATGCCTTTCAGAGGCTCCAGTCACTGATATCTCACCTGTCTCCAACTTCCCCCATTGCAACGACAGCCACATGGCCTCTTTTTGTGTTTGGAACATTTGCCAGTCATGATCACCACAAAGTTTTGATTAGAATTTACTTACAAGAACTTATAAAGGAATTTGGAATGGGTGTCATGTCAACAGCTCTGGATCAATTGCAGGAAGTTTGGAAGGAGGAGCCTGATCCAAATACGGTCAGCAGGTTTTTCTCCAATCAAAACAATGTAATATTGATTTGTTGAGTCGTCAATCCACGGTGACCTAGCGGATAGTGTTGATGAGACACCTTACTGCAATGTAAAATATGCTTATAGGTGATGAACGCCGTGATAAGCGTAGGTAGCGGATCAGATACGGAATGACAAGAAGTAAGTGTCAGGTTCCACAAAAAGCACCACTTGGCTGGAGTTCTTTTAGTTGGCTCCTTTGATACCATTCCTACCAAGGTTGGTGCACAAGCAACAAGGTTCTCACCTGGACACCCATAACGAGATAGTTTTCCTTAATAATTGAAACCTTGGAAGGTTTGCAAAATAAGCCGCATTTACGATTTATTATATCAATATCTGTCATGAATAGTTGAGCTTATCCACTTAAAAAACACACTGTTCATCTTTCTATAACATCACGGGATCTCAAACCGATAAAATAGCCCAACCAATCAAAAACCAGCCAAATTGAAAGGAACATGATTTACAAACGGTGATGCTCCCGTGGACTACAACCGTGGACGCTAAGTGGTACAAGCTACAGCTTCTGGCGGGTTCCGTTACCTATTTGGGAAGCCAAACACGCCAGGGGATGGCGATGAAGCGATGTGTGATGTGTAATGCCACGACACCCGATCTGCGGGGGGCGAAAAGAAACAAAGATAGCAAAGCCGCCTGGTGGCGTAGGACACGGTGAGTTTTTTTTTCGAAGTGAGTCAAGAAACGGTTTTATTGCTTCGTGTCAAAGGCACTTGGTTCCTCTGGATCCGATGTGCGGGGTAAAACGGTAAGGAGGCGATACCCGGCCCGATCACCTGAAGCCCTTTAAACAATCATAAGGCGCATTTCTTGCCCATAAAGCGGAACTTCTTATGGATTCTTTTCAAGAATCTGGGAAAATGCCCCGCTCCAAAAAAGACTCCATATCTCGACAAAAAGGGGAGAAGAACCCGAATCGGTGTAAGCCCAAATCTAAAGGAGGCTGCCAGAAATGCAAGGAACGGCGAGTAAGTCGAGAATGGAGATGTAGATAATGCACGTCCCTACAGCGGCTCTGCAGAACTGACTTTTCTCAAAGCGTAGGTGTGATGAATCTAGACCAAGTTGTCGAGAGTGCGTGAGAAAGGGCTTTGAGTGCCCTGGATATCAGAAACGGCCTCTAGAATGGCGATATGTTTTCCAAGACGCGGAGCAGGGCGAGGATCAGCAACAATTTCAGTTTGAATCTCCGCCAACGGTGGAAGCATCATCGGCTCTCACTGTGGACTCAACAGAAGATACCTGTGCGAGCATAGCAGGTGAAGCGGAAGCCGCACACAGCAAGCATCTACAGGATCTTTGGGACGAGGCGAGCTCAACAATCTTGGACCAACTTCCAGAACTTGACGCGTCTATGAATACCCATTCAAAAGTAGACTTCAGATTAAATGATGTGGCGGTTTTCAAACCATCATCACAATCAGATAGTCTGGCAACTCTGCACCGACGACTGGCAAATACCGCGATACCCTCATTTCTCATCCATATGCCAGCCATTCTGGTCCAATACTATTTTGACTTTGTCTGCAAGGCCTGGTCCTCTTTTGACTCCCCTTTAAATCCATTTCGGCTCATTGTCAGTCGTCTCTGGAGTCAAAATGCAGCGATATACTATGCCATTCAAAGTATGGCGGCGGCTTCGCTTGCAAATGATTTCCCAAGCATGAGAGCAATTGGAATCCAAACACAACAGCAAGCAATTGCATGTCTTCGAAACAATCCCCGCATAGGCTCTCTGCATCGTGATGATCACGATGATGAGTTTTTCCTCGCCCTTCTTATGATCGGGTTGACGACGGCCTGGCATAACGCCTCGGACTTAGGATTGGAGTATTTAAAAGAGGCAAAGGACTACCTTGTGAATCAGCAACAAATGTGTCAGAATCCTGAGTCTACGTTTGCGAAACAATATCCTCTCTTCCAGCAGTGTCTTCTGTATTGGAACATGATGGCCGCCTTTGTGGCGGAAGACTCTCTGCTTCTGAATGAAGAAAAAGTGTTAGAACGACCCGACACGGAAATGTCGGTGTACCTGGTAGATGGACAAACTCTTCCTCATCCCTGGACAGGCCCACTTTCAAAATCAATTAGTCTTTTCTACCAAACCGCCAAATTGATCCGTGCTGCCCGCATCTCTTATCGCACCCGCGACGAAGATCTCGACCTTGCAAACATCGACTTCAACTTTCTCGTCGAAGAGTTCCATCAACATAGCACGGCCGAGCGATTAGAAGAGGAGATCTTATTTACAGGCATCTCTTCCTACTGCGGACCAGTCGACATCGGCGACACAGACACCCCCCCAACACACTTCATCACCCTGGCAGAGGCATACCGCTGCACTGCTCTTCTTCAAATCTACCACGTCTTCCCTAGCATTCTAGCTGAGCGGCTCCAACGCGAAAAGTCATCTGAGCACGAACCTTCCGTTCTATTCTCACTTCTCTTTGGGACGGATCCCACATTACCTTCGGTAGAGGAAGCGCGTCGGGTACTGGCTCTCCATATAGTATCGCTTCTTGATCAAATTCCTCCTACCTCTGGAACTAGATGTATGCATCCTGTAGTTCTTACTTGCATTTCGAGCGATCTTGTGTTTTCAAATCAGTCCCTTTTCGGACCTGCGGCGAATGCCATTGCTTGCTTAAGCGCATTAGATGTGGAAATTGCTCAGGCTCGTCGCAAGGTTAGCATGTGGTTATCGGAACTCACATTGATTCTCCCAAAATTGCGATTGCAACGCATGTCTCGCATTGTGCACGAGACTTGGAGTAGAGCGGATGCTGGAGTTGGTGAATATTGGCTGGATATAATGCTTGAGCATAATCTTGAGACCATGATGGGATAATCTTAATGATAACAAGTTTACTTCCTCCAGATGTCATTTCTGCAAATATTAAGCACTTTACCTTGGAAATGACTCCAAGGGGAAAACTTGAAGGGAAATAGGAGCTTCTTAGGTAAATAGAAGTCCACAAATACTCCCAGCATCAGGTTTTTGGGGGGAGGGGGGGATTATGATAACGTTTCATTGTTATCAGAAGGGGGTAAATATCATGTAATCGATATCATTATCTCCGAATCAAAAAGTCTCGTGATCGGCTCCCTTTATTGCAAGTTGTGGGGGAAAAAGCCACTGACGGCTACATATACGAATGATTATTGGTCCAGTTCTTCGGGGCTATGGAGCAAGTCCCGGAAAGCAGATCGATAGGGAATCTCCAATCTTTTTTAGATTTCTGAGGCTGATACTGTTACGTAGCCCCTTATGAAGTTATGAGTCTATGATCTTATCTGAATTGGCTCATATCCGGATGCTGTCCTTTCTAGGACTAGCTTAGCCGCGGTGCATTAGCGTAGCCGTGAGTTCCCCGACTTGGACCTGATTCTGAACGTAAACAGAGGAATTGTACTTGTTGAGAATCGAGATATGATCCGTCGATGACATTATGAAACTGAGACAACAGCTATTATTCGGAGGAAAGATAAACTACTTCAGGATTGCCAGAGTTTCAATTGTGTCTTTATCAGTTGCCACGGGCCACATGAATTGATACTTGCAAGGTGTTCATCCTACTCCAGCTAGGTATCTAATCTTTCAAATCATCAGCTCAAGCACGTCTCTATCAACTTGATTTTCGCAACTGATAGTCTTTTGATAGGACATGGTATCTGTCTTACTGACTACACCCATGTCGAAGTGGGAACTTCGAAATAGGGCGTTTCAATGTTAAGCATACCACCGGATAGAGGTGATAACACGAGACTGGCTACCATGATTTTGTTTTCACCATAAAACTTTACCCTTATGACCTACCAGGAAATGTCTATAGATTTAAACCGCGCATCAGAAAGTCGGTAAATGACTCACTGTGGTCCCAGACACAAGCTTCTACTTTGTAAAACACCCTATTTAGTGGGGATGGCCAATTGATTCTTTGTTGGTGGAGTCGGACTTACTGTCTTGGGCAAGGCATTCCCGTCAGTAAACGGAGTTCGGCTGGTGATTATTCTCATCCTGCTTTTCAATTCTCGGCATTTCTCCGCACCCTGCGTCATCATGCTCTTTTCTCCAATAAAAACAACGTGATAGGCAATTACCCCACGTTTCATGTCCAGAACGCCGATCATGCATTGAGAGGGCCCATATTAAAGATACCGGGCTTGGTGAGTTTTACCACTAGTATGAACTGTTTTAATCTGCCAAGCATGATTTGCTACATCTAGTGTTATGATACGCAAAAGGGGTGTGACCATGTAACATTCGATTCAATCCGGAGCAAATCCCATACATAAGGGGTCTGTGTTCTTCTCTATTCCTATCCTTCATTTTATTCCAGCCTTCCAAGGTTGATTTTTGCATTGACTACCAAGTCCTATAGCCTTGATAATGGCGTCTACATTAGAGCCCCACCAGAAGTCATCACCTGCGCCAAGCCATCCTCCATTCGATGAAAAGAACACCAAATACGATGCCGATCTCGAACAATCAGACTCAATCGCCGCAAATGGCATGTTAGAGGCTCTTGGATATGAGGCAGAGCTTACAAGAAATCGATCAACACTCCAAGTGGCCTTCATGTCCTTCGTTCTCGCATCCATTCCCTACGGATTATCTACAACATTCATCTACCCGCTATACGGCGGTGGTCCGGTGAATATCATTTGGGGATGGCTGATGGTATCAGCAATCATTCTTTGTGTGGGAGCTTCTCTCGGCGAAATCACTTCTGTCTACCCAACCGCTGGAGGGGTTTACTACCAAACATTCATGCTCTCCTCACCCGCCTATCGAAGGATTTTTGCCTGGATCTGTGGCTGGTCCTATGTGGTCGGCAATATCATGATTACTCTCGCTGTCAATTTTGGCTCTGCTCAGTTCATTATTGCCTGCATCAATGTTTTCGAGTCCTCCCCTGGTGTTGGAGTTCTAGCGGGAGAGACATATCGGGTTTTCCTCCTCTTTCTTGGCATCACCCTTCTATGCAATGCTGTCTCGGCGTTTGGCAACAAGTGGTTACCACATCTTGATGTAAGTTTCTTGAACCTGTGCTTTCATTCGAATTTCCTTTTTACTCACAGCCTGTCTAGACATTTGCTATTTTCTGGACCCTTGCTGGTGTTCTGGCTATTGTTATTTGTGTCTTGGTCATTGCTAAAAATGGCAGACATGATGGGGAGTATGTTTTTACGAGCTTTGAGCCTCAGTCAGGATGGCCGGTGGGTTGGTCATTCTGTGTCGGACTCTTACAAGCTGCCTATACGACTTCGTCGACTGGAATGGTCATATCGTCAGTTTCCCTCTTCTCATGCCCCCATGTACCCACTTTGACCACGTATACTTATCTTTTACAGGATGTGCGAAGAAGTTCAAGAACCATCTCGCCAAGTACCCAAAGCCATTGTTGGCACAATCATTATGAATACGCTCGCCGGTCTTCTGTTTCTGATTCCCTTGGTTTTCGTGCTTCCCAATACGAAAGAGCTTCTGGCACTGCAATCTGGCCAGCCCGTCCCCAGCATAATTAAGTCGGCAATTGGTAATTCCGCTGGCGCATTTCTCCTGCTTCTCCCACTTGCCGTTCTCGCTATACTCTGTGGTATTGGATGCACCACGGCTGTATCGCGATCTGTCTGGGCATTTGCAAGAGATGGAGGTGTTCCTTACTCTCGCAAATGGAAAGAAGTGAGCAAGACGCTGGGGGTGCCTTTTAATGCTATGATGCTGGGTATGGTGATCGAGATTGCCCTTGGGCTCATCTACTTTGGATCAAGCGCTGCATTTAATGCTTTCTCCGGTGTCGGCGTTATCACTCTTACTGTGAGCTATGCCTGTCCTATTGCCGTGTCTTTCATCGGGGGGCGAAAGCAAATCAAAAACGGAAATTTTGACTTGGGAAAACTTGGTGTATTTTGTAATGTTGTGGCTCTTGGTGAGTTTCAACTGTTCTTCTCTCGGAGCGGCTCTTACTAACTTCAATCACAGCTTGGAGCATTCTCGTTGTGCCTCTATTCTGCATGCCGTCATATATTCCTGTCACTGCAGAGACGGTGAACTATGCCCCGGTGGTCTTTGTTGCCTTTATAATTATGGCTACTGCATGGTATTGGGTCTGGGGCCGAAAGAAGTATGTTGGACCACCATCCGTCGATGATGCGGTGATTGATCTTCGTCATGATGCGTCTTGATACCAGACGCAAGCATGAAAAAATGCGAAGTTTTTATGTATTTTAAATAGCGCTATATCTGGTCTGTGTGGATTTAAATAATCTTTCTTGAGTTGTCACATTCATGATTCTGTTCGACCTGTTTCTCGATGAAACTAAGGATTTGATCAAATCCCTCAAACTCCGCAATCCAATGACCATCTCCTTCGGCACCAGTAAATTCGTGACATTCTATCGAAAATTCAAGGCGCTGAAAGATCCCGGCCGCTTGGCGACCAAGCTCCACGGAGACCCATTGGTCGTCCGAGCCATGGCTTAGGAATATTGGAGTCGACAGTACGGTCAAGTCAGTATCTTCGTTAATCTGTGACGAATTGGAACTAGAAATGACGTCCAAAAAAAGTCGAGACGCTCGGAGTTGCTTGGTAGACGCATGCAATCCACTCGCAAATCCTCGAATGAGATTTTCGGCATCTTCAGAAAACGGCAACCATCCGCAGAACCCAAGAATTCCACCGAGTGGCCTTTGAATCCTTCCAGGCGCGCACAAGAAGGTCCATAGGGTTATTGCCATGCCCTGACTGATGCCCCCAAGGTAAATACGTCGCGGATCCCCACCGACTCGCTCAATCTCGCGATCCAACAAGTCTAGAATGTACACCACTGATTCCCGAAGACCCTCGATCTGTTTATCTTTGTTCTCCTCGATGTTGTCGAGGGAATATGCATCGAACCAAGATGGCATGGATTCTTCAAACCTGGTACTCCATCGGTCGCCAGAACTCGGGAAAACCCAGCGGAAATTCGGCAAGCTGTCGCACAAGTTTTTGCCTTGGGAGGTCACGGAAGAAAATATCTCCGTGGCGAATTCAGGGCCGTTGCTTCCCCTTCCGTGAAGTAGGATGGCCGTGTGGGTGTGTTCATTTGCGGGGGCTTGGATGTGAGGCTCCGGGAACTGCATTTTTTCCACTGGAAAGTTAGGATTCCGAGGTCGAACGAGTTCAGTATTTGAAGGGGGGGGGGCCCTGCGACGGCTAATTGTCAGCTTGTTAACACGTCAACGCGTCAAGAACGATGTCGTTAGTCAGCTCAGGGTCTGGAGTCAGGCAGCAGCAATGACAACAACCGAGCGAAGCTGTGGGAAGGCAATAAAGAATGAAAATTTGACGACGTGTGCTTCAATTTGAGCAATATCCAAGGCGGAGATGTTAGTTATCGAGAATAAAGCCAGTGGGGTAACAAAATTATCGCCATTGATCGCGCAGCGTCGGTTTGAAAACATTGAATACCTAGTACTTCCTGCCAAGGCCAGACTGCGGCGGCCGATAGAGGCCACCCCTAGGTCATATCCTAATTTCAACTTTCCGACCGGCAGAAAGTAAATTATGAGTAATTCCAAATTCATATTGGTTTTTGAACTCCATTATGTTCAGCGCTGCATTATACATTAAATCCTTGAACTCTATCATATATAATGCTATATTGAATATTATATTACTTCTCTTTAAATGTTTCTCTATGTAAATTATCACAACAACTGGCAAGAAAGAGACATCTGGAGGCTGAGATCCTAGTCATGTAATCCATTCTTAAGTCCCTTCTCAAGACTACCCTCAAGTCTATTCTCAAGTCTATTCTCAAGTCTATTCTAAAAGTGACCCGTATTTAGATCAAATCCCTTAAAGATATTCCTATATATGATAAATACAATACAGGCGGGAAACAGGGCGGTGAAGCTAGGAAATAAAATTGGGATATGACCTAGGGGTGGCCTCTATCGGCCGCCATAGCCAGACTGAAAAGTGGATCAAAAATTCTCCCCCTTTCGGTTTGTGTAAAGGTTTCGGATTCTCGGATTCTCGGATTCTCGGCTTCGTATTCGGGTTCGCCTGGAGATGCAGATCAGTGGGTCTCCTAAAGGCTAAATCCTTTGATAGCAGGAACCTGTTACTCCGCGTACGTGCTCCTGAGTCCTCTTATTTTGAGTCTTCTCCGCACTTTGATCAATATTCTTGTTGCCTTCTGTTAAAATAGCTCCAGGTTCGAGCTCGGCACTCGGCAGAGACTGCATTTACCAGGCCTTAGTGAGATATTCGAGTCCGAGATTGCGTTGCGATTGACGGGAGCCTGCAATCACGATGCGTTAGACAATGAGCGTGATGGCTGGCTGTCTAACAGGCCGTCCTCATTAGCAATAGAGTCCAGCACTTGGGGCAACTATCTACGTCTCCAAAGAAGCCCCCCGATTTAGCGTCGCACGTAATTTCTCATATTGCGTCCTTCCGTTACGTGATTAACTACACGCCTTTGGTTGACATGTCAATCTATAGGATCTTTGCGAAAACCAAGTCCCTTGTATAACAGAATCCTGCTTCTTTATCATCCCGGTGCACGGAAAGACATAACATTTGAACCATTCAAAGTTGAAATGGGGAAGAAGAGAAAGCAAGAAGGGGCTGTCTCTCTTGTTGGAGATGGTTGCAAACAAAAGTCTTTTATCTCCTGTCTCTCCTTTTCCCCTTTTCTTTTTCGGCAATAGTCGCATATTCCTTGCACATGAATAAGTTGTTAGTAAACATCTGGATGGAGGGATATCACATACGACAGCACGGAGAAATCGAATCACAAAGAGAACGCATACCTATACTAGTACCACTTTGGAGAAATCTATCCAGACGCCAGAAGCTGCTACTGTGGCTAAGAGTGTATAGCCTTTGTGTCAATGACAACATTGAACACCAATATTAAATTAAGAAAAATTAATCCGACGGACTACGTATGACTGAACATTGTACTTGAGGACGACTTCACAAGTACAACCATTCTGGTTTTAACTAGGCGATGTAAAGGCGATGTAAAGAAGATCAATGCCGAAAGAAAATGTACTTGATAAAGCCATCTATGGTTATGGCAAACGCGCCATTTTGACTCACCATTAAAGTATTATTATTCTGCCGGTCTACTCAACTTCATTTAGACTTATTTTTCCTTTAAGCTGAAACTAGTCAAGCTTCCAATGTTGATCTTCCACATACATAAGTGCCTATAAATATCGAAGGCAACAGAGGGTTTAACTGATCCACCGGGAGATGCTTAGTCTTCAGCCCACACGCCGATCATATATTGTTGAAGCTAAATAACTTCAAGCGTAACGCATGCCCCACAATGAGACAATAAAAGAATCTTAAATTTTCAAAAGTCAAGTTTGTCAACCTTCAAGGCCTCGTGTGTGATTCCACGGCAGTGACGCTGAAAGATTCACGTATGCGACTATCAGCAAAACTCTAGAAAAGATAACCGGAAAATCATGTTGTATCCCCAAGGTATTTTGAATGACTTAGCAAAAAGACCCTTTCAGCGGAGAAGCAGAAAGGGTCCAGACTTGTAAGTTGTCGCGTCAAGGTGAAGTTTGGTTAAGTGGGCCCATTAGGGACAATAAGTATGTGGGGCGATTGACCCAACTGGAGCCCTTGAAATCCGAATACGACTGACCATTAAAAGCTGTGGCAAAGACTAAAACCGGCTTGTTTAGCCTCAGGGTTCCAGATTTAGTTCATAGTATTGACCAAAAAAACCCACCGAGTGAGGTCCGATCGTATTCAAAAGAGTGCTTAGTGGAAATAAAGTTGCCTAACAAATCCACAACATTCTTATAAGAGATCTGGACTCGGCCTTCTGATGCTCGTCTTTTTGTTTAACCTTCCATCTCAACAATCTCAAGACATTCTGAACTTCTACTTCAATAAACCACTTCCAAAGTCACATCAGGTTTTTCCTCCGTTGCCAATTCAACACAATCAGAACAGCTTCAAGCCTATCACATCCCGCTAAATTTCACTATGTCGAAAGAAGAAGAGGTCAGAAGGCTCGAAGAGGAGTCCCACCAGGAAGAGACCGATGTTATGGATGAATATGAATCCCCATCACAACTCCCACCACCAACCTACGATTCGCTGTACAGCGACAGCTTAGCATCGCCAATCCTCGAAAATGACATGACACGATTGGCGACTTTTGAAGGTACTGATCAGTTGCTGTCTTGTTCTAACCCAGGCGTACCATGTACACGACTTGATTATGGATATTGGCTAATTTCTCTGTGCAGATAACGGGCGCTTCAGTATAGATCTGCAAGCTGGATCTCGTACATCAGCAATCGTTCAGACTTTCGTCGTTCCAATCACGCGCCCAAAGGTCATTCGAATTGACGAAAACTCAACTCTTGAATCCCCCGTCGAGAACTTGACTCTTTTATCACCAGTCGCGACCGTGACTCCTGCCACCCCAGTAGAAAAGACCAAACGGGGGATCTCTTTGGATATTGTTCTAATGCTCGTCGGCAGCAGAGGTCAGTGCCTTGAATTTACAGTCCACGTTCCTTCGTTTTCAGAGGCAATCAATCGAGTCACATTCTAACTTTTCTCAGATGAAATCAAATCGTGCATTGCAATTGCTCAGGAACTTCAAGAACAAGGTCATCGGGCTAGAGTTGTAACACACTCTATCTTCAAAAGCTTGATAATGAGTTTGGGCCTGGAGTTTTTCTCTATCAGCAGCGACCCAGATCACCCCATTGCTGTGAGTCCTTGCAAGGTTTCAAAAGTTGTATCGCCAATATTAATTACGTGCCACAGAAGCGAGACTCGGGCCTCATTCCAGGGCTACGCAGCCCAAAGAGGGCTGAAGTCCTCAAAAGCAACGAAATTCTCCGCGACACCCTTCAAGCTTCTTGGATTGCCTGTACTCATCCAGGTTCATGGGAAGAAAGGCCATTCTTGGCAGATGCTATTATTGCCACACCCCTCGCCCACGCACACATTCACTGCGCCGAGCGCTTGTCGATCCCGCTTCACATCATGTCTACTACTCCCTGGACCCCTACCGAAGAGTTCGCGCATACCTTGGCTCAAATTCAAAAGGATGAAGGGGCTCAGCCAGGTGTTCAGAACTACATCTCTCATATGCTGATTGGCGAGTCTGTTTGGCAAGAGTAAGTCATGTCTTTAACCTTATTATCATTAACACCGCGTCCTAATCATTGTCCTCTAGCACTTATCCTATGGTCGACAACTTTCGACAGCACACTTTGGGCTTGTCACAGATACCACTAGTGGGTGGAGGAGAGCTACTGCAACAATTGGACGTTCCTCATACATATCTCTGGTCCTCCTCCCTGGTACCCAAGCCGGAAGACTGGGATGACAAAAATGGTGAGTGATCCAATTCGGATTACTTGATTCCCAACTCTAATATGCTATGACAGACATCTCGGGATACGCATGGCTCGATGAGCCATCTCCCTTCCAGCCTTCGAATGAACTTCAGCAGTTTCTCGAGTCTGCAGTGGCACCTGTCTACGTCGCCATTGATATCACCTCACTCAGCAACTCTGAGAAATTTGTCCGCTGCCTAAGACAAGCTTCAATTGAATACGGGCTTTCATTCCTCTTACCAAGCTCATTCCACCCAGTGTCTGGTATTGCTGAAACTAACAAAATATTTGTTTGCCATAATGTTCCATTGGGTGAGTGCACTTTCTGTGTATAGGGTGTATCTGAGTCAGAGAAAAAGCTAACATCGGTTTGATGCAACAGATTGGATCGTACCAAGAACTGAGATTCTTCTCACCCATGGCGATGCTCATACAGTATCGATAGGCTTGCGCTACGGCAAGCCAATGATCTCGCTGCCTGTTCTGGGGGAGTAAGTGAATTTCAATTATCATTGCGAATCTGCTCATGACTAACTTCATCTAGCCAACCATTCTGGTCCGAGGCTATCTCCAAGGCGGGTGTCGGCTCAGCGCCGCTCAACGAACGAAACTTGTCTTCCGAGATGATCGTCACCGCATTCCGCTTTTGCTTGCAAAAAGAAACTCGAGAGAAAATGGCCCAAGCCCAAAATAGCACTTTGAGCGAGGATGGAACATCAAACGCTGTGGAGTCGTTCCATCGTCATGTTCGATCGAATGAGATGATTTGCAGTATCACCCGAACTGACCTCGCGACCTATTATGTCAGACAAAGGCCTTCCGTCCAAATCTCATCTATCGCAGCAGCTCTCTTGATAAAGTCGAACAAAATCAGATTATCTGGGTTGGACACGTATGACTCCTTCACATCAGAAAGATCTTGTTATTAAGCCATGCATACTGACATTTTCAATAGTATTCAACGCCGAAAATATATTAGTCAGAAGCCACATGGTGGTGAGGCTATTGAAAAGGGCTCCAAGCTCGACTTGGTCACAGTGAAGTCGGTGGGTATGGGTCTAATCAAGGCCATTGCCAAGCCAACTGTTTCACACATTGCCGACGCATGTTCGCCCAAGCCTGTAAGTGAGCCACCTCCATTATCCCACACAACAACTAACTTATTTTGATTTAAAGCTCAGCACGGTTGAGAAAGTTCCCCTTGAAGGATCAAAAATGGTGAGCAAACTTGCTAAGCAAGTGGGATTTACATCCGCTGTCTTTATTGGAAAGATTGCTATCCTGCCTTTCAAGAGTAAGATCTACCCGGGTTGAATAACACGACACAATTCATACAGATCACTAACGCATGCTATAGCTGTCTACTACATGGGTGAGACCGCGACATACGGCGTGCGCGCTTGCAAAGGACCTCAAAGTCGAGAGGTGAAAGAGCAAACGATCAAACCAAAACAGATTGAAGAAATTAGCAGTCCAGCAGCTGGTAAGCAGATAACGGCTCATATTCTTACAGGGTGTGTGCTGATGAATTCTACAGATCCCATGTCTCGCTCAACTATCGATTGCCAGCAGCTCGACAGCCTCGGCAATCTGAAGCTCGAGCGAGGAAGAAGAGATAAGCGAGCCCAGGACCCAAAGTTTGTGGAAATGGTTCTCTCCGAGTTTGAAAGTCTCTGCTCTTCCATGTCTTCTTCGTCTTCTGCTCCATCACTGCAAAGCACAGAGTATTATGGCTTCAAATAGACCAGTGTGTACCAGTTTAAACTACATAGACTTCTGCCTCTTTATATCGTTAAAGAAAACATATTTGAACATTTGAAATCAACCTTGGAATCTGTCAACATTTGAATATGGTCAACCATTTTGAACTCTTGAGTAGATATTGCATTCAAAGACTCAAGTCAAAGATTCAATTTTGGTGACATTCAACACCTACATACATATCAATCTGACGCCAACATTGAATATCCATTATTGCATCATGGTGATAAGTTAACCGGTCTGTCTTAGGCTTATGTATCCACTTTTAGAATTCCAAGTCGCAATCAATTGTTCAAAGCGCTTAGTAAATTACAAAATCCCAGATGAAAATAAAAATTGAACAAATGGAAAGATATCCAAATAGTTAATAGGTAAATCCGTACTATTCACTCTATAGCGCTGACAAAAACAACAGTACTTCACCTCAAGTGCTAGCTAGTATGTATGGGCGAACCTCATTGAGGCAATTTCAGGAGATGAGACTTCGAATCAGAAATCAATAATAATCATAGCCGATGAAGATCACATCTATAGAAATTCGGCTTGAACCGCTAGTTTCCAAGGACGACCTTGGAAATGACCCACTCGCATACAGGCCGGATTATTGGTTTGTACTAGCTATGTGGCTGTTACGTTAGAAAAAAAGAAGCACCCATGGTTTGGAATAAAAGATATTGAACGCTAGATATAGCTAGTTCGAAATAGTCAATCCGATCAATTTTGCAACAGTTCATGACACCCATAAGCTCTCAAGAGTTTACCTAAAAACATACTAGTATGCAAACAGACCTCTGGAGGAAGAGTGGATTTTTGAAAGTTACTTTGTCATCTAGTATGTATCCATCGTACAAGTACAGGGTAATGTTCATAGCCTTTACCTAGCCTTCCAATATCATAACCAAAAAGTTTTGTGAACACTGGGCCAATTCTACTCTTCCAATACCTCGTTGATGAATTCCAAGGTTATTCCAACAGTGAGGTCGGTGGTCGGGCTTGTGATTCATCAAATGCCAAGGACTGTGCTTCTGGATCTGTCGCGAAGCTGTCGTGTTTGTTCAATAACGGACCCGGTCTGTTTTATTTTATTTCATTAGCAGTTCATGGAAGCTGAGGAAGTTGCATCACGAACCTCAAGGGTCGCTGGTCCTTGGTATTACTATATTGCAGAAGAGCATTGAAGCTCCTTATTCTCAGTTCTCGCATATATCGTTTCTGGTCGTTTGAAGGCGACCATTGGGGATTTTCTGCAACGGAATAGTGACCGAACATTGCTGCTGCGAGCGAAACAGAGGAAAGACAACAGACGAGAATAATGACGATGAGAGCAGCATTGCTGAGAGCCATTGTGATGATGGCTGAAGGAGAGTGGTGGATGAGAGGGGCTAGATCTTGTAGTGGTCAAGAACGATATTTGTAGCTGGCAGGGCCATAAAAGGAGGTTTAGAATTGTAAAGAAATTATTTGACGTTGGAAAACCGGGCTTTGTAGTTACCTGTTGCCTATTACCTACTATTAAGCGGTCTTTTCATTCCAAAGATCTTATAATAATAGTTCTATACTACAGATTGTGTGCCTTGGCCTTGTTTGAGATAGGCGAAACCGTCGTATTCGGGTTTTTCGGTTTCAAGCCTCGCCAAGAGAATCAAGACATCTATGATCTTTGAGTGGATACATGTCGAAACTTCTACAGGCGCTTCTAGCTAAAATTAGCTTCGATAATTGCTTCTGCCTTGTAACTGTTGACTTTCAATTTTGGTTGGCGCTGAATCGTTGATACTGATGCTTTGTTTACAAACTCGTTTTCGATTCATATAACAACACCATTTCCCACCCTTGGGCAAATTTTCAACATTCATTCGCTATTCATTTCCACCCTCTTCATTATCTTTTCTTTAACATCCTATTCTTTTTTTGCATTTTTTTATCAACTCTACAATGGCCTACGTTCTTTACAATTACACGCCGTCGCTGGCCGCCGCTGTAATTTTCGTCCTGCTCTTTTTCACGCTCACACTTGGACATATCTTTCTTGCCTGCAAGCATAAACTCAAGTTTTTGATTGCTTTCATCGTTGGTGGCTTTTTTGAATCCATTGGATATGCCGCAAGAGCAGTCAATGCACACACGGCACCAAACTACGCGACTATGCCATATGCGCTTCAAAGCTTGTTCATTCTACTTGGCCCCTCTCTATTCGCGGCATCAATCTACATGATTCTCGGTCGCATCATTCGCTTGACTGATGGAGACTCACGATCCATGATTCGCGGAACTAGATTAACCAAGATCTTCGTTTCGGGCGACGTGTTGTCTTTTCTCGTTCAGAGTGGTGGTCAGTATTAAATCCCCTGCTACCAAGGTCCAAGTGCCACATGTTTCCAAGGTCACTTACTCTCATCCAGGCGGTGCACTTATGTCCGGTGCCAAGACGGCCAGCAAGCTGAAGCTCGGAGAAGATGTCATCATCGTGGGACTCATCATCCAAATTATCTTCTTTGGTTTCTTCGTTTCTGTGTCAATCGTTTTCCACAAGCGGATGTCAGGAAACCCCACCTCCGCCGCTATGGGTAGTTCATTCGATTGGGATCGCTACATGAAAGTTCTATACTTTGCGAGTGTCTTGATCATGATCCGTTGCCTTTACCGAGTCATTGAGTACATTCAAGGATCCACGGGTTTCTTGCAAAGTCATGAGTACTTTGCCTATATCTTCGATGGAACTCTTATGATGTGTGTCATGGCTACCTTTATTGTGTTTCATCCCAGCCAGATCTTTGCTGGTGTTCACAAGAAGTTGGATGAAACAGAATTGATTTACGGACAGCAAGGTTACGCGCAGCAGGTTTGAGCTGAATTTTCAACATTGTCAGCGCTATTCGATATTTAGAAGGAAATTGAAACTATGGTCCTTTGCATTATGTATAGAAAATTTGGACTTTGGGGTATTCTGTGGATATTTACTTGTCATTTAACTTCAAAAGATGCATTTTTTGACTTGATCTCTCAATCTAATAGCCTTGCTAGCCCATTGCCGATCCGGCTCAGTAGATTGTGGGTATGCACGGGTATGATCACCAATTGCCATCCCGAGGTCTCGGAACGGCAATCTTGACCTTATCTGGGTGGGATCTTTCAATGTTAAGAACTACTTCATTATTTACATGTACATTCTCATACAATGTTATAGATCCGGTTACTTGATTGTAGAAACTTGAAGGGTTTTGCGCTGATCATATTCATGTCTGAGACCTTCAGCTAACTAAGCTTTCATCATATCTCAATTACTCCGAGGAAAAAGATATACATTATTGGATTATATGAAGAGCTATGCCCCCCCCCCCGGTAAAATCAATAATCTATCAAAATTCAAAATCTACAGTCGGAACATCCCGAAAACCGTGCTTTAGGCAGCAAATCTGCGGCTGTTGTTGTCCCACAACTCAATTAGAAACATACTACCAGATTGGGCAATTGGGGGAATCAAGATTAAGCACCATGGCGACGGGATTACGGGGGCCGATACGAATCAACCTTGGAAAAATCTCATGGTTCTATGAACCCACGTGGATTTTTAGCGTGACCGAATACGAATTGCGAATACGAACACAGTCAAGACGGGTTCGATCTGCTCGGATTCGGATTCAAGAGCCCCACTTCAGGGCCGTCAGGGCTCCACTTATTAAGCTTGTCGAATCTAAAATGCACTAACCCTGCGGACTACTCCGTACAGGTACTCCGTCTAACATGGAAAATTCAATTTATTTGTGGGTACTTCTTCAGAATGATTGAATAGTTTAAGAGCAGGGACAGCAAAGTGATAGAGTCTTTTCAATTTTCATTCTGGTATTGGTCGGCGTCGTCGTTTAATCCCCACAATCTTGAGATTTCTTCACTTCTCAATCAGTTTGTAATATCAAATCCCGGCGGTATGTACTCCGGGGTCTATATTAATTCCCTATTCGGCGACGGGTCCAATAGACAGTTCGAGCGAGCCACTTTCACGATCGCGATTTACCTTTCAAGCACTAGTACTCACTAATATTGCCCAGGGTCTATACAACACTTCAGCTTTTTCTTGAAAGAATTAAATGAAAATTCTCGAACGGTCAATTTTACCCACTCCGGATTCTGTCTTTAAGTAGTGAATGTAGATCTTAGGTAATACTCCTCAATATAAATATAATTTCAACGTTTACTATACGCTAAGCCACCTAATTACATGTATGCGCACCACCACCTATTCGGGCATTGGAAGCTTATTCAAACACTGCAGCCTGTCTAACATTGTTTCTAAAAACGTCGGAACGTTGGAACCTTCAAATGTTCGCAGGCCCTGTAGATCTTGACAAGCACTTGAGCTTGAAAGCTAGCTTCTAGTTTATTTTTCCCACTTATTACGTAATTTTCTTAGATACAAGCTTGGAACAAAATTCATATTAGCACTCATGCATTCGGTCTTTTGCGAAAGAAATCGGTATATGTAACATTTTAATGAATGCACATGTGTATTATAGTATTAGAAGAGCCCCAGAGTGGAGGTATATTGGAAGGTTTGTCTTTTTAACCCAGCAAAAATCGTGTAGGAGTCTCCATCTTCTGAAGCTCCCGATCGGCAGAGTCTTTTTCGGGCGGATTGACGTGATTTTTCAATCCTTGATCAAAATTGAGAATGCACAGTACGGAATTGATGAGTGTAGCAATCATCAAAAGCAAGGATATGACAGCGAAAAGTGTCACGGACACCCTGGTAGAGGTGTAGTCGTTTTGGATTCGGACTATAGTCAGAACCAGAAACGCGGTTGTGAATAGCATCAGAACCTGGAGATCGTATTAGCTCCAGCTGCAGAAATTGTCTCCATGGCACACTCACCATCATGAAAATGAGAGGCTTTTTTCTCTCCCTTTTGCAGTAATATGCTGATAAAACCAAGTTTGCTATGGCGATTGGAACCCAAGCAGAATTAAGGATGAAATCCGGGCTTTCGAATTTGGTGACAATGAGAAGAAATTGAAGTTGAGTGCCGAATACAAAGAAAAAATTGAACTTTAGCAATGCGATGTATACCTGTAAAGGTCAGTTAAAGATGCAAACGTAGTATCTAGAGAATTGTAGCAAACCTGATATGTGAAGTATCGGCGTTTCATTCGTAGATCGGCGCTGATGTTTTTATAAATGGACCACGAGAACTCGGCGCGCAACTTCCAAGTAAGAAATGTCATGCAAAGAGTACCAACGCCTAGAATGATTGGCACGAGGATAAGGACCACTCGGTACAAGTGCAACAATCGAGTGACGATTAACCCTTCTGCCATCATGTTTTGGAGAGTCGGTTCGATCTCCTTTAGTTGGAGAATCCCGTATGCTGTCAAGCCCACATTACAGAAACAAAGTCCGATGAGTTGGATTGTATTTTTTCGGCGTAGCGCATCATATGATAAAGCTAGCTCGTAAAGAAGCGCAAATACATAAAGGCCCAGAAAAGACTGCAGGCGGGATTTTGCATTCTTATTGGTGCCGTCGCCAAGGTGAGCCCAAAGACTCATTAGAACCCAACTATATCAAAGTCGATCAGAATTCACGTGTTCTTGTTTTTCCGCACTGGTCTTTGGGGCTTACGTTTCAATCGCGACTGTGAGGCACATTTCGGTGATGAGAGTCGTAGCGAACATTCGCGTCCAAAGAGAGTTGGGCATGTAAAGGAGAGGACGTGAAGAACTTGGAGTTTGATCTGCATCTTTTTGCTTGTCGGCGACCGGACTTGTCGATATAGTGGACATCGAGTCTTGCGATATCCTGGATTTGATGGACGATCTGTCGTATGTCTTGTAGGGGCCATGGTCATAGCTGGTACGCTGATTATAGATGTCAGATTTTGACATCGTGGTCATTTAGAATATGCAGAGGTAAAATGGAGGAAGAGGCAGTCTTTAACAGTTATTTTATTCCATTCGGAAAGATATGCTCCTATAGAGCAATTCTACCCCTTTTCAGGGTTAAGTCTTGGAGAAATGGATCTGGACACGAATGATTGGTCAGGTGGATTCTTACTTTTATTATTCCATCTTATCCAGTTCCATACGATCTACTAGTAGTGTCTTTGGGAGATTTTCACTAGTCAGAAAATTGACAAGTGGGGATTTTTGATCCACAAGCTTTGACCGAACTAGTGAGTTGTAGACTCGTAGTGACCTCGTTATGTACCCCCAATAAATTCACGACAATCACAACGAGATCAACCTATAGAGCAAGAAAAAATGCTTCAGGAAATATGAAAGCTAAAGATTTTGAAGATTGATTTGCACATGTGAAGCATGAAAGTTGTGACAGTTTTCAAGTTGACATCTGGATTCTTCAAGCAAGAATTGAGTTCTTAGGCTTCGGAAGATTTCCGACTGCATATACAAGACAACATTGAACTACGAATGCTTCTGAATGAAGCCCTGAAGGGGGTCAAGCTGATACATCGTGATTCCAGGCAACAATGGATGTTGCATTGAGTCGTCCCAGTGAGATGCGTCTGTGATTCTCGTGCTTTGGTCACCCTCGTATTCGTATCACCATCATCAATAAAAAACCAAGTTTCTTCGACTTCTCATTCGGCCTTCTTCCAACTTCTCCTACAATTCTTACAAATCTAGGATCGCAATTAACTCCTGTAGGTTAAATATGAATGGATTTCAAATGTTATTTTGAAACATCTGACATATTTGAATGGGGGACTAGGAATCTTCAGGTTTTTATTGATTGTGATAATTGCTTCAAAAGTTGTGAAATTCAATTCGAATGTTCAAATGTTTCAAAAAACAAGAAACTTGAACATCAGATCTAAGCTGTGAGACATCTGGACAATATATACTTATAATACTGAGGAAATTCCAAGCCATCAACGGAGGAAACTTCCAAAGAGCCAAGCAACACACATATATTTACAATTCACAATCTACTAGGTCGCATGACCGGCCTTCAAAAATGGCTGGGTTGGGGCCAAAGATGTGAGAGTGATCTAAAGACCAAGCTTGAAGCCGCCCCAGCTGAGGATGGAGAAAACTCCAGCAGGATCGTAGGCAGAGCGGATCTTGCGCATACGATCAACATTCTTACCGAGGAAACCGGCATAGGGGTCCTGCCATTCACCGGCATCTCCCATGTAGATAAATTCGGAAGCAAGTCCCAACTTCTTGTTGATACTGTGAAGGTGCTCAGCCAGCTGGCGTGACCAAGCTTCCATGCGAAGATCATCCTGGGCCAAGTCCCAGCCGGTGCTGAATTGCCAGACTAAAGAGAATAAATGTTAGATTCTGATGCGCTCATGTTGAGAATTTCTAGATGAAACTCACTAATCAAAGGCTCCTCTTCAAGACCCCACACGTTACCCACACCGTTTGTCTTGGCTACACGAATTGAGGTAGGCGATATGACATTGGTCACGAAAGTAGGGTAGAGGCCCTGGACGTCGGCAATCTTATCAACGGCATCCTTCCAGGCGCTGTAGATAGAGTAAAGGACCTTGGCATCGGGCTTCATGGTCTTGTGGGAGAATTGGACACTGGTATATCTGTCAGCTCATATAATTATAGTGGATGGTGGGCTAGATGCGATTTACGTACCGCATGGTTTGCTTGGGGGAGTCAAGGGTATCAGCCCAAGGCTTCATGGTGGTGACGTTGTTGATTCTCTCGACGGCAGGGATCTTGGTGAAGTTGGCGAATTGAGACGGGGGCATGCTGACCCCGGCTTGAACACCCAAGACAGATCCTTCTGGGATCTTAGTTGTCGCATTGTAGGTAATGGTGGCAATCATGCCGGCGGCGATGGGGTCTTCGTCGTCAAGCTTGGCAGCTTCGCAGACAGCAGACAGGAAGCTGGGAATGTTGGTCTCGTTGAAGACTTGAATGGTCGTGCTGACCTTGGGGACATCATAGGTGCGCAGCTCGAAGCGAGTGACAATACCGTAGTTGTTTGCACCTCCCTTCAAAGCCCAGAAAAGGTCGCTGTGAGCGTCCCGGGTAACAGTGATGAGAGTTCCGTTGCCAAGGACAATATCATAGCTAATCACATTGTCCATCGCGTATCCGTACTTGTTATTGAAGTAGTGGAATCCTCCGATCAGGCTCAATCCCGGAACACCGATCGTCTTCATACGACCTCCGATAGCGACACGACCGTAAGGCTCAAGGGCAGAGTAAACGTCGTACCAGTTATTTCCTGGGCCCACGTCCACACTCCCGTTCTTCACGTCGATGGCGTTCAAGTTGGACAAACCTATCAGAACACCAGCATCGATATTGTTGGCACCAGGGTACTGCATATGTGGTCAGCTCTTATGCCCACCTTGTTTGATGGTAAATATCAACTCACGTTCATGTGACCTCCGCCACGAACTGCAAACTTGGACTGGCAAGTGCCAATAATACGGATGGCTTCGGAGACTTCACAGGCAGTCGAGGGCACGATAATACACGCGGGAGAAAGATCTGCACGAATGTCCCAGTAGCTGTCCACAGCCTGGGTCGTATAGTTCTGCGATCCAGGAAGAATGAAGCTCTGAGGCATGGCTTGAGAAAGCTTCGCGCAAGCACATGAAGCCCCCTGAGGGATCTCAAGAACACCAGAGGAGGTGGTGAGGGAACCCGTCAGGGTAGTTGTAGCGTTGATACTGGCATATGCCAGACTCGAAAGGCCGAGTCCGGCAATAGATAGTGAAAGAAACATGTTGAAGCGGTTTTGGTTGGCCAAAGGTTGGTGATCCGATCAAGAAAATTCCTGGACAACGAGGGATCGTCTTTCTTTTTAAAGTCATTGCTGAATAATTTCTCTCTCTCCTGAATGTCCATCCTACCCGAAATCTAGGTTGCCAACTTGCGAGGCCCGCTTCCTAGAGTCTCTGGTTGAGGCAATTTTCATGACGATCCCGAGTCTCGCATTCGGATTTGAAGTGAGGTAACAGGTTCAAGAGGTTTCAACCAAAAATGATAAATATAACACCGAGCTTGTTCCGTGGTCTCTCCGCTTTGAAGAAGATGAGGTGTCGAGATCTAGGCTTCCAGATAATATTCATGGAAATCATAATGTTATGATGCAAGTGAAACGCCTCACTCTGACTTGGGGCGCAATAAGCTCAAGCCCGACACCCGAACGCGAGTCCGATAGCTTCCACTAGTAATACCAAGGAAATGCCGATAGTTTCAGAGTGGTTCGACCATCCTTGGTGGGGGAAAATCTCCCCCAAAAAAAGATAGCCTAGTGGGCCTCTCTCAATGCGAGGAAGTACCAATCCTTAAACTTGAATCCTTAGCTATTCGAGAACATTTCCCCTAGCAGTCTTTCCGAGCTCCATTGATCGACAACTGGAAGTTACTTGGGGTAAATCAGGATGTTCCATCTGATTACGACAGAAGATCATTAATCCGAATACGAGGGTCTCCACCAATCATACCAATCTCGACAAAGCTAAGCCCCCATTTCTTAGGCAAGCATCTGGATTCTGGAGTGAATAATCCACGTTAGTTTTTGGTCGGAATAATGAGAGGAAATGTTTGTTTCTGATGGTTCTTCGGGGATGACACTCAGGAGTTGAGCATAATGCGTAGGACTGTCAGCCCTGGCACTGTTGTAACAAGAGAGTGACATTACAAGATGAGTTGATCTCAACAGACATAACGTCTTCCTTTCACTTTTTCACTGCCTCCTCTATTCTATTGCTAATCAAGTTTTTGAAATCCAGCAATTATTATTTTGATCCCCCGCCCCTTTTAAAAATCAGATATGTCTGTCTGAGCTACCATCGCATCACGGAACCCAACCCAGCTGTTCCATTGGCCACTGCATCCAACAACGGTATTCCTCGCTCAGGAAATAGTATATGCCACGAATCAGATGAATGCTCAATCCTTGCATCCACCACATCCATTCCAGTTCATGTGTGATCACACAGAAATAGGAGAAAATGACCAAGGCTTCAGGTTTTCGTTGACGAAGTAGATGAAGATAATCATCCGATATCTGGAGCAGCCAAACAAACACGTCGGCCGTCTGGCAATTTCGCGAACCTTCCTCTTCCACAGTGGCAAATGACTTGCTCAAGTCATCGATAGCACCAAAATAGCTTTCCAATTCATGGGTATCTGCTACATGGTTTTTGAGAAGGTCCCGCAAATCATCCAAGTATGGCAGTTGGACATTGGATCTCGCATTTCGCGCAGTGCTCCTCCGGTGGCCGTTTCTGAAGATCGGCTCAAGAGCTCCGGACTTGATGCTGTGTTCAGCGGTAGCGATAATGAATCGAGTCCCTCGAAAGAGTGAAAGCCATTCAAGGTCTCGGTCGCCAATCACCCAAAAGTCATCCGGTAATCTGGGCTTTGCACATGAGATGATGGATGTGACGGTGGAGAACAAATACAAAGCAGCTGCATTTTCTTCGTCGATCTGAGGTAAGGTTGCCGAGACCATCTGTAGGGCCAAGTTGTGATGAAACTCGGCTTGTGCCACATAATGCGCATGCTGCTCGGGCTTCAAATAAGCCAGGTGTAGCGCTGATAAGGCAAGAATGCCATGAAGAAGGAACGGAGATGAAAATCCGAATTTAGGTACTCTGATGCGCCAGACTGTTTGTAGCACGGGGAGGCGAGATATCGTATAACAGGTGGATGTGGAGTAGTGATGGAGCAGTTCCATTTCTGCTATTCCAATTGGTCCTCCAGCATATCCAGCTATTATTAGATTGTTAGCAGGACTTGTTCCTGCAGTAACAGATGGGGAGGCTTTGATATTTGGAACCTCTGTTGATGGTGACGGGGCTGTTGAGCCTATCTCTGAAGTCCCCGTGGCGGGTCCCTCCTTACTGAAATCACATTGAATTTCATGTTTGACACAGTTATTGCAACTTGGTTTGGTTTCGTCACACTTGATGTCGTCGCAATTAGAATACTCTTCGGGTTTGTGATGCAAGGGATGACGTGGGGGCATATTTGTAGGGGCTGTAAAGGAGTACTGAACAGGAAGTACATACCTTCACCTTGCGAGCTTTGCAAAGCCTACAGCCATTTCTTGACTTTGTATGTGTTCTTCTAGACGTTCCCCGTTTCATATTGATGGATTTATAAAATATTTCATTAGGAGAAGGCAAGGTTTTCTCCCCCACGAATGTTACGGTTGAGAGTGGTTGACTAATACTTCATTTGGCTTGGCTTTTTTTGGCTTTTCCGTCGCCAATCGCTGGAGCCTGGGACTTTGGGGGAGGTCACGTGTAGCTCTGGATATTCTTTAGTCCGGTATCAAAAAAAAATACCGCCAATTTCAAAGAAACATCAAGCAGATTAGAACAACTTGAGCTATTTGGGCATGGATGTTTGAAATAAACGGAGATGATTTGTAATGATTTGAAATTGTGAAATAAATTGAAATTTTTTGCAGTGCTTTGAAAAGACAGGAAAAGAAAAATCGTATATACAGTAAATTCTAGGAAAGAAGTTTCGTTTTGTTCATCGCTTCATGGAGAGTGACAGCATCTTTACACAATCGTCTCCTCAGACTCGACCATTTTGAGTTCAGCGGAAACCGGAGCCTCGCTGGAACGCAGAACCACAGAGGGGTGGAAAAGGTTCATAACGATCATGACCAGGAACATCATCGAAGCATCAAAAACGTACAAGAACACCTCGTGGCTAATAACATAGCCGCTGTTGCCTTGCGCAAACTCAATGATACGGTAAATGGATCGGATCAAGATCAAAACACTGGCGGTGTAGAGCGCAAACAATAGGCCCCGCCAGTCACGGGGGGAAGAATGCGGAGATATCGGTCGAATCCTTGGCCTCCTGGGTGGGGGATAGAGTAATGCGGCAGTGGAAGCAGATGGAGGTGACGAGGAAGGCCCCGAAGAAGACAAGCTGAACACCAAGACCCGCAACGATGATCCATTGGCCCACTGTGAGCATATTTCCGGATCCACTGCTCATGACACCGCCTCCAGCACCTTGGAGGATGAAAGAGAGAACATCACCCAAAACAAAGATCTTAGTCATGTATTTGACTGGCACATAGCTCAGGTGCTGACCCCGCAAAAATGTGATCGCTCTGCCGAGAACCATGTAGATCGAGGCGGCATAAAGAGTGGGGGCGAGTAGCACCAGGAGGGTCTGAAGGGCATAAAGGATGGTTGATGTTGTGTGGAAGTGAGAGGCAGCACGAGCGATGTATCCAATGATTTGGACTATAGAGAGAATATTTGTTAGATATGTCTTTGAAGAAGATAAATGTGGTAAAGAAGCCAGTGAGTCCTTACAGATACCTCCAACCACAAACGGGTTAAAGTACTTGGTGTGGTTGCGAATTCGCTGCCACAAGTGGAATGCAGTGGTCAAGAAGAACAAGACAGCAAATACCACTGCGGCCACCAAGCTAGGTGTGTATTGGTAGAGGACATAGTCGGAGGAAGCCATGATGGTAGAGTAAAAGAGTTAAGGGAATGAGATGATAATAATAGAAGAGAAAGATTATATGGCGATCTGAGGCTTCTTGCTGATTGTGGAAAGAATGAGGATGATATTGACATCTGCCACGAGGTTTATCAACGACTTTATACAAAACATTGGCTGGCTAGATTGCTTGGCTTCGGTGAAAGGCCGTGTAACTGCGCCGCAATTAGAAGTAAACTATAGGGCTGAGTGAATGAAAATTTGACCTCAACCAAACATTTACATCAATTGATTGAAAAAAGCCAAGGTTTCGCGTAACATTTGCGAATACGACTTCTGTTTTTTTCCCCCCTTACTAGGCAGATCAATATTGCAGATCAGTCTCTTTTTTTTTTTTTTTAGCTTAACTTTATTTCCAAGCCTTTTTTCCCCCTTTTTCTCCACTTCATGAAAACTCCACTTGAAATCTACCAATCACCAACATCCGAACCCGAGTACGACAAGTCCTATTTTGAATTTTTGATCCTATTTTGATCCTCAACCTTGGAAATCTCCGTACGAGATCTTATTCGCGTCCAGGTGCTGAATTTATTGGCTTTTTTATGGCACTAGCCCATTTATGATCAAGCCAGGACCCTACGCCTCCAAGGGCGCGTTTAATTATAGTAGGAGCTAGACCTACTGCCACTGAAATCTTGATCATAATGCTCGCGTGGCAATCTTTTCTCCGTGGGTACCGGGCGAGCCTCTGTCGATCAGGACCCTGTGAGTCCTATAGGGCTCAAGTGCTCAAGTGGTCATCTCTTCATCCATAGATAGACTTGAGCTTATGTAACCTCGGGAGCTTCCAGCATATCTCAACTTGATCTTCAATGTATGCTTAGCTCTAATTACTCCTTCAGAAACCCCGGTCATTTTAATGAGCCCATGACTGGAATATTTTCTATTTCGGGGACTGAGAGATTCAATATTGGGTCTGCTTATTAACCTACAATACTAACTGACTACTAGTACTAAGTATAGGTATTGGGCTGAGGCTCTACAATAAGTATCGTAACTTAGGGACACGGTTTTAAGACAATCGCTTGCCCTTTAGCCTCCAAGTTTGCCGAGAAATAGTTACATATCTGAAACCAAATACTGCAACACCACATGCAGGTACAACATTTGAACATTTGAAAAATATGCACCACAAGTGGCCAAGCGCCTATGTAAGTACTGATAGATACGTATGGAGAAAAGTGGGATGTTTGATGATCATGATTCATTAGTACATGCCCAGGTAGAGTTTATAGATCGCATTCTCCGTTTCTCGATTAAAACCATTTAGGATCTCAATGAAGCTATTGTGGCTCTGGATTATGTTACAGCGACTTAATTCGATCATTAAATCGATGTTCATATTGAAAGATTTTGGGAATCCATGATTCGTAACTAGTAGTTAACTCACTCAAGAGTCAAGTGCTTAGTTATTAGGTCGGTTTTGGCGGGCATAGGCTGATTAGTCATGTGACGTCAAGCGCGTTTGTTTACATCTCGGGCGCTTCGCCCTACGCTTCACCACCAGAACAGCCATTTGTCCCATTCCTTTCCCCCCACCTCAATCCATCGTTTCTATCTACATCACATCCGATTCTATTTTTGCTCTGCTCAAGCAAACATACAATTGCCTTGACCATGGCGATTCGGCGTTCCGCCCGCCTGCGTACCCAGGCATCTCCCGATGTGCGTGTCCTAGCAATTCCCGATAAGAAGGGGCTGGCAATGCAACTTATTACACATACTAACGCACATTTGCCTCATTAGAATGAAGAACCTACTCCTCAACCAATCGCGTCGACTCAGCTTCCATCGGTCGAGGAACAAGATGAGATGCCGAGCAATGATCAGCCTGCCCTCCGCACGCCAGTCGCTAAAAAAACCACCCAGAAACGCCTTTTCACAAACTCGCATCAAAAGCCCAAGGAGGCCAGAACTCCGACTAGCGCATCTGCTGCTCGCCCATCTGTCGAGAAAATGCATCCCAGCAAGGCACACCAAAGCACAACCAAGAAAGTCGATTCCGGTCTAGTCCTTGGCTTCAACCCCATCAAGAAAGACGCTTCTGGAAATATCTTGAAGGACAGCACGATCGATAGCACCCCCTCCAAGACCAAGCCTTCGCCTGCGCCCAGTCAATTCGGTACACCGGGCTACGACTTCAAATTCGGAGAAGAGACGGACCTCAGCAATGCGGCCCAGCAGCTGATGGAAACAATTCGCCAGGAGGCCAAAGAAAAAAGGGCGAACATGGGTCCGCAGGAGAAGTTGGAATTCAAAGCTCCTCTTGAACGAAAAATCGCAAAGCCGAAAGGCCAGGCGGGTCGATTCAGCGACGTGCATATGTCTGAGTTCAAGAAAATGGACTCGATTGCCAATCACGCGTCCTCTTTCCGGGCCACCCCAGGTCGCTTCCAACCTGTGACAAAGTCACTGAAGCGTACAAAGTCCAAAGCCCAGTTGGACGAACCCGAACCCCAGAACGAGTCGCCATCACGAACCTCGTCCTCGGCAAAGCCATCGGCCGTACCCGTTCCTACTGCTACTTCCAAGCGTGTCAAGCACAATGATGCCGGTGATACATCAGCCGGTCGCGCGGATACTGAAGTTGTTGAGAAGAAGGAAACCGTTGCACCGAAGCCCGCTACCCCTCGGGCAAAGCCTCGCTCCGCCATTCGAAGCTCTTTGATGACACCAACTCGATCGTCCATGGCGCGCTCTTCGTCAATTACCCTGAGCCTCAAAGCCCCCAAAACATCTCTGATCCCTTCTTTGGCCCGATCTCCATCCACCCAGGCTCTGGCCTCTCCGCGCACTCCTCGGACTGATTTCAACCCACGATTCAAGACAACCTTGCCGAGTTTGACCAATCTCAAGTCCATTCTTCGCAGACGCCAACCATTGTTCTCTCGTAACCCAGCGAAGATCGCCGCTGGTACTCACACGGCCGCTCCGGACTTCAATCCTGACTTGCTTTTCGGTGGCCAAAATGATTCGACTGACAATGTCACAAGTCCATCGCCAAAGAAGCACGTTGAATTCACTCCCAGCGTTAAATCTCGTCACGCTTTCACCGACGCCTCTGAGACTTCTCCATCCCGCTCCAAGATCCCTACTACTCCATCCCGCTCCAAGCTGTCTGAGATCGTCTATCCAACCCTCCCCACTCTTACTCCGGAACATAAACAGGTGGAAAATGAGCCCAGCACTACTCCGACCCAGTCGCCCTCTATTCGCCACATTCGCAAATCAGGTGTGACCGAATTAGAGCCTGTGTGGCCCGAAGTTCCCGTTGTGGCTCACGGGGTTTCTCATGGCCTGAGCAACAAGAAAAGAAGTCGGGATGATGTTGACGATGACGATAACGATACTCCCAGCACTGAGAATACCGAAAATGTGCCACCCGCTGGCTCCCAGCCCAACGAGCGTGGGGCGAAAAGAATGAAGGCGAACCCGCCCACTCCCAGCCCTGTCAAGTCTCGCCCTATGAAGACTCCCAGTCGATCTGTCTCCTCCGTTCGATTCGGTACGCCTGCCAGTACGAAGCAAAAACGCCCTGGCATGCTCAGTATCAGTCGTCTGAACATGCTCGCCAAGCCAAAGGGACAGGCTTAAACGCCATTTTGATGTGAGAGGCGCCTGGCGCGCTTGACCGGTCACTCGATTTCCGATGCCACTTCCATTTGGTACGCGATGCTAGATTGAATCGGTATTTTTGCCATTCAACATTCCACCTAGCTGTGGTCTGTTATCTTGCTTCTCAGGTGATGGCTTTACTTTCTCACACTGTACCTATCCTTTTCCCCGCCCATGCCTTTTTCGTTCTTTCTTCATGGGTGGCTTGTCCCTTTTTTCCCACTCAGTTTCACATATTTTTTGCGTCGAAATGGATTCATTTCGGCGTCTGCTTATGCATCTAGGTTTCCTTGAGTCGCAAATATCCAATCTAGGCGTCGCGGTGGTGTTCTTGTTTTGTTTTCTTCTTTTCGTGTGGCAGGTTCCCCTGTCCCCTTCTCCGCACGGAGATGCTTGTCTTGTTTGTTTGTGGGACCGGACTGACCATGTCTTTGCTCGAATCTTATGCCATGCTTGTTTTTCCAACTTGAAGTTGGCTGCTGGTTCTGGTTGGGTTGAAAGTCTACTTGGTTTGGTCACTAGAGACGACGGATTGTGAGGGGCAGCGTGTCTCTTTCCCATTTTGCCTGCTTTTCAGGCCTATGTATGACATAATGACTTGCCAGAACTGCTTCAAAATTATTCCCAAAATTGCTTCCATGGTTTTCAGAAGGTTTTCCTGTAAGGAAATTCATCTTGTTGATGAATGATCGGTCAACTGGTGGCTCGTACAACCCACAAATTTAGTATCTCTAATATCCTTCTCGACTACGATCAACTACATAAGCATCTTTACAGAATTTGACGTTGTAATTGAAGCGTGAGGAACATGTCATATTTTATACATGTCAATAATAATCATTGGTCATGGGTAAAATCAAGCTAAAAATACATGGAAGAGGTTAGAAGAGTAAGCATAACGAATACAGAGTCGAAGCAGAAAACCACCCAAAGACCAAGGAGAAATGAAAACAAGAAAAAAGATATTAATCGCCATACGCAGAGTATCCTCGAGGGACAGAACGAAGCGAAGGACGTCAAGCGTGATATGAGAATTGTTGTGAAAGGGGATAGGGGGAGGCAAAAACACAGGTGATAGGGGCTCATGGTCGAAGGGGTATCATCATGACAGGCGGGAAAACCACAAGAAGTTGCTTCATCAGTTCTTCATCGTGGCCAGGAATGAATCCAAATTGTATTCTTCTTGGTATTGGCGATCATCCCAGAGCTCGCCAAGATCATCCAGCCAGCCCTTCTTGCCCTTCTCCTTGACTTCACCGTCGATGTCGACCATGTCGACTTCATTACCGGTGGGCTCGCTTGGTTTCTCGGCCTCGGCTGTCTCGCCAAGACTAAACAGATCTAGGAGTTGATCCGTGTCCATTGTACCAAGGCCGGCGTTTTGTTGATTGACCACTGTAGAGGCGACGTCGATCTTGAAACGTTGAAGGCTAAAAAGGAGTGGCATGTTAGTAAGTGGGATGTATGATGCGGATTAGGACAAAACTTACTTCAAAATCTTCTCCTCCAAAGTGCCTCTTGTGATCAGGCGGTACACGTTCACAACCTTCTTTTGACCGATACGATGGGCGCGATCCATGGCCTGGATATCCTTTTGGGGGTTCCAGTCATGTTCGACGAAAATGACAGTGTCTGCTCCAGTAAGGTTGAGACCCAGACCACCAACACTGGTAGTCAAAAGCAACACATCGTAACTAGGGTCGGTATTGAAACGATTAACGATATCTTGGCGCTTCGTGGCTTCGACACCACCGTCCAAGCGGAGGTATTGAACAGATGGCAACAACTTTTTGAGGACATCATTTTGCACGATATCCAGCATCTCCTTCATCTGACAGAAAACAAGAGCGCGATGTGGGCTGACGTAGCTTGCACCTGTGTCAAGCTCACCTTCGGCGGGAGTATCAAGACCAATGCCACAGTCAACAAGGAGGTCACGTAGTGCACTGAGCTTCGGCGCATGCGATACGTCCCTGATATTGGAGCGTTTAGCGGACAAGTAGCTCTGGACCTCATTGTACTGTTTATGTCCATCTTTAACTACCAGGGCAGGTGAATTGCAAAGGCGGCGCATGTACTGCAAAGCTTGGAAAATGTGTTCCTTGTCACCGCGATCAGTACTGCCCACCTTGTCTTGCAGCTCCCTTTGTTCTTTCTTTGAGAAGTCCTCGAAGAGCTTCTTTTGAAGTTCACTGGGGTCACAGTAGTAGTTCTGGATGATCTTGGGGGGAAGATCATTCAGGACCTCTTCCTTCAGACGACGGAGGAGGAACGGCAAGACCTGTTTATGCAAGGCTTCAATCGCCAAAGCACCGGCTTCTTGCTCTTTTGATGAGGATTTGCTGAAGCGACTTGCGGCGATTGGCTTGGCAAATCGATCCAAGAAGACCTTCTCCGTACCGAGGAAGCCAGGCATCAAGAAATCGAAGAGGGACCAGAGCTCAAGCACGTTATTCTGAATTGGCGTACCAGAGAGAATTAGACGATGGTTGCTCATTAGTCTCTTAGCAGAGATTGTAATCTTAGCCTTGGGGTTCTTGATAAGATGACCCTCGTCAAGGACGCAGTAGTTCCAGTTAATTTTGTTGAGAATTTCATTGTCATTCCGACAGACATCATAAGAGGTTACAACCACATCCGAGGTTGCCAGTTGAGCCTGGAGCCTTGATCGCTCTGCCGGGGGACCGACATAGGCAATGCAGGTGAGGAATGGCGCGTACTGCTTAACCTCCTGTTGCCAATGACCAGAAAGAGAAGGCGGACAAACGATCAAGGAGGGAAGTTTGCGGGAATCAGGAGCTTGGCTTTTAGAGAACTCCTCCGCTCGCATGTGGTGGTCACTAGCTACGATGCAAATGGTTTGGAGAGTCTTTCCAAGACCCATGTCATCGCAGAGAATGCCGTGGAGGTTGTATCGATTAAGGAAGGCAAGCCAGTTGATACCGTCTTGTTGGTACGGTCGGAGCTCAGCCTTGATCGCGACTGGAATCTCAAATGCCTCCACCTTACGTACGTCCAGCATCTGGGACATGAACTTTCTCTCTCGATCACGTCCCTTGAGCAACTCCTCGGAGAAGCCAGGCGGGTCAGGAATACCAGCCTCTAGTGGTACGAGTTTGACCAAAGTGGCGAATGAAGTAGTTGCCAACAATCGAACTTCATTGTCGGAGTCACTCATACGGCCAAGGACAGGAACAACCAGGAAGATGACATAGGGAAGAATCCTATCTTCCATCACATGAATTAGGTGGTAGATGCATTCAATAGCACCCTGGCGATGATGAACATCTAGAGCGTGGTTAATGGTGGGTAGTGCCGTTTCCACCAACATTGTCATCGCTTCCACAGTGATAACACTGCATAATGTGGCAAAACACTTTGCCGCTGCATAGCGAATTACAGACAAACGGCATTGTAAAGCCTTGGCGATGATAGGCATGAGGCGAATTACCCATGGATAGAGACCAGAGTGGAATTTGGGGAGGAGGGCACGGAGAGTAGATAAACCATCTACAACCTCCTGGCCAAGGGTCGTTTCGGGTTTAGTAATGTCTTCAGGCAAATCGCCTGCCAGCGCATCGTTCAATGGGCGTTCGACCAGGGCCGCGAGATTGGGCACTTGCTCAAGGAGATCAGGGCCAAATTTAACAGCCAGTTGCTCCAAAGCCTCTTTAGCACCGCGTCGCATAATTCGAGCTTCTTTAGCCTCGCGCTCAAACTTGGCAGCATCGGGGTGGTCGCGTCGATCTTCCTCCTTGCGCAAAGACAAGATTGCCTTTTCCAGCTGAGCATTGTGCTGGAACTCCGGGGTCTCGGAGGTATCCACGCAGCAGTATTTGACAAGGTTTCCAATGATTTTGTCCACAGGTCCACGTTTCGTAGCTGCTGTGTAATGCTCAATAAGGCTTGCAACTGCAGTTGCTGATCGTTGTTGAAGTTCGACATTTTCCTCTCTCTTCACACTGTCCATCATGCCCTTGATGATATGGCCAGGTCGCTTGGGAATATCTCGAAGAGCGACTAGTGCACCTGCAGCGGCTGCCGGGACACGCATATCGCGTTGTTCCTTGATTCCACGGGCCTCATCAACAGCAGATTGAGCTGTGGTACGGGTGTCGTTCAACACTTGGGTTGCAGTGATTCTTTGCGCAGGCGTCAGGCTCTTCTTGAGGCGTTCGAAGTCAGCGCCCACGATTTTCTCAGCATCGGCAAGTGAGAATGCATTGGGTCCGGCTTCGGGGTCACCTTGAACAACAACAGCCAATGTCGGTAGCCGCGAGGGTGGAACATGCGCGTGATCTCGGAAAGTATTCAACAGGGAATGGCATTGAGCGCGAGCGACATGCAGGTAGCAGGATATGTCTGCATACCATGATGGCCGCTCACCTTCGACCACCGGGCGAAGCTTTTCGGTAAGCAGGGAGGCGTACTTGCTTCCTGGTCCAGTGAAACGGGCATACTCCTCCATAATCATGGCAGAGGAGAGTTGAGAGGTAGAGGCCGAGGCATCTAAGCCATCCAAAATTGGCGACCAGAAACTTGGGAGATCGTGCTTGTCCCAGGCCGAAAGCAATTCACCGAGCGCCCTTGAAGCATAGATCTTGGATCGCAGCATAGTGTCTGCACCGACGAGATCTATGTCGCCAGACAACATGTGCCCATCCACGTTATGAGTCGATGGGGCTGGAAGCTCTTTTTTCTCCGATTTGCGTCTGCGGCCAGGTTTTGAAGGCTCTGCGCCACCAGAAGTAGCAGGGGGTGACATTTTGGCGGGAGGTGGAACAGCGAAGGAGAATGGCAGGCCAGATGGTTTGATAAAGAGACAGGCGTTCAACGGGATGGGGTAACGGGGAACACCGAATGGGCCAAGGGTAAGAGAGATGAGGGGTTCGATTGAAGTTGAAAGCTCAGTGTCGGATTTGAAGTATCCATGGGTCTCAACAGCTTTAAGCAACTCTGACCAAACCTGGAGCGATAGTTTGAGAACCTCTTCGTTGCGCTCTACAAGCAAGTTCTGGAAGATTAAACGCAGTGCCTTGCCGTCAACCCAATCTGTGCTGCCTTCTCCCTCGAGTTTCAAAAAGGTCATCAAGGCCCGTAAAACCGCTGAGCGAACACTGGTGATTGTATGACGCAAGAATGGATAGAGACGAGGGACCAACTTTCCGAAGGAAGCCTCTGGGTCGTCTGCTGCATTGGCTTTCATCGCGTCCAGGACTTGAGTGAACGTGCACAACTTTGCGAGGAGATCCATCACGGACCCTGTGCTTGCACTGAGATCGTCTTGCAGGTTGGAAAGACAATCCCAAACAATGTTCATTAGAGGTCCCAGAGTGCCACCTCGTGATGTTACGAACTCTTCTGCGATTGGCACAAGTGTTGCAGCGCTAACGGCGCGCACGTCATCGTCGAAATCAGCAAGACCTTTCATGACAGCTTCGAGGACACCATCCATCATGGCAGAGTCTTTGACAAGCAGATCCTTACGGATTGCAACCAAATAACGCAAACCGATCATGCCACCATGGCAAACCTCCCATACTGGGCGATCCAAATCGAGGTCACTCTGCATGATGATTCGGTAAAGAACCCGGTAAACATGGCGAACACTCTTAGGCGATAGGTGGGACAAAAGGGCACCCAGGGTTTGTCCAACAGTTTCTCGAATGGGAGCGACCACGTTATCGGATATGTAATCGCCAAACCGATCAAGCATAAGAACACAGAGCAAACGGCAGGCCAAGTCATCGAGCCATGTGCGGTTCAACGAATCATTCTCTGCGCGAGTCTTGCCTTCTTTCCGACCGGCTGCTGCGCCTTGGACTCTGATTACCTCACGTAGAGCCATTGCTGCACCATGTCGAACTTCCCAGTTCTGATCAAAGATATCCATAGTCAAGAATTCGCACATGCATTCTAAGGGCCAACCTGAACCTTGGTCCACGAATTCAGGTTGAAGAACTGATCGCTCAGGCACGATGGCTCCTTTGAATTCCGCGACAATCTTGGAGTCATCATCATCGGCGGATCGTTCGAATGAAAAGTAGTCGGGTTTGCTTTCTCCATTTTGGTCATCGCCATTCTCAGCCTTGACGGGGTGAGGGGTGGTTGGCGTCGCAATGTTCTCCGATGGTCGACGGGAAGAGAGATCGACTACACGCACTTTATTTGCGCCCATCTTGGCATTTTGTTTATTCTTCCGCTTAAGTTGATTCAATTGACGTTTGCTGAGACCTCCCTCTTCCTGTTTGGTGTCTGGCGACGACCGCTGCGATGAGAAATCCAGCAGGGTGTTGTCTCGGGATGGAACAATTGTTGTCGACTCTCGCTTAGGAGCAGGGGTCGCAATCTTCGGAATCATTTCGGCTGCATCAATTAGATCATCCTCTGTGTACTCCCCAGCAAGACCGAGGCGGCCGGTCAGTGTCTTTTTCTGATGCTGGAGGCGTGTCGCGGGATCCATTGCTGCCAAAGCATACTCATATTCCTTTCCAGCACTACCGAGTAGTCGCTTGCCGTACTTGAGAATGGATGCAATATCCATGGTATCGAGCTGGAGAAAGGCAGATGGAATATCCTCCGATTTGACCTCGGATTTGATCTCCACGTCATCGTCGTCAGCTGCGGACTTGATCTGTGAGCCATCATCTTCATTCGGATCATAAATCTCCGCATTCCCGACGATCAGACCAATGGCTTTGGCAGCAGCAGTCCTTGTGTCCCAGGATTTAGATCGCAGATATGGCAGAATTCTGCCGAGGAGATTGAAGAGCTCATCTGGGTGTTGTTTTTGAACATCACCCAACTGCTGAGCTGCTGTGTTGCGAATTAACTGAGTGCTTCCGGTCTCGAGTAAGCTGTAAGTGAAAGAAATGTTAGTTCAGCCTGCTCCCCAGGCCATACTACCTCATAATATTGTATCTTGGAAGGAGTACTCACGTGACCAGGCGGTCAAGTCTGTAGTGGAGTTAGAATCATGTGACTGACGCGTGATTATTGGTCGAGGGCACTTACCGGGAAGTCATGGCGGGCCGTCACTCTGATGCCGAGTGAACAGCACCGCCGGGAGTAATGGGAGAAAACAGAAAGAAAAGGAATAGTGAGTATTGACGCGACTGTGAAAGCGTGGAATACCCTGAAAACTGAGAAATGAAAAAAAAAAAAGCAAAAGCAACAACGCCCAACACCACAGAGCCGGGTGGAGATGAGTCAGCAGGGAGGATTAGATTCAATACACAAAGAGCGAGATTCGAGGTCACGCAGCCGGGTTTATATCATTGGGGGGCTCTTGCCTGGCGCGCCGGTCCATGTTTGGGTGTGCTGCGCTAGTCCTATTCAGGCTTAGCGGTGGTTGGGCCTCCACTCCCGGGTTTGTGCGGGTCACGTGGAAGACGCGTTCAATCAGAGATTTAATGTATGATGGAATCGCTCGCTTTACTTAGCTTTACTTAGCTTCACTTAGCTTCACTTCGCCGTATCATTGAATTCCCCTTGAATAGTAAACTTCTAGGTTAAACTAGAAAAAGCATCTCACTTTTCTTTACTTTTAACATGGCATTTCAAATGATTCTATGCCAAGACATGCCAGATGGCCTTAAGAAGGTTGAAGATTCCCCTAATGATTCAACACCCTTGAAGGGAGCAACCGGGTATGTGGTGCAATGACAATCATTTAATGTCTTGCTTGGGACACAACTCAAACCTTTCAATATTGGAATCATGTGCACATGTTCTTTCACTATGTAAATTTTTTTATTTTTTTTCATTTTGTAGCATACACCTCATAAATATTAGTGGGGGTGATATTGGTGGTATGTATTCTACCAATCGACAAGCGCAGATTGGAAATCTGCGGGAACTATACTAGTTATATATCCACACTACGGCCAGTGAGGCAAGGCAAGCCAACATCGAAACCTTTATAAGACGTAGATGCATACTAATTCAACATTGAAGTACTCTATGAATATTCTGAACTGAGTTTTAAATATGCAAAATACATAGAAATCAATATTTTCCTTAGCAACATTGAACCAGACTACTTGAGGTCCACTTTTGAGAGCTTCAATCAGCCATGTCCACAGGTATGTATGTATGTAAACATTTGAAAGAAATATTGAAGCTTGAAATATATTTTCTGCGTACCTACCTACTATATACATATATACATACCTGTGCTGTAGGTATCAATAGATGTACTATCAATCTAGTGCATGTATGTGTGTACCGGGACTGGTACTTGAGAGCTTCCAACATTTGAATCTACATGTCCTCAAGTGCTGGAGCTTTACACATGCATACCTGGAGGCCGGGTGCTAATTGATGGGTATCTTACCCGCTAGGTAGACCTCGGGATCAACCAGTCCGGAACATTCATTGAAAGTTGACCTTCCAGATGTTCCCAAGGTTGAGGGCTGCATATGTACTAGCTTGAGGTAGTATGGCCACAGCCGAGGACTTGAGAGTCTGCTGAACCAACCTTGGAAATGCCAAGACCATAATGAGTACTGCAAACAAAACAACAAACTTTGTAGAACCGGAGTATCATTGCGAGAACGAGGCTTACTAGCCTCAAAAATTGAGCATCTCTATACAGTCACAGGCTCCCGGCAGAATGTTCCGGGGCAGAAACAAGGAATCACACGCATCAAAGAAAAACAATCATCGCGCCCTTGGGGGTTTCCTTCACTCGAGCAACTTTTAAAGTTGTGAAAGCACAGCAGTTGCTTCTTCTTCCTTTCCAAGCAGACCTAAACTGCGGATCTGCTCTGCCTTGGGAGCGTTCTCACGAGGGTGGGCAGCCTCGGCCTTGCGGAAGGCAACTTGCATCTTCATTGTGCGCATAGCCTATCCATCAAAAATCAAGGTCAGCCATGTCCAGAACAATTCCAGTCAAATTTTCCCATGATTCAACACCATCTCTTCAGAATTATCAATACGTACCTCCTTGCGGTGGTGGAGGCACTCGTAGTAATCGTCCAGAGCAGGAGTGCACTTCTTCTTGCCAGTCTCGCCATCGCCCGAGTTCACAACGTAGCATCCGAGAACCTCTTGCCAGAAGGGGTAGCAGCGGCCGGGACCTAGAAAGAGTCACAGCTGGTTAGCCTGGAGATTCGTGGGTTGGAGGAGGGTCTGCGCAAGATGTGATGATGCCTGTTATGTCGCCGCGGGCGGACCCCACGCTCGGTGAAAGAGCCAGGAAAACACATACCGCCATTGAGACCGTATCCAGAAGCCATTTTGAAGAGTTGTAGAAAGTAATTGGCAGGGTGAAGACAGAGAGACCGCAGAGAAGGTGGTGAGATGTTCGCGGATGCGACGCTTTCCCTTTCGTTTCCGACCTGGCCCGTGCGCTCCGCCGTACATGAGTTACCCGCATCGTCAAGCTACGTATATCGCTACTAAATTCACGAACTGATTCACGCCTTTCCCTCGGTCGCCATGACTTTGGAAGGGTTATCTGATGCCCATGCGATCCTGCTTGCGACTCATCTTTGCGCAGGCGGCAATGTGATCGACCTTCCTTCCCTGAAAGCGCAATATCCCCACTGTTTCCCACTGGAACGCCTCCTACGCATCATCTTGACATACCTACCCGAGAGCATAGAACCATCACAATATGTTCCAGTTCTTCAAGAGCTGACCGACAACTCCGACCGCACATACTCAGATCGGGAGATTGATACTACTGCCGTCAAGGACCTGTCCGAGGCAGAAGCAAGACAGCGCGTCCTGAAGCTCCGTCTACGACCTTTGAAGCGAGACGAAGAAGAGGAGGAGGTTGAATCGAGTGGCCCTTTGACTAGATTTCTCATTCATCGTGCGCACTTGATCGATACCGAAACTGCGCTCCAACCCCTCGTCCTCAACCTCGTTCTACCGTTCTACGAACATCAGCCAGTGATTCGAGCATGGCTGATTTCAAGCCTACTACCAGCACTTCGACTCAATTACGAATACTACCCGAACCGCGACGATACTTTGTCACTGGAGACATTAGAGCTTTTGGATGATCAGACTGCGGTTAATATTCTGTTGTCCATTGCTGGTCCGGAAAGAAACGATATGGATTTGGTCAACAACCTGAGGGGACTAGTTGGTCCTTGGCTATATGGAAGCAACCGTTCAAAGCGACGGAGATTAAATGAAGCCGCCCAACAAAACTCGATATCCTTCATCGAGGGAACACCGAAGCCCAAGGCTACCGAGCTGGTTGGTTGGGAGCATGTGAACGAATGGTTATTGTCACGAAGTTTAGTGGACCCTGATAGTGTGGTCAAGGCTTTTGTCAACTGGAATGGACCCGAGGATGTTGATTTAGGTGGATACGATGAGAATAGCTCCAAGATTGCATCAGACAGTGCAAAGGCACTGCTGAGTCGGTATGGCCAGTCCGGCCTGTCTGTCCTGTATGCTCAGGCGGATTCATCAAAGAGCTCGCTTGAACGGTCATTCAAAATCCTGTCTCGGGTTGCTGAGCTGCTCAGTCTCGAGGAGTGTTCTTATCTTTCTTCGACTGGTACAGTTCTTCCTTCCGTGGATTTTGATGCGGAGTTGATCTCGTCGACCTCGCGTGCCTCTTTACTGCAGAATGCCCTCCTGAGGCCAAAAAACCCACTCACATCCCCCTCTCCCTCTTCAATATCGTTTGCTAGCGCATTGCTCCTGTCTCTACGCATATTGACAGACCTTGGACACGTGATTCCCTGCCGAGTTGCAGCCAACATGTGCCTTCATAGTAATGAGGACATGCAAATGGCAGAGCTGCAGGCCGTGGTTGCTTCTACGGTGAAGCAGCCTCGATCAAAAGAAAATTGGCAAATAGCCCGGCAGCATTTGCTCTGGCTTCGAGATTGGCAGGCAGAGCACTCTGACAATGGCTGGGATGAGCCATCAACTCATCATGGTCTCTTTTGGAAGCTATCAAGAGATGCCGTTGAAACGGAGATTCTCAAGGCCCTGCTTAGTGCCAGAGGTATGTATTCCAATAAACGATCTACAAACGTCTTGAACAAAAAGGCAGAAGTCTGACGCCTCCCCAGAATATCAATTGGCCGTCGATTTATACACTCAATCAGAGTCAGCGCCACTCAGCCTCGCCCAGGTGGAGACAGCAGTGGTAGAAGCTATCTTCACGGCATATGATAACGCAAGCAATGGTAACCGAACTCGGGGAGGCATGAAGAGAGCGTATGATATGTAAGCTTTGACGCCATCAGGCTGACTTTTGGTGCGCTTTCTAACCATTTCATTAGTTTGCAAGCATTTCAGTCGCATTTCCCTGGATCGGAGCCACTGAAACAAATCAGTGCTCTGATAGCAGCTACACACGCCCTATCATTCTACTCATTGATTCTACAACACGGCGTTCCTTTCCAGCCGGTCAGCATTCGAGTCCATCATGATCCCCTCTCACTAGTTGAGAAAGTACTCGACCAAAACGACAAAAGCTACACAAAGCTCGACGACCTCCTCTACATTGGCCGTAACCTAGTCGCAGCAGGCCTACCCCAATCACAAGACCAGCAAGAAATCTCCCCAGACACACTCGTCACAGCCGAGCGTCGCATCACCTCCCTCGCCATCGCCTCCGCTCTAACCTCCAACGACTTCGGCACAGCCTACTCCTACGTCCTAACCCGCCTCACACCCCCCTCAAACCTCAACAGCACACCCCCCCTCTTCACAACAACCCCCTCCACACCGGACGACATCTCCTGGCGCGCAGTCTACAACGCAGGCCGCTTCCGCTCCACAACACCCAACCCCTCGACCCCTCTCACATCCCAAATAAACCACCTCTCCCAACGCATGGAGCTCCTCTCCCTAGCCCTAGTCCTAACCCCAACGCCCGACCCACTGCCCGAAATTCTCGGTGCCTGGCGCCGCTGCGACGAAGAGCTATCTTCTCTCCGCGCGCGAGAGCAAACCGAGGAAGACGTCTGGGACGCCAAGGGCGACACCCTGTCCAGCGTACCGGGTGGCTTTGGGCCTTCTGATTCAGAGCGCGATGCTTTTGATACAGCGACGCAGCGTGCAGCACGACGGGCGCGCGCTCGGGCTGCCATGCCGAGTTCCCATCCGCATGAGGCGCCCATGGGCTTGTTTGAGGTTGCGAGGGGCGCTGCGATGGCGTTGCATAAGAATGCGTTTCCGCTGCGCGGTGCTGCGGCTTCGGCTTCGGCTTCTGGTGGGCCTGAATCTGGACCTAGTGCTGGGGGTGAAGGGCATGATGGCATTGAGTATTCGGAGCAGGGAGATCGTGTGCGGAAGAGGGATATGGTTAGCAATATGGTTACTGGGGGATTGGCGAGTGGGCTTGGATGGGTTTTGGGCGCTGAGCCCGTGAATCGGTAGTCTCCCATGTTATGCATGGTTTAGAGAATGTTCTGCCACAAGTGGGGGGGTTTTGTTTTTGGAAAACTTTGGCATTATGATAGCGATGATAACATTAGCGATATTTTGGCTTGAAAAGATGAAATCAATATTGATATACGTTTTATACGAGTATTACGGGATTGTTCTTCCACTCTCTTGTATGAGGCATTCACTGTATGATGTTTACGAGGCGAGAATTTAAAATGAAATGTCAACGGTATTAGGTACCTAGTACTAGTATGTGCGAGGATTGTTTCCAATGTATTGCATATACTCTCCACATCCATAGCCATAAAAGAGAAACGCCGAAGAAAGCAACAAATCCTAAAAAAAAAAATTGGCAGATAAGGGCCACGCAAGCAGTATATGATGATGGCGATATGCCCGAGCTCAAAAGATGTCATGACACAGAAAGTGCAGAGATGGATGAAAGGGAAAGGGGGATTTAATGTAAAGGAGAGGCGAGGAAAAGAGAATTGAGGACAGGGAAAAAGGGTCAGATGATGCGATGCATAACAACAAAGTTGTAGTTATCAGCCGTAGAAGGATTGTACGTGATGGGGCATAGCCGGATGGAATTTCATGTCAATATCGCTGGCAGATGAAAGCAATGACAGGGTATGGTATGAGAAAGGATATATAAGAAAAAAAAGACAGCGATCTTCACCCGAGTTCCGGCTTGGGACGAAGCATCATGATCAAATGGACGCCAACTGTAAATAGAGAACAATGGGGGTCGTAATGGGGTCGTGTTCGAGTCGTGTTGACAGCCAGGTCAATCCTTGGGGTCCAGCCACTCATACTCAAAACAAATCGAGACCTCCATGGGGAACAACATGCAGGGTAGAAATCAAGGGCCCGGGCGAATGACTTTTGATGTTTTAATTCTTCCAGTCCCACACTTGTGTGATGAAGTTCGCCATGTTGACCTTCTTGTTCTTCATGTCCTGCACCCATGGATGTTCCAGCATCCGCCAAGGAGTTGCTCGTCGAGGAGGCTCTTTCTCGAGACTAGTAGTTGGGTAAGAATGTGATAATCCAGAAAGAAGTTTCGCAAAGACATACCAGCATTCAATAAAGTACTTGAAGTTATCAGACCACTTAATCCGGTTCTCCGGCTCGTCCTTCAGTTTGGGGATGGGTTGGCGGACAATGTAGGTGAGGAGATCTATTAATCCGGCACGGGGTTGCATCTCAGTGCCATCGGCGGGGAAAGGGAATCGATGTTGCGCGACTTCCAGCAAAGTCACACCTAAAGACCAAACGTCGGAAGTAATGGTGTATGATTGACCAGTGATACGTTCTGGGGCCATGTAGTAGGAAGTGCCGATGAAAGTGTTGGCGTCACCTTTAGTGCCGAACTCGCCACTGACACCGAAATCGCAAAGCTTCACCTGACCATTTCGGCACAGGAGAATATTGGATGGTTTGATGTCTGTGCGGAGAATTAGCAATGTGAGTCGAGTAGGCTCAGGGAAAAGATAAAGTCCATACCTCGATGGATAATCTTGCGGCTATGCAAGTAGGTTAACCCATTGAGCACGCCCTCCGCAACCTTTCCAAGCACCTTCTCTCCCGTACGGCCACCAAGTTTCTTGACCTCCTTGTAAATACTGTCAAGGCTGCCGCCTTCACAGAATTCCATGGCGATAGAGATTGTACCAGATGTCTTGTCCATGAAGGCACCGTAGTAGCGACAGATATGCTCCGATGCGCAGTCCTTGTTGAAGTTGAGCTCACGCACGATCTGTTTCTTAACATCGGGGTTGGGATCGGTAGTGATGATCTATCGCGATAAGAAGTTAGTAAAGGAGGATGACATGAGGAAACTAGCAGAGGGAAGAAAACATACCTTCAACGCAAAAACAGTTTTGCCGTCCTTGAGCTGACAACGAGTGACAGCACCACCGGCGCCTTCACCGAGACTACCCAACTCAATGATCTTCTTTTGTTCGCTGGCCGCGTGCCAGCCCTTATCATCCAAGTCTTCAACATCGAGCGGGCGGCCTTTCTCCAAACTCAAGCGATCCAGGTCGAAAGAGAGTGCGCTAACACCGTTCTCACCCTCTAGCTGATCGTTGCCTTCTCCATCGAATGAACTGATAGCAGATGACGGATCAGAGCCGCCTGATTCACGGAGACCCCTCGCGATGTCAACGGTTGAGACGGAGGAGTTTGCGGAAATCGGATTACTGCCTCGACCATTCCCATTCAGCGTCGGTTGGCTATTCACACCAAGTCCACCGGTGGACAGTGCTAGAGATGGGGGACCGGGTCGACCGTTGGCCATGCGGTTGACGGGCTGCGGGGCATTCGGGTTTATCATAGGAGTGGCCAAGCGGAGAGCCGGGCGGAGGGAAGACGGTTGAGGTTGGGAGGGGATGACCATGGCGGGGACACCATTGCCATTGACGGGTTTGGCGTTGGGCGATGGAGGTATGCCCAGTGTGAGCTTCGGAGCTCTGGGGGTGGCATTGTCACGCTGATTGCTAGGGACCGGGGTCCGAAGGAGCGGGACAGACGACATAGCGAGATTGTTCTGCCTATCGCCAGGCAAGAACAACTCGTTAGGGTCAGCCAGGGTAGCCACAGTGTCGGTGGACTAAATCCCTGGAAAGACAAGTAGCGAGCGTTGGGAAAAGTGAGGTGGACACGTAAACGAGCGGAACGTGAAGGGGAACAAGAGAGGGGAAAGCAGGTGACTCGGGGCTAAAGGTGCAGGTCAAAAGAAAAAACCGCAGTTCTTCGGTTCCACCTGCGCACAAACTTATCAAGATAGCAAATAAGTCTAAGAAAAAAAATAATTGACCTTTAAAAGTCTTCTTTTTTATTAACGTCCTCAAAAGACCAAGTTCTTTAGTTCTTTATTTTTCTAGCTCAGATCATGAATATTAATAGACGGCAACACAGCCGCTGAGTGGGACAGAGCGACGACAAGATCGGGTCCTACGGGCAATGGTGGGGCTGTTTCAGAAGGCGCCCTCGACTGAAACAGGAAGAGATTTGTTAAGGAAAAGTGGGAAGAGAAGTGATTCAACTACGTGATAAACAGTTTTCTTTTTTCATTTTCTATATAATTACTTAGTATATGCAGAGTTTGCATTTTTTGAATTTGTTAATCAAGAACCATGGATCATCTAAGAGAGAAAAAGAAGAGAAAAAAAAAGGAAAAAAAGGAAAAAAAGGAAAAAAAGGAAAAAAAGGAAAAAAAAAAGGTACAAAGTGACTTGCGCTAATACCAACTTGGCATTTGCTCTGTTTGTATTAGATCACACCAATCTCTTCCCTTTGCCTTTTTCTTGGAAACCGACTCATCCAACATTCGTAGTATTCATACTAGTAGTTGGGCACTGAAATGTATCAAAGTGGTTGCCTTGGAGCCGCATATTCCCTTCTCCGGGAAACTCCACTTCCTCTCTCGCCAACCATCAGTCACCAAGTGATAGTGGTGGCGTCTATCGACATCATTGCCAACTCATTAGGACAGGGCTGTTCCCCACTTGGAGGGGAAGAAAGAGGGGAGAATAACCTGTCACTTCCAATGCTCCAGTCACAACATTTGAAATTATATGCAGTATAAGTCCGGCCCTTTTGCATATTGATTGATCCCGGGGTTTCGCCCCTTTGACCCGGGTTGGTCATGCAGGCCAAGGCCTAGATTATAGCTGGACTGGGCCTAATAAACCAATAAACCAACTCACTAACTTGTTGGTTTTTGTATACTTCATGTTGGCTACAGTATATATACAACATTTAAGTAGAGAATGTATCTACATCTGGGTAATAGTGACAATGGCAATGTGCATAGATCTGCCTAAAAGGCGAATACCACTATGTACTAATGTACCTTTGGAGTTTCCTCGCTTTATTGGAACGCCAGGCGACCATTAGCCACCTGCGGCACCTAGGCATCTGGGCACCTGGGCACCTGGGCGCTCTGTATACTTCTTTACCTGAGGTCATACCCCTTGATGGAAATAAAGGCTTAACCTCGGAAAGACCCTGAAATGAATCTGGAGTCGATACATAATCCATCGAAGCCTGAGTCCAATTGATGTCATCACCAGCTTCATCCCGAATAGTTCGCCAGGCCCTCGCAGAGCGCCGATCACCACATCCTACCATGGTACATTGTAATGAGGCATGTCATCGGAACCATTTACGCGAGCTTGTTTACTTTTTTTTTTTTTTTTTTTTTTCTTAACTTTTTTTGAGTGATGATTCCTCGGTATTTCCCAACATCACACATCCCACGTGAGATTCTTTCAAACAGTCTCATTTTGAAACACTCTTGTGGCTGAGTCTGTGGCACGGCCAAGGGTACCAAGGGATTCGAGAGAAGGATCAAAGTCAATTTCAATTCTGAGACGATCGGAAGCTTTTATCCCCATCCTTAATCCAACACAAACTCGGGAAGCCGAGTGTACAGTCACATGCACATGTACATCAAACTGATGTCCTCTACGAGCCACAGGCGCAAGGGAAGCCACACTGGTTCTAGCCTAGAAAACCCTTGCAGATCGACTCTGTCTACTACGTAGATGTAAACACAACCTGCCAAAGACCGTCATTGAATCAGCCTGCAATCAATTCCCTCGCCTCGCTCTAATGCAAGGATCGCTGGATCGAATCAACAAATGATTAATGACCTCATGATCGTATGATTTGGTCGCAAGATTTGGGGGGAATCGTGGAGAGTTGAAAAAAAAGTGCTGAAGTTCCCTAGTTGTCAGTGAAGGAGATCCATTTAGTAGGAGTGCTGCTTGCAAGATCTGGCGGGTTATAAGTAGTTGCACCTAAGTATGTTGTTCAACCTAGTCAAGAACTCATTCGTATGGTAGGTCGGGTGTGCTCCGTCTTGACAAAAATGAAATGACATATGCCGAGACGTTCATCCCGGGTTGCGAAGAAGTGAACGCGTGGACCATACCTGTGGAAGCAATCCTTGATCATGATCGTCGGTGATGAGGTTTCGTCTAACCTGTGTGACGCGTTGCTGTTGATGGTTAACCATCAAAGAGACAGAATTCCAGTCGGCAATGTAATAATCGTCGACTTTGGAACGCTCCTGAAAAACAACCGAAATCTGAAAGCGACCGAGAAGCATTGCGAGTAACGTGATGGAGGAAGTACTTGTTAGCCCGTTAAGCGAGTCAGACATCATTTGTGTGTACCTGATCTGCAGCCCACTGATCCTCATCTCTTTTCATGCACATGGGCCCAGATGCTTCGGCAAGGTCCAGTCAAAACAGACCACTCGGGTTGAGAAAATGCAAGTAGGCGCAGTAGTGAGTACGAATCTCAAAATCTAGCCGAGTCTTCCATGTACACATTAGTCCCGATGTCTTCTTTTGTCTAGGGTCGCTTGGTTGTTTATAGAATACTGGACCCACCAGATTCGTAAGTCGGCACCGAGATCAAGATATTTCCCTCCATACAGTCGACATTTTGTGAGGTGATCTCTGACCGGCAACCTTGGAATGAACCAGCCCCCCCCCCCCCTTTCTCTCTCAAATCTTCCTATTGACAATGATAACTGTACACAGTGCATGGAAGCAGCACTGCGAGGTCTGTGCCGGGATTGATAACGACATTGGAGAATGCTGGGATCCACTTGGCGCTATTATTATCTACCGAATGTAACATTTCCCCTATCTTTTTTTTAAGTCGAACGATTCAATGGTTCGGCAAAATCTAAACATAGTACATGATATGGAGCTATCGGTCATGGATGATGGATTTTAAATGTAGGATCAAGGCCCGCTACTGGAGTACATCTGTACTTTAGCAATATCTTGAAAAAGGGGAGAGGGGAGAACAGTCCAGTGAGATTCAATCAAAATCAATAGTTATGGAATGTGGAGTCTGGGGACGAACGCCACGAGGCCATTGAGCTTTCTTTGAACCACATGCCCCCTATCATGGAGCTTGAACTAAGTATTGAACCTTAGGAGGCCCGAGACATGAGACTAGGATTGACCATGATTGGAAGAACAAAGACGCCCCGACATCGCAAGCGCCCGAGGTCTCGACTCGAAAGAATCCTGAAAGGGCCGATGCTGATCTTCAATGCGCAGGTCGCACGCAGAGTCCCCTCTCGCTCTCGTAAGCGTCGGTATAATACATAGACAAAGGGGGGGGAATTACCGGATTTGAGTTAGGGGGTAAAAAAGAGACCACACGGGGGCCCATCAATCAGTGTGCACGCGCCATACTACTCAGTACATACACACTGTATTTGTACATGCTTTTTGATCAACACTCTGTTTGGCGCTGGAGCGGCACGATATCCAAATAAATCTTCAGGTCTAAGCCCAAGCCTCAATGGATTCATTTCCCCCGCTTTATCGTCTTATTCCAACCTGGGTTTGGCTCGGCTCAAGCACTAAGGGAGGCTTGTTAACCTAAACCGTTCAGGGATGGTGGTCACGGCGCAACTAAGTTGTATGAGACTAGGCCCGCAAGCGGGGGCATTGTACTAGTATCTGAGTCCCGTGTTTCGCTTGGTGATTGCATCGAGGAAAAGAGGATTAGAGGATTTTGGACAAAGGGCGTTTAGACCATTACGGTTGCAACGGAAGGCATCCTGCAGTGCTGCCAGTCGTGGAGAGGGGATCCACTTTAAGAAAGACACAAGAGGGAACTGTCTTCGTTCTCGTTGCGAGAATCTTGGAAGTACCTCCGTACTAACCTAGAAATAGAATCAATACGAGAAAAATGGTAGTTGAGTAAATTAAATCTATTAATCTATCTTATTACCGTTAGTGAGAAACCGAGCCAGCGATTTTGTATTTTCAATCAAGTGATCAATGAGGACTTGATTATTGGGGAAAACCTTGGGAACATTGGGAACATTGAACCTTGAAGTTCGGAAGCCCCCGGTAAAAGAAACCATTGGAATTACTTGAACCATTGAATCATTGAGAATCTTGGTTACCATGAACCGTCGTGGCGGGGGAGAGTCCCGTGCCGTCATGGTTGTACTGGAAGCGCCCTTTGTTTACAGAAAGGAAAAGGCGGAAATACATCCACGGGTTATTCAGGGGTAAAGTGGACCCTGGACCCACGGAGATGGACAGTGAGTGGTGGACATAAACCAGGAACCAGCAGTGGATCGGCGGTGGTTAGGTGGATTGGTTCAGGACGAGCGGGCTGAAACCACTAAAAGAACGGCTTCATTTCAAATCCATGGGAATTCTATAGTGCAATTTAAAGGTGCATTGCATTTGGAAATGAAACAAGCAACTTGGTTATCTTAAAAAAAAAACATTTACATATGAGAGTATGTATTCTATGTAGACAAGTGAACTATTTCAACGATCAACTCCAAGTAAGGAAGTTGTCTCATTGGATTTGTTAGCGTGGGGACTTGCACTGCCGATCGCGTTATTTAGTGGATGATTGGGTTCGGACTTGGACTTTAGCGGCACAGTAAAATTACTTGAGACTCGGTCACAGTGAAACGAGCATTGATCCCACACGCCTTCAACTTAGATTCTTATCCAATCAGGGGTTAAAGAGGGTCCATCTCTTTTCATTATGTTTCGGGCAGTGCAACTCGGACCCGGTACCGAGTACTTTGAATCTACAGTGGATATTGCGGAGAGATCAAGTCACTGTTACCCATGACGAAACTACCATATAGTAACGTAATGTCCCGTATGTCCCGTACGGCAGTACACAAGTACAACAACTTGCCTCACCGTTACTTTACCACAGGCCCTGCAGGTACCAGACCAAAAAAAAGAACTAAACTAGAAGAAAAATAATTTAAAAAAAATAAAAAATAAAAAAAAGCCAAGAGACTATTCTCCACATCCCCCCTTTTTCTCAAGCAATTGCTTTATTTTGATTTATTCTTTTGGGGATTTTCATCGGTTTTAGGGGCCAAAACAGATGCGGTGTTTGATCTCCGGCTAATCTCCCTGTTCATACAAAGGGCCCCAAAATCCCCCCGTGCTATCACTCTTTCTTTCCTTCTTCAAGTACAATCTTCGTTGCCTACGCATTCCAGTCACTCTCTAGACTTCGGTCATCCACTCTTTCAACCCAACTACTACATTCATTCCCTAAGCTTTCACGCTTTTAATCACCTTCACGGCCCTATTTCAGTAAACCACATTCAAAATGCGTTTCACCATTGCCACCATTGCTTTCTTCGCCGGCCTGGCTGCCGCCACCGCTGGTGCCGACACCACCGTCTACGAGACTGATGAGGTCACCATCACCTCCTGCGCCGCCACCGTCACTGACTGCCCCGCCCGTGAGACCTCCTCCGTCCCCGCTGTCGTGACCTCCGTCCCCGCCGCTGTCACCTCCGTCCCCAGCGGTGCCGGTGCTGAGTCCTCGCCCGCTCCTTCCAGCGGTGCCCCCGCTGGCAGCGCCCCCGCTCCCTCCGCTGCCCCCAGCTGGACCACCTCCGTCCCCGCTGTTGTCTCCTCCGTCAGCGTTCCCGCTGGTAACGGTGGCTCCCCCGCCGGTGGTGCCTCCCAGTCGTGGTCCGTGGTCTCCCACACCACCTGCATTCCCACTGTCATCTACTCCACTGTCCCCGTCCCCATGGGTACCTCCCCCGTGACCGCTGGCTCCGGCTCCGCTCCCCACGCTCCCTCCGGCAGCAAGTCTGCCGGTGTTGCTCCCAGGTAAGCTATCGATTCCTAGATCTATATATTCAGATCCATGTCCTTCACATCACATTGTATACTAACATATCCATCTCAGCGGCGCTGCTGCCACCTCTGCTGTTGCCTCCCCCTCCGCCACCCCCGCTTACAGCGGTGCTGGTGCCGTCTCTGGCTCCATTGGCTTCGCTGGTCTCGCTGCCATCGCTGCCTTCGTTCTGGCTTAAATGATTCCATCTATCGATGGACGAGCTATATATCTCTAACTCCACTTCACGGTGGGCTTGAAGCGTATAGTTTAAATCCGGAATGGTATGGTACGGGAGTGGAGAAGATTTCTTTGTGATTTAAATAGGTTCTGGTGATTTTATATACCTGACCGATGTCGATTGTATCTTGCTTCTGATTGGATATGCTTTATCCCCTTGTGCTTTTTGTTTTCTTCTCGATATACATATTTCCTCTTCTTGGGCTTCCTGGATAGCTTCGAAAGTTTGTGTGAAGCGCTTGGTGGCTTGAGCACGACCTTAATGTAAACCATGACCGCTTTCACCTTGATTTCCTCGCTTTCCAGCGTTTCCCGTAACCCCTTTTTTTGGAATGTACCCATACCACTTTGCTACCATATTTCCCTTGTAATCTAGATACATGAGAATTGATTTCAATCCGTGCATGTGTTCAAATATCTCTACTCTACCACTTGTAGTTTTTTTTGGGTTTAGACTCCAAGGGTAGTGCTTTGTGTAGTCTTTTGTGCTGCCAGGCCCAAATCCTCTAGTCATCTCATTTCCAGGTGTTTTAGTTTTTGAGCTAGCCCAAGTCTCCAATTGGATTGGTCTAATGTCAAATTGTGACTCGAGTCTGCGGGTGATGAGGTTCTGGCTAGCTCTCCCAGTTTGGTCGCGTCCCTATCAATTGATTGGTCCACTGTCTCTGCTTGTGGCAACCGAAAACCCCTGATTCAAAAATCATCAATTGATTGAGAGTATGACCATGGACATACTACTATCAATCGTCTAGATACTCTATTTGATTAAGCCCAGGTATTCCGTACAGCCTTGGAGAAATACGGAGTTATATTTGGACCGACGTCCTCCCTCATGTCTGGGAATGTTTTAACATTTGAATTGAGAGAAATTCCCTCTTAACTTACAGTTCCAAAGTTATTGCTGTGTCGTTTTTTACAACCCGATACGAAATTCAATGTTCACATGTTTCAGCTGTCCTTACCTAAAGAAGTCTTTCTCATACTCATCAACTACAACATTTTGAATACTTATATTACTCCTTTATTTTCACATTCCAACTTATTCTCCACACATCTAGGAAGCTCGATCAATAGGTACATATAACCATGGATCGCACCGACTAGTTAATTCCACATACACATGTGCTCTTCCAAGGTTCATATATCAGACATTGATACCTACTAGGCAGGTATTCCATTACTGAGCATTATGCACCTTTGAACTCTGTTAATTTGAATATCTCATTTAAGCAACCTTGGAAATTTCCAAGAATCCAGAATCTGACTTATAGAAATCAAAGAATTATTCACATGCTTGCGTTCGTTACATCATGATATTACACGAAGAACTTGATATTCAGACATGATTACGCCATTGACTTAGACTGCAAGGGGCAAAAAGCAAGGCAGGGACGGAAACAGCAAACATCCAACCATTGATGCATGTGGAAGATAATTTGGAAGTAGTAGCAAACGACCACCGGGAACCGACAGCGGCCAGCACTTGAGCGCTTCACCGCATTGAAACACAAGCAGGAAGACAAAGGCCCAAGAAATCAAGAAACAGCACTTGAGCCCCAGATTGACGAAGCCCAAAACCACTTAAGCCTGATTTCTACAAGCTTGAGACCTCGAGACTCATTACCTACATACATACCTAGTGGGTACTAGTAGGTAGTTGAACGAACTGTTGGCCAGGTGATCAATTGAGGTTGGGGGCGCTAGAACGATCTATATGTATCCCTAGTCCACTTGTAGAGTATGGGTTCAATGTCTTGCTCAAGTGCTGACTCAATCCACCCTTCATATCATGTTGAAACCTCAGATTTAGCCCCGTAGATCTAATCTTGGATACCAATGTGGCCTGGAAACAATCGAATTTAATCCACTGGTTCTTACGGATAGTGTAGTGGATAGTTTAGTACGTGTACATTTCGGCCCCCAAAGCCCTATCTGGAGCCTTGTGCGGATAATGTAGAAGAGCTTCGCAAGGTTCCGAGCCCAATCGGCTTGGCCAGCGATGGCCCCGTAGAGATACTAGGCTATGAACACATGAGATCATGCCATGATAAAAAGAAAAATAAACAAGCGGGGATATTTTGGGGTTCGAAATCGGGAAAAATTCAGCGGTGGAGTGTTGGGTTCCTATGATCAGAGTGGGCCATGGAAGACGAGCTAATGTTCTTAGTGTTCTTCCTTCAAACCTTCTACAAATCTCCAATTTGCACATGTGCCGGTGTCCAGGTGGCTTTGCGGGACAGAATAATGGAGAGCAATTCTTAACCTCGCATACTTTGAGAAATTTCCAATGTCAACGGTTTTTTACTTCGAGAATTGTGAACATTAGAGTATTCTTCTTATTGTAATTTGTTAAAGATCTGGCTCGATCCTGTAGATAAATGGGGAATTGGGATAAAAAGACAACGTCAAGTTCTATTAGAAAAATGAAGTCAAAGTTATACTTCAATTCAAGTACATAAGTCGAGGAAATCATCGGAAGTTTTGATAGGACTCCGGACATATCATTGGTGCGCCAAAAATAGTAGACTCCACTTCTCACAACCCTTAGTGGCGTTACTGAGCCCGCTTCCAAGATTAAACTTGACTTCCCACGAGATTTAATGTGCAACTTCAATTTCCGAAATACGATGTTCCAGAGGCCATTGCTTTGATTCTCCGTTACATCGGGCATCCCGAAATTACAAGAATTTCAAAGAGTCAAGACAGTGCAGTCTACAGATGTTGACATACTGAGTATACTACATACTACGTGATATCAGCTTTCTTCCAAGCTTTACCGGCCCCCTTTAGGGCTGTGCTCACAACCGGGGCCAGGGGCTCCATAAAGAAGGTCCCCAGTTAATTTGCATTATTTTAATGTTTTCAATGGTCTGTTCATCGCACTTGTTGTCAGATTGGAATTAGCACGCATCAAGGATCGGGGCTAAAGAGTAGTTCTGTCCAAATCCCCACCATAGATACTGACAACATTGGAAAGCACTCGGCAAAAAACAACACCTGAACACAATGAAGGGTAAGATAACAGAGCTTTTGGGTGGATGTTGGACCTGAAGGCTGGTTGACAAGCCATATTAGGTATCAAGTCTATTGGGCATGATATTATCAAGGCATGTCTAGATACTGTCAATGATTTGCTTAGGGCTCCAACACTTTACTTAGCCATGTGGCGGTGAGAAAAATCCTGCGAACTTATGGAAACAAAGGATTCTATGGATCCTTCTCCATTTACTATGTTCGGGAAGAAGAGAGGGGTTCATAGTGCCCGCCCGCTTATCCAGAGCCACACTTAAGACATCATCGCCCCAAGACTTGGGAAACGAATCCGACACTCCCGCGTCTACCAATCCTTATAAATCATCCCTTTACCCAGAGAGACTGTGTCTTTTAAGTGGTTCAATATCTCGGCAGTTTCTACCGAATACTACACTGAGTTTCATCTCCGGATCCAAGTTTCAAAATTCAACGAGGCCTTTCCCACGCCCCACTATTTATCCTCTACGAGTTATCAAAGCTTCGATTTCTTCGACTTTATCGAAATACCAAGTGCTTTGGCTGCGGGCTCAGGTACTGTGTCTTTAAGATACCCGGCTCAACACTTACAGCATGCCCTTCTGTGCTCTCCTCCAAAAATGTCCACTGGGAATCCAAAAGTATCAAGCTCGCCATAGTGCTCCTATGATAGACTTGTCATCACTCGACGGTCCGCCTATTCTCGATACGAGAAACATTATCTCATCGGGTCCAGTCGACTTCTCATCCTTGGATGGTGGTCCCTTCATCGCCAATTCAGCGACCTGCCTTCCACCAAACCCTACCGTCTCTTGTACTCACGAAGGGCCGCCTACGCCGCAAACCGAAGCACAGTATCATCTGCTTTCAAAGCCTCCCCCCCCAAGGCCAGCCTCCACAGATTCCATGCCATCACGACAACGTCCCAGAGCCGTCAGGCGAAGATCTAGTGTCGATGATGACGCATCGACGAACACCAACCTCAGACGTGCCCCAGCTCGACGAGGCCGAGTGAGCCCTAGCGATGAAAACACTTTGACAGAAGCGCATGGGAATGACGATGATACCCGCCCTACACTTCGACTCTTAACAAACCCGACCGCTCCTCCCCCAAAACGGTCACACACCTGTGATCCTCTTGTCTGGCTGGGAGAAGAGGGCCTGTGGGAGGTACCTCGCCGCTGGCCGTCACGGGCGCCCGGTCCATCTCAAAGTAGTCCACCAAGTTGCAGTCAATACCCTCGCAGGCGATCATCTGTTTCAACTGTGTTCAGTGCCATTCCCGATGGATGGCCAATAAATATGCATCATGGTTGGCCGCCACATCAATTCGACACAGTTCGGGTCCATATCGATAGCGCTTTGGGCGAGTCTCCACCATCATACGAGAGTCACGCTTTCAGTCCCACCTATGTGATGCGAATGCAAGATGGGCCGTTGGTGGGATGGAGTGCTGTCTCACGTCGTGTGCCCAAAGTGCCAGCTTATTGACGGCAGTGATTGACGTCGGCACGAATGGCCCTGTTTTGTTCGACCAAGTCTCAGATTCCCCCCCCTCCAGTTGAGATCTTTGACTGGATAGGATCTCAGACAAAAGGGCGACAAAGATGAACTTGATTCTACCTTGGTAGAACATGACAATTAATACGAATGCCTGGGCGACGAGGCACCGATTTGATACCCCCTCGCTCGTATCTTGGACTTCGGGTCTTTCGGGGACGATCGTGTTTGCATTTTTACATTTTTGATTTTGTTTATTTTTGGAATTTTATTTTTTTCCCTTTTTTTTGGTATTCGAGGGCTTTCTACCTGTATCAATACTATCAATTATGGGCTGGCTCCATGATACACATGCCGCTACGAAGTGAACATATCACGTCTATAATTTACTCCTACAAGTCTTACCCCATGATTTGCTGTCAAATGCACCCCCTCTTTTTTATTTTATTTGTTTTGGTACTTCGGTACTGGGTATGGTTGGGGAGGGGCAGGAAGAGAATATTACCCTGGTGACCTGGTCCAAGTGTCCCAAATGTCGTGTCTGCCATTAGCAAACTGCATATCGGATCCACATCCTCCACCGCTCGTTATAGCCTCGTTATGGTACGTCCAACTGTATTGGCAATAAAAGACCCGAATTGAGGGGGTGATTGAAATGAGAGGCTGGGATCTGATCAATTGTATTCGAAGCTTCTCGAATCCATATCATTTCTATCACATTGGTCCGTTTGATGCAGCGTCATCCTGCGGGAGGATTCGTTGACAGTCGTGTGTCTCCAGTTCTCTTGCGCGCTAACACAGACCAGGAGCTCTCCAGCCTCTGGATTAATTCCTGGGAGTCCACCAGTAATCAAAAAGAAGAAAACAAAGTCGAGGATATAATTGAAAAAAAAGGTGTTGTATTTTTTTTTTCCCTCTTTCTTCAATCTGTTTTTTCCCTTTAACAACTATTCTTCCATCTACCTGTTTCTTTTTTCCCTCCCAATCCTCACTAAAGGCCAGTATCCTACAGTGAATATACGAAGAATAACAAGTATGATTAAGAGTCAAGTTCATACATAACCTTCTTTTTTTGGCATCGGGAGAACCGTGGTTGAGAAGAATCTCTCCCTTTCCTCCCCCCCGATTCGGCGCTTCTACCGCCTTCGTCGTCTTTCGATTTCCAAAGAAAAAAAGGGAAAAAAAGAAAAAAAGAAAAAAAAAAATCTTTTTCCCCCACCCAATGGTCCAACTCGCCCACATCTTCAAAAAGGATAAGGATAAGGAGAAAGAGAGTAAAGACTCGGAAAAATCTAAACCAAAAAAGAAAGTTCCCAAGGACGAATCCGATAGTCCCGTTTCGTCACCACGAACGTCCTTCTCCACCTCCAAATCTCCCAAATCTCATCCCGCTAAATCCCCCTCCAAATCTTCTTCCAAATCACCCACCAAGAACCGATTCTCTCATAGTCGGTCCTCTTCCACATCCACTCCGATCGCTCCTCCCTTCAAATTCGGAACCCGGTCTACCAAAGACCAGGACTCTCATCCTCTCAATCTCCCCCCCGACGAGCTGCGCCGTCGCCTGTCCGCTATGGCGGCCTCACGAGATGACCAACGGAGCTCCATGGACATTGATCCCCAGGAAGCCCAGCAGAAGAACGGTGTGGATACTCAGGAACGCAGTCCGACACCTCCTCCTCACCGTTCAAACTCGGACGCAGGCGAGGCAGACTCGTTCAAGTTGGCCGGAAACAAATTCTTCAAAGATGGCAACTACGCTCGTGCCATCGAGGAGTACAACAAGGGTATGTCTGTGCCCTCACAATGGAAAACTTTCGATACCTCGATTTTTAATTCCCTTTCGCCTCAACACTTGTTCTACATGAGATGTGTCAACTGTGAAACACTAGTTTGCTAAACCTTATTTTTTTTCTTTGTTATAGCCATCGAGATTAACCCCAACTCGTCCGCCTACCTGTCTAACCGCGCCGCGGCTCATATGTCCGCCAAGCAATTCCTGAATGCCCTCGAGGATATTGAGCGAGCCCACGAACTTGACCCCACCAATGCGAAGATTGTGCACCGGTGGGCTAAAATCCTGACTAACCTGGGTCGTCCCGCCGAGTCCCTTGAGGTTTTGTCTCGTGTCCAACCCGCCGCGACCGCTACTGATCGGGCCCCAGCGGAGAAGATGTTGAAGTTCATCCGCCAAGCCGAGGAGACCCTCGCCGAGGACCGCGGTGGCTCGATGGCCATTTTCTGTCTCGACCAGGCCCGCCAAGGTCTCGGATTTGGCGTGAAGGAGCCGCGCAAGTGGACTCTGCTGACTGCCGAGGCGCAGCTGAAGATGAACAACAGCAATTCGCTGGGCAAGGCGCAAGATCTGGCCATCACATTGCTGCGGGAGAACAGCCAAGATCCTGATGCCATGATGATTCGTGCGCGGGCGTTCTACGCCTCCGGTGAGACCGACCAGGCGCTGAAGCTGTTGAAGATGTGTCTTGGGCTGGACCCGGACATGAAGGCGGCAATCAAGTTGTTGCGCATGGTGCAGAAGTTGAGCCGGACAAAGGAGGAAGGTAATGCCGCTTTCAAGGCTAAGGATTACCGTCGCGCTATCGATCTCTGGGGACAGGCTTTGGAGGTGGATCCTTCTAACAAGGATATGAATTCAAAGATCCTGCAGAATCGTGCGCAGGCCTACATCAATCTCAAGGAACATGATTCCGCCATTGCAGACTGTACTGAGGCTTTGCGATTGGATCCCGATTACCTCAAGGCCTTGAAGATGCGTGCCAAGGCCTACGGTGGCGCTGAGAAGTGGGAAGAGGCTGCACGTGACTACAAGAGTGTCGCCGAGAAGAACCCCTCTGAGAAGGGTATTGGAGAGGACATCCGTCGCGCCGAGTTCGAATTGAAGAAGTCCCAGCGCAAAGACTACTATAAGATCTTGGGAGTCGGCAAGGATGCCACTGACAACGAAATTAAGAAGGCCTACCGCAAATTGGCCATCCAATACCACCCTGACAAGAACCGTGACGGCGAGCAAGGTGATGAGAAGTTCAAGGAGATTGGCGAGGCCTATGAGACTCTGATGGATTCTCAGTAAGTTTCTTTTTTTATTTCTCTTGTTCTGCTTTGCAACATACTAACATCTATATCAGGAAGCGTGCTGCTTATGACAACGGTGACGACCTGATGGACCCTGCCGACATGTTCGGTGGTGGTGGTATGGGTGGCATGGGTGGAATGGGAGGTATGGGCGGCATGGGTGGCATGCACGGATCCCATATGAACATCGACCCTAACATCCTGTTCAACATGATGAACGGTGGTGGTGGTGGTGGCGGCTTCGGCGGTGGCCACCAATTCGGCGGTGGTCAAGCTCGCGGTGGCGGCTTCCCCGGCGGATTCTCATTCTAAGAAATCCGACCCCCCAATATTTCTTAAAAATACGACAATACCCTCAAACCCCAGGCCAAGGGATACCAGTTATGAATACTTTTCCCGGAATCATTGTTGAGATCACACGAAATGGTTGGATCACCATATTACTTCGATCTCCCTTCTTGTCGGAGATATTTTCCTCTCCGATGTCGGCCTAAATCGACTACTCCTTGGATGACACATTTTTTACCATCCATGCCCTAAGACGAGAAGACGATATCCATCTATGGTTGGCGAGAAGGTGTGCGGTCACACCTCAATTCTTTTCGCCATGTACTTTGAAGCTTCCTGAAGCAAAATGATTCCCAACGATAGACACCTGTTTTCTACATTGCCTTTATTTACCCCGTTCTCGTTTTTACCTCTTCTTTCCCCTTCTTATTTTCCAATTTTCAATTTCCCATTTTTCAGTTTCCAATTTTTTTACTGCCTCTTTCCCCCCATTTTGAGCTGAGCAGAGCTGCGGTTGTGTACATGAGTACTGGAGGGGATCCAATGAATAAATGACCGCGGTGCATTTTCCTGGACTGGTTAGATTCACCGGATTTGCGATACATCAAACATCATTCTTGGAGTTTTTTTCTTACAAATTTACTCGATTCTCCTAGGGGTTTGCTGCCCTTGAAATGAATTGAAGATTCCTTGCATTCTATGTTCAACTGGTCTGGTTTCACTTCCATAAGTTCGACATTCCATACGTCATGTGAATCCAGGCAGGCATTTGTCCCGAGATCGAAGACTCGTCAATTATGTAAATACTTTGGATCAAGTTCACGGGTATAGATGTTGCAGTCTAATGTATGATTTAGTAGTAGGTAGGAAACCTTGGAATTCAATGTTTTCCACGTGTTGTACTAGATGCTACATAGTTCAGCTCTATCGGGCAGCATCGTCAAGGACAAGGAAACATCCAGCGTTTCCAAGGTTGAAAACTTAAGTTGGAACATTTGAACATTCAAATTTTATCGGGAGACTTCAATGTTGCACAAGAACCAGTCTTCCCTTTCTCTACAAATGGGAATATCTACCTATAACTACCATGTAACCACGAGCGAAGAACAGTGCAAATATAAGAGCGACATCGCTAATTCACTTCAATAATGGTCTGTGCTATATACGTCCCCAACCAACTTAATCATCCACATGCTGGTCAACTGTACTAAAGATTAAAAACAAAGCGTATAAAACATGAGGCATAATGACAAATATGACAGGGGGGAATCTCAAAAAATGTTTGTGGGAAGGCATAACGAATGAATGTACCAGAGAAGAGAGTATGCAGCAAACTCCGCCGCTAATGGGAAACGAAAGTGCAGGGATGAGTGGTAACGGCGCCCAAAGATGAAAGATCAAAAAGTAAAACAAGACAAGGGAAGAGAATCAATCGCTAAAACATGGGAAGACATGTGGTCAAAATAGTCCAAATATGACCTCCTAGCTACCAAATCGTAGGTAGTAAGTAGATAGGAGAATGATGAAAGAAGACCAGTATAGATCATTCCAGTCTTAAATGTATCCAAGGCCACCGAGAACGCTCTTGCACTCTGGAATAGGTAGATGGGTGACGCCTAGGTTGCGAACAAGAGCTCCGGCACGTAGACGCTGGAGACCAATAGCGACCTTCCAGGCCTCTGTATCCTGCAGGACAAAAACATACCGTTTACCCTCTTGATCGCGTATGCTTGCGCGAAGAACATGGAGACCACGGAACTCAGACTGGGGAGCGCGCGCCTCGTTGATCCCACTGGCATTGGCACTGCGAGCGAAGCATGCGCTCGGAGAAGCCAGACGGCAGGTATTCTTGCACACCTTGAGCAGGTTGGTAAGGAATGCGTCGGACTCTTCGTTGGTGGGCACCGAATGGGCACCTGCGCCACGGCGGAAGGAGAACGGGTTGGTAGAGCCTGGCTTGGCGGGCGGTTTGCCCATCTGGGGACACCAGACTTCAGTCAGCTTCAGGGTCCAGGCCTTCACGTCCCATTCACGTTGTCCAACTCCTCGAAGGTCGTCATCGACGAAGAGGCCCTCTGTTGTGATTCGCAGCACAAGCCCGTCGGTAACCATACCCTGACCCGAGACAAGTTGCGAAACTGGGGTCTTCATGAAGGCATTGTTGAATTGGTAGACGCCCTGGATCACAATCTTGTCAGGGTCCTTGGTAGAGTATGCACTGCGGCTTGATGGGGGAGGTGTTGTGCGTGAAGTCGATTGAGATGGCGCATACGATGACTCGGAGTAAGCAGAGTCCCCAGATGCGCCGCCATACGGGCGCCGTGGACGGTCATAGGGCCGAAATGAATAGGCATCGTCTTCCATGGAGTCCACGGTCGTCCTGGCAGTTGGGAAGGGCGGCTGTTGTTTTCTGGGGGACGGGGTCCGAGGAGCACTGGTGGCACTCGCGGGCGCAGCAGGTTTGCTGTTTGCTGCCTTTTCTTTAGCCTCTTGGGCCTTCTTCTCTGCATATCTTTTCGCAGCAGCCTCTTTAAGGGCGGCAAACTTGGCCATGGCCTCCTTTTGCGCAGCGGCCTTTGCAGCCGCTTCTTTCTCGGAGGCTTCTTTGGCAGCCTTTTCTTTTGCTTCTCGTGCCAGCCGGTCGGTTGTTGCCTTTGCTTCGGCAGTGAGCCTTTCGGCCTCGGCCTTGGCTTCAGCAGCCTCCTTTTCATGCTTTGCGCGCGCTTCGGCAACTTCTTTCTCCAAGCGCTCGCGAGCTTCTTTCTCTGCGGCTGCCTTGGCGGCTGCCATTTCTCGTTCAAGCTGCTCGCGGCGTTCCTTGAGCTCCTTTTCCATAGCCTCGCGCTCTGCTGCTCTTTGTTTCTCTTTGGCTTCTTGTTCTCGCTTACGCTTGAACTCATCCATCCTGCGGCGCAATTCCTCCTTACGCTTAGCCTCTTCACGCTCTCGTTCACGTTCCTTTTCAGCTCTCTGCTTCTCCTTCTCCTTCTCCTCCCTCTCTTTTCTTTCCTTTTCTTTTTGTCTTTCCCTTTCCCTTTCCCTTTCTCTTTCCCGCTCTCTTTCCCGCTCCTTCTCCTTCTCTCTCTCCCTCTCCCTCTCTCGTTGCTCTTTTTCTCTTTGCTCCCTCTCTCTTTCCTTCTCCTTTTCCATCCTTTCTTTCTCCCTTTCTCTCTCTCTCTCCTTTTCTTTTTCTCGCTCTCTGGCCTTTTCTTCTTCCGGATTCGGAGGAGGATCGGCGTTATTCTGATGTTGATTGCCAGTATACTGATTACCCGGCTTTGATCCGCCATAGTTTCCACCCTGTTGCTGTCGTTGTTGTCCTGGTCCTCCCCCGTGGCTCTTTTGTCCAGTGCCCTGATTGGCATTGGACTGACTGTTGGAGCTTGCCCCGCCAGCTCCAGGGCTAGCTTCACTCTTTCCACCTCCAAAAAAACCCTCCATCTTCGACTGCGACAATCCAACTAGCCAGCCAGCAAGGCCTACTCCAAAAGCCACAGTGATCATTGCCATGGTACTATTGCCAGTGCCATTGGAGGAGACAGCAGCAATGTACCAAGTCTTGACAGCCGGTGAAATTAGAGACCAGGCTACTACCAATACCATTGTACTTGCGGCGCCTGCGAGGAAGCTGTTGCGGTTGGTCTGCAAGGATGGGAGATATAGGAATCCGGATCCGGAAGAGTGCGGAGGTATAACAAAGATATCGTAGTTCCCTGTCGGCAAGTCCGAGGATTTGCGGTATTCGCCTTCAGTGGTATGAGGGTTTTCGCCATGCGGCGGCGGAGGGGGCGGTGGTCCATCCATAGCGAGGGGATGCGCGCTTCAATATATATGTAGTATGTTTGCGATCGATGGAAGGTTGTTGCGACCAATTCGAGGGTTGAGTGTTCGAGTCGAAGTAGATATTCGATATCTACTTTGTACGCTGCGCGCCGTTTCCTATTACCCCGCCTGCAACAAACGGGCCCCTGATGACTCTCGCCGATTCAAATAACCTGGCTAGTCCTTAGTAGGACAGGTTCTCGGCGCAAATGTGAGTCGATAACCAGGTCATGTTCGTTGAGAGAGTAGATCTGCACTGAGGCCCTAGGCCACTCAGTGCGCGGGAAGCCGTGTCAGATAGGAGTTTCAAAGAAGAAAAAGTATATACGTCAAGAACCAAGAAAAATGACAATTTCGAGGTTCTGCCAGATGATGGAATTGCGAAAATGGTATGGGGGGTCGTAAGAAGAGGGAGTGCCGGAAGTGTTGCTATGGGGGGGACGGTTTGTTTAGGAGAAAGTGGGAGCCGCTAACGATCGGCGGCTCCATGCAGTAAAGACGTGGCCATCACACAGCCAAAAAAAAACAAGGGCGCCTCGGTTCCGATGTCGCGTTGATTGATGTTTTATCGACAAATTCTTTAAGAAATTTGACATCTTTCCTCTTGTCTGAAATGTTGAATTCTTCGCAGGCCACGCGAGGGGAAGTCCGCTCTTTACTGGACAGATTGGACCCTGTGGCACAGCATGCCAGTTTGGTCTAAGCCTTGCTTCATTCCTTTCTTTGAGATTTGAAGTGGCTTTTTTACATTCAAGTGTTCTCTTTCCCAATATTTAAGAGCGCAATGATTTATATTCTGATTGTGCTATTCTATTTCCTTTAATATTCGCCGTTAAAAGGTACAGATAGTAGAAATAGGTGGATTAACCTGTTTGTTTTGGTTTTCCCATATCAGGGATAGCGTCATCTGCTTACCTCAGTCGATCTTCGGGCCTCAGGCAGATCATGCGCCACCAGTTGACGCTTAGAGCCTCGATGAAAGTCTGATTGTTGATGTCTAGTAGCGAGGAGAGGTTGTTGAGAGTCTTATCATGTAGAGATAATTTAAAACCTCAAGTGCTTGGCATACTACTATCTAGTAAAAAAATTCGATGTATGTTAAGAATACGTAGGAAAGTCTTGGAACATTAGATTCCCATACAGAGGTTCAGGGATGTATATGCCCAGGGTATGCAACATTTCCAACATTGAAGGTTGAATACGAATACGTATCAATACAGGCGGGAAGAGTCCTGGCCCAGGCTACAACCGGAAACCGTGTCGACTTTGCGGTCAAGCGTTGGGGCACTAATAGTTTGGACAGTGGGTCCATGGATGATGGAGTCGAGGGGGAAGAACACGGTTTAGTGTGAGATGAAGACACAATCTAGGACTAACGTCAGGCAAGGCAGTCATTTTGACCTCACGATAAGCTTGGAATATATAGGATGCCTAGATAGAGTTAGAAGTTTCGTACAATAAGTGTACGTGACTGTAGGCGCGATAATCAGCCACCGCATCATGCCCACCAGGAGCGGAGGAATGCCCCATGATCGGGGCAGGCGGCGCGCAGCCCTGATCACAGCCATTCGAGTTTCGAGTCACGTCAACTAGTCATGACAGTCGAATTTATAGCCGTCAGAATAGAATTGAGTAAATCGGATAAGAGGGGAGAAAAGTAAACTAGGAGAAATTCCAGGAGATTTTCACATCTATTCAAGAATCTCTATAGTCATGGTTAAGTATGCAAACCTGCAAACCGCAAGGAGACAGGAACCGCAACGTGACCCGCACCCGATGATTGGATCGTATTCCCCCGACTTTCCATCCATTCCCTTCCTTTTTGCATACTAGTAGTCTCCTCCCCGTCTAACCTTGGAAGAGGCTCTGTGTTTTTGGCTTCTAGCTTGCTCGTGGTAGTCAGGCACTACCTCGTTCATTTTTCTACTTCCCCCCTCCCGCCATCGCTGTCCTCTTGGTCCCCCGAACCCTCTATCCCTCCCCGACTCCTATGCTGCGTCGATAGTTTGTACGACTTCATCCACTCCCCTGCCCTTCAAGGGCAAACCCCCCACTCGACACCATGTCTTCCTTTCAATCCCCTTCCCAGCCCTATCAGGGAAATGCCGCGCCGTCTCGCCAATTCGCCGCGTACAACCCGGTCGCCGCCGCTACAGCTCCCGCGGGGACTTTCCTCCCCGGCACCAAGGTCCAGGTGGGCAGCCACCGTGTTATGGTAGAAAAGTATCTCTCGGAAGGTGGATTTGCTCATGTCTATGTCGTGCGACCGCCGAAACCGATCAATGGTGCGGAGACCGCGGTACTGAAGAGGGTTGCTGTACCCGACAAGTCGGCCCTGGCCAACATGCGCACGGAGGTGGAGACGATGAAGAAGCTCAAGGGCCACCGGCATATCGTGAAATACATTGATTCGCATGCTTCTGAACTGCGCGGGGGCGGTTACGAGGTGTTTCTCCTCATGGAGTACTGCGGGGGTGGCGGTCTGATTGACTTCATGAATACCCGCCTGCAGAACCGGTTGACCGAGCCGGAGATCATCAAGATCTTCTCGGATGTGGCTGAAGGTGTAGCTTGCATGCACTATCTCAAGCCACCTCTACTTCACCGTGATCTAAAGGTGGAGAACGTCTTGATTTCGCGGACCGGGGGCTCGCCATGCTATAAATTGTGTGACTTTGGATCCACGGCTCCCCCCTCGACCTGCTGCTACGTCCGCAGCAGAGGGTCGATTGATTGAGGACGATGTGCAGCGACACACAACTCTTCAGTACCGCAGCCCTGAGATGATTGATGTATATCGGAAGCAGCCCATTGATGAGAAAAGCGATATCTGGGCCCTTGGTGTATTTCTGTACAAACTATGCTACTATACGACACCCTTCGAGGAAGTTGGTCAAATGGCCATTCTCAACGCCACATTCAAATATCCTGCATACCCTCAGTTTTCAGACCGGTTGAAGCTTTTCATTGGTGAGTTTGAGATTCTTCAAAGGGCTTAAAGCAGGACTTGTGTGACTGATTTCTGTAGCGTCGATGCTTAAGGAGCTTCCTGAAAAGCGTCCAAACATCTATGAAGTGGTGAAGGAAGTTTGCAAGATGCAAGGAAAAGAAATTCCTATTCGAGATGTACGTTCGGCTTCGCTATACAACATCATGGTTGAAATACTGACCTGTCTATCCGTCTAGATCTACTCCAATCGATCAGTTTCTGAGGCACGGAAATACCAGGAGTTGCCTCCTACGCCCGTAGAGGCCCCTGCAGCGGGCGCGAAATTCACCCCTCCTATGCAAGAAACGCAAATTACTATCCCCGAGATTGCGCCGATGCGAAGAGGTCGACCCGTGAAGCCCCAGTCCCAACACGACTCTGCTAAGCCGAGTCCTTCTCCGTACCGTGGCTCTTCCAATACATCCTCCGATCCGTTCGCAGCTTTGGATGGGAATTCCCGGAAGAAGAAAGTTGCAGACGAACTATCCAAACGATTCCCCTCACTGGAGCAATTTGACATCCTGCACGAGACAGGCGACAAATTCGACTTTGAGCCGACTTCGAAGGAGTCTAAGCCCGAGGATGAAGAGCTCTCGCAGAGACTCACCAATGCTTTGGCTGATAATGCCTTTGCTCGCAGATCTTCTCCTGAGCGGCAAGAAGTTGCTGCCGGACGGCAATCACAGACATCGCCTGTCCGAACACCCAAGCCACAGGAAATACCCATTCGGCAATCAACCCCATTATACCAGCCTACTCCTAAGCGACCTGCAATGGTTTCAACGGGTACAATGACCTCACCTGCTCAGACTCCTCGTCTACAAGAGCCGAAGTTATCTAGCCGCCCTATTCACCGATTCCCTCCCCCAGAGGAGCAACGGTCTGCAAGTCAGCCGTGGTCTCAAGAAGAGCAGAAAGCTCCGTCGCCCCCATCTTCGAATTTGAGGCTAGAGGCTAGCCCACGGCTGTCATCTGACCAGTTTTCCCACCAGTCGAACTCTGCACGCCCTTCTATGGAAGCACTGCGACGAACTACAACGCTAGATGTGAATGAGCCTGCGGCGAGATCGAGATCTGCGATTGGTAAAGCTCGCCCTGTGTCAGTCCAAGCCTCGGCGCGATTCGAAGCGACGCATGACCACGAGGCTTCACGTTCGTCCTTGGACCTCTCACGCTACGAGGGTGGGGCACCAATTCGCCCTATTCGTACGGAATCGGACCGCGAATATGACCAGCCCAACATATCGTCGGACGTGGATTACCTACGAGTGAAAGAGGAGGAAGAGAGCAACCGAAAGCGTGAGAAGCGGGCTAGCACTGGAGCCAAGCACAGTAAGCGCAGTAGCTTGTCCACCCTGTCCTTCTCTGGAAGCAAGAACTTGTTTGCAGGACGGTTCGGTGATGCATTCCGGCGTTTTGAGAGCAGCAACCCGGAAAAGCCTACGACTCCATCAACAGAAGAAGTTCCCTCTCAACAATTCATCAGCAGCTCGGAAAGCTTGGACTCACCCACAGATAATTTCTCTCCATACCAGGATGATCCTCTAGATGACCTGGAACGCGACGACATCTCCCCAGAGATGCGTCGTGAGCTAGAGCGCCGCCGCCTTTCCCTAGAAGAGAAGCGGGTAGCTAATGCCGCAGCTGAATATCGGCGCCGGGTCGCTGAAGAAGGGGGCGGTAGAGCTGGTGCTGACGGACCTCGGTCTCGTGTGATTCAAAACAGAGTCCAGACATTGCTCGGTGAGACCCAGAAGCCGGCCGTTCCCAAGTCCGCAACTGGCTATGGGAAATACACCGACACCACTGCTTTGCAGGCAAAGCAGGATAGTGTGAAATTCTCGAACACTGGTACACTGCCCATTTCCAAAATTTCCAGTCCCGTCTACACTAGAAATGAGGCAGTTGCTTCGGCTCCTCCCGATCGTCGAGAGGCAGCCAACCCCTCTGTTGGACTTCCACAATCTGCTACCTCTTCGTCTACGCCACGTCCCTCAGCGTCACGTCCACCTGCGCCACCTAAGCCGAAGAATCTGCGTGTGGGTACAAACGAGAGCTCCCGACCAGGCACCAGTGCCAGTCAAGATCGCAGTCCAGCTTTCCAGCAATCATCGGCGGGTCCTGGCGGGGAAGACTGGGAAGCCAATTTCAGTCGGCGATTCCCAAGCCTCTCTGGCATCGAGATGGAGACGGAAATTGAAATCCCCAAATTCCCAAAGCTGCGTACTCGGGAAGTGTAAAGAGTTGTCGATAGATGTGATTTTAGTGTGTGCACTTTAGCGTGTTCTGCCCATACGGGGCGTGTCTTGGCCTCGGGAATGTATGATCGTGTACGGTGATGCATATATAGACAAGTGACATATTGGACTATCGGGATACTTTTTACCAAGTATTTTGCTTTTCGTAACCTGGAGATGCTCAGTGTGATTCAAACATGTTCCGTCCTTGCTTCCTTTACTTCCTGCTTATCGCGATAACGCGCCCTCTCTTATTCTCACTCACACCGCCCTCTACCACCGCGCAACTTCATCGCGCCCACTAAGACTGGAACAGAATTATACGTACAAACTTGCCCTCATGGCTCCAGTTACACTGAAGACGGTCGATGGTAAGTCAGACAAAAGTTCCGACAACTAAGCAAAGCTAAAACAGTGATTCTCAGCCGAACTTAAGGATGCAATTCAGCACCTTTTCGAAATCCAATCCGCCGTGCACGGCTACCTAGGCCCAGAGACCCAACAAGAATTGGTGCGCAAGATGTATGTGCCGTAAACCGTTTTACAATGCCGCTTTTGAGCAACCGAGACTAACAGTCTCTCAGCAAAAACCTCACCCTTACCCTCTCCACGCTGGCCAGCCACGCCGAAGATACAGAGACCGACGGCCAATCCAATGACCCCTCCAATCCCTCCCTTGCTAGTGTCCAGCTTCCACCAGAAATTATCGACTATGTGGACTCCGCACGTAACCCAGACATCTACACCCGTGAATTCGTGGAGCTGGTTCAGCGCGGAAACCAGGATTTGAAGGGGAAACGCGAGGCTTTCGCTGGGTTTCGGGATGTTCTAGCCCGCGAGATGCGAAGCGCCATGCCCGAATGCCGCGGCGAGGTTGATCGCGTAGTTACTGCGACAGGAGGCACTGTAGATCGCGACGCTGGAGCTAGTGCTGGAACCGCGCAGGGACAGTAAGAGTGCAGTATCACATTCGATGATCAATTCGAAAGCGGGGATTGCAAGCAGGTATCTAGTTTGATTCCGTCATTCATTTCCTACCGGCTTGCTTTTACTCAGCGATACACCTTGCCAGTGGCATGACAGGCAATATCAGGAAACACAAGAACATCAGACGATACCGGCTATGGAGGATTCCGTTGACCCCAGATCTCATCTTAGCTACTTGCTGCTATTATGGGAATGGAAGCAGACCTGGTCAACTGCTTGATTACTTGGCCACGCCACGAGTTGCTTAATTTCAGCCGGATGTCCAAAGCTCATCGCTTCAACGGCTCCCGAAGAGCGATGGGCCACTTCTGCGAAGTAGACACCATGCTCCAGACACGAGAGACAAAGGAGGTGGCTGGCAGACTCATTTGGTTCCGCACGGCTTCATTTTGATAGAGAAGGGGACCGTCAATTTGCCAACATCCAGTTCCCTGTTACAACCGTGACCTGGATGCCGCTGTCTTGTTCTCTGGGCGCGTCACAGCAGACGATATCACTACGACCAGATAGCAACACTCAAAGGCTAGACATAAGCTACTACTATATCCAGTGAGTAACGTGATCTCCTGCATATATGTGCTATTGCATATTTCATTCTCTGGGCTGGTCCAAATCTTCCTGTTCAGATATAACATTACGAAAATATGCACAACTTATTAGCGTTTCAAAGCTTATCGGAAAATTAGCATAACGTTCTGTTTTATCCATGAAAATCCCATACATCCCCGAAGATTTCCCCTCCACGGAAAAGGCAGTTGTGGGCCTTTAGCGCCTGCATGTAGACAATTGATTTGTGCTTACCACGTTCAATCCCTGCTTCGTTGTCTCATTCTTTCTCCTACATCTCTCCGTGATACAAATTGTTTATGCGCTTTTTTCTCTTTGCGTGTTACATAAGCTCCCTTCGCCAAAAGACAAGACACATATGGAGTATCGCCAATACCCGCGAGAAGAAAATGGGTGTCCTGGGTATTCCTTTGATACTGTACAGCATCGGGACTATCTAGGTGGGAGGGGTAGGTTCTTAGTCACCCAGAGATCAAAATTCAAGCTTGAGGACCAACACATCCATCATTTCTTTCTAGCATATAATTCACTGGATATGGAAAGTTATTTACAATCTATATTACCACCCTCTTGCTCGGTTTCCGGGCCCTGCGCTTGCCAAGATAAGCAATGTGTGTTTTCCAGCGAGGGAAACCTCGAAAGTCTCACAGATGAAAACAACTTGAAGCTGACGGAAAACCAGGGACCGTACTGTGCTTGGCTCTTGAGTGGTCGTCAGCCATATACGCTTCTTGGCCTCCATCTCAAATATGGTAAATCGTCTATAGAACATCCAGGAACCGAACTAGCTGAAAGTTAACCGGATTTTAACCATGATTAATAGGCCCCGTTGTGCGCACTGCCCCAAACGAGCTGTCATTCAATACAGCACAATCATGGAAAGACATACATGGGTTTCGCCAGGGTCACCAAACATTTATCAAAAGTGATTTCTACGATTGAGGCAGTTTTGCCGATCGAGTTCACTCCATTGCCAGCGAGCGTGATCCCACCGAACACGGCATTATGCGAAGATACCTTGCGCACGCCTTTTCAGACCAATCCCTCACAGAATAGGAGCCTCTTATCGCCAACATCATCGACCGATTTGTCCAGCAAGTTGGGTTGAAGGGGCCAAAGGGATTCGATCTGGGAAAAGGATTTGAGATGATGACTTTTGACATTATCGGGGATTTGGCATTTGGAGAGACATTCCGCGGCGTGGAAACTTGTTAGCAATCAAGCCCTCCCCAAATCTATGAATGAGGGATATCTGCTAACATAGCCTATACTCATAGTTGAGGTTCATCCCTGGGTCGCTATCACCCTGGGCGCCCTGACCCAGGGTGATGGCCGACGTGTTTAAACGATTTCCTACCGTGGGCACCATGCTCAACCTTTGTTTTCCGAGTAAGATTCGCAAGCTCACCGAACAGACCCGACAGAATGAGGAGCTGGCGACCAGCCTCGTGCAGAAACGCATTCATTGGAAAACCAATCGCAAAGACTTTTTGACCCAAATCCTAGAGAAGCGCGATCCCGAGAAGGTCTCCGATTTGCAGCTCGCGGCTCATTCTTCTGATTTCGTGTTGGCGGGCAGTGAGACCACGGCGACGACTTTGTCGTGTATCATGTACTACCTTCTTCGAAATGAGGCGGCAGCGTTCGCATCTTACGAAGATATAACGGCGTCATCCACGCTATCTCTCAAGTATCTCCATGCGGTCATTCTCGAGGGACTACGCATCTATCCTCCATTGCCCATCGCGCTTCCCCGGGTTGTGCCTAAGGGCGGTGATACGGTTGATGGCCACTTCTTGCCTGAAGGCGTATGTTTGATATGGATCATTCCCTTCGGGCTCAATAGCTTTGCTAAACAGCCAATAGACCATTGTCTCCACGAATCCTCTCGCTTGCAGTCTCGATCCCATCAATTTTGCGCAGCCGTATTCGTTTAATCCAGAGAGATGGATTGGAGCAAATAAAAGTGATATATTAGATGCTAGTCAGCCATTTCCCCTCGGAACAAGAGGCTGCTTGGGTCGCCAGTAAGTGTTTCTAGATTCCTAGACCAAGCCCGGCGTCCCTCTCTTCGCAGCTGATCAAGACAACAGTCTAGGGTGGATGGAGCTACGGACGACACTAAGTAAACTGCTGGTCTCGTATGATTTTGAGCTACTGGATGAAGACTTGGATTGGCACAAAGATTCGCAGATGCATACCTTGTGGCAAAAGCCCCGCTTGCCGGTTCGGGCCGTTTCTCGAAGCATGTAGCAGGCCATAGGGAAGTTCGGGACTTCAGAGGATTACATGTGTCCACATTTACTAGACTCAGCAAAGATTTGTGAAAAGTACTTGAGTAGTAAGCATGTTTCGCTAGTTCACCATTTTCCAATAATATTCTCCAAGGTTTTTCGACCTTTGTTGTCTAGATTCGGGTATTGTCGTATACTGCAGTGCGCATTTCCGTCCAGAATGCCTTAGTATTTTCATGCCCTTCGCCCTGTAGACTTAATCGCTCCTGGAACAACCTTTTCCATTCAACATCCATCTCTGTAAATCCAAAAGAAGCAGAAACATACTCATACCAAACAGGAAAGAAGGCAGCATACTCCCAGTCTAGTATACTAACAACCTTGCCGTCTTGGACCATGATGTTTCCTAAATTGAGATCGCAGTGAGTAAGAACATAAGGCTCGCACTTCGGTAGGCGCATCTTCAAGCTCTGTAAAACTTGCTGAGGGAGGTGAGAAAGTTTGAGGGCCAGCGCATCCCAGAGCTCTTGGTCAGAGTGAAACGGTCCACGGGGCTCAAGATCAGAAAACAGTAAGCCTGGGTAGCATGGGCTTTGATCAACACACTGAATTGCGCCTGAAGTGACTTCTCGTAGCTGCTTTCGCACTTGGACAATTTGGTCTGCGATATCGATTTTTTGGGATTCTGACAAAGAAGGCCATGCCTCCTCGAGTGTCTGTCCATCGACCCGTTCGTTTAGAACGAAGTACCGCCCATTTCGATCGACCCAGTCGCGTAAAACCTTAGGAACGGGTATGTCGGTATTTTCGGCCAGATAATTCAGTGTTTTCACTTCCACTTTCGCTTTTGGGCCCTCGTCGGGCCGGTCTTTCAGAATCGCATCGGATCCGATGGACCAGACACCCAGTTTTGATGCGCCGTAAAAAAGTTTGACGTGGCTCTCGTAATGGCAATCGTTTTGTTGTTTCGCGGTCCACCCACAGGCGACACAACCCTCATGCTTTTCAGGAAGTTTAGCCATAGATAACCTGGGAGGAAAGATTTGAAAGATTTTGAATAGGAGGAGAGATGAACTGATGTTATAAAGCTGAGGCTGAGGCCTAAGGCGCCACCTAGGGTGATATATCACATGTTGGCGCGCTGACGCGCCGACTTTCCTTTTATCATTTCTCTTCTACTATAAACCTTACTTATCTCCGTTCCCAGATACTAATTACCCACGCAGAATCGCTAAGGAAATCTAAGCTATAAATATAGTAATGCAACCAGTTTCCACATCCTAGTACTTGCCAACTGTATCATTATGATGCAACAACCTTTGAATATAAAAGTTTCTTGAGTCATGTCCAGAACCCCGTGATGTGTAAAGTGGTTAATGACATCATCTCTATATGCTTAGCCAACCGTAAACAAAGTGCTTCTCTCTTGAACTGCCGTCTTCTTTCTCTTTTTTCTCCAATCACCCACAGAAGGATATTCAAACCCCGTACATGATAGGTGATTCTTCTTGAGATATCTGATCATGATGATCTCGGGGATTTCTTGAGCTTGGACATGAGATGTTAGTGGCAAAGTCTCTTGAATGGGAAAGTCGGTGCGGTCGGGGGATAACGGGGGCGATGAGCCGCTCTGACATATACCCCTGTTGCCCTGTTGCCCTGTGTGGGGTATCAACAGTGTCTTTGTCGCGTCCGACAGTCCAATGTCGATCGATCCTTTCAAATGTTATTACCAGTAACATTTGGATTTCCGCTTTAAAGTTTCAAAAGTTGGTTTTCAATCTCCGGTCCACAGAGTCCTCACCGAGTAAGGGTATCGATACAAGGAGAGGAAGAGAGAAAACATAAGTAAAGATTGCGGTGAATAGGAAAGCCCTGGGTTCCAATGATAGCTTTTTCTTTTCTTTTTTGTGGTGTTTCAGACCGGAACACAAGAGATCGTCATGCCGGTGACCCATGATTGACCGTGTCCACTCCACTCATTGAGAGCTGGGGTCGCGTGGAGACCAATCCGGGCCTGTAACCGAACAAACCACTTGGAATACAACATTTTAACCTGCATGTGCATGAAATGGGTACTGAGTCACTACTGACCGAGTCGATGGGATCCGATCAAGCGGCTCTATAGCCCCAGATTGAGAACACGTCCATGACTTTGGATCCTTGTCAATGTGATGGCTGCAACGCCATTCAGACCTGTGGGAGCAGACCGCTTTTTCCCCCGGATTTTACCGTTTGTTACGGTTTGAGGCCTGTTTTGTGGTGATTTGGTATTGGACCCCATCTATTCCAGTATTTATGTGATGATGAGCTATAAACATCTGAAGAATCACTGATATAGTGGTTGAAGCGTAGGGAGATGAATATGATCCTTGAATTTCTCCTTTTTATTTGTCAAATTCGATATCTCCCGAGAAACAAAAAAAAAGCCTTAGTGTTGAAGAGCCCACACTTGATCCTTGCGCTAAAGCCGTGTTTAGTTCACGCCACGCGTTTCCGGGGGACAAAATGGCTGAAATGGCTGAAATAACAGGTATGGTAGGTACAAGAAGTACGGGAAATACAGCTGACATTCATTCATAAAAATTCACCGCAATTCCGTATATACTACCAGTACTCAAAAAGCCAAGTTTGAAGCCTCGAATTCTGCATAAATGAAGATAGGTAAGAGAGAGAATATTATACTATAATCTTGACTCGAACAAAGAATGCTGGAATCATCTCCAATAGAATACAGAATACAGGAGAATACAATAAAAAATAAAAATAGGATCTCTTAGGCGGCTCATTTCCGATCTGTCAAGGTCCACATTGACCTTTCATTGTTACGCCCCCCGCAGCCCTGCGCCCCAAGCCTTCTTTCACCCCCACAATATCCAATTCCATCTTTCCAATCTTACCTGTTTCCTGTTTCCTGTTTCCTATTTCCTGTTTCTCTATCTCTATATCTCTATATCTCTCTCACTCTCGCTCTGTCTGATACCCTATTATTATTCTCTTCCCAGGTCGCAGCATGCACCCTAATAACTGTCAGTCATGGTTAACATAACCGCCGCCGGCGAGGGTATCACCGGCGGCTATAGGGGCAGCTCACTGGGCATACAAATCACTATCGCCACTCTCGCAGGTGTGACTTGGTACAATGCCTTTGAGCTCGTCACTCTTCTCTTCGTCACTTTCTCCCAATATCGGGGTCTGTACTTCTGGAGCTTACTCATTTGCTCCATTGGTCTAGTCCCATACTCACTGGGATTCCTTATGAAGTTCTTTGATCTCACCTCTGCCAAATGGTTGCCCGTTGCACTCCTTACCATCGGGTGGTGGTCTATGGTGACGGGCCAATCTGTTGTCTTGTACTCACGCCTTCATTTGGTAATATCCAATCACCGAATCCTACGACGCGTTCTAGCCATGATCGTGATCGACGCTATCGCGTTGCACATCCCAACCACCATCTTAACTTTCGGCTCCAACCTGGCCAACCCCAATGACGCATATATCCGGGGATATAACGTGATGGAGAAGATACAAATGACCGGGTTCTGTATACAGGAGTTCATCATCTCCGGTCTATACATCTGGGAAACGGTGCGCATGTTACGACTCGATCCGGACCGCGCCAAGCGCAAGATCCAGTGGCAGCTCCTCACTATCAACACCATAATCATCATTTTGGACTTGGGTCTTCTGGTGGCCGAATACATGAACTACTATATCATGGAAACCATGCTCAAGGGCGCCGTCTACAGCATCAAATTGAAGCTTGAGTTCGCCGTCCTCGGCAAGCTCGTTCACTTGGTCCACAACCATGTCTGGAAACCCGAATCCTTCTCCGGGCCTGAGAACCTCCCTGATTTTGTCGATGCGACTCGTGTTCCCTCCGACCTTACCCATGCCGCTCCAACGTTGCATCCCCGATCTCCGGACTGGATGGACGCCGACGATATCTCGATCGCCATGTTTGAGCATTCCCCTCCTACCAACTCCTCTGACGCATCTAGCGATAATCGTACCGTTCATCCTAATGACTTTACAAATCCCTTTATCCGATATCAGCGACACTCGTCTCGTATGTCTGAAAAGCCACAGAAAGCAGGGTAAAGGCGCGGGCTTGATGTGCAGTTTTCCTCGACTTTTTTTTTCTCTTCTTTAACGAATCACGACTTACGAATGAGATGCACCACCGTCCTTGTGGCTACTCCTATTATATTTCACCACCACTTTATCTGACCTCCGAAGCACCTCTGCGATGAGGGGTACACATCCCCACCTGCCTTATTTCTCCAACTATTTCTTCATCCGGGTTCCGCGTCCGACCCCGAAACCTCTTCAGTATCCTTGCCTAGGAATGCTTCTATACCTGCTCTGGAATTATGAATAAGCCAGATTTAAGTCGGCATTGAATGCATAGCTATGGAAGGATCTGAGAAATCGAGCTTTTATCTTGGCTCCTTTTTGTATATACTATACTACATACACACACATACGATACCTGTCCAGCAGAAGAAGCTCTGTGGAGCCGCGTTCTAATTTTTATTTTTTATTCTTACATCATATACCAATTTTTTTTTCGTTTTTCAAATATCAATTCCAACTGAACACTAAGCATTGGATAGGAATTTGTCTATGGATTTCTTTGTTCGCGACAGGCATAAATCCGAAGACGGATATAGCGTGTATATGACGATGAAACTAAGCTTAATGACAATTCGACGCTGCACGTTCCTTTAGTCTCATATTTAACTACCTTCCGAGTTTGGTAAACAATCTTCACACCGACGTCGATGGCGCGGAGAAATATCGGGAACCATGAACTTTCCACATTTCAACTCCACATTCCCCGTGGGGTAAAAAGGAAAATGCATCCGGGGTCACTTTTCTCCATGGATCCATGTCTATGCTCATATCATTCAAATACCTAGGTATAATCCATGATCGAGCTTGCTATCCCCATTGCGAGATTCATAGCATCATTGCACCATGAGAAGTCGAATGAAGCTCACCCTACTGAGCATAACGGCAACTGCCGCTATAGCGAGTGGTGATGTAGTAAGTGGCGCTATACTAACTTATCCCTCCATTCCATTATACTGACCAGGATTTTTTCCAGCATCTTCAGTCTCGTTCCGCTGCACCAGTATGCAGCGAGTCAGCTTCGACATTGTCTCTTAGTGACCCGCCCTATACCAACTACTTCTACTCCGACTGCAATGTCGCCGCCCAGGCAGTGGTCACCACTCCTTCGTCGGACAGCAATCTATCTACCATCAGTCCACGTCTACTGATTGCCTGGCCCGCGGGTAATAGCGGTATATGTGCATACTTTGCGCCGCAGAATGGCGTCAACGGCACACTATCCCTTGAACTGGTAAACTCGACAATCGGTCAGCCATTGGCACCTGTCTATAATGCCTCAGCATCAGCAAGCACGTACCCAAATGTCGGGGTCCAGGGCATCATACGCTTAAACTCGTCTGCAACCCTCTCCTTACCCATCCTGGGAAGTATCCGCACAATCCGCGATTTCGTAGAGGGTGCGAGTATCGTCTACCCGAGTATCCAGGACGCCATCGAGTACACCTCCAACAGCGACGGAAGTGCCTCGCTCCAGCGGCTTTGGCTCGATAATCTCACTACTTCGTCTATCTCTTTCTATCCATGGGCTAATGGCACCAGCGCCAATGGCGATGGTAATGTCACGGTTTCGAACCGCACTTTGAATTTTGAGGCAGGCGAGTATTTGTTCACGGCAGAAATGAATTACCCACAGCTGGAATCGTTGAAGCCAGATGCTGTACTCAATAGCCAGTCTGCGAATCTCACTACCGAGATGCCCGACCAGACCACTGCACTCTCATTTTTGTCGTACTCGGAAAAACTGCTTGCAGGGGCTTGGCGGTTTTTGACGTATTTCGGGCGAGACTCGATGATTTCCGCCCTTCTGTTGGAGCCTGTTCTAAGCACTGGAAATGGGACTGCTATGGAGGCTGTTATAGGTGCGGTGTTGGAGCGTATTAACCGGACCGATGGGAGTGTTTGCCATGAAGAAACTATTGGGTAAGCTGCTTTTCACATATTGCCTATTTATGGGAAGCACCATTACTGATTCTTGTCAGTGACTATGCAACTTGGACGAACTTGCAGGATAATATCACCAGTACTGCTATGGTTTGTAGTTATATCATGGTAGGTATACCCCTTTCCTCACTACGCTTGAGTTGGGGTTTGTTTGCCGATACTCTATTGTAGATTGGTGCTCTAACGATATTGTAGGTCGACCCGGACTACTACCTACCCGTCTTGATGCAGAGATACTTCTTGGAAAATCCAACTGGCCAAGCTCGAGCCTCAGCCTTCTTCAAGTGAGCATATTCCAAGTTGTTTTTTCTTATCTCGAAGTGCCCAATCTGACATCACACTCCACAGCACAACGGCAGGATCTATCAACGCGGCGAACCAAAACCTGACCTGGGGCCAACTAGCCCTCATAAACGCCGAGCGCATTATGCGTCTTACAGGTCCATTTGCAGAAAACCAAACGAAAGATAATCTGATCCATCTAAAAGACGGGCAAATTGTTGGCCAGTGGCGAGACAGTGAATTTGGTATGACACATTCTCTGTTTTCACATTCGAATCAACGACAGAAAAGAAAACCGCAAAGAACTAACGTAAAAAGGCATCGGAGGAGGCCGTATCCCCTTCGACGTAAACACAGCTCTCGCCCCAGCAGCTCTCCGCTCCATAGCCGCGCTTTCTCGAAAGGGCATCTACAAAAACAAACCCCAATGGGGCCAATTAGCAGACAAATACGCCCAAATCTGGGAGGACCAAACGCTTCAATTCTTTGAAGTGACCATCCCCCAGTCCCAAGCCCAAACCTTGGTCAAATCATACACAAACGCTTCTTCCTTTGCCGGACCAGATCAGTCCTCCTCAATTGACACAGACGTATCATTCTACTCTATATCTCTGGATGGTTACAATAATCTCTCCAAGGTAAACGTGATGCACACGGACGATTGTTTCCGCCACTACCTCCTCAACACAACAAACGACACCCAACTCTCCTCGCTCCTCAATTCCACCGCCACCAATATCCGGCGCACGTTCCCGGCAGGCCTGATGACTGATGTGGGGATGTTGGTCGCGAACCCGGCATTTGGTGAGGACGCCGTTTATGCGCAGAATTGGACGACGGGTGCGTATCATGGCACGGTTGTGTGGTCGTGGCCGCTGGCTATGATGGCGAAGGGCTTGGAGCTACAGATGGGGCGGTGCGAGGTCACTGTCAATTCATCTACGTCTACTTCTGTGAAGAAGAAGGCAGCTGTGCCAGATTTTTGCACGGATAATTCTGTCTTTGATAATGTGAAGGCTGCGTATAATGCGCTTTGGGATTCTATTGAGTTGAATGATGATCAGCTCTCGACAGAGATGTGGTCGTGGGTTTACAAGGATGGGGCATTTCAGGTGACGCAGTTGGTGGATTTGCCGGCACCCCCTGGGGTTGGTGGTCAGACTGGTAAGTTCAGGTTCTTTTTCCATGTTCATGCTCTTTGGGTTTTGTGCGTGGGTTTGTCATTGTGCTTATTATATTTAGAATCCGATATCCGGCAGCTTTGGTCGCTTGCATTCCTGGCTGTTTCGAGGAATAAAAATTATCAATAAGGGACGGTGGGCAGTCTAGAACCTTGGAATGACAGCGATATGCAGTTGATACATACAAGACTCTTCATGTGTCTTTCAATCTATTAGGTCGTCAATTTCAGAACAAATTGTATACGTATGAGACAATGATATTTGGTCACTCGAGACAAACAATTGAACACAATGACTTCAGGCTAGATAGAACAAACCGTGAGATTATGCAGTCACCGAAAGAATGAGTAGTGATATGAGTATGGCGTACATGGAGTAAACAGATACCCTCCCAATAAGGAAAAGATCCAAAAAAAAACACGACCCTAATAGAGATATAGGGGTTAAAAGGGGGTTCCTCAACCCAACCACATCAAACAGCAGCGAGCCAAGTTCACTGCAATTGCCCAGTGCTAGACCGCTTCAGCTCGAACTTCCGGTATCCCTCCACAAGGCCATCAGTCAACTTGGTCGCAGCCACCCAAGAAGGAGCATACGTTCTCAACTCGTCAAGGGCAGGGATAAGACCGGGGGTGTTGATGTCACTCCATATACAAGAGACACGGCCAGTGATAGAGTCCGAATGATCGGCAAGGGTGGAATCCGCTTGAGCGTCAGGGAAGTTAACATCCACGGTCCACTTGTTCTCCCAAGTGCGGCTCCAGAGGCGAATTTCATGGATACCATCTTGAGATGGGTGCAGGAAGCGGTTGTCAGGCTCTGAGCCACCGAGGACATTGAAATTTGTGATTGGGTGACCGTCCATAGTGATGCGACAGGAGCGGGTGTTCTGGCCTGAGATTACAAAGCGCACGGAGGATTTGCCAGTAGATTCTGTGGAGAATGAGACCCATTCCGAGGATGGAGAAGGCGAGATATCAGAGCCATTCTCATTAGGAACGACGTGGGGCTCTGGGCCGTTCCAGGAGCACTGCGTACGTTTAAGAGCTTCACTCCAAGCACAGTCCGCGTGACCCCCTGCGCTAGGTAGACCTTGTACCACGTCTTCCACGAATGGAAGCATGCCAGTCAGGTAGGCGGTTGAGTTTCCTTGATCCAAGTCGACTTGCTGCGAGAAGTACAACTTAATGCGATTGGCATCTGAGAATGGGAATGCGACAAGGTTGTAGATGAGGGTTCCAAGTAGAACAAAGAATAGGAAAATTGGGATGTGGTAGGTGTAGCGGTGGATGAATGGCAGCATCGGCATGAATAGCACGGCTGTCAAGCTGGCGATGGCCATGTACACAAACAGCTGGGGGTTGCCATCTTGACCCGTTTGGTGAAGAGCGCTGGTCAGCAATAGTGAGATCGGGGCAATGAGCATCAAAATGATAGGGACCGTGACGAGCAACTGCAGGATCCAGGTCCAGCTAGGCATCGAGGCACTCCACGATTGCTCGTGCCCATAAACGTTGGGATCATATTCCTCTTGCTCGTCTTCGTTGGCATGACCACCAGCGACAGTGACGTAGTTGGCGAATGTAGTCCGTTGCGGGTTACGAAGCAGGGAAGTCGATTCCGTTGGTTCCGCTTCAACTTCATCCTCATCCTCGTGTTCGTCTCCGGAAGATGTGCCAAGTCGGCTGCCGAAGCTGCTGGGTCGGCGAGAGCTCTGGGCGTGGGCACCAATGTACTCTGACTTTGAAGGAAGAGAGAATAGCTCCAGATAGGATATTAAGGTTGCCAAAAAGGTACCTGCGAAGTAGAAGAGCATAAAGTAGCCACCAGCGAGGCCTTCCTCGTGTACATAAACAGTGGCAACAACCAAGAGAGCCCAGGTTAGAGCAAACAACCAGGTCCAGGTGTATACGCGGTGGAGTGCAGATGGTCGCGAAAAGTCGGCAACACAGGACACGAACCAGGCTAAGAAGACCCATGCAGAGACCATCATGGCCCACACAGCGTATGTACTACTATGCACAATAAAGGGGTTGACTTTCGTGACCAAGTAGGCCAATCCCACGGTGACACTTGAGGGGATGGCAAGAAGGAATGGGAACCGGAACAAGCCGCGCAGACCTCCGAGCGGCACTGTCTCGTCGCCAGTATCCAATTGCACAGAAGAGCGGAAAAGATACATCTTATCAGCCTTAGACAGAGCAACACTTGTAACCAAGAGCGTCAAGGGAGCAACGATCAGCAGAGTAACCGACAACGCGAAAAGCGTATGCATACGGAACACAGCAAATGTGCTGCCGAAAAGATCAAACCATACAGCCTTTGTACCCGTGCCGCTCGGCACAAGGCCATCGTCCCGGATATGGCCATCGTATCGGTCAGTTGAGTCAGAAACCAGATCCTCAGTTGAAGCAACAGCAGCAGAGAGCATGTGCCACACTGAGGCCATGCTAGTATGCCGGGAGTCATCCTGATCGGTATGGTATCTAGCCCTAGGTTCAAAGAAGGCGACATCCAGTCCCCGCAAACCCAGCATGCCCTGGAAGACGACATAATCGGTCTGACTCTTGACGAGACCACTCTCGAAGCCGTTGGCACTCAATACCGATCCGAAGGGATACTTCGATTTCGCATAAGACTGCGTAACCTCTGTGTCCGAGCTCCGGAACAACGTAGCACGACCGCCAGCACCCGCTCCCTCAAGGTTGACGAATGTATGCGCAAACTTGGCCATCGGGTGCTGGCTGTACGCGCGTGCGCCGTTCAAGTAATCCTCTTCGCCGTTGTTGAACAGCACCACCAATCCGCGGCGCGGCGCATGCGCGGGCGTCGTAAAGTATCGCAGAAGCTGGAGGCAGGTCACAACGCCAACACCGTCATCGGTAGCGCCATATCCGGTCGAGACACTGTCGTAGTGCGCATTAACGAGCACGCCGCCCTTTCCCGTGGGGATTTTTCCGGGAACCTCCCACCAGTTTTCCTGCTTGTCTTCCCAGCCACGGATGTAAACGAGAATGTTTGTTCCTTCAAAGTATACACCAACTTGACTGTCAATCGAAGTTAGGTTTGAGGTCATGTCATCGAACACGAAAACTTCCGGTGTCGTCTCATTTGCAGCAGCAGCTGTCGCGACGGAAGAAGAATGGATCGCGTCGATGCGCTCAAGTAGCCAAGATCGAACTTCATCATTACGGTGAGTGTTGTAAGGGTGGAAGCCGCCGGTCAGAGTCTGCAGATCAGACCATGCTTCGGTAAGGTTCAGGCCCTTGGGGCTCGTTCGGGGTGCGGAGGGAACATTTTCGTGGAGAACGATCACGGGAATAAGCAGAGCTAGATAGACCACTGTTACGATGATGGTAACCGGCCATGGCGTAAAGGCCAGTGGGTTTTTGGCCTTGATAGCCATGAGGGGTGCACCAAGTGGCGTGGCAAGGAGGTTGGAGTTGGAGCAAGAATGCGGGGAGAGGAGCTCTGAATTTGCCGTCCAACTAAGGCATTGCCGCATTGATAATCAATTTAACCTAACCAGATTTGGCTGGACGCTGCACACATACAATTCAAGTTTATACTAGCTACAAAAATACAATAAAAAGATCAAAAACATAAGTCGTATCTGCGCATAAATTTGACGTTACTTTATGTAGCCCAGCCTGAGATTGGGAGAGAGAGAGAGAGAGAGAGAGAGAGAGAGAGAAAAAAACATGTTGTCCCCGTTCGCTAACAGTGAGTATGCATTTTCGCACTGGAGGGGGGAAAGAGAATTCTTCGCTCATGTTGGTAGAAATATTGTCTGTACCTGTGGACCCGATCCTGGCTCTTTCTGGCCCGATGCTTGAAAGGCCATTTGCAAAGAGAGGGAATCCAAGAAAAAGAAGAAGAAAAGAGGAATCCAGTGAAACAAATAGATAAAGGGCCTCCTTTGTAAAAGATAGGATAATCAAGAAGAGAAGTACTAGTGGTGACTAGTGGGTATCAATCATGGAAGTGTCTCGACGTCAATGTAATCTTCATCGTTGATGCCTGTGGCATCCATTAGACCGGTCATTTGGCCCGCATCTTCGTCTAGCTCATCGTCGTCGTCGTACATCGTGGCTTCGGTTTCATGTTGGTTCAATTCGTCTCGGTTCAAGAAGTCTCGGAGTTTGAATACACCTTCCCCACTAAAAACACAGAACACGTCTCTCTGTTGTTGCGTAAACTCTGCTGGTGCCTCTCGGCAAAATTTAGTGAGGGCTGGACTCAAGAACTCCGGGACTCCTGTCAGACTTAAATGTGTGAGTCGTGGACATTCGTTGATCAAAGGTCGAATAGACTGACAGAAACAATGTTAGCATAAAAGCGCTTCGAAAACAGGGTACAATAAAACTTACACTCATAGTAAGCCCAGTGCAGTAACTTAGATGAACACGCTCCAAGTTACTGACCATCGGATTGCTTCGGCGGCGTGCAAAAGCCTTAATGCTCAAATCCGTGATGTTTTGACATTTCACCAGACCAATGCGACGCAACTTAGGTAGAAGAGCTAACTGCTGCACGCTGACGTCTGTTAGGCGGTTGCAGCAGGCCAAGTCGATGTATCGGATACGGTTGCAAGCTTTGATAAGTTGCATGACCGCCGGATCGGTGATATTGGAGCAATGTCCTAGATGCACGTAGTGAAGGTTCTTGCCCAGCCTACAAATTGCCTGTACTGAGCGATCTGTAATGAAGCGGCACTTGGCCAGCACCAAATTTCGTAAACGAGGTGCGGCAAAAACAATACGTTCCACAGCCTCATCTTTCAAATTCTCACATGCTGTGAGATCCAAAATTCGTAGACTTTCAAAGATTCTACCGTCTGGTAAATTTAGGAATGCCGAATCATCAATCTCAACGCAGTGCGCAAGACGCAATTCTCGGAGGTAACGAAGGGTGGTGAGGAGGGCTGTTATCGAGGAACTGGTCACAAGTTTGCAGTCATGGAGATCAATCTCCAGGATTGCGGGACAATTCTCCGCAAAGGACAGGATGGAACGATTGGAGACGTTTTCAACGCCGTTGAGTTTTAATCTCTTGATCTGGTGACAGTTCTGTGATACTATGATAAGTGATTCGTCTGTCACTTTTTTGCAACCGGTGATATTGAGGCCCTGCAAACGCGGACAGTTCCTTGACACCGTGTAAAGGGTATGGTCGGTCAGGTGTACCAAGTCCGATACATCCAGCGCCTGCAGGTGCCGGTTTCCCTCTACCAGGTCTGAGACACCCTTATCTGAGAGTTCGGAGCAGTTGGTCAAAGTCAGTCGCTCAATACGCTTGCACTGGGTGAAAGGAACGACTGTGCCATCGCTGACATCACGGGCCAGAGTGGACAGGTTGAGTCGCTTGATGAGATCAGCGTAGGCGAACAGACTTAGTGGATTGCCCACGGAGGCTGTCACGCTCTTCAAGTTGTCCCAGTTCCCACAGGATGGTCTATGCCATAATATTCCGACAGAGTTGGCAGCCCAGTTGCGGCTCACTAGCATGCAGTTCAGGATGTCCACCGGGGACACTAGCTTAGAAAATATCGCGATCAATATCTCTGGCGGAAGGTGGCCGATCGGGGGCACTGGGACGGATCGGTTTGTTTGCACATGAAGATCGCGAAAATTGGCGACTCCGATGGAAGATTGTGAATCGTTGGCTTGGGCCATGAAGAAGTCTGTGTCGTCATCTGCGGCGCGTTCCGGTGATGCTGAGGAGGAGGTTTCGGAGGGTACTTCGCTCGGTAACCGAGCAACACGTCTTTGGCGGGGCATGCTGCTGGTCTGTTTGTATGGGTGGAGGAATTTGAAGGTTGTGTGAGTGGTAAGATTTGAGGTGGCTTAGGATCGTCGCAGGGCTAGGGTCTCATCACTCGCAGAGTGATGTCTGCATGGGCGGTGTGCGTGTGCAGACTCGGAGAATGCAAAGAATAACCCGGACGGTCGGTCCTTTCCAATAAGTTTGGTGAAGAATCACTAGCTCAAGTCCTCCTTCAAACCTGTGGCTAATGGGGGTCTTTCTCTGGTTCGATAGCCCGATGGGGCGAAGAGAAGGCGACAGCGTAGTGAGGGATCCGCAAAACGTGTAGGTTTGACTAGGAAAGGAAGTGGCGCTTCTGAAAATGACCAAGAGAGATAGCAGCGGAACAGCGGTGCATCACCTGCAGATGTACCACCCTGGATTTTTGGGGATCGCCTAAGCAGGGTATGAAGGGGAAAGGTCACTAGTTAACTTAGATGGAGGGGGAGGATGAGGTAATCGGGCCCGTGGATGCCAAGGCTCCACTTGACTGATGCCCGGGTGACGATTGTTGGAGTTTAGAAAGATATCTTGTCGATTGCTTTTTCCATAATCTTTGGGCAAAAGTCTGAAATTTCAAGTGGTCAAATGGTGAGATATGTCTCACTGGTAATTCTCTCTTGTAAAAGACAAAACTTTCGATTGGCGTCGTGAAAGATCCGGTCACCAACCCAACTTGGACCTGTTCACGTACAGGCAGTGTGGAGACACCAGTTCCCCATCTTGCACAAGACCCAATCGTTCGCTTTTCTTTTGTTAATATTGATCGTGCTTACAGCTCTGGTTTCGCCCTTGGCCTCGTTTAGCCAGAATTCGATGTCCATCTCGCTTCAGTTTCTCTGGGCCCTCTGATCACCGAACCTCTCTAATACCACTGATGGCCATGGGCTTATCCATCTGTGGAGCAGCTAGTAAGGAGCAAGGTGGCTTGACTATGTAGTGAGATGGGCAGACAGACATCGCAAACAACGGAAATTTACATGGGGGTAGCCATGCAAAAGTTGCAAATTTTCAGCATAAAGGGTGATTTTTTTCGAGATAGAAACATGTCAACAGATAAATTTTGAAACCTCCATTTAAAGACAACATCTGGGATGATCTAGAGACCGCTCTAAATCTTGCTTAATCTTGCTTAATCTCGAGTCCATTCTCGAGTCCATTCTGATTTCCATACTAAATCCTACAATAAACTACTAAATAATATTTCTGAGCCAGACTGTCTTGATAACACCCTTCTTAGTCTTCTTAGACCTAATGGTGTTGACGGCAAAGCCGGTCTGCACAGCTCAGCGAAGTTGTTGATGTCAGCGCGAGTGTGTTTATTCTTTGTAAGTAAGGTGTGAAGGTAAAGATGCCTGAAAAGTCAGGTATCTAGCCAGGGGGGGTAAGAATAGCCAGGTAAGAATAGCCAGGGGGGATAAGAATAGCCAGGGGGGGTAAGAATAGCCAGGGGGGTAAGAATAGCAAACTCCTAACTAAATAAAGAACGACCCGAAAAACGGCTGCAATCAAAGCGGAAAGTAGGCCCTAGACCGATGTCATGAGAAACGAACTGCGGCTTCGAAAATGATGAAATGCATCTTCCCTCGAATGTGTTCTGCTAACCGATCAATCACATCGCGTTGAACGAATACCCACTGAGTGGCCTTTCTCCCAGACAGCAATCGCATCACGTTGTTTTTAGTGATATGACTTTGGATGTTTTCTCTGCGGATGCGGACTAGCTGTGTGCTGAGGGTAGAACAGATGGGGCCCCTGACAATATCAGCTTGCCCAGGTCGCCAGAGGTGGTTGAATTTCGGGTGAGGGGTAGCCTGTCTCCTGCAGGTCCAGATGTACTCTTTCCGGTTGGGAGAATACCATAGATTCTCCATTCGGAGGCTGTTGATGAATGGTCGCGGAACCTGAATGTGAATAATGCAGGTATCGGCCGCAGGGCTTCTCCTTTCTGCAAATTTGCGGTACTCTTCAGCCGTTTCAATTTCGGGGGTCCAGCATTGCGCATTAAAATCGAAATTGAAGTCTCCGCCGGGGTATGTGCTGAGTGGTCTTAGGTTGACTGTTCCATCACTGTCAATGATATCACCCGCTGGCCGTAATTCATCATATGCCTTGCCCTTGTATAGAGAAATGTGATCGGATTGCAGCCTCTTCAAGGCATCGTATCTGTTCTAGTGTGAAAACACCAGGACCAGATGGGAGATCTGGATGATGTTCGGGAATGGCTTGGAGGGACATGGTGGGTAACTTTGAAGAAGATAAATCGAATATAATGAGATTCAAAGAAGTGAGACTCAAGTGAAACTTAGAATGAGTTAAGAAGAACAAAGTAGTGAGAGTGAAACTTGGAATGAATGGAGAAGAAGAATAGGGTGCAAGGTTCAATGTTATCCTTTAAATATAGAAATAAAGTTGCAGAAAATTCCTGATTAGGCTTAGTAGGTAAAAAAACACTTTGAGAAGACCAACTAGAAAAATTACCTAAAATACTGCCGGCCGACTAGTATTCTTGTTTTTTTGCTACATCTACAGATGCTCAGTTCTACTCAGTGAGCAAAAGCGGCAAAGCCTGAGCACTAAAACGGAAAGGGATAGCCAAGATGTGGCAGAGGAAATCAAGTACGTAGATACCAGTATATACATATTGATTTATTGTACTACAAGTACATAACACAGTACTACTACTTGCATCAATAGTACATACATATCCAATACCGCACTTTCTTCTCTTTGAACTGCGAAATTTCTGGCAGGCACCCTCCATGTCTGCACATGTGTGGAGTACTAGTAGTCCAACATTTGAAGGGGAGAGGCAACCACATTAAAGTGCTAGTGATTCTAAGCTTTTGTACAAATGTTTCGACCAATGTCTACTATGTAATTAACATTTCAATTGAAGCTCCAATCAAGTGCATTTCAGAGATCATGTTGCCTTTCATCTTGAGGTTTTACTTCTCTCAGACCCCTTCACCCACTCTCGCAGCACATTTTTACGGATCTTGCCTGTGCTGGTCTTGGGCAACTCGGCCACGACCACCACCTCCCGTGGGATCATGAATTTACTAATATCACTTGAGTTTCGAGCCCAGCTAATCACATCTTGGCCTTCCAGATTCTTCCCTGGCTTCACAGTGATAAAGGCCTGTGGCCGTTCACCCCAATGGCTATCCGGGACTGAGACCACACCCGCCTCAAGGATATCAGGGTGAGTGACCAGCATCGATTCAAGAGCAACAGAAGAAATGTTCTCACCACCTATTAAATGTTAATGTTAATATCTTGAGTCGCAGAGGGTTCTCTAGATGGATGTGTTACTGACCACTGATAATGATATCCTTGGCACGGTCGAGAATTTGAATGGCACCATCCGAGTGCCACACAGCAAGATCCCCAGAATGCAATACGCCACCCGCAAACAGTTTACGGGTAGCCTCGGAATCTTTGTAGTAACCCCGGGCACAGATGTTGCCCACAAACACGATCTCGCCGATCTCCTTGCCATCGTGCTCGACATCGATGATCGTTCCCTCGGATACATCAGTTTTTATCACCCGCACCGGAAGACTTGTTAGGAAACCGTGACCCTGTCGTGCCATTTTCTGATATTTCTCTTTGACGGGGATTTGGTTCCACTGGGGTAAGAAATAGCCCTTGGTGATCGGTCCATAAGTCTCAGTCATACCATAAACGTGGACCGGATGAAGATTGAGGTCCGTCATTTGCTCAAACAGATGCGCCGTTGGTGGGCTTGCGGCGACTGTGACGCGCACAGGATGAGACAACTTTTCTGCTTCTTTGGCATTACAAAGGAGTGTATTGACAGTCGGTGCGGCATTGAAGTGAGTGATTTGCTCCTCCTTTAGCATTCTCCAGATCTCAGGGTAGTCAATTTTACGGAGACAGTAGTGGGTTCCACGAACGGCAGTCACTGCCCATGGGAATGTCCATCCTATATTCAATCAAATTAGCGGTCGACTTCGGGTTTTTGTGAATATTTTCGCAGGTAAGAACAAACCCATCGCGTGGAACATGGGCAACGTCCATAGATATTTAGCCCGTCCAGCATCGAAGTTCAGACCCGACTCGACCACATTGGCCAATGTTGCTAGATAACAGCCTCTATGAGTGAATTCCACTCCTTTGGGCCGAGCAGTTGTTCCACTGGTATAAGCAAGTGCAACAACAGAATCTTCGTCGGCAGCCTGGCTCTCTAGCCCCTCCCATCCTCGCTGTTCACTTTCCTCGTCGTATTTCCATCCTTCTTGGATAGCAGCACCAAATTTTCCGTTACCGATCAGCTCCCAGGGCTTACTGAACTTATCATCATCGACAAGTAACGGAACATTGGGATGTTGTGACCGATAAGTTGCAAGCAGGGGCTCAAACTCCTTGTCCACGATGATCATATCCACGTCTCCATGTTCAAATATATAAGCAATATCGTCTTGTTTGAGCCTATAGTTGACGGCTATAAAGTCACTCAGTATATATTATCTCATAAATGCGATATATAGTCATGACATCTTACCGACATTGACCGCGCCCGCGGCCGCAATTGCGAAGATAGATTCCAAGAAAGCCGGTGTATTGGGAGAAAGAATTCCAACTCTTTGGAACCCATTCTTCTTCAGATAATATGCGAGACCACATGCCCGAGCTGCAGTCTCTTTGTAGGTTCGGCGAAGAATCCGGTTATCAACTGTCACATGGTAGATCGCTTCCGCCTGAGTTCGATCATGTTAGTATGTCGCCTCTAGTACAGTATTTGAAGCATTGCTTAGCCCGAAAGGAAGATGCATGAATTGACCCCTTACATCAGGTTCGATAGCCGCAGCTCTAGGGAGAAAGAAAGTCGGTGAAAGGGTATGCCGGTTGAAGTTATGCTCAAACGGAGCCGAGGTTGTCGGCGAAAGATGAGCGAGCAGACTCGAAAGTCGAGATTTGACGCCAGACATTATTACTGCAAGAGACCTATCGCAAGGGTGAAGGGTGAAGAGTCCGTGTTGCACAGTGATGTAGGGTGCATAAACAGGAATGTGGGTGATCAGGGAAATGGGGAATTGGAGAATTGGGTTGTTGGAGAAATGCGGGGAAACGTGAGCCCTGGAGAGGCCATTTAGTAATGTTAACCTAGGTTATGCGGGCCGGGCTTCGGGAACTACAGTAGTGTGGGATGTGGGATCTACGGGGACCACATCTAACCATGCGGTACGATCCACGAATCCATACAAGCTGAATCCTACTTACTACTACTATATGTAGGATTCAGCCAAAATATTTTGCGTTTTGGACCAGCCCAAATTATACGTTGATTCGATCAAATTTTCCAAGCCCCTCTACTGTTCATATTATATGATTCGTGGTCGAGGACCAAGTGTGCCCAGGTTGCAGCATTGGCGAAATATGGGTAGAGCGGATCTGATTGATTTATCCAAAGTAGGCGCATTGGGTTTGTCGAAAATAGAGGTAGGGGATATTATAATGTCGAGTTAACCAACCGAAACGAGGGTAGCCGAGATAGCATACCCATAAAAGGGGGAAATCTATCGATATACCAAAGGCGGACCAGATAGTGATAGTAGTAATGAACCTGCATCATCATAAGATCATGTTGAACTTTGTAATTTTGGATTAAACCGCCACGGCGCGAGACAACAGCCAGCTATTTTGAACAACCTTTCATCCCGCGACTCCGTTTTTTCTGCTTTTGAAAATTCCGAAGGAACCTAATCCCCCAGGTCTGCCCCAATGGTGCATCACAAACTAATGTGGATATTCATTGCAACGGACGAGGGACTAAGCCCATAAGAACAAGGTCGAACCGGCTTGCCGTTCAAGTTTCGCTGAAATAAAACCGTCCGCGATCCGAAACCCAGACCCGTCACTCTCAAGACACAACAACCGGCCGCTCTTAATCTGGTATCTAGTAGCCGTACTGAGCAAGCTGGGTCTTGGTCTTGCTGTCCACGTTCGCACCCGACTCGGCCTTGGCGAGGCTGCGGCGGGCAGCCTTCTTGCGCTCGTAGTAGGCGTTGCTCTTGACCTTGCGGCGCTCCTCGAGTCTGTAGAATAATTAATGTTAGTGGGAACAAGATACGGTGGGAAATCTCGAAGGCAGTCCACTTCTGGACTTGTGAAACGCACCTGGCGACAACGTCCTGGTACTTCCAGCCAACCTCGTGGCTGAGACGGCCAACGGTGCAGTACTTGCGGCCGGGGCGCAGACGCAGGATACGGAGAGCCTGGGGAACGACAACGCGCTTCTTCTTGTCGTAGGGAGGGGGGACACCCTCGAAGACCTTAAGGCGCTCCATAGCGGCGGCACCACGGGCGGTCTTGTGGGGAATCATGCCGCGGACAGCCTTGTAGAAGATGCGGGAAGGAGCACGGAAGTGGAAGGGACCACCGCGAGTGGGGTTGAAGCGAGTCATCTTGCGGAGGTAGGCGTGGTACTTCACTGTATATCGAAAATCGAGTCAGTGTTCTGTTATATAGGCCAGTTCCAGTATGGTTGTCCAAAGTCCATGTCCTTTCCAACGTATTCCCCTTTCGATCTCTTTTCCCGTTCCCTTTTCCTCCTGGCGAGCACACTTTTCTTCTTGGGTTGGACTTGGACTGGCTGGACACCATATCGATACAAGGTGGAGAGGTTTTCAACGTACACTTCGCGCGGAAGAACTCGCCGGAGATGTTGAGGGCCTCACATCTCACAACGACGATCTTCTGGCCGTTGAGCAGCTGCTTGGCAACAGTGCTGGCCAGGCGACCAAGGAGGTGTCCCTTGCCGTCGATGACGACCTAATTCAAGACCATTCAGTCAGCGATTTATTGATTCGAGATAGGTTGGAATATGATGCAGCAGCGGGCGGCGCAAATCGAGTGTAGGGAATAAAGAACGCACCACTGAATCGAAGGTGGACATCCTGCTCTGTCACCGTGTGTATGGGTTGGATGGTTGTCGGCGGTTGTTGTCGTTGGAGTCGAAGGCACGCACAACGAAGTCGGATGGATCGCAGGCGAAGAGGCTAAGCGAGTCTGTCCAGAGACTACTGTGTGTGGACTAGCCTTCAGGGCGGTAGCCCTAATCATGACCAATCATTTTCTTACATGGATTATGTAAGACCCGCAATTCACGATTTCCACTTTCCGGTGCTGACTAAGAGATCTGACTCCCCCAATTGTGTGCGCCAGTGGCCCATCAACCTTTAGGGCTCTGATTTAGGGCTGGTTGTTCTGTGTTCTAGAAAACCCATTTGATTTATAGATGGTGGCAATGATTCAAATTGCCCTTGAAATTCAAAGTATGGTACTCATTCAAGCACATCGTAGATGGTCTTTTACACACTCTCTTCTGGACCTCTATTAGGTATTGCTTCATATGACAGAATAAATAATCGCGACTTAAATAAGATGCTGCCGTCTCAGACGCAATGATCATAGTAAGTATGTACTGCCTTTATCGCATTACGTATCATTCAATGTTATCGTATGATCCCCATCAATATGATCAATGAAAGACTGGGTCCGATGACTAATCTTTACCATTCATCGCCATCCCAAGTAACATATGTTTTTCTCTTCTTTTTGTCAAAGGTAAATCCATGCATCCACGCCCTTTGAACTCCAGCTCCAGCTCAGCCCATTCGACCGTGGCCCGAGCGCCGCAAGTGGACAATATGAGCCGACCTGCATATTTTTGATTGAAATTCTTTGTCAATAATACGCACACACACTCAGTACTTTGCAAATGGAAGAAGAAATTCCGGATCTATCAAAAGCCATGCGTCGCAAAACACGTTTCGTCTGCATATCCGACACCCATGGCTATACCCCCTCAGAAGCAGGGTTCAAGCTTCCGGCTGGGGATGTATTGATACATGCGGGCGATTTCACTAACAAGGGAAGCTTGGCCGAGGTACGCCGGACGATGGATTGGATATCGAAGGCCAACTTTGAAATAATGGTCATTGTGGCGGGTCAGTTCATTCCTTCTTGGTTATAAATGAAACCCGCTGCCCAATGGTTCTGTATCAAAATGTCCACGTTGGATCTAAGGTTTTTCATTATGTTGGCGGAGGCGTGCCACGACAAGAGCTTGCGCTATCCATTCGATCCCCTAACCGATATCTTACATACTAGGGAACCACGATGTCACTCTGGATCCCGACTTCTACGCGAAACATGGACATGAGTTCCACGGCTCGCAGCGCGAAGATCCAATCCAATGCCTCGAAGCCGTCACGAGTGCAACGCCCTCTATCATCTACCTCAAACATCAGGCCACTGTCATTAATCTATGTCGCAAAGACGGACCAAATACCACCTTCAAAGTATTTGGGTCCCCATGCTCGCAATTCGAAGGGAATTGGGCATTTGGATATAATAACGGCAAGGATGCAACGGCGCTGTGGGATCAAATCCCTTCGGATAGCGACATTGTAGTGACGCATACGCCACCACAGTCTCACTGCGACCAAAAGCCTACGGGCAGGAACGTCGGATGCAATGCACTTCGCCAGGCACTGAGCCGCATCAGGCCGTCGTTGGCTATTTGCGGCCATGTGCATGAAGCTCGGGGCTATGAACGTGTCTGTTGGCACGAGCAGATGCCACTGTCGCGCACGCTTATTAGGTCGGACAGCAGCGGTGATATCACTCAGGGGGTCTTGCCGCCGCCGGGCAGCAAGAAACAGGCTCTTATTGACTTGACAGGCAAACGAGGAGAGCGTTTGGATAACGAGGGATTTGCATCCTTGAAGTCTAATTCGCAATTGAATTTGAATCCTACAACCAGGGCGTCGATGCCATCATCCTCTTTCGGGTCAGCTGCCGATGTAGCACTGGAGTTTCAACAGATTCCAAACGAAAATAAGGCTCCGATTCTGAGCGCTGATACCCAAAGGCGCGGTGTCGGCCACATAGAGCAAACGCTGAGAAGAGAGACATGCATTGTCAACGCCGCCATCTTGGCTACGAGCTGGCCGCACCGGGGAGGCAAGCGATTCAATACACCGATCGTGGTGGATCTCGAACTTCCAGTACGACGGGGCTACTACCCTTCCAAGTGATTTGCATCTGACCTAGCTAATCTCGTGCCTTGCCTTTTTTTTTTATTTTTTATTTTTTCTCACTCAATGCCGGCACACTTAGGACCACCACCGCAGTTCCTCGTCCTCGTTGGATGTGGGGACTTTAGCCGGCACCCTCCAACTTGAATCTGTGCATGGCAATGGTGTTTTCTCCGTGCATGGTGGCTTGCATCTATCCAGTCGCTTTTCACATTTCCATGCATGATCCCCGTGGAGCTTTGGCCTCATCAGCAGCTCTGAATGGACGCTTTGATGCATGACTGCTCAGGGATTCGTCGAATGGTACGCAGAGCAATCATTATGATGCAGCCTCGCACCGCTTTGCATCGACTGAGCGTTTACGAAAGGCTGGCTCTCGACCCGCGGGACTGGCTGATGGATCCGAGTGAAGCGACCCGGGGGGAGGGGGCTTTTTAATGGGGGCTTTGATGATCCTTCGAGCCGAGCTTTTTCGGCCTCGGATTTATAGCCTTGTGTTACATGATATAGCCTTGTGTAAAATGATACGATGATACGATGATACGATGCAGCAAACAAAGCCATAGAATGATTATGGTAGAGGGAACCAGTCCACAGGTCCCCATGAAACGACCCACTACTAGTTAGTACCTACCTGTGCCGTGATTGTAGCCTTCCTCAGAAACCAACCAACATCCAAGATCCAACGACAACCAAACCATCCCCGCATGTCAATCTCTTCATCTGACATATCGCGCTCCACAAATGAAAAATGGCGCATCCCAGCAGTGAGCATCAAACCCCAGTCACCTGCAATACCTAGCTTTGAAACTCAAAAGTGGTTCTGGAACCCGAATCACATCTGCAAGCGCTTCCTCGCGCAACGGGAGTGGAACAAGGAAAAGCCCACACGAACCAACCCTCGGGCCGCCCACCATCTCTGACACGGATGTGACCATGCGAGGCCGATCATTAAGGGATCTTCTTCAGAAAATGATTCCTTTGCCTTTTATCGTAAATCACCTCCCGTATTGATCTCTAGTGTAGTTTCCACGACACGAATGACTGGTCAAGGCCGACTATTCCGGCTCCAATGAAACAAAGAGACAGTAAGTGATGACGCAGGGCAAGACTGCCTAGAAGGCCACCTGGGCAGTTCTTTTTTACCCCTCCTCCCCCTCCTCTTTGCTTTGGGGTGCATGTGTCAGGAGTGTGAAACAATTATCAATCCACCGGCTTTACTCCTATATCGGTCCTTACTACCTCCGAAGTTGTGCGGGACCCAAGGAGAATAAACAAATCAAACTAAAAAATAAGAGATCACTCTCGCATCTGTTTGGACAATTCCCTGTAACATATCATGACATCTGGATCGATGGGTAACCACCTCGTGTCATCCAATCGCGAATTCACCGAGCCTAGGCCATGGAGTCTTTATTTAAGGTTGAAAGCCTGTGTTTCGGCAAGCGGGACTCTTCTGGTACGACTAGAGCAAACACGTTGACTGGAGCCGGAGGATTATGAATATGACGACCGGGGTGAGGCGTTGAGATGGAAACCTCGGCGTGGACGGGTCACTGCAGCACCGATCACATTCCAGTCAAATGACTTGAACAGGGAACATTGGAGGAGAGAACTGGTGATACTGAAAAAAATGACTAGTGAATTCAATCTATGTGGTTTCAACCAACTTTCTTTGATTTAAATGTTCTAGATGACATCTTCATTTTGGGGAATTAGATCAGTATGAACTAATTCATTGTTAGCATTTGATCAACGCCAGCTGATAATGAGAATATTTCAAGTACTCGGTGTCTGGTGACAGAACTAGTAGAAACGGGTGGTGGCCGTGGAGTACCTCTCAGTAGGTAGATATGGATAGTGGGGGGGGGGGGGGGGGGGGGTAGATGCAGATGACTTTTTCATGTTTCCTTTTTCCCCCCATTCTCTCTACCTACTAGCAGTATAGGTAAGAAAATGGGACGATCTGGTACACAGTGCTCGTGCCATCTACTTGGAATCTCCGGGTGTCCGTTTAGAAGATCGGAGTTACGAATCTTGAAGGGCTCCATGCATCGCCGGCGATCGGGATGGAGTTTGAGAGAAGCAAAAACCAGGCATAAGAAGGCCCCCCCCCTTGCCGGTACTCCGTAGGGAGTACAGAGTACTTGGATTTTTTTTCTTTCCCCCCCTAGTCAGCATCCATGGATGTGAGCTACAAATGGCAGGTATCTCGTTGTACAGTCAGAAAAATCAGATCTAGTAAGAGTCTCGATGTTGTAGAATTTCTATATATAGGTAATTCAAGGCTGTGGAAGGCATCATCGGATTCATGCCCACGCGGAAATCAGGCACGCACTCTTAAGGGTGGCCTGGTGTGGGGTTATTGTAAGGGATTTCCAGTTACTTGATTTCTCCTTCAATACTTACTTTACGAGTTACGGAGTACTGGGTACGACAAGGGGCGGTGGCCAACAGGTACACATAATTGGGGGCTTTGGAATTACCACAGCGAATCATTTGCGGTGAAAAAGTCAGTACGAAATATGAAAAATGTGAAAAATGTAAAATAAAAAATGTAAGAGTTTATGTATGCGGGGTTTCCTATTGATCGCCCCACTCGTAAGGACGGTAATGGTAAAGTATGTACTCCGTAAAAAATCCAATTTGGAGGAATTTGGTCTCGAGAAAGAAGTGAGGCGCTCCTTTGATTGGCTGAGAGCCCTTATGTACATACATACAGTATTTCTCTTTTTTTTTTTTTTTTTTTCTTTTTTCTTTTTTCTTTTGGGCAAATCTCAAAAAAAGAGGCGCACAGGCCAGCCTTGGAAAGAAAGGAAACTGTCATCTTTGGGGGGAAAACTAAAGTACTATTACCTAGGATTTGTATATTTCTGGTTTTATTTCCCTCTCCAGTATCTACATGATTCACATAAGTATGAGATAATGGAATTCATCAGAATCATGAAAATCATTTCAGAAAAAAAAATATATATATATATAAGTAACTTTCTTCCCACTGTTGGGCATCGGAGTGAGGCGGTACCTACGTGTTAAAAGGGGAGTCTCCACGCCACCTTGATTATAGTGGCGGAGAAAAGCCAGGACCGAAAAGGTTTCCCCCTAAAGGAACTTTCGCCCCTGGCATACCACTGGCACTCGAGTGCTGGCAGATTATAACATTATTCTTTCGGTGCTTCCATCGCTTCCCTTGACGACATAATACCTTGGAATACCCTTTGCAACAAGTGAGACCACGGGCCGAGTTACTCAGCCCTTTTGGAAGATTGAAGAATCTCTTTCGGCATTATATCCGTTTTCCACTGGTATTTGAAATCCAATTATTTTAATAAATAATCCCGCTCTGGAAGCCTCTTGATCGCCCCAGTGCATTCGCCGACACCAGAGTGGATATCTCGCCCGATCAACGTCAACGTTAAGTTGGCAGCATTCCTCCACCGCCCTTTCCCCTCTTTCGATTTCCACCTACATCTACTACCTACCTACCACCCTCTTTCAATTCCTTGGGGTCATTATCCGATGATCATTGCCTCAACACCCTCATCATGTCCCAACCCGATATAGACCCATATCTTACTCTGGGTGTGCCCAAGGACGCTACTCTCACCGAAGTCCGGGCTGCCCATCGCAAACGAGTATTGAAATGTCACCCCGATAAGATTCAAGATCAGGCTCAGCGAGATGCCGCTCAAGAGGAGTTCCAAGAGGTACAGGCTGCCTACGAGCTCTTGTCTGACCCCACTCGCCGACTCCGTTACGACCAAAAAATAAAACTACAGGAACTCCGACGGGAGTTGGAAAAGAAACGTCGAGCTGAGGAGGCCGAGATGGCTGCACGTGGCATGCCCACCACGCGCGAGATGCGTGAAGGTCACCCTGTCGAGGAGCGCGCACCATTTGATCCTACTTACTTTGAAGAACAAAGATTCACCGAAGAGCCCCGATCATTCTCTCGCAAGAACGACGACTTTGGTGGGAAACGACCCAAGGCGAAGGAAGAGAAGAAGAAGACCAGAGTTCCACCGAGCAGCGAACGTGCTGCCAAGGAATCTCGTGAAAACACAAAGGCCGAACATTCTGAGCGACAGAGACGTCGCGATAGAGAACGACGGGGACAGCAATCGGAAAAGTACGAATCATTTGGTCCGTTTGTCGTCTCCGACGGAGGTTCCGATTCCAGTGACTCTGAAGCCTACATTCCCAAGCCATCTCGTCGGTCCAGAGAACCCCGAGAGTCCCGTTCTCGTCCGACAGAGTCCTTTTCTCGGCGTCACGAACGCCCAGTTTACGAAGACGATCAATATCACGAGAAGGTCAGCCGTGCCGAGGAACACATTGAACGTTCCAAGTATGACAATTACCGACCCCGAACGTCTCCACAGCGATCCCGTGGTTACGAGTCCGCTGAACCAGAGACCACACCCCGGCGCTCGGGACGGTCCTCCCGGGCGAACCCAGTCCGCTCGTCCTCGCGCCACAACTCCTCGTATGAAGATCTGGAGCCACGCTACGATTCAGGCAAGCCGCCAAAGATCCCCACGGCAACCACAATGCCGGGTCCAAAGACATCTCTTCGCCCCACATTGTTTGGTGCAGTCCGCTCTGCCACCACTGCAGGATACTCCCGCCCTGCACGGGAATCATCCCGCACTCGGACCGACGATAACCCTCTCAGCAAGATGGTCAATGATCTTTTCCCGCCACGGTCATCAAAGCTACGCGAAAAATACGACTCGGGCTACTCAAGTCCCAATACGCCTGAAATGGCGCCCAAGGGCTCTCCCAAGGTTGCGGCTCGATACAAGATCGACCCGGACCCTATTATCATCGAGCCCTCCAAGCCATCCAGGCACCGCACACTCTCCCCCGAAAGGGAACGAGAACGTGTACCTCGCATGGCTCCGCCCAAGCGAGCAAGTACCACCCAGTCGTATATGAGCGAATCAGGTCCTCGTGTCGAGGTCCGCACTGTAAGATCGTCTGCACGACCCTCCCGCACCCATGCCAATGTGGAATACTCCCCACAAATCCGAAGTGAAGACGTCAAATACACCCGAGAAATCCGACCCGGTGATGTCAACATGTCCCCCGGTCACAATTATTATTACAGCGATCATATCCGCACGCGCCGACCCTCCGTGGCCTATGCCTAACACAGTCCACCATTGACGACAGCTCTTGACGACCGTACGCTGCTATCTATTACTTTTATTTTGTTTCAATGCTTTAATGTTTTCTTTTTTACTACGCATTTATGACCCATGACTCAACCTACATGACTCCTTTGTCTCCCCCCTTCATGTCTATACTTGACGAACTGCCCAAGGCAGTTCCTTACCACGGAAACTCATGGCTTGCAAGCCATCACGCCAGCTGTGAACATGGATCTTTTCCAATTTTCATGTACCTCAACCTTCGCATTGAGCATTGGGACGGTTTCGGTTTGGGTTTCGAGATCTGCGTGATCTACCCCGGTGGGGTTCGGTTTCTTTCGGCGCAATGGGGAAAGGGACTACTCGGTGTTATTAACACATATTATATCACAACATAACATACTCATCTACGCGGCGCAAACTTTGAAATTTCACTTGATGACCCATTTTTGGTTCCTTTGGCCTTGTCATCTTTTCTTCTTCACAGCTTTACCTGGAAATGTGTCTCCCTCCCGGGCTCTGTCATATCTAGATACCCGTGGATGCTCGTTGGGAAATCTCTACTTACGAATTTATGTCCTTTGACTCAATGACATGTGATATGGTTTTTTTTTTCTATCTTTTTTCTATCTTTTTTCTATCTTTTTTCTATCTTTTTCTATCTTTTTGATATCTCTTGGTATTTCATGCGCGTGGTGCATAATGTTTTAGACTGTATAACTCATATAAGCTCAAAAAAAGTGGTTTGATTTGTTGCTTTCAAGTTTTGCTGCGTTTATGTATCATACTACTACATTGTATAATTTGAAAATTACTTTCAATGTTGTCGCTCGAATACCGAGCGCGCCATGACCCACACATAGTGCCAACTTCTCCGCTACCCAGTAGTACTAGTAAAGTAACCTTGGAAGAGCCAATTTCTGACACATATTAACCTTGATTCAATGTTGACATTAAGTGCGCATCCCATATCTTTGAATCTTGATTTTCTCTTCTAAATACCTACTGGAGGTTGCACCAATTGGCCAGGTGACTGGTTCGTATTCGGAAGCTGTCTCGGTGTCTATGGATCTAACATTGAATACGTACTACATGCCTATTACTAGCTTAGTACTAAGTAGTATCAATGGAGGCTTCTGTGTAATCAATCTCAATAGCTGTTAGTTTTGTATGTATGAGAAACACCCTTGCCAGGCCCCCATTTTTACCTAAGTACGCCAGTGCTGGAGATTTCCCTAGGTGTATCATCAACATTGGAAAGGATTTGAAGAGGAGAATTTCCAACGCTAAAAGTATTAAATTTCGAAAATAGGTAGTCAAAGTGGACCTTCGAAGTATCGCAGCTATATACAAGTAAAACAACCAGTCGGGCTGGTGGTAAAATTAGACAAATCAATTGATTACAACACAAATTTAAATGTGACGTTTCTACGGGCTATCTCTATTGGGTGAATAGCTCTCACACTCGACAGCAGAACCTGCCTGTCCAACAAAAAAGCCCATCGGCCTGCATACTAGTTCCAACATCCATATGTGCAAAATCACCGACGCCGCGTCAAGGGGGTATCAATCTCAGCAGCAGCAAGGAAATAAACAATCTCAAACTAAGACGTAGAATACACACATCTAAAGCAATTGTTAGAGCCTCTGTTCGGAATAACGTAATCAAACTTAGATAGGACTTACCACCGAGAGGCCCAGAATCATCGAGAACCAGAAGAATACATTCTGACAAGATAAGTTAGTATTCCGAAAGTCACCAGAAAAAAAAAGATACATGACCACTCACATTAAGAACAGTCCGACCTCTGAAGAAGCGAGACTTCTGAATAGCGACGATGGGCAACTGCGACATCATGGCCGCAAATCCATAGCCACGGAGTTTCTTGGTGATACAGCTCATGACTAACTCATGGAAAACTGCGCTAACCAGAAATGTGATGAACATGGCGACGGGCTGGGAGAAATTGGATCGAGCGGGGAAATAGACGTGGCGGAAGAGGAAGTGGTGGACGGGGCGGTTCCATTCACGAGAGAATTCGAGCCTAGAAGATGAAACAGATTAGTTAGATATATATATTTTTTTTCTTTTTTTAGTAAGTTTTTAGTAAGAATAGGGTAGATAAATCTCACCAGTCGCACGAGTTCCACCAGTCTGAGTAGAAGTGTCGGTCCGCGAACTGGGTCAGCTCTGCGAATGCACCCAGGATATATTCGAAGATGACAAGGAACACTAAGAGGAAGGTGATCATGAAGGGGAATAAGAGCATGCTGATGGTCTCAGCCAGAACAAGGGCCTTGTCTGCAAGATTCGGGAATGCCTGGAGTTGGGTACCGGCTTCGCTCAAGACTGGTACAATGAACTCCTCACTGGTCAGAGTGAGCAGGAAGATACATCCAAAGACAGCCGCAGTCTTGTATGCAATCTCTGACCAGCGACGCTCGCGTCGCCGTGGATACTCGAGCTCATAACAGAGGGTTGGGCAGAAGAGGAAGTCTGCATAGTTCCCAATATGAAGGTTCTGGGGGTAAGAGATATTGCCCAGTGGGGAGGTCAGCTCCGTGGCCAGATCTTCGCGCAGGCGCACCAGAGGCTCTATATTATCGACTTCCTCATCTTCCAACTGCTTCACAGATGTACGACGACGTGAGGGTTCCGGATAATGAACTGCCTTGGGCGAGCTAGGGACCACTTTATCGGCCTTGTCTAGGTCTGCCAGACGGCGCTCAGTTGTACTGAGGTGACCGTTATAGAAGGCGTAGGAGTGCAGTTTCATAAGAATGGTCAGGACATGCAGTGTGAAGAAGACCTGGGCGGTCCAGGTCCAAATGCGCATAAACGGCCAGCTATTAAGCATCTATGTTAGCAGCCAACCTACAACCAGACTGTGGCAGCAGCCATGAAGCAGAGTTCCAACTTACTTTATCCATACAGCTAGCCAGATTGCCTCGCCGAAACTCTGCACAATCATGCCACCACGCGCCCATTGCAGCCAACGCGGGCCGCGGCGGTACAGCCGATGCAGCGGTAGAACCAAACTCGAGCTTACAACCATTGCGAGATCACTCAGGCCCAGCTCCCACACATTAGCACTTAGCAAACTCCATACCCGCACTCGCAGCGGGTACCCAGTATCCTTGATATTGCGCAGCACGGTTGTAACGACCATGATGACGAGCGAGATCCAGAACAGGACGAAGAAACCGCGGAAGTTATGGTAGTCGCTATCCGGGTCAAAGTGGGACACACGGGGGATGTAGTCAATTGTATAAAAGAGGCGATTCCGAGCGCGCACTTGTTTACGGGCCGTAGAGATCGAATGCGCCGAGGGAGGAGCATCTTCAGGGACGGGGGTGGAGCGACCGCTATGTTTTAAGAAGCGCAAATATTAGCCATTGCACTCGACAATTGAAGGCATACAAATTTGACAGGGCATGTATACCTTGCATCCAGGCCTAGCTGAGAAGCTGGTGGGGTGAGGTTCACTTCCGACTTCTCGGATTGGAGGGGAACGGCGCGCGGCCGCAGCAGCGTTGGGGAACCATGGGAGATGGCGCTAGACATCCTTGGAGGAGGCCTTGGAGGAGGACGCAATTGCGGGAATATAGGAGATATTTCACATTGACCACAAGCCCATAAACTATAGGAAGTGGAGCTGTTTGGTTTGTTTGGGAAGAATCAAGTCGAAAGACGGAGAGAGCAGTCGGAGCGGGAAAACGGGTCCAACAACCAACTACGTCAATGGTCGGCCTTTAAAGGATATTTTAGGAACTGGGGTCGCAATTCTCGCAGGGCTGGAAAATGTATTTTTCTTATTAGAAAAGCAAAAAAAAAATCAAGTATCGCAGACTGAATATCAAAAGTTGTTATATGCCCCAAGTAAAATTGATTTACAATAATAGAATGTTTTGTACAGACTTTGAATTATATCGAATGTTTATCAATCTATGCAACAACCGGGACGGCATCAGGCTTCCTTATTTCTTTCAAGTTAAGGGGACGGAATGCCTCCCCAACAAGAACAGGCCTCTTGAGAATTATTGAGGCTGTGCTACTCAATGGAGTTAGTAGCTTGTCTTACTCAAAGGGGTTTTCAAATGGACCTGATGGAACAAATATGTGGAGATCAAGGATGAAGCTATGTATGGTCATAAGAGAGACGCTATAGAGATTAAACTCATTTTCGTTGGGATTCATAGTCCTGATCTACTCAAGGCAGAAGCTTTTTTTTAAAAAAAAATAAAAAACAAAGGATATGTAATGCTATGTATACTGTACATACAATGTACTCGATTTTCGATTTCATTGTCAGCAGCAATGAGTACTCAAGCTATGATACTCAGTAACCCTTTCAAAGTGAGGTAACTAACTAATTTGGTTAGTTAGTTATTAACCGATTCGTTACGTAATACATTATTAATGCCTCAGGCTTTAGAATGATGAGGTAATATGCAGCTATTCCATATATGGACTAGTGCACGCTGTGGATGCCAAGAAGCCAGGTCAACCCAAGAAAGACCCCCAAGCCCACGCATAATAATAAAGCCCAGACCGCGATCCCTCAAAGTGCTGCAACCAACTTAGCTACATTTCGCCCAGACGCCCCATCTTGCTGGGACTGGCTCTGCTTCCCCTACCTCACTCCGATTGCTCTACTTACCTCCCCTGGAACCCCGTCCGGGGGTTGACCTCACATCATGGCTTCTCGTAAGTTGGCCCGCCGCCCCTCCTCTCCCCTGAGGATGCGACTAACCCACCACAACTCTAAACAGTCAAGCAATTCATTCGCAATGTCCGATCCGCCAAGACCATTGCCGATGAGCGAGCCGTGATTCAGAAAGAGAGCGCAGCTATTCGTGCCTCATTTAGAGAGGAGAGCCACGACTCGAATGTCCGGTTAGCTACACCGCACCCCTCCCCCCGTTCGCCGTATACCGACATCTAATGCCTAACACAGGAGGAACAACGTGGCCAAATTGCTGTACCTCTTTACTTTGGGAGAGCGGACTCACTTCGGACAGATCGAATGTTTGAAATTACTCGCGTCACACCGGTTCGCCGACAAGCGACTGGGCTACCTGGGAACTATGTTGTTGCTAGACGAGAATCAGGAGGTGCTGACTCTCGTCACTAATTCATTGAAGAAGTATGTGGGAGCAAAAGAAAATGGATGTCATAACTTGAGTGCTAATCATGCGCAGTGATCTCAACCACTCGAATCAGTATATCGTTGGCCTCGCCCTCTGCGCCCTTGGAAATATTGCCTCCGTCGAGATGTCTCGTGACCTCTTTCCCGAAGTCGAAAGTCTTATGTCGACCGCCAACCCATACATTCGTCGGAAAGCCGCCCTTTGCGCCATGCGGATATGTCGCAAGGTCCCTGACCTATACGAGCACTTCCTTGAGAAGGCCAAGACGCTGCTAGGAGACCGGAACCATGGTGTTCTGCTCTGTGGTTTGACTTTTGCAACTGATCTGTGCGAAGCGGAGGAAGAAGAAGAGGGTCCGGAGGGTGTAATTGAGGCGTTCCGGCCTCTCGCTGGGGGTCTGGTGCGCGCTCTGAAGGGACTCACCACATCAGGATACGCTCCGGAGCACGACGTATCTGGAATCACGGACCCTTTCCTTCAGGTCAAAATCCTTCGTTTCCTTCGTGTTCTGGGCCGTGGCGATGCGGCTACCAGTGAATTGATCAACGATATTCTGGCCCAAGTGGCAACCAATACAGACTCGTCAAAGAATGTGGGCAATGCCATTCTGTACGAGGCGGTTCTTACAATCTTGGACATTGAAGCGGACTCCGGCCTAAGAGTATTGGGTGTGAACATCCTTGGTAAATTCTTGACTAACAAGGATAATAACATCCGCTATGTTGCATTGAACACTTTGAACAAGGTCGTGGCGATTGAGCCGAATGCGGTCCAAAGACATCGTAACACTATCTTGGAATGTTTGCGGGATCCTGATATCAGCATTCGCCGGCGAGCGCTCGATCTCAGCTTTATGTTGATCAACGAGGACAATGTGCGTGTGCTTGTCCGGGAGTTACTAGCCTTCCTGGAGGTGGCCGATAATGAATTCAAGCCGGTGATGACAACACAGATTGGTATCGCCGCGGATCGATTTGCTCCGAACAAGCGCTGGCATATGGACACCATTCTCCGGGTTCTCAAGCTGGCTGGGAACTACGTCAAGGAGCAAATCTTGTCCTCATTCCTCCGTCTTATCGCGACCACTCCGGAATTGCAGACCTATGCCGTTCAGAAACTTTACTCCTCATTGAAGGAGGATATTTCACAAGAAGGACTGACCCTGGCGGCAACATGGACGATTGGTGAATACGCCGATAGTCTGCTGGAGGGTGGTCAGTTTGAGGAGGACGAACAGATCAAGGACGTGCGGGAGAGCGACATCGTGGACTTGTTCACCAATATCCTTAACAGCACATATGCCAACCAAATCGTCATCGAGTATATTACTACCGCATCCATGAAGCTGACCGTGCGCATTTCTGAGCCAGCCCAGATCGAGCGTCTGCGCCGCTTCCTCACTAGCCGCACGTCTGACTTGAGTGTCGAGATCCAGCAGCGTGCGGTTGAATACACCAACTTGTTCGGGTACGACGACATCCGCCGCGGTGTATTGGAGCGGATGCCTGCCCCTGAGATCCGTGAGGAGCAGCGCGTTCTCGGCGCTCCTGCCAAGAAACGCCAGAGCAAGGTCCTTCGCAGCAAGCCCACCAAGGTGGCATCCAAGCCTGCTGATCATGACCTGCTTCTTGACCTGGTGGGTGGCTCCGACGCACCTGTTACCAGTCCGTCATCGCATGGAGGAAACACCGCCGATCTGCTGGCAGATATCCTTGGCGGCGACTCAGGCTTGTCATCGCCCGCTCCTACCCCTGCCCAAAACACAGGCAACCACAGCTCCATCATGGATCTGTTCGGCTCAACTGGCGCCTCCCCTTCTCCCCAGCCAACACAGCAGCAGTCGGCTTCTCTGGATCTTTTGGGTGGCGGTATGGGAGCATCCGCGCCCTCGCCTTCCGTCTCACCTGCTCCCGTGGCCGCCTCAACTCCTGCCCACACCGCGCTCAATAAAGACGGCTTGGTGCTGACGCTTCAGGTCCAACGGAGCGGTCCCAACGCCCAGATTCTCGCTCGTTTCCGCAACGAGTCTAACTTTGCGCGTTTCACCAATGTCGGCCTGCAAGCTGCTGTACCAAAGAGCCAGCGTCTGCAACTGAGTGCCATTAGCAAAGCTGACCTCGAAGCCGGCGATGAGGCCACTCAGACAATGCGTGTCACGGCACTGAACGGGGTATGTTTTACTCACCCCTCTCTAATCATATAATTTAGGACATAGTGCTAACCATTTCCCCCCACATCTAGGCCCTGCCACCTAAGCTTCGCCTCCGTCTCCGGGTCTCTTCTGCTCAAGACACGGCCGCTCCAGTCATTGATCAAGTAGACTGGTCTGAGCCGTGAACGCAGTAAACCCAATGTTTGTTTTCTGCTCCGCGCATGATAGGATGGGAACTTTATTTTCAATTGCGAAAAAGTCTTCTGGCGGATGAAACGTTTAATTTTCCATGAGCAGCCCCAATCCCAATTTCCATACACATATTCATCTTCCTTTCTACTCCATGCCCTTATTTAGACCTTTGGATCATTTCCTGCTATTCTACCCGTTAGCCTTCGAAAAAGGGCAACTTCTTGTACATGCTTCGATATCCTTGAGTAGATGAGATTGGCACAGCAAATTCTGCATCGCGCAAGTTAACGTCTTTCTCAACAAATGATTCGCAATTTAGCAATGCACGCGTGCAAGCGCTCGGAGAAGTGATACATGTGCGGACTTGATTTTTCACCTACTAGTACTACAGGTACTGTAAGCCTTGGAACCTTTGGGCAACACTAGCCACCTTCTATTTATCAAAAGCTGGAAGGCTGCAAGTTTGGGAGCCGAGCAACCTTCGACGGCTTGGGTGGGCACAGTACACTTCAAGCTGTTATGCACGTCGACCCTTTTACTCGGTTCTAGACTGGCTACAATTATAACTCTCAAGGTAGTGGAACAATTCTCATTGGTAAAGTATCAGTCTGTCTAGAAATTCTCCAAACTTGCCGACATTTAGTGCCAAATGATGTGAACTAGTTTGTATACGTGATCGATCGTACCGAAATGACCCGAAATATCAAAAGCATAAGCTATAATATAACTGCACAGTGACCTGCACTGCATCAGTAAAGGCCAAACCGACGTGAGAATTGTGCTAGTGGGCTTTGGGGCTTAAAGCTAGCACAATAAAGCCAAGGTTAGATATCTACATGTGCTCAATTGGCTCCTCTGGAAGCAATTCTTCATGATCTCTCGGCCCACTGGGGAGACAAGCCTTGAGGGGAGGGCGGATAATATCGTTGAAGAGGAAGGTACCGTAAACGAGGAGTCCAAAGCCAGCGACCTGAAGCCATTTGAAGGATTCCCAGCCCAGTCCCAAGGATACGATCCAGATGAACAGAGTACGGCATGTGTCAATGGTGCTGCGGGATGTGGCGGAGACGGTGCGTGTGACGGAGAGACCAAAGAAATTGAATCCGCTGCAGGAGGTGTTAGCATTTTGGGGCGACAAAATTATCAGATAGGAGGAGGAAACCATACCCAATGCTAAACATAATCGCTATACTAGCCATCGCCACGGCACGGTTAGTGAAAACCTGGTGCAAGCCTTCTTTCATGTCGAAATAGCCGTATTGGCCTGCTTCAGTGCGTCCAACCAGTGCGTACATGATGCACATGCCAGCGAAAGTCACAGAGAATCCGAATATGCCTTCCCATCCGACAACTACGATCGGGTCCATAGCGTAGTTCTCAAGGATCCACTCCTCCAGCACAAATTGTGTGGCCGTAAAGATTTGCCCTCCAGCAATCAGTAGCACTCCAATAACGGCCTTAACAGCCTCTGGGGTTCCAGTAGCCGTGGATGAGGAGCCATCATCCTGTGCGAGATCGTGATCCGAGGGACCGCTGTAGAGGGAACCGGCAAGACCTACAAGCGCAACACCAAGAACGACAATAAACAGTGCACTCCATTGGTACAGATATAGCTTCCTTCGGAGGAAAAGCACACTGAAAAGTCCAACAAAAAGCACGAGAGTTCCCCGAGTCATCTGGTAAACACTTGCAGCGACAAAGAGCAAGCCCACGTTCATAAGAGTGGTTCCTGCAATATCACAGCAGGACGGCGCAGCCAACAAAAAGATCTTCAAACCACGGAGTGGAATGCGGCCCTCGTCGTCTACGGCAGATTTAATCGAGTTTCTGCGCTCGAGACCATTTTCGTCGATCGTGTGCTCGTCGTCATCTTCCAGACCGCGATCCTCACCACGAATAGGACGGTAACCGCCGGCCAGGAGAGGGGATTGGTCGCCAGAAAAGCGGGGGGCAATAAAACGCTGGTAAATAATCGATAGTCCGACGACTAACCAGCAGCCCATCTCACCGACAAACATCTGCGCCCTGTTCAAGAATAGTGTTGGTAAGCAATAGAACTTGAATCGTCCAGCTAAAAGAGAAAAGGGCCACTAACGTCTGAATTACTGGTTGCTCAAACAGCTTCCGCTGGCTGGGATCGGGGGAGTCACAATTCCGAACGCATTGCATGTCCTAAAAAATCGCGTCGCTGTTAGCTGTGCTCAGTCTGCACAGGGCTTGTCTCAAAATAGCACACCTGGTATTTGTTGAGAATAGTGTTGCAAACCCCGGTCACGAGCATCATCGTGACCAGGAATGGGATTAAAGAGCGATCCATCATGTTGCCACCTTCAGTATCGAGGGATGGGGGCGATGAGGGGAGTTGGAGTTGGGAAGTTGAACAAAGCGGAGGTCCCTTGTTATCGGACCAAAGAGCTGATAAGGATCAGCTGATAAGCTGACGTGATGGGAAGTGGAGACGGGTTTGTCCGTGTGATCGACAAGACATTCGGGGATCTACAATGCATCCGTGCGTGTTCCAAGGGGGGAAAAGTACATATGTCGTAATCAATCACCATGCTTCTACAAGATTAACAGTCTACAGAATTAGATGAAGTGGTTCCTTTGGAAAGAAAGTGTGGTAAGATTAATCTGAGATTAGTCTCGTAGATAAATATTTGAAGACAAAGAAGAACTGTACTCCTGCGTCGGGTATGGTACACACGCTTGTCCCTAAACAATCAAAAGCCGTATGTGCGCCAGGGAGAAACCACCGGGATAAGAAATAGAAAGCAGAAGGAAGTATCGAGCAAAGCCGGACGAAAACAGGAACACGGGCAACTCCCAAAATCACCAGGCGATCCAATCCGTGGTCAGGGACCATTAGAAGGATGCCTCATTCAGAATTCACTGTTCCTAACTAATACATGCTTTGATGTGGGGAAGATCGTAAATATGGACGTCACTTGTTGCAAATCGCGAGAATTAAAGAGCAGCAATTGCGATAGTGCCGCTCTCAAGGTTCATCTCTTTTTGGGGCTGTTCATCATTATTCCAATCAAACTTCAGAGCGTCCGGTCCAGTCGGATAGCGAAGGCCGTTTAGGAACTCAGAAGAAGGAGGCATCTCCATCCAGTCTTCGGCAGCTTGGATAGACTCTTCATCCCATGGCATCCAATCGTACCAGGGAACACCATTGCAATCCTTGTGATCATCCTTAGGAGTCATGGTTGCAAGAGCATTGTCTTGAGAGTCGGGGGTATCATCGGATTGGTCGAGGGAGAACATGTCGGTATTCAGGAATTCATCAAAGGAATCGTAGCCCATACCCTTCCGTCGGCATTCTGCAAATATGGGTGCGAAGGTATCATGAATCTTTTCTAAGTTCATCGGAGCTTTCGCCCATGGGTCCTCAGCTTCGAGGTCATCCAAGGTGCGCTTGCCAGGTTGCTTGCCAGGAGAAGGCTTCGCACTCTTGTTCGCTGCTTGGTGAGGTGTGAGCTGCTGGGCAGATGTGGCAGGAGACGCAGTCTTTGCTCCGATTTGGCTGGTCACGCGAGCCATGGGGGTTGTGCTAGCCGTGACCGGTGTAGGCAAGCCTTGCTTAGCGGGCGAAGCCATTATGCTCAGTTTGTTGCTAGCGTTGGCAGTATTAGGTGCAGACTCAACGCTTTGCTTGGGCTGCTGGCCGTCGGTGGCCAATCCAAGACCAATGGAAATACTTTCCAGGTAGAACTTCATGGGATCATCAATGTTCTCCTCTTCCTCGGGTTGATGATTTTCTTCGACGTGTTTATCCAGAGCTGCTTGGGTTGGGAGACCTTGGAAGTGGTGGTGGCATTCAACGACGCTACACTTGAAAGCACCCGCCAAAGCGGCAGCCTTGGTCTTAGCGTTCGCCACGGCTGCCTGATAAGTGGCAGACGCAACGGATGCGGCATTAGGCTGCACAGGTGAGGCACTGGCACCAGCAGCGTGAGACTGCTTTCTCTTCTTGGGTGGGGGAAGCTTCAGCTTTTCCGGGGCAAGACCGCCTGGCCCATACGCGTGCGGAACGCCCTGTGGGGATGGTGCTCCAAATGGCGCCGGAGCGGGAGCTGCACCAGATTGGCTGGAGGCGCGTCGAGCGTGGTGGCGGGCTTCCTCTTGTTGTTGATGTGTCTGAAGATTCGTAGTGCTCAGTGGGGGCATGGTAGATGGGGGTGAAGATGCGACAACAGCGTTATTAGGGGGTTGCTGTAGCTGCTGCTGCTGCTGTTGATTCTGCTGTTGTTGTTGCTGCTGCTGTTGCTGCTGCTGCTGCTGTTGCTGTTGCTGTTGTTGTTGATTGATGCGGAGAAGCATGACTTGGAACAACTTTCGGATGAACAGAACAGCACCAGACAGGTATTCTTGGGAGATAGTGAAGTTGTCATTAAGGACCCAATCCTGTGTATTTTTGAACTGTCGCATGATTTGGACCCGCATAGCAAGAAGATTTCGGATGTTCTTCTCTTGGCCCTGCACTTTGGCAAATCCATGTAGCATCAAGACGTCTAACCTCCCTAAGATATCCAGTGAGTTCATTAGCAGCTGGGACATAGCCTGTTTCTGTTCAGGAGAAGTCACAACAGCTTGAGAAGGTGGAGCGCTCTTGGCGATTTCCATGTAGACACTCATGATTTCAGGCTTCAAGTTCTTCTTCCAATTTTCTTCCGCACCAGCACGACTAATGATCGGGCCACGGAGGAAACCCTGTTGCTGCTTCCGCATATGACTTTCGACTTGCATTCGTTGCTGAGGAGTCATTGAATGGAACTGCTCATTGGAAATTGGACCACTCGGTCGAGGAGCAGGGGGGCGAGCTCCAGGTGGTGCGCTTGCAGGTGCGACGGGTTGTTGGGATTGCTGAGGCGCAGATGAAGCTTGGACTTCTCCAACATCTTCCATTTTCCCCTTGTTCTTCTGGTTTTGTTTGCCAGTTGCAGCCTTGGCATTCTTTGCCGGTCCTCCGGCTTGAGTCTTCATGTTTGGCTGCTGATGCTCGGCAGTTACCGGTGCTTGAAGAGCTGGGGGTTGGTTGGCTTGGACAGCACTCTGGGGTACTGATACAGAGGGACGTGGCATAGGCTGATTGGGCTGCCCGGGTGGCATTTTAACACCATTCGCATTGTTCAGTTCTTGTCGGGCGCGCGCATTCGCCAGGATGATCTGCCTTTGGCGGTGTTGGAGGAGCTCGCGGATCTGATCATCAGAGAATTTGAGGTTATTTTCTCCCATCTTTTGGCGAGCCATGAGGATGTCCTGGCTGGTGAGTGGCCGTATCTGCATATTCGGCTGAGGTTGTCCGGTGGGAGGAACTTGTCCATTCGGAATTTGACCCGGTTGTCCCTGGTGGGCTTGCGGCATCATGTTCGGGCCCTGGTTATTTGCACTCGCGGCCCTGTTAGCTACAATCTGTCCAAAGTGGAGTTTTTGCAGCGTCAGGAGCTTGGTCAGATCAACACCATTTGATACCTGAGGGTTGGAAGTGGCCCACTGCTTGAGCTGTCCCCAAGTTTTTATGTGCTTGGGTGTCTGGGTATTGTTGTGATTAATGATATTGGGCGGGAAAGCAGCACGATCCATCTCTTTGACCTGCTCGGGACTCATCTCCAGACCATTGTTTTGTTGGTGTAAAAGCTGGAGTTTGTAGAGATCTTGCTGCCGCTGCTGCTGCTGCAGACGCTGTTGAGGAGTTAAGCCTTGGCCTGGAATCTGTTGGGGCATGCCCGCAGCTGGATTTCTGGCCGGTGGCATGTTGAGAGGCATCATTCGGCCGTTGGCACCGTTGAACATGGCTTGGCCTTGACCGGGTTGTGCTCCTGCTTGCTGAAGAGAGCCGGGTTGCTGGCCATTATTGCGAAGCATGGCACTCCGGCGTTGATTCAACATGAATGCTTGGCGCTGCTCATTAGTCATTTGGGCCAGTTGATCCTGAATAGCCTGTGGGAGATTCGGAGGAATCTGCGGCCGACCTTGCATGTTGGGCTGGCCCGGGTTTGGTTGGCGGGATGGAGGTCGAGGCTGGCCAGGCACCTGGACAGGAGACATTTGACCAGGGGCCATGGGTTGGTTCAACATGGGCATAACCGGGCTAGATTGGGCCATGTGCGCCTGTGCCTGAGGGTTTTCATGTCCACCGTGGCCCGATAGAGCAAGTTGAGCTTTCTGGGCGGCAGCAGCTTGCGCACGTGCCTGAGCCTGAGCTTGAGCCTGCGCTTGAAATTGCATCCGGTCTTGGGGGCCATTGGAACCATTCGGGAAGTGCTGCTGCTGTCCAAAGAGCTGTGGGTTCATGCCCTGGGCATTCTGAGTCATCTGTTGAGGGAAACCATTCTGCGGCTGCTGATTGGGGAAAGGTGGTTGGTTCATTTGCGATGAGCTTGCAGGGACCACCAATTGCCCAGCCTCCTGTGAGCGCAGACCGTCTGCCTGCTGTCCTTGGATGTTTTCCACGTTACCGATGAAAGAATTCGAGTCAAGACTTTGGCCAGGGCTACCAGAGAAGCCTGAGTTCCGCTGGAGATTCATCATGTTCTGCAGCATATGACGCTGATTTATCATGGGATCTCCCATCATGGCACCATTGGGGTCCATGCCGGCGTTACTGGGACGACCCATCTCCATACGCGCTCGACGGTGTCGGCGCAGTTGGTTCAAAGCTTGGGAGCGAAAGAAATATGTCATTGGATCCATGCGCTTGCGAGCCAGATAGGACTGCTGATCGGGGCTCATGTTGGAAAGATTAAGCTTAATCTTCTCCATGTCTTCGGGGGATGTCTTGGCCAGCATTTGATTGGCCAGGCGAGAGACATTTTCTTCGTCTTGCGGAGAAAGGGAGTTCAGATCATCATGGAGGGGACCGCTATTCGTAGGACGTTGTTGAGCACGCTGCTGCTGCTGCTGTTGCTGCTGCTGCTGCTGTTGTTGTTGTTGCTGCTGCTGCTGCTGCTGCTGCTGTTGTTGTTGAAGCATGACCGACTGTTGTTGCTGGCGTTGTTGCATGGCGGCCTGCTGGTTCGGATCATTCATTCCCATCGACATTTGCGGCTGACCTGGGATTGGAGATGACTGCATTCCTCGATTTAACTGCTGTGGAAAGCCTGGCTGGAGGGGATTCTGCATGCCGCCCGCCTGGGGCATCATGCCATTTTGCATGCCACTTTGTTGGAGGGCGACAGCAGCTTGTCTTTGACGAGTATCTTTGATGTGATTCAGTTTTTCGTTACATTCACGTTCGTATTCGCTCTGTTTATTATCATCTCAAGTTAGTATTTGATCGGATAAATAGGTGGGAGGGGATCAAGGGTCGGATTAGCGCACTCTTTCGTTGGCCTTGTGAAAGGCTTTTTGTTCAAAACTGAGGGCAGCCTGGGCGGCGGCTTGAACATCAATACGAGGCTGGATTAGTCGGAGTGAGGTAATCCTAGGTAAGTCAAAGGTCAGTTGGGTCGGAATTTGAAGGAGGCGCCCACAGGCAAGAGGGGCTGAAGCGCGTACATTTGCCAGACATTCATGGTACGAATCCTCCAGCCGACTTCTGCTTTCCATCCACTGAAGGGGCCTTGGTTTTGTAAGACCTGACCGACATGGCTCAGGATGATTTGTTGACCATTATCCGGTTGTTGTTGTTTGGGCTGCTGCATGCCGGGCTTGCCACCGCCCATGCCCCCGCCGCCGGGGGCATTGGGGAATTGACCGTTAGGATTCATGTCGAGAACCCCATCAATGGGGGATCTGAGAATAATCCGCGGGGAGTTGTTGTGATCAGCATTCGCCAAGTTGGGGAGACGGGACGCGGCAGGTTGTCAAAAGGGAGATTTTGTGATGGAGCGATGCAGGGTCGGGAGATCGTATCAAGGTCGCAGATCGGCAGAAAGATGGAAAATCAACCCGAAAGTGAAAAAGGCCGCAGTGTCGTCACGAAAAAAAAGACCAAATGGAAAACGGAAAATGGAAAATGAAGGAAAAAAAAAAAAAGGTGGAAAAGGAAAAAGGGAAAGACACAACGGTGGGTGGAACCTTGGAGTTTCGATGATCAGGGAGGGTGGGGATGGAAATTCAAATGGTCCAAACGGAGGACACAGGCGGAGAGAGAAGCAACGAGCGACCAGCACGGGAAAAGCAAGGCGTTTTCGGGCAGCAGCGTCAATTGGACCCAATTCGCTGACCAAGTGAATGTGGCTTGGGGCGAATGAGAGCGACGGGCGCAATCGTAGGGTTGAGGATCCGTGACAGGGATGATGCCGCTAGTTCAAGTTGCACGGTGCAAAAGACAGGAATGAATTTCGGGGAGAGAAACACAGCAATACGGGAGGAAAATGGGAAACTTTCGGAGAGCAGAAACCCAAATTAAAAGGTGTTGATGAAACCGGAGGAATAAAATGCAAGGGAAAAAAGAGGTGAGAAGGAGAGAAATGGAAAAAGAAAAAAAAAAAAAAAAAAAGGAAGAGAGGAAAGAAGGTTGGAGATCGGAGGGGATGATTTGTTTCGTGCTCAGGACGCTTTCAAGGGAAGAAAGGATGTACAGAGATGAGCACGAAGGACACGATGGACACGATGGACACGATGGACACGATGGACACGAGGAAGTTGGAAGTTCAGATTCCAAAAAGACAAAGGAGAAAAAGCGCAAAGCTTCGACAAACGTGTATTGAATTGAAAACGAGTCAGAAAGGTCAGGTGAAAATCCCCAGGTACGAGGTATCTCGTGACTAAGACTACAGATTACCTGCATATGTAACACTTGAATATAACCAGCACTATACTAGTAAAGTTATACTCGATTTCTATTTAACATTTCCCGATATTCGACGATCACATATCTGAAATCTGAAATCTGAAGCACTTTTGTCTTTTACTAACACGTCTTTCCCCCCACTCATACTGCGTCGTCATAATTGTGGATCTCGTTTCACGGCCCCCCGGGGGAGAAGGACTAGGCCAGCCTTGAGTACTTATAGATCAATGCCAGCTAGGGAGCTTCTTTAAAATGTAAAAAAAAAAAAAATAAAAAAAATAAAAAGATAAGACGGTAGTAATCTTTAAAGAGAATAATCTGGTATGTTAGAAAAGAGCCATATTTTTTTTTTGTATACATTTCTTTTTCCCCATATGAGAATTACACTTAAAAAGTCCCAATGACCAAAGATCGACATGAAAACGTCCCCTGATTCCCTTAACCTTGGAAAAGTACCAGTTACTCCACCGGGCGTGGCAGCCGCGCATTTTCAAGGTCTCTGGTTAGTTACCGTGCGCCCGCTTAAGTCAGCACTCCCCTGGAAACGTCAACCTGCTTCCATTCTAGATCTTCCTCTTTCATATCATTTTCCAGCAATGAGCGGCTAATAGGACTCTTTCTTTTTCGCTTCCTTTTTCCCTCTTTTTCTCTCTTGTCAAATCTCTCAATCATGTTCTCGGTCTCCGTGTCGCCCATCTCGGTGGGCTCAAATGTCTTCTTCGCCTTGGCACTTTTCGCCATTTCCGTCCTCGTCCTCTTACTTTTACGCCGCTTCCTCACCCTTCGCGCCACTCCAGCCTATCTCACCGTCCCCATATTCTTGGCACTAGCACTTCCTGCCAGTGTAGTATTACTAGTTCCAATCGATTTGGCCTCCAGTTCACGCGATGGCAGTGGCCCCAAGGCAATCTGGTTACCCGATCGCGTGGTCCTGGTATGCTGGCGCATCGCATACTGGCTCATTTTCATGCTGACTTGGTACACATTTTACCCTTTCAAATACTCTTGAAATTTCTCCACATTCTGCTCGCTAACACATTTCCAGGGCTATCCTCCCACTGCTGGGTGAATATGTCGACTCCGGATACCGCGAACCCAAAGCCCGCATCTTCTACTCCCTCCGCAAGAATGCCCGATACCAGTTGACCGTCCTGACCTGTGCGGTTGTCGGACTCGTTTATGTCTCCATCTCCAACGGCTTTGAATTAACCTCTATCAAAGGTCTGGTCATGGCATTGGCATATGTGTGGGGCCTTGTCTTGGCCATCTACCTCATGGGTCATGGCCTGGTCTCCATTCCTCGGAATCTGATTCGCAATGCAAATGTGAGCGGTCGCTTAAGACGGGTTCAAGCCCATGCGCCCAAGGTCCACGACCGCTTGATGGATGCAGTGAATGAATTGGAAAGCCTCAACTCCCAGGTTACTCAGCTTCAACAACGCAAAACCGGAACCGCGCGCGATTTCCAGGAATGGATCGAGGATCTTTCCGAGGGCTCGGGCTCGTCTGATGTACGGGTCCCAATCCTTGAAGCCCCGGAGTCTTCGAGCACCATCCCCTCCGTGATCACGGAGCGCTACTTGGCCGACCTGACCCGGCGCCTGCAGCGCTCCCGGCACATGAAGGCTCGGTTTGTGGATGAGTGGGATCGATTGGTTCTACTCGCGGCCGACCTCCAGTCTATCATCAACTCAGCCGCCTCCAAGAAACTGGAGTTTGGCCCCGCGCCTCGCCGATCGTCCTGCTTCCCTCGCGCCAAGCTTTTGACCCCGTATATGCGTTATCAGGTGTACTCGAATGTTGTTCCCTCGGTCCGAATGGTCTTTGGTGCATTTTTTTCCGTGGCGTCGGTCTGTATCGTATGGTCGGAATTGATCAAGTCGGTGGCTCCCCAGCTCTCTATTGTGAGCTTGACTATAGTGCCCAACTGGCAAGACCCCAAGCCCCTTGGCTTTGGCAAACAACTTGTGACTTCCGCTTGGCTCTTGTACATGTGTTCTGCTGCCCTGGTAGGTGTCAACGACGTCAAGGTCTGGGGTAACCGAGCCCTGGTGCGTCGGAACACTTACGGTGAGAGCGCCTGCTGGTATGCTAGCCTGGTCGCTCGTCTCACGGTACCTATCGCCTACAACTTCTTGACTTTTTTGCCAAAGGATTTCCGCCGAGAAACCACTTTCTACGAGTTTTTGGGTCGTCTCATCAACCTCACGCCGCTCGGCAAAGGATTCGATTTCATCTTCCCGATCTTCATCCTTTTGCCCATTTGCGCCACTCTGTTCAACCTCTATGGCCGAATCAAGAAGATCTTTGGTTTCGGTCTTGCCGAGGAGGATGATATCCACGACGTGGAAAACAATCCCTCTGGCTACGGTATGGGCGGCTGGCGCGAAGGCCGTGATCTCATTGAGCGTGAGCTAAATGGATTTGGCTCACTGGCCGTTTCCTCTCGGGGAACACGCTCCACCTGGGCAGCAGATCGCGATGACGAGAGTGACTCTCGCGGCTCTTCGCGACTGCGAGTTCCTGCTGCTGAGGGCTCTCGGTCTCCGCGAACCGCTCAACGGCCCGTCACCGCACCCACGGTCATCGATGGGGAAGAAGAGGAAGAGGAAAACTTTTTCCAATCTTTTGCGCACCGCGTTCGCAACACGTTTGAGACGACCAATACTCCTCAGTGGTTCCAAGGCGAACCATTCCGTCTGCCTCGTTGGATGTCAGGGGACAACACCACTACGGAAGAGGATGGCGTTACCCGACTGTTTGGTGGCCGCGCGGTGCCTGGCCGCCTCCGTCTGGGCTAGATGGAGTCTTTTTAACTCCTTGCATAATGCGGCGTTTGGGCTTGAGTTTCATCTTTGCTGCTGGACAGTGTAATATAGAATTTTGTCTCGGTTTGTACATATTCCTTTTCTTTGTTTTCTGGAAGCCACTACTGTTCATCAATGGCTATGAGAGAGATAAAAAAAAACTCGCTCTTTAAATAACAATACGAATCACCTATTACGATCATATTAAACATTGAAGTTGAATTTCCTTTGCTCATAACATTTGAAGTCAAATGTCTCATTGTCAAGCATTCAAACTGAGCACTATCTACATAAGATACCAAGCTATATAAAAAAGTGTTTGGGGAGCTGGTTTGTTTACTATGTTGTTCTGTACACTTTCGCATGATATTCACCAAATTGCAAAAAAAACGGGTCAGTGAGTCTATGAAGAGGTGAGACTTTTCAGCTCTTCACAGGCATCAAAGCTCTGGTTCTCCACGAGTATTTACATATGTTGCTTTCCTACAGCCCTGGAGACAAAGCGGCTGATCTTGTCCTCGGTTTTGAAGACCTCTCTAATCGCACCTAGCGGAACATTGATTTCCCCATAGTACCTACTATACATCTATCGCATCAAGCTCCTCCAGAACATGCAAACCCTCTCTAGCCGATCTCAGCTCCGCCCCAATCCCATTCCAAATCCAAAGTCTAACCCCTTCATCATCACACCAAGGATTGCAAGCTGTCTTCCAAATACGATTTATAAAATTACCCCCGCCCTTAGCCCCGGGCTCCCCACGACCCTGAGTCTCCGGGTTCGGTCCAAATTCATCGCTCGTAGCCGCATTCACAATGGCAAAGCTACCCTGTTCCGAAGAGATCGAGAACCGCCCAGCGATGAACTTTGACAGACCCTCTTGCCACCCGCCTTCAAGACTTGGCGAGAAATTCCAGATCCCCGAGTTGACGTACCCGGGGTGCACGCCGTTGATCGTGATGTGTCTGTACTTCTCGCTCGATATAAGGCGGCGTTGCAGTTCGGATAGCCAGGTTTGAAGATAGAGCTTATTATTCTCGTATGTGCCTCCTATTTTGCGCACGGGCAGATTCTCCTTGTCTAGCTCTAGCTTTCCGAAGAAGTGGAGATTAGAAGTGGTGCACACGATTCGTGGCTCGGCACTTCGGGCTAGGGATTCGAGGATCCGAAATGTCAGGAGGGTGTGCGATATGCAATTGATCTAGAATGCGCATTAGTTTTGTTCCACACTTGGAAATTTTAAAAGTCCCATCAATAAGAGTCCTCTGGCGCTACGGCGCACGGTTTGGTGCGTTGCATGCACATGCGCCACTCATGTACTATATATACATCGAGCATTCAATGTTGAAACATACCTGATGCAAAATCTCAAACCCATCTTTGGTCAACTCCTTTTGATCGGTCGAATGCGGCGCAATCCCTGCATTATTGCATAAAATATCCAGCGCTCGGCCCGTGGCAAGCCATCTCTGCGCAAAATCATCTATGCTAGCCAGGTCTGTCATATCAATAGCCCACCATTCAATGGTGGACGAATGGCCCTCGGATCTAGCCAAGTCCACGCAATGCTCCACCGCTGCAGAAGGATGAGTCTCCCATTTCGGAGGCTCCCGACAAGCCATGATAATATTTGCGCCCCACTTCGCAAAGGTTTTCGAGGCCTCGAAGCCAATGCCGTTGTTGGCTCCGGTTACGATCACCCATTTGCCGCGCATGTCTTTGCGGGGAACATCTTTCTCCGTCAGCGTGGTCGGATTGATTCCTTTCAGAGCCTGGAGAATGAGCCACCCGCGCAAGTACCACCATGTTGGTGGCTCGGCGATGGATGTTGCGCTCGTGCTCATGATTTGGGTGTTCCCGAGGTCCGGGGTTCCTGGGGAGGAAGTAGGGTTTATGGAGTAAGCTGGAGACGAATTGGTTGTCGTGTGGGTCTTTGCTTGCCACGGATCGAGGGAAGAACTCGTGGTTAAGGTTTGTGTTTGGAGGAGCTTATTGGGCTTATAAGGGGTTTGATATGTTTATATCTTCTTGGCGATAGGATGTTTTTTTCTGCCTGAATTGTGAATCGGTGGTCAGCGTATGCTTTTGCCTTGGGAGCTGCGCCCCACACGCTACATACACGGGGCGGGGGCCAACATCAGATTTTCCAATTTGGGTGTTTCTAACCTTCTCTTCGGACAAATCGAATCGTATATCGTTTTTCGTTTTTCGTTTTTCGGGCTTCATGACCATAACTTATAACAGTATTGGAACCTTGGAAGTTATTTAGTATCCGGCAATTGCAATTGTTCTGTGGCAACTCAAGATGGTACGGTAGCAGTGTTTTGGGAGAGTAGTTAGGGCACAGCACTTGTCATCTCCCTTTGGTATTCTTCAAAAATCTTGGGATACGAAGTGATGGCCTCTTAAAAAGTAAGTTTACGGTCGCTTGGAATTATTTGCATTATAATTTAAAACTATTTAAATATTTATTTTGCGTTACGGAGTAAAAACAAGCAAGATCGGTACTGGGGGCTGTTGGCCCCAGCGGGTTTATGGGGTGTTGGACTATAGAGCGTAAGTTTTTGTCTATTAACATCAAGAAGCCTTCGTGGTCTAGTTGGTTATGACGTTGGTCTCATATCACTTTCATATGACTTTCCTGTTAACAGGATAGCAATCCGAAGGTCTCCAGTTCGATCCTGGACGAGGGCATTCTTCTTTTTTTTCTTTTTTTCCCAATTCTTGTGTCAATTATTGTCTATCTTCCAAAGTGGTTTTTTTTTTCTGCCATATTTAAATGTATCCATGAACATACATCGCACATACTAACATTGATTTTAGTGGTAGTACAACTGTACATATCACACTCCAGAGCTTCGACGTTGATCGATCAACCAGACCTTGTGTATTTATATTTGTATGCACTACCCGAACCCTATCAAATCCACAACCTTGAAACTTCGGAACATTGAACATTTGAATATTCCAACATCAATTGATTTGAATATGGAAATGTTCCGACATTTGAACTTCGGATTTATTACTACATTTGTACATAATTGATGTATGTATGTACTAGCACTGTACCTACAACTACCTGCACACATGTGTGCAGAAGTGCATGTGCATGGATGTTGGATGAAGTCCAATTCCAACATTTGAAGTTTAAATATTTTCATAAGCTATTGATGACTTCATAATTTCTACCTACTCGGTACCTACTAGTACATAGGTGAATGTTTGAAAACTTCCAAGGGATCAGACCTCGGGAACAACTAATTTTCATGTGTCTATTGCTCAGGTGCCCAGGTGAAATCTTGGAGTATGCTTAACAGCTCACCTGGGCAAGCGCCTGAGATGCACAACTCAAATTCTCGGGACTAAATCACAGCATTGCATCCCAGTTTGGCATAACCGTAAATTTGCCCGAAAGTTGACCCATAGACCAAGCCTGGTGGCGTACGTCGTCCTTTGGTGGTTGTCCAGCCTCCTCTGGGTCGGGAGAAGAGACGATTAGCGCCTCCTGTACAAAGTCCACCGCCGCAGCACGATCAAGCTCGAAGCTGATGCCACCCCAATCCATTGTAACACGTCCGGATTTGTGCACATTTAACTTGCCCACGCGCCCCGCTGGCAGGGACCAATTTGTGGCGGCCGTGATAAGCTTGGAGGTTCCATTGGATTCCGCTTCAGTATCGCCCATGATCTGAACATCCTCGCCTTCATTTTCGGATTTGACTTGTGGCTGTGGCTGGGCCTGGGGCTCCGGTCGGATTGTTTCTTGGGAGGGTGCTTCGGTCGAACCTGGGATAGAGAGATTGGGTGTCATAGGAGGGAATTGCATGAGGAAAAGGTGTCCGAGGAGGTGTTGGTTGGCTAATTTTTCGGCTGGCGGCTCTGCATCGGCTGTCGCTGTGTCTTCACCTGGGGTTGTCTCCGGCACGGTTTGCGGCTCTGATTCGGATTCGGGCTCGGGCTCTTGGTGTGACAGAAGGTTCCGAACATGCTCCAGATCGTCCAGATGACGGTCATACTCATCGAGCTCCTCCTTGGTGCGCAGGAGTTCGCGCGGGTCTCGTTGGGGCGCTGGGGGAACGACCTCTTTCGTCTTCTCTGTCCTGGGTTCTACTGACTTGGGTTCTGAGGTCTTCCGGCGCACACGATATCTCTGTCTCGGCAACAATTCATCGTCGGAGGGAAGAGGCAAGTCCTCCATGGGTGTATCAGCATCGTCTGTCGGTTCGTCCTTCACATGAGGCTCCTCATCTGAGACTTCTGGGGGAGTTGGCTTGTCATCCACAACCTCAGCAGCCTCTTCCTGAGCCTGTTGTCGAATCTCCGCCGCCTTGCTGGAACTTGACTCCATATTGACGGCGACCACCCGATCCTCGTGCTCGTGTCGTGTGACACGAACAGGACGTAATCCCTTCTCCCGACGACCTCTGACAGGCATCTTCCCTTTCCCGTCCTCTGCCATCTCGTCGTCTTCATCGCTCTCGAGATTGATCTGGTCAATGCTCATCCGCAGTTCATCATCCGAGGAGTCGTCCTCCCGATCTCGAGACCCAGTAAATCCATATCGTGCGCGGCCACGTGCTGGACCACCGCCTCGACCTCTGAATCCACCTCCAACAGCACCACCACGGCCACGGAAAGAGCCTCTGCCCCCGCGATTTCCTTTACCACGCTGGATGGCAGCTGCGTCTTTCAAGCGATCATTATACCGTTCTTGTTCAATCTTTTCCATGGCTTCACGCTCCTCCTTGCTCCTCCGCTGGACGGCCTTTGGTCGAAACTTCATTGGCTTTGGAACAGGCTCGCCGCCTAGTACTGAGGGTGAGCGCGTTGCCGGTGTGATGCTGCCGCCTCCCGGTGCGCGTTTCTTCAGTGACTGTAGTCGCTGTACAGGGGGTCGACCAGGCGCGCCTGGCGCTGCACTTGGGGTTGGCGCATTTTGTGTAGAATCGGTGTCTTCTGCTTTTGCGGCTGTTCTTCTCGTGCCTGCTTTGGGAGGCATGGTGGTTGTTGCGCAAGGGGCGCTCTCCCGCTGAGATTTTGAGGTTGTAGGATATGACAGGTTTTTAGCGCATGCGTTATTTGTAGCTAGGAAAGCAATTGAGGTCGTAGAGCAGTTTTGAAAAGGTAGATAGCAGGGTCGTTGGGTCACAATGCGGGCAAAAAGTTGAGCTTGACAAAAAAGTTGCGGGGCCTTGTACACCGCTTTGGATATCACGTGATACCGCCGCTATTGTGCCGATCAATGAGAGCGACACTTTATCCTGAAGTTAGTACTAATCTAACTAGTAAGTACTAGTGCTGAGAGCCTCAATCAATGACTACAACTACTACTTTTGAACCCCACGACAAAGATACATATGTAGTACATAATCAATCAAACAAAATTGATTCCCAAACTACTCATGCAAACAAACAAAAACCCATAACAACTTCTCTAGTCCGTGCTAGCCCCTTCATCTGCCACTGTCGGAAGTAGTATATATCTTCACATTACTTCAAGGTCGACTCGAAGTATACAGCACAAAATAAGAAAACCAAAATTGGATGAACAAAAAGGCAGATACTAGTCTGGAAGGAGCGGATGAGGAAGATAAATGTATCCGCGAACATGAAGGCGCTTTCAGAAAATCAACCCGCTGGACTTTGTATAGATCGGGATCGGAACAGAAAGAGTGTAAGATTGTGGTGAGGTAGAGAGTAGAAAGGAATGTCGAATCTCTCAGCGAGAAGATAGTTAAAGGAGGGTAAAGGTGAGGATGGTGGAAGGTGAAGGAGAGATATAGCAGGGGGGGATCACGTATTTGACAGAGGCTTAACGCTTTCGCTTCTTGTTCTTATCGGCCATCGCGGAACTGACAAGAGGAGAGCCCGGCATTAAGGGAAACTCAAGAGGCTCAGGTGATTCGGAAGATTTCTTGACGGGAACACCCATGTGGCGCCCATAACGGCCCTTGCGTCCATTACCCTCATCCTCGCTGAGGCAGCCATCGATCCCGATGCCGGCGTCCTTGCAACGGCCGCAGGGGCGTTGGCGATCACAACCTTTTTTGCTCTTACGGCAGCGCTGACAGCGCGGCTTTGTAGAGAGATCCTCTTCGTCAGCGCCGAGTTGATGTTGGAAATTGACCGACCCTCCTGAAACCTTGCGCGATGAGCTCGGGCTTAGAGGAGGAATAGGCGCAGCCGATTTGTCAGAGGGTTTGCGAGGGGGAAGAGGTGCACTCTTGATCTTTGGTTTCTGCGCAGGCTTTTGGCTTCGAGGTTTGACAGACATGGGGCGACTCTTGGGCTTCTTTGCCTTGGGAGCAAACTCTTTATACAAAGTGTCATCTTCAACCTCGCTCTTGATACCATCTTCAAGGCCATCAGAACTATGTTCACTGCTGTCTGCGCTGGGGAGAATGTCATCAAGGCCCTTGTGATGACGTTTGATAGCTCCAGGAGGGAGCATTGGGCTCGAGTCAAGTCTGCGACGAGCTGGCAAGTCATCTTCCTCTTCGCTAAAGTCCTCGCCTTCGCTGGTAGCACCAGTCGATGAGGCGGCATCAGCAGCACCACTGAAGGCGTCATCCAGCGTTGACGCAGATGTACGACCATGAGAGAAATTGGAAGCGTCACCCAGACGAATCAATTGCATTGCGACATCCTCATCAGAGATGCAGCTTGCGATGGTCGGGTCTGGTGTGGGCAAGATACCAGCACCACTTGTTCGAGGAGCTGAGTTGCTGAAGGGTATGCGGTTTGCGTGGTCAGGAACTATGGGTGTCGCATAGACTGTACTTTTTCCTGAATGTACCCCATATTCGCTGTGGCCATAGCTTTGTGGCGATGGTAGTGTTTGGTTGTAGTTATATGGGCGGTGTGTAGGACGAGCAAAAGGTGAACCGGCACCTTCTTGACCAATCGATCGACGTTGAGGAGAGATGGAGGAGGTCGAGGTAGTGAGAGGGACTTGAGGAGGGACAAAGAGTGGGAGTTCCTTCAAGGATGAGATGGTTAGAAGCATGACCCTTTTGGGAAAAAAAAAGAGAGAGAGAAGAAAAATCAAAGTAGAGCGTGCGACATGACTCACCGAGCTGTCAAACTTCGGACGCTTGCGACGACCATCTTGTAGTATATTTTCCATGCTTATTTCCGAGCTGGCAAATGCATCGCCCCGAGATCTGCGACTATAGCTGTCCTCGCTATCGCTCATCTCCTCATCATCAGGGAAGCCAGCATGGCTAGAGCCACGACTTTTGACTCCACAGCGAGAACCCTGCTTGTGGTGAGAAGCGCTTCGCAGACTCCGGTTAGAGGGGGATGTGCTGCGCTTTCTAGCAAGGCGAGAGGAAGGCCGCGATGGCTGATCCAAGACTGGCGCTACACCATCCATGCCAAATGGCTCGCCCAAACTGGGTCGCTTGCGCTCAACAGAAAACCCATTGTAGAAGTGTTCCGCATATGGTGAAATAGGAATGACTCGCACATATACCGTCATGTTATTTTTAAGGTTTTCATACCTTGCGATGAGGGTGGTCCCATGTTCATCTTCGAAGCTCACACCGCTAGCGGTGCCATCGTAGATGCCATAGAAATTTTTGACCGTCGTCACAATCGAATCTGTGGTATCATGGGGATATATTTGAACGCGCATGGGAATACGGGCTCGAACCTTGGAATTTTCGTCCAGTAGCAGCTCAAAAGCGACGTTCTTGGGCACGGGGCTTTTAAGCGACAAGTCTCGAGAGACATCCACCGCAGATTGCTCTGCTAGGACAGGATACCCTCCATGGGGAAGTGATTGCATGGTGGAGAGATCCATAATGCTGGAAATTCCTCTGCTGCTATGGTGATGACTGCATCAACCCACTGTTTTGTATGATGGAGGAGGAGAGAGCGGTTTTGATGGGATCCATGACCGGGGCACAGAGGAAGGGTTCTGGTGTAGAGGGAGGGGGAAGAGGATCCATCGAACCTACCACAATTATAGGACCCGAAAAGGTTGGCAGGTGGATGTACCACCCCCGGGTTGTCGATGGGGAAGGAGAAGGATTTGTCACAGGGCTTTTCGATGGGGATGGAGGGGGAACTTGGGTGTCGCAACCGAGAATGACCCGGAAGAGGCAGCGTGGGGATCACCTAGGACAAAACACAACACCAATGTCAGTACAATGCCCTCCTAACGGGTTGAATATATCATGAAGATGATATTTGTCTTTGGAAGATGGAAAGATGGGACGTTGGGTAGCCGAGTTCGGCTGACCTTGGGGGAAGAGACGGCGAGACGGCGAGAGCAGACTCGGATGAGAGTGGAGAGCAGCATAGACATACCTAGAACAGATGCGAATGACTCTAACCGGATCGCAGAAGCCAAGGAATGACCACTGCCAGGCGAAATGGCGAGCGATGGGTGTCGGTGTCGGGTTGTGGTGGAGGTGTGGATTGTCGTTCGTTCGTTCTACGAAGCGCTTTTGGGGGTGGGCTATGTCAGCGGTGACCCAGGTAGCCGAGATGGAGGTCAGGGAACCTCAACGACAAGAAAGAGAGCAATACCCAAAACCGAGAAATAAACAGCGATAGGCGGGGTTGGTTGTCGAATGGAGAAGGAAGAAAGTTGAGTGGATGCGTACGATGGTTTCACCTAAAGCGAGAAAACGGCCTACTTGGGTCGGTGACATGGCGATTTGCGCTCCCGCCCAAGCTTGCTCATCACATTCCATGTTTACCACCCAAAAAGTGGAAAAGGACTCGAGGAAATCGAGTATAGACTAGATTATATACGATGCGAATTTCTCTGCTTTTCCAAACATATGAGCTTGTATGAACCATATCGGTCATTTCGCAATGCGCACTGCTGTCGCAAGCCGTAGTCCTATTGCGCCGAGCATCCTGTCTAACCATCCATAGCTTTGATGTAAACTAGACTTGGTCTGTTCGAGTGTGTAGTACTACCGCTGCTTTATTACATACTACTAGTAGGGGAAGAAAGTTATCCTGGTCGGCCAACAAGCGCACCGGGTACCTTGTCGGAAATCAGAGTATCGTGGTATTTTTTTCCCCTTTGGATTTTTCCTTCCAAAGGTCTTAAGAACTTCAGCTCGATTGAGATTCAACATATCGCAGGCAATAGATGGGTCCCAACAGGGCCATTTATGTCGCAGGAAGGCCCCCAAAGACAAAGTAAATGGCCGGGGCAGGACCTTGTCGCACATTTGGCGACATGGCGCCCATGCGATTGCTGAGATTCTTGTCGCATTATCCATCCGAGTATCGCTAGAAGTCACAAAATTGGATGCGACCAGCCTGGCGCTCTAGGATCCATTAGGAACCAATCCTCTCAGGCGCTCGGAGTTCTAGACGATGGCGTTTCTAAAAAAGCTAAATGGCAGATTTGAGGGCCCCCAAAAGCAGCCAACTTCAAAGGCACCAAAATATGAAAAATAAAAACCAGTTAGCGAGATCTCCCTTCGAAGACAACAATCGCATGACTGATACTTGTCACGGTGTGTTTCGCATGATCTGCATCGGGTGAGTTTACCCCTCCTCGGGACCTACGTAAGAATAGAAAAGGGATGGGGGGGTTGCAGGCATTCTCTCCTCGAACCTTGCAGCATAAGAAGAGCCAAACTGGTCCAGAAGTTAAAAGCTACAGGGTCCTCGAGTTGAGTGCGTTCGAGTGCAATTCCCGAAGGGGGAACACATGATTTCCAAGAAGTTTTTTTTTCTTTTCTAAAACGGTAATATTGAAGTGTCTGGGCGCAGGAACTGCAAGTGGCAGTGAGTGGCAGTTAGTGGCCCCAGAATACTGAGGAACGTGCACTACGAAAAGGATTGTCCAGACCCGTGCATAGAGATTGCAGTTTACGGGACTGTTATGACCAGTTAGAGTGCGGAAACCCGAATTGAGGCGAGGACCCCCGCACCGACTTCACACATTTCCGGAGCGGGTCACAACGATGCCCAACTTTGTCGCAATGATGAGCGAGTTCGGATGCGCTTCGGCTGATCTAGAAAGTCCCAATCGTTTACCGCTCGATCCGGGCCTGTTAAAAGCGGTGTGGATCACGTGGGTCCGCGTAACTAGCGCGTTCAAGAGGGTTGACCGGCGGGGATGGCGATTGTGCCTCCACCAACCAAGTGGGAACTAGGCAAATGATCGGAATCGCATTAAAAACATGACAGCAAATGCCCGTCAAAAGAGAATTAGATTTCTTCCTGAAGATGGATCTGTTTCGGAGGAATATAGAAAATCGAGGGACTCCGGGAAGACGTGACGATGGGACCATGATGTCACTGATAAGCCGATAAGGACTCTTGGCATTGGCGGAATGCCATGACACGTGCAAACCATGCAAACACCTGCAGATCAAACAGATCAAATCATTCCGGTGGTGTACTGTCACGTACTGTCATTTTGTATAGATACTACTAGTACATACTAGCTGGCAGTTCACAATATTCAAGTTCTACTAGTACGATCAAATGATATAGTTTTTCCCATCCTACTATCATTATCATATTTTGTAATAATCAAAATACATTGCAGATAAAGAAGAATGCAAAAATCAATTTGGTTGAACAAATCGCATTTGATATCTTGCAACAGGGCGTAGATTTCAAGTTCTTTGTGATAAAGTTGATTGGGTGTTGACCAAACTTAATGCTGGTCGCCGCGGTTTCCAAATGTAAACACGGCCGTACCACTAAAACCGTTACCCGTTCCTGCGGGCTCGAACTGTTTGTTTTGCTTGGCGTGGCAGCCAACCCGCTGCAAGCCTTCTTCTCAACTCAGCAAAACATAAACAATCCCTTTTTCTCTACTTCAGCCATCCACCCATTCACGCGACAATTTTGGTTGATAACCCTCTGGGATTGCATCAACGATGGACGCGAAAGTAAGTATATTGCTTGATTTCCTGCAATTATTTCTTGGTTCCACATCTCAAATGTTGTGGCTTGAGTTCCCAGAACATAATATCAAGGGACCCAGTTGATCTATCTATTCCTTTCCATTGAGGGCTTGGATCAACCAAGAACCAGCTAACCAGATAAACAGCCTCATCGCATTCGTGTCCGAGGAGACGAGAACGTGCCACCCTCCTTGCAAAATAACAAGACCATCCATCAGCGCAATAAGTCCCTGTCGGCCCTGACCATCACCCAAGCCGCGAAGAATGGTACTCGAAGAGCTTTCGGAGATGTCAACACCAATACAGATTTGTCGCGTCCTAGCAGAGATGACTCGGCCCTTGTGGGAAAGCTAGGTGGACAGGTGTCTGAGAAGCCTGCGAAAGCGCAGGCTCATCAACGCGCCTTGTCTATGTCAAGCTCCGCCAAAAGTCTGCTAAACAACGTCAGCACGAAGCCAGTCAACCCAGCTGGCAAGGCCCAAAACACCAAGCCAACTAAGCGAAACAATACTGTGTTCCGAGATCAACTCGAGCCCGTCGTTGAAAAGGAATCATCCAAGGAAACTCTGATTAGTCGACCTACTAGTAGTCGACGAAGTGAACCCACTTCTGAAAGCCAAGTCACGTTATCGAAAGAGACTGATAAGGCTGAAAAGAGAGAAATCTCAAGCAAGCCCCTGGGCCCGTCGATCGCTGTCGTCAACGCAGAGCATGTGTCAATCTCCACTGGATCGGACGGCACCGTTCTTGAGACTGATGACCCCAAGACGGCTCCCCTGCAGATCGCCTCGCTCAAGACACCAAACCTCCTTCCCTCGGAGCCAGAAGAAGAATGGGATGACGACGATGAAGATTACTCAACTGCGCCGTCCACCTTTGGCCCGGAAAACACTACAGGGGGCACGACAACAATCATTTACCCCAAGTTTTCCTCTACCACAAAGCAACAGATTCTCATGGCAAAACAGATGGTTGAAGCTGCGCGCACGGAAGAGGATGTCCAGGAAGATTTGTACGATACTAGCATGGTCGCAGAGTACAGCTCGGAGATTTTCCTCCACCTTCGAAAGAAAGAGGTATATCTTTCCTCCGCACACGCACTTGGGAACAACTCATGCTGACTCTTCTAATTTAGACCTCAATGCTTCCGGTTGCTGACTACATGGCCAGCCAAGCTGAAATCCAGTGGTCGATGCGCGCCGTTCTGATGGACTGGTTGGTGCAAGTACACTTTCGCTTTGCTCTGCTCCCCGAGACTCTATATCTTTGCGTCAACTACATCGATCGATTCCTCTCGCACAAGATCGTCTCTTTGGGAAAACTGCAGTTAGTAGGCGCTACTGCTCTGTTTATTGCAGCCAAGTACGAAGAAATCACCGCGCCATCTGTCCAAGAGATTGTCTACATGGTCGATGGTGGCTACACTGTTGATGAAATCCTCAAGGCCGAGCGCTACATGCTTCTGATTCTCAACTTCGAATTGGGATGGCCTGGCCCCATGAGCTTCCTTCGTCGCATCAGCAAAGCAGACGATTATGATCTGGAGACACGCACTGTGGCCAAGTACTTCATCGAGATCACGATCATGGACGAACGTTTTGTCTGCACTCCCCCAAGCTTTGCTGCAGCTGGCGCTCACTGTTTAGCTCGCCTGATGCTCCAAAAGGGATGCTGGGTATGTTTGTTTCTTATTTCCCCAGGTACTTTGTTTTTGCTAACAACTATTATAGACTCCCGCCCATGCATACTATTCTGGATACACGTATTGGCAGTTGCTTCCCATCCTAAACAACATGCTTGATTGCTGCGAGAACCAGCAAAGCCACCACCAAGCGATTTATGAGAAATACCTCGATCGTCGGTTTAAGCGTGCCTCGCTGTTTGTGGAGAATGAAGTTCGTGCTTCGTTCTCCCTACCCAACAATGTTCCCTCCAACGATCCTGCGCGCATGACTGGCGATGCCAACTACTAACGTTTGTTTTCAAAATTCCCAAGCTGAAAGCGCTTCAGGCTTGTTTATCACAAATACCCCAACATTCTCTATCGCGTTTTCTCATTTCATGATGCTTTCTCGGAATCGGGCTTTCGGTTGGGACAGGGGACCGGAAGGCGTTTTGTTCGATTAATAATGGTGTGATTTCTTCTTTCTTCTTTCTTGTTTCTTCTTTCTCCTTTACTCGTTTCTTCTTCTTCTTCTCCTGTTGTCTTTTTTTTTCTTTTCCTGTTCTTCTTTTTTACCATCATGACATCTGGATGACTGGACGTTTGTTCCGAAGACAGATGGATCTCATACTCGGAAGGCGTTTGATATGTTTCTCTACAGGCGTTACGAAGTCCCTTTTCTTCTTCTTCTTCTTCTTCTTCTTCTTATTTCCCTTTTTGCGAACCATACCTCTATGATTTTCCGCTTCCTTCGATTTTGCAATGATTCTGCACTTCTATCAGGCGGCATGGTCTTTTTTTTTTATCTTTTTCACGATCCCTACCTTTTTCCCGATTGTGTTCATGTTTGCTTTTTCATCGTTAATCTATTCATAACATGATTTTGCGCGTCGAAATAGTTTTACCGAGAATGAATGATCGTGCTCGCGATGGAATTGTCCTTCTATGCAGTCAAGTGCTTATTTGTTTTTTTTTTCTTTTGTATTGGGGCTACTTGACGGTAGTCCCGACGGAGAAAGTTATCATGATAGAGCACCTTTCGAGAAAGAAAGATAGTTTATTTTCTCTTCCACACATCCTTACCATACCGGTGGTTCAAATTGCTCAAAAAGTTCGTAAGGCTATTATGCGCAACCTTCCAGTCCGCAAAAAAGCCCTTTGTGGAGAATTTCTCACGTATGAGCCCTTGATTTCACGTGCTACTAATCCGACGACTACTTAGCACTCTGTTTTTGTTTATTCTTTTGAGTTTCCGTTCTCAATGTTCTGACTCGGAGTAGCATGAAACAATTTATCATCAAAGGCCTTGGTGAGCTCGAATATGATTAATTGTCATCTCGTTTTCATACTTTAAAGGGGTCTAAATGTGCAGGTAGTAGATTCCTTTCAAATGTTTGTATCATCTATCTCATTTATCATCTAGTATGGATGCCATGTATATCATTGGTCTAGCCCATTGAACTCAATTAATCTTTTCACAGCCTCAATCACTTTGTCGCCGGCCCCACCATCCGAGCCCTGTGCCGGGCTATCAATCCGCGCAGCAAGAGCCTCATCTAACATTGTTCGCAGGCGGGAAACAAGAACACCGATTCTTGCCCAACCACGTAGCCGGAGCCAGCCGTCTACCACAAGTCCACGGCCCATTGTGTCAAGAGTGATGGAACCACAGAAGAGGAGCAACGAGTATGCATTGAATGCTGCATCACAGTTAATGAATGACCACATGATTGATTGAAGAAGAAGAGAGGGGAAACTTACGAGTCAAATCCCGGATGAAGACCTTGCTTGTTGCCATCTTAGTGAAATAGGTGAGGTATGCCACAGAGCTGGGATATCCATGCGCAGAGAAGAGGATCGAGCTAGGATGAATGAAAACACGTCCATTTTCCTGGTTAAAGTACTTGATTGTCCGGGCATCCGGATCAACCTCGACAGTACCGGTGACCGAGGCGGCAAATTTCTTATCTGGAAACGAGATCTGCGCAACTTGTGGCTGGAAGGCACCTGCGATGAGTGCACGGATGAGGTTCCGGTTGGAGGCGTTGCGATTCCAAGAATTTGCGCCATCGTTGTATTCTACTGGTAGGAGACCAGCATCCTTGAGGGATGTAACAAATTGAGCTCGGTTGGACGAGATATCACGGAGGGTGTGGTGGGATAAGAAGTTATCACCGCACCACGCCTGTGATTGCCAGTGACCTTGGGTACGGACGCAGTCAGACCAGGACTGATAGGCTGATAGATCTGTGAGAAGATCGCCATCTCCTGGACGGGAGAAAGTAGCTTTCGCGGCATTGGCTTCATCGCGTCTGTCGCGGGGAGACACGAATGGACTTTTGACTGTTAAGATGGCTGCAACTGTGAGGCAGGGTTCCATGCAGCCGAAGATTGAGCCGTAGATCATGAGCTTGGCGCAACGAAGATCTGCCGGGATCATGGAAAGATATCGGCCTAGTGCGGTTAGACGGTCGTGATCTAGGGCTCCGACCCGATGTAGGAAGTTGAGGGCGCCCTCGACAGCTATGCTTTCTGGCGGAGTGATTGTATTGGCTAGGAAGGTGGCGACATCATCAATACCCTTCATGGATTTCACGGACAGGCACAGTTGTTCGAGAGGGACGCGACGAATTTCAGGATCTGGTCGTTGAGCCATCTGGGCCTCGGCTTTGCGAGTGTATAGTTTGTAGCAAGTTCCGGCGCGGACACGACCAGCTCGACCACGTCGCTGTTTACAGGCTGCCTGTGATGCCCAGACCTCTTGAAGTCGGACCATGTTGTCTTTGGGATCGTAGCTCGTTTCTTTGACTCGACCGGTGTCAATAACGGCAACTACATCCTCGATGGTGATAGATGTTTCTGCCACATTGGTGGCCGCAATAATCTTTCTCTTGCCCCTTGGGGGACTTTGGAAAACACGGCGCTGCTCTGCTGAAAGTAAAGATGCATGCAAAGGCAGTGGGTGCACATTGGGGATTCTTTTGATAGCTGTTAGGCATCTTTCAATCTCCATTGTTCCTGGCAGGAAAATTAAGACTGCTCCAGGGCGATCTCCTAATTGAGCATCGATGAACTTGACAGTGGATGAGATCAAGTCATAGTTGATGCCCATTCCGATACTGCGCAGAGTTTTACCCAAAGATACTTCATCTTGGGAGGGTTCCATATCCTCGTCCCATTCATCCATTTCAGGAGCGAATCCAGTATCCCGAATGACATCGTCCAAATAATAATCATCCACCGGGAAGGTCCGTCCTGGGATATTCACTAGACCAACGGCTTTAGGCCCACCAAAATAGTTCATAAAGATATTGGCGTCAAGCGTGGCACTCATGAGAATAACCTTTAAATCCTTGCGATACTTGAGAACATCCCGTAGTAGAGCCAGGAGAAAGTCGGTGTCAAGACTTCGCTCGTGGACTTCATCGACCACCACATGCGAAACGTCCGCCAAAGAACTGGCGACGTTTCCATCGGCGCTACCGCCTGATTGGATACGGCGGAGCAGGACACCGGTTGTCACAAATGTAATCTTGGTTGCACCCGGCTTGGCTTTTGATTCACCACGGATCACATATCCAACCTCGTCGCCGACGGTTGAGCATCGCTCATCACTAACTCGATCAGCTAGACCTAAAGCTGAGATACGGCGGGGCTGCGTGCAAATAATGTTTGCGGCACCTCCTAAGCCTCGCTGAATCATGTCGTCAAGCACGAACTGTACAGACTGTGTACTTTTACCGCTACCAGTTTCACCAGATATGATGGTGACCTGATGAGAGTTAACGGTATCAATAATGGAATACTGAGTGTTCCAGGCAGGCAGTGACTGTCTCTTGCGAGACATCTCAAGCTGAGCAGTGCTGTTTTGCTTGGCTTCCCATGCATCTAGCATTGCAAGACTTGCCGGGGAGTTGGCCTTCCAGTCAATGCCCCGACGCTGTTTGCGAGAGTTGCGCACGGGAATCTCATGAGTCTCCACAGCCGGTGAAGCTGTCACGGCCGAGATCTCACGAAGTCTGCCTGGATTCTCCATTATCTGAGAAAGATTCATCTCTAACCAATCCATGATGTTAAAAATCATAGATTCGCCAGAAAACTTTTCCTCGGCATACTGTACAGCTCGGCGAATAGCGCTGAGCCGGATGTAAGCTGGGATTCCCTTTGCTTGAATGGATATCACTGGAGCGACAGAGGGATAATGCGAAGATGGCTCTTGGAAACGGAACGTAGTATTCTCTGGAATCTCGGGGGCCTCGCTTTTAATTTCACATACTCTCGGCGAAACACGAATGTAGCGCTCCCCAAAGATTGCTTCCAGAGTATCTTGTTCCTCAGCCCATGCTTCTGGAATCCCTTCTGGAATTGAAGCAGATGCGAATTCAGAACCATGCGCCAAGGTACTTTGTAAGTACTCTGCAGCTGCAAGCTCATCGCCATCTTTACCATCAAGGACTTGAGAGCAAAGATCAGCAGGATAGCCAATTGAAGCAAGACGCTTGATTTTTGCTTCTCGTGCTAGATCTGCAGACGCAAGGCTGACACCAGCTGAGTATCCCTCGGGTAAACACCACCGAGGCAGGTCGTCCTCAGGCACATATACCAAAAGCCATTCTAGAACTTCCTCACGATCTTTGCACACCGCCACAGCTTCTTCTACGTGACTTCGACGGAATCCTAGTTTGGAATATTCCTCAACAGCAGCTTTCTTCTCAGCCTCGGGAACCTTGACCTCGTATGGATTCCAGGTTGTATGCTGGCGCAAAAGTCCTTCAATCTCGCGTCGGATGCGAGTGCCCATTTCAACTTTGGGTGCCTGTGACCAAATGCGCTTGCTCTTAGCATCGCCACCTCCAAGGCCAAGGTCTGTCGACGAGACCTTCTCCTTAGCTTGCGCCTTTGCACGTTCAGCCCGTTTCTTTTCCAGATCGGCGGCCGCACTCTCCCGTTCCAGCTTGGCTAAGAACGGATCCGCCTCATACAGCCATCCCTTACCCTCGCGGGTCTCCGCCGTCTTAATCTCAACAAAGTCCTCCTTCCACAGCTTTTTGTATTTTGGTGGCATCATCAGGTGGATATTGCGCATGTTGCATACGCGGAAGAGCGCCCACGCGGCCGCGAAATGGCGAGCTTCGAGCGCTGTCGCTTGGGCTGCCAGTTCTTTGTGAGATGGAGGCAGCTTCATCGGAGGCAGTACAGTCGTTTCGTGAGTCTTCGGGTCTACTCGTTTCATCGTCACGGCGGATACATGACCACCTGGGGTTTTGATCTATCAAGTGCGATTTGCATTAGTATCACATTGAGTTCACTGTCAAGGATTCAGAGTGGTATACCATGCTATACTCTGGCTTCTCCCATTTTTGCTTCTGGCAATGCTCCGAGAGCATATTGACAGGTAATTTGCCAGTCCATGATGCGCCGCCAATCACTTCCTTCACAGATGGCTTTTTGGGCTCTTCGGGCGCGGCGTCGGCAGCAGGTTTCTTGTCCTTATTCTCCGCGGCAGCCTTGGCCTGTTTAGTGCCTGGCTTCGGCCCTCCCGGATTGCCGGCTTTCTTTTTCGGAGGCATTTTCTGCTTCGTATCGTCAAGGGTCAAAAAGTCCAATGCACTATTTCATTCGATTGGGCTGGGACTGTCCCGCGCTAGACCGCTTTGGGGGGTTTGCGGGGAGCTCTTTTGTATTAGAGTCGATAACTAACTACATGCTTTCCTCCGTTCAAAATCTTCCTTCCTTGTTCCCTTAATTTGATGTCGTGTGTACAGGCCCTTACTTGGTCTGTGTTTCGAGATGTCTAGCCTAGAACAGGAAAGTGATCCTGCGAAAAATCAGACCAAAGAGCAAACCGGCAGCACCGCGGAGAAGAGAAACGCCTGTGAGCATACAACCTACACCGAGGAAAACCAGCTGTTAGACCACTAACTGTCGCCCAGTCACAGAACTTCTCTCATCACGACAAAAGCAGGTAAAGCCCACGACCGAGGCCTCCCGAGGCAAAAAGAATCGGCCCAGCCATCTTTATAGACCCGGTCGTGACGGGCTAGGAGCTTACATCGCGAGACCAGAAACCTATCCCTCCAGCGTGGTGGTCAAATACAACGAAGACTTCGTCGCAATCCATGACATGTTCCCTAAATCTTCATTACATCTACTCCTTCTCCCTCGTGATCCAACAAAGACTCACCTTCACCCTTTCGATGCCTTTGAAGACATCGAATTCCTCACCAAGGTCCGTGCTGAAGCTCACAAGCTGCGCGCTTTAGCTGCCACTGAATTGAGACGGAAATATGGCAAGGACTCTGCACAGGAGCAAGTCAGACAGGCTGCACTCATCACAGAGCCGCCACCAGACAAGTTGCCCGCGGGTCGGGACTGGGAGAAGGAAATTATGTGTGGGGTGCACGCTGTACCTTCGATGAATCATCTACATGTGCACGTCATCGCCGTGGATCGGCATAGCGAGCGACTCAAGCACCGAAAACACTACAATAGCTTTGCGACGCCGTTCTTCGTACCTATCGAAGACTTCCCGTTATCCCAGGATGATCTGCGACGAGATCCAGCGCGACAAGGGTATCTAAAGCGAGACTTCATCTGCTGGCGTTGTGGCGAGGAATTCGGCAACAAATTCACCCAACTGAAGGAGCATTTAGAAAAGGAATTCGAGGAATGGAGAAGATTGTAAACCCGAAGAGGGCAGAACTGCGCGGACAAACTCGTGCCTTGCGACAGAAAGTAGCCGGATTTCATATTTGTAATCCAACACACTCCCAAGACCGTTTAAAATGGCCGCTACGGGGAGAGGTTGTATCGGGTTTACCGCCCTTCGCAAAATTGTACATGTTCCGGTATGGAAAGGAGGATTTGCTGGCTTTGCATACATTTTCAGCATGTCCACCTAAATTCTGCACTTTCCTTCTATACCTGAATATTGAACACAAGCTGAATGCTTCTCCACTTTCTCCACTTTCTCACACTCTTACTCATTTCCAATCCTTCTCTCCATGATGAATGACCTTATCATATATGCGAGTTTAGGAACGGACCTTGGACTTGCCAGCACCCTTCACCTTGCGCGCTTCGGGGCGAGCAATGTGGTGGGAGGGGATCCAGTCAGCGTTGTAGGCAGTAGCGGAGGAAACGGCAGGGTTGGAGGTCTCCTCAACAACGACAGACTCGGTGCGCTTGGCGGGAGTACGCTTCTCGCCAGACTTGCCGCTCTTGCGCTTCTGGGGGAAGTAGGGGGCAACCCAGACAGTGTAGAAGAAGTAGATGACACCAGCGAAGGAAGCCAGAAGGAAGAAGTAGAGGAAAATGCTAGAAGTGAGTTGAGTCAGCAAATTGAACTGTCTTGTGTTTGAAGAGACAGGATTGGGAGAGGGCAGAGGAGTGGGGGAGGGTGTGTGTGTGTATTACATTTGGGGGTCGAAGATGCTAGTCTCGGGTTCCACCACGCTCACAGTGCCATTGAAGGCCTGGACAGTGAAGAACTTGCCCTCGCTGTCAGAGAGGATGGCAGCGATGTTCAGACGGACGTCTTGGGGGTGCATCTCGGTCGCGAAGCTGTAGCTGAGGCTCTCCTTGGAATTGGCAGGGATCTCGACTCCGTAACGAGTGGCGGTCAAGTTACGGATCGCCTTGCTCTCCTCCTCCACGGTCCACAGGCTACCACCGATAAAGTTCACGGTGATTGGGTTGGGCTCATCATTGGTGAAGGCGATAAGCGCTTGGGTCGGGTGACCGTTGACAAGCTTCACGCCGAAAATCTCAGAGGCGGGGAAGGAAGCCTCTGCGCTAACAGCGAAAGTACGGTCTTCCTCGACCTTCTCAGCATCCTAATCAAGGAGAAGAGTGCTGGTTAGCCAATTGATCGTTTCCGTTTTTACCTCCTGGATTTTTCTGAGGGAGTTCACGCGACAAATTGAATTAATGACTTACGGCAGCGAGGCCGGTGCCAACGAAGGCCTGAAGAGAGAGCAAAGCCAGGGAGAGGAAACCAAAGCGAGTCATCTTGGGGAGAGTTGGGGGGGGGGGGAAGTGTTGATGGAGAAGGTGTAAGGGTGATCACACGTTGCAATTAGGGAAACAGTTAACTAGTCCAGGTCCACTTTACCCGGGGAAGCTGACTCAGCCAGGTCTCTTGTTCCAGTTTCGAGAATTTTTTGGAAATTGAAATTTACTTGGAAGAGATCAAAGGAATCAAGAACAAGAGAGTCAAAGAGCAAAAGGGAAGTGATTGAAATCTCACTCAAGATCGGATTTTTCCTTTTGTACGTGAAGTCTTATTTCCGTTAACTCCTACGGGAAAAAAGGGCAAGAGATTGTTCGTCGCGTTGATCGCGCACTAAGCTTGCCTTTTAACTTTATCTGTTCCCTTGATCTTTCCAAGCCTTCAATTCTATCTTCTCAACCAACTTTCCAACAACCCCCCGGTATAATTTTCGCCATGGATTCTTCACCATATTTGGATCGTTATCGCCAGATTGGCGCGCTCGATCAGCAAAAGAATCAGCTTATTGAGGTATTCTTTTCCGATCCCTTCGTCACTCCAGATGAACAAGGCTAATGCGCTCCTCGATAGGAACTCCTGCAAAGAGTGACCGACCTCGAAAATTCCTTCCAGCGTGAGAAATTGGATCATGAACGCGAGACGCGCTTCAACCGGGATATCCAGTTGCATGAAATGGAGCTCATGCAACAGATATCTCAGATCAAGACTATAATGGTAAGGGCTTGTGGCCACCGGTTTAACCTGGGCCTGCGCTGATGGGGATATCCTTTGCAGGACCGAGAACCGTTCGTTGTGGTGCTCTTTGATGGCGAGGCTATAATTTTCAAGGATGAATTCTTGCAGCTGGGTGAAGAAGGTGGCCGAAATGCTGCCAACCAGTTTTACACCGCCATGCACACGTACCTGTTGCAGAACTTGCCCAGTGTCAATGTGCCCAAGATAATACTGAAGCTCTATCTGAATGTGAAGGGGTTTGCAGAGACATGTGTCCGCAGTGGGATCCTTTCCGATCCCTTGACGGTCCATGAATTTATTCGCGGGTTCAATGAGACGATATCATACTCGGAAATTATTGACATCGGTTCCGGCAAAAACAGGGCCAATGATAAGATTCAAGGTTCGTGGAAAGAGAAAGGTTGCGCTTGCGGTTGAGACCCACGAGCTAATGGTGTCCCGTTTTGTCCCTTGCAGAGATGTTCCAGGTCTTCCTTTACAACTGCCATTGCCATCAAGTCTTTGTTGGTTGTGCCTCAAATATCGAATACGCTCAGTTCCTCGAAGAGACTCTGACCGATGGGGATGTCACTGGTCGTGTGTCACTCGTTGAAGGTATCACATTTGAGAAGGAACTGGATGCGGTGAAGGGATCATTTAGAACTGCCAAGTTCCCAGATGTCTTGCGTTCATCCAAGGTGGCACCTATTTATGTTGCTCCCTGGAAGAGCAGCTTGCCCTCTCGGTCCTTGCTCACGCCATCCCCATCTCAGCAGCTACAGAACCCTCCGCCCTTGTCCCGGACTTCCACCAACACGAGTGCCTCGGGCCTGGGTGCACATCTGTCAGCACCAACACCGAATACAAGCAACGAATCTCCCGACTTCCAGGTTGTTCGCTCCAAAGCATCTGGGTCGACACCCGTGAAGACGGTGGAACGAAACAAATACGGACAGCGAGTGGACCGTTTAGATTTCAAGAGTATTCCTCGTGATGATTTGAATCGATTGAAAAAGCTCAAGTTGTGCAATTATTATTTCCTTCTTGGGGAATGCCCCAACGAAGAAAACTGCTATCATGACCATGATCGCAAATTGACTCGGCAGGAACTTCATATTCTATCTGCCATTGCGCGAATGACTCCATGTCGCTTTGGATTGGAATGTGATGACCCGGAGTGCATTTACGGTCATCGGTGCCCACAAAGTGAACCAGGCAAAAAGACCTGCTTCCGCGGCGACAGTTGTCGCTTTGAGCCTGTGGCACATGGTATTGACACCAATATTGTCAAGGTGACCAAGATCTAAAGTGCAAATTTTTGATGGGGCTCGGAATTATAGTTTCTTCTCTCAGATTCTCGCCGTTTTTTTCTTTCTTCCCTTTTTTTATTCTTTTTCTCCTTATTCTTATTATTTTCTCTCCATTTTTGAAGGTTATTTTGGTATTCAGGACCATTGGTTTCGGGGTTATCAATTCGGTGTCGTCAAAAGAGATGGAAACACTCATGGTAGATTGGGAGTTTCTTTTTCGGAGTTGACAGGCTCTGCTAGGCGCACGGAATAGGCTTGGCTGTCATTGGATTTTACCACTATTACCTTTCCATATGAAATGGGTCTATAAGGTGTGGATCAGATGGTCCGAACCATCTATGTCTATCCCAAAACGTACTGAATGTTTCAATGATAAATTGTATTAGTATCGACTATAACTTTTTTTTAGAATAATCCAATATCAAGTGGACTGAAATCCCAGAAGGTTTTTGTTTTTGTTTTTTACTTGCTTGGAATTCGCCCATTAATCATTAATAATTTACAGTGGTACTTCGTACACCCCAGAGCTCGTTCATGTATGAATCATGAATCATGAATCGTGAATCACTGTACCATACAAAGAAAATCGTCTCTCCCATCCCAAACACTCTTTCTGGATACATGGCTCTCCGTCAATGACCATGGCATTTGGATCTCGGGAATGGGTACATGGAACCCCGTATTCTCTAATACAACACGGAGTAATCAAGCTTGAAACTCCAGCTGGAGGTGACCAAGGTTGACCATGGAAGGCATTCGTAGCTGCTTCCTGCTTCTTCTCCTCGAGGTTGCCCCAGAAGCACCAAAGCTTCTCCCTTAGTTCAGCTAGCTTGGTTGGGTTTTGACGAAGACTACACGGGCCAGAATTAGCGTAGTTCTGAACTTCATATCAAGGCTGGAGGGCGTTAAGAAACCGATAACTCACTCGGAGGGATCCAGGCATAGCAGATGGACGGCGTCTGCACCTGAGACAAAAATTTTCATCCGCTCGCGAGGTTGGTCTTTTGACATCATTGGTTCAACACCTTCCACCAAAAAGCAGAAACGCCATTCCCATGTCATGTATTCACGGCTCTGATCCACAATAGATTCTGTTGGGACTTCCACTGCAAAGTCTGCCAGATTTGGGGGAAAGAAGTCGACCACCCGGACGAGGACATTGTAAGCGACGTTTTGAAAGGGTAGTTTGTAGCTAATTCCGCCCCCGAGAGATATTATATGGGTTGCGGCTGACAAGACCGAATCCACCGAACGAGTTGGAATTCCAAAGTCGCGGATCTTGACATGTTGATTCCGCCTCGATCGTACAGACGACAGTACCTTCTGACCCTCTTCTTTCCTTGGTTCTTTTGCTGGTGCTTCATTCTTTTGCTTTTTCTTGCTATGTTTCGTTTCGGTTTTCGGTTTTCCATGGATCTCCCAGTATTCTTTCCGACGCTTCATGAGTTCTTTCGCATGTTGGTCATAGTCACTCGATATAGTGCGAATATGTAACTTTTTTGGAAATTTCTTGTCCTGGTGGACAGCTCCTTCAAGGCTGCCGTTGGTACTCTTTTTGGGACGAACATATGAAAGCAGCACCAAGTCACCTGGCTTGACGTCGTTTCGGCAGTAACCAGCATGAGGCTCCCATAACGTGACTTGAATAGTGAACTTTCCCCAGGGGCCGGGCCAGTTATCATCGTAACGTGTTAGGTATCCAAAGGAGTCCCCATCGGCACCTGTATTGTCGCCATTTCTTTGATGATCAACTAAAGAATCATTGGAAGTGTAGTCAGTAATCCAGATGGAGCTTTTATCGCTATCGTAGTGGTTGTCTTTCACCACCTGACCAATTATTTGGGTAAACTGATCAACCACAAGGTCTTTTATCAAAGTCACTGGCAGAAATTGCTTCTTTACTTGGACTTGGAAAGGTGCGGCGACTTGAGATGGCTGTTGTGGCACACCGGTCCGCCAGGTGTTATTTTGCACCTCTGGTGTGTACTTTTCTAGGAGCGCAAGCGCAAGCTTTTTTTCCGCTGCTGTCGGAGAGAAAGGCTGAGGTCCCGTGATGATATGTGGGCTCTTGGTGGGATCTTCCTCATGTCGGAAGATGGCCCAGGGGATGGTTTGCCGATCACCAACAATACCGCATGGTCTGCCTTGGTAGAGACCGACCTAAAACAAAAGAAGAATCAGCCTTGGTATTAGTTTGATGTGGATATACACATTTTCAATGCGTAAAGTCTTACTTGAACGTTTCGAAGCAAGACTACATCATTATTCAGAACGCAGGGCAGATGACTTTCGTTCTTGTTGAAGTACTTAATTTTCAGACTGTTTTCCCAGTCGTGTAGATCAAAATCGGAATCTTTGAGTTCAAATGTGATACAGTATGATTCATTTTTGGTTTGAAAGGCACTTAGCGTGCCAACCGCCATACCAATAACAGTGTTGCGCCCCCTGGAAGAACATGCAGTGGCGATGTTTGGCAAAGGATCAGTAGAAGACATGCTGCGTTTTGCTGCGTTTGAATCGGCTAGCAGAGCCTGTGTAGAGCTGATTTCTCAAAACAATCTCTTGATTCGAAGCTACATGTGCAGCCAAGGGGAAAAGTGAAGGTGTATGTGTGTGTCTGCGAGAGAGACACAGAGAGACGCGACTTTGGTTGGTCAGTGAACAAATGTCTTATCGTGAAGTTTTTGGACAACGAGGGCCCCCAGAGTGCAGTCGAGCAAATCAAATTGAAAGTGATAACAAGGATACTTCTTTGAAGATATCAAAAATAATCAATTTCAAATTGTGTTGTTCAGACAAAGATAACTGAGGTTCGATTTGAAGTGGCTCGAAACAATTAAATGCAGATCATGTGACAGCTTCCCCCTCCTTGCACACACGAATCCTTTCTTCTTCTTCCTTCCCCCACATCTCTCTTTCTTCTTCACCACCAACGGCGCGCCCTCCATCTACCATCTTTCCTTCCTATCCCTAACTTATTTCCGTGGCGCGCTTCAATTTTTGCAATTAAATCCACCCACCATGGCGGAACGTTATATCCCCGAGCACCGCCGGACACAGTTCAAGGCCAGAAACCAGTTCCGCCCCGATGAGCTCCGCCGCCGCCGTGAGGAACAGCAGGTGGAGATCCGGAAGCAGAAGCGTGAGGAGAACATGGCCAAGCGACGTGGTGTTCAGACTAGCGATGGTGGTATCGGTGTTGGTGGTAACATGGCTGCCGCCACCGAGAGCGACGATGAGGCCAGTGCTATTGAGAGCGAGGTAAGCTTTCCCTTTTTTTTTCTTTTCTTCTTGTATATCTTGTTCTTTGTCTTTTTTCGGGGTATACTTCAGAATATACTATGGAAGATGATCTATCACGATGCGTCTACTATCATCGAACTCTTCTTGCCCTTTGTTTTCATTATGCGACCATCAACATGGATTTTTTTTTCACCGCCCGGTTGCTATGGGGCCGAACCCCTCCAACACGGACCATTACTATGCACAACCCCACTATAAAAATCTCAGCCACGATAGGAAACGAACACCAAGGCTAACATGATGGATTTTCTAGCTCAATGTCGAGCTCCCCCTGATGGTGAAGGGTGTCTTCTCCGATCAGGTCGAGGAGCAAATTCAGGCTACCACTAAGTTCCGCAAATTGCTGTCCAAGGAGCGCAACCCTCCTATCGAGCGCGTTATCGAGACTGGAGTTGTAAACCGATTCGTTGAATTCCTCCGCTCCCCTCACACCCTGGTTCAGTTTGAGTCTGCCTGGGCCCTGACCAACATTGCCTCTGGTTCTGCCCAGCAGACCCAGGTTGTCATTGAAGCCGGTGCTGTGCCCATCTTCGTCGAGCTCCTGGCCAGCCCCGAGCCCGATGTCCGTGAGCAAGCCGTCTGGGCACTTGGTAACATTGCCGGTGACAGCCCTCACTGCCGTGACTTCGTCTTGGGAGCCGGTGCTCTGCGTCCCCTCCTTAACCTCATCAACGATGGCCGCAAGCTAAGCATGCTCCGCAACGCGACCTGGACTCTGAGCAACTTCTGCCGTGGCAAGGCCCCTCAACCCGACTGGAACACCGTGAGTTCTGCCTGTTAATTTTTCTGGTTCCTTATAGTTCGCCTCTAACATTTTACCAGATTGCTCCCGCTCTCCCCGTTCTTTCCAAGCTCATTTACATGCTGGATGACGAGGTTCTGATTGATGCCTGCTGGGCTATCTCTTACCTTTCCGATGGTTCCAATGACAAGATCCAGGCCGTTATTGAGGCCGGTATTCCTCGCCGCCTCGTAGAGCTCCTCATGCACGCTTCTACCTCTGTTCAGACCCCTGCCCTTCGCTCTGTGGGTAACATTGTCACTGGCGATGATGTTCAGACTCAGGTCATCATTAACTGCGGCTCCCTTCCCGCTCTTCTGTCCCTTCTGAGCTCCACCAAGGACGGTATTCGCAAGGAGGCCTGCTGGACCATCTCCAACGTCACTGCCGGTAACTCCAACCAGATCCAGTCTGTCATTGATGCTGGCATTATTGCTCCCCTCATCAACCTGTTGGCCAACGGTGACTTCAAGACTCGCAAGGAGGCCTGCTGGGCCATCTCCAACGCCACCTCCGGTGGTTTGCAGAAGCCTGATCAGATCCGCTACCTTGTTTCTCAAGGTTGCATCAAGCCCCTCTGTGACCTTCTCGCTTGCCCCGACAACAAGATTATTCAGGTTGCCCTTGATGGCTTGGAGAACATCTTGAAGGTCGGCGATATGGACAAGGAGGCTGGTCAGGGTGACGCTCATGTCAACCGTTACGCTCTCTTCATTGAGGAGGCCGGTGGCATGGAGAAGATCCACGACTGCCAGAACAATGCCAACGAGGAGATCTACATGAAGGCTTACAACATCATCGAGAAGTACTTCTCCGATGAGGATGAAGCTGCCGGTGACATTGATGAGTTGGCTCCCCAGCAAACCCAAACTGGCTTCGCTCTCGGTACTGGTCAGCAGCAGCCCGCTGGTGGATTCACCTTCGCCAACACCAACGGCGGTGACTCCATGGACATGTAAAGTAATGACTTTTTGTTCTAATGGTCATCTTTTCGATTACGTTTCTATTTTTCTACGGTGCTGGGGTTTTTTTTATCTCTATCTTCCTCCTTGGGCCCCTTGTCACTCGTCACGATTTCGACTTCCCCCTTTACCCCTCGCCATTTCCTCCTCATTTTGTGATTCACGATAAACAAGATTCACCATCATGTAACCCCTATGCCCCTTCCCCCCCCCCATCCCCCACCCCTTTTGTTTAGCATCCTCATACACAGGCGTATTTGTTTGCAGGATCGGTTTTTTTTTTTATGTTAATGTCAACCTCCCACCCTACCTCTTGATCATCTAGTGTTTCTTGTGGAGGGCCTTTCCCTACAAGAGAACACTCGCTCGCTGGAATCAGGGGGCGCGTGTCTGTCGGTGATCTTACATTGGAAATTGTTATTGCTTGCAATGATATAATCTGATGATTGATTCGTATTGCCGATAGTTCTAGCCAAGTCACGTTTCCTGACCAAGGATGTCGATTATGCTACGGTTTTCCTTCGTACCTATCGCAGTTTGCCAGAAACAAAAGCCAATTATTTATTGTTAAACCTTTGAAGTAAACAAGTAGTATGTAACAAAAAAACAAAACATTTGAACCAAAAAAAAGGCAGTAATCCGGCACATGTGCAACATTGAACCTTGGAAGCTGGATGCAAGAAATCATTTCTTTTTCTTCTTCGCCGATCCAGTCTTCTTCACTTTAATCGGCTGCGATATACTCCGGTCCCAATTTCCCCCCAATTTCTTCTTCTCTTTTGCCACCTGCTTTATTCGCTTTTTGCGGGATGGATCATAAGGATTATCATCTTCCTCATAAGAATCTCGGGGGTGCCCTATAGGATCATCTATATAAACCTGGGCCTTCATGAGCAAATAGCTCTTGGCTCCCAACAAATCCCAATCTTTGCCTCGAACGACATAGGGAAAACGGATTGCGAGCACTTCACGACCGTTGAGCCTAGACTCCCGGGGGCCAAGTGGCCACATATATACCGGTTCCATTGTCTTGTCGCTACGAGTGAACTTAGGTCGAAGTGGGTCATTTTCAGGTGAATCCAAAGTTTTCCATGTTATATATGGATGCATGGTGGACATGAGCCTGGCCTTCTCAGCGAATCTATGGTAGACGTCACCGAGGGCGTCGGGTAATTTGGCATCTGTTGGGTCTTGGAGAAGGCATTGAAAGGCTGGGTCGTTGAGTTTAGCTGCCGCAAGCTGATATGCTTTTTCCTTGATAATCTCCTCGTTTGCAACGCCATATGCCCTGTCACCCTCCAACGCGTAAGGGCTCAGTTGTATGGTATTCGCAAGGCGTACTGTCTGGGCCCGCCAGTGGTGAGCGAGTTCGGGGACCACTAGAAGGGAAAAGAAGAAAAAACAACAACTATGTTAGCATTGAATACGTGGATTTTGGCCTTTGGAAAACATGTCAAACTCACCTGAGAGAAATTTTTTGTGCAAGACATTCAAGTGAGTGGCAAAAGTGGTGCAAGTGACGTTGCTGTCTCTTTTGTATTCATCATCGGGATCCAAATACCAGAAAGGGTTTTCGAAGAATACTTCGAAACAATGTTTGAGGATACTGATTGCCGTCAAATGCTTCAAAGCGGCGAGTCGGATGACCGGGGGGAATTTGGAGATGATGAGGTCAAAATCATCTTGAACAATCCATCCTTTCAAGCTAGCGATGATGTCCCTTTTTTGATCTTGAGATATATGATCGTATCTATTCCAGCGGGGTTGAAAGGCAAAGTTGAGAGCCCAGGTATAAGCATTCCACTCCATACTGGAAAGTGTGTTTTCCCAGTCACTGATAAACATTCTGGGCCAGCCACCATATACTCCCATGAATGTCTGCTCGAATCTCCAGTTGGTTTCTAATCCGACCTCTCGGTGGTTTATGATTGCTCTTAATTGCTCAATACGAGCCATGGCATCCTCGAGGTTGGAAATCTGTGCATCCTCCTGTTCTTCCTTGATTGCCTTCTCTGTCTGCATTCTCGCGCGGGCGTGTACTCCGTAAGGGTCATTGACATGGGGGACTTCGGGTGTTTCCAGTGTTCTCTCTATCGTCGTAGGGAGTCTCAAAGACTCTTGGTCCAAGGAACTCATAATGAGGTTGATGTTGAAGTTTCAAAAAGTGATGACCCAGATTTGAATCAGAAAGCGTCAAGAGAAGCTTTATACTCTGATCTTTTTCAAAGAGGGTTGAAAATGTGGAAATGGGACTGGGAATGGGAATATCCCTATGAGGGGCTTCCAAAGTGGATTTCTTTGTTGCTCGTTCTTTGAACATCAACATCTTTTAATATCTCTCTGCTTCACCGCAGCCCTTTTGCCTTTCTTTTTCTTTGTTTCTTTCATCGCTTATGCCCTCCAGTCTTGACTCTTGGATATTGAAAGGGAATTCCGAATAGTTAGTTATCTAAGAATCCGACTCATTGATTCATGTGACCTCATGACTAATGATTATCACAACAAAGACTCAAAGACTCAAAGACTCAAAGACTCAAAGACTCAAAGAGCAAGTACGAGCAAGCTTGAAACTTGGTATGTACGAGAGCTGATCCTATGCAGTTCTATCCCCTAAATCATATGTCATTGTTCTAGAACATTTTCAAATATTTGAAGATTTTATCTCACTTTTAAAACATTGAGTTGCGATGAAACATGTAATATTGAGTATCAGAGAATTGATTGTCAAGCCATGAATTCAGAGTCCTCCAGTCTATTTATTTTTCTCATATTCTTCCAGATGTTCTTTTTTTTTGTATCTATCTTCAGTATTGCAATAGATTTCGCCATGTTGATGTATTCATGTCACCAAACTTACAGAATCATCATTGGCCTTGACTATGGAACAACATGCACTGGTAATCCATTCGAATAAGCACTTGAGACCTCTGTCATTTGAAATATGCTGATGAGTTCTTATAGGAGTCAATGTCACTCTTTCTGGCAGTCGAGGTCAGTATGAAGAGATCATTCAGTGGTGCCCCGGTCAAAGAAGTCCAAAGGTTCCCTCCAGGATAGCCTACCCCGTCGACAATCCAACTTTCTCAATGCGCTCCTCCCACTGGGGCTTTGATGTACAGCATGATATGAGAGCATACTGGTGGACCAAGCTTTTTCTAGATAGTCATGCAGAATTAGCTGAATTCGACGACCACGTTCTGAAGCGCACAGTCTCACTCGATATCCCCCATCAATCTCTTCCCCCAGGCTGCGACAAGGCCCCCGTGAAGATTATCGCCGACTATCTTAATCATGTTCTGAGATTCGTGTGGAAACTTATCTGGCGTCGATATCCGGGTCTTAATTCCGTCGATTTCACTGTCGATCTTGTGTATACCATTCCTGCAACCTGGTCCGAGCAGGGCGAGCGCTTGAGCCGGGAGGCTGTGGCTCGGGCATGGGATTTCAAGAGACCGGAAGATACGCTGACGGTCATGCGCGAGCCTGATGCGGCCGCAGAAACTGTTTATCGGAATCTCAAAGACGATCTTCGGTTTGGAGACGGGATTTTGATCTGTGACTGTGGTGGTGGAACTGTGGTGTGTATATGATCAACCTGCCTAATCTCAAGAACAAAGGTTATTAATTCATCTCAAGGATATCACAACGTATGTGGTTATGGATTGTACTACATTCAATTTGTCAAAAATAACCGCGGTGCAAGGTGCGAGAGATGTTTACCGTCTCTTTCTAGAATACCGAACTGATTGATTTCAATACAGGAGCAAAATGTGGAGGTGCAGCTATCGATAGTCGACTTTTTGATCTCTTGAAAAGCAGACTCCCGGCCTATACCTTTGAGCATCTAAACCACCTGATCGCCCCAGGAAGTCACTTCATGACGCAATTCGAAGGGATCAAAATGGTGTGGGGAAGAAAATATGAGAGTTCGACTTACCACTTGCCACTCCCTCTTAGAATCGGTCGCTCGGGGTGCGAAATACCACACTACAACAACGGACACTTCATTCTCACAAGTGAAGACCTTCATGCTCTATTTGACCCAGTGATCTACAACATCGCCAGCCTGATCAACTCACAGATTATGGCTGCAAACCAAGCATACGGGTCCCCAGTGATCAACGTCAGTATACTCCCCCGAAGCCCGTGCACCCTGGCTAAAGAGAAAGATTATTTTAGAAAATTGCTCTTGTGGGAGGAATGGCATCCTCGCCCTACCTTTACCGCACGCTTCGTCAATGCTTCGAAATACCGGGAAGATTCTCGGTCATCATTCCACCCTCTGAGCCGTAAGTCTTTTGAAGCTCTTGACTGGTTTAACCAGCTAACATCCAGTTTATAGGAGTATGGCCGTTGCCAATGGGTCGGTACTCCGGGCTCTACGAAGAGACAAGGTGCTAGAACTCAGAAGTCCTCGCCATTACGGGCTTGTGTCAGCTTTGTCGCAAAATGCGAGAGATTATCAGCTCCTAGCCGATAAGGTGCAGGCGCAAGCAGAGATACAATGGGTAATCACAAAGGTAAAAAAAAAAAAAATTCCAATTCCCAATTCCATAACTACATGGGCGCAGAATTACAGCTGACGAAAATTGTTACGAAAGGGTCAGCAATATCGACAAGGGCACACATACAGCAATGATCTCTCATTGTGGTATCACGATGGAGATGCTAGGATGATGACAATTCCCATATATTCTTGCGAGCTATCAAATCCTCCATGTCTTGCAAATACGGCTCAGTTCAAAGGTACGAACCATTCTAAAGCTATCAGATGTAGATTTCCTGCGCTCATTAACACTTGGTCCCAGACATAACTCTTGTTGGCTTCATTGTTGTTGATTTAATGGCTTTTAATCTTAAAGGTGGAGTTCCTCAGAAGGACCTGGATACCGGACTGGTCCTTTATCGTCTGGATTGTTCTGTCGAGTTCGTTTTTGACGCCGAGAACGGACGCCTAGACTTTGCCGTGAAGATCCTTGGACAGGTGATTGGGAAATGGAGCGTTGGATTGCGATTTTAGAACATTGAAGCTAAGTAGATATAGATCATGTCAGGGTAGCCAGAAGCTTATGATAACATTTACTCCATGTAAAAAAAAAAAACATGTAAGAAAAAAGGTAGAAACATAATAGGTAGGAAAAAGCAAATCCTGGTAACATACACAATAGTAAGGCCACATCCCCTCAGCAAGCACAAGCAAGAATTTTAGACATTGAAAATGTACTAGTTAATGGTGAAAAAAAAGAAAAAAGGGACAGATCAATGACCCATAAAAATAATAGACAGACATCAAGTGACTTTAATCACCCATAACATCATCCTCATCCGGCTCAGGTGTGCCATCATTCAACTCCTCCTTCTCAGCATCCTCGTGGTCAATGTCTTCCTCCACAAGGCCACGAGCACGCAGGTCTTCTTCGTCGTCCTCTTCCGCGGGGCTATCCTGGTCACTATCTTCATCATTCACATGCTCGGTGGACTTGAAATCTTTGCCTCCAGGGCCACCAGTTGTTAGTCCCTCAGCAGCTGTCTTGACAGGCTGCTTACCCTTGCTGCGGGGTGCGCTCCGAGGCTTCCGCTCTTCCAGATATGACAATACCCCACGGTAATTCGGGCCAAGTGAATTCTTGTTGCGGAGCAAGCGCTTCTTCAATGTGCCACGTTTTGAACCAGAAGCATCGATTACACGGCCGATAATAGCCAAGACGATCTTGCCGGTCAATTCGCATAAACGTTGCTCGGCAATGATACTGCCACGAAGTCGCTCGTTGATTACCGCCTCGTCCTCAGAATCGTTGTCATCATCCTCAGGCTCATCTTCGGATTCTGGCTCGTCGTCCTCGGCGAGCTCAAAATTTTCGCCACTTTTCTTGGCAAAAGTGCGTTCAGCAATGCCATGGACCTTCATGACGAGAGCCTGCGCCTCTGGCGAGGCTTCATGCACCAGACTTTGAGTTTGGAAGATAACGTCCTCGTCATTGCCGATGCCTTGACCTATATTGCGAAGCGTGCTGAAAAGGGTTTGGAGGTCAAGATAGGTGGTAGTCGCGACAAAGCGTATATCATCAAGACCGGACCGCTTCTCTATGATTTGTAGAAGTGACGATGCAAATGTCTCACGACTTTTTGTAAGTGATTCAAAGTAAGAAGTGTTGAAAGAGGTGCTGCCCTCATTCAGGGCAGATGATAGGGCCTGTACTTTCCACATAAAGTAGAACAACAACGTGTTAATGCTGTGAGTGATGAGCTCAGACTCTGCTTTGGCAACGTCTTCATCTTCATCTTGTTCACGGACACCACGTAGGGTGAGATGAATAAGAGTGTTGAAGGGAGCTTCGGGTTGGTCTTTCTTGGACTTTGAAGTCGAGGTAGGCACTGTTTCAAGAATCGCACTGCTGTCTGTGATACCAGCAAGGTTTGAGATGCGTGCCACGGCGTTGGCGAGTTCGGTCAAAGTTGGGTCGTTAATGGTGCTGCCATTCTGGACGTCCTTCTTGCGAGACAAAGCCCCGAGGGTCTCCACAAGATCATCCCACAGTTCTTGAACCTTGCCCTCGAGTGCTTCCCGCATCTCCTCGGAGCTTTTAGCATGCAAAAAGGCCAAACTCGCTTCTGCCAAGACATCTTGGTCTGAGTGGGTCAAGAATTGCCGGTTAATATCGTTGAGCAAAGAGGAATAGGCTGTGGCGTTTTTCTGAAGATCTTGAATAGTATCGAGATCTACCAAGTGCTCCAGTCTTAGAACAGCAGATGCGGCTTCCGGAGAGGATCCGAATTTATTGAGAAGTTGGGGGATGATTTGAGCAAGATTGTGGGAGATCTCTTCCTGGAGCTCGGGAATCTTAGCCGTCAACGCCTTGACCTTGCGCCCTCGTTTGTCAATATCCGACTTCGCAATCTCAAGGACCCTGAGTTTGACGGCGGCACAGAGAATTTCGAGGAGAACCGATTCCAGCCCTTCCTGCATCTTGTACAACTTTCGAACGATTCCTGCTGTATCATCCTCAGACGGATCGATTATTTGGGAGTGGTCATAAAGCAGATACCCAGCCAGAGATTGCCACTGGGAGAGCTCCTCCATGTGGGGGTAAATCGCTTCAGTAGCCAAAACAAACCGTGAGTCCGCCGGGGCTCCCGAAAGCACGCCCCGGGGGATAGTGGGAACTTCTGATTGTTCAATCTCCTCTGCATCATATGCCTGGAAAATGTCGGCTAGACACTTGAACTTGATCCATGAGCGCTTGGGTGACTCGTAGTCGTCCTCGTCGTCGTCGGGGAACATTTCGTTAAGTTCATCCTCCACCTCCTCTGTCATCGAATCGACTGTATCCTGAACATTTGCAGTAAAGAACTGGCCTGCAGTTTTCCGGATTCGAGGGTCAACATCGAAGACCAACCGTCCAATTGAGTCGATATCAGCCGGTTCAAGTAATCCTCCAACTTGAAGATGGATCAATAGCTCAACGGCGGCGATGCGCACTGTGATTTCGGCATCCTGAACCGCAATCTCAACAATGCGTTGACGAAAACGTTCAGTGAAAGAATGAAGAACACCGATGTTTTCCTTGTTCTCGTAAAGGGGGAGTAGTTGCGACAATGCCATCATCCGGGTACTCGGAATAACATCGGCAAGAGTCCATCCGATATATCGCAGATATTGACCCTCAAAGAAGTACTCCCGATAAGTACGAATCCATCTACCCATGGCTGCCATACACTCGGCGCGGATATTACCGTCGACATCTCGGTAGCGATGGACAAAAACAGTGTCAAAGCCGTCCTCCAGCAGCTCGTCCAATTTTTCTGCCTTCTCTTCTCCCTCCGAAATGGCCCTTTTAATCGCTTCTACCCTGCCCTTGTTCACGGATTTCTTCTTCTTCTCGCTTTCGAGCTGTTTGCGCGAAGTCGACAAGGATGTTGTAACCTCTCGCGCGATATCACACAGGGCGTTCATCATTGTTAAACAGATGACAGTTGACGTATGCCTAAATGGGCGACAGCTTCCAGTAGACATAGAGGAAAGCCAAATTTGGATGTTTTCCATGAGGGACGCATCAGTGTACAGGAGCGATGAGTGGTGGAATGTTTGAATGAGTGCCGCCGTGAACTCCTCTAGAACGGGTTGAAAAGCCCGATACTTCTTCACTCGGGAAATCAGTGGGTACTCGGTGAACCCTTCCGCCTGGTAGAGGCTCTGTAAATCCACGACTCGATCGAACGCATGGTCCACGTCATCCACATCCTCTACAGTGATTTCCAGATCAGACCCTGTGCATCTGATTACGAAGTTGACGAGGTCTCGAATCGCTGTTCCACTGTTGCGCTGGTATAGATTTAGGAACTGCGCGGCTACCATATCGGCGTTGTTGCTCTTGCCAAAGACCTCAGCTGGATTTGATTTATCAGATGACGGTAAAGCATGGTTTTCCGGGAGGGTATTGACAAACCATAAAGTCCACTCTCACCTGCCGCTAGGCTAGGTCGTACTTGCGGTTTGCGAGGACGCGAGGTCGGAAGTCGGCCATTGAGGGCGGCAGGTCGGAAGGCGAGTTGTCTTCTCACCCCGTTGCCTGCCACCTTCGGTTTCTTTGCAGCGCGTGATGTATTCTTTGATGCTGTTTTCTTCGATCCTGGCTTGCGAGCGATGCGTTTCCTTTCTTTAAACACCTCCTCGTCGGTAAAGTCCTCAATCGCGTCTTCGCTCTCCGATCCGGATGACACATTATCACCATCGTCGGCGTTTTGCGCGTCCCCCCTCTTTCGCTTTCCACTAGCATTCATTTCATGGTGGGAATGTGTGCTTTGCGAGAATACATCTGGTCGCCGTGTCATTCGACCAGATTTGCGCCGGTCCTCCGCGGGAGTAGATGACGGATTGCTGGGGCTATCCACTTCCATTATTTCTGAGAATTCTTGAGAAGGGCTTTTTTCGCGACTATTGAAGGTAGGAAATCTGTCAGTCAGTCTAGGGAATGTCTATGGTGAGAATGGGGTCGAAGGGCCATACGTCGGGTCGACACGCGCTCCGTGGAACGCGCCGTGTAACGGCTGCAAACAAAATCGGACGGATTGTCAGGCGAGGAAAGGGTCAAGTCCGTAAGATATTGACGAATTGTGAAGTAAAAAGAGAGCCTGATAAGTGCCCCACAAGCCTGCAACAAGAATAGGTGAGTGGGAAAAAAAAGAAGGGCCCGATGGAGCAAGAGAGCGGGGAATTCTGGAGCGAAGCGTAAAGGAGGTTGACGCGCCTGGTTGCCTGTGTGCCTGATCCACAAGTGTAAGATGAATATTGGCTTATGGAGTCAAAAGAATGGGATTACTTCATCAACAGGCAAGATGGCCGAGTTGGTCCAAGGCGTGCGGTTCAGGTTCACCTGATCCAGATTTCCGCATCTCGTTTTCGGGGCGTGGGTTCAAATCCCACTCTTGTCATTTCTTTTTGCTATTTTCTTTTTTTCTCCTGCCTAACTAACCTCTTTGGAATTGGGGAGTTTTTTTCATACTGGCCATACTTGTGGTGTTTGCTTGAATGGAAATATTCGAATTACGTACTTGCTACATAACTAGGCTTTTTTTGATCCATTGATGGATTGATACCTACTACACCCCTGCACAGGTTTCCAAGGTTCGTTTTCACTGGCACCCGGTTCTGGACATATACCTACGTGTACTTGTGTACAAGTGTGTCTATGAATCGATACGCTCGCCCACTTGGATCAATATGTATATTCCACCTGTGGATTGAAGGGTCTGCAACATTCCAATGTTATTGATGTTTAACTCAAAATCCACATGTGCAAGGATGAATTCAAAGAGCTACCCAGATGGGTGGATAGACATCAATTCCCACTAACTAACCTTAAAAGGGCACCGTGGGATCTAACGTCATACACCTGCACATCCACACCTGGGCAGACATGCATGTGGGCATTTTACTGGGCCTAGAGCCTGGCATGTGTGGACCTCGGGAGCAGGTCAAGATTGGATTAATGGATTCAAATGTTCACATCAGGACTGGTACTTATGTAGTACATATATAAATACCTACTAGTGCTATACGACTATATTCAAAGCTAACGAATGCCATGAATATGTGGGTAAAGAAGACCCGGGTATGCAGGGGTCGTACTTTCAAATATTTATCAGCAGGTAACAGATACATAGGCCCGAGTCCCGGTTAGAGGGTTCAAGGCCTCAGGGCAGGGTCATGTACATGTGAGTGGATTCGACTGCAACTTATTTTCAAGATACATACAGCAATATTTGAACTCATGGAGGCCAAGTTGATGCATTGAAGCTTGAACTTCAAGACCACGCCGAGTAATGTAAAAGAATAGATTATTGAAATATGCCCTCTATAATGGATCACGAGATGCTGGATTGAAGGATCCTAAGTTTTCCTACCCACGGTTGGTATTACCCCTGTATACGGAGTAAACCTAGAAGAATTGTCTTTACCCCGTTTTTTGGTGACTGTGGATCGAACCTCGGGAGGACTTGGCGGATCGGTAAGATCGCCAGGGCTAGACAGGATCTGCCAGTGCAAGTCAGGTGAGCTGAGCCATTTAATTTTCAGCTTCAAGACAAAGGGGTAAGTTGTGATGGATCTAGTGATTAGAAAGCCCAGCTGCCTAGACTTTTTCTAGGAAGTCTCAGAGAGTAGAGTGGTGTGGCATAGGGGCATCAGATGGCAGCGTTGGCTTCCATGTACGATTGCACAACAGTGGCGCCTGAATGCACAGGCAATAAATTACATAAAGGCCCCATTGGGCGGCATCACGGGACCCAGTGATCACGGTAGCCATTGGCCACGAGTCATCACGTGGTACCAGGCCAGGCGGACTGTGGGGAATAGGTGTGTCATAAAAACTATTCGATGCGTCCACTCTTCAAGCCATTGTTGTCCGGTCTTACGGAGCCAAGGAAAATTGATGCACGAGAAGTCAGGAGGGACCCCGCTTGACACATAGTGCAAGAGACGAGCCACCCGAACTCATACTACTGTGGGTTCCGCCATTGACTAATAGATGCCATCATCACCCGTGCTAAAATTATATACCAGTCACGTCCCCAAGATTCCGGGGTAAAAACTCTACTCACCCCTGCAAAACATCATGGTGCAGCTTGCATATCCTTGCATCACCCAGATACCTTGCTGATTCCGACATTCATTGACTCTTGGCGCATTCCCTGTCCTTCCGCCCCGTCGAGATAAAATCCTACACTCCGCCCCTCTCAAAAATTCGAATCTCAGATTTCAAACTCTTTCACCCGAGTCCGCAACACCCATTCCACATCACAAACCGCCATCATGCGACAACCAACTATGCCTATCCGCTCGCCCTTTGAGTCTTCCATAGCGAAGCCGGGCCAGGGCACCGTCGTGCTCTCCCTCCTCCCGCCTAATAACCCCACCCTCACTACTCTCACCTACAAATACCCTTTAAAGCTGGTCCCCAGGGCACCGGGTTTTATCCCAGAGCCTGACCCAGCTTCGCTATCGGACAAGTGCCCGTCAATGCCCGTTCACCTCTACCTCCTCACATACGGCGGCGGCTTGCTACCAGGTGACCATATTGAGGTGTCAATCAAGCTTGACCCTCGCACAAGAATGGTAGTGACCACCCCGCAGGGAAGCACAAAAATCTTCAAAACAGACTCCAACGCCGACTCAAATTTCAACGTCATCAAGGGCCACCGCAAGAAGGTGCCTGCCAATGAAAGCATATCAGACATGAGTCAACAATCATTAGACGTAAAGATTGGCCGCCAAGCTGCTCTCTGCTATCTGCCCGATCCATCTGTACCCTACAAAGACAGCCGATACGCTCAGGTCCAGACATTCACCGTTGACGCTGCGGCCAAGGGTGACCAGCGCAGCAGTCTTTGTGTTCTGGATTGGGTAACGCAGGGCCGCACATCGCGCGGCGAGAACTGGAACTTCAGATTCTGGAAGGGCCGCAACGAAGTCTGGGCCACAGACGAGAAGACTGGCAAGAGCCGGCTCCTGCTGCGTGACTCTGTAATCTTGGATGACGAATCCGAGGCCATAGACGCCGACGATGATGAGGACCTTGATGCTGGTAGCGTGGGTGGCTTAAATAGCCATTCTATCCGTGCAGAAACCCCACCTCCCCAAGCTGGTCTTGTGCCGTTGAACGTCATCCAAGAACGAACACGGCCTCATGGAGTCGTTGGCACACTGATTCTGTCCGGGCCCGTCTTCGATTCCCTTGGCGCCTACTTCTTGCATCAATTCACATCGCAGCCGCGCATCGGTAGCCGGAATTGGTCGTCTGATTCATCGGCACCAGAACCCTCGCTCAGCACCAAGGGCGACGTGACCTGGACAGCAGCACGTGTGCGCGCTGGCTTTGTGCTGGTTAAGTTTGGTGCCAAGGACTTTGAAACCGCCAAGGTCTGGCTTGGCGGTTTGCTCCGTGAAGAAGGTAGCATTACGCGCGAATTCGGCGAAGAGGCACTCTTCTGTCTTTAAACATTTCGCACCTACTGCACCTCACGTTTCATGTGCGAAAACAAAATATTTTACCGATGATACCCCCGGAGCCTCCCTTTGCAGGGTCCTTTACCTTCTGGGCCTCATTGGTCCTCACCCTTTTTTTATATTTCTGTACTGCTATTTAAGCCATGCATGCGATTGAGTCATTTGGAAGGCAATCGCCCGAGTCGGGGCATTTGAGGTGCATTACAAAATTAGGTAGCGAGATGAATGAATATTATAACTGCATTGCAGCCTTTGTTTCAATCACAAATCAGTGCTGTGGGTTTCAACTTCTAAAGTATATCACTTTCCCAAGTATACCTAGTAGGTACTTGCAAGGTTTGGCTCGTTTCATTCAATTGATGAGAACTATAGGTAGAATTGCAATCCAAGGGTGCCCAACTTTGAAGTGCATTCAAGTGCAGACATCTGGAGCTGGAAAATTTAGCAATCCATATAATAGAAGAGAAAAAAAGCAAAAGGTATCTCATGATATCGGAGCCCCAACGCCGTTAAAAAACAACCACCCGAATAGACGTTAAGATTCATCACTTGTCCAAGCCACTACTTCCACCAGGCAAAGATCTTAATCTCCCAGTTACCTTTAGTAGCCTCAACTAAATCATCCACATTCAATAAATCAACTCCCTCTTGGACAAGAATCCGCCAGATATGATTTCGCAAGCTCCGCGGCCAACTTGGCAAACCCCAATACCGCACCTTAAGGCCATGCTGATGCGCAACTCGCACATGGGTACGAATCAAGTCGATCTGATGCTTCGAGAAATGAAACGGCCAAGGAAACCCGATTGCTGCCTTGAAATCCACAGAAGCGTAAAGGCTATTTGTAGTATTGAACGTATTTGCCGTGATGATATCCGGCATACCAGACAAGCCTTGGCCAAGACCGGTAGGTCCCTTGGCAGAAGAGAAAGATACCAGCTCGTCATCCGAGTTCTCGATATCGACCAACTTGTCCAGTGGCGCATCGAAGAAGATATCACGGTACGTGGAGTTCGCGATAGTCAGATTGAAGGGTGTGTTGCCGGTTCCGACCACGGTGATGGGCCCGGGGACGACCTCGCGCCCATTAAAATGCGTGAGGTATCCCCTGTCTCGCAGAGGGGCGAGCTGCTCGGAGACTGCAGGCCAAGTTGCGACACCGTCGGTTTTGAAATCGATGAGAAGGATCAGCGTTTGCTCGGGGTCTGTGTCGAATACGCCATGCGGGGGCTTGCTGACGAAGCGTTGGAATGGGGTGCTGGGGTTCTGGTTCTCAAGGATGCGGACCAGTGGGTCAATGTACATCGAGCGCAGGGTGCGGCGCGACGTTAAGGAGGTGCTAGTGTGGCCGATGTAGAGCTCGTTGTCGAATAGCCAAACGTCCGCCTCGATGCCGATACAGCCTGCCTGTAAGGCCGAGTAGAGAGGTACGCGGCGCCAGTAGTCATTATGAGAGTGGCAGCCAAATGGAATGATATCACGGGATATGTCGGTGGGCCAGCGAGAGATGTCGTGAGTGTCGATCTGGTCGCCGGTGCGAGCCCAGTTGGGGGCCGCTCGGTCGTACTCGTCAGGAAAGAACGAGAGAACGATACCAAATGTGAGAGAGATGAACTGAATGATGCCTCTGTAGAGAAAAGGTTATGTGGTTAGCGGACCATATAGCTAGAGTACCAATACCAGTAACCTGTAGTATACACTACGTTCCAGGTCCAGATCCAGATCCGGGGAGATCGGATCAATCGGATCGAATTGAATTTATGGCCCGGGGATGGAATAGAACATACAACATGACGAAGAATATGGTTAGCGCCCGCATAAAATGGCGCCAATAGCGCGAGCGACACGATCGCTTTTTGCGTTGCGGGTTCTCTGATAGCAAAGGCAAGTCCTCCTCGTCGTCTTCTCCGTTCCGGTGAGGTGAGAACGAAGGAATGCAGCTCATCGTCTGACGCCACCAGTTGGTGCGGAGCCCCACTTGACCTTGAGGGATGGAGTGAACTTGAACGTTTGCTTTGTTCACATTGGGATTTGGGGAATCTGTATAGGTCTCGTAGGGTACCTCCAGTAGATCCTCGGAAGGCCCACGGGATGTTTGTCCACCCTGAGGCCGACATGAGGCCGCCATTACCGTAGAGTAGAAAGGTGAAGCTGGGAGGCCAACAGAAGAAGAATTGTAGCTTCATTGGGGGTTGTTATATTCTCTTGCTCTTTCATTAGCGCGAACTAACTGATCAACCTTGGTTTCTTTTTTTTTTTTTTTTTTGGTAGTAACCAAGACTGGAGGCGGACAACCCCCAATGGGTCCAGCCATGTTGCGTCAAAGACCATATTGATTGGACGAAGACAGTGGAACATACATAGTATGCACCCTGAATTTTGACTGCCAACGAGAGTTTGTTTTCGTTAGCCATCAGGTACGTTTAGGTTGTCCCTTAGATGGCCTAGACTTATCATAGGCTATCACCAGAGGTAAAAACCTTGGACTTTAAGTGGTTGCAAGTACATCATGCGTAAAAGTATAAATAGGAAAATATCGGCAGATCTGTTATTGGCGCTTTATATACAACGAATGCTATGATCCCAAACACCCACGGGTTCCACAAAAGCACACGGGACCCGTTCTTTTTTTGTTGTTGGAGAAAGCAGAAAGGAAAAAAAAGACGAAACAAGATTTGGTACACTCTACTCCTGAAGAGACTTGACGTAGGCCGCTGCCCGCGCCTTGATGTCCTCGACGATCTTTTCGTTACCGCTGGCAGAAGCCAGGATCTCCTCATAAGTAAGCCACTTCTTGAACAGGAACTTGGCCTGTTTGGGCTTGAGCTTCTTGCTAGCGTCCACGCTGATGACACCCTTCTTGTTCTGCAGTCCAAGGACACGCTCGAATAGACGGCGGACTTGCTCCGCATCACCGGCACTGATTTCCAGATCCAGAAGCACGTTCCACAAGTCAATGCGCTTGGGGAATGAGGACAGAAGACCTTCAAACACGGTGCGACCACGCTCCGGGTCACCGTTGGCGGACCGGAATTCCAGTTGTGCAAATTTGGAGGTGGTTTCAATGTGTGTGTGCGGGGGAAGTGATTGCAGGGCACGTCCGAGAAGACCGCGGCCACGATCGGGGACGGCTAAAGTGTCGAAGAGGAAGGTGGCGTAGTTGAGGAAGAACTTGGGAGACTGGTTTGAAATCTTCTTCTTCATGGCAGTTCGGAAGAGATCATCCGCTTTCTGTAGGAAACGATTAGTACGGAGCGAGAATTTATTGGGAGAAGTTTTGTGTAAGAAAATGCATACCTCGTTCTTTCCGGACTGGATGTAGATGCTGATCATGCGCTCGTAGATCTCTTCGGGATCGTTGAACTGGCATGCGCGCTTGAACACCTCCTCGAGGCTATCGTCATCGCCGTATGTGTTTTCCATGTTCAGCAAGGCCACCCAGATGTTCAACTTCTCGGAATCCTGACCCATGGTGATGGTACGGAGGGCACGCTCGGCAATGGTGCGGGCCTTTTCGACCTCACCCAACTCGAGCTGGAATGCCATGTACTGCAGCCACAAGAGCGAGGAGTCGGATTCACCAAGAAGAAGACGCTCGTAGTCAGCAACGGTCTGTGGGCCGTTGGCATCCAAATCGCCGGTACGATCAACCTGGATCTCAGCCTTACGGTTCTTCTTCTTCTTCTTCTTGGAGCCTTCGTCATCGCTGTCAATGACAGCAGTCTCGGTTGCCTCCTGAGCATTGCCATTCCAGTCGAAACCAGAAGCACCAAGTCCACCGACCTTGGAAGGCTTGGTACCGGTCATAGCAACATCGTCGTCGCTCTCATCATCCTCATCCTCGTCCTCATCCTCATCCTCATCACTATCCTCGTCAACATCCACACCTCCCATGGAGATGTCATCATCGTCACTGGCATCCTCTCCAAGCTCGACGCCGCCGAGGCCATCTTCGCTCATTTCCTCATCTTCGCTATCCTCATCCTGGAAGTGGGAGGCCTTGAGAGAGAAGGAGACCTTTCCTTGCTCGAGATCGATCTTGATGACCTTGGCCTTGACAGCATCACCTGCATCGTACAGCTTACGGGCATCTTGAATGCGCTTGTCGGCCATCTCGCTGCGGTGACAAAGACCGCTGACGTTCTTGGATCCATCCACAACAATGAATGCACCAAACTCCTCAACCTTGCGAACCTTTCCGGTAACAACTTGGCCGACCTTAAGATCCTGGAGAGTGATCAAGGCCTTGAAGTTAGGGTCCAAGACGGACTCCTTCAAGCTCATCTGCAGCTTACCCTGCTCGGCATCGGCCACGGTAACACGGCCCTTGACAAGCTGATCCACTTGGAAGGAATCCTTCCATTCCTTGAGGTAAGAATCAGAGAGGTCAGAGACACGAACGTAGGCAGTGACATCCTGGCCAACAGCGACAAACAGACCAGAATCGGCAACGCGCTTGACAAAACCTCGAACAACATCATTAGGCTTGAGGTCCTTGATAGAAGAGATCTCACGATCTTGAACGGAGAGAGACGAGCTCATGACCTTGGAAGGGCGAAGTGACAGGTTGATCTTCTTGTGGGACTTGTCGACAGCAACAACGCAAGCCCGCAGAACCTCGTTCTTTTGGTGCAAAGTTGGATTGGCCTTGGAGTAATCATCGGCCAGATCGAGCATGTTGACAGCACCAACAAGTGCATCATTAAGCTGCATAATCAACTGCTTCTCAGTCACCTTGGTGACGCGACCAGGCAAGATCATGCCGACAGAGATGTCATCGAAGGTAAGCTTATCAATGCCCTGCTTGGCAGAAAGATCCAAGTGACCCTTATCGGCGTTGACAGCCGTGACTTGGACCTTCAGTGCGGATCCAATGGGGAAGTTCTTCTCGACATCTGTCAGAAGAGACAAATCATCTGACGCATCCATGAAACGAAGTCTGCCCCGAACATTGGGGGAGAGGTTAATCCAGAGGCTGTCCTCGGCAACGTTGTTGACGAAGCCCATCCATGATGATCCAACTTTGACTTGATCCATGTTCAAAAGCTCGGGGTTGGCAGCTTTGAGGAAGCTAGGCTTAAGGGAGAGCTCGTAGACAGGGTACTTGCCACTGCGGTGAGAGATAGGAAGGAACTTGTGGTTGCGTGCATCATGGACACCCAAGATTTTAGCAGACAGCTCCTGCTTGGCCTTGAAAAACCGAAGGGGTTGTTTCCGATCCTTGATATCATCCCACTTGTCGAAGACCTCAGACACGTCGATACGGCCGTGGATGTTATCTGCAAGCTGAACATTGACCTGGGTCGATTTGATAGAGATGACCTTGCATTTGACAAGTCTGCCAAAGGTGAGGTCGGAAAGTGTCTTGACAGAATCATCGACTGCGTTCGCGAGAGCATTATCGGGCTGATTGAGAGTCTTGGTCTTCTTAGAAGACTCAACAGGGGCCTCGGCGGACTTCTGGCTCAAGATGAAACGCTGGACGTCATTTTCGACAGAGTGAACTGTCACTGAAATGGTCTGGCCCTTGGATAGACCAAACTCGGCCTGAGAAAGGTTGGCTTCTTCAATCAGACGCTTGGGGACAAGACCAGTCAGACCACCCAGGAATTCGATGAACAATCCAGCAGGGGTGATGTTACGGACAAATCCGGTAACAGCTGCGCCCTCTTGAAGATCAGTGAACTGGCTGGGCATGGACTTTGACTTGGCAGCCTTCTTGAGGCTGGCTCTGGCGGTGACTTGGATAAGACGGTGGGCACGCTTGATGTCAAGAACCATAAGATCGTTCAACTTCTGGCCTACACGAATCTTCGACAAAGTAGAGCTCTGCTTGGATGGCGAGCCGTCAATGATGTGCTGCACGTCCAGACGAGCCACAAGTCCGGATTCATCGAGCTTGAGGAGGAGATCATCGTTGGTCTTCTCAAAGACAGTTCCAGCAATGAGCAGACCGGGGTGGATATCTTCAAAAGCCTTGCGGTATTTGTCAGTGAAAGTAGATGGGTCCTTGCAGGAGACTGCAAGTCTACCCTGGGATGCATCCACGCTCAAGGCGTGCACATTGACAACCTGACCAAGCTTGAAATGCTGAGCGGGGTCCTTAATGTAGGCCTCGCTCATTTCGGACACAGGAAGGAAACCACGGATGGTACCGTAGAACTGAACGACAGCACCGTGAGTCTGGAGGTTGACAATGGTTCCGGGGGACTGAGCACCGGCCAGGATGTCCTTGTAGTCTTTCCAGATAGCGGACTCGCTGTTGAGCAGACTCTTCTTGAGTGTCAACCGAATTTGGCGTTTCTCCAAGTTGACGGACAAGATTCTCGCAGAGATCTTCATACCCTCACGGAACTTCTTCTCCGGGAACTGGAGCTGAGAGTCTGCAAAGTGCATCGAGGGAACAAGGCCGGAAATACCATCTGCAAGGCCAACAATCAAACCGTCCATGCCAGTAGGTCCAATCAAGATCTTGTCGACCTTACCCTTAACGATGGCACCGACAGTAACATCTTCAAGGCGGAGGAAAGGCTGTTCAATAACTGTCTTCTCAAAAGAGAGAAGGTAAAGGTTGTCCAGGGTGTTGTAACCGACAATACGGGCTTCGTGAGTAGCACCGACCTGGAACGCACCTTCATCATCCGAGATCGACTCGACTTTACCATCTGAAAGTCGGGAGATGTGAACGAAACCAATGTGCTTGGTTTCGCCGATCTGGACGTAAACACCCATGCCAGGGTCCACCTTGATGACCTTGGCTTCCGGGACGATTGCGGAGATAGCAGGTGCCTCGGTAGATGAACCAGGGCCATAAGACTCAGAGGAGAGCTTGAGAACGTGGTCCAGGATAGAAAAGCCAACCTTGAAAGGCTCAGCAGACGGGAAGGTTGAGATAATACGACCCTTGATCTTGGCTCCGATCTTATACTTCCGGACCAGGTCAACCTTTCCATCGTTGGCACCGGATTGAACCAGGTCAACGGTAGCATCGAGCATACCCATGATCTTTCCCATCAAGCCGCTCTCAGTGACCTCGGTCAAAAGGATCTCAGCAGCGACACCAGGAAGGAAAGAGCCGATTGTGGGAGCGGCGCTGAGGAAGTGGGACTTCTTGATAGAAGCGGCGGACTGAAGGTTGGTAGAAAGCTTGATGACATTGCCGCTGGAATTTTGGCCAGTGACCATGCACAGGTAGACTGAACCTTCTTTAATACTGTGATAATCCACGCGAGGGTCGACTTCCTTCGAGGACATGAAACCCTTAAGCTCCGCACCCTCAATTCCAAGGTCCATAACCAGACCGTGGTCCTCCACACTGACAACAGAGGCCTGAATAGCTGTGTCAACCACCAAATCAGATTTGGACAGACCGGTGTTTGCCTGTTTGGGATCAATCGAGAGCTCGAGACGCTTCTTGCTGCGAACACCGGCCTCGGCGGCCTCGGTGCCAGTGGAAATAACGTAGGTACGAATGTACTGTCCGATGTAGAAGTAGTCCTTGAGATCGATAGAGTCTTCGTCTGAGCTGTCCTCGTCGTCGCTTCCTTCATCATTGAGCAACTTCTCGATCTTATCATCCAAGACCTTCGAGATGGAGGTGAGAGGGACGAAGCCAACAAGACCGTTTGGTAGAGAGACTGCGAGTTCGTGGGTGCTGATGCTTGTGATTTGACCAAGGATCATGGATCCAGCCGCAATGCGCTGTAAAAGTGAGCGATGTGATTTCCTCCTCCGGCTTTGTAGGATAGATTTGCAAATACCTTAAAACTAAGGGACTCAATGCGAGCAACCTTCTCTGCAGTTTCCTTATCATCGGACTTCTTGCCCTTGGTCTTCTTCTTGCGGGACTTCTTGGCGGGGGCTGTGGTGTCTTCATCCTCCATATCAACGTCGTCTTCATCCTCATCGTCGTTTTCGTCGTCATGTTGGCGGGTGGGTTTCTTGGGACCCTTGGAGCCCTTTTGTTCAAATAGGACATCCTTGGTAGCCTGGATCTGAATTTGTTTGCGCTCCAATGGGGTTAAAACGCTAGCACCACCACGGGGGAAAGATGGTTCATCATCACGCAGAATGGAGAGCTCCGAAGCCTTCGGGGCGGTATCCTTGGGCTTCTGGTCCTTGAACTCCTCTGCTCCGACCTTGGCGCGCTTTTGGGGCTGACGGGCAGCCGTTTCTTCGGGGGCATTCCCCTTGCGCTTTATCGGCGCCATTGTGGTAAGGCAAGACCGATTTGTATACGGTTGAGAAATCTCGATGTATCGCAAAGGAAAAAAAATCGAAAAATCCGATTCTGCGCGGCAGAATAACTAGCGGTGAGCGGGAGTGGGGACCGCCTTTTGTACTTTGGTGAGACTACCAAGTCTGGATGGTTGTGGTTCAAGCCTTGGAATTGGAAACCTTGGAACTTCAAGTTACGAACTATGCATGTCAATACTAACATTGCCAAAGTCATGGCCTCGGATTACATTAGCTTTAGTTTCTGGCAATACCTTCATTGATGCATTTTTATTTTTATTTTTATCTTTATTTTTGTTTTTATAAATTTTATTTTCTAAGCAGCTTCTGTGTTGATGTACTGTTTATTCACGCGTTAGAATATTGACTATGGTATAGCTTTGTACTATTAAGTATAAAGCTCAGTTTATTAGAAGGAAAAAAGTCTTTCTGGTTACGATGACCATAACGCAAAGTCTCAAAAACATTGAAGACAGCTCACTCAAATGTACAAAAGATTGTCCTCGAAGCGTCCCAAACGGGTTTAATTACAGTGTCCGAAATGCCCGACATACGCGCTCTCCGTCACGTCCTCGCGCAAAAACACGACCCGCTTCCCATCTTACCCCCTTCGGATGAACATTTTCCTCCTCCCAACCCTATTTCGCCTTTCCATCACTGCTCTCCATCGCCCATGCACACAATGGTTGGGGTTTCTGGACTGCCTGAAGTCCCCCAATCCGAACCTATTCTGCCAACTTCGCAGCGAGAATCTCGTTATGAAATCCCATCCTCCCCACCATCTGTTGCATCCGATCTAGGCAGTGGACGCAAACTTCGGAAGCCTCCCACCGTCACACCTCGATCCTTCAGGCGCTTCTTTACCCCACGGTCCCTGCTGAATAGTGGAAGCAATGCTAGCGTCAAGACAAGTCGTCAGGCCCTGCGGGTGTTGAATTCCCCAGCCGTCAACCGCCTCGGTCCCGCTTTTACTCGATCACCCGATGGCCGCCCTAGAAGCCCTTTTGAAGGACTTCCAGAGGAGACTTTTCGCACACCAAGCCGAAAAAGAAAACATTCTTTCTCTTCGGTTGCTTCCCCGCTGCAATCATCGCCGCTTAAAAAAGTCCGTGTGCGATCTCCGGCGGAAATCCGGGATATTGATCTGATTCAAGGAATTTATGACGAACCAAGCTCTCCGCCGAGTCCCCCGAAACGTCGACCAGTCTCACCGGTTACCCGCTCGCGAGTATTAGAGACATCTGGATCCTTTTTCATGCGATCGCTGCAGGGAGGTCGATCTAATCGTCTCACTATCCGATCCACTGCCGGAGCAGGTTTGTTATTTGTGCATTTCATGGAATTATATGTGGGCCTAACATGTCAACAGGATGGCAAGATGCTACCTCAAACTTTTATACACGCCCAGAAGACCGTTACGCCTGTACTAGTAATGTTACAGATGGAAACACGGCACTGCCTTTTTGCAATGCTTCCTGTAATAGTGAGTATTTCCAAGCCTTGGTCCCTACCTCCCGCAGTAGCTAGAACGACTTCTAACATTTCATAAGCAAACTCGCTGGTGGCTGTAGGTGATGAAGAGGGAGGTGTACGATTGCTTGACTCATCAAAAGACGACGAGCGTGGGTTCTCCAGCGCATATCTTAAATTTCGCCCTCATATGAATTCGATCATGGACTTGGAGTTCTCCTCCGATGACTCTTTGCTGGCTACAGCCTCTGGAGACCAAACGTCCATGATCATCGATATGACTACGCAACGTCCAATCCATTGCTTGTCCAACCACTCGTCTTCAGTAAAGCGAGTTCAATTCCAGCCAGGCGCCAACAACAAAGTTCTCGCCACCTGTAGTCGCGATGGAAATGTCAACATTTGGGATCTTCGCTGCAAAGGCTTTGAGCGTCCTTCATTACAGGTTCGGTGCTCACTGGAGTCAGAGGCAGAAAACCCGGCGACGCCAGCTCCCCCCAAAATGACATATCCTCAAGTTCTCAACACCATCCATGGTGCTCATGCGTATACAGCGCCTCCAAAACCAGCCATGGACAAGACCGAGCCGCCCTCCCTTGGTCGGTCAGACATTACCGTTACATCCTTGGCCTTCCTTCCCACTGGACAAGAAAATCTTTTTGTCACCGCATCCGAGGCTAGTGCGAGTGTTCGACTTTGGGACTTGCGAACTGCTCACAACAACCGCCGTGGTCGACCTGTTCTCCCATTGTCCACAACCCGGGAACCCGACAGCCATCTCAAGTATCGACGTTTTGGTCTTACTTCCATCACACTCGGAGGTGATGGTGCACGACTGTATACTCTTTGTCGAGATGGCACCGTCTATGCATACTCGACTTCCCATCTGGTGCTTGGACATGCACCGGAGCTTTCTCTCAATAACGACCGCCCTCGCCGCTCTGGTGGCTCTGACAAAGAAGGCCTTGGTCCTTTGTATGGATTCCGCCACCCTCGTCTCCAGGTTGCTTCTTTCTATGTCAAGCTTGCATTGCGCAAAGCGGCCAATGACCATCAAGAGATGCTAGCAGTCGGTAGCAGTGACCATTGCCCGGTACTTTTCCCTACTGATGAACGATTCTTTCACCCCACTATCAAGTCTTACCCCGAGGACGATCTTCCTGCCCCTGGATTGTTATTCACTTCTCGATCGGCGCTTCAGCGCTCCAACTTAGGTCTTGGTCTGTCTGGGCGGTTAGAGGATACAATCCCTATCCAGAAATCCGGTACCGCTCTGGTTGAGGGCCATGAGAAAGAGGTTACTGGAGTATCATGGACTGTTGGCGGTGAACTCATCACCGTCAGCGACGATTACAGTGCCCGGTGCTGGCGTGAAGGACCCGAGGCTCGTGAACTTCGCAACAATGGTGATACCGAGGGTCGCCGCTGGCAATGTGGCTGGGCTAATACGAAAGACTCATATGACGACGAAGATGAATGATTTCTGTGATTTCCTTATGTTCAACCCACATTTCCATGGCGTTATGACTCCAGTGTGTTTTATTGTGGGCATATTCTTGGCGCTTTTCCTGTATGCATTTCATTTTTAGCGATCATACCCGTCTGCATTTTGTTGCATTTTTGTTGCATTTCTAGGGGGTTGTTGTCGGACTATCTTACCTTTTAATTGCGGTGTCGAAGGTTTGACAATTATTTGTGACATCATTTTTTGATTGCAATGGTATTCTGTGTCCCGAATTGTCGAAATTCCGATTCTCTATTAGACTCCTGCTACACAACATGTAAACCCATCACCATAACATTGTGATGGTTGAACAATCTCTAGAACGTGTGAATGGGGATTGAAGTTATACTAGCAACTTGGACCATAGTAGGTTGCGATAAGAGATTGATTAGCTGATAAGCAAATTGACCACCGAAAAAAAAGTTCCATTCAGCGACTAAGACTCCTCCACACTCCACACCATCAGCAATCATGCCTCACAAACATAAGAGACGCGAGCACGATGCCTCGTTCGTACTGCCCTATTTCTCACCTCTCAAATATAGATCTAACATCCCACCCCCCAATCTAGGCAATTCGATCTCCCACCTTCCATGATCGCAAAGTCACTTCCAGTGCGCGAGCAAGGACCCAAGATGAACAAGACCTTCAAGAAGGGCGCAAAACCGACACCGAAGCCAAACAATGGTCAGAAGCTGCCATCAGGCCCGGCAACCTTCCGCCGCAAGGGCACAATGGAAGATGACACACCGAAAGCCTTCCAACGCTTAATGCAGTTCCGAACAACCGGCCGACGAGCACCTTCCGGCCTGGAAACCGGCGAGAAGAAGGAGAACAAGAAGCGCAAGCGTGAGGAAAACGCAGATGCCAAGAACGGACCTCAGAAGAAAACGGCTTCGACAGTCTCCGAGCAGCAGGCTGCCTCCAGTGCCACCGACGCCAAGAAGACTATGCCGAAGATTCTACCTGGCGAAAAATTAGCGGATTTCGCAGCGCGCGTTGATCGTTCGCTCCCACTTTCGGAAATGACCAAGTCAGCCAAGTCCGGTGTGCCGGGTATGCGTAACCACAAGATTACGAAGCACGAGAAGCATCTCCGCCGACTGCAAGAGGGGTGGCGGAAGGACGAGGCCAAGCTGAAGGAGAAGGAGCAGGCCGAGCGCGAGGAGCGAGAATTCGAGATGGGTGACCAATTAGAGCTGCTGAATGAGTGGGAACGTGAGATGCGGGGTGGAAAGAAGAAGAAGAACGTTGTGAAGAAGAAAGCCGGTGATGCGGGTAGTGATGATGATGACCCGGACCCGTGGGCTAAGCTGAAGAAGCGCGACAAGGAACGTCAAACTAATCCGTTTGAGGTTGCCCACGCGCCACCAACCCTAGCGAAGCCAAGAGAGATCTTCAAGATCCGTGGTGGTGCTAAGGTGGATGTTGCCAATGTTCCCAATGCTGTGGGAAGTTTGAGGCGGCGAGAAGAGCTGGCTGGGGAGAGAAGAAATATCGTTGAGGAGTACCGTCGCTTGATGGCCGAAAGACGGGGGAATTGAAGGCGTTGAACCTACTATAACTCTGTTGATCTCATATAAAATAACCCCTTGTTGATATTGTTACACATAAATGTCATTTCATTCTCCTCAATACTACTAGTATGTACTATATACCGCCATACATAGTACGGATTCAATGTTATCTACCCTTCTTTTGGGAGAAGCTCCCCAGAAGAACCTTGGAATACATAAAACCTCTCTAATGCCATCAATGGATGCAACCCCGAAGAGCCAAGATTTAATGTTGTCTAGTACTAGTATGGTTTGTGCGAATAAAAAAACCAAATAATATGCAGCCGCAGCGGAATCACTCATCATTCCACTTACGATTTATTTCTATGTAACATTCGATTACTGCCTTTTTTTGTTTCGTAGAGATACCGTCATAGTCAAAAACGTATCAAATCTAGTGACCGTGGCCGTCATCCTGCGGCTGCTCGGGGTCCAACTTGATGATAGTGTCAATACGCATAATGGCAATGCAGGCCTCAACAGCAGACTTCAGCTGCTTGACCTTGCTCATGCTGGGCTCCAAAACACCGGCCTTGAGAGTGTCGTGAACGCGTCCCTTGGTCAAATCCAAACCGTAGTTGCGGTATGTCTTCTTCTTGGCAATGGCCTTCTCTTCCTCGTTGGCATCACCATCCTGCACACGCTGTGACAGGGCGTGGCGGACACGAAGCTGTGCGACCAACTCGGAGGAGTCCTTAGCGGCGTTCACGGCCAGAGTCTTGGGAATAACAAGCAAAGACTGGGCGAACTCGCCGATGGCAAGTTGCTCGCGAGAGCCCTGAAAACAGAGTTAGAAAATTGGGCTTGAATCATAGAATAGAAAAGAATGATACATACCACTGTGACGGCAAATTCCTCCAAGTAGATGTGGAGGGCTGTTTCCACGGCACCACCACCAGGCACAATGCTGCCACTCTCCAGAGTTCGCTTAACAGCGCAGAGAGTATCGTGAACAGAGCGCTCCATCTCATCCAAGCTGTACTCGTTAGCACCGCGGAGGATGATAGAGGCGGAAGAGTGGACCTTGGTGCCCTTGACCAGGATGCACTCGTCATCCGAGATACGCTCTTGCACAACCTCCTCTGCGCTACCGAGGTTGGATGCCTCGAACTTCTCATCACCGTTCAAGTCAGACAGGGAGCTGACAAGGGTAGCACCAGTAGCCTTGGCAATGCGGCGGAGATCCTCCTTCTTGCAGCGGCGAACAGCCATAGCTCCCTTCTCAACGAACAGCTTCAGAACCATATCGTCAATACCCTTGGTTGTGAGAACGACATTGGCACCTGACTTCAGAATCATCTCAACACGCTCCAGAACAATACCGGCCTCACGCTCGCGAATCTTCTCCAACTGATCAGGGTCCTCAACTGTGATCTGGACACCAAGCTTCATGCGCTCCTTCTGCAAGTTCATGTCCAGACAAGCAATCTTGGCATCTGTGACACGGGTGGTCATGGCCTGCGAGGCAACAGTGCAGTTCAGGGCGTATCCATTGACCAAAACTGACTCAAGACCACTCTTTCCGTGGGCCTTAAGCAAGTTCACGGCCTTGACAGGGTATTTGACCTCGCCTCTCTGGTTTGTCGACTTCACCTGCAGCATGGCGTCCACGCACATGTTCGCAAAGAAATCCGAGTCGGAACCAATGATCTTGCTGGACATCGAGGTCTTAGCAATGCTGATCAAGCTGTCTCTGCCCAGGTTCTCCACATTTGTTGACACATTCTCGTTCATGTACTTCACAGCCTCCCGAAGCGCAAGGCGGTATCCGTTGATAATCGTGGTAGGGTGTATCCGGTTCTTCATCAACTCGTTACCTCTTCGCAGGAGCTCGGAAGCAATTAGGACAACGGAAGTAGTTCCATCTCCAACCTATAAGAAGCCCGTCAGTAAAGAAGCTTTGAAATATTAAACATTAAAACACGGAGCTCGTACCTCCTTATCCTGCTGCTGGGCGAGATCGACAAGGATCTTGCCCGCAGGGTGCTCAATATCCAGCAAAGACAGAATGGTAGCGCCGTCGTTTGTCACGGTCACATCCTATATCGCAGAAAGTAGTGTTAGAAGCTGCAACTCGGCTCTGCGGGGGAAGTCCAGTGTTCCATACCCCTATGTCGTCCACCATCATCTTGTCCAATCCCGAAGGACCGAAAGAGCTCTTGATGACATTTGAAATAGCCTGAGTCGCGAGAACTGCACAAATTCCAGTCAGTATACTTGATTGCATTGAGATACACGATCCAACATACCATTCTGCTCCCGAACATCGGCACCGGTGATTTTCTGACCACCCAAGACTGTGTGCGAGATATGTTAGTCGAGTTCAGCTTCAATTTCCAGGGGCCAAAAGCACTGACAGAGAGTGTCCGCATTCCGCGGGGCCTCGAAGATGCCTGCCATGGCGAATTCAAGATATTAATAGAGTAAAGTGGGATGGCGAAGCTCTCTTGTCGGAGACGGGGGGTTTTGGTTGAGTTGACGCTAAAAGTTCTGCCGAAGCGGTGTCGATGATACATCCCACTTTGAGATTTAGAGTCATACATATTTTATATTTACCGCCTGTTCTCGCGCATTCGTCTGCAATTTTTTTTTTCTGAATTCCTTGCCAGGCGTTCATTAGCAATCACCATGGCTGACCAAAACCCAGTCGACGCAGCCACCCCCGGTGCTGCTGCCCCCCAGACTCTGCCTGATCGCACTCAACCCCCCGCCGATAACGCGAACGAGTCTAAGAATGCCGCCAAAAAGGCCGCCAAGGCTGCTAAGATGGCCGCAGACAAGGCTGCTAAGGCCGCGAACAAGGGAAATGCAAAGCAGGAGCCCAAGAAGGCCCCCAAGAAGAAGGTTGAGGGTGCTGCTTTGATTGGAATTGACGTCTCGAAGGAGGAGGATTTCCCCACATGGTACTCTCAGGTACTATACCGGATATGAACATTATACTCGCATGGATATGTTCTAAGTACATTATAGGTCCTCACCAAGGGTGATATGCTTGACTACTATGATGTTTCTGGCTGCTTCATTCTGAAGGTATGTTTATTAGTCTTCGTTTACACCTTTAAAGGTATTCAATCACTAACGCACATTTGTGCCCTCTAGCCCGCTTCATACTTCATCTGGGAGGAAATTCAGAACTACTTCAACCTGCGCATTAAGAAGATGGGTGTCAAGAACTGCTCTTTCCCTCTCTTTGTATCTGAGGATGTGTTGCAGCGTGAGAAGGATCACATTGAGGGTTTCGCTGCCGAGGTCGCCTGGGTAACCCATGCGTATGGATCCCAACCTCCCAATTGGATGGTATATTGATTATCTGACTTGATTATCTTAGTGGATCTACCCCTCTCGAGAAGAAGATCGCCATTCGTCCCACCTCGGAGACCGTTATGTACCCCTACTACGCTAAGTGGATTCGCAGCCACCGTGACCTGCCCCTGCGCCTGAACCAGTGGAACTCCGTCGTGCGATGGGAGTTCAAGAACCCCCAGCCTTTCTTGCGCACCCGTGAGTTCCTGTGGCAGGAGGGCCACACCGCTCACTTGACCGAGGCCGCTGCCCGTGAGGAGGTGCTCCAGATTCTCGACTGGTACTCTGACATCTACTCCGAGCTCCTCGCCGTCCCCGTCGTCAAGGGTCAGAAGACTGAGCGTGAGAAGTTTGCTGGAGGCCTCTACACCACTACTGTGGAAGGATACATCCCTGCCACTGGTCGTGGTATTCAGGGTGGTACTTCCCACGGTCTGGGCCAGAACTTCAGTAAGATGTTCAACATCACCGTGGAGGACCCCTCCGCCAAGCCCGACGAGAAGAAGCCTGCCCTCAATGTCTGGCAGAACTCTTGGGGTCTGTCTACCCGTACTCTGGGTGTCATGGTCATGATTCACAGTGACAACAAGGGTCTTGTTCTGCCCCCTCGCATTGCGGAGACCCAGGTTGTCATTGTCCCCGTTGGCATCACCGCCAAGACCTCCGATGAGGAGCGCGAGAAGCTCAATGCTGAGGTTGACGGCCTTGCTGCCGTCCTTGAGGCTGCTGGTGTCCGTGTCGAGAGCGACAAGCGCACCGAGTACTCCCCCGGCTGGAAGTTCAACCAGTACGAGCTCCGCGGTGTTCCTCTGCGCCTTGAGTTTGGCCCTGGCGAGTCTGCCGGTCACTTTGTCACCGCTGCCCGCCGTGACGTTCCTGGAAAGGATGGCAAGAGCTCTATCCCCATTCCTGAGCTGGCTACCGCCGTCCCTGCTCTCCTGGAAACCATCCACAAGGATCTTTACACTCGTGCCGAGGCCACCTTCGCTGCCCACCGCAAGCAGATCACTAACTGGGACGAGTTTGTTCCCGAATTGAACAAGAAGAACCTTCTCATCGTCCCCTCGTGTTTGACTGAGGAGTGTGAGGACCAGATCAAGGACATGAGTGCCCGCAAGGCTGAGGAGGACTCTGGTGAAGCCGAGGACTCCAAGGCTCCCAGCATGGGTGCCAAGTCGCTCTGCATTCCCTTCGAACAGCCCGCTGGAGAGCTTGGTGCCTGTATCAACCCCAAGTGCCAGAAGCCCGCTGAGAAGTGGTGCATGTTCGGCCGTGAGTTTTCCACCTACCCTTGCAGAATTTACACATTGACTAACCGCTTATATAGGTTCCTACTAAACGGTTTGATTACACGCTTAACTTGCATGCGAGGAGTCAACTCCACCTCTTACCAGGGGCGAGGTTGCAGTCATCGCTTCTCATTGTGACCAGATGACATCCATATCACAGAAAAAGCATAAAAAATTATGCTCTTTGTTATGTTCGGGGGCTCAGATTACATCCATAAGATATCTTGAGATTTATGGCATTATTGTGGAGTTGGGAACGGGGTTGAACTGGAGGCATGTGGCCGGTCGGAATGAGTCTATGAGAGGGAATGAGTGATGTCTTTCATATTTTCTTACATTTCAATTTTTTAAAAAAAAACTCAATCAAAAAATTTAAAACTGAATCCAGAGGGTCACACAGCATGGTCAACTACAAGTAAGATGATCTAAACCTGATCAGATTAGGTATGGAGTAAAATGTCACTGGGATATAATATACAGGTGTTAGTCACAGACGCCATCCAAATGATGCACCGTTGATGATAGTAGAACAGAAGGCAAGCAGAGATTGATCCACGTTTGCTGGCGGTAGACGAGCGAAAACAAGGGAATGATGCAAAGATGGACTAGAGTTAACGAGATGGAATATTAGGATAGCAAGAGAGAGAGAGAGAGAGAGAGAGCGAGAGCGAGAGGGGAATAATGAGATGATAGGGAAACCCCCAGATAGGAGGGTATGTAGAGGTAGGCAAGTGGTTATGCAGAGAGAAAGAGAGAGACACAAAACAAAGGCTTAAAAATTTCCAGACCAGACGCTTCAAAATCAAGGATTTCAAAATCGCTATAAGAAACAGTAGCTGAAGAAATCATGTAGCTTGTTGAGGTAGGTAAGTATTTATCATGAAAATCGTTATCGTGGGAAAAAGAACGAAGTCTTCCCATTTTGTAAGATGTAAGTAACAAACAAGCATTTCATAGCGAAATTGCTAGCTGCACTAGTAAGTCTCGACAGAGCGAGCTCCACGAAGTTGCATCCTCGCACGGGACAGTGGGGACAAGCTGTTTTCGCAGAAAGACTGGGGAGGATGGGCGCGACGGAGGCGCTGCGGCCAGCTCATAAGAGTCTGGGCATCGGTAGCCGTGGCACCGTCGATCACATAGCGGACGTTATTCTCGTCGACGCCTTCAATCTGCACACGAGGAGGCGAGGTGCCGATACTAGGAAGATGGATGATGTCGTCATCACTGTCCTCGACAGACATGCTGCTTCTGCTATCCTTGGACGGTGTAGAGTGTGCCTGCATGCAGTAAACGGTCCCGTAGGCGCTGGAAACCGGGGTGGATGAGCGGGTAGCCGTGATGTTGGGGGTAGAGGCGGCGTGGATCTTGGTGCCAGATTGGTCCTTGCCAGCCCGCATAAGAACATCCATGTATGTAAGCTGGTCTTCAGATGCGGTTTGAGGCACGGTGCTCTCCTTTGAGCGTTGGAGATCGGCTAGAAGATTCGGTGATGGTGCTGGGGCATCGGTGTGCCTGCGTCGAGTGGGCGAGCCAGAGACCTTGCGGAAAAGGCGGTCGTAACCCTTTGAGGATACGCTGGTGGAGATACTGCGACTGGATTCGGAATCTCTCTTGTGTTTCTTGAAGGAGCCTTTTCTCATGATTTTAGAGAACTGGCCTGCCGAAGCACTACGATTCAACGCTGGGCGAGCAGATTTGGCGGATGAGTCCACATCTGAAGGTGTAAAGAGGGGTCCAGCGGCAGCAGGAACAGGCACGCGCTTGAAAGCATCGTGAGAATTGATCTCGCGGACGATTGCATCTTGTAGGGATTCATAGGTTGGATGAGGACTCAAGGCATGAGTAGACATGTAGGCTTTGTTAAAAAGGTCCATCATCTCAGACACCTTGAATCGGGGGGAGGGTGCAGCAGAAGTTGGCGTTTGCACGGGCAGTGGACTATTCATGACCTCTGCAATGCTAGGCGCTCGCTTCTTATCACTGCTAGATGGCGTGGGAGGCTGGATAGCGCAATGCCCTATCTTCGACCTGCCCTTGGAAGCCAAACGAGTGTTGATCGATAGATCTCGAACATTCCTCTTTGACGATGATCCCGATGAGGGAGGCGGGGAAATACTTCTCAGACCCAGTGAAGAACTGCGAGCGGTTGGGGAAGGAGGTTGGAGAACAGGTGGGGGCGTCTCGGGTTTGCTGCCATTATCACTCTCGACCTCATTACCCCCACTTAATGGAGGGGGCAAGGTTGGACTGTCTGGCAGAGGGGTATTGCTCCATCGCCTGCCTTGTTTGTAGGCCGGTGGAACGCCTAGGCGTTGAATAACTGGAGACGGGGCCTCTTCATCTGCAGCATCATCAGCCTCGGCATGCAGACTTGGCGCAGACTTTTGTAGACGAAGATGGTTGCTAGAATCCGAAGCTCTAGAAGCCGCATCATCTGGCGATGAACGATTGCGCAGATCTCCATCTGAAGTCCAATTGGGTTTCCTCGGATTGCGTTTCTGTGCATCCGGGCTCAATTTGCGTACTCTGCCAGGTGCAGGAGGGGAAGACCGGGAACTCAATGCAGACAATGAACGAGTTGGGGCCGCATATTTGGCAATATTCCTGTCTGCAACGTCCTCTTGGTATAGTGCAGACAATATTCGAGAGTTTGCAAATCCGTTTCGGTGTTGTATCCGAAGAAATCTTGTCATGTTGCGCTCTGCAACATCTTCATTGTATGGGCTGGCAGGTGGTGAGATAGGAGAGGGAGTGGTGGGTTCTTGCTGATAGCGCTCTCGGGTTGCTACAGCAGCCATCAAATCGATATGTCGACAATTGGAAGCCCTCTGAACTGGACGGTGACCCGGTACATTGGGCGCCAAAGAACATTGGGAAGAAAGCGGCCTCTGGCCCAGATGCTGGTGTAGATCTTCGAATTGTTTTTCAATCTGCTCAAAATGATGAGAGACATCTAATGATTGTCCTGCTTTAAGAACAGGGGACGGAAGTGCCGGTGATGGAGGAGCTGGGTATAGGTGACCAGGATCAAAATGAGGTTCTCTAGGAGATTCAGTGCCGAAGTACGATTCGTCTGGCGCATATTCAGGACTGGTTGATGGCCGAGACCTGGCATTTCGATCTAGCTGAAAGAGCTTCAACCCAACCATTGCGAAGTTGACTAACTTGTGATCTCATGCGCAAGGAGTTTTTTTTTTTTGTGGTTGTGGAAGGGCCTGGTTGGGGGCGCACACAAGACGGCACAGAAAACAAAAGTGACGTCGGGGGAAAAAAAGTGCCCCCGAGGGCTTAGACTAGCAATTGGTGGAGGGACTAGACTAGAGGCCGTCACGAACAATCCAACAAGTGCACATAATCATGACAGCATTACACTGTCAAGATCGAGAGACCGACATACGGTTGCAAGTTCATACTGGCTAAGTATAAAAATGATGGGAAAGGGAGAAAGAAAGCAGAAAAGGCGAAACACTTTCTGTACTCTATAATGTAGCGGAGACTTACCTTGTCAAGCAACAGGTCTGCAGATCCAATACCCTTTCAGAGTCTGGATCAGGGGGGGGGAGATTGTGACCCGGTCTTCTCCATGATCCGTCGCCGCGGGCACAGATGGGGCGAGATGCGGCGTGACGGTTCGAACGCTAAGCAGTTAAGAGTGATCCATTTGCCGCGTCTCGATTTTGACACACGAACGGTTTTCTTTAATTTGCCCTGGGTAAACTCAAAATGCCTGATTTCCCGTGTCCCCCGATCTCAAGGTTTGCTGGACTTTCTTTCTGCAGCTTGTTATTTTGATTTCTGGTTGCCAGCTCGACAGCTGGGTCTCGAACTGGGTCAGAATATGCAGCTAGCAAATCCTTTCTCCAGAAAAACGTCCATAATGCATCTGTAGCCTAGTTGTAGACAGCTTGCCGCCCCAGTTAAGGGGGATCCACAGTACGACAGGATGCTTGAGCCGAGAAGCCCCCCAAAAAAAACATCAGGAAGCGAGGTTGTTTGTTTGCTACTCCATATGATATTTTGCCTCGGAAACAGGCCGCATCAGCTCCAGTGCGCAGCCTCGATCTATTCCAATCAACGATCCTGGAATGGGAATCAAATGCCGGATCCAGATCCAAGTGGGAAACAGTCCGATAGACCGAGGAAAGTGAACAAAGGGAGGAAGCAGGGAGATGGAGTCTCCAATTTCCCTTGCTGTTGATGATTGGTGTGACGAAGGGATCGTCAAGTAGCAGAAGTGGATCCTCCTCGTTCTTAGCGGCACGAGCCCGCGAACCGAGTCAAGATTTTGAATTGATGGGCTGATCCGATTGCTGGAAAGCTGGCACGATGGAGTTAAGGATCCAGAGTCGTGGATACTGAAAAGCACAAGAAGAAAGAAACACGTAAAAAGATCCCAACAATCAATTGATCAGAACTAGGTGGAGGTATGAAGTACGGATACGGGAGGTTGATGTAACTAAACTAGTTATGGATTTGGAATAAGGATGACAAAGAAATCCCGATCGGGATATGGCACGTTCAGGGGGCAGAAAACCCAAACACTAGTCGTCACTCAACAGAAATGATAATTCTCATATATGTAAATAATAAATATGAGCATTTGAAAGAAGGATCCGCTTCTCAAGCTGCATCCGACTTCCCCGGTTCTAGGCTGTACATCATTCCTTTTTATTCTCCTAACTCCAATTTTACCTGTTTTTTTTTTTTTTTTTTCCTTGATTTTTTTTCTCTCTCCTATAGTTAAATATAGAGAAGTCAAATTTCGGTTCTACAGTAGATCATGCCACAGGTTTTCCTTAGTAGATCCACCAAATCTCACACCTTGATCGATCGATTCCGATTCCGATTTCGATTCCGATATTCTGACCCTGTGAAATTCTTTTCCTGAGCACATTTTCAGACCATGAATGACCTATGACTATAAATGTACTTGCTCCGCTCACCGCTGCCAAGTTAAAGCGCATAGTGTAGATCAGTCAAAGTTAATTTCTTAGACATATACTGTATAGTAATATGCTTCTGTTCATCATGTATTAAAAACCCCACTGGATCCATGGTTGAGTGGTTTTGCCCCTCTTCAAATGCTCTTCATGTTTCATGCCTTACCAGATACGGTCGGGCCCGAATATCTTTTGCATGTACTTTTATCTGGTTTTTTTTTTCTTTGATTCTTCTATGCGCACGTGCTTAATATGAAAAATAAACCTCTTGTGGCACGTGACCATTGGGCCCTTATCGCTCTTAGACGACATTTAGCGAACGATGAAGGAACATCGTCATTAAATCCCAAGGCTGGCACAGTTCATGAGAATATGAGGATACATGTTGTATCTAGCAGATCGTCTTTTCCCACATGATGTACCAAGGCTAGGTACCGATCGAATGAGTGAAAAAAGAAATTAGGGTAGGAGCAGGCGGTTCATGAATCGTACGTATAAAAATTATCTTTAAAAGTCAACAAGTCAAACTTTCCATTTGAATATTCCAACACCCAAGACATGGATGGTGGTATATAGATGCGCGAGTGGTGACATCAAATGTATGGTCTACAAGTATACTCAAGTGCTATCCATGCACATCTGGGGTAATTGGCCCTGGGAAGCTCATGAGTCTACCTCGTTGAACATTTGAACCTGCTCGAGGATACTACCTAACCCTGACCTCAAGCTACTATGTAGGTATGTACCTAGGTATGAAAAGATCTCAATTGAAAGAGAAAGAGAGGATACCTATGTGGAGGAAACATGAACCTTCAACATTAAAAGTCCAATTATTCATTACATCCAGATTATTTTTCTCAAAAAGAGGCTAGTTTCCTTCAATGTTGTCTCGTACTATCCAGACATATGGAGAGTGCACCTGCGGGTACTTCCATTGGAAGTTTGCATGTCTGGTATCTGCACAGCCAACTAACAAGCTCACACCTCGTCAGGTTCGCCTTGATAGTGAGACAGAGCATACTCATCAGAGCTTGGCTCAGCAGGAGGCGTGGGCTCAGCGGGAGGCGTGGCTATCTTTGCCTTCCTAGTCGCTTTTTTCTTGGGGATTTTTTCCTCATCTTGCTCGCTCTCCACGACAACAGAGCTCCGCTTGCGTGGCTTCTTTGGTGTTGGAGTTGGGCTATCCGAAGGAGGGTTACTCCCCTGGTTCATTGGGGAACTGCCCACGTTAACACCGGCGTCCTGCATCCTCTTTTTCAAACGGTAAAAGCGGCAAAAGACAGCAGATCTAGATAGGCCAAGATTGCTAGCGACAGTCTCCCAGTTAACCTAATAAATTATCATTGTCAGATGTGAAGCCTTGGAATCAAGTGATTGATGTATTCCATAGTATCCAGCTCTTGTTAACTCACCCGGTTTGCAGAGTTACTATGGAAGCATTCCCAAACGAGACGCATTTCTTGCCCAATGGTATCCGCAGGACCAGTTGATCGTGGAAGTCCCTTTGAAGGCTTGCTTGCAGGAGGTGAGGGCATGAGCTCCTTATCCTTAGGGGGACTGGGACTCGCCATGTTGGTTTTGATGTTTTCTTGAGAAGTCCTTAGGGACGCCTGATGGATGTTAAAAAAGCCAAATAAAAAGTATATGACTATGATTAACATACAAATAGATGAGAAGCTTTGAGTTTGAAATAGCAGATTACAAAGGTGCAGAAGGGGTATGGAAAAAGGGAATGTTGGGGGTGGGGTAAGAGGGAAAGGAAGGCGAAGATGAAGAACCTTGGAAAGACAATCAATCTTGGAGATTGATAAATGTAGTATAATGTAGTAGTGGCTACATGTAGTAACCACTCACTAGCACAATTTCACGGACTTAGTAGACAGACCTTTTGTTGATTGTAGCTAGGAGTACGTAGTTTCAATGTTTGCACTATTAGTATATCCTGGACTTAGAATGCCCACGCCTAAGTTGACATCTGGTCCCACTAACCTTGTTCAACTGACTCTAACCCTATAATAACCCCACGTCGATTCTTACAGATAGTTCTGTCGGTGCCAGTATGCTAAAGTTTGAAAAAAAAAAGTGTTTTATGATATTACCAGCATACCTAGAACATTGCTGATGTTGTTGGTTCCCATGATTTCACAGTCACAGTCACATCATAAGCATAAACAGATTGAAATCAGAGCCAATCTAGAGAAGAAAAAAACGAATGGCTTCCGACCCACCCTCCCAAGCCATGGTACGAGGTCCTATCACTCAAACATCATCGCTGGTCTCTTCCATGGCCTCTGCCTCTTCCTCCTGCTTCTGCTCGTCCTTCTGCTTCTGCTCGTTCTTCTGCTCATCGAGGCGCTGATCACCGGGGCTTTCCAGGAGAGCGGCCTCGCGATCCATGCCGGCTTTCAAATTATACCAGCGACCCTGTGCGGCTTTGTACGAAATGCCGAGTTTCTCGCCGACAGCTTTGTAGTTGACCTGCCGAGGGTTCACACCTGTTAGTGTGAAATAGGAACTAGAAAGATCAAGAACAGAGCAGATAAAAAAAAGAAAACAGGTTGCAGTGAAACTTACAGAGCCCATGAGTTCCACGCAAGCATACAAGAAATCAAAATTGCTTTGCGTAAGCAGGTTCTTCGTAGCAATGCCCTTCTTATGAGGGGTCTTGACGACCGGGGTCTTCTTGATTCTGGGGGCCTTGGCGCTCAATGTGTCCTTGGGTGTACTCTTCGCCATCGTGGTAGTGCCTTGTGTTTTGAGGTTAGAATAGCAGACTCGATGAAGAATTCGATCGATTTGTAACTTACTTGTTTACGTCAGGCGGGGTGTGAATTGTAAGAAGCCACGGAAAACAGTGGGTTCGAAAGTTGATTAAGTTGATAGTGGAAGGGAAGGACAAGGAGAAAAAACTCGAGGCTCTTATAGAAAATGCAAACAACCTTGCACAAATACTACTACTTTTGAGTATGTACTAATTAGTCATTCACGCAGTTTCATCATGGAATAATTTGTGAAACGTCACTTCCGAATCTGCGCATTTTTCCGCATCCTGTTTTGATTGACTCTCATATGCCAGATTATGCCCATGTGAACCTTTAGGTTTGTATCTTGAAGAGTGAGATACTAATCAATAAACAGAGAGGCTCATGAACTACTACCTGATAGCTACTAGCAGGTACATATTGCTGCCATAGATAGAGAAGAAAAAACCTCCAGGAATTAACAACATGTATTCTCAAGTGAGTGCTCAATTAGGGTTAGATTCTGCATTCGGTCTGGAAACCGATTTTGAAGCTTAGGCACCCTGAACGAGAGCTGACTATTTGCTCTCTTTCCGATTCTTTTTTTCTTGAAAACATCAAATGGGAAAGGTGCCAGTAAACGGCTATCTGTTTGGTTCTTACCTTAGAAACGACAACATTTGCAATAGAATTGCAGTATTTTTATTCCCTAAAAAGCCCGTTTTTGACGCCAAGATTTCCTGATAGTATCATAGAGCAAGCTCACGCCATGGCCATCAATTTGAAAGATCAAGTCACGGTATATATCAGGCGTGGGTAGTTTATCGCGTTTGCGCCGGGGCTAAACATTCAGTAAGGTGTAGGGCCTAGGTAGGGAATTCACAAACTAACATTCGAAGTGAGCGTTTGAAAATTGCGCAAAATTGCGCAAAATTGCGCAGATTAGTGAGATCAATTGATCTCATTCATGTACCGACATCCGGAGGCAGACAGAGTTGACTGGTAGTTAGAATCCGAGCGCAAGAATCAAGACATCAATATGTATTATGCTGTCAGTCAAATCCCGACAAGGCTTTATTTCCATCAATATATGTATTTGAATAAAGGGCTTCTCATAGCCCCAATAGAGATAATTCGAAGCAATATGTTTTGCAAGGCATGTCGATCCACGAGAAAAAAGTTCATTTAACGAGAGACTAAGGCTATTAGCACGTGAAGGAAGAGCGGAAAAGGACGAGAAGAACAGGAGAGGAGAACAACAAAAGGTAGAGCACGCAGGCGTGTAGGCATGGGATCAGCATCACTTCCTAGGCCTCAGGCCTGGTGACAATATGCAAGGGCCACCACCTAAAATGCCACTAACCGTAGCTTACTGCCCATCGATAACACCTCTGGGCGTTATGGGTAGGCAGTAAGCTACGGTTATACTGTAAGTGTATTGAATTCGTCTCGTGAAGTTCGTTTCAAAGCAACATAATCCACCAAGCACGTCAATTTACCACATGAAAAAAAAAAGACAATTGCCAGATTCCTGCCAAATTACCAATGGATCAATCCAAAGCCAAATTACAGTCATCAGATGTAGAACATGGTGTCCTTCACATTAGGATGAAGAACGGCATTCTCAAAGTCAGGTTGTCCGCGGCCTTCAGTCCCGGCAACACTTGCCGCAGGTGTCGAAGCCATGCTGGGGTCAAAGAGATCACTGAGGTAGCACCGCGCACGCGTACAAACCAAATCTGCATAGTACGCAGGCGGGCAGACGCTGACAGCCTTCGTTGCGCGACCGAAGAGGTAGCACATCTTATGAGTCAGATCCTGGAGAACATCGGCTGCGCCTCTGGCTCCAGCGCCGCCCGGGTTCTGGGGGCAGAAAATTTCATCCCAGACAGTGAAGTAATGGGCTGGGCGGGCAGTTCCCTGGAGCGCGGAGTGTGCCTGCAGGAAGAAGTCCCAGTGCTTGGACTCGGAGATACCACGGTCAACGACGGTACCCGGCATTGGGTTTGCCGAGCGATCAGCGTCGGCATCGGTGGTCGGGTAGAAGCGAGTGTTGTGACGCTTGCCGACGATGATAATGGACATTTTGGGGAAACCACGCTTGGTCTCAGAAGCTGGGTAAACGGCTTCGCAGGCGCGCTTGAGGAGTGGCAGTTCCTTTTCGATGACAAGGTCGTACTGGCCTTCGGAGACACCGTCACGATAGACTACAATGTTTTCCGGATACTTGTTTTTGTTGAATTTGGCCCACAGTTTGAGACGTGACTGCATAAGCACGTCGAGATCTTGAACCATTTCCTGTCGCTTCTCCTGGATGCGAACTTCGGCCGGCCACTGTGCGAGCGCGGAATCGACGGATGCCACGATTGCTGCAACACTAGGCGCGTTGCCTACTGAGCCAGGCGAAGGGTGGGTAACGTCAATGCCGACGAGCATCGTTTTGCCGTTTCCAAATAGACCGAGGTCAGAGCTTCTGAGTGTTTGATTTCCTCCGCCGAGCTTCAGGTTGATCTTCAGACCAACGTTGGCACAGTACTGGTCCTGTCCCTGGGCAAGCTTCTCAGCTTGCACATTCACATTGCGGACACCACAACGTACATCGCAGACCTGCTTGACCGTGTTGTAAAGGGTGGTATCCTTGCCGTGGAAGACACCCAGGACCATAGAAGGCTTGTAACGACCTTGCAGCTCGCGAACGGCCTTCTCGATGACCTCAGCATCATTTCTGCCATTAAGGACAAGACGTTGACCTTCCTTGGGTAGCTCGGCATCTATACCCATGCTGCGGAGTACAGATGTGAACTTTTGCAGCGATTCCATCATTTGAGCACCGCTTTGCCAGTATGTACGGGCGCGGTCGGTCGTGAGGTACAGGTATGTCCAATTCTTCAACGACACTGCCTTGGAGAATTGAATGGCTTTCATGTTCCACGAGCCGGCGGTGGTCAAAATCTCTTTTTGCTTAGCGTAGATGATCTTTGGAGGCATCAGAACACGACCTTGGACAGTGATAAGATTGTTATCAACGCGGACACCAAAGGCAGCCAATGTGGCGCTTAACGGCTCGCCAAGACCCAACATGCCCGCTCCCTTGGTCACAATTGACTCAGCATTCTGCGCAGGCTTGCGACCCATCACAGCAAACTTAAGCATGTCAGACGTCTGATTCGGGGAGAGCTTGGTTCCCACTGGCTGACCAGGTTCGACCTCACACACGTCCATAGGGAGATACATGGGGAATTGTCTGTTGCCGACATTGATAACAGGCAATTTCGGGTCCAAATCTCTTTTGTATTCTCGCTTGAAATAATCACCAACAGAGATGTACTGGCCTGCGGGGGCTGGGCCTGCCTTGGCGGGCTTTTTCCCCTTCTTTCCCTTGCCCTCGGCAGGCTGCGCAGCTTGTGCGGCTGGCGGTTTCGATCCCGGGGCTTCCAAAAAGAATTGGACGTCGAAAGGACCAGCTCCGTGACTAGCTACCTTGGGCGGATTTGTGCCGGAACGACCATCAGATGGTGATGCTAACCCGGTAATGCTCTTGCTTGGAGGAGGACGAGGCTTGCCGCTGCTCGTCTTCCGCACAAGATGAGTGGCTCGGATACGCATGCGCTTCAAAAAGGATTCCAGTCGGTAGGGATTGCGCGAATTCGTACGCATATATTCTCCAAGCACCATAGGCAGAGGGCCTTCTTGGTAGCAAGCGAGATATTTGACTTGCACGTTGAGCAAAACACGGGCGGTGGCGGCACGCACACTGATGAAGTAACCACGTAACGCCTCAAGACCACCACCAAGAGACATGCGTTCAGCAGTGGCAGGATCAAAGCTGTAATGCTTATTACCACTGAGCGTGACAACTGAGCGGTCGGTCTTTGGCTGGTGACCCATAATAATGTTCATCGCCGCCAAAATCTGCTCTTGCTGCATTAGAGGACCCTTGATACTACTCGACGACAAGTAATTAATCAGATCGGTTGGATCAAGCGTGCCCGTCGGTCCAACGGTCACGCTGTAGACCTTGGGCTCATCGAGATAATCGAATTCGTTTTCGCCTTTGTACCGCACATCGAACTTCTTGTCACTCGACAGCTTCAGATCAATGGACGAGATTAATGTAGATCGGTAGTCCGTGGCAATGTTCTTGATGTCTTTTGTGAAGTGTTCTTCCAACAAGAGTCGCACGATTTGACGCGCTTTCTTGGTCGGAATCTCCCGACCCTGGTCTTTACCGACAGCGACATGGTAGCGGAAGACCGGCTTGCCGACCGCTGTGAATGGCATGTAGTTGGCATACAGGGTAACAGGCTTGCCTAGTGTGCCATAGCCAGGACGGCTGGGGTACAGGGCTGTTTTCTTTTCTCCCACCAGGGCCTTGCTTGTATCATTTTCGACTTTTTCGACTTTAGAATCTGGTGCAGGGATTGATTTGCCCTCGCTTTAGTTACTGTCAGCATTATTTCCATCAGAAATTCGGGATCCATATTTACTGACTTGAAGATTCGCGGACCTTGGTTGCCGCCGCCTCGAAAGCCTCCACCTCCACGGCCACCGCGGAAGTCTCCACGACCTCCAGAATCCCCGCGACCGCGGCCACGATAATCGCCACGGAATTCTCCCCGTCCTCCCCGATCACCTCCTCTGCCACGATAGCCTTGGGAATCACCTCGGTCTCCACGGGATCCTCCACGAGATCCTCCTCCACCACGTTCCCGGAAGGCAAGGTCGATATCCCCCCGACCGCGACCACCACCACCACCACCATGGTCGCCGCGACCGGATCCTTGGTCACCTCGGCCTCGACCCCGTCCCCGACCACGCGGGTTATCAGACATGATTATTGATGGATGGGAATTTGATGAATAGAGGAGTTTTGCCCATGGAAGAGAAAAGAGATGAAGGAAATCTACTCCGGAGTACAGGTAGGGAAAACAGCCTAGCCTTATAGGTGTGAAATGGGTCCCACATGTGACATGATGATCCGTCTATTTGGGCAATTACGCAGCATTTACGGTTGGCTACACCCTGTCATAAAAAAGCCTTGGGCTTTGTTTGATGGGGATTACAAGTCCCAATCTTTACCAATCAGAGAAAGCCAACAGCCCAGTGGGGTAGCGGTGTGTGATGTATCCAACAAAGGTAAACAAAGAAAATGAGGCTATGGTAAATGATTGGTAAATTAGATCTTAATCCCTCAAGGCTCAAACGAACAGTGCAAGGGATGCGGACTCCATTCGACCGTACAAGTCTGACATGCGAGTGTACTAAGTATTCCAATGCTTGAATTGGTATTTTTCTCTCTGGAATACACAGCCGTGACCCAGACACAATCCATGACAAACAACTGCGTAAGGAAGCGGTCACTCACACCAGTTGACCAGGACCTTAAAATGAACAAGCCCCACACTCAAAGAAATATCAAGGTATTCACACCTCCTCAGCAATATCTAGTCCTGAGCTCTTGGTCTCATTGGCTTCATCACCTTCGGCCTCGTCAAGAACCTCATCATCGGCCTTAAACGAATTGCCATAAGAACCAGGGTAGCGCTTTTGAATACGGCAAAAGCGCATATAAGCGGCCCCTGTGGTGATGTTGAGGTTGGTCGACACCGTTTTCCAGCTACTACTAGTAGGCTAATCGAATACATTCAGTAAAATAGTAACCCATATAAAGACATAAATAGATAGCTACATACCTTGGCACCTTGCATAACGGCGTTGATCACTCCGAGGAGGAACTCGACATCATTAATTGTGCGCTTCGAGTCGGCAGATGAATTCTTCTTAGAGGGAGCCATTTTGAAGGATGTCTGACTATGAGAATGTCAGCGCCTAGGGCTTAATTTGAGATACATGATCCAGGAGCGGTTCATATACAGGAAGCTTGATAGAGTAAGACGTGCAATTCGAGAAAAGAAAGAAAAGGTAGATAAAGGATAAAGATAAAGGTGATGAAGAATGATGCCAAAGGTTGAGTGAATTGCTTTGAAGTGAAAAGTGAATTGCTTTGGTGAAGAAAGCCAGGACAGAGTGGAAGAAGACAGAGGTGAGTATGAGATATGAAGAAAAACACCCAAGACCGTATGCCATGTACGTATTAATCGATTAGCATTTCCAAGCACTGGTGACCTTGTTAAAACTTTGGAGACTAATAGTATTTGCTTAGACTTCCGGAAGTACAGATTTCATTGCTTCATTAATGTAATGCTTAAGCTGCTTTTTAACATTTCACGGCCTCCAAGACGGACTCCCGAAGTGCGTCCCCAAGAACAGAGTGGGCTCCTCTAGCTGCATCCACAGCCCCATCTATTAATGCTTCATGAGCAGTTCGCTCATCTCCCTTCTCCAATAGAACCTTGGAGCTGTCTCCCTTAAGCCAAAGCTCTGTAATCTCATCCCGAGCAGGCATGTAAGCTACCACACACGCAGACAAGATTGAGCGATGCTCAGCCGGGTCCGTATCCAGCATCAACCTGGGAGAAGAGTCACCGGAGTCATCTGAAACCAATGCAGCCACACCACCAGCAACAATGTCCAGGCAGTCAATATGGGCATCGGCAATGGCCGCTGATGCAGCAGTAATACACCCAGCCAGTACATTCATCATACCCCACGACGCATCGTGTGAATCGGGGGCATCAGCCCACCAGCGATCATCCTCAGCCTCCAGGATAGTGATTGTCAGATCGATGCCAGACTTGGGCCAGCGCTCAGCAATGATTGCCCCGCGCAAGGCAGTCTCCAGATGGACGCCAAGATCACGCTCGCTTGCATCACGGATGTGTCCCTTCCTCTTGCGAGCCGCAAAGGGTGCGTACTTGACATGTGTAGTGAGAACAAGATTGGGAGAGAAAGCCGCTGATCTAGGCAATGGTTTTGGGCCATGGACTGTGCAGGCGAGTTTCAACGCGGATGAAGGTGGGATCAAGGATTTGGGGTTGGAGCGCGCGGCAGCAAGAGAAGCAGAGGGTTGGAATTCGAGATATGAAGAGCCGGAGGCTGAGGGGATAAGACCCGTCTTCAAAACTGGAATGTTTGTTAGCCTTGATTATTTGCGATAGGAAGCTCAGCGGCTCATACAGATTTTCCGGAGCTCGGTTGGTTGACGCTCGCGGCGGGCTCGATCCGCGGCGCTGCTGGATTCAAGATGCGATGCAAAGACCGCTGGCCGGGTACCCCCAGGCGGGCCATTGATTCTTCGTCGGTCGTTCATTTTGAATTGAGTGAGAGGAAACTTGAAGCTCTAATCTTGCGGCGTTGCGAGCCTAGAAACGGAAATCTTGGTGTTTGCAGTGTTTGCGCGGGGCCCCACTCCAGATTTTCAGCTTTAAAAGAAAGATTTTGAAACTTTTTTCTTTCTCTCTTTCCTTCACACACCTCAACCTTGGCTTCTCTCAACAGAATCCTTCTAATGTGGCTGGGTTTCTCTTGAGTTGATCCAAGGTTGAGCTCGAAGATGATATGGTAAGTGATCAATTATCCTGATATCTCATTTTCACCCAATTCCCCCAACCCCCCTGTCTTTATGAGGAGAACCTACCAAATTATCTGTTCGACGACAAAAAATGGGTCATGAACAACATGCACTACCATCTGATTGACATTCCTACTTCTTTATTGTTTTTATCAATACCGTCCTTGTTGGCTTGAAGCTTACAATGATTCAGACAGGAAATCTCGGCTATTCGACTAACATGTGTGCCTCGCCTAAGCCAACATTCTAGCTAACAGGTAAGCTTTGCTTTTTTTTCTTTTCTTCCCTCTGACCCCTTTCCCCACTTTTCGTGATGAGAATAAATTTTTCAGTTCTGCTTCTGCAAAAACTTTGAAGATAATAAAAATACTTACCAAAACTCCTGATCGTGTCATTTCACACTCATTGTCTTGCAATCTTTTATCCTTGATGAATCAAGTACTGACAATCTCCAAGTAAAACATCCAGGTCATTTCAGTTCAGTACGTTGTTTCTCCAGACTATCTATCAGGTACGAATATGATTTTGTTTTTCATGCATATATGCATTCCTCAACTTTATGATGACACCTAGTCAATCCATTCAATGATCTCTTTTGAGAACCGACCCTCGGGTACGTAACCGCATCTTTCTGCGGCACAATACAGCTCACGATCCATGTCTTTGCGACTCCCTTATACTGGACCTTTGATGTCTGTACTTCGGTACGGATGTCATCGGGAGGAAGGTTGTGGAGCACCGGATTGACGTGGGCTAAGTCGTCTTCTGGTGCCAATGATTTGTGTTGGTCTACTATGCTCGGCTTGTGTTGGACTTGATGGCTGGGCTGTCCGTCCGTCTTGGAAGGCAGTTTCGGTTTGACGGGCCAGCAGGGGATGGGATGAATTAAGACGGCTGCCTGATTATAATTTGCAACTTTGCAAATATCTATTGTACTTTTTTTGTGCGATTGATGCTAACTATCTGTTTGCAGTCTTTGATTGTTATCTCTTCTAAGTCTTTACTATATAATACCAATGAAAAACATAATAAACCATCATAATTGAATTCTGAAGCAAGAGAGTAGACTGATACCAAGGCTATATGCATGTCAAAAATAGCAAGAGTGAAGAAACGTTTGAAGGTGAGGTTGTACATGAGCATGCTGGTGTGGCGCGAGGGTCCTCATAACCCCCCGGGTCCCCAGCAGGCCAAACAAACAAAAAATCCTCCCACCCCTTCTAAAACAGCCATGGGAATCTCACAGGAAAACTCGAAAACATATCAATAACCATAAAATTCTTTTATTCTTTTTGTTTGTGGACAAAGGCAACATGAAAATATAACCGTGCGAATGAGTCTGTTCTCGAATCATCGCCGTCTATATTGAACTGTTGTCCATCGGAATCGAAGAGCCGGCGGTGCCTAAGGAGATGACCCCGGTGAAACTTGGTCCTTGACATCGACAGGTGTCGACCTACCATTGGATCGGGTCATGCTATAGGGAGCCTAGAAGATGGTGGGTTAGGATCAGTGTGATGTTTTTTTTGGCACCAAAAGAGAACCAAGTACTTACAAGAACCTTTTTGGCGTTGTATATCCGCCAGGCGAGATTCAAGACATTACCATCGGCCTTGACAACCTCTGGTGCCAACTCAACACCGAACCTGTGAGATCGAATGTTAGACAGAAGCTATTGGACAAGAGGACAGGGGTACACACATCTGCTGAACGGCAAATACAACTCTTTTGGCAAATTTGCCATCTCGTTCGACAAGATCTCCGAATTTCTCATCAACGGTCTCGGGTGCAACTTCGGGATCGCGATCGAAGCAGTTGCGAACGACAGGGAGGAGAGCCTTCTCAACTGCGCTTTGAACAACCCCACCCGCTTCAAAGGTGTCGAGCTCGTCGTAGTGGCGGATGCGAATCTCAAAAGGTCGGGAAATAGACATGACATTGTGGACGCCGTTGTGGTGGTAGCGCAATTCGAAAGCACCTTGAGTCCAGAATAGCTTATCGCCCGAAAAGAGGATCTCTCCAGACGCAAGTTCATGACCATCGGGACCCTTCTCAGAAGACTTGATGACCACGTCACTGGTAATAATTCCCTTTTCGCAGTTCGAGTTGTCATAGGAACCCTCGTTCGTCGCGATCCAACGACCTTGCGAAGAGACACGAGTGACCTCTCGGGAAGTGTTGTCCGTGACGCGATACAGACCAATCCAATCCTTCTTGCTGTGATTGAGTGGCGCAGTCCACTTAACCTTGATTGGGGCACCATATTCAAAAGTCAAATTTTGAAGATCACCACGGCGGTCTAGAGGCATGCGTGCATTGGCTCCTTCGCGACCCTTGTCTTGCTCGGTAGTAGCCTCTGTAGACTTGGCGTCCGTTCCTTCCACCGACAGTGAATAGTCCCGAATATCGTATCCAGCCAGATCTGCATCAATGCGAGAAATGGTGATACGAGCCGGGTATTTTTGGAAGAGAGCACTAGTATCTTTGACGAATGTGTTGACACCAGCAGCAAGTTTTGGGCGAGCGTTGTCGAGAAGCTCCTCAATAAATTCGTAGGAGTCGTCAAACATCTTGTCCACACTACCATGCAATTGCTTGAGCGAAGGTGGTAGGGATTTCTTCAAGTTCTTGACGACACCACCATCTTGACGCAAGCTTTGGCCGTAAAGCTTCTGCATATGAGGCCGCTCGACGAATTGAATGAATGCCAGACTCAGGATATGGCTCACCAGGGCCAAGAAGGTGATTCCGGCACTGCTTGTGATGAGAACCGCTCCCCAGACGCCAGCTAGACCCAGTACACGCTCGGGGTTGTTCAGGAAGCGATATATTCCGTTGTAAGTCAATTTGGGGGACTCGTCGAAGAAGAAGTCACCAAAGAACCAGCCGAATTCACCGAGAGAGTCATAAATACTGATCGAGGTCCAGAGTTGAAGACTAATCAAGCCGACTCCGAGGATATGACGGAAGAGTACCAGACCGTAGTTCCAGTCGCTTGGGAAGGTGTACATCTTCCACACCGCGGCGATAAAGCTGGCATAGCACATGATCATGCTCAGGTGATATGTGCCCTTCCATTGGTTCCATGCCTCCTGGGGAGTCTCACCGAACTTGAGAAAGTGTCTCGTCCACGCCTTGTCCCTAGATTGGTTGTTGAGAAGAAGTCCAATGCCTATAGAATACCATACGCGCCACACAAGAGCGTTAACCACGAAGAAGAATTGATACAATGGCGTCGAGGGACTCAAAGCAGTCACTGCGAATACAAGTAGCTGCACGAGAATTATCGAAGAATCGGTGGTTCTAAAAAGGTCCAAGTTGCTCAAGCCCAGCAGGTTGTGGACCGAGGGTGGTGGTTTGGCCGAGTACGATGAAGACGCATTGGGGAGAATTTCCTCAGACGAAGTTGGTGCATTTGGGGTTGTCGCAGTCGGATTTGTCGCTGATGGGGAGTCTGGGAATGTAGGCAGGCTGCTTGTCGAATCCGCTACGACCGAGCGCTTGCGAGGCCGGGGCGGATTGTAAGTCTTGTCGATGTGTGGGTTTTCGACAAAGACAAGGAAGGCGAATTGAGCTGCATGGGCAATAATGGAGATGAACAGGACTTTGTAGCTCGCGGCCATCAGGGAGATACCGTAGTAGCCTGCGTAGCCGACCGAGTACATGGGGTGGGGAGCCATCTCGAATACACCATCAAAGGTTAGCTCTTGGTCGATGAGGTAGAAGAAATCCCCCCAGTACCAGGCATAATCCTTGACTACTCGATGGGCGTCTAGTTTGACCCAAAGGTTGAAAAGCACCAGCACGATGCCGGCCACCCACCGAAGGACAGTCATGACCAAACTCTCATCGATGGGACGGTGACCGCAGGCGATCGCAAAGAGACAGTATGAGGTGAAATCACACATGAGAATCACATCGACTAGACGGCGGAAGACGAGCCAGGTGTTGTATTCAATAGGTGCAGTTTCGAAAGAGTAGTCGTGAGGGATTTTGGTCTCCATCTCCCGCTTGATCCAATTGTATAGAATAGGGTGCGGGTTGTCTCCAGTAGCGGGATTGACAAAAATCTTTGTCTTCTCTGCCCATCGAATCATAGTTCTGTTGTGCGACTGGTTATGCAGAAGCCATCCAATCCCCACATTGTAACCCGCTCGCCAAAACAGGTATACAATCGCAAAGACCGGAATTTTGGCACTTGCAGGAAGAATCCAGAGTAACCAAATATGAGCGACCAGGAGGACGATAACCACCGCATCAGACAAATTCTTAGGCTCGGATGGGGATAGAAGCTGTGAGACCATGTCATGGGTTTGAGGCACGGTGAACACTGTCAAAATGCGATCGACCGGATTAGCGGGGAAGCTCCACACGGGGACAAAGGAAAAGCATCATCATAAGAGATGGGGGTATTCTCGAGGGGATAACCCTCCAGAATTGAGAGCATTGAGCTTGTCGCATCGAGGCAATTCCAAGGGCAAGAGAATAAAGGAGATCATACCAGTTCCATCCGGGGTGCGACCAAAGGTCTTCTTGTCCTTTCCGTCCGCATCCTTATTTTCCAGTTCAGCATGAGAAGCTAAAGCATCGCGACCTCCAGTTGAATCAAGGTGCGACACATTTCTCTCCCTCAGCCCATCTGGCTGCAGGGCAGTTGAATGGCCCTGATCCATGATGAAGTTGTTCAAACAATCAAAGCAAAGTGTTGGGAAAACAAGAATCTGAAAGGCGATCTCAGAAGCATGTGACAGTGGGACCCTCCCAACGTGGTCTGTTTGCAGTATTTGTTATGTTAGTAGCAACGAGAACTTTTGTTTTCTTAGAACCTTTCGGATTTTTTTCCTGGGAGATATCCTTTGATCTATGTCTTTGATTCTTTATTTGAATTATTCCAAAAGGAAAATTTCAGGGTGTGTGGGAGTGGGAGGTATTTATGTGAATGAGTCTAACCATAGTGGAACAGTGGAACCCCATGAGCCTCGATTTCGCCAGCGCGTCTCCCATAGGTGAACCTGTACAAGAGAGTTAGTGTCTGCGGGCCCTCGAACGAAGCAGAAGAGGAAAGAACCGGAATCGATCCCGTTTCCTTTGCTCTCAACAGAATTATGGCTAGCATGGCTAACTCCTCTAGCCTATTGTATGTTCTCTGGGATCAAGTATGACACCTCTCCCTAACTTGCAACTCTTTTGACACTTCCAGACCTTAGCCATTCTCAGCACGGGTTACACGTTGGCCAAAGCGGAGGAAAAAGCATGCGGTAAATGCGGATACCAGCAACTGTGCATTACTCCGCTGTAACTTTCATGCAGACTGAACCCTATATGGTACTGGTGCAATAGGATTATTATTCTGGCGTAGTCACGAGAAAGGGTACAAGGGGTGCACATGTGGGAAATAAAGGGATTCCGGGAGTGGAGACGCCGGTGACCTTCAATGTTGGAGGATTGACATCATCTCAACATTGGTAGTTGACATGGTATTTGGAAAAGAAATCCCCGTAGTAATTATTTAGCATGTAGCAATATTGTTGTTGATAATAGATATCACTAGAAGCTAAAGTCAAACATGGGTTTCCATCGACCAATGATATGATGCCGGGTATATGGCCAGCTTCGTGTACAACCGTATCGGACGTTTGTGTCCCACACGGAATCGATTTCCAAGATTACAGCACAAAATCAAGATTTCCTTAAGGTTCTGACGAGCCTTCACTGAAGAGGATTGGTACCTGCACCTGATCCGAATGATTGGACTACACAATACCCTTACACCCTAGCCGAGAGCAGGGATGTTTTGTTGACTAGTGCGGGGCCAAGGCTACTTCAGGCTGGACAAGGCAATGCATTGATACTGCAGGTCGCTTTCTATAACCGATGCATTTATGGAGTAGGTGCATAAATGTCGGGTAAGACGTTTCACGAATGCATGACTGACCCCTCATTACTAAGTTGCACATGTAAAGAGAACAAGGAAGGAATGTGAAGTGATTCCCCTCATATGTTGATCTGAAATATTCTCTACTACTGTCAATAGATGGGTGATTCATGATCGTCCAGATAAATTGAACTATTCAACTTTATCTCTCTTCCAGATTTAATTTGCAATTGTCCATCATGCTTCTACTATTATCCGATTCCGATGCAAACACCAATCGCGGGGGATCGGTTAGTCATCACGCTTATCAAGCACCTCCGCCACCTTAGGGAATTTCTTTCTGAAACTTTTGACATTACACCTTCTTAAACTTCCCTGAATTACATACCGTTATGGCACCTTATGTGGAGGAGCCGAACGACGAGGCGTCCTTTGCGCCTGCCAAACCAGCTCCCAATCTGGTAGCCCCAGAGCCAGGTACGTTTTGATCTTCTGCGGGGAAGCCGCTTCAGCGACAAAATACTAGATACTAACGAGTTTGCTATATAGAACACTGCCCTGGTCCCGAGTCCGAGAAAGCTGGCCAAGGTGATGCCTGCGCTGGCTGTCCCAATCAACAGATCTGTGCCTCCGCGCCCAAAGGCCCCGACCCCGATATCGCAATCATCACCGAGCGACTCTCTCAGATCCGACACAAGATCCTCGTCCTCTCCGGTAAAGGTGGAGTAGGAAAATCTACCTTTTCGACCCTCTTATCCCATGCTTTCGCCGCAAACCCAGAGTCAACCGTCGGAATTATGGACACTGATATCTGTGGCCCATCTATTCCGAAGATGATGGGTGTGGAAGCAGAGACTATCCATATTAGTAACGCGGGTTGGAGTCCGGTGTGGGTGACGGATAACCTGGGTGCCATGAGCGTGCAGTTCATGCTACCCAACCGTGACGATGCCGTCATCTGGCGCGGACCCAAGAAAAACGGTCTCATCAAGCAATTCCTCAAGGATGTGGACTGGGGCGAGCTGGACTACCTGATCGTCGACACCCCTCCTGGAACCTCAGACGAGCATCTGTCGGTCAACTCTCTGCTGAAGGAATCTGGGGTTGATGGTGCGGTTGTCGTCACTACCCCGCAAGAGGTTTCCCTGCTGGACGTGCGAAAAGAAATCGACTTTTGTCGCAAGGCAGGTATCCGTATCCTCGGTCTCGTCGAGAACATGTCCGGATTCGTGTGCCCAAGCTGCACACACGAGTCGCAGATTTTCCGCGCCACGACAGGTGGAGGTCGCCGGTTAGCAAAGAAGATGGGGATTCCGTTCTTGGGAGCTGTGCCTTTGGATCCCCGTGTTGGAATGGCGTGTGACTACGGCGAGAGCTTCGTTGAAAACTTCCCCGACAGCCCTGCATCCAAGGCCATTAAGCGCGTTGTTAGGGCGGTTGGTGCGGCAGTCGGAGAAAACCCGGATGACGTCCTTCCGGAGGATATTGTCGCTTGAGGCGCCGAAGTCGATTACTTTCATTATAGCGTGTTGCATCTGGTCTTGATGGATGGAACCCATCAGTGGCGTTTGGATATAGAACTTTGATTTGATACCATGGATTATATGACCCTACGAAGCATGCAAGCATTTTTCTCATTTATCTAAAGAACAACTTCCAATTGTATAATGTGATCGATGTGAATCATCGATCTTAGACTGACGTTACAGTAGTAGCATTAGTCGTCTGCAGTAACACTCGCTTGTAACTCGTCAACGGATGATATCCATTGTCCGTCACTTCAAGAAGCAAATGAAGTAACCAACACCCGGACGGGTTGAAGCCCGCCCCATCACAACTCTGCTTTTCATCAGGAATCTGAACTTGCGCCATCTGACCCCCCTGTGAAACCGTAAAATTCAGCTCCGGAACCTGACTGGCAGCGTTCCACTCATCAGACCCAGGTTCCTTGTACTGAAACCAGCGAAAAGAAAGTGTATCTCCATCCAGATCCCCCGTCTCTCTTGCGTCCAAATGAAGTATCGACCCGGCCTTTACACTGATATTCAGAGGCGGAACACCGATACTCCCATTCATCGAGATGACCGGCTGGTGATTGGCCCTGCTCACATTCGCCGGCAAAGTCCACTGCATCCTGGCCGCAAAATCATTCTGAAAAGCATCTCTCCACCGCCAAACAGTCGCCTGATTAGACATGAAAGTCTCATTATTTATACCGACAACTTGATCCGCCGCATTAGCATAATGATTGAAATCCAGCACCGTTGACGGCGTGACTTTCGTATAACGTCCACCCCACGACCCGTAATCTGGGTGCTCGCGAACTCCAAGACCATTCTGGATCAGATACAAGAAAGTAGGCGTATCGCCCTCCATGATATATTCAAAATCCGGGTATGCCGTCTTCCCGTAGGAGCCAATCTGTATATTATCGCGCAGCCATTTCGCCGTTACTTTGGTGGGATCGGGCCCGCCTATATCATAGTACGTGCCTCCGGAGATACCGTTCCACGCCACTAGGCCGTACTGGCTCCAGCCCGTCGTGGAGGCGATGTAGAAGATGTCGGGCCATTGTTGGCGGATCCAGGCACCTGTGTCATCCTGGTCAGATGTGGCGTATACGCGGAGCTTAGATCTAACGAATGCTGCGTCTGTTGCGCAGAATTCGTTGTGGACTTTGTAGAGGACTTGAGCTAGGACATTTGAGCCGCCCCAGATGAGGACCCAGAGTGGTTGGTCAGTCTGGTCTTGTAGGCGCTTGAAGAGGAGTTTGCCTCCGTCACTGAGAGGAATATCTTTGCCGACTGCTTTCATGCCGTATATCTTCAATGTTACCAAGTTGTTAGATCTGAATCCATCGCTATAATGTATTCTATAGTGAAAGGTATTAGAAGACTTACAGCGGGACCTTTTCGTACAAGACTGCTCATATGCTGACCCGATGGATAGGTTGCACCGAATGGAGCATGGCGGTTTAGATTATCTGTCACATTTCCATAGGCATCGATGACAGATAACATGGCTTCTGGGTGGACTTCGTCTTGAAGCCAAAAAGATGTCACAGCACAAATGCCTTCTGTCTGGAATTGATTGGAATAGAGCAGATATCGAGTTAAGGATTCCTGATCATCAGGCTCATTGTTGATATCTGATAAAATAAACACTCGTGGCTTATCCGAGATTGGTAAAAGCGCAGATCTGTTCACTGCACTACCGATAACCTGGATGGCCAGAGTCCATAGTACCGTGAGTACAATTAGTATGGATGCCACCATGATCTATGGTTTTAGGACGCGAAACTTGAGCCCAGAAAGAGCAGTTGAGAAGTGCCGACACCAGGTAATTTAACCCTTTTGCTTCAGCTTGCAATTTCCAAGCTCTGTGAGAATCTCAAACATGTGTCATTTCTCCGCACCTGCGTTAAAGAGTCCCATCGTGATGTTCGGATGGTGGCTTTCATGGCCAAGCTTTGCGGGGTTAAGCTGAACATTAGCTGCCACTTTACGGTGCCTTTCTCTAGTGGTATCTTTGAAACCTGTGAATCCTGAAAAAGGAAGCTCTAAGCACTCCTTTGCCGATCTTTTCAAATGTTCTGTGGTAAAAATTACCTAACACGGTTAACTCGTTTGCTTAGAGCTTAGTACTACTGTACTAGTTACCAGTCCGTCCCCCTTTACTTATTAGGTACTTGCGTAAAACCTTACTAAATAATTCCTCATCTGAAAATAAGTAGTATACACTAGATATATTAACTAGTAGTTTGTATATATACTACCTTATGAAATATCTCACAGAATCATATAGTTATTATATATACTTTTTCGTATTTAATATGTATATCCTTACAAACAAACCTGATGTCTTTCTTACATACATGTATTCATATACCATTTTCCTTATCAGGATGATAAATATATTACAGAATCAGGTACTATATAGATTTTAGATAATTGATGAAAATACATACACATATATATATCCTTAATAAAAAAACGTATATTATAAATTTACTTATCAGAACTTTAAGTAACTTATGTTCTTGGATTCATTGTAAAAAATGTCGCAGAATCAGGTGCTACATAGATTTTGGATCATAGTGATAAAAATGCGCATATCCTTAATAAAAACAGAAATATTATAAATTTACTTACCAGGACTTTAAGTAACTTATCTTAATGAATTCTTTATGTAAAATATCACAGAATCAGGTTACAGGTACTTACTATATATATTAGTTCATTCAATGTTAGAATAATTAATATATATATTCTTAATAAAAAAAGGTATATTGTAAATTTACTTATTAGAACTTTAAGTAACCTATATTTTTGGATTCCTTGTAAAAAATGTCGCAGAATCAGGTGCTATATGGATTTTGGATCATAGCCATAAAAATGCGCATATCCTTAATAAAAAAAGACATATTATAAATTTACTTATTAGAACTTTAACTATTAAGTAACTTATATTTTTAGACTCCTTTCATAAAATATCACAGAATCAGGTATTATATAGATTTTAGGGTATTTATAAATATACATAAATGCTTGGTGAAAAGAAGCATTTCATTAATTTACCTATTAGAATTTAAAGTAACTTACTTTTTTGGACTCCTTATGAAAAATGTCGCAGAATCAGGTGCTATTTGAATTTTGGATGATAGCCATAAAAATGCGCATATCCTTAATAGAAAAAGATATATCGTAAATTTACTTACTTTACTTATTAGAACTTCAAGTAACCTATGTTTTTGGATTCCTTGTAAAAAATGTTGCAGAATCGGGTGTTATATAGATTTTAGGATGTTGATAAAAATGCGCATATCCTTAATAAAAAGAAATATTTTATTAATTTGCTTATTAGAACTTCAAGTAACTTATTTTTTTGGACTCCTTATGAAAAATGTCGCAGAATGAGGTGCTATATGAATTTTGGATCATAACCATAAAAATGCGCATATCCTTACAAATTCTCGATCAGGGTGATTCAGGGCCTTAAAGATCGCTCGTATCATGTATGGCCGCCGCTACTGATTTCTCCTTAGGAAAAGTTTTGCACTCTACTACGTACCTTGTTTTCACCCTCGCTCACTTGTCTGGCTCTTATATAAGGTTGTGGATCATATAGGCAGAAGGTCATCTTAGTAGTCATAGTTCTGCTAGTTCCCTCCAAGCCGTGGTTACCTTGGGTATTATCATACTCCAAGGTTGGGAAGTGCACTACTACTACTACTACTAGTAAGAATACTTACTCAATTGAAGGCATGACATTGACTGCTGTGATCTAGAGGTCGAACGTTCAAAGTTCAATCAAAATCTTGGAAAATCAGCCACATGCAGATTTTCCAGTTTTCTTGATCTTCTTTTACTGTCAATTTTCAAACATGAAGAGAAATGATTTAGCTCGCATATTCATGTTAGTACCGAATTTGATCATTCATCATTGAATCATTTTAAATACATAGCGATCTCTATCTTAAATCCACCCCTCGGTACCCAAAGGGAGATTCTTCTCAATCCCATAGTCCGTTAGATAAATCGTAAATCTATCATCATTAGACCCTCTCAAGGGCCCATCATAGCATAATCCAAGAAAGAACCGACAATCAGCAAAAAGCTTCTCAATCAACCTGTCATTCGGATCAACATCCGAGCTATACCGATGCAGGAAATTGGAATCCGCCAAAAGACTCGCCACAGCGGCAATGCTACACGGACTTTTTGGAAGCACATGATCCGTATTCATCAACACGGAACCCAAAATTCCTAAGAGAAGCAAAAGGCCAAGTAGGATCTCCAAAATCCGTGTCGAAACAACACTTTGAAACAAGCGTCGTTGTCCAGGCGTTGTAACATTCCCTTCCAAAGACAAGTCACCAAGTGACCCATTCGCCGATTGTCGATTGCACGAATTGAAAATTTGAGCTCGAATCATTTTGTTTTGAAACTTGATCGCGTTGATAACCTTTTCATTGTCCGTGTTGTTACCAATCCAATCTTCCGGAATTGCATATTTTCCAAACACAAGCGCCTGGAAGAAAGGATCGAAAGCTGCATCACTATCGTTCTGATCAAGGATAATAGCCCAATCGTCGAGATTTGTGTAATCTTTCGCTGCTCGTGTTGTCGATTCATCTGGAACGGGTGGATCGCTCTCTGAAATGGTAAAACCAGGAAGAATGAACCGTGTCTGTGTATCAACCATCTCTACCGACTCAAGACATGTCAAGGCTGCAATGTGTTCGAAAGAGTCGTTGAGTGTCTTCCCCCATATATAGGAAGAGGAAGAAGCACTGATCTTTGCAATTTCTTCACCTGTGCACGTGTTTGCCCTCGAACGACCAAAGAAGGACTGGTTATTCGAGGTGAAATATTGAGATTCTTTTATCCAAGATGTGCCGTTGGAATAGCATGCCTCAGCAACCCAGATATCGTAAGTGACTTTGTTGTCACTTGAGCTGAATGTTGCGTTTAGTCCGTCGCTTGTTTGAAATCTGCAGGAGAGCGTTCCTCTCATTGCGGGGACGACAATATCAACAAACGAGCCCGAGACATTTTTCTTAGTGGTCGCGTTCATGGATAATTCGGGAAAGGCGAGTTCTTTATAAGTCCATTTCGGATAGGCGAGGTTATCTTGGAGGATATATTCCGCTGTACTGACAGCGGCATCGGAGTCAGTGGTCCCGTCGAAGGTTGTCTCTTGGGTGAAGCCCATGGTGATGTTTCCTGGTACTTCGAGTGTTGTGTAAAGACCGCTTGTAACGATGGTTAAGAAGGAGGTAATTAGCGCAGCTAGGGTTGCAGCTGACACGGAAAAATGCTTCATTCGAATGGAATTGAAGATAGTGGTTACGCTTAGTGAGTCTAAGAAATCCACTGTCATGAACTGTGACGATGCACCGTTATTGTGCTTCAAGCTCACATATGGTGCCAGACACCGGGCGTTGAAGTCCATACTTCCAAAAAGAAGGCCAATGATAACCATAACTAATGCTGGGATCATAGTCCACAGGTAGTGTATGTTTTCACTACTCGAGGAAACCTCTACAAGTCCGCTCTTTGTTTGAGAGAAATGCAGAAGAGTCTCTAGAGCGACTATTATCAATACCACCAGGATAAAGATGACCACACGAAAAATCTTGTTTGGAAGTGGGCTCCACTGTGGTTTTTGAAGGCTGAGATCAGTGCCTTTGTACTCGCTGTGGGTTTTGGTTCCATCGCCAACGGCAGCGATACAGAAGCCCCCTGGTGTGTGCTCTGTATAGTAGCACCGCTTCTGTAGAAGATGAGCAAGGCCCTTCAAAGGCAAAGCACTGCTACCACAGAGAGATTCACGAAATACTTTGCTGTTCGAAAGGATTGCAGCAACAGCAGAGATAGACGTTGGGTTGAAAGGTGACAAGTGCTCACTTGGGACCAAGACAATCATAGTTATTGCTAACACAATGACTAAGACCAAACAAGCTTCCATGGCGCGTAGTGGCAACTGGGCCATAACAACACGGTCTTCACTAACAACCGCTGAGCCAAGAGAATCCGACTGCGACTGTGATATAAGTCCTTGGTGAACCAGCTGAGCACCCATTGCGCGATAAAATGTCGAACCGGCATTCACAAGAATTCCATCATCGAACAACTTATCAAAGCTTCCAGTTTCTCCGATAAACTTTGCACCAAGTTGTATGGAGTAGTCAACATCTACCAGCGTCGTATTTGTAGCTGGGAATTGAACTTCATCAATAATCGGCTGGGAGACATCAACATCATTAGATTCACCCAGAATATTATCCGCCACTTGCCACGCTGTCAAGTGTGGTAAAACTGTGCGCTCGATCTCAGATACTTCAAGTTGAGTAGTCGACGATGTATTGGTCGTATTAGTCGTTGCAACCAAACTGGCAATCGAGAAAGTCGGCTTGCAAATCGCCGCAACCACACGCTTGGCAGTGATATTGACCGTTGTCCTATACCAATCGGAATTGCCCGAAAACTCAATTCCATCTTCTGTGAAATTGCCATATGGCGATTCGGTGGCATTGCCCAGCTGAGCTTCCACGGCTATCATTACAATGCGATTTTCACCCAGAGCATTGCTGTTAGTGCATTCTCCAGACTGGAAACGTGCAGCATAAGGAGTTTTGACTGTTACCACCTCGATGCCAGACTCTTCATCTGATGAAATCGAAATGGTCACGTTGGATATTTTGCACGATGGGGATGAAAGCACGTTGTCTTCTAACTGATACGTTCCACCGGGAGACTTGCTACCGACCCAAACGGTCTGCAATTGCCAAAGTTTTATATCAAGATAGGCAGTCTCACAGTCTAAATCGGAGACAAGCCCTGTGACATTTGCGGTGATGGTAGAATCGTTGGAAAGAGTTGGAGCGGAAAAGGTCGGAAACGTAAGATTGGCAGTGGTGCCGTCCATGTAGGCAACATTCTCAAAGAGAATACCATTGAGAGTGTTGAACGGATTGGAAAACGCGGTAGAAAGATCAGAAACACTGAGTGTGTTGAAATTACCTTGTAGTAAGATTGGAACGTTGCTTTTCGACACTTGCACTTCCTCTAAGCTGAACAAAGCCGTGGAAACAATGATGAGAAGTCGCAAGAGGAGCGAGCAGGCAATTCCAGCAGCAACAGCAAAGTGCTTGTTTCCCATAGCTTTCCACATTGCAACGGGCTGCATTCCAGAGACATAATCGAGGAGCACGCTCTTTTCAGGCACCTCTGGCCTTTCGAACATGGCTTGCCATGGTGCGCTTTGTTTGACTTGGAATTCCACTCGTGCCCATAGTGCAGCGACGATGGTGAGAATGGCAGTTGGCCCGTAGGTCCAGAGGTAATGACGGCTTTCAACAGAGGACGTGAGACCCTGATTGGCAGAGGATACGTAGTTGAGGGCTTCGAGGGCGGCGATAATTGCGCAGAAGATTATCACGAGCAGAGTCAATACCCACTTTCGTAGATAGATGGGTCGCCAGCCAGGTTTCGTGGGGCTTATTGAATCAATTTTATGAGAGGAGATTGAATCGTAAACTTTTTTTCTCCCATGCCATTTGAGGTTCATGCTGTACACAGGCGGCGAAGCCTTGAGTAGAGGAAGTAAATTGTTTGGAATTGTTAGAGGGGAAAATTGGCATATAGCTGATCCCCATCTTGAGCTGGGTAAATAGAGAAGGCTGAGCAGGTGCTTGGGTCATAAGACTAGAACCCAAGCGCCAGGAAGCAGCTCCTGGGCTTACCATAGCCACCATGTTGCATTCGTGTTGTGAATGGCCAAGCGTCGATGCATCCCGCGAGCCCCACAGATTCACGTTTCACTATAAGCCCCCGGGCGCCAAAAACATGACTTATGCGGAACACGTCAGAGGGACGACTTAATTTTTTTACCAATTAGTGCTAGATAGCGATATACAAGCACTTGAGGCTGAGGTATAATTGTAGGCAAGTCTTGTACACATTGTTCATGTAACAAAAATTATGGGATTTATAGACACAGAAAGTTCAACTGTAAATTTTGCTATTCTCTTGTCATCTGCTCGTGGGTATGCATTTAATGGCGATTGATTTTGATAGTATCGCCGTATTTCAATGAAAAGATATAATTTTCTTTCCTTGCTTCTTTTCTTCCTTTCTTTTGTTTTTTTACCGCACGGTAGCACCCTTAAGGCTCTTGACAGTGCAGATAACGCCAGAGGCGGTAACCAGCTTGCCGACAGCAGGCTTGCCCTCCTGGCCCTTGACGGTGGGAACAGCGTTACTGTCAAAGACAACCTCAAAGTCATCGTTGGTACCGAATCCAGGCTGGAAAGTCTCCCAGATCTTCTTCTTGGGGTTGAGCTGCTTCTCGGGCTCGCCCTCGGCCCAGCCCTGGAAGCTGATACGCTCACCAGCAGGAGCGTCAGCTGGGGGGTTGACAAGCTCGACGGGGCCAGCATGGGAGTCAGCACCCTCCTCAACACGAGGAGAAGCAGCAAGAACCATGGCAGCGGACTTGATACCACGCATGGTGACGGGCTTCAAGTTGCAGACGGCAACAATCTTGCGGCCTTGCATCTCCTCCAGGGGGATAAGACCGTTCAAACCAGAGCAGACTGTCCGGACAGTCTTGCCTGTCTCCTCATCCAAAGAGGTGTTATCGGAGCCAGGGGCGTCACCACAGTCGATGGTGGAAACGAATAGAGAGTCGGCGTTGGGGTGGTTAATGGCGCGCAGGATGTGGCCGACACGGAGATCGATAATGGAGGGGGAGGGAGGGGCGGCAGCAGCCGGGGCAGGCTTGGGGGCCTTCTCCTTCTTTTCTTTCTTCTCCTTCTTGCCAGTCTTGTGACCAGCGGCGGCAGCGGCGGCAGCATCGCCGCTGGGGGCAGGAGCCTCAGCCTTGGCAGCCTTCTCGGGCTTACCCTGACCAACGACGAGTGGCTTCTGGGCCTCGGCGCCGGCGCCGGCGCCCTGCTGTGCAGCCTTCTCCTTCTTCTTGCGCTCCTTCTCCTCCTTGGGGTCGACGGGCTTGGGCACGAACTTGACGTCGTTCACGTCGATGGCGATCTTCTCCTCGGTAGGAATCTGCAGGGCAAAGACACGGGAGTTCTGCACAAAGTCGACATGACGCACAATGTGGTGGTATCCCTTCTCGCCTGTGCGCTCCTCAGATGTCCACTTCTCGACAATGGGAGCCACAAGGGCATACAAGGCGATATCAGCGACCGAGGGCTTCGCACCGAGGAGAGTGGTGCGGGTGGCGAGATGAGCGTTCAGCTTAGCCAAGATGGTGTCAATGACAGACTTGTCATTGCTGGCAGTGGCGGAGGTCAAGCCAGAGACGGTGGTGAGCCACTGCTTGATGTCGGCCTCCTCGGCCTCGCTGAAGTTCACCTGGGGGAAAATCTTGGGCGAGGCATGGAAGTAGTCGAGCTCGGTGGCATCGGGAGAGACTGCGGTAGGGTATGAGCGGTAGAGGAGAGAGAGGAGGGAGGACTCGGGGGCTGCTGCGGTGGCCATGGTGAATGCGCGTGAGGGAGATGAAAGAAAAGAAATTCGAGGAGGGGCACGGATCTGTGTCATCGATTGGACCCGCGGGGTTGTGCTACGGGCCCGCAATCGGGTCACGCATCTACAGGCTGACAGCCTGACGGGAATGCCCAGGATCATGAGATTAGGTTTGGAGAGCTCAATTATTCTAATATGAGATCAACAGTGAGGACTCTAATAGCTCAACCCCTATTCATTCATTCATATTTTTTTTTTCTTTCGCGGATCTCGAATGATGACTCAGCATACCAGTTGGCGGAGAGAGCCAGTAGGAACTCCGGATTGAATTTGAGGTCTCCCTACCTTTACAGTTGACATTTGTGTTATGCCATTGCTGTCGTTGACCTGAGGGTCAGGTCGCTGGGATCTTCCGGACTAGCAGTGTAAATTTGCATTTTCGATACAATTAAGAATATCAAATTTGTGAATCTACTAATTTTTTTTCTTTTTAGTTCAAAAAATTGGTAGTACACTATACTATTTGCTATACAAACAACATATTAAGCTTAGAGAACGCCATCAGAAAACTAATTTCTTAGCATAAGAGTATCGGAAGCTTGATCTCTAAAACTCTTTCATTGATAGTCTAGACTCTAACTATTGCCAGTCTACATTCTGACTAGCGTACTTTAGGGCCGAGATAGGCGTCACAGCGTAGCAGTATGGCGTTGTGGCAGTGAATTGAACATTCCATATCGCCGAGCTTTTTTTCCTTTTTTCCTTTTCTCCTTTTCTTCAGGATTCCGGACTCCGTACCCCGTATTCCGTATAACCTTTGAATTGACTTGTGCTGTAAAATATGCTCCACAATATTGTCTATTTCCAGTATTAATGTTGCGCTCGATGGAACCATATCTGAGATATCTGGAAGGATCCCCAGCTTATCACTGGGTATCACAGGGTTTGTATCTTTGAAAACGTCGGATATGGTTAGATCCCTTTATATCTGCACAGCTGATTGGTCAATGGGAGAGACGCTAAAATGAGTCATAGTGAGTCGTGAGGGGGCGAAGCAAAACTGAACCAATCAGCGTCGAGACCCAAAAAACCCATGAGCGGCCCAGGCGTTCATCCACTCTTCAGTATGATCGGGTACATATAAGATCTCATCTCTGTCCTTGAAAACCTTCTTCCTCAGGACACCACTCCTCGGCCTTCCTGACCGAGTCGATTCCAGCCCTCTGCGAGTCCCTTGTCGGACTTCTGCCCCTCTTCAACCACTTTAACCGCGCCACGGGCCCGCTTCGGCCCGCTTAAAACAATCTCATCATGGCGGCCAGCGCTTCTTCCTGCTCCGCCGCCGTTTTCGAGTTCATCACCTTCTGGCAACCAAGCCAGCTCCGGCCCTCAACCCTGTCCCCAGGGGCCGGCGCTCTCGGGGTTCACTTCTTGGTCTAACGATTTCCACGATTTACAATTTCAACAATCCTTTAATTCTCTGGAGTCGACGCTGGGATGTCTTCCCTCGACGACCCCACTCTCCCAATCCTTTGATACCTTTGCCCAAGAGTCGGATCTTTGGACAGATTCAGAACTGTCCTTTGCCGATACCGACTGGAATTATCTGTCTCTCCAAAATGCACCTCCCTATCCTACTGCCTTTGACGCATTCGATATGTCTGTCAACGATCAGGGATACGGGGTGGCTTCGGCCTACCCTTCCCTTTCGGATTCGGGATCCATTGAATCTCAAGCTCTCCCTACTTCCTCACTCGCTTCTAGTTCAGCGAATTCCCAAGGTGTGTGCTACTTCGGTGGTTAATAGTTTCGACTTCTATATGGATGGGAATTCTAACATCAAAACAGACGGGCATTCAAATGCTTCTCCTGCATCTCAGATATTGAGCCTTGGTCCAACAACGTCTCAACCTAGCCCTGCGACATCGCAGGGTGACAGTGTCTTAAGTCGTGTTGAGTCGTCTCGCGTAGAAAAGCGCAAACTCAATACACTTGCGGCTCGGAGATGCCGACAGAGACGTGTTGACCAGACAAAGAATCTCGAGGATGAACTAGAAAAGATGAGGAAGGAACGAGATGAATTGAGACTTAAGGTTTCGAGACTAGAAGGGGAAACACAGGCTTTGAAAGGGCTCCTTGCTCGAAAGAGCAATTGAGTCTTATCTCATCCTGTGGTTTTTTTTTTCTTTTCTAATTTTTTTTTTTTTTAACTTGAGCTGGTTTCTTGAAAAGATTATGCAATATAACTGATCTTGCGACCCTTTCAAACATTCAATGTTGGTGTTTTTTTTTCATAAACTAAAACATTCGAGCTGTAGAGTGGAGCTCGTAGAATAGAGGCCGATTTCAAAGTTTAAGACACATTTGAATATAGATACATCGAGTCTTTCAATATATAGAGTATTGAACATGAGAAAACATTTGAAGCTCCTGTGATCCCCGTCCACGTCTTCAAATCTTATCCTTTAATCGAATCTTGCCATTGACTATGAAAACCTGAACATCAACCGGAAAAGGATCCATTATGCCCGATCCAACTGTAGACCAGATCACCTTTCCCTTTTCATCATGGAACTCGATCCTTTCACATTCAAAACAGTACAACACCCTCTCATAATTCTCCTTGAGAAGATAATTGACTGGGTGCTTATAGCATTTGTCAAAAGCTTCGGACTTGATAGTGAGATTTGTCCAGTGGCTGCGCTAATAAGTAATGAGTTGTTAGCAAAATTTGCCAAAAGCACCAAGACCCCGCTCACAACAATAGAAATGAGGAGAAACGAAGAAAGAGGAAAATTGTAAAAAAAAAAATCTTAAATAAAAAAGAAATGCTTTCTTACCAACGTTTCCGCTGTGACTGTCTCTGCCATGGCGAGATCAATAGTAGACCCTCGGAATATTCTGTGGATCACCTCGGTCGCTGTTTGGAGGTCATGCGCGAGATTGACGTTCCTGGTAGGGATCGGATCGCGGGGAGATTGGCAGGATCACGGAAGAGGTTGAATGAAGGAATAAGAAAGTTCTTCATGTGCGTTGTTGGGCAAGGAGAGATGGGGATTAGGGATTACCCAACCCCACCATCACGGCCCCGGGGGTCGTCTCGGACGACGCTAAAGATAGCGATGCTGCCGATGCATTTTGCTTTCTCTGGTCCGTAATATGGGCGTTTCTCTCGGCTATCCCTCATTTCAGGTTTTTATTTCACCCCAGTATTACTCTCTCTCTCGTCTCATCTAATCTCATGTCATTCCTTTATTTTCTTCCTGGCCCCAGTCGCTCCAGGATTTTGTCCCATAAGCTCTGTGTACATCTACAATAGCGCGGGCCTGCACGGGTGCGGGTGAGCGGGTGATCCGCAATAAGTGGACATGATCCCACTTGCTCCAATGATAGTGGTGCTCTCACTGTCGCTGCAAGCAGTAGGAGTTGCGCGATGGGGAATTACAAGACCTTTTAAACTTGCCCTTGTATTTTGGGGACTACTGTGGCATGTAGCAACTAGTACATGGATTTGAACGCCATGTTGTTAAATGTAGGTTGGAGCTGAAAAACATCCCCGCTCCTGCAAGTACACAATCTAGGATGAGAATAGAATAAGCCAGATAGGTCATATCGGGCGTTTAAAGCAATAGCTACTGGTAGCCTTGGGTTCTTTAAATAATCTTTAAAAATCAGTTCTAAACTTAGGAGATTTACAATTTCTTGGTAAGGGGGAAAAGCCGAGTTTTGATTGGAAGCATTTCTATGCATACCATTTCAAGTCGGTCACATGTACGGATAGACCAATCCCCCATCAATGATTATGCAATGTTGATGCGAGTCAGATCTTCTGACATTCCCAATAAAAAGCACGCTGATACATTGAATAAGCATACAAATCTCTATTTCTCCTCATTGGTGGAAATTTCCATGGTTCGGGTAGTTGGTAGTACAGTGTCTGGCCACGAAACTTACAAATCTCCGAAGTCACTTCACGCTAGTAGCTGCGATATCAGTCCGTATTGCAATAACGATCTGCTATCTGTAATTTGGATTATATAGGGACTAAGTCGTTTTCAATCGTATTAGATACTCAAATACAGTATTTATGCAAGATCGCCTTCTTGCACATGTGGCGCTACATCGGACATGTGTAAGTTTCGTGGCCAGACACTGTACACCCAATGCCTGGTATTTTATTTCGCTTTGATCCCCAATTCGAGGTGTTTTCCTGCCTTAGCAAATCAAATCCCCGACATCTGGATATTTAAAGGCCTAGTGCGACTGGGGCTACGAAAATATACCAGTTATCTAAATCTTGAAAGCGATGTTAAAAAATTCAGCCTCAACATTAACACTTGAGCGGTTCCAACTTCCCAGGCAGCCACATACATGGCAAGATTAACATACATGCCCCTCACTGGGTGAATTCTAAAACTTGAAGCGTAAACCCCAAGATTTCCTCGATGGTAACTAGGCCGCTAGGTTTTAAAGTACTAAAAAGAACACACCTGAACATTGAGGTGGTTAATGCTTACAGATAACATGGCGACATCTTCCATGTTATGGTGCTGCCTTGGGCAGTATTTGTGCACGAGTGCATTGAGCGGCGCGCTAAGCTATTTAGTGCTTATCAATTGTCACCTCTACCTTTGACTTTCCTTATATTACCTTAGAATCTCTTTTCACAACATCTGATTTTATTTTGTTCTTTATGTCCGCGATTTCTTGTGTAGCGGTTTCAGCTCACAACCATCTAGAGGCCTTGAGATAGAGCTGCTTGCTGCGGCTAGAGTCCTTTCAAGATGACCTTCTCCACCGAAAGCTTGCTTCGTCTAAACCAGAAGGACTTTGATTTCAATCTTGAATTTGAACACCTTTTCTTCTCCATCATTCCCTCAACTTTGTTTATTTTCTCATCCCTATGGCGTACCCTTTCTCAGGCACGAAAGCCCACAGTGGTAAATGCGCCCACATTTCAATTCATTAAGTCGGTAAGTTCTTCCTCCCACGAAAAGAAATTCTGTCGCGCTGGTCACCTATTGATCTGTTAAAGGGTGCCATAATCATCTATATCGGCTTGGAGCTCTCACTTCTCATCTTAGCAGTGACGGGCTCATTCCAAGCCACCAGCATGCTCATAGCTTCTTCGACCCTTAATCTTGTATCGGCCCTTTTCATGCTTACCTTGAGTGCCGTGGACCATAGCCGAAGCGCACGACCATCCGTCCTGTTGAATAGCTACCTGTTTCTCACTCTTTTACTCGATGCGGCCCAGGCAAGAACGCTATTCCTGTCATCAGATGATAAGCCTGAGATCATTTACAGCAGCATCTTCTGTGCAGCAATAGCGCTGAAGGCAGCCATTTTGTTATTGGAGGCCCGACAAAAGACAGAATGGGTTACTTGGGATAAGAAGAAGCACAGCCCTGAAGAGACAAGTGGGATTTTTTCCCTTGGTGTATTTTTCTGGTTGAACAAAATGTTTCTGGTTGGGTATCGAAATATCTTGGCAATCGAGGATCTCTACCCCCTCGATAGTTCATTTGACGCCCTGACGCTGCACGAAGGTTTTACAAAGCATCTAGACTACTCAAAGTTGAAGGGAGATAAATTTGGTCTTCTAAAAGTGTTAGCCCGTACACTGAAGGTCCCTCTTCTCCTGCCCATTGCTCCACGACTGGCACTTCTTGGTTTCACATTTTGTCAGCCTCTGTTCATTGAGAGATTATTGAGCTATCTGTCCCAAGAAGTCCCTGACGAAAATACTGGATACGGTCTGATCGGTGCCAGCTTGTTAATTTATTTCGGAATGGCCATTTCATACGCCTTGACATGGTATAGGCTACTCCTCAACAGACTAACTAGAGAGAAAGATTCGCTAATGTGGTAGCTTAGGTACTTCCACCACCGACTACGAACTATGGTGCGATCCATCATAGTCACTGAGATTTACGCGGCAGCCATGAGATCACGAATCGGCCCAAGCGATGACAGCGCTACACTAACCCTGATGAGCACGGATATCGAAAACATTAAAATGGGTCTACGGCCCCTACATGATGCCTGGGCAAGCATCATACAGGTGGCACTTGCGAGTTGGATGTTATACCAGCGACTTGGTGTTGTATTTGTCGCGTCTATTGGAGTTGTCGTTGTCAGTTCCATTGGCCTGGGGATTCTGGTCAATTTCACTGGTGATTCACAAAGGGCGTGGATGTCTGGAATCCAGAAGAGAGTGGGTCTGACTGCGACGGTGATTGCCAGCATGAAATCACTGAAAATATCTGGCCTATCGGCTGTCGTTGGAGACTACGTGCAGCAACTCCGTGTAGATGAGCTCGCTACAGGGACCACCTTCCGCAAGCTCTTCCTAGTTGCCGCGGTCATCGGGTACCTGGGCCAGCTTGTTAGCCCTCCACTGACATTCGCATTCACCAAACACACCATAGACGCCACCACAATTTTCACAAGTCTTTCATTTTTGACGTTATTGACTAATCCTCTGACACAGCTCTTCATGTCGGTTCCCGATCTCATTGGTGGTCTTGCATGTTTGGGCCGAATTCAAGATTTCTTGGAGCGCGAGCCTCGTCATGATTTTCGTCAAATTATTCCTGGTACACAGGAAAATACAGAGAAGGCCTCTTCAGATATTGAGGTATCTTCAGAAACAAGCCATGATTCGGAAAACTCCATTGTCATCCAAAATGCCAACTTTGGGTGGACAGCAGAGAAGTTCGACTTGCGAAACATCAGCACCCAGATATCCAAATCGTCGTTGACAATGGTCATTGGGCCCGTGGGCTGTGGGAAATCAACCTTCAGTAAAGCTCTTCTAGGAGAGATCCCTTTCAGCGAAGGCAGTGTCATTACAAATACTCGCTTCCAGCATATCGGCTTCTGCGAGCAAACAGCCTTCCTCTCGAATACCACAATCCGAGACAACATCATTGGATTTTCCCCTTTTCATCCGGAGCGGTATGCTGAAATTATTGACGCCACGGCTCTGGAATTTGATTTTGCCACTTTAAATCAAGGAGATGCCACCAATATTGGGTCAGATGGCATCGCCCTATCTGGGGGCCAGAAGCAACGCGTATCACTGGCGCGAGCGCTCTATCTGTTCTCTGACCTTTTAGTGCTAGATGACATCTTCAGCGGCTTAGATGCGGATACCGAAGAACATGTTTTTCAAAAGGTTTTTGGGCCAGATGGGCTTCTCAGACGACGAAACTCAACGGTGGTACTGTGTACCCATAGTATCAGACACCTTCCAGCCGCAGATTATATTATCGTGCTTGAAGACGGTGTTATTGTAGAGCAGGGTACCTTCAATGATCTTTCAGTCGGCCAAGGGTATGTTAAACGCCTAGGACTGAAGGACCTTTCCGATCGTGAAAGTTCATCCGAGAAGTCAGCCTCCAAGAGTAGCCCCTCGGGATCGCAGACACAACTGGCGCTTGTGACAAAACCTACTGGCAACAAACCATCTCTCAACGCGGATGTGATTGCGTTGCGACAAGTTGGAGATTTGACAGTTTATAAACATTATTTCAAAAGCATGGGTTGGGTTGTGGCGGGGTGCAGTGTATTCTTTGCCAGTCTCTGGGGGCTCTTCACCAACTACCCATCAATTTGTAAGTTTAATGATCAAGTAATCCCTGAATGGCAAAAAACTGATAAGTCTACCCCATCCTAATAGGGCTCACATATTGGGGCGATGCCCTTACCTCAACCAATCCCTCACATTCTTACGCCTACTATGTCGGCATATATGCGCTGTTTCAAATGTGTGCCATGGTGTCACTCCTTCTCCTAGGAATAGCACTTTTCATTGTTTCAATCAACAGGGCAGGATCTATTTTGCATAAACAGGCTCTGCATACCTTGATTCGAGCTCCACTTTCATTCCTCACGATGACAGATACGGGTGTTGTAACGAATCTTTTCTCACAGGATTTGAATTTGGTGGATACAGAGCTACCAGAAGCAACTTTGAACACTATGTTTTGTGTGAGTTTTTATTACACCATGAATTATAACTTTATTCAGTCTAATCCAAGCTTTCAGGTCTTTCAATACATTGGACAAGCAGCCGTTATGCTTACTTCGTCGGTGTACCTGGCCATTAGCTATCCGCTCCTCGGTGGCTTGCTATATACTGTGCAGAAGTTCTACCTGCGGACTTCTCGACAAATGAGACTGCTAGACCTGGAGGCTAAAAGTCCGTTATAGTATGTTTATCTGTGATTAATTTTTACGTACCAGTTGACTTCCTGCATACACCATACTAATCTCGATCTCTCCTCAGCACTCATTTCCTCGATACTCTCAAAGGCATTGCCACTCTGAGAGCCCTCGGTTAGTGACTTGCAACATTGGCGTGTGATGGGGGAGATATGATCTCTAGGCTAACTGCAACTTTGAAACATAAAAGGCTTCCTTCCGGATGAAATCAAAAAGAACGCCCGCCTGGTTGACTCCAGTCAACGTGCCGCATATCTTCTTCTTATGATTCAAGAATGGCTGAATCTGGTGCTCAGCATTGTGGTCATGATAATTGCAGTAGTTCTGACCACCCTGGCTGTACGTCTCCATTCAAGCTCTGGTTTTGCCGGCGCATCTTTGTACTCCCTCATGAGCTTCGGAGAGAATCTTTCCGGCATGGTCATGTTTTACACAAAGCTGGAGACTTCCATCGGCGCGATTGCACGACTAAAGATGTTCAACGACACTGTCATTCCGGAAGACCTAGAAGACGAAGATATAATCCCAGGAGAAGAATGGCCTGAACAAGGAACAGTCGAGTTTAAAAATGTATCTGCGAGATATGGGTAAGAAAGGATATATTCCTTGGCTTGGCAACGCAAAGCTAACAGTGGATTAACAGCACCACAGAAGAAAACGAAACTCCCGAATCCCCCCTCGCCCTGAAAAAAATATCTCTCTCGATTCAACCGGGTGAAAAGATCGCCATCTGCGGTCGCACCGGAAGCGGCAAATCAACTCTTCTCGCCATCATCCTCAAACTCCTCGATCCCATCCGCAGCTCTACCGGTGACGCGACGGTACTCATCGACAATCTACCCCTCCACCGAATCAATCGCTCCGCTCTCCGCCAGCGCCTCATCGCCGTACCGCAAGATCCAGTATTCCTTCCAGATGGCGCCAGCTTCCAAGCCAACTTAGATCCTTCCCATATCTCCACTCCCGCAGAATGTCAAGCCGTCCTAACAGCAATCGGACTCTGGTCTTTCGTCCAGGAGCATGCTGGCCTCGACGCGCCCATGGCTGCGGGGAGCTTCAGCGCGGGACAACGGCAGCTCTTTTCTCTAGGGCGGGCTATGCTTCGCCGCAGTGTCCGGGCTCGGTCGTGTCGGAATGGGGAAACCGGGGGTATTTTGCTTCTAGATGAAGTGAGTTCAAGTGTGGATCACGAGACGGAGCGTGTGATGCAGGAGATTGTTCGTGTGGAGTTCAGCGGGTATACTGTGATCTCGGTCAGCCATCGGTTGGATATGATTATGGATTTTGATCGAGTAGTTGTTCTGGATATGGGTGAGGTTGTGGAGGTGGGGAGTCCGGCAGTGCTGAAGAATTTGTCCGAGTCGAGGTTTGGAGAGTTGGTAAGGGCAGGTGGGAAGTAGTAGAAGTTTAGAACTACTCAGCATAATTTTCAGCATCATGCATCATACTTGTGCTGCTATGTATGGCTTTTTACTTATCAGTTAGTACTTAGTTATATTGTTGGAGAATTGTTACGAAATTTAGAAGTTACTTTAAGACTATCGTTATATTGATGCTTTGTTCTATTTATTCCTCGCTCTATCTGTAATATTGTTGACGATAAGGCTACCGGTTCGGGTAGAGATCGGCTCCCGGAGCACCGCCTGAGTTAGTCCGGGTTGTCCGGGTGCCGCCCGGGCCCCGGAGCACTCCCTCATCAACCCTGAGTACCCCCTGAGTACCCCCTGAGCACTAACTGAGTAATTCTAAGCCTTAGGCATGTCCAGCTGTTACCCTGCTGGCGGTCGCCGCCCAGGATCACCTGATTACCATGTATATTAGCGGAAAGAGTCCCGATCCCTCTTAGCAATCGATGCCTGCACCACCATTACGCTCACGCGGTAATACCAGTCCCTTACGTCCTTCAAATGTTCAAACGCTTCCCGTCAACTCGATTCAATATTCAATCAATGTTTACCTTACTGAAATATTAAACCCCTACTAGTTAGTATATTAAGTCCTCAAGTGCTTATCGTTTCAATTTTGGGGTGGTGAGCACTTGAGAGTGGTGGTGCCGTATTCTGGTGGAAATATTGATATATTTTCGACAACCACCAACTCAATGTTGACAATTCAATGGTGGACATTTCGGGTTTTGTGATATATAATGATACACATGCAGTAAAGTAAGGATATTAATTTTTGGAATATTTTGTAAGGATATTGTATCCTTACTGTATCATAAAATTTTTGGTATCATACAGATTGTTACTTGATAGTTACACTTTTAGGGACGACTACTAGTGCTTTGAGGATTGCAGTTTACGTAACACGTGTAGCCCAGAGACAGAAGGGAAAGAATTCCTTGACATGGGAACACGGATATGCCCGCTGTTTCGCAGCCTGGGAAGTAGGGCAAGAGCACGGAAAGATATCGGTTTTAAGTAGAATACCCAAGTGTGAAGCATTGTTACCTCCGGCCCATGTATGGGCGTGATAGCTACGTCACCTGACAGTATGTCAGGAGTGCGGCAGCCGATAACACACATATATATATATATATATATATATACTATATTAGAGGCCACCCAAGGGTCAGGACTCAGGAGTCAATTACGATCACTCACGTGACGTATGCATGTTCTCATGAGGGAGGCCTGGGATTCTAATTTCTGATAGCAGGCTGCGTGTCTCTTGTTCTTCCTTCTCTCTCTCCAATCAAAAACTCATATTCATTCCCTTTGATTATTTCTCTCGCTTCCACGACTTTTCGGAAGTTGATCTCCTCCTTTGTTCACTTTCTCTGCTCTCTATACAGATCTCTCTTCTCTGAAGGCAAAGATGGCCGAGCTTTATGATAGCGCCACTCATCAGGACCCAAGGGATATTGAAGAGTTACCTGCTTCGGTTAATACATATCACTATACGAATATGGATGACTACTTGAGGATCATTTTAAGTGAGCGTCAACGTCTCTATCGCTCTTTCCCGGCCACCAGCGGAAGTGACGAAAAACGACAAGATGAACAGACGGAAGGCACGCAGACCGATCATATCATCTTCATCATTGAACCCCTGACTTTCGCACACGACTTCTTGAACTCAGAATCACAACGTCCTTTTCACGACAAGCTATCATTCGACCCGAATAGACATATTCTTGTCGTCAAGATGCCCTGCAAAGCGCACGAACAACTTGCGGTAGCATTTGACGATATGCTCAAAATCTCCCTTCAGCCGATGGGTCTGCACCGAGCAATTTTTTCGTGGCATTCAACAACATTGACTGCCCAAGACGGGTCAATCAAGGAAGCAGACGGGGGGTGGAGCCCAAGGAGACCCCCTCGCGGAGCTTTGAAGAGACCCTCGGTCATTTTGGAAGTTGCCTCATCAGAAACCGCAGCCAAGCTTCGTCTTGATGCCCATTACTGGGTTGATCCAGCAAGAGGCCAAGCAAACATTGCTATCGGTGTTAAGGTTCATGTTAAAAAGCCCCATATCACCATCGAAGTGTGGGAGTGGGATGATCGGTTTTCCCGGCCTACCAGAACACAATACCTGGCTATCACAAAGTCCGATGAAAAAATAAGATTTGATCCCAACCCCAATCCCCAAATCATGATCCCCTTTCACCTTCTGTTCCGACGGCCAGCGGAGAACATCAGAGAGCGAGACATTGTGTTCGCGACACAAGATCTCGTCGAGTTCGCAACTATGGTGTGGGACATGGAGTTTGACTACGAACAAGAATAAAGGCTTGCAGAATGTTCCCTTGTATCATGGCACGGGTAAGCGGACCCAAGTCACTCATTAGGATCTGAACGAAGCATATTGACGTGAAGATATATAGGTGTTGCTCGCAGCATGGTTTCCAATCGAGTCTCTTACTTCTTCGACTGGCACGGCCCGTCTCTGACCGTCGAGACGGCGTGCTCTTCTTCCCTCGTGGCCTTGCACCAAGCAGTACAGTCTTTGCGATCTAGCGAAGTGACCGTCGTAGTCGCGGCGGGGACGAATCTCCTGTTGGGACCTGAGCCTTACATCTATGAAAGCAACCTGAAAATGCTGTCACCCGATGGACGCTCCCGCATGTGGGGGGACGACGCGAACGGCTATGCTCGCGGAGACGGTGTTGCAGCCGTGTTTTTGAAGACACTCAAGCAAGCCTTAGCAGATGGGGACCATATCGAGTGCGTTGTCCGAGAATCCGGTGTCAATCAAGATGGCCGCAGTCCCGGTATTACAATGCCCACGGCCAACGCTCAGGTCGCCTTGATCCGTGACGTCTACGCTCGGGCTGGCCTCGATTTGTCTTCACAGACAGACCGATGCCAATATGTCGAGGCTCACGGCACGGGAACTCCAGCTGGTGATGTAAGTTCTCGTGTCCTTCAACTTGTAGTGTTACTTGTTAGCTGACCACAGAACCATAGCCTGTCGAAGCAGAGGCCATTCATACAGCATTCTTCCAAAAAAGCGATGGTACACCCATTGAGATCGAAAATTCCGAGAAGATTGTCGTGGGCTCCATTAAAACTGTCATCGGTCACACTGAGAGTACCGCGGGATTGGCCGCTATTGTCAAAGTCGCCCAGGCTCTGAAGCACGGCCAGCTACCACCCAACGGAAACCGTGTTCTGGACGGAAAGACTCTAGACTTCAAGATGAACACCCGTGTTGAGCCTTGGTGCAAGAACCTTCTCATTGCCAGTGAGCTCACTGCGTGGCCCGAGGTAGCCCCGGGACAATTGAAGCGTGCCAGTATCTACAGCTTTGGCTTTGGTGGCACCAATGCCCACGTCATTCTGGAAAGCCTGGAGGAAGATATGCTGGCCAAGCATGTGAAAGAGGACGCCGATAGCCATATGACGAGGTCATTCGTGTTTTCTGCGCATTCCAAGCAATCACTGATGGCAAACTTGGCTGCTTACGCCGCCTATCTATCAGACCATCCAGACACACGCCTTGCCGACCTTGCGTGGACTTTGCGTTCGCGACGGTCGCGTCTTCCAATCCGAGTCTCATTGTCGGCTTCTTCCGTCGACATGTTGCGTGAAAATCTAGAAAGGATTGCCAATAGTGACTCCAACAAGCTCAAGCTTGACCAACGGCTCAAGCTTACAGCAACGGGATCTTCGAACAGCCCAAAAGCGAACAAGGCCAAGCTCCTGGGGATTTTCACGGGGCAAGGTGCTCAGTGGGCTCGAATGGGAGCGCAGCTGGTTGAGAGTTCCCAATATGTGTCCGATATACTCAGCAAGCTGGACGCCGACCTTGCTAATCTTCCCAACGAAGAAGACCGCCCCAGCTGGACACTTCGTGAAGAGCTCTTGGCAGATGCGACCAAGTCTAGGGTTGGCGATGCCGCCATTTCCCAGCCTTTGTATACAGCCATACAGGTGATTCTCGTGGACCTGCTCCGTGAAGCCGAGATTGATTTCGCCGCTGTCGTTGGCCACTCGTCTGGCGAAATCGGTGCAGCTTACTTCAGTGGTCGTCTGTCCTCGGCCGATGCCATCCGGATTGCCTACTATCGTGGCCTACATTCCACTCGCCTGGCAGGTGGGCCCAAGGGCATAGAGGGCGCCATGCTGGCCGTTAGTACCAACATGGAAGACGCAAATGAAATTTGCCATGACGAGTCCTTTAACGGACGAGTCAAGCTTGCGGCCTGCAACTCTCCCAATAGCGTCACATTGTCGGGTGACGGCGATGCTGTCGAGGAGATAGCTGCTCTGTTTGAGGATGAGGGAAAGACGGCTCGTAGACTGAGAGTTGACAAGGCGTATCATTCGCACCACATGATTCCCTGCTCACAGCCATACTTGAGTTCGATGATGGGCTGTCCTTCAGATTTGCCTCAGCCACAACCCCACTCAGACTGTGTATGGGTGTCGAGCGTGGTCGTAGGATTAGACACAGCGGCGACTGAGTTGGAGATGTCGTACTGGGTTGACAATCTCCTGTCGCCAGTCTTGTTCAAACAGGCAGTCGAGCGAGCGGTTGCTGAGATAGGACCATTCGATGGCATTGTTGAAGTTGGACCGCACCCGGCTTTGAAGGGACCCGTGCGCCAGATCCTCGAAGGGCTGAACATCGGTCAACTGCCTTACACCGGGCTTCTGGAACGAGGCACAGAGGCGGATTGGAGCATATCGACCGCACTGGGATATCTATGGACTCACGTTGAGGGTGTTGTTCCCAACTTTGACAAATACGAGAACGCACTGAGTCAGTCGGGATCTTCCAAGCCCAAGTTCGTGGCTGGTCTTCCCATCTACCAATGGAACCATAGCCATGAAGGAGGGCACTGGCACGAACCCCACGCGTCTCGTCACCTTCGTTTCAGGAGCCCCCTTGTCCATCCTCTGCTCGGCAATATTTCCAGTCACACTTCTCCTCAGAATCTGTCATGAAAAGCTGTTCTGCGTCCCGAAGACATTCCCTGGGTCCACGACCACAGAATCCAGGGCCAAAGTGTCTTCCCTGCTGCTGGGTACGCCGCGACTGCGCTGGAGGCAGCTACTTTCTTGGCAGATGGAAAGGCCATTCAGCTTATCGAGCTTGAAGATCTCGTCATTCACCAGGCCATGGTATTTGACAACGATGCTTCCGATTCTGGCATCGAGGTACGATTCTCAATTAGTGTGTGAGCCGTTTGCAAGATGATGCGCCAATCGCTGCTCATTTCACCTATGAATATTACTCTTCAAACGGAGAGCTGGAGCTTGCAGCAAGTGGTCAACTGTGTGTTACTCTTGGGGAGCCTTCTCAAGAGACCCTACCTGCCAGCGACGCTAACCGTGACTCTGCCATGGTGAATGTCCCGACCGACGTGTTCTATTCCTCACTGGATGACATGGGCTATGGGTACACTGGACCCTTCAAAGCGCTTTCTAGCTTGAACAGAAGACTTGGAAAGGCTGTGGGTGTTCTTGATACAACATTTGCTGAATACAACGACGCCAAGAGTTGGATGGCTGTTCACCCTGGCGTGTTGGATGCCGCGATCCACTCCGTCATTCTTGCTTACAGCTACCCGAGACATGGAAAGCTCTGGTCATTACACCTCCCAACGAGTATCAAAAAAATTCGAGTCAATCCCGCTCTTTGCGGGCGTAATTGGACCCCTGAGCCTGTTCCCTTTGTCTCGAAGATCTGTGAAGATCAATTGGACTTGAGGTTCTGATCGCGCAGCCATGCCACTATATCGCCCGTTTTGGAGACCTGGGCGAGCATATCTGGGATATCTTCCAGCAGGCTGTTAACAGCGGCTGCATTGTAGGGTATACCGGGGAGTGGTTTTGGCAGGGCTGATTGATAGCCAATATAGAGGGTGGCTAGCAGAATGAAGGCGATGGCCGTGATGACCACGATCATCCTGGCTTTCCTCTGTGTGGTTGAAATGAGGTACAGCGGAATTTCCGTTCTCTCACTTTGTTCAAATGGCACAGGTTGAATTCGTAATAGCGTTTCATGAAGCTGCAGAGGTATAGTTCCGCGGGCGCGGAGGATTAGTTCGCGGAAGTTCCTCTTGCCCTCTTTAGCAGCCCTAAGTCTCCTATCCTCCGCGACCCATGTACAGAACCCTCCGACTTTCTTGGTGCCCACCCTAAGGAAAACACCCCGAGGCTTTGTACGGCTAGTGGGGCCGACCGATCTATTCGTGTGGATTTTTGCTTCAGTTTTCTTCAGTGTTCTATGGGCAAACTGTTGGGAGATTGTGAACCATGTGATGTCACATGGTCTGCTCCCAGATGCTCCAGCGCGTGGGTTGGGTTAGTTTTGTGCGAGAGGGCTAGGGTTGGTAGTTTAGGGAAGTGAGAGCTTATCTCTCTCATTCCTTCCTTCCTTCTTCTTTTCCCCTCTCCATCCCGCTCAGTAGTAGAAGAATACCAATACAGTTGTTTCTTCTCCTCCTCTTTCTCCGTCTCTTTCTCTCCCTCATTACCATTCGTTTCTCCCAGATCCTTGTGGATCTGACACAAACACGACAGTGGAGAGCGGAGCGTACTTGGAATGATATTTTTTCTCTACTTAGTAGTTACCGGAAAATGGATATGAATAAAAACAAATGTGTCTTTCTCATGACTCATACACACTCCTTACACTACACATATTTCTAAGTTGCAGTGACATCCCCCTCCGGAGGAGGCAATTTGGTGGTAGGCTCCCCAGCTCGTACGAGGCGGTTCCCCTTGTCATCCTGCACGAGGAGACCATGCGACTTCTCGGAGTAAGCACGCTTCCAGATCTCCACCTCTCCACCTCCGTAAATAACACCCACGCGCATCGTAGATAGCAAGTTGTGCGCGGCATTCGAATGCTGATAAACACCGCCGTTGAAGATAGCTGTCGCATCCTTACCAATGGCCGAGACAATGAACGCCTTACCACCAGGGTGCTCTTTAACAAAGAGAGCGACGTCATGGACCACGCCGGCGATCGCCACCAGTGCCCTACCATCGGATTTAGCAGACTCGGTCTTGAAGTCATCCCAAGTCATCACGGGCAATTGGGAAATGGGGGTGCCCCAATCCAGCTTCGACCGCGTGATGTCCAGCTTCTTTTGCAACTGCTGAAGTCGTCCCTTTTCAATTTCATTTGCCTTGAATTCCTTGAGGTTGTATGCCAGCCCGAGCTGCTTCCATGTCCAGATCGCCCATTTCGTCGGGTCATACTGCCACCACTCGATGGCATTGCGGTAGTCTGACGGGAATTCGTGGTGGAAGTTGTGGTATCCCTCGCCCAATGTCACGAGAGCCGTAATAACGTGGTCACGAGGTGAATTGCGATCGTCAAAGGGCTGGTCACCTAACCAGTGGGCTAAGGAGTTGACGCAGAACGTAGCCTGTTGCACAAACGTCGCCCGCAGAATGCCTGCGTAGATAAAGCCGCCGCGCCAATCACCCCAGCCAAAACCGCAGACCAGAGTAGGGAAGATGAGGCCCATGAAGAGAACGGCCTTGATATAGTTTCGATGCTGCCACACTACGATCGGGTCCTCGTTGAGATCGGTAATGTCGGCCCGGCCGTAGTGCTTGGGGTTCTGCTTCATCACCATCCAGCCCAGGTGGGAATACCAGAACCCCTTGCGCACAGAATAGGGGTCCTTTTCTGTGTCGGTGTAGCGGTGGTGAGCACGGTGCCCCCTGGACCACCATCGGATAGAGCCCTGGACCGCACCAACACCAACGGCAGCGAGGTAAATCTTAAGGGGAGTCGATGCTCTATAAGAGGAATGGGCCCAGAGGCGGTGGTATCCTGTCAAGAGTCAGTATTTTTACTTGCGGACCGTAAGAGAAGCTTCGTTGATGTACTTGCCTGCTGTAATCCCCAGTCCAGTATTAAAATAGTAGAGAATGGCAAAGGCGGCTGTGGCGCGCTTGAGTGGACAGTAATAGGCCGCCACAAGTCCCATGCACGGAACGACGATAATGAAGAAAACACTCAGCCAGTTGATATGTTGATACCAGTTTTGCAGTGTTATGGGCATCTCAGTGATATGAGGCTTTTTAGCATTGTGGGTAGCCTTGGACCTTCGTCTGCCCGTTTCAGAGGCCGCCATTCTCTGTCAGTTGTGTGGTGCTTTCTCAATACTGTGCGAAGTACGGAGTAGAATTGAAAAGGTGATTTTTTCCCAGGGCGACGTGCGATATGAAAAGGAGGGAAGTATCGCAGAAAAGCATACATATAACATGGACAACCAGATAATTTGTTGGTGTCGATCCGTCCCAGCCCACGCCCCGTCGAACCACATTTGGCAGTACTATCACACATTTTGTTGGCCTTGGCTGTTGACAGTTTTTGTTGGGAACACTGTTCCCACGAGGTATTATTATCCTTGCATGATTCTCTTGCACCTTAGAACGTCATAGGAAGCCGATTGGACAGTAGTACCCTCCGAAAGGATTCCCCCTGTGGATCTGTGGATACGGCCACGGTGGACCACAAATCAACATTCTTGTTATAGATTCTTTGTACTGGTGGTATTGTCCTATCACCCTGATACGCACTACTCGCCCATTGGGGTTAGACCTGTATCTATAACACTGGGTCGTGACCCACAAAACTCCATAACAATACAACTACTATACACATCGACCATGGATCGTACAAGAATTCTAGATCTACATCAGGGGGCTAAAATAGTCCCACTTGTCGGCGCTAATAGAAATTGCCTACGGGCTTATCCGGGCTCAGAAAGCTGTGTCTTGGATGCCTGGGAATGCCTAAAATTGGGCTAAATTCAATGTTGGCTATTCTATCTATGTCCCAGCAAGAGACATGGTACAGTACTTATGGGGTCTATGATGACCTAGATGAGTTATTCACGGTTAATAGTCGACTCGGCTAAGGTGCTACCATAGTCGCAATTTGCAAAGCATTTCCGAAGTTGCAACCTCCTATAGAATGGTTTTGTCCCTCAATGCGACCATTCTCTCGCCCACCGTTCGGTTCTTGCACAAGTCAGCACATGTAGGGCTTGATCCGGACGAGTTCTCTGGGAAAACAGCTTACACTCCCTTTTCGCCGACACCGTCGGATCCTCAATGGCCATCCAGGTCGCCGACGTCGGCTCACGGTATCGCCAGGCCGCGCAGTCAGGACATATTGATGACTATCCGCGTCGTTGAGCACCAGCTCCATGTACTGAAGAAAGCTATGGGCCTTCTAGCGCAGTATTGTCTCGTGGGACGCAAGGATGTAAAACCCAATGTCATGTGTCGCCACGAGGCGTCGGTATTAGCGAAGGCAGTGATGCGACAGGCTGTGTAGACACTTTTGTCGCTTAGGAAAATGTTAGATTGTATCCAGAATATCGTGGCGGCGTCGACAGACCCATAAGGTGAGATACTCTTGGAATATAAAGGAGATAAAAAAGTTAGAAATAAAAGTCTGCGACAATTTATCAAACAGACTTCAGCCGTGAAACTTGACTCACTGATAAAATGTGACGATTCCATGTAGCCGGTTAGCGCCCAGGATTCGGCTGGCTGACCCGAAGAAAAGAAAGGTAGCGTATAACCTGATGGCGGTGCCTGGGCTCTTGTGGATATCCTGAATCCAGCTGCTCGCCCTCAAATTCCAGATGTCGGGTCAGAATGAGGTAGTGCCATTTCGGATGAGTGGGTGAAGTGAATGGAGCACTTGAGGAGATAGAAGAAAAGATGTGAGAGGAGGGTACATAGAAAAAGAATGGTTGACAGAAGTACGTGACTGGGGAAAGAGCGACGGTCAATGCCTATTTAACTCCGTTCAAATGATTAGATCTAACTAGAGTGCATTTTTCATTTACAGTATACTACTAGGCACCGCAGTCTATGTTAGTCCCCTCGACGGCATTTATTAGTATAGCCACAGCAGTGGTAATATTGGCTCTAGGCGCAGTCGAGTTACTTCAATGTTAACATTGAATATAACTATAGTGTGATTGAGGTACCCTCCTAGTGGGCTGTAGATATATTAGCAATAATTCATAAGAATAAATTCAAAATTATGAGTAGCATACCTAATACATACCACATAATCATTGGTACCAGGTACAAAAACACTATAAGTACCAAAGTAGCAAAGGGGAGGTACCAGGGGCAAAGAAAAGAAAATAAAATGAAATAAAAGAATAGATCAATCCTGGAATCGAACCAGGGACTTCCAGGGAGGTGAAAAGCACAAATACGTGAAGATTTCCCAAGAAAGAAGTCACTCGCTCCCACCATCGATGCATCACGGCTTCATACTAAGAACTCCCCTCCGAACTTCAAAAATCAATATCAAATCAAATAAAAAAGATATAAATAAAACAAACTTATAATTTAAAAAAAGAAAAGAAAAAAAAGAGGGCAGATACTTTGTAGTAGGTCCGCGGCGCACTTTCTCGCTGTCACTCAACTTAGGCTTCGACTCTTAGGCTCGCCGTACTACTCAGTATCCCCATCGTGGATGGGCCCAGTGTACCTGAAGTGGGGGCCGCAAATCCAGAGCTGGCTGAGGTCCCGAAGGGTGGAACCAGTTGGACTACGTGGGTGCCAGGATGGAATTTATCCTCAAATTATTAAATATAAGGGAGCTCTGAGCAACTTTGACTCTGGCTCTCCCCTTGATGTCCCGATCCCTCTTGACATCTAGTAATCACTTCTATCTCTTATCCTATATCTCTCTGCCTTTACCCACTATTGTTGTTCTCTTCCAAGGTTGACTCAAAGATATTTGATATTTCGCATAACATCTAACTCAACACCGATATAGCCCATAGATCCGGATACCACAAGCAGATTCCTGGGCCAGCCAGTATATTTGCTATCTTGAGTACTCAATAATCCCAGAATTTTCTATCTCAACCGAGAACCAAAGACTTCTCATCGGTATCTAATTATTATCATCATCGTTATCATCATTACCACCGTCCAACAGATCAGCACCAGACTTCAGTGCCTTAAATAAAAGACTCCCTGGAATTTATTGGTTTCTATTGAGAAATTCTTGAATGTGAATAGTGAACAGTCTTACCAAGTCCAGGATCTGCCTCGGGAGCTGGTGCGGGAACAGCTTCGGGAGCAGGAAGTGCTGCAGCGGCAGTCATGGCAGCGAATGCAGAGACGGCACCTAGGTAAGTCTGGAAGCTTGAAGAATTGCATTGTGGATGACTTGCCGTACGCGGTATGTAGTGCAGGAGGTTGGTAAGCTTAAGCTTTTGAAGATTGAAAGATTCAATGTTGAGAATCTTTGGATTAGAGTGGCTTGGATGAATTGTAAATGAAGATTTCATTTATGCCGACGATGAACACCCTATATATACTATTTGTGTATGATATATGGCCCTTGAAGCTCAAGCTCTTGAGCTCTTCTTATTACGAGTTTGGGTAGATGTTTGATCAGTTGGAATCCAGTTTGATGGCGATTATCTTTCTGGGAAGGGATCGCTATGTTCCCCATGGGGGCGGCGGCGGAGGTTATACATGGCCAGGCCAATCAATTTTTACCAGGATTCAGATCAACTGGATTGGCAAAAACCTTGCATTTCTACATTCAGCACCTCCAAAGAGTATCTGGATCAGATCTGATACAGTACCTGGTGTAAATTTAGAAACCTCATTGGACCGTGGAAGATAGACACACGTACTCTTCGCTAGTATGCAGTAATCAGCAATCATTGATCAAATAATCCCATTGCATCTTGTGAGGCAAGCTTCTTGAGCGTGATTGGTTGTTACAAAGTCAGAACTTAGCTGTGTTGCACCATTCCGCCCGACAACCGGCTTGCTGGGGGCCTTCCGAGCAGAGGATAAGCATGCCAGGGGGCCCCAAAGTGATAAAGGGGGCGCTCCAGCTGAAGTAAGTTGTCAAGAACGGGGTCAAGACGGTCGCACCATGAGTATCACAGGCATACTGTGTGGTAAGGAGGGAAACCCGCGATATATGAACATCGATTGTTGCAATGTGCTGGTAAGTGGAGGCATTGGGGTTCCACCAGAGTGAGAGCAGACAATGGAGATCCTTGAGAGCTGAAGATATCCCTCAACTTAGGTGGCCAACATCAATCTCACTTGGTATTTTCGCCCTTAGTCCCGGTGTTTTCCTAGGCGAAATTTTTTTCTTCTTAAAAAAAAAAGCCATTCATGGAATACTCCGATTCACCCAGCCGGCCCGATCTGGGCTTCGGCATAACGCGCATGGTATCCCGAAAGTTGACCAGGACCGGGAGACTCGGCCAAGGTGGTTGTAAAAAGTGGCATTCTTCGGGGTGGAGAAAAATTGCACAATGGTAACGTGGGAAATGCGCGTGAGTCTGAATGCGTCTAGTGTTGCGCAAGTGTGTGTTGTGACGGGGGGAGAAATTGAATGTGGAAGTTTAGGTGTCTCAAGGATCGTCAAACGGGCGATCTCGATCCAAAAAAAAGCCTCAATGATTTAGGAAGGGATTCTTCTCTTTTTTCGCTCTCTTCTTTAGCGAGATTAATCTTTTCGTATTTTGATTCTCGATAGTCCTTGAAATTTTCGGATTTAATTTAAAATGTGTATAGATTAATTGCGGAGAATCCAATACAATCTCTTACTGCAAGCGGATATCCGGATTCGGTTGCTTTGGGTTCAAGGGCGAAACACCAACTTATCTTCTGTAACACTCTGACTGCTTTGCACACGTTGATCGTGAATTCAACTGTCACTCTCGTTATCTTCTAAAGATCTTCGTCCTTTCCTTTTCCCTCCCTTCTCTCTTTCGACTTCACTTCCAAATCCGCTCGGGCGCAAAGCTGGCCTTTTTCGAGATAGGACCCTGGTAGTTTACTGGGCTAATCCCGCCCAAAAAGATCTACAACCCAAGTCAGAGGGCTCAATGCTACGAGCCCTCTAAGCTATGAACAGGCACTACGCCTCTCCGAAAGGCACTTCCGCCTACCCTCGTGGGTCCAGTGCCTTTCCCAACGGGTTCGTCGTCACTCCAGCCCAGGCCGCGTGTTTCCTGTCCACAGGCATTGCTGCAGTTGAGCGTTCAATGACCCAGTTTTCCCACCGCGGGATCCGCAATACCCTCAAAAGCTAACTTGTGTCTTTCCCCAATAGATTCCAACCTCGGTCGCAACCCGCTCTTCGCAGACGTCGTCAGCTCTTTCAACGTCTGTTCCTCCTCGGTGGGGTAACACTACTGCTGGTGATCCTTATCTTCCCCAATTTGCGCGCCTCGATCCTCCCAGCTCTCTCCCTCGGTCTCTTTCATCCTTCCGTCGACCTACAGCTGCAGACCGTCCGATACTATGATCTCTCCGAAGTACAAGGCACGGAGAGGGGTTGGGAACGCGGCGAGCGCGTCCTCATGCTCACACCTCTACGCGATGCATCCTCCCATCTCCCCATGTTCTTCTCGCACCTCCGGAACCTCACATACCCCCACAACTTGATTGATCTGGCATTTTTGGTGTCAGATTCCAAGGACGACACTCTCCAGATGCTCTCAGATATGCTGCAAGAAGTACAGAACGATCCCGATCCCAAGATGTCATTCGGTGAGATCTCGGTTATCCAGAAGAATTTTGGACAGAAGGTTCAGCAGGACGTGGAGAGTCGTCATGGCTTCGAGGCGCAGGCAAGTCGGCGCAAATTGATGGCTCAGGCTAGAAATTGGTTGCTGAGCGCTACGTTGCGTCCTACGCATAGCTGGGTCTACTGGCGGGATGCGGATGTGGAGACTGCGCCTTCTACAATCATTGAGGATCTCATGCGTCATAACAAGGATGTCACAGTTCCAAGTGAGTGGCGCTTCAGCCGCCTTTGCTACCTATCCCCATTTATACTAATGCGAATGTTCTCTAGATGTGTGGCGACCACTTCCCGATTGGCTCGGCGGAGAGCAGCCATATGACCTGAACTCATGGCAGGAGTCGGACACGGCATTGGCTTTAGCAGATACACTGGACGAAGATGCTGTCATTGTGGAAGGATACGCAGAATACGCGACGTGGAGACCACATCTCGCTTACCTGCGTGACCCCTACGGTGATCCTGATATGGAGATGGAGCTCGATGGCATCGGAGGTGTGAGTATTCTAGCGAAGGCTAAAGTGTTCCGCTCTGGCGTTCACTTCCCTGCCTTCAGCTTTGAGAAGCATGCAGAGACGGAAGGCTTCGGCAAGGTGAGAACTGACCCTCATCGATTTTTAGCTAGAAGATCTCTAACTTTATCTAGATGGCCAAGCGCATGAAGTACTCGGTAATCGGGTTGCCCCACTATGTCATTTGGCATTTATACGAGCCAAGCTTGGATGATCTGCGCCACATGGAGGAAATGGAACAGGAGAAGAAGGATCGAGAGCGCGAAGAGAAAGAACGCGAACTTGCCCAGAAAAAGGAGGGCAGCCAAGTCAAGACCCAGGATGTGAATGGCGAGTCTAGTAAAGGCTCTTCCGAGGGACCAGCTGCTCAAGCCGAGAAAGATGTTGGGAAAGGTTCCTCAAACAAGTAGGGTGTACCCTTGAAGAGGTTATCCCTGATTCCAGGACCCCGAAATTGTTATCGGGTCCTAATTGGTACTCTAAAGGGTTCGTTGACAAAAGTGTCCAGCTGGCTGGAATATTTCAGGCCTCCCCATCCCTACATGACCGGTATCCTTGCTCTGAAAGCACGCGGATCAGCCATTAATGTTTCTCCTTCTCCTTCTCCCCTTCTCTATCGGGTGATAGCCTTATCTGTGCTGCACCCGATAAAGAATATTTGGAGATTTTTGTCTTTTTATTTGGGATTTTTTCTTCTTCTTTCTGTTGTTCGTTATTCCATGTAAATCTTCCTTTTCATTAGGTCTCATTTTTTCATGGTTTATCATTAGAAGCATAATAGAAGGCGTGATATGGGAGCAACAAATACGGTATTGACTCGCACGCGGGGTTACTTTCTTCTTTTGTTTTGAAATATCTTTCGACTTTGGCATGTAGGGTTGGCTGCATAAGTAAATCAAAGAACAGCGCTTTTGGTCAGACTGGTTGCTATGACCAGGTGTTCATGGTTCAAGATAAGCTTGAACCTATTTATAGTATAAGATTGTATCTTGATGCTGTTTGAAAAAAAAATTCATGTCCATGAAGACATAAGTTAAGGGAGCAGTACATAGTATTAGTATATAGGGCAGGTTTTATTGATGGAGGGTCACACCTATTAGCTTTCGGGGGCCGATGACCTACTGAAAAAGCAATAAGCCGTAATAGGTTACATGTATGTCCTCGGGGTCAGTACAAATTAGGCAATATGTTCTTATCCTTTAACCCTCCAGTCACACTTCTTCAACATTTTTTTTTTTTAAAAAAAAAAAGAACAGCGCGTGCGTGATGTCATCTGATCTTGGTAAGATCTTGTCATCTTGGTCGGACCGAGCCGCAGCGCTTTCCCTTTTTATGCCCAAGCTCGATCTACTCTCGAATCCATCAAACCCCTTCAAGAGTGTTCAACTCTCGCAAAACTCAAAGAAAATTAACCGGAATGTCTCCCTGGGAAAGTGCGGGCGTGTTCTGCTTATCGCAGTTCCATATTCTATGCAGGTGGCCCACTTTTTAGATCTCCGAGCGAAACGGTGAAACGTTGAAACGGCGATCTGATAGACAGGGGTTCGGGCCTCCAATCACAGTCCAGGACGAACACTACACACGCATACAGGAATGCCACGCGGGTAGCCCGCAGGGGTCAACGCGGTCACATTGACCGTATGTTTCCGTCCCCCTGGGATATGGACAGCGCATCGTTCGGGTTGTTTTGCTTTATAGGAAGCTCCTTCAACCCTGCTCTTCGTTCTTGTCCCACTTAGCCCAATGCCGCCAATACAATGAATGAAGAAACTTCCCCATTGCTTGGTCGACAGAAGTTTACTACAAGATGGACTTCGGTTTACTTGTTATCTCTTCACACTTTCTTTATCTCTCTTGCGTTCTCCTTACTCAATACACCCCTGTCACAACTGATTGAAGATAATCTTTGCCGTCGATATGCGCACGAGCGTACTGTTGCGCAGGGATTTTGCAAGAGCGACTATATCCAACTCGAGTTAGCTAACATAAATGGATACATTCCCGTTATGGAAGCAGTAGTCAGTACGTTTCAAGATACCACTGAATGGTACCCTCAAAAAAAAAGCTTCAGGCACTGACTTTGCGGAACTAGGTCTGACGACGGCTTTTCCATTCGGGCTCTTGGCCGATAAGTAAATTACCACGCTTTAGATGGACTCAACATTGATAGTAACAGAGTATTGATTTTTAGAATCGGTCGCAAGCCCATTCTTTACCTTTCATTGCTCGGATGCGCATTTTGCAAGCTGTGGCAACTCGCTATTCTCGCCTTTCCATCACACCTACCAGTCGAATACGTATTGACGGGTCCTTTATTTCTTATCGTGGGTGGTGGACCAGCTGTCCAACTCGCTAGTCTGAACTCCATCGCGTCGGACTTGGCGACGAGATCAGATAGGTAAAAGCTCATCCCACACAAACGGTGTAAATGATGTATATCTAATGCAAAGAAAAATCAGAGCATCAACGTTCTTCATGTTAACATTCGGTCTACTATCCGGCGGCGCCGTTGGTCCGTTCATTGCCTCTGCGCTCATGAGCTCACATTCATCCTGGATCCCAATCCTTGTCAGCATCAGCACATGGCCAATCGGCGCCGCCATTCTGATGTACGTACCAGAAACACTACTAGCCTCCAAGCAGGACCCAATCCCCGAGATAAGCCACGATCCATTAGCATTGAAACGCAACTTTTGGAAATCACACATTTCACAATCCATTCTACTTTATAAGGAGTCCCTCGCCTCATTAAGATCCCCCTCTGCCATCATCATCATCGCCATCAACCTCATGGAAATGCCCGAGTATAACGCCACCTCCTCATTTCTTACGCAGTTTGTCAGTAAGCGATTTAACTGGAGCTTTGCAGATACGGGTTATCTCATTGCTATGCGTGGAGTCATACATATGACTGTTCTGCTGGTTGCACTTCCGTTGTTGTCTACGCTGTTATCACGATGGCAGCAGCCCAATGTGAGGGACTTGACACTTGCACGGCTCTCTGCTGCTGTGGCGGTTATCGGGGCGCTTTGGATGGCCGCTTCGCGAGTGAATGTTGTGATTGTGGGACTGGCGCTTCAGAGTCTAGGGGGAGGTATGACTCCCTTATGTCGTTCTTTGGCTCTTAATTATGTCCCGTCATCGGATATTTCTAGATTGAATACCTTGATTGGGATTGTGGGGACGGCGGGCTCATTACTGGGTGGGCCGGTGCTTACTTGGTTATTTGATGTTGGCCTGACAAAGGGTGGTTTTTTGGTTGGACTTCCATACTTGGTTTTTGCAGCGTCGTTTCTGTTATGTCTTGTGGGGTTACTTGTTGTGCAAGCTCCTATGTCCAGGGACGACGATGAACCTCTTTCTATAACAGAGATAGATGAGTGTGTGTCGGTTGATTGCTGATGGACTTTTTTAGAGATGGAGTATTTTTTTTTTGTTTCTCTTGCTTGTCATTATACCCCATTTTATGATCTGTTAGTAGTACTTATGGGTACTTATGAAGTTAGGATTATACTAGTAGTGAAGCAAATATGCGGTTTTCTATTTAAATGTGGTCCGTGCGCCAAAGCGCGTCCTTGCGCGTCTCCGTCTCTTGCCGTGTCTTCTTCTCTCAAAATTCAAGATCATCGGGAAATTTCAATAAAAATGGCAACTCAAGATTCACGAGGTATTTTGTTCACACATACCCAGCACCAGCAAGGATTTCGACTCCTGGAACTCTCTCCAGAGCTGGACGCATTACTCACCTCCAAAGATGCTTCTGTGTAAGTGGACAGCTCGAGTATCTCTCTATTTGACGACCCAGTTCCCGTTTCCTCGTTAGATTTAATACTGATCGAATTTCTATGACAGATTGGAACTCAAGTCTCCTTCAGCCGCCCTGGCACAAGCAATAGTCGATCCCAGTGCCCCGGAATACGTCAACCTTTGTACCCCCACCAAAACCTTTCGAATTCGCGAGGTCCAATCGTCCAATTCACTCCATATAATACGCCCAAGTCCTGGCCATATTTCTCAAGCAGATATCAAAGTCGTTGAGGAGGATGGAGATAGTGGCGCTTTGAATCTTCCCGATGATTCGGTGAGCACCATCTCTAAGTGCGGGTCCACTCTAGAGCTACATATCCCACCAGGAGAATTCTCGGCGATTCCGTTCCTGGAGAAAAGCCTGGCCCTTTATGATCAGCGCAGTGACGACGATGATGAAGGCGATGTGATGGACGAGTCCTCTGATGCGCCCGTTCATCAGGGCCCCGCTGAAGTACGAAGGTTGAGGGATAGGGTGTGCGCGGATATTCCTGTATCTGCAGCGCAATGCGAGCAAGGCTGGACCGACATCTGTGCATTTGTGGATGGGAAGCATGAATTGGCGTGCTGGAGACCCTCGGCGCGCATGCGTTTGAATGTGTGGAAGAGGCTGATGGAGGGCGCAGTTCTGCAAGGAATCGATCTGGAAAAACAGTTCCTTGTTGGAGATTTATGGAAATCGGTTCTTGATGACGATGATATGTCTGAGCCTTTCCCAAGGGCTTGTCTGGAGGCGGTGGTGAGAAAGCTATGTACCGAGGAGGAGCGACCAGCGCTAGCGGATGAGATCAAATGTAAGTGGTATATCTCAACTTGAGACGTCCATCTAACAGGCGTGGGGGTTTGACTAATACAACTGGGATGATCTAGGGGCAAGCTTTGATAAAGTCGATTGTACGCGATGGGTAGGCGAGACCTATCTTGCGGCCATGGCACCTACAGAGTCTTCTGCTATTGGACGGAGCAATTTCCTCCGTGCATGGAAAGACTCTCTTCCTGAGTCGTGGGGCAGTGAGGCGAAATTGTCAAAACTACAAGAGGGGGCGTACCGGAGCCCCGATCCTACAACAATTTTCTTTGTGGAGCCTTCACAGCGCCAGCAGGGCCCTAAAGCTGCCGCTGCTGGTTCAGCTCCAGCGGCCAAGGCCAAAACCACAAGGAATTGGCATGAATTGCTCAAAAAGCGCAATTGAGTTGGGACCACCATCCGGTCGCTATTGCGGCCGACTATGGTAGCCTCATAAATACAATGCGTATCGTTTCTAGGTACATCATAAATACCCATGCCGCCCAAGACAGAAAAAGAAATGAAAAACACCATACAAAGCTCCGGAATGCATTGGATGAGGTAGATGTTGACGAAAACCAAGATCAAGACCAAGATCAAGGAAATCTCCGGGACGGCAAAAGGCGATCAACACCAAGTGTACTTCTCGTTCAGGAACCACTCGACGTCTTCACCAAGCCCTTGCTGTGCACCGGTCCAACGCAGACTGGAAATGCTGCTCTTCTCCCGATGCACAACCTGGGCATCCGAATCCAGCAACTTCACAGCCTTTTGCAGCAGTGGTGTTGGGTTCCAGAACTCAACTGTGTGCAAATTCCATTCATGTGCCTCACGCTGAGCCCGGCGCAAGATTGCAGCCATGGCTTCAACCAGGCTCTTCTCTTCATCTGCCGATTGAGGATCATCATATACCCAACGAAGAATGTACAAAACATTGTCCTCGGGATCCTGTCCAAAATTCCGGTTCCACGCGCAGTACACCTTAGCCTCGTCATTTCCAGCACCCTTAATTATGGGTGAGGACCGCTGCGGCAAAAGGTGTTTCGCAAAGAACTCCTCACGCGCCCAGTGCCAAACGAAATGATCAAAGTCAGGCTTGATAGCGATCTTACTACCACCCGTCTTCCGCGATGCCTCCCGCAGCTGATCGCGCAGATTGGCCGTGACAACGTCGTTGCAGATGAACTTCTGCACGTCCTCCGCGCGCAGATCTCTCGTGCCGCTACCGTTACCGTTGCCATGCCCATTGGATCTGCACTCTTCTCCGCCCGCAACTGGCGGGAGAGCCATGTGCGAAGACAAGAACGGCTTCCACCCAAACTGCGCATAGAAGCTCTTCCCAATATCCGAAAATAGAATAGTAAAAAGCGCCCGCCCTCTACTCTCCTTTTCCATCTTCCACGTATCCAGCTGGGAGCTCAATTCCTCAAACATGCGCTTAGCGTATCCCTTTCCCCGAAACTCGGGCCGGCAGTAAACGCTCCCCACGCCGTGCGTAGATACATTTTCCACTTCCCCGCCGTGCGCGAGTAATGCCTTCTTCTTGTATGTCTCGCAAGAGCTAAGGATCGTGCGATCCCCCTCCGGCTCGGACTTGTCGACTAGAATCCAGCATGTTAGGCCATCGCGTGTCAGATTTTGCGCGAGCAGGTGGTTTTCGCGTGCGATGTAGGTCTCGATGTCTAGTGGGCCCTTCCATGCTACGCTGTTGAGCTTGATGGATGCGATGCGCTCCTCCGCGGTGGCGGGCACTAAGATCAGGTCCGGTGAGTCTCCTGGTGGGAGAGAGATGTTTGCTGCAATCATGGTGAACTGTGTCGTATATCTAGCTGATATGTATCTGAAAGTCTCCCTGCGACTAAGACTCTTTTCTGCAATCGATTTGAGGTCTAATGATAGGCTCTGGTGCAGTATAGGAGGGGTTCGTCCTTGGAATAGAGCTCACAAGGAGGTTTGTGTAACAAAAGTAGGTGAGTCAGATCCGTGAATGTGAACCTTGGAACACTCCCCAATCGAAGAGAAAGAAAGCAAAGAAAAAAGTGTGTCAAGCGTCGATCAAGATCTCAATTCGAATCATTCAGTCTGTAGAAGAAAAAGTAATAAATATTTGAAACCAGAAATCCGGGGTCAATCAAATCAAATCCAATCCCTTGACGTTTGAAAAGTGGATATGAAAATGAAACACGATAAGAACCAAAAAGCCCCCCCTTCCCGAATCCCACTATATAAGTAATTAAGTATCCATAGTTCCAAGTCCCCAACCTCCAAATGACCCTAAAGCCGGCGGGGTTCCGTCTCCAGCCCTGCCCTCCCATATCCAATTGCCAATCTACGTAGCGCAACCCGCCAATTCCGAAGAAGCTCGTCCACACATGCATTCCATTCCTCACAATTCTCTCCACTTCCCCCGCTTGCCTTTCATCTCCGCATCATGATCCGGGCCGGAGAATCCTGCTCTATACGGTTTCTCTTTGTCACCCGGCCCGATGACAAGCGACGGCAAGCGATCTCGATAAGCTTCAATGTCGTACTTCATGCCGGTTGGACCTGCCGTTGACGTAAGAGGGTTTAAAGGATGGTCATGTGCGTGTAGGGTATGAGCGGGTCAGGTGGGTTGGTTATGTAAGTGGCGAGAACTCTTTGTTTGGTTGTTTTTTATTCAACTTTATTTGGTTTTTGTTTTTCTTGTTTTTTTTTTTCGTATACACATCTGCAGGTGGATGGTGGGGGAAAAGACAAAATGAGAGGTTCACATGATTGGGGGAAGGCTTGGGCTTTATCTTGAATTCTTGATCTTGGATCTGGGGACGCCTACTTTGGTTAGCTCGGAATGCAGGATCGAAATGGACAGGCAACTCGTGACTTCTGCTTTTTCTCTATAGTACTAGTACAAGGTACTAACTAGTATGGGCAAATTCGATATTTGAAAGGAAAGAACATACTGGGAGCACTGCTAGATCATTGAATTGGCTAGAAAAAAAAGAAGTTGAAATATAATCACGTAGTTGAGAGATTTCAACAAAAGAGATGAATGAAATACAAGAAAAAATGAGATGGTATGGGGAAACAAGGCCGGGCCGCAGCAAAAGAATATCGGCGAGAAGTCAAAACCCAGGGATTTAGCACGAAATGCAAGATATATAAAGTGTCAAAAATCGGTACCCGGAGAGGTAAATGAGAATGAGGGTAGAATAGAAGGAGCGTCGTAAAAAGGGGGATCAAGGAAAAGAAATAAGAGAAAAAAGGAAACATAGAGGTAAACAATGGTTGGAGATGAGGGAGGAGCAATAGATATAAAAAGAAGAAAAAAGGGTAAAAAAAAAAAAGGAAAGATATGAACCTGATCTATGTAAGTAAATGCCATGCGAGTCCCAAAAATCGTCTGCTCTCCGTTTTATGTATTTGCGCCACTTTCTTGCGGATGGCAATTCCTAACTTCCTCATCCATCATGTATGTTCGATCATTGGTCACGCTAAATCAAGAATGAGGCTGAGATGGGTGTGGACAGATAACAGACGAACAATTTCCATAAACTTGACTCAAATATCCGCCCCAGCAGGAATAAAAATTTCTTTGGTTCAAAACGTTCACGGCGGTTGCTCTGATTCAACGGGTTCGTTAAACTTCTGTCGCGCCTCTTCCACCCATAATTCTAACCGCAGCTCTCCGGCTTCGACGCGTCGTACCGGCACGGTTTTGGCGCGGCCATTTGAGACCCGAGGTGGGGGCTCTTGAGGCTCGCCATTTCGCAATTTTGACACGGAATATGGGGCGGTGCATGATCGCAAGTGTACCTTGCCGGGTTCGGCCACAATCCATGTTTGTTCTTCTTTGGTGGTGCCCGCCGGGGGCAGTGCGTCTTCGCGCACTTCGATGCAGACAGTGAAGCTGAATTCGTCATCTCGTGGCAAAGGGGTCAGGCGTGCACAGGCGGATGCAAGGCGAGCCAAACAAGCTCGAAATTGCGACTCGAGGTCGACCGAGGTTGGCGCAGGACCACGGTCCGGGGGAGGAGCATCTGGCCTGGATGTATCATCTGCATTTCTGTCTTCAAATGTAGTGTCTACCTCTCCGGCAGGGGCTCGAGGGAAGCCCGACAAATCAAAGGCATATCGTTCGAGGGGCTGATTCGTGCGGAGAGATGAAATAATGATACTGACTGCAGTTATTGTGCCCTTCAAGATTTCTGTCCCGACTGCGATTGATGCATCATTGATATAGTCACACACTTTTGGGTGACGGGATTGTCGGACTGGGTAGTTGTAAGCCCGGACGGGGAGGAAAGTCGCGCGCGGGTATACGGAGCGAAGGAAAAGTATTTGGTGGACCGAGACGGTCAGGAAGTCGGTAAAAGAAGCCGCCAGCGCCGACTGGTTGGTGGGCAACGATCCGGTGGCTGGGATAGGGGCGGAGAAGGTGGTCATGGTGGTAGTACTACTGGTCTCACTGGCCATCGGCATTGCCGTTGAACGATCCGATATCGTCACCACGGGAAGGATGATCTTGACGGAGTCTCGAGGAATTTGAGTGATTTTCCACCCTGAAGCTAATCATCGCTCTGCTTTTCTGAAATCATTGGTCAATTTCAAGAACCTTCAAATACAATTCAAGTTATTCAGATTGGTGATGAGTGGGGTAGTTGTTTAAGAAACAGCGTCATCAGGTTTTTTCCCCGCCGATATTCAAGTCAACAACCGATCGGTTCGTGAAAATACGTAGATGTGCCGAAATAATTGGGAGTTGATAGAATAGTGGTTTGGCAGGAGCTTTATGCAGATCGGACAAGGGAAGGTGGTGACGAGGTTAAGGGTGGGTTGAACTGGTGGGAGGGGAGGGGAACTTGAAGGGAAAGCCAAGATACATACGCTTGGGTAGACAAGACAACAAGATGCAAACCCTCAAAGCATGAGGAATGAAAAACGATATAACCCTAGGCGCCGATCCCAAAAAAAAAAAAAAAAACAAAGAAAAGAAAAGAAGGTCACTTTTTTGGAGAAATGATGTTCCCGTTTTGAGGGGACGAGGGGTGGGTTTTCAAGCGAAGGGAAGGAGGGGGCGGCACAACTCTGGTGAGGGAGGTAGTCGCCAAAAAAAAACCTTCGGAGGCTGTCGAATGTGAGTGGGTGTCAAGCCGGGCGAAAGATAGAGGTGCTCGCTGGTCACGATGGTTTCCCCAGTAGTTTCACTCAAGGGTAAAAGCAAGAGTGGGAAGTTCGACGGTGGAAGTCACGGTTGCCGTCACGTGGTTGCGTCATGGGTTGGCCTTGCAGAACCTCGATTTTTACAACTTTGATAATCAATTGAGGATTGCCAGAAGTTGACTTTTTTTCGGAGACAAAAAAATATGTATTTCAGTAATTTTTAGACCTCTAAACGATCCATTCTTCACCTTCTATTATTATTACCAAAGAAAAGCAAAATCTAATTGACAACTTGAGCTATCCCTGGAGCGTAGTGCGAAAGGAGTATAAGATTTAGTGTTCAGGAACATTTCTAAACAATAATAAATACGCCTCTTTGGGAAGTGTGTATCCCATATACCATATTTCAAATTTTTGGAGGCAGATTTTTTTTTTCTTCGTGGGAATAGAGCGCACAATATTTTTCTTTTCTGTTCTTTCATTTTTTGTCATTTGACATTTTTGTTCCTTTTTTTATTCCCCACTAGATGATTGAAGTGGGTGGATTATGGAACACTTTAGCTGTGAGAGGGGGTGATCATCGCAGCCAAGCGAAAAGAAAGGCAGAAAAAAAAAATTGCATTAAGCATTTGTTGGGTTCCATACTAAGGGACTCCAGCGAAATAGGGTATGGAACCATGAACCATTCTAGGACTCAACCTTGGGAGCGAATAAACATTGACCATGAAACTACATGTATTTAACTATATCCTCTTGAAGATTGTCCTAGGATCTTAGTCCACTTGACAGAACCAGAAGAGAAATAACATGGGTCATTCAAATTTGGGTTTTCTTCTGACGTTCTACTAGGTTGTAGACAGTGGTTTGCTCCGTGCATAAAATTGAACTACAAAAACCCTTCTTTGACCTCTTGGGACTTTATTTCCATACTCTATACTCCATCGGGAAGCCGGAGTCAATCGGTACAGTTGAAATACACCGGCCGTCACCAGGTTAAGCGCAATTACTATGTAACGTAGCAGTACCGGGTACTTCCATTCTGTATTACACGGTACAGGGCCAAGTCTCCCACAGGGCCCTATTACCGATGATCTTCCACATCTCTGACGGCAGTGGCGGCGAAAGACAAGGGTACGATCCCGGGGAGACCACCACTACTTCTCCGGCAAAAGCTAACAAAACTCTGTATGAGACGACCTCCATATGCCATTAGCAATCAGAGTCTTCCATCTATTTCTACTCCATTGTCACCGTCACCGGTGTTGATCTTCACCTTCCTTCGGTGATCATAAAGCTTTTAGTGAGGATTTTTAGTAATTTTTAGTGAGGGGCACACAACCCCATTTGGAAGAAATCCACTCCCCTCCATTATGACGCGTTTCACAACCATACGGAATTTCGAAGAGACAGGTCCATATCAACGGTTTCCCATGCTGATTGATTTCTCTTCATGTATTTATTTAAAGCCGAATCTTTCAATCTATCTTTCCCTATCAATAACACCCAACTGTTCCAAAACCGCAGTTTATACCGTCCACATCTGGCCTCCGGCTAACGTTGAGTCAACCAGGTGGGCCTTTTCGATTCTTTCCGAAAGATCGCGATCCACTCCATGGGATCAAGCGGTGTCAAGCCGTGAGAATACGACAAATTCGACAATAGCGTATGGTTTTAGCCCCTCCTCTCTCCAATCTATCTCTAACGGGGAAATAGTGTACCTGGGCCTGCCGATTTGGCCACCCAACGGACGCGGGTCCGACCAGGCACCCTCGGTACATGCATATATGTACCATGATGCAATGTACAAGGATTACCGTCCCCCAGATCACACACTGGAAAGTTCCTTCCCTTAATGTGACGTGTTGGATTGGCTAGTTCCCCCGGAAATTCCCTAGAAAGAAAGTAAAAGAAAGAAAAGAAAGAAAAGAAAGTCCCGGGCTTTAAGAGAAGGCCTTGCAGATACCAATGCTTTTAAGATGTTTAATCATTACCCCTATAATCAAGTCCTTCCACGCCTACCACGGCCCAAAGACCTGGGTTTCCTACCATTGGACGGGGTCGAGGATAAGTCTACTGTAAGAACTATCCCGGCTTCATCAATCCCTGTCAGCCCAACGTGGGGGAAAGGGCTCGGGGATTGGGAGACCAAGTGTCTGGGTCTGGTAGCATCCTGCACCAACGCTGGGCACCAACTCAAAAATAGGATAAGTTGTTCTGGACTGCTCACTGTCGATCCTTTGGTGAAATGCCAATGGGAGGAAATCGACACTAGAAACGCCCCAGGCCGCCTCTCCCGGCCTCTGACCGCCCCGTCAAATGTGTCACCTTGTCACCTTGATACGCGGCGCTCGCCCAGATTTGCTTACATTTTCCCGACTCCTGGCAATGGGATGTCTCTTCTTCAAATTCGTCCAGATGAGACCTCATACTTGAATGATAAGTCCCTTTACAGCAGTGGAAGCTACTAGTAATTCAAGTGAGTTTGCTGCGTTATATGAGCATAGAACAAGACGGCAAAACTCAGAGACAACATGAAAATTAAGTCAAACAAAATGCTAGTCAGAGACTCAACCGCTTCTTTACACATTATCTTGACCTTCTCTTGATTCAAATGCCATTTCGCGCACATCTGCGTTCTCTCCTTTACTAGACTCGTACCATGCGCCTCGTTAAAGCAGAGAAGCCCATTCAAGAATAGATGCTTCAGAACTAGGTCGTTGTGATAAAATTGACTTCATGTGGGGGAAAAGCAACTGGCACTTCTCCCAATTCTCGTAATCGCCTGACGGGACCTCCTCTAATGGCCTCCTGATGAATTTCTCCTTCCAGAACTCCTCTTGCTTATGATTTTTTTCTCCATACCCGAGCGCTCAGCCGAGCCAGTCAATGGATTGTGAAGCCTGTTTATCCTCCATGGCGTGAACAAATGAATAATTCCTCAGGGTCAGAAGAACGTTATCCAGGGCCCGAAGAAGTCCGAACAACAGCAGGCCGCTGATTCTTCTATTATTTTACCGGGTTCCCATTCAACTTTGAACCCATTTTCTAGAGGTATTAGGAATCGACTGTATTTTACCAGCTCATCATTTTATCATTTCAAAACTGCTATCAGCGACATTTGACCACGTGATTATGATGATGGATAGTTAAGATTTGGAGGTTTGAATAATGTATACATAAGGATCTGATGGGAATGAATCACAATTTATATAGCGGCTGGCTCTTGGTTATACTGTCCAGGTCTCAGGTATAAAAAATGAATAACAACAGTAAGCCCCAAAGTGCAAGCCCATGGCTGTTTCATTGGTGTAGACAAGTTAAAAAAACCGGTGCTTTAGGAGATTGACCGCTTTTGAGGTTCTTTCACCGCCTTGTATACCGCTTACTAACGCATTGTTTGTTATTCAGCCTTTTTAGTGTTCGTGAGTTTCGTTTACACAGTCAAAGTCATCAGAATGCAGATGAAGATACCATCTTAGCAAGTAAGGGGTGGGGAATCTAGGACTTGATACAATTGTCCAGTTCCTATATATGTCCAATACTAGTAGTCCTATAAAATTCAAGTCACGGACCTAACACATACTTTAATTTCTGCCACTAAAAATTATATGGGGGGTTTGTCCTGTACTTTAAACACCGCCGCTGCCCCTCGTATCCCCTTATCGCGTCGCGCGCAAACAGAACTCCCTCTTAGCGCGACAACAGGCCTGGAGCCCACCTTACGTCTCGTTCCTTTTTTTTGTGACCCGTCACTCGCTCCCCTCCTTCCCATTTATTATAACGCAGTCGCTGCCTAGAGACAATCTCTCTCGTGCGTCTTCTGGACCATCGATCCGTTACTCAACATGGAGCAAGAACTACTATCACTCCTGGCAGACACTCAGTCTGCCAGAGCCGATACAAGAAAGGCCGCCGAGCTTCAGCTACTCGGCCTGTATTCAAACGAATCTTTCCCCATCTCCCTCACAGCCATTGCCTCTCACGAGTCAGTTCCCGTCAATCTCCGCCAATCCTCCTTGTCCGTGCTACGCACCTTCATCGCCGCCTCCTGGTCCCCGAACCTCGACGAATTCAAGGGCCAGATCCTCGTTACCGATGCGAACAAAGCCCAGATCCGACGGGCGCTGCTTGATCTAGCCACAATTACCGAAACCTCCGAGCGCAAAGTCAAGGCTTCTGCCAGTTACGCCGTTAGCAAGATTGCCAGTGCCGATTTCCCCGACGACTGGCCAGAATTGCTGCCCTCGTTGCTGCACATCATCAACGATCCCGCCACAACGGATGGTGCGCTTCACGGTGCTTTGAAGGTCCTGCTGGATTTGGTGGATACTGGCTTCGGCGAAGAACAATTTTTCAATGTTGCTCGCGATCTGGTTTCATCTCTGTTTTCTGTCGCCACTTCCGAAGCCCGGCGACCAATGCTTCGGGCACTTTCAGTCGCGGTCTTCCGGTCTTGTTTTGATACCTTGGAGATGGTGTTGGAGCAGCACAAGGTTGCAATCAAGCAATTCGTGGATGAGTTGCTGAGTGCTTGGTCGCCATTCTTTGTTGAGACCCTGAAGATGTCCCTTCCCCAGCAACCCGATGAAGAAGAGGCCAACAAGGGAAGTGAGGTCGCCTCTCATTGGCGTGGAGTTATCGGTCTTAAACTTCAGATCATTAAGGTATGTGTTTGATATTCTTGGCCTTGTAATTGATCCGAATTTGGGTGCGTAGGCTAACGAGCCCTTTAACCGCCAAAATAGACTCTGCTGAAGATTCGTATGGTGTTCCCCGGTCTTTTAACACCACAGAGTCCAAATTACTTCTCAACGGTCTGGGCCGAGCTTACCAATGCCTTGCCGGTCTACCAGAATTTCTTCATTGAAGGTGAACGCCAAGGTCGCCTGGAAGATGTTGATGGCCTCCCATACTCACTTGATTTCCTTATCTTGGAGGAATTGGATCTTATCCAGACCTTATTGAAGGCCCCTCCTGTCAAGGCAGAGCTGCAACAACAACTTCAGAATGCCGGTGCTGGAGCTAGCTCGTCTGGCTGGTTGCCCGAGATCATGAAGCTGGCCAGCTCTTATGCCCAGATCACATCCGAAGAGGAAGGCCTCTGGGAGATTGATGTGAATCTGTTCTTGTCTGAGGAAACATCCCTGACTGCCAACTACACCCCCCGCACTTGCAGTGGTGATCTGGCAATCAAGACGGGTGAATGGCTAAAGGGAGCAGCGGTAGAGGGTCTTCTGAGCTATATGAACACTCTCTTTGCGGATTCTTCAGCCTCGTAAGTTTAAAGCTTTTTTTCTCCTTTTTTTTTCTCCGTCAAATATTTTTTTTTCTTTTACGAAGAACTGCGATCTAACTTGAACATCCTGCTAGTTGGAAATCACGCGAAGCCGCCCTTTACATTCTCAACTGTATTCTTCGTGATTTCTCCGAGGTGTCTCAGCAAATCTCCCCGGAATTGTCCCTCAGTTTCAATCAATTTGTGCACTATGCAATTCAACAGGAGGAAGAACTTTTGCGTGCACGAGGTTACCTTGTGGCCGGTGCTTTGGCCAAGGCTTCGGGCGATGCATTCCAACAAACTACTGCCTCTTACTTAGAAGCTACACTAAAGGCCATTGCCGAAGACCCCGCAGAGGTGGTCAAGGTTTCAGGCATTCGTGTACTCCAGGACCTTATGCCATCGCTACCCGCCTCCGCGGCCCGTCCATTCCAGGGACTTATTGTCTCGGCCATTTCGGAGTTTGTTTCAGCACACGATTTGCGCGAAGATGACGAGAGCGAAGATCTCAAAGTCACCCTAGCCGAAACCCTGCGAGACACCATTATGACGGACCCGACTATCGTTTTGTCGTCGATCGCCATCGACGTCCTGTTTAACATTGCCAGCAGCGGAGCTGAAAACTTCCAGCTGACTATGACCGTTACGGAAGCTTTTGAGGATATCGCAGACCAAATTTCCGAGCATGGCCCTGAGGCTTACATGCGCCTCTGCGAGAAGGTGCTGCCTTCACTGATGGGTGCTATTGACGTGGGTAATCTCACCTCGGAAAACGCCTTGACCACCTTCGCAGCCGACCTCCTTCGGGTTTTGGCCGAACGGAGCTTGGAGCCTCTTCCTGCTGGCTTTGTGGATACTGTGATGCCTAAGCTTAACCGCCTGCTCCTGGAATCTGATGAGGCTGAGCTTATCCGACCTGCGACCGAGGCTGTCCGACACTTGCTTGCCCATGGCTTTGATCAGTTCATCGTCTGGCGGGATCCCCAATCTGGCAAAGAGGCGATCGAGGTTGTGCTTGTGATTATTGATCGACTATTGGGACCGGCTGTCGATGACAATGCCGCCACTGAAGTTGGTCAGCTTGCCGCCGAGCTGGTAGAGCGGGCTGGCCCGGAGCGTTTGGGTCCTTATCTACCCCAGCTACTCCAGGCCGTAGCCCAGCGACTTGCGACCGCTCAGCAGGCCCAATTCATCCAAAGTCTCATTCTGGTGTTTGCGCGACTGACCCTCATCAGCGCCCGTGAGGTCGTTGACTTCCTCTCCCAGATCAACCTGGGAGGCTCCAGTGGCCTCCTCGTGGTTCTGAGCAAGTGGCTGGAGAACTCGGTGAATTTCGCGGGCTATGACGAAATCAAGCAAAACATCTTCGCGCTCGCGCATCTGTACGAGCTCTCCGACCCTCGACTGGCTGAGGTGCCAGTGAAGGGCGACCTGATTATCCAGAATACCGGTCGGATCATGACCCGATCACAGGCACGTAACAACCCGGACCGATACACAACGGTGTCGGCGCCCTTGAAAATCATCAAGGTACTCGTGGAGGAGCTGGCAGCGGCATCGGGCAACAAGGAGATTGACGCGGCTGCGGCTCGTGCGCTTGACGATGCCGACAGTGATTACGGTGATGATGATTGGGAAGATGACCCCAGCCAAACTTTGGATCTTGGATTAGGCATGACCAAACAAGAACTGATGAGCTTTGGCGAAGGTGGTTCTGAGAGCGTATTTGGAGTGCGTCGCCGGGACGACGAGACCCAGAGCTTCCTCGGGGACTTTTTCCGCCGAGCATCCCAGCAGCCTGGATTCCCCGAGATTTATGGGGCCTTGACTGTAGACGAACAGATGAAGCTACAGAGCTTGAACTGATGGAGATTGTCTTGGTCTACACTTGAGACCCCAAAAAGTGGAGATTTTCAAGTACTAAGTAGTAATGTCGGCATGAAGAGCAAGTTTTGTAGATCACGAGTCTTGAATACCATTTTCCCTAATGTCAAATTTTATGATTCTAGAAGTATTGGTTTTTTCAAATATTGGTACTAACTTGAATGTATCAAGGGTTCATCTGTTCATCTCAATAGACTGCGGGGGTTTTCGATAGATCAACTTCCACATCTTGTCCCGGTATCCTGTGTCTCGGTATTTCCTTCACGCTCTGACCATTTCCTCTCTTTTGGATAGCTTCACCTTTTTCCTTTTTCCTTCTTCCTTTTTCCTTTTCCCTTTTTTCTCTTTATTCTCCATTCTTCTCCGATTCCCCCTTTTCCCCCTTTCTCAACAAATGTCCCATCCAAACCCCCATGAACGAATTCAAGTCGATGTAAGCATGGTTTCCCTTTCTGTTTTTGTTTTTTACTCCAACTCAGCAAATCATGTCTGGCCTCTGCCCCCCTTCTACACAAGAAACCCCCCCCCCTATGTCATGACCGTGCATACCATACCCTTAACCCAAACCCCAGCACCCCGTCTTTTTTATCACATCAACAAATCATTCCATAAACTACCATCATACCCACCTATCACACAACGCTTCTTCAGTGAAACCACCTGTCTTACCAAATTATCTCCCCAAATTCCAGACAAGCGACGATGATTCACTCTTCGATTCCCAATCCCTCGTGGACTCCAACCTCTCCTTTGCCTCCTCCGTGACCGACTACTGCTACGAAAACGGCCGCCGCTACCACGCCTACCGCCACGGCCAATATCCAATCCCAAACGACCAAGAAGAACAAGAACGTCTAGGCCTCGTGCACCACCTCTTCAAGCTAATAACCGGCGGTGACCTCTACCGCGCCCCGATCCGACCCCGCGACGACCGCCCCACTCCGCCCCCGCGCCGCATTCTCGACATAGGCACGGGAACCGCCGAATGGGCCATCGAAATGGCTGAGGATTTTCCCAACGCCGAAATAATCGGTACCGACCTCAGCCCCATTCAGCCAAGCTGGGCCCCCTCGAATTGCCGTTTCTATATCGATGATGCGGAGAGTGATTGGACTTATGCGCCGGGGGAGGCGTTTGATTATATTCATATGAGGTGTTTGGGCGGCGGTATTGGCGATTGGCCGCGATTGTTGAAGCAGGCGTATCAGCATGTACGGCCTGGTGGGTGGGTGGAGGTGCAGGAGTTTGAGGCTAGTTTGGGTTCGGATGATGAGACGCATCTCCTTGCTCCGACGGTCATGCATTGGTTGGAGATGATTAATGGGGCGAGTAAGCAGTTTGGGAAAGAAATGAATATTGCTGAGCGAGTTCGTCCGCGGATGGAGAATGAGGGGTTTATCAATGTGTCGGACGATATCTATAAGGTTGGTTTCCCTTTTCTCTCTCTCTCTCTCTCTCTCTCTCTCTCTCGTGTTGGTCTTGTATACAGAATCTCACCAATGGCTTCTGTAGTGCCCTGTTGGAGGATGGGCCAAGGACCGCCAACTCAAGAAAATCGGTCGCATTGGAAAAGTACTTGTTCTAAAGGTGGTGGAACCGTATTCCCTCGCGCTGTTTACACGAGTTCTTGGGTATACCTTTCAAGAGGCGCAGGGAATTATGGATAAAGTGCGAGCCGAGATGATGAACTCCAAGGTTCATATGTACTTCTTCTTCCACTTTGTGTATGGGCAGAGGCCCATGGAGACGAATGGTCAGACTGCGACGTGAGGAATCTTCACCTGATCCTACTAATCTACGGCGGATTATACCCTTGAGGAGAGATCGCCTTCTCATCTCTCCTTCTTAGCGACTGACGACGTGATGACCAATTCGGATTCAATGTTTTAAAGCTTATCATTTCACTTTGTGTTTGTTTTCATTATTTATTAGACATGAGCATGGCGCATGGGCATCACAGACATATATGTCATTAGGGCGATTTCGCGACCAGCGTTTATCGCCCGCTTCCGATCCCCAGGACCTGACAGATTCCCGAGACAGCTTCCTCGGGCGTCGCACTGGCCCTGACTACCTGAACTACCTGGGCCACGCGCTCCTCGTCACAACTACCGATCGTTTCGAGCAAAGTTTCTAGAAGCTCCTGCTTCCCTTCGCCCGTCCACGAACTTGACATTGCAAGAAGGGAATGAGAAATGGACTCAGGGCTAATAGGTTGTGGTTGTGAACTCTGGCTCTGGCTGTGTAGTGTTTGTGACTGATAGAGATCCTGATGTGGATCTGTGTTTGCATGAGCAAAGGCACCAGATGATGAGGAATAGTATGAATTCAGGTATGGTTGTGCGGGAGTGAATTGGTGTCCCTGCTCCCAGTGTGGATGATGTTGATGGTATGAATCAGGCTGGTAGACGCCAGATGAACTCGTATGTGGGGCTGGAACTGCCTCTCGAGAGTAGTTCAAAGCATGATCAGCATGCATATATGGTGCATTACTCCAGTTCTCCACTGCATAACGGGGGCTATTACCTGGATACATTTGCGATCCAGGCATGCCATGCATTAGTGAAGCTTGTGGGTGTAAATTTTGCATCGGAATTGAAGCCGGAATTTCGTCCGGCGCAAAAGCGGGTATACCTCCTTGGGAATAAGCCAAAGCCGCATCGTCCATGAAATCTTCCACAAGTTAGCTTTATAAACATTGAAAATAAAAACACAGAAATATAATAAAAAAGAAAAAAAGAAACCAACGAGAAAAAGAAAGAAAAAATCTCCAACTCACTAGCTCCAATAAAAGCTGTACTGCTCGTTGTCGTGAGATCCTCCGCAATCTTCGTCCCAAATGTCGACCCTTGATACACCGATTGCGCATGACTCGCACTCCCCGTACTACTAGGACTATTAACAGACAGCGAGTGCGTCATAGCCGACGAAGAAGGCGAAGAGCCATCCCAACTCCCATCCGTCATGTCCATGCCCGCGCCAGCTCCCGCAACGGCATACCCCACGCCACCCACGCCATCCCCAGCGGCTGACCCTGAGCCAGACCCCTTCCCGGACTGCCCCCGCGCCCGCGACTGTGACTGCGAGTGCGCAGAGCTAGACCCCGACCCAGGCAGGCGCGCATACCCACGCTCACGATCGCGATCGCGATCACGGGTTCCATCGCGCTCGGCGCTCCCTCCACGGCCTTGCGATCGCGGTCGCGGTCGCGGACTCTGCGATAACTGAGTGCGCAACTGTGCGACCTCGCGACGTAATCGGTCAATGATCTCCGCTTGGCCGATGTGCTCGCGGTCTTCGGCGGTGGTTAGATATGTGCATTCTGACTCGATGCCGCGGATGATACAGGCGTGGCAGGGGATTGAGCGATCGCACTAGAAGATAGAATTCAAATCAATATATTGATCTGGTGGGTATGATGTGTTTGTGATTCTGGGATTCATTGGAGTCGATCGGAGAGGTTCGGTGTGGATCGGACCGGGCGATCAAGCTCGGTTTTGCATTCAGGGTCTCTCTCTGGGTTGCATAAAGGGGTGCCGTACCTTGACTTTGCGCTCGCGACATCTCAGGCATGATTGTTGGGGGCGGATCTTGGTTTTGGATTCGGGCATGATTGTTTCATGAGGAATTGAGACTTTGCGAAAAAAAAACCCCAAAACTTTGTTGCTGTGGTTGTTCCCAGTTTCTTTTCCCCCCCACAATAACGCACTGACTACCAACCGTTAAACCTCGATCCACAACTTCAATGCTTTGCTTTGCTTTGGGTGATCGTCTTTTAGCATGGGATGACTCGTCTTTTTTTTTGGTGTCTTGTGCATCTAAGATATACTAGTACTTACCTGGTTATGCAAGATGGGATTTATCATGTTTTCTTTTTCTTGTTGTCTTTTTCAGGAGAGATAATGCCTCCACCGCTATGCATGCGATGTGATGCATCTCACGGGGACCCCGATCTCTCTCTCTCCTCTCCACTCATTGATTGGTAGGAATCTTCGGAGGTTCTGCATGGCCAAGGGGGACTTGTGGCTCAGCTCATGCGCCACTTTACCGGTCCCTCCGTACAAAGAGGAAAGTACTTCAGCTGTTTTGCAGATCGGTCAATATCTGAACCCCCTAGTGCGGCGGCCGATAGAGGCCACCCCTAACTAGGTCAAATTCCAATTTCAACTTTCCGACCGGCAGAAAGTAAATTACGAGTAATTCCAAATTCATATTAGTTTTTGAACTCCATTAAATCCTTGAACTCTAATGCTATATAGTATTACTTCTCTTTCTCGAGGTAAATTATCACAACAACTGGCAAGAAAGAGAGGCAGAGATCCTAGTCATATAAGCCATTTTTAAGTCCCTTCTCAAGACTACTCTCAAGACTACTCTCAAGTCTACTCTCAGGTCTACTCTCAAGTCTACTCTCAAGTCTATTCTCAAGTCTATTCTAAAAGTGACCCGTATTTAGATCAAATCCCTTAAGATAATCCTATATATGATAAATACAATACAGGCGGGAAACAGGGCGGTGAAGTTAGAAACTGAAATTGGGATATGACCTAGGGGTGGCCTCTCTCGGCCGCCATACCCCCTAGCCTGAATTCCGAGATGAGATTCCTGGACCCTAACCCAGACCATATTTGGCTTGATTGACGTCCTTATCAAAAATGACACCGTAACAATCATGAGTACCACGTCCCCCGCTGCAGGCGATGGTGGCTGCAGATCTGCAACGGGACTCCGGTGCGGGGAACAAGAAGCTTCAACGTGGAATTCCCGAGCTTAAATGCATGAATGGTGCCTGGACGGTGCCTGGAGAAGCAGAATCTCAATACTATTGATTGGTACTGTGAAAGAAGTGACCAGCAAGTACTGTGAAACCTACCAAGCTCCTCTTTTTCATTCAATTTCTTTTCTAAACAATTTCTATCCTACAAAGGCCTTACTTAGACCATGAGAAGATCATTGACCGATTGGGTAACGCCAGCAAGTATGGCAGGTCTTCTGATGGTTCCGTTACTGCCAGTCCAGGCTTCAGTCGAAAACCCAGCTCTCCTTCCGGGCCCCCCTATGGGATTCAACAATTGGGCCCGATTCGAGTGCGAGCTTAATGAGACACTTTTCACAGAGACCGCGGACTCCATGCTGAGCCGTGGCTTGCTCGGAGCAGGCTATGATCGTCTCAATCTCGACGATTGCTGGATGCAAACTGCCCGCTCCGACAACGGCTCCCTGCAATGGAATACAACCAAGTTCCCCCATGGAATCCCCTGGTTGGCAAACTATGCCAAAGAACGCGGATTTCATCTGGGGATCTATGAAGATGCCGGCAACGAAACCTGTGGTGGTTACCCAGGCTCATTCAACCATGAGCAGCAAGATGCCGACACCTTTTCCAGCTGGGGCATTGACTACCTCAAGCTGGACGGGTGCAACGTCTACGCTGAAGACGGACAGCCTCTGCTAGACGAATACGAGACCCTTTATAGCAAATGGCATAAGATTCTCAGCGCAATGGCGGACCCATTGATCTTCTCCGAGTCTGCGCCGGCTTACTTCAGCGATAATGAAACCGAGTGGGCCAAAGTCATGGACTGGATCCCGTTCAACGGAGAGTTGGCGCGTCATTCTGATGATGTCCTCGTGTATGTCGGCGAGGGCAGTGCGTGGGAAAGTATCATGACAAACTACGGGTATCAGATCCAGCTTGTACGCTACCAGCAGCCGGGCTACTATAACGATCCGGACTTCTTGATCCCCGATCACCCGGGCCTGACCGAGGACGAGAAGAGATCCCATTTCGCGTTGTGGGCCTCATTCGGAGCTCCGCTCATCATCAGTGCTTATATCCCCGCTCTCCCCGAGGAAGTAATTACGTTCCTCAAGAACAAGGATCTCATCGCTGTGGATCAGGATCCACTGGCACAGCAGGCTGCTTTGGTGACCCGCGACGCTGACTTTGATGTCCTGACCCGCTCGTTGGCAAACGGAGACAGACTTCTTACCGTGCTGAACCGTGGAAGCAACACTGCGAAGATCTCGATCCCGGTAGCGCAGCTTGGTCTGGATTCCAGCTGTCAGTATCGCGCTCGTGATCTGTGGACTGATACTGTGGAAAATATCAAGGGCTCTGTTGAGATCACTCTTGATTCACATGCTACTAGCGTCCATCGCATTACACCGCCACGTGGGTGTACAAAGACCACTCCCACTGGGATGATCTTCAACACTCCTTCCGGGAAATGTTTGACCGCTTCATCAAGCACGGTCGCGTTCAAGACCTGTGATGCAATCGATTCCCAGGTCTGGTCTGTCTCGGGATCCGGTAGTCGGCTTACTCTGAGCCCGTTGTCAGATACCTCCAAGTGTCTGGCGGCCAAGGACGGATCCGTCTCACTTGTAGCCTGTTCATCTGGCTCTGGAACTAACTGGTCTCATTATCTTACGGGTCACCTTAAGAACTCTGAGGGGGGCTGCCTAACTGAGTCTTCCAGTGTCAGTCTGGAAACTTGTGATCAGGATGTGGCTGGGCAGATTATGGGGCTGCCGAGTGGTATTCAGCTTGCTGCTGGGCTCTTTTGAAGGGATTGATTGAACCAGCATCTTGGGCTAGATTTTTAAGTCACAAAGAAGCACATGAGTTGAAAGAACTGCACTGTCTATTAGAATATGGAAAGCGAGAAGAAATTAGTTGTCTAACGCCTTGCAACACTCCAGCCTATCAGTCCTATATTACATACTAACTACTAATAGATCCTAAAGTAATGGAAGTTGAGAACATACCATACTCATATGCGCTATTCAGAGAACATAATGTTTAGACAAGAATAAAAGAATATACACAAACCAATGTAAACCATCGACAAGAATTAATCAACCACTCAAGTGCTTGAAACCTCTACCCCTGCAGCGAATATCCAATCCCCTCCCCAGTCCCCATAGCCACCAGATTAGCCCTCATCCTCTCAGGCCTCTCCCCAATCCCAAAAGCAGCATCATCCCTACGCACCCACGCCCCAACCCCATGCTGCAATACAGCCGTAGCCCGTACCTTCTTCTTCTCATCATCACCCTCGCCGGCCTTAACCCCCAAACTCCCATGCAACGTCAAACGCGTCTCTTCCCCTCCTTCCGCCTTGCCCTTATAAACCCCGCGATGCAAAATATTACTATCATAAAACACCGCATCACCAGGCTGCAGCTCCACAACCAACTGATCGGGCAAAAAGGGCTCATACGGCTCCGCGTTGCGCTCGATCTCCGTCCGCGCCCGCCGATGCGACCCCGGCACCACAATCAGCGACGCATCGGGACACAGCGCGAGATTGTATTGCGCATGCGACTGTCTTCCGCCGGGCGACTTTGCCGCTAGCTGAGCGAGCTCCTCCTCGGCTGTGGCGGTCTCGGGGATATCGTCTCTGTGCCAGCGGAGCTCGAAGTCCTTTGTTTCTGGCGCGACGAGGAGGTTGAATAGTTCCATGACGAGAGATTCTTCGGAGCTGGAATTGGTGCTGTTGGAGACGCCGACGAGTTCTTCAACGACTTGCAGGATTGGCGCGGAGAAGTAGCACTGTGCGAAGGATTGGCGGTTCTCCATGTCAGGGTGTAGCAGGTGCTGGACGCCCCAGATGCCGCCCTCGGAGGCTGGGGGCGGGGTTGAGGGCCATGGGGGGAATTGTTTGGGGACGGTGCGGAAATGCGGCCAGCCGCCTGTGCGGGTTTTGGTTGTTGCTTTGGTGGCGATGGTGCGGTAGTGGGTTATTTCGGTTGGGGTGAGGAGATTGCGGATTACGACGAAGCCGTCGCGTTGTAGGGCGTCGAGGTGGGGTGTTGAGGACATTTTGGGGAGAATGAAGCTTGGAGGTTCTTTCCAGGGGAGCTCCAGGTTCCAAGTTCCAAGTGTTTTGTTTTTATACAAACGCGCTGTTCAATGTGTTCAATGTGGGGGTTATCGGGTTATCAGAATGGCGGGGTATGATGGTTACAGTAACATTCAACTCTGATTCTTATTCCCACTTTTTATTTGATGCTACCGTGGATCCATTGCAACTCTCCACGATTACTAGTATGATTGTTATGTGTACATTATTCTTTACATCGGAGAATAGGCAAATTCCGAGTGGGTCTTGACTCTTGAGATCTACAGTGACTCTCTTATATCAGCATGTTGCATCTATGAATATGCATTTATTTTGCTTATGATCAACTTGATCTTGATTGTACTACATTGTATTTATGTTGACTTGTCTGTATAACCTTGGAATTCCCCGCACATTCAACACTATGGAACCGTGGATCAAGAGACACTTTTTCAGGTACAGAACAAATCAAGGTCAAATTCAGCTTCATATGTGTTAAAAATTCCATAGTCGATCCAAACATTTTGTATTAATTTATATACTGATTCTTACTTAGTAACTATTTGATCGTTAACATCTGAATACAAAATGGCCAAGTATACCTCAGGTATCGATTACACCGCGATTGGGCCACGACGGACGTCATGGCGATCTACGCCAAGCTCCAGCGTAAGACATACGCTTTGTGCCATTCCCTTTTCTCATTGAGCTCAACATATCTCTAGGGACGTCAAAACTGCAAACAAATTCCCATACTCCAGCCTCTCATCGACCACCCCCCATCATGCCCCTCCTTCATATGGGCATACCCGCCCTGCTCGTGTGCCTGCTGGTGCTGCTCCCCCAGGTCCACGCTTTCGGTGCTGGCAGTATGTACTTGGTTAGGTTCTCCTCTGTCTCGAAATTACCTAACATAATCATCTTCTCCAGACATCGCTTCGATTTCCGCCGTCGAGGGAAAAAATTGGCGCCATGGAGACATCGAGGATGTACTCAAAACGATCGCATGTATCGCGGGGCACAAATGGACCTCTACCATGATCAAGCGCGTGTATTTTGGAAACTGGTTACGCGATTAGTAAGTTTTTGTGGGATGGAGTTGTTAAACCCAAAAAAACCCCCACTGACGGTGGCGCAGTTCGCAGGCCATGGATGTTGGGACCCTGAAAAATCTCCAGGCCGAAACAATCCGTATCCTGGTGTGGGTCCTTTCGTTTTTGAGCTTCGGCTACGCGACAGGTGAATTTGAGGTCACGTCGGAACGTCTGGGTGTTTACCGCCCGGAGGAACATATTGAGTAAGTGGATACGTAGTACATATATTGAAATTGCTTTCTTTTTCCCAGTGCTTACTTTCTCCAGTAATCCAAAGGATTATGCCGATAATGAAGATGCACGTCAATATGATGAGCGCCTGCGAGGGCCAGTACGTCAGGTGGAACTGGATATCGATATGGACACTGGCATGAAAAACTATATCGCAAATGAGCGAGGCGACTGGGCAACCAGTGCCGCCTATGTCAAGTACAGCTTGCGTCGCAGCATCCACTATGGTCGCACGTACACCCATGGCGGAGAGCGCAAGAACAATGAGGACGACTTATGTGAGGCGTTGCGGTGTCTTGGACAGAGTCTTCACACCCTTGAAGATTTTGCGGCGCACACAAACTACTGTGAGCTAGCTCTGCGAGAGATGGGCTTCCACAATGTCTTTACACACACTGGAACGGCGACACAGGTCAATGTCCGCGGGCATCAGATCTTCCCGTTGGTGACTGGTACATTTGGTATGGTGGACTTCTTCCACTCCGTTTTGGGCGAGGCGACTGATCATTTCACCCAATCGGAGGTCAACGAGATGGACGTTGCCCTTGGCGATGCGGAGAACAGTGCCCATTCTAATAATTCACTCAATGCCCTTACCGGATTGTTGGGCAAGGTTCCTGGAACCAGAGATCTGGTCCACGAAGCCGAGCATTTGAGACAGCTTTCAGATGCGCAGGAGGTGACCAACCGCTCCCGAGGCTCACACATGGGCTATGCTCAAACGGGCGATTTTCGCGGGGTGGATGAGCAATCTCGCGCAAGCGGCGCATCGCCGGGACCTGGTCTCCACGGTATGCCTGATTTCAATGCCCAGGAAACAGTGAAAAAGATTTATCCCATCCTCGCTTTCCGAGACAAGGTGGTACGGAAGTTGAACTCGATCATTGAAAAGGTCCCAGGCCTGGAAGCGATCATCGAAAAGATATCTGAAACATTGACCGTGTTCATAATGTCTTTGCTCGCACCATTCGTGCGACCTCTCATCAACGCCGCCTCCAAATCTCTGCAGACGGGTTCCTCAGGTGTTGTCGAAGCATCTGGCAAACACCAATTTGAGCCATGGACCGATCCCCACTGCACTGATCCCACTCACTCTCTTCTTTCCAAGGATCACTTTGCCAACATCCTGAACGAGCCGGCTGGTCAGGTCGCCTCCGCCATTGTGAAGTACGTTGGGCCTCGCGTCCTCTATGCCTGGCAGCATATCAACGTTGCAGAAGATGAAGTTGTGGAAGATTGCATGCGTATCTTCCACCACCCGGTATTCCGTGATATGAATAACGAAGCTCACCGCACAATGTTCGAGGCCGTGCAGACCTGGGTTCATTCTCTTCCCGATCGGGGTGCCAACCTGAATGACGTTCTCAGCTCCGAGGGGGTCAGAGCAGGCCGTAACACCGGAGGGGTTCCGCACACTCACGGCGGCGGTGGTGGTGGATTCGCTGCGCTTGGCTCTCATGGTCATGGTCACGGTCAAGCACAAAGTCATTCTTCCGGTGGATTTGGTGGAATATCGTCGTTTTTCTCTCAGCAGCATTCCTCGCAACAGCATTCGAGTTCGCAGCAGTCCCATGGTTCATCGGGTTTGCCTTGGGACAAGCTCTCTCATTTGCCTATCCCTGGTATGTCCAATTTGAATAAGCTGGAGAGCACCATTTCCAATTTTCTTCCTGGCGGTCTCTCGCATGGCTCGAGGGGCTTGGATGAGAATGAGGCTGAAAATGGGGCTGCCTCGCATCAAGGACAGCAGCAGTATGGCCAGAGCTCTAACGGTCAGTCAGAATACCATGGCAGGTATCAATAGTCAGCTCTAGGCTTGGTTCGCCGTTTCACCTTGAAAGGTTTTTGTATAGCATACTCCCCACTTAGACCGATTTACCCATGGTCATGAGTTCGATGATTCTATCACGATGACCATAGCTATGCAGATGATAGAGTTTATTAAGATTGGTTTGGCATTCGAATATCTATGAACATTTAAAAAGGCTTGGAAGGTCAATTAGTAGTATTCTAAGCTTTTTGTCTCCAAGGTTCCAAGGCTGTTTAAACATTGAACGCAACAATATCGGCACTACCACCTTTTTGGGTCACCGAGGCATACACAGATAATTGGTATCGCTCATCAACGCTCAGGTCATATTTGGTTTTTACACCTCTAGGGCCCTCCCTGATGAAGCCCCGAGCTTCAAGGTCGAACCCAGATTCGAAGAACTGGCAAACAATCCACGGCATGTACCAACAACTGAAAAGGCAGATGCGTGAACGGACGGCAAGAAGGAAGAAGTTCGACGCCGAGCCCGGATCGAACCATTGCCAGAACCATCGAGAATCCCCGCATAGGATCCATGGCTGCCCGGTGGAAGATATCCTACGGAATACTTAAAAGAGGACTTTGCTATTCGGACCTCAACATACTCCTTACCCGAAATTTAAGTGAAGAAATCAGATTCCCCCTTACTAGTACTCAGCATTAGTCAGATATTGCTGGTTTCTATTATTATTGGCACCTTTCTACGGCCATATATAGTGAGCTTAATGAGAGATTACCGCCCATTGACCCCTTACTACTTGTTGAGGATCCATAACATTTGAACATGCGCTTGGGAAAGGCAGACCTAAATGAGGATTGAATCAAGGCAATTCAAAGTACCCAGTTATCTGACAATATTCTCCATGCAACGACTGCATGTGTTAGTTATTTTTTGGCCAACTCAAATCCGTTATGTTGTCGAGTCAAATCCTCTCCGTAGACCGCTTATATCTCATAATTGCAAGAATTATAGGAAATGCCGAATAAGAGAGACCTGTAAATTGAAAAAAAGTACCTCCGTCAGCAAATTGCTGGTGAGTTCTTCCACTCATCCTGACGATGTAAAGGGGCAAGTGAGTAAGGGGGCGTTGACCCTCACTAAAAAATAAGAACAAACGCGTGCGGGTCAAGAGGCCCCGGACCTGAAGGGCAAGCAACCTGGACTTTACCGTCCAGCTGAAGCGGCAGCGCCAACGATCCTGTGGAGGATTTTGGGGAAATCGCTAGAGTTCTCACCTGAAGATTGCAAAGAGAAAAGTACACATGTCGGGCACCATGCGAGGAATACCGGGATCAGTAAGATGGAAGGAAGGGAAGTCGAAGGGGGAGGAGGGATGGGAAGAAGAAGAAGGGAAAAAAAAGGGAAAAAAAAACTGAATAAAAAGCAGGACTAGAAGGGTGAGAATTTATTGTGGGGGGGAGAAAGAAGAGGAAGAAAGGAAGGGAAGAGCAATCAATTTATACCTGAGATCTGGAAAGAGCGCGGTGTTCCTAATTGGGGAACATAGTAGTACTAGGCACTATACTAGTAGCTGGTATTGTGATAATACCTGGGCACGCGCCTCTAAATAGCCTTAGGCCTCGTAAAAGAAGAACAAATTCAAATATTGGTGCTAATTTTGAATTCAATGTAATTGTTTCTATTGTCCTCTTTCTCTATATTCAATGTTCAATCCATGGAGATTCAAATGTCAATTCAATTCGATTCATTACTATAATAAGGCCATACATATATAACACCGACTGAACTTAGACTCATTACACATTTGATTCTTACTTTGATATGTTCTATTCATCTTGATCCTCTTTTACTACTCCGCAGTCTACGTGCGTACCTTCGCAATTCACCTACTACGTACTCTGCTCTGAATTCAACCTTTACATCCGCTTCATTACCGTCTCATATTCAGCCCACTCGTCTCTCCTCTTCAACAAGTGAGTATTTGTCTCTTGTTAAAACAGTGTTTTCCTTGTCTGTTGTTCTTGCATCTCTGATCGTTTACTTCTTTATCAGCCTCTGAGACGTTTTGCTTCGTGGATGAAGTGATTTTTCATCCAGACGAACTTCAACACCAATCCCATACATCCCTCTTCCTTCAACCGCCAAACCAAAAGTTGGATCAACAGCTTATCGTCATAAGATCAAAGCTTCATAACAAAGATCAACAAAGACGCCAGCTCGTTCAGCCTCGTCCAAAAGCTTCATCTAGCATCTACAAAGAGCACCCTTCTGAAGTAAGCGGCGCTTCAGACCTGTGAAACACCCATTGAATTGAACAATCGCCACAATGGCCCATGACCGCCGGGAAACTGAACGCTACTATCTCCGTAGCCGAGGAGAAGAGGTACTTGAATGGATCACCGACCCCTGCGCACCCTACTGTCCCGTGTCCCTCAGCACAGTGACCCTCGCCGATGTCGCGGATCAGGCCACTCACTTCCGGATGGTCTCGAACCTCGAGGCAGCATCAGCTGAGGCGGGTCTTGTCGTGCCACGGCGACTCACAGAGGAAGCAGACAGACTTCCCCACGTGTACTACCGGATGCGATTTGGAATAGACTCATGGAGTGGATCGAGCACGCCTGGCATCTTGATCATTGAGAACATGTGTCGAACCCAAGCTGATACCCCCCGTCCCTCCGAGATTGCTCTAGCCATCTACGCTGATGATTCGGGCCCACTGCGTGGGCTGAGATGCATTTATGTCACTGACATAATCAATCGGGAGACCCGGGAGTACATCTTCAGGATCCTGCATCGCAATCGGTCCACTCATCCGCCCCAAATCTGGACTCGAAACATGGAAGAGTTTGCAGAGATCATGGGGACTCGGATCGGACGTACGGTGGCATACATTTTGCTGGGGGGCTTTGTGCGTTCCACGTGCCGTATTAGGCGCATCGTGAGCTGGAGGACTGGCTCGGAGTCGGAAATAAACGCTCATGTGCACCTTCGTTTCGACATTGATCACATCCGTATCTTCCATCAATAGGAGCTTCAGGGTTCCTGTCACTCTTGATATGTGTCACGGTGTTCAGGTTTTTCCGAGGTCTGTACCTACGCCTGGGGTAGTGGGGATAGCCAGGGGGTGTGTCATGTTAGAAGACTGATTGAACTTGGATCTTCTATCTGATTAAACGTCTTCTGACGACCCAGAGTTTGTCGGCTTCATACCCACTCTCGTTATGTCAACATTGAATATTCGAGATTGTTGAAATTTTGCTGTTAACCGGATTCCGACTGAGTGTCAACGGCACTCAAGCGAAGGGAAAGTCATATGTATGATTAGTGTGCGCATTTATCTCAAGGAATCAATGGATCATGGCATGTGCATGCATGTACATATGTACGCATGCACACTTCACATGTTGCACATGTGTGGGCGGGATGTATATTTCGCGGAGTACATACATATTGATAACTAGGGCCCTGCAACTTCCAAACATTATCCAGGCCGGTTGATATGACACATGCAGCTCGATCAAAATTTAAACGGATGAGGTGCATAATGTTTTACGTATCAAGTAATCCAAGATTTGAATCAATTGATTGATAGATTCTCAACACATGCAGGTGTGCTAAACCAGGCTTATTAGGTACTAGTAGTAGGTGGTAGGTATTGGACCAACATTTGATTTCAAGACTTGTTTTGCGTTATGTAACCAAAATTGGCCTCACTTTTCATAAGCCGGGCTAGCTCAATCGGTAGAGCGTAAGACTCTTAATCTTAAGGTTGCGGGTTCGACCCCCGCGTTCGGTTCTTCTTTTTGTTTTTTTCTTTGGTTCTTTTCTGATTTTGGAAAGATCAAGATTTTGATTGACATTCAGAAAACTTCGTCTTCAAAAAATTAGCAAAAATGACTTTTGAAAAATATATGGATTTTTTGGGGGGAAGAGATTGCGATGAAAAAGTCCCCTACGCATCAGTGCTGCTACGTTTCTTCTTACGTTGGCTGCACATCCAGGAACCATCGAGCACCCCGCACCAGGTTTCCCGCTCAAGGCTAGAATGAGGGGGGGCATTTACAATCATTGATTGGGTAAAACGAAATGGGCTACACACACTATATACGTAGTGCCTCCGAGCCACGCAGGGTTCTTGCATACGATTGCGATGGCGTGATTCCTTGATTGGCTCTCAATGGCTGTTAACTAGTAGCTCCACAGCCTCCCTTTGAACCAAATGGCTGCCCCAAGTGCCGCACATGCGCCTAAGAATTTGAACGTGTCTGGTGTGAGAAGAGGCCACCCGGCTTCATCGGCAGGGTCGGGCAGACCAGTTCGGAAGCCCTGTTCCTGACAAGAGAGCTGCAGTAGTGTGGCAGTTTGGGGCCCGTAGCTCATGCGAATCACATCGAATAGATTGACCCTGGTTTTCCCACGTTCCAAACATAGAACAGGGCCTGGATCGTTCATATAGAGGTCCGAGCGGCCATAGCCGGCAGCCAAGATCTTCTGTAGCGGAAATATGCCGATCATCGTGGTACTTTCTGAGTAGCGCTTGATGAATTTGGTGGCGCGGTTGAAGATCCGACATTCAGCCGTGTCATCCAGGAAGATGATGAGCTTTTCACTGGGATCGTCTTTGTTTGCGTGCTTCTGCCGTGACGATTCTGTTTCCAAGGCATATTTCACGGCTTCAAACACATACATCAGTTTTCCAAGGTCTGTACCATCTAAAGGCTGCTCGCCTGACTCGAGATGCGTGAGGAACTCGGTCCATTGGGCCGAATGGGACCCTTGTCTTTGTACCACATGCAGGAGTTCCTCTAGAGAGGGAACAATTCCAGATAAAAGTCTCTCCTGGAGTAGTTCCACTGTCGCTTCCGTCGAGGAAGCAAAGTTCACCTTAATATCACCAATTCCTCGATCCAGTAGCATTTTATAAATGACAGAGGCCATAATTTTTTGGAGTTGAGCACGCCGCCTTTGGATCGCAGTCATCCAGTCTTGAACATATTCTATCGTAACCAAATCTTTTTTGAATAGCTCCCAAACAGTCCAGTAGTATTGGAAATCGGGGACATCGAGGCTGATGCTGATTGTAGTGTGTGGGGTACTGCAGCCTCCGAAGAGAGCGGCCGCATCCGCAATGCCCGAAGAAAGTCGGGCGATGGTCTCCAGCTCATACAGAGTTGGTTCCTCATTTTCGGGGACCTTGGGGATGACGCAGGCGTCTCCCTGGCCATGACCCGGCGACATAGCCAAGGCGGCCTTGGAGCCCAAACACATTCCGGAGTTAATGTGAATGCTTTTGAATACATCGGGAGAAGGTGCTTTCAAAAGCTTAGGCTTAATTGTAGAGAGCCGTGTGTTGAAGTATTGGGTTGATTTAAGGCCATTGTTAAATTGGAGTTGAACCTCATTGAAGACTTCTGACATGTTGTAGCTGTGATTGTCGTCTGCCATCTGTGGACTACAGACGAAAGCAGATTCACCGATAGTGACGGCCGGACTACCTTCTCTTGGACATTTTTGAAAAAGGCGCTCCAGGCTTTCAATCGACGTAGTACCTTTCCGCATGTGCTTCTTGAGGTGTGTATCTTCGATATCATTGATCGAATTGAGTAGCCTGTAGCTCATAGCTCCGGGGAGGACTTGAGGATGTTTGATGCGATCACTCAGAGAGGATTTGGCAACGATTGCAGGAGCGACGTCATCACAATGAACGATGGAGAGAGCTGTCTCAGAGGATTCGGAGGTAGGGAGGGGCTCTCTAGGGAAGTCAAGAGGTAGCTTGAGACTTGGCTTGCCATTCTCTGCTCGAAAAGCAGCAGTCAAGATTTGAAACATGGTCAATTCAAGATGTGAAGAGGATGTGAACCATGGAATTGCGCCATTTGCGTGAGAGGTCCACGATGTCTCTTATATACAGAGGAATTTCAGGTTGTTCAGCTGATTTACTCCGCAAACCTTGGAAGGAGTACCTCAGGAATACAGACCCTGGTCACGAAACGCATGCCTGGTCCGGGTTATAATACAGCGTTACGGTAACTGGCTTTCCATGTGTCGTCTTTCCCTTCCATAATTGGCTCATTATATATGAGAAACGTATTCAAACAATCATAGGGTGGGTAAAATAGCCCGGACTAATGCACCTGAAATGTGATCACTGGAAGTCCAGATTTCGTGCGGGCTAGACCAACTGTACATGTACGGGTAACGGAGGTATGGTGGCATTGATGCCGCAGATTCCTTAGAATCCTTACTAATCTCACATTTTTCTTCCTTGCGGAAACAACTCAAAAGACTCCAATAAAAAAAAGAATAGAAATGAGTCCAAGCGGGAGTCGAAGAAGCCCCTGTCCCCTGCTCTCTCTGGTGTTCTTAAGCTTAGAACGCTGGTGGTGTACTTTTGTATGCATGTGTTATTTTGGTGCTTTTGTGGCTGCCGAGATGCATGCTTATGCATGACGAGATTTTCATCAATTGGCGCTCAGCTGGTACGTAATTGCCTTAGCAAATTTGCTGATTATATTTGAAATAACTTCAGATCTTCTTTTACGCAATTGCATTTGTCTTCTGAGAGCAAGGCCTACGTCAATTGATCTTTCTAATATGCATCTCTTTCCCCTACCTTGACATTTAGCCACGAATCATGGCAATCGTGTCATTACTCTCTTCCTAGCCTCGTTTTGATCTTCTTGTCTCCAATCGTTCGGTTCTTCTGTTTAAATGTCGCTCGTTGATATTCATTGACCCGCTCTTGCCAACTATGTGATCTGGGCCATCTGGCTGACCTGGGCAAAAAAAAAAAAAAAAACCTCATGTAAATGCAGCCTGCAGCCTGACACCCCCGCTGTTTCAAGTTTTCAAGAGTGATTATCCGTGTTTCTTGGATTCGTAAGTCATACTAATGAAGGCCCACTGGATAAAAGAACTCACTCAAGCTAAATTCTTTCTTTACACAGCATTCCATGCTCCACCAAAGCTAGATGTGGGGTAGCGGGTAATAGCCGTAGGTTGTTGATCATTTGAGACTCGATACATTCCAACACTACACAGGGGTTTTGGAAGTAAAGAGCTTAGACTTTAGAAGAAGAATGAATATAAGGAGTCTGTTATATCAACTTGTATTGTTCTTGACTTTTGAATGCTATAGAATAAGGTTGAATTAATGGTCATTTAGGCCAATAGTAAATTCCATTTTTTAAAGAAAACATTTGAACTCGGGCCTACTTTATTGAACCCATGTCAGACACAATCAATCAATCTAGAGATCTGATCTCATCCAAGTCAGCCCAACTCCAATGGCGATCGTCAAAGCTCTTCACCCTATTTGTGGTTGATTTCGCCATATTTACAGTATGTTTCTTTCCCCATCTTACATGTACGACCCGAGAACCCGAGCTAACGCACTTGGAATTTCTAGGATTCATTTCTATATGGACTGGTTCGTGAAGAAATCCCATACTCCCAAAAGCCCCCCCCCCCCACTCACTCTCCCTAGATCGTTCCCTTGGCCCCATCCGCTCTACACGGAAGAGCCGGACTATCCAAAGACGAGTGTATGTGCAAGAGAATACATCCTATTCGCCAAAAGTCGCCGGTAATATTGACTCTTATCAAAAAGCACAACAATGGACCGCTATCCTCCTCGCTCTATATGGGTCTGCTCTGGTCATTCTCTCCCGTCAGCCAATCAATCCTTCCCCCCTCCCCCGTGCACATCATGGTCCCTGCTGACCGATTTTAGCAACAATCGGCTACTTTTCAGACAAACTACAGGCCCGCCGATCGCTCTTCCTATCAGGCCTAGCTTTTCTTGCTACCGCAACTGCGCTCTTATGCATCGGCTCGCACATCGCTCTATGGATCGTTGGAAGAATTCTCCAAGGCGCGTCCGGCGCTATCGTCTGGACTGCCGGAATGTCACTTCTGGTGCATACTTTCGAGGCCGATGAGCTAGGCCGCGTCATGGGGAGTACCTCCATGGCTATGGTTATTGGATGTATGGTTGGTCCCATCCTGGGTGGTGTGTTATACCAGTATGGTTCTTACTATGCGCCGTACGCCTTTTCTTTCGGGCTTATAACGCTGGATTTTGGGTTCCGGTTAATCATTGCAGATGAAAAGAGGGCATTGGGTGATGCGGCGATAGAAGGTGTGCCGGTGGCACGGGTTGGTAATACTAAACTGGGACAGTCGAGGGAAGAAGAAGAAGACGGCAAACCCACGGAGGAAATCAAGCACGTTCATTCGCTACAACAGAGATACGATACTTGTGCGACATCTACAGCTGAAGAAACGTATATGTCGTCGGACATTACTTTGTTACCAGCAAAACGGGGTCGAATGGTCACTTTGCTTCGAGATCCCAAGATGATTGGTCTCTTGTGGCTATACCTGGTTACTTCCCTTATTGTCACTGCCTTTGACAGTTTCCTGCCAGTATTCGTACAAGATACATTCGGCTGGGAGCAGGCAGCCCAAGGACTCATTTTTGTTACTCTCATTATTCCCAATCTCTTTGACTCGGTATCAGGGTATGTTATTGACAAATGGCCCCAATCGAAGCGTTATGTCACTGCATGTGGGCTTGTCACCAGTGTTCCGCTCTTTGTGTGTCTGCGATTCGTCGACCATAATACTATACAGGATAAAGTATTGCTCTGTGCTTTGCTGGCGCTCATTGCTTTATGTGTGGGTATAACTCAGTCGCCCATCATGGTCCAAGTTTCATGCCTGGTTCGAGATATTGAGGTACGGAGACCTGGGGTTTTTGGCAAAGGCGGCGCCGATGCAATGGCATATGGTCTTTTGAACAGCAGTTTTGCCTTGGGATCGGTGATCGCGCCGTTTTTGGGTGGATTTCTTCGTGCCAAAGCTGGTTGGGCCACTATGTGCTGGGTTCTGGCGTTACCTGCAGGTGCGTCAGGGCTTCTGGCTTTATTCTTGTTTGGTGAGTGAAACATTTGTGATTAGTAGAAGTGATAGACTCCCAATGTTGAGATAAATTGCTACTAATTAGTGAATTCAAATGAAAACTAGACAAATAGAAAAAAGACTAGGAGATGAATATACCTTCTAGTAGGTACTACTAGATACCCCAAGTCAAGTACCGTCAGTGCTGTATACTATATGCTATTATAAGAAGAATAAAACCAACTCAGATCCGTCCAAGCCCAATCGTCACTCATGAACCTAACAGTGTATTAAAAAAGACACACAAATTACCGAGACTCCCTTTCCAGGAAACACTGGAGAAAATGCAACGCTCATAAAAACATCCACCACGCAGAAAGAAACCTCAAAGTTTGGTTCCTTCACGCCCAGTATCACTTGGTCGCCTAGGTCGCAGCGGGCCTAGAGAAGGACCAGCAACGGTGCCAGGTCCAGGTGCAGACGCCAGCTGAGATCGAGCTTCGTTTCCAGGGCCAGCATTCGGACGTGCGCCGCCTGCCCTTGCATTGTTGTGGAGCCGAGGATTCATAAGCCATTGAACTTGCATGCGGACACTATTCACAGCGGCATTCGTATGGGCCATATCTTCTTTGATTCGCATGCACTCGTTCATGATTGTCATGCTGGCCCGGCCATCAAGGTCTGTAAGAGCATGGGACATCTGAGCGACTTCCTCGCGCAGAGACTCGTGAAGAGAAAGAAGGTACGTGGTAGCGTTGGATGAAAAGACATTTGAGGACCGGTCGGCTGATTCATCCAAATCTTCGGTGGCGGGCCTCGGGCTATTGCGATCACCAATGCGTGACGACTCCATCAAGCTGGTTCGAATGTTGGCCATACCGTCCTCGAAGATCTCGTTCCTTTGTTGGAGGTGTCGCATCGTCAATTCAAGAGAATCTAATCGAGTATTTTGTGCCTCGAAGTATGGGCCTATCGCGACAAGCGCACATTGTTGCTCATGCGTGGCAATCTCGGCTCGCCGAATTTTGGCCGGGCATCCATATTTCGATGCAGCGCAAGGATTGACGACTTCTGGGCACGTCTCAATATGATTTTTCAGCGTACGCTGTAAGACAGTAGTCCCACAGTCGAGACAGTATGTCTCCAGGCTGGGGCATAGTTCTTTGTCATGTTCCTAAGATAAGCAAGGTTAGTTTTAGCGTGCTTGAAAACCTTCATCAAATCTTTTTGAATAAACTAACCTCGTAGTCTTGCTCCATAACATCTTCTTCGCATCGGGAGCACCGGAAGTAAGTATGCCTGCATCCATTTTCCGCCTGTAGATCCCTTTTCCGCGTCTTCTTATCGCATGTATCATCCGGGCATGGTACCAGCCGATAACCACAGTATTTATCCACATGCGACTGAACATGGCCTCTCGGAACGAGCTCCTGACAGCCTTCCGTAGCCAGCGGACACCGTACTTGGATTTCATCGCACATGTTGATCAACAGGCGGGGCACACTCGTCGAGACGTGGCTGGTGGGGTTTCGGCAGGAAGGACATGGAAAGTCTTCTGATTCGGCCGAATCGAAGGTGTTGATGGCCGATCGCAGACATTTCTCACAGAATACGTGATCACATTGCAGGCGCACCGGTTGAACAAAGGGACAGTGGCAGATCGCGCACATCAGGTGTGAGTCGTAGCTGGTAACGAGTTCCAGGGCGCGCAGGTCGACTTGGTCTTCGGTTTCGTAGTCAGCCTCGAGGGCCAGGAATTCCTTGATTTCCATCATGATTTGGTCTTTTGCCTGGGGAGGCTCCAAGACTAAGTTGGTGCTTGTTCTGCAGGGGAGTGCGGAGGCGGGTCTGAGTGCAGGGGGATTGATGACAAGTCCGGATCTAGATACCGAGGTCGAACAAAGAACTCAAGGGATCCATGAAAGCCCGGCTCGTAAGTGAAGTAACCGGTTTTAATGTAAGTATGCAAGCCAGACACACTGTGACTGAGAAACAACACCCTTTCTGAAATCAGGAAAAGAAAGAAGAATGCGCAAGGTGGGATCGGAATTATTGCGGGGAGAGCAGCAGGGGCAAAAAGGCGGAAAGCGGCTGAGCGCAGACCCGTGAACTCGGCATTGGTTGTTGCCTTTACAACGTTCCCCAACCCATAACATCATTCCATCCCATCCCAATACGATTTCTCCCGATACTGATCGGCTGGTTCTCAACGGTCTCCACAACTGACCCTCTCTATCCCCATCAGCTCAGCTCCCGGAGCGGAACCATCCCAACCCTCCCGCCTAGACTCCTTATTCACAATGACGAACCCATCTCAGCTCTTTCTCCTCGTGGACCACATCAAACTCTCTCTTCTAGAGCGACAACGCGCTATCTCTCTAGATCTTGAACCCAACGCCCAAGATGGCGAGATCTCTCGCTCCCTCGAGTCCCTTCAAGAAGGCATCCAAGCCGTCCAGGCCGAACAGGCCCGACTAGCGGACTCGCATGACAGCACCGGAGCCGCCGCACTCAAGGACCAACTGGTCCCCCTTCACGAACAATATCGCGATCTCGCATCACAATTCTACGGCGAATCGGCGCAGGCGTCGAACTCCGCAACTCCTGATCTTAAACAACCCGTCCCTCAACATCCGCCCTCCAAATCCGTGCGGTTCATGGATAATTCTGCCGCGGCAGCTGCGGTTCAGGAAGAGATCGATGTGGAGAATGATCGCAATCGCGAGAATCTCTTCCGACCATATCGTGATCAGCCCTCACCGCCAGGCCCCGATCAGTCGAATATGGACAATGAACAAATCTACTTGCATCATGATCGAGTCATGCGTGATCAGGACGATCAGCTTGATCGCCTGGGAGAGTCGATCGGAAGACAGCACCAACTGAGTATCCAGATAGGTGATGAGCTTGATGGTCATGTCGCACTGTTGGATGGGATGGATGGCGATGTCGAACGCCATCAGGGCCGATTGAATACTGCGCGCCGGCGGCTGGACCGGTTCCGGCGCAAGGCGGGTGAGAATTGGAGCATGATGACTATTATCGGATTGATCATTATCCTTGTTATCTTGATTGTCATATTGAAATAGGCATCAGCTCCTTTGCTCTTTTTGATTTTCTTCTTTCTGATTCAAGCGGGCGTTCTCCAAGGATTTGACGATAGGATCGGACCACTCCGGCGTCTATGATTTTTTACAACCGTTGAACCGAGTCATGTTCTAGATTCTTTATTTTGCTTTTGATCCTACATCTACACTACTAGCAAGCGTATGCACCCTTGGTTCTCTTTGAAAGAAGCCATCCGTAAGCCGAATGCAGTTCCAATTTTCTCATCAATGCTCCTAGACGCCACTATCAAAATTCAAACAGATTCGAATCTCTTTTCTCCCGATTAAGGAGACTTTCCACCCGCTTTGTTCTTCCTTACTTGTTCCTCCATTTTTTGGAAGTCCTTGCTCTCAGTGTCCAGATCACCTCGATCAGCTTTGACCTGTAGACAGAACGTCAGTACTGATGATCATGGATTGCATAGAACAGAGGGATGATCACGTACGTGAGCTTCACTGTTACTCGCCAGGTTTTCTGCCCACTTTCCAGTGCCCTCCTTGGCTCTCTTCAGATGAGCATGCTTTTCAGATTCGTAGTGCTGGGCGAGCTCGTCACGGTCTGGGATACTAGTTAGCTTACTCAGTCTGGACGAAGAGAAAAGGATGCCTGTGCTGACTCTTATCGTTCTCTTTCAAACCCCTTCGCACAGCTGTTGTGTGCAGTGCTGAGGTTGCGGGGATAGCATAAGTGGATTGGACGAGCCGACTGGAGCTCATGCGGATCGAAGGAAGGAAAGACATTCTGGTAGGATTTATCGAGGGTAGGTTGTTGGAGTAGTTGTATGTGGTGTTATGCGTATGATGGGTTCTGAAGAAGAGCTGTTGAAGATGGTGCAAGTGGTGATGTGAAAGAAGAAAGACTAAATGTAGGAGAGAAGAAGCTACACGTCATTCATTATACGAGACAGAATAGCAATGATTTGCTTCGCCAATTCCTTTCTCTTGATTCGATCCTTGGGTAACCAAGCTTAGAACATACCGGCTATGACGTCAGTGAGACTTCAACAAGGATGATTCGGTGGAGAAGGCCGGGAAATGGCCATTTCAGTGTTCTATATAAATCTGATAGTCTCATACATATGTGCATACAGCTCTGTAGACCAGTACTTATGCTATGAATGCTGTAGTAAGTGCTTCGTCTATCCGGGTGAATTTTCCATCGCAGGAGATCGGCGCTGTCAACATGCCCATGTACAAAAACTATGTAATACATACATTCAAGTTGGCATAGTACGGCGGTCGACGGGGTATAATAAGCCACATCAGTTCTCTACCGCTTTGAAAATTTAGCTTTGGAGAGTCGAGAAATGGTCAATAGTTGGTAAATTTTATCAATGGCCTTTTCGTGCTTTGATCAGTCAGAAGTTCGAACTTGGGTTTTGCCACACTTCTTGCCAATAATTCCACACTATTTTCATAATTTGTGAGGCTGCGCGCGTTATGAAATGCCAAGACCTATCAGGATTGGTCCATTTCCTCTCACCCCAAGGAAATTTGCGTGCAAATAGTGACACCTAACATATGTCGCTTCAAGTTGCATCTATGGATTTGCCAGTTGACCCTAATAACGATGACATCACCTGTACATTGGGATGTATGGAAATGTCACTTTTTATGTTGGAATAGGCCTTCAACATTGGCTGTTTTTAACATTGATCTAGAGCTTACCTAGCAATTGCCAAATGAAGCCAGGGCAGAGGCTAAAGAGTTATCATCATTTGAATACCATTGAGAGCGCGACATTACCGTTACTGCAGTTAGACAACGTGATGACCTTGGAACAGGTATCAATCCTGGCCAACATTGGAAACAGTTGCGACAATCAATTTAAAATTCATCAATTGTAGTTATGTACCTACTGCCTAGGAAGCTAGTATGTACTAGTGGGTGCACATGTGTGCCAATACCTGCTGGCATGTGGGTGGATGGTGCCCAGGTGGTTAAACCTGGTACAAATGTCAGGCGGAAACATTTGAATGCGTGGACCCTAACTACCTACTATGTATTTAGGTACATAGACTCACCTCCAAATGTCCTCCACCCAGGCAGGGCTGCGGGAGATATCTGGCTCTGATTTATACCTGTCGCATGTTTTGAGGAATTGCATCAGCGAGCCATATATATGCAATCTTCACTGGCCATCCGTAGAAGCAACCTTGGAAGCAGTACCTACATCGTTATGTACTAGGTACATATGTATATGCGAGAATCTGCAGCCAATGGGTCCATTTGTAGATACTTCCAGCTTATCTAGATCCAGACGTGAGAATCTTGGAAACATCGATTCATGAATATCGGTAAGCCTTTAATCCGCCCACGGGTATTATCATAAAATGTGTTTAGGCAAGGGATTGTGACATGTCAACCTTGAAAGGGAGGAAAGTACGACTACATGTACTAGTACATTAGTACATATACCCTTGGAAAAGGGCAAATGGCATTCGGAGAGAGCATTTAAATGGATGTACTCAGGTGTTGTATTGATCAGATGTGTCTGCGCTTAACTGGAATAAACACAACAAGGCTCAGATCGCCACCTGAGCACTTGATCTCAACGTTCGAGACCAATTTAATCATTTAATCAATGTTCTCTTCTGCCGAAAGTTTTGTCGTCATAGGAATATCAATTCCTAGATAACACTAAGATCATTCCACTTTCGCCCCCTTCGGCTATGCGGAGTCTATGGATGAATGACATCATGAATAATACTTACAGGAGTTGTAAACTAGAACATGACGGAAAATTGCCCTTCGTATTCAGGGGACTAAAGAATTCCAGATGTCGTGTCAATGCCATCCCCTGGCCAGTTCTCCTGTGACCCCATCCTCCCAAGGTACCTATATATCAAGGCCAACCAGGATCTTAGGACCATGCAAGATTACTGACAAGAATGTAATAGAGATGAGAATCGGTCACATCGATTTGTCCAAAGAATTATCTCACAGCCGTAGGACAATTGAAAATATGAACAAAAGAGATGTGCATTGGAAATGACAGTGTGCAAGATAATCCAAAATAGGTAAAAGAGAACATCATATAGCGTTATTGATAAACTCCCCGGGAGTTGGGAGGTTCAACGCAAAAACAAGAAGCGAATGGAAATAGAAAAATCAAAAAAGCCATTTTCAACGCATATGGTCTATGACTCGCCCAACCCGCGAGAGACCCCCAGGATATCGATCTCAAATGAAAAACAACTCCGCATCCCATGGTTTCGCTCGCAACCATACCCATCCGGCCACACCGGTGACAAGGAAGCAATGAGTATCGCGTATCACCCATCCCCAACCGATATACAGGAACCGAGATAAAAAAGAGATGTGCAAACCAGTAAGCAAAGGGAAAAGAAAACATAAAACCAAAAAACAAACCCAGGTATTTCAACAGTGCCCAAGCAATGCAGACGTGTATCGTTTCCGCCTCTAAATCCTTGAAAAAATGTGATATCCATCCCGCCCAAGAGAATAAAAACCCCAGTGAAAAAAACAAATCCAAAGAAGGAAGAAGTCGTCGAATAAGTCACAGCGTAGGTGAGGTAGGGCCCAAAAACATGCAAGCAACCCTTCTCCCTAATAGAAAGAAAAATTTCAACTCCTGTCCCCAGGGACATGCACGTCGAGAAAGAAAATAAAAGCAAGTCACCAAAATCTATACATCATCGGCGGCCCAACCGAAAGACACAAGAGGCCAAAGAAGATAGTCTCTCCGGAGAGACGTAATCGTTGGGTAAAAAAAAACAAAGAGATGCAAGGAATCAAATCACAGGCGCCGTCGCTCGCAACAAGCTGAAAGCATCACAAAGGATCTAAGATGCATGGCGAAAGAGTCGTAAATCGGCGGATGGTCCAGAAACGTCTGGTATGTACAAAGCCAGATTTTGTCGAGTTTTTGATTTTTTTTTGTAAGCAAGATTTTTGGTTGTTTCGCCGTTCGTATGATTTTTTTTCCGATGTGGGTCGTGTCGAATGCAATTAGTCGTAACAGACAACAATGCGATAAAAGGGATAAAAATGATTAAGACCTGCGATTTAAGGGGACCCGATGATGCAGATAGATGAAGGTGACGTGCAATAGAAGCTGCCGCTAGGGCAGAAGGGGCGCAAGCGCCGCGTATTTTCAGGCAAACCAAGGTCCTCACCATCGGCGCTGGGCCGCCTGCATCATCGCCGGCGAGATGGACGACGGTGGGCTGGCCAAGGACATTCCAGTGGTAGGGTTGATGATAGGAATGACCTTGCGGGTACGGTTGGCAGGTTGCTGCTGGTAGTTGAGGTGATTAGGGTTGGCGACTCCGTGGACGTAGGAGTTGGCGGAGGCCGGAGAGAGGGAGATGGCGGGAGTGACCTGCTGCACAGGCTGAATCTGGTGCTGCAGGGGCGAGGTATCGGGAGAGCCGCTAGACAGGGAAGAACGATCGGAACCAGCGGAGTGGATGGAGTGCAACTGAAAGAGAATTGTTAATATGGATTGTTTTGATTTGGGGGGTCATTTCAATCCTGGCCATGATAGGGGGCGGCAAGAGAAAAGAAGCCGGGGAAGAAGTGGTCTTCGGACCGAAGCCCAATAGGGGAAACGTACGTCTTCATCGGTCAGGAGGTTGGGGCAGAACTCAAGGTCATCATCGAGGTCAAAAGACCGACCGGCCTCGAAACGAGCCCGGAAGGCAGTGACTGCGGGAGCTTCGGCCAACTCTCGCATACTCTTGACACCTCGGAACTGACGCTGGGCATTCTGGGCAGCCATCTTGGGAGCCCGACGAGATCGACCGTGGTGGTTATTAGAGGGCATGTGAGCACCGTGGTGTGCGTGGTGTTGTTGTTGCTGGTGGTGGGTGTACATGAAGGCAGACATGGTGGCGAAAGTAATTGACAATGGGGGTGGTAATCCAGCACCCAAGTATAATCAAATAATGGTATATAAGTTTTGAGGGCGGAAGAGAAGAAAACGGGCAAGAAGAAGGAAATTGAAGAAGGGTATTGGTTTTGGGGAAGGGAAAAAAGAAGTCAAGATTTAACGATGGCAGGCTGTGTGGGAAGGGGAAGAAGAGAAAAAAGAGGGGTGTTATGGGGCTGAGACTGAGAAGGGTGAGGTATGGTCAGGTATGGTCATGTGCAGCCACTAGACAAGGGCGGCAACGTGCGATCAACGTGGGAATTGTAGGAGGAAAGTTCAGATTACAAGGACTGAAAATGAATGAAAATGACGGAAAATGGATGAAAATTACGGAAAGATTGGTATGAGCAGTGACACCACCTTGTTGGTGGACGGAGGACGCTAGCGAGGGTCACGCACCAACGAAGGTGGCGAGGAACGAGGGTCTGCAGCCAATCATCGATGAGTTGGTCAACTCTATTGGCTCCACTCGCCAAATGCCGCTTCCCTAACTGGTACAAGCGGGAAAACGTGACGTCGACGACCAATGAACACTAAGCTGCTTTCGGAAAAAGAGTGACGAGATCTACTTGGTCGAACTTTTTGAACTTTTTCGATTATTCGACTTTTCTTCTTCAACAACAATCCTTTCCCCTTTGTGCTTCTCCCATTGAATTCTCAGTCTCCACACTCGGTTACTTTTCTGGAATTTTTATTATTTTTGTTTTTTTATTATATTTTATTTCCTATTTCCTATTTCCCTTTTTATCTTTGTTTTTCTTCCTCCACTTTTCATTATCATTACAGATTACATACAGTTATACATAGGGCTTTGAAAATTTGTTAACAATGCTCCATATCTTCAAGGGCTCCACACTCATTCTCAACGGGTTCACCAACCACCCCTATTCTTCACACTCCTATTTGTCTCCGGATTGAGGAGAATGCCTGCACTATGGAGTAAACTTGTAAGAAATGATTTGCATACAACAGCCTTGTGGAGGTTGGAGGTTTAGTAAGATTGGAGAAAAGGGAAAGATTCGAAACTTTCCGTGCTCATCCGTGCTAAACAACCCATACAAATCTGTTTCCGATTCCTTTCTGCACAGCCATTCATCCGTACCAGGCACATCAAGTCGGCTGTGGCTGCGGATCGGCGATCGACAATTGAGGGGGACATTCCCCAATTCTTCGACCGACAGCGCCCTACCGTACCGAAGGTTTTTTCCTTCTTTTTTTTTCTCTTTCCTTTTTGTCCCTTTGGTTTTCTTCCCAACCCTTAGCTGCAAGTTCCTTTCTTGTTATTGGTAGCCCCAAGATCTGACTTGATCCATCGCCTTTGAGATCTCCCGAAACGGTTAAGCCCACGTCTTCGGGATCCGGACTAGGTATAGTAGGAAGAGCAACGTGAGCAACATTGAAAGAAAATTATAAACTATTGCAAATTTATTCCCTCCCCATAAGCGCTATGAGGACTGTTTGGGTAGTATCGTCACTCTTTCTCCATATAGAGAGTACTTCTGCGACCCAACCGACTCCGGTCGGACACTTGTCACTGCAGGGTTCCACATCATCGTGGCGCCGAATAGGGATTGTTCTTTGTCTTTTGGGTTTCATGTCTCCATGGGCCTAGAGACCCAAAGATGGGAAGGAAGGGGGGGGTTCTAAGGTTGCGCACCGGGGAGAAATCTCCTGAGCGAGCGCTTACTGTAACACTTTCCGTTCCCCCAATTAAACTCTCAATCAGACTCGAAATAGATATGCGGGTGCTGATGTTCCGTGCACCAGAAAAGCCCGGTCCTCGGAACACTCTAAATATCACCCAAGTTTCGCCTTCACCGCTCTTTTCCAAGGTTGGGACCAGAATAGAGTACGGAAGGCGAGAGCTATGAATTGGCACGTTTCTTCCAATCTCAATCTTACGACGATCCGAGATACGATATGATATAGCCCACGGGCACGATGAGTGGCCCCTTCCCCCGAAGCTTGAACATGCAGCTGACGGATTGAAAACCCATGCGTGCATGACCATCTACTTGACCCCTGGGTTCGATCTAACTGCATCATGTATTATGTATCATGTATCTTTCTTTTCCCAGTGAGGGGGAGCTTGGTCTTCCACCCCTCAAGAATCAGCCACGCAAGGGGCTGCAAGCAATCAGGTTGGCCCGGGCGGTTTTCCAAGCGGCCGTGTTCACTGTTGACCTTGATGTTGTTTGACAAGGTGGGATGCTAGTGGTAATGCGGGGGATGGTTACAAAGTCACAGCAGAATAAAACCGGTAGTCCATACTAGTATCAACTGTAGCAAACGTCAAAAACTAGGATGTCTTCCAAGGTTGTTTCGCTCGATTCTGCTCCGGACGAACTCGAAAGAAGGTTACTCCGTGTAACTTGGCCGACCGCGGCGACCCCGATGTTAGCGCTTCACTGCCACGCTTTTTCTTCTCGGTGATACTTTGACTCTAACTACCCTTGAGGAAACTGATCCCCAACATTTGGATCCTTGGATAGAACCTGGATCCGACAAGAGCTAATTCTTTGTCAAGTACACAGCCGAATTATGCTGTTCCGAGGTTCCCCGCTTAACAAAGCGGTTCATAGGAGAGGTTCACAGCCTCAAACAACCCAGCCACACCTCAACCATTATAAGCACAGCCACATATGAAATACTTAACGACTGGAATATTCACGAACATTCATCTGAAATGCGTCATGGGGTGTTCATGCGACAAAAATAGCATATTTCAATTTAAAAGGGGGTTGTTTCATTATGATTTCAGTGCAGGTGGCGTCGAACATCTACGAATTTCAAGGCTTGTCAACTGGTTACATGGCGTTCTTAAGGTCAGTCATATTAAAAAGGACCTCCCCTCTCTGAGTCATTGTAGCAATCCGTGTGGCATGCACATGATTGATAATTTCACACAGTTTTTGGAAATGGTATGCTTCAAAAGATCAATTGAGAACATTGAAACCCGAAATACATGTAGTGATGAAATAGAATAAAGTGCTAACACCCGTGGACCCAAAAATACATTAATGTCCGAAATCACTCCAGTATCCTTAAGAAAGTGTATGATGTATGGACTAAACAAAAAAAAACCAGTTGCGCTCAACTTCAACATTGAAATAATCAAATGCTCATCCCGCATGAATGTTATATGACAAAACCAAAACCGAAATCTCACGATCAATCTTATTATTTATCTAAATTTTTGGTTTTCACCATTCGACCAATGAGTTCTTTACAGTGCTTTTCACTGTACTGTTCCCACACCTCGTACAAGGAGAGTAACTCCTGTGTACATTCAATAACAGCCTTGATATCCACTTCACTCTCAGCCAGCCAAAGAACCAGCTTTTGGATGCGGGGAGGGCCATGGTTAGTCTTATCCGATAGAGCGGCGAGCATGTTCATCGAACTTGCATCCCGCATGGCACTGGCCAAGGCTGTCTGTGCCGACCCACCAAAGTTAGTCGAGTGCACGGGCTTGAAGACGACCGAAATAATAATGGCCATGATGGCAATGATGTGTGGTGGATGAAGAAGTGGGAGATCGGTCAAATAGTGATCGTTGATCACAGACCAGGCCAGCGCGACCTCATCAGGGCTGAGAGGAAGCTCGTCCTGCATCTCCGTTAAGGTTCGATAGGGGTGGTGCACAATGAGTTGGGAACTCATCTCGGAGATTAAAGCGAATTCGCACTCTCCTAGCTTGGCAACATCCGGAGTAATGAATTCTGCGGAGAGAAATTTAGTATGTGGCGGGGACATCTGGGGCTTGATCTTCATATGTGAATGAGAGCAATATATTGGTCAACATACCTGGCCAGAGCCCGCGGGCTTCTCCGACCACGAAACGGATATGCTGGGGACATTCTTCCATCTTGCAGGCCAAATAAAAGGCCGTGGTGAGCACGAGATATGGATTGGATTGGCGGATTTCATTCTTGGTATAGAATCTCTTAAGGTAGACTTGAGCTGTAGCAATAGCCTGTTGTCGAGTGGACATACGCTTTCCCAGCTTGATCAGCTCTTTTCAGGGGGTCAGTCAGTAACTGTAAACAAAAGTCAGGGGACAATGAGCTTACGTTGATTGAAGTAGATATTTAACAGGCGCTGATCCGGCAGCGGAAACTGTGTATGGGCGACCTTATCTTGTTCACGTAGTTTCTCCCGAATATCGGCGAGTTTCTCTCTGGAGAAAAGCCAATGACGACGCTGAGTCGAGGCCCAGTAGTTGGCAGCCATGACAGAACATGGAAATTTATAAAGTTATCTAATCATTCAATCATTCAGTCATGGTGAAAAGATAAGGGGTACTCCAATATTAGATTGAAGTCATGGTTGATGCCAGAACGAAGCTGACCCAATCGGGTTTAGGGTCCAACCCTGGTCCCGTGCTCGGTGATGGCGTCAAGCGTTGACCTTGGAGCAATGATCGGGCCCCGATTAATCATTCACCTCTCAAACCCCACTCCGCCAACGTCAAACTTTGAGGTTTTCCTTTTCGATCTATGAAAAACGGCCAAACGCGTTATAATCAACGACTCTTCGACCTTACCTCCCGAAACCTACCTCAGAATATGCTCCCTTGAATGATGCCGGGTGCTCGATAACAATTTCTCCACGAAATATGGCACCCGGCGAGTCGAAAGATGAACGCGACGAACGAGTTGGTCGGCTATGGGAAACGTTGGATACGCGCAAAGAGGGACATGTTGACTTCAACGGGTTAAAGAAAGGGTTGAAGAAGATCGATCACCGTGAGTTGCTCCGCAGTTTTCGTGCCGAAAGCTTCCGACTAACATGGCTCCTAGCGTTGAAAAATGCAGATGGCATGCTTCGCAGCATCCTGCGTGAAGTTGACACCAACGGCGATGGCCACATAGACTTCAACGGTATGACTTATTCTTTTTGCACCTGCTGCCTCCCCAAATTATGCTGCGGGCGCTTACGCGCTCCGTGTTTTGAACCCTTCTAATACTCGTTGCAGAGTTCCAAGCTTTTATCAACCACACCGAGTTAGGCCTCTGGCAGATGTTCCAGACTATCGATCACGACCATAATGGGGAGATTGACAAAATTGAGCTGCGTAATGCGTTTGCAAAATCTGGCGTAACAGTATCAAGCTCAAAACTGGACGAATTTTTCGCCGAGGTGGATAAAAACAATGACGGAGTTATATCCTATACCGAATGGAGGTATGGATGCCCCCCAACTTGCATTCACTGCCTTGGTTGCCTTTGTTGTCTTTGTGAATTGCATTCACTGCCTTGGTTTTCTTTGTCTTTGTGAATTGCATTCACTGCCTTTGTCACCTCTTATCACATGCTCCTCTCACTTTCCCAATTCATGTCTTCCCCCCCTCCCCCCCGTTCCTGTTTTATCCATTTACGGCCGTTTGTTCCCTTTCAGCCTCCATCCGGAAAACCAAGTATGTCTCTCGTGATTGATTCGTGGCTAACACATTTATGCCACCTTCTAGAGACTTCCTCCTCTTCTTACCTCTCCATTCTCCATCCGACCTTCGAGCAGTCCTCTCATACTACAGTTCGACAGGAAATCTGAACCCGGAAGGCGACGTCCATATCAATGACCTACAGGGTTTAGGTACAGACCACTCGTTTCTTAAAAATTGTCTCCCGACTGCTACCACCATTTTGTACAATATTCTCTCACTCCCTTTTGTGGCTTCCCTCCTATCGTCAGCCAGCGCGCAAACCAACCCAGCTGCTGATATTTCTCCAATCCTTGGAACGGAATTGGGTTTGGTAGACGCTGACCTCGAGCTGGAGTGGCTGCCCATTCCCAAAACCACCGCCATGTTCTTGTCTCTCCGCTATTATGAACGGAAGTTGACCGAGAATACCCCTCAACTAGGTTACTTCGCTGCGGGTGGAATCGCTGGTGTTGTATCCAGGACGGCTACTGCGCCCCTCGACCGTCTCAAAGTCTATCTCATTGCCAAGACTGGCGTGAAGAAACATGCCATCTGCGCCGCAAAAGATGGCGCACCCCTCGTCGCTGCAGGAAACGCCTCGAAAACCCTTGTTGACGCTCTGAAAGAACTCTGGAAAGCCGGTGGAATTCGCAGCTTGTTTGCAGGTTAGTTGATTTTTGAGCAAATTTTTTTTTTTTTTTTTTTTTGCTGGGTGGCGGCTCTAACATCCTCATAGGAAATGGGTTAAATGTTGTGAAGGTCATGCCAGAGTCTGCAATCAAGTTCGGAGCCTACGAGGTAATATCATGATGCCATTGAAAGGAGAAATTCAGAGCTGATATGTTATAGTCCGCCAAACGTGTTTTTGCTGAGCTGGAAGGGCACGACGATCCAAAACGTCTGAAGCCAACATCGCAATTCTTGTCCGGTGGTATTGGTGGAATGGTGGCTCAGTATGGACTACTCTGATATCCCGAAGATTTCAATATTTCTAACCTTTTTGTAGATGCTTTGTTTACCCGCTTGATACTTTAAAGTTGTGAGTCATTGTATTATCTAAAAATTTTGAGACTACCACTAATAGTTACATTAGTCGCATGCAATGCTCCACCGTCGAAGGCGGGCTAAGGGGAAACAAACTAATCATCGCAACTGCCAACAAAGTGTGGAGCGCCAACGGATTGTATGGCTTCTTCCGCGGCCTGCCGCTCGGACTACTTGGAATGTTTCCTTACGCCGCAATCGATCTCACCACCTTTGAGTATCTCAAAAGAGCTCTCATTGCCCGCCAAGCGCGTCTGAACAAGTGCCACGAAGATGACGTTTCACTCAATAACTTTTTCACTGGTGCTATTGGTGCTGTCAGTGGAGGTCTGAGTGCCTCGATCGTCTACCCCTTGAACGTTCTTCGCACTCGAATGCAAGCTCAGGGTACTGTCTTGCACCCTGCCACATACAACAGCATCGGCGACGTCTTGCGCAGAACCCTCGAAACAGAGGGACCTCGTGGTCTCTACAAGGGACTCACCCCCAACCTTCTCAAAGTCGCACCGGCAGTTTCCATCAGCTACGTGGTCTACGAGAACTCAAAGCGAATGCTCGGCTTGAAATAGTCGACAACCATGTATCACCACCGCTGCTTTTAACGCCACCCCTCAACTTCCCTAATCCTCCTCCGTTACCCCCGCCCTCCTCCACCCCCTCGACCCCGAATGCCTTCGACCTTATTTTTTTTTTTGCGTCTGATTCCCCCATATCTCTTATTTAGAGCTATTTGATCCAAGATACCCCAAAAGGTCAACATAAAGCGTGCACATGGTTATGGAAATGCCCTCGCATATCTGATTTTGATTTTGCTGATCATCTACTTCCTAACCATTGAAATCTACAAGTATCTCACAAACATTTGCATTTGCTTTCGGCCTGTTTGTTATTTTTTTCTGAACATTTCACCTTAGTTTCCATAGGGGTTTTGTTGCAGTTCAATTGGGGTAAACCCCTTTCATCGACCATAAGCATGGCAAGGCGTCGAGGCATGTGGATTTAACGCAACACCACGGGGCCGTTCTGATTTATTTCTTTCTCGTTCTTTTGTATCAATATTGCCAATCAAATTTTCACCATTCAGATACCCCACTACGCCGAGCTTCAAATGTTTGCTTAGCTTTGGGTGTACTAGAAGGGTCAGATAGAAGTCATACATAATGCATATTATATCCGTTTCATCAATGATTCTTTTCTTAATGAAGATGTTTACCGATGGCCCAGAAGCATTGAAACTATGAATTTTCAATTCAAAAGTCCAACTTAATTCAACCTTGGAAGAAAATCTAGGATGTGTACTTCACAGATCATCATGCTCCTAAGCACCCTTCACAGCATTAACCTCCTGATCCTTGGGCAGAATATCCGGCAAAGGTCCAACAGGCGTAATAGCAAACTGATTAATCTGCTTGTGCGACTTCGTATAATGCTTCTTAATATGCTCGAAATCCGTTGTATCCCGGAACGCCGGCAGATCCCAGTACAAAGCCCTCAGCCAACGGTGAATAGCCGGGTATCCAGAACGGATATCCCGAATATTGCACTTGAAGTGCTGCACGTACACAGGATCAAACCGGATAATAGTGGTGAAAAGGCGAATATCTGACTCAGTGACGGAATTGCCAAAGAAGTATGGCGAGACGGAGGCCTGGGTGGTGAGGTGGGCCTCGATCTTGTCCAGGGAGCTGAAGAGTGTAGTCACAGCTTTCTCGTAGGCTTCTTGGGTGGTTGCGAAGCCGGATTTGTAGACGCCGTTGTTGACGTCGTTATAGATCCATTCATTGCTTGTGTCGATTTGCTCGCGCAGGTTGGCTGGGAACAGATCGAGCTTCTTGTAGGACTCTGGGAGGAGATCATCGAACTCGTAGTAGAGCATGCGGATGATCTCGGCGCTCTGGAGATTGAGTAAGTACTACGCATGTATACGGGATTCGGGATTCATGTGGTACAGATGTTGCTTACCTCGTTGCTGACGATCTGCTTGGTCTTCTTATCAAAAAGAACGGGGACGGTAAAACGTCCGGCATAGTCTGGGTCGTTGGAGAAGTAGACTTCGCGGATGTGAGTGTACTCGGGGTGCAATGGGTCGGGGATAGTGTTTTCACCGGGGAGATCCTCGTCCGCAGTGGCAAAACGCCATCCTATCAAGGAGTCAATAAAAATGTAATGGTGGCCCAGCAAAAGGGGTTGGATAGCCTCTTACCCTTCTCGGCGAGGTGCCAGTGCACCGACGAAAAGGAAATGATATCCTCGAGACCCTTGAGCTTACGGGTGATCAAGGTCCGGTGAGCTGCGAGAAGTTAGCACAAGAAAGCTTAAAGGACATTGCAATCAAGTTTTTGAACTTACCCCAGGGACAGGCATATGAAACATAGAGATGGTAACGGCCCTTCTCTGGCGGGAACTCAGCTCCGGCCTCGCGGGAGATAAAGCTGCGAAAGGCAGACTGCTGTCGCTTGAATTCGCCGGACTTGTCGTTGGGGTTTACCCAATCGGTAATTTTTGCGGAGTTTCCGGTCTGCATAAGGGATTAGAATGTCAAAGACCTTTAAGAAAACAGAAAATGTGTGGATGCATAAGGTTCTCGTACAGCCATAGTTCGTGATGTTGCGGAGAAGCACGGATGAGAAGCTGTAAAGTACCCCGCACGGATAATTGAAGGTCGCGATAAATGTTGCAACGCTGGTGAGCGAAGAAACTTCAAGAGCATGAGAAGAACAGGGACCTTTATAGCCTCCAGCAATAGAAGAATACGAGAAAGAAAATACAAGAGCAGCGGGGGATGACGTGCAAGATCTGGATGCTTACTCAGCTCTTATCGGTAAGCTTTGACAAAGCATCAACTCATCGGAAAATGTCTGGTAATCAATTACGGAATCATTTGTATGCAATTAGAGCAAGTATTCAATGTTGGATATTTGGTGGAGATCTAGAGCTCATTGAAAAATAAAAAATCATAAAGTCTACTGCTTCTTCCCCTGATAGCTGATTTTTGGATCCGGACTAAGTGCTTAGTTAGACCGCTTGACCATCACGTAAGGAATCTCCACATCCTCCTCAGTCTGGTCTTCGGCCGTCACCTCAAAGATGATGTTTTTCTGGTGCTCCGGAACCGGCTTCTTGCTCACGTGCTCTACCAGCTTACTCATACTATATGGTGTCAGCTTCGTTCAACGAGGGTAATAAATAATAGGGGAAAGAAACTTACGTCAGAGGGAGGCGGTCCTTCACCTTGGCAGGAGGGTAGAAGCTAGCATACAACAAGCTCACACCCGAACTAACCATAGTGATATCCAAGCCCCGGCTCTCAAAGTAGGCTATGAAATCCTTGAGGGTAATGTCCTCGAGCTCAAAGCGGTCCCAGAGTTGGTCAATGGTGACCTTACCCTCCTTGCCTTGGTATTCACCTTTGGGACTAGGCATCGGTTCGCTGAAGCCGAAGAATGGAAGAGCAATGTTGATGAACCCGTTCTTGTACTGTTCAATATCATCCTTACCATCAACAACTTTGAACAGCTCCAAAGCCACGAGGCCAGTAATCAGAGCTGTAGCAGTGGCAATAGCAGGAATGATCTTTCCAGCAATGAACTTAGTCTTGTGTCGGTCCGCTTGAGGAATTTCGTAATTGTCAGCACGCAAGTTACTGGCAGCAGCGATGAAATCGATGTGGTAGTTGGTGTCATCATCCTTCTCGAACTCGACAGGATGCAGGCGGAAGCCAGCAAGAGACTTGGGTGAGGGTAGAAGATCCACCAGACGTTGGATCTCTTCACTGTCATTGGAACCGCCAGCGGGCTGAGCGTTGGGATCGGGCTCTTTGTCATCAGCTTGGATCTTGACGCTAGAGCTAGGTGTGAACTCAGGGATGATCATATCATCTACAACCTTGCGGTAGTAATCGTTGTCCGCGTCTGGGTTCTTGATTCCATAATTGAAAGCATGCAAACTTGCGCCAGCAATCACGAATCCAATGTGAGTGGGGTTACCACTGTCAAATTTCAGAGGAGTCGGGGCACGTTTGGGGCCGGACCAGAAGGCCTGACCGGATGAGGTCTTGGAGTCGCGGGGGAAGTTGTAGAGCAGCTGCTGAATGGCATTGTTGTACTGCGCCTCGAACTGCTGGCGGGCCCAGACAATGCAGTCCTCAAAGGTAAGAGGCTTCTCTGTCACCAAGAAATCGCGGAGATGTTCTAATGTCTGCTTCTCTTGGCCTGCCTGCTTAAGAGTCTGTTCAATGTAGTCGGCCTGCGAGAGATACATGTTGACAGACTCAGGAGGACCGACAAAGTAGGTCTGGAAGAGATCGCGAGCCCAGGCAATGGTATGCTCAATGCGGTTCGGGAAACTCTTGAGAGTACACATGGGGAAGGACTTCTCGGGGGGGTCCTGAGAGCTGGAGTAGGACTCAGTGATGAATGGCAAGACGACCTGGACGTTGCCCTTGGTACCGAGGGTACCACTCTCAAGCAGCGGCTTGCGGAAGAAGACACAGCGTCGGTCCACGTAAGTTCTGGCGTCAACGTTATCCAAAGCATTGGTAACACCATCCAACCGGTTCCAGAACACTTCATCAAAGATGTGCTCAGTGTCTTGACCAACGCGGTCACGCAGGGTCACAATCTTATCATTCAGATCAGGGTTCATCGCCTGTACAGCAGCGGTGGCACAGTCACTCTTCAGGCGGCCAACATCCTTGGGACGGAAGAGGAATTGTCGATTCAGGTTACTCTTCTCGATCTGATCCATGTCGGTGACGTAAATTTTGCCCTTGGGACCCGTGCCCAAACCAATCATAGCCCAGTTCTTCAAAGTTTCGCAGCCAATAGCTCCAGCACCAACCAGGAACTGAGTGACGTTGGAGAGCTTTTCTTGGTATTCCTTACCAAAGACAGCAATCTGGCCATCATAACGTGTTCCAAGAGGCTTACAGCTCTCCTCAGACCGAGTGGTCGAGGTCGGCAGAGACTCCAGAGAGTCGAAGTACATCCACTGGTGTACAGGGCTGAACTTTCCGGAAACAGCCTTGAGAACTTCCTGAGCAGCAATACCTCCAAAGAAGGCGGCCAATGGGTTAAGATCGCCACGGGCCTGGTAACTCAGCTCCTTAATCAACTTCTCGTCCAATTCGATCTTCTCCTCGCCGGCCGCTGCGAGTTCACCGGCAATTTTGAGGATCTCCTGGGCGTCACTATCATTGTGCGGGCGGGGGTACAGACCATCATGGGTCTCCGCAAATTTGTGAAGTGCCTGGATACCAACATGGAGCTGCGCAGGTCGGTCGAACTTGGCGAAATCGGAGATGAGGAATTCGGGTGTCTTAATCTGCTCGGATAAGGGCTGGAAATCGATGAACTTAGGCATCTTGACCTGCGTGTAAATACCACCACTCTGGTAAGAACCAAGACCGGAAGTATCTCCGATAGTAAAGGTGTAGGGTCCCTTGACAGTAACTTTGCGGGGGGCGCTGTTATTCAATTCCTCCATACCCTTGACCTCGACGAAAGTCACAAAATCGCCATCTTCCAGTCCATGTCGAGTCTCATCCAGAGCAGACACGAGGCCGTCCTCCGCGATATCGGCAACAATTCCGCTGACCAACTCCTCGCCAGTGGGGTCGCCGACTGTGAAATTCTTTCCAAAGTCGTTGAAGAGATAGCCGAAAAGTCCAAAAGTATCGGCAATTGTCACATAGATTCCATTCTTGTGACAGAAGTCTGCGATCACCAGCTGCTCCTTCAAGGGAGTAAGCGTCAGTACGATTGCCTGGTAGCGCTTGAGCTGCTCCAGGTCATCCACAAGGTTCTTTCCCTCGTGGAGTGTGACGGGGACATAAGAGTTGAGCTCCGCGACTCGGGGAGCGGTAACTTCAGCACGTGGCTTGCCAACATCCTTTGGCTGGAGGAAAAACTGAGAGGAGAGATCGGAGATAGCAACGGGGGCGGGGTCGTAGAGGGTGAGGGACTTGACACCGGCTAAGGCAATGTTCTTGGCTGAAACGGTTCATTAGACGTTAGCGGCTGGGGCACCTTCATTTAAGTTTTGCCATACTTACCGATTTCCACACCAAGACCCTTAAGACCAACAACAAGCACGTTCGACGAACCCATGCGCTTCATGGCCTCGTGGCCGAGCACGTAGCTAGAGTGAGACCCAGTGGTTAACCCCATGTCCCAACCAAGGCGGAATATCTCCCCAAGACTCACAGTTGCCGACTGTAAAGGGACTCATCAATTTCACCATGTTTAATCATCTCCACAGTCTCCTGTGGGTTGTCCACTTGCATCGTGACGTCCTGCTCGAAGCTTATGGTTAGTGGCAACGCGGCATTTCTCCGATAGCAGGCGCTACATACCGACATGTTCTTCTTCAAAGGCCGAGCGGCGGTGTCGTCTTCGGACGCTCTGCGCTTTCCCGGCTTAGCCGCTTCACGAACAGCAAGATCGGAAGGAATGATGTAGAAAGAGTGTGAAAGTCTTGCCCCACGAGCAAGACCTTCAATAGTGCGGAGTAAAAAAAAAGAGTAATTTCTAGCGTACCAGGTACCTAGCTAATCGAATCGAATCAGGAAAAAAGCGTCGGCAAGAAGAGGAAGGAGTAACTGTACAGCAAAGAAGAATTTTTTGTAGAAGTAGTGGCAAGGGAGGAAGGAACAGTTGAAGGTTGAAGCGGGACCATCGACGTAAGAGGGAGCTTACCAAGATGACTAATTAGCCCCGCCCCGCGTCCAGAACGCGATTAGATGATTTGGTGATTTGATGACTTGGTGATATAAGTCTATACTACCCTTGCTTTGTTTCACTCTCAAACCCTAAAACAACATTCGACACTGGGGACCGAGTCAAAAGGGGAGAAAGTGAGAAACAATGAACTTGTTCTGGTCTCACTGAGGGACTTTGGACACTCACTCTTCGACGCGTCCTGTCAAAAGCCCAACTCGTCTCTACCCAACCCATGTGTCGCTTGGAGCTTCTTGGGCGTGGTTTACTATACTGGCAGCGGCATCACTCCAAAGAGGACAGTCAACATTCAAGGTGTGTTGCACGTCACCAAAAGCCAAATCAACCTACATAGAAACCAATTGCTGACCAGTGATATCTACCAGGCACCCCGAGCCAGGATGCTACACGAGATCCTCCTCTCCCTCTCTGGCCAGCCCTCCCCCCTCTTCGCTCAAGTCGGGAAAGAAACGGACTCTCAAGATGATTTTGCCCTTCTCTCTCCTCCGGAGAAAGCTCTCCTTGGGTCGATCGCCCACTTGAGCCAACTTCATACTCACCTCCGCGAACACACCTCTCAAATATCATCCTCCCACGTTTCCGTCATTTGTCGCGCAGTATCAACAAGCATAGTGACCGTTCATTTGGGTCAATTCCAGAAGAAAATCCTGGAAGTGGAAAGCGCGATTCTTGCCGAGGACAGCTTATATGTTGGTGGTTACGGCATTGTTCCTTTATCGACTATAGTGGGGGAGTTTGCGCCGTGGACTTCGCGTATGGAATGGCTATGGGAAATTGTCCAATTTATGCAACCCGAGGCGACAGACCAAACGCGCCGCCATGGCTGCACCGGCGCAGGACTCATCAACCATCTGCGAGGGGAACTTCAAACAGGATACACGGACATCAAGGAAATGGGAAGGCAATTGGTGACTGTTGCCGAGACAGCGTGGATGAAACAGCTTTCCATGTGGCTATTATATGGTAATTTACCCATATATGGCAAGCATGACTTTTTTATCCAGGAGGCCTTCGATAGCGAGGAGGATGATGTCCAGTTCGGCATGCATTTGGATTTACTTCCGAAATTTGTTGTCGAGCAAACAGCAGGGTCAATTCTATTTATTGGAAAATCGCTGAACCATGTTCGTTCCAAGCGCAAGGCCTTCGCTGGTATCTCAACTGCACCAGTCACATTATATCAGGAGCATATCGAGCACCTAGCTGGGCTAAAATCACCTATATCATCCTCATCGCTGACCTCGGCGGTGGATTGGATTCGTCTCTCACTGTCTCAATCCACATTGTCCAGATTGCTCCCACTACCTAAGATCCTGGAGATGCTCACCTTACTGCATGATTTTTTACTCTTAGGGCGTGGTGAATTCGCCGTGGCTCTGGTCGTGCATGCTGATAACCGCATAGAAGAAACCCGACGGCGGGGGGCGGGAGCTCGAGGTCCCACACTTGATGGCCTTATCATGAAAGAAGGAGATGTCACGACCTCTTTGGCACATGCCTGGGTTGAGCTGTTCTCTTTACAAAAAGAAGAGGATCCGGCCGATGAGGAGTTGGAGTTGGCTCGCGAGCTGCTGCGACTATTCATCAGTGACCGAAAAAACAGCCGAGCTATGACCCCATCGCATGGTTCAAATGCGATGTCCAAGATCTCGAGAGTTTCCTTTGAAGATTTGCTCTTCCCGACACCGACATGTCTAACCGCACAAGTTCGTGCTCCCCTTGACTTATTTCTTTCCAGCTCCGACATAGCTATCTATTCAAAGATACACTCGTATTTACTTGGCATCCGGAGAGCGCAAATGCGGCTCGGCGATTTATGGAAACGAACTACCCTGCGAAGAAATCACCCTACTCCATGGGGACCCCCGCGGAGTAATAAACCATTCGGTCAGCAGCGACTAAAAGCGAGCCGTGAGAGAGACAATGTTCGCACCAAACAGATGCGATCGATCTGGGCCACTGCTAGCGCTTGTTTATTTGTTCTTTCGGAGATTGGAAGTTTCTTCCAAGGAGAAGTTGTGCACGAGTCCTGGCAACACCTTCGCGAGTGGATTCAGGGTCGCCCATCCTCCGGTTCCTCAGTATCTGGCTCTCGGCCCGGGACGGCATCGTCTGCGAAGACACGGCCATCTCGAGGGGCCTCACCCGACCGTGCGTCGAGCCGGCCGACCTCCCAAGCAGGACCGACTCTCAGTCGAACTGACCCTGAAGCTTTGACCACTGCCCACCGTCGCCATCTTTCAATGCTCATCCAGTCCTTATTCCTAACTGATGTTCCATTTACCAGCGCTCTGCGGGCATTGCTCGCCAGTGTCGATCGCTTTGTGGCTCTCGTGATCCGTCTTGAGACGATCCAGCGAAATATGGATCTGGAGACCGATGAAGGCGTGGTGGATGCCCTCGTCGATTACGCTCATGAAGAAAGTGAAGTGTGGCACATGCTGCGAGCAACACGTGATGATTTGAAGAACGGTATTCAAGGACTAGTTGCGAATCTACGTGATATCGATGATCATCGGTCTGGCGAAGGACTCGGCATCGCAACAAACCTAGATAATGGCTATGGCATTCGGGCGGATTCAGGCACAAGCCCGGTGGGTCACTATGTACCGCGCCAACCAGCCGGTGTGGACCGACTTCTGATGAAATTGGACTTTGGGAGTCTGCGTAGCGATGGCGGAGTGGCCATTGCACCGGGATTAACGGATTTGGAGTAGCGTGGTACCCTTTTGGGGTGTGGAGTCTGCGGATCTTGAACGGTTACTTTTTATTTTTTTTTATCAGTTTTTCCCCCTTTCGATTCATCATTCTTTCGGTTCTGCGTTCAGATGATTTTGTCCTATGGGGTTATAGCATCCCCCAAATATGTTCTCTCGGAGGCTTCCAAAGGGATGGAAACGAATAATACGCGGCTCTGGCTTTGCCGCAGGAAACCCAGGTCAAACTAGACCAGGGTCGACAGCACGGATGTATGGCAATTGAGTTTTCGCATCCCCAGCTGTGCGATAGGATCATGTGTACTTGCACTGCCAAGTGAAGAGAAATAACAAATCAAAAACAAATCGAAAATGAAACTGGAATTGCAATCTGGAATTCCGTTGAATGCCCGCCATGCACCTAGTGATCGAAAACACGGAATCCCGAATGGAGTATACTGATCCTTACTCTTATCTTGACAACGTGCACAGGTACCACAGGTGACCAGCGCACGCCATCTAGAATGCTTAAGATCATGTTCGATCACTAATCACCATGCCAGGAGCCGTTACTCTGTTTATACAAAGTATCCACTTCCGTACATACTAGTACTATAGTATACTACAGACAGTACGGATTGGATATCGATTATCATCAATGAGCGAGTTGGATTAAGAATAGTGGACCTGGTACAACTATGAATGGGAATTACCCTGGGATGGAGCTTAGGAGAAATGTGACTTGGTCAACATTTGCAGTCTTGAAATCTTGGCTGCTCTAGTAAACCTGGGGTAAATACTGATTCTACTTTTCCTTGAATCGCCACGAAGCAGGGCACATCCACCCCTGCTTATCTCTCTCAATCTGCGAGAGGCAATGGAGCCCAGTCAATCTGGGTTCCATGCAATTCCAGAGAATCAAAATCAAAATCAAAATCAAAATCAATAAAAAAGGCACAGCGGTGTGCGATCGCAAGTTTCGCAACTCGAGTCCGGGGTTACCTGATTAGGCGATCCCGTCAGATATCTCCCTCGCCTCCTCTAACAATTTTGAAAGAATCACCCGAGAGGCACGGGGAAATTCGAGGAACAGCGAAGCGGAGACTGCAGCTGGGCAAAAGACTGAACTTTGGATAATCTCTCAAACGGTCAACTGACTTGTCCCTTTGGATTTCCGTGTTCCCGAGACATAATCGAGGCTGTTTGGATGAAAATACATGGCTGATCGGAACAGCATCGTATTCGCTCTGGAGCTCCTGGTAGCGAAAACCTTCCAAGGAAAGGAACAATTTACGCCCAGGTCTACACGGATGCCGAAGCACAGTTGGCCGAAATGCCCGATATTCAAAATAGAACAGAAATTTTAGAAATTTAGATCCCGGCGCTATACTTCGGGGGACCCGCTCGAGTGGGCCCAGGCTTCCAGCTCCATTTCTATACGAACACATTTTGCCTGTACGCTGTGGCAAGGGCATCTCTACCCGTGGATACACCACATCTGAACCAATGCAATTCTCGTGAAAGCAGGGATTATTGCAGCTTACTTCTATTCCACTTTTTTTTTTAGTATCACGAGGCCTGGTGTTTTTTTCTTTCTGCATGAGATCTGATGCTCGATCCATGCAAATTCGATGGCCATTTAGTCTAGTAGCTATGAGTTTTACTTACCAGAGCCCTAACGACACTATATAAACCCTTCTCTTCTTGTCCACTTACTGGATCTCCGTCTTTTCCATTTATTGCATCTATAAACATAGCTTACTTCCCTGGCATAGTCCCCAGCCTCTGGTTCCAAGGTTCCGAGGTCCGAAGCCTGATTCTTTGTTATATTTTCTTTATTTACATAATTTACAACCCACTAATATTACCATGACATCCTGCTTGTCACGGACTCTGGCTCCGGTTCGCACTCGCTTTGTCAGTGCTCCTATTGCCGCAAAGGTGTTGAGCTCGTCTTCTATTCGCCTCTACTCAAGCACCAAGAGCACATTCAGCCCGCACAATATTCACCGAATCTCCAACAAACCAGACCACATACAGACCAAGCTGCCCTCAAAACGGGACGTTGGCAATGGCAAACGCTTCCACGAATTTGATATGGAAGACCGTGTCTACGCCATTACCGGAGGTGCACGTGGACTAGGCCTCTCAATGGCCGAAGCCCTCATCGAAGCAGGCGCAAAGGGTAAGCAAGAATTCCAAGTCTAAACACATCTGAATGCTCTACGGAACCTTGGAAGATTTCTTAGACAAAAAAGTTACAACTTGACCTAACAACGCCTCCAGTCTACTGCCTCGACCGCCTCGAAACTCCAAGCGCGGAATTCCTCGCAGCTAAAGACACTGCCGAAAACGAATACGGCGGTCTCCTGGAATACGTCCAAATCGACGTCCGAGACCACAAGCAAGTAGAAGACACATTCGCATACATAGCCGCGCAGCACGAGCGCCTAGACGGGCTCATCGCCGCAGCCGGAATCAACCACCTCCAAAGCGCACTCGAGCACGACCGCGCAGCCCTGGACGACGTCATGAGCATCAACTACACCGGTGTCTTCAACTCCGCCACTGCGGCCGCCCGCCAGATGTTCGCGTACCAGGGCAAAGGATCGATCCTGCTCGTCGCGTCCATGTCGGGACTGATCGCCAACAAGGGCATGACTTCGCCCGTATACAACAGCTCCAAGGCTGCTGTTATCCAGCTGGCTCGCTCGCTTGCCATGGAGTGGGGACGCCATGGGATCCGGGTGAACTCGTTGTGTCCAGGCCACATTATTACGCCGATGGTTGAGGCTGTTTTTCAGCAGAATCCGGCTGCCCGGGCTACCTGGGAGGCGGAGAATATGCTTGGGAGGTTGGCGCTGCCGGAGGAGTTTAGAGGTTGTGCGCTTTTTGCTTTGTCGGATGCTTCGAGCTTTATGACTGGTAGCACTATGCTGATTGATGGCGGTCATACTGCCTGGTAAAATATCTTGATGATTATGAATACCCATACTTTTTCTTTATGCGGTTTGTTTTTTATTCATCCTAATTGACGGGCTGGGGATAGGGCGTTCTACTGAATACTGTGACTATGACTTGATTTCTGCTCTCCTATTCTCGTGTCCTTTGCTCTATTTAATATGTCGCATCAGCAAAGATAGATAGCGTTGAAGGGGGTTTTGTCAGCTTTTAAGCTTGGGTATGAGGCATATGTACTTAATGATGAAGTCGCAGAAAAATCATCATCATCATGCACATCTCAATGTCCTATATCCACTTATGAATTCAAGTTTGCTCTCTCATTTACTTATGTAGTAACTCTAACCTTCAAATGTTAGAAGGCTCTTCAAGAGGTCTAGAGATCAATGAACAACGAAGAACCCTTGAAGACAAATTCTTCAACGTTCCTGGGCAAGACGTTAGTATGTAGATAAAGACAGCTTTGAAACAAACAAACACAAGCCTGGATATAGTAGTAGATCGCCAAAGCCAACGCTGAACCCCCCCAAAACCAAAAATGCAAGTGTTCTACATCAAAATAAATCCAACCAAAACATCCCATCCCGTTAAATGATATAAACCAGTCTCTCTTCCCCGGTATCACACTCAAACTCGTCTCTCCGTCCACCACCCATAAGCTCATCTCGCTCCTCTCCATCCCCAGATCCGAGCCCACTACCCGGCGTGGAATCAAACAAAGCCCCAGTTTCAGAAGCCCGATTCGCCCTTTGCAAGAGTACCCTCAAGACAAAGGCAAGAATGGCGACCAGCACCATGAAAAGGGAACAAACCGCCATACCGCGCACATACCAAGGCCGATCAGCTTCAGGGTATAGCCTAGTTCCCAGTAGAGGACCACACTGTCCGATTATATTCAAGATTGCAATACTCGCTCCCTTGCCTTCTTTCTCAACACGGTTGTCCATCGACCAGGTTATAATTAGTGTGATGGCGGAAAAGAAGCCCGAGATGGCAGGGTAGACGCAGATGTAGCGGATGAAGGTTTGTAGAGAGGGCGAGAGGTATGTATGGAAGTGGCCTGCTGCTGCGATAGCGGCGTACGAGAGGGAAGATATCAGTGCGTGCGCTATGAGGTATGAGCTGCGTGTGCGGGTGCGGTCTGAGGCCCAGGCCGTGATTAGAACAACGACAAAGGCTAATAGGTAGGGTGGCGCCGAAAGAGCTTGCGCCGAAAGCGAGGAGAATCCCATGCTGTGCGTTGAGTTAGTAAAAAGGGATTTTGTAAAGTTTTTCGTCTTTTATTCTCTAAAAAGGACCAGGGCCAACTTACTCTTTGATTATAGTAGGAAGGAAAACCGGCATCGAACTAAAGGCGACATTGCAGCTGAAGAACATGAACTGTGATTCGCGTGCGAAGTAAAATTAGCCTTGAAAAGAGGAAGCGCTTGCGAAGATTGACTTACAGCTGCCATATAAGCCTTGGGATCAGAAGCTGTCTTCAGAATCTCCCGCCAGTTGAACTTATGCTCATTCGACTCTTGATATTTAGTATTGGAGCTGCTGTCTTCCAGTCGCTGTCGAGCCACCGTTCGTTGTCTGCGCGTAAGGAATCGAGCTTTTCCAGGTGAGTCCGGAATGAGAACCCAAGCGAAAACGGCAACGATCACACTTGGGAATCCCTCTACCAAGAAAAGGGTACGCCAGGGAGAGATTGGTCCATTGCTACTGAGCTTGGTAATCACCCAGGCAAGGCTACTGGCAAAAGTAGTTGCCAGCGGCGCGGCAGAAATAAACAATCCATTTCTGAAAGCCAGTTCATGCCGCCGATAGAATAGCGACAAGTAAAATGGGACTCCTGGCCCGAAGGCAGCTTCCGTGATGCCAAGCAAAAGGCGAAGGACGACTAGCCCTCCGAACGAGGTTGCCAGGCATTGGAATGACGCTACCAGACCCCAGCCACACACACAAAGAGATATATAGATGTGTGGTGGAACCACGCGGTACATCAGTGTCATCCATTCGAAAAGGATGTATGTGATGTAAAACGCAGTCAGCAGCCATTCATACTGCGAAGACGAGAGTTGTAGATCCTCTTGAAGTCCAGCTATCTTGGCATTGCCAATATCTATTTAGAGCATCAGCAGACAATTCGATGCCTAGGTAAGGATAGCTCATGGCCCCGCACAGCAGTACCGTAAGCTTAACCCCAAATATCGTAAACATACTGGATCGATCTAAGAAAGCCAAGAGATACAAAAGAGCAAGAAAGGGCACAAGTCTCTTATCGAAGATCCTCACTACCTCTTTCTCCTCTTCCAAAGTATATTTTGGCTGTCGCGCTCTCTTCCCCGGCACCTCAACCGCAGATTCAAATCCATCCCCATCTTCGATATCGGAGACAGGGCCCCCAACATCCCCCTTCGCGTCCCCAAAGTCTGTCTGGAGGCGCAAATTTCCAACCGGTGATTGTCTTGGCTTGCTTTCAGACGCAGAGTAATCGTCTTCATCAGATCCCTTGGAAACAGGTGTGTATCGCGGATTGGAGGTGGAGGCGGAGCCGGAGGAAGATGCGTTCCCCGCAGCGGACGGGGGGAGGTGAAACGCCATTTCAGCCGCAACGACTGTTCGGAATTTGCTCAAGTTCGCTATAGAGTTGGGCCTGGGTGGTTCCCCATGTGGAATGGGTTTTGGCCTGCTCAGATATCACGTAGGGTTCGCTGGGAGCTCGTAATGATGGGTGCGCAGGGCCTTGAGATGATTAGGTAAGGGGGTGCACGTGGGAACTTTTTGGGGTTCGTGCTCGGGTTAAATATTCCCCGAACTATATTCACTCCGAGAACAACATTTGAATATGAATTAACACTCAACGCCAACACATGTTCAGAAGAAGGGAAATAAAAGTATATGGACGGAGACAGAACGTTGCGAATTCCAAGTAGATATTTGACTGATGACCTCGGGATAAGAACAGTCTAACATATTTGCTCCTTTTCACAAAAATGCCCCCAGCCTCCAGGCGCATCTCCGAGCCCCAAATCCCCATACGAGCATATCTGCGGAGAGACGCAGCCACGCACAACCAGGTTTCCCCAGAAGACTCGAGAAACCTGGTATAGAAGTTGGGTCTCAAGTAGACCGAAATCCAAAACCCGTAAAAGTTCCCGGGATTCTTTCAACTGCCCACAGTAACTTCCACACTCATGATCACGAAAGCCAGGTTGCTTTAAAGATGTGACAAGATGATTGTGCTACTTGTAGGGTTCACCCAGAATCGTGCAACTGATCCTGTGCGCAGTTGACGAGCATTCAAGCTTAGCTTAGGCTTAGCTTGGGCTAAATCATATTGTTTTTCTGCTGAGCAAGTACACGCGGCACAATTCGGAATCCACGATATGCCTTTCTATCTCTTGTCAGGATCCTAGGACCCTATGAAAAAGCACGGGCTCCCATCTATTCTGCTGGAAAGGCTAATCACACTCGTCAAATCTGAAATGAATTTCCAAATGGCGTTCAAGGCTTTCACAGAACTTGCAAATCAGACTGTCAAGCTGCATTGAATTTTGAGCCTTATCAGGCAAGAAGCAACCGTGCAAGCTGTGATTCTAAAGAGCTCCAGGTCAAGCGTGGTAGGGTCTAGAATATGACTCAGGTAACATCAAGTATCTCTACTTGCTGCTTGAACATGTTTGGAAGAGTTTGAATGACCTCGGTGTCATTCTTGTAGTGCTCTTAAATGCCAATGACACTTAGGCTCGCGGCCAAAGTCACGGAAAACCTGATCGGCTCGGGCCTGCTCTTTTCTTGTACTTGGGTCCGTCATCAATTGGAGCTGTCGAAAGCAGAAATTTGTTAGTGAAACGATTTGATGAAACGGGATATTGCAAAACTGTAGGCGTCGAGACACCGTTGATACGTGGTTGAACGGTAATATGGCAGAGGGAAATCGAAGAAAGATACTTAAATTAGCACTCAAGTGAGACAATGTTTGTGTAGTAGGCAAGTAACAGTGAAAAACCGAGGTAATAGTGAGAATAAGAGCTTGATGATGAGAAATTTGCAGATGGACCCCCGAGAACGTTGAAGATGAGAAGAGATGACCCAACATCGGGAATGAACTCCCCATGATGATTGATTATTTTCAATCATTCCGATTCTTTCTCGAAATCGATTCGCAAATGCTTTAATGTGTTGATCGGTTGGTATTCGTCACTTTGGATTGCCGCATGATTCCCTTTTAGTTGATACCTTACCCATCAGTGGATGTTGTTGCTTACAATGTTGTAGCTGTGTGTGTGACTGCATGTGTAGGCTGATAACATTGAAGAGGCGCTGTAGATGCTTAACGGTAAAAATATCATTGAAGCATGATTATTGACATGGGGTATCGTCATAGGTCTATCAGAGCTTAATTTCTCTCCTCCCAGAGCCTCTTGATCTCATCAGCTAGCACCTGAGGTTTACTGCCCTCGCCATCCTGAACACAGTTCTTCCAGACTCCGCCATCATGGATGCACCAGACTGACTCGTCCAACCGCACAGTGCAGCTGGTGTGCACATCAAGCCTCTCACTATGCAGTGCATTCTGTCGGAGAAGTGCAATGCCGCTAAGCGGGGTCTTCCCACGTTGGCCATCATCGGGGGCATCACTTTGCTGACTGGCGCATTGGTTCAGAGCATCGAAGTCAATCCCATGCTCCAATGCGCATTGGTGGACAAGCCCACGATCTGGGATGCGAGTATAATCGTTGATGAGGCAGTTTGCGAAGCCTAGGGATCGGATGATAGGGGTCCGAGGGTATGTCTTGGGGAGTAGTGAATTATCCGTGGTAGCAGGGAACGGTAAGTTGGCAGCGCAAAGCATCAGCATATTACCGATGCATTCAGCTGGGCCATGCATGCACTGAATATCGGAGGTTTCTTTTGACACACTAGTAATCATAACCCGTTAGCTTAGTTGCCATAAGAGATCTAGCGATACATACCTGGCAATGAAAGAAAGCCGGAAATCAACCTTGTCACTGATCTGTTCCATAGCGGGCAGAATCAGCTTATGCAGGCAGCCTTGAGCATCTGGGCATTTGCTCATAATGTGAGCCTCAAGAGGAATTCTGATGGATTCATTTGCTTGGCTGCTGGTGGCTGGATATTCGTCTGTGCTGGACTGTTTATGTTCATCGCCCTGGGTAGTGAACTCCATAGGACGGTGAAGAAATGAATCCGGGATCAAATCACTAAGACTATGGCCTTGTACCCATTCTGAATCCCGACTCCAGCGAATCAGCCAAAAATAACCAGTGATGAAACAGACGGCGAGGAGGAGGCGTAGGAAGAAAGGATTTCGGCGTGGTCGTTTATCTAGCCATTTTGGCGCCTTTGAGCTTCCGTAGCTTTCGCCTGTGTGGATAGGAAGCTTGCCCATGTTGTAGGCTAAAGAATACTAGTGTGACCTGGAGAGGCTCAAACTGATGTCGATGTTGATCCTATTTCCTGATAACGATTTGGAGTGGAGTAGACGCGGAGGGGAGTGCCAAGATCACATCATAATATCATTATATGGGTCCAGAGTCACGGGACGACCCAGCCATACAAGTAGCTACGGTGGAACCCAGTATCCAAACATGCACAGCTAGACCGCCTTCTAATTTAGAACTTGCTTTTATAGTATTGCCAATTGGGGCCTGGCCGCCTGGGCAAACTAAAGACTTGCATACACAGTACACGTTTTGTGACTTGATAAGGGGGTTTGCCCTTGGATTTTTGGTTTCACTCCGCAGAAGTGAAAGAAAGTGAGTGCCTTCAAGTTGTTTTTCTGCTCATATTTGTCGCTATCAATGATTCTTAGGCATTAATTGCAGATAAGCGGCCCGTCAATGACTACTTCGTAGCGAGGACTGGCCTACTAGTAGGTTGGACTTTTACTAATGGACTACCAATAGGAAGCACTTCAGCATCAACCGTCGATAACTTGTCAGTTGATTGCAATAATTTTGATTTAATTAGGATTTAGAGCGCATATCATGATTCATGAAAATTAACTCTCTACTCGTCGCTCGTCGACACCACCATTCATTCAATGTTGAAATGAAGTAAACTTGGAATTGAACCGTTCCAATCAGTTTGAAGAATTCGGTGAAAAATCCCAACTGAGCCCCAAAACTAGCTTAGGGTAGGTTGCGCAATCTGATCTTCGAATCAGCCACCTGATATAGCCAAGCGTGTGGCATGAGAGCACAGGTAGGTTGTAGCCGGCATGCACGCACAATAATATGAACCAAGTACGGATATACTAACGAATGGTTAGCTTCCGATCAATTCGGCTTATGCCAGATGGAGGTCCCCTTCCGATGCCCTATCGAATGCACCCTAATGGGCATCATGGATATGATAGGTAGATGCAATGCACTAGCAATCACTAACAATTAGCGTTTCTTTTGTGCCGGAGCATGCATTAATGGTTGTATGCTGCCCAAGCCTCAGGAAATGGTGGTACTCAACCGAAGACTTGGGGGCTTTCAAATGGTATACACCTGTTGAGATTTTATCGTCAAAGGCCGCAGCTGATGCAGTCATGCGTAGAATTGATGATAACCCGTCCGCCTAGTTGGCACGCGACTGGAGACCGATTGAAGAGCGATCGACCTTCCTCATACAGACGCGCTAAAACGGCAAATGTACAAGACGTCTTCCCATCCGATGGGGCTTGATTGGGGATAGATACCATGTGCTCCGATCTCGGAGGCCATTCTGACAGGGCGTGAGTACTCCGTACCAAAGCCAAGTTTATTTGCTTTTTTTTTCCCTTTTTTTTAAGGTTCAAGCTTGAAGGTCCCCAAACCATAGAACCGTTTGGATTACCAGATTCAGGAAAATTTCCGACTCATGCTGTCAAACTGTAAGTTGAAGCTCATGAAGCTTGAAAGACAAAGTTGAGGCACTCTGGAGCAGACGGCGGTGCACCGGTGGCTCATCTCCCCTTTGCCCTCTCCACTTGCATTGATGACCTCGATGGAGCAGGTGATCGGTTACGGAGAGGTTCCGCTCCATATTTTCGAAACGGGGATGAACCAGCCAGGTGCAAGGGCTGACATCTGGTGGCTGCACACGAAACGATCGAGGCCCTGCGCGGCAGTGTCCACGTTACGAACACGGTTATTTCCGGAGGCCGTACTAGTATGCGCGAATGACGGGTATAGCAGTGATCCATAAGGCAACGGCAAATGACGATAATGTAGCACGTTGTTTCCCCTCTAACCGTGATCCGGCCCCACTTGGTTATGAATGTTCTTCCCAAGGCGATGGAGGGGGATTGGCCGTGCGTTTCCCTTAAGTTCCAAGGCGCCTCCCGGAGGGGCTCGTGTGTTTCGTTTATTTGGAGCCAAGAAGAGGAAGTCTCTCCACGAACGGGGGGTAAAAAAAAAGAAGTGGAATTCGTAGCCGAGATATTCTAACCGAGCTGGACAAAGCCCACGTTTTGGAGGCGTCAGATGGCCAGTAGGGTTACATAGTTCGGGGTTGTATGTGGGTTGTTTGAAAGCCCAGAAGTGGACCTTCTCCGACCGCGATCGTCATCGAAGTTTCCGAAGGATAAACGTTGTTTTTTTCCCTGCAAGTTCGATCAGTGGAATTGTTAAACGGAGTATAGAGTTTCAAGTGCAGGTTATGGAGTAAGCTCCAATCGACGATAACTACCGGGATTTCCAAGTCGTCCACGTCCCCGAAAAAAGAACAGCGTCGCATTGCCTCGTGTCCTCCGATGGTCGCATCTCCAATAGCTTTTTTTTTCTTGATAAAAATATGTTTGGATTTTTATTTTTTAAAGAGATCAAAAAAGAAGGAGTTGCTTATTTTTCTCTCTTTTCTCTCTTTTCCCCTTCTTCTCTCTTGTTCTCTTGTTCTTTCTCTCTCCTCTTATAGGAGTTAATCCGATATTAATTACTTGGGACCCCATTCCCTTGGGGCTCCACTTCCGATGATTCTAATTTCTCTCATCCGAAGCATAAAAGAAAGCGAAATCAAAGAGTGTATGTCAACTTGAAATCTCGCAATTTTCAGGTATAATCTGCCTCAGGCATCACAAGGGATATTCGGGCACTACCAAATCACGACGATCTCCATATAATAGGCTTATCCCCCTGGTAGATCCTTGGTCCCCCAAACAAAATACCGAAAAGGACCCTGGAGCTTCTTTTTGGTCTGCTTCACCCCCTTCCCTTTATCACATACCAAGATTCATACCCCAAGGTACGTAAAACATGACAAGTCCAGATCATGGGTTTCATGTTTCGTTTTTCTTTTTTTTGGCAAGATCAGCTTAAGTTCTTAAGTTCTTACGTTCTGGTTTTCTATCCCCCGCAGTACAGACTGTACAGTACCGGAACTTCTCTGCCCCCTCAAATTTACCAATTATCACCTTGCAGACTGCGTCACTGCAATGTTCTACTTCTCCCTTTTACTGACCGTTGCGAACTAGCTGGACTTTATTTTTAGCGTCTTCCCCACTAGCCGCGCATCTTGAGGCCCAAGCCCGTTCCTTTCTGGCTCGTACCTGCTTCGCATTCCTGAGACCCCCCCCCCGACGTCACGATTAAGACCGGAGCGGGTACTGTGACAGAAAGGCACGGTCTTTTTTTGACTTTCTACTGTTATTTTTGTTTTGATCCTCGGTCTCCACATCCAAAACATCTCGATTTCACCCATAACTACAACGCTTTGCTAATCCGACCTTGGCACTTACGCATCTGGGGTTAAATCGTGTGGATTTATCCCTGGACAATAAAAAAAAAAACCGAAAAAGGGGGAATTGAGGGAGAAAAAGAGAAATAAAAAAAATCCTTTCCCCTAAATTCTGACCACAATGGCCTCGGTCAATTCAATATCGTCTGAGAAAGATCATGATGAGGAGCGTGACATCATGCATGACGATGGGATTGAAGATGAAGAACATGAAGAGTTCAGCATGGAATTGGATGCAGCTCAACAGAAACACCTCGAGTATAACCAGCGACTAGATGAGTTCCTTCAACCCCTTTGCTTGGAAGAGGCTGTGTTGTACAGACTCGCGCGTCGTTTTTCCGGCACATACCGCCATTTGGCCTTGACTTCGGATGAGCAGTTTTTACCCACCCCTGTCACCCAACTACCAACGGGAGAAGAAACAGGTCGCTATTTAGCGATTGATGTTGGAGGGAGTAACTTGCGGGTTGCATTTATTGAGTTACTGGGCGAAGTGGACGACTCGGATGTATCTGCAGACGCCTCGGAGAGATCGCGCGACACCATTCGCAAGGCTCAGCGTCAGCGAGTGAAACGAACACTGGAGCGAGCATGGCCAATCCAGGAGCATTTGAAAATGGACAAGGCTGAGGATTTGTTTGCTTGGATTGGTGATTGCATTGCCGAGGTGGTTGCCGAGAGTCTCACTTCCGATGCAACCAGGAAAGATATCCCTGCCGAATTAGATATGGGGATCACCTTCAGTTTCCCTATCATGTGAGTATATCTGGACTGATTGTTGTCGAGCAACGCCGCAAACCATCTCTAAACATATAAATACTGACTAATCTCTAGGCAAGAATCTCTTGCGGAGGCTACATTGATGCCCATGGGTAAGGGGTTTGCCATTTCTTCAAATCTCAATCTTCGCGACATTCTTCTAAACGGGTATGAGAAACATACAAGACGGCCAGATGATGAAGAAGAGCCTTCCTCCAAACGTCGAAAGTTGTTTGCCTTACCCAAACTGAAGATCCAAGCCATCACAAATGACACAGTCGCAACGCTAGCTTCACTCGCCTATGCGGTCAAATCCTTGCCAAACAGTCGAGTTGCCATGGGAATTATCGTTGGAACGGGATGTAATGCAACAATTCCGATGAAGCTCAGTGAGCTGCACGAGTCTAAGGCAAAAAGTGTCAATATGATGGAGCCGGAAGCCACGGAGACTATCGTCAACACTGAGTGGACAATTTCCGGTGCTGCACCTCCACTCTCCGAGTTGGAAATTACTACTGAATGGGATATCGCATTGGACAAGGCCTGCGCACGCCCTGGCTTCCAACCCTTTGAATATATGACCGGAGGACGATACATTGGTGAATTGATCCGTCTGATCCTGTTCGACTATCTCACTACCGTGACGGGGCTTTCGAAACGAATCCTGCCCGCAAATCTCATTCAAGAATATGCTCTCACCACCACTTACATTTCTGACAACGTCGCCCGAGCTCGGTCGGATCAAGATCTAGCCAAGGAGCTCAACGAATCTCTCCCTCCCCCAGAGAGTAGCGACTGGCATTGGGATGCCCGTACGGCGGGTGCCTTCCGCCGAATTGCTCGGGCAGTACAAAGACGATCGGCCGGACTGATCGCCGCTGCTGTCATTGGATTACTAGCCTGCTGCCGCGAAATTGAGCTGAAGGAAGACAGCAATGTGAACACGCCGGAGAATGCGGCCTCTCCACAAAGCAATGGCGACGTTTCCGCTGTCGTCTCTGATACTGTTGGTAGTACCCAACCAGCTTCCCTCACTCACAATATTCATGGTCACGTTGTTCCGGTCTTACAGCCTATGCCGACAGATTGGCAATTTGGACCCGAGGAACTGGTAGTAGCATACACTGGTGGTATCATTCAACACTACCCGCAGTTCAAAGAAATGTGCCAACAACACATTGATCGTCTGATTATGCGGACTGGTCCGCAAAGGGGAGGCAAATCTGTTTTCTTGCGAGAAGCTTCGGATGGCGGCGTTATCGGTGCGGGTGTTTTGGCTGGGATGGTTGTCAGCAAGTAAAATAGTTAGTTAACAACCTTATGACTCATTTTAGGCGGAGGAGTTTTCAAGTGAGGGGATGGCTTAATATCTAAGAATTTTACTACTGGGGTTGGGACAATCACATAGAAATGGATATGATATCTTGCTGTTGAAATGAGTCTCATTGATATTATAGTCACTTGTAAATTTAACGCAAGTATAAGATTAAGCCGGCTGTCGATAAGTCGACCAAGTGAAATGGAAGATAAGAACGGCAGTGGAGTCATGTGACATCACGTGGGCGATCCTCCCCGCGATCCATCGAGTTGGGGCAACTTAGCATTCGACATTCTCCAGCACCTTCACGTTTTCCTCGAAGAAACATCGATCGCCACCGCGAAGATGGCTGCACAGCAATCTTACTATGAGCTCTACCGCGGTAGCAGGTACGACCGTCACAGGACAGCTGGAGCTGAGATAAAGACTAACAAGAGATGACATCTTAGTCTAGGTCTGTCTCTCACCGACACTCTTGATGATCTGATCAACGAGGGTCGCATCGAGCCTCAGCTCGCGATGAAGATTCTTTCCACCTTCGACAAGGTTGTCACCGAGGTGCTAGCGGACAAGGTCCGAGCTAGACTCACATTCAAGGTATGAAGAGCTTCTTTCGGATCTTGGGCACCATGAAGTGCACAGAAGCTGCTGTGGTTTAGTGGGGACTGCTTTCAGTAATTCAACAAGACTAAATTATTCCTACTTTTCCAGGGCCACCTTGACACCTACCGATTTTGCGACGAAGTCTGGACCTTCCTGATCAAGGATGTATCGTTCAAGCTGGATAACCAAACCACCGTTACTGCAGACAAGGTGAAGATCGTGAGCTGCAACAGCAAGCGACCGGGTGAAGCCTAGATCGTCTACCGTTCAAAGGGTCTTTGGTTTCAGTTTCATGGCGTTCGCACAAGGTGGTCATACAGGCGTTAAAACATCGGGTCTTTTATGGCGTACAATGGGTGTTTTTTAATCCCTTTTCATTTAATCTTTTCTTGCCTCATGGACAACACAGATTATCCAGAACCAATCATATACCCAGCAAATTGAGGGTTGTCAACTCTACTAGTGCATAACGTGATCCTGTTTTGTTGTGTCTCTTATAAGCCGTAAAGCCGTAGGGCGGGTGACCTCATTTCTTATCCGTGCCGATCTCTAAGTTTCCGCTATACCACCTCCGCAACACCACAGCTTGCGCGATCTGTCAAGATCCGCTCAGAACGCTCCCATGCCCAGGACTTTACCCTGGCTCCTTGAGCCAAAGGAGGAGGGACGCGTCAAACGAGAATCAACCCCGCGGAAGCGCTTCAAGCGTGAGGCAGATGCAGACCCGGACTTGACGCCGAAACCACCCACATCTCCCAACAGAAGAGATTTCATGCGATCATGTATGTACTAGTATCAACTTGATCTCCGAGTCCATGTGACTTTTCACAGCAGCTAACAAGCGTTCGCTTTGAACAGCCCAAACCCCACCTACCTCCCCGCCGCGCGCGTGTCCCGCAGAAGAGTACGTCCCGAGCTCGTGAACCAAGCGGAACGATTCCACTCACACCGAATAGATTCCTCGTGGCAGGCCTAGATAAAGATGATGCTTGGGTCATGGTAGAAGATGAATTCTATGCGATCGCGCAAACATTCACCAAGCATCTGCATTATGCGGAGTACGCCCGCCTAAAGAAAGAAGCCAAGGCTCAGAGCGCAACGGCTGCAAGAGAAGTCGAGAGGCCTACAGATTGCCAAACAGCAATTTCAAAGGCGCTTCAATTAAAAAAGGATGCGGAGGCGCTTGATGCGCGCCAGAAAGCTGGCCTCGCTCAGCTGGAAGGACCAGTGGCTGACAACCCGGAGGAGGATACCGACGAAGACGATGGCGTCTGGGCTGGAACACATCTCCACGGTCTAATGACGAGCCCGCGAAAGTCTCGATCTTTGGTTGGGACTCATACTCTCAAATCTGCTACTAGGGCTGCTGCAGGCTTTGGGCAAGCGCCTAGGTCCAATCACGATAGCGCCCATGTTGCGAGTTCTCCTCCAAATGTCCTTCCATCAAGAACGGTGGTGGAATCAAATGAGGTGATTGATCTTGAGACGGCATCGGAGGATGAGTTTGACTTCGATGGACAGATTTACCCTGTTCCCGTCTCATCGACTACTAGACGCCAGGAGAAGGAGGCTACACCAAGTAAAGCCCCGCAATCACAAACTCCAACAGCAAGGCGACAAATAAGCGCCACGCCTATGGAGTCTGTACAGAAAACTCCGACAATGGATAAAGAGAGGCCAATACCGACCCCAAAAACCTCTACATTGCACAGAGAAAGGCCATCAACCACGCCAAAGAACAGCAAGCCAGCAACAGTTTACAAGTCAAGAGTTCAAATGTTATTTGATGACCTCGATGGGCTACCAGAGCCATCTCAGCCGATTTCGTATATCTCTGATAAGAAAAAAGGTTCAAACCCCGGCGACAGCGCAACTAGGGAAGCCTCTGAGACCAACAATTTAGAGTCCAAATCTCGCTATAACGACGTGCCGACTTTTTTGGTGTGATTGCGAAACCCCGAACCCCCTTCGGTTCTTCGGGGACCATATTATATTTCCTGTAGATCAAGCAGATGATCTATCCAAAGCCGCCTCAACCTGTCCGCCCTGAACAGACGCGTCCTGCACACTCTTATCCAACACCTGTATTTCATGAGCTTCGTGGTCTTCGACTGCTGTCGTCTTTAACCATCGCGTCAATGACCTAAGGAGGGGCTTGACACCTCCACGCTCATAGCCCGCACTTGGGCCTGTATTTTCTCCTCCATCAACGGCTGGAGGTCCGTCATCTCGATTGTCGTGCCGTGTCTCGTCATTATCGATCCCCGGCGATCCCGATACATGAACATGCTGTAGCTCCTTTGTCAGAATTGGTCGCTCGCTTGTGGTTTGATTGGGCGATATGACTGACTCCGCATCTGAGAAGCAAGCCGGTGGCTCTTCCTTTCGAAAATTGGTTGGCAGGCCCTGAGGAATCGGTGCTATTAGTTTCAGATATTTTGAACATCGTGGCAGGATCGTGGTCTCTAACTCACAATTTCAAGCACCTTTTCCTTTGGTGTAAATGGAGCCTTCATGCACCTCCAGACTTGTCGGAAACACTCCATACTTGCTGATATTTGTGTTGGGCTGTCTGATTGGGTTCGGGTTTTGCGCGAGTTGATGAAGATCGTGATAAATAGTCCGCGGACGAATGTGAATAAGAACACTGGAGCTTAGTTAAAAGCCAGGTCTTTGTTGCTCGCGATCGATGATCCAGGGCAAGAGGGAACGCTTGGGTGAAGGTCAAAAATCTCAATATGCGAAAAGAAAGAAAGGCGACGAAAGTTGCCGAATGAAAGAATGAATGAATGAAAGAAGACCCCACCAAGCTGCAGATGTTCTATGCCATTGACACCCTGGCCGCAGAATAATGAAAAAGCAAAGATTGCGGCTAGGCTGGGGTACATATAGGAAATCGAACCTGGGCTAGGCATCTCATGCAGTATGCAAATCCATACTAAGCCCGGTTTGTCAAGGGCGCATTGGATTCCCCACCGTTCCCTCGACCCACATGTAGAGCTGGGCGACAGCCGGGCGCGCTCCTGTGGCATGGACAGCGGGCCACTCAAGTTGACAGTCTCGGCAGGGTTCGCCCGCGCAGTCCCTTTGAAGAAAGTCTGTGACACATTCCAAGCTGACGGCCTACACTGTTCTCCCCTGGCGGCAACGGCGGGCTATAGTTCTCCACCGAAGATAGATCGCCAGGGATCCTCGGGTCGCCGACGCAAATCTACCACAAAGAACGTAGAGCCAAGTCCTCGGTGCCTAGGTTGCCTAATTCGGTCTCGCGCGATGCACGTATTCTAATCGCCCGCAAGCGCCATTTACTCCGAACACGCCACGAATCTGCGAGATTTGCAAGTCAGAGAGGGCGCATTACGTGCCTCGATTCTCGCTAGCGTACATGGCTAGGCAGTAAGGTCACTTAGTATGACCTGCAGGCTGCATGTCAGAAAATGCGTCAACAAAACCCGTGCATCATAGGAACTCGGCTATCAGTGGGCCCCCGAGTGGAGAACAAGAAACCTTTTCGAGGTTCCCGAAAGGGTAAAAGGGAGCCTGTTACTGTACAGGGCTCGAGTCTTAGGGAAACCATACTTCATTCTTGGGCCCTTCCAGCTGATGGCACTCCTGGGCTCTTTGATTATTAAGGTTTTCAGCGCAGGGCAAGTCAATGATGACGCCGTTTCCCTAGGCACGCATGGAAGGAATATGCAAATGCGGCCAGTTCAAAGGATGTGTGCCTTTGTTTCTTTCCTATCAATAGACATGAGACAATCTTCAGGGGGAGGATCAACTAGTATACCTCCATGCCTTCGAAATTACTCAAGTACTTCTTTGTTCTTCGTTTCCCTGTCAGCAAGACAAAACTAGGCACTTGAGCACCATATCACATACTGAATACGAGAAAGATCGCAAATCGGCTTGTCGATCGATCCTTAATTTGTTAACTGACAGGGGTGATCCAGACAGTCCATACCGCTTATATTATCCGGGGTATCCTCATTTCTTCGTGATTAGGGCCTCGACTGCACATATTTACACTCCATTACAGCTTCTAGACAAGCACGAAATATTCGGATTCAATAATCGTCCCTGTATTCGTGCTGTCATCGTAATGTATGCTGTATGTGACTCATCGATGTAGTTGTCTAGGCAGCGAAAGTGCAAGCCCTGTCCTAGCACACAACATAACTAATCAGTCACCACCACCTGGGCATCTACCTAATTCCCAACATTGAAGCGACGGATAACTCGGCATACTTTCAACTCCATCTTCTCCGTTTAGAGTATGCCATTCGTTCAAACCCAAAGCAACGTTTACAGAAGTCAAATTTCCAAGTCCTTGCGCGTTAAAAGCTTTATTTACTGTATTTGCGTTTCCTCCCTTGCGTCGGAGCTATGCCGCGTCGAAGACCATCTCACCACCGATCGCGGCGGACTTTTCCCTCTTTTCACGCAGGTACACATTCCTAGATAAGAAAAGGGAAAATGGGCAAATGAGATTCATTTATGGTGGTTCAACTGTCCCAAACCGCCTGCTTTCCACGTCATTCTCAAGGATCAATTTCACCTCCGCCTAGGTGCCTTTTTTAAAGATGTCTTATTATCACTGATATGACTTAATTAAGAGCTCAATTCTCTTCCTAGTATGAGTAAATTTCTTGCAATTATTGTCCCCTTTGGACCCATTTCCTTGCGGCAGCTCCTTTTGCTCGGCCACATAGTCACCTTCATGTACGGTACTGTTTTCTACTTAGCACTTGAGCGAATGACATTTTCTCAAATATCTCCTTATTTCAACAAAATTATCTCATCTTAAAAGAAAAATACAATCATCTCGAAGCCATTTGAGTAAAATAACGCTATGATCCAGGCCTATATGTTTCCATCGTATCTCTTCTTTACCACCATGCTTAGCCTCCTCAAATTCCAATCTCCATGCATAAATGTAAAGACGGGTTTAGGGAGCGGCAAAGCCGCTCGGGAACGAAATTGCAAGCACATGAGTATCACTCGGGACTACGGAGAACAAAATCCAAACCAATACCCCCTCAAGCATCCAAGCACGGGTTCGATCTTAAAATCTGAAATCAGCCCGTCTGGCATGCCACGGGAGATCTCCGCAACGTAAGGTCGGTCAGATATGCGACAATGTTAGAATCCCCTCGACCAGCAATGACCCGAAGAATTGGGTCGGCCCATGGAAAGCTTGGGCTTGCATTCTTTCCTTCATTCATCGAAGTTGCGCTTCCTTCTCGAGCGTTTGCCGTTTTGGTTATGTGAAGCTTTCCTTGCGCTATTAGATTCCATTCTTTGCTGATCGGCTTATCGGGATCGTGTCGGTACATCTGTTTCGGTACGTCATCTGGGTCTTGAGATAGTACATCGCATTGATTAATGGAACGGATGGAAGTCGTTTGATGCATTGGTGATTGATACACATGCATGTATCAATTCAAATCCATTTGTTGACTGAGTCAAGTTAAAACTCACAACTTATTGAAACTAAAAAAAAAAACAAATCATTCAAAGAACTTATGTCGCCAGTTCCACACATGTGCAAGTACTACGTACATAACTAGACTGGTATTATGTTTAGATGTTACATGGTCTGATTGATAGAGCAAGGGCCTGGCATCGGGACGAAGTAGACTGGTGGTTTCAGTCATCGCAATCGGAATTCTTTTTCTATCTCATATAATTAACCTTATTGCGCCAGATCCCTCACCAAGCGTGCTCCAGCCCAGGCATAAACGTAGTTGTGTTGGTACCAATTAACGCTATTACAGGTCAGTGGTAATTCGGAACATATGTATTCAAATTTGGTCCATGTAGCTGACTTACAATGTAGATCGGCCAGCAATCCGAGGCAGCGTCGCCCAGGAGCCACCAAGAACGATATTATGTTTCCCATCAAAGAAGTCGGCTACATTCATAAATAAGATTAGAAAATGTTTCATGGCTCAGGAATAAATTTTCCACTCACAGGTATAACCCGGGTAAATTTCCATGGCCTCGAAGCCTTCGTCAGCCAATAAAGGCGAACTAGTCCACTCCCAGACTCCACCAAATTCACCTTGACCAGCTAGCTGGTCGCCGTTTGGGGTGACAGGAGTTGGATGCCAGTTCTTGAAGCCCACGTTGCAATCTGTGAGATCACGAAACACGGGTGTCGTCAGGGTTCCGTTGACCGCATTGGTTCCATTTCTGTGATTGAGGTCAGTTTCCTTTGCATGATCTATATGGAATGAACGGGACTCTTGTTTTGACGCACCCATGCCCATTCGATGTTTGATCTGCAGTACTCTCCTTGAGTCGTTCCGAATACTGATAAATGCTCTTGACCTCTTCGAACGTGGGGATTCGACACTCCACCCATTTAGCATAACTCGCCAGCTCGTCGTAAGAAGCAATGACGGGCCAATCATGTGCAAGTTCCAAAGGAACAGAGCCCAAGACAGTTCGGACTGAAAAATTATTCAAATACTCCTCGGTGGCCCCAGGGCTTGATCGGCTGATTCCCTTGGCAATCGGATACGCTTGATCCGGGTGAACAAGCAACCAAGACGCCGGAATTGCTCGGGATCGATTGGCTTGCAGAAACTTCGCATATTCACCATTTGTGATCGGTCGGGCAAGTGCCTCGAAAGAGTGAACAGTAAGTTTCTTCTGGGGCTTTTCGTTATCCCAGCCAAAGGAATCTCTGGGCATGTTATCTTTGTCCGAGTCCTCAAGGCCGATTGTCATGGTTTGTTTGGGGATGCGGAACCATTGATTTGGTTTAGCATTGCTTTTTGCGTCTTGAGCCATCCGACCGAAGTCGGGAGTGTCAATACCAGAGGGCGGTAGCGCTTTCTCACTCTGCAGCAGCATGTAAAGGAATGTTTCCAGATGCATGGCCTCATGCTCGAAACCGATCCACAGAGCCTCGCCCAGGCATCTATCTTCTAAGGTCTTGCTATCCTCAAGGAGCGATCGCACCCTGCTTCTAACTCGCACCTGGTAGTCCAAGATCTCATCCAAGGCAGGCCACGAATCGGGAGTTTCGCTGTGGGAATGACACTGTTCGGGGTCGTCAACATCGGGGTCAACTCCTCGCTCGAATATTTTTTGGTAATATTTAGGATCAGTAGGTTTTCCCCGTGTTGCGCGGGTTAGATGGATATCTATTTCGAACGATTAGTACCCGCACTAGTATTTCGAAGAAGTGGTAGACGAACCTGAAAATGTCGGTATATGACCAAGATAAAAGATCAATTCATTTCGGAGCTTGATTGGCTTGGAGAGAAGATCTGCCCGAGGAATCATGGTCTTTGTCACGGTATCCCATGCAGTCCACAGCGATTGGAAATCTTTCAATGTCGGAATAGGTCGTGCTGCATATTGAGAAGGCCGAGTTGGGACATCAATAGCTGCTGGTGAGAGGAAATGAATATCTAAGAGATTCTCCATGTCAGCATATGGTTATAGCACTTGAGATGACAAGCAAGAGAAATAGCCTTGTTTGCACGCACGGTAGTTGTCCTCGGAATTTCCAAATTCCATCTGGGGGATTAACCCCGCACTACGACAGAGTTCATCCCGCTCCTCTCTGCTATATTTGTAGGCATCTTCGAACTTCAGCTTCTCTCCTTTCCGAATTAAAATGTCATTGATCGTGACATCAACTTTTGGGGAATAAAAAGCTTGATGGCAGCCATTTTTGGCGTCATAGTTAGTCACCACTTCCCAGTCCTCATGCCGGAAAGCTTCAAAGCCTAGTACAGTGTTTGCGTGACGCAATCCATTTTCATAGAATGCGCGAGTGATTCCCTGAGAATCATTATAAGCGCTGTAAACCCTTTCAGGTTCTTTGCAAGCATCCAGTCCAATCAGAAGGAAATCTGATGGCCCGAGGAGCCTGGAGAAACCACCAAGAAAACCTGCTGCTTCGGAGCGGGTGAAGTTTCCGATGGAAGATCCCATCGAAAGCACAATCGTTGGCCTGGTGCGATTTTCTGGCTTCTGCAGCCAGTCATGAGCATCGTCATAGGTACCGTGGAGCCCATGAAATCCAACATATTTGAAGGTCTCCGGCGAGATCTCGGAGAATGTTCGTTGTAGTTCCGCCAGGGACAGGTCCAACGCGTAGTAGTCCACGCGCTTTTCTGTTCGCTCGCATTCACGTAGAAGGATCTCGATTTTCCTCAGATTTCTGAAACAAACTGTTAGAGATGGCTGGCAATGAAGTACAGGCCTAAGGAGCAACTAACCCACTGCCAAGTTCGACCAGTTGTGCATTTTCCGGAATCCGTTCCACCATTCTCTTTGCATGTGTAGTCAAGAGTTCAATCTCAGCGTTGGTGAGGTAATATTCGTCCAGATAAGTGATCTTCTCGAACAACTTGAGTCCTTTGGTGTCATATAGCAGAAGGGTGGGAAATGAGGGTGGTCTGCCCTCGGGAGGACTCAGATTCTTATAAAGCTCATCGACGAGAGAAAAGTCCATATCATCATCTTGATGTATATTGACAATGTCAACACCGTCGATGTTTGTGAGTGCTGATGGAGACATTTTTACCTCTAGAAATGTCTTGGGTGAAAGGAACAAAATTAAAGGCAACTATGAGGAGAAAGAAAACATAAGACTGAAGAAGAGGGGCGGGGGGGCGGAGGGGCAGAGGGGAGTTTCTAGGTTTAAATGCAAGAGCTATGGGAAGCTTTGGGGCTTTCCAGGAACAGAAGCGAGGTGAGCCCCGAACAATCTTGGATACGGAATCATAGGAATCATAGGAATCATACTAAAGAAAGAAAGACAAGTCTATGACAAATCATCACAACAGAAACAGAAGGAACGGCCCGGTATACAGCGGTCCAATCATCGGCGATCATGCCACAGAAAAGTTGGAATCAAAACAAGGCAGAAAGCAAAATTGCAGTTGCATTTGCAGTTTACAGCAGAAATCTCTATGCATAGAGACAAGCTGGCCAGGGTTGATGACCGATGTCGACGCAAGATTCACCCGCTGGACCCGGTTTTGGACCCACCGTCATGTTTGCATTGAACACCCCCGCAAGTCTAGAGCGCATATATCAGCCCAAGACAGCCAATCGCAATCCTCGACCCATATTATCAGATGGTACACACGGAGTGACATAATGACCTTGCCTGTTTGCATCCTATGCACATTACCCGATTCGGACTAGAGGTGGAGCCGCCCCATCGGCTGAGGTCATGGCTCCTGTTTGCCTCGTTTGTCAGGTTTGCATCCTCCCCAATTATAGTTTCTTTGTAATCAAATCGTTCCTTTTAAACTCAAGTGTAGTTTAGTTACTTCGTATTTATTTTAGTCTCTGACTCAACTCCGGTCTGAAAGACTGAATCAAGTTAGATCCTTGCCACAAAGAAAATCTCTTTGATCTTGAATAATAACAAAGTCGATTGTTTGTGTTTTGTCTCTTTCCCAAGATTATCATCAATGCCCATCAACAATGAATATCTTGAACAAAAAGCCCTCAACTGATAACAATGGCTTTATCGAAGCCAGTGTCCTCAGGCTGAGTACTTATAGTTCGATGTCTCCCCAATGAAAAACATGACTTACTCAATCTGCCACTACCCAGAACATCATTAAACAATCCAAGAGAAAGGGTAAAAATTCTCCCTACTATAACTAACATGAATATCCTCAAGAAAACCTCCAAGTTCAGCATTAGCCGACTTCTTCGACAACACAAAGACAAGAAATCCAACAGTTCCAAAACTGAAGAAACAGATCCCATTATAAAAGTCATCCAACTAACTGCTCAAGTCGTTAGCCTGGAACAAAATCTAAAGCAAGCCATTGACACCGTGCACTCGCTCAAGGCCCAGCTGGCAGAGTACGACGTCCTTCTAGCACATGCCAACTGCCGTGTTGCTGAGTCTACACCTCCAGCATTCCATATTGAAGCTCACTCATCCAATCAAACCAGCTCTATCCTGATCCCCAAGATGAGCCCCACTCGTGTATGGATTGATGACCTTTGGCTCTGCAATGCCGCTGATAACACGCCTCTTCAAGAAGCAGAAGCATACTGGAAAAACGGGAATTCCCAGTGCGCTCTTGAAATTGTTTCGCAGGCAATCGATTCCAATCCTTTCCTATCCCCTGCCGAAGAAATTCGCTGCCGGATCTTTGCCGCTGCAGTTTTTCACTCCACGGGGCATTTTGAAGAGTCCAACCGTCGTATCGGAATAGTGCTACAGACCATGGAAAAGTGGACCCGTCTCAACCGGCCTCAAGATGATTTAATAAGTATTGCTCATTATGTCCAAGGACGAAACCTCATGGAGCTGGGAGAGTTCACTGATGCTTACTATTCCCTCTCTCGGACTCTCTGCACACCTGGATATCATACCAAAGCGCGCGATTATCAAAAGAATGCTATAATTGAGTTCACTCGCCAAGTGGCAATGGAAGATAACAAATCTGTCTCTTCGTCTTTGCGCCCCATTGTGAGTCGGACCGAAAACGTTCTAGATGAAGAATACCTGTCGTAAGTTCTGCTGATATACTCTCTTTCAATTTTAGGTTGTGCTTCTATCGACATTTTGGTCCAAGTTAATCCGATTTCTAATTGCGACTACTCTTTACGTGCTAAATGAAGACCTTGAATGATGACTGGTACTAGATGATGACATACTGCCAGGTGCAGTTTCAGCAGACAATCATATTTTAGAAGCTGCTTTGTTTTTTTTTTTTAAATAAATATAAGATGAAAAATAAAACAACTTCAACTCTGAACTTTACAATATCTCGGGCATTTATTTGTCTATATGTAGTCTTTTAATAATGCATGTAACAATCAATAACTTGGTTGTTTATGAAACGATCTGAAGAGCGTAGATGTTAAATGAGCTCAAGGTCTTTCTCAAATAATGCCCACCCGTAGTTAGCACTATATAGACCACATTCACTGAAACAGTTGCTTGAAGTAGTAATCTCAGAAAAGATACTGGCAGGCACTCACCATATGTACACTGTTTATACAACCACTGTCTCGCCACCTTCTTTCTTTGGAATGTTGGGGGCTACCGGCTCATCGGCACATTCCACTTGAACTATCCGATGCCCAATTTTCCCCTCGGAGGCCTCAATCACAATTGCGCTCAACTGATTGCCGTACAAGCACGCTGAATCCAGTCCAATCGTATACCTGCCTAGCTGCAAACGCCGCTTCGCATCGTGACCGAACACCACGGTAGTCTTGGATTGCAGCCCATCTTGCCAGCGATCCCATTCAGTCACCCAGCCCTCTTCTCCAGAAGCCTCAGCCGGTGTAAATCCACTCACATCACCAGGCGCACGCTCGAGGCTCCGCATATGCATTATAGAGTATGGATCCTGCTCTTCAAGTGGGATGCCGGGAACGAGGCCCGCATGCGTAACGACTAGAGTGTCGCCATATGGGCTTGATAGGTTGTGAGGCAGCTTGATGCGCAAAATCAACGGCAGTGCGGCAAGCCAGTCGAGGTGGTGTTGAGAAAGTGCTGATGCCGTGCTGTATGTTGCAGAACTGTGTTTCTTTTCGGGTATCTCTGGATCTCGGGCAGTGGAGCCAGGAAGTCTGGTAGAAGCTTCGGAGATCTCAGGTGCGGGCGAAGTACCAGGTACGTTTTCGGGATTCTGTTGAACGTCCTTTGTCGCCCTTATTTCTGCGGCCGCATTCAGGACGGCATTTTCGTGGTTGCCTCTTACTGCGCTGGCGCCTAGCTTAATAGCTAGATCGACAACACCAGGACTGTCGGGCCCTTTATTGACTAGGTCGCCGACTAGTATAAGATGATCTCCTTTGCGTTTGTCGAAGTCAACTTTCTCCAAGAGGGCCTCGAGGGACTTTCTCATTCCATGCACATCGCCTATAATAACCAATCGTCCAGTAGCAGTGCCATTTTCAGGAAATGGTGAGAGTAATTGCGGGATCCAGCCGTTTGGTAGGTCTGAGATGAATTTTATGATTGGAAATAACTTGGTAGCCTTCGTGGAAGTCATTTCTTTTTGGCTGAAGCATGTATTTATTGGAGGGAAAGTGAAAGTGGAGACCATGTGATTTGGAAGACGCGCCATAGGCTCGCCGCTAAGTAAAGTATAATAACCCGATGTAGACTAGCGTGGTTTGTAGGTACCGGGTCTGTTTAGAAATGACCCTTTCACCCTGTGTATCCCTCGCTAGAATCCATGACTACCCGAGGGATCATCTCTCCTATCCCTCAGTCAAATTTATCAGGAGCTTATAGATATAATATTGCCCAGTCAACAACCACATCGCCTGGTTTCCCTTTTGAGGTCCCCGCTCAAGATTGAAGATAATATCACCCGGGGTGTTGATCTTGCCCAGTAAGAGTCCAGAAAGGGGGTCAACGACATCCACTCCACCCAATACCGCGACGAGAAGATATCCATCTCTGGTAACCTGTATTCCGTCCGGCCATCCGCTCTCCGCCTGGTGGACTAGACGGGCATTGCTGAGGATTGAGCCTGTCACGTCGAATGCCCAGACATTCCGCAAGCTGGCCGGTTTAAATTCCAACGGCTTACCTGCAATGGAGTCTGAGTCGGCGACGTACAGAGTTGATCCGTCAGGCGAGAACGCAAGTCCATTTGGTGTCGAGACAACCGAGTTCGAGACTGCCACTAGCGCTTTCGTTTTGGTGTTGAAGAAGTAGATGCCGTTGGGGAGTTCGGGTGCCTGTACACCGGCGAAGTCTTGGGACCAACCATATGGAGGGTCAGTGAACCAGATATTTGAGTTCGAGTCGAAGATCAAGTCGTTGGGACTATTGAGGTGGCGTCCACGGAAGTTGTTTACAACCGGGATCGCGGTGCCATCAAGTGGGTTGAGCGACCAGATCCCTCGAGCTGGCCCTCCGTTGGTAGTCAAATAAATACGGCCCTTGTGATATCTTGCTCCATTGACATTTGCTAAGGGTGGGTTTGTCTCAACTTTTCGTGCCTTGTGAGTATTCACATCAATTGCCCATAGCCAACCTGTGACACTAGTGTCTGCGTAGAAGAGTTCATTTGTTTCTGGGACAAATGCAGGCGCCTCGTGGACATGTGGAGGCTCTCCCTCGAAAAACTGGATTTTCTCCAGCTTTGCCTGCGAGCCAATGATGTTGAAAAATGAAAAATCCCATGCGATAAAATCTTTAGACTTAATCTTTGTCAAAGCGTTTTGAAAGGAAGGCTCTTGTGACTGAATGTCATATAATGGGGTCCCTGAAAATCGATCAGTATCGAGTCGCCCCCAATAGGTATACACAAACAACTTACTGATACCACCAGCCTCCCATTCGCCAGGGATCACAGCAAGATTATCTTTCACAAATGAGACTGAAACGTTTTCGAATTCAGGCGGTATATTGTTCAAATATTCACTATCGCTTTGTAATATGTTTGGATTGACATCCGGAGTAACGGGTTGTTGGCTAAACCCAAGGAAGCTGAGGCAGGGGAAAGCATTTCCGGAGAAGGCAGAAAAAAGCGAAGTACTGAGGTCCATGACGTTAATATCCTCTGAGTCTCAAACAATTTTTATTGTGCTTAGGAGTCAATGGATTTGAGGTTTCTTTTTCGTGGTTAGGCTGAGGGGACGGGGCAAGTCCGAACCAACCCCCTAAATCTCGTACCGAAGCCCCGCGCAGAAGAAAAGCCTGTGCCCCACTAACAAAGCCACCCAAATATGCATAATGTGATGCAGAAAAGCATGCAGATATCCTTTTTCGGATTTTGTGTGACTCTAAAGGAAGAGGTTTGTTCGTGATTCATACTACACGAGGACCTTGGGGACATTGTGTTCCCCCTATGGAAGAAATGAAGTGCAAGGATTTCAAGTAGCTAGAAGGAAGCATGTAATAAGTACAAGTAAAGATCGGCGCACAGCTCGCATGTCTCTAGGTAAGGAACTTACTAAGGATGTACCCAGTAGCCCTGGGGTTAACAAACCTTGGTGTGTAGTACATACTAGTACATGCTCAATACTCACATGTGCAGGATAGGTATACACTTAGTACTCGAGATGGGTACCTACTCAGGAGTCAGTACTTATTAAGATGGGTATAATGTATAATACTCACGGGGAATTCATGTATTGAAAACAAAACACAGGTAAGTAGTAAAGGGGGAGATGATGAAAACAATTGAATTTGATAAACAATTTCCCTAAATTAAAGAGGCAATTTCAGCTCGATAACAAGCACTTGAGGTCAGAAAAATTGATCTCAAGTTACACCCTCAATGGCCTGGCATGAACCTTGACATTCGACTTGTTTATAGCGAATCCATGATCCAACCACTCCATACTATCCGCATCGGTCTTGTAGAGTGAAAGATCAAAGTCCGAGAAGAAAATTGCCAGGATCATGTATATCTCCATATAAGCAAGGCTATAACGAAAAGTCAGTCAGTTCAATACATTAGTAGCATATAAATGTGGCTATGAAGATATGAAGTCTCTTACTTGATCCCAGCACACGCGCGTGGACCCTTGGAAAACGAAACGTTCCAGCGCTCAAGCTCTCTGCCTTTCTCACCCGCCCATCGCTCGGGCTTGAATTTCTCCGGCTCGGGAAACAACTCTGCATTGTCATGAATGATTCGAATACTCATAGAGACGATCGACTAGAGATTTTTGTCAGCGAGTGTTTGAAAGATTTCTAGCCATAGCAGTACTTACGCCTCCCGGGATATGATTTCCTTGCACATTTGCTCCCTCTGGGGGGACCACTCGGGGCAAATTTCCTGGGACGGCGGTAGATAAACGGAGACTTTCTTTGACGACACAGGTCTGCCGAGTCTTTCTGTTAGCATGATTTGGAAAGGGGATGGGTACATGGTCTTTACAACTTACCAAGTAGGGGAGGGATTGAATATTCCTACAATCTAGACGACCGCCTTCCAATCGAGGAACTCCGTCAAGCTCGGCTTTAAGCTTCAACAACACCTCTTCATGTGTCAGAAGATAATAGGTTGCACAGGCCAGTGAGTACGCGGTCGTATCACTGCCAGCGAGAAGAAGTAGAAATGCCTCGTCCACCAGCTCAGTCATGTCAGGTACCTGGTAGCCCTTTTTGTCGTTTGGTTCAAGAAGCAGGTCAAACACGGTATCCCTACCATCATCTGTCTTGAATATCCCATTCCTGTGACGTGTCTTGACTTCATTGATCCATTTCTCGCATTGCTAGGTTAAATGAGTGTTAGACCTAGACCTCGAGACACACGTGGAATGAATCCGAGACGTACATTTCTAAAACTCTGGTAGCCTGGAGATAGTTTCTCGGCGTATTTCTCCGGTAGGCTAAGGGCAATCTTGCTGATGAATGAAAAATGCTTCGTGATTCCCAGGTTCTTGGTGAAAAGATCCATACTGGCCAAAAAGGGCGGGTAGATGTCATTCCCATCTTGAGCTGTCAGGTCTTGACTACGTCCAAATACAGCTCTTGAAATCACATCAACCTAGTAGAATGAATTGGTAAAAATTGGTATCTAGTGGCCTGGATGAAGGTGAATTGTTGGCTTACCGTAATGCATCGGTATAGCTTCTGGATATCCGTGATTTTACCCTGTCTGTATCGAACTCGAAGTATATTGGCCGCATTTTCCGCTGTGTCCTGTACAATAGGCATTGTTTTCTCCATAGCTTGCTTCGAAAACAGAGGATTGATGATGGTTCGCCGCAGTCGATGTTTGTGGGGGTCGCATATCCCAACTAGCGAATCGCTGATTCCCAGGTTTGAGTAGTAAAATGTGGGTTTCAGAAAGTTTGTCTGGGACTTGAAGACCCTGTTCTCAATCAGCTTTGAATGATTTTTTTTTTTTCTTTTTTTTTTTTCCAAATTCAAGGGTATCTTCTCGGTTCTTACTCTTTATAAAACTCGGGGTCGTTGACGTGGAGATGGTTTGGTGCAATGCGTACAATAGGTCCTGGAATTCTGTCAGCTCTTGATATTTTTCACTCCAAAAACTATATTCTTCCATATTTGAAAGCTCATACCATATTTCTGATGAAGCTTAGGGTAATATTTGACATAAGTTCCATCAAGGATAACATCGTGGTAAAACTCATACCACCGAGTCAGAGCCGCAATTCTAGGGCCCGGAAACTTGCTCAAAGGGTGCAAGTAGAGTCTGGAGACAACGAAGGCTGTAGCAGATATGACAGCTATAACACCAAGTATGGTCGGAGTGATGACCGTGTAAAGGTGCTGGACGGCATTTGTTAGACTCATCGCGTACAATAGCCCGCAAATGTAGGCAAGACTGGGAGTTTTCACTTTCAATGCTGCTAAAATGGCTCCAAAACGCGTTTCTCTTATGCAGAGAACAAGTCAAAAAAGTAAATTGTATCGTACTTTTAATCCCACCAATAAATTCCCCAGATTAGAAACTAACAGGGCCGGGCCGCCATTATTCAAGCGATCTGGCCGCTTCATCATGATTTGCCGTATTGTGGTTCATTTTGGTGTTATCTCCGTGGACAAGGAGCATGGGACATCTTTTCATTGGTAGGATTCAGAAAATCATGCAGCTCAGCAAGTAGTGCCGTTGGCGGCGCCGCTAAGAGAACACGGCCTCTATGAGTTGCTCAGGCGACAAAGGTCATTCTTTCAAATATTACTCCAGTGCTCCATTCAAGTTGGAGTTCTTGAAGAACTTAATATAGTTCAAAGCAAAAGCAATGATTGGGTCAATTCATGTAATAACTTCGACATTTTGAGACAAATGGCGGAGCTGAATCCTCCTAAGGTTGCCAACTGACAATATAGTGGATAACACAGTATTTGCGGGGTATTGAGCTAAGATGTCTTGTACATACCATGCTTAAGTGGCCATTTGTAGTATCAATTCCCACATTTGAACATTTAGATATAATCAATGATTTATGGCGGAATACGCGGCACTTTCTCCTAGGTACCTCATGTCATGTATGCCCTTTGCTTATGTGTGAATTCATCAGTGCTTTAAGAAGTCCCGAGGTCTAGACTGTTTGAAACGATCGTTCGCTTAAAAACTCCCCTCCTTTCTAGCCTTGGCAAGTCCGACATATGTAAGATTTCTACCTCCAGTTGTCGTTTCAAATGTTCCTGGGCTTTGGAATTTTCCTCTAAGAATTGATAGCTACATACATGTAGCGATTTGATTCTGACCTAATCAATCTCAAATTTGCCAAGGCATAATAAAATCACATAGTATTTTCTTACTATGACGATCAAAAGTCTCCAGTCTATAAAATTATGATTACAGCTTTTGGCCAATAAAGCCAATAGTGAGAGCCGACTCCCGCCTAAAAGTGTGGGGCATTGAGGAAGAGACCCATGAGACATCCACCCAAGGTACCAGCAATAGGAATCGTCATTAACCAAGCCAGCGCCAGAAGACCAACACGCTGGAAGTTGACAGCCTTGAGGGAACCGTTGCACAAACCAACACCGACAGTGGCACCGGTGATACACATGGATGTTGAGACGGGGAGGGAGTATTGTGAGAAGACAAGAACGGTGAGAGCAGCGCCCATCTCCATGGAAGAGCCTCGACTGGGGGAGTGGTAGGTGATCTTGTTTCCCATGACTAAAGCACAAATTAGTATTAGTTTTGCATTCAAACATACACGAGTAAACTGAGATAGGGGAGGGGGGGGGGGGGGGGGGGGGGGGGGGGAGGAGACGCTTACCCTTCATAATGTTGTATCCGTAGGTGATCAGGCCAATTGAGATACACAGCGCCAGGACAGCAAGCTGCCAGACCGGGACAGTGGCTTTAGCAGCGGCAGGATCGCCGGTGGACCAGGCAGCGTAAATGGCAGCCCAGGGACCAACGGAGTTACCGATATCGTTGGCACCGTGTGCAAAGGATGCAGTGCAGGCAGTGAGGACCTGAATAAAGGAGTAGGTGTGCTCGACTTCGTTGGGATATTTCTCGGCAGCAGCGTAGACGCGCTTCATCCGCTCGCCTTCAGGTGTGCCGGCAATACCACTCTGGGCACTGTGGATATCGTAGTGGGCACCGTAAAGCAGACCGCAGACAATAGTGGGAGGAATGCGCTTGACCATGATCCAAATGTTGCGGAGCTCGTAGATCTCACCGGGTCCCATGGGGTTATCTTGGAGGAAGCGCATAGCCCAGCCGAGAGGACCACGGCTCTGCAGGAGCTTCGCACGGTGTCTGGCTTCAGACGCGGCCATGACCTCTTTGTAGCTGGGCTGGTTGGCTTCGACCTCCACGATGTTCTTCTCTGTGTCCTCAGCTGGCGAGGTAGAAGTGTGCGCATCCTTGTCGATGGAGCCAGCGTGGTGGGAGGACGCCTCATCCTCGTATTCGTCTTGCACAACGGCGTAGTTGGGGACCTTGGCCTCCTCACCGTCGGTGGGGGTAGCGCGGTTGAGTAGCAAGGGGCCCATGAAAACCATATACCACTTGACGGAGTGGTCCTTCTTAATCACCTTTGCGTGGACGTAAGGAACAAAGAACAGGGCAGAAAGAACACAGACACCAGCACCGCAGCCCATAGTCACGGCGACGATGTAGGAGATGGGCTTCTTGCTCAGGCCCAGGTTTGGTGAGCCCTTGTAGACAATCGACAGGGTGCAGATGGTGGCAGCGACGAGGAACCAGAAGGGCGAACTGTAGACAGCCCATGGCACGGGGTTGCGACGCATGTGCACGATCACCTTGATGAGCATGAAGATGATTGCTCCAAAGCAGCCTGAGATGACAGGGGCCATTCCAAGACCAGCAAAGATAGCGCCCAGACCCTTTCCGCCGTTCCATCCCCACTGCACCTCGGAGGCACCAACTGTTGCAACACCCACACCTGCTACGGCCGAGATCAAGGAGTAGGTTGAGGAGACGTGAGCCGAGTGGCGAGTGCACCACATCACCCAAGAGGAGGCCGCGGCCAGGGCACAAGTGAAAGCCATCATCTGCACACCGGCATTACCACCGAACGCACTGATGGGGATGATGCCGTTCTTGATCGTCTCTGCTGTCCGGGATCCGACGGTGACGGCGCCTAGGAACTCGAAGATGGTACCGAGGACCATTGCCTGTCGATACGAGATGGATCTCGAAGAGACACTGGTTGCCCACGAGTTGGCCACATCGTCTTTAAAGGGAGGGGAAGTTAGAGACTGTCAAGAATGATCCAAAATCATTGATCTGGTTGTATACTTACTTGCACCGTTGTTGAAGGCATCCAACATGGCAAACAGAGTGCCGATGGCGAAGATATAATCATACTGATGAAGATACATCTTGACTTGATAAGGCAGCCAAGGCTGTTCCTAGGGAATGTCTTGAGATTGATCTGTTGATTGATACAAACGAAAGCAGCGGGCATTGGAGTGCGTCGAGAACCGTCCTTTATATACAGAATAAGATTCAAATGTGATATTGCGCCCCATCGCTTGCCACCGAGAACTCATGCTCCAAAATAAACCACCTCTCGTGAACCGAATGTCACCTTCAACCACCCATTTCCATCGATATCAGACACACGTGGGCTGGCGACTCGCAGTACGGGCAGCAGCTCTCGCTTCCAGCTCGACTTGGCAGCATCTAGTCAAAGTCAGAACGTGGTGGCTGTTTCTAGGCACCGGGTCGCTTCTTGGTAAATTTGAAATATCACGCAATGAAATTACAGCCAAGATGGAAGGCGAGCCTTTTTCATATGGCAATGGTTGAAAAGCAACATTGGCGAACCTTGGCGGAACCTTGGCGGTGCTATATTTCTTCGGCCTTTATACTTCGTCCGGGCTCGTGTGAGTCTTGGCGGATTCGGGGGCGCTGGGACCACCGCTTCCTATGGAAATGCGGCTTGTCCCCACGTGGGTATAAGGAGAGGTTCTCGTTTACTCTGAACTGGAGATTTCTGGAGATTTCTGGACTTTCTGGAAAAGTCCGAGACCTCATGTCCGCTGTTCTTGGCAAAGAATATAGGATTATGTAACCAGTTGACCTCGATCTCACTATTCACTAGGTTAGTCATTTCGATCGTGTCATGCATGAGAAGAATCCGAAACCGAAACACTCCATATTCCACAATTACATCTCAAACCAATATATGCATGCCCATGTGGCAGAGCTTCAACACTAGCCCATTTGCTCGCGGAACTCATACTTAAACCAACAAGCTCTGTAGATCAACATTCCACGTCCACTGCGCAATGCCCATCGCGCCCACACTCATCAGCACAGCCATGAGGAGATTCACTCCATTATTATCCAACCAATCATGTCCACTTTCCACACGTCGGCTCTCGTGACTATCATCATGGCCAGGCTGCGTACCCACAGACGTACTTGTCGCACGTGCACCACGCAGGGTAGCCGTATTCGCGACGGTTTCTAGCCCCTTGAGCTGAGAGCTACCAGTCGACTCACCAGACTTGGGCTGGTGTGAAATACCGCTCGGTTGCGTCGACCCGGGGTGAATAAGGACCTTTCGACCACCATCCCCTTCCACAACCTTGCCACTTCGCTTATCCACCACACTGGCTTGCAACAATCCACCGAGGACACTATCTAACACACTTCCCATCAGACCCCAGAATGAGATAGCAACGATCCACAGCGCACGATCTTGAAGTCCCGATCGCTCGGCACAGAAAGGAAGGGAGATGGCAGATGTCAGGGCGATGGTGAAAGAACCCAGTAGACCAGCCCCCAATCCAGTTGCTGTCACACCACCATTGGTACCTGGTGGCACTTCACGCAGGTTGAGCGAGGTTATCAGACGGGGCTTGGATTTGGAGAGGATTCCCAGTTCGGAAGAGAAGGTATCGGCAGCGACAGCGGCGTAGTTTCTATTTTTGGGGGTTTGTGTAAGCTGGGTGTACTAAACAATGTCAAGTCAACGGGGGGTTCACGTACGCTACGATCCCGACCATCAGGATATCCGCTGCATTGTGTCCAAAAGAAAAGCATGAATCACTGGATGAGCCTCTCGAGATAACGTATGCGTGGGCGACACTCAAAACGGTAGCCACGGCAGAGTTGGCGAGCACCTGGATGTGATTGCGTGCGCCTTCGCCGCCCTCTGTACCGGTCGCAGACAGGGTCAAGCGGGCCTTGATGTCATGTTTAACCTAATGGGAAGAAGATTTATCTCGTCAGACTCCGGCATAGACTCTGGACTTGTGTTTCTTGCATCATTTCTTAACATACCTTGGTCGCCTTTGTGCCCCCGAAATAAAACACAGCGAGCAATGCAACGGGTGTGTACCATGGGTGCAAGGCGTGCGCAGTAGCCGACACGCCCGCGACGACGAGGCCGAATGGAGTGAGTGATTTTTTGGACCAGGCGCGGTAGACGAGACCCGCAACTAGTGCGATACCGTAAACGGCCTTCATGGTGATGTGGGGGAGAGGTTGGAGGTGGGAAACTTTCTCGGGATCTGGACTCGTGTTTTGACGATCGGGGATTGCGGGAGCTTAAGTGGGGCCTGGAGTACAATCAATAGCGGAACAATACCAAGCGGGGACAACCTGTCATTTACAAAGAGAGAAGCAGAAACAGAGTTGACCGTCAAAAAGCATATCAATTGATCCAAAAGTAATAGGGTATTCCACATCTGCCGGTTTCGAAATGGTCAAGAGGCTGTTGCGCTCCAGTACGCCCCGGGGTATGTCCAATGCTTAACAAATAACAATAATGTACACTAGTAACCATATGACAAGAACAGGTCTCGTTCTCTTATGACCTAACATTCCATTCCCCAAAAATGATAGCATAAAAAATGGTATATTGATATGACCAATACCAAATAGATCAGATGGAGAAATGGGCTCAAAGAGCAAGACCACTTCCATCTCCACTCCACCGATACAACGCCAATACTTCACGTCTCCGTTGTTGTTGCTCACCCGAGTCTTCAGGAACACGGCCACGGACCTGGGCAAGAGCTGAGCGCATCACCTTGCGGAAGGTTCTCTGTAGGCAAAAAAGTTAGTACAGTTTCCAGGACGATTTCTGTAGATGGAGGGGAACGCACCTGATACTCCGTATTCAAAGTAACAACGCATGCTTCGTGTGCACGCACGATTGTCTCACAGGCTTTGACAACACTGGGACTAGCATCTCCTGCTAGCTTATCTGCGGTCAAGAGCAGAAGGAAACTGCCTTGCAGGAGATATATACCAAAGAAGAAAGGCATGAAACTCAAATCTGGATCGTATTCCAGGATATCAGAGGCCGCCTCGGCCGCACTGACGGCATGGCCCATGGTCGATATAAAGGAATCGGAGGAAATCCAGAGATCATTGTCATCGAGGAGGTTGATTGGATCCCACTTGTCCGCCACTAAAATGTGAAGGACATGCATTATATGGGTCCCATAGGCAACAACCATTTTGGTATGAACGACAGACTCGTTGAAGGATCCAACGGTGCTACTTGAGCGGCCAGATGGACTGAGATGGTTAGGATGACTCCCCTCCATAGCTATGTCATTGTCTCCGGCTCCCATAGCGATCGGACTGGTATATCGGGCTTCAAACTCCTTCAAGCTCTGAGCATACACGTCCAGTTGGCGAGTGATCTCCATGGCTTGGCTCTCCCATTCACCACTATTGCGGAAATGAAGGCCAAACCGGGGATGGTTTCGAGCATGGTGCAAATCCACAATCTCACCGAGGATACTCATCAAGGGCAAGAAGTAGCCAAACATACTATGGCTAGTACATTCAAAGGCCGGACCGGCTCGTCGATAGCTGGCAGTCGAGAAATCACCCGCCTGCCAAAGATCGTCGTTCATGGGCTGTAGTAAACCTTCGCACTCTTTATCCAGAAAAGTCAAAGGTCGATTATAGCAAAGCGACAAATGGCGATCCATCACGTATAGCAACCACCAAATACGCCGACGCTCTTCGCGCTCTTCCTCTGTGAGGTTCACCTGGGAGCTTCCTGGGCCGTGGCCTAAGGAATTGAAGATTGACGCCGATTGTCTTTTGTTCCCATTCAAGTCCATTTCTGACTCCCCTTCTAGGTCTCCATCTTGACGAGATGTGTTGGGTGGCAATTCCCGACCGAGTTTGAGCTCCCGTGCAAGAGACCAAGCAGCAGTCCACCAGCGCATGCTAGCTGCTTTGTACTCGCTGGCTGAAACTACAGTAGCCAAATGGACGTAAGTAGCAACGTCATCCACGGCACATGTTGCACTACTTTGAGCACCCAACTGATCCATCGAGACGCCAAATCCACCGAGGGCCACGCCGTTTATTACCATGTTCGCTGCGTAGTTTGGAGATGCTTCTCCAGTGGCAGGTCCATGGATAAGCGGTCGAAGCAAACCAACAGATAATTCAAGCAACTTTTGACAGACCCGTCCTCGAGCTGAAGGAGGTGAAGTCAAAAAGGCAGCCTCACTTGTCTGCGCTGCCACCCAGAGCATGCTAGCCAGAAGACCTGGGCTACACACCCTTGGTTTTGTGGGATGGAGGAAAGAGTGTTTGCGGAAAACGAAACCAACGACGTATGGTGACAACGGTGAAAGATGAGATGAAGATGAACTTGTAAAGTAAACATCCAGAAGGTCGCACGCGAGGGATTGTGGAATTATAGAAGCGATATGGGGAAGGACGGGCTGTAACACGGGGTATCTTAATGAGCCTGGAAATTGAGAGATGCTAAACGACGGAAAGTTGGCGGGAGATGGTGACGGGAGAGGAAGCCAGCTGGGAGATTGTGCTGGTGGAGTAAATCCCAAAAATGTGGCGGGCGGGTTTTCTGTAGAGGATCCGATACGAAATTGATTGATTGACGAATTGCTCTCATGGTTGTTCATCACTGGATATGGAGCATCGTTGTAGCCCGATCCAAATCCGTGGTGTAGCATCGCAGGTGGTGACCGGGGATTTCCATTAGGATGCTGCATCATCTGCAAGGAGCGAAGATCGGATACAGACATTGGCGGGCGATTTGACTCAGCTGCATGTCCATAGTTTAGGGACATTCCGTCAATGTTTGTCCCTAGAGGCTCTGAATGTACTGGCGGAGCATGTGGGTTTTGCTGCATCCTCTCCATCCCCGTGATGCTAGAATTGCGCATATGTGATTGCGCCGACTCGGGTAATGAGCGAGCATTTGCGACGTTGAAAGTCGTGCTGTAGGTGTCATTATTGTCGTGGGGTGACTGAGCGGGTGGAGAGTTGTCTTGGGCGGTTGTGCTGTCCGTGATGATTCTTTCGCCATTGGCAGCGGCCACCGCAAGGTCTTTTTTCGAAGCTTTCCCACGTTTTTTACGTTCTCGTGCATACTCGCAGCTGAGTCCAAATTCTAGGCAGTATTAGTGTTTACATTCTGGACCCGGACCTTGAAGAGGAAAAAAAGAGAGAGATAAAAGTACCGGTGCAGTGAGAGCAAGGTTGTTGTCCGTCACATTTGGTGCGCAGCTGGTTGCATTGGTCGCAAGCGCGACTTATTCGCCGACGCACCGGCGTGGAAGATGAACCTTTGCGAATTGCCGACCGAGCTTCGGCCAACATATCTCGCTGCTGCAAAGAAGTGTTCCCACTAGACTGAGCGCCAATTTTTTCATGATAGGACGGAGGTGGGGATCGCGATGGTTCGATATCGAGGTGACTGCGCGCAGGATCGATTGGAGGATTTGTCGGGCCAGCTTGTCGGGCCAGCTGTAGCTGCTCTAGCGCATACTGGGACCCTTCCGCGAGTGTATCCAACCCGGGGGTTTGAGACTGAGACATTCGGGCGGGTTGCGATCGGGACGAGAAGGGGGAATAGAAATCGGCAAACGATTGAAGGGAGGATGTCGACATGCTTCTCTATGATGTTTAGACTTTCGGCGACATCAAGCTGGCCGAGTCACAGCGAGATGGCAATGTCGATCCCTAGCCAAGACGCCACAGAGATTCAGACGAAACAAATTGGGGGGAAGCCAAGAATCGTTAGTATACGAGTGGCATGGCCAAAGACAATGGCCCATACGGAGAAGTTTTCTCTTTCTCCGGATCCAAGTGCCGAAAGCTCAGTAAGTGGAGCGAGGGGAATTGCGCAAGGAACGAAGAGGGGGAAATCTGAAAATCTGGGGAGGCGGGGAAAAGGCACGTGGTGAACGGATTCGACGTTCCAGGTATGATTAGACGAGCTGGTATATCCCACTTCCCCATAGACCCTTTTTTTTCCTCGCTGGTTTTTTTCATGCATTTACCCCGTGTCGGTTAAAGATCAGGCGGGAGTTTCCTAGGGTCGCATGCATAGATGCACGGTTGTTCGTAAATCCCGGGAAATTTTACCGAAAGAACGGGAAAGAAGCAAAGCCGTATAAACTGGGGCAACCAAGGTGGATTTCTTTTTTAGTTCTTCCACCCGTCGACCTGGACCCTTTTCCGCCTATGACAGCCGAACTAGTGAGCCTTAAGCGAAGTTGATTATAGAAGGATTCGTATGATTATTCGAGGGGAAATTCGGAGCTCCCTGAACATTGAACCTATTAAATTCAACCGGGACTTCTTCGGAGGGTATACAAGTCAAATTAAATAATAATAAAAGAGAGCGCGAAGGATGCAGTTCAGCTGACATACCATGCATGTTCTTGTGCTTGCATCGCGATCAACAGGTACATCGTCACGTGCATTCCCCTTTATTAAGATCGACCTCGGGATCTGGTCCACCGCAACTTCTACTACATCAACAACTAGTCGTCGGCATACCCATGATGTTTCCAAGCCATTCATCATCTCCCAAATCCATAGTCTAGATCCATACCGTCTGATCTAGATCTGACACATTGTCTTGATAGTTTGTATCAAGTTTAGTACTCCGGCCCGATCGGGGTCTCCACATCCTGCGCTTGAGAAGCCTTGTTCCACCGAGTTTCGGCCCACATCTGGCACTTGGTAAAAAGCTTGGATAAATACATGAGTAAATGGTCGTCACACTGGAGTTCGGGATCCTTGCTACTCAGATTGAAGAAATTATACTTACCAAGCTGAAGGAGATCTGGGGAGAACGAAGACCTTAACTCATGCAGCTTTCTTCGTAACGTCTTAATATAGACATCTGGAGCAAGTGGAGAACCGAAGCTGCTGGAGCCTGGGATTGCCCCAATAGTATGCGCAATGTAGTCTGTCTCATCATCAAGTGCTGCTGGCGGGTATCGTCCACTCTGTGCTTCAACAACTGCAAGCATACTTAAAATACAAACAACTGATCCGAGCACAATCCGTTTAGTGCAATCACTCAAGCAAACATTTGAAGCGCCTCTTCTATCTGAGGTGCCCACTGTAAAGCATCCTGACGTCCAAGGTGGGACAAGACATTTACTGCAGTCATGAATTAGTATATATTCCAAAGCACCAAATCAAGAACGTAACTCACCAAGCTGCACAAGAAGATCATACTAGTACGCACTTGGAGCTCAAAACAAAGCACGCCAGTACTGCCCGTTGTCTCCCCAATAAGCCACAGATTGTCTTATTTTCGGGATTCTGGTCAGTTTCTTCTTCTCGTCCCTGTGTCATAGTCATGATGACTTGCACGTCTGGTGATGATGGCTTGGACAAGCGTAGATCATAGACTAGCGAGATGGCAAGCATCATAAGGCGAGGGATGAGATCTGCCCAGCCAAGAAAAGCTTCGCTACTCCATGCTAGACAAGTAAGTATTTAACTGCACATGTGGCCTTCGACCAAAGCAGATTTGAAAAGTATGTAGGCGCTTTAGCTCTTCGGCTTGAATCAACCTTAGTCGAGGCTAGTGGAATTGGCCTTTCCGAATTCCGGTCGCGATTATGACCAAGCGGCCCAAGCGCTCAACATTTGAAGAAATTACTTTGACGCTAAAGGTCCGACAGATCACGCCAATCAACGGGCGTTATTATAAATTCAGGTAATTTTAGCAGTGCAGGGGTTGCTAAGTACTAGTCCTGCAGCCTGCTCAGTTCACCTGTAACCTACTAGTCTTGGTCTAAGTAGATTCGTATTTAGCCTAAATGCAGATGTCTTGAAGTACTACAAGGATGTATCGGTGTGATTGGTTTTATCCTAGTCACATCCTCATTTTCTTCCGTTGCGCGAAATTCAAATCTAAGCTTATTTAAATGAATGGGAATATTTTACGAAGCTACTGGCCAGTGTGTTAATTGGGTACTTACTACCAGTTGACAGAATATAGTGATTGGATTTGTTACTACCTAACCACGGTAACGGCGTAACCCGATATGGAGCCCGACTTCAGCGATAAAAAGCGGAGTAACCGATAAGCCAAAGTTCAAGCAGCTGGTCCTGAATCCCCGGGATTCCTCTGGAATCTCCCACACAACTCACTTGCAATCAAGATGGCCGGCAAGCAGACTGTTCAGGAGATCCTTGATTCCATTCCGCTCAAATATCGCGGACCAGGTGGTGCAATTGCAGTCGTCAAGGATGGCGAACTTATCGGCCAGCGCGTTTGGGGTTACGCCGACATTGACAAACGCATCCCCCTGACTCCTGAAATTCGGATGCCAATTTGCTCCATTACGAAGCAGTTTGTCTGCGCTCTGTTGATGGATCTTAAGCGCAACCCGACCCCCGAGATGACTGCCAAAGGAGACGTCCAGGCCCAGTTCTCGGAGGCGCTTCGAGAATTGGTTCGCCCAGAGCTGACCCAAGATAGCGGATTGACGCTTGACAACCTGTGCGATATGCAGTCTGGCCTGCGTGATTACTGGGCTATGACTGCCCTGTGGGGCACCAAGCCAGACGATGAGTTTCTGGTGGAACGGGACTGCCCGCCAATGGTCGATCGTACCAAGTCGTTCCATTTCAAACCGGGCACTGAGTTCTCCTACTGCAATGTCAACTTTTATCTGGTTGCCCGAGTCATCGAGCGGGTCGCCGGAGAATCTCTCGGGAAGCTGCTTGCCGAACGAATCCTCGGCCCCGCTGGAATGGAGACTGCATTCCTCTGCCCAGACAATGCTAAACTTCCAACGCCGTGCGTAGGCTATGAAGGAACAGAAGAGTTGGGATTCGTGCCAGCGGTGAATCGGATGGAATGGTCTGGTGATGCTGGACTAGTTGCCTCACTCACTGATATGATTGCCTGGGAGAAGCATCTGGATAGCTTGTTCTCCGACTCGAAAAGTTGGTACCATAAAGTCACAAAGGGTACCACTTACTCCGACGGTACCCCTGCTCATTACCACAATGGACTGAGTAGTATCAGCCTTGGTGGTGTCGATAACTGGGGCCACGGCGGTGCACTGCGTGGCTACCGACTGCACCGACGTCATGCTATGCATGAGCGCCTTTCTGTTGTTGCTTTATTCAATCACGAGGCAGAAGCATCTTCTGCTGTTGAAGACATCATGCGGGCCATTTTGAACAAGCCCAAGCCAGTCTATACCCCCGTCGAAGCAAACCCTGCTTGGCTGGGTAGCTTCCTTGACAGGGATACTCAGTTGTTAGTTACTATTAGCAAGGGGCCAGCTACGGGAGAACTTCACATTGCCTACTCGGGTGATCCTGAGACCATCAAACTGACCGACCCCACCCATGGCGAGAATCTTGACGTATCCGCAAGCATTGATGGAGACGTTTTGTACATGAATCGCATTGGCGATAATAGAAAGCTCGTCGCTCAACGGCTTGTTCCAAGCGAATCAAGCTTCAAAGATAACTCGCTTCGGGGTGATTATAAGTCCGCGGAAGTCGACTCTTTCTTCCACTGTGAAGGCGAAGCAGGCATGTTATATGGCGCACTTGACGGATTTCTTGGTCAAGGAACCATAACCGCCATGAAATATATTGGTGATGATGTCTGGGTGCTTCGTTGTCCCCGCGGATTGGATGCGCCAGCCCCTGGTGACTGGACTATGGCTTTCCACCGTGATAATAATGGTTCTATCATCGGATTCAAGATTGGATGTTGGCTAGCTAGGGGCGTCAACTTTGTCAAAGTTTAACACACCTATCAATCTGCATGTGGATGTATTTACGAAGAGTCACGGCTCATGCACATGTGCTATATCTAAAGATGATCATAGCTAGTGGGAGGTGTGAAGAGTCATCGCACATGCAATCTATCAATGAACATTTGAATGAAAAATCATCAGTCTCCCCTTCCTCGCCGCTTCACTTAATACGAGTAGTAGGCTGGCGGGAACATTCGCGGAGCCATTCATCAATCCTTTGCACGCCCTGCAGGTCTCCTTCCATAGTTTCCTGCTTATCCTCATCGACCCATCCCGGGCGATAACTACCACCAAAATCAATGAGCCAGGCATCGCCCTTCATATCAACCAAGACATTCTCAGGCTTCGCGTCACCCCAAACCACGCCTGCCTCATGCAAACACTTAACATAGTTCTGTATCTGCATAGACCAGCGAAGCCGATCCTCATTTGTACAGTCAGACCAAGGCGCCACATCTCTCAGAGTGCCTTTATTCTCGATGTAGGTAAGAAGTAGTCCGACCAAACGTGTGCAAGAGTAGTCCTCTTCATTGCTATCAAGAGGATAGTGTTGAAGAAATTCCTTGTCATTATCAATGATCAGACCGTGAAGGTGACAGAAGCGTGTATCGGTAAGAAGTGACTGGCTTGCCTCGGAGTCCGCCAATATCTTGCTATATGACTGTATGTCGTGGTATGTATGTCCTCGATATACCACCCAAGGCTTAAAGAAGTACTCTTTGTTATCCACAAGAACCCGAGATGGAACCCAAAGTAACGTTTGATCCAGAATTTGCACTTGATCAGATGAGTACTTTTTGAGTTTTGAGTCAAGTAAGGGAGCTAAGTACGGTTTCAGGCCAAATCTGATCACAGCTTCACCCGGGTGTCTTAATGCCTGTCGCGAGACGGTCTCCTTGAAATGTGGCTGAATGTGGCTGCTACCCTCCCCTACCCTTGCCTCGAGAATGAACCACGGCGGGTAAAGATACCTGTGTAGGTACCGAGTAGATTCCATCAGATTTGGGGCCATCTGAGTCATGAGTTCCTCAAACGGGCCTCTGAGACGTTTCACCAATTCAAGGTATTCTCCACCTGGATCATCCCCATGCATGATGTTGTACGCTTCATGATGCTGTTCCAAGACAGGAGGGGAGACGGCGAGGATCTGTGGATCATAGTAGATACGAAAGGCGGCGTTGCCATGGCGGACGTAAAGAGTGATTACGCTGTTCAAATTGTATTCCGCATCAATGGTAACAAGCTCAGTGAGGAATCCTTGCATTATAACGGCACGGTGAAATAGGGAGAAGAACAGTATTACTGTGGATAGACAATGTAGCAAAAAAGGTCAAGAAGAGATGACTGGATTTCAGATAGAAGGAATAGGTGGGCAAAGGGGATTTAAACCCCAAAGTGCCCTAGCAGCCCTACAGAACCTAAGCCCAAATAGGAAGGAGAACGGTTTGTTGGGCAGATTGACAATATGAAATCCTTAGGCCTGTTTGCCAGCCATCGGCTTCACCGTTCACCATAGCCGCCAACCAACATTCAGCATATGCAGGCCTAATCCTTGTTAGCCCTGGCTGTTACCAGTAATACAGCACTGAGAACATGCATGTGAAACTCACCGCCTCCCAAAAAGGCCCTTTTATGATATCTATAGCTGCGTACAGTGAAAACAACCCTGGTGGTTACAAGGAGCAGGACAGGTCGTAGTGCCTTTAGCAACCGCCGAGCCGCACTCGTGGCATTCCCAGCCACACTTCTTGAATGCAATTAGGCGGCAGTTACTATTAGAGCAATGCCCATCCTGATGACGGGTGCTTAGCGACGGGTTGCCTATAGCCGGAGTATGTGGGGTGGATAGAGTGCAGCGCTGGAGGTTACCAAGAACCCTAACATTTGCAGCAAGGGCATCTTTGCAATTTTCCGCGAAGGGGGGAAGCCATTCACTGCCACCGGGAATGACATGCCCACAGTCGAAAACTGTTTTGACGCGCTGGCACATCTTGTATTGAATTTATGCGTAGGTAGAGAGAAGAGTGAACTCGAAAGTCTTGTCTCACTATTTTCTCTTCAAATGTTGGTTCCCAAGAGAATATTTATAACACTTCCCAAATTCTATACTCTCAAGTGCTATTGATCACTTATACCAGCAAACACCAACCACAACTAGCCACGAGCGAGTGTAGAAACACTAGACCAACAGGAATCCTCATGCTGCGACTGGTTCTTTATTTCTACTCACGGGCCTCTAACGGGGTAAACTGTTGACATGAATCCAAGTAAACCGATGTGGTTGGCGGCTCTGGCGACTTGATGGTATACGCGGCGTGTGATGGGATCCAAAGCAGGGGAGCTGGTGGTGACAAGCATCACAGTGGCCCTTTCAGAAATGGTCCCCCAGGACCAGCGGCTCCTGCACACAGTCGGGACTCGGGGACCAGGAGCTTTAGCCATTTGCTCCGTTAAAAGGAAAGAACCCCAAGATAGTTAACTCAAGTGCTAACTATTCAATCAGCAGACTAGTCACTGATTGTCCAATCCTCGTCCACCCTATAATTCCTGCCACCCTGCGATTCATGCGATAGCGTGGGTGAGATAATGCAAATACTAGAAATCAATAATCGGACGTGTTTCAAGAGGGGAAAGTCCCATTTACTCAATATTCTTTAACATTGAAGTCTCACGCTGGTGAGTGATGGATTACGGAGTGATGAATTGCAACCGAGTGATGGGCACTGATGGCCTGGGACCACTGATGAAACGGAAGCGACTGATGACCTAGGAACGACTGATAAAATGAGGCCGACTGATTAATTGAAACCCAAGAAGCAAAGCGACATCATGGATTAAGTCTCAAGGGACCGGTGGAAAAAAGAAACAGTAAACGTTTCATCTCAGATTCTGCTCAGTGGGCAAGAAAAGGGGGAGCAAATCCGGCACGTATTATGTCTTTCTTGTTCATATATAGCTACTCACTGCCAGCAGGCCTCTTATTTCATGGATCGAAGCAGCCGTGCTGAGACTGCTGACTGAACCTTAGCAGTAACTACAGGGCTGAGCAGGGTAATATATGCGTTTTGGGGGCCAAATCTTAGCGTCGCACTGACCAGGGCTGACAAGAGGAAATATTCTGCATTTGAACCGTGATGAAACAAGTCACGGTAATAGCAAATTCTCATTCCAATGATTGGCTAAGAAATATTATCTGTTCAATCAGGAGAAAAGCTTCCCCACTTTTGCTTGACTTACATCGCATCAGACTGGACGACAAAGCAGCGTACAGATGACACTAGTATGCACTGTCTAGTCCAATTCTGCAACAATTGGCTTAGAAGCGATACGATGTGGAACTCAATATCAAAGTCGGAGGCATTTTTTTAGGCCCACACTCCCCCACCTGCGCATCTGCACCTACACGAGACCTCGTTATAAAAGTCCGGGCAAACATCCAAAATTAACCCTGCATCACACATTTGATCTCTCCACTTTCTGACCAGGTTGCACTGTTATTAGTGCTCTGAATCCACCGCACATGGTATTTACCCTAGCCAGCTGGGTCCCAGACCTGGCTAATATCGCCATCACGTTTTCCTCGCTCGGGGTTTTATTTCATATCAGCATCTTACCCTTCGAGATCGATACAGTCATTCTCCGTTTTTTGGCTTTATTCGCATTCGTCTGGACATGGCTAGTTACGGCATTTGTGAGAAGTTTCGATATGGCCGTCCATGTCGCGATCTTGAAAGCTTCTTTCGCGGGCGCTTCATTTTTGGGAGCTGTGTATACCAGCATGGCTGTATATCGCTTGTTCTTCCATCGCCTGCGTGAATTTCCGGGGCCTCTGGGGGCGAAAATCAGCCGTTTTACAGTCATGTCCGAGGTTTTAAAGTCTGGTTTGAAGTATCACCAAGAGTTGGACAAAATGCATGGCCAATACGGCGACTTTGTCAGAGTGGGCAAGTATCTCTAAATAGCCTCGAGTCTTCTTCATCCTGCTAATATCTTCTTCTAGGGCCTCGTCATATTGCTATAAACAGAGCTTCCGCTGTTCTTGCGCTATATGGCCCGCAATCTCAATGTACAAAAAGTCCTTTTTATAACACCACCACTGGAGACACTAACCGCAACAATGTCATTGGCTTTCGAGACCATGATCTCCATCGCAGGCGTCGTAAGATCTGGGACAGAGCACTAGGGATTAAAGGTAGAGTCCAAGCCCCTCATTATTGCAGTTATCCATGCTAATTCCATGCCATCTAGCTATGGCGGATTATCTACCTCGCGTTCAAAGCAAAACCGATTTACTGATTAGCAAATTCAATGAACATGAGGGCGAAAGCCTCAACGTCACCTTGTGGACGACGTTTTATTCCTTTGATGTCATGGGCCTGATTACTTTCAGCAAAGACTACCAACAACTTCAAAACTCGGCAGAGCACGGTGCGATTGCCGCCATGCACTCTCAAATGGACATGGTGGCTGTTTTCACCCCCGTGCCCTGGTTCATGTATATTCTAAGCGCCATCCCTTTCTTGAAGGAGATGCACCAATTCCTGATATATTCAACGTCCCAGATGAACGAAAGAAGAGCGGTAAGGTCACACCATTCACTGATCTTGACTTTTATCTAATGTGGAGTAGGAATGGCGAGAAAACACCACGGAAAAGCCAACCGACATCGTTTCCTGGCTATTGCAGGCAATCGAAGATCGTGATCCCGCGGCCCCACCGACTGATCATGCATTCTTCGATGAAGGGAGATTGGCGATTATTGCTGGAAGGTGTGTGATGCATTCAATGTTCATTTGAATTTTCAAATCCATCCCACCACTGACAATTTCCCAGTGACACTACCGGCGCGGCATTGACCAATGCCTTCTACTACCTTACCTCTCACCCCGAGAAATATAAAAGGCTGCAGAAGGAAGTGGACGAAGTCAAATCTAGGGGAAGTGATACGGTTCAGATTCCTTACCTTGACGCCGTCATCAACGAGACCCTTCGCCTCAAGCCAGCTGTACCTGGTGGACTTCAAAGAGTCACGCCACCGGAGGGTCTAACTATCGACGAGGTTTTCATCCCAGGGAACACCATCGTCATCGCGCCAACCCATGTAATCCAGCGAGACGAGCGCAATTTCGAGCGGCCCCTGGAGTTCTTGCCAGAGCGATGGATGGAAGAAGGGAAGCATATGCACAAAGATGAACGCGCGTATTTTCCGTTCAGCATCGGTAAGACTCGTTACAGTAGCTTGGAATATTTCATCAACAGAGCTGACTATATCCAGGCCATTACGGTTGTGTTGGTAAACAATTGGCATTGACGGAGCTCCGTCACACTTTGCAACGCATTGCAAGCGAGTTCGATCTCGAATTTGCTCCTGGGGGAAGTGATGAGAGGTTTGATGAAGGTGCTAAAGACACCTTCACTATATCTTGTCCGCAACTCGATATTATCTTTAGGAAGCGTGACCTTTCAAATTAGTTTGTATTAATTTCGTGATTTTAGGTGATCTGGTATACAAATGATTCTCACATACTGGTCTTCTCCCGCTGAACGGACCATAATGGCATCTGCCATTGCGGAAATATGGCTTCTATGGAAGTTCAAGGTCGGAAAACTATACTGTCTACATGTAGAATAGAGGAGGATTGAACTGATATTAATCGTCTTTGGAACATGCAGTAGGTACTTATATGCAGAGATAGCCGTAGACGGCAAATGTAAATGTACAATCGGTAAAACCGATAAGGGGGGTTGGATACAAAGAATCCAAAATATTATACAACAATTGAACGCCAATCACATGCGTTCCCAAAAACTCCGCATAAAAACAATAAAGGGGGGTTTTTTTTGTTTAAGAGAAGAAATATTCACTCTCCCGAATTCGGGTGATATCCCAAGTGCCTTTAGCAGGAACATCACGGAATTTAAGAGGCAGCCACACCCAAACAGTGCTGGCCGCGCGCTTTTTGGGACCATAGTCTTCCGGGGTTTCCTCAATATCGATGATCTGACGAGGGCCCACCTTCTCGCGGATGCTGAAATCATTGAACAGGCTCCCAATAGCTGGGTCGTCAAGATCAATGTTTGCGTCGGGTCTCCGCGCAGCGGCCGCAAGATCTTCCGGAACGCTGCCGAGTTCAGATGATGCTATGGTAGAAGTGACAACCAAGTTGGCATCGGTACCGTCCATCTTCTCAAATATACTGGCTGATGTGATCATGGCACGACCTTCCGCCTGGTCGGTAGGGTCATCAGACTGTAACAGAGTTTGTCGCTGATTTTCAGCAAGGAGCTCGAGGAATTTTTGGTTTTTAACTCCAGTGGTCTTGCGATGGTTCGAAATCGCCTTTCCGATTGGGCTGCTTTTCGGGACTTTGGCCATGTAAAGGTGCTTACTATATCGGACGTTGAACTCTGCGTGGAGTCGCCCAATAATATCGTCTTGGTGCATGTGAACGAAAGCGTCTCGAAGAATGCGATTCATGCTGTCGACATCACTAGCGTGTGACCAGAAGGAATCGTGGACAGCAGAAAAAGTGAGACCAGCACGGTGGCATGCGCTGGCGGACAGCAGCATGTGAGTTGCGTCAAGGGAGTGAATGAAGTTAGGGGGAAAGGCCTGGAGCTGCTTGCGCTTTGAGACCACATCTTCAGCATTGTAATCAACGACGCTAAGGTCTTGCAGCGTGGTCGAAATGCGCCGCGCCTTCCGGGTTCTATATGGTTGAACAACAGGAAGGCCAAGCGGTGTGGTCCAAATGACAGTTGACCGGAACTTTTTACTAGGATCAACAGTCTTGGGGTCGGATCTATCAGAGGTTTCGACGTCGGGTAACAATGCTTCTCTTGCAAGTTCCTCAATGCAGTCCGGGGACACAGACTGAGTAATGCGACTCGCGCAATCTCCTAGCCAGTGCTGGATGTCAGAAGCTCCATTGAACATAGTTGACAGAGCCTCAAAAATTTTGCGTGCAATGTACAGAGAGCCTGTCTTCTTTTCATCCGCGGTCATATCCGGATAATGATCTTGAAGCTGCTTGCGGACCTGTCTCATCGCACCCATAAAAGTCACACCATAAACGTTAGTCATGACAGTTTGTTTGACAATCTTTCGAGTAATTTTCCCTTCAAGTAGGGCGGCAACTGGGAGACCACGGGCAGCGTCCTCGGCCACGACTTTTTTCACATATTCTGAGACACCAGTGTAGACATCAGAAGGTCTATCGGAAGGCTCAAGATTGACCTGCTGAGCACCAATACTGTCACCACCAAGAGCGGCATAGTGCTGCAAACCGTTACATGAGCCATCCTGGTGAATCGGCAGGCGAGATGGGTATTCGAGCGGATCAGGATGACGAAGAGCATTTCGAAGTTCAATACAAGCTGCCAAGCATTGCCATGGATCTTCGGCCTCCAGCCACCATCGCTTTCCGCTGAGAGAATTATCGGCGGAATCAAGGATTTTTTCAAGATTGTCATTGGCAAACTGCTCACGCTCAGACATGCTCGCTTTGTCGAATCCAGCCAAGCCAGCCAAATGAATTTTCAACCAGCGCATACCACTGACGCCCAATGGCTTTGCATCACTGAAAAGTAACAGGCCTCGAGCATTATCAGCTCCCATCTGATTGAGGTATGGAGGGAGCGGATAGGCTCTGCCACGGAAGTCCAAGTTGTGAGGAAGGTAGAAGGTCTCGTTACGGAAAGAGCGTGCAACTTCCATCTGGAAATTCTGGAAGCATCGTTGAGAATGGGCTGCAGACCGCTTGTTCTCTATATCACGCATCAGGTTCTGCCATTCTCTCTCTGCAGCTTGACCAGCCTTTGGGTCGGGTTTCTGGGGAGGGTGAATTTCGAGATCAAGCGGTGACAAGCTTGCGATTCTTTCGCCAGAGTTCCAAGATTCGAGCATAACATCAAACACATCTCGGTTGATGACCCAGCCGGTGCCTCCGAGAACGTCGAGGCCGTGTCGGATTTCTTTGAGACCACCATCCTTCATAGCGGCCTTTATGTAAAGTGGCTGCAACCCCTCGCCTGGGGTGGTGCGGATGATATTGCTTTGGTAAATAAGATAGCCTCCATCTCTTGGTCCTGTCCAGGGTCTTGGCTTGCAGACCATAGGAAGATGGCGACCGATCAGATCAGGCGGAGGTTCAGCTTTGACGATTTTGACAATTTCGGGATGTAGGTTAAGGAGGCCAACTCTTTTACCATAGGTAATCTGATAAGCGTGTTGCAAGGCCGGTTGAATTGTCGTCAATTTTTCACCAGTCACCTCGTTCTTGTTGACAACATAAACTTTGGCAACGTCAAACAGCAAGCCTGTCAACACTGCACCAAGTCTAACTTGAACTCGCGCGCTCCAGTTCAATTCCTCCTGATCCTTTTGCACCTTCTCGGACAATTCTTGCCACTTATAACGTCCATTCTTCTTGCGATCATTAAGAAGTTGTTTCAAAATCTTGACGCGTTGAGAGCCTTGGGTTTCCGCCCTCTTGATACATTCCATGGCAATTAACTCATCCTGAACCTCTCGGCCAACTGCCGAAGCGATAGTGGAGACCTTGACTCCCTTGTCAATCCCTATACGACTGAATGAATTGATTGTCGCAAGCATAGTGATTGCAGCGAGACGTTCCGCATCAAGCGAGGCAAGAAACACACCATACTCGCAACGCGACTTTTGTTCAGCTGTTCGGACCGGTTGCCCTTCCTCTTCAGCGGCGAGTCTCTTCTCATCATTGATTTTGGTCACAAGATCCCTGTGCCACTGGCCCATGAATTGGTTGACCTTCTTCTTGCCAGTGATCAAGTCCAATCCGGATTGTGTCATTTTTTGAAACTCAGATTGCCAGCGATCGTGGGCAGACCTAATGGTATCGGTCTCGACTTGTCGTTGTCTAAGCTGCATATACAGGTCATGCTTTTGTTCTTCGTTGCCTTCGAAATCAGCGGGCAAAGAGATGTGATATTTGCCTGCAAACAAGGCAAGCGATTCCTTCAAGGACGACAAGCCAAGACCTTTCTGGTCACTAGACAACACTTCGACGACTTGGTCGAGGTTTTCGGGGATCATTTCGATGTTGGGAGTATTTTCGAGCTCATCGAGGTCAAATTTGGCATGACCCAAATCAGAGGAGCAAATCTAAGAGCATGCAAGTTAGAATAATCCATAGAAAAGCAGACAATCATAGATGGCAGGAAAGACGAACCTCGGACAATTCACCCAAATCCAAGTCGGTTAGGACTTCGACACCCAATAGATCTTCATGACAATCCACTTTTTTGGCAAGTTCCCAGTATCGACGAACGGTTCTTTCTCGCTTGGAGCCGTGAATCATTCGGAGCGCCATGCGAATCATAGTTGCGAAAGTGGTAGCATCAGGCTGCACACCTCCAGCTGGCATATCAACTTCAAACCACTTCTGCACGGGCCAGACCATATCATCTTGTCGAGAGGCAATCATGTGTGAGACCATGTCCTTCAAATATCGGTTGTGCAAAGTCAGAAATTCAGGAGAGTCGCGCGCATGAATAGAGCCCAATCGGCTGATCAAAGCCGCAGCTCGATCAAACCGGCCGACTCTGAGCGACATGTCAAAGTTTGCCATCATTTCATTCGCGTCACCTCCAATACCACGGATTTTGCGGAAGGTTTTCATGTGGGTCTGTGGGATCTCATCGACGATAAGAATGGATGAAATATCGAACATGTCTTGATTGAATAAGGACGCTTCTCGGATCTTCGGTCGGATCTCCTGGCGGAGTTCCGCGCGATCCAAGGCTTGTGATAAGGTGTCATCGATGGGCATGTAGGTTGCTCTGTCGACAACGGAAGGGTCGGCAGCGGTAGCGAGATTGCGATGCGATTGGAGGGAGGGCTTTCGGTTCTCTGATGTCACGCTTGGTGGGATTCCGGCTGATGTCGGTCGGGCCGAGTTGGAGTGTAGACGCAGTATTGAAGATGTCCCCAATACCCGATGGGCATTGGCCTTCCGGAGGTGGAAAAGGGCATTTTTCTGGCGAGCCACTCGGGACAACATGATGCAAAAGGGTCGCTTAAACACGAGATATTAATTCAATAGTAGGCGGTGTCTCACAGGAAGGGAAGCATTAAAAAAGATTTATGAGAAAGTGGAATGAAGAAAATGCAAATAGTCGATCAGCGGCAGAGGCGCAAAAAAAGGGACAACAGATAAGCAATGGGCGATGGGATACCGGCTGATGAAGATGGCGTTTAGATTCCTTTAGAATGCCGTCCCGCAGCCCTCAACCCGAGCAAATAAATGAAAAAAGAAGGAAAGAAACGGATTGAGGAAGAAAAGGGGATGATCGTGCAGCACATCGGAGAATCGGGAGTGAAAAAAAGTCGCGGATTAGATTGCGCGCGTGACTAGCACGTGACCTTGTTCCTGGCTTCTTTATTGATCTGATTGGCTGATCGGCTTAAGTGGCGAATTTACTCGAAACTGATCTACACAGAGTTCGATAACTTCGATTACAGTATTATTTGGGTAGTAGGCACCTGCCTTGTAAATGATACTCGATACGTAAGATTAAGGTACCTACTAGTACTATGTAGCTCTATCATTACAGAGGCGCAAGGCCTTGAACATTCAATGATTTAAAACATGGCCATGATGATCATTATTGCGTTTTTTAATGGATTTACCTCTCTATCCAGCTAAGAAAGCTTAGCTTTCCTCATCCTCACTCTCTGATGGCCCATCTCTTTGCTTTTGTCTGTTTTGCTTCATAGCCCAACCCGTCATCTCGGGGTGTGCAGGGTCAATCCGGGGCGCACTCATGCCATCCAAATAAGCTTCACTGTTAATCACCGATTCAAGTTGGGGAAGGTCTTCTGGGTTTTGGTTCATCATGTAGTTTTCGTAAGTATACCAAGATTCCTCAGTCTGCAGTTTGACTGGGTTAGACAAATTTCGACAGTCAAATAATAAGGGATCGGCTGCGTAAATCGGAGAACATACCTCTGCATCCACCCAATCCAGGGTCTTCCACTTCTCTTCTTGCATTCTCTTGAGAAGATCCAAGTTTCCAACAAGCGTAGCACCACCATCTTCAGCGCCCTTGACTTTGACGTCGATAGCACGAGCCTCGGGCTCCGCGCGCTCTTCTTCATCCTTTTTGCCCTTGGCACCTCGCGCTTTAGGCAATTCGTCCATGGCATCAATATGGTGGAGTTGGGGATGTAATTGAACCACTGCTGTGACCGGTGAGAGGTGCAGATTTTCTAAGTACAACTGTAAGAATTTTGTCTCGCCCATAGTTCAAACATCCGGGGACGAGGAATGTGCGTACTTCCTTTGAAAGTTCCCAGCATATGAACAGGATCTCCCTCCTCTGCAGGCTTAATTCGCCCACCAAGGGCTTGTGTCCTGACTACCGAACTGCCATCCACCATCATCTTCTTCTTATCAAACACTTCGACATCGTTTTCATTCTTGACTCTGAGCCCTCCAGTAGCCAAGCTGCCGCCACTGAAGCCACCTGACATGCCGAAGGATCCACCGTCGCGGGCTGAGCGGCTCTTCTTCATCGCATCGCCATATTTCAGGCCCTTCTCCATGTCGTAGGTAACGCGAGTGTTGATTGGGACATCGATCTCGACGAGGCCCGTGTTTGGTTTCATTCGAAGCTCGACTGGCTTTTGGCCCTTTCGTTCGTTGTACGGTTTATTTTGGGGTCGATCAATGTACTGGAAAACATAGCGAGAGATTTCAGAGTCGGTAAGGTAGACATCGTAGGAAGAAACGACTGGGTCGTCTTCGAAGGAAGCCATTGCGGCAAGACGAGGTGAGCGAAAGGGTTGAAAAGAAAAGAGAAGAAGTTCCAGATGCAACAACTAATATGAGAGTGCAGTTGTTAGCTCAATCAATGTCACAAGACCCCGAGCGACCTGCTTCTTTCCAAGTGTTGCAGTCACTTTTTTTCGGATTTATCGATTTGATAAGCGGGGCGGTCGTGGCAGAAAATACCACATGTGCAAGCTTCATTCACCGCCCCAGATCATATCTCGCGGAGATCACGTGTAATCTAATCAGAGGTATTGATAAGCCTGCCTAGATCAATAGTAAGCTCGATCTAGTACTTTAACTATTGAATTTTTATGGTTTTTAACAGAACATTGATGTCTAACAAGATATTCCAAAGTTTAGCATAAATTAAATATTCGGCATTGAGTGTTCATTTCCACATGGCATCCATAGATTGAACATGTCAGATATATAAACATCAAAACCAACAACATAAGTTTTTGAACAAACCGATGATTCGTTCGCCAAGAAATAATGCATCTAGATACAAACAAGGATATAGGCAAGAAGGTAAAATAGCAAAAAAAAAAACAAGGCATTTTGGGTTTCCAGTAGCAGTCGTGACACGTCGGATATTTCATGCTGGAAACTAATCCAGTACTCATTCCTCTTCCTCATCCTCGGCGACCTATTGACGATATGTTAGCTTTGAAGTTTAGAATGTTGAGAGAGATGATTTCAACTTACACCCTCGTGGAAGTTCTGTCCATCGGTGGTGGCCTTGATGACTCCGGCGCGGATACACCAGTCACCGAAACGCTCGGGGGTCTCGCCGTCAGTGTTGCGCTCCTTGGAGTAGCGGGTGAGGAGATCCTTCATAATCTCGAGGATCTCATCCTCCTTGATAGAGGAGCGGTAGCGCTTGTTCAGACGCTGGCCGTGGTAACCACCACCCAGGTACATGTTGTAAGCGCCGAAGGCCTTACCAACGAAGGCGACCTCAGCAAGCCATGGGCGGGCACAACCGTTGGGGCAACCAGTCATACGCATGACAATGCTATCCCGGGCCAGGCCGTTCTCCTCAAGGGTGTCTTCAAGCTTGGAAATGAGGACGGGGAGGTAACGCTCGGACTCGGCCATAGCCAAACCACAAGTGGGGAAGGCCACACAGGCAGAGGAAGACAGACGCAATCCAGAGAAAGCGGTGTTGTCAAGCTTGTACTTGGCCATGGTAGCCTTGATGAGGGGCAGGTCCTCATCGGTGATGTTAGACATGATCAAATGCTGGTTACCAGTGAGGCGGAACTCTCCCTTGTTGAGAGACGCGATCTCGTGAAGACCAGTACGCATCTTGAAGTCAGCAGTATCCTCGATACGACCGTTCTCAATGAAGAAAGTGAAGTGGTTCAATCCCTTCTCATCCTTCAACCAGCCGTAGGTATCAACATTGGAGTCGAACTTGAATTCGCGAGGCTCACCGAAGCGCAGGCCCTCTGGCATCAGCTCCTCGACCTTGCCCTTGAAGACCTCAACACCCATGTCGTCAATGGTGTACTTCATACGGGCGTGCTTGCGGTTCTTGCGGTCACCGTGATCACGCTGCACAAGCATGATCTTCTCGCAAGCAATGTGAACCTGGTCCTTGGGGACGAAACCAAACATGCGACCGATCTGGGGGTACGTCTTGGTGTTGTTGTGGGTGGAACCCATACCACCACCAGCCAAGACGTTGAAACCCTCAAGGTGACCATCGGCACCCTTGATAGCGATCAAACCAATATCGTGGGCATAAACATCGGTGTCATTGTGAGGAGGAATGGCAATAGTAATCTTGAACTTGCGGGGCAAGTAGGTGGGGCCGTAGAGGGGCTCGTGGTCAACAACAGCATCTCCAGCAACCTGGATCTTGTTGTCGGCCTCATCCTTGAGCCAAATCTCGTGATAAGCAGTGGTCGAAGGGAGAAGGTGCTCGCTAATCTTCTTGGACCACACCCATGTCTCACGGTGGAACTCGGAGAGCTCAGGAAGAGAACTGCACATGACGTTACGGTTCACATCACCGCAAGCAGCAATGGTATCCATCAGAGACTGGTTGATGGCGCGCATAGCACCACGGAGCTTGCTCTTGATGACTCCGTGGAACTGGAAGGTCTGTCTGGTAGTGAGCTTCATGGTCTCGTTACCATGAGAACTACTGATGGCATCCATCTGCAACCACTGCTTGGGAGTGGCAACACCACCGGGAAGACGACAACGGATCATGAAGCTGTAAGCGGGCTCGAGTCCCTGGGCCTTGCGTTCTTCACGAATGTCACGGTCATCCTGCATGTAAGTACCGTGGAACTTGGTGAGCTGCTGATCACTGGCAGAGATAGCACCGGTGGTCTGGTCAAGGAGACCCTCGGCAATGGTACCACGCAGGTAGTTTGACTGGATCTTCATGTCCTCGTTGGTCAAGGGCGCGGGCTCCTCAGGAAGACCTTCGACCTTGTCCACGCCCAAAGCTTGCCACAGACGGGGCTCCCACTCGGAGTAGCCAGTCTGGTAAGCATCCGGATCTTGGTCGTCGCCAAGACCAATGTCAACAATCTTGCGACCACCCAAGAACGCAACACGAGCATCAAGGTCCTTGGCAGGCTTGTTGTAGTAGATGCGGTCCTCCTTGCGGGGCCAGTAGTGGCTGTCACCCAGACCGAACACGGAGTAGTTGATAGAAGATAAGTCAAGATCACCAGAGTTCTTGACGTGCTCCCACAGACTGCGACCGTTGACGGGGAATTCACCCTGACCAGCAGTGCTGGAAATGAACACCACATTCTCCTCTGTGGGAAGATCCTCGACGGGGTACTCATCCATGGCCATGACCAAAGTCTTCAGGCCACGAGCACGACCACGGTTACCCAGGCGCTTGGCAATGTTCTGAGCATTACCACCGTCAGAGGCAAACAGGATGGTCAGAGGGGCACCAAAGAGACCATCCAAGAGCTTCTCATAGGAGTCCTTGGCCTTGCGCTTCTGCAGGGCTCGGACTTCGGTACCGTATGATTCAGAGAGAACAGATGAGTACTTGGGCTTGCTGTTCATAAGCTGAGTAAGCTGGTTGTCCCGACGAAGGAACTCCTCCAGCTCGCGCTTGATGCGCTCTGAGTCCAGGGAGAAGTTAGGCTCGCCCTTCTCCTCATTCTGGGGGTTCCAGCGGTAGAGAGGCCAGTATCCAAGGTCAACGGCCTTCTTAGTCTCCTGCAGAACAGTGAGAGCAGAGTCGTCCTCCTGGTTGTAAGGAAGGTAGGCAACGACGACGGAAGGACCCTTGAACTGCTCGGCCTCGGCCATAGCTTGAAGGACCTGAGTGTAAGAGCTGTACACAGCAGTAGAAGCGACGTAGGCATTTCCAAAGTTCATGGCGTAGAGACCAATATCCTTCTTTCGGCGAGTAGGGTCAGCAGCAGAACGCTCGGAGTAGGGTTGCGAGTCAATGATCAGCATGTTGACATTGGCGCCAGAGGCGAGAACGTGGTGGACACCGGAGTTTCCGAGATCGTAGGCCCAGGCGTCGGAGCCAATGAGCCATTGAGACTCGTCGTAGAAGAGCTTCTTGGACTGCAGGAGCTGGCGAGACAGCTGAGAGCCATCGTTAGAAAGGCGGGAGATGACATCCGGGGCGATCTTGTTAGCCTTGGCACTCTCGCTAGCGCTCAAAGCCCAGCGAGATAGCCAGGTCTTAGGAGTATCAGTGGCGAAGGTGGTGGACTTGGATGCCTCCTCAACCTCCTTGATGAAGCGAGCACGGTGCTCCTTGCGTGCGATCAAGGATCCAAATCCGTATTCGGGGCTAGCGGCAATGGTGGATGAGATACCAGCATTCTTGGCATCAATCTGGTTCGCAATGTAAAGACGCTCTCCGAAGAGCTGGTTCAAAATCTTGAGGTAGGCATTTTCTATGCGAGGCTGCTCAAGGGCAGGCTGGGGAGCAGGGGCCTTGGAGCTTCCGATATCCAAGTTTTGAATAGGAGAGGCGGCATTGAGGTTCTGAACAATTCCGCGTAGGGCCTGAACGGCGGTGGAAGGCTCGACATATCCAAGGCGGTATCCAACAATCTTCAAGGTCTGACCGCTAGGGGTCAGGCTGGAAAGGAGGTCCATGAATGAAGGTCCCCACTTGGTGGTCTTGCGAACTTGCTCCAGAACGGCAATCTTTTCGATGGAGCTGGGGATCGAGTTCACGATCTGTGCACCAACCCATGGACGGTAGACGCGAGCGGTAATGAGACCAATGTTCTCAATTTCACTGTTGCCGCTAGCGTTGCTGAGGGCATCAGCGAATACGCCGGTGGAGCCAAAGGCAAAGATGGCGGACTTGGCATCTGCAGGTCCAGTGTACTCAATGGGGTTGTAGTCGCGGCCGACTTCCTTGGAGAGGGCATTCCAGATTTGAGCGGTCCACTCAAAGATATCAGCGGCATTGACCGGGCGAACACTAGCGTTTTCCACGGTAGTAGCGGTTGAGCTGGGGGCTTCGCTTCCGGCACTGCTTTCGCGTCGTGATGAGCCAACAGAGGAGTTGTCAACGCTTGCGTTCAATGGAGTCTGGGTCTGGGAGGCGACAGGCAGGTTGGCCGAAGCTTCACGCTGGACAGCAGCAACTCCCACTGCCTCGGCGGAAACAGTAGCCACACGACCGGAATCAGCGTACAAAGTCTCTTCTTCAGAGGTGCTGTGGGAAGCAACATTTCCACCCAGGCTGAGAATCTTCTTAACGACCTCCTTATCCTCAACAGAAATGGCGGTGTCCTTGGCAGAGTTGGCCGGGTCAAAGAAGTGAATGACACCCTTGCCAGACTTCTGAGCCAATGCATGTGCAGTAAGAGCAATATCCTGAGCCTCCTGGATAGTCTCGGAGTGGAGGAATGTGAACCCGCATTGCCGGATAGAGCTAATGACGGAGTAGTCTGGAGATGGGGAGGATTCCAGAGCGACGTGGATGACAACAGGGTAGCTGGCAAGGCGGTACAGGTGAGGGACGGAGGTAATCAGAATGGAAGAACCAGTCACGACCGAGACGGTCTCGCCTTTTTGCAATGGGTAGAAGGCGGAAAGCAGAGGGTCTTCGTTGAAACGGACGGCTTGCACCTAGATAGAAAGTCAGTCGAATGTCCTCCTTTGCCACTCATGTTCTAATCCGGTAGAGACTAACTTCAGGAGTGCCCCTGGACAGCAGGCTAGCTGTCTTGTGATATTTCAGGGATTTGAGGGACTTGGAGAACAACGAGTCCGTCTGCAGGGAAGGCTGCACTGAGAGGACAAGGTCACTAGCCAAGTAGGCAATTCTCGCCACTGATCAGAAAAGCACCTAAATTAGCAATTGAACCTTTAGTTGGAAGATGGGGAGCTATTTCCGATCATACCGGCTTCCCCAGCAGTTTGAATGGACGCCATGACTGGTAAATGCTGTAATACAGCTGAAGGTGGGATGGGAAAAGCGCTCGCGATCTTGGCTTATCGGCGCATGCAGCGATCTCCCTTGCAGGTCCACCAAAGAAGCACAAATACAGGACAGGAGGAATGACACAATTGATACCCCTCGTTCACTGGATCTATCCAACAAATATAAAAAGGAAAAAAAAGTCCTAGCGGTCGGTTTTCTTTGCAGCGACCAGTGAGTTCTCCGCCATCGGGGTTAGATCAGCAGCATGCTGATTGGCGCACGATCACGACATCAATGCAAACTCATACTTAAAGATATGCAAACTTACCCTTTTGGGCCGTAGTGCGGGGGACCCGTGACCGAGGGCGAGCACGTCAGCGTCGGCATTTGCCCGCGCGCAGGCTCTGCATGGAAAACTTATACTTGATACAATTGCAATCAGATCCCGAATTCTTTGTTTAAAAAAAGCATAATAGCTGTCATTGGCTGTCTAGAGATAGTGTGACTATATCTTTATATATGGCAGAATCTAGTTTATTGCAACGTTCAACCTCCCCATAAGGCGTACAGGAAACATGTTTCTTGGTCAAATGTGCGCTTTTTACCTATACTACTCACCGTAGTCCGGATTACTCTCAGGGTACCAATCGTGGTGCGTTTATTACTGTGCCGGATCGCATTCTCGGTCGAGAGCTTCAATCATTGTGGGCGACCCCAAAAACACAACTAGGATTATTAGGCTCATTTTGAACCTTTTTTTTTGAAGCAAGGGCTGCGTATGTATGTACTTGTCAATCGTAAAACTTCCGCAATAATTGACAAGCAGGAATAAATTGAGATTCCTGGTAACCGATCTCGGTTTGGTGAAGCAACTCCAGGTGCCAAGGAAGTGGGACCCGCCGGTGGCCAAGTGGGAAATTGAGTCTACATCATTGATAGACTCATTTATGTGTAAGGGATTTGAAAAGCTCGTGGTTACCAACGAGTATTGTCGAAGGTGTATTTGTGCTGCTGTGAGCAGTCTTGTAGAATAAAAATGAAGAAGACCTTGAGAACGAGGTCAAATCGCTGGAGGAGGTTTTTTAATAAAAAAAAAAAATAAAAAAGGAGCAAAAATGATCTGCGCAGGGTTCGAACCTGCGATCTTTCGCGTGTAAGGCGAACGCGCTAACCACTACGCCAGCAGATCTGATTGATGACTGATATCAAAGATTAACAAGAGATATCCTACCATATTTTATCTCGATATGTACGTGTCGGTTCTTTTTTCAGTGTCGGCGTCTCCGTACATGGGATTGATGGATCACATCCCAAGTTTGACTCCTAGAATTGATAGATTACTCTGCCTATTTTTGTTATTTGACATATCCGGAGGTCATGCATATTTTGTGATTGTGCACAATTATTGATGTCCAATCAATTTCAGATAGCCTAGAGTATATCAAACGACCCAATATATGTACATATGTATATGTATCCATCAAAACAATCGAACTGTTTGATCTTCTACCTACATACGTCCACACCCCCTTTTCGACCACGACACATAGATCGAACGCCACTGGTGCAATAAGCTCCGCATGACACCCGGGTAGTCCCTTGTACCCACGCAAAAAACTGACGATAGCCCCTTTTTGGCAGGTATCTCATGTGTGCTCTTTGTCTGACAGACTGCCCAATGGGTACCCGATATCAGAAATTTGTTTCTCCGAAAATAGACCGGGTGGGACGATTGGGCTTGGGAATGTGTCAAAACTCGATATTGTGGCTTAGAGCTAAGATCATCGTGTAATGTGATCAGGGGGATCTACGGTAGGTTCTTTGTGTGATGTGAAATGTCTCTTCGTAGAGTGTTCAGTTCTGACCAGTTTAAAACCATCAATTTCTGCCCATTTGAATCCTATCTATCAAATCTCTCAACACATTATGTCTTCTGACCATCAAATCTGCAAATCTTGTGGTGAGTTTTTATCAATACTGGTGTTTGGTGTATCTTCAAGTTTATTAACGGTTGTGGGTATAGTTATCAGCGAGGGGCTGGCCGAGCGGCGGGGTTGAACATTGAATGCTTTGAGGAAAAAGACATTTAAAATCATAGCAAGATATCAACTCGAAGGTATTTGCAAATGTGCAGACTAAATAACATTGGAAGTCTTTGACCTGACCAACTCTAACATTCAATCGTTGGGCATTTAGATGTTTGGAGTCCAATTTGACGCCGCGGGCATTTACCTCGTCGGCACACCAACAGAACAATTCCACATCTCCTTCGAAGAAATGATGTCTTTCAAAGGAGGCATCATCGGCCTTCTCGAATACGGCGTGACTTGGAAGGTGTTAAAAGGAATTATAAGTCGAAAAAGACATCGACTATGGAATTGTCCCGAAACGTCCCTGGAGACACAACCCGCCCTGTGGATTGATAGCTCAGGGCCCGTACTGTACGAGGTTCGCCATGGGTTGGAATCTATTCTCGTGACTCCACAAGATTTGGAGCGTTCTCGGTTTGGCAGGGCTATCAAGGAACATTGGGATACGGGGATGACTGAGCCAAGCACACGAGGCGCAATACGGATGCTCCTCGAGGCGTTATTTATTGGTCTTTGGAGAAATATGCTGCGTCGGCTGAAGTTGCAAAAGTTTTGAGGATTGATCTCAATGTACTAGACGACTATCATCTGCACCATTATGCCTCGGTGACATTGCCAGAGAGACATTTTGTCCCAAGGGCGAGAAAATGGGTACAGACAAAAGCATGTACCTCACGTGCAGGCGTGGATAGAGCACTCAAGTGGTTCGACAGAAGCCACATGCATACTATACTAGTACATATATAATAGTTAATTATTTCCCCTAGAATTCCAATCTACCGGGCAGGGAACAGTTGAGATTAACCCCATAGAACTTTATTCTGTGTAGAAATCGCTAGAAAAGTATTCATGAGATACATGCAGGTGTGAAAATTGTGTACAATGATAAAATCTGTCAAAACCTAGCCTACTCAGGCATCGGAGTTGTAGACTCAATCCCATATGAAGCCAATGTACACCCCCAGACGCCAAAAGAAGGTGATATGCACATCAAGAGCACAGCAACGCTCGAGATAATTCGAATCCGCGCCAGCTCCTTGGGTACCAAAAACGCCGAGTTTCAAGAAATTCGAAAAATGACACCAGACTAACCAAAACAGTCAGTGTGGGAAATATTGTGTATCCAGTTCCTCCGCGTAATCTAAGTCAATGGGTCGTTTGTCATATACAGTTGTCGTGATGTTTCCAAAGTCTAAGCTTTGTGACGCGTGTGCTACCGACTGCAAGGCTTCAGCGAATGTTGCTTTGATTCGGTTGTTGAGCGGAACGAGAGTGCAAACAAAAGGGCCGGGGTGGATTGTGTTCTTCAGTATCGCACAGGCGGAGGATTCATATTTCCGGCCCAAAGGAAGGGGACCATAGGTCAACCAATGGTGACAGGGGAGGGGGATATGGAGTCCAGTTTTGTAGAGTGCCAGGTGTTGTGATGGGATCTTAAGGGAGGAGACCAAAGTGCGATGAAAAGTGAGTTGCCATGATTGATTATCGAGTTTCAGGCCAGTCCTGCATTTTTACATTCACCCCAGGGTGCTCAGGGATAGTTTGTTGAATAACACCAGAGCGGATAATGGACGGCGGTGGCTGGGGAGGACCGGTGCCCGATCGGCGTCTTCGCTCTCGTTCCAAGGGACCCGGTAGTTCGGTGTTGTTCTGAGAACGGGCACGGAACTTCTGACCAAGGTTACCGAGCCAATTGCCCTCTTCCTCCTCACCGAGCCAATAGCTGTGACCGATACCAACCATGATACGGCCCAGCTTACCCTTCCAACCTTGGCCATCGGGACTGTAGGGCGTGAAAGGCTCACGGTCAATGTCCGCAACGCTCGCGATAGAGACATTGCGGCTGTGTGTAGGGAGCTGGGTGTGTCGAGGGATCGCAATCCATAGACGTAAGGTTTGACGAGCAAAGGCCAACATCACGAGGACGAAGTAGACGCGCATGGCCCACAGGAGTGAGATGAAGACAATGCTCTGGAAGCTCTCGGGCTGGGCAACAACACTGCTCAGGTGGTCGGCAGCTCTCGGCGGGTGGGGAACAAATTGATTTCCATCCTGAGTGTGCTGGATCTCAACGTAGGCGGCATCGTACTTGGGGCTGGTGAAGCCGGCGGTCTGTGCGATGGTTTCGCTGCCTGGTCCAGAGGGCTTGCCACCGTCGTAGGTCTGCGACACTACTAGGAACCAACTCACTCCAAAGGCGGCAGTGTAAGCGGCGTTGATCAAACTGTCAATCAGGTACAACCAAGCAAGCGCAAGGCACTCCAGAGGAGACTGCTTTCGAATGTGAGGGAAAAGGATGGCGGCGATGGCGAGAGCGATGAGAGAGTAAAGGTACATGGACAGTTGTACGGGCGACAAGTGGTAACCGGTCAACAGGGCGAGGAGGCCATAGAGGCCACTGATTTTGTTCAATAGTAGCGACAGTGTAATCAATGACGCGCCTGTTTCGAGGCTCATAACATAGAGAAAGGTCTGTGAAGTCACGGGATGATTAGCTTCGGGTCCATCGGATAAGGCAGAATTCACGATCGCAGGGGGTTCTCACCTCTGGCCGCGGAATGCGGAGGAGACGGGATGAGAGCCCCATCCTGGCAAGTGTGAGCGAAATCAAAGAAACCCCGAAAAAAGAGTCTGGGCCACAAGATTGGTAAAGTTGTATATAAAGTCGAGCTGAAAGGGTGGAAAGGGCAAAAAGAGAAAAGGATGAGATTATGGTACCGCAAGTGGTCCAGGGGCGCTATTTTCCGGGCGATCCGCATTTGCTGATCGATGCCCGATTGCGATCGGCTCCGGCTGCATTAATTTCATTTTGTATGCCAGGATTCTAGTCAAACAACAGGTTGCAGGTTGCAGGTTGCAGGTTTTTTTCTTTTTCTTTTCTCTTTCTTTATACCATGGCTACTTTAAAGTTGTTGTATTTCCACGCGACAATGTCAAAAACAACTCCAGTCAGTGTGGACCATAGCGAGAAATATTGATGTAGTTAGAACTTGCACCGTTACAAAGATGGAAAAGAAATGCATATTACTCCAACTGCATTTCACTCAATGTTTTTCATATTAGAAGAACCTAGGAAGCCTCCGGAGAACTCAGAAGAGCGGCCCATGTTGTATAAGATATCGATCCACAGAGCCCCAGCGTATTGTACAATGTAACTTGATCATTTTTCACAACAAAAACACCGGCCGAGCGACCAAGCGATTTCCAAATAGTAAAGTGAATATGAGAAGATTCTCAAGGTTTCCAAGGTTCCTTCAATGTTGATAGTTCTTGCAAAGTAGATCCGACGTACCTGGCTAGTAGAAAGAAGAGTTTAAATATTCAAAGAACTGTGTCGTCTATAGTAGAATATAGATTATGCGTATGTATCTAGATAATATTGTCTAAACTCACCATCCGGTTACCATGATATCATTGGTGATATTTGCAATTCTGGAATTCATTTGGACATCTGGAGGCAGGGGGTTCAAGTGTAGAAAAAAGAACAATTTGAACATTGAACCAGGTTATAAACCATGTGCCGGATTTATAAAGGAGCCTTTGCTTGCATACATATGCCCAGCGCAGATGCCGGGAGTGCCCTGCAGATCTTCCCAACATTGAAAGCTTGGCCTGATATCTGTACCAGTTGACATTTCAATGCCTAGATTTCGAGTCATGTACAATGAATGTTTCAAGAAGATTTCAACCTGAAATGGTGAACATTGGTTTGTCCGGTGGAGAATATTTGGATTCCCGGTTTCCTAATCAGGCAAGAATCTACAACCCCGCCATGTACAAGAGTTATCGGCTGAGTGATTCACAGTAGAGTCATACATATAAGCAACTTGGTAATCATTCTTGTTTCAAGATTCCGACCTCGGGACTAGACACACGGATGCTCGGCACTCGGAAAATTGATATGCATACTTGGACATAACATTGGGAAAACTGACATGGATTAAATGTACATTTAATGTTGATATAAGATTTATCAGCCCACGAGTCGCTTATCTCTCCTGGTACGTGCTAGTCTACTAGTTGTTCAGCCAATTAATGATATTTTTTTTTGTCTTTTATGAATATTTTTTTTCAACCTACTGCCTGAAAAGGCCCTGAATCATTTATTATTAGATATGTATTTACTAGTGGAGGAAATCTTTGATTAATGTAGAAAATTCCAAAACCGGGTTTGCTATGAGTACTAGTGACAAGAGTAGATGACAAGCTATTGTATAAGATGTGGAGATTTGCGGGGTCTGTTGGATTTTGTATAAGTGATCATCGTGATGAGTAGTAGATACTAGTATACTAGTATGAAGTAGATGATTCTTTTTCACTGCCAAGAAAGTCATCGGATGGAGATGGTTACCTTCGGTCTTTCGGGAAGGTTGTCCGTACCCGCATCCAGACCTTCACGGAATAAGAGAGAAAAAATCCTACATCCGTCGCCACTTTTTCTTCGGATCAAATTATTAATCTTAAGATCCACAAAGGATTGGGTATTCCTGAATCATGGGGCCAATGAATGACATCAGAGTCGTCTTCTCATTTTTTTTTTTGCACTAGCGTCGATCCACTTCAGGACCATGTTGTTTTCGGCCAGCCTCATTTTACATAACGTGCCGATTTTAACCAAAAGTCCTATTGATTGCGCATGTGAATCAAGCTTCAAAGCATTCAAAATCTCTTAAATCCCTGGATCCAAAAAAAATCCCACGTGAGAGCGGCGTTGAATATCAACTTGTGCCTGAATACTTCGGCAATTACTGTTGCATGTTGAAGCCGTCGCGTTCGATAGTGGGTCTGAACGGTTAAGTCGGCCCTGTTCTGGTACTCCTATACTTTTCTTAAATCGTCCTACGCCGCTGAAAAAAAAAAGGGTTCCTGTTTATTATGCACGGGGCAGCTATCTGACCTAATCCCCCCTCAGTCGTTCTTTACCCTATATCGAGCACACCCCCGCCGCAATCGTCATCCGATACGAGAGCTCCGGACCAGAGCTGACAAGGTCACCATGGATACCACGGCCAAGGAGATTGAGCTCGCTGAAGCCGACGCTGCCGCGCAGGCATCTTCATATGGCAACGAAAAACCCAGAAGATCGGCCGAAGTAGATAGACCTGGCTCATCTGGGACGACTGGCTCGTCCTCGGGGTCCAGTAGCTCCATTGACTACGATCCGCAGTTTCACAGACTCCAGTCGCGAAACACAGAGCTGGACCTAGAGCGCAACCGAACCAATGTTTCTCGGACGCTTAGCCGAATTGAAACCCAACGCCTTCAGCATCAGCTCACGGTCGGTGAGAGCGTCAAGTCGCGTGCCTCCAAAGTACCATTGCCGGCCTTTGGTGGCGGCAAGCCATACCCTCCACCGCTACCCAACCGAGATGATTATGTTGTAGAATTTGATGGGCCAGATGATCCTATGTATCCCAAGAACTGGTCCACCAAAACCAAGTACGTTTGACTCTTTGGGACTATACAATCAGAGCATACCCGAAACCCGCAAGACACTGACATATGAAACTTTGATCAGGATCTACATCACCGCTATGCTTGCCTTTACCAGTATTTGCTCGACTTTCGATTCCGCGGTGTTTAGCGCTTCATCGGAAAACGTTGCGTCACACTTTCACGTCAGTCTGGAGGTCTCTGTCTTATCTAGCACCTTGTACATTGCCGGTTATGCCTCGGGTCCTTTGATCTGGGCACCCTTGTCAGAGCTCAAGGGACGTCGCCCAGGTATCGTCTTTGCCATGCTGGGATTTGGAATTTTCAACACCGCGGTTGCATGTTCGAAGGATATTCAGACCCTCATGATCTGTCGCTTTTTCTGCGGTATCTTTGGTAGTTCACCGCTGGCTGTCGTGGCCGCAGTCTTCTCTGACATCTACGATAACCGCACCCGTGGTATCGCTATCGCATTCTTCTCCGGCACAGTCTTTTTGGGACCTCTCATTGCCCCATTCATTGGTGGATTTATCAACATGTCATACCTGGGTTGGCGCTGGACCGCCTGGATCCCCGCGTTCATGGGTTATGCGGCCTTCATTATGAACCTCTTCTTCCTGAAAGAGTCCTACCCACCTGTCGTTCTAATCGAAAAGGCCGCGGAATTACGACGCCGAACAAAGAACTGGGGAATTCATGCCAAACAGGAAGAAATCGAGGTCGACTTCCGGGAGCTGATTGTCAACAACTTCTCGCGTCCTCTTAAGCTTCTTTTCTACGAGCCCTTGATTTTGGCTGTTACGATTTACTTGAGCTTCATCTACGGCCTGCTTTACTGTTTCCTGACTGCTTACACCGTCGTATTCGAAGGCGTGTACGGTTTCAACGGTGGTGAAAGTGGTCTGCCTTTGTTTGGTATGGTAGTTGGTCTGTTCATCGCCGCATCCTACGTTATCTGGTCTTCGAAGGGATATAACCGAAAGCTGGACGCCAATGGCGGTATGCCTATTCCCGAATGGCGTCTGCCCCCAGTCATTGTTGGAGGTGTTCTTTTCGCCGCTGGACTTTTCTGGTTCGGATGGAGTGGGTTCAGCGGCACTGTCCACTGGATTGTCCCTACTTTGAGTGGACTGTTCACAGGATTCGGACTATTGATCATTTTCATTCAATTGTTCAACTACCTCATTGATACCTACCTCATGTTGTGAGTTCCTCCGAATTAGTTAAATCATAGTTCCGTGTTTGATGCTAACATATTCAATAGCGCTGCGTCGGCCATTGCTGCAAACACTTTCTGTCGGTCTATGGTGGCAGCGAGCTTTCCCCTCTTTTCACGACAAATGTTCGACAACATGGGCATTCAATGGGCTTCAACTCTCCTCGGATGCTTAGCAGCTGTGCTGGTCCCTATTCCCATTGCATTCTACTTCTACGGCAAGAAGCTAAGAATGAAGAGCAAATTTGCTCCATTCTTCGAGCCTGCCGCAGAGGCAGCTTCCGGCGAGGACGTGATTGAAGAAAACTGAACTGCTGAAATTTCCTTGATATCCACATAAAAAGTTACTTTACATACTGCATTGGTCTAACCTCCACATAGGAGCTTCGGGATGTTTCCCACAATAATATTTCATAATGATATTGACACAATTGATTCCCGATTCAAGATTTCTACTAGAGCGCCCTGTATAGTTTTGCATGCAGTAGTACCGAATGTTTTTCTCATTTTTCTCCGTGACACAGGCCGTTGTACAGCTAAAAGTCTATTCTCCCAAACCAGCATATCTAATCATAGTATATGACGAGTCAGGGGTTATCAAAAAAACTATGAACACGCACCGATTAGGTAGCGGCTACACGGACAATTTTGACGACACTCGTTACGCCTTTGAATCTAGCAGAACTCTATGAATCTTACTCATTCTGCTGTCTTTTCTGACTCTGGAATGACTTCCCACGCCCTCGCTGCGAAAAACGAATCTGGTACAGCAGCCCTCTGATGTTTTAATTGTACTTTTGATATGTTCTCCTAAGCGCCACAACTCACAACCATGAGTCTCCTCGAGAGAATATTCATCGTGATCTCCCAGCGCTGGGTTTTCTTACTCGCAGCAATCACTTATTCCATTGGTCTGCTCTACATTGCTTTTCACAATGGATCTACAACAACAGAAACAACTCGGTAGGAATTTGACCCAGGAAAGCTCTCATGATTCCCTGTATTAACGAAAAAACCTTTCCGTCTTAGGATATTGACTCCATGGTCTCCACATCTATTGGCAAACGTCTCTGCAGCGCCGAGTATCACACACTTCTTCGAGGATATCCGCCTTCCAATCGACGCCGAAAACTTTACTGGCCAAGATGGAGAGGTTTACATACTTCCCTTTTACCTACCAAAGACGCCATCTTTCACTCAGCATTTAGGACAGAAGGTCCTCATACTCGATGCAGATACTCGGCCGTTAGATAACCCAGGAAGCATTTTTAACGAGATAAGGACCCCTGTGACAACTCGATGGAATTCGATGAACTGGGAAACATATGGACGACTCAATCATTTCATGTGGGGTGTGTAAGAGCCGGGAACATTCTATCCAGCACATCTCTTGAAATGACGACTGACTTGATCATAGCGAAAATTCACGGCTACGACTACAAACTAGCCACCATGAAAGGAAACTCCACGCAAAGACATGCGACATGGTGTAAAGTCGCGGCTATGAAAGAAGCAATTGATCACTACCAGTTTGTCGTCTTCGTAGACGCAGATATAGTCTTCCCCCATCTACACGTGCCACTTGAATGGCTTCTCAACTACTGGGATATCAACCCCGAGACTCTGATTGCCATGGCATGGGATCCAGAAGCGGATATAAACAACGACGACAGAGGCCAAACGTTTTTGAACAAGGGATTCATAATTGCGCAACAGAGTGCTCGCACGAAAGAACTGCTCGAGGCGTGGGATGATTGTGTGAATGGATCTCGGTATCCAGAGTGCCCTCAGTGGAGTAAACGATGGCCACATGAACAGGGAGCATTTGGGAATTATCTTCGGTATGACTTTGACCGAATAGAAGATGTGAAGGCGCTGTCTTGTGAAGAAGCAAATGGGTCTCCCGAGGTGGCGCATACTGGGTGCGTTGGAAAACTTGTGCGCCACTATTGGAATGATAAGCATTTGGCGTCGGCCAGAGTGCAGGAGATTACTATGCAGTACTTTATGCCACGCCTGCATGACGAGTTCTTGCAGGAATACAAGAGAGTCGAAGTAATGTGGGATTGATCGACCGGCAGAAGATGGGTGGTAGTAGTAAGTGCTAATATGATTTGCAACATATGCCGGATTTCTCATGTGTGATACAAATAAAGCGTCGCTTTCTTGAAGTACGTTGTTGTCTAGTATCAAGAATAATACCCATATTGTACAGCTTCATCGATTATAGCATATCCGACCTGAGCTTATGGGGCCATGTTGGGCAAAAATAGACGCCTTCCACCAGTGAGTCCACAACTCCACTGCGACTAGGAAAACAAGATATAATGCGAGGGGAGAGAGAGACAAGAGAGAGCGGGGATCATAACGCTCAGCTTGCTGTGAGCGCACAAAGGGGAAAAAAAAAGAAACCGCTTTCAACTGAAAGTTTGAAACACACGCTATTCACCCGAGCAATCAGAAAAGTGGGAGGGAAAAACATGTACATCTTAAAGTAAATGGCGCAACATCATGGACAGACTCGATTCTCCTCATCGGTCAAGAGGGATTTGTAAATGAAGTTGGGAGGACGATTAGCAGGCGCAGCCATCATTGTTGGTGGTCTCCTTAGGATGGATGTTCACATCAATCACTGAAGAAAAGGGGGTATGTTAGTTTATCTACCAGAGGTAAAAGGGCATAGGGGCTGTATAAACGATATGCGTACTTGTACTTTCGCCTTGTTTGGCCTCACCCTCCATTCCTGGTAGAGCCTGGGCGATTCTCCGGAACAGTTGCTTAACATTGTGTCCGACCTTCGCACTAGTCTCAATAAACATCAGGCCGTTCTTCTTGGCCTCCTCTTCGCCTTGAGCGGTGGTGACCTCCCGCTTGTCGTTCAAATCGGTCTTGTTGCCCACCAGCACAATAATCACATCATTTCCGCGCTCCCCGCGCACATCATCGATCCATTTCCGGGTGTTTTGGAAAGATTTGGCACTCGAAATATCGTAGACAACAACCGCCACGCTAGAGTCACGGATGTAGGAGGGGATCAAGGAGCGGAATCGTTCTTGGCCGGCGGTATCCCAAAGTTGAAGACGGACTGTTCGATCTTCGAGGTACATAGTCTATCATGAAGATGGTATCAGCCTCGTCGCCACATGGCTGGTATCCACCAATGTGGTGAGTATGGGGAATTGGGAATATACCTTAGACAAAAAGTCGATACCAATCGTGGCCTGATATGTGTTGTCGAACGAGTCGTACATGAAACGGGTAATCAACGAGGTTTTTCCCACTGTAGCATCTTGTCAGGACCGTCTGCATTGTATTTCACTTCCTATTCCATCCACTCGAATCGATTGGGGAGCTCGAAGGGGACCGTACCGCTTTGTTCGCCAAGGAATACCAATCTATGACCCTTGTCAGTGTCCGATTTCTCCAATTTTGACGCGCCCGAGATAAGTTTCACTCACTTGAATTTCTTTAAAGGGTTCGAATAAGAACCTACCCCAGAGGCGGAGGCCATGGTTGCTTCTGGTAATAAAGAGAGGGGGGAAGTGTGGCTTCAGGGGGATTTTGAAATGTGCCACGGGACCGCGATCTAGAGAGTATGCGACACAAAAAAGACGTAGTCTTAATAGCGCATGCAAAGGAAGTGAGAGTAGCAATTAAGTATTGAACGTTCTCCCCTCTCTGATTGATATTCCACGATCAAGTTGAACGAGCCGTGGATCTGGGGAACCACGACTTGTCACCGCCCCCGAGCCACACGGATCAGTTAATCCGTTCCGGCCACCGAAGCACTCATCCACACTCCGACCGTCGACAGCTTCGAAGCCGAGCTCCCTTATCGGCCCCCCTTCACTGCGAGACCGTCTCGCTCGTTTATTTACAGATAGGTCGTCATGGCTATCCCGTACTACTTTGGTTTCTCCACGACCGCCCTTGTGGTGGTCGGATTGTGTATGTTGAACACCCGGAACCTCTCCGATCTGGACAGTTCGAGCTAACCTAGAACCTGTGATGGATAGACATGCTCTTCCAGGGAGAAGGTGAAGCCTTCAATGTACGTTTTTCTTTTTTGCGCGATACGAATACCCCATCATGCTCGCCCGCATACCCCGTATTGACATGACGCGTTACTAGGTTGGCCGCTTCCTCGAAGAAGTATCACCCTACGCCTGGGCGAACATCGGTATTGCGATGTGCATTGGTTGCTCAGTGGTTGGAGCTGCATGGTAGTTTTTTTTTTTTTTGGTTTGCCGGGATACGAGCCTTCAAGCTCGAGTGCATTGTATGGATCCCGTCCTCTGACATTGTTTACAGGGGTATCTTCCTTACCGGTTCTTCGATTGTCGGCGGTGGTGTTCGGGCTCCCAGAATCAGAACCAAGAACTTGATCTCCATCATTTTCTGTGAAGTTGTGGCCATTTACGGCGTTATCATTGCGATCGTCTTCTCCTCGAAGTTGGGTCCGGTCCCGGAGACTGAGCTCTACACCAAGAGCAACCTATACACAGGTTATGCCCTTTTCTGGGGAGGTATCACGGTAGGATGCTGCAATCTGATTTGCGGTATTTCCGTTGGTATCAACGGTAGTGGTGCAGCTCTTGCCGATGCTGCCGACCCTAGCCTGTATGTGACAAGTTCCTTGCTTCGATTTCTATTTCTATTTTTTTTTTTCATCAGTGTGACGGTATCTGACGTTCCAATTATTTTACATCTAGGTTTGTGAAGATCCTCGTCATTGAGATTTTTAGCTCAGTTCTGGGTCTGTTCGGCCTCATTGTTGGCTTGCTGGTGGGTGGCAAGGCTCTTGACATGGGTGCGGCGTGATAGGCTGCAAACTTTGGGACCTTTTGCATGTGGGGAGAGAATGTGGCTATGATTGCCTCGACCAGGACATCGAACGAGACTAAGAAATCGGTCCAATCAGTTCAAACCATCCCAACCCGCCCATATATGAATCATCTCGGCATACTTTCTGTTTATTTCTCCCCGTTTACCCCCCTCATCCTCCTTAAAACTTCTTTCTTGTTTTATGTTTTGATACACAGCATTGGGGCGTCTGGGATTTCGATTCATAGAGGCTCTCTCTGTGGGTTCATCGGTTCATACTATTATGCATCGCTGATCCGGGGAATCGTGCCCACTTGTGTACAGTAATTATGTTATAGCAAATGAGAGCCAGTTCTACCGAAAGTACGATGTAAAGATTCTCCATATTCCCCGCATTCTGCCCATGATCCACCTACGTACTGGATGAAAATCCTCGAAACTATCGCAATCATCGTGCAGAATCTAATAGCACGGACCGCTCAACGGGGTAAGGTTGCGTTCCGAGGTTTCGCGATACCCCGGAAATTCCAAAACCAACATCTTTTTTTCCCACTTAAAAACCCCCCCACTTTCCCGCATTCAAACCACCAAATTGCACACAATGGATCCAAAATTGAAGGTAGCCATTTTGATCGTTTCGGACACCGCTTCGAAGGACCCCGCTTCCGACAAAGTAGCGGGGGCTCTTGCGCCCATCCTCGCCCAAGAAGGGAAGTGGGAACCCCCCGCAATCAAGATCGTGCCGGACAATGTGTTCCAGATCCAACAGGCTGTCTGCGACTGGGCTGATGGAGATGATTGGTATAATCTCATCTTGCTCAGCGGTGGGACAGGCTTTGCAGTCAAGGATAACACACCCGAGGTATCAAGCCATCCTGTTGTTCTGTTGGTCAACCGGGTTCCCCTGCTAAATGACATCACGTTTAGGCTGTGACCCCCCTGATCCATCGTCATGCTCCAGGCCTAGTGTGAGTTGGTTGTATACCGTATCTATCCAGTTTAAAGAACAGGCCAAATGAGGACTAACTTGTTCAGCCATGGTATGATCGCCGCTTCGTTGAAAGTAACGCTATGTGAGATGACATCACCATCAGCCATACCCGGCCTGTGCCCTACTCTATAAACATTCGACTGACCCCCCATTCCAGTTGCGATGATGGCTAGACCAGTTGCTGGTGTACGCGACAAATCATTGATTATTACTTTACCTGGATCACCAAAGGGAGCCATGGAGAACCTTGAAGCTGTTGTAAAACTCCTGCCTCATGCTTGCCTACAGAGCGCTGGGGCCAACTCTCGCAGTCTACATGCTGGAGGCATGAAGAAGTTAGAGAGTGATGCGGGCGTTTCTTCAAGCCACCATCACCACCATCACCACCATCACCATCACCATGCTCATGGTCACGGCCATGGACATGCTGTTCCCAAGGCCCATACCTCCCCAGCAGACCGACCTCAATCTAATGACCCATCCGCGGGACCTAACCAACGTTACCGTTCATCACCCTACCCAATGCTATCTGTGGAGGAAGCACTTCGCACAATAAGCGAACAAACCCCTGCCCCGATAGTTATTGATGCCCCAGTGAACACATCCATTGTGGGATCGGTCGTTGCCGAAGATGTCTACGCTGCTGAGATGGTTCCGGCCTACCACGCCAGCATCGTCGATGGCTACGCAATTATTGCACCTGAATCCACCGACGCCGGAGCTACGACTAGGGGCGTGTTCCCCGTAGCATCCATCACCCACGCGTCTGCTGGAGGCGTCCTAGAGCCCCTCCAGCCTGGAACCATTGCTAGAATCACCACGGGAGCTCCTCTCCCTCCGAATGCCAACGCTGTAGTCATGGTCGAAGACACCGTGCTGGCTTCATCTACCCCAGATGGCAAAGAAGAGGCCACTGTCGAAATCCTTCCCCATGATATCCAACCGGGTGAGAACGTTCGTGAACCAGGTAGCGACGTGACTCTTGGCTCTAAGATCCTGGCCCGCGGAGACCTTATCTCCCCAGCTGGAGGTGAGATCGGCCTGCTCGCTGCCACAGGCGCGAGGACCGTCAAAGTATTCAAAAAGCCCCGTGTGGGAGTTCTGAGCACAGGCGACGAGCTTGTGGAGCACGACGACCCTCGCAAGCTTGTCGGCGGCCAGATCCGCGACTCAAATCGTCCTTCTCTTCTCTCCTGCCTCTCATCATGGGGATTCGAGACCGTGGACTTGGGTATCGCCCGCGACACCCCCTCCAGCGAGCTGGAGCATGCCCTCCGCGACTCGCTCCGCGGGGTAGGCCGGGCCTCCGCAAGCGTGGATGTGATCGTCACAACAGGAGGCGTCTCAATGGGCGAGCTAGACCTCCTCAAACCAACCATTGAGCGCTCCCTGGGCGGTACCATTCACTTCGGCCGAGTGTCCATGAAACCCGGCAAACCAACCACTTTCGCAACAGTACCCTTCAAAGAAACCGCTTCTGATGCCTCTGCCTCTGGCCAGCAAGAGCGCAAATCAAAACTCATCTTCTCTCTTCCCGGAAACCCTGCTTCTGCCCTGGTTACTCTAAACCTATTCGTCTTGCCTTCACTGCACAAGCTCTCCGGCCTTGGAGAGAGCTCTCAGTCCATCGCTATGAAGCCTTGGATGGCGCCGCAGCTTGGTCTGCCGCGTGTGGCTGTTGTGCTGACACACCATTTCCCTCTTGATCCTAAGCGTACAGAATACCACCGGGCTGTTGTTACGGGTTCACGCTCTGACGGTCGCTTGTATGCTACCAGTACCGGTGTCGAGGGCGTTGGACAGCGCAGTTCGCGAGTGGGCAGCATCGCCCGCGCGAATGCACTTGTTGTCCTACGTCCTGGTCGTGGTGTCGGGATCAAGGGTGAGATTGTGGAAGCGCTGATGATGGGCCCTGTCTATGGATCTGACACCCGAATCATTTGTTAAGAGCTTTAGATTGGTTGCTATGACGAGCACGACTTATATACCAGGGAGCTGGATTCCCTAGACTATACTTTCTTTCCGTGTGATTTACATTTACCTTTTTTACTCCTCGTTTTCCTACTCTTCTCTTCCTTCATGATTCTTTGATATGATACAATGATCTCTAAGCAGACTGCCTATTGATAGATGATATCTACGAGCAAATGACAAGAATTTCCAATCGAGCAAACCTTAAAGGACTCTCATTTCTCAAAAGTACTATGTAAACGTAGTAAGTTGCAGGTCGTATGTATGTGTCTAATTTGAACTCCTCGCCAATGACATCTGGAAGCACCCCAGACGCCAATAAGAACAATATATGCCGACGGCATCGAGGTCAGCCTTTGGTAACCTTGTATCCCTTCTTCTTCTCCGCCCGTAAACCAACCAACGTCCCATCTCTACCCTGCTTCCTAGCAATCTCCACCACAAGAAACCGCACAAAATCCGTCAACGTCCAATAGCTACTATGCGCACTCAACATATTGAGATACTGGATATTGAGTGGGCCACCTCCACCTGATAGGTAATAATCAATCTGACCATTATCGTTGAGAAGCAGCATACGTTTTTCAGCGATTTCTTCCCGTGTGAAGTCGTGCGTTTCCATTTCAACGTTTGAGGGCATTTTGGAGACTGCGGCAGGCCGAACTGGGTGTGCTGAAGTAACAAAGCTTGATGAGGAGGTGCTCCAGCGGAAGACGCTGCCAAATGATTGCCAAAGGCTAGAGGATGAGCTGGGGATCGAGGCCACCTTGAGGGAGTTTGAGAGGTCATTGTCTACAGCGGCGTTGACTCGGTAAGCAATCGCTGCAAGGAGTTTGTCAGTATAGGCGCAAAGAAATAGAGTAAGGGCATTGATGACAGTGAACGTACGGTCTGTTGTGTGCAAGATATTGTACAAATTATCGACTGCGAGACAACCATATGTGCCGGGTTCGCCTGCGACACCACGGAGTCGGTCTTCGCCTTCGCTACCTGGTTTATCTCTTCCCTTTCGAGGCAGGAGGTTCGCTAAATGAGTTAGACCCATAATATAAAGGTGGCACGCACTGATAAATACCTTTATTGAGCAATAAGAAAAATCCAACAGGGCTTCCGCAAAGAAAGAGATTGGCGGTATTGAACTCAAAGATATCGCTATGCAGAGGGGTATCGAGAAAGTTGAATCGGGGTACGTTTGTTGGCTGGTGGCTTAAAATGTCAAGAGCCATGACACTCCCCAGAGAATGTGCAAGAAGATGTACGCGGCCCTTGTCTTGGAACCCGGGATTATTATTGCACCAAAGACGATATATGCGATTTGCTTCTCGGACAACAGCCTTAATCATCTTGGGTTTATGATGCGACAGATAGTAAGGGATATCGAGCATAACGTCACTGATCAGCGACCGAATTGCAGGCAGGGTTTGAGGCGTAATATCTGACAGAGTATAGTCGTTGGAAAATGGATCCTCCATGTCAGCAGGCTCCATTGATGGGTCTTCCAGTGATAGTGTCGTGCGCCAGTTTATGGGTAATACCATGATACCTCCATGGTCGTGACGCACGTGAGGCCAGACTGGCTCATTATTGAGCTCTATGTTCACCTGGCGACGGAAGGCATTCATCGCATGAGTAAAGTGGAAGCTTTCCATCCTCTCGGATAGCTTTTGACCAATACCGTGTATGACAAACACTAAGTCTGTCGGAGTTGGACGCAAGCATTCCATCTTGCATGCGTAGCATATTTGTTCGCCAGGGGCAGGCGTTGGATTTTGTGATGGGTTTCGTCGAATATAGTTCCGTACATCCACTGGATTGGCCTTTGATGGGTGTAGTTGATCCCATAACTTGCGACTGAATCCGCGAACCACTGGTATCCCGATTTGACGCCCTTTACGAATCGCATTAAGAGGTTTCCTCCCCCTGGACACAGATGGTAGCATGCTCGGTCGGAGGATCTGAGCATCAATTGCGTCAACATAGATAGCGCTGGAGTTTAAATATGGCTTAGCTCCCTCGGGATGAGTTGCTGTTGCCCCAGAGGCTTGATTTTTATCAAACGACAAATTGTCTTGGGTACCATTTGATTGGTGAGTGTCATTATCTTGTGAGTTCTGTGCGGTTCCAGGTAGATTAGTAGAGCCAGAGTCATTCTTGGGCCATAGTTTGTGCGCAATTTTGATCTCTGCATCAGCACCATTTTCTACACAGCTGTTCAGCTCATCTTGCCATGTATCAGTCCATGGCTTCAAGTAAGTGTACCCCTCTTCCAGTTGATTGGCTACCGGCGTTTCAACTGGAAGCATGGTGTTCTTGTAGAACCATGTCGCCCTGACCACAGATGACACATCGTGCAGTGGGCTCCAATAAATTGGTTTCATCTGTACTTGTTTAGTAAATTGCTGGCGAAACTACAGGATAACCATTACCTTCAGGTTTGGCAATTCAACCAAATGGAGACGCAATGCCCCCACTGGAATCTTTGTCTGAGATTCTTTTGAGTTCCTTGTATCAGTGGCGTCTTCCAAACCTGCATCTTCTAGACTGACAGTCGCTCGGAGCCCCGATGGCTTCGTGGATGAGTGATAGGGAGCATTAATGCGCAACTCTGATTGCCACTCGACACCATCTTTTGACCCCATTGATTCCAATGAACGACCAAGCGGAGTGCCTGGCTGAGAATCTGGCGCTCGAATAAAAGGAGAGCCGCTGATACTCGCATCACGAGATGAAGGTCCCTGAAGACTGCCCACGATTGCTTGTCTCTCTAAGTCCTCTTCGGGCGGGGAGAGACTCCTTCTTTTAGCCGCAGCTGTTTCATTGAAGGAGGAAGAAAACATTCTTTTCCGGTGACTGGTATCGATGCCGGACGATCCAGCGATCTCCTCTGGTACAGAGGTTGGGTTGCTGGGGGTGTCTCTGCTGCTAACCAGACTTCCATCTCCACGATTTGCTGACCTAGAAGGGCGGTTTCCCTCGAAAGTCGATTCGCGACCCGGTACAGCTATCCCCGCACGTCCTTTTGATGTCCCCGGGCGGGATCCACTGGGAGCACCAAATTTCCCCTGCTCGGCTTCCCGTAATTCCGACCAAGCTGCCTCCAACGCGATGTTATCTCTCGCTGAAAATGGTTGGGGAGGGGCTCTTTCATTTCCTGATGATTGCCCGCTAGCGGCGGGAAGCGGAGCCAAAGGGTCGTCGATTGGCAGGGACGAAACGTAGAAGAACTGAGATCGAATGTCTGGCGGGGTAGCGAGTGAATATAAGCTCGTGAGCTCTGTATCATCAGCCTCCAACAGGCAGGAAGGGCCGTAAGTATGAAATGGGCCTGTCATGGTGAGCAAAGGTCCCACTTTTTTCGGAGTGGAAATTGGAGAGTCCGGGGGGCGATAAAGCCTGGGATCCAGATCTAGACGCCGCTTTAGGCGATGATCATGGTCGGGCGCTGTGACTGGCCAGGCTAGTGTTTCGGAAACACCCGTTCGGGTGGTTAAAGATGACTGGCAGATCGCATTCAAAAGGAAGTAACGAAGAAAGTTCAGAGAGACTGAAAGAAAAGACCCGATCTCTGCAAGGCGAAGCTGCCTCAGGCGGTAGTGTTGTTCCCCTTAACGAATCTGATGACGTCGCTGCACGTGCCATCATCTACCCAACAATTCATGTTTCCTTGCTTTCACGACTAGGACTAGTACAGTACATACTAGCACTTGAGCACCACAAGATAAAATTTACAGGTTGATTCGTCCAGGTAAGATTCATCAATATTCAATACTTGAGCTAAATAGTGTATTCGGATGATGTCTGATGATGACCTGACAAGATAATTGGTGAACGCTAATTCCAACGCTAAGAACGCAAACAAAAGATACCAGATTTTTGGTGTGAGGAAAGGACATATCATGACGCTTGAGATAGTTGACGCAGATTTTGGGGATTTGCAAATCTATCTCCGCTTCGAACCACGAGCGTCCAGTGATGCTTGCAACATCAGGCACTGCGCCCAGGCACTCAATTCATTCAGCTCATCAAAGGCTGAAGTCGGTGCATCCAACATATCCAGAATCTGTGGAAAGTCGGACAGGTGCTTGCGAATGACTTCATCTGGCAGGCAAAAGGTGCGTGTACTCATATCTTTGGTGATGGCCTTCCAGCTTTGCATGCGCGAGTCGAACTGTACTTCATTGGAAGTAAATTGGCAATTGATATCCAGAGTACAGCGGTTTTCCAGGATCAACTCTCGTTGGGTATTCTGATCAAAGTGGAACTGGAACACAGGTGCACGGTTCTTTGATCCCCATTTCTGAAGGACCTTGTTGACGGAGTGATGAGAGAGGCGGCCATCGTAGTATTGGCGAAGCAGAAATTTATTGGCAGCAGTGCAGATCATCACCTCAATGTCCGAGTACAGCTTGGCTTGACAGCTAGGGTCAACTGAAATTGGAGACTTGGCGATGAGAGTTCCCATCAAAGAATCCCTGAACGAAGAATCCTTTGTCTTATGGTTAGTAAATGACTCGGCATGGATTGGTGGGATCAGACTCACAGTCTCTGCAGGTTGCTTTCTGAACCTTTTACTTAAGCCTCGCAAAAGGTTTGACTTCGGAATTGAGGCTGGGATCGGGCCCGGAGTCAGAGGTGGCTTCGGAGATGTCTCAGATTTTAGAGATACACGCTCCGAGTCAGGAAGAGGCCCAAAGAAGCCGTCATTACCGAACAATTTTTTGTGGGCCCCATATTTCTTATCGCTTCCAGCAGCATATTGGAATGGATTCTCAACCTCATTGTCCCCATTGAAATAGGCAATGCTGGATCTTCGAGATGGGCTGAGCCGAATATTGAGCTTTGAAGCGACGGGTCGAGTCTTGCTGGGCCGCTTAGCTTCTTGGGTGACGCCCACGGAACGGATAGAAGCTGCCCGGCTGCAAGGGCGCTTAAAGGGTGGGTTGTCAACCAAATTCGGCTGACTCTCAGCCACGCGCTTGAGGGGCACATTCAACTTGGCAGGGATCAACCAATTTTCCGGCACACCAGTGAGAGTTCCAGGACTGCATGATTCAGGGCTCAGAATCTTTTTGATAGAGAATCCATTGGCGTCAGAAGATTTGGCTGCAGACTCAGCAATTGATGGCAGATGGTTTGGCATGAAATCTTTGATGGCGTCATCTATTAAGCTTTCAAGGAAAGATGAATCATACTTGGCGAGGTCTTGATATTCAGCAACCTGCTCTGGCCCGACTGGCCAACCCCACACGCTCGAGTGATCATTAGGTTCCACCCCATTGGGCGATAAATCGCTTTCATAGATACTTGGGCTCTCGGGTGAGTATGTCTTTGCAGGCAACAACTCCAAGTGCTCGAAATGGTGCAGGTGGTCAGGAATTGGGTGCAGGCTCAAGTCCTCCTCAGGTGAGTATGCTTTTGCGGGCAACAGCTCCCAGATGTTTGATGGATCTGATTGTTCGGGAACTGTGCAGATATCCATACTTTCAAGCGGGTATGACTCTGCCAACAACAGGGGCTCACCCGAATTGTCGGGTAAATATTTGTCTGTGGAAAGAAAATCCATTTTGGTGCATTCAGGTGAGTCCGCCTCTTCAGGGCCGAAATACATATTCATGTTCATGATGGTCAAGAATCTCCGGCGCCTGGAGAAAAAAGATAACGCAGAGAAAAAGAATTGCCAGAGAAAAGGATCGAAGAATTGGCAAGAAGGAAAAGGTTCCTCTGACGAGAAGGAATTTAATTCGAGGGGAGAAACAAAAATTGGCTTAGGCAAAGAAAGACGACCTAAGAGTGTCGGGGCTCGAAGAAGATAGCGTAGGGACGAGGATAGAAGAATCGTCAAGGAGGAAAGGTTTTTGTAAGTTCAAAATTAATTCTGGCAACGAGAGACGGGAGACACCTCGCGGTGAACAGAACAGAAGACATTCTCAAATAAAGAAGGGAACGGGGGTCAATAAGACCCAAAATGGACAAAAATGGCCCAAGAGGGTAGAGAATGACCCCCGTATTAAACTGCGCATCCATACCTACTAGTAATTCATTGTCTCCCCACAAAGAAGAGAACAAAGAACAATAGGTACCAGCACGGCCTAATGATGTAATGTTGAAGCTGAGCAGATTTCCTGATTAGGCAACTCGGTCTTCCCTCGGGCGATGCAAGTTCGGAGCCGGTATTTTGTGCCGAGTCTAGCACATTTCCCGCTTCTCCACTCGGAGTTGGGAACGACAGTACCATGTGAGTTCCCGGGGAAAGCTGAAAAGATCCCGGGGTAGAAAAAAGGGTAATAAGGCCCGAGGTTAGAGTAAAGTAGTACTGGGTAGAAATGGCTTACACTGAGATGTCGGCAAAAAATGAGTTGCTCTGGGAATGGAAGTCAAAAGCATGATTGATTGGACGAAATATTGGTGATTATAATATGAGAGTCAAAATTACCAGTCCACTATTATGTATTTTTTTTTCACACTTCTTGATCTTTGTATAACACTTGATATCCCGTAGAAATAGACGGAATTCCAAAGTGGCAAGTGGATTCTCCTGGGAAAACTGCCAGATTCAACTCCCACAGGATAAAGCGGCAGGGATAAAGACTAAGCAATTGCGAGATTCGGCACGGAGCCTGGGACTGAACCAATTAGAAAAGGAGTTGATGGGGAGAAAAGAAGAGAAGAAAAACCAATCCCGGTCAAGGCTGCCGAGAAAAGGTCCACGTGACCCCCACTCCACTTGCCGAAATCTCATCCGGGCTGTGGGGAAAGCCAGCTTTGACAATCCATGACGCTAGGCCCTGCAGTTCGGTCTCTTTGACGGCATTCACTGGTGGCCAATTTGCACTGTTCCCCACACCCTGCACCGCTTTCAATGTTGCAAATTCTTCCATAAGCCGGCTTTTCCGACCGTTCATTGGTCCCATGTTACTCGTGCCCACTACCTCAACCGCTGCTTATCCCCTACAAACCGATCCCCAGTGCCGTGACCATCCTCCGTCAGATCCAAGCTTACTCGGCCCGCTTACCCCGGCCTGTCTCAAATTATTTATAAAAGCCATGGCCCTCCATTGCATCTCTCAGTTGTCTTTCTCGATCAGTTGTGTATCTGCAGGGTGAAACTTGAAAACTGCATTTCCATAAGTTTTCTGTGATCTATCATATACTGTGTTGCTCGCCATTGCACATACTAGTACAACCTACACACATATCCCCCTCCAAACCTCTTGCCAACCCATAACTCCCCCACCATGGTGCAAGAATACGACATCGTGATCGTGGGCGCTGGCCCGGTCGGTCTGCTGCTGTCCCTCTGTATGACCCGATGGGGCTACAAGGTCAAGCACATCGATAACCGCCCTGTGCCGACCGCCACCGGTCGCGCTGATGGTATCCAGCCTCGGTCCACCGAGATCCTGCGCAACTTGGGCCTCAAGCGCTCTATCATGGCTTACGAGCCCGCCAAGGTCTACGACGTCGCCTTCTGGGACCCCAAGAGCGATGGCTCTGGTATTGGCCGCACCGGTAGCTGGCCTAGCTGCCCTCGCTTCATCGACACTCGCTATCCCTTCACCACCCTGGTTCACCAGGGTAAGATTGAGCGCGTGTTCCTGGATGAGATTGCCAAGGCTGGTGGTCACGTTGAGCGACCCTGGACCATTGTCGGTTTCAAGAACGACGGTGCCAACGCCGACTACCCTGTCGAGGTCAACCTGAAGTCCCTGGATACCAATGTGATCGAGAACGTGCGCACCAAGTACCTCTTCAGCGGTGAGGGTGCTCGCAGCTTCATTCGTGAACAGCTTGAGATCAAGATTCACCACAAGGATCCCATCGCCTACGTTTGGGGTGTCATGGATGGTGTTGTCCGCACCAACTTCCCCGATATTGAGGTAAGATACCATTTTTTTCTGCATCCTTCATAATATTGATAGTTTCTAACCCCAATTTCAGACAAAATGCACAATTCACTCCGATGCTGGCTCCATCATGGTTATTCCTCGCGAGGACAACATGGTCCGCCTGTACGTCCAGATCGCCTCGTCTACCGACGCCGACTGGAACCCCCGTAAGACTGCTACCGCCGAGTTTGTCCAGCAGACAGCCAAGAACATTCTGAAGCCATACTGGCTTGAGTGGGACCGCGTTGAGTGGTACTCCGTGTACCCAATTGGCCAGGGTATCGCCGAGAAGTACACCTTGGATGAGCGTGTTTTCATGGGTGGTGATGCCTGCCACACTCACAGCCCCAAGGCTGGTCAGGGTATGAACACTGCTTTCCACGACGCTTTGAACATGGCTTGGAAGATCCACGCCGTTGAGTCCGGATTTGCCGACCGTTCCATCCTCAGCACTTACGAGAGTGAGCGTAAGGACATTGCAGAGACCCTGCTTGACTTTGATTCCAAATACGCTGCCCTCTTCTCCAAGCGCCGTCCCAATGCCGACGAAGTTTCCGCTAGCAAGGCTGTCAACACTGATGTTGAGGAGGATGAGTTTGTCAAGACCTTCAAGTCATCTTGCGAATTCACCAGCGGATACGGAGTTGCCTACAAGCCCAATGTCTTCAACTGGGATTCTACCCACCCTGCCAAGTCAGCTCTGTTCAACATCCCCGATGTCAAGTTGACTTCCGGCCGTGCCTTCACCCCTACTACTGTGACCCGTCTGGCTGACTCCAACTTTGTCGAGCTGGAGCAGGAGGTCCCTGCCAACGGATCCTTCCGCATCTTCATCTTCGCTGGTAACCAGAACAAGACCAAGAAGGCCATCGCCGATCTGGCTGCCAACCTGGAGAAGGAGCGCTCTTTCCTCTCCGTCTACCGTCGGTCCGATATCGCCGATGTTTCTTTCTTCGAGCGTCACAACCCCCACTCCAAGCTCTTCACTATCTCCGTTATCTACGCCGGCTCCAAGAACGAGGTCGATGTCGACTCTATCCCCCAGGTTCTGCGCGACTACCACCACCACCTCTACGCCGATGATATTCCTGACGTTCGTGTTCCTAACGCTCAGTTCGCTGCTCACGAGAAGCTCGGTATTGATGCTGAGAAGGGTGGTATTGTCGTTACTCGCCCTGACAGCCACGTTGCTTGCACCGTGCAGCTGGTGGAGGGCAGCGGTACTGCCGATGCCCTGAACGAGTACTTCAACTCGTTCTCCACCAAGGCTTTGGGACAGGACTCTCAGCAGAGCCGCCTGTAATCTCGAACTTTGTAAGCTTGAGAGTAGATGAAGCTTTGATTTGGATGTACATAGTAGCTTGTTTTTTTCCCCCGGCCCTTTTTGAGTGGCTGTTTGAGCATGATTGGCGTTTCCTTTTCGGTCATAATTTCCATATGAATAAAATTTTCTCATGATCATCAATTATTTTCCTTCGGTAACGAAGATTAAATTCAATTTTAAGTCATTCTAAGCTCTGTCTCTTGACTAGAACAAGTTTATTGTCGTGGTGGTCACATGCCAAGACTGATCTATTTTCATTTTCTCCACCCCGCATCATCACGGTTCACGATTCTCACTTGAATTCGTTGACACATATTGACGGAAAGTTACAAGTCCACAACAACGCAAACATGCTTTCACTCGTTCTTAAGGCTGAGCTGGAGGGGTAAGTGAATTCTCTATCTCATACATTGACTTCCAAGGTCACTTTCTCCGAGGCTCTCCCCGCACCAGCAGAGTGGAAAAAGATCTATTACATGCCACGCGGAGAACTTCAACTGAGGGTAAATTTTATGATTTTTCCTAACTTTGAAAAATAGCGTGACCGGCCTCCAGCCCACTGATACTGAAGAGAACCCCTACTTCTACACGTTCAAGGTGCAATGCAGCTCTTGCCGCGAGACGCACCCGAACTGGGTCAGCTTCAATCGCTTCGTAAGTTGCACTCTGTTTGCTTTATATCAACTATGTGTCTAGCTATGGAGGCTAATTCGGGTTGGATTTAGGAGACACATGAGATCCCTGGTAGCCGTGGCGAGGCCAACTTCGTCTGGAAGTGCCGGCTGTGCACGGTAAGATTGGCCCAATCCTCTGACCCGTTCAATTCAATCCCTGCAACCTGATCAGATCAAACCATTCATCTGTTCTAAGTGTTTCATGTTGAGTTCTCATATGTATGACATGATGTTAACACAGTTACCAGAAAACTCACACTGCTTCCATCACTGCGGGCCCCCATGTCTACGAGGCCGATGAGAAGAAGAGCAGCAAGAAGATTATCGAGATGGACTGCCGCGGACTTGAATTCGTTGACTTCAAGGCTGATGTGAGTATCCCCGCGTTCATATATCCTTGCTTTCGATGTCATGCTTACACTATGGCAGGGTGAATGGGAGGCCAAGGGCGCCGAGACCACCACCAAGTTCACAGAAATTGATCTTATGGAGGGTGAGTGGTATGATTACGATGAGAAGGCTGGTGAGGTTAGCATCAAGGAGATTACCTGGACCGTCGGCCGGTGATTGAAAATTTCTGGGCTACTTGTGAAGCGGGATGGCGATAGCGATGACGGTGGTGTTGGAGGGGTGCTTTTCTTTTCGGAGACGATGACAATCTTGGAAGATTTATTGCTATTCATTCTCCATGGATTCGATGAACTTTTTTTTTCATTTTCTCGCTGTATTACTACTACCCATTACCCTGTAGTTAGCGTGTGCGATTCCGTGCTAGTACGACATACCAAATGGAGTAGAGATCTCAGATGATACCGAAGCTACACCACGTTAATATCGCACTTAATGAGTATTTCACAAAAACACAACAACTATCTGAGCCCGAAGCAGTTCAAAATGAAAATTGGACATATTGCCACATTATCTGCTTATCAGAAATGAAAAGTTGAAGCTCAAGCTGCAGATAATACACCGCGACACAAAAGCGGTGAGGCTTCACTTCTCCCCATTGGCTCCGCACTGTGAACCCATCCAGCTCACATTTTCGCGCTTTAGGACCCCGACTGACCATCTCGACCTTCACGATCACCACAAGAAAGAAGCTTGATTGTCTTCCCCATCGCTAGAAATATCACCTGGAAGTATACGCAAATCTATTACCGCCAAAGGCCCATCACAATGAGCGTACGTCCAGTTCCCAATCCCAATCCCTGGTACCCGCCGTCGAGCTTCGCAACGCGCTCATTCCTGGTTATCAGAGAGAGCAACCCAAGTCTCAGATTTGATACTGACATGCGTTTCTACTTTCTAGTTTCAACCAGTGAACCCCCGGCCGTACCTGCAGGCCAAGTACGTGATTCCTTCTCTTGCCCACGACCCCAGAGCACGCATTGAATTCCCCACCAACGCCCCCGATATGCTTATTGAAACCTGTCAAAGGATGTCAGATGGTAGAAACTGACTTGTATTTCACTACAGGGTCGGCACCGAGATGATCGTTCGCCTGAAGTGGGGACAGACCGAGTACAAGGGTATCCTTGAGAGCATTGATTCCTACATGAACGTCCTGCTGCGTGAAACAGAGGAATTCATCGATGGAAAGCCGACTGGATCGCTGGGTCTGGTTTTGATCCGGTACGCATACCCCGATAAATGATGAGCAATGAGATTGAATCCATTGACGCAAGCAAACAACGCCATACTGCTGCTTGTGATGTGTGGGAGACAATTACTGATTCGATTCTCTTACAGGTGTAACAACATTCTCTGGATGGGCGCGGCAGACAGCGTTGAAATGACGGACCTCGAACTAAAATAATTTGGAACATATGATGCGAGTGCGACCGGTGCACTAGATCAGCTGTACGCGCGGCTATCAAGTGCTTGAGCTGGCGCCTGCGGGGGTGCTTGGAAGCTACGTTGGCTTGCCCGACGATCATGAAACTGTTCATATCAGAGGACAGGCGGGCATGTTAAGCCAGCAGCGGGTCTGTAAAGCACGAAGCCTGCAGACTGAAACCTTTCGACCACCCGCAGCCAGGAGTCATGGAGGTTTAGATGCGATGATGCATCTAAAGAGGGTCTTTGCGACCCGAAATCAGTGGATTTTCTATTTTCCTTTTGCTTTTGCCATTCAATTCACGAGGCGTTTTTCTGGTTCTTCCCGTGTGATATTGTTGCATGCCTACTGGCCAAAATAAATCTAACTACGGCTATCTCTGACATGAGTGCAGTTTCGAGTAAGGTGTGGGAGCATTGTAGACCGCTAGTGTATAAGGATATCGTCAGACATGACGAGTGCGAATCTACCCAATGATGTTGTTTGTGTGGGGAGTTTGTGATAGGCATAGGTGGCGGAGTTGGACCCATTTATTTTCTAGGGTAATACAGTCATGGAGGGGAGGAGGGGGGGGAAGTGATGTACATGAAGGATTCCATGGGTAGCTCGCTCTCTGTGGCGATGCTCATCAGGTTCAGAGGTGCAGGGATTCGAATCATTGAAGACTGCAAGGGGCGTGACCAAGCATGAATCCAAGCCCTGCATGTATGTACGGGAAGACCGGGAACCTATTCCTAGTATAGCTGTCAAAGAAGCAAAAATAGAGTAGAAAATATGAGTTCGTTTATAATGGAGGTGATTGACATCGGTGGCGGGTAACGCACAGATGCGCAAATCCCACTTGGGAGTGTTTACTGCATCGAGTTAGCTAGAAGGATCGCGAATTGTAGAATGTACGTTGCCATCGCCCCCATCTCTGCAAGTATTCCCACTGATGTGCGGTATGTATACCTCAGATGTGCATTGGCTTCTTTATATAGAAACCTCAAGCTTGGAACATTGAAGCCGATCGTGGATTTCCCCTCTCAAATATGTACTGGGTAGTGAGTACAAGTACCTCATGTACAATTGGAAGTATACTACCTAGCTAGGTAGGTATATGTACCCATCTCAGGTATTGAGTATGTGCCCTTTTTCAAGTACTGCTCATAATAGTATGCTCTTCCCAAGTGAAATCCAGGTATATCAATCCTACTAGTCAAATACGAAGTCTAATCCCTCTCTGAATCCATGGATCCTGCCCAGCAGATCATTACAAAGTTCGATAAATTTATTACGGCCCGCGTATGCGCAGCGGCCTATGATTGTAAGAAAAATGCACGAACACCTCCGCAACACGAGGCCCGATAAAAATGGAAAACCCCCATCAAAGCCGGGAGCCCCCGACGTCATGAAACCACAAGAAGAAGATGGGTCATCATGCAGAAAATAGCGGATGTAGCGACGATCCCTTATTACGGAGCGGAGCAAGGCGCCCCAAGGCCTGCATTTGGGTAAGTTCTTATTCTGTGATGCTGTGGTGTTGGTGTGTGTAAGAAAAAACCAAGATGAGCGCGCAAGTCCCAAGGCCCAAACTCCCCCCGAGCACATGGGGTCCAACTGACCCTGAACCGCACCTACCCACGAGGGCTTGAGGACTTCAGGGCCACGCAAGTGTGCCCCTCCCACTGACCCACGGAGATTTAAACCATGAACCCCCAAGGGATTCTTCTACATATGCTCCAACGGTCACTGGCCAAAATGCAGACGCCACCGCGCCATGCGAGTGGCTAACGAGTGCTGATCGTTAGCCGTTTTGTACGGGCAACCCACACTCTACAACCTTCATCCCCCCCCTTTTGCCCATCAATTGGGCCTGATTGGGAAATTGTGCCAATGGCACGAAGAGAAAAGGTTATAATAGAAATTCTGGAGATGATTATTTTTCTGGGCAAAAAGGCAAAAGGTAAAGAAAAGGAGGGACATGTATCATGCATGATACGTCCGACTGAGCTATCAAAGGTAGCACACATGAGTTGAACCTACCATTCGTGGTACAGAGTAGTACACTAGGGATTCCCTTGTTTTTCTTTTTTTTTTTTCCCCAAAGGAAATAGAAGAAAAAATACAAAAATTGAAAAAAATAAGAATAAGAAAAATAGAAAGAGGAAAAACCAAGGAAATAAAAACAGTGTTCCGTATTTCCAAGTGTTCTGAGTAATTCTTAGTGGATTCTTTTTTTCAGTCCCCTGATCTTCGGGCTCCACACAATTCCAGACTGGTCAAGGTATATGGCTTTCAAGCCAAAATTACACTTCGATCTTCACTTATTTAAATTCATTTCCCTCCTTTTTCTTCTCTGATATACTATACCCTCGCTTTGTACCCCGTATGCTGAAACGGCGCTTACTGTGACAACCCTTTGTCTCATCTCTCCCACCTTTATCCAGCTCATACTTCAACCGTCCTTTCTCCCTGGAACACCTCTCTATTTAAGGAAACAACACAGACGCTCGTTTAGTGTTTTTCTCTTCGTCTCGTCGCTATCATAAACAGAAAGAAAGAAAGAAGAAAGAAAAAAAACGCACAAAATGCGCGACACACCATCCAAGTTCATCGAGATCCTCGATCCAAAGGACTCGCCCTTGCGCTCCGAATCCGATGTCCGTCTAGAGGATGTCCTCGCAGACCACGAAGCTACTCTAGGTAGTCGTCCTCGTTCCTCTACACAATCGTCCACCAAACCCATGGACAAAGGAGACCTTTCCCGCACGAGTTCGGCATCGCCAACTCCGCGCTGGAAACGATTCAGCAACCTGCTTGTCCAGCCAAGACGGAACTCTTGATTACCATCCGTCTTCTCTTTTCTCCCACACCTCAACCTACCTCCCCACTTCTCCGATATACATATGACTACGGATGAGCACGAACGAAATGATAACGAATCTTGATGAATGCGGGAATATGATTCCGATGGGAAACGAAATTATGCCTCACGGAGCGAGTCGGAAATATTGGTATATGCATCATGTTACCTCAGGTGCCGCGGTATCAAGACAAACCCGAAAACCCCGAAAAACCCGACAAGGTTTCTCTTTACTGTGGGAAATAGCGGGGTCCCTATGTAAACCCTCAAGCAGATTGAATTGGCCTGTTTGACCTTTGACTGGGCTGTGATTCTGCTGGTCGCGTTGGCAAGGGTACCCTTTTTCTTTTCTTTTCTACATTTTGCCTTCCAGGGCTGTGTCGGAAGATTCCTCCCCCGCTTTCCACTATGATAACGATGTGACGAGCCTTTTATTTTATATATTTTTTTTACCCTTTTATCTTCTATATTTCTTATGAGATTGATCTCTCTGTCAGTTTTGGAATCGGGCTTGTCCCAATTTCTCATTCCACTTTCCCTTTGGTGTTGTTTCTACGGGAGCAAAAACCAAAAAATTGTATATACATGGGGGAAAAACAAGACAAAACCAACAAGGACAAACTTCCTTTATTCCTACAGTATTTTTCATTCATTTCTCTTTCTCTTATGTCACTAATTCTTCCGATAACATTTGAATACCCTAAATACCCAATACCACTTTACTACTCCAGCCTACATAGGCAATACAACGCTGACCCCACTAGTAATCTCAACGAACCAAATCTCCAACTCCCCCAAATGACTGCCTCGCCCACCCCAAAACACACAAAAACGCCCCCCCCCCCCCCGACACAGATCAAAAACAAACGTCCTCGTCACAATCGCCCTGTACCTGAACAGATCTGAAACTGAGCCGAGCGACCGGCCTGGGTCGGATCTCGAATTTCGTGATCCGTGGCACTGAACGCCAATTCCAGGTACCAAGTGGACCCCTGGACCCTGGGACGAGTCGGCTCGGTTGTAGGTGAGACAATGTACGACGCTCGGCGAACTGGCATTTTGGCCAGACGGGGCTTTTTCAATGTCTGACTTCCTAGCCCATCTCCATGTGGGGATTGATTTTGCGTACATTGAAAACATTGAAGCGAGGGTAATTTACCCGTAGACTGAAATGACGTTGTGGGAATACAAATTTGCTGTGTGAGATGAGTCGGAGATTGCAGATTGCAGATTGCAGATTGCAGATTACAGATTGCGGATTGTGTTGATGGAGGGCTTTTCTCAACGCATTTAAACGTTGGACTCATTTATATTGGTGACTTGTTAGGGATTGTTTTACCTAAACTAGCATATACATGTAAGACTAAATCTTAGCTTTCGTGATTACTGTTTTCTATTGAGATGACTTGTGGATGGACTCTAGATCTTAGTCGGCTCCCAGGTTGTTTAAATTGCCGATCAATCTCAATCCGATGAGAAATTTGCCATTGAATAGAAAAAAAAAGTGACAAGCTGAAAATAGAAAACCAAATTCGAGGTGAATCTGGTCCATGTTTTGAAAACGGTAATGAACCACAGTCCATGGGTTCTGATTCGAAAAAACCGTTAGCGAACCAATAGCGGAATTGGAAATGAGCACCAAATTAAAGCCACTCTGTTTACATGTCAGCACTCTAGTTTTGAGAACACTAAGTTAGTACTATGTAATGAGTAGGAAATCGCATGTTCTCTATGTAGAATGTGCCACATAATAATTTCCAAGTTCCCTATATTCCAATCGGCCTTACACACAAAGCAATAGCTATTCAAGCTATTAATAGCTGTTAATGCGATTCCAATATTAATCTTGTCCTTTAACACTTCTCGCCTACAGTATCATCTACAGCTGATGTTTGTGTCAATGTCGATCTATACCATACAAGAAAAGGCCCGCGCGCCGGCCCCAGGCCCACTTGATGTCCGCACCGGACCTACGTTTACCCATTCAGGTACAATGACCAGTTGACAGATCTTGTGTCAACATCACTACCTACTAGATCAGTAATGGCGTCGTGACATGGATTCCAGTATATTCCAAAATTAGAGTCTTGTATGCTCTAGATAAACACATAAATGAAGAGCTCATTGACCCTTGACATCTATCTTTCATCAACAATCTTTCATTCCAAACATCATCAAGCTAGGCGAGAAGTGTGCCTTCAGTGAATTCTGACTCTGCGACAACTAGATACGAGAATATGTGCCTCCCGAGCAGCCAGAATGCTCGGTCTAGTGTTTCGGTGCTAGTACATCCCACATGTGCAGGTATAGAAGAGCGAATGAATAGGCTGGTCCGTCATTCGCTCCCGAGTGCATGTGGTATTAGGATGGATCGCATCTTCAGAATTCTGCAGATCAAGATTCAGGTGGTACTAGTAGTGATTAGCTAGATTAGGTCGATTAGTATTCAAATGTTCACAATCCAACTGATGTTCGGTGGAAACGCGTCCAAACTTTCAATGTTCTGCATAAACCACCAAATTATCTCCTAGGCCCTTGCAACCATGGATTAAAAGCATCTCTCAAGCCAAGATAAACCTTGGAGTATAACAACCTACCTACGATAATCAAAGCTCATTTCCAAACGTCCACGACCACCAAGTTGTGGAAGAGCACATGTACGCCGCCCGCGCGTGTTATCCAGCGTAGGCCGATTGCCAATCAGATACGCTTATCGGCAAGCCCCACCAACAACAACTTCTCCCCTGCCAATCTCCTTCAATTTTCTGTTCCTGCGTCACAGTCCAAGCAGTACACGCTCAACAGTACGACCGAGCTCTAAAAGATCGCTGGACGAACAAGATCCAAATTGCCAGTACCAGTCGCGTTTGTGAAGCAGTCCCCGACGAACCGGAAATTACTCGCGGCCGGAACTCGCAACGAGCATTGTTGCGCACGAGAATTGTGTCGGCGAGGTCTGGTTGGGATTTGGATATTGGTTATTCTGCCTAGATCCTAGCTTGCTCTTTTATTTTCTTTCATTTTCTTTATCTTATCCTTGGGCAACATGGCCTGGGCCAACTCTACTCCGGGCCGCGCTGCGACCCCGACTGTTTTTGAGCAACAGCGTGAGGAATTGGTTCGCGAGATTGCGGTGGTAGGTTCAAGTTTGAATGCTTTTGATGCTTGTTCTTGGGTCATTGTTAATTTTTGCTTTGTTGGTGGGATTCAGGGCATGGAGCAGGTTCTTCAGAATATTAATAAACTTAATCGCAATTTGGAGAGCATTATCACGGTGGGCATTCATTGCATGACGGTCTTTATTGCTTACACTCCATCTGACAAATTCCACTAGGTTGGTAATGAATTCAGCTCTGTCGAGGCTCTGTGGTCCCAGTTCGAGAATTTTATGGGTCAACCTGAAGAGGCCGAGGAGGGCGGCGAGGGCAAGCGCAAGGTCAGCGGGGAGAGCGAGGGACATCCGATAAAGAAGGAAGAAGACGAGGAGGAGACAATGCTCTGAAAATTCCGACTCAGAGACTTTGATCTTGCCACGGTGCTGGCGTCTTTTGTAACTTGTGCTTTCTAGATACCATTACCTTGATTACTGTTTTGACGAAATATCATGCTTTTACGTTTACGATGGACTGCTTCAATATCAAAATCGCAATGTATTGTTTGTAACACATAGGAAGTTCGCTCGCCAACATAACATATCAAATAACACAATTGAGAACACCAGTCCCATGCATGCCTAGGAGGGGAAAAAATGACAAAGACCCGAATCATGAGAGACATGAAGAGAACAGGAGGGGGTCATGAGAAAAAGACATAGGGAGGCAAGCTAAGAAAAGAAAAGAAAAGAAAAAAGAAGAATCAAAACTCAACAGAAAGATGTAAAATCGAGAAAGCCGCCTCCATCAAGGAAAATAGTCAATGGTTGTCCGGGAGCGCGCAGCGTCTCCGTACGGAAGGGAAGTTTTTTACAGTTCATGTCCAGCTCTGTCCAGCTTGCGCCAACGTGTCACATACACGGGAGACCAGGCAAGCCAGCCGACAAAGCAACCAGGCTGTGATCGGACCGAGGAAAAAAAAGATAAAGACGAAAAGGAGTAAGATCGAGCCGGAGAAAGGGTCCAGATATCAATTTAAAGAATCTTGCAGGACCGCTTCTTGATCTTCTTGCCTGGGCCGCCCCCACCACCAGATGGCTTGACACTGTTGCGGTTATTTGACGAGGACGATGATTGCTTGGTGGGCTTCCAGCTTTCAGTTTCAGTCTCAACAACAGTGTCGACTGCTTGGGCGAAGACGTCGTCCACACCTCGCATCTCCTTACTACTGCACTCCACGTAGCTAGCTCCCATCCGGTGGGCCACAGCTTCACCTTGCTCCGGGGTGATGGGTGTTAAGCCTTGTGTCTTGAGGAGCTCAATGCATGTGCGCTTATTGCGGAGATCAGACTTGAGACCGACCAGGATAATGGGGGTTGTGGGGCAAAAGTGCAGGACCTCGGGGTACCACTGTGGATTGTTAGTGGGTGAACAATACTAACAACAATAGTCAAGTTTTGGAAACACGATGAGGGGACTGACCTTATCAACAACATTCTCCAACGAAGCAGGGCAATCAATTGCAAAACAGACAAACAACAGATCTGTCTCTGGGTAGGACAGAGGGCGCAAACGATCATATTCTTCCTGTCCAGCTGTATCCCAGAGGGCTAACTCGACCGTCTTCCCGGAAGCCCGGTGAACAGTTTGAGTAATGTAATTTTCGAACACTGTGGGGACATATTTCTGCAAAGTAGATCAGTGATGCTGCACGATATATCGTATGGCGGGGGAAGGGGAGGCGGGGAATTGGTTGCAACGTACCTCGGGGAAATAGCCTTGGGAATAGCTAATCAACAGGCAAGTTTTACCGCAGCCGCCATCTCCAACCACGACAAATTTTTTTGAGTAGGAAGGCGGCTGGGTGATATTGGTGGCTTCCGACATCCGACCACTGGAGAAACTGGTGTTTGTGCTGGCTGTACCGTTGCTGACTCGCACACTATGGCTACGAGTTCGACTGTGACGGGGTTCATGGGATGGAGGAGGCGTGGCAACGGAGCGACGTCGCGAAGCCGCATAATACTGGTCGTCATACATCTGGCTCATGGTGGATGGAATGGAAGGAACCCGCCCCTTGTTGTCAAATGCGGGTCTTGGAAAAAAAAAGTGTTTGAACGGCTATTTGCCGGGATCGGGGTTGGTATGTGTATGGAGGTGTTGTTCGAGACTCAAGGTGGTTGATATGCGAGAAATGAGTTCAAGAACTCAAAGTTGAGGAATAAGATGAAGGGATGAGAAAAAAGAAGAGAAAAAAAAAAGAAAATAGAAATCTGATCGTTCGCAGATCTAGGGATCGACTACGATAAAGATAGTTGAGGGTCTCGCCAGGAGGAAGACCCGTGTTTACATACGCGTTGTTATGGCAACGACCGCGCCTCAATGACGCCAGAAGCACGATCCTTCTTGGTTCAACTGTCAGTTTCGCCTTGGTCACTACGATCTCTTCGATCCCATTTGCTTCTCTCGCATTGTCAGTCTCCGCTTGAAGCCCCTCAACAGCCCCTCTTCCCCACCGTTCAGCTCGCCAGAACCGGATCGCTTTGTTTTCCCCTCGGGCCTACCGATATCAAGTGATCTACGCACGATGTTGTCCATTATGGCAGGTCGGGTAGAATTGCATTGATTTGAGAAACGGTTTTTTTTTTCTCATTTTTTTACTAGTATTCTTTAAAACAGAAACAACTAAAACCTAGCAGGCTAGATTGATGAAGCATGGTACTTGTGAAAATTCTGAATGCTTGAATTGAGCTTTTCCATTGGAGAGACATTTTGATGTTGGCGCTTCCTGTTGCTAAACTTATGCAGGTCAACACACACTGCATCGAGTACAATGCGCGTCAAGTCCCACCAATTTCAAACTTCCAAGGTTTGTGGTGATTGGTACTATAGCCGTTGCTAGAATTGGAGATTGCGGCCTAGTTCGCAAATCGTTTCCGAATTGCTCAATTGATGTGTTTCGCTCTGATTTCTTTGCTTTCGTTACTATTTATGTCATGTCATATCAACATGTTTTTGGTCTCCAAAAGTGGAGTTAATATACATTTCCTTGCTTCGAAATTCAAAAGTTCCAAGATTTCATCCACTTCCCCAAGATGTACCTTGGAACTTGATCCCGATTGACTTTACCTTGACAAGGTTGGCAAATTAGATAAAAGTGCAATCTATTTCCGTCAACTGGTACCTTATCTAGGACCATCCTAATTCAGATATACACTGCATCTCACACCTGGGCATCAATATCATGTTGCACAACACCCGGGTTTGCTCAACTGGTATACCGTATTACCATCGATCTCTTGAAATATTGGACAACTTTCAATGTTGAGATAGTCACCGAACACAAAAGTCTGACTAGCATTCATTGTTTGAGATAAGCCCCTCGCTTATACTGGTTGCAGGTGGCGCAGGGTCGAGGCGCACTACAGAGGAGAATGGGGGCCAAACAGGTCATAGCGGGGTTGGAGGGGTTGGAGATGCGACATTCTTGGCTCGTGTTAATCCTTCGGAGGCGTCACTAGTACCATCCATCGTGATATGTATTAATAAAGACGCCGCAAACAGGCAATCCAATCAGACTATAACATGGCCAGCATCCACAAAAAGTCATTCGGTGGCTTTACGCCTCGCAGTGCCAGCTTTCCGAATCATTAATATCGCCATTCCCGTTATACACTGTCTTCTTCGGGTAAGGACAAAGCGGTCGCTGCCGCACCACGCCCTGTGATGGATCGTCGTTCTTAAACTTAGTTGCAACGATCTTATCGACGGCAACGCCATTTTCAACCCAGTCCATGAGTGCACGAACGACATCATGTTCGCGGTCCTGGTAGCCAGAAACGCCCACAGTACCAGTGAGACTCTGGAAACCGCCAATATACCACGGTGCATCGTTGATAGATCCCGAGCAATGCTGCATACCGGGTATCAAGAAAAACCGGTAAAAGTCGTCTAGAGGAAGATTCTTCTCGTTCATCGTAGACAAGTATTGTTGGTAAAGATATTCACTTGCTCCAGTGGGGATGAGACCATCGGCCAGACCATGATAGTGAAGCAATTTCCCCCCGCGAGCACGAAACTCGGATAAATCAAAGTCATCTGCATTGGTGTCCCCCGGGTTCAGAGCATCGGCAAGCTGAATGATACTGTAGTCGAAGTTATGCCAGTCCCAGTTCGCGTCATTGAGGACGTACTTGGCAAAGTATTCCGAGCCGTATAGGCTGGGGGCATTGGTTCCAACATTCCCAAAGGAGCTAGTCATTTGGTCTTCGGATCCGAGTCCAAAGTTGGGATAGATCCATGTATTGTTGACATCAACCAGAGGTCTGTATAGAGCCTCCAGAGTGCGGATTTGGGGAGCAGTAAGACAAGCAGACTGGTTACTGCCGGCTGTACAGAGAAGAGAATCGGCATAAAAATTGCAGCTCTTGGGGTCCATAATGATTCCGTCTTCAACACCGTCAGACTTGTCACATTGCCGCATCACCTCTTGTCCAATGATTGGGAACAGGTCCGGGTGGATATAATTTGTGCCGTTCTCAGGGAGGTTGATCATGCTGACTCGCATCTGCCAGCCCTGCTGGCGGGTAGACCACCAGGCAGGAGGACCAACAACAACTCCGTCAAATTCCTCTGGGAATCGCTGTACTTCTTTCATTCCCTGCTTGCCCCCGGTTGAGCAACCGGCATAGTAGGAGTACGCGACCTTTCCTTCGTAGTAATCAGCCGTGATCTGCTTGGCAATCACGGTAGAGCCGTGCAATGCACGGTATCCCCAGTCCTTCTTGGATTCTTCATTATTCAAAGCCCAGTCCATATCCTGATCCGTTGAGTTGTGACCAGTATTGGTAGACATGGTGGCAAAGCCATATGGAACAAGACTGTTCATGGAGGCCCAATTGATTCCCCCCGAGAAACCACCGTTGCCAACAGCCATGAATCGCTTGTTCCACTCATCGGGCAAGATAAGACCAAATGTATAGGCAGATGTTGCCGAGGAAGTCACATTGACAATAATGCCACAGGAGGCTGGCAGGTTTGTAGCATTGGAAGGGTATGCGGTGTCAGCAGCGCCTTGTCCAAAACTACCACCAGCAGAGATTTGACCAAGATTAATGATGGATGCTCCACTGGGGAGGAGGGAATTGAAGTATTCTTCTGCGCATTGTTCGTGAAATATCGCGGCAGCCCCGAGAGTGAAGCCACTGAGAAGTACTGTGCCCGTCTTAGAAAAGAACATCATGGCAGGTAGCACCTGAGTGATCTTAATGAGTACCTTGAAGTAGGTATAGGTATCAATTCATAGTCTGTTGAGCTAAGGCAAGGAATCCCCTGTGCACATGGTGAACCATCAGCCTTTTATACATTTTATACATCATCCTGGGGTTTGCGGGGAAATGCTGGGGGTGGGGCTTTCCGATGTTTGAAGGCTGGCACGCATGAAATGTTTTGTTGTTGCTGATATTCGGGCTAAGCGTTCTTCCCATGATCATCAACGGACCCTGGTTTCGGAGTCTCCCGAGGTCTTGTAAGTATTGTCGAGCCTACGTACCACCCCATATTTGAGGACATCGAGGTCAAGGTATTCCCACTCAATATTCTCAGTGTTTCTTTTTGAAACTACTACGTAGTAGCAACAGCATTTGAAAGTCGAAATTCTCAAACTTCGATACATCCAGTTCATCACGAAACTTGGAAGGACTCGACCTTCTTCTTTTGCACGGCGCCTGCATCTGCATAATCGTATTAAGCATTCAGTATCATCATGTGAATGCGGGGGAAGGGCTAAGAGCTTTAGACTGGTGTGTGGGGAGGGCTAAGAGCTTTGGACTGTTGGCGGGGAAGGCTCATCTGGTATGTACTAGTAGTGGCCCTGAAGTTTACTTACTAGTACGAAAGCTTGGCAACTCGTTGGAGATGTGAGCAAAAGACACAACTTCAGTTTGAGGAAATCATATACTTTCAAATTGGGTATGTTTTACTCAAGTGCTGCCTAGTACCTAGTAGTATAGGTACTACTTGAACAAAGTGTACAGTCCCGAAAAACGGAGGCCATAATAATCGTCCTCGGGGTAATACTTGAAACTTCCTTTGGATGTCAATCACCAAAACCACTAGGCCTTTCAGAATCCATATTCTAGAGCCAATGTCACTTTTCTCAGACATAATCAAGTAACAAGTTACGTACACATTGTCGGAGACTCGGAGTTGTACTTCAGGTGACTAAGCCCACACATGGGGGCGGCATCTGGACCCGCACCCGCTGAGCCGCGAATGACAAGTGATCCTCGCGACACACCTTCAAAACCTCCTGAAGCATCCACCCAACCCTAGAGAAGAGACACACGGCCGCATCTATACTGCTTCCCAGAAGGTTCAAATCCAACTTGCATTCACTCCTTATGTCATCCCGTTGAACTCCGACGTCCTGAATTGAGCAGCGGGCAACGTCCTGTCCATGTATGGGGGGCCAATCACAACCAGAGCGATAACACTACTACACAATGGTAAACGGCGCAAATGGACAGCCCGATGCAGGGCTCAGGAGTCTGGACCACTGTAGGACATCCACATACCCTTTTACCTGGGCATAGCTTTATGCTTTCTTGGGCGATCAACAATTGCTAACTTCTCCGCGCGAACTGATTAGATTCAAACCAACTCCCCCTCTGGCGTTATTGGCCGCGACAGAAGCTCCTCCCTTTAATCCGATATGAGACGCCTTATCTGGCATGGGCGCAAGAGAAAGTCCGCACCCCGACACTGGATTCGTACTTTGCCTTCACAGCTAATCTCGGCACCCACACATTCTTCATGGTCTTTCTGCCGTTTCTCTTCTGGTGTGGCCACACCAGTTTAGGTCGTGGGTATGTTTTGATCCTACCCGTGGACCCACGAAGAACTGAATATAACGAGAGCAATATCTAATTGATGATGTGTCCGCAGTCTAGTGCACATCCTCGCTGCTGGTGTGTTCTTCAGCGGTTTCATCAAGGACTTGCTATGTCTTCCTCGACCATTGTCCCCTCCTTTACAGCGAATCACCATGTCTGGATCGGCTGCCCTCGAGTACGGATTCCCATCAACACATTCCACCAACGCTGTATCTGTTGCCGTGTATGCGATTGCCCTGCTCAATTCCCCAGATTCCACCGTTAGCCCAAGGACCAGCATGATCGTTCAAGCGGTCACTTACCTATATGTCATTTCGATCGTGTTGGGTCGATTATACTGTGGTATGCATGGAATGCTTGATTGTGTAATTGGCTCCATTATGGGCGCATTGATCGGTCTCGCCCAGTATAGCTGGGGCCCGGCGTTTGATGACTATATCCTTTCGACGTCGCTGTTGGGAATTCTGGTCGTTCCCATCGTGATTATGGTATTGGTTCGCATCCACCCAGAACCGGCAGACTCGTGTCCTTGCTTCGATGACAGTGTTGCTTTTGCGGGTGTCACACTCGGTGTTGATGTGGGCTCATGGTACTTCGCTCAATCTAGCCTTGCCTGGTCGGAGCCTCTGCCTGGGACCATCCCATACCGGTACGAGAGCCTCGGGTTGACAAAGACTGTGATTCGTCTTGTTGTGGGGGTTCTTTGTGTTTTCGCATGGAGGGAGATCACAAAGCCGACTCTGCTCCGCATTTTACCTCCCGTTTTCCGCAGCCTGGAGAAGCTTGGACTTCTCCTTCCTCGGAGATTTTTCACTACCGCCTCGTGAGTAGTAATGATTGCTAGTTACCCTCGATGGAAATCTTTCTAACATACTACAGTGAATATACGACCGTCCCCTCCAACTTGAATGATCACGATGTGCTTCCTAATTTCTCGGAAATTCCTTCTATAATCACCACCATGCGGCATCCTCGTCGCCGAGCTATTTCGATCGGCCCTCAGTCTGAAGCTGATGCTTATGAGGCCCTGGCTTACCGCGAGCAACGCCGACGTGAAAGTTTGTCTGGTGGCACCCGCGAGTCGCCCGCTGATGTGGAGATCAACTCCAACGGGTCCCCTGTCGTGCTAAGGAAGCCCACTACTGTAGACCAGTATGAGAACATGATGGGCAGAGGTAGCCCACACTCGGCTACCGCGGATGTAGATGCTAGCATACCACGGTCCTCACCACTTCCGCCACCCGAGCATGGTGCATTCAAAATGGATGAGGAGGATGTGTTCTCTCAGATCAAGAAGCCCCGCGTGCGGTACGATGTGGAAGTCGTAACAAAGCTGGTCGTATACGCAGGTATGTCCTCTCACTCGGCTTTTAACAATCATCTCGCTGATTCGCGCTCTATTTAGGGATTCCTTGGGTCGTTATTAATGTGGCACCCCCTGTTTTTGAACTGATTGGACTAGGGGTACCCCTCTAGCCACCTCACATGCATTTCGGATTGTTCGCCTTGCCCCAAATGCATTTTTGGCTGCTGCTCTGGCTCAGTTCAATCCAGCCGACTGCGTTGGAGGCGAACTTCTTCCGGGAAATACTAGTCTGGGTTGCGCATGTACATATTGCAACCTTTATCTTTAAGTCTGGCTGTCTCAGCCCTCTCAGTAGGCCCAGTCAGCCACAATTATTTGGTATAGGATGACCGCTGCGGACAGCCATTGTTCAGTTTAAATTTAGACCAGTAGTAAGTGTGTACTAGTATGCCTTAATTATGCAGGGTTCTTTATACTTCGTCATGCAAATTACCAAATCTGGTTAGCGTGATTAGTCATCGATATTCCCCATGATGGAGCAATCGCGGCGCGATTGTCCCCAATAGCAACTCTCTCGAAGCAAGTCGACTTTGGTCGCTCGTTGAGAATGGAAATTTCTCGCGTCCTTAAGTTCTGTTACAGCCATCAAAATCTCAGCCCGTTTCTTTCAGCCTAAGCACACCACTCGCGTCGGTAGTAGCTTCCTCTCAGCTCGTCCCATCCCAGCCATCGCCTATACGTGACCGAGCGATATCAAGTGAATCAGCGATCGGGTTTACTGGGACAACAACAATGAATTTTTGGTCGTTTTTCTGTGGGAGGTCGTCGGGGACTTCATCTAATAATGCGGCTGTTTCCGGTGCCCCCCAGAAGTCTTTCCAAGCCAGCAAGGGCTGGCAGCCACACGCGCAGGAAGACTCCCCAGGTATGGATCACCACATTCGAAAAGAAATCGCATTGGTGATTACTCACAAATATCTCACTTGCAGAAGAGCTTTCATTGCATATCCCGGGCGCGTTTCCCTCGTCACCCTCTTTGTCCCCAAAACTTGCGCCGGCGCCGACTGAGCGCGTGGTGGACGATGTCCCTACACAAGAGTTCGATCGCATGGAGATCGATATTCCTTCAATACCGGAACTTCACACTGATCTTGGATCCCACTTCCGCCCAATAAGGCCACCGAGAGTTTTCAGACCAACGCCCACCCACACCCCGCATTCTCCGTCCGATTTAGCACAAGGGCAACATGGGGCACACCAGGAGCAGATGGAAATCGACGACCCATGGGCCAAACGATCCATGGCGTATGAAAAATTACCCTTCGGTCTACCTGTGTCAGCCGTGCAATTGGTGTCTCCTCAGAAAAAACCAGTCCCAACAAATCGTCTCGAATCTATCTACGCATCAGAATGGAAGAAGCTTGAGCTAAAGCGATTGGAACAGGAAGGCGAAGATGGGCGTCCTGCAAGAATAAGACCACAAGGAGAGTGTGTGCGACAATTGTCTTGGGACTGGCTGGAAAGGGTTTCAAAGGCCATGAGTTCTTCCGGCGCCGTGGCCCAGTCTCTCTCCGGAGATGCCTTATACCCTAAAGACATTGCCACTTGCATTAAACCCCTCGCCTGGCTCAACGATGAAATCATCAACTCATACCTCGCCGTCATAATGCAGTATCTTCAACAATCGACTGGAAACAAGGCGCCGAATGAGCGACCCAAATACCATGCTTTTAATAGCTTCTTCTATTCCAGTCTTCGGGATAAAGGATACGATGGTGTGCGGCGATGGGCCAAACGTGCCAAAATCTCCGGCGAAGGACTATTGGAAGTTGACACAATCTTTGTTCCTGTCCATGAGTCCAGCCATTGGACTCTGCTGGTAGTTCGACCTGCAGATCGAACCATTGAGTATTTTGATTCCCTGGGTGCACGTAGCGCGCGGCAAGTCAAGATCATCAAAACTTGGCTTCTTGGAGAGCTTGGATCCAAGTTCGTCGATTCAGAGTGGACGTTGCTTCCATCGGTCTCGTCTTTTCAAGATAACGGCAGCGATTGTGGCGTGTTCCTTTTAACAAATGCGAAGGCAATTGCCCTTAATATCGAACCCACGGCCTTTGGGGCTCGGGACACCGCTTTGCTGCGCAGAAAAATCGTGGCCGAGATCATGAATGGTGGTCTTCATGGCGAGTTTAGTCCAGTTGATAAGACTGGTACTATCCTGCTTTGATTTCATCACTGGCCATCCTGCCTTTCTACCTACTCAAAACACACCTGGACCTCAGAACTCCAATCCATGAGCCCACCACCACCCCCGACATATACCGATGATCTAAATACCTCCCTTCTCATCACTGAAATACCTATCATACCTCCAGCATCTCGTACACCGTGGCGACCATTGCACTGTGCCTACGACTACCGGCGTTCTTGTTTTGTATCTGTTTATTTTGCCGGCGTGCATGGCGAACTACTAGAGTAAAGAAAACTGGCGCGCTGTACCCATGGGATCGAGAGGAGCTTTCTGTTTGTTTCCTTGCTTTTTATTTGATTTGACGCCTGAATGAATGCAAATGATACCCCATTGTTACTGCGTTTTCGAAGACTCCTAAGTGAAGATTTGTTTTGTCGCATAAAAGTATTGACGTTTTGATTTTTCATATGCCGTTCTCTCGGAGTATAACCTTCAATGTTGGAATACATCAATTGACATGATTTTTATCTAGAGCCGATTTCCGAAGTTATCAATATCATACAATTTTCAAACATACAAGAATGTGGTTCTTGGTTTTTTTTTTTGCATAGTCGTCCCAGCAACAAGAAATACTGTACAACATTGAATGAGAATTGAGACGTGAAAACCATGCGATCCATTATCTTCCTAATAATAATATTCATCCAAAAAAAAAACACCATGAAACATTTCAAAAGGCCAACCTTCCAAGGTTGGAACAAAAAGATATCTCCAGAAAAAGCCTCATCCAACTAAGACCACACATCAGTCCTTGGAGGCGAAGCGAAGCTCGTCAATATTGCACACACGTCGGCATTTTGGCTCAGTGGATTTGCCTCCCTTCCCATGCTTGCCATGTTTGCCATGTTTTCCATGCTTCCCGTGTTTCTTATGCTTGTTCCTCTCCCGACATTTGCGACCTTTCTTCCCCTTCTTGCACTTCCTTTTCTTGGCCGTGGCCCCGGTCACAATCTCCGTCTCAGATCCAAAGTCCTCACCCGTGACATCCTCCACCTCAACCGCAGAAACGTTGCCAGCAGCAGAAACATTGCCAGCAAACCGCTGGTGCCCACCATGATTCTCCTCCGGGGGAACCTTAGACCAGTGATTCCCATCCGATGACCGGTTATACGCCAGCTCGATATATTCAATCCCAAGGTAGATCTTGTCCCCGATTTTCATATCGCCTGTCCAGAAACCACCGTCGCTCCACAGATTGATCACAAGTCTGCTTTGCAGATTGGGCACGCGGTACGTCTTGACTTCTTCGAGGCCGTTGTTAACGTACCAGCGGGACTTGCCGGCGTGCCAGTCTAGTCGATGTGTTGACCAGGTGGTCCATGGGACCGAGACGTCCGCGATGGTCGCTGCGCCTGGGATCATGCGATCTGTGATGGGATCGTAATCTGGCTGGTTGGCGTATCGGACCCGGTAGGTGGGATCACTTGTCAGAATTTCGATGTCGGATTCGCAGTTTTTTTGGTGATAGGTGAAGATACCGACGCAGGCACCAGAGGGAGGTTTCTTGGTGTCCTGAGGCTCGGGCGAAGTTTCATTGCCAATGTCAAGTTCGTTGTTGAGGACCACGGAGAGAGGTTGGTTTGGATTCGTCGATGGCAATTCTTTGTCCTGAGGTGGTTGTGATACATGCATACTGGCTGGTAAGACCCGTAGACGTAGACGCAGGGAGCAACGGAAGATGTTTTGCACGCGGGTCTCGATCTCGGCGGTGGATGTGAAGTTCATATGGCGGATGGTGCGCAGGACGAGGTATGTTGCTTCCGGGTCATCGTCTTCGTGGTCGCGGGTGAAAAAGACGTTTCGTTTGGAATTGACCATGGTCACGGGCGCTTTGGGGCTCCGGGGACGATGCCATCCTTGGCTGACCCAGTCCTTGTCGAAGCCGGTCCTGAAGAAAAATAGGGAGTCGTTATGATGTCGTTGGTTGTCTTCATCGCCGTCGTCATCATCATCATCTTCGTCTTTGTCTTCATCCTCGTAGTCGTTACTGCCGTACCCCTCATCATCTAGATCTTCCCAGTCATCACTGTCGTAGTCGTCATCATCTAGATCTTCCCAGTCAGGCCATTCGTCCTCGTCGTCTTCGTCTAGCTCTGATGAGGAGATGTCAAGTTGTTCCAAAGGGACGGATCGGAAATCCCAGAGCTTGTAGTGTTGGAAATATCCTGGCTCTGCACCGGATACCGTATAACAGTCACATTCGCGAGGATCTCTTTTGGTTGTAGAAACTATAGACGCGTTCTCTTTTACGTCGAGTTGCGACAAAGCAAGTGCGAAGAAACAGATAAACGCAAGGCTCAAAATGCCTGGGGATGGGATGCCTCCCTTCATAATGGCCGGCTGCAATGAAGAAGTACACAATAAATCAGCTCAGATGACTAGATCATTGTATGCTTTTCTCTAATAACTTTCTGTTTTCTGTTTTCTTCATGAACGGAAGCCGCAACCCGACCTGAAGATTAGGGCTTCGTGGTTTCCTGATTGGGATATTGTGAACAATGGTCCCCCATCTATTTGGAAACAACCGTGGACATATGATCGAAGCCATCACATTGGGATCAAATGTCGACTTAACCATGATAGATTATTAATTCCAATACTGAAAGTGATAATTGAAACATTTGAAGGTGTTCTCAATTGAAACCCGCGAATGGCAGACATCTGCGCACATAGTATACTCTCCACCATAGGGAGTATGATCTCCACGCCAACATAGAGAGTATTATCTCCACGCCAACACATACAGGAGTATACTCTCCACTCCCACGGCTTCATGCCCAGGCGCTGTAGATGTATCTACCGTAGAACTAAATAGGAAAAAGATACTAGGAGAGTAGCCTCGAGCGTAGTTATTTGTGCATTTCATATGGAATTTTTCAGAAGCTATGCAGCATCAAATAAAGGCAAGATTCGGCCATCTCCCGAGGTCCAGGGCTGGTCGTGATCTGCTTTCTCGTCGAAGAACTTTGGAATACCTAACTTGGAAGGAATCTAGGTAGAACAGCTTCTACTTCCGTGGCATAATTTAATTACAAAATAGAACCCGGCAGGCTTTTAATATTAATTTACTGACTGGAGACTGTATGTCTACAAAATACCAGTTCTTGTGTTTGTCGTGGAAGTTGGGCCTGCTCTTTGTTGGCGAGTCCCGACCTCACGCTTGTCCGTGAGGTCCGCACTATTTTCTTTGTCGGCGAGTTTGCACCCTGAAAAAAAAAAAAAACACTGTATCAAAGGATGGGTAGACCAATCAAGACAAATCCGAGAGGATCAAAGACAAGCCAGGCTGCGGGCGATTTCCAAAGTTGGCCAACATTTAGACCCCGCGCACACTGCTGTTATTGCCTGATTGGGCCAAATGGCATGGTCATCGTTGCACATGGTGACGGTGAGATCGCTTAGAGAACCCACCCCTTTATTTCCTCCCCTTTTTCTGAGTTTCATTCTATTTAAAACGACAGGCGATTTGCCCTCTGATGTCTGAAGAACAAAAATCCCAAATTCTGACTAGATCATAGCGAAAATCTAGTGCGTGTTGGAAAGTTTGACAAAAATGACCGCAACAGCAGCCAAGTACAGCCGTACGAACTGGGGCATTATTGCACCTCGGGTGTGACGACAGTCCATGCCTCAAATTGGCCCGTTTGGGGCTTGTGGGGCTGGTCAGCAATCAGCGCGAAAGAGCAAAATTTAGCAACGGAGCTTTGATTGGGGGACGATTGGTTGCCAAGCTGGTGGCAAAGAATGGCGTCCAATCGTTTAGGCTCTCAGATTCGATTCAAGGGTGGATCCTGTTCCGTGTCGCACTACCCACACGCTAGCACACAACGCATGCGGGTTAACCTTTGGAGAGCAAAGTATCACAAGGCACCCGACCGGTATCGGTATGGTCACAAGCCCCATATCCAGGGATTTCATTACCCCCTTCCCACAAAAATTGGGCATTGCACCAACAGGATATCGAGTCAAAAAATATCAAAAATGATTCAAATTATAGTGAAACTTCCAGACAAGAGTATTAACGAGTCATCCTGATTTAATAAAGGTCATTAAAGTCACAGTCATAAAAGAAAATTCGTGGGCGGATAATGATTCGGTATGACTGTATGGGCTGTGTGTTGGTCAGCGTAACGCCGGCATTGCCGCCCCTTCCTTTTTGTTCTGGCCCTTTTTTCCCTCTTCCCCTTCCCATTTCGCTGCTACTTGAATAGCATTGCCTCACTATGGATCTGATTTGAAAGAAAGAAATCCTTTTATAAGTGTCAAAGAATCATCATTATATTATAGACCGCCATCATGCCCACCATGACCAACTTGGAACGGGCCAGCACCCCCAGCACCTCCCTTTCTATGTCTCCACGCCTCTCTGACCGGGAGTTAACTCCCGGATCAGAGCTCTCACTGCTATATGTCAATGAGCGTGTGAACCAACTGGACTCCCGAATTCTCGAACTACGATCCAATCTCATGACTAAAAACGGCTATGTCGAAGCTCGCAATCGCGAAGATGATCATATTCGACGCGAGTTTGCCAACCAAAGCGCCGTTTCCCAACGAATAGATTTGAATATTGTCGCCATTCGCAAAGATATTGGTCGACTTGAAGACCGCTTCGATAAACTGCAGTCTGATAGTACTATCTCGCGAATCAATATCAGCCATCTCCAATCCGACGTCGGCAAACTCCAATCTGACGGTGCTGCTATGCGTGCCGATATCAGCAAACTCCAATCAGATAGTGCTGCCACGCGAATTGATATCAGCAAACTCCAATACGATGGCGCTGCTATGCGTGCCGATATCAATGCGATCAACATCCGAATGGATCTTGCAGAACGTATCCGTTTCAACTCTATCGTGTGCACAATATATGCCCCAATCAGACCTGTCCCCATCGTCGTGAATGGTGCTTTGGAATTCCCTCAATACTTCCCTCGATCTATTTGGCGATTCTGGTGTCTCAAAAAGCGAAGCAGAGGTAAGCATTAGTTAAGTTCAACTTGGTGACGTTCTTGGTTACGTTCTTGGTTACGTTCTTGATCTCGTTCTTGATCTCGTTCTCAGCATATTATACCATTTAGATTTTTAATATCTGACAGCTAACCTTTCTCAAAGTTCATCGTCTTATTGAACTCGCAGAGTTCTACCAACTTGAAGGCTATCAAGAGTGGAGACATACTCGTACAGACATGTTCGCCAAGGATGATTATTCAAGCGACTCCAGTGACAATGACTACAATATCACCCGTGCTGAAGCCGTTCAACTCTATCCAGAGGCAGCTCATCAAGCATTAGCAGCATCATTGGGTCTTATATACTACAAAATCCGAAATGAAGTGGGCGAAGGTCACAATGCTGTAGCTCGCCCTCCCAAGCGTCAACGGGAAATCGCCTCTGCAAGCACCAGTACTCGATCCAAGCCTGTGAAAATGCCTCGTCGGCCGAGCGGTTCCGATACCTTCCTACAGCAGCTTATCTCCGGTGTTATTGAACCACATGCTGAAGCGGAATCCTCAGTTTCAGAGCATTCCGCCGTACTGGGCTGGAAAGCTTTCTCAGATGTGTCAGAGGATGCCAAAAACAAGCTACTATCCATGGATCCCAATGATCTTAATGCAGTTTTCCGTGCCATGGAGCAGGGACGACTCCAGTTACAGACTACTCGTTCGGAGAGGCTGAACAGGTCCCCTACTGAATCAAAGGCCGGTAGCGTGTCTCGTAAGGCAGCTGGGTCCGTTCGGTCGGAGGTGGCTGCTGAACCGGGCGCCGCACGTGCTCCTGCACCCATTGCTGCACCTATTTTATCGGAAATTCCTACTGAAGTTGCCACGCCTACTCCACCTGGCGCCACACGTGCTCCTGCATACATTCCTGCACCTAGTTTATTGGAACGGAGTCTTATTTCCACTGAAGTTGCCACGCCTGCTCCGCAGAGTGGTAGCAACCGACAAACAACCCATGACGTGCAACGACCAGCTACGTCCAGTTCGGATTCGGACAGTTCAACGGGTTCAGACAGTTCAGCTCCTTAATCTCACCTACTACTTGACCTCGGTTGTTGTTTCTCATGTTCCAATCAACAACTCTGGCGGAGAAAGGGCAGGTTGAGATCTTGAATTTGGTTACTGCATATTAGTACATACTGCATCTTGCATCTAGCATCTTGCATCTCGCATCATCTTGAAGCCTGACATTTTATATTTTGCATTTATAGCGTTTTTTGTTTCTGATCCACTTGGATAAGCATGGTTGGAGTTTGATTTCATGTGATATAGTTGAATACCCTACCCTGCATCTTCGGGTTATCTAGCATTGAGTTTGTCTTGGTCTTTGATCAATCTGATTAACTCTTGGATAGTGCAGGTCTCCTGTCCTATCAATCGAGTATTTGAAACCGTCCATTTCGCTCCCATGGATCTACCAATTATATTCCCCTTGGACCACTTCGGCTTTCATCGGAATTACTACTAACAAGATAGCACTTGAGTGCTTGGAAGATTGGATTGGAACTTGAACGACGCGGATATGCGCTCTTTATTTGTTACGAATAGTACGTTCAGACCGACCGCAGGCCCACTAGCATTGTAACCAGTTGGTCTTTGGCACCCCTGGCCGCCGGAGCCTGGTCAGGCCGGATCATACAGGGCTGGGGGGCAGTTGCCCCGGCGGCGCCCGGCGAACGGTTAGCCCCGCCAGTCCCGCTAAGCTCCAATATTCGTACCCACCGGTTCCAGATGTCCCACTATGAACCGGATTTGGCCTACTCTACATCTTTTTAGTCGAATTTTTTACCTACCACGTTCTACTCTACTTACATACTCTCCGACCCCATTTTCACACAAAATAGTGAAATCCCGTCGAAAGTGTACAGAAATTTGTCAAAAATCGCTCTTAACTATGGGGGTGGTCCGAGCTTTTTTGACCCAATACTTAAGGCCAACATGCTCAAAATGTTGGATGCCTGATTGACTTGGTCAACATTGAAAATGAAACAAATTATATGGCAGCCTCCCGATGTCATCTTCACGATTATGTAGTAGATCCCAAATGAAAATGCTAAGAAATGATATTTAGTCTATAGTACAGTTGAGGCTTGGCTTTACAAGGCCTGCTCATGTTTCTGGTTCAAACAGATCGTGCTTCAGCACTTCCAGCACTTTTGCCTCATCCGCAGTCAGCAAATCAGCTGAGGCTCCCGTCAAGTCTGAAGCATCGGCCTCAGCCTCAAGCCCAGCCTCGGCTTCGCCCTGCTCTGCGTCCGCACTTTTGCCAATGGCTTCTTCGGGACCAACAATGCGTATGTATTCTTCTTCCATAATAAACGGAGCTGTGTCTTTCTCTGCGAGTAGCTTTTCCGGGGATTCTGGTAGCGCATATATCGTAGGGAACTCCATGACTGTTCGCTCCCGTAGTGCAGCTGCAAGGGTCATCAAAGGAGCCAGCGGTACCAATACTGGCTTTTTGAGTGTCGTTCGTGGACGGTGGAGGTAGAAGTATAGGCCACGGTGCGGGCCAATCGGTAGGTCTTGCGACTTCTCCTCCACTATTTCCGGGGTATTCTCAACAGCCTCAGAGTCCGACAATTGGATCGGTGGTGCCGGTTGAATTGGTTGCGTTTCTTTAGATTCAGTGACATTCTCCGCCGCAGTCGCAGACAAGGCCATGTCCGTCGAGTTTTGCGCCGCCTCAACACCATCCGCCTGCTGGTCGGTTTTTTCATCCTTCAAAGAATCCGAAGCAATCTTCTCCTGCTTCGGCAGCGGAAATCCACGATCATATGCCTCACCAATACCCTGGCCCTCCAAACAATTCCGAAGAATCTTCTCCCCAGTCGCAGAAATCCATTCCACCGACCAGCTAAGACACTTATGCCTGTACCAAAAAAAAAAGCCCGGTCAGAACTAAGTTTCCGCGAACAAAACTCCCAGCAAGACTTACTTCGGATGCCATCGCGAATTATTCAGCTTGTTCCTTGTCATTCCCCTCGGCGCCCTAATAACCGTCACCGCACCAGCCTCAGCACGGCGCAAAAACCCAGCTTCGCCCTTCACAAGGCCCTGCTGCGGGATCTTTCTCTTCCGCCCAGGCCCAGAATCTTGTAAATCATCTCCGTCTCCGTCGGCGGGAATCTGTCCCCGCGCAAGATCAATGCCCCGGTTCTCGACTTCTCGATCGGCGCGCTCGAGCGAGCGCTCGACGCCCGTGATGAAATTGAAGTCGCGGTCGAAGGCTGATTCGGTGGCGAGTTCACTGCGCTTGAGGTAGGCGGCTGGGTCACGGACACCGGAGCATTGGGACCAGAGTTTGTGTCGCCGTGTGCAGGGAAGAGAGCAGGTGCGGGTAGAGCAGCGTGGACAGCGGTATTTTGGGGGGTTCACATGGCTGTTTCGGGTTGAGTTAGAGCCTGGAGGTTTAACTCTTTGAACTAGTAGGGTTTAATATTTACCATATAGAGCACAGATCACTGAGTAGAGGGTCGGAGGTATCCATTTTGTTGGTGATCTAAAGAAATCGGGGAAATGCGACTTTTGAAGCTTGGGAAATTTGAGAACGCTTATCTACTTTTATCGTTATCGATAAGATTATTTGTTCATTCTGTTGCCTGAGGCCGCATTTCTTGATGCCTTGAAGCTTGTGGGGTTATTTACTCCCCAATTTCCTTAAACACATTCAGTAGATTTCTCAATATGTGATTCTAACTAAAATAGGACCTTCATTTGCCAGTCTACTGGTCTGTTCTGTACTCTTACATAAACCAAAAATTATATCCAAAGGAGGTGCATTGAGGTACACACATACTACTACACAGTACACAATTACTAGGGAGAAAATATACTTCTAATTTTAGGTAGCAATTGCGACTTTAAACATGGTTTTGAAAATTGCACCAGTCCTGCCAATAATGATGATATCGGGCGATATTATCATCCAAGTGAAATAAAATGGTGATTTGTGCACCATTCTATGGAGGTGTTCCCCCGTATTCCCCCAAAATGATCTCATTCATGTGCATGATGATCAATCATCAACCCGCGGCATTTCTAAGCAACCACCATTTGAACCCCGAGGCATCCGATATAAAGGCAGGCCCCTCATCATGGAAATTAAATATCCTGCAGAATCATTGATTTCTTCAGTCATCAATAACAAAATGTCTTCTAAAGCAGTTGCAATTATCGCTGGCGTCGGTGCCGGCACGGTATGTTTCGAAGGGCCTTGCTTCACTGTCGTCAACTGGTGACATCTGGGCAATTTCTAACCGCATGTGCATAATCCTAGGGCGCATCCATTGCGAGACGTTTCGCTCAATCATACAATGTGGTGGCCCTGGCCCGTAACCCAGAAAACTACAACGGCATTGTCGAAGAGATCACCGCCAGTGGTGGCCAGGCAGTCGGCATCAGCGCCGATGTTAGCGACAGCAGCAGTCTGAATGCTGCCTTTGCTCAGATCGAAAAGCATTTCCCTGGCTCTCCAGTGGTGGCAGCTATTTTTAATGCAGGAGGGGGTTTCGTGAGAAAGCCTTTCCTTGAATTGACAGAAGACGACTTTTCCAAGGGCCTTGATAACCCGTATGTATCATCTTGATTCATTCGCTTCCTTCAAACCGGGGCATACCTACCAATCTTTGATCCCTGTGCTGTCTAGACGTGGAAATGATTCGATGCTAATAAAAATACAGAAAGGGTGGATTTAATTTCGCCAAACTTGCTCTGCCACTTCTACTCAAAGCAAAAGACTCATCTGCCCACCCTCCAACCCTGATTTTCACAGGTGCCACCGCAAGTGTTAGGGGATCGCCAAATTTCGCATCATTCGCAGCGGCCAAGTTCGCTCTCAGAGCGCTTTCTCAATCTCTGGCGCGTGAATTCGGGCCTCAGGGTATCCATGTGTCCCATGCTATCATTGATGGAGTTATTGATATCCCTCGTACAAAGGCATGGGTATTCGAACACGAGGATGCCAAGCTGAGCCCTGATGCTGTCAGTTGCTTCTACCTTGAATTTAAATCACAATCGCTAACAACTTTTAGATTGCGGATTCTTACTGGCATCTGCATACCCAGCCACGATCTACATTTGCATTTGAGTTGGATCTGCGACCCTATGTTGAGAAGTGGTAAATATGAATTGGTACAAACGGGTCCTCAATTTGATCCGTTGTTATTTAATGAAATACATCATTCGAGTTTGCAATGTTCTTCTTCGGAGTTTCCCAGATCAATGGAATAATTTCCCTGGTTTGCCCAGTAGCTCTGCTTGAATGATGCCCCTGCTGTGGCCCTCTGTCAACCAGAAATTTGTAACCACTAGTCCTGTCGACTTCAGTAAGTCTCTCCATTGCTGGCGCGTTCGTTCTATCCCTGGGCACCAGACCATGACAATCATGTCAACCAATGTGTCTCGGGATCCGGCGTTTTGATCAGGAACGATGTGATCTTCGATCAAGATCTTGGAGTAACCCATTTCCATAGCAGCAGTAATATGGCCAAGAATGATTCTGCAATTACCATCGGACCAATCGTGCATAATGTGTTTCAAGTAATACACACGGGCATCTAAAAATAGGTTAGCTGATTCATAACAAGAAAGAATGCTGGGGGCATTTGCAGATAGAGTGACGAACATTTGACAGGTTGAGGTGTGAAGAAGTCATGCTTGACTCTCTGAATACTGTCATCGAGCTGTTCAATGTCATCAATGATCGACGGCAAATCTTCGAGCACTAGTCCCCCCATCGCTGATGGAAACCTCTCCTTGAAGCCAGCTAACTCATGGCCACGCCCTCCACCTACATCAACGAGAAGTGGGCGACCGGCCACAGTTCCATCTAAAAGCTCTTTCTGAACAGGGAACCAGTCTGCCCAATGAGCGGTACCAGCCCGTGTCCCTTCCATAAATGTATTGAAGCGACTTAAAGCCTCTGGATTCTCTCCCAGCCAATCCCAACATGTCCCGGATGTCTTGTAGGCGTATTGAAGGGGTCCGTTATTAGGATCTCCCGGGTTCTGATAGTTGATGCTCTTGAGAAAGTCTGGAGTTTTGTGAATGATGGGTGGAAAGTCGATGAACCTAGAACAGTATGAGGTAAATTGTTTACGCCAAGGCCCAACTCTACACTTACAGTGAATCCATTGTTCCGAGTGTTTCTCTCACTGTCATTTGGTGTGTCCACGGAGTGGGCAAATATTGGCTTGGACCGTGCTCTGCTGCAAACCCATTGTATACAAGGACTCGCATGATTCGCTCTGTTTAGAAATGGTCAAATTCAGGTAACTCAACAATAGCGTATGCGGTACTCAACGAACCAACGAGATGGATATCTGCACTCTCTTGGGTAGCTAGTTGTTGGCAGGTGACAAAGGTGGTCGATGGAGACAATACAGCGAAGATTCCCAAGTCAGAGGCAGTCTTGACAGCCATAAGCACCGTTGGCTTCAAAAGCGAAGAATTCCATCAGCCCATATACACATAAGGAGTGACTTGCAATAGTATCTGAGTGCTCACCAGCAGAAAGAGTTTGAAGATTGCATCGGCCGGGTTTTCGAGGGCTCGGACAAGAGCTCTAGCATTTTCAAGAGAAAGTTGTCGGTCATTTTCATTCCGAGTCTCTTTATAGGTGTCAACAGAGGCCGTCGTGGCTGCTGAAATGGTGGAGATATCTTCAAAGTCTTGAGTCGCCATGATTGTCCAGAATAGTATGTGAATGAAGCGTGTTGGAGACTTCAAAGGTAATGGAATCGTCAGTCTGGCAGAATAGTCAGCTCATCTTTATAGTCATCTCCAGTCCGAGACTTTTAAACCAAATGATTTGAGGGCGGCAGTCAATAACTAGGTAATTGTTCCACACGGACTGAGATAGGTATCACGCTGATCGATCGCCCAATCTATACGCCATAGCTGATTAGCGAAGTGACACAAGAATCTCAGCTTAGCACAGATTTTCATCTTTGTTGATCATGATATCATTTCCAAAGTTGAGAAGCCAGTTCATTATTATGAAGTTATACAACGGGGCAGGCTACAGTTACCATCGGCCATGATCAGGTGTGGGGTGATGGGAGATCGGGACGAAACGAGAACCATATGCATGGTGTGGGGTAGCCAAGTGCTGGATCGGACCCCTTTTTCCCTTCCATCATTGACTATTGGTCAAAGGAAAAGACCAGAGAATACATCTAAGTAGGTCAAAATTGAACATCTGAGAGATACAAAGGAGCAATATCCAATAGCATTTCAACATGGAGTCAAGGTGGGCATCAAGGGGTCTATGGTCCGAGTCCATTTATCCCTCAGAGACCTTGAATACTTCGACTGTGGATATTGTCTATTCAGAATTTAAAAGGCATGAAACATTAATTCATTGAAGAGAAGTCCAATCTCTCAACTCCTTCGTTTATGAGTTTTTAGTTGTGTCATGTAACTACTAGTAGTTGAAGACTTGAAGTTCTGTACTTTTCGATCGCGATGTCCGATTACTAATCAAACGCTGAGTCATCCACCAAAAACGTCATGGCCTGGAGCTATCTTGCTTTGCTTTCAAGTTTCAAGGTCCATGCACAGACTCCTGCTATCACCCCACCCTTAACGGCCACCGACACGCAAAATGGCCATGGATGATGCCTCGCCCCAGGCAGGCTCATATCAAAGCAACAATTCCTCGAGCAACAGCCCTTCAACATCATCACAAAGCCCTACCTCACAACTGCCGAACTTCTCAGGTCTACAGATCAAACCCGAGCTCTTCGTCAAGCCCGATCTTTTCACACTCTACTTTGGATTCTTCGGAAGCTCGGGATGGCAACGTTCGGCTAAGTCAAGAATTAGCGGGCGACTAGAGGGCATCTGGGCTCTAACCGGCCGCAACCCTACACAAGTCGAGGTGGACGCATTCACCGAACACACAACAAGAGGCCTATACTACGGACGAGCCGGTATCCCAGCATCAACATTTATTGGCGCAGCATGGATGTACAACAAGGGGCGGGAGACCTTCCCAGCCGGAAGCACGGCGAAAGATCGGGTTTCGTTCATGCGTCAGATGTGGTTCACTCAAAGAAAGGAGTTTCTGAGCCTGACGTCCAAGGTTGCTTTCAGACTACTCTTCATCGGCACCCTTGGTGGAATTGTCTCGAGCATAGCGTCGGCGTACGTAAATGTGAACGGCGCTCTTTCCGACCCGCGCTTGGAGGAGTGGAGGCACGATTCAAAGAACCAGAAGGAAGAGGATATTCGCAAGCGCAAGATCCAGCTTGTCAACGCAACGTACAACAGGTCGCTCAAATCGGTCGAGGATCAGATACAGGTGGGATCGGGCGGCTATGATTTTGCTTCTGAAGCTCGTGGGAACGAGTCTATGGGCGGCTTTGATTCGGTCCAGTCTCAGCAGCAGCAGTACGGGTACGATGCATCTAATGGGAGCCCGGGGACGTATCAGTCACGTCCTTCTCAGCCCCAGAGGAGCTCTTCCGATTTCTTCGGTAGTGATGACGACGCCAGCCCGACTGCGCCTGAGTACCGAGCTACAAACCCCGATGGCTCGGCCATGAGCTCTTGGGACCGGATTAGGCAGCAAAATGGTTCATCGAAACCCCAGCCTCCGGTGCGTCAATCTCCACAGGCATGGGGCCAACTGCAGAATCAGCCTAGGCCCGATCCTACCCCGGCTGGTGCTCAGGACCGATACGATAACGATAGGAACCGCGATAGAGAGCAGGCGCAAGCGGACTTTGATCGAATGATGGAGGCCGAGAGGAATGCGTCTGAGGAATCCACTAGTCGACGTGGTTGGGGATCATAAGTGTTTCAATTTTAACTATCTAACCACTGTACACTACTGTTACATTGATTTTTTGTCCTTGTAAATATCGATATTTGAATTGAAATTTCCTATGATAACTCTTCGTACCGTTATTATTGGCCTTTGCAGGCATGACTGTAGGGTACAGTGTTCCATCTAGTTGAAATCGCCGTCGACATTAAACGAAAGTAAAGAAACATAAGACCTGCAATTTTGGCAAGGGGAAGTAAAGAAAGATAGCGAAATGAAAATGCTAACCGTGTATACGAGAGACGAGGCCTATATCGCATGGGATAATTGCAATTGTTCCGGAAAGTGATCTGGGCAGGAGATCGAAATCATGAAAAAAAAATGGTGAATATAGTAGCAAGTGAGGGTATAAAGAACAGGAGGGATAAAGAGGGGGAATCAATATGGAGTCATGGACGAGAGAGGAGAACGTGAGTGGTTCGCTAAACATAAAAACATGCAGTCATAAAAATCAAGATGAAGATGAAGATATCAAAGAAAGAATCAAGTCAAAAAAGCGGCAAAAATCAGGATGGATACATAGAGAATTCATAACAAAAAGATCAAGCTCACTTTAAACACCATAGCCGGGACCAGGTGTATAGGCACGAGAGTGAAGTAGTTCGTACGGCATGTCGTTCTCAAGAGCATTCGATCCCCATTCCGTTGCCGTACCCCAGGGCTCGACGCTGCGACTATTGCCTCGAATACGCGTCAAGCTGCGCAGCTTGTTCGCGAAGCTCTCATTCGAGCTGCGATTCCGGCGATGTTCATACGAGGTGCGTTTACCGTTCTTGGAGTCACCCCCAACATCGATGTGGATCGTCGGAGCAGCGGTCATTGCGCGAGGAATCATGCGTCCCATGTCCTCGTTTTCGATGGCAACGTCGATAGTGGCTGAAGATTGTCGAGGAGATGTGGGGTCCACAGATATCGGGAACGGCGGCGGAGGCGGAGGGGTGTTGAGATGCTGGAGCTCGGGGAGAATTGGCGGAGGTGGCGGGGGAATTAGATCGTGAGGCCCGGGTCTTCGCTGCATTGCGTGCTCAATTGTTTCCTCGATGCTCACGGTTACTTGGGGGGATGTACCGGAGACATAGCCGCCGGAGCTGGTACGACGGTGGCCCATGTTGCGCGCGCGGCTGCTGGAGCGGCTCCGAGGAAGGTTGGGGTTGAAGTGTGGGTGCATTGGCAGTTCGGATGGCAGTGGGGGTGGGTTCATGTACTTGGATGCCTGGTTCTCTGGCATAGGTACCGACATGGACCGTCCGATCCTCTCGGCCGCCTCACTTTGGTATCGAGTATCACTGTGAATCTGGTGACCATGGTGATCATTTGGGATAAGGGGAACAGAGGGAGGTCGTTCTTCACGGCCGCCGCCATACTTGGGGTGCCTCATGGCTCGAGGTGTGGCTGGCAGTCCTAGGGGAGGCCGTGAGCCTGATGAGCTGGAATCGGAGCTACTGCCATATTCAGGCGAGCGCTTGGCTGGTGGGATCTGGTTTCGAGATGGAGCCCGGGGGAAGTAGGAGTTGCCATGGAATGGAGGGGGACTCTCGATGGGCGATCGACCATAATGCAAATCGCCTGGGAAGGGAATGTTGGGCGCAGACGGGTTGCGTGCAAGGGAGAGTCGACGCGCTTCCAATTCAGCGGCAGCTAACTCTCTCCTCTTCTTCTCGGCCAGAGTGACAAATGGTGTTGTTGGAGAGACTTGCTCATGGTTATCATTGGCAGCTGAAACGGGTCTGCTTTGACTGCGTCCATGCGCAAAGACGTCTTGGCCAAACGCTTTACTACTTAAGACATCCTCTTGACCAAAGGCTTTGCTGCTTAAAGTGGGAGCTTGTCCGAAAGATTTGGCGCTCAAGAGCTCCTCCTGTCCAAATGCCCGGTCCTCTTGCCCATACACTTGACTTCCCAAATCATCTTGTCCGAATGCTCTGTTGCTCAACATGCCCTCTTGTCCAAATGCTTGGGAGCTCAGGGTACTCTCCTGCCCAAAGGCTTGAGAGCTCAAAGTACCTTCTTGTCCAAAGACCAGAGGGCTCAAAGTCTCATCTTGCCCGAAGGTTTGAGCACTCAAAGACTGCTCTTGTCCAAAAGCTCGACTGCCCAGCTGCTCAAGTCCTCCAGTCTGAACGGAGGGCTCGAATTCAACAGGTTGACGAACCTCAGGTACACTCTGAGAGACCTTGTGTCTCGAATCAGGCGAAACATCTCGCTTGGAGTTGCCTCCTTTCTCCGTACCACGGCGGCGACTCGCGCTTCGATGATGCGAACGCAGTCGCTCCCGATTTCCAACAACGATTCGGAGAGGGTCTTCAGCGCCGTCCTGTTGTGAAGAATCCTGGCCAGGCAAGGTCATTGGCAGGGACATTGGCAAAGGTGAAGACGGCGAGCGAGCAGCAGAGCCTAGACGGTCAGTGCTACGGCCCCGGGACGATGGATCCAGCCTTTCCAGGGCAACACGGCTTGCAGTGTGTCGGCTAGAAGAGCGATGGCGATTTCGTGACCCCCCTGTCTTTCTCATCCTGCTACTGCTTCGAGCGCGCGAGTGTGACTTCTTTCGTGTTTCATCTCGTTTCTCCGTTTCCCCAATATGACAACGTGCGAGCTCATCGGGTGACATTGGGACTGGGGATGAAGGCGATCGTTTCGCGGGTTGGATATATCGGCGCTCATTTCGACCACGAGTCTCCTGGGATGCCTCCCGTGCTTGTTGGATATGCGGGCCTTGACCACCAGTGTCATCGGTATTTCTTCTTGTTCGACCAGAGCGCTGGCTGCGGTAGCCCTTGGCGTGGTAGTTGGCTTCGTCAAGACTACTGATGTACTGATCGATGCTACGGCTGCTCACACTTGGACTCTTGGCGGAACTGTAGCTGTGTACCGTTGAGGTACTCTTTGCGCTGTGAAGTAAGCCGGTATGATTGCGCGGGCTGGCGACTTCCTCTGTGTGGACGAGTTCAATCTGGAGTCCGACTGGCTTTCTATCTCGAGAGCCGTTCTGAATGTCAGAGTGATCCTTAAAAGCTTCGAAAACACCGGCTGCGGGCGATGGGAGTCCCTTGATAGAGGCGAACTTGTCGGAAGCTTGGACAGCTGTCTGGGGGCTTGGCTTCATGGAACCATGGCTAGGTGCATACTTCGTTGCTGAAAGTAAGAGCCCATCGGTGGATTCGTCCTGACTCTGCTCCTGGGCGCTGTTTTCTTCGGCCTCCGAGGTGGAGCCATACGCGCTGTTGGTATTGTAGGAGCGAGACCTAGAGAACGTCGGAGGATGTACATCCACCGGGGTCTCACCAATTGAGGGCAAACGGCGCCGATTGAAGGCAGGGGTGTTTGTCCGGGACGCTGATGTCATCGCCTGATTCAGACTCTGGATGTTGTTAAGCTTCCAGGAGCCCAGTCCACCAGGAGACAGAGCGGAATCAGCCACGGCAGATTCAGCAATTGGTGTGACACCAGGTGCATTGGTTGGCGTTCGGTCGTCAGACTTGAGCCCAGGGAATCGGAACCGGTTGTTGGGCTGCGCGTCGAAGGACGTGATGAGTTTCAGAGCTGGAGTCTTTCCAGCTGAACGTTGGTTAGATGCCGACTTTGGTCGAGACGGGGGAGCCGTTGGATGCATAGATTGCATGGACTGCATAGGGTCAGGCGAGGCCAGTGGTGATTTTCCTCGAATGATCTCGGCAAAAGAAGCCGCCTGTTGAGCAGCTGGAGAAGTCCATGGCTCAGAGGGTTCTGCACCGGTACACATAAAACAGCGAATCGCAAGTTGCTGCTGGGAATGTGAGACCACATACTCTCCCCACCTCCTTACAAGATATGATTGCCGTTGCCAGTCTGATGGCATTAGGAGACATGTCATGAGAATTGCCTCCATAAAGTGACTGCGCGACACATAGACCTCGATGGCATCGTTACTATCTCCCAGGCCGAGTAAGATGGAAGCTGCAGTATGGATATCCCCAATCTCCAGCAGTTTTTGTACAAAGCTCTGACCAACTTTGTTTGCTTGGGCCTGTCCACTCATTTGACTCAAAGCCAATAGCATCCAGTCCGAGGTAGTCGTTGGTCCGGTGCTAATCATCTCAGCCATCTGATCTGTATCGGTCTCTCCAAGCCATTGTGCCAAAAGAATCGCGCTTTGACTTCCAGGTGCATGGCGACTCCACTCATCTCTGATCAAATCTGAAATATCTCCTTCCCAGCCAAAAACAACGCTAAGCATTTGCTGTCGCAGATCGTCAGGAGTCAAATGATTTTCATCAAATGGCGGTTGCGATTTATAAGGCACATCGTTCAACCGTGCTCGCATGAACGGGAAAAGATCTACAATATTCCTCTCTGCAGGGCTCATTTGCACCTCATTCCGCAATCTGGATCCAGCACGAGAACTCTTGACTGAAGACATCGAGACTGACGAGGCATACGGGAATCCCGCCGATGGTTGTGGTGTATCACGGCCAGCCGATGTCATTGAAAATGTGGTTGATGTCTGTCCTGAGCGGCTGGGCGGCGAGAAAGCATCGGCTCTGTTGTACTTGCCAGATGAGGCCTTGGAGCTAACAGATTCCGTTCGACTTCTTGATGATGCAGGACTAATTAGATCCGCCCTTTGTTGTCGTAGGTTATCGAGTCCATTGGAATCAAATGGTGTCCGCCGTGTAGTCGGTGGTTCTCGAATATCCGGGGGGTCCTGCAGACGCCTTGGAGACATTGTCTTTGACCTTTGACTCTCGGATGTGGCCGAGCGTGGAATAACTGGAATATGTTGCACATTGGCTACCATTGCCGGATTATCGACATCATACTGCTGAACTGTGTTATTGGGTCCAATGGTGAATAGTGTCGCGGTTGCACCGTGGTTGGCCAGTCCTCGCACTCCATCCATGGTTGGAATTGGTTCGTAGGTTACGTGCTTTGTGCGAACATCCCAAGCCCATGTTTCACTAGTTAAGATCAAGTCAATATTTATATCGAATTTCCTTACAAACTCTTCCACTCACCCTTCAAGATATTGCACAATCTTTCCATTTTTAGACCATCCCATCCATTTCGGATCCGCCGAGGTAGAATCCGATCTTTTCAACACACGAATCACTCTGGGCGCTTCTTTCGTCGGTGGCTTTGATACACTCCACACTCTTAAATCGCCATTTGAAGCTTGGGTTGCTAACATGTCAGATTTCTGCTTCGAGGAGGAGGCATGCCAGGCGAGCGAGATGATTGGTGAAGGTCCGCGTGAAGTGGTCAAGGTGTGAAGAATGGTAAATTGAGGGAGTAGGGTTGCGATGAGAATTGATCCGTTTTGATATCTGGCGATTTCAATTGTTAGATTATAAATCCACAACAGTATGTACTAGTAAATGTGAGATTTTGGAAGGCAGAAGAAACATACCCAATTGCATAGGTTCGACAATCCATAGCCGGAGCAAGAGATGTAATAGGGTCGAAAATTGTGCGCGCTGAAATGTGTTCCGATGTGGAGGGCTCAAACAGAATTACTTCACCTTTGCCATTGCCTGAAGGACGAATAATAAATCAGTAATCATATATCAATAAATCTATCATCTCAGTTGCACTGGGAATGGCCTCTTCCAAGGTTCTCATACCGAATGCGACATTGCCATTACGCATCCATGATGCAACTCGCAGGTGCTCAAAAGATGCAAATCTTGCAATTTCTGTGCCTGTGAAGATATCCCATACAATCGCTGTTTGGCCTATATCATAACTGACAACCAGTCGACCCGCACCGCGCTCGCTCACATTATCCACTGATATAAACTCGATATTTTCTTGGTGGCTACTGAATCGGCGCTCGACTGCAAGTGTGTCATGGTGTAGACACAGGATGGTGGTATCCTGTGTATATAGAAACAGTGATGCCGTGGCAGCACAAGGTTCGAACCGAGGCTCCGCCGGTTGTGCTTGTGGCGCCATAGCTTTGACGGTCTTCGAGGGTCGCGATTCTGATAAACTCCTACTCCATGTTAATTTATCCATCCTGTTTTGTTTCTGCATCTGTGTTTTCTTTTTCTATTCCTTTTTTTGGATTCCTTGAGATCAAGTGGGAATAAATGGATGTTAAACCCCAGCAAGAGCTTAGGCTTGTTGCTCCAAGTCCCAGGTGTTTTTAGGGAAATGTAGGAACCCCACAAACCCACGAGGTAAGATGCAAGGAATGAAAAGAAAAGAGGTTCTTTTTTAAAAAAAGAAAATAGGAAAAAAAAAAGAAATCGAAAAATGTAAGAGACTAACCTGATTCCGTTCTTGCCAGCTCAGAAGTTACTAATTGGTCACGACCCTAGATTACCATTCAAGGTAGAGGGGAAAGAGCGCGGATAGCGCCAGGCATTTGGAGACTTGGAGAGATGCCGTGGGGGGGTTAGTGCCTGGCAAGGCGAAAGGATTGCAGGAAGCTAGCTGTCGGTGGTGATCTGGGCCTTAAGAAGGCAACGTTGGAAGCGAGCTGTGGGTTATATGCAACCAGGCGAGGATTGGAATAGTTTGAATGCACGAACTGCACGACCGCACGACTGGGGTGGGAGATATGGACAAGAAAAGAGGACAGGGATTCGGAAGGAATTTGATGACCACGTTCATCACATCCCATGAGTCTTAGCGTGGCTGGAAGGGCTTAAGTTTGTGACAGGACGTGGGGTGGAGGTGGGTAGCGGCAGGGGTGTATATCTATACTATATACGCTTATAAAATCTGGCGCCACACTGGTTGTGGAGCCAAGGAATTTGGAGATGCGCTTACTCCGGTAGGACAGACAGAGCGAAAATGGAGAATATCAGGATAATAAAGGGGTATAAAGGAGAAAAAGGAGAGAAAGGAGAAAGAATTGCTCGCCTTTTCGACCAAAATGAATCAGAGGGGCGCCGGTAGCCGATCAGAATCTTGGGAGGCATTGAGCCATGGAGCAATCGGGGTTGGCGCCGGGGCACAACACAAGGCGCTTCATTTTACGACCAACCATACAGCTGGGCCTAATGGGAGGCACCGAGAATCCACCATTGCCCGAAAAGATGGGGACTGCCAGAAGCATCACATCATTAGCGGAGACGGTGAGATCGATGCTTTTTGGTGGCTGGGTTGCGTGGGCTCTAGGTCGGTGGGACTGCAACCAACGAGCATACAGAAACCAGACAGAAGAAGTTACAGGGTGGGTTTAGATCAATGCAGGAAGCTCCCGAATCACAGACGGGAACCATCAGCATCTGGTTTTCCAAGGCCGGACAGGGTTGTGGGTCCTGGCGATATCAGAGAAAGCGCGTGGAGTCGGGGGGGCAAAGTCGATCTTGTAACGAATCAGGGTGTGTGTTGTTTTTTTTTCCCCTCTTGGTATTTGATGTATTTTCTGCATGAAATTATAGATTGACGAGAGTGATGAAAGTGACAGCCGTTGAATTGGAGGATTGTAAAGGGTAAAAGATCCGGTGACTTCCCAGCTAAGTATTGTATTGTTTGTATTGTTTAGATCTATATTGTTCAACACCCAAAAACTAACCACTATTGGAAAAAACCGCTGCAATAACCCGTTGCGAAACGTGAGAATTACCCAAGTCGAGTTAATAAAATATTTCTGTTTTCTGAGACAAGGAAAATGCCAAAATTGCCAAAATTGCCAAAATTTCCAAATTCCAATGTGATAGAGGAGATCCGTGCAGGTTAGTTGACAAGCTGCAGCTTTCGTCACGTTTCATCCACCAATCACATCCCATCACCGCTGATCGCTCGGCGCCTACGCCAACTCTATTCAACCAATAACTCTTCATATCTGCCAGGTAGGTGAGAAATAGTGATGGGAGATAGTTTCCAGAGGGTCTTTGAGGCAACCTATCAAATTTCTCAAACATCACTACGGAGATCTCCTCTCTTGCAGCCGTTTCTACCCTGAAGTTTCATACTAATCATACTAGTAGTTTCGAGGAGGAGATTAAAAGGACATCGTTTCGATGGGAGTGACTGTTGATTTTGATTGCCTTTTTTCTCTCTTCTTTCTTCATGCAAATCAAAGTAGGTCCCTGACCTTGTGTGATGTGACTGTGTGCTTCGAGCCGGGCTTATGCTTGCTGCACATCAGGCACATAATATCGTGCGTTCCTAATGGAGCTTGGGCCTTCTACTCAAGTAGTGTCGGGGAGAGGGACAAGGCACATCCGGAGAGTTTTACAATCGAACTTGAAGTGAGGTTGGGAGACTGCGTTGCACGATCCGGTGATCAATCCCAATTTTTCTTTTGGGTCTCTTACCTCGAAGTGGTAAGGCTTGCGGGAACTGGATCCTAAGAAGCGGACATGCGGTCCGCAGATATGCTGATCAACTAGACGCTCAACGCTTTTAACATATGATCATATAGATTATCACGAGATGCACCTTATATTCAAGCCTCATAAAGTCCACGTTCATTCTTCTACTATACTTTTCTCTCTTTTTTTTTCTCTTTAGTTTTATTTTGCACCTGGTGATATCTTTGCTGACAGCCTTGTTTACCCGTGACCTCGTATCTGAGCGTGCGGGGCTTATCGCACCCGGATATTCAATGTTGACTCACTTACTTCAAGAACTCCAACCCAACATATCATATGTGCACGTTCGCTAATAAAATCTTCCTGACCATTTAATTGTCCAACTATAATCTCTTCTCGCGCTTGTTACCGTGCTATAGTACAACCATGTCTGACCCCGAGACCATCGTTATCATAGGGTAAACCCAATATAACCGACCGATATCAAAATGACCCATTACCAACAAACTAACAACATTCTAGAGCCGGCGTGATAGGTCTAACAACCGCGTTGTGTATCCAACAATATCTAACCCCCACGCAATCAGTGCTCTTAGTAGCCAGAGATTTCCCATCCGACACTTCCGTCAACTATGCTTCCCCATGGGCTGGAGCGCATTATCGTCCGGTGCCGGGATCCTCACCACAGGCGCTCCGTGAAGCTGGTCAGGCGCAGCGGACGTACGAGTTCATGAAGCGAGTCGCCGTGGATGAACCGGGCGCAGGCGTCAACTTTACTCAAGGCATTGAGCACCTCGAGGCCCCACCGGCTGAGTATCTGGATGCGCAGAGCGTGCGCAATGTCTATGGGCATCTGGATGAATTCCGTCATCTTGAGAGTAGCGAGGTGCCCGACGGCGTGAAATGGGGTGTGCAATATGGCACTTATGTGGTCAATTCTCCAGTTTATTGTGCGCATATGCTACGCAAATTCGTTTTGAAGGGTGGGAACACTAGACAATACACCCTTGCGAATCTGAAGGAGAGCTTCTCTCTGGCTTTGAATGTAAAGACCGTGGTTAATTGCTCTGGGCTTGGTTTTGAGGATCCGAAATCATTTATTATCAGAGGTATATACGCTTTGTTCACAATTCCTAAATGGTCTCGCTTTGATGATCAAGACTTGAATGCTGATATCAAGCTTTCTTCGGGATGTCCAGGTCAAACATGTCTCGTTCGCAACCCTGTTTCAGAGACTATTACCCGTCAAAATGAAGATGGAACCTGGTCATTCTGCATTCCACGTCCACTAGACGGCGGGACAATTATTGGTGGAACGAAAGAGGTGCACAATTGGGATCCAAACCCCTCGATGGAGACTCGAGCAAGACTCCTCGCCAACGCAGCGAAGTGGTTCCCTTTCACACCCGAAAGCAGTGGCCAGTTCGACGTGATTCGTGATATAGTCGGGAGAAGGCCTGCTAGAGAAGGTGGGATGCGAATCGAAGTCGAGGAGATCGGGGATGGTAACCGGTTCGTTCATGCATATGGTGCCGGTGGACGTGGCTTCGAGCTTTCACGAGGCGTCGCGGAGGACACTGCGGCGTTGATGTTGGAAATTGGAATCTTGCGGGAGAAGGCCGCTCTTTGAGTGTGTCCCGAGGTCTTGGGTCTACCCGTCTACTAGTTGCATACTTGTAATGATCACTTCAAATGTTGCCCTCAAGTGCTTGAAGTTATGTAGGCCTACTGCCTGATTCAATGCTTGCCATCCTATGTATGATAATATGAATGATTGTCAATTACGCTCTGGCGGTCATAACTGGGCATCATAGGCGTGTCCAACGGTGTGTGCACTGTATGAGGCCCGAGTGTATGTTTGTCATCGGAGATCGGGACCAGCCCTTGAATCTTAAGGGACCTTGTAGGCTAGTGAGGGTTTAAGTGTCGAGGACCTCAATAAATCTAGATATATCAAAGGAAATGGTTGTGATCAACTTGGAAAATCATGCAATACTGGGAATAAACGGACTTTTTGCTACCAAAGCAAGCTGTCATAACAAGATATCAATCGTTGAATCTTCCGTCACATAAGGCACAGGATCTTTTTAAATCCCTCTGCCCTCATTACCATCCACCCCGCCATTTCCCTCTGCAAAACAACCGATAGTTTAGAGAGGATGGAATGAAAAAAAAGGGTGACTGGGTGAGCCTTGAGTGACACGACGAGGTCATGCAGCGCAAAGATTCAGTGCATCATGAGACAACACCGAACAGAAGGCGATTGCAGCGATCACTCGTCATGGAGATCCGGTCCCTGTGGGCCGACAGGACCGGCCTGGGTATGGTCGGTCTGCGAGATCCGGTAGGAAACGGTCCCTTCTCTAGGGCCCACGAAACTAGTCTCGCGAGGAAATAAGGGGGCTCAGCCCGCAGTAGGAACTTCAATTCCGGGAATCCCAGAAAGCTTGCCCATCCGCTCCTCTTCCTTTTGCTCACGTAGCTTCTCAGTCTCTTCACGCAGCGCATCCAGATTGAAACCGTCGTCGTCATCATCCGACTCTTCATCACTGCTCTCCTCGTTCTTCCAGTCACCAGCCTCGAACAACGAACGACCAGTAGCCTCCTTGGCCTTCTGTGCTTGCTCCTCGGCGGCCTTCTTGCTCAAACGCTCCGTCTTCCACTTGGCGAAGGTTTCCGGGTTGACTGGTGTCAGTTTACCGGTCAACAGATGCCTCTCGGACTCCAACCAGTCTTCCAAAGTGAGGGTGTTAAGCGGCGACTTGTCCATGAGTGCCTTCTCGGCCGCCTTCTGCTCCTTGGTCTTGAGAATGAATCTGTTGCAAGGAAAGTCAATAATGTGAACATGAAAGGCAAAATTTTGGTGAGAAAAAAAAGAGTGTGTTCCACATACCCTGGAGGCAAGCTGTGCTTGTACATGCACTTATCACCACCATTCGGACAGACCCAGAACCAACCATACTTCTGGTTCTCCACAGCCTCGATAAAGAACTTGCAAACCTTATCGGTGGTTGTCCGTGGGTTTCCATGCTTGCTCATCACGACACTGCGCAACTTCTCTTCGTCCCAGTTGTCCATAGTATCGGCCTTTTTAGTGTCCTCTTCGCCTTGGCCTTCACCTTCGCCCTCGCGGGAGTCGGTGTACAGATCCTTCTTGGCGGCCTTGCGCTCAATGTTCATGTCGTGACTGAACTTGCACTTCTTACCCTTCTCGCATCCACCCTTCTTGTGGAACATGCAGAGAACAGTCTTCGGGTCAACACCGAAGGGAACCTTCTGTACCTGAACGGGCTTGAACAGCTCTGCGGCTTCCTTCTTGGCGAGTTCTTCAGCTCTCTTCTCGGCCTCGCGCGCGGCCTTCTCGGCAGCCTTTTTCTTCTCATCGGGATTTTTGTTGGATGCAGCTTGCGCGTTCAACTGAGTGATTTGTCTCTTGGCCGCTCCTCCTTTTTCTGTTTAGAATTGTGTTAGTCGAATGTGTTGCGGAGTCGTATTCTTGGTGGAAATGAGTGTGTTCGGAGCATGTAAAGAGCGTGTGGATTTTTTCGGTGACGTACATTTTTCATACCAAATGTCTATTATGGATTTGAGTGTTAGCGATCGGTTGAAGACATTGCGAATTATCCATGGAGATCGGATAGCATGAAACAAACCTTGTCATCGACGGTCTTCGTCTTCTTCTTAGGCTGGTCGGCCTTTTTGGGTGCCATAATGACGGATTGGGCTCGTGTGAGGCCGTGTAAATGGGAAAGAAAAAAAAATTGAGGAATGCGCCCGGTCGCGCGAGTCGCTGTTCAAGATATAAAGAACGCTGATGCAACCCAAAATAAAGACAGGGAGAAGCCCAGATATGAAGTCAAGGCAGGGTATGCTGTGAAGAGCTGAGATTGAAGAGAGAAAGAGGAAGCCCTCCACAAATTCGAGGGGTGAGAAGTGTGGCGGCACAATCTGTGACTGACCAATGACCGCCCGTGCCCTTCAAGTATATTCAAGGGTTGATTTCAACACAACCACATGTGAGTCTCATTACAGTGTGAATAAAGTGATAAAAAGGGCAGTCAAAGGAATAATGCTTTTGGTTATCTTCTACTTTGACTTCATACCCTCCTCTATTATTTCATACGTGGTGAATTGGCCAAAATTCCAACCAGAGGAACCATTTGCGTCATAGCCCCATTTCTCTCCTCCCACACATCATATTGCACACCGTAGTGGGATTGCCCAGGAGAAGGAAACTGAAATTTTTCTTTGTTTTTTTTTTTTTTTTTTTTCTGTCTATATCTGAATGAAGGCGCTACATTGGTATATGGCGTTTAAATACAATTGATTGTCATTCGAGCGTCTTGACTAATTCAAATGTTGTAGGGAAATATTCTTCATGCACATGTGGGCAGGCATATATTCCTCAGGTGGAATACTGCATTTTATATGTAATTCCACTACGAGCAAAATTTCAACATATCAATTGATGAAAGGTCTTTCCAGGAACCTTTGAAGATCAGAAACTACCCAGATTGAGGGTCAATCCATTTGATAGTTCAGCTGGGTTAAGTTACTTTTTCTACAAAAAAGGGAAATCCCAAGAAAGCCAAAGAAAACAGTATCTGGCATACCATCCCGCAGGCGCCTGAATGCACCCATGTTTTTTTTCATTTCTGGTCGTCATAGATATTCTGAGAGCAGCTATCCTCATGATGATATATTTAAGAAATCTCCTGGATCTTGGAGGACTGCTCGTCCTCAAGCTCAGGAAGATCATCCTGGAACGTCATTATTAGCATATTGTATATGAGATTCAGCTTGAAGCCCAAAGATAGTACTCACATCATCCTCCTCCTCCTCAGCACCCTGGGCTCCGAAGCCACCGGCACCGCCAGCCAGGGCACTCAGGTCGGGCATACCACCGGCACCGCCCATCATGCTGCTCAGGTCGGGCATGCCACCCTCGCCGCCCATCATGCCGCCGAGCTTAGAGAAGTCAATGTTGCCAAGGCCACCACCGGTGCCCTCGCCCTCACCGCCGCCACCCATACCACCGAAGTTGTTGGCATAGTCGTCTTCGGGGGCCTCGTCCTGCTCATCCTCATCGACCCACTAAAATTGGGTCAGTCCGTGATCTCAAGCCCAAAATTCAACGGGCGATGCATACCTTGTCGAAGTCGGTCTTGAGGAAGTGAGCCTTCTTGGCCTCCTTCAGAAGACGGGGCCAGAACTCCTCCTTCAGCTCCTTCTTGCGCAGGACCAACTCAACCTCACGGTCGGTGTGGTTCACTTTGCTGTTCTCAGTGTCGATCTCGCCGTAAAGGTCCAGAGAGGTCTTGTATGTAACACCCTTGCGAGAGGCACCGGTGAAAGAGACGTTGGTAGCAGTGAGCTCCAACTTAGCCTCCTCCTTGGGGACCTCAGCGGCCTTGATGCTCACGTAGAGGTAGTTGCGATCGGCCTGGTCAGCCGAGGAGCGCTGCGCCCAGGTAACTAAAAAACGAAACAATTCCCTGGTCAGTGTTTTCTCACTTTTTTTTCTCCGATGAACTTGTGAAATGAACATTGCATGGAACTCCACTCCGCCAAATATTCAAGGACTGAAATACCGTCATAGCGATTTTCATTGCAAAAAGGGCAGGTCCGAATGTTTGGAGCAGAGCGGGGAAGTTGGAAGCTGCCACAACTTACCTTCAGGCTGTGCGGTAGACATGATTGATAGGAGAAGTAAGTAAGATCCAAAGAGAATCAAAACTTAGGAGAGGAAAGTAAGTATTTGAAAGAGATGGGAAAGGTGAGCGTGGTGGGAAGAAGGAGAAGCTCACAATGAAAGCATGAACTGCACCGCATTCACTTCATGCTAGAATGTACTGGAAGCACGGTCGGGAGTTGTTTGCTTGGTTTGTTGCCTTGTTAGGCCTTGCTTTTCAGGCGAAAGAGCGGAAATCGCAATATATCTGACTAAGCACTTCCTGCCCCCCTCCGCCAAGTTGCCGCAGGCATCGCAATCCAGATAAGACAAACACGAGTATTCAGCATTTCTGTCTGCTGAGGGATTCCGCCTTGTCCTTACTAGTAGTTTTCTTGGTGTCTGTTCAATCCCAGTATTGTTACTACCCCCGCCATTACTGCAAAGCGTGCGCCTAGTCCACCAACCATCCCACGTTGCTCAACACCTTGAATCTACCTACTACTTGGGACTCAGATCATCCAGAAAGACGACACTTGAGTTATTTTACAAGATTTCCCTACCGACAATAGCAACAAAATTATGGAGACGTTAAAGGCAGTCTTCTTTGGGCCTGACCCCCAAGTTCAGGTAGGCAAGATACCCATCAACCGTCAGGTAACACCGCATTCAGTTCAATCCTCTGACTGTTAGATTATCAGATGAGAAAATGCAATGCCCTCATCCGCGCAAATACCCGGCAACTCGACCGAGACCTCAACCAGCTCAAAATCCTTGATAATAAGACACGACAATATATCATTAATGCCTCCAAGCGAGCGCAGAGAAACCCATCGCAAGCAAAACAAGCAATGAGCGAAACCAAGACATTTGCCCGAGAGCTGGTGCGAATCCGCAAGCAAAGTTCGCGTTTAAACACGAGCCGCGCTCAATTACAAAGCGTGGGGATGCAAGTCAACGAGGCGTTTTCCGTTCGCAAGATTCAAGGCAGTCTACAAAAGTCGACCGCGATCATGAAAGATGTGAATACATTGGTGCGAATGCCGGAGCTTCAACATACCATGCATCAGCTTTCTACGGAGTTGATAAAGGCCGGGATTATCGAGGAAATGGTGGACGATGCCATGCCTATTGATGATATGCTGGAATCGGAGGACCTCGAGGCCGACGAAGAGGTAGACAGGATTTTACAGGAGATTTTGCAGAGCAAACTTTCCCAAGCACCGGCCAAGCCCGAGTCGCCAGTCGAGGAGGCCCCGGTTGCCGAGCCAGAATTCGAGGACCAGGAAGCGACCCTCGAACAAATGCGAGACCGCCTGGAAGCCCTAAAGAGTTGATCCATTGTTTGGGACTACATCTTCCGTTTCCCCCTTTACTTCCATCATACCTTCGAAGCGCCTCGACCGCGCTTGGATCGTCTTTGGTCGTCTTTGTTAATTTTGAAAGGAGTCCAGAATACGATTCCTTCATCTGCAGGCGCATGCAGGCTGGACCTACATAGAATGAATGATTTTTACTACCGCTTTGTGATTATGTGATCGGATTTAGTCCGAAGTAAGCCCTATAGTGGCCTTGATACAGGGTTGAAACGTGGGTGTACATAAACCCGAGGCCAGAGGAGGACAGTAATATCATATACAATACTAAATTCTCCCCTATTTAGTGCACCTAGTAGTACCTAGTAGTAGGTTCGATATTTGATGTGAAGTCTACTAACTAGTAGGTACTGATAATAAGGCATACCACATTCACATAAGAAACAGCGTTTAGTCGAAGGGGGACGGAAATCCTAAGCGAGAAGGATCTTCATGACAGCGAGGAGGATTATATGCTTTTATGAACAAGAATGGTATAGCTGATAGGTGGGAAAGGGGTCGTTTTAATGTACTAGTAGTATCTATCATCTATTACGCTTCACCCCGTACGCGGAAAGAGATGTACTGGTAACTGCGGTGCCCGACTATCCAAAACTAGACTAGCGTGCCGCCCCCCATTTGACTCTCCCTTTCACCTCCCCAACCCTCCGGTCCTCCTTGTCTCCCGTTCACTCTCTGCCTAAAACGAAATCGATTATTCCTTCCTCCGGTCAAAAATCTATCTCCCAAAACCTCCCATTTGCAACTTCTCTTTTGATCGACTCTCTCAAGGTCGCTCTCAACTTTCTCGCGCATTTGCCATCGACGCGTTCTTCTCGCGACCGCAAGGCTCCTGAAATCACCAGCTTTTCCTCCTCACTCCCGACTCTCATCCACCATGTCTGCCAATCTTGACAAGTCTCTCGATGACCTCGTCGGTAACCGTCGCCAGACTGCTCGCCGTCGCACCAACCGTCGTGCTGCTCCTGCCAAGCCCTCCGTTGGAGGTGTGAAGAAGTCTGCCAGAGGCCCCAAGCCGGGCGCAAAGGCTGTCCACCCTACTCCTGCTGCGCCAACTGCTTCTAGCAAGATCATCGTGAGCGGATTGGTACGTTGAACTACTCATCCACTCTCTTGAATCCGTAAACTAACCTGTTCAGCCTGCCGATGTGACTGAGGCCAATATCAAGGTATGTTGATCTGAAGGCCCTCGCCTTGGCTGTGATCGCCATCTTTGCTTTCGAACCCTTCGAGGTGCAATCAACGCCGACTCGTGTTCTAAACTGCCACCCCTCCCATACCTGTTTTGGTGGCTGTGGCCCCGTGTTGGCACAGACAGGGCTTCCTGAAACGCTTCTGCGCCATCTTTGGGCTGGCACCATACGAAGTGGGAAGTTGAGATGATGACCAGTACGGTTTTCAGAAGCCCTGTCTGCCTTGTCAAGGAATCGTAAGGCGATCTGCCCGCCTTACAATTTCTGAGTACTCTGCCAAGGATAGGAGATCCAAAGATTTCATCTTGGCCCGATTTCGAAATCCCGCCCCACTCCTATTCCTACTTTACGTTGCCAGCTTCAGAGGGACATCAGCGAGCACACCGGTGAACTAGCAGAGACTATCTTTGGGCGACTAGGGTTTCCACATCTGCTGCACGGTGAATCTTCTTGAGCTGATCGAGAACTCTCATCACCCCCTGGGGTGAATCCCATTACCGTGATATGAAGAAGCCGTGGTTGCCTCCGATCACCTGTCAAGTTTGTCACCTGTATGACGACGACGAGAACAAATGGCAAACTCCTGGCTAGTGATACGCAGTGGGCGTGGGCATGCGTATACAATGTCACTTCCGGAGATTATGTTTGGCGTTCAAGCTAGTCGCACTCGATTGATGGATTTTTGAACTTGGGAACATTGTTGAACGAAGTGCATAAAAGGATGGGATGGGATTTAATTCTGGACAACTGTGGTCTATGGTGTCATGTAGAAGTCAGCTCTCTTGCAAGTTGTATCCATTGAAAAATGCGCCTTAGGATTGTGGGATTGGGTCTGGTTATTGCCACCACCGTGTGCTCGCTGATGCTCTCGCTTTGGGATTGTCTACGTTCACGTTGTCGCCGTTGTTTGCCTTCGACACTCGATCACTGTTGACGCAGCTCAAACCACCGGACGAAAATACTGATCGTCTATCTACGATATAGGAATACTTCACCAAGTCCGCAGGTCCTGTCAAGAAGGTGATGCTCACCTACAACCAAAACGGTACTAGCCGAGGCATTGCTTCGATTATCTTCGCCAAAGCCGACACCGCTGCCAAGGCCGCCAAGGAGCTCAATGGACTGCTGGTCGATGGTCGTGCCATCAAGGTTCGCAAGCTTTTTTCTCTCTCGATGTATCATATTCGGTTTATTGACAATCCTGAACAGATCGAACTTGTCTACGACGCCTCTTACGTTCCTGCCGTTCCCGTTTCTAAGCCTTTGAACGAGCGCATTGCTCCGTAAGTACTTTCTCGTCAAATCTTAATGTCCAGGTGCTCACCCTTGACTAGTCAGAAGCCAAAGTCCAAGCCGAAGCCCGCCACCGCTAACAAGGCGGCTAACACCAACACTGCTGGCAATGCCCGCGGTAACACCAGCCGCCGTGGCCGCAACACCGGCCGCAACGCCGGCCGTGGAAAGCCTAAGAGCGTCGAGGAGTTGGATGCTGAAATGGTTGACTACTTTGCTGGTGGTGAGAATGCCCCTGCTGACAACAGTGCGCCCGTCAACGGTGCTGCTCCACAAGCCAACGGTGGTGAAGACCTCGGTATGGCCGAGATTTCGGTGAGTAATTATCGCATTCTTCGGTGTTTCTCTCTCTGCTATCCACTAACACATCATTAGTAAACTTCTTGACCACGAATGGATGGGTACCACTCTCGCTGTCCTTGCCAGGAACGATATGCAATCCTTGTGTTTCCCCAGGGGGGATTTTGATAGTTGATGCGCGGGCCATATCTTCTGCCTGTTTTCCCCCCACTTCTCCCTTTTTTTCAATCCCTCCTTCTTTATTTTTTACTTGATCCTTCGCGCGTGCTTCATCTTATATTTGTTTTTTTCTTACTTTTTTTGTGTTCTGGGACTTAGTAATTCTTTCACACGCGGCAGACGAATGGACAGGAGGATGTCATGTATGTATTCATCAACAAACAAACAATACTCAAAGCGACCATGGCTTAGTCCTAGCAGATAAGCTTTTAAATTCCTATAAATTGGCCCTCGATGATCTTCAAATGTTGAAAAATCAAGCCAAAAGCCTCTTTGCTTTTGGTAATCCCGATGCATTGTCCACGCTATGCAGTTGTTAACGCCCCCTAGCCCATGGCACAATAAACGCCAAATATTGAAAAGCAGTACACCAATCCTAATTGACAAACAAATTTACAAGCGGACGGTCCCCATGCTGTAGAAAGTACGATGTACATTCTAGAAAACTCCCGCGCGCGTCATGACATCATGAAACTGCTCCAATGTAACGCCCGCACTCAAGCCCGCACCCCCATTAGCTTCAGCAATCATATCCCGAAGCAAATCATCATCCACCGAATCCTCTTTCAGCTCGCGCGCAATGCGCCGCAAGTGGTTCATTGTTATCGGCCCGTCTGTTCCGCGTGTGAAAAGCTGATATGCATGATCTACTTCTTCGACCATGGCATCGTCATCACGCGAGCGCAGTTTCGCGGCAGCAACGGAAACGAAAGGGCCGTATGGGATGTAGCCTGTACTAGTTGGGTCGAGGGCGGAGAGGATCTCGGAGAGTTCAGTAGAGTCTTCTGGAGGAAGGCCTAGGGCGCTAGATTGGGGTATAGTTGTGAGCAGACTAGTATGCGGAGATCGTGTAGATCAAACAGGCGAGGAAAGTAGAGAAAAGTAATGTTGAAGAAGGGCCTAGGGGTCGCATGTATAGTAGGTTTTGGAGGGTGTAGTACATACACGAGTGCTTTTCGCACGTCTTCTCGTGGAACGACGCCCTCTTTCTCTGCGGGGAAATCCTTGTGCTTATCGGCGAAAATATGGAAGACCTCTTTGATTTCATTCTCTTCTTCTGCGCTGATATTGTTCTCTTTGGCGAGCTTGGAGGGGCGCGCACGCTTGGGACCTGCCGAGGAGGAGCTGGCGGCAGCTCCACGCCTCTGAGGAGGCTATGGTGGGAAGCGAGTTAGTCTGGGTCTTCACTTAGTTTGGAAAAAGAAAGTCAAGCGAAGCATACCATCTCAGTACTCCAGAAATGGAACTCTCAGTTGAAAATGTCGGGTAAAATTGGCTGTAGCTGTGATAGCAGAGAAGTGGAATGCGACGGGGTAAAGTGGAGTCACTTCCACTCCCGGCGGTGGCAGAAAAAAGACACCTTATATTGAGTTATTTGGTTAACATAGTGTCCTTCGGGACATTTGGTCAAATGAAAATATACAGAGAAGATTAGCATGGCCCCTGCACTAAGGATGACACGCTCAATCAAAGAGAAGCTACCAGTTTTTTTTTTTTCCCTTGCTGGAGCTTCGTTGAGGTGTGAGGCTATTCAGAAGATTTACATGTCCGGGTTCGATTCCGGGCCTGAACGTTCTTTTATGTCTATTTCTTTTTAGGAGTTTACCCACCAGTTGACAGCCCCACTTACGACTGCCAGCCAAAAACAATAGTGACCTACATACATATCCAGGCTACAGCATACGCGTCAACAGTGGGTGACCCGTGCAGCGAAAGCATAAGTTTGCCGGGCGTACGCAAACAAGAGAGGCCTGGCCAAGCGAGTACATCTTGATCATTTGATATTAAGAAACTTTTTTTTTTATTGTTTAGAAAACAGTCGAAAGCATCCGAACCCAAGGTGCTGACGTGATCCGATTGGTGCCTGCATGCTGGACCAACCTTGGAAAGGTTATCAATCCAGTCCCGCCCTTATCAAAAATTCCAAACATTTGAATACATACAGTATTGACAAATTGTAGCCATGGATGTTGAGCTCTACGTCTATGACCTTTCCAAGGTAAGCATACACACTGCGTATGCTCAAACAATCCAGTTAATTAACCACTCTTATAGGGTCTTGCGCGTATGGTATGTCCCAATAAACACATGACGCAACAGATATTCAAGAACATCGTCTCACATATCATCATTAGTACTCTGCCGCCTTGACGGGAACCCAGATGGATGCCATCTACCATACATCCATTGTGGTTGGGGGTGTGGAATATTACTTTGGTCAAGGAATCCAGACCGCTATTCCTGGAAGCACTCACCACGGGCAGCCGATGGAGAGGATACATCTGGGCTCGACAGAGCTCCCGACTGATGTGATCGAAGAGTACCTTGGCTCTCTGGCAGAAATTTACACTCCGGAGGTCGGTCGCACCGCAACGAAATCTATGCGATGAGTGATTAAATCTAACATATTTTAGTCTTATGATCTATTTCTCCATAACTGCAACAACTTTACACAGGATTTTTCAATGTTCCTCGTGGGCAAAAGCATCCCAGAGAAGATCCGGAATCTGCCTAGCACATTCCTAGATACCCCATTTGGTCAAATGATGAAGCCTCAGATCGAGTCCGCACTGAAGGGGGTTACCCAGGGCGGCGGTGCGGGTCCAATCCCGGGGCCAAGTGCTGCACCACCGGCGCGCCAGCCTGCACCTGTATATCAAACACCACTGGGGAGAGTTCGCAATGTTAGCAACTTAGCCCAGCTTGAGAGCCAGTTGGCTGCAGCATCAAACACATGCGCGGTTATCTTTTTCACGTCGTCCACTTGTCCACCTTGCAAAGTGGTCTACCCGACATACGATGAACTAGCCGAGGAGGCTGGTGAAAAAGCTAGGCTCATCAAGGTCGATATCGGCTCAGCTTATGATGTCAGCATGAAGTACAGCGTGCGCGCAACTCCTACTTTTATGACTTTCCTCAAGGGCCAAAAACTCGACCAGTGGGCTGGTGCCAACCCAGCACAGCTTCAAGGAAACGTGCGGATGCTTCTCGAGATGGCCAATCCATCTCACCCCCACAGAAAGCTCCGAATGCCCAGTTTCCAACGGCACATTACCAACTTTGTCATGTACAAAAAAGTCCCGCCACTAGACAAACTTGTGCAAAAATTACCAACGGAGTTTAAAGATGCAGCTGGTATTGCACCAGTCATAGACTTCGTCAAGACCCGTCATTCTGTCGACAATAAGGCTCCCGCGGCGGATACCCGAGTCCCAGATCTCCACGCTTTCGCCGCCGCGTTGCAGTCCAAATATCCCACCCTCCCAGTGGACTGCCACTTTGCTGTCGTGGACCTCGTTCGTCTCTTGTTCCTTGACCCACGCGTGAGTGGCTATTTTGCCGAAGAGTCACAACACGCCACCCTCCTTACTCTCCTCTCCCCACTATCGAACGAAGAACTATCCTCATCTCCGTATAATTTGCGCATCGTTGCGTTGCAACTGGCCTGTAATCTTTTCAGCACAGCTCTATACCCTCACCAGCTAGCCTCAACCTCCTCACCCTTGCGAGAAACCTGTCTTGCACTCGCAACAAATTCCCTTCTCGATTCACACGCGAACCTCCGTGTTGTAGCAGCTTCTTTTGCATACAACCTCGCTGCATTTAACCACAATGCGCGGTTTGATGGTGAAACAGATCCCTTGCCCGAAGAGGACCAGGTTGAGCTACTTGCCTCTTTGCTGGAGGCTACATCACGCGAGGACCAGAGCCCCGAGGCTTTACATGGATTGCTGTTTGCACTTGGGCTTTTTGTTTACGAGGCCGACCTAGATGGATCGGTGGTAGATCTTTGTCGTGCAATGGGAGTCTCGGAAACCATTGCGGCCAAGTCTAAGATAGAGGCCTTGCAAAAGGAACCGTTATTGAAAGAGGTCGGAGAAGAGCTTTTTGGGAAGGGGCTGTAAACCATCTGGTAGTAATTTACATTGCGCATTTCTAATATCTCTGTTTTCAACCTTAGTTATTCAGTCGTTTACAATACCAAATATATTGAGAATTCAAATTAATATCTATTTTCAAAGTTCGAAGTCTGCTTACTAGGTGTTTGAAGGAAAACGATACCCAACCTTGTATGTTTGAGAGGCACCTGAGCATTAAAAGGGTGGATGAGCACAGAACTTGCACCCCCATTTCCACATTACAGCACCATTATTATTTATTTCTTTCCAAAACTCTGCGATCTAATTCTGAATAGCTTTCGGAGTATCCTATTTGAATATCAGCCTTTTCGAATCGCTATTGGAGTGGTGGTCGAATTATTTAGGTAAAAGTGGAATTTTACCAAAACCGCCGCGCATTGCCCTGTTATCTTTTCCCAGCAAAAATACCCATCTTTCTATTCCCCAACCATTATTGGATTATTTTCGCTTTTTAAAATTAATTTGAGCTCTACTTAGTCTAATTGCAAGTCTACTAGAGCCAGAGCTAACAAAAATCATGGACCGTGGTGTAGGAGTTGATTTTATAACATTGAATAGGATACAGGTATAAGACGATGATACCTATCGATTGCCTATCGATTTCTCTTTGTATGAAGTCACCCTGCTCCATTATTATTTATCATTTGTTTTCAAAACTTGACATTCCAAATATCAATAACATAATAGTTGTCCTTCCAGAATACCAGCTATTCTAAATCGCTTCTGGGGTGGTGGTAGAGTGATTTGGGTGTCCAGTGTTACCTAGTGCCAAAGTGTGAAGGTCTAATTGCAAAAGTCAAGCTGTGCATGAACTCTAGAAAACCTTGGAAGTAGATCTTGTATCATTCAAATTTTCAAAATACGTACTACTATTCCGGTCAAAGCCAAAACAAAGAAAAATATAAGATTGAATATAATCGTCTGCTAGGAAATCATCTTCCCCCAAGTTTTGCCCTTAGAACATATGCATCTCACGACCAGCATGGAACATGGCAGGTAGCAATTTCCTGTTGTGATCGAGATCCTTGACAGGTGTTCGCAAGGCGATGGGCACACGTTTCAAAGCACACTTCTCAATGCGAGATTCCAGATGCAGGGCCCAAAGTTCAGCGCCCAGGCCTCCAATGCCATAACCCGTCATCTTACCCAAATTGATGGTCTTCTCCAAAGTATCCAAAGAGAGATTCTGCATTATATCCATCGCCATATCCCAGTCGAGGTGGTCCTTCTCACCCTTGGCCTGCGACTCCTGCATCTGCTGCGTATGCTGCATGTTCTGCATCTCATGCATATTCTTGCCAGCATTCTTCCACATCTTCTGTCGATTGAGATACATATCCAGCGTATCGCAAGTTCGCGCCTTCTTCTCCGTGGTAAACTGGTGCCAGTACTCCGTCAAACCTTGCTCGGGAGCAGCGTCCTCGAAGCTAAAGGCATCAGTGGGAATACGGCGTCCATAGAAATCGTTTCCGGCTCCCAGTTCCAGGAGACATAGGAACCACTTGGCTCCTGGGGCCCCAGAGAATCGAGCCAGCACCCACTCTCCGGCAACGCCGTCGAGGTTGGGCTTCTGCACGAAGGAAATCATGCGGCCAACTCGGATTTTTTCGCGGGTCTTCTCCAGGCGCAGTTGGCTGCGGAGTGTCTGCTTTTGTCCATCCTTTTGGACGGGTGTCGGGTTGTCGCCGTCGGCGGGAGACACATCTGGATCGATGGTCTTGTTGATGACCTCTGATAAATCGAGCTGTGTTTGGAGTGCGTCGCGCTCACAGGAGAAAGAGACCAGGGCCATCGACAGACCGGTGCTGACGGTGCACCATCCGTCAATCTTCTGGCCGCTGACAGCGGTCCGGACTCGAGAACGCAGCTTTTGGGGCTCCAGCATGGTGACCACCACACGTTGGATATCGAAGATACCACGAATACCACCACTGCTCACGGTGATTGGGTTGGGGCAGACCATTCTCTTCTCGCGTTTGTCTGAGTCCTGGTCGACGCCGTTGTTTTGACTCATCATGCTGGATGTGTCGGGCTTCGCGGCCAAGGGCAAGATCATGCTTGATTCTGTAATCGGAGCATCTCTGTCATTAAGGACAGCGATGGTCTCTTCAATACAATCATTCAAGACCTGGAACTTATCGACAGGGGCCTCTGGGACTGGCACCGGGGTTGGAGGGCCCTCCTCCAGTTTCTTTTCTTCGACTGGGGTGGGAGCGGCCTTTTTTCTTCCGAAGGACATCTTGGGCACTTCAAACTTAGGCACTTCGAATTTAGGGACCTCGAACTTGGGCACCTCGAACTTAGCCGAGCGAACCGATTCAGCTAACGAGTTAACTCGGTCCAGGCCAGTAGGGCTTGTAGCTCCCGGAGTGTCATCTTCAGGTGTAAATTCTCGGAGCTTCTCAACAACCTTGGCTAGATTTCCGAGACGGGCCTCCAGGTTGTCAAAGCTGGTTTCTTTAATCTTGGCAGCGAGAACACCCAGGCTTTTGAACACCGAGCATTCGTTCGGCAGTTTCTTTGTGAGACCCAGCATCTCGGCCAGCAACATGTTGACATTGGAAGCTGTTTCACTTTGGCGCACACGCTGTGCTCGGAAGGACTTGAGAATTCGCTGGTTGGCGTAGGCTCGTGACTTGATATTCGCGTTGGTGCCCGGGTCCACAAATGCTTCGATGCTGGCAGGGTACAGCGATCGTCCATGGAGAGGGCTGCCATGGTGTTTTCCAAACCAGTTGAAGACTGAGACATCGTTGTATGAGATCACAACTTCATCAAAAAGACGGGCTAAGGCTTTAGGAAGACCTTCCGCAGGGAAGGCCGGGAATCGGACTCCCAAAATACCCATCAAGGAGTATGCTTGGTCGGTAGCAACTGTGGTGACTCGCTCTGCTGCAGTGACAAGAGAAGTGCTGGCGGACGAATCCATGAAATCATGGCCATAGATCCAATTGGTCAGGCTGTTAATCTTGCTGAATTCCGCAATGGCCTTTCTGTCCTCGAGAATGGTGGTGTCTGTGGCAGCTCTCAGAAGACGTAATAGGTGGATGAATACGGCCACTCTGTTGTTTTGATGCTCCTTAGCAGCAGAGAGGTTTGACAGGCAACGAGTCTCGGAGTAATTAGGCATCAAATCATTCAAAACAACAGGCAGCCGGTCAGCGGCGTCAAGGACTGCTTTGCCAATTTGGGCCTCTGCTGTTTTCGGTTTGATGCCATTTGGCGGATAGAACCCTAGGATTTGAAGCATGACGGAAAGCTGATGTTCTGGGGACATCCCGTCGTCAAGGAAAGGCTTCCCATCCTTGGAAGAGGGCTGGTAAAGAAGTTTCTTGAGTGCCTCCATCTGATCGGAGGAAATTTCATTGTGATTGACCACAAATGGGTGGATGAAGAACTGTTGGAGGAAGGGTTGAAGGAAATAAAATGGGCCGATAGCCTCGACTGGCCTCACCAACTTATTCCAGTGCGAATTCACATAGTAAGTCACCTTACTTAGCACCAGCTCTTGCAACGTCCATCCACGCGTCGCCCACTCGATCCGGAACTGTTCTCTCTCAGCGGCATTGGCTCCAATGGCGCCAATTTGGTCAAAGCTCGTCATGTTCTCGGGGACAGCATTGTAATTTGGGTTCTTCCACTCTTTCCACTCTTCAATCCACGTATCATCACAGCGGGGAGTGTCAACATGTACGAGGCAGAAATCGGCATTCTCATACCAATCACCCATAAGGGCCAGGGACTCGGTTAATTCACCACCGTCCGCCTTGTTGATACAGCATGTGTCGAGCCACACATACCGCTTTCCTCCTCGGAGAAAGTGGGTATCAAATAGTTCCTTGGCAATGTCAATGGAATTTGAGATCTTACGAGAAGACCGCATATGTTGCAATGAGCCCAGCAGCTGCTCAATCCCGTAGCACAGCTCGCGATTCTTTTCAAAGAACTCAATTGTAGGATTGTATTTTGTTTGAGTCTCGGAGGCTTTGGTAAGATTTTCCTCCGCCTTTTTGCGTCGTTCTTCTGCTTCTTCATTCAGACTTTCGATTGCCAAGCGAACTTCTTTCACACCTGGGTCTTCCGTAGCGAGGTCTGGTTTGTCGGCGGAAGGCTCTGTGGTGGTGAGGGCATTGAGAGTGCCCCAGAGATTATTGTAATACTCCGTCTCTCTTTCGGCGCTCGAGACACCAGCCGCGGCATCATGATGGGTTTTTTGAGCTCTTCCAAAGCTATAACTGGCAGTATTGGCTTCGGTGTACCACTGAAGAAGCGTTTGGATATCTTCTGGCCGCTTTCCATCGGCAGTTGGGGTGACAGTCGGAAGCACAGAATTAATCTTCTCTTCTAAAGCCCTGATATCGGCTTTGCACTTGTTGATGACCCTGCTTAAATCATTCGGGGATTCTCCGCCATTGGACTCGGAGTCTTTCTTGGGGTCGAATTTCTTTGCCGCATCAAAGTATCCGTAACCGATCTCAGAGCCTTTCCAGCTATGAGACACAATACAATACTGGTCTTGCATGCCAAGAGTGTATGTAGGGACCATGTTCTTCGTCTCGACATCAATCATGCGGTAGGGCATTTTTAATATACCGTCGGCCTTGGCGAGCCAACTATCGGGAACCCGATCAACGGCATCGGGTTCCTCTTCCTCATCATCCACAAATACAGGCTTGACACTTGGCGTCAGGAAGTGGTTTAAGACACGGCGAAGCCTGTGCTTTTGCTCACCATCCATTACGACATTCTTAAGACGAGTTGTGCGATCGGTTGCCCAACTGGCCATGTCAAATGCCTCTCTAAACGCCGAATTTGAGACCAGGCTGTCCGAGAGGGTTGCTTTGAGGCTGCTAATGGAACCCATTTTGCATTGAAACCCGTAGGTTGTGACGGTATCGTGGGCAGAGTTGAGATTGAGGAGGGGGTTTGCCCTTCTACCTGGCTACCTCAGAGAAAAGGCTTATATCAAGGTGGTTGAGCCGAGTGAGCCGATTAGGGGGGGGGAAAGCAGATAGTGGAGGGGAATTTTAATTGTATGAAGGCGGGGACTTGAGCAGAAATGACTACGGAAGGTTGCGAAGTTGATGCTTTGGCTTTCAGCTGACTCCACCCACAAGATTGCTAAAAGAGGGGAAGAAAAGCTGAGGAGGCCAATCTAACTTGTAGAGTACAAGCACTCCGATGAAAACATTCGAAGAATACGTCAGGGAAAGAGGGCTTTCTATGCGTCTTTTTTTATTTTATTATTTTATTATTTTCTTTTGTTGCGGAGTAACATCTTGTACATTTGATCCACAAGTGGATACCGGCAAGCCTTCAGCTCATGACAGTGAGATCCACCGCGCTTTGACTCTTGAGTGGTTACCAGACTTTGCAGTTTCCAAATCAAATTTACTGATACAGTCATTAGATTCATACATTTCATACTCCGTACATCTCATCTCAAAGCATCTCACATCGCACTTTCAATTCCCATCTAAATCAACAATGGCTTCCTACCATCGAGTATTGGAGACCTTTGGCCGGTCCGTCCAAGATATTACTCTAGAATGCGACTGGTATGTTCTTATTTTTATGCAATACTTTCTTTCGCTTTCAAATCTCAAGCTAATCATTGATTCAGTGATATTCACCCTTGGGAAATCTCCATCAATGGCGACCAATGGGCTGGCAAGATCCGATTAATCGGATTTATCGATGTCTTCTTCCTCATTTCATACTCTGCCAATGCTCGATTTGAGCATGGAATTATTGTCTATAGTTTGTCAACTCATGAGAAGCTCTCTTGACAATTCAAAACTGACGCGACTTTCCAGAGGATAAGCTGGCTGTGGAAGAAATTACAGGCCACATCCCCGATGCAAAGCCAAAGCCTGCCGAAAAGTCCAAATCAGAACAGGAAAACGATAACAAGGAAACCAAGGGAGAGGAAGAAGATGATCATGAAGGTGAGTTAATAGATACAAGCGCCTTCCGAAGATATGCGCAATTAGTACTCAGAACCCACAGATCTTGATGAAGGCGAAGATGAGGACCCGGACGCAAAGCCCGACGGAACGTCTGAAGAAGCCAAACCCACGCCGACCGAAGAGCAAAGCAAAGAGCCGCAGGAGAACCAGGGCACTATCAAGCCAACGGAAGACGAAATGACACCCGAGTTCCGTAAAACCAGCACGTTATCCATCACCAGTTGGGGACACCCGGTCGGACTACGAGCCTCGTATCCCAAGTCCTGGATTCAAAAATACAAGGTGGAGATCACCAAGCCTTGTAGTTGGGCGCTTAGCAGTGAGTACAATACCCCCCTCCCCGCGCGATTACGGAGTACGGGAGTCCAGTGAGACACAATACTAAAGCCAACAGAACGCATTATGCGGGGCTTGAAGCCACACAGCACTTACGACTTGATGAACGACGTGATTCGCTGCGGCATCATCACCCAGGGCCAGCTAGTGGGCCACATTATGGGTGTTGTTCTTGCGGGTTCGCAAATGGATGACACGGCCAAACGATACATTCAGGGATTGACATCAGGCGATGGTGCTGGACGGCAGGCATTATCGAATGAGAAGATCTAAGGGTCGAAGGCGATCTCCGAGGGACGAAGATTATGCAAACCCATTTTTGTGGCGTATACTAGTACTTACCAGAAACTAGGCCTAGAAGAATGTAAGATCGTCAATTGACAGCCGGTTTCTTTGCTCAAAATGCATAGCTAGTTTGCACGGACGGGATTTTGGAGGCCACCAAGTATAATAATTTGGGGAAAAAAGAAAAAAAAAAACTGCATCTTTTACACCGTGACGCGTAGCAGGGATTCTGGAGAAATCTTTGAATTCTGGTGGATCGCTTGCATGGTAACCCAGTGTGGTGGTTGGGCTAAACTAGTCGGGTCCCGCAGCTGAGCCAGCCACCTACCCCGACCGAGTATAGGATGGCTGGATTTCAAAGAAATCCCATGAATTGTGGGATATCTTACCGACGAGACCACCTATAAGAAAATGAGAAACTGCAAGGTTTCAACGGGGTAAAAAGATGTGTACGAAATGACCGTTATGCCTACACATTTGAACATGTGCATACCCGTTGTGAGGTTCGGACAGTAAACATAGCGAACCAAGGGAAGACAAGTGGAGTTGAACCAAATCTTTGTCTTTTTCTCCACTCAAGGGTTATCCCGTCTGTATACCTCGTCATAAATTTGCGATGTACTGTACAATGGATACTCGATAAGTACGATTATTCTATCAGGATCACCCCATACTCAGAACGGAGATCTATCTCCGTGCCAATGTTCATCATCGTAGACCCACCGTGACGATATGGCCCGCAATGTTCACGGGAGACAGTAACCACCTGGCACGCTTGTATGTATGGCACAGTATACTGTAGATCCCAACCTCCAGGAGCTCCACAGCTCCCAAGTTCGGCGGGGACGAACTATTCATCTGTTCTCCGCTTTTGACAGTCGATCTTCTACCAAAGAAGAACTCTTTGCTTCCGATAACCTTGGAGTCACTCCGTTGGTATAGAAACCATTGGCTACCATTGGTTCTTGATGCCCAAGCTCACACAGCTAATCGGGGGCTGACAGACGGCTCGTTGCCTACTGTTCCTGCCGCCAACTTCAGCTAAAGCCCCCCTCCGTAAAAGTGGGTCGCGCCGTGCAGATTCACTCAGCTCAAGCCCCCGTTCTTCCACGTTGCTTACCTTTTTTTTCTTTTCCCTTTGACATTTTTGTATCTAATTAATATCAAGAGTTTTGTGTTTCTCGACTTCTCGCGATCAGAAAGATACCAAGAAGACGAGGGAAAAGATAGAGAGATCAGAGCAAGATGGTCTGGTTCCCGCTCCAAGTCGACGATGAAGCTGTCACCTGGAGCTTCGACATCGTCGGTTTGCTAGCCGTGGTCGGAGGTTCCTCGATTGAAAAGCATGCCCAATACATTACTGCCTCTCATCTTGCTGGTCTTCCCCGTCTCTTACCTGCCCCGGAAACAATGCTGGATACCGACCGGCCAGAGCGACTACCCTCCGTCAAGGATGTGACCGTTGTAGGCGTTCACTCCGGCAACCAATTCCAGGAGCTCAACTTCTTCGCGGATGTGATCCACCGTATCGGAGAGTTGAAGTCTTTCCGCTTCCAATCCTACCGAATCACCTACCAGAAGAAAGATGTCGAGGATAACGGGGGGATTCTCAGCCAGGGCGCTCCCCCAGGCAAAGCCGTCATCCCACTACACACATGGACATCACTGAACTTGTTGACACTTATATCGTTCCTGATTACAATTGCGCTATTTGTGTGGGCCGGTGTGCAGCATGATGCTGTCGCTTTCCTCGGTCTCGGAACCATGTCCATCTCCACTGCGACAGCTTGCCTGTCCGCACAATGGCGCCCGATTCTCTCAGTTCGACACGCCAAGGGTGTCGTGCCCCCCGGTGACGTAGTCATCCGTACACGATCCGGAGCGTTCATTGCTATCGAATGCAGTGAGGAGATTGCCCGCGAGCTGTACGCCGGAACAGAAGAGTGTTCCTACGTCTACAACGGACGTGTTCACCAAGCTCTTCTCGCGACCAGCACGGTACTTCTGATGGCTTCCATTATTTTCTTCAGTAACTGCGGTTGGAAGATTCAGATTGCCGTCGGACTTGCCTATATCATCCTCAACCTCGCATACTGGACCTTGGCGTTGTTGACGGACCCACAGGATCTTTGGGATATTAAGAGTCGATACAATGTGGAGGTATTGAAGGATGAACCAAGCGCAAACTATACCCTGGCAATGTGGAAGGCTATCCAAACCACTCAGAGCGTTCGCTGGATCAAGAAGGGTGGATTTGCGCCGGCAACCAAAAATTGGAACAAGTGGTTGAAAGAGGCAAAGGATAACTGCGCCAATGAAAACTGGAATCCTGAAGAGGCGCGTGATCGGTGGATGCAGGTTAAGTTTGACACGGATGAGAAGGAGGACTAATTGTGAACCTGAGTGAGAAGGAGGACTAATTATAAACCCGGATGAGACATGAACAGCAAAAGTGAAGCTTTTAATATGTATCCTAATTTGTGTTGATGATATCCTTAATTTTTGAAATTTAATTCAGCCGGTCTTGTACGCAAGCTCTGAGGTCTTATCCATTCCTTGATGAACATCGCTACTCCATTTGAAGCACCCTTATTGAATTCGTATCAAAAGCAACGAGAAATGGCTTGCTTGGTCCTCCTACAAGCTGTCCGCTCAAAGCAACCTTGAAGAGGCACGTATGATGTTTGCTATGCAAACACAGCTTCCAATTATGATTATGATAAGTCTAAAATAACTCTGCAATCACTCAGGCTCTTCACAATGAAGCTCACGAAGTCGAACATCCATTTATCCAACGAGAAGTCCCAGCACACTGGGATTTCCACCATTGTAACCACCACCACCACCATTCTTGCAGGAATTGGGCTGGCCGCCTTCTTTCTGACACTTTAATGAATATACAGGTCAGTATCCATGCAACTTTGGAAGCTCTTTGGATATACAAGTACAGAAGTCTTACCTTGTCATCACAGGGCTGGCAGTTATTATTTCCGCTCCCCACTCCAGTGGCAACCCCAAGGCCAATTTCGCCAATATCACCACCGCCAGTGTCAATGTTCAGACCACCACCATCTCCATTGCCGATTTTGTTGGCAATTTTGTTGCCAACCTTGGCGTCTCCGTGGGGAACCTGGTAGTCAACCGCATCGGTGGGCCTAACCCAGCCTCCCAGGGCACGGTGGGAGTCATCCGCGGGGAGCGCAGTGACGAGAGCACAGCAAACAAGGGTAAGAAGAGCGAAGCGCATCTTTGCAAAGGTCTTGGCTTGACTTGAACCGATTGCGAGGGTGGAAATTGAAGCGATTTCAGAGGATGCTAGGCACTTGTGAAGTGATTGGAAGCTGATCTGCTGTCCAGAGCTCGGGCATCGCGTTGCCTTTATAGTGTTCTTGTATGAGGTCTTCAATTGTGTAATTTTTCTCATGATAATTAAAAATAGGGTTATAGATATTTGTTCTGGAATTTCAGAATGTGCATCATTGACTTTTACCCTATAGTGCAAATGACAATGACTGGCGGAAGCCAAGCACGTAGACAGGACGCCAAATACCTGCATAACCCGGCTAAATTATCCGGAATTCGGGACATCTGGATAGAGCCATTTGACATCTCCTTTGGCCGCCAAGGACTTTCCCGCCGATGTGGCTTGAGGAACATCGCAAAATTCCGAGATTAACAGGATTTTTTGGTTGATTATTTACATTCTTATGCTTTTGTTACATTAGTCTTGTACAGAAGTGACCTGAAGTGTGAATTGAGGAAGATAGCAATTTTGATTATGATTATAATACATTCTTATTAAGCTTTGGTACTATGGTAAAGCTTGGTCGAATGGGCCAATTCTCCTTTCCAGATGTCCCTTGCATGGTTCTCCCGAGTAAAACAGCCTGTGAGATGATTCATACTGCCAGGTGCAATGACCTTGAGCTTGAGGCCGCTAGACCACCCGGTGCCGATAATTTCGCCAACAAGTTCTTTCAAGCTTACAAGGGCAGCCAGGTCAAAAACATAATATCAACATCAATTCTCCATTGGGAGATGGAAGATAATTCTTGGTTTGAAGTCATTGTGGATATGAAATTGGACGAAGGTGCTGTGAAAATATAAGGAAAGAGACACACTGATAAAAGATATGGAGAGTTGAAGAGTTTTTGTAGAGGAGAAAAATATGGCTAAGCTGGAAGTGAATGCAAACAAAGAAGTCGTGGGTTCGGAGAAGCGAGAGCAGTCGTATCAAACTCCAACCAGATGAAGGGCATACTAGACGAAGGAAGATCAATAAGTGCGACAGTAGGAGGTATGTAAGAGTAGTATACATTATGTGTATAGTGAAGATATAGGAACTGGCTGAAAACCTTAGGAGTTAGTTGTCGCTCAGAGATCGAATAACTAGTACATTCCAAGGTTTAGGTCATCAACCCCGGATTTCTCCGCAGTTCAATGTTTCACCGGTCAAAATATTTCCTCATCAAGAATATATGGGGTCTATAGTCAAAAGAAGGCAGATCTGTTTTCGTGATAAGGGTCAAAAAAGATCTCTCCATATCTAGAAATTACGCCCTAAAGGGACAGGCCTACCCCGGACATTGTCAGTCGAGACCTACAGTAATCACATTTTCATAGTTCACTCCGTTTCAGATGCCTACCGGACATGCAATATTAGCGCGTAAAGTTGATCGATATCAGCTAGAGCCCTCTCTAAAGACGGTGAATCCCCTTGACTATTTGGTAGTATACACAGCGCGTATTTGGTCCCAAATAGGAAGGTTTCGGCGGATTCTAAAAAGTTTCCATGAAGGTTCTATACCCCCACATCGCGGAGTATCTAGAACCACAAAATGGATACACGAGGATCGCAAAACTATGCTTTAAAAAGTAATTTCTAATCCCGAGGTATTCAATTTTTTTTCTCGGTAAACCTCCGTTCAATTTTTATGCCGATCCAGCTTCAAATGTTGGGAAGAAGAAAAAAACATACTGCCGGTGAGTCACAGTAATCATGTACTTCAAAGATCGCCCTTTGATGAGATTGCAGGCATCGGAAATTAGATTAGCCAAAATGGGCACTGTTCACCCCCACCACCGGATGACCCGACAGGCCCACTACAACCCTGGAGCTTCAACAATACTAACATTGAAGGAACTGCATGTACTACAGACAGACCTTCGGGCGTACTCCCCGTCGATCCATGGATATGGATCTGACATACAGATACCATTCAAGGAATCCCGAGCTGACCAGTAGATATAGAGAAACGAGGTTACTTTTGGATAAGAAATAAAATGAAAGATAATATTCAACAGGCTCGCCACGCAATGTTGTGTAACGGCTATCATCCCCGCACCCGCCGCTCACACAAAGAGAATCACAAAGGCAACCTCGGAAAAAAAGAAAAACATTTTTTTATTAACAATCAAGTCAAGATCGCCTAGACTCCTTGAAAGACCATTCGGTATATCCACCCGGTACTCCGTATTATCAACAAAAAGAATATTCGACGAGCAAAACAAAGGAAATCGCGGTATAGCATCGCCCGAGTTCTCCGTTCGGGTAATATCCGGGTAATGGCCGGAATCCATCTACCGGAGGGCCGAGGGTTGTATAGGCTGTGTGGACTGTAGGCTGTAGGGTGGCAATGGAGCCCCGACAGGAGTTCCCCCCGTGGCATTGAATAAGCGCTTTAGTGGTATAAGTCAGCCCCAATATAACCTAAACCGGGACAGGGTTTGGGTGTGGATTTTGTTGCAACAAACGAATACCCGAGGGCCGCAGGCGGATTAACCACCAATGAAAAAAGCCGGGGCCAACACATGCAATAAGACAAAAAAAAAAAAACAAATCCCTGAGGGCTTTTGTTGTGTACTCCGTTCCAAACATGTAGTATGTTATGCTGATAGGATGACTGGATTTCTGACTATTGGATTTATAATGTAGAGTATCATTCCGTCGGCCCCACGGATGCAATGTTGGAATGAATGAAATGTAGCCCCTGATCTAATATTGTAATTTCACAATCTCACCGTTGCTTTTGGCAAAAAGTCTGCAGGGCTGTCAGATGCGAGTCACAGTCTTCACGGATGGGGCGGCCAGTTGGGTTGGACCCCATGCTAGAACGGGGCGAGCATGAGCACACGCACGAGGGAAGACGTTGACGTGGAAAAGGTTATTTTTATCCATAACACAGCATAGATTTTACGTTTGCCATGCTACGTTGGGTGAATGCCTTTTTTGGAAGAACTACGAACAAACAAGAAAAAAGAAGTATTGGGTAATAGATAGATTGGTTTGTTTGAAAAAAAGCTAGGGCTAAGGCTACCTAAGTACTAACTAATGTACCGATCTGCGTGCCCAACAAAAAGAGTGGGATTGCCACGGCCAGATCACAGTCCTTCACCGACACTCAAGTGGCAGCATAAATGATGTGATGGTGGCGCGTGGCGTCCGCGCATGGCTTGGATGATCACAGATAGCGCAGTGCGCGCGATCGGATAAAAAAAAAAAAAGACAGAGGGAATAAGAAAGCATAAGATGCGATATCGGGGCGAAAATGAATAGGAATGGTACAAGACGGGGTATTTGGCGGGGGTATCTGGAGCTGGAAAATCACACGCTAGAGAACGGCAAATGAAAAAATTGAGGAAAAAAACATGAAGGAAAACACCGGACCCGCTTCGGGATGCAACGGCCAGAGGACCAGGCAACAAAAAGTAAAAAATGATAATCGAATAAAAAATGCAACGAGGAAGATCGGAGGGCGAAGACATGAAATGAGTCAAGGCTCAACCAGCGGTGTGGGGGTATTTCTGGAAGCGCCGACAGCGATGAATTAGGTAAGCGCGGGGAGGTGCGGAGATCTGCGATAAGGCGCGCATTTGTTGATTTTTGTTGTTGCTGTTGCGCCAACTCATCTGAAACGGCCTGAGAGTTCAGCCAGATCGACCCTGTGAGCTTTGGGGCGCCGCTGCCTAGAGTGCCTCATTCAGAAGGTATCATCTGATTTGCTGGAGGCGGCTATCACGGGTATGTGATAAAAGATATCGGACCTGGTCCGATGAGGTTCGTAGTGGGGGTTGAGAGTGAGGGAGAGGTAAGAGAGATGTCATGCAATGATGAAAGTAAAGACATAGGCTTATTGCACAGCAAGATAAGCTAGAAGTGAAGCGTAGTATTAGGTCGAAGTCAGCCAGCGCCCGCGCTGTACTCGTCAAAAGAGTGAAGGCTTTAAACGGTTGGAACTTTAGATGACGAGTGGGCGCGACGCTTGTTTGGAACGACCCGACGCTTCTTGTTGGTCTTTGGTGTGACTGGTGTGGGTGTAGCCGATGTAACTGGGCTGCGCTCAGATGTCATGGTCTTTGACTGTCGGAGGGCTTGTGTTGCTCGTGCGTGTGCATCCACCTTTGCCAGGAATAAGGCACGGTCCTGTTGTTCGGCGGCGGCTCGCATGCGCTGGAGTTGTTGTTCTGTGGTCATGGAGGAGACCATCTGGGTTGGTGCAGGCTCCTTCTCGGGGATGGCGTTCTCGGGCATCCATAGTAGATCTTCGTCGGAGAGGTAGGCGTTGTTGACGAACAGATCGCATGAGTCGGCACTTGAGAGGGAGGCACGGTTGGGCCATGATGGGAAAGCACATGCTGCGCCCATGCCGTATTCGCTCGAGAAAGAAGATTTGCGTGGGTTGATATCGCAAAGAGAGTCTGTTGGTGTTGGTGGTGGTGCTGATGGGTTTGAGAGAGGCGAGCATTCAAATGAACTGCCACTCCAGCTGAAGGTAACCTGGGCAGGATCGGTGCTTGCCACAGGAGCCACGATGGGGGCCTTGGCCAAGGCCATCTCGCGTAGTCGCGACTGAATAGGAATCATGGTGTGTGAGAGTATGTCGAGAGTATGTCGAGGTGTGGTGTAAAAACCTTCTGTGGTGAAGAGTGGAGATGTGGAGTGAAAGGAGAATGAAGAAAGGCAGGGAGGGTGGAGAAAGATATAGATGTGAATCAGGGAGATCCAGGCCGGTGTTTAAGAAGACGGTGTGGATAGATATCAAAGCCGGGGAAAGGCTTCTAGACTTCCCGCACCCTTGCAGTCCCGACTAAGACAAAAATAAAAAAAAATAAAAAATAGAAAAAGGGTGAAAAAAGAAGGAAAAAATAGGGAAAAATAGTGAAAAAAAAACGAAAAAGGGTAAAAAAGAAATAAATCGAATAATCCCCAAAAAGGAATTAAAGGAAATAAATCTAAAAAAGAGCGGACAATCGGATGCGGCTTCCGTGCAGCAGATCAATCAGAAAATCGGGAAAAGTCGACTCAGCAAATGGGACTCATCCCAATTTCACTGTCGATTTGATGTTATCCGCGATCGATGACTTGACTGTAAACAAAGCATCGAATGTGGTGAGGCTGTTTTTTTTTTTGGTTTGTTTTTAGAAATCGCCTTTGATTTCGAATGTCGAACTTATTTTCTTATTTCTTTTCTTCTTTCAATGAGAAAAAAAAAAGATCCGCCCCTTGCGACAGTGTAATGTGTTCCCCGAAAAGGGCTGCCCAACCGGCTGCAGCGGGGGATCTGGTCCGATGAAAATCAGATTGTGCGGTGTATGTTCGCTGCGATTGGAATCTCCCAATCAGAATACTCCGGATTACACCGCTGGATGAGATGCAGAAATTTTGACAGAAAGCAAAGAAGATTGCAGATGGAGTTGGCAGAGAAACAGGGAAGCTTGAGATGATCAACAGCTTCGGGGTTTGTTTGATAGAGAGAACAGCAACCTTGAAAAAAAGGCGTTTGGCGGTCAAAGGGCGTTGAGTGTATTGGGGGATTTGGAATTCGAGAGCGTTTGAGATTTGGATTTGGATTTCAAAGAAAAGAAGATCAAGACGATTTTCTTTGTGGGAAAAGGATTTCTCTTTTGAAGGAATTGAAAGAAAATTCACCAACTACTAGTTCTCTACGAGTTCACCCGTGTGTTCCACTATCGAGTTCTAGCCTCCAGGCCCGTGGAGATTATGAATTATGGAGAACCCTAAGTTTGCGAGTGCTGAACAAACCCAACGTGATTGGGCGCTAAGCAACGGCCCGGAATTTGCGTCTTTTAGGAAGCTGGAACGGTTCTTACCGTTCTTTGCTGTTCTCGCCCCCGGTCTATTTGGTCTGTTTTTTACTTATATACTCCGTACTCCACCCAACAATGGGAAGAGCGTTGAGCCGGATGAATGCATTGCAGCGGCAACGGTAATTTCTTTTCTTTTTCCCTATACCACTGAGTATACAGTAAACAGAAAAAAACAACATTCTGATTTATTTTTTTCTCTTCAAATGTTTATCAAACTCGGAAATGACAAACATGTCCGCTTAAATCCAGCACTTGAAACTTATTCGATATTACCCTTGACCTCGGCTTTTATTTAACCCCAAAACTGAAAGAAAAATCAATCTATTCTTATTCCGGACTACGGAGTAACATTCGGAACTCGATCGGTTTTTTCCCACACGGAATGAACCCCGGCAACAGAAGGTGACGAGGATCGTGGAAGGAAAGAACAATGGAGAAATGAATTTTGCACGAATCAGCGCCCGAAGTGGATCCCATTGGAAATTTACCTACGGAGGACATACTCCGCACTAGTTATTACTAAGTAGTGTAGATCGTCTTTCTTTGTTTCATCTGGTCTAGACTTGCTCAAAGAAATCCACACACACCGGTTTTACGTCTTCTCCGCTTATTTCAAATCGCATCTCTAAGAGACGCCATCTATCGATTAGACTCGCCTGCATCAACATTATCCGCTCGTACTTGATTTCTTTTCTTTTCTCTTTTCTTTTTTCCCCTTTCTCTTTTCTTTTTTCCCCCTTTCCATTCTCCCGGCAACCCGCGGGTTTGGCAAAGTTTAGCCTTGTCTACGGGCCAAAGTAGCGCGTCCCCCGGGACGCTAAGTGGGGAATCGATCCACCTTCCCTGCCTTCCCCGACACCTTCGCTCCTTGTTCCAATGATCTTCATCATCATAAGATAGATCCATTTCCTTCTCAAGGGGAGAACTTTTGCTCCGTAATCCGCGACCCCGTTCCATGGCTCGATACGGACACTCCCGTCTGGAATCTGGAATCCTTATAACAAATGTACACATCCTATACATCTCATGCGCCATCTACTCCAGACTCGTTTTCTAACATTGACGGCCCGTCGGGGAACCGGGAAGCCACTGATCCTGAAAGCCTCCTTTCCAATTATTTGCGACAGTGAATCTCAAACATGTCAATTATTTGCCTAGGTGGGATTTGACAGGTTCCTCGGTATCTTTGTACTCGATCACCGGACTTGCCCTGGTACGGCCCGCGGTCCCAGAAAATCACAACATCGTGGTCTTTTTCCCCTTTCCCGGTCCCTCGGTCCTGAATTACTAAACTGCTACTTACCGAGTCGTTGGTTTGATTACTTTGATGGTGGATACTGCCCACATGCACCCAAATGTGGGACCTCGGGCATCAAAAATGAATGGGGCTGGAAGCTCCTGAAGGAATTTCAAGAAATTGATAGTGGAGAGCGAAGGAGTTCAGAGCTGTTACGTGCTTCTCATTCTTTTTGACAGGGGATTTCTTTATCCCTCCGTGGAAGAATGATTGGAGAGGAGGCAAAAGAGGGGGCGCAATTCAGGTCGATTAGAGCTGTAGCGGAAGCTACTACTACACTACTGCCGCTAGCAAATAAATTGATAAAATGACAGGCAAATAAGACACATTCGAAAGTCCTAGATCTAAATCTACTCGATTTGTCCACCCACATGAAGCCTACCACCCACCTGGTTCACAAAAATTCATTCCGGGATCACCCTGCAGCTTAATCTGCATCTCATATGCAAGATCTCTCTGATCGGAATCGAGAAGCAAGGACTCTTGCCACTACGTCAGAGCAAGAGACCCAGCAAATCAATTAAACATTTGCAAAGGCTTGGGTCCAGACGGAGTCCATGGGCGATTATCACCGCGCGGCTTCTTTTTCTCCGTTTCCCCGCCATTCAATACCTGATACATTGACAATCTGGACTGAGATCGACTGTGAAAGTACCAATGACAATTCAACATCGTTCACGTCTAGACTCTCCTCACCGCCAAACTTGTTGACAGGCTGACAGCCACAACTCTGCAAAATCCGCCACAACTGCAAGTACTCTCGGTCTGTGCGATCTGTACGGAGTACCCAAGTACATGCAAATCAAACAAGGAATCTCAAAGCTGAAAAGAAAAAGAGTATGCAGATCATTTCATCCCACATCCAATCCACTTACTCCAGATTTCACATGTACAGCTGTATTTGCAGAAACCATTCGCAGATTCGCCTCACCCCAATCCGAGCCATACAGAAACTAGACCAGCTCCCCCTCCCCATCCCCCATGGGGCAGTTTGCGCTCGGGTGCCAGATGCGCCCCACTCTGGAGAATGTGACAAGGGAGGCTGCATACACTGCATAAAGGGCTCCATCAAGCAAGCAATCAGAACACAAAAAGCCCCTCGCTCATTTCACAGTATGAGTAACCCAAATCCGCACCGGGAAGGCTCATCCGCGAGCCCCGGTCTGCAGCGATCGACGGGGCCCTTGACTCGCGTTTCCTAGACCACTCCACACCGCGTATCTGAGACGTGTCGCGGGGGTTAAAAAAAAAAAAAAAAAAAAAAAAAGACAAAAGACAAAAGACAAAAGACAAAAGACAAAAGAGAATCAAAAGTCTAAAAAAGCTATCTAATCGGGACACGAATGGCTTGCTTGATGATATCATATCATATTGGCTTTAGCGATCATCTAGTCAGCGGCACCTCCCTCTCCTGACTCATATCATTAGAAAGAGAGATGCCACCGTAGCAGAGGGCCAGAGCTGACCTCAGACCTCCCACCTCGTTCTCTTTCGCTCTCGTTCTCGCCCGCACACCCCCTTTCATCACGGTCGTGAGTCGTGACAGGGCCCGGGGGAGGCGGGGATCGCCGTTTTATTGGACGGGGCGCGTTGCCGTTACTATCCCCATGCCACCAGTAAGGCCGCCCTTGACCACCACACAAATGCAATCACGGTCGGGGAAGAAGGAAAATCCAATTTGGTGAGAGGGGGTCGGTGTGTTGTGTGTTGTGTTGTGCTGTGCTGTCTTGTGTGTCGTGTGTCAGTTCGCCGGGTAATATGCGTGCGCCAGACTCGCCACCGTGGACGCGGACGCGCACTCCAGCTCCAGTGAAAGAAATTCCAAAATCCAAATTAAATTCAGACCAGTCTAGCCCTTTCTCCGCCAGTCTATAATTAATTCCACACTTGGAATGATTCGTATGAAATCTCTACTGTATATTGTGTATGCATCGTGCATTTTCTCGAACACTTCGACACCGCAACGCAACAAACATCGAACCGCACCGGGCGGCATGTGCGAACCCGGATACATGTCCTCTACATAACAACCCTGAAATGTACATGTAATTTCTTTGTCAAGCGGCTGGTCGCATAGAAGCTCTCAAACGTTAGCATTAGAGCGGACGGTGCGTCTTCGCTAGCGTTTTTCGAATTTCCTCCACAGGATTGGATTGGATTGAATCTGATCTGATCGCTGCCCAGCCCTTTGTGTAATGTACTACCCGTTCAAGTAACCGACCGGCTTCATTCCCGGGCGTCTTGAGATTTAAATTCCCGCTGGTCAGGCGCATCCGCGCTCCTTCCTGCACATCTAGACGCTGCGCTGCGATGGAAGCTAGGAAGAATGGTTGTGATGTTCATTTTGGGTGTATGCGACATCGTAGCTTGGACTGGGGTGCCCTGGGCGGCGTACAGAGTTGACCTTAATATCCGACCCGGCATGTGGAAGGTGCAACGGTCTACTGCTATGGTGCCCATTATTCTAAACCTTTTTCTGTTGCAAACCCAAACTCATACGTACATACGGCCAGGGCTGTGAACCACGGCATCTACATAGTTTGAATGTTCGAAATGTTCAAAATGTTTTGAGAAACTTGCTTGTGCTGTTCTCAATGCGAGTACTATATTTTGCGGCGAGGCTGGAGCTTCCTGCACATTTGGGTACATGCACCGGCGGAAATTACCACTGCCCCCCTCATTTGTTGTGTCTTGCAGTTCTTTGTGCGTGACTTGCAGAAACTCGAGATGAGTTCACACTCGAAAATTTGGGAGGCATGCTAGAGTTTGCACAGCTAGAGTTTGCACAAAGAGGCGGAAACTCACTGGCATTGATCATTTGAATAGTCCCAGTGGAATGAATATCAGTTTCACACTTCTAGAGTTTTGTCACAAATTGCTTCCAAAAATCATGGGTCTGGCCTGTGACCAACGTCCCAGGGTCAAGAGCCGTTGACAATTACGCCAGACATAATTGGTGAGGTGTTCCAAAGCCAGCACTTGAGCACTTGAGCCTACTGTTGTACATATATGCGCGCTGTCTCCCGATGTTCCAAATTTATCCTCCGGCGGAATGAAAAAGAATGAGGTCAAACCATGCATATGTATATGTAACTACCTACTGGGAGGTATGTAGGTACCTGCGTAATCAACATGCATCAATTAATACGTATCGGCAGCTCAAAATACCATGAATACATACTTAATACCTATTTCAGTTCAATTAGTCGACATGGAGCCGGGCAGTATACGCAGCATTGAACGTACGTAGGCGCAGGAATATGTACTATCATCATAACATTTGAAACATACTTACATACTCCCAAAGACCGCACGGCTCCGCCAATCACCGGTCTCCAAATCCCGGCTTGACATGTGACATTTTTCCGTCCATCTGCCGCATACGCGATTCTCTTCTCATCTGGATCTTTGCCAAAAGTTTCGGGGTCCTCATTTTCTATGCTCTGATTTGTGGCCCTGTAGCCGCAACCTTCACGACTACCGTTGCTCCGGTAGGCGCGGAGATTGTGGGATTACAACTCTTACCATCTGCCTTGTCGATCTTCTGGCTTTCGGTGGTCATCCCGAGCACATTTGCTGAACCGATCGCCCTTTGGCTACGAACTGACAACGCAACCAATTTTCTGCATGCCCAGATATTTGTCGGCTTTATGTTTATGGCAGCATGCATTTGCCTCTGGCTTGTGCGGGCGTGGAAGATAATAGAGTTGGAAAAGGCTGGTGCTGACGGCGATCCTCTCAAACGGGTAGCCCAGATCAGGGACAATGATGCCGTGCCTCAAGAGCCCGTGGTCAGGACAGCGAGCAGCATTCCTAGTATGACGAGCAAGGCTAAGGCTGTGAAGGGATTATTCACGATGGCGAGAGTATAAAATGCAATCGACTTAAAGGTTATCACCTGGCTCTTAATTAGCTCTTGACATTTGGTGTTAGGGTCCATAATGATTTCAGTATACCGAGGGCTAGTCTAACCAGGAATCAGAAGGCATGAATTATACATTGCTAGCTTTTCCCTATTCCCCTCAGCAAGGTAAAAGCAATCACGAATGATATGCCCACCATTCCAACGTTTATCCACTGCGCCGCTCTGAGCCCACGTAACAACTGATCATGCGCCATACCTTTTTCAAAGGCTGTTCCAATAGCCACGCCTAAGGCTCTTCCTAGGTTATTTGACGTCTGCAACATTCCACCACCAAGCGCTTGGTCCTCTGGTGATAGTTCTTCGGCCACAACCAGCCCAATAACTGGCCAAACAATGTCGACACTACAGCATAAAGCCATAGCCGGAAATCCGAATGACCAGTATGAAGAGTCCGGGGCTATAAATGGAACGGCGAAAAGGAAAGGCGATGTTATGCCACAAATAAGGCCAACCAGAAGGACATTAAAGCCCGAGATATAGGTGAGCGCAGGGGATATGACGAGAGAAATGAGAACTGATTCCAGGTTATCATGTGATTAGAGGATGATACATATGATAAACACGTGCAGATGTAGACTTACAGCCTGATATTCCGGCAGGCAAGAATCGAAGGGCAGTTTGTAGCTCGCTTAGCCCGAGGTAATCTTGATAGCTAAAGGTAGAGGTCAGAACATCTTACCAGCATCATGAACAAGGTTTGATTAAATGAGGTGAGAAGCTAAACTTACAACTCGGTTGCAAAAACCAAAAAGCTGTTAAATGATCCATAAACAAGACCGATGAGCAAAAAGAGTGCTGAAAACTTGGCGCGTCGAAACATAGAGACCTTGAGAAGTGGCACTCGTTCATATCTTTCCTCTAAGCATCGCTGCCAGAAGACAAAAAGACAGAGAAGAATGGCCGCAACAGCAATAAGCGTTGGAACCCAAGGAGTCCCCCATCCGACCACACTTCCTTCGGAGAAGGAGACCAAGAAAAGGAGAAGGCTGCTCGATATCAACAGAGCACCGAGCCAATCAATATCCACCTCGGAGCGAGCCTTTCTGATTGGAAATTTCGACGTTGATAAAGCTGCAGCCCCAGTTGCCATCGATGATATTATAGCGGGGATCCAAAAGACCCATTTCCATCCCAACAAGTCGCCGATCACTCCACCAACCAAGTTTCCTGACACAGAGCCCAGTGACGCGACTCCAATAACGATAGAGTAAGCTCGTTTTCTCTTTCCTCCTGGTGGGTATGTCGTGGTTATCATACCAAGCCCGGCTGGAATGATAGCGGCGCCACCCATTCCTTGTAAAACTCGAAGCATGAAGAAAGGGATTTCAGTGTGACAAAATGGTAGGCAGAGGACTGAGATTGTGAATAAAAGGAACCCGAAGAGGAAGATCATTCGGTGGCCATATACATCAGCCATCCTGCCCCAGAATATCATGAGAGAGGCAAGCGAGATATTATAAAGGGAAACGACTAGGCCTTGACGACTTGATGGAACTTCAAGCGCTTCGCTGATGGATGGAAGAATGATTACCACCGATTGGACGCAAAGAACCTATTCTCACATATCAGCATTGCTTTAAGATACCCAGGTCCACTTAGACCAATTGAAAGCAGACAGTTGTTGGATCGGACAAACAGTTAAAAATGCTGCGCTTGCAACGGTGGAAGTCAGGAGTAAACTTCGTACGAGGCTTAAGGAAGGGTATATGACTTCTTCGGCTGTAGTAGCCACTGCCTGTTTCACTTCAAAATTTGCGATGTCTGGTGCATCCCTTGTATGTGATATCCGTGGCTCTAATGTGGCTGACATTCTCATTGCAGAGATTATGGCAAATTTCTCTTGTGTCTTTTCCTTCAGGTTTCTGTGTAGCTCAAAAATAGGCTTAGCTTTGTTGGTGCTTTAGTGAGACGATAGGAAAAATGGCAGGTTTCTTGGCTTAACGTATAATGGCGGCCTAGCGTTTGAACGAAAGACAGATCGGACGAAAGAAAAATAAGAAAGCTTATGAGGCCGGGGTAGGTGATGTGGAACACGTATGCTAGTGAGTACTTAATTAATACCGTATCTTTAGATATAGACATAGCCGCTTTGGGAAAACGGAAGGAAATAATGACCTGAGTAATTCTGAAAGTTTTATTCCACTACGGCTAAGCCTTGATCCTGGTATCGCAACATTTGTTTTCCACTATTGGTGCTACTCCGTATGGCCGGAAAGATGTTAGAATCACGTACGTGCATGTCAAAATGAGGTGAGGGGATGTTTTAATGACGACATCGGGACCTTGATGAGCGTTCATTATTCTCACACCGCATAACTTTCTTCCTTTTGTTACAGCTGTCCTGCGGAGTGATTATTCTGTATTGGATGTAGTGGACACGATATTTGCGGTCTAAAATAAGGCGGCGTAGCAGTCGACTGTCGGCTATATCGATTCAATGTTCCACTAAGTCATTACTTCCAGTTTCATTACATAGCTCTCTAATTAATAGCAGAGTTTCTGAAACATATATGAAAAATTAAAGGGTCTTGTTGGCTTCTCCAATGCCTTACTGGGTTGAAGTGCTTTTCAAAAACCATGCTGGACAGTCTTCTAGTGGATGCAACTGTGTAATACTGAGAAAGTTGAAGCTGCGTTTGAATTATTTCACTGCGTCGTTGGATTGCAAAACTGTCGAGTGCGGATTACCATATAGAACCTCGCCCTTGGCATTCCGAAGAAAGGCGATTAGTAACTTCAATAAAACGCTCCAGGCACGTCAGGGCTTGACCACTCTCAACTGCCCAGCGAGCCCGGCGTAGGCCTTCCTTCCATCGTCCTCCGCCTGGTCCACGCTCAGTGATGACGTTTCCATTGGGCTCTGCGTCAGGAGTATCAGACTCGCATACACCAGATATGACCAAGAGAGCAGCCACATTCATAAGCACAAATTCCAATACTGGGTCGTCTCGCGAGACTTCTCCCCGCAGAATACTCATTAGCTTCATAGCGTTCTCCTTAGAATTCCCCCCTGGTAAGACACTGGCGAGAGGATGAGTAGATAAGCCAAAGTCTGAGGGGTGGAGCTGAAATGTGTCGATCTGGACTGGTGCCTGGGAAATGTCTTCGCTCGAGGTAGAGTAGCCATCGTCTTGAACCGACATCTCTTCATGCTCAGAGATTCTCCAGCAGTTCGTATATCCTGCACAGCTAATTTCATCTAGATTCTCCTCGCCACACACTACCAACGCTTTCCTGGCCCCACCTTCTTTCAGAACTTCCACGAAGACGGGACCCAGGCTTTGATGAGCCACGCCAACCACCCGAGCTTCAATGGCCCATTCAAGAGGATTAACAAGAGGTCCCATAAGGTTGAAGATAGTTCGGATACCTAAGGCTTTGCGTAAAGGGTTGATATGTGCCATAACCGGGTGGAAGTTGGATGCGAACAGGAATGCATAGTTTGTTTCCTTATATACCTCCACGATGTTGTTCTCGGTGATAGCGTCGATTTTCGGGGCAATCGGTTGAATTGCCTTGAGAAGATCTGCAGATCCACAGGACGAAGTATGAGCACGACTTCCATGCTTAGCCATCATCAATATCGGTGATGCAACAATTGAAGCAGCCGTCGAGACATTGAAAGTCGAATGGGAGTCACCTCCAGTTCCAACAATGTCGCACTAGACCGATAGATCAGATTAGCATAACGAGCGCCGCAAACTGTGTTGATACTAACAAGTCCCCCATTGTAGTTCCCCTTGGGTTCTCCCCTCGCTTCGACAACATTGTGAAGCGAAGATTGGTCAATCTGACAAGCGGCTTCACGCATGTAGTGGGCGCATTTTGCAATGATATCGGCTTGTCCATCCTTTCCGGTGTAGGCAAGCAATGACAAAAAAGATGCGCTTTGAATATGCGATACATGATGGGACAATAACAGCTTGAATGTAGACGCAATTTCATCCGCGCTGATATCGGCAGCATTTGAGTGAGCCAGGCGGCCGAGAAGACGTGTGATAGAGATACTCTCCCGCTTTTGCCGATGGAAGGAAGACATCTCGGTAGGAAATTGAAGAAACACGCTCTCCGCCGAAACAAAATTGTTCAATTTGTTGACGGGAATTTGTACTAGCAGTGTTCCGCATATTCTCAAATGAGGCTAACCTTCTTGGGCATAAGTCGTTTGTAAATTTACCGAGGAGTTCTTCTCTTAATACAGCTGCTGTACCAAATACCATCACCGCCGCCTCACCTCCCTGCTTTTTCACTCTTTGGAGCAAACCTTGGCTTTCTTTGTATCATAATTTACATGACTGGCGATATGGTCGTTCTGCCAATATAAAGGCACAAAAAATCAAGTGTCAAAAATACGTGATTGTCTAATTGACTATCTCCTATGAGTCCTATGACTCCTATCAAATGGATTTCTAAGAAGGCGGTAGGTTAGCTGAGTAAGAAAATGTCAAACTTAGGAAGCGGTCAATTACCGCTATGACCTTTTGGGATAGGCTTGTTCATCGTTCACCCAATTTCCCCAAGTATTGGTATGGTATTCGGACCAAATTCAGATCCGGTGTCGTAACACGCCAGAGCACGGACAGTAGGTCCCAGAGATCGCTCAACCGATCTACAGACAGTGGTGTCTCATAAGTATTTAAGTGGTGGTACTTTGACCAAGACCCACTTTTATGAAATAGTGTCTGGCAGAAACCTCGGTGAAAACCAAGTATTTGGATATAGGGGGGGTAGGATTATAAAAATCGCGCTTTTGTATGTGTTGGCTACTAGCGTGCAGGGTCACGCCCACCTATTATAGTAAGCGGTCAAAAGGGCGGTAAACCCCAAAAGATCCCTAAGTACCACCGCTTAAATACTTATGAGACACCACTGTACCTTTAATCAATCAATCAACTGATTCTATTGGACATATTCAGTACTAGCCAGTACCTCAATTCCTCATCCTGACAGAAAATGATATAGTTATTTACTTTAGTGAACTGTGTATGGTTTTGTCAGGTAAGTATGTTAATATTGAAATGAGGTCCATTGCAAAATGCTACCATGTTAGTGTGAAGTTTTTTTTGGGGATTCGGGCCTTTGCCGATCGGCAGACTGGGATATGGAATAGTGATCTTCAATGCGCCTTGACTCACTGACCTTGCAGCCTACATACTACTATTTACGTGCTTATTGCGGCTCATGGTGTCATTCCGATCACGGAACGAGGGGACGGTCCGACGGTCCGCAACTATGTACTTCTTGGCGAGATACGCCGAGGTGGATACACTCCACTCTTCTGGAGATCAAATCTCAAGTGCGCCGGACTTGTACTCATATTTCCCTCTTAACATACATGTTGCGCAATATGGCGTGATCGAACTAATTATTCTTGTTGGAGCGTGTAGGTTCCCAAGGTGCGAGGTACTTTACCCCGCGGGTCCCAGGTTTTCAGCGTGCGACTAGTCCGGAGATGGTAGTTAGATAGATAGTCAGGAAGTCAGGTCTGGAGGTATGAGTGAGAGTTTCTCTTTCCCTCCTTCTCTCCTTCCTTTCCTCTCCATCCCGCTTTACACAGAGAATTCCATTACTGTTTTCTCCGTGCCTTTTCTTTCTCGATCCACATTGTCCAGGGTAGACACATAGTGTGGCTCGAACAATTCTGGAGGCCCCAGGGTGAGATCCTCGACGAACGCACTGTTAAGGTGGCCAGCCTCAGTGTCCGTGATAGTTTCATACTGTACTTTGGCGTGGCGTCTGCTCAAAGGCCCCTCGAAGCTTTCTCTCGGCCAAGTTTTCGTCTTCCACCGAGCTGTTTATTGTGCCCAATGGTAGGTCTAGTCACGAGACCATCTCCAGTGTCTAGACTAATTCCATCGTGTACAATTTATCATACTTTCGGAAAGGAAACCTACTGGTATGTGGCCGAGGTTGCCTCCTTTTTTACTAAGGAAAGCAAACATGGATGTAATCCTACCAAATTATAGATACCGGTGCACTAGTAGTATCTAATGGCCTCACCTGGGCACATGGGTGCCGTTCGTTACAATATCTGAATCTTGGGACTCCGCAATGAATCAATGGTAGCAGTTTCGATTTTGTTTCGACTATCGATGACAGTGAAAACACGCGATTCATCTCACTTGAAATTTTGGTCTTTGAAACCCGCAATCAATTCGACAGTTCCTTGTTCATCTCGTTTCTTGTCGTACACGTGGGGGTTTAGCAGCATCTGCTGCTTGGCCAAGGTAAACTCGCCCATAGTAATAGGCCGTGTAAATCCTTCTTCCAATATAGCTTGATTTCTTTGGAGAACGGGAGATTGGGAAACCAAGGACCTCAAAATTGTGTCGTTATGAGGTCTGGCGAAATACAACAAGCCCATACGATCATAACCCCACTGATCCTGCGGGGGCGCGATAACTCGGTGAACGGAGGACTTGAAGTACCCTCCAGTCAGCAATGAGAGAATATCCGCCACATTAACCGTGACTGTGTCAGGGAGAGGCCGAACATATCGCCACTGGTTATCGTCCCCTAAAATTTGAAGCCCTGCGACAGGTTGTCGGAACAGCAGTGTGAGGCTCCCAAGGTCCGTATGGCCCTTTACTTGAGGGCCTTGAGTTTCTTCGTGCTCTTTTGGCGTGCGTCGGCAATATTTCATGTAGCGATAATGATCGTCGGATAGCTTTTCGTAGCTGTGTAGTCTCGCTAGCAATTCATCATCCGAGAACTCAAGCAGAACGCCGAAAAGAACCATCAGAGGGAGGACAATGTGCTCGTGTAGATGCTTAGAGAAGCTCTCGATTTCAGCAATATGCCTCTCAATTAGTGGAGGGTGAGCATATTTCCCAGCAAAGTCAGGGGTGAATTTAGGAATGTTGTAGGCCTCAATGTTGTCGCCATGGTTATTCTCAGCCACGCTGCCATCGGCACGGTAGCCTCCCCAGCGATATCCATTGTAATCCCCTTTGCTGTAGTCCACTGAATATTTATGTTTCTCTTCGAAAGGAAGATCGAAAAGAGCCTTGGCTATGGTTAACTGCCGGTCGATTTGGTTTTGCGTGAGTCCAAAATTTTTAACATAGAAGAACCCAACACGATGTACTGCGTGTGACAGCTGGGCAGCCAACGACTGTTTGCCTCCTGTTCTTGCTAGTTCAGAAAGGTCAAGAGTCACGAGGTCAGACCATTGCAAGTCTTCAGCTGACTCGGGTGGGTGAACATAAGGCTGCAAATTTTCGAAAGCCATAGGGTCTTGGTTCCCCTGCTGCTGGGAACCATCAAGGGTAGGGACAGTCTTCAAAACCTCGGCGGTATTTATAATTGACAGAGGGGTCAAAGAATCAATAGTCACAGACATCTTTTTCGCAATTGAATTGGAAGAGACAAAGAAGAGTTTGAAGCAATTGATGGAAATTTGGACTTGTGATGTGACTGTAATGCGAATCCCGAGAAACCATTTGTAGATAGCCATCTAAGGCTAGGGAACCTCGGGAGGTAATACAAATGTTTCTTGGACACACACGCTCTTCTAAGGTTGACTACTAAATTGTAACTTCCGTAGGAACCTCCCGGATTAGGCAATGTCTACGTCGGCTATATCCTGAGACTTCTTCCTCTGAAACCAAATTTCGGATTACGCGTAAGCCGCCTAAACTCTTTGGTTGTTTTCTCGTTTCAATTTTACTGGATTTCCGGTGCCAGAAAAAAGTACTAAGTTGCCTAGTTGAGACTTTTTCTAATGACTAGTCTCCATATTAATTCACTGTCCTTGATATTTTTCCCGTATAGACTGCAGTGGAGAAAATGTCAGGATAAGGAATATCCGTACGAACTAGTACTTGGCATGTCCAATAAGATAGGATGGTTGATTGATGTCTTGGTTACCGAACTAATATCGAGTTTCCTGCGGTACTCGTACTGAGTCGTACAAATAGGCGGTGGGGTCGAGTACATGCTGAATAATCCTGCCCCGAAAGAGTGCTAGTTAGTGGTATTCTCAACTTCACAGAAAACAATCTGTGCAAAGTATTACATATCGACCCTAGTTGGTATTGTGACGGTTTGACTGTACTTTATTTTAGGCTGGTCTGGCAGCCAGAGTTATGATCCACACGCCGTCACAACCTTGGAAGCGCTATCAGATTTACTTATGGTCTTTCTTATAGAATTAATTAGGGCGAAACCAAGCTCTGACTCCTCGACCCTGATACCTGGGGTTATTTTGAGGTCGCTATCGAGCCTGTATTTGGTACTTCCTGTTGTTTTGAATTTCCTGGCCTAGCAGTTTCTCGTCTGCACACTAGTTATGTGTCTGTTACGATTCTGTGGTAATCTTTGAAGATCCACAAAGCATACTCGCTTTCTAGACCTTTTGCGCATGTTGTGATATGATTCCAAAATAATGTAAGTTTTTGCAATAATCACGAATACAAATTACAGGGGTGCTCGGGCACCTGGCGTCCCCGGGGCCCTCATTTGAAACTTCGTATTGTTACCGCCTGTATTTGTTACCAATTGTAACTTCCAAGATTTCGAGGCTGTATACGCAGAGCATAAAAATCATGAGCCGCAGCGGAAATATGACCTGAGTGCATATAAGTCCCTAAGCTAAAACAAAATGCAGCAGAAAATTGTCAATTCTAATTTTAAAAAATTCCGGTATGGGAATTTCCAGCGTTGGGGGCAAGTTTCAAGTTTTCATCATCTCATCTCGCGTCATGGTCATATGAAGTTCTGTCTACATTCCCAGGAGCGTACGAAGTAGATGTGGAGTTGATTAAATAAATGAAGCAACGAGGATTTGCCTCGTCTCTGCGTGGCCGGACTAGCGTGGTTGTATCGGTGATCCTCTTCGTCTTTGTGCATCAACAATTACCCACAGCCCTGTTCTGTATGATCTTGCCGAGCACAATACTTTCTCATTTGGCAGCTCAAACAGTATGGACTATTGGCCATAACGTGACGAGATATGAAATACCTATACGTATTTTCAGGTAAACCCACATACTGGAGACGCCATGCAGGTAGCAAGCAGATTTGCCCATTTTTGGAATTAGCTTCATGGAGTAGATAGTATTGATTATTCATATTTCCGTTACGTTATAGACGATAATACCCCTGTGGCTCTGAAAAAACTGTTTTCCTAATTTGCGTCGGGAGAATCGAATTTCCTCTTATCAAGAAAAGAGCAATTCAACGGTATCATAAGCAAATCAGAAGAAAAACCTCAAGAGCTTCCACTCAATTGAGAGCCCATAACAGCCATGTCTGATGCTGACTTCAATTTCGTTTTTCCGAATCCAGCAGCTGTGGCAAAAGATGGCGGATCAGCCCCTAGTATCATCCATGCAGCCTGGGCGCTGCTGGTAGGCTCCCACACAGACCAGTCTACTGTTCGATTCTCTATCAAGGAAGAACAAGGGTCAAAAATGCACCATACACAGTGCGATACAGGGCTGGTGCAGAGCCCTCGCCTGGTCGAGTATGAGCTTGACTGGGACCAAATCGTCTCGAACATTGTCGAATATTTGGAGGGGAAAGTCTCGACACTTCCTGCACCACCCGTGGACAATTTGAAGCTGCCATCTAATGTTCTCCTTGATAAACAGAGAATAGCTCCGTTTCAATTCGCCTTGATTCATCGACTAGATTCCACATTTGGGTCTAACATCGATAATTTCTTCTGGGAAGAGACGTTGCAGAATGACAATTACGCCGTCAAAGTACAATGGCAGACGCAGGTCAAGGAGGTGGCGGTTCGAATCCATGTCAGGGAGGGTCTCTCTGATGTCTTGTCAGCCGCCAGACTCGCGGCCCAATTGGAGTACATTCTGCAGCAAGTTTCTGACTGGCCGCTGGCAGGAATGCGACTTGCAAACATCCAAGCTGCGAGTAAAGAGGACATTGATCAGATTTGGATGTGGAATTCCAATGTCCCTGAAAAGCATGATGGCTGTATTCATGAATTGATTCAGGCAAGAGCGAGCATGAGTCCGAAGGCCCCTGCTATATGCGCCTGGGATGGAGACATGTCTTATCAGGAGCTGGACAGGTTTTCCTCGATACTAGCATCCAAGATCCTTGAATTTGGAGTCACTTTGGGTGACGCAATTCCGATTTGTATTGAGAAATCACGCTTGATGCCCCTGGCGACTTTGGCAGTCATGAAGGCAGGAGCTGCTTGTGTGGCATTGGATGTGGATCAACCTCAAAAGCGACTCAAAGCTATCACGAGCAAAATCGAGCCTCGTATTATTATGACCTCTCCTGAAAATGCCTCGTTGGCTAAAGAACTTGCGGAAGGAAAGCCTGTGGTAGAAGTGAGAGTTGATCTGGAGGACAAGCTGTACATCGATGAATGCCGACTACCCTGTGTGCAGCCTTCGGATATTGCCTATATAACCTTCACCTCAGGAAGCACTGGGACTCCTAAAGGATCGATGATTAGCCATAGCAATGTGTGCAGTGGGATCAAGCTTCAGGCAGCAGAACTGAATTTCACGGAGTCATCGCGAGTATTGGATCTCGCCCCCTATTGTTTCGATCTGGCCTGGACCAACATGCTCAATACGTTGTGTATGGGAGGCTGTCTCTGTGTACCAAAAATTCAAGACTGCCAGACTGATCTTTCAGCTACGATTGAGAAATTCGAGGCAAACATGATGAACATCACCAGCTCTGCCTTGCGTCTCGTACGACCAGATACTACCGGGCTACAAACAATTCTTTTATCTGGTGAACCAGCGGACGAAGATGTCGTGGCCATATGGGCGCCCCGTGTTAAGTTGTTCAATACATATGGCTCGGCCGAGTGCCCTTCGAAAGGGGTATTCACTGCGATTTCAATATATCAGAAAGGAAAGACTCCAATTGGCAAAGGTCGAGCCACAAACACCTGGATTGTCAATCACCACAGCGGGAGCGGGCTGTGTGGCATCGGTATGATTGGAGAGCTTTGGGTCGAGGGGCCGATTGTTGGTCAAGGCTACTGGATGGATCCAGCGCAGACTGCCAAGGTGTTTGTGGAGGACCCTACGTGGGCTCTGGAAGGAAGCTCTGTGCATCAGGGTCGTCAATCTCGGTTCTACAAGACAGGGGACCTTGTTCAGTATAATGCGGATGGGTCGCTGTTTTTTGTCGGACGGAAAGACCAAATGGTCAAGATCCGAGGACAGCGCGTTGAACTGGGAGAGGTTGAACATTGCATTCGTCAATATTTGCAAGCCACCGAGCTCAATGCCCTAACGGAGGCTTTGTGTGAGTTGGTTCTTCCACTCTCTGAGAAAAGAGCACAGCGGCACCTGTTAGTGTCATATTTCGTCATTGATGAAGCTCCCATTGACGTTCTTCGCCCGTTGATAAGAGATCTTCATGCGCATTTGACCAGGAAGTTGCCACCATACATGGTTCCCTCTCTATACATACCAATGCCACGACTTCCTCGAACGGCAACGGGCAAATTGGACCGCCGCAAGATACGTGCAGATGATAACGCGCTGACCCTGCTTGAATTGAGCGCGCGTGACCCGAGGCACAAGAACTCGAAACGGGATCCAGAAACAGAGATGGAAAACCTACTGAAAGAGTTATGGTCCACAGTGCTTGATATTGATCAATTTGCCATCAGTACACTGGACAGTTTCTTACTGCTGGGAGGAGATTCCATCGCAGCGATTCAACTGGTTGGGGCTGCTCGTGAAAAGGGCTTCTCAGTAACAGTTGAGGACATCTTCCGTTACCCAGAGCTTGAGAGATTGGCCAGGCTTCTTGGACATGCAGAGACCATATCGGAAGAAACTATCCCACAGTTCTCCCTATTGCCGAACGATATCGCGCTAGAAAAGATGATCCAAACATGTGCAAGTATCTGTGATGTAGGTATTGAGATGGTCGAGGATATCCTTCCATGTACACCGACTCAGGAAGCGTTCATGGCCATCACATCACGAAGGGACGATGTGGATTCCTTAATTACCTATTCCTTTGTCCTTCCCGCTTCTCTAGATCTGACCCGATTTTCTCGGGCGTTGGAGGAGGTTGTTGATAGCAATCCAATTCTGCGGACACGCATAGTTGATGCTCAAGGCTTGGGACTTTTGCAGGTCGTGGTCAATGACCAATCGAAGTTTTTAACCGCAGGATGTGTCAGAAGTTCTCTCAAGGGGCAGAGAGCCCAAAAACGAGGGGGTTTTGGAGAACGATTGAATGAATTCGACATTATTGTGGAGAAGAAGAAGACTTTCTTCATCTGGGCTGTTCACCACGCCGTATACGATGCCTGGTCGCAATCGCTGATCCTTGATCAAATCGAGAGATTATATCTGGGGCACAGTGAGAGGAAGCTCTGTTCAATGAAGACGCCGCTGTATTTTCAAAGAGGGTTGGATGACCAGTCAGCCAAAAGGTTTTGGCAAGCTCAGTTGGAAAGATGCGCCCGGCCTCCTTTTCCTCTCAATACTGCCTCCCTTGGCTACCATCCAACCTCCAGCCATTCTCACCTCCATCTTATTCCACATATGTCCTGGTCAGATTCTGGGTTTACGGTGGCGACAATGATTCGGGCAGCATGGGCAATGACGCTATCTCGTTATGTCGGTTCAGGTGACGTTGTATTTGCAGCGACGGTGACTGGTCGCCAAGCTTCAGTCCCAGGCATCGAGAAAGTGGCTGCCCCCACAGTGTGCACTGTACCTGTTCGGGTGGAAATTAATCCACTTGATTCTATCCATGCTCTTCTGACAAATGTGCAGCAGCAAGCAGTGGACATGGCTTCATATGAGCACACTGGGCTACACAAAATCAGTCGCATGATTGATGACGTGGATTTATCCCAAGCAATGGAGACTCTTTTGGTGATTCAAGCGCAAGATGCCCTAACAGGCGATCTTTTCACGCCATCGGCATATAGTGGCTCCACAGGTGGCAGTGAGCTGGCCGTTTTCAACACCTTTGCCATTATGCTGGAAACAAAACCTAGAGGGAAGGACGACTTATCCCTTTGTTTTCGATATGATGACAGCATCATTGCCCCCCAGCAAGTGACTCTCCTTGCTTCGCAGTTTGAGGCCATTCTCTGCCAATTCAGGAGCGCTAACCCGACTGACGTGATATCTCAGCTGAATTTTACGAGTGAGAATGACCAAAGTCTTATCTGGAAGTGGAACTCGCAAGTTCTCAGTCCGATAAATCAGACTGTTCACAGTATTGTTCACCAAGCTACTCGTCATTTACCTCCGTCTACCGAGGCGATTTGTGCTTGGGATGGGATGGTCACTTATGGTGAGCTTCAACACTATTCTGATAATCTGGCAATGGCTCTCTCATGTCGGCAAATTGGACAAGGGGATCATGTCATGATTTGCTTAGAGAAGTCCAAGTGGATGCCTGTGGCCATGCTAGGTGTAATGAAGGCTGGAGGGGTCGCTGTTGCACTTGACGTCACCCAACCAATGGAGCGTCTTTCCACTATTGCTCACCAAGTGAGACCTCTCTTGATCCTTACTTCATACGAGTCCAAGAATATTGCAACAAATCTTCTGGATCGAAAGCCATTGATCATCTCAGAAAACACCATGAGCAATGATTGTCCTGATGGAGTTTGCCTGCCAGCTGTCCAGCCGTCCAATGCGTTATTTATTGTCTTCACGTCTGGAACGACCGGCATACCCAAAGGAGTCGTGATTACCCATTCAAACTTCTGCAGCGCAATCAAGTACCACGCGAAGATGTCTCGTCTGAACGAAAGTTCGCGTGTTTTTGACTTTGCTTCACATGCTTTTGATGGTGCGTGGGTCAATGTCCTTCAAACTCTGCATGCTGGGGGCTGTGTTTGTATTCCTTCAGAGCATGAGAGGCGTAATGACCTAGGAGCTGCCATCCGACGAACAGAGGCAAACTTCACATACTTGCCTCCATCCCTGCTACGATTTCTGGACCCATCCTGTGTCCCAACCCTGAAAACAGTTTTCATGGTTGGAGAAGCTGTTCCAGAAGACCTGCGGGCAAAATGGCGGAAAGCATGCCATGTCGGCGTTGCTTATGGTCCAGCTGAATGTACTGTGACTAGCACCATGACAGATTCGCTGAATCCACCAGACATTCATCATAGCATAGGTGTCGGTGTAGGTGTCAATACTTGGATTGTTGATCCTCTGCACCCGATGACGTCGCTTGCACCAATTGGCAGTGTGGGAGAGCTGTGGTTAGAAGGCCCCCTTGTAGGGCCTGGATATCTGAACAACCCGGCAGAAGATGCAAAGGCTTTTGTACAAGATCCTCAGTGGCTTCTCCAAGGATATGGCAGTCACCCTGGTCGATCTGGAAGGCTTTATAGGACAAGGGATTTGGTGAGGTATCACTGGGATGGATCTATTCGATTCGTTGGCAGACAAGATACTCAGATAAAATTACGCGGTCAGCGTATTGAGCTTGAAGAAGTTGAACATCATCTGAGAAAACATTTGGAGCCCTTGTATCGTGATGCCAGACTAGCTGTCGAAGTTATCGTCCCCGCTGGGACAACTACACATACCCTTGTTGCATTCGTCGAAACACCCGGGCCAATGGCCGGAGTGGCTGAGTCTGTTGATTCTTCTTGTGGCCTACTCGTCTCTTTGAACCAAGTGGGAGAGGAATTGCGAAAAATCATCCCCGGATACATGATACCGGCAGCATATATTCCAGTCGAGACACTCCCATTGAGCCCAAACGGCAAGTTGGATCGGTTGAAATTGAGGCATATGGGCACCCAATTCAGTTGGAAAGACTTACAGATGTTCACGGAGTCAGACAATCAGCACGAAAATTCTCGAATCCAGCCACCTAGTAGCCCAGTGATGGAAGAATTGCAAAGAATCTGGAGTGACGTTCTGAATATTCCCAAGCAAGATGTATCCATGGCAGTTTCCTTCACCCGCCAGGGAGGCGATTCAATTACCGCAATGCAAGTTGTCTCGCGCTGTAGGGTGCAATCAATTCAAATGACCGTCAGCAAGCTTCTTAGTGGCAAAACTATCGAACAGCTGGCGGCCAGCCGGGGGACGAAGGGTCAAGGCCCTCCCAGTATGGAGCAGCAAGCATCAGGTTCGCATGCATGGGCTTTATCTCCAGTACAGCAGATGTACTTTGAAATGTATCCAGAGGGTCTCAACCACTATAATCAGGCATTCATGTTGCGCCTCAGAAGAAAGATCAAAGCTCATGGGCTCCTTTTGGCCACCAAACAGATTGTGGCTCGCCATGGGATGCTGCGAGCACGATTCAGACAGCGTGATGATGGCTCTTGGGAACAGTATATCAAAGATATGACTGAAGATGCTTTCAGGTTTACTACTCAGGTGGTGGCAAGTGAAGAAGATCTCCGCTCACTGGCTAGCGAGGAGCAGAAGTTGATGAACATCCGCACAGGGCCTTTATTTTCAGTTGTCTTATTTTTAGTCACTAACACCAACGCCCAGTACGCTCTGTTCACCGCACACCACTTGGTGATTGATCTAGTATCATGGAGAGTTATATGGTATGATCTGGAGCAGTTACTACTGGGAAACCCAATCAGCCCTGCATCAAGTGTGTCATTTCAGACATGGTGCCATCTTCAAGCTGAGCAGACCAAATTTCTTCATCCACGGGATCTGCTACCCTTTGACCTCAAGGCCCCAGACTTGGGATACTGGGGTCTCACAATAGAGGATAATGTCCAAGACGGCTTCATCGTGGATCAAGTGGCATTCCCTCATGTATTGACTACAAGTCTGTTCAAACAGAGCAATCATGCCTTCCAGATTGCTCCAGTCGATATCATTTTGGGATCTTTACTGCATTCCTTCCAGACTGCTTTTCACAACAGATCGGTTCCAACTGTATTTTTTGAAGGTCATGGGCGAGAACCGCTACTGAGCAATGATGCTTCTGAAGCGGTCGACCTTAGTGGAACAGTAGGCTGGTTTACCACTGTTCATCCACTGCAAGTATCGATGGATGCGACCACCTCGTTATTGGACGTCATTCACCGTGTTCGGCTGGTCAGGGATAGCGTTCTTTGCAGAGGACAGCCGTATTTCTCATCCAGCTATGCAGGTTCGGGGGGGCAGAGATGCTTCCAAGCTCACAAAGGTGTTGAAATTCTTTTCAATTACATGGGTGCCTATCAACAGCTAGAGGCTGTGGAAAGCGTGTTTGAACGATACAATTCTGAAGAGGTACCCAATCAGGTGGCCTCGCAGACAAAGCGAGTCGGTGTCATTGAAACAAGTGCTTGGGTGCATCAAGGAGAGTTGTTTTTCAGATTTGAGCGCCACAAGCGACTCAAGGGGATGCAAGACCAATTTGACCTTTGGATTGATACTTTTGCAGAAAGTCTCGAGTCCGCCATTCGCCAGCTGCAAAACAGCAACAAAATACTGTTTGGCATTCAATCACCAAGCTTGTTCAATATTGACCAATTTCTCATTGCGCAAGGGCTCACTGTCGATGACATAGAGGCTGTGCATCCATGCAGCGCTACTCAAAGACACATGCTTGAAGCTCAAGCTGTACAGGGTCCCGGCATTTATGTGATCTCTCTGCAGTTCAAAGTCAATTTTTTTCCCGATGAAGGCTCTTCTCAAGGAGCCCTACAGAGTGCGTGGGGCATCATTGTCGATCGCTATCAATCCCTGCGTACGATATTTCTACGAGAAACGCCATCAATAGCATCCCAGTTCATTCTGAAGCCTGCGGCATTCCAGAGACACAAATCCAGTCAGAATTGCCAAGTTTCCTCAGGTCAGCTTCCAGTGACACATGAAGTTACCATCGAGCCTACCAACTCCCATCTGCTGGTCACACTCGAAGTCAATCATGCAGTCATAGACAGGGTTTCTATGAACCACATCTTGGATGACTGGCAGGCCGTGTACTCCAAGATCTCACTTCCTCCTCTGTCTACCCAGTTCAACGATGTCATCCCCGAGATTTTACAGCTTGAACGGTCTGAGATGCCATCGATATTCTGGCGCAAGACTTTAGAGGTGGCAAAAGGCCCCTTCACGCTCCCAATTAACTCCAAGGTTCGGCAACATTCCCAGAATGCATGCAGTATAACGAGAAATTTCTCTCGGTTGCGAGACATCAAGTCGGTAGCACAAACCCATAATGCTACACCAACCTCTTTGCTCTATGCTGCTCTTGCAATCACGATGTGCTCTCAACTTAAGCAAGACCACGCTGGGTTTACGACTGTATCTATGGGCCGCAGCCAGCTCCCCCCTGGTTCTCAGAATTGCGTCGGCCCTTTCCTGACTCTCATTCCTTGCATTGTGGCTGATGTATCCAAGTCAAGCTCAGTTCACATACTGCAAGCCACTCATCAGCACATGTCTAGTGCATCAGAACATGAGCGAGTCGATATCCAAGCACTCGAGAGAGAAGTGGGGGAGACTCCTATTTTCAACATTGTGGTTAATTATCGCAAATTCTCAAAGCCTGAACCTAGGTCTTCCGCTCAATTATGCAAGTTCCAAACATTGGCATCTCGAGATTTGTGGACTTTCGATATTGTGTTGGGCGTGGAGGAAATCCACGACGAGCTGGTGATTTGTCTACAATGGTATGAAGGACGTCTACAGCGTGATGAGGCAGAACGATGGCTGGCTGCCTTACATGCTACATTGGATGAGTGTGTAGAGGATCTCTGCTTGGTGGATAGGCTCCGCCAGTAATCTATCAGGATATCGCTCTGTCTCTGTTGCAAAATCTTAGTAGTGTGTTTCGACACATGCGCTGTTTGACTTCGGCCTTTGAATTTATGGTGTTGGTGGGTAACCGATACTAATTTCAGACTAAAGCTGAACGGTGCCCTTAAGCTTATGAAGAGATTAGAAGAGGCTAAAAAGCACGTGCATACTTAATAGGCTTTGCATAATCACGAGATTGAGAAATCAAAAGTAGCATAAGTAACATACCTGAGCAAGTTTTGGTCACCACTCGTTAAGAAAAACATAACTGACTCAATGTATTGATGATTGTATCAGTCTGTTTTTCATCTGTATCGAAACGTAAGAGGCGGTGCCGTCAAATACGGGACCACACAGCCACAGAGCCTCTGGCTCAGCCACACTGTATTTGTTACTCATACATCATTACATGAAAATACCAGGCATATTTTTCAATTCAGTATGTCGACATTTTACGTTTGCATGTACAAGAGCCAGGCCATACAAAATCATCTCTTGGGTTCTTGAGGCTCTTGACGTGAACTGTGAGATATATATTTGTTGAAGAGGTATGGTATTCCACCAAATTAATCAATTTGACTCAGTCTATAATTGTTATTGGTTGCCTGGTTGGGATGGGAAAATGACCGAGATTTCTGGGAAATAGTGGTTCCTGGGGCTGTGCGGTAAGGGTCAGATGATCTATTTCCAGGAGCTTTTGGGATCCTAGGAAGGTGAAGTCGACATCTGGATTCCTAGATCTGCATATTTCTGGGATTGAGGAATAGAACTGTATGGTATTATTAGAAGGTCAAGTCTATGATTAAATATAAAACAAATATGAGCCTTATAGTAATCAGACCTGGGATCGGATGATGAAGCCTGTCGATCGGATGAAAATAAGAAATTCTGCGCATATCTTAAATAAAGTCTCATAATAGTTGACTATAGTTTCTGTTCGACTGAACAAAGCATATTGACTAAATTATAAAGCTTGTCGATCGGAAGAAGATCAAGAAATTCTGCGCATATTCTAATAAAGTCTTATAATACTATAGGATAATGAAGCCTGTCGATTGGATGAAAACAATAAATTATACATATATTTTGAATAAAGTCATATAATACTATAGTCTCTGGTCAACTAAAAGAGTCTGTCGACTAAACTAAAAACCTGTCGGTCGGACGACAAAACCTCTAGTCCTAAGGAATCATGCGCATATCCTAAATAAAGTCTTATGATACTATAGTTTCTGCTCAACTAAAAGAGTCTGTCGACTAAACTAAAAACCTGTCGGTCGGACGACAAAACCTCTAGTCCTAAGGAATCATGCGCATATCCTAAATAAAGTCTTATGATACTATAGTTTCTGCTCAACTAAAAGAGTCTGTCGACTAAACTAAAAACCTGTCGATCGGACGACAAAACCTCTAGTCCTAAGAAATCATGCGCATATCCTTACAAAGTCTTATATTAGTGAAATCTTGTCCGATCGATTTGAAGAGATAAACTATGCACATGGCCTAAGAAATCTATATTAACTATGAATTCCGCTCACCCGATCGAATCATATGAGGGAAAAACCATGTGCATAACCTAACAAACTTATACAAGCCCTGGTATCAATGGACCGTCAGTTAGTCATGAATGCATACATCCTTAGATGACAAAGAGGAACAGTGTACCCTGAGTAGTACTTGAGCAGAGTACATAATAGGTACTTGGGATGGGTACATACTGTGTACTCGAGACGAGTACCTAATTGCATATCGCGCGGTAGTATCGCACCTCCCAAGGCTTTCTTTCAGCTGCCAACCTTGTAGGGGTGAAGCCCGAGGGGAGTTCATCAAGTAGTCATTGCAATTCACACAAGATGCCTCCATATTTGAGGCATTGATACCGCATGCGTATATTGAAGTACCTAAATGTGATATCGAATTGTGGTGCTTAAATACCAACCCTCAAGCCTCAGTTGTTTACCACTCTATGAAGGTGCGGCCTCGGTGTTCATGAAGCGTATATTCTAAGCCCTTCCCTTCCTCTTTCTTCTACATCTCGGAGTGACCTAGCTTCAATTCTGAAGCATTTCAAACCGCAGACGCATCATCGATACGGATATCTCAAGCGCTGCTATCTGGTTTGCGCCTTAGCTGTGCGCGCAATACACAGCCTCCACCCGTGGACCTGGATTATCTTCGGTTCCAATGTTAGGCCTCGTCTGCCCACCTGGGCAGGTGGTGGACTTTGCTTGATCCTTCCCCCCTTCCCCCGAGAGCGGTTTCAGCTCCTTGGGGTTCTACAGTGCCCCGTGAAGTTTCTGTTGGAGATTGTGAACCATGTGATGTATCATGTCACATGGTCTGCTCCTAGATGCTCCAGCGCGTGGGTTGGTTTTGTGTGCGAGAGGGTTAGGGTTGTAGTTAGTTTAGGGAAGTGAGAGCTTCTCTCTCATTCCTTCCTTCCTTCCTCCCTTTCTCCTCTCCATCCCGCTCAGTAGAAGAAAACCAATGCAGTTGTTTCTTCTCCTCTTTCTCCTTCTTTCTCTCCTCATTACCATTCGTTTCTTCCCCAGAACCTCATCGACATCGAGGTTCTGACAGTTTCCACGGTACCTCGGGGCACATTGATATCCACAATTGCATTTTCAAAGTTCGATGCGTCGTCGTTTTTTCTTTCAAATGTTGACATGAAACTGAATCGTAAGCGTATTTCCATCTTGATGCGAACTGGTCATTGCAATGCGCGTCTTCAGCCCTCTGATTGAACCTCGAACGATCAGATGAAAAGACAACTCATGCGCATATCCTGAAAAGCCTTGGAACCTATACTAGCTAGGCCAAGTAAAAAAAATAAAAAAAATATGAGTTGCCTCCACGCGGGATTGAACCACGGACCTCTTGATATCGTTTGTACAAGCTGATTTATTTGTTAGTGGGCTATTGAGTAATGCAACGATTCACAGAGCACTTACTCAAGCGCTCTACCACTGAGCTATAGAGGCGAATATATGAGCATGTCTATCCTGCCAAGTGTCCATCAGGATCTATGTTATATTCCGTTTGTGGAGCCTTTGCATAAGTACGAGAATATAACGTTCGACTTAGGCCAGTGCTCTGGAGGACGCAGTCACCTAACTTAGTTCAAATCCAACGTGTTGAACGAGAGATAGTGGTTATTTGACACAAATTACAGCATCCACAGGCGATTTCGCTACTTGATCTGCCTAAAGAATCACCGTAGTGAAGACTTCAATGTTGGCTGCAAGAATTGAAGGAACTTGAAGCTACGGAGTAAAATATCACGAATCACAAGATTAAAGATGTCTCTTTTGTCCCAGGTTTGAATTAGCGTGTCAATGATAAAGAAAAAAAAGATTGTTGGTGCCTCTCGCATACCAATGGCGATCGCTACTGTAGCAACACGACTGCGACAGGACAGGGGCAATTGTTCGTGCTGCCGGGGATATCCCTAATTCGTTGTAGTGGGAAACGAATGCGCTAGTCACGCGTCGACTAGCGGTGGACGCGTTTCCCGTTAAGGCCGTTGTTCGAGTTAGCGGATGTAAAGATTGGTGCAAGGTATTAAGCCAAGATTTCACTAACGCTGATACGTTTGACACCAATGGATGCTTTGCCACTGGTAGCTGCCTCTTATCTGCGTCGGCAAAATTCTTGTTGATAAGGCCAGTCAGGAATCAAGGATGCAGGCTTTATCGCTTTATCGGTTTATCAGTAGACAAGTCACAATAGTTCAATTGTTAGTCACCGCTTACAATAATCCTTGTTCCTCGACTACCTTAATTGCACCCTGGTGATATTAATACTGCACTTCAGTGGTTGAAAAGAGATACTCGCGTCTGTAAATTCTGATCATTACTTCTGTCGGACAGTCCGATGAAAATCACTTCACTTCAAGATCCAGAAGCGGGGTTCGACTTGCTATCTTGAGCCAAGCTCGCCTTTCTCCACTTGCGATCAACGGCCTCCTGTCCACTTCTTATCTTTCCCCGCGTTACGAATGCACTAGACAAGAATCTCGCCCGATGTCGAAGCCAAGAACAATAAAGAGATCCCTGCGCCGCAAGGCCCGAGCAGGCAGTCCGGCATTCTTTTTCAATTGCAGCCAAGTCGCGCAGAAAGGGTGACATACATCATGGACATCAAAGAGGCCAAGACTGAAACAGTCAGGCCTGCGTCTGACAATGCGGACGAGGAAGTTGGCGAAGGACGCCTCGACAAGGTTGAGCTTGATTCTGATAACCAAGATGAGAATGTCGAATACAGCTATGAATCCAACCGATCTCCATTTCCCGAAGGTCTGCGCATGTCCATTCAATGTTGTTTTGTTTATTTGGTTATGTCGTGATTTTAATATTTCAAAAAGTGAGAGCTGTTGTCCCCGAGACCGACGATCCCACAATGCCCGTCAATACTGTCCGAATGTGGGTGCTTGGAGTTCTGTTTACGATGTTGGGGTCGGGAATCAATCAATTCTTCTCGCTGCGATATCCATCAGTCCATATCGTCGCCCTTGTTGCAGAGCTCTTGGCCTACCCCCTCGGTGTTTTCCTCGCCAAAACTCTACCCCTCGTCACGATTCCCCTTGGGCCCTTGGGATCATTTGTGCTCAATCCCGATCGTCATTTCAATATCAAGGAGCATGCCTTGATTGTCATCATGAGCAATGTCTCATTTGGATATGCCACGGCCGATGCCACAAATATCATCCAAGCTTCTAGTAAAGCATTTTATAACTTTGACCTGAAGCCCGGCTTCTATGTGATGATTGTTCTCTGTGCACAACTGCTTGGTTTTGGAGTTGCTGGTCTGACTGCTCCGTGGTTGGTCGAGCCTGCCCGAATCATCTGGCCGGGAGTGTTATCCAACTGTGCCATGCTAGAAACGCTGCATTCGCGAGCCAACACCGTTGCCAATGGATGGCGCATCTCTCGCTTGCGGTTCTTTTTATACATCACCGCCGGCGGGTTTGTCTGGTACTTTTTCCCAGGCTTGATATTCACTGCCCTCTCATACTTCACTTGGGTCTGCTGGATTGCGCCCAAGAATGTCATTGTCAACCAGCTTTTTGGCATGCAGACTGGTCTAGGCCTTAGCCCTATCACATTTGACTGGAGCCAAATTGCATACAACACCAATCCACTTCTATCACCCTCGTGGGCAGCTCTCAACGTCTTTGCTGGATTCGCTGTTTGCTTCTGGATCGTGGTTCCAATTCTCTACTACAAGAACACGTGGTTCACAGCATACCTTCCACTTATGACTGCCGATGTCTATGACCGAACTGGTGCAGTTTACGACACGGCCCGTGTCATTTCATCCAGTAACACGCTGGATGTAGAAGCTTACCGCAACTACTCACCACCATATCTCGGTGCAACATTTGCATTCGTATACGGTCTCTCATTTGCCTCGATTACGTCCGTGCTATCACACATTGGCATCTGGCATGCCCGCGATCTCTGGGACGCGATGAAGGGTCGAAACAAGCTCGATATCCACGCACGCCTTGTTCGCGCTTCGTACCGCCGTACACCATGGTGGTGGTACGCATGTATCATCGTCATTATCATGGCCATGTCTATTGCTATGGTTGAGGTCTACGAAACTAAGCTCCCCGTTTATGGTGTCTTCCTAGGCTTGATCATTCCCGCCATCTATATGGTCCCGTGTGGCATTGTGCAGGGTATCACGAACGTTGACGCAAATCAGCTCAATGTTCTCGCCGAGTTCATGGGCGGGTATCTGTTCGAAGGCAAGCCGCTGGCAAACATGATTTTCAAGATCTTGTCGACAGATGTCGTTGGCCAAGGCGTTTACTTTGCCATGGATATGAAGCTCGGACATTATCTCAAGGTGCCCCCGCGGACCACTTTCTTCGCTCAGGGTATCGCTACAATTCTCGGTGCCCTGACGCAGGCCGGTGTGACGATTTGGATGCTTGGCAACATTGATGGAATCTGCGAAACTGACCAGGTAGACAGCTTTACCTGTCCCAATGGCAGAACAGTGTACTCGTCGTCGGTGATTTGGGGTCTTGTTGGACCAAGTCGGCTTTATTCCGCCGGGAAGCTATATTCAGGCCTTTTGCATTTCTTCTGGATTGGGCTGCTCGCCCCGTTCATTACTTACTTTATGTACCGCTGGACTCGAAACCGCTTCTGGAAGCTTATTAATTGGCCCTTGATCTTTGTGGGAACTTATAATGTCCCACCAGGTATGTTTAAAGCCTTGATATTTTGAAACCCTGAGAGTTATTTGAGCATCCCCAGCTGACTCTCGCAGCGACCGGAATTAATTATTCCAGCTGGGCCCTCGTCAACTTTCTCTTCAATCACCTGATACGCCGTCGCTTCTTTTCTTGGTGGACCAAATATAGTTCGTTATCCCTAATCCCACGCTTTAATGCTTTCCATGAGCAAGACCACTAACTCTAGCACTTTAGACTATATTCTGGCCGCTGCACTCGACACTGGTCTTGCACTTAGCGGCATTGTGATCTTCTTCTGCATATCGTACCCCGGTGCCACTTTCCCGGACTGGTGGGGCAATACAGTTTACCTGAATACTGCTGATGCAGACGGTGTTTCGTGGCTCAAGATGCCATCAGTTGGGTATTTTGGTCCTGCTAACGGAACATGGACCTGAGCTGGGGTCCGCGACCTCAGCGCTTCAGTCAAATACCACTCTACAATGTCTTGAAATTCAGACATTAAACCCGCATGTACGGACCTGTACATTGATATATTCAAAATTTTGTTTCGTCAAAATCTTCGAACAGACTAGTAGGTATATGTGCATACACAACCAGTTTATAACTATAATATCTAACCTTGAATGTTGGAACCTTGGTATTCAAATGTCAAATTATGGATTTTCAAAACTTGGACCAACTAACATTGGGAAATTGAATTCAAATTCTTGGCACAGCTACTAGCACTTGAGCTTTTTTGCCTATGTAGTTGGACAACTCATTATTAATTTAATCATACTTTCCATGATCGTGTTTTGCCGGTGATTGCCTCGATCCGAACCCATAGCGTGGCCATGCTTGCCGCAAAGAGCAACATACCAACAGTGACGCTAGCTCTCCAGTAGACTGAGACAGAGGACAGTGCTGATTGTCCCGGAAGCAATAATCCTGTTAACGGTGTTCCTAACAAGGCTCCCATGCCTCGGATGAGGTATAGAGCACCGTTCACGGAAGTGAAGTGCTGCACGCCAAATAGCTCAATCAAGCTCGCGGGGAACAGAGAGATATAGGCACTACCAAAGGTCCCGTAAAAAATTGTGAAGAAAATAAACAAGACCTCTCCAGCGGTCATGGAAATAGTCGTACCGGCAAAAGTAGCTGGAAGCCACAGCGCGAAAACAGAGATGGCACTTAACACGGTTGTAGTGTACAGCACGTTTAAACGACCAAGTTTGTCGGCCGCATAACCGATCACAATACGGGAGATAAAGTTCGCCGCGTTGCTAATAGTGATAAAGTTGTCCGCCATCCGATCGCTGTATCCCAGAGACCGCGCAAAAGCGGCATAGAAAAACAAAGGTGTCGAGTACCCAGCAGACTGCAAGAAGCAACCTAACGCCTGCGCGACAAACTTCTTTGACTTGGCAACCTCCCAGTTGATTAGTGGAACTTTCATCCATCCAGTTTTCTTCGAAATGCCGGCATTCTGTTCATGAAGTTTTTCTTGGAACTTTGGTTCCCATTTCAATGCGTATCCGGAGATGGGCACGAAGAGGACATTCAGGCACCCGGATATGCGTAGCGCATTCCGAAATCCGATTTCCGCGGTGATAGCTCTTAGTACAGGTGGCCAAACCATACCACCACAAGCGGAACCAGAAATGACAATTCCCATGGCCAGACCACGCCGTTTGTTAAACCAAGTTGGACTGACGGACATGGTTGGCACGTAGGCCATACAGGTGCCGAGGCCAACGAGGACACCGTGGGTGAGCTGGAACTCCCAGATAGACTCGCTCAAACTGGCAAGGATACATCCAAGACCGAAGACGACACCTCCGGCCATGATTATGGGCTGGGGTCCGTAAAGCTTGGCCCAGGCGCTAACAAATGGCCCACCCATTGACATCAGCGCAATGGATAATGTACCGATGAGACTGATGATTGAGGACGATGTCCCTGTAAACGGATTACCGGATTCTTTGGCCATTTCTTCATAGATTGCCTGGTATACTCCGAATGAGAAAACAATACCGCAGGTCATGAACATTGTCATGAAGCCAGCAGCCACGACCAGGACATGGTGACTGTATTGAGTTAGTATACAATGTACCTTGTGGAGAATTCCGATGGAGAAATTCTAGAAGAAAAAAAGAAAGAAAAAAAAACATGGACTTGGAAAGCTTGGCAAAGCTTGTTGTTTGATGTAGGTTGTAGACACTTACAAATTCGATGGTGCCGGAGTTGAGTTTTCCTGCGACTCATTTTGCGCCGGGATTGGATCCAGCGGGGCCGCAGGCTCTGTTTTGGTGGCCTCAGAAGTCTTTGACTCTATCATAATGATGGTGTGTCACTCCTGCGAGCACAGGGAGGGTAAGAGAAGAAAAATAAAATTGAACATTTTCACATTTTCATCGAGGTCAAAGATCACGGCAACGACGGCATCTTTTCCCATCCGACTGTTCTGATAATTGGGTTGTGGAGAACCTCCAACTTCCCCAGAGTTAAGTAACATGCGGCCATAGCCGAACCAGTTGCCGTTTTAGGGCATCCTTGAACATGGGTCTTGTTGGAGTTGGAGTCGCATGCTTGTTATTGGAGAAATCGGCAGTTGTTGGCTGGTTCATTAGGCGATTTGGCGGCACTGAGAATACCCGGCCAAAAAACGGTGGCTTGTCCGAACATCTGAACAGATCAAATGCTCAACAAGACCAGCTTAGGTATGAGGAAAAGAGAAGTAGTGGAGAAGTTTAGACGAAGAGCAATGCAAGCAGTCGTTCCTTCCTTTTGAATTTCTTTTCGGTATAGAAATGAGCCCCGCATCTGCAACTGAAGGAAAGCACGCTGCACAGTGCACCGTTTTGCTCGTCATGTGATGACGTACACCCACGTGTTCTTTATCTCATGAAGCTATCGTGTTCTCCATCAATTCAACATCCACAAGAAAAACAAACATGGCGGGTCTTGCACCCTCGAATGTGGTCATTGTCCACCCGGACCTGGGAATAGGCGGTGCCGAGCGACTTATCATCGATGTGGCTCTAGCTCTTCAAAACCGAGGCCACCGCGTGACCATCTACACCTCCCACCGCGACAAGAACCACTGCTTCGACGAAGCCCGCGATGGCACGCTGGACGTCCGTGTCCGCGGAAACACCATATTTCCAGCCCATGTCTTCGGTCGACTCCACATTTTCATGGCCGCCTTGCGCCAACTACACCTGACCTTGTCGCTTCTTTCGGAAATGGGATCGAGGGATACGTTCAACCTCACAACATCGGACAACAAGACCGGGGGAAAGAATGAAACCCAGAATGACATATTTATTGTCGATCAACTCCCCGCATGCGTACCTTTTCTCAAGACCTTTGGCCGGGCCCAAAAATCCCAGTGCCAACGAATCCTATTCTATTGCCATTTCCCCGATCAATTGCTTGCGCGTCGCAATGAAGGGGGCTCCCTTCTTCGGCTAGCTAAGCAACTATACAGATTCCCATTTGATTGGTTTGAAGGTTGGGCAATGAGCGCGTCTGATCGGGTTGTTGCGAACTCGAAATTCTCGCGCGGGGTTGTGCGACAGGTCTTTGGGGCGGACAAACTGGGAGATGTCGAAGTTGTTTATCCATGCGTGGATACGGATGAGAAGGCTATAGCCCCGGAAGCAAAGTCTGCAGGGCCTCTTTGGGGCGGAAAGAAGATTTTACTGAGCATCAACCGCTTCGAGCGGAAAAAGGACATGGCTCTGGCCATTCGGGCATACAATGAATTGGGCGCGGAGAAGAGGAGAGGAACTCGGTTGGTAATTGCTGGTGAGTCTTTTTTTTTTATTTTTTCTTAACATGGCCTTCATATTGAATCCCCTCGCGCTAATCTTGATTTACCTAGGCGGTTATGACAATCGTGTCCAAGAAAATGTACAATACCACCAAGAACTCGATACTCTGGCGACCGGCCTCGGACTACAGACCGCAACCGCCAAGACTGTCCCTTCAGCGCTTGCTATCCCCGATGACATAGATGTCCTATTCCTCCTTTCCGTCCCCACCACCTTCAAAGATACCCTACTAGTACAGTCAAAGTTGCTCCTCTATACCCCGATCAATGAGCATTTCGGCATTGTTCCCGTTGAGGCGATGCGCGTTGGTCTCCCTGTTCTAGCCTCAAATACGGGTGGTCCTTTGGAAACAATCGTTGAGGGCGAAACGGGCTGGCTCCGAGACGCACATGCTGTTAATGAGTGGACGGCTGTCATGGACCAAGTTCTCAATAAATTGAGCCCGCAACAAGTTGACAAGATGGCTACAGCTGGTAAAATAAGAGCCGACCGTGAATTCTCACTCAGAGCGATGGGAGATCGACTAGAAGAAGAGATCTCCACCATGCTTTCAGCCGAGCGTCGTCCGTTTGATGGGTGGATGCAGGTGTTTGTCGGACTTGCTCTCATTATGGCATTCCTTGCGAACGTAGGCCTGTTTGTGTTCCACATGTCCATATGATTTAGTATAGTTGTTTCAATTCCAATACCCCTGTCGTCCCTTGACTTAGTTCCCACAAATCCGTCATAGCATGACCATACATTTTGTCAAATCAGTATGTTCTTATCAATATAAACCAAACACTCACTCATAGACTATGCATTTGACTAATCTCTAGGGATCAAGCCGAGATTTCCAAGGTTATTCAACACCTGGAAGAAAAGTAAACAATACTACTAGTAGCTATGTACTAGTATCTCACAGTAAGCGGGGCTAATTCAATTGATCTACTAGTATGTAACCACCACTACTAGTAGCAAATGCGGCATGCGCGATAAGATCACGATAACGTCACGTGCCTACGTGACGTCGCGTTTCGCGACGGCGTTATCACACTTCTTCATGCTACTAATACATAGTAGAATTTATTTTATTGTCTTTCAAAATGCAAAACATCATTGATCTGATTTCTTCCGATCCTCCAATTCCTGAAAATCTACCACAACATGCAACATCCTCCATCTTCAACCTCCCCCAACGTTCATCCCGCTTGGGACTGATTTCTTCAGACTTGATCGACGCTTCATTTGGTGCCCACGATGAGACCGAGATACCCGCCAAGAAGAGGAGAATACTCCCTGAGCGTCAATCCCCTCCTCGATGCGCCGATTTCGCGTTGGGATCCCACGAATCCGCATTTCCAAGCTCAATTCCCACGACGTTATTTTCAGACGACGAATTTTGTCCTGCACCCTCGCGACCCGCTACATCGAACAAGCAACCAGGGCCAAACGTGGACGATTCAGATCCTTTTGTTTTCACATCCCCAGTAGCTCGCCCGCTTCGACCCAAACCAATGCTCTCCAACTCAAATAACCGAATCCACTCCGCCCCTCCCCCACCAACATCTCATAACCGACACCCCCCGCAACAGGACATTATTACACTCTCTGACGATGATGGTCAATTCCCTAAGCCAGTCGGAACCTTGGCATCGGGCACGCAGGACAGCATAGACGAGTTTAGTGATCCATTCTCCATCCCGGGGTTTACAGATACAATCGAGACTAGCGAAGCTCCTAAAAAGGCGATTTTTTCTAGCACGACGGCAGAGTTGCTCTTTTCTCTTCGCGCAAAAGAAAAACCTACGAGTGCAAAGAAGGTGTCGAGGATAGGCATTCGGAAAAACAAGAGTTCTGGAGGGGGTACGGCGGGGGATTGGAACCTTTCTGATGAGATCGACGAGCCTGCTGAACCAAGGCGTCCAGCAAGGAAGTCCAGCAAAATGACGCCCGAAGAGAAAGAAGCAAAGGTAAATGCCCGGGCCGAAGCAAAAGCACAAAAGGATCGGGAGCGAGAGCTCGAAAAGGAACGAAAAGCGAAAATAAGAGAAGAGAAAGCAAGGCAGAAGCAGGTGGCAGCTGATATCTCTGAGGTGAATAAACGCAAGGTCGACAAGAAGGATTCGACACCAGAGATGATAATTCATATTGCATCTTCACTGGAGGAAGGCAGTGTGGGTATCCAGACCATTGAGTTCATGAAGCGATTGGGAGTGGAGCGCAAGTTCTTTGCTAGCACCATTCCTAATCTGATCAAATGGAGCCGAACGATCAAAGCTAATTACAATGAGGCGGCCGGTCACTGGGAGCCATGCCCTTTGCGGATTGAAGAAGAAAAGCATGTTCTCTGTCTGGTGCCGGCGCAAGACTTTGTTGATATGGTGATTTCTTCCCCCGATAGTGAGGAAGAAGATACCTTGGAACTCCATGTTCTCAAAATTCGGAGCGCATACCCCAACCATAAACCCATCTATCTCATCGAAGGACTTACTGCCTGGATGCGGAAGAACCGAAACTCGAGAAACAGGGCTTACCAGGCGGAAGTACTCCGTCAATTTGATGAGCCAGTTCCTGAACCCCCCACCACCGGCCGTGCGCGCGGCCGGAAACCGAAGAACAAGCCCGAAACCACACCCCCCGTTGATGACGATACGATTGAAGATGCCCTCCTCACGCTTCAAGTAACATATTCATGTCTTATTCACCACACCAATGCGCCGGGGGAGTCAGCGGAATGGATCAAGAACTTCACCGAACACATTTCGACAATCCCCTACCGACAGGAAATGATGGACGGCAATGATGCAGCGTTCTGCATGGATGTGGGTCAAGTCAAATCCGGTGAAGATAACTCGGATACTTTTGTCAAGATGCTCCAGGAAATCAACCGTGTGACCGCGTCCATGTCGTACGGTATTGCTGGCCAGTATCCGTGCGTGACAGACCTGATCCGTGGGATGCGCATGCATGGACCCACGACACTCGAGGATGTTAGGGTATGCAGATTTCTTCCGTTCATGGCCCGTCCCTTTCCCGTTCATTTTAATTGCGCTGGTGAAACTCTGCTGATCCTCTCGTTCTAGAAATCTGCAAACAAGAATGGTGCATTGACGGACTCGAGGGTCGGCCCCGCCACCAGTAAGAGGCTGTACAAGGTATTTACCGGACTTGATCCGACATCGACCGATGTCTAGTTTCTAATTCGGGAGATACCCCTTGTGTTCCGACTTGATGATATTCCTGGCTTGACAATTGTTTTCCCCCTCCATCCCTTTGCCCTACTGTGTAATATCTATCTAGTTATTATTGTTCTTAGCTTGGGATCAATTGACTTGCCCTCGAATGCCCGTCCAGAGAGAAAAAAAATATCCCAACAAACGCTTAGGCCAGGGGCATTGGTAATGGAACCCCTAATTTTGCTGCCTGGTTATCCATTTACCACCAAGTGGAGTATAGTGGAGCTTTTGAAAGGCGACAAGTTGTGGTTTCTTTGCCGAGCCCCCGGCAAAGTTGCTTAACAAAGCTTGGTTTTGCCCCATAGGGCTGTAAGGCGAACCCTACACTGTGTACTCCGGATGCCTGTAAGTATTGGTCACAGTACCATGTCTTATCAGGGTCCGATGGATCCCCTGAATCTCTTCACACTCACTCATTCGCCGATCGTATCGCTTTTCTCCAATTTTTCCGGTTTCCCTCAATCGGCCCCTCTTTTTCTTTCCAGCTCTTTTCTCCTTTAATAATACGGCCCGTATTGAGGGAAACGACAAGATGAGATTGTTGGACCTGACGCGGAAAACCCGGCTATTCTGCTTTCGCCAAAGATCTTATTTTATCAATCGATCGCGGATCAGATAAAACAGACTCTGTTGCCACGCTCCATCTACCCTGGCACGGACAATTGCTTTCCATCTTTTCTTTGATTCCTATAATCGAAAATGGTGACGGAAAGATGGGCTATCAGCCCAATGCTGCTGTTCTCAACGGGATTGCTCGTTCTCTCAGCCTTCAATTATGGTCTGAGTGATCAGGCTTTCTCTTCGTGTCAGGCTATGGACTCGTTCATTAACCAATTCGGAAAGTACAACGCTAAGAAGGGTGAATATGCTATCCCGGCTTTGGATACCTCTCTATACAACAGTCTGAAGGCTGCTGGTCAGATCATTGGTGAGTTTTGCTTGTTTTCGTTTTTCCCCCTCTTGCAGAATCATGAAAATTGACACCAATGTCGTCGTATAGGTGTCTTCATCGGCGGATATGTGAGCAACAAATGGGGACGCCGAATGTGTATCTTCACAATGAGCGTCTATGCACTTGGCAGCGCCTCGGTGGTCGTTAGTTCGACTACCCAGGCACAACTCCAGACAGCCAGAGCCCTGCACTGTGAGTATCTACGACCTCTCTGCATCGAACCCTTTGAATTAGCCAACACCTTTAAAACAACGCCCCGACCTAACCCTTTTTCTTCCCTTTCCAAATAGATATCTACCTTGGTATGCAATTGGCCGTTATCCCCACCTTCCTAGCCGAATTGGCACCCGCCAAGAACCGCGGTGGAATGGGTGTCCTATACTGGCTAAGCATCAAGGCCGGAGGCCTCTTCATCACTGGCATCGCACGCGCAACCAAGAAAATGCCTACAAACGCTGCCTGGCGAATCCCCTTCGGCCTGATCCTTGTAGTTCCCTTCGTGGTCATCTGCTTGGTCTGGTTCATTCCCGAGTCTCCTCGTTGGTATCTGCTCCGTGACCGTCAGGATGAAGCTCTTCGCTCCCTTATCCGTCTCAAGAACAAGAACACATCCGACGAGGAGATCCAGGAGCGATACGAGGTTCTTTCGATGAAGGTTTCTGAACAGCTGCAGAAGAAGTCGTTCAAGGATCTGTTTACCAAGCAGAACAGACAGCGCACTTTTATTGTTTCTGCCGCCAATTTCTTCCAGCAGGCGACTGGTCAGGCTTTTGCTTCGCAGTACGGAACTTTGTTCGTTAAGCAGTTGAACTCGATCAATCCTTTCAGCGTTACCCTTGGTACCAATGCTGTTGATATTGGTGCGATTATCATTTCTGCGTCATTGATTGATGTTGTTGGTCGTCGGTGAGTTTTTTTCCTCCTCTCTCTACTTTGCATTCCCCATCTATTCATCTTATATGTCCGACTAACTTCTCTTCTAGCATGTTGTTCCACACTAGTTCTGCTTTCCAAACAATCTCTCTGATGACAATGGGTGGTCTTGGAACCGCAGATTCAAGCAACGTCGATGCCAAGAAGGGCATCGTGGCCATGCTGCTTCTTTTCAGCTTCAGTTGGTCCCTTGGCTGGGCTCCTTTGACCTACGTTATCGGAGCTGAACTTCCATCCTCTCCGTTGCGTGAGATGACGCTACAAATCGCTTATACCGTTAAGCTTATCACTGAGTATGTGAACCCATCCCCATCTATTTGACAACAGGAGCCCAATGTTAACAATATCTCACTATCCAGATTCGCTGTCACTTTCACATATCCTTACATGGAGACTGCCGATACCCCACACCACGTTGATATCGGTGGTAAATTGGGCTTTATCTACGGTTCGCTCTCAGCTGTGGCTTTCGTTTTCGGATGGTTCTTCATCCCCGAGACGAAGCAATTGGAGATCGAAGAAATTGACATGCAATATGAAAAGAAGGCGTGCAAGTTTGAGGATATTGAGGACTTGGCTGACGAAAAACAGGCCAACGTCACTGAAGTCTCCAAGTAAGGGACGGAGAGACTGTGGAAATATAATGGTGTGAATACTGCTGCATATATGAGAATACATATTAGATAGACCAATGCATGTGCATGTGTGAGCCCAGATTTTCTGCCTGGCTAAAACCTGATGCAAGATCCACATGCATGTGCGCATGCAGACAACGCCTGAGCAAACTTGGAACCCGCGGACACACATGGGCATCAACCTACAGACATCATGAAAAGCCAAAGGTTAATATAAACATTTGAAATACTTAATAATCCATCTACGCAATTGAATATCATTCTTCGAAACAACTGTCCAGGTGTCAAGGTCGAATGCAATTCCAATTTTGCCAAGACTCAAGGCCATTTCCAGATGTCGAGTCCCCAGGCTGGAGGTGGCCAGGTGGAGGTCCACCTACGCACTCAAGTTGACAGCTTCTAACATTTGAACATTCCAGCACTGGTGCTCAAGCTTGGAAGGCTTCAAGGCTAACGGGAAGAATATCTTTCCGTGACCTCGGGAGCCCCGGAGTCAAATTGTGACAAGTCAATATTAATTGATCCATGTATACATAGGCAAAACAGACATCAAGAAACATTTGAACATTTGAATATTGATCAATATAGAGGTCAAGATCCCTATAAGCCTTGAATTCATGCATATTTCTATCGCTATAGATGAATGAACTGGAAAAGAGCACGCTGAATTGCTAGAATCCACTGTCAGACTGGTTAAACAACAACACCTCGCCGCTTCCAACCTCTCCAAGCAGCCAGCCAAGCGACAATGGCAATCCAAACACTGATCGTGCAACCGACAGCCCAGAAACCATAGCAACGCCAACCATGGCATTGCCCATCGGCATCACTACCACTACCATCATCGAGGGCAGTTTGGTATGCGGCAGAGTATACCACCCCCCACAGCGCGGCCCCGATGGCAGGCATCATGGCCACGATACCCCAGTTCGTGGCAAAGTTCTCTACGCCCCATACGACAGAGATGATAATCGGGGTAAGAGAAAATGCACTTCCATAGCCGAAGCCGACGAGAGCGGTTGTCAGATGGAAGAGAGAGGGAACCTTTAATGCGAGGGGACTGGCGAGAATAAGATACCCGATAGAAAGGAGAAGGGCTGATGGGAGCAAAAAGATCATTCGGGAAAGGGTAGTTCGGTTACTGCCTTCAGTAGTAATTGTGTGTCGGCGACTATCTGGAATTGGAGGGAAGAGATGTGTTGCTACCGGTGCAAAAAAATCGGATAGAGACCCTGTCAACAGTCGGGCAATTGTTGAGGTCAATGCGATAGTGGTGACGTGAGTCGATGGAAGTCCGGCTGGTGGAGGCGCATTTAGGGCATAAGATGGAGGTGTTAGAGTCGGAATGATAGTGCCGAGCTGGTTTCAGTCAGTTACTAGCCAGAAAGGACACACAAAGCAGTATCAGAGGACTCACGTTATTAATATATGACTCGCCAGGTCCGGTGACCAGGAAGAACCCAGCGGCTAGCCACCACATGGTGGGATCGAGGAGGAACACACGAGTCTCGTAGTTGAGAAGCCAGTTCTTCTTTCGCCGTTCCTCCTCTTCCCGTTCTTTTTCTCGTCGCCTCTCCTCCCGCTCTTCGCCAGAAAGAGTGAGGGCCTCTTCATCGTTGTCCAAGAAGGTGCCGTATTCTACGGTAGACCGTATCTCACCCCTCGGTCGGAAGAAATCGCTTTCTTCAAGAAGCCCACTTCGCTCCAGCTCCTCAACAGTCTCATCGATATATCTCTCCTCCTCGTCATCGTCGACAATTCGTAATGCGAAAGTGCCGATGAATCCAGTAACCAGTAAAATGACTCCCAAAAAAAGGAAGTAACGGAACACATCCACGTCACCACACTTGCCATCTATATCGCGCTCACACAAAACGTAGGTTCCCAACTGGCTCTGCCACATACCACTGAGCCCAAATGCTGCAATCGGGAGCGCAAGCATGATGCCCTTGTGCTTTCCTCTGCCATAATTCTTGGCACAGGTTGCGACGGCAGCGAGGTACATGCAGCTTGTACCCATTCCAATAGCAATGAATGCCACAACCATGACCCAGAACGGCCATCCTGACCCTCCAGAATCTGGAGGAGGACCGCTCTTATATGTGAATGCTGCGAGAAAATAACCAAGTCCAAACAACACGCCCGAAACCAAGGACAACGGCGACGGACTATACCGGTCGCATAGGTACCCAAACAAGGGAACTAGCAAATACATCGCGATCTCAGCCGCAATGGATATCGCATTGACCCGGAGTTGGGTGTAATGGAGCCTTGTAAGCAACAGGTGCCCGTACAAAGAAAAAGCGGTAATGCTACCCGCGCCCAGGCTGCAAGCTATGAGTCAGTTACCAGACACCATAGAAACATCGCAGTCACAACTCGGAATACATACCAAGTTATAACTCCCCAAACAAAACTAATGACCCGTACTACTTCCTTCTCCATTTTCCGTCGATCGCGTTGAACAATACCATCGACGACATCGCTGAGAAGCCCGTCGTCACTGGTCGGTCCGAATCCAGAGTGTGAGGATTGTTGTGAACGGTGTGATCCTGCCCTGAGCCGGCCAACGCCTGAGCTAGGTCCCTGATTATGTCCATCTATGTTTCCATCTTCGAGAAGTGGTCGATTCGCATCGAAGTCCCGCTTATCGATGGTGTCGATGTGGCCAGTGGAGCTAAACATTGTGCTCAACTCACCCAGTCGCCTGTACCGGGATTCAGTGAGGATGAGTACGGTGAGAGTGTATGTAGCTTGGTGTGTACGAGGTAGTCACTGGATGGGATATTGAAGAGGCGGTATGGGGCTCAGAGCGATTGGTGTAGGTTGAATGACTCCCGTGTCAGCTGGGTGGATCAGTTGCTTTGTTGTCAGAGCTCCACCCTACGTCATTGGGCTTCAAGATAGGCTCATCTTAAGTAGAATGAAAGTATTTGTCTGATGTAAAGAGTTCCTCTGAGCGAGGGGAAATGGCATGAGAAATGGAGAGGGAAGTGAGAGTGCGGAGTAGACCTTGGAGCTCCCAAGCCCAGATTAGATGCGGAGTTGCTTATCGTGGTGCACGTGACCTCGGCCGCTGATCCAGCAGACTGGCAACAAGACTCGAGGGGCAAGACTCGGAAGCACTCCACTCAAGGTACAGGGTATCCTAGCATACGGGGAACAAAGTTGACACATGTATATGTATAATCTAGCATAATATCTGAAAGCAAGACAATATATGTATAATCTAGCATAATATCTGAAAGCAAGACAATAATCAAGGCCAAGAGCACTTGAGTTGATGAGCCAACTAACAGCCGTGGAAAAACTGACAGCTTTGTAAGATGTGACCGCGGGGCGCGGAGTAAGAAAGAAAGAACAGCTACGGAGAATGAAGTGTTTGGTTTGGTGTCGTTACTTGTTTAGGAATTACATACAGCTGGGTGTTCTCTTCTCCAACCTCGGGTCACTGACCCAAGCCTTGATGAAAAGAAAGAACCACATAGTGGGAAGTGCCAAAAAATCCGCCTGTCAATGACCCGAAAGCCGTTGAACAAACCAGTCCGCCGCGCTGTGCAATGCAGGGACCGATCTGTGGTGGACCACATTCATGATCGCGGCCACCCAAACAAGGTAAGTATGAAGAAGAAAAGAAAAAGAGAGGGAAGGAGGAGGGAAGAAGCAGATATTTATACCAGAAGGAGAAGGCGCTAGCCAAGCGAGGAGTCACGTGACCAAACCGGGAATGAGACTCAGTGAGACTCAATGAGACATGTCACATGCTTGAGCAAATTAGGATCTACAGAGTACAGAAGAAAAGATATGTAATTTGAAGATTTTTTTTAATGATGTCTAATACCGAATAATGAAGTATCATGTACAAACAGCACTGCAAAGTGAAGGCCTGGGAAATTCAATAACCTTCGGGGTATTATCAATAAAACAGAACCGAGAAGTGAATCGTAAACAAAGGTTGGGATAATTTCGTACACGCCAATTCCAGAAGAGAAAAGCGAAGAAACAACGAGAAAAGAAGCCAAAACAAAAAAAACCTGGGCTCTAGATGCATCCAGGGGTGACAAGATTCATTGAGTCGTCCGTGGACGTCGTGATATCGTCTGCACTCGTTGAGGGGGAGCAGTTCAGAAGGAGAAAGAGACCAAAAGGTGAAAAAAGCAAGGGGGACATAAGATAAGTAAGGGGGAGGAGTAACATGGGTGTCCAGTGCTAACACAGCCCAAACGAAGCTGCAGGATGTATCTCCAGGAGTCAAATCGGCAGGGAAGTCGAGATCACATCAGAAGCTTACTTCACCTGCATCAGTTTCCATCACACTCTCATTCCAATATTGGTCAGTGGAGGGAACTTCGCGAACAGCAGGTTGGCCACCAAGCGCAATGCCCTCTCCCTCCCCGCGCTCAATGAATTCATCCTGTGTAATTTCGTTCATGATGCGCTGGAAGTACATACGCAATGTGCGAAGACCTCGCAGGTAACCACGATCGATATCATTTGGGTAATGAGGAGGGCAAGGGGTGTCCGGGGCCAATTCGTCCTCGCCGGTGACACAATTTGCAAAGTCAACAATCTTCAACTGAACATCTATATTGTTGTGACCATCATCGTGGACTCGAGGTCGGGAGTTAGGGTCGATAGTGTGGTTCGGGGTTTGTGGTGGAGTAGCCGGGTCGCCATCATACAAAATTAACAGACTGCTGGCATAGAGGCGATATCGATCCAAGCTCCTAATCATGTGTTCCAAAAGTGATAGTTTTTCCAGGATCACGGGGATCTTTTTGACCACGCTAGCATAACTGACACCATCGTAGAGGAATCGGGTTAGAGCATCCTGGAATTCACGACCGGATTTCAAGTCACGTCCAAAGTATTTATCTTCGAAGATGTACTCTTGCTTCTTGACATTCCAGGCTTGCATACCGCATAGACGGACTCCAAGTTGCCGCGATGTTGTTGATTGACACTTGCGTCTTTGTGATTTCTTCTTCTTGTCATTTGCCTCAATACCATACTGTCTGGTGCCCATTTTGAGATCTAGCACGCAAGGTTTGTTCATACCAGCGGTCAGATCTTCCAGAAGGAGGAAGAACTGTACTCGTTCATCCTTCTTCAACTGCGCTTCCTTGGGATTACTGGGCAGATGGGTTGTCAATGAATCTTCCAACCCAAGCTGAGAAGAGGCAGCAGATATTCTGTCGGATGGTGGGGCGTCAGGAATGGAGTGTTCGCGTTCGCTTGCAAAAGCGCCTGTGGATGGTTGCGAAGTCGAGGGAATTTCCGATGGCGGATTGTCTGTAGACGTGGGTACATCGCCCTCCATCGAGAAAATTTCGTCCTCTTTATCTCCACCATATCCGTCGTCTTCGAAAAACATCAGCTCGCCTTTCTTCTCGGAGCCGATGCTTCCGCGCCGGTGCAGACCACCACCCGAATGTCTTCTCCTTACAGATTGACCGCGGTTGACAGAGTTTGCTCGTTTGAGCTGGTCCTCAGTCTTCACTCTCTCTAGCCTCTCACGGTTTTCATCCAAGGCTGTAGATGCAGATGATGAAAGAGCAGGGGCTTCAGGGTCAGACCGCGCTATATCCATTGTAGGTGTCCTCAAGGTCCGAGCCTTGCCAAGTCCTGAAGGACGTGCGAGAGCTGTATCTTCTGACATATTCTCACGCCGACGAGAGGGCAGATCCGAAGCGTTTCTAGACAAATGTAAATGTCCACGAGCATGTCGTCGATGATGATGAATGGCAGGAGGGCTGAAAACCTCTCGAAGGACCTGCTCCTGAAGCTTCCTGTTGACAGTTGTAGCCCCCCATATCTTGGTTTGGTTGCTCAATGAGCTAGGATCTGAGTTGAGCTCCCCCAGGCCACCGGCGGAACGCGGTCGACCGTTGTTGTATGAGTCATCCAGTATCCTGGATCGTTGGCGCGAAAAGAGATCCGCTGGAATAATGTGACGGTTGTTTGCAAGAATCACTTTAGGAACTACACCAGTGACCTGTTTCTGGCTGACGATTCGCTGAGGCTCTACTGGCTCAACCATTTGAGAATCCAATTCAGAGGCTCCATTTAATTGCTTTTGGGTGCCATTTTCAGCCTGATCTTTTGGTCGCTTTGGGGTTTTTGAAAAAGTTACATTCAGAACACCAATGTATCTGCAAAGAAAAAAAAAGATTAGCCTCGAGGAATAAATTAAGAGTGGAGTATAACATGACGTGGCAGGGTTTGGCGCCTAAGTAGGCGGCAAATCTTTCTCTTGGTCACGAAAAAAGAAAAAAGAAAAAAAAATCCGTGACTCACCTAGGGAGAAAGACCAGCATATCCGGATGTCTTCGTTCAATGCGTTCGTAAAACTCATTCTCGCGGTTGTTGAGCTGCTTGCAGACCGCACGCCTGGAGAAACGGAATACAGTTGTGTGACCACCCACTTGATGCCTGTAGGGCTTTAGCTCAACGGCACCAAGGGGACCCGCTGGTTTGCGACGTTCGAGGATGCGGGGTTGCTGGGTGGGGGTGGCAGTTGGCGTGACATCCACATCATCAGTCAAGCTGGAATCATCGATGGAATGCCCACTGTCATCGGCAGAAACTGCATCGGATTCGGCGGTGGAATCATAGCCGTACTCGGAAATTGGGCCCAGAGGAATCTCTGGTACACCCTCAGAAGGAGATCGGAGATCTTGAAGATCACCATGGAGAATCTTGCTTTCATTTTTAGATCGAAAGGATATATCCACATGGCCAACTTCTTGCTCGGGTGGAGGACTACGTTGTTGGGGTATTAACATCAATCCATGACTCTTGTCGGCCGCAGAAAGCTGAACTGGTTGCACGCTGTGTGGGTCTGCCCCTATTGATCGCGGATCATTGACCCCTTCGGCCACGGCAACACGCTCGTGAGGGAAATAAACGGCAGACTTAATTTGTTCGTTTCCCTCATCTTCAAACTGCTCCGAACCTCGTCGGTCATCCTGTTCCACGGAGCTTAGTGATTCTGCAAAATGCTCGATATGAGACTCCTGGAAATAACTCCTGCTGCGTTCCGAATACTGGGCGGGAATACTCCTGGAAAAGGACGAACCGCGGGCACCACCCGGAGTCAGGTGGAAATTCCTGATTTCCTCAAGAAGGCCGCGAGGTAATGCTGGCAGTGGTCGACGCTTGGCCGGTTCTTCAACATCTGGCAATTCATTTGCAAGTGGGGTATCAAAGGATGGGCCATCTCCAAGGGAAGGAAGAGAGATGCTCTTCCGAATCAGTCCAGTCTCGTCCGATGACAGATTCGCAATCTGCATATTGTGATCCATAGCCCGATCCCACCGGTCTGCAGCGTCATCTCGGTGTCGGGAGTGGTCTTCCCATTTTTTCCTTTCAGGTGAAGTGGTATTTTCTTTGAACAAGCCCAGGTAATGGCTGGACTTACGACTGCGCACGTTTGAAGCAGGCTCCACGTTACTGAGATTTGCCTCGATCGAGCTATCCACCCGTCCCCGACGACCTCGACTAGAGCTCCGCTCCAAAGCCACGCCCCGAGAAGATTCGGCGAATGATCCGTAGGAGACGCCTTCTCGACTTAGCGGCGGCCGCCCGTGATCAGGAGTCAATGACTGGGGCGAATGAGAGACATCATCTAGGACAGATGGAAGAAGACTGCGTTCAGTCGGTGAGTCTGGGCTATCAAACTTCGTACCTGGATCAACCGTCTGAGTGTACGGTATATGTATACCAGCCTCCTTTTCCTGGTCCTTTAACTGGTCTGACGCAAATATAGACGAGCGCAAAGGCGAGAAAGGTGATGTCTCGGAGGAAGGGAAGAGAGAAGAAGAGCGCAATGGGAGATGTCTGCGGACGTCAACTTCCATGTGGGAAGGGTCGACGTGAGAATTGTGGGGAGAGACCTTAGAGGGAGGACTTGGAGACCCGTGCACATCATCGAGACGCGGGATAGAATTCACCTGGCGCTCATTCTCCGGGGCCCTTGCTGGGGGCAATTGTGGGGTATTGGCGCCGCTGTCGGTGGGAAGATAGTGGGTTGCGAAGATACTGTCTCTTTCGGACAATTGGGGACTGTAAAAAGTTTCAGGGTGGGGGAAATTCTGGAAATTCTCCTGCGGGTTCGTCGAGGCCCTTTTTACAGTGAAGGGGGGTGCAGGCTGGGTCCATTGACGAATTGTGGGGGATTCCGCCCGCGACGGAGAGGATGCCTGTGGAGCCCCCTGGGACAGGTTTTGGCTCGGTGAATGCGATGAGTGGTGACGTGGATTGGGCCGAGCTTGCTCGGCTTGTGTCGAGCAATCATGTTGGGCAGGCGCGGCAGGTGTCACCAGGGGGTAAGGCAAGGTATTATCGGGATCGGACGGCGGGATTGACATGGAGAGGACATTGGTCAAAGCTACAGGGTCGGAAAGGTCTGGAAGCGGCGACGACAGTGGTTGGTCAATGGTGGAGGGGTGTTGAATATTAAAAGGATGGGACGCCAACACGAAAACGGAGAGACACAGCGTCGATACTGGCGTCACGACAAATGAACCAAACCGAGTTAGTGGAGAAAGCGACTAGGGGGGGGGTCTCACTTGGGGGAGGGAGATTTTTCGAGAAACACGGCACAGACCGCGAGCCACGTTGGGGGAGAGACGGATCTTACAGGTTGAAGGATGACCGGTATAATCGGTCAGATAACCGGGATTAGGAAGAACTGAATCGGTGTTCCCTTTTTTGGCGGGGGGGAAAGAGTAAAAAAAAAGAAAAAAAGGGAATAGATAAAGGATGAACAGCGCTCAACTTAGCACTTTTTACCGGGTAGCACAAGTGACGCCGATCGTCCGTCACCGCCTTATAGTGTAGTGGAGACCCGATCGTGAGTTTCTTTCTTTTTTTCTTTTTTTTCTTTTTCGTTTTATTCTGGAAGTGGAGACCTGGATGAATGCAGAAATATTAGCAAGATAAGAAACTGGAGAAACTTGGAGAAACTGGAGAACTGAAACCCACAGAATGATTCTGGTTTAACAAGATGGAAGAGATAGGAAGGGGGAGAAGGGGGAAAAAAAAAAAAAGGATGAAGTCACCTGCTATACATTTTTCTACCTTTTTCAACCTTTTTCTACACATCAACTAATTTATTTTTCTTTGTCCTCTCCTGCTTAACTTGATACTACAGATTGAAATTCCTTCATTTTTCTCAAGACGGTGTGCAATCCAACAGCAAGTGCAGTCTTATCTTCGATCCCTGTCACATTGGTTAACAATGATGCGATCGAAGATCTTGCTATCTCGGTCAGATGCTACAAACCCCTGCAGAATGGGCATTCCAGATTAAACCCATTGTACCGAGTAACACGATTGATCCGAATGCAAAAATAAAAAAAGGAGTTGTTTTGTTGGGTCCGATCAATGAATCACGCTCTCACGGTGGCACTTTGGATAGGCTACCCTTGGTCCGGATCCCAACGGTAAGCAACTTCTCCCCGAGCAGTGGGGGCAAGGGATAACTAAGTTCTCGGGTCGATCCCTCTCAATTTCATGGATTTCTCTTCAACCTATCAATCTTCACGATGCATTGGCGTGCAGCACTTACGGGCAGCCATACGGTATCGCCTCCACCATTCCTAGCCACTCGGGACGGCCCCTGGTTCATCACCACTTATGATTGGCAGGGGGGGCTCTTCTTTGAGGAATTTCACCACGGGAAACATTAATTTTGTTAGTTTCTCATCTCAAAACACATGACTGACGGAGCCAGGGATAGCCAAAGTTAAATGCTCAATTCCTATGTAGCAAGTTGGGGAGCAGCGCCTTGACCTGATTCCCAAAAGGGCTTTGAACAAGAACATGCGGTGTATCGAGCGTCCGATTTGTCTTGGCTATCTGGGTACCTCGATGATGTCCGTTTGTCCAAGGTAATACCTAGGCATGCACATACGGACGAAGAAGTTCCAAGTTTGCAGAGCACTATCTATCCACGATAAGTATGCCCCAACTTTGAAGCTGTGCTCTATAAATATACCTTGGAAAGTGCAGGTACTCAAACATTGACTGTTGGCCCCGACGTACGGCCTGGGGTTACAACATTGTTTTACTGCCTTCGATTAAATTCAATGGTTCAAATGTTACCAGTTCTAGTAACAATTGAGAGAAGTGAAGAAAATAGCTTTAGATGCAATGTTGTGGAAATTTGGTACTGCTAACGTCACTTTGAAGTCATTCAACGGTCATGGCCCTTGATCATGCTATAAACATTTGAATGAAGCATTATCGAAATGTGCCCTCAACATTGAAGTGCTGATGTTTTTTATTGAATGTCAAATGTCACATGCACATACAAACATCAAGCATTTGAACCAATAATTGACACCATACAGTGCCGTCTACCAGTCAAGAAACCTTGGAAGGCTTGCAGTCTAAAACCTTGGGAAGAAAATTGTGCATATTGATCACCCATCATGCCGTGCAAAAAAATCCTTATCATCTTGAGTGATGCGTCCTCGATTCCTCTGAAGAAAACCAGCGGGCCCAACGCCGGTCAAACAGTAGACCAGCCCACAGGATTTTTCCTCCAAGAACTAGCCAAGCCGCTTCAAAAGTTACTCGACAAAGGCCACGAAGTGACCTTTGCCTCACCCAAGGGCAAGGAACCAACACCAGATCCGAATAGCCAATCTTTACTTGCTTATGCGGGCAACTTCTACGAACTTCAGCACGAGAATCAGCTCATGGAACGCATGAAGACCGAGAACGGGTTCAGCCATCCACGGACCTTCAGCTCTATTAGCAATGATGAATTGACAACCTTCGCTGGGGTCTTCATTCCAGGCGGACATGCACCCCTCAGCGATCTCGGAGCGGATTCAGAGCTGGGGCGCATCCTGCGATTCTTCCATAAGGAGAATAAGCCCACTGCAGCGATCTGTCATGGGTCATATGCACTTCTCAGCACGAAGAAAGCTGGAGATGGATCCTTTGTTTATGCTGGGTATAAGATTACATCTTGGAGTGATGCAGAGGAGAGGATGGTGGAGACCTTGCTGGGTGGGGAGATTGATAAAGTTGAGTCGGCACTGAGAGACGAAGGTGCTGTGATGGTTGAAGGAGTTTCTGAAAAATTCGGCCAAACCACCTTGCACCGAGAGTTAGTCACTGGGGATAATCCCTTGGCAGCAAATGCTCTCGGTGATCGATTCGTGAGGATGATCAGTGTTTAAGGTGGACAATAGCGTCAGGCGTGTTCTTAAAATCAGCTTCAAACAACAAAGGTTTAAAATTCACCTGGGGTCAGCATAATAATACATACATATAGTCAACAGGGAGGAATGTCATCTATCTCCAACCTTTTACCACATGCAGCTAGCTTGAGTATCAATATACTGGTACCTAATACATACCAAGTGAAACTGTAGGTGGATGAAGCTGTCGTCCATGGATGCCAACCTTAGTCACATGTTCCTACGTCATACAAAAATTGAAAACATGTGGAATTATATTGTATGGTAAGTCAAGTCAATTTCCAATTTTATCATGGTAACTTTAACTGCCAAAGCTCTCGCCTTACTGAAAGAAAATACATGTGCCGGTGAGACTATTCGTGATCTGGCTCTGGAATTCATCAAAAATTACGGTTTGACAGTAGAGAGAACCCATGGACGGCCCATGACACACCACTCAATATTTCCCCCATATTCAACACAAAGTTTATAGAACGTCATGTGGCAATATACCTTTTCTCTTTTTCAATATACATGACACCCTTGACCACATAACGTGAATCTTATCACTTCAATGCAGTTATACCAACTCCTTCATCCGAACATGCCATGAAGGGATGCCAATCTAAACCCAAGCGCAGTGCCGAAAATACGGAGGCTTGGATTCTCGGTAGCGGAACTGCATCTTTAGCATCCGCGCTTTATCTTTTCAAACACGCCAAAGTCCACCCATCCAAGATCCATGTGCTAGATAAGCATATCTCATTGGAACAAGCGTCGCATCACAAGGGCGATTCCTTGGGCGGGTATGATCAATTTGCAGGATGCTTGCCCATTCCCGTTGGTTCGCTCATGAAAGAACTTCTTGCTACGATTCCATCCGCGACGGCTGAGGGACAAAGTGTTTTGGATGAAATTCAAAAAGCAGAAGCAAATCGACTCTCCGCGAAGGGAGACGATCATACTTGTTTTGTGGCGCTGAAGAATGGGGCGTTTGAACACATACCGATCGAATCCCTGAATCTCAGCCTCAAGCATCGGACAAGTTTGATATTGTTTTTTCTCAAGCGAGAAAAATATCTTACAGGCAGCAAAATTCGGGATGTTTTCCCAGCAAGCTTTTTTGAAAGTCCATTCTGGACTGTGTGGTCCGTCCAGTATGTACTGAACATTAAAATGCACATATGAGCGAGATGATCCTTGATAACCTAACAATTTATCAGATTCGGCTTTCAACCTTGGCATAGTGCGGCAGAGTTCAGACGTGCTCTTCGTCAATACCTTCCCGAGTTTCACACTCTGAGTATCCTAAGCTGTCTTGACATCACAGGTTATTATCAGTATGAGTCTGTATATTTACCAATATACTTTTATCTGCGCAGCTGCGACGTGGACTTTCAGTTCGGAGTCGATCTCAAAAATATTGAGATCACAAAACATCACGATCAGCAAACCATCACTGGATTGGACCTTATTCGAGAGGGGCATGAAGTGCACAAAAGTCTAGGAAAAGATGATATCGTCATTGCGACTCTGGGATCTACAATCTCTGGCTCAGAAATAGGTACCAATGAAAACCCACCACTGTGGCAGTCGATGGCCGCAGACGACATGCTGGACCAAAATTGGTCTGCATGGTTAGATCTTGGAAACAAGCACCCATCCTTTGGCAACCCTTATCATTTCTGTACACGCCAGCACGAATCAATGCTGGAATCCTTTACTATCACCACAGAGGATCTTGGACTTTGGGAGAATCTTCAAGGCCAATTACGGTGCACTTCGGAAGCCGGGGCATTCCTGTTTCTAGAAGACAGCGCGTGGAAGATTAACTTGAGTATCCCACCGCAGCCAGTCTTCTCCGAACAGCCGTCACATGTCCGTGTACTTTGGGGCTTTGCGCACTCTCCCCTTTGCGACGGGAACTATGTTCAAAAACCAATGCTTCAGTGCTCTGGTGCAGAAATTCTGACTGAGCTACTGGAGCATCTAAAGCTTGGTGAAAAAGCGACATCATCACGCACCATCACCATCCCGCGTGCCATGCCTCGAATGAGCGCAATTCTATTGAGTAGAGCGCCAAAGGATCGTCCTCAGATCGTTCCTCAGGCGTTTTGCAATCTCGGACTCATCGGACAGTTTGTAGAGGTTCCGCGATGTACCAGTGTGGATATCAGTTACGGTATTCGAACGGCAAAAATTGCAGTCTCTCGTCTGATGGGCCTACAAACGCAGATCGAGCCTGTGGGTTCCACTGCAAACTCCACGGCTTCTGTTATCTGGAAGGTACTATCTTGGTGAAAAGTAAAAGTTTGAGGCTCGGGCCACGTCTTTCCTGCTTATCGATGTCAGACTAGCTTGGTCGATTGTTCTCTTTTGCCCTCTCGTCGCTCGATCTTCCAGTGGACTTGAATATCACTTGAAGCTGTACTTGGTAATCATGGAAAATCATGAAAGCACTTTTGCAAATTACAAATCAATACAAGTAGCTACTAGTTTCAAGGATTGGAGTCTTCACATCAACACACTCTTTTACCTATCATTTTGCAGTCTTGCCCTAATAAAGCGGCAACAACCAGGGTTGTGTGACACCTCACTACGTCATCACCAGTGCATGACTGGGAACCATCAGAACAAGGAAGTAGGTCACCTGCTCAGTATATTCAACTTTGCCCCTTACTCAGCTTAGCATGGCATGCCAAACTTCATCCAAGTGCCAAATATTCACGTCATCGAAAACAGGATTTGAGCCTCTCGTATAAATACTAACGTTCAAGGCGGTTGCCCTACCTGAGCATTATTCGATTTGACCGTGTAGCTTGCGCAACAACTTCGATCACCGCCTACCAAACTACAATCAAATCTCAATACTTCAACGCTGAGGCTCATATCCAGGACTTCCGCAAACATGTCGTCGATCATCACTTCCATCAAAGACCTCATCATGTCTATGTTCGAGCTGGTATTCTCGGTATTCCAGACAGCTTTTGATACGGTTTATGGCCTCCTTCATACCGTCGTCGAATTCTTTATTGGTATTTTCCGGATGGCATTCCATACAGCTGGAGACGCTTTGGAAATGTTAGGAGGAATTGGCAAATTTATCGCCAGTGAGTTGAACAGTGTCTAAACCCGACCGGGATCTTGAGAATGGCATACTGACCACTCTTATATCAGGCAATATCGTTATCATCGGGCTTCTTGCAGGTGGTGCATACGGATATGTGCAGTATCAACGTCGCCAAGGGCGGACTGTGAAAATTGGAGACAAGAAGCTACAATAGGCTTAGTTGATCCCGTGTCTAGGTACTCGTACCTGTGGACCTAAGTATTTGATCAAGAATCAAGATCGACAATGCGAGTCATTTCATAAGAAGAAATTTTCTCTAGGTGCTTCACAACAGCTTTTGAGTGAAGATTTCGAATTGCTTTCCACACTAGGATCTTGGAATATTGTACATTAGGGAATTTTTGTATATTAGTATAGCCGGTTTCAATGTTTTGAATGACGTCGGTGGCACAGCTTTGTTTGCTTACTGTGAATTTTACCTTTTCAGGCTGACTTTATTTCAAATCTTGTCACTTTTCTTCTTTGATTTTCATCAATTGTAAAACAGCGGATATTATACTTGAAGGATACTTGAAGGATACCGATTCTGAATGATACCGATTCTACCTTGGTAGTTCGGCCAATCAATTAGAAGAGGGGTTGGAGCTTGGGTGGGAATTTGGAAGAAAAAAAAAAAAAACGGAACATGAGAGGGCGAAATTTGAATATGACCCCTCAAAAACCAACAATCAAATCCCATCGCAAAAAGGTTCTTACTGGCTCTCTGAAAATCCCCTCAATAAATGGCCCATACGTGGCCCACTAGTGAAAGTGACGGGACACGCGAGAGGTGTGAATCAAGTGTGATCGACTGGATGTGATGAGAGTGGCCCTAACGCCCAACGGGAGGTGCCGGGCGGGTCCCAGTCCAACCAGCGTTCGCGACCATGTGAAGCAGTTGCATTAGCCGTGCAAGGACCACCGTAAACGACAAAGTGCTCAACGAACCTCGAGCTCTTGAGCCAGTCATGTTACTGCATCTCCGCCGACCTCTAACCCAGCCCGCCTCAGACTATCTCCACTCCGGCGGTCTGGTACACCCCGATGCCCTCTCATCACGCGCTTCCCCTCTCTAGAGCTCCCCATGGACCTGCAATCGGTTCGATTTCTATGGATCTGCAGTCGCATATTGCCTTGCAGTGGGCCGGCGGAACATTCGTTAACCGAGCACGTCCCGCACACGTTGATCTCCAGGGGAAGCTCTTGGGAACTTGCCATGTACCTGTTACAGCGCCAACTTCTCTGATCATTTCCCTTCTCCACAGATCTTGGATTTGATTTGTGAACTTTCCATAAAACAGCTGTGCTATTTCAGCTTGACTCGAATCTATCCATATTGTTAAGCTTCTACCTCATCATCTATAGGCAAGGTGTCGCACAATCGCCGCCAAGATGAGTCGGCCATTGCATCTGGACACCCAGAATGGACAGGGCCATAATCCACGATATTCGTTCATGGAAACTCCACTTGAAATGAGCCCTCCGTCCGATATCCAGTTCCCAACTTCACAAGCCCCCGTGCCGGCAGACTCGTCGAGCTCGGCGCCGCAGCAGCAAGCGGCGACCGAGCAGCCGAGGGATGCACAGCACCAATCGACACAGTACTTTCCCAATGAAAAAGAACAGCATTTGCAACAGGAGGGCATGATTCCCACGTTTTCGAAATATCCACCGCCAGACCAACATCCGGCTCACTTTGCTCCTTACGCGGAGCCTACTCAGTCGTCGCACGAGATCCAAACAATAATTCAATCGCCTATGCAATCACCCATGCAGTCGCCGCTACACTCTCCGCTTCATTCACCACAGTATCCTCAGCAATCATATCAGTATCAGTATCAGTACCAGCAGATGTATCAGCAGCAACAACTCCAACTGCAACAGCAGCATCAGCAGCAACAAACATATCAACAGTGGTACCAGCAGAATTACCAACAACAGGTTTATCACCAACAACATCAGCAGGCATATCATCAGCCACAATCACAGCTCCCCCAAGAAGCATCCCAAGATATACCCTTAGAGACATATGATGTACCTCCAAGCTCCCCAGGGCCTCTACCGGTGAAGACAAACCCTGATGCTCCTACAAGAAGCGATACCATGACAGTCGCACCCGATGTCAATCCATTGCAATCGCCTAAACTATCATATTTTCCACCCGCAGCTGCCTCATCTCCAGCGCCCGTGGTAGACGACTTGAGTACAGCCCACCAACCTGGCCAAATCATGCACCCAAACCAAGAAGTTATAGGCGGAGGATGGACCAACGGGTTATGCGACTGTTCAAGCAACTTTGCAGCATGCTTCATGGGCATCTTCTGTCCCTGTATTCTCTATGGAAAAACCCAGTATCGCCTCAACAGGAAGTCCAAGGGAGAAGACCCGACCAACATGTTAGGATACGAGTCTTGCAATGGATCCTGCACAGGAATGGCGCTCTTATGTGGCTGCCAGTGTAAGTATTTGAGTCTGATATTTCCGTAATAGAATGATAGGCTAATATCCAACAGGCATTCTTACTGCTCTTCAGCGCAGAACAACACGCAAAGCCTATGGGATTGCTGGAGACTGTGGCTCGGACTGTGTACGGTCTACTTGCTGCTGTTGCTGCACTCTCATTCAGAACGAGAAGGAAATTCAAAAGCGGGAGGAACACCGGAACCGTGCTGCTATAGAACGAGGCGCGACCTTGTCACCTTACATGGCCCCTGGTCCAATGTCATACCCCCCACCACACAAGTAAAGCATGGTCTACCCAGCATGATTCATTCATTGCATAGCCAACCTTGAAATCTCTCCAGGACCTGTACCTTTAACGAAGCGATGTTATATCCCACTTAGCATGAAATTCATTTTTCTGGTGTATCAATTTATTTATGAGACTGAGTCGTAGGTAGAGCCTCAAGTTCATGCCTATGCCCGTTACAATCGAGGGGTTCCAGCTTCTGAGGAAATCCTGGCACGCCCGCGGCCCAAATTCCAAGGGGCTAGCGTACGGACGATCAATAAATCCTACAGGCTCGAGACTTTGTTCTTATCACCGAAACTTTGGGCCGGAATTGGAGTTCCACATGAATATTACAGCAGCCCCAAAAGGCCACAGGGATTATACTCTAGTGGTGTTGATATTCTATCTATGAAAGTCTTACAGAACATTTACAGCTTGACTGTCGTCCGACTCCTCAAAAATTCACCATACCGATAGAACAGAACTGGCACCGGTGCAAATGCCAGGGCCAGGAACCCTAACAGCGTATTACCCCATCCGTAGTTGAGCGTCGAATACATATGCGATCCAGCAAGCGGCAAGAAAGCCCCGAACATCGATCGGAGGAGAATGTTGGCCCCTAGTGCAGATGCCGCCGCTTCTGACCCAAACAGATCCACCAGAAACAGTTGGGAGGGCATGACCACGAAGAAGGAGCCAAACCCAACAATGAAAGTTCCAATAATCGGAGCCATCCAATGAACCTGGTAGTATGCCGTCCAGCCGTAAATGAAGAGCCCAGGTCCAATGACTGGCGGGAACCACATCATCAGGACTAGCCGGTATTCTGGCTTAGGTTCCTGGACATTGTCCGCCGCCATTTTTTCCTTCATGATTCGGTCACTCAGAATACCAAATGTGACTAGCCCTACTAGTTCACCAATGCCGAGGCCCAGGTAGGCCAGACCAGAAGTGCCGGTGGTGAATCCGTACTGGCCTTCGAAGACCATGCTGAAAGTAGCAAAAAGGAGGTATAGAAGGCCGAAAATGAGAGCCACGTAGATGGACATGCCGAGCACAATCGGCGAGAACATCAAGAGTTTGGTGGGGCGTACGAGGGCGGCGACAATGATCTGCTGCTCTTTGAGGCCGCGATCGAGTTTTGACCGGAGGTGAGGGTTCCCAGTTACGCTTCGCAAGTGGGCGGCTTTCCGTTCCAACAGGGTATTAGGGTGTGTTTCGCGCATGAAGATAAGCGTCCCGATAGACGCGGCCCCTCCCTATCATATTGTTAAAATTAGGGATACTACTAGTAGCCAACAACAAAGCCACTTACGAGGATCGCGACCACCCAAAAGACCCATCGCCAACCCTTTCCTTGTGCAACGAAGCCCCCAATCACCGGTCCTAGAACCTAGATTAGTTAGTACTAATGGTTCAATTGGTGGGTTAAAGTAACATACTGGTCCTAGAAGGGGGCCCAAGCCGAACAAGGCGGCTGCCGCACCGCGTTTCTGAATCGGGATGACATCGGCGATCGTTCCACCGCCGAGGGAAAGTGGCGCCGCTCCCGCACAGCCAGTGATAAACCGGAAGACCATAAGTTGAGCAGTAGTTTGACTAAGGGCGCAGGCGACAACAAAAATGACAAAGATAAAATTGCATACGTGATAGACGATGAGGCGCCCGTACACCTCGGAGAGCGAGGAAATGATGAGGGGACCTAATGCGAACCCCAGTAGATAGATACTGACGATCAAAGTTGCAAGGGTCGTGTTAGTGATCTCCAAGTCTTTCACGACGCCCCCCATTGCCGGAGCGACCATGGTTGAGGCGATGTTGCTAGTATGTTGGTTAGATTGGGGGGTTTTGTCTCCCATTGATAAGACGGCCACAATCACAACATGACCAAAACTCTTGGCCGCACGCCAGTTTACGGGGTTCTCGGGGTCATCTGGACCGCTCCAGTCGACCAAATCTTCCTGTAATTCAGGTAACCGCAGCTTGGCCGCCTCCTCATCTGTTTTCAGATGGGCATCGACCTCAGTACGTTCGCTCTCGTCACTCTTCATTCTCGAAGCTGTTTATGGACAGGAATTGTCGTATTAAAAAGAGTTTTCCGTATTTTTATTGAGAGAGAAATGCCCGTAATGCTAGAGGATTGATTCTTTATATATTGAGAGAGAACCCCCTCGAATGATGGGTCTTCTTGGGGGAATTCACCAGTGGCGAGTTGATTACACCTCCGTGTCATACTAATGGCCTAGGATTAGAACAAAGAGCGGAGCGGACGAGCAGACAGAGAAAGGGGACTCGTTGAGGATGGTAGAAAAGTGGAATGAATCGACGCAGCAATACGTAGTGGACGAAGGAATCAAAGGCGAAGCCGGAGCGGAGGAGACGACGGAGGAATACACGGAGGAACATGTTCAGAAAGAGTTCGTTAATCGTCGGGACGGATCGACCCGGGCCTAGCTGGATTAGGTTAAGAGCATGGCGGACGTACAACTCGTCCGATCACCTCCGTTCAATCACCCACATCTTTCTATCAATGCAAAAACACTTTCGTTGAAATCTCTATCTATTGGCTCTGCATTCGTTTCTATCATTCAGGAGGTGATACGAACGTTCTTTGACGAAATTAAACCCCACCCATCCCACCGCACGTCTCGATAACCACAATGGATTCCCCCTCAGCGGACGAACTCAGCCCCCAGGCGGCTTCCATCAATAATCGGAGCAAACCCCAGCTCTCCTGTAATCTTTGTCGTCGGAGGAAGTGAGTATTATACGTTTTCTACTCTCCGAATCAAATTTGACGAAAAACTCCGATAGGCGCCGATGCGACCGCACACAGCCCTGTTCGACTTGCACCTCTCGTGGAGTGGCGCTTTCATGTGCTTATCCTAACAACCAAGCCCAACAACCACCCGCGTCCAGAATTTCCCGGCGTCGACTGCTGCCTACGCCACATGGGACCCACAGAGGTCGCCCCCAAGGAACCTTTCAGGACCGTTTGGGCCAGTTGGAGAGTATTGTCATTTCACTGATGCAGAAGACCACCTCCGATGTCCAAGGCCGGCCGGACCAACATCCCGTCGCATCGGCTACCCAAGATCACCCCCAGGTAGACCCAATAGAAGGGGCCGCCAACTCTCAAGACTCTCCAGCTCAGTCCGACGGCAGAAGTGTATGCTTTAACTCCTCAGATGCCCAGTACGTCGGAGGAACCCACTGGGCCGCTATCCTAGATAGGATCGCCGACTTAAAAGAGCAGCTAGAGCGAGAAGGCAACGAGAACATTGAAAAGCCTGCTTTGCTGCATACTTTACTGCTATATGGATGTAAATCAGCAAGTAAAGAAGATATCTTGGCAGCTCTGCCTGATCGACCTACCGTTGATCGCTATGTCTCCCAGTACTTCAATCGATTGGACTTGGCGCCATGTAAGCCTCTTCTCTAAGATATGCGAATATTGACTAATACAGGGCATCACCATCAGCCTGTCTTCATAGTACCCAGTTTACACGTGAGGTATGCGAACGATTGTAACAAATAACATGGCTAAAGTGTCGTTCTAATGATGATAAATATAGTATGAGCAATTCTGGGAGAATCCAATCCAGACCTCGGTTATGTGGCTAGGTCTTCTCTTTTCTATAATGTGTCTTGCAGTGCTAGCTTCAAGTACGCCAGATCCCAGCTCATCTCCAGAAGTCCGCAATCCGTTGGTGGACACGTACCGCGAAAAGATAGTACAGTGCCTCATTCTAGGCGAGTACACCAAATCCGGGCGTTACGTATTCGAAACTCTATACCAATACTTGACTATTGAGTATTCCATCCGGAAGGATGCGGACCGAGACATCTGGATTCTTTCGGGAATTGCGGTCAATATAGCTCTACGCATGGGTTACCACCGTGATCCCTCACACTTGCCCGGGATCTCTCCATTTGCGGGAGAGATGCGACGGCGGGCCTGGGCCACCATCCTACAGGGAGATATCCTGATATCCACCCAAATGGGCATGCCTCGCATGATCAAGGATTGGCAATGTGACACCACAGAGCCCCGTAATCTAAATGACTCGGACTTCTATGAGGAATGCCTCGAGCTTCCTGCGTCTAGACCAGAGACGGAGATCACCACAGTTTCGCATCTGATCGCTCGGCGGCGGATCTTTGCCGCCTTGGGTGCAATAGTCGATTTCACTGCATCGGTACAGCTGGTGGCATACAATGAGGTCATGCGACTAGATCGGATTCTGCATGACGCGGAGGCGGCGGTCCCTTCATACCTCCGTATGAAGACCATGGCCGCGGCGGTAACGGATTCCCCGCAAGTGATTATGCATCGGCTCTTCCTCAGGCTGATGTTTCACAAGAGCCAGATCATGCTACACTGTAAGTATTTAAGCCCGAACCTAGCCCCATCTTCCGATGGTCAGACATCGTACTCCTACTCGCATAGCTCTTGCATAGAGGCAGCTTTGGGTATTCTGGAAATCCAGCAAATCCTTGATGAGGAAACCAACCCAGATGGCCAGCTTTACATGATGCGATGGCGCGCTTCCTCCTTCATGACGCATGAGTTTCTGACAGCCACGATGCTGCTGTGCTTTCTCACGCGACAGAGAAATGGTGGCCTAGAAGTACTGACCAAAGGCCAAACCTTGGACCAAATCATGGCAGCACTCACAACGGCACAGGGTATTTGGGCAAGGTCGAGAAATTCATCGGTGGAAGCAAAGACAGCAGCAGATATTCTGAGCATTATTTTGAAAAAAGAATCGGGCGATTCTAGTATGGGCGCAGAAGGCCAGGCTACAAGTAATTATTTTTCCCTGAGTTCAGGTCAGTCGGCCATCTTAATTGCTCTGATTACGACCTTGCTTACAATAACCTAGCTCAGCTGATGCCCTCTGCCGCTGGAGGGCCTGATGGAAATTTCCTGGAAGAGGATTTCTATTACGAATACCCTTTTTTAGGGTCAAGTCGGATATTCCCAGGTTCAGCCATGATGGATCCGAACCTCGCATGGCAGTGGCAACATGTTCGTTACAAGCCCTATCCTCTGAAGACATTTCACTCATGAGATAACAGTGTTTTGAAATGGGATCACTTCGGGATCCAGCCTAGAGCATGGATGCAGAGTGTGGACATCTGGAGTTCGGGGGATTGTCGTCTTCGGGGCTTTTCGGTGGGATATCTGTATGTGGATTACCTGAAACGGCCCCAAATATGTCTAAACCATTACTAGACGTCTATATGTATACCGCAAAGACAACATTGAAAGAAGAATCAATTGATGCATATATAATGAACTAATTCCAGATGTCTCTCTCCTTTCCTCCCTCTTTCCTTTTCTCCCCATCTCACTCACTGGAGACATCTGGAAGAAATACTACATATAGTTTGGATTCCTTCACCACCTCATTTTGCATCGTTTTCCCCAAACCTACACTGTAGTTCTGCTACATATTAGTGTGCACATGCAGTCGAGAATCCTCAAATTCAAATAGAATGACAGCACAGTATGAATGAAACTGCGTCATGTTAAGTTCAAATGTTGTAATTTTTTCAAAGCCAACTTTAGGACATTTGAAAATTCGAAAGTTACCGATCGATTCTCCATGACCATGGCCCCGGTTGTGGGTGCACGCTTGAACCAGGATCTTGGGTGTTGAAGATTAGATGCATCGAACATTGAAGCGCACAAGACTGGGGACCCCCGGTCGCATGATGTCAGTGCAGGGATCGACAAAATCTATTTGACAACATTTGAAACATGTCGCTCTTAATACGGGCTATTACATACTAGTATCGCTTCTTTTAGACCTTTGCTGACAATTATCCTATTAGACGTATCATGAGGCGATATAAGCGGAACTGTATCTCTACCCCCGATCGGGTAATCCACAACTCGCAACACTCGATCAATTCAGTGAAGAATCACTTATTTCCGATCGATATCGGCCAGCCTCTATGACTGATCAATAAACCCCCCCACATGGCACACTGAGAATGGCACTAGCAACTGCTCAATGCAAGGCCAGGGCCAGAGGACAATTTGGTTCAATAGTTGGCTACGAATTGTTGTGCCAGTTGCGGATGATCTATCCCTTTACCATGTTCTGAGTAGCGAAAGAGTAGAGTGGGGGCACGGAAGTTATTCCCAGAAACTTTATTACAGACATTTACCCGATCGAGGCCATGTTGATCCGTCAGAGTTGGTGATCGTCGCATCTGATCGCTTCCTGCATGTAAGGGCTGGATACGTCTATTTTCTTCCATAACAACCAAGTTCCGTCATGGAAATCGGGTTGCCTTGATGGCATCAATGGCTCAATCCATGAATAAATGATAAATCCAAGACACATTGCACTCAGGGGTGCAATGTACATGGTTCGTTTCTCACTCCACACTCCTTTATAGCGGCCCAGGTCTTCGGATTTCACCAAACAGTGTCCTGCTCTGTGCGTCTCGAGTGCTTGGAACATTGAAGAAATCGAGGGGAATATTTGGAAAGAAACTGTGAAATTCCTTTGCAAGCACTTGACCTAGAAATATGTCTTCCACTTCGCAAACCGAGACTGGATACGATCATGGTAATCTTCGTCATGTGGTTATCACTGCGACTTGTTTCGCATTTATCTTGTCCACCTCAGCAGTTGGCTTTCGCATTATTTCCCGAAAGGTCAACGGGTCTGGCCTCTTCGCGGACGACATTCTTATGATTTTCGCATTGGTATGTTTGGTCGAACTTGATATACTCTTACGTGATTCTCTTGCTGATTATGATAGCTTTTTGAGTATGGAATCACCATTGCGGGCGTTGTTTGTGAGTTTGTTTTTCATTTCCCCCTCTTCAGAACTTACTATGTATCGAATCTGCCTCGCCTACATGAGCTAACTATTACGAACAGTGCTATACAATGGACTGGGAACACATATCCAATATGTCCACCCCGACCAGCTGGTGGTTTACTTGAAGGTACGTCCAATGATCTCTACTATGAATAGTGTGCTTTCCTCTAGCGTCAAGTCAAGCTAAAATTGTTATACCTACTAGACGCTCTTTACCGGCTCAATCCTTTACACCAGCTGTATCGCATGCATCAAGCTATCTATTCTCATGCTATACCGAAGACTGTTCCCAACAAAATTAATGAAAGCCGGCGTCAACATAGTTGGCCTAATTGTCATTCTATGGGCAGCATGCGGTATTCTCGCCGGCTGCTTCATCTGCCTGCCCACCAAGAAACTCTGGCTTCCCACCACACCAGGCGCCTGCATGGATTTGGGGAAGTTCTACTACGGTCTCCAGATTCCAAACATCGCCACTGACGCAATAATTCTCGTGATGCCTATGCACACTGTCTGGAATCTCCCCATTTCACGTGCGCAGAAGACAGCTCTTTCTGGAATTTTTGTCGTGGGTCTACTGTATGTATTCGTGGGGACATCATACTCATACTGCCATACACATGCTTATAAATCCCAGGACTTTGATTTTCGATATCGTTCGTCTTGTTGCCCTCATTGACCTCTCCAAGGCCGGAGACGATATTACCTGTAAGTAGCCCTCGTTGTTTTAGGCTACTGGTTTTTCAAGATACTGACTCCATGAAGACACCCAGGTTAACTCGAGTGTGTGGACATGCATTGAGCCTGCCGTTGGTATTGTGGCTAGCTGCCTGTCCAACATGCGTCCCTTATTCAAGGCCGTACATGAGAAGGTTTGGAGCCGCTTCTCTAGTCAGGGCAGCACTGCCAATGCTAGCCAACAGGAAATCGCGGGCGAGAAGGGCGATTGGGTTCGTAGAACTCCAAGCCTCGGCGACAATGGGACTCAAAACTCTGAAAACGATTATCAAAATCATAGCCCATCCCCTCAAAATCACAATCGGAGTCCTGCTTAGGAGAAACTGAAGCAGAGTCAGCAGTTCAACTCTCCATTTCAGTGCTCATTTCATATGTGCATATTCAAGTCTTTTATAATTTGTGTCAGCACCATCAATGGCGCAGAATATACGACCAAACTTAGTTTTTAATACTTCGCAGCAATATGACATCTTTCAAGATTCAAATGTTCCTTGAAATCTTGGAAGCTGTTTTGAATTCAACTTTTTTTCTTCTCCATATTTAGTAGGTACGTGCCCGACTAGGTAGTACTAGGTACATACAAAGAGTACAATTTCAAGAACACCCGAGGTCTTCGTATTTGGAAGCCATAGCGCATGATCATATAGACAAATATCAACCAAGCACAGCGATAAGAAAAAGGGCGATCATTAAAACATGCCTCCAAGCGTTCTGAATCCAAGACGGTCATTGGTCAGATGGAAGACACCTCTAGCAAATCGCCCCTCACGCCAAGCAAGTACCATCAAAGCCCCACCCCCTTTAACCTTTCCACATGATCACAACAATGCGCAATGACGCGGGAAGATCATGCCGCAAATTTGAGAAATAAAACCCTTCCTCTCCCAAGTATGCTAACACAAGCATCGAAACAGAAAATGCGCGGGCTCGATGATAGCACTGACATCCTAATTCGCGTTGGCCAGACTGCAGGCGAACAGGTCAAGCATGGCTGGAACGCCTTTCTCAACTTTGCGGCCCGGGACAATGTCCTCGAGGTTGCTTTGGGTTTGATGTAAGTGTTGCTCGCTCTGGTATTTTCTTGTTTGGAAGATCGAATTGCTCACATATTCATCAATCACAGCATCGCTAATTCCTTCACAAAAGTCGTAACGTCGTTCGTCTCTGATATTATCCTACCGGTCGTCTCGCTGCTTCCCTTTTTGAATCGGAACATGGACCAGAAGTTCGCAGTCTTGTCACAGGGGCCTCACTATGATCCTGATAAGGGGTACAACACGGTGAAGCAGGCTAGGGATGATGGTGCTCTTGTTTTAGCATGGGGGTACGCAAACCAGAGAGCTCGCAGAGCTCACGGGAGGGTATTGGGGAGTTTGATTATGCTGTGCTGACTGACTGCGTGCAGAGGATTTATCGAGAACATGTTAAGCTTTATGGGAGTTAGCTTGACCTTGTTTGCGGTCGCGCATTTATACATGCTCGTCTCTCACAACAAAATCATTAAGCCTACTATCAAGTGCAGATACTGCAGGAAATACATAAGTGTCGAGGTTGTATAACCCCCTGTCAGGTGATATAGATTCTTGGATATTAACTAGATCAATCAGGCTAAACGCTGCTTCAACTGTTCAAGCTGGCAGGATGGCAGAGAAGACTTGCCCAAAGACGACGAGTTAGACGAAGATGAATATCGTTTACGAGAATTCGGCGGCATAGATATTCGGTCCAATTGAAAAATACCCAGGGTGTTTCTTATATTGTTTGTCCAAGCCTTCGGGGTTGATTACATGTGTGCCGAAATCGTCTAGATGAGCTCTTTGACGTTTCAGAACTTGCATCCATCGTGATCCTTGTACAGTGTAGCAGAGTCCAGGACTGTGCCATTGGAGCTGGCTTTTTGAGGGAAGAACCTTTGTTAGCAACTTGATTTTTCCGCGAACGAAACCCATTTCTGGAGTAGACTCACAAATAAAGTCCTGGGTGATGTGGGTACAGTTGTGAACGGTGAACCGACTCCATCCATAGACAGTGTCGATGGCAACAGTCGTGTAGTCTTCGAGAGGAGTTTCAACGGAATCCAGACCCTCATAGTGACCAGCAGCACCGTTAACCAGATACCAAGTAGCATTCGGGTTGTTAAGGCCATTTGAATCAATGACATCATTGGCAATTGGTTCCAAACGCTCATAGAAATGCTTATGACCGAAAAGAGCAATATCAACCCCATACTCGATGAAGAGTGGCTCAAAGGCCGACTTGCATGCGGTACACTTGGATTCATCGACATACCAAGGGCGATGGCCAGCAGCGATGATCCAAGGAGTCTTCTTGCGGTCGACTGAAGCAAGGTCTTTCTTCAACCATGCGACCTGTGTACCGTTGGGTGCGAAGGGACCTGCATTCTCTTCTCCGCTTCCACCAGGAAGATCGGGAGCATCTGTGAACTAAATAATGGTTAAGATAGGTTTGAAATTGGTCTTCTGGAATTTGTACTCACATCTGTTTCGGTGTTGAATTGGATAAAGTGTACCATACCGTAGTCCCATGAGTACCAGAAGTTCTCAAGACCACCTGACTGCTCAGAGGGCATACGGAAGTGGTTTCGGTAGCCAGTGAAATTTGTTTGGCCCTCCACACAAATGCTATAGGTGTAGTCTCCACTTCCTCCATTATCGCAGTTCGCCTCGTGGTTACCTGTTTCATTAGATATTTAACGTCCATATATCATTCGTTGGTGGTTAATTGTTCGGGACATTGGATAAACCTACCTGGACCGACAAAGTATGGGAGATCCATGGTCACATTTCCTGCCATTTCGTTATAGAAAGCATTCAAGATTGCTTCGTAAACTGCAGCTCCTCCCTCAATGGTGGTATTGGGCAAGAAACCATTGAGTTCCTCCTTGAGCCAAGCATCGGCATAAGCAAGATCACCATCTGGGTTGTGCGTTTATTAGTCGTACACTTCAATGTATATGCGAAAAAGAACGACATACCGTGCCACACGAATTCCATTTCGTCCTTGAATTGACTCAACGACTGCATGGTAGTAATCTCACCAGGGCTCAGTGCATCTTCCTGATCGGAGGAATTGAGTCCCAAGGGGCCCATGGTGCCCAAGTCTGCAATAAAGGCAAAGGAGTATGGGCGGTCATTACCAGCCGGAAGGCTGGTTTTGAAAGTGTGCTGCTCATCAGCACATTGCAGAATGAAGTTGTACTCAGTGTCTGGCTCAAGGCCCTCAATCAAGACATGGTTGCTGTATGTAGTTGAGGTGGGATAAGTGACCGAGACCTCGGAGAAAGCGATTTGATTGAGCGAGTGACCGCGCCCGTAGCGAACTGTGGGAAAGTCCAGCTTCGCCTCAGTGTTCCAACTGATCACCATACCGCGGTCTCCGGCATAATTGAAATGCAATTGCTCTGGAGCTGTCTTGTCGCCCCGGCAGTTTGAGGATGCATCTTTGGATGCTGCGGACAAGGAGGCAGTGTGTCCAACTGCGGCAAAACCAAGCAGCGAGACAAGCATTTGGAATGTCATGATGTGATGATACTATCAATTTGAAGTTCACCAATGGCACTTTCAATGTTTCCAAGAGTCGCCAATTGCTGGAATATCCGGCAGAGCTCGGGTAGTACTGGCAAGGTAGTACTGTCAACTTTGAAAGGGATGGGGATTCCATTATGAGTATGTATTAATATACATCAGATACTTAATGCAATTTTAATATGCATGCTCCTTCTCGTGTTCAGCCATCTGCCGGTGCCCCAGTGGGTCGGTGATAGCTTTCCGATGCGCTAAAGCTGCCGTTAGCGTCTCTCCGTAGCCTGTTAGATGTCGAGCTTGCAGCACGCTCACCACCTTCACAATACGCGGAAGCCTGGAAATTAACCTCCTTCCTCAATGAGTCTTTGCATGGAACAAGTAATGCTTGTTTCTTGGAGCACATTGTATGTTGGTCACTTCGGTCATCGCAATTATTAATGAAACAACAGAGATAGGCTCCAAAGGGTAGGCCCCACTAAGTGTTCAGAATGTTCATTTGATACGTACTAGTAGATACTTGCCGGATATCACCCACAGAAGCTAATGATATCTGGGGTATTACAGAAGTGCAGAACCACGTGGGGAATAAAACCCTGTCAAGTAAAGAGGTTGAAAACTTGTTCAGCAGCGATTCAGGGGCAACCTGGGAAGCAATGGCCGAATCGGAAGTCTCATTCTCCGGGGAATTGAAATTACTAAGATTTCTAAACAAGTTGACTAATTTTTTTTTCAGCAAAATCTAATCAAATAAGAAAATCTTAGACTAAGGCATTCAGTCCCTTGATTTCAAAATGTGTACGAGATAACATTGGAATCCATCAAAGATCAAGTCCTGGAAGAAAAGCGGGGAATTTCTGGAACCTTCAACCCGCTAACATCCACCACCCCACTTCAACCTTTGGAACTTCGATCGGTTCTCAATGCTCAAGGGTGGTTCTTGACATTCTTCTTCTACTCTCTTTTGCATCAATTGGCTAGCACTCAAGCTATATTCTAAGCACGCGCAATCACAAATCATGTCTATCACCCACATTGTTATGTTCCAATTCAAAGCTGGGCTCCAGGCTCAAGCTATCAATGACGTACGATAGTACCCCGATGTTCAAATACTGGACTCTAATCGAGTAAACGCTAACATTGGTTCAGGCATGTGATCGAATGATTGCCTTGAAAGACAATTGTCTCCATCCAGCATCCCAAAAGCCGTATATCAAGGCCTCCTCGGGCGGAGTTGATAATTCTCCAGAAGGAGCACAGGTGAGCAGACGCTTAGAATCTTCTTGCAATAATAAAAGGCTTGGGCTTCACTTGACACCACTGAAGCTAATTGATGCTCTCTGAATCGAAAGAATGGTATTACCCATGCATTTGTTGTTGAATTTGCAAGCTCGGCAGACCGAGATTATTACGTCCAGCATGACCCGGTACACCAGGCTTTTGTAAAAAGCCTGGACGGACTTATTGAGAAGGCACAAGTAATCGACTACACACCTGGAATTTTTTAATTTAGAAACCTTGTTCATTGTCTTATTTTTTGGGTTTATCAAAACACAAGAGTTGGTACTTGAACAGTCTGGAAATCAAACAAGCAAAATCATAACTATCGTTCCTCGTGAAGACAAAAGAAAAATTCCCTCTCCGATATCAGGTATCAAACATAACCCCATTGTATCCCGGCCTTTGCAAACTTGAAAGGTTCAACCGTGTTCAGCGGCTTAAAAGGTACGCTGGACTCCGGGTGCGCCTCTGTCAAGATCAGAATCCACACGGGGGTCGACCTTGTTTGCCAGGTGGGAAGAGTGGGGAGCAGCCGTCGTACCTCCAGTGGTGGGGTTGTTGTAGCTGCTACCCGCGAGGGTGCTGGCACCCGGAGCTCTGCTATCCAAATCGGAGTCGACGCGAGGATCCATCTTGTTGGCTAGGTTGGAGCTATGGGGGCCGGCATTGGTCGAGCCCGAGTTGAAGGTGTTACCTCCATGTCCGGTGTCATAAGTATCGGTACCAATGGTACCAACGCGAGCACGGTCAAAGTCGGAGGCGACGCGAGGGTCCGCCTTGTTGGCCAAGTTAGAGCTGTGGGGTCCAGTGGTGGTTGAGCCAGTGTTGTAGGTGTTGCCTCCATGTCCGGCCATTGTGGATGTTGGAGCAGCATCGTAAGTGCTCGTACCGAAGCCAGTGGTGCCAGCACCAGTACCGACACGGTTACTCGCATCCGAGTCAACGCGAGGATCAATCTTGTTGGCTAGGTTTGAGCTGTGGGGGCCAGTGGTAGTGCCTGTGGTGCCAGTTGTGTCGTAGAATCCACCGGAAACATTCTGGCCGGGTACACGGCTTGTCTTGTTGGCATCCACGCGGGGATCCATCTTGTTTGCCAAGTTGGAGCTGTGGGGGCCAGTAGTACCACCGGGTGGGTTTACATGGGCAGCACGGTTGTCTGATATCAGTAAATACTAGTCAGTCTTCGGGTTCCTTGTATCCGTGAGAGTTTGAAATGACATACCTCGATCACTATCGACTCGTGGGTCAAGCTTGTTGGCCATGTCACTGCTGTGTGGGCCAGCAGCACCTCCGATAGCTTCATGGCGAGCACGGTTATCTATATTTGATATCAATAAGCATCTGTTGTTGTTCGGGATGTGGGAAGACAGTATTTGCATACCACGGTCGCTATCCACGCGAGGATCAAGCTTGTTTGCTAGGCTGGAGCTGTGAGGGCCGTTGTTGGCAGAGTTGCTGTTGTTGTGGCTTGTGGAGCTGGTGTGGCCGGTGAAGATCTCCTCGGCTTTCTGCACGAGACCCATGTTGGATGATGAAATTTGGTTGAATAGATGAGAAGTTAGAAATAGGACTGTTCAAATAGAAGAGTGATAGTTCTTGATATTTGAATTGGAGTGAGATGGAATGAGGAGAAAGATGTTTGAAGCGTTGCTCAAGAGGCCTTTTATATCGAGCTTCTAAGGTTCCCCGGAACTCCACTACGGCATTACCCCAGCAAACATTGCACAGTGATGACGTTGTAAATCGACATGTAGATAGAGACCAGGCCTAGGTTGTACAATCAACATTCTAACACAAATGATCAATACTAGTACTAGTAGGTAGCAAATAACCAATGAACTGTTTTCATGGAATATCTTTCATTGGTTAGCGTCAGTGGCGTTTCCAGGGTTTAAGTTGTTTGGCTTAACCAGTTTTGCCACCCGCGGGACCTGTTCAAGTGCTCAACTGTTGCCAACCCCAAAACAGGTCCAATATGTAACCAGATCATATTTTTAGTTTCATGCCCCTGGGGAGAAGGCTGTTTGCCGATCATCTTAAAACATTCAACAAAGAACTGATGTAAGTATTCCATCATGATTTTCACCAAAACATTCAATGTTCTCCTGCAGGCACTGATTCACGTTGAAAGTTACCAAGGCACCTAACGACTTTGAGATACAATATCAAAAAAACCATCAGGGAAGTTCCAATGCAGTGAGTAGAAGTTTTGATTCTAGTAACTTCAAGATTTAGCATATAATAATACCACGTAAGCACCCAATGTATTTACATTACACGCATCTTCCATGATTACTCGAGGGTAGCGCTATACCAGCCTACAGGTCTTCAATGTCTAGGTGGGCTATTAGTGCTAGCAAGTCCTAGTCTCAAGGGCTGATACAAGTAGCTACCTACTACTAGGTATATGGTTCAATTTATCATACTAGAGTTTAGATGCCAACTTCGGCATACCTCCAGTCCCAGTCGAGCCTGTAAGCCCCCCATCAACAACAAGATTCTGCCCAGTGACGTACCGCGAAGCACGACTCGCCAAGAACGCAACAACATTAGCAAAATCAAAGGCATCACCCATACTACCCTGGGGCACATTATGATCCGTAATCTTCTTGTGGATCTCGCGCTCCTCCGCCAATCCGCTCCTGCCAAGCTTCTCCAATAACGGCGTATACATCATACCCGGAGAAAGCGAGTTTACTCGAACGCCCCTACCCGTATACATGATCCCAGTGACCTTGGTAAAATGAATCACCGCCGCCTTAGCAGACGCATACGCCACCTGCGGCTTACCAAGGTATCGCATGCCTGCGATCGAAGCATTATTGATGATGGCCCCGAATCCCTGTTTCTCCATAACGGGCAGCACGGCATTGCAGCTGAGAAATACTGTCTTCAAGTTTAGCTGGAGTTGGGCGTCCCAAGCTTCTTCGGTCATGGTTGCTGGGTCACCGGTTGTGGTGTCGCCGACGTTGTTGACGAGGATATCGATGCGACCGTATTTCTGGAGGACGTGGTTGATGGCTTATTTGATGGATGCGTGACTGGTCGCGTTGACTTGGAGCGCGTCACAAATTCCGCCGTCGGCTTGGATTCGGGATGCTGTTCGTCGCGCGGCTTCTAGGTTTTACATCGCAGGCTATTATCGTGGCTCCCGATGAGCTGAGAACTTTGGTGATTGCTGCTCCGTTGCCCCAGAATTTGGAATTGGGATCGCCGGCTTGACCTGCTCCTATTACCACGGCTATTTGATCTTTCAGATCAGGGTAGAAGGCCGAACTGTGCCTAAAGTGGATTGAGCTGCATTTAGCTTTCTTCTGACGTGCAAGTAAATATGATCTCACATATGTGCCATGTCGTGTGAGATATGGCTGAGATGTGTGATACTGAAGTTGTCAGACTAGAGGTCCCCGAAGCCCTTTGTGCAAGGCGCTTCTATGCACGATGAGGGGTTGGACACCCCGGACTTTGTGCCGAGCATCAGTTTTGAGGACTGAGTGATATCGGAGTTATACCTGCCTTCTCCGACAATGAGAGGATGCTGAGAAGTTGCGCTGTGAGGGAACTAAACATTTCCCCGCTCGGCGCTATGCCGGTTGATAACTCCGTCAGTTTGCGTATCTTGATCTGCATAGTACTGTAAATAATCAAGCCTCGAACACACGTGGTAAAATCAATATTTGACGCCTCTTTAATCGCGTCAACTTTGCAATCCAAGTTGAAGCTTGCGTGATAGAAGAAAAGTGCACTAGCAAGCGGCGATCCCCGCACTTTAATCAAATCTAGAGCAAGATTCTTAACCTCAAGGAGCCCATGTCTATCAATTAGGCGTAGTGTTAGAATTAAGGGGTATACTTGAGATTGATGCGTACGTACACAGTATACGCCCATGGCAAAGCCAAGACTAACGAGCGGGTCATAATTGAGTAGACTGACCCGGAGAGAGAAGCGAACATTTTTGAAGCAGAAATCTAGAACCGTGCGGTGTTCGCACCCGTCAATGCTTAGATGAATGAGATTACAATTTGCGGAAAAGTGGATTCAGTATCAGTCTTTCAGTAATGTCCATTAGCTATCTCAAGATTCCCAGGCGAAAGGAAGTAGAATCATTAGAACATAGCGAGATAAACACAGCTTGCAGGATTGGTGTTCGCCTTGAACCCCATGGACCATCATCTATCCCCACCAAATGTACATGTATACCTCCACCAAGAAAACAAACTCATTCTTTTCGTTCCTTCTATCGCGACAAGTAAAAAAAAAAAAGTAGAAAATAAACAGCGTTGGAGAATAGAATAATTAGCTGCAGTTGTCAAGCACAATATCATTAGTCGTTCTGATTATAGTGCAAGTCTTGTGTCGTGCACAGTAGCTTTAGATGCTGCCCAGTGACCTTAGGTGGTCAACTTGGTAGGGGCGGGAGCACCGGCGTACAGAACGATCACAATGATGGTAAGAACGGCACCGGCGGCAATACCCTTGGCCTTGGCAGGGTTGCTGCGGCGGTACTCGCCCACCTGGAGGCGCACATCAGTAGCGAGGGACTGCATCTTCTCGGCACCAAGCTTGTAGTAGCAAAGACCACCGAGGGCAATGGAGTAACCGAAGAACTGCAGGGGAGTGACGGGGTCGTGGAAGATCATCATGGAAGCGCAGACCAGCAGGATATCCTTCAAGATACCAGCCATGGTCAAAACGACAGCCGAGGTCTTGCCAATCAGCAGAACGACGGAGGCGTTCAGCAAGAAGGCAACAAGGGCATTAGCAATAAGGGTCATAACACCCAGGCCGTAGATATCGGCCATGGTCATGCGAGGGAGATCGGTGAACAGAGTGACAACACCGTTGGTGAGGGCACAGGCCGGGGCATAGTAGTAGAGAGAGACGAGAGGGTCCATCTTGAACTCAGCAGAGCTCAACAGACGCTGGACCATGACAAGACGCAGGGCCTCGAAGATGATACCACCGACCTGGATAAGGAAACCGATCATGTCGAACTTGATCTCTCCAAACGACGCAATGACGACACCGACAACAATGATACCGACGTTGCCAAGGGTCTTGTAGTTGGCGGGGGCAATTCCGAAGGCCCAAGTGGCAAGCAGGGTAACAACGGCGTTGGTAGCCTAGATGAGGGGAGTCAGTTATTGTTTCCATCCAGTTATGGCATATTCAAAACTCACCTTCAGCATCTGGATGAAGGACACACTGAGGTACATGTAGGCCAAGTTACCGCAGATCAGACTCAAACTGAACATAATACCGATGGGCACAATGGCGCGACTATTCAGATTCCAATTATTAGCATTTGAATAATTCAGGCGCATATCGCTTTATCGGTTGAAATGCTGTACTCACGCGTAAGTGGCAGGGTTCATAGGGACATTGTGGCGAGAGTCCAAGATGGTGGTGCAGCGCGCCAGGATCTGGGTCATAGCGGTCGCGAAAACCATGTGCCATGTCGTAAGGAAAAGGGCTGTAAACAAGGTTGTTAGGCGTCGGGTCCTCTGGAAAGAAACACTTGAATGTTGTAGAAAACCAATTGAATGGCTTGAATTTCCGATATCGGGTATCTTTGAAGGGCGAACTTACGGAAGTCTAGAAACAGTACGGGTTAGCCAAGTTCATGATGCGATTGATTATGATGAATTGAGACTTACTGAAATGAGCAGTGGAGAGAACCCATTTGTTGAACAGAATAACACTGGAACTCAGGCAAATCCACAGACTGTAGAGGATCAGTAGTTGAACAGGGGGATCTGGGGAAGGAGTCCGAAGGACACCTACGCGATGTAGAAAGCCGGGTGCAAGCCCTGGCTAGGAGCGGGAGCAGGGCTTCCGTTCTCCAGCTTGCGTTCATCCTGAGAAGAGCGTCCGTTTGCCATGATGAAGATAATTGATCCTGAAAGGAGTGACTATGGTGAGTAGATGTGTAGAGAAGAAAAATGCCGAAGCCAGGATATTTAGGGGCAAGAGATGATCATCGTGGGCGGTGTGGAGCATTGGTGGCGCTGATTGGGCCCGTGGAGAGTACACGTTGACGCGGAGCCCCCCTTCTCCCTTGGACTGTGGCAGTGTTTCAGGTTTTTTTGCTCAGGGTCTGTTCTTCCCCCCGACCTGCCTTTCTTTTTTCTTTTTTCTCCCTCTGGACCCCCTTTTTACCCGGATTAAGGAAATAGGGGTTTACTTAAAAAAACGATCCACTCGGAGATGACAGCTTGGAATTATCCTGTTTTTCCCTTTCTCAATGGCTTAGAAAAAAAAATTCATTGAACTTATCAACCTTGAAAATCAAATACGTTTTGTATAAAGTCTTCCGTACTATGTAATCTACTATGTACGGAACACCCTTAAAAGAGACTCCACCATGCAATCTCATCCAAGTATAAAGGATCACAATTCCAGGGGTCTGATCCTGAAAGTATCGCCACTAGGAAAGCTTAGACCAGTCGGGATCCATTCATTAAACATCACAATTTACCGAGTGCAATATCCAACACTCAGGGGTTCCATATTGCCAAGAGCGTCTCCATGTGCAGCTTAAGTTTCTGGCGGGAACTGACCAATTAGGCCTTGTACGGGGTAATGTAATGAGTCTGCTCTTCTATGTTACCCTTTACCAATCAACTAAGAGAATTTGGATGAGCCAAGCTAAAGGAAAGTTATTTCTCGTAAAATTGTATGGCTAACTAGAACCAATCAAGTGATGTAGGCCAATTCATGGTTAAGAGTCAAAGACTGGAGATAAAAGCCGATATGCATGAGTACCAGTAGCACTAATATCTCACCCGCCGATAAGAGATCGTACTACCTCCGCACTGTACTTTACAACCACGCCATCTTAACACACACTACTTTCCTCCTTTGCATGGGCTCTCTCTCTCTCTCTCAACCATGGATCAACCGGAACCCTCCCAGGCAGCCAACTGCGATCACATCCCGATAATCGATCTGTCGCATTTGAATAGCCCCCGTATCCAAGATCGGCGGGAACTCGCCCAGACCATATATGATGCTTGTACTCAAGTTGGGTTTTTTTACATCAAGGTATGAATGTGCTCGGGTGGGGATATGTACGACACTGTATATTCGGATGCTCATCGAGTTCTAGAATCATGGCATCCCAGTAGAAATGATCAATGGTGTTCATCATGCTGCCGAGCGCTTTTTTGCACTTACCGAAGATCAAAAAATGAACTTCTACATTGGCAACTCCCAGGTAAGCTACACCTGTTCGTTTAATGTCATCAAAAAAACCAAGCTGGAGCTTATTGGTTCAGAAATTCCGAGGCTATAGTCCTTTGGGTGGTGAGAAAACAACGGGCACGGACGATGATCCTATATCCGCCGAAGAATCTACCGGTGTTCTCTCCGAAGCTTTTGATATCGGATACGAAACAGCTATGGATTTTCAAAAGTCCACTGACGCCACTCTGGGGCCTGATACCTATGGTTTATATGGAGATAATCAATGGCCAGATGAGAACGTGCTCGTCGGCTTTAAGCTCACTTATATCGAATATTGCGCCACCGTTTTGGAGTTCTGTCGCAAGCTCATGAGAATATTTGCTCTCGCCTTAGATGTACCAGAGGACTACTTTGACTCGAAAATTCAGACACCGGGCGTCACTTCTCGGATGATGCATTATCCCGCCCAACCTGTTGGAGAAACGCGCGAGGGTCTAGGAGCGCATACCGTGAGTTTCTTGTCAGATATACCTCCATTGGCCTAAGCATGAATACTAATATATCTATCACATGGATCTGTTTTAGGACTGGGAATGTTTCACAATCCTTTCTCAAGGCAGAGTTCCCGGGTTACAAGTTTTGAATCAACGTGGAGAATGGATTCTCGCCCCTCCTATTCCTGGAACATTGGTTGTCAATATAGCTGATTGTTTGTCGACTTGGTATGATTCTATGACAGATATACATATTATGCTCCGTCCCAGTGCTTATTTCAGTAGGACAAATAAAAAGTTCAAGTCAACAATCCACCGTGTGTCGAATCTCTCCGGCGAGGAACGTTATTCAATCCCATTCTTTTTTGGAATCGACTACGATGCCACTGTATCTGTACTCGATAACCACACCTCAAAGGACAATCCACCTTGCCGGGCACCTTTTAAGGCGGGGGAGGTAAGCATTGTCATCCGTCGGGGTATTCGAGGATTTATCACTGATAGGACAACATAGTGGGTCCGTGAAAAAATGTCCAAGGCATATGTTGGCTTTGAAGGCTAGATGTTTGTTTCTTCCAACGCGGATCAGGTGTATCATACCATCTGTTGGGTCGAATGCCAAATGTAGTATTTATGATACCATATCTGTCTACCAAATTATGCCGATGTGAAAGGGGATGGAAATCGGAGTTTTCTTCGAATCGTTTGAAAGATCCCCAGGATCGCATCCGCTGTCTCGTGATGAACAGCCCAAGGCTCAGTACACACGATTGCTTGTTCAATCAGTTCGTCAAAGTCCGGAACAAGTGAAGCGAGAGCGGGGGTTGCTTTTGCCATTGAGATGACAAATACGGCTGCTAGAAGTCTAAAGATAGTCCCCAGGGGCTAATAGTTAGTGACGGCTTTCAATCACATATAATTGTAAATCCAGGCCCTTTAAACTCACGCTTGTAATCTGAGCCACGTCGAATGTGTTCTCCGCTTCAAAAGGGGCACAGTCGCGTGAATGAAATGTCGACAACTGTCGACACAGGCCGCACAATTGGCCATTATGTACCCACTCAATGGAATATCATGTGTCTGCGCAGCAAAGACTAGGCAGGGTCGGCAAATAACATGCTTCGTAGCGTAATAGCGAGTTCGAAGTTGACTATCGTGTAGATCACGAGGGTTGGGGTTCTGAAGATCTGGTTTGATACTATCTGGAAGCGAATCAAACCAAACCTTCAGTTGTCGACTGAGTTCTTTGTTGACAGACTCCAACGAAGCGATCGAAGGCTGCTGGCTGGATGCATTTGCTGCCCCGGTGATTTTCGCTGGAATGGCTCGACCGTTAGGCTCAACTGAATTGCTTGAATACATCGTACTGTGTATGCGGTTCAAAAGCTTTCGAATAGAACACATGGCAAGGAACTTGAGGTTATTGCGGTCGGTTGAGTCCGTAAACTCTGGGAAAGCCAATTCATCGACCAGCACCTCGATTCCGCTCCGAGGGAAATGAAATTCGGCGAGATCATCACTAGTAGTCAAGCGAGGTTGGTATTCTATTTGAAAACATATACAATGAGGTAACCTACCATTCTAGGACATAACAAGCCCAAGCAATACGGACCAGTACCACGTGCTTTTCGGGTAATATAGCTCTATCCTGCAAGCTTAAATTATGTGTCAGTTTGTATCGACGATTGCTAATGGAGAGGGGGTGATACTAAGAGAACATCAGTTGAACTGCGGTCGACGCTGAATGTATTGTCTTCCAGGCTTGTAACGGTCGGCTCCTATACCGAAAATATAGAGAGGCGTAGAAGAATGCCAGAGGAACAGCCAGGTCTCTTGAAAAGGGCGCGGTCTCCCCAGTGGTCAATATTTGATAACCATGTGCAAAATAATCTGCCCCATTGCTAGTTTCCGAGGACTCAATATCAAAATTTGCACTAGGGTTGGTACAAATCTCTCCCAGGGCAAGAGTCATCAGACAAAGTGCCGAGGACATATTAGGTTCCTGATATGGTTGTAAAAACTTCTCAAAAATTTCCAAAAATGGCTTGCGCTCGAGCACTGGAAACTGGGAGTGTATGTATGTGAAAAAGCTAGAAATCAGACTATCAGTTATTGAGCGACGTAGATTCAGTCTCTCGACAATCGCAGTATAAGATACCCGCGGGAGCAAAGGTTGAAGTCGGCGCTCTGATTCCAAAAACAAAAAGTAATCTTGAGGATAGTCACCAATGAGCCTCTTGATTTTGTCAAGTGTCAATAGGTTACCAGTAGGAGTTTGGTGACCCAATGGAATGAGGAGCGGACCATCATCAGCGTTCTCGTATCTCGGCCGCGAATCCCCAGACGGCGGGAGGTCGCGCGAATGAGATATGAATGCTGGCGAGGCAAGGCCAGCAGTCGTGCTATGTGTATTTGGCGGGCTGATTTGAGAGTAATTCAAGGTTTCTGGACTCGGGGCATTCGACAGCAAACGATCAGATAATGCGGCAATGACAGCTGATTGTTGCCGAACCAGACTCTCTAGCTGATCTAGGCGTTGCAATATTTCGGTAGATACATCAGTATCAACTCTAGAAATTGGATTAGTGCATGTTTTTGATTCGCAGCATTCGATGGATCTTTCCTCACTTTTCATTTGGTCCCTCTTGGTACTCGCATTCAGCACCCGCACTAGCGCAGAACGCGCATGTAGGCCGCTCGCCGCCGCATTTCCGTTTTCTAATGACAATTATGATTCAAAGTCCCTTGCTTTGTTTATTATGCTAAATGGTGGACTCACCGGTGCCTGCAGAAGTTGCATGCTACCAGGGCTCGTTTTCGGGGAAAATCCATCTGTACCTATAGCAGCGAACCTTGTAGGTAGATGACCGAGAGTTGGAGTAGGTGGGGCTGGAAACTGGCGGGGAAAGAGAGGCGCCAAGTTACAAAAGGGCCCTTATTAATCATACGAACGTTGAAATGCACGCTAGTAACAAAGGCTTGACTTGTATTGGAAGGGAAACCCGATGCCTAATAATACATCGGAATCACAATGCAAATAGTAAACACATCAACCTCTCAATAGGGCTTTACTCCAGCAAGTCGAAGTAGCTTATCTGTGTACTCGGGCTCTTCCAAAGGCTTAGATCGGTTGCGAGTCTCGAGAGTACCATCGGGAAAGTAGAGGGTTTTATCACGGAGAACGACGTTATCGTGGGGCCAGTGCGTGGTTGCTCGGAAAGATTCGAACGCTTCCTTCTTGCGCTCCAAGGTTTCTTCACTGGCCAGACTCGCTGGTGAATACGAAGCATAGATCACCGTCCGAATGGTGTTGCTTTGAGATGTAGGCTCACCACCCCAGTGTACAGTCCGGGAATCCCAGAGGATCAAATCCCCGGGCTCCGCGAGAACCTTGATAGGCTTGGCCCCTCGAGATTCATACCATTTCATTTCCTCATCGCTAAGAAATCGGAAATCCTTCTTCAGCCAAGTCGATGGGTCAACCTGCGTTTCGAAGAACTCATCGGACAGAGTATTCGATTTGGGGAGAAGGATAAGGGAGCCATCTTCAGGCCCAGCATGGCTAAGATTGATAATACCCTGGACACAGTGAAGACCTCGTCGAGTAGGCGATTGATCAACATGTGGCCACGGCTTCTTGGCCGGCGCGTCCTCTCGGTTCGGCAAGGTGATATTCAGGGCATCGAAAGATACCAATAACTCATCCGTGCCCCATATCTTTGCAAATGCCTCTAGAATCTTAGGCTCCATTCGCGCTTCCCACATGAACCTCTCATGGACGACAGAATACCCGGCGTAATTATTGGCTTTGCCCTGCACTGGAAGGCATCGGTCTACCCATGTAGATGGATCATTGAAGTCAAGACCCAGGTTGAAAGATAAAAGCCAATTTAGTGCCTTCTGTTGATAATAATCCGCTTTCTCGGGGGATATCGCATTTTTGATAATCACAAATCCTTGGGATTGGAGTTCATCCCGCCAGTCCCCATATGGACCATGAAGCCTATAATCCCAAGTCAGCAGATGTAAATAATGTTGTATGATGTCATTTGGAACGAACTTGAATAGTGAATGGTGAATTGTGCTCGTGAGAGTCTCAAGCTGAGTTGTAGTCATCATGGACAATATGATAATCAGATAAGCCGAGTCTCAAGCAATTACCAGGCAGAGTAGCTGTACGTTGAAGTGAAAATACTTCAGTGGGGATCCATGAATTCGCCAGATCAAGTTCACTATTTATGTCCTTTTGCAAGCGAGTATCCGAGTTCATTGAATACCATATTGAGCATCTTGCATATTGTCTTTCGTCGAGTTGTTTACTCCTCACGATCTAGACTCCATCTCCAACGGGTAGACGGGCCACCATGCCGATTCCCACCAAGAGCGGCACAGTGGGTCAAGTCCCACGTCTGGTCCTCAGCACGTTACAATTGGTCAAGTTGGATGCACAAGAAGTCTTTGGGAATATTGGTTCTTCACTTGAATGATTTGATTTGTCTAAAAATACAATTTATGCAGTAGGTGAGCCCACAGTAGCTGAACAAAACACAGAAACAGAAAGAATACATAGGACCAACCACCGAGACCTAAAATCAGACGGAAGATGTCAATGGGAGTATCGCTTAATATAGCCAGAACAGACACCAAGGATAGCAGAAAACAGAGGGGTAAGAAGCATTGTTACAGAAACAACGATCAAATTACTCCTGCTGCTCCTTGAACTCGTTGTTCGCAACGACGTCCTCGTTTAGGTGCAGCTCACTGCCAATGATGCTGTTGCGAGTGCGTTGCAACTTGCCATGCTGAACACTGGGAGCCCAAGACTCGGCGTAGTGAGCATCATGCACATCATACCAGAGGATCTTAACTGTATCGGCATTCTCGGGGAGACCATCCCGAACTTCGCCGATCTTAACTTCCTCTCCGCTGCGCTGGGTGAGGTACTCCTCTAACACCCCAATACGAGCTGCGCCCTCCTTCACTTTCTCCTGTCCCTCGTGAAGGGCCTCACGCCTGCGCTGACGCGCCTTCCGAGTAAGATATCCACGCGAACCATCCCGGCTCAGCAGACCATTCGCGATCTCCTCTTCCTGAATCGACAGTACGGCCGCGACGTCCGCAACGGATGTTGCCTTCTGGTCCATCAGCGCACGGGCGCGCTCCTTCTTCTCCATGGTGTTTCCAATCCGCCTCTTGTGCATCCGGTCGTATACTTCCGCTTTGACAGGATCATGTGGCCTCTTGGCCGCAATGAGCTCTGGTGTGACGGTGATCATCTCCTGAGGTGGGGCGAGTTGTCGTTGCATGGAGAACTCGCGGAGGAGTTGGAAAGCGCGGAGGCCCAGCTTTGAATCGCTGAAGTGGACGGAATAGTATGGAACCCACATGTCTCGGCGGATTTCAGCGGGTACGGTCTTCTTGCCGTGGTAGATCATTTGACGGAGGAGGTTGTTTTTCTATCGGACACGTGTGGTTAGCCAATTATTCCGTATGCGATTCACAAGACTGATGCAGCTGGACGCTGGAGATTCAAAGCTAGAAAACTCACCTCCAGATAACGGGTCAACGAGTACACGACCTGCTTCGTGCGAACATTGTGGTAGACGAAGATGTTCTTTCCGTGTGTGATGGCATTCAATGCCTTCTGCAAACGCACACCCTCGCGCTTCTCATGCTCCTTGTATGCATTGGACCCGGGGTTTCGAGGTTTCCCCTGGATCGGTGTTTGCGGATCAATTGGTGGCCGGCGGACAAATTTCGCTAAGGATGCGATCTTGGTTGAGTCCAGAATCTTCTGGATTGGCTTGGTAGTTGAGGCCATTATGGCCTATGTGGGGTGTCAAAGCACCGGGAGAAAAAATCGGGGAGATTCAGGCCAGTTATCGAGGCAAGGTCGGTGATGGTGGACTGTGAGCCGATGTTGATGAAGTTTGAGAACGGAGGTGGATTTTTTGACGGGGCGGCAATGGTCTTGGCGCTGCCTGCTCTCTCCGCATCATCTTATCGCTTTGCTCCAACCATCACTTCCAAAGCTGTTCCCTCTGGCATATCATAACCATGTTGTCCCTTTGATCAGAAACTCCCTCATATTGAATTCACTCTCATTGCTTGGGTCTGCCCGATGGATAGCGTTGTCGCAGCTACAGAGCATGACGGGCCCTCTCGCAGAGAGCGGCCATGGCTGTATGCATCGGTATGGTCCTCGAATCCGCGAGAAACGTAGTAAAATGTACTAAATAATCGATTAGAATCGCAGGCTACGACATTTGAATGGTCTATCTGTCCGTAATTTGGTCGTGGCACCCCCAACAAACCGAGCGCGCGGCAAGACCATTGATGACGACGACATCCCGAACTCCCTGAAGTCAGCTTCGAAAATCTTGGCGCAGAATGAGACCCATCACTCCTTACATCCTTCACGATCCTTTACTGAGCTCAATTCACGCGCAAATCAACAAAGCCATGCGGGGCCAAACCCTACTACCAAGCGTGAGCCGCGCCGGCGAAGTCTCCTTCCTTGGAATGACCCGAACCCTCGAACGAGACAGGTGAGCTTGGAGGATATCACGAAGAGTCGGATGGCGGATACATGGGTTTCAATGCACTGCGATGGTATCGATGAGCCAATTTATGTCAGTGAGGTGGTCAACAAGGCTACTAACCCCAGCTTTCGTTCTTTTGACCTGAACTTTTGTGGACCGGGGGTTTCACGGAGAGACACATTGACTCTTAAGCTCTGGGCAAAGACTGAAAAAATGGCGGAATATCTGCTGCTTGTTGAATTGCAGCTCAACTTACGATCTCTTCAATTCCTGGGCAAGACGATTGAAAGCTTTCATCATCCCCTCCCTGCGAATTCTATAATATTCCACTTTCCAGATGGGGTTTACACAAATTTGACGGATCTTCCGTCAATCGAACCACTTGTCAGTAGAACTGGTCAGCGGGCCACTATTGATGGGTCTGCGCTATCCACATCCTCATACGACGCATTGATGCGGCTAGCAAATTTGGACGAATGTGTCCAAGATGCGCTGGCGACTCGCGAGAAACTAGAGGTACAGATTGGTGATATTCTCAAAAAGAATGACGATGCTATAGCCACTCAGAGCGATGCGGCCAAAGCGCAAGATCGCCTTGCCTCGATCAAGCAGGCCGTTGCAGCTGAGCGAAAGCAACTCCGGGCTTCTGCCAAGCGCAAAGGAGATCTCATTGCAAGTATTAAATCTCGAAAAGAAGCCATGGAGCAGGGTCGAACTGCCCAAGACAAAGCCCGCAGTCATCTCCCAGATGCCCAGGAAAAGCTAGTCTCTAGCGAACAGCTGCTCCATCAGAACTCCGAAGATAGCAAGGGTCAAATTCGGCGCATCGCTGAAGATTTGATGGTCATCTATCCAATTGAACCCATTCCAGATAAAACACTTGCCTTTACCATCGCGGGACTTCCACTTCCCAATTCGGACTTCGAAGATATCAACCGTGACGTGGTTGCAGCGGCATTGGGATTTACGGCTCACGTGGTATATCTACTCTCATTCTACTTGTCGGTCGTCATTCCTTACCCGGTCAGCCCAAACCAGTCAATCTCCTTGATTCAAGATCACATATCAGCAAATCTTCCGCAGCGCGTATTTCCACTTTATCCAGTTAGCGTCCATTACCGATTTGAGTATGCAGTCTTCCTCTTGAACAAGGATATTGAATTTCTGCTCAATAAGTGTGGCATTCGTGGCCTGGACATACGGCACACTCTGCCCAATCTCAAATACCTGCTCTACATTCTGACTGCCGGTACACCGGAAATCCCAGCTCGCAAAGCAGGTGGCATCCGTGGCCTTCTCGGTGGGAAAATGACTCCAAATCTCTCTCGGCGAGCGAGCACTGAAAGTACTGCATCTGGTGAATTGGTTCCGGCTCGAAAAGCATGGGATTTGGTCGCAAAGATGAACGGGAGCCTTGCTCTGGATCATGGTGCAAAGCTTCCAGCACCGACAAACCGTCCGCTGGCGTCACGCGTTGTTTAGGATTGCAATGTCAGATCTGTCCGGTCATCACTAGATCATTACAGTATTTTCTACGTTCATTTTCACCCTTTAAACTTTCCAGCGTCACATAGGGTCTTAACTTACTATATGCGTTTATCAATCTCGTAAGCAGTACTTGAGAACCATCTAAACCTTGGAAGTTTCAATAGAACCTTCGAACTGCATACATACAGCCTAGTAGTATGAACCTTGGGAGTCAGTAATCAATTGATTAACGATTTAATAACTGCTGACCATGTTAATACACTTTCCCCCTTACCCCGCAGGACGATTTCTCATTATACAATAAAAATTGGTGGTCAAGAACCTCCGGCTTGTACGTGTTGAACACGGTTGAGTTTGTAATTGCCATAATCCTGCAGTGGATTTTTTTTCTTTCTCTTTCTTTCTTGATACTTGGCTCCGCTAGATTGTTCTACTGCATTCCTCACCCTTGTTTCTCTTGTGCGATTTACTTGTCTTTTTCTGTTGTTTTTTATTTGGCACTTTTGTTACCTCGGCCAATGGTCCAATCGGTTCCCGCTCATCTAAGCAAAACCCCACCGCCCCTTCACAGCTTATCTTCGCTTTGCATCGGCTTCCCCAGCATCCCGCTACCCACTCAAGTTGAATAAGTCACCTTTTTGAGCCCAAACATGGGACAAGACTCTAGTGTGGGCCATGATCCCGGCAATTCGCCGTCTCCTACCCCGCAGCATAGACGCGGCTATCAGGCTTGCGATCCATGTCGCAAGCGCAAGGTCAAGTGCGACCTAGGCAGTAAGATCAGCAATCTCCCATCCCACTTTGGACTTTTTTTTTGGTCTAGCTGACTGATCACAATAAACTACCCCTCCAGGTGTCGATAACCCTAGACCCCCACCTTGTGTACGATGCCGGCGCGAAAGCAAACGATGCGAGTTTTCGATCACTCGTCGCAAGCGCAAACTCTCCGAAGCGCCGGAAGAAGAGGTTGAGGAGGAGGCCGATGTTCTTCGCCGCGACAAACGGATGATGATCGGTGAGATCGCGGCGAAGAAGGAAGCACCAGCAGATGGATCCCCATTTCTCCCGTCGGAACCATCTTTTGATAATGATGCCTTTCGAGCTCGACAGCGCTGGCCTGAAGCGCCCCCTCCCGTTGCGGCTGCCGCTGCCGCCCAACGGTACACTCCAAGTGCCCCCATAGCCGCACCAGCGAGACACTTTTTGGAATCCAGAGCCCCGCGCATTCCCCCATATTCAACCGCTGAAAGAAACTCGGCACCAGGGTATGGAGGGCCGCCTATGTTGAATCGTACCGCAGTGGAATTGTTGTCGCCCGCAATCACCAACACGCACGATGCTTTACATTTGCTATCCGAGGCGGCGGGGAGAACAGAGGACCTGAATAGGTTTGCGGCAAGACAATCCGTGTCCTCTTTCAACTCAGGCCCTTCCCCTCTGGCACATGTCAATTCACCGGGAAATTTGAGTGGATCATTTTCACGTACTCCTCGATCGGGAATGTCAATGGGTGGAAATGGCACATACCCACCGGGTGGAGCGGGTGTTGTAGATCCTCAAATATCTGACGACGCCGGTCCCTCTGATGGCTCAAATAACACTCAAGATCCGGGGTACATCGATGCCGTTCGCGCGTGGTCGCGGCTGCGGTTCGTCCGTGCTGGGTGGATGACGGTTGAAGAAGGAATGGATTACGTTGCATACTACTACGAAAATTTAGCACCGATGAGTCCAGTAGTGACTCCAGACTACTCGGAGCCCTCAAAACATCGTATTCTACTTACCGAGGAACCGGTACTGGCAGTGACCATCTTGACAATCGCCTCGCGGCATCTGAAACCCAAGGGCGATGGTGCTAGTACTCGGGCATTTTACATCCACGATCGCCTCTGGTCTTACCTGCGCGGTATGATTGAACGCCTGTTCTGGGGGCAAGAAAAATTTGACGCCGGAGGACCTGGAATTAGCGGACCGCGATCTCTAGATCTCGCACCAACCTCCAGCAGGCCCAATTTGAAAGGAAATCTAAGAGCTCTAGGGACCGTGGAGGCTTTACTAATCCTTACGGATTGGCACCCACGAAATCTCCACTTTCCCCCAGGCGACGATGAAAACACCCTTTTGGACACTGACGCTCAGAGCCAAAACTTCGGTGATAAGGATTTGGACCATGGTGAACACGCAAAAGGAGCGCACACATCACCTGAAGGTAGACTGGCATTCCAAAAATGGTTGGAACCTGCCTGGCGATCGGATCGGATGTCTTGGATGCTTTTGAGTACAGCTCAAGCACTTGCCTTTGAGCTTGGCGTTTTTGATCATAAAACCGAGCCAAAGGGCACACCTGAGTCACCTGCTGAACAGACACGGAAACGCCGATTGCGGCGCTTGATTCTAGTCTTTATCACACACAGCAGTGGCAGATTGGGTATCCCGTCGATGCTTCCTTTGTCTGAATGGGGCCAAGATGTCGAAGGAAATAACATTGACTCCAAGGATGGTGATCCAGATCTTGATCGGATGCAGGACTGCTGGATGGGTATTTCTAAGATTGTCTACCAGGCCAATCACCAGCTTTTTGCGTCAAGTGAACAGACTTCGGAGTTGATCAAGAGCGGGAGATATCGCGAGCAAATAGACTGGTTTCAACCTCAGCTACGAGAATTCCGGCAACACCTCGATCGTGTGAATCGTGAGCTATCAACAAGATTCAACTAATTTTCCGGTATCAAACTAACAACTGGCAGTTTCCTCTGCGATGCGAAGCATTCTCTTGATTGAGTACGAGTATACCCGTGAGTGAACAAGATTCTAAAATATTTCAATCAACCTGCATACTGACCAAAGATAGGCCTCTATGTCAATTCGCTTGCCCTACAGGCTGTAGTAGACCGATGGACAACCATGTCCAATGAGTCTGCTCAAGCCCAGCCTGGGCGACCAGGTTCGGGTCCATCTCCTGGTAGCAGCGGATGGTTTCGTACGTTGATGGAGCTCTATCGAGTCAATGAGCAATACATCCAGGAAGTTGTGGATGCCTCTCGTAAAATCCTGCAAACGGTTCTGGAAGGCCTCGTCCCGGGAGGCCGTCTCAAGCATGCACCAATTCGTACATTTTTCCGAATTCTGTCTGGCATGATCTTCATTCTGAAAGTATGTCCCACTATGACAAACAGAGAAACATTGTCGAAAGCTACTGACCCCGACTGCAGACATTTACCCTAGGTGCTCGTGAAGACGATGTGCGAGTCTCGTTGGATCTCCAAGACCGCACAGTTGAGGCTCTTCGCACGTTTGTGGTGGATGATGTGCACATCAGTAATACTGTTGCTCGTCTGCTTGAGTTACTGACTAGCAGTATTCGAACCCGCTTCTTACGTTTTGCTCCGCATGATCGTGGTGTGGAAGGTGAAGGACAGGACCGCGGTTCCGCTCCAGTGTCACGAGCTCAGTCACCACCTCGGGAAGGTGTTTCATCAAATCGTCGTGAAGGGGGTCAAACCCCTTGGTCGTCTACCCAAGATGCAACTCCAAACGGAGGCGGATTGGGATTTGTGGAGAACACTAGCACCGGTGGGCACTTGGTTGGATCAGCCCACGATTCACTTGCCAATATTCCTGCGCAGCCAATCAACTCTTCTAACCTTGGGGTATCGTTCATGCCACCGCCACCGTCTGTCTACTACAACTATTATGACTCGAATTCGGCCATGCCTTCCAACGACCTCGGGAGGTCTTCTCCGAACCATGTCGTTTCCTCGCAGCCTCTCGACAGCAACGGAGCAAACACGGCGCTCCCAGATTGGTTTGCTCTTCCGTTAGATCAATTCTTCAACAGCTCCACCGGGGTAGTGGACCAGGGCCTAGGTGGAACCGGACCGATGCTTGGCGAGTTTGACATGTTAGAGGTGTTGCTTAATGAGGGGTATGACAATACTGCTCACGACGGCGACTCCGGCGGACCCCTCGGCTCACAGTTCATGTCTTGATCTGGGATCTCTCCGATCGTCAAGAGCCCAACCTCCCTGGGATAATGCTTCAAGCCAGCGAGCCATGTACTTTTTTCATTTATGCTTTCTTTCCCCCGTTTAAACCATATACCCCTGCGGGATCTACACTTGGCGTCCCTCTTTGTGCTTCTGCGTTCTAGCCTGGGCGGATGATGTGATTCGTTTGAATCGCATTTCGTTGCAATTTCGTTGAAACAAGTCCCCTTTTCTCATGCTTGGCGGGTGTTCTAGTCTCCTACTTGCAGAACTGAAAATGTAACGGAAAATAACAAAGTCCATTGCATTTTTCTTGCTTTTCCTGCATTGTTGCTTTTTTTCCTCTGATATCTTAAGGTTTCTTCTTTAGGCTTCGAGATTAAAAGCACCCCTCGGTGTCCGTCGGGTCTCAAGATAGCGGGGCCGAGTTTCATCTCAATATGACATATTATTTCTTCACGTGTTTACGGGGTTCGTTGCTAAGCCCTGTTTGAGCCACAACATTGAATGGATGTTCAATGTTCTTCAAGATCATTACACTCAGCTGGGGCCTGTTCTGTCCATTTTCAGCCTCGTCAAATAAGGCTCGCGGGGTGGCTTGGGTTCTATGTATATCGTACTTAGCCGCGTTAGTCCATTCAATGTTCCTGAAGGACTGTTCTTTGCCGATCCTAGTTATCAGCTCGTAACATTTGAAGTCTTTTATTGTTTTTTGAGAGTAGTAGATTAATACTACACACATACACCGTATCATTTCAAGTTGAGCCTATGAAAGGTCGGTACAGTGGCAGGTGTGATCGCAAGTATTCAAGTCGTGTGGTCTATCGCCGATCTATCTGATTGCAAGGCCGATCGCCACCGATTTAGGTTATTGTGGACGTGAAGACGATCGGTGCCCCGAAAGATCTTCAATGCACTTCCTAGTGGGAACCTATGGAAGGGCGCGATGATCCGATAAGGGTCTCATTTTCACGTTCACGGAACAATGACAATGAACATTTGAAGTGTTTAACGAGATGCAGGGTCCATTTAGTCTAACGGATATGCAGAGCCGATCTCAGCGTGGAGACGGAGTCCGGTCGGGAATTCATATTTTTGACTTGGGCTTTTTTTTTTTTTCTTTACTTGGCAAGTTCTTTCAGATGCTGATTTTTTGTCTAAATCTTTGCTCAGGACTTCTCTCAATTTTGGGATTCTGAAACAAGCTAGAGCCTTCAACTGGGAAAGTGATTACGGCTGAACCTAAGGGACAACAGATGTACAAGCCAATAGAGTCAACAGCTTATCGGAACTCGATTCTAGGCAACTCTGTACTTCCAATGGAGAGTTCGGGTTTAACTGGACCATCACATTCAAACACAGAGACAATACTACCTTAATTAAAGGGGCCAAACATAAAGTATATAGAATCCTCTTCTGGTTCATGATTGGTGGGCCTTGGATATAAGGGGTGATGATCGCCAGGGCCTTCCCTTACTACTAGTACACTTCATTAAGCGCAACTTTCGTTTCCATTGTTTACCTTTCAACTGGTCCAGTTGAGCCCCACAAAAAAAAACTAAAGCCGTCGGGGCATATGGGGATCGGCAGGGTTCCGCCAAATGACTTCTCGTATCAAAGCTTCTAGATGTCTACCTGATTCCCAATTAGCCTTCTCCCGGACTTCTCTGCCAGACCTGCATGCGAGAACAAAACAACTCGCAGGGAAGGCGCAATATAGGCGGGCATGAATTGCCCCAAGCCCCACACCGCTTGGGGTCTAGAGGCTGAGGAGACTAGGGCCATCCTAGCGCCATTGGACCCGTCCACTATGCACGAAACGCGATTGCGTCGTTTCATGGATTCATCCTTAGTCTCTGCCACAGGTGGGGGCATCCCCCGTCGTGACATCTTGGCTGGCCGATGGACTCCGTGATGATCTCGAAGTTTACGGCTCCGAAGTCTCTGCAGCGGTTGGATCGGCACCACTGCTTTCCTCGAAGAGAAACAGCTCCCTTTGGATCGTGCGATGGACGCCATAGTTGGTGCCCTTGTATAATCTAGATCCTTTCCAAGTCACTAACATTTGAACCATCCAGGATCTATAAATCATCCTTCGTCTCCCGCTGTTTGTGGTTCTCTATCCACTTCTATTACAATCTTTCAACTTCATTCTTTTATAAATCGAAAGCCATTCTTTGAACCATTTCACCATGGTTGTCTTCAGCAAGATTACCGTTGCCTTGGCCGGTCTGGCCTCCGTTGCTTCCGCTGTCCCCACTGGCGGTAAGAAGAGCTTCACTGTCAACCAGGTTGCCGTGAGTGCCACGAAGACTCAGAACTTTGCCAACAACTACGCTCGTGCTCTTGCCAAGTACGGCGCCAAAGTCCCTACCCACGTTCAGGCTGCTGCTCAGCAGAGTGGCTCTGCTACCACCACTCCCGAGAGTGATGACGAGGAGTACCTCACTCCCGTCAACGTCGGTGGCACGACCCTGAACCTGGACTTTGATACCGGCTCTGCCGATCTGTAAGTGGACCCACTGCTCGGTTTGCCGAGAGACACTAGTCAAATTACCTGTCTATGAATATGGAATCTAACTGTGATTTTAGCTGGGTCTTCTCCTCGGAGCTTCCCGCTTCGGAGCAAACTGGCCACAGCCTCTACAAGCCCAACAATGGCACTAAGCTGTCTGGCTACACCTGGTCCATCTCCTACGGCGATGGAAGCTCCGCCAGCGGTGATGTCTACAGGGACACCGTCTCAGTCGGTGGAGTCAAGGCCACCGGCCAAGCTGTTGAGGCTGCTTCCACGATCAGCCAGCAGTTCACCCAGGACCAGAACAACGACGGTCTTCTGGGTCTCGCTTTCAGCTCCATCAACACCGTCAAGCCCAAGTCGCAGACCACTTTCTTCGACACCGTGAAGTCCACACTCGCTTCTCCCCTCTTCGCCGTGTCCCTAAAGCACAATGCTCCCGGCTCTTACGACTTTGGCTTCATCGACAAGTCCAAGTACACTGGCTCGCTGACCTACGCCGATGTCGATAGCTCCCAGGGCTTCTGGGGCTTCACCGCTGATAGCTACAAGATTGGTTCCACAACTGGTAGCTCGATCAAGGGCATTGCTGACACCGGTACTACCCTCTTGCTGCTCGATGACGAGGTTGTCTCTGCCTACTACAAGCAAGTTAGCGGTGCGGCTTCGGACTCCTCCGCTGGTGGCTACACCTTTGACTGCTCTTCTACTCTGCCTGACTTCACTGTTAGCATCTCCGGCTATGATGCTGTTGTCCCCGGCAGCTTGATCAACTACACTCCTGTCTCCCAGGGCTCCTCCAAGTGCCTGGGTGGTATTCAGAGCAACTCTGGTCTTGGCTTCTCTATCTTTGGTGACATCTTCCTGAAGAGCCAGTACGTCGTCTTCGACTCCAACGGTCCCCGCCTTGGTTTCGCTGCCCAGTCTTCTTAATTGAATGGCGGCTTTGATTGGATCATGAATCCATGGTGCGAGTCAGCAAATACTTTTTTTTTGGTGTGAGCAAAGGACTCGGCATGATAAGTGAATGTTTGAAGGATGGCTAGCGGGGCTAGCTATGGATGATTGGAATTTGGGGGAACTTGTTGATCATTTCACCCTAGCCAAGTCTTGGACCCGGCTTGGTTTGTACATGGTGTCTTTTGATAATGCGTGCAGCACATAGTATATACTACGCATTCAAGTTTTAAGTTTATCGCGTTGGACTTTTCAGAAATAATGTAGATGAAACATTTAAAGGAAGAGGAGTATCTAGGATATTAAATTAGTCCTATTATGCGCGGTTTTCAAATATCTGAAATTCTTGAATGAGGGGTTAGAAAAGCTGAAGAATTCCCTCCGTATGTGGAGAGATTCCACGCGAGTGGAACCGGGTGGCGGATCATCTCGACCCGCCCAATTCAACTCCAGACTTCACGACTTGGTTTGTCACGCGAATCATAGACATTTCCCTGCCAAGATTCTTCTCAAAATTTCAGTACATATTTTACCTTATACACACATATAGATTTGCGCACTTTTTCCTTTCCAGCCACTCCTCTCCCACTGCCGAAATATCCTCGACCGCTAGTTTTCCGATCCCGACTCTCCTGAGTCCTTTCCGATACCCGGCCTTGTACGCGCGGCTTCAACACCCCGAAAAATGGCCGTTTAAGGCGCTCGATCCGAAACAATACCTTGAAATACTGAAGGGACACCTGGTGGATTTGCTATATGCGCTGGATCGACAGGGTACTGGAGCCGTCAGGAGTGTCTGATCATGGACAATGATCATCGTCTGACTCCGCGCCAGATCTGGGCGAATCCAACGACGACCTCGACCAAAACATATTCGTCTGGATGTACACCGTTTGTGTTGCCCAGCAATGGTATGTGATTCCTCGAATGTTCTGCGATAGAGACTCTTCCATCCCCCTCGCGCAGCGCCGTATTAACCACCGGCGCTTCTTCGCTCACAGGCATTATCCACGTGAACAAATCCTACGAGTTGACACTCACGGCAAATGCCGTCTTCGAACCGATCTGTACCGATGGCTATACCGACTATACTCATGTAGCCGCCGTTCTTGACACCCGCGATCCATTTTACTCCTCCGTGACGCCTCAGCTCTACGCCATCGGTTGCTGTACGGTCGTCAGCTATGTTCTCGTCATAATTTTACTTATCACCCCGCGCACTTTCTTCGTCGGCGGCCCTGGTGGCGGTGGAGAGAATTTCCTCGGTCGACATAGCATGATCAGTCGGTCATATAGTAGGAACTCGTCGATCGTCGGCATTGGTGGTCGGCCATGGCTGCAAAAAGTGGCGGCGTTTCTCGTTGCCATTTCCTTGACAATCGCCACGGTTGACTCATTCAGAGTTGCCGAAATTCAGTACGAATACGGATACTCTGATGCCGAAGCACTCTCCGAGGAGGTCATTGATGGGATGGAGATTCGCATTGTGCGTGTCATTTCGCAAACGTTTCTCTGGCTGGCGCAAGTCCAGACGTTAATTCGGCTATTTCCGCGACATAAAGAGAAAGTGATGATTAAATGGGCTGGGTTTGCCTTAATTGTCCTGGACACGATTTTCAGTATCTTGGAGAGCTTCTTCTTCAAGAATAGTTCAACACATCCAAGATTATACGACGATGCCATTCCGGCACTCAGCTATCTATTTGAGTTGGCTCTCAATCTTCTATACGCCGCGTGGGTCATTTTCTACTCTATCTCGAAGCACCGCTATGCATTTTTCCATCCAAAGATGCGCAACATTTGCTTTGTGGCTCTTTTGTCACTTTGTGCAGTCTTAATCCCGGTGGTATTCTTCGTCATGGACATTGCAAAACCGGAGATTGCAGGCTGGGGTACCTACATTAGATGGGTCGGATCGGCAGCGGCCAGTGTGGTAGTATGGGAGTGGGTGGAACGTATAGAGGCGCTTGAGCGAGATGAGACGAAAGACGGGATTCTTGGTCGCGAAGTCTTTGATGGCGATGAGATGCTCGAGGTGACTCCGTCCGAAGAAGTCGATTGGCCCCGATATTCACCCCATGGCCAGAATAAAGGAGGAGGAAACGGCGCTTCTTCTGGCTGGGGTGGAGTCATGAACTTAGCCCATCGACCACTACGAACTCGTGTGGGCACCAATCGTGGAAATCGTGCCCGTGGATCTGGCAGTGCGCCACCCCCGAAGGGAGTCACTCCGTCAAGGCGTCAAAACAACCATCGCCCTACCCCACCCCCGGCGGTCATTACTCCAGTCAGTCGAGCTGACACCAGCAGTGCTCCCAGCACAGTCTATAATGTTCGATATCACCCAGTCGCCAGCCCTACACCACCCGTCGCAATGCCAAACATGGAAGAAGAGGAGGCAGAAATAGAAGAAGAAAAAGAAATAGAGATCGAGAGATATATTGGGTCAGGCGACGTGGAAGAGGAGGCCCCTGCCCACGATGGCAGAGAGCAATCACCACAGATGGTTCATGCCGATCCGCGATGGCGCAATCTCATTAATCACTTTAAGCGAAGACGCGGTTCTCTTCCGAGGGAAGTTGCTTTTGCGCAAGCTGGAGATGAATCGGCTGACGAAGACGACGGCCATTTCGATGACGAAGACCCTGAGCAACATACCACACAAACGAGATCCAACAATAACTTCTTCTCGCTACATCGGCCCCGACTTTCCGGTGCTGGGCCACAGTCTACTGATGCCCCGTTGGCCGTCACAGTAATCCCCGCCCGTCGCCGTGGACAGCAGACTTGGTCCCCTCAACCTCGAAACAGTTTGCTGGAAGCAACAGAAACTACATCTATTAATCAACATGAGCAACCCCGACCTGGGCAATCCAATCTACCCGTCCGAGTCATCCCTTCTCAGCCCCATGCATCTGCGCCATGGGGTGACGCAGACCTGGAACATGGAGATGGGAATTACGTTCTCCGTTATGACCCTGAAGCAGCTGCTTTAGTCCATGAGCGTGTGAGCCATTCACAAGGAGAGCCTGCTGTGGCTGGTAACCGTGCTAGTTGGACAGCGACAACCGTCTCAGAGGCTGATTCAGATCAAGTTGACGAGCCCCAAGCTCCCCAGCATCACGATCATGACCACACATCCTCTTGATCGTTCATGGTGTTTTCTTTTTTATTTCTTTTAGCCATTGGAGTTGAATATTTTAGGATCTTGTGAGCATGATTGGGGACTCTGCTCAACGTCGAATATACCCTGGGGACATATCATAATTTGGTTTTTGTATTTATTCTGGCGTCGCACATAAGAAGGTTCTAATTTCACGTACTACATATTGATAGTATATCTTGTTCCAATCCAACATGTTATTAAAATAGGCTCTCACTCCGCTTCGCTCCGTTCAAGCGATAATATGTCTCTCTAATCAATATTAGAAGTTTATGGGTGTTAACCAGTTGATCTGTTACGGCCTTTGTTCTCACAGCTAAGGGTTTATATCTGACCAGTATCTAGCGTCGTAATATAGTAAAGAAATTAAGATAATGCGGATTTTGCAGACCGGTGGTTGGTCCGAGTGGATCCGTACTTTGATCGGGAACTTTTTGCTCCGAGTTGTACGGAGTACATTTCCCCATACTTCTCTCTCCCCCATGGACATTCTTCGGATGTCGCATCATGGCGGCCGTCAATCAGAATATGTTTGATGCGAGCATCACCACCGATCGACCCCGTGGGGCGTCGTTGTTGGTGTTGCCGCTAAACTTGATCGCCCAAATCGTCACAAACGTCAGCTCCCTGGACCCTGACCCCCCACGGCACGTGAAAGCTCGAAATTACTAACGTGATCAATGGAATGCGCAGGTCGAAGATACAGGCGACCTTGCCCGATTATGCCGAACATGTCGCGTCCTCAACTACATGGCGCTGCCACAGCTCTATCGGAGTCTGACCCTCACCTCTTACGACAAGATCCGCTATCGTGATGACCAACCCGAAGGCATCGGGAGTGCGAGTCCGTTCACCATGGGACTCAACGCCGTAATAACTCGTCCGTATGCGAAGCTCGTGCAATCAATTACTCTGCGCGGAGACTGGAAGGGGCATGATTTGGAGGAACATGCTCAGGTCGGTCGCGTGCCCGACTCTTCAATGTTATTGAATATTACGGTTCGTGCGGCGTTGGATCGCATGCCGAGTTTGGAGAGCTTCAGCTGGGAACTCAACACCAAAATGCTCGACACAGTCTACTCGGGGCTAACAGAACTACCTCGACTTCATACATTAACAATTCGATTTCCTTCCACCCGCCACCCACAACCTACCCAAGTACTTCCACCCATGCCGCATCTCCGCTCGTTGAAAATCACCGATATTGACCCTCTCTGCTATCCGGATGACATTGCAACTATACTCTGGAAGAGTAAAAAGCTGCGCGAACTCAAGCTTCACTGGTCACCCCGTATGCGCATTGCGCAAGAACCGAGCATTTCTTTGCATAATTACTTTCGCAAGAGCATCGCCGCGAAACAACCGATTACAGTCAAAAAGCTATCCTTCCAAAACATGTACGCCTTCCACAGCGAGGAATTTAACATCGCCTTCGACCCCACAACCGTCGAAGACGTCACTTTTCTGAGTGGAACAGACACTCCCGGTTTGATGAACACATTCATAGAGCAAAGTTGGCCGACGATACTGCCCCATAAGACATTGAAGATTAAATCCATTCGCATGGATGCGGTCTCAAAACGAAACTCGGAGTTCCTGGGTAACTTCAAAGGACTCGAGCGAATATACTTTGTCAGCGTTACCGCTGATAATCCGGACTGCCTCAACTCTCCTCGATTCACAAACCCGCCCGCTCCATCAGAGCTGACACCTCCTGTCTCTGAGAACCCTCATGTTTCGGGTAATGGCACCAATGCCAACTCTCCAGCGACGTTAGCCTCCCCAGCCAGTCAACTTCATGCGACTTTGGGCGGAAGGGATAGCTACTTGTCGAACATCACGCTGAACCATGGCGCATCACTGCGCCATCTGTTACTTTGCTCGAAATGGTCTCTTTCCACTGCTATGGTTGCCCGACTTGTTCATGGCTGCCCGAACCTGGAGCAATTGGGTTTAGCAACGGATCTCGCATGTATGGAATCGCTTGGAATGCTGGTTCCTTTCCTGCGAAAATTGGTAGCGCTTCGACTTATGATCCCTGCTGGATCGCCATCTCCTCAGACCGGACCAGCTAAAGGAACTCAAAATAGCCCAGGAGACCTTGCGGACAACCCTTTCTGGAAAGGCAAAAATCTCCATGCCCAAGCCTTTGCTCCCTCTGCGAAATGTGTTAAGTTTCCTCCAGAAATTGAGGAGCAAATAATCAATGCGCGCAGTCTGGCAGATATTGTGGATATCGATGACGAGGTACTGATTCAAATGATGAGCTATGACCTGGCCGACAAGCAAATTTTTGGCAATGTCAAGATTATTGGCATGGGCTGGAAGGTCTTTGAACTGGGAGAATTTTATAAAGGCCCGGCTCCTGTTTATTGCGAAGATGATCAAGAAACGCCGATCGTTAGGACGCCAGACGAGAACCCACAGAACGGGAATCGTCCTAATGGAGGCACTGGTATGGTCGCTAACACTTCGGATCAACCGTTTCCAACCCCAAATCCTCCTACTAGTACCCACCATCCCGAGATCAGCGCTACAAGTCAATCTCAGCATTCTAGCGCGCCTCCGTTTGGACAAAGGTCCCACCCGCCTTCAACATTGGGAAAGCGCACCCGAAATGAGGAAGATATTCGAAATGGGGACGCACATTCATCAAGAAATCCATCTGAATTCCGTGAAGTGCCGCCCCAATCACACGTATACCGCCCCGAACCCTATGTAACTGATGACGGCCAAGTTTGGAGACGCGGTATGCGACGTGTTGGATGGGACGTGGTGAAACACTGGGAAATTTGGGCGCTAGACGCCCAAGAGATTTGATCTCCCCAAAAGAAATAGAAAAAAGGAACACATTCTTGTTCTAGTGTTGTTGTGTCCTCACCCTACCTACTCTTTTTCTTTTAATATTTCACATCTCATGTACACCGTTCACGATATTTGGCTCTGGCGATACAGGAGTTTCCAGGGCAATTGGTGTTGCTCAGGCGCTTTTTTTCGGGGGGGGGTTTTTTATTTCTGTCTCGTTCCGGATTGCATATATATGGATATACTATCTCTTGTCCTTTGGTTATCTTATCTCTCATCTTATTCAAACTTTCATTTTGCCCCTGTATGTAATATTTGTGAAGAAGATGTCTCGGGGTGAGAACAAAACGGTTTAAGCGGGTTTCAGAACGGGGGGTTTCACAACACAACCTCCCAAGGGCTGCGAAGATCTCACCTCGGAAACTCACGGAGTTGTTTATTGCAGACAGTTCAAAGCCGGTTAAATAATCTATAAAGAGCACCGCGCCATTGACGAGCCCTGGAGTCTCGCCAAGATCCTCATGAACTCTGCTTGGCACAACGTACAAGAATTAATCGGCTGAAGAAACCGCCCCGCATACCAAGCCATGGCACAATTCACCCCTATGCAAATCCACCAGTCGGTGCTGAACTTCAGCCCCGTTTCAGCCCAGACTCCATTCTCGGGAGGATTATACCTGTCGAGAAACGAACCCCACATGCTGTTTACCCTGATTCTCTCCCACGAGGCATGAAAAGAACCCTTTGGGACAAGGCCGGCCATCCGTTTTGTGCCATGCCAAGATCCCGATTTCCACGAATGAGTCCTCGTCCGATATTACAGGTAAAGAGTGGATTGAGATGAATGCGCCATGTTAAAATTCAAGATAAATAGATCACAAAGCCCTGAATTGCAAGAGCCAACAATCTCTACATTTTCTTTTTCTTTCAGGTGGCTGTTGCAATATGGATACTCGGCATTTGACGCTATCTGTGGCGTTATTCACGGCACTAGCGCAGACTGTGCAGGGTTATGCGAACCCAGGAGCATGTTCAGGGGAGTGTGTTGTGTCTGACCCCACCCTGATTCAGCGTTCATCCGACAGCAAGTATTTCCGTTTCTCGACCGGAAACGAGATTTCGTATGCCAGTTCGTCTAGCATTGCTGGGCCATGGACCGTGATTGGATCCATGCTCCCAGATGGGTCATCCATTGACCTCTCTGGAAACACTGACCTTTGGGTGAGTACATAATAACGCCTCCAACTGAAATTGAGCTTCAAATATCTGGATCTATAGCTTTGGAAATCTTACTGATGCTTCGATTTTCTTTTTCATTCATAAAAGGCCCCCGACGCTCACATCGTCGATGATCTGTACTACGTCTACTATGCCGTCTCGACATTCGGATCGCAGGCCTCGGCTATCGGTCTTGCAACATCAAAGACCATGGACCTAGACTCCTGGACCGATCACGGATCCATCGGTGTCGTCTCATCCTCGTCAAAATCGTACAATGCCATTGATCCGAATCTGATCGATGTTGACGGCACTTACTACATGAACTTCGGTTCCTTCTGGGACGACCTCTACCAGGCCCCCTTGAACTCTGCAGCAACCAAGGTGTCCTCGTCTTCCTACAACATTGCCTACAACCCTTCTGGCACCCACGCAGAGGAGGGTTCCTACATGTACAAGTACGGCAGCTACTACTATTTGTTCTACTCTGCCGGTATTTGCTGTGGCTATGATACATCCCTGCCCGCAAGTGGAGCAGAGTACAAGATTAAAGTTTGTCGTTCGACTTCGGCAACGAGTGGATTCGTAAGTTTTTCTTTCTTTTCTTGCTTCATCCTCGGAGAATCTCAAACTTGGTGGAAATATCTTGCTAATTGTTTCAATAGGTTGACAAGTCTGGTACTGCATGCACTGCTGGCGGTGGCACTGTCGTGCTGGAGAGCCACGGTACTACTTATGGACCAGGTGGACAGTAGGTTTTTCAGTATGGAACCTTTCTTGATACTTGACTAACAACATTTAGGGGTGTTTACGATGATCCCACCTATGGACCTGTTCTTTACTACCACTATATCAACACCGACATTGGTTACGCTGATTCGGATAAGCAGTTCGGATGGAATGCCCTTGACTTTTCCACTGGGTGGCCTGTGGTCTAAGGAGTAGGCAATGTATACTTGGTATTTCCGGGGCTCTATGGTTTACTGAAGTGGATATATCAATGTTGTTGAGATATCAAGTTATAATTTATCACTTTTACTATGTATATGGCCGTGGCCCGTTCGCTTACCGGTTACGTTACCAATTTCCCATATGTACTTTTCCGATCTGCCCAGGGAAGTACTAAGCACCACTTGAGGGAGTACATATTCAATCTCTAAGAACTTCATGAAATACATGTAAGGATTCTCGGTAAAGTTACACTGCATCATTCATGAAGAAGTTGATACCTTTAAGCACGTCACTTAGGAAGTTCCCGCTTGGTGGCTTACAGTCCAACGCCCAAAAGACATGAGGTAAGCCGATGTAATAATCAAGCTTCGTTGGAACACTAGAAGCACCGACGTGGTCAACAAAACATAAACACAAAGGAAAGGAAAAGCTGCCACTTACCCGGCCTCTTTCAATAGGCTATGCATCACTAGGCCATCATCGCGAATCGGATCGATGTCACACACAACCAGGTAGGTTGGAGGGAAATCCTTTATGTGCCCACTGTTGATAATAAAGAAATCCGGATCTTCAGGGCTCGCCCCAACGGCGTCTGGGAAGTAGTTGAGATTGCTGAATAAATTGACAGTAAGGGAACGCTCACGTACCGAAGAATGTATTCATAGCAAATGCTGTGTTAAGCGGAGCGTCTGCACAATCAGTGAAAGACTGATACTTATCCTTATATTTGCTGGGGACCCCGGCAGGATGAGTAGTGATTGGAGCAAGAGCTGCGACACCGCGGATTTCAATCTTTCGATCCAGTGCGACAAGCTTATTCACTAAAGCCAGTGCAAGATGACCTCCAGCGCTCTGTCCAATCGCAAAATATCTAGCTCGGTCACCATTCAGCATCGATGCATTGTTCCATGCCTTTTAAAGTTAGTATCGTACGACTTGAAGAGATCGAAGAGTCAAGATGGAACCCACCCAGGTCCAACCCTCCAGCACATCCTGAAGCGGCACTGGGCTTTTATGCTCAGGTGCCCGTCGATATTCCAGTGAAACAATAATGCAAGGAACATTTTCAGATAAGAGTTGGCAGATACCGTCCTCGGTCTCCACATCACCACAACACCACCCACCACCATGAAAGTAGACACCAACCGGCAATAGTTGTTCATCCTTACGAGGAGGGGTATAAACCCTAGCGGCAAGATATTCCGTGATTGGGACATCCTCTTGAAAAAGTTAATATCATTAAAACCGCAACGTTTGAAAGCCGGCGTACTGAACCAGTCGGGGACATACCGATTTTTAGGTCAAGGGACCTTTTGTGGGAAGCATTTATCTGGTTTGCGAGAGCTTTGTATTGCTCTCTCATAGCCAATGCATCACCCGAAAATTGTGGCCTTTGGCCGAGAGCTTGCTCTATCTGCTGAATGATTAGACTAGCCTCGGAATATCAGAGTATGGATTGGATGTACATCGACCCATGATTGTGACAAAGCTAATTCCATCTTTGATTTGGCTAAGCGAGCCTTACATGGTATATCAAATACTATTGACTGTGGAAAATCTTGTCCTTTTAAAATGACCGAAGCCCTAATCGAAGCCAAGCGGAAATTTGAGGATTAGTTATATTCCAATGGCCGAGGCTCAACTAGTTATGTACTATACTGATATGTCATCTTGGCCTCGGCACATGGCAAAATAAGCTTATCGTGGAGTAATCACCATCGTGGCAAGCCGCAAGATGCATGCCGAGGATCCACTTTCGGGGAAATCAAACGATAAGTCGATCAAGACGGATTTTGCGTAGGAATTTTCGGGCCGCAAGTTTCCGGTTTCCTCTTAATTATTTTCAATTAAGGTCGTAGATCCAAGTTTCAAACTACAGAAAATACTAACCTATATCAAGGATTCAATAACGATACGCAAACATGGCCCTCGCTCGCCTAGAGATTCAGTTCAACGCTCGCGATGGGACCACGCTTCGGGGCTGGCTCTACCCTCAAGCCAAGAAGTCTCCATGCGTGATCATGACACACGGGGTAGGTATTTTTGCCGCTCTATTCACTGCTGGAGAAGAATTGCTGATATCATTTTGATATGAATACTAGTTGGGTGGTGTTCGCCATTTGTGGCTTCCAGCTTTTGCCGATCGCTTCCATGATGCTGGCTACAATGTACTGCTCTATGACAATCGGAACTGGGGTGACAGTGATGGGCTGCCGCGCCAGGAATCAAACCCGCCCCTTCAGCAAGCCGACTACTATGACGCGTTCAATTTCGCCTGTACATTTTCTAGCGTGGATGCTTCACGCATCGTGTACTGGGGGACTAGCTTTTCTGGTGGAAATGTCTTGCACGCCGCTGCTGTGGATAAGCGCATCAAGGCTGCCATCGTGCAGTGTCCCGCTGTTTCTGGAGAGACCCGATCTTTGTCGTTCAAGCACCGGATCCCAGCCCTGTTGAATGATCGCACTTATGCCGCTGGTGCCGAGTCGGAGACAATTCCTCTTATTGCAGATGACATGGAGGCTGCCCAAACTGGAGCATCAAATGCTATGTTCCCCGGCGTTCACGCCTATGGTCATGTGCGGGAGTCATACGACTGCGGCGCAGTATGGGAGAACTTCCTTACTACTCAGACGCAGGTGAACATGCTTCTTTTTGAAGGGCAGGCAATTATTCACCGTATCTCGCCGACTCCACTCCTGATGGTTATTCCGGGAAATGACGAACTTGTCACTACATCATCGCAACTGGCTGCTTACGGCAAAGCAAGGGAACCTAAGCAAATGCTTTACCTTGACGGAGCGGGCCATTTTGATATCTATACGGGAAATTGGTTCGAAAAGAACATTACGACACAACTAGAGTTCTTGAAGAGGCACATCGGTCAAACTGAGAATGTTTGACAAATGTACCTGGTGCATAGTATTAGTTGGTGTATCTATAGTATTCTCTTTTCGCTTGCTACTTCCCACATTATGTTGATACAGTGCAAGTAGACATATAGAAGCTGTCTATTTTCAAATGTTATAACTACTGTCGGAATAACATTGAATAGACCATGTGAGCTATATTCAATTCCTAGAATATTTTATTGGGTAATTTGGAATTCTGCAAATTCCATTCTATGTACATCAATTTTACCGGTTGGCAACTATCGGCGCCCGTGGTCCGTAGTACTGGTTCAATTTATCTCGACCGCCTTTGCTGTTCTGATTTACATATTATGTATAGTATCAATTGGCCTGGTGAGTAGATGTCAACCTAATTATTGAGCGCTACAAAAGTACAATTTTCATGCACATGTGAATGCAATGTGCAATAGATGAGCCTGATCATCATTGTATTGCTCGAAGACTTGCTCAGCACCACAAAGGCAGTGGTTGCCAATCATGTAGTACCAAAGAACTCCATATTCCCAGCGTCGAGCAACATGTCATAGTTGGGAAGACCATGACAGAACACCGACAGAAGCAAGGATGCATCTATGCTCTTAGCCAGTTCAGAGCCCTCTTGTTTTCCTCAAGGAATCGGTCTATCATATGCTTTGTTTGAACAACCCTGACGGGAGTCAGCTCCCCATGCTCCATCAGACTTTGACTGAGACACCCTTTTCGGTCTTCGTACGGGTTGCCGTGTAGATATGGGGCATTTTTTTCAACCAGCTTTTGTGGATCTGCCGCAGTAAGCCATGTCTGTTCAGCTCCGAGACCCTTTAGATGGAAGTTGAACGTGTGAAAGTCTGATATAAACCAACCATCCTCATGCTGGACGATTAGCTGTTTTGAGGTTGGGCTGGGTCAACTGGTGGCTGCGATAATGATAGAGTTCTTGTGGATGACGGGTACAGTGGTGAAGAACAAGGATGGTAGTGATTCTGGCCGCTTGCCATGCGACCCTCTCATGCCCGAAACATGCCATAACTTGCGATTTATTGGACAACATGACCTAGAAGTACGTATAGATAAAGGCATGCACAGAGCGTCAAGAGGATTGAGCCCAAATTCTTTCTAACAAACAACCTGCTTCTAGCGGTATTGAAATGCCTTCAGTCCGCCGACTCCGGTGGCCACCCACAAACAGATTATTTGTTACATCTTGACTCTCTCGGTATTCACTGGGCTGAATACAACGGAATCTTTGGAGAAATAAGGCTGAAGCGGGTAAGTGTCCCAGTACATCCAAACATGCTGGTACTGTAGACCCTCGGGGGTCTCTTCAGGAGCAGTGCTGGGCCCTATTTCGCAGGTCATGGACAAAGGAAGGCTAACAGTTGGCGAGCCATGAATATCGGAACCGGGAGCCCAGATGTGTCGAGTGACCCGAGCAATGAGATGAACGGTGCCGTCGTCGTTTTCGAGTTCCCAGATTGCATGGAAATCGTGGTCTAGGCGAGCGAACTCGCCGAATAACTTGATGACCCATGGCCATATCTCCGCGCCATGGTAGTCAACGCCGTTCTGGTTGTGGAAGACCGCATGTGGGGCATAGAATAGGTGTTTTGAATGAGCGGTTAGGTCAGATTCTTTGATGGCAGATGCATATGCGCCGTAAAACCGCTGGGCTGGAGTTTGTGGGCCTTTCGCAGCCCAGTCGGCTCCAGTGAGGAAAGATGTGACACGAGGAGGCATAACGACTGTGAATCAAGCTTAGATTGCTAGCCACTTCTCTTTTGCAAGACTCACCAGCAGCACACATGTGTCCTCTTATATTTCGTCTTCCAAAATCATATCGGCAGCTGTAAGCACTAGCTTGAGTACATCATTTGCTGGCAGCTGCAACTGGGTTCATCAGCCCCACTCAACGAATCATCGAAACGTGTATTCCGAGGCTTAATGACCCATGATCTGCATGATTATTGATCATACAATAGTCCGCATGGTTTTCCTCGGCATCCAAGGAATTCCCCCCTGTTCTTTGGGCGAAATTCGGTTTGCCGCAACTTCCCGCAATTTCCGATGTGGATCAGGATTCAGTACTGGCAAATCATGTGGTCTCGCCCATGAAGCAAGTGAGATCGGATATGTTTATTTCGTCGTATTTATGCCGAGGTTTATGTCCGCCTAAGAGTTGAGACTCAATTAGAGGATGACCTTTCAGGAACGGATCACCTCATCACAAAATCACCAAAACTGTTACCACTTACCGGCAACACTTTCATCACGTGCTTTCTTCTATATCTAAGTCCGACTCGCATGGCCCAACGCAGACATTCTTTCGTTTTATACTCAACAGGTCTAACAATCCAAAATGCCGCTCAATTTCAAGGTCTTTTTCAGCAGACGCGACAGCGCAACCCGAACTGGTCCCGCCGGACATGATCATCTCAAATGGGTTCCCACAAGCTCTACTTTGATTTATGGAGAGAAGAAAGCCGTCCTAGTTGACTCTCAGTTGACTCTCAAAGCTTCTCAGGAGCTGGCAGAATGGGTCGTGGCTAGTGGAAAAGACCTGGTCGCCATCTTTGTCACTCATTCACATGGTGACCACTTCTTTGGAAGCTCCAGCATCCTCAAACGGTTCCCCGAGGCCAAAGTGATCGCTACACCGGAAGTGGTTTCCCGCATGGCATACGAAACATCCCCGGAAAGGATGGCAAGCTTATGGAACAAGCTATTTCCTGGGCTACTCCCTGAGGAATTCGTGGGAGCCGAGCCTCTAAGTGGTGATGAGTTTGAGCTGGAGGGGGAGAAATTGCAAATTGTGAAGCTGGGCCACACAGATACGGATGAAACCAATGCCTTGTGGGTTCCATCAATTGGACTTGTGGTGGCAGGGGACTGTGTATACGCAAATACCCATCCGTATCTGGGCGAGTCGGGAACAGAAGAGGCTCGCATCGAGTGGATGAGAGCGTTGGATAAGCTCGCAGCTTTGAAGCCTAGAGCAGTGATCGGGGGCCACAGCGATCCCAGCAAGTCCTTCGGTCCCGAAGCCATACAGGAGACCAAGTTGTACTTGGAAAACTTCAACCGAATTGCAGCAAAATACACCAAGGCTGAAGACATTTACTCGCAAATGTTGGAGCTGTATCCGGAACGGCTTAATCCTGGATCTGCCTGGGCTGGAGCACTTCTTGCCAATCGAGAATGAAACAAATAAATAACGCTTCATAAGCCGTGTTTTTTCTTTATCCGAGATTTTTGGGCTCAAACAAGTGTCCTACGGCTTTTCTAGTGCTGATTGTCCAGGATGAATGAGATGGAGTAACATGGAAGGAATGCGTCAATGTTTGTACATAGCACTTGAGAGTATAACATACATAAACATTGAAGTGATTTCAAAACCTACATAATAAAAGTTTACGAATATGGTTATGCATTTTGACAATTTCGAACATCATATGATATTTTCTTATCTTTGTACAAAATTTTCAACGGCCTATACGGCACTAGCTACAACTCTCAATCACTCAATCCAAAGCATCCAAACAGTATTCAACCAATCCTAATATGGACTTAGTTGAAAGCCGAAGCTCCAGAGATGGTCTCCTTCAAAGGAAGGTTCCGCGAAGAGGCGCCAACATAGACAGTCTTCGCGTAGTCTGAGATGAACCAGTCTTGGGTTACGGTGTTCCAGTTCGAGAGATCACGTCGAGTGATATCAACCGTGAAGGTAGCAGTCTCACCAGGTGCGATGCTAAGTCTCTCGAATCCACGAAGCTGTCTGATTGCGTCGGTTGGGGCTCCGAGCCCCACATACAGCTGGGCAACTTCATCACCGGCGACCTTGCCTGTGTTGGTGACCTTTGCAGTCACGGTGTACAGAACGTCCCAGAGGAGAGGGTTTCCACCCACTCCGCTGGAAGGAAGACGGGGCTGCGGGTTGCCGTTTTGGGAGTTTGCAGGGACAGAGGCAGTGTCGTAGTACGGGTCGTCGGCTGATTTCTTCAGGGAAGTGGAGTTCAGGTATGGGTAGATGAAGTAGGGGACCTGCTTAAAGCCTTCTGGGAAGGTGTAGTCTGAAATGTCGGTGGAAACCTTGCCGAGAACCGGAGCTGCGGATGTAGAGCCTTTCGTGGGGCTGTATTTGCCGACGTTGTGCTTCGTGATGGTGATGTCGGAGTAGCTGAATGTGGTGTAACTCTTTCCAAAGCCAAACTCGTAGAGAGGAGTCACGCCTCCCTTGTCGAAGGCGCGGTAATCGATGAAGGGTCCCTCGGTGAAGTCAAGTTGCGGTGCGCTTTCGCCGGCGTTAGGCACGTAGAGGACGTCTGTTCCCCAGTTTTCACGCGAAGAGCCCATGGTGAATGGTAGCTTGCCACCGGGGTTGACCTTGCCGTAAAGCACGTCAACAATGGAGTTTCCGGATTCCTCGCCGGGAACACCGGCCCAGATGATGGCTGTAACGTTGTCGTTGTTGACAAAGCTGTCCATGAGGACTGCACCAACGCTGTGAATGACCACGATGGTGTTGTTGCACTGTGCGCTGACGGTCTGGATGAGAGTATCTCCGTCATGCCAGATGGTCAGGTTGTTGCGATCGCCGATATTTCCATCAACACTGATGTAGCCCTCGCCACTGTCAGCGTTGACGAAAACAATGGCTACGGATGCCTGAGCGGCCACAGCCTCAACCTCGGAGTAGGCATAGTCATCAAGAACGGCTTGGTACATGCCATCTCCGTTGTTGTAGATCTCATTCTCGATAGCGAAGCCTGGGGTGATCAGGTATGGGAAGTTGGCGCTTCCACTGCCCCATCCACAGCCCAATGTACCCATATCACATCCACGGTCCGAGCATCCATTGGGTCCATATGTATTTGGACCTGCGTCAGATCCAAAGACACCAGTGAACTTCTCTTTGCCAGTCAAGGGTAGCGCATCGACATTCTTCAGCAAAACTGCACTAGCAGCGCCGATCTGACGGATCAAGGCTCCGTGGCCGTTTCGGACGTCAACATGTTCGTTAATCACTCCGTATCCTTCATTTGCGTAGTAGTGCTCGTATCCGTAGGTATCGAGAGTCCAAGAATCAAAGTTGATGGGGACATAGTTGTTTTCCACGCCAACGTAGTACCAGGCCGCCATGATACGGACAGCCATATCGTCCACTCGCCATTGGGGAACAGTGCCATTCAAGACTGCAACGGTCAAGTTGGTTCCCCAGTAAGATGTACCGGAATCGAACTCGATGTCACCAGGCATTGTCATATCGAGACCAGCTAATGCGCTAGCAACACCGGACATCTGCGCACTCCAATCACTCATGATAAAGCCTTGGAATCCTAACTCGGCCTTCAACAGCTTATTGAGCACATAGCTGTTTTGGCAGGCATAGCTGTTGTTGATTTGGTTGTAAGAGCACATCACAGAGCCCATTCCAGCGCGCACGCCATCCATCCACGGCCTACCAAGACGTTAGCTATAGTGAAAGAATACCTTGTGTAACCAGGGTAGGAAGCTTACCAAAGGTACAACTCGTGCATTGTCACGTCGTCGATATTGGCACTGTAGCTCTCATTGACCTGGTACAGGAAGCCATTTCCTGCACTGCGGAAGTGCTCCTGCTCGTTGCCGATAAAGTGCTTTCCACAGGCAATAACATTCTGCGATTGGATACCCGAAATGGTCTCACCAAACAACACACCCGAAAGTACAGGATCAGGCGCAAAACCTTCCCAGTTTCTTCCACCCTCGGGCACACGTCCCAAAGGACCAGTCACTGGACCCAGTTGAACACTGCTACCCTTGTGTTTATGCTCGTAGCCCATCCCCTGTCCACGGCTATAAGCCAATGTACGGTCCCAGGTTGCCGCGGCGTTGACACCTGCAGGGAAGACCGAGTTGTAGTCGGCTTTTGGGAGATGATTAGTATATGTCGACACAGGTTATTGTAAAGGAAGGCTTACTGTCTCTCACTCCAACGGGAGAATCCTGCATGCACATGCTGGGGATTCCGAGTCTGGGTACGGCACCATTCTGGCCTACGCAACGTTCGAGCTCCCAACTATATAGAGTTAGTCAAGGCAGTCGAGAGTCACAGGTAAAGAATGGACATACCCAACACCAGTTGTGAGATTCACCTTCTCTGGAAGGGTCATCTGGCTGACAATTGATCTAGCCTTAGCGTACGCGGCCTCCCAGTCCCCTAGTCCCTCACCCCATGGCGATGGGTAGTACGGAGGAGAGGTTTGGTTTGATTTGGAACCTGCGACGACCACGGGGTTGCTATCGGTACCGTTTGAGTAGACGGAGTTAGGCCACTAAAAATGGGTGTTAGCTTATTGAACAACACAAAACGCCATGATCATCATTATTTGACTCACTGGTGATGTGCTGTTGCCCTGGTCAAGGGGATTCGAGGAATCTGTAGCCCCGTAAACCGGCACCGTGGCCAGGAGAATGGCAGCTCCCAGCTGATTCCACATGATGTATGCGGGCAACCTGCGAGCTTGGTGAAGTGAAGTTGAGATGCTTTGTTGGGTTGTAGAGAAAAAGAAAAAAAAGAAAAAAGAAAAACCCCGAGCAGCAAGGGACTATTTATCGACCAGGGGGAGAATGGGGGGTAATGTGAATGGAGATGCAGTGCAGCTCTGTGCCCCCTATTTGGCTCTGTCAGTGGTCACTTCCCTGCGATGAGTCCAATGAAGCAGCATTCCAAGCTCGAACATATCCGAGTTTACCGAAAAATGGGATTATCATTCAGCCTGTTTAGACCGGGCCGTGAGATGCGGGGTCAGGATGCGCGATGCCACCTGCTTAGGTTACCTTGTCGGCATATTGTAGACTAAAAGCTCAGCAAATCCGCGTTTGTTATGAGTGCATGAGCCGACAAATCTCCGGGGTTGCAACTCACGGTCAAATTACAGGTACAAGCTTTTTTTTTTCTTTTTGCCCCAGTCATGCCGAGATTTTAATTGAATATCTCGATCAGGTTTAGATTGTCCGACTCCGGAGAAGCTTTTAGGAAATAAAAAAAAAAGAAAAGAATTGGAGAAAGGCAAGACTGCAAAGAGTGTTAGAGACTAAAGTGTTAATGCAAAAAGAGTCGGGGCCCCGGGAAAGGGCTTAATTGGGTTAAGCTCCTTTGCCCTAAATTATGCGGGGGAGAAACATTTGAAGGGTGACCAACGCATCCAAGACAAAAGTACTAACAAGTCCCGTAGCATTCCTACCCCGATCCTCTACTCTGGCCCGATCTCGGGCTATAGACCAATCGAATTGGTCATTCCTCGTTTAATCCTCTCCTCGGTGTTAATGGGGTTAATGCATCTCGGCCCTTGCAGAAATCATTCACATCTAACAGCTTCCTATTTAGGTCTAATTGCTTCTGTGTTTTAGATGGTCCCACTGTTATATTCCCGTTGTTTTGCTGTGCTAGCACTAGTAGTAGATACGAGAACGAGCAGTCCACAGTAAACTAACGATCATCCACTTGGCACAAAAGCTTGGCTTGACTTTCTAGCCGAACCGTGCATTCAAATGTGAGACATCTGCTTAGTTATGCTACTAGTAACACTCTACCTGTGTTTCATGGCTTCAAAGAGAATGAAATGAATCATTTGAAGTCATTAAATAGTTTTAGTCATAAGTCCCATCACTCAAGTGCCAAACCAAATGCAAACCCTTGGAAAAGAATTGATTACCATGTGACTCGAATAGGTATAGAGCAAAACCTCGCTGCCAAGTACGCCAAAAGAATGATCCAGATTTAAATGTTGATCCATATCACGTCAAATCAGATAAGAATGAAAAAATCTGAGAAAATCTCCCGTCGCACACAACGCGAGTCTGCCCAAGTGCGCGACGCATCCTGCCGGCGCGTCATTTCTTCCAGTAGTAAAAGAACCTGATCAGCGGCCGGATGACGCCTTAGCGATGTGACCGGCTCATTCTCGCGAGCAGATGCCATGCGCTGCATCTCTTGAAATACCCACTGTCGTTGCTCCAGAGAGCCTTCCAGGCCCGCAATGAACAAGGGCCAGAGGAAACTGACAGGGAGGCGGTTTTCTTCCGCACCAGCAGATTCGACAGTTGCTAGCTGGATGATTTGGTTGACGGCGCCATTAACACGATCAGTGCGTGGGTAAATGGCAAATGCGACGCGGTGTAGATAAATAAAGTTAGCCAGGAAACTGGCTATGTACTGACGGAATGTTCGACAGACGGCAAGAGCAACAGGAGCACAGAGTGTGTCTGCCAATGCTTCTGGTTGTCCGTATACATCAATCACCGATGGTCTCCGGTGCCAGAGCGTCTCGAGGTCCGCACCGACTTTATGTGCAATCTGAAGAACTTCGAATTCATCACTGAGTGTTCCCCGACTACGGTGATGCAGGTCAATAGAGACTATTCGCCGTACAACTTGCTGTGCTTGTACGAAGAAACGGAATGCCGGGCCCACTATTGCCTCGTAGACAAGGTAGCTTGGACTGCGAAATTGTTCTTCGGCCTCCTCTCCCTCTTTTTGTTCCTCGATTGAGCCTATCCGCGGGGCACGATAGCTTTGTGCTTCTTGTGACCTGGAATTGGATCCTTGTTCCGGTATATTGCCCAGTTCAACTAAAGGATCACCTTCACGCCCTGCGATTAGTGATTTCACATCAAGCAGTGAAATCCACGACACCATTAAATGGCCAAGGCCTGTCCAATGTCGTGTACGGCCGTGGAAACGTTGTAATAAAAGGTAGGCTGAATGAAGATACGACGTGCCTGGAGCACTTAGTTCGGGAGACGAGAAGAGCTGTTTGTCGTAGTTAGATTTTGTTGGTTGATCAAGCATCCCAAAAGCAACCCACCTCAGATAACATCAAGAAAAAGATAGTCGCAAATATTTTTATCAAGGTTTGCTCAGTCATGTCACCAAGTAGGCAAGCTTGGATTTCTGAGCTCGCCACTCGATAGTAAGTAGGCGCCCAGCGCCATCGTTTCCCTCCTTCGGTGACCGCCTTATGAATGTCTGCATAACAGTACAGCGCATTCTGAAGAGGACTAAAGTCTCGTCCGTATGCTAGCACCGCTGGTCGCACATATTTCCACTCCATAGATACCGGCACAAATATCCCCGCCGGGGGGTCACATCCCAAGAAATACTGAAGTAGCTGTTCCTCATACGATGTGGTACCGGGGTCAGACCAGCTACCGCGCGTGGTCGCCGCATCCGAGGCGCTTCCAGTGGACATCCCATCAGTCAACGAGGACTGAGTATCTGGACTGAGTGTTGACGGTCTCTCTCCAGGAAGCTGCCCTTCTTCTGTAACGTTCCCCGCAACACCGGCTGATAGTGATAGTGGGGTTGGACTAGACGCGAATCCTGCTAGTCCACTCGTCAAATCGAGGTGTTTTTGTTCCAACTCCGAAGTTATTCCTCCCATAAAGCCAAGCATATCGAACGGTACCCCAAACTGCGAGTATGATTCGATATCCGCGGGCAGTCGTTGAATGGGTGTTGCTAGGGCGGGGATCGTCCGATGACGATCGTCTGAGCGGAGCACAGTGTTGAAGAAGTTTAAATCCGGCGAGCGATTCGATGCGGTCGCAGCTGCAGTGACAGCAACGGCTGCTGACGCCGATGCCGATGCTGACACGGCACTAATAGCCGGTGACGGGGAAGTCTGAGGTACAGGATGCGCCGTGGAAGAAAGGTGATTGGGTTGTGGAGAAGGCGAAGTCCACGAGTCACCGAGGGCAGTGGGGGGTTTGTAGATGCAGCGCAGTCGCAGTCGGTCGCAGTTTGAGCAGCTTGGTTTTGTTTCGTCGCAGCGCACTTTCCTGGCCCTGCATGTCAAGCAGCCGGTTCGGCGGCGTGGACCTGACCTTCCAGCTCCCCGGGCTTTGGGAACCTGTGAACCGAGTGCGTGGGTTAGTCGTGTGCGAGTTGAAGCTCTAGATGGAGGTAGTTGTGGCGGTACCTCCATGATGAGACAGACGGTCCCAGGTTTGGTGTCAGGAGCATAGTCAACAATGGTTTATGTAAACGCTGGATGGATTTTCCCCGCAATAGCGGTTCCACGGGGGCGAGTCGCGATAGTGGGCGAGATGACGAGATCGGGGCCAAGTCTGCCGAGGAAAACCTGAACCCCCTAACTAACTAGCTCTAACTAGCGTAGAGAAAACCCAGAAATTGATTAATTCCAGATGGAAATTCACCTAGCGTATGCGCTTAAAATTATTTTTAAGATGATATGCATACGCTCAGGCTTCCACGTGGGCAATGATATGATAAACCCCCTGGAGCTAGCTACATCATAGGTACCTCATGTACCTTGTGCCTGGATGTGATCTACGGTTCAACCTGGGACATCTCAAGGAATTTGAATGAATCTGAATAACGATGCATTTGTGTAGAAATATACACGGTGATAAGACAGTATTTTATTGTACAAGGGTTGGTCTCTCAAACTGCGGGCCCAACTTGCTGATATCCTGGATGCTTGTCGCCTCCCAAACACTTTGATCGGTGCAGCAAATGGCCTCGTTCCTTGCGCACATAGGCTGCAAAGCAGACGGCCGCCATTGCCACAGCTCCAGCGCTGATCATCACCGGGTACTGGAACTGTCCGGGAAGAGACCACACAATGGTGGATGCAAAGGACAGTAGCTCAAAGATGTTTTGTAGAGCCATTTCCGTGGCGGAAAATCGAGCTCGAGCATTTTCACCAACATTCTATGGGGCTGAAGTTAGCGTTGCATACCGCAATTGAGATTTGAAACACTTACCTCCTGTACTAAAAATTGGACTGACAAGTCGAATCCCCAGAGTCCAATCCGGCTCAGGGCAACACCAAGAACCAAACTTGTCGCAACTAATTTCGAATTTGAGTCCCAAAGAGTAAATGCAAAGGCTGTCCCAGCCACACAACAGAACTGCCAGTTCAAAAACCATAGACCGGAACGAATGGGACCTATCCGGTTCATAATCATGGGAGCGGTCCATGTGCCAGAAACTTCAGCGATAACCGAGCCAATCCGCATGCAACTGACCTCCAAAGGATTGAAGCCGCTATGGAGTAGATATGTGACCATGGTTGCGCCAAATGAGAGGACAGTCATATAGAGCAAGCTCAATGCGAAGGATGGCAAGAATACAGGGCTTGCAATGTATTCTTTCCAGGGAGCAATGGTCCCGCGTAGAGAGTTCCCAATTGTTTGACATGAGCGGCGGTTTGCTTGCGAAGCTTCGTCGTCGACATTTCCTCTCTGTGAAGTTGTGGTTCTCTTCAGGGCTGGAACTGATTGATATACCTGCGCGATGGCGATGTACTCAACAAGCACCGATACAGTATTCAGGCCTAGGACGGTCCAGATAGCAACACGAGTGGAAAAACTGTCAACAAGAGAGATGAACACCGGTGCGATCAACTTGCAAAAAAGATCAATACGTCGCATCGATGCATTCAATTCTGCAGCAACGAATTAGAATTGGGTCAGTTATGTATGTTGTCATATTCTTACCTTGCCGAGGCACTTTGATGCTGTCCGAAATGACAACAGCCCAATCACGCTCAACTGCCACCGTATTGGCGGTGGCGGCCAACTTCTCGAGGCAAGCAAGAAAGCCCAGTACAACAAACAAGACCAAAGTCATACCCCAACTTTTCGTCATTGGGAGAACCACGAAGCATAGACAAGAAATCGCCACAGGAACTCTTTGCCAAACTGAACGTTTTGTTAGTCAACAATCGGGGGAAATTGATACGACCCAATTTATCCTAAACATACTGATTGATTGCCGGAGAACGGACAATCGGTCCGACTTATCGACTAGTGCACCCAACCAAGATGACAGTAGTATGGCAGATAAAGCCCGAACAAGCGCATAGATCGAAGCATAGAGTAGCGTGCCAGGAAAAATAGAGGCCAGGAATAAAACAGCACCGAACTCAAACATCCGTGAATTCCATGCTGAGAGTAAATGAGATGTGTATAGTCGAATTAGCACCGGCTGAACTCCACTGAGTGCTGGTGAGGCTTCATTGGACGTAGGCAAAAGGGGTACAGAGCTCTCTGAAGACGTCCGGCTGACCTCCGAGGGTCTTTGGTCGAGACTAACGTCCATTCTCCGATGATGAGACAGGATTCAACCCATACAGCCAAGATTGTAAGTTATTGTCGTTCTTATAGCCTCGCGCTCAATGTTGAAGATTTCAGGCAGCAGCTCAACCGGGTGACGGGTGGTACGGGTGGGCTGACCTTAGAAAAGCTTGTTTTTACTCGCCAGTTGACCGTAATACTCTGGTCCTTCACACCCGTCTAGACACGAGCATGAAAATCCTTGGTATTGTATAAATTATAGGAGCTCATTCATCTTCATTGATAAATTTTGACATATTCAGGCTTTTATGGTTTGTTGATTGCCAGTGGTATATGGTACCTACTAGATAACATCTGTGCCGCCCACTCAATTGGAGACTCTCAATTGATCACATAACTTATCATATCTTTAAATCTTCAAATCTTGTCCACGTGCACTCATTTATGTGTCAGGGAACTAGCAACTTTGCCCGAGGTGAAAATACTCAAGAGCGCCTGTATCTATTACCTAGTAGTGCAGTAAATAATAGGCAAGAGGGTGAAAGGGTATCTAAGACTTTCAATGTTTACTTGGTGCTCTTAAGATGATGCAAATGTTCCAATATCCAAAACCGGGATAAACTCCCGATGTCTTATAAATACAAATGAACAGGCTAGCCACCTGTCACTGGGGCGATTAAGAAAGAGGGAGAAAAAATACACGCTGTCGACAATCTATACCGGGGTAGTTTATACCCAGGTCAAGCCACCATTTTCACCTTCCTTGGTGCGCTTAGAGAGCACATTGTATACCTTCTCAGCCACACCCTCCTTCTGACCCCATCGCTCAACCATGTGCTTGACCGTCTCTTTCTTGGACATACGGTTGTTCCGCACAGTCTCTTCAATGGCAGCTTCGCTGGGAAGAGCAAAGCGCTCATGTGGGTAGTTCTGGTAGGTCTTGTTGTTCAGCAACTCCAGGGTAGTCTCGCCTTCGGGCACCTTGAAGAAGTTATCGACATCTTCCTGCGAGACCTCCCCCAAAGTAGCCGGTTGCCACTCAGCCTGACGGGCGGGCTTAGACATTAAGCGGGCCTTCACACCTTCAACGAAATCTGGGTGACGCATGAAGTTGGCTGCGATCTGGTGCTCACGCTTGAAGGTCTCCGCGATGTCCCACTTCTTACCAACGCGCATCTGGCGCAATGTCACCTTGAGAGAGGTTGGGGAGCGTGATGAAAGCGTCTCCAAGGTCTCCTTTGCCCACTTCTCGTTGGTCTCCTTCTCCTTCTCCAAGGCCAAGAAAATCTCCTCAATCGTGTCAAATCCGAAGCAACGGTCGATGGAGCGACGGTTGTGACCAGCAAGAATTCTGGACTCATCCAAAGGAATGCCAACCGAGAATTCAGCCATAGTCTTGTTGACGGCGTCTAAGCGCTCAGGAAGAGCAACATTATCGGGGAAGACCAGCTCCGAAAGACGCTGGGTGACACTGCCCAAAACACTAGAGTGAAGATAGTGAGTGGCGATACCAGCATTGAGAGCCTGCACACCGTTCAGGCGCGCGGAAGTCATAGCCAAGTAGGTACCTGTCTCGCCATCCAATCGCGGCAGGAAGAACGAGCCACCCACATCAGGGAAGAAGCCAATGGTGGTCTCGGGCATAGCGAAGACGGTTCTCTCGGTCGCAATTCGGAAAGGAGCGTGCATGCTGAGACCAACACCGCCGCCCATGGTGATGCCGTCCATGAAAGAAATCACAGGCTTCGAGTATGTAGCGATCAAGTGGTCGAGGCGATATTCAAGTCCGAAGAAATCCGTGGATGCTTGTTGTCCCTCGAGTCCCTTCTCGTTCTGTAGTGCCAATGCTGCGACATCACCTCCTGCGCAAAGAGCTTTGGAGCCAGCGCCGGAGATGAGAACAATGTTTGCCAAGTGAGACTTTTCCCATTCCTATCGTTGACCAATCTTTTAGTACCCTCTTATCCCGTCTGTTATGCGCCATGGTTCATAGACACTAACCTGCAACCGAGGGAGAATCTTCCGGGCCATGGAGCCATTGAGGGAGTTGAGCTTCTTGGGTCGGTTGAGCTCAACGCTGCGAAGGCCGTAAATCGAGTTGAACAAAACGTCATCGGCTTCGTCTCCGGGGAGTTCTTTGGTGGCGTTTGCTGATGTCGACATCTAAGTTCAATTAGCCCCCTGTTCAAAGCTCGATATCTCGGATAGACCATCATACCGAAGAGGTAGCCTGGAAGGCAGGGTTGATCACTTTGGCGCGTAGAGGCATTGTTGGCGATGGGAACCGCGAGATCCAGCTCGGCGGCGAAGGTAGCCGGGAGAATGAGTGTCGAAGTAACATAGGGACTGGACACGAAGTGTAGATCAAACCAAAGAGGGGTAAAGGAAAGTTATTAAGAGGACAGTCGGCTGTTTCTCCGCTTCCGTCGACCTCGGGAGTTTTTTTGGAATGGATTTTCTTCCGAGGACAAGCGCTCGGCGGTGGAGGATACCTCGCCAACCAGGGGCAATAAGTACTATACAATCCACAACTTTGCCAATTACACTTGGAATTGCATGTTCAAATGTTAGTATTGACTATGTATTTATTTATTTTCTGTAACATTTCAGAATCACGTTCAAGGTTGAGTTATTTAGGTGTCATATTTTTGATATTTTTTTTATGTTGTTGGGGGTTTCGATAATTGCTGCATCACCTAAATTCCTTGATGGTATAATAATAATCCAGGCTGAGCATTCGCTCAGGTGGGAGGTAGATTGATATTCTATTTGTACAGATGGCCGGAATACAAGAAACAAAGAAGAAACAATTCAAGGCTCAAAACACTCAAACGTAGGTTGCCTTCGCCGGGCGGCTCAACAAATCCCGTGAGTGCTCCTTCAGGATCTTGTTCAATGCGGTCTTCTCAATAATCAAACGAGAAGTCTCCAGCAGATTCTTGACATCCACATCACTGCGGTCCATAATAGTCGCAAAGCGGTGCAGCTTCGACACCTTGTCAAACAACTCTTCGTTCACCTTCTCTGTGATAAATGTCGATCGGCCTTTCTTGGTACTCCAGCCGTTTTGCAGGAGAATGTTTTGCAGCAAGTGTGGTGTCGAATCCCGGGGGAGAGAAATAGTGTTGTCAATGACGATCAATTCTCCGCGCGAGAACCGGTAGCTAAGAGCTGTGCGCCAGGCTTGATCGTAAACTTTGGCGGGCAAATCGGTCGAAAAATCGCGGGGATGAGGACCGTGGGCAACACCACCACCCCTTCGGATTGGTGACTGCTTGTCACCCACACGAGCACGTCCCGAACCCTTCTGTGTAATGAGTTTCCTGTGGCTACCGGCCACGTCGTCCCTCCATTTGGTGCTGGCGGTACCCTGTCGGGTCATGTCACCCTCGTATACAATTGCGCGGTGAAGAATGTCTTTGCGCATTGGCATCTGAAGTTGTTTTTGGGAGTATTCCACCAAGCTAGCGGGCTCCATAGAAGGGAAGTTGTAGGTCATGACTGAGACAGGGAGGTCCCAGGGAGCGGGCGAGGAGCGGGTGAGGTCGGAAGCGGAGGCATTGACTTGGGCTTCTGTGGCCATGGATCGAGAAAGGCATCGTCGCTGTTTTCAAGAGCAATGTCAGTAACTGTATCCACTTGGCTGGTCGTGGCTAGTCTGTGAAAGCGGACTGGAATTAGGTGGGCGATTCGCGTACTGTGACATTCTCGGATCCGGACAAAAGACCACCTGAACTGCGTGACAGCAGTCTCAGGGACCTAAGGACTTCGCAACCGGGCATTTTGACAGCCGATGTAGCGAATCAATGGAGTGGTTTGGTGATGTGCTGTCTCTGGATGGGAAGAGCAAAAGTTGATTCCGGGGAGGCGGTGGCCGCCAGCAGAAGTCTTGGCCTGCAAAGCAGAAAATGTTCCCCCGAAGACAATAACACCATTCTCTATTTCCAACGTCAACCCCACACCCTTCAAAAAAAGCCTTTCACAATGGCTCATTGTGAACGGGCATCGAAGCCGCTGCTTCAATGCCTTCGCAATTCCTACACTAGAAGCCTCCCGGGCGTCCAGATCCAGACCCGCGGCTTCCAGTCGACCGCCGGCGTTGCGAACGCCCAACCTGAACAGAGCCAGCCATTCCACAAGAACCCCGATCCATCCCTTGTCTCAAGCCCTCGATTGGAACGACGATTGATGCGACAGGGTACTGCCCCCATTGGATCCCGTCGTCGCCGTGCTGCGTTGCAAGGTGCCGGTAGCCTCCCTTTCGAGCAACTGCCATACCAATGTTTCCAAGAGGCACGGAAAGTGCTTCTCGCAGACCGGGCCGAGAAGTTAGAAGAGATTGAATCTATGCGGCAAAAGATTGCGCGAGTGGAGGCACAGCCGGTCGAACAGGCCGGAGGGGACATTTCGCGAAAGTCTCGCGTGACCGCTATGCAACTGCATCTGGAGAAGCTCAAGATTTTGGCCGACATCAACGATCCATTGGTCAAGCGCAAGTTTGAGGACGGTCAAGGTATGTTCAATCAACAGACTCGAGAAAAGAAAAGGAGCTAGAAGACACTGGCACTAATGTTCTCTTTGGTTTGATATAGGTGACATGAGCAAACCCATTTACCGCTACCTAGCTGACCGCAAATGGCGAGAATACCGTCGGAAGATCTTGGTGCAGCGTATCACACAAATGAACGTCGTTCCGGATGTTCTACCTCAATGTGATCCCACCGTGGAAGCCAAGCTGTACTTTGGAAAGCGACAGGTCGGGCCTGGTGACTTTGTCCTAGCAAAGGATAGTGTCACAGCGCCCAAGTTGGATATTCAGCTGTTTGAGCGTGGTGAGAAGCTTGTCACTATCGCTGTTATTGATCCCGATGTTCCCAATGTCGAAGCAGACAGCTTCGATTTCAAGATGCACTACCTCGCTGTCAATGTCCCCATCTCGGCCGTTGCCACCAAGGTCGATCTCTCTGAGCTTTCCACAGACTCCCAGGTTGTTCTTCCCTGGCTTGCACCCGTTGCTCAGAAGGGTAGTCCTTACCACCGACTCTCTGTGTTCATCATGGAGCAGAAGGACTCCCAGCCGCTCGACTTTGCCGCCGTCAAGGCCAAGGAGACTGAGCGTGAGCACATGCTTCTGCGTACTCTCCAGGCCCGATACCACCTGAAGGCCATTGGCGCCCACTTGTTCCGTAGCCAGTGGGATGAGACCACATTGGAAGTCATGAAGCAGATTGGCTTCAGCGACGCTGACTTTGAGCTGCGCCGGAAGAAGGTTGAGCCTCTTCCTTACAAGCGGAGAAACCCGTCTTCCTTCCGGTAGATGCGTCTCCATTCTATACCACCTGTTCCAATATCGTCTTGAGTTATAAATTTTGTATTGTACAATCGAATATGTATGAATATGCACAGCAGATAAATCCCTTGTCTTTCCGCAATTCCCAGTTTAACTCCGTGTAGATGCTCGTCAGCCTATAGCTTCCCCAATTTTTATACATTTACGGAAAGGCCTAGTCGTCCAATTCCGCAGGTTGCATAGGGTTGCGCACCCATTCCATCTTCGGCCAAACTCGCGCGACGATCTTTCCATTGATCAATCCTAGAGGTATGGGTCCGTATTTTCTCGAATCTCTCGACCAGGGAAGGTTGTCGCCGACTACGAATGCATGACCCTCGGGGACCTGAGCCAAAACACAAGTTAGCAGATACTCCGGTCTAACAAAAGGAAGCACGTTATGAGAGCAGATGAGAAATTGCATTCCCCTGTCCACAAGATAAAACGCACCTGAATCATATCCGGTTGTTCTCCAGCTCCAGTGCTAAAGGGCAGATCCCGGCAGACAAAATCCCCGGGCATCCCAATAACCCGCTTGGCAGCATGTACACCCAGGAAACTGGGATGGTTGAAGCGCACAACATCGCCGACCTCGATTCCTTTCCCGTTACGGTGCATTCGTGAGATGAGCAGCCAGTCGCCGCGTGTATTGAAGGTCGGGTACATGGAGGGCCCTTCGCTTAGTTGTAAGGTCACGATGTTCTCCCAGACGAGGGCGCATGCGCAGAACAGCCCGGTGCCATTGAGGGCGAAGCGGGCGACCCGACCCGGGGTGAGTTTAAGTGATGATCGGATAAGACGTTCCATGGGCACTATGTGAGCGCGCTTTGGGCTATGGAGTGGTTTGCAAGGTGCTGTTTTATCAATTATCGGTGATCGCGGAGGAGTTGGTTGCCCAAGTTTCCAGGCAGAAACCACGGCCTACGTTAGTTATTTATCAGTTGATGCCTCGGGAATCGGGCGTCAATTCAATGGTCATGTGATCCGTGAGAGCTTTAAAAGTTGATTTTTTCCTCCACCACTTTTCCATGACTACTAGTCTATTGCAGTTGCCAACGCGACATGATTTCAATGCACGACATGAAAAATACTTTACAGTATATTTTCTTCTCTGAGTCTACCAGCTGTTGACTGGTCTGTTCGCCAGCCCATTAATGTGTGGCGCTTGATGGACAGAGCCTTTCTCAGCAATCAAGACTTTGAGCACCGTTTGAACATTCCCCCTGCCCGTTTACATAGAATCGCTCCTACATAAGCTAGAGCTTGCCGTCGCCGCAAAATGCATCTGGACGAAGCAAGTGTAGAATATGGAGCAAGACGAACACAACCAGCCGATGCTGTTGCATTGGTTGTCCCCCACCTGGTCTTAACTCGACCCCATTTCATTATGGGACTGGGTCTTTGAGTCTGGTACAGCGGGGAAACATTTCATATTCATTTAGAAATATCTTACAATGCCACAACTTTCCTTTGCACAACTCATCCTCTATGGCTTCCTTCTCCAACATGGTAATCTTTCCTTCGGCAGCCCATAGGCGAAACAAAGGTCCTACTTCTTCCCGTCGAATTCATTCCACATTGCATCAGAATCTATGCGTCGCAATCAAATCAGTCCGTTATCCCGCCAATGCAACAATCAACATCTAGAAAACACGCAACGCACCTGGATGCTTCTCAACTTCCGCAATACCCTCCCGCTTCTTCGCCTTCGCCTTGTGGTCGACCCCAAACCTCTCATCGCGCTCCCGAAGCAATTCGTCCAGCCCACCCGGACATGACTGCTTAACGCTCTCATGCGATGTGAAACTTCCCATCAATTGTGGCGGCCCCATGGGCACTACATCTCCACGATCAACTTGCCAGAAATGATACGTCTTTCCATAAATCGGCGCTACATCCTCCATCTCGGACGTCTCTGCGGCCTCCCAGACTGCGGTCGGCATAACTGCCGGCGCTGGCATGATGAGCATGCCGCTCTTGACTTCAAACTCGTGGGTGTGCCATAGCTTGCGCTCTTCGGTTGGCAGAGTTTTGAAGATGCGTGGTGAGACCATGTACTCGACGCCGATTAAGCGGGCGTTGCAATCAGGTGAGGCGTAGATTAAGCACTGGCGAACATCTAGGCGTTTTAATTAACCTGCCTGTTCCTTTCTTGGATTGCGGCAGCAGATATTCTACATACCTTCAGTTAAATGCGTGCAATAATGGTTCGCCTCAACGCATCGGCTTGGGTCGTTGGCATAAACATGGAAAGCGTTCAGGTGTGCGCAGATCTGTTTGACTGGTGTGAAGTCCTGGACTATGGCCGCTCCTGTCTCGAGCACTTGGCTTTTTGTTGTACGGGTCTCCCCTGGGACAGAGCTTGGCTCTGTGTCGTGGCAAGTTGACATTGCCGAGCGTTATAGATGAAGTTGAGCTTGTGGTCAACTGGTATTTGATAAACCCGTCCCCTTCCTATCAATTGATTGATTGATACCTATGTACCCAGGTGCCTACTATGTCATTCAAATGTTAGCGATCTGCAACTTTCTACCTAGATGTATTGCTACCTACTACCAGTTGACCAGTTATGTATGCTTGGAGGGCTTTTCAGTCCGAACTTCTGGAACATTGAAGTGTAATTATTCAATTTCTCGATGCCCATTATAACTCATATTGATCTACCTACTACTATGCATAGTATGTGGACGTAATCCTGATTCAATGACGTCATGGTGACTGGACAGTCATTGGTAACTATGGTTGTCGGTGAATTTCGAATCCTGAACAATTTTCTGCCAGCTGGCCAATGAAGCTTTTACCTGGAAGAAAATGGAGAGATTAATGTTATGTATCTAAGAATTCTTTAAAACCTTCAAATATTGTGTAAATATGGAATCAATTTTTGCAGGGTTATCGGGACTTTCCAAAGACTCCCAGGTGGGGCACATATATATATGCATATGTACTTCAATGTTAGCTATGTATCAATATTGATGTATGCACATGTGTACATTGATATATCCATCCATCGTGCTATCCATCCATCCATGGATGTAGATTTCATCAATTGACTGGACCGTTGAATTGATTGATGGATCTATCCAGATGTCAATAGATGCAGGCCAGGTAAAATCTTAAAACCTCTAGCTAGGGTCCGGATTTAATGTTGGAAATATCTAGCACTTGAGTATCTACTACTAGTACCTTGGGGAAAACCCTTGGAAATTAGTAGAATGCTCACATGCATGGAGCATCGTTGACTTACCAAGGTAGCTATATAACATGTGAAGAGATAAATAAGATAAGCAATCGGTGCTAGAAACGGAATAAATCCAGACCTAGAAGCTCAGTGGAAAGGGCTCACATGTCAACCTTCCGAAACCTGAATTCAACCTTGGAAGCTTTGCTCAGGTGTAAGAACATCGATTAATACATGTATGGGCAGATGCCTATATCTACTCTAAACATCCATGTATGTGTGATATGTAAAGATCCAAATCAAGTATACTGTGCAACCTCACCTCATAGGCAACAAGCAATAAATTGTAGCCCCTTACGTTGAAAATGTCAAAACTCTGCCAGTCCATGATGAGATGTGAACTTGATTGAAATCTTCTGCATCCAGATGTCCGCGCAGACATGTATACTATTCAAATGTGAACGGAGTAACAACGCATGTGCATGATTATTCGAGCTTACACTGACACACATACCTCTTCTTGGCAAACAGCCTTGTCGTCATCGGTCGCTAGCTCACATTCTTGTACCCGTTAGATAAGATGCATGCATACTACTATGTCTGCCTGGCCTTGTCTTTTTCTTTCGCGCACTTGCTATGTACTAAGCCCACTTGGTCGGAAGTTGTCTAGACCATGCACAGATATACATAGCACTCTCCAGCACCGCCCTGTACTCCGTACATGTGCATGTAGTTGATTATGTCCTGTCGTCATCGATCGGACGTGGCTATTTTGGCCAACGTCCGGAGTAAACATCCAGACAAATCCCAACAAAAAAAAACAAACCTCGATGCGTATACGAGGATAAGGCCCGCGGTCGTTTCCCGATCACAACCATCAATCCTTCCAAGTTGTGCAGTCCAACTCTATAGGTGGGATTACGATTTCGTATTACCATTGATTTCCCGCGCGGAGATAACCCAAAGCGGCTTTTTAATGCTCCGTACGATACGGAGCACTAATAAGTACCGAGTAGGTACAGGTCTTTCTCTCTCTCTCCCTCTCTCTCCAAATGTTAATTAAGGTGGAGAGGAGGGGTTAAAAAGGCACATGACCCGTTAGATCGGCCGATACTACCAGCTGCATGAGAAAAATTAAATGAAAATGGAAAAATACAGACTATTTACCCGATGCGCCCGATCTCGCAGACTAATCCACACTATGGATGCACTAGGTTGGTTTTCCTTGAGTTGCCAAAAGTATCTCAGAAAGGGGGGCAAGATTCAAGGTCAAGGTCAAGGGAAGGGAAACCTTGGGCAAAAGGCGGGGACGGGAAACAGACAAAAAATATGTAAAAAAAAAAGTCAATAGTAAGGGTATTTTAGGGTAGTTTAGGTAGCCAGAAAACCAAAAAAAAAGCCAAGACTCCACTTGAGTGCTTCGTGATCTACAAAGATTTGCCGGGCAACCTTGGAAAGGCCAAAAGTTTGACTATTTCCCTTGGGTCTGGGATTTAGTTTCCAAAGGGTGTATGGTTTTGGAGTATCCGCAAGTCCAGTATATGTACTAGTAGGTTTTGGGTTGCGAACTCCATACACAGAGTTGATTTGCGCGGAAGAAAAAAGTATGGATCATCAAGTATGCACGAGGGGCTTCTCACTTTCAAAACAATTGCACTATCGACGGAGACAAGCGGTACGGGAACTCCATTGATTGTTGAAATGGGAAAGGATGGGCAAAGTGGAGCCTCGTCCAAGGGTTGAAAAGGGTTGAAAAAGGACTAGCACTTGACAGGGGGGTTTCCTTTTGGCTCCCATCATTTGCTGCAGAGTTGAAGATCGCCTGTTTCTGCGCTGTGATTGATCAGACTTTGACGGAGTATACTTAGTGCGTTACGGATCTTGGCCCCCATTCATGTTTGTCGACAAGATTAGATTGTTAAAGGTCCGTACTAGCGAATGGTTATTGTGGTTCGTATAGCCCAATTTGTGGCCACGGGGCGTACGTACTGCACTGTGGGCACGGCAATATTGAAAACCCTTGTCTCCGTACTCCGTCTTGAAAGTAAAGAAAAACCAAGAGGGGCAAAAGTATCGATCCCACTGATCCTCGAAAATTAGGTCTTGTGAGGGGATTTTTTTTTTTTTCAATAGTCGGTCAATGACCAGTGGTATTGGGCACACAGGACCCGACAATCGAGCTTTTTGTAGATCTGGATACCAGCTAAGGAGTAGATGGGATAGAATAATGCGTGACAGCTTGGAGTGTCCGAAAACGGAGGACCAAGTACTCCATGGATTGGGCATTCTTTCAATGTTGCGCTTTTTTGCTTTTTTTTTGCTTTTTTCCACATTTTTTTTTTTTTTTTTTTGCTGTTCATCCCTTCATGTACGCAGAGTACCAAGTACTGTTGGAGGCTTGTAGCCAAGATGCCAACCCTCGAGTCCAAGGAAGGTGGATAGATCTCCGAGAATCCTGCCCCTCATTCCGCGGTACTATAAAGTCAAAATCTGTCCATCACAGTAGACATAATTCGGCATCTATCAGGTGCAGGTGTGCCATCTCACTGCAGCTCGGATGCGCTGTAGATACCCTTGCGCTCAGCTGTACGGAGTACCGATCGTCCCTTTGGGAAGGGGGGGATGGTGGGGAAAGCAAAAGGCATGTCTGAGTGTCACAATGGATGATACTGTATACTATGTAGTCGTTAGTTATGCCAATGTTATAGTAGGCAGAATTGAGAACAGGATCGACCCCTGCATGGGGCCGATGGAACCCCATTGAGCCGTGCCAGACTCATCTCTCAAACAAGCGCAACGCAATGTGACATTTGTTGGCAGCTGACTCAACTGACTCAGTTTAGCATGGGCCAAAGCGACTACGGAGTGGGCGGCTCATGTAGGAGAATAGAACCAAGGAAAAAGTAAGTGGATCCCCACTGGAATGAAAGAAAGGGCTGGCGCGAGGATATCAGAATTAGTGAGTTTGTTCAGAAGCTGGCCGTTGGCTGTTGCACATAGATTGGGTGGGGGGAGACTCGAGTACGGAGTAAGCAAGCAAGCAACAAGAAGCCAAGAGGCGCGTTTAATTGGTCCAACCCCTGGGCTTGACCGCTTCTGGGCTCGACGGTTCTCTTAGCTCTTCTTAACTGGCGCTCCGCCACTAGGCAACGCAAGTGTGTGACGGTCAGCTTTCCGATCCACTTATGAGTCGGCCAGATCATCTTGCCCCACCAGCACCTGGACCTTGTGTGGCGTCGCGCCTCAGGCGTCAGGACCCGAGTGCATTGAAGATGGTCGCCTGCATGAAGGTCCGGACTGTGCCCGACGCAGGCGCACGGGTAAAACCGAGTTGAGAACTTAATCATGGGGCACTTATGTTTTTTCTTCTTCTTTTTTTTTTTTTTTTTTTGCTTTTGGCGTTTTGTCTTTTCAAGGTTCACTCGTAACCGATGGAGTTTGGTGAGGCTGCATATCCCTTATCGTGCACCTGCAGCTTAGCCTACGTGTCTTAAACGAAGACCCGACGCTGCGTGACAGGCTAATCTGTAGTCTTAGTACAGCGTCAAACTAAAAAAAAAGGAAAGGCACGGGATGTACTTTGTACACCAAGGGCGCAGTATACCTAGCGATGTTTCTGAAAGAGCACAGCCTACTTATTGATGTTGCAGCCTATCGGGGAACGGCAGAACCATGGGTTTCAGCCCATTCTTTAGTCAAGTGTATACATAGGAGTCAATATACTCCATATTACTAGTACATAGTACACTCCCTACGTGCATCCGTGCGAAAGCTGAAGAGCCAGCTGTACAATTCGTACACCGTTAAAGCCATCGGAGGATAATTGGATCCCAAGCTTTTGTCAAAGATCGTCGCAATTAACCCCTGTAGAAGGAGGGGCGCCAATCCCAGTAATATTTGAACTAGGGAAAAACCGACCGAGGCCCCTCTCTAAACTAAATTAATCATCATCATTACTCGACCTTGATATCATTGTGCGCACGGCTCCTATGGGGGCGGTGGTCATCCGCGCGATGCTACACCGTAACAAGTTGGTGATATGCCACTAAGGCAAGCCAATTGATTTTAGCCCGTAGCTTTGCACTCATGGGGCTAGAGCAGTTCAAGGCTACAATGCCGGGAAAACCCACCATTATCTCATCCAGGTTGTCGGGGCGTCCCCAAAACAGCACCCTAGGTTGAAATAGGTAGTCAAAAGGAGTAGCTTGTACTCCGTAATGGGATTCGGGTAATCATGAAGCCCGACTGAAACGTCTGGAAGGCCAAGGAAGGCTGATTTAGCCCCGCTCAACCTAACTTTCTCGCTCTCTTTCCCTCCACGGGTCGCTTTGGGGATGGGTCAAAGTGGAATTTGGTGGTCCAGGAACGCTAGCACGCGTCGGAGGTTTTGGCGAGTGGGGAGGAGAAAGAATGCAAAGAGGCTCGCGAACAAAAGAAGATCAGCCCCGGATCTGGTGTGGTCGGGTCTCGGAGACTGACCGTCTATGCTCATTGGGTATTAAAGATTGGAGGATGTGGAGACTGGCGGTTTTCTTTTTCTTTTTCTGTTCAATCCTTTTTTTTTTTTCTGAATTCATTTGTTAGCTTATTTTTATTTTTATTTTTAATTTATTTTCTTTTTGCCTTGTGCCTTGGAATGCAGGGCTGATTACTTGCTTTTTTTCTTCTTAGTATATGTAGATGCCCTGGTAACTACTAGTATACCTCGGCTCTAGACTACAATTATGTCATGTCACAATATGCTCTTCCTAGGATCGATTTCGTATCACACTGCATGAGTCAAAGAGTTTTGAAGAGAGAAGAGGGGGGGAGCGATGATCCCAATAATGGGCGAAAGAGCCGGAATGACCTAGCATCGGAAGCGACTCCGTACAACTACGACTCTGCAAAAATAAGTGGCCTACGTATTGTGTAGGACTTACATTAGCTGTGCCTATCTTAGGTAAATAAAGGATCCATTTACCATTGGAAGAAAAACGAGGAAACCGCTGTGCCGCACCTGCGGTGTGCTCACATACTCCAGAGATCGGCAATTTATGAGATTGTGTCAGCGTTGGGGAACTCCACTTTAGCAGCAAAGAGAAAAACAAAGTCTCTGAGTGGCCCCCTGAGCTTCTGGAAATTGATGGTCTCCATTAAATTTTCAACTTTTTTTTTTTCTCTTTTTTTCAATTTTTTTTTGCCTAGTGGCCCCTGCAGTGCAGGAAGTGGGTCCATGCAACTGCGTTCCGAGCGGTATCCGTACACGGCCTTGGATCGCTATGTGTAATGATGTGGATGAGTGGATGAGTGGATGGGTGTTTTGCATTTGGTGACCCCTGGAGAAGGGGCCTCGAATCCTTGCTCAATGAGGTATCCTACGGCAGATGACATGGTACATCTGCGAGGAGAGAGTCAAAATAAGCAAATACCAATAAAAAAAAAAGAAAAGATGCCCAAGCAAGAAAGATGTGAGTCAACTATGTATGAGATCATTATTAACTTAAACTTTGGAAGCTATAGAACGTGTATGTACAGTAGATTGAGAATGTGAGTGTCAAATGGTTGATCAAATCCAAATCATATCAGATAGTCTATTACCGATAGACTGGAACAAAGAGAAGAAATAAAAATAAAAATAAAAATAAAAACAGATTCGGTTCGAAAGGCATTGAAAGGGAAAAAAGGTCAAAGCGAGAGAAAAAAAAAAGAAAAAAGAAAAACGTCAAGGCCGTTCTTCCCGGAGGCCCGTACAAGGAACTTCGGCTTTGGCAGCGCTAAGCACGATCAGATCCGCCCGGCCACGTTGTGAATGGCTCTACCGTTTCCTGATCGGTGACACAGAATGGGGTTCTTGGCCCCATAGTGGTTATTGGAAATTCAATATCAATTTTTTTTTCCCAATTTTTTTCTCTCTTGAGTGGGTCTCTACACAATATCTATTGAACCCATCCCGTTCTACAGTGTTTGTTTTACTGTATGAGTTTATGTTGTATGCCCTGGAAACTGCCTCCGATCCCTTGTAGCATTGTCCCCCTAAAAGGGACGTGCAGGGAACTGGTCACATTTGAATCCTTGTTTGCTTGTTCAAGCCCAAGCCTCCAACTTGATTTAATATAGATTTACAGTAACTAGCTTAATTTTTTGGATTATTCAAACGGAAAAAGGTACTTTGGCACTTAAGTTAGGTTGTACATTGGGTTAGGGGCGTTTGAGTATACACAGCATGGCTTTCTTGGAAACATGGAACTCGCCCTAAAAAGGAAAGCCAAATATCCCACCGAAATTTAACTAAAATCAATAGAAAATGAATAAAAAAAAACTTCAAAGCTCCACGTTCCAACGCTTACGCTTGCCGAGCTTCCCGCCCCTCCAGAGTATGGGTTCAACACGAACGACTTGTGGCGGTACACACGGACTGACCAGTCTTTCAATGAAACAAGGTCCACCAAATTGAATACGTACAACCGGGTCATGCATGTTGGCAGTTCTGTAGCACCAACTTGAACCTTGGAACTCTTTTTTTTTCTTTTCCTTTATGGAGTAATTTCAAGACCTATACGTCTTACTAGTAGAAATTACCATAGTCTCGGGTACAAAACAGAGACCTCAGGTGATATTGGAGAATAACTTTTGGAATCATTCAAACTGCTGCAAGCCAATGGAGTATGAATCCGGTTGGTGGGGAATTTGATTGGTTCATTCAAGAGCCGAATGTGGCTTATTCATTTTTCTGGGTTTCTGGGATCGGAACAAAAGACGATCGCTTGGTGGCAAAGATGCATCTCCTGCATCATGTACTCCGGAAGAGGGTGCATGCAGCGGAGAAAAGAAACATCACCGGGTATGCACGGTACAAAGAAGGAGTGACTCTGCTTTACATGTTTCTCCTGTAGGCTTTCAAGTTCTTACAATCCCCAACCCCGATCTAGAACTCCGTGGGAAAGGCCTCCGTGACAAAGCATCATGGAGTCATCAGTTCATATTTTTCTCTTTCCTTTTTTTCTCCTAGAATTAGAGCAAAAAAGAAAAAGAAAACTCCACTTGGCAAGCCACCTCGATTACAGGAACACGAAGGATGTGCAAGTCGATCTTAAACGACCACATTGGTAACCCTTGCGTAACGGAGGACTTTCTTTGGTTGTGACGCTATGGGGCCCAAACATTCACATTTTTGCATTCTCATTACAGCTTACTCCGTGTACAGGGCTGATCAATAGTGGATAGAGAGAGATGGGGGAGATCAGTAATAAAATAAAATGGGTTCATTCAAGGGAGCAAAAAGGAAGTATTCAATGTCGATCAGATCGGATCGCAGCATTCCTAAACAGGCCTTTAGGATATACGGAGTTGACTTGAAGTGTATTGAATTTCTTTTTTTTTTGGTATACAGACTTGAACATACTAAAGAGTATAAGGAGGAGGAAGCGGGGGGCATAATGAAATGAAAAGAGAGAATCAGCGATAAAAAAAAAAAAAAAACAAATGAAAAAAAACCCGAAAAAAAAGTGGAAAAAATCCCAAGCAAAATAAATAATAATTTACAAGTATTTGGCAAGTAATGGAGTAATTTGGGAGTAATTTAATAGTAATTTAGTGCCAAACCATGAAGGAAAAGCCCGAGGGGTCCACGTCCATTTGGTGCAAAGTGGAGACTTTTTTATCCTTTTTCCACCAAAAACTCTCGCTTTTCCCCATGTTAACCTCATGTTCCACGCACCAATCTCCACTCTGTACTCCGGAATATTCTGCCCTTGGCCGAAACAGGTGTGATTCCTGATTCTGGATTATGGATTCGACCCGTTCCATGCGGCCCTGTGGTTCTGGAACTAGGCTCATTTCGTTAGTGTCAACGTCGTGTCATCCTAGCATGTGTGGTGGGATCGTGGACCTGGGGCGGGTGGTAGATCGCCAGGCTCCCTGGATTCCCTTATAATATCGCTTGCTGTCCCTCCCTAGATCTTCACTCTCCTCATAACTCATAAAATAAACCGTCGTTCCGGTCTGGGAAACTTCGGTTTCTCAACCCTCTCATACAACTCACTACATTCCCTTCCACATCCCCAACTACTTACGTCACTCTCCACCTGGGACTTTCCACCGGATTATTCCCCCCCCCCCAAAAAAAACAAGTACATCACCAAGAAAGAGAGAAAGGGAAATATTCTCTCCACTTTCTTACCAACCCACTTCTTTTATGGCCGATTACTGTTATCAACCACAAGCCTCTTCGACTAGCTCCCCATGGCTCCCGGAACAAGATTATAGCCAGCCCACCAACATGCAAATGCAGGACTGGGCCCGTGCTTTCCCTCGGCCCCGATACTCTCGTGTCATGAAGCCGAGGAGCGCTGGAAATAGCCCATCGTCAATCACCAGGAGGAGGACCACCGTTGCCCAGAGTGGCATGCAGGGAGTTCCTAACCAGTATCAATCCTCCCTGGAAGCTGCTCTTCTTGCCTCTGCGTCTCGGAATCCTCGCCCTATCAGTTGGCACCCGTCGTCAGCCAGGACCAGAGGTCTCTCCAATTCGACATACGTTCCTGACTACACTCAAGATAGTTATGTCGATATGAACACAATTCCCAGTCAGCCTCTCGATGTGAATGCACTCTCTGTCTATGGTAGTGAGAGCATGCTTTCATATCCCATGGACACAACACTCTCGCCAGATAGCTACATCCCCTTCTACCTCGACACCCACGACGCCATGCCTCTTCAACACACCATCCCTAACTCGCAGGTCGAGTCAATGGCATGGGATACTGCCTCCAACCACATCGATATGTCCACCATGTCGCAAACAACTTCTGATGGATGGTCACTTGACATGTTGTCAATGGCCAACATCCCCCCAGCGGAAACTACCTGCCCCAGCTACGCGAGTGTGCCATCCCCTGGAGAGCTTAGTGGCCCATCAACTCCCGACTTCCTCCCCATCCAGCAATTCGATTCGCCCGCCTCTGTTCAAGAAAAGAAGCAAGGCAAGCCTGAGGAGGAGCTGGTTGGCATGGGACTGTACAGTCAACCGGATGGCTCAATGAGCCAGTCGCAGCAGGGTATCTTGGGCAAGGGACTGAAGCTTGAGGAAACTTTTTCGCCATCTGACGACGAAAAAGATGATGGATCTGAGGATGAGGATGACGATGTGAACGAACTAGAGCCTGTGCCTCAACAAATCATCCCGCAACAACCGGCGCCCATGCCTCAGCAAAACGTGTCAATGCCCAGACAGTATGCTCAGCCAGCCTTGAACCTTCTTCACAAGTCTTTCTTCTTCGACCACGATGATATGGATCAGCAAACAATGCCTTCTGCGCCCTTTGCTAGCCTGAATCAATCTTGCATGAGTTACGGATACGGTTGGATTTGATTCACCCAAGAATTTTTGTTTTCTTTTATTGTTTTTATTACTTGTTACATCAGCGGCATACATAGCATGGAGTTAGTACCTTTTGGACCTTTTTTTTGGGATGGCTGGAGTCACGATACATGGATACCCTGGGCATAGCACTTGAGTAGTTTAGCTTTTCTCAAATGTGGCTCAACACCGCCACTTTGCTAGGATTCTGACGACAGATTTGTCTAAGAACCAAATGAAAACAAATGAAAAATAATAATTATGGACACCACACATCAATTTCCACTAGTAGTTCAAAAAAATTAAAGTTGAAGCATCATTCATCGTCGTATACTTGTTGAGCCGTTGATTGGTTGGGATAATTTAGCCCCGGTCAAACTTTCCCAATGGATCAACCATCATCCGAAAATATTTCCTCCAGCCAAAGAAAAGATACCAATATAGCGAAGCCCTTTTTTTAGATAGTGCTTCAGAAATCCAGAGAAAAAAGCACCCAATTCTCAGGGGCCTTCGTAATGGCTAAAGTTATTTTCACAGCATGGAAGAATAAGTCGCAGTTGGCGGAGGTGCGGAGCGAGTTCTATCCATCGCCTTCTTACGATGGCCCGGACATGCGCACCCATGCTTGCGCCACGGTATGATCAAACATTGAGCTATCTGCAATGTTGAAAAAGAAGCTAACATGCCTGTCAATAACAGGTAGAAGCTTGGAAACTGCGCGGCAATGTCCCACATCACGTTGAAGCGACCGCCCTGTTGACGGACGCTATTCTTCACGATGACGCGCAGATGAACTCGATTTTCTCGATCCGAGCTACCTACTCCGCTGCTTTTTGTCGGTATGTCTTAACTAGCTCCCAAAATAACCTTTCTAATTTCATTTTCATATTTGCATTTGAACTGAGCTAACTGCGCGCTAGATTCGTAACTGGCCTCGTCGACTCCAAGATTCAAGGCCCGCGCAGGACTATGTTCCAACGCGCCCAGGACTTGGGATTACCAGCATCCTTTGTCGAGTTGCGCCACGAGGCGACTCATCGCGAACCGCCGTCCCTGGTTGTGCTTCGCAAGGCTTCTCAGCGCTCTCTCGAGTGGCTCTGGGATAACTACTGGGCCGAGATCGATGCTCTAGCTGTGCCCAACGTTGCGTATGACGATGGTGCGACTGTTCAGAGTGCACTCACTATTATCTTGAGGGATTTCTCCACAAATGCTGGGCCCTCCTCGGAGCCACAGCGTAAGAAGCGGAAGCGTGATCAAGAGGCTGCTGTTTCAATGGATCTGGTTTCGATTTGTGGATCTTCGAGCGAGTCTGTGAGGCTACTGCCTACTGTTTTGTTGGATGAATTCATTCTTGTTGACTCTGAGCGAAAGTAAGTTTTCTTGAGGTTTTCTGTACCTAATTTGTTTGTTCATGCTGACTCGATCGATTAGACATGGAGAGTCTATGAATGACCACTTTGAGAAGTGGGATCCTGTCCTACAGAAGATGACCGAGCACTACCCCTCGTTCTTGATGTACCTTTCGGAAGATCTGGTACACAAACTGATTTTCGATGCCACACGGGAGTCACCTAGGGATGCCGTTGCTGAGGCATTCTTCCTCTGGCTCACTCATATCCTGACCTCCTCTTCTTGGGCATCTCACCAAGAATACTGTTCGCGCGACTATATCCTCAGTGCATGCGACGAGAACCCGAATCATTGGGGACAGATGTTGAGTGATAGACTACAAGAGCATGGTGGTGTGCGAAAGAGCAAGTCTTCATCCAAGCGGAGTTTCCAGGGATCCGCTACCAAGAAAACAGCATCGCACAACGGCGATCGCCATGTGGCATCGAGTGTTGACGAGAAGCTTCTTGCGAGTGGATGGGGGCTTGTTGAGAAATGGGATAGTCGGGCTTTGGGTGTATCGGCTCACTAGATATACTATGTAGTAATATAGGAAAAGGTACTGCGGGCAGCACCAAAAAAATCAACAACAACCATTCATTCACTCATCTATTCATTCATCCATTCACTGTATTCATAAATAACATTCTGATGTCGATGGACCCATCCGCTTGTGCTGAGACTATGTGTAGTTAGGTGTTGCCCCACTTTGACATCGAAGCTCATGCAGAGTTCTACCAATCAGACATTGTACCATTAGTAAAGCCGACGCGGAGAAACTATTATTCCGCATGACGTTTGATATGTCATCCATCGGTCTTTGTACAGCTTATTTCGATAGCTTCTCCCCGCACTAAACGTTTCATCCTTTCATTAGTGATGAGTTTTGCAAAAGCGATAAGATCATTCCGTTCCCGTCCATCCATCTTACAAGCCCGAGCAATGCATATCCAGTCGATTCCCATGTGTAAGCGGAGCTCCTTACCCGCCTGAAGCAAGCTATCAACAGGGTAGCTTATTCGACGCCTTGCTTACCTACGTTATATCCTACAGGGACCGGGAAAGGCAACAATTATGCCTACCTAGTCACAGATGAGCCGACCAAGCAATCCGTTATTATTGACCCAGCGAACCCCCCAGAGTGAGTAATATCTGACCATGTGAAACGCATTTACCTAGTAAGGACAAATGATGAGCTGACCACGCGGGGATACAGGGTGGCCCCTGAATTGAAGTCGCAGATTAGTGCCGGCAAGATTGATTTGACTGCTATTGTCAACACCCACCAGTATGTACTAGCTGAGGCAACTGGTTTTGAAGTGAAAGTGATTTGGCTGACTTTTTAGCCACTGGGATCATGCTGGAGGTAACGACAAGATGGTAAGAATTTGTTTGCTTTGGATTTGAATAGATCATTTTTCTGACTTTCAAATTTCAGCTGAGAGAATTCGGCAAGCTTCCCGTGATTGGAGGTAGCAATTGCCAGTCTGTTACCACGACACCGGCCGATGGTGAGGTCTTCAAGATTGGAGAGCGCATCTCTGTCAAGGCCCTATACACGCCTTGCCATACCCAGGACAGTATCTGCTATTACATGCAAGATGGCGACCAACGAGTTGTGTTCACAGGCGACACTTTGTTTATCGGCGGTGAGACTTACCCTTTGTCTATGAATGAGGTCAATTCTAACAAGCTTTTGATTTTCCAGGATGTGGTCGGTTCTTTGAAGGAAATGCCCAGGAGATGCACAAAGCATTGAACGAAACATTGGCAGCCCTGCCCGATGACACTAAGGTCTATGTGGGTAGTTCTTGATTCTGGGGTTTTTTTTTTTGGAAGAGTATCCGCTTACAGAATTCAGCCCGGTCACGAGTACACTAAGGCGAACGTCCAGTTTGCTCTCAGTGTGTCTCAGTCCCCGGCAATTAAGAAGCTTGCGGACTTTGCGGCAGCGAACGAGCAGACCCAGGGCAAATTTACCATTGGGGATGAAAAGGTATGCACTCAAGTATATTATATGATTCATTTTGGCGGATACTGATCCTCTGATTTAGCTTCACAATGTGTTTATGCGTGTTGAGGTAAGTTATGTTATATTTTCCATGCTCCCACTGATTGACCGAATGCTCACATTAATTACTCAGGACCCTGAAATTCAGAAAGTGACGGGCCAGACCAGCCCAGTAGATGTTATGGCTGCTTTGAGAGAGTTGAAGAACGCCAGCTAAATCTCCAATCGAAACTACAATTGAATTTCCCATCCTTCCGGGGAATCTTCGTTATGTGTTGAAATCGACCTAGATCGCGGTAAAAGCCGGAGTTTACAAAGGCAATCATTGATCTATATAAGTGGAGGCGTAAGATCTTAATTTTTACATAATCTTATTTATCCATACAAGTAAAGAAACCTTGGAATTCAGTTGAACATGGGTTGCGCGATTAGAGCAAGCGAGATATCCTACTGTTGTAGGTATTGCGGAGGAATGAGGGAACGAAACTACGTCATACCCACTTTCCCCCCCATACAACTCTTTCCAACATCACCAACACTGGGCCATCGCTACCAATCTGAAATACGCTATGCCAGCCTAGTTTACGCACACAAAAGTCCAGAATCTGCGCGCAATGGACCACGATGACCGAGAGGCATCTTCGGCCGCCGTAGATGAGGTATGTACTGGCACGGCGGGGTATGGGCAGGGAATTGGAACTGATCCATGCTTATTAGAGCCACGGAGGGGCCAGCGATACGGAGCCGCAGAACCAGCTGGAGGTAGGCCCACGATGAACACCAGTATGGCAAACATTAATCTAAGCGTCCCATTTCTTTGATCAGGTCGTTTTCTACCCCGATTCCAGCCACCGCCGCAAATCCTCATTGGTGACCATGGAGAAACCCCGAATGAGACGCCACGATACACAGGATAGAACAACAGCTTGCTATGTGCACTCCCTTATTGCGGGCGAATGGGCGGCGCCATTACCGAAATCTGCCGATAAAAAAGAGGTGATTCGTGCGCTGAGCGAAGACGAACCCGCTGTCGATTCAAAGGTGCTTGGTGATGATAATGTCGTTTCGGTGCCAGTGGTTGATAGCGACACCAAAACACTCAAATTGGAGCCTACAGTCATTCAATCCCGACATCTGACCAAGCGCCAGCTGTCTGATATGGCGTGGAACGTACGCAAGCTCTCGAAGAAGCTGGGAAGCATCAAGCTCAGATTGACCGTGAGGAACGTCTTCATCGTGAGCAAGACACATGACGAATCCTTAGTGAGCCTGACCAGAAAAGTCACTCGCTGGTTACTATCCAAGGAACGAGACTCGCCGTACACCGTCTACGTTGAACGCCGCATGGAAACCCACCCGGACTTTGGGACGTTGCAGCTACTGCAAGATGAACCGTCTGCGAAGGGCCGGCTCAAGTTCTGGGACCCTAAGCTTGCACAGGACCAGCCCCATCTATTCGATTTCGTTATCACCCTGGGAGGAGACGGAACGGTCCTATACACCAGCTGGCTATTCCAGCGTATTGTTCCACCTGTTCTGTCATTTGCGCTTGGGTCGTTAGGCTTCTTGACAAACTTTGACTTTGCTGATTATAAAAAGATCCTGGAGACCGCTTTCCGAGATGGCGTGGTTGTGAGTCTTCGATTGCGATTTGAGTGCACGATCATGAGAAGCAAGGCACGGTTGAAAGATCCGCATAGTCGTGCATTGACGAGTCGCGACTTGGTGGAGGAGTTGATTGGGGAGGAAGGGGAAGATACATTGACGCATACGCCGGACCGAGTCTATGAGATCTTGAATGATGTCGTCCTGGATCGTGGACCAAACCCAAGTATGTATATCTCAGAGCCGCGTTTTGTAAAAAATGGTATCACTAACCAACTCGTCCCTTTGCAGCCATGTCTCAAATTGAACTGTTTGGCGATGACGAGCATTTTACTACCCTACTAGCAGATGGAATCTGCATTGCCACCCCGACAGGATCAACGGCGTATAATCTCGCTGCTGGAGGATCGCTCTCTCACCCTGAGAACCCGGTGATCTTGGTAACGGCCATTTGCGCCCATACTCTTTCATTCCGCCCGATCATTCTACCTGATACAATTGTATTGCGCATGGGCGTTCCCTATGATGCGCGTACTAGTTCCTGGGCCAGTTTTGATGGCCGGGAGAGGGTAGAATTACATCCCGGCGACTATGTCACTGTGTCGGCGTCAAGATATCCGTTTGCCAATGTCTTGGCTCAAGACCGACGTGGCGAAGACTGGGTACACAGCATCTCAAAAACACTGAATTGGAATTCCCGTACGAAGCAGAAGAGTTTCAAATAAGGGCGAACCTTGAAGGCCTTTACGAGAGGGATTGTGGAAATATAACGAGTGCATGTCTAGCAAATGTGAAATTTCAATTTTTTTTCCAACGTTTTCTTCAAAAGCTTCATCCTTGATGGAAATAGCTAGAGTGGAGATTTGTGTAGCCTGATTGCCTGAGAAGAAAATCTCTGCAAAGAGATTCCTATTGTTTACCATTGAATCCCATTGAAGAAAAAAAAAATTGAAAAAATTGAAAAATCTCTGAGCTCAAGTGGATAAATTCGCTAGAAGCTTTCTACTGGTGGTTTCCGGGGCAGCTGCTCTCCGCCCTATAAAAGGCAGTTTCGCACCCTAAAACTTTTTTCTTCCTTTCATCTTCTCCAACTGCAACAACTGCAACCAGAAGTTCTAATGCGAACTCTCTGAAGCAGGTCTTTTGCTTCTTCTTTCTTCTCTTTTATTATCACAACAACGCTTTTAAACTAACTTGGTATGTTCTTGACTTTTCTCTTTTAACAATAATCGGGATTAGCCAAAGGGTCTTCGGGCCCGTTTCATATGATGAAAAACTTCCTACGTTCGCAGTTTCCACGCTAGCCCCAATTTGAACCTATTTCGGGTGCTCTGTGCGCTAACACTTCCTTGGATGTCTGATTGAATTGGCTATATCCCTTTTTTTGTTGGATTTTTATGACCTTTTCATTGAACCTCACTAACAGTGGTTTCAGAACAGGATATTTGACCTTTTGAGTCTTGCATTTTCGATCATATATATAGAATCACCTTGGCTTTTGGCCTTGAATTGGTCTATCGCCTGGCAGACAGTCTTGAATCTTGGCTTGCAGTTTCTTGAGGATTCAAAAAAAAATTCTTCTGGGTGCTCTCGTCTCCATTCTATGGCTTCTGTCAGCGCAGCCATACTGTCTGAACCCATGAATGAAATCCACTATTCTTTTGAACTCATCATCTTTATACCCTGTAAACTCTTTTTTCTTCGTAGAAATTGATTCCGAATCAATTGATGTCTTAAGCCGCATATTCTACGGAAAGATTCTATCAATCCTTACGCGAGTTGCGCCCGCGGCTAATGTGCTCCACCGTAGATCGCATCCACATCGCGAAGTCACTTGAGAGACGTCGGGATCTTAGCTAGAACCCCCTCAAACCACCAACATATCAGAATACATAACCATCAGAGTTGATCGCTACCCACCTTCTTGACCATTCACTCCGCAATAAATACTTCATTAGCCAGTTGCGCCTCTTACAATCACCATGGCCGCGCCCAGGCACTCGGCCATGCTGTCCATCAGCAACGCCAGCACGCCGCAATCCACATCCAGTGACAGAACACAAGTGCCGCAGCAGCCACAAAGCCCGGCCCCAACACAAGGCCTCCGTGTGCCTTCCAATCGCAAAACTATCTACGACAGACACCTAAACCGCAGCCGCAATGCGGAGTCTAGTCGGGCGAGCTTCGCCTATCTATTTGCGGAGATGGTCACATATGCCCAGCGGAGGGTAACGGGCATACAAGATTTAGAGAAACGGTATGTATACACCACCAGACTAGGATACTAAACTTCTATATATCTATATTCATCTGCCTATTTATATTCTCCTTCCATTTATACAGTCCAAACTCACTAACACTGATCTCCCCTCCAGATTAAATGAACAAGGATACCCCCTAGGCCTCCGCCTCCTCGACCTCCTCTTCTACAGAGCAACCTCAACCTCCTCCTCAGCCCTCTCAAGCTCCTCAACATCCTCTTCACCACCAAACAGACCCCTCCGCATCCTAACCCTCCTCCACCTCATCCACGGCCCCCTCTGGCGCCTCCTCTTCCAGCGCTCAGCAGATGCACTCGAGCACTCCGTCTCCCCCGACACTCCAAACGAATACATGATCACCGATAACGACCCGCTAGTCAACACCTACATCAGCGTACCCCGAGAGATGAGCATGCTTAACTGCGCGGCCTTTGTTGCGGGTATCATTGAGGGTGTGTGTGATGGGTGTGGATTTGAGGCCAAGGTGTCGACGCATAATCAGCCGACGGAGATGTGGCCTTCACGGACTGTTTTCCTCGTGCGGTTTGGTGATAGTGTTATGGAGCGGGAGAAGGTTTTGGAGCGTGCGGGGATTAAATAGTGGTTTTCTTCTTTTTCTTTTTTACCTGCATCTTTCACAATTGCATGGAGGTTGTTTATTTTATCCCCACTTAGAGAATCTTATTTCTGTCCATTTCCATTCATTGGGAATTTGAAACTGCAAGATTGTTGGGTTAGACTGGGAGGAAGAAGTTACTACATAGTACAGTTCCTCCTTAGCCCTGGGGATTACATAGTACCCTCAACATTTGAAGGGCCCAGGTTGCATTGGTTACCTTGTAGCCTGAAACCGAGCCTTATATATGCACATGTGTGATCAGTTAAAATGCATCTGGATATGTATGCAGAAACCTCTGTGTTAAGATGTGTAGATGGATGGGTTTATCATTTGCTGAAAATGCGAGTATATATCAGTACCTAGTAGGTATATCACAAGAATGAGAATGCAAAGCTTTTGGCTAAAAATAAGACAAATCACCTCCTAACGCCAGTGTGTCAAAGGGTGATACATGGTTGATCATGAAGTGCTATCAACTCGTCGGCGCTTGTCCCGATCTTCATACGGAGATGGGCTGCGTTTCCGCCGTTCCCTCGAACGACTTCGCTCATCACGGTCATCACGTCGATCCCTTCGCGGAGAGCGAGATCTAGATCTTCGCCTCGGCCGAACAAAACTGGCATTGGCACCCGTCGGTCCAGTCGGTCCAGAGCCCCGATCATCCCCGCGATCAGGCATGTAACGCTCATCAGTAATACCGATAGGCGGGCCATTGTCACCACGGCGATTTTGATACCCTCCACCGAACCGACCAGTATCCTCGGACTTGAGATCGCGATAACGAGTGCGGCCCTTCTTGCCCAACTTGGTCATATCGCGGACCTGCATATACTCAGGCAAAGTCTCACGCGCAACATCATCCACGAACCGGCGGCCCATGATATTACGCTGATCCAAACCATCCTTCTCCTGGTCATCACGGAAGAACGCTCCCTTGTGAAAGTAGCGCTGCATAAACCCAGTCTGGCCGCGCGTAGCCTCTCGGTCTTCCTTCTGCTGCGAAATGAATTCTGCATCCTCGCGATCGCGCTCCTCTTGCGTGAGGTTGCGTCGTCGCTCGATCTCCTCGCGCTCTTTCTCAGCTTCTTCGATGGCCTCGCGCTCGCGCTTAACGCGCTTCAGTTCTCGCAGCTTCCACGCAGCGTACTCTGCATCGGGGTCTACGCCGTCTTTGTCGTCGATGGCCTCTTCGTCGTCGGCCTCCAGCTCGTCGTCATCCCAGGCTCGGTTCTTTGAGGAGCGCGCGATCGCATCTTTTTCGAGTTGGTCACGGACTAGCTGATCGGCTTTTTCTAGTCGTTGGGCTTGGCGGCGGGCCTCGGCGTCTGCCTCGAGGGCTGCGGCTTTGGCTGCGGCTTGTGCTTTCTCCGAGTCGCCTGTTCCTCTTTTGTCCTTTTTGATGAATGTGGGCCGTATAAGCATGCGCCGAGGCGCTTCGTCTTCGGAGCTACTCTCTTCCTCGGAGCTTTCTTCTTCCTCTTCGCTTTCTTCTGGGGCGGCTGCCGTGGTTGGTTTTGATGTTATAGCTTCTGATGGAGAATCTTGAGCCGACGGCGCAGCTATGGGTAATGATTGTGCTTCATCATCTTCTTCTTCCTCGTCGGTCACAAATCCTTCCTCTTCATCTTCTTCTTCAGCCTTGACGGCTTTGCGGGCGGCCGCAGACGGGAAAGAGCTTGCCTTTGGAGCTTGCTGTCTCCGACGCTGCGCTTCGGCCTCTTGTCGTTTTTGTTCTTCAATATCTTCGTCCTCGTCTTCCTCCTCGGATGATGAATGCTCCTCTGCGACTGCTTTTCCAGGACGGTAACGGCCAACAGGTTTGAGCGGGTTCGCGGTCATCCCGCGGTGGGAGGATGGTAGAGGCGGAGGCATGATTGTGAGGCGATGGTGTGGTCAGGATGCGTATGAGGTAAGTAGAGGTTGACTTTATTTTCGTATGTAGTGTTTGAAAACCGTGTTGGGGATTTAATGATCCATTGGGAATCACGGCGCAAGTTGTGAAGGTCTGACGTCGCAGGGCATGGAGCTTGTCGAGATTGATAAGTGTCACGTGAGGATATAGTAAAGGCTATTATTTGTACTCTACGAGTCCTCGATACCTGATCCAAGTTCATATCGCATATTTCATATACCAACCTGACTTAACTGGGGTTTCACCACACCTCTCTTTTGCAACCGTACTACCAGCATATTGAGGTTCTTAGAATTCTCGATCTGTATCGATTTTTAAAAAAGGCCCCCTCATCACGTGCACACGCGTCCTATTAACGCGTCTAATCGGTTCGATTCAATTTCAACGAAGTACCTCCTCCAACGCCTCATCAACAACGCTTTCAAACAAATTCACATTTTCCACTCAAAAACCAAACATGTCTCTCCAATCGCCCCGCTGCCTGCCGCAGCACCTCCCCAACTTTCACCCCAACTCCACCCCCGCGGGTACTACACACACCGTCTGCGTTCTGGGCACTGTCAGCGCGCTCAACGGCGACTCAGCGAAGATTACCTGTGGCAGCCACGGAGACGTGACTCTCATCCTCACTCCAGATGACAACTTGCAGATGGGAAAGCTTGTCGAGGTTGTAGGGAAAGTGACTGATGTCGAGGGTGGGGTATGTTTGCCAACTTCAACCATTGCATCGGAGCCTGTTCTGCTTGTGGAACATGCAAAGAGCTAAAGCGAACTTAAAGAACCCAATGCTAATCATCCTTTTCATTAAGGTTGGACTCCGAGTCCTCGAGACAACGGACTGGGGTAACCCTGCGGATTTGGGTGAGTTTCTTTCTTAGACCTTCAATGAAGTGATAGCAATATGCTAATTGGAAATTTTACTATTAGATTATAAGATCTACGAGCATGTTGTCGATGCTACACACCGCTTCAAGAATATCTTCTACGGCAACGAATAAAGAAATTGAAGTTTACAGGATGGGCTGGTGGGCTAGTTTGGGCTCTTGAAAAGTGTCAGAATCTGGCGGAAGGTTGTTTTCTTGCCATGAAGAGCATTGTAAACTGCTTTGTGTTGTTTTCCTTCAGCATTCTGCCGTTGAAGTGGTCTTATGACGACTTATCTAGCTCCGATTTGCATATTATACGATGTTATGATCAAATTCCGACTTCTTGCTTGCCATAAGAATGTTGATTTATCCCTTTGATACTTGGAAATTTTCTTGACTGGAACCAAAAATTATTTATACGAAGTATTAGTAGATCAAGAGTCAATTTCACACTGATGGCCTTTAAGATCAGTTTGAGGTCTATGTAATGTTGGTTACTGTTGCGCGATCTAGGCAATGTAAAATCGATTGAATTCGCCTGAGATGTATGGTCAATTGATGGCTGAAAGTCCAATGGCTCGAGAAGGTTGTGCACCATTGAAAGCTACATTTAATCAGCAAATTACTTCTTCAACGCATCAATTTATTACGAGGTGAGTATTTGTAATATTTCTTTGTATTTTCATTTTTCATTTTTGACATCATTTTGATGTTTTCCGGGCAGCTAAGATAATACCCCGGTAGCAACCATCAGCTGTGCAATAAAAACATCAGTGATGGGCAGTGTAGAACCCCGATTGAGGATTCTTCTGGTCATAATTCAGAACAATAGTAGTAAACTGAGCATACACTCGACAAGAGCAAATAGCCACTTGCAAGTGAAAATAAGGTTGGGGTGTATAAATAAGCAAAGAGAATTGTGTCCCAGCCGCGCCGAACGCCATCGCTAAAAAACAAAAGTTGAAATGAAACAGATGTGAAAAAAACGGGAGAACAGAAGGATAAAGAAAACATCGAGGGAAGGCATTGCTCATGCAGCGGGAGAGGTTGCAGGTTGTTCATTGGACTTCTCTTTGGAAGACTGAACATTGGAGGAACCCAGAGGATCTGTCTGTTGAGCATCAGAGCTGAAGAATCCAGAGTCAGGAAGTTCAACATCGAAGTTGAAAGGATTGAACTGTTTGTCGTGGAGGTTCTCCTTCAGGGCAGTGGGACCGGAGAGAAGAGAATTAATGAAGTCTTCGGAACCTTGGAGGTTTTCTTCGGATGCAGTAGGAGAGACGTAGGCCTCGGGAAGCCAATCTGCCCAATTGTGGCTTTCGCCCTTTGAGCCCTCTCCGATCTGGAAGAAGTCAGGCTGAACGGGGGTATCATCAAGAATGTCGAGAATAATGCTGTCGAAAGGCTGCAATGATGCAGTGTGCAGGCTCTGACTCAACAAGGTAGAAAAATCATGTTTATTAGGCGATCTCTGCTTATTGGGGGATCGGTTTTGACGAGGGGTGGTACGGGGCGAGTCCTGGCCATCTTGGATGTGCTGCAGTCGCTCCGCCGTGAGACGAGTTGGGGAAGGAGTTTTTCCAACATCCTTGTGCCGGGTGCTATTTGGCGAATTGGAAGGCAAGGAGAGTCGTCGCTCATGCATATTGAATCGAGCATGGGGTCGACGTGGAGTTGGACTGGTAAGAAGGTTAAGGTCCACAGAGGGGCTCTCGAAAAGATCGTTCAGGTCATTATTAGGCGTGGGCGCAATATTCTCCTTGTCCCGAGGCTGCTTGTGCTCATGCGAAGCAGTCTTGGGGCTTCGCCTAGGGGAACCGCCGTTCAGCAGGGAAGGACCTAATTCCTTCAAGGATTTTTCGTTATGGGATGAGGCAAACAAGGCGCGGCGCAAGGGTTTAGGAGTGGTGTTTGTCTCATCCAAAGATGGAGCTCTTTCAGTTTGGGGTCGGACTTTCATATTTCTTGCCGGACTAGACTGGATCGCACGACGAAGAGCTTCCACAGCGTCATCATGCTCCCAGCGAGCATATGAGCTCTCGGTTGACCGCCGGGGCTCAACACTGTTAGCCCGGCGACGCTTGTTGGGGTAGTTCTCGCCTTCCTCGTCCTGACCCTGGTCCTGATCTTGACTATCATCAAGTTGAGGGGTGGCACCTTCGTCGGGCTGAATGGAGGAGGCCTCAGTGGGAGCTGGAGAAGAGGCTGCAGTAACGCTTGATGCGACCATGCTGCGAGTCCTGGCTGAAGGAACCGATAATGGGCCACCAGATCTGCGGTTTCTAATAGGACGCTTTTTGTTGCCGTCGGAGGCAGACTTGTTCCATTTATTTTCGGGACGCATTGTTTTCATCTTATGGAGCCACAGACCACAAGGGTTACAAAGCAACACCTGAACCCATGAATCGTCGTCGGCAACAAGTAGAGTCTTCTTGTAGAACTTGAAATTGGTGATTGCCTTTGAAGCATCGCGTTCCAGGGGCATATAGAACAACGAACCGCTGACTTGCATCATCATCTGTTTGGCAAGACCCTCCCCACCCATAATATCTCTCGACCACGCCCGCCGCCAAGTAGGAGTTTCAATGCTGCCACAGTTCTCACAGAAAGGAGGGATTTTGCCAGATTTTATGGCCTCATCCAGGTTCTGTTGGATCTGGGTTACCCTCCTGTTTAGGCCACGGGGCTTGAGGTTCTCGGGTTTCTTAGGTTTCTCGGGGTTCTCAGCTTGCGGTACGGGTACCGAGACTGACTTTCCATCATGATCGAAACCAGTAACTGGCCCGGTCCATGTTATAGCGTGCTGAGGGGGTGGATTGGGGGTAACAATAGGGTCACTGGGAGGAACGCTGCTCCTATTTTGAGAGATTTCGCTGCAAGGGTTGGGTGTTTGTATTTTGGGTGCCAAACGCACGCCATTCCCCGAGCTTGGTCGGGACCCAGCGGCTGAGGCTGGACGTGATTGTACCTTGGGCTTTCTAGGCGGAAACGTGGGAGGATCACTCATTGGCATGAAGTCATTGGATTGACCAACCGTGCCAGTTCTACCCACTGGGGAGTTTGGCTGAACTGTAGAACGAACAGAAAGAGAGTGATTTCCTTCGATGGGGCCGTGTGACTCAGCCCTTTGCCCATCCTCGACAGGAGTAGCCACCTCATCTTCCAAATTCTCTTCCATGCCACCACTCATGAAACCTGAGTCGGTGTCCAATGTGATTGGAGGCAGCACCGGGCTAGATTTAGATGCAGCTCGTGTATCCATGATAGGAGGAGAGGAAGGCATGTTAAATGGAGGCTCGAAAAGTCCTTGGTAACGAGAATCATCTGGAGAGTGACTTGTGAAGTCTGTGCCGATGTCATCACTATTGAAATATGGCGATGCATAAGAGCTGAGAACAGAGGACTCTCGCAACATACTCGATGCAGGCCGACGGCGGCGAGATCCATCTCCGGGGCGCATGATTGGAGTTGGTGGGCGAACGGGCTCGTTGATGGACTGTTCCGCTGCGATAGCAGGGTTGACGGGAGTCGGGCGATGAATCCGAACCGAAGCTGCTGTACTAGCTGCTACTCGAAGCGAGCTGGGCTGTCTCTCAATGTTCATATCGGACTTCCCTGGCCACCCTGCTTGATACAGCTTGGCCCTCTTCCGTGGTTGCGGGTCTATATCCTCACCCCCACTGGCATAGCCAGACTGGATAGAATCTCTCCTGGAGAGAGACTGTGGTACCTGGTAATCATTGTCGCGCATAGAAGCACTCGAAGAAGGTCGGATCATATCGCTGCTTTGGTTGTAAGGTGGTCTTGATTGATGTTGCGGTTGTGGTTGATAAGTGGAAGTCCGGACTCCTCCGGGTGTGGATACTCTGCTGGGAGCACCGTATGAGTGCGTAGGGGAAACCGAACGCACTGAATCATTCCGTTCATATCCGGAAAACTCGCGAGGGGTGGCACCGTCACTAAGAATTTGGTGGAATCGTCCAATGCCGGATCCACTCATTGGGGACACGGCGCTTGCTCGGTCTTGTGATTGATTTCGAGCGGCTTCCATGAGTGAGGGATTTTGACGCATGAAAGCCGTCCATGACTGTGCGTCGAAGTCGTGTGGGATCACATTGCTGAGCTCTCGGTATTTTTGCATGCTGTCGAGATATTGGCTTTGCATGATGTTCGGAACGGGAACCAATCGGAGTTTGACTTCAAGGGTCTCTTGGGCGCCAGCGCCCTTAGAAAACAGACCCAACGGGGCTTTACACACACGACCTGTGACCATTGTCTTCGATTGGTGAGCGGGCGCTTCCGGTGTCGGTGAAGAAGAAGCCAGAACCCACGAGAGCATTCCTTGGCCGACGAGGGGGGTTTCATATTCCGAGTAGTCGTAGGCGTACACTGTGTAGTCCTTTCCTAATTGTGCCACTAATTCAGGACTACAAAAGAGTTAGGAAGGGAAAAAATCAAGAATGGCCTTGGGAAGAAAGTCCAACCTTGCTGAAACAATTGCTTGGATACATGTCTTCAGCTCAATCACCCCGACTGGGGTGTTTTCATCCAAATAAGCAGTTTGGATTTCTAGCACATGGGGCCAGCGAGCAAGGCAGTTGGTTTTGTTCTCGTTATCAAAGGTGTATAAGACCTTAACTGTTGAGAACACCGAAGATTAGCAACCGACCATAAATTGTCTTTTTCTCTCTCAAGGGTACATACGCCTCATAGGGCGGACGGTAATTCCGTCCTGAGAGTCCATCTCATGTGATTCGATTTGTCTCCATAAACGATTTTAGGTGGGGGCGAAGGTATGAGACCGGTGGACGTCGAGAGTATTTGAGAAAGAGAAAGGAGAGGCGGGGGTGTTGTAAGAAGATAAGGCAGGGTGTCGGTAGGCAGGGGAGGTGGGGGATCGAGGTTGTTGGCAGGGCAAAGTGGTGAAATCGACTTTTTTTGACACTGTTTCTCCACAGTACGGTGTAGCAATGGAAAAAACTGCAGTTGTACAAAGAAGGGTGGTAGCAAAGTCGATCTATCTGCCAAGCATATCGATCAAGTATCTCGTCGGCCGGGAGAATGGGGAGGATATGCAATTTATGCAGGGAAGGCTGCAGGACCGGAATGTTGGACAGGTCGATCCTTGGGAAAGGGAGTAAAGAAGTGGTGGTCGTACCCAAGGAGGAAAACCTAACAAGGCCAAAGAGCAGAAATGATTAGAAATTGAAAATAAATCCAAAAAAAAAGGAAAAACCTTCTTGTGCTGCAGACAGCGAGGAGGTTGGAGGGTTTAAAAGGAAGACCTTGCGTTCGCGGGTTGAAGCTATCCGCTGATCTCTAAACAAGCGTGTACGCGACGTGACGCAGCCAATCGCGAGCAACCCGCGGTCATGAAAACGCGTGCCTCAGTGCCTTGTTGCCTTAGTAATTAAAGAAAAAAAAAACCGGCAAAACGCTCGAGCCCCAAATCGAAAGCAACCCGGTGAAAAGCCGTACGCTAGGCGGTGTATGGAAAGAATGACGTAAAATTTACTCCGGCACAGACTCTATGAGAAAAAGACCCAGTACGTTTCCTGGCCTACAAGAAGGGACTATCCTAGTGTATACAGACTAGTGGAAGAAATTCCTCGATATTGATATTTGTAAAATTATGGGGACTCATCGAAAGCAATTGATCAGTTGTCTAGAAAATATTTACTCCATACATTAAATTATTAAATTAGAAAGGTCTTCATTCGGCAGAACGAGTGTACTGCTAGACCAGCTCCACATCACGTGACTATAGAACCTGCTCACCTTCCAGTATCTCAACACATGCGCGAGGGACCCTTCACGGCCCATTATACCTCACAACCCACACACCATGTCGACAGCTCCCGACCCCAAGATTCAGTATGTGACATCTCAATGACCCCTTGACTCTAGTGTAACTCAGCTGACCCAATTCTTCCCCAGGGATTTGCTCAACAAGCCTAAGAACGAGCTCACGTACGTTCCATCTCAACATCATCCCTCGAATTTCCCCGCCTTCACCGATGACTATCCTTTCATTTCTTCCACTGCTGCCTAGCTCCTGAAAGGGGGGTAAAGTGTGGCGGGGACTTTGCGATGCTCCGGTCATCTTTTATAGCCACATTCCGATGCATGCGCAATCTCAAGACATACATGAACCCAAAAGACTAACCTGGTACCGTGGCTCAACAGGGAATATGAGGTCGCTCTTATTGAGGAGCACGAGCTCACCGCTGGTCCGCTGTCACTCCTGCAGACCGCCACCCGCACGCACACTCAGGTCCTGATCTCCTGCCGTAACAACCGAAAGCTCTTGGCCCGTGTCAAGGCTTTTGACCGACACTGCAACATGGTCCTGGAGAACGTCAAGGAAATGTGGACAGAGAAGCCCAAGGGTAACAAGGGCAAGGGCGTGAACAAGGATCGTTTCATTAGCAAGATGTACGTGTGGTTGAACGTGGTGAAGGCATCATACCTCCTATGCCTTTTCTTTTTCTTCTGGCCCCCTCCTCATTGAATCATTTTCTAATAACTCGGTGCTATTAGGTTCCTTCGTGGTGACTCTGTCATTCTCGTTCTGCTCAGCTGAGCAATTAACCACCTCTTTCCCATCTTGCGCAACTTCACCACGCCCAGGGTGGTCCACCTCCCCCTGCATCTGATCTACCCTGGTATCTCGGAATCCTAAATCTACGGGACGGCTTGTGATCTCCGCTTATGGCGCAGATCGATCCTGTGATTAACGGTTCATCTTGTAATCGATCTCGATACCCTTTTTCCTGTTAACCTACACCTGTTTCCTGTCCCTTGCTTCTGGTCGCATTGCCAGGTTAGAGCTGGGATTATTTGACCTTGCTTGCGAGGTGACATTCGAATGAAACGGGCACTTTCATCAAAAAAAATGTTGCTGGCGTTCTGTTTATAGGCTTGTTATGTCCGAGGGAAGCGTCGGACGGCGTAACCCCTTAGAGCGGAGATTCGTTCGCAATGCATTTTCTTCTCTGAATTCGGTTCAACCTGTGATTGGTCCTCGTAGAATCAGTTCTTATCTTCAGCTACTATTACTCTTGTCTTGCCTGCCGATTCTAGGCCTGTGGGGTAAGTCATCATCCAACGTTTGGTGGGGTATATGAACACTTCAGAGTCGAGACGCAAGGGCAAAGGGTGCCGCCACAGAGTGGGCTAGTTACTTAGTGGATACATCTAGTAGCATTGAGCTTGGTTCTATTGGCCTAAAACCGGCAAACTGTAGATATGAGATGCTCAGATCTCTGTTCGCATGCACCTCTGCACACACCGTATTTTCAACGCATAAGAAGGGGGGCATTTGACTTGAGGGAACAAATGCTTACCCAGGTGAGATATACCCGTGGACCCAAATGACCCAGATCGTGAATGCTATAACCAGTTGACCGTTCAAACAAGTTGAACATTTTTACTCCAGTGCTAGATACTAGTACCTAGTAGGTAGTTTGAATACGCCAAGACCTGAAACTTTTGAAAAGAACAATCCAAGTTTCAACATTGAATCATCATCATGAAATTACATTAAAAGCAGATCCACTACAAAGACCCAGAACTGTTCCAAGGTCTGGTATCACGCTATTTATACGGAAGACGGGAACAAGAAACAACACCCCAACAGCCTAAACCGCCTCGGCAATTCCAGCCAAGAACTCAGCAAGACCAAAAGCGCCAGGGTCAGGCACCTTTCCAAGCCACTCCGACTCACCACCAACATAAACAGACCGACCCAGACTAGCCTTCATACTCTTTGTAGACTCGGTGCCCTCGTTAGCAGCCTTGGACGCAGCATTGATATCATGCGTCTCAAAGAGCGTGTCGCAGAATGGCACAAGCGCATCCATAAGAGTACGGTCACCCACCTTGGCAGGTGTGTACCGGCCCAACGCGGTGACAGAGTGCTTAAGTGCCTTGGCCCACACTTCTGTGTTGGCCTGCAATGTGGAGCCCTTGTCTTGGTCGCGTAGGCCGTGGGCGAGGGCATTCAGGAAGATCGCATAAATAGCGCCGGAGGTGCCGTCCATGACGTTCTCAACCACTGTCACGATGCGGTTGACCGTGTTGACGACGTCGTCGGTAATGCCAGGTGAACTGGCGAGGAGCTGTTGGATGGCTTCGGCGCCACGCTGGAGGCCGACGCCGCAGTCGCCGTCACCGACGATGGTGTCGTAGTTGGTGACTTCGGGCTCGGCGGCGATGACGCGCTTCAGGCCTGCACCGAGGATTTTCTTTACGACGGCGGGGTCAACTGGGTAGATGTCAGTATGTAAATATATTTTAGGATTGGAGGAAAAGGGATGTAGGGTTGGATTCGAGATGGGACTCACGCTTCAGGTTGCTGGGGTTATCCTCGGCCAGATTGGTGTTCTTAAGCTGCACAGGAGTGTCGATGCGGTTTTCCCAGGTCGAGCGGGAGATGGGGGCAGCCCAGCCAACGGCCTCTGCGGGGGCATCGAGCAGCTCCAGGAGCGACTTGCCGGATCCAAGGCCAGTATCGGCGAGCTTCAGGAGCGAGATGCTGAAGCCCAATCCATCCAAGCTGCTAAGGAATGTACCCTGGATCACACGGACAGGATTCACCTTGTAGCTCTGGTTAAGCTGACGATGAACCTCATCGGTGATACCGGCCAATTCAATGGGGCTCACACCACCCAAGTTGTTGATCAGAAGCACGAAGTCATCCTTAGGGGTGTAAGTGACGTAGGCCCGGTCAGCGTCGTTGGGATCAAGCAGCGAGCGCAGCATGGTTGAGACCAGCTCGACCAAGTTTGCCTTGGCACGGTGGGATCCAGGTTCATTGTGAATACCCATACCGACCTCGGCGTCACCGGGTGCAATGGTGTCCAGGCCCTCGGGGACTCGGCGACCAGGAATATGAACATGTTCCAAAGAGGTACCAATAGAGACCAAGTTGTTGTTGACGTGCTGAGCAAGACCATAGACTTCATCGAGAGAACCACTAGTAAAAAAAAGTTAGCTAAAAGAAAGAAGAAAAAGAAAGAAGAGAACTATACTAAGTTCTCCGAGTATCACACTCACCCAGCTTCAGCCAAAGCACCAACAAGCTTCAAGATCAAAGCCGCACCGCCAATACCACGGCGGCCAACCTTTCCACTCTTCTTCCGGCCGACACCAACATCGTCGGCCATAGCGAAGAACTCAGTGCGAATGCCCGCAGCACGGGACTTTTCCGTGGCCATACCAAAGTTCAGCACATCACCGGTATAATTGTTGGGGATAATCAAGACTCCACTATCCGTGGGGACACGATCCATGGCCGCCCTACGGATCTGCTCGGCGGATGGCGAAGCAAAGACGGTACCGGCGACTGCAGCGTCACATAGACCGTGGCCGACGAAGCCCGCAAACGCGGGCTCATGGCCGGATCCACCACCAGTCACGATGGAGACCTTCTTCGGCTTACGAGGTGCATCTGGGCGACGGAAGACAATTTTATTCTCGAGATCCAATGCAAGGGATGGGTTGGTGACGGTGATGGAGTTCAACGCGGTCAAGACCAGATGGGTCGGATCGGAAAAGAAGTGCTTGGCTATAATGAATGTTAGTCTTTCTTCTGCTACCTAGATTGCTGTGGATAGGGGAATGGGTAATGGGGAAGTGGGGATCGAAATTGTCCTCAACGTCAGAGTGGAGCTCAAAGAAAAAGGGTAACTTACTTTGCATTTTGTAGTAAAATCAAACTGTTTTCGGGGGAAACTTTTTGGCGGAACCAGAGATGCTCGACCACTGGATTGGCAGATATATATGTATATCTCTTTTTCTTTTTCTTCCAAAGTTCCAAGTTTCACCGTGCAGGGAGAAATGTCACACCGTCTTTTATTGATCGAGTTCTTGCAGTGAAACCTGTTGCGTTATAGAGAGGCGACTTGGAGGCGGGGAAAAAGTGGGGGGTCCAACGCAAGTACGGATGGCTGCTGGTCATTGTTAGCCCATATCCTAAGAACTTGGGTGAAATGTGATCATTGCAGCTCTTGAGAGGCAATTGGGTGATAAGGAAAGAGAATTTCCAGGTTTTTTTTTTCTGTAGGTGCATTGTGGTTTTGGGAACTCACGGGGAAACGCGGGGGGGGGGAGCTTTTAGTACAAGTTTGAAGTATAAGATCAAGATCGGAGATGGTATATGCAAAGGAAAACAACAGGAAAAAAAGAACCTTTTGAAGCCAGAGCGGATTCTACCCTTTATATACAATTGTTTCTTTCCTTTTTTTACTCTTTTAATAATCATTTACTAGACCCTCTTTTTTTTTTGTACACATGAGCCTTTTGCCTCCGAGAGCTCACTGAAACCGGGCGCTTCGGCTTACCCTGTGGGGTAATCCCGGCATTCAACATGGTAACCCGTCAGGCACAACTTGTCGACCGAGAGCTGTAGCTCTACCTGTGGGGCTTTTCTACTTATGGAGTTCAACCTTTCGAATGACCAGTAGATCTTTTTTTTCATGTGGCGCACTCTCAAGTATCATTACGTTCGCCCAACTCATCCGAAGAGGTCCGCGCACTTGTACTTTCCAGACCAACTGGCCAACCCAATACTACTAGTACTATTTTGTTTATGTCATAAAAGCAAAGCAATAGTTAACTACTAGTAGTTATTGATATCAAAATCTTAGTCAATTGAGTTTAAGGCCTGCTGCCGTCTGCTAGGAGTCTAGGACCAACATTGGAAAATCAACATTTGAACTAGAAGATGATGAGATCCTTCGAATCAATTCGAACAAATAGAAATCGAGGGGAAATATCCAATAAATCCATTATTGAGATTTGAGGTCCAATTACCCAATGAAATCCACTGCTCAGCTGGTACTTCCCGCGCCAAATAGAGGTGGGGACTGGGCTCGTGACAGAGCTCGTGACGGGCACGTTCTAGAAGATCCATTTTGGTGAAGTCCAGTATATACGCCAAAGTTGGAATCTTGCTAGATAATAACCTTGTCCCTGGGAACCTTTTATAACAGTCTTAGAAATTCCACTGGTCAAGCCAGTTCGACATTTGAGCTCGCGAGACAGGCCCCAGCATAGCCATCGTCTTGCTCGCCTGTTTCGCTTGCGTAACACTAATCTCCGCCGTCAACATGTTATTATCACTCGAAAGTCCTCGGTAAAATGAAAGGAGCTTCAGCGCCGGCTTTTCATTCAATTCTTGCTCGGAAGGATCGGTGATACCTTCAAGCTCATTGACCCAGTCTTCAAGAGAAACCACTTGCACAGGATACTTATCCTGGATAGCGGGAATAAGCGAAGACCACTTGCTGCGATGTGGGTTCGTCAGATGGAAGACGGCATTCGTTTCTTCCGATAGGGCCGAACGGCGCGTTTGGAGAATGTCCAGTGTGATATTGGCCAAGGCATCCTGTTCAAGTTAGGTTTCAGTCACTTTAATAATCCAAAGGAATCAAGAATACGAGGGAAATAAGCAAAAAAAAAAAAGGAAAGGAAAGGAAAGACTCACCACAGAGACCCAATCAATCGCATATCCGCCCAATTCTGCGGGGACCTTGCCCATCGCCCTCGATGTAGCCACAAGTGTCGGAATCCACTCATGTGGGTTCCATAGCCCCAGCCGAGTATCTGGACCGGCAATCTGTCCCACACGGAAAATGCTTGTCGGAACACCTGCCTTGCGCGATGCTTCGACACAGATGCTTTCTCCAACGAATTTGGACTCGCCGTATCCTTGCTCAAGAACTTGTTCGACACTTTCCATGGCCACTTCGGGAACAACCGGGCCCATAGTGTCGGGCGTCCAGCCTCCGATAGTGCTGACTGACGATATGAAAGCCAGATGAGCGTTTTGGCGGCCGTTGATGCTGAGATTGACGAACTCGCGCATGCCAAACAGATGGGGGTGCTCGAAAGATTCGACTGGATGATTAAAGTTGACTTTCCACGCATTGTGTATGATGAGGTCCACTTCTTCGAGGAGGCAGTGGTACTTGTTGTCAGGAAGACCGAATTGCGACTCGCCGAAAGATACATGTAAGAATTCGACTCTGGGACCGGATAGGGGAGAGGTGGGAAGGCCCTTGGATTGGAAGCTTTCTAGCTGGCGAGCAGCGGCATCATCTGTGCGGTTGAAACAGTAGACTTTTGTGACGTTTTCATTCTTCAGAAGACTGTGGAGTAGATATGTGCCCAGGGAGCCGGTTGATCCTGTGAGAACCACTCTCGATTCTTTCGGAGGCCGAGGTGATTGCTTTGCAGATCGAACGGGCAGGTCACTCGTGTATTTAGATATCAGATGGGCAATTTTGTCGGATCGAGAAACATTTGTAACAGTGCCGGCGTCTCCCTTGAGAACTATCATCATCATTTGAGCAAGTCTGTCGACGGTCGAATGGGCGTAAATATTCTGGAGGTTGATGGAATCGATATCCAAGCCAGGGTTGTTAGCACGAACGGCATTTTTCAATACTTTGTTCAGTTGAATTGTGCGTAGAGAGTCCATTCCTACGCTGTATAAATCATCGCCGTTGCCGAAATTTGACTCGCCCAATAAAAGTGAGATCACGGTGCGCAAATACCCTTTCATGCTTTCAAGATCAACATCAGAAGGGAGTTGCATCTCCAACTGGTCATCTTGGGCAGCATAAAGCTCGTCAATCTCCTGCGCGTAATCTTTGTTCACAGCATGTCTTTGCGTCGTGCCTTTTGGGGTGATCTTGAAAGGTTTTTCCCGTGATGAGAGTCGAATCATGTTCTTCATGACTCGGCCATAGTTGGGGACCATCTCATTAGCCTTCTCCACTTGGGGCCAAATCGAATCAACGATTTGCTTCTCGTCATACACCTGATCGCCAGCATACTCAGGTTCGATCAACAAGGCAGACTGAAATCTGCCCTGACCGATAAGCAGTGCGCGATGCACGGATTTATCATTCTCGATCATCTTCTCCAAAGTAACGGGGTTTAGCTTCTCTCCATTGCTGAGCACAATCACATCATCCAGGCGACCGTGGTATCTCCACAATAAGTCATTGGATTCATGCTTTGTAAACAGATCCTTGGATCTATACTCTTTCAAAGTAGGAAAGGTGTGGAAGATACCGTGCATAAGGCGAGAATGTTCAGTGCGAGGAATGACAAGCTCATACGACCCATCTCCAATGGGTTGCATATCAATGTTGTATACCGGATTCCATTCAAAGTATCCCCAGTTGCCTTCGCCTTGGGGGACGAAGGAGTTGATGATGCCCATCTCACTAGAGCCAATGACTGTTCTCAATCCCGTGTATTGAAGCAACTTGTTCCCGATTTCTGGCGACAAAGGAGCGCCACCAAAGCAGACAAACTCAAGGGTACTGAGGCATTCGAGCGCTTCTTCAGATTGACTCATGTCCTCTAGAATAGAAGGTGGCAGAATTGTTGCAGTCGGTTTGGCCTCTCTTAGGATAGTGATAAGCAATTCAACTGAAAGCGGCCTATCCGGACTGGCCACGAAGGGGATATTGTGAAAGATAGACTCGAAAAACGAAATCAGACCCATCAGATGAAAATACGGAGTGCTTGAGAGGACCAAATTGGCCGGGCCCAGATGATTGAAGAAGGATGGCTCCCGACCTTCAGGGCGAGGGACGTGTGGCGCGTTGTCCCATGTACTGAGGAAGCCGTGGGTAAGGTGAACAGGTTTAGGCATTCCTAAGGAACATATGTTAGCGTTCAAAAAGACGTTGCAAAGAAATACGATATTTGTTGACTCCATACCGGTTGTTCCAGAACTGTGGATCATGAAGGCGACTTCATCTTCAATTTCTTTGAAGGTCTTTTCAAATGGATAGTGATCCAGGCCACAGATATCATCAAAGATTTCACTTACTCCGGGCACCACGACCGAATCAATTGTTACGCATTCATTGATTTCCAGTAGTCTTTGAAGCTTCTCGTGACTGAATAGCATCTTGGTAGAGTTTGTCACCCCAAGCACATTGGCGTAAGCTTCATTTGACAGTCGAGTTGAAGGAAGGAAAATCTATATCCCTAGTCAGTTTTCATCAATTGACACAAAAACGAATACATCATTGAGATATTAGCTCCCCTTACTGTATAGCCCAGTTTGTGCGATGCAAGCATAAGTACGATATACCGAACATCATTGTTCCCCAAGTACGCAATGGTTTCTCCCTGTGTTGGTTTCCCAATGTTCTTCTCCATCCACCATGACATGGCATTTACTGCTCGGGCCAGATCGCGAAATGTGATCTCTCGAAAGCCATCTTCAATTTGACCACTTCGGGGAATCAAGCCGAATCTGCGCCCAGGGTCGGATTTTGCCAGAAAATCTACTTCTGCTGCGAGTAGCTTTCGAGACGGCTTTAAAAAGGCATTGGTCACGCCAACCATGGTTGTTTCGAATATTCTAACCTTGGAGGTTCCGGCAATGAAGGGAAGATGGAAGACTGTGGTTTGCTTTGTGTAGAAGACTCAATTGACCCATCTTGCCCAAATATTGATATATGGGTGCTGGATTTTATACTTTATCCCCAGAGTGAGCGATTTTTCAAAATGTTGGATCTCCATTTCGTACCTCCGATTGATAGGGAATTCATCCGGAGTGCACAAATATCGCACAACAGACACAAGTGCCAATATGGTGTGTTGAGTGGGCTTGCCTAATATCCAAGATTAGTTGCAAGGTGGGGGGGGGAGGGGAATCAATCGGACTTGAAACACACAATCCGGCCTTTTCAACTTGATGAAGAAGGGGGAACATGAACAACCTTGGGAAGATGTGCATAAATCAAATTCGGACTGCATGATGGTCGGTAATGTTGATAAATAGTATCTGTCAACATTATATTGATTGGCTACTAAAGTGTGAACCTGATCTTTGCAAATGCCGCGTTTCCCGATTGTGGATTCACTAAGATAAGAGGAGATTCCAGTTCCTTCTGACGCGATAGCCACATCATTTGATCTTCAAAGTGGTTAGAATGTTGCCAAGTCACCTCGGACAAGAAGCTTTTTAAGGTCGAAAGAATAATGTTCAAGTGCTGGAAGGGTATGGCGGGAAGGCCCGGGAGTGGCTGAGTACAAGACTCCTGCTAAGTATTAAAGTGGACATCAATTGATTGTGGCGGTCTAGTCCAGATGTCCCAGGCTGCTTAAGGGTGGCTCACCCATCCAGCTGTGCAACATTTCAGACATTTGAATGCGAACGATGATTTCTGATGTCAGCAAGGGCATTGTCTAGAGCCAAAGTTCTCTTTCGAATGGAAATAAACAAAATGCACATGTGGGTCACCGTACGACGGGAATACTACTTGAGTATAGCCTTGAAAACTACATATTATTTCATGCTATAACGAAAAGACAATATGTTTAGTAGGGAATGCATGTTAACATAATGCAAAAAAGTAGCAGGAATTGAAAATCTCAAGGCGGCCTTCTCACAGTGCTGACAGAGTGCATCCCCGAAAAGTATTCAAAGTTCTTCCTGTGCGCAGAGTTCATATGATCCCATTCCTAACATTTGAACTACGCCACGTAATTGTATGAATTGTCAACTCTTTCCATGTAGTCTCTCTCAATCAATCTAGGAGAACATGGTCAGCGAACGTGTGTTTGAAACATTTTGAAAATAAAAGATAACAAGGAGACGCAGGAACATACTTGTTGATATTGATCTTGATATCTGGAGGCTGGAGCTGACCTCTGCTAAGAGTAGCTTCGATAACCTCCGCAATTAATTCGGCGTGTGTGATGGTCTTTCGGCTCTTCATGATACGAACGATTGCCGCCTGGGTTTCGAAATGCCGGTCTGCTGCCACTCGCTCGTGGGTGGTCGTGTTTTCCTCCTTCGTTTCCTTCAGTTGGACTTGATTGATCTTGATCCGCATCTTGGCGTCAGTGAACCCGGCATTGTAGCTGAATTCGTCTGTTGTTTCCACTTCTTTGCCTTTGGGCTTCTTGATCAGTACGCGGTATTTGGCGCATGCCAGAGATTGCAGGGTTCGCTTCAATTCCGGATCCGCTGTGGTACATGATTAGTCTCATTGTGTTCTGGCACTTGTGGAATTTCAATTTGACTAGCTTACTCAGTCCCGTTATCTCTCGAATCTCTTCGTAGCGCAAAGGCTTGGCCTCGGCTTCATTAAATAGAAGCAGCACAATTGCCTGGAAGGAACTGACTACTAGCTCCTTATCTCCCTTCGGGAACCGAGCTCGTAGCTGACAATGCGCCAATTGGTGCTTCCAAGTGAGCTTGCGGCCAGTATGCTTATTATGGTAGAACTTTTCAAAGCTGTGGAGCGCTTTCAGAATGCTTGGTGGGACCTGGACAGGAACGTCCGGGTATGTTGGCCACGACGCCGCAGAGAGCACGCTGACGTTCAAATCCATAGGCACACGCTTTTCGCGAGTGAGCTGTTTTTGCATGGAATTATAAGCGGTCATCTCATCGCGTGCGACGTCCATGTCTTTAAACATTGATTCAAGGTTATGGGTGAAGGCCGATCCGCATTCTAAGAAAAAAGGGGGGAAGGTCCCAAGTTAGAAAAGCACAACGGAAAAATCTTCAAATATGAATGCATACCTTTCTTCAATAGAATCAGCATTTCTTTCTCAGCCTCATCACTTGCACTTCGGTTCATCAACAGACGACGGGCAAGATCGTTCTTATAGAATGCTTCAAAGACTGCCTTTCCATGCACAAATCGGAACAAGTCCAGGACTTGATCAAGCTGTCGTCGCATTTCAGAAAATGAGTCGTCCAACGGCGCATCCACTTGACTAGGTGGTAGCGACTTCAATCCACCCTTTAATAGCCGATCGACGTATTTGGCAATCATTTCACCAGTCTTCGGGTTATCAGTACCACCCGCAGATTCTAACTTCTTACTCATATTCATGAATCGACCGAAGGAGTCCCGTAGGGTGTTACTTAGGTCTATGTTCCCGTTGAACGAATCAGACCAGGTTTCATCGAGCTGCTGTTTGAACCGAAGTAACCGGATCACCATGACTGCTTCTTGATTTTCATCAAACACAATATTGGAGCCTTCCTCCAAGATGAAGCTTCCAAATGCCGGTTTGAGTTTGGTACCGAGATCTTGCCGATTGAGCAGACCGTACAGTTGTTTTAGAGCAACCTTGTTCCCTGATCGCATCAATCCAACCACCTCGCTTTCTTTGAGAAGGACGTCCACATGCTCGACAACCAGGGACTGATCCAGAAGTTGGGACAGTTTCTGCTTCGTACTCCGATTGAGAGAGAAGGATCCACATCGTTCTACTTCACGCTCGATTAAATTGTGGCTGTTCTCAACATATGAGGCAAGGGGCTTTTCCGACTCTTCTGCGGCCCATGCATTCACATATCTTTTGGTGTTGGCGATAAATAGTGGCTCGAAGTCGCTGCTGTAAACGTCAAGGTTGTGGAAAAGCTCCATAGCAGACTTAAGAAGACTCTTGTCTGGCATGATACTAGTCTCCGCTCCTCGATCAACAGATATGAGGTCATAGGCGCCTTGCAAAATCTTAGGCTTGAGACTTTTGTCGGCGAAGACATACGACCGGAATTGGATGAGCCCCATTTCATGGAGCACTGGAAATTCCTTTGAGTGCAAAAGGAAGGACTGGTCAAGGTAGTAGAACACCCAACGGACCGTAATCTGTGCTCTAACGTCAACTCACGAACCGCCCATTTCGCACGATGGACCAGCAACTTACTAGTTTTGAATGCCAAGAGGACCATGCTTCGATCACTGCCCGCAATATATCGACGTCTGTCCCACCTCCTGCCCTTGTCACCAGGTTATCACGCAGTTTGCCCGCAACGTAGTCCTTGCACCGGCCCTGGACCTTTTTCGCCAATAGGGTTGCGCGATCCTGTCGACAAATGTTCTCGGCGCCCTTGTAAAGTTCCTCCAATGAAATATTTGGCTTTCTGTCTTCGAAGACATCCGACAAAGCCCCATCAAGTTGTGCCCATATCTTGTCAAAGTATGATTCGTGGTTCACTCGAGGTCCAGTACGAAGGTTCTTGACGACAAGCTTTTTGGGGCCGACAGTTGGGCTAAAGTTGTTCTGGCGATTATTCATCGCATTCAACGAGGATGATTTCTCTGATGAACTGTGAGATACAGGCACAGCTCTGACAAAAGCTGCGCCGTTCTTGGGTGGAGACCCAGCGAAGTTATACATCTTATTGGGCGAGACTGTGTGGACTGGGGACGAGCGTGAGGGGGAAACGGAGAAGCGAGAACGTTTGGAGGTTGGGGAGGATTTCGTTGGCAAAGAGTCGTGAGAGCGTTTGGCTTTTGAAAGAAGCTCAGAGAGAGTTCTTTGCGATGGTGGCTGCGATGGCTCTCCTTGATCAGAAAGCTTCCTCTTGCCGATCGATTTGCGCTTACCGCTCCTCTGGTCGGGGTCGCCGCTCGACTGCATCTACCCGGTTCGGTCCGACTATGGAGAGAAGCACTTATCAAGGGAGGGTTTGTGATGATGGATCGACCATTGCCGGGCCTAGGCGGAGAGGCGCGGATTCGGGTACTGGCTTGAGGGGAATTAACGTCTGCTTGTGAACTTGGCTCCGCACGGCGATAAGATACGGAGCTTAAGCACGTTTCTGTTGCCTGGATGCCTGAAATTGTTCCAACGTTGAATAGCTTCAACATTTGTTTCTCACTTGCAGAACTGATTCAAGTGACGCTGAATTAGGATTGGTGTAAACATTTGAGAATTAGCTCCGAGTCTATTTCCAGTGTTGGTTTACCAAATAGATCATAGATTAATGAAAATGAAACCTGGTCAAACTACATATTCCAAGGCTTACGTGTTGATTCCAAGGACCACAAGAGATATTCAATGTTCGTAAAAATGGAATGTTGTTAAATGGGACTTAAAAACGCTCAATCACTGAAAAACAGCCTACACTCCAGGGCCCCGCCTACCTATGTTATGTTACATATTCATGCCCGATGCTTCGAAGGTTTGATTTCTCCCCGGGATATCACAGGTGTGTGGTACTCAGGTAGCTCCTGGACATGGATGCTCACGACCCTCTGATACCATGTTCATGAGAACAAGCCAGGTCGAACAGTCTGCTGGGCCTCTGATTCTTCAAACTCGAGGTAGTCAGAGGCCGTAACAAGTGCCATAAAGGACTTGACAAGTTCACACAGGGCTTCCTGGTGGCCAGCTGGGGTATCACCCCCAATCTTGGCAAACCGTTTGAACACTCCGACCATGCATGGCCGGTTCTCGGCGATGAAAGCCCGACTTTGTGCCTTGATCTGCTCATTATGGACACCCCGAGAGAAGACCGCAGATACGATGACACGGATCACAGATAGAAGGAGATCGTAGAACTTTCGCAGAGAGTCGGGATTGTCGATATCTGATTAGGTTAGTGGATGTAAAAGGTAATATCAAAGTAAGACAAGGGCAAACTGACCGATACCAATGTCTGGATCAGCTGTGAACAACTGTGACTCTCGTACGGACTCGAAGAGACCGGATTTAAGGACAACAATCGCACCATTCTTGGTCTGAGAAAGAAGCTGGAGCAAAGCTAGCAGGGATTCGTAAAATTCCAATAGACCGGGGGTATCTAGACGCAGCACGGATGAGTATTATAGACCAAAAGATACCATGCAAACTGATATAAAAAACAACTTACCGGTCGCTGAGCTATTGCGTAGTTCATAGGGTAAAGACCTAATGGCATCTAGGAAAAGGCTGAGATAATTGGACTGTGACATCAAATCTGCGAGAACACAATCGGTGCGACTGTCCAGAACCGCCAAACAGTTCAGAAGAAGTAGAGCGGCAGCTCGACAAGCCTCTTGACCAGTATACGCATCATCACAGATGATCTCGACAAGTCCAGGCCCAGCTGTCTTAATAACTTGTTGGCTATGCCGCTGCAGGCCGTCGTGAACCGACTCAGATGATGTGATACGGGTGATGTAGTGAGAGCAGATTCCGTAGAGAACTTCCCTCAGCGACACATTCCCTGCGGCTAATGTGATACCTCGCATAGAGACTTGGAAGAGTTGGTGTAGCTTCTCGTCGATGAAATCCCCGCTCTGTGATCCAGGGGTCGCGGAAAGATCAGATGCGAGTTTTCCGATGAGTGTTTCTGCCAGCCGAGCTAGCTCGATCGCCTCTGGCGAGTCACCCTCAATAGAAATCTCCAGCTTAGGAAGAATGAGCTGAATGGCGTGGAGGATGAAAGTTGGTCTGTTCGAGTCGTCCAGCACAGAGCAGCTGACTATGGTGGTGACAAGCTCCGCCCAGGAACGGAGAGCGAGATATCGGTTTTGCTGGATTTGGCGAGATTGATTTGTCGCGTGGATAATCATCTTCAATGCATCAGCCTCCTTGTGAAATAACTCTTCGTCTTGAGATCGGAGGATTCCATTGGCAAAGATCCTTGCCTTCTCAATTTGTACCAGTTCATCGAGCTCCGCGATATTATAGAGAACGAATGAATCCCCGTTCGTCTTAGCGCAAACGGACAAAGGAATTTTATCAAGCAGCTGCAAATCTGGCAGCTCAAATTCACGAGCGATTTCAAGATCAGCGAAGTCAAAGAGATCAAATACAGAGTGAGTTCTAATGGATTCGCCATTCTCCAGAACAGAGTCGCCAAGTAGGGTTGAAAGGACGTCTGCTTGAAGACTAGGTGATCCGACCTTGGCCACCGCACGAATTTCAGTCGCAGCATAAGCAAACAGATGGCTTCGGTAAAGCAGATATTCACCCAAAGCAGATGCAGCATCGGTCAGCCAGAACTCATCCGACACCGGCGAACAGCCATGCCAGGGAGTGTTAGGACCGACAAGGGTTTGTTCAGAGAACATGTGCGGTAAGAACCCGTCGATCCGCAACTCAGCAAGAGTGAAGTATGTTGCGAGTTTCGAAGACCAGAGGTGCCTTAGAACCTCAAAGGCAACGCGTTTGAGATGAACGGTCCATGATACAATGGAACCATCCAGTTCATCGGGGTAGTCTCGTAAGAAACCAATGATGGCATGTAAAAGAGACGATCGCATTGCAAACAGGCCTTCAGATGGCACATCGAGCATATTTCCAACAGAGCTGAAGCCTAGTAGAAGATGTGCTACTGTGGGACGGTCTGTGATCACTCCAAGACAGCTGTTCAATAAAGCCAGTAAGCTTTCTCGAATAATATAACCAGCTGCCTCGGCCCCACACTCCAGTTCTCTCTCATCCGGTGCCATTTGCGCCACAAGCGAACGGGATATGCTGTCAATGTCAACTTCACTAGCGAGGACCTCCACGATTTTGTTTGATGATTGCCATCGAGAAATCTCCGGAGACGACATTTTGTTGAGCTTGCGAGAGCTTGAAAGCTTTTCCAACAATGTCATGGATGTGACAGTAAGTTGCTGATGTCCCGTACCGCAATACAGACACAATGCAGACACAAGACCCAGGTTATTCAACACACTATCTTCAAAAGAAGAAAGAGACGAGTTTGCAACGTTGACCCTATTTGCTGCAGAGTTCGACTTGACCATTGGCTTGACAATGTTGAAATAAGTGGATTGTAGATCCAGGATCAAATTCATCACCTCGATGGTACGAAGAAGAGTCGACACGACAACGGAATTTGACGATTCCTGGGCGATCTCTGTGACATCCCTGTTGCTGTTGGAGAACAAAGCTTTGAGAACGTCTTCATTGAAAAGCCACTCCATGACGCGAGCAAAAGGGTGAAGTCGAACGTATGTAGCAAGGGCCATAGTGGTTGCTGCAGAATCAGAAGCGTGTGATGGCTGGCTGAGGACTGTAACGAGATCCTCATTGAAGCTCTGTAGACATGCTAAAATAAAGTCCATGCAGTTATAAGTTAAAAGCCTGGACTGATAATCGTTGAGCTCTTGGATCTTCCGAGAGACAGCATGTCCCAGAATGAAGTCAATATAAGGCTCAACGCCTGGCATGCGATAAGCCGAGCCCAATAACTCAGGGAAAGAAAGCGATAGAGGATTATCACTCAAGTCGAAGGCCGGGGTGATCAACGAATTGATAAGACCGACGAGTGCGTTCGTTTGGTCAAAGCTTTCGCCGATCATCTGTAAAGCCTGCTGTTGGCGCCATACGCCCTTGGAAACACTAGGAACTTTGCCAATACATAAGGAGGCCAGGAGCTCGCTTGACAAATGCTCATCGACCCGAAGCCACATATCACTTCCAGAAGCAAAAGTCTTGTCAGCCATCAACGCCGAGAGCGTGGTAAAGGTTGTCGCTCTGAGATGTGACGGGATGGGCCCACTGCATAGCTTTAAAAGGGTGTCAATGACAGTAAAATTCGGATTCTGCAACATCCACTCCCGAATAGTCGCACTTTGCTTGCACAAATGTCCGATGAGACGAAGGTAGCAAGTCAACATGACAGGGCTCTCGGGCTCACTCATGTCCACGGGCTCAGACTTTCTAGCCCGTACCATATTCCCTTGCTGGGTGGTAACACTTTGTGGCTTCTCCGTCACCCGGTTGGCATAGAGACGCAATTCGGCAAACATTTGCATCCAGTTCATGGTTGTTGACCGTTTCAATTTAGAGCCCATAAACTTGTCCTCCTCTGACAGGAACCGATGCGCGGCAGCAGCATTTTCCTCGCCCTCAGAGATAGAGCAGAGCATCTCGCAGAAGGCACTGACTCGAGGAACAGTCTGACGCTTAGAGGCCCATTGGAGAAAGCCATAAAGATTGCCATCGGGATCGGCCCAGAATTCCTGTGCAGCATCCTGCCGATGTTCAAAAGAGAATGAAATTATCATTAAGAGGGATTCGAGGTGAGTTCGTGCTTCAACTAAGCCACGGTGGAGACTCGATGTCAGGCCATCCCTCAAAGCAGTGATTTGATCTAACCTCTGAGTGTCTTCCTCTGACTTGAGCAACCGAACAGCATCCGGCATGTTGGCAATGCACGACTCCACATAAACCTCAAAGTTTTCCATCAAAAGCTCCTTCATGTAGTCGTTGCAAGAGTCGACCTCGGGTAAAGTAATGACGCTTTCTCGGAGTAGCAGCGCTACTAGCTCAGTTCGTGCTGGATCAGCCCACTCTTCACTGTTGATGGTAGAGCAGATGGCCAGCATGAAATCAAGGGCGCCATCGTCAAGGGCAGTCATAAACATCTTCGTGCGTTCCCTCGCTTCCTTTTCCAAGTCAGCACCTGCAATGGGCGAGGATGGTCCATCATCAAAGTACCACCCGCTGAAAACTGACAGCCAGAGTGCAATGATAGCAGCATGGAAGGTGGGTAGCTTCCAGGTTTGACCGTCTTTAGCAGCGGTGACAAGTGTATGCAGACTTCGAGCCTCATCCTGTGATCCAGATCCCTCTGGGGATCCATGCTGAACGAAAGATGCGATTGCAACGGGGATGTAATGAATCAATAGGCCATCGAAGCGCTCCAATTTCTTCAACAGTGTAATGAGGATGCGGAAGTCCTCTGCGCTTGTGTACGTGCCCTTAAATAGGTAGAACAGAATGGCGCCCAGGGATTCATGTTGTTGGTGCAGACTACGGCGCTGGTATTCTATGGCTTCCATGACATCGCGATCTTCTCCTTGGCCGATGACCGAGACTCTCTGGGTTTGTTCCGCAAGAAGTAGTATCCATGTCTGGATGTCGCTCATGCTCTGCATACACTTCCTTAAGTAAACAGAGGCGTTCTGCATGGTGTTGTTCTTCACCTCCAAGATCTCGGAGAGAATGTCATGCAAAAGAGTTGAAGTTTGCTCTCGTTCCACCTCATTTGCTTCGCGGAAAATGAGGCGCAAACATTCGAGGAGGAAAGACCGCCGCTCATGGAATCGCATAATGGCAGTGATCAAAGGCGACCGATCCAAGATCAAAGAATCCTCCTGTGCAGTGTAGAATAGCTCCGCCGCATGTAATTCGTCGAGATTTAAGGCATCGGCCAAGTGTAGCGCGCCCTGCTGGAATTCATGATTGATTTCGTGAGGTATACCGGCAACCGTGATCTTCCCTGAATTATAGAAGCTTGGGTCAGTATGTTCCACATATGGGATAGGAGCAGGATTTGAAAACTCAGGTACGACCCACCTGAGAGTACTTGTTGACGACTTGTATTGTTTTTGGTGGGCTTTTCTAGGAGTTTTCGGAAGTCTTCAATGTGGGCATGCAATTCATAAACCAGGCGGTCAATGTTGCCCAGCGAAGAGTCCGAGATGGCGGAGAGATCCTGGTACAAGCCTCGAAGGCCGGCCAGGTTGTTGGTGAGCTCTGCCATGACAGCGCGGGGTGTAGGTACCTAGGATAGGAAACGGGAGCTTCACAGCTCTGTTTGTTCCAGAAAGGCGGAACGCGATTAAAAATCCCGGGCGGTGATCGCCAGTTCTGCCGCTCCACAAAACCACTCTTTACACCGTCGCGATCGCGTTCCTGGATTTCGAAGATGGAATAATAGAAGGGGAGTTTTGGTGCCAGCGGGAAGATGGTTCAGGCCTGTCAAGATTCAAAAGACTACCGCACCTTTAAAAACCATGGGGGAAATATTTTTGAACAAGGCCCTCGGGTTTTTGTCGTCAGATAAGCAGAAGGACCGCAATGAAGGCCTGGCAGGTTTGTTGCTTTCCCACGGTTATCTTGCTATTTATGTGGTTTATTGTTGACAAAATGTCCAGATCTGAAGCACATTCTGCAGCAGAATAAACAAAGCTCAAAGCTGTAAGAAACGACCACACCTGTGTGCGATGAGACCATAGCTAATGTACCACCGAATGCCAGACTGGACCTCAACGATAAAGCCTGTCACAGAATCTTTGAATGCTTGTTTCGATTTGTCGCGCTAGAAAGACCATCTTACAACCGTGCCCAAAAATCGAATTCCAAGAGCACTTCTAGTACCCGATTGTCAACATGCGCGTCAGTGCTTCGGATTGCGGTCGATACCTTTTTGCGAAACCTAAGAACCAAAACTGTCCGTGCGATAATTGACCATATCGTTGAAACTATACCAATTCCTGGAGAAGGCCTATGGGAGCTTTTAAGTGTGGACTATACGAAAAGCCTGGCATCTCTGCTACGCCACTCTCCCCACACCGAGCACCTGGGGGACACAGAATGGAACACACTCGTGGATTTCTGCCTTGCAGCTATCAAACTAGAAAATGGTGGCGAGAGTCAGCTCAGCATCCGCAGTGAAAATCTTTCTACCCCCGAGGAGGCCCTGGATGGTACTAACGACAGCCTCTCAACCTCATTCAGAATGACCCCGACCCAAACTCATAAAGATAAATATGTCGGGAATAGAAATACTATCGAGGAGATTGTAGCCTGCATGCAGCTGCTGACTGAGAGTCCCAGTGCCCCTGTGCAAGCTGCAGCCGACAACATACTACTGGGTCTGGTGGATTTCGTCAAGTCGCCATCCATAATGGCTGGAAACGCACACCAGCTCGCATTCAGTAGCATTAATACAGTCGTTAGGAAAGTCATGTTCGATCAATCCGAACTCGTCCGATCATCTTTGTTGGAGTTGATCCCGGTAATTCGACGTCTTTGGTCCACTAAATTCCACAATCTGAAAGAGGAGCTCCTTGCTACCTTGATGCTGTCTATGGCAATCTTGGTCGATTCGATAGCAAAGAAACCCACTGAATCTCTTTTGCGCTCGATGGAGAGATTGGCCGATTCATTGCATTCTGAGTATGTGAAGCGACCCGAGAAAGGTCAGTTGCAAATCGACGAAACTGTCCTTTATTCAACGACAGTGGACGATAAACTATCAATCTATGGCCCTCGATTCGGAAACTCTCGCTCAGAACATAATTGGACGGTCTTATGGGTCATTGCGAGCCTTTTGAAGCTTTTAGAAACTGTTGCGAACCAATCACCGGGCTGCGCATTAGACGATGAAGCATCACACAAAAGACAACGTGTCGATTCTGCGATGGAAGACATTCTTCGGGACGCTACATCAGCAACAGGTGCACGAAGGATTTGTGCATTGCAACTGATTCCATTTCTTGAAATTGACATGGATGTTGAAAGAAAGGAGGCCATTACGCAGCGACTGATGCCTCATATCCTTGATGACAATGTGACAGTCTCTTCTTGGACTATGTTGGCACTGACTAGGTACATAAAATGCTCATTTCAATGCTTTTTGCTCAGCTAACCGGACAAACTCCATAGTATCGCAAGGGGCCCTGATGCGAGACTGCCTATTTTCAAGGTCCATTGGCAAAGCGCAATAGATCTCACAACTCGTTCATTTTCTTCATCTGGCACATCGCGGGCCGCCTGCAAGTTGACAAGCTCGATCTTGGAAGCAGACTTGTTGGACTATCCGATAGCGACGGAGGCTGTACGGTCGTTGCTCTCGTCCTCTAATTTCAGTGGACCTTCTGCTATTTCTGACTCATCCCTGGAGCTTTGGTCATTGATTGCACGGCGAAAGACGCAACTGAACCTTAGCTCAATCCAGAATTCCTCCAGGCAAATTTGCAATTGGTTGAGAGATGTTTGGTCAATTGGTATGCATTCAAAGATCGCACCGCTCTGATCTTCTATGACTTACTTTATTATTCAAGGTGTCGTAACAGACCGGCTTCAAGCAGCTAGTCTCGCAATGTTTGCCCGTCCGCTTGATTTGCTTAATTTGTTCTTGGCATGCACAAACCGCGCCTTTGATCTTCCGTGCCACCCACAAGCAGGCCAGTCGAGCAATATTGCAAAGACCTGGTATTTCTTTCACGAAAACCAAAAGGTTCTAGAGTACATTTTCAATGTTGGGGTCTCCTTTAGAAACTGGGGACTTTGGAATCGAAACCCCACTTGGCGTTTAAAGTGTCAGACTAGGGCGGAGCCTGATGATGCGGTTATTATAGAGCTCCTCCGGTCAAAATCGCAAGCCTTTCTACAAATGTGGAAGATGTTGACCGAAGATAAGTTATACCATGTCACTGCTGATCTTCTCCAAATCTCAGCTTCTTTCTGCATTGTCTTCAGTCTTTATGCGGCGTGTCTTCCCCAGCAACTAGTGCCAAAGATACAAGACATTCGGGAGAATTGTGAGACCCTATGGTATGGCATATGTGACCTCCTGGCAGCAAAGGGATCCAACTTTATGCATGCATGCCTTGAACTCCTATTGCCTATACTTCCTTCTGTGGCGGATACCGACCCCCAGTCCGCTGTTTGGATTGGCCTTTCTCCGCTTGTCATACCCCTTTCCAGTGTACTTGAAAGCCTGCGCCAGAGCCAGAAAGAACATCGATCCATCTCCAAGGATTTTATGGACTTGGATGATCAACTGACATCAGCTGAAGAAGAACAACATGCTGAACAGGTCATACTCTCTTTGAATCGAGAATACGTCCCTCTGTTTCCCGATATTGTTTCTTTTCAGCGCTGCTTGACAATTCAACTCTCTCTTTTGCTCAGACTACAGCCCGAAAGCCCGCACAACGAGCTATCGAAACACTCGAGCCTGGCCGAGTACCTGGTCAGTCTAGATCAATCAGACCTCTTATCTGCACGCCACGTTCTACCCAAGGCTTACCAAGCCTGCTTACAAATGGGACGAGACAACGTACTACAGGTGATTGAAGACATTGGAGAAAAATGTCTTCAGTCATATGAAATGGAACGTTGTGAAGCATCTCACGGCCTTTGCATCCATATGATGGCTGGACTTGTTGCATGCTGGACAGACAACCAGAGCGATAACTTGCATCAGTCAGCCATGGATCTGTATGGGTGGTTCATGAAAGCCCTCCTCGCTCGTAAAAGAGCGTCTCCCAGGACTTACATCATACTTTCTGAATTGATACAAGCGGTTCTTGGTACAAGCCCTGTGTACGGAAGCGAACAATCGCTTCCGTCACCGCGGACCAGTTTATTTACAATACTAAAGGAAGGGGATGTCCAAGTCAAATTTAGTGTTGCCAATTATATTCCAACTCTTTTTGAAAAGTATCTTCTGAAGGACCATGATGCAGTATTCGAGGATGTGCTGGAAAGTCTTCCCAGAGATCCGGACTGGATTGAAGGAATTGCACTTCGTCTGTTTGCCTTGTCCCTGTTGGCCTCCCAATGGCACACTCTGCTACGCAGAAGCGTTTACCATATTTTCGAGATTCCAGCTAATGTGCCACTCTCGCTGGACTATGCTCGCAAATGTATCAAGTTTGTTTCGAAGACCCGGGGGTTGGAAGACGGGAGACAGCTGTTCCAACTGTTCGCATCCCAGATACTCTATACGTGGACAGAAACTCAACCAATTACTTCAATGCCTTTCAGCATCTTTGGATACGGAAGTCTCAAAGAGATGTTCGTTGATGCTAAAGAAGAGCTCGTTGGACAGATGGTGATGCGTGCCAAAGAGTTTGAAATACAAGAGCTTGCAGATATTCTCGAAGAGCCTCATCTCAAGCTCTTAGAAACATCGTTCCACAAAGCCGAGGCTTATAGTATTGCTCGTGATATTAGCCTTCCACCAGATCAGGGAAGCCAGTCGCAGGGTATGGAAATCCGACTGAGAAGACTGCTCGGAGCCGACGGATTCATGGCCCAAGTGGAATACCAGTTCCCTCAAATAATAGCCAACCTTTTCAAGGCGCTTGACCAGTGCGATTCAATTGAACGAGAATACGGAAAGCGATCTGCTTTCTGCTATGCGCTTGATATCCAGACTCGAATTGCCAGCGCATGCAATTCTGTGACTTCATTATCTGCAAACCAGCAGCCATCATTTCGAGCTCGCTACCTTTTGGACGAGTTGGAATTTATTTGCAAGCGTGCAGGATTCGAGGTTGAGTCAATATGGACACCGCCCTTAGTCTCGTTCGTGTGTCGATCCCTGTTGGAGTCAATCCACCCTGCTTTGGGATCGCTTCATACGTGTTCTGTGATTCGAAAAATCAGAATTCTAGTTTGTCTTGCCGGCCCGAGAATACTGGAGGATTACCCATTCGAGATGGTATTGCATGCCTTGAGACCATTCTTGATGGATATTCATTGCTGTGAAGATGTTTTGGGCATTTTTCAGTATCTTCTTGATGCAGGAAAGCCATATTTGATGCGCGCTCCTGGATTCATGGCAGGTATTTGCATGTCAACACTAGTCTCACTTCGGAAGCTTTTTGCATCATCTCCTGAGAGCACAACACAGGAAAGTCAGTTTAGAACAGTGCTTTCAAGCGCGAAAATGTTTTACCAATGGCTCTGTGATTTGGTCAAAAACTACGATTCTTCTGGTTTGAGTACATCTAGCCAGAAATCCTTCTCACAACTTCTAAAACTTGCACAAGACTTTTCAGTCCTCGAAAATTTATCGAATGATCAAAATGATAAAGAGTTGGTCTTCGAGGTGCTGAAAGACCGTGGCTCTGTAAAGCCCTTGTTGACTAAATCCATTGGTGACAATGTGCTATCCTTACTCTGTCCTGAGATCAAGCGAACGTTGAACAAGGATGATGTGCATCTTGACCCAAAATCCCATGTCGTTTCCCTGTGGCACACTCTTGATAGATTTGACAGTGGACCCGAGTATTCGTTGTGGGCAGCTCGACTTATCGGACGCTCGTTTGCTGCTACGGGCAAGATAGACGAAAGCTTGCTAAGAGAACAACAGCCGTCGTTCTTTGAAGCATCCGACAAACACGAGCAAATTGACAATTACTGTCAATCCAAGGCTACGATCCTCCAAATTCTCTGCGAGAAGCTGCCTGCCAACAATCATGTGGAAGCTGGTCTGATTGAACGTACACTGCAACTCATTCTCAACAAAATCATCGAATTTCCAGACTTCGAAGAATGTACAGAGGTGATTCCCGAGTCCTTGATGAAAGCTCTTATTTGGGATCCATACTCCTGTCCTGATGTTATTCTTTCGAAATCAGAGCTCGAACTTTGTACCAAAGCAACCGCAAGCGTCTCCGAGCTTCTTGTGGGTGACTGGGCTCGTAATGCTTCTCTTTCTTTGTGTAATGTTTCTTTGGATGATCCGGTAGTTGGTCCTCTGCGCAAGGTTCTTGTCGTGATCCCTGGACTGGCTGTGCAGTTGTTGCCGTATATCGTTCATGACGTTCTACTTGCAGAGAAAGATAAGAGAGGCCAAATTCGTCAAGATATCTCTGACGCTTTCAAAAGAATTCTGCAGAAGGTTGATGACGAGACGATGCCTCACGCTCGGAGCGTCATTAATTGTATCCTCTACCTTCGCAATCAACCCGTGCCAGATGAGTCAACCATCGTCGATCGGGATTGGTGGCTAGATATCGATTTTGGAGAAGCTTCCTCAGCTGCGCATCAGTGTGGATTGCCAAAAACGGCACTTTTGTTTCTCGAAATCCAGACAAGTAGGGTCATTGCGGGGTCACGTCGCTCGTCCATCGTGAAATATGAACCGCCATCGGGACTTCTTCACGGCATTTTCAAGAATGTGGATGATCCAGACTTGTTTTATGGGATTCAACAAAGCTCCTCGTTGACCACTGTGGTGGAGAGATTGGAATACGAAAGCTCCGGATTCAAAAACCTTCTATTTCAGAGTGCACAATATGATAGCGAAATTCAGATATCCGGAATAGCCAACCCTTCTGGAGTGCTGAGAGCCTTGAACGATGCCAACCTGCAAGGAATTGCTAACAGTATGCTATCCACCGGAGGTGGAACAAATGAGACACTTTTGACTACCGATAATATGTTGCAAGGAGCAACGAGCCTGCAACAATGGGATGTGCCTGTATCGCCGTTGGACTTGTCGCCCTCGGCGACAGTGTTTCGTGCCTTTCAAAGCCTCAACACATCATCTTCTTTACCTGAGATGTTTGATTGCATCGATGACTGTCTTTTGAAGACATTAAACTCCTTAACCCATACTGGTCGATCTGCAATTCAGATCAGAAATACCATGCGTGCTCTAGGAATCGTGACGGAGATGAGCGATGTGATACAGTCAAGATCCCCCGACGAAATGGACTCCGAGTGGCAGCGAATTAAAGACAGCAGCAGCTGGCTGAAAACTGAAAGGTATCTATCTATACAAGAATGTTTCAACCGGCGCATGGGTGCTAAATTGACTAGTTATCACGAGGTTCGAGAAATTTTGAGTTGGCATGAGGCGTTGTTCTCGTCGATCAGGAAGAGTGATCTACTCAATTCGCAAACAAAGATGACCGTTGCACAAACACACCTTCTCGAAGCAAAAGTGTTCCGGGAGTCGCTCGAAATTACTAGGAAGCATGCCGTATCCCAAGCATCTTTGAAATCAGCCATTAGTCTCTCAAGACTATCCGAACTTTGTGCTACTCTGGGGACAAACATTGATGGCGTTACAAAGTTTGATCTTGCCAATGTACTCTGGGACCAGGGCGAGATGACTGCATCTATTCGAATGTTGCAACATCTCAAAGGCCAAGGTGAATTACACAAACAAGCAATTCCACTTACCCGCTCTGAGTTGCTTGTCACTTTAGTGAGTTTGGTTCGACTGCTCCTTTCAACTTGTTTTTCTAATCCAAGACCACTAGGGCCACCATGTCGCTGAAGCTCGCCTGGAGAAGCCGGATTCGATCCTTCAAGATTACCTATCCCCAGCAGTCAAAGAACTGAAAGGTGACGCGGAAGGAGAAACAGCTGGACGAGTGTACCACGGATTCGCAGCATTCTGCGACCAGCAGCTCTTGAATGCCGACGGCCTGGAGGACTTCAAGCGAGTGGAACAACTGCGAGACCGCAAAGAGAAAGAACTCCAAGGCCTGGAGGATATGATGAAAAATGCAGAGGGCCGAGAAAAAGAATCCCTTAAGATATTCCGTTCTAAGGCTAAGCAATGGTTTGATCTTGACGATCGCGAATACCAGCGCTTACTTCGAAGTCGAGAAGCCTTGTTACAGCAATGTCTTGAGAATTACCTGCTTGCCTTGAGAGAGAGCGATGCCTATCACAATGATATCCTTCGATTCTGTGCGCTTTGGCTAGACAAATCCGATAGCAAAATTGCAAATTCGGCTGTCTCAAAGCACCTCAGTGAGGTGCCCAGCTATAAGTTCGCCCCTCTTATGAACCAGCTCTCTTCACGCTTGCTTGATGTTTCTGATGACTTCCAGTCATTGCTGACAGGACTGGTTTACAAAATTTGTGTGGAGCACCCGTTCCACGGCATGTATCAAATATTTGCCAGCAGCAAGTCCAAAGGAGGAAAAGACCCATCATCTCACTCCCGATACCGTGCTGCAAATAATCTTGTGGATCGTTTAAAGAACGATAGCAAGATGGGATCTACCTGGGTGGCCGTTCATAACATGAACATAACTTACGTTCGCTTTGCAGTTGACAAACCAGATAGCAAGTTCAAAACAGGCGCCAAAATCTCTCTGAAAAAACTCCCCACCGGAGAGCGCCTTGGACACGATGCAGTTACGCACAGACTGCCTCCACCGACTATGAAGATTGAGCTCCGGCGAGACCGGGATTACAGCCAAGTTCCTATAGTCGCTAAATTTTCCAATGAATTCACCCTCGCATCCGGTGTTAGCGCACCCAAAATTGTGACAGCCATAGCAACCAATGGCGTACATTATAAGCAGCTGGTAAGACTGCTGGTCTCCCTTTTAACCGTCAATTTACTAATACCATTTTTAGTACAAGGGAGGAAACGATGACCTTCGTCAAGACGCAATTATGGAGCAAGTGTTTGAACAAGTGAGCAGCGTCCTGAGTGTTCACCAGCCAACTCGACAGCGAAACTTAGGAATCCGCACATACAAAGTGCTGCCATTGACCCTCAATGCGGGTATCATTGAATTTGTACCCAATACGATTCCATTGCACGATTATCTGATGCCTGCACATCAACGCTACTTCCCCAAGGATATGAAGCCCAGTGCCTGTCGGAAACACATTGCCGATGTTCAGAGTCGATCAATGGAACAACGAGTCAGGACCTATCGCCAAGTCACAGACCACTTCCATCCAGTAATGAAATACTTCTTCATGGAGAAGTTCAACAACCCCGATGACTGGTTCAGCAAGCGACTTGCATATACCAGGAGTACTGCTGCAATCTCTATTCTAGGCCACATCTTAGGACTCGGTGACCGCCATGGACACAACATCTTGTTAGACGAAAAAACTGGCGAAGTGATCCATATTGACCTGGGTGTTGCATTTGAACAAGGACGCATTCTGCCTGTTCCGGAAGTCGTGCCCTTCCGACTTACTAGGGATCTTGTCGACGGGTTTGGAATCACCAAGACCGAGGGCGTCTTCCGGCGATGCTGTGAATTTACTCTGGAAGCACTTCGACAAGAGTCGTACAGCATTATGACCATTCTCGATGTTCTTCGTTATGATCCCCTGTACAGCTGGACTGTCTCACCGCTGCGGATGAAGAAAATGCAAGATGACCAGGAAAACGGAGATGGACTGCATGTTGTGCCGGGCACAACTGACAAATCATCAACGAACGAGCCCAGCGAGGCTGACCGAGCCTTGACCGTGGTTGCAAAGAAACTGAGTAAAACACTCAGCGTCACCGCGACTGTTAACGAATTGATCCAGCAGGCAACAGATGAAAGGAATTTGGCTGTCCTGTACTGTGGTATGTTCTATGTCCCTCCAAATTCTAATCCAATACCAAAAAATCTAACTTTTTCATGTCTCTAGGCTGGGCCTCTTACGCTTAATGAAACTCATGGTTTTGTATGCGTTGTTTATACACATTATCCGTTTTTACTGAGGTACATCGCTGGGACGAGAGTCAAAGGGATTTCCAATGCATGGATAGAATCCAAAATCTTTTCCGTTTAAGCATGTCCAAATTTATCAACCTCCAGCCCCGGAGCGCTCGGAAGTAGTAAAAATATCCACATAGACATCGACTGTGAGGTTAATATCGGTTAATCCATAGATCCAGGTTCAACCTTCGAAAGGTTGCGTCAACTTACCACCGGGGCACCCAAGCAATACAAAGTTGTCAGTGGGCAACAGTGTTCGAGCTAGTGTTCGAACCAAGCGCCATCTCATTCAATGTTAACTAGTTTTGAAAGACCTTCAAAGTAAAACTGTGAGCTATTCCAGACATCTCTTTTCTCTTTAATATGTACCAGCTGACCGTATTAACCCCCTTGTGTATTCCAAGGTTGTTGAAGTAAGAATAATATTTAGTATCGTTTGGTATAAAATCAAAAAGCGAGGTACAAAACACTTGGTCTTGTTTAGTCTTCATTTGCGTGGGTCATAATGCGATTCCCGGGTTAAATCCTTAGCCAGGCCCCGGTGGCGCAATTTGGAAGCGCATCCGTCTTATGTCACAATCCCTCACAGGAATTGGCATGCAAATGTCTCTAATAATATGAGCACGGAAGGTTCGTGGATCAAAGCCGCGCCGGGGCAACCTTTTTTTTCTATTCTCTCTTTTTTTAATTTTCCTTCTCTTCCCCTCATTCTGCCTGCCCACCCAAACAAAACAACTAAACTAAACTGACTTTACTGGCTGCCCAGATGCTAGAGCGCGATGGATTCGCATTTAGGAATTGCAACCCCCGCTCCGATCTGGAGAATATATTCATAATACCTTCCAAGAAATCCTTGGAGGAAGTGATCTACACTGTAGAACAGGAAAACGAACGGGAAAGAGGAGAGAAGAATGAAACTGTTTGTGGCTATTCTTCTCAATTCTTCTCAACTAGGGGGATGGAGGGAAAAGGAAGGAAGGAAAGGAGAGAGAAGCTCTCACTCTCCCCAAACTAGCTACCAATACCAACACGCGCTCCATCATGACCAGGAGCAGACCATGTGACCTCAGAAGTTATATGGTTTACTTCTCCTGAAAGGAAGAAGGTGCGGTCAATGACTATAGGAATCAGCATAACCAGTAGGTATTTTGGAAGGTGAATTAGGCGCCGTTAGACCCATGATGACATCTGGACATCTGATGAGGGCTGTTAGGTACTCAAGTGCTAGTATGTACTGGATGTAAATGACCTCAGAGGTAGCCCACATGTGCATCGATGATCTGCAAAACTGGAATATCGTCGTCAACTGGTGGTTTTCTACCTTCCTCGCACCAGAGCCAGCCTGCGGGTCATGATCGAGAACTAAGTAATTAAGCAATTGAAAGCGTAGAAAGATTACTGAGAGGTACCTTTGCCAGTAGTGAGAAATAATCTATGTCCCACTACCAGTAGGCTGAATGTGAAAGATTGAGACTTACTAGCTCTCATCTCCAAAGAAACCTTTGAAGGACGGTAAATAGAGTGGTTGACTGAAGAATGAAGATTTCATTACAATTTAGATCTTTCGTTCAAATGAAGTACTTGACCTAGATCCCAGATATCAAAATGGGTCAAAGAAAAAAAAGAGCAGAGATTCGTAATTCATAATCGTTATTCATAGAGCTAATACCCTTATAGAAATGAGGAACGCCGCCCGGGGTTGAGCCATTAATGTGATGCTGAAATAATGAGATGCTAGGGTAGTCCGACGGCGCTGAAATAATGCATATAAACGAAGAGTGAGGGATCAGATGTCAGTTGAGGGTACGGCAAGGCAATTTCTGGTCGTCACCATGAATTGGAGAGAAACGCCGCCCGGGGCTGAACCATTAATATGATGCTGAAATAATGCATATGAAGGAAGAGTGAGAGATCAGTTCTCAGTTGGTGGAACGGCAAGGTTTTTCCGGCTCGTCACCATAAATTGGAGAGGAACGAGGCTGCGGCGAGGGCCGGCGACTTCGTTTTTGGTAATAGGCTTTCGGCACACAGGGCACGAACCCCGAATTTGTCTGTTCGAGTCGCCTCGTTCGGCTCGGTCGTCACTGCGATCGATACACTCGAGAATGCAGTCGCGACAGAACAAGTGCCCTAGATTTAAAAAGCGTGTGAGAAAAAGCTGACAAGAAGAGTGATGGAGAAGTGTGTTAATTACCACAAACCGTGCTTGTTGCATCCTGCGGTGTCTCCAAGCAGATAGGGCATCTGTAAGCCGCCAATAACCCTTTGGGCTTGTCCACACTTTGTGATTGCTGATTGGCGCTGGCATCCTCTGTCGAGAGTGGTGGTATATTGGGATTTGTCAAGTCGACAGGTGCCATAGCAGACGAGGGCGAGGGGGGTGATGAGTTAGAGTGATCCTCAGAATGCCGACGCTTGACTCCATGGGGTAAGCTTGGTAGCGGTTCAAGTAGAGGTCGCTGCACGCGATATTGCAAGTTGCGCTGAGATTCACGCTCCTGTGAGAGATTCTCCTGTGAGATATGCTCCTGTGAGATATGATGTACCCTGGAGAGTGGGTAGCCCATGTAGCTTTGGTCATTTATGTCTTGGGGACCTTCAGTTGACAGCGAGTTCGCCTCCCCGCGAGGTGCATGGATCAGCCCATCGTCTTCGGTAGTTGGCTCCCTGCGAGGTGCATGGATCAGCCCATCGTCTTCGGTAGTCGGCTCCCCGCGAGAGGAATGGATGAGCCCATCGTCTTCGGCATTGAAGGGACTCAATTCATAGGTTTCGGAGTGTTCTTGTGTGGTCAAATCGACCACGGAGCCTCTGCGACTCATATCGGGAGGAGGCTGCGTATGCCAGAGGATAAAAGGAGTGATGAAGGACCATAGCCGGTTGAAGTTGAGTCTGCACATTGTTTGTTCAGCCTTGTGGCAATCGATAAGAGAGCGGTGTCGGGTGGCAGATTAGAAAGTATTGCGGGAGTTTGAAAGCGGAGAAGGTTGGGCGGTCTCTCGGGCGGAATTCCTGGGCAGTATCTTTGATAGCTGAAAGTGGGCCAAGGGCCTCCTGCACGTGACTTGAAACAGAGGCTAAGGGTCTCCCTGCACGTGACTTGAAAGTGAGAGGGCCTCCTGCACGTGACTCATACTTGGGTTCCAAAAAAACAACAACGTCAGGTGACCCATGCCTCTGGATATTTCTTAATCCGATCGCCGGATATGACGCCCAGATGCGATAGGAGTGAATCTGATATGCAAATTCCAGAAAAAGCAAAGAACCAAATTGAGTCTTCACAAGCAAAGTGCAACCCAGGGTTGCGGTCGCTTTGAAAATACAATGACCTGATATTAATAGTGTCTTGAAATCAAGCCTACAGACTATGTTGTGGTTGAATCTCTCCTGCTCGCCCTCTAGGGGGCTCGTGAGATCTGCGCGTGTGCAATTGCGACCAGCACCAATTCACCCGTGGCCACGGCGCATCTACACATGCAGTCAAAATTCGCGGCTCTCCTATGTCGCTGTGGATGATAAGTCCTCGTTGAAAAGATCTCTTCAAGGTGTGTTCCATGGCACTATCCTGAGCTAAGGCGCGTTTGATTGTACAAATTCACTGACTGAGATCAAGTCCCGGCATCACCTAGGTATAACGAAATTGGTGTTCAGCAGTTAAGCGATTATGTTTATCCCCAAGTCTTTCCAACCAAGGGTCGTGTACCAAATCCTGAGCTTGTTGCCTTGTCCAGAGACCACCTGACGAGACATGACCTACTTGGAAAGTCCCAAACAGCAGATCCTATCGCATTTGATCTGCCACCTCTCCAGGGACAAACTCTCGATGAGCATTTTTACAAGTTGGGTATGGATGCATCCGAACCATACTTGAGTTTCGCCAAATCTTATGCGGCCGTGAACTGCCCGATAAAACCGCGCCAATGGGTGAAACGCAGTGGATGGACCAAATACAATTCGGACGGCTCATCGGAGCCCGTGGATGCCCCGGATGAGGAAATGCTCACTTTTGACACGGAAGTTATGTACAAGGACAATTCATTCGCTGTCATGGCTTGCGCTGTTAGCCCGACAACTTGGTATGCATGGCTATCGCCATGGCTTCTAGGTGAAACGGAGGAAAAAATACATTTGATTCCCTTGGGTGACCCATTAAAGCCTCGGATAGTGGTGGGTCACAATATTGGATATGACCGCGCCCGAGTGCTCGAGGAATACGATATGCGCCAAACTCACAATTTTTTCGTCGACACGATGTCTCTTCACGTGGCTGTCAATGGAATGTGTTCGCAGCAAAGGCCAACCTGGATGCGCCATAAAAAGAACAAGGATCTTCGCGATAAAATTGCCAGTGACCACAACTCTGCCGAACTGGCTTCATTGCTCGAGAACAACATGCTTCGCGAGGAGGAGGAAGAGTTATGGGTCGGCCGAAGCTCTGTGAATTCATTGCGAGATGTAGCAAAGTTTCATTGCGATGTGACGATTGACAAGGCGCAGAGGGATTTCTTTGGCGAACTGGATAGGGAAACCCTGTTGGCAAAATGGGAGGAGCTCGTGGACTACTGTGCTGCAGATGTGGCCATTACCCATCGCGTCTACCGAAAGGTCTTCCCTAATTTCCTGGAGACTTGTCCCCACCCAGTCAGCTTTGGCGCTCTGCGACACTTATCTTCGGTCATTCTTCCCGTCAACCAGACATGGCAAGATTACCTCACCAAAGCCGAAGAAACATACCACAAACGACTCGATGATGTCCAACGGAAACTCATCGAGCTGTGCGACGAAGCCTTAAAACAGAAAGACCAGCCAGATGTTTATACAACTGATCCTTGGTTGCAGCAGCTGGACTGGACTGGCCAAGAGATCAAAATGGCAAAAGGAAAAAAGAAGGGTGACCCCCCTCGCCCAGCGGCTCGGCAGAAGAAACCAGGCATGCCCAAGTGGTATAAGGATCTTTTCCCCACAAGCAACTCGGAAATTGGCTTGACAGTGCGAACTCGGATTGCACCAATCTTGCTCAAGATGTCCTGGGATGATTACCCACTCGTTTGGTCAGACAAGCATGGCTGGACTTTTCGAGTTCCTCGTGACCATATCAAAAAGTATGAGAACCAGCCGGTTGTACTCTGTGACATGACTGAGGAGAAGTTTCAGCTGTTGCGGGAAGACAGAAAAAACGTTTACTTCAAAGTCCCGCACAAGGATGGTCCCCAAGCTAGATGCACGAGCCCACTGGGCAAAGGATATTTGCAATATTTCGAACGCGGGATATTGTCGTCACAGTTTGAGCTTGCCAAGGAAGCTTTGGACATGAATGCCTCTTGCTCGTATTGGATCAGTGCTCGAGACCGGATTATGAGTCAGATGGTGGTCTACCAGGATCAACTTAGAGCGGGGGGCCTGGGAAACGATGATGAGAACCGAATAGGTTTCATTTTACCCCAGATCATCCCAATGGGCACCATCACTCGCCGTGCTGTGGAGAATACTTGGCTCACTGCAAGTAATGCCAAAGGAAACCGTGTTGGCTCAGAGCTGAAGGCTATGATCAAAGCACCGCCCGGATACTCCTTTGTTGGTGCCGATGTTGATTCTCAAGAGCTTTGGATTGCCAGTCTCGTTGGAGATGCATCTTTCCAGATCCATGGTGGAAATGCCATCGGCTTCATGACATTGGAGGGTGCCAAGGCTGCAGGGACTGATCTGCACTCTCGCAGCGCCCAAATTCTAGGGATTTCTCGCAACGATGCGAAGGTCTTTAACTATGGCCGAATTTACGGAGCCGGCGTCAAGTTCGCTGCCACTCTCCTTCGTCAGTTCAATCCATCACTGACGGAGAAACAAACCCAAGAAACAGCAGCGAACTTGTACAAAGAGACCAAAGGCATAAGAACTTCACGCAGAATCCTCCGGGAAACACCATTCTGGCGAGGCGGCACCGAATCTTTTGTGTTCAACAAGTTAGAGGAATTCGCGGACCAGGAGAAGCCTCGGACTCCCGCTTTGGGTGCCGGGATTACTGAGGCACTGATGCGCCGATTTATCAACAAAGGTTCTTTTATGACTTCCCGCATCAATTGGGCTATCCAATCATCCGGGGTCGACTATCTTCACCTTCTCATTATTGCAATGGACTATCTCATTCGGCGATTCAACATTCAAGCTCGCTTGTCTATCACTGTCCATGACGAAATCAGATATTTGGTTAAGGACGAGGATAGATACCGCGCTGCACTAGCACTACAGATCGCTAATGTCTGGACTCGTGCTCTCTTCTCGCAGCAAGTAGGCATTGATGATCTTCCTCAGTCCTGCGCTTATTTCTCCGCCGTTGACATTGACCATGTGCTACGGAAGGAGGTGGATATGGACTGCATCACACCTTCCCATCCTCACAAGATCCCTCACGGTGAAACTGTAGACATCTCACAAATTTTGGATCAAGGCCAACGGGCTTTCCTTGATCCTTCCATCAAGCCAAATTCTCCCCCTCTTCCGATGAAATACACTTACACGCCACGAGAGTCTGTCATGTCCACCTTTGAGGAAGCTGACATTGCATTCATCAAAGCCCAAATAACCAAGGATGATAAAGAGGTCCGTGACATTATTAAAGAGAAAACACGTTCCCTGCCGACCACAAAACCCACGACTACACGTCCTTCTTCAGCCAGATCATCCGGTAAAACTACCAACGGCTGGGCCTCTGCACAACCACAGAGCGCAGTATTGATGGATATGGAATCTGGGTTGTACCCTGATTTCCGGACCCCTCCTCGCGCTTCATCACACGCAGGCAGGCAAACACAAGTTGGATACGATCGAACTGCTTGGAAACCCCGGCCATTTGCTCGGGCCTAAGCCCACTGTCGCACTACTTATTCCTTTCTCCTATCTTTTTAGATTTCCTTTCTTATATTCACTGTGTCTAATTGTCTTCATATTCTATTTTCATAATTGGGCGGGTGCATGTGTTACGGGGTGTGAACTGGAAAAAGCATTGGGATGGCGTTGAAGTGTTCAACTGATGTGATGATATTGTACAAAGCTTTGCTTGAATTATGCAAGGTCGTGCCTTGTTGTACCTTTTATTATGTCCAAATAAACCACTTTACTTGAGATATTTGAGCGTTCAAATGTTCTCTTCCTGTCTCCAGACTTGGAGACCTCCCAGATTTCTTTATCATCAATAGAAGCCTCTTGGTCTTTGCGGCCTCATCTCCCTTTTCCTTCGGTCTTAATGATCCAATTGATATTTGACGGTACTTCGGAACATTTAAAGGAGGTCATTTCCTCTCAAGTGGCAAAGGTCCAGACATCTGGATGGGGTCTTGTATCCAAACTTTTCAGGCACTTGGGGTGACCGTATGTAGTCAACTAGGTACCTACTCGGTATTCGAGATTGATTGCTACATACATATGTAAATCCATGCCAGTGCTTCCAACATTTGAACGTTCAAATGTTCCATTCACTCTTAAGTTTCCTTCCACATCGATGGAACTCTGTCGACCTCGGGATACGTATTAGTTTGTGCAAGGTCAATAGGAGGTTACCGTCCCACTTACGCAACTTCAATAACTGCGCACTTCCCGTGCTGGACTACATCCATGGCCTCTTGCATGGCCGGATCCAATTCACTTTGTGTTCTGACGGTAGCTCCCCACGCACCCCCAGCTGCAGTGGCAATGCCTGGGTAATCGGGTGAGGGCTCAAATGACAGGTTGAGGTCTACACAAATCATGTCAGTAAAAAAGCTAGAAATCAAGCCACCTGCCTTACTGACCTTTTCTGTTGGACTTGGAGGATAAACCATCCTCGTGAACAAGAAGAGCAGACACTTTAGGTGCATTCCATCCGCCATTATTGAGAACAATGAGCAGGAACGGAATATTATATCGTCGCGCTATCCAATAAACACTTTCCATCTGTGAAAATAGATACGTTCCATCTCCAACACTGCGGCAGGTTAGGATCTGGAATGATATAGTATATCATTCCAATGTTTAGGAACTTGGATTTACTCACATTGCACATATGAAAGTCTCTGGCTTGGCTAATTTGACTCCGAGAGCTGCACCACCGCCCCAGCCTAGACCACCAGCTCCGCTGCCTACTAGGCTTCCTGGCTAAATATGTTTTAGCAGGGAAAAATCAAGGGCTCATCTGAAAAATAATCTCACCTTCACCAGATTGAGGTGATGAATAATCGGACCTGCATTTGTGACTGCCTCGAGAACGTAAACCGTGTCTTCTGGAAGTTGCTGTCTGAGTTTGGAAGTCAGGTGTGGCACGCTGACAATTTCATTCTCGGAAGGAATCTCCTGAGCTTGGAGGATTCTACGCCATTCGCTGTAGCGAGCTTTACGTGCGTCGAATGCTTCAAGGTAACGCGGGCCATCCAAATCTTGCGTTTCCAGGTAAGAATTCAACTGCTTGAGTGCAATCTCGCAGCTTACTTTAAGTCTACGAATAGCGTTGATGGAGAAGACTAATCGGACAAAGTTAGATGCATGGTTGATTTCGAGGATGTTTGGCAAACTTACGAGGCATTTGTTGCTTGAGTGGATCAACATCGAGATGGAAAACCTTTGCACCTAGAGACGAGAACTTTGAATTAGCTGATATCATCTCTTGAAAGGGGCTTTGACTACTCACCATTTTGAGGTTTTCCCACAGTCGGAATCCAAGGGACATCACAATCCAAAATGAGAATGACGTCGGCTTCGAGAACCTCTGGGTGTGTCGTAACGGTGACTCCTAGATAAGCAGGGTGATCGCTCCGAATGCAGAGATCCGAGCCTACCATCTCTACAACACTGATTGGTAGTTTGTCGCAGAGGCTCTCTAAAAGTGGAGGGGCACGAGTGTTGCGACCGAGATAAGTTGTGATCACAAGAGGTCGATCAGCATCCATGAGTGCATTTGCAATCAACTCGACATCTGTGTATATTAGCCATGAACAGATATGAAGATGTAGATATACGTACCCAAATCAGGCAAGGCACTGGGAGCGATCGGGTTAAGGTTTTCTTCTTCGAGGAACTTCCTGTCCACTTTCTACAATTGATATTGTTTTAGCAGCTTGTTTTAGAGCATATTTTGACTTGAGTCCTACCTCTTCGAGAACCTCTCTCGCAGCCATGAGATATGCAGGACCTTTAGGATCCGACAAAGAAATCTGCAACGCCCTGTTGACCATTTCCTTGATATTTCGTCCGCTTTTAATTTCACCGGAGTATCGGCAATATTGTCGGAGAATTGAGGCTTGGTCGGGCACGTCTTGTAGCCAATGAATAAATCTATTTCAAGGTCAGAAAAGCCACCGGAGATTTTGATATCGACTTCCATACTCAGTTCGCGAACCCAGTAGCTCTCCTCTCTGGGTGAAAGGGCTAAGGCCTGCGAAGCACAGCACTGGCACTCTCCCAACGGAGGCATTGTGAATGGACTGTCCAAGGGCTAGTGTGCCGCAGTCTACATGTACAAGAACGCATTGCTAGATCAGTGATATCAGAAATCAGAATGAATCTAAGAGCGGCATCGGTTGTATATTTACCGGATTTCCGGTGACTTGGGCGAATCCCAGGGCAGCAGACAGAGCCACCAGCTCTGAAGGGCAGGTCACGATGTTGGGAAACTTGGTCAGTTGCTCTGTGAGAGTTTAGGATAAATAATTCACAAGTTATTCTCTCGGGAGGAAAACGAACTTTGCTTTGCTTTGATCATGGCTTCGAGCATGGCAGGATGGTCACTTCCCCTAGGAAGTGTTAGCTAAATATCGTATTGCCATGTTCCTAATTAAGCTACTTGCAAATTAACAAAGCAATATGTGACGCCGGCTTCAGCTTCAGGGCATGTCAGTAATGTTTGAAGATCTTCACACGGCGTGTCATACCCAAAGCCTCGAAGAATCCTTCCGCAGCCGAGATCATCTCGTCATTCTCGTCGATATCATCCCCAGCATGGCGAGCTCGCTTATGTGGTCTTTCGGTGGACATCGTCATTTTTTTTGTGATTGATCAACCTAGGTTTTCTGCTGAGTTATGAACCTTGGAAATCGGAGACTTTATATCTCGGCAGTCGGGTTTTTGAATGAGGGACTGTAGAGTATCTCCAAGCCAAGCCAATATGGGAGCCGGGATCTCCGAGAGCCAACCATTCCCCTCAATCGCCCCGCTTTGATGCCGATCCAAGTGGGTTCATCCCCCGCTTCGCGCCTCCACGAGTCCACGACTACATCGTGATTGTTGAGACTGAGTGACACGAGAATGGAGAAACTGAAATATCCACAGCTCTTATAGATGGGGCTTGATATTCAGTTCCAATATTCCAAGGTTTCAGAGGGAAATGGTATGAGAATATTTAGGGTCGCGATAGTGACAGTGCGATGGAATTCTAAGTTGGAACATATGCAGTTGAAATCCATTTCCCCAATTTTCAGGCTTTCCTGCCCAATGAATTCATGGCGGGGAAAAAAGGGTACAGGTAAGTGCTGCTGAGTTGTAATTGACGAATAATTCGAAATCGGAAGGGAGTGCGCGTAAGGGCGTGAACAGATAAGAGGAGTGCGAGGCATCTCCACATAGAAGTGGGATCTCCCCGATTGGCTGGAATGTAGAAGAGTCCCACTATCTTCGTACACAATGCCTTTCACATTTCTAACAGTTCGTGGTGTTTCCAATTTTCGCCCTGCGAGAATAAACTTGAGATTAACAAGGACCGCCTGCACTTGTTGAAAAGGTCAAGTCTTCGCCCCAGCCACCACAGGGTGTGCGCACGAATACTCCGCGCTATATTGAAACTTCGAGCTATCCCGAGGTTTTACCCACTGCTGACATACCGAGCACTGGTTGCAAGAATTAACATGTTCCCTTCAAGTGTCACAACGCGTCTTGACCCAAACGGTGCTCCTGTCTGGCGACAGGATAGCTCGAAATTGTTTGGCCTGGTCGAAGCCAAAGGCGATAGCGACTTATTCAAAAGCTCATTGAAACATCAACGACGCGAAGAATCAGAGAGGGCCGAAAACAGCTCGTTTGTCTCGAGCCCCTCTAAGCCAACGGCAAAGCGATGGGATGGTGAGTTTTCTAATACGAGGTTTTCATCATTTACTGAATAATACGTCTAACTTGAACCTTTAACAGGAATATTCTCCGAAGAGGCATGCAGGAGACAGGTAAATCCATTTCCTTTCAGAAGCCTGTGGTCATTGAAACCTATTAGCTAAATCCAGACAGCCATCCAGTATCAAGGCCGCTGCTCGCGCCGCGGGAGAGCCTGGTGAGTCTACTAATTCATACCAATCCCACTCTGGTTAATTTGCTGTGAATTAACAGAAATCCTTAGGTATGATATCACTGGGTGCCGGTGCACCATCAGCTGCCTACTTTCCGTTCAAGAATATCGATGTCACCATTTCGAACGATATATATTTCTCAGCGGAGACAGAGGAACCTGAATCGAACATCCACATGGCGAAATACGATTTTGAGGCAGGTGTCAGTGATTTCGGTAAATCTTATATTGAAGTGTTTTGAGAAATAATTTGTTAATCTGAATTTAGGACTTGATGTTGCCTTGAACTATGGTCAAGGAACGGGCTCTGCACAAATGATACGATTCGTGACAGAACATACAGAGGTACGAAACGCAAATCAACGCCAGCTTTACCACACAAGTTAATAGTCAAACCCCCAGTTGCTACACGACCCCCCTTACGCCGACTGGGGCTGTTGCCTGACTGTAGGAAGCACATCAGCCTGGGACTCAACTCTCCGAATGTTCTGCAACAAAGGAGATTCCATCCTCGTGGAGAGTTACGCATTCGCAAGTGCACTGGAAACAGCATGGCCCTTGGGAATCAACACAATCGGAGTGGAAATGGACGAAGAAGGCCTGATTCCGAAGGCTCTTGATTATTTACTTTCCGAGTGGGATGAGCTTACTCGCCAGGCCCGTAAGCCATTCTTGCTTTATATGGTTCCTACAGGCCAAAATCCGACTGGAGCCACACAGTCTCTAGCTCGGAGGAAGGCCATCTACTCTATTGCACAAAAGCATGATCTCTATATTGTGGAGGATGAACCGTATTACTACTTGCAGCTACCGAGATATGGAAATCAGGTTGCAGACACGCATCAGACGAATGGTCTCATTCCATCATATTTGAGTCTTGATTTGGATGGAAGGGTCCTTCGAATGGATTCGCTATCCAAGGTTCTTGCTCCTGGTGCTCGAATAGGTTGGGTAACAGCTTCTCAACAGGTTATCGAGAAGTTCGTCCGACAGAATGAGACCTCGTCTCAGCATCCCAGTGGCTTCTCGCAAGCTATTATCTTCAAACTTCTCAATCATCATTGGGGACATCTAGGCTTTTTCAAATGGCTGGAGGGCATCCAGAAGGAATACACCTGGAGAAGAGATGTTTTTGTCGAGGCTTGTGACAGGCATCTTCCCAGGAAATATGTCAACTGGACCTCCACTGATGCGGGGATGTTTGTGAGTATACTTATGAGCGGCTTGACGTGCATATTTGCTGATTCGCGTGTATTAGCAATGGATTAGATCAAGTGGAAGTCGCACCCTCTTTACAAGACTAACAACGACCACGCAACAATTCAACAAGCTATATTTGATTCTGCTGTCAGGCACAAGGTCTTTGTGACGCCAGGATCATGCTTTTTGTCAACCGCTGATGTTGCAGAGGATCGTATGTTCTTTCGGGCCACTTATGCATCGGCATCGAAAGAAGATCTGAAGGAAGCAGCCCGACGATTTTCTGCAGCGATAGAGTATGAATTCGAAGAGAGAATGAATCATTAAATGATGCGGATTTTTTTCAAACATTTACATATTGCAATTGTTTAGAATTACTCTTACATAGACAAGAAAATGTATTTTTGCGTGATAGATTAAAAGTAAACTTCAAGATAACCTTGGAAGTTGCAGGAATACTAGATGAACACACTTGAGTGGGATTAGCTCTCGAGCCCGAGCTTTTTATACTGATTGACAAACTCCTCGAATAGCTTTTTAAACCCCAGGAGCTCAAGCGGGTCATTCTCCTCTTCCTCATACATGAAGCAGAGCATATTATGGACTTCAAACGTGATAGACAGCAAGTATCCCAGCTCAGCTTCCTGGAAGACCTGTTCCCCCGTATCCGAGTCTCCGGTAATCTCATTCCATCTCTGTGCATACTCATGACAGAAATGTCTCTTCTCCTCTTCCGAGTAAGGTCTGCAGTTCGCGATTTTATTCTCCTTGTCAAACCACTTGAACATCTTGTGCAAAAAATGCCCACCAATGTCAAAAGCGCGATAATTCTGAAAGACGAACTCGAAATCAATGAGGGCAATTTTGCTTTCGCCTTCTTTGGGACTTTCCTTCACCAAGACATTCATGAATTGAACATCATGGATGCACCATCCCCTTTTCCCTCCGATGGATTCCAATCTGTCCGTGACTTGTCGGATCCTCGACACAAAGTCATAATCAACAAGGTCGTCCAGACTGACACCTCCCTCATTGGCCAGCCTCTTTAGCTTATCCAACTTATGATATTCCGTAAGCTTTCCGATGATTGCCTCGTAATATAATTGAATCGGCTTCTTAGGCAGTTGTGTCTCCATAGTGTGAAAGACGGCATGTCCCTTTGCAATATCGGCCCTGATGGCTGTATCTTCCACATCCTCTGGCTCTAGATTTCGGGCATCCCAGAACTCGTCGACGCGTCCGAAGGCACCATCTTGGGTTTGAAAGAAACCGTACAGCTTGGCACCAAGCCCGGATTGACCGTAATCATAACAGAGCTGTGCCTCTTCGTGTTTGTTGGGAACCAAGTGCTTGAAAACCGCGATTTCTCCATCAAGTTCGCCGTTGATCTTGAGGAACAATTTCAGTGGTTCTGAATGTGTGCCGTTGTTTGGCTTTGGTCGTTCCACGACGCAGTTGGTGTTTGCATATCCCGAATGGTGTACCACAGTGAGCGTTTCTGGGTCCACACTTGGCCACTCATTGGTGAAAAAAAAGCTGACAATTTCTTGAATCATGGCTTTTGTCAATGTGCGATCTTCTGGAATAGTCACGGGGATGCTGATGCAGGTCGCCATTTTGCCTTTGGGTCCGTTTGACAAGACGATGGGCTGGATGGTTTGGTATTCGGTGGCTAAGCTGCAAGGGGCAAAATGAATATTTGAAAGCAGATAAATCTAAGGAGAGAATGTCCACGGGTTTTGAGGTGTACGGTAGTGATTTATCTATTTCAAAAAATCCACTATAGTTTTGTCCGATACGGTAAGTAATCCTAATACGATCGCCCGGGCCTCGGCATCACGCTAAGTGGTTTAGCAGCTACTAGCTTGCCAAACTAGCGTGTTCACTGGCATTTACAGAAGGAAATACAGCCCGTTTCGAAAATTACCGAATAGAAGATGAGTCATTAAGACTCATTGTTAGACATCGGGAAAAGAGGCGTCGTCACCTATTGACCTTATCTATGATTTTCTGGACCTGTGCCATCCAATCGTCAATTTTATTGCATAGTGGGTAGTAGAGCATAAATTTACTGTGTAGATAATCGCAAGGTTTCAGGCTCAAAGGCCGATGGATATTTGATTTGAATATTTAATCACTCTTGCGACACAGTCTCAGATGCGAGATCCACCTTGGTCTTTTTGAACTCCCTAGCAGGGACCTTGTTCTTGAACATAATATCCATCTCAGCAAAAGTTCGGTTCTTGGTCTCAGGAAGACGGAAATAGGCCCAAACGAAACCGATGGCCATGATGCCTCCACAGAAAAATCCACTCTTGGCTCCCCAGTCCCAAGCCGCTTTTTGAACCATATGCGGAACAAGCTGGCCATAGACAAGAACACCAATGTTATATACCGCACGCGCGAGAGCGACGCTCTTGGTGCGAAGGAAGTTGGAGGGGATTTCAGTCACGATCGTATAGATAATGGGACCGATGGTGATGAAAAGAACAAAATATTGAATCAAGAGGATGCTACCAATTCCATAGCCGATGTTAGGGTGGGTAGAGATGCTCGGAATACCTAAAAAGCCGATGAGGAATGTAGTCAAGGTCAAGAATCCCGTGCCAGACAATAACAACGTGCGGCGGCCAACCTTGGGGACTAGGAACCATGCGATGAAAACACCGATGATAGCCAAAGCGTACTCCCCCATACCGAAGTCGAACGAAGCGGCGGAGGCAAGACCAGCTTGCTCCAAGAAGTACACAATGTAAGAAACCAAGGGAGCGCAGAGTTCTTGAATGAGATAGACGAAGACGGTGATCTCAGTGCGTCGCAGGTTCTCACCCTTGAAGAGATCCCAGTAGGTGCTCGATGCCTTCATTTCATTCTCGATCTTGATGGTGTGCTCCATCATCGCAATTGTGTCTTCGACTTCAGCTTCCGAGCTATCCTTAGCCCGCAGGCGGTATAGGGCTTTACGCACATCCTCAATACGACCTTTGCGCATAAGCCACCATGGTGACTCGGGGGCGAAGAAAATTCCGATCGCAAGTGGGAGAGGCAGGGCCCATTGAAGAGCAAATGGGATCCGGTAAGCCCACTGCCCAGTCGATGATAGAAAAGCACGAAGAACACCGGTACCCAGAAGGTAACCGATGCTCCAGCATAGCGAAACCAGCATTGTGAGGTATGGTCGCAAGACATTAGGGCACACTTCGGCGGCGTATGTGGTAGACAGGGTCTGGAAGACACCCCATGGTACTCCCAACAAGATCTCTGCGCCCATGTACATATAGATACTGGTGGCAAAGAATTGAAGGAAGATAAAAGCAGTCATGAGGGTAAGACAGACCATCATGACCCACCGGTAGCCGATCCAGTCAGCCACGAGACCATTGATCAACAGACCAATAATTTCTCCGGCATTGACACCATTGCTTATACCAGACTGGAGAGTGGCGGGGATCTGGTAGGATCCATCGCTTTGTAGTGTACCATATCGTTTCTGGAAGGCTGGGAATGCGAAGAAGCCGCTGACGAATGCGTGGTCGAATCCCTCCATTATAAGCGCCATCGAGAATAATACGGACCAGAACACGGCATTAGGATATTTGCGAATACCCTCTCGCAGGGTCATGCCGTGTTCATCGTCCGTTGCTCTTTGAGCGCCCTTCAGGGTATCCACAGCGGCAGCATATTTTTCCTCATCCTTGTCTTGTATCACGGTCGTTGTAGTTCGGTCGGCAATATCTTCTTGGTGTTCAGCCATTTCGAAAAAAAAGGGTGGCTGGTGGGAAAGGCAATAGGAGAAGACGGTTTCGCGAACAAGATTTTTTTGACACGTTGTTCAATGCTTATATCTCTTGGTATTGGCGACTTCACTGCGGGGCCCTGTTCATTTACTCCGCATCCCCAGAATGTGGGGAATATTCTGAAGTCTGGGGAAAACCCGGGTTAGAGCCGTCAGCTTGTTATCTCCACTGGGAGCCCATGTGCCCCATCAATTGGGCATTTCTGTTGTCGATCCGGTATCAGATACGCCGAGCCCTAGATTAGACTCTTGGTCTTCCACGGTTACGAGTCTCACTGGCTTTTCGGGGGTTTCGGTTGTCTCCGCGTGCTCAGATCCCCTTGCAGATACGAGATAAGATGAACGAGATGTTCAAATGACATGGTTATACGAGAGTAACATGACGAAGCTGGGAGTCCTCAGACTGGACTGAAAGTCCCTTGAAAAATCTTTAATTCTGTCTGATTCTGTAGCTGGAACTAGAATAACTATGCTTAGAATATGAGATTTGGGCTTACGCTCAGAATAATCATGAGCGATAATTGTACCTACTGTTAATAGTACCCCGAATAGTCATCGAGTCATTTCAAGGTTAACTTCAACAATGCATATAGCCTAAACCATACTGATGCGCCTGTTGTGCACGGGTAATTCGGCATCAGATACGCCGAATGCTATAAGCGCTTGAAATTTAGAGTATCAGATCTTGGCAGTGGAAAGAGGGGAAATACTAACTCTTTTGAATCGCGTGCTAAGTTCACGAATCACAATTGACTCCACCTCGACACGAGAACCTATACGCTGTCGCATTCAACTGGAATTGTTTGAGCCATGAAACATCCTCCACGAGAGCCAATCTACCTCAAATTTTTTATTTCACACGTTGCATGATCTCAAAATCTCAAAGTACCAGGATTTTAAACCTCTTTCAGCCAGCAATATCAATATCATGAGCTCCAATTTGCGATGGCTAAACGGGAACGGCCCCCACGCCCTCCAAAATGGTGCTTCCTTTGGAATGTCATGGCCACGAGGCCTCTATTCACCAAACCAAACATTTGTGATAGGAAACGACAGCAATCAATGGCCTTTGGATTCCAGAGAGATTGCCTATTGGGCAGATGGATCGCTCAAATGGACAGCTCATTCGGTCTCCAGTGAGATCATTTATAGTGAGGAATACAAGGTCAAAGGCGCCCCTCACCCAACCAAAATTATCGAGGGCGTCAAGATTGAGCAAGAGGGCTCCTCCATCTCTGTGAAAACATGCGAAGGACTGGCTTTGAAATTTGCGGCCCCGGGTAGCTCTTCCATATTGGAGAGCCTTGCAGTCGATGGAAGATCGCTTTGCTCGAATGCCACAGTTGTAGCGTTCATCAACCAAAAAGAGTACACGACGCGCGTGGATGCAGTGAGCGTGGAAAATGCCACATTCAGTCGAGTAGTCATCAAAGTGACTGGTGCCGCAGTGGCAAGCGGCGTCTCTCACCTTCCTTTCGATGTGCGATTCTATGTTTATTCCAATTCTACCACTGTCAAGATTCTTCATTCTTTCACTCACGACCTCAAGTCAAAAGAACCATTGTCTTCGCTTGGCCTTCGGTTTGCTGTTCCTCTTGGAGAAACCGAGTTATATAATCGCCACATCCGCATGGGAGGATCGGGTGGCGGTATTCTGAAAGAAGAAGTCAAAGGACTGACTGGGTTGCGCCATGGACCGACAATTCAAAATCGGATCGACCAAGCTGCCGGAAAAGCGATCACCTTAAATGAGAAGGAGTGGACCCGCACGGATCTTGCGAAAGGAATTTCCTTCATTCCATCCTGGGAATCGTATTCCCTTTCTCAACTTTCATCGGACGGATTCACAATCAAGAAGCGTACTAAGCCAGGCTGCTCATGGGTCAAGGTCATTGGCGGTGGAAGAGCAGATGGAAGCGCCTACGTGGGATCAGCTCACTATGGCGGTCTGGCAGTCGGAATGTCTGATTTCTGGGAGCGCTACCCCACTCAGTTGGACCTGAGCGATTTGGGATCCGACAAGGGAAAAATCACAGCTTGGCTATATTCGCCGCTCGCCGAGCCTTTAGAAACGGCACCATACCATGACGGACTTGGAATGGACACTTATGAGAAGCAACTGGAGGGTCTTAATGTCACATATGAAGACTTTGAGCCTGGATTCGCCTCAGCAAACGGCATCGGAAGAACAAATCAATTTTTCCTCACGCCATTCACCGCCACTCCTTCAAACGAGGAGTTCAGTCGCTTTTCATCCTTAGTTCGTGATCCCCCTCGCTTAGTGGCTACATCGGAGCATCTGCATTCCACAGGGGCATTCCATGGGTGTTGGGCTCCTAGCTCGCAAATACTGGGCATTGAAGCGACCTCCCAAGAGATGGAAATTGAGAAAAATCTCGATCTCTTGTTCAACCTCTATCATGACCAGGTTGAGCAAAACAGATGGTACGGCTTTTGGGACCATGGGGATGTTCAGCATACCTATGATGCGTATAGACATGCCTGGCGATACGATGTTGGTGGGTTTGCTTGGGACAACTCGGAGCTTTCTACCGACTTATGGCTATGGCAATACTTTCTGCATACGGGAAGAGCAGACGTGTTTCGGATGGCCGAATCCATGACGAGACACACCGGGGAAGTTGATGTGTACCATGCAGGAAAATTCAAGGGATTCGGAACTCGTCATGGTGTCCAGCACTTTAGTGACAGCTCAAAACAGCTCCGCATTTCCAATGTGCTATACAGACGAATTTACTTTTATCTCACAGGAGATGAACGCACCGGTGATCTTATTGCGGAACTCCAGCAATGTCAAAATACGCTTTTGACTTTGGACTCACACAGAAAAGTGCAAGAGCACGCTGGAATACCTGACGGGTTTGCCATGACAAATATTGGTCTTGACTGTGGCCCTCTTGCTGCCGCTTGGTTGACTGCCTGGGAGCGGCGGTCGGAAGGATGGGATAACTCCAGACTGCTCTTGGTGAAGCTTCTGGAAGGAATTTCTGGACTCAAGCACGGCATAGGAAATAACGCGATTTTATTAAATCCCACCAGCGGTGAGGTACGAGAATGTCCGCCTCCCACTCCCGAATGGGCAATATCTCATCTATCCATGCTATTTGGTTTCCCCGAAATTACCTCAGAGCTATTCCATTACATTCGTGATGAATATCCAGACACTGTGGAAAGATTCATGAAAGTCTGGCTAAGCTATTGCCGAGCATACAACGGAGGGCCACGCGTGCAAAAGGAAGAGTTTGGTTTTGAGTTCCCATCTCATGCGACCTGGCGACAGAGTCATTCTACGCTTACTGCATTTGCAGCGGCTGAACAGAATCGGGATGATCTCGGCCGAGCTGCGTGGGACCAATTCTTCAGTACTGATGGATACACGGCTGATCACGATTGGACTGTTGTAATGACATCCGCCCCGGACTTCTTTAACAGTGGAAATGAGGCAGCTTGGGTGACGACAAATGAAGCAGCTCGCTACGGCGTGTCTGCGATTTCCAATCTTGCAAATATCAGGAAATATTTAGAATAGAGTACTTGAGATCAACATTGAATAATTAAAATGCCCATTTGGAAGTGCACCTGACTTCAGAACTGCTTTTCAAGATTTAGGTAGAAATGTGGATAGATGACTTCAAACGTTGCGAAAGACTGCGGCTAGTATATTGAAATGGATTTCTTGGAATTTTGACATGGAATTCTTCAGTCTGAATGGACATCTGGATACTTGCTGTTAGACGGATAAGCTTCAATACCGGGTCATTTCAACCCGAAGCTATGGACCCTTATTCCAATTGCAGTTAAACTTTGAAGGCTTGTATAGCCCCATCATGGCTTGTGTGGGGTTCAAGAACTGGGGATGCGGGGTCTCTTCTTATTGACGGAAAAACACAATAGAGCGACCAGCGTGGGGGTCGTCTCTTTTCTTGGCTGAGGGGTATAGTGCACTGACCTATGGTTCTCACTGCTTCAAAGAAATATCCAAAGTATGGGTACTTTCCTTTCCTCTTGCAACACCTTGGAGATTTTGAAAACCACAAAGAAGGCTCATCAAAATATGGCGCCAACCAAGTACGCCGTTGTGGGCACCGGAGGACGCGCCGCGTTCTTCTACAGCGCCATCGTCCGAGACTTCAAGGACAGCGCGTCCCTGGTGGCATTTTGCGACACAAACCAAACTCGCATGGACGTCGCCAATGACCGAGTTCAAGAACTAGGATTGGCGCAACTACCGACATACAAAGCAGCCAATTTTGACAAAATGATTGAAGAAACCAAGCCCGACGTGGTGATAGTGACGACTATCGACCGGACTCATCACGAGTACATTATCCGTGCTATGCGACTAGGCTGTGATGTTCTAAGCGAAAAGCCCATGACAGTGGATGAGATCAAATGCCAAAAGATCCTGGACGCTGTGAAGGAGACCAATAAACAGCTTCGCGTAACCTTCAACTACCGATACGCGCCTCATAACACCAAGGTGCGCGAATTGTTGATGGACGGTGCTATTGGAAGAGTGACTTCCGTGCACTTTGAATGGCTATTAAACACCCGACACGGAGCAGATTACTTCCGACGCTGGCACCGTGACAAGCGCAACAGTGGCGGCCTTCTTGTGCATAAATCCACCCATCATTTTGACCTGGTGAACTTTTGGCTGGGTAGTCGTCCATCCACCGTGTTCGCCCAGGGTGACTTGAAATTCTATGGCAAAGAAAATGCCGAATCTCGAGGCGAAACCGAGTTCTATTCCCGGGCACATGACAGTGCTGCGGCTGTTGATGACCCATTTGCCCTTCATATGAAAGAGCATCCCCAGCTCAAAGCCATGTACCTCGATGCCGAGCACGAGGATGGTTATTATCGTGACCAAAGTGTCTTTGGTGATGGTATTAATATTGAAGATACGATGGGCGTGCTGGTAAGCTACCAGTCCGGGGCAATTATGACTTACAGCTTAAACGCATACTGCCCGTGGGAGGGATTCAGAGTTTGTTTCAACGGGACTGGAGGTCGGTTGGAGATGGACGTCCTTGAAGAGTCTTATGTCAATTCTGGCGGAGATCAGAGCAAGGAAGGTGCTGTGGCGCATACGAAAATTACAGTGCATCCCATGTTTGCACCACCATATGAAGCCGAGGTTGTTGAAGGCGAGGGAGGTCACGGTGGTGGAGATCCTGTGTTATTGAACGATCTGTTTGGAACACCTTCACCCGATCGCTTGAATCGTGCTGCATCACATGTAGATGGAGCAATGTCCATTTTGACGGGAATTGCTGCCAACAAGGCTATTCGAACTGGCCAGGTTGTGCAAGTTAAAGATCTAGTTCAGTTTTGAGTCGATCATCTAGACAAGGAATCATGATAGAAAGTCACCGTGCATAGATAGATATGTCTCAATCAACATTGCTATTCAATAACAGACTTCATATATCCAAAGAATCGGAAATCTTTTAAATAATCTAGATCTTAGACGCTGTAGGCTCCGCACTGTACAGATTCCATGGTCAACGATGCTCCAACCAATCAACGTCGATCATGTGGGGATTGAAGCCTTAGCTCGATGGCCGGGGGAACCCACCAACTTCACTCCAATCGCCCGATCTTTATGGCAACACCGCGACGCATAAGTGCAATATTTTCAATGTTCTTTATCTTTTAGCCATCTAATCAGGACGATGTCAGTGACATCGAGCCAAAGAGCCGTTGCACCGGCACGCAAAAAGACGACAGAGGCCTGCGACCCTTGCCGAACAAGGAAATTAAAGGTGAAATGGCAGCTCCTCGAGAAGACAATTTCAAATTTTGACTGATCTAATTTTTTTGAATCGTTACAGTGTGATGGGTTGTTTCCTTGCAAGTCATGCGAGAATACCAAAATACAATGTTGTTATGATCCCTCAACGGCGGCCAACAAGCTGAACGGGTACTTGAACAAATGACTCACAGCCTTACGAGGTCTAACTATGACGACAGGGGGCTGGATATAATCAATGCACGGGTACTAGAGCTAGAGAGAGCGGTGTTTGGTGAACGAACCTACCGAACGGGTGCAGACACTCGCGAATTGGGGGGTTTGTCGAGCCCTTCTCATGAATGCAGTGCTGTACGATGTATGCTCACATACCAACAGATGCCGATATATCAGAAGAGATCACATCTCGGTCTATGATTGTGTGTTTTGAGGAACATAATCCCTCTGCCCAGTCAGTGTATGGTCCCACTTCTACCTTAATGCTGCTCAACGGCATGCATCCATTCCCCACGCCAGCCGCTGTTGATGAGGAGGTCTCCAGGGAAAGGCCCCACAAGAGACTCAGACATGAACATCCAGAGTCAGAATTTGACTCAAGCTTGGCGGATAAAATCTACGAAGCTGGCGAAACCTATGATACACGTGATTTGGATTTTCGTGGAATCCTTGCGAAGAAACACCTGGATTCCTTTTTCAACACTGCTCACGGCATTTACCCAATTTTTGACGAAAACTCATTTCGCGGGTCATACCCTCCCTTTGGGCATGATTCATTCTGTATGGCCCAGGATGTTGAGTCACGGCAGTTGCAATGTCTCATGTACTCAGTCCTATCCTTGGGCGCCCTTTACATAAACACCACCGAGGACGCCAAGTGGGCTGCCAAATATTTTGGTGAAGCGGAAAGGCTAGTTTCGTCACTATTTGGAAAGACCTCTCTTCAGGCTGTCCAGGCTTGTATTTTTATGGTATTTATTCCGAATCTCGACTTCAAAAATGTTCACATGCATGATGCTGACTGCAAGTAGGCCATTTACGCGCATCAAGTAGCGCAGTCAAACTGTAAATCATTCTTATTGTATTTATGAGATTGAAGTTTTACTGACATTGAAAAGTGGCATATAGGCATATAACTATCTCGGGGTCGCCATCCGGCTGGCTTACTCGGCAGGGATCAATGACGTGCGCGCACCGAGACCGAACACCCTTCAAAATGAATGCGCGCTCCGAACCTGGTGGTCGCTCTACAGCTTAGAGTCTGACATATGTCTTGAATATGGAAGGCCGCTCTGTATTCGAGAGACAGATGCGAAAGCACTATACCCAAAAGAAGAAGTTGTCTGTGTCAAAAATAGCCCATTCTGTGGTGCCTAGCTGAGTAAAAGAATTAGGCACCAAATGCAACTTCAAGCAAATACAGTTATATCATAGTCATGGCAAAGTTTGGAAGAATGATACGCAAAGTGATTGACTTGGTAAGCTCTGCGGCCAGTCATAACTACAGCTTAGTATATTAACATAACCAAACAGGTTTCGAATATCAGTGAAAGAAAGTCAGGCCTACATAACTTTGTGGGTCGATTAATGAATCAACAAGCAGAGCTTATGACATGGCGAGGAGAGCTCCCTGTCCATTTAGCTCCCAGAGACACCATGGACAATGGTGACGCGCGAAGCTGGGTTGGCATACCCTGGGTACAGCGTCAACGCTGCGAAATTGAACTACGTTTGTATACCTATCATTGGTCTGTCAAAAGCTCTCAGCTCACAATCTGCCAGGGTTCAATCATGTCATGCTCATAATGCATCGTCCGTTCTTCTTGGAGCCAAAATTCTCGACGCCATTTTACTCCTCTGCAATGGCTAAAGGGGTTTGTCTTGGAGCTGCGAGAGAGACAATCTCACTTGTGGACAAGATCTTGGCTACAGATCATTTGGAAGCCAATCAATGGTCGCCATTTTACCACCGTGTAATGGCGGCCACACTCGTTGTGCTGATCAGTCTGTCTGATGAAACTTTCGAGGAGAATGCCAGCTTGTTAGAATTTTGTTCGAGAAGTCTGGATACTCTACGGCGTATGGAACCTAGCTGTCCAAAGAAAGGGATTTCTCTTATTGAAACCTTACTGGCTCAGCAGCAGATCAAGATTCAAGATGCAAGAAATCCTAACAAGGTTTGACTTAGCCTCGGAAAAGTCAAAATCAAATCCTGGATTTTTCTTTACCTCTTTGCAACTAGAGTAGAATCCCGGCCCTAAGGGGTTGAACTGCTATACTGGCAGATGAGAATTCCAATCTGCATTTTTGTTATCACGTACTAAAATGAATATACTGTTGTCACCTCGGCATAATCACAATCTTTCCAATGTTGTGATTGATGGTGAGAATCGACCTGAATAAAGTCCCTGGGGAATACAGTCGAATTTGGGAGGCCCATCATCATCATAGTGACGCTCATCACTTTACTTGAGCTGCTTATCGGCAATTGCCGACTCTATACATAATTTATTTCTTTGTCCCACTGTCGCAACCTCCATGATCTGAGCCTTGGAAGCATTTTATCTACCCACACGCGAACTTGTGTGATGCAATCTACATGCTTACCTTGAGGCTATTCTTTGCTCACATGGACAGGTATTTTTGTCTTCTCTTAAACACAACACTATCGTTGAACTTTCAATCAACCCTTGCTAGCATTGAAAGTCATGGATTCTGCCTCGGCAAGTTTGATATATTCGCTGCTGAAAGATGACACTGCAGCCGAGCTAGCTCGTATCAAGCGCACCAAAGTCACTCACCCAGATACCGATTCCACAGATCATGAGGCTGCGCTAGAATCATGGAAAAATGAATTGGAAAGATTCCAATCTCAACCGCTTCACTTTATCACTGAAATCGGGCGAGGAAATACTGTTGTTGAAGATCACCAGGTCGAAAGGGTTACTGACGAGGATGAAGACAGCTCTGACGACAACGATAACCAGGGTTCTGAAGAAGTACTCCCGAGGCTGGCGAATACCTCGGTTGCCGTCGAAGAGGAATCCGGGGTCGAAAGGATTACCGCCGATGACGACGAAGATTCTGACGATGATAGAGATTCCGAAACTGATTCCAACCCCTCGTTGGAAAGTGAGAATGGAGCAAGTGACGTTGAGCTAGAAGAAGTATCCGTCACGGGCTCACAGGACATGGCGTCCATCATTTCTCGCAGTCCAAGTCTGAGTTCGCTATCCTCAACGCCATCCCCTCCGACAGATTACGAGGACATACTCCCTCGAGAGCGATGCCTTGCATGCATGGAGTATCTCCACACTGAAGACCTGATCCAGTGTCCCTGCAACCACTACTACTGTGAGGGCTGCTTGTCAGATTTCGTCAAAGCCACATTGTCGGATGCCTCCATCTTCCCACCCAAATGCTGCGATGAGCCCATCCCTTTCCCCATAGTCAAGCCAGTCCTCAGCAAAGCAGTGGTTCGCAAATATGAAAATCGTGTCAAGGAAATAGAGACACCGCCAAGCATTTGCTTCCGTACTGAATGTGCGAAACCGATTCAAGCCAAAAATATAAATGACCATATTGGGTATTGCACAAAGTGCAAGCGCCGCACCTGTACCTTCTGTGGAAAAGAGGCACATTTCGGTGATTGCAACAACAAGAAAGAGTGGGATGCAGTGCGAGTTATGGCGAAGAAACAAAAGTGGAAGGTGTGCCCAACTTGCAAAGTGTATGTGGCTCGCGCGAGCGGCTGCAACCATATAAGGTATACCTGTCCCTACAATCTGCAAGACTGTGTAATTGTGTGCTGATAGGGGTGGGCCTCGATCTAGTTGTGTATGCGGGAGACACTGGTGCTATGCTTGCGAGGAGGTGATGAGCCTTTGCAAATGTGCTGGAAGACCCAGATAACAGGGACCTTGTGTTAGGAGGCCTCCGAACAATTTCAGAGTCTGAGGGAAGTCTTGCTTCGGCTTTTAGGCGCTAGGTACCAAGATAAAACATTATTTGTATGAATCTATTATTCCTTTGGGCTCACTTTTCTCATTGTGTTTTGGCACTTACGAGGTTTGGGTTCCGATACTCACTTCTGCCTCCCATAGCAAATGGGGCATCGTAAAGCGCACAGTCCGGCTGAAGGTACATGGTCGCTAGCAATTCGAAGAATTTCATTTCGTACCGCCCATCGTGGATCCAAAGTAGCTTCTGCGATTTCGAAAACAGTTGTATTGAATCCCAAAATATCTTTCAGTGTGGCTTCTAGAAGCTTGCTATCTTCTTGGGCGCCTGTATCATCATCTTCAAAAAAGACAATCAACGCAGATCTCCGACTATAACCCGTGTTTCTGGCGTTAAGACATTCATCCATTTTCCTCTTCAGCGTAGGCAGGGGTATTCTTGTGGAGGATGAGGACGTAGAACTTCCCGGGATTGAGGTAGTAGGTGAAATCAGGGTACGCGGTAATGGGGTTGATGATGACTCCATGATGGTGGGGAGCGTTTGGGCTGAATCTTGGGAGATAGTGAGGAGGTGGTTTGGGGAAGGGAACATTTGAAGGGAAGGACGGCGGATTGCGGCGGCCGATAGAGGCCACCCCTAGGTCAAATCCCAATTTCAATTTTCCGACCGGCAGAAAGTAAATTACGAGTAATTCCAAATTGATATTAGTTTCATTGTTTTGAACTCCATTATGTTCAGCGCTGCATTATACATTAAATCCTTAAAATCTATTATATATAACATTTGAACACTATATGATGCACATGTGCTATATTATATTGATTACTTCTCTTTCTCTATATAGGTAAATTATTATAATGACTGGCAAGAAAGAGAGGCTAAGATCCTAGTCAATAATAGTCATACAATCTATTCTTAAGTCTATTCTTAAGTCTATTCTCAAGTCTATTCTCAAGTCTATTCTCAAGTCTATTCTCAAGTCTATTCTCAAGTCTATTCTCAAGTCTATTCTCAAGTCTATCCTCAAGTCTATTCTCAATATTCTCAAGTCTATTCTAAAAGTGACCCGTATTTAGATCAAATCCCTTAAGATAATCCTATATATGATAAATACAATACAGGCGGGAAACAGGGCGGTGAAGTTAGAAACTGAAATTGGGATATGACCTAGGGGTGGCCTCTATCGGCCGCCATACATACATGTAACAATGATACAATTTTCCTATGCCTCAAAACCAACACATTCCTCCTTGCTCCGTTCCCTCCTGGTCCCATCCGAACCATCCCAATCCCCCCGAATCCCACAAAACAAACGAATATTCCGAACAATGTTTATGGCATTACTCTGACCGCCTAAGGAAAATAGTACTTCGCAGGATGGCTCCAAGGTCCTTATTTTCCAGAAATTTAGGGGTACGATCCACTACTAGTTTTGGAATGTTGATTTTGACTTTGAATGTACTTTGGAAGTCACCGCTATAAGCATCACGTTGCTCCGGGCCGAGTATAAAGTTCGAGGTGGAGATTTCCCGGGGAAAAAAAACAGAAAATTTCTGCTGAACTCCCGCTTCTGGTGGGGCGCCGGGAGTTTTCCGTGGCATCTAGAAAATTAAACAAAGACTGAAATAGGCGTGAGGATGATTGACTTCCACGAATTTGAATAATAAAACGCTTTTCCCCGTTTGTCTATTGAAGGAGATTTGGTGTTCTGTGAATAATAGATACTCATATAGAAAAAAAAAAAACCGAGGACCATTCATGTGAGTAGTAGGTGCTAGCCCTATGTAAACTTTTCCCGTTGAAACTTCATATCTAAATTCCCGCTGGTATCACCGCTTTAACAAATGAAGATAGAAAGAAAAAGGACCAAAAGAAAACAAGCTATTCAAACAACATACTCAACTCAGTAATCCGTTCCTTCTTGCTATCGTCACCTTCGTCACCACCGACACGTAGCCCAAGTGAGCCGGCAATGTTCATTTTGCGCTCTTGTACTCGAAGCATCCGTCCCTCAATTGAGTCCTTGATAACAAACCGCGTCACAGACACGTCGCGCGTCTGGCCCATACGGTGAACACGATCGATCGCCTGGGCCTCTACGGCAAAACTCCACCAGGGATCCATGAGGAAGACGTTGCTTGCCACCGTTAGGTTGAGACCTACACCGCCGGCACGAAGAGAAATAAGCAGGACGGTAGGTGTCTGTTTAGAGGATGGAGGTTGACCATTATTTTCAATATCGGAGTCAACGATTTCATCTTCGTAAGTTGCCTCTTTAGTGAATTCTTCCAGGACAACCTTGCGTTGCTTTTGGGGCATAGAGCCATCAAGTCGCAGGTGTGAGATGCCAACAGCCGTGAGCTGGGGGCCGATTAGGTCGAGAAATGAAGTGAACTGAGAGAAGACGACTGATTTATGGCCTGGTGGAACACGCGATAAGTGGGTGATTAACGCGTGAATCTTGGCAGAGGTATGTGCAGATGGAGAAAGAGGATTGATACGGCGAAGGGAAATCCGGGGGGAGCCTGCGAGCCAGTTGGAGGCGTGTCGCTGGAAGCAACCCCGTCCATCGGCGTCGAACTGGACTGGTGGCGAACAACTTCGAAGATATTGTGGGCGTCAATCGGAGCTCGACATGAGAAGCACCGCGGGTCGACTTGCTTGTTCACCTGGTGCGCCACAAAATCCTGAAGGCATTTCTTACATGCACTATGCCAGCATGCGGTCACTGCTGGATCCAACATAGGTTCTTCACAGCAAATTGGACACTCTCCGCTGGACTCTGTTTGAATTTGGCGAAGAGCATGTGCAGTGAACGTGACAGATCGATCCTCTGATTCCGCATTTCCACTAGTTGAAGCGCTGAACTGCTGGATCAATTGCTGAAGATCCATGTCGTCTTTCATCTCATTTGTTGCATCAGCTGCTGCGGCAGCTACTTCCTCGTCGGCCACCAGGTCTTTGTTGCGAGTCAATATGGGATGGCAGCAGGTTTGCCGAAGACGAAGAATCTGAGCGAAAATAGTAGAGTAGGACTTTAGAAGAGTGCCAGCCTCCACATTTTCTCTGAATGTTTGTTTGGCTCGGTTGTAGATGCAGTCATAGATTTCTCGCTCCTTCTGAGGGAGTTCAATTTCTTCAATGGTGACATTTCTAGGGGGAAGAGGAACCAAGGGCTCTCCTTCTGGCGTCTTCATATTCTTGGTCCGCCGAAGAACAAGAGGCTCCAAAACACTCTGTACAACATTGAGAGCACGAATATATTCTTTAGATTCAAATGGCACCGTAATAAATGTTTTCCAGAACGAGAAGTTGCTCCACGGTTCCACTTTCAAGAAGCGGACTAGGCTGAACAGGTCTTCCAATCGGTTGACAATCGGTGTGCCGGTGAGGGCCCAGCGATGAGTGGTCTTGAGCTCGCAGCAGGCCTTGGTGGTTTTCGAGCGCCGGTTCTTGATCGTATGGGCCTCGTCGAGGATGATGCGGAAGAATTCAACAGAAAACAAACCGCCTTGAGCACTGGTTGAGGTCGCAGACTGCGATGCCAGAGAGGTGAATTCCGATAAGACAGTACCAAAGCTGGTGATGATGACATTGGGTGCATTGAGATAATTTGATTCGCAGCAAAGATCTCGAAGGTTGCTGACTTTATCGCCACCGTAGTACATGAGGACACGCATACTTCCTTCCTGCGAGGCCTTCAATGCTTCACTCTCCCACTGAGAAATCAGCGACGTGGGGGCGACAACCAATGTTGTGTAGGGTGCAGAAGTTACACCTCTAGATTCTGGTACTCGGGCAAGGTTGTTCACAGAACCAACACCATTTGAAAATTGGGGGTTCGGTTCAGTTCTGTGCGAATGAATTAGACTCATCATTTCAATGGTTTTTCCAAGTCCCATTTCATCTGCCAGAATTCCACCTAGGCAGTGCTGTTCCTGGGTTGGGAAATCTACACTGAGATCTCCTGAATACGGATTCACATAGAAGTGGTCAATTCCTTCAAAAACTGGAAGCTCTTCGTCATCACTGCCTTTGACTGGCCATGTGTACTGCTCCCACAACGGATGCATCGAATTCTCACGAGCTTCCTTATTATCTTTCTCTTTCGAGAGCATCCAGTGAAGAGCCTGTTTTTGATATTTGCGAAGGTGCATTCGGAATGTTGGTGCCGGTTCAGCCTCTGGCATATTAAAGTCAAATGATTGGGCTTTCCGGTACAGCGCATCCAGTTGATCTTGAGCAAGTTCTGCGGTGTCTTCCTCCTCAGAGGAGTCATCGGCGCCTTTAGAGCCTTTGGGCTTTTCCTTTTTGACCCCGTCATATTGCTCCGCCTTCTCAGCCGCCCGAAGAATTCCGCTCTTCTTATGCTTCTCAGTGGTAGGATTCGTCGATGTGGGTTTGAGATCGATTGCATCAAAAAGTTTCACGAGGGATACCTGTCGAAGTCGTAGGTTCTTTTCTTCCGTGTTCTCTTTCTCTTCGAAGATGCCCAAAGATCTATTATCGCTGGCCGATGTTCCCATAAACACGCTGCGCTGGAATGATTCTCTACGAAGGAAGCATCGCAGCTGCAGGTAGATTGTATCGTTGACTCGTAGTGTATCGTCACTGAAGACGCAAACTCCTTCAAAGTGACAGATGTTCTGGTCAATCAGAGTAGAAACCCACTCCGCAGTCTCATGCGGCAGTCGCCCAACCTCTTGCCCCAAGACGTTTGTGAATCGTGTCAAAACGTCACCTTTGTGGTTAATCATTGTTTTACCTCCACGAGCACGTTTGGTAGTTGGCTGCGACCTCGCACGCTCGATTTTAACAAGATCGCCATGCTTCAGCAAGGCAGGCCCGCTGCGAGTTGCCCAGCCACCTACACCGAAAGCTCCGATGAATCTTGAGGGTGGTAGTGTTTGTGAGACGGAGTTGTAGTCGGTCGAAGGGCTATCGCGTATGGGGATAGAGCTGGTCCTCGGACTCGGCTTCACGGGCTTCTTCCATGAACCATCGAAGTATATGTTCACTGCCCGTTCGAGGTTATTGGAGGCGGCCGTTCGGATGCTTTTTATTGAGGCGGGAGGAAGCTGTTCCCCTATGATACTGGTAAAAAGATCAATGTTAAAACCAGTCGAAATTGAATCAACGACTGTGCCTTCATTCTGTAGCGGAGGGGCGGTGTTTGGATTCGGTATGGTAGAGTTCGTTGTGCCTGTATTCAACGGAGGAATAGAGGCTTTGGGGGCATTTATATCAGGCTTGACATCGTTGGAAGGGACATCGTTCAAAGGCTGGATGCCCAGGCTTTTGTCCTGACCATGCTGCTCGGTATGGTTCTCTCGCTCGTGCGCCGCCAATGTATAAATCGCGCCATTTTGGGCTATGCGTTCTGGGTTCGGAAAAAAACGCGGTCTTTTCAGTGGCCTCTGATCCTCCAAGTCCTCGCTCATAATCGTGGTTTCAACATGGGAATGAAGGTTAAGGTAGAAGGATCAAGTTGGGGAGACGCGACGGAGCAACGCGAAAAATGACGGATCGACGTGTTAAGTCATCGCGGAAGGGAAAAAAGAACCAAAAAAGCACATTTTCCCTAGATTTTCTGTATCACATTTCTTCCTTGCGACCTATATTTTTTTCTCTTTTGATATTGACTAGAGAATTGAATTGGTTTATTGATGTGGATTTCATCGCATGATTTTAGTTCCTTAAATTCTTAATTGGTAAATCACATATTCTGGGTCGATCGCGGATGGACCAATGCTATTAAGCGGATTACAATCTTCCTCAACTTCTTCCAACTTGCAACCTCGAGTGTCTTCTCACACCCAACAATGTCTCTCTTCAAGGAGGCAGCTAGGCCGTGCCAAACAGGCAGTGCTCGCCTGCTTTATGGAAAGCCACTCCGGCAACAAAAAAGAGCTTTCAGTCGCACCCAACCAGCTCGTTCTCCCATAACCGCCGAGGAAGTTCAAGGCGCCCATAAATACTGCGTCGCTCTACTCTCGTATGCTTCAAGACCGCTACCAAGCCCTTCCTAGCCTTGGCCATATCGCCTCCGACTCTGATCAGCTACTGACTCCTCTTTTGCGAACTCCAGGAAATATGATCGACCCTCTTATACCCTGAGCAGCTTCATCCCCCCTCACGCCCGCTCCTTCTACCTCGCTCTCCGCGCATTGAACGTTTCTCTCTCTCTTATTCCCGAAACAACCTCCTCTCCTACGATCGGCCTTATGCGTCTCCAATTCTGGCGCGATTCCGTCTCGAAAATCCTCGCTGGCAATCCACCAAAAGAACCCGTCGCCATCCTCCTGTCCTCCGCTATTTCCGAACTCCACCAGCGCACAGAGGGCCGCGCCCGAATAAGCAAGGGCTGGCTTACTCGGTTAATTAATGCTCGCGAGCAGACGCTCACCAATGATCCGTACACCAATATCGCGGCGCTGGAATCCTACGCTGAGAATACCTACTCAACTCTTATGTACCTAACTCTTTCGGCCCTTCCGATGACATCCGTGACGGCGGACCACGTCGCATCGCATATTGGAAAGGCAGTTGGAATCGCAGCAGTCTTGCGCGGGCTTCCTTTGGTCGCTTTCCCCGCACCGCAGCCTCAGTCGCCGACTGGCGGTGGTGCGGCGAGTTTGGGGCTGAGTGGTGGCGCAAGGCAGGGAGCTGTCATGTTACCGCTGGATATCATGACACGGGCAGGTGTAAAAGAGGAAGATGTCTTGAGGCGGGGTGCCGAGGCCGAGGGGCTGCGTGATGCGGTGTTTGAAGTTGCGACTCGCGCAAGTGATCATTTGATTACTGTTGAGCAGATGCTGAGCAACTTGCGTGAAGGAAAGGATGTTGGACATGAGTTTGAGCATGAGGGTGAAGAAGGCCATGAGTATGATGCGCCGAGCCACTCCCGTGACACCCCTCTTGATGAAGTGAATAGGGCATTTGGTGTTTTCATGCCCGCTATCGGGACGAGGCTGTGGCTGAATCGGCTGCAGGAGTATGACTTCGATGTCTTTCGTCCTGAGTTGCTCCGCTCTGAATGGAGACTTCCCTGGAAGGCTTATTGGGCTTTCCGCCAGAAGACCATTTGATGAGAATATATAAACCTGTGTATAATAAAACTGTACTCTATGAATATGATACAAAATCAGGCGTTTGTCTATAAGATAAGTGTACAACGGTGAGGTATTTTACCCTCCCGAGCTTTAATAGCGAAAAGCCATGTCGTAAATTCTTCTTAGTACCTCCCCTTGCCTCCCTGTCGTTGTTTTCTGGAGCTAGTGATAAGACGCTTCTGAGCGAGCATGACGGCAGTGCGCTGGATTTTGTCGCGCCTAGAAGTGATGTTAGTATTGTTTCTTGGGCTCAATGTGGACGTGTAACTCACATTAAGAAACAGGTAGTCACAAAGACAAAAGGGATAGCAATCTTCCAAAAGTAGCTGTGTCGAGTGTTAGCATAGCACGCATAAAACCGGATATTATCCGAACTCACGAATCGCTGTTCTCAATGCCAGCAAAGTCTTTGAAATTCATTCCAAAATAACCCTAATCCCAATTATTAGAATGCGCGCGACTCAAGGGATCCCTTGAGAACATACTGTCAAGAAGGTCATCGGGAGATACAGGCAAGTGACGAGTGTTAGCTGTTTCATGCTTTCGTTTTGGTAGGCTCCTGCGAAAACATTAGTCTTGTCTATATCTCAAATACGGTCTTTGATCTGAGATATACCAATGGTGTTGAAAATCAGATCAATCATGTTATCCGCAGCACGTCGCATTTGATCATATCCTTCCACGATCGTGATGCAATGATCCAGCACATCACCGAGGTATGTGTGGCACATGTGGCTTATTGTCACAGTCGAGCCGCTGACGCTCTTCAAATTTGGCGGCGCAACTTCGATTCGTTGATCATCCATGTCGTCATAGTAGTTGTCTCCTGTGCCAGTACCTTGGGTGGCAGGGCTTCTGCGTACAATTCCAAGACCTGGCGTACCGACGGGTTGGGATCGGTGATCACGAAGCGTATTAATCACGGCGACAATGGGCTGCATTGAATTGCGCAATACTGAGATTTCCGATGTCAGAATATATAAACTCTTAGATTGATCGATATCTGGATCGGTCAAAACTTCAAGTTCTAGGTCACCGATGGCATCTTGATAGGCCATGGTAACTGGAAGAGCGAGATCAATGATGGCGTCAAGAATAGCTTGCATCAGCATGCTTGCATCACACGATTGTCGTAAAATGGTCTCTGGGGCACTCAGTCGTCGTACAATAGGAGCTTCAATGTCATCGGCGCTGCTTTCGAAGAAAGATGTCACTGTGTTGTCCGCGTGCAAGAAAATTGAGACCTGCTCCAGCGTGACGCATAGGTTTTTGGCAGCCAGAACAGCATGCCGTTCCATGAATTCAATTCGGCCTTCATTCGGGCCACCACGGTATCGCTGTAAAGTTCTAGCAGTACGCCCTTTGGTAGCAGACAAATCTCCAAAGTGGGAGGTATGTTTTGAAGACTGTCTTCGCGGACCTGGGCGGACACTAGCCCCAACGGGAATCTTTTCTTCGCGCTCTTCATTTGACCCCTTCTTAGACCGGAGAATATCCTTGAGTGCGTCGATAATGAGATTTCGCTTTGTGGGCCGTTTGAGAGAGATTGAACTCTTATCACTGGAAACAGATCCACTCCTTCCCCTTGACTTGCCATCTGAGATGTCCTCGTCTTCCGAGTCGCTCTTCTCCTCTTGCAATTTGATCAACTTCTGCAGGGTTAAGACGACAAAAACATGATCAGAGTACCAATCGGCTTTTGTTCGGTTCGTTGTGTGAACCACGTCTTCAATCGCAAGCCGATGCAGTTTTTTGTGGTTTCCGAGGATTTTGATAACGTCCCAGCTGAGACCATTCACATTGATCCATCGACACTGCACCCATGGCTCTCGCTCCCGCGCCAGAAACTGTGCCAGAGTCGAGTTGTCTAAACTATATTGTCGCATCTCGTGTTGCGAGAAATCCACCACTGTGATCTCACACTCCCGGTGCAGATCGCTCGGTACATTCGATGCCCATTCAGCGCTGGAAGCTGGGAGGGTCTTGGTTGGATCAATACCAGGTTCAGTTCCAGGTTGCCAGTTCGGATCCGGGGTAAAGCCTTCTGGACGATAGGAGCGCGCTGTATTTGAGCGTCGCATGCGACGTTTGGTAGTATCGGTAGAGTTAACCCGTGCTGCAGCCGTGGTAAAAGCGTCTGCGAATGACCCAGCTCTCCTGTCTGGGGATCTGTGCACATTGGGGGAGGCAGGAGATTGTCGTCCTGCTTCAAGGTCAAGATTCGGAAGTGGTTCGAGTCGCGTGGTGCCAGGTTGCGCGTAGTCAAGCGAGTGCACGCTCATGGCGGCGGTTGATCGAGTGGCGGCTATGGTCTCGAGGTGTTTATGAAGTGTGTATCCATTGGCTTGAGCGAAGTTGAACCCATCGAGATTTAATCAGATAAATTCAAGGCGATAGCTTTCGGGGGCATTGGAGAACAGAAAGGGATGGCGGAGCTGGGATGGGAGGTGTTTATCAGTGGCATGCAGGCCCACTGACAGGGGGCAAGTGTGCCAAGCTTTATAAGCTTTATCTTGATCTGCGGGGAAATGACGACAACTAATTTCGGTGGCACAGAAAACGCCAGTTGAAACTTGGATTTGGCTGTGAAATCGTGATTCCAGCTGCATATGTTAGCAATCTTGAAGATTGGATTGAATATATGGGTTGGTAAAGGGAGAAAAAAAAAACACAAAGTAGTAATCTTGGGCGCCATCATCGACCTACGGATCCATCCCGTCTTCCCGTCTTTACCCATTTCAAGTTTTCAGTATCAGGCACGGATTCGTAGCTTTGAAGAATCTTGGAAAAAAGATCATTTATTTGAAACAACTTTTTTAACTCAATATGAATTGACTATTTTGAAAAGGAAATCCTTGTAATTGATTAAAACAGCTTACCTAAAGCACCATGTCATGTGTGCAGCGCAGCACACCCGTTGACACCTAGGCATCTTCCTCGAGATTCTTGGAACACCTGAACACACTCCTGAGGTAATCCACATGTGAATTCCAGTACTTAGACACATCGATGGTTAGAAGTCTCATGACTTCTGAGCTTTAATTTCCAATCAAGTGCAGTAGATCAACACATTTGAACGCATTCGATTCAAATGTTCAATTGGGTAATAGTACAATAAAAAATATGTAAAACCGAGATAAGAAGATATCAATATAAATATCGAAATATGATCAACGCAGACCACCAAAAGTTTCCAGAGACAAGGGATAATTAACCCGAAGCCTCAAGCACGCTGAGCCAACGCCTCAACAATCAAACTAGCCACAAGCCATGGGAATCAATTAATCCTTGTTATTTCCGTGGCGTGGGTGAGCAACCTTATGCAAACGCTCCTTCATCTTTGCAATGGTACCATGCTTTCCATGGGAACCATCACTTCCGCCACTTCCGCTTGAGGCGTGGTCAGCGATATTACTATCCTTTGAAGATTCAGATTGGGCGCCTAAAGTAACGAATCGCGTTAGCCATCGGGAATGGAACTAATAGCCGAAAGTAGGTTGCAGGAGGGCAGAACTTACTGTCTCCGCTAGATCGGTGCTCCTCTTTCTCAGCAGGCTTCTTTGCCTTCTTGCCCTTCTCCTCCTTCTCAAACTCCTCGGCTGGCTTAGGTGCTGGTCCCTGGGGACCCTTCAGCGCTTCCTCGCTGACCTCCTTCTTATGCGCTGGGGCGGGGGCAGCAGTGGTGGTTTCATCCGGGTTGTTTTCTGTGGAGTCTTCTTCCTTTTCTTGATCCTGGTCCTGCTCCAATTCTTGGCTTTTGGGGGCTGTGTTTTCCTCAGTGCTTCGCTGCTCTGTGGTCTGGGACTCAATGGGCTTGGGCTTGGGCGAGTCGGTGGATCCAGAGCCGGAGCCAGAGCCAGAGCCAGAAGCAGCACCGACAGCGCTGATGCTGTTGTCTGTCGAGGTTGGCTCAGCCTTGTTCAAAGGTGTGCCGTCGAGTTTAGGTTCTTGTGGGGCCGTATCGATGTCTGTCTTGGGGGCATCGGGTTGCTCTTTGTGAAATATATGTCAGCACCTCCCTTCCGTGACGTGAGGATTGTAACCCAAGGACCAGACTTACCATCGCGGTTTCCGGCATCATAGGGGTCGCTGGCAATGCCTTTGCCCTGTATGCCAGAGATGGGCTCATCGCCATGTGGAATATTTTGAGATTCGGTGTTGTTTTCGCCCCACAAGGCAGTGGAGGCTGCGGTATAAACACGGTTGACGGCGTCCATTGTGGGGAAATTAAGGATAATGAGTTATGAATAGAAATATAGTTCAGAGTAGAGGTGGATTGTGAGAGTAAATCAGGTACCAATGGGTTGGGGAAGCTTTATGTGAAAGTGTAAGTTGAAATGATTTATAGTCTAGACGAGTGGAAGAGCGTCTTATGCTATATCTTCTAGGGATTACCATATGTAATCTACTACGTCAGTGGAACCCAGGATGAACAGAGTATCACTATAAAAGCCCAAGTATAATTGGATCCGAGCTGCAGCTAAATTGGATCTGAATCCATGGATGGATACAGCGATCGACAGATGTCATCATCCGACGTCATATCACGTGTACCCATATTGGGCCATTGGCTAATAACGAAAGAGAAAGAACGATGATCAAGATAATTGGAAAACAAATAAACCTCTCAAAACAATTAATATCAATAATCTCAAAGAACTCCTTACACCGCAAATTGTAATCATGTCTTTATCATAGGTTTCGGGGTATCTGCGTCACCTTGCGGCTTGGCACTGAGTGGCTGATTTGGGTCGTAACCGATGCTTTTCACGATACCCAACCCTTTCGTCTTGCCTTCTCGGAAAAGTACACGGTCACCGGGGGCCAAAAATTCCGGTCGCTGGATAAATCGAAAGGCGACGAGAGCACGATCGCCTGTTCGGATGAAAGGGCGGTCAATGTCAATGACCGAGCATGTTTGGCTGACGGCTCCAACGTGTAACATGGCCTGGTACTTTGGCTTAATAGTAGTGGCGTGGGACAAAATCAGCACTAGAGGAAAGTCAGTAGATATTTAAAAGATCCAAGATCGATCATGATAGTACCTTCAGCTACAAACTCCCGGTAAACCTTGGGCGTCTGTTCCGTTTTCTTTAGAACGACCATACCCTTGCGTACTTCCTTACGACGAACACGCTTCAATGCGAAAGATCCCGATTGACCCGCGAAGCAAGCATTGACTGGTATCCTCTTGCGTTCAATACTCTTAATAACAGTCGTGGTGAACTGGCCTAAGGAGTCCGGCCCAACCACGACCGAGTCACCAGCGTGGATCACACCTGATTTGACTACACCAGAGACCACGGTGCCCACATGTGGAACAGAGAACGTGTCGTTGATAAGGAATTCAAATGGTCCATCGTGGTCATAGTGACCCCGGTGTGGGAGAATATTCAGGAAAGTTCGCACCAGATCCAGGTTTTCACCAGTCACATTGGAGACTTGGAAAATAGGACAGATTCGCTGACTGACGAATTGACCAGCCGTATTGATGGTCTCTTCCATATCCTTGACGAAAACGGGGATCTTACGCGCACCCGGCGATTTGAGAATCTTCCCCAACTGAGACAGAGTCTCCTGGAGGATTTGAGGCGGGCAAATGTCGATTTTAGTGACAATAACCATAACAGGAACATTGAGGGCGAGGGCTATGCCCAAATGCTCACGACTCATACCAATCAGACCATTGTTGGCAGCGACCATCAGCAAACAGTAGTTGGGGCTGCTGCTCAGCATGCCGAAAACGGTTGTCCGCAGGTAGCGCTCGTGTCCTGCAAGATCAGAGAAGGATATTACCTTGGCCGACTTTTTCCCGATTTCCTCCCAAGACAGCTTTCGGCCTGCGGAGTTGGAGACTATCTCGCCGTGGCTGTCAAATCCCATGATCTCTAATCCAACAGAGCTGGTACGCCCGCTCTCTATTTCGTGCTTATGACGGAAAAGGTTGAGCCGTGCGCGACCACGACCATCATCGAGATTGCCTTTAACTAGAACACCAAGCATAGTACTCTTTCCTGCGTCGACATTACCCACCACCGCCATCCGAATCTCCGCCATCTCCTCGATGTTGACAGCATGCTGACGAATGAGCACTTTGCCACACACATCTTTAGGCCGCTCAGCCTTCTCTGGGCATTCCTGAGGGCCGCCAACATTGTAGGTTAAAAGTATCCGGCAGTGGGCGGGGATAGTTTCAGCAGCTTCGCGCAGCCGCTGTAAAGCTGTCTCCCATTGAGAGAGGTCGAAGCCCATCGAATCACCGCCATCCTCGAGACCAAGATCGAAAATAGCTTCGCCAAGGCCTTCGTCGGTACGCGCTTGTATTGTCGCAGCTAGTAACTGCAGACTGTTCTCAGTGCCTTCTCCGGTCCCCAGCAGAAGCTCTTTCATCTTCACAGTGCGAGGGGTGTCGGACAGGCATAGCTGATCCAAAATGTCGAGTTCGGCATGATCTTCCAAGCTAGGTGCGACGCTTCCGGTATCATAGCCACTGTCGCTGGGTACCGCGACAGCCGAGCGATGGGTTTGCTGCTTCTCGGCATACTCGGCGAACTCGCTCAGGGCCTGGGGTACACATATTCGTAAGCGAACGCCATCAAGGAACAATGCCGGGAAGACTTACGATTTCGCCTCGCTTCCGCTCTTCAGGGCTTGTTTTTGCAGTATGTGCAGGCATGTTTGGGTGGGGAATGTGAATTGGACGGAGGAAGCTTTTGAGCCTGGGGTAGTGACGTTGCGGTCGGGGAATAGATATCAAAGTGGGAGGGTCGCCTTTGCTGGGACGCGATTCAGACTTGTATTCGAGGGATCATTGCTTGGCTGTCCTTGACTTCAAGAACAGCGAATATGGTTTAAGTGACGGGATTACAAGTAGTTGTATGTGAAGATTGGGGGAGGGAGAAGGCGGGCGATCGGGGTGATCTTTATCGATAACCTTAGCTGGCCCGGATTCGAGTCATCACCCTTTTGAGTCATCATCACTTTAGCTCCCCGACACATCACCCGCCCACGGTAATGACCACAACATGGTGTTTTGTTCTGTAAGCTAGAAACTGAAAGAATATAATTGTGACTAACAGTGGGGTCATTAGTGCAGCCTTGCGGCTGTGCTACAGGCTACGGTAAACCAGGGAATGGTGGTGTCAAAGGGTCATAAACCCAGCTTCATAAGGCTTCGTACGTATAAAGCCCGTGGATGGTATCGCAGTTATTTCATTTCCCAACCCTTCTCAAGTGTCATTCCAGGTCCTTCTCTCGCCAGACGCCAGTCCTTCTATGGATTCGTGGGCCAATCAGGCCTGGGGGGAAATCAAAACGACGGAATCGCCTATGCAAGTATCAGTAAACCAGATGGAGCGAGCGGAACAGATTTGCAAATTTCACTGACCTCGGACAAAGAGCATTTCTTCCTGCTTCTTAATTGTCTAGTCAAAACATCCTTTGTCAGTGTTTTTCTTGTTCCCATCAACATGAACACATAATCCCTACCCGTGTGGTCTCCACCTCGTTCTCATCTTCCTCTACCACATAAATTGTCTCTTCCACATCGCCAAGGACCAAGTTGCAATGGCTATCGTAGGCCTGGGAGGTAATGGATGGTCAGCTGAGGGGTCGCATGAGTGCGGGAGTGGGTAGGCTCACGTGGAGACGACCCTTCAGTTCGCGGTCACCGCGCAATTTCACGAAGACAATTTCATCCAAAGACAAGCGGACGAGATCCAAGGGCTCTGAGACAGAAGCGCCTGCATCTTCGATATCGGCCATACTGGGTAATTGGCGAAAAGGTGATTTCTTGGTTCTTCAAACGGATTGCGGGCGGAATTAGAATCGGAGAGCTCTGTCCGCTCCCTATTTCGGCTTAGCGCATTAGTACTGCCCAGCGATTAGTCATCCGACATTACCCCGGACTTTTTGTTTGAAACGTTTGTCTTTCTCTGGTTTTTATGGAGAAAAAATGGAGAAAAATGGGCGGGGGGGGGGGGGGGGGGGGGGGGAAGAGGAGAAAAAGAAAAAAGATCTGGAGAAATCGAACATGTCGGAATTGAACTTAATTAAGTTACCCGTCAACTCCACTTTGAAGTGTAGATGTATACTCTTTAGTGTATAATCTTCATAATCTTCATAATCAAAGCAGATTTTACTCTAGACTTTGAACTACCTTGACACTGGTCTAGATCTGTATTAATTAGCATGTAGCAAACCGTCCGGTCACTTGTACTTCTTCAGAGGTCTGACCACCCCCTCATCTGCAGTAATGAAACGCTGCAGCACAAGTACCTTGTACCCCCTCTTTAATCCGGGGTCGAAGCGTTTGCCCCCGGTCTCGTGTTATTCTCGTGTCATGTAGCTCTTCCCCCTCATTTTCTCTTTTGTAGCCTATTTCCTTTCACTTCTTTTGCCATTAAACCGGATTATGTTACCTTCCCTATTCCTATAATGAGGAGGTTCAACTTCTCCAGGGAGAGATTTTCCTCCTACTGGCTTCTGTCCTCAAGAATCACAGAGTCTGGGTTGTGCTCTCCCACTCCTCTCACCAGGTTCACGAGACCAATCTCATCTGCTACTCGTCTTCATTCGACATGGAAAGGCCCCCGATTAAAGCGAAAGAACGATGAAGCCAGGCGTACTTCGATCTATGAATTCACCACCAGCAGTAATCAACCAGGTTCCACGCCCGCTCATGAAGCAGTGGAACAAGTACAACATGAAGCGATCGCAATCGATCTTCCGACATGGGATTCTCCTCAGGAAGAAGCTGAATACGCAGAAAACTTCTATCGCGTCATTGGGAATGGACAACCCAACCAAGTGATGGCGAGTCTGACGGACCCACGGTCGGCGGGACTGGTTGGGTCATTACCCCAGATCGTATTTATTGAGTTGCTCCACCGGCTGTCACCCGCCCATTTCGTCGACCCCTTCCGATATCTCCACCACCCCCTACATGCCTGGTCATCAATGTTAAAAGGCATCAAACGCGCCGAGGAAATATTTGACGAGTTTGTTGGAAATTTGTTCAAGATTACGCGCAATCGAACTTCTCAGGGCCTTGCGCTGGGCTTACCGGAATATACACATTTCCTGGACTGTGCACGGGCGATGGGTAACGGCCCACTTGCGGATGATCTATGGGAATCCATGATACGTGATAGGGCTAATCCAGATGGAGTCTGCTTCAACCACTACATGGAGGCGAAAGTGTGGGATCACTGCTATACCGGGGAGGAGGCTTATCATTTGCGGATGTTGCCCAGGTCTTACAAAAAGCGACGGATGACGGAACGCAACGTTGGCTGGCGGGGTTACGGCACAGCAAAAGTCGGTGTTCGGAGGGTCGTGTTGGATCTTTTCCGAGAGATGATTGGTCGTGGGCATATAGCTGATGAGCGCACCTATATTAACGTCATGCTTGCATCTGCCCGGACAGGTCACGGTCCCGGCGTGCGACATGTCTTGCAGACAGTGTGGAACGTTGATGTTGATGCGCTCAAGAAGACAGAAGATCATTCTCAGCTACCACCCGTCACTCCCTACGAGCCATGGTCCGCACTATATCCGACCGAGAACCTCCTCTTCGCGGTCGCGCACGGCCTGGGCACAAACAACGACATACCCGGTGCAATCCAGACGATCCAGTTCATCTCCTCCTCGTACAAAATACCCATCCCTGCGAAGGTGTGGTATGAGCTATTTGAACGGGCGTATGTTCTGAGCAGAGTCCGGAGCCCTGAGAGCAGGTACGAAGAATCCAACGAGATTGGAAAAATTTCGACAGGCCTGGTGCAATCCATATTCAAGACTATGACTTCCGAACCCTACAATATCACTCCAAGTATGCAAATTTGGCGATTCATGATCAATTTGAGCATTGACAATGGCAATTTGAGGGAATGCAAGTCGTATCTGCGGAGCGCATACGATCTTCTCTCTAAAACAAGAGCGAAGGAACAAGAGGCACGCACAATCATCATGAGGCTTCTCAAGCCAATACTGAGAGATACAAATGCACGGATTCGCAAGGGAGCGATCACGGCACCGTACGACTCGTTTTTCCAGTCTCCTCTGCTCTCTGAAGCGATCCATACATATAACATCATCCGACTGGAAGCTTACCAGCAAGTCTACATCCTACAACGCATTCTCTGGGTCACAGTCCGAGTTCCCAACTGGAAGGACACAGACGACCAATCTTGGTTCTTCGTGGAACGGCCAAAGATGATCGAAGAGTGGAGTGATTTTCTTCCGGGGCGAATGCGCATCTTCTACAATAATGAATGCGGCACGGTCGACTTCCAGGGTGAAAAGAGGTTTAAAGACCAACACTGGCACAACAAAAAGCCACTTCGACGAGACACGAGCAAAAAAGAACTCTTTTCCTCTTCTGAAACCCAATTTTGGAATGAAAATTCAAGATGGAATGATCTGTTGGTTCGGTATCCGTGGCTGGAGAAAACTATGGAGCCGTTGAGCACTTTATTCGGCTTTCAACCGCCTCGTTCTGAGGAGTTTGAAGAAGCCCTCAAAAAACTCCGTGAATCATGGGTCGATTACCCTGAAGATCATGCGATGTCAGCGAAGAATAATCCTAGCGGTGGCTTCCATGGGCGCCTGACTGCACTGGGAATGTTGAAGCCGAGGCAGGAAAGCGTATACTTGCTGGACGAGTCTTCCTGGATTTAGATATCTGTTTTTGAGCCCGAGGTTATTCATTGACGACTTTGAACTTTGTGTTAGCGCTCTTTCGATTCATTGTACTATACCCATTGAGTCCTCTAAACCTAGCAGTTTTGTTGCATCATGTTTTTATTTCCATGCAAGTTTTCAATATCATCAACCTTGACATCAAATTATGTTCACATGTATCTCCAATAATGAGTAGTGTACAGGAATGCTGGGGCAGCAATAATCCATTTCGTATGAAGATGATGACAGTAAATCCATACTAGTCAGATGTACATCCTATTCCACTGCATGGGCATGTCCCAGCCGAGAAAATAAGAAGCTTTCTCTAGATTTTCTCTTTCTTCAAATCATTCACAGTCATATACCTCCCAAGTGTAATCCACCCCCACCGGAACCAAACCATCTGGCTCTTATGACACTTCACCATAGCCGACTGCGCTGTGAACCACTCCGCAACAGAGCTAACAAACAGCAAGCGTGCGGGACTGGGCCCATCCTTCTTCACGCCGCTCAGTCTTGCCACGACATTGGAAAACGCACCCTGAATCATGGAAAACGGCGCATCAAGCACACCAGCATACTTCCTAAACATCGAAGTGCTCGTCAAAGTATACAGCTCAATGGGAGAGGCAAAGCCGGACTTGTCCTTCATGAGAAGCCGTACAAATTCCACAGCACCATGGTACAGCGAGCGGTGGTTGATATGGTTACTTATGCCATGCTGATCGAAGGTAAGGAGGATATCGATGGTGGCGGTGGGAGCTTTCTTGGGGTCTGCCTTTTTGCTACCGTTAAGGGAGGCGGCGAGATCGGGAGCGAATGCGGAGGCGAGGAGAGAGGAAACTTGATCGGCAGGCCAGTCTTTGGTCATGCTATCCGGGAAGCGAGTGGGGTCATCGATAATGAAGACGTCGGATTCGTTGCGAACACCAAGCTGAAGGGCGCTCTTCTGCAGCTCCTTCTTGCGGGTTTCGCCGAGGCCATCAGCATCACCTGTTTATAGAAGAACACACGTTAGATCCTTTTCCATGTTCTAGCTTCTCATGTTGCCCAAATTGATCCAGTTGAGACATTGATCCAGGGGAACGTGACTTCTTTTGATTTTTGGGTGTGGGGTTGACGTTGACGTACCGCTGCTGAGACAGAGAATCTTGAGATGATTGCCCAACTCTGGCTTCGTGAGCGCCAGAACTGTTGGCGCAAAGAACATGGCCTCGTCATCTGGGTGTGCGATCAACAGACAGATCCGCTTGCTGTGGAGTCGGGGGAAGTTGCGCGTGAAGGGTGAAGACGATGTGGCCGAGAATGTCCAGAAGAGTAAGACTGCAGCGATAGCTACTGCCACCGAGGTCCAATTGAGCGACGCCATTATGTTATAACGAGACGATTGGGGGGGGGGGGGGGGGGTTCTTCGGGGGCACCGGGTGGACTGGTAAAAATACCAAACTGCTTTGTGCCAGTTTTCCGCTGGCAACTAGCTCGAGAGCTTTAATGCTGTATTTTCGGCGACCGAGGTATGTGTGGTGTTTGTTGTTGCTGCTTTGCCCACTGTGAGGTCAAAGGCAATGAACGCCGGGCGGGATGCGGTAGGATCAGTTCGTAGAAAAGTGGATCAATGGCTGCAGAAGCTCAAGACATGGCACGGTGGGGAACGCCTGCACACGTCCCACCTTATATGAGGTCAGAGGCTTCCGGGATGAGCTAGTAACTGTATTATCAGGGTAAAAGTCGGTAAAACAGGCCCATTGCAGAGCAAGTACAGGCAGTGTTTTACGCCGATTAATTGAAAGAACACGGTGGCATGAAGCTGTCCCGAAAAGGAGAGCTCAGAATTATGATTCTGACTGCGGGCCGATCCCCCGGAATAAATCACGTGGAAGGGTTCAGCATAACGCGATGTCAACATTCAAGCTTCATCACATACATTTAGGAGACAATTATTTGATATTTTTTTCATTACTAATGAGACTAATATCTACATATACAAATATCCGGGAATCCCAATCAATGGATACCTACTGAATTGGGTCAAAGACAATCTTCAATAACTTGACTATGAAGACATGCCGAGAATATATATCGGCATACTCGAGGATCCAGATGTCACGTACAAGCAGAGGACCGAAACAGCTGAGCAAACCTCGTATGTGCAGCTAACAAGGCACTTGGCTCACCAAATTCTACGAGCGACCCAGAATCCAGTAGTGCAACTTTGTCATAGGACGTGACATGTGCCAGCCGATGCATCACGGAAACAATCGTGCACTCTTTGAATTCGACATTGATGATCCCTTGTATCAAGGACTCCGTTTCGGTATCTAGGCTACGCAGGTGTCAGTTTTGAAGCTCTAAGTTGAATCACAAAAGCAACCATTCTGTGGTTAGTATTCACTCACCTGCTTGTAGCCTCATCCAGCACCAAAATATTAGAAACTTTCCTTTTGATCATCGCTCTTGCAAAGCAAAGTAATTGCTTCTGGCCCGCAGACAGGGCCAAGTTATCGACCCTTTCATCCAATCCGCCTCGCTCTCTGACAATATGCCAAACCTTCACACGCTCAAGAACACGAATGATCTCTTCATCGGAGCAGATACCAGAGACATCCAAGTTGAAGCGCAATGACTTTCCTGGGAGAAGAAACGGATCTTGTGGGACAACATTGATACGAGCACGGATATTATCCACACTGATGAGTGGTTCTGTATTGGCATCGCTGATTTCAATGCCATCCAGCAAGATTCGTCCCTCAAGTACGTCCATCATGCGTAGGAGGGATAACACGAGAGAAGTCTTGCCGCTCCCAGATCGGCCGCAGATAGCGACATGCTCGCCGGGCTGTATTGAAATTGAGATACCCTTCAACACGGTGTCTGGTCCAGGTCTGGAAAAGGACACGCTGCGTTAGTGGTGATTCGACCGTATAATGATGAATGAAAGGAAGAAACATACCCAAAAGAAGCCACTACCCGATCAAACTCAATTGAACCCGATTCTGACCATTGGTGTGTCAAATCATATGCACTTCCAGTCCCTTGAACGCTCGATGCTAGATCTTCCTGTTCTGTATCGTCAACGAACCGTTTGACTCTCGCCACAGCCCCAATGCTAGATTCCAATTTTGTCCATTCCTTGATGAGGCGTGTCAAATTCTCGCTGAGTCCCATAATGATGACCAGTGATACGCCTACACCGCCGGTAGTGATATCAAGCTGGTTTTCCCAAGTGACAACTGTCGCAACAAGGATAACCGCTAGCACACCCATTGTAACATTCATCACAAAGCTCAGCCAATGCTGGATACAGCTTTGCATGTATGCAGGACGCTGAGACTGGTCAACAAGGGCTGACGCGCGCTCCTGGTAGAAGTCTTGCCAATTGAATGCGCGAATTGTCGTTGCGCCGTCTCCGGATCCACGGGCTGCTCCTGTGAGCCCATGGGAAGTAGACTCTGCCTCTGAGAACAGGGTATAGAGCGGAGCCTTTGCCTCTATCATGAGGAGACGCATCTGTCTCGAAGTCTGAAGGTAGAAACGTTGAAGGATGTACATGAAGGCAAATATGATCGGCAGGGCGACACCTAGAGATCTGGAAAAAACGGCCATTATGGTGACCTGAGCTAGAACAGTAAACGCGGCTGTTTTTATTTAGTCAGTAAATTTGATCTCAACTCCTGAATTGATGTTTGGATTCCGAACGCACTTGATGTATAGTTCAAGGCCGTCGTCGGGAGGTCCATATCTATAAGCTCCATGTCTTCACTAAATCTGTATTGCCACCATGTCAGCTGAGTCGATTGGAGTCCCTTCGTGTATACTCCAGAAATTGCTTACCTGTTTAGAAGTTCGCCATTGTCGGTTACGGTGAAAAAGCGAAAAGGTGCACTGCCCGAGGATCTCAATCAGTATGTATCCATGGATCTATGAATATACCCCAAAAAGGCTATGAGAGTGTGCTAACCGAAGAGTAGATTTCAGTAAGTCGAAGTGTAATCTGCTCGCCGAGTTTGAGATAATGTTGATTATCGCGAACCTGAATCCCAGAAGCCCTTCGTTAGCATACTGCGATCCCACCATGGGATACCTTGGAATTGACACACTCACCAGGCAGATAGACACGCCGCGATTGTCCCAATAACGGCAAGCATGGCGTAAACTCCCAGGTACATGCCCAATTTTTGATTTGGGTGGGCGGAGTTTGCAGAAGACCACCAGTCAACCCAAATGGCTTGTCAATAATCAGCTTTGACCCACTATCTGTTTGAATCAATCATGCGGATGTTATACACTCACTTGAGAACTCTATGCAAAAGACCCATAACGCCATTGAAATTGTGTAGAGACCGACTGCAATATAACCAGAGCTAGCGAGGTAATATGAGTAGACCGAAGATTCTCCATTCTTGCGTCTGGTATCTTGAAGCGGGCTAAACTGGGAGTCTTCAGCAGAAACGGCGTTGGACTGTTCTTCGTAGGGCGACCTACTGGTGGTGGCTATTATGTCACTTTCATTCACGATTTCATCGAGTTCATCGCTATCAATGTTCTCTTCTAAGTGGTCAGTTCCGGATAATAGAATGTCCCTCGAGATCTTGTTGTTGATTTGCACAGAAGTGGGACTTCCGACATTCACCACTTTACCGCCGTCGAGAGCAATGATCGTGTCCGCTAGGCTCAAAATCTTGTCTGCAATAGATAATCTTGTCAAACCGACGTTGATAATGATTTTCGGAGTTCTAGCGTACCGTTATGTGTCGCCAAGATGACTGTCGTTTTATTTTTGCGCAGGAGGCCCGTTTCGTGTGAGAATAGACGGTTGGAGATGCTCTGAGTTGTGTGTCCATCCATGCCACTGAAGACATCGTCTAATAAAATGACATCTCGCCTGGAGTAGACAGCTCTAGCTAGCGCCTTTTTGGAATATCTTTTAGTAAAAGCGAGAGCCAAGGTAAAAGCTAGAATTCCCACTCACGATGCGTTGCTTTTGCCCTCCGCTAAGATTCGCACCTTTGCTCCCAACTTCTGTGAAGTCTCCCTTCTTCAGATGTGCCAAATCGCCATCGAGACAACATGCAAATGTCACGGTATCGTACCACTTCTGATCCCATGTTGCCGCACAAAGAACGTTTTGACGAATAGTTCCGCTCTCAAGCCAGGGCTGCTGTGTACAATAAGCCATTGCTTCGCCCCGAAGTTGATTTGTTTGATGACCCTTCAGCTCTTTTTGATGTTCTGTTGGGTATGATTCGATAGGGGACTGGATAGAGGATAGCTCGCCGAGAATAGCGCTTAGGAAGCTTGACTTTCCGCTACCCACAGGTCCAACAATGGCCGTGATGCCTTCTCGTTTTATGTCAACTCCGATGTCCTGTAGTACGGGAGAGGAATTGAATCGATCCCAAGAAAAGCGATGTCCCTTGAGCTTGATGGACTCTTTCATTTTGCCATTCTCGTCATTGCTGTTGTTGGCATCCACCCCACCGGCATAATTGCAGTATTGCTGAATGCGATCAAAGTTTCCAATAGATTGAACAACCATTGGAAGTACCTGTATGAAATTGAGTACTGGTGTAGTCACGAGTGATATCAGAGAAAGTGAAGTAAATGCTTTTGCAGTAAGCAGAGACTCGTGCTTCCAGAAAGAAGCTATAATAGTGTAAACACCGAAGGTGATCACAGGTGCCAGATTGAGGGGTGTGAGCGCTTTGACCATGTGTTAGTATACACGTAAATCCCATTGTAGGGTAAATCTAAGAGCTGGAAAATACGTTAGAACTTACACAACATCAACATGGCAATGAGATATTTTCGATAAGACTGAGATGTTTGAATCTCGTCATCCCGAAGCTCTTGTATTGTGGGCAACACCTGGCCTGAAAGCCCAAGCATCTTGACAGCTTTTATATCACCCAGCATGGCGGAGGTAGCTCGAAGCCGCTCTTGAACTCTTTCAATCCATAGGATTTGGGTGTCTTTCAAGTAAAAGGAGATCCGAGAAGTTGCTGCAATAAAGACTTATAAATGGTTCAAGTTAGTTGTAGTTTCAACTGCTTATTTTAAGTGGACTCACCAAGCACAAGAAGCAGAGGAGCAATACAGGACAATGATACTTGTCGCCCGAGCAGCCAGCTTGCAATGCCGATCTCAAGTAGTGAACCCCAGGTGTCATGAATGGTCTGTAGGCTGCTCCATATACGCTCGACATCTGTCCCCATGAGAGAGACGGCGGTGATCTCACCCATATCGGCCGACCGGGTCTGCAGTGTTCGTTGGTAGATAAGTGTTATCAGACTTCCTCGTAATCTGGTGACGAATCGAAAGCTCTGATACTGGTATATGGAATTGGAAGCCTGGGAAATTCAATCAGTTTTGGATCGAAGATTAGCCCGAGGTAATTGAGACTAACAGCAAGGCCTAGATAGACAAGTGCCCATGCACCGACCAGCCCCTTGGCGTAATTCACATCACGCTGTTTTTGATCGATGAAATCCAAGGTCGCATTGATGAGAAATGGCTGCGCGAAGGTGAACCCGGTGATGAAGAGTCGCGGTATGATGGGTGACAAGAATGAGGCCAAGTGGGCATGAACACATGCACGAAGCAAACTGTTTGGTCTTTTGTGATCGTCTAGCGATAGGCGAAGGAAGTATGCTGATTAGCGATGTATTGATGCAAATGTTGGAGAGGCTACACAGATCTGTCACTCACATCGATCCCATTTAATTATAACTTTCTCGCACATAGTATGACTTTGGAGATTTGTATCTAGAGGGGGAAGATCATCCAAGATGAGAATTTTTGCATAACCGCTTCGAAATGTAGAAACTAGCCAGGAAAAGCTCGTTCTAGACCAGAAGCTGCTGTGCTGTTCTGGCGCCGTAGGATATGTCTTTGTCGGGATAGCTGCTATCGTCTTTTTCGTTGTGCCGCTAACGGATTCCAAGCTTAGCAATGCCATGAAAAGGGCAACAAGCATAGTCATAGTGATTGCGCCCGATGGATCCTCTGTTCTAGATGCCAAAAGCCAAAGTGTGCGTGCTTTGATGACTCCAAACAGCACTGATGCAGAGAGATAAAGATTCAAGACAGTCAACGGGCGCTCGGAACGCTGATGGCTGAGAAATGACAGGATGCCGGCCGCGAATATAGAAATTGTACACAAGATGTCGGCAGCCAACGATGATTCTGATTTAATGGCCTCGCTCCGGACCCTAATGGAAAGAAGGATCAACTGTGCGATAAATGCGCCCAAGAATGCAATCTGTATAGGAAAAAAGACTTTCGATTAGCTGAAGCACAAATAATTGACGGACTTTTCTCAGGCCCTCATCTGTATCATGTACTATGACGAACCAATTTGCATGACAGGAGCTTTGAATTGAGGGAATACACGACATGCTTTTGGATCAGCACAAGAGCCAGAGGGAATGAAAGCAAGAGAAACAGGCCGGCTGAAGAAGATGTAAGGAGAGCATCTTCAAATTCTAGAGTAAAGTCAAAGGATCGACAGCCAGAGTTGACTCGCGGTCCAAATGACCGATCGCTGCCTAGAGGGCATCCCATTTGGCAATGGAGTCCTGGATAGTGGACTGACAAAGACAATTGAATTTTTGGAAGAGATTTTTCACTATAACAAATGACTTCAATTCCATGAAATGGGTTGAAACTGGATACATTTTTTTAAGCGATCTCAAGAGGTCAATATATGCGTAGATTGAGGATTGCGTAGGATTGGAAGCCTGGGAGATAAGGAACTCGTAACGGGTTGGCTGCCTACTAGATAGCGTGTGGACATTAACTAAGCCTTCAGGTCAAAGCTGCGTTTCCCCGGAATCTCTTATTTCCCACTAGTATTCAATGGCCTTGACACATGACGTCAATTCCTTATGTAGGGGATGGACCATTTGAGTATCCGTAGGCAGGTGGAATGCATGAAAAGTACTAGTAGCTGCGATATGTAGTATTTACTAGGTTGGCCAAACATATCGGAATGCCTCAGGCTAAGAAATCAATTTTCGACAGTGTACAGATGCATCATTACTAGTATTTTCAGTAGCAGATGGTGTGATTTGGGGGGAAATACATACTAAGCAGATCCTAAGCAGATCCGAGTCTTGTAGTCTTGAATGTGGGGAAATGACACAATTTCACCTTCAGGTCAGAATTCTTCACTTCACTTGACAGGTGACTAAAATCACATCATTTATGATTGCAAATCAATGAATTCAAATGTTGGATTGAGATGACTGTACTCAAGGTGTCTAGAATCAGCTTCGTGTTTTTGCGCCACTGCTTGTCAATGTCGAGTGCTGCGTACATCTGAGATCACTATGAGTTTGACTCATAAGGTGACGCTTAGAACCTTGGAATAGTACTCTGCAGGATGGCTCCAAGGTCCTTGTTTTCCAGAAATTTGGCCGCTCGTAGAATCCGCTAATTTTCGAATGTCGATTTGAATTTTGAATTTTGAATTTTGAATTTTTTTACATGACTCCAACCTTGGAAGGCCTTTACTGCCCAAGTTGAGTTATACCTAAAAAAATGGTACCCATTTGTAAGGCTGGAACCCCAAGCTTCTCCCGCGACGATCGTCGATCATTGAAAATGATGTGATCGGAGTTTCTCTATTTTCTTTTTCTCACATATACAAAGAAAAAAGTGATCTATCCCGTACGATTCTTGAATTCGGGCCGGTTTGACAACTCACAATCAAAACAAAACATTTTCGAACTGGTACGCCTCCCGTCATCGGGGCTCTCCGAAAAGAAGCGTCGGGAGTGGCCCCATGTGGATTACGACTATCGGCTACTATGGATTACAGACGGAGTTCCGTGTAGGTTATTACGGAGACCATTGCAATAAACAACATCCACAAATGGACTCAACCAAGAATGCAGTAAAAAAAAAAACCAGAAACCTTGAAACCTTGAATAGTCACCGCTATAAGCATCGCTGCATCACGTTGCCCCGGGCCGAGTATAAAGTTCGCAGGTGGAGTTTTCCCGGAAAAGCAGAAAATTTCTGCTGAACTCCCGCTTCTGGTGGGGCGCCGGGAGTTTTCCGTGGCATCTAGAAAATTTCCCAGAGAATAGGAGATAATTGGAATTTACCAGAAAAAATGATGCCATTTGGTTTTGCGGGCGAGAAATTGCAATTTTCCCAGAACACTGGAAGGATCTATGGATTGACATAGGCGAGATGACGGTGGCTTGTCCAATTCTCTACACATACTACATGCAGATGAGATTCGACATGTCGTGGATCAAATGGGCAAATCGTTTGAGAACCTTGGAAGTAACCCAAAACGTATATTGTGTATACATTCTACATACTAGGAGTCCTCCAGATGGGAAAGGAATTAGCCAACAAGGCTGTGTATGTATAAAGCCACCGGAGGGGTTCTCCGAGATCGACCCGAATCAGGAAGCTCGACGGAGCACGTATCCACGGCATGCCATGTCGCGCGTTTTCCATTGGCGACCTACGTGAAAAAAATCCGATCTACCGTTGATTGGATCGGCCTAAAATAAGTGAAACTGACCTTTCCCTAATACCCTCCTTTGATGATGGCACCTTTATCCGTACTCCGTACTAAACTACGGAGTAGCTAGCCCCTTAGTAGTGAGACTGTGAACCCATGTCGTACAGAACCGGCCCCGGTCACCTTAAACCGGCTACTCTACGCGGTACCCGCAACAATAGCAAGCGTCTACGGGAAATGGGGCCCCAATACCTAACCTTGGTCTGGAGCCATGGATCGACAACATGGTGAAAGGGGGACGCCGCCAAGAGGAGGGGGCTACCATGCGGGCGAGCGCGACCTTCAAATTCCGTGGAAAATTTCCTAGTTGGATCAAGAAATGCGATTTGTCTGGAACATTGAAACTTGGTGTCTCGTGGTTGAAGTAGTATTCGTCCAAAAGGTCTCATGGCGTGATCAAAGTTCTTCACCGTATGGCAGACGTGCTCCGCGGAGGAGATGAGTCAAGGAACAATTTGAAGCGCACGAACCTCGAAGAACGAGTTTATTCGCTGGACGTTACACGGACACTTAGCTACGTAGGACATGCATGGCCGTCTTTGCACAGGTCAAGGCTTAAGTGCAGCTGCAGGTGATATGGAGCTGATCCTGGTACATGAAGACATCCGTGCTCCTTTGGAAAAGGTACCTGACCTTGTACTTAAGCTGGATCTGGAGGTGTCAAGAGATGGGGAGCAAACTGTTAGGTAATTAGTGCGGGCACGAGGATTCATGATTCGCCAGAGTCCCTCTGATGGAGTACAAGAGCATCTCTTGACAGTTGGGCTCTAGACTTTTCTGATGGTGATCATAGATTGACTAAGCAAGCTCTCTTTTTGATTCTCCATGTATACCATGGCCATGTGTACAACCTACACCTCCTTTTCGCCATGTGTTCATGGAAGCGAAGAGGCGTGCCCCGCAAAATCAAGGATTATTTTAGTTGCGGGGTATGGAATCGCCAATGATGCAGGATGGACTAATCCCAAAACGGTGGCAGAAGGGAGAAAAAAAAACAACGAAGCCGGCAAAAGAGAAGGAAAAAAGGCGAAAGGAAAAAAATTGAGGAAAAAAAAAAAAGAAAATTTGACGAGTGGATCAGGGTCTTGCACGCGTTTGTCTGCCTCAAAGCGGAAAAGCGGGAGCATCGTGAGGATCTTCGAATGTTCCTTTGATCTGTACGGTATGGTATTGGGGTCCGTCTCGGTTCTGTCAGTCCAAAAATTACATCCAACCTGCCAGATGCCATCGGTGGCGCCACGTGGTGGTGCCAGCTGATCTTATTCTTTGTATAATTAGGAACTTCTGTAGTCGTCAACGTGGACACTACGTATGTCTAGAGAATTAAAAAAACAGAAGTAGACCAAAAAGGGGAGAGCTTGGTGGTTCGCCTCGGCGACTTCAAACGCCGAACCTAGCCTGTCAATAGCTTAGTACAGTATGGATATGGGAGTAAGTTAGTAACCACTCTAGCCTAGCCCACCAGGTGCTCAGCTGATCGGTCGAGTCCCCAGACACACATTTGCTTACACACATTGGCTTGATAATCAATCCGGGGAAGGTTTTGCATAGCGCCTCCAGGACTGTACCATCCACGGAGTAATGTACGGAGAAAATGACGGAGTAGACGGGTTTGAAATTCGCCAAATCTTTACAAGGCCGACATTGATGTGTTTTTACCCCGCCGACCACATGCGAGAATGGACCGACCACACCGAAGGGCCACGGAGTTGGCGTACCAGGGCCCCAAACCTTAGGCCGGCCACTTAGCCGACCGTGAGTCATTTACGCACGGCCATTAGCATGTACCATCCCAAAGTGATTTTCTCACATGTGTTGCCTATGTGGGGAAATCGTCTTATGGAAGACGATCCCGATCCATTGCCCAGTCGAGATCAGCTTGAGTTTATACCGGCACCAGATCCGATAACCCGTGATGTTTCCTTTACAGTGTATTCTGATGGCGTGCGCAATATTCTGATGAGCATAATCGATGACGATTCTTATGATACTTGCACATTGGGAGAAAACTGGAAATTTACGTCAATGTTCCAGAGGTTCCAGAGGTTCCAGAGATGTTTTGATGTTTTGATGTTTTCATTGTGTCTAATATTAGAGACAAAGGATGAGTAAGAGGGAAGTTTCCATGGGAAAATCGAAAGTAACAAATGAAAGCGAAAACGATCAAAGAATGGAAAGAATTGAATTGAAAGGAACCAGTGGTGTAAAAAAGGCGTATTGGTATGGTTCGGGATCCACAATGACGCTTTTTGCCTGCTCCACCTCTCCCATCTTTTTTTTCTCTCCTTTGCCTTTTTTTTTCTTTTTCTTTTTTTTTTCTCTTTTTTTTTATTCTTTTTATTTCTTTTTTTGTAATTTTGGCTTTTTTTTCTGCAATTTTTTTTCCAATTGGATCCACATTTGCAGAGTGGCCAGGCCCCTACAACCAATCATATCCCACGGTACCTGGCTCGCCGCATAGACGATGTAAGTGGGAACTAGAAAAATTTCGTAGTTTCAATGCGCTTTTCCACGGATTCGGTGGTTTTTAGGCTCAACCACATGATCTTTCAATTCAGGTTCAAATAGTCACTGGTTCCCACTTGATGACTTCCTTTTTTCTCATTCATTTGGAACCACCTAGTTATGTTTTGGATTGACCTGTCACAATTATATCAACATCGTACCGCATCTTGATCTACAACTGACAGCTTCCCCCACCTACGACCTTCCCCCCTCCGTCGACTCACCTTTTTTTTTGACCAACGGAAAGAAACAAAAAGAAAAGAACCAATTTTCACTACTCTACATCCAAAATGCCAGGACGTCTGATCCCCAACTTTGTTCGGGGCTCCGGCTCCTTACATTCTTCCGTCACCTCGACTCCCATTCACTCCAACACCTCCTCTACCACCTCCGTCAATGAAATCCATGGCCACAAGAAGCCCGCACATGCCACCCCGGATCGTGCCCGTTCCCCCGAACGTCGTCTCTCTTTCTCAATGGACCACTTGATTCACCCCCACCGCGATCACAGCAAAGAAAAGCGCCGCAGTCTGGGAAAGTCGGCTCGGTCTAAGGAGCGTCTCGGCAAGGAGGAATTGGCCCCGCCGTCGGCAAAGTTGGAGGTTCTGGTAGAATCACCCCCGTTGGTTTGCTATGGCACTCCCGCTACCTCCACCGGTGCTTTGTTCTCGGGTCGCCTCCGCGTGGCCATCGGCGAATTGATTGGCAATGTCACCCTGACCCAATTCGATGCCAAGCTCATCTCCAACACCACCACCAAGAAGCCAGTCTCCAACCACTGCTCAAGTTGTGGTACACGCAGCGAGGAATTGACCAATTGGAACTTTCTCACTGAGGACCTGACCCTCAAGGCTGGTGTCCACGAGTTCCCTTTTAGTTACTTGTTCCCGGGCCACATCCCCGCTTCGTGCAATGGCTCTCTAGGCCAGATCGAGTACTACCTCTTGGCCCACGCTAAGAGTGTGACTGGTGAAGAATTCAACCTCAAGCTTCCCTTGAACGTTCGCCGTGCTCTGATTCCTGGTAACGACAAGTCGTCCATTCGCATCTTCCCTCCAACCAACCTCACCGGCCGTATTGTGCTCCCCTCCGTGGTCTACCCCATTGGCCAATTCCCCGTCGAGATGACCCTGAGTGGTGTGGTGGACAAGGGCGAGGAGACCCAAACCCGCTGGCGTCTTCGCAAGATGATGTGGCGCATTGAGGAGCACCAGAAGATCGTCTCCACCGCTTGCCAGAAGCACTCTCACAAGATTGGTGGAGATGGTAAAGGTGTCATCCACCAGGAAACTCGCATCATCGGCCACAACGAAGAGAAGAGTGGCTGGAAGACAGACTTTGACACCGCTGGCGGTGAAATCAGCATGCAGTTTGAAGCTAGCATCAACCCAACAACCAACCCGGTCTGCGACATGGAGGCCCCCGGTGGCTTGGAAGTGAAGCACAACCTCGTGATCGAGCTCATCGTCGCCGAAGAATTCTGCCCCAACCGCAACACTCGCCTCATCACCCCGACTGGTGCTGCCCGTGTGCTCCGCATGCAGTTTAACCTCAACGTTACCGAGCGTAGTGGTCTGGGTATCAGCTGGGATGAGGAGATGCCTCCTATCTACGAGGATGTTCCCGCCAGCCCACCCGGCTACTTCAAGCTCGACGATACTCGCAGTGTCATCGAAGACTACCACGGATCTCCCCTCCCACTACCCGATTACGAAGATCTGGAGCGATTGGATTCGTTGCGCCTGGACAGTGATTCTACACACTCCTCCAACCAGTCCACTCGTGGCCATGTGCGCTTCACAGTGGACGACCTCGTCACCGACAGCTCTCCCGGACCCTCCGCGCCTGCTTCTCGCGCTCCATCCATCGCGCCGTCGGTTGATTCTTCCCGCCAATGATTTACATTGCGGTATCAATTTCTCGTTTTCTCCATTATGACGTTACGATCTCAACGAACAAAAAAAGAGATATTACCAGTTTCGGTGTTTTTTCCCCCTTCACTTTTCAACATTTTCTATCACGATCATCATTTGCCGGAGGATAACGATGCGCAATGAATCTTCGATACCCCCACATTTTCCTATTCAGCGTTGATGAGCCTCAATAAACTCCAACGACCTGTTGGAGGCAAGAAAAACCTCACAATCGGATTACACAAAAGACAACTTGGCCCTTTATCGCATTTCCTTAGCTGGACGGACGGGCTTAATTCCCCCACTGCATGATACCCAATACCTTTTACTTCTGAACATATGTTTCATACTTTCTCCTGTTATCACACTATTCCCCATCTGCACAGTTTTAGACTTGATTTTTTCCCTGGCTTTCCGCGATCTTACTCAACTCTTTACGTCAAGCTATAATACAATGACTATCAATGGTCTACTAACTTCCACCTAAACCTTCCAATTCATACCAATTTCCATTACCGTAGTCACCCTTCAAATAAAAAATCTAGACCCCCGATAACATTGCGTCATGCAACACTCATCAGTCCCACTTGGATGCCCCACTCGCCCGTTTCAAAGGAGCGTCGAAAGCTTCCAGACCCTCCACTTCGTCACGGGATGTCCAGATCATGGAATCAATAAATTGGTCTAGACAATGCAGCCTTAGTGAGCTCCACCGGTACAAATTACAGCAGCTTCAGCTCCACTAACTAATTCCTTACTGTGGCTGGAGTCCTGTTTAGGGCACTGAAGTTGGCAATTGAGGCAAGGGGCATCATTGTATTGATACCCACTGACAAAATACAATTAGGCCAATCGGACCTCCCGCTGGGTTCCTTTTTTAGCCTCGTGAATCGTGAGGCTAGGGACTGTGTATGTAGGCACGTACCTACTGTAGATCCCAAGGGGTTCTTCACGGATCGGATCGACGTCGTTACCGTCCGGTGACCTCGCTGCACCGGATATGGGTAACAGATTTCCGCACTGCAAGGGAGAACACGTTTGCCAATCCTTAAAAATCGACTCCTGAATAACTGTCCCGTTCGAGACATGGACGGATGGGATGGTGGAAAATGGAGTCTAGAACTTTAAATATCCTTTTTTGACCTGATTTGGGTGTTCAGATCGAGACATGTACGATGGAGTATAGCTCCTTACAAACCCCACTTTCTACAGTGTGCCACTTTGCGTCCTAGCCTCTGACTCTGAATGAGGTCGCGTTAATCATTTTACCTTCTTGGGCGATCAGGAAATAAGGGGTGATTTGGGGGTTATGGAGGATCCCACTTTGAAACGACGTAGAGCAGATACTATTGAATAATCACAATCTCAGAAAGGAGAATCGCCTATGAACTATGCATGCTATGGTACACGAAAAAGAAAAAAAAACATCAATCACAGTGGCACCTCATCGATATCGTATACCAGATGGCCCTGCCTAATCCCCTTTTTGTCCAGACCAAACACCCATGCCACATTCAACATGGTGTGGAACTTGAGCTCCTTCAAGTAAAGACCCCTGTGTGTGGTCTTCTTCCTCATCTGTGCATTCGAGGCGGCCATCTCGAAGATCTCGTTCACTCTGGGCCGTCGAATATGATCATACTTCGCAAAGACCTCCTCAATGGGCCTCTCCGGGTCCGCAAGTAACCGCGAAAGCAAGAACACATCCTCCAGCGCCATGGAAACTCCCTGTCCAGCATGCGGCGACATCGCATGAGCAGCGTCGCCAACGAGCACACATCGGCCCCTCGACCAGCGCCCACCAAGCGGCAGCCGATAAACAGGATAGAAGTTGACGGTCGAGGTATTGTGCACCAGGTCGCGGAGCGCATTGCCCCAATCACCCTGCGCATGCCCCAGTGTGCTCAAAAGCTGCTCCTTGAACCCATCCACCTCCTCCTTGCGATGCAACTCCCATCCATCCCGACTATGCCCCGATTCAGGAAGCGGAACCCACTTCGAGAAGAACATGAACAGCTCCTCCTTGTTCGGCAAGCAAGGATTCACAGCCAGCATGCCGTCCTCCGTAAGCGTGCCCTCGAATCCCTGGACCTGCTCCACAGTCGCAGGCGACAAGACCGAGCTGGGCACAACAGCCCCAAGCCCCGAGGTGCCAGAGTACTCGGGCTCATGGTCCGGATCGACGTAGGAGCGCCGGACAAAGGAGTGAATACCATCACATCCGAGCAGGATATCAGCTTGATCGGTACTTCCATCCTCGAACGTGACTCTCACTCCACCCCTCTTGCCGGCCGCAGTGGCCTCCTCGAAGTTCTCCGTCTTGACCAACTTCTTGCCGAAGTGAATAGAGATCCCTGCTCGCTCCACCGCCTCTAACAGGATGCTTACGATATCCATTCGCTTGATACGCATATATCCGAAGCCGGTTTTCTCCTTGGCCCAGCCTGCCATATCCAGTGAGCCGACATCGTGTCCTGAAAGCGAGTGTAACGTCATGGAAGTAGATGCACTCCAGCCGTGAGCGGCGAATGCATCGTAGACGCCCAGTCGGTGTAGGAGGCGTAAGCCGTTAGGCTGGATTCCAATTGCGCCGCCGAGGGTTGTGAGTTCTGACCGCAGCTCGTAGACTGTGCAGCTGATGTTTGTTTGCTGCTGCAGGCTGAGGGCGGCTGCGAGACCTGCGGGGCCAGCGCCCATTATGATTGCCTATTATGCATGTCCCGTTAGCATTGCTTTTTCTTGTTGGTCAATGTATGTATGCATGTGGTTTGTTGCGTTCAAGTTTGGGCAAAGGGGGCTTCGGGGCTTTGTAAGTACCTTGCGAGTTTTTTCGACCATTTTGATGACAATATTTTTCTTGATGTATTTTGAGATTCCTTTCAAGTTGTTGCTATCTTGCATTCAAGTGTTTTTATTTTGAATTGGATTTAATTTTCCGATATGCGTGCTGCAGCCTGCTTAATATACTGATTCTTTGACATTGATGGTCCGCGGGGTCTAACCGGATATGGTAAGTGGCACCGCGGAGCCGGAGCTCAGACGTTCCGTTTTTGGTGTTTTGCCTTCCAGCATTCCTTGTGTCGTTACATGATTCGCTGATCAGCACAGAGTTCACCTTGGCTGACATAATGAAGTGACGAGTATGGAGGCTGTGCACCAGTGGAAGAGAAATACTGCAACTGGTATGATCGTGGCTCATGGGTGCCTTAATTTATCTTGGTGCATCTACCCGTCCGATCGGTCAGGTGTACAGCATTTAGGCGACATGCTGGGTTACACAGCCACAGCATTGGAACCTTCCAAATTTTGACTATAGAATATACGACATACTTATTTGCCCTAGAAAGGCAGACCTATATCAGTTATGGAGTATTTCAAGTGCAAATATGTTATGTACATATAGCGGGTATACTACACAGTAGCTATTACCTATACGTTGTCCATTTAAAGGGTAAGCCGCCAGAACCGTTTAAATGCCAGTAAGCTTATTTTTGGCCCCGACGCCAAGTTCAGCGTTGGCATAGGATATTCCATGTACTCTATACATTGTAGTACTTACATCTAAACTGTTCAAATGTTGTCAAAGACGGCACATTTAACCTTGAAGTGATCGGCGTTTTTAGTTTTTCATGCATGTAGACATGCCCAACCACTCCGAGATTTCAAATAAATATTTAGTATACACGAACCCGGGTGACATTTTCATGTGCGTCTCTCCCAATGACGATACTACTGCCGCTGATCAAAAGTTTACACTCCCTGGTTCCAGATGTCTGCCTATCAGGCCCTATCCTAAGAAACTCCCAACGACATCGTCCTACTAATCTTGGAAAATAGTACGTTGTGCAACACTAGCTAGAGCATCAGGCTGAACCGTCCTTTCATTTCCCCTCAAACGAACCCCACCCAAGGAAGCGTTACTGGTTTGCAGATCAGCGGCAAACATGCACATGTGCAACTGTGTTAGGTAGTAGCCTTTGGCCCTTGGGGTTGAGGGCACTAGAAAACTTTGAAAATTCGACCTTGAGAAAATAATGGTAGCTGATGAATAATCATCGTAGATGTTTGAACACATCAGTGACGCAGTTTGCGCTACGTGACAAAAGGTCATAGGCATATACATGGCGACATTTTTAAGCCCTGATACCCGTGCGACAAGTTTTTATGCATAAGCCTGGTCGTGATTGCTATACTTCATGAGGGAAAAGCAATGAGTGAAGCAGGGAGCCAATCAGAAGAACGAATTCAGTACTGCGTGGTAAATTAGAGGTCAAATTGTGCATACTAACTTGAACCAAGTGGACTGCACAGGTGCTAATTTGAGAGTGCAGGACGCAAAGTAAGCGCAGGGATGCCGAAGTATGAATCACGAGCGTGGCATTGTTTTCCCCCAAGATAAACATTCTCGGAAAGGGACACAACCGGGACAGAATTCTTCTAAATAATCTTCAAGATGAATTCCCCTGAGAACCATGTGGATTGTGGAATATACTTCGAAATATTAACGCTTCAAATACATATGAAGTGGAAATAACCAATCAAGATGGAGTGGGTCCGAGAGATTTGGAATTGGACGTAAGATTATGTATGGGGAATCACACCTCACGCATAAGGCTACAAGGCGTTTGGCTGCCATTGACAAAGATCTCGCTTTCAAGGGGTCATAGCGCCCCCTGTGCTGATACGATTCCAAATCCCTGAGAACCAACATTTGAAAGAAAAAAAATATATTCCTTACAACTCATGCAACTACCCTTCTTTTCTATCCCCCTGAACCCTTCCTTGTGGAAACAGACATGCTGCATGCATTCAGTCTTGCCGAGATTATACCACGCTTCGAAGAGGAAAGAGAGGAGATGAGGATGAAAAGAGGAGTATTTTTTCAGAATGGGAGATATATTCAAGGTAAATATGATTCGGGAAGGGGGAAAACATTCCCCTCCTAATTGCAAAAAAAAAAAAAAAAAAAAAAAAAGGACAAACGCTGACGAAATGAACATTGAAGACATGGATATATAACTGGAAAGACAAACACCAAAAAGACACATGTGCACTAAAAGACACTAAAGACAAACTCCAAATGCACAAGAACGCCAATCTTTGAAGGAATAATCTAGAAAAGGTCGAGACCGCTAGCTCGGAGCCGAAAACAGTGGGGGCCAGCCTTGCGTCCGGAAAAGAAAAAGCCTCATGAATCGAAAATCGGGCCAAAGGCTGGGAAGCCTCGCGCCTCAAGCTCATGAACAATTCGTCCCGTCAGCACAGGATTACTGATAACGCACACCGCTTCAGCGTCGAACTCCTTGAACTGACGGGCGATAATGGGAACCATGTCGACACGACCTGTTTGGTCCGTGTCCAAAATGATGGGGTTCGCATCCATTTGGCGAACTAGATCCATAACCCCCTCCCCGTATGTCTTTACCGGGGCGCGAGTTTGCCACATCACTCGCAATGCGGGCCGGTTATCGTCGCCAAGGAAGGACAGACAAGGGCCAATACCCGAGCCAGTGGTCACTATAATGACTCGCTTAAAGACTCGCATGGCATATGCAAAGCCATAGAGTAGTGCGCCACGCTTCCAGAAGTGTGTGGGCGGTTGGTTGATGCTTGCAGCTGTCCAATCACCGGCCTTGGACACCAAGCAAGAGAAGCTGGGTTTCCCACGCGAGCCTTGTGGGGTCGGGTCAGGGAAAGTTGCAAATCCATGCCAGTCCCGCAGGGGATGCTTGGCCAGCTGGACGCCCTTTCCAAAGACCGTGGGGGTGTGGTCAAAGTGTAAGCGCACGGCGTGTGCGGACAGCTTTTCGGCCCGCACCGGGACCTTGCGGAGCATAAGCCAAGGTTGAAAGATCGACACAACAGTTGCGATCAAGAACCAAAAGGCGGGGAGACGGATGAGGAAAGAACCGAGGGGCTGATTCTGGGCCGAGCTGATCTCGCGAGAGAATAACATCAGCAGCACGAAGAAAAGGGCCACGACTAGCCACCCGGAGAAACGGTGGATCAATTCAAAATAGTCGTGGAATTTGGTGCGAAACGTGGGATGGGCCACAACGGTGATCGCCAGCAACAGAATGAGAATAATGTAGGCCAATGCAACGGGGGCGGCTGAAATGCTGACAACCGAGGCGCTAGTCGGAGATGGCGTCCAATACTGGTGTGACATGACACCGACGAACCCAACGTACCACACTAGCGCAGCTACTCCGCAACCACTGTGCACGCCACCATAGTGATAAACTTGCGCAGCCAATCGGCGCAAAGGAGCTGGTGCAGTCCGCGGGATCGAACACACAAGGAAGAAGATACTGTTGACAACTAGTGGCTGCCGGGCCAGTCCGCATGCCAGCAAGTTGGCCGCGGTTGCATTGACTAAGGCAATTAGCTTGCGGTCAGACATCATCACTGCGACGAAAACGCCAACGTTGGCGAGAAAGACAAGGGTGAAAAGTCGTCGATAGATTGTGAGAAGGGCAAATCGCAAGTTCGCCAACGGCTTCTTGGCGGGAAGTGGTGTTTGAGCCTCGAGATCGATCTGATCATCACGACGGTCGGTTGACACCGAACCCATCTCCTTGGAAAGGCACTTCTCAATATCTGAGTCGCCATTGGTGAGGGTCCACTCGCTGATAGTGGGAGATTGAGACTCCATCTTGAGCACAGCGGGCTCAGGTTTGGATATAATGGTCTTCTCCGACAACGACATGATGATTCTTATATTTTCGGTGTTCGAAGAAGAACAGCCTGGGATGTTTCAAAAAATGACTGAAATTAAATCACCGAAGAAGTTCTCAACTTGACCAGGATGCTTGGGGTGAAGAATTTAAATTGGAGTCCGAACAAATGAGCACCTTGAATGGCAACAAGGAACTTTGGAAAGAGACTTCAAGGTACAATGATTGGAGAGGGGCCAAGCTGAATACCCTTTTCTTCATACTTCGGCAGGGATTTACTTCCTTTTGTGTGCTTTGCCCTATCTTGCTGCGAGGGTGTGATCCTCTATTCCCCTCTCTTCATGAGTGGATTCCCCAATGGGAACCAAGCCAGGTTTCTATGGGTCATCAATACATTCGCCAAATTATTTCCATTTTTGACCGGAACTGCTTGCATCACAATCCTGTTCCGGACAGATGGTGCCATGATGAGGGCTTGGCATCATTTTCAACCGCTTTTCCTTTAGAAAAAAATCTTTTTTTGTTTAATTGTTTTATTGGTTTCCTCTTTTTTTCATTTATTTTCATTTATTTTCACCAATTTCTTTAGCTGCATGTGTCTATTTCCATGGGATTGACAGGTTTACCTCGGTGACGCCTAATATTGCTCCAGTGTATGACACTATCATAGGCCCAGATCACGGCTGAGTTAGGGTAAGGCTCGCTAGTGGCATCAGAAACATTCCGTGGTGCCAATCAGCTGACAATATCGCCCTCCTCTACCCTTGCATTCAGCTTGCTTCGATGACGATCTAATGGTCTTAGGGCTATCGCAACTGGAGGTATTATGGGTCTTCCTGCCGTGTCAAATCAATGATAGCGTCGGAGGTGGACACATTTGGAACAGACATGTACATCTGGCAATGAACATGGGATACACGGCAAGACCGGAAGCTCGCCCCATTCCAACTTTACCCCCTCCCTCACTCGCCTTGCAAGATGTAACCCAATCAAGAGTCTTATCCTCACGATCGTCGGCCGGAAAGCCTGGTCCACAAAAAAGTCATTCTGAGGCCCTCGCTGCAGGTCGCCACAAAGAATCAATTGCTATGGGGCTCTTTGGCGCTTGTTGCATGCAAGTTGGCAGCGGAGACGATCGGTCAAGGAACGCAGGATGACCCAAATATTGCCAAACTATGTCCAGATGTGAAACCCTTCTCCATGTCCTGAACTTAGTTCGAGCGAAGGGATCGGGGAACTGGACAGTGATGAATGATCGACCGAAAAACGGATAACAGCATGCCAAATCACACGGTCTAAGACAATGTCCTTTCTAGTTCCTGGAACGTGGTATCGCTTCACATGTACCTTCCTGGTCCTTGAGAGCCCATCTGCCACACCCCCTCACAGGATAGGCTTATTTTTTTTTGGTGGGTATTTGGTTTTTTTTTTTCGCTTTTTCCTTTTTTTTTCTTTTTTTTTCTTCGGTTAACAATCGATCGACGATCATTGATTGTACAGGCGGGGTAAGTATACGCCATGTTCCTTACGGTGGGAACCGGATCCTGAATTCTCAAGTGCCTAAGATGTATGAGGACGCCCGATGGGTCGGAGTGGGTCACCGACACCGCGGTCCTGGAGGGCGTGTGCATTGCAGGATACATTGCAGCTGTGTGGCGCACGTTTTTCGCTAGTCAATCTAGATCTCAAAGGGCTGCTTTTCTTTTTTTGCATTCCGCGAAAGGGAGGTGGAGCTCTATTTCTTTTCTTTTTGTTTCTTTTTTCTTTATTCATGAATGTTTTTATTTTTCTATTTTCTAAGTTCACATTGTGACACGGAAGGGGGCAAGCTTTTTCATCCAATAGTTGACCAATGTCTCCACTTCAGGTTTGATCAGGTCGTGAGGGGAAGAGGGGGATGAGAGCGATACCGCTGACGGGCTGAACCTTCACATTGATTGAAGATCCATGGGAACGGAAGGGCGGTGACAGGTTTCCTTGGTACTGGGGCTGTCATGGCTGAGAATGACACACGGTGTGGAGCCTCAATTGAGGAAAGAGGAGAAACACAGGGAAGAAAAACAGAAAGAAGAGAGCAATTGGGTGATCAAGGGTTGCAATTGGCAGGTGTCGTTTACGTCTTTTGCGCAGGAACTACATCACCGAACCACTAACATGGCAGAAGGGCATGGGAACACACGGGAAGGTGTCGACTCGGGCTTAGGGTGGATACGGAATTCCTGGCAGAAGGGCATGGGAACACACGAGAAGGTGTCGGCTCGGGCTTAGGGTGGATGCAGACTTCCTGGCAGATCTGACGGGAATGACTTTCAGCTCGTGGGAAATGCAGATTCATGCACGACCAATGAGCTATTAGATGGAATGCAGAGATTAGAGTGTGGACAGTGTACCAAGGGGGCCACTAAGAAATTGGCTAAAATTCAAAAAAAAGGGACCCACGATCTACAAGTTAGGAAATCCTTGACAGCGAAGTCAAGGGAGAGAAGTCGATCCCGATCCGTCATCATGCCACACCCCCTTCCCGCCGGGGGAGGAGAGCCGGCAAGGTATGTAATACAATAAACTAAAGTCAGAACGGATAAACCATAAAGAATGATACATGTAAGCTGAAGAAAAAAAAAATAGATTCAATAGAAAAAAAAGCAAAGAAAAGAAACGACGTAATTAGGAAAAAAAAAAAGATAGACGAAAAAGAAAAGGAAAAGGAAAAGGAAAAGAAGGAATTGATCCGAGCCTGTGGCTGGTGGCTCAGCTGTTTCTGACTTGAGATACTAGTATTTACAAGGGATGAACGGACCATAACTAGCTGGGTGGCTCCCGCAGTGGTGCGCCACTAGTTTTTTAGCGTGAACCGGTTCGGTGGAGCCCGGGAGCCTGTTCTGTTGGGGGAGTTCGAGTGCATCACCAATCGCCTACTATGACACATTCATTCCGGGCCTGCTAGCCCTTAGCCCTTTGGCTGGACTCCGTACCTAGACCCCGTACATAGATTAAGTCCAATGTACTTTTGTAAGTACTACATACTAACTAGGCTACGGTGATCCTTCTTCCCCTCACCAATATTTCTGGGGCGAAAAAAATCAAAAATCGAAAATAGAGAAATAGAGAAAATAGAGAAATAGAATGAAATATTTGAAAATCCAAAAACCAAAATCAATTGAAGCTGATATCACATTCAGTATCCAGGTAATCTTCAAGGGAACGGGATCAAGGGTAAAAAAGGTCCAAAAGGCTAACCCGATTATAGTTTCGGTGCCTTTGGCTCTCTATGTATGGCTATGGTCCATAGATCTTACTGGAGTTCTAAGCTTCTAGTGGGGCACCTGACATAACCAATTCCAAATCACTTGGACTTTGGACTCTTTCGGTTCTTTTTTTTCCCTTTTTTTCTTTTAAGAAATATTCTTCGGTTTTTTTTATCTTTTTTATCTTTTTGGAATTGATTCATTCGAAAAGTAATTTCCCGCTGCTTCAGGAATTGGAATTGTATACAAATGTTTCCATATAACTTCTCCCTCCCCAGCTCTTAAGCTCCTAACCCTACTCATAAACATTCAACAATATCATCCTCATATAATATCTTTTAAAACTCTACATACCTGCTCTCCATACTCCTCATCCCTATCCATACTCCATATTCTTACCTTTCATCTTTTGATCCCTCAGCATGGGTTACTGGGATGCCACCGCGCTAGCTGGTGCCATGGACCCTCTTCTGACCCAAGATATCTACACTGATCTCTTGACATTTACCTTCTGTGGTCCCAACCCATACAATCAAAACCAGCCACTCTTCATTGATGCCGAAGATCCGTCCCGATCTTTCACAGGCACTCAATTTCGCCAGCTGGTTCGAACTTTGATTGCGGGCTTTAAAGCACATGGCCTGCAAAAGGGTGATTGTGTGCTCCTTCATCTGGGCAACAGCGTAAGTGGTCTGATCACAAATAGCGCCCAGCTGGGCAGCCAATGCTGCACCTCATAATCCACATACATCATTCGGAGATTCTAATTCGGCCCTCGTTACACAGATCTTATATCCCGCTCTTTTCTTCGCCATCATTGGTGCCGGTGGTGTTTACATGGGCTCCAATCCCCGCAGCCAAACAGCTGAACTTGAGCATATTGTTTCGCTCGCGGAGCCCAAATTCATCTTCACAACCAGCGATGCACTTCCAATGGTTCAGGAAGTCAGCGCCACCTCTGGCATTCGTCAAGAACGAATCTGCGTGATTGACAACAGCGCAGTGGACCACTGCGCACAGCTCTTCCTGTCGTACGAATTAGGTTACCCAGGGAAAGATGCTCTTGCCATGCAGAACCTAAAACCCACATATCTCAATTTCCCGCGGCTACTTTCATATGGCGAAAGTAACTGGATGATGTTCACCAGTCTCGGAGAGGCGCAGAACACGCCTGCCGCTATGTTTTCCACCAGCGGAACAGGTGGTCTTCCCAAGGCCGCCATCTTGTCCCACCATGCCATCGTGTCGCACCATCGTTCGATCCAATATGACGTGCCTTTCCCGGTTAGCCGACTCATGTCGCTTCCCATGTTTCACTTATTCGGTGCGCTGTGGACACACTTGTTCCCTGTGCGCTACGGCCACCCACTTTTCGTGTTGCCACGCTTTGAGATCAATTCTTTCTTGACTGCGATCCACCGCTATCAGATCTCAGAGACCTACTTGGTACCGGCAATTGTGAACTCGATTAACCGATCCACCTTGCCCATTGCTAGCTACCTGTCTTCCTTACGATATGTGGGTGTGGCTGGTGCGCCAATTGATGCACAGAGCATGGGTCAGTTTCAGAGCCTCCTCCATTCACAGGCCTATGCTTGTCAGTTGTGGGGCATGACCGAAGTTGGGGTCATCTTCCAGTGCCGCTACGGCCAACAAAATTGCCACGGCAGTATTGGCACCCAGCTAGCCGGGTACGAAGTGCGCTTGATCGACCAAGAGGGCAGAATCGTGCAGAACGATGACCGCCCCGCCGAGCTGTACGTACGAGGCCCCGGTCTTCTTACGTCCTACAAGGGACGAACCGACGCCAAGGAAGCCGGTGGGTGGTTCCGCACCGGCGACGTCGCATACATGAAGCACGGCTACTATTTCATTGTCGGCCGCACCAAGGAGCTGATCAAAGTGCGAGGGTGCGTACACGATTGACAATTGGCATTTGGATTCAAATCTGGAAATTCAGATTTCAAATGCAAATTCAAATTCCAGTTCCCATTGCCCCCCTCCCCCCCCTCCCCCCACTTAAAAAACGCCAAAACCGGACCCCCAAATTCAAGATTTACTAACCAAATCCCCACAGTTGGCAAGTGGCCCCCGCCGAAGTGGAGACGGTTCTTCTTCAGCACCCGGGAATCATCGACGCCGCCGTCACAGGCGTGAACCTGCCCGACGGCAGCGGTGAAGTCCCCCGCGCCTTCGTAGTGCGATCGCGCGACCCCACCCAAAAGCGGCTGACGGCCGAGGAAGTCTACAAATTCAGCCGCGCCAAGTTGGCCAGCTACAAGGCCCTAGATGGCGGTGTGATTTTCGTCGAGGAGATCCCCCGCACCGCTAGTGGGAAAATCCAGCGCTTCAAGCTATCCCAGATGAACTCATACCGACAGATGATTGCGAATTTGTTATCGCGGTTCGAAGGGAAGACTTCGGCCTTTGCGCTTCCCACTAGTGCGAATGTTCCGGTTGGAATGGCACCCGATGGCCGGGTTATTGTGTAAGACCAACACATACTACAGCGGGCGTTTTTTTTTTCTTTTTTCTTTTTTTTGGGGTTTTTCTTTTTGCTTTCACTTTTGTCTTTTCTCTTTTCTTTTTGATCTTCCATTTTAGATTCTAATATTCATATCATATAGGAAGGGGCATTCTTTTGCACATGGCGTTTTGAACAGATTCGGATCCGCGGTCGATTCGATACGGTCTCGTGTGGTGGGTGTTGGATTGCAGGCTCAAGGATTATATCAATCACCACGATTTGGGAAATCCGGGCAAGGAAAACTACGGGCGCTTTGTATTTCATTGGGCATTTCATTTTTTGGGTCTGCACTTTTATTTCGCGGGCTTTCTTGGTTACGGTGGATCTGATGCATCTAATGGGACTTTTTTTTTTTCAACTATATAGCCAAGTTTTATATATACGGCGCAGGTACGGGTTTCGGTTGACAAGGCGTTCTAATGTTAATGACATCATTTATCAGTCTCTTTCACAGTGCTTTTTTCTTTTCTTTTTCTTTTCATTTTGATTTCCTACTGTAGGTACTCCTGCATCAAGATCCACTATTTCCCTGTGGGTGCGTCTGCATCTAGTTTAGGGTGCATCACACCGCAGCCGCCTAAGATCCAATTAAGATGCCAAAAAGCAAATCTTGCTTGCTTTCTTCTAGCGCGGCCACCCACATGAATAATATTGTGGCTCTTTGTTTTTAGTGCTCCCACGCGATCTGCAGATCGGGTTCGTGTAACCAAGTCAGGGTTTATTGGCCATGGACTTGGTTTTATGGGGACTTCTATTTGCTTCCCGCACAGTGCTGAAACTTGAGCCCGGGCTGGATGAGAATCGAACTATACCAATTGCCTTTTCATTGACACAGTCACTTAATTCCTGCAGCTACATGTATTGTGTTCTTTCAATTTTCAATTCAATTTTCAATTGCTCTGTTCAATTGCTTTGCAATGTGCAATCTTCAATCTTCAATATTTTTTTTTCTTTTGTGTGATGCTCAAACTGCATGTGGATCGATCGATCGGATTTTCTCCTTGGCAGAAATGCAAACAATCGACGATCCCCAGCCTCGCGTGGACAGTGACTTTGTTCGTACAGCGAATACCCCTCCTAGAGTCCTAGCACTTGAAAGGTCGTCTCCGAAGTCGGCACATTTGCCTCGGTAATGGAATGGAGGATTTTCGATTTCTTCTTTTCCATATATACTTGATTCTTTACCGATATCTCAAATTCCCAAGTGCTTGTAATTTCGTAATGTCAATGGATATTATTATCTTATCTGAAAGGCATCTTGACAGATACTTTAATTATGACAGAAACTAGATTGGTGGTCCGTGGTGTGTGGTGGGGGCCAAAGTTGAATGGGAATAAAAATTGCCTCGTATAAATACTCTGCTGCCCACCGATGTCAGAAAATACCTCTTTCCCCCTAATTCCCACCCAACTTCGTATTGCCTGCTTCTAACTGCTCAATCTAGTCCAATAAGAGCGCCAAGATGCTATCTACGATTCAAGTCGCCATTTTCACGGGTCTTTTCATACTATGAGATATTTTTCTACTCGTATCATGTCAGTTTCAGTAATCTACAACCTGCGCTCCAGAGATCGATTGATCTATACTATCTCCTGGCTTATGCGACTAATAGCACGTGGGGAATCTACCGTGCATATGTAGACTGTGAAATGACATCTGGAGGTTCCAGATAAGCTATATTATTATAAAAGTGAATTACTGTTGAAAATATACTCCAATTTCAGTTAAAAACGTTTCGCATCTCCTTCTTTCGCTGTACTCTTCACTTTGTCACATCTCATTGCCTATTCTTACCACCAAACCTTTGTCTGACAGATATCCATGGAGGATCAGCTTGGAATGAAGTCGCCTCCAGCTTCCGGTCCATTCGATCCCTCTGACATCCCCCAAAAGCCAGAAGTGACTGACGTTGAAATGAATTCCGTCTTTGAAACCACCCATGGAGAGGAAAGAGATTATCACCGCAAACAGGTAGCTAAGAGATTCTTTTGCAGTGCCCTGGAATTTCTCTTACTGATCATTCACAGGTCTTCCAAGGATGGAAGTTGGCATGGTAAGTGATACAAAGTCCCGATTCCGCTAGACGGAGACTTCTACCTCTCAAAGGCTTGCTCTAACCGTGCTCTTTATATATAGGCTCACATACCAGTCCCTTGGAGTAATCTACGGTGACATCGGAACCAGTCCTCTCTACGTCTATTCCTCAACCTTCAGCAGCGAACCAAGCTATGATGATATTCTCGGCGCCGTATCCCTTGTCATCTGGGCCCTCACGATCATGGTCACCATCAAATATGTCTTCATCGTCCTTTGTGCAGACGACGAGGGGGAGGGCGGTACCTTCGCTGTGTACTCTCTGCTATCGCGATATGTATGTTATACGACACACAAGCGCTTGCCTAAATATGACTTGAGGCTGACATACAACCTCTGAACTTAGGCAAACCTTGTACGATACGACCCCAGACACCAGGGTACGGTTCGCATGGAACGTTTCGACACAAATGACTTGCGACGCCCCAATTCGAAGTTTCGCAGTATGTTGGAACGAAGCACTGTCGTGAAGTGGGTCCTCAAGGTGGTTGGAGCTTTTGGTGTAGCGCTGCTTTTAGCAGGTATGTGTTTTTTTTTGTCTTCTAGGGGAACTTACCTTGCACCTACATTTCTCTTACTAACATGGATCGTTTAGATGGTGTGCTAACACCAGCCCAGTCAGTCTTGGGTGCCATTCAAGGGTAGGGAACACCAAAACGAATAACATTGCATCGATGCTGATAGTCTATAGAGTGACTGTCGTTAACCCAAACGTCTCTACATCAACGGTCGTGGGGACCTCATGCGCAATTCTGGTGTTGGTCTTTGCCATCCAGCCCTTCGGAACGACCAGGATTGCGAGCGCGTTTGCACCAATAGTTATCCTCTGGATGCTCTTCAACTTGACCTTTGGAATCTATGTGAGTAAAGCACTGGAAGACGCTTGAGCGCTATTTGCTGACCACTCATAACACCTGACAGAACTTGGCGGTGTTCGATGCCTCTGTATTCAAGGCATTCTCTCCATACTTTGCAGGTGCATACCTGGTGCGAAACAAGAAGGACGGATGGCTATCACTTGGAGGTATTCTACTTGCCTTTACCGGCGTGGAAACTCTTTTCGCCGATCTTGGAGCTTTTAGCCGGAGGTATGTACAGTACATTCGTGGATGCGGAAGTATATCTCCATTGAAAGCTCAGATGCAAGGTTCTGACAAGAGATTTCACTTAGATCAATCCAAATTTCATGGCTCTTCTTTGTCTATCCATGTCTTTTGATCTCGGTAAGATGAAACCGGCAATATCCATCTCGGCAATTCTGTTGGAAACTAACATCCGGTAGTACATTGGTCAAGGAGCCCACATCAGTGTTAACCCCAGTGCATATGCCAATCCTTTCTTCTTGACTGTCCCGCCCGGCATGATATGGCCCAGTCTTATTCTGGCCATCTTAGCTTGTATTGTTGCAAGCCAGTCGGTAATCACTGGAGCTTACCAGGTTTGTTGCAACCAAATAACTGTAACATGCGTTCACCTTGCTGACTATACATACAATAGCTGTTGTCTCAGATCATGAAACTCTCTTATTTCCCTCGCGTGAAGGTTTATCATACTTCAAACACTTTCCATGGCCAAGTCTACATCCCGATCGCGAATTGGCTGATGATGATTGGGACCATTGTTGTGACCGCAGTCTACAACAACGTGTGTTTCTTCTCCCCTACCTACACAACGATTACACTAACTAACCAATTCTCATGAAGACGACTCGACTCGGCGAGGCCTACGGCACATGCGTTATCCTGGTCTCTTTCCTCACCACATGCATGGTGACCGTTGTGGCACTTATTGTTTGGAAATTGCCAGTCTATGTTGTGCTTCCCGTTTTCACCGTTTTCGCCCTCTGGGATGGCATGTTCCTCTCCGCGGCTCTGAGCAAAGTCCCCCATGGTGCATGGTTCACCCTGATGCTAGCTCTCGTTTTGACCTGCATATTCATTCTCTGGCGCTACGGCAAAGAAGAGCAATGGAATGCTGAAGAGTCCGACAACGTTCCCATCTGGAACACAACCACAATCCGTGACAACAAGCTTTATCTCGCAGCAGAAGGACAAGAAAGTTCTTCCATCAGACGGACCAGAGGACTGGGAATCTTTTTCGATAAACTTGGCTTCGCCGCGAACACCCCCACCGTATTCCTCCATTTCCTGACAAAGTTCGGCGCAATGCCCGAGATCACTGTATTCCTTCATCTCCGGCCTTTGTCGAGACCCACAGTGCCCATCGACGAAAGATACACCGTCACTCGCTGCTTTACAAAGTCCGGGGACGATTCGTCCAAGCAGCCGGTTCCTAACTGCTATCGCCTAGTTGTGCGCCATGGATACACCGATGAGATTATCACGCCAGACCTGGGCGTTTTGGTCCTGGATCAGATTCGGAATTTCTTGAAATATCAGGACGACATGAGCGAAGGGCTCACCGGAGTTAATTCTGAAATCAATACCTTGGATTGCGCATCAAACTCACAGGTCGTCTACATCGTGGGCAAGGAACAGCTCAAGATCGCTGCGGAGGGAAACTGGTTCCGTCGCGGGATCCTGTGGTTGTTTGTTCTTATTAGAGATTCTAGTCGCTCCAAGGTCCAGGATTTGAACGTCGCGATTGAGCGATTGGTGGAGGTTGGCTTTGTGAAAATGATGTGAGCGTCGAATTGAAAAATTGCAGACGTCGAACCCGGGGTTACAACTTACAAGTTACAACCTCAGTGCTCACATAGCATTTTTCGCAGCGATAGATGAATTTGGACGTGTAAATCGTCTTTTCTTGGAGAATATGTAAAACTCGAAACTATCGAATCTGCCTTAAAAAAACATCACGATTTCTTCACAACATTGAATGTCCATCTTATATATATAAAACCAAAAACCCAATAATGTCCACCGGTGAAGGGAGCATCGCGATTCGCGGGATCAGCACCGCACTCGAACATTTGAAGCCCCCCGCCCGCAATCCCGATTCCCGATTCCCGATTCCCGCCTTTTACCCAACTCGCCGTGAACGCCACCTTCCAGAACCATCAAGTCCACACCAATTAACAATGCCCGGCCAAGACGCAGGCACCCCGCGTGTTTTTCTCTACCGCCACGGTAAGTACTCTTCACATCATAACACACCCCCTCAAACATTCACTCTAACGACCCCACCAGGCCAGACAGAATGGTCCCAAAACGGCCGCTACACCGGCACTACTGAGCTGGACCTGACGGCCACGGGTGAGAAGCAGGTTCTCGCCTCAGGCAAAATGATCGTAGGCACAGGCAAACTGATTGACCCTGCCAATCTCGCCCGGGTATATATCAGTCCTCGCAAGCGCGCAATGCAGACATTCGAGCTTGCGTTCAATGATGCCGATAAGCAGGCCTTGAGAGATGCGGGCAAGGTGGACCCGAAAGAGGAACGCCTGGCTGAGTGGGGGTATGGTTTGTATGAGGGTTTGGTGACGAAGGAGATTCGGGCGGCGAGGAAAGAGCGGGGGTTGGATGCGGAGCGGCCGTGGGATATTTGGCGTGATGGATGTGAGGAGGGAGAGTGAGTTTTCTTTTTTTCTTTTCTTTTCTTCCCCAGGCCTGATGGGTAATTTTCTTTAAAAAAACTATTTATCTGGTGACGGGAGTTGGGTAGTATGCATAATTGACAATTTATGAAGGTCGGCGCAAGACGTTACGGATCGCATTGATAGTCTCATTCGAGAGATTAGGACCTCGCATAAAGATAATATGCACGGGGAGAATCTGGCGGATGTGGTACTTATTGCGCATGGCCATTTACTTCGTGCGTTTACGAAGCGTTGGCTTGGGTATCCGATGGACTTCCCGCTACTTCTTATGCTTGAGCCCGGCGCTGTTGGTGTTCTGAGGTAAGTCTTCATATTCGTTTATCTGCTGTGGGGAAATTTCTAAGTCATCTGGCTGCAGCTATCAGCATCATAGTATTGAAGAGCCTGCTCTGCTGGTCGGATATGGGTTTCCCGTGGACGAGGAGTAATGTAAAAGAGACAATAACTATGGGGTTGTTTCTCTTCAGCCGCGCAATCGCAGATATACTGTAGAAAGGAAACATCATCAGCTTGTTACTTTGAAGCAGAGAAATACAATTTTCCAGGAATATTACAACATTAAACCAACGTCCCGCTATGCTCACTTGCGCTAGGCCCGATTGCGCTCTCCTCTAATCACAAACATTTGAATAGCATATGTACACGTTCCACATGCCAGTATGCACATACTTGACACCTAAAAATACATACATTGGCCAGCGCTTCTCAGTACTAGCCTTGCATAAAATTTTATACCGTAACAACTACATAGTATGTAGGTATTTGACCGAAATCCGACACTGGACCTCGGGAATATATAAGGACATGGTAAAAATAAAAAATTACCAACCGCAATACAACAGGTAGCCAACATTATAGGTACAGTACTAGTAGTATGTAGTAAAGAGCACTTGAGGAGAGGGGTTTAAGCATATTGACATAAACATTCATTTGAATTCCAAGATTCCGGTCTGAGCGCTAAATAGTACAATTGATCCGCTGAAGAAGGATAATTACATATAATATACTAATATATACAAAGAAAAGAAGAAGAAAAAGATCTACACGTGTGCATGCACAGGATTCCAAAGAGACGTAAAACCCCCCCAAAGAAGTTTCATCTAGACATCGGCGATAAAGGCGTGTACAAGGCCGATGTCTATGGCAGACTAACATCAAGCGATATGTATTCTTCAAGCGTCAATGTGCCTGCAAGTCTCTCATGTTTTGTTCGCCAGTGCTTCCGCAGGTTATCACGCCTATTGTACTCGGACTCGCACTCTGGGAGAGGACATCGATGCATGGTGCGGCATGTATGCTGCGTTTCGGTGTGACGCTTCAAGTCGCCGCTGCGACTGAAGATTGTGGGGCAGGAACAGTCCTTCCATTGGCATCTGCCCGTCATGCGAGATGTATGGTGCTTTCCAACATGATCCACCAGATCGGTCTTGCATCCGAACGTCCCGAGAAACGAACAATTCTCCCACTCGCATTTGAATGTTTCAGAACAGGGTGAAACGACATCCAGGGGGGGATCCAATGTTGTTTCTCCAAACTGTATGACGTCACCGTGGTCTGATTTTTGACCCTGGGAATAGACACTGGTGTCGAGAAGCGTTGGTTGGTGGTCCATTACTTCGAAGCCTGGAGGTTGAACTATGTCGGGAGATGCGCCATGATTCATCGTGAGAAGGGCATTATTAGTGTACGGCCAGGGGTCGGCATATGGCCAACAAGACCAGTGTGGTGCGGTTTCACCCACGATATCGATTGGGAGATCGGGCATGCCTGGTTCGAGGGTTTGCCATTGCGACTCTGGTTGTGCAGCTAGTGGTATGAGATGGCAGTCGGTCGATGCATTTGGAGAGTCGTGGGTCCAGTCAAGTGGTGTAGCCGGCGGATAGTAGGAGCAACCACATGGACAGCTTGCAAGGGACATTGAAACACCCCGTCAGCCAAGGTTAAAGTGTTGGTGGAGGGTTTCTCAAGAAGGGTTGGACTGGTAAATTTTGTAGATGGGAGAAGCTGGGGACAATAAAGGCATTTTCAGGAGTGAGGGAGGGCATTTCCCTATAGGTGGCTATTTGGTAGGCAATGGACGGTTGGGAACGACGACAGATAGGCGTATGTGCCTACTTTGTAAAAGAAGGTCGCGCGTTCCTAGGCGGCGGGTATCGATGTGGTGGGTCGGGAGTCCCGGCACCCAGGACTTAGCACTCCGGGAATCTCACTACATAGAGATCTCAGGATGTACCTGAGGCCCGAGGGTCCATTCTCCACATGGCACATGGTGGCTTTTTTGGCAGCAACCAAATTTTCCTCATCGGATCATTCATTCTGATATGTCTTGCCCTTCACGCACTGGCCGTACCAACTTGAATGTATTTCTTTTGTAGCTCTGTCGGTTTCCCCGAGTACCGAGTAGTCGTTAAGAACAGAAGCTTGGACTCAGTCACTTACACCAATAGATTAATAGATATTTCTTGTGGTCCATGGGGCCAAATGGGGTTTTTCATGACATAGTACCTGTCTCTAGGCGCTAATCCCTGATGGATTGACAAAGGTCATTCGGAATCATTACCCACGGCCTCCCTCGTTTGTTCGTGCTCCGTAAATTAAACTCATGGCTGAACTCTTCCGAACCCAGGGGAAAAAGAGAAAAAAAAGGAAAAAAAAGGAAAAAAAAAAAAAGAATGAAAAAAAGGAAGAAAAAAAAAAGATGAAAAAAAGATGAAAAAATAGTAAAATAAATCTAGCTAGGGGTACAGGGGAGCTAACATTCAAGAATAAAGGGACCAAAAAAAATAAAAATAAAAATAAATAAGAATAAAAATAAATAAGAATAAAAATAAATAAGAATAAAAATAAATAAGAATAAAAGTAAATAAGAATAAAAATAAATAAGAATAAAAAAAATTAAAAATGAATAACAAAAAAAAAAAATTAAAAAAAGGAAGACAAAAAGAAGACAAAAAGAAGACAAAAAGAAGAAAGAAGGAAGAAAAAAGGGAAAAAAAAGGAAAAAGGGAAAAAAAAAATAGAAGATCTGGCTGGGGGCAAAGGGGAGCTAAGAATAAGAATTCTCTGCCAATCCTCGTCAATCAGCATTGAATTGATCGATCGATCACTGACGCACGGAGATGCATGCGGCAGCATGTCCAATCCCCCGAATTTACTATTGTAGGGGTTTCAGGGCAAAGAGTCAAAGACTGCCAACCACCGGTTACCGGTTTAGGAACAGTTGTCGTAGGCGTAGTCTAGACTCTAACTAACATTCAAGCTCTGGACAAGAGAAAATGCCAAGAAGGTCGAGTCTCGGAAGTGGTGTCCCCTTACGAGTCCTACAGAGCCGTTCAATTTCCGGAAGATTTCAGTACGGTACCTATCTAATCTATCAACTACCCTTTTCTTAAATCACATAACTCGTAAGGTATAGGTATCCGCTATACCGGGAATGTTTACTGCACACACCCCAGAGTCCAGAGCCCAGAGCCCAGAACGATGACTCGTCCCCACTTTACTCCTTGTGGTTCCGTTTCCTTTTTCACAAATCCCAAATTCTATCCCAATTTTCTCAATTCCTCGCTCTTCGCCTATGACTATTTTCACCGCTACTTTTCGCCTTGAGTTATCAATTTCATCTCAGCTGAGATCTTTGCCGATGATTTTGAAGCCTACTAGTAGGCAAGCAAACTTTGCCATATGTACGTAGCCCGGCCGTTTTTTGGAAATGATGCCGTCGATACTTCAAGGTGTTTGGTACTATTTAGATCCTCACATTTATTGACTCTATTGAGGCGTGGTGATCAGCTGACTCCAGAGTCCACAGTGCTCAGTTCTTCAGCTGCACATGTGCTTCTGAGTTCTGTCATTTCTCTATCTGCCCCCCTCTCTTAATATTGCCTTTAGTTCATTCTCCACTTACAACGTTAGAGGCTTAGAGCTTAGGTCGCTCCATGCCTCCCTTTCTTCACAATTATCGAGCGATCCGCCGTCTTCGGCTATTTGCGACCAGAGATTCAACCTTCCAATCGAAAGTCGAAACAATTCCCCAATACAGTAAATCGTTTTAATTAAGCTATTTTCTGATGTCAGCTGGGTCAAAGCCGCCGAGCTCTTTGGAGACAGAGATGCCGCCATTTTATTCACAAAATTTCCTATATATACTGATCGAACACTCAAATCTCTCAAGTTTCTTTGATGTTTCCACGGTTTAAGCTTGTTTATGGGATCCTACCTACCATAAACATAAAACTCATCAACAATGATGCCTTCCACTGCTAATCTGTTCCACGTCATTGAACACGTTGTTCCTTGTCAGTACATTAGAGAATACCCTGGAGCCACCATAAATGGACAAACCGATGTTTTGGAGTTGTCAGTCAAACAATACATCCCAATCGACAATCTGACCCCGCAACATGGTGACGTGACTATACTGGCTGCGCACGCCAATGGGCTTCCCAAGGTAAAGTACCCAGACTACTAAAGGGAGAAAACGTCTGGATCCATCGGGTCAGTCGGAGATTTGCAATACTAATTGTCATTTAGGAACTTTACGAACCTCTCTGGGAAGATCTTTACCGTTGTTCAAAGTCCCAGGGTTTCCGTATCCGAGCGATTTGGATTGCGGATGTAGTAAATCAGGGGCAAAGTGGTGTCCTTAATGAAGGAGTCCTAGGAAACGACTGTATGTTCAACTCGGGTCGTCTTCCAAAATGAACATCCAATTATAATCCGAGCTAGGCTAACTAGCAGGGGGGAAAGCAAATTGGTTTGATCATTCTCGCGACCTTCTCCATCTTGTCAACCTCAAACAATCCGAGATGCCACAACCAATAATTGGTGTTGGACACAGTATGGGCGGCTTTCATTTGTAAGAGAAGCCCTTCAACCAATCTACTCTCATTTTTTTAACATCTCACTTTCTTAGAGCGCATCTAAGCTTGATGCATCCCCGGCTTCTTCACAGCATTATCCTCATAGACCCCATCATCCAACGCGAGAGAACGCCACTTAAAGAAAACCGGTATATCGAACTCAGCGAAATGGCCACTCAATTTTCAGGACTTTCCATAGTCCGACGCGACCAATGGCCTTCCCGCAAAGCAGCAGCCGAAAGCTTCCAACGCAGTCGATTTTACCAAGGCTGGGACCCACGAGTGCTCGAGAAATGGATCAAGTTCGGCCTACGCGATACCCCCACAATGACCTACCCTTTGCACGATGAAATACTACCCGACACCGATGCAGACGGTCCGCCGGTTACGCTGACAACCACTCGTCATCAAGAAGTATTTTCCTTTACAAGGCCGATATATGACCATGCAGGCTGTCGTGGCAGCCACGAAACACATCCAGACCTTGATAAGAACATACCAGAGTCATCCCGGTTTTACCGCCCCGAGCCACCTCAAATCTTTGCGCAGCTTCCTTTTCTCAGACCAAGCACATTTTACATATTTGGTGGTCGATCAAATATCTCTCTTCCTGCTCTAAGAGCAGATAAGATCAAACATACCGGTACGGGGCTGGGTGGCAGTGGAGGCGTTGCGAATGGTCGTGTTCGGGAAGCTTTTTTGGAACAAGCTGGGCACCTCATTCCCCAAGAAACTCCCCGTGAAACTGCAGAGCTTATCTCCCTTTGGTTGCGCCCCGAGCTGGATCGCTGGCGATCGGAAGAGGAAGCTTTCCGTGCTTTGTTCGATCGCACTACCACCATCGAAAAAGTCACCTCTTGCGACCAATGGAACGGACTCTGGCCCAATTTACGACCACAGCGCCACGAGAAAAAGGCTACAGTGTCGAGGCTGTAGTGCCTTCTCACATATACAATCTTCTTAAGATTGATAAGAATGCGGCTTTCACGATAGATTGATTGGTTCTATCTCAAGAAGACATACAAATAGAGTAACGATTGGCTTGCGTTTTTTTTTTCACATTTGCTTTATCGGTACTATTGAATATGTACCTGCTCTTCGAACATGTCCGCTTTGAACTTCTGCAAATTCAGAGAAGACTGCATGTATTGATGTTTTTTGCTGATTTTAATACTGTTCATAGAACTGTCTCCAACATTGAATCGTTTACTAAAGAACATCGCAACATTTTCACCAAATCCATATCTACCATTTTTTTCTTTCACATCACACCTGCGTTGAGCTTTACAGACAATAAAATCAATTTGTGCAATCTTCAAATCGAATCTATGGACAGAATTCACCAGTGTTGTCGTTTTTCTTCACCACCTCCCCCCTTCCAAAGTGGATCCACATAGCAGCGGAACCGACGTTCATCGGAGCCGATGCCTCGACTCGACCAATTACATCCATGGATTGCCCTCTAATCCAAGAACCCAGCTTCGTATAAATATTTCTCAAAACCCCCATCGCAGATAAACTAATTATTCACCTTGATTTTCCCATTACTTCGTTCCCATTTCAAAGAACCCCCCTCCAAAATGTCTAAGCCAGTCATCGTCATCGTGCCCGGCGCATGGCACCGACCCAAGCACTACCAAAAGCTCATCGACGCACTTGCAGTTATTGGCTACGAAGCTGTCGGCGTAACTATGCCCTGTGTCGACTCCAGCCCCCCACTCCCTTCCTGGGACCAAGATGCCGCCGAAGTCCGCCGAGTGATCATGGAGTACCTGAACGCGGGTAGAGACGTTATCACAATCGCTCACTCGTTTGGTGGCGTTGCCATGTCCGAAGCTGTGAAGGGCCTGGGAAGAGATGATAGAAACAAGCAAGGTTCTTCGTCGGCTGTGATTCGATTGGTATATATGTGCGCTATCATGATGCCCAAGGACCAAAACTTCTTTGGCCAGATGGCGCCCGCTACTCCAGAAGAGGAGGTAGCTGAAGCACAACGGAAAAGCTTCAACTCGCAGCATGCGCAGATGAGCACTACTGAGGTAAGACAAATTTCAAAATTTCAGAGTATTGAATTAATCTATCATGAAATCAATCGGCCTAACTTGTTGAAACTAGGACGGTGCTATGATTTTGGACAAAGATGTAGTTCGGGGGGTCTTCTACGATGGGTGTAGCCCCGACGAGATAGAGGAAGCCCTTGATCTCCTGGGCTCGTATCCTAGTGGTCCATTGTCGGTACCGGTGACATATTCGCCTTTCCTGGAGTTTCCGGTCACCTACATCAAGTGCAAGAATGACCGTGCTTTGCCGGTAAGCGTGCAAGGTCGGATGATTGCTCAGGCTGGCGGTGTGGTCGATGTTGAAGAATGCGAGGAAGGCCACTCACCATTCATGAGCGATACGGGCTTTATTGTGGGCTGCCTTCGTCGTGCAGCAGGGGAGGTTTAAATTTTGGAAGCTGGATCAATGTAAAGCCCAAGAGATAAATGGCTTTCTTTCAAGGATCATGATATGTAAATACTTCATTACTAGGTACCCCTCCACTCCTACTAATGTTACTTCCCGAAAATGCGCATTAGAATATGTGTTTTTTTTGGTAAAGTTGAACTTATCCAGTGCTTATCAATATTCAAATGTTTACGGCCGGGCAAGCTATTCTCACACAAATGGCGAAAGGGCCTCCTTTTCGTTGACAGAGAATGCACGGCGTGGTTGCAACTCAGGTGTCCCGACCGTGTCGGCTATTATTGCCTCCAAATTGATCTTTCTTTGCCTGATCAGGCGAATGAGCATTACTCCGTCCCATCACCGACTGGCACGAATAGCGGGTTCCCGCTCTGCGGGTAAGGTGGATGCATAGCGGAGTGAAGCAGTTTAGAGTTAACCTGCCTCAAAGGCCCTTCCCCACGGATCCCGAACAATATGTACCCAGGATTCAGGCGCAGCTGAAACAGAGCTGGTGTGCTGAGAGGAGTAATTCATCAATTGATCGAAGTAGTTCGTATTGGTGAAATAGAGTTCGAATTCCAGCCCCCAAGGCCCAAAGGCCAAACAATCCAACCAATTAATCTGCTAGGTAAAATATACCCAGGTGACAAGGCTACAAGCCGCTTACTAGGCTTATATGCTCGATTTTAACCAGATGAAATTCCCTTAAAAGCAACCAGCTCCCCGAGTACCTTGTGAAGCAAAACAGCGAGACCTCCAAGATATCCAACCAAACAAACAAAAATACCACAATGCACAACCCCCAACCAACCCCAACCTCCGAAAGCAGTTCCCATAAGGGAAACTGTCACTGCGGGGCCGTTCGGTTCAGCTTCACTCTTTCCCCGCCTCTACACGAGCACCCAGTTGTCAGCTGCAACTGCTCGATCTGCAGCAGAAACGGCTATCTGGTCGTCTACCCCAACAACGCGGATTTCACTCTCGAGAGTGGCAAGGAAGTGCTGAAGAGTTACCAGTGTGCGAGTAGATTTGCCCTGCACCGATTTTGCGGGGATTGTGGTAGCAGCTGCTTCATTCAATTTCCAGATGAGCCCACTTCGCCCAAGTTTCTCGTTGTGAATGTGAGGCACTTTTCTCTTGCGTGAATTCCGTCATAGGTGTCGTTTGCTGATCTTGAGATGCAGGTCCGTATGCTGGAGGACTTTGATCCGGATACGTTGATTATTAAGAAGAAGACTGATGGCAAGACGTCTGGTGGGGAGTATAAGCCTCAGGTTAATCCAGTCTAGAACGTTAGCTAATTCTGAATATTTGCGAAGTTGCAAAATGCAAGAATAAGGCCTTGTCGAAAATTCAATCAATTTTTACCCTTTGTATGAAGTCGTCAATTTCCCTTGCAAAATTTTCATGCAGATTGCGTTCAGTAACAGATATGAAGAATCTTAAGCACTGGGATGTGGTTGTTGGCGAGATGGCTATTGGGCGGGGCAGACGTGGCACATTACTGTGCTTTCAACCCCCAAGTTGGGCCCCAGCCACAGATGCCTCTTTAACCAACCTAGGGGGCAAACCTGGCAAAAGGGCCCCAGACCGATCTTGAGCAGTCAGAGGTATTACAGGCGGATCAATCCTTCAAATGTTAATTACCATTCAAGTAGAACATAATAGACTGATCTTATCAGGCCTATCGATATAATTCACTGGTAAATAATATTTAAATGATAGATGAAACAGCTTTATAAATACTACAGAAAATTAGTTCCACGCCGGTATTTTGGGAGGCACAAAAATCGACCAATGGGATTAGTCTTGGCGTTCTTGGAGCGCGCGTAGCCTTGCTAAGTTGGAAACAAAGGATGTGGTAATATTGCCAAACAGTGTGGCAGAAAAACCAAGCCCAATTTATGGTGGCAGATAAGGCCCTGCTTTTCTCCCAAAATCGCCTAGTCCATGGAGAAATGTAGATAAAGGGAATCCGCGGACCCCGCTCAGCTTCATGGATTCTGAATAGCCTCATGACCTATAAAATCATTAAGTTCCATCAACTGTAGTTCTTGCCAATTGAACTGGAACTCAAAATACTGTCGTCAATATCTGATGCATTTGTTGATTCCAGATATGGATCCTCTTTTAGTGACTTTGGAAGACCAATACCTCAACATTCTCGGAATTCTTGCAGCCTATACTGTATTTCATTTCCTCATCTATCCTCTCTTTCTATCGCCGCTATCAAAAATCCCTGGACCAAAGCTTACGGCCCTCTCATCTTGGTATCTGGACATAAAGTACCTCCAAGAACGCGCTAGCAGTCATGTCGAAGAATTACATCGCCAGTATGGCCCCATTGTTCGAGTAGGTCCGTCTGAAATCGTCATCAATGATTCGAAGAATCTTGCCACGATCTATGGGGTCTCCTCCGCATTCCCAAAACCTCCAGCCGCCGCGCGATTTGACAACTTTGGTTACCCCTGCGCATTCTCCTCTCGCTACAAAAATGAACATCGGGAACGACGTCGAGCAACAGCCAAGGTGTATACCATGAGCTCAATCATGGGCAATGAATCTCTCCTTAATTTTATCCGAAATCGTCTGGATAAAGTGACACGATTGATCGATGATGACGCCGGCTCAGTGACCGATCTTTTTGCAATTGCTATCCGATTCGCTTTGGATAATGTCACATTCATGGTCCTCGGCGAAAGTTTTCTCACGTTGGATGGAAAGAACGTCGAGACCACGAAGAGTCTCAGCAACAATTTGGTTATCGCTGCACCAATGTATCGTCTGCAAAGGATGTTTGAAATCCTCAGCTTCTGGCCACTGAAGAAACTCCTTTCACGGGATCTTCAATATGCGCTTCGGGGGAATCATTCTGACTTCGATAACGTTGTAAAGGAGAAATTCGATCACGCCTTTGCAAACGCATCCGAGCTCAAAGATGAAAAGTCCACATTGGGTTGTATGTACCGGCAGCCTACTTTCGGAAAATCGATACTGGAAGGGCATGTTCTAAGTGAATGTTGTGATCATATTGGAGCAGGTATGGTTGAATGAATTTGGCTTTTGTGCCAATGAGTACATAGAATGGGCCCTGAACTGACCATCTCAGGGGCCGATACCACGGGTGCTTCTATCATATACATGCTGCACACGCTCGCTTTGCCTGAGCACAAAGCTTACCAAGACCGGCTCCGGAGTGAAATATGCACACTTCCTTATCCGTTCTCCTTCAAGGATGTCTGCAGCCTCCCATTTTTGGAATGCTGCGCCCGTGAAATTTTACGAATGTACAGTCCCGGTCCCGGTAGTATCCAGCAAAGATGCACGCCAGCGTCTACACGTACGGCTATCACAGTCGGTGACAAAGTTTATCACCTGCCCGGAAACACACAGATTGGCATCCAACAGTTCTCACTCCACCGCAACGTCGAAATATACGGCGATGATGTCGACACTTTCTCACCTGCGCGCTGGGAGACTAAGAATGAGGAAAGACTGCAGGCGATGAAAGATGCCTGGATTCCATTCGGATATGGGTCTCGTATCTGTGTGGGAATAAAGTATGTTCAACACGTGGACTATTCTAAATACCACCTGGATTTCATTGGAAAACTGACTTCTCTAAGTCTTGCCACTGTCGAATTGAAGATGATGACCGCAACATTGCTCCATCAATATGATGTTCGGCTTCCAAATGGCGCCAGGCGGGAAGATATGGCTCCTGTTCTAGGCGCCGTTATACGCCCAAAATCTGGCAAGTGCAAGTTGCTTTTTCGAAAGCTAAGCAAATAAGTGCTGGCAATAAGGCCAATTACTAAATTCCATACTTCCGATGCCTTCGTTTTGGGTGCGGTAAGTCCGACCACGAAAAGCTACGTGATTAATTAGTGCCATTACTTTGCTTTACAAGCAATGATCTGTGTTACGTGGATACGTTGTCAATTTACAAAGAGAAAATTGAATGAGAGGTACTGGTGGACAATGTCAACTGTATCTGACAAACACCAACAACATTTGAAGCTATGTCTGCTGTACTAGTAGGCAGCCAGTTATATTAGTCACTCGCAGGTGGAAGCTCAATATCAACAAGCCATGGTGGTTGTATTGTAAAGGGCCCCCCACCTTCAATTGAAGCATTAACAAAAAGCGTTTGAGACCCAGACTCGAGCTGATTTGAGTCTCCATGGCAGTGGCTTGTCATAGAGAGGCTTTTAGGGCCTCTCAGCGTCGAAAGTTTGTCGATAAGCACAGACTTTCCGTTGTCGATATCAGTCAAGTGAGAAGGCTTCTGACTAGGCTTTGGGCGCCAAGTAACAAGCTTTGCACCCCATCCTTCATGAATGTGACCAAAGCAATGCATCTTGGGTCTGGCTAAGCTTACTGCTTCAAAGAGATATGGACAACCTGCTCGCTGGCCAGAATGAGTATAATCCATGATACCCTTAGGCGGGCCATGCGTCATTACGACGTCGACGTTGTGAATGGAAAATTCATGGCCAAGATCTGGCTTATATTGGAAAGCCCTGTCGCCGTAAGATGGGGTGTATGGACTGGCGTAAATATTCAGAAATGCACCGTTCTGTAAGCGGAACGAATGTCTGCCTTCATCAAGAAAATTAATTCCAGTGGCACTATCAAGCAATTTTCTCGCATCACCATCGCGACCGTATACTTTCTCCACCAATTTGGGATCTAAGGATGGTCGTACTTCCGCTATCTTTTGGTGAAAGGCCGGAGTATCCAAGGTAAGATCATGGTTCCCGGCTATCACTAGTTTGAGAGGAGCATTTAGGGCCTGAAGATATTGGATGGTGGCCCTGTACTCATCGATTTTAGACTCTTCGGTGAGGTCTCCACAGTGAATTGCAACATCTGCGTATTGACTCGAGACGGGTTTTGGTGGCCTGTCAAGTCCGTGTGTATCTGAGACTATTAGGAACCGAGTCTTGATCTTGGCTGGAGTATGGGCTATCATCGTTGGTCTTGAGTCTTCTGACTCTCGTCTGATATAGCACTAAACGGACGTATGATACCAGGAGGATCCTCCGGTAGCTGTACTCTATATAGGTTATTGTTGAAAGAGAATTTCCATCTTGCAAGATTAAAGAGAGACAGTTTATAGACTCATATGGTACCGACTTAGTAGATGTCGCTAGACGGTCTGACTAGTCCTATTTAGGACTCCGAGTCCGAAATAAGTCAAATAACTCCGAGTCCAGTTGGCAGGGCTGCAGCCTAAAGCGGTCTGGGACGGCAGATGCTGTAGCTTTCGGGTATTCTCGGATATCATCCCCGGGAATACACGGAAAGGTGATATCCTCAAGTTTGGACTGTTTGTTATACCTTCAAGTTCTAACATGTTTCCATTTGCATGTTTCTATTCGGCCTCGAATTTTTAGAAATTGTTTGGTGACATTTTGATTTAAAGACACTCCCCGCATCTTCAGAACATTGCCCTTATAACCAGTTCGATGTTTGCCGTCAAATCAGGACACAATGTCCAATGGCGTGCCATCAAGAACACTGACGACTGTACCACAACGTCGCCAAAATAGCAGCTGTGATCCCTGTCGGCGATCAAAACGCCGATGTACATTTCCACTTGTCACATTAGACATTTCAAGTCCGGCTTGCGCGCACTGCCAGCGCTTAGGACATCAATGCACTTTCAATTTTGCCACATCTCGCCTGGACTTAAAATCACGCCGAAAGCAGCGAAAACAAGACAACACCACTTCAAATACATTCCAGGATGAAGCAAACTGTTTTGAAGTCTCGGATGAAACAACTGACTCAACCCACTTGAACTGCGAAAACGTGTTCGACGAATGGCTCAATATCGATAATTCGTCATCTTCCAGTAACAATGGCTCGTCTTCGAATCTGAATTATCCGACTGATGATTATATTTCTGGTCCCAGATCTCCAACGGCAGATAGGGATCAGAACCTCCTGCAGGTCGCCTTAGCTCCAAGGCATTTGCGCAATCAGAACCATAGCCTGCCCTTGAGTGTGGGCTCTTTGCTCGGGGTCTCAAGACGCAGCCCGATACATCTGTTGAATTCCAAGCTCGATGAAACAATCTTAGACACGCGCTTGGCGCGAATTTTTGAAACTATCATTAGTGGCTGTGCTTTGAGGTATCTGGACTACGATTGCAATTTGTACGCAACGCAACGTCGGTATCGCTTAGAAAGCAGCACCATCTCTACAAGTCCAGCATCGCCAGAAACAGATTGTATGATGGATGAAAGCTATGCCGACTCTACGCTTTTAGAATCACAGATTCTTTCACCGCATGGGTCAAATCAGCCCTCTGCGCATCTGCATGCCAGTGACCAACGGATGAATGTCACGCCTGCCAGGGAAGGAGCTTGCAATATGACCATAGTCGGTTGTGCACGGTTTCTAGATCACTTAGCAGGTCTCTACGGCAATAGATTAAATCCTGCTGCCCAAAGACAGTCTAACGAAACTTTGAACGCCACCCTTCGACTCTTTGCACTACAATGGATGCCTTCAGCCCAATCTTCGTCTGATTCTCAGCTCCCGTCAAATCGACATTCATCCTTGGAAGCATACACAGATACATGGTTCAGGGTCAGATCTCGAGTATTGGCGAGTCAGAACATCCAATCTTTTCGGGTTGTCCTTGCAATCTTTATGTTTGACGGCACGGCAATTCCTAGCAAGGCCCGGGACAGTTTAGGGACCGAGACCGATCATGAATTCCTCGACGTCGGATTACGAACCCTTTGCCTTTTGAACCAGCTTGTCGTGCAGTACTGTACCACGTTAGGTCCTTTCTCTCAGTATTCTGCACTCGCCGAGGCTAGCCTAAGCCTTGTTCGTTGGTGCGGATATATGCGAGATTTGGGCGCAGCACTCACGGCGAATCATGAGTGTAAACTTCCAGCGCTTTTCGCGCGTGGGAACGGTTAGTATCCTGATGCCTTGTTAGAACATTAAGTATTCAATCTGATATTTTTCTCTAGTTACGCATGATGTTACAGCTCGAGTGCAACCAGTTTATCATGGTTTACGTGACCTCAACAGAAGAATTCCCTCGATATGTCACGCTGCAACAGCCCATTCTTTTTGTATCTGGCGCGCAATTATTGACATAAGAGAGTCTCTTTTAAGGCTAGACGATGTGTCTTCCTGCATTCCAAAGGAAATCTGCGAAGCGGTTTATCAGGTCATGAGGGATGTTCAGTTGTTTCATGATACTTTCCAGACTTTCATGCATGACTGCACCCAGCGTCTGGGTGGTATTTCTCTTGCTTCAAAATTATCTGCTGGTAAGTCTACTGCACAGTTATAGCCACAGTCGAGCAGAACCTGCCTCTTACATTGATGACAGTTTCTATGACCATGTTCTGGAACCTTGGTATTCTTGTGCTTGCCGACACAATATTACCATTCATCGACGAAATTGGTCGATCTTGCAATTGGAGTGTTGAGTCAGAGCTACAATCGTGCCGCCAGATTGCTGTTTCGTCAATCGCTCAAGTAATCGAGAGCGTGTCTGCACTGCCGAATGAGGCAAATTTCAATATTCTAAATGGGCTTAGCCCCGAGGTTCCAATTATTGGATACCATGTCACTCCTAGTCTCATGACTTCTGCACTTGCCAAGGCCGTCGAGCATAGCATTCTTTTGCGTGTTTCGAACATCGATACCTTGGACAATGTGGTTGGCCATGAGCCTACTGGCTGTGATGATCCTGGAGCTCGAATAATCGACACACTAGTCAAGGGACTCCTCTCTCTTGATGTGACTATTGGAGGATCCCACACTGTAGGTGTGGCATTTCAATCATTGATGAGGAGATATGGAGATATCATATCTGAATATTGGTATTGATAGATCTCAGTATGTTCGGCTAAACTGAGTTTTTTTCCGGAGAAAAATTACTATGGAAGAAATTTCAATAACTATATCAATCGATATTATTGATTATTCAAAAATTGGGTATTCGTAGGTATTCGTGACAGGTCATTAGTTCGCAAGCCTCACATGTCCGTAGCAATTTACAATGCAAAAAAAAAACAACACGCAATGCTAATATGGGCGGTAAGATCACCATGCAAAGCTCTCAGCATGCAAATAAACTCCCTCGGCACCGGTGCCCTTATTTGAGCCCCGTTCCTCGCTGACAGTGGCCACGGTGTTCCTGACGTTGCTGACCAGTCCCAGGGGCCCACAGACCGCAACACCAGTCTCGCCCCTAGCGTGATCCAGCAAGTCCCAGAGAAGAGGCTTGAGTTTTGGCCGTCCAGATGTGAACTTAGAGGCCGGGATGGAAGCGGGAGTCCCCTTCTCTTTGGAAACAGACGATGAGATGATATCCTTTGTATCCTTCGATGCAACGATTTCATCGGGAATCACATCAAGGCTCGAAGAACCGAGGCCACTGCAACAGCATGGGCCTTCGGTGTTCTTGCAAGGGCATCCAACCTTTTTCTCAGACGGTTCGGATGGCTCAGCATCACAAGTGACAAAGTAACGCACCTCGGTTTCGATACCGGCGTTGAAAAGTGACTCGATTGCTTGCTGTAACTCATCGGCGATCCATTCTGTGCATGAGACTGTTCTGATCACCCAGGCAAATACCACACGGCGGACAGGCAGCTTTTGGGTCTTGACTCTCTGTGCAATATCAAGAAGAATAGAGAGGGTGAAAGTTATGCCGGTTGATCCGGCAATAAGGAAGACAGTGTCAAAGGCCGCAAAATCAGAATGCGAACCTCCATACGGACCACCGATGAGAGAAAGGTGTTTCCCTTCAAGCCTGACTGTTCGTTGGTCCTCGCTCTTTTCCAGTAGATTAGCCGAGGAGGATTGTGCTGATTGAAGAAGTCGTCGAGTAAAGCCGCGGTGGGCTCGTAGAATGAAGACGAGATCGTTGTTATGGGAGGAGGGGGTGGATAGAATGGTCGCTGGGTGTGACTGTCCAAGTCCGAGCTTGGGAATAGACAAGAAGACGTGTTGTCCCGGGCTCCACTTCTTGATTCTTGGGGATGAAATGCGGATCTTTGTCACGTCACCAGGAAGTTCAGTAATGGTAGCTTTTGAGGGCTTGGCGTTGACATATGTATATATGATAGTGCGAATCAAGCGGTCGAGGATGAAGATGCCGACACCGATCCAGGCGTAAATTCTAACACGTCTTAGTAAATTGAAAGCGAGGTTCTTGAGATGAATACATACCTTGAGCTCAGGGCAGTGGATGGCAAGTGATAGAATATAGCGACGACCAACCCAATAAACGTTATGATATGTTGGGCCACAAAGATCTCATAACGCCAGTTGCGAACTGGCGCGCTGGCTGACAGAACCAACCATACGAGAATAATCCAAGTGGCAAAGCCTGTTGAAAACTGTCAGTCTCAACTCTGCAAATGATAGAAGCGCTCAATCATACCTGTTGGAATGCAACTATCCGTGTCAAATTCAAGCTTCATGACACCATACTTATGCCAGCCATATGTTTGAACAGCACCGTGGATCGTGGCAGTCAATAGCATGACTCTAGCCACCCACCGATGCAAAATCTGCAAGCGCTCATACGACACACCGACGGCATATCCGATCAAGTTCCGCTTTCCAGCAAGAAGGAGAACTAGAGGGAATTGAGCAATGGTGAGCCAACCTGCCCGGATACTTGTTGCTGCCCAGTGCTGTGCCCCGGGATAGTTGCCGTCAAAGAATTGCAAGCCCATAATATACCCAAAGTAGCCCAAAATAAGTACAATGGATCCAATAGTCGGGATCCGAAGCCAAGAGTTTGTGAAAGTGATTTGGTGGTATGAGACTTCTCGGAAGACTGCTGTACACCCAGCCAGCATAGATGTGACTGGGTTTGAAGGACTAGCAGGTCGCGCACGGTTTGCTGCTGCGGCACGCAATCTACAACATTTACACGTTAATTTCACAAGCCTTCATAACATGATTTTCAATAAACCGACCGTAATTTAAGGATAGCCCATTGAGTCCAGTGGGCTGCGCCCACGAACACAATTACAATGACAATGCCATACCAGAAGGCGCGGGCAATGGCATAATCGGTTTGCTGGAGGGTACTGTCATCCAACAGGGCCGCTAGGAAATCATTGGCCACAGTGTAATTGGACATGTCCAGTCCCGCATCTGTAAGGTCGGGACCCCCCGACATGCTTGAGTCCATATCCATCTTGGGTTCGTGGTCCGTGGAACAATAACTCAAGAGTGATGTGAATGGGGGGGGAGAAAGATGGGGTGAGAGGGAGATATCAGTGAATGTGCAAAGTCGAAGTTGAGATTAATAATATCTTCGACGTGAAACGAATTCGTGGTAAACGTGGAGTGCGTGGGTCCATTGGCGGTCATTGCGGAGATAGAAGCTTGACTTTGCTTGACTTTGCTTGACTGTGATCAAGCGTTTTTTTGCGATTATTTCCGTTTTGGGATTAGCTCTGAGCACATTTGCGGGAGTTTGGAAATCGGGCCAATCAGAGGTCAAGCCTCACGTTAATTTACGAAACCTTGGATTTCACTCCATTTTCTCTTTTCTTCTACTAAATCTGTTTTATTACTTTGCATAATCTCTACTAGTACACTTTTCTCCCCCGCTGTGGCGTTTAATCTGCTCTATTGCTCTCGTCAACCCGCTCAATCCACGTGTGTGATTCTGTTCCGCAAGGGATAATCTCGGCACCTTTCCCGTTCTTCCAACATCTAATCTTTCACGACTTTCCCGCATATCAATCCCTCTTCTCAGCTCAGATTGAGCTTGACCGCAGCCATGGATATGTCTTCGGCCACCACCACCGCTTCCAGCATGACCATGTCGTCAACTTCTTCGTCCAGCATGTCCGATATGGCATTCAACACCAACAATCTGTCCGCAGTCCTCTTCTCCCAGTCATGGATGCCAACCACCACTGCGGGCTATGTCGGTTCATGGTTCTTTCTCTTTTTCCTCGCTGTGATCTGGCGAGGCTCGGCTACTGCCCTGTCAAAACTCGACGCGTTTTGGGCCGCAAAGAACGCGAGATACTCGATTCTGATCAATGGTGGACAAGATCAACCCACTCAAGCGGATCTCGTGGGAGCATGGCGTCTTTCGGTCAATCTGCCTCGAGCGGCATTACGAATGGTGCATCAAGGAATCGCATATTTACTGTGAGCAAACAAAATCCGAGTGCTAGAGTTCAACCCAGGCATGGTTCACTAACTGCCTTACTTAGGATGATTGCGGTCATGACTATGAATGTCGGTTTTTTCTTCGCTGTGCTTGTTGGTTACTTCTTTGGAGAATTAGTATTTGGTCGTGTGTCGCGGTCAGATTAAACAATTATTGGCAAAAGGGCCTCTAATGATTTTTGCATATACCTTATTCAGCGGTGCTTTGTCTTTAGCGATGCATGACTACGACTTGACTTATGACGCAATCAACTAGAAGCATACTCACACACTACCTAATTACATGACTACTTGGTATTCTTCGCTGGCTGGCGGGCGCAAATTCTTCAGCATGTAAGAGCTAGGATTGATTCTCTTCGGCCCCTCCGTCGACATCTGAAGGAAATCGGAGTCGGGGTCGAGTGGCCAGTCGGTTTCAATGTTTGCTATTTGTTCCACAGCTAGATGGCTTTGCACATGATTCGGGAAGCCGCATCATAATGTCGTCGAATGTAACACGGCGTCCACCGTACATAGTCAGCTCTTCAAGTTCAACCAATTCAGTTATCTATGTTGTTGCCCAGGTGTGGGCCGGCAAAATTGCACATTGGAAGTGAACAAATGCATCTTTGTTAATTGTCTAAACGAAAATATATGATCTTCGGTTGGACATACTGGAAGAGGCGAATAGTGGAGACGTTGAGCACGTTTCTCATAAAGTGGAGAATTGGCGGCATTGGCCGATATGCAATTACTCCTAGTGGTTACCCTAACGCCACTGGGAATCAATACATAATGTCGCAATCCTGCATCTATAGACCACACACAAGTAGTAGCTTCATTTGCAATTCTCTGGTAATGAGAAATCCGAAAATACATTATACATTAATACTTGAGCCTAAAGCAAACAGTGAACAAACATCACGCCCCTTCCAAGTTCATTCAGCATCATTTAACAACTTTGGACTCTGCCTCCCACGAAAACCGCAGTCGATCAACTTCCAGGGCATCATTCAACCCGCCTGGTAGATAGCCGGACCAGCAACAATATGCGGATTGATCAAGCTTATATTGAACGGACTCAAGACCGGCTTTGAATCAGTGATAGCAATAGACATCGTGCCATTGATCGCCGGATCACCCTGGTAAGTCTGCAGATCTGGCTGGATAGTATATCCTCGAGTTGCATTTGTCCCATTCGCGCCTCTCAGCGGCGTGTACGTTATATTAAGCTGCGACACCCACACGACGTACTTGGCAGCCTGCGCGCTGGAGGTAGTAACATAGCTGTTGTTGGGCCCCACGGCTTTACCCGGGTTATCCCATTGCAACGCGACGTAGCGGCCCGCATATGAAAGTGGTGCCACATCTTCGGTTGTGACAGTCGCGCCACAGTTTCGACCCGAGCTCGACGATCTCTTTCTTCGACCGCTAACCACGTTCGTTCCTGGGCTGATGGTATCATTCACAGTCGTGGAGCTGTTGTCACCACCACTCCCTCTGTTTGACAGACTAGGTTGATTAAGAATTCTAAGGGCTGGGAAGTTCTCCCATATAAGCCGGGTCTGGTTCTCCGGGCACCAGCTAATGTATGGTGCAAGCAGTGTCCAGGCCCAGGACTGTGGAATTCCGACTTCGAACCATTCAGGCATGGGGAAGAGGCCCTGGAACTCGCGGAAAATCAATTGCTGGCGTGCTTCTGTTGAGATGGACTGTGTAAGGAGCGTGGCTGCTTCTCGTGAGTTAAGATGTGCTAGAAAGCCATATACACCGGCTTCCCCGAAGCGGGTTAACTTCTGGGCAAAGTCAAGGAATTCGTTCACAGTGTTGTATGGGTAGATGTAGGCACATTGCTGTGGTGCTTCGGCGCCGAGCATGTTGCTGATCAGAGTTGCATGACCGACTTCCTGCTGGGCCATGAACCCGATAAGATCTCGGTCCTTGGATGTCAGCCCGGCAGACATGAAGTCATCCACTGAGAATCGGTTCAATGCATCTTGGAATAGATCCAGTTCAATCCACGCTTGGTACAGTGCAAGGGCCTGTTCTATATTGTCAGGTTGCTTTGAAATGTGTAAAGCCTGTCCATAGAGACTTCTGAACGTACCAAGGATTCGTAGTCAAAGTCACTCTTGGCGTTATATACCGGGATAGACCCGTTTGTTCCAACACCTCCTGCGGGGTCATACGGTGCTGGCTCGGCATTATGGAGTTTCCCATCGCTAGGATAGGTGGTTTCGCTGGGTGAAATGCTGCCGGAAGGAATGCCTGTTCCAACTGATGTGGCAGTAATCGCACCAGTAACAGACGCAGTACCATTGTATGCGGTATGCGGCAGACTAGTCGGGTGAGACCGAGTCGGTGGAGCTGTGACCGAAGCATTTGACGAAGTTTCTCTGGCCACAATATGATTCGGCAATGCAAATGCTAATGGCAACAAATTCAACAAGGCCAGTGCGATGAAATTCAATATCATAGTCGGTGGTGATATCAATATCGATGCAGTATATCAGGCACTCAATATGGGACGACAAATCTCCGGTGTACAAATCAATAAAGATGTTTCGAGTGCGAAATCTTGGATTTGGACGCCCGAGCCGCCATTGTTGCATATAAATGGGGCAGGCAAGTTCTTTTTCCCTGACGCAATCAATGGGTAGACTATCAGTCAAGTTTTGCAAGCACAATGACCACATTCGAGACCCAGCATATGGAAATTGCGTAGAATTGTTAAGTGAGAACTCCCACACATTGTGCAACACAGGTCTGTCTCGTGGAATCTTGACAGAATCTAGCATAATTTGATTGAAGTCAGTGTCCGGTCATGACATGATCCGCACGGGGTACACTCCGAGCCGGTCGCGATATGATGTTACCAACTTCAATGATTGGATCTGGCATGGATGTTCTTGTCAGTCCTTCCAAACAGTAAACATCTTTTGCGATTGGCTGGGAGTGGTTCCCTCAGGAACGCGCATGTTTGGCGAAGAAAACCTTATCTTCTTTACCATCGGAACTTATGTAAGTCACTCTTGGTGTAGCCTGCATAACAAACACTAGCATCAAACGCATATAGTCAAAAGGCTTTCCAGCCATTAAATTCCAATATCCAACTCGTAGCTTTTCAAATCTTTGGTGACATTTTAAAGCTCAAGTCAAAATATCGGCTCGTGTCGGTAATGACGTTCAAGCTTGGACTTGGATATGAATCCATGGATCGTAACAACGCCAGGTGACATTGAAGATGTAGATCGGAGTGGGCCGGATTAATTTGAATAGAAAAGACCGGATGGGTGAAGGAGGTATGAACAAGACAACACGCAAGTACGAAACAAAATCACCAAGCGACGAACCGCTCTACCTGATTATGCTGCACGGGATCAATAATTCGTATGCGGACTCCAACCAAAGTGCCATTGCCCAGCTTGCACAATCTTGATTCAAATGTTAATAAGCACCAGTTGACTTTCACAATTGATGGAAACTTTCAATCTTGGAACATCAATCGATCACTTCCATTCGGTGTGAAGTCACATGATTTTCCATGCACATGTGTGATTGATGTATATATCAGCGCCTCTTGCCCAGGGCTCAATGCTCTCCCTCTCTCCCATCTCGATTCCTAGATTCATCTACATGACTCTCCTGTTTCCTCCCAGGTTCACCACCCATATAATGATATATCTCCCTACATCCCTTTATTTATATACTTCAAAAGTATTTTGCATGGTAGTATCTGCCTGATTTGAAGAGTCAACATCGAAAGGTATCCAAAGAATAACGCTTTATTAGCATAATTGTTTAACAACTACTGACCCGCGTGATTTCATATAGAGGAGCTTCAATGTTTATCACCGACGGCACGGCGCTCAAGGATTTGAAGTTCGGTGTCTTCTGTGCCATGGAGAAGGCCAATAAGCGATGGGCGAATTGGGGGGCGATCACAGCATCAAGCCATCTCTACCAAGTCCACGGAGAGGTCAAATGTTGGTCGGTCAGTTGTCCGCTAGAGAGAAAAAGGATCTCCTGCTGATGATTGAGGACTTTCAAATTCTGGCTGGCGGAATCGGTCTTCCTTCAGTTGGCATGCCATCCCCACGGCTGGATCCATGGATCTTAACCTCTGAAAGCGATCTACGACAATGAAACTGCACTACAACATACGTAGAACGGGCAGTGCAAAATCAAACGACAGCGGATTCCTACAAGCCTCGTCTACCCGAGCATACGATCTGATTTGCCTCAAGAGCTTTACCACAGAACAAGCGCCAGTGCTTGAATAAGAACTAGGTATATTCTAATATCTGGAGTGGAAGTACTGCAAACTAAAAACTGAAGGCAATTCTTGAAATATCAATTGATCGGCAGTATACCCGTGGATCTCAAGTGCTGTAAGTGTAACCTAGGTGGATTTTGTTTGCGTAGGCATGTGTATGGGCTTTCTCCAAATTCTGCATTGTTTCTCTTTTCCCATGCTTGCTCTTGGAATGTTTTTTGGCTGCTTCCAACATCCGTGGTTTACCTCTTTGGGCATGCTAGATCTTGTTTGCATGGGCGTGAATACGGTTAGACATTCCAGTTTATCGTTGACCAAGGAAGCCAATAACCCCGCTAACAAAGACCACAACTTTCAGGCAGAGGAATAGAAGCTCTCGTTGCTCTTGAAATCGCCAACCGAGGCCTGGGATTACCCAAGCTGCTCGGTGGATCCAGTGTCGATCATAAAGTGGGGAATGAGTCAATGACGGTATCGCCGACGCGGGGAATCAAAGGATTAGAAATACACAGGAGTTCACCATGACTCCGTTCTTCCAAAACACTCTGCGCCACACTATCCCCAATCCCTCCCCTTTTACTCAACCCCCCAAAATGTCCCATTTACAAGCATCTGAGCTATTCTCGGTCAAAGGCCGAATTGCCGTCATCACAGGAGGAGGCAGCGGTAAACACACACCCTTTCCCACCATTACAATGACCCCACTAACCAAAAACATCCTCAGGCCTGGGTCGAGTCATAGCCCGCGCTCTCGCCGTGAACGGTGCATCAAAGGTTTTCATCCTTGGCCGACGCGAGGACTCCCTCCATGAAACAGTCGCTCGATCGCCCGGTGGCATTGTCATTCCCGTCCAATGCGACGTGACCTCCAAGGACTCGCTCGATGCAGCATACGCGTTCATCGCAGCACAAACAACGCACGTTGACATCCTATTCGCGAACAGCGGCATCATGGGACCAATCATGCGCTCGCCCCAGCCCAAGGCCGACGGAAGCCTCCCTTCGCTAGCGGAGGTCCGCGACGAGTTGTACAATGTCCCCATGGGAGAATTCACCAATGTAATGGACGTGAACGTGACGGGCGCCTACTATACTGTTCTGGCGTTTCTGCCTCTCCTGGACGCGGCTAATAAGAGGCGTGCGGCGCCGCAGGCTGGGGTGTTGGCCGCGCCGACGGCGCAGGTGGTTATTACCGGGTCGATTGCGGGTTTTAATCGGAAGCCGCCGTTTAGCTTTGCGTATAATGCTTCGAAGTCTGCGGTGCATCATCTGATTAAAATGCTTGCTACGAGTTTCACGTCATACGATATTCGGGTTAATGGGATTTCGCCTGGTCTTTATTACTCTGAGATGGCGGAGCATGCCTTTGGCGGTGTTGAGGGGGGTGGAATTTCGGATGGTTCGTTCCCGAGGGAGATGATTCCGTTGTCGAGGGGTGGGTCGGAGCAGGATCTGGCTGGGCTGGTGGTCTGGATGACCAGTGCCTCTGGGGGATACCTCAATGGTAATATTATCGTCACTGATGGCGGTCGGCTCGCTGCTGTGCCTGCTACCTACTGATTCTTGTTACTGGAAGTTCACCTCCCCAATGTTGTCCCCATAGATTTAATGAAGAGCCAGTTCCAAGACTAGATTGTTTCGATTGAGAAAATTGTTGCTACAATAGTCGAAGTAATTGGCATGGAGCTGGGTATCAAACTATCAATAGCATGGGTAACTAGTATGTATCAGATGGTCGCCGCCAGTCGCGAAACTAGATAATCTCCCGCAGTGATGTCGGCATATTTCTTTTCGATATTGATTTCTTTGCCATATGTTCCTGGGAGCGCTTCGATCATTTTGTTACTGTTAGGGTTGCAAAAGTACGCGATGCTGTAACGAGAAGGGTATGAGTCGGCATCGGCTCCACCGTCTTCGCCTGCTGGGATAGGTGGCTGGATTACTCGATGACGGGTGCTGTTGATGGTATCGTTGGACCAGCGAGCGAGTAAATCACCAGCGTTGACAACGATAGTATCGGCAATGGGCGTTGCATCAACGAATGTGCCCTTGGGACTGCGCACCTGCAAACCACCATGCCGATCTTGAAACAGCAGTGTGACGGAACCGTAGTCACTGTGCTCACCCGCCCTTACTTGATTGGGATTGTCTTTGAAGACCTCCTTCTTGACAGGGGGATAGTGCAACAGGCGCAGAGTGTTGTCCCCTTCATTGACAAACTCATCGAAGAAGTGCTCGGGTAAGTTCATCCCCAGGGCAATTGCACACATTATCTGTCTGTGGAGATTCTTGCATGTGTCGAAAAATGACAGCATCAATTCCTTAAATTCTTTACCCTCTTCATCAAGATGATCCGGCCAACGATTTGGCAAGCCTTCGACACCTTCGCGACCAATTTCGAGTGTTTCCTTTAGATCTGGTGCGGAGCCGCGTAGCGTACCGATCCCCGCAGTTTCCTCGAGGGGGGCGAGCTTCTCCCGCCCGGCTGTGATGTAACCACGGTTCGACTGTGGGGTCGTCCAGCCCAAACTGTCCTTCTGACTCTGGGGTCGACTGAAGAATCGGGATGATGAGGCAAAGACTCGGGACACCACGGATGGCGGGATTCCATGTGCTTTGAGATAGAGAAAGCCGGATGTCTTGAAGGCGTTGGTGATGGAGAGAGCGACGGCATGCTTGTCAGAGGGGGTCCCCGAAGAGAAAAGGCCGAAATCGATGAGCTGAAAGGCAAATTAACTTTATCCGAAAATATTCCATGCAAGGAGATTGAAGGGTCTTTACAGGTATCACCAAGTCGTCCTTCTCGACGGCGGTGGAAGAAGGGTGGATCGCTTGGGCAGCGTTGGCCATCTTGAATAAAAGAGATCGTGTTCCTTCCAAAAATTTGGGTTCGGATCAGGTTAGAAATCAGTCACAAAGGAAGCTGGTGATGGACAAGTACTACTGTACTAGTAGGGGAAAGAGTGTAGAGAGATGAGGGGAAATAAGATAAGATTCATAAGAATGTGGAGAGAAGATAAGCTGCATAGATCAAACTTCATGATAAGCACTATCACGGCTTCGATATGGGACTTGAAGGGTCCTTATCGGAAATCCTCCATGATAAGGAGAGTACAAGTACTAGTAAGTCTCTCTCACGGCGGATAATATTTCCGCTCTGGTTTCTGTGGCACATCACATGAACATCAACTCTCATGTGATTCTCAACATAAAAGACCTTTACGCTCGTTACCATGGAAAGTTCTAGAAGTTCTTGATGAAATTTGATAAGCTCAGCGGCGCTTGGTTATAAACCTATAGCAGGTAGATGACTTGTAGCAAATTGGACTGCCTACTAATTCTGGAGAAACAGAACGTCCAATTCGAAGCTTCCAATGTCCCAAGTGGGATGTTTACGAGCGTACGTGAGAGATGGATGTTGGGGCCGGTCACAAAAGCTGACTCTAACATTACCATGTTCGGCCCCAAGTCTAACTTCTAAGCAACTACCAACCTTGTAAGCTTAAAAGGTCTTCAATGCGGCTAAGCGTGCTCGGCTGGGGCCGTTTTTCCCGTGTCGTGCAGGATTGAGCTTTATAGCTAGACTCGGCTAGTATTTCGTACTTTGCTCCCAAATACGAATGTGGCGTCCTTATGGCATCGACAAATCGCGGACAATGTTCAAGTCCGTTAAATTATCAACCCAAACTCCATCGTGTTTCCCAGGGTCCAGGACTCCAGGGAGTGTTTTTATGCTTTTGATTGATGTGGATCCCGGTGAAAATCTGACCCCACCGGACTTGAAAGTTGCAACTTTTGTTTTTGTTCCTGAATCTTGGCTAAATTTACCTCGGTCGAATTATCTAATCCCGTAGATTTGAAGTACAAATTGCCCCTCCTTCCCTCACTTTCTCGGCTTCTTTCTTCTCCATCAACACCTCATCAATCATCGATTCATCTCATCTGCTTTCAAGCCTTTCCAATTCTACCAAATCATTCAAAATGCCTTACCACGCTTCCGTTATGTACCCCAACGAGGATGACACCGCCTTCGATGAGACCTACTACATGCAGACCCACATGCCTCTGGTCGAAAAGACCTGGTCCAAGCACGGCCTGATCAGCTGGAAGGTTGTCAAGTACTCCAGCTCTCTCGACGGCTCCAAGTCTCAGTTCTTGATTGCTGCTCTTCTTGAGTTTGAGAGCGAAGAGGCTGCCACCAACGCCCTCAAGGACCCCGAATCTGCCACCATCTTTGGCGATATCCCCAACTTCACCAACAAGAAGCCCATTACCATTGCTGGCAGCCAGCTTTAAGTGGTCTTTTAAGTGGTAATGTTCCTGTAAGTACTGCTCTTGCGTTAAATTGATGTGCGGTGAATTAATTCGTTGGCAGGACAGGACGCCAACCGTGAAGAAGAACCAAGATGATTAATGTTATGCGAAAGATTTCCGGCTGATGCTTTATTTGATGTTCTTTGCTCGAACAATTTATCAGATACCAATTGAATTGCTACAGCCACAAGTTGAGACCGAGTGCAATATTGTAGACCAAACATGCCACTCCATATAGAGATGCGACTCCGAGTCACAATGTGTAACCTGTATCATTATGAGACCGGAAGACAACATTTGAAGTTCTTATATGCAACGATAACGATATGAGCCTCCTTTATCTACATCTATCTCAATCGATTGTTTATCTTATCTGAGATAGAAGAGGTGTTTCCCTAATCAACAATCTCTCATTGAGGGGGCCAAGACCCTGCATGTTTATCTGTTTATCGGCGATATCACCGTCTCACCCCCGCATCTCGGGCCTTATCTAACCTATCTCCCTCTATTTAATACTCCGCATCAAAGCCACACCTTCGTCTCCAAGTCCAATAATCTGCAAATAAAAAATATCACCATGGCAAACCATCTTGTCGTCGACATCCATACCCATGTCTATCCTCCCTCATACCTGGCGATGCTCCGGGCTCGCAAAACAGTCCCCTACGTCCACGATCCAGCCAATGGTGAACCACGCCTAATTATCCTATCATCAGACGATGATCCAGCAACACCACTCGATCAACGAGGCCGTCCAGTCGACACATCCTACTCAGACATAAACGTGAAGCTTGCCTTTATGGAAAAACACGGCATCCACAGCAGCGTGATCTCCCTCGCGAACCCATGGCTAGACTTCGTCCCCAGTTCCGAGGCCCAAGAATGGGCCGAGCGAATCAACAATGACCTAGACTCCACCTGCGCGCAGGTAAACCAAGCCTCCGATCCAGATGGAACAAAGCCCGCCACGGAGAAAAAGTCACTCTTTGCATTCGGCGCTTTACCACTCAGCGCGCCATCCTCGGTCGTCGTGGCTGAGATCAAAAGACTAGCCACGCTCCCGTATATTCGTGGTGTGATAATGGGCACATCGGGACTGGGCAATGGTCTTGATGACTCTGAGCTCGATCCCATCTGGAAAGCGTTGGAGGAGACGCAGTTGGTACTATTCCTGCACCCACACTACGGTCTGCCGGATGAGGCATTTGGGGGTCCTGAGGTTATTACTCGGTATGGACATGTTCTGCCACTCGCGCTGGGCTTCCCGCTCGAGACCACGATTGCGGTTACGCGGATGCTGCTCAGTGGGGTGTTTGATCGGTTTCAGAAGCTGCAGGTTCTGCTTGCTCATTCGGGCGGGACACTTCCGTTCTTGGCGGGTCGGATTGAGAGCTGCATTATGCATGAGCGAAAGTTTGTTGTGAATGGCGGCGATGAGCCGGGGCCACAGCGGAGTGTGTGGGATGTGTTGAAAAGTAATATCTACCTTGATGCGGTGATATACGGATCTGCGGGCTTGCAGGCGGCTGTTGCGGCTGGAAGCCATGATCGTCTTATGTTTGGTAAGATCAACTCCGCGCAATCGTCTCCAGCTATTGGACTTCGACTGACTCTAATAGGTACCGACCATCCATTTTTCCCGCCTTTGAAGGACGAGGATGAGAAGTGGCCTAGCGTGACTACCAATTATCAGGCTATTCGCAGTTGCTTTGGTGATGAGAAGGTGGATAGTATCGGCATGGTCTTGGGAGCTAACGCGAATCGTGTTCTCAAGTTGGGTCTTGAGTAAGACAAACAATACGCTCTTTCGGTATTATCTAGTATGTGGGTATATACTGCATGCACATCTATTGATACAAAAGTTCATCACCATAGCTGCCCATTCTTTTATCCTTCAAACCTCTCCTTTCTGACCATGAAAGAATAACTCGATAAATATATGTATGAATCACTGTAAAAAGCTGAATCACGAGCTCAACCAGTTGACGTCTTTCCTGGATACAATAGATCCCATCCAACCAGACGCCATAGTTCCTCAGTGAACCACTCGGGAAACTCTTGTTTCTTTGATGGTCGAATGCTCCCACTCAAAACAGGGGGCGTTGTAGGACGAGCCAAACCTTCCCGAAACAGCGGGTCAGTGTTCCCAAAGACAGCCTGCATAAGACTCTTCTGCAAGCGACCTTTTATCTTTCCAAGGAACTGGGAGTTTATAACCTCGGTGCCCAATATTTGTGGACCCAGTACTCGTTCAAGGAACTGGATAAGATTCTTCGCTTCAAATTGCGCCATTTCGCGTGTCAGGCCCTCTTCCTTCATCGCCCGAATGCCATGCTGAGCCTCCAAGTCGGGACACCTGTCAGAGGGCAGTTGGCCGTTGTCGAAAACGAATAAAGAGAGCATTTTGCCCACCCGATCTATCACAATAAAGAGAAAGCCCTCCATCACCTCTTGATCTTCAGATCGGTTCAGATCTAGAGATAGGGCCATTGTGCATAGCAGGTCTAGCAGGTGCTGGGCATTGCTCTTCTCCATCTTCAATGGCTTGGCTTTTGAGGTCACGGGGAGCTTCTTCTTCTGGTTGTCTTCTTGTTTTCTCAGTTTCATTCTGTTGCCTTTTGAAGTTTCCTGGAGAATTCCTTTTGTGAGGGATGTGCTTGCGGTGGTTCGTGCGAACCCCGTGCAAATCTGGGTGAGGACACTCATTGTGGATTCGAAAAGACACACAAGGTAGTATGTGATTTGTCCCTTGCAATATTTCTCCTCTTGCGTTCCCATCACTTTTTTGAGGGCCTGGTGGACCAGATTGAACGACAGTTCTGCGGCTTTTGTCACAGCGGCCAAATCATGCTTCCCAACCTGTTTACTGGAAGGGGGCTTTGGCTGATTCTCTGGAGATTTTAACCCAAGCATTGCTTCCAGTATCTCTGATTCTGTTATCTTACACAGGTTGACGGCATTGGTTGCGAGTTGTTTGGTATTGTTCCTCTTTTGAAGCGCACGTTGGATGGTATATATTTGCCTCATAAGTTTCGGAGCTAGTCTGTAGTCAGCACCAAACATTTCAATTCAACGTTCTCGGGTAATGTTGATCGGAATCACCATTTTCATTGTCTGAGTACTCTTCATTTTCGTATCCTTCGCTCTTTTTGGCCAGTCGGGTTTTCGACTGATGAGGTTGCGTCTTCTTCCTTGGCGGATCCAACTCTTTTCGGCTATCTTCTGGAGAGGCCTTTCGTTTGCCAGGAGACAATATACCTGTGCTCTGACTGTTCTTTATCTTCGAGCGGAGACCTTGGGTGCGTTGTTCCAACTCGAATATTCTGTTGAGTAGTTTCGCCTGCTCGGCCTCTGATTCTTTGTATGCCTTTTGCCAGAAAGCGACACTGTCGAAGAACTTGTCCGAAGGCTGAACCTGCATGTCATTTCGAATACACTGACGGATTTCCAAAATATAATCTGGGAACACATTGTAATAATTAGCTTCTGAGATGGAAATCTCAAGCTACGACTTCGACAACCGCTCACCTTTGACATCTTTGTCGGGAGGTTTCTGTTTCACAATGGCGATGGCGAAAGCCAAAACAGCTTTGCCTGGAGCAATCACCACTGTGGCTGTTGGTTTTTCCATTGTAGAGGATACTCAGGAGGGCTGGCTGGGATGAGTTGATGTCTAAGTCGGTGCATTATGAAATCACGGGCACATGTGATGTGCATCCAGATCCCAGATGCCCTCTGGACTTGTGTCTGGAGGTTTTTTTACTCTCACCCTAATATTTTTAGAAGTTTATATGTCAATTTGCCCTCCTCACCAGTTCCATCAACTGATAAATTTTTGGCTCAAGGCTTTGAGATTTTAATTTAATTTTCTAACACCTACTAGTAGTACTTGAACAAGCAACCTTGTGCTAGCTTAGCAGAACTATGTAGTAATTGTTTAGGGCAGGTCGCATGACGCCACCGCCCGAGCTGGGCCCGCAACTGATTAAATTTCCCCGAAACCTTCAACTCTCCAACTCCAACTCTCCAAAAAAGCATTGAAACCCCTCCAAGCGCCCGAAAGGAACCCAACCCTTTCGTTCCCTTGATAACAGGCTCGGGGTACACTTCTTCCACATCTACAATACCAACCACACCCCTCATTCACTCCCTCACAACACGCCAAAATGTCCTCAGACGACCTCAAGGCGGCCGCCGCCTCAGATCAAGATTTCTACGCCCTCCTCGACATCTCCCCAGCCGCAACCCTTAGTGAAATCAAGCGCCAATACCGTCGCACAGCCCTAAAATACCACCCAGATAAAATCTCCAACCCAACCCCAGCAGACATCGACAAGTTCCACACTCTCCAAATCGCCCACGATGTCCTCACAGACCCCGACGTAAAACAACTATACGACAATGCGCGCGAAGCCCGGCTGCGCAAGCAGCGTGAGCGTGACATGCTCGACTCCGCCCGCCGATCAATGGTCGAAGATCTTGAAAAGCGCGAGCGAGCGGGCGCTGCTGCGCAACGCGGACTCAAACGGTCCTGGATGGAGGAGAACGATGCGGAAGCGAAGCTCGCTGCAGAGATTGAGCGCATTGCGCAGGATGGACGGCGGAGGCGTAGGGAGGCGCAGGAGAAATTACAGCGCGAGCTGGACGAGGAGCAGAAGGTTATTGACCGTGAGGAAGAGGAGGCGCGGAAGGCGGCTGATCGGAGTACCCAGCGGGTGGACCGGTCTCAGGAGACGAATGTTTCGGAGCTGGAGCGATCTGTTAAGGTGCGGTGGGTGCGGGAGGGACGGGGAGTGGAGTTGGAGTCTGAAGGGTTGAGGGGCCTTTTTGCGCCGTTTGGGGCTGTCGAGGCTATTGTCGTGCTCAAGGATAAAAGGAAACGAGTGGAAGGGAAGAAAGGGAAGGTTACCTTGGCTACGGGCATGATTGTTTTCGCTTCCATTGTGAGCGCGCATGCGGCTGTTCTTGATGGTGAGAAGAAGATCCGCCATGCTGGGCCCGGGGATGGCGACTGGGCTGTTATTGATTCGGTGGGCTGGGCATCGGGTGATGGGCCGGATCTGGGGCCAGCTGCCGGTCCGGCTTCCTCTAAGGATAAAGAGTCAGTCCCGCCAGTCTCGACTACTGAAACGAATAAATCGGCTGCACCCCGCGCCTTCAACTTCCCAGGCTTGAACTCGGCACCCAATTCGGCCAAAGCGCCTTCGTTTGGGTCGTTCGGATCTGCTGCTGCTTCTATGAAGCCTCAAGCATCCTCGTTTAATGCATCAGTGAGGCCTGCTGGCATGCCTACTTTCCAAGACGAGGTTCTTATGAAGATGAAAGCTGCGCAGCGTGACAAAGAACGCAAAGCTCTAGAGGAGCAACTTGCGCGTGAAGATGATGCTGCAGATGCTGCAGAGGCTTCGAATAAAGCCAACGGAGCTTGAGACCTTCTGCTTGTATAGCTTTCTGTTTGTTTGTTTTTTATAGATTTTCAGCTTATTCTAAGATACCCAACCAATGTTAGGCCGAACAGAGATATAGAATGTTCGATGGACTCCTGATACAGCTCATTATTGATGTGGGATATATTGACTATTTACATGTCTTTAAGAAACTTTTTATATTGTACAATGGTTCTTTGGCATCAGACGTATGGTGCTATTCCGCTCGTCGATGTGCTTGCTCTTCCTCCTCTTCTTCGAGCTGCTCCACGAATTCCCGGGCCCTTTCACCATCGAAATCCACAGGTGGTGGAGTTGGCTTCCGCACACCCCCATTTTGGATATGATCTCTTATCCATGACGGAACAAAAGCCTGCAGTTTGACCTCCACAGGAAGGTCGGTCTCAGTAGTCCACGAAACCTTGAATTCGCTCCCGGGTGTAAATTGGGTTCCTTCACCGGTGAGTGCGATATCGGTCATCATTTCCAAACGACACAAGGCAAGACCAATATTTCCCACGCCATTTAGGAACTTGCCAGCACCGCGGCCTCGCCGACCACCAGCTTTCGTGATATTTGTGCCACCGGGCGGTAAGTGAATCCCAGCAGAAGGATCATACACGGGTTCCTCTGCCGAACTCAGATCCTGAGTGTATAATTGCACTGGAAGAATGCGCTTCCGTACCACACCAGTATGATGTGTGCGGATCGTCAACTCCTGGCCAACATAACAGCCCTTGCGGAAATCAATAGCGCGAGCCATATCCATATTGCACTCCATCGGCAATGCCGACTCCCGAATGATCTCCGACTGGCCTTCCGGAACACCATTTAGAATCCTCCGCACGGTATAAGAATCCAACCCGACCTCCGAGCCCGCAAGTTGTGCTTCATCCGGGAAATGGGTGCGCAGGCCCTCTGAACCTGGAGTTATAATACGGGAGCCGAATCCCGGGGCCCGGGTATCAATGCAGCCGACGATATCAGACGAGGCGGAGAAAGGTGAAGTTGCCGCCGACTCCGATTCCAGGTTGTATGCGGCCCACCGTGGCTGCTCGTGATTCTTCCAGGATGACCAGATGGTGCGCTCTCCGTCCTCGAGGGCGCGGAGCTTCAGCTTTGCGCGTAGCTTGTGCTTCTTCAGGTGCTTGAGCAAAGTAGGCACCTCATTCTTGTCCACCTCAACTAACCATTCGAGATCGTTGCTGTTCGGAATCGGAACTGGGTAAATGAAGGCGTCGTTAAGGATTCGACCTTGGGAGTTGAGGAATGCGGTGTATGTCCCTGTGCGCCGAATAGACTTGTTTGGGTCATTGGCCACGAGCATGTTTTGCGTAATCAGGCCTTGAAGGAAAGTCGAGCTGTCGATTCCGGTAATTGAGATTAGGCCTCGGTTGGTGAGTTGGGCGTACCCGGCATGCGGTGATAGAGCTGCATTTTTGATGATTTCAGCTCGGGAAAGTGTTGTTGAAAAGAGTCCGCTGTGTGCCAGATGCTGGCTGCATATTGAGAGACGGGGGCGCATCATGTTTGCGCAGATGGGTGTAGAGCGGGACCAATGTGAGTCGTCGTATTTCTTTTTACCCGCGGAGGATGACGTTGGGCGGTGAGACTTGGCAGAAGAGCGATGATCATCGATCTTTCCTATTTAGTTTACCGTCAACATTGATCGCACTTGCATGTTGTCCTTAAGTTGATAAACAGATAGGAAATAGTATGGTCTAGCCCTTGGCCAAATAAGCCTCGGTATCAAGGAGGCTCTAAACCAATAAACTTGGGCTCAAGCTTCGGGCCGCAGCGTATGCAAACCATTCATACCGCTACTTTGCGCAAAGTCTAGAACTGCAATAGATCTCAGAGACACATTCCGAACGATCTAGACCCCATTCAAACTGTACATCGAATTTAACCCCAGAGGTCTAGAATTACAATAGAACTCGACATGTTCGCATCAATCTTAATCGACAGGTGCTAATTTCACCCGGGTGAACTTCCCCGTACCGAGGGGCCAAAGGAATGACAACACAGCCATAGATGTCAGTGATCGTCGATAGATCAGTGGACCTGGCATCGCACATTCGAATCACGAGATGGCCATGGCCTATGGTCATCTAGATCGTCTGACGGCCTTCAAATATTTCCAGTAGGCCCAGGCGGATACCTACTAACACTACTACTACTGGGCATATCCTCTGCTGCTCTGCACTTAAATATCGCCAAATATCCTCAGCATCCATGGATGTTGTCGACTTCTACATTACTTCTTTCTGAATGCCACTCAACCCATCCGTGAACTTCTGTTTGACTTTATCCTAATGGAGCTACCTTCGCGCCGTACGGACCCCCCGAAGCTGCCCGATGACTATTACTGGAGGGGTGATCCGTTTACATGTATCCCAAGTTCCTCAGCATGCCCTCTCGGGTACTCCACCCTGTCCACCTTCAATGGGCCACCTCCGGCTCAAAATCATCTATATGGTTCTTTCTCTCTGGTCCCCCCTTCGCCCCGTGGCCCAAACCCTATGCATCACCCTGTCTCGCCCTCTCGCCATCCAGATGACAATGGTTCCGGCATGATGAGTACCATATCGAACAACAAAGGGATCTACGGTGAAGATACGCGAACCAGATCACCCTTTGCACAGTATACAGAGAACGTTGCTCAAGCAGGAGAGATGTTTCAATCGGCAGATGAAGGATATAACGGTGCGAGATATAAGAATCCTCTTAGTGGTCGCGATCTAAAAAAGATGTATGATATTTCTGTTCAGCGATTTTCGGGATATGACAGATCGTTCTGACTCTTTTACTTGCCTATCTTAGTGATAGCTGTGGGCCTTACAGGTGCAAATGGATGGACTGTCGATATCCGGGATTATTTGTGAGGAAGGCTGTGTTGATGCGCCATATTGAGACTCAGCATGTTGCTCCACGTTCATTCGAGTGTCCGGAAAAGAATTGTGAAAGGTCCTTTAACAGGAAAGACAACATGGAGGAGCATTGGCGGCGTGTTCATTAGCTTGATTAGTGTCTGTATGTACTCAATCCCGGTGCTGGATTCTGCGTCAGCCGTTCTCTCAATCCAGGAACCTTCGAATATTTATCAATTCTGACCTCAAATGCTCTCTGGTTGTTCAGCTTTGGTTAAAAGAATAATATTGTGTATTTGTGCTGAGGCACGACTACTTAGGTACAGCCTCTGATTCGTTTTTCCTCTTTACATAAACATTACTACCTGGGTAGGTAGTGGTTTCTAGGGGAATTTGGGAGGTTTGAAATATTTGGGTTTAACAATAGAAAAAAAAAATAGCCTTCGGGCCAGTAAAAATGCATTATGAGAAGGCGGGGAAACAGTTACTTGTTGACCTTAGCAGAAGCACCTTGCAAATATCCCAGAAGAAAAGCCTTGTGGTCTGGTGATGCAATGCCATTGGGAGCCGTATCGCCCTCGAATGGGGTACCGTGGCGCGAGAGAGATTCAGCGCTGCTGAGGATATGTCGAGATGAAAGTGGGCTCACCAGTCCTGATGGCGCAGTGGATGGCTGATTGACAGCCATGGCCTGGTGGTCGGGCTGAGCAGCGGATTGGAAGGATGGTGAAATGCTGGGTTTAGCGAACAGAGACAAAAGGGCGTCTTTCTGAGCGTTTGTCTGGCTGGGTCGACGGTCGAAGCTGCTTTGAGGAGCTAGCTCCACAGGCTGTGTCTGTGCTTGCACACCCAACGGAACTGGACTTCTACGATCGATACCTTCAGTCTTTTGGGTATTCACCATCAAGTTCTCAATACCCCCTTTCTCAGAGCGTCGCAGGATCTGTGGCTGGAAAGGTTTCACTGGTTCCGGCGCTTGAGGTTGAGGGCTAGAAGACCGATACGGAGGCTGAGTAGCCTGCATGTTTGGTTCGGATATCGATACATCGCGCTTCGATGACTGTGGCCGAGGTAGAATGGTAAATTGCTGTGGATTCTGCTGGTCTCGTCGATAGGAATTGTTCTTTCGGCCAGGTCCGTTCGGACCCTTCTTGGGTGCTGACTTGGGGATCGCCTCGAACTGTGGCATGTTCAAAGGCCCGGATACTGTAGCCGCCGTCTGGCCCGGTTTAAATGCACCAGGTCCTCGCTGAGTGTTGTGAACCGCCTGCTGGGGAGCTCGCTGAAGAATTTGAACCTCTGCAGGCGCAGCTGGGGGTACAGAATTTCCCGACAGCTCCACAGGGGGAGGAGCGGGAGAGGTGGCCTGGCCCTTGAACAGATTCAGGAGACTATCTTGGTGCTGTGAAGTCTTCCGCGCCTTGACATAGCCCTGCCCCGGAGCGGCTAGAGTAGCAACGCGAGGACTCCTTGGGCTATGCAGACCCTCATTCATGAAGACATCGAGCAATGCAAGTGAGTGGCTGTTAAGCGTGGGCGGAGGCAGCTTACTCGCCGGTGGCACAATTGCCCCCATCATTGGAGGGGGCGGGGCCTGCTGGGTGAATTGAGGATCTCCAGTCTGCTGGAAAGGGGCCATTTCTTGTCTTCGAGGCCCAGGGACGTCAGTTTGAAACACAGGGTGGCGGTCTTGATAGCTTTGCGTATGGATTTGATGTAGTTGTTGAACAGCGGGGGACCCAGAAAGTTCCGGGTGACTCATAGGGGGAAAATGAGATTGTTGCATATTTGACTGAAGCGGGCCGTTATAAAAAGGCTGTGCAGATGTCTGCTGCATGAAGTTTGTTGGAACCATGTTCTGTTGTTGCTGAGGAAATCCTGGGAAGAAATTGGGCGCCAGGTGCGGTGCTGAAGCCGTAGGTAGTGAGCTTGGGTGAGATGAGCTTGGCGGGGTTGCAGCTCCGTTCTGAGCCTGAGAAATGGCGTTTGAAGAGCCCTTCCGCAACAATTCAAGTAAGGCATTCGATTTTGACTGGTCTACCGCAGCAGATTGAGGAGCCTGGGCGGCTTGAATTTGTGCTGGAATTGAGGCAGCCACGTCGATGTTGAGAAGTCGCTTGAGATGAGATGAGACATCTTGAACGGATGTGACTTCAGGCAGATCGCTTGGGACTCCACCTACAGCTGCAGACAGAGCCATTGCATCGTTCGTTGAAAACCCGTTTTCATCAACCGAGGTGTAACTCTCATTCTGGGAGTAAGCTGCTGCACTTTGAGTATTGGACACAAGTCTCTTTTGCTGCGAAATCCATTTCTTTAATGGGTGCAAGAAGGGAGCGACCATGTAAAACTTATTGGCGTTGGCTACTGCAAGCCCTTCATCCTGCCCTTTCTTCTTGAGCGTGGGCAGTTCTGATAGCTTATACCATTCAATCTTGCTGATTTCTTTGCGCGTACGTGGCTCGAAATATGTGTCACGAGGAACACCACGGAAGACGTAAAGTCGCATATGTTGCTCACGCATGGAGATCTCAATGTGCTTCACAGCGTCGTCATTTTCCACCAAGTTAGCTTTACGCACATCGAAGCCGGTTTCTTCGTAGACTTCACGGATGGCACAATCCAAGTCCTTCTCGTCTTTATTAATCTTTCCACGCGGGAAACTCCAGTTGGCACCCTTCTTCCAGCCCTTGACCAGCACAACTTCGTCCATATCTTGATTCAACATAATTGCTCCACGAACTGGAACGCGAGTCTTGTAGGCCAGGAACTCTGAGAAAGCAGTCTGATGGTGGTAGTGCGACCATTGCGACATAAGAGGACAATGTTGGAAAATGCGTAGGGCAAAAGCTTTCAAAGAAAGTGACGGTAGCGCGGGGTCAAGCGGGCGAATGAAATCTTCGTAGAACCATTGTGCTTCTTCGACTTGAAAACAGATCCGCTCCACCGATTCGAGCTCTTCACGGGGTAAGTTGATGATAAACCGGACACATAAGTCATCCAGCCCTATGGCGGCCCAACGGTCTTAGTTAGTCACAATTAAAGCCGTCCTTAATAGTCAGAGGAACCTCACAATCTTCTAGTTGCATCTTTGTTTCGGTCATACTGGTCAACGAAGCTTCGCATCTCAGCTCAGACAACCGAAACTAGGTGTTTTGCTTACGTCGCGAACGCGACAGATGTCCTATTCCGAATGAGGAGAAAGACGGCAAGGGTTGTGAGAGAAATAGGGCTGGGCGAAGTCCGAAAACAAATGTATCGAAATACCACAGTGGGGGCAGTAGGAAGCCAACAAGTTCACTGTAAGGTAGCTTCAATTGATGATGGTTGGGAAGCCCGGGCGGAACTGAGAACGGCCCAATTGCGGCTGAGTCAGGCGGTGGCGGTGTTGGGGGATAATGCCGGGCTACGGGGGCCGATAGCCGCCACCTGCGGGGGCCGATAACCGCTCAACGATCATCCCAACTTTCCGGCCGGCAGAAAGTAAATCGTTATACAATGCGGGCGGGAAATAGGGCGGTGAATTCAGAGTTGAAATTGAGATGTGTCGTTGGGTTGGCGGTTATCGGCCCCCATATGACGGGCTTAGTATAATGTTAGAAGCTTGAAACCTGTCGGAACAACTTCAATACAAAGAGATTTTCCTTATGTATTCAATACTCAATGATACATCTTTCACTAATGAGCCTTTTATAGATATATAACTACTCACATATGAAATTCCATATCTCCAATGACTTAGTCTGGTCTATATTAAACTCACCTCAGCTTAAGTAGGCCTATACCTAACAAGTCAGGCAGAAAACAGACAATGCTTTCATGCGCCACATGACCTGCACTGCCACAACACGGACCTAGCCACGGTGTCACCGTGTGCAGTGTCCCTGGCACCGCCACAGATCGGCGCAAATACCAAGATTCGCAAATAAAGACTGGAGAATGACGTTGCAGGCGCCCAAATCTGCTAATATTAACCCTGCCGTGTGTCGCATTGTCACTCTTTATCTTTTCTCTTCCACTTCCCTTTGTCATTCCTTGCCCTTCGAAACGAAGCCCAGCGCCTAACAAAACCAGTACCGCTGTGTCGAAACCAATAGTTTCAGAGTGAAGTCTATTTTTGGACCCCTTGAAAGACTATATCTACCTAGCTCCATCCGCACGCTTTCAACGATAACCCACCCACGACTGTGAAGACTTCAAGTCAGATTTTCAACATGTCGAACGCGCTTTTTTCTATTATCAGCAAGCGTGTGCTTGCTGAATCTGCTGGTAATCACTTTGGAATGGAGGTGAGTGGACTGTACTTGTTTACTATGAGGTCACTGAAGCTAATCAAGGAAAATTTCTAGGATCCCTATTTCGAAGAAGTACCCGCTTCTCGACTTGGTCGCGCCGTTGGCAAGAAGAAGCAAAAGCGCCGCAAAGCGATTCCACCAGGATTGTCCGAACATGACGCCAAAATCCTTACTCAGGTCAAACGTCGTGCATACCGACTCGATTACTCCCTTTTCAATCTATGCGGCATCCGATTCGGTTGGGGCAGTGTGATTGGACTCGTTCCATTGTAAGCTTATCATGCATTCATTTATTTTGACCTCGGGCTAATTGATTTTCACGCAGTATCGGTGACGCTGGCGACGCTGCACTGGCCATGATGGTGGTGAGGACATGTGAAGGGATCGAGGGTGGATTGCCGTCGCGTTTGCGGTATATGATGCTCGTGAATGTGATCATCGACTTCTTCATTGGTCTCGTGCCTTTCATCGGTGATATTGCAGATGCGGTGTATAAAGCCAACACTAGAAACGCCGTGCTTCTTGAGAAACATCTACGTCAAAAGGGCGCCAAGGCTCTCTCCAGGCGGAACAGTTCAACCAGGAGAGACGACCGGCGGATCAAGGAGATCGATCACAGTCTCCCAGATGAGTTTGATAAGCAGGAGAGTGGCGTCGTGGGCAGCTCCCCACCAACATACCAAGAGCATGACTCTGGTAGAGATAGGGCCACAGCCAGCACCCACCCAGCGCGACCTTCACCTGCTAAGCCAGCTCGGCCCAACCGATCCGTTGCCAGGTGGTTTGGTGGAGCAAGCCATCCACAAGAGGACCCAGAACGTGGTGCATGAATGGAGAATAAGAGCATAATCAACTAATACAGAGAATGAGAGCATAAGAAACTAATATATTTGGAGTAAAACCGTAGTTGGTAAAAAGCGAATCAAATAATAACACCCATAAACCCAAACAATAGAAACGAACCGAACGAAACCGAACAAACTGAACTAATCAAACAAACCGAACAAAGCTAAATAAACCGAACTACTCAAACAAACCAAACGAGTTACGAAACTCTCATGAGTCAAGTGGGCTCTTCTAGGACACCTCATTACTATCGCTACCCGACTCATCCTCTGCTCGTAAGCTCGATGTGCTTTTTGTTTTAACTCCGAGATCGAAAACCGACTCTGGAGCATCCATATCAGTTGGGAAAAAGCGTTCCGGAGAAGTAACAAGCTCGCGCGATAGTGCCGTGATGACAAGGCTGGGGGCACTTGAGCTGTTCGCAAAATCTCGTAAGCAGTCAAACAGAGCGCAGGATTCTTCGCGTAACGATTTTTCACGATGATCCATACTTATTGGACCTCGGAAGAGAAACATTAGAATTGTTTCTGCAGAGATTCCTCAGATAGAGCTTATAGTAGTTTCTCTCCTTTTATATTCACGTGTGAGGCGTCCCGTTCAAGCGAACCAGTTATGCTGAGGACTCTTGCGTTTATAAAAAGAGCTACACACCTTATAGTCGGATTAGACGGTTTTTAGTTGAACGAACAGCGTGGGTCCATGAAATATCACCTCCCAACGCGTACTCGAAAGAAAGGGTGTTGACTTTAGTTGTAACTTTATCGAAGGGGGTTAATCTAAACACATATCACCCTCATGCTGAAACATGTCATATAATGTACTAGTCAGCCCATACTTCTCAATTCCACAAATCCATTATCAAGTACATGATAAAGTACATGATCAAGTCCAATATCAAGTCTATTGTCAATTCCAATATCAATACTACGACGTGAAGCGTAAGTTGTACATGCATGGCCATCGAGCTCGTGTCTTATTGCTCTCCCGACTTTGAGACTAAACGTATCCTCCAAGGGCAACGCACCTCGATTGACGAAACTCTTTCCGATATTGAAGGAGGAATCCAGCCAAAGTTGTTGACATTGTTTCAGGCGATTGATCAGCGATCCAGATTTGAGACAAGCCGCTTTGGAACTCGCGGGGCACATGGTCAAACGGGAGACCAGTTAATTCCGTTTCTGATTCCATTTTTTACTTCCTGTTTTACTTTTCTATTATCCCAAATCACGCAAAGAATTTTTTGTTGTCCGCCCGGAATTGTCAGATTGCTACGACCGGCGGTTACCTAACTTACCTCATTATGATCAGATCGCATGTCACATGTGACATGATTACCCATGTATCATAGCAGGCACCAGGGTGAATGATTAATTCTCACTGCAAGCATGCACTCACGGTGGCACATCATGGATTCCTACACTCAAAGCAGGCATGTCATCCGCGTGCGACTGCAGATAAAATCGGTGAAGTTTTCGACACAATGCCTGAACTCAACATCTCACCGTTCACGTGTCAGTCTCACACCAGCAGCATCCGAAAGTTATAGAAACACTTCATACTTTCAAGCCGAATGCCCGCGTTTTCTATGCAAAGGTAATCAGATCGAGCAGGGCACATGGAGCGAGCTGAATGGAATGAGCTCAGGCCTAGTCTCCGTGATGGCATATGGGATTTTGGATATGAAGCCGACGCGCCTCCCTGGCCATCCACCGATTGAGTTAAGAAACTGGCGAGCCTCCACTATCAGTTCACTATTCGGTGTTATCAATGGCGCTATATCGGAGGGTATCTGTGGCGCACCTATTGCGAATTGCGATACAGGCGGATTCGGCGGCTTCTTTCATTTATTTAGGGGAACCAATTGTTTGACTGCACACCTAGATGATTTGGTCGCTGAAGGATGGCAAATAGTCTAGACTATATTCATACCTTGCTAAAGTCTCTTGAATCGTATATTCTTATTTGTTTCTATGACATTTATATGGAATTAAGGCAACCAGCACTGAGAATAATAAAAGGAAAGCATTAGTATAAATTGATATGACCCTCCTCAAGTGCTCCAACTGTGTACATTATATGTACTGTACTGAGCGCCAGTACAGCACAACCCTGACCAAGGTCCCAGGTGCCCCGAGAAGGCCTAATACGCCTAATACGCGCAAATCAGTTTATTCAGTTTATTCAGTTTATTCAGTTTATTCAGTTTATTCAGTTTATTCAGTTTATTCAGTTTATTCAGTTTATTCAGTTTATTCAGTTTATTCAGTTTATTCAGTTTATTCAGTTTATTCAGTTTATTCAGTTTATTCAGTTTATTCAGTTTATTCAGTTTATTCAGTTTATTCAGTTTACTTAATCTAGATCATGATTTTCAAAGCCACATCTTATGACCATCTTCTAATAATGTACATAAGCCATCTTCATCATCATTTCTTCTGCGGCTTTTTCTGCTGCGCTGTTGGTAATACACGCCTCCATAACTTTTCTTAATTATAAAATGATATCAGGTCGGGATCTCATACACCCGTAGCAAAATTTAGACCCCTTGCCTGCAAATTGACTTGCGACAGTAATACCGGTCTCATTGCCCTTGACATTTTCAATCATAGCTCCGCATAACGAACACAGAGCATCCTCGGTCACTGACGGACTCTCCAACTTGTTGGCAGTTCTAGACACATTCGCCATCACACCAGGGTATTTTTCACCCTGATTGGTCACGTACCGCATCATCAGTTCATCAATAGACATATTTTTTGTAAGAATGTTCTCTGATAGTGGCGCATCTGGAATTATAACATTCAAAATCGCCGGGCAGACACTCGCATACTCGGATATTTCTGGCTTGGAGATATCCCGGCAGGGAAATTCAAATTTGACACCCCAGGGTGACATTCCATCCGATACTTGCCAAGTGAGAGCGGCTCCCCGGCCCTTTGCAGCACCGGCAAGAGTCTTCGCTGCAAGACGAGTATCTGTATCTGCCCACAGGATAGATTCACACCCAGCGTGCTTCGCAAAGCCAACAACAAGTCTGGTAAACAAAACAGTGTTAAGATCTGTCTTAGAGGTCGCAGTCGAGACAATGCCACGGAAAGCAGCCAAACGCTGGTCGTTGGGCTGGGAAGCGTCATCAAAGAAGTGAGGTCCTGCATATTCGGCCAAAATATCCTTCATGTCGGATACATAGTCAAAGACACTATGCAAGGGTACCTTAGTGACAGGGTAATCCGAGAAGACCTCTCGGACTGCTTCGATATTTGTATCGCATGAAACATTCACAGGCGACACAGTTGATGGCTCCACGACAAGTATATGAATTGCGTACGCGGGTCTACCGGATTTCGCAAGTTGGCGCTTCAAAGCCACATCCAGTATATTTAGTAGAGCGGCCGAAGAGACTCCGAGGGACAACGGGAGGAGTAATTGAGGCTTTGCGGGTTGCGCAGTAGGTTGCGCACTCCTTTGGGGTCTTGGCCTGTAATGGTCCATGCGCCGCCAAACTTTGTATTCTAAAAAGAGCCGGTAACAAGGCCTTGGAAATCGTTAGCAATATGAAGGTGGGGGTTTAGTTGGCGATTAAAGGTCACATACCCACACAACGATCTACCCCGAGTTGTTAAAACGGCATCTGCGTCGTTGCACTCCATGCAAGGAGACACCATCTCTTTGGCTGGCATTTTGCCGCGTGGTCAGGTAATATTGAAGATTGTAGACAAATTAAGAGATCTTGAAGAAGTAAATGTCGATCGCGAACAAAAAAAGAAAAGTGGCGGTGCGGGCTTAGCTAATCTCCACGCGCGGTTTCCCCGGGCTAGGAAGGCCACGCAGTAAGCTCGCTCGACGATTCCGGCTGCGCGAGCTGTGCTACACTTACTTCTAAGACACTTCGATTGTTTTACTCATTTTACATTCTGTATCCTCTTTGACTTGGATGCGGCGTGGGTTTTATTAGTATCTTCTCCTAAATCCTGGAGCCCCTTCTGCTTCTGCTGCCTGATCGCGATGAAGAGCTGGCTCCGGACGCTGGGCCTAACGGCCCTTTTGGCAGGCTCAGTGCTAGCCAACGATGTGGAACTGGTGAGCTCTTTCAATCACAGGCTCTTTTTCTTACATTCAACCTTGCTCGAATACTGATGCTTTTTGGTCCAGAAATCCGATGAAGCGCACCGACAACGTTGCTCAGGGATGTACAGCCGCAAGGCTTGGGGAGGAAGTGTTGACCCTTTCATCTTGGTGAAGTTCTCAACATCGGCTGCAACACAGGGCGATCCACTGGCCAGCTTGGTGATTTTCGAATGGCAAGATGAGGATTTGATTGGTCAATACCGGGACGGGAATGCAGATAGCAACGAGCTCAAAGAAACCATCTGCGACCAGAACAATGTCGACCTCGAACTTTGCACCGCAGACCAGATCGGGTCTTTCCTTTTGGCCAACAACGCGAGTGACGCCTCTTTGAATCCAATCGTGTCCACGGCCGTCCACTTGAACAACCCGGACGCCATCAAGTACACCGTGCGGAAGACCGGCTTCTACTGTGTCAGCACATATGCATACTCTGACGAGCCCTACACTGCCGTGGTGACTTTCCGCAACTCGTATGGCGAGCTCCCTGCTGCACAAATTGCAAAGCTTCCTTTCTACGGTGCTTTGACCATTGTGTATGCTGTCGTTGGTGTATTCTGGGCATTCCTCTATGTTCAAAACCGCCATGACATTCTACCCGTTCAAAACTACATCACAGCCATTGTGGTGTTCTTGATCGTTGAACAGTTGATGACCTGGGGATTCTATAATTACCAAAACCTCCATGGCATGAATGCCGGAGCGAAGGCGATGATGATTATTGTTGCGGTTCTGAACGCCGGTCGAAATGCCTTCTCGTTCTTCCTCCTACTCATTGTTTGCATGGGTTATGGTGTTGTCAAGCCTTCTCTCGGTCGCACTATGATTTATGTTCGTATTCTCGCAATTGCCCACTTTGTCTTCGCTGTCGTCTACTCTGTTGCCAGTCTTTCAATTACACCCGACAGCGCTGGCCCCCTGGTGCTCCTGATCGTTCTTCCCCTCGCTGGAACCTTGACAGCGTTCTATGTCTGGACCTTGAACTGTCTGAATGCCACTATGAAGGATCTCATCGACCGCAAACAGAAGACTAAAGCGATGATGTACAAGAAACTGTGGTGGTGCATTCTTGGCAGCATCATCGTCATCTTCGGCTTCTTCTTCATCAATTCCTTCGCCTTTGCTGGCCGCAGCGACGCCGATTTTGTTCCTCAGCACTGGAAGGCGCGGTGGTTCGTCTTGGATGGTTGGCTCAACCTGGTATACTTATTTGACATCTGCTTCGTGGCCTACCTGTGGCGACCAACTGTCAACAACCGGCGCTTCGCCATGAGTGACGAGGTAAGGAATATTCTTCTCTTTTTGCCTAATATACCCCAGCTCTTTATACTGACAATCATATACAGCTTGCCCAAGATGACGATGGCTTTGAGATCCGATCTTTCGGTAGTGGACTCGATGAGGAGGATCCTCTGGATGATCCTCCAGAGTACCCTGGCAGTTCCGCCGAGGGCCGCCGCGACCTTTCCCCCATGCCGCCGAAGCCCGTATCCTCTGCCCACCGTGCATCCCTCGATGAAGAAACCATTTTCGCTGTTGGCGATGAGGACAAGTGGTCTGATGATGACGAGTCTCCACGCAACTCAGGCGAACATCAAAGACTTACTCATTAGATCTAAATTGCGCAGTACGAAGCTTCTCCTTATCTTTTGTTTGTAACTCATCCTCCGGGTTTGAGATGTTGAGCAACTCCTGCATAACGGCCCCATTGACCTGCAGTTTTGCTCCAGGATCACCAGCATGTCATGGCGTTGGCTGTCTTTTTCTATTCCTTGAATAAGTTACTATTTAGTTGCCCTGGCTTCCAAGGTTGTATTCGAATCCCAAAACATATGTTGAATAATTTGCTACACTCCGGGGCTGCATCAGTAGCCAATCAAACATTCTTGCAAACAAGGCGTGTACAAACAGTTGTTGGAAGGTACTAAAGAGTAGCTATTTGAACATACCTAGTAATTTAGGCGCTTGTTTAGAAGGTACACATGTTAAGAACTTCATAGAAACCCATCGTGAAGATTGAGTCATACTAAATAGAATCGACCCACCTCTCCATTGAAACCTTGGAAGTTATAAACATTGAATATCCTTGACAAGTAACTAACAGTCTGAAATTGTTTTGTCTCCTCAGTTTCCATTGTCAAAGCATTTGACGTTCCTCATCGTTGTCACAGCCCCATAAACTTCCCGATTAGCCTCGTCCTGCCAGGCCGATAAGATAGCGCCAATCGCATCAGGACCCGCAGTATAAATCCCCTCCGCGGGGAAAAAATATCGCGCCCACATATACAAAACCCTCTCCCGACCGCAATTTACAAAAGGTCGAGGCATTGGACTGTTCCGGATTATATACAATTTGAAGTGTTTCACTTCAACTTCCACTTTTTGAATCCGCCACATCCATACATGCCTATATACCTACAACAATGACGCAGGACCTCGGGTACTCAAACCCTCCCAGCCCAATCTCCTACAACGAATCCACCAAAGCTTCCACCAGGGCCTCCGCTGAGCTACATCAACAATGCATGGACCTTCTCAACGATCTGGACTCGTTCCAGGAACTTCTAAAAACGACACTCCGCAACCCACAGCTTGTCGAAGTACGACAGTTCCGATCAAACGTCAGCGCCGAGATGAAGATGCTGCTTAAGCTGGAGGAACGGATTCAGAGCCAGGTACAAAAATCCAAGGAAAAGACCGAAGAGAGTTGCGACAATGAGCTCGAGGATGGAGAGAAAGAATCACAACCACAGCCACAGCCACCACAACCAATTGGGGGAACGCAGCCGGATGGAGTAGATCCTGACGTTGAGATGCGGTTGCTGCATGCGCTGCGTTCGTCGAATTTACCATTCTACCAGGCTGTGTGGGGCATTGCGTTGAACTGTGATGGGTTACTTGCGTTGGGGAAACGGTTTTACTGGGACGGGGAGACAAAGGCGCCTTGGAAGAGAGGCGCGCAAGGTGCAGGTGGTGGGAATACGAAGCAAACCAACAAGGATAAACGCAAGAGTGTTTTTGTGGACATTGTGGCAGGTGATGGGATGGAATGGGTGAAGGTATCGACCATCTCGGAGAGCAGGTTACTCTTTGAAATGGCGAAGAAAGGGTGGGAGGCGGACAGTGAGGATGAGTTTTCAGATTCAGGGAGTGAGGCGCCGGCGCGGAGGACTGTGCTGCGCAACTTTGATGGGGAAAATCCAGATGAGGATGATGATGATGATGACCTAGAGCTGATCAAGTTGGCTCGGGACTTGAGGAAGGCTGCTGATGATACGCGAGTGAGGTACAAACATCCTAGACTACGAGTTGTTCTACCGAAGATCGAGGAGGGCAATGTTCCTGAGATTGATGATGTTCTGGCAGAGATGCGCAGCTATGGTATCCAGGTTGAGTGTCAAGAAAACCAGCCCGCTAAAATAGGCACAACAGACCTTACTAGGCTACTGCCTCAGCCATACAAGAACTTCACCTCCTCTGTGAATGTTGATTGTACCCTTTTACTTGCAATGGTATCGGACTTGTCCCATATCAAGAACATCCCCCTGTTGCCCAGTTTCCACAAGGCCATCGTTCGACAAATAGAGGTCGACAAAGATATGCCACTACTCCCAAGCGAACTCTGGCCAGCCATGGGCTCCCGTGAGCTAGTTTGCACCAGCGAAGCAGCCACGCGGATGATTGAAATTGTGAATCTCCTCGGAACCGAGACAGAAAAGGCTCGAACGAGAATCGTGATGGGTCAGCCTTGTGAGGAGGATGAAGGCTGCCAGTCACTTATCAACCGGTTCCAGGCCCTATCTGACCACCCTGTGCCTGAGAACTGGAAACTTCCTATAAATGTGATAGACGCACAGCCAGTGATCAATGCTTGCTTGGCAGAAGGAAGACTCCCCCCGGTTGCCGATCAAGTTGCGGAAGGCTTGTCGGATATAAACTATAGTGTTTTTATGTATGGGTGGGCCACAGGAATAACTACCATCACCAGCAACCGCACGATCGATAAACAGATCGAGGCTACAATTGAGAAAAACCGACGACTGGACGAGGGTCTTGAGGGCCCCGTGGTCTGGGTATGTGATACAGCGAGAAGTTTGGTTGGAAAAGATAGAGACCGCAAGGCCTAACCATTCGTTGCCAATGTTATTTCAGACTCTAAAATATGGATTTTCTGCGGTAAAAAGAAATTTGGGGTTGGTGTTCAATAATTGTTGTGAAGTGGGTATCTGGATATTTCGTCGTAATCAAACAAACATAAGCCCGTTCTCATCGCTTTGGAGAGACTGGGCACCGTCAAATAAATAGTTTACTTTTCCGATGCCTTCGGGAGCTCATCCGGCAGCCAGAAAACCGTCTCTTTATCAGCACTGGCAATCATGTTGAATCTTGGGTTGTATTCAATAAGAGAAGTCCGGCCTCGGTGGGGAAGTCTAGTCATGGGATGTAGCATCTTGTTCTCATCGGGTTTCTGCTGTAGATCCCAGACAAGTACGTCCGGCGCATCCCCATTGCCACCAATAACATATCGACCATCGGGCGTGAAGCATGCATCGCCCTGCCCGCGGGGCTTGCCTGTCGAAGATACCGGGGCGGCACGGCCAGACGAGCTACTCTTCCCCGTGAGGAATGCCTGGAGAGTGCCGTCAAATGCATCCAGAATAAAGTGCCCATGATAATCCGTTCCAACCATAAGATATTTCCCGTCGTTGGAGAACTCCAATCGGGTCCAGGCACGTCCGCGAGTAGTGGGCGTGTAGCGTTCCTCGAGGGACGCCAAGTCAAAGTTTGAGAAAGGTGCTTTGTCGTAGTTGCGGAAATCATAGAGAAGGACCGACACTGTGGACTGCGAGGCAATGGCAAGAACAGATGCAGAGGGATCAAATGCCACCAGGTATGGAGTTGCGAGCTTCAGCTTGCCCTGCGGATTTCGGGATGCCAAGTCCCAGACGGCAACGGTATCATCTTTGCCTGAAGAAATGAAATGATCGCCCGATGGGGACAGTGCCAAACTTGTCACTGTGTCTTTATGGTGGTTGAAATAGCGGATGTATGATTCATTGTGGACATCCAGCAATCGTAGATTATCATCAACTTTCGTACTCGCGTGGAGGATCGAGCTATGGGAGTGGGTGAAACGTGCAAGGTGAGCACCGTATTTCTTGCTAGGGACAGGCTTTCCAAGAGTCCCCTCCTTTATATCGAAAATCTGAAGCGCATCATCATCACCAGATGCGACAAGCCAATTACCCTGGTCGTCAAAGTCTAGGGAAGTCACATGGGTTGAGGAATTAGGCTTGGAGCCTTTGAAGGTCTAAAAAATTGTTAAAATTAGCAGAAAGTTCTGAGAAACAAGACCAAGTGTTTGTATTTTACCCTAATAGGACGGTAGGTACGAATCATTTCTGGCAGAGTTTGAGTAGTGAGCTCTTCCGGCTCTGACGGTTGTTGGGGTTGGGTCTGCGCCTGGGAGTCTGCCATGATGGAAGCTTCTCTCGAGAAAAATTATACGAGCGGATTATGACGAAATACTAGGGATCAAGCAAGCAGTGCACGTCTGGGTCATGGTAAAAAGGGAGAAGTTTTTTCTGGGGGTTTGCTGTTTATGTAGGACAAGCTCCCCACGCGCCTTCTTTGTATTCCAAAGTTGCGCCTTCCTTTTTCTGCCGTCGCTTTCTACCCCATCCAGTCACGTGAATTGTGGACAGGACGTGATGACAAGGCGATGGGATTCTTTGTCTCACCGCCCTTTGTCAATGCTTGTACATATAATGTTACTCACGTGATGCATAGTGCAACGGAATCCGGATTATTAATTCTGCGGGATAAGGCCTCCTGCTATCGGAGCTCGTCAGCACGATTAGCCAATAATTGTCGAGGAATTTCGAGGCCTCGGATCCCCAGTCCATCAGTAACCGCAAGTAAGCTTTTAGGTGCATTTCCGCCCTAATCGTCCATCTCTTTTGTCAGAAACCTCTCTGCTATCACTTTTAGGGGGTATAGACGGGTATTTTGATCTCACACCTCCCGCAAACGTGTGATAGCCTGCAGAGTTGTCCCAACTGTCCGCCGACGACCCTCTCTAGTGCTCTTGATTGCCACTCCGATCGCGGTCCTGTCGCCGAGTCTACCGACCAATCTATCTGTGCGGCGCAGCAACTCCCAACATCATTGGCAAGCACAATAATGTCGACAACTACTGGGTACGGATATGCGAAGATCTGCAATTGCTCAAGTACCTTGCGCTAATTCTTTCACTCCTGTCTAGAGCATTCCTTGCCGGAGGCATCGCAGCTTGTGGTGCCGTCACCGTTACCCATAGCTTCGAGACTGTGAAGATTCGGTTACAGCTGCAGGGTGAATTGCAGGCAAAGAGTGAGGCTGTCAAGCTGTACAAGGGTCCTTTGCATGGTGTCAAGGTTATCCTTCAAAATGAGGGTCCTCGGGGTCTTTTCCGTGGAATTGGATCTGCCGTAAGCGCTCTATTGAACCATGGGCAAGATTTCAGCATGTCAAACAAACTACTAACCAACCTGGATTTCATAGTACATATATCAAGTTCTGCTAAACGGCTGCCGTCTTGGCTTCTATGAACCTATCCGTTCTAACGTCACATCCACCTTCTACAACGATCCCAAGGTCCAGTCACTCGGCGTCAATGTCTTTGCCGGTGCGGCCTCTGGTGTTATCGGTGCTGCCGCTGGCTCTCCTTTCTTCCTAGTGAAGACTCGTCTCCAATCATTTTCTCCTTTCCTTCCCGTCGGTACCCAGCACAACTATAAAAACTCATTTGATGGCTTGAGCAAAATCTACAAAAGCGAGGGTATTAAGGGAATCTACCGTGGTGTCGGCGCCGCTATGATTCGTACCAGTTTCGGTAGCGCTGTCCAGCTCCCGACGTATTTCTTTGCGAAACGCCGTCTGGCTCACCACGTGGGCATGGAAGAAGGCCCTGCTCTTCACTTGGCGAGTAGTGCCGCCTCTGGTTTTGTGGTGTGCTGTTTTATGCACCCTCCTGGTAAGCTGACAGGCATCTGCAAGAAAACGAGGCAAGAAAACGAGACATTTGAAACTAATGCGAACTTTTAGATACTATTATGGCTCGCATGTACAACCAGACTGGAAACCTTTACTCGGGTGTGTTTGACTGTCTGCTCAAGACGGTCCGCAAAGAAGGTGTGCTGGCGATCTACAAGGGCTTCTTTGCCCACCTTGCCCGCATTCTGCCCCACACCGTAAGTTTATTGACCCAACCCCGATTCGAGACTAGGTCACATGCTAATTATGCCTCTAGATCCTGACCCTCAGCTTAGCTGAGCAGACAAACAAGCTGATGCGACGTGTCGAGGATCGAATTCTACCTGATTCTCTCCGTGAGAAGATCTAGATGCTAGTTTAGAACTCTTTGTCTACCTTTGTCATTTTTTATCATGTCATTTTTGTCTTGAATTGTGCCAGGTTGCATAACAAAGCGGCATGGGATTTTGCGTTATACCGGATTGAAGTAGATCGGGCGTTGATTGGACAATTTCGAAGTCTCCATCTTTAAAGATGTTCTGTACATACTGGGCAGATCAGAGAAGTTTAGATGTAATAACGTCAATAGCAAAAAGATTCATCAATCAGTCCTGTGAAGTTGTAGCAGCATTGTCAGCGATGTTCCTGTATCGTCGTGGCCTACACATGTGCAGTGGACACCGATCCCAAAGTCTCTGGATCTCTTGTCTGTGTTGGTTTTTGCTTGCCTTACGAATGGCCCTGTAACCAACCATGTGTGACAGATTAAAAGTGCAGTAGTGGCATTTTTAATAGTTTACCCCGCATTTCATAACTTAAGGTACTAGTAGATCTTAACTCCCATGTTGACAGATATCGATTGCACTCAATTGCCCTTGATTTTGACGCGTATTCTACAAAGATTGAAGTTGATACTAAGCAATAAAGCTTCTATGAACATTTTTGACTTGAATTTTCACCGTGTTCAGGGAAATCATTCAATATTGCGTCAGCGACCACCCCGTTCGCGTCGCAGCACGGACCAGCTCAATTGACGCGTAAATTCAAGGTCAAACAAAAAGCCAAACGCTTTGTCTCTACTCCCCACCATTGATGATGTTTCAACTTCATGGTAATCCAGGTGGCTTTATCTGTATCAGCGTTTCTTATAGCTTGGTTTGATCAATTAGTATCTTACCGCAATGCTACTATAATACCACTCACAGGCAAGCTTTAGTTTCAGGACCACCATTGCCAACTTCCATAACCAGATTGTAAAACCTATAGCCGCATAATTGCCACTGCCAAGGGCCATAAAAATCCAGGATCCATATTTGGTATCTACAAAGGTACTTGGTAACTTGTTCCTGAGATTGGCATCGCCGCCAAACGCCAACAATGTGCTAGGAAGTGTCCGCAGTGGGTCTCACATTCGAACAGTCGGAAGGTTGCCTGAGCACTCAACTTGGCAAGTGGAGACTTGAAGGGATACAGTCACCATCGGATAGATCATCTCCGACATACCCAGCCCTGAAATTAGCAAACCTTGTTTCGCCCCCCGTTCGACGCGAGATCCAGCACGCGAGCCGATCGGCACATTCTCCGACGCGCAGCATCTGCTAGGACCCCCACTCTCAGAACCTTCTATAACTCGTATCGTAGCACTCGAGTCCAAGAGGTCTTAAAGCTCCTGCATTCCTGGTCGGGTTTCAGATCTGACAGCTTTCCTGTATGATCTTTGTTCATATATTGCACTCCAATAGGTCATTTGGCGCGAAATGCATATTCATTTGACATACCCAAACATGAGAAAGCCTCAAATGTCTTGCTGACGGCCCAGGGCAGTGGTGATTGGGGCTCCTAGTGGAGAACTTACAAGTCTGTGGGGGAATCAACAGCTGAACCAGACGCGACGGGGCCATCATCATTGCCATTTCCAGCCAATGTCGACGGCGGGTGGGTTAGTAAGGCTTGTGTCAAATTTGGTCTAGATTACCAATAAGATCCGTAAGTCCGAAAGGTGGCTCTCGTCGCGTTCTGGCGCGTGAAAGAGCTGCGGGCTTATCAGATCGTGATGTATTCTCTTACTGGATAGAGGGTAATATGTGGAGCCCCCACTTGCTGTTGAGCTGAAATTTTTAGGAAACACGACGCGTGAAAACTGGGTCTTGCCAGTACTGAATATTACTGACGCTCGGACTTTTTCTATAAGCGACAAGACAGAGAAAAAGTAACATCTTGGGGGTTATGTGAAGGTTGCAGATGCAGGTTTTTGGAGGGCAATAAATATACGGAGCAATGCAAGTGCATTTTCAAAACCAATGCCTATACAGGCTAGAATGGAATTCATTGTCAATTAATGAGTCCAATAATGGTCGAGGGGGCTACCGCAGGCACGGCCATGGATCGACTCCCCTAGCGTCGGAAGTTGGTGGAAACGAAGTGGCATGAACATTTCTGTTGTGTTTTTCCCTATTTCCGGACGCGCCTTGCTTGGCTGACCTAAGTAACACGTAGTCACGTGCGACGTGACAAGATTCGAACGCGCTAAAAGATTCACGCCCACCAAACTACTTAATTGATTCTTTCCCCTTCCTGAATCCCACTCTTTCCTCAAACCAAACCTTTGTTTACTTAACTCTCTTGCTGTGTTTTTGCAATTTCATCTTTTTGTGTGATCATTTGCCTTTGAGATACTTTCACAATGGCTGCTCAGCTTACCCCATCGAAGCAGGTACGTGATGTCAAGAGTCGCCTCTCGCGCCACACGCGTCGCGAGTTGGACCAGCAAGAACAAAGCTAACCCATCCTTCCATAGGCTGCTTCCTCCCTCGAGAACCTCAAGATGACCGACTCCCCTATTATGAAGCTCAACTTTGAGTCTGTCGGCAAAGAGAACGTCGCCACCGCCATCAAGCCCGTCGACGCGTCCACTGAGAAGGCCGTCGTTGAGGCCCCCAAGACTGCTCCTGGTATCAAGGCCCTTGAAGCCGATGAGCCTCTTCTGCAGGAGAACCCCCACCGCTTCGTCCTTTTCCCCATCAAGTACCACGAGGTAAGTCACGTCGATGACGCGTCAACGCGTAAAGTGGTGTGGGGCAGAAAAGCTACATGCCACATTGAAACGACCACATGGCTAATGACGTGTCGATCAATAGATTTGGCAAATGTACAAGAAGGCCGAGGCTTCTTTCTGGACCGCTGAGGAAATTGATCTGTCCAAGGATCTGCACGATTGGCACAACCGCCTGAACGACGATGAGCGTTACTTCATCTCCCATGTTCTTGCTTTCTTCGCCGCCTCCGACGGTATCGTCAATGAGAACCTGCTTGAGCGTTTCAGCGGAGAGGTTCAGGTCCCCGAGGCTCGCTGCTTCTACGGTTTCCAAATCATGATGGAGAACATCCACTCCGAGACCTACTCCCTGCTCATTGATACCTACATCAAGGAGCCCAAGCAGCGCACCTACCTTTTCGATGCCATTGATACCAGTACGTTTATCTACTTCTGATCTTGCATTCTTTCACTTGCTAACCTTTCTATCAGTTCCCTGCATTGCCAAGAAGGCTAAGTGGGCTATGAACTGGATCCAGGATAAGGACTCCACCTTCGCCCAGCGTCTGGTTGCCTTCGCCGCCGTTGAGGGTATCTTCTTCTCCGGTTCCTTTGCCTCCATCTTCTGGTTGAAGAAGCGTGGTCTCATGCCCGGTCTTACTTTCTCCAACGAACTCATCTCTCGTGACGAGGGTCTCCACACTGACTTTGCCTGCTTGCTGTTCTCCCACTTGAACAACCGCCCCAGCCAGGACAAGGTTCAGGCCATTATTGTTGAGGCTGTTGCCATTGAGCAGGAGTTCCTTTCTGACTCCCTGCCCTGTGCTCTGCTCGGCATGAACTCCAAGCTCATGTGCCAGTACATTGAGTTCGTCGCCGATCGTCTCTTGCTCGCCCTTGGCAACAAGAAGTACTACAACGCCACCAACCCATTCGACTTCATGGAGTCTATCTCCTTGGCCGGAAAGACCAACTTCTTCGAGAAGCGTGTCGGTGACTACCAGAAGGCCGGCGTTATGGCTAGCACCAAGAAGGATGCTGATGGTGAGAAGATGCCTGCCAGTGAGGGCCTCAACTTCGATGAGGACTTCTAGATGCTGTCTCGTTTTCTTCTCTTGTCACTCTCCCCTTCTTGTTCTATACCCTGCGTTGTGGGCCTCTCTCGCTCCGCCTTATCACATGATATCACGTCTTTTCTTGTTCTTGGTTTGTTTGTTATGAGTTTTGATCTCAAACGGTTGCGCATGGGCATGGCGTTCAATTTACTTTCTTTATCGGTCTGTCCTAGACTTTCCTCTGTTGTTTAATATTGGATGGAAGGAGGATTTTTGTATCTAGATTTCAAATCACTTCGATGTGCACACTTTTCTTTGAATTGTAGCTGTTGTAGATTCGTACTTACTCCTAGGTATCAGGACTAGTAGGTATACTAGCTTCCCTTCCTTATTATAGCCTAGTACTGAGGTCATTGATCTATCTACAACGCAAATATCTCCAGAAAGTTCTTATATGCTCTCTACCAGGTAGTAGCTTTATTATGTACTCTTCAGGTCTCCGCTGATTTGAAATAAACATACGAATAAAACCTCAGAAATCCATAACGAACCACGTAAGTCATTATTTTCTATTACCAACCAAAGAGAGGGGGGGAAACAAAGTCGCTCAACACGACAAATTCAACACAACTGCACCATCTCCTAGGTACTCAATAACTTGGAAACAGCCCTATCGCTTGCCCTTCCCACCCTTCTTCTTTCCTTTCCCTCCAGCCCCAGCTCCAGCTCCACCAGCTGCTTTCGCAGTACTCTGCACAACCTCCTCCTCTACAGCAGGCGCATCGACCATCTCGACATCAGCCCCGGGTCCCGATAACCCCAAGCTAGCCACATCGGCTCCCCCGGCCAACTTGCCCAGCGCGGTTATCAACCGGCTCACCTCCTGCAGCTTGTTCGTGCGGTACTTCAGGCACACGCCTGTGGCGGGGTTGTAGGTTTTCAGGGTGAGGGATGCGATGGGCGCGGTAGGTGTTGAGTCGGCTGGAGCTTGTGTGGAAGTTGGGTTTGATTGTTTCTTTGCGAGAGACTTTTGGCGCTTGTGTTGCTGGGCGCGGCGCTCGGTGGGGAAGTTGTATTTTGTTGTGATGCGGGTCTGGTTGATGTTAGATTAGGTTCTGGAATGTTGTTGTTTTTGGGGAGGTAGGAATTGAAGGGCTCTTTTTTGGTGGGTTCTGTGGGTATGTATGTATGTCTATGGTGGGTTTGGGGAGAGGGGGCTCTTTTTGTTGGAATTGTGGGTGTGGTGGTGCGGAGACGGATATTGGATTGGATTGGATTGCGTGGGATTGCCATGTGGCTTGTAAGGAGCGTGGGATGGGTCTTACCGATTCCGGGTATGCTTCAAGGAGCAAAGCGGACTGTTCCAGGAATGCCTGGGTGGTAGGGAGGTAAGGCATGGCTGGGTGTGGGCGAGAACCGGTCTCGCTTTTGTGGTGAGGTGTCTAGTGTGAGGTTGAGTGCGAGTGGGATGTCGCGGGGAAAGTCGGGAATTGGTAGCTCTGGGTTGGAACAGAAGCTGATCAGACTGTTTCGGCGATTGATATGGTTTAGTCACCACGGAGATATCTCAGGAGTGAAAGAATTGAAAGATGGTGAGGTTGGAGGAAGTCCGGGGTTTCGATCAGTTATCAGTCAACCGGACTTTTTCGATGTCTTGGCATCGGCCGTCCACCAAGTATGAAAATACCAAGTACAAGTATCAAATATGTACTTTAAATATATTTAGTAACGAATTTAAGATAATTTAGACATTTGGATAGATTAACTGACATTTGGCTTTCCTTCTTATTCCCACTTTAATATTCATTTCTTTACAGCAATATTTCACGTCCAAATCATATCACATATCATACAGGTTGAGTCAAGACTCAAGATCCAGGTCCAAACGCCTCCAGCCTGTCTCTTCGCTTAACTCCAAAAATATACCAACAATAACAACAATGTACAGACCAAGGAAATTAAGAAATCATAAAAAATGTATCAACAGGTCATATCAGAAATGCAGTAGATATCAAGTGCCAAATTCTTGCGGTAGAAGAAATCATCATAAAGAGATAACTTTTCATCAGAACATGGATTTAAGAAACAGATCGATTGCATTGAACGCAGATCAACTTTTGCTTCCCACCTCGATCTTTGACTCCACGGAAGTTAGTGCCGCGGCAATGTTCGCACTTCAAGATATCTTCATCAACCTCGCCCGTAGAGGATCCGTACTCGCTGCTGAGCACACTGCCAGACACGCTGACCTTGCGCTCACCTCCTGAGGGAATGCGATTAGGACTCAAAAAATCATTCTTATGGCGGGACTTGGCTGCCAACGCATCATGTGTGATCTTGTTCCAGTATGCATAGCTGTGATCCCCCTGTAGCCAAAGTGGATTATCTTTAGTTTTGCCGCTGGCCACGATGTCGGCGGACGAGACAGCTGGCTTGCCATTTTGTTGATTGGGATCCACGGCCAGTTTGCTATGATCTAAACGTGATCGACGAGGCGAAGAGGGTGGAGAAATTGCGTTTGCTGAAAGAGACTCATTCGGAGCCAAACTTGAGGGCCGGGATGATGAAAGTCGGAAGACGGGTGGTCTGTGTTGTGGAGATGGGCTGCGGGTGCGAAGCCCGGAGCGAGATCCGTCGGTGCTGGCACGGCCATTGCGGATGACGGAGTTGCGCCAGGAGACGATCCGCTCGGATGGGGTCTTGTGGGCAGAATCTTTGCTCATCGAGGAGGCAATGCTGTAGTGTGTGGAGTTGGAGCGTCCTAGGATCCGCCGGGATATGGTGGAATGATCCCAGTTCTCGTGACGACGCTTTTGGTAGGCGCAGTCTTGTCGGAGGACTTTGATCTTGCCTGAATAGTCGGCAATCACTATGATGCTTCCGTCTGGGTGTTTGGACCGTGCAAGGAACGAAGGAGATTCACCCGCCATCTTTTTCACAATGGATAAGCGCGGTGCGGATGCGGACCGTTTATGCTTGTGCTCTGACTTGGTATCAGAGCTTGCTTGTCTTGGAGTGGCCCCTACAGACTCTTCGGGACTCATGAGCGCCACAGGTGGGGGGTTGCAGATATCATAGATCGGATCTTCCGATAGTCCTAGAAGCTGCTTGGTTTGAATCGGTGCTGTCACGGCCACCGTGACGATGGCAGATTGCGTTTCAAACACCTCCACGGCGCGCTTGTCGGAATCTCTTTGAACAGCACCGATTGGCCAAACATAGGCTCTGCGGTCCTCACTTCCACAGATAACATGCTTACCATCTTCGGTGAAGGATGCTCGAATTTGACTGCAAGTGTTTTCATTACCACGAAACTTGGCTTCGAGAGCTCGCTCTCGGAAATCGTAGAGTCGGATTCGCGAGTCATTGCTAGTCACCAAGACTTTAATATCCCCACAGGGATCGTCTGCGGGAACCATCATGGTATCAATTCCGGTGATCTTGTTACCTTTTGAGTTCCGTCCACGGGCCGATCGAACGTGAATCTGACCTGATACCTTGAGACCCTCAGTGTCATAGATGTTAAGTAGACCGTTCAGACATCCTGCCATGGAGTACCGACCATCTGGTGTAAAAGCCACTGCGGTAATCATATCTGGGACGGTCGTCATGAAAGCCACGCTCTTGTCTGGAATGCTCCAAAGTCGTAGCTTGGAATCCAACGAGCCAGCCAAGAAGAAGCGGTCATCCTTGGGATGGAATTGAATCGAGGTAACGAAATCGCTATGTTGAAAGCAGCATAGGCACTCAGATCGAGTCGCGTGCCACAGTCGAACTGTCTTGTCCATCGATGAGGAAAGAAGGAAATTGTTCTGCTTCCAATTAGTTGATGGTCTCCCAGTACTTTAACAACAGATATGCATACTTTACTCCAACTTAAGTCCAGGATGCTCCCCGTATGTCCTTCATACACATGTATGGGCTTTGATAGGAAAACCGGCGCCTTGATGTTGTCCTGTTGTCCCTCTGTAGTATCGCCTTCGGGTGCAGCCTCTTCCCGCTCCTCCGGTGTGGTGATGACAGCCCATACTCGGACCTTTCGATCTTGCCCCGCTGCAGCTAGATATTTGCCATCTTTGGAGAAGCTAAGAGCCCAGACTGCTCTTCCGGTGTCGTCATTGGCGTTCGTCGACGTGGATCCTCGTCTTCCTGCGATGGGCTGCTGCATGCCTGAGCTTTGCAGCTCTTGCGCCAGGAATAAACGATTGAAGGTCTTGTCCTTCTTGTAATGAGCCCGAACTTTCATATACCGGGATGGGGCCGGGTGACGTGGGATAAACCCTATTGGATGCGAAGTGTCGATGGACATTCGACTGGCTTCTGCTTCTGAGCTATCATCTTCCGCTTCGGACAACGTATCCCTCTTTTTATTGCCGATAATTCGACTGAGGAAAGAAACGCCTTTCCTGTTAGGCCGCAAGAGAAAGCAAAGAGTTTTTGTCAGCCATGATCGATACGTCCGGAGCACGAAGCTCCCGAAACCCGGGGCATATGATTTCTTTTCTGGAAAAGAAAAGAAAAGAAGAAGAAAAGCATGCGGGGGGGAACACAAGGCACAAACAGCAAGAGACTTTGCCAGTGGGTTTTTTGCAACTTACTTCTTCTCCTTGGGCAGCTTTGAGTTTGACGCTGCATCTCCCCGAGAGGCGTTTTGGTCTGACAAGTTGTACTCCGATCCCCCGGCCTCGGCCTCATAAGATGCCTGGCCCAATAACTTTAGGGGAATGGACTTTTGTGTATTTGTGCGTTGGATGATATGCTACATGAGATTGGAAGTTAGACAATTATTGCGATCCCAGTGCAGCGCGACGTATGCGCTAAAAAAAAAAAAAAGACATAACCTACCTGAGATAATGGATCAATAGCGCTGGATTCGGTCCAGGTCTCATGCAGCGTTTGCGAGGTGGAGTTTCTGACCAACGGGCCACCAATGGGCACTGTGCGACGAGTATTGCGCTGGACATCCTGTTGGCTGTTGCTAGATCCTGACGCGACGTCCGAGATGACCGAGCCTATCGATTTCAATGTCAGCGGGTTCTATTTGGTTCCTTTTGCTTGATGATGTACATAAATAGGCAGACTCCATTAGGGGGGCCTGACGCATAGACACGAGACGACTCGCATGTAGAAATGGGTCTAGATTCCTTACATACCGGGAAATGTGGAGGCTCTGGGTGGTGGTGACTTGAAATCCCCCGTTATCGCGGGGACTGGCGCTCGTGGCAATGTCTGGTCCGCGCTGCTCTCCACCATGTTGCAGCGCGCGCGGGGCGCATCAGGAGAATGATATGGATATGAATCGCAAGGTCAAAGGAGAGGGAAGGAGAAGATCACAAAGAGATACAAGATGTTTTAAGATTTGGACAATTTAAAAAAATAAAAGACCGATAGGCTAAGCGGCAACGGCCGGAGCAAGCAATGGATGACATCAAATTGGAAAAGGGTGGACCCCCCCATATATAGACCCTTTTCCCTTTTCCCTTTTCCCTTTTCGCCTCCTCAAAATGCTTATCGTCTTGTCTACTAGTAGATTTCCTGCCAAGAGCGTTAGAGAGAGAAAAAAAAGCCTCATCTCGTACGGAGTATATATTTGAGATATTTTTAAATTCGCGCTTGCAGTTTTCGGGCCCGATCCTTTGCAATATCACACATGGCCTTATAGATGTCAGTATATTCCAAACAATAAAATCAAGCTCAATTGAAAACATACCTGGATAGTTTCCTCAATCTCCTTCTCTTGGTTGCCCCGGTCAATACGCTGGCGCATTTCCACCATAATCACATCTCTGCTGCGGCCATTGACAAAGGAGCTTTACAATCATCAAGGATTGATTAGTGAGGTTCTTGCATAAGAATAAAATCAAAGTGGAGAAAATTATGCTTACACAAATCGCAATCCAGGGAATCGCTGCTCATATTCGGCATTTAATTCCCGGAGTTTCTCCCCTTGTTCTTCAGCACCCGTGTTCAATTGTTCTTGCTCCTTCTTGCTTAGTTCACTCAAATGCTCGGGATTGGCGGGAGCGCGACCGAGACGAGGGTGGGAGCCAAGGATGCCGAACAAGACGTCCCGATCAGTGGGGGAATTCACGGCGGAGAGAGCGGACATGCGACCCCCCACGGCCTCGATCAAAGTACCATAAGATGAGAAGGTCTGGTTGGCCAGGACTGGAATCATCAGCTGATGAAGTTCGGGGGAAGACTCGAAGAGCGTGTCCAGCACGCGCAGTTGAGCCTCTTGGGGAAGAGAGGGAATAGTGGAGAGATTGGGAAGCTCCATAATGGATGATTCAATGTTGTTGGATATATGTACTAGTATGTTGGGGATATGTTCAATGTTGGAAGGGGACGATGGTATTAAGTAGCTTTCCGCCTTCCAAGCTTATCGGGGCTCGCCGCGTATTCAGCGGAGAAATGCGCTGAACCACTTTCAATGTTCCAACCAAGAATGTTCAGGTTTGTACACATGAGTACAGGATGAGGAGGATTTGTATGACCAAATCTGGAATTCCGATCTTGACCGACATGTATCTAGGGAAGACTTGAAGCTGCACATGTCGTATACATAGTAGATATGCAAATGGGAATCTCGCTTAGCAACAAATCAATTCTATGTACATATTTGTACGCTTATTACAACCTTGCATTATTCGGCTTTTCTTCTCCTTCCAAACGTCGACTTTACCAGACAATTCAGAAGCAGAAATCTAATGTTTATAAAAAAGGAACCTACACTATAAACAGTAGGCAAATCCGAACGAGCGTTTCAGATTGCTCACCTTAAATTGGGATAGCCGCAAGTGGAGTCGTTGAACGAATGGAAGCGGATGCCCCCTGAGCCAAAGAAAGTCAAGAGTCCAAAGAAACCACTGCTCCGTGCCTGAACAGGCCTATCAGCATCAATCCTGAGATTCCTTTTAACTCTTCTGTTAACGTTAACTTGAAGGTCCCGAGCGTCCAACTTCTGAATATCTCCATTTACCTTGAGATCGTGAGATCTGATTTCATTAAGCCCCATTTACTTGTCGGCCCAGATCTCCTTAGCTTGCTCTCGGTTCCAATCTGTCCCCTCCTTTTTTCCTCCTGATTAATCCTCCACCTTTCCCCCTTTCAACTTGATCGCGACTTTACCTGTCTCCATGTCGTTCGCGCCATGTCTCTCAATGGGCTAGATACTGCCGCTGTTGTCGAAGCCTACCAGTGCGCTCTGGCTGATGCAGGTGGATGGTGAGTTTGGTCCCATCTGGCGGAATGCTTCCCCAATGCTTCGCAATGCTTCTCCAGATCTTCGATCTCCCCCCGATCCGCGATGCCCATCCTTGCCCGTTTTCGCATCTCCCCCCCTTTTACACTCCAATCCAAGGGAAATTCAATCACTCTGACCACCTGTAATCACCAGGTTCCTTCTCCATTACATTGCAAGAGATGAGGTGGCTTTACTCGAGCGAGGCACCGGTGGGGTGCCCGAGGTGCGCAATGCTATCGACAACTATGAAGAGATCTCGCCGCTCTATGGTTTCCTACAGTACCGGCGAAGGAAAGTCATTCTCCGGTACATGCCCGAGGGATTGTCCCGGCTCATTTTAGGTACGCCAACGGTTGTCTCCCTTTATCCATCTCAAATCGTAACTAACCAGGACGCGTTTTTGTTTCTTACAGCGCGAAGTAACGTTCAGTTTTCGTCTGTCCTTGAGAAATTCACCCCAAATGACTCGGTGCTCCCCTTAACGCAAGCTTCCGATCTCAATGAAAGCGCCTTGTCATCCGCATGTCTCCTTCACACTGCGTCGGGTTCGATAACCTCCTCGTCAAGCTCGCTTCGGAGACGTCGGCTGATGGAAATCACGGAAGATGCAGAGGAGAACGGTCCAAAGGAAGAGATCAAGGAACAGTCACAGGCACCGCAAGCGCCCCCAAAGAGTGAAATGCGGCAACGGTCAGGTAGCCAAAAATCAGAGGCAACTGTCGTGCCACCGGTCACTTCTTCACCCCCCGAAATCGAACAATCCTCGCCTGATCTCCGTCCACCCCCATCACGAGCAAGCTCCCGCCCCCCGCCCTCTCGAGGAACCCCCAGCGAAACAAACTCCGAATCCATGTCCCCTACCCCTCAATCCCCAGCTTCCAGCTCAGAGCGCTCCCGATACAGAAACATACTCGATGAGTTTCCCCGGCCTTCGGAAGAAGTTCGGATGTCCACACAATCAGCACGGCCTTCTCTACAGGAATTAGAACGCGTCTCCACATACTCAATCACGCCAAAGGTTAAGCTAGGTCCTCGTCCTTCCTTGGACCAAAGTGGACGCCCCCGCACTTCCGGGAGCTCCAAGAATGTTGAGCAACGGCCCGTCGCGTCCCTTCCATCCAACATGCGTTCCTCCTCCGTGCGAAAATCAAACACAACGGAACCTCCTCGCCCCCGATCTCAAGGCAGTTCCTTTGCGACTAGACCCAACAGCCGTGCACCGCCGATCCCCCCACTCCTCGTCCCTCCTCCGAGCATTCCGATCTCAAGACCCCCACCGTCCCCGGGTGCTAAATCCCTAGGTGCTTTGTCTACCTCTTCCGGGATGACCCCCGAAAAGGAGCGACTGATGAAAGCATTGCAACAACGACGAAAGGCCATGGCCAAACGAGCCGAAGATACGAAGAAAAAATCAAGCATTATCGAAGTCGACGAATCAAAGGCCCAATCCAAGACCACATCAGACCCGGAGGAAAACAAGGAGAACATCAATTTGGCACTGACTGGCCCCGAGAAGGCGGAGCCACTGGTAGAGCGAAATCTACCTCTGCGAGATCCCGAATCACCTGCAGCCGAGCTACGTCATGAGATTCCAATGGCGAACGAAGAATCTCCAATCTTGATTCCCATCGAGGCTGTTAAGCCAGAGCCAACGGCTGACATTGCTGTGTCAGATTCCGAAGGCAGGCCATCCTCACATACTTCGGGTCCCAGTGCTGACTCTACATTCTCTACTGACCTTGGAGATTTCTCGGGGGTCATAAAGTCAGAGACGCCTCGGACTGGTCCTGAGGATGAAACACGCGCCGAGCTTGGGGACTCCGCAATTTCCGGCCAAATTGACACTAAGGAAGAACTAGTCTCCTCTAGCGTGGATGTCGAAGCGCCCCTTGACCCGGTTTCCACTGAGTTTCCAGAAGTTCCAGAACAATTGCCAGAACCCAAAGATTCTTCTTCTTCTTCAACTCCGCCAGAAACCCCTGGGTCTGTGACTGAGCAATTGGAATCGGAGGCTCCTATTGTGGAGCCCACTCCCGAAGAAACCCCTGAGTCTGTCGCTATTCCCGTCACGCCACTAAAGGATACCCCACCTAGCCCCGAGATCGAAGCCACGGTCGCACCTGTAACCGTTTCAATTGACTCTGTTCCGCTGGATGAACCTACCTTTGAGGAGCCGAGAATCTCAAAGCCCGAACAGATCCCCCTGGACCAGCGACGAAAGATACACCTAGAGCCAATTCAGGTCCCGACCCTCGAGTACTCGGATGACGACTGCCTTCTTTCGGACGATTCTTTCATGGAGGAATTGAGATCTGCCACTGTGCAGGAGGCCCGCCCGGTTGCTGTCAACTCACCCAATGGTGGTCAGCACTGGAGAAGCCCATCCCGCGCCGTCTCGACCCCCAATGGCCTCCCATCTCCTGCCTTCTCGCAGACACTCGCCGTAGGCGGCCGATCTGCGTCGAGCTCATATCTCGACAACGGGCCTCTGACCCCGGTGCTCATGGCAAAGAAAGTCAACGTTTCATCTGGAATCTCAAGCCGTATCAAAGCCTTGGAAAAATTCACAAGTCGAGAAGGCTCTCCCAACCCAACGATCAACGGACCCGCGCCATCTGCTTCTTCTTCCTTTGAGAATCTCCGCAAACGTGCATCAGTCTCTTATCCTGGCGATGTTACCCTGCCCGATTTCTCTCGTGCGCCAAGCGTGAATCTACATGAGTCGCGCCCAGCTACTAGTATGGCGCGCCGCACCAACTCAATCTCCGTAACCGCTCATATTGTGCGTGACTCAAACGACTCACCTGTCTCTCCAGGTCCAGAGCAGTTCGAGTCCGATGTACTCAATCTCCAGCCCAGTCCTCCAACAGTTGAGCACGACTCGGCTGAAAATTCTTCCCCTCAAAGTTTGACCCCACCCCCACCGGTGGAGTCTACCAACAATGTGGGTGACCGAAGCATGTCTATGTCATCTACTGGTTCTAGTCGACAAACTCCTATCTCTCGTCCCACGAGCCGGCTGTCGTTGTCTTCGCGCACAAAGACCGACGAAAATCTGCATTCGTCGTCTTCTTCGACCCCTGATGATAAGAGAGTATCTCGCGCCTCCCGTCTGATGCGTCGCATGTCATCGATTACGTCAAGTTCTCGTCGTAGCATTATTGGAGCCCTTAGCTCGCCTGTGAAGGAGGAAGATTTTGCTACAATCGCTGCTGGCGAGTCGGCCAACTCCCCGGCATCCTCACGTCAGAGCCTGTCGAAGCCAATTGAGATCGGCGAGGTCAATGTCCAATTCCCTGATACCCTCCTTTGGAAACGTCGAAGCATGTGCATTGATGAGAATGGATATGTTGTGCTCACACCTGGAACCACTGACGCGACTGCTCGCAACATGATCAAGCGCTACCACCTGACCGAGTTCCGAACCCCCTGTCTGCCTGACGAGGATATGCAAGAGCTGCCCAACAGTATTCTGCTGAACTTTTTGGATGGCAGCACTCTTCAGTGTGCTTGTGAATCTCGACAGGGACAGACTTCCGCCTTGCAGAGTAAGACACCTTTCAAGATTCCCTTGTGTATTTTCAACGCTAACTTGCGATACAGCCCTTGTTGACGCCCACATCGCCAACCAATCATAAGTACCATCTTCCATCAATGGAGGACCGGATTCCTCTACTGAAACTCCCTGCATTCACTTCTTTTCTTTTCCTTTCTCTTCATTTTGCATTTTGGCATTTTGCCCCATTTCATAGCTTGCGCTACATTTGATCACCGCATCAGCTCTGTCTAACTTCTGGATACACCGGCTTTTCCTTTTCTTTCCCCCTTTCTTTCACACACGGTTTGGGCATTGCGCCTTCTACTTCATTCACCCAACTGTCTTATCTCACTTCTCTTCTCCGTGTCATTTCTCTCCTTACCTCTTTTTCTTTACTTTTTTTTTCAAATTTGTGTGCGTGATATATGTGGCATGTTCCGTGATATACCCCTCCGAGTCAAAAAGCTCATTTTCTTTGAACCTTCCAACTTCTCCTATGTATAGTAGGTCTTGTGCTTTTTCTAGTATCGGCTCCCTGTAAGGCCTAGGGGCTTTTTTTTCTAGTTTCTGTTATTACCTTTTTACGCCGCATATACTTCTCTGATTTGTATATATACTGGATGATAACTAGATGGAGTGGCTCTCAGCCAAGAATGATTAGACGGTAATCTTGACCAACTGTTTCGCAGTGACTCTCCCAGCCAGAAGAATCATTTATACATAGCGAGTTTGACATGTTATATGCGGAAATTTTTTCTTAATTATTTTACAAGGGGAGGTAAATTAGGGATGGGGGACACTGTATTGATCATCAATCCCAACAGTTGAACCTTGGGGTGTACTGCATACACTCTACCCTCTCATAAATAGTAGACAACCTATTAAACACCGACACAAATATAAGTGTCAAGCCAGAGATTGGTGCAGTCAGTGCCAATCGCCGGGTTCCACAGTTCAAGATCAGCAACTGAAACGCCCTCCGCTGTCGCAATGGTTGAACATCCATCGCCAGAAACCACATAGTAAAAAGCATCGCAGTCGGAAACCATGCCTGTTTGGATAGGCGAAGGAGTTGTCACCCCACTGCTCGTTGTGGTCGCAGTGGCAGTAATCGTCGTAGTGGCCGTACTGCCAATAACACCAACACAGACATAATCCCCTAGGCCTAGATAGGCACAAGAACTGCCAACCGCTGGGTTCCATGAATAGAAATCGGTCAAAGAGATATCTGCATCGGCAGCAATAGCAGAGCAGCTATCTCCTGACACAACCAGGTAAAATGAGTCGCAGGTGGACACCATGCCTGTCTGGACAGGAGAGGGAGTGGAGACTCCGTCCCCGGTGCTTGTTGGGGTCGCAGTGACAGTGCTGCCAATAACACCAACACAGACATAATCTCCCAGGCCTAAATAAGCACAAGAACTGCCAACCGCTGGGTTCCATGCATAGAAATCGGCCAAAGAGATATCTGCATCAGCAGCAATAACAGCGCAGCTATCTCCCGACACGACCAAGTAAAAGGAGTCGCAGGTTGACACCATGCCTGTCTGGACAGGAGAGGGAGTAGAAACTCCGTCCCCGGTGCTCGTGGGTGTAGTAGTTACCACGAATCTCGAGCTCGAGGGGGTGGGAGTGGCGCTTGAATACCCATACCCGAGAACTCGAATGCAAACGTAATCTCCAATGTCAAGGTCAGTGCAGCTGGTACCAACAGCCGGATTCCAGGATTCGAAGTCACTGAGGGAGACTCCGGCACTGGAAGCAATCGCTGCACAAGTATCTTCAGATACGACAAGATGGTACTCATAACAAATGTTTGTCATGCCCGTTTGGATTGGCGACGGGGTAGAGAGACCATCCCCCCATACCGTCGAGGTGCTCCCTGTGACAGTGGTAGCTACGCTTGTGACAAAGGTGGTGGAGGTGGAGGTGGAGGTGGAGGAAGATGAAGTTGTAGTCACGGTGCTTTCAAAATTGATTTGAACACAGTAGTAATATCCTGAGATGATTGCGCACGTGGCTGATATCTCGAAAAGATCAGGATTCTACCAACAGATCCATGTCAGAGTTTGAACCATTTGAAAATGACAGGGCAAGGCCTGGCTTACCCATGTGGCAAACTGCGTGAGTGTAATATCATATTCAGACTCAATCTCGGCGCAGGTGAGGCTAGGAGAACCGTACACCCAAGCACTACACTCGGATGATGCCCCAGGGAATGCTGTTCCAGCGGGAGCAACAAGATAACCCGAAGCAATTTGACCGGCGGCTAAAACCGCAGCAAGAAGGCGCGTCAAAGCCATCACCTGATTCACGCAAGAGTCAAGACAGATGAGACAGTAGAAGGAGACTCAAAGCAAACTTGTAATTTTATGGGCTCCTTGGTCATCGGTCGTACATAATATACAGAGTTCGGATATACTGCCCACATGCATGTGGCAAGCTTTGAGGCTATTAGTGCTGACATTATTTACTAGTGCCGGTGGAGTCATGATAACTATTAACAGGTTTGAAGTGGAGCTATTCTGTAGTCCGTAGAACTCAACTCTTCAAATCCCGGAAATTTCAAATGTCAGTTTGAGACAAATTTTGTGGCAGCCGCTTGCTCCTGGGCTTCTTTAGCGCGTGGAGCCAAATTCCTGGTCTCCTGCAGGTGGTATTGCAGGAAGAAAAAGGAGATGTCAAATGCTTCGTTTCAATTCACGTGGCTATTCCCACCCTGGTTGGAGGTATTCCTTCAAATGTTGAGCCGCTGGTCGATCTCCGTACTAGTATTCGCTCATTCTGGGCGGAAATAACGAGCACTGATCGTTGAGTTAAAGATCGACAGGGTAGGAATGCGGAGGGCCGTTATTGTTAAGCACTGACAGGGCCCGATCTATAACCTTGTCCTTTCACGATCGTCGTGGTGTTCCTCAGGGTAGGCGCTCTTGTGTTCTTCTGGCCCCTTTTTTTCCCGTCCCTATGTATAGTCGGGAATAACATTTAAAAGTTGAATATAAAAATAAACATTTAAAATAACATTTGAACGCCGTTTCTTATTCCCGAGCACGTGATAGATTGGATTTTTCGGTTTCAATCAATTGATGTATTCAAATTTCAGGGTCTTGGCCCGAGAGCTAAGAGACGCTAAGCATTGACACTAGCCTTTGCAGGCTTTGCTTACCCTGATTCCAAATGAAAGCCCCCATAACATTTGAAAAAGAATTATAATTCGATGCACATGTGGTAAAATGTGCTAGTTCAGACATCGGTTAGTGTAGATATCTCGTTACTCGTACAGGTTTCCCGACTGGGAAGGTGAAATCCTTCGATATTCAAATGTTCGTATATGTGACTTCAGCTAGCGCTAGGCCTTGTCATTACAATAACTGGATTCCTATGTAAGACCGAGATTTTCCGTGTTTTTCGCCATTTAAATTACTCGATGCTACCTAAGAAATCCAATGTTATTCAATAGATAGATGGTGGAGGCTTGGAATGGATAGCCGAGCCGAGTACGGGAGGAGCCCGAAATCTGATTTACAAAGGACGCTTGGCATTGTCAAAGGCTATAAAGCTGATTATGTGAAGAAAACTCTTGTATTTTGGTATTTTTGAATATGGAAAATCATTCCACCGGCTGTCGTACGGTGTGTGCTACTAGTAGGAGGCGAAAGTCGGAAACTCAAGATTAGATGAGGCCCACAATCAGGTACCGAACAGATCCTTCTGCATATGTGGTTTGCCGTGCTTAATTTTACTAGTGAATAGCCGATGATTTAGCTAACTGAACAAGGCTAGAACGATACGATTGAGAATTGGCTCGTTTTGCTAACAGCGCCACAGGAACAGTTCCTTGTCAGGTCCTGACTCCTAGCTTTCGCCCCTTGGCAACATTTGAACGGACTAAAGCCCCCGTAAAAGCCGAGCAGCACTAGATGGACCGGTGGACTTTCAATGTTGCGTAAAACTTTGCTTCAAATGTTGCTTAGACCTCGGAAACTTCAGCCATTGGTGGATATCAATTACAAGATGCGACAAGGTGGTAAACTCTAACTACTCGTATAAGGGAAATTTCTAGTTGGCAACTTGGGAATTGTATCAACATTCGAACATTGAAGGCCCAGCACTTGAGTCATTTTGATGTTCAGCACTGAGTTTATTGTAAATTTCAATTTAATACACTTAGTCTCATACATTGATATGATAGTCCCATATGATTAACAATCAAATAGTCCTATTGCACAGAAAGGCAAAGCCGAAACATCAAGGTTGAGCTCAGCGGCCAAATGAGTTCCTCCTCATGCCCAAGTCTGTGGATCATCAACTCGACCTACCCTAGTGGCGCTTGGAGTGAGAGTGCCCTATCCATTGACCATAGCGGAGGGGTTTAGTTGATCTTTTGGCCGAACCAGTATCTGACCCAACATCAGATCCATCAGCGTCTCCTCCATTGAACGGCGTATCCCAAGCCGACAGAAGCCCTGTATAGAATGTTTCACCTGTTTCAAGATAATACCAATATGCCAAAGCAAAAAATGTGTATGATTCGGCATTGCGAACCGTATCTGATGCGGTGAACGTTTTTTCAACTGTCGATCCATCTTCCTGCGGAACCTCAACAGTGGCCTGTCCGAAGGCCATCCAAAGACATTGATCCACGTCATCTGCAACGAGTTTTGTGTCAGAACCGAGAAAAAAGTTGATCATAAGGATTTCAGAAGACTTACAAGTATAATCCGTGACATACTCGTCTGAGTTGAAAGAGAAGTCTCCATCGGCAGTTTCAGTCCAGTATGAGATCAGATGAATCAATTCGTGGAAAAGAGTAGTTGGACCACGCGCTCGGCTAGTGAGAGATGAAATTTGAGTGACCCCCAGGTCATAATCATCACTAGCGGTGATGATATCAGCTAAGCTCGTCTCAGCCAAGGTAGCCGGGCACATGAGAAGCAAAGGTGAAATGGCAGGCATGTGCACTGGGTTAGCCAAATAAGTCTTTGTGCTCTCCCCCTGGCCAGAGAACGCTTGGCCGTACAATTGATTGCCCGAGTCTTTCTGGCAGATATTGTTATCGGATGTACCGGCCTTGACAAGGTAATAGTTATGGTTCTCTTCCTGCAGATAAGGTACAAGATCGGGATTATAATCGTAAATCTCCGAAAGTTCAGGCTCCTCATCGTCAATTTCGTATGTGAAGTATGAACTAGTCTCGGAATCCCACTTGAGAATGGAAGCTTCCCATGAATACTTAGCGAAGCCGTTGCCATCGCAGAGAATCTCAGGAGGTGTTTGAGGGGCGGCCATCCCAGATCCGCCCAAGAAGCTCGTCATCTTTGTGCTGATGTCTAATACAGTTGATTTGTGTTAGGTCGAACTTCATGTAGTCATACTGGACTTTTTTCAGAGTTGTCGTACCTTTGACTACCTCCCACTGAGCCTCTGTTTCCGATGTTACGACTCCATTCTCATCGATTTGGATGCCAAACCAACTCCAAAAAAGTCCTCGCGCAACCCAACCCTCTTCCGAATCAGACAGAGTAATGGCCTGTGTAATGGCATCGGCAAATGCTGTTGACAATTCCTGCACATCGCTAAGATAGCTGTCCATCAAGGTAACGTAGTCGTCGTTGCACGCTCCACCGCCTGACAAAACATTGAACAGGCTACTGATTGAGACAGCTGCAGTCTGGACGGCACCCAGACTTAGTAAAAGAAACAATGGGAGCAAGCCGCGTGGAAACATGGTTATTGATGGAATGAATCAGAACCAAAAGCAGAGACGAACAAATGCAAAAAGAATGACAGTTTTCCGGCACGAGACAAGTTGACGAACGGGGCCGATATATGTCCGATTTTCGTGAAACCGGCCTCATTAGGAGAGTTAACCGGGCTTCATGGCTAATGAATTAGATCCTTCGGATGTATGTAATGTGAAGCCGTCTGTAATCTCATAGTAGGGTAGTACATGTGGACCTGCCTAAGCACTAACGATTAGCTTGGATAGTGGGTCCACCAGGGGGAATTGCCACTGAGAGCGGCCCCCAAGCACTAGAGACCCTTTAGCTTGAATTAGCGTAGGAAGTCTTCATCCATCGATAAGTACTAATCCAGGGCAAGAAGAAATCCCGAATGAGTAGCGTGGGGCGTTAAGCAGATGATCCACAGAACTTGGTAATTCGGCATCAGTTCGTATCAGCCATGTATTGCTCTGTTGCTAAATTCGATGGACTGGTAACATGAAGTAGACCAGGCGCATTGGTCTTTCTTCGTATATAGATAAACCGAGATTCTTCTGTTGCTTTTTTATACTTCCTCTCCAAACAACCTTCCTTTCACTCCGTTGTGTCTATACCTGGCCGACTAGAAGGGCCTTGGCCTTGAGTGAGAACAACTCACCTTGTGCTTATTCATTCGTTTTCTACTTTAAACATTTTTCATTTGTTTCGCCTTGCAAAGAGGGCTCTCATTCGTTTTTTTATTTTTTATTTTTTATTTTTTTTCATCTACCATGTTGCTCAACACGATGGCTGGGGCCCTTGCGGTCCTGGGCTCCCTCGTGAATGAAGCTACGGCTGATACGACCAGCGCTCAAGATGCGATAGACTCGTTTGTCAGCAATTATCCCATCAGTACTCGCTCAGCAGCTCAGTCCCAGAGTACACCGGATCTGGAGAATCTGAAGGCCGCAGCTCTTGCGGGCAATTTTACTCTTTCCTCAACATGGCACACTCTTCATCAAAATTGCCCTGGCAGCTGTTCAGACCTCGGTCTGAACTCCAGTGCTTGGCCAGTTTATACACAACTGGATCGTCTAGCTCAGTGCGATGAGCCTATGTTTCTCGATTTTGCCCTTTATACTCCGATTGACAAGTCAAGCGGCCATGTCAGTGTGCGTGCATGTGCTGCTGAATTGGATACATATAATACTTGGACTACTTCTGGCTCCTGCTCGGCATCTAATGTCACCGCGAACGTCACATCCTCGTTACAGCTCACCTGGGATTCAACTGGCAACAATGGCAACTCATATGGAGTGGCTGCTGCAATCGAGCAGCTGTACGCCTACGAGCTTGTCAACCCTTCACCGTGCAATGAGACTATCAACTTTGCCTATTCGGACGGCGTGGCAGTGGGTCTCTATATGGGCTCTGGCTTGCACGGGCAAAATCTACTTGCTCCCATTCTGAAAGAGCTTATGCAGTATGTCTTAGATGACGGCATGCCAGAAACCCTAGCGGCTCAGCTTTGCAGCAACCGAAGTTCACGATACACAATGGGTGTATATATCAGCACCGCAGGGGATCTGAACGAGGCACAAATGGCTGTTCAGAGCTGGCGCGCCAGTGACTGTCTAGCGTCCTTGGGACAGAAGAAAGCCTGGATCGACATCAATTACTCTGTTGCGGCTCAAGGTCGTCACAATTCCACAGCAGTCTCCCTGGAGAGGCTTCGCAAGCGTGACTCTGAATGTACCACCGCCCAGGTTGTTGCTGGAGATACCTGCACCACTCTGGCAGCCGAGTGCGGGATCAGCGCCGCAGACTTCACAACATATAACCCCAGTTCAACCCTTTGCGGCAATCTCGCTGCTGGTCAATATGTCTGTTGTTCCTCTGGTACCCTACCAGACTACTCTCCTCAGCCTGATTCCGACGACAACTGTTATAGCTATCTCGTCCAGACCGGTGATAGCTGCGATGCGCTTTCCGCTGCCTATGATCTTACTTCTACCGAGATCGAGAGCTACAACAACGATACTTGGGGCTGGATGGGCTGTGGTGACCTTCTTGCTGGAGAGAACATCTGTTTAAGCTCGGGATGGCCCCCCATGCCTGCCGTTATATCAAATGCAGTTTGCGGTCCCCAAGTCAATGGTACTGCCACAGCACCTCACGGTACTGACCTCTCTACATTGAACCCTTGCCCACTGAATGCCTGTTGTGACATCTGGGGCCAGTGTGGAACTACTTCAGACTTCTGTACCCCAACCAACTCTACCACTGGAGCCCCTGGAACGGCAGCTAATAACACCAACGGTTGTATCTCTAACTGTGGAACGGATATCATTCAAAGTGACGCACCAGCCGAAACTTTCAACATCGGTTACTTTGAGGGCTTTGATTTATCCCGCCCCTGTATGCGTACCTGGATTACAGACATGGACCTGAGTTCATACACTCATATCCATATGTCATTTGCTACGTTAAATAGCGATTACACATTCAACATTTCGACAATCGAAGAGCAGATGAGTGAGTTTGTTGCCTTAAGTGATGTTAAGCGTATCATTACCGTTGGTGGATGGAGCTTTTCAACAGATACCAGCACCTATGATATTTTCCGTGAGGCCGTCGCCAGCGATACTAATCGTGAGACTTTGGTGTCAAATACCATTGCCTTCCTGAATGAGTATGACTTGGATGGTGTCGATTGGGATTGGGAGTACCCAGGAGAGCCGGATATCCCAGGAATTCCTGCAGATACCTCGGACTCTGCTACTGATTTCTTCCTCTTCCTATTAGAGCTTCACTCCGCGATGGCAGAGCAGGTACCGGATAAGACGATTAGCACTACAGCTCCGTCGTCATTCTGGTATCTCAAGGCTTTCCCTATTGAGGCTATCAGTGCTGTGGTAGACTATATCGTGCTCATGACCTATGACATGCATGGCCAATGGGATTGGAATAGCACATATGGTGATGTTGGATGTCCTGATGGCAGTTGCTTGCGATCACATGTCAACCTTACGGAGACTCTCAACTCACTATCAATGATCACTAAGGCTGGTGTTCCATCCAATCAGGTTGCAGTCGGCGTCGCCAGTTACGCACGCTCCTTTGAAATGACAGAGGCAGGTTGCTATACTGCAGAGTGCACCTTTGTCGGTCCTGACTCTGGTGCAACTCCAGGTGCATGCACACAAACTGCTGGCTATATTTCCAATGCTGAACTCGCTTCTGTGATTGCTGATGACGATGTTTACATGTTCATCGATGATGTTTCTAACTCGAATATCATGATCTGGAACGAGACTCAGTGGGCTGCTTGGATGGACGATGATATCAAAGCCACACGAAAGGAGTTATATGCCAGCATCAACTTCCTAGGATCGGCCGATTGGGCAATTGACCTACAAACCAGTAATGACACCACTGGGTCAAACTCGTCGGGTACTACTGCTTGCGAAATATCCATTGATCCGAGTGTGTGGAGTGAAGACAGCCCAGTGGTCACCGCAGAAGCAGGCTGCACCCTTATATGGCCTCCGATGCCACTGAGCAGCACAACAACTATTTCTTTCCCTGGATGGGCTACATACATCACTTACCGCTCAACTGCTACATCCACATTGACGTTTGCGGATAGTTCGACTGTGGAGTACCATTCGTACTCCGACATCTCGGTGCCAACCATCCTATCTATTACCCCTGGTAAGACCTGAATTTCCATACTGCAGCCTGGGGCCTGACGCTTACTCTCTTCTGCAGTAACAACCGATGCCATTCCAGTGTGGGATCAAGTTCCTTCGTCTGGTCAGACCGTTCTATACCAAACAAGCTCAGTGCTTCCCACACCTTTCCCTCTCGTTCTGACCCCGTAAGTGCAATAATGTACAACCATGTCTATCATGACGGACACTAACGCTCCCCAGTACTGTCGGTGGCACAACAACTGTTATTGGAGGAACTACTAGCACTGTTTCTGGATACACATTTTCCTCTGGCAACATCACTTATGCCACTGCATCCTGGATAGGTACCTTTGGTGGAACCACGTCCGTGGTAAATGGGACCATTCTTGCGGCTACAACCACAACCATAACTCCCCACCCCTACCCGACAACCACCGATTCTACAACTGATCCAATTCTTAACACAAGAACAACTCATCGTTCTTCATCCACGAGCTCTGGTGACTCTTCAGGACCGACATGTGTTTCGAGTCTGTTGAATACGTGTGGAACCAGCTGTAAGTCTCCCCGGCTCTCCGCTACTTTATCTATTTTCTTAATTGAAGATAAACAAGTACTGATTGAAAACACTATGAATAGGCGGTCTTTTCTGTATTCGAGGATGTCCACTGTGCCCCCCTGATTACGACGGCACCTCAGACGGGGGAGGCGGCAGCGGCAGCGGCGACGACGATGACGATAACACCACAACTTCCACCAGCACTGAAACGGGTACCTACGGCGATGCGCCAGGCCTAGCAACCGAAATCGCAGAAGATGCGTTCCCAACGACCACCGACGCACTCACTGCGCTAGAAATATTGGCTAGTTCCCAGTACGCCTTTATGGCAACCTACTTCGGCTCTGCACCAACCTCCACCGAAGCCACAGCTACCAACAAGGCCACTGGTACTGCCGGTACAGCAACGGCCACAGCTGGTACTACCGGCACAGGAACGGCCACAACTACCAGCAGCAGCAGCAGCAGCAGCAGCACTCTAGGCTGCTACATCGTTCAAGATCCCGACTCTGGCAGCACCGATACCTACTGCGAATGCCCTGACTACGATGGCACTCTCCCCACACTCTCCGGGTCCAATATCTGTGACTACACAGCCTTCCCTACAACAACTACCAAGGCTACCACAACCTCCAACAGCAACCCTTACCCGTACACATTCACTGATCTGTATGGCGTTGTCGTTGCTTGTGAGTCTGAGTCCTTCCTGGAGGTCGCGGGTTACAAGCTCACTGAATGTGCTGGCTCTTCGACTATTGAAGTCCAACCCACTATCACTGTCACTGATGTGGTCACTACCTCCGCACTGAGTAACTTGTGCGAGGGTGGCAGTTATTACGAATGCGTTGAATTGATCGAAGACTTCGGTATGGCGTCTTGTCCTAAGAACCCCCGGGCTTTGGCCAGGTGTGAGGAACAAGTCTTTGAGAATGCACAGTTAGAGTGTGAGACCTTGTGTGTCTTTACAACGTCTACCTATACAACGGTTTATGCGACTTTGGCACCGTAAGGTTGAGTGAAGATCTTAATCATAATTCTGTGTTAGTATATGAAATATCTAAATACACAAATTACAATTGATTATTCTTTACTGCTGATTCGATATTGACTATATGATGTTTTGAGTAAATTTGGACATAATAATGCGTAAGGAACTGTGAATGACTGCATATGGTTGGTATTGCGGGTTTTACCTTGGCGCATCCTACGAGGATTATTCAATGTTGGCTTAGGTGCATCATGCACCTCGTGTTCCATGGTTCATTTTCATCCCGTATTTCCATCTCTATAACCACCATTAGCCGTGACGAATCTTCTACCTCATCACAACTTCTTATATCTTCACATGCCAGTCTTGACTCAGGTTAATCAAAATGCAGCTGGCGGCCCTTCTTCATCTATTGACATTTCTTGACTCGGGCCTTACGAATCCAGTACGGCGTGCCACGGGAATAGAGGTCCGAAACTTCTCTGCTAGTCTCTATTCCAATAATACACTGGGAACTCTTCAATTCAAAGTGAAGAGTCCCAGTACCAATTTGAATGATTCGTGCTTTATCTCTTGGTAAGTGGGCACCAATATTCGGCCCCGTAAAAACCTGCCCAGGGCTCTAGATCTCTCTAAATTCATTCCAATGTTGAAATCCTAATAATCCATGGTAATTTGCGACACAGGAACCCAAGCTGTGATATACAGCCCAGCATAGAACTCAACAAATGCGCTCACAATAATTATGAATTCGGATTTCGCTATGGATTGCAGATTGAGAACTTTGTGTTGGATTTGAAACAGGTCAATGAATCTCAGACAGCCTATCAGGTGATTAATTCTGATGCGGTGAAATCCAATTGGACTTGCCTGGAGAATCCGTACCAGGGGATCAAAACGCGGTGTCACTATAATGGGGTACTGAATATCAGCCTCTGAGGAAAACAGAATGATAGTACTCTCTGACTTCTGATGCTGTCCCAAACGTAAAAAGAAGTGTAGATGATACTAGCCTGCTGCCTGCTGCTTACTAGTACTAATTGTATGGAAGGTAATTGGGTGCATTATATTGGACCGAGTCAGTTCCAAAGTTGACGCGGAGCCTCAGGCGCGTGACTCAGCAAGTCGATCCCCCCAGTCACCTACACTTGTTGACGTCTTGCGAGATTCCAGTCCATTTTTGCCTTCTCATGGCGCCGCGCGGGTTTTATCTACCCTCTGCTCTCCATAAATCTTGCCTGCTTCATCCACCATGCCGCGACCGCAACCATGACCACCCGCGAAGAAATAGTCCTCCCTCCCATTGATCCCTCCATCCCCGATGAGAATGATTGGTGGGAGTTTGGTCTGTCTGAGGTCAAGGTCTTGCGACCAGGGAAGATGCTCTATGCCAACTTACTTGATGCCAATGAAAACAACCCCGTGCAGGTGATTGGTCAGCTAGATCTGAAGCCAAATCAAGAACATCTAGGTAAGTTACTCAACTTAAGTCGGGTAAAACGCGTCGGAACACGACTTACTTACATCTCCCTCACTCGATAGTGCTCGACCCCGAAGCCTTATCTAAACGAATTGTCATCGACGATGTCACCCATTATGCTTACGGCCAGACCGAGGATCGCAGTGTCGAGCTCTGGGTAGCCGGCAAGGCGGGCTGGTATCGAATCTCACCTGCAAAGGGCTACTTGCCCACCTTCAATCGCATGGTGCAGGCCGTGGACATGTATTACTTCCTGATGGACAGGCACCAACATGGAAAGAAACAACTGAACCCCTCATTCAGAAACCTCTGCGAGCAAGTAAGTGGCAATTCCCTTATACATGGCTGCCATTCAATTCGCCTGTAACTGACCCTCATGTAGTATGTCTTCCACACCCATGGCGACTGCGAGACCAGAGAGGGTTCGGCTGAGATTTTTACAAAACATGGGGCTTTCTTGCTACGATGCATGATCGAGGATGATGAGGATATGGACTGGAACAAGACCAATGTCTTCATCCATCTTCGCCGACAATTCAAAGTAAGTTACTAGCTGGCTTTGAGCTTTGAAGTGTATATTTTCCGCGTTACTTACTTTTTATGTATCAGGATGAATACAAGAAGATCATGGAACGTATTTCACCAGACTCCGAAAAAGACGACGAAGAAGAATCCGAGCCCGAGGTTGCCACGCCTCGGCACAATCCAGCAGCAATCGCCAAGTCACAGACCGATGCTGTTTGCCAAATGATACTGGCCCTCAAAGATGAAGGTCATCTAGCAAAACGCCGATTACATCTAGATCTGCTGTCTGAGCGATTATCTGAACATTACTCATTCAGCAAAGAGAATGCTCATAAAATAATCGCTGCAAGAGCAAATGCTGTGCTTGAGAAGTTAGAGGAAGATGAGAATTCCGATGTTCGGTGGTCACGCTATGTCATCCACCGAGAACTGACACATGCCGCCTCACAATCCGAGCCTTTACCCCCTGGTCTTCTCACGCCACTGCATTCCATCGAAGACTCCAGCGATGATGATGAAGGTCTCACCCGAACCCAGAAATCCGTGCTGCGGCCCAAGAGTGCCCACGTTTCTGCCAAAGTAATGGGTAAACGGAATCGAAATGCAGCGGTAAACCAGCAGACCACGGAGTCTGGCAATGAAGAAGAGAATTATGATGATGACGATGATGACCCAGACGCCATGTCCGACGTGGAAACACCCAGCAAGATCCGCGGCCATGAGCTAATTCGAACTCCTTTGGCATCGGCAAAACCCCGAACCAGATCCTTTATAGCCAAATCCGGCCCTGCAGCTTCTCTCCTGCAGACCATGCTCCAGGATGCCACTCGACCCCCTACTACTACCCTTGCATCCACCATGAGCATTGAAACTTCCGATCAAGGAGGCATCCCACCCCTCCCTGAATTGAATGGCCATTTCGATCCCGAATCAGAACCCGAGCATCACGCTCAATCCGAGCCGGAAATTTGGGCATGCCGCATGGTCGGCTGTCCTAAGCAAATCACCACCAAGGGAGCGGAACGACAGAAAGAGATTGAAGTCCACGCTGGCGAGCATGACTGGGAAACTCAGATGCGAGTTGAGCTCGTGGAAACGGAGCAACGAATGCATACGGCTTTGCCCGTTAGCAATCTCATGAAGTATCTAATCAGTCAGCATTACCAACAGATGCGTGAAGCATTCCCTGAGGTTTACTCTGTGGAAGAAGTCGAGGTCTAATATTTTGCTTTCAAAGAACACCCACAAATTTTTGTATTATTACTACATACTAGTAAGGAGATGAGTTATGTATATGAGAAATATACATTTGCTTCAAATGTTGCTTTTTTCTACCTACCCTTCAAATGTTCAGATCAAGATCCATCAATTGGTGGAGGTATACACATGAGTAGAAATTCGGCTTCTGCCCAAATATGTGCATGTATGGGTTTACAGTAGGAAACCTTGGAATCAATCCTCACATGTGCAGACATTGACATGTCAATTTGCTTGAATATAGAGTGTTAATTTGAACGACACACCTTTTTAACTCCAATTCCTATATATGTACTATGATTCTTGGCCCTTTGGCATGCAAATCAATTATTTAGTCGCATCGGCTTCCTGTTCGACTTTAGGAGCATCCACCTCCTGGTCGGGTTTATGCGCCTCTGCTGCCTGGTTGGCTTTAGTCTCTTCCGCCTCCTGCTTAGCTTTAATATCCTCAGCTGCCTGGCTAGCAATTTTCTCCTCCCAAGCGCTAAGGAAACCCTCAACCTTCGGGCCCCAAACTTCTTCACCGTTTGCCAAGTCCTCATACTGCAAGACCTTTTCAGGAACGAGCTCAAAGTCACCCTGGCGAGTTCGGATAAGCTCGCTCATGAGCGCACAGCTGCCAACCGCATTACCCAGATCATGCGCCAAAGACCGCACGTAGAAACCAGAGGTAACAGTCATCCGGATCTTGACAGCCGGCGCTTGGGGCCGGCGCTTCTTTGTCCCATCCCCAGCAGTAGATTCCGAGTCCGAGCTCAAATAATCAGCCTCTGCTTCCGCATCTGCGGCCGGGGCAGGGGCATCAGTAGCAGCAGTTTCCGCAGCAGCCGCCTGGGCTTCGCCGCTCTCGCTAATCTTCTGCTTCTTATCGGCACCGTGCTCGACCTCAGGCGTGTCTGCAGCACTGCGCTTGGAAGACGCAGCAGCGGTCTCGGCCTCCGCGACGGGAGCAGCAGTACCAGCTTGCTGATCAAGCAGCTGCTCCGCAACCCTCTTCTCCTCGCCCTCCATCTTCTCCTTGGGCCACTTGTGCTCGTGCGTGCCGGGCTCGTACCACTCCACGATCTCAAGTTCCACGGCCTCAACGGGCCTAGACTTGATCTCCACAGGCGGGAGCTTGCCCTCGCGCGCATATTCGTAGAGTCTCTTTCCGTTGATTCTCAACGCAGAGAAAATGGGCGGCTTCTGCATGATCGGACCCCGGAACTGCTTCAGTGCTTCCTCGACCTTCTCGCGTGTGACGTGCTCGTACGGCGCGCGGCGGACGATCCGGCCCATACGGTCGTAGGTGTCTGTCTCGGCGCCGAAGAGCACAATGGTCTCGTAGGACTTGGTGCATCCTAGGAAGCTGCTGAGGGACTTGGTTCCCTTTCCGACGCCGGCGATGAGAATTCCTGTTGCGAGCGGGTCGAGGGTTCCGCCGTGTCCGATCTTCACCTCGATCTTCTTTTGACGGCGGCGGTTCTGCTGGAATTTGTTTTCGCGCTCACGGCGGTCGCGCTCGTTTTGGAGCCAGGGGGCGAAGGTTTTGGAGGGGTTGAAGTGCTCTTGGCATTTGCGAAGGACATCTGCGGAGGTGACGCCCTCGGGCTTGTGAATGGCTGTCGAATTGCAGGTTAATCTCCGAGGTTTTGGTCTCATTGAAGGAGGAGGAAATTACCAAAGCAGCCTTCGAGGATCTTTTCGCCTGACATTGTGGTGCGAAAGGGTCTGAAGCCAATGGGGAATCGCATTGGGGGGTATGAGGACGGAGAAGCGACAGGTGAAAAGTTGAGGGTTATGGTAGCTTGGGTAATTTACTGGTATCGATAAGAAGATAATGATACCGATAACGAGTGCTATGCATTACGGGAAGCGGGCGTCTTGCAGTATATAAAATACGGATTTGGTATTGACGTTACCAACGCTAATGCCATGTCAGGTCTATGAATCTATCTACCAATTCAATAGGTCAATTAGGTTAGAAATAGCAGCAAACGCACCATATAAGATATAAGAAATAACATTTGAATAGGTGAATTCGTAGTAAATGCAGGGTAACTATAGTTATTACAGAAAGCAACAGTGGAAAGTTTTCCACCATGAGATTTTTTTGGGCGCCGCATTGCGCCTCCACACATCCCCGTCACAGAACCTGAAATTCTAAGCCATCATCTACCAAGGCTTTACATACGGCCTTGGGCACGCTTGCTCTTGCCAGGGCGCTTAGCACCACCAGCCTTCATCTTCTTGGTAGAGAACTTGCTCATGTCACCGCTGGAAGCGGCATCACCGCTCTTGGCATGGCGCTTCTTACCACCGAAGCCAAACTTAGAGTCCTTCTTTTGACGCTTGTTGGCACCACCCTCACCGCGACCACGCTTGCGGTTCTCAGTTGGGCCAGCATCCTCAATGGCGACATCGAAGAGATCCTTGGCGTCGTCGGTGGGAGCAGAAGTATCAGCCTTGCGCTCTGTTAAAAGAATTGTTAGAAAATGTCACGGTAAAACTCAAAGATTTCGCTTTCTCTCAGATCACAGTGTAAACGTACTCTTCTTCAGGGTGTTGATCTTTTCAAGAGTCTCCCGCTTTTCCTTGGCTCTCTGCTGCAGCTTGGCGACCTGCACCTGCTTGCCGAATTTCTTCAGGTCACGCTGGCGGCGCGCCTCAGCAGCGGCCTTCTTGCCGGCTGCCTCATCGTACAGCTTCTTCTTGATCAAGTTCATGTGCTCGTCGTTCTTAACCATCTCTGCGAAGTAGTCACCGGGACGGGTGAAGGGAATTCCCTCCTTCTTCAGCAGACCACGGGCCTGGGTTGCGGCAGCTTGGCAGACCTTGTAGAATGCCAATTCGCGGTTCAAATCGTCATTGGCGTCTTCAACCTCGATCGGCTCTTTCGACACGAGGGAGTTGTGCTCGGAGAATGGGGTCTGCGATGTGATGAAGGAGATGCGCTTGAGGGAGGCGGTGATAGCGGCGGAGTTGTTGATAGTCAGGCGTTGGTGGGGGACAACATCCTCACGTTCGTCTTCTTCAAGGTCTGATAGTGGGATATCCTCCTCTTCTTCTTCCTCATCGTCCTCCTCTTCGGCGTTTTCTTCGTCGGACTCCTCAGCCTCAATCTCCTCCTCTTCCTCCTCCTCCTCCTCATCGTCGTCCTCCTCGGCCTCGGAGCTCACGGCAACTTCCTCCTTTGTTTGCTTGGTCTCCTTGGCCTTTGCCGGGCTGTCGGTGGTCGTCACGCCTTTACGCTTCACTGCGGCCTTGACTTGTTTCTTTTGCTTCTCGGCATCATAGTCGCGACCCTTGTGGGCATCGAGAGCCTGGAGGAGCTTGCTTCGTTTAACCATTGTGTGTGGTTGGAGGTAAACTGGGGGTTGGGAATTGACTGATTGTCAAGAGACGGCGGACAAATGCTCTTGATTTTTTTGAACCGGAGCCATACCCGATATGGTTTAGCGTGGCCGATAAGCACTAATTCAGGTTAGCGTGGGTCGGTCCTCGGAGATATAGATGATCCGGCCTTATCAATTGAATGCCATACAAGTCAATCCGTACACTTCAAGTTGGGCTTGCCGTCTGTCCGTTAATAAGAGTCTCCATACATCATGCCTAATGAATCTTCACCGACTAAGACCTCTGCGGAGGAATCTTTCCTCTCACAACCCGTATGTTGCTCCCTATGCCTCTACAGTACCTGCGATTTCACTTCGCTAACCCGGCCTAGAACTCTGATGCCCAAGGTCAACTTACTGCGGCCGTCGATGAACTCCTCGATCAACTTCAGGGGAAATTTGACAATGTCTCCAAGGAAATGTTTAGCAAACGTAAGTCCTTATTTTCTCGCTAATGACTATCCATCTGCTTACCAGATCATCCAGTGGATGATATGACCCGCCGCCTAGATGAATTGGAGGCTTCTCTGTCCGCAGCGGGAAGCGATGCGGCCTCGGCGGCAACTACGAAGTGAACAGTCATTGACTAGTATATCTCTCGAGTATACAGTCTATAACGCTTCATTATACTCGAAAAATGATTTAACTGCTGCATCCGAGATGGAGCGCGCTTTATTTTTCTTCAGCATTGTTTCTTGTTATGCAATTATGATACCCTACGTTCAAATGAGACAATCTCAGAATATGTTTTTCAATCACAAGTCCACGGTGATAGGATGTAGTGGCAGTGAACGGAGTCTCCAAACATTCATTGAAGGGCATGACGCCCACTAAACATCATATCAATTCCTAGTTCATACAATACAGCGAGAAACCAATTGGTTCCCACAGCAAGTTTCCAGACTATATTCATCATAGCTGATCGCTAGATCATTACAATTCCATTTACTGTAGCTTTCCAGAAAAAACCAGCATCAATCAAAACAATGATAACATGGATGATCCGTTTACAGCTCATCCTTCTTCTCCTGGTCCTCGCCAGCGAAGCGACGCAGGATGTTGCTGCGCGAGACAATGTCATCGAGCTTCTCAGGCGCGGAGTTACCCTTGCTGAGGATCTTGACCAGACGAGCCAGCTCATTGCTGGCGTACTGCTGGTTCGAGTTCAGCTTGTCCGCAACCTTGACGTAGTACAAGGCGTACTTGTCCTGCAGACCCTTGGCAGCCTTCTTGAGCTCACCGGCAAGCTTCTCGAACTTAGCAGTGGGCATGTACTCGCTAACGAGCTTGTCCAGGACGGCGATGGTGCCAGCCTTGGTGTTCAAAGCGCCACCGACGGCACGGTTGGTACCAGTCTTGGTGTTAAGGAACTCGACAAGGGCCTCCTCAGAGCGGCCACCGGAGTAAGCCTCAGGCTCGGTCGAGCCAGCAGCGAAGAACTTGATGGTAGGGTAACCGGTAACGCCCTGCTCCTTGGCCAGGGTGCGAGCGTTCTCGGCCTCGGCATCAACCTTAGCGATCACAACGTTGGACTCGAGGGCGAAGTCGTTGGCGAGAGTCTCCCAGGTGGGAGCGAGGGTCTTGCAGTCTGTACACAAAGAAAACCCAATGTAATTAGTAAAAAAGAAGCTTCACGAAAACAAGAGACAAATAAAAGAGCATTCTACTCACGGCCACACCACGGCGCGGTAAAGGCAACCAAAACGCTCTTATCGCTGCCAACAACAGTCTTGAAGGTAGCATCGTTGAGCATCTCAACCTTGCTAGCCTCCTTCTGCGCACCACGGGGCTTAATGCCAGTCTTGTCGGTAATCCAGGAGGACAAGCTCTCGAGATCACGGCCACCCTTGTACTCCTCGGGCTTGTCACTCTTTCCATCGAACCACTTCAAGGTAGGGAAACCCTGAACACCGAAACGCTTTCCGAGATCGCGGTTCGCATCGGCATCGACCTTGGCGACGGTGACCTTGTCCTCGGCAAAAGCGAAAGCAGCACCAAGCTCCTCGTACACGGGGGCGAGGGTCTTGCAGTGACCGCACCAGGGGGCAAAGAATTCGACCAGAGCAGGCTTGCCAGACAGGACGACTTGGTCGAAGTTATCGGGGACCAGGTCCTTAACGGCGGAGCTGGCGTTGGCGAAGCTGCCGAGCGCCGAGAGGGCGCCCAGGAGCAGGTAGCTTAGACGAGCCATTTTGTGGATTTTTTCGGTTGAATTATACGGCTTGCTTTCAATATGCAAGTCAATTACACCGGAAAAAGTGCCTTTGGGGGGGGGAAGAAAGAACGGAGTAGCTCGGGGGGAGATGGGGCGATGATGACAAAACACCGAAGAGGCCACTTGGTCCCGCTAATCTGCCACAATGATATAGTTGTTGTTTTTGGCATGTGGTTGGTTACCCCAGTATTCAACCTTGGAGTTGCATTGCATACATTTAAAATTGATCAATTACCTTCCGAGGTCTGTTCCGTGTGTTCTTGGTATGAATATCTGCCCAGATTGAAGTCATAGTGTTTCCACGTTCTTTTCTGTTCGAAAAAAAAAGGGTCCAACATTGATTGCTCCGCAATATATGTCGACGTCTACATACCAGTCATAATAGCATATGTTTAAGGTCGAAACTTTGGAAGTATAGAGCCTCGGAAGACAACATTCCTAGTATGCAGTATGTACTTTCAGTTAGAGGTAGGTATTTCTGCGGGACTTTGACTTCGTTTTTTCTTGGTTCGGATTACTAGATAGTAATACAATAGAGAATTTGCAGACAGATCCTACACAAAAGGAAAATAGTCCACGGAAATTGAGCAACAAAAGAAATACAAATCAGGTCGTCATCCGCGTACATAAAAGCCCTCGATCCCTCTCAATGGTAATCCGATAGATAAAGCACTACCCCGCAAGGTTGAAGTTTGCATCATTAACGTCGCTCAGACAACCACTTGTTTGCATCATCCCATGTCTTTGCGTCCTTGACCTCCTTACCAGCCGACTGGGTAGCCTTGTAGACCTATGAAGATGATTATTAGTTTTGTTCACTAAATTTACCAAGACTTGCTTAGAGCTTACCGAATCCCAGAGCTTGAAGGCTTGATCCAGGTTTCCTGTGAAGCTCTCGCTATGTTGGAACCATTCCTTGCCCTTTGACTTGACCTCCGCCCGAGCCTCTGGAGAGGTGGGATTTGTTTGCAAGGGAAGATCATCCAGGTAGGTGCGAACAGCGATTCCGAGACCGCAGTCATTATCATCAATAAAAGGTAACCTAAAGAGGCATTAGTGCATTTCAAAGAATAAGGTTTCAACATTGACCACGTACTTAATTGCAATTTCAGTCCAATCGTTGCGGTCTCGATCGGCGTCTCCGCTGAGCAGCAAACCGGTCAAGACCACCTCGATTAGATTCCTCAGCGCAAGTCGCACCTCGGAGATCAAAGAGCGGTAGCAAAGAAGCTGCCGGCTCAAGGGACCGGAGTAACCGATGCTCTTGTGCTGCAACTTCCCAATGCACGCAACACGGGACACGAGCATGTTAAAAGTCTTATCGTCCTCTGATGAGTGAAAAAAAAGTTAGTTATTGACTGCGATGCTTTGTTGAAGTTTGGAGCCATGTTAAGAACATACCTGATCCTCTCATAGGACCACCGGATACATGTGAGAACCAACTCTTGGTGTTGAGAAGATCCAAGCGGAGCATCTCAATCGCAAGGAATATAGATTCCTCTAAGTTATCTGCAGAATCAACGCTTGACAGAGATTGTTCCAGGCACTTGCCCCAAACTGTGAGCTTGTGCTTATCATCGATATAGCCACGCAGTTGTAGGAATCGCCACATAACATTAGACCGGATGTCTTCTTGTGCTAATAGGGCCTGACCTAAACGTTAGAAATGAATTTAAGTCTGCATCTCTAGAAAAGAACATACCGGGGTTTCTTTGGTGGCAAACGACTTGGGACCAAAGTCCGGCTTATCCAAACTCTGCACCGCAAACTTAAAGGAGCCAGGAGGAGCCTGCAACTTCTTGACACTCTCTGGGAACTGGCTAGAGGAAATTTTCCAGGATTGGATAGTCTCCTTGACGGAGGGTATGCCCTTTAGGGTGATCTTTCGAGTTGGCTTCTCTTCAAACCATGGACGGATTTGAATCTCTTTTGTCTGGTAGAAGCGGTGAAGAGAGTTGGCCAACAGGCAAATTGACTGTGTTCGGATTGGAGTGAGGGTGTCGCCCACAAGCTGGCGATAGACATCGGTATCTTCGGCACCCAGCGGGAGGGAAATCCGCACCTCGCCCAATGTCAAATAGTTCGGTACATCTGGACCAAGAACTCCCTTGGATAAGTAGAAGTAAAGCTCTTCTGGGAGCCGTTGGCCGATGAGTTCATGAAGATCAGAAGAAGCAGATTCAGGCTCCATAGGGACAACTCGTCCGTCGATATCCATATAAACGTGGTGCTTCACGCTCATATATGCCCGCTTGTACCGGTCCGGATACTGGCACTCGGCCATGCGGCTATTTTCTTCATACTGAGCGCACAGGGCCAAAGCACTTCGCGCCGCGATATTGAACATTGGCAGGGCATCGCGAACGGTAGCGACCTTGATGGTGGGGCCTTGGTGGTTCTCGAACATAGGACATACACGCAGGAAAGGAGATCCTAGAAGCAGAAGGAATTCGGTGAATTGTTCGTTTGACAAACGTCCCAGCTCCTCCTGGCAGGTTTGCTTTGTGAGCCAGGTGAACTGTGGTGGATCAGTCTCAATGCGCGTAACAAGTTTATCCAGATCGAACAGGAAGGCTTCGGAGGGCCCATACACGGCATCGACGACGGGATTGGGGCCACGGGCGAGGTAGGAGAGCTATTTGCACGTTAGTGTCAGTCCCCCCAACCGATCACCGTCTCGGTAAGGGGATCGCTGCGCCTTTTCGCATAGGAAAACTAACCTGTCCAACCGCGCTATATGGTGCCACGATGAAGGAGATTCCATTTTGACCAAGGATCCGGATCAAGAATTTGAAGAGGGTTTCCGGGGGTGGGGTCCCTAAGCGTTTAGGTTCGTCAGCCAAGATTGGGGGATTTATGACCGTCCATGTCCATGGATTGTAAACTGGATAGTAAACAGGGAAATGCGACGATGGAGACCAGAGCGGTTCAATTGGATATGAAAAAGGGTTCCTACCAGCGTTGCTAAAGGCGTCCACGACCTGGTCGGCTTGTTGCTGGTCATAGAGCTCCCAAGCTTGCTCGGGGCGCACGGTGACTGGCTGGGCCGGGGTACGGTGGTCTCGTTTGCCGAATTCGAGTCCATCAAATACGAAGACGCAGTTGATATTAAGGGTCTTGAAGGCCTGGAGTTCCTTCTCGATGTTGGTCCTCAATGCGAACGGGAAGCCACCTAGTGCGGTAAGAAGGGCCTCGCGGGTCGACTGGTTCATCAGGTGTTGTTGAATGTAGTGTGCGGCATCGATACCGATGACGCTGCCTTTCAGGGCAGAGAGGGGGAGTGACTGGGTGCGGCCCACGGCCCATTCATCGAAGGGACGGACTAGAGAGAAGTCGCGAGTTAGGCGCTTATCAACTCAACAAGGGGGAGACACATCAAGGTTACCAGGCATGGTTGCGAAGCTGAAGGGCAATGAGCACGGCTAATTGCCGGGCTTTGAGGCCCAAAAAGGACAGATTTGCGTTGACGAGGGGTGATTCGGAGGGGGATATTGCGGCGGAGTGAAGATGAGGCGGAGTTGCGAGGGGAAGAGAAAGCGGAGTTCAAAATATTGTTTTCTGCACAACTACCAAATCTCCCACATGTGCATACGACTTCACAATCAAAGACCAACCGCTCGGTGGTTTAGTTTGGTATTTGATGGCCACATCACATGGTAAGACCTGCAATGACGTTTAAATCAAGGCAAAAAAGGCCCCAAAAAGATGTGTCGTATACACAAGACCCCGGCGATCAACATAGAACAAACCCAAAGACCAGTAATTACGGTATATGATACGATCTCAATTCGTACACGGAGAATTAGGAGTCTTTCGGAGATTTCTAGTAGCCACAAGATATATGATCAATGATCAATGATCACTTATCAACCTTGGAGTACATAGTTATAACATTGAATGAATAAACATGACACATGGCCTTGAAATTGCATTTCTTAGGGCACCACAAGTCCCACTTTATTTGTGCTAAGATCAAAAGACCATTCAATGTTAGTACTATGTAGTACCAATACTACCAGTACTATATACATCAATTGATGTGTAATAATCCCCGCTTATTTTAAGATGACCAGACAGCTTGATATTATCTAGCCTAAAAATCCCATGTATCTTCAATTTTGGAGTGATTCATATTAATAAAAAAGCCTCGGGATTCACTACTAGGTACCGGATATCGCCTGTGTCCATAACTGACCCGCTTGTAATCGGCAGATATGGCAGATACGCGATAGGCCCGCCCATTTTTTTCATGTAAACTAGCCGATATCTTTCTAGCGTCAGGTCCCCCCCATCTATATATCGGCTGTTGAGGTCCCACTAACTTCTTTTCCCCCGGATAAATCTTTGCCTCCAATTTGACCCCAAGACTCCAGAATGGCTGACACCGCTGCCCCAATCGAGCTTCCTGTCATTGACATCTCCAACCCGCATGACCCCGCCGTGGGGAAGGCAATGCTTGATGCAGCTGCCAAGTATGGTTTTTTGTATGTGAACAGCAAGGGTACTGACTTTTCCGTGGAGGATGTGGATCGTGGATTTGGTTTGGTATTTCTTTGCCCCCTGCTGCATCCATAAGACCTGCTCATTCTAAGCATGGCTATATAGTCCAAAAAGTTCTTTGCCTCCCCCGCTGCGGAGAAAGAGACATGCCGGATCACCCCGAACGTAAGTGTCCATCTAACTTGACCTTGAGATGGCATGTCCAGGTGTTCGGGTCTTGGCTGTGGTCAATTCCACCATTCTGACCTATCTCTTGTACAGAACCGTGGCTGGTCAGGTATGCATACTGAGACTCTTGATCCGGAGCATCAGCGGGTATGTCACGTTGCCGTTCAATTCCACGATGACTGCTGGCACATTAGCTAACAATCAGACATTGAACCGTTCAGACTGGAGATTTCAAAGAGTAGGGGAATTCCATGTTCTCTAATGAAGCGTGAATGCTGTAGAATCCCATCTAACAAACGGGTGTATAGGGCCATGAACTTTGGAGATTTCAAAGACGGCAAAGCGCAGCAGCCTCTGCCCCCATCACTGGCACCACATGAATCTGAGATCCACGGCTTCGCAGAGCTTTGCAACAAGACCTGCAATCGGATCCTCACCCTCCTCTCGCTAGGTCTGGAGGTAAGACAGACACCTGACCCATCGTACAGCACATGCCTACATTTAAGGCTGTACTAGTTCAAACTCCATAGAAGCACCGACCTAACAGAATACTACGCAGATGCCGGAAGATTTCTTCACAACTCGTCATGACCCCAGTGTCGGCCCAACAGGTAGCATTCTTCGCTACTTGTACTACCCTTCCATCTTCTCGCCAGCAACGGCAAGCTACAAGCATGACAAAGACGTGCGCGCCGGTGCCCACTCTGACTACGGTAGTATCACGCTTCTCTTCCAGCGACCCGGACAGCCCGGCCTGGAGATCTTTACTCTGGAGAAGACTTGGGCGCCTGTTCCTATCATCCCCGGCGATAATGCAGATGCGTACCCATTCCCGCCTATCTTGGTTAATATTGGAGACCTCCTCAGTTACTGGACGGATGGCCTGTTGAAGTCTACCGTGCATCGGGTCGTGTTCCCCTTAGCGGAACAGCGGAGTCCAAACCCGCAGGATCGGTATACGCTGGTTTACTTCTGTCATCCGGTTGATGCGACAGAGTTGGTCCCCGTTCCTAGTGAAATTGTCAAGGACCATCGGGCAAAGGTGGGAAATGTTGGGGTGGTTGGATTCGGAGGTGGCGCCGGTTCTATGGAGCCGGGGAAGAGGCCCTTGACGGCACACGAGCATTTGGAGTCAAGACTGGCAGCCACTTACGGATTCGAAAAGGCCGAGTAAGATTGGCTTCCAAAATCAAATAAATCAATCGAACGATTATTGGTACGAGGGAAAACTTCAGATGCAAATGTGGGGTTTCATTTCATGACGAATAGACAGTAGTACCAATGAATAGACAAACGCCGGTGCCGTTGTGGCAAAGTGCAAAAAGACTGACGGAAGACACAATTCCTCCGCATTAACATAAGTCAAACATCATAGATGGAATATGGGAGAATTGCCTCAAGAGACCTGGAATCGGTCGGAGCGTATCAACATAGCTGCCCATCTAGGGACATAGGAAACTCGTTGGTCGCACACAATTAAGAATAGAAAGGCTTGCAAGAAAAATGGTGTTTCGAGTAGAAACAAACAGAAAATTCCAAAAAGAATAAGAGGTGTTCCGTTATGATAGATGTTAAAAGATGTACATTCATGACAAATGGGGAAATATATGGGAATCAAGGGAATAAAGCGAGGGTCTTCAATCAGGCCCGGCATGTTAATGAATCAGAATGGATGAGCGAGCTGTGCGAGGGAGCGAGAAGTAAAAGCCAGACGAACATGTAACGAGGTATCTTCGGGGGTAGGGAGTCGAATGGAAACGCCGTCGTATTTTGCAAATGCCATGCACGAATGTGGACGTAGACTTTGTAATCGAATATTGGGCGAGGCGTGAAGGGATATGACGCTATGCGAGCCAGTATGCATGAAATAACAATAAATGGGAACTCTTTCAAAGGTCATTGGGGGGTCGTATCAAGGGGTGGTATGGCACCAGTGGCGATGGTATACCCATGCTGCCTTCTGGCAGTCTTTGCTGCAGTACTTTGTGCGCCGGCAACGGCGGCACTTGGCAAACTGTCGCTGAAACTCCTCCCATTTGCCGCACTTGTAGTATGCACACTGACGAATGCCGCCTCGCGACTCGTCCTTGCGGCAGAGGTTTCTCATAACCACGCACGCCCAGTATTGCATATCCTTCGAGTGATGTCGGACAGTGAACTTCTCCACCAGGGGGAAGATGTTGACATCATCAGGAAGCAAGTACTCATCTTCTTCCTCGGGAGCTTCAATGGGGGAAGATGGCTCGGCATTGTCATCCAAAAGATGTAATTCTCGATCAATCTTAAGCTTGGGAACAAGGTGTGAGCGTTGGAAATATGACCGAAGGTTGCAGTATTTTGAGACATAAGCAAGAAGCTGCAGGGACATCAGGACATCTTCATCACGAGGCATGGTGGTAAGGACGCCCTGAGTCGCGGGGGTGTTTCGATCACGGAGGTACAAGGCGTAAGGACTGGGAGCGAGAGTGGGAGAATTAGGGTTGTTCGGGGCCTGGGTTGGAGAAAGACCCAATCCACCGTTGTTTTGTGTATTGGCGGTGTTGTTAATGATGCTGCCATCAACAGCAGAACGATGGGCGATATTGAAGGTTTCGGCTTCCGGGCCCTCCTCAGAAGGATCTGTGACAGTCAAACCACCATGGCTGGTTGAGACATCATCGATCATAGTAGTTGTCGATTGGTCATCAACACTGTCGATGTCCATCCGATTTGGCAAGCCAACGATCGGCTCGGTTACATGCCCCAAAACAGTATCATCACCCATAGTCAAGTCTTCTCCGTTGGCATCGTCCGATTCACCCGAAGCAGACTGTTGCTGCCGAATTGGAGGTCGCACCCGGACGGGAGGAGGCGGTGGAGGAATGTTGCGAGCTTGATGGTGAAGGGGGCCGCTGGGAGTTGTCGGAGAATCTGGTTGTGAGACAATTCCAGTCTGTAGTCCTGGAAGCATACTGGCAAGGCGTTCGGTATCCCGCACGGGTCGCAAACCAAATGTCTCAGTGGTATCCATCGGAGAATCGGCTGTAGCAAGAGGCTGCATGGTACGCAAGCGATGGCTGGCGCGGGTGTAACGGGCATCGTGTGTCCGGTGGTTGTGGACATCCTGTCGGAAGGTGCTGCGTTCTGGTGGTGAGGTCATCGGGGCACGAGGAGGGGAGGTAACATCCATGACATCGGAGTCAGTTGGTTGATTGTCCTGATAGTATGGTTGAGGAATTTCGATGCTAGGAGGGGGGGCTTGGCGGCGAGAGGAGCGAGATTCGGCAGGAGTGTTGGATTCTGGGCCAGATCGGCCAGCGACCTCCCGAACGGAGGAACTGGATTTGCTGGGGATGGCCGATCGGCTGGAGTGCTTGTGAGCATCGGGATCGGCACGCGATCGCACCTTGTCCACCACCTTGATGTAGTTGTCCAGGATGGTGGCGATAACCGGAACCATGTCGGCTTCCACGACCCTGGTCCTCACATTTTCCGATCCTCGAACTCCAATGTTTACTACACACTGAAAAGCTAGGCTCCATTTCCACATCTCCATCAAATCCTTGCTTCTGCCCTCCTTCAGGATGCAGACGAGTCTTTCGATGCCGCCATCGACAGTGAGAATATCCCGAATACGCGCGGAGGAAGTTGTGAGGTAAGCAAGGTGGTTCAACGAGTTGATCAGTGGCAAGGTAGATGTGCAATCAAGGGCACGGCGGTCGTAGAGGGTGGTTGTGATGTTGACCGAGGCCTTGTTCACGTTGGGGATGCTGAAATTGACTTCCCGCATGATGGATGAATTCGATCGGGTTCAGTTGAGGAAAGAAAAACGCGAACTCCCAGGAAGCACTTGGGGTGGGATATATATATTGGATGAAAGTGCGTCCAATATGCAAGAGAAAAGGGTCGAAAGGGTCAAGTGAGTTGGGGACCTTGACGATGTCTGGATGATGGGATTCAAGCCCCCTAAAACCAGGAGACGTCGACTCCGTAGGCGGTGGGATCAAAGATCTCTCGCAAAATGAAATGGATTTAGTCCAGCGACATCGAGATAAACGAAATAGTATTGTAATACTATGAGTGGTGCCCGATGAGGGTTGATTGAGGGGGTGTGAACTTCAAGTTGGTGATGACTCTGCGAGGCCCTCGACTGAGAGCGAGAGGTGGGTAAAGGCGGCGTGGCTGTGACTTCAAAGAACCTGAGTCTATTAAAGAGATGTATATAGGGTAGGTGTGATGGAATGGAGGGAGGATAGATGGGGTATGATGTTGGGTTGATGGGCGAAGGAGAGAGAAAAGCCTTTGAGAGCGAAAGCGGAGAGGCGTCAGGTGCCTCCTAAATATTACGGGACCCGAACATTGGCTTTCCCGCCACCGTGAACCGACTCGCTCTATTTTTAACGGCACTTGCACTGTGGTACATGGTATTCTGGAAGAGAAAAAAAATATATATTCGTCCGACTTTCCTGCATTCTTAGGAAACGACTTTCTTTGAAACCAACTCCAAAAACGCCCGATCTTTTTGCGTTTGCCGCCCTGCAGGATATCCGCTGCTCCCTCGTGGCGACAAGGCGGATACCAAGTTGACTAACCCAGCCCTCCAAGGGTTCTATTTAACGCCTCACCCCTGAAAGTGATGGCGATGACGACGATGCGGAAGTACTGATTGTTTACGCTATTTTGGCTTATGTACATATGAATACGCATATGGATAAGCCCGATTTGTTTCGCTTTGAATCTTCAAGGTTTCCAAGGTCATGCACGGTTGAATAGAATTGCGGCAATTTTGAATGTTGCAATATGCGTGGAGTCGCCATGTTGGATCTTTATAGGTCAAGACTCCCGAAAACACCTGCAACTCAATGCATTTCCACTAATAACCTTGATATCACTACCCTTGAGGTGACCAAACCTTACGGAAATCTTTAGCCTAGATAGTCTTGCCCAGGTTAGTAGTGTTTGGAGAGCTTCAAGTTTGAATCTAACCTTCCAAGGTTGAACAAAGACAATACGAACCCAAAACATAGATATTTTGGGCACACATTCCAAGATTGCGGTCCGGTGCATGCCACTAATATAGGTATAATTGATCCAATGTTGATGATTGATACATAGTAACTAATAGTCAAGAAACTACATATATATTATGTAGGGTGCTGGCTGGGCATCAATTATTAACATTTGAAGTTCGCGCGTGCCCAGGTGGGCATCATACTACAGTCTTTGCTGTAGGTTAATATTTCAATGTAGCCCCTGAAGGCACATCACAATCTCCAGGTGTCTGGAATGGAGAAATAAATGTTCTGGGCATGAAAAATACTGCGTGGCCATGATCAACCAAAGTACCGTGCATTACATATATACTGTGTTCAAATGTTGTTGTTTTTTCATTTCCAGAACAAAACCCACCAATAGGTTCCATAAAAGGAGACCTAGGGCGAAAAAAACCCATGGACACCGTTGGAGATGGGTCCACGATGGATATGGGTCAATTATACATACATCATGCATAATATCCATTAACACCTGAGAATGGAGCCCACATGTACGCATGTGCATCCTTAGGGCCATGACGAACTTATTGACCTCCAGGGCTTGTACTACTATGTATCAAGCCCCTCTACCCAGGTTTTAGGCACATAAATACTAAAATACAATGCCCCTTTACACCTTAAGCTATAATTGCTAACATTGAATACACACATGCATGGTATATTACTAACTACATAACTACTCGTGGGCCTATATATCTGGTTTCATGCAAAATACTCGTGTATGAGGTTCCAACATTGTTGTAAAAATAGCTATAACCAAAGGTGCAAATGTACTACTAATACTAGCATAGATACATTTAAACATTCAATGTTAACATCAGTCTGGTAGTTCGGTGTTGTTAATTTTTAACCTTGGAATGCTTGAGAGATTCAAATGTTCATATTAGAATCTTACTTGTTTCAAAATACAGATAAGACGGGCGCTGAAGAGTTTTTAGGGGCCCCTAGGTCGTATAACTGCATAGTCATGATTGACTCAGCCGCAATGATTCATGGTTCATTAGGTCGGTCAACAGCCTCATGTCTGACATTACGAGTATGTATGTACTAGATTTACGATGCATGGCAGAACGCAGCCGAAAAAACGTGACAAGTGACGAACTGATGGTAAAGTACGGGGTACAATTAAGAGCATATACCTGGGTATAATACCAAATAAAGATCACTTGCATCCGGGCCTTGGGTGTAGATCTTCCGGTGGGGGTTAGTGGAGAGAGAGCATTGGCAATAATTCTAGTGGACCGTTGTTGAAAAAAAAAACGAGTTGAACAATGGGAAATCAGTTGTATGTAAACGGTATACGGAGTACTCCGTACAGCAATACCAGATCGGCCCCCCTCTTCAGGCCACCTGAAATAGCCCTGCTGACATGCAGAGAGGTAAAAAAAAAAAAAAAAAAAAAAAAGAAAAAAAAGACTGTCGAAAATACCCTGTTAGTAAAATGCTAAGCAGAAGTACGCAATACGTATCAGCCTCAGGGCAGTGAAGTGAATCCAGGTTGTTGCAAATAAGGATCATCTATCCGTACGGAGTACGGAGTAGACTCATATCAAGTTGGGCGGGTTCTCGCCGGGACAGAAAAAAAAAAGGGGCCCAGAGACCGTCTCACACCGTATAGTGGGGAAGCTCATCTTCCTGATGCACCGATGAGCCGAGTGAGGCCAGAAGACATAAATTCCTGGAAATTGAAGTTGATTTGGCAGGATGGGAACGATTTGGCCCCCCATTCTTTATTGTAGCTTTCTTTTTCTTTTTCTTTCTTGGCAAGTCTTTTTTCTGGATTTTTTTTGAGTAAGTTCAATTCCATCGTAAGGGAGAAAAACATATGCAGGTTAGTCAGCCTCAGTGGAGTCCCCAATTAAACCAAAAAAGGCAAAGCGAATGAGCTTGGGCCTGTTGGTGGCTGCGTGGTACAGAGCCGAAGAAGTTGCGGTATTGTAAACAATTAGAAATCATGATTTCTTCAGATACTATAACATCAGGAGGTGCGGAAGTGTCTCCCCCATTTGTGCCGGGCGTCTAAACTGGTGGGTTTAATGGATTCAAATAAGCCCCAAAACTGGCCCCAAAAAGGTACTTCTTTTTGCCAACACGGAAATGATCAACGTGGAAACCATGAACGCCCAGCTTACACTACACCAATCAGAGGTAATGGGATAAAAGACCAAGAAATGGGAGTAAATAGCCGCGGTTCTCTGACGTGGAGAAAAAAAAAAGTATGAGGCTGCATTTGCGTATCAAATTTTATGTATAAAACCTTTCCTATTTTCAATGTTACTGGGAATACACAGGTGGACTAAGTTTTCTATACATAACCTGCATATAAAACAAGACCCATCGTTCCCAAATTTACTCCGCGACTTGACGTATTGTAACTCTGGTTACATTCGGTATTGCTGGAAAGGGTTTTGAGAACCTGATCACTTATAAATCAAACATTGGGGCCAGGTGCACTAGGCTGATTCTCAGCGCCACTGGACGCATTGGAATCCTCCGTTGACATAGTTGACTTTCTCGGGAGGTCTCTTGTCAGCGGGTACTTGCCAGGTTCATCCTTCCAAGAGAAAAAAAAGGGGGAGAAAGAACAACACTCATCTGCTTAGTCTCATGTATCAAGAACTGGTCCATTGTCTGTACATGCAGGAAAGGTCAATTCTAGAAGGACAGGAATCAAGATCACTGGCTCAGGTACCCGGGGAGGATTATCCCCCCTGTTGCTATTGCGTTTGTATTGTCAGTGTATTACCGCCCGGGGAAATAGCGCATCAATACGTAACATACACAGATAAAACCCTCATTAAACCGTCTTTTGGACGATTCACAAGGTTGGTTAAGGCAAGAGAGCTTTGGCATTTGGTTAATGAAGATAATTATATACATCTGTAACTCCTTGAGCAGTTTGAAGCTCAATTGAGAAAATCCCATCTCCATTAGTTGTAAATCATGGACTTGCAAAGTTGCAATGCGATGTCATCCAAGTTACCACTAGCACCCGGTAATACACTCTCGCCCCCTGTTCAGAACCTTCGATTCCTCTCCTTCTCCCTCTCCTCTTCTCTCGAGCCCGCGCTTCTCTTGAAATCCCCTTGCGACCATTTTTATTTCACAGCTGTATTATGTTCACAGCTTGAGGCCTAAACTCGGTCGCTTCCGCTTTCGCTCCACTTTCAGTTCTTCCTTTTTCCATTCCCCCCTCGGATTCCCCTCAAACCTCCCACTCCTTAATACCTCTACCCCCCCCCCCCTGGACATTGATTCCTTAGCTCCCCCTCCTTCCAACAATACGACCTTAGGGGTCCATTTCCGGAAAAATGGCAGCCGATATGACGGGCGAACAGATGCAGGCGAAAATCACAGCGGCCCGACGCGAGGCAGAGGGGCTGAAGGACAAGATCAAGCGCCGGAAGGATGAGCTGGCCGACACCTCCCGTACGACTTCCTGAACTCCCGCATCTTCAAACTCACCATCTCCCCCCGGAATAGAACTCCGAATATTCTCCCGCTGAACAAGAAAGGAGATGACGTGGTGGTGGAATATGGATGGACCAACGCTAACCCTTTTTTAGTTCGTCAGGTCGCACAGCGAGAGACCGACGCCCTTCCTCGAATTGGTATGAAGCCTCGCCGCACACTCAAGGGCCATTTGGCCAAGATCTACGCCATGCACTGGTCGACCGATCGTCGCCATCTTGTTTCAGCTTCGCAGGACGGAAAGCTCATCATCTGGGATGCCTACACCACCAACAAAGTTCACGCCATTCCCCTCCGTTCATCGTGGGTTATGACCTGTGCCTACGCGCCTAGCGGAAACTACGTTGCCTGTGGTGGTTTGGATAACATTTGTTCCATTTACAACCTGTCGTCGCGCGAAGGCCCCACTCGCGTTGCGCGCGAACTGTCCGGGCACTCCGGTTACCTTTCTTGCTGTCGATTCATCAATGATCGCCGCATCATCACCTCTTCCGGCGATATGACCTGTATGCTGTGGGATATTGAGTCTGGATCCAAGGTCACCGAGTTTGCCGACCACCTCGGTGATGTGATGTCGATCAGCATCAACCCGACCAACCAGAACATCTTTGTCTCCGGTGCTTGTGATGCGTTCGCTAAGCTTTGGGATATTCGCACTGGTAAGGCTGTGCAGACATTTGCTGGTCACGAATCCGATATCAATGCCATCCAATTCTTCCCTGATGGCAATGCCTTCGGTACCGGCTCCGACGACACTTCCTGCCGTCTCTTTGATATTCGCGCCGATCGTGAATTGAACATCTACCAGGTACGTTTCTTCTGCAGCAGAGAATTGATAATCGAGAAACTTGAAACTAATTCTATTACTTTTTTCTTATTACAGAGCGACCAAGTCCTGTGCGGTATTACCTCCGTAGCCTTCTCCGTGTCTGGCCGATTACTGTTTGCTGGTTACGACGATTTCGAGTGCAAGGTACGTTACTGTTGGAAGTTGGGATAAATTATCCTCTTGGACCTCTACTAACAGTGTGAAACTAGGTGTGGGATGTCCTTCGCGGTGACAAGGTTGGCTCCTTGAGCGGCCACGAGAACCGTGTGAGCTGCTTGGGAGTCAGCAACGACGGCATCAGTCTGTGCACTGGATCTTGGGATTCTCTTCTCAAGGTCTGGGCCTGGTAATTTTTCTCCCCCCAAAAAGAAAAACAAAAACAAACGCAAGATACCCCCGTGTCGATCATTTGCAATGCTTTTATTCGAAATATTTCTTTGGTTCGATGGGTCGGATCTCCGCCATTGTACGATAATAATCAATTACCGAGGAAGTTTCTAGCTTCCTCCGATAATACGGCGCAGATTTATCCGTCACATGCGATACGGAAAGCGTTGGATGGTGGAGGTGAACGCGGCGCCGGGGAAGAAACGAAAGCGACGACACAATGTTAGGATATGACGAGAGAAAGCACTGCCCGTTTGATTGTGTTGGTCGCTGCCTTTTGCCTCGATACAGTCTGGGACCAGAGACATTGGTGCTCCCAAGGCTATTTTGTCGGCTCTGTTGTTTTCTCCGTTTCTCTCCTGCAGGATGATGCCCCTACTCTCTTCTTTTTTTTTTCAAGTCAACTTCTTTTGCCAACTCTTTCCCACTTACTGCTTTTCTTCTCCCACACCTTTTTTCTATCCTCTTTCTTCTTCTCTATTACCCCTCTTCGTTCTGCCTTTTCTTGCATCGGTCTCGGTATGTATTTTCTCGGAAAGGAAAGGACCGGTTTGTTGGATCTGGCCATGATCTCTCTGTTCTTTTTTTTGCTTTTTTTCTATCTTATTTCCCCACTGATTCTTTAACCCCTTCTGGATCTATCTCCCTCTGCGTTACCGCGTCATATCTTTTTTTTTCTTTTTTCCTATTTCCGTGTCTCATCAAAGAGTGTGTACTTATTGTGTGTCCTTGTGACGTCGAAATTCCTCAGGGATCCAGACCGGATCTTCTTTGATCCTGGTTTTGAGCAGCTCCAATCTTCATTTGTGCTTATCACTCTTTTTCTATCTTTTCTCTTGTGGGGGGACCTGCAGGCTGTGGTCGGTTTGACTTGCCCCCTTGAATCCTCTTTTGGTTGGTTTGGGCGTCTGTGAGCGTGACGTGAGCGTCATAGGGCATTCATACAAGGTGTCTTTCAACATTTGGCTTGCTATGGCAGAGAGAGAGAGAAAGATGTAGAGAAAGCCCGTAGAGCTGTAGAGATGTAGAGCCGTAGAGCTTGAGTAACCGAGACTGTAACCTGATTCTTGAGAGTGCATGGGTTGACCCTCACGGGAGTCGGCATGATATGCAGATATCCTTGTTGCTTGAGTCAGTGTCCTAGTCAGCATGTTATGCTCAAATCTAAAAATTGTAGCTGAGCACATGGCATGGGATAATCATCTTTGACATGGGTTAAAATTCCAATTTAATCCCTGGCATGAACTCTGGGGAAAATTAGCCAGGGGAGCATTAACCACCAACAATTTAGCAGCCTCTCAGCCCAACGGAAGCGACTTGTCATCTGGGGGCCAAATATCTCGGTAAAGACCGAGAACCATAACCCAAAACCATGGCCTCGTTGACAAGGTTATTCTGGTGGCTTGCCTATCAATCCATTGAGAACATCCGCCTCCAGAATCCTGAAACCGAACCGGTCGTGATTGGACTCGAGCCAACTAGACTGGCCCCCAATCTTAGAGGAATGAAAGAAGCAGCAAAAGAAAGTATACAAAGACAAGGCAAAAGGCAAAAAGCAAAAGGAAAAAGGCAAAAGGGAAAAAAGACCGTGCATACGAAGGTACGCAGAGTGAAGGCAAGTTTGACATTTCTATTTCTATTTCTGAATGCTGATGTACCTCGTTGCCGCGGCACGGCTTCACGGCTTCATGGCTCCATTGTCTTCCGGTTCTCCATTCGCATCTCCATGTCCCCACAAGACTGTTCGCCTGTTCTGGCAGGGGATCCACCATCCGATCTTTCCTTGCGACTCGGCTGATTCCCGTTGGGGGCCTGGAACTCTTAACGAAGGTGGATCGAGGGGAGATCTGCGTCATCTTTTTCTTTTCTTGAGTTTCGGGTCCGAGATGTGATGGGTTTCAAGGATGTGGAGATGTGCACACGACAGGTTGAAAAATGGAGAAAAGAGGAGAAAGAGGAAAAAGCTGACAAGGACATTTGAAACGGGGAAAATGTGCGCATGGCTGAATTGTCCCACGTGGATGAGAGGAATAAAGAATACAGAATAGTAGAGAATACTATGTAGTTACATAGAGAATAAAGAATAAAGAATAGAAACAAGTCTACCTTAAAAAAAAGTACCCTTGTGGGCTCCACTGATCTGAAACACATCGAAGGCAAAACGAGAGAAAAAAAAGGGGGCTTTTTCTTAGTCTTTTTCTTACCCGTTTCTCCTTATCCTAAGCCCGTTTCATGACGATCTCTTTCCCAGCTCAGCCCCTCCTCCGTCTACCTTAAGCTTCTTACTCTCTTTTTTCCCCCTTTGAAACGTGCTCTCAGCCAATCTCTATCCCCTATTACCCAAATCCTCTTAAATTCTCACTTCCCCCGGACCCCAACTTCCATCATGTCGGCCCAAGAGGAATTCAACCAGTTAATGAATAACAATCGCGACAAATTCACATCCCACCCCGAAGATCGCAACGACTTCCATTTCTCCGACCAAGACCAAGACCACGATCACGATCACGACCATCCTGACTCCGAAGACTCCCCTCCCCGCCGCCTCCGCCAACGTCACACCGTCGACTCCTCCGACGAGGACGAAGATCTCGACGACATGGTCTCCTCCACTACCAACTACCACATCCCCAAGAATACCTTCGAGGCCAACACCGGTCCTAAGGGTGTCATTGCCGACGCCCAGGCCTTTGAGCGCGCGCGCAAGAAGTCCTTCCGTCGCACTTTGCTCAATGCCGCCGGCTTCGATCAGGATGGACACGCCTTTGCGAAGCCCGAGCCTCAGCCTCCTGTCACCGATGGCTCGTCGGGCAGCGATGACGACGAAGAGCGCTTTATGCGGAAATGGCGGACTTCGCGCATGCAGGCTTTGCAGAACCGCGCTGCCCGTCGCCCCTCTCCTCGTGGTCGCCACTATGGCCAGGTTGAGAACGTCGACGCCGCTGGTTACCTCGATGCCATTGAGAAGGTGACCGCGGGTACTGTTGTTGTGGTTTGCATCTATGATCCCCAGGTATGTCCTTGCTTGCTTCTTATTCTATTTCTTTCCTTTTTTTTTTTTTTTAATTACGTCAAATCTAACCACTCCACCAATTCCAGTCTGACGAGAGCGCTATTGTCGAAGAATGCCTCAACACCATCGCCCGCAGACAATCTACTACTCGATTTATCAAGCTCCACCATGAAATCGCTGAGATGGAACATATCCAGGCTCCCGCTCTGCTGGCTTACCGTGCTGGCGATGTCTTTGCTACCATGACAGATATTATCCGTAATATTCCCCGCGGCCGGCCTTGCAGTGCGGACAGTCTTGAAGATCTGCTGAAGCTGTACGTCCATCCCTCCAAAGTTATCCTTGACGTATAGTGATAGACATACTAATCAAATCATAGTAACCGCGTCTTCTAATCTCGCGCATGCCATCTTCCGTGATCTATTCATCACTTCAGGTGTTCTTTCCTGGCTTCCATTTCCCCCCTCAATCTTCTCATCTATCTTTCATTTCCCATCATTTTCTTTTTCTTTTTCTTACAGTGTCTTATCAAGCATATATCCCCCGGTCTTATTTCTATGTTTACCAAAAAGGCAAAGGCGGCGATTTCTACGGCGTTTGAGCGTATAGACTGCATGCAAGTCTTGTCGGGTTTCTCTGTCTCTTTTTATCTCCTTTTCATCTCCTTTTATTTCATGTTATCTATTATGTTGTTTCTTTGCTCTCGGGTGGTGCATATTGGCCGTTGTCTACTGCTCCCTTGAGCTGTGGTTTCAGCTGGTCTGACCGGTCTGGTTTGTTAATCGGTTGCTGGCTTTTGTTAAGATATCCCATATGCTTTCTAGCTTTACGTAACATGATCAGTCAGTCATTATTTCTACCTTGCTTTTCTCTTGCCAACCTTGCAAAGTCCAAACGAACTTCAAACATTTATAGTGACACGGGTCAACGTGGACTGTAAGAATAAGCTTATCGCATTGCATGGCCGATACGCAACAAGTACATAGACCCCTGCTGCAGAGCTACGTACATCCATTTATGTAAATGCCGATTTCACTCCCGAAATCTGATCTGACCTGATTCCTACTCACCTGGTACAACATATGTATCCCCAAATCATGTCCACTAACGTAAGCTTATACAAGCCTTGCACGGATTAAAATAAATGGGTAATTATGGATGAAAACCGGAAAACATGAGAAAAAGACAAATTATGTATATGTATATTACTATGTCAACTGACGTGAGCTTTCATTAGTGACGTTGACCATGCTTTTCCTAAGGTGGCTTAGATTAATAGTACTTGGATAGGGTATGGTCACCTCTCGGTGAAGATAAAAGGTTCAATGCTGCGGCTGAGATGGCAAAGTGAGGTACAACAAACATTGAATTTGATTCTCAAGTGCTTTGCCCCTTCCAGATGTGCAGATGTCGGTGGCTTTGAATGTTGTTGAGTGATTGGAATGGTACGGAATCCTTATAAACATCTCTTCCTTGTGCACTAGTAGTAGTAGAATTATGAAAAACATACTCAAGTGCTACTTATCGAATATACATATGTAGCTTACCCGTCCCTGGCACTTGAGAGAATCGTAGGTGATACCTTTGAGAGCTGAAGCTGAATGCACTGGATATCAACATCAATTAATGGTGATGAACATGAATTGATGATGCAGTACCATATTCTGAGCGAATGAAGACCTTAGTATATACTGTTCTAGCGATTGAACTCGACTTCTAGATTCAGTTGATTCGGCATTTGAATAGATATAGGTAATAATAGCATACATGTAAAAAATATTCCCTGCTAGGTGATTGAACTCTTGGGTATTTATGGTGGATACTGAAACCGGAACCATGCCATGCCGAAGAAACCAACACCCAAACGTACGCCGAATCAGAGAATGAGTATCAGAGCCACGCCCTGGCCTCCCACCACTCCCTTTTCATGACCAGAAAGTGACTCCATCTGTCCACCGGGGCCGGGGAGAAAAAGAAAACCAAAGGCTTATTTCCAGACGGTATCACAATCTACGGTCAAGGATAGGGTGGTTGAGAAGCCAGGGCGCGGAAGAAAAGCAAAATCAGGGTTGATATGAGCATCCGCTAACTCCCCGTCAAAAAGGCACATCAGATAAGGAAAATATTGAAAATGAAAAATAGGGCGTTGCAAGTGAGGAGACCGAATCAAGGGCTTGCCATGACAGCCTTACATGGCTCCACGATCAGTGGTGAAGTCCCACAGCATCTTGATCAAGGTATCTGGAAGCGTGTAAAGGTCCACGTGGAACTCGCCCACTGATGCAAATGTTAGTACATCTCTCTCTCTCTCTCTCTCTCTCTCTCTCTCTCTAAGCTCAAAGTCAAGGTAGGTTTGGGAATTTGAAGAAAGTAACATACTATCGACATCGTTCTTTGTGTACGAGTCCGCTGACTTGTTGTCGTGCACCATTTGCACAACTTGCAATAGGTCGTCTTCGTTCAGCTTCTGAAGTCCATCTGCGAGCTTATCCATATCGACCTGGGGTGGGGTTAATTTAAGGGCCTCGGAGCTTGGTGAGGTGGTGGTTCAAAGTCTTACGTTCTTCTCGGTGCGCTTCTTCTTCTTAGCACTCTCCTCACCAGCTGCGCCACGCTTCTTCGCTCCATTCTCATCACCAGGAACAGGACCCGATTCACGGAGGGCAGCTAGGAAAGCAGGTTTCGGGTTCTTGAAAGTCTAAAATACCACGAGAGGGCCAAGTCAGGAACAGTGCTTAGCGCAAAGCACATGGAGGAAAACGACTCACAATGGTGTGCTTGGACTCATATCGCTCTTGCAGGAAGTTGAGGTCATGGTTGACAAAGTGCGACTTGTCGGCTGTGAGTTCAATCTGCATATCAAACTCACCCCATCCCTCTTCTGAGATACGGAAAGGCGGGTTCTTGAAAGCTATTTACCAAATACGTTGTTAGCCACAGATGTCTTGAAGCAGGCGTAGGAATTACGCCCGTGAACCGAGTATCACGCATGACTCCCAATCCAGCAGAGAACCAAAATTAAGACCTACTTTGAATGGCGCGGTTGCCGAAACTTGGGTGAAGGTGGTATGTGACTTTGTCAAAGAGGTTGGCAGGGATCTGCTCTCCCTTTTCATTGACCACATAAACCTCGATCGACCAGGATCGCTGCGGGAAACCCTCTACCTCCGAGGGCTTGTCACTGTGACAGAGAAAAGATTCCAATTAGCGCACGTCCTTTTTTTAAAGGAAATTATACATGCAAGCAAATATAATAGGAAGGAGTTGGGGTCCAAGGCCATTAAAGCGCGTGAAGCAAGTCTCGCTTGCTCGCAGCCAGCAGTCCTGTCGACGAATATGCGCCCTCGACCACCAACAATAAAGAACGGCAATGAGTCATCCCCTGCTTATATTTCAAGCTTTGAGATCATGTAGTGGGGGCTCAATCGCTGTCTTGAGGCGTGAAAGGGCAGTTAAGGAAGGTAGGCAGGATTCCGAGGACGTACATGATGTGCTGTTCCGTGACAAGACGGACGACGCGCTTGACCTAGAGCAAAAATTGACAATTAGCATACGGGTTTGAGCCAATTTGAGCCACTCCCAGCTTAAAGAAGAATGCTTGGGCATCTGCCATGAGCAGGGGAGCTGTTATGAAGCGGGAAGGACCGCGGTGGATCGGAGTCCAGATAGACGTCGAGGTGCAGCGCAGACCAAGATATAATGACTTACCTCGGGCATGATGGAGAAAGCGTGCGACGGAGTAGATTTGCGAAGGAATATGAAATATTCAGGCACGGTTAAAGAGGCGAATATAGGTGGAAAACGTGCGGAGGGTTGAAGAAGGAAGGAAATCGGGTTGCGCGGCGGGTGAAACTAAAAGACGCGCGCAGGGCGGCTGGAACTTTTGATTTATGGCAATAGAGGGGAAAGCGCAGACCGGACAGATATCAAGGTTGCGGAGAAGCGAGATCGTGGGATTTTGTCGTTCGATAGATCCCAGGCTTAGATTCGGTATATGCAGAGGAAAAGATGCGGGTGGGGAGGAGGTTACGAGACTGAAGAGGGAGAGACTCAACACCGCCTGCATGTATTATTCCCCGCGACAATCGCAGACCATCAATTCAGCGACGTAGCTCTTGACAGACTAACCTTGAATTATGGCCAAATTTCCTCAAACTTACATCGTAATTGTCAATTACTGTTTGAACTTCCGGGTCGTAACCAAAATAGCATGAGCAGGATTCTCATGCTCTCAGGAAGGTACATAGGTTCTCAGATATGTTCTCAAGTAGGTTCCTAGGTAGGCAGGTAGGTAGTAGTAGGTCATGTTCTTCGTAATGGCTACTGTTGGCCCAGTGCGTATTAGAAGCTAGTATGTACTAGTATGTCAGATTATCACAGACTAGATGAATGATCCCAACTGGTGGATAAATTTCTTTACAAGTACAAGCGCAAAACATGAGCTATTTATTCATGGATATCTCAAGGGATGTGATGTGCAGGGTGTATATTTGATGGGAAGGGGGTCTATCTACTGTCGACTGTGGGACCAAAGACATCACGGAACTGCCATCTTTTCATAAACCGCATTGCGATGTCTGTGCGGACAGCATCTTCATCACTGCCGTCTCGCGTGTACAGTCGTGGGGAAAGGGAATTTGGGGAATTGAAAAGGGAAATAGGGGGTGGGGAATGTGAAATTTGAATAATGAAAAGTCATAGGTATGTAAATGGGATTGAAAGTTGGGTGTTTGGGGGATGGGAAGTAGCCAAAAAAAAGTCGTGGTCCACGAAGCAAGAAGCTGTCGACGGCGAGCAGGTATCACGATTGTGAGTTCCCACGCTCACTCATTGTTTTAAGAAGAACAAAACAATGCCCATTACTTTATTCCTCGGCGGCCTTGAAGATCTTCTCGTTCTCCTGCTGGGCCTTCTCGAAAGCCTCCTTGAAGAGGTTGGCGTCTAAAAAAAAGAGTTAGTCATCGGATATATGTATATAATTCACCGAGGCTTCACTTACTCTCACTGTTGGCAAAGCGGATGGCCAGGGTCTGAGCCTCGGGCTCGCCCTCGCTGACATCGGCGGCGGCGTTCCACACCCAACTGCGGTCAGAGCCGACGTTGGGGCTCAGGGTCATGTCAGGGACGACTATATAACACGTTAGAATTTCACCCAAAATCCAATATTTCCACGAGATTCAACTCACTGTAGTGGTTGGCGCAGACCTTGAGGGTCTTGTCACGGCGCATGACCAGGCGGGTCTTCTGGTTCTCCTTGTGCTTCAGCAGACGGACGTCACCGGTACCACGCTCCTTCCACTCCTTGCTCTCGCGGTCGAACTTGAACAGCTTGGCGCGCATCTTGAAGGACTGCTCCTCGAGCTCCTCGTTGGTCTTGGTCTCCACCTTCTCGGTCAAGCGGATCACGGGCTCGAAGTGGACATCGGGAGACTCAGGGGCCTCATCATCGTTCTATGAGAATATGTGGTTAGTCAAAAGAAATCATCAAGAAATCACCGTGGGGGACCAATCCGTATATGATGACAGTTTGGCAGCCACCACACACAAAACGCGGGGCCGGACCACGACCCCGCGCCCCGGTGTTTGTTTTTTTGTGACTCTTGGGCCACAAAGTCACCATCTTCATGATCCCCGCAAAGCTCGCCACTACCAGCCGGGGGAAATTTCACTCACGGTCTCGGCTTGCTGGGCCTTGGAAGAGCCAGAGGGCTCATCCGCACCCTCCTCGGTCTCCTCCTTCTTCTCCTTCTTGGGGCCGCCACCGAACATGGAGAAAACGCTATCGGAAGTCTTAGTGGCAGCGTCCTGGACAGTCTCAGCGGCGTCCTTTGCGGCGTCGACAGCAGTCTCGGTCACAGTCTTCTCGCCCTCACCGGTGGCGGTGGTCTCGGGCTTCTGCTCCTCGAAGGTGGGGTCGGGCTTGGTCTCCGCGACGTCAGACATGGTGAATAGAGGGTTGGGTGGTTTTCAAGAGGGATTCTTGGAAGGATAGAAGGTTAAACGGGCGATAAAACACCGGAATAACGTGGTTTTCGGAAGATTAATTGGGTTTGTTGATCAAGGAGATGACAATGAGGGGGGAAAAATTAATGTTTGGTTTGGGTGTGCAAGTGATGGCAGAATACACACCGCCTTCAGGCCCTATCCGGGACAACCAATTGCTACTACTAGTAAGTCTAAGTACTAAGAACGCGAGAGGGTTTGCAGGATCATCTATCTAGTGAATTCTAGAAAAACCTTGCCCGATTTTAAGAGAGATAGAGAGAGATATTTGGAGTACCATGGGTTCTCTGGCGAGGACCAAGTCAAAACAGAGAGAAAGATGTAAAGAAACACATACTAAAGCAATTGCATTGCGCCGATTTGCATGACTATTTCAAAATCCATTCAATCCCCTCCCCCACTTCCAATCGCCGAAAACAAAACACCCAGAATTAGCCAAATAATAAACAAGCAAGAGAATGTGCGATGGAGCATATGGTGAAAAGCAGATTGAGATCAGCGTTTATCACGATTATTCTTAGTGTTAGCAGAGTCTTTCCCCTCACGTCCCATAAAGAGGCGCGCGCGAGTCTGTGCCCGATTTAACGTGTCAGATTTCGCCCTGAGCACTCGATCCATCATGGAACGAAGGTCCATTTGAGGCGCTGAATTCCCCAGACGACTCCAGATGTCACTAAAAGCTCCCTTGGCACTCTGGTTGACATGGACAGAGCGATTGTGTAAAACTGAAGACGCACTTCGGAAATGCTGCACAGCGTTGCGGGTGATAACTTCGGAGAGCTCCTTTGATTTGGATAGGATGCTGCTTTGAGTTTTGAGGCTGCCATGGCGGAGACGCTCAGCGTCGTGACGTAGGAAATGTGATCTCTTGACCACGTCTCCCATGATCACTTGTAGATCCGTTGACAATCGGCCATACACTTCAGACAATCCGGTTTGGGCGACCTGCAGGTCTTTGGAGAATTGTGAAGAGACTGCACGAGCTGCTCTTCTCCAATTCGCAATCTTCAGCCATGGTGTACCAAAGTCAACGGTAATGGTTTGATTGATTCGTGGCTTCGATTTGGTGACAATAGTCACATTGACCAAACCGTACGCATCTTCTCGATCCAGACGAAGCGTGTAGACATCAAATAATGCGGCTAACTCAAAGCCTAAATTTTTACCAGAACGGCAAACACGAACATCGAACCGTGGTTGCTTTTTGTGGGATGCGATGTTACGGGGAGGTTTGATGGCCACATGACAGTCTCCAATCACTTGGATTTCAAACTCATCATCCCGTTCAGAGAAGCCTAAGCTTGAAACGACATTGGTCGATTCTTGCCCTATAATGGAGCAATCGGGAGATGTGGTATCTAGAGACGCGGGACCACCAGACCATAATGAAAGGGAGGTGTGCCTAATATGCTCCATGGCCAGAGGCGTAGATGAGTCGATTGATGTCAGTGCCGAGCCATGCCCACTGACAAGTGCTGAGCCAGCAAACCATTGTGCAATGAAAAATATAATGGGCTTCACCGCCGCGTATCCAAGGGAGATCGCTATGGCTGAAACGAGCGCCAATGTACCTAGACGCAGCATCGCACCTAGTGGAGTAGCTCGAGCAGTATCCAAGGATGTCATCCAGTTGCGAGGGTATTTCTCATGGTCGGCAAAAGAGTACGGCTCGGTCGGTCTTTGTGTATTAGCAGAGACCTTCAGTGTCTTCTTAGGGTAAAAGTCCATGAGAGAAGCTAGATTCCTATTGAGCTGGCCAGGAGTAATACTCTCAAAGGTCTTCAAATCAATTGGGTAGCGCCTCAACACCACTGTTTCTCCAGTGTGCGCATGTCGAGACTCCAGACAGACGTGGAGACTACTTTGGTTCAGCGGGATGACATCGCCAGTCTTTTCCCACAGTGGTTCATCTGATATGACCATAGCGGGAACCCCGTGTCGCTCCAAGAAAGTGTGGGCTGCGTGCCTGGTTTGTATCGCGGCATCATCATCACGACTGGAGATGAACAAAATAGCCACATCAGGTAAAGTCCACTCTGATGACGAAGAAACATGATAGTCATCACCACTCCACCAAGAGTGGCATGCAGGCCGGTTCTTGAACTCAAGATATACCGTTTGCGATCCCTCTGAGTCATAAGATTTTGTGGCTGCCACACATTCGTCGACCACAAGTTGGACGTGAATGGGAAGAAGCTCTGCAAAGTTTGGCACGGCTCCAGCTCCAAAGGAAGTTGGTACCACGTGGTACCTTGAAGATTCAGCTGAGCTAGTTTGCGAGCCTGCGGGCGAGCTCGAGACTAGGACATCACCAATCTTATCCAGGATGATATTGCGACAGTCCGGCTGTCCGACATATAAGACACGGAAAGGTTTGTCCAAGTCTAAACTTTGCTTTGTCATGGTTTGCTGGACGGTGGCCATGAGAAAGGAATGGGGTGAGTAATAAGGAATATGACGACGCTTGATCTCGGACGCAGCCGGTTCCTCAAAGATACGAATGGTATGCTTGAGTTCCACTCGTTCCATCTCTGGCCATTTGTCCGGCTCTACAAACTCGATCGAGTCGATGGACTGTCGATGAATGGGTATGGTAGTCAGATTGCTATCGTCGATCGCGGCATCTGGGTTGAAAAGCCCCGGAAAGCGCTGCTCTGGTCGGGGGCTATGGATTTCTTCGTCTTCGTTGTCCGGCAAATCTTCCTCATCCGGATCCTCTGCATCACTGCTGCTGCTGTATTGTTCATCCAGACTAGTCACATCATCCGAACTGGTTTGACCGATCAACGACCCCACATCAGTCTGTTCCGAATGACTGCCATCCTCCGAATGTAGATCCGAGACGCTGAGGGTTGCCCAGCTATCACTCAGGGATTTAGGTGGGGGTTCTAGAAGTCGGTCTGACGTCATGTTGTTGGTCGGTCGTGAACGAGATAGCCACTCTTGAACGGAGGCAGTCAGCGGCGGGAGGGTCGGGTACTGGAGATGAGAAGCGTTGGGAGTCGAGGGACGCCTGGGCCACTCTGGAGGGTTAGACATGATTTGAGGAGGTTCATAGAGGTAAGTTGAGATCTCTGCCAAATTAAAAATCAAATGAGCAGGTTAAGAAAAAGGGAAAAGGGAGACATACAAGAGTAATGGAGACAAGGAGGCATGTGCCCCAGTGGGTCCGCGGGGAGTAGCCCGTCAGCTGGTCTACCAGGGCAAGGGCGGGAAGCAATAATCCCGGAAATCAAAGAACGATCTCAGAGGCTGTGGAAAATGAGCTTAAGGGTAAAGAATTTGAAGGGTTCCAAGGATAGAGAGATGGAAGAGAAGTAAGTACTAGTAGAAAGAGAGGGGAAAACGAAGCTCTTTGAGTGTTGGATAAGCATGACCTTGTCACCTTGGCGGGGTTCTGAAAGTTACTTAGGCAGTGACGCAAACTTTGGGCAAAATTCCACACACTTCTTTTACACTAGTATTTACTAGTACTTTGATGCCTGGCTATATGCTCTTCCTTTATTACCTTTCAATAACCTTACCATACCATAGCTCTCTATGGAGACTCTCTCCCTGATCTCTCTGATCTAAATGGAAATGGAAATGGAACTCACATCACATCCACATTGATAACGGGAAACTCCACTTGCCCCACAGGATCTCCCTCTAATCAGATTCCAGACTACGCCATGATAAGAATTTATCAAGGTCAATCCTGTCAAATATTTTCCTACAATCACAAGAAAAATATGATTATGGGTTAAGTGATCCAGTACGAAGGAAGTTCTTTGATGTCTTCAAATGTTCCCCTGTCTTCCTGGTTTTGAGATGTAGCCAGTCAAAGAAGTATGCCGATAAAGGCCTCGGTGACAATCTGCTATCAGATAAGCCGCAAGTCGTCAACTGGTAACACATACATCTATATGATAAATATCATGACTTCCAACACTCCATGACAAATGGATGTTGAAGTCTCTCGCTCAAGAGGCAAGCTTAACAACCAGCAAATCAGTTTCTAGCTCACGTCCACCCTCCTTTATCAAGTGCCCATCAACCATTTTCCATTCCCCAGATCCCCAGAGGACTTGTGTAATTGAGTCAATCTCGCCTGGTAGCTCTACAATGACATCCGACGACCACGACGGAGTCTGCAATGACAAAATACTGACCAACATATGATCCCCAAGCCGCCATCCCGCAACATCCATCTTTGAATGCCCCTTAGCAGCCAGCGAAATCGTCGGAGCCCCGAGCAAAAAACCCGTCACTTCATCCCCCACCAGAACCCGACTGAGGGCACTCGTCACATTCGCCAACTCCACACTAGTCGGCCAATCCCACATCACTATCCCCTTCGCATTATGATTCAAGCTAAGCATGGTCATCGTCACCTCCTCCGCCGCAGTCGGGTACCGCGTCCAAAAAGTCTCGTTCCCAAACGCCATCGGAACACCCCAGAATGGCTTCGGACTCTCCCCAAGCCAGGTCTGGTACTCGGCAAACTTATCCAGCCTCACCGAGATGTCCTCCACGCTACCCTCGCAGTCATCGCACCCGCAACATCCGTATGTGGTATTGCATGGTGTCTCATAGACAGTCGACCAGCTCGTATTCACAGCGATAGGATAAACGTCCGAAAGAATGATATCCGCCCCGGACGAGTATTCCTCGAAATAGAAGTTGTAGCAGTTCAAACACAATGAGACGGGGTGGTAGGGATCGATTGACTTGATTAATTCGTAGGTAAGTCGTGTGGCGTTTAGTGGATCGCCTTGTCCATCTGGTTCGTCGCCTGTATACCACAGTAACGTGCTTTTATGGTCCTTGAGCAGATTTACCTGCTCACGCACGGATGTCAGGTTCTTATATGTCCAGCGCATGTCGTACATGAGCCATAGGCCGACTTCGTCCATTTTATCCAGGAAGAGACCCAGCTCCGTGAAGTTGAATGCTTCGTTGGCGAGGCCTGCATTCGGGACGATGTGGATAATATTGTAGCCATCGTCTTTGAACTTTTGAACATTTTCTAGCGATTTCTCGAGCCAACCGTCCCAGCTCACATAGTATGAGTATGGAAGAAGTGGGGTCCAGGTCGATGAGTCGGTTTGGGATTGCACGGAGAGTCCACCGTAGAGACTATCCACTTTTGTGACGCTACCCCCGTCTGTTCGGGTGGGTAGGTGGTATAGTGATGCTGTCGCGGTGTATGATTGATGACTGCCCGGAAGGGTCGCTTGAAGTGTGACATTATATGCCTCGAAGCGTGGGGGTAGATCTAGCAGGGAAAAGTCCACTTCTGTAGATGATGAGCCGATAGACACCGTGTTATGTACGCTCCATTGGCTTCCCTCAACAGAGATCTCAATCTTCAGATGTTCCGATCCATGCTCCGCGGTAGCAGCATTACTTCCCAAAGGATCTCCATTGATGTACGAGATCCCTGCATCAATGATAAAAGAGCCCTTCTCATCAGATGCTGTATACAAGCTCATTCGTGGCCGAACCCTCAGATCCAGCAGTGGCACAGTAGACAGGGCGGGACTATCCAACCAACCCCCTGGCTCAAATGAAGCATTGCTGTATAAAACGTAACGTTAGATTCATAGATACCTAAACACCTAAACACTTAACCCGTGAAAGATATAAAAGATGGTGCTCACGTAGGATAATATGCCTTACCGCACCAGATATCTACCCCTGGTGGGTTATTAAAGGCCGCAGCCACGCCAATTAGAGAAAACAGCCAAAGCATTTGGGCATTGAAGTTGGAGTTGTGGAGAGAGAAGCTTTGGGAAAATGTAAGGGGGCGTATCGTTTTGTTTATCGGCTCTATCAACGCTGATCCCCTCTTTCCTATGGAGAACCCCCTCACCTTTCCCCTCATGAATGTCACCTTCCTATCCGACGCTACTAGATTGATAGCGACTGTTGTAATCTATGCGGGATCGTGAATTAGCCGATATGGCCGGCGTCGTAATAGTAGCTCGGCAATTGAGAGGTGCAGGTATGTGTACGGTAGGACGGTCGGCAATATCCCGAGGAGCGTAGTAACTCAGAAACAGTCCGGGTGCCGTGTGGCCCCATGAGCTTGCGGACATCCGAGTAGAGATATCGCCATTATATGCAGGTAGTAGATAAGAACCTTGGCTTGAAACTTCATGTCGAGTTCATACTCCTTGATCCATGAATGCTTGGCTGAGCTATTCCTTGGCTATTGTTTCTCCTACTAGCTATCTACTACTCAGGGACCGAATCTTACTATGAAAAAGTGTACATTATACTAATCTCATTCTCGCGTGTTTCACCGGGTGATTATTCCATACTCTATAAACAGCCATGCTCGATCTGGTATTTGCGAGGTTTAAGAGCAATGTGATGGAGAAGGCCAGTGGGTGTGAACCACTAGGCCAAGGAGGATTGAGGGGGAGGGGAGTGGAAGAACAAGGTATGTACATTTCATGAATGCATGCTGGGGGAATAACCACAAGAGAGAGTGTAAATCTTGAGGGAACTGGGGAGAAGGGTTGGGGGGAAGAAACAATTGTGGTAGTAGTGACAAGCCGCAGAAAAAGAAAAAGAAAATAAAAAGATTTAAGGGGGAAAAAAAGACAACAAAAAACAGGACAGAGCTTGATGCCATCATTCTCCCCAGTATCCCACCCATATTGTACTAGGGTTGATCCTCGCCACTGGGACTGATAGTGTGCTGCATGTCCGTGCGGAGATGCCACTGAAGTCTTTCGAGCTGACCAATCGCTATTCTGGAGGTGACCAGAAAAGCAGGAAACGAAGTCGGATGATCGGGATCTGGAACAAGAAGTATCCCATGGCAGAAGGGGCGTTGGAATCTTGATGACCAGACGATGATCTCCACGTTCGTCAAACAACCAAAAATAAAACAAAAATAGAACACAGCCAATCCTAGCGACGTGGACAGCCCGCTAGATGAATATGACAACATGGATGATGGAAATAATCACGCCATCTTCCGAATACTAATAAAAAAGCCGTGAGATCCGTTGAACGCCGCCCAAAAAGAACCCGACCAACATAACATGCAGGTTTCAGCAGAGATAACTCCCAGAGGGGGGAAACCCAGGCAATGCTCGGAGCTGAAAAAGAACGCATGGACACGCAGGCAATGACAAACGATGCGGAGAAGCAAGGAAAGCGGTAGTTACTTTATTTATGGTGAGGCCCAACCACCGGCCACCTCAACCCACTCCGCAAGACAACTGCCTTGCTTGCCTTCAACGTCGACAATGTCGGTATCACAGCGACACCGGCAGCCAACGCCGTTCTCCTTGACTGGGTCAGGGGTGGCCCAGTATTCGTCTTCTTCAATCCGCTTCTTCTCATCATCGGTGGTCTTTTCGAGGTAAGGTTCACGAGCAAGTTGCCTCGCGGGGGCATTGGCAGGGCAATGCTGGATGGTAGTATGCCGGTAACCGAAATCACGGAAATAGTGGATGTCGGCCGGGGATAACAGAGCACCCGCGGCAAGTGAGTGGATAGGAGCATCACCCCACCGCTCCATCCAGAATCCACCACTCCGATCCATCAGGTTGAAGAAGTCTTCATACTCCTTGCTTCGGAACCAATCCAAGCGGGCAATCTCAAAGTTACTCCAGAAGTGACACATGTTGTAATTCTCGCCTTCCATAGCCTCGGGGTCAATATCGTCAAGACTCTTGTCACCGGGCTCGGTCTGCAAGATCTCATCGGGAAGCTTCTCCTGCTTCGGCTCTTCCTCGGCAGGCACCTCCTCCTCAACGGGCCGTTCCAAGAACATTTCCCAGAGACCCTTAGACTTGATGTTGTTCTTGCGTTTGTAAGCCGAAGCGTAGCGGAAGATGTTCGGAACGGTCTCGCGAAGTTCCTTGACAGCAATGGTGAAACCGTATGTTTTGTTCGCCTCAATCATTTTCATAAAGGGATCGCTATATAGTACGTTAATACTCTGAGGGCGGGGAAATAAAGACAAGAGTCAGGGGGTGTTCTTACTAAGTAATGTCACAGAAGTACTTGATCTCGGGCTCCAAACGCCAGTACCACTCGTATTTCATTAGGAGAGGGTGCTTGTAGAAGTGTCTAGATGACTCAGTCAGTATTGTTTGTAGTTTCGTTCTTGTCCGCAATGGCTCACTCACCCTGAGTAGAATCGGCACATGTGGTGGTAACTCTCCATACCACCATACATAATGGCCGCGTCACCTTGCTTGCGAACACCCTCTTTGGCAACCTCGTGGTCAACCCAATCAGGGAAACCCCACATACTGTTGTCAATCTTGCCAAACTCCACCGGGGCACTGGTATAGTTCTTCACCGTCGCCATGAAGTCCTCGTCGAAGTCCCCGTCGTTCAAGAAGACGTAAGGGTAGTGGTACCAGCGGTTGAAGTGGCGCTCAATAGACTTGAGCGACTGAATCACACCCTCGAGTTCCTTGTTTCGTGCTAGGACGACGAATGCGGCGTTGGCCTTGGGGCCCTTGTCAGCATCTGGGTCGATGGGCAAACAGCCCGTGGCGAACACCTTGTCGTATTTTTCGCTGATTTTCCTGCTCCAGACAAACCCGGTCAGTCACTGATCATGTATTGCCATTTCTTCATTTCTCTATTGATTCCCAGGATAAAGTCGGGGGGTAAAGGAGTGAGACTAACCGAATGGAGGGTGGCGTGCCCGCAGGAATTAAGATCCCCCCGGGAGACGAGGGATGTCGGACGAATAGAAGTAGAATGAAGACAATTACAAGACATGGAAATAGTAAAACAAATCCCAGGGGTATGGAAATGGATGAGTTGCCCTTCAAGCGAATGCGCCGGCGGAAGAAGGCCAAGGGGGCGGAACTGCGACCCTTCTCCCGAGATTCATCCTCTATGGGGAGACTCGGCGCGCTGGGCAGCCGCTTTGTGATGCGTTGAATGAAGCTCATGGATGCGGTTATAAGGCACGCGTCGAAAACCCCACGATGTTTAATCGATCCTGAAAACAAGCACGAGAGCTAGAAATTTGATCGGACCCCAGGTGCGATCAGGGGGTGTTTTCCGAGGGATGCGATGGGGGAGGTAATGAAGAGAATCCGAGTCTTGATACTCAGGGTGAGTAACGACCAGATCTCACAGGACAAAACGAGTGGCCGGAGGTATGCCTCCTTTCCTGTTCCCCCCAGAAGTCCTTCTCAGTCCCAGGAGCCGGGGGTTGAGAGGGGGTCAGGAGCAGTTGAGGCAGATGACCTCAACAATGGGGGTGTCGGTAGTTGATGGACATGAGATGAAGGATGGGTTGATCAAGATGAGGTAAAGGAGGAAATATTTGAGGGGGGAATGGGGATGAAGTTGAGAAGTCTTGCCAAGCCTAGTCCAAGGAGGCGCAAGCGTTGTGGCCTCTTTTGGTACGGGAGGACTTGGCACGTCTTTCGTTTCACAGCCGAGACCGTTATTTATCCGACAGGTACGGGACATTTGGAGTTGATTGCCCGGAAATTGATTATTCAAAGGTATGTCATTTACAGTAATTTATCTAATACAGTAAGTCCTGGGGCGAAAAAAAAAAAAAAAAAAAAAAAAAAAAAGGACAATGTGTTTTTTTTTCTGCTTTCATATTTATCTTTTAAGGGTAAATTATTTTGTATTTTAAGTAGATGAAGAACTTTTATACTTGCCAGTGCCATATACCTAGTAGTGATGTTCTAGTGTGCATGGACGTACAGAAGATTCTGGGATGTCCGTATCGACCTTCTAGGGCCGTTTAGCAATTTCTTATTTTCTTATTTTTTTGCTTAATTTTAATTCGGCCCGTGGTTATTGGCCGCGGCCCCTGCGTTTAGTAGGCTATGCTGTGATACTATATAACATAAAAAAGGGTTATATGAGCTGGGTTCTCAAGTGTTCAATGTTGTGGATTTGTATATGTCGCTAAAGGAAAAGAGTGATAATTTCAGGGCAACCAAGTGGGGATAGAATCTCTGGTATTCAAGCTTCCCAGGTGTTCAATGTTCTATATCAAAAGTCGAAAGGTTCCAAACCTAACATGGAATAATTTCTCTTCTAACCTTGGAAGTAGCTCTTAGTACACCCATAATATACGCAAGCATTATGGGTAAATCTGAGGGTATCAAGCCATGGCCATGTGTGTGCTGAGCCTTGACACAGGATTTAGCGCATGACGATCGAGGGTCCAGCGGTCACTCGGAAACTGTGCCGTTTTTTTTGGGTACCCGCAAATCATCACGGAAGCGTCTCCCGTCACCTCCCGGCAATACTAGCAGGGGTTTGATAATATAAACTTACGTTCAAACAATGAAAGTATAGAACCACTGAAGATGATATAGATCTGAGGTGATTGAGGTCTGAATTAAAGAGAATCTCAAATCCTCCAAGTAGTACTGTACCTTGCAGGAAGTACAGGGTCCGTTTTGCGACTCCACTTTTTCCTTTTCATTTACGGGCGATGTGGCCTGAAGGGGGTCTGGACCCTTGCATAGTGTTCGTGTGCATGTTTACTCGAAAAGGGATTTCGATTCTTTCACACTTGGCATAACTGTTTACATGTACAAATGGCATTAAAAGTCATATATACTAGTATACAAGAAAATATACATAAAAAAACATGGTCATCTACAGGGTACAAGTCTATACTGTATCAACTACATCACCCTGACCAAACCTAGGCATCATCCGTTCCAACGTATATCAAAAGGTCATTTACTCAACTTCTAGTCACCTGGGCAATTCCTTTTTTTATTTCCACTTTTTTTCACTTTTTTTCACTTTTTTTTTTTCAAATAAAAACAATCAGTTTATTCTCACACACCCCTCGAGTCAAGGTTGGCTTAAATTGATAGGAAAACGATCGTCAATTTGCATGGTGCACCACCCGCGGGGTTTCCCTTCATATATGCTCTCCCCCCTTTTCCTCATAGATCTAGACTTTTCCACCCTTTCGCTACTTAATCTTTTCCCCCTTATAATTTCTTTAATGGTCCTAATGCTCTAATGCTCCTTTACCACCATGAACTCTGTGCTTGCGCGTCCCTCGCTCTCCGAAGGGCTCAGCAACAGATCCCCCGCCATCCGGGTTCCTGATCATCCTCATCTCCGCCCACCCCCGTCGCGCAACGGTCATGCTAATTTTGATACCTTCTCCCCCGTCAACGAGAACGGGAGCTTCGAATTTGACCGCGTTCTCAAGTCCGGCCGTGTTTCCCGCCGCGTCAAACACAAGCATGTCTTCCGCGCTTCCTGGAAACCCGCCTACCTCGTTCTCCGTCCAAACCTGCTGTCCGTCTACAAGGATGAAGAAAACACCCGGCTCCGCATCTCAATCAACCTCTCCGATGTGACGGCTGTCGCAGCGGTCAAATCTCCCCGCTCGCACCGTCAACATGTCTTCGGAGTCTTCACCCCCTCTACAAACTACCGCTTCGAGGTCCTCTCCGAACGTGACGCCGATGACTGGATTCTCCGCATCCGCAACCAAACCCCCGCGGACGAGGACGAGGCTGCCGTAGCCGCACTCTCCAAAAAAAGGGATACCCCCGCCATTCAGAAACAGCTCGTTGAGGACACGACCGACCACTCGGACTTCGATGTCGCCGGTCGCCCCAGTTCCCCCGAGGGCCGCACCCTGTCTCCCGGCGCTCGCTCCTCCCGCAAACCCCCTTACACCCAGGACTACTCCGGCAACGACGTCACCTCCTACTCCGAGCTTTCAGATGGGCCCCCACCAACACGAAACAGCCGCCTGCGCTCAATGCCTTCCATTCACACCCTCTCCATCTCGGCGCCAGACGACAGGCTTTTATCCACATCCCTGCCGCGAGATGCAGGCCGTCAAGCGGATCTAGGCATCCTGCGTGATCCCGAGCGAGTCATCTGCCAGGGGTATCTGCAGGGGCTGCGCATCAAGGGAGCTATGCGCCAATGGAAGCGGCTTTGGGTGGTACTGCGGCCGAAGAACCTCGCCTTCTACAAGGATGAGCAGGAGTACTCCGCTGTCAAGATCATTTCCATGTCGCATATCATCGATGCAGCTGAGATCGATCCCTTGTCTCGATCCAAGAATTTTTGTTTGCAGATCATCGCGGAGGAAAAGAGTTATCGTCTCTGTGCACCGGATGAAGAGTCGTTGGCACGCTGGCTCGGCTCTTTGAAGAGTATTCTTGCTGCTCGCAAAAAACTTGAGACAACTAACGCCGCGGCTTGATTTTGTCACACAGCGCTGATCTTTCTTTATTTCCCCACAGCCCCCCCCTCCATCACTTCCTATCGTTCCTGGCCTTCCCTTTTTCACATATGATTCCCCTCTTTCAGCTCGATTTCTTTATCTCCGCCATTTTCATGGACGTCTCAAATCACTGGTCACTTACAACCTACTCTCCTAGTCGTCTGATCCCCAACCCTCTCGTTTATCTACTTCGACTATCTTTGTTATTACTATTCCATTCAATATATACCCAGGGTTTGTTACCAGCGTTTTTGAAAAGACGAAAGGCGTTTTGTCATTTAATTCACTGTTCATCGGCGAGGAGATCTACCTTGGCGCTCTTTACTTGGCATTGACTTTGTGTGGATACCTTCTTTCTCTTCTAATCTACTGTATTGATAGTGAGCACATATTGGTCTTTTACATTCCTAATAAATCACCGACATCCGTCTATAGCACATCTGTATTTTGTCCATTTTTTTTTTCGGTAGTTGGGAGCCCCTTAGAGTCGCTTCAAATGTTCCACGAGGCACCGGACGAGTTCCTCCTGTCTTGTAAAAATGGAAAGCTAAGTATATCACTGGAGCTACTAAATAAACTTAAAAATGCAACCCCACAATCTTCAGGAGCCCGAGAAAAACATTTGAAATCTTAAAGGTCTATCCATACTAACTTAGTATGTATCACACCATCTAGTATAACTGCACGCAATGGCTCCCCAAAAATATGACAGGATCATAATTATCAATAAACAAAACGCCCACAGTGAGATCGAAGATACCAGAAGTACTGAAAATCTAAACAAGTCTAGTAATAAGATATAATCACCGAACTTCTTCGTTGGGAATACTTTCATATTCCCCAGAGGATGATGACCTTAATCCCTCTGTAGAAGTGGAATCTTCCAAGACTTTACTCTCATGATTGACCACCACGAACGACAAGAAAACAATTGCCGCACCAACCCAGTACAATGCACTTGCATAATGTCCTTGAAGAACGATCTGCCCAACCAATGACAAGGGAATCGTCAGACTAAGACCAACCGTAACCACCAGAGGCGTGGTAAGAAGCATGGCATAAGCCCAAGCAATATCGGAAAGGAAAGAAGCGAGGGAATTGACCTAAACAGCCAAAGTTAGTTATAAATGTCACATTTGAAAAAGAGGGGGGCATCCATACCAGAACGATAGTCCACACCCGCCTTGTCTCCGGGAACGAAAACAACTCAACGCCGGTCCAGTGCAGGATGAAGAAACCAGGCCACATCATAATGAAGTTGAAGAAGCCGACAAGACCGAAGAAAAGTGACATGTTCACACGCGATTCATCGCCTACCTGCTTCTTCATCACGATCGTGTAAACGCCGTAAATCACTGAGCTGAAGGCAGCCATCGCATCACCGAGGGCGATCTCGGCGGGCGTCTTGTGAGGGAATGTACCGGATCCGTTGTCCGCTGTGGGTGAGGATGTATCAGTGTCTGGTTTTGAGAGATCGACACGCGAAATCAGGATAATTCCGATAAGAGAGGCGAGGACCCCGAGGGCTTTTCGGGCCGTGAACTTCTCAACACGCAGACAGGCTCCGAAGATCAGTGTCCAAACACCTGGTGGATGATATCAGTACTATATCTTAATCAAGAGAGATGCGTACATCAGATGCATTTCAGATGTATATGGATTAATTCTCACCGCTAGTTGAAGTCAAGATAGTAGTACTCCCAACAGTCGTGTACTGAAGACAAGCCATTGCAAAGTAATTTGCTGTGAACTATACCAAGTTAGCAACTTCTACTTGTATATATATATATATATATATATATATATATATATATATGGTTTGATGTCGGCATGCATACCCAAAGCAGACAGAATTGGAAGCTCAACTTCGCAGTTTCTTTCAATCCCAGCTTCTCGTGTTCGCCCTGGCCCTTTGGTAGATACCGCGCGCCATCATAGTCACCGCTACCCCGGGCCTCATCATCAACCGATACACGGCGCAAGACTCGCACCTCGTCGGGGGAAGCCGAATCAGCGGAGTCCATATGTTGCAGCCAGCCCCGGAACGAGTCAACCCGCCCAAGCTTGTTGGCACGCCACAGACCAAACGTGCGACTGAGCAAAATGGTGAAGAGAGGCAATGTAAAGAGTGAGGTGTTCAGGTATGTTACGAAGAAAGGCTTCGCATATGTATTGTCGGCGAAGATAGTCTGAAAAGTAAACAGTCCAAGTCAGTAAATGGACATTGTATCGAGGGTGCATTGTGGGGGTCTGGCCAATGCGGAGATGTATTCAGAACATACACTTCCTAGGAAATTCGAGGTTGTCCATAAGACAACCACGAGAAGAAGAAGCCAGATTCCCAGGGTCCGTCTTGCTATCCATAGCCTCGTCGGCTGCGCATCGAGGTTGGTCGACATGGTTGTGAAGTCTGGGGTATGAGCCTTGTGATCGGGGCGATGGCGTGCGTGCCGAGTTCGGCCGTCGCAGGACTTATATTGAAGCGATCAAGTGCCGGGCGTGATGGTCTGAGTGAGAAAACTGGGTCATGAGCATCTGTGGCACCTGTATTTTTGAAAGAAGGATATCTGGGTGTACATATGCTCCGGGGAAAAGCCCAGGATGCTCCCAGCAGACCAGATGTGTGCGCGTGAGGGTGGAGATGCCAAGCAGTGTGCGGATGGAGATCAGCGATAAGCACATTCCTTTATCAGCGTCAAGGGTCCGATCACTATCACTTGTCTTACTTATACTTCCGAAAACTGGATTTTCTTATGACTTGGCTCAACTCCCCGCTTCTGTCTTTTGTTTCATGATTTCTTTCAGAAGGTAATTTTTTTGAAATTTTTTTTTTCAGTTCAGTGAAGTTGGCTATGAACAACATGAAGCGGATCTGAGATCAATATGTCGAATAGAAAACGAAGAGAACGGGCTGATCTTAGCAGGAGACAAGAGGAGAATATAACCCAAAGTGACCATAATCAAAGACCACACACAGAAGAAAAGGACCGAGAAAATCTACAGGGAGACACGTTTGAAAGCGACCCGTCGAGCTTCTCTAGAGAAAAACTCAACGCTAGATGGTGTCCACTAACAACAATCAAGTTGAACTCCAAAAACAGAAAGAATAAAGGCAGAGAATAATTAGGAAACCGCTTAAACGTCATGAGTATCAGGTCGGAGTATCAGGTAAGGGTATCAACAGGCACAACCGTCACGCTCATTGTCTAGATGGATGTTGATAGGGTCGCTGAATTCACCACTGAACTCCTCGGCCTCTTCCTGAGCGAGGGCACTTCGGGCAATGACTGGAAACATATATTATTAGCAAAATCTCCCTGTGTAGAGTGGTACATGGAGTCTCACCTTCGAAAGCCTGCTCGACATTTAGCGCTTCTTTAGCACTGGTCTCAAAGTATGGGATGTTCCCCTTGGATTGACAGAATGTCATAGCTCGTTTCGAAGAGATCATTCGCTTGTTCTCCTCTACATCGATCTTGTTACCGATGACGACCTGAATATGTATGTCAGCATGGTGCCTCTGTTGTACCTGGCATGTGGGTAACGCCGAAAAATAGGTCAACCCGGAATCGGGAAAAAGGAGAACTCACGAAAGGGAAGCTCTCGGGATCTCGTGGACTGGCTTGGATCAAGAACTCATCCCGCCAGCTGTCAAGAGCTTCAAAACTCTTAGAGTTATTCACGTCGTAGACCAAAACGCAGCAATCGGCACCTCGGTAGAAGGCAACACCCAAAGACTGGAATCTTTCCTGGCCAGCAGTGTCCCAGATCTAAGCATAACGAGTTAATCATCTGGCTTGGATGGTGATTCCGATTGTTGAGGTAGCCTTACCTGCATGGTTACCACTCGGTCATCGACCAGTACTTCCTTGGTGAGGAAGTCGGCTCCGATTGTGGCCTTGTAGCTTCCACTGAACTTCTTGTTGACCTATTTATTGGCAAGAATTAAGATGTCAGTTATGTCAAAGCGGGGAGGTTGGCCGTGGCGGAGGCGCTAGACGGCTAGCTCGAGGACGGGAGAGGTCGCACATATTGATTCATCAAACTGGTTTTTCCGACACCACTATCACCAAGGATAATCACCTAAAGTAAGAAATATTCCGTTAATGTGGGGTTGGTAAAAAAAAATCAACCATGCTGGGCTGCACGGAGCTGGTGCGGAGATCGTACCTTAAGGAGGACCTTCTTTCGTGACGCCATGGCAGTAGTATTTCTTCAAGGTCCACGGGAAGGAGGAAGATTGAAGTATTAAAAGAGCGATATTTGAGATAGGTTCGGAAAGATAGTCAGATCAACTATCTGAGAATGTTGGGAGGTGAGAAAAGGTAGGCTGAAGTAGTTGGAGAGTTGGAGTTGGGTTGCAGCGGGATCCGCTGATACACGAGGCCGGGCGGTCGAGGGGGGCAGTAGCAATCCCGATAACAGATAGCAACCCCCGACATCATCGCACCCAAAACACATTCCTCAATCGTCGATCGCTTCCCCGCGGCGGATGGCCCACTGGAGAGAGGAGTATTTGGCTGCGTTGGCTGTTCGGGATCAGAGAGAGAAGGCCAACGTCGCCCTCTACGATGCCTGTTCGTGCTTCTCGTGCTTCTCGTGCTTTCAGTGAAGCTGTACCTACTGGTCCCTATACATCTACTAATATGCAGCCTTCGGTCTTAGATACTCGCCTCGCTGATCGCACCGCCACACTTAAGTCCCCAATAGCCACAGCTGCCAGTCCTGCAGTGGACCAAAATTCGTCAGCCCCCAGAGAGAGTCATCGCAGTGCATCTTCGGGTGCACCCGGCCTCTCTCCAGCCGAGTTATTGGATACTGCTCGCGCAGATTTGTCAGAGGCACAGCGTTTTCGATCAGAATTGCAAGACAAATTTAATCGAGTGACTACGGAAGTTGAAAAACTTCGCAAGAGAAACAGCCAGGATGCTCGCCGAATCAACTCATTAGAGAGCGAGAGACTACATCTGAGTTCGCGACTCAAAGACAGGGACGAGGAGCTGCGGGGTAAAGCAAAGTTGCTCGAGGTAAGGAGCCACTTGTTGATGACCAAGGCCTAACAGCTTGAAGCTTCGGCGCATGTTATTAACCAAATATGACAGGATTTCCAAGATGAGATGGCGACATTAAATCTCCAACTGAATATGGCTGACCAAAAGTCCAATAAGCTTCAGCATGAAAACCAGGAACTCGTTGATCGTTGGATGGCGAGAATGGGCCAAGAGGCAGACGCTATGAATGATGCCTCCAAGTTTTCATAGCATACTAGTATTCAGTGCATGTGGCCAACCCATATGTCTTTAAAAGTTGGATGGCAACGCATAGATCTCCCCGTGGCCATTTAACAAGAAGATACCCCTTACTACATAAGATGAATTGGATCAATCGGACTTCCTTTATATACAAGTCAAAAAATGGTATCATACACATAGGAGACATGTTCAAGAAACAGAAGATAGTAATGTACAGGACCCAAACCAATCACAATTTATACATATTCAAACAATCAGAGCCTATCAATCTCTTGGGAGATAGGAAAGTCGTGAAAGCAGCTGTTCATGCTTATTTTTTTTTCGTATGATTTCTTTTCATAAAGTGCCGTCCGCAAAGGCCTTGAGTCGAGAACTGTCCTTGGTGGCAATGAAGTATGTGCCACCCACATCGGTCCAGCTCACACTGTTGGACCAGTAGTTCTTCTGCTGGACTCTGAGGAGGTTGATTGGAGAGTTCAGGTTTCGAGACTGAATCTTGTGGCCGGCAGGGACAAAAGATTTTAGTGAGACAATCTTGCAACCTTCCTTCATATCAAGGAAGTGATTAATAAGCTCATTGTTGAGTTGCGGTGTGAATGCTTGGTTGTTGATGAGAATCACATCGGCACGCTTCAAGACGTTGACAATACTTTCCTGTTCCAAGAAATCGCCCCGGACAAGATGAGTCTTGCCTGGTGCGATGCCCCAAAGTCGACAACGAGCCTTGAACTCGGATTGCTGCAATTCTGCCAAATCACAGGCGTTGTTCATCATCTCACAACCCCAGCTCTCACAGCCAATCTCAAGCGCCGCCTGAAGGACGACGTTACCGACACCGGATCCCAAGTCGACAAAGACCTGACCCGACTTTAACTTGGTCTCTTTGAAGATGTTACTGATGAAGCGGGGGAGAAGCTCGCCATACACATTATCAGTGCCATTTTCATATTGGCGAAGAGACTCCACTCGAGGAGAAACAGTGCGCGAATAAGTTTGAGTTAGGATCCGCTCTACCCAGGGCAAACCAATGCGCTGAGTTGCATTCAAATGCTTTGCAAGGCTGCCGTTCATTCTTAAGCGTTCAATCGCCTTGTTGTAATCGCCGACAGCCTCCCGGAATTGAGCTTCCGAGGTCACAGCAATAGCTCTGCGTAATCGCCGTTTGATTCCAGTAGTTTCATCGTTGAACTCCGCCGCTTCTTCTTCGGGTATATAGTTATCGGCGACGGTCTCGATGACCTGAACGATATCGTCAATCGGTCGGAATTCGTCATTATCGCGAGGTACCACGCAGTCGAATCTGTAAAGAAAAAAAGAAGAAACCTATTAGTCTCTCCTCAAACCATGAAAAAACTCCCAATAGGAAATAGTCCTAGAGTCTTACCTTTCTTTCTGCGAAGCACTCGGGTACTGCAAGCGAATCTCAGCAGGCTTGCCTTCGACCCCAAACGCCGGCTTAAATTTCCCAGCCTTCTGGCCTGAGGTGATATCGGTGGCATGACACATCTTGAATGGACGCGCTCCATCCTCCGAAAATGCCTTCACCGAGCGAATCCGCCTCTCGGGATCTGGTTCCGCACTAGCACTGGTCCGCGCACGCTTGCGCACCTCGAAGGATGTATCGCTATCGCTGACATCGTCATCACTCGACAGCCGTTGTTCGGGGGTTGGGCGTTTTCGAGAGCGTGATGGGGTGTTGAGTCGTTTAGAGGGATGGGCGTCTGGGTCACTCGAGACTGATCGAACTTTGACCGCGGGCACCTTGCGGCTCCGCTCCGATGATGATGGGACGCGAGGTGAGCCGTTTGTGGGGGTTTGAGTGGCAGATTTTGCTTTCGCTGCTGGTCGTGTCTGAACGACTTTGCGGACTTGAGTTTTCTGCGGCTGTAGGGTAAAGGCCCCCCCTCCTTTTTGGAGGTGGTCGAAAAAGCCCATCAGGTGGGATGCAGGTCAGAGTGTACTTATGGACAGTAAAGGAAAATGCAACAAATGTCTAATGCATGCACTGATAAAACATGAGGAACGGCAAGAAGCGTTTTAAATATAAAGTCAAGTCCACTCGGAATATCCCGAGGGAGGTTTGAAGGATGAGAAGAGAAAGTTAACTTGAGGCAGAAAGTAATCGATAAGCATAAGCGCCACTCGGGGAAACCACCGCCGCGGGAATCGGGTCTTGGCGTTTACTACGCTTAACCCACGTTTTGATCCACGTTTAGTGTACCTTTGCGATGACTCGAGCTGGAATGCACGAGGGCTTTTACCTTAGTGGGAACTTAGTATATACTACAAATCAATATTATTGAATTTATCTAAAAAAAAAAAAAAGACTCGGGTATCGTGGATAACCCTTCCACGTTTGATGATATGCACTATGAACAAATTATTTACGCCTTCTTCTTCTTCGCCAGTCGCTTTTCCGCCCGAATATCCTTCTTCATACGGGCATCCACAATCTTGTACTTGCCCTTGACACCCTTGGGACGACCAGAAATACCACGGTTGTTACCCCGAGCCACAACCAACTTGACCTGCTGCTTGGGCTTCTTCTTGCCGGCCTTGCTCATCAGCTTGGAAATCGACTGCGCCTTGTCGCGCTCACTAAGAGCCTCGTCATCGGCCAGAAGAGCGGACTTCTTGCGCAGCTTCTCGAGTTTCTGAGCAGCCTTGAACTTCTTGCGACCCTTGGCTTCCATCACCTTCTTGATGGGACGGGCGTTGATAGCACGCAACTTCTCCTTGATAGCAGCCGCAGCAGCCTTGGTGATCGGTCGTTGGGTCTTGCTGTGCTTGCCCTCATCGTCAAGGAACCATTCAGGGAGACCGTCCACATCACGGAATGAAAGACGGTTGAAACCATCGTCAGCAATATCAGTGGACTTTCTCTCACCGGTGGCCATCTGGTGAGCCAAAGCCATGGCCTCAGCAGTAATAATATCAATGTCTGTAGTCTTGATGTTAGCGGGCGAACTTCACAAAATCATATAATACACGAAGAAAGGGAACATACCCAGCTGGCCGTTGGCTTTCCGAGGTTCGTCAAACTGGTAAGGCTCATCGTCTGAGTCAACCCACTCTGAAGTTTGCTTCTTCTTGGGTTCTTTCTTGCTCTTTTTCTTGGGCGCAGGGATCTCTTCTTCGGTATCGCTTTCTTCATCATCCTCCATATCTTGGTCTTCATCCTCCTCGTCTTCTTCCTCCTCCTCCTCCTCATCTTCTTCTAGACCCTGGAAAATATCCTGGTCGAAGAAGAGAGCGGCATTATTTGAGATATGAGTCGCCTGAGCGGCTGCGTCCTTGGGAACAGCATCGTAGGATTCATCTTCATCTTCATCTTCCTCTTCCTCTTGTTCGTTATCGGAGGCATCGCTTTTGTTGTCCTCGGAGAATCCGTCCCATTCGTTGGTTTCGTAAGCCTTACGTGCCTTCTTGGCGCGCAGTTTCGAATCCTTATCTTCCAAGCGCTCTTGGTATTGGTCGTACATCGAGTCGAGGTCTCTTTCAAGGATATCACCGTCATCGTCACTTTCTTCATCTTCCGAAGACTCATCTTCACTCTCACTTTCAACGGGGATATCACGGGAGTTAACAACGGCATCTCTGGCACCGGCCTTGTCCACACGCCGAAGAGTAAATGTGGAGTCTGGAGCTGCACCTCCAAGTGAATGTTGTTCCATACCAATCTCCATGGGAGTGGTCATGTGCATCTGAAGGCGGACAATCTCCTTCCGCTTCTTTTCATTCTCCTTGCGCCTCTCTTTCTTGTCACGCGTAGACTCCTTAGTTCGCATGCGTTGCAACTCTTCCTGGATAGCCAGTTCTTCGTCCATGGGGGCGACCTCTGCGACCTCTTCTGCCTCACCATCCACTCCTTGCGAACTTTTCTTGACGACCAATCCAAACTTTTCGCGAAGCTTCAAGCGCCACTTGAGCAGGTTACGGAATTCCTTCTTTCCGAGAACCTTCAAATCCGCACAGCATTTTCTGATCTCTTCTGTAGTCTCCTCCAGTCTGTTTACAGTGGTCATGGCAACATCTCCACCCTCTGGCTCGTCAAAGCTGAGTTTGTTGTAGGAACCTAGAATGGCGATAGGATCCATAGTGTTGATAAAGTCGGTCACTGGGATCTCCTTAAACTGGGTGTAGTCGCCCTCTTCATAACCTTCACGTCTGCGCTTCTTCTTTTCGGGGTTGAAAACCTTGGCCTCGTTGTTCGGGGTGGGGTCGGAAAGTTCTGCGAAGACATGTCTAGGGTCGAGGAATTTGGGATCGATGCGCTTGGGGGCCTTGAATCCGCGGCAGACAACGAAAATTTCGGCGGAGACATTACGAGATGACGGGGGCTTGGTTGCTTCGACAGATGTGAACAGCTGCTTGAACACCCACAGAAGAGGGTTGTAATCCTTGGATCGGAAAACCTTGGTGACAAAGGTTCCGCCTTCGATCAAAAAGTCTGTAGCCAGTTTCAATGACTCCAGCACCAGCTCGGCCTGGGAGAAAGCATCCTGTACCCAAGCTGTTCCGACATTGGGCGCACCGTCGTGAAGAACGGTGTCTGCTTTCCAAGTTTTGAGATGGGATCGAATTGTAGCACGACATTTATCGGTGGTGATATCGCTCTGGAAACTGATGACTCGAGGAATCGACTTGATAGGGGCGAGATCGACACCGACGATAAGACTCTGAGCGGGCATGCATTCTGCGGCAACTTGACACCAACCCTTTGGCAATTGTTAGATATGAAGCCATCGATGAAGGATCCTCGGAAGTGGGTACTTACACCAGGCGCAGCGCAAAGATCGATCAAGACCTTACTTTTCTCCAAAAATCCATACTTCTTGTTCAGTTGTACCAGTTTGAACGCAGCTCGAGATCTGTAGCCCTTCTCCTTCGCCAGGCGGTACCATTTATCCAAACGACCTTTTCCGTGCTTGAAACATACTAGTCAACATCACTGTTCAAGGAATGAGTAGAGAGAAAAAGAGAGAGACAAACCTTTTTCTGGATAGCCATTTTGAGGCAATGGGCGGTCTTTTCTAAGACCTAACTGCCCTGAATGCAAAGTAGAAGAGACAAAGAAAAAACGACGCAGGTCGTATACTTTGTTCCCCAGTCCACCGGCGGAGAAAAAAAAAAAGTCGAACTTATCACTCACCGCCTTTGACATAAACCTTGGGTTGAACTTTTGGTGCCTGGATACGCTGGCAGATAAATGCGACAATATTAATGCCTGAAGATGCCTTAATCGTGCCTAAAAATAAGTGGATACCAGTTATGAAGTAAGTATACTAGTACTAAGTAGAGTAGCTGAAAACCAAACATAAAAATGCCTACTAATTATTTTGAGGCATTTTGGTGTATGAAGAAGATTTAAAGTCCCTTACTGGACCTACAAGTCATAGGCGAGCTCCACAAATTGTCGATTGCAAATGGGCCCTGAAAGAGCCTCGAATTGTGAACTTGATCATGTGGTCGCCCAGGACGCTGCAGAACTATTAACTAGTATAACATTACACCACATTGGCAGCAAAACGCAATTTTTCAAAATGTTTCTTCAAAAACCACGATACCATCACGAGACCGAAGCTCAGCAGCAAAACGACGCGGTCCATAATTGTCATGAGAAGGCTTCACCATATAACCATTTGCCCGATACAGGCTCTCTAGTTCATCGGCAACATGCTTATCCTCAGTAGGCATCCCGATCAACTTCCAGGTTCCCCAGCTTCCATATGGTCTCATAACATAAACCGGGATGACTGCATGGAATCTATGAACCATGAGAATATCTTGACCATGGTTGTTCACATCAATAATGACAAATGAGTAAATACTCCTCACGTCTAGGGCAAGGAGACTGATTCTGTAGTCGGTTTCCCATCCCGGAAAAATTGCATTGACGAGATCGGTAACATCTCTGAGAGCCCACCTGCCTGGAGCTCCTTCTGTCATGCCTAAATCCTTGCTGTGGACCTTTATGACAATCCGTCTGGGACTCTCATCTTTGAAGACGAAATCACGGACGTCGGCCGTTTTTGCTGTCTTCGGTGAAGACATGCTTGGGGAGAAGTAAAAGAAGAGCTAGAGATAGCGAGGATAGAGTAGAGTAGGGTGGTGAATGTTTGGAGGAAAGGGATGTATGCTATGTAGCAAGTTGTAACTCATTGTTGAGAGTATAGTAGTAGTCTAGACTCGGTATGTACTATGATGGGAAAGGGCGAAAGGCTACTAGTCCTGTTACGTCTTCCAACTTTGGAGCATTTCCCGATATGGATCCGATATGGTGCTCGGAAACAGTATTCCAAGGTTCTTTGGTGCATCAAATTCTATAATATTAAATTTAGCTAGGAACGGAAAAATCTTTGCTGGTCGTTGGTCGCTTGAAGAGCGGCCTTATGGGCGGTCTAGATCTAGGCGTTGTAAGGCACAAATATATGGCCTGAGGTAACAGGCATCAAAACCAGGCACCCATGAGCCCAACATGTGACGTGATATCAGTTATCCTGGTTCGTGGCGCTTGTTATACTAGCTTGAACCTTGAAAGAAAGAGCTCGTGTTCTGTTCGTCCTGACATTACCTGATGATAGTATCTCTACCTTCATGACGCCCAAGGGATCGCGCAAACGGGCGAAGCCCAGCCCTTCTGGCGCGGCCTCACCGTCCCCCGCATCGCCGAGGAATGACGGGCGAGACCGCTCGAACTCCCAGCCTTCAGGACACGCAGTGAGTCTGATCTCTTGAAGTAATAATGGCTTTCTTCTTGCCCACCTAACAGTGCGCTATCGCTGCCTCAGAGTTGGTATCCCGGGTCCTGGTCGACTGCCTCGCGAGTGTCCAAGGCGGCTCCAGTTACCGAGGTTGCCCGTGAGAGCATCTCGGTCGCTCAAAACGTCGCCTGCAGTCTCGCGGAACACTCGACCTCCCTCTTTGACTCTCCCAAACGAAATCGAGCGCCTTCCATTCAGCTCATCAAAAAAGCCGGTGCATCTACCCGTTCGCTTCCTGCTGGCGTGACTACAACAAAAGTCAATATTGCTTCAGATGGATCGGCTTCTACAACAGCTCTAGACAGCCTTGAGGATACTCCTGCAACAGGGGTACCGGCAACAGATAAAGAATCATCTTCCGATACTCCAGTTAGACCCCAGGAGAAAGCAGCCGAAGGACAACAGTCGAATCTTGATACCAGTCCGGATTCCAACACTTTACATGCAGGACATGCAGCTGAGCAACCTGGTGGATGGTTCTCGTGGATTTACCCAACAGCGCCCGCACAGCAAGATACCGTGAACGGATCCGAATCAACAGATCAAATCCAGAGCTCAACCGACAGTGCCCAGATGACAAATAAAGCCGATATCGAAACAAGTACAGCACAACTTCCCGAAGAAGGACAGCAACAATCGGTACAAAAACAGGACGAAGGGCCTTCCCAGGCAGAAGCTACTCCCGAGACCGCTTCAACTGCACAGAAACGCTCTTGGTTGCAAATGTGGTACGGCTCTTCGGCAACTAAGCAAGAAGATCAAGCAGCAGTAGAAACGGACGATCTGCCTCCCACCAAATCAGACCCGCCAACTAGCAAGGACGCGGATATGTCACACAAGGACTCTGCAGAACAACAGGAAGAAGAGCCACCCGCTAAACCTTCAGGATGGTCATTTTGGTCGAAAGATCCACCGAAAGATGTGACGCCAGGACAGCCACAGGAAGTTGAGGCAGTCGAGGCATCAATAGCACCCGATACCGCATCTAGATCAACAAGACTCGAGCCAGACCCCGAAGCCAATGTGAATATCACAAAGAAGGGCAGCCTGAAAGTCAAACCGCCTGTTGATGGTTATTTGAAGGATGGGGCTCTATCTACCATCGAGGCGACATCTACATTCACGCCACATACAGAGCCTCGACCTACCGATTCTACTGCCTCCAAGCAACTACAAAACATTCTGCCAAATCAAGTGCTACCCCGTTTCGAAGACACATACCACTTGGAAGAATCACCCTCTTTGTTTCAATCCCTTGGCCGATTTCTACACTACAGCAAAGGTCCCGAGCACAACCATGTATCCCGTGTTAAAGAACCACCTCGAATTAAACGCGCACTGGCTATAGGCGTTCATGGATATTTCCCTGCTCCCCTAATTCGAAGCGTGCTTGGACAACCTACAGGAACATCCATTCGATTCTCCAGCATGGCCGCAGAATCCATTCGGAAATGGACAGCAGACCATGGATACTCATGTGAAGTTGAAAAAATTGCATTAGAAGGGGAAGGTCGCATAACCGAGCGAGTAGACTTGCTGTGGAAGTTGCTTTTGAACTGGATGGAGGAAATTCGCAAGGCAGATTTCATTCTGGTCGCATGTCACAGTCAAGGTGTACCGGTCTCAATTATGTTAGTCGCAAAGCTGATATCTTTTGGCTGTGTCAACGCCTCACGGGTAGGCATATGTGCCATGGCTGGTGTCAATATGGGTCCCTTTTCCTCTTATCGGTCTAGATGGATAAGTGGATCCGCCGGGGAGTTGTTCGACTTTGAGCTGCCTTCCAGCAAAGTGTCCAAGGACTATGAATCTGCATTAAGATGTGCACTTGACTTTGGCGTTCGAATCTCTTATGTTGGGAGCATTGACGATCAACTCGTCTCGCTAGAGGTATGTTACCCATATCTGAGGCCACTCACCTTCGAACTCGCACTGATACTTAATTGCAGTCTTCGCTATTTTCTCCGATTGCCCACCCATACATCTATCGCTCTGTTTTCGTGGACGGTAGAGTGCACGCACCAAGCTTGTAAGGAATATCGCAACGGAAAATTATCATCATATAAAATACTAACCTAAACAGTGTCTCTCACCTTGTTGGCTTCGCCTTGAAACTCCGAAATCTTGGTATTCCAGACCATGGTTTAATCCGCGAACTCAGCACCCCACTGGCTGGGAGTCTGTATACCGGTGATGGCCATTCCCGATTATACGATGACGAAGCCGTATACTATATGGCTATCCAGTTTGCACTGGAAACTTCAACGACACCGGATGCCACATTGAAGATCAAACGATCCAACCCTTCTACAGCTTCGAACCCCTACATACTCCCCTTCGCAATGCGCGGTCTTCTTGAGGAAGAGCATGTGCGCCGTGAGCTACAAGAGGAGACGATGGAGCTTCTACGTCAGTTTGACGATTGGAAGCCATCAAGCAAGGTTTTGAAGGATGTCAAATTCAGGTTAGAGGGCATTCGGTCAAAACTGTAGCTTCAAATACTCAACCCGTCAACGGGTCTCGTGGGCTACTTTTATGTTGAACTAGCGTTTTTAGCGATTGATATATTGATTAGAGGAAATACACAGTGTCCAAAGGTTGCACAAATACCAGGTACATACTATCGAACCTATGTATGTAGGTAACATTGAAGCTCACATGCAGTCAACATTGAACTGCTTTCCAAGGGGTTTGCTTCCAGATGTCTACATACATAAGTGAACATACATACTAGTAGATATGGATCAAATCATATTACATGTGCATACAGAACAATATTTTGCCATTCGTGTGCGTTGCCATTATAAAGTTCTGAGATAAGTTGATACTAATGTGCATAGACACATTTACCATGAATGAGGTATGTACCTGAAAAAGACTCATTGGAAACACCTGTTGAAACATGGTACATTATGCTTCTCGCTATGAGGAAAGTAGAGAGAAATAGCGGGGAACTGAATTGCAGAATGCAAGAATTGAAGAATCGCTGATGAAACGTTGTGTACTGTGTATCGCTGGAAAGAGCGAAAGAAAGCAGTTAAATACCCGGGAACGCCGTTTGATATGCACCTTGAATTTCATCTTGGCCAATGTTAGTCATAAGAATGCGGAATTGGACATGACAAAAAAGCCTTACCTCTCATTCCATCCAAAGCTTCAAAAGCCAACGAATAATTGGAAACTGCCTCGATAATTCGTTCCAAGCCTCGCCGAAGCTCCTCGATCAACCTATCAGTTGAGTCGCTCACTAGTTCGGTCTCCACATCGGGGGACATCTGGTTTGCTACGCGAGCTTTGTAGAATACCATGAACATCGCGTAACTACTCTGCATCAGGCAACATGCAAAAGATGGCATGGTGCGTGGGAGAGAATGGCCTTGGTGATGTTCTTCGTGGAGTGGTTGCGGGTACGGTAGAGATTCAAACATTTGTGAGATTACCAGGGCAGCGCGGAGACAGATCTTGGTGGAGTGCTGTGTACTGTAGGGGAACCCCGGTGCGAAAGGGTATTGTGGGTACTGCGGTATGTAAGGATGGATGTCTGATGAGGTAGATGAGTCTGACGGGGTCATGTATTCGGCCGATGCAGCTCGCTGAAATTGTTCCAAATTGCTGCAGGAACAAGAGACATTGTTGATTCCCGAGCCTGAAGATTTAGGAGTGAGGACTTGGTTTGTGTTGGTTGCATTAGCGGCTGTTAGATCGCAGTGTCGTTTGACGAAGATTGGGATATCTGAGAAGGCGCGGAATCGATGGGTTTTAATTTGCGCACTGGAAAGCTTGATCCTGGACATTGTTCGTATACTTTGTGCAGTGATTGTTTCACGAAAATCGCCGAAATCTGACTCATGGGATGTGATTGGAAGGACGTCAGTTTGTGCGAGTACAGAATTTGTCCAAGAATCGAGTTGTTGCATTCGTTCAAACATGTAGTGAAGACCTGACTGCGATGCCAGTGACTTGTTTAGGTCAGAAATGAACTGAGTCGCCGATACTAACACTTGTTGTGCTTGTATCAAAATGGACCAACCCTGGAAAATTGTTAATTACTGACATTTCCAGACAGTACCCTTGGGATGACAGGGCTCCAAGTTTCAAAAGCATACCTCGGCATCTGAAGAGAATCTTGGGTATGGGGTTGTAAATTGAGGGTCATTAATGACAATAGTAGGAGGCTGTTCCAGGATCAGTAACGACTAGCTTGAGGTGACCTGCCTGGACTCACAGTTGTGCTCACGATGGAGCCTTGTATAACACAATAATATGTCATCCACCACGCTCTCCGACGTGCTTCGGAGAATTCATTATCATCCATATAGTCATGGAGTGACTTGTCTAAGGCTAGAGCCAATGCCTGACTGGCCCGATATCTCATCTTTAACAGGTTTCCGCGCTGGGAATACTCATAGACCGAAAGGATTAGTAAAGCCAGAAGGGTTTCTAAATCCTCTGGGGTCCGAGGATGAAGCCTTTCTCGGTTGACTGAAGGTCGTGGAGTCGATAAAGCCTGCCCGGGGTCAGTTGATGACAGATCAAGATCACATTCCGCGTCAATGACCGAGCTGGCCAACTGCGCGAACGTATGGGCGTATGTTCTGCGCTGAAATATGGATGCAGGAGAAGTGGGATCAGGATCATGAGGGTGCGGAATCAATGCCAGCACTGCTGAAATAGCAAGACTCAGAGGAGACCGCGGCCGGTACATCATCAGAGGTTCCGAAGATGGGTCAGAGCAAGAGACCTGACATTGAAGAGGGCGGTCTCGACATTGAGGTGCCACCCGCGGTGGGAGGATAGGGAAATAGCTATGTATGAAATCATAATAGGCGTTTAAGCTGTGTAACGGATCAGAAATCTTTCTTTGCGCGCCTTGGAGGCAGAATGGACGCACATTTCGGGTTCACTTCCGTAAGTTCGTACATAACTTTGGGCACCAGTCAATGGCGACGGCATCAGTTCCAGGGGGCCATGTGAAGGATCCGTTTCGCCGGCATAGTAACCCTGGAACATGGAAGACACCTGGTGAGGGAAGTCTAGATGGCGTAAACCCGCACCCGGCAAAGAGAGGACATCGATTTGGGTAAACATCTCTGGTGCTGGAGATCTATTAATATCACGGCAAATCATGCGATTGGAAATCAAATAAACATACTCTCCTCAAACTCCGTAGAGAGCGCGGCATACTGAGTCTCATCCTGTTGGAGTTCGTCCTCGGGCGACGGTGAGGTTCTTTGCTTCTTCGTACGAGGCCCACCCCGTTTGCTGGGTAGATAAGAACATTTTCTGCCTTTGCTGAGACACTAAGACGGGCACTATTAGTATACATGTGAAGTGCGGTCGGACCCGAGGTTCATGCATGCAAATAAATATTTATACAAATAAAAAACCCGCTAGGGAAATAGCGACGAGTCATTCTGGAATTTTTCTTCAAGTAGACACAAACCTACATTGGAACACGGCTCTTGCCCACCGCATCGGGTTCGCGAAGCGCGGCTGGAGTCCGGGGTTAGCAAAATCTGTGCATCGGCCGGGGGACCGGGGCGTAAGGCGTAACGCACCAAGGCAAACAAGCTACCTTGACGGGCGGTTTGGCGAACTTCTTGCGAATCGGCCGAAGCGCCGTCGACACAAGCCCGCTCTCATTTTCAAAAGTGTCGACCATGGCGAATCACACGGCCGGGATGTCATGGGGCGATACTCCGCAATCCCCGCCCTGGTTGTTCTTTCACACACTTTCTTGCTTTACTAGCTCTCGGGGTCTGGCGTTCTAAAACCCCGGGGTTTGCTCTTCACACTCCCAAGGTTTTTAAAACGTCGTGCGGACCAAATTGCGCATTATTGTAGTGGAAATCTTGACGGATGAAGAAGTGCTTCCTGTGATATAGAAGCGGGAGCGCTGATTGCTTGATCTTGTTGGATCCAAATCCCGAGCCGTGGAGATTCGGGATTTGCTTGAGGGTACCCTTGTCCACAATTTGTCACGATCAGAACTCACCCTCGTATGTTGACGATTGGGAGAGATTGAGAATGAAAGTGAGCATGACGGACTCGAAGAATCCATGGAAATCAATCTGGCATTTCTTCCCTCCCCCCTGAAACACGAGATACTATTGGTGATCGTAAGTGGCGTGCACAACTTGTTCCGGTGTCTGAACTCGGGGTCACATGACGGTGGGGAACCCCGATTTGGAGATGAAAACAATGTATCATCGTCACTTCAGGATTTGAAAAAGCGATCAGATCAATGGAGATCGAGATTTGTCATGAGTACTTTTGGTGTAACTATGTAGGCATTCTGGATATGTGTAATATCTCATTCAAACTCTCTTCCAAGGTTGGCGGTGAAATCCAAGGGGGAACATTGGAGGAAGGGTTATATCAATTATAGTGTCTTCAATAAACCAATTCTTCTACACCTCCAGATCCCTTCCACATGTGCAAAGTTGATATTTTGCATAGTTTAAATATTTTAAATATTTTCAATATCATATTTTGGTGCAAGTCGCGTTCCTGCGCAACCTGCACTTTTATAAAAAAAAAAAAAACCAAAAAACCCCCCCCAACACAAAGATCTAAATACATGAATGTTTTAATCATTTATTTTCCAATGGACGAGAGCTTGATGCCCGTCACATACCGTACACTATCCCAGATACTATCTGGAATATGAACTGGTAATTTATGACCCTTTAATGACTGATCAATCAACCACATTCCAACCACGAATTCTTCTTTGGTCAAAAGTCCGATGTTTTGACTATCCACGAGGCTCCACACCTGTTCCAACACCGTGGATGGCAGACGGCTGCGGGACCAGATCTCCCGCACCACAAGGTTCAACACCATCTCCGAAGGTGGAGGCCATCTCTCGGTCCCACTCAGCTTGAGATTGGATGGAATGAGCAGCCCCTTATTGGAGGCCCAAACACCTTCATACCGTTTGCGCTCCTTTTCAGTCACTTCTTGCCGCCATCGTTTCCGATCCCCTTCATTATGCTTATGTGGGTGTTTGTGGAGTAGGTTCACTTTATGTCGTCGATTGGAGTCGGAGTCTTTCGGAATACCGCGCAAAGTCATCGGCATGCCTTTCGGTGGACTCGGAGTTCTTGATAGATCACTCATTGGGGAATGTGTTAATTGAAGAATGGACCGAGCCCTTCGTCGGCGTGGAGGTGGAGGTGGAGCCTTGGGCATAGGGGATGCACGGGCGGATGCAAGGGAGGAGGCGACAATGGCATTGGAGAGAGCTTCCTCGTTCATGCCTGATTCACTCAGCGCACTAGAGCTGCTATTGTGTGATAAAGCTGAGATTGATGCCATGCTCGGTGTCGCTCGTAATGAGCTCGGGGCAAGCATCGGTTTGCGTAATGAAGCCTGCGAAGAAGCTGATGACCGCGGGGGTAGTGGGGGACCTTTTGATGCCACTTCATCCGGTAGTACTAGAGATATTCGAGAGGTGGAGGGGTATGGACTTGTTGCCTGGCTACGAACACTGCCAGCACGGGATCGAATTGATGGGGATCGAGTGGACAGAGGCGGTCCATTGCCGGGTTCTCCGTCGAAGCTTGAGAGGTCATCATCGAGCATTCTATGGGGATCCGGTCGAATTGGGAGAGGGGAGCGTAGCTCTTGGCGATTCCCTGGGGATCGCGGTGGGGGTTGTTGAGATTGTGCTCTGCTCGCACTACGCATGGCACCGAGTCGGGCAGCATCGACGGTCGGCTCCAGTTTTCGCGCTGGGGACCTTTCCGCCGCTAGACGAGCTGCCGCATGTGCTGCCAGTTGTTCTGGACCGGGACTTCGGGCTGGGGATTTTGGGATTGGCGATCTCGATATCGAGGGAGTTCGTGGTCGTCCTTGAGTACTGGAAGTGGTTGGTGGAGCGAGCGAGTTACTGCCAGCAAACCTTCCAATCTTGTCCTTCACGGAACCAAATTCGGGGCCTGACTCGGAATCCATCTCTGTAGAAGTCTCCGCATGCCGATTCGTACGACTGGCGAAGACGGCCGCAGCAGCAGCAGAGGATTGGGCGTTCACATTGGATGGTGGACGAGATTGTTGAAAGGCGATCGCTGCACCTAATCGCGCCGAGTCATTCTTTCGGAAAGCCGGGGCTGCCACCCGTGGGTTCGCGGCGATCTCGCCGTTCATGGAAACGACCACGGAGTCTTTCTCGTTTTCTTTCTTTTTTTTTTTTTTCTTAGTCACGGATCTGTTCGTTTCTAGCCTTCCTCTCAAAGTTGCATGTTGCACTGCAGTGGGAAAAGAAACACAAAAACAATATGACGCTGACGGCCCACTTTTCTCGATTTATTGCGACCGTGCGCTTTTTACTGCCACGCGACGGGATACGGCGTATATTGGACCAGGGGCTAAAGGAGAAGTAGATTATCCCAATGATCTGGAGAATTTCAACAAGATTGATTCAGTTCTCGTGAATACATGCTGGACAACCAGGTGCATTTCAAACTCCATGTGGAGTCTCTACTATTCCTCCATGATCAAAATCTCGTAGATCATAACCCATATTGTACTAATACTAAACTAAACTGTTGAACCCCAGATTTCAGCCTGGTCAAATTAACCGAAGTTCGTTTAAAATGTCAACACCAATCGCGTTAAGTTATAGCGCTTTTCTCCGCTTCTCCGCATGTGGCTCAGTTTTAGATGTTCACCCGGTTTCCTCCCCCCCCCCTCATTTTTGGGATCTGGCATGATCCTGGGGTTTCCCTGCAGCATGGTATGAACTACTCTGGAGCTGCATCCTCTTACATCTACTGCAGGCGCCATGCAGTCGGACAACGGCAATGCGACCCCGGATGAGGCTATGGATACAGACATGGACGTGGACGGCGATGTGGACGATGCGCATGCATCAAGTGGGGAACAAGCTGAACAACCCATGCAGAACCCGGGCCAGGTGCAATGTTCAGTTTGCAGCAGCAAATTTCGTCGACCGGAACATCTGAAACGCCATTTGCGCAGTCATACCAAGGAAAAGCCATTTGAATGCGCTCAATGCGGTCGGCACTTCTCTCGAACGTAGGTGCTCACATCATACCACAACCGGAGAGGAGAAATAGAAACAATGGACTCATGCGATACATAAATATAGAGATACCCTTCACCGTCACGAATTGAGTCACCATAACCCAGGAACTGACGGAAGCAAAGACCGTACACATCGCATTACCGTCAAAACCTTCCGCGCGTGCTTCAGTTGTGCGACAGCCAGAGTCAGATGCAGTGGTGGTATGCCATGTGGACGATGTGAAACGCGAACACTTGAATGCCAGTACCCAACCGAGAGACGTTCAAAAGCAAGGGCCAGAAATGGAGCACGGGGACCCTCTGGATCAGGAGCGCATGAATCGGAGCCCCAGTCTCCTACCCGTCCTGCTCGAGCCCAAAGGAATAATTCGACTGTTCAGGTGGAACAAGCGACGTCTTACCAGCTCGCGCAATTTTCGGTGAATGGTTTGAATGATCCGCAGATAGCATCGAAGCCCTCGATTGTCCCATTCCAAAATACGATCAACACTCTTGCGGAGAACACACCGTCAGATGGAAGAGGCTCAGTATCAGGGCCCCCAGATCCCAGACTTTATTTGCCACCGTCCAACCCTTCATCATCTACAGGGCCCTTGCCATTATCGGCGTATCAAAATGGAGAATATCATGGAACGTCAAATCCCGATGTTCCCAAGATATTTTCTGTTGAGACAGCAGCTGGCATTGGCCATGAAATGAGGAATACACAGCCTGGTATACCGAACTCGGGGGCCGATATTGATATGGACATGACCGAGAACCCGGAGATTAACCTGGATTTTGACCCCTCATTCTTCGATCAGTCTATGCTATCTACCATCAATTGGCTTCCTAACGAGCTCTTTGCTGGGCCCACAGCTGGTGACCAGAATCAAACCTCTAGGGCCCCTTCGCAATTCTCTCAACCAACTCTTCCAGACAGTTACATACCTCACATGGCATGGCACCCACCAATCGTCCACGCTGATCAAATTAGTACCTCCGTCCATGAAAATATCTCTCAAACCCCGTCTGGACATCTCTCTCTTGGCACTGACTTGGGATCCCCAAAACGCCGGCCATCTCATGTTCCTAGCGAGGCATCTCCCCATTCTGAATCAGTAGATTCAACAAAACGCTCCGCAGACTACTATGTAGATGGTGGTGGCGCGCGACTTCCAAAATACAGAAAGCGACAGGCAAATTGGTCAACTTCATCTGCCGAGGTGAATTCTACCAGGGAGTCTCTTTACGGGACAAACTCACGTCGTTTTGACTTCCCCACGGCACATGAAGTCAACATGGAAAGCATTTCCGATGAAATAATTTACTCCGTTCGACCAATCGAATCGACGACCTATAACGAAATATACCGCAATTTTATTCTGCTTTGCCGGAGCGAGAATCCATTTTTCGAAATGTTCGAGTCTGACAATTTCCCGTCGGCTGAAGATTGCACTCGGTACCTTATCTGCTATTTCGATTCATTTCAAGCAGTATATCCTATGCTACACCTTCCATCTTTCAACCCTAATCAGTGCTATTGGCTTTTGACCCTTGCTCTTGTGGCAATTGGCTGTCACAGTTCAAGCAGCCCCATGGCAGATCAGCATACAGCTGCTTTCCATGAGCTGATTCGGCACGCTCTTCATGTTGAGGTAAAATCTGATCACTCAAGCCTTACGAGTAGACTGACTTACAATTATAATTTGGCAGAAAGAACGTTACCATCCTGGTCAGGACTCCCTTGATCTAATCCAAGTAATGTTGCTCAACTGCATTGGCCTTCTCCACAGTGGAAGCGAGCGAGCCAAAGCCTCCGCATTAAGCTCCTTCAAAGATCTTGTGACTCTTATGAACCGTGAAAAACTATTGGGGATGTCAAAATCGAGCAACTTCCAAGGCTCTTCCGATGATGCTAAATGGATAAACTGGGTCCAAGATGAAGTTCGAAGACGAACCGGTTACTGTATTTGGGTATGCACCTGTCAATTGCTAACAATTATTGAAAAACGACTGACTTACCAACTAAGCTTCTGGACTGTACAATTGCCTATTACTTTGACGATCGCCCACTCCTATCCCTGGACGACGGACAAGCTCCGTTGCCCGCGCATGAGACGCTTTGGCACGCTAAATCTGCGGAGGCGTGGAAACAGCTATGGGAAAATCCAACCAATGATTTCCATTCACCAGGTCACTCTCAAACATCATCACGAAACTCTCCTTATACAGTCAATGAGTCCTTGTATGATGCGGTACATATACTTTACATTGAAAAGAGGTTGGTGTCTGGGATTGGAGAATTTAGTCATATTCTTCTTATACATGCTCTTTATCACCGCATGTGGGAAGTGGGTGATTATTTCCGCCGACCTCTTTCTTTCTGGAACCCGACCGCCAAAAAGCAGTCTCGTGAGACTGCCATTCCAATAGGCTCTGTCTGGCTTCCAGGGATCCCATCATATTCTAAATGGCGCAACAGCGCCTGTGACTGCCTTGACATTCTTCACTGGACTGCTAACAGCACTATCGCCAAAGCTGCTGGGTTAGAGCATCCCACTGTTCTCCACCTTCATTCCGCACGCCTTGTATTACTAGCACCATTTCGAGAGATACGCTCGCTAGCTACCTCACTGGCATCCAACAACCTACGATGGAGTAGGCGAACTCAAGCCATAGAATGGCAATACATATGGCGTTGGATACGTCATGATCAGTACAAAGCTCGTCTATCAATAATTCACGCCGGAGTGACTCTTTGGCACGTGCGACGATACTCCACCAATGCATTCCATGAGCCGGCAGCTGTGTTCATCGCCGTGTTGACACTATGGGCGTACGGATCCTGTTACGCGCATGGTCCAATGGAGTCCAGCCCCCATTCACAAGGGTCCCGAGGGCCACCGTCGCAGGAACCGAGTTTCATTCATCTAGATCGACCGTGTGATGATGAGCTGGTCCAGCTTTTTGTGCGAGAGGGTCACTCGATGAGAGGCAATATCACAGGCGTAGGAGACATTTGTGCGCCCGAAGGCCCAGAGCGAGTACTTCAAATTGGCTCTGAAATATTATCTAATTTGACAGCATGGGGTAGCTCTAAGAGCTTCATTGCCATTCTAAGCCGCCTGGCTGATATGGTGGTCCGAAACCCAGATGCGGAACATAGCCGCAATGGGAATGCGGATCCTCGCTAATATCTCAGTCAACAGTTTCAAATGGTTGTTTTTCTTTCTACTTCTGTTTTGTTTTGTTTTTTAAAATATACCCTATGAAATGTACATTAGTCTTGTAAACAAAGTAAACTTCACTATACAGCTAATATTTATGGAGTGATGTCACATGGCTCTTATCTTATCGCTATCGCTGCCTAGAGCTAAGCTAAAAGCACCTGGAAACTCTTGTCTTTCCTTCTCTTTTCTCTTTCAATGTTTCATATCACTATGGATTACGATGAGATTATGCCTAATCCTGCTCCAAATCTGGACGAAGACTTGGATGAAAAGTAAAAACTACGTGACCCATGAGCGATATTGTCACCAGTACTAACTTCTAGAAAATAGATACCCAAACCGCCCGCATAACCGCTCCCCAACACTTCCATTTAACGAGCTTTACCTGAACCTCTTTGATGCCCTTGGTCAAATCAAGAAGAAGCCAGCCGTGTCAAAGCTAGCTCAGAGGAAAGCTGGATCCAAATCAGGGAACAAAAATAGCTTGAATCCATTTGAACTCCGACACGATGTCATCGCCCGATTTATCTCACGATGGCGCAAAGAAGTGGGCGACGACATTTACCCGGCCTTCCGGTTAATTTTACCTGACAAGGACAGGGACCGTCCAATGTATGGGATCAAGGAGAAGGTCATTGGCAAAATGCTTGTGAAGATCATGAAGATCACTAAAGAATCGGAAGATGGTTACAACCTACTCAACTGGAAGCTGCCCGGTCAATCTGCCGCAACCCGTATGGCGGGCGACTTTGCCGGTCGCTGTCATGACGTTCTTTCCAAGCGGCCTATGCGAACCGAGCCGGGTGATATGTCCATCGAAGAAGTCAATGAGAAGCTCGATCAGCTTTCTGCAGCTTCAAAGGAGGAGGAACAATCGCATATACTGGCTGAGTTTTATCGACGTATGAACCCCGATGAACTCACATGGCTCATTCGAATCATTCTTCGCCAGATGAAGGTCGGTGCCACTGAACGCACGTTCTTTAACGTGTGGCACCCGGACGCCGAGAGTCTCTACAGCATTTCTAGTAGCTTACGGCGTGTTTGTTGGGAGCTTCATGATCCCAATATTCGACTTGATGCAGAAGACCGTGGGATTGGACTGATGCAGTGCTTCCAACCTCAACTGGCTCAATTCCAAATGCATTCATTCGATAAGATGATTTCCAGAATGCGTCCGACAGAGGAAGACCCTGTATTCTGGATTGAGGAGAAGATGGACGGTGAAAGACTGCAACTTCATATGGCTCCTGATGAATCCATTCAAGGTGGTCGCAAATTTGCCTTCTGGTCCCGCAAAGCCAAAGAATACACCTATCTCTATGGCAATGGACTCTATGACGAGAATGGAGCACTGACAAGGCATCTAAAAGACGCGTTTGTGGATGGAGTTCAAAGCTTGATTTTGGATGGTGAGATGATTACCTGGGATCCAGAGCAAGATGCTATGATCCCATTCGGAACCCTGAAGACGGCGGCTCTGGCAGAACAGCGCAATCCATTTTCGAATGGACCTCGGCCTCTATTTCGAGTGTTTGATATCCTGCATCTTAACGGGCGTGATTTGACTAAATACACCCTCCGTGACCGTCGAGCCGCACTGCAGAAGACCATCCAACCTGTCCATCGACGATTCGAGATTCTTCCTTACGAGGAAGCGACCACAGCCGCTGAAATTGAGACGTCTCTGCGGCGCGTTGTCGCGCAGGCATCGGAAGGTCTGGTCCTGAAGAATCCACGAGCGCAATACCGCTTAAATGAGCGTCATGACGACTGGATGAAAGTTAAGCCCGAGTACATGACTGAGTTCGGCGAATCTCTTGACGTAGTGGTCATAGGAGGTTACTACGGTCAGGGCCACCGTGGAGGCAACCTCGCCAGCTTCTTGTGTGGTTTACGGGTCGACGACAATAGTTCATCTCAGGGAGTAATTCCTCAGAAGTTTTGGTCTTTCTGTAAAGTTGGAGGTGGGTTTACTGCCGCTGACTACCAAGAAGTTCGCCACCACACAGATGGAAAATGGCAGAAATGGGACTCGAAAAAGCCGCCTACCCAGATCATAGAGCTGGCTGGTGGAGACGCTCAATATGAAAAGCCAGACATGTGGATAAGACCATCTGAATCGATCGTGTTGTGCGTCAAGGCGTCTTCTATATGCGTGAGTGACGAATTTCGGATGGGATTGACGCTCCGTTTCCCCCGATTCAAGAAAGTACGCAAGGACAAGAACTGGAAGACCTCGCTATCCGTACAGGAGTTTCTGGACCTGAAGTCAAATGTTGAGAAGGAGCAACGAGAAAAAGAGTTTCAAGTGGACAATTCTCGAAAGCAGAAGCGCGTGAAAAGGACAGCGAAGAAGCCTTTGCAAATTGCAGGCTACGATGAAAAAGAGAACGTCAAATACGCTGGTCCATCGGGCCAAATATTTGATCAGCTTAACTTCTGTGAGCATTGGAAATACTGTGTCCTCTTTCTGAATTTTTATTTTTTTTAACATTGAACCAGTTGTCATGACCGATGCTAGCAAACCGACAAAGATGTCCAAAGGTGAACTGGAGCAGCTTATCAAAGCTAATGGCGGCAAAGTATTCCAAACCCACACTGCCGCGGCAGACATGATTTGTATTGCCGAGCGAAGTAAGCTTATCCCTCGAAGAAAAATTATCGGCTTTGCTAACCTTTATCAGGGACGGTGAAAGTGGCATCGCTACAAAAGCATGGCGATATAAATCTTGTTAAACCCTCCTGGGTGACGGATTGTATCAAGCAAAACGAAAAGGATGCAGGACTGCCTGACTTTCTGCTTCCATTTGAGCCAAGGTATCTCCAATTAATATATAAATAGATATATAGGAGCTGACCAACGATTTAGACACATGTTCTTCATAATGGAAGACCGAGATCATGAGATTAAAATCAATGTCGATCAGTACTCAGACAGCTATGCTCGTGACACAAATGTTGAAGAACTCAAAGAGGTCTGATTTGATCCACTCTTGTTCCAGAGTCTACTAGTACGCTAACCTCATAAACTAGATCTTGAACAACATGGAAAAGGACGAGCAGAGAAGGAACACTCTAGATTCTCGCACCTCAAAGAAAATAGAGAATCTCATACAGCATAAGATCGACTCCGGATACACGGCACCTTGTGGCTGGCTCTTCCGCCGTTTTACATTTTTCTTCTTTGTCAATGGTCATAAAGAAAACGGCACCCATAATAACGAAACCGACATCGGTGCAGCAGCAAATGACATCCGTCTACAACTTGCATGCAATACCGCGCTCTTCGGAGGAGCAAGTACCGCCACGTCGGTAGAAAGCTCGGATATAACTCATGTCATTGTGAATCCAGAGACCTTGTCTTCCAAAGAGATCTCTTCCTTGCGAGAGAATTTAGCTGCACGACCAGGGGAAAAGATGCCTTATCTTGTCACCGTAACTTGGCTTGAAGAGAGCTGGGAAAATGGAACCCTGCTGGATGAAGAGAGTAAGCCACAATTTCCCCCTGCGTTGTCCCTTTTTCAAACATATTTGGGCTCTCTAACTGTTTGATGGCATAGGGTTTAATGTCCCTAGATGAGAAATGACCTAATGTTATGCCAAAATCCCAGTATTCTTATCTTATTTTCTGTTTGGGTAGCCTTGGATGGCAATCATGTGAAAACACTCCTATGTCTTTGGACGCTTCGTGTGGATTTGACCGCTGAAGGCTACCAATATCAGAACAATTGTGATTGTATTGTTATCATTGTTAAACAGACTCTTGAAGGAGAATTTCCCCGACCGACACTTCTTTCTTCTGAACCTTCTTCTCCGACAAACTTGTTTGCAAGCGGGCATCCTTCATCAATCTATCCTTCTCCGCCACAGCATTCCATGTCCGATCCCGACAATTAACTTGCGCCAGTCGCAACCACTCAGCCCACGAATCTGTCTTCGGAGCCGCCCCACTAACAGTGATCCAGTCTACCGCCCCCGTAGCCTGAATAGCATACCACAAGCTCCGCGTATAGCTCGGAGGCTGCCCATCATCCCCAACCCTCCCGCTATCAGCCAAATGATCAGGCGTCACGAGCTCGCAATGATACCGAGATAAATCCCAAATCCATTTCCGCGGAAGCAAAGAAGCCACCCAGTAGAGCGCATTGAGAATAACATATATAGTCGCGATAACGCTCTGCATGACCCAGTTGCAATTTCCCAGAAGTAGCACCGAAACAATGACGAGAAGCATCCCAACACCCGCAGCGACTCTGGACAGCCGATCATCAACCAAGTAGCGACACTCTTCTGGTCCCGTATACAATTCCCGGGTAACCTCTTCCGAGCACTTAATAATGATGAAGACACCGCCCTGTCTTCGGATCACGACGTCTCCGTCCGGAACGGCGGCCTCTGATGGCCGCGTAGCTAGCCGCGGTCTCCAGTGCGACGCGATCCCCATCAAACTCGACGCAGAGGACATGGCTATAAGCGCAATCACTGCTGCTCCGTTTGCGAGCAAGATTGCCCAGATAAGGGCCCCCAGCGTGAGGAAGCAGAATGCCACCGTGAGAACATTGACAGGTGAGAACATGCGAGTAGGGATCAGGGCTTCGGGTTGTACGGGTTGTTGACTCTTTTCTGTTGGCTTGGACGCATCATTTGTTTTTGCTGATCGGGTCGTCGAGGACCAGCGGGTGCGGCTTTTCTGGGCCCAGGTGACGCGGTAGACGACGACTTGGAAGGCGGTGCATTCTTCGACGGAGTGCAAGATGTCGGCGAAATAGTTGATTTCGTGGACTAAGGTGCCTGAGTGCACGCCGCAGACTATGCCGGTGATGTTGGGCAGTCTTGATGCTCGGGTGGATCTGAGGAATGACTGGGGGGCGGGGATGAGGCGTGGAAGTAAACATAGTCTGGAGGCTGTTACGGGTTGGAAGTGGTCGGCCATTAAGGAGTCTCCGAGGACTGCTAGAAGACTGACTACATCAAGTCGCCAACCAGGAGAGTCGTTGCGGCCGACTGGGAACCACGCCATTTAGATAAAAGATTTAGATATACTATGGATAAGATACAATAGTGGATTTGAAGGAATACTTCAAATGTTAGAGATGAGCTCAAAATTGGGAAATCATAGAGAAAATAAGTCTGGGATAGGCCATAAATCTTCATATATGTAAAGCCAGCCAATATCGGCGCTTAATACTTGACAACTGGAGGTGCAGGGTCAAGCTAGAAGGTGAAGATGCGTAGCCACCTGGAGCCTGGGCACCCAACATTGAATACATGTATGCACCTGTCGAAAATAGTCAGAGTCCTATCCAATAGATGTTAGGCCTTTCCGCCCATGGGGGCCAGCGGCTGACCCTATATGCGTTGTTCAAAAGTCCACGCGGACCAAACAAAGACCAAAGATACGAACCTACATAAATAGGCTCCTGGGCCCAGTTCTAAATTTACCTATTATATACAATGATATGTATGTTCTCTAACGTATCCATTATGTAGTGTGTACCACCTCATTGGAATTAGGCACATGCGCCACCACTTCAATCTCAACCCGCATATCATCCTCCCCAAGACGACTAACCCCAACACAAGTCCAAATGGGCTGATGCCCAGGCATATACTTCTCAAAGTTTCTGACCATAGCCGCCAAAGCCTCATCATTGATAGGCACATGATATGAGTTGACCCGAAAAACCTGGTTCCAGCCCTCGCCGCCGGCATCTTGGAGGTTATGTTCGACATTGGCGAATGCTTGGTCGATCTGGGCATTGATTTCCTTGTAGAACTCGCCTGTTTCACGGTCCCAGCCGCCTATGGAGATATAAGATCTTGTTAGTAACATTCCCTGACAAGTTTTTAGATATACCTGTTCCTGTTCCAGCTTCGTACATATGAGCGCTGGTAGGTACTAGGTAGCGTGCTCGGATTCGATGTTCAAATGTTCTGATCCATGGGCTGCTTACCTTGACCTGCGCATTCTATCCGGTCGCCAATTCGGACCGCTTGGCTGTATCTGAATTTCTGGCAATTTCTCTCGCCGAGGCCTTTGTATGAGAAGTATTGGAGATGAGACATTGCGGGTTTCTTTGGAAGGTTGCGGGGCTTGATGTATGTATTGCCACCAGATTGATGCTGCGTGGTGCCTTCGGGGATGTTTGGAAAGTGATCAATTGCAGATTTATCCATCAACGTGTCGAATTTTATAACGTGGGGTATATGCCGGAATATACATTCCGCTGGACATGGTTATCCTAGATAGGAGTGTACATAGTGTGTGGGGCGAGGATCTGCCAATATTCGGAAGGTTCAATGGTGGGGGGCGATCGTGTCAACTGGTCCCCTCTACTCCATAAAGATGCAATTGAGCATCCACTCATGCAACGGGTGCACATGACATCTGGAGGATCGTTAGCTCAGTTCAGAGTGGATATTGGAGATTTCCGATCAGCTGATGACCTGGGGATACTTTTGTCTAGACCAACTTAAGGTGATTCGTACCGAGGAACAGCAGAGAAAAAGAGTTATTGGCTTTCTTGTAATTCGTCATAGACACGATGCGATTCTTCGGCTTCAGGATTTCCAATTTCGAGATATTTTCATTTAATCTACAGCTCATACTCGGGAAACAGGAATCAAGTCGAATCCAGCAGTTCGATGCGGATTAGTGCGGATTAGGCTGATCTATCAGTTAAGGTGGCGTAGATGTGCACGTCACTGCTACTTAGCGAGTACTAGTACGAATGAACAAAAGAACCGACGCCTCTAGGGCTCAACATTCAACCATTGTGGAAGAAATAAAACAACATTTTGAACAATAAACTCGGAGAATTGAGAAAAATAAGGAATAGCGAATACTACATTGACCCCAGATCGACAAAGAAAACCATGTGGGAAAGTGCAATGATGGGCTCATGCGGAAACAATGGCTGACCACTGATGATCTCATGGCGTCGGGATGATATCACCGACATTTAGCTGTTCATTTATTGTTTTACAACATCAATACCGTAATAAAATAGCAACGAATAGGAATGTTTGGTTTAAAATAGAGTTGATTGGTCTTCTGCTTTTGATACAAAGGCAGAAGACAAAGATAAAGATAGCTAAGGGAATTTATATCCAAGGGGGTATGTCACAAATGAAAAAAAAAGACGTGTCAGCCGGGACACTTAAATCCTGTCCAACGCCAACGCTTGTATGATGAATAAGAAAGAAAAAAGAGAGAAAGAAATGGGGGATATATGTACTGATAAATCGACATGCGCTCTGCGCTGTGTCAGATTCACCTTATTGACATGAGGCCGACACACCCACCCAGCGGGATGGAATATTGTTGTCTTCGCCGTCATCATAGTCTCCGGCTACCCGGTAAGGATTGCTCTTGCGAGGAGGAAGATAGAAACGAGCCCGAGGAGGGATGTCTTCACGAAGCTTGCCGCTGCGTCGCATGTTCATCTCCAGGACAACCATGCGGAGGAAATCGCTGTTCTCACGAGGTTCCCGTTGACGTGACATGGGTGGAACCTCCGGATCAAATGTGTAGTACTGGTCACGTTTTTGCTTAGAGACCACATGGAAATGATTGCGTCGGTTACCACGGCCTCGAGAGCGGCGATAAGTCTGCATTTGAATGGATACACAAGCCTGAGTCAGCTCGGGAGTGTCGTGCGGGTGATCGTGATAGACACACATCTCCGCGGGAGAGATGGGAGTCGGGTTCAAGTACCGTCGCAATGCTGGGGAGGGTGGGGTTTGCATCGGTGGAGGACGGCGATCATCCGTCAGTTCAGGCGCGATAGTGAAGAGAGACCGAGTGAGGAAGTCCTCGGGCTGGACCGAGGGTGTTGTCAGGGAGGAAACAGATTGTGCGGCCGATTTGAGTGCGCGCAAAGATGCCGTCAGGTTTGATTTAAAGGAAGATTTCAAACGCGGGAAGGATCTAAACGAGGCGGGTTGCTTCGAAGGGATGATATCCGGCCCAGGCCTCTGGAGATCGATTTCTATGATCTCGCCTTCTTCAATCTCGGCCTCGAGGAGCGGGTGATCGAAGACGCAATCTTCCGCGGGAGTATACCGTAGGTGTCGCCTTTCAGAGGGACTCTTTTGGCTAGCCGGAGTAGGTGGTTGAGAGATACTAGATGGTGATGGGAGGTCGTGGGCAAGTGATGGCATTGAGTCACTCGAGATGGATCTGGCGGAGAAGGGAGGTTCGGATTCTGAGTCATTGCCCAAATATTTCTCGTTGTCTTCTGGTGGGCTTAACAAGATATCTAGAGGGGAGTTGCCCGATCCAGATGTCAAATAGTCCTCCTTTGACTTGATCCCTTCCTGCATTAACCGGCTGAATTCCTCCACGTTGTTGCCTCGGGGAAGTTTCCGAGGTCTCCGGTTGGACCAAGTTCGTCGGGGAACGGGAATGGCTGTTGCGTCTAGCATGGACGCGACTGCTTTAGGTATTTGACGGTCATTGGAAGAAGAGGAAGAGGATCGACGAGATGAGGCGGAGGTCTTGGATGGGGTGCGAGGATGGGCCTCTCGACGCACGGGAGTGCGCGAAGTCCGTTTTGACGGGATACCCACGGGGATGGCATGAGTCGACCCCGGGGCTTTCACATCGTAAGGAGACTTGGAGCCGGGTAGATACATGGGTAAATGTCCCGGCCGTTCTTTCCCTTCAAGAGACGGCATTGTCTTTTGGTGTGGTACTGAAGTAAAGAGGAATGCTCTAGGGACCATCATCTTAGATGATCATGCCAGAGCGAAGGATTTCGGTGGTGTATCGTCCAGACGAGGCGCTTTGGTCGAGTCTTTGGGCGAGATACATTGAAGGGAGGAATGTCGACTATATCTCCCGAAGCATGCGCCGGGATGGAGAAGAGAGCGGCAAGCGATAAGAGTTTTGAATCTGGGAATAGTTTGGGAGATTTGGAAATTCCAGGGTGAGGTAAATATAAGAGGTCTTTGGAGTGAAGGGAGAGAAATAGGTAGCGTGAAAGTGAAAGATGGGGAGAGAAAGGTTAAAGGCGAGAAGGAATGGGGAAAGGGAAGATAAGAGTGCAGTGCAGAGTGATAAGGGTGTATTGGGCAGGTACGCGTGTGACAGGCGTAAGAAATGGACCGCTTTTAGTCAAGCGAAGTGGGGGTCTGGACCCATTCACTGGGGGAATTTGCTGTGTTTCTACTGGGTATTCACTGGGTTTCAATGCGTTTCAATGCCATTTGGACTTTGTTCATTGGCCGCGGGGGACAATAACCTGCCGGGGTTCCGGTAAGGATTTATTTTTTTATTTCCTCCCTTTTTTTTTCTTTCTCTTTACTAATCTGTTACCGTGGAATGTTCGTCCGGTGGGACCCCATCGAAAAAAAGTCCTTCAAGGATCCCGGGGCTGTCCGCTTATAGTTGAAGGCGATCTGACATGTACCCTTTTTTTTTTGTTTACGAAGAATCTGACCAAACTTTGCAGATCTATCTATTTTGATTTATAATTTCCAATTCTCTAGATCCATTTGGATCTATATATTGCATGTTCCAGCCCAAAGACAGGTCAGACCCAACTTGGATCGGATGGTTTTTTAAGGTTGGATTTAGTGTGTGCCTGCATAAATGGAGATAACCGCTCTCAGCCATCGCCTTCTGTTTTCGTTCTCGCGGCAGAACGTAAGATAGAAGGATCGGAAAAAACATTAAAAAAAAAAATCAAATAAATCAAAATTTGCTTGTACGGTGTAGATTCGGGGAGAAGAAAAAAGGGGCTGACCTGCCAGTTTTGGATTAGTTCATGAGGGATTTTTCCATTTTTCCTTCTAGAAAAATCCTTATTTAATCCTTAAACAAATAAGATTATTTTGGGTTAATTTCCCTTTTCCGAAACAGTACGGAGTAAATAGTATATACTAAGAGATTGCTAGATTACAGATTGATTGCATGAGGGTTTCCGGAGAACTGTGTGAGGGAGTCCGGCGGTGGCCCTCGGGTGGCTGCAGGCACTCGAATCCGGCGATTGTAGACGTGGTGGGTGGAGCTGCTTTAGCGAGGATAGTTGCGGTGTATGCCTGAAGTTATTGTTTTTTTTTTTTAGGGGGATTTCAATTTCGATATTTGTTATTGTTTTGATTTTTTGGACATTTGTGTGTATTTTATTTTACTGTGGCTTTATTTAAATCTGATGTTTTGTTTTGTTTTGTTTTGCTTTGCTTTTTTCATGAGTCAACCTGGCGGTCAACGCGGTAGATAAGTAGATCTCTCTATGGTTGCCTTGTCTTCTCAAGTACTACTATAGTACATACTACTGTGATGCTTATCTGTTCATTTTGGATCTCGGAAAGTCTTGCCTCGTCAGATCAGATTAATAATGTTGTCTCTTATCTCTCTGATTATGACTCTTGTGAAAACAACACAGCCTTCTTCTCTCCAGAAATAGAAATAGAAATACAAATGGCAAATTTCCATTATTCAGTTACTTCCCACTGTCCCGTGACCAATCATCAAAGTGGATGAATTGCAATGTGTAATCAATAATCAGATGATCCAAAAATCACGTGATGCTATCACGCATGCTCTCTTATCGTCCTCTCTCTCGTGTTGGGGGAGAGGAAAATGAGCCATCCAGAGGCCAGCGATAACCACATCCTCCATTGCAGCCTGTCCAATCAACTCGGTCATATCTCAAATCCCAATTTTTTCATCGATGCTGCTGGGGTTACCAGATCGCATCCCCCCGTTCAAAACTTCCCCATCACCCCGCTTCTGTAGTGGGTCGTACCGCGGGGTTGAGGATTCCCATCGGAATTGTTTGTGGCACCCTGTATACGTGGTTGGTAAGGAAGGCGATCCTCAACTGTAAGACCCAAGCCCGGCTGACTCCCCGATCGTCCCCCGATCTTCCTGGCCCGATAGAGCTGACCAGTTCGGCCAGAGCTTGTAATCCCCCATCGTAGGCTACTGTTGCAGCAGTCCAGGCCACCCAGAATTGTTATATGCCCTCTATTATTTTGGACGATGGACGCATCATGCACTGATCAAATTCGATACTGGACCATTGACCGGTCGCCACGAGGCTGAGGCGTGGGGGTCTTCATTCCGCGGAGAAAGCAACAGCCAGTCCCCGGCACCTATCATAGCAAAGGAATCAAAACCATGTCTGCAGACCGTACCGCGTCCAAGAGACGCTGTGTCAGCACTGCTTGTATTGCTTGCCGTCGCAGGAAATCAAAGGTACGAATTCGGTGCAAACATGGGAGGAAAGAAGCATCGCTGATCGGTGGGTTTAGTGCGATGGAAACTTGCCTAGCTGTGCTGCATGTTCCTCGGTCTACCATACACCCTGTTCGTACACCTTTCCTCAATTATCTACCGTGGCAAACTAACTCAAAATCAGGTGTTTATGATCCGAATTCTGATCACCGCCGCAAAGGCGTGTATAAGAAAGATGCCGATACGCTACGATCGAGACACACAACACTGCAAACATTATTCCAGGCACTGTTGAACTACGAAGAAGACGATGCATTTGACCTCGTACGCGAGATCAGGTCATGCGATGATCTCGAGGAAGTCGCTCAATCTGTCGTTACGCGGCAAACAACCGGGCTTCTCTCGGTGCCGGAAGCAAGAGACTCCGTCAGCGATGAGAATCCATCCGAGGTTGACCAGTTTGAGTCCGAATTATCGGGCAAAATGAGCGAACTCCTCCTTGATGGCTCACGTAAATTCATTGGAGGCACATCTAATCTCATCTTTCTGCCTTCCGACTCGGAATTGCAAGAATCCGCTTTAATCACGGAGAATGTCCTCGGTACAGCTAATGACGCGAATGTCATCGGACGATGGACACAAGTGACTGAAGATGATTCACTCATTACTCATCTCCTAAATATGTACTTCACTTGGCATTATCCTTTCTTTACCCTCCTTGCAAAAGATATCTTTTGTAGGGACTTAAACCGGGGCATGCCTAGCCAGTATTGTTCCGCGTTGCTTGTGAACGCCATGCTGGCTCTCGGTTGTCATTTCAGCTCTTGGCCAGGTGCATTTACAGACCCTAGCGATATCACGACCGCTGGCAATCACTTCTTCAAAGAAGCAAAGCGGCTGATTCATGAGAATGACGAACACGAAAATGCAAAACTATGTACAGTCCAGGCCTTTGCGCTCATGTCTGTTCGTGAGGCTGGGTGTGGCCGTGAAGGCAAAGGCTGGGTATACAGTGGCCTGAGCTTTCGCATGGCATTTGATCTTGGTTTGAACGTCGATGCGTCTAACATGGGAGCGCGAAATCTCACCGATGAAGAAGTTGATGCTCGCCGGATCACCTTCTGGGGCTGCTATCTCGTTGACAAGTATGTTGTTCTTTGCCCCTAGTTTTTGCTTGCCATCTTCTAACCAATGACAGGTGCTGGTCAAATTACCTTGGCCGACAACCTCAGTTGTCTTCATCCAACACCAATGTACCAAAGTTCGATGTCCTGCCACGAGAAGAAACCGAGACGTGGCTACCATACACAGATTCTGGCGTTAACGAGGAGCATGCGCAACCCTCCCGAATCAGAGCAATTGCTCTAGAGATATCTAAGTTGTGTGAGATCAGTAATGATTTGCTAAGATACTTCTATCACCCTTCAGATTTGGAAAAATCACAGTCAAAACAATCGGAATTGAAAAAGCTGAGTGACGTACACACGCGACTTGAGACCTGGAAAAAGGAACTTCCGCGAGAATTTGAACCAAAGGAAGGGCAGCTTCCCCAAGTCCTCGTCATGCAGTAAGTGTACTGAAAAGTCAAGATTCATCTTATACATCCTGCTAATGGTCATTGCCAGCATGTTCGAACAATTGCTTCTCATTCACCTATACCGGCCATTTCTAAAGTATACCAAGGCCACTACGCCCCTCCCCTCACACGTATCGCCTCGGAAATTTTGCACCCAGGCTGCGTCAATCATTTCAAAACTACTGCGCATGTACAAACGCACTTATGGATTGAAACAAATCTGTAATATCGTTGTATACATTGCCCACACAGCCTGCACAATCCATCTTCTCAACCTCCCTGGGAGGAATCCCGAACGAGATATCGTCCATGGGCTCCGGAATCTCGAGGAAATGGCTGATGGTTGGTTGGCCGCACGTCGGACCTTGCGGATTTTAGACATCTCTGCCAACAAGTGGCACGTCCAACTACCAGCCGAAGCAATCGCTATATTCGAACGCACTCACGCCAAGTGGGGCTCCTGGGGCTCCTGGGACCAAACAACTTCGCCGTCGACATCAGCAGACTCCCCTATCATCAATAATGCCTTACATACACCATATACCTACCCAGGCGGACCTCAATCCCCAGTAAACCCTGCATTATCTCCTCTGCGCAAAGAATCCTATGGTCCAGCTCCGGTCAACATGATGGGAGTCTCAATGGGTCCCCATTATCCTAATTCCGCAATTCCCTCTTCCGCCCCTCCAGCGGATCAAACCCGTCATATGTCGGGACTACCAACCCAGCAGGCCGAATATGCAAACCCAGAACCAACATATACACACTCCATTCCTCAAGTCAATTACCATGTGTCACCTCTACCCTCAGATCCCTCAGCAGCGCCCTCGCCTGTTGCTCCAAGCGTTTGGTATAATCATACTGCGAGCCAAATTGGTCGTACACAAGGCGCATTGTCTCCACACTCGACATCATCCGTTGACCACCTCGTTGAAGAAAGCCATGACTGGTGGAACCGGAATGCTGCTGCGGCATTGGGTCTAGGCACGCCAGGCGTGGAGAACTGGGGTGCTGGGTGGAATTCCACCATGCCAGAACAACCTCCTCCAATTTCATATGGCAATAACAGTCACCTTATGCCCATGTCAGCTCACCCACACTTGAATTCCGCCGTTGCAGATCACGAAGTTGCGGGCTCGTTGTCCAATATGCCCTCTTCGGGTGATAACAGAGCATCGGGGTACGATAACCATTGGACATGATATCCATGTTCTTTGCGAAGTCAATTTTGGATAGTCAATTTGTTTCAATAAGCATTGTTTATGTATTTTTTAACGGTTGATACATATTCTGTATACCGGATTGATTGCCAAGATTGTCACAAGATTTTTTCTATTCTTACACTGCGTTGTGGAGTTGACCTGTGCACATGTGCGTTGGAAAAGCGAAGAGAAAATGTTCATTAATACACCTAGCCATGGATCTACAATATGCATGTGTATAGAATGATACCCGTGAGCAAAACAATGTGCAGCAGATGTCTATTGATGTAGTTAAAAACTGCTAGCTTGAGCATGTTATACAAGATGATCATTTGAAATCATGTTTTCGCACATGCAATCTGGTCAGAACCTTTGTAGAAACTGATTGAGGATGTTTCTTTCCAAGGGTTTTGTAAATGGGATTCAAGTTGGCGAGTTGTTTGGTTGTTTGTAAAAGGTTGCATAGTTTTTGGTGTATGTGCCAATGAATTACTTGCACGCAAACTGCTTAGGGGGCAGGGGAAATTGGCCAATCCTGATCGGCCTTGGCGTCACAAGGCGCGCATACTCCTCACACATTTCAAAAAACGGTGTGAACATATTAGCAAGTGGTGTGGCAATGGATTGTAGAGCTTTTCAGTACAAGATTCCCTCCCCCCAGAAATTCACCACACAAACTGCAACGCTTGAACAATACTCCTAGCACTTGAGCTATCTCCCGTTTCTTTTTTCAACTTCTATGACCATAACGAAAGGCGCAAGTCATATATCGACGCAGCCTGAGAGGGAAACGGGTCAAGAAACTTATCAACACAAAGTGGCCAATCATCATCCCATCGAAAAGCAGCATAAGCCATGCAAAACTCCCAATACGCCGGGTACCACCCCGCATTTTCCCAATCAAGAATCACGAGCTTTTTTTTCGCCTGACGTTCACTGAGCTTCTGGCGTACTATAATGTTTTTCGTCTGCAAATCGCCGTGCGTGAACATCGCTTCGTGGCCCTTGAAAACAGCAGGAAAACATATCTTGCGAAGATACTCCGTCATGACCGCGTTGGCTCCATTATATATGAGCTTCTGCACCATGCCTTCAATGAAATCATCTTCGGAGTCAAACGGCCCATTGATCAAGGAGTCTGAACTTTGTGGATTGTGCGAGTCAGTCCAGAATATAGTACTCAGAAGCTTTTTTTTGCCGACACTGCCAAAGTATTTTGGGGACGGAAGCGCGCGCATAGTGTCACAGTATCCCCGTAGCTCGCAAAGTATGTCATCTTTCTCCAACTCGCTTAGCAGTGGCCACGCTGCTTCAAGTGTCTGGCCAGCGATGTACTCCATGGCAATAACGCTTTGGCCTCTTGAATTGGAGTAAAGAGCGTAAACCCGCGGGACAGGGATATTTGTCTTCTCCCGTATAAAAAGCATGTTTTGGCCTTCCATAAGATTGACACCCAGGCCATATTTCACGACGTAATGGGTGCCTATCCGAACGATTGTTTGTGCTGTATCTTCACCGGATATGGGTGTGGCGTTTGTGATTTCATCGTCTGTGGGTAGCGGACGACCTCGAGGTAAGTCTGTCGCATAGAAGGGAAATTTAACCGGTGTTATTATACTCGCCGGTGTTGGCGAGGAGATGGAAGGTTTTGATGTATCCAGAGAAGAAACGACAGGGCGGTCTCTTGGAAAACGGAGCCTGAGACCTAGGCGTTTTCGAGCGCGTTTCAAGCTAAATCTTGACGCTGGTACGCCCTCGGCACGTAGGATTTTTAAGATTTCATCTGTATTATGCTGATGGAGACGGATCAACTCAGGAAGTCGTCTATCGAGGGCATCGGTATCAGGTCTAGGTTGGGACAGACCCCATAGCCTCAAACGTCGTTTTAGGGTTTGATCGCTCAGAGTAAGATTGTACGTGTTGCGGAGAACGTCTAGTATCTCATTTTGCGTTTGCCCTTGCTGTAGTAGCTCGATGATCTGATCACGATGTTGCTCAATTTCAATGATAGGAGTTGGCATCTTGGTTCAAGATCTTAATGATAGTATTATCTACGTGATCATTCACGGGTTTGTGTACGTGAATCGTGAATCGTGATTATACATTGTCATGTGATAATTATGGATCGGGATTCGGGACAGCGTAGGGCGGTGATGAAAGGCGGTGTAGGATTTTACATGGGTTTCTTTAATATCGGGTGCTTATTAGTAGTATCTTCATAGAGGTAGCGGCAGTATGTACATAGACAACCTTGGAACATTCCAAGGTTGAACATTGAATACATTATTCTATACCTAAAATGCTACCCATATACGGGTACATGTCCCATTTAAACTCAAGTTCTTCCAAGCCCTCGAGGAATGTTTACAGGAGTGAAGGTTCCACCTTGGGTATGAATGTGTTATATTGATTATCCATCTAGATAAACGCTTTTGCTGAAATCAAGTTTCCAAAAAAAAAGAAAAAGAAAAGAAAAAAAAAAAGAACCAAGAATCCATATTCAGAAATGTCCGTCATGATTGATCATTAGTAGGCTGCACCAAAAATTGAACACCAAGATACACGAGATGCTGAGCCAGTCAAAGGGGAATTGAAAATCATATAGACGAAATAGAGAAGAGGTGACAGTAGTAAGAGAAATCGCTTGCAGTAGATGGTATCACTATCAGTAGTCAGTATGAGCAACCAAATTGGCATGGATCAATGAAACAAAGAAAAAGAGCCCAAGACTTACCAGGAAATAATCAGCGACCGGCTTCTTCGCAGGCATGCCCCTTGTATCCTGGGCTGCAGCCTCGAAAACACGGTAACGTCGCCCAGGACTGACAACTGTGTTTGATTGTCCAACGCCGTTGCTCCGGCCAAAGTCACCATTACTGCGGGAAATCGTTCCACCATTATTGGCATCTTCGCCCAGCTCAAGTATTGCCGCCACATTGCCGCAGCGGTAACAATAGTTTGGAGCGGACCACACAGTCACGATACCACCATCAAACATCTCCTTATACCCCTCCATAACAAGCTGGTGGGCTCGAGCGACCAAGGACAGGCCGTTGAGGTGATTAAACTGCTTCACAATATCGCCACCAAAGAGAAATCCGGCACCTCGGGGACTCAACCCCCACCCCTCAATTTCATCTGGGTCGGACCAGAGAAGATCACACATGGCGCCTTCATGCGGCACTTCCTGTTTCCGATCTATCAGTCGAATCTTGTCTACCGAGTCTATGAGTGGTGATAAACCGCCGTGCACGCAGAGTACAGCACCCGTGCGGTTTGCCGCCAAGCTACCGTTTCCATCTCCACTCGCACCGGTACCTGGTGCTCCATTGCGAGTCGGAGGCCCAGCCTGGCTCTGGCCCGAAATAGCCGAGATATCGCGTGGGGGAGAGATGGTTTGTGAGTCGGTCGAGATATCGGAGGCCGCGCGCTGCCGCTGGCGGTAGGTGCTCATGGTGACATCGCCGCGCGAGTTCAGTACCTCGGTCTCCAGCTCACCGTCATCGATGGGCATGGCCGACTGGGTGGTATCATTCATGCCGGAGCGGGTAGGTTCCAGTTCCGAGCTGGCGCCGAGCACGATCGCGCCGAGCGCCAGGTAATCGAAGACCTCACAGCAGTAACGCCAGACATTGGCGCTGCCGTATTTGCGGATACACTCGTCGTAGAAGCCGTAGACGGTTGTGATCTGTCGCGATTCATGGTTACCACGGATGAGGGTCATGCGATCTGGATACCGGACTTTGAGGCAGAGAAGGAGGAGGAAGGATTCGAGTGAGTAGAAGCCGCGATCGACGAAGTCGCCCATGAAGAGGTAGTTGGTGTCGGGCACGTCGCCGCCGACGCGGAACAGCTCCATCAGGTCATGGAATTGGCCATGGATATCACCGCAGATGGTTACTGGGGCATCGACGGATACGACGTTGCCTTCTTCGATTAGGAGCTCACGCGCCTTGTAGCAAAGCTCGCGTACTTGCGATTCGGGGATCAGGCGGCAGGCCCGCAGCTGCTCGATCGCCCTGTGAGACAGAACAAAAGAGACAGACGTCAGCGGATAATTATTCACTTGAGTTTTAAACGGGAGTGGGAGTAGTACCGGTCTAAGTCACTCATTGTTGAGTTGGGATTTGATGAGGGGAGGATGGATAGGGATTTGGGAGGGGGGAAGAGAGGCAGTAACCAGCAGTAACGAGGGACGCGGTGGGTTGGGGAGAAATTCACGAGTCTCTCTATACAAAATGATTATCAATCTCCTTGATTAAAATAGAGACTCATGATTGCCCATAATTCTTCACAGAAAAAGATTCTTGAGAAATAGTCCGCGGACCGTAGAGTACTAGTAAATCAGTAAATCAGTTCGCAGCAAAACGGCATCTTTGGCTTGGACCAATCACGTTGGACCCAGATAAGATTAGATGGAGCCCAGAGCCTTTCGCATCCCTCAACTTCCCGTCTTGATCACCCTCCTCCCCCGGATTCCTCTATTCATACCCTCTCAGACATTCGAATTCAATTGAGGCTTCTTGCTTACCCTCCAATTGAAATTCTACTCTCTGTCTATACCTCCCAAGCCTCTCTGTTTGTCCATCCCGGCTCAACAACCTTTCGATGGCCTAAGAAACCGAAAAAAAAAAAGAGAACAACAGCGAGACTCCAAGCAATTCAGCAAGCCTCTCACATTCCCAATTCAACTCGAGCGCTCGTCTCCCAAAACGTCTCATACATTTCCCTCCATAATGCCACCACATCTTCACCCCCGTTCCCGGTCAACAACGGGCCTCTTTGCTGGCACCCTGCTCGCGTCTCTCCTGGTTGTCGGCATGCCACACGTCTTTCCTTGCCCCAGCCCACGTCGAACCTTTGCCGACTCCGAAATGAGCACCACGGCCGACGGGCAACAAGTCCCACGCATGCGACGCCGAAGGCGGAGAGAGACGGAGCTGGACTCTGACATTCCACGTCCCGGTCAACCGACACCATCCGGCACGGCTGACGAGGAAGTGACTGCTTTCTTCCAGACAGAAGAAGAGGCGGAGAAGTTGACACATAATATTGGCCATGAGTGTCCGGTACCCAAGCCAAAGGGTGTCATTGGGGAATTATTGGGGTTTCATAATGCGCGTGGGAGTGAGCAGCACCGGGTCTCGGCTGATGGGACTCAATAGTCTCTAATGCACTGCTTGTGCTCTGCGTTATCTTCCCGCTTGATGCTGGACTTGCATTCTTTCTTTTTTATTCTTCTTTCTTGTTTAAATGATACCATGGATTTGGCAATGTGGGTGGATTTTGTTGGCATATGCTAGTTGTTAAGATGCTGAGATAGAAGGTGCTGGTGTCAAATCGACACCTTGTATATACTGTATACAAATGTATAAAAAAAGATTTTACATGATGAAAATGTGTGTTCATACACAACCTTGGAATCTTGGAACAGATGGTATGATTTCCTGGTATGATTTCCCGGTCCCGATATCACACCAAGGAGCCATCAAACTTGTCTTGAGCGGCATATCATATAGCAGCTGCCTACTCGGTATCTCTATGCACATCAAGTTCAATCTGTTACAACATTAAACCTTGGAAAGAACGGAATATCAATGTAGGTGACTGGATACCTAATAGGTAGACAGCCCTTTCGGAATCACATTCTACACGCATAGGACATCTGGAAGCTAACATGCCCCAGGTGGGCATTCAAAAATCAATTGAATTTTAGGCTGGTTACATATGATGAAATATTGACATGAAATTCAAATGTTCATATTCTTTTCCAAATCTTCTTGATTGATTCAAATGTTTTATACGAGTTAATAATGGTATTCACCCCACACTCACTTCCCTCTCATTTCTCGCTCACTCAGCGGTCCTCGTCATCAGTCTCAACTCCAAATCCCCGATAGTAGGGGACAACCTGGCTACCATCATAGACCCTGGTCAGCTCAATGAGCGTGTCCCGCAAATGAAGGACACAAATCGCAAGTGCCAGGGAGTTCCAGACATCCTGCTCCCGCTCAGAGAGATCAAACTGGGTCAAAAACTTTGCCGGGCTCTCTTCACCTGTGCTATCGTGGTTTGACCACACCTCAGAATTGGGGTCCGTATCAAGAGACAACAGACAAACGATTGGCCCTGCAATCACAAAGCCCAGCATAGTCGGCCAGAACTTTGCGTCGCTATCGTGTGCAGTCTGATGGCGCGTTGCCAGTCGTTCCAGCTTCTGCGAGCACCTCATGATCGTGGCAAAAATTTCTTCCCCAGGAATCTGAGGGCAAATGCAGTGAACTGGGATTGTTTGTCTGGTGGTCTTTAAGCCCGCATCATCGATCGCCCAGTGCAGGTACTGTCTGATAGTTTTTCCCACAAAGAATTGGGGCTCCACTAAGAGGAACGAGCAATCTCGCACGCGGCCGCTCACTGCGAACAGATCCTGTAGCGCCTTGATGGCGTAATTGTCTGACATTTCCTGCGACCTGAACATCAGGTCACTGTCATCTTCGATATTTCCATCGCCAGCTATGGTGAACAGTGATTCGGGCCAGGTGGTGAAGTCGCTCGCCCAGAATCGAGACATAACGGGCTTGCAGCCGCGTGTGGCCAGCTTGCGGACTAGTTTTACCTGCACCAGGCTCAGTCCAGAACCAGGAGGTATCTCGACCGCTTCGGCTAAGCGGCTGGCCCTTTCCCGCGTAAGTTCGTATAAGAGGTCGTTTCGTTCGGATGATGTTATCTTATATTCATCTTCATCGCTTTGGCCAGTATCTACGTAGGCTTCCTCATCGTCGTCGGACTCTTCGACCCCCCTAATCCTTGGGTATTTCTGTGTAGTAAAGTTTTTGGGTTGGATTCTGACGGAACGCGAGCCACGTGAGCCATTTCGTTGGTTTCTTTTGTCGGTCAGGTGCACTGGGTTGCTTTTTATCCGTTTTCGAGCGGAAGGCGAAGAACTGTGTGATTTAGACTGGCGCTGACTGTTGGTTGACTCAGTCTCAGAGTCAACGCCACTACTACTATTTTCTGAGTAGAGATTATGTGAAGATTCGGACGATGTAGTATGTTCATCACTGCTTTCTGTAACAGGAGAGCAAATTTCCTCGATATAATCTCTTTTGCGCTTTTTTTGCACTTTGTAGTGGTGATCGGATGAGGTGGATTTTGGAAATGGATTTTGAAGATGATGCTGCATATCCAATCTTGGGCGTTTTGAGATGCTGGCGGATTCAGAATCACTAGCTGGACTATTTCGCTTGCGTGGCCTGGACATATCAGCAGCTGTGAAGGTCCCAACCGGAGACAAGTGGTATTTTGAGATGGAGTCTGGTATATGGGTGGACACAACAGGCGTCGTCTCGCCTTGAAGTTGCGTAGTGATATAAAGCGGTTTCGAAAAAGAAGAAGATGAATCTGGCGCGGGTGGTGTGGTATTTCCAATTGGGGATGGGCGATGCTGTGGGGTAGATGGCAATGAGTATGGGGAAACAAGTATGTTCTCGTCTCGGAAATCTCTGAGCTGCGCAACTGCGCTGGGTGGACTTCGAAGAAAGGACGAACTGTCTGACTTGTTTTTCGTGGAGTGCAATGAGTTATTGGAAGCAATCGTATTCCCGTCCTTGAACTGCGCAACTGCGCTTGGTGGACTTCGAAGAAAGGACGAACTGTCTGATTTGGTTTGCGTGGAGTGCAATGGGTTATTGGAAGCAATCTTATTCCCGTCCTTGAACTTCACAACAATGCTGGATGGGCTGCAAAGGAAAGACGAGTCTTCTTGCCCAAAAGGTGTGTATTTCGAGCTCTCGAACTTGAGTTGCGCAACAAAACTCGACAGGGTGCCAAGAGAGTTCCGAAATAGTGGACAGGGAGGTAGAGTTGGAGATTGCGGCGCAGTCGATGAAGACGCAGCTGGGATAACGAGAGAAGACTCTGTAGATGAAGTCCTAATGGTAGGATAGCGGTGATTGAGGGTGGCTTCCAGCGAATCGATGCAAATGGCTAAGTTCTCATCCTTGGGATGCGCAAAAAGGCGTAGTGGGCAGGGAGTTACAGTTGGAGATTGCGACACAGCTGGCGAAGAAGTACCGGGGATGAGTAGCGGAGATTCTGTAAATAAATCCCACTGATGAGCCGCCTGTTCCTCGATAGCTTTCTGTTCACGTTGTAATTCCTCGAAGGTGATCGGGGGACTTGAAGGAATATCAGTTGATGTCAGATTGGAAGTTGTTTCGGAGGAAGGTTCTAGATCCGACGACTTGTAACGTCGCAGAACTCGATTCACATAGCCTCGAAGGCCTTGAGTACGTCTTGGGTCTGATGAAAGGTCGCGAATAGTTGTCTGCGCAGGCACAGGAGTAGAATTCAAGGCTTTCACTCGACGCAGTCTGCTGAAGACACGAGCACGTTTTCGCTTGGTGGCAGACACAGATGTCGGGGAGATGTCAGAAAAAGCAGCATGATCGCTTGTCTCGCGTCCTTCAATACCCTCGTCGGAACTGTAGTGAAAAAGCTTTTTCCAGGAATACATTTTGACTGGTGGCGTTGGATGAGAATGTATGAAAGAAGTAACAAAGAAACCGAAGGTCACAAAAATAGAGTGGCAGTGTAAGAAAACAGAGAAGACGATGAAAGTAAACAAAGACAAAGAGAGCGGGGAGGGAGAAGAGAGAAAAGAAAAGGAGATTGGAAAAAATTCAAGGCTCGAACATTGAAGTGATTGAAGCCTGGGTTCAAATTTTGCCAAAGTGTCCAACCTATAGTAGCATTCAATCGCACTAGATACAGTTACGATATTGTCAGGTTTACCCTTCAGTTTGGAAATGTCATTCGAGCATCTTCTACAGAATCGACGAAGACCAAAGTGCAAATAATTGATTCAGTGAAGGATGTATTAATTCGTATTTGCATCTCCTGTCCTCGAAGCCATAGGGGAATCAGATACTCATCCAAGCAATGCCACAGAAAAGGAAAACATGGCCCGACGGGAGTTCAGCAACACAGTATCACACATGCACAGCCATCAATGGTCTTCATACTCGTCAATACTCATTCAAACGCTTTTTGGGTTGTTGAAAAAAGACCCCCGTCTCGGTTCATGCGGTCAACGTTCATCCGCACAGCCGATGACAAGTCAAGAGCTCTCTCCCACGAGCCCTGCACAACGAACAGCCATGACCCGGCATGGCAAGGAAACCCTTCATGAGACAACCCGCCGGAATTAGGGGGAAAAACCAGAGAGAACATAAAGAAGAAGAAAAGCAAGCAATTGAGATACGCAAAAAAAGTAAGAGAAATCCGCAATAAGAAGAAAAGAACCTATGCTGTTCCATTATTCATGTCAATCGATGAAAACCAAACCATGCCTGGTGGGGTGTTCGATAGCTGGCGTCTACGCTGGCATTCAATCAAACACAACTGCAATGGGTATGTAAAGCAATTTCAATAGAGAGGGAAAACAACACCAAGAGTCAAGGTCGGGATGGTGTCAAGCCCCATGATACCGAGCCGGCGGTTTGAGTCGCGATGGCAGTGCTTAGATACGGGTAATAGTCGCAGTCTGCACATTTCGAAATCAAGCAAAATCAGCGGTATAGGAGAAGCCACGGAATTCTTCCTGCATGGCTTGAGAGAGCACTAGAGAAGAAGTCAAGGGTTAGAAAGGTCTTCCAGAATCGGCAAACAGGTATTGGCATACCGGATTGAACAGGGGTCAAGACTGGAGTCACACTAGTGAACTCCTGGTCGAAGTTGCTAGTATCGGTGGGACTGCTAATAGAAGGAATGAATGGCGGGGGACCACGCTTGTGGTAGATATCATCCCAGTTAATGTTGCGGAAGAAAGCGTGTGACATCACCTCCTGGGCATCAGTGGGGCCAGAGCCCAGTCGAAGCTCAGGCTCACGGGTCAGCAGCTTTTGCAGAATAGACACCGAATCACGAGGCATGTGAATGGGGTAGAGAGGTTCATCGGCCAGAATAGCATCGTAGATTTCATCTTCATCCTCTCCACGGAATGGAGACTGCTGGAGGAGCATTTGGTAGATCAGGACACCAAACGCCCACCAATCAACAGCCCGTCCGTATTTCTTGTCCAGCAAAATCTATCACAGGGGTCAATATACTTGCAAAGATACAACAAACTCAAGTAGGACTCGGACTAACCTCAGGAGCCATGAATTCAGGTGTACCGCAGAATGTGCTGGTGGTGCAGCCGTACCACATGTTCTCCTTACAGAGACCGTAATCAGCGATCTTGATGTGACCATCAAGAGTCAAGAGAATGTTGTCAAGTTTCAGATCACGGTAGATAACACCGTTCTCGTGGAAATACTTGAGTGCCAAGCAAACTTCGGCGGCATAGAATCTAATTTGTCCTTGTCAATATCTGTCCCCCATAAATTGAATGTTTTTGCGTTCGAATAGAGGAGGCTTACTGTGCGCGCTTCAGACCAAATTGTCCACGCTGAATGTGCAGCATCAGATCACCACCACTGATGTATTCCATGACAAAATACACACGAGTTTCCGTCTGGAAACAGGCATGGAGAGTCAACAAGAACGGATGACGCTCCTTGTTGGCGATCAAGAATACTCGCTTTTCAGACTTTGTGCTTTCCACTTCATCATTCTCGATAATGAATTCCTTCTTCAACACCTTGATTGCATACAACTTTCGTGTGTTCTTGGTCTCAGCCAGCATGACCTTACCGAAGTTACCCTTTCCGAGGACTGCAAGGAAGTTGAAGTGATCCAACCCGATACGAGACTTTGACTGAGCGGGGGCGACCTCGTCTACCTTCGGAGCTGGCACCGCCACCTGCGGTGGGATTGGCTGCATGGGCGGCATGGGCTGCTGTATGACTGGCGGGGAGGGTGGCATTCCATAGCCCGGGGGTGCAGTCATATTAGCTAGGTGTTGCTGGTGAGGCTGGGCCGTTTGAGGAATTTTAGCATATGCTTCAGGGTTGTAAGGAGCATGTTGATGAGGTTGCTGGGGTGCCACGGGAGGCCGGCCCATGTCAACTAAAAATTGATCAGCAACAAAAACTAGATAAAACGGATGAACCGGGGCCTATACTTGGAGTCTGTTGATGGCTACGCATCCCGGTTGCGGCTGCTGCGGCTGCTGCCGTGGCAGCAGCAGCAGCAGCAGAAGAAGTCGAGTTGGGAGATTTCGGTGGAAGTGGTTGGCGCGCAGCTTGTGGAAGCGTCGTGGGGGACTGTGGGGTCATAAAGGAGTTAGTCGCCGCGCTTACGGCTTCTGATGAGGGTTGCCGGGGAATTGCCCCATAGGGGCCACTGGTGGGTTTTTGGGGGTATGAAAGCCTGGCGTGGTCTTGATTTGGCTGTGGTGGGCCGCCAGGCCGAAGGGTATGGTGTTTGAGGCCGCTACTGACAGAGGTTGACTGTTTAATGTGCTTTGTGCGATTCAAAGTCTCGAGGATTTGGTTTGCCGCCTCCATTGACATGCCGCAGAAGTCAGGAACAAGATGGGTGCAGTGAGCGTGGGAAGTAAGGCCACATTCTACTCCGTGAATTAGCCTCAGTCAATCGACGGTGTGGAACATTAGATATGACATACCGTTACAACGCTTTGCGTTCTTGCGGCCAAAGGGAAGCAGATAACCACAGTGGCAACACCAGTTCGCGGAGATATTAGAAAATCCTTCGAATCGGTGAGGAATACGATGGTTGATCTTCTCTTCGTCGGGGTCGGTTTCGTAATTCGCTTTACTGATACACTTGGTGACAACCTTCGGGTAGCATTTACGGTGGCAGGTGTATTTGCAATCCGAGCACTGCATACCCGCAGCATATTTAAGGAATTCTCCACATAGCGCACAGCGCATGATGTTGTAGAACTGCTGGGTAACGAATTTGTGACCCTGCTTCTCGTGAACATCGTCTTTCTTTTGGCGCACGGCACCTTGGCGGTTGAGACCAATGTCGAAGGGACGACGGTCCTTCAGTTGCTTGGCTAATTTGAACTTTAGAATACCATTGGACAATTTGTAACGGGGTTAATATCTTACCAAAGCTCATCGAAAGATGAATACTACCAAATGGTTCCAAGGCAAACCAGGAATCAATCATCACACTTGGGGGCGCGTTCGGGTTATCTCCAGGCTGCTGGCCCATCGGGGGAGCCATTCCTTGGAAGTTGGCGCCGCCGTGTGATGAGCCCGGTGAACCGGGGTGATCAGATCGAGGGGTGCCCGAATCGCCCATCTTGTCGGCGGAAACCCACCCAGAGGCGTTAAGTTCCGTCTCAATCTTCTTGCGACGCATCTCCTCCGCAATATCAGAAATGCGCACCCACAGCATACCAATGGGAGTAGGGCGGTCTCCAGCCTTGTCATAAACCGTAAGCTCGATCTCATTCGCTTTATCAATATCAATGGAAAACGCTTCGTCCAACCATTTATCATTGCGAGTTGCCTTTGTTCGTGCTTTGACTGCATCTTCCACCTTTACAATGACATAGGTCTCAGGGCCGCGAGAAAATCGAGAACTAGTGGCATGATCCACATCCTTCACGGCGTGGATGCGCATAGTTAGAAGACCGGTCAACGGCTTGCGCATATTTGGGCTGCTTAGACTCTCATCTGTAGTGAATTAGTTAACCTTCTAGATCAGATCGACGGACAATAGAACACACCGTCTGCGGCGTCCGAGGATTCAATGTCGATATGGAGATCCTCGTATCGCTTCAAAGCCTGCTTCAACAACTGGATCTTCTGATTACTTTCAATGCGACGTCCCTCTGCATCTGCGCGGCTCTTCCGATCACCCTCATCCTGGTACAGGCGGACCATCTTCTCAATTCCTGCCTTATATTGTTTCTCCACACTCAGCTTGAATTCGAGTTGAGACAACATGAGTTGAATTTTCGGTCCGAGGTATTGGGTGTCATATTTGATTAGATCTGGAACACCAAGCCTGGTCAGCATTCCAATCGGACAATTCTTTTTTTTTTTTTTTTTTTTTTTTTAGGAAAATCGTCATATTAAGGCCCGCCTGACCCCCGGAGAGGTAGATAGTGGGGGGAATTTGGGGGGGATTTGGGGCTGACAATCCAGCAGACATACCAAGCTTTGTATAATTGGGGCGCGCCTTAGGAACTTGGGCATACGGCCGAGGATCAGCAAACGGAGCGCCCGTTGGCATGGTGCCCGCGCCACTTTGAGGGTAATTAGGACCATCACCCTCACCCGTGAAGTATCCAGAAGGGTCTTTGGGGGGCGGCGCGGGCCCCGAACCCTGACGCTGGTCGCTAGGGGAGCCACCACCTTGTTGCTCCATGTGACGGATCTGTAGCTCTCGCATTTTTTCCTCCAGGTAAGCGATATTTTTGCGGCCATCGCGGATGCTGGAGTCGACACGCTGTTGAACGGAGGGGTTGTCGGTCGACTGCCGCATGTTACTGGCGGCGGCGATCAGGGCCTTTTCCCGCTCGATCTTGCGGTAGACCGAGGCAATAAGCTCGTCGCCATCCATGATGGGCAGGACCGAGGGGCAGTATGAACGTAAAACTTGGGGTTCCGCGCCGGACGGTGGTGAGTTGTAGGTGGGAGAAGGGTTTCGCGGGGCTCTTGTTGACAGGGGGGGGTTACGGGTAATACTGCCACAACGGAAAATGTAACGGGATTCGCCCCAATTGATCACGATAAGGGATTTATTCTTATGAAAAGTACGAAACAAAGAAGAGTGAGAGAATGATATTATGACTTTCTTTCTTCTATTTTACTCTTCCCTGGAATTATCGGTTCTACTTACTACAATCGCCTTGTTTTTGTGGTGAAAAATACATGAAACCATATACACGTGAGGCCTCCTGCTGCCTCTAACTCTGTATACTATGATCCGATATCCTCACACAACCTGAAACCTATAGAATCATTGACCAGATCTTTCTTTTGAAGTCATCATTCAGCCCCAGTTGTTCCAATGGACCCAACCACTTTCAACCAGAAGAACCCCCAAAAAACAATCCACAGTGAGGGCGATGACATGATCCTCGGTCCCGAAAAGCCTGATTGGTAGAAACAGAGAGAGGTTCGGGTCCAGATGTTTCTGATCGGGTAATGGTCTGCGTACTTTGATTCGTACTTGATTTTTCCTCATTGAAAAAAAAATAGAAAAGAGAAAAGAGCAAGGACTACAGGGCTTTTCAGTATTTTTTCTATTTTTTTCTATCTACACGTCACCGTCACTGCTTCCTGTCAAAATTTCACTTCTTAGTATTAGTATGTATAACCAGTAAGAACCTACTACGTAGTAGGTGGAGTCTCCTTGCCTATACTTCAGTGCGTCCCACATTCTAGTCTCTGCACGGGTGATCCATTTGTAGGTTTTTCAATACTTAATGCTGATCAGTGATCAGTTGATCATCTCATGTGAAAGATGTGATGCGGTCTTTTAGGGTTTGCAGAAATTCTTTATCATAGGAAAATCGTCCAACACTGAAATTTCTTTTATCTAAACCTTTAGCCCTTTCAAAAAAAGAAATTGACCCACGTGCGAGGAGAAAAATACACCAAGAGACCCTTACTCGGATCTCTTCGAGATCTTGGGTAGCAGAAGCCAACTGGCTGCCATTACTCCATACAACCCGATACAAATTGGATGTAGTATCATAGTTCCCACATGCTGTGACAGAATACCGGTTACAAACGGCCAAACCGCACCGCCACTACTCCCTAAGGCGCTGACAAAGCTTAGACTGGGAATGTGCATACTTCGAGGCAGCAGCTTCGTGAATACCGAGGCAGCACATGGATAGACCGCCCCGAGCAATACGCCCAGGATAGCCACACTGACCGCCTCGCTGATGACATTCGGAATGAGCCAAGTCATCAGCTGGAAAATGACGGCCCCGGCAACCATTCCCAGCACGGCAACCTTCTCACCAATCTTTGCAGCAGGGTGGGTCAAGAGAAACCGACCAGCGGTGATGCCGGCCCAGAATCCGGAACTGACATATCCGACGCGGGAAGGTTCGCCATGTCGATAGTTGATGAGGAAAGAAACCACCCAGCCAGATATGGAAACTTCGGCGCCTTGGTATGCAAAAATGAATAGCGCTCCCAAGAGGGTGGTGCGGTTTCGAATGGCTTTTTTGAGGAGCTGAGTGCGACTTAAATGCTCTTCTTCAATGTTCACCCTCTCTGCAGATATGCGAATCGCCTGTTGTGGCTCAATCGAAGTGTCTTGCTCAAAGTTTGAGAATGCCCATGAGGCAAAGGCCAAATTGAGCAAACAGACTGCAAGAGGGACAGAATAGAAAAGCGACCAGCGAATACCATGAGATTCCATGGCAGTCGCAAACAAGGGTGCAACAGTACCTCCAATGCCATATGTACCACATACCAGTCCTAGGGCCGTGGTACTATCCGCCAAGCCGGCACTATATGCATTGTTGAGGGCCAAGTTCAAAGCCACACCGAATCCCAGCAGGAAGAAACACACCACCACCACTGGAAACGGAGGCTGACAAGTGATGACAATATAGGCCGCAGCTAGGATGAACATTGACAAGGCATAAGTCTTGGAGCGTCCGAGCATTTGGTCGATAGAATGCGTGACTGGGGCAGCAGAAATGAAGCCCAGCGCATTGCCGACAAAGATTAACGAAACGACTGAATAGCTAATCTGATAATGCTTTTCCATGTAAGGAATCAACGCACCGGGAGCGCCGTCATTCATGCCATTCCCAAGAAGCATCAAGCACGCACTGAAAAGCCGCCATTTGTCTTTCCAAGAGACTACTGTTCGATCCAGTGCCCATTCAATCGTAGTGGGATTTTCAGCGATCGGTGTGTGCACCGAACTCTCCAGTGTGCCTGGTGTGGGTATGGATGATCCAGGTGATTCGTGTACCCTTGGCTCGCGGGCTTTTTGGTCTAGACTTCGTGCTGGGTGGATCTCATCCAACTCCAGGTCAGATTGAGGTTGCACAGTCCCCTGCTGATTCTGGACTGCAGGTAAGGGAGTGGTGATGCGAGCGCAGCTTTCAATATCAAGAAACACCCCCAGGCTGGGCCCAGCCATTTTGGCAAAGAAATCGGGAGGGAGAAGATAAAAATTCTGGCCTTGTTAGGTAAATGAGACTGTGGCAGGGTAACTATGAAGTAAGCTGTACCTAGAGAGAAAAAATACTCCAGGGCTTGGGGGGGCGATAGTTAATAAAGACATGTACATATTAACCTAAACTCTTTGTAATGCATAATCAAATCAACCGTTTGACTACTAATTGCTTGACAAGTGGCTCTGTCACGCGGGGTTGATAATTATTAATCGTATTGGGAGTTGCGTAGGTGCGGAACGTGGTAGCAAGGCTCGAAGCAATCAGTGCGGAGATGCCCCGCCGATAAGCTCGAAAATTATTCTCCCACAATAATCAATCCGCCATTGCATCCTTCGACCCTACAGCTCGTCAACTCTTTTCAACTTCCATTAAATTCACAATGGGTCCACCTCGTCGCAAAGTTCTGGCCACGGCCGAGGAGACCATGACCCCTCCTGACGAACTGACCGAAACACAACTGATCGTGCGGGCGATCAAGGCTACCGGAAACAACATTTACCTGATTGAAACCCCAGACAAGCAGCAGATGCTGGTCGAATTGCCGGCGAGATTTCGGTCGACTTTCTGGATCAAGCGCGGCTCCTATATGGCAATCGATACCAAAGCATCGGAGGAGCGGGACAACAAGATTGGTGGCGAGATTATCAACATTGTGCGGGATGAGAAAGCATGGAGAAAGGCTTCCTTCTGGTACGAGCTTCTACATCCTAGGACTCGATTAGCACATCACTAATGGATGCATTATTATAACAGGCCGAAGGAATTTGTCAAGCAGCCAGTGTTTACCGGCGGTGACTCCGACTCCGAGGAGGAATCTCGAGTGGGCAAAATGCCTTCATCCGATGAAGATTCTGATGCTTGAGATTTTTTGATGGGCTAAAAGTTGGACTCAAAGCCCGGTGTCTATTGAGTGCGAACTTCCTTGCGGACAACCGCTGGCTTCCTATATACCTCACCCTGTCCATTGAACCAAACGCCAAATACCTGCAAGGCGAGGGACAAAACCACAACCGCCGAGCTGGCATTGGTACTGGGGTACACGTTCCAAGACCACTCTTGCAGCGCCCACGCGATGACTATAAGAGCTGGATGGAGACCAGCGCGCCAGAGAAGGTACGGAGAAGCCCATGCCAAATAAGCAAAAAACTGGTAGTGCAGCGACCGGGCGCATAGCATGCCAATGGCCAAGGAGCTCAGCATTGTAGTCATGATGAAGGAGTTCGAAAGTTCCACCCGTGGTTGACGGCCCTGGATTGTATCCTGGAGGAAGCGAAACACATTGGATCCGGACGGCTTAATCCAGGCAATGGAGAAAAGAGCCAGGATAGAAACATGTAGCAGCAAAAGAGCCACAGAAAATTCCCTGGAGAGAAATGTCTCCTCCCCTACAAATCGCCAATTCACTGTCCACTTGAACATAAACTGTCGGGATAGTTCGAAAGCTTTCGAAAAATAGCCGGCTGCATTAGTAGCAGAGAATGGCATCGAAAGACAGAACTGTAGAACTCCGCATTAGCCAATTGATCAACAGAAGCTGCAGACCCCCTCTATCCAAAAGCTTACCTGGATTTGTAATGCTATGGCTCCAAGACAAATGCTGCGTGTCAAGCCTACACTCAGCAGAGTGATAACGGCAATGGCCGGTGCCATCAACACTAATGTCATCTTGACACCGACGCCCAAGGTCCAGGCCAAAACTCCCAGTGTCCACTGTCTTCTCAAGAAAAGCCATATGGCAAGCCACATGGCAAAGGTTGCGACTCCATCATTGAACATGCGCAGCATAAAGATGCTGTGCAGCCGCTTCGATAGCACCAGAAGAGGAAAGAGATACCCCGGCGCCCCGATCTTCTGATAGCAGCCAAAGACAACCGCCAATGTTGACAGATAAAGACCGGCAAAAATAATTTGTCCGGTGAGAATGTCACGCCCTTGATCGGTAAGGTGGTACAGAAGTGTGTAGACATAGACATGCGCGGCGGGATAAACGAGGGGGCCGGTCGATCCTTTGATTGAGGGATAATCACGCTCTCCGGAGACGTAGAGGGAGACTTGCTGCATGTAGGTTGACCAGTCAATCTCGGTATCTGCATGGTCATGGGTAATTAGCTCTGTCTTGACTAAACGCGTGTCGCGGGTATCTAGGCTTGGGGGGGAACCAAATTACAGGAGATCTTCCATATCACCAGGGTGCAGAGGAGTGCATCGCACACGATCAGAAAGGGGGCCATCCATCTTGTGTGTTTGGGATGGTTCAGCACGTTGTAAATGAAGCGTGCCCAGGGCATGTTGGCGCGTGTTGGACGGGAATGTTACAGCTGGCCGGAGCTCTTTTAGCGGCACATCACCACATTATTTCAGGTGGGGCCGACATGGATCATCCCGACAACTCTATAGAAAGTGTTACAACTCATGAATAAATCTCGACAACCCACATTGTTCTTCGCTTGTTGTATGACGCAAATAATCTCAACATTTGAAAGCTAATTAGTACAATTGCGAAGTCTATTATTGAAACAGAACAGAAAGATTCGAATTTTTGAATATACTGCATGATGTAGTTTCCATTGCTTGCGTTCATCAACTAATCTCTGGAAAGGCAATAGATCTTCTTAACATCTCCAAGGGTCTTTTCGAAATCAACCTTGAGATCCTTCAGCAATCCATCACGAAGATCAAACACCAATCCGTGAACAATGGGATATCCGGTTTCCTCGTAACTTTGCTGAACCGCCGCGGTCTTGATAACGTTCCTGCAAGACTCCACCACATTCAACTCCACCAGTCTGTTATATCTCTCCTCCTCATTGGCAATTTGATCGAGTTCTTTCTCGTGCAAACGATACACGTCCCGAATATTCCGAAGCCACGGGTTGAGAATGCCCAAGTCGGCGGGTGTCAGCGCAGCCTTAACCCCTCCACAACTGTAGTGACCACAGACGATGATGTGCTTGACGTGCAAGTGCCTAACTGCATAGTTGACCACGGACATGACATTCAAGTCCAGGTTAGGGACCAGATTGGCGATGTTCCGGTGAACAAATACCTCTCCAGCCTCTAGGCCCATAATCTCGTTCGCGGGGACACGGCTGTCACTGCATCCAATATAGCTAGGCGGGGTAAATTGCAACGATCAGTACTGGTACCAACAACAACCGCGGGCAAATGCCATGCTTCTACTTATAGGTATCACTCACAGGTAGTTAGGCGCCTGTCCATCGGCCAGTTTTTCAAAAAAGATCGGGTCGCGACCCTTCTCATGAGCCCAATCGCGATTGTTCTTGAAAATAGTTTCCAATGACTTGTGGGCATCGAATGGCTTATCGCCAGCATCTGATGGGGCCGTGGGAGCCATATGGTCGGATTTGAACAGATAGTAATCGAAAAAATTTGCTGGTCGGAGGATTCAAATGTTGAGAAGATCAATATCGGAGATCAGAATTTAGAGACAGCCCACCAGAGGGGCTATCTTTAGCAGGATTCTTACTAGTTGATCGCCTAGTGCGGAGTAATATTGTGGTATTTTTACACGTTGGGAACACCTCTAAGCCGGATTCGTTATAGTGCGAGACATGCGCATGAAATTGATCGTACACGTTTGTGATTTAAAACTCATCAAATATTCACTCATTGCTTCGAGTTTCCCATGGTTAAAAAACTTACTAGTAGATATGATTTACTGTTTAGAATTCAGGCCCACTTCAAGCCTCCGAATAGAACGGTTTCGGCTCGGGTTTGTCGGCTGCGAAAAAATGCCGATACCATCCAAAGCTCCTCGTATGGTTAAGTACAAAGCCAAGTACGGTAAGACTGTTCAAGTATTGAAGTTTCAAGTTGGGCTGATTGAATGGGAGACTCCAACATTGAAAGTTCGTATTTCTTTTGTTGGCCAAATACGAACTCCAGAGGAATCGGTCTGTGACGTCACGTCATGTAACCATGTTTTGATTCAGCTTACCAGGAAGTACCGAGGTAGTATACGAGTTCTACATACTATTCGTATGACATCGATCCGCGAATCAATCGGGATTATCGTGTTCAATGTTAAGGAGGACATTTGATCGCTTTTATCTCAAGTGCTTGCTTCTTCAAAATTTATCTCAGTCCGTTGATTGCATATCGTGATATAATGTGCCCCTTGCATACTTACTGCATGTTATCATACTGAAGATGGGAAGTACGGCTAACAGCATATGTATAAATTCAGTCAAAGGCTCTTGCAGACCAGCAAGAACCCTAGTATGACTTTCAGTATGTAGCATCCCATTATTTAAAATCGAACCATTCAAATCAGATTCGAGTTAAGCGAATGCATCATATTCCGGGCGGCGTTCGAAGGGCCCCTACTTAGTAGTACTTAGCACGCGTCTCGCGTCTCCCCCGACGATCATCCTTCCCACAACCTCTCCTATTTCTTTTGCGCCAATTGGCATATTTGTGGAATCATCTCTCGCCATGCCTCCCAAGCGACCATCGGATTCATCGGCGCCAGCCGCCAAAAGGCAAGCAAAGAAGCCCAAGAGCGACGCAGTGACAAATGCCGAAGCGATACCGCTGTTTGGTCCTCGCGCTTGTTCTCTGTCACGCTATAGCAATGTTTCTGTCACGAGGAACTCACACGTCATGTACTTGAAGTCTACTCTGGACCCCGAAAAGGCTTACGCGTTTCAATGCCTGTGTCTGGCCCAGTTTCGAGAGGTCGTGACTAGCATTTCCGATGAATATGACGATGAAGACGATGATGAATGGAGCGGTGAAGACGACAAAGATGATGGAAATGAAGAAAATGAAGACTCTTCCAACAAGAAACAGGAAAATGCCAAGGGTGGAGAGAAGGTGAGTAGAGACGAGCATTGTCTTATCCACGCGCTGACGCTAGGGAACAGCCAAAAATCCCCAAATGCGATCGTGGTGAGACCTGCTTGTGCGGAAAACCGGCTGCAGAGCACCCAGAACATCCCTGGATCACGTCCTTTGCCGGATTCCAAAAGGCCGGAGACATGAATTGCCAAGCCTCTGTCCGTGTACCGGACTTCTTCAACATGTACACGTACAATGACCACGCTGGTTATGGTGTGATGGAGGTGGTTCAAAATCTGATCCTCGATTTCAAAGCAGCGAGAGAGTTGCCGATGACATGGCCAACCACATGGAAAGAGATGTGGGCTCTTTGCGAGGGCTTTGCAATCTTCTGCATGAAGGGTAATGTCGATTGCTTCATGACGTAGGTTTATCTTTCCAATCCTGTCTTGGTCCTCCTTTTTATATGGCTGCTGATGATTTTTCACTAATCAGAGTGGATGATGGAGAAGGTGTGGAAGCACTTTGCAAGTTGGCTTCCCAGATGCTCCTTGAGATGTTAGCCATCCTGGAAAAATGCAATCTTCTGGGTCCAGAGTCCGAGGTCAAAAATCTTGGCCTGATTATGGCATTATTCCTACGTTTCGGGAAGGAGCTTGAATTTGACGATTTCGCGGTCGATATCTTCGCCTTCGCTAAGAAGCACAGCATCAAGTTGGTTGGGCTATCAGAGAAGCACTTTGATGAGCTGCAGCATGAGTACGAGGGTAACGATGGTAATCTGTCAGATGAACGTGAGAAGCCCAAGTCATTTGATGATGCCTTTGCAAGCTATAAGAAGTCTGAAGGAACAATCGGTGGTGACAAACTAGATGTCACATCCTGGACTACCGCTGAGCGCAAAGAACACAGCTTCGACAAGAAAGATCCTTTCGATGCCAAATCAAAGGCCGCAATCAAGGCTGGTGGAGTTCTTTCATTCTCTTAGGGACGCTCCAAGGTGGAAATATTTCGTTACGAGATGTCTGTGTTTGCGAACCGTGTCACAGGAAAGCCATCCTGCTTTCCAAGACACGTATACTATGAGATAATAGCCACAGTATTAGAGAAAATATATGACTTATCTTATTCTTAGACAAGATTATCATATGAAAAAGAAAGGCATGGTCCTATTCAGTCTCAAAATTCAAAAAGTGCCAGTTGGGTTTATTAATGGAAAAACAATTAGAGGCGCATGCATACTATGGAGGATTTACCATGCTAGACTGCTTTGGGTGCAGCCACATCGTAAGCACAAATTCACAATTGTGTACCTGAGGCTGCATTTGATTCTTTATCAAATCTGAGAAATATTGTATCTGGTGGTACAACCCTTCCGTCGTTTCCAATTTCTTGCATTATTTTCCCCCTCGGCACCTCGCATACCATGCCTTCTAAGCGCCAGCCCAATTCTACCGGGAAAGACCAATATATAGAAAGTACTTATTCGACGGAGGTAGTCGTTGGGCGAAAACCAAAAGATGGAAGGAATGCAAAATCCACGAAAACAGCTGAGAAGAACTCTAAGGGTCGAAAAGGTACTGTCTTAAAGGTCTAGCAGGTTTCATGGCCTTGCCCTCCTTGCACAAATCTTTGAATCAGTGGTAGGGGATATTGGCTTATCGTGATATACCAGATTCGGTGACTCAAAATGACCCATCCAGTCCATTACTTGATGTCTACGTCTGCGGAAGCAACTGCTACGGTGAACTTGGTCTAGGAGATTTGACAAAGAAGTCAGAATTGCCGCGCCCTGTACTCAACCAAAAATTCGATGCACAAGTTACTAAAGTCATCCATGTTACTGCCGGAGGTGTCCACTGTGCGGCCCTTACTCGTGACAACCAGATCTTGACTTGGGGCGTCAACGACGAAGGTGCCTTGGGAAGAGATACAAAGGAAGATAAAACCGCAGATAGCAACAGAGGCAACACCTCATCTGGTGATGAGAGCGATGATGAGATTACTCAAAATCTAAAAGAAGCCACCCCGTTACCTGTCGATCGGTCGTTTTTTCCAAAGGGCACTGTTTTTTCCCAGCTTGCTGCCTCGGACAGCGCGACTTTTGTTTTGTCCACAGAGGGCCTCGTGTATGGGTGGGGAACATTCCGGGTACGTTTGCGATTGTCTTGTTCTGTACAAATGTCTCTTAAGATTTGTCAACTAACTCATGGTCAAAGGGTGCAAACGGAGGCATTGGATTCTCTCCTGGAAGCAAAAAAGAGCAAATGACGCCTATTCTGATTCCTGGTGTCCATGATGTTAACAAAATTGTTGCTGGTGCCCAACATATACTAGCACTGACAGCAAAAGGCACTGTTTTTAGTTGGGGCTGTGATGAACAACATCAACTTGGGAGGCGCCGTGCAAGTCGCCATCATAAATCCCATCATCTTGTCCCAGATTTATGCGCTCTCCCAACTGGAGTCCGAGATATTGGAGTGGGACAATATCACTCTTTCGCGATCCATACCAAGGGTCATGTATACGCATGGGGCTCCAACAATTTTGCCCAAACGGGCGTTGCAACGAGTGCGGGACTGAACGATGCCATCGTAGTCTATCCCAATAAAGTCCCTAACTTACAGAAACATGCTTCGCTCGTCTCGATTTTTGGCGGAAAAGACCATAGTATGGCCATCACTGAGCTCGGCGAATGCCTGATTTGGGGTCGCATTGACAACAAGGCCCTCGGCATTGCAGTCGAAGATATGCCCGAAGCAGACATTATCTATGATAAATATGGCAAACCAAGAATATTGAAAAACCCCAATCTCCTGACCGGCGTTAGGGGGAAAATAGTCTTTGGGACAGCTGGAACGGACCACTCCTTTGTGATTACGGAATCTGGGAAGGCCTATAGCTGGGGTTTCAATGCCCAAAGTCAGGCTGGTCAGCCCGGTTTGGATGAGGTTGAAAGGCCCACCCTTCTTCACAGCAAATATCTCGAGGGGAAAAAACTAGTTTCAGCGACTGCGGGTGGTCAATTTAGCATCATTCTTGGTGATGCTTCGTGCAATTGACAAAGTTGGGTCATCTGCTCTCAAATTTTGATCTTGAAGTGATTTCTTGCTCCCTTTTTCATCTGTAATTTTTGCTGCGTTTGTTTCTGATTAAAAAAACCTGCTGCCCCAATTATGAGCCCAACGCCACAGCAAGGCCCAATAAGGAACAGGCTTAGATCCATATCGGAATCACGTTTGCCTTAGTACGTGCCCAGCCGAAGGTTGTCTAAGCTTTTTATTTTGACCCAGGGCTTTTTCCTATATTTTCCATTTTATTGTTTATTCCAGATTTCCTATCCATGGCAAGAATATCTCCCTATGTAATTGGTCGCTTTGATTTAAAGATCTTTGAAGCGCCTTTCTCAAGCCAAACTTCGGGTACTTTCTGTTTCTGCGCAGCCACCGGCGGTTATTCACTTTTTTCATCAGTAAAGTTCTATAAATATTACACTCTGTCAACTCAAAGCTCTGGAAGCTTCCTTTTAGTATGCATTAGGTCAATATTTGGTGTAGATGGTAGTGAAAGAACTGGGCTCGAGGGCAGTAATTACCTTTGACAAAGGCAGTACTTACCGGTATTTTTGACCAATAGGTAGTACCTAGTAGGTATATCTACTTAATGATAGCTACTACGTGATATTCGAAAGCTGTTTTATTTCATTCAGAGGCCCTATCCACAAGTACACAAGTAGTAAGAGCTTGATCCGATACAGAAATTGATTTACTTGGAACGTTTCTTTCGTATAGTTGGCTTTACTGGCCCAATGCGTTGGCCGCACTCTGTGCCCGGATGTACCTACTCAAGTGCTAGGTAGTACGTGTTTATAGTATAGTTATGGTAGAAACAGGTATTGGTTATATACCCCTCTTCTGTTATAACTAGGCACCTCCCTGAGTCCATAGGTCCTTACGAGCCTTGAATTTGGATCTTGTCAGGTTTTTTCTCCCTCAAATCCAACGCTTCAAGTGTAAAAAACTCCACCTTTACTCCGGTTCTTGATCCAGTGCTTCTGCCACCGTGAGTTTCAAATGTTTCTAGGTTTACCTTCAAACTTTTACTTTGATCGGACAACTTCAAGATCAACGGACTGATGGATATCTCTCACTCAGTACCATAATGGATTTCATGGATATAGCCAGTAAGTACAAAACTTCCAAGGCTCGAGTCTCACACTCTCTCTAACTGCACTTTATATCCTCGATTGTATCCATAGATACGCTCAGGTAGTCATCGTCGCTAACATCTTATGTATGTAGATACCTTTATTGAACACTGGTTCGGAACATTCGATAATGCAGAGCAAAGGTCCAATCTTGTCTCTCTATACGTGAGTAAACTACAAGACATATTTCAGGACTTCCAATGTTGGAAGGTTCTGGATCACAAATTAGATCACTAGCTAATTCAAAATTAGGGGCCCGAGTCGATGTTGGTATGGGAAAGCGCGCAGAAACTAGGCTCTGAGGATATCATGGCCACTTTGACTGTAAGTTTCCGCTCATAGGTATTAAATGCATGTGAGTGGGGCTGACTCATAGCCTGCTTTGCTTAACTAGAAGCCCGAGTTGTCTGTTGTGAAAACTGTCGTTTATACAAGGGATGCCACTCCAGCTATTGCGGGGGGCTTCTTGATCACAGCTACCGGAAGTTTGGCTGTAAGAAACCCATTCAAATGTCTTCGTGGTTTTACAAGACTAATTTCTGGAGGAAAATATCTTAGGTTGATAATGACTTCGACAAACCAATGAGCTTTACCTCAACTTTCCTTCTGCAGCCTATCCCTGATACCGATCAGGGTGGATATTTTGTTTACAGCCAAATTTTCCGACTGGTCATAGGTTGAAAGGGGATTTATAACCACCAGCTACGTACTAGTAGTGTCTGAACTCAAAGGCTTCTCTAGGACCTTGGAATCAACGATTCTTGGCTGCGTGTTTGAATCAATCATAGAACTTGAATTGAAGTGCCATTAATACTATGGATTGAGGTAATTATATTTCCTTGTAGCACATTCAGTCCTTTCTGACATTACTGCTTTAAGAAGCCTTAGGTACTGGGCATATATGCAGTTTGATAAATATAATTTTGAAGATTCATGGGTAATGATAACCAATAGGGGTGTAGAATCAATAGTCTACTCAGTCATACTACTACTAGATACTGCAATATTGGGTGTGGAAACAAAACAACCTTGAAAGGTTGACTTGGAAGAGAAAGATATTTCACTAATCTGTGTCTTAGTTAGTATTCAAAATCATCAATTACCCATTCTCGTCGCCGCGTGGTTTTTTTTTTTTCTCTGGTTTTTTTTTTGGTTTTGTTTTGACATTTATCGACACTTGCCCTCAAGCACAGCTCCGCACCTGGGCATCCAAATTTCAGGTATTCCGTGTCAGGACAATACCGTGCGTCTTTACAGCCCTTTTTTTGATTATTCGACTACCTAGAGAAATATGATTAAGAGCTTCTTGTTTTTTACGCATTTGCCAGGCATAATTGATTTTCTTAAAAATACTTCATAGACGTGTAAATCGTGAATCGTGATCCATCCTGTCACATGACCGGCCCGCTGTTGATGCCTTTCACATCTTGAGCGAACAACACCACTGCAACAATTTCGATTTCCGCAATGGATGCTGTGGAGGATCGGGAGCTAAAGCTCCAGCGAGCTTCTGGTGACCTGGTGACGGAGTTCTCGGAAAAGCTACCGTCCCTGTTGTGGAGATTTGAAAATGGAACCCCTCTCCGCACCCCACGCAAATGGGCACCAGTCTCCAAGACGGAGAAGCTCGTAGCCCTTGTAAGTCTTTTTGATCGTGGTCTTCGATCAAAGGTCCTAATTTTTCTGTAATCATACTGACCGACATTCATAGCTTGAACCTTTCCAAGAATGGCCTCAACTCTTGGACCCGCATTTGCAGAAGCTTTTGCCTCCTCTGGTGGATGCATTCCTGGCTTATCTGATCAAGCATCGTAGTCAATATAGCGGTCAAGCGACAAAGATCTCCCAAGGCCCAGCCGTTTATCCTCTCCCAAAGGCTATCTGCAGGCTGCTTTACACATTCTGCAAAGTTCGTGGAGCCAAAGTGATCAGCAGATTCCTTAACAATGAGCCCAAGTACCTTGATTCGATGTTACGGGCTTTTGTGGAGTGGGACAACGCTTCTATTCCAGATCCCACAGATGACTCGTTAGAACCAACCGCACAAACTCTGCAGTGGGAAGAACGTTATGTGATGCTAGTCTGGCTCTCGCATCTCCTGCTCGCTCCATTTGATCTTTCCTCGCTATCTTCAGATGACATTCCGGTCCCTTATCAAAACCTGCAACAAGTTGGAGTTATTTCCGAGGATACTCCAATGATCGCAAAGTCACTTCTGTCTTTGGCCCTTCATTACATCAATGTTCCTGGCAAAGAGCGAGAGGCTGCAACTGCCCTTCTGGCACGACTTGTTTTGCGCGGGGACATGCAAGCCCTTGGGTTTTTGACGTGTCTTACAGACTGGGCCTTTGCTGTCTTGAAGCCCGCAGATAAGGAGGAATCGCCTTCCGTCTATTCCTGCATTGGAGTCCTCTCGTTTATAGCCCGGCTGGCTGGTTCTGGCCAGCTGGATGTCTTTGCTCCTTTACTCAGTAGCGTTTTTGATCAGACAATCGCTGTTTCACAGGGCAAGTCAATTGTGTCTGATATTATTCAATCCTCTGCGATGGCCCGGAAGATTGTGGTCAAGATCCTTCGCAATATCACGGTTATGGCTCTGTCTCTGAGTGAAAGAGAAGATAGCACTCTCACTGATGATCAACTGTCGACCATCTTGGAAGAGGCCATCGATCACTTCCTCGTGGCTCTTTCAGACAAGGATACACCTGTGCGGTTTGCTTCGAGCAAAGCACTTAGTGTCATCACCTTGAAACTAGATCTGGAAATGGGAGCCGAAGTCATCGAGGCCGTCATTGGGTCACTTGGAGAAAACATTCTTTATGAAAAAGATGACGGTACTTTGATTACCCCATCCGAGGCACGTAATGCGGGTCTCAACTCACTGAAACGTAACACCAGTGGTGTTGATGCGCAAAACTGGCAGGGCTTGATGCTGACTTTGTCCCATCTACTCTTTCGTCGTGCACCTCCGACCAATCAACTCCCTGAGATTCTCCAATCCCTTATATCATGTCTCGACTTCGAACAGAGATCATCCACTGGCAGCTCGGTGGGAACGGGTGTTCGAGATGCCGCCTGCTTTGGTGTTTGGGCCTTGTCTCGTAAGTATACGACCTCTGAACTGGAGGCTATGGATGCCCAAACCATCCCCTCGGTTTCTGGTCAAATTAAAGTGGGTGTTTTGCAAAAGTTAGCCGTGGAGCTGGTTTGCTCGGCTTGTGTAGATCCGTCCGGGAATATTCGACGTGGAGCCTCTGCTGCTCTGCAGGAGCTAATCGGTCGTCATCCCAATATGATCACTGAGGGTATTCCTCTTGTACAGGTCGTCGACTACCATTCTGTTGCGCGGCGTTCCCGTGCCATGATAGATGTCGCCAAATCTACCGTTTCGCTAGACCTTGTTTATTGGGGACCACTCTTGGAGACTTTGATGAATTGGAGAGGCATCGGCTCTCCGGATGCCGAATCACGGCGACAAGCAGCTCGGTCTATTGGGTCATTGAGCAGACAAGAAAAGTTCAAGACCATCAACTCGGTTCTGCAACGGCTATTGGGCAGGCTTCCTCGCATTCCTCGGGGTGATGTAGAGTCACGCCACGGATGTATATTGTCGATTGCCTCGACAGTCGACGCCTATCTCTGTGAGTGGAATTCATCGCCAGAGACAAGGGATATGCCAGAAGGCAAAGAAGTCTCTTCGCAAATTGCTAGGTTGTGGGAAATTTTCGAGTCTCCTTCTAGTCCTACCGATAACGATCTGACCCTTCAGAGCTTCCGTCCTGAGTTGACAGCAGAGGCATATTCTTGCTTGATTTCTGCACTCTGTCAAGCAACTATCTCAGTCGGGATAGTACGGCCATCAGAGGCATTGCTCGACCGCGTTCTCCATATTCTGACCTTGTCTGTTTCCCGCGGCGAGGATATTTCAATTCAAACCTCGTCAGATGCACTCTCCCATCTATTCCCACTGTTGTTGCCAGCAAAAAAAGATGCGGCCGTGCAGACATGGTTTTCCTATCTTCGCACTTCCTCAAAACTTCCAAGTGGCCGCGGCCAAATCTTGGCCCTTGGAGCCGTTTTCAAACAGCTCATGGGTCAGGATGAGCTACAACAAGATATAATCACAGAGTTATTGAGGTGCGCTGAAAAAGAAGAGGTCATTGAAAAGCGAGTGGTTGCTGTAAGGTGCTTCGCTACCGGCATTGTGCCACATACAATCAAATTTTCGCGTATGTGTATCTTTGGTTCCGTTTGAAAATTAACATTGAAATCTGGACGCTAATGTTTACAAAGCTTTCTCTCAAACAATTGCCCACAGTCTTCTCGGTCTGCTTAATGATTATACCACGGACAGGCGAGGAGATATCGGATCCTTGATTCGGATCGAGGCGATCCAAGTCGCAAGATCACTCCAGCCAAAACTTTCACCAAAATCAGATATTGTCCTTGACCTCGCTGGGTGCCTTTGTCGTCTTGCATGCGAGAAGTTAGACAAAGTTAGGTTACAAGCGTCACTCTGTCTACAAGACTTTTTCTGGCAAATGGTGGATTTCAATCCCCTCCACAAGTAAGTGGCCCCAGTTTTGATTGATATGCAATCAGAGCTCCTTTGCTAATTTGAGCAGGAGATTCGAACACGTCAGCGACGTATCTTCTCAAGAATATTTCTTTCAACTTCTTGCATCTTGGAGTCAAGAATGGTTGCGTCTTCCATTGCTGCAGGGTCTAGCCACTTCTGCGGTTGCTGGCGCCGAGAGCCTCGTCCGCGCCTCGCGGGCTGCTCTGATTCAATTTCTCAATATCCACAACTCAAACTCAGATCCTAAAATTTTGATTGAGTTTCTGCAAGTTTTGTCAACGGCACTTAATGAGAATATTCAAGATGACCGTTATGCCATCCCTATCATTGAGCTTATTGCATTCCTGTTGGACACCTATCATAGTTATACTATTGCTGGTCCAAATGGGTCAAACCCCATCTTCCGCAGGGTCTTTATCCTTGTTCAGAAGGCTCATTTCCGGACAGCAAATATTTCTCGCTTGGAGGGCGCGGTCAAGGTCTACGCAGCTTTATCGGGGCTCGAGTCTTTGCGTGAAGACGTGTCAAAGAAGCTGACAGCAATGCTACTGCATCCTTTCCCGAGGGTACGTTTCATATTGAATTTATGTTTCCTTATACTAATATCTTGTGGTGCTAACCTATCGATTATGACAGGTTCGTTCAAGTGCAGCAGAGTATCTTTATACACTCACCGACTCTGAGGCCATAAAATACGAGGATTGGTCTGCGTCTCCGAAGGAATTGAAGGGGAAGGTAGATAGCCTAAGAGGGGTCTTGGTGCCCGCAAACTAGTAGTTCATACATGCAATAGGTACCCATGGATCACCTGAGCACTGCAATTTTCACTTGAGTAAGAATACTACCTAGCATCGCCGATAAGGCAAAAATTGAAATCAAAATAAGAACGGAAGTGTAAAGAAAGTTGTTGAGGGTTGTTGAACAAAAAGAAAAACAAAAACAAAAAGAAAAGGCTTGCATCATCCGTGAATCGAACACGGGCCTCGTCGATGGCAACGACGAATTCTACCACTAGACCAATGATGCTAGTTCATGTAAAGAGTCTCAGTTTTATGTTACATAATCTAATTGCCCATTAGATCATCTCATTTGTCCAACGTAAAGCAGAAGCTCAACCTCGCCCAGCTTCCGGAGCTCATTCTGTCGCAACAATGGCGACCGTTGGCGCATCAGAAGGGACCATGCCTCCCAATAGCACGCAAGTCACTCTCATTACCCACCCTCTCTATTAGTGATTGCTAACAGCTCTTTACAGTGTCTACGTATGATACAATCTCCCCTCACCCGCCATCTTCAACCGCTCCGCTGCCCGCAAATTGAACTGACATAGGCCTTTTCCAAACCCACCAGATTCGGAATCTAGAGGAGCACATCAAAGTTGAGCAACTGAAAGTAGCGCTCGAAGAAATTTTCGCAGAATTCGGCAATGTCGTCGAGATCGTCGCAAAGACCAACCTCCGCGCTAAGGGCCAGGCTTTCATTGTCTACGACACCGTCGAGGCCGCTACTCGCGCCATTGAAGAAGTAAACGGCTTCGATCTTTTCGACAAGCCTATGGTCCTAGATTACGCGAAGACAAGGAGCGATGCTACTGTTCTGCGGGAAGATGGCACGGACGAGCTAGAGGCTCACAAGAGGCGGCGGAAGGCCGAGAAGGGTATGTCTACAGTGCTCCCTCCATGGCCACGTTGGCTCCCGGAATTATCATGTCTAACACTGAATCTTTCTTATCCGTTATGCAGAGCGCAAACAAGCCCATGAGGCCCTCGAGGCTCAGAAGAAGCTCAAGCGCCCCGCGGCCGCCGCCGCCGAGCCTGCTCGCCCCGCCAAGATGACCAAGGGTACTGGCCTCAAGCCTACCTCCGGTGCTGCGACTGCCGTCGTCCCAGACGAGTACCTCCCGCCCAACAAGATTCTGTTCCTCCGGGAAATCCCCGACGATTCCAACGAGGAGGGTCTATCGGCTATCTTTGGTCGCTTCGAAGGATTCCAGGAAGTCAGATTGGTCCCTGGCCGCAAGGGTATTGCGTTCGTTGAATATGAGACCGAGGCAGGAGCTATCAGTGCGAAGGAGGCTACCTCGGGTATGCCCATGGGAGAACAGGGCAAAGCTATCCGTGTTACCTACCAGAGACAGTAGTTGCTTCGTTGTCGCACATCTCCGAAAAGGGAAAACTTCCTGTTGTTATTTCGCTGGCGTTTGGAGGTCTTATCTTGCAATACAAAGAGATTACCTAGGTAACTTATGTTTTACTCATTCCAATCTTTGCTTGTTTAATTGATATGATATGCTTCGTTACAGTAAATCAATGTATATTCTCGGAACTGAAGCAAAACGAACGAGGTAAAACAAAAAAGTACAGACTCGAGTTACTCCGTGGTACTTGGCAAAAATGATACAAATATCAACATCTTGGAATCAAATGCCGTGTGGACAACAGACGCAGCCCAAGATGGGGGAAATAAAAGATGCTAAGAGAAAAATAATTGCCTAGAAGATAACGTCGGTGTCTTCTTGTTCACCCAAAACATCTGTACTTTCAACCTCTTCCACCTCCTTGGCCTCCTGGGCTGGTGTTCCATCTTCTGCCTGCTTCTCGGCTGCCTTCTCGGCTGCCTTTTGCCTGGCAGCCAGCATCTCAGCGTCCGCAGCTGCAACATCACGTTGCTTCTTGTTTGAGACCTTCTTGAGGCGGTAGAATTCCTCTCGATCCAGTTCGTCGAGTTCGGAATTGATGTCTGTACAGATTTAGTTAGTGCGAGAGTGTTGATCATAGAGGAGGCGGCACAAACATTTGATGGTGTTCTCAGTTCGAGGGATGATGACATGCTCACTAGAACGTGACGTTAGTACTACATAAGACAACAAGCCCCATTTATCATGTTATGAAACTCACATGGCGTTCACTAGAAGACGAGTTAGCTTTTGTATGTAAGAACAACAGATTGAGTGATATATGCTTACCTCTCCGGTTGACAACCTTGATAACCTCGTCTAGAATCAAGAAGGCAGTCTGAAAAGATCAGCTACTAGAAAAATGCAGAATATTCAAGGTTTGTTCCTTTCTCCGTACCTGTAGACTAGCCAACTCCACCAAAGTCTCCACAGCTCGCGCATACGTCTCCCGACAGCGCTGAATCTGCTGACCACCTTTACCAAGACCCGTCAAAGCGAAATCATTAATACCCTCCTTTGTGTAACTCTCGAATTGAGGAAGGAGGACACCGGAGACGTTCTCGTGTTTCGCGCGTACTCGGAAGCGAGCTTGTTTGGCGGACTCCTGAACCTGATATCCGATATCACCACCCACTGCATAGCTCACTTCAGCCAAGGAGAATGCCGCAACTTGCATGACCCGACCCATTTTCTGCTTAGCCTCATCGATGCGACGTGTGATTTCTGCGAATTGATGTTAACTCTTGGGGAATAGGAATGCGGGATGCGGGGAGGACCCGAGCCCAACTCCTCAATACATCGTACCTCGGAAACGTCTATCAAAACGTATAAGTGATTAGTGGAGATCTAAATATTGAGTGGGATTTGGAGTTCATACTTGGTCAATGCTTCACTCTTTCGCTTCAATAAGCTGTGTCCAATCTCGGCTCCCTTCAGCTTGCTCTTCATCAACCCCAGTGATTGACGAGTTGGGAAAACTGGCTCTCGGCCCTGCAAGAGAAGAAATTAACCAAACTGGTACAGTAATAGATCACGATAAGACTGCACTTACCACAGCACCCGACATGACGGTAGCTTAGAAACCAAATGGAGAACTAGCCAGACCAACAACCGTTGTAAACGTGCACCACATTGATATGACGCCGATAAAGACACACCGCTTACCCGATATGGCTCGTACTTCAGATCACGTGATGGGCATACGACTTCATCGTTTCATCCTTCACGAACGCGACTGCGAATTCCTTGTGAAGTTCACCACCTGCGCCCCTTTTCTCATGCTGCACTAGCGACCGTGTGAACTGATCCCGCTCGAACAGAGTGGCGCTATGCCAGGGACGCTCCTGCCCCCGAGATCAAACCGGCAGCACGCACAGATGGATCGCCCATCTGCGTCCCGGCCGGACCTCTACCTGATTGTAAGTACCTGTCACACGTTCTTTTTCCTGAACACCAAATATCCAGAGCTGATATATACCTCTACCAGACCGATCACGATACTGTCTATGAACAAGACTTGCTGCGCGAAGTCGGAAGCATTAAGCCATGGTTGGCCTACATCGAATTCAAGCAGCAGAATGGCACGCTTTATGAGCAAGCATTTGTATGTTTTCAGATTAGAAACACCCAAGGTTGCTGGATTGCTACTGATGTTGTTCCTTTTAGATCATGGAGCGTGCTTGCCGACAATTGCCTCGGTCATACAAGTTGTGGAAGATGGTGAGAAACACGCGGAAAGTGATCTTAAATACTTGATCGACTGACTGATTATTGTGATAGTACCTCGAGTTTCGAACAAAGCACCTTAAAGGCCGCAATCCGACTGTCTACCGCGCGGAATTTCTGAAGGTGAACGCCCTTTTCGAACGAGCTTTGATTCTTCTCAACAAGATGCCTCGTATCTGGGAGATGTACCTCACAGTTTTGATGCAACAGCCCATGGTGACACAAACACGGCGCACCTTCGATCGGGCTCTTCGTGCATTGCCAGTCACCCAGCACAACCGAATCTGGCGACTGTACAAGGGCTTTGCACGATCTGCATCTGGGCAAACCGCTGTGAAGATCTGGGCCAGGTACATGCAAATCCATCCCGAGAATGCCGAGGAATACATCGATATCTTGGTTGAAATGGGTGAATATACGGAAGCTGTCAAGGTCTTTATGGAAATTCTGGACAACCCGCGGTTCGAATCGAAGCAAGGCAGGAGCAATTTCCAGCTTTGGACCGAGATGGTTGACTTGTTAGTCTCCAAGGCCAAGCAGATCGAAACAGGCCCACAAGTGGGAATTGATGTGGACGCCATTCTGCGAAGTGGCATTGATCGATTTGCAGATCAACGAGGAAAGCTGTGGGCCGGCCTGGCGACGTACTGGATTACCCGGGGTAACTTCGAAAAGGCACGCGATGTGTTTGAGGAGGGGATTACTACCGTTATGACGGTCCGTGATTTCACCTTGATCTTTGATTCATATGTCGAATTTGAGGAATCAATCATCGGTAGCCTGATGGAAGCTGCAGCTGTTCGTTCCGAAAAGGGCAAACTCGACGAGGAAGCTGACTTTGATCTCGACTCACGAATGCTGCGCTTTGAGCAATTAATGGATCGACGACCATTCCTGGTCAATGACGTTCTTTTGCGACAGAACCCTAACAACGTCATCGAATGGGAGAAGAGGGTGGGTTTGTGGGGAGACAACAAACAAGAAGCCGTCAACACATACACCGCAGCTATCGCAGCTATCAACCCCAAGAAAGCCCATGGCAAATTCTCCGAGCTGTGGGTCAACTATGCCAAGCTCTATGAGAATGGTGGAGACCTGGGAACCTCCCGAGTCATTTTCGAAAAAGCTGTCAAGGTCCCCTTCAAATCCGTGGGCGAACTGGCCGAGACATGGTGTGAATGGGCCGAGATGGAGCTTCGTGCAGAGAACTTCGATCAAGCTGTTGACATCATGGCCAAGGCCACTCAAGCTCCGAAGAAGTCTACTGTAGATTTCTTCGATGAGACTCTGTCTCCGCAACAGCGAATCCACAAGAGTTGGAGGCTGTGGAGCTTCTATGTCGATCTTGTTGAAAGTGTGTCCTCATTGGACGAGACAAGAAAGGTCTATGAGCGCATCTTCGAGCTTCGCATTGCAACGGCGCAGACTGTCGTCAATTACGCTAATCTGCTGGAAGAGAATGAATACTTCGAAGATTCTTTCAAGATTTACGAGCGTGGTCTAGATCTCTTCACCTACCCCGTTGCCTTTGAACTTTGGAATCTCTATCTGACCAAGGCCGTGGATCGCAAGATTGGAATCGAAAGACTCCGCGACCTTTTCGAGCAAGCCTTAGATGGCTGCCCACCAAAGTTTGCCAAGCCTCTTTACTTGATGTATGGAAATCTGGAAGAGGAGCGAGGTCTTGCACGACACGCGATGCGTATTTATGAGCGTGCAACTCGGGCTGTTTCCGATGAGAATCGGTTCGAAATGTTCGAGTTTTATATCACCAAGTCCGCCTCGAACTTTGGTCTCACATCCACCAGACCTATCTACGAGCGTGCAATTGCAGCTCTGCCCGACCAGGAAGCCAAGGAGATGTGTCTCAAGTTTGCCGAGATGGAACGTAGGCTGGGTGAAATCGACCGAGCCCGTGCGATTTACGGCCACGCCTCGCAATTCTGCGACCCTCGCACGAATGCTCCCTTCTGGCAGAAATGGGAATCTTTCGAAGTACAACACGGAAACGAGGACACATTCAAGGAGATGCTTCGCATCAAGAGAAGTGTCCAGGCTCAATACAAGTATGCTTATATCCCCACCCAATTTATCCTTGACAGTCAGTTTACTAACAATATCACAGCACCGATGTCAACTTCATTGCTTCACAGGCCCTTGCACGCAGTCAACAACGCCCTGATGGCGAGCAAGGCGAGAATGGCGATGAAGATGCAGGCCAGGCAAATGCCATGGCTGCTATTGAACGCCAAGCTCGTGCCCCCGTGGGTTTTGTTGCTGCTAGCACTGGCCCAGAGGGTGGTAACCGTCCTCCGCCCGCTGGCGCAGCAGCCCCCGCAGCCCCAGCCAACCCCGATGCTATCGATCTTGATGATGATATGGATGAGTAGGCAGTCGATATGTCTCACTACCTACTAAGCACATCCCAGAGGAAGACCTTCACATAAACATGCTCAACTGAATTGAACGCTCTTTCATTTCATCTCTCTCATGTCGCTTTGTTTCCCCCGAATCTTCTCTTCTTCTCTTCTTCTCTAGTATTAAGTACCATTGACATACAGTCATACCAGTCATATCAGTCATCTTTGTTTTGTTTCTTTTACGTCATCTCCAGTCTGATCACGACTTGCTATCTTTTTTTTTTCTCAATTGGCTCGACCCTATCCGGCTCGAGAATGAATGAAAACTTCTCCCATTCTATTGTTAACATTATTCATTTCCACGCTTCTCATGATACCTCGTTCCATTAGGGCTCCCCTTATACTTTGCAGAACCTAGTTACCTTATCTTTCGAATTCTCTGTGTGCATTGAAGTCCTTCAGACTGTATTGGAATCTTCAATTATGCACATGTGTTTGGTGAAATGGAAGTTTTCAGAGGTTCCAAGGTTTTCACAATCAGGTTAGAGAATTGTAAGAAAGATCTCGAGGGGCGTATACTAGTTTATGTAGGTAGTATTGATAATGCTTGCTCTTAATAATGCTTGATCTTAGGGTTCTTTTATTCTTTTATTATGACACAGTGCGAGCAAAATAATCGCACTTTATCTACAGTCGAGATCAAGTAGAAGGGAAGAAATATCAAAATTACAAAGTCCAAAGCTGCGACCCCAACGCTATTCTATATGTAAATGCAGACAAAAAGCAAAGAAGCGAGGACCGTGAGCGCTCAGAAGGATTCATAGCTCTTACGAGAGTGTGCCCTCCTCGGTGGGAGCAGGTTGACTGTCTTCAGCACCAGTCTCAGCCTCCGCTATTTGTTCTACGGCAGATGCTTCCGGGATAGCGGCCTTCTCGCTCTCATTTGTCACATCAAGACTCTGCTTGGCCGGGGACGCGACTCCAGACCCAGGCTGAGACTTCTCAGCCTCCTTGCCTGCATCGGGGAAAATCTCAGCAAACAGGTCTGGCAAGAATCGGCCGAGACGCTTGCGAGTTTCCAGCCACATTTCTTCTTTTCTAGGATCTTGCGACGGAGGCACGAGGTAACCGCCATCGGCCATGACCAGGAGGATATTCTTCAAGCTCTCCGGAATCGCTTCTTCCAGGCTATCGCCCTGGCCACTGTTCATCATACGGTCAAGAATATCAAGGATCTGAAGCCAGAGAGGAAGCATGCCCTCTCTATTGGGAAGCTGATCGAGGAAACGCAGGAAGATCTTGCAAACAAGGGTCGCCGCTTGGACTCGGGTCTCGCTCATGCCAATAGGGTCGGAGTGGTAAACCTCGGGCTTGAGAAGGCGCAAGACAAGTGGGAAAAGGACCTCATCGAAGAGAGTGGCCCATTCCTTGTCGTCGCCGGATATCAACTCGGCAGATAGAAGAGCCCTTTGGAGGGTAGAAATGGCATGGTGTCGGATATCACGGCATGGGTTGACACATTGGCCAGATAGGGTTTGGAGAATCGGGTACCAGTAGGAGGCCCAGGCTGAATATTCAAGTAGGTCAGTACATCAATTGAAGCGAAAAATAAGAGTGGTATGTTTTAAAGACTGACCTTCATGTTGCTCGAGGTGAGATTGCTTGATAAGCGTGGGGACTCGGGCAGTCAAGTGGTAGATTAAGCCAATGGCCTTGACGCCCCGGGTGACAATTTGGTTTTCGCTATTTATTTGTTAGCATTCGCCTAATCTGAAAGAATGGAAATTGTCATACGTAGACTTGGGCTGCTTGACGCCCTTGGTTCTCCGAGCGTGAACATCACTTCGACGTTCAGTAATGGACCCCACGTGTGCTGCACTAACAAATTCATTTGCAAGGGAGACAGTCGAATTGTAGTTATCGGCCGTAACAATGTCAGGCATAGACTCCACAATGCTTTGGAGGAGTTCAAACACCATAGGAGCAGACTCCTGATGTTGAATCAATCTCTGAAGAATAGACCAGAAGTCTGGAGAGATTGTGATTTCGTTTCTCAGACGGCCAGGGTGAGCCAAACATCGCGAAAGACCCTTCACCGTTGGCACGGCAAGAGTTTCCAATATGTCTTGATCGTATCCAGAGATAGCATGGAGCACGACGGGCACTCGCAGGAAGTGTTGGTCCTATGAATGGTTAGCAAATGTATGAAATTTTAGACTTGAAAATACATACATGGCTGAGTCGCAAAAGGTTTAGTAGGTAAGAAACAATGCGTGACACGGTCAACGGATGCAGATTCTTAGCATCGCGCACAAGCGTCTGCAGAGTAGTCGCAAGTGATTCTCCCAAAGCCTCAAGAGTTTCGTTATCGCGAAGGGTGAGTACAGTTGCCAACTCTAAGTTGAATATCATGGAGGGGTCGTATTTGGGCTGGTTTGGATCAACTCTAGCACCTGTAGGCCTTGATACGGGGCTTGGTCGTTCCGGCTTCACAACAATGACAGCGGGCGCATTCTCCTCTGGCAGTTGAGACAACAAAGCCTCGACAAGCTGAACAAGAGATTGCAGAGGTAGAGATCTTATCAAAAGTTAGCATGCTGATAAAAACCTGGAAATGCACTATGAGACTCACTTGAAATTTGTTAGAATTTCGGATATCGAGCAGGCAGTAACACAATCCACGGTGGAAAGGGTGTTGTCCAGCTCCTCGTCTGACGGCTCCGGGGGGTCATCAGCGGCATAACTCGAGAGGTAAGAGGTGAATGCAGAAAATAGGCCCGAATCATCACCACGATTGTCACGGTCCACAACTTGTGAAGGAGGTTGTAATGGGATAGGGGAGACGTCAAGTTCGGCTGTGAGTGCAGAGTCGAAGGGTGGAATCAAGGAGTTGATGAACAAATTACTTAGAATTCGAACAACATGCTCCCAACCCTGTTTTGGAGCAGACTCATTGCCCAGTAGAACTCGAAACAGAACGACAGTAGCCAATTGTGCTCTGAAGTCCCTTCCGAATTTAACAGCCAGCTCGCTCACCATCACACTCTTTTTGCCTGCCTGCACCTCAGTGTTCAGTGCAGTACTTGGTGGCTTGTTCGTTGCCAAAGTGCTGATCGAGGCCAGAGAGAAAACAATGCGGTCAAACGCCTCGGTCAAGCCATATCGAGCTGCTATTTGGGCACATTGGTCGAATCCATTGACAACCCGAGAGTAGACTGCATCATCAGATGCGGACATGAAAACATAAGATAGGGTTGCCACGACTGGCTTCCACGTTGCCTCAAACATGTCGGCATCATGCATATTGGTCTCCCCCACGATAATATCACCAGCACCTGATGACTTTAGCAATAGCTCTTTCCAAGCGTAATCGAATGCATGCTTGTTCTCATGTTCATCGGGAAGAATGATCTCGTTATCCTTAATGGAGTCATAGATTTCCTGGAGGAATTCCTCCGTGAAGTCACCGCCGTCATTAACTCCGCGCAAGTTCCTAGCAAAAGCGGGGAACGACATGCGATTTTGTGACTTCACATTAGGATTGTAAAGCTCCGTATTCAGCATGATGATGGCATAGGTCAGAATATACAAGGCGTCCTTGTTCGCAATTCCCTCCGGCTGCGCCTTTTCGGTGTAATGCTCTGCAAAGGTTGTAACAATTCGTTCAATGAGAGGCGACTCACCCGGTAGACGGAATGAACTAAGCAACTCGCGGAGCGCTTCAACCACATTTCGTCCTGAAAAGTCGAGAAGATCCACGAACGCGCCAAGCAACTCTTCATTGTCACGTTTTGAGATGAAGTCACCAAGGACTTTCTTTGATAAGCGGGTCGTACCTTTCAGGAAACGAGCGACCAGAACAGGGTTACTCGGGTCCTCAATAATGCCGTGCTCTGCTAGATAGGCAATTCCCGCCTTCGGATTTTCGTTGAACATTTGCGCTCCCTTGATAATAATTTTCTTGGTTTTGCGCTGTTTGCGCAGGTGCTCCCGTTGAGGGTAATCGCCTTGAATCGGTTCCTCATCAATTCGGTCGTAAATGAACTGTACGTACCCTAGGAGAGAGTCAAGGCAGAGTGGAGGCACGTTTGTGGTGCTCCAAGTGGCAGAATCGGGGAATGCATTTCGTGAGAGTAGGCCAATCATGTCCTCGCACAAGTCGGCTCGATCAACTTCACAGTCGTAGTTCACAAAAAGTTCAACCATAAAGCTCGGAATACGTGATAACACACCGATGCTTTCAACCATTGCTTCGCGGGCTTCTGGTTTCCGTGAACCACCTTCCAATCCCAGTTTCTGCCGGTCCTTGACAGGGACGGGTGTTGATCTGCCGCTGTTTGTCTGGGATGGTGGTTGTTTCACTAGTTTGGGTGTTTGGGGTACACCTTCGTAAAGGGACGGGTCAATGCCGGGCTCCCGTGGGATCTCAACACGGGGGTGAAGGCAGGCCACCAAGTATGACAAGTAAAGCTCTTGTTGAAGCTTCAGGACAGGTCGGCACGTCGATAGTAATGTACCGGCAACCCTGAGAGATCCGGCAAGAATGGCCAATTGTTCCGAACGAACCAATTGGAAAATATAACGGCAAAGATCATCTTTTGCCAAAGCAGCCAGGCTTGGATGGCGAGCAATGGAAGGTCCAGCTACTTCCAAAGCAACGTCGATGATACGTAGGGCCATTACTCTCATAGTGTCGGTGTGTTGCCGATTATGGGGATCAAGGAGGTCGATCAACACCCGGAAAAGTTCTCTAATAGAGGGCAAAGAGTATGGTTGAATATCCTCGCTCTCATCACCAGTCTGTGGGCTTGGGGTTGCGGCTGCTGCTCCACCGTTGCTGGTCTGCTCGCGAGCTCCCTCCGTGCTGGTGCTGTCTCGTTCGGCCGCGGCCGTATCTGAGCTCATCGCAGACTTGTGCTGTGAAGTAACTGTGTCACCATTTACAGACGGGTCCATCTTGAGGTTAGAGGTGTCTTTTTTGGTGCTTTCATCCGCAAATGGTATTGGCCCAGCCGGCATATCTTGATCGAGGTGTGAGAGTCGCGTAAAAATCACTTGGCACATGTTAACCATGGCCATCTCCGCGGACCTTCTTAGCACCTCGGACAGTCTACTCTGGCAGCACATGCTGAGACCCGTTTCCATCATTTCGCAGACACTCTCGTCCCCCAGTAGCTCGCCCTCCGGCCGAGAAAGCATACCTTCCATCAATTTCAGGATTCTCAGCAACACAATCTCGTCCGCAGAAGAGTCACTTGCTTCAAATCGGCAGTGTGTAATGGCGGCAGATAAGAGTTGCATTGCCATGGGGAGTCGAGGTGATTCCCGGTTGACAATGTTATAGGAAAAGAACTTGGTGACGGCGACCAGGGCGAGGGAGGTGATGGCGGCGGAGGTTGAGGAGGAGCGAATAACCTGCAGGAAAGGATGAAGCAGCGCCGGGGTATCAAAAGTGCGTATGTCCTTGCAGCCCTTGAGATCACTCCGTAGGCGGGTAAAGGCCGATATCAACGGGTTATCCTGCATGCTCTTCCCCTTCTTTCCTCGTAGGCCCCATCGATTGGCCAGGGCATGGTCGTCATCGGTGCGGGGTGATTGTGGAATTTTGCGGGGACTTGGCGGTGCAGAAGAGTCTCGATCGTATACGCGAGTGCCTCCATTGCCGCCCAGGATGGCGGAGACAGAGGAGTGCGCCCAGCGAGCATGCTTCCGCATGGACGAAGTGACGGTGATGCATTCTGTAGTTACCAAGGCCACGGGGTCTATGGCGATAGGTAGAGGTTCTGACATGGTGGAATCGAGCATCTCGACCGGGAGATGCGCCCTATGGTGTTCACCTAGAAATCGAGAATCGGCGAACAAACAGCTGGTCTCTCTGATGAGCTGCTGCTTGCCTGTCTGAGCCTAGCGCCTTCCCCGCCTGCTCACCGCCTTAGTCAGGGGTCAAGATCTTGTATTTCACATTTTCCGGTATTGAACGACTATGATTGGACAAACTATCGTTACTCCGGTATTCAGTGTGTACTTTTTCTATTTCCATTGAAAGAGAGAGAAAAACAGCCCACATGACTCTTTGATGACAAGATTGTATTGTATGCCAATGGCCAATCAAGACCCAATCTTCACACCTGGACAAGGTTCTATAGTTGAGTCTGCCTTATATGCATGTCGGATTTCTTATTGAAATGTTTAACTCCATATTTGAGTCAATTTTCTTCCATACATTAGGCAGTGGATATTTACCCGTGGATCTCGTTCAATGTAAGGTTGGTGTGAACACACCTAACTTACTTAACTAGTAGGAATATGAGTGCACAGGAAAGCCCCATTACCTAGCAACCTTTCAAGGTTTGCTCAAATATTTATGTATGTAGCTTCGTCAATCCCGAGGTCTCAGCAAGGATATTCGCCCAAGTGGGATCCATGGATCACTCCAGGGCTAAATCTCATGCATGTGGAGTAGTGGTTGGGGTGCCACTATCGGTTTGTTTATATATAGCTTCTTCGGGCAGATCCCAATACCCCATGAATAATGTGTCATTGACCCATGTGCACTCGGTAATTGCTTTGTTTCTTGTGAAATCCTCCGAGACTTGGGTCTTATTCAATGTTAGCATCGACTTAAGTAGGTATGCTTAATTGCAGGTGACACCTTCACAGCTCATTATTTAATGTTGCCGAGTTTCTTGTCTCTGTTCCCCCCCTGGGAACATACTCCGTACCCGTAACAACCCAAACCTTGGAAGTAAGAGCAAGCATATATATATTGAATCCAGACAGAAGAATCCCTTAATAAAAATAAAAGCCAAGCCAGGGGGGTTTAAAATCATAATTCTATTATGTTCCGGTGTGACTTGTCAGACAAGCCTTGCAGCTGGTTGAGGAGAGCAACGGAGGGGAGAAGAGAAAAAGCGCGTTGGCCGGACAAATGTAAACAAGCTGCACATCCACGAGCCTCTCCCAGGCGCCAAGGCCCCCCAGTTATCGCCCTATCGCACCGCTATCATATCCCCCGCTTGCGCCCAAAACATCTCTCCCTTCTGTCGCATAATATGCGCTCGCAGCCAACTGAAGAAGTGGTGGTCCTTATTTGACTTGCTGCTATATGGAGGGGGACTGCGAGTGCTGCGACTGCTTTTGATCATTTCACCCCCCGTCTCTCCAAATGGACTGTTGACACTTTACCTCCATCACCTTCTTTCCAACTCGTGCGCCACTGCGCTTTCCTTCTGTCTCTGTCGCTCTTTCCATCCCTGATCTAGCCATACCAAACACCTTCCCTTGATTTCTTATTTCAATCACTGTCCGCCTGGCAAGGCAAGTGCCACCCACCACCCATCGCCATGACGGCCAACGCAGGTGCGCCCGCGGGCACCACCCTATCGGACATTCCACTGGAACACCTCAGTCTTTACCATGCTGTCGACTCCTACCTTTCCTCCGTCCTCGTCTTCTATGGCCCCGTTGCGACCGCCAATGCCACCGTGAGCAGTTCACGTATTCAGGCGCATATTTTCAGCCCCGCAGGCTTCCAAAGTTACAATCGAATAACAATCTCGCCTGCTGCACCGCTATATGCAGCTGTAAATCACTTGCCCCGCGAAAGACAAGGTGATGCAGTTTGTCGCGCACTCGCCGTTAGCATGTTAAAATACTTCGCCGAGTTGTCTGATCCTCTGAAGATCCACTTAGCTGAAAGGTCACAGCCAGCGCGACAAGGTGGAAGGTTACCGAAGTTGTTCGACGAGATGCACGCCGCAGAGTTGGCGAGCCGTATGATAAAGGTGGAAGACTCAGCAGACATCATTCGAGATATTCGCACTTCATTCCAGGAGCGTAAGGCTCCTTGGACCGACCTCGATGTTGTCCTACCGGCCGGTACAATACAACACCCCGAGAGAAGAGAAAGCTCGGATTCGGATCTTGAAGTGTCACAGAACCTTCAATATGGCCCATATACTCCCCTCATTATGGCGCTCGGAGATCCCATGTTTCTACCTACATCACGTCTTAAACGTGCGCCGTCACAATCGACCAATGTGAGCAAGTCTAGGATATTCACACGTGGTCAGAAAGAATCTGTTCGCCTTACCATGTGTGAGCTTGTGGACACCGAAGAGCGATATGTTGCCAAATTGTATTCGCTTGTTCACGAGGTTGCGGACGAATTCCGCCAAAAAGCCCATGGAAGAGGTCCGTCCAGTACAAGTCCGGACGAGTCAGCCTTGGAAACACTCTTTCCACCGTGTTTGGATGAGATTCTGGAAGTCAATCTTGGATTCTTAGACGTCATTCGGCAGGTCCTCGACGACACCGAGAAGGACGCACTCGAAGACATTGGACAAGACACTGAGCTCCCCGCACGTCGAAATGCAGCACGAGAAAATAGAGATGTGATAGGCGCTGCTGAATTTGCCCAAGCATTGCTGGATTGGTTACCACAGTTCTCCCAGCCATATGCCGAGTACATGCGGGCACATAATGGTTTTGCTCAGATACTGAACTCGTTTATGCGAGACAAGAACTCTAGTTTTTCGAAACGTGTCTACGAGACGGGAGAGCAGAGACTTCGATCTCTTTTGATGGAGCCTGTTCAGCGACTTCCTCGCTACAGTTTGTTGATTGATACTATGACAGGAAGTTTGCCCTTGGTTCATCCTGCGGTGCGTCCTTTGCTGAAGGCTCGGGACATGGTGAAAGACATCTGCGCCCTGGAAAACTCCTCCCCGTCTGGCCACGCGCAAAGTCTTCGTCGTTTGAGGGAGCTTGTTGATGGTTGGCCTGCTAAGATATTCCCGGATGGCCGCTTGATCACGGCAGTTGATGTTGATGAAGTAACCCCTCCATACCAACTGGATGGACAGCCAACAGGCCCTGGAGCTGGGATTTTGCTTCTCTATAGAAACTGTCTCGTGATACTCGCAAAGTCTACAGATGCCCGAAGCACAGCACGTGGAGTGCTGGCAGACATTGATAATGCTGCCTCTTCAACTACCGATGCGTCCATGAATCTACCATCTTCCGAGCTCAAGGTTGCACAAGTCCTAGAGCTTCATACCGTGCGCTGTATGCAATCGGCATGTGGACGGATATTATTCATTGCGCCAGCCTCAAATCGGTCACGCCCGGACCCGCTTGACAGTGGGTCGGATCTTATAGCGTTAGAGTTGACTTCTATGTATGAGGGCAAGGCCAACCGCCTTATCGAAGAAATAGCCAAGGCTAAAATTGAAGGCCGATTCCCAGAGCAAGAGCGAGAAGGTGGCAAATGGACCTTGCGGAGTCCTCCTGCTACTCTAGGCACTACTAATATTCTGGCCTGCGTGTGTGAGGATGGCCAGACCGTGGCCTTGAATCAACCAAACTCGTCCCCCATTCGCATGGTATTTGACAAACCAAAGGGTAATTCGATTCAAACTTTGAAGAGCTCCCACTTAGAGATGATCATATCCATTTCTTTACCCAGCGGTGATCAATTTCGAATGGATGTGGATTCTGTGATTGGTGCCCCATCAACAGATCTGGTGTCGGCAGAAACCTTCATTCCAACTCTCTCCAAACGCCTGCAGAGTCTCCTTTCATCTCTCAACAGTCCTCACAACCCCAAGGTCATGACCCCATTTGTTAGGTCAAATTTTGAGATTATTCGATACATTGCAAGCGGCTTGATCACCCAGGTCAAGTCCTCCCGTGGATTCAGGCCACCTTCACCGACCAAGTTGATATCGAATCTGCTGGGGGGAAGCCGCGACAATGTCCCCACTATCAAACAGCCAAACTCTGCGACATTGTTAGGGGAATTCCCTAAGATGCCCCCTCCCAGGGCCAATCTCTCTAGATCAAACACTCTGCCTTCCACATTCCCTGGCAAGGAGAAAGAAAAAGACAAGGAGAAAGAGAAAGAGAAAGAGAAGGAGAAGGAGAAGGAGAAAGGAGAAACTCCAAGCAAAATTTCAGTGGTTGGAACGCCTGCTGCACGAGGCCCTGACGGTCAACTTGGATCACTGGAGCAAACGTTTGCAGCCTACGTGCTCTCCTTGCAATCTAGAAGTGGAAATATTCTGGGGCGTATGCTTCGCGCTAGAGATACTGCAGACCGGTCGCCAGTCAATGAGCTTTATAATATTCTGTTGGAGGACCCCTCTAAGCTTCAAGCTGCCGCAGAGGTGCCCGTTGACACCTTGTTTGTCGCATTCGAAACTTTTATGAAAAACGCGTGGAAGCGCAGTATGGGACCCGTGCTGGATGAATCATCATTGCAGCAGCTTCAAAGTCAATTTGACACCATGTTTCCTCGTGATTTTGATGAGCAATTCCGCAAGTTCCTGGCAGATACTAGCCCACAGAATCGACGTGCTTTGGCTGCGATAATCCGGTTGCTTGCTGAACTTCTAGATGCATCTGGCAATGATGGAGACCGCGGAGCACTTACAATGGCTTTCGCCGAGGTTCTTACAGAGAATGGGGCACCTGTACAGCATGTATCGCTTTTGGACAGACTTGTTGAAGACTTTGACATTCTCTTTGAAGAGTTCATTCCAGGTGGAGCCTCGGTTGAAGGAACCCTGACTTGTGATCAGACCCAATCCAAAACGTCGCACACAAATACTGGGTCTGTGGGCTCTAATAATTCATCATTCCGGAAGCGCTTCGGATTTGGTCTTCACAAGGATAGCCATAGGAGTGAAGGTGAAAGCAAAGTTGCATCGATATTGCGAACACTGAGCAAGAAACAAAGCCCAGCTGATTCAGAGCCCAATACCCCTAAAGGATCTCTTTTACGTTCTAAGTCCACTGATATAGATGCACGTTTGGGTTTCCTTCGTCCTGCATCTCGTGATCGCCCGGTCGGATTTGGTTTCTCGTCCGAAGAACAAATTTCAAGACCAGGCACTGGCCATGGACAGACCCCGTCTTTATCTTCCATTCGAGGGATATCCCACGATGGCATTATGAAACCCCGCCGAAAACGAAGAAGTTCTCTGTCAGATCTACGTCCCCAAACCGCATCTTCAGAGGCATCCAATCTCTCCAGTGTCTCCAATGTCTCCCCAACCCAAAAGTTACGCCCGGTCACTCCAAATAGCCGCCCTCGAGCTGAGCCAACTACACCAACCAGCCAGCCACCAAGACCACATAGCAGTTATTTCTCACGATCACCCACAAGGGGTACGTCGCCGGGGAAGGCAAACTCTCCTACCCGCTTTGGATCACCCATTCGACGAATTTCGCCACCACGTCCTTCGACTCCAAGTAGAAAAGAAAATATTGATCCTCAGATGGCCCAAACAGAACGGGCTGCCAAGACTTCGCGTGTCATTCCAGACTCGCCAACTCAGGAATCGAAGAGACGATCCCGCACGACTAGCATTCCACAGCGAACACCGGGACTACGAGAGAGGCCTTCGGCCAACACCGAAAACAAACGCCCGCAGTCTTCATCCTCGTCCCAAAGAACCCCAAAGTTACGGATGCAAAGCCCACAAAAGGTTAGGGCTACTCTGCAAAAATGCTCGATTTATGCAAAAAGAAAACTAATGTTCTCATATAGCTCCGTGAACGCGTCAAGTCCGAGAAGAAAACCCAGGCAACTGTACAGATTGGTCTTCGAGACGAGCTAACAGCTCTTGGCGACGAGGTGCATGCTTTGAGGCTTACACCATCGAGACAATCTAGTATGGAGCCGAATGGGAGCTCTGCTGAGTCTGAACCATCTTCAGAAAGAGATGCAATTCTAGAGAGTCGTTTCCGCATGCTCGAAGACCGATTCGAGCAGTTCGCAGGAGAATACAACGGACGGACCGCTGTACTTGAGAAAGATGTGGAATCATCTCTGGTTGTCAGTGAAAGACGAGTAAAGAAGCTGGACGAATTGTACCGGGAGGCTAGTGCTGAGAATGAAGCCCTATACGACCGGTTCAACTCGGAGCTCAGCAAACTTTCCAAGGATGTGCGAGCAGGCAGCGCAGAGGATTCTCTACAATCGCAACTCCACAATGCGATGGAAGAAATCAGCCGCCTGAAGAAAGAAAACTTCCGACTCAAGAGAGAAGTCGGAGGTCTCCGAGCTCAACAGGCTGCCGTCGCTTTATCCAGAGCAAGCGATCAATGACCAACAATGCCCGATAAACCATTAATAACCAACTGCATTCCCTACCTGCTTTTTCTTTTATCTTCTTCCCTTTACATTATTTTCAGGCTCATTATCATACGTTGCATATCACTTACCTTTCCTTCCGTGATACCACACATACACCATTTCTTTTGTGACTCTCGACGTCTGTCAATCCCTGGCATGTCGAAGGGGTCTGTCTGTCTGCTTTCTTCAATCCATTGAACTTCACTGTCACTTTCCAGCCTCTCCCATACGAACAAATGATTTTGTGTCATGCATAATTCTGGAGATCAAGTCCAGGCCTTTTCTTTCTTTGTTTTCATCTATCTTATTGTACACTAGCTGCTTTAGCTTCCACTGGCCTACCCATAAGGCGCAATGCATCAGTATCAAGCATCTTGTACATCCACTCCCAGTTCAATACCCATGTCCTGCCTCCTGCAATAATCTCCACCTCATTGGCAATATTTTCCTTACGTCGAACACCCGACAAAGGAAATCCAAGTACTGGCAATGCCAGTAGCTTGTTGCCTTCTTGTGTCTCTGGTAATATAGGACTATCCATATTTTGTAATAAAACAGGAAGTGTAAAGCGCGCCGGACCTGGGGCCTGAGCGGACAATAATTTGCGCAACTGAGTCAGCAGAAGTGCAGGAGCAATGTTCTTACGCCCTTTGCTAACTGGTTCATTGCGCATAGTTTGGAAATCGGGTTCTTGGAGAGGTCGTATAGTGAAAGAAACGCTGTCTTTGGATCCCGCGCTTATGGACTCAGCTCGATGTCTCCCTTGAGGTGTTATAGACAGTCGAAGCCAGTATCGGTCATCCCAGAGTGTCCACTGGGAGTATCTAGGCCGGGAATCAGTGGCTAGCTCTTTCGGCGTCGGCATGGGAATCTCCATAGATGTGACCGGTGATCGGTTTTTCATGAATGGCTGCCGTGAAAAAAGCCACGTATTGCCGCCAGACGGTGACTGCGTAGGCGACGAAGGCACAGGTGTGAACATGACACCGCCTAATGTGAACTGCTTAGGTGCAGTGTCCTTTTGGACATGTCTCTCGTCGACTGGGCCAAAAATGCGAGAGACAAATGGCTCAAAGCTGCGCAGTGAGAAGTGGTTTCCTGGAAAAGGGGAGACGAGTTCCGTTATGCGCCGAAGTGTTAGGGCCTGAATTTGCTGGGCTCGTTCGGGGGATGTTTGTGCCAGCATTGGATCCATCCATGGTGGGATTTGCCTGAACTGCACGGTCATCGTGCCCGTTCTGAGGTTGATATCGAGAATACGACAACGAGATGATAGGAGCTGATCTGACAGGCTTGATGATACCTGTAGAAGATCGCGGCTGGAGCGAATTAGGGAGAGGATCCGGGGACCCTGAAGTGCGCGAGGTAGAGAGTTAGATGCCAGCATGCTGCGAATGGCGTTCCGAGGGGTTAATGTAGGGTCGAAATTAGTTGGGTCTGAGACGTAGGGAATGTTGTTCTGGTGGCATGTCTCCAAGAGACGGACTTTGGAAAAGGAGATAAGAGGCCGGCAGAGGAAGATTCCACCTGTTGCAATGGCCGGATTTTTTGAAGCCGAGCGGGTTCCCTTTTGAGAAGACCGGGCCGATGGCACTGCGGATTTTTCTGTAGATTGAGAAGTGACGATTTTGGGCTCTGGTAACCGGACCGATGAGCCGCTTTCAGAGACTCCAAAGAGCCCGTGACACTCGGGAATCCGAGCTATGCTTTGAATGCCACCCAGGCCTGCACGACGACCACCTGTGGCTAGACGCCAGATGGTTGTCTCAATAGAGTCATCTCTATGGTGGCCCATTAGTAGGGCATCGATCCCTTTCTTTCGACAGGCCGTGCCAAGGGCTTGATATCGTAGCCGGCGAGCATGTGTTTCAAAGGCAGTCGGCATTGATATCTTTGCATTATTTTGGGCAGAACTGTCCAGATTATTTGAAAATTGAGACCAATCTAATTTTAAAATTTGAGTATCGATACCTAGATAGTATTAGCATTGAGATCTGATTCAATGTTTGTCTGCCTCTTATAGCAATCACACGCAACATTGCGAACATGGAATGCATACCCATGTCCGTCAACCATGAGCTCACGGTTTTGGCTTCATCGCCACTCTCGGGTCGGGCGCGATGATCGACTACAAAGGCAGTAACGGAAATGGGACCACTGATAGGTGTTAATTCCAGCTGCCGGGCCAGGTACGCAAGGGCCATAGAATCGGCACCACCACTAACGGCAAGACCTGGGTATGATAGTTAGATGTGAGTGCCATTCAATGTTTGCGAGTAGTTTGCTCAGGGCCACAATTAAATCATGTAGTAACTTACCGATCCGTTGTGGTAATTGAACGACATCTCCCGTGGCGCTTTTACGGCCATGGGGAACGATTCCTCTTACCCCCGACCATGCCAAGCGGAAGTGCTCGGCAAAGTGCGCGACTGAGATTGCATTCTTCGCCGCCATAGAGTGTTCGGCGTTGATGGAATCAGTTGGCTCTTTCGCGATATTGATATCCGGATCTCGGCGAATCGGTTTCCCCGAAACGCGCAGACCTGATTGGTCAGGGGAGGTACGTTTTAGAGAATGCACATTCAAGAGTATGAACGATGGACTGATATGATACGATAATTCTTATTGTTAACAAAAACAGATTCCACGAAGACCAATTCGCAATCTTCACTAAATGGAAGTTTTTGAAAAAGAAGGAAAAAAAGAAAAAAAGAAGCGTCCCCGGGAAGGCTCGAACTTCCAACCTCCTGATTAACAGTCAGACGCGCTAGCCAATTGCGCCACGGAGACTTGCTTGTTATGACGTATACTCTTTAGTTGGCTACATATCACAATCATTTCATTTTTGAATATAGTACTTTACTATTAACCGCAGGGTTATAAAATCAATCCACATTCTGACCGACTAATATTAAACATTATACTCTCTGACCAAACAATACAAATAAATTATTCCAAGTTTTGTGTCGCAGAGACACCGCCGGCTTCCTCTCCGGATCGGCAAGTCTCCGGCGCAAGACCGGGGTATTCGTTCCCCTCAGATATACACCCGGTACAAGCGTGGGGGTCATGGGCTGTACGACTAACCTTGAATAAATCGCAACTTCATTATATCAACAATCTTCCCATATCTTTCATCGGTCTATAACCTTCCAAGGTTGTAAATCAGCTTCAATGGCATCCGAAAAGCCCATCATCCTCCATCTTGGAGATCCTGTTGAGTGGAACAAAGCTCTCTACGATCAAATAGCAAGTGAATTTACCGTCATTCGCCCCTGCCTCGAAGAACGACAACGCGATAATTTCCTCGGGGCTTTGAAAGAGAAGAGATGGGGAAACTTTCAAGGTATCTTTCGTCCATTCTGGAACACCGGAGGAGAGATGGGACGCTGGGATGCCGAGTTGATCCCACTCCTACCATCATCACTCAAAGTATATGGTAGTGCCGGTGCGGGCTATGACTGGATGGATGTTGATATCCTGGCCAAGCATGGTGAGCCCAAATCACGTCACGCTTCATTTTTTTATCCATTTAATTTATTTACTAGGTATCATATATTGCAATGGAGCACAAGCATCGAGTGAAGCTGTGGCTGATATGGTAAGGTGATCAGAATTGCTGCTCATTATACATATATCCATCCCTGCATTGATGGTTTCTGATGCTATTTTCAGGCCATATTCCACATCATCTCTGTTTTTCGAAACATGCAGTGGTCTATGGACGGTGCTCGCTCGGGTGATCCAACGCTCTGGCTAGAAGCCCACAAGAATACCGCGTTCACAGCACATAACCCGCGAACCCAAATTTTGGGTATCATCGGTCTTGGAAATATTGGCTAGTATGGACACCGGATACTCGAGTCCTCGTACTGGAGTGCTGACCTCGCGCCTGTACAGCACCATCGCCCGGAAAGCTTATGCCTGTTTCGGCATGAAGATCTATTATCAAGATCTTTATCAAAAGTCCACCGAACAAGAACAAGCCATCGGCGCTTCCTTCTGTGCGACATTAGATGAGCTTCTTGCTGTGGCAGATTGTATCGTTTTGGCTACCCCATTCAGTGGATCCAAAATTATTACCAAGGAGACTTTGGCCAAGTTCAAGAAGGGTGGTAAGTTTGTGAATATTGCCCGGGGGAAATTGGTTGATGAGGCGGCTCTAGTCGACGCCTTGAAGTCAGGTCATCTGTCTGCTGCTGGCTTGGATGTTCATGAGAACGAGCCGCACGTAAACAAAGATCTTACGAAAATGAGAAATGTCACGCAAGTCCGCCCCCGTCTGAGGTTTTGTTGAGGAATACTGGCTAATCTGATTTTATCTACAGACTCACATCTCACACGGCTGGGGGTGCTGCAGAGACTCAAATCGGGTTTGAACGTTTGGCGATGGAGAATGTCCAGCGGGTATTGAACGGCCAGGAGCCGCTCACTCCTGTAAACAAGCATTTGATTGAAAACTGAATTAGAGTCTTGTTGGATTTTATACAAAGACGTGGGACTTTTGAACAGCCTTGGCTTCGAGTTTAGCGTGACATAGAGCGAAAATCAACCAGCGATTCTAACACAATTTAGGTCTATACCTACACGCCAATTGGCGAGTGATCGGGAAACGCAGCCACGTAGGCACTTTCAATCTCATGACCCACACCCGCAACTCCCTCGAAGATATTATCTTGTTTCAGAGGGATTCCCAGAGATTCGACACCATGCCTTAGTTCCTCAATTAGTCGCTCGGCATCCGATATTTCAGTCGCTTGGTCTGGTCTGCCTAGCAGATGATAACAAGATGCCAAACGGCCAGATTCAAGGCATGAGCGTACTCTATGGAAGAGCATAAGTAGGGTATAGCTGCCTTGCATCGCACTGCAGACAAGGAAAGGAACGGTTCGAGGAGCCCTGCTCACACAGCATGCAGATCTCGCCATGACTCTTCGGTTCAACGATCCTCTTTTGCATGTTTCTGGCCCACAGGGATGTGAATAGGGCAAACTGCGGAACGCGTTTGCTATTCCCAAAGAAGCCTTGAGACAAATAATGGAGGACTCTTGTTCTGTGAATGGGAAAGTTGAATGCCAATGGGCAATACTGGAAGCAGAGGGGTGGGAGAAGCCATGGCTGTTGATCGAGACGAGATCACAATATCTGTCTAAGAATAGAGGAATGTCCACAAAAGCTCTGAACCGGTGTAGCCGAATTCGAGCACTGAAGGCAGATTAGCATGTTAAGTACTAGTACCTATCAATGTCTTTTTTGGTGTCTTACGTATTGATCATGATTCGGCTCATTCTCCACATATTCTCAGCGACGTAAGATTCGCCCTCAAAGTCGAATGTCTGTCGTAGACTTTGGTCCGATTCAATCATCAAAGTCACGATTTGAGCATCAAGTTTCTTGATCTCGTCTCCGAGATTAGATATCAGTGGTGAATCGGCAACGCTTTCGATCTTTTGAACCATTGAATGGGCTGCGTATAGAAGCTTTTGTACTCGTACTGTAAGTCCCCAAGGCTATATGAAACGTCAGAAATCGATTTGATGAAAGCATGCGAAGCAAAGAAAAAATACCTCTGGATTCACACCGAATTGGGGAAGAGGGGTCGTAATTCGTGGATCATCAGAAGCGATGATGGGTGGCTATATTTAATTTCATTGTTAATGACTGACTTGCAAGTAAGACGCGGAGAAAAGCCATACCGTCAGATGCAAATTAGACGATATGTACGCCACGAACATCTAAAGAACTTTATTTAGTATGATGAGCCATAGGTGAGATCTGCTTAAACACTGCAACTTACTATCATCCACCATGCGCGTCTTTGGGCTTCTGAATATTCCGTCGCGATCGGACCAGGGTCATGAAGAGAAATGTCCATTGCCGTGGTCACAGCATGATTAACACGAGCACGCATTCGCGACACGTTTCCTCGCTGACAGTACTCATACATTGCAAGAACAACCAGTGCTAGAATTGGATCCAATGGGAGTGGAACCTGTGAGTGGAGTTGACTTTGTTCTTGGGAGATACTAGCGCCGATCACATTGATGCTTGATGCTGGGCTTAACTCGTCAATCTCTCTCTCGACACTGGACAATGCCGCATGGGCAAAGAGCTGAGCATATGAACGTCTCAACAGGACAGCAGCCTCAGTTAATGAAGACGAATCAGGAGTAGGTGGTATGAGCACGAGGATGGCCGACAAAGCGAGACTCAAGGAGGATACTGGCCAATATGGCAGATCGGCCTTTTTGGGTTCAGCAAACTGTTTTGATGATTGAACAAAAGTAGATCGATCCTCATATTGAGGATTTGGTGACGGTGGTAGCAAGGGAAAGTAGGGGTGCATGTAGATGTAGTAGGCATTGAGACTACAAGATTGTTAGTACTTCCAGTTGATAGCACCATTGCGAACAATTCATATGAGTTTTCATACATGTCTTCCTCAGATTGATAAGCTCGAATGGCAGGTAGATCCACATCATTAACGGACGCCGAGGTAAAGGAGCCATCATCACCTGGAGTGAGCTGGCCCCACAATTGAAGAGCTTCTCCGGTGTCTGATAAAGAGTCTGGAGACTGATCCAGATTGTTTATACCGACAAAAGGAGTGAGCAGTCCCATTGTATTTTCAAGCCATGGATCTGATAGATGAGTTAGTAGTCACGTCCTTTTCCATTACTCGTAAGTCCTGCTTCCTCCGTACCCAATGTTTCAGTGGCATTTACTGATAAATCTCGATGTTGTGATGGCTGTGATGGCTGTGATGGCTTTTCTGGTGACGTGTTACCAGATCGGCCATTATGCTGCACTGTCTCAGCATATCGAACACCTCGCCGAGCTCCACCTCGGCGACTGGGCTGATAGCTGCATTCTCGGCCTTTGCCGTAACACTGGTGTTTTTAAGTTTAGCAAAGCTGTGTTACACCACGACTAGATCGCGCTTACACTTCTGCAAGGATACTGTCCATCACATCGAGTTTTTGAAGAACGACTAAAGCTTGGTGTGAGTGCTTGAGACTTAGAAGAGTGTGATATTGGACTGACCACGCAAGGCATGCAGCTTTTACCGGCGGTTTGGGTACCCGAGGCATTTGATTGGAGGACTGTAGGCGTTCACCCCAAGATGACCGTGTATATTTTATTGGAGCTTCTTATTGGATTACGGATCACCAGTAGTATCTGCTCCGTGATGATCGGATGAAATCTGAAGGAAGCATACATGTAATGGACTGACAGAAGCCGGGGGTAAGTGGCGTTCGGTGTTTGACAGAATCAAATGCCGAGTGTGGGGCCAATCATTCGCCGAAGAGACTTAGTCATCGTATTAACACTGTGCCCAATCGCTTGATACGGAATTCCACTCTTGGGATCCTTGTTGTGAAGAAGTGCTGCGTTATACATATGTGCACACATGTGCAAAATTCATTCAGACTTGGAGACATATAGTATGTATTCTTTTTTTCCCCTCCTTAACAAGGCTTATCTTTTAAATGAAAAACTTCCAGATCTCCAGTTCTCTATCAATTTCAAATAAGAGTCACATATAATCTCCATGTCAGTGGCAGCCACCGCTAGAGCAACTTTTCTCCGCTTCCGATGCCACAGTTCGACAGAAGCACGAGGACTTGATAGGAATATCCGCGACTGCCAATGCAATCTTCAGCTGCGGCTCAATGACCCTGGCCTCTTCCGTGCGGCCCAAACGAACTAAACATTCGTGATACCCCTGCAGAGCCCAGACATTATTCGGGTGCTGACGTGCACGGATAACGGAATCATCAAGTCCCAAATCACATCGATACGCTATCGCGGCATCTTCAACGTGGCCTTGCTCCAATAAAAGAGCTCCGTACGCATGCCGAGAAGGCTGCATCCAGCTCCACGGCTCCTTGTATCCTAGACCATCATCCAATTTGATCGCGAGACGAAGATGTTCAAATGCCTCGGTGTAATTTCCACGCCGGTACTCTATTTCGCCATCCAACATGGCAGTCGCAATGCCAAGGGTATCAACACACTTATTCGGGTAATCCAGGCGAGCCTCGGGAACACGCTTTCCTGCTTCTCTGAACAGCTCGCGGTGTTTTTCAGCCTCGGGAATGTTTCCGCTTGCCGCGTGTGCGACACCTTTCGCGTAGTATATAGCTGCAAGAGTGACACAGTAGAGCTCTGGGTCATCGGGGAGTGGGAGACTGATGATTTCATCCCACATACCAAAGCGGATCATGACGTGTGGCCGTATGGACATGAAGACCTCAATCGAATCAGCCATTTTGACCAGCAATTCTTTCGGGAGAGTTTTTTCCATGCGATCTACAGCATCGATGGCGACATGCTTCTGACCGGCAAACATGGCCGCATAGATGAGGGTGTGATAATTGTGCATGCGATAATTTGAGTAGAAGTTCATCACACCCTCATAGCGGATGAACTTCTCATCTGAAGCGGTGGCACGCTGATTCGCGCGTATAGCAGCTCGATAATCACCGACCAGGACATCCAAGTGTGCAGGCATGTGATTCGCATGACCGCCATCCGGGACGAGCTCGCGTAAATAATCCGCTGGGACGAGTCCCAGCTCCGGTGTGTGAGACATCTCAATAAGGTGAATATATAGATGCAGCAAGCCCGGGTGTCGGTATGCATCAGAGTGTCGGAGTGCCTTCTCCAGGACCTTCTTCGCATCTAAAGTCCGTGTACCTGGGTTTGGAAGCCCGGTCTCCAGGTTCCAGAGTTTCCAAGGAGTAAGGCTCATGATGGAATCTGCATACAGGGTGGCTATATCAAGATCATCTCCGAGAGCGTGATATGCCCCCTCCATTGCGTCAGCATACGCGCGATTTTGAGCAGCGTACTGGTCTAAATTCGATGGTATGTCGCTCTGGAAGCGAGATTGAATGGCAGTGATTAGTGCCTGTTCCACTGGAGTTGCGTTGGAAGCAAGAGCTTTGGCCTTCTGGCAAGCTCTGTAGGTGCGCTCTATAGTAGTCTTCAAGTCATCGCGGAAGAACTCCCATGACTTATTGTAGTTTGGGCCGAGGGCATAAGCTAGGCCCCAATATGCAATGGCACAAGACTCATCGTGAATAATTGCTTGCTCGAAGCATTTAGCTGCCTCGTCGTGGTTGAAGGAATAGACCCAAGTAAGACCACGGTTAAACCAGATTTGGGTTTCGGGACTGGTGGTGGTGATGGGTCGTCCGAAGGTCCCTAAATCAAAGGGATAATCGCTTCTTTTAGCTAGTGGAGTAATTGTCATGCTGAATGGCAAATGTGGGCAAGCAAGAGCCCTGATAAAGAAGTTTAAGGGTCAACGATCTCTCGTCGTACGTTGTAGATCAGGTGGAGATGCGATGTAGTAAATGGTGATGTTGGAGGCCCGATCCACTGAAGCCCCGCCGCCTGACTCCTGAGGGGTATTTTGTATGTACCCGAGGTTCCACAGCAAACCTTGAATGTCGGTGTCTGCTTTGAATACTCCTTACACTCTAACTAGTCAAGAGTTGGGCACTTCCAAAGGGACATATTGACAAACTGTCAATCTTTTTTTTTTATATATAATTTCTTTTTATATTCGTCACATTTAAAAACACATTAAAAAATTAAAAGCATATACATCTGCTCTCTCTAGTCTATCAGAAAGATGGAATAAGAATTATTATACAAGACGCATAACAAGAAGAGCCAAAGCGCCGAGAAGGCCAGTGGAGAAAGTGAAGGAAGGTGAAGCGGCACCGGTGTAGACCGGGGCAGCAGGACTACTGGTCGAGGTAGAAATAGATCCTACACCAGAGCTGCCCTGAGGAACAGAGGAACTGGAAGTGGCAAAGGCCGTTTGGGTAGGCCGGATGTGAATGTGTGTGCTGCGCACAGATGGCACTCCAACGGCCCCGACGCCTGAGATACCAGTTCCAGAGGCTTTGGCGGCCGTGAGAGTAAGAACCTCAGTTGCGATAGCAATGGTTTCGGTGGTTCCAGACTCAATCTTGGTCGAATAAATGATGGTGGTGCTGACCTCTTCCTCACCGGAAGAACCAGAGCTGCTGCCAGTTGAGCCAGTTGAGCCAGTTGAGCCAGTTGAGCCAGTTGAGCCAGTTGAGCCAGTTGAGCCAGTTGAGCCAGTTGAGCCAGTTGAGCCAGTTGAGCCAGTTGAGCCAGTTGAGCCAGTTGAGCCAGTTGAGCCAGTTGAGCCAGTTGAGCCAGTTGAGCCAGTTGAGCCAGTTGAGCCAGTTGAGCCAGTTGAGCCAGTTGAGCCAGTTGAGCCAGTTGAGCCAGTTGAGCCAGTTGAGCCAGTTGAGCCAGTTGAGCCAGTTGAGCCAGTTGAGCCAGTTGAGCCAGAGCCGGTAGAGCCAGAGCCGGTAGAGCCAGTTGAGCCAGAGCCGGTAGAGCCAGAGCCGGTAGAGATGGCGCCAGTGTAGGTTGAAGCAGTCGAGCTTGCAGTCTGAGTGGCCTCAGCAGCAGTAACCGGGCAGATGGTCGTGTAGTCCACAATCGTCTCGGTGGTGACATAAGTGGACTTTTCAGTGGCAGGGCAATCCTTGACAGACGAAGGACAAGCAGTAATTGTGGACGTGCGCGTAATAAAAGCAGTCGATGTGGTCATCTGCTCAGTCGAGCCATTGCCCTCACTCTGGCTAACCGGTGAGGTAGTAGCGGTGGGCTGAGATCCTTCGGTAAGAGGGCAGACAGTAGTTCCCACAACAACCGTCTCGGTGGTCAAGTAAGTGGTACGGTCTCGGGCCGGGCAGTCGGTGACAGTGGAGGGGCAAGCGGTTATGGTGCTTGTCCGGGTGGTAAGAATTGTAGAGGTTGTGGAACCAGAGCCAGAGCCAGATCCATGACCACCAGAGCCGGAGCCGGAGCCAGATCCAGAGCCGTGACCACCGGAGCCAGAGTCAGAGCCGGAGCCGTGACCACCGGAGCCAGAGCCAGAGCCAGATCCAGAGCCGTGACCACCGGAGCCAGAGTCAGAGCCGGAGCCGTGAACACCGGAGCCGTGACCACCAGAGCCGTGACCACCAGAGCCGTGACCACCAGAGCCGTGACCACCAGAGCCGTGACCACCAGAGCCGTGACCGCCATATCCAGGAGATCCCGAAGGAGTAACCGAAGGAGCGGCAACAGATCCAGAGGGAGTGAAAGAGGGCCTGGCAGTAGACGAGATAGGACGACGACTCCAAGGCGCAGATGAAGGAACGGGAGCGGAAGGAGTGGGACGTCGAGAAGGAGAATGAGGAACAGGGCTGGAGCCAACAGGAGTAGACGCCGAAGGGCGAACCGAGCTTGGAACAGGGGTGGAAGAAATCAAAGCCTTTGACGAGCTAGACTCCACAACAGAGGAAGACTTGATAGGGGAGGATTGCACAGCCGAGGAACTGGCAGCAGGAGTAGGTGTGGGAGTACTGGTAACACAGGTTTCTTCGCCGTTAGTGGCCTTGAGGTTATCAAAGCGCAGAGTGGTACTTCCCACACATCCGAAGCCGAGGAAGACATCTACGGACGATGTGGTGGGTGTCCAGCTGACGCTGTAAGTCGTCCATCCTGCGTTCACCGATGGGTCAACTATAGATCTCCCGTCGATCCAAGCGGTCCAGGCATTTTGAGCGAAGCTGATATAACATAGGTCCGACGGATAGGTGGGCGCGGTAGCTGCGGTCCAATCATAGGAATAGTCCACAGAGAGCGTATAGGTCTGGCCAACTTCCAGACCTGTCAACTCCTGCGTCAAATATTCCCAAGTATCAGTGGCTGGAATCGAGCTATATGATCGACCAGTGGGTTAGAATAGGCAGGAAACCAATCGAGTCTTTAATGTGTTCTGAATTTTGAGGAACTGACAAATAATAGCTTCCATCCGAAGCATCACCAGATACAACTGCACCAGAGTCACTTCCGGTATTCGGAGATCCAATGGCCCAGTCGGTCATGTCACCAGTTTCGAATGAAGGGTTCTGGAAGAGGTTCACGGTAGTACAAGTGGTAGAACCACCACCCGCAACTGCATATCCCGAGCTAATGAGTGAAGCCGAGACGAGCAGAGTGCTCAAGAAAGTGTTGGGTTTAGGCACCATCTTCGCGAGATGTGCAGAGACGAAACGTATGTAAAATTAATGATAGTCGTGAGTGAATATTGATTAAAGAGCGACAATATTCAGTCCAAAAAATGACGAGGGAAACCGAAAACACGAAAAAAAAACAATCCAACGAGTGACGATTGATTCTTTTTCAGCCCTAATTCCTCTCAAGGGCAACATCGCGGGAGAGGGATTTTTTATATAGACATCGACCAGGTGGGCCAGGAACTGTCAACAAACCGTTCAAACTTCCAAGGCTGCGGCTGATTACTGACACGAGGCTGCGCCACGAGACTTCTGGAGCCAATGACTACCATGCGTCAGGCCCCGAAGTTCAGGTTATCTCCGACATTTGTCGGATGAACGTAGGCCAGACCAGCAATTGTCTCAGCCAGACTGCTTGGCTCGGATAAAAAGTCCCTAGCGTCGGGGGGAAAGTACTGGCGGAACGCTGTCAGGTAGCCATACGACCGATGAACGAAGGTCTGTGTCGCCAGAAAATACAAAATCTAGATGTGGGTCAGTGACAACATGGCCAACAGGGGTTAATCGAGAGGCTAAATTTATAATTGGGTCCTGTTCCTGAATTGTCAGGCACCGGGGCAATTTCATTGATCCAGAAGGCATCGAGGGCGGGCACTAAGGCAAGCCACAATCACTAGTTCAGGCCCAACCCTGCTCTGAGGAGGGGATCTTTCAAATGGTCCCAGATGGCGTTTTAACCGAAGTTATTCGAAGCGACGGAGAAAGAAAAAGCTTCCAAATTTTCAAATATGCCCGATTGTCAATCAGAAGCAAGATAGCTTTACCTCCGGAGTTTCCAAGGTCCTGGGGGTGGGGAAATCCACTCTACAAAGATAGATTTAAGGATTGGAAAAGAAAAAAAAAATCATTTCCTATGATTGCAAATATGTAGGTGCGATAGGTAATAGCAAATGGCATGAACCTATGGCTCATCAGCATTGTAAGCCGATGACGAAGAGAAAATATGGGAGAAAAATAAGAATCACAGAGAACAGGCGATTCAGCAAAAACCAGGGGTATCAGAGAGCATCTTCGTATGTACCCGAATTCATCCCTCACCAAGCCAAGCAAAAGAAATGACTGCGCTCGTCATCGCTAGCAAGTCAAGAATTCAGAAAGCCAACGCACCGCAGAGATACAAAGGAACAAAGAGATCCGTATTCGTACTACGGACTACTCCGCACTACTCCGCACGGAGTGCCCTATTTCCGATTCGAGGGAATTGAAATCACCCGCCAAGACCTCTTAGGTGACTACCGATCCAGAAACAGACCCTGAATTGGTCATTGAGTGGATGCTGCCAGGAGGGGCGTGGCGTTTCCCATTTAGAGCTCCGGTCTCCCCGTTGAACCCATAATTTCCATTGTGGCTAGTCAAAGATGGAGGGGATCGAATCTCCTTCTTGCCGTTTGCCTTGTAGTACAGAATCATGTCACCTGAAGTACGCCAGAGACATGAGCGGATGGTAGCGAGAGTCATGTTTGGTGGACATAACTAGTAGGAGAGAGAGATGTTAATATTAGTAAAAGAACTCCCCACAAGTTCAAAAATAACTTACAGTCTTCTGGCAGTACAGCTCAAGATACTCCTCCGCCGGCATGACACTATCCTCCGGATCATCAGGGTTCGATGGATCAATGCGTTCAGCCACGTATGCTAGCACCTTCTTGGCACGTAACATCCGATTTGCATTCAGCCGGGAACTGTTAATACCATTGGGATTAAGGGGCGGTGGCCCTCCGTTTGCAGTCGCGCTATGTAGTAGAAAAATGGTGAGTTTAAATCCATCAAGATCTTTCAAGGAATCTTACACTTCAGGTTTGACGACTGGTGGCAACAAGTCATCCAAAGGCTTCAAAATGAAAGCAATCTTGACTTGTTCTTTGAATGGGATTTGATTCTAGGGAACACATAATTAGCGCGATTGTAGTACGGAAGGTACGGCATGGGGACGTTACCTTGAGAAGAAGTTCGCCAAGCCAGTGTGGAATTGACTTTTCCAATCGCTCAATCTCTTGTCCAATGCGGCCCACACTTCCTCGGTAAAGATCAGAGGCCACAGCAGTATCGCCTGTCTCTTCTTGGATGAAGACAGCGGTTCGAGATGGGATATAAAGACGGGGAGTCTCGCTCGTTGCGCTGGGAGTGATGGCTGTCACCAATTCTCGACTATGGCTCGTGGCTAGGAACTCATCATACTCATGACGAATGCGATCAATGACACCACTGATATTGGGGTCGTACACCTTCTCCTCCTTGACGGATGATACTTCTGATTCCTCGACCTTTTCTTCCGGGATCTGTGGCTTCTGATCCGTAGATGTTCGACCCAGCTTCTTGATATCCATACGGAATTTCTTGCCAAACAGGCTACCCTTCTTGCGTTCTTCCTTGTCCGGCTCTGCCGGGGACTGTGGAAGTCCTGCGGTTGGATTACCTTCAGATGGAGACATGGGTGGTTTGTCGCTGTCCTGGGCCATCCGCGACGAAAAATAGTCGGATTTGTCGGAAAATGAAGGTGGCATGGCATCGGTGTTTGGTAAAGCTTCTGGGGTATCTGGATCAAAGTTAGGGAACGGGGAAACGCTGCTGGCCATCGAGGTGCTGAGATAGTTTGCTGAAGATGGCGTGCCAGCATTTATGCCGAAGCCCCCGGTGTTGGGGCTTCCCGGGAAATCCGAGTTTGGACGCAAGGTCGTCTTGGAGGGATCCTGCGAGATAGGAATTCCGACGCTGCGGGGAATATCATCGCCGGGACCGGATGTAGCGTGAAGGCTGGGCCCTGCAAGTTCCTCTGCCTTAGAAATGGCAGTCTCACGATATTCACTATCCCGTCGAATCTCCTCGTCTACCAAGGGAGCAAACAGCCAGCGCAAAATCCATTTTCCAAGGTTGACTAAATAGCGTGTTAGTTGAGTGGAGGCTGGACGACTTGGGAGAAAAAGCAATGAAGGATATCATGCACAATACTCACTTCGTTGGTCATCGCGGAATAGCGCAAGATCGGCATCTGATAGGCCTGCCTCGTCTGCATAGACCTCAGCATCGAAACAATGATTTGGCTCCAGGATCACAGAAAGTCGGCCTGTGCGGATATCGATTGTGCACCAATGGGCAATAGTCTCTGTTGTATTGATTTGATCGGCAACATCTTCGATATGACGCTTGCCATAGGCTTGCACAGGAACACACTGCATTCATGGTTAATGAATGCTTGAACAGATCAACTTAATAGTTTTCGATTTGTTTCGACATACCTTAAGCAAATCCCACAGGACAACCTCTCCCGCTGAGTCTTGCGTGAGCGTCCGCTTTCTGTCATTCAACATCAAGCATTTGATCAAACCATGCTGTCCTTCAATGCTCTCCTCCGGTTGCGAATGTACGGGCATTGACACAATATCGGATCCCATATCAGGCTCCGGAGTATGGACTCTCGACGAAGGAGAGCTCCCCAGAAGAGATGACGTTGCTGATAGCTGAAGCACTGCACTGTACGGAATCTTCTTTGTCTTATCAGTTGCCTGTTCAGTAGCAGTCGAGTCGATGTTGCGAACGGGTTCCGGAGGCGACTCAATCTCAAGCGTAGTGTCGATATCCTTCCAGCGGTTTATGCTCGACTTCGGTGTAGCTGTCCAGATAAAATCACCGCATACCGCAACTTTCACTACACCTTCATGCTCTTGGAGTGCTGCCACGCAAACACCTTGCTCCACATCCGACGAGCGCCGGGTGTCAGTTTTGGCAACCAGGCCTGAGCGATCGCTAGAATAGAAGACGGAGAGATCCGGATGGTCCGAGTAAAGAGACCAGACGCTATCATTGTGCATAGTCAGGGTGTTCATGCAACGACCTGCGGTGAGAGACCATATCTTGATAGTCTGGTCTGACGAAGCAGTCATGATAGTGTCACCCGTCTGATTGATCAGAATATCCCGAACGTTGTCTGTATGACCGACGAACTTTGTTATCAGTTTTCCTGATTTGGGGTCCCAGACACGGACAACGTTCTCCGGCCCGCCGCTGGCAAGAACCGAGGAGCCCGCTCCCAAAGCATAGATAGAACCCTTCTCGGTCGCATCATCATCACAAGCATCAATACTCAAAATTTCTCCGCCTCCGTTCAGATCCCACAAGTAAAGCTTATGGTCAAGTCCGCCCGATGCAACCCAGCTAGCCTGGCCACCAGGGCTGGCCAATGCCTTGACGTAGTCTGTATGTTTTCCAATGCGCTCCGGGACTTCTGTCGATTCCGAGTGCGGTCGCCAGAGGCGAACAGTAGTGTCGGACGATGCGGAGACAAGTGCGGAGTTGCCTTGGGTCAAGACGATATCGTTGATCCAGTGACTATGGGCCTGGACTTGGGTCTTGAAGCGAGTTGGGCCCGGTTGTCGAGTAGAATTTGCGTATGGGTTTGACGTGTGGAAAGGGGTTTGAGGGAAGTCGAGATCCCATGAACAGATGACACCGTCGCGGCCCGCGGAATACCTGAGAAGGGAAGACGTCACATTAAAAGCTGTGCAACCCACGTGGGGAAAAGAAACGGGTTGCGGGGGAGGCACAACTAGCCTAGTCGCTCTTTGTTCCAGAAGTCTCTCCACATATTTTTGGGGGGGATCTTGATACTGGGGATTCGAGGGGGAAAGGGCGCTTACAAGATGGAGTTTTGAGAGTCAACGGTCAACCCATTAACTCCCAGCCGGTGCCCACCGGGGGCATCAGGCAGAGGAAGCACTAGAGAAGTAAATAAAGATCAGCATCGCGGATTCAGGATGATTTTCCAAAGGAATAACCGAGGAAAGACTTACCATACGTGACCCTCTGGTGGCTCAATTTGCGTGCCATACATGCAGATTGGGTATGTGTAAGAGAGACGAATTGCGGAGGAGATGCGGAGCTTATCTGCCTCAATCGAGGCCGATCACTTGCGCTGTTTGGTGGGGATAGATGAAAACGACGTCACAGGCGCATTCACGACGATCCCCCAGAACTAACACTCAAAGGATTGAAGTGAAGTTTATTGAGAACAAATACGGAAGGATATGTAAATGAGGGGAAGGTTGGGGGGAACCGCCAGGGGCAGGACGCCATAGCGCACGCTTGTCCGGCCGTACTCCGTTTCACCGTTTCTGGTACATACTTTAACTACTTGCTACGCTGTATATGCTAATGTCCCATATGTCATATGATGATCTCCAATTTTTTATACCAAACGGACAAAATAAACCTGCTCATAAGCGATATACGTGATTCCTTGTCAAATCATTAGCGTGAAATCAATCCATATTACTTACTTGTACTCGGGAAATCGGGTGAATATCTAACCGGGTGTACGCAACCGAGCACTTGAGGGCATAAACATGGATCCAAGATGTACCTGGTACCTAATACTGGTAGAAAATAGTACATAGACTGTAGTTATTTTTCCATACTTACAACCTTGGAAGTTACTATATACATGCATGTGTACTCAATATTCATTGTTCCCTCTCAGGGCTCCTGCTTACCCCAAGTGGTCCCGACTCCCGACAGAGTTCATCATATGCGCAGAAAGGGTTTATCAGGGCTGTTGCCTACATACTACTTAGGTCTTGATGCCTCGTAGGTATCTTGTGATGTAATTTACGCATGACATATCTCAGTAGGCCCGGGCTCAAGTCTGATATCAAATGCCTCAATAGCCACCTGGGTATCAGTTCAAAGCCATTCCGTCAAGTGGCGGGTTGCCCGTGTCCACTACAGTAAGGTGCATATAAACTGATTGTCCCCTGTAGCCCCGGCTATCAACGGAGTTGCAGATGTCGCCGAGAGCTATATGACAAATGCGATATAGAAACATGCTTCTAACATTTGAAAATCTATATACCTTTGAATACTCCCAGGTCTATATTGATAGCAGTGATAATATACAAAACAAAAATACGTCAACACCTGCAACCTTGGAATTATCTCACTCCCGTTCCTTCTCCTCCCTCCTCCCTTCTAACGTATTCCACGCCCACTGATAACTACCCAAGAACACCGCACCACCAATACCAATCCACGCGACCCGGGGCCCAATTCCACGCCAGAAAGCACCCATACCCTCCGCCGCAATCTCCTGCACAATCTGCTTAACGCGCACGGGCGCGTCCGCACCACCCCGGCGCGCAAGCATAACCCTCGTTTTGATAACGTCCAACGGCGTCGTCAAACCCGCCGCAATAGCACCAGACACACTACCAAACATAGCGCTCGTAGAAGCCGGGATCTGTGTCTCAGTAACAGACTTTGCGCCAGCAGCCTTCGGGCGCAAATAGCGATTCGCATATGCCTCTTTCATAGATTCCCACATAGTGAACTGCAGGACCGTGAACGGAATCTCGCGCGCGATAGTGATACCAGCGCCGCGGTAGAGCTCACGGATGACCTGGCCATAGCCGCGTTTCACGGGGGCCGCTGTAGGGTCGTTAGGGGTCGCATGGCGGAGAGATAGGATGTCTTTTAGGGCGAGGAGACTTGAGCCGCCGAAGAGGCCGGCTTGGGCGCGCTGCTTGGTCACTTCTGTGGGGACACGCACGGCGCAGGCGGCAATTTCGCCGAGCGAGGAGGCGATGGAGTGGGTGAAGAGGATGTATGCGCGGGAGGGAGTTTCGGGCGAGGAGGTGGGCGGGAGGAGAGAACGCTTGACGCCGTCGTAGACAATGAAGAAGGAGGCGGCGGAGGGTGCGGAGCCGAAGAGAACGGAGGGGAGACCGGCGTAGATGCCGCGGATTGTTTGACGGAGAGATAGGTTCCGGGGAGCTTGGGGGGCATTGGTGTCGCGTGCCTTTTGGAGTCGGGTCTTGAGGGTGTCAAGAGGGTAGAGAGAGCAGTCTACGGTGAGACCAGCGAGTGCACCAGACTGTATGGTTGAACAAGAGTTAGTAAGGCTCCTTGATCTTGAAAATGACGCTTTTAGAAATGCCTTACGAGTAGGGATCTGGTCCATAAGGAAGAGACCAAGGCCTCCCCTTGAGGTTGCTCAGCCATGGTATGATTGTTTTTTTACCTCGTAAACACGGCAACTTGGAGCAATTGGAACCGTAGAGTCAATTGTGACCCGTTTACGAGGATGTGTCCTAGAAATGTGAAGGACCCAGGCCAGGTGTGTCGCGGAGCTCCACAATTGATGCCGAGGTTTTTGCTTCTCCGCTCCTCCGCGGTCAGGCCATCCGATATCGCCTAATCGAGGTTGACGTCAGGTCGATCAGCAACTTCGCAAACGGGAGGGGTTTAGCATATTTATGTAGTGTATTTTGGCTAATTGATTACAGTAATGTAATCAGACAAATATATTCATATGTTTAAGCTATCTACGAGACTCATATTCACCATACCATCCACGAACCAGCCAATCAACTGCCCGAAACAAAAGATAAATCCCTGCCAAATTCAACGGCCACCTACAGTCTAGCAGAAAGATCTAACGCTGGTCCAAGTCTTCAAGAGGGTGCGTTTTTGTAAAGCGGCCTCGACTTTCTTCGGGACGCCAGAAAATTAACAACTAGACTCGATCTCTCCTATGATGCGGTGAGAATTGTCGGGCGGCTGCATAGCACAGAAAAGGAAGATCAGAAATGTAAGATTAGGCGGACGCATATCGGCGCGAAGACTAACAGGAGAGAAAGGTCCAAAGATGAGGCATGTAGGTTCCAGCGAGGCAAAAATGATCTAGACCATTTGGCAAACACAATAAGGGAAATTGGACATGAGGAGAAAAGATAAAAAGAGATTGGAGGGAATTATGCACAAACGAAGAGGAGGATAAATTGATACACAAAAAGGGGAATCATTTGGCCTTGGTAGCTTTGCTGGCCACGGCAGGACTTTGTGAGGGAGGCTCGAGAACGTGAGTGTGATTGGAGACGTTGATGATTTCACCCGTCCCGTCCTGCTCGCATGCTAGGATACCGCGAACCCAATCATCAGCAAGAACCTCGTCAAGGGTTGCTCGCTCCCTCGGATCGACCTTCAACATGCGGCTAATGATAAACCGACTTTCCCGCGGCAAGATACGGAGAAGGCGCCAAGGGCCTTTGATAACTTCTTGGCGCTGAGCAGCTTGCTGAGCAGAGGCCGGAAGAGGTGGAGCCTCCTTGCTGGTCGTCTGGGTCTTTTCAGTGCTAGTGCTAGCCCGGCTTGTTTGTTTTTGAGTAGGGTTTTCAGCCGGCCGATCGCCTTCCTTGATCGAGGAGCCGGGCTTGGTTCCATTCTGTTCAGGAACCGGTGGGACGTTCGATTTGGTGGCAGATCCAGAGTGAGTCGAAGGGTCAGAGGACGGAGGTTGTCTCTGTTCATCGGCGGAAGAAGGTAGGTCAGGAGATGACTTGGGCCGGGGAGCACGTCGGGGATCGGAGTCGGGGACTGGAGTGCCAGGCGTTGGAGGAGCAATAAACAGGCGGTAGGAATTGTCGCTGCTGCGCGGTTGCTTCCACGGGAAGCGTCGCAAAGTCATACAACAGAAGATGATCGCCAGCGACCAAACATCCGTGGGGCGGGGGTCATATTTCTTCTCGTCGTAAACCTCAGGAGCCAGGTATGGATCCGACCCAACAATACCTGAAGCTGGAACAATGTCATTCTCGAAAGGATAACGGAAGACAACCGCACTGCCAAAATCGATCAACTTCATGATGCCGCGATCATTGACCACCACGTTGTCCAACTTCAAATCTCGATGAGCCAAGCCCATTCCATGGAGGTACGCAACGCCGCTGAGAATTTGTTTGAATGAACAAGCAATCTCCTCCTTCATCATTTTGCCGGTCATAACAATTGCAAAGAGATCAAACGGCGCATACTCCATCACCTCGTACCAGTTGGGGCCTTCCTGGATGATATCGAGGGTCTCGATGATATTGCCGTGATGCAAGGTCGATCCGATACAGAACTCTGCCGTGACCTTCTTTGAATACTCCTTGTAGCTTTCCCAGCTGTGACGCTCTCGGAATTGTTTTACGGCAAAGGTGACTCCGTCACTATTGCGCTTCAGCAGTCGAACCGAGCCACCTGCTCCCGATCCAAGGACTCTACCCATTTTGCCGTATTTGGAATTCAAACCATGATCATCGGCAAAGGGAACATTGTCGGGGGCCATTTGGTAAGGAGTGCTCTTTCCAGATCCTCGGCTTGATCGCTTCGCGGCCGATGTTGGAGAGTCCGGGCGCTTATTGCGGTGGCCAATCTTGAAAAACCGCTTCAATTCGGACATAGAGCCATGATGCCCATGGCCCAGGCTGAAGCCGTGCTTGGATTCGCTTTTATCTTTGTGGAACACACTCCGCTTCTCGCTTCCGGTCTTGGTGACATCGCTGGCGCTGGCCGATCGAGGGGTTCCTGGACGGAACGATCGCTTGGTATCTCGACTACTGAAGATGAATCGTGGATCCAACTGACCCAAATTCTTGGTTGGTGGTGGACGCTTGCTGCGGGCGTATGGATCATTCGGCTCGCCCACCGGGGTGATTGTACCTGGCGGGGTATGAGATTCCCGGGGAGTAGGGGGCGGGCTCTCTTCTTGTGAGCTTACATCAGTGCCAATGAAGAATTGAGCACGATGTTTCGGCAGGGTGCTGTGGGGTGCGGGCTCCGAAGTGCCGCTTTGAGTGGTGACGATACGATCGGTAGAGGGTCGGGAAGTAGTCGTAGATCGAATGGTATGAACATCGCCGGAAGTGACCGGAGGTGATGTTTCGGGGGTCATGGCCTGAGTATCGCCCCGGCCAAGTGATCCCAGAACGGAGGTTGTTTCAGCGGACCGGCCATCACGAGATTGGGTGACAGCGGGGGTCAGGGGAGGTGATTGTACAGCAGAGACGGGAGGAGAAATGTGAGGGGAAGCTATGTAAGAGCCATTGCCTTCACGCGCACTGCGATCACTCGAGTCTCGAGATGCGACCTGTTTGCAGTAAAGGTTCATATTAGCAAACAGGAATCATTCGTCGGTCAAAGCCCACGGGGAGGGGGAAGAAGAAGGTTGGGCTGTAAAGAAAACCGAGCGGGCCGTTTTTAGAGGAGGGGAGATCACCACCGGGTCGGGGAACCCTGCCGATCTTGGAATTTGAGGATATAGGGGAGGTCGGGGCAGAAGAGATTGAAGGCACAGGAAGCTTTTAGGAAAAGCAAAGACATACCCTAGATGAAGGAAGTGACATTGGTTCAAATGAGAAGTTGCGGAGTCGGGATTCTTGAAGCTGAGTACTCTGCAAGCTCATAGCCAAGGATCGCATATCCTCTTCGTGTGGATCCTGTTGGCGAAATTCCTGGTGGTGAGAGTCCGGCAAGGATTGCTCGGATACCGGGGAAAGCATTGAGGAGGGCTCAATCTCCTGGTTGACAGAGGAGAAGCGGACTTGGCCAGGTTGAGATCTTGACTTGGCGTCCGGATCGGACTCCGCTTGGGGCGGTACCTTGGCGGGGTTCTGCATATTCGACGAGTCTGTCGGGAGGAAGATAGAGCTTGCGTCAGAGGAATTCTGGAATTCTGGCCATGCCTGAACTAGTAGGGAAGCAGGTTGAAAGTGACAAGCCAAGACATACCTGGATCCATCGAGTTGGTTGGGGTCGACCCTGCCGTGACAGACGTCATACTCTTTTAACGGCCTCGACTGGGGACGGTGGGACGCATACCCCTCACGGGGTTTCTAGCTGTAGAGTGAGAGAGAAGAATCTCTCTTTCTCGACGGCAGATCGAGTAATGTGATGTTTTTTTTTTCTCTTTGGGGGTTGGGTACTTTGCGATTTGGAGAGGAAAGAGGAATGGTTTTCTCAGGTGAAGACGGTCGATTACGTGGGTGAGGCAAATTCTTCTCCCTTAGACTTTTTTTTCTTCCTTTCTCAGCTCCGAATCCGTGCGGTAAAACGGTATGAAGTACCACGAGACAGAGAAAAGAAAGCCCTTCAAGCCAGAATTAGAAGGAAGGCGAGGTAAAGATGCAAAAAAAAGACAGATGAAGCGTAGAGTGAGAGAAAGCAAGGATAAGGATAAGGAGGGGAAAGAGGGTCTGGGCCTGAGGCAAAACCCGGTGGGGTTTGTTGCTTTCCCCGTTTCCCTTACAAAAGGACTGTTACTACTACTATAGTCACATAGTCACATATTACATTTGAAGTCCTATCTGAATTGGAATAGAATTGAAAGATTGATTGGATTGTTATATGTTTTGGCATGTTATTTCATATCAACTCCTGTAAGCTACTCAGCTACTACATTTTGAAATCTCTCGGAAGACTGCGGGAGAGCTATAGCCTATGATGTCGTTCATGTTATTCCTATACACATTTGAAAGGAACACCGAACTAACAGTTCTTTACAAGGTAATCCGGACGTGCCGACTTCCCGGTCCAAGGTTTGATTCGGAAAATGCACGAGATCGTTTGGAAAAGTTCCCGACGATCTGGAATTTTACCACATCAGGTATAGTTAACCTGCATGATTGGTCTCGGGATTAACTTGGGACACATGCGTTGTTATCTCTGTACATCCTACATAAATCCTGGCATATTCCTATTAGTATACATACTAGTAACCTGTGTCTATGTAAACTTTCATGCAACTTTGAATACTTGAATGATATATACTCTGCACATATCAAAAGTTCCTGATATTTGAAGCAGAAGGGTTACTCCATCCATATACCACCCATTAGCCGCCCAGCCTCAATCCTGGTCTGAGTCTCCCGTATCAGTCCATCGTATACCGTACAGCGTACAGCTGAACCAGGTACGGATTTATCCGTGAACGTTACTGCATTTAAATGCAAGGTAACCCCAGCATGGGCTAGAATTTACCATCCAATCCTACATCGACTGGCGGAGATTTAAGGGTGTGGAGCTATAGTAACACAACATTGGTCCTTTCACAGGGGCACAAGGAACGATCAGCAGGACCGATGCCGATTCCTCCAACCTTGAAATGGACCCCAATATGCTGGTATCACATGCATCTGACATATGTAGCTCGGAACTGTTTTGGTAATATCAAAATAATCAAGATCTTGGTATTTGCACATATCGCTTTATGACATGCAAATGATTCAGGTATATAGTACAGTTAGGGGGGGTGATTCCTCCCCCTCCCCATTTTCTCCCATAAAACGCCAGATAAACTCGACAAGTATCAAAACAGTGTATTCGTCCAGCTGAAGGACAGGTTGAGACTAAGAAAGTCCATGCCGATGTATGTTCCTTGTGGCTCGGAAGGGAACGGTGACCAGGCGTAGAGACCCTGGTGAAACATGAACTCCAAAAAGTCAAATCTTGTTACCGAGGTTCCTTCCTCGATTCCTTCAGGGAATGACCTGAATGCCAATGGACTTGGCCTGCGAGATGACACTCTTGCACAATCCCTGCAGACTCAATCCCGATAGTCGCGTCTCGGTGTGCTTGATCTTGGCAATCTCGTAGACATGCTTCAGCGAAATCTGGCCACAGGTCTCGTGACCAGGGTTCATGGCACCGCGCAGACGGTTTTTCCTGGGCTCAACATTGGCGGCGTTCAATAGCAGATAGGTGGTGGTCGGAGTGCGGAGCTCAAAGGTGAAGGATCGATCGGGGCGGACGGTAATGCGCGCCGGAATGGGGACACCGGTGTTGATGTGGGCAGTGCGGGCATTGTATTCCTGAAAGATTGAGCTATTAATTCACCGGTCGCGACCATTATAAGATGTCTATTCCAGGAGCTCACCTTGCAGAAGTCCATAGACTTGACACCCTTACTACCAAGAGCCGGACCAACGGGGGGACTGGGACTAGCCTGACCAGCGCCGACAATCAACTTGACGAACTGGTCCTTGGACAAAGCGGCTCTGGCCATGGTGAAAGGTTGGAGATGTGGAAAAAGGGGTGGAAGTTATTGAGTTCCTGGAGTTGAAGCGTCGAACTGCTGAAGACGGCAGATTTTCCTCCGCCTATGCCGCATGCTGATTGGTCAGAGTACCAAGCGAGCAGCTGAGCGGCGTTGAACGTCATCGCATCTCTTTCTCTCAACCACCCATTTCCAAAGCTATTCAACCTCATTCTCCATCATCTTGTACGTATATCGCGTGTGAATCTTTTATTTCGGTTGTTGGGCCTGCGGTTTAAAACCAGTTGGATCTCGGAGAGGTTCCCATTCACATCCGAACTAAACACTAAACTCTCGGGCCCCGCGTCGATCTCCCTTCCCTTTCACCTCCCTTTTCCCTTTCCTTTGGCTTTTTTTTCTTCTATTTTCTTTACACTGAATCCTTACGGTTGCGCATTAGCTACCGAAGATAAACATGAACTGGCTCAAGTCAACGTAAGTTGAATTCTTCTTTTGGGTGTGATGATAGTGGGGGTTGCGGTCAAGCTAATCCAAATTACAGTCTCTCTGCTGCGGTGGGCACGCAGGAACCTATCTACGGCCCCGAGGCGATCCGTTCGGTTGCCCAGCAAACCGCGGAGACTCCCTACACTGTTCTTACCAGAGATCACCTGCGATGGAAGGCATACCAATACACCAATGTCGAGACCCAGACCTTTTACTTCATGGCCGACAACGGCACTATGGTGATGTGCCAGGTCATCTACAGCAACATTGCGTGAGTAGATCTTATGTACCCCTCCATTCCGCATTCGAAAATCAACGATGCCACCCATCGGTCGGGAATGTTGAAATCTACTAGAGAAAGCTCGCTAACCTGGGCATTGTCTGGAACTATAGAGGCATCCACACCACTGCGCACTTCAACACCAAGATCTTTGACCTCAGCGGCGCCGGCAACCACATCTGGCACTCGGACGCCTTGTCGAACTTCATGTTCGATGAGCAGATGGTTAGCTTCGGCGCCGATAACCTGACCATCACCCTGAACGAGGAGGGTGACTCGTACACCATCAAGTCGACTGTCAACCCCGACAGTCTTGTTGACCTGAAGATCACCCGGAAGGCACCGGGTTTCACCATCGGAAAGGATGGCACCTCCTACTTTGGAACTGATCCTAAGAACCCCTGGGGCTCGGTAACCCACTCCTTCTGGGCGCGCTGCGCCGTCGAGGGTACCATCACCACCAAGGAGAAGACCTACGACCTCGCTGGTCGTGGTGTCTTTATCCCCGCCATGCAGGGAATGAAGCCCCACCACGCCGGTAAGCATAGAGTTCCCCCTTTTCACATCAAGGATACATATGCTTATTACTCCCCTAGCTTCCCGCTGGAACTTTGTTAACTTCCAGAGCCCCACCTACTCCGCCATCATCATGGAGTTCACCACTCCCCCCTCCTACGGCTCCACCAAGGTCAATGTCGGTGCCATTCTCAAGGATGACGAGATTATCTATGCCGGTACTCTTAACACAGTAACACACACTGCCTCGACAACAGACCCCACCAGCGATTGGCCCGAACCCACCGCTGTCAAGTGGGAGTGGACTGGCAAGACTGCCGATGGTCAGGATGTATCAGGCGAGATCGAGGGCTCCCTCGGCAAGCGCTTGGATCGCGTTGATGTGATGGGTGAGGTGCCCGGCTTCATCAAGACTATTGCCGGCAGTGTTGCTGGTACCAGGCCTTACATCTTCCAGGTACTTACCCTCTTCCGCACCTGTGTTTAACCAGTTGTACTGATTCAGAACCTGTAGTTCGTTCCTTCCGAGAAGCTGTCATTGAAGCTTAAGGTGGGTGAGACTGAGACCACTGAGGAGGGCTACACCTTCACAGAGTCCACTTTCATCTCCTAAGCTCATTGAGCCGACCTCTCCATCCCACGTACATAGGACATTCGGTCCCCCAGTGGGACCTCTTTGGCGTTAGTTTGAGACATTTCACATTATCTGCTAGAGGCAGTCGATATTAAGAGGCCTCACGCGAACCAGACATCCACAGATTGTATACTGGATGCTTAATGCTATTGACAATATTTCTCTTTGGAGTATGTACCTCACTTAAGTTTTTTTTTATTAATTTTTTTATTTTATAAAACTTCGAACGGTATCGTAGTGCCCGTAAACAATCTATCAACCTCGAAACGGGCGGCAAATTTGTAGAAAACAATGAATTGTGATAAAGTACAGGCGAATTTGAAATAAAGAAAAACAACGAGTGAACAGAACATGTAGTATTATTCCGCCGGCGGTATTTGGGGTATCAAATCGTTCTTGAAAATCGAAGAAGACTTATCTAGAGGTCAAAAACCAAGCAAAGAAAAACAAAAAAGGAACGAAAGACTAATTATCAACCATCAACTGTTCGCCTTCGTCCAAGAGGTCGGTGACCCGCGATAGATCGGAGATCATCTTGCGACCGTGACCAACCAGCAGCAACTTCTCGGCGTTGGCTGGGAGACCCAAGTAAGTAGGTGGCTCACGCTCAGGGAGTTTGTTCACCCAAGCAATGAAGTCGCGAATGCTGGTGCCAGTGGGTAGCGTGAGAAGTTCATCATTCTCAACACCTGAGACGAGCTTATAGTCGTCCTCAAAGGCAGCTGGTGTAAGGAAGCTATTCACCAGACTCTCCAGTTGCTGATAGTCACCAGCATCGTCAATCTTACCACCGTACATCTCGGCAATAAGGGTGCGGATCATTTCCCAAGGAAGCTTCTGAGGGGCGACATTGGAACGACCCTGGGCAACGGTATCAACCCAGTGATCGATGATCCAGGCAGAGCACTCGTACTATTGAAGAATTTGTTAGTGATGTTTCTGATCTAAGTGGAAAGGTATGATACTTACGTCACTGTCATTGAATTCCCAGAAGCCCTTCCATCCAAGACTGGGAGCGTAACGGAGTCTTTCTTGAACCACGGCGTGGAAGAAGCAAAGCAACAGGTACACACGAGCCTTCTCGATAGGTGCCTTGCTGGCACGAGTAGTCAATGAAGACAAAGAGTCCTTCATGTTGGCACGGACACCGGCAGGCTGCTCGAACATGAGCACGCGAGAAGCCCGGATGAGGTTAACTGGGATCTTGGGGCTGGATTCCATGGAAAGGAAGATTCGGAAGTCCTTATGAGGTTTCAGCGAATCCAGTCTCTTCTCCAGGCTCTGCAGCCATGAAGGAGCCAAATGAACGTTCTTGACCAGAACCCAGTTACCCGTGGCGGCTGCGTTGCTAATAGCCTTATCGGCACTGTCGAGGCCTTCGTTTGAACCCATGGCAATGTTGGCGCAGGTAGCGTGAGTTCGTTCGACTAGTGCATCGACCTTGTAACTGGCATCGAAACCGGGGCTGGAGCTGAGCGAAATAGGCGTAGTGGCGGTGACCTGGTCAACCACATCCTTCAGGTCACTGCTTCCCTCGAACAATTCGCGGCCAAATACAGCCTCAATGAACCGCTCTGCGGTCGGAACGAATCGATCCATACGGCAGAGCTTGACAAGGAGCAAGGAACGAAGCAGCTGGTCAAGCTTGGGAGTGTTTTCTTCCCAGACGACAGGAACGGCGTTCTCGGCAAGTTCCTCACCAAAGAATCGGTCCCATTGTTCTTGAGGAATATTGGGAATGTATTCCTTGAACAATGACATGTTCAAGAGCTTAGCCATGACCTGTTCACGAGCGTCTTGGGTGGTTGACAGATCTGCATCTTCAACGGATTCATCCAAAATGCGATCCAGAATGGCCCTATCCATAGGGAAGGGAGTAGCCTGGGCAAGGAGAATTGCGAGCGTAACGCGATCTTTCTGCACAAGACCCAGGGAGGTTCTCTGGTACGTGGTGATGAACAAGTCTCGAATGATCATCTGGACGCGAGCAGAGTGGTCTTTCTCTTGTGCAAGTGCCTTGTTCTGGTACAGAACAGAGTTGAAGATGTCGACGAAATATTGAAGAGAGAATTGGTAGAAGTGGTTGATGTGATGGAGCTGCTCCAGCACCGCAAAGACAGCACTGCAAGCTCGGGCAATGATGCTGTACTGCTGGGTGATAGTCTCAACTTCAGACATGACGCCCTCAGTCTCAGACATTTTCTTTGAAATCTCAGCGGCCTCCTTCTTGAGTGTCTCCAAAGTTTCGATGACGTTGTCATCATCCAGAATATTACCGCGAGACTCATTAAGTGCTTGCAAGAGGCGCTTCTCGAGCTGACGAAGGTGAACCTTGAATTCTCCTTGCATCTTGACCAAATTGTTGCGGCGTTCGTCAACATCTGGTCGCTCAAACTTCAGAACATCATTGAGTGATTGCGTCTGCAAGCTGCTTTGGGTAACCGTAAAGTTGACGAATGTGGTTCGACTACACACATCCGGCGGGAACGAGGCGGATGGATCTCTGGTCGACAAGAACAGCTTGAAGGATGGGGAGAAATCAATTTCTTGCTTGCCGAGTTGAATGAGCACACGGCCACCAGTCTTCTGGTACTCCTTGTTGAGGACGTGGTTGAGAATCGGGTCTAAGTGCTCAGCGTCTTGAATGAGAATAGGGTTACCGAAGCGCAGGGCGCTCTCCAGCTGTTTGACAAAAGAGTCGTCTAAGAAGCTTGTGACTGTAAGCTTGCGATCCTTGCTTTCTTTCTGCAAGAATTCTGTGACTCGGCCAGATGGATCCACGATCAGAGGGTATCTGTTGAAACGCTTCAAGATGATGGCGTTTTCGGTGCAAAGATCGTCGACGGGGAGAGAGTTCTCTTGCCAAGTGAGACGCTCATCGGCGTTTGATAGGTACTCCGTGATAGGGTTGTGTGGCTTGAAATGGATGCCAGACTGAGCCAGCTGGTGAACCCAATCATCAATCATCGCCTTACGGAATTGCTGATCATATAGACCAGCATAGGCAAGGAACGCGGCTGCAATCAGGACATCACCAACAAGAGTGCTGATCTGGGTTTCGAAAGACTTGCTGCCATCCTCCCAACGCTCACGCTCGGACGCCAAGCTGTCAAGCAGACGAACACTTCGGTCAACCTTGAACTGGACTCGGGACATTTCCATCTTGATGGCCTGAGTTTCACTGATAAGAGCAGCATACTCAGCCTTGTAGGTGGCAATGCTGCTTTCCAGACTCTGGATAGTGTTCTCAATAGCTTGAGCCTCAGCCTTGGTTTGCAAGGCTTGCTCTTCAAGCTGATCGACCTCCTCACGTAAGGGGCCAACACGGTCCAAGATCGCCGAGTAGTTGACTTGAGCCTCAACCCATTGGACCAAGGGACCGCAGGCCTTACTGGCGCGGTTCACACGCTCGTAGGTGAAGTCTTCCTTGGAAAGGAATTCATTTTGCATCTTGACACGGTGGTTGCGCGTCATCTGGCGCTCGTTGTCGTAGTTGACAATGCTTGCAATGAAATCATCTCGTCGCACAAGACCTTGAATGGTCTTCCAGCTGTCGACCTTGTGACCAAGTAGTGTGCACACAGCTTCCAGCGCAAGCCTAACACTGGCAGGAGGATTTCCCATGGAACGGACTTCAGTCAAGTGCTGACGCTTGATGTTGCTGACACTCCGCTGAGCTTCCTCCACAGCAGGCTCTGCTCTTGCCAGGTCGTGCAAGACGACCTCCCTCCGTTCTGCCACCTCCTTCTCTTGCTTATCTAGCGCCGCTTGCACCTCCAGCGATACTGTCTTTCTCTGTTCCGCTTCCTGTTGATCGGCGACCATGCGCTGCAACTTCTCGTTCGCTTCTGTGTCTTTCTTCTCCAATTGGGTCTTCTTCTGGGCAAGACTAGCACGTAAATCGCTGACCTTGTCCACAGTGTCTCGAAGTTTCTCGAGACCAACATTCAAATGACGTTGTTGTTCCTCAAGGTCCTCACGCTTTTCGTTAAACAGATTGACGTATTGGGCGACAAAGTCGAGGTAATGGCGTGGAGTGAGGAACGTCGAGCGGCCCTGTTGCTTCTGCAGGCGCTGGTTGAACCGGAGAAGTGAGTGGTGAATATAGACCATGGAGTTGACAACGGTGTCTCTGTGCGACGCAGGAAGTGTCAACTCGCGGTAAGCCACGGGAATACTGTCAGGGGATACAAAGTTAGGCTTGTCCAAGTCCACCGACTGAGTCAATTCAGAGCCGACTTGGAAGAGAGCTTGGTCCGACCAATCACCCATCCAGTTCAAAACACAACGATTGAACAGGGCAGGACTGGTAGCTGCCTTGGAAGACAGACCGTCTTCAGGTGGGTTCATGGTGAACACAACATGAAGATTCTTGACAATTTGCTGGGTGAACCATTTGTAAAGTTCCTCTTGCGAATCAAGTAGTAGACCCTGGCGCTGGGCACCTTCTTTACAAGCGGTCATCAAAGAGGAGAACTCGTCACCCTCGAAAAGACCGGGAACCTCGGCGTTTGCAAGCAATGTGTTCATGCGCTCAAGGAAACCGGAGTCGAGAACATTAGCTTCGTCCATGATGAAGCAAATCTTCTCTCCCTTGCAACCTGCGCGGCGAAGAACAATCCTGAGGTCGTCATCGAAGTCCTCAGATGAGTATTTGCCGTGAACCTTGATCTGGAAAACCTTAAGACCATTCATCCAAGCAACAAAACGAGACAAGGTTGTCTTTCCACTTCCGCTGACACCGATCAAAATCAGATGACCCTGAGGTTGGCGGAAAACTCGGTCAATGCGCAAGGCGTGTTCAAGGACGTCATTGAACAAGACCAAAGGAACATCAACTTCTTCTTCGCAGAAGGTCTTGAGTCGGGCTTTCACGAAATCACGTAGTCGCTCCTGTTCGACGGGAACATAGTTCTTGGACAACCAATTCGAAAACAGAATGGGACCCTTCAATGCTTCCTGGTCGTCGATTGTAGGGAAATGTTCCAAGGCAATACGTCGTACGGCATCAGCAGTCCAAGCCCTTTCGTCTTCATCAACCAGACGATCTTGGAAGAGTCGGAGAGCCTCATGAGCCCAAATTCGGACAAGCCCTTCAATTGATAGAGTCTCGAGGGGCTTGATAGCCTCATAGACACCACGGACCCAGCGAGTCAGCTCACGAGGAGAGTAAACGTAATGGGGTTGAATCTTTGGAGTGAATCTTGTCTGCGATTCAAGATAGAACTGGACCATTGCCTTGGTGAGAGCTTCGGAGTATCCACGAAGCAATGGCAGAATCTTAAGCACTGCCGAGTTGAAGGTACCGTAGATCTGGTTGAGGGAAATCTCTCCAGGGTAGTCCACCATGATGAGTGGAGCATGACGGAGGAAACGGTCTCCCATTGGAGTACGACCGGCATCCGTCGGAGGGTTACAAGCACCAACGAATTGAATGCGGTCCAGGCTGACCCAGGTCTTGTCGGAAGTCCGCCAGAACCCATTCTGCTCCACAAGCTGACGCAAGAACGAGATAGCACGCTGTGTACCATAACGATCGGGCGCAGGCAAGTTGATTTCGTCACAGAAAATGACCAACCAGCGGCCGATTTGGTTGGGCGACATCACCACACCATTGAGAGTCTTCTTGTACTCGCAGTATTGCTCAAAAGTCTTGATTAACAGATCCGGCGTGGTGGCACTAGAGAAGTTGAGGCCGACGACTTCCATGTTGGGTAATTTTCTCAAAGCAGCGAACAAGGTCATGGTTTTACCGGATCCAGGAGGACCGCAAAGTAGCAAGGGCTTATGTTCAGCAAGCCACGAATAAAGAACATCCTCGTGTCGAATAGTGTCGACGGTGGGAATAATCACATCGGTTTGGGTTACTGAATGCGTGTTGATATCAATAGAAGGCACTTGGGATTGCCAACTAGTCCACTCGGCCTTGGGCAGAGCAACGTCGAAGTCAATGAGCGACGATCCACCATCTGGTGGCAAATCTATTGTCGACATTCCGGTGACGAACTGCCCAAAGGCTTTGCGATCTACAAGAGGACAATCACCTGTAAAAGACCAGACGAGGGTGAGCAGGAGTTTCTTGGAGATGTACAACTCAATCTGCTCGGGATCCAGGGGAAAGTCGACATGTTGAATGTTGTACTCCAAAATGTTGCGGCAAGCCTTGTTCAACAAACTGAAGAGGGTATTCAATGCCCGAATTTCGGTGAAATCCATGATATGGTTGTACTTCTTGGCCTCCTCGAGAGACTTATGAACCAGGTCATCCATCTCCAGGTGCTGTTTCAGAACGACAGAAAGCGTTTCTTGCGTGTCTTGCGTCCTGGCAGCTGCCGTTCCAGCGGGAGCACTGTCATCGTCCAAGTCCTCGAAAGTCTTGGTCTTAAGGCCCTCGACATAGTTGGAGATCATCATGGACGGAGTGACAGTGTCAGCGTTGAACCACACCATACCACAACGACTGACTGTAGCCAAGGTAGCGTACTTCAGGCTCTCGACTTCGAACATGATCCGCACGTTCGAGGGAAGATTGAGACGTTCTCCGTTGGGCAGAGTGAGGAGCTTGTTGTCATCCAAAACACTGTTCAAGTTCTCAACCCATTCGGGGTCAACGTCACCATCAAAGACGATCCAGTGACGCTTAGTGTCTTCGCCTCGAAGATTGTCAACGATCTTTCGCAGAATGCCAGTGAAAAGACCATCAGTCCATTCACGGGTGGTGCTATCAAGGTTACCATATAGGGCTTCCTTTGACATGACCTTGGAATCAATGATATGGGAGACGCCTTCGACGCCTTCGATGCGTTGCATGGCTTGCAGAAGAATCTTCCAAGCAGCCGACTTTCCGGATCCAGATTTTCCAACCATCATGACACCATGGTGAATGCTTTGAATTTGATACAGTTGAAGAGCTTTGGCGATCCACATCTCACTGTCGACAAAGTGTTGTTCATGAGCAATATCTCGAATGGCCTGGGTAAGCTTCTCAAAGTTTGCGGGCACATAATCCACACCAGGGAAGTCTTCCACTTGGATTTGTAACATTCGATCGACATCCTCTTGCACAAGCTTGGGAGCAATAGTCTCGCGCAGGCTCTGAACAATGATTTGGGGTTCAATAAGATCATCTGGGCCAAGTTCGCCATTTGAGCTTGCGAGACGGGCACGTTTCAAGCCACCGGAGCTAACCAGAACACTCTTCAAAGCACGGAGACCAAAATCGTAATGGGCTTGTTTGGTCAATTGAGAAGCACAATGATCAAAGAATGGTACAGTCTGCTTTGACAACGGCTTGGCTTGTTTGAAACCTTGGGAGAACAGCATCACCTCGGCGATAAGTTCTTTATCTGGCTTTGACATCGCAACGCTACGGAATAGCTTCTTCAAGTTATCCGGCAAGTTCGATCGGCCGGCATAACCAGGGTTCATGGTGATGAAAATACCGGTGTTAGAGTTGACAACCAATTTTCTCCCAACCAGTTCGATCTCGGATTTGGCGTCTTCTTCTCCCTTGCGCAAACCAATCTGAATATTTTGAATTTGCTGAGAAACGGCGGAAAGGATTCTTTCCTCCAAACGATTGAACTCGTCAAAGCAGCCCCAAGCACCAACCTGGCAGATACCAAGGAAGATACGGCCCATGGCCTGGAAATCAAAGGTGTCATCACAACAGAAGACCAGTGTGAATCTACCAAGCTGTAGACCAAGGGCCTTCACGGACTCTGTTTTTCCGGTACCAGCAGGACCATAGGGAGAACCACCCAGCCTCTGGCAGAGGGCTTGAGTGAGAGTAAGGAAACAACGATCTGTGAGAGGAGTCCGGACAAGTCGCTCTGGAACACCCAAGTACTCGAAACCGTAGTTGAGTCTAGCATTTGCCATATGAACATATAGACGTTGCAAGAAATCGCCCTCCGGTTGATAGACAAAGCGCATTTGAAGCAACCACAAGTAGTGGGTAGATGTAGTTGCGTTGGACTGGATGAGCTTTGAAATGGTGTCACGTTGATGAACAAACTCAGTGATCATGTGTTCACACTTCTTGCGAGTAATCGCATCGAGCTCACCAAGCACAGTAGCCGCCAGTAGCTCGAGGACTCTGATTTGGGAGTCATGGAGGGCAGGGAGATTAGCACCGCCATCCTCCAAAGACTTATGCACGGCATTAGTCCAAACAACCTGACTGGCAAGGACGACAATCTGGGCTGGGTAGTTGGCGAGGAAGTCATTGAAAGCAGTTCGGTCCACTTCGGGAGCATTGTAGAGAGTATCAAATTGCTCAACAGCCTCACCGAGAAGCTCGGCCAGAGTCAACTTCATGTTGTTCTCCAGTGCAGAGAGCCAATCATTGATTCGGGGAGTCTTGACAAGATTGACCTCCCGCTTCAGGCGAACTTCTTCGCCTTCCTTGGAGGTGATGCCGACGATGTTGTTGTCGTCATCCATGAGAATACCGGACAAACCAGCGAACATCTTCTTAAAGTGCTTGGCAACGCGGAAGGTGTCGTTGGCGTTGCCAATGATCTCCAACAAGTCTTCATCACCAACAAAGTAGAAACGAGGGAAAGAAACACGTTCACGTTCCAGGTATTCACCAAGAGCCTTTTGAATCTTATTAAGCAACTCCGCCAATCTTTCCAGAGATTTCTGGACGCCATTGATGGCAAGAACATCCAAAATGAAAGGAGACTTGTAGACCTTTTTCATAACGGCGAAGAACTCCGAGTTGATGTTTTGGAAGCGGCTGGATTCGAGAGGCAGAAGATGCTTGATTTCCGCATTGCCAGTGAAAACACCCTCAAGGTATACCCACTGTCTCTGCACATCAATCCAAACATCGAAGAGAACATGGACGCGGTTGAGTTTGTCCTCCCAGGAGGTGGCTTCTTCCTCGAATTCTTTGTAGTATGGAGAATGTCTCATCGCCTGCAGGGAGTTTAGATTCTCACTGCACTTGGCAAATAGATCATCAAAGCCACGGATAAGGCGGCACTTGTTCTGGTAGTTGACAAGGTCCAGGGAGTAATTCTGCCAGGTCTCACGAACAGACTTCAAGAATTCTTCAAGGGCCATCTCACCCTGAGCCTGTGCGATGACGTTGCGGATGACTGTCTCGCTGGTAGCAAGCTGCAGGTCCCAAACATCGCCAAGAGTTAAAGACACAAGAGAAAACCGCTTGCCGGGCTTCAGTGACTTGTAAATCTTTTGCCAATGTCTTTCCTTCACTGCTTCGGACTTCATATCAGAAAGTAGAGAGTTGACTTTCAGGAACTGCCGGAGAACATTTTGAATGTGTTCAAACGCAGCATATTGCCTCATTCGGCTGGGCATCTCCTTCGTCATCTTGATCAGGCCATCTAGCGCTTGACGGAGCTTTCGGGGCTGGACGCTGGTCCACAGTCCGTCGCGAAGATCATTCAAACTCTTCCAAATTGTAGACAGTGCTGCCCACACGGACATGAAGTCTTGGACTTCCTCAAGAATAGCAGGGAGTGAGGACTCAGAGCTCACGGGAAGATCAAGGGCTTCCTTCGCTTTAGAAACCATCTCGAATTCGGATTGAAGGGACTCAAGACGTGACTGGAAAGAGCTTAAGGTACGGGATGCCTCCTCGGGCGGGATTGTACCCGAGACAGGCTTCTCGTCGTTCCATTGAGAAATAACTTCCGCAATTTTATCGCTGATGACGCGGTCTTCGGCGGTAATCTTCGCACGAAGACCCTCGGTTTGGTCGTGCACAATCTTGCTCTTTCGAGTAAGGAGCTCATTGAGAGCAGCCCATTCACCATCAACATTCTCGACATGAAGCCAGTCATTCGGGAACTGGTATCGCTGACGAGAGAGCGTGGTTTGACCTTGACGGAACATATCAACCTCAGGCTCCCAAACACGGGTCTTCCGCTTGCATTGTTGGACAATGGTGATGAAAGAGACGGCGTGGGCTGTGGATGATGCCTCCAGGGTCTGTCCCTCTAGATCACGGCGTGCAGCGGCAATTTCCGAGTGGACTTCACGCATGCGACCGCCAAGTTTGGCACCAAACTTCTGCAAAATCTCATGTTGCCACTGATCGTATTTGGCGTTGACTTTCGTCTGGACTTGCTCGTAATCGATTCTAATGTTCCCAAACGACCGACTGACTTCAGAAGTATCGAACGTGGCACGGCTCTTTCTAATCTCTTGAAGCAGCTGAAGCCACTGGGAGAGATCATCTCCTAAGATGTCGTATACCTGCTCGGACTGTAGGTCCCATAGTGATTGGAATTGCAACCACTTATCAACGTATTCTGATACATCCTTGAGCCGAGACTCCACCGCGCCGTATACCTGATTGAGCTCATTGGTACAGTGTTGTGGAAGCTCTGCAAAGCAAGCTTCAGACTGACGCACACTCTGCACATCAATTGAAATCTGGTAGCGAGTGGCTTTGATTTTCTCAAGATTACAGATCACGCCAAGCCAAGAATCGAAGTGCGAGAACCAGCTGGCACGGGCGAATTGCAGGGGCGGATCAAGATGAAGGACCTGGTTCTTCATTGAAATCTCGTGGAAAAGTTCAGAGAATTGGAGGAGGTGAGCAGTGGAATCTACATCACCATTAGCCTGAATGGATGTATTGCCGTTGCGAGACTCTTGGAAGGTGGCGATCCATTCGCGGACGGCACGAAGAAGTCGCTCCCGCAGAATGGCTTCAATTTTTCCATTGAGTTCGGAAACCCAGTAGCCAAGATTGACATAGTTCTCAAGGTTAAGCTTATCCACAGCAGTCTGGATCACATCTAGACGCTGTTTGAATGCTGAAGCTTGATATGAGCAGGTTTTCAATTCATGAATGGATTTTTGGATGCTCTCGTTGATGGATGAGAGGATGGCAGTCTTGGTCTGGAGGACTGATGCCGAGCCAGCGAACTCGCGCACGAACTGAACATGCTTGCTTTCCGTGCTTCGTGGCTTGGAGGGATCGATGGTTCCATTGGCCAATGCTGATTGCTTAACATGTAGCTCATAGGAATGAACAAAGGATTCCCATCGCAGTGGAATACCCTTACTGACCATGGCCTGCGAATCGTTCACATAGCCATTCAGCAGAAGAGCAACATCGGACATTGATGCAATGGTACGATTCGTCTGCAAGAGAGTCCGTACACTTTCCATCAAGCTGATCGCGTATGGGTAAACACGCTTCGCCTCTTTGGAAATGTTGCTCACGGCATGAGGAACCTGGAAGTTCAACCAGATGAGATTACGGACCTCCTTGAACAACGCAATTATCTGAGCATCAAAGTTAACCGTGAGCTCCAAGGAATTTCCAGCAGCACGATTGCGGACGATGTTGAACAGTCGGCCAGAGATTGTGATATGCCTCCTTTGCACATCATAAAGCCAGGACTCGAAAACAGGGCGGGTATCCAGCTTCTTGCGGAAGAGGTTGCTCTCGGACTGCAATTTCTCACCCTCGGCGTGTAGGTGCCAGTCCTCTCCAAGGACATTCTCAACCTTCCGCATGTAGCCATCCAGTTGGCGTTCAATTTGCCGAGCCCAGATGATAGCCCCAGAGACGGGTGGCAGATCACGCAATTGTGCCATGGCATGGGCCTCGGAGTGACCGTATTGCTGCTTGAACCGTTCATGGAGGGAAGAAATGTCACGTTTGACGTTGTCAATGAGTTGTGTCTGATACTCTCCGATGGCACCCCGGATCTTGGGACGAACCAACAGAGCGTTGAATTTGGAGAACACACGGAACATCTCATTGGCATTCTTGGCTGTCGCAAGACGATCGCGGAGGCGAGCAATGATGGAGTTCTCAACGCGAGATGTGCGCTCGCTGTAGCCAATCTCGGCATTCTCCCACGTCCGAGCTCCCTCGGGGGAGACATCTAACACATCAATATTCTGGAGAGCGGCGTAGGCATGTGTGACCTCCTCGACGGCATCAACATCACCGATTTCCTCCACGATGACTGCCCCATCAGCATCTACTACGTTAGTCTCGCCAGGCGAAGAATTCTTGGGCCCGAGAACATTGATAATAGTCTTCTGGAGCTGCTCATGGTTGACACGAAAAGTGTCTATGTACTTCAAACGTTCACGAACGTTATCAATTCTGGCATTGATCTTGATGGGAATGAATTTCTCGTTGCGTCGTCTGGTCGACTCTCGCGCCACGTTGGTGAACTCCTTCAAATTTTCATCCCAAGTACGCCAGATTGACTGTGCAACCTTCATCAAGGATCGGAATTCGCGGTAATCGAGGTGCAAAATCTCACGACCATTGATGAGTTCGTGAATCTTCTTGTCCAAATCGCCCGAAATAGCTTCAACGAGAGAAAGAGCACGCTTGATCGGGTAGGGGCAGATCTTCAGCTTCTTGTTCAAGTGATTAAAAATAAGACCAAGTGACTCTTGGGCCTTTTGCAGAGAAGTCGCGGACAGCAATTCATCCAACGGAAAGTCACGCATCAGTTGGTTATACTTCTGGACCAACTCCGTGGCATCTTTCAGCCCCGTATCGGCCTGGAAACTAAGGGTAGGTTGGTATCGCTTGGCATGGCGGAGAATGTCCATGGTCAACTTGACACCATCACTCTGCAGTTGACCCTCAATTCCTTCTAGGGCGGACTCCATCGACAACCAGAAATTAACCTCTGGTGACGCCGAGTCGCCCTCCGGGTCCCGTGACATCTTGGTGATTGTCTGGATCGACCTGATCCACCCATTCACTGTGTTTTGGATACTATTTGTGAATGCACTATTATCCAACACAGTGGAAGGAATTAGCTCGACGGAGGGCCGAATACCCTTGGTCTCAGCCTCCTTCAGCGCAGCCTGGACCACCTCGTGGAGCGGGAGGTTCAAGGCAGGGATCTCCACATTTTGTTGAAGATGCATGAAAGCCAACTCCAGCTCAGCAAACTTCTTCTTGGTGCCCGGAATGCCAGTCTTCGCCTCTGTGTCTGTTCTCGGCTTCGTACCGGAGATTGCTTCTTGGGTACGGGTGTTCGCTTCGAAGTAGGGACTGAGACCATGGTGGAGCATCAAGTGAATGATCTGGAATGGCGACAAAGATGTTCCTTGCTGAGATTGTGTGTTGTTTAGGGAGGCGATTCCGGGAAGATTCATAACTTGAATTTGTGCGGCGATTGGGAGACCGGGATCAATAGGGGCAGGGCGTTTAATGAAAGCAACGGACGAGACGGTGGTGGAGGCGGAGGAGATTTCGGACGACAGGGTGTAGACATACTGCATCGCAGGTTCTAAATAGTATGGTTAGCATTGGAAGAGCAGGCATCGATGGCCATAGTTGATGGACTGACCGGAGTCTTCGGCCTCGCCGGTTGTCTCTTCGGCAGCCACAATATCCTTCTGCACGTAAAGGGCCACTTGCGACTCTGAGGCAAAACGTGTACATCTCTGTACTGTGTCGGTATACCTCGTCGCGGAGAGCAAGCTCCCAGCACTTTCCAACTCGGATTTCAGAGCACCCAGTGTCACCCGGAGCACATCTGTCAGGTACTGAACTACAGCACCCGAATCCACCAGCGCTGCTGTATCCGGCGTAGAGACGCCATTTGGCGCCCCTGGCGCGGCAACTTCCATTGTTTATTCCAACTTTAGATTGACAGACTTGGTGGGTTCATCGAAGATTGAATATTTGGGAGCGCGATCGGCGGAGTAAAATAATTTGATGGCAGAGGTCGCGTCGAGGGATGGGTTGGCGGGGGTCAACGATTACCCGTATTGAAACCCTTGAAAAGGAAGCGGACAATAGAGACAGAAAAAGGTCTAGATTAATTAATACGGAGAAGAGAAGAGTGCAACCAAAAAAAAGGGTGTTGTCGTAGTCTGCACATGTGGAGATAACAGATAACTACGCGGTGTTTGTACACTTCAGGGGATGCGGGTCTAGCCCCGATCAGGTTAGGCTTGTCGCGCCCAACCATGTGACGTCCCTTGGTTCGTTACAACGTTTCAACCTTGGAACCACCTGGATGTAGTACATTGTATACAATTCTTTAGATTAAGCTCTTATATGTTCATTCAAGACACGCTACACATTCCATTACATTCACGCTTATCATAAGGCTGTGTATTTTCAACTATGGAGAATTCGAGTGCTCCCTGTGATTACCATTGTTCCAATAAACACATCCGCAACGACCTCGGTGATGCCCAAGCCCACACGCTGTATGTAGTGGGCCTTCCAATGCTGTTTATGTCAGGCGGATGTTTGGAATCAAAAATTCCACTGGTTCATCCAATTCTGCATCAATGAAACATCGATGCCCTTCAGCTCTCGCAAAGTCTTACTGGCAGCCTGCGTACTCGTTGTCTCGGTCCATGGGCCCACCTCCTCAGTTGCTGCAAACGCCTGGAAGAAGCTCAAGATTTTAAGAGCGGGCTTGTCTTCAAGATCATTCTCAGTGGGGTTGGTAAAGCTTTCCAGGGATTTAATCCATGTCTCGAAATCCACCGGGTGGACATCGAAGTACTTCACAACAGCTGGAATTAAGGATGACCATTCCGCGACATTCGGGTTAACAACGTGGAAGGCGGCACACGGCTCGTCCTCTTGTGTAGTCCGCCGGGTTCTAACCGTCTCCGTAATAACCTTGGCAGTGATATCCTAGAAGAATTGGAAGGTGACGTTAGACAAATGTACAGGTTTCTAACTTGATACACGACGCGAAAGCAACACATACCACCGGTACCCACTGCACGGTAATTGATCCCAGAGATTTGGGGATCTGCTTCAGCGTTTGAGACGTTGCAATCAACGATGGAAGCCATTCCTGCTTATTCCACATCCCTTTCTCGGTTGTGGGGCCACCGATCTGTCCAACTCGATGAATGCTGGTAGGGACACCAACTCTAGCAGAAGCAATTGCACAAATTCTCTCAGAGATATGTTTTGATTCACCATATCCCTGGCGAAGAACTGAGCTGGGATCATCGTAGATCACCTCCGGAATGGACGGCCCCCGCTCAGGACTATATCCTTCTATAGCGGAGATGGAGGAAATAAAATGAATGTGGGCGTTTCTCTGGCTGGCAATACTGAAATCGACTAGTCGGCGCACCCCTTCAATATGAGGATGCTCAAAAGCCTCGACCGCGTGGTTGAAGTTCACCTTCCACGCATTATGAATGATGGTGTCAACGCTTTGTAAAAGCTCCTCGTATTTAGAATCCTCCAGTCCGAGCCGTTCAGTCCCAAATTGAGCCTGGAGAAACTCCACTCGACGTGGGAACTGCTTGAAGAAGGCAAGTCCCTTTTCTTGTAGACTCGACAACTGTCTTGTGGCTGCATCTGCAGATCGGTTGAGGCAGTAGATCTTAGTAACACTAAGATCGTGAAGAAGCTCGGACAACAGGTAGGACCCGAGGGAGCCAGTAGACCCCGTGAGAATTACTGCATGACTTTCTCCGAGATCATCGGTGTATTTCCCAACCAGATCAGCAATCCTTGCTTCTCGGTCAGTCTCGCCTTCTGCGACAAATTCTGCAGGGCCTGAATCTTGACCCTGAAGTAGACCAAAAACATATTCAGTGAGCTGAACGACTGTCGGTCGGGAGTAAAGCTGTGGACTACCAAATGAAGGCCCCAGATCGGGCCGCGCAGATCGAAGAGATGCCTGGAGAATCTGACCCAAACGGAGCGTCTGAAGAGAATTGAGGCCAATTGCAAAGATGTCTGCCTTTTCATCTACAGCCGGGACATCCAAGATCTCTGACACAGCTGCTGTGATGTACAATGCAATCTCCGACTGGGTAGCATCTTTCGCAAGTTGAGCAATGTCACTTTGGTCGGAATCAACATACAAGGCATTTATCTCTTCTTCATAATCAGCTAGAACGGTTCGTCGCTTGATGCTACCCTTTGGAGTAAGCTGAAATGGTTTTGATTGGGTTGCGATTCCAATGCGACTTTTCATCAATTGAGCATGTCCTGGAGCAGCCTCATTGGCCTTCTTCACGGTGGGCCAAATTTTGTTGATAAAATCATTAGCGCTGTCATTCCATGTGTCCCAGTGAGGTTCAATCAAAAGTGATGACTGGAAGCGACCCTGACCAATCACTATAGCTTGGGTGACAAGGGGATTCCCAGTAATGATTTCTTCCATCAAGGTCGGATTGAATTTCTCACCATTGCTGAGAACAATGATATCATCTTTGCGACCAGAGTAGAGCCACAAATTTTCTTTCTCTGGATGAGGAGTGAACAAGTCACCGGTGTGGTATTCTTGCAAGTCGGGATATGTGTGGAAGGTGCACTTGCCATCACGACTATCTCCGCGAGAGACGATCAGCTCAAAAAAGCCATCTCCGGCATCACTCATTTTTAACCCAGTGTGAGGATTCCACTCAAAATAAGCCCAGTCTTTCTTGTCCTCGTGTCTCAAGCTTCCAAATACTCCGCATTCACTTGTTCCCAGCACTGTCTGAAGGTATGTCCACTCAGTAATACGGTTTCCGACTTCGGGGGCCAACGGTGCACCTCCGTAGCCGATAGAATCAAAGCTTTGCAAGGCTTTTACTCCCAATTCGGACCCGGCAAGATCCTCGAGCACAGAGGGGGCAAAGAAAACCGAAGTAGGCTTCTTTTCCTCGACAATATGGGTCAGCAGCTCCGCTGTCATTGGTTTGTCTGGGCTCAACACAAAGGGAGTGGAGAAGAGCATTGGGTACATCATATACGTAAGTCCGATGAGATGAAAGAAAGGGTTTGTGATCATTGCAAGGCTGCGTTCTCCTTGCAAAGCTGGGAATTGTAGAGTACGCTCTCGGTTTTCCGGTACTGGAAGTCTGCTAAGTCCCCCTACGGCAAGAAGATAGCCGTTGGTCATTGGAACCGCTTTGGGCATCCCTATAAGATGATTAGTATTTTTATTACTGGGTGATGGAAATAAAGACATTAGGAAGAACCAATAAGCAGAGCCCTTGATCCATATCTCTAAACATTGAAAACATCTAGGCTTACCCGTTGTTCCAGAGCTATGGATATAGATGGCCACACGGTCTTCGGGGTCCTCCGCTGGATCTTCGATTGAAGGTCCCGGTGAACTATCGTCAAACACCTCCCACAAATCTGGGACTTCCCAAGCTTTCAAGGACGTATAGGCTGCAGTAAGTCCATTGACTTGTCGGCTTTTTTCTGTTGTATAAACAAGCTTCGTGCAGTTTGTCAAGCCCATGACGTGATGTGATGCCTGTTCAGAGTTTCTGGGGGAGAGAAGCAATGCCTGGGAGGTATGTTAAACATTTGTATCGAACTCTTCTATATTGAAGATAGTCACTCACGGTGTGCCGCAGTCTCATGCACGCGAGAATGAATGCCACGTAGCGAATATCATTCGTAGCAACATAGGCAAGAGTTTCCGGGGCCCTAGAAGATGCTACATTCTCTTCGATCCAGAGAGCCATGCGATTCGCTGCACTGACAAGACCCGAGAAGGTCACATCTTTCCATCCCTGGGTGACATCTGGCGAGATTGACTGAGTGCAATATAGCCGACTAGGATCAGTGGTGGCTATTTCATCAGTGATGCGTAAAATAGTGGTTGGACCAGCAATTGGCTCAATATCAGTGAGAAGAGTCATGGTTCGTTTGAACGGCAAGTAAAATTTCTCAAGGTTGCAATGCCCAAGTAATCATGCAGATTAACTGATAGAGAGATGGTCTTTACTTATAGCCTTTTGAATGCTTAAGCTTTGACGAAATAAATACGCATGTGCATCCTTTCAAATCAGTAAGGAAAAACTGGGCGTGACTTATCAATTGATCATCTGTGATGATGAAGTCCTCAAATTCAAAATTTTCCAAATTCAGGCAAGATTCGGTTGAATAAACTATCTTGGACGCGGAATCTGCAATTTCTTTAATCAAAGCATCTGCAGTTGTACAAAACTTGGAATTAATTCATGCAGAGATCGACAATAAGTCGGATTATGATCGCTAAATTTGATCATTGGGCAAGTGCTGTGGCACTTTTGCTTGTTCTCGTGTCACATAGATACACCTGGGCACAGTTCACACATACTATGCACATGTATGCACATATGTGAGCTCCATATTCAAAGTTTCCATTGGGGTTAGGTACTCGAGTTTTTCAGTGGTAAATACTAGTAGATATTCAGGTGCCCAGGCGTGATCAGTGTTCAAATGTTGTTGAGTATGATTCTGATCAGTTAGAGGTTTTCTTTGCCGATTCAAGAACCTTGGAAATGTTTCGTCCTCGGACAAATACTGGCTTAGGCTACCCAGACTGATGGGAATGAAGTCGTGTCGGGCCAGATACTTGCATGCCTGGGAAGGAACTGCTCACGTTTAGATGGAAGATCTGGACTCCTGGACCCCGCTGATCCAGCTGATCCACGTACAAGTAGCGTCAAGCACATAGCCAAATCAGGCATAATCTCTGGTCGATCATTTTATTCATTCGAAGCATTTACGAATCTTAACTTGGTGGAAATCTAAAAAAGCAGAATGGAACACTACAGAGAATAGCGGTGAGCGAGTGATTGGGAAAAAGAGGGGATTTACTTCATCTTCCTCTTCTCGACTACAAGATGCAAGTTAAGAAACGCCCCACTAGATAGTGTTTATTCCCAGGTACCTCCCCGTAAACACGGTCTACGAATCTGTGCGATATGAGCTATCATTATACACTTTCAGGCAAAATTTTTGGAATTTGGAATTTGGAATTAATGCGTTGCAAGATTCAGCTGGGAATGGACTTGAATGATCGGCGACAAAGTATTCAAGCGTACCTGGTTGTTTTTGAACTTTTAATGTTCGGACATACACTTCAATTTGGTCATACTCAAGTGCTTGAACAAACCTAGGCCTGATCTCCCCATGGACCAGAAAATTTCACATTTCTTGATATTCCAACCATACTCAAGTGCTCTGTGTACCTTAATTCAAGGGGTCAACTTCCAGACCAACATTGAAGTTGGTAGTACCCGGTTGCTCTGGAAATATTGAAAACCCTAATGGGGTCGACGTTCTGAGCTTGACCTTTTACTACTATGCACATGCATGTGTAGTAACCTCCTATCCCTCCAGGTCAACTTCAGTGAACAACGTTTATGTAGGCCACTATGTTAGAAGAAAAAAAGGATCTCCAAATGTTGCTAATTAGATAAAATCAATTTGCTGCAAAGTTCGAGCAAATGTTACGAGTCGTGGTTCGGGTAGTTGCCGAGCCTACCGAGGGGTAATGTAGGACAGCATAGTCAAGTACGCAATAAAAGGGTGCTCAAGATACATTTGTGCCTGTCTTTGAACAGGGAGCCTGCTGGCATCGGAAGACGGGTTTCAATTAGTTCTAGCTTGGTATAGAATGTCACTTCACCCATCTTAATCAGGGATCGCGAGACATAGCACGGATGAACCATTTCTTTAAGGCCCTCGGGACCGAAACGCCCATGATCAGGTATAAGAGTATCCCCATTTCCTCAAACAAACCCTTTGAATGTTCCAATCCATTGCTCTACTTGAACAGACACCCAGCTAGATCCAAAATTCAATCAGTTCCAAGGTTCTTATCTTCCAAGATGCGTTTCATCATTCTTGCTGTTTTCGCCATGATCAGCGCTGTCATGGCCGACGGCATGGTTACGGTCACCACCAAGGTATGAGGATGAAATAAAGGAACCTCCGAAAACCCCCATCTAACTTAGTTTAAGCTGGCAAACGGTGCTGCCTGTAAGCAGGACGGAAGCATTGGAATTTGCACAAGTAACTTTTGCTTGGTAAGTGCCTGACCTGAGGATATCCGAGTGCTATGTGGTGAAGTAAAAAGCTAACTTTAATGCTTAGCAAACTCCCGACGAGGCCACTGGTGTATGCTCCACTGCTTGATAGGGATTTCTTCTTCGACTTCAGTACACAGGTGGAAAGGCACTGGTAGATTGAAGTGACATGTGTGATGTGAATTGGCACCTTGAAGCAATGAGACGACCGGAATCAAATACTTTTGATTAATCTTGACAGTTTGAATAAAGTCCGTAGCCATTTTGTTACCTCGCAAGAATAATTTAGCGACATCTTCTCTGAAACTTTTGTTAACTTTGAATGTAAACAATTAAAATTTGACAGACATGCTTGCTTAGAAAAGAAAAAAAGAGAGAAACATCTGAAAAGCTGGAGATAGAAAAGATAGCCTCCCATGCCGGATTAGATTGCAGATCCCTTATCAGTCAACTTTGCGTTCGCAGCGTCGGAGTCACGACAATTGCAGCCATACTTTCTGCGGAACTCCTCTCGGGACAAGCCTTCAATCGCATCCAAAGCCCTTTCGCTTGCTCGGACTTTGGAATATCGGCTGGAAGCTCCGATAGATTCCGCAACGGAGATTCCGTGTATCATGACAGCAGCGAGAATCGATGACCGTTCGTTATCTACCCCTGGAAGCTCACCCGACTTGAGACAATAGTCAGTGCATCCATAGATGGTTGTCAATTGGTTGTAAAGGAACGTCTATTTGCAGAAATTAGTAATTCAAAATTGTGTTGAAAATTACAAGATCGAGCTCTTACTGTTGGGTGCTTGTTAGCGAACGTGTCATATAGAGACATATCGACAAAGTAAGGTTCGATGTGACGCGCAAAGAAAGCTTCAATGATTGTGTAATCGAAGCCAGAATCGACGAAAATTGCAGCAAGATATGCCTCGAGCATGTCCGGTAGACACTATTAAGTCCTGGTCAGCATATATGATAACTATCAAGCAGTTTATTTAACATGCCTTTGGGGAGTCTCTCGTCCCCAGCCAGTAGTCCATCATTCCGGGATTTTCTTCTTCGGCGTACTGGATATCCTCGGCATACTGGGTAATGGCTGACTGCAGAGGGTTGCTGAAATGCTGCAGATGGCGATGAAATCCAAGCTTCACTGAAAGTGCCCCAAGGAATTTGTTTGATACCATAGCCATCTATAATTCTGATGAGAAATTGTAGTTTTCGGACCTAATAGATCAAACATTGAACCGGGCTTACCTTGTGCTCAGTCAACCATTGTGGGTCCTTATCTGGGAACTTTTGAAACAGATACTCGATACAAACCATATCCAGTAGAGCATCTCCAAGGAACTCCAGTCGCTGGTAGCAAGGTACTTTGGCCCAAGCAGAGGGGTATGAAGGGTGAGTGAATGCAGAACGGAGAAGAGCAGGGTATTGGAATTGATATCCTAGCCCCTGAAAGATCTTCTTAGCAAGATCAATCTCAAATCCATCAGTGCCTTTCAGTTGATAGGATGGTTTGACGTAGGATGACACATATTCCTTCCAGGTCTTGGCCTTGTGGTTTTCACTGTCAACGAATATAGTCACCGCTTCAATTGCCAAGTCAAACCGATTTTCCTTGCCTCCTGTGAGCAATGAAGCCCCTATGAGTGCCTCGCAGACATCAGCGATAGTCTTTTCTCCCAGTGCGTGACTGCTTTCGGAATCAAGATGTCGAAGGTAATTTCGACCATGAAGAAGCTCAAGACCTGGTGGGTACCATGTGTGCCTGTGCCTTTAAGTTAGCCAAACTCCGAAAACTAGCAAGGAATTGAAGGGGTAGTAGGGTACCGAGAAAATCCACGACTCCGGATGTAGGTATAGAGATTGATCTTAACCGCAGCATTGAACAAGTTCCTATTGCAGACGAGGCACATTCGGTTGACGTGATAATCATACTCATCGTCGTCCGGTTTCTGGCAGAAAAGTGAGATGGAAGTCGCCATCTTTAGAAAACTATCGCCGAGGAATTCGAGCCGCTCGTAATTCTTTCCCATGCCTCGTTGAACATGGATCTGGAGAGAACGATGTTCCTCGGTATTGTCTGAATCCTTGGTAAAAGCTTCAAGGGCGAATTCTAGCTTTAAATCGAGGCCTAGATGCTGACAGCCCTCTAGTACGATCAAGTAGGACTCGAGCCTATTCATAATAGCAGGAAAAGCTAGACAGGAAGTCACAATAGGAACAGGGATCTGAAAGAATTGTTAGTAACGGAGGTGTAGTTTTCAAATTGGAATCAGGAGTTGAGCTCACAGCGGAAATCATCAATGGCTCGGGGCAAATGACCGTCTTCGTTTGTTCTGCTTTGTCTGATTCTGTGGCTTTGTCCAGGAAGTTTCTTCGCAGGCAAACACATTCGGCCAGAAACACCGGCTGGTCCCAGTCTACGCCTTCTAGAGCCTTTGGTCGAGAGTTTTTCGAGAGACTGAGTGAGTAATTCATAATGTCCTTCATCCACTTTCGGCGAGGCACCCATGCCGGTGGAGGATCTGAGGGACGAAGTGTGGTATCGACGCTCAGCGGAAAGAATCGTCTCTTGCCGTCCCATCCATCATAAACGAAACGTCCAAATAGAGACGAAGGCTCCATGTCCCTGGTCCATTTTATCTCATGGTTCTTATTCACAAAATCCAGAGTTTTCCAGTCAATGATGTCTCTTGGTGAATCAGTAGAACTGATAATTTTGGCATCCGATCTTACTGGGGCTAGCCAGTACGGAAACTTGTCCAGGATGACTTCAAAAGTTTTATGAAAAACGTCACGAAAAACCGAAACTGTGAATTTTGAGAACCAGGTCAGGTCTTCAGTATTGACCGAAAGCGGACTTTCAAAACATACGACCTGGATCGTCGTTTCCTTGTCGTTTTCCAGGTAAAGAGGGAACGCTGGAATCTCTGGAACTCGTACTCGGGTCAAGAGTATGATGCTGTCATGAGGACGACACAGAGGCTCTGAAGGGCTAAATTTGAAGACCATACCATAAACCTTGTCAGGCAATTGTTCTTGATTTTGCTTCCATATGGATGGCTTGCAAATCATAGCGTATTGATTAGTCTTTTTCGACTGGATCGCCAATTTGGCGTTGCGCATAGCTGGGAGTCGCTTGTGGTAGATTGATCTGAGGTTATCGTCAAGAAGGTTGTTTTTCCTCAGCAAGATGCAGGCATCGAATGCAGCTGATTGTTTCGCCATGATCTTTGTTGGTTCCAATCTGCCTATCAGTCCTCGGATTGGCGATTTTTCGGGTAGAATGACTTCGCAAGAAAAGAACTTTCCTGTTGCAATCGTGAAGAAAGTTGCACAAGCTGACATATCTTTTTCGTATTGCTGTTTTAGATCATTAATAGTTGCAAGAATTTTTCTAAATCACAAACATTTGACCTACCAAGGAGGCTGCATATCGTGACAGAACACTAACAGCATGGTTGTATGTCAACGTTGCCCCTGTTGACTTGATGGAAAATGTTCTTTTCCACTCTTGCTTATCCAAGGTCTTCGCCAGGTCTGGCCCATCTCCCATCAGGAGTCGATCTCTGGGGAGTGCGTTGCAGAATTTCTGCATCAGCTTCTGTGATGATACATCAGCAAAGTTTTAAATTTATTCAAGAATACTAACCTCTGCCTGTTGGACCTCTTGGAGACGCTTTTGGTGTTGGTTGTTTTCGATCTCAACCATGTGCACATACTAGAGCCAGAAGTTAGTAATGTCCAATGAAGCAAGAAATGTTGTAGACATACGACAGATGCCTCGTGTCTTGCACGACCCCGACTCTGGATGTATTGAATCAGGGTTTCATAAATATTGAATCTATGGAATATTAGAAAGTTTAGTGGAACACCATAATAACTTTCTTATTCACCTTATGACGAGATTGCAATCCGGGATGTCAAGACCCTCTTCAGCCACTGATGTTGCAAACTACGAAGATGTTAGCTGCCTGTCCCTTTTTTTGTTTCAGAGCTCCAACCTACCAAGCAATTGATATCACCCTTTCGAAATTTAACCAAGGCAAGAAACTGCTGGCGGAAAGTGGTCGTCCCTGTGAGATCAGAATTCCGAACCCCAACCAGCGAGCCAGCACGGATATTTGGGATTGCCAATCGTTCACTCAGTTGCACCAGAACTTTAGCAGTATTTCGCCGCTCAGTGAAAATAATGCATTTTTTGTCTTTGGACTGGCTGAAGTGGTGTGTCAAGATGGTCAAGAGAAGTTCTACCTTGGGGCTCAGTTGACCCGAATCCAAGGGGTGTTGGAACGAATGCCCTTTAACGATTTCGCAGGCTTCCTTAACCTCCTCGACATCCCTAACAGTCTCGTTTGTAGTGGTTGCGTACTGGGTGAATTCCTTGCTAATGGAGCCCTCTAGCTTCGGTATCACATCATCTGCAAGAGCCTTGGCCCAAATTTGGTCAGCGCACCAGATTCCTAGCTCTGAGCTAGCATTCCAGACGGATCGGAAAACAGGTGCCAGAGCTTTGATGTCTCCAAACTTTTCCTTTATCTTTTTGGAAAGAGGTGTTTCAAAAGGGCGCTTGAGTCTCTGGTACGTCCATGTCTCCTCGGTTGGCTTTCTTATGATTGCCCGCAGAGCAGATAGTTTGGAGGTTGTTGCAATCTGGCTGTGTAAAAGAACTTCAAGCTCACTATAACAGGTCAGTTTGTATCCATGCATATTGGGGCCTTGTGAGACTTACCTCGCTGCCTGTACAATGTCACATTTGCCATCAATCGGGGATGCTGTCATTCCGAAGATCTTTGGACGTTCTGACACGTTGGTTTTGAGGTAAGAATCACGAATAATCCTGTTGAGATTAAATTAACACACCAACTTCAAATTTGAGCATCGCTTCCGGATATACTAACCGTGCGTAAGGGTGTTCCTTCTTGGTGTGATGTGCTTCGTCAAAAATCAGGAGGTTGACTTGATTCATCCTGACAAACGCGTTTAGCAACGCCTGATGCAGGATCTCCGCTGTGCAGACGATAACCATGTTTTCTTTGAGGTGTTTATCCCATGTCTCCTGATTCCACAGGTCTGGGCCCATAGCACCATAAAAGTGGCCAACTTCTTGACTCAGGTTGTTCCGCAAGACAGCCGCTTGTTGGAAAACCAAAGTCACGCTGTCGACCTAGGATCCGTTAATATCCACAGTTTCTCGAATATAATAGATCGCTTACCAAAAAAATGGCCACACGATCTGGTTTACCGAGGGAACGGTCAATGAGCTCCCGCTCCAACATATGCTTAAGCAAGAGCACTGCAATCAGAGTCTTTCCAGAGCCTTATTGTTATGTTAGACCGTTTCCTAAAGCACAGAAAATATGTGACAGCCTTACCAGTATCAAGAACGGCAATAATGTTGCAGGTCTTGGCACGTTCGAACAGTTCGATCTGGTATGCACGAGGGTCCAGACTTCCAGCATCGAGGTCTTTCCTTGCTATCAGGCTAGCAATTGTAAGCTCGTCGTCCGGCCGATCAGTTGTCACCTTCTTGACCAGCTGTGCTGTATCATCCCTTGCGCGCTTCGAAAGCCTATGTATAGCCCGTGTGGTCAGCAAAATTCACTTGTATGGGTACGTAGAAGACCGACAGCGCCTCGAATTGCACGTTCTGGGCTCGTCGGGCTTGGGAGGCCTCAGGAGGGACCTCATTATTCTCGTCCTCGCTGTCAGATTTCTCAGAATCACTGTTGATGTGAATATCATCATGTGTCACTTTTAAGGCCATGATGCTGGTCGAATAGAGTATTTTGGGGGTCTGGCAGGTCACGGGTCTAGGTCTCGAGATCGGAGATGGTTGTTGAGATAGCGAGAAAGGGGGAATAGATTCAAGGAATTTAAGATAGATTGCCGGGTCTCAGTTGACTACTGACAAAGTTGGCTATTGCCAGGGCATGGATATCTCAGTGTCGAAGTGAATTAAAAGTGAAGTGAATTTGACGGTGCTAGAAGGACCGAGTCTTCGAGGTACGTCGAACGGAGGTGGAATACTTAGCAATATCTATATAAAAAAGATTCAATAGTGAGTCTGCAAGAGTTCTGTGAAGAAGAGTTCTGTAAATTCAATTTGAAGCGAATCCTGCATTAATAAAATGGTCATTTACAGATAGTGTAACAAAAAACATTGAATATGTTCAACATTGAATATGTTCAACATTGAATATGTTCAACATTGAATGTGGATGATCTACAATTATATATAGTACGAATACAGATAAGAACCAGATAGAGAGCTCTTATCAGCTCTTATCACCTCGCCAAAACTTCCAAATCGCGGGGACACAAGGCACTTCCCAGGTTGTGCAGATTTCACTTTCTCCAATCGAATCAACAATATGGAGCAATCACAGAGTCTTCGATCGTTATTTCTGTCGGCAAAAGAAGGCAAGTCAGTGTTGGAGTCAAGAGGCGATACCAACACCGCCGCTTACCGCGATGATGTGAATGCGACAATCGCCAAATTCCAAGAGTGCCAACGCCAAATTAGCATCTTGTCACTTTTCAGCTCCAATGAATCCCTAGACGATGTTTCCTCTGGTGATCTACAGTAAGAGTTTGAGCTTTGGTCTATATTTGTTGTACTCAGCTGATCTCCTTCGTCTAGATATATGACCTTGGAATACCACCTTGCCGAACTCACTCAGCGAGGACCCAGTGCTGACCGCGAGTCTGTTCTTCAGCGAGCCTTGGAACAATACGAGAAATTTTTGACGCGCCTTGATGAATATGAATTATTGTCGAAGGGGGATCGGAAGCTGTTCGAGACATACATGGCCAACCCGTCGGCTTTTACTTTGGCACCGGTTAACGATGCAGCGGCTCGGCGGGACACCAAAGTCAGACGCTTCCGGGAAGAAAAGGAACTAAAGCAAAAGCTGGAGGTAGGATAAATGAATCGACGGAGAATAACAGAATATTTGGATTTACTGCTGACACACTAAAGTATTTGGCCCAAAATGAAGCACGACTCCAAAGCGACGGCGACGCGACCCGCAATCTCTACCTATCCGAACTCCAACTTTATACACATCAAACTTTCCAATCATTGGATATGCTGGTGCAGGAGTTGTCGATTCTATCCGCGATGCGAAATGCGCCCACACCAGAGCCATTACAAGCCCCGAATGACCCCCGTCAACGCAGTGGTTTGGGAGGCGCCAATTACTCGGACCGATTGGATCCATCGATATCACAATTGCTTGGAGGACGGAATGGACCATTATTGAACAGCAAGGGGGTACCGATGCAGCCATTTACACTTCTTGATCGTCGTTCGCAGCTTCAGCAGGGTGTATTCCGCTCCGGCCATAACCTACCAACCATGACCATTGAAGAATACCTCGACGAAGAGCACAAGAGGGGTAATGTTCTTCAAGGAGGCGAGCAATCTGGAATTATTGCGGAAATTGATGAAGACGATTTGGACAAGGCTGATCAGGAGACGCTGAAGGCTCGGGCCTGGGATGAATATGTCGAGGCAAACCCCCGCGGATCTGGGAACACGCTCAATCGCGGTTGATGCCGTGAAAAGTATGCTTCCATACTAGTACATATGATATTTCTTTTCGCGGCCATTTTCGAAGCTCTAGATATATACAAAGCATTTCTGGATTGGATTAAAATCGAAAAACTAGAAGATATCGCAATGTACAATGCGTGAATTTCATCTGTGTGTTTCAAATACATCGTTGATCTCATCCTCATTTCGAAGGGGTATTTGTGTAGTTGCATCCCAGTATATCTCATATTTTGCTTCTTATTGTCAATCGATTGATTAAACAATAACACTTTCCTTGGCAACCTTGTTTCGCTGGATTTCCTCCAGGATTGCGCCAGCGCCTTCTTCTACCAATGCTTTCGCTACTGTGACGCCAAAGGCCTCGGCACTTTCAGCCGAATCCACATCGCCATCAACCTCGACTTGCGCGCACTGCTGGCCGTCGACGCTAACGACCACAGACCGCATACGCAGCTTCTTTGATCCCGCACTCTCAATCCACTCGCTCTCGACACCTAGAGGAGCACTGCACCCTCCTTCAAGGGTTCGCAGAAGGCTCCGCTCGGCCAAACAAGCATAGGTAGTCTCCTGGTGACCAATCTTGGTTAACATTTCTAACAGTAGGGTGTCCTCCTTGCGAATCTCAATTCCCAAAGCACCCTGTCCAACGGCATAGAGCATTCCACTGTTCTTCGAATCGAGGTACTGAGTGATGCGATCCTGCAGATCGAGGCGCAACAGACCGGCCGCGGCAAGGATAGCACAGGTATACGGACTGTCCTCGGCATCCAGCTTCGACAGACGAGTTCCGATATTTCCGCGAATATCCTGAACTTTCAGGTGAGGGTATTTACGCGCCAATTGGGCCGTGCGGCGAATGGAGGAGGTTCCAACAACGGAGCCGGCGGGGAGCTCTGCCAAACTCTTGTAGGGCAACCCTTGTTTCACAACAAAGACATCGCGGCTGTCTTCACGAGGCATCATCATTCCCAGGGTGCACGTCTCAGGGAGAAGAGTAGGAACATCTGCGGATTTGAAAGTCAAATTAGTATCGCTTGCGTGGGGTTCAATGATGATGCGGGGCAACCAGGTCCTGCGTCTTTTACCTTTAAGGGAGTGGACGATGAAGTCTACTTGGCCTCCAATCATCAATTCTTCCAGCTCCTCGGTCCATAGATTCTTCGAGGTAAAATCCTTCAGGGCAATGGTGGTGTTGAGATCTCCAGCCGTCTCCTTGGTCAAGGTCTTGAATTCATAGTCGGGATGTGTTTTCTGGAGAGCCGCACGCACTAAGTCGGTTTGCAGCAGGGCAAGCTTGGACTTGCGTGTGCCAATGGTGAAGGTCTTTTTGGTTGGGGCGGGGGTGGCCATTTTTGATAAGATGAAGATATAAAAGGGAAAGCGGTGCTTATCACACAAGTTGAGACGGAGACGTCCCGAGGTCAGGTCCAAAAAATCTGGGAAATACTTCTAAAAACAACCTTGGAAGGTCAAGTTCAACAATCGCTTTTTCAGCCATCCAGCATGCGTAACCGGGCTAGCTCAATTGGAAGAGCGTGGGACTTTTAGATTTCGATTCCGATCAGAACCTATAAATCCCAAGGCTGCGGGTTCGACCCCCGCGTTCGGTGTTACAAAACCCAGCACTTGCTGGTATTCTTTTTTTGTTTTTTTCCAACCAAAATAAAAATCCCTTTGAATTTATTCTACCTATTTCTACACCTTTTTCTATCGGGAAATGAATAGTCAGAGCAGAACACCAAAGTATATACTTACTACTCAAGTGCTATAATTAAGTTACTATAGATACACCCCTTTTCACTACTACCTGCCTACTAGTAGGTAGTAAAAGGGTATATGCTATTAGCGAAAAGGGGTGTGCCTATAGTAAAACCCTAAATTACAGCTGTACAGCAGGAGTAAAAAAGAATAAATTGTGAAAAAATTACCCCAGATATCATCACATACGCTGTGATGATATATAAGTGTAATGTGAAAACACCGAACGCGGGGGTCGAACCCGCAGCCTTGGGATTTGTAGGTTTGTGATATAGAAATATCTAAATCTAAAAGTCCCACGCTCTTCCAATTGAGCTAGCCCGGTTGTGTATGATGTAATGCGCAAAATATGGCCTTATGACCTGTCCTACAAGTGCTAGTATGGACTTAAGGTTTTTGATCTAACGTCTCGACTTGTAGGATTAGCATCGCTTATTAGAGCCGTCAACTGTGTCATTAGCAAAAAGGGGCGTGTCTATGGTGAAATTCATAGTTCATGTATTTTAACCTTGGAATCGAACATTTGAACAATTTAAACATTTAAACATTTACAATTTGCTGTGGTTTGCAAAACGGCCGTGGTGCACCCACTGTACAACGGTAGAAATATTCTATTAACCTCCAGATGTCCCTTCAAATGATATGTAAGGGCAAATGTTAGAACTGATTTGGAAACAGTATGAGATCAAAAAAAAAAGAGTTTAGAAATCAGGTCAACACCCCAGGCCTAAAACCCCCAGGGCTTGGAAACATCCATGATTGGTCCCGAAGCCTCGCAAACGGCTCCAGATCTATATAATCCTAGACCAACAACATACTAATATACAAGATAAAGACTCAGTGACAAAACAGCTGTGAAAGAAAACATGAACACCGAGTTCTTAACCAGAAAGAAAATCCGTATGGGTAATCAAATTTAGCAATCCATCCATCCAAATACAAGTCGCCAGTTGAAGCTTTCTTAACGCTTGTTGGGTAGAGTGATCCATTTCGGAGTCTTGAAACCTCCACCCTTGACGTTGGCAAACTCCTTATGCGCAAAATCAAGACCCAATGTCTTCCAAGTTGGCTCCCAGGACTTTTTGTCGCCCTGCAGTTCCTTCGCTTGCTTATCGAGCGCCTCGCGTAACGCAGTATTCGGCTTCTCAGCTGAGTGACTCTGCTGGGCACCCTTCTTCTGTTGCTCATGCTGAGCCTTGATTGTTGCGTCCCATGCTTCCTTCTCCCAGCTGTGCAGTAGAAACGATGATTAGCAAAGTGAACTTGAGGATATGTGTATTCAATCGCGTGTAATAGGGAGCAGCAAAGTTCCCATACGCCAAAAATCGCAATATGCACCGGCAAAAATGCCAGCTTGATAGATGAGGATAACATACTTCTTCAGATCCTCTGGTTCCTTTGGCCAAACAAATTCATCCCGTAGTTCAACAGTCATCCGCTTCTCGGATTTCGGTCGTCGCCACTGGCCCATCATGCGACCATCTCGGGTAATGCGGGTAATGGGCTGCTGCTCGATGTAACTGCGAATTCTGACGGCTGCCACGCCGTACAGACGCTGGAGGTAATCGCGCATGTCGAGCTTGTTAAAGTTGAGGGGGACGCGGAATTGCGCATAGCGAGGAGAGAGGAAGGGGGTTCGGACGAGGGCAATGGTGAATTCAGGGCTGTTGTAAATTTAATTATCAGTCTGTGCCTAGTAATTCATGTGTTCTTTCGAGTGTAGTCATGTTTCGAATACTTGTGCTGGTATGGACGGTACTGGGGGAGTTTTCGAAATTTGATGCCTCTGGATTTGTCGGATAGAGGATAGACTTACAGGAAAACCTGCTTACGCTGAGCAGGCGACAGCGCGGACTGCTTGATCACCGCATTGGAGACCCCAATTGCTTTGCGTACCATGTTGGAGTTGTTTTGATAGTTAGATGGCACAGAGTCGGAGTCGTAGATCTTTTGCGGTCGGAATAATTGCGCCGGTGGCCGCACCGCCCGCCCTACAACACATGTCCCAGTGGGCTGGAATTTCAGGAAGCACTACTTTCTCCATGTCTAGTTTCTCCATGTTGCTACTATTGCAATGGCAATTGCAAGCCCTTGAGCCCGAGTCTCCAATTTACAAGTATTTTGAATGCCACGAAGATTTTATATTACAGGCTAAATTCATAAATCATGGTCATTAATGCACTTAGTTTTGGTTTCCCCTTCATTGCCCGGATGGTCCCGACACATGCAAGTCCTCAAGTTGTCGTGAGCTCTCGCCCACTTCTTCATCGTCTTGCTCTGACTGCTTGGCCTCGCTAGGCTCTCCTGATTCCGAGCCAGACTCTTCGTCATCCTCCTCCTCTTCACTGCTGTCGTCATCATCCTCACCATCCTCCCTAGAACCGGCATCGCCGTCCACACCGACTTCCTGCATGTACTTCTCAAGCTCCCGAGCCATTTTCTTTGAGAAGCCCGATGCCTCAACCTCCACATCCAGACGCTTACCAGGGTTCTTCATGAACTTCTTCCTGGCTTGAGCAAACGTAGGACCAGGAACGTCGCTCACGAAGTGGAATTTGCGCTGGAAATAACGCTTCACGCAGTTCACATCACGGTCGAAATACATTTCGGCATTCATGTGGTCAATGGACAGCATCTGAGGGAAATCAATGAGCACCGGGACCAGCCGGATATCTTCATCTGCCACATCATCCAATTTGGTGTCCGGAGTGTATTTCTCTTTGGCATTTTCATCCACCTCTTCCTTGATGAGCAAGTTGAACTCGTTGAAATCACCGTGAATGAGTCCAAAGCGCGCCAGCTCCAGGATCATTTCCATCAATTCGGAGTATAATTTTTGTGGGTTGGGGACCTTGGAGATCTGGCGGAGCGGGAAAGCATCAATCAAACTCATGATGATGGTGTGTCGGTTCTGGGCGTAGGGTTCAGGCACCGGGAAACCGTTCTCGCGGAGCGCCTTCATGAATGCGAATTCCTTCATGGCAGCCAATCGGGACATGTACATCCATGATGCTGAGCTGCGGTGTCGCAGGTAGTCGCGATTCGTCTTGACGGTCCGGAAGGAGATACGACCCAAGCGGTGGATTTTGAGAATTCGCTGCTCTCCGCTGCTGTGTGCGACAACGATGATGTCGGATTCCTTACCCACACCAACCTGGTTACCAACTGAATAGACAACATTTTGCTTCTGGTGCGCATTCAGCGCCAAGTAATCCAGTCCACCATAGGTAAGTCTGTAGCCATCGTCTGCGGAAATGAATGAGCCATCAGTATACGGGCGTAGAGATTTTGAGATCTGGGGGAAACGTACACTTCGCATTCTTGACTTTGGCAATCAAGTTGATCTTGGCCAGATTCGAGATTGCGCGATGCACGCCGGCGCCGCCTCGGAGGCCAGATAGTTGCACGATCAGCGGTGTAGGGACGACTTCATGGTTGCGACTTCCAGCTTCAACCTAATGAAAAGGACGTCTATTAGCAATCAGATCAGACATTCCTGCAATGCTGCGCATGGCGGGGTGGAGGGGCTGATAAGTACTCCGGCAAGAACTTTGAAATCTTCGTTGGTGAGATAGCGGATTGCCTTGGAGTCAAGCTTCATGGCGACGGTTTCTCAGGCCAAATTCAGCTCTATGAAACTTCAAATATTCAATGCGAAAGGGACAAGACCGAATCTGGAAAACGTGACGTTTAAAGCGATACGGAGGCAAGAAAAAAGTGATAAGCTCAAAGCCCTATGCCCTACTTTCCCTTTTGGGGACGGGTACCTTGGTATCAAGTCCCTGACAACTGACCAGCAGGTTTGCTAACCACTCGCAACCAACGACAGTCATACAAGTATGGAGAGATTTTTGAAAGGCGCACGCGATATCAGGATTTGATATCCTACGCTCCAAGTAATAATAGAAATTACAAGACTTTATCCTAAAAAGAAAGAGAACCCAAATTCATTAGTCTACAGACATCCGTCTAGACAATGCCCGTCCAAGCCCGCCCGACAACCCCAAATGCAGGAGTGATATAAGAAGAAATTCCATGCTATTCTTGAGTCGTTCTGAATAAATTAGGTACAATGATAACCCGACAACTGTGAGAGACCCGCCGGGGGCGAGCAACGGAGATAAATCGGCATCTCATTGAGCCTATTCGGGGCTTTCCCAATCGGGGTTCTAGAGATACTGTGTTAGAAAAAAATGTCAAGGAGTACTATTATTCAGGGGACTTACCTTCCGCAGAATAACCAAGCCCTCGAGTGTGCTGCTAAGAGGAATGTACTGCTCATCCTCAAGCTCGGCTCTCTCGCCGTAGGACAGTAGCACGGGAGTGCTCTGGGTTTGCCATCCAGTGATGGTCTTTGGTCGACCGGCCTGACCAACGACATCCACGGCCTGACCAACACGGACGTTGACTGTGAGCGGTTGCAGGTCTTCATCGAGAGTGACGAGGTAGCGCGGGAACATGGAGGTGATAAGGAAGTAGAGCAAATAGTGGTGTTCCGCGAGGATAAATTGCTTGGCGTCAATCAAAGACACAAGCACTGTGAGAAGACCGGCAGCGGAGACGCGAGAAAGAACCTGTCGGTCGGTGTGGAAGGGGTTGAGAGTCATTGTTCCCTTACCCATGTGAAGGAGACCCTGAGCGATGCGTACCATGAACAGAGAGTTCTGGTCGCGGTGGTAGTAGCTAGCCAACTGCCGCAGGAGCTGTGCCAGACGAGCATTGTTGGTGCCAGCACCACACAGACCCATAGCGAAGATGGCGTTGATGGCGACTTCGTTGTCGTTATCGTGACTGTACCGAGACAGGGTGTCGTAAATCTTCATCTGAGGGTTGCTGGGACTAATAAGACCCATGGCGAGAGGCACGACCCGGCGGATGTTGCTGGAGCCGTAGTGCATGAGATGGCCGAACTGGCGAAGAATCATATCCTGGCCAACATCCTCACCCATGGCGATAAGTGACAGACCCAGAACAGCGTATGACTGAACAAGCTCATCACCCTTGTTCTCCTCCTTTTCCTCGATTATGTCATTGCAAATGTGGAGAAGTTCTTGCAACTTGAGCACAGTTCCTGTGCCAGCCCAGGCACAGACTGATGCAAGAACCGAGGTAGGCTTTGCCATTGGGTGATCAATAGCCTTAAGAATGTCAAGAACGACATCGACTTCCTCCTGCCGACCGAAGTAAAGCAGAGCCAGACCAAGGGCCATAAAGCGTGTCCACTTATCCTTCAATTGCTTCTGACGCTCCTCATCCATCAAAGTTGCGGCAATCACCTCGCTCACCTGGTGATTTGACGAACCCACGAAAATGAGACCAAGTGAGACTGCTGCCATGGCGGACAGCTGCATATCCAGCGAGGTGTCCTCCACAATTGGAAGCAAAACATCTAGGAGTTCTTCCTTGTTGGAACCAGCATATGCCAGACCAAGACCCATAATCGATGCGACCCGCATGGGCACATTCTTCGCCTCCAAGTTATCAGGGTCACTCAACAGAGCAAGAGCAGGATCGGACTCGAAGCGTACTCCGGAATTCAAGATTCCAAGTGCGAGAAGAGCACCAGCTTTGACCTGATCCTCTTCAACGTAGGTGAATCTGTCGATCTTGTTCAAACCCTCTTCAACATCCCGATGCATAAGCATACCCAAAGAGGCTGTTGTGGAAAGCTGGCCGTCATCTTTAGTCTTCCACACCCACGCGCCCTTCTCGCCATCAACGAGCATCATCTTATCATTTCCGAAGCCGGCGTTCACGAAAGAGTTAACGAAAGCGCTGGCCAGGTTGTGTCGTGCTGAGTCCAAGTTGGTGAGACCAGCTCCTCGGCTGCTCTCCAGGTGTGTCTTGTAGATATCCTCGGGCATCTTCGGGTCCAAAATGTTAAGTTCTTTTCCTAGAGATTTGAAGTGGTTCGGGATAGAAGTATTGTTCAGACAATCCGCTAGGGATTCAGCGTCCTCATGATCCTCCTCAAGATCGAGCCAAATTTGTTGTCGCGCAACCAGGAATGCCATTTGTTTCTTGAGTGCCCTGTCGGTCGTGGCGTTGATGTCGCTCTTGATGAGATCAGTGTCGTTCAATCTGATAGCAAGCACAATCGCCTGGGAAAGCTTGTTGTAGCGAACGTAAATATCGTGAGCTGTGCGAAGGAACTGCTGGTCTTCGGGGTAGGTGAGCAGATTGACCATGCTAACCATGTACAAGCAGACTCGAGCATAGGTATTTTCATCCACAAATTGCGGGATGTCCTCGATGATCTCCAATTCGCTCATAAGATCGACGGCATCGGCCTCGGCATTGTGACCCAGGAAATAAGGAACCAGGGACAGCGCAAGGTCCACCAGATCTTGAGTCTCCTTCTCTGCGTTCAGTCTGTTCTGATATTCTTGTCCAATCTCAAGCGCCAAGTGTCTGACATATTCGTGGCCCCAGGAACCAAGATCCTCGGACTTGGCCAACAAGCGGTACTTGATTGTCTCCAGCTTCTCCTCGTCTCCATAGGTCATGCCGAGCACGGAAAGCATGTCAGCGAAGGAGTCCTATTTCCAGATCATGATTAGTATTTATAAATAGATGATTTGATGGCGCAACCAACCTTGACAGGGCCCGCTGTCCACTTCTCGTACAGCTCTGCAAGTTCATCGTAATGCGGTCGGAGGAATTTAAGGGGCTTCGGAACAGCAGTCATAGAAGACGTTGAAGTCTTGATGAAGTTCTTGATGGCATCCAAGGCAGGACCGTAGAGGGTGGTGTCTGGCTCCTATAGTAAGATAGAGTGAGCGCTCACGTCATTGACGGCTCCAGGAATCCCAAGGGTGTGTCATACCTTTAACCGTTCAACAAGCATCTCAAGCTCATTTTTCAACTCTTGGTCCTCCTCACTGAGCTCCTCTTCAATGATGTTAGCCATCAGGTTCTGGGACTGAAGGTATGGGCGGCAGATGGCAGATGCTGTCCTCCGCGGTGTTGTCACGACCTACCTTCCTGTGGCTCCTCATCCTTCTTCTTTCCCTCAGCAGGAGCCTTCTCATCCTTTTGGGGCTTCTTGCCGTTTAACTCGCGGACATCCTCAACCTTGCCCTTGCCCTTGTCGGCGGTGGTTGGCCGTTCGCCCTCGTTCGGCATCTTTGATGGTATCTCGCGACCAGGTCGGAAGTGGGCAAAAGGTGAGTGAACGGGGAACGCGGGGATTAGGGCGTTGAGTATGCAGTTGCACTATCGAGAAGAAAAACAGGGAACTGCAGATGAAATGTATTGCAGTGAATTGATTGTAAGCTGGTGTTCATATGATGAAGACGCAGAGAGCTGGTGCAGCTTCGGGTTATGTAATCACGCCAAGCCCTCGTCATTGTTTTTGGGTTGATCTTCGATACACTTCCACAGTCTCTACTACATGTAGATACTAAGTCTAGCCAAACATCAGAGATTAAAATTTACATAAATTTGTAGGCTTTAGAATGTAGTCAATTAGTACCAGTAGTTTGGCTAATCTTCAAATTCATTTGCATGAGCCATAAATCATTCATCAAGGCAGAATAGATCCCCAGAGGAATGTTCAGAAGCCGCCTGACTACTAGAACAACCTCCGTATCGAGATCGGAATTGTTGAAAGTAGTCCTCGGTCTTTTGTATGAGATTTTCATCAGTCAACTGCTCTCCTTCAAAAGAGAGTAGAGGCAAGCTGCCAAGACCCAGAAAACCTCGTGGAAAGGTGTCAAATAGTGTCATAATGGTCGATTTCTGGCTCGGCTCCTTTTCCAGTGATACTAATTCAATATCATCGCCGTCTTCTCCCCCAGACAATTCTTCCTTCCTATCCTCCATGAACTCTTCTGGGGATTGAGACAAGTCTTGGTGAACGTTCACCAGACGTGGCACCCCAGTGCTTGAAAGCGAGGGATAAAGCATATAGTATCCTTTAGCCTGCATCATCTCAAGGAGATATTCCATGAAAGCTGGGTACTTTGTGGAAATGAGCTTATTCTGAACCGGAATGGTTGCTTTGAATTCCGAAGCATCAAGGCGACTCGAAAGGAAGGAATGAAACTCCGCCCATTTATCCCCGAAATACAATGCGGCATTGCTATTTGGAGCCTGCCAGAGAAACGAGGGAATGGATTCCGATTCAGCTCCTAATGATGGCAAGGAAAGAGGGCCATCGTTTGTTGAGGGATTATCTGATGGAAGATCAAGAGAGATTCCAATGAGCTTGGATGTCGAAGTACTGGTTGGCTGTTTATGGGCCAAAATGCTGTACTTTAGATAGTGGTAGAATGATGGAGCCAGCTCAGTCTCCGGGGATAGCAAAAGTAGATGAGATACACCTGGGTTGAGGGGATAGAATGACTCAACGGTTTGGATAGAAGCTTCAACAGCGTCCATGAAGTGAGGTTGAATGCGTCGCCGAAGGATGATCTGATCCTTTTTCAATTGGGTTAAGCCTTTCAGATGTTCCAAGAGACCTGTCTCATCTACCCGTGGCGGAAGTTCTATCGTCAATCTTGGAGCGGCCCCCAGATAATCAGCAGCATCAAGCGACCGGATAAGCCTGGCAAGGGAGGCTGATTGAGATGCATGAACCACCATGTCAACATGAATATCATTCCAAACTATTGGATGAAGCATTAGCTCAATTCAAACATAATTTAGTTGCGAATAGACAGTGTACCTCTGAGAGCCGTGCTATCAATGGTCGCTAGCCACATGATATCATTTGAAGTGGTTGGAAGAGCGATATGAGGAGTGGGAGTGGGGGCTTCCCATAGATGACGCTCAAGTCCGGCCCAGAAAAATGAGTCTTCCCAATCTTTTTTCTGTGTAATAATTACGTCTGGGGCGATGAAAGTTTGAATGAATCCGAGGCCACCTTTGACAGCGCGTGCCAATCGGGCATCCGTGGACTGGGCAGCATAGTCTGGTCGACTGTCTGGGGTGATGGTCAAAATTGAGCTGATTACAAGACTCACACGAGATAAAATTTACTTACCATGCCATACGATTGGACAGTCAGATTCTGCAATCCCATTCACCTGTTTAATGCCTTCGACTGAAACCTCTTCCTTGCCAAACACGACCAAGTGAACATGATTCCGCTGCTCGCGTGCCATCCGACAGGCTAAAGGTAGCATGTCTGCGATACTGTGTAGATTGGATCCAGCGAACACCACGGCATCACTAGGCGCATTCTCTGGGTGCTTATCCGTGGGTAGCGATTTGGCCAACTCATAGAGCTTGATTTTCCCATCGTACAATTCACCCTTGTCCTCGCTCTGTTGTATCCCCAATCCCACAGGAATATCGCGTTGAGGTACTGCAGATGGCTGTTCGGGATTTGGAGGCGGAGAGGGAGGATGTTGCTGTCTAAGTCGTGGATCATATCGTTCGCGGGCTGGGCTCAGGTCGGTCGGCATATGCTTGAAGAACTGGTAAACCAGCACAAGACCAATCAACGCTAAAATAAGCCTTCGAGGGCGAGGCAATTTTGAAAGGGGTAGCGATTGAGAACGTGCTGGTGAGAATCGGTGGTCGTCATCTTTCTTCCCCAGCTCCTCATCTTTTAGATGGGACATCTTTGCGGGCAGATGCCATACATCTAACCACAAGAGCTCCTGGTGAGAATCCTGGCTAGTTGATATTAGGAGCAGATCAGCCAAGATTCGTAATTGACCCAGGTCTCAGGTAGTAGTATACCCTATGTGTGAACGTGAGATATAGATCAAGTAGATGTAAGAGCAAAGGGTGGGAGTTCTCCACAAAACGATAATTTGTGGCTGTTATCGTTATCGGCTTATCGCAAACTCGAGCTCCGCGTTGCTTCTCCACTTCACGATTCCAACGCGCGCCGGCCGTCCTGGACAAGATGGAACCCGAGATGGAACCCGAAATGGAGATCGACTCGTCTGGTCAGCGTGGCATAAAACGCCCTGGGGACGCCGATGATGTATCCGGCCCACCAAAGCCGAAGCGGATCAAGGTATGGACTAGCTTGCTTCCCAACACTCTATTGCACATCACAATACTCACCAACCCTTTAGGCACTCGACCCCAATGTCGTGAACAAAATTGCCGCCGGCGAAATCATTGTCGCCCCGATGCATGCACTGAAAGAGCTTATCGAAAACGCCGTTGACGCAGGGTCCACGTCGATTGAGGTTCTTGTCAAAGATGGAGGCTTGAAGCTGCTACAGATTACAGATAATGGGCATGGTATCGACGTGAGTTAGCCGGAGGGGGACTGTGGTTTTCAATTTCTAATATTCTCCAGCGTGAGGATCTTCCGATTCTCTGCGAACGATTCACGACCTCCAAGCTCAAGGAGTTTGAAGATCTATCATCTATCGGCACATACGGATTCCGCGGCGAAGCATTGGCAAGTATCAGCCACATTGCCCATTTGATGGTGACTACGAAAACTGCCGGCTCCAGCTGTGCGTGGCGGGCGCATTACGGAGAAGGAAAATTGGTTCCTGCTAAGCCCGGGCAGCCTGCAGCTCCAAAAGCTACAGCGGGACGTGGAGGAACCCAGATCACAGTAAGTGCATACTGGTGCCAAACTTTGAATGCTATGATACTGACTTTCACACCAGGTGGAAGACTTGTTCTACAACGTACCCAGTCGTCGCCGTGCATTCCGCTCTCCGAGCGACGAATATGCCAAAATCCTCGATGTCGTTGGCAGATACGCGGTGCACTGCTCCGGGGTTGCTTTTTCATGTCGAAAACACGGTGACTCCGGAGTTAGCATATCAACTCCATCTGCTGCAAATACAGTTGACCGGATCCGCCAAATCCATGGTAGCGCAGTCGCAAATGAAGTGGTTGAATTTGAGTCTTCAGACCCGAAGCTCGGTTTTCGTGCATCGGGCCTAGCTACCAACGCCAATTATCATGTCAAAAAGACAACTATCCTGCTCTTCATCAACCACCGTGCCGTGGAATCAACTACCGTTAAGCGTGCCATCGAGCAAACCTACTCCGCGTTCCTACCCAAAGGTGGACATCCTTTCGTCTACCTAGATTTGGAAGTCGAACCTCATCGTGTAGATGTCAATGTGCATCCGACTAAACGAGAGGTGAATTTTCTGAACGAAGATGAGATTATCGAGATGATCTGCACCGAGGTACGATCCAAGCTAGCTCAGGTCGACTCTAGTCGCACATTCCTGACTCAAAGTCTTTTGCCCGGTGTGCAAACAATCGAGTCCCTTGAGCGCGACCAAGCGGGCGAAGGTGCAGCAGAAGGAAAAGTTGCTGCTACACCCAAAACACCATCCACATATAAAAGACCAAACGAAAGTAATCTCATCCGAACGGACTCCAAGGTCCGCAAAATTACCTCTATGCTCGCTCCATCTCCATCTCAACCTCACCCCGATACATCCACGCCATCCGGCAACCCGCCCCCTTCTGTCTTTAATGACGGTCTCCAATATGAAACTACGGACCGCCAGCCCCTCCGCATCGCTCTGTCCTCTATCAAAACTCTGCGCAGTGCTGTTCGGTCCAATATGCATAACACACTAACGGAAATGCTCGCCTCGCATACATATGTCGGTCTTGTAGACGAGCGAAGGCGCCTAGCAGCCATCCAATCCGGCGTCAAACTCTACCTAATTGACTACGGACTCGTCTGCAATGAATTCTTCTACCAAATCGGCCTAACAGATTTCGGGAATTTTGGCACAATCCGCCTCGATCCACCGCCGAAGCTGATTGACCTGCTAAGTATCGCAGCAGAAGCAGAACAGCAAGAGTATGGCCAGAGCAACGACAATGGAGCGGAGAAGGTCTTCTCTCGGGCCGCTGAGATGGTATCACAGAGTCTGATTGAACGTCGAGAGATGCTAGACGAATACTTCTCAATGAAGATCAGCGAGGATGGACATTTGCTCACCATTCCGTTGCTGTTGAAGGGATACGTTCCTTCTCTAGCGAAACTTCCGAGGTTCCTGCTCCGGCTGGGTCCCTATGTGGATTGGTCTGGAGAGGAAGAGTGCTTCCGCACTTTCTTGCATGAGCTCGCGGCCTTTTATACGCCCGAGCAACTTCCTGTTCCTCCCTCTCAAGCCTTGGCGGCTGGTGAGGGCTCTGATGAACTTAATGCAGAGGCCGAAGACCCGATCATCGTTGCTCGTCGAGCGCAGATGCTTCATATGCTGGAATATACGATCTTCCCAGCTCTTCGGGCTCGGCTAGTTGCCACATCCCGTATGTTAAGGGGTGTTGTGGAGGTTGCAGATTTGAAGGGTCTCTATAGGGTATTTGAGCGGTGCTGAGACCTACATACTACCTTTTACCGTGGTATGTAACATTTAACATTTGAATATATTTAGCGCAGCCTTACAAAAATGGATAATGATTGATAATTATCTATATCAATACCGCTCACGAGCATTTGACCCAGCAAATTTTTGGCCCTTCCAAGGTTGGGTGCACACCGAAATCTAGTCCATGTAGAACACCCGTTTGAACACATAAAATTCCAAGCTTGGATATAGCCATGAAATCCACATATGGGCGTCTACTTGGCACACGCCAAGTGCCCATCAAGTAGACAGGTTCAAGAGATGATCTGAGGATGGTAGTGAAACTTCTGGTCTGAGACAAATATGAATGAGATGGTCTGACAATTGATTGATAGGGCGGCATAACAATTGATAAAAATGGGCCCAAGATAGATGACAATTAGCCATCCTGGAGGGGAAGAAATGGTAAAAACATAAATAACAATAAGGATCAACCGATGAAAAGATCATTTCCATTCCTCCACATCCAATCAGCGCCAACGCCATATCATAATAAAAGAAAATCCGGTTAAAAAGTCGTTTCGCTCATAGAAGTCATGTTTAAATTCGTTCGCCGTCACAACCGAGCGTCACCGGTGGGTATTCGCATTGAAAAGAAAATTTGGAAATGGAGAAAAAATGGGGAATGGAGTCAACAAGAAAGAGTAGAGGGCTCAGAGATGCCTCTCAATTGGCTCATGAAGTCAAAATTGACATCGAAGCTCTAGTGCCGAGAGTAGGGCTTGTTCAGGAGTGCAATTTCACGGCAGACAGAGGCCCACTCTACGGCTCGATGCTTGGAAAATTGCTTGCGTTGTTTATTTTGATGTTCTTCCCATTGGAGAAGTTCGTAGCTAGTAGGAGATTGATGTTAGTTAGGTGAACAAAGAGTCCTCGGTAAAGAAAAGCTTACACAAAGCGCAGATGAGGTTGAATAATAACATTCAGACGTCTAGCACGAACAAAGCAATAGGCACTGGGGAAGTCAAGTCCCTTTGTAGCCATGACCTCTGCGATGCAAATACTGGCAGAACGAGAAACGCCGACACGGCAGTGGACGAAGGTCGCAGTACCATCGTTCTTTCCATCCTCTGATTGAACAATATAACAGTCAGCTCAGACTCCCTCAACACAACGTGAGTTACCTCATCGATTGTCAATATTTTCACTCACCAATAAACTTCAAACACTTTGCGTACTCTTGGCACAATGGATCGATACCATTATCTTGCACGCCATCAATGTACATTAGATTTTTGTTACCCCACGCTTCGCGTTCCGCTGGGGTCCAGGAAACGCTTTCGCCGATACTCAAGACTCGTCGGATTCCTAATTCCCACAAGAGTTCAGGATTATTGGCGTGGTTTAGATTTCCCAAATACATGTACGGCAAGATTCGACTCGGCAATGAGCCGTCCATCTTCAAGAACCAGTTTGGATCGCAGACATCAGTCACATCTGTCGACTGGCCCAAACCTCTCACGGGGCTTTCCTGCAGAAGACGCGTCTGGATGTGACGCAGGAAGGAAACGTCGGTTGGGTATGCGAAAAAGTTTCGCTTCTTCTCACAATGTAGTTTGAGCCACGCGTCATGCACGGGGACACCTTCGGCAAATACATAGTACGCGATTGCAAGTACCGACATCTCGGTATAACCATCGGCGCAGTGTATCAATACCCGACAAGGCTTCTTGCTCTGTCGCATTGAGATATCGCCTTCGCTATCTGCAACCTCAGTCGGCTCAGGATGAGCGAGGTAATACATCCAACGAAGGGTGTTGACCAGGTCTTCGATTTCACGAGTATTTCCAGACGGAAGTGTTATTGATCCGGCGGATGGGAACTCAATGTATTGTGGCTCCGACTCCAGCTTTTGATCAATGGTAGCGAGGTAGCGAGGGCCCGGTATGCTCGCAAGATCACTTGCTTCGATGAACAGGTCAAACTGACTCTGTTCTGGCGGGGGGCATTCGCCTGGTCTCAAAATGTAATCGGGCGTCGGCCCTAACCAAATATTCTCGGATATTTCCGAAGCCGCAGACATTTCGCACATCTCTTGTCTTTCGGATTGAACTGTGGAGTTGTCAGTACAAAGTGTTATGATTATTCTCACCGCAATCACTTACCAAAGTCCATGGCCTGGCTGTTGAGGTGGCCCTTGGAATCGGCAAAAACCCAAGATGGGTATTTCTTCTCAAATTCAGAAAAGCTGCCTGCAAAGATATCAGTATTGACTGGTGAAAAATTCTAAAGGTAAATTGAGGACCCATACTCGTGAGGACAAAAGTGTTGTATGCCTTTCGTTCGTGCATCGGGTCATACTTGAGTCGCCAGGCCGCTTGTGCACAGGTAAATTCTTCCGCGAGGGCCAGCAAGTCAGAGCGATTGACGTTATCCTCGCCATAGATGACAATATCAGATAGCGCTGCTAACTTGGCAGTTTGAATCTGAAAGTTCCGCACGGAGAAGCCCTGCGGTGGATCGGCCATCAAGAAGCGTGAACTTGCCGAAACCACCTCATGTGGAGCCACGGCGCCCTTGATGCGAGCCTTGGAGAGGTCTCCACCCAGCTTGACGATTGTGATGCCGCGCCAGGCATGTGGAGGTTTGCGCTGAGTGCGTTTGCGACTGGAGAAGAATCCCAATTGTAAGTGATTGTCGGGATTGAGCCCGTGGAGCCACGGGAACATCTCGGTCGGATCGGGCAAAGGCTGCGACGCGTGATGCTCCAAAGCATCAGTCAATGCGCGTGCATCGATGCCAAACACTCTGGTGCCCGGTGGATGGGAGATTGTCTGATAGCGGAAAGGGGGGTAAAGCAGGGAGACCACCTGATCATGGTCGGATCGCAGCACTGGTGACTCTGGGCGGACGAACTCGGTGGATGGACCTGTGGGGCACACAGGCAAATGTTTGTTGGGGATGGGACTTGATCGGTGGGTTGTCAAGGCCGGAGCCAGAGAGGGCGGGGGAGTGGAGGAGCCCCCCAAGGGGAGCGGGTGTGGAATTATGACAGCAGTCATGATGAGTTTCGAGCCAATTACTTTTTGGTTTGAAATTTGAACAATGTTGGAGAGAAAGTTGAGTAAGTTTTTTCAACCAAGCGCCGGATTATCAGGAGATCACGATTCCATGCTTTGGAGGCTGGGAAACACTCCGGCGCATTGAATGGGTTTCTTCCAAGATGTTTGTGGTCTTGTCTCGACGATGTACACTCTTCCAAGTGACAGGAATCGCTGTTTGAAGCGGAAAGAAGAAATAAGGAATTGGGAGATGGAAAGATGAAGATGGAGGATTGGGTGCGTGGAGAGAGAAGATCAAGGAAGATCAGGTAGACCCACTGGCGGGGAAGAATGCCAAAGACAAACGGGTGCCACCAGTCAAACAGCGCTGATAAGGGTATACAGGCGGCGCAAGGGATCAGGAATGAAAGAGAATGAGGACAAATTATACAAGATGTGAATGGTATAGGAAAGGGAGAAGAGGATTAAAAGGGAGAAGTGATGTGTGGGAAGAGGGGGGAAATATGAGGAAGAGGAAGCATTAGGTGGAAGTAGGGGGATTTTTACCAGTTACAAACATGAGATACACCCTTTGCCAGACGGTTTGAAATGATACATGTACCAGATGAACGAATAGCGAGCAAGGCCATCGGACTACTCTCAGTGCGACCAACGAAAGGAAGTCAACATCATCACTTATCATCGTCATCCGTATTCCCCGGGCCCCGCTCCAAGTTGCCAATGAAGTTGCGTCTCCACCCAAGCAACATCCTTTTTTCCTTTTTTTCCCTGTATATAAAATCCACTAATGTCCACTCATGTCCACTAAAATCCACTCCTCCACTAATCATGATACATAAATTGATCAAAGGGATCCACCTGGAAATCACAACCCACTTTCTCTTGCGTAAACTTATCTTTTTCCAACATCTAGAGGGTCAAAGACTCTTGAACAGAATGCAAAGATAGTAAAAAATAAAATCGAATAAAAAGTGCCGGATAACCTCCCCGGTTCCCCCTCCAGATGTCTCCCCACAGCACTTGAGTGATAGGTCCACGCTAACAGGCTTAACAAGGTCCACGGTCGAGAGCCTTATGGACACCAATAACACCAATAACCAAGCGGGGTTAGTTTCCTGATGACGATGAGATGTCTGGTTTTTGGTCTCTTGGCCCTATAGAACTTCGTCCTCTTGTCGTCTTTCCGGGTCCAGATTCCTATCCGTGCGTTGAACTCCACTTTATCACTTCAATGTTTCTTTTCCACTTTCCCCCGCACGGAAATAACAGCCAGATTGTCTCTAATAACGCATTTTGCCTCGATCAAAATCCACAAGTTCCATGGGTTGGTGATGATTTCTGGTCACGAAAGTCAATTTGACTGGTTATCATGATCTATTTTAGTCGCTATCTCTAACCAAAGAAACAATAAAACAATACGTGGGTTACCAAAAGTGCATAAGAGTACCTTTACAAAGTACCCATACTTCCAAATCGAGATTATGTATACTGTACAAACTATTCCTGAGGGGCCAACCCCGGATCTTCATATTTGATCCACAAAGGGTACGTGCAGCAGAAGATTCCAAACTCACTTCACACTTGAACGAGCACGTCGTGCCCAACATGGAAACCAGGCACTGCTCATCTGCTTAGGACTCCCAGTAACCACAAAGCCAAGTGACAAGGTCTCCGTCCAATCAGTCCTCATGTGGAATGTGGTACAACAGGGGTCCTGTCAAATGTAATCATGGACCAGACCCCTCACCCCTCGCGTCGCTACCTTGCCAACCATCCTAAAACCCACCCTAGTCAAAAAATAATCATAATGACCTAAGAAAAACACAAAAAATCCGGTTCCAACAAAACTTCTCCTACACCACAATATGACCCTGGCCTGATCAACGCCCGATCATTGGCCACCAAAATCATACAACTCCTGGACTGAAATGGTTGCCGTAAGTGAAACCGCGCCATGTTGGGCGGGGGCTCCTTCAAACAAAAAGATCGGGTTAAAACACTGTAGATCTTGTCTTGATTTCTCTCATATGCATGTAGATCTCGGTTACTAGACATCCACCGTACCCCTTGATTAGCCCACGGGAGAAAAAAAAAACCCTCATCTCACTCAAGTGCGAGTAGCCGAGCACGCCGTGTGTCACCATAGTGGCGGCGATAAACAGGATCACCCGCAGCATGCTTTTTTTTCCAGGGTTGTGGTAATGTGCCTGAGATAGACGCGGTGTTCGAACCGACATTTCGGTTGGAACCTGGGAATAGTTTGACAGTGGAACTTGACCAGGTTGTAGAGGGGAGCTGACTGGGAATAGGATTACGCGCCGTCCCCAGGTTGGACACCGCACATTGGCTACCGCTTGGTCATATTACTACAATCTTCATTTATGTATACCTGTACTTTTTTATCTTTTCTTTCATCTTTCTTTCAGATTTGATACATGTTTCAAACTCAAATTCCCTACAGTTATTTCGAGGTGGAGGAGTCACAAGTGGGCTGATTCTCCGTTTGGGTGGTGGCCTAGTATCTGTGACCTCTAGTACTCTATGCGCCAACATTAGTACAACTGGTACAAATATCTGCCTAATAAAAATCCACCTATCCTCTTATAGGAGTATTTTAAAGCACACCACAAACTCTCTCAAACCATGGTGGCTTCGTGGGCTGAACAGACAATTGCCCAATTTTTCGAGCACCGTGAATACCCAACTCAATCACAATGCGATGATAGCGCCCGTATAATCTCCGGTATGCCTGAGGTTCGGGCAGTTGATACCCCGGGCTCGCTGAGCTATACGGTCCGTTGTATAGGTCAGTCGAACAACAACGACACACAGGATCTAATTGTGTCTTTTCGGAACTTGGAATCTATGATCGATGCAGATCTGGTCCTGCTGGCAAAATCCATTCATGGCGCCTTAGTGCCAAAAGCCACTTATCATGGTCAAATGAGTGGTGCAAGCCCGCCTCTTCATATCTACACGATGCCCTGTCTACCGGGAATTTCCTGTCTAGAGACACTCAGCGACGAAACTGTACTCAACCCAGAAGATGAGTTTAGGCATACATGTTATGTCAAGCATCTAGCCAGGTGAATCACCCAATTTCCCGTTAGGCCCCAAGGCTTGCTTATGATTGAATCTGGAAATGACCAACTAACGGTGGAACTCCAGCTACTTTGCCCGATGCTGGTCAAACCCACAGCCAGTTGACCCCCAGGTGCAAGGAAACTACAAGGAAGGAATTCAACTCCGTCTCAAAAAATTCAGGGAATCACCACCACCCGGGGCACTTCCGTACACAAAAATCCCCGAGTTGGAAAGCAACCTCTCAGTTCTCTTCGGGCAAGCATACCCTCAAGTCTTCACGCATGGCGATCTCTCCCATACAAACATTCTTGTTGATAAAAAGACGCTAGAGATCACAGGTATCGTCGACTGGTCCCTGGCCAGACTACTGCCATTTGGTATGGAGCTCGAGTCCCTTGTATCGACGACAGGGTGTATGACTCTCAACGGCTGGCAAAGCTACACATGTCGACAGCAGCTTCTTGATGCGTTTTGGGAAGAATTCTGGATTCAGTGCCGGATTAATGATAACTTACGCCAGCAGGAGATTCGCGATATGGCAATGCAAGCTGCCAAAATCGGTGCGGTGTTGCATCATGCATTTGAACGTAATGAGGATGGCTCGCCGTCCGAGAGGCTTACTACTTCGGAATGGGCATTGAAAATACTGCAAGTCGCGTGCATGGATTATTGACGAATTTTAGCTTACAGCTTGCGGCTCCAGCTTATGTACTACCTCGTACCTACTCCCGATCTTCCAACCTTGGTTCTTTTATTCCAAAATCCCAAATTCTATTTAGTACTAAAAAGCCTCTCGATTAACATGTATACTCCGATTGGGCCTCGTCACAGAAGATTCCTGCTTAGGCGGAGCATTGCGTTGATCACCCTCGTGCAGATGAGCTGTAGTGTAAAGCGGTTAGCTGCCTTGCCTCGTAATCATTTTCGACAGAGCTGGTGACACCGCGGGAGACTCTTGGGCCCGAAGCTCCGTTGGGGCCCGATATCCGAGTCCTCGAACATTAAGTAGCTCGCCATTGGCTAGAATTCTCTAAATTTACGCTTTTGCTTCGGCTTGGGCCCAGCAACATCGCGGATTTTTTTCGATTTCTTGAAATAACACAGATCGGTCATGCAAACGGGGTAGCCCAGAGAGATTCCAAGTGGGTTTTCGTTTCGGCGTCGGGGGCTTTCTTCCAAGGTTTTACAGAACACCGGAACATTGAACTGTAATAGCTGGTAATTTCCACTGAGTCTCCGTCGAAGTGTTTCAGACACGAAGCACACTTGTCACTGCAACTGTACCGATCGATCTGATGTGACCACTGGACCGAGGCTAAGGGTCCTGCAGATGCAATGTCCAGTCTGTTTATTGAGACAAGGGCCTGGTTACCTCACATGTGCAGTCGGGAGATTCATGATCTCCGGAAAATCTAGTAGTATACATTTGTTTTGAGTCCAGATGCTCAAATGTACTTCTGCAACTTTCATCTTCTTCAAATAATTGGCAAAAAAGCTGATGATATCTCAGACAGCCTTAAAATAATGAAGATCATCGAGGCGACTGAAAAGCCCCGAAAATTGCTCTAAACCTTGGAATTGCTCTAATTTATTGAGATATCTTTTCTTAAACAGCGATGAGCTCGGGACATCTGGAGTCACATGCATGTACTATTCATGCCCGCAGAAGAGACCAAACATGATGTGTTAAATGACATTGGCCAATCATTCCCAGGTCTTCGAGGCCACTCAACATGAATTCTTAATTACCAAACATTGCCGCAAATGAAGATGCATCTAGTTGGCCTTAAAATGCCCTGATATTCTTTGAGTTGCCATTTTCCCGAACCTTTGCTCTAGGCCCTCAAGTGCCTCGCCAACAATTCCCTGCATGGCAAAAGACTGATCGTCAGTTCTCATATCACCAAATCTTTGCACTGTACGTTTGGCTCTAGTGGCTGAGAGAACATCCTGGCATAGTTTTCGAAGTCCGGCAATTAACTGTAGACTCTCATTCCGATCGGAGGCCGAGAGGTCTTCTGACGAAGGGGTTTTTTGACAGTCATACAGTTGTGTGTCTAGATCAGCCAGTGCCTGTTCCTGGGTCTGAAAACGGTCACCTAGACGCTGAATGTCGTCAGAGGTTTGTGTAGCAACAGTCCTATCTCATATTAGAAGGCTAACTCAGAAGAGCAACTAGCAGCTGTCACAGATCCTACAGGTTGATGGACACCAAGACCATTGATAGAGTTCGCTGACAACATCCCAAGTCGGTATAAGGCCTTTTGATCTTCGATTCGTGAATATTGATCGTAACCCTATCCCGCTTGCTGAATTTGCCACCTGTCGAATGACTTGTGAAGCTGGTGATGGTGGTTGCAAATTCATCGCAGAGGTGTTGCACTGATTTGAGCGTTCCGGCGAGGTCCATCGTGCCAAAAATCGAATTGAGCGAACTCGGAGGGTTCGAGTTCGTTACTAGCGCTCGCCGGCGAGCGTCTACAGTCTTCTGTGTCTCACTGGGGAACGTTTTTGACCTGGAAATAGCCTGGAGTGCCTCCGCCAGTCCATCGACGAAATTGTATGCTACCTTGCAGCTTTGCAATGCAAGAGTAGCAACGCCAATCATACTGGCGGTCACGCTAAGGGCGTCCATTCCCAACAACTTCATCTGGGCTGAGGGGAATCAAGTAAGTGAGATGGATCGAATGATGCTATGTGCTTTGCCCTTGAAGAATTATGTCTTGACCACTTCCAAACATTCGAGCTAGCTCCAAGGCTGGCATTTCACTGACTGTCGAATTGATGCGAAAGATCTCATAGCATCAGCATCAGCCAATGGAATAGTTTGGCTTTGGGATGTAACCACTGGCATAGAGCGGCGCGTGTTGAAACATAATTCGAAATGGGTCCATGCTATCGCCTTCTCTCCAGATAGCCAACATATAGCGTCAGCTTCCGATAGCACAGTTCGGCTCTGGGATACAAACACAGGTGAAACACTAAATGTGTTGAGATACTTTCCGGGGTCTTGGATTGATACAGGAAGATGGCGAGACTCTTCTGTTTATTCATCCTGACTATTTGGACTGGCTCTTATTCGTCTCTGGTGATATGGTGGTTCTCAAGAATAGCTCGTTCCCCTCCGTTTTAGTGTTTGATCATTCTTCCAAGTCTATGATTAGAGAGTAATGAAGTAATCTCGAATATATGAATGACGAGTTTACTTTTGTTTACTTTTTGAATGTTTTCCTGGAGGTTTTCTCTCTTTTTTTCTTCTCTTCTTGCGATTTTGTATGTTTTGTTGGGCTTTGATATGGCTTTGAACGACTAAAGCGTTGAAACTCAAAGCTGCTGGAATTTGACTTGCTTTGTTTGGATCTTTATACGTTAGAATTGTTTCGTTGGATCTCCAGTTGATGAATGATGAATCCCGAGGTAAGTAGTAGTTAGCAGACTGTAATCTGTAGTTCATCTGATTATCGATAAGGAGGATTTCGTAGGCGGTGGAGAATCAAGGTGTGGCCCAAGCGTCCGGTGACCTCTCACTTGCGACAACCAAGTTCTCTTGAATAATCCCTCAAAAATCCAACCTGCTATCTTCCCACCTTTTACCTCTTCTCACTTTGCATACCCATCAGATAAAGGGGCAATGATAGGTCATAACCGGTGACGGGCGACTCCTTGCTGTCCTAGCCCCCTCACACGTATCTCTCCAAGCGGGGTCACCGCGGCTTTGATACATCTACCAACTTCCATCCACGACAACCCCCGAGCGACTCCAAAATGGCGATGAACTTCGTGACGTTCAACCAGGACTACAGCTACCTGGCTGTTGGTAAGCTCTTCCTGTGCCTGCTCGGGTATGAGGTAGCTTAAAAGCGAGCATGTTTATTGACGTCAGCCAGCCACCGCCAAGGGATTTCGCATTTTTACTACAGATCCCTTTGCTAAGAGCTATGAAACCAAGGAAGGAAATATTGCGGTGATTGAGATGCTCTTTTCGACTTCGTTAGTGGCACTCATCCTTTCGCCTCGCCGATTACAAATTACGAACACCAAGGTTCGTTGGAGTCTGCGACAAAGCAGCTACCGTACATTGGAGACTTGACCAGCTTCTGATGATTTCTTTTTTGATTTATAGCGCCAGTGTACAATATGTGAATTGACATTCCCGACAACGGTTCTGGCTGTTAAGCTGAATCGCAAGCGTCTCGTTATTGTGCTGGAAGATCAGATCTACCTCTATGACATCCAAACGATGAAGCTTCTATCCACGATTGATACGTCGCCCAACCCGCACGGTATGTTATCTCTGTCGCGTCCTTTTTCTCTCCGGCATTCTCTAACGTTATACCTCTATCTCTGCTCTCTAGCTATTTGCGCACTAGCACCATCGTCGGATAATTGTTACATGGCCTACCCTTTGCCTCAGAAGGCCCCTGCGGCAGTGAAGCAACCGGCTCATGCACCACCAGGGACAACACATGTTTCACCTACAACCGGAGATGTGCTCATATTCGATGCAGAGAAGCTGGAAGCTATAAATGTCATCGAAGCTCATCGGTCTCCCTTGGCATGTATTACTTTAAACAGCGACGGAACCTTGCTCGCCACAGCCTCAGACAAAGGAACTATCATCCGTGTCTTCTCGGTCCCTGATGGACATAAGTTGTACCAATTCCGACGTGGCTCCATGCCTTCAAGAATCTACAGCATGTCCTTCAACACCACCTCCACATTACTTTGTGTTTCTTCTTCTACGGAGACTATCCATCTATTCAAACTGGCTCAGCAGGGGCCTGCATCGGACCAATCTTCGGCGCATTCGCCCGTCGGTCGCAATGCCAGCCTTGGAGCTAGCTCGTTTGGAAGTGGGCAAGATGAAGATGAGAACGCTGATCCGGACCTGGCAGCTAGAAAACATAACGGCACTCTGATTGGAATGCTCCGACGAACATCTCAAAACGTTGGAGGCGCCGTTGCCGCTCGCGTTGGTGGATATCTTCCCAAGGGCGTCAGTGAAATGTGGGAACCAGCTCGGGACTTTGCATGGATCAAATTGCCACGATCGCAGACTCCCGCTGCGCCGGGGAACACCGGTCCACTTAGAAGTGTTGTTGCTATGAGCAATAACACACCACAGGTGATGGTTGTGACCAGCGATGGAAACTTTTACGTGTTCAATATCGACTTGTCAAAAGGTGGAGAGGGAACCCTCACCAAACAATATTCGTAAGTGTTCCTCGAAATCCAGGTCGACTTATCATGCTTTTTGATTGCTAATAATGGCTTCAGAGTGGTCGATTCGAACGACAGGCTGGGGACACTGGATTACTGAACATCGAGTCATCCTACATTCTACTCTACCAAGATAGCTCAATTTGCTTTTTTTTTGTGCCTATTATGCCTCATACGCTCTATATACCGCACCGCGTTGTCACAAGTGAAGCCCATGAACTCGACTGGAGATGAAAACGTGACTTTGCTCAATGGCGTTGAATTATTTCGCCCATCGGCTGCGCGATACTATATCCCACAGTTTACCCTTGCATCATGGTCCATGGGCCTCCGTGTGTGGCTTCCTCTTATTCATCATTTTGGCCAGATATTCCCCTCGTTCCAAGCGCTAGCGTTTTCGTTCAGATATGGCGTCGGCAGCTAATCCCTGCATCAATTTCGATTTTTGTGCTCTTTTAACCGGGGGCGGGCTGTGTCTGTGGGTGTGGCTGTGTGGTTCAAACCTTCGATTCTCGGGGTTTTTAAAGATGAAACGCACAATGATATGTTGAAAATCAGCCTAGCCTTTTGCGTAAATACTAGATAGCAGGTTACCATTTAAGGAATTGAACTGAATCCATTCGACGCTGATGAATGTAAATGCAAGTCATTGTCATTGCTCAATGATCCCAATCAAGGGCTCTAAAAATCTATATCTATCTATGCAAGAATGTCTGTCGCTTTTTAAATGTACTGTACAAATCGTCAAATCCCCAACCTATACCTCCTATGTTCAAACGTTAGGTAATTTCATGTACAAAATCGTGGTCCAAATCTCAAATCAGGTCAGGGGCCGACTCCGATAGATAAGGACGGGCGAAGGGCGAATCACGGCGAACTCCGCGTCTCGGTCCAAAGTGGGTCAACAAAGTACACCAGACCGTGCGCGATAGAGGCCGCCAGTGGTCCAACCTATACGTAAAGTCAGTAACTCCTGATAAGACTTTCATAATGCCAGTCTAGATTAAAAAGGAGCACTCACCCAGTGGAGCCAATGATAAGTGGGAAACTCCGACGCCACATAGGCTCCGAAGCACCGTGCCGGGTTAAGACCTGCATAATGGTTATTTAAACTGGTTCCAACTGCCGCCCTTAAGCGCTTTGTTTTCTTCTTTTCCTTTCTCTTTCCTAGTCACGGGTTCTCTTCCTTCTCTCTCATCTCCAGGTGGGGTTTCTTTGCGGTTGGTACTTACTCGCTCCAATATATCCCTCACGGGTGAATGCGGTTCCCCAGCAAACCACCGCCAGAACAATACCCACAAACCACGGGCCAACGGCAGGGCCAAAGACCTTGGCTTGTCGAGGATCAAGGGCAACGCCGAAAGCCAGGAAAATCAGGATCAGGCACGCCATGAACTCGATGACCAGGGCATCCTTGGGCGGCACAAAGCTCGTGTCAATGTGACATCCTCCCACGGTAAAATTCCGGTTACCGTAGGCCGTGTTGAGTGCGAAACCCGCAAGAGCACCGCCCAGCGTTTGCCCAGCAATATACAGCACCATACGCGGGAAGGAGATGATCCGGGTAAAGAAGCACGCCATGGTTATAGTCGGGCTGATATGGCCTCCACTCGACGCGCCAAAGGTGTAGATCAGGAGTGGAGTCATGAGGAGATTGGTGATGCCTCCGAACAGCGGGGAAAAGAATGTAACGGTGTCATAGATGCCAGCACCTGCCGTGGGGTAAGACGTAGCCGCCATGGGATGCGTAGTGACCCAGGAGGAGATGAAGACATTCATCAAACTAGCTATAAGCAGCACATAGTGTTAGCCAGAGCTGAACGCACAGAGTAGGTCGGGTCGCCACGGGCCATGGGCCAGGGGAGAAAGCAGGCGGGATTGGGGGGTCTGTCCATACCGACACATTCCAGCATCGCGAACTTCCATAGATCTGGACTACAGAAGCCCTTTAGATCGAAGATCTCGGCGAACGTCATGCATGGGGCCGCATCGGGCATCTTCTCCAGCATCTCAACATTCTTGGGGTCACTCCGGTCCAGGATAAAATCCTGGTTGCCACCGAGCCGGCCGGCGAACGAGTGGGAATTGGGCTTCAGATGCGGGTGATCATGATCATACTCCTCCTTCTCAGACCGGGGAAGATAAGCTACGACCATGACGATTGAGTTTCAGGGGCGCTTGCAATATTAGGCATGAATGAGACAATCCTTGGCCGTGCTGCAAGGGGCTGTGACAAGGCCGAAACGTAACGCGGTGAGCGCTGATTGGCTCTGGGACGCTGAGTCAGCCGGTCAGAGATTTCGATTTTTGAGCAAACTTCATCGAGCGATCTGATTGGCTGCTCGTTAGGTAATTAAGTGGACCTCATTGGCCGAAAGTTGGCCGCTCGGCGAACTCTTGATGCCCAGCAGCCCAATGACCGTTCTTCTTCAGAGATCGTGATGGCCGAGGATCTGCAACGCCATACTCTTTGATGTGGACTTTGACAGTTGATGGTCCAGATAGCATCAAGTCAGCCTTTATTTTTTTCTTTTTGGATCAACTTGGCCTCTATGTACATCACATAAAAAAACCAAATTATGTGCATAATAAATCAATAAATCAACAAATAACCCCTTTTGTATTCAATCCATTAGTTCAGATACAGTTTCGCCGAGCCCTAATTTTAAGCCACTTAGACAACGCTAGGCAACCTCCTATTCCACTTTTCATGATTAATAGGATTAAGAACTAGCTCCATAGCTCCATTGCACTCCGCAGAGTCCGCACCACTTACGTAGTGCGGAGGATGATCTGAACTGGATCGATCAAAATACATTAGTCAAAGAAATGGTCTCGACCCAAGGAGCTTAGACCCGCTTTCTTCGGGGAAAATACTGTAAATAAATAATCCATTTCTCAATACTGAATGAAGCAAGTCTACTCCGTTGTAGGGTTCGGGAGATAAATGCCATTCAAATTCGGTACCTTGGTAACCGAGAACCTTGGTGAATATCAAACTTTCTAGTCCACGGCTCGGGACTTTCCTCGGGGAATTCCACCACATGTGCAGCCATCGAATATTCCTAAACAATAAAATTCTTAGACGATGTGGACCGTGCTCCTCAAACATTGGCTACCACGCAAATAAATGTTTTATTTCTGAAGTTGCGTTGAAACTGGAAACTATACGGGGTTTGAGATGGCTTACTCAAGTAGTATAGCGATAATTCGGATGACAATTCCACCGCACCGCCAATTCATGACAGTATGATCCCTCCATACTGGGATCGCGACCATCTGCAACATAAATATTTGCAGCATCATCCAAACGACAGTTACGCCGTCGTAGCATAAAATGCAAAATAGTGGCCATGAGAATACATAGTCCACAGAAAGCCACATTAGCCACGTTCGCTTGCCAGTACCCCGGTCCCTGCGAGGCAGGATAAAAGTAACTAGCATAGATCGATGCAAAATTCGATCCCGCATTGACGACGGCATATGCTACCGCGCGCTTAGCCCGAGGCCGCGGCAATGAAGTAGATACCCAAGAGAGAATGCACCCAAACGAAGCGTAGATGGACATCATCATGAAGGTCGATGTATACCGTGCGGCCACATTCAGCGTCACCGCGCTAATGATGAACCCGATACTGCTGAATACCTGGGGCCACACGACGTGAAGCCAGCGTTCGCCAATACGGTCGCTATGGAAAGAGTTTATGACGCTCAGAATTGCAGCAAAAATGTATGGGGGTGCGGATAAGAGTAGTGTTTCTGTAGTACCGTAGCCCAGTGTTGCGACTATAGTTGGAAAGAAGTTGGTGAAACAGGCCGAAGTGTTGAGTCCCAGCTGCATTAGCCAGATGATGTAGAGAACTGGGTCGGTGAATGCAAGTTTTAGGCCCCCGAACGGGTTGTTGGTTTCTTCGTCATCGCTCTCGTGGGCATCTTCAGCTAAACGAGCGATGGCAAGGGTTCGTTCTTCGTCGGTGAGCCACTTGGTAGTTGCTGGGTAGTCTGGTAGGATGACCATGGCCAGAAGAGCCACCGGAATCGTGGAAGCTCCCTCAATTATAACTAGATTATGGATAAATCAGCATATACTGTGTCAGTGCGGGGGTAAATCAAAACCATCATACATAACCATCTCCATGCTGGTAGCCCAGCCTTTCCTTCCATTCCAGACATGATGGCACTACCAAGGAGGCCACCAAATGCCCCGGATATTTGTGCGGCAACATAGAGGATAGATATGCGGGCTGCAAGTTCTTTTCTAGTATACCACGATGAAAAGAGAAATAGGGCGCCAGCTGCGACAATTCAGTCAAATGTTGTTATCAGGTTCGGAAGTCAATCAATGACCCACGAAAAAAAGGAGCTTCAACAAAGCCAAGGACAAATCGCAAGGCCAGCAATCCATGATAACTTTTCACAGCACCAGTACAGCTGCTAACGATTGCCCAGCAGCACATAACACCTGGCTTGGAAAATAGTTAGCTCGAAATCATCGCTTGATACTCCAGTGGCTTACAAGAAATAAGGATGGTCTCATCCTGTTGAGAATCATGTTGGTTGGGATTTGAGTCAAGATATAACCCACGAAGAAAATGCCTATATCGCTCTGATTAGATCTTTTTCACTGATGTCTGCTTTTTTGCACATAACCACCAAAGACTCACTGATGATTGTGTTATATTGATTGCCTTGGAGTCCGAGATCATGTTCTAACGTGCCCAGACGCGCCGTCGCAATGTTATTTCTATCCAAATAATTGAGAACATCTTTTACGATTCATTAGCGAACTCAAGGCCAAGAATCTTCAGAATGCCGATATTGCCCATGGATGTCATACATATCAACATCATTAGTGGCAACAATCTTGTATCTAGTTTTCGAACAAGTTTGGCTTCCAACTCTTGCCGATTGTGAATATTCAATTTCGGTATCTCCACTTCATCAGTATCAGTGTCAACGTCGCGTAAAGACTCGATTTCTTCTGAGATTCCATGATTATCGTGCGTCTTTCGGGCGTAAGTATTTTCTGAATCTTCCGAGTTCATGTTGCATGGCCTCCATGAAAGGAGTGAATAGTCGCTTGGTTTGAGTCACTAATGTGAGATGGGTATTCAAAAGTTGGTTTCCGAGGGGTAAAGGGATGGAGCGGGGAAGATCGTGGAATTGTTCACATGAGAGCTCACATTCCCCGGATTTCCCATGTTCGCGGGGAAGTTGACCAGCCATTTCTTGGCGATTTTAGCTGCTTACTCGGAGTAGCAATGGCTTACCAACCACAGACGTAATGGTTCAACGGGGCTGGACCTTGAAAGAGTTTATTTCAATGTTAGGCGCACGTACAGATTGATCTACCTAGCACTGGTGAGCGATCATTTTAGTAGTTGACTACATACTGAATCTGGTTCCAGCATAATAACGCGTGTAGGTGACTTGACCAAAAGGTTCATTCAAAGCTTTTTTTTTATCGTACAGAACTCTGAAAATTGATTATTACTCGTGGAACCTGCCATCGAAGCCATTAAAAATTCCAAATATGTATCTGGAGTCTCAACGAGCCCATGGATCAAATATGTGTCAAAAATATGTAAAGGAACGAAAGCGGTTGGTACATCTATATTCTCAATCCCAATCCCCGAACAGCGACCATATCCACGTGGCTCAGGTCAAATATACAAGAATTTAAAGCTGGAAAGCACCAACAGCGAGGGCAACAATGGAGGTCACAAACGCGGAGGTGTAGAGGACGGATCCGGCAGAGGTGTAGGTGGAAGAGGACGAAGCGCTGCTGGAGCTGGAGCTGGAGGTAGAGCTGGAGCTGGAACCGGAAGAAGAGCTGGAAGAGCTGGTGGAGGAGCTGTTGGACAGGGAAGAGGAAGACGAGGAGCTGTTCAACATCTTGATGCTGGAGTAGTCACCGGTCTTATCGCTGTACTTGTAGTACTGGGCGGGGTTGTAGTTGATAACCTTGACGGACTCGACGTACATGATGAAGGGAACGTCATCAAAGTCAGTCTCACCACCAGCCCATTCAATGGTACCCTCGGAGTTGGAGGAGTCACCGCCGGCCCAGATACCGATCTTCAGCAGGGATGGAGTCTGGGGGAAGTCCGTTCCGTCGTTGGCATCGGCGTACTCGAGAGTGCGGACCACAACATCATCGATGAGCCACTCAATGCGCTCCTCGGTCCAGTCGATAGAGTAGGTGTGGAACTCGGTCTCGGGGTCGGTGACATTGACAGTGGTGGCACGGTCCCATCCAGTGGTGTTACCCTTGCCGAAGTAGTCGGTCTGAATCTCAGTTGGGTAGGTGCTGACTTGCTCCTGTTTGAATTATGCATGGTTAGATATCTTGAGATCTCCAAAACGTTTTATCGTAGTGGCGTGTTTTATATGCGACTTACCCAATCAATCTCATCCAGGTCATCAGACTCCAGAATGAAGGTGCTGACAATACCGGTGCCGTTGGAGGCTCTCAACTTGACATCGACGCGACCGAAGAAGATGTACCATTCACTGGCAATGGTGGGGGCCTCGCCCTCCTCGGAGATCTCGAACTTGGCACCGAGAGAAGTCTGGGTAACGGGCTTCGCAGTGATGTTCCAGTCATCGAGCGAGCCAGACTGAGTGAAGTCGACGGAGTACTCCCACTTGGCAAGACCCTTGTCAGAGGGACAGGTCTCTAAAAGAAGGAATTCGAGTCAGAAATACAAAGCCCTTTTAAAAAAGAAAAACAATTGAATCCCAAATTGGATTTTATATTATCAGATCAACGCACTCTCGGTCGGGTTGCAGCTGGTGTAAGTCTGGGCAGCACCAAGCTGGGCGGCGGCCAAGGTCACGGCCGCCCACTTCAGGTAAGAGGTCATCATCTTGTGTATAAAAACGAGCGATATCCGGCACTCAAAACGAAAGGAATTTGTACAAATATGGAAAACGAAGGTAACAAGACGGCAACGGTCTCAATATAAGCGCAAGTGAAGCGAAAGAGTAGATTTCTTGGATCGAACTGCGGGTAACCGAGGTGATAAATCGCTAAATCTGCTATTTATATTCCCCTTAGCATGTCCACGAAACAGGTACGCCATTGTTTCCATGGCTTGGGGCATCCATTCTCCACCTGAAAGGCGATAAGTCAGGTGTTTCGGGCATGAGCGTGCATTGATTGGTTGGTAGATTGTTATTGAGGTGAAGTGGGCCGCGCGATGGCGCACAAGAGCATCGAAAAAGATAGAAAAGTGGTTAAAATTAATCAATGGTGACTCCACTGAAAAAGCTTGGGTTGGTTGATGACGAGAGCGCTTGCGTGGTTTGGACTCAGACTATGACGGATCTAGCCGGCGGAGTACGTACTCCCCCGTCAAAAAGATTTTTCCCCATCAACAACACCTCTCATCGAATCAGCTCGCTCGCTCTTCCGAATTTTAGTGCTCAATTCCATTGAGGCTGTGGAAAATGGAGAATCCCCGAACCTGATCAGCAGTTGATTGTGGTTGTTTGTTTTTTTTAGGGTGGCGTGGAAGCTCCAAGGCCGAACACACAGGGCTACCAAGATGAATCGTGATCCATTCGGTACGCGTCGCGCCAATCATTTGATTTATGGTTATTTATGGGGCTTTCGTCAAAGAAGAACTGCAAGCAGCAAGGCCCACCGCCATTACAGTACTCTTTCACATTATTGGAAAAATGCTCACTTCGTGCCTGACCCGCCAAGCGGTTTGCCAAGGGTAGTGTCGTGGATGATCAGCGTTCCTGACAATTAACTAGTCCTCTTCTAACACACATTTGATTCCGCAACTCTCTGGGTTTTAACCCACAGTCGCAAAATCGTTCCATAAGTGTGGAACATGGGCCCCGGCGCTTAGGTTGTCATTCCATGGCGGCTTTGGTTTTATCCCAAATTTCGCCCCTGCCTAATGGTTGTACAAAGTACGGACCGCAACTTATGCGGTTGATCGGTTTGTGCCACACAGGGGGGCAGCCCCACGACGCTATATAGAACTTGATTCATTTTGAAAATCTTTATCCATTGAATGTTGGGTTGACCTTTCCGAACCGATGTACCCAATTCTTGGAGTGGAAACGGCCCGTTACCCTCGGCGAATGATGTATACGTGAGGAAGTACGTGGTGCTATTATTCTTAGCTACTTCTCTATTCATATGTTCGTGTCCACGTTGCTGTCAAGTACAAGTAGGTCCACTTTGCATAAAGAGTTATTTGATGCTAATTATAATCATATTCAATTATCATATTTTGATATGCACCTGTGACCTACTGTAACTTGATATTCAAGTCTGCACGGGTAAATCAATTCCCCAGCCAAGCCTTGGAATTTTCTGGAAGGGTGAGTTGATCTTTCTTGGCAATTGATTAATTTCTTGTTCTGTGCAAGGTTGTCTACCTCCTTTAATTGACAGTTGAAAAGAGTGTGCAATTGATTCCGGAGTCTTGAATCTTGAACCATTTTTTGCTTGGATGACTAAGATATCCCGATTTCCATAAGCGGGATTCAAATCCGATATCTCCGATCCCCCCCCAGAGCTTCAAATGCGCAGCTTTGATATATTTTTCTACTTTGACAATTTTTCAAGTACTTCTTCTGCCGTGGCAAACTCTCCTTTCCAACAGCCTAGTATGATATCACCATTCCAAATACCAGTGACGTCCGGAAATTGCTGTGCCTTGTACCGCTCTTCAATCACATAATCAACCACGGCATGTTGTCGCCGAATCCGTGCCATAATGGCTTCGGGGTCATCGGATTGGGCTGGATTCAGTTCACTGTAAGGAGCTGCGCCGGAGACTAGTTCATAAAGAGTAGAGCCCAAAGCGAAAATGTCAGAAGCCTCAGTGTTTGGGAGTTCGTAGTCACGGGGTAAACAATGCGATGCACCTTCGTAGCCTAGTCCTGGATGACCGGGACATTGCGAAGAGTTGAAGTCACCTAAGCGTAAATCAAAATTGTTGTCGACAAAGAATTGACGCAGGATCATGGTCTACCTCATCCGCCATTGCTTTATCTGCAAGTTCTTATACGTCATTCAACCCACTTTGGACTGCTACCATTAGTCTTCCCGTTGGAACAACCTTTGAATACAAGTTTATCAAGAAGGAGACCGACGGCAGCATAGTTTGGGAGAGCGATCCCAACCGAAGCTACACTGTTCCAACTGGATGCTCCGGAGCAACGGCTACCGCAACTTCAACCTGGCGGTAAAAATCCAGGTACTGAAACACAGAGACACTAGTACGATTGATTATTATGTTCAAATGTCGGATATGACTACATGATACGAACTATGTTGGAATGAAAATCGAGGCGAGCTTTTGTGTTGGAGTGTAGCCAAATTGATATTTCCCTCTAGCACTCAAGGGCTGTTCATTGTCTCCCTTTCAATCCAAAGATCCGATCGCTCCAGTAATCACGACAACGAAGTTCTCAACCTTCCCATCTTCGCTTGGTGTCAAATACTCCAGTGCTAACCCACCCCCTCCACCATTCGAGCTGCCTTAAGTAACAACCGGGTCTTGTTCGAGGATCCCCTGTGTAGCAATCGTAGGGATACATTCTTTCCACTTGGAATAAAGATCCTCTGGGAGCATATTCTTTCGCTCGGTCTTGGTGATACTAATAGTGCCCTCCCTGGTATCACACCGGACAGATGCCCTCCCCCCACATTCCTTTGTCCCTTTGATCATGTGCTTGATGAGTGCAACGAGTTTTCTGATTTTTTCTTGGTTGGTTTGTTCCCAACTTTCCACGTAGCCAGTGACATCTTTCACTTGAACCGAGTCAAACATGCCATCTCTACGATGACAAGCGTGAGCCAGCTTGGGCGTCTGAGATACCCAGAGTTGCGGTGCAGCTTTGGCTAGCTTGATAGTAGGTTCGCGGTTCCGAGTTTTGATCTCCAATGTCGATTCCCGAGGAATGAACCAGCCTAATCTCTTGGTTTTCAATGTAGGTTGGACGGAAGTTTGATATCCGTACCACGCACCTTGTAAATCTTCCACTTTCGAAGCCTATAAAACTACATATACCCTACTTAGCCCCTCTAGATGTCTGCGAGTGGTTGAATTCATCTAGAGGAAATCTCATGCATTATTTAGTCCGAATGCCCTTATTCGGGTTGAATGGGAAATCTAACACGCCCTTAATTGGAAACCAGGAAAGGTTTAGGATACCAGTCAAGAATATGCAATATATCGCTAATGAAATGAAATTAAGGGGTGTATTCACCGAGACCTTGTTAATAATAATGAGACAAAAATCCTTGTTCCTGGAAGCTATACCATACACACACACTACACAAATGCTTCAAAGCCGCTTCATGCTCTCGATCAGGGCAGCCCGGTCATCAGTCCCAACCTTATCAATGATATCCGCACCGAGAATCATTCCTGCCTTGGTATTACTAATCTCGTCTGAGTCGTCAAACGTCTTGTTTTCGACAAACTGGGCGGGTAATTCACAGCCCGATACACATCTTGCGAGCGTTCTCAAAGTTGACCTATTCAGGTATTCTCCTGAGGATGGCCAAAACCTCCGTGCTTCAACCTTCTCAGCTGTATCACCCAGATCCATTCTCTTTGCATGGAGGTAGGAAATCAGAAACCTGAAATATAGGTATCTTCGGCGAGGTCGGTTATCGGATAGGAATTTGAGGACTCGGCCGTCGAGATCCTATGTAACTATGAGCCTGTATTCTTCTCTTTTAAGTGTAGGGATAGACTGACCTTCACGCGAGTTATCTCGCCCGATGGTTGCCTAAAGACGAAATTCTCATTGTGTGCCTCATTCAAGACCACAGATCGCCATGTTGTTGGGTCGGTCATTGCGCCGGGGACTGGAACGATTGCTATCACTCCTTGGTCGAGTAGCAATTCCACTGCGCTGTATAGTGTCAAGCCTATAAGGATTTCCGTTAGATTGTTCTCTACTCAAACAAAGAGGACATTCTTACCATTTCTTGGATCGCTGAGAACTCCATCTTCAACTCCGAAGATGTGGTATAACTCCTCTTGACTCAGGGACTTTGGCACAATATGTGCTGCCTTGACATTGTTGACAAAGAAACCGAGGACATGACACCAGGATTCAGTTCCCATACACGCTTCTTTCAATCCGTAGTACTCATTGACCTGCTTTTTAAACGCTCTTTGGTCGAATGGCCTCTTTCTGGTCTTGGCAGCTGCGCCCATCACTCGAGGAATAATGGTGTCGCGATACGCTCTTTGGAGAATTCCATCATCCGGTGGCCCAGTGATTCGTTGGCGCTTGACTTCCATTTCGAGATCCGCCTCAATGAGTCTCCGTTGCCGTTTCAGGACATCGAGAGTCTTGGAGGTCATTCGGAATCGTTTCACAACGGGCTCAATCTCTTTCTGAAAAACACTCTTATCGATCATTCCTAGCGAGGAACCTTCCTCCAATCCCTGCTTGATGCAGTCGATATACTCCTTTTCGTCTTGAAGTGCGGCAATTTTCATATGAAGGAAATCGGAAGTAGTGGACTGGCATGACTCTTGCGAAACCTGCGATAGTCTGGATGAATTGCTAACGGATCGTTCTTGGTGACTGCGCAAGGCCTCACGTCGGGTTGCTGACATCAAAGACGAAGTTCTCTCGGGAATAGGGAAAAGTATTCTGTCCGACATTTTAAAAGGCGAATCTAATGTTGATCAAAGATGATTATCCGGACGTCTGTAATAGCCTTGGAAATAATTAAGAGTACGGATTCTACTACTACGGAAAGAGAAGATGGGGAAGGATGTACTAGTACTAACTAGTCTATGTTCGTCATGATTACAAAGCCAAGTTAAGTTATCCTTAACTATAAAGGCCATTATGTATATTGTTTTTTTTCTTTTATTCTTATTATTAAAGTAGGTTCGACTTAAGTTAGATGCCAAACCTTGACCGGCAAGATAACCAACCGATTTTCGCCTCAGGCCCGATCCCCAACTAGACATGCCTAAACTGGTTCCCATGGGACCAGACCACATAACCAAGTCCCAGTAGGTCGATCCCATGGGACTTAGTAAGCGGGAATTCCACAGGACTAGTTAACTTGGACATTCCTAAGGTCCCATTGGGTCCTGTCCTGGATGGGCATGTCTATCCCCAACTATGTACCCCAGAAACCAGATTCAACATCAAAGTCCACATCAGAACCGGTGGCAAACTAAACACTCCAAACGGGATATGCCATGCCAATCAATCACCTCCTTACGGGTGGCGCGGTCGAAGCCGAGACCTAAACCATCCAACCACTTAATGTCGCGTCCCTTGACTAGAAGTTCTCTCATTGCAACTCACTTGGAATGCTGGCATAGCAAAGTCCTCGTGGTACATACTAATTTAGAAACAACTGGGGCTCCAGCTGAGAACCTGCATGGCATGAGGTTCGCGCGATAAGCCCAAAACAAAGAATCGATGGTTATCTCCAATGCCCAGGACCCCAAGAGCGTGGAATCCTGCTCGTCTGACCGATAAGGAGACACAAGGTTATTATTGCCTAGGCAAGGATCGGTCTTTTCGACTTCACAGGTAAGTTCGGCGATTTGTTGGTAAGATGATGTATCGATGCGTCATACTGTTTGCTAATGTCTTTCTGTGTGGTCGTCCTCTAGCCGGTCGATCACGCCATGGGTCAGCATGGGTGAAGGTTGGACTAGCTGTGAGGATCGCCCAAGATTGCGGGCTCATGCTGGAGAATGCCACATACCTTCCCTACGCGGAGCAGGAGGAAAGACGCCGCGTCTTCTGGTCTGTCTACCTCTTGGATCGCATGGTCTCCTGTGGTCGTGGCCGGCCACCGGCCATAGTGGATGCATCGTGCCATCTCCAGCTGCCTTCCGATGAACCAATATGGAGAAGCGGGCTGTGGACCAAGACTCAATCGCTAGATGAAATGGCGAATCGCACGCTGCCAGTAACTCAGAGGCAGGGTGCGTTTGCCCGAGTCATAGCCATTGCGCAGATCTTGGGTCGGAGTGCCCAGTCCATGCTGCAGGACTCCAACATTCGAAGTCTGCATCCCCCGTGGGACCCAAGCTCCGAATTTGCCGCTATGGAGTCGGACCTGCTGCACTTTGAGGCATATCTCGAGATCCAGCTCCCCGTGAAAGATGTAGTGGCTCCGCATATTTCGGCTGAGGGGGTCGTGGATCCGCAATCCACGGGCCCAATCATCTTTTCCCAAGCCCTATTTCACCTCTGTTACTGTTTGCTCAACCACCCTTTCCTACTACGGCGACGTATCGACACTTGCCGGAATTTAGCCCCCATGAGCTTCATGAAACGATCTTCCGATTTGGCTTGGCACCACGCGCAGCAGATGATGGCATTAATACGCGAAGCACGCAAGTGTGGTTGCTCGTTTCACTCCTCGTCCAGCGGATACGCTGTCACCGTGGCGGGCTCCATCATAGCACTGCGCACGTACGATTCGGATGCGCAAGTTTTTGAGAAAGCCCAAGTCTTGCTCGACGAGGCCCTATTATATCTAGACACTGTTGGTCAGCACTGGAGTAATGTGATCACAATGGTATGTTTTGAGAGTTCTTGGGGGCCGCTTTTTTTGTTTTTGCGCTGACACGTTTCTCTGCAGGCTTCAGTGCTTCGATCGATGATCTACGATGGATTTTTAGGCAGTAGCCTACTTGATTTGACCCAACCATCGAAGCTTACCCAGGTGGGGGAAGAGACGCTCTGGGCGGTGGTTGACTACAATACCATGTCCGATCAAGATGCAGACGACACGATCATGGATGAACAAACGACCGACGGGGCCTTACTCAGCTCGTGGGTAGAGCTGTTTGGCGGTGTCGATTATTCTTCATTTCCTGCCATGGGCACGATTAACCAACATTGAGAAAGCCGGTAGAAGAACGGTAACTCCCATGTACGATGTAAATATGCTGATAGATGTTGGGGTTTGATATACATGTGACATATCTACTTGTAACAACGGCGTCATGATAAAGAATCACGCTCTGAGTCTACAGTCATATCTACCCACGGGCTCAAATATGAAGCACCTGATTGAACGGTGAGCGTGCTTGGCACTAGAGACCTGGCAATACATGATATGATTCTGTCTGTTTCATTCAACCAACAGAGAAGCAAGTCTCCGGCTTATCAGTGGGAGGAAGCTCTTAGTGATCACAGGGGGTTTTTGTCCTATAGTCAGGCAACTAACCCGTAAAAGATGATGACGCCCAAGCAAAACCCAGCAAGTGGACCTGGTTGAACAATCCCGACTCCAGTGCCCAGTAAGACGCCACGATCTCGGAGGTAATCAGAAGGGCTTCATAGAAGAAGAAATTCCAACCGATGGCGAAACGAGTGTCTCCCCATCCACCCAGAATCCGGGGGCATCCATGGCTATGTTTGGACTGTCACCTGACCCTCCCTTTCTGAATCAGCCTCTTCCGATTCGGGGAGAGAGACGCGCCAAGCCGTGAATCAGATCCCCTCTCAAGGGATCAGCAGGAGATCTTCCCCATCCCGTCATCGCGTATTTGACGTACCTCGTGTTCCTTCATAACAACCATCCCGGAAATTCCGGGCCGGAATGACCACCTCACATCAGGGTAAATCGGTCGAAATTGTTCGTCTTACCCAAATAGGAAGAATAGATATGGCCTTCTGAATATCTAAGATTAGCTACACATTTAAGGTAGGAAGAAATCTGCACTAAGTTAGTAAGTATCAGCCTCATAGTTAAGTCTTGCCTAGCTAGTAGCAAACAGTACCAGGCTAGACCGTTACATAAGCAGTAGAGCCTTAGTTATTCCGATTTTGGTAAATTGCTTTCAAATGTAAGCAAAGTAGATTAAAAGGTAAGCTGAGCAGAGTGCAAGTCAATGCTTACTTTTGTTAAATATTCACCCGCAATGAGATTGATTGGTGGACAAACAACCGATTGGGAGGTTGCTTATAAATTGCATATACGAGTTTCTGGCATAAATACCGCACTTCTATGGCGTCTCCTTTCGGGAAACTCATTCCATACAGAGTACAGAAATACTCGACTTCAATTTTAAACACCCTTTCAAAATGACCTCGTTTGCAAATGAAGCCGCTTGGCTAGAGGGCCCCAATATCCAAGCTCTCAAAATCGGACCCGGACCAGCACCAAATCCCGCCGAGAATGAAGTCGTGATCAAAGTCGTTTATGCAGCTGTCAATCCCGTCGACTGGAAGGTAATCGCGGGGAAATCTCACTCACGCCCTTCCAAACTTCCACTTTAAGCTGATATCTTAATGTCACTTGTTGTAGTTGCAAGGCGCCCCAGTCGGCTATCTCGAATATCCCACCATACTGGGCACCGATGTTGCGGGCGTTGTTGTGCAACTCGGGTCCAAGGTTACCCAGTTTGAGCTCGGTCAGAGAGTGACTGGGTAAGTGGAACATCCACCATTTTATACTGCGCTCATAGGCGGTAGCTAAACATCTGTCGCAGTCACTGCGATGGATTTCTCTCCAAGAAACAGACCAATATGGGATATCAGCTTTACAGCACCTGCAACGAGAACCTTGTAACTCTCGTCCCGGACTCGCTTCCCCTCGTCAACGCCGTTGTTCTCCCCATCGCAGTAGACACTGCTGGAACAGCTCTTTACGTCCATCTTGAGCTTCCACTCCCTACATTGGAGCCTGCGCCCATTCCGAAGAGGATTCTTCTATGGGGAGGGGCTTCCTCAGTTGGCAGCTCCGCAATCCAGCTCGCTGTAGCATCTGGTCTTGAGGTCATTACGACAGCAAGCAAGGCAAATCACGAATATGTAAAGAGTCTCGGTGCCTCCCATGTTGTTGATTACAAGGATCCCAACGCTGTCGAGCAGGTTGTTAGCCTGCTGCAGCCGGGAGATTACATCGTCGACTGTATTTCTACTAAAGACACACAAGCAAATTGTGGCGAGATCTTGAGCAGGATTGGAGGAGGCAAGCTTCTGGTTGTCGATACTCCTAAGGGACCCTTCCCTGACAATGTGACGGCTTCTCTTGGTGAGCGACAGTCTTCTTCCATAGTTCGCGTGGAGTCTACATTATTTTTCTAACAAGTTCGCAGTTATCTGCCTTGATGTTGGCAATACCGCTGCACATGTGGGTGATCATCTCTGGCACAAGTTCATACCCTCGGCACTGGCCGCAGGTAAATTCCAGGCGAAGCCGGACCCTTATCTGATTCGGGGTGGTTTGAATAAAGTTCAGGAAGGTATTGATCTGCTGCGAGAGGGAGTATCGGCAAAGAAGATTGTCATTGAGATTTCAACTGAGTAATTACTGGACACGGGAAGCCACTTGGGCATCCACAGTAGGCCCATTTGATAGAAGTACTGGCGATTTTAGCGATCATCCGGAAAATAGAACATTTAATTTTGACATAATCAAATTGGCAGAATTGAAAATTGAAATCACCAAATTACCCCATCAAATCTCAGAGTTCAGCCAGCAGTTCTTTTGGTTTTCTACTTTTTTCAGCGCTTCCCGCGGTCGCATTTATATGGGATTCGGCATAGTTTGATTTATGCACTTTCTCTATATATACTGCATTTTATAGGGTAATGGAAGCAAAGGGGGCTATGTTCTGCTAATAAAAGGTACTATGTGGTATATAATCTTTGGTAGGGGGTACGGTTAGCTATATATACCACTTTGGCATTAATCCTTACGCTTCCTTATATCTTAAATCCTTAAACTCAGTATTATATACAGCACTGTATTTTACACTGTATTGTATGCTGAATCGCTGCATGTGCGCTTAATTCTTATATATATCTTGAATCCTTGAACTCCATATATTAAGCACTGTGTTATATGCTGGATTGTACGCTGGATTGTATGCTGAATTGAGTGCTGTATTCCTTATATCTTAGTTCCTTAAACTCTATTATATTAAGCGCTATGTTATATGTTAGATTGTATGCTGTATTGTATATATACTGAATCGCTGTATTCCTTATATCTTGAATCCTTGAACTCCATTGTATTAAGCGCTGCGTTATATGCTGGATTGTATGCTAAATCGCTGTATTCCTTATATCTTAAATCCTTGAACTCTATTATATTAAGCGCTGCGTTGTATGCTAGATTGTACGCACGCTAGATTATATATTAAATCCTTGTAATTCCTTATATATTGAATCCTTGTAATTCCTTATATATTGAATCCTTGAACTCCATTATACTTTAATAAAAAGCGGGTTCAAATGTTATATACTTCATTCAAATGTTAGAATTCAGGATTATAATTCAAAAATTACAAAACCTATACGTTTGGAGAGGGCGGTGTGTTAGGCGGTGGTATCATATCTTCTATTTTCCGGATGATCGCTATAATCGCCAGTATAGAAGTCTCCCGGGACTCTTATACAAATATACAATTCTGTGCGAACTTTATACTTCATCCTTGCCAAGGTTCATTCTCGAAATGCCTGGGCATTATTCCATCGATTTGGAGATTCGAAGGTTGTTAGACCTTCAAAGGCAGACCAGCCCCAAGACAGTTATCCGCACGCTCAAAATACCAATGGTGAGCAGGGAAATCGGATATCAACGGCGCACCCGTTCCAGTGTTACCATCCCAATTGATTGTGCCCTCAAGCTTCTCAACATCATTGGCTGTAACCGTGACATTGTTGCCCGATGTAATCCAGTACTCCGGGGCAACATGGACATAGCCCATAGCAAGCAGAGGAAGCTTTGGCACTGGATCATTCGTATGCGTGAAACGGTAATTATTTCCCTGGGCGGTTATAAAATCGGCCAGTGCTGAGTTGGCGACTCGAGGCGAAGCATAGGCATACATTTTAATCGAAGGGTAGCCCATTCCACGAAGGTCAGCGGCTGCGAGAGTAGCAATTCCAGCACCAAGGCTGTGGCCGACGACGACCAGTTCATAGTCGGGATATTTAGCCACGGTCTCGTTGAGAACCTTGGAAATAGGGTCTCGAACGAAGTTCCAGGAATTCCAGAAGCCAGATTCAGCTTCACAGCCGTCGCAGAGACCGGGGTTCGTGTAGGGAAAGTCGGCGTCGGCGAGCCAGTTGCGGACCGAGTAAGAGCCGCGGAAGGAAAGTACGATTGCCTTGTTTGTCTCGTCCAATGCGATAAACCCAGCGGTATCGGTTATGGTGGTACTGGTTATTGTTCGAATTACTAAAGTTTGTCGCTGTAGAGGATGGTGAATCTCACTTGGAAAAGTCGTAGACTATTGTGGCACCAGCGGCCTCAACTTGAGGGCAGTTGCCAGCCGAGCAGGTCAATTGAGTACCGGCCTTCGCAGTGTAGCTGTTGCGACAATAGGCAGCAGCAGCATACTGAACCCAAAACTTGAAGTCAGATAACTCGTCGGCGGCGACATCTAATATAGAATGACTTGTGAGTGTGGATGTTGAGATGAATATGTCAAGAGACCTTACCCCGGGCCTGTAGATTCCTTGGGAGCGCATGGCCCAGCACTGAAAGCGCTGAAAGAGCTAACAAGACATGGAAACGCATTGTGTTTAGATAATTGATATGTATGACTGGAGAATTGATAGGCTGTAGAGCGTAGGGCTCAGACGAGAGGGGAGTTGCTTTACAGATATACCTCACATAGTAGCGGCAATGAGTCGGGATCTGCACCCGTAGGTATTCAGTGTGCCTTGAAAATTTTTGGCGATACCATTTCAGGGTTCATAGAAAGGTCGCGCAATCGGTGAACGCCGTGATGATCGACAAGTCGATTAACTCTTCACATAGGTTAACTCGGGGAGATGGTCCCTTTAGCGTTAAGCACCCGATGAACGCAGATCGGACCCACTATTTTTTCGCCATGAGTTCCGATTCCGATTTATTAAATTCAGGGCTTCCCGCTTGGCGATGAGAAGATCCATGGCTGATGCTGGACCCATACGGGGCGTCCTGCTGCTTTCGGCGACGCGATCCGGGGAGGATTTGAGACAACGCTGATCGTGCCAACCATACGGGCCAAATCATCCATAGATGTTCGCTGTGACGAAATTGCCTCGTTCTGTGTTTGAAGCCTCGCATTTTTGCCCTCGTTACTTTTCAGCACATAAGAAAGCCCAGGAGCACGGTGCTTTAGTCAGTATCAACTTGGCCCAGGATGTACAAATATTACAAGATTCTCTTCTTTCAATGTTTGAGTCAATGCTCACATGTGCATGAGCTTTGACCATCACGCCGCAAATACGATCAGCGCTTGTTCAGTTTGACTCGGGCTTGCCAAGACTCTTGCAAAAGTAAACCGCCAGTACGGTCCAGTGCACCTAGTTAATCGTACAGTTGAAATCGAAGAATATCGTCGCAAATAAACCATGCAGTTCAAGATGATGGATGCATACATAGAGTAGACCGCTGGAATCCTTTACGCAAATATCTGATAGCTTGGGCAAACCATCTCGTTGGACCTATGTACCCAATCGATGCCTCTGCAATAATGGTTAAGATTAGCCTCCGTATTAGGGGGGCAACCTTCCAAATGCTCATTGTGCCATTACATCAAGCATCCATCTTTGATGCTTGAGTGTAATTCACTTAAACCCACTCGCACACGGCGATAGCCTGCTCGGTTGATCCCACCACGAGGCCCCTTGCCATTATCCTTGGCTTTGAGACTCTCTGCACTGGGCGAGCCCATGCGAGCACCGCTCATGGCTGGTGTGCTAACAAGTGTGGCAGGTGCAGAGGTGCGCTCAAGGGCAAACACCTCCACCATCCATTCATACCAGACTTTGCGGTCGTCAGTCTGGCGGTACATGGTGACAACAATCTCACCATTGTCCGGGACATTGAGGGGAGTCTGACCAGAGACATTAGCATGTTTTACGAGGGGGGGGGGGGGGGGGGGGGGGGGGGGGAAGCAAAAACTATGTAAAAGAGATGCGGAAAGGAAGGTGTATGACATGGTCTTACCTTCAATGGGAAGTAGATAGGGAACCAGCTGATCATACTAGCACTCTTCTCTTCCATGGTCACCGGGTTAGTAGAGAGCTCTACATCCCCGTATAGAACTGTCTCAAAGTATCCAGCCAGGCCGTGGCACGTGCCACGATTCTGAGCAGGGAAGGATAAACGTGTTTGACGGACGTTGTGTGAGTTCGAAATGGTAGACTGAGAGGGGGATTGCGCAGGGATGTTTGGGTTAGGGTGGGAGAAAGACCATGCTGTCTGCACAAAGGGAGCTGGGAACTCTGTCGCCGCTGTGATGTTGGCCGATCCGGATGAACGATTAGCAGCGTTTTGGTTCGCAGAGTCAACATTCGCTGGCGAGTCAGATGTGGACAAAAAGTCAATGGCGTGAAGCATAACTACGTAGGGTGTCTCTGGGGCTGCCGGGTTAGACACCGTTTGGTTCATGACATCCGAGTGCAATTTCGGGGCTGACACTGGGGTGAAGTGGGCCGAGTATGAGGCAGGAATTGAGATGCCATGAACGGGGTTGATGAGGTGGTTGACACCATCTAAGCACTCCGGTGAGAGCTCATTGTCGGCAAAAGAGCCAAGAAGCTCTGACACCACAATGTCGACATGGGTGTATGAAAGCTCGGTAGTCTTAGAGCCAGAGATGTCAGCTGTCCGGCCAAAGTTGTTCGCACCATTTCTTGGTGTGTATAGAAGGGATTTTTCATTTCCAAGAGATTCTCCTACATTTTCGTGATCTCCAGCGATAACTTGCTTTCGTACCTGGGGACCTTTCCAGCTGCGCATGTCTGATTGAACCAAAGTGACTTTGCCATCCCAAATGGTTTCGTTGTGTCGCTGCAAAAGGACGAATGCGTTTTGATTCTTTTCCACCACCCACAAATCGATCTCCACTCCTGCTTCAGCACTGGCCTTGATCGCCCTGGTCACCAGAGGTCCACGGCCAGCACCCACAACAGCCAGAATAACCTTGCCATCTGGGTGGGAAGTGGGCTTCTTCTGCTCTGCCCAGTCTTTTAATGCTTTACAAATGGCTTTTTCGTACCACTCATACTTGATAGGATCCTTTTCAAATACCTCATATGTTATACTCTCCAGGTTGACTGTCAGCGGTTGCAGAGGCGCCTGGAGGTAGTCTTGATAACCAGTTCCAAATCTCTCAATGGGAGTTCGTGGCGGCTGTCGTTGCTGCAAGTTCCGCAAATAGGAGAGATGGGGCGTAGGATCAAAGTGCTTCTTGTTACTACCTGCAACCTGCGATAGACTGGGGTAGTCAGGGCCAGACAGCTGATTCGTCTCATCATCATCTACGGCTTCGAGGCCTGGAATCGGCCCAACGCCACAGAGGAGAATCCAAGGCGGGGTTCTAAGGCGCATAAGCTTGGCTATAAAAGCTTGATGGGCCTTTGACAAGACAGGGTATGATTTCTGGTTCTTCAAAAAGGACGAGGCGTCAATGGTGAGCAAATGCACCGGTTCCGAGTGCCAACGTGCTTGAACAAAGACGGGGGGAAGTTGTTTTGGCATGGAGAGGCCTGTTGCCTGGGTAAGATGCTGGTCTAGAGTGGTTACAGGGGACATTTGAACTTACCAACAAACAACCTGGCATGGAATTTGCACGTCTTTCGAATCAAGTCCCATGCATCCCAGGTTCCAAACAGATCCAGCTTGGGGAGAACTCCGTCATCCGGCTGAAGGAAATCCTCTCGGGCCAACGGGGCCAGGTCACCCATTGTATCAAGCTCAAGCTCCGGGTTGTCAACCATAGGGAGCCAAATATGAAATTGGATATAAGATCCCAGATTCAAGGCATCCTGAATTGCACGTGCATAGTAAACGACCCCTTCAGAGTGCAAATTGCCATGATGAAGCTTAGGGCCCGGAACCAGTAGGTACCCGATGCCGCAGAAAGCAGCATAGGCAACTTCCAGCATGAGAACTTGACGAGACAAGTCTGCAATCAAGGGATCCGGTGAGCAAAGATCAATCCAGCTGCTAGTCACTCCAACAAGTTGGCTTGTGGCATCATTGGGGGTGAGGGTTGAGTCCAGCTTTGAAAGCGGCGGGATTGTCAGTGGTCTCGTGTTATGCGTGGTCTCCATGGTCCCGATGGAATCAAAGATAGGAGACGGAAGATTGGATAAATATGAAGAAAGTAAACCTAGCACCCTGGTGTGGAAATGCTGTGTCGTGATCGGAACCGTCATCATATCATACTAGCATCTCGATCAGCTTCAGTGAGATTTAGTGTCCGAACCCAAGATAGACCGACATTGCTTTCGTGAACATTCTGAACCACCGTGGTATTGACCACAATAGAGCGGTTTGCCTCATGGTGGCCGATGCAAAAGCTCGGTCCCGCATCCTCAGAAGCGCTGTAGCCCTCCATGTTGACACCGGGAACTTTTTTTTTAGTGGCGTATTAGGTAGCTAGGGAGACAGATTTGAAAAGCCGAGGTGTCAAGGGTCCAAAATGAGACAAAATCTGGGTATTTCAGGTTGACGGGTTTGGACTGGAGCCGATAAAGACGGTTTCACCAGATTTCAAGGGAGGAAGCACCAACTGAAGCTCCCTGCGCGGTGCAAGTAATCAATCGATCCCTTTGTGGGGAGCGGCAGAATACCCCAGGCGGTAAGCCCGATAGGAGAGATCGGCGCTCAACCTTCCTATCTGAGTTTTTTTTATCGGTCGCCCGAGTTTGCACCCTTCAACTCTCACATTCACTCATTCACTCATTGCACACCATGGCTGATCGTCGCTCAAACTCAGAAGACGGTGCGCGGGCTAAGCGTCAAAAGATGGAGGCCGGAGACCCCAAAGACAACCCTTATCTGGCCCACATGTACGAGAGTACTGATGGCGTGGATAAGAATTCGCCTTTCGCTAAGTTCAAGCGTCACCAGACCACTGCTGCTATGGCCAAGAAAGCAGAGGATGGTGAATTCAACCCTTTCACCGGTCAACCATTCTCTAGCAGATACCTCTCGATCCTGAAAGGCCGTCGTGATCTGCCTGTGCATCAGCAACGGTTAGTGAAAATCAGTGGAATCCATTCTAGGAGGCACATGGACTAACTTTTCCCGTTTAGTGATGAGTTCTTGCAACTTTACCAGCAATCCCAGATCCTCGTCTTCGTTGGTGAGACTGGTTCCGGAAAGACCACTCAAATCCCCCAATACGTCCTCTTCGATGACCTTCCCCAGACTCAGCGCAAGATGGTTGCCTGCACACAACCCCGTCGTGTGGCAGCCATGTCCGTCGCCCAGCGTGTCGCAGCCGAAATGGACGTCAAGCTTGGTGAAGAGGTTGGATACTCCATTCGTTTCGAGGATATGACCGGCCCCAAGACCATCATGAAGTACATGACCGATGGTATGCTTTTGCGCGAGGCTATGAACGATCACAACCTGTCACGATACAGCACAATCATTCTTGACGAGGCTCACGAGCGGACTATGGCGACCGATATTTTGATGGGTCTATTGAAGGAGGTGGTGGGACGCCGCCCGGATCTGAAGATTATTATCATGTCTGCCACTCTGGATGCGCAAAAGTTCCAGCGTTATTTCATGGATGCGCCTCTTCTGGCCGTTCCTGGACGAACCCACCCCGTTGAAGTATTCTACACCCCTGAACCAGAGCAAGATTACGTCGAGGCTGCTATTCGGACAGTCTTGCAGATTCACGCAACTGAACCCGAGGGAGATATTCTGGTCTTCTTGACTGGTGAGGAGGAGATCGAAGACGCTTGTCGCAAAATCTCTCTTGAGGCCGATGAGATGGTTCGAGAGGCCGATGCTGGTCCTCTTAAAACATACCCACTATACGGTAGTTTGCCTCCTCACATGCAACAGCGTATCTTCGAACCTGCCCCGGCTGCTCGGCGCGCCGGCGGCCGGCCTGGTCGAAAGGTTATCATTTCCACTAATATTGCGGAAACATCATTGACCATCGATGGTATCGTTTACGTGGTCGATCCTGGTTTCTCCAAGCAGAAGATTTACAACCCCCGTATTCGTGTCGAGTCTCTCTTGGTCTCTCCAATCTCCAAGGCATCGGCGCAGCAGAGAGCTGGTCGTGCCGGTCGTACTCGCCCTGGAAAATGTTTCCGTCTCTACACAGAGGAGGCTTTCAAGAAGGAATTGATTGAGTCAACTTACCCTGAGATTCTTCGATCCAACTTATCATCTACTGTCTTGGAGTTGAAGAAGCTTGGAGTTGACGATCTTGTCCACTTCGATCTTATGGACCCACCTGCCCCGGAGACCCTGATGAGAGCACTTGAGGAGCTCAACTACCTGGCCTGTCTTGATGATGATGGTGAACTCACTCAGCTTGGCCGCCTGGCCTCAAATTTCCCCCTCGATCCCGCGCTCGCAGTCATGTTGATCAGCTCCCCCGAGTTCTACTGCTCTAACGAGATGCTGTCCATCGTTTCCTTGCTTTCATGTCCTCAGGTGTTCGTTCGTCCTGCCGCTCAGCGAAAGCGCGCCGATGAAATGAAGGATCTCTTTGCCCACCCCGACGGCGACCATCTGACTATGCTGAACGTTTACCACGCATTCAAGGGTGCCGATGCTCAAGCAAATCTTAAGCAGTGGTGCCACGATCATTTCCTTTCCCTGCGATCCCTTCAATCTGCCGACAATGTCCGCAAGCAGCTTCTCCGCATTATGGAGCGCGAGGAGCTTGAGATGGTCTCCACCCCCTTCGACGACAAGAAGTACTACGAGAATATCCGCCGTGCTCTCTGTGCTGGTTTCTTCATGCAGATTGCTAAGAAGGAGCCCCAGGGCAAGAACGTTTACGCAACCATCAAGGACAACCAAAATGTTCTTCTGCACCCATCTACCGTGTTGGCTCACGACGCGGAATGGGTCCTTTACCACGAATTCGTTTTGACAACCAAGAACTATATCCGTACCGTCACGGCTGTGAAGCCCGAATGGTTGTTGGTATGTTCAACTTGCTATCTAATATAACACTTGTGCCGCTGCTAACCAGAATACAGGATATTGCGCCCACATATTACGATGTCTCTTCCTTCCCCAAGGGTGAGATCCGCACTGCTCTCATGCGTGCTGCCGACCGACTTTCTCGCAAGGAGAAGATGCGTACCGAAAAGCGCTAAGTCACCATGACCGGATTGGGTTTTCAGCCATGTCATTCTTCCTAGATTCCCTTTTCTTTTTTTTTTGTTTGATAGAAATTTATGATGAACAGGTTCATTTATTAAATAGAACATTTTCCCCCACGTGCTTTAATATTCATTCTGATCTAATGTTGGGTTCGCTATTTTGGTCGATCCGGGGGCTCACGAGTCATGCAGAATAAAAACTTGGGAAACAATGGTAGCCAAAGGGACACGAGAAATTTAAATGTTCAAAGAGTATGTACAGCTTGAGTGTTTGAAAATAGACGAGATAATAGGACCATATGTATGCAGTCTATGTACTAGTCAACACATATATTATGTACTCAAGTGCTGTTCATACTACGTGCAGTCATATGGCACTCGAAATTGATTGATCTCAAGTGCTGCTGGAGTGACATCCCTTCCAACGTACTAATAAATGTTCAGACACCAACGCCACCACAAACCTTCAACATTGAAATGTTTCACGTTCAATTGTTGAAGTTTTCCACTATGCTGACCTCGTAGACCTATTATACATAGCACTGCAGTTGAAATCACCAACCTTGGAAATGGGTGGACTAGACTTGAAGAAACCATGACTTTAGAGATACATCCTGTCTGTCGGTATTAAACACGCTTTGGCCAAAGAGGATGGCAACTATATATGGTAATGTACAAAAAATGAGAAGCCATTCGTGCCATGAAACAATGTCTTAAAGCGTTGCTTGGTTTGCTGTACGCCAGAAATTGGACAAGTTATGATCTTCCATGGCCTTTTTCCGAGACTTCTTGGGACGGCCTGGCTTGGAGGTAACTTTGTGGAACTCGACACTGCGGGGTGTGGGGGAAAACCCGTGGGGTTCTGAGGCTGCAGCGGGGGCTTGTGAAGGGGTATCGGGATTTTGTGATGTGGTATGTTCGTCATAGGTCAAATCCGAGGGGGCGTAGGAATTGTCCTTCTTGAACGAAGCTTGAATGTGGTGCTTGCGAAGCTCGAAGACCAGCTCACGGAGTTGAGCTACTTCATTTTTCAGTTCTGCAACTTCAGATGATGAACTCGAAGGCACAGAGTCGTCTTTAATTTTTGAATCCTTCGGTGTTGATGGATCGCCGGCGAGACCGGCCCTCATGGCATTCTGTGCATGGCAAGCAGCGTGGCTTACAAGCTTTTGGGCTCGCATTTCATCATGCGATGCCTCCAGACCGTTCAAGTGATTGCCGAAAGTGTATGCAAATTCGGAACATTTTTCCCACAGAGGACGGCCAGCATTCTCCTTGGGCGCTGATTGAGCAGCTTTGGCCCAACGCACAAAAGTGGGGTCAATGATCGGTTCAACATCTTCCTGCATTGATGGTATACACGGATCGAATCCACTATTCATGGCGGCAGATATCAAAGCTTGGGAAACGTCTTTTCGGCCACAGGAATCGCAAAGATGAGCCATGAGCACAACGAGGCGCTCAACAAAGTCCCTTTCAAGGCCTGTGGATGATACTAAGTAGGTGACCGCTCGTTTCAGTGCTGCGGAGCCCTTCTCCCAGTCTTGTCTGATGCTGTAGAATTTGATGTAACAAAATAGTGTGTTGAAGTTGTCAAAGAAGCCAACACGTCGTGCTGCTTGGAGCCAAGCATCTGCTCGATCCGGTTGGTTGAAACGCAATGCACAAGTAATCAGCTCCGAGTATATGAGAACGCTGTTGCTGTCCATCGGGGGGACTACCACATCCAGTCCGTTGACCTTTCGGTGTGTATAAGGCGCCAAAGCTCCTAGGTTGGCAGACCAACCTTCCCCAGTGAGCATGCGAAGAAAGAGATCAAAATCTTTGAGGTTTTTCGATTTGCGAAAGAAAACCATAATGGTGGTAATGAGAGATGTGCTCAGATAGAACCGATGCGGTAGTACTGTGCGTAGAAGCAAGTCGTTCAAGTCGTTCTGACGAGCTTGGCTGAAGGCGATGATTATATTCCTGAATGCATTTGGTCGATCTGGGTCCACCGATTTAAGAAGATTTTCAGAAGTTCTTAAGAGAGCTTCTTCCAAGGACATCTGCCGGGTCATGAATAACCGAAGATCTTGTTGAAGCTCGGCATCGAGGATTTGGCATTCCCTTTGGGATTTTTGTGGACTCCATGTGACAAGTTCGTGCACCAAGTCCTCATATTGTGAGCTTTCCGATGTTCGAAGTTCAGTGATCCGACGTCGAAGCCTGTTAAGCTCTTCCAGGAGGTTGGGCACGTTGATTTTGGGGGTATCGAAATCGCGAGTGTAGTTCACCGGAAGCCCAGAGTAGCGATGGGCAATAGTCGGTCTCAGCAGCATTCGAATCGCAAATTGTCTCAGGGCCAACTTTTGGATAGCCTTGATTCGCATGGGATCTTGAAGAACCCAGCTTGGCAAAAACACATGCCTGGCTTCCATGTTCTCAATATCCTCGAGCTCTTCTTCCTCGTATGTCATCTCCTCCTCCACTTCAAAACTCTCAGCTATCTCCACACTTGCGACATTGATCAGCCGGCGATCGGTGTGGAAGGACCTTGTTGGCTGTGTCGACATCGTTCGTCGCCGAGTAGCGGGAGGGAAACTTGAAGTGACCCTGGAAGACCCATTGTGTAGCAGTCGATTGAGTACGCGAGGTTTCCTCCGGGATTGTAGTGACTCGATCAGTCTTTGTTCTTCGTCTACCAATTGGTTCACCTCCGCCTTGACAGCCGCGATCTTCTCTTCCCAGTCATGTCGACGTTGAGTCTTGGCTTTGGCATCGGCTAGGGCGGCTGCAGCAAATATGCTCGTATATAGTGCGGTAACCGAATTGCCTAGGCGGAGGCGTCTTTTGCTGGCAGCAGCCGTTGATCGCGAGGTAACACCAGTGGCAGTCGTGCTTAAACACGAGACACAGCGGCAGGTCGACCGCGACGGAGCAGCTCGGGACCACAAACCCTGCATTATCAACGCATTGCTGTCAGTGACTGTATGTGAGGTGAGAAGTACTAGTAAGCACAATTGAACTCCCCACGGGGTCTGGTAAAGAAAACGGGTGGGACAGGAACAAACATGCGATGCGGGTGGATGAAATTATCCCGAGAACCGCAAAACCCCCGGTGCAAACACTGCAAACACAACCGACCCGCTTGCATCTCCTGTTGCTTTGCGGCCATTTGCGACAACTCCGCGTTCTTTAATTTCCTACATTATCTCCTTTTTTACAATGATTAACCGTTTAATTTGCCTTTTTGCTGGGGTGATCGCTCTGGGAAGCGGCCTCGCAAATGCCCATGGCTCACATTCGAACAATGATCAACCCCCGTCCGACGATTGGGCTACGAGACACATGATGGGTTAGTTGGCCTGATGGATCCAATGACTTCGTTACAATCACTAACATACTGGCTTAGAGGAACACCACATCGAAGGCTTTGATGCCCCCTCATTCTTCTCCATGCACGATTACGACTCATCTGGTCTATGGACTACCGACGAAGTGCGCCAGACGTACGGAATGGACGACGAATCCAATAACGGCATGAGCGAGTCCAGCAAGACAGAGGCTATCCGTCAAGTTTTCGACCTTTTCGATCCAGATAACACTGGCTTTATCTCGAGGGATGGTTGGTTAAAGGCAGTTGCCGATGGCGTTCGGCTTCCCGACCTCGGCTTTGGACCCGGGCACCATGGCGACCTTGAGTACGAATATGAGATCCATCACTTCGAGAAGTACCACGGGGAGGATGCTACCGAGGAGGAGTTGAACCACCCGGAGGATATTGAGCACTTCCGCCTGCACGATGAGCTGGAGCGTGCTCAGATGCGCCTCGATCAGCTAGAACAGATGCAGGTTGTTGTGGCTAACATCCCCGCAAAATTCCGTCGCAATTAGACCTGAAGTCCTTTAAAATGTTGACATTCACGAACATATTGGAACACATAGGGGTTTTACGATTTGTATATCTTTTCTGCTGGGACTGTGCCTTGAACTTTACTCCAAGACCTCAAGAGGGCAACCTACATTGTACGAATATGTGCAGTAGATCATAAGACACGAAAAGTCGTTCCACGGGCACATTATGTACATAAAAAGGCTGTCAACTGACAGAATCTCAAGCGAAAGATACCCACGAGATCCATAAATACGTAGTAAATGCATACATACTAGTGGACATCATAACCAAAACCACTCCGGTTGAAAGCTTTCACCTTGTAGTAGTGGAATGGGAACCGCCTGCATTATCCAGATGTCTGCACAGATGTCTACTACGCATCAAGTCCCTCGCCTGTGGGCTTTTAATGTTGCTTCCAAGGTTTCTAAATGATGGCTAACATTTGAATCGGCTTTATTGTTCCCGACCTCACTGCACTTCCGCCGCCTAAGCTGTATCCGGACTAGTGCTTCAATAAGTGGCTGTGATTGGATGAATGCCTTGTGTACACTAAAAAGTAGGTCAAAGGCCCAAATTGAACACCAATTTGAGGAGTCAATAATGAGGTATGCCCATCATGCATGGATCACACGGGCCTGCATCCATTGATGTAAAGACCATTCTCGGGCAGCACTTGAGTCCTGGTCCGTCGTCAAACCCCGGTACATGTAGAAACAATGGTCGACGGGCTACGTTAGTAAGGTTTAGTACGCATACCTGGTACATAGTAGGTAAGGCTGCCGGACATTTCCAATCTCGGAAGGATCGAAATATCAGTGGGTCCTCATCTTAAAGAACCTAAATAAAGAACAGACTTCTGACAGCCTTGAAATTTCAAGGTTACACCATGTACACAGTCTGGGCGTGCGATCTTCAACAGATGGTACATGTAGTTCAAAGGCCGTATACGGCAGATGAATCTCGCGAGAGCAACTTATCAGAAATTATCTGTTTCATATCCACTAGTACATCCCGCATCAAGCACTTGAGCTCTAGGGGTTTTGGTTGGATTGGTAACCACAGCCACAAGAAACAAGGTTCATGGCGCACGCGGTAACAATCCACGTCCTTTCTCACAGGACATATCTACTAGTAGTACCTAGTAAATATCCCGTAGAATCTTTCCAAGGTTTCTCCAGATGTCATATTTCTCCATCAAACCTCGGGCTGATCCCCGAGACTTCACAGAAAAGACATCTACTGGTTAAATTAACTAGCGATCCTTCGTCCCAGCGGTTTGGCAAGTTTCCATCGGCCGTCGGCCGCCGGCCCCCGGGGCCAACGGGCAACGAATCATGTCTTCACCCTATTGTTGGTTTCTCTTGAAGATTCTTACTCATTACCTGGAGAAGGCTAGTCCGTCTGCTACTAATCATGAACTTAACCATGTCTGGTCAACTTTGCCTCCAAGCCACCACGTGGGTCCAGGTTCCACACTGAAATTGGTTTTATAGTAAGGTATTCCAAGGTTGCACATGTGCAGTATATCTGTTCGATGAGTTAAAATTACCAATATAATATTGGACAGTATTTTTACTACCTTTTCTGTGGTATTGATCTATTTGCACTACTCCATTGGGTATACAAGCGGCAACATTGAAGGTAATAATGGTTACTAGTACCGCTGGGCGCAGTACCTTACTGGTTTTTGATTGGGATCAGCCACAAGCGTCTAGGTTTTCTTGTTGCGAGAGCTTTTACTCATGATTGGCTCACTCGTGATACTGATGTAATGATTTGAGTTGTTTGTAGCGAATCAGCCATGGACTTGATATTGCGAAATGCAAGATAATTTCAAATACCCAAATACAGTCAAGCCTCTGAACCAGAATTATAAAGTTTAGTATCGAAATTGGATGTTGGTAGGACGCAGTAGCGATATGAACAGGCGGTCAACAATGGTGTGAAGACAGAAACGAATGTAGGGTATATCTGGGTATCTATGTAGTTCATGGGTAGATGCACAAGTCTTTTTTCTCTCTCTAGCCAAGGTCTTTATGTGTTGCGTTCCTGGCTTGCTCGACTTTGTGGTAATTGGTGTGAGGGTTGAATATGGCAAGGCAAGCTCTCCGTCCCTGATGTCCAAGTGTAGGAAGTGGGGTGTTGGAAATTCTATTACGAAGTATTAGTACAGGCCGTTCAATTTGATTGTAATTTCAATTTCTGATCCTTGATCATACTTACCGAAGTGTTCATTTGAGAGAGATTGGGGTCAATGTTGGGAGGCCAGAAGGAAGAATTCATTTGCTCCTGTGGGTTGGAAAGTGGTTGAAAGGCCTCAGGACGGAGAACACTTCGCAAGTACTGATCAATAGCCTCGAATCCAGGAGGTGGTCCGGATTGTGAGGACTGGGAGCTGAACAGACCCAAACCCGACCCCGGTGAGTAGCTGTAAAGCTGATTCCCATTATTGTGAGTACCATGCAAACGTGGTTGACAGTTTATACAATGAGAGCACATATTCATCAACTGATCTCCAGCGTTTGGTGTTCCTGGGTTCACACTTGCAACTGGTGACTGATAGCCAGTCAAAGCTTGCGATTCAGCAGAGTAGACTTGCGAGGGATGTGTGCTGGCGATAGATGAAGTTGAGTTGCTCCTCACGGACTGTGATCTCTTGATTTTAGGCTCAGGCTCACTGGAGTACGATCCATAGTCAGTTTTAATCGAGGCAGATAATAGTTTCAGGCTACTCACTGTCGTGCCATGTGTTGAGCCAAATAGTCCGCGCGATGGAATGCCTTTGGACATCCTTCATAACTGCATGTGTATGTTTTTTTATTCCTATGACTCAGTTCATGGCGTCGCCGGTGCTCAGCTCGTGTAAAGACCTGGAGCTAGGTTAGATTGGATTAAACTAACGAACTCTCATTGCCGTGCTCTTACCTTGGTACATCCAGCAAATTCACAAGCATGCACCCGCTTCCCTTTCTTGGCCTTGCTCACTCTGAACTCGCTCGTAGATGAAGAAGGGGAGAGAGGGGTGGGTCCGTGTGGAGTCCTTGAACAGATCTCTGGAGACAGATTGCTTTCCATCATAGGCAGAACGGTTCGAACGTATTGCGAGTCGATGTATGCAGGCATAGGAGCCGCAAATGGGAGAGGGTACTGAGGCATGGTGCTGATGGACATCTTCGCCTCAAAGCCCCTTTATGTCATTGACAGGCGTAATGAAAATGCGTATGTACGAAGTAGACAGATAAGAGAGAGAGAGAGAGAGAGAGAGAGAGAGAGAGAGAGAGAAGGAGCGAGAATAAACCTCAGGAATTGATGAGGCTCTTCGAATATTTAGATAGTATCCAGTGAGAAAGTGGCTTGTAAGAATGAGTCAATGCGCGGCAGAGGTGAAGAAATGCAGTTGGTGAAGAAAAGGTGAACAAAAGTTGTAAAGCCCTAACCTGTACCCAGACGGGGCTCTATATATGCTCCCGAACTCGTGGATCAATAAAGATCGGCTGATTCACGGAAGGGTAATTTAAAAATGGGTCCGGGCGAAAAAAAGGAGATAAATATGGAAATTCATGAAACGGAAAAAAAGAAAAAGAAAAGAAAAGAATTTCATCGTGATTTTGAATTGATCGGCCAGCATCCGCAAGGCCACAGCCCCCAATTGTAGACCCACTCTCAGGCCAATGGTATGCCTCAACGTCCATGGTTGTATCATTTGTGTAGATTGTAGATTGTAAGTTGTATAATGTACTGGGGGGTCTGCATGCCCTCATTGTCTTTTTATAGGCTACTGTTGGTTTTTTACTTCATCACTATTGGACACCGTAAGGCGTCCCACACTTTCATGCATTTGATACCAAATGAGGCTCGTTCATACGACGCACGCGAGACCAGGGTAGGCACGGAAGATCCCCTCTCTCCGCAGATATGTGCAGACTAAGGAAAAACCTGGCACCGTTGCAACCCCATTCTTATTGGGAAAATGAGACGACCACCCGGGAGTTCGGTTCCAGGGGTGAGAGGGGAGCATGGACGGGACTTTTGTTTTCCTGTGCAGTGGGGCGATCGATGCTTCAGGGCTTCCAGTCACAATGCGAGTACATAGACTCGGAGATGCACGGTGGCTAGGATGATCTAAACTGGTGCTAGGAGACCACCCCAGACCAAGTTGGGAAAAACTGGCATTTTAAATGATTGGTCATAGACATCAATGATTTCCCCACTCAAAGAAGCCGTTAGGATGGTGTTAAAGGGGGCCACAGCGGGTCTCGATAGCAGAAAGCAAGATTGGTGGTGGATCAAAGGCGACCAGAATGTTAGATTGGGGGTTATCAAGGCTCGCGACGAGAAAATGTATCTCGCAGATCGACCGGGTACAGTGTACAAAATGCGAGGTGTGGAGACAAGTTAATTTCGTCACGGTGCAGCTCTTTTTATTTTTTCTCCTCAGAGTCTTGATGTGCTTGGCCACTTGGATCTGCGACGGCTCCAGGAGAGCTTGGACCAGGAACCCACTCGTTCCCGATTACCCGTTTCGTCGAACGGGGAGAGACTAGGAGAAACGCTAGGATAAGCGACTCTCGGAATTTGGTGAAATCTCTTGTGACTCGTAGTATCTTCCATTCTCAAGATGAGGAAAGGGGGAAAGCAAGAGGAATCATTCTTTCTTCCTCCGCTTTGATTTTGGCCCCCACAGAATGCGCAGTCTTGATGTAACATATATGACCTGGGGATTTTTGAGGTTCGAGAGGTTCGAAGATTTGCCATTGGTTCCTTCGGATAATTGATGGGTCGACTTGCATGAGATCTGGGTTTAATTACAGCACATGGGCAATGAGACGGATACAGCCCCGGGGGATGCATCATACGGAGCACCAGTACATAACTGTAATTCATACTAGACATGGACTTTGTATCCGAGCGGCATCACTTACAGCTAGCCTTTCAACGTTGGCTTCATCATAATTTAGTCCCTTCCAAGGTTTCCACTTGGTTAGCGTAGATTTCCAGTGCAAGGATTTGATTCCTGCAGTAATCTTCTCAGCCCTCCCCAAATTTCAGGCCGAAATCTATTTTTGTGTCGTGTTTGTTTATTCATAGAAGTTCTGGAATAAGTATGTTGCCAAGGATCTGCATAAGTAAAACGAATAAAAACGTCACTGTCCTACATGACCAAGACAGTCCCAACGTCATTGAAATAGTTACTTTCAAAGTCCAATCTCCCAATCTCTCATCCAAGGCGGGAATTGTAGACTCCTTGGCAAGAAGAAACCTTCAAGTTGATAATTGCCTTCTACTAGTGAAATTTTGAGATAATAAGATGCCAAACGCGGGAGATTTGCCGATGGCGCGTTGAAATGATCAATCGATCATACCAAGCTGTAAAAGTGGAACCCTGGATGACCTTCGTCAGGCCTACTAGTATCAACCATAGCTGAGCTTCCAAGGTTGTGTCAGAGTTAGTATGGATATAATTGTGCATCACAGTTTCTCGCATTGGAACCCTTGAGTCCAAATGTAACTTGCTGTAATCACAAAACAACATTCAAATTTCAAACCACTGGAAAGATCGACAGATACCAGCCAAAACAGGAAGGTTTCTCCGCTCGCACTTTGAGCCTCATTGGGATATTCCGGCCCGGTCTGAACTGAAATTGTACATTCTAACATAGACTTACATAGACTTACATAGTACAATCATGAATAAAACATCCAACTTGCTCGGTCTTTGGATTTCTTTCTGGACCTTCTGATAATAGCAGCACTTTTGCTGCCAAGATGAATTCTATTATCCCGATGACGTATATCATATAGGAATGATCTAATGAGTGGAAAGATCAATTCAATGTTGGGGCACCCGCGACGATCAAGTCAATAAAAATAAACAACAAAATCACGCAATATCGACCCTTTCTAGTGGATAAAAGAAAGTGCTGACACTCACGGATAGGGTATCCAGTGAGGTACGGCCCGTATCGGAGGGATTCGACTCTCGCCCCATTCAATGTTCTAATATCTGCATATATTGAGGCCCACGGGCCAAATCCATGCAGACATATACAGTTGGTGCCTCGCCACTAGTGCACGAACCACCACCCGAGAGACGCCCAGAGAAGTTTCAGAGACAACCTTAAAAATTGATTTGAATGACTGGAATTGGCTAACACTCCCGAAAGTGCTCCAGGGCTATCGGTGCCTGAGTGCTTAGAAACAGATACACAAGCGGCACTCCAGGCACCTGGGGCTGGAATATCACGCATAATTTCAGCCCTATACAAAATAACCTTGGAACGAAAAATGCTGTTTGCAAAATCGGCGACAGCATTTTGTTCAATGTTCAATATTTGTTCTTCTGTCTCCAGATGTCCAGATCTCTCCTACTTGAACTGAAATCCAACGGAGTCATGTTTGGCTGCCTGCAACCATACCTAAATACCTCTAGATTCGTTACGAAGGACAAACCATTATCCAACCCAGGAACGATAAAACAAGTGCATTGAGATTCGTTCCTGATTACTTTTTCCATGGGCTTACACTGCTCTGTGTGATGGATCGTGATAAACGATAGAAATAAGGTAACATTGAACATTCAAAAATGCACACATGCAGTATATAGACTGGTAGCTGTTGGGTCCACCCAAATACCATGTTTTCCACAGCGGGTTCTGACTTCTGACTCCTGACTGATAAGGCCAGGCCTGACCAGTGCAACATGAACTAGGAACTTTCCAAGCTCCTCAGTAAACATGCATCAATAATATATGGTCCATGGGCCGCGTCAGTTCCTGACTCATTCATAACTCTCGGGTATTACAACTGTGGTCGGACGTTAGAACGAACCGAGATCAGGTTGACGATGATTCGTCCGATCCCATTCATCCGCTGCATTATCCGTTTGTGGTTAATAGGACCTCGTATTCGCCTATCAATTTATGGAAGCCTGCTATGTTCAACTCTTGAAACGTGTTTTGTTCGTTTCTTGTAGTTTTGATTTTATTATCATCGCTCACTTTGAAACTACCCTACTGTGGCCGTTAAAAGTGATGCAGCAACCAGAAGAGGGGGCGCTCGCCGTGAGTAAAGTTGGGGAGGTTATCGCTGCGGAGACCGAGAAACGTGCCGATCGGGTAGATTATGCAAGTGCAGATCAGTCCCTTACTCCAAACGAGACGGAGATTGCAGAAAAGACTGCTCTGTCAATAGATGAAGATGCAACCTTTGCGCACCTCCCCGAACATGAGAAAGCAATTCTCAAAAAGCAGCTTGATGCGCCCGTGGTCAAAATTTCCTTCTTCGGGCTATATCGATATGCATCCAAGCTCGATCTCCTCATCATCGCCATCAGTGCTCTCTGCGCCATTGTCGCAGGTGCAGCTATGCCTTTATTTACAGTGGGTTTCCAAGGCCCTACAATCGTGCGAGGAGAACATCAACTCATCACCAAACCTAGATCCTTTTTGGTTCATTAGCATCGGCATTTCAAGGCATCGAGCAGAAGACAATTAGCTATGATGCCTTCGTTCATGAACTCGACAAAAATGTCCTCTATTTTATTTATCTGGGAATCGCCGAGTTCGTCACCGTCTATGTTAGCATGGTAGGATTTATCTATACTGGAGGTCAAGTTACCCAAAAGATTCGCGAGAATTACCTCAAAGCTATTCTGCGCCAAAACATCGCCTATTTCGATCAACTTGGTGCTGGTGAATTGACCACCCGCATCACATCCGACACCAACCTCATCCAGGACGGTGTTTCCCAGAAAGTGGGCCTGACCCTGACGGCCCTGGCCACTTTTGTCACGGCTTTTGTTGTGGCATATGTGAAATATGCGCGTCTCGCAGGCATCTGCACATCCACCGTTGTCGCTTTGACCCTTGTCATGGGTGCAGGATCTCAGTTCATTATCAAATATAGCAAACTATCCCTCGATAATTACGGCGCCGGAGATACGGTAGCAGAGGAAGTCATCAGCTCGATCCGGATTGCCACAGCTTTTGGAACACAGGAAAAATTGGCAAAACAATATGACTCGCATCTGAGTCTAGGCGAGAAATACGGAATTCGCCTACAGATATCCTTGTCCTTGATCATCGGCCCTATGTTCGCCATCATGTTTTGGAACTATGGCCTCGGCCTTTGGATGGGTTCACGTTATCTGGTAGCGCACCAGGTAAATGTTGGTCAGATCTTGACAGTCTTGATGGCTATCTTGATTGGATCATTTAGTTTGGGTAATGTAAGCCCCAACGCCCAGGCATTTACCAGCGCCATCGCTGCCGCTACCAAAATTTTCAATACGATCGATCGGGTTTCGCCAGTGGATCCTACGTCTACAGAGGAGGGTGTAATCTTGGATAATGTGGAAGGAAACATTGAACTTCGAAATGTTAAACATATCTACCCGTCTCGCCCAGACGTCACGGTTATGCATGATATGTCGTTGTTTATCCCCGCTGGAAAGGTTACCGCGCTCGTTGGTCCGTCCGGTTCGAGTAAAAGCACTGTAATGGATCTTATTGAGAGGTTCTATCTTCCAGTTGGTGGGACGGTGCTTTTGGATGGTCATGATACCCAGACATTGAATCTACGCTGGCTCCGTCAACAAATTGCCCTCGTCAGTCAAGAGCCGGTACTTTTTGGAACAACAATTTACAACAATATCCGCCATGGACTTATAGGATCCAGATTTGAGAATGAGTCAGAGGAAAAAATTCAAGAGCTTGTGGAAAATGCGGCGCGCATCGCTAACGCTCATGGCTTTATCTCTGCACTTCCCCAAGGCTATGAGACCAGCGTGGGTGAAAGAGGATTCCTTCTCTCTGGCGGACAGAAGCAAAGAATTGCAATTGCTCGTGCCGTTGTATCGGAGCCAAAGATCCTGTTACTGGATGAAGCAACCTCAGCTCTGGATACTAAGTCAGAAGGTGTTGTCCAAGCTGCGATTGACCGGGCCAGTCAGGGACGGACAACCATTGTCATTGCGCATCGTTTATCTACGATCAAAACTGCGCACAATATTGTCGTCCTACTCAATGGCAGAATCGTGGAGCAAGGTGTACACGATGATTTGATCCAAATGGATGGGCCTTACTCTAAACTGGTTGAAGCACAGCGTATCCGCGAAGAGAACACGGCTGATATAGCCGACCAAAACAATGGCTATGATTCCGAAGATTCCTCCAGAATCAAGGATCTCGTGCATATACAATCTGCCAATAGTGACTCAATTTCACAGAAGGATCAGACCGCATCCAACCTATTCGAGAAGGATATTCGTCGAGTAGATTCTCGAAAATCGACCACTGAACCCATATTTGCCACTGGAGACCCTGACTTTGCACCAAAATACTCTCTTTGGACTTTAATCAAGTTCATCGCCTCGTTTAACAAGCAAGAATGGCGCTGGTTGATCGTTGGCCTGATATTTTCTTGTCTGGCAGGTGGTGGTCAGCCCGTCCAAGCATATCTCTACGCCAAGGCTATCAGCGTTCTCTCGTTACCTGAGTCCATGTATGAACAACTTCGACATGATGCCAACTTCTGGTCATTGATATTTTTCGTCATCGGTATCGTCCAACTAATCACATTCGGAACCCATGGGATTGCGTTTGGTATCTGCTCCGAGCGTCTGGTTTCCCGCTCTCGCAGCAAAGCTTTCCGAATGATTCTCCGGCAGGAAATCAGCTTCTTTGACAGAAGTGAAAACACAACAGGTGCCTTGACATCGTTTTTATCAACCGAAACGAAATTTCTGGCTGGTATTAGTGGACAAAACCTTGGAATGATATTGATGACATCTACGACGCTGATAGCCGCTATGTGCATCTCGCTCGCATTCGGTTGGAAACTGGCTCTCGTCTGTATCTCCACATTACCGGTACTACTGGGCTGTGGCTTTTACCAATTCTACATGCTTGCTGCGTTCGCGCAAAAGTCTAAATCTGGCCATCAGGATTCAGCCTCCTACGCCTGTGAAGCCACTTCGTCGATTCGAACGGTAGCTGCTCTTACTCGCGAACAGGACGTGTGGAGCAATTATCACAATATACTGCAAGCGCAAAGCCGGGCAAATCTCCTCTCCGTTGTGAGATCATCTATTCTCTACGCTGCCTCTCAAGCTCTTGTCTTTTTCTGCGTCGCACTTGGCTTCTGGTATGGCGGTACGCTACTAGGGCGTGGTGAGTATACTGTTTTCCAATTCTTCGTTTCTTTCTCCGAGGTCCTCTTTGGCGCGCAGTCCGCTGGTGCCGTATTTTCCTTCGCTCCGGATATCGGGAAAGCGAAAAACGCTGCCTTCGAGCTTCGGAAGCTATTTGATATTCAGCCAAAGATCGATACATGGTCCACCGAAGGCGAGGTCATCAATAACGAAAATGGAGAACAGTCGGGCGCGATCGAGTTCAAGAACGTCCACTTCAACTATCCGACCAGGCCCAGCCAGCCGGTCCTCCGGGGCTTGAATCTCAGTGTTCAACCGGGCCAATATATCGCTCTGGTGGGGCCAAGTGGATGCGGAAAAAGCACAACCATCGCGCTGCTCGAGCGCTTCTATAATGTTACCTCTGGGGAAATTCTTATCGACGGAAAAAACATTGCCGATATCAATATCAACTCGTACCGGAGCCAGTTCTCGCTTGTTAGCCAAGAGCCCACCCTCTATCAAGGCACGATCAAAGAAAACATCATGCTTGGCGTCAACCACACCGACATCTCAGAAGATGAAATCGTCCAGGTCTGCAAAGATTCTAATATCTATGATTTCATCATGTCTCTTCCGTGAGTATACCCCAACTTTTTGGACGTAATACTTACTACATGGGACAAAATTTCCTACGATCTATTCGTCTAACAATCAATTCTCGCAGAACCGGTTTCGACAGCGTCATCGGAACGAAGGGAATCATGCTATCGGGCGGCCAAAAACAGCGCGTGGCTATTGCCCGTGCACTGTTGCGGAATCCGAGGGTTTTGTTATTAGATGAAGCCACATCGGCACTTGACTCACAATCCGAAAAGATCGTTCAAAACGCCTTGGATGCAGCGGCTCGTGGCCGGACTACGATCGCAGTTGCTCACCGACTTAGCACCATCCAGAAAGCCGACATGATCTATGTATTTGATCAGGGTAGGATCATTGAACAGGGCACACATCATGAGTTGCTGCGCCAGAAAGGCCACTACTACGAGCTTGTCAATCTCCAAAGTCTGGGGAAAGCTCATTAATCCCTTATATGTAATAATTTTCTGTCTCGATTATCTCATCTCTTGTACACATATTAGAGGTTTAATATCATCTCAGCTTCTTATACATTATCTCTTTGAGGGCTTTCAAACGAAATGTTTACCATCTCCCGATGTACGTGCGTACGATCATGCCCTTTCCGCATTCTTTGAACCTTGGAATATTCCTCTTATAGGTGTTGAGGGTATGTTTTGAGAAAATTAATCAAATTTGAAGAACATAACATAGATAATCTTTGGACTCTTATAACAAAACTTCAACGTCAATCCTTCAAATGTTCAAGACTAAACGTCAATCAATAGCTGAATCTTGGAAATACGAGATAGCCACAAATTGGCACTGATGAAACTGTAATGGTTCCAGAATCCACAGCGTTCCTTATTCACCCTTCTCCAACGCTTCCCGTCTACTCACACTGTTAGGATCAAAGTAAGGCCTCTCGCCGAGACCAACAACACGATGACCCGTACGAGGGCCAAGATCATCATAATCCCAAGTGGCAGCATGATAAGCAGACCGGTTATCCCAGATGGCTACACAAAACATCAGCATTGAACCAAGGAGCAGCTGAGAAAGTCCAACTCCCCCACATACCTAGATCATTCGGATTCTGCCAGCGGAATCGCACTTGGAGATCGTGATTATCCTGAATCAAATTGACAAACCAGTCCAGGAGATGTTTACTCTCTTCATCAGAGACGTCATTAACTCTCTCCACGTGCGTTCCAACAGCAAACACGCTCTTCCAGCCCGTAACAGGATTCGTCCGAATAACAGGGTGCTGAGCACTTAGTACCTCGCCCACATTCTCGGGCGCACCGCGCGGTCCCAGGTGAACATTGAAGTTGTTTTTCTTGGCGATCTCGTTGAAGTTGGGCTGAGCATATGTTGCCGTCAGACTCTCCAGGAACTTCTGGTATGGTTCCGAGATGCGGTCGTATACTTCGTATCCGGATGCCCAGAGGGTATCTATCATGCAGCGAGCGAGCGCGTGAGTCACACACTCCAAATATTATATGCAGGATCTCAGGAGTCAGAAGTCATTTGTTTACTCACCACCACCGGACTTAGGTAGCTCCGTTAGTCGGAGAATAGTGTAATCACTCGGAATCGGCTCGAAAGTGATATCGCTATGCCATTCTCGGCGAGCGCTTTGCTTGCGCTGGTTACGGTCGGAGTAGAATTGTGTCCGCAGCCTCGAACTGATAACGCTGATTTCGTCATCTTGGACGCCGGTTTCGCGCCCCGAGTTGACGATGGGGTGGATGTGTAGACCTGATGTCTTGGGCTTGCCGGATAGTTCTCCTAGTCGCTGCACTAGTTCTTTCTGCAAATCATTGTCTAGGCCATCTTGTTTGCGGAAGAAGACGACTCCGCGCTGGGAGACTGGTGGAGAGGGTCAATATTCAAATGAAAAATGAATGCTGTATATTTCTGATTCTGGAAGATACACGGAACTTACCAGTGATTGCTAAGTCACGGAGCAGCTCATCAGAGTTCGGAGCACGCAGGAAGTCCTTCAAGCTCGCGTTCGGGAACTCGCGTCCAATAACGGGCGTGACTTCGAATGATTCAAACGCGTCGAGAGCACCGCTTAGCTTCAGAGGAGCACGCTCTGAGCCGGTAAGAGCAAGTTTGCCCTCTGTGACGGGCACGATGGTGGCCGTCGTTTCAGCGATGGAAGCCATTTTCTATGTACTTGATAAGATTTGAGAGGCTTGTCAGGAATTATTCTGGTCTATCTATGCATGGATTCCGGCCCATCTTGATGTATCATTTATATGAAAATGATTCCAGCCTTAGGTTTCGTTGTTGCCGATTTTTCGGCAACGATATCGCGAATAATTGCACCACTCCATGCTAGACGATGTATGTGCATGTCGTTAAGTTGTTGGACAAGCACGAATCGCCGTTATCCGTATTAAGCTGACCAATCCTTCCCTATGAACCTTTGTAGTTTCGCCATTAAACCTTGCGATCGTGTCAGATTCCATCATCCAGGGTCTTCTGTGGAGCGCTCCGGAACTGCGGGGTGATGGAGCAATTCGGACTTGAAGTTGCGTGAAAGCCGAAAATCACGAAAATAGATCCAGATGTCTTATCAGGCATGTCCACCGAGGTGACGCTGTGCAAGGTTGTCAAAAAAAAAACATTTCCCTCCAATGAGGTCGAAAGGTTCATCTATGTGATTACATACTACTAGTCAAGCCCTATCTGAAAGATAATAAAAGTTCCCAATATTGTAGAATGACAATGTCTAATATTTGCTGTTGAAGCTGGCACAAGCCAAGTATGCAAGTGGAAAATTTAGACGTCAGATGCAGTGATGTATGTAGTTCATGATGCAAAGACAAGATGTATGTAGCATGGTTGAAGAAGTGCTCTCAATATAGGAAAATAAGAGCATTGTCATGGGGCCTGATGTCAATTCTCTATTTCGCACCATTGAGAACAGGAACTCGAATAGCACCCTTGGCTGAGTCTGCAGCCTGGTCGCCAACGGGAGTAGGGTTTGGCGATGGGCCTGGGGTCATTTCACCCCTGTTCTGGCGTTGAATAAGCCCATTGGTGATGCCGAGAACAGAGTCGACAATGACAGCGTCGATGCCTTCAGCAACTTGGTACTATAGAGCACGGAAGGTTAGTTTCAGTATATGGGTAAGAGAAAAGTGGGCATAACTCACGTCCACGTTCACGCCATCATTGTTCAGAGCACCGTAGGATACACAGACAAGACCGGATTCCTTGACAATGCGGACAAGACGAGGGCATAGGACTAGCGGCTCAGCTTGGCTAACGATACCTAGGAGGTTCCATCGCGAAGCGAATCGGACGGCCTCTTGCAGGCTGCTAGCACGAATATCGCCGACGGGGGAAGCGCCGGCGTCGGTAAGGAAGAGCACCGGTATCGACGGCTGCTTGAAAGAGAGCAGAAGACAAACATCAGGGTTAAAGCTGGAGAACAACATGTCGCGGCCGGCACCCAAGTCGTAAACCTTGGTGAGAATGGTGTCGACAAATGAGTTCAGCTCAACAGCGTAAGTGTCCATCTCTTCCTCCTCGCTCTCGTGGAGCATGGGGTATTCTGGCGATCCAGGTTAGATCAAAAAGGTAGCTGCTCTAGGGGAGCAGTGGGAAACTCACTTAATTCAATGTTAAAGCCAACGGGCGTGGGAATTTTCTTGAAGAGCTCTTCCAATGTGGCGAATGGGGCCTGGATATGCTCGCCGCGGGTGTTACCCTTAAATCCCTTCTTCTTGAAGTCACGGGTGTGCTTAATCTTTTCAGTCAATTCAGCGGGGTTGTATTCGGACCCGCCAACAGACATTGATCGCTGGCGGGGGCCAAGGCCTGGAAAGCCGTGAATGTCCACGCTATCGGGCAGCACACTTCGGTGCCGACCCTTACCGAGTTCCAAGAACTGGTCCAGTGTGAGAGTGTGCACTGGAGCATCAATTCCTGTCTCGCTGACCAGGAAATCATGGTAAATGACAGGAACATGATCTTTGGTGAGCTGGACGTCAAACTCCACATAAGAAGCGCCCAGATTAGCAGCTGCGATGAACGATTGGATCGTGTTTTCACCCAGTTGAAGAGAATTTCGGCTGGCCATGTTCTTACCCAAGCCACGATGACCAATGACCATGGTGGAGCTCATAGAGCGCCAATAGGTCTGTTTACCAGTGACCGACATTTTTGGGTGCTTAAAAGGGGTGATGACCAGAAAATTAAAGGTCACAGAGCCAATGACATCCAAGGTGTTTGCTGCGACGATAGGGATGGTGGAGTCACCCTTGAGATTGATTCGCTGGGACCCAATAGTTTGCTTGATGCTGGAAAGAAGTGCGACACCACGACCGACAATTTGGTCCTTGGAACCCGCATATGTAGGCACAAGATCGAAGAGAAGGCGCACTTTGCTGGGATCCGAAGTATGGAATACAATCGGCTCCGTGGAGATGTTTTCTTGTACAGGAAGATCAATCACTTCCGGCTCTCCACGGGCACCACTAGCACTGACCACTAATGAGAGAGTGGTATCAAGCTGTGTCGCGTGCGCATCCTCCATGGGAATTCGGTCGAGGTTCACCGTCTCCAAGGGTTGGCGCATGTCCATTGTTCCAAGGCTGACCAAGATCATGGTCTCGTCGGTGAGATACCGATGTCCAAAAGTCTTAATAGGCTCAGCATTTCGCGGCCCAGAACTCCCCGAGGTGGGAGCCGGGGCATTTGACCGCCGATCAGCCAGAGAAGATTGGGCTGGGGGTGATGATGACGGAGAAGGGCTATATGAAGGTACTGGTACCACTAACTCAGGCTCAACAGCAGGAGGGCCAGGGCTTACTTCGGCTAGACACCGTGCGATGTCAAGATGGCCACGCAGCGCGGCATGCTCCTTTGCTGTCCATCCGGACGAGTCAAAGCGTTCCACATCAGCACCAGCTTCAACAAGCAGTTTGGCCACATTCAAGCTGCCGTCCACTGATGCGATGAACAGCGGTGTCCATGCATAGGTAACTTCGGCCAACTCTGTGTTTGCCTTCTGGTATTCTGTGCCCTCAAGCAAGATTCGAGCACATTCATCGTGCCCAAAACGAGCCGCCACGTGCAATGCAGTTTCACCTTGCTCATCTTGGTAATTGATGTCCACGCCGGCATCCACCAAAAGGCGGACAATATCGACAAAATTAGCCTTGGTGGCTAGGGCTAGAACCGCGCTCGATTTGGAAATCTGTTTTCGAACCGAGTCTTTTCCGATGGAAAGGTCCTGGCCATTCTCGGCTTCTAAAAGACACCGAGTCGTTTTCGGATGACCACCAACCACACTGAGATGCAGCGGGGCCCATCCATCGTTATCTTGCCACAAGGTACCATCAATTCCCTCGCTCACGTCAAACATGTTCCACGCTTTGAGATGCTCAATGATCACTTCGCAGACAACCTTGAAGCCGTACTGGGCCGCATAATGCAACGGGGTACGCCCAGAGAGATCCTTGGCCATCAATGCTTCCCTCTGGTTCGGGCGCAGTTCGTCCAACAAGTGCTGAAGAAGAGCAACAGCAGGGTCATCACGACCAAGCTGTTGAGGCATGTGCTCTTCCTTGACAACCGAGCGAGGGGGTTGCAAAGTTGGCGGCGCGGCAGGAGTGATGAAGCGAGTTGTTTCGGGAGGGAAATCCAGCACCATCGACGCAGCCGGTTCGGAATCATTGGTTGGCTGTTCACGTCCAATTGCGATAACCATGCGGTGCAAGCAGTTACGTCGGTTGATATCATCATCCTCCTCAAGGGTCTCAACGCGGTTGACCAACGCGCTCAGGCAAGCCCGTGAGCGATGTAAAATAGCACGCTGGATAAGAGTTTTGAGAACCCTGGGATAGACCCCTTCGCCAGCTTCATCTGCGGCGGCGTTGAGTGTCTCCAATAGCTCTAATAGAACATGGATGTCATCCTTTCTCATGGCATCGTCCACGGCCGTCAAAACGCTAGTGGGGAGGTTGAGGTATGGCCGACTAGCGCCCCGTTTGAGTGAAATTGCTGAATGAGTAGAGCTTGCATCATCAGACAGCTTCTCATCCGCCTTGGACTGGTCGGTGAGGAGGGCCATCCAGGAATTGATTCGTTCCTGACCCTTGATAGCTCGCGCATTTGAGCCGAATGCGGTGGGATCGACCTTGGTCTCCAAATACCGCTTCTGGGCCTGTGCTCCCACTTTCTTGTCCAACTTCTTGGTGATCTTAACAAAACCCCGACGGTTGACTTCACCATACCATTGTAAGCGGCGCAGATGGTAGCGCAAATCTAGGAGAGCTTCGCGAAGGTCATGTCGGTCCTCGGGCTCCAATGGATGAAGACCCTCCATGGAGTAGCCGTAGCGATCCTCCAGCAGCTTCAGCCTCCGAGAATATTCGGCATATTTCTTATTGTAGAAGTAATCGACGTCCTCGACATTTCGGTCAAGGGAATAAAAGAAACCTATATCACCAAACGCAACCAAAGAAGCCGGGCATCCTGGTTAGAATGGTGCACAAGGGACGCAAGAGAGTGTTCAAGGCGATTCAAGGTGTCGCGCGCTTACCGGCCAAATCCGCATTCTGTCCTGCCTTAACCTGCTCCGCCGCCGACTTGATGAGCTTCTTCAATGCCTTGTATTTGATATACGAAGCGCTCCACTCCGGGACAGTGAACTGGGGAAGGTTGCGTCCAAACTTCATGTTGGGCGAGATGGTATTCCAGGTATTGTTTCGCGTTCGATATGGTCTTTTTCAAGAGGGAAATTTGTGTGTTTCCACCGCTTCTTTGTTGCAATGTGTTGTTAAGTGGTTGGCCACCGGAAGCACCCGAATCCACCACCAGGGACTGATTTGAGGGCGATGTGTTGTTGTTCCAGCCTGGATAGTCACAGGGAGGGATCAGGTGAGCGGACGCACGCAGGGAGAAGTCAATGGCGCCATGGGGGGAGATATTTGGGAGGATTGTGGGAAAAACGAGGTGAAAGGAAGGTTTTTGAAACGAAGCGCCGAGAACTGTACCTGGTGCTATAAAGTGGAGATCGAAGCGGTGAGGGAAGAAGGTTGAGAGAAAAAAAGATGATCAGGAAGATCGCAAGTCCAGGTAAGCTAAGCAGAGAACTGGAAGAGCGCACGGGGATTGGAGAGAGAGAAACGGACGAGTAGGATGGAGGTTCCAGGTCGAACGAGCAGCGCGTGTGCGTGCTGCTGGGGCGTTGATTTGTCGATCCGCGGGGTCAAGCTCCATGGTTCCGCATTTCCACATTACGTAGAGGAACTAATGTTAGAATCCCATGCATTATTTTATTTTTCTCTTGTCCCACTATTCAAACATTCCGATTCTTCTTTTCTTTTCTTTGGCATCTTCTCCTGTATCTTCCCGATACCGCGTGATCCGCCTATATCGGTTGAAAGTTCCATACCTCGGCGTGAATTCGCCGTGGTCCACTTGAGACAAGGGACCCCGGGACTTCCACAACACCAATCCTCACTTGGGACAAGATTCAAGCAAATGGCTGAAAGCAGACAGTTCTTATGCCTCGTGACCGACAATATAGTGCGACATCGTACGCCACGGACTCCGTTCGGTCCGGCTTCAGGTCTTAGCATCCGACGTTAGGGGCAGAGATTAGCTGTATCGACCAATGGCAGCAGCCGAATCCCTGTCACCTGAATGGCAACCTTTGATTTGCATGGCTAACTGTAAATAGTCCCAGATGCCAGGGTAAATTGTTGAAAATGGCGGGTGTGGTCTCAAAAATTGAATGAGAGAAAGAGGAAAGAAAATGGAGAGGGGCAGACAAGCGATCGGCCAATTTCTGCCCAAGCTACATACCTGATGCAAGGCGACTTCCTCACATGATGCAATCTGGCCTGCAGGCCCTACTACTAGTAGTAATGACAGATCAACACACGAATTACGGAGGCTCAAGATATCAAAATAGCTGTTGGCTGGATTCCCATACTCTCTAGTAGCAAATAAACCCGATGCTAGTTCATAAATCTCTCTGCGCCATACCGGGCCATAAACATAAACGCCTACCCATTCCAAGGAGACCGAAAGATAAAAAAGACAAAAGAAGAAAAAAGAAAAAAGAAAAGAAAAACTCAACAGAAAAACGAAAGAAACCCAGGAATTTCAGATCGCTAAGCCAGGAAATGTGGTCATGAGGCGGCATAAAAAACAAATCCCACTAACCGTGCCCAAAAAATGAAAATGGAAGCAAGGAATAACTCCATGCCGAATCCATGTTGAACCCGCCGATAACAAGACTAACTCGGCACGAATATCTCACGGAAAAGTGAGGTAAAAAGCAAAAGAGGAAGAAAAAAAAGGCACAAAGCAGCAGACTAGGTGCAAAAAGGGGCATTCAACGTGCTTACTGCTGCTGAACCAGCGGCTTCAGCGCCTCTAGAGCGGACTGTAACACGGCTTGATTGGATGACTTCTTGATGAGGGCAGTCAATATATCAATGCCACCCGCGGCGCGGACAGCCTCCTTGGCGCGTGACCCAATGTCTCCGGAGGCACAGGTGAGGTTGCGAACACACACCGCTCCTCGGTGGAGGAGGCCATCATCGTCTTCTTGGCACAGCCCCAGGAGCAATTCCACCCCGCGCGGGCGCTCCATCACCGCCGCGATGGCTGCGTCGTACTCAGTCAGCATGGCAATTGCTCCGCCGGCCGCGCGCCGTGTCGCGAAATCATCCGCATCAGTGAGAGCCAGAATAATGTGAAGTCGCTGAGAAGCACGCTTCGAGCCGTCGGCAAATTTGACAATTCCGGACTCAATGGTCATGAGGTTGCAAACCAGCTCACAGGCAGCCCGCTGCACGAGCGAGTTACTGGACAGGAGAAGGTCTTCCACAGCGGACCAACCCTCTCGGACAATGAGGTCAGCGGGTGTCTCGTCGTGTGGGTAAGAAGCAAGGTTTGTCAAGGCAAGCAAGCCCTCGAACACTGGGAGTAGATCACGGGGCTGGTCACCAGAGACGGACTCCGTCTCGGGTGATGTGAGAAGATTTAACAAAGGGCGTACAGCAGATGTTACTTGAGGGAACCCGGAGGAAGGAAACACAAGTGAGGGGTCGACAGAGACAAGAATACCGGCGAGGGCATGAGAAGCGGTTTGTGTTGTTTTAGTAGGTAAAGTTGAGCCGCCCTGCCTTGGGATAGCCAGCCCAAGTAGCAGCTTAACTGCACCTTGTTGGGCCAGTATGCCTCGTGACTTTCGGTGCCGAGCTAGCGCCAACAGAATTTGAGCTGTTAGATCATGGATTGAGGGCATAGCGAGGCGGCCACACTCAATCAGAAGTGACATGATCCCCGCATCGATGACAAGACCACAACGGACAAGGACCGCTGCTTCTTCTTCACGGGGGTCCGGGCCAGCCCGAGCCTTACCACCAGAAGCGTCTGCGTAATCCTTCAATTGGCCCATTTTCTTCTGTTCTTCGGAGAGATTGGGGAGGAATTTAGTGAGGTTCAAAACGATCATCAATCCACCGTACAGCACGGAAGAGTCAGTGGTATGCTTTTTCAGAATGCTGATTAAGTCGCGCAGAAACGAGGAATCTTGAGCTAATTGGTCTTTGACCAAGGGCTTCACGGAAGAGTAAGCCAAGCCTTCAATGGCGTGGGAGGTGTTCGCAGGCTTAGATTCAGACATCAGTCCCTTAAATCGTTGAACCAAATCGGAAACTCCGCTGTCTTCCACCTGGGGCTTACCATTTTCAGCGGAAGGCTGAGTTGTCTCCGAGGCTCGAATCTTCGCAAGAACCACAGCCGCTAATTCCGAGCCCTCGTCACTGCCATTGGTGAGGGTATGTGACAGCCATTCCGAGAAGTTCTTGGAAATTGCTTCACGGCATTGACGATTGATGCATGCTGCATTCAATAGATCCAGCACAGCAACCTCGATCTTCTTGCGTTTTGCATCCCTCGATGCCAAAGGAGTCAGCAACTGCATGAACTCATCTGACAAAAATACATTGGCCGCGGCATTGGGCGCCACGGGGAAAACCGCAGAGACTGCGGAGAAGGCAATGATGAAGTCATCCAAGCGACCCTTGGAAAACATGTTCGCGATAAGGGTTGAGAATTGCTTCTCGCCTTTTTCCTTGGCAACTTCCAAGTATTTCGCCGTGGCCAACGTGGCCTGGCTCCGCAACTCAAGAGGTAGTCGGTTATCAAGGGAGGTCAGAATAACCTCGAATTCTTCATCGTCCACCAAGTGCTGGAGTCGGTCCGCGTCGACCACAAGCAGCCGGGCGATTCCTTTCAGCGACCGACCATCCTGGTCATGGCCCGATTCCATTAACTTCGCCAGGAAGAGTTGGAATAGTTCACTCTCGCAGTGTAACCGTTTCTCCTCCGAGGGCCACACATTAGGGTCCAACACCACTGTATCCAGACATACCGCGGCTCCGTCGCCTCGATCGTAGATCTCATCAAAAAAGGTCGTCACGGAGATCTGCAGCTCGTTTGAGAAGTGTTGGCGAACGCTGGTGTTGTGTCGGACCAACCCGGAGATAATTTCATCTTGGATCTCGGAGAAAGCATGGGCCCGCTGCCCTAGCAGCAGTTTCAGCGATTCCAATGCAACATTCTCCGGGGGCTTCAAGCCATCTGTGCGGAGATAAGCGGCCGCTTCCTTTCCGGCGGGCTCATCCTTGTGGGTTGCGTAACGTCGGCAGAGCTCTAGTAGTTGGTGGCAATTTTCTTCCTCTTGTTGAATTTTGAGGAATGCCGCTTTCACGTCGGGGTTTTCGGGGGCGATAGAGAGTGCTTCGCGTAGGTTTCGGGAGGCTGCCTGTAGTCAATTTGTCAGATTTGAGTGTCTCTCGTTCGCTGATCCCGTAAGACCGGAGCAATACATACCTCCCTATGACCAGCGTCAACCAGCTCAACAGCCTCCCGTGCCAGGTGTGCAGCGCGCTCTTCGCCCGTTGCTTGAACCATTGCAGGATCGCCGAGGAGCAGCGCGCTGCGAAGACAAGATGAGATAGATCCGGTGTTCGAGTGATAGTTGATTAAGAAGATATCAAAAGAGAAAACAACAGCTTTATTTTTTTTTTCCTTCGGGGAGCGGAAAAGCGGGAGAGCGGGAATGGATGAGGGGTGTGGAAAAGAAGGCGGAGAGAGAGGCAATGGTGATCGTTTTATCTGATCAACTTCAATGCCACGTCGCGGGTAATCAGGTTTAAATAGAAAAATCGAAACTCTGTAGAAGAAAAAAAAGCAAAATATCAGAAAGGTGTCGAGGCTCTGATATGCTTAGAAATTATAGTATGGTATTATGGTAATATTCCCCCCCTCACCTACAGTTTCCAAAGTACGTATTGTATCGTTGCCGTATCTCTCACCCAATCGCCATTATCAATTTAAGCCGATAAGGCCAACCACGTCGCCCCGCCCCAACACGTTGCCTGATAGAGATGCAAGTCAGCTTAGTCCAAAGACCAATTTGATCTAAATCCGATACCCGGAAGATAGACCACAATACTGATGCATACGTACCCTTCAAACCCCCTTTACGATTGAAGGTAACAAAGGGTGAAATGTTTCCTCTCAACAGGATGAGCGTAACGCGGTACAAAGGCACGTCCGTGAGCGCCAAGTATGTGGAGCGCTTTCATTTGCTGCTCATCTGAGTATCGAGCTCCTGCATCCAGCGTAGATCTGGGTATCTCTATCCACCGGTCATGATAGGTAGAGCTAGTACTATTGGGACACTAACCAGCACAAGGGCTTGGCTTGACAAATAGGCGCTCGAGAACGGGCAACATGTGTAGATCATGTCTGGGCACAACTATTCAAGTCAACCAAACGGTTCTGATCCCCCTGTTTAGATGCGGAGTAATAAATACCTTATGTCGTCGTCGCCATGATCTCCGGATTAACCTCCGTCCATCAATAACTATCTTAGAACTAGCACCTCCAGTTTAGTGTCAAAACTTAAACCAATCTCATTATTGCCCAGGTGCTCGGGGGATGTATCCTCTACTAGATCCAAAATACCATTTATTGATCTCCGTCAATACTCCGTGGGGTCTAAGGGTTCTAAAAAAAATATAAAATTGAAAAGCCGACTGGTCCAGATATCCATGGTTCTTTATCGCGTGGGGCTATGTACTATGAGTCTAGTATGTATACATCCGCGTTTCCGCCAACATTGCAGATTTTGGGCTTAGAGGCTTTTGGACCCAGCAGTAATAATGGATTTCAGCCCTAGGTTTATTTTATTCTATTTAATTTAATTTTTTTCCCCCAGTACCTTTTCTGAGTGTCTGAAACATCGTGCACTGTACAATCGGGACATCTGGAGAGATCTGGCCAACGTTAAACTTGGCCAGTCTCGACCCCACATCTCCAATACTATTCCACCAATCACAAAGGCCCATATGAATCATCTAACATTTCCCCTAATAATCAACTCTGCATCGCAAGGCAAATCCTAGCTGGGTTTTCACATTACCAGCTTAAAGATCCTCGGTAGTTCTCTGCTTCGGCATATATCTTATAAGGAATCACAAATCTGACGTCATTCTTTCAAGCGATGTTGTCCCTTCACATCCCGCTGTCTCACTCAAAGCCATCGGGATACCAGCTTTCGGAGCTTCCAATCCCTAAACTCGGCAATGATACGGACGTTCTCATAAAGGTTCATGCTGCAAGCATCAACCCGATCGATGTGAAAAGAGCCGGCGGAGAGCTCAAACAAGTGGTGAAAGACTCGTGGGTGCCTTCATCTTTTGTCGTTTTGAAGCCAATCTCACAATAATCAGTTTTCCCTTTAAAATCGGATACGATGCTGCTGGTGTGGTCACTCAAACTGGTTCTGGTGTGACCCGGGTCAAAGTCGGCGATGCGGTTTATGTCAGACTTCCGGAAATCAATCGAGGTATGAATCAAGTTGAGGCCCCGGGAGGGAGCATTCCGACAAATGCTGCAGACTGTTTTAGACGTTGACATACCCTACTAGGTTCATGCAGCGAATACGTGACATGCTCGGAAGAACAGTTGGGCCTGAAGCCCCCTTCGCTGTCATTTGAAGATGCTGCTTCAATGCCCCTGGCAGCCATGACAGCGCTCCAGGCCCTCAGAAAATATGGCGATCTTACAGGAAAGACAGTCTTTGTACCCGCTGGCTGTAAGTCCAGCCGAATCGGATACGAATGGCCTTGGCAGGATACCTTGCTAACCAAATCTTAGTGAGTGGTACTGGTTTATTTGCATGCCAACTAGCCAAACACGTGTTTCATGCAAACAAAGTGATTTGTACTGTCTCAACCTCGAAGATTCCCAAGGTGAAAGAGCTTCTAGGTGAAGGGACTGTGGATGAGAGTAAGACAGAGCCTTTGTTGAAATTTCTCCTTTAGAGTCCTTCATGTACTAACACACCATAAGTCATTGATTACAAAAAAACTGACCCAAGAGACGTCATTGAGAAAGGCTCAGTGGACTTCCTTTTCGATACGGTCGGACTCGCCATGCAATATCTCTGTCTCATGAAGCCAAATTCAAGCCGCATCGTGTCTGTCTCTACTACGCCATCAGCGACCGTGCTACAGAACTCTTCGTTAATGAGACTACCTCACAATCCCACGATCCCGTCTTATCTCCGACCCGTTTTGAACCTCATGGACTATATTCGCAAGTTCAGAGCAGGTCGATACGGGGCCGAGTATGAGTATATGATTTTGGAGTCTAGCGGCAAGGACTTGGATGAGCTTAGGGGATACGTTGAGGATGGTAAGCTGAAGACCGTTGTAGGAACAAGTGTTGAGCTTCGCGACTTAGAAGCTGTTCAGAAAGCGTGCCAGGTTGTTTACGATGGGAAGGGCGGCCTTGGAAAGTTGGTCATTCTTGTTGCTAGCATCGAGAGCTCATGAAATTAATTGATTCGGTCAACTGGTCCATAGGTACGGCACCTGGCGCTTCTATCCAGCTTGGAACTATACCCGCCCTAGACATTTGAAATATTTCAAGGCTTGATTGTTGCAGTTCACATGCGCATCCAGTTTCAAAATTGATTTATATGGCGAGATAATTGAAAGAATATACTACATTTTCCGATATCGCAAATTCAGATTTCGAACAAACATGACCAAGGCAGATGCCATGTCTTATAGGTTGGCTTTTCTCAACTCCGCCTCTGTCCATTCCCAAAGCTGTCTTCCCATATCAACACTGCGCGCAAATTTGTTGTCGCGCTTCAAATTTCCAACTGGGACATAGTAAGCACCATTCACTAGGTCCTGCTTCTTCGCCCCAGCAGCCGCCCAAAGTGAATTGTAGGCTCCTTGTGAAACTGTCGACCCCACAAGCTGCATAGCCTTTGCGCCCAATGAAAATAAAGGTGTACGTGAACCCACGGACTGATAGAGATCCGTCATGATAACGCCTGGGTGTACTGAAACAGAGGTAATTGAAGGGTATCGTCGGCTGAGCTCGGCAGCGAAAAGGATGTTGGCAGCCTTGGAAGCTCCGTACCGAGCATTAGTGTTGACCTTCTTGAGCTTTTCTTGGTCGAGCATTGTACTGAAGCTTGGGGCAAGGTTGTGTCCAACCGAAGCAAGGCTAACGACTCGGACGTCAGAGTGGGGCTCCTCTGCCGTCTTCAGGAGAGTCGGAAGAAGAAGCTTGGTTAGCAGGAAGTGCCCGGTGTGGTTTGTTCCCAGCTGGATTTCGTGGCCCAAGTCTGTCTCGCCTGGTGGCAAAGCCATGACACCTGCATTGAGAATAAGGATATCCAGACGTTGGGATTGAGCGTTGACAGCCTCGGCGGCCTTGCGAATTGAGTCGGTGGAAGTCAAATCCAACGGTATCCAAGTGATTTCGACATCGTTCGAGACGGATGACTTGATTTCTTTGATGGCATCTGTGGCCTTGGACTCCGTACGAGCACCGAGGAAAATCTTCTCCGGATTATGTTTGGCCAGTTGGATGATTGTCTCCTTTCCCAAGCCAGCATTTCCTGTGGAATCATTAGGCATCGGAATTTTACTTTTGGCTATCTCGCCAACTTTGAACTTGATCGGAGGGTTTGAAACCTAGACATACCACCTGTCACTAGAGCGACTTTCCCTGTCAAATCTAATATATCATTGTCGGGGTTGAAAGAAACACCACCAATATAGTTGTAGGGGTTCACGAAAGCTGTGGCGAAAGATGCCATATTGAAAGGGGTTGAAAGTTGGTTCCAAGGTTGAAGTTTCACTGTGTCCAAGGCCAATGCAACACGCAAAATACTTATAGGCGAAGTCGGTGCAACTAACCCTCCGATGATTTTCACAGATAACAGGCTTGAAGATCTTGGCTGTGACTCTAAACCAAAATAGCTCAAGCTTCCGAGTCAACCTTAAAAAAAAGACAGCATGCACAACAGCACATCAACCTCGGCAAAATTCCACTTTTTCCTACACGGGCCAAAATTCGGCCGCTCTGCATCCACTCAACTCGATTCTTTATCTAGCGTTAGATTGGAGTGATTATCGACCTGATATCAAGTAGTAAGTTTCAAGCGAGACCATCGTGTATACATATTTAGTAGACGATGGGCTCAATTCCATGAATCCTGTCGACTGGTTGTGTCAACTGGTTGATGTCATCAATTGATCATCCCGTATATAGATGCGAATTTTTGGGATAAATTAAGCGCAGATTGTGGATTCCATTAAAAACAAAATCAAGACTCAAGTGCTTATGGCTTCATCGTGCCATTGGTTGAAAAGGAGAGATCAAATAGTATGCGATGCAGCCAATCGCAATCGCTCCGGTGGTTATCGCCTCGTGACTGTTATCAGCTTCACTCTTTTGTTCTCCAACTTAATCATTTTCAAGCTTCCGAGTCCGATTAGCGTTGCGACTATACTTTGAACACACAAAAGCTGGATAAAGCTGAAGCTTTCATCGCTTACCTATCAATAACTCTCTCGCCATGAACCTTCACCCTCGCTGATAATCTATCACCAACATGAATTCCGTCGATGCTTCCGAGCATTACGACCTAGGAGCCACAGGTTTGTCCCACCCGTTCACGAGCTTGAAGACGAAGCACCCTCTTTGATTGCATGAACTAAGCCTCACCCCTCGATTCTTCAGATCTCGCTCCGTCTCTTCTTACTATCATTCTTGACACAAATCCACACGCTTGGGCCGCCCTCGAAAAATCACTCTCCCTCTCACAAGCCGTCGCAAACATCCTCGTCTTCATCAATGCCCACCTAGCCTGCAACTACGCAAACGAAGTTGCTGTCGTCGCATCCCACAGCCAAAAAGCAGCATGGCTCTACCCGGTTCTCAGCACTACGCACGAGTCCGCAGACCGCGAAGGTGACGTCGCGATGAACGTCACAAACGGCGAAGCACCCACAAGTCAAACAAACAAATACCGGCCTTTCCGTTTAGTCGAAGAGCAAGTCACAACCAACCTTCAAAATCTACTTGATTCCACAACCAGCGATGACATCCGCGAGAATATGTCAACCATGATAGCCGGTGCGTTGACACTAGCCCTCAGCAATATCAACCGGCGAACAATCGCTTGGGCCGAGGAGCACGGGGGTAAAGAGTTAGACGACGCAGCAGGTGAAGGGGCAGGAGGTAGAGCGGGTGGCGGCGGTGGCCCAGGAGCATCGAACAGATATGCTGCTGATGATGACGAGCGGTTGCAGAGCCGCATCTTGATTCTGTCGGTCAGCGGATCTGGCGACTCGGCGCATCAGTACATCCCCGTGATGAACAGCATTTTCGCATGCCAGCGTCTCCACATCCCCATCGACGTATGCAAGCTTAGCGGCGACGCGGTGTTCCTGCAGCAGGCCTGTGACGCCACCAAGGGCGTCTACATGTCCCTGTCAGAGCCGAGGGGTTTGCTACAATACTTGATGATGGCCTTCCTGCCTGACCAGCGTTCTCGTCGGCATCTTGTATTGCCGACGCGAGTGGATGTGGATTTCCGTGCTGCGTGCTTTTGCCATCGTCGCGTCGTGGATATCGGGTTTGTATGTTCGATTTGTTTGAGCATATTTTGTGAGCCGCCGCCTGATAATAATTGTTTGACTTGTGGGACATCTTTGGGTGCAGGCGACTATGGTTTGAAACCGGCGCTGATTCCGAGGAAGAAGAAAAAGAAGAAGCGGGTGAATGGGGCCTCGGCGGCTGGAACGCCTATGTCTACTCCTACGCCTGGTCCTTAGATTCTCGCGTCTCTATATAAGAAATAATCATGTCATGGAAGAAAATTGAAATCTCGCTGATTGAATTGTCTATGAAGGCTGATGGAGAGAACTCGCAGTCGAGAATGCATACTAGTAATAATAATATCAACGTACCAAGACACGAGCCATCATGAAAAGTGGTGAATGAGTGGAACGCAAAAGAACAAACAAATTGAACGATTGGCGAAATCAATAAGGACCAGTAAAATCCGAGGTGTCGCCAAGGCGATTGGATGGCTCGAGACGATCAAATATTGGCACGACTCTTGGATCCCTTCTTGATCTCCCAATCATCGCATATGCGAGTACTTTAGTAGTCCCAGCTACTGCAACCGACGACTCGATTTCGTGGCAGATCACTTGCGAATCATAATACCTCCCTGGGCAACGGGTGATTTGTTCTTGTTTCGAGACATCAAGCACTGGGCCTTCGAATCCTTATTGGAGAAGGCACCGAGGGCCTATGAGACCTGGTTAGCAATTTTTTTATTTTGGTGGAAAGCTCCGAATACTTACAAAAGAATCGGTGTTGTGAGCGAAGATAAGAGCGATGCCCTGTTTAGTCATCTTGACAGCCATTAGTCCGATAGACGACTCAATATCACTGTTGACGACCGAGGGATGACCTGGAAATAATTAGCATGATAGCCTAAAAGTCTAATAGTAAATATTACACACCGGCGAATTCATCTTTGAGCATGGCAGCAATGGCTTCTTCCTCATTGACCTTGTCAAAGAAGCCTGCATGAGTTTTCTTGTGGCCGTAGTAGACTCGAGTCGCGCACGTGCTTGCGGCAAAGGTGGTGGCGATGTGCTCACCAGTTCCGGAGCACACAACGGCGACTGTGGTTTCGTTTGGGTCAGTCGGGTCGACAGGAATGACGTGCGTGCCGATGCCGATCAGAGCAGCTGGCCCAATACGACCACGGTGCTTCATTCCAATGCCTCCAGACGAGGATCCCGCGGCGATGTTACCATACTTGTCCACGGCAATTGCGCCGACGGTGTCCGTGATCCAGTCATCCCCATCGAGCCGAGGCTTTCTGTTGGATGATGCGGTGTCTGAAGGGGGCGCACTCTGGGAAGATCCACTTGATTTGTTCTTTACTCCTGGAGAAGCTGGGGTGTCATTGGATTGAACATTTTGGGCCTCATCTGAGTCTTTGCCATCATAGATATTGGAGCGTTCGCGGTCTTCCACCCGGTCTCCAAAAAGCTGACGAGCGGCCATGACTTTCTCCACAACATCCGGGTGACCGGGGGCGATAGAGATGGGGTGACGGATACTTTGCGCTTTGATTTCCTCCTGGGATTGGGGATGCTCACGCTGCCATCCTTTGATTTCGGCAACCCAGTTTTTGTAGCGTTCGCCTGCGACGGGCGAAATCAACACGTCGTTGGGAACCACGACGACATTGTTGTCCCATGCAAAGTCCGTGGCACCCTCTCCACATAGAAAATTGGGAGGAACACGAGACATGCCAGGTGATCGGTATGACTTCTCATAGATACGACGGGCAAGGTGAATTGGATTTTTAACATCTGCAAGACCCATTAACTTCAAGCGGACCATAAACAGGCTGATTGAGGGAACTCACTGGGAACAGCGCCAACAGCTCCGCTGCGACCAAAGTGATCGACGATCGACGCATCACACTCAATTATGCCTTTTTCGTTCAGGTTGCTGCCGAGACCGGCATTGGTAATCGGGGCATCCTCGAGTACCATGAGTGCCATTTCAACAGCACTGATTGCACTTCCACCATGGCGAAGAAAAGACATTCCAGACTCAAGGGCGCTATTGTCATCGTTAGTATTGTTGACCTTCAATATTCAGCATAAAACCTTGTCAACTTACAGCTCGCACACTCTCAGGTGGTTAATCTCGTTATCACGGCTATGAAACCCAGCTCCGGCATGGACGAAGATCGCACACAGATCATCATCCGCTACCGCTGGTTTCTCCATGATTGTGACCTTTCTGAGCCAGATGCAGAAAGATACACGTAAGAGGCGGCAAGAGTACTTGATATGAGCGATAAGCAGCGATTGAGAACACAGAAACCAGGGAAATGCTGCCCCTCCGAGGGGAGAGAACAGGTGACCGGAGCAAATGAGTGCGAATATGAAGTCCGGGGGAGGTAGCGGGGACAGATGCTTGCGCCTGTTTGTTTTTTCAACGCGTCTTTATCAAATTTGGTCAAACGTGGACAAACGTCCGGAGACGCGTTCAACACAAGAGCCCGTGGTAGTACTCATTCACCAAGTCCGGTTCAAGTCTAGCAATCGTCGTAACGACCAGCTCTGTCAAGACTTTAAGATCCTTGAGGTCAAAGAGGAAATGAGCGACGAGACCGAGAGGTCAAGTTGTATCAGGAAGTAGTAATGATAATGATAAGAATTATCGTAGGGCATCAGTATAAAGATTAGGATGAACGAATGAGTTCTTCGCGCCTAGTAGGCGGTCTTTTGAAGAGGCAATGGCTCAACTAGTATGTTATTATGTTGATTTCACAAATATCTCCCTATGCACTTGCCTGATTTGATATCAAGACCCATTGCTTCTTTCTTATTTTGTGACCAAAGAATTAAAAGAGTGCTTAAGGTGTCTGCAGTGAATTTCCTTGTATATAACAACTTACAGCTGTGGACCTCAGCAATTGAGTAGTTATATCATGGCCATTACCGTTTGACACATTGATACATTGGAATTGATCACAGTCTGAATCTGGAAAATCAAAAATAGCCAGGCACATGATGTTGATGTGACCCTCAATTATGTCAGCATCCCTCCCCGCCTTGGATGCCTGAGCTCCGCCACGGTTGACTTCATCATCCCCTCCCCCCAATCTACTCGGCCAACTTAACTGTGGGCTTTGATCTCCTTTATTCGCCATGGCGTCTCAAACACCAGCCGTTGTCATGGACAAGTAAGTTCTCCTTCCTCCCAGGAATTGAGTCAACAATACTGACCCAGCCTCCTTTCCCCCCAGCGGTACCGGTTACTCCAAGCTTGGTGAGTGTTATGATTCTAGGCCACCAAATATAAAGTTGGGAGCTAAGAGAATAAGTGGTCTTTTTGCTAACTGTGCTGTCTTTTCATTGCAGGATTTGCCGGTAATGATGCGCCTTCTTTCGTTTTCCCTACTGCAATTGCAACCAAGGCCGGTGCCGGGAGCGCTGGAAGCTCGGGCGCGCGGCCTCCTGTTGGCAACAAGCCATCCTTCCTAGGCGGCGGTGGAGGTAGCTCTAATCTTTCCGCAAAGCGTGGAACTGAGGACCTTGATTTCTTCATTGGTGATGAGGCTCTGGCTGCTGCCAATGGTCCCGGATACGGTGTGAACTATCCCATCCGACATGGACAGATTGAGAACTGGGATCATATGGAGCGCTTCTGGTCAAACTCGATCTTCAAATACCTTCGAGTCGAGCCTGAAGATCACCACTTCCTTCTGACTGAGCCTGTAAGATCAATACCCACCGGGCCATTCCCCGATTTGCCTACATCAATGCGGAGTACGGAGAACTAAACAACAAACCTTTTAATTATAGCCGCTGAACCCTCCCGAGAACCGTGAAAACACCGCCGAAATTATGTTCGAGTCTTTTAACTGCGCCGGTCTCTACATCGCCGTTCAAGCCGTGCTCGCCCTTGCTGCCTCCTGGACCTCCTCCAAGGTCACCGATCGATCCCTGACTGGAACTGTGATCGACTCGGGTGATGGTGTGACCCACGTTATCCCCGTGGCCGAGGGCTACGTCATCGGATCTTCGATCAAAAGCATCCCCATCGCCGGTCGAGACATCACATACTTCGTGCAGAGCCTGTTGCGTGATCGAGGCGAGCCAGACAGCAGTCTGAAGACCGCCGAGAAGGTCAAGGAGGAGTACTGCTACGTGAGCCCCGATATTGTCAAGGAGTTTGCGCGCTACGACCGCGAGCCTGATCGCTTCCTGAAACACACCGTCAGTGCGCCTAATGGCCGCAGCGTTTCCATCGACGTCGGTTACGAGCGCTTCCTTGCCCCGGAAATCTTCTTCAACCCCGAAATCTACTCGTCCGACTTCCTGACCCCGCTCCCCAACGTTGTCGACGGTGTTATCCAATCCTCGCCCATCGATGTCCGAAGGGGTCTCTATAAGAATATTGTCTTGTCCGGTGGCTCCACCTTGTACAAAGATTTCGGTCGTCGTCTACAACGTGATATCCGCCACTTGGTTGATGCCCGCATTCGTGCATCCGAGGCCCGCAGCGGCGGTGCCCGGTCGGGTGGTCTGGATGTCGCGGTTGTTACTCACAAGCGCCAGCGGCACGGTCCCTGGTTCGGAGGCAGTTTGCTGGGTCAGACGCCTGAGTTCCGAAGCTACTGCCACACCAAGGCCGAATACGACGAGATTGGTCCCAGCATCGTGCGGAGATTTGCTCTGCTCGGTGGCCCCGGAAGCACCTAGACTTATGGTCTGAGGCTCCGTCTTTTTTAACATGTTCCCTGTCAGCCTTTGTTTATAGTCCTTAGTTCTCTCTCATGCCTTGTGTGCTCTTCCTGACCTTTCTTTTTCATCCCCCCTCCACTTTTCTTCTTTTTTATCCGAAGCGGGCATGACGCTGGATTCGCAGCATGCTACATCTGTTTAACGAGTATCTAAGATAGAGGAGGATGAAATGGTCCGTGGTTTGTTTTTCAATTTGATAGCTATTCAGAAGCGTATGAAGAAAAAAAAAATGCAAAATTTACTACATACACTTGTTTCAATGCTGCTCCCGAGGTTCCCTTTCGGTGATTGTCTGAACGAAAGCTGTTCCAAGGTTCCTACTAGGGTTGGAAGTTGCTTATTGATTCAAATGTTGTGTTTGCTTCCCTCGAGTGCTCCTTTACAATTTTCTCTCGTCTGGGTGGAGAATCTAGATGAAAGTTTTCAAAGGTTTGGCTTTCGGGATATTACTAGGAGGTTAAGGCCGAGAAAATGGATATCATGTAGTACATATCAACTTTTGGTGTCTAGCATTTCGCTTATTTTTTTGTATCCCATTGTCATTTGCACATGAACGCCGTCAACAGTATGCGAATATTCCAAACATGCCAATGATGGCTATATCCAAGTTCAATATCTTGAATCAGAACAAGACTAATCAATTACAACGTATTATTTAGAGATTCCATCTCAAGTACCAACTCATGCCGACTCTTCTTTCTGAGGGAATTCGGCACGGTTCAGAATAGCCACACCTTCGACATGGCCAGTCTGAGGGAAGAAATCGAAGCCACGAATGCTCTCAATCTCATATCGGACATTCTGCTTCTCATCTCCCTGCACCATCACGGCAACATCACGAGCCTGGGTGTGAACGTTGCAGCTCACATAGACAACACGGCGAGGCTTGTAAGAGAGAAGTTGTTGCAGGAAATCTTCGGAGCAACCCTTGCGAGGCGGGTCAATGACGAGAAGAGTCTGGTCAGCAGGGTACGGGACATCCTTGAACAAGACGGCCGCGTCTGCGGCAGCAAAGCCCGTGCTAGGCAAGTTGTTTGCACGCGCATTATCACGAGCGCAAGCGATAGAGTCTCCGGCGACATCGACACCAAGACTGGACTTGAAAAGTGGAGACAGGGTGATGGTGAACAGACCAGAGCCGGAGTAGGCGTCGAGAAGGTATTTAATAGGACGGGGATCTTGGTCATTGCCGGCAGGGATAGCCTGAGAGCGAATGAACTCGGTGAAGCCCGAGAGAATGGAATTGTTGTTTTGGAAAAAGCCTCCGGCCTTGTTGCTGAAGGCATAGTCGTCAACATATTCGACAGATGTGGCATTGTTATCGTTGATGCATCGCTTCTCCTCAATGTAGTTTTCACGCTCAATGCGGATCACGTCACCGGTATCTGCGCCTGGGACTGGTGCCCATCCATTTGTTTCCTTGGTCTCGGTCTCGGCCTTGGCCTCAGTCTCAGATTCAGCTGTCGGGGCTTCCTTGGGGATTCGGTAGGTCGATTCGCGCATGAGCAGTGTTGCGCCCTTCTTGTAAGAACGAATGTTTTCAGCCACACGCTTCCTCTCACTCTTGAGACCCAGGCGCACAATGTCTGTTCCCAAGGGACAGTCCTCGATATCCATATCCGCCCTGCGGTTTTTGTATGTGAAGCCAATGGGTGGCACGTTGACCTCTTGCTCTGATCCGTCGGCCTTCTTGCCCTTACCAGCACCGCCTTGCGCGAAATGCGGGGTAAGCTTTGTTCTATATCCATATTTCAAAGGTGAAGGGAATGTATCTCCAATAGTGGGGACAAGCTCAGGAATTAGTCCGGAGAAGTTGGCGTAGGCTTTCTCCACGATGCGACGCTTGTGTGCCAGCTGATCCTCGTAGGACATCATCTGCAATTGGCAACCAGAACATTTCGAGAAATACTGGCATCCAATAAGCGCATCGTCTCGCTTCGGGCCCGCTTCAATAACGCTGACGAAATCTGTCATAGTATAGGACAAAGCTGGGAAGTGCCGAATCACCTTGACTCGGACTTTGTCTCCCGGGACAGTGAATGGTACCAAATATACATGATCTTTGTTTTCCGATAGCGCCAAGCCATCGCCAGTGGAGGAGATTTCGGATACGGTCACATCGATTTCGGTAAACGTCTCTGGGAGGGGTGAAGGTGCCGGTGCGGTCTTGTCGCCGTCTGATTCATCTTCTTCGGGGCGGTTTCTCTTGATCAATTGCTCGATATCGGCCTGCAGAACTTCATCAAAGCCATTGGCCTTAGTGCGGTCGTTCTTAACCTTCTTTTGCCTCTTTCCATTGAACTGTTTCTTGGGAGCGGTAGACATTATTGCTGCGGGGACTGGCGCATTGGCTAAGTGGCGATAGACGGAAAAATTGGACACAGGGGATGCTCCAATAGTTAAACGAGGTGTGAGTAGACAACGGGTGGTCTGTCGCCAGGAAAACGGCCGCAATAGAAACATGTACAAAACACAAAGGATGAGAATTCAAAAAGAAGGTCGCGAAGAGTTGGAGACCCAAAATTCTAGAAATTTATTAGAAACCGATCTGCAAGGCCGTTGATTGGCTGTTCCCTGACCGCCCGCCCAGGAAGAAATTCCATCCCGAATCTCTCCAAACTGCCCCATCATCAATTGTGCTCTTATCCATTGTCGTCGTCGTTGGCGTTTTTTTTGGTTTCTTTTCCTGTGCTTGTAGCTAGCATAACGCTGGCTGACGGGCATCAAAACATTTCACAATGAGTCTTGCACGACCGGCGAAATGCCTGTTATGCAGCTTCTCCCGCGTAGCCACCCCAAGCACGCGAGTGACTCGTCGCCAATTTCACCCGACCCCTGCGATTCTGTCGAACCGGAAACCGAAATTCGCCAATCTTAAGGCCCCCGAAGCGAAACCCAGAGACTATGCACCTTACTCGGAAGAGCAGATGGCCCGCCTGGCGGAGGAGTACTCGGAGGCCCAGATGAAGGCCATCGAGGCCGGCGAAGCTGCCATTGACCCTAAGGACCTGGCCGAACAGTTCCGCCCACGTACCGACCCCCTCAGATTCAACTACCTAGACGACTTCTCAGTGATCGAGCCCGGCATTGACCGTAACCAACGGGCACCCGAGTCGAATTCGGACTACAATTTCAAGCTGAAGAGCGAAGATGATTTTGTGGAGGACTTTGGCCGCTTCTTCGCGGAGCTGCCTGAAAATGCCACCGGTGCTGACTTTGTGCGCTTCGGCGAATCGCTGCGATTGACCCACGGAAAGGAGGAGAACGAGTTGAACCCGCACAGCGCGCTGGTTCCGGACCTCTTTGGTCCTGGGGAAACTATCGACGATCCCCGTGTGGAAGAAAAGAAGAGTGCCGCAGAGAGAGGCGAGAAGGAGCGCTCTCTTGTTGCCGAGGAGCTGACTGATGCCTTGAAGAGCCTTCTCCTGGCTACCGGATACACCAACCGCCAGGTCTCCGAACTCCGAACCAAGACCCTTGTTTCGCACAGCGTCGTGAACCAGACCCGTCTCGGTAAGGTTCGCCGTGCTTACCGTCTGTCCATTGCTGGTAATGGCAACGGTCTGCTCGGAATCGGTGAAGCCAAGTCCGACGAGGCTGCCGATGCCAAGATCCAATCGCAGTACCGTGCCATTCGCAACATGCAACCGATCCCCCGTTATGAGAACCGCACTATCTTTGGTGATGTCAAGGGCAAGGTTGGTGCCGTTGAGCTGCAATTGATGCACCGCCCCCCAGGTATGTTTGATACGTAATCTGCATGAAGCTCAACCATGAAGTCAATTAACAATCGTCACAGGTTTCGGTCTCCGTGTTCAATACCTGATTTACGAAATGTGCCGCGCCGCCGGTATCCATGATCTTGCCGCTCGTGTGTCCCGCTCGAGAAACAAGATGAACGCTGTGAAGGCTGCCTATGAGGCCCTCATGAGCCAGCGTGACCCTGAGGAGATTGCTCGGGCCCGTGGCCGCAAGATGGTCGATGTGCGCAAGGTCTACTACGCTGGCAAGGTCTAGGGCAATACCCCTCGTGTATATAATGTGTTCTATTTTCTCTTCTCCGCGTGTCATTAATCGCATGTACTTGTATCTGTACTCGTTCAAATATTCTTGAAAAAAGAAAGGATTGATATGTTTTGGTATCTACTAGTATCTCTCTGAGTCGGTGCCAACCACCCATTTACCTTACAGATGTACAATAACATCCAGCGGACCTGCATCGTATGCACACAGATGGATCATTGGCGATCGCCCTCCCAACGATCTACTCTCCACTGATCAGTATGGCGGTTCAGCTGAATGAGAAAGACTGCCTGGGTGGGTGATGATACTAATACATATAATGATATGGCATTAACGAACGTTGGAATACTGAGAGTGGAGCGGAATGGCGGAGCTGTAGGCCTCGCCTACAATATTGAAGCATACTAATGGTATGTGTTCAAATAACATCTACCGTCCGTTTCTGACTTCAAATATTGGGGATGCTCATTTGCATATAGGTTATGTTGACGTCTGGAGTTGAGGGCATAAACTCTGGAACAATACGCATACATTACTAGCAGTCACTTAGTGGGGGCAGTTGTTTGTTGATGCAAGTGATGTGTCTGGATCAGACTTACTCTTTCCAGACATCAAAACCAACATTTAATGTTCCCATTTCAAGGATCGCTGTGGAGTTCCGAATCCAACGGTCAACCTATGGAAGCATTTTGTCCAACCAATGGCTGAAAAGCTTGTTTTTTTTTTTGTTTTTGCATGACACCAGTTCATGAGTTTCCTCCACCTGCTCTTGCCATGACTTTTTCACATCCATCATACTTCCCGCTCTTCGATGGAGAACAACAAAGCCCTAATCACAAAGAAGACGATGTTGTACGTGGTTTACCAGTGACGCCTCTTCCGTCCCCGAGCCGAAAAAAGGGGATCGTCAGAACCCCACAATTACACCCGAGGGCCTTTCGCCCTGGGAAAGTTTGGAACACTGGTACATCTGCATACGCGCAGCCATCACTCCTCTCTAATGAGGAAGTTGACAGGGAAGATCGTTGGTCGCTGGCCGCGTACCATCCCCTGAAAATTTACTATGGACCATGAATCTACTGCCCTTAAAACTTATAAGCCATGCTGATCATCCGCATGAGATGCAGCAATAATTGTCTTTCTTTCAACCCATCCTCTCTGTCTTTACCTACGTTCGTTCATAAAATCTTCTTTTCCTCCGGGCGCTTTCTTCAAACTCATCATGAAGCTGCTCTCCACCCTTACCGGTGTGGCAGCTTACGGCGCATCACTTGCTTCTGCCCTGAGCCCTCCCGTTATCGACACTCACTATGGTACTATTCATGGTGGTCTCTCCCCTTTCCGTGGAGGTGACAAGGCTTTCGTGTACAAGGGAATTCCATATGCTCAGCCACCCACCGGTGCCAACCGTTGGACGAAGGTGTCTGGCCCCAGCTACTGGGGAAAACTAAATGCCACCGAATTCGGCCCGCAATGTGCCCAGACAATCGGCGAAGCTGGTATCTTCTCTAGTGGCAAGAACACAACTAGCGAGGATTGTCTGTACCTCAACATCTGGACTCCGGCTTACGAGAACCAGACCAACATGACCTCCAAAAAGTTGCCCGTTCTCTTCTGGATCTACGGTGGACGTTTCACGGGCGGCTCTGGCGATGTGAAAACCTATGATGGTACCGGTTTCGCGCAAAAGGATATCATCGTTGTCACCATCAACTACCGCCTCGGACCCTTTGGATACCTTGCCCATCCTGAATTGACTGCGGAATCAGGCCACAACAGCTCAGGTAACTACGGTATTATGGATCAGCAGGCTGCTCTGCACTGGGTCAATGAGAATATTGCCAAGTTTGGTGGTGATCCTGATCAAATCACTGTTGGTGGGCAGTCCGCTGGCTCGGCTAGCGCCCTCGATGCTATGTGGAGTCCCCTGGCCGAAGGTCTCGCAGCTGGAATTATTGCTGAGAGCGGTGCCCGCGGACCCCACGACCCGATGACCGGTACTGTTGCTACTTCATACAGGACTAAGAAGGCCGCTGAGGCACAAGGAGGTGAGTAGAGGGCAGATCAAAGTGTTTAAAATACTTTTTCTGAATACTAATCTTTGATATAGTCCGATTCTTAAAGACCATGGGAGTCAGCTCAATTGCTGAACTCCGAAATGCTTCCATGGAGAGCCTTCTTGTGTATGATGGCATTTCCGACACCATCTGGGATGGTACTCCCTTCGAGAACTTCACTGATGCGTTCATGGAGCCTCCGATGTGGCGTCCCAACATCGATGGCTACGTCTTCCCGGACACCTACTCCGAGGCCTTGCGCAACAACTCTCATGCCGACATCCCTATATTGACTGGAAACAACGCGGACGAGTCTGGTGCTACCCCGACCCTCACCTACTCTGCCTCCAAATACCACGCCCTTTTCAGCAACCTTTTCGGTGACCTTTCAGATGAATTCTTCTCCCTGTACCCTGGTCAAAACAGATCCCAGGCCTCGGAAAGCGGCAAGGAGTTCTGGAGAGATCTGTCTCGAGTTGGAAGCTGGCGTTGGGCTCTTGACTGGGCTGCCGGTGGCGCGAATGCATCCGTGTATACTTACTTCTTCAACCACTGGCCGTAAGTTGACCACTGTCACTGATGGTATTATATTACTGTGTGAACTATTGACTAATTATGTTACAGGGCGGAAGATTATTCCGGTGGTGCTTACCACGGAAGTGAGCTTTGGTATACGTAAGTAATTGAGTCTCAATGAAGTATGCCGTTCATTAAGTGACTAACATGTATGCTATTTATGCAGCTTCAACAACTTGCCCTACAGTTCATACTCAAATGTGACCTGGGACAGTGAAGATTATGCCGTCGAGACGAAGATGGCCAACTATTGGGCCAACTTTATCCGCAATGGCAACCCCAACGGTGACGGTCAGCCTCAATGGAAGGCCTCCAAGAAGGAGGCGCAGACCATGTGGCTAGGAGACCAGTGGGAGATGGGCCCTATTACCAACGACAACAAGCGCATCGAGTTCCTGCACAAGTGGACTTCTACTTTGCCTGCATGGTAATTTAACCTTGTGACTCTCAGTGTGTTGGTTCATCTGTGGAAGATTGAAACCACCTGGGCAATCCGGTTCTCACTATTTTCTTTCTTTCACCTATAGAATTTAGATTTTGTTCCTGTTGACCTAGATGCTTTGATCACCCTTACATATTGCGGCTTGGATACATGTACTACTGAATTTTGGTATAGATAATCTGTATAATGTTCACTTGTCTTCGAACCCACTTTGGTTTATTCTTGTTGGACAGTTCCCAAATTCAAAAACCATACATACTAGTACTAGTAGTAGCAATTTCTTAGTTCTCCTAACTGAACGTACATTCTGGATAAGATCTGAACGTTCAGTGTTTCAAGTACTTACCGAATGGTTTCTCAGCGATGTAATTTTTCTTTCTTTTACTTCAATGTTCGCAGGATTTTTGTTTTAATTTCATGTTTATTTTCTCTTGTATTATTCAATGTTATTAACACTTCTCTGACATTTTCGGAACTTCAGTGTATATGGACTCGAATGTTATGACGAGGAGGCTTTGATTCTAGGGATTCTAGGGATTCTATCAACATCTGTATGCGCCATTGACGAATCTCCTGTGTTACAAGATAATTGTCCGGGTATTAGGGAAAAAACCTTGGCAGATTGTCTTGGCGACGCATAATATTCAAATGTTCCAGGTCGAACTTCACGGTCTCTAACGGAGTTTCCGTGAACTCTTGCCAAGAAATGGCGATCATTTCCCCGAGCGGAACCCCCCACGGAGAGAAAACGGAGAAAAAAAACGGGGCCTCGAGGGCTTTTAGGCGTTGCGGATCTCGGCCCCGTAAAGCCCGAGCTCACTGCGTTTAAACCTGCAAGGCACACAGTCCACGCAACTAGTAATCAACCCCGACTAGAACCCGGTTTTTTATTATTATTTCCTCTTTTCCCCCAATGAACTACTGATTGATTGTCGATCCCTGTAACGCCCCTGACGTGTTCTGGTAATTTAGCCGTTTAGGGGCAAATGCAAGCAAAAACTCTTCACAACTCCAATGTTTCATGGAGAATTACGCATCTTCGACCGTTGGGCATCATCTATTGTGGACGCACTCGTGTCTCCAGCTAACCCTGCCTTCTTGTAATCTGATCCGTTATTCAAATCAAATTGTGGATGCAGCAGATGTAGTAGGTTCTGGCTCATTATGGTCCTCTGTACATCTAACACACAAGTATATGTTCAATCTAATCTAAGTTTGTTCCGAGTCAGTATGGTACCTTGCATCTATCCTATCAGCGTATGGTGATTAAATAATTGTTTCAGACGGGTTGTTTGGATCTCTACTTGGCCATGCACTTGATCCAATCCCCAAGTCGCCTTCTCTGCAGGAAGCAGGCATCTGGATTCTAAAACCCTCTTGGTTTCTAGTCCTTGAATGGAACAACCCAATCAATTTGGGATCTCGGCTGACGCGGAAAGGCCGAAGATTCCATATCAGGAACCACGCATGTTGATCCCAATGAGTATTTTCTTGGCAAGTGGGCACAACCCATCGGAATCGTCGTCAAGCGAAGGCACGATGTCAACGAGTAAGCATCGGCAATTATTCAATAGGTCGGTCAAGTGGACCATCTCGGGCCTATGAAAGGGGCCTTGAAGCCGTAACATTGAAACCTGCAAAAACTATAAAACCTACAAGTACCTTGCGTCGCCTATTGTTAGTGAGAATAATAATATTTGGTCCATTTCCGCTCTCTCTTTTTGAACTTTCCAACGGCCGTTAAAATGCGTCTCAGCATTGCTTCTGTCGTCGGTCTCGTTATCGCTCCGGCGTTGGCGGGCTGCCCATATGCTCGGGATCTGGGCTTGGACAAAAAGAACCCTCACGTCAATGCGCCTCGCGACGCTGCCTCAAAATGCTCAACATCATCTACCGCGTCTGCTACACCAGCGGTTGGAAAGAAGGGTATCTTCTATAGTAAGTAACCGGTTCCAAACGAAATCTTGACTTCATCGAAACTTACCCAGACAGTGAACCGTATTGGACCCTCGGGATCCCAACTATGGATTTCCAACGCAGACGGCACCAATGCCACTCAATTAATGGGCAACAAGACCGACGCCTTTGATTACCACCCTACTTGGTCGCAAGACGGAAAATGGATCGTTTTCACCAGTGAACGACGCGGAGCAGGACAGTCAGACTTGTACCGTGTGCACCCCGACGGAACGGGTCTTCAAACTCTTGCCGACACCGACAGTGTAGAGGATGCCGGCACTTTGTCCCCAGATGGAAACACTCTGGCTTACGTTTCCACCTATGGAAATTATACGATGAATATTTGGGTCAAAGACATCGAGACAGGAATCGCGCGTAACCTTACTGACACTCCTGCCAACCGGGCCGACAACACCTGGCCTACTGGCCATTACCGTCCTTCATGGTCTCCCGACGGGAAATGGCTCGCCTTCAGCTCGGACAGAGATAACGATTGGACTGGTCACAGTGACGGGTAAATATTATTATAAAACGGATTCTTTAATTAACATCTGCTGATTATTCCCCTAGTGTTGGCTGGGAACACACTCAGAACCTTGGCATCTACATTGTTCGCCCAGATGGTTCGGGCTTCCGCAAGATTCTGCACGAGGATGGGTTTGCTTTCGGTACACCCCAATGGTCTCCTGATGGCAAGCGCCTCATTTACAACAACATGACAAGGGAGAACACCTACTATGCGCACGGTGTTTCTAGCGAGCAGGAGATTGTTCCTTCTCAGATTTACAGTGTTGATGTCGCCACGGGAAAGAATATCATCAAGCATGTCTCTGATTCTAACCTCAAGGTTGGCCAACACTACATCGCTAATTCGACCAACATTGGCTATGTGATCAAGGCCGGTGATTCAGAGGGAATCAGTTATTCTTCCGCCAACAAGATTCACAAGTCCTTCAACCTGACTGGTCTTCGAGAGCCCTCCTGGTCTCCCGATGGCTCTAAGATTGTCTACAACGTTCTCAACTGGGATCAGCAGGTCGGCGGTCTTCAGCTTTGGAGTTTCGACAGTGATTGGGATTACCGGTATGAGCCTTACTGCTGTTTTAACACGAATTGTCTTTTCCTAACTCTTTTTTAGCTACATGGATGTTTTCCCTATGCACAATGTTGCATCCAACACTCTGGGCATCACACAGAAGGTACTAGGAGGCGCCAACAGCTCCCTTGTGACCTCATCAACCAAGTACACCGACCTTACCGACTCACTTGATTCTTACGATATCTACTCCGCCGATAACGAAACCGAGGTCGAATGGCTGCTAGAGGGTAACTCCGGTGCCTTCCAGCCTTCATTCAACCCAGATGGCGATGAGCTCGTCGTCGGATTCGGTGCCTGGTTCGTCACTCGTTCTACCGATACCGGTGCCATCTACCGCGTCGCAGCCAACGGCAGCTCCCACACCAACCTAACCGATTGGGAAAACAACGCCGGTTTCCCCTCATGGGCCCCCGATGGATCGGCCATCGTATACCGACTATGGAACATTGAGTCTGGTGCTCCCCAGGGCATCCAGCTTCTCAACTTCACCACCGGCGAGACCACAAAATTGACCCACGGCTGGGATAACACCCCCGGCTGGTCCCCGGACGGCGAGCGCATTGTCTTCACCCGCAACAACAACTGGACCGAGTCATACGGAGCCCGGTGGTACGCGGACCGCTTCGATATCTACACTATTCGTCCGGATGGCTCTGAGTTGACCCAGGTCACTGACAGTCTGGCCAATGACGCACAGTAAGTTGATCCGGTACACCATTACTGCTTTCTATTGCATCTTACTAACCCTGTTTTAGCGCTGTTTGGTCCCAGGATGGCCGCATCATGTGGTCTACCGGCATGTACGGTTTCAAGGATGAGAGCGCCCTCTACGACAACACTTTCCAGCCTTATGGCCAAATCATGGTCATGAACTATGATGGAACCGACAAGCACATTGTCACAGATACCGTTTGGGAGGATTCTATGCCCCTCTACATGCCTAATGAGTATCTTGATTAGGGATGTTTTCTTTTTTGATGCACATGTCTATATATAGATTTCTGTAAATACTTACTTAACAAAATGCTACATAGAGGCTTTCAAATCCAATGTTCCAGTGAAGTAATCGGCAGCCCTTCAATGTTCAAATGTTCTCTTCCATGGTTCTTTTGAATGGAATCCAACCAAGGTTCTCCATAACTAGTACTTACGAGATCCACTTAACTCGAGCTCGGGCTTTGTGTCACTAGCTAAACTCCGAGGTGTTTAAAAACGATTTAAACTTGATTTAAAAGTGACCGAAAGAAAGGTGGGGTCCTCCAATGTGCAACATTACTAGCCAGCCCGCTTGTAGTCTTGGGTAACACTCTGTCGGACGCAGATCTTTTAAAGCCGCAAGTACAATCCAAGGCGGAGATATCAACTCTTGTGGACACTCGGCCTTACATACCCAAAATGAGAAGTGGAAACAGGTGCTGCCAATAGCTTCCATTATTTTTTAGTTGGTCATGAGAGAATTGACTGGTGCTTTTTTGAATCCAAAAAGACGGCAGTTATTTGACAATCTTCCCGAGGTCGGACTTCTGTCCAAGATTAGGGTGATGATCTTATCCTGGAACCAGTAGCTTTAATTCACACATAAAATAGTACTAGTTAGTTAGAGATACCTACTAGTTGTTATTAACAAACTAGATAGCACCTCGAAGAAATATTGGTAGATAAAGTCATAATTTGCTAGGTGCTCTATGTTTGGAATAATCATTTATAGCATTTAAGACTAGAAATTCTTACTCAATGAACCCATATTTAATCCAAGAAGCGCCCAGGCTTCGTTAGCCACTCCTCAATATAGTTGTAAGCAGTCTTCATCGTGTTCCCGTACTGGCCGGGATAAGATTCGCACGCCTTGCATGTTCCAATCTTGTGCTCAGCTCCCTCAACAAAGACAATTGCGGTGTCATTACCCGGGGCATTCAAATGGATCTTCTCAGCATTCAAGTATTCCCAATGGCCCGTCATACCCATGTTCAACAAAGGAACACGAACACCCTTGATTGACTCCGTGGGTGAGAACTGCGCCGAGGAGTGGTCGATCCCGTGGAAGCCTGTAGGCATGATATCAAAATCAGATGTCGCGCGAATAGCAAAAGTAGACAGATATCTCCGGACAGTAGTCTTCAGAGCTCCCTGGATATACTGATTTGCGTAACTTTCAAAGTTCACCGGGACGCGTACGGACTTGACGACCTGTGTTGTGATCGAGCCGTCCTTATGAAGAAGGGGCCAGGGCAATGAGGTGTGCGCGAGGTATCGAGTATCCTGCGCAAAGAACTTGTTGTTCATGACGCCGTACGCGGAATCGGTGACGTAAAGCGGCTCATCATCAATCAGGCCCGTTTCGTTAGCCTCCAAAGCAGCGAGACGTTCCTGCGCATACTTGATGATGAAATCGTTGCGAGCAACAACGCCCTCCTGGTACGCCTTCTTGAACTTGGACGTGTATCGCGAGCTGTTGCCCTTAATGAAGCCATTGACCGGGTTGAACAAGTTGAGCGTCTCGTTCACCGTCGTGCCATGCAGGCCCTCAAGAGCGGGGTTCAAGCTAAGGAACGGCATCGTTCCAAGCCCGTAGTTGGCATCCAACAGCATAATTCCATCGGCGGGGTGAAGATCAGCCACCGCGCTGGTACAGTTGTATAATTTGTTTGGACCTTGGCATGCAGAGATGCCGTTCTCCGCAACATTTTGGAATGCAGTCATTAGACCGCCGCCGCCACTGTGGCCGAAGAGGACGACCTTGTCGATATCCGTCAGGTTGCGCAGGTACTGCATGCCGTAGTCGGCCTGAGTGAGTTCGTCTTCAAAGTAGATGCTTGACATGACACCGGTCTTGTCGGCTGCATTGTTTGCGCAGAAGACGGTGAATCCTCGGCGTGGCAGCTCTCGACAAGCGGAGAATGTCATGTAGTCACTCTCGGCGTGCATCACGTAGACTGCAATGCGGGCCTTGGTGCTGTTGAATGCAGGGCGATAGAGGCCTCCTGCGACTCCGTCGTTATCGAAGTCGTATAGAGTCGGCGGCGGCATGTCCGCATCGGGAGTGACGGTGATCTCGGCCAATCCTCCGTGGATCATTGCACCGAATGCAATGGCCATTGTGGCGGCTGTGGCCTTAGAATAGAGCATGTTGACTTTCCGGACTTTCAACTCTGGGCAAAAGAGGACCAAAGCTGGGCCTTCTAAGGAATGAAAGAATTAAATTTTGCTGGTAAAGAGAAGGACTTTATAGTGTATTGGGTATGAGAGTCTCGAGGTCCTTATGGAGCCTATCCTGTACGATTAAGGAGAATGGAAGGCAGATCCCCAGTGATTGACGTATATAGCCCGACCAGATTTGTTAGCCCATACTTACTACTAGGTGCGGAGAAGATTGTATTGAAACCGAACTTTTGAGATCTCGCTACCTGACTGTTAGCCATCATTGCACCGTTCTTGTTATTGTTATGTTTGGGGCTTTTGAATTCGTTGAGGAAATTAAGTCCGAAATCAGGATTCAGAGACACCTCGGGTAGCTGCAGGTCGATATAATGCTGCATGCAAGCTCTGAAAATACTCCATCCTCGTGCGTCCTTTTTTGAAGCACTGTCTTAGGCATACATAATGGAGATGTGGTGGAACCAGGAACCAGGGGCCGTGTGATCTGCAAGGTATTCGCCCCTGTTCCTGCGTTTGACAATATGCTCTGTATACAGTAAATCTCAGTCTAACATTAGAACTAGCTTCAATATCAAAAAATTGCCATTCTAACTGCAAAGCCTGAAATCTATACTATGGTGAGTTGTCGAGATATTATTGATCGGACGTTATCGAAATGTAGCAGTATGACGTCAGTTGATTAAACTCTTGGAGTAAAGTTATTGGGTTTAATACGCTAAACCGCATGTGGAATCTAATCCCGAGAACTTTAACTCTGGGGGAACGACACATCACCCCGACGCGTAACAGCGACCCCTTTTTGCCCTGCAATTCAATACATGTATTCTGGGCGAATGTGGGGTTTCGTAAAATGGTTTCCTTGAAACCTCGGAATTCCCCCATCTTGTTCCCCCTCCACTTCCCCCCGACACTAAACAGGCAAATCACATTCATCGGCAATGAGTGCGGGACTTTGTAGCCCGAGATGTTTCAGTGAATATGAATGCATTTTTTGAAAAGCCTGTCACGGATACAGATCCTGTCTTCTCCTCTCCACTCCGATTACGCAGTCGAAATTCAAGCCTTGAGATTCATGGAAACAATCTTCATTGTCTAGTATGTAGCTGCAGGACTACACCCACAAGAGAGATACGTCCGACAGGATACACACCTAGATGTTCTACTGACAAGCACGTTCCTCGCTTAACATTGAAGCCAATTGGACCGAAGATTTGTGATCAGTCGATTAGTCTATACCTACTGAATACTGCTGCTTTGTGGAAGTAAAAGTGAACGAGAATGAAATTGTATGTGTCCCTCATTTCAATGTATTATATATGTCTCTAGTAGACATCAATGCATGTGTGGGGTAAAGGAATAAATAAAAGTGTTCAAATGTTCACCTTGGCCTTGAACAGATATTTCAACAAAAGCATTTACCAGTATAAAATCTAGTATTCATGCAAGTGGGACATCCAGCGTCTCAGGAAGTTGAAACGGGCAGCGGTCTCGGAAATGATACTAGCGCCGCACCACTCACCAAGCCACATGGTGGTCTTGTTTGCGGCGGTAGAAGGAGGGAAGTAGGGCAGGCTGTCGCCGTTGGGGTTGCCGGTGCGGATGAAGTTGGCCCAGTACTCAGAAATAGTAGCCTCAACCTCGTAGTCGGTGGTGTTCCAGGTGACGTTGGAGTAGTCGGAGTAAGGGATATTGTTGAAGGTGTACCAGAGCTCAGCACCGTGATAGACACCACCAGACTCATCCTCGGCGGGGGTCTTGGTGAAGTAGTAGGTGTAGACATTGCTCTTGGCGCCGCCAGCGGCCCACATAGCAGCCCATTCCCAAGTACCAATGCGGGCCATGTCGCGCAGGACTTCATCACTGTTTGATTCGGCCTGAGTGGCATTCGCAGCGGGGTATAGGGAGAAGAACTCAGAAAAGTAGTTCTGGAAGACCTCGGTCCACAGAGTCTTGTAGTCACTGACGGTAGAAGCACCACCGTTGTTCTCATCCTTGTTGTTACCAGTCAAGATAGGCACATCGGCATGGGAGTTCAACGATAGCGACTTTCCGTATCCATGGAGGAACACGTAGCCGTCGATAACAGGGCGCCAGCGCGGTGGGCCGGACCAGAGGTCAACAAAGCTAGTATTGTCGTAGTAGTCAGACTCCATCAATTGACCTTCACCGATAAGAGTAGCCATTGGGAGGTCTCGGAGCTCGGAAATAGATGTGACATTGACCGTCTCAAGGAAGGTAACACCGAAAGACTCGGCCTCCTCCTTGGTGTTGTAGCTAGTGGCGACACTGCCGGTCGCCGGGTCATAGGGTCCACGAGCACCGCTCTCCGAGATGACGCCGTGAACAAGGCCCTTGGTGAGGGGACTCCACATAGAGTCCAAGGCACTAGCGGACCCAGCAGACTGGCCACCGACAGTGACCTGGCTAGAGTTACCACCGAAGAATTCAATATTCTCATGAACCCAGCGGAGAGCAAACTGCTGGTCGAGAATACCGTAGTTTCCAGAGCTGTTGTGGCCGGATTCCTTAGACAGCTCGGGGTGAGCAAGGAAACCGAAAGCGCCGAGACGGTAGTTGAGGGTCACAACGATAATATCCTTGGAGGCCAAACCAGTTCCGTCGTAAGTAATGACATCTCCGGAGCCGCCCTCGAAGCGGCCACCGAAGATCCAGACATAGACGGGGAGCTTCTTGGCGGCAATCTCCTTAAGATCGGTGGTGTTGTACTCTGGGGTCCAGATGTTCAGGGAAAGACAGTCCTCGCTGGTGGAGTTCTTGCCACTAGAGAAGATGCCAGCATCGGAGTATGGCTGAGCGCACTGAGGACCGAATTCGGTGGCATTGAGCACACCAGACCACTTGGTGGGCTTGACAGGAGGAGTCCATCGTCTGGAGCCAGTGGGAGGGGCAGCAAAGGGGATACCCTTGTAGACGGTGACTCCCTCACGGAAGGGCGAAGCAGCACCCTTAATTGATCCATAAACGGTATCGATTGTAGGCAAGTCTGCGGCTGCGGCTGCGATCAGCGCTGAAATGAGCGCCAGAGCGCGAACAGATGGAATCAACATGACAGGAGATCTTCAACTTTGCAAGAAAGCGAAGATGAAAGCGGAGTGGATGATTTTAGAAGATTAATAAATGACACGAGTTCCTGTCTAGGCCTTTAAATACTAACACTAAACAAGGGGACTCCTGAATAAGACCACCCGGACGACATCGACGTATACCCCGTTTCCAAACAGACAGTAGCGGCATTTCAGGTTGAACCTAAAGGTGGAGACAAATTACAGTGCCTTTTTTCTCGTCGGGTTTCTTCAGCCAAATCCTTGTCGATCCCTGAAGATCTGCAACCCAAAGAAACCGAAAAATCTAAGTTGCAGCAGAAACGCCGAGCCATGAACGGAGTCTGTTTAACATAGTCTGATAAAAATAAACAATATCACCATTTACACCTGACATCTGGAATGATCGGCTTCAAGATCTCAATGCTTTATTTAAATCCTTGAGTAAGAACAACTGTATTCCTGTTTATGCTTTTACTTATGGTTAGCTCTGAATATCAATTCATAACTTACTTTCTCATCTGCCGATATCAACAGGGTTCTACGTCGTGGGGACACGTAAGCTAGTCAGCCGTTACGGCTAAAGGGTGAAAAGCCAAGCTTGTATACTGTGCAGAACCCTGGTCCATTTGTCGTATTGTGTCGTATAACTCGTATAACTCGGATACTTCGTATCACATAACGAGATAAGATCTCTTAGTCCCGACAAGCTAACGGGATTTCGGTAATTACCCCCGAGTTGCCCTGCCATCTCCGTGTGAGTCCGGGCCTTTTGTATCGCTATAGCCCAACTTTTCAATCACACTAATTACATCTTTCAAGCTCCAAAGTTGATAGTTGGAAAGACTCTTGATTATTTTAGTTATTTTATTAGACATGAAACAGTGACAGAAGAAAAAAAATTGTCTGAACTCGCTCCAGTTATTTATGACGCTTATTATTCCGCGTCTTTCTTGCTCATTGGGGGGGGGGGGGGGATGAACAGGCGATAGAACCAATCTTATGGCGAAGCAAGAACCTAGGTCTCGGCTGCTGAGCAAATGGGTAGATTGGTGCAGAATCCTTGCCGAAACGGGATTTTCATGAAGGTATTGCTCCATAATTGACGCACCGAAGCAGTGAGCAACATTGCCAAGATACGTCTAGCCCGTCAGTCGCAGCCTCGCTGATTCTCAGCCGATCCCAAACTCGACTAGTCCATGACCCGGTTTCAGCTAGCCAGCGGGCCCTTCCGATGATCTGATTGAGTTACCAGGTCCGTTTCGCGAGCCCCACTTGGCGTCGCAGTAGTCAGAACTCAGGACAGGACTCGGGGATGATCTCGAAACGCCCTAGCCTATGCTCTTCAACAACAGAACAACCTGCGTGTTTAACTTGGAGGGGAAGTTACTCTCGCTCGGCATGAATGAGGCGTCCGCCCGCTTTGGTATCCTTGACCGTCGTCCTCGCATTCTCAAGATTATCGACCCCCAAGTCACTGTTGTGCAAACATCGACCGTTGAGCGGCGTGGGGGCGCACCCGGACCTAAAACGCCATCGGTGTATACTCCAGCAGTTCCGGAGCTCGGGGTATCTCCTTATGGTGCCTAGTATGGAAATTTGAGTTAGTACGACTTGATCAACTTCGATACCAGAACCTACCTGAGGGGCTTGGAGCAGACGAAAAAGTTGGGTTATTTCCCGGCCACTACAACCACCCAGTATTCAATCTTCATGTTGTCGACATAGCTCAGCTGCCAAAGAACACGGTTGTTGACGATACTGGGGCTGACATTGATCGAGTCAAGTTTCGATCAACGAGGTGGAAGCTGTCCATCCCTCCAATACAAATTGTATTGTTGCAATACCCAACAGTGTTAACAACATCATCTGGGGGGGTGGAATTCCAATACCTCCTGGCCATATGCAATTGGGCGACAAATTTTGTGATCACTGATCTTCTCGTTGGTATGTGTGACTGTCGGTTGTTCGAGTGAACTTGATTCTCGTCATTTCAAGTTAGCAGACAATCGTGGCATGGTCAACGTAGGTGGTGGCAGCTTTATAACTTACTCTTGTGATTTGGATCACTACTAATATATCAATCCACGATTTATTTATGCTGATGTGAAAGTGTCAAATTAGTGAGAGCTCACAGTAGATTATGTCTTAGCTTGTTGGGAGCATTAGGAACATACTAATTATCTTCTATCGTCATCTTGTAGATGGATGAGTCTATATCGATGTTTTGGTTCAAGAGGAGGCCTTGTGGTATACATTTTGCATTATAGGTTAATCAGGATGGGGGTTTGATCTTAGTATATGCCACATATATTGAAATCATAGTGATCCTGATCCTGCGAGCTCATAGGTCGATTCTAAGAAATGGCAAACGAGCGTGATCTGTGATCCTTTCGCGTGGTTGGCTGCTCAAATGTGCTCATGAAAGCCAATTGATCCTTTCACGTCATTGGTCGATCCTGGGGGAGGCGAGTGATCTGGGGACGCGTTCAGGGTCTTCCCTCCGACATAAATACCTCCCCCCTCCCCTCTCCTCTTTCTCTTTTCTTTTTTCCCCTCCATCACTTTCCATCTCTTTCAAGTCTTCTCTTTCAAGTTTCATCAAGCTTCCATCTCAGACTTTCATACATCCATCCATCCATTGGTCTATCTATCATTTGGTCCATCCACTCATCAACCTCATCCTCATTGGCATTTGCCATACTCAATTAAAACTTTTCATGTCTTCCAACATGTATGCTTGTGTCTTCTCTCTCTTTGCTCCTTCATACTCACCATCTTACAGGTTACTGGATACTCAATATCCTTCACACCTTGTCACCTTGACAAACACACTGATCATTCTGGTCAACAAATCACCTCACCAATATGCCTTGACGAGTTCTATTGTGTGTTTTGCAAATATCACTGACTTGCTTTGACTACTGACTGACCTTCCAGGTTCCACAAAACAAAACAAAAATGAAAACAAAAAAGAAAAAAAAAGAACAAAAAAAGAAAACACAAGACAAAAGATTCAAATCGAGACCTGCAAATCAAAAACAAAACAAAAAAAACAACAAGTCCCTCTCAATCTCAGAAACTCAACATTGAACTCGTCACTCGGCTCCCTCATGGTTCCAGCTCATTCCCTCTCTGAACAGGCATCACATATTTTATGTGTCAGGACAAATTCAGATTGGATTTAAGCTGTTACCACTTCCAACTCCCAAATCATCTCTGCTTTGCGCCCAAGTCTTTTCTGAACAGGCATCACGCAAACACATCCACAATCGTTTGTGTGTCAGGACAAATTCAGACTTGATTTGGGCCATCGCCATACTCGACTTCCTCCGTTTCGCTCCAACTCCTCTTTCCAATTTTCAACACTTTGCTTTGTGCCAAGTCTTCTGAACAGGCGTCACACAGATCCAACTTCAATCTTTTGTGTGTCAGGACAAATTCAGACTTGACTTCGGCCATCGCCAAAATCGACTTTCTTCATTTCGCTCCGACCCGATCTTCAACTCCTTGCTTTGTGCCCAAGTTTCTTCTGAACAGGCGTCGCGCAAACCCATCTACACTTCAATGCGTGTCAGGACAAATTCAGATTTTACTTGGGCCATGGCCCCATCACCACACTCGACATCTTCCGTTAACTCCCCGTCCAATTCCGACTCTGTGCTTTGTGCCCAATCTCCTCTGAACAGGCGTCACACAAATCCAACTTCCATACTATTTTGTGTGTCAGGACAAATTCAGAGTTGACTCGGCCATCGCTATCCCAACTCGCTCCGATTTCCTCCCCACGGTTTTTGAACTCCTTGCTTTGTGCCCAAGTCTCCTTTGAACAGGCGTCACGTAAATCCTTTTCTTCCACTCTTTTGCGTGTCAGGACAAATTCAAAGTTGACTTGGGTCATCGCTACACTCGACTGTTTTGGACGCTTTTCAACCTCGCTCTCTCTGCCTGGAATTCGCCTTGTGCCCAACTTCTCTCAAATCATTACGTGTCAGGAAAAGTTCATGGGCTTATGCCATCGCCTCTTCACCGCACTACAATGCTTCCAAATCTCTCTCCTTCAGCTCTCTCGGATACAGTTTGGGCTCTTTGGCTTGCATGTGGTATTCGTTTTCTCGGGCATGTTTGGGGTCTGCACATTGGTGGGAAGGACTCTGTATGTTGAGACAAGTTCAGTTGATACTTGATCAGGATTCAAGATGCATAACATCTACCTTATGCGAGTATGTATCCAACTTTCAAGGTTGACAATCCCTTTTCTTCGTGCCTTTTTTCCAATATTGAATGTTTGAATTTCATCTATGGCTTCCAATTTATTGTGTGTTGTTGGCAATACCTATTGTTAGTACTATCTCGTACTCAAGCCCACATACCCACAACATTTGAAGACCATGAACAAAATGTTTACCTACTACTAGTACCTATTCAATTGAATAAACAAGCTCAACTGTATACCTCAGGTGCTACTACCTACTGTAAGGGAAAACACAGCACTGCGGCCTTGACTCAGTGCTTAATGTTTAATGTTCCACCAGCACTTGAGTACAGCCATCAATTCACTCATGTCAACTGGTGTGCAGGCTTCAATGCTCCAGATGTCGGTGTCACATGTGCAGTCTCTTCTCAGCCACCATATGTATATTTACTAGGAGAGGGCGAATGCCTCACTAGTGCACTACTACCTAGTATCGATCAATTGATGTAACTACGTGAAGATACAAAACGTTCCGGTCAGTTGCCGCAAACTTTTGGAGCATTCAAATAGTCTGGATATGTGTGTTTTATATATTCTGAATGTTTCAAATGTTTAAGCTCAACCTTGGAACATTTGAAGTATGTACCCTTGAATTGCAAAATTTGAATTAGATATTTTTCAAATGTTGCTAACATTCCATGAAAGTACTCAAGTGCTGCAATCAATATATATTTCCGCAACTTGATCTGGAGGCGGCCCATACATATACAACATTGAATTGATGTCAACTCAACATTCAATGTTTGAAGGGTTCAAACATTTGAAGTGCCCCTCTTATTAATCGTGCAGGGCTAAAGTTCCAATATGTGTATATATCAATACATAGTACTACTCCTTGAGAATTGTGGCTATCCATGGACGTACTTCGGTCATTACTAGAGCTCTTTTAATTCTGAGAGATATTCGAAGCATCCCAAAATGCTCAAGTCAAAGGTGTAGAAAATCACCTGATGGTAAGACTGGGAATGGATCTGCGGGGTAAGAGCTTAGTTTCCTCCCACCTGCATGTATCTGCATGTACATATAAGAATTATCTAGAGACAAAGTTACACGCCAAGGGAAAACGAAAGAGGCAGACATGGAGATGCACCGGCATGTGCTGACTGGATTTGAAAAAAAAAAACACAGGGTCCAAATTATACTAATACTCTCGGTACCTTTAACAACCTCGGGAATATCTACGCCAGTCAAGGAAACCTGACAGGCAGCATAAACATTTGAATGTACCAGCGCGTGATCTTATGTAGTCTGGATGCGAGGAGACGTTAGGTACTACTACTATATATATCATCCGATGACCCAAGTAATTCTAAGGAGTCTGCTTGTAATTCCCAGTCTCGGTAGACGCCAGTATGTAAACAATAAAAAGAAGCCGGGGTATATATACGCAAGAACCAAAACCCACATAGCATCGTAAAAGCAGCCCCTAGAACGAGGTCGAGGTCGAGACCGAGACCGAGATCATTGGAATGTCATATCGCCTTCCCCCTCATACCCGTCCCCATGGTATGTCTGATCATCATAATGCCCCTCCCCACCCTGCTGCTGCTGCTCTTGATCCTCGTTCCAGATCTGCTGCTGCAAAACAATACTGTAAACACTGGCCTTGAGCAAAGTACACACGGTCGCAGTCTTGCGTTCCAGAAGACGTAGCCCGTCGAGTGTCATTGAGGCGGGGGAACCGGCGAGGTCGGAGACTTTATCGGAGAGCTGGTCGTGGGTAAAAGCGGTTGATTAGCTATGGATCGGGGCAAAATAAATAGTGCGGAGCAGTGCGGGATGCGGAGGGGGTTTTTTCCCACCCCGCGCAACACCTGTCTAATTGACTCGGTGGCCAGGAAAACTCACCAGGTTCACATTCCGTAGTAGACGGGAGTACTCGTCTAGTACTTCCTGCTCGAGTTCGGATACGAGGGGGTTGTCATTGCCCAGGAGTGGGTTGGCGGAGCGGCTGCGGACGTGTGAAGCTTCGGGGGTCATCTCTTGGGGTCTGGGGGTAGTGGTCGCGGGGTCTGGAGAGACATAGGAGAAGTCTTGGGTATCTTCGTCGTCGTGGGGGGCAAAGGCCGACATGGTGCGATCGTGGAAATGGTTTTGATGTTGAGGAATTTGAGGATGGAGAAGATGAGTTGAGTGGGGCGGTTTGACGTTTGTTATGATAGGAATTTGGTTCGGGCGACCCTTGACTGCAAAAATCCCAAGTACAATGGCCGCCAGAAGCATCGTCCAGGTATACAAATTTACGTTCCAAGGGATCATGAAAATTTACCCTTCTCATGGTTTAATTGTTGCCGTGGTATTATGATTTCACATAGATAATACACGTTCTGTATTTTGTCAGATCTCCGCAAAGGGACCAAACCTGGGATGTACTAGTAGTGACTTCGCTCCTAGATGAAACAGATGCAAAGGCCAAGATGAAGTTGAGCTTTCGTTGATGATTTAAATCGCACCATGGTGCGAATAAGATAAAAAGAATGGAGGAAACACAGAACAATAAGATAACTTCAGATCCAAACAAAGTCACGAGTATCGAGGATAAGACCGAAAACGCCGTCCGCTGCATAGTAGAGAAAGTAGAGTGATATATGTCGCATCGTCGAGCAAATACGCAGCGACATTCCGTGACAGAAAGAATGGTCAATCAGGTGCAGGCTTCGCGAACAATTGCTGAAGAGTGGATCAAGGCCTTCGACGATCATGAGAAATGCAAATGTGAGAAAAAGGCACAGCATCGCCAAAAAAAATTCAAAAATCAAAAGGCCATAAAAATCAACTCAGAAGGCCCCGAATCACTCCGTACCCCCGAAGTTTTCCAATGGAATGAGATCAAACAAAAAGGGAGAACAAAATTAAAGGAAACGAAACAAAAATTAATCCAATGCGGTCGTGAATGCATCATGGTCGTCAGCAAGCCGATGCCCAGGTGGCTGTTCCCGCATTTGCCAGGGAAATGTAAAGGGGGAAATGACCCCCCAAAAATAGAAACATAGACAAGATACAAAGTGGGCTTGGCTTAAAATAAAGCACAATCAGTGGTCACCTTCGTGATGAAGGGTGACGCTGTTAAACTCCTCGAAAGGATCATTCAATTCGCCGTTCGGAGTCGCAAGACCCGAGTCCATCGGCACACCTTTCATCTTTGTGGAGTCTGTACCGCCGATATCCACGCTAGCACTCTCCTTAACATTGCGGAAATTGATAGTATCGGTACCAGCACGGCCCTGGTGCGGGATCATGGGTGGCTTCATGTGACGGATAAGTGCCCACTGAGTCGTGCGGAAGAAGGGGTGGGTCTTGACATCAGATGCACCGGCACGAGCGCCAAGACGCTTAGTTTCGTCCTTGATCAGAAGCTTGCGGATCAAAGACTTGCAGAGGTTGGAGGTTTGTTGGGCCCCTGAGTGCTCAGGGAATGGTACATCATCCCGCAAGATGCTGGCGAATGTTGCATTTCGATTCTTGCCCTTGAATGGCGTGGTTCCGTACAGCATCTCATAAATCAAGATGCCCAAAGTCCACCAGTCGACTGCACTGGTATGACCGCATCCCTTGATGACCTCGGGCGCAATGTACTCTTCCGTTCCGACAAAGGAATTGGTGCGGAAGTCAGCAATGCAAGACTTCGTATCAATAGTGGGCAGTGCAGCCGAGGAGGTACCTCCACTGCGGCCAGGGATCATGGTGGGAGCACCACCGGGCCCTGATTGTTTGGACAAGTCAAAGTCCGAAAGCATGATATGACCTGATTGGTGGAGAAGAATATTCTCTGGCTTGAGATCTCGGTAGATAAAGCCCATCAAGTGCAGATACTCTAAAGCAGCAATGACCTCGGCAGCGTAGAACCGGGCAGCGTCCTCAGAGATGCACTTGCCTGGTCGAGTCTGTAGGGTTCGGAAGAATTCTCCACCGCTGCAGTACTCCATGCAAAGGTACAAGTAATCTTCAGATTGGAAGGAGTGGTATAGGGTAACAATAAAGGGGTGGTTGCTAGTAGCCAGAATTTCTTGCTCAGCCAAGGCGCGCTTAATCTTGTTGCGCTTGATCATCTCCTTTTTACTCAACACTAAGCAAGTTGGTCAGTATATACTATGCAGGAAAGCGTGCCTTGGATATAACTCACCCTTCATCGCATACAAGCGGCTTGACTTCTTCTCCCGGACCAAGTAGACCTTGCCGACGTCACCCTTGCCAATCAACTTGATCTTATCGAAACTGGCGGGGCCCACCTCAACGTTGCGGACCTTGATCGAATTCGAGCTGTATGTCCGACGGAAGCCATCCCCAGTGATGGTAGGCACCGCAAGGGCGGTAGTAGCATCAATCTCAGCCAGACTGAGGCCAGCGACCGATGACTCGAGAGGTTCTTTGCCCATCTCTGCAGTCTGAGGTCGGCCATCGCCCTGGCCACTGTTGAATAAGCCTTGTGCATTGGGCGCGGACGCGACACGACGCAACTTGCGCGCAAGTTCTTCTTTGTTGGCCGTGGTCGCCTGCTCCTCGGCTGAAACCCCGGTGACCTGCAACTCGGGGGTATCGGGTGGGGATGAGGGCACAGACCCATCGTTTCGGTGTCTCAATGCCGGTTGGCCCTGGTGGGCGAAATACGGATTCGCGGTAGCGGTGGGTGACACGCCATCTTCCAGAGCGTTTCCTTCACTGGCACAGGTTGCTGAGCGGTTGCGACCGATAGTTGGCAGGAAGCGAGATTGTCGGAAAGCGCTGGACTTTTCGTTTTTGGCGGGAGCCCCTTGGGCCTCCTTCTCGCGCTGATCATGACCAGACTGGCTACTGGCATGAGACGAGGAGTGACTGCTGGAGCTATTGATCCGGAAAAAGTTCTTGATTCTGGATTGGAGATGGCCCGACTCATTGGAGTGTTTACGGGTAGGGAGGGAAAGACCGGGGAAATTCCCACGCTTTTCGTTCATTGCCGAGGGACTAGACGCAAAGAGCTGCGTCATGGCGGAGAGAGCGGGACGGGGTTGAAAATGTAAGACAGCCCCCGAGAACAAAGAGATTGAGATCTCAGTGGAGGGGAAGGGATTTGAGGGAAAGAATAACGAGAAAGCGGTGGCGGGGAAGGATGCGGTTCAGAGACCTGACAATGACAGGTTTGGAGATAGAACAGCGGGGCCTTGGTTAGCACAGAGCGTTGGAACGAGGGATATCCACCCAAAAGAATGGCAAGACAAGAATACAAGAAACAGAATTCATTAATGAGGCTGCATCTTATACAGTATCAAAAGTGAAAAGAGGGAAATTCAAGCCAAGTTGGAAGAAGATCCAAGAGAAGGAGAGTCGGGGAGTGGAGTAAGGACGCGGAGGCCACGCTTAGTCATGCATTCTTGGGGAGACGCAAAGTTGCCCGGATAAAAGAAAAAAGGAACAGGTGGATTGAATTAATTACTCAATTATCTAGTAGTAGACTTTGCAAAGGAACTGGAGCGATAACAGGACTAGATATCATTTCTTTCTTGATTTAATTCTTTTATATCTATGTGTATTTTAAGGGGTTAAAAGAATCTAGGCAAGAAAAAAAAAGAACCTCCAGGGAAAAAAAAAAAGCAAATTCCCCCACGGGTGGCAACATGGAGATTTCGCCATTCCAAACTCTCTTATCAATTGAACTATGGATTGAACTAAGTTGAACTAATCACAGACTCACAGTTACCACTTTGCTTTGTGTCTGTCCAGGGGCAGCCACGTGATTCATTTAAAATCTGTATACTATAAATAAGTGATTCACAACACCTTTACGTCTAGTTGTATGAAGAACATGGGTTTGAAGAAAAAGACAATCTTCATTTATATGCTTTATATTTCTATCACCCGTATATTTTGTACGCCTTTATGTACAGTTTGTACTTTGCTAAATCAAGTTTCACTGCCCCAACTCCCCTTCTCCGTCTTCCCTTGTTGGTAGACTGGTAGTAGGTATTATCTACATAAGGTCCACAAGTAGTGTCATCCCCGATATCAACTGGTTACTGAGATCCAGGGCTACTCACCTTTAATGGCCTGCTGAAGCACCCTAGGGCCTCAGCTTACCTTTCTCCCAAATCCTCTACCTCCATGTTTGACCTTTTTCAATGTTCACATGTTAGTCTACTTCTTGAAATTCACTCAACACTTCAGATAATGGCTTAAAAACTCTCAAGCGCACAAACGATCATCATTAACTTCATCCACTATCATTAAGCGAAAACAAATCAATAGATCCTCTTCGCATAATAAATACAGGGCTGGGATGGAAAAAACCTTGGCGCAAATTAAAGAAGAGAAGTCGAAAAACGACTGACAGAAAGAGCCACAAGTAAGGTATAAAGTGAAAAAGAAGCAAAAGAAAAGACACAGGTAACAGAACGCAAATAAGAAGAAAAAAAAAGCACAAGCAAGAGAAGCAAGAGAAACAAGACGAAACGGAAGAGAAACAAGACGAAACGAGATAGAAACAAGACGAAACGAAATGAGGAATAAGAGAGACCGAATAAGAGAAAACAAAAGGCGTAACGATATGCTCGGCGCAACTATCCCTCAGTATTGTCGTTGTCGTTGTCGTTGCCGTAATTTCGTAACGTGACAGTTGAGTAATTGGTAACGGCTTTCGTGATTATCGTAATTATCGTAATTGGTATGGTAATCCTCGTTGTCTTCAAGTTGCATGATCAACGGGATTCAAGTTTCCATTCAAAACCGACCCTCAATGAGTCTCGGCGGTGCCACCTACACCATTGACGAGTCTCTCGGCGTTGTTCTCGGCGGTGTTCTCGGCGGTGTTCTCGGCATTGTTATGGCCGCTGTCGCCGTTTCCCCAATTCTCCGGCATTTCCTCCAGAATCTCCTCATTTTCGTTGTTCAGATTGTTCTCGTCATCATCACCCTCATCATTCCCTTCGTCATCATCACCCTCATCGTTCCCCTCATTCTCATGACCATTCATGCCCTCATTTGCATACCCGTTAATGCCCTCATTTGCATACCCATTAATAGTACCCTCATTTGCATACCCATTAATGCCCTCGTTCTCATACCCATTGATGTTACCATCATCCCCATTCTCTTCAATGTGGCCATTCGTATCGTATTGGCGATTGAGGTGACTGACCGGAATCATCTCTCCGAAAGCGCCTACCATGCTCACGTTCGCCGTGGTGTACGGGTATCTGATCGTTCCCATGTCCACCCACCTTCCTCCCTGAGGAGTCAATCCGAACATCCAGCGGGGATCCAAGTCATTCTCCCCGTAATCAGTGAAATCTGGGAATTCCTCATCGTCAAGACTCCCATCGGACTTATCACCCTCATCGTCGTCATCGACTCTGTCCTCATCATGTACCCCATTTGCGCCATTCACAGTCAAAGACAAATCACGGAGATCATCGTTTTGGACATGATGGTCGAGCTCATATCCGTCATCTCCAGCATCTGCCTGGGGGATACCCCATCTCGTCATGTCAGGCCGCTCCGATCCCAGCTCATATCCGTCATCTCCAGCATCTGCTTGGGGGATACCCCATCTCGTCATGTCGGGCCGTTCCGATCCCAGCTCATATTCGTCATCTCCAGCATCTGCCTGGACGGAATCCCATCTCTCCATGTCGTCCAGCTCCGATCCCCGCTCAGATTCGTCATCTCCAGCATCTGCCTGGACGGAACCCCATGTCTCCATGTCGTCCCGCTCCGATCCCAGCTCTGATCCCAGCTCTGATTCCAGCTCTGATTCCAGCTCTGATTCCAGCTGCGATTCCAGCTCCGGGTTTAACCTCGCATTGGGCCAAGAAGGTCCTGCTGTCTCCGTGTCAAAACGGCTCACTGGATCATCGCTGCCAGGTTCATCCACTAACATTGGTATCACCATTCGATGGTCTACCAGCTCAGATTCAGGACGAGTCGAGCATTCGTCATAGCAGCCGTCAATATTCAAGAAGGCCGACTTCCGCGAAATGACGCTGGCTCTATCACTGTTGATCTCATATTGGAATGCCAAATCCTTGGCATCAGTTGCCTGAATTAACTGTGCCCGTTTGAGTAATCCAGCTGCCAAGTCCACTGACAAGTCGTCGTCACTCGAGAAATAGGAGACATCTCCAACATCTGTCTGTCGCTCACTGGTAATTGGGTTGGGCTGGTTCATAACACAATTGCTGGTGATTCCGGCGACGACCTCACTTCCGGCACTGAAGTAATGAGGGGGCATGGGATACCCTGGCATCGAAAAGTATGTCATAGGATAAACCGATTCTGCCACGGAATATCCTGTCACAGGATAAACTGGTTCTGCCATGGAATATCCTGACATAGAAGACCAAAAGTGTGGCGACATGTATGTCGAACCCATATTTTGGTCAACCGCAGCCGGAGCAAGGCTAAGTTGCCACCCTCGGCCGTGTGGCACTGGAACAACAACATGGTTGTCTTGCATCTCAATTGCTTGGGCTCCTGTCCGAAGCTTTGTCAGTCCAGCAAGAAGAGCTTGCTTCATGTGGATATTCGCAATTCGACGATCCCGGAGTTCTGGTCTGGTTTTCTGCTTGATGGCGATAAGAGAATTCACCCGCATCAAATTCTCATCGGTTTTCTGATACTGAATGAGTATTTCGTCTGCGGCTTGTCTCATCTGGCTGCAGTCGCCGGCCGAGGCACCGACTTTGTCGTTGACCCAAGCGATAACATCAAGGGTGATGGAGTCGGTTGTGCGAATTCCATGGCCACTATCCCAGATCTCGAATGACTCGAGCCCATTGCGGGGATTATCAAACATATTTGGCAGGCCTGCCATCAAATGCTCTTCTGGCATTTCATAGCTATCTTCATTTTTGGTCTCCGAAAAGTTCGCACGCAATGTCGGACTCGCGGGGCCAGACATGTAGGTCGGGAAAGTAGATGAAGTGCTATCAGTGGTGCCCAACTGGGCCTGTCTGAACCGAGAATTGACGCCTTCTTGGTCACCAGAAAAGACATGGCGAGCAAACGTGTTGTTATTAAAAGGGTCTTCGGCCCGAGCAATTTTGCTAGAGATGGGAACGATTTTACCATTGGCCGCAACCCGTTGGTCTAGCCATTCCGGCAGCCTGCTGACTCCTTCCATCCACGCGATAAATCCCGGGGACCGCTGTGGAGAGGCAATGAATGATGTTTGGTTGTTTGAAATCAGTCGGTGCTGGGATTTCGCGAGTTTCGCGTCTGGGGTTGAGGACTTGGCTGGACTTCGAAATGACGGCGATGCTCGGGTTGTCCCTTTGACAGGTCTTTCTTGCGGATAATCAGATAGTGTCGGCTTCTTGCGTGGCTTGGGATGCAGAACCCTGCCTGTGCCCATTGTCAGTAAGAACTCATGCATACAAGTGATTCATGAAAGGCGTGAAGCATTTCAAAGACCAAAGGTCATTTTCCGCACAAGTTGTAGTGATCATGCACTTGATCCATACAGACAGGTGCTGGGAAAACAAACAGGTGCTGGGAAAACAAAAAAAGACGCGTATTTGGTGATGGAAACAACTTACAATGGGCTGCATCGATTGTCCAGCGACAAGATACTGCTTCTTGCTGGTCGAGGTCCAGCAGCGTTGGGATTTCGTACTTCATGATTATCAAGATTGAGGCATACCTTGGAAGAGGGAATGTTGATAATCGAAATCCCCGAATGCTGATGGACTTGTGGTGTTGAAAATGGGAAACGACGATCGTCACCGGGGAGCAAAAAGAGGAAAGGAGTTGGGAGAACAGTCAACAAGTTGGAGTGACAGAACGATATGCCTACTGGGGACGCCTAACTCCTCTCACTTGAAAACTTGAATACTCTCGTTTTATGGATTTACAACTGGAGACATGGAAAAGAAAAGGACTTCATTATCTGGATAATCAATCTGGTCTCGTGAGCATGATCGAGACTACTAGACACTTTCGCGGATTTTGACAGGCTGTAAGCGGCTATGAAGCCGCCATTCTTCAAAATCTTCTGGGACAGATGAATCCTCAAAAGACGCCCCTCGCTTAGTCGGCGTTATGCCCTCCGTTTCTGACTTTGGTTCACCCATTTCCCAGCTTCCTAACCGCTCTTGCCCACGCCTGATCACCCCTCCAGCAACAGCCCCATCGTCTTGCTCTTTGCCGGCTTCTTTTCCAGTTCCCCAGAGCGGATTGTTGAAGGAAACATCTGCATCGCTAGCAAGCTTGCTGGTTCCCTTGAAGCCCCCAATGCTCGATTTTTTGCTTCCGTCCTGTCTCCCTTCCCGTTTTCGAAGCCCACACACGAAAAATACAGCCACGGCTACCAATCCAATAACGACGAGAGTGACAACCGCTCCAATGACACCGGCCACTGCAGGAGTCATGCCCTTCTTTTTGGGAGTAGAGTCATCGCGGCTCAAGGCTCCTGAGCAAAACACCGAGCTCGCATTGCAGAGCAGACACCACTCATCAACAGACTGGACGGAAAAGGTCTCCATTTCGGCTTCGAACTCGTTCCATGGAATATATGCTTGACTGGGTCCATATCCAAACAGTGGGAATGAAACAAATTCGGTGGAAGAGTCTGTCCCATTGTGCAAGAAGAACCGCACGTACATGTCGCTACTGCTTGGGTAGCTGTCGTCATCTCCGTCGGTCTCAAAGCTATACAGTTCAAAAACCATCGAAGCACCTCGGACAGGACGGGAATAGAAGCCAGGATGCTGCTCTGTATCCAGGCCCATCAACGAAGCCAAAGCCACAGCAGGCTCATCGCTACCGAAAAGTAGCGTCATTTTGTGGCCGTTTCCCTGCTCCTCCATACTCAGGTTGAATGCCTTGAGGATGCTGGTAGCGAGAGTTTGACCAGCAATGGGACTAATAGCGTCGATGGTGGACTCGCTCTGTACTGAAGCATCCTGTCCATTCGTAGCATAGGTGAACTGGTCCGCCAGGGACCGCGCTCGGATCAGGTCGTCACCAAATAGATGATCCAATGCAGTACTGTTGTGCAAAACCTCATATTCCAAATAGTCTGCAATGCCAACGGCATTTGCATACGTTGCAGTTGATTCATCATAAACCCCAGAAAGCACTTGATGCAAAAGCTTTTGATAGAAGACTTCCGTGTCTTGTGTGATCTCCGCTGCACCCCCGCTGCTCTGATATTCGGATACCGCAGCTTGATACATGGTGCAGCCTGATTGTCCTGCTACAAACAAAGATCCAGGGTCAGACTCCCCAAGTGTAACAATCTTAGGGAACTGATATCCGTCTAGCGGTGCCGAGTAAGTAGTTCCATTTGCGGTTTCGTCCGTAGTATTCATGTCTTCCTCTCCAAGCGGTGGGTAAAGTCCAATCATAAATGCTTGTGCTGACGCAATCACATTCTCCTCAGTTGTCGAAAGCACTTCTAGGTTCTTTGACATTAAGATAGATGCAGATATTTCCTGAATAGCAAATTCAGTTGCATTGGTGCTCCCAGCCGACGACACATAGCGGTTCCGGAATGCTGTTCCCGCGGCGGCAAGCTGGTAGGCTCCGTAATCTGACAGACCTGCTGAGTACTGCTCTAGTAATGCATCGGGGGTACTGTCTCCGTAGAGAGTATATGCGAATACACTCCAGACCTTTTCGGTGTACTCGGCACCGGCGAGGGTACATGTTTGAAAGATCAGAGTCACAAGTACAAGGAATCCACGATGTTTGAGCATGATTCCGTCGAAGCCACTCAACGTGCTCCAAATTCTGATTAATATAGCGGTGTCTGATGACAGAGTGTGCCAGCGTGTAGTTTTGCATAGATTAAATTCAAATTCAAGACGCTCCGGGGGAAGCTAGTGTAATAAAAGCAAGCCATTGCCAGCATTTTGGAAGCTCCTACCTAGGGTAGGATGCACCGGCTAGACCCCTGGTCCAAATATCAGGTATTCAAGGATATCAGGGAACTCCCTCCAAAAAATCGGTCGCTTTCGGAAAACGGTCATGCTGGAGGGGGCGCAAACCCTTTTCGGGGAGCAGCAGATCAAATCAACGAGTATCAAGACATGGTAGAGTTTCGGCAGGCTCGGTAGTGGTACATACTACATAATAAGTTCCTAGATGATTTTCGTTAGCAATTTTCCCGGGTCGATGACGCGCACATGTGTTTCCAAGGTTTCTTCATGTTCAAGGGTGCATTGCTGCCAGGAGGAGTGGGGCCATCCAATCAGCCGAGTACTTTTTGTCACTCAGATTGAGACTAGTATGCTGTGTCATTGAAAAAAGGTCTGTGGGCGTGTAGGTGTATGAGCCAACTTCAAGTAGTAGTCAAGGGGAAAATCCGCAAATGGACTAGTGGTTTGAGCGCGTCTCCGCCCGGCGGTTTTTAATTGGCTCCCCTAAATTCTTATCAATCTACCCCGGACTTTTATTGATCCGATCCCAGGCTTTCATTGGCCGAAGAATCGAAGATACTCGACGCCTTAAATTGACTACGAAATTTTTTTTTACTTGGTTGAACGTGCCTAAAACTTCAAATAACGCTGGATGTAAGGGCAAAACCGCTGTTCAAGCGTTAGTATCTTCATGTAAAGAACAATAAAAAACGCCGATGTGGCGTGAACTGCCATTATATCATGGAACGCGGTGTGAACACTGTCCAATTAGCGCTTTGACCCACCGGCAGAAAAAATCCCTGCGGATTACAGAGAACTCTCCCTCTTCTCTAAAGCCCTACAACTGCGCCCTACCCCTAAGCCCTCATTTCTGATCTTGGAAAGTTGAATGGTCGACCATATCGCGTTCCCCGTCCAGATGGTCGAAACACGAGGCTCGCGGTCATCTTTTGACGGCCCTGTCGAGCTGCCTTCTTTTGGACCTGATGATGGTGACCTTGGTGAGTTTTGAACATGATATTCCCGTCCAGACGCGTCCTCCTCCTCATCCCGCCATCAAGTCACCTCACAACTGATAGCTTTTCCCGACCCATTGTTTATCTCATTTGACTGACCTTGACTTCTTTCCATTGATTCCCAGACCAGAAATTCTCACACCCTCTAGAGCAAGAAGAGGAACACGGTTCGCCACCTGCGGCCAAGAAGCGTCGGACCGACTCGGGTGCTATCGACATGTCTTTCCCTGACTCGTTCGCCGATCATCAGCATGGCGCCGGTCATAAAATCGAAGAAGAACTTGCAACTGCGCTCGGGGAAGGTATTGTAGACACCCTGGAGCCAACCGACACACACGTCGATCACCACCAACCTGGCACTACCCAAGGAGATACCAACATCAATCCTGATGTCGCGTCCATCATTTCTGAGATCATGGATCATACCGAACGTCAAGAACAAACCATTGCCATGGGTCCCCAGGATCCTCCTCCGTCCGCAGATTTTCCCGGTGTCAAAGCTCACGCCTTTCTGAAGGCCAACTCTCACTTGAAAATTCAAAGTCTCCCCATTTTGGATAACCTGGTAAGTTTCACATTTCCTATTTTGACTTTTACACAATTTAATAGAAGCCGCAGTCTACCCAAATCTTGTCATTCCTTTCGAAGAATTCCTACCAAGATTTGACGGCCATGATTTCAGAGCCAGACTCGGAGAATGGCCAAGCCTATGCGACCATGCGCTCCCTTTTCGATCACACCAAAAGAGTCTACTCTGTGAAGCACTCGTTCCTCCAGTTTTCTGATCTTGAAATCACCGATAGCTCTCAGATCGATGTCATCCGCAAGGCTAACCTGGCCTCGTTCGTATCCAGTATCTTTGGCTCACAGGAAATCGGGTTTGCTGAGCTCAATGATCACTTCCTAAGCGTGTTCATGTATGAGGGTGGAAGACTGTTGAAAGTCCAAGCTGCTCTTTACCTGGAACTCAAAACCCAGGCGTTCATCGCTGCCATGAACAACAAGTCACGCACTCGTACCAGTCTCTTGTATGAGCTGTTCCCTGATGATATGGAGCAACGCTTGCTAGACCGACGACCTGGCAGCAAGCAGCTGGCTCCCAGTGAAATTGATTTTGTCAATCGACTCGCTTCTCGCCGTGATCACCTCCTCCATGACATCAACAATGAAGAGGCAATGAGAAGTCTTCCCGACAAGTATCAATGGGAAGATTTCTTGCGTGATCTGAGTTCTTTCATCTCCAAGAACTTCGATGCAATCAATACCCAGCCGGTTTGTTCTCATTCCACTTTTATATTTCCTCGTGATTTGCTAATATCTTTCAGGGCAAGAAGCCAGTCAAGGGACGACAGCCATCAAGTTCGAATGGTGATGCACAAGAATCTGCGACTACCACCCACCAAGGCCAATTCTCTGTCAGTCAGCCTGTCGAAGTCCCAGTTGATCGGAACATGCACGGTGACCTCGTGGCTCGTGCCGCGCGTGCTGCGCAAATTGCTCTACAGGGCCATGGTCTTCGACGCTCCCAGCAACAGTCTCAGCTCCAACACCAGCATCAACAGCAACAGATACAATCGCAAGCAAGCCCCTCACCCTCTCACCAATCCCTACAGGTACAGCCACAGCAACACACCCCCCAACCCGATAACCAATACCTTCACGGCTACACTGCTGCTCAACAACCTGGTCAACATGCCCAGCAGCAGTATCACAGCCCGACGCCCCCTGGCGGTTATCAACAACCTCCTGGTAGTTTGACATTCCAGCAAAGCCCACTGCAAACAAACTTCCAGCAATACACCCCAAATGCAGCTCAGACGATGCAAGCGCGAGCGAATGGAATGTCTGGGAACCATGGCTATATGCCTGGAATACCCCATTACACCCAGTCGCAACCCACGCAGGTGCTTTATGAGCGCGCCCGTATGGCCGCTTCTGCAAAGTCATCCCCGACCAGTCGCAAGTCTGGTCTACCTAGTCAACGCCGTCCCTGGACTACTGATGAAGAGAGTGCACTCATGGCGGGTCTGGATCGAGTCAAAGGTCCCCACTGGAGTCAGATTCTCGCCATGTTTGGCCCTGGCGGAACCATTAGTGAGGCCTTGAAGGACCGCAACCAGGTTCAGCTCAAAGACAAGGCCCGCAACTTAAAGCTGTTCTTCTTGAAGAGTGGGATTGAGGTTCCTTATTATCTCAAATTTGTCACCGGTGAACTGAAGACCCGTGCCCCCGCACAGGCTGCTAAGCGAGAGGCCCGGGAAAGACAAAAGAAGCAGGGAGAAGAGGACAAGGCTCATGTGGAAGGCATCAAGGGCATGATGGCCTTGGCTGGAGCTCATGCCTCCCCTGTTGGCGGACATGAGATGTCTGCATCCCCAAGTCTGCCTCCGGATGCCAACAGTCAGGCAGTCTTCGACCAAACTGCCGAGCAGAACCTGATGCAAACACTCAGTCAGGAGGTCCATGGTAGCCAGTACCAACACCCTCAGTCAACCCAAGACCACATTGATCCCCACATGCAGCTGGGCCAGTGAATACTTGGGTTTCCTTGCTGTCAATCAGAATATTATTAGTGGATTTGCTTCCGGTCTGATTGATGCCATTTTCCGTTCTAGCGACATTTTTTAAAAGGGTGTTTTGTTTTGATTTGGTTTTTAGCATTTTCTCTAGCATTTTTTACCATTATCCTTTTACAAACTTTTGTGTTGCTTTTTGTCAATGATATGATGTTACCATGCCATTGCGCTGGTCTAGTTGACGGTTTCCGTCACAATGTACGTTAAGCATTTCTTACCAATATCCTTTCACAAAATTTTGCATTGCTTTTTTTTTTCTTTTCTCTTTAATGCGATGTTATGCCATTGAGCTTGTCCAGTTGAGGGGTTTCGTCAAGATGTACGCTAGTGTAGCTTGTTTTGGGGCTTTGAGCTTTCTCCATTAATGTACCAAAATCTACAGCTATCAAATCGAGATACTTCAAGTACGAATTTTCCTGATTTCATTTGTGTAAGCTAAAGTACGTCGAATTGCAGTGGTGAGTGAATCCATATAATTCTTCAGCTCCACTCCCTCTCATATCTGGTCCGTGCACTCCGTTCTCCGCCTGCGTCTGACTGGCTCTTTCATCCACTACATAGAATCTCCAACACCCTGGGAAACCCGAGTAAGCTCACTGCCATTGATTGGTCTTACCAACCCCTGCTCCCCTGCAGCCTATTATTTTTACGGAGGGTCAACCCTCCCATGACTGCCCAATATGGCTGAAACTCAACATCGTCCTTCCCAGCAACCTTCAAACGGATCACAGGAGCCGCCTGCTCCTACCTCCACCGCACCTCCAGAGACGGCTGACTCTGCTATCAAACCAGATCCTGATCTCGACGCTTCCATCGAACAAGATATCAATATGAACGCAGAACAGAATGCCTCCGGTGCTACCGATGAGAATGCGCCTGGCCTTGACTCACTCGCTGCTGCACCGCCACCGACCAAAAAGGAGACTGGTTTGCGCGAGTTTCTAGGCAAGATGGATGATTACGCCCCTATTGTACGTCACTCACTGCTATCATTCTCACCACTTCCCCCCTAAACCTATGGGTCTCACTTTTTCCCTGCAATGTGACGGCCGTTTGTCCCCGAAATCACGAGGGTCAAGCATACACGTGATAATGGTCTTTCTCAGTAAAATAAAGGGACTGTGAGACAAAACTGAACTGCCACACTAACATGTCATTCTCTCAGATCCCTGACGCTGTAACAGCCCACTACCTCACTTTGGCCGGCCTTCCACCTCCAGGCACGGGGCCAAACCAAACACCTCCGCACCTCGCCCGCCTCCTCGCGTTGGCCACCCAGAAATTCGTCTCTGACATTGCTGCCGACTCATACCAGTTTGCTCGGATTCGCGCCTCAAACAGCTCATCCGCCAGCAACCCGATGGGCAGTCTGAACGCTGCTTCTGGTCTAGGCGTCCCTGCCGGCATGGGCGCCGCGCCAGCAGCCAGTGGTGGTGAAAAGGGCGGCAAGGGCAACACCCATTTGGGTATCCAACGTCCTGGCTTTGGTGGTGGTGGCTCTGGTGGGTCTGGACAAGGACGGACCGTCTTGACGATGGAGGATCTGGGCATGGCTGTTTCGGAATATGGCGTTACCGTCAAGCGGGGAGAATTTTACCGATAAATATAGTAAGTTGTGGATGGAGCACTACGGGTCTTTGTCCCTTGCTCTGAGTTCGGTTTCTGTTAGACATTTCTATGGTGGTTTTTTATTTCCTGGCGCTGGGCGTACACGGTGATACCCGATGGGTGCGGGATGGGCATCCCGAGCATTTAAATAGTTCGGATGGGTTAAAGAATGAAGACCGATGATATGACCATACTTCCGAGTCCCAATGATATTACATTCATCTACTCACTTGGATATTAATCTTCAATGCCTAGTTTAGCGTGAGGTAGGGCATAACATGGAAACAGGTGGTCTTTGGGACAAGCACTGCTTTGTAGTCAAAATTTGTTTCCCATACTCCTGGAATTCCGAAGATAACATGCATGACCCCCAAAGATCTTGACAAAAAGAAGTTCATGGATGATAATGATATTGATTATTGAACAAGTTCCATGGTTAAACTCCATCCCAAACATATAGCTAATGTCACAAGGGAACCATTGATGTATCTGTACACGGGCCACAAGGCCAAACCAAAAGATATGAGCCCGTTTGGTACGGGGCGCTCTGAAATTTCAAGATTTTTCCAATCCTGTAAAACATGAAAAAAAGAAATGGTATTCACATCGAGGCAGACGTGGAGTTCGAAGGGATTCGAGACAGGGAAAGGGAGCCTGCCGGAAGGAAGAAAGAGGTCTTCGACTATCCATATCGAAGTGCGGTCACGGTGAAACGCTTCGTCTATTTGTTCTTAGACTGCTTGTATGTGAAACGCTTGCGAGTCCTGTATCGTTCAATTCATACATTAGCACCATCGCAGCATAGCCAAGACCAGCCAATCGGGTCTCCGAGTCGAGTTGTTCAGTGGAGAGAATACATACGCGACGTATTCACCAAGCTTGCGGCCGACCATCTCCTCAGTGATTGTGATATCCTGGTAGGTCTTGCCGTTGTGAACCGCGAAGCGCAAACCGACAAAGTTGGGCAAGATTGTTGCGCTGCGCTTTGTGGTGCGGATCGGGGGAGTGCTCGGGGGAGGAGGGAAGACTCGGGGGAGGGGGAGACTAGAAGGCAATCCATGTTAGTTGCAATCGTCATATTGCTTCCGACCCTTTCGTAGAATGTTGCTGGGTTCCTGGCGGGAGACAGTTGTGTATGGGCTTGAAGCGGGCTGGACGTACGGGACGATGTTCGGGCCTGGCTGGGAGTTAGCAATTGCAACACATATGAATCAGTACTTTTGAGAAAGGACAGCCTACCTTTCCAGACCGACCGGCCCAACAGGGCACGTGTGGGAAACATGATGTGGCAGACGATCGGAGGAGGTTCCGTTGTGAAGCCGCGAAAGTTGAAAAGATCGGGGTTGTATTAGGTCAGCGGATGCACGGCATGTACACGAACGAACAAAGATGTTTCTCCTCTTCTTCATGCATGAGTACCTGATTCCCCCTTTTCTCTAATCCTCTACTTATTGTTAGCTTTAATCTCTTCAATATCCTTCGAAAGGAAGAAATACCAATATCTAAAATTACTGCCTGAACAATTTTGCCCTCACTAAACATCACTTAACTTGTGACTCCGCGCCTAAGTACTTGTCCACATACTGCTCCTGCTCAACATGCACGATCAGGCCATTGTGCCACAACCACAGCTGGAGATTTACAACCCTGTCATAGAATGGCTCCATGAGGATCAGACGTTTTATGATTTTTCCTTTCTTCCAACAGAAATTCGATTCATGATATGGGAGTTTGTTCTGAAAAACTCACGAATTATTCGCATCAGCCTCATTGTAGACGGAACGAAAGGCGACGATGAACCAATGCTCAGCTACAATGGATCTTACACTGCGCATTTGTACGACAATCATACAATCAGCAAACTTTTCCGAGTGAACAAGGAATCCAGAAAAGTTGCAAATGCCTTTTATCGAGTTCAATTCTCTTGCATACTTCAGAATGTCACCGGGAACAATGTCACGGAAACTTGTTATATCAATCCTGAATATGACACCATTCAGCTCGATATCAAGGGGAGTTCATCAAGTGCCAGCTTCATCCATTTTCTACACGCCTTGAAGAACTACGATCCACTCCATATCGGACTACTGAGCTTAGCTCTGGATAAACGCTCACTGCTCAACATTCATCAATTTGCCAGACAAGCAGGCCCCAACATTTCATCATTGGGATCCCGATCTGCTTTTCTAGCCCCCATCACTCAGCTTCAACATCTTTATTTTGTTAGCACACATGCAGCTCGCCAGGTTTTCAACCGTGCAGCCCCCTATAACTGGCCAATGTTTAACCGCGCATTACCCATCAGACCGGTGACATCCGGCTTTGAGCTTCTCCATCGAGATCCACGCTCGATAGAGCTAGACCTTGCCCGTCAACACTTGGGCGAAGACCCCCGAGAAATGATCATCGCTTGGCGGGAAATTCTACATACATTGCAAATATGGCCTACCAAGATCGACTATCAGTTCATGTTGGCTTTCCACCCCCCTACTGGAGTTCGGATATCAAACCAGGGAAACGCACTTCAATGGTTGCGAAGTGAGGATGCAGAATGGCAAGGCGCATGGCGATTGGGTGACAGTTTAAGGAACGGAAACTGGGCTCTTAGATACTGGGAGTTTACAGACCGGTTCGGTGAATGCGAGATTGGTGCTCTCCACGAACGAAATCATAATGAGAATCTTGAAAAGGCTGTCAAACCTGCTTTTGGCTTTTGGCTGTTTCCACTCAGGACGATATGTAAGTGGCCAGAGGATACAGCGGATGAAAATTGGGATGTATGGCCAGCAACGTGTTCGCTGGCTCACGAATGGCCGGCACTTGCATTATCCTCTCTCCCATGATGATCTGTGTGGGCAAATGTAAGCTCAAGGTTCATCCAGGGAACCTTGACAGCCCCGGCAGGCCCCAGGTGACTTATGTAGTATCCATGGATCTATAAACGCATGAAACCCGAAATCCGAAATACTAGTATCCAGATGTAATATAGAACACTGTGCACCACTCCGATATCATCATAAACAATGATTCAATGCTTGGATATATGTAGTAGTAGCTACAAACATTGAATAAGTGAAAGCTAAATCGCCTCAAACATGCGAAGATTCCAGCGGTCGCCTGCGACCAGTTGAGACCCATCATACACATCTATATAAGTATCATCATCAATCGGTAAGGTCATCCAGTATCTTGATCAGGCTACGAATTCCTTGCAGTATGTTCTCGTCAGGGCCTTCACCAGGAGTCCATTTCGCATGCGCGAAGTCGATCACTCGCAGGTCATGAACCTTGGGCGTGTCTTCATCGTCATCATCATCGCCCAAGTCTAGTTCCGGCATTGGAGCTGTCTGAGGGTCGATGCTGATGTTGATCACCTTTTGAGGCATTCCACTGCCAAGCTGCACATCCACCAGTTCAAATGCTTCTTCGGAGAAATCGAAATGAACATCCTCATCATCTTCCTCTTCCTCTTCTTGAGGTTGTTGTTCAGAGAGTCTCCTCTCTTCTTCCAGTGCAACCTCCATCGCTTCCGGATCTGCTTCGTATACCACCAGCACACTGGAAGAATACATGCGACTCTCTTCGGACTCAAGCACCTGTTGAACATTTCTTAATTCCTCCACAAGTCGCCCCGCGATCATTTTCGACCGATCCACTGTGCCAGCTTTAGCACCCGCCAGGAATGTCTCGAACGCTTCCTTGACATTCCCTTCATTGAAAGATCGTCCATACCACTTGTCATAACGTCGGTATCCATTTTTCTCCACGACTTCACCCTTCTCACCCTCAGCACCTTCGTATTTTGTAGCGTACGGGTTGGTCCGAGCGCCTTCATCTGCCTCCCCATCCTCGCCCGTCCAGACCTTCATCCCCGCGATCCGAAATCCCAAGCTCGAGCTCGTGGTCTCCTTGGACACTGCATCTAGCTTCGTGCGCTTCGCAGGCGGCGCGTCATCAGCCCATAACCGTGCTCCAAGCTTAACGTCCAACACATTCGGTCGGCGGAACCCTGCTGCGACATTTTCCAGCACGACCGAAATACCAGTCTCCAATTTTTTGCCCTCGGAAGGGATCCACGGCTCCTCTGACAAAATTCCAGCACCAGTTGTTCCTTCGAGTGGAACAGCCGTGCCAGCCGCCGCAGCAGCGGCAACAGTGGAAGCAGCAAGAGCGGGCAAAGCAGGTGTCGCGGGCTCAGCAGGATCCGTCGGGGCGTTTCCGAGTGCAGGTAGGAAGACGGCACCGGACTGTTGGGCCGCAGCGATCGCAAGCGGTTGCTGATGGCTAGCTGAGGACAGCGAGCCGACGAAAAGGGGCATGAATTCTTGGAAGGAAGGGTGGAGGGCGCTGGATTCGTAGAACTCGACTTCTTGTCTTGTGCAAGGCTTGACGATTAATGACCCCGAGAGAGTCCGGCGGACACCTTCGCTGTAAGAAGCCATGGAGAGATTAGCTTTGATCGTTAAATCCACGGAGGCGATAGGAGAGAGCTGGAGTGCGGTGGTGGGTCATTTATCCCTTGGGTATTTGCCTTTCACGCGTTGGCGACCGCCCGCGTAGCTGTAGCTGTGTGTCGCGTGGGGAATCTTAAGAGGCTGAGTGGGGGCAACACTTACTGTCCCGCAGCGACATGATCGAAAGGTACCAGGTCGTCGCTGCCTAGTAAGGGAGTTTTGCGATTGTCTGACTTTGTGGGCATGTTGGTGGGAGGTTTTTTGCGGCTGTTGCCTTGGTCGCTGCTCATTGCATGCCGGATGACTCAACAGAATGTTGCGGTTTCCAATCGGCGATAGAGCGGAAAGAGATAGAGTGTTTGAGGTCGATAGATTTGAAGGGACAGTGTAGATAAAAGGGGGTTTTATGAGTCTTTCAGAGAAATGAGGACTCCAGGAGAAGCTGTCGGATACAGTAATACACTATTGACGGCCCGTGAAACCCAGTGCAGAGGCCAACCTTATTACTGAGGCGTTGTGATGTCGGTCAGCCCTACGGCTTATACAAATCTCTTTCTCTCCAAAACCCGAATGCTGAAGGGGAAGGGGAAAGGCTTATCAAATAGATGAAAATCGTATTGGTATTCATTTTATTTTTTTCTTCCTTGTCGATCTACCATATAGAAACATGATTGGTGGTGATCAATTCCGTATGTCCGAAGTTCTCGAACCCTTCATGTACCAAGGTGATGCCTACTAGCTTAGTATGCAGTAAGCACTACACGCACTACTACAGTATACATATTCAACTATCGAGTCAACTGGCAGTATGAGATAATTCACAACTACTATGATCCAAACCAGTTGTCACATAACCTTGGAAGCCTCAAACTAGGACCAAGATTTGCCACGAACATTTTAAATAAGTAGTAGATGCCTACATACTACCAAAAATGGCCATATACAAGAAGGAATAACGGCAAGAAGCGGATCAATAGAATATTAAGAACCCTCAACATTGAAAAGTTAGCAGCGGTATACAGAAGTTGAGGCTGCTATAAACACAGGAGAATACATTAAAAATATCTTGATTTTTAAACCCCTATTAACCCCCTTTCCTTATGTTCAAATCCTCTAAATCTAAAATTGAAATTGGAGTAAGATCAGACCCGAACTTGGAACATATCAAAATCTGGGCCTTGTATAAGCAGGCAAATTAATTTCATTGGACCCCGTCCGATGGAATTAGCCCTATAGGTTAGACCGTCTAAGATTGAACTTCAACACAACAAAATACGGGCAAAAATTTGTTCAGCTACAGGCTGAAGGTAGTTGACCTACGATTAGAATGCATGACGGATTTACTTGAAAAGGCTGTTGTGATTGGACAATGCATGTTCATGGGAAAGATGTCTGCCTCGGGCAGACATCGTGCAATCTGGCAATTCTACCTACCTCCTCTTATCACTGCTTTGTTATTGTTGTGACAGTCGGGTATTTCTGCTGAAATCAATCTTAAAAATTAAGCAGCCGTTCATTTCCTTATCTGCTGTGTATACGCTCCTTCAAAATATCAACCCCTGCAATAACTTACCCAAAAGCTCCAGTCCGCTCTGGCGAAAAGAAATGAGCAAATCGCTTCACTTAATAGCACTGCCTCATTGGTGCGGGAGTGAGCAAACTTCTCACAAGCCAGGAACGCCTTATCCAGATCCTCTGTGAAGGCCATTGTATATGATAACGAGACAGCTACTAAATCTTTCAACTGCTCCATATGTTTCGGGCTACTCGTCATGGTAACATTGAAGACTTTGCCAGCCAAAGGGCCTATCAAATGCGCTGCGTTCCGACCCAGGGCGATGCGCTTCTGATACGGGTACGGGGACGGCGTGGATGGCCGCGTGTCTGATGAATAGTAGGAGCGGATATTCTCTTCATGAGGTTGAATTTCCAAACGAACCCCGAGAATCGCTTGATATCGCCGAACCTTGGAGTTAAAAAGTTCAGATCAATCTAGAAGTATTGCGATGGTTCGGATACGAGACCATGTTGAGATTGGGCAAGCGATCCGCGTCGAGCTGGGGGCTGGGCCCGGCGCCTCGGTCCTCGCTCCAGACCAGAAAAAATGCCCTTACTCGCCATCTGCTTAAGATATGGCCCATGGGCTCTGAGTTGGCAGGCTCGGTATGTAGCATGCCAGCCAGCAGACGCCATCATGAATTAGTTGAGGCTCGAAAGGGATCACAACCTGACGATCGGGTCCTTGAACGGCTTCGACAATTTGGGATAGTAGGTCACTGCATTCGTTCCCCGCCCGTGTCTGCTGAGTGCATATTATCGGGATCTTGTAGAATAGAGTAAAGCGTCCAAGCGTGTACGAGATATGGGCCTAATGCAATCCAATATGCACGTGGTCACCTGGAAACAAGGTAGAGGCTAAGCTTTTAATGCCTTCATCATGTCGTATTAACAAATCAGAGGGCCTTTGGAGACTGTATAGGACAGGTGTATTACCACCAATTGCAGGTTTGGTATGAAATTTCCAACTTTTGCAGCATATTGGCTAAGACATCTACTGATGATACACAGAAATACACATGTCAGTGCAACATGACTTCTACAAGGAGTGCCGTTCACCGAATGAGCCCCACTAAGACCCCTTGCATAGCGCACCATAATTAACAGAAACTCCCGGTTGAATTGTTTTTAATGTAATGCTAGACCTGGCCCCAGCTTGGAAACCAGGCCAACAATTTTCTCTAAACTCGTTGTCAACTATCACATTCAGCGCGACCCACAAGACTGTCACCACAACAAAAATCACCATCATGACTAGACAGGAGATCCCCAGGGTGTCTGCCACCAGTGAAGTCGGCAAGATATGGCCCACCGTCCAAGAGCATGGCGCCACTATTATCAAAAACTTCCTTCCCCCCGACGTGGTACTTCGTTTCAATCAAGAGATCGATCCCCACGTCAAGATCGAAACGGTACCAGCTGCACAACTCAAGGACTGCCCCAACCATGTGTTGTCTACCACGACTCGAATAACAAATGTTCTAGCCGAGTTGTCCAAGACTTATCGGGAGGATATTCTGAACAATAAAGTTCTCAATGACATCTCCGAGGAAGCCTTCAAAGTGTACGGAGACTACTGGGTGCTGATGGGCGCTGTGATGGAACTCGCCCCAACAAATCCAGCCCAACCGCTCCACCGGGACATGCGCTACAGCCACCCAATTGTCGATTATCTCAAACACGATGCCCCTGCCACCTCGATCAATCTACTTGTTGCCCTGGCACCATTCACCGCCGAGAATGGAGCCACCCATGTCATTCTCGGAAGCCACAAGTGGACTGATATTAGTCAGGCTACCATGGATCAGACCGTTCGCGCTATCATGAATCCAGGTGACGCCCTGTTGATCACGGACAGTACGGTTCACTGTGGAGGTGCCGATATCACTGGCACGGAGACTCGGCGTCTCTTATCCTTGACCATGGGTGTCAGTCAGCTTACTCCGCTGGAGAGTAACTCCACCGTTCCCCGTCCCATAATCGAGAGCATGACGCCTTTGGCTCAGAGACTCGTGGGTTGGGGTAGTCAGAAATCCTCTGTCCCTAAAGATATCGGATTATTGACCATCCGTGGAAAGTCAATCCAAAAGGTGATGGGGTTGAAGTCCGAGAAATTACTGGAGGAAAGTGGCTCTACCTGAAGATCGAGCTGGGCATCGCCCTCGGAACATTTGAAAGAGCAAGATGGAGCTCATTATGTCTGCAGACATCTGGAGACAATGACATAGGATAGAGCATGAGCACTACACCTTATTCTTGAGGCATAGGGTAAAATGCTGGTCTCTCTCGCAGCCACCAGTTGACCAAAAGCATACAATTCCTCCCTTTTTTCTTCCCTTCCCATACTTAGACTCGTTTTGTTAAAGACCTGCCTAATCACGTACATCTCAAGAGCAACGTCTGGCAGAACGATTTTATGCTCAATATGTAAGCCTTTAAGGCACTTGAGAAGAATCAGACGACGATCTGGTAGAGGAGGTGGTGATATCTGTTGTGGTATGACATCTGGAGGCTGGTGCAGATGAGGAACCAAGCAGAACCATCGAAATTCAAATGTTAATCCCAAAGTATACATATGTACGAAGAACCAACATTTGAAGTTGATTGGAAATCAACTTCAAAGATCTTCTCGTTGTATATATGTATATAGCCTGATGTTTGCCTCTGAATAAATAAGACAACTAACATTTGATTTGATTGATACCTCCAGATGTCTGAACTACAACAATATCCAGTAAATATGCAGTGCTAGTAGTAACAATCCCCCAAGCAAACGCTCTGCTTTCAAAATATTCGTTCTTGTTCAAGGTTATTTAGCACTCCTTTATTCATTCTTTTGTTTTCCTGTCATCAATTTTTGCTTTGTTTCAGCATGATAAAGATGCTGTATACAGTGCTTTTTCTTTCCAAAGTTATGTCTCTTCTTGACGGTGTCATTTTTTGGGTTGTGGGCCGTGGCGGGCCGTACGAACTCTATTGGTCTGCCGGCACATACATACTATAGTCTATGGCACATACTACGAAGTATGCACGGACCAGCACGGTTGAAGCGCGGTGGGGCAAGGCAAGAGGGCTAGAATGGTGTAGAGCTTTACCGCCTCCAGGACACTCCCGTAATTATCCGTTGCAACTCGAATTCAACCACTCAAGAATGACAACTGCAACCTTGAAAGGGTCACATGCTCTGAGGATTCGATGAAGAATAAATTTTCAATGTTGTTTATGCTTGCCTTGGCACTCGATGCCTGAGTTCCCTTGACAGCCCTCCAATGTCAGTCCGTGGATCTACCATCCGTGCTCTGCTGAGTCTAGACTCTAGACTATCAAAATTGCGGTGATTTCCTCATAGGCTCCGCACTGCTAGCAAGAATGTTGACAGTGGTAGCAGGACATATATTATCGATTGAAAACTTATTTCCAGCTGTCGATTGATTTCCCAGCAATGTAATCATGTCACTCCAAGGCTCGTCCATTCCCAGCATGTATGTTGGATTGCTGGTCAACAGATGTTTGGTCAGGAACTTAGGACCCCCTTACTGGAACTCATACCATACCTAGTAGTGAGGATGTTCAGGATAAGCAGCGGCCCCTTCATCCCTGATCGGAAGAAAGTGGTTTCAATTTCGACCCAACCTCAAGTCGCGGAATGAGGTGCTTCGGCCCACCCGGTTCGATTGGCTCATTTTCGAAAGGGACCAGCCTCTCTCCAGCCTTGATCCTCTACTATATATTCAATATCGACGATCTGGGACGGTCACACCTTTTGAAAGATCCGTGGACGCGATTTTAAATATATTTCTTTGAATATTAGCAGTAGCCCTGTCGTCCGGCAAACGGAAAGCTCTTGTTTACGACTGCAGTCAATCTCATAATGAGTGTTTTTTCTGAGAAAGACGGTGCGCTGCCAGATCTTGGTGATGAAAAAACAAAAAATAGTCAAATCTCCATCCAGGAAGTCACGACACATCCTAACGGTCTCATTGAGGAAATCAAAATCCTCAATCGCCTTAATCCGAGCGCAACCTACCAATGCAATGGAAAGGAGCCAAAATCGGTCTCTTTGCTCGAGGTGATCGTTGAACATGCAAAAAGCCGTCCCCATCATGCGGCCATTTGCGCTTCGGATGGAACACTATCCTACGCGCAACTAGAACAAATTACGACAAGATGGGCCAGCCATCTTCAAACACAGGGAGTTGGACCTGGTTGCCTAGTTCCGATGATGATGGACCATTCGAAGTGGGCGGCCGTTGCGGAAATCGCCATCCTGAAAGCTGGTGGCGCCTTTGTGCCATTGGATCCGGCCCAGCCAGTAGCCAGACTGGAAGACATTGTCCAACAATGTGATGCGAGACTTGCTGTTTCGTCTAGTGGCCACATCAACAAGTTATCAAACCTTGGAGTCACTGTTGTTCCGATGTCGGAGGAGACAACAAGAGGCCTGCCCTCGGCCGATACTCTTAGACCTGTCCCACCTGATCGCACTGCTTATGTTCTCTTCACATCTGGAAGCACAGGGTCCCCGAAGGGATGCGTGATCAGCTACGGGGCTCTGAGCGACGTCATACATCAAACCAAAGCACTGAAAATTGCGCCTGAGAGTCGGGTGCTACAATTCGCTTCATATACCTACGGAATGTCTCTGATTGAGATTTATTGCACACTGTCAGCTGGAGCGACGATATGTGTACCCTCAGGCAACGATAGAATGAATGCGTTGAACAGTGTTATCCGATCTATGAAGATCTCATGGTCGATCTTGACTCCTTCAACAACATTGTCGATTACGGACTCGGTGAACTACCTGCAGACACTAGTTGTTGCAGGCGAGACCTTGACGCTCGACCGTGTTCACGCTTTAGCAGACAAGGTTGAGCTTATACAAGCTTTTGGCCTAACGGAATGGGGTGGAATCTGCTGCGTATCGCAACGAATTACCTCGCAGTCCGATAGACAAGTCATTGGCCGGTCCCCAACTGCGCATCTCTGGCTTGTTGACCCCGATGACACCAATAGATTGGCCCAGGTCGGTGCGGTTGCTGAGTTGTTGGTTCAGGGTCCGGCTCTCGCAGACGGGTATCTAGGGCAGCCCGAGAAAACAGCCGCAGTGTTCCTGCAACATCCTCCCTGGCTTCCCTCGTCGGCCACTGATACCCGTTTATACCGGTCCGGCGACTTGGTGCAATACACTTCGAACGGAGACCTCCGATATGTCTCGAGAAAGGACGCTCAAGTCAAGATTCGGGGTATGCGGGTTGAACCGGCTGAGGTAGAATATCAGATCCGGCAAGCATATTCCCAGCTGGATCAAGCCATTGCCGTTGCCGCAGCTCCGAAGGATTCCAACGGAATTCCTATCCTCGTCGCCTTTTTACATTCGGGAAACCAAAACGACCTATCAGGACAGACTTTTTTGAATATGCTGGAGAAGATCAAGAAATCTGTAGTTTTGACACTTCCAGATTACATGCGCCCCAGCGTATATTTTCCGTTGGACTCGGTCCCACTCACAATCTCGAGAAAGGTGGACAGAAAAGCTTTGAAAGAGATTATTCTTACTTCAACACGTGAAGAGCTGGAGATGCAGCAGTCAATCTCCGCATCGATAGTCTCCCCTCAGAATGAAGTTCAACAAATGACACTGGAAGTAGTCGCCGAGGTGCTTCATTTAGAACCAGGTTCATTTGGCCTGGACCACAACTTCGTCAGTCTTGGGGGTGACTCTGTCACAGCTATGCTGTTGGTGAATAGATTCGCGAAGCGTTGCTACGATATAACAGTCGGACCACTCCTTAGCGCACAAGCACTGTCTCAAATCGCTTCACTGCTTCAACCGCGAATCCAACCTAATACCAGCGAAGTGAGGCAGAATGATGTCGCAGCTAACGCGCAGTTGAAGAGTCACGCTGAAACGAACACGTATATCACTATCCCTAGGCTCGCTCACGGCGGTTCAATCGAGCAATCATTTTCACAGGCGCGAATGTGGTTCCTGCAAGAGATGCATGCGAACTCGACTTGGCTGCTCCTCCCGCACGCCACGCGCTTTCGGGGCCAATTGAAGCTCGAAGCTCTCAACGCCGCCATTTCCGCGGTGGTCGAGCGCCAGGAATCCTTGCGAACCACTTTTACGAGCCGAAACGGAGTTGGATTGCAAGTCGTCTCCCCTTTCCGACCCCAATCATTGAAGGTGGTGGACATGACTTCCGCGTCGAACGACGAGCTCATGAGTGACATCTACCAGCTACAAAATACGCCTATGGACCTCACCAAAGAGTGCTGGCGTGTCACTCTCTTCCGATTAACCCCCACGGACCATGTGCTTTCAATTGTTCTGCACCATATCATCGCTGACGGCTGGTCATTTGACATCTTTGTGAAATCTTTGGGAAAATATTATAATGCTGTCGTTCGAGGTCAGTCTCCGCTTCACGTCGACGCTCCTCTTCCAATCCAGTACCGGGACTTCACCGTCTGGCAGCGACAAGAGAAGACTGCCGTGCATGGAGAGCAGCTCGCTTACTGGGAGCGACAGCTGGATGGTAGCCACCCGCTCGAGTTTCTGTGTGATAGGCATCGACCCAGCATGCTCTCCGGTGAAGCTGGTTGGCTGCCATTGAAGATTGACGGCTCTCTCTACCAAGATCTGCACCGTTTCTGTCGCTCTCACCAGGTCACCCCCTTCTCTGTGCTATTAGCCGCTTTCCGGGCGATGCATTTTCGCCTCACTGGGGCCAGTGACGCAACCGTTGGCATTCCCGCTGCGGCTCGCACGTGCACTGAGCTGGAGGACCTGATCGGTTATTTTGGCAACGTTCAATGCATCCGGACTAAGGTTGAAAGTCAAGATCAGTCCTTTCGCCAACTTGCAGATCATGTCCAATCAGTCACTACTGATGCTTTCGAGAATCAAGACGTACCTTTTGACAAAATCGTTTCTCGGCTGATGAAGGATCGCGATGTCTCTCGCCACCCACTAGTTCAGGTTACGTTTATTCTACATCCGCAGACCAATTTTGGTCAGCTCCGACTGGAAGGTCTTCAGATAGAGGAACTGCGTCTTCCACGAGTCTCAAGACTTGATCTCGAATTCCATCTTTATCCCGGAGATGACTTCTTTCAAGGAGATATCCACTACTCTGTGGACCTGTTCAATAAGGAAACAATTCAGGGAATGCTGTCAGTGTTCTACGACATCCTTCGGGAAGGCCTTCGTTACCCAGACACCGATGTAGGCACCCTTGCCTTGACTGACGTTCATCATGCTTTGAATGAGCAAGGATTGATCTATCCAGAGCTCCAGGCTCCTGCTCCCATGTTGAATATTATTGACATTTTTCTCGAGCAAGTGGCCACTCATTCAGATGAAATCGCGATCCAAGACAGCAAAGCCCGGCTCACCTACTCCGAGCTCGATCGGAGATCCTCATCTCTGGCTGCCTGGTTGAAAAAACGATACTCGTTATCATTGGAAACTCCAGTTGGGGTCTATGCTCCTCGATCTTGTGAGGGTATCATTGCCAATCTCGGTATTTTGAAGGCGGGGCTTGCGTATGTCCCCTTGGATATCGATGCTCCCAAGAACCGCATTGAGACGATTCTGTCCTGCCTGCCAGCTTGCCAGCTTGTCCTGTTGGGATCTGATCAGATACCCCCTGCTATCTCTGTGCTGGGCGTCAAGTTTACCTATATCTCGCACTCATTGGGTGAGACGACGGTGGATGAAGGGCGAGAATTCATGAGCACCGCACCCATCACCAGCCCGACCAGTCTGGCTTGTATTTTGTTTACCTCTGGTACGACTGGAACGCCCAAGGGAGTAATGATGGAACAGTATGGCATTGTTCGACTAGCTAAAGACTCCGAGATTGTCGCACACGTCGCCGCATCCAAGGTTTCGTCATATATGCTGAGTCCCGTTTTTGACGCCTCTGGCTTTGATATTTATCCCGCTTTGTTGAACGGTGGCACCTTGGTGTGTATTGACCGGCATGACACCTGGGACTATGCAGCGCTACAAGAGACTTTTGTGAAGAAGGAGATACGGCGCGCCGTGATGACGCCGGCAATGCTGCGTCAGTGTCTCATCTCTGCCCCGGGTCTCATCAGTGGGCTGAATATCCTCTATGTTGGAGGCGACAAACTGGAACCGGCCGACGTCACCAAGGCGCGGCGCTACAACCACAGCCTTCAGATTTTCAATTGCTACGGGCCCACCGAGAACTCGATCATCAGCACGCGGTACGCTATTCCTGACTACGAGTCAGGCGTTAATGGCATCCCTATTGGGCGCGCAATTGTCGGGTCGGGCGCTTACGTGATGGACTCCAACCTGCGTTTGGTCCCCATCGGTGTCCTGGGCGAACTGGTAGTCACCGGGTTAGGACTCGCCCGAGGCTATGTGAATCCCGAACAAAACCTCAATCACTTCGTGACCATCGACATCGGTGGCAGCTCCGTTCGCGCCTATCGAACCGGAGACCTGGTTCGATACAGGTCCTGTGACGCCCAGATGGAGTTTTTCGGCCGCATAGACCAGCAGGTTAAGATTCGGGGCCACCGCATCGAGCCTGCGGAGATTGACAATATTTTACTTGGCAACGACTTCGTCACGTCCGCCGTTACAGTGTTGCAGAAACGGGACGCCCAGGCGGAGCCAGAGCTTGTCAGCTTCGTTACGGTGGACGACTCTAAGCAGAATGCTGCCCGTTTGGAGTCCCAGATTCAGAGAGACCACATTGACACCTGGCGAGATAGAGTGGATGCAGATGATCACTATGGTGGCGTTGATAGGATCCAGCCGAATACCGTCGGTCGAGACTTCCTGGGCTGGGTCTCTATGTATACAGGCGAGCCTATCGATGATATGGAAATGAGGGAATGGCTAAATGATACCATTGCCGCCATCCGCCGGTTGGAGCCCAATCGGGCGCTGGAAATCGGAATGGGCACGGGAATGATTCTATTTAATCTGATTGACAGTCTTGACCACTACTTTGGCTTGGAACTGTCTAGTCAAGCGGTTGAGTTTGTTCAAAAGGCAGCGGGCTCGATTAAAGGGTTGGCGAACAAAGTCAATGTACAAGTCGGCACCGCAGCCGATCTGGCCGCCTTGAAGACTGCAGGGCCGTTCGACCTCGCGATCATAAATTCCGTGGTGCAGTACTTCCCTTCGGTATACTATCTGCTCAGAGTGATCTTGGACCTTATCCACTTGCAAGACGTCAAGTGTATCTTCTTCGGTGATATACGCTCGTACGCCTTGTATCAGGAGTTCCAAGTCAGCAAAGTTCGACAGCTCTACGGTCACACCTTGACCGCGCCGGATTTCAAGGGGCGAATGGAGGAAGCAGCTCGCTCTGAGAAAGAGCTACTGGTAGATCCGACTTTTTTCACTTCGTTGGCCATGGAATTGCCCGACCTGATCGAGCACGTCGAGATCTTGCCCAAGCAGATGAAATTCACAAATGAACTCAGCTCCTATCGATACACGGCCATCCTGCACATCAAGCGCTATCATCAGCCACGGTTGAATGTTCGAGAGGTCGAGCAGAGCTCATGGGTTGATTTTCAAATACAAAAATTGGACTCCCGATCCCTGGCGCAGCTGTTAAAGACACCTGGAACTTCCCCCGTTCTCGCCATCAGCAACATCCCTCATAAAAAGACGATTAAAGAACGATTCATAATCGATACTCTTCAATCCTCGATGCTGGAAACCAGTCGCGCGGGGTGGAGTCTGGATGCCTGCAAGAGAGCCGACACTTACCCGGCACTAGCTGTACATGATTTGCTAGATCTTGCGCAGCAGACCGGGTGGGAGGTGGAGATCAGTTGGGCAAGACAAGGCTCGCAGCGCGGCGGGTTGGACGCAATCTTCCACCGTCATGCTGCCACTGAGGGCAGAGGCCGTGTGCTATTTCGATTCCCAACCGATCACCACCAGCCCGGCCCCATCGATGTTTTCAGTAATAACCCATTGAAACTGCAGCGAAACCAACTGATCGAAAGCCAGCTCTTGGAGAGACTTCGTGCCAAGCTTCCGTATTACATGGTGGCCCAGCTGGTCCGTGTGCTGGACCGAATGCCAATAAATAATGTCGGCAAGGTGGACAGAAATGCTCTCGCGCAACGGAACGACATTGGTTTCCAACATGCCAGCACCAAAATTTCAGAATTGGCGTCCCGACGAGTGGCCTCGTCGTTCGCAAATGAGACTGAGCGCGCCTTGTGGGAAGAGTTCACGAGCGTCCTAGGAGTGGAGGTTGGTATTGATGATAGTTTCTTTGACGTCGGTGGACATTCCTTGATGGCCATCAAGCTCATTTCCATGATCAACAAGCGATTGGGATCGACTCTCCGCGTGACTGATCTCTTCCAGTATCCTACAATTACTCGTCTGGGCCAGCAATTGCAAGATTCCGGAAGTCGTGCGTCTACCGTGGTCGTCACCAATATCTAGATACGGAAGAAGCTTTCTCTTTAGCCGTCCATATCCAGGAGACAATTCAGCTTTTCCCGGCGGCTTCTGGAGTTTGGCTTCTGAAGTGCTGATGCAAGATGAAGACTCTTACCTTCTGGCAAGATTTGAAATGGGCTTCGACTTCATCCAGGAATGGCTTTCTCAAGCGAAGGGACTCGGTAGCCTACTAGTTGTCACGTTCGCACGGAGACAAATCTTCCCGGGGGTTAGCCATGTAAAATTAGAACTAGGGTTCTAGTGTATAGCGGAAATAGCGGACCATTAAGGTCCACCTTGCGGGAGCAACCGTTGTTCCCGCACTAGCTTAATCACTAATCAACCATATGAACTTCCTCCTACTAATACTAAAAATCGGACATGATAGTTTAATGGTAATTTTAGAGGAAATGGATAGCTTATATGAAAGACTAAACTTTGGTAGGACACCTATGCCCACCATATGTGCTCCACCGTCTTCCAGGCCGTTTCCGTGCACTATGACCTCGCTGAGTACCAACAGCTGCCAGACAGGACGAAGCCTAGGCCTTTGATGATTCACTCGCGTATGTCATTACTGAGGTCTGGCTGCGACCCTAGCCATATGAGGACAGGGTCACTGCAACCATCAACATTGCACTACACCTTTAAAGCAGAGATCTCACCATCTCATCAGATCCTGGAGAAGTCCGAATCAATATACTTAAGTCCATTGGTGATCTTAAACATTCTAGTGAGATCCATTGATCAGTTTCGGATTCTTTCTATCTTCACTCTGTTGAAATTCTTCGATTCCTGAAGCACAATGTCTGACTCATTGGACTCCACAGGCAGCAAGCGGTGCCCCCTGAGAGCTCATAGCTCAGGTAAAGCCGGCAGATCTAGAGTCGAGGTTCACAAGCAACTCAATGAATTATACTCGCGAGAGAGCGCCAGGCATCCGGAGCCGTATATTCACGTGGCGCTACACCACCATGACGCACTGGACGATCTCATTGCGAAGTTGCGGAAATCCGGACCCAAGGTCGAGGATGCGCTTCTCGAGGTCAAAGAGCAGCTTAAAGCCGGCTTGAACCCCGACATGCTGCGCGAGGCGATGAGCATCTATCTCACCCATTCGCAGGATGCAAAGGAACGCCAAATCCATGCACTGCCTCTGAAGGAGCATTCAGCCTTCAAACAACACAAAACTGAGGCTGAAACCAAAGGATCGAATCCAGTGCCTACCACGGTGTCCGGTGAAATTGTCACTCCCGACAGCCTGCAGGGCCCAGCATTGTTGTCTTACTGGCGCGACGACTATGACATGAACGATGCTCACTACCACTGGCACATTGTTTACCGCGGTGCCGGTGGTGACAACGCGCTCAACACCCGTACCATAAATCGACAGGGGGAGTTGTTCCTGTACACCCACTCGCAGATGTTGGCCCGATACGAGGCCGAAGGTCTCTGCTGGAACCAGCCACTAGTTCGTCCTTGGAACCTGTACGATGAGGTGCTGGAGTGGGGATATCAGCCAGTGCCTGCGCTGCAGGAATACTACTCGGGTTACGAGTCTTTCTCCTCGTGGTACCGCATTCGCAACCCCGACATGGCCGACGTCCCAGGCGTCACCATTGGCGTTGGTGATATGGAGGAATGGCGCGACAACATATATGAAGCGATTAAGAAGGGGTATATCGAGACCAAGAGAGTTACCAGGAACCGGATCCAGTACAAGCCCTTACTGCTGACCGGCGAAAACATTCTGAACTTCATCGGGGGCCTTCTCGACGCGCAATACAAGTATTTTGATAAGGAAGATAATGGCTTTGTAGTTGACCAGGATCGCTACGGTATTCTTTACAACTATGGGCTGGGCAAGTTTGCCGAAATGTCGTACCGCGCCGCTGAGAACGGCCACTACGGCCTCATGATCTCCAACTTCGGCGCCGCCCGCGACCCCTGCTTCTACCCTTGGACGAAGCACATTCAGGATTTCGGCCGCTTGGCAGGCGCTCGTTACCCGCAGGATATCACCCAGTATGGTGCTGAGGTTACGTTGTCCAATTTGGTGCTCCGGCCGCAGGACAGGAATCACCCTCTTTACAGCAAAGGAGGGGTGGTCAGTATCCTCGGGCCCCCTGCCACAGACATGCTCGAAACTAAGGCAAAACTGGATCATGAGCCTTATGAATGGAGTGTAGAAGTCACCAGCACCAAATCCTCTTCCAGAAGGAGTCCACAACATGTGACGCTGCGGCTGTTCATCGCGGCCAAGGAGCTGGTCAACCACTATCACCACTGGATCGAGATGGACAAGTATACAGTGACATTGACTGGCAATTCGACCACAGCTAAGGTGCGGCTGGATAGGGAATCCTCAGTGGCGCGGAAGATGTACAATTACAGTGAACCGGATCCGGCTCACGCCTCATCCTGGTGTCGCTGCGGGTGGCCGCAGAACATGATGCTGCCGGTGGGACGAACGGAGGGGATGTCGTTCGTGGCCTTCTGCATGGCCACTGATGACAAGCTGGACATGGAGAACGTCGAGACCCCGTCAATCAGCTTCTGCGGTGCCAACGCTAAGAAGCAGACCTATCCGGACCCGCGTGGCATGGGTTACCCCTTCGACCGCGCCTGGACGCAGCTCGCAGATGCCACCACCGGCAAGATCTCGCTGGCCTCCATCATAGCCCCGGAGAACCCAGACTATCCGTTCCTCACTAGCAGTGAGTTCAAGATTTTCCGCACATACAACTGGCGCAACCCTAATGCGGTCCCGCCTCCAACCAATGTCACCTGGCACAACACTATCAAGCACTACTTTCAGGACCAAGACATCGCGTGCATGCGCAATGAGTACGGCTATAACCTCGGCCAGTACGAGGACGTCTTCTACCACCACGCTAACATCTACGAAGCCACCGTCAGTGGCCGCATGCCGCTCCAGATGCCCCCGTTTAGCCAGGTGAATCCCGATCCCGAACATCCGCTGTGGACCGTTGAGATGTGCGAGAACTTCCGTGCCTGGATGCTCAACAAATGCCCGAAGGGAGACGAGGAAGAACCCAAGGAAGTTCCTGTTTGAGGTGATAAACGGTGCAACGGTAAATTGAATTAGTGGGTCAAGATGTTGTTGAACTTCTTCACTTCGCAGCTTGATCTAAAGGCATTTTTCTGTAATAATGCGATTATGTAAGGGCCGGTTAGTGTCCACTGTCAATCAGGAATCAGAGACAAAGACTGTTTGGACCCACTTTGGGCCTCTCAGCCAATTAGGTGCTGCAAGAAAAACACAGGTTCCCGTGTAGTAGAGGGCCGGATAAGTAGTACTCAGCTGCTCAGCATCATCAAGACTCAAGAGCTCAAGGTTTATTCGTTTCGGCCACCCATTGGGATGTACACTCAAACGAAGAGTGGTGGTTATAGAGGAGTGAGGGTAAAAGACAGAACAGATCAAAAATTGTTAATTAATGAGACAACATAGCTATATTTTTCTGGTGCCTTTTGACAGACAGAAACTGCATGAATGGCACACAAAATAAAGACAGCCCAGCTCCAAAAAGGAAGACGTAAAATGTCATGCTTACCGCATCGTTGACCAAGAGCTTCAGCGAGGGGAGAACATCGCTTGGAATGTCCTTCGACAGACCTGCGGCTCCCATTGCAACTACCTTCTGCGGGTCGATTGAAGAACCTAAGGATTTCATCCTCAAACTAAGGACGCTCTGGAAAACATTTTGCGCCGCAGCAATGAACAATGTCGAGCTGAGATTTTGCCCAAAAATTATAATTGCTGTCGCGGTCGCTATGTCCTCACTAGTCAGAGCGGTTTGGACTGCAATCAAGGGTAGATTATAGCCAAGTCCAGCGCCCATGCCGACTAAGACCTGGTAGCCAATCCACTTAGAATGATCAGATGTCGGTTGCAGGGTGGCGCACATGCCACAACCATTGGTGAGCAAAATGCTGCCAACTGCCATCACTGGAGTATAGTACCCTATCCCACTGACAAGGACCCCGGCGACCAAACTTAACACTGTGATTGCGATAATCATCGGCAAGTTCATGATACCAGACTTGGTTGGTGAGGCACCTTTCACAAATTGGAGCCAAATTGGAAACTGACCGGTGTTTGGTATCAGTAATAATCCTTAACCAGAGCCGGGGGGGGGGTATCAGGTTGGCCTTTTGCGTTAGTGAAAGGGGCTGGCGGTACTCACATAATAAGCGATCCCATAGATTGCACCAGAGAGGAGGGCAGCATAGGCAGTTGCAGCCCAGACGTTACGCTGAGCGATCAGGCGAGGTGGTATCGTGGCCTTTTCTTTCTTGCTGTATTGAACATATATCCAGATGGAAAGAAGAACAACACTGAGAACGAACAATGTAATTATGCGTGCACTCTGCCACGTGTATTTGGAACCAGCCCACTGAATTGCCAAGACAAGACAGCAAATGGCAGAAATAAAGAGGGCCACTCCCATCAGGTCGAGGCTGTGTACTTTCTCTTTGATAGGGGTCTCCTGGTTCCGGGATATTGGCGGATCGCGATAGCAAAAGACGACAGCCAGGACTGTCATGCCACCTAGAGGGAGATTAATGTAAAAGCACCAGCGCCAGCTGGCATGCTCTGTCAATGCTCCACCGACTCTGAAGAAAAGAAAGCCTGATTAGTATGTTTGGAGCCAAGGGAAGGGAGGACTTACAAGGGGCCAAGCGTTCCTGCAACGCTAGCCATACCCATTATCACGGCATTTAACAAAGCTCGACGATGCAACGGTGCGTTTTGACTGATCATCAAAATCGCGCCCGGCATAATTCCTCCACAGCCTAATCCAGCCACGACACGACCAATGATCAGCCCTTTCGAGGTTGGGGTTACGCCACACACCAGAGACCCCACTTCAAATAGGCTAAGAGCTGCCAGGAATACCAGTTTGGTTGAAAAAAAGGTATATAATCTTCCAAATAGGAGATTCACGGAGCAAATTGCCAGAAAATAGGAGCTGCCATACCAACCAACATCTTCTATCGTTTTGAAGTGTTCTGAGATTTTGGGAATAGCGGTTGACAGGATAGTATTGTCCTATATCCAAGATTTCATGGTAAGTTTTACGCGCAGAGGTCCTTCTAGCCGTTGGAAAGCTAAACTTACCAAGGAAACACAGGATACAGACAACCCAAGTCCGATGATTAACAACGCTAGCTTGCCACGGCCAAGGTGATTTTCGGTAGAATCGTCATGACTCCGTTCAGCAGCGGCTGCATTTTCGTCAGGTGGGCTCTTCAATTGATGAAGTTCGTAATTGCTCTCCATCATTGGTTTATTTTGCATCATAAGGTGTAGAATGACAAGACAGCGTGTATTCGGTGCTCACCATAATATAAAGGGACTATAATCTATATGAATGGAATAAGGCGCTTCTTGCAAATCTTGGCTTAATGTTTGCGGATTTGTAAGTAAGGGGCGGCTAGGCAAAGCATTTTGAAAGTTATGTCAGCTTTTGATACAAATAAATCTACATACTACGTTGGCCTGGTTTCGGAGTGGTATTCTGGAGCATGTGGTTGCTAGGGATGAATCACTCAGTGCTTGTATGTCCTCGTCTCTTTTCGCTATACCATGTATTCACATTCCGTACGTTTGCATGCTTCCATTATCATCCATAAATTAGTTCTTAGTAATGCGCAGGCTATGGCAAATGGGGCACAAGATTAAGTGTTTGGATCTTTTCACCGTAAAGATGTGGCATCTGGGCGTGTATTTGTTGTATTGTTGTAGTTCAGAGGTATGAATTGTTCTACTATTCAGAGGCAAACATGAGGCTTTATATATGCACATTACAACAGGAAGATCAAGTTGATTGGAAATCAACTTGGTTCTTCGTATACATACTTCGAATTAATTCTGATGGTTCGGCTTGGTTCCTGATCTGCACCAGCCTCATATCACAACATTCCCCCTCAGGATCGCTTTGCTGGCAAGGCGATTCTGGAATTGCGCAGAGCACTCGGGTCTCGGTAAAACCATTAAAAAATCATCGTGGGAAAAGAAAGGAGAAAGAGCGCCTGTGCTGTCATATCTTTAGACATGTGCAAACATTTGAACCCTTGCCCACATGTGGGTCCCCATCAGCGGGTCCAAAGATGCATAAACCTTTATACAAAAGTCATAAATATAAATATTTTTTATTAATTTAAGTATTAAAATAATCAGTATCAATCTTTAAATTACTCAAATTCATAGTTCATAAATATAAATATATATACATATGTATATTATGGTGGTAGGAGTGGTAGTATTGTGCTCTTATGTAGTGGAAATATACTACACACATTGATGTGGTAATAGGTACTAGTAGGTATTGATTTGGTTTCAAATGTCTGACAAAACGGCACATATGTGCATTGACCGACACCAAGGGTGAACAAGGAAGAAGAGAGGGATATAGTTGACTAGGTACACAAAAGGAATCCCAATTCGTCAAACTCATAACTTTCCAAGGTTGGAAATCTTCAATGTTGACCTCCACAAGCATCCAAAACTTTCCTAAATTACTGCAACTGACTTTTGTGTATCAATGACTCGTCTTTTCGTGAATCACGCCCTAGTGACGTATGTCCCACAATAGATTAAAAAAAGCGAGATCGCTTCCAGACATATGTATATCTTCCTTGAACTAGCAGCTGTCTAGTCGATGTACTTGGGGAGGGATTTGACGACGCCATCACGGACAATTTCCTCAAGCGCGATTGTGATGGTATCAACGAAACGCTTATTGGAGCGCAGGTCCTCACCGAACAGGCTCTTGATGTTGAGCAATTCCATAGGGTTGGTGCCTCCAACTCGAGCCCTTGTCTGAATCTCCTCGAGCATAGGGTCTTGAACATTGATCTTCTTGCCGTTATCGTCCACACCGTTGATATAGTGGAACCAGGTAGCAGCGGTGAAGCAAAGACGACGGAAGGGCCCAGTAACCCAGATAGCCTCAGCAATAGTAGGCATAATGAACTGAGGAATCTTTCCAGTACCACCGCCACAAATACGGGGCAACTGGTCCATAATCGTAGGATTGGAGAATCGCTCCACGAGAGTGTGACAGTACTTATCGATGCTAACGCCCTCAATCACTGGAAGGGTGGGCTTTACCTCGTCCTGCATCATTTGCCAGATAAATTTGTTGAAAAGTGGGTCTTGCATAACCTCGTGGACGTAATTGTACCCTGCAAGCTGCCCACCATAGGCAATAATGGCGTGACTGCCGTTAAGAAGACGTAGCTTATGCTTCTCAAACTCCTCGACTTGTTGAACATTCTTGACAATTTGCACTCCAACCTTCTCAAAAGGAGGACGGCCATCGCAGAAGTGGTCTTCAATAACCCACTGCATAAAAGGCTCCGTAACAATTGGCCACGAATCCTCAATACCAAACTCCTGTGCGAGAGATGTTTTGTCGGCGGCGGATGTCTGCGGGGTAATGCGGTCCACCATGGCGTTAGGGAAGTGGGCCTTGGTGTTGATCCACTCTGCAAGCTCGGGGTTGCGGATACGAGCAAAGGAGACTAGCATATTACGAGTAATAGCACCATTACCCTGCATATTATCACAAGACATGACTGTGAAAGGGTTCAATCCCTGCTGACGGCGACGGTCCATAGCATGGTAGAGGAAACCAAAAGTGGTCTTGGGGGAGGTATTGGCAGGGTTGAGGTCGTGCTGGATATCGGGGTCCTCAGTCTGGAGCTCGTGCGTATTCTCATTGTAGTAGTACCCGCTCTCGGTGATAGTAAGCGACACAATATGGGTATCGGGGTGTGCCATCTTAGCAATGACGGCCTCGCGGTTATCGGGCGCGAAGAGGTAGGAGTTGATGCTACCCATCACTTTGGCAACGCTACCCTTGGCGGAACGCTCAATGGCGGTATAGAGGTGATCCTGTGAGCCTAGGGCGTCACGCATACCGACGTCGAATGGTGTCAGCCCAACTCCACAAATGGCGTAGTCGGTAACGCCATGGTGCTGCATAAGCTGATCAACGTAGACAGCCAGGTGAGCTCGGTGGAAGCCACCAACGCCAATGTGGACAATTCCCTCCTTGACGGCATCGCCGCGCGGATAGGTAGGGAATTGCACCGGCGCAGCGGAGGCAATCTGGGACAGGTTCTTGCTGTTGAGCTTCAAGGGAGCCATCGTGGGAGTAATTTGTACAAACTTGAAGAAAAAAAATCAAAGAAGAAGAAAGTGGGATAAATATTATTAAATAGCTGCGAACAGCTCTTTACTATGTACGTCACCGCCACCCGGCCGGTTTTGGCAAAATTGGGGAATAACCCACATCATGTGGTGGGATGCTGTGGGGGCCCCATCAGAACGAATGAGATAGGTATTCGTGTCACCGCTAACTCCAGCAGAAAGCTATCGACCGTATCACGCGGAAGCTTCAATATTTCGATTACTGAATTCCGATTTCATCATTACGAGAAGTGAAGGTCAGTGTGCAAAGGAAAAGGGCCTGTACACAAGAGAGAGCTACCAGGATATGGTCATCTGCGCATTCGGTTCTAGAACCCTTCCACTGTTGAGGGAGATTCTTTTAAAAGAACGTGCAGCTAAGAAACGAAAAGTTTGGAAGCGATACTAAAGAGGTATATCCGGCAATTGAGTTTCCCTGATCTAACCTGAATCGGTAATGAGTGGAGAGCTCCACGATTTTACATTACACAAACATTAATTACTATCGATCTTTTGTGTCTGTTTACCATACTGTACTATGGTACGCCGTTATCAAGATTAGTAATGGGACCAAACCTGGGAGATAGCCTGGTAATAAAACGTATATGGTATGCAGATAGAATACAGAGTTACCATGGTATACGGAGTCAATCTGACAGGAAATATGGGGCAAAGGGGGCAGTGAGCTCCGGCCCGGGGTAGCTCAAACAGGAGATCCCGTAGAAGCCGCTGCCGAATGAACCAGCTCTCCAATACTTGAAACCCAAAAAAAATCGATTTCGGCCATATCAGTCACATTTCTAACATATTCTAGCTCATTCTGATATTTACTACTACAGTGATTCTACCTTCCTCAATTTGAAGGCCTTCACACATTATGTAAAAAGCGGCAGCCCACATAAGAAGTACGGCAATGCCCCCACCCGAATGCTGTCTATGTAATCATTGATGCATATCGCCTCCAGAAGAGCTCAATGCTTAGTTTCCTTTGCCTTCTCATTTGTTCATTTTATCTATGGATATTGCCATCGTGCCACGTCTTCGGTCTTGACTAGCTTCTTGATCATGTAGAAGCAAGCCTCTGCTGATCTCCAAATCTGTACAATGATATCATGAGCTTTTCAGATAAGACCTCATACGTAAACCATCATCCAAATGTTTGCTCTTTGACACTGCATGTACTAAGATGAGGTAATTTGAATGCCCCTGCCTTCAAGTATAAAATCGCCTTGTTGGTCCTGTCTCTGTCTTAGCCTTGGAAGTCAAATTGCCACTTCAAAGTCGGGAAATCTGCTGAGGCATACCCAGTTGGTCCCCAAACCATGTCGCAGGTAGAACACCGGGGATGTCAAGCTCTGGTGTTTCAAATGTTCAATGATTGAGGGTCGTAAAATAAGATAATCATGACGGCGAGATCATATAAACTACTAGTAAAGAAAATCAGATGGTGCTGGGCAGCCTATTGACATATGCAGTGTAACGTTAATGATGAGCTTATTTAGGCTAATGGCCCTACTAAATTACAGACTAACTGTTTTGGAGTAGATCAAGCAGGGGTGCCAAAGCACCGATGCTTATCTTTCCCCCTATTTACTTTTGCTTACGCTCCCTCCCCTCTCTCTCATTTCATTTGTCACACTTCGGGGGGAAACAAAATAAAGAGTCCTGCAAGCTATACAGCCCCTCCGGAAAACCAGTCTGGAACACAATGGGGTATACTCTTCGACCAATAAACGACAAGGACATTACGGAGCTCGTAAGAGTTCACTCAGCTGCATTCCAGACGGACAGATTCTCAAACTTCATGCTTAATGGCAAAGCAGAAGGTACACATGAAAGGCTTATGGAGGGGTCCATCAAATCCTGGCTTTCTGATCCCACATCTTCGATGGTCGCGGCGGTCAAAAACGATGGAGCGATTGTTGGATGGGCATGCTGGCTGAGAAGGATAAAAGAGGAAGCGGAAGGAGTCACGCAGCCTACCCAAGCTAAGATGACAAGCACTACTCTGAATAGAGAGGATCAATCCTCCACAAAGGTGGACGATAGCGCTCCGGTTACAGCAGATAGGCTTGTCGCAAAATCTATGCCATCCCAGCACACCATACCAGACACACCGACTCGAGTCATCGGTCGCCAGATGCGAGAGGACTCAATGAGATGGGAATCATCTTCAATGCAGGAAGCACAGTATCTTGTTCTCCAAGCTCTTGTGACCAGCCCTGACTACCAACACCAAGGAGTGGGGTCTCAACTTGTGGAATGGGGTGTGGAATTGGCGGCAGTGGAGAGGCTTTCATGTTGGTGTCACGCATCACCTGCTGGGAATGAGTTGTATTTGAAGAGTGGGTTCCAAGAAGTGGGACGTAACGAATATGAGCTTGGGGAGTTTGGGAAATACATATTTCGATATATGGTTTATCGGGCGGGTTGAGGCTGTGTGGAGGCGAATGTGGTACCTTGCAAGGTGCCCACCGGGACAGAGCCCCAAAAGCATTAGTTGATCTGATACCATGAAGACAAAGTAAAGTAAATCAATAGATCAATAATAGCATCAAGTTACCCCACTTGCCCCCACTAGTTAGACCACGTGGCCTCACAGATGATCATGATGATTGTACTCCTCATCAAAAGTGATCGACACCTCGATCCATGGGTTTTTTCCCAGCATAAGACAATAACCAGTCTGTAAGGGACAAAGTAAGGAATAGCCCTGAGAATCCTAAAGTGGTCAAGTGTCCCCAGTGATCGACAAGATGGTAATCAAGTAAGAATCCGGCTTGATGAGCTGGAGTCTAGCGAGAACTTGCAAAAGGCGCGGGTCCCATGACCCCTCACTCGTGATTGGTCATCTGTTTGCATCACACATTCAAACAATTAGTACCTAAGATTTCTTAGCGGGGTAATTTCTCAACCTTGGATTTCTACCCTTATTGGTAACATCTTCTTGACACCTCCCCATCTTCTTGACACTCTCCCCATCCCTTTTTTCCCAACGCAACTATCACAACTTTCATCATGTCTGCTAAGGTTTACGTCGGGTATGTTGTTATTAGCTCAGAACCGACTCTCTCATTCCACTAATATTTTATTTAGTAACCTCTCCTGGTCCACTGACGACAACAGCCTCCAGGGAGCTTTCTCCCAGTTCGGCCAAATCGTCGACGCTGTACGCATACCCCGACTTCCATCCGCCATTCACCGGAAAGTGAGGTCAAAGTTCGATCGAGTGAGCTAACTAGTTGATTAGATTGTGATGCGTGACCGTGATACCGGCCGCAGCCGCGGTTTCGGTTTCGTCACTTACTCCTCCGCTGAGGAGGCTGAAGCTGCTATCGCTGGCCTGAACGAGCAGGAGTACGTTTCATACATTTGAGCAATACAGAAACCAAGAAAAAACTAACAGATCGTCTTTCCCTCACAGGCTTGATGGTCGTCACATCAAGGTCAACCTTGCCCAGGCTCGTGGCAACGGTGGTGGTGGCCGTGGTGGCTACGGCGGTGGTGGTTACGGCGGTGGCCAGGGCGGCTACGGCGGCGGCCAGGGCGGCTACGGTGGTGGCCAGGGCGGCTACGGCGGTGGTCAGGGTGGCTACGGTGGCCAGCAGGGCGGCTACAACGGCGGTGGCTACTAAACATTCTCGGCTTGACAAGGCACAGCGAGGGGGGTTTAATAGGAATGGTGAAAAGGGTGTGAGCTGGAAGAATTAGCAGCTGTCACAGTGCAAGGGCTGGATCTCGATCTCTTCTCCCTTTTTCTTTTTTTTCTTCAGCGAAAGGACAACAGTCATGGCTATTTTCAAGACCCTCGCCGACACCGACGGGATTTCGTTTTTAATTCAAATACCAAAATGTGTCAGCCCCGGCTCGTGATCTTAAAGACTTAGAACAAGAGCGGCAACACACTCGTGAGAGAGAAAAGACCTAACAATACGACCCACGGTCTCAAAACACGCAAGCACCCCTTTTGTTACTCTCTTGACGATTTCCTGCGATATCGCTCAGCTTTTGCAAGAGTTTATTTGAGGTGTAAAAGCCTCCCCCCCCCCCTTCATGCGCTGTACAAATCGCCCACGGGCCTCGAGCATGGCCTAAAGCGCTCTCGCGCAGCCCCACCGGCAACGAGGGGTACGGGTGAGAGCCAAAGCCACAAACGCCACAATGGATTCACGATGATCATTTGACTCCATTCTGGGAACATCTAAAGATAACCGATTCAACCCTGAATCCCTGATCAACTTATATTCTCAAAGCTTAATTCCATACTTCCGAGTCTCCATATTCTATCTTAACTCAACATCTATTCTTGTTGACTGGTCGCTCTTATGTCATGCTGTACACATGTTCATTGTGATTAAATATCAATTGCCACCGCCTTTTCAAATCAAATCGCCAAAGCCAACTCCACAAAACTGTCGTACTCAAAAAAATTGACCGAAAAAAAAATCATACCCCCGAGATGAAGCCCTTGAGGCTCATCAGTCCCCAACTTACATACTCCTACCAACCTAACATTGAAATATTCTGGATATTCCACATCTATTATCTGTAGCGGACATCTTAGTCCAAAATTTCTGTTTGCCTGAGTGGGGCTCTGTGGGAATTGGGTAACCTTGGAAGCTGTTGAGATCTCATTATCCAGTAAAAGTTAGTATAGTAGTATAGTAGTTAATTAGTAGGTCAGTAGCTAGTAACATTGAATATTTTCAAAGAACACTTGCATGAAATGGCAGTTGCCCCCAGCACTAGCAATTTGTGTTCGCCCCTCTACTAATTTAATATTTTCCCTAGTCTCAGCATGACTCGTATTCGTTATATTGATTGACCCACGAGAAATTGAAGATGTTGATTAGCCCAGTCGACCTGAATTTTAAAGTCGTTGGAAATGAAACAATGACAGAAATCAGTTCAGCTCTGATTACTCACGAGTCAGGATCAAAGACCTGGAGCCTTCTATACCTACTGGTAGGTAGTTCTGTATTTTTGAAATATAAATTCTGGCATAAATCACATTTTATACAGTGAGGCATAAGCCCTTCATGGTATTTACATTTATGTGCCTAATTGATAGTATTAGTATGTGGTTCAATTGGAGGAACGTGACAATCAAAACAAACAGGTGATATTTCTTCTTAACGTTGAAGTAAATAAAATTAACAACCCTACTAGTATTGAAGATTGTGTTGTGCTCACTTCACCCCCTCACCAATCTACAACTCTTTTCTCCCTTTGCCGCTCCTCTGTTTCACTCCTCTGTTTGTAACTTATTCTTTCTTCCACTTCTATTCTTCTATTCTTTTTCACCTCTTCTCTTTCGAACTTTCCTTTCCTTTCCTCATCCACTTATCTTCTTTCCCCAACCAACTCGACTTGGTCTTTCACTATGGAGAATCTGGCTCCCCCAAGCTCTTCTATCTCTGTGGATCTCCCCTTCCGTCCTACTCCCCACCTTCATCATGAGGATTCAAACAAGAAGGAATTGGATGAGCCCCAAGCGACTGTCAGAGATACCCAGGTCAAAGATGCAGCGGACGAGCCATCCGACCCCACGCCGAAGCCCAAATCTGGGAAAACGAATACCAAATTTGAAGAAGCCTCTGAAGTGATTGGCCCTCAGATTGTAGCCGAGATGCACATGAAAAAGAAAAAGAAGAATCGACATGGCCCCAAGATCAAGCGTGGAATGGTAAGCGTGAAAGGACTCTGGCAAAATAGCTACGAAGGCTAATCTGTTTTGGGAAATAGGGCAAGCCCACTGGGTTTGAGGAATGGCATACCGATGGCCCGTTGACACCCGCTGAGTACACCGAAGACCTTGGCCTCTATGACCTGTATGTTTTATGAAAGCAAATACAATGCTTGACAGCTACGCTAACACATTCTGATCACCTTTAGAAATCGATCTTTCAAGGAGTAAGAAAACATGCCTGATGTTGTGATGCTCAGACTAACCGTCTTCCTGTAGTCGGATCGAGGAAGCCCTGATGCGATTCCAGAGAAAGCGCCGGATTGAACCTGCTCGAAGCAATGTCTTCCAGAAATACCTGCAATATGGAGGTGTTTCATTCGGCCCTAACTTTGGAACCGGTGTTACTGAATCGGACATGAAGGAAATGACCACGGAAGAGATCATGCAGGCTCGAACTCAGACTCTGATCGAAAAGGAGCGCGAGGGCCTGGATATCAGCTTTAACGAAGTTGTTGCAGGTTTCCTGTGAGTTCAACCTTGATACCTCCGTGGCTTACTGGAGCTAATCTTTTTTAGTGGCTCTTTCTACATGGGATACTTCAATCCAGACAGCACGGCTGATATTGAAATGGCCACTGATACCATCCGGAACTTCCTTACATTTTTGCTTTTCCACAACGTGTGCCCAGAGTACAAAGACGACATCCTTCAGGCCCGCAAGACATGTAACATTGCCAGGTTGGAACTCTCGAAAAGTATGAAATTGATCGGCCATGTCCCAGGAGACTTCAATAGAGCATGCTCGTCTCTCTTCAGCGCAGGGTACCTTTCAGACGACACGTCTGGTATCGAGAAGGCTCAAAACACCATCAAGTATGCTATTGCTGGCACCCTTCCCGCCGAGATCGCCACTCTCTTTAGGCAGCATGTCCGCGATCGGGATATTCAGGTGCAGAGAATCCCAGATATCGATGGGTTTGAGGTCATCTCTGTTGCTAAGCCCGAAATTGATGTCCTTGCCTTCTATCATGCATTCACGAACGGGCTGGGTCTGACTCCGGTTGGATATGTCAAGGCTAAGTCTTTCCGTGACCCTGGTAAGCCGGAGACCGATTTGAGCACCGAGGAGCGCTGGGACTGGGATCATGGCAAGGCGCCTAGCCATGAGTTTCTTTTCCTCATCGAACAAGATCAACTCGACCTTTACTATCCCGGGTTGAAGGTCCAGACCAATGTTTGGAGGCTCAATTGCGGAGCGTACTATTTCCAAGGCATCTACTCAACTCTCCCAAGCTTCGCCGCTAACATCGGAAATGACTTGATGTTGAACTGGAAGCGACCCCGTGATCTGAGAAATGAAGTCCGGAAATCCAAGGAGTCCGAAAGTCACAATGATCTGTTCGTCGACGATGCCATCAAGATGGCGCTTAAGGCTACTGGCCAGAAGCAAGACGATGACAAAGGTCTTGAAAATGCCGACGAGTCCGATGAGCACTATGACACAGCGGACGACGGCGAGTGATTGCCAAGGAACAGACAGAGGCAGTTCCTCCCCTTTTCTCCTTTCCCTTTTTTTTTACTAGTATTTTCATATTTTATCTATCTTTAGTCAAGATTTTTCATCTTTTACTCTTTTAAAGAAACCAGGTATGGATCAGCGCAGGTGAAGTTCGTGGATTTGAGATTGTCATAACAGATATTTAGCCATCGATCATGAAAATTTTATCTTTGACATCCAAGTTTACGGCTTCACAAGAGGCTTGCCCATTGTCTTCCGGCCTTCCAGGTCCTGTTCGTTGAGAGTAAGCACTAATTCGTACATAGTAGTAAGAGGGGTAACGAAGACTAACCGTGTGAACTTGAGCAATCTGCTCCAATGGGTATACCTTGTGAATCTTGACCTTGAGTTGACCCGACTTGAGCAAAGTAAAGAGTTCATTGGTGTAGTACTCGAACTCTTCTCGAGTCTCGATGTATCCGAAGAGGGTGGGGCGAGCGATCTTAACACACTTCGGGGAGAGTCTCCTATACAACCTGGTGAGCATTGTCCGCAATTTTCCGGGATCATACTTACGGGAGGGGAATGGGAGGAACCGGTCCACTAGCATTACCGAACCACACGATGGTCCCCTTGCGCTTAACAGCTTCCAAGCTACCTTCCCAGGTATCCTTGCCAACAGAGTCGTACACGACGTCAACGCCGCGGCCACCCGTCGCCTCCTTGACCAACTTGACCCAATCCTTACCTTCTTCGCTGCGGTAGTCGATAACCACGTCAGCACCCAGGCTCTTAACAAGAGCACACTTCTCCGCGCCACCGGCCGTTCCGATGACCTTTGCGCCGATCGACTTGAGGATCTGGGTCATGAGGAAACCAGCGCCACCAGCAGCAGCATGCAGGAGAACCCAGTCACCCTTCTGCACGGCGTAAGTCTCCTTGGCAAATGAGAGGACAGTCAGTCCACTCAGGAAGGAAGCCATCACATCCTCGTCACTAATACCCTCGGGGATCTTGACAGTCTTGGCTGCAGAAACGGCGGTGTATTCGGCATAGCCACCATTCGCCAACCAAGCAACGCGGTCTCCAACCTGGAAACCGGATGTGTTGGGTCCTACCGCTGCGACAACACCTGCGCCCTCGCGACCCAGGATCTCCGGCTTCGGGGATGCGTACAAGCCGGTGCGGAAGTATGTATCGATAAAGTTCACACCGGAGATGTTGTTGCGAACAAGGAGCTGGCCTTCAGTGGGTGTAGGCACTGGGTAGGATGTCTTGTATTGCAAGACTTCGGGGCCACCAGTCTGCTCGACCACGACGGCCTTCATGGTAGTGGGGACGGACATGTTGCGTATGGATGTGAATGTGAACGGTCTCGAGGTGGGGATTGGTGGGATAATATGGTTGCGAACAGCTGCAAGGCGAATACTGCTTCTGCGGAGTGTACAGAGTGACATTAGAAAATGGAAGGAAGTGGGGGAAAGTGTGCAACTAAAAATGGGTGAGATTCGTGTTATTGCATCAACAGCTTCATTTGTCATCGCATCCCCGCATTCTCCGCCTACGGAATTATCAATTCACTCTTCGTCAGCACTACGCTTCATCCGGGCTCATTGTTCTAGTTGATTACTGAGCCATAGTGGGATCCGATGACATCCAATTCGACAATTACTTCAGTTTCACTACGATATCTCTCCACTGCAACCCGGGTTAAAAGCCGATTGTATTCGGAGCTTCCGAGAATGTGGGGTTCTTGACGCCATTCCGTCGGCTTCCCAAGAACCGTCGGATCAACCCCGATGTACAGGTTGTACAACATGGGCACTTGTCAGAGCCTCGTGAGTCGTGGCGCCTATCGAGACAATTGTCAAACAAAAGAAAGAATTTTCTTTTTTCCAACGTGTCTTGGATTAAACTCGAGCTAGGATCTAATGAACGGATGTCCAGCCATTCTAACCGCCCATGTCCCTTCTAAACAAGAGGGGTCATGATCGTCATGCGCAGAGCGACCGTGACTTTTTCACTTGTTTCTTTTCCAGGATGAACGTTGGTGACAATACATATATGCTTTCGTATCTCGGCCCCTGATAATATATATGCACGCTACGCAAGGATATGAGATATGAGCGGTGACAGGACAAGTCTTTCAGAATCAAAGGTTGCTTATTTCCTTTCTGGGCAGACCCTGCGCCCGATCTCGGTTGGCCCACTTCAAATGTTGTCACTGCAGGATTTCATGCTTACGGTCTGCAGACCAAGCACTGGGATCTACATCCGCTGCGGTTCCTAACCCAGGCCCACAGTTAGCCTCGGATCGCTCATGCAACTCGCCATTTTCAAACATTTTTACACGCCAGGGGAACCTATCTTTGAATAGATCTATTTCATGCTTTCTCGGGGATTCTTTATTCTCCTTGTCCCTGGTGGATCCAGGCTACAGTAAACATTTGAATGTTGTTGAAACACGGGAGCGTCCGTGTCTGACTTTGTGCCCAATGAATCCATTAATGATCGACCTTGCCCACTATAGCCACGCCTCGCCTCTTGCGTCTTAGTGAACGTTCGAGTAAACCCCTTGTTTGGCGTGTTTCGATGGGAAATCCCTGTGGACACTACATGCGGCCTGATACTATTCCTGGTCATTCGTCCACTTTCGCCCAATCACTATTGCGGCCCTATCAGAGTTCTCTTCCAGCCCGGGTGATGCCCGATTGACCAACACTTATATACCCTGCTCTAACCCGGGCTGCGCACACACACGACATCATTGCATCTTTGTTTTCAGATACAAAAGGCGGAAAATTTCTTCTTTCCCTTCCTAACTGAGGCTATTATACACCAGCTTCTTGACTCGCTTTACTGCCCAACTCTTGACTACTTAAACCTTTAAGACTATGATTTTAAATTTCTCTCGAGCTTCACCAACACACCACATTACAGCAGGGTAAAAAAAACATCGAATCGTACTATTTCCAATTGACTCTGTATGATCACACCAACTACCAACAAAAAAAAACAACATGTCTTCTTCTCGCAATGCACGTTTCCGATGGCCTCCCGTGCCATGCGTGGAGGAAGAGCCTGCCTCGCTCGCTCGAGAACTACACGGTCTTTCAAAGCTCGGTGAAAAGCCTGGAGTCGAGGGAGCCTGTAGAAGGGGTACTGTTGATCAATACCCGGTCATTCTCTCTCCGGATTCTCCTCTTCCGACGTCAATCGACCCACCCAGCGCCTTCGCTTCCCCTGGATTGGAAAATGTCTCCTCCGATGACAACAGTTCTGGCCTTCGTACTCCTCCTCCACCGACGGCCTCGAGTGTACCTCGAAGCCAGGCTCCACAGGCCTACCAGCAGCTCCCCACCCCGGGCCAACGATCTCCTCCCCAGTTTCCGGAGCCAGTTGTCCGCACCAAGGCTTCATTAAACGAATCTTATGGTGCTCCTCCACCGACGGCCTCGAGTGTGCCTCGAAGCCAGGCTCCACAAGCCTACCAGCAGCTCCCCATCTTGGACCAACGATCTTCTCGCCAGCGGCGTCCCCAGTCTCGACCACGGGGCCGCGATTTTAACAGAGATGAAGTGGAGTATTTTCAACAGAGCGGTACACGTCCACTACACTCTGAACTAGATAATCAAGGCCGTCCTTTTGATTTGACCAATCTATTGACGATGTTGCCCCCGGAAGCACCTTTGAGCCGTTCAACTAGCGTGCGTGCTGGAAATTCACCTGCTCAAGCACCTCCAAGCTATCAACGCACGGAGCAAAGCCCTGAGTATCAATCAGACTCGAGCACTACACGTGGCAGACCATCTTCCTATGTCCCCTCAGACTCGAGCATCACTCGCGGCAGACCATCTTCCTATGTCCCCTCGCCCTCGGTTTCCACTCCATTGACACACATGCAAGCTAGGCGTTCTCCTGATGCTCCTACACTCTCGGAGAGAATTGAAGAGAAACTGCGATTGAGGCATGAGCTTCGCGAGCTAGGATCTGATTCAGACACAGAGCCTCCCAGGCGACCCAGGGCCAAATCTATCAGTCCAAAGATTCTACCGGTGGCTCCGCACAGAGAAACACGCCCAATTTCCCGTGAGCCTTCTCGTTCTTCAAGCCGTCATCCTATGCCACCTACCAAGGAGCCTATCAAGACAGCCACACTTCAAGAGCCCAAGCACCTTCAGCCACCCACACGGGGTAGGGCGACTTCCCTGGTCGCGCCTGCGCCGCCGACCTTACGGCCTTCATCCAGGGCCCCATCGGCTATGGTTTCCAGGTCTATGTCTTCGGACGAGGCCCAAGCCAGCTCTAGCAAGCCTCGTCGGACCAACTCTGTGAAGTTTGTAGATCAACCGCCACGGCAAAGCGTCCCCCCACAGGCACTCACCTTGGCACCCAAACCCACGTCCAGCCAAAAGTCCAGCTCTCCACAGCGCTCGACAGGGGGGGCATGTGTGATCCCATGCCCTCGGGGGAACCCCGTATCAGGCTACAATGACTGGGTCACCCTAAAGGGCCTCCCACACCTGGACATATGTCCCTCCTGCGTGGCGCAGATTTCTAATTCCCGATACGAGGACCTATTCGTCCAAAGCTTACCCAAGCCACCCAACCTGAAAATCCGCTGCGCCTTTTCCAACGCCTGGACTCGCCTGTGCTGGACTCAGATGCTCAAAAAGAAGCACGACAGCCTGGAAATGCTCTACCAGCTGACCCGCCCACCACCGGGCATCACCCCCTGCGCTCGCCGTGACCCAGTCGAGCAAACCTGGTACCGTGTCGTCGACCCAGAAACAGGCATGTTCCTACCCCGCTTCCATGTCTGCGGCAGCTGTGCACGAAGCGTCCGTATCTTGGTCCCCACCCACCGAGACACATTGGAACACTGCCCGGAGGTCCAGGAGCGAATTTGCGACTTCGTGACCTCCAGCCCGCGCTTTGTCCAGTATATCGATCTGCTGGATACATCTGCCGCCCGTACGGAGCCAGGCCGTCGTCCAGATCTGCGAGAGCTGATATCTTATGTCCGCCGCAAGACTTCGCTGCATGACTGCCGCCGTGACAGGCCCATCAAGGGCGCTTGGCACTATATTCCCGAGCTCCCAGAGCTCACGGTTTGCGAAGACTGCTACGATGAAGTCATCTGGCCGCTGGCCAAATCGAATCATTCCCTTGCGAAGAGTTTCTCGACCAGTACGCATCTGTTACCTGGTGACAGGTCGAATCGGATCCGTGAAGCGAGCTGCCAGCTCTACACAACGCCGATGAGGCAGATGTTCAAGGAGGCTATCTTGAGGAACGACTATCCGGGCCTGGAGCATATTGCTCTTAGGCGGTTCGATGCGCAGAGGAGATACAATGATCGGAGGGCTGAATTGGACGAAGCTGAGCGGAGGGGGTATGATTGTCAGGGAGAGATCAGGAAGGCTGTTAACGAATGGAGAAAATGGGAGTGACTTTTATGCCCCGGCGTGGGCACTGTTCGGAGGTACTGGATCTTGTGTACACTGCTGTATTATTTTGTACTTTCTTGGCGGTTGTATGGTTCTACGTTTAGTTTTTACAACTTTTTGGGATTGGCATTTGGGTATCTAGCATTTCATAGCATTGGGATAGCATTGGGACGGTATTGGGGTAGCATAGGTAGCATAGGTAGCATACATAGCGTTGTTTTTCATGAAATCTTATGGTGATATTAACATCGAAAATTCTCTTTGGTACGTCTACGGGTACCAGTAGATATTTAGACGTGTAAATGTACCAGCATCTATGATGAATGTTGAAGGGAGACATCTCTACTGCTGTGGAAATATCTGTATCTTGCGATCGCTCAAAGCGTATGATTCGTTGTCATTTCAGATGCATGTAGATCCCCGTGACATCAAGGTGAGAATGTTCAAATTTGAGGTATATGGATCCCAAAAACTCCAATGCTTATTAAATCAAAGCCAGTCGACATATGCAAGGGTGGAGATATTTCCATCTGATCAACCAACCAACCCAACAACCTCATCAGGCCAACGCCTGGCCCAGATCATAGCTGCCGAGGGAATCGTTCCCCGAATTGGTGACAGAAGTAAGATCTTCCCTTTCTCTGCGTCCACATTGGCGACATAGAGGAATCCCTTAATGCTGGCATCACGGACACCAGCTGGCGAAGCAGTAGTCGGCGCGTGGGTGATAGCGATGAGAGTATTTTCCAGGGCCAAAGGCGCAGGGGGAAGGATCCGTTTTAGAGGAATGTTGCTATTAGCATATGAATGCCCGGAGGATATGTGCTGGTCGGACGAAAGACCGACGATGCCGGGAAGAGGTGCAGCGCGATCTGGTTCTTGTTTTGGCGGGGAATAATCGTCAACGCCTCCACCCGGGAGGAAAGAGTCGCCTGTGCTAAGTTGGGACGGGTCATAGTCGTCTTCATCTTCGTCCTCGATAGAAGTGACGGTGTAGTTGTAGACTGTTAGGGAAGAGAAATCGACTTGCAAAGTAGAAGGAGATAAGGTAATGGCGGTCGTGAGAGCATTCGAAGGAGCCGAATTGCCAAAGAAGTAGGATCGAATCTGGGACTCGCGTGTTTTCATGAGGAAGGCCGCATCGCGATCAACGCAGCCCCCAGATTTTGAGAGCTTCACAACAGAGACCCGCTCATCGAAAACGGCCGCGGCAGCACTTGAACTGGGCTTATTATCGTATTGCTTGACCATGTTGCTGTACAGGCGCTCCGAGCCCAGGACCACGATGGTAGTAATAGCGAATTCGGTGACGATATGATTGATCAATTCAAGACTTCCAGGCTTGCCAGAGCTCAGGACACCCGGTGTATCGACAATGATTCCCGTGCGACGAACATCCTCATCTTTAGCCATGCGCTCCGTAACCTGAAGCGCCAAGCGCGACACAATGGGCCGGTAGACCGCGCCCTCGCCGTCCAACGGACTAGGCAACGGATAACTGTAGACGAGCGGCAGTTTCACGGGCACAGGGCTAGGCCCCGACATGGGACTGTTGCCCCAGCCATTCTCGATATCCAGCATTGTGCGAAACGCCGTCGCGGTCAATGTACCCGGAACGCTGAGCATGCCTTCCGTCGGATCAAGATTCACAACCAGCGGTTGTCCCCCAAGCTTCGTCGAATACGCAGTAAGGGTCTTGGCCAAGCTGGTTTTGCCCGCGTTGTCGGGACCCAGCAACAACACCCGAGGACCATCCTTGCCTGATCCTTGCGAATCCTCCCGTATTGACTCGAGCGCAAAGTGGAGATTGGCATATTCCACCATGGAGGTGTCATCGGACGTGTACTCGCTCTGGCAGCCGCCTGCGCCGCGGCCTGCTGCGGACGTGGATCCATCCACCGTGGTGGTGGTCGCGGTGTCACCGGCGCTGATTTCGAGTTCGCAGCCGTGCCATGTGTAGATTGCAGCTTTAGTGCCGGTGAATGTGTATGTTTGTGACTCGGCGAGTTCGGTTCCGAAGAGTTCGGCGGTTCCGTTCAGAAGCTGTGATGCGGTGATGGGTGAGTGATGTTGCTCTCATGATACGGAATCAAATCATCCTGCGATTGTGCGATCATATATCATGGACGTACCTTAACTTTGACGATGTGACCAAACGCGACCTCGAATCTCCACTCTGAACCTGGGTTCAGGGTGATTTGCGCCGGCGGGGCGACAGCATATTGCCTCTCCTCGGAGGGCTGGGTGAGCTCTAGGCCCGGAAGAGACATCGAGCCGCGAGATTGACGAAGAATTGCAGGGTAGCTCAGATGTTTGAAGCACAGTCAAGGTTGTGGGAGGTTAAGGAATTGGAAAAAGTAATTTTGCAAGTTGCAGGAGCTTGTCTTATCACTGTTGTCGTTATTCTCGTTGCTATCGCCGTCGTTTTTGGACTTTTGACGTGTTTGCATCTCCGCTCTCTAACGCCCGCCCCGCTCCACTTGAGCTTCTCCAACTTCAAATGTTAGTTCTACGACAAAACTGACATACTACTAGTATGTACTGGACTCTTACTTCTCTTTTATATTTGAGTTGATAACATCAGCTTGATTCAACCTATCTTAACAACCAGAAAAAGCAATTTGAGCATTATATATGTGTTTATTGCATTTAAAGGCGACTGTTAGGCCACCTATTATTAGCTATACCAGATCTCACGCAGCTAGTGTAAAACAGCAAAAAGGACATTGGCAGAGCATTTGGTATAGAGGGGTTCGTGGCTGTGGGAGGGACCAAGGATCAAGGGGATTGGGGAGAATTGGTGATTAATTTTTTGTTTTGGAGGTGAATTCAAGGTCTTGTGCAAGGGTCGGAGCAACTTGAAGATATTAAAAAAAAGGTTTCATATCGAGGGCAAGTACAGGAGGGACATTCAAGAAGGGAAGCATTCAATGGCCTCAGGGATCGTGGTAGGTACCATGGCAAAGAAGAATGAGAAATATATTTATCATAAACAACAAGTGGGAATGGGAGAAGTGATTTCAGTGTCCAGATTCTGTAGGATTGAATTATCCAAAACGAAGAGGGGGAGCAAACAGCACACTGTCATCTGAATAGAACAATGGCAAAGCGGCATGGGGAATCCAAAATAATACTTTCCAGGCCAAGTCTGTCAGTACAAGGCTCCAGAGCTGGGGAATATGGGGAGAAGGGGGAAGGGGGTGGTAATTTTGGCCAGGTTATCCAACCATGACCCGAATTAGATCATCAATTTAGAAGAAGTAAGGAATTGAAGCACTGGGAGATATGTCAGCAATGATTGTCTTTCAAAGACTCGAGGTTTGAATACGTACGCGAGTGCAAAGGCAGCGGAAACACCAAAGAGAGCACGGTTCCGAACCCGTTCGCGCTTGAGCTTCTCCTCCAGAACCTTGGCCTTCTTTGCTCTCTGGCTAGCCTCAGCCGCTGTCTCTTCATCGTCATCCTCAGGCTTGCGCTTCTTGGTGACCTTGACGGATGGTGATCCTGTAACTGTGCCTTCGGAGGTTTGGGTCTTGATGGCATCCTCCACCATCTCCTTGGCCATGGCAATCATCTCCTCCGTTTCCTTGGCGGACGGCACTTCAGGGAGAAGAATGGGCAGGTCAACGGAGAGTGTGGCCTGGGTGGGTTCAGCGGTTTCTGTAGCGGAGGCCTTGACAGTCTCGGTCTCGGCCTCAATTTTGGACTCCTTGACATCCTTCTTCTTTTTCTTCTCTGCCTTCTTCTCTTCCTTCTTCTCCTCCTTGACCTTCTTTTCATCCTCCTGCTTCTTGGTCTCGTCGTTCTCCTCTTCGTTCTCCTCGTCGGCCTCAGTAATGGTCTCGGCGGCGACCTTCCTGTGCCTCATCGTACTCGACTTCTTCTTCTTCTCTGGGGAGCCGCCGGTCTTGAGTCCAAAGTCTTCCACGCTCTCCAAAATCCCGTTTGCTAAATCCAATTCAGTTTCGGCTGTGACTTCCAGGGCCTTTTGCAGGCTATCATTGGCAGCAGACGTAGAGGGAGTGCTAGGGGCCTCCTTTGTAGAGCGGGCTGTCCGAGCCTTACGGGGGGAAGTAGTAGATCTCTTAGTAGGAGAGACCGAGCGGCGGCTGCGGCGCTGAGCCAGAGAGAGTTCATCCGAATCAGGCAGTTCAAACTTGGGTGGCGGGGTGATGTGCTTCTTCGCACTAGACGGACTCTGTGCAATATCGGTGGAGTCTAGCAAGGCACGGACCCAGTCGTACATTCGGTACTCTTTGGAAAGTTCAAGAGCTAGAAATTATGGTCAGAAGGTGTTTGTTTGTACGGACAGGATGTTCAGACGTACCAAACAATGGGGCGATCCACACATTGCCAGCAACTTCTTCCTGGCTGGTGTGCTCGCGTTTCTTCAGATATTCCCGTTCAATACGCTCCTCTTCGGCCTTGGCCCATGGGAAGGCAATCTTGAACATGCCAGTGGCACTAACGAATCCATCTTTGCTCCTTCGCTATTCACCCGGTAAAGTCAGCGGTTGGCGTATATTGATATGGGGCGTATGGAATGTTCTTACCATCAAAAAGTAAGTCTCCGGGTGCTGTTGAGAGTTGTGTGAAGGGAAGATCTCCGAGCCCTTCAAATCCTTGGGCAGAGGGGCCCGAAGGTGAGCATACTCAAACAAGCCCAGATTCTCGATCTTGGTCGCATTCGAGGTGCCAATCTGGCCAGGCTTGACAGAGAGGTTGGTCTTGCCAAGACGGCGGCGCGCAAGAAGCTCTTCATCTATAGGACGGGGAAAATCGACAGGTTAGAGATGGCACGTTGGATGGATCCAGGAGATGGCAGTTAGAAGACGCGGTCGCGCGACCACGCGCCGTTGAGATGACACTTACAGGCCGGTGTAGCATCACTCAAGATGAGTGGGTTGGTCTTCTTGGGAAGTTCTCGCGACATGGTGGATGGTTGCGACAGGATCGAAGATGTGTTGGATGTCTAGAAGGTTGCGAACAAGATGCGCCCACGGCCACGTAGCAGGCGCGTCGCTAGGAAGAAAAGGCGGGTCGGACTTTGATACCGGGCGGGGGGATAATGCGGGATAGGGCGAGTCAACACGCCGCGACAGTCCAAAATACAAGTCAATGCACGGTTATCACTCCCAAAAGAAGTTCGAATGAAAGAAGCGCGATAAAGGATAAATTCAGAACAATCAGGGGAGAAGGCTTTCGCGATGGGAATGAGGCCTTCGTACGGACCTTGCTCTTTCCGGTAAGGTCCGGTTACGGCGATGTATGATGAATGTATTTGACAGATATCAGTGGTCAATCAGATCAATACAGTGTTCCCGTAATACCATCTCGTTGGGAAACAGCGGAGACCTCGTGACCCGTGACCCGCCCTCATTCCTCGTTTGTTTTGCTTTTTTTCTCTTATTTCCTTATTCTCTGTCATATTTTACTACTATACCAGTCCATTCAATCCTATTTACAGATAAAATGATACATTCGATCGATACATAAAACTTGGTAAAAAAAAAGAAATGTCACTTATATACTATAGTATACCTCATATATCCTTCTTTAGATTCTAACAATTCCCTCTCCACATTCTTCAAAAGACCCAACTTCAATCCCTTCTAGCCTATTCCCCTGTTCAGCTAGCTACCTGAATCACTGCATCCAGATGTCAAGGCGGTCTAGCATTATGCAGGATCTTGCCACATCATCTCCCCCACCTCCCGCTTCGAGTCTTCGTTATCGTGACGGTGGAACCCCACGATATCCTAAAAAGGTTAAATTGCCTGCTTGTTGATCAGTACTGAAGGAAAAATGTTAGATGCTTCTTTTTAAACACCCAAAGAACGCCAGTAAATTGTGCAGTATAAACACGTACTGAAGTCCAAGTTTCCTAATACCCAATGGCAACTCGCGAGCCAACGTTGGAAACAAAGTACATAACCGGGCTATTTCTACTGGGCAAGGCTGCCCTGGTCCGCATTTCTCTCTGGAATCGAGTGTACAGTATTCACCTCCTACTGCTAGGGATATTCCAGTTTTGAAACATTTCATGATCGGGACTAGTGTACATGTACAATTTCCCCATATAACTCTTTACCACTTTGGGCGAATATATTATATGCCGTTGTCGCCTGAATGGGGAATATTTCAAATCATTAAATTCCTAAAATTCCTAAAATACGACGCCCAACCCGATCAAGTAGCGAGATTTCCGCGAGAATCGACCATCATTTTCACTGTAAATAAAACCATCTGATACCAAAAGTGTTGCATCGTGGTTTCCAACCTTCCCCACCCCCCCGTAAGCCTTTACATGTTTGTCCCAGTGCCCACTTCGCAGCGGCACGACTTTCTTTTTGTCTACAATTTTGGTCAACAAATCATGGAAATGATGTCTTATGCTATTCTGATTATCGAGAATGATGTATTTGTTCCAGCTGTGAAACATTTGCCCATGGTCGCCTTGCCACTGCTTGGGGGCCGAGTACGTACGAGGCTACCAGCGACATAGTCATCCGCCCCAGTCCCATTCCGGTAATCCTACATCAATCATAGTTCTTACTTATAGCCACCACGCCCCGCTGTGACTATGTCGCGCCTTCTGGTGATATGCTGCTTATCCTTTTCTTGCTCTTGTTGCCATGATGGTTATACCTGAAGACAAACCTCTGCATCAGATTGCAGCTCTCAAACAAGTAGCAAAACTGCTCTATGACACCTCAGAGACATCGGTTCTGACCTGCCACGCAAAGAATGAGCTTGGTCAACTCATTGCCCTCCTTGGTCTCTCAGGGAAACATTTCCTTGAATGCCCAGAGATCGCGGGTCCCCAGGAACAAAGGAAGTTGAAGATTTATCACTCTATCCTGGTGGACTTGAAGAAAGTCCAGAAAAGTACAACTGAAGTTGACTCGCCGGAGGTCATCGAGGATGTTCGCGCTCTGATTGATGACATGAATTTTGGTCTGAGCATTATGAACGCCCGTATGGTAGTGTACGTTGAATTTTGAACAGCTCTGTGCCTATCCATGTTCTAACGTTTACATATGCATATAGATCGTCACAGAACAAGATGAATCAAATGCTTCGGGATTACATCGTTCATGTTGCCACCGGAAGGCGAAACGCAAACATTGTCTCGAATCTTTTCAAGGACGGTTCATTCTTCGAAAAAGACAAGGCATGGAGGGATCTGCAGCGAGAGCTGCAGGACTTTGGCATGACACCAGAACAGTCTTTCCAGGAGTATGACTTCATCCTCATGACTCTCCGAAAAGCAGCACTCGAGAGCAAGCTCCTCGGAAATATTGTTATACAACCACCGGCGCCCGAAATTCCCATGCCCCCATCGCCAACAACATTCACAAACTCGTCAAATGAGGATAGCAGGTCTTCCTCAGAGTACTCGAGAAGTTCAAGTGATTATCTTGACAGCGAATGCTGCTGGGAGAATGATTCGGTGCCGGTCAATGATATTCCCGTCTCCGTTGCCGTCGAGATCGAGGTCAGCAATCGCCAGGTCCCTCGCCGACTACCAGGGCGAGCTCTCGATGATTTCCCCGGAGCGAGAGACATATTCAACCCACTCGACGCATATGACAACCAAATGGTCTTCCGATCTTCAGCGATCTCAAAGCCAAAGCCTCCTTTGATACCCAGCTCTTCTTCCGACCAAAAAGCAGCCGGCTACGGCACCATCCCTATAAAGCTAGAAGCAAGAGGCCGCTCCGCGTCCGAAGGCAATTTCAACCGATTCTCCATGTTCGGCTCACCACAAGTCGCAGTCAAGCGAGGCAAGAGGCCCAACCTAATGAGCCGAATGAAATTCAAAATGACCAACAACAAAGGCGAGTTCTGCTCGTTAGTCAAGATCGGCGACGTATACGGAATCAAATGTGCGCTTGAAAAGGGCACAAGCGCGAACACCGAGAACCCTCTCGGACAGACGGGCCTGATTATCGCTGCCGCCTTCGGCCATTACGACGTCGTTATGCTTCTCATGGACTACGGCGCAAAGCTAGACGCAATGGGGCACGGCGGGGAGACGGCGCTGTCCGTCGCTACGCTGCGCGGATACAACGATATCGCTGAGCTACTTCTGGACCGCGGTGCGGATCCCAATGCAGCATCTGTGTATGGCAAGCCGGCTCTCTCACAGGCTGCAGGAACCGGTAATCTGGCTTTGACTAAGCTTTTGCTGGATTTCGGCGCGGATCCCAATGGTATTACCGCCTCGGGCGAGACAGCGCTTTCTTATGCTGCTGCGTGCGATCGGTATCAGGTTGCACAGCTGCTCCTCCGCAGTGGTGCCCATGCTGACAGAACGGGCCATGCTGGGCATACGCCCCTTCTCAAGGCTGTTGGTAAAGGAAGTACTCGGATGGCTCAGTTGCTGCTTGAGCATGGCGCTGATCCTAATCGACAAGATGGTCGTCAGCAAACTCCATTGATACAGGCAATGCAGCAGGGGAAATCCGAAATCCTTGCCTTATTTCTAAAGCATGGATATGGCCCTGACAATGGCTCTGGGTCTGCTCTAGGGGGACTGGGCTCAATGGCTGGAGAAATTTCGAAGAGGATGTCGCTCTTCAGCGTAAATTAAATATTTAGGTGGAAGTTGCGCAAGGTTTAGATCCTATTCCACTTTGGCGCTGGCGCTGAAGTATGCATATAGATTTATTGATAATGGATGGATACACTATTTATGTCTGCCTAGAATAGCCAAATAGAACATTTGAAATCTTTTTAGAACCAGTTGACATTTGAACATTGAAGTTCCTAGGTTTTATCATACCTATTAGGTATGTACCTGTTTCCTACATAGAACTTCATCTACTCAAGTAGTACATAGGAGCGGGCCATATATAGCCTAGTTCCAATATATGCACATGCAATGAAAACATTCCAAGTGCTCGCTACACTAGGCTGGGATGTTGTAATTCGTAGAAAGCACAAATCCAAATTGATTAGTGCTGATCATCTGTAGCTAAGTGGGGATATTGTCTCTCTTGCTTCCCAATCACCTCCCCAGACATTGTACCGATGTACCGTTACGTATGTTTAAAATCGGTCTGTCCTGGTGGGGCCAAGATTTGCTTTTGGGGACACACTATTTACTAGTAGATATAGATAGAGTCAATGGACACATTTTTCGCCATGACCAACAAGAAAAACCGACTGGCAGTCTCCGCAAAGTCCAATTGAACTCCAAATTAACTTGCAGATGGTACCTGCACAATACTTGACCAGATGCAATGCACTAGGGAATCCGAATAGCCTCGCCCCTCTCCACCGCCTTTTAAACCCCACTATGGGAGAGTCAGGAGACAAAGTGGGATGAGGAGCATCGTGTCTTGCCCCCCTTTTTTTCTTCTCCTCTTTTGAACATTTTTTTCCTTGACTTCCTTTACCTGCATCTCTTCTCCCATTGCAATCGCCTCGCGCAGCACTCTCCGCGACCCAATTCCTCTTTGTTTACTTCCCCCGGATTACTTTCAAGTTTCAACTTTACCCCCGCCTTACCCAACATGTCCGACCACCACGATGATCTGGCCGCCACCAAGACCGAAGGCTTCAAGGTCGGTGAGAAGAAGACTATGGAGGAGTACCAGCAGCTTGGTAAGGGATACCGTTTCTTCCTCGTCCCACTTGAATGATATGGGGGCCTCCATATATCCACCATACACCTCTACCCGCCATTTGCCGCTTCCCCTCACAACATAAACATGGAACAGACCAACCTAACGAACAACCGCAAAAACACAACCAACACCAACTAATATTATGTTACCCAAACAGACAAGGATGACGAAGCTATGGTCCGATGGAAGGCCTCTTTGGGCCTGAACGCTGGCAACCCCGTTGGAAAGGCTGGTGACCCCAAGTGTGTTATCAAGTCCCTCGCTCTGCGCGTCCAGGGCCGTCCCGATGTGACAATCGATTTGGCTACCCCCGAAGCTGTCAGCAAGCTCAAGGACCAGCCCTTCACCATTAAGGAGGGCGCCAAGTTCCACATCCAGGTGGTCTTCCAGGTGAACCACGACGTTCTGAGCGGTCTCAAGTACCTCCAGGTTGTCAAGCGCAAGGGTGTTCGTGTTAGCAAGGATCAGGAGATGTTGGGAAGCTTTGCGCCCAGCACTGATCAGAAGCCCGTCTATGTGAAGGAATGTAAGTTCAAAAATCTGACAATTGACTCAAGACCAAGTCAACCCACCTTGGGCAGATAGATCTGCTTAAGGGTTAGAGGAGAGATTTGATTTGATGCTGATTTGTCTTTCTTCTTTTCTAGTTGCTGAGGAGGAAGCTCCTTCTGGCATGCTTCTCCGTGGCCACTACAACGCCGTGTCCAAGTTCTTGGATGATGATGAACACACCCACCTCCAGTTCGAGTGGTCGTTCGATATCACCAAGGAGTGGTAAATCGGGATGTCTTTGGACTTTTAACTTCGTTTGAGCTTCTTTGAGCGGCCCATTGTTTATTCCAAGCGTGACGAATTTCTTTTACTTGAAAAAGCCTGATAGACAAGTCTTTTCAAGGTTGTTCCCGATTGGGGCTTCTGGCGGTGCAGTGTGTTGAAACTCTTTAGTCTGTATTGGTTTTCTCTTTTGCTTTACCTGTTGATTTTATTCGGGCTCCTGGAGATCCCGAATCAGATAGCTCAGGACATCACTAAGAACACAACAAAGTTTGCTACTGATATCAGTCCCGGTCATGATGTATCTTGCTGTCTTCTCAGCTTCTATTTTGCTTGCCGATTTCGATCAAGGTGGATATAGTACTTTCCCAATTGTAACGTGAAACAGCCCAATGTAATCCGTGAGTATGCAGTCGTGTTCTATTCCACCCCGTCCCCAACTCCTGTATGGTGGATGCAATCAATGCTGGATAAAGGACAATGAAGAAATGGAAATTCTGGAAAAGAAGCAAAATCGCAAAACGTAATAAATCATCATGGGTATCACAAGAAATAGTCAATCGTTGGCATAGAGTCCCGGTTCTGCTGTGCCTGTTGCTCGCTCCTGTGGACATCATTCTCAGGCGCCGCATCGAAAATGTTGAAGAAGCGTTCCATATTATCGCTGACTTCCAGGACACTGGCCAGGTTTCCACAGCGATAACAGTAATTGGGCGCACTCCAAACTGTACTTAATCGATCATCGAAGAGGATCTGATAACCCTCATTGCACAGCTGGTGCGCTCGCAGAATATGTGACATCTTGTTGACCTCGAGGAACTTCCGAACAACCTGCGCTCCAAAAGTATAGCCAGCTCCACGGGGGAGAGAGAAAATTCATCTCGTTCGGGATCGGGATCAGACCAGACCAGATCTGCCATCGGGCCCTCGTGAGGAATTTCACGGTACCGATCAATGATCTTGATCTGATCAAGAGAGTGAATTGAAGGAGAAAGACCGCCATGGACGCAGAAAATCTCATCGTTGATCACCACACTCAATGTTAAATAATCGAACATGTCTGTGAAGTAGTGCCACACGTTGGCATTGCCATACTTACGCGCGCACTCGGTGTAGAAGCCGTAGGATTGGGTGACACCACGGGATTCGTGATTACCGCGGATAAGATGGACTCGGTGGGGGTATCGTAATTTGAGGCAGACGAGGAGAGAGATGGTCTCCACACTGAATAGGCCACGGTCGACATAGTCACCTATAGATCCAGGGACATTAGCAAAATCGTTCCCATCCGTTCACAGCTAAAGTGTCTCCGTAGCCAATTTTTTAGCTGTGCGCAGGCTTTGGTCACTCACCGAGGAAAAGATAATTTGTATCCGGACAGAACCCGCCAATACGGAAGATCTCTAATAAATCAAAGAATTGGCCATGAATATCTCCGACAACGGTGACTGGCGCCTGAATATGAACCACATTGCTCTCCTTCATCAACAGCTCTTTTGTCTTCGCACAGACTGCCTCAATTAATGGCTCTGCAAGGAGCTCTTTCCGATAGAGCCGCGCGATGCACTCATCGAGGTCCATACTAGCTACACTAGCGTTAGCTCGTGTTTCTCCGCAATCGATGCCGGCGTGGCCAGGCTGAAATTTCTAGCCCCACTCTGAACATACTGGGAAGGCCGGGCATGTTGGCGAAAGGTACTGAGACAGAGACGAGGGAGTGTGTAGCCCCTGACGAGGAGGGGTATTGAAACTAAGCGGAATGCAGCCGCACAGAAGAGGTGCTCTGCTCAGGCTAAGAGAGAGAGGCCTGGCAGAGACAAAATATGGGATATTTGGATGGAGATCAACGGAGATTAGGGATGGATAGTCGGTGTACAGCAGGCATGGTGACGAGGAAGATCAGCACAGCAACAATTCCTCCGGAGTTCGACACGAGAGTCCCAGCCTTTTCCAGTGAGCGGACCTGGGGATACTGCCTCGATGGGATTCACCGCCATACCACGTGACTCCATACTCTATAGATAAAAAGAAAGAGAGATGATTAAAGGCTTTAGAGGCTTTGGTATGTATACTGGTATGTAGTAGTAGGCAATACAGCTTGCTGAATGAGATCTTCAGCGTCGATACCACCCAAGTGCCAATTGAGTGGAACATTTAGTCTAGTTTGTAACAAGGGCAACATCTACGCATTCAATCAATGCGCTTGGCCGCCGGAGTGACTAAGCAACTGCTGAGCTTCTTTATGGGCAGCTTCACTCTCAGAATCAGTCTCCTCTTCGTCGCTATCCTCCTCTTCTGACTCCTCACCGGAGTCGTCTTCTTCAGAGTCCGTCTCCTCCTCCGAATCCGTTTCTTCTTCGGACTCGGTCTCAGACTCGGTTTCTTCTTCCTCTTCCCCGAGCCACTGATCCAAAGTTTTCTTGCCACTTGCGCCTCCAATGGCTGCTGATCCATTTGGTCGTCGCGGTGGTGCGGTGGCCTGATGCTGGCGAAGCGCTTGGTCTAATTTCTGGCCGGCAGTCAATGAGCTCGGGGTCGAAGCAGATTCTGATTTGATATCTTCAATGCGGAGACTAGGATCGGGTTCTTGTCCTAGTTGTACCCAATCTGGTATATTGGTGTAGCCACGGAGCCCATGATAACCGGCATCGGGGCCTACGACAAGGGTTGCGGTCCCTACAAGGAGATCCTTGCGTGTTTCAGAGGGACTGGGGGCATGCGGAACGGGCTTGGGGGCAAGAAGAAGCAGGCTGGCCAACTGGGTTGAAGATGGAGTAGCAAGAAGCGATTTGTAGAGGCGAGCACGATCACGGAGATCATATGAGGTGTCGTAACGCGCGAGTAGGAGAATGTACCGCCAAAGTAATGTGATACGATCCTCTTCTTCTTTAGTGCCAATTTGTTCCTTTACAGCCGCTTCATTTTCAGGAACTTCATTTGACTCCGTATGGTCATCGGCCTGATCCTCCGTCCATTCGTTGCGGATGGCATGTTCGATCTTGGCAGAGCGATCAGGAGATGTCGGAGCAACGGGCTCTGCTGACTCCTGTGGCTGGTTTTTCAAGAGATGCTGGAGGTACACTTTGGCACCAAGTAGAACAATTTGTTGCTTAACAACCTCCAATTCCTCGGTAAATCCCTTAATCAGAACACGAAGAACATCTGGGGCGATGTTATGGTCAGGATCTATGCCTGCGAACTCACCCACGAGCCAGATAATCGTGGCTCTGGCGTCGGCATTTGTGGTGGTACCAAGATACGTAACAAGCTGAATGACAGTTTGTTTATGCGAGGTCGGGTCCTGTTGAATCAGATGTCGAATAACAGTCAGAGACTCAGAAACTAAGTTTCCGTCAAGACTAGAGACCTGCCCAAGTAGAATGCGCAGGCACATATCTGCGGTGGTGGAGTCGCCCTGAGCACAGCGTCCAATCGCTCGCACACTTTCGCGAACCAACTCAGGATCTGCACCCTTGGAAAAATGTTCCAGTTCACTAATTATAACCCCCTTCCAATGCTTTCCACAATGCGGGAATGTCATAGTAAGAACTTCCAACTTTAGACGCCAAATCTGTGGTGGGTCATTGGCATGAACGAGGAAGTGGGCGATGTACCTTGTGAAAGGCTTGGGTTCTCTTAAAGCGACTGCCACGATATTGTAAAGCGCAATCAACTGCATATCCTGCGGGCTTCGAAGAAGAGCCACCAATGGCCCGACAGCCGTAGCAAGATATTCAGGAGGTGCTAGGTAAAGGAAGCAGCGAACGACACTGACAATGACGGCCGAGTTTCTGTTTTGGAGTAATAACTTGCACGCCCGCAGGAGCAGTTCAAGATCAGGGTCTACCACAGGTATTTCGTACTCTTCGCCGTCATTTTGGTCGTTCAGCTGTTCTGCTTCATCATCATCATAAAACTTGGTTACCGCCTGTTTCACCTTCTGCGTCCGACGCGGAAAGCATTGGCGCGCATAAAAGGTTAAGAGGCGTAACGTTGCTAGTTGACCCCACTCATCCATATCCACCAATTTCTTGACCAAGCTGCGGTAATGCTTATGAACCAGATCAATCTGCTCCGGGCAGACTTCCAAGAATGCGGCCACGGCCGCGCCAACAACGAAATATTGCGAATCTCCAAGAAGAGTTGTTATATATCCAACCAATTGAGGCAGCGTGTTCGGGTCTAGGCGATAGCATTTGGGGATAGCCAGGGCGGCTGCTTTCCGTACGTGCGGGCTCATATCGCCGCACCCGCGCTTGATGGCTAGTGACACGATCTGGCTGATCACCGGCACGCGAATCCCAGACATTGTTCGCAGGGCCATAGTTCGGATCTGTGGGTTCGAATCTGTCAAGGACTTTTGAATGGCGTTGATGGACAGTAACGCCAAATCCGGTTCTGCCTCCGCATGGTGGACAAGGTAGATGTAGACTAGCTTCTTGACCTCCAGGTTGGCGCTGGCTGCGTTCTTGACCACGGCGGAAAAGAATGGATGGGAGGATTGGGATTGGTACATCAACTATTTGGTGGAAAGTATTAAGTTAGCCATCGTATCTCTCCAAATTGTTCTCTATTACGCCATCGCCATACCGAGATGACCTTCCGCATTCCATCCAGGACTTCCCGCTCATGCCGACTATCCAGAAGTTTTTTAATTTGGGCCACACTGTGAGTGCGTGAGAAAGAATCCGGTTTCAAAATCCTGTTGCTCGCGGCGGACTGGGCAGCTTCCAGGGTGAGCTCTCGAGCTATGCGCACAGTGGTTCCGTGGTCAGCTTCATGTCAAAAGGAGGCGCAAGAATAGGAAACGATCTCACCTGTTTCTAGCATCGAAGATATCCTGGAAATTGTCTCCATATTGATACCCGCCTCTGAGGTGCCTACTCTCAGACGTGCAGGAATTGGCTGGGGCTTGGGGGAGATGAGGGAAGACAGTAGGTGGGGGGAGGAAAGGCGGAGCCGCGGAGGAGCATGCACGCAGCACAACCTCCGATGTCAAGTCTCGTCACGCGCCTATTCCAGATTTCCATCCACGTCCAACACTTACAACCTATCTTTTTATTTTATTTTCACACGGTATCTTACACAGATTGAAGATGAAGGGATCTCAAATGCGGGGAAAGATTGGAATTATCACAGTGGTGGATTGTGCCCGTGTTGAGGGAAACAGCTCTAGATGCATTCTCGACGAGGACAGGTGCACTAAGTAAGATCTGTTCAACTCACAGCTACGTGTGAAGTCCTGCAGCAATAAAACATTATGTAAAGAAACTCTGCGGCCAAGCCAGAGAGCTTCGAATGCCTTCTCCTTGGTCTCGAAAAGCGCCCGCTGGTATACCTGACGACTTCGACCTCAATGAAACCCACTGGTGGCTTCAAATGTTTAAATGCATAGAATGCATCCATATTACCACAACATATCTATCACATACCACTCGACTGGATGGTATTCTCTAAAGGCGGCAACCAGGTGGCCCGATCCTTACAATAAAACTCTCTCTGAGGAACCCAGTCTTCTTTCCCACCACCAAAGTCCATCGTCCCTGAAGTCAGCACCACCGCATCCGCAGTAACGCCATCAACGGTGCTTGTCGTAAAAAGGCAAGATCCACAATTCGAGCAGAAAGACCGATTTAAAACATTTCCGGAATCGGTGTTGTTGTCGTCGTAGGTTTTTATAACATCTTCTCCGGCGAGGATGCGAAATTGCTATGATAAATACAGTTAGTTTTCAACCACATGGCATATTGAAGTTAGGCTTTCATTGGTACATATGTGTATATTGAAACTTACAGATTTGAGATAGAAGCTATTGGCCATGCAGATGGATCCGGTGACTTTGCGACAGTTATCGCAGTGGCATATCACTCTCATCACCGGAGCACCGGTGGCCTCGTAGCGAACTTGGCGACAGAGGCAGCCGCCGGTGACAATTTCTTTGTCTGACATGGTGGTCCGAGAAGAATTTTAAAAGTCAATGATATAAATTGGGAAGTTTTCAAACAGACATCTGGAACTTTAGGATGCAATTTCCAAATATTGTGTGCAAAAAACAGACATCTAGACAGAGGGATGAAGGTCTCAACGTTGTACGATCTGAAATTGACTCTACGCGGGGCGACACACCGCATCATATTCCCAACCCCACCCTTGCGACAGGCCCCCTGCATGGGTGTTTAGATGATTCCTACTGTTTCTAGAGGGTCCTGGATAACACTCGAGCTAATAGGCCCAAAAAATACTCTACCATTCGCCAAGTTCCATCTCGAGTGCCTCTTGAATTCGGTGAGTCACTATGTACTATCTTTCTTTACCTTTCCCAACCAACCAGTAAGTACTACTGATCATATGCATGAATTCTTGAATAATTGGGTCAAGTGTTTTGGAGTTTCAGTTTTAGAGTCGAAGTTGTCATAAAAGGGGCTGTATTCATTTCTTCATGCGAATATTCACGTGGGGTATATAGCATAGCACAACAAAGGGTCACCAGAAGCGAAGCCTCCAACGACGATAGTTAATCAAACAAGATAAGATCCATAATTATAATGGTCCGGGACTCGATGGTGCGGAGCAACATAGTATCCCTGGTATGGGTGGTTCTCCATTGAGAAATCCCCTGAATCTAAGAGCGGATTCGTGATTCCCGATGAAATGCCAGCGCCCCCGTGAATCGGTAGCGCGGGGTCCAGATCATAGAAGCTGTTGTGCATATGTGCAGGGTCTACAGTCTCCGGATGTGACCAGCCCCATTTGCCTTTCAATCTTTCTTTGATTGGTTCGGAATGCCAGTGAGTGTCTTTGGTAACTAAGTCCAGTATGTTCAAGACCTCTTCCTGAGAATTCCGAGCATCCAGTGATTCTGCAGCAATGGTTAGACATTGAATCGATATATTCGACAAGCTTCGGTCTTTGAGATTAGCAGCAAGGCCGCATACGTTGTATGCATGAACTTGCTGCATTTTATTCATTTCCAGATGTAGTGATGATGACAAGGGATGGGCCCTAGCCAAAACAATGCAAGCCACGTGGTAGAAATATTGAGAAATAGTGGCCGGTCGCTTAAGGAGCCTAGATATGGTGGTTAGTGGAAGATCAAAGCTGTATTTTGAGGCAGCCACTTACCAAATCTTCGGGAATGTCGATGCAGATTCGGTCTGCCATGGCTGTAGGCTGCTGATTGGCTTCATTGAACGTGGTGTAGAATTGATCCACTGCTCACACCAGGCATTGTAGTGGTTCCATTCCTGTACTGCATTGTGGATTTGAGTATTTTGGGAGGACGGATCATTCAAGGTTTGTAAATATTGCGTCGAAACTCGAAAGTTAACGATTTTTGCACAGATATAAATGATCCGGTGGAGCCATTGATCATCACCTTTCCAAAATGGCTGTACTTGGTCCATGTGCATGTCAACTCCCCATGTATCAGGGTTCCAAGACAACGGACACGTATAATTTAGACAATGTAAGACCTCCATGCTAACGCTGACCCAGAAACAAGATCCGCCCAGACTGGGTGTTTTCGCCGTCCATCCGCATTCGCGAACCAAGGCCCTCGATCCGGAAGTATGTTTTGTGAGTGGTTGCGACGACATCATCTCATAAATACTGAGAAGTAGCGCAACCGTTGCACATAGTACCGAGTCACGATCGGGATCTTGAAGGGAATGCAGAAGGCCCTGATTGGCTGCATCATAGTAATGGGAGACCTTTTCCTCACCATAAGAGGGGTCAGCAAGAGATGCATGCCGAGCGCCACAAGCCACAAGCGCTTTGAGTAATAAGGGCTCGTCAATAGCATGCAACGGTAAAATTTGTGTAAACTAGAATAAATCGTCAATTGAAGTTACAAAGTCTTCTAGAAATAGTGCAAGAACATACATGTCTCATTGAATCCATCGAGTCTATCCAGGGACCGACTTCTTCCACGAACAACTGCAAAAGAGAAATTTGCTCTGGGTCTGTCAAATATGCAACGCTATACTGTTTCATCGACAGTTTTTGAGCAAAATGTGAAGTCCCATGAGGAAGAAGCTCATCACCGGGTACAAGATGGGCATCGTGCCAGGTATCAGACCCGAAGAGAAAGTCCGTTGTCGCTGAATGAGAAATATCGAAGCCAGGATCAAAAGAATGAGCGACCGATTGAAAGAGACTCGCCAGCTGATCGGGCCCCATCAGATTCAAAGCTTCCTGCTGGACTTGTCGCCTTTCTTGAATGGGACTGTCTGGTTGTGGCGGCGGATATTTCTCAAAACCTCCGACATACTCAGAAGCGATGATGCGCGAGTCGTCACGAAACGTTAGTTTTGCGCCATTTGCACGCGCGATAATATGAGGCGGTTCAACAGTCTGGATGTCAATAAAATTCAACCGAACGCCGCGACGGCATATTCTGTCCGATTTGCGGCAATTCAAGCACCGTCCCAAAGCCTCATCACATTTCAAGTGTCTTTCACGACACGTCAGGCAACCTGTACGGGTCCTCTTTGCCTTGGTATCTGCAATCTCAGATGACTTCTTGCGGCTTGCACTGGATGAGCGTGGCGAGTCTTCCTTCTGGGCTTTGGGCGTTTTCGCCTTCGGGTCTTGTTTGGGTGATTGCGACTTTGACTGGCGCTTTGCCTGGGCACGAGTTGTGAGGTTCATTTTGTTAGCGGAAATTTCTGGAAAAAATCCAGATTGCCTTCCAGGCTTCGCCTCAGTCCCCAGCACGCACTGTGGCGACCGGCTGCAGAGGGGAAAGAATATTTCTCAGTGTCACAGATCTCCTTGCTGTTGTCACTCGAATTGCCATGTTCACTGCCAGGAAATGGATAATCTTGACAAATAAGTTGATGACGACACACGACCAGCTGACCAAATCTCTTTGATCGGTATTGCTATGATATTTACAAGGCTATCGTCGGGCCGGGCAAGGCAGGGCGGGCAAGCGCAGGAGGGGTAGGCAAGAATTTGGAGATCTCTGTTGACAGAACTGACGTCAGTTTACCCCGTAAAACGTGTGATCATCAGCGAGGCAAACCTTGCGATTGATTGCCCAGACAATCCAGTCTATTCGGCAGAGTCAAAACTCTCTTAAAACCTATCTTGAGGAGTCCAATGAGGGTGTGTGTATGACACATGCAGTGATTTAGCGGCCAAGGACGAAAATGCTTATCTAATCGGGGGTTTTTTTTCTTGGCAGAAAGTCCTAGGTAAATAAAGTGATTTTTCACTCGGGTATATTGGTAGTCATATAGTGACTTCAAGGATACTATGTACTTATGAAGTGGATAAATCAATAGAACCAATTTGAGGTATAAGAGGAAATAGTGGAGAGAAAGTGGAGAGAGGTGGAGAGTAAAGCGATATTGTTAGAACTTATACATGTTGGCGGGGAGGGGGTTCCCAGGGCGGTTTGTAGTTCGAAAGTTGTATGAATTAGAGACATCAACATTGCAATAGACCATGCAATATTGCATCAAGAACTTTCGATCTTTCATAATGGCTTCATATAAAATGCCCATTGCCAGTTTGGTAGTAATTCCAGTGCCGACGCCTCTGTATGTAGACTCTCTGATACTAGTATGATATAACGATACCAATTAGGCTTAGTGGAAGTTCAACCGCCCCACTACTCCCGAGCTTGCATTCAATGTTCGATGTTGGATTATGCTCTATGTAAAACATTAGATTAATCTTGCACATAGTGCACTGTTGAAGACAAACTCCAAGGGCGATATTATGAGAGCACAATCAAACTTTTATGCCTTGCGTCCCAACCGCGGCAATCGAAGTCGGAGGTGCATCAACAACATGACCGCACCCCAGATTGCAGCAGAAAAAAAGGTGACACGAAGGGCCAAAGCATATGATCCAATCACTAGGCGGTTATCAGCGGTGAGACAAATTGGATGAAAAAGAATTGGATTTACCTTGCTGCCGATGCACCTGATCCAAGTCACCGATACTGCGGATGGATTTGCGGACAAGACCAATTATATCCCTCTTGTGTACTCCGGTAACCTGACGTTCGAGCTCGTAAAACAAAACATTCTGGAAGATCCAGCTACTGATCGAGACACCCAGCACGGAGCCAAGGTTACGCGCCAGTCCCAGAGTCGTGGTCGCCACTGCCTGGTCAGCATGATCGCTAGTAGCGAGAATCGAGACCATGAGACTGGGAAACGAGAATCCCTGCCCGAGGCTACTGAAAGAAACACAGATCATGGCAAGTGCTTGGGATGTGTTGACATTCATCAAGCCAGCTAGAACTCCGCCCAGCAGCATACAGAAGCCACCAATGAGAATAGTTGGCTTCATACGCCGCGACCAGGTAATCAAGAATCCGGTGCCAACACTGGAGATAGTCACGGCAATTGAGGCAGCCACTAGTCGGAATCCCGAATCCGTAGGGCTGGCTAGCTTGACGGCTTGGAAGTACAACGGTGCGTTGAACATCATGGTGTTGACGGACATTGCACCAAAGAAGTTGCCAAAAATTATGCTGGCCCGAGGATCTTTCGAAAGCAACTCTGTCGGAAGGACAGGGAGAGCCACATTTCGCTCATATCGGACAAGAACGATGGCCAAGACAACGGATACCACTAACGAGCCAATGACTACTGGATGTTCCCAAGGGAAGACATTTCCCCCCAGGTTCAGTCCCATGATCAAAGCAGTGACAGACAGAACGAGGAACAAAGAGCCAGTTAGATCGATGGTGCGCAGTACCTGTAATAAGGTCTTTCGATCGGATCCTGTCTGCTTCAATCCAATGTCTGCTGGAATCGTAAGTGCGGAAGTGATGAAATAGACAAAAATAAACGGCAGCTGGATCAGGAATGCATTACGCCAGCCAATTTTGTCGCAAAGAAACCCGCCAAATGCGAGGCCCAAGCAACTACCTGTGCCCAAGCACAGATTAATGTACGATTGGTAGACACCACGATACTCGATGCGAACAAGATCACTAGAAAGAATCTGACCCATAGAGAATACACCACCAGCACCAAGACCGCAGAGGGCGCGAGCAGCGATAAAGCTGCCAATGCTTTGAGCGAGACCGCACCATGCAGTAGTAAAGAAGAATATGGCAATGGAAAAAAGATAGACCGGCTTACGGCCTAGTGTATCCGAGACGCGTCCAAAAAGAGGCATGAATGCCGTCGAGGTGAGTAGAAAAGCGGTCGACAGCCAAGAAGCCGCATTTGCGGCATGGAAATAGGACGTGATAACCGGGTGACTTGACGCCATTAAAGTCGAATCGAAGAACCCAATCACGTAGCCGAGCATGACACCGCTGAAAATCAACCAGAAGCGAGTGGGGGAGACATTAATGAATCGGGCAGCATAGCTGTCATCTTCTTCTTCGATGCTACCGCCGCCGATAGAGGCATTGCTTTTCTTCACAGAATGAATAGATGGGATTCTGTCCAAAGGCGGTTCGATATCCAGGATCTGGGAAGTGGATTGGACTCGAGATAAGATGGGGAAAAACGAATCATCTTCGACTTCTGTGGTGGAGGAGCTGCTTTCCACATCGTGTGTATGGCGGGTAACGCTGTGATATTGCGTGCTTTGGTAGCTGGAATTTTCTCGCAACAGCGGGGTGGCCTCGGAGGATGGGCCAGTGTCGTCGCCCATGGCGAGGGCGAAAAATTAAGATTGAAGATTAAGAAGCCTAGAATGCAGAAGAAAGTCTAGTATGGACAAGAGGAGGCGAAGTTAGGAGAGAACTGGTGAGACTTGGCGAGCAGTGCAGCAAGATACGAACGAGGCGGGCCAAACACGCTGCGGGGCTGAGCTGAGCTTACAAACCCAGGAAGTATCTGCTGCGCTGTATCACACTTGATTAAATCAAGATGAGCAAGGAGAAAGGGATTCCGGCTCTGAAAAATCCAGAGTCAATAGGAACTCCTAGCGCAAGGAAGTTTCAGTGGCGAAGTTTAAAAAAAAAGACGAGCCCGGGATGATAAGGTGGGATCGGATCGACAACCGGGATCCCCAGTGAGACGAGGATCGTACCCGTTCTGCTCTGATTTGACCTCTTTTATTTTACTTGATTGATTCTCGTACATGTCAAGTACTAGGACTTAATCACCGAGTCTTGAATTTCAAGGAATTTTTCTTCAGGCACCCTGCGCAACAACACCATCCGCGATTCTCGGATTACTGTGCAGGACTCGCTGCTCCGATAAGCTTGCTGTAGCCAATACACAACAGGCTTGGGGTACACTTTGAGAACCTAAATCAAAAAGCAGTCGTCCACAAAACAAGATGACGATGGTGCTGTTTATTTGGTGATAAATCTCGGACCCACGGAGACAGAGTCGAACGCAAAGTTGTTATTGATGTGTTCAGATACTATAAAGCCCAGGTCGGACAGCATGGCCAAGACTGGGAGATCGCTGCCTGCGAACAGGTCGGACAGATAAGGGCAATTGTATGAGATGCAGATTGATGACTACTGCGCTACGGTTACTGGGCGAATCGGAAGATATGGTCGCAGCTTTTTGGTACACAAGTGCTCAGTTCGGTATCAAGCATGCATACTACGAAGGGTCCAGATGTCTACATGTTCGTATAATCTACGGTGCAGCTCCCTTCAATGTTCGGAACTCGGATATTTGGGAGCGACTGGAATTTAAAGGAGCGAAAGGGAAAATTCAGAATAAAACTTCAATCAAAGCAATTGAGCTTTGTGGATATCACATTAGAGCAAAGGAATAGCTAGATTGGTACATGACCAGCAAAATATCTCAGCTAGGAATCTCCGCGATACCTCGCATGATATGCAAAATCGTGGTCTTGGAGGGCTCCAGGCACCTCTCTTCATGCAAATAACACAAAACGCCTCCCCTGCCAGCCTGACTGGCTGGTCAATATGCCAATGCATACACGGCAAAAACAAATCCCCAGATGCCGAAGGCTTCACGCTAACGCCATCACAATGCAAGTCGATCGCCGCAAACGACGATTCAAGTCTAGGAGAAGCAAAGAAAAGGATAATATGAACAGCTGTAAATGGAAAATCACATGCGAGTCAGCTAAGCCGGACGAGACTTTGAAAGGCGGCCACTGCGGCGGGGTCCCTTTTGGGCTGTCTCTGATCGCTCAGATTCGGTCTCGCTGAGAGGCCCCACCACGGTCTTCTCCGCTTTTGCTGCCCTTTCGGCGTCTTCTTTCATCTGTAAAGTTAATTTGTCAGTGGTTTGTTCATCTTCGTTTCTCAATATTCCAACTGGACTAACCCGTAGATTAAGCGAGACGACTTCATTCTGGTCGTCTCGAAACGAGATTCCCACGCCCAGCGTGAGGTTAGAAACAAGCCGCTTCCTAGGCCTACCTCGTCGGACGGCTGGGCGAGGGTCCTCCGAGTCGTCGCTGTCATCTGCAGAACGCTTGCTGCCTGTGCTAAATGGCGATGACGAGCGAGATACCTGGAAGCTCGGCTTCAGACTGGGACCTGGAACGACTTTCTTCTCACTGTCATTCTTTTCACCGAGGAGAGCTGCAAAAGCCCGATCAATGTCGCCACGGCATTTTTGAAGCATGTCTCTGATGGTTTCCTGGTCATACCGACCTCCAAAGGCCTCTTGAATAGTTTGGATGTCCCAAGGAGGGCACACATCAACAGCCAAACCGGAATCCTTGCTATGTACAGATGTGCAGGTCGATTGAGTGTCGTTGGTAGAGATGGAAGTGGAGGAGGGAGATGAGGGTGTGTTTTGAATTGAGTGAGTATCATTGCTTTCCGCATTCGGGATGTGCTTGGTGTCAACGGCCACGTCTTTGACGTCGGCAGAAGCATATGGAGGGCTGTCTTTTGGTGCCTCATCTTTAGGAGCGTTATCCTTTGGTGATTCATCTTTCAATGATGTAGCGAGGGGCTCAAGGCACACCGACTTAGCCAGAAGCCCTGTGTGGAAGCCGTCGACAGTTCGCACGGAAGAATAGTGTTTAAAGTCCTGTTATCGGTCAGTAAGTAAGTCAGGAGATTCTGTCAAGTGGATTTACTCACGTGAAAAGCGACATGGATAACCTCTCGGTGCTCGTTAGGCGTGGCATAGACGTCCCGGAACATTTGCACGCCATCCATAGTGTACACATTAATATCGACCTTGAAGACTTGGCAGAATGCCTGCAAATGTTCAGAGCTTCCCCATTCCCCATTTTTGCGAGTTGAAGCGACCATTTCCTCGAAGCGGCGTTCCTTGTCTTCTTCAGATGGAGTCAATACATCGGCGGAACGCGTAGCATATGCGGAGGCGGTGGCTCGTTTGGGGCGGCGGCGCTCGCCACCTTGGGCAACGACAAACTGCATAAAATACGTTTTATTGTTTGCCATGTGGGATGCAAGAGTCTGGCGAATTTCGTCTCCATAGGCAAATGTGCCCTTCAATTGGTCGGATAGGGAATAGTACAGGCAATTCCCTACATTTGACGCGTCAGAAACAACATTTTCTTAGATCTAGGAAGCTCGATATTCATGCAGGGCAGCTCCAAAGTCCCTAGGTACGGTGATCTTACCATCTCCTTCTGTTGGCAAGGCAAAAAGGCCGCGTTCCCTGAGACAGGGCATCTCTAAACTTTCGTGATTCATGGTCTTGGGTTGACGCATGGTAACAATATGTTTTTGCTGGTCCAGCAGCGATAGAGAAGAGGAAGAGTTGGGATATGAAGGAGAAGAGATGTCTAGTACAGATGAGTCTGGGGTAGAGTCGGCGTGTTGTTGGTGACCCATAACTATGGGCACAATTCTGCCACCGTGAGTGAATGAGGACATCTTGGAGGAGTCCTGCTCAGATCAGGGCCGGCATGAATGGTGAATTCTTGGTACACAAGGGTTTACGCCATAAAGGGATTATTAGGAGCCCCCGAGTCCAAAAAAGAGATGCGAGACCAAAAGGAGAAAAAAAAAAATCAGAATCAAAGGTAACCCGCAGAGTGAATAAGCCCTGCGGGTGCGATGGATTCAGAAAAAGGAATTCCAACTTTTGGCGCAGAGTTGAGTGCCGAGTCGGAGGCGGTGAATACCTTTGTTCCCCATGATTGGGCCACACGTGAGACTTTGCCTACTATGACATCGGTGATCTCGAGACCTTTCATTCACTTTCAACCTTGCCTTTTAAGGATTCAATGGCTCTAGATTTAATTCCAAAAGCTTACCTTCTTGCTTTCAGTTTTGCTAATATATAGTGATCAACAAGTGAGCTATAGATGATCAAATTGAAGCATCAAATCTGAATTGTGATTCATTCCCTTCTAGGGACGCGGTGGAGCCCCGAGGGATGGAAACGGGTCATTACGGAAAAAAGGCTTTTTTTCCCTTCATTTTTTTTTTCTTTCTCGCGTTCTAACTGCTTTCTAAAAACTATACCTATAAGGGATTCATTTTCTTTAGGACAAAGACCCAGATGGAACAGCTCAATGCCTCATTTCTCTTTGTTCTTTCGATCTGTAGTATTCAACTTCCTTTCAGCCTAGAACAACTCCGCACTTGGGACTGAAGGTGCGGAGTTGTATGAAAGGATGTTATGGTCTGTATTGCAACTGTTCTCCGTATTGAAAAATTTAGCGCGTTTATTGTTTTTGAGAGCTTTCGTTGGTCTGACTAGCACACCGCCCTTTCTCCCGCCACTGAAAATAGTCAACACTTGGAAACGTGGAACAGGTTTTGACCCCAACGATACCACGAAATGACTTGCCTTGAAATGAAAGTGTGACCCCATTTCTCTTATCAAATTGATTGTCGATAGCGGAGATTATCTACTCCTCACCCCCGCTCCCTTACTTCCGCCTTCTTGACTCAAAATATTAAGACAGTATTTATGAGTTGACATCAACTGACACATTGATACTTCTTCCCATTCTGAACAATTTTGATTTCTCTGAGCCCGATTCGATAGATCATATCTAAAATGCCGAACAATATTGTGATTCTGGGGTAAGAATGACCTCCCTTACTTACCTCTGGTGGAGGCAAGGGTGCCAATATCTCTTCATCATCTTGATTTACTAAAATTAAGTTAGAGCCGGTGTTACGGGCCTGACAACTGCCTACCTCTTGTCTAAAGACCCTGCAAACAAAATTACTGTTTTGGCAAAACATATGCCAGGAGACTATGACATCGAATATGCTTCCCCATGGGCTGGAGCCAACTACATGCCGTACGTCCAATGCCTATGTAGTCGCTTCCTGGTTCATTGAATCTTAAACTCACCTCTTAACCTGCTATGTACAGAGTCGGCAAGGAAGGTAGCAAGCACCAGGCATGGGAGCGCGCGACTTGGCCTGCACTACAGGAAGTATGTGAGAAGTATCCCGACGCGGGAATCCATTTCAGAGGTATGGGCCCTGGAGATGGAGTTTACATTCATGCCTGTCAAGATAAAAACATCGGTCTAACATATACCAGATTCATTGATCTATAACCGGAAGAAGGACCAAGAGTCTGCCACTGGTCAATGGTTCTCGGAATTGGTTCAGCCTAACCCGTGGTATAAGGATGTCGTCCCCGACGTATGTTGAGTCGGACCCTTATCCTCCCAGGAAGCAACGCTGATAACCAACCCCGCAGTTTGAGACGATTCCCGAGAGCCAGTTGGCCCCGGGTATCGACAATGCCCAGAAATTTACATCGGTCTGTATCAACACGGCGGTCTATTTACCGTGGCTGGTTGGGCAGTGCCTGAAGACCGGAGCTGTCTTCAAGAGGGCTATAGTCTCGCACATATCAGAGGCAGCTTATGCCCACCACTCCGGACAAAAGGCGGATGTGGTGGTGAATTGCACGGGCTTGGCGTCTAAAACTCTAGGAGGAGTTCTTGATGATAAGATGTACCCCGCCAGGGGCCAGATTGTTGTGGTCCGAAATGACCCCGGCGAGATGGTTTCTGCCTCTGGTACAGATGATGGAGAGGACGAAGCACTTTATATTATGACTCGTGCTGCAGGTCAGATTCATCGAAGAATATCCCCAGGAGAGAGAATCACAGCTGACGATTTACTAGGTGGGGGCACAATCCTCGGAGGATCTTATCAAAAGCATAATTGGGACGGACAGCCCGACCCAAACCTTGCAAACCGAATTATGAAGCGAGCAATTGCCATTTGTCCCAAGCTCGTCAAGGAGGGGGAGGGTATCGAGGGGCTCAGCATTGTCCGCCATGGCGTTGGCTTGCGGCCTCTCCGTGATGGGGGCCCTCGCCTTGAGAAAGACGAAGTAGAGGGCGTGAAGATTGTTCATAACTATGGACATGGTGGATTTGGCTACCAGGCTTCGTTTGGCTGCGCAGAGAATGCAGTGACTCTAGTAAACGAGGTCTTGACGGGCAAGACTCGTGCCAAGCTCTGAGCCAGTCATAGTGATGCATGAATAATTTTATTCACCACACGTACTACTCTTCGTTCAAATGTTGGCTGATGCATGTTTATTAAGCGTTGACAACGACTCTACTTAATAATAGGTTATGCAATTGTGACGTCAAAATTTAACGATGGCGACTCTGCAACCATCTATCTTGCCCGTATCATCTATCTTATTTGACCACTTCTTAGACTTGCGCTTCTGTTGTTGGTACATTACAATGCCGTCATCCACGGAAAGCACCTCCTCGGACGACTTTGAAGATGAGATTTCAGCACCACTCCAGTCCCTAATTTCAGAGTATGGCCATTTACCGTTGGCTGGGACAACCGTCACAAAAAACTCGACTTTAGATGCAACTCCCGACACGGTGCTTGCCATGGTCCTAGATGCGATTGTCAAAGCACGGCCCATCTCACATACCCTCACTCAGAGAACCAGTAGCCATCTACTCGATGAGGGGTATCATCATATCGACATACTCGCCACCACGACATGGGAGGAACGTGCAAAGACATTGGAAGCAGGAGGCTACAATCGATATCGGGAGCAGTGCGCATCCTACCTGGGTTCACTTTCGGATCTCGTGTCAAATAAATACGGTATGTGTCGATTACACTCATATTCCAGTGCCTACACACACAATGATTAGGATAGCACGCTGAGATATGCCTTCCTAGATGGTGACTTGAACAATTTACTGCAATCTGCGCATGGAGATCGAGAAGAAGTCCGCACCTTGATGAAGGAGTTTAAGGGGGTGGGAGACTTGGGGGTAGAATTGTTTTTCAATAACGTGCAAAGTATCTGGCCATCTATTGCTCCGTTTCTTGATACGCGAAGCTTACGGACGGCTGAAGAGATTGGGATCGGTACAGATGTGGATGCCATATATGAGGCTCTGGGCCAGGAACCCGAGGAGATGAGTATCCTCGCCAATGGCCTATCAACTGTGCGCCTGGACAAAAAACAAGTCTAGATAAAGACATGAACTACAAAATTCTAGGCCCTTTCTAAGTCCTGGAGGTTATTGCCGTATTATTCCATAATCTAGCGTAATCGTATAGTGCCTATATGCTACTAGCTTATACGAGGTCTTACTAGTAGGTTTAGGCATCGGCCCGTGCATCGTTTTGGGCTTGCTCTAATTCTGCTGCCTCAGTCAGACCACAGGCTCTAACTTAGCAAAGGGGGCCTATTGCTCGTTCCACGTCACCCGAACGATCAGGAAAACAGGACTGCCTATTAAAAGAAGCTACGATTAGCAGTGATTTTGGTTCATTTTGGTTCCGGTGTAGATCTTGCCCAGACAAGGCCACGAGAATAGGGCTCCACCACACGGGCCCACGCTATTTTCAGCCCCTCACGTGACCTGCCCCAATGCGTGCTGATTCAGCCACGGTGGCTTGGCACGACCCGCTGCTTGCGACAGCTTGCGCTCTCCACGCTTCTCCCATTCCCCTGTTCTATCATCTCCTCATTAAAAGTGCCGTCTTGGCTAGATTTCTAACCTCTTCTACCCCTACTCAACTTTGCGGCTGCTCCCTTGGATCCATCTCAGGTATGATCTTGGCTTCCAAACCTCCCTACTCCACAGAAACCCCGTCTGTGCCACTTCCGACACAAACAAAGATGAACCATTCCGACTGTGCCGACACTAATGAATGACTAGTGAACCCACGAGCCACACTATCCATCTGAACCGATTCATCTATTCCCGTTGGAATCTTTTATCTGATCATCCTAATCCCAAGACACTAACGATCATTGGACATTCAATCCCAAAACGTCATCAAAATGGACTTCTCTAACATCTTGTATGTGTTTGTCCTTCCCGTGCCAGCTTCGCGATGGCGGGGCGCCTTCTTTTGATTCCAAATTGGACCTTGATTATGAGACCAATGCAGCCATGCTAACACCTCGTTCAGTCGTCTCGTTAACATCGCGGTGGGTGTGATCATGGTGCTGGGTGGAATCAGCCAGTTCTTCCCAGCTAGCATGAGCTCCGTCATCGTCGGTGCCTATGTTATTATCTTTGGTGTCGGTAAGTTGCACTTACTTCCAATCTTCAATGAAAGAGGTGTCAATTGTGCTAATCATTGAAATTAGTTGTTGCTGGTCTGGAGTTTGTGCCCAACGTTCCCGATTATGCCTACCGTTACGCCTCGTTCCTGTTCTCCTTCCTCGGCCGTGGTATCTGTAAGTCATATCCCGTTCCCTATAATTGGGACTTCTTGAGCTAATCACTGTTCTCACTAGTCTACGTCTTCGTTGGATCCATCTTGCTCCACGACATGGTGCTGCGCGTGATCGCTGGCTCCCTCGTCGGTCTCATCGGTGTTGCCTACCTTGTCCTCGAGTTCATCCCCTCTATCGAGCCCCCTTCGAACATGCGCGAATCCGACCAAGGTTGGGGTGCCGAGCAGGTCTAAAGCCCTCGCTCGAAGCCAACCAGCATTGAAAGCTCATTTCCATCTGCGAAGTGACAACATGGATAAAGAATAGATCTACTGCTCCTTCTGAAATCCATGGAAAGTGCATAGTTGTCAGCGTTGGATTTCTCGCAATGCTTTATATGATGGATGAACGTTGTCATAACAATCCAGATAATTTCCCTGGTCCGTGTTGAGAAGCGGTTGGACCCGGGAAGGATCGGTTTGTCGCGGACGAAAAGGAATACTTCCTCACCCTCGTCTGCTTTGTTTTTCTCTTTTTTTTTTTGCTCATTTCCTTTCTTTTTGAGTTCGTCTAATTTTGATACCTGTGGACTGCGACTCCATTTGGGAAGATACTGTACAATAGTTTGAATGAATGTGGCTAGATCATGGCGACATCAAATTGACCTATGATGTATACATTGAAATTTGAGTGGAGCTGTCTTAGATTCTATCGCCGAGGCAGGATCCTTTTTAAGGAATTATTTGTAAAGTGATTCCAAGTGGAGCAAATTATTCTTGAAGAACCAGACTTTTGTCGGGTCACACTCCGTTTAGCGAAAATGCGATACGTCACATGGGCTATAGGCCTGGGTTTCCTATAAGATCTCGAGGGCTATAATGGCTATAATACTGCATAATAATAGCCAGGGTCAATTGCTCAGCTTTAGAATGGCCAAGACGGAAACCCCAGGTGCTACATACCTACTAGTCCAAATCCTTTTTCTTTTCACGTTCATTTCCTGGATGCAAGTCATAGACAAAGTACCGAACCGTGCAACCTGATCTACACAGGGACCGATTTCCTGTTACAGGTGTGCAAAAGGAACGTCATGTTCTCCAAAGCAAAGACAAATAGGAATCCTAAGAAAAAAAACCCTCTTTCGCTTGGTCCATTAGTAAAAGGAGAACAGCGTGGCCTCCGGATGGAACCCGCCACTGCCGAGAACCAACGAAATCTCGTAGATTGTTGCTTACTTTGAGTGGAAAGTCGGCTCCACCAATGACAGGGAATATAAATCTGCTTGCCTACGCATAGGCCCGCCCACACCTCACTCGGGAAGGGGAATTCCCACTGTATTTCGCCCCCCTAAACTTCATCAGGAATCGGTGGAGTCTTTTGCTCTTTGCGATCTGGGGAGTGACAGTTTGGACCGGCTTATCGGCGATCAGAGATTTTCGGCATTACAGGAAAAAAAAAAAAAAAAGCAAAGATGAAAAGTCATCCAAATGTGACAGGTAATATTAGTAGATGGAAACACGATGAAAGTGAAATAGAGAGAGAGAGAAAAGGCTTGGAAGAATCAGATAGAGATTAGATGAGATAGCGCAGATGATGCGATTAGACTGATAATGATAAGTAGATCCCCCCTTCGTAGATCGATAAACCCAAACTTTCAAACTCCCCGTATTCCCTTTCCAAGAACATCTTTTTCTCCTTTCTCAACTTCTACCAGAATATCTTCACCCTTTTAATTCTTCCTTTCGTTTTACTCTTCCTTTTCCTTTTACTTTGCTTTTCCCTCTCCCTTTCCGCATTCCTGCATCTCCCACTCCTACTTCCTGACTGCCGTGTGATCACCATCCTGCAGGACCCTAGCGAACTCGGCCCAATCCTAGTCCTGTCTAGCCTCCTGCGGTCTCCATCTCCGAACAAACCTTTGCCTTTTTCCTTTTTCCCCCAGGACGCCAAGATAGCCCCCGTGCCTGCTGCGCTGTCAGCCGTCGCAATCGTCCCCATCACCTGACCGTTCCAGACTACTGGGTCGCCACATTCTTTCATGATATCGGCTTTTTTGGGTGCTTGATTGATTTCTCATTGCCCCCATCCTTGTCGCCTCGGGTGCCCCTCTGCGACGCTAAACACCCAATCTTTCCTCCCTCCCCTCGCCCTCGCCGTATCTCTCACTACAGCGGCTCCTAGACCTGCATCTCCCCTCTGCCGGTGTGCCGCTTGCTTAACGCCGAGCATCTTGACCGACATTTGCCCTTTGTTCATATCTGGGTGATACGGTGAATTTTGCTTCCGACTGCAGTGCGACATAACCCTGTTATCTAGTCGATCCGATTTTTTTTTTCTCTCGCTTTCGCCATTTCGTATCCTTGTACCCCAGCGGTCCGGAATCGGGGACCCTCGCCTGAATTTCTGCCTCATTTCTTGGATTTATTGAATCGATTCCCTGGACAATATAAGTGGTGATGCTAGCATCCATTCCAATGGACCCGGTGCGCTCTTTGCCCAGGAACACTAGTGTCCCCCTGCGCCAACCTTCCGCGGAGGATCTGGACGCCGCTCAACAACTGGTATCGTCAGCACATGCGGGTCGAGAACATTTGGCAGATCATTATGGCGATACTTCCATAAAGTTGTCAGGAAGCCCTCCACCGCACCATGGACCCGGCTCAGCATCAGGTCTCTCAGATACCCGATCAGAACAAGAGAGGACCTCTCCACGGGCTCAAAAAGATACATCTTTTCTGGGACACTCATGCAGGTGCGTTTCTTCCTCAAAATTGCTAATAATTTTAGTCGCATACTAACATTTTTCTCCCAGCAATTGTGGAACAAAAAGTACGCCCCTTTGGCGGAGGTCTCCAACGGGAGCCATGATCTGCAATGCTTGTGGTCTTTACCTGAAGGCCCGTAATGTTGCTCGCCCCACAAAACGAAATCGTATCCAGCAGACCCCCGACGGTCCTGAAAGCAAACCCCCTTCCGCCCCTCACATGGAACATACCCCGACGTCAGAAGGAGGCTGTAAGGGTTCTTGTCCTGGTGGTGGAAGCTGCAACGGTACCGGTGGTGCTGAGGGATGTGATGGTTGCCCCGCATACAACAATCGCATCTACAAGTCTGCGCCTCGGGGTGCTCCCCATTCCTCCTGGGGTCGCACTTCAACCCCAGATGCCGGTCCAACTCCTCCCCCACCCGTGGCTGAGGCACCGGCGAAAAACACTGCCGTTGATAGCAATGGAACTTTGGTTGCATGCCAGAACTGCGGGACGACCGTGACTCCACTGTGGCGACGAGATGAGCATGGTCATCCCATTTGCAATGCCTGTGGTAAGTCAAAATATCGAGTTGCTTATTTTTTTTTTATTGTCTTCTAACACGAGAACTAGGTCTTTACTACAAGCTTCACGGCTGCTACCGCCCCACAACTATGAAAAAGTCTATCATCAAGCGTCGCAAGCGGGTCGTTCCAGCCCTACGAGATCAGTCCCCCACCGCAGCGACCCAGTCCTCCAATGGCTCATCCGCCTCCCCCGAAGCCTCCCCCGCGGCCTTGGCTCAAATCCACGACGATCATTATCGATACATGAGCAATGAGCCCGACCATTACCACCCAATGCCCGGCAGAGGTCCTCATGAAGATTCATCACGCCCCTTGCCATTTGCTCCACCTCCGGTGGATTTTACTGGCTATGTTAGCTCTCATCACCACCAACTTCCCAAACTCCTCGAGCCTGAACGGTTGGGCCACTCGCCGGTGCAATTCGCTCGACGATCTGCGTCTCCGAATTCTCTTGCGCTTCCCAAGAAACGGACCTTGGCGGAGACCTCAGATGGACTTGCACCGCCCATGCTAGGCGCTGGATCAAATCAGCTACCCCCCATCATGTCTTCGACAAATCCTTCCCCTCCAGGTCGCCTCAGCTCGATTTCATCTATCCTGAATCAGACAGAAAGCCGCGAAGACTCTCGCATGGACCTTTCGCCCATGGGTCGGCCACAACCTTATCAGGCACCCATGCATTCTGCACCACACCCGCCGCAACATTTACCCGGGATTTCCTCATTCGCGGAACATCCATCGGGCGAACGCCGTGCCATGTTGGAGCGGGAAGCTGAATTGATGCGCGAGGCATTGCGCGCCAAGGAGCGAGAGTTGGCTCAGATGGGCCGATAATACTTACATCAGCTCCCACGAGTGATGAAACGAAATTAATGAGATTTTTTTACTTAGTTTGGGTGGAGGTTCCTCCACATCATGCGGCGCAAATGCTCGGGGATTTGCGCAAGATACCACTTACTTTTGCTGGGAGTATGGATCCCTCACTGTGCTATTATTACCTTTTACCTTTCCTTTCAAAAAAAAAGTTATTTTTTTTTCGAAGACGAATTGTACGCTACAATTGCTTGCTCTTTCAATAAACGATTCTCTTCTTTTGGTCTCAATCTTCACAGTATCGTCTCTAAAAGCATGAATCCTTTGCGGGCCGAACCGAAAACTTAACTACAATATGTCATCATGACTTTCCTAGAGCCCATACATCGAGATATGTCCTCACCTTGGGGTTATCTCCACCTGCATCTTATTGATTGAAAACTTCCAAAATTTACAGGCACCTCCGACTCAAACCATGACGCCCCAGTCCTTCACCCTCACATTCCTCGGCGACGTCATGCTAGCCCGTCTAATCGACCAACTCCTTCCCAACCACGTCGAAAGCCCCCAAGACGCCGCCAACGCCGCACATCTACAATCCACCAGCGCAACCCTCCAACCCCAAAACTACACCCCCTCCGCCCCATGGGGCTCCACCCTCCCCCTCCTCCGCACATCCGACCTCCTCCTCATCAACCTCGAAACATCAGTAACAACAACCGCCTCCCCCTGGCCAAACAAAACATTCAACTACCGCATGCACCCCGCAAACCTCGCGCCCGTCCTCCACGCCGCCCGCGTCGACTACACCAGCCTCGCAAACAACCATACCCTCGATTACGGCACAGAAGGCCTCCTCGAGACAGTATGGTCCCTGAAAGAAGCGGGCGTAGCGTTCGCGGGCGCGGGCGAGAATACAGATGAAGCGTACCATCCCGCTATATTGTACTTGCCACGCGCGGTGCACGAGTACCGTTCCAGACGGGTTGGTGGTGAGAAAGTGCTGCCATCTCGGTGGAGCGAGCGGGAGAGGCGGGCTTTGGATGACCCGGGAACAACCAATGCGTATCCCGTGCATGTATATTCTGCCTCTGATCATCCGGAGGAATGGGGCGCTACTGTTCCGAATTTTCATTTTATCGAGTACTCATCTGCGACGAGGGCGCGCTTGAAAAGCTTGTTGCTGAGTGGTGGTGGTAGTAGTGGGACGAAAACGACGGCGGCTCTCAAGATTATATCGGTGCATTGGGGCCCGAATTATAGCTGGTGTCCGTCTGAGCGGATACGGTCTCTGGCGCACTTTCTTGTTGATGAATGTGGAGTGGATATTGTGCATGGACACTCGTCCCACCATGTGCAGGGCGTGGAGGTTTATGGGGGAAAGCTTATTATCTATGGGTGTGGGGATTTTGTTGACGATTATATGGTGCGGGAAAAGTATAGGAATGATCTCGGTGCTGTTTGGAGGGTTGTTGTAAGGGAAGATAACGGAACGGGAAGAGGGCTTGGGCTGGATCGGTTGGAGATATTTCCTACTCGGGTTGATCGGTTCCGGGCTAATTTGTTGGATGCTGGCGATGAGGATCATGGGTGGGTGAGAGAGAAGGTTCGGGATTTGAGTGCGGAGATGGGCACTGCTGTGCGCGGTTGTCTGGGAGAGGAAGGTCAGATCCTTATTGATATCAGGTGAGCGCTGTAGATTCATAGACGTACATAACTCCCAATATTGAAGGACCTAGGAGTCTGTACAGCCTTCGAAGGTTACAGCGTCAACGCATATTCAAAGGTAAATATCCGTAAATGGACTTGTATATGCGCACTGTACTAGGACACTTATATACATTGAATAGAAACAAAGTGAGATATAAAAAAAAGTCAAAAATCCTCCATAACCCAAGAAACCTGAAATGAAAAGCCGTCGCCATGCAGTCGTAAAAAGCATTTGAAGGTGTAGTATGTATGTTTACACATACCATCTCCAAAGATGTACATAGAAAGGTAGAGAAAAAGAGTGAAAGAACATCAAGCATCAAGAATCCATGACAAGCCGCCGCTCGCTCACATTTTCGTCGTGCTTGGTCTCTTGCATGACCGTCATCTCGGTGGTAACCTCAATACCACCAAGCGAGGTCCGTTCCGACCCATCACCGGGCTTAACATTGATGGAATACACATCGTAATCCCGTTCATCATTGCGACTAAACAACTGGCTTTGCTGCCTTGCGGATCGATGACTAGTAAATCGGTTGGCGGTAATAGCGTCGTTGCCCGTGTAGCGATTGCAGCTGTTCGTAGAAAGCAGCTTGGGGAACAGTACGCTGAGGATGGGACGGAGGAAGGGGAGACAGGCGCAGATAATGGCGACATTGCATTCGGCTGCGGTCCAGTAGGCCGCGCCGACATTGCTGTAGGATGTATCTGAGCTGCTAGCGACGGTACGAAGACTGGAGAGACGGAGGATGCTCGTAATAACGACACTGAGAATGACCAAGTTTGATTAGTATTTGTTTTCGCGTTAAGAAAGAGTCGGGTTTTCCACATACAGAATACCAATGGCGAAGACGCCCATGAGCGCGAACTTCTGCATGCGCGGGAGTTGGAGCGCGGAGAGTAGCGGCATTGGGAGGAGGAGAAGAGTCACGTCTGTTGCGATGTTCATCGATGCGTTGAAGAACCAGACGGCGTCGAAGCTGAGGCAGTGGCCTGGTAGATCGTGGTTCCAGAATTTGGCGACCGGTACACAGTTCACGTAGCCGCTGACGACGGCCCAGGTTGAGTACGTGGCGACGATTGCCATTATGCCATAGCATGAGTTTCGGAACCAGCGAGCGGGGAAGATGCGGAGGTATTGGAAGAGAATGGAGAATTTAGTGAAACCGAGACTGGCGTTGTATAATGGGATAGCGGCCCATAAGCACTGCAAATGGGTCATTTAGTATGAACATTGAGACTTGCAAGAGACGGAGTATGTAAAAAAGGGCCTTTTTTAAGGTCATACCTTCAATTGTTGTTGTACAATATGCGCTGGGAGATATTTTTGATGGATTCCCATTCCGTAATGATGTTCTAGTTCGATGTTAATACCAAATTCAACTATTCTTCAAGAAACGAAAATTGTCAACCTACCACCACCGACAAGGCCGCAATAAGCAAATGACAATAACAAAGCGCCCAGAATGGCCCAATCCTCACGACCGGTGATTTTCATCAGCCCAAACCGAGCATAACAGCGCAAGGCAACGACAAATGCAGCCATTCCAGTAAGAACCGCCGTCACCACCATCGCCCGTCGGCCACGTTCAAGACCATCGTCCTGAGTCCGGGGGACCAATTCGTGTAAAAGGTCGACCATGTTGGTGAAATATGTAAAGGAGCGAAATAAGAAAAGAGTGTCGTCGAGGGGTGGGTTCCGTTGTTCTCCTGCCAAACCACAAGAACCAAAATTAACCCTCAGTAAGTTGAATCACCACATAAAGCCGTTCGTCGACGGGGTTTATTGAGCTAGAATCGAAAAGTTTGCAGCCAAAAGACCGCCCGACGGAATGGAGCGGGGCAGAGCTCTTTTACATGGCGTTAAGCCACCCGAACCTGGGCGCACTACTGTGGAGTCGATCTGTTCATGCAGGAAACTCAAGGAGGATCCCCTTCGCTTGGTCCTCGATCTCCGCCGACTTTGAATAGTGTCTCCAATAGCGCACGATTTAGCAGCGATCCCGAGAGAAAATCCTGACTCGGCTCGAGTGTGCGCCATGTGGTCCTCCGATGGAGTCGCATTCCATGCAACAGACCACAGAATGCACCGAAGCCTGCCATAGAATGACTCTAGCACTGAATTTTGACCCCTTGATCCCCACTGCAGCGTCACCCCTGGTGGGTCTTTGGCCACACAGAATCCAGGAAGGTGATGAACATCAATTTATTATGGAGTAAAGAATTGTGGGTTTGATTGAGGTGACTGCCGACTTTCCATGGAACGCAAGTGCTGTCTTCTCAACTTCCCCTGTCGAGCATGGTTTGTTTGAGATCAGACCGCCGTTAGTGTGGGCCCGATGAAACAAGTCGTCGTACAGTCTGAAGTTCTCTGCCTCTTGCGACTCCGCACATTCTTGTGTGATGTGAGATGGGAAAATGTTCGAAGCGGAATTCTGCACCACGTGTGATCCGCCTTCTCCGTGACCGCCACTTCATGTTTTAACGATGCATCACATTGTTTGGCAATCTTTGCAGCACGTCGTGTTCGTATAGTGCAAGGTCGAAATGTCACTTGTCACCAAACTTCAAGGTCCCCCGATGTCAAAAGTCAACCATCGAAAATTGTGATTTCCACGTCGATCATTCCCTTTCCGGTTAGAATCATTAAGCCACAAAATCACTCAACTCCAGCTTTTCCTTGATCTCGCTGTCAATTCCCCATGATAAGCCGTCGGGGACCTGAAAAACTCCGCAATAATGCAAGCTATTGATCGTCGAAGCCCCCAAGCGAAGACAAGCTCTGTCGATCAAGTGGTATGGCCTTGTCAACCGTGTTGAAAATCCGCCCCCTGTCAACAAAACCCCACATGGCATTGCAAGCCATTCAATAAAGCGGCTTAGATCTCCACTGCGGAGCTCCACGTCTCAAGCCCTCCGCCCACAAGCAACAAAAACCCTTCAATCCATGCAAGATTACGTCCTTGGGGTCTTGTCCATATCACAGAGACTTGTACAGTATATACACAATAGTAAAGGGAGATGTATAGTTTTGAGTTCATTGGGATTTAAGTTACCTCGGCCCACCAATGGAGAAGGCCCGCTATGTCGCATGACCTATTAAACGTTGTTTGCCGACCAGAAGGATCGGCGGGCGTTCAATGGTTACGAACGTTGCTGATCTCTGCTGAAGCGCCTTTCTGCTTCCGTTCAAGAAAGCGGGCGGTTCTGAGACTAGAATCTGGTGGCGTTTTTCTACAATCGTGGTTACGACACTGTCAGGGAAGAGTTACGCTTCGTTTAACTTCTGAGATCAATTGATTGATGTTATCAGTACCCCGCAGAAACTTTCCAGCTAGCTTTTCAGTGATCTAGATTCAATAGCCTTGGCCTGGTTCAGCTCAGAAGGAATATTGCCTATTTTGGCATAAATTTACCGGGCAGATATGCATGCAGTCATGCACATGTGCATGCATAGTGCTCGTGCAGTCAAGGCCCCAGGGGCTAGCTAGCTTTCTTCCTGTTAGATTTCCTTACTAGTTCAGTGCAAACGAGGGTAGGTGTCAATCCAGATGTCTTTGGTGGCTTACCTTGACAAATATTGTTTATTCAACTCGACCTCCAGGGCTCGGAAGTGCATTTGTCTTTAATTTGTTTTCCAAAGCAGCTCATTCTTCCCATTAGGCACTTGAGATTCTGCATGTAAAATACTAACAATGAATTTCCAAGGTTTGCACTTGTAAATTTGCCCGTACAACTCCAATTAATCTCCGGTCTTCGTACCCCTTCATTGATACCTCGATTCAGCCTCTGCAAATTCACATATCAAAAAACAATCAACCATGCCCTGACGGAGTTTCCTTCCAGCTCTCAATATTTTCTTTTCTTTTCCTTCCTGTATGATCGGATAAAAAACTGTACAAAGAGATATATCAGGGGTAAAAGGTACAGATTTGTCACAAAAAGAACATTTGCCTCCCCGCTATCAGTGATGCATGGAACCATGGTGTGGTTGGAGTCCATGAATGAATGTACACGGCTCGCATGTGGCTCAAATGTTTGTGCCGACTCTTTATCATGATTGTCTGCTGTAGTTGATGGTACTCTGTAGGTAACGAACAAATAGCACATGCTCCAGACCATGCCGACCAAAAACTGAGCAATTTGAATTCCGGTCAAAGAGCGTTTGATACCCATAGGAACGCGAATTCCAAGTCTCTGGATAGCAAAATAGGTGTACTAATCAATCAGAAGGGTGATCAGTATAATCAATTGTAGTAAGCAAGTTCACAGGCAGATGATTTACCATCAATGTATGAACTGTGGCGTTCAAAATCAACCCTATCAGACCTATAGGAGAATTAAAGCGTATTGCCGACCATCCACATAGAATCACACCGGCATGGTGATATGTTTGCAAAGTTGAACTCCTCTTCCCTCCGGCCAAAATGATTAAGGTATCGACAACCTCGTAGTATTTGCTGAAATAGAAGATACAGCCAAAGTAGCCGGTTCCTTGCTCTGAGAAGCCCTTCAACCCGGTTGAGACTATGAGACGAGTGATTGTCAGATCAATGAGGCAAACTCAAGCGGATGGGTATGTAGCTGATGCAGTTTCAACCATCAGATATGACCTCAACCCTGGAGGTCATTACAATATGTATAGTACCAGTATGAGAATTCCATCTAGGCACTACTTCCAAGGCGAAGGAGATTCTTGAACTCACGTCGAAAAGATTCCGATTCTGACTGACAAAGATATTCTGCCACGCGAGCATAATAATCGTGTTTCCCATCAGCTGTCGGCAGATGGGTATATGACGCATATGCGAACCCCACGAGAACCCACGCCGAGAATAGCGCAAGAAGAGAATTGTGCACAAAGACAAAGATCTTGTACGGCAAGATCCTACTGATTGCCCATGGTCTGTATTGTCGGCTGGCATTGTATTGATTCAAAAACATGACTGTGGTAACGTAGGCCACCGAGAAGGTAAGCGCAAATGTCAGATCTATCGAAGCCTGAAAAATTGCATTGTTGATTCTGAAGGGGTAAAAGTAGTTTGGCGCATCGATATTCGAAGGTGGTGCACGAAGATAGGAGCCTCCTGTCTGGGGTTGGCTTGGAGGCAACTTGAAAATATCTCGCGATGGAAGACTCAGCCCAATAGACCAATGAGCGGTAGAATTAGACATGGCCAAGACAAATATATCATCAATCTTGAAATCAACAAGCTGATTCTTTATGAGAAGAAAGCTGGATGAAAGAAGGGCTTGAAGCAGGGTCATAGGGTAGAAGCTTTTATAAAGGTTTGCAAGCCGTATTTCGACTCGGGAGCTCAAAGAACCCCCCGCGATTTCCAAAGTCGAAAACAAACTTGACTACAAAGAGAAGGTGATCAACGACAGTGTCAACTAGCAGAGTTACTACTGTGGTGTAATGTTGGTATCTCCATGTGACGGAGTTGAGATGCCGTGCAACACACGGAATAGATCTACATGATATCAAGAGAGTCAGCTACGCCAGAGCAGTATTTTATTCAAAAGCAAGAAAATAATTGGAACTTTGCTGCAAGAAAACCCAAATATTGGTCTTTTTCTGCAAGTTCTGCTCGGAGGGGTTTGACAGAATAAGCAAATGCATGATGGTATCACATCTAGTCACGGTATTTGCTTTTCTTTTTTCATTTCACAAATCCAACACGAACTTTTACACTGGCAATTCTAAGCGATTCGCAGATCGATAAGAGGTTGACTTGAAAAACATGGAACTGAGTTCATCTTGCTTGTGCAACCCGGGGGTTATCACCGTTAGGTGTGATAGAATGAAACTTGATTCGAAGTAATCGACTCAGCTGTCTTCATCTGCTGATGCATTTTTTCAGCTGCGTGTCGATCGTTTTGCCCAAAGTGCGTCTTCGGAGATTCTGAAAGATGTCAACTTAAATACTCGTCAGGGTAATATTGGATAGCTCCGGTATGTTCACCATCTTCACTTCGACAAGATGCAAAGATATAACGCAGAGACTTCCAAAATGAATAGCCCTAACCAATGGGGGCGGTTCTTTACGAAAGCGCGCCCTCTCACCAGCTCTGGACTGCAAGAAAGCACCAAGCCACGCTCACTAAACTGGCCGATTGTGTTTTTCCTAATTGGCCTCCCCGTCGGGGTGATTCTATCTCTTCTATGGGTCCCCATATATACAGAGACTCTCTTGATGGTCCCACTCTGGATGATCGGCCGAACCCTTAGCATTACAGCTGGTAAGTAATACTTGTCAAAAAGATTGAACCAACCATGGGTAATATCCAACAATTTCCTAAACAATCAGGCTATCATCGGCTATGGTCTCATAAATCCTATACCGCCAGTTCATCCCTGAAGGTGGCCATGGCAATCATTGGCGCCGGAGCGGGACAAGGCAGTATAATATTCTGGTGCCGAGGCCACCGCGCACATCATCGCTACGTTGATACCGACGACGACCCATACAGTATCAAGAAAGGGTTCTTTCACGCACACATTGGCTGGATGCTATACGAAAGCGAAGGAATACCCTATGGTGTCCCCATCAACCGCAACGTGGACATCAGTGACCTCAAATCAGATCCAATAGTGCGATGGCAGCACCGATATTATATACCCCTGTTCCTCCTTGTGGGCTACGCCGCCCCAACATTAGCCTCTGGCCTTCTATACGGTGACTATCTAGGCGGCTTCCTCTACACGGGCATTTTGGCTGTAGCCCTCGCACAGCAAGGCACTTTTTGTGTGAATTCCGTCGCGCATTGGGCTGGATCGCAGCCTTTTGCGTCGGAAAAGTCTCCACGGGATAGCTATCTCACTGGTATTTTCACGCTTGGCGAGGGATATCATAATTTCCACCATGAGTTCCCAATTGATTACCGCAATGGGGTGCGATGGTATGATGCCGATCTAACGAAGTGGCTGATTTGGACCTTATCTCAGCTTGGGCTTGCTAGTAAGCTGCGGCGCTTCCCTCAAAATGAGATTGAGAAAGGGAGGATTCAACGGAAATGGGAGATCTTGAATGCAGAAGGCAAGACAGTTAGTTGGGGTATACCATCTGAAGAGTTACCGACTATGGAGTGGGAGGAGTTTAAACAGCAAGCGAGAACAGGGTGTAATTTTGTGGTTATTAGAGGAGTTGTGCATGATGTTTCAGCATTTGTGAGCGAGCATCCGGGAGGTACGGCTTTAATCACTGGAGCGATTGGAAAGGATGCAACAGAGATGTTTGAAGGCGGGGTCTATGCGCATTCTGGTGCAGCTTCCAATCTTTTGGATAATATGAGAGTGGCCAGGATTATAGATACTGTCAAGTTGATTTAGGGGTCATATGTACAGGGCTTTCTTGATTGCACATTTTTAATTGACTGGATGTAAGAGAGATGCCGAAATTTGATTGGTGAAGGTACCAGGTGGTGTAATGGTTTCACACGTCTCAAATTCTTCCAGAGTCTCTTTTCTTGATATTTTTGGCCGGTGCTTCTTCACCGCATGCCGGTCGCTATAGGCCAGTGGCTTGTGCCTCCACACCACTTGTCGATTGTTGATTTCGGGAGACGGGGAGGGGGGACGGACAGACTAAATAAAGAGTCAGCATATCTGCAAGAACCAGAGTTCAAGAGGGAAGATTAAAAGGTCGAAGATCATACGCACCTAGTATATTGATATAGTCATGAACGTTCATGGGCCACGCCATGTTGAAAGTTCGAGACAACATGGTAATGGACGAAGAAATCAAGCATAGATGGATGACCGCGTAGTGCTGAACGATGAGGACGGAGGTCATCAGGCATGTAGCATGAACAACAGAATGTTATGAGGTAACATGGTGTTTATGTGGGAAGTCATCAAGGGCGAATTGACGTGTCTATAACACTTTATGTTGACGCGTAAAGATATCAATCAATGATGAAACAGCAGTATATTGGTAGACATTGTTTGTTGTTGTGTCAATAGATGTAGTTATCAAGGAAGGTCGAAGTCTCAAGATTAAATGTAGCCGCAATATTGATGTAAACAAAGACCGTGTTGACGCGTTGTTGTTGTTGACGCGTTGTGGTGTTGGTCAAGTCATGATGGTGGAGACAAGTCATGGTGGGTGGAGGTACAACAAGTTGAATGATTGTAGAAACAACATGTTGTTCGAAAAAGACAGATCAATAACAAGAATAGGGAGTTTGCAGATCAAGGCCCGGAGACAAGGTGGGGAAGTGAGAGAAAGGAAGAGAGGAAGAAATGTTGACATTTTATACCCCACAGAAATTTGAGGCTAACAATTGGAAAAAAAAGAGAGAGCCCTGTGCTCTGTTTCTTAAACATTCGATGCAGGTAAATCTTAAAAACTCCCGTTGTCTCATGGTAGAAACAATCACTTTTCGCAAATAAGGCTTCAACTAGTTAGTGTCTTAATACTCTGAGTGGAAGATAGTATGATTCTATGCGTCTGGAGTGACGTGCATCAAGATTAAAATTGAAGCAATTTAAGCTATCTTAATACCAAAAAGTTGTGTACGTGTATTCCAATAATGAATCTCAGTCTTCCAATCTTGCACATTCCCTTCCATCCCCAAGCATGTTTCCAGAATCAATTTCAGCGATGCTCACTAGCCACCCTTGACCAAATAGCAACCTCATCTCTCTCCTCACTAACGGCACCAGGACCAGGTACATAGTTCCGACCACCAGGTGCGAACCGCTTTGTCCAATTGCTTTGCACAGTCAATCGTTTGGCGACCTCATTTGCTTCGAACAGAGTAACAAGTCTTCTCTTGCCAGGCCGTTGCTGGGCTCGATCCTGACAGATTTGATACATCATCTCCCATCTCGTTCTCAAGTCATGGCCTTCAATAAAGTAGCGCGGTGGACGACTAACAACAGACTCCCACTCTGGCACCTTTTCATGCGGATTGCTCGAAAGTCGAGGAGCAGTTCTGGTTTTTGCGTTGATCCAGGAGTCCACGGCCAGCTCGAGTGGAGTGCATCCTGTTGCGCTCTCTCGGTACAAGAGGTCCGGGCGTCGATCAAGCATTGCCTCCAGCACTCCAGGATATCCAAATTTGACTGCGATATGGACTGCCGTGTTACCAGATCCGTCGAGAATATCCAGCTGCTTTTGGTTGCTGGATTCATCGAAGCTCATTAGAAGTTTTGTCATGTCGGCCATTCTGTCCCGGGTTTTCTCAAAGTCATCGTGTCGGGGATCCCAGGTGTTGTTGCTGTAGTTGGATCGCAGCCAACTTCCGAGAGGCGTTATTGATTCTTCTTCAGCCCGCTGCATTAACATTGGAGAGACAAGGGGCTTGTCAAGAAGATCAAGAAGTGGAGCAAGTCTTTCGGCCGTTTCGCAGGCCTTTTCTTCAATGGAAATGAGAAGCAGGTGAATTAGATTACGGCTCTCAGAGTCACGAACCGTCTGGTTGGCTCCTGCAGCAATCAAAATGCGGGCATAGCTCTTTCGGTGAAGAGAACAAGCTAGTGCAAGGGGAGTGTGACCTCCTGAAGAGCGAACCTCCAGGCATTCAGGGTGATGATCAACTAAGTATTGCACTAGACGCTTAGACTCTTCGCATGGTCGAGACATGACGGCACAATGAAGCACAAGATTATCTGCGAAGAAAATTGGTAAGTAAAAGGCTATTCGAAAAAAGCAGTTATTGGCTTGCAGACTCACTTCTCGTTTGTAGCCAATTCAGAATAGATCCTTCGAGTCCAAGCTTGGACAGCGAAAGTCGTTTGATGTTCTCTTCTTCCGAGTGCGAGTTCACGTAGTCCACATAGTGTCTGCCTGGTGCAGTACCAAGGAACCACTCTGTAGACGTGAGACTTCCTTGAATAGCTGCGATCAACAAAGGAGGACGCGAGCCTGGCGGAGGCATCTCTTGGACTCGACCAGCATCAGCCCATTCCTTGTGCTTTTTGCCGCGAATAGATAAACCGGGGTAGTAAAGATGTTCTTCTTTCGGCTTGATTCCAGAAAGTTCACACATTTGTACCAGAGGAAGACCTGTCGCCTTAGCTTGAATCATTTTGACTAGGCAGTCAATATGGCCCAAGGCAATCGCAATCTGAAAATCTTCTTGCGGAATAGTAAATTTCGCTTTTCCGGAAGGGTCGGTTCTTGCACATTTTTCTCCAAGCTTTATAAGGAACTCCACCAGGGAAATGTCATTTTTGAAAATGGCGTAGTTCAAAAGGGTGCCGATCTGAAAATTGAGAGATGTATGATTGTCTGGACCATATTTTCTGAGATTGGGTTGCGAGAACTCATCCAGGAAGCGAAGAGCGCCGCATGATCTCTGCAGTGCTTTCAAAGGAGAGATTTCACTTTCAACATGGGTCAAGACTTCTCCAACATTCTCATGAGTGAAACGATCATCAACGGTGTGGCTAGAGATATTAATTTCTTCTTCATCAATTGATTCAGCGTCTGAGTGCACCTCGTATACCACTTGTCCTTGTGGCTCTTTCTTTTTGTATTGAGCTTGAAGAATTGAAATAATCGCCTCGGCATTGGCTGAATGACCTCTGAGAACCGCAATGGAAAGACACGAGTTGCTAAGCGCATCCTGAATTGCAATTTCAAGAGGCGGTTGGTCTTGAGATGGCCCCCACATAGCAAGAGTCAAAGCCTCGATTGTCTTTATATCTCCAGCCCATGCTGCTTCAAATCTGTTTCGTAATGTCAGCGATTGAAAGTCGATGGAATGGGGGAGTTTCATACAGTTTCACGTATCCCTCACGTCTTATGTCTGTCAGCACGGGCGTCTGGAATTCGAAATTGATTGTGAAGATTTTTGGCTTGTATGGACTAGTGGAGGTCGGGTGGCGAGACTGGAAGGCTGCATTCTCGGCTGGATAAAGCTCCTCAACTGTCTTCGCGCCTCGCGCTAACAGTTCCTTCTCCAAGAGCTCATAGTCACGAATCAATGCGGCCACAGCCTCCTTTTTCTCGCGGAGGCCAGGTTCTATTGTGGTATTTTTCTGTTCACCGACCATATGTTGATGTGATGAGTGTGTCTCGTCGTACTTCTTCTGCTTTTCGCGAGCATGCTTCAGTTGATTTTTGGCGAAGAACATCCTGTAAGATTTTTGTGGATACTTAGCCAGATATGATTCATCATCCTTCTCAAACACCGTGGGTAGGTCCCAAGGCTGGAAGCTTTGGTTGCCTCCGCTAACACCATTCAAATAATCTCGCTTGGATTTCAAAGAATTTCGGACACAGGTCAGGACTGTCATTTGGTTCTTATGCCAGGTATTGTAAGGGTTAGTCGACGCCTGTTCAAAATTTGGATCGGCACCCTGGCGCAATAGCTCAATCGCAATCAAGGGCAGATCCTTCTCTGCAGCAAAAAGAATGGGCTGAGTAGTTCCATTTTGAGCGTTGAGGAGAACGGATTGAAAATTGTGATCATTGGAGGCCTGGGATGCAATGGCCCTCATCAAGTGTTCAAGCTCAAACCATGGCTTTGCGTCAAGTTTCAGTAGCTCTTTTGCAGAGGTAGAATTCCGGCTTGCAATTGCATTCATCAAAGGTGTGAAGAATATGTTGTTTCCTCTGAAGAAGCTTTGACTCGTAAGAGCAATATGATTGATTGCTCGTTGCAGTGCCGGGCCATCATTCTCCAAGTATATTTTCAGAAGATCACTGTAGTTGGACTGCGCAATGTAGTGCAATGGCGTACTCTGGGTTAGATCCGCCTGAGCTGGAGAAGCGCCTAGCCTTAAAAGTGTCTGTGACATACTCCTTGCTTTATCCAGGGGAAGAGCAAGAACGAGGACCAAGTTGAGGATTGCCGCCTCTGGCTTTCTACTCCAGTCATTCAAAATCTTGACTGGCATAGAAATGTCAGCTCCAAATGATGAAACAAGCTCAGTGACGACCTCAGTATGGCCATGAAGAATAGCCAGGTGAAGGGGTGAAGCGAGACTGTCCCACGCAGTTGCGTTGATGTCGTAAATATCCGGTTCCTGTTCAATTTCTTCAAGGGTTTCGTGATTATCACCACTCCCTTCCTCCTCGACCATGACATAGGAAGCAGAAGTGTGAGAAGCAGCGTACGCATCTGACATTTCCACGTCCCCGCCCCCTTCCCCAATATTCGACTCTTTCTCGGTGATTTTCTTCTTTGAATCCTTGTTCTTAGCCTCTGCTTCTTCATTCTCATGGCTCTTCGTAAGAAGAATCCGGATTATTCCAACGTCACCGCGAGCAGCTCCAAGATGCAATGCTGTTTTCCCGTCAGCCATGCGAGCGACTAGTCGAGCTCCGTGATCCACAAGACATTGGACCACTTCCGGGCTAGACGAGATGCAGGCTAGATGAAGTGGTGTGCGTCCAGTGTAGTCCCGGCGATCAGGGTTTGCATCTTTATCGGCCAAGAAGCTTTTGACGGCTGCTACATCATTAGAAACAATTGCCTGACATAACCGTTCCGTGCGTCCAACATAGGCCATTTCTGTTATAAAGTGTTAGTGGAAATGTATTCCTATTGAAATACAGTTAAGTTTTTCCTCATACCTGTCCAGTCTACTTCGGTAATAGGATTGAAACTGCCAATCTCCTGGCGGCCGGGATCATCTTTCATGAAAGTTACCGGGCCCGAAATGTAGATTTTGCTCTCCTCCTCAGCTAATTTCAGTTCTTCATCTGTCACAGGCCGGGGACAACAGCCACAACAATCTCCAATGACATTATCTGCATCGCCAAAGAAAGCCGGGTGGCGGTGCAGGTAGACAGTACGATCCTTGGGCTGATTCCATTGGGCATTCAAGAGCAAGTCCTTTGCGTACAAGAGCTTTTCGATGCTGCGAGCATTGAATCGTTTGCCGTATGGAATAGTCTATTGGATTCAAATTAGTCCCAGAGATGGATAAAACGCTTGGGGGAACGAACGAATGTGTGGTAGTTTGACAATTGGTCTTCCTCCTGCCATTCGGGAACTTCATCCTCCCATTCATTCTTGATGTTACCCCTGAGCTCTCTTCGGTGTCGGTTCAAGTTCAAGCTCGGGGCTGGTCGGCCGCGCTCTGAACGCCTCTTTCCAAGATATGATTCTCTGTCGCCCGGTTTTGGGAGTTTCTCCAGAACCAAAAGACGGGCAAGTCCCTGAGTTCTATTGAAACTTCGCTCAAAGATGGTCTACCGCATAGTCAGTTCTGTCATTTTTACAATGCAGCAATGTAGTAGGGGGCTTCACTTACAGGATCGATCTTTGATCGGTCCAGCTGCGGCCAAAATACCTCAAACCCACGGTGAGAATACTTGGAAAGTCGGTTCTCATACGAAGGGGACCGTCGGGTAAGATCAATTTGGTTCACTTGGGTGATGTAGGATGCGATTGCACGTGGAGATGCATAGACTTGCTTGCCGTCATAGGCTGCACAAGAACAATCAACGTCAAACCCAGTGAGGATCTCCGCTACCGAGTGGTAGATACGAAGCACGATCTGCACATGACGAGTGGGATATTGGGAGACAATGGTAACAGTGTTCTTCGTGCGGACGGTGGTGGTCTCGTGCAAAATGGAGTTCCGGATCTTGTCTTCGATGTGCTTTATTTTCTCGATCGCTTGGTCTTCAGTCAAGCCATAGAGAAAAAGATCCACATCCGAGGCCGGTGCAAACTGATCATGGTAATACTGGCGTAGAGCTCTCTTTGAACTGCGATGTTCTTCCGGTACAGGTAGAGCCGAAGTTACCACGGCACTTCCCGCAACCACAACATTACTCCAGTCCAGCTCGCTCAATGAGTTTTCCGTGAAGATGGCAAAGTTTTGTTGAAATTCAGTCAAGGTCGGAACAACGGCGGGTGAATCATTGGGTCGGCGGGTCCTATCTTCCAGGGGTAAGATGTATTTTTCTTTGATTTCAGGATCCTCGGAAGCAAGATCTCTTGCCCGGACCCGAAGATCAGTGGAACCTGCCGTATCGTAGAGTGGTACAATGTTGACATGGTTATCCTTCACCAACGGATGTGATAACTCCTGTGCGTAGATTCTGCGCGCAGCGGCATCAAATTTGTTGTAAGGATGCACTAAGTTCTGGATTGGAATCTCTGGATGCGCTTGAACGTATGACACAAAATCAGCGTGTTTCGCAGGGACTACAGGCAAAGAGTCCATGATGATGGACTTTTAAGCAAGAATAAAGATGATTTGAATCTAATTTGTAGAAAATAGAAAGAAAGTGAAATGTATGCAGCTGGAAGATCTGTTTATATACTAACTCGTGGAGTGTTTGTGTTTGTGATTTTTCCCGTGATTGCTACTGCCAAGGCCCAAATCTGTATAGGGGTCCAGCCTACCAGGCAGCCTTAGGCAACATCCTACAGCCCCATAATCAGCCTAGCTTTGGACCAATCACGGTCCTTGTTCTTTCCCCACGCAAGCCCCGAGAACCTTGGTACCTTGCCACACTGGGCTAGTGCGCGCACTAAATGCCCCAGGAACGTATCAGGTCACGTGTGGGTAAATCACGTGATAGGGGTCAGGTGGGGTCGCGATTATCCACCCCCTAATCATCTGAGCGTATTTCCGGAGTTCTTGATGTGTGATCTTAAAATCACTCTCTTCCGGGCCTTTATCTCGGAAGAAAAAGGCCTCGAAGGGAATTCTGAACGTGCTTGGTCCCGTAATATTGTGGGACTCATTGATGTAAATCTTTTGGCTGGATCTAATGCTTTGTCCTTGCATCATCCAATTCTGAAGTGTGAGCCGACCAAGTTCCTTCGAAATGTTCAGCGTGATGACGGCTCTCGTTTCTCCTTGAGATTCCTTTAGCCAAAACTCTGCGTCTTTCTTCAACTTCGCGGGGCCCTCGGAAAGACCAATTTCGAGCACCACGCTCGGCCACGGGATTCTGAAGGAGCAGGGGCTGCCAGTCCCCACCCGAAATCTTTGTGCGACCGCTGCTTGTGGTTTCACTGCTTGTAGAATATCCTAGTTCGCTTGCCTGCTTACTCTCATAGAGTATGACCAACCTTACAAACTCTCTTGCTGTGACCTGGTGAGGATTGGAGGACATATGGAAAGTCACCAAGTAGGGCAACATGAAGTATGACTTTGTAAGTTTGCGACGATCTTTGGTCCTCAGTACCACCTAAGGGATAAATTGATATTTATCCAAACAGCGTCAGTCCGCTAGAGGACAAAGGAACCGTTCACCCCAGCTACTGGGTGGCAGGGATCTGTGCTTTGCCTTGGTCGACCGACTGACCAGTCGAGTCGGGCGCTAGTTATTCAGAACTTTGAAGTACCGTTCACGACGTTCGTCGACCCTGAGTCCGGTGACACTCGTCGTGAGATTGTCAAAGGGGGGCTTTTGCTATCTGAAGCGGTCCGTTCTTCACAAATTGTAACAAAAAACGACGAATGCCGGAGCAGCAATTCAGCCTCATATCCCTGCCGTGGTAGAGAATGGGTTGGGTTAGATTGTCGCGTGTTTTCGGACCTTTAGGAGCACTTACAGTTGCTTTGTATTCGGTTTGTCTATTTTTACCTGTTAGCTACTAGTACTATTGCTTCCTGACGTTCGATCGGCCATGTCCTACGGTGCAGAAATCCTAGCCATACAATCCCCTCTCAAGTCCCTCTCAAGTCCCTTCTCAAGTCCCTTCTCAAGTCCACTCTTAAGTCTATTCTAGTTTATATACGAAAACCTATAATTTATATATACTTTTTTCTTAATAATAATAACAATACCCTAGTTATTAAGAAACATTAAAGACTCAGATTGACATGACCTCTATTTCTGCCACCATACATAAATCCATACATAAATGATAAAACCCAAAAGTAAAGTCTTTCGACCTCGTTACATGTATCATAGTTCAAAGGTGCATATGTAGCTGACATTCAATGTGTTGAGAATACACCATATGTAGCGCTTGATGGGTCATCATGTCTCGACTCATTCAATGTTCAAAGGTTACAGCACTTGAGGTTTTCTGCGACTTCGCAAATCCTGTCAGCTTCAAAGTTCATACAGTGCACATATGATCTCCATACGCTTAGATAAAAGGGCCAATGTTGCGTATAGGGGCCTATTCAGTATGAAGATTCGTATGTATGTCTATTGAGTACATAAGGCGTAAACATTGAGAAGAAATATCAAGGTCAAAGCTATCATGGGCATGATTAAAATCATGTAACATGCTCCTTCTCCTCCTCCTTGGGAATCCGCACCCATACAACTGTCACAAGCAGGGCAAGCAACTGTGCTCCCATAGCAAACCACCAAATAGCTCTAAGTCCTTCGAGGCCAACCTGTCCATCAGCACCTTTACTAACCCGGGTGCCAATCGCATCAGCGAGACTAGTCATAATCGCAGATGACAGATTCTGATTCGTCACCAATAAGCTACCCGCGCTTCCCTGGTAAGACCGGGCAACATTGCTCGTGATAAAGATCGAGGCTGCAGCAAAAGCCAGGTCAGGTCCAAATGTCACGAGCGCAATACCGGGGAATGAAAGAGCCCAGTAAGTTGTGCCCGCAGTTTGAGGGATAAAGAAAGCAGGCCCCATAGTGAATGCGAACATAGAAACCGCATAGATATAGTGGCCCGGAACAACGTGCAGAGTGCGGCTCACGATCCATGTAGCAAAGACTCCGACAACGGCATTGGGGATATGATACAATGCCACAGCGATGGGGGTAGCGTGTTGAATACGTAGCCAAAATTGAATTGCATAAAATTGCCAGCAGCCGAAGAAGGAGCCGAAGCCGAGGAAATAAGCAATCATTAACGGGGTGAATCCCGGTGTTGACCAAAGGCGGTTGGGGATGAGAGGTCGGATGGCGGCGCGCTCGGCGAAAAAGAGACCACACAATAGAAGAAGACCAACAATGATGAGGACATAAGTGTATGGGGACCATGCAGCCACCGGGCCTTGTGTAAGCCCGAAGAGTAAGCACACGCAGCCTCCAGAAGCACATGCGCCTCCAATATAATCAAACTGCCGTAGAGTCGGTGCTTCCGTCCCAGCAACATCGGCCACTGGCTTCAAAGGTGGAATAGTAAAGTATGCAGCTACGCCGCAGATAGCGCAAATAATGGCGTTTGTTCCAAAGATCCATGGAAGGTGTTGATAAAGAGCACCTCCTTGAATTGCCCCAAGAGAGAAGCCGAAGGGGCAACACGCCGCCATAGCAGAGAACACGCGATTCTTCCGAACTCCAGGCTTATAAACTCGGCCTAGGATACTCATGCTTCCCGAAACCAAAACACCGATAGCAAGACCCTGCATGGCTCGCATGACAAAGAAAAGAATATAGCGTGATGGGTGCAAAGAGAAAGCTCCGACAATGTTCCAGGTGGTTAACCAAGCGAAAGCGCCTACCATTAGGCTTTTGGGCGGAGCTAAGTCCGAGAGGGATCCAGAGATCACGACCGATAGGCCGTTGGCGGTATTGAATGCACCAACAATCCAAGGCAGTTGAGTGTTGGTGATGCCGAGCGCAGTCTTCAACTGTTCCTGTGGGGCAAGCATATCACCAAGGAAGAAAGAAAACAGCATAAGACCGGCAGAACAAACCATGACAAGAATAATCTCTGCCGTGAAGCTCGAGATTTCTGGTGGTACACCTTGCCTCGCTCGGCTCGGCGGCGTTGCCGCTTCGTCGGCAAAATCCGAGGATCGGGATACCGAGGGCTTTCGGTTCTTTAACCGATGTCCGAGCGTGTCGAGTTCATGTGCGTTTTCTTCACCTGGACCAAGACTGGTGATGGTTTGCGAGACATTTTTTAACGACTGCTTATCAACAACAACAGTATGGCCCATTAGCGGGTCTGGGGTCTGTGCACCAGTTGCTGGTGTCGCGTAGTTCCTCGAGTAAGAGAATGATGAGCGACCCGATACGGGAGCTGAATCTCCAGAGTCGTTTTCGAGGCCATTCTGACCGGTCGCGCTTGGATACACGTATGTCTGGGTTTGGGGAGGGAATCGCGGGGGACCCTCGGGATCTGAGTGCTGCCCATCAGGCATCCTGGGCGTGCAGTAGTCTGTAGAAGATAAGCAAAACTGCGCGCACAACCCGATTCAAGATATAATGTGGGAATGAGAAAGAGCACAGAAAGCGAGCAGAAAAACGAAAAAAATCTTCAAGCACAGGTATTTATCGGGCACACCATTGTGGCGAAACGGACGAAATATATTCGTTGACGATCTAAGGTGGAGTGGAGTGAGTGGAGCGCTGTTCCGGTTATCAGCAAACCTAGAGCCGATGGGCCGATAAAACATCATGATCACCACCATTATTGCATGTAAGCACCGGGTTTCAAGTCAACTGGAGGGTTGGCAATGCTTCATGGTCCCTTGCGGAGGCTTGCGTGTAATTCTCTTTCTTGTGGATCCGACGATCTGATTAGTCTCAGGAGAGGGCTGTGTCAACGACGATGACTGCCAGACGGAGTAGTCTGAACTAGGGATGCATACCTAGTAGTTGGTATTTTGTCAACGTTAAATCCAGTGCTAACCCTACTAGTGCTGGCGATGAAAAAGAGCACACGGGCTACCAAATGTACCACAAGTATTTGAGGCTGACATTTGAGAAAGCACGCTGAGACAATCGGCAAGCTCAATTTTGTTCACCAAACCGTGATTGAACCCATCGCGGAAATCATCCCTGATCGACACGGCCCGGTCCAATAGCTGTAAATCTATTAAACAAAGGTGTCCAATCGGATAGAAGACATTGAGATCCTCGTGGCAAGATCTAAAATATTGGATGTAAAGAGGGAAGGTGAACCGATCTGTCAAGGGATAGACTACGCGTCATACCTTGGTCTTGCGCTGTTTCAGACTCAAAGTCTTCTTATGCCAACATTTGACAACAACTAAAGTCTCCTGGAAGAGAATCATCATCTCCCCCTGAGATTATGACATCGTGCTTTCTATTCATGCAATTTATCAATTAATACATAGCGATCGGCATGCGTCGCTTGAACTATCTTCTTTCGTTTTTGTGTCCGGTGAGTCACTCTCGACCTCAGTTTTTGACTTGGCCACATAGAACCACGTCTTCTCCAAATGGGTACCATTTGACATTCTTCAACCTCGCTGCAGACATGGCATTTCCGTCTTGATCAAAGCGTCTGTCGGGAGACACCACAACACCTCCCCGACCCAACCATGTTGGCGCAATGGTCACGATAACACTATCGATCAAAGACATATACGCTGGAGCGAGTAAAGAATTGATGACCTGACCGCCTCCTTCAATCATGACACTTTGAATGCCATTACCCCGAAGTGTCACAAGCAGTGCCTTCCAATCGATAACATGTTTCCCATTTTCGGCAACACTCATTTGCAGTGAAATAAATTTCCCACCATATTTCTCCAAAAGTGTTTTCCTCTCGACCGGGGGTTCAGCAAGTGCGGTCACAATCCAAGGTGCTTGGCCTTGCCCCTGTCTGCACAACTGAAACAGTTTGCTATCCTCGGAAAAATCCCATCTAGCAGTTGGATCAATCACTACAGGCCGAGGTTGACCCTCCAGGCCTTCTTTGCCATACCCCCCAACGCCGGAAATTCGGCAATTGAGGCCAGGGTCATCGGCCAGTGCTGTTCCGACACCAATGAGTATAGCATCGTGACGGGAGCGTAAGTAGTGAGTCATGGCCTTTGACTGAGGGCCAGAGAGCACTGTTCGCGCACCAGGCGATAAGGCAAGAGAAGAATCCAGTGACGTTGCGAAAGTAAGTGTTGTGAAAGGCATATCAGATTGCGGGGCTGAGCTGTCCTGAATTTGTGGGGTATCCCGGAGAGGCAAATGAGGCTCCAGGAAGACCCGATCGGAGTCGGGAAACTCCAGGGCATCGCGGGTGGCTAAAGACATGGCGTTTAGGTTAGATGTCTTGTTTTGAGTTTGTTATGAATTATGAAGGTGAAGGCAGAAGATCTCGGGAACGTTGATCGATAACTGATGTGCGCGGAACGGTGCCTTGGTGCCTGAGATATTAATTGGTATTGATCTCAGTTATTTGAATTTTGACCCCGTTGACTGATTCCAAAGTTGTCAACAGTAAAATGCAATTTCTTTCTGGAAGATTAAACATTCAAATGTTGGTTTTTATCTTCAGCTTCGAGGATTAGATATCGGTTTTCATTTGCATTGATGGTTTGCGGCTGTTCATATATATCCGTTGAGAATCATCAACTATCCCTCTACTGGATAGTGATCACACCACCAGAGACACCAATATCTGCAACATACATCGCCCGGCCATTGTCAATGTTCTGGCCATTCTCAAATGCATGAAATACAACTTTCGAACCATCCGCATTGAAGTCGGCCCCACCAGGTCCTGCCAAATTCCCCACATTACTGGGGTCCCCAGATACAAGCAAAGGGGCATTGGGTGCCTGGGCCTTAGTGTAAGGCCCACCGAGCGCCGAAGCCGTGGCATAGCTAACGTCATAAGCGGTCGTATCATACATATTAGAAGAAAACGTAAGATAATAGGTTCCGTCCACATTTGCCAAACTCGGAGCCTCAATCAATGGCCCATCGGCATCATCTCGATCAAGAAGCTGGATGGGATCCCCATTCGGAGTGACGGCATCTGAGTTCAGGGCTTGCAGCATGATGGGAGTAGCATGAGTAGTCCCATCGCCATCAAGACTGTTTCCATCGATCTTGTAAACGACGTAATAGGTCCCAGCATCCATGTATCCGTCTGCATCGATCGCGCCACCCTGGCCCAGGGGACAAGCCAACGCACTATCTTCTGGAGTATACGGCCCAGTAATGGTGGTGGATGTGGCTGCGCCGACACAGTGTTTGGTCGAGTCCTCGCTTGTTGCAGCGGAAAAATACATCACAAAGGTCCCGTCATCCTGGCACGAGTAAGCTTTGTCTTGGACTCTTGGTTGAAGTTGGGTGTTTTTGACTTACCCTTTGATTCACGTCCGGTGCCCAGATAGCGGGAGATGATGCGACCCATGATGGAAAAGGGCCGGGCAAGGCGTCGGTGCCAGATAGAAGATCCCAAGTTGAGAAATCAGCAGATGATGCAACTTGGACGTTTACGCCGTTCCCACTCGTAGCAAATGCATAGTAGCCGTCATTTGTTTGGATCACACATGGGTCCGCAAAATCAGAATCTATTGCGCGCGTGGACTCAGAGAGCGCTAGTCCAAAAAACGTTGAAGTCACAGTGAGGAAGACGGCGAAACTCATATTGCAAAGGTACTAGCACTCGAGGTAAGATCAACACAAAGCCACTTAGAAGGTATGCCCGTGACTTGATTCAAGGGATTTGTATTTGTCTTATGTAGCAATGTCGACTCTGCAGATCCATACTCATATTGGTGACCATCCATAGCAGTCAAATCATATACATCTGTCGCTTTCCAATGTCATTATACTTGTTATTGTAAATTCACCCGCTGAAAACCATTTGGAAGTGTAGAATTGTCTTCAGTCTTGTTGTCCCCGCATGGATCGTCGCTGCCGCTAAGCCTAAGATAGGCAAATGGCTTCTAATGTTACATTCCCGAAATATGGGAAGCCGCGGTACATGAAGACTATTTCCTTCAAAGCCGTTCTTCAGGTTTTTATTACCTTGGGAGGCAGAGGTGTTACTTGTCCTGGGACTGCCGAGAATCCTCGCACGCACCTACTTCGGAAAGGCTGAGCTCCGAGCTGCTGCATGAAGACGGGCAATTAACCAATCATTACCTGGGGAACTAGGAGAAAGGTTCTACAGATTCAAGAATCTGCTATCGAAGACGTTTATCGAAATGCCGATTGGAGCTAGTGAGGCTACAGTGACTTCGAACTTCGAAGGCGTGATCAAAATAATTGCCAGTAGCGCAGTATGGCATTTAAGAGAAAAAGGGGCTGTGCGAGAGTAACATTGAGAAGTAGCAAATACTCTTGCCATGAAAATTATGAAGATGAAAAAGAAAGTAAGAAAGGCAGAAGCTTTATCTACTATATGGAAACTCCGCACCATTGGATACCACAGGCATTTGCTAATCACATCTTGTTCTCATCCCAGCTATGATTAGCAAGGTATTCCTGACCCTTGAAAAGCACCTTGCTGTTTTCCTCGCCAAGCCACTGTGGCTCCAAATCCTGAATCCTATCTTCAATCTCATAGCTTTCTCCACCAGCCACAAAAACAATCTTCCCCGCAAAGGGAAGACGAGCCCCACCGTGTGTGACCTCATCTGACCCCCGGTTCGCAGTCGCGCAAAGCACAATCGACCTGGCAACATCTGCAGGCTCATTTGTAGGCAAACCCCGGTCATACCATCCTTGTTCGATTGCAAGTACCATGCGTGTTTCTTGATAAATGTTAGCCCAGTATTTACATTAAAAACCCCCCCCAAAAATGGAAGCCGATCTAAATGGAATGAAAGAAGCGCCATACTTGTCATCCAGGGACATATCACGTTGACTCGGATATTCTCCCGCGTGCCGGTCAGATGGATTCCCCGCATAATCCCCAGGACGCCATGCTTGCTCGCGGTATAGGGGACCAGCCCCTCGCCTTCCTTGAAGCCAGCAATACTGCTCACCATCACAATGTCACCACCACCGCATCTTCGGAGATAATGCATTCCAATACGAGTGGTGAAAAGAGGTCCCTTCAGGTTGATATCTATCTCGGCCATGGAGGGTTCTTGTTCGATATCGGCATCGGGACTAAACACATCTTGGTGAATGGAGATTCCGGCATTGGCGACAACGATATCGATTCGACCGTATTTTTCGTATGCAGTCTTGAATAGATTGAGTTGGTCGGAATAACTCGACGAGTCACACTTGACAAATTGGACGTTTGAGCCGATTTCGGTTTCTAGTTCTCGAGATGGGCCTTCGACCACATCGCCAAATACTACTTTTGCGCCATTGCCTATACTTCAGTGAGTGGCAGTACATATTAGTGGGCACTGTTCCTTGTGATAGCTTACTGCAGAATTGTTGAACCGCTGAGCGACCAATTCCGGTTGCACCGCCAGTCAGAATGACGACTTTGTCGGCTAGGGTTTCTAGCAAGGATGGGTTGAATTGAAGATGAGTCATATTGGGAGATGAAGGTTTTTGTGAAATCCAAGTTGAAAAGAGTATCCAAAAGCCTCAACATTCTCTGTTGAATTGTCTCCTTTTAACAAGAACCCCGGAAATCCCCCTCTCCATAGCTTCAAGACCCCACACTGTCCCCCATATTTTAAACTGGACCTTCAGAACTTCGGCTTGAGAAGGTGTAAGTGGTGTGATTCGATATGTTTACCTTGAAAGGGCTCGACTGAATACCTCTAGTGATTGTGGTGCATCACTCAAGATCTCGGAGCTTATGGCGGGGCTACCCACTCAAGACATCTACAACGGTCGGACCTTCATTTCCCCCACCTGTCACTCAGGTAGCTTGCAGAAAGCCCCTTGCAGAGCAATTCGAGGACTTGATTTCCTACTGGCCATGGAATGCTTCTCCCGAATGCAGCTGTGACAGCGTGGCTTCCAGTAGATGAAGGCAACGAACTAGGTAATCAAGATTCAAGCTTTCGGTTCACCTCATCAAATGCATGACTCGGATAATTTTATGCGTACCTCTCAAAACTGGGGTCAATCACAATGTCACTGACCTTGAATATGCACAAGGACACTCTGGGTAATCACATACGGAACCTTAACTGGAACCGAGCACTTGAGATGTAGCGAGATGTAGCGAGAGTTGGGGGTTCTATTCTCCTTAACAGGATACTCCTCTCCCGAGGTCCCGGGGAAGCCGAGCCGCCAGATTCTGCGACATGCATGAGACTGATATCCATCACCGACCGTGCACACTTTTGTGTAACAAAGTACATTGTAGGAAATGATCAATCAAATCAGATTCCCGTGGTGTTCTCATGTGCGTAGCCGTGACAAAATAATGTTTATTATTGCATACTAATGCAGCCAGGTTCTATGTGAGCTTTCGAAGGCTTTCGAAGTTCTAACATTGAATGTTCTCAAGTGCTTCCAATTCCAGTATACCTAGCGAATGCCCAGGTGAACATTGAATATTGTCGGGCAATTCCCAGGTTCCCTCCACTATAGTAAATTGTTATTTATATTCCAATGTTAATATTCTCTGGCAATTTCCATAAAATCCATTGACTTTGGCAGGACCGTGGAAATCCAGGGGCACGTTCCCCTCAGAATATGGCGTGAATGCCCAGGTGGATCATCATGGTAAAGAAAAAAAGAAAAGAAAAAAAAAACATTCCAAAAGATTCCAGATTCCAAGCTTTACTTATCATTGGATCGGATCTCATACCAAAAACGACTTACTCAGACAAATGCAAAATGCGGGAAAGATCCCCCCCCCCCGTGCGACTCGTCGTATTAACCCGCCTTCTTAGGGCTGTGAAGACGAAGACGATGTTCCGATCCAGAATCTTCGTATCACAGTGTAACAAGGACCAAGGCAGACTCGATAAGCAAAAACCCCAAAAAAAAAGTGACCATGCATCATGATTATTTTTCCGGTCCACAGCTTTCTCGCATATGTCCTTGGCGGCGTGATCGGGCGATCGGCGGGTGCGTACATACAACCCACATTGCAAAACTCCAATGTGATGGCAAGCTCGATTCTCTGGGTACCTTTTATATCACTATATTAGTACGCATATGGATGTATCCCGTATGAAGGGTTGCGGTTCCACGACTCGGAAACAGGTGAATTCGAGTGTTTTGGTTCTTTGGGTCGATCCTCGGTGCGGGATGATGCAATCGATATGCAAGGCGGGACAGTTATCCTGCAGGCTTTTCCGGTGCAGAAGCCATATTTGTTGATAACCTCGATTCCAGAAGATTCAAATGGAAAATGCGGTGTCTCTCGGGCGCTTGGATGCCCGACAGCATTTTGAAAAGACGCCCTTACATCATTTCAAGGTTTCCTTTGGGTTTTGTGATGTGTTCAAATGTTTCCTTTGGGGTTTCCACACCTGCGTCAAAGATTGCAAACGACATGGTCCGACAGTCAATTGCATGATGTAGGCTTCCTCTAGTTTCCAGATCCATGGTATAAGTGGCGGGTATTCGGATGTCGCAATCTATCATAATGAAATTCAAAGCCTTCGGATGTTGGTGTTAACATTCGAAGTGCTGAATTGGCTACATAAAAAACTTAGCATTTAATTTGGTTTTTGCCATATAGATTATTCTTAGCAGTGACAATGGACAAGAACGCATATGTAGGTTGTGTGGTGTACGATGTAGTGCTATGTACTAGTAGTAGTACTGACTCTGAGCTCTATTCATGCATTAGTAATACATCAGCATTTGAATATTTTCTCTTCTGTGCCAGTTGGCATAAATTCAAAATGTCCGGTATCTATTTCGATATGCGTTGTCGGGTATACTCACATCCTAATAAACAATCATTTGGGCTTTTGTTCGCCAAACATTGGAATATGGCGAGATTAGATCGCTCAAATGTTGAAGATTTCAGCAATTGATCAGGTTTGACAGAAAAAGCCCCCACTCAAACATTGAAAGTTCCTATAGATGGAGATTGGCCCACCAAGCTGCCATGCAGCTTTAGGGCATCTATCTGGATTTTTTCTTTCCGCCTTGGACCATTCTAGAATCTGTCAATCCAATATCTAAGATTCTGTATGGAAAACGCGTCTGAAAAAAAAAAGGAATGACAATTCGATTATCCTCCGGCCTGAATGGGATTTGAGTGCCTGACTCGACGGCATCCACCAATTTGCTAGGCAAATGACCTAGACCCAGCATATCCCGAAGTTCCCCACTTAGTCTGGTTTGTTATACTGTAGTCAGGCACATCTTTTTTTTTTTTTTTTTTTTTTTTTTTTCAACTGCTCATTATTCAAATGTTAGCGGTCAATCAAATTTCCCCATACATTGAATGTTTACATTCGCGTGCTTTTACGAGTTCTTGGGAGAGGGTAATATGGGTGATATTAAAGACCCGTTCCTAACGGGGCGTGTGAAAAGGTTGAGCCAATCAAGCCGTGGTGCCCAGTAGTGTACCAGAGGTTGCAATATATTAGCACCAAAGTAGGAAAGGTGGGAAAAGGCGCAAAAGGCGAGCTCTTGGGGTTCTGGGCTTAGGCGAATCAGATAGGGGGAAAAAGAAGATAATGCAGAGAAAATTAGGGGAGATTTTGGTGTATTTGGTGTATAGGGGGAAAGTACAACGTTAATGTCAAAATGCAACTGGAAATACTCAGAGAAGGTTCATTTAGATCCAATCATAAAGGAATCTCCCAATTTCCCTAAATCTCCCGTATCAACTGGTAGTTTTTGATTTTTTAATTTTTCTCTCTCGTTTTTTCTCTCTCTTTGGAATGGAAATTATAGATAATTTATGCAAAGATTGGAAAATATAATCCGGGTTCTATTGATGCATTTTTATTATTAGTATTAACTAACCAGCATTATTGTTATTTTCGCACCTCCAATTAATCCCAAAAAATAAATCTTATATCGGGGACAATTCCCTTGAAAAAGGGGGATCCACCGTTGCCGGGAACAAAAAGAAGCTCAAGCGGTTCCCCATTTCCTCTTTTCCACTGGACGAACCTCCTGATTCCATCACCCTTAGAATCTCCCTACTTGGTCAACTCGGCAAGATCGCCCGCGAACCCTTTGGCCCTTTTTTCCTTGCCAATCTCCCGTGGCTCCTTCCCCTGCGCATTTCGACCTTCTTTCCTGTTTCCCCAAAACACCCCCTTTCTTCCGGGTTTTACACACATAGATCTCTCCAGAATGGCTTCCAAGGTGAGCTTCAACTCCTTATCCTCTCGTCGCAAATAATCCCACCCGTCTTATTTCCTCCCACCTACACCCTCCACCCGGATCTGTCGACTTCCGCGATTCGATTCCGAGAATCCAACTGGGGAACTTCCTTCCCTCCACCGACTCAACTTTCTTCCCCTCCGTTCCCAATGGCTGACCTTGCGATTCCGCTCTACAGTTCCTACGAGAATACAAGCTGGTAGTCGTCGGCGGTGGTGGCGTCGGAAAGTCTTGCTTGACCATCCAGCTCATCCAGAGCCACTTCGTGGATGAATATGATCCAACAATTGAAGGTGAGCTTTACCACTGTGCACCGGCATCACAACGCGAAATTCAAACCCACTCATCGCTTTTTTCCCTTTTCCTCCTATAGATTCTTACCGCAAGCAATGTGTGATCGATGATGAGGTCGCTTTGTTGGATGTCCTGGACACAGCAGGCCAGGAGGAGTACTCGGCAATGCGGGAACAGTACATGCGCACCGGCGAGGGCTTCCTGCTCATCTACTCGATAACATCGCGCCAATCCTTCGAAGAGATCATGACCTTCCAACAGCAAATCCTCCGCGTCAAGGACAAGGACTACTTCCCCATCATTGTCGTCGCCAACAAGTGTGATTTGGAGAAGGAGCGCGCAGTCTCCGAGCAAGGTAACATTCTCTCCCCAGCATGCATCCCAAAATCCTATCTAGAATCAATATTGCACTCGACGCGAAATATTCTACCGCGAACGGACTCAGTTCTAGAATCATCCAACTAACCTGTATCTTTTTTTTTTCTTGTTACAGAGGGTGAAGCACTGGCCCGACAGTTCGGCTGCAAGTTCATCGAGACCTCCGCCAAGTCCCGCATCAACGTCGAGAACGCTTTCTACGACCTCGTCCGTGAGATCCGCCGTTACAACAAGGAGATGTCTTCCTACCCCTCCGGTTCGGGTGCATTCGGTGCCCGCCAGCCAGAGGGCAAGATGGATGTCAGTGAGCCTGGTGAGAGCGCCGGCTGCTGCTCCAAGTGTGTCATCATGTAAAGCGGCCCTCTTTAATCTTCCTCTCTCCCCCGTTTTATCACTCGCGAACCCTTGTCTCAAACAACACGAACCACAAAATACCAAAAAACAACCGACCCCAATCCAGAGGACGCACCAGTCGGGAAACACACGAATACACACACCACTCATACGAATGGGTAATTATGGGATGGAAATCTGGAGAGAGGCTTATAATGCTTCCCAGTATAGGGGAAGGGAGGAGCTGGAATGCGGAAAAGAAAAATCAGTTGTGCGGATCTGGGTTCTTCGATTGGACGGGGCTCGAAACTTGCATGACTGACCCTTGACGCCATCGTCTCATGAATTTTGATTCCCCTTTTGTTTCCGCTTTGTTTTTTAATTGTTGTTAACTTTTTTTTTATGTCCTGATCATCATCTCTTTTTTGTGTCTATCAACCTTCGTCTCAGGATGCGAGGCGACGCGGCTGTCAATATCAGTTCTTCCACGATGCAGGGAAGGGTGCTATACTATCATGGCGCGTTCAAAATCTTATATTGCCCGAGAAACCTGGGCTCCGTAATGTTAAGTCAACTAGGGCACATTGTGAAGTCCGGTACCTACTATTCAGAAAGAGAGAGAGAGAGAGAGAGAGAGTAAAGTGTATAGAATGCATTGTACTCATTGAAAGAATTGATATGTGCCTCTAGTTCAAAGCCTGAGATCGAAATGCAGCATCGCATCTAGTTGGACCAGAAACCACTGTTATAATACACGACCTCCCATCTATCAATATAGACTCTACTGGCTGTAAACTTTATCCTCGTCAGTAGGAACATCCAGCTCATCCTCCTTCGACACCAGCTTTCCCTGCACGCCCTCCTCAACCTCCCGGATAAGCGACTCCAAGAACTCCTTATCCGCCCCAACAAGGGTAACGGTATTCCGCTTCTTACCCCAGCGCGGATAACTTCCAACCTTCACGCCGCGAGACTCCACCTTCGCCGCAAGCTCAGTCAGGTACGGCGCAACCGCGCTCTCCGGCAGCGGCGTACTAATCATAACCCGATGAGTCCCCTTACCCTCCGGATCCGACAATCTCGGAATAAGCGACGGCTTCAGGTTCTGCAGTAACCGCTCAAACAGCCGCGGCACACCAGGGAGGATGTGCACGTTGCCATTGACAACGGCGACGGGAACCCACATGTCATCTGCGACGAAGACGGCCTGCTGCTCAGCGGGGATCTTGGGGTCGAAGGGGAGCTCGACCATGCGCAGTTTCGCGTTCAGGCCTGGGGACGGCGTTTCCCAGTCGAAGTTTGGTTGCATGGGGTGGGGCTTGGAGAGGCGCTTCATGCGCTCGAAGGCCGGTTCGTGGAGTTGCAGCTTTAGGTTGAATGCTTTGGCGATTGATGAGTAGGTGATATCGTCGTGTCTGTGTGGTATGGACTCGTGTTAGCGGGGGTGGTTTTCTGTGTATTGCATTCCTTTTTGTAAAATAGAAGAAAGACCAGATTCCGCTGCGCGGGTATTTGGGTTGGGGGGTTGCGGGGGTACAGACGTTGGTCCAATGCCGCCGCTGGTGACGACGAAATCGTAGCGGGAGCTCATGCGGTGAACCGCTTCCATGATGTCCTCCTCATCGTCGGGGATGACCTCTACACGCTTCAGCTGGATGCCGAGCGAGAAGCAGAACTTGGCTAGGAAGGGGGAGTTGGTGTCGATGGTCTGCGGGGTTGGAGAACAGTTAGTTCGTGCTTTACATCTCTGGGCGAGGAGGATAAGATAGATAAAAATGTTACCTTTCCACCAAGAACCTCATCGCCGATAATCAGGCATGCAGCCGTGTGAATGGGCTTCGCGTGCGCGGCTGATGTCATCGCGAACGGACCTGCCAATGGAGATGAGAGAGTTGGGGCGGATGGACGAGTATAAAATGGGCGAGCGAAATGGCGCGTAAGTAGATTGAGACGATTGAGCATGAAGTCAGAGGGGGGTGATATAACTAAGTGGGTTGGGCACAAAGAGACAATGTGGAGAGAGCGTTTGGAGTTCCGAAAGGACGGAAGTGGGGGAGGGGAATTGAATTGTCTCCGCCCGCATTTTGATCACGACGAGCCTCTCCCGCGTGCGTCATCCTCCCAACTCTCGAACATTCAATATAAGACTGGGGTTGGATCAAACCAAGTCACAACCAGCTTGAACTTTATACGGTATTAAAGCGTGTCCTCGGAATTTCATATCAAGATGGTAAGTCGCGCTACATCCAGTTCAGGAGAAGGAGTGGAGGAACAGCAAGGGAACCCCAATGTTTTTTCAAGACGAATAGGGAATGCTAACTACTATAACCAGTCTGACTCCCGGCTGTATTCTTTCTCTCCGGAGACCAAGGAGAAGCTGCGCAAGTTCCGTCTCGGCACATCGCGAGCCAAGGATGCGCAAGCCATCATCTGTACGCCCCGCCAAAGACCCCCCTGTCCACTAGTAGCTTTCATCGTTGAAGTCGAGGCATTTGTTGCATCTGAAAATGGATTGGAATTCACTGTCCAAATAGCAGCGACACTCTGAATACACAACTAACGGATTCCCCCCGCTAGATATCATCGATGCGAAGAGCCAAGAGATTCGTCCCCAGGACGGCGAAGTCTACTCGAAGATGGAGGATCTGGCCGACGACCTGCCCGAATCATCACCGCGCTTTATTCTCCTCAGCCACCCACTCACAATGGTAAGGGAGTCCCCGATTACCCGCATCTCCACATCCCCACAACAAAGACAGACGTGCTAATATGAAGGATCCAATAGAAGTCCGGCCGCCTTTCGGTCCCCTATGTGCTCCTCTACTGGCTGCCAGAGAACTGCAATCCCTCACAGCGCATGATGTACGCCGGTGCTGTGGAGCTGATGCGAACCGCCGCCGAGGTAAACCGAGTGTTGGAGGTGGAAAGCGACGAAGATATTGTTTCCATTGCGGAGAAGCTGGCTGGCCCTGAGTAAACTATGGATATGATTGTCAATATATCTGCTGGGCAGCGGTTACATACTCTATGCGATGGGAACCGCGTCAAATCAAGGCATGCATATACGCCAGGTTGTATGGAGTATGTATTAGTATAGATCAGGCGTTCGGTTTGGATCGTGTCCAGTACACAGCAATGTTGTTGAGTCGGTTGGGGAAATTCAAAATACTCCGCCGGTGCAGACATGTGGCCCCGCGGAAACATCGATACTACATATACGAGCAACAACCCTTTCAGGAAAGGCGTGAAAGGCCGCGGCTACTATTCGCTCGAATTATTCGATCTATCACAATGATTTGCAACGGCACCCGCCCAAGTTCAAAACTATTAAACTGTTCACCCGCTCGAGGGATCGGCCCAATTTCCAAATCTTGATTCTTCAAGCGAGCTAGTGGTTTTGACATAGTGTCATCTAGAATTTAAACATTTGAAGTGGCTTACTTCCCTTACTCCAACCCCAAGCTGAAGGTTCATTCCAGCTTGAATACACCTGTATACCGCGCTGGCGTGGGCTTTGATTGGGGACTTCCAAGGAATCCAGTTCCAGCACACACCTGGGCACCTGGGTACATTCGCGTCACTCAGCTCAGCCTCAACCAGGCAAATCCAGTGTAACCAGTCAAACCCCGTAAACCCAGTAAGAGTCTCACAGGTGTTCATCTCAGCAATCTTGGAATAGCGAACTATAGTTCAAGGCCCCCAAATACCGAGGACCTGGTGTCCAGACGATCTCAGTGCAGCGTGACGATCGCATTGATCGACCGCTATGGTCCCTTGCCCGCGCCCCGGATATAATCTCCTGGTGGTAGGACCCGGGTGAGCACAGATCCAATCAGATAATCTTGGTCCAATAACTCTCCAAGTCTTCGGCCGGCCCGGTTCGTGAGAAGGGAAGTGATTGGTTCGCGTGATGAGCTCTGATCGCCCGTGGCCCCCTCATTGTTCAAACTCTGATCTTGCCAAGTAGCCCGACACATGCACTCTGGCAGTCTTGGTCAGAAGATACCGTAGGTACTTAGCAGGTACGGAGTTCGCCGGGGGTGATTGGGGGCAGGAGGGCTAGGATCCCTTGCCCGCGTCTGGTTATGGTTACGTTACAGTACTGTCTTGCATGTGCAATGTTATATTCGGATATGTTCCGAACTTGAATGTTCAAATGGTGATTCATTGAAAAGATTCAACATGCATGTGGAGGGTAGGCTGAATCCACTATGTATGCCGCAGATAGTATTTGAAATTTAGAAGAGGTAGAGGTCTGAGGGTGTTTATCCTATGAGGAATGCGTGCTTTGTCTGGAAATCATCTACACCGAGGGGGTGGTAGCGAGAGATGCCAATCACCAGAAACCGGATGTGGGAAGTGGCGAATGAGTGTATTCCATGTGTGAGTCGGTGGCTTGGAGACTCTCTTGTCCTCTCTTTTTGATATTGCGAAACAAGCACAGATGGCTTGCAGACGACACGCACTGCTTAGGCGCCTTAATAGATTGATGGAATGCAGCGGTAAGTCCAGCTGGGTTAGTGGAATGTTGAAGTACTGCCGACCAATTGGTAGCTTCAAGTTGTAGGGAGTACGAGGAGATAAGATACTAAGGTCTTGGTATCTACCAGTACTATGTGCTCTAGCATAGTACACATATGTAGCACTGTCCAAACTACTAGTCCGAAGAAAGAGCGTCAACTGGTCACCATTTTCAACGAGTTGCCAGTTACGTTCCCAAAAAAGGAAAAGAAGGGAAAAAAGCATTTACTAATAAGCACCTCAAAGGCAGAATAAATTCCTGGAATTGCCTTTCAACACACATTTAGCGCTGTACTTGGCAATTTGGAGAAAATTCCAGGAATACGTAGCTGTACAGTTACTTCTCCATATTTGGCAAGATCCCGAGAGTTTGGTAAAAATACATGGTCCTCGGTACCGTGTTATGAACTGTTCCACCAGTTCCACTTGTGGATCTCGTCAATTCCCCACTAGTACGACCCGGCGATCGTCAAGAGATCCTTGTGGTTAGAACATGATTCAAGGGGTTTTCTTGGTGTTTTTAGTGGTAAAAATTCAGTATTTGTATTTTTTTATGCTTTTTCTCTCTCTTTTTCCCTTTTGTAACATTGAATCCACTTGTCCCGGGGCTCTGGGAAATGAAAAGGCACAGGCCCCAGCTTACACGAACTGTCCTGCCATGGAAAATGATCTTGACCCAAGTTGGCGGTGTGTTTTTATTGACTTGATTACCTCGGACTCCGTTTTGCAATTTAATGATATCGATTTTTATCATATCTGTTGCATACTGATTACATACCTTGAATGTATTTTGCCTTTTTTTTTATATTGCGCAACGTGAGTTTTAAAGCTTTTAGAGAAATTCCACGTTTTGTGCTTCCAAGGTTGTCGAGGCCGCCACCCGCTGTTTTCTTATTTTATTCTATTATTCTATGTATTCCCGAATTCGCTTTATTTTCCCTGTGACGAGTCCACCTCGCTGCATTCAGGAGAAAAAAACACCCAGTACACCCAGTACACATGCATGGTCGGTATCGAGCCCTGGTCGAAATTCAGCGGGAACGTCACTGGAGAGGGTTCATGGCACATAGTGGGACCGTTGGGATGGACGATTCCATTATGGAAGGATCGGCTGCCTCAGGAGGACAGCGCGTTCTTAGTCTGCAGTAGTGATAGCCACTTGGCCTAGGTCCGGTCGCCGGAGTCCAAAGTTAGATTTCATTTTGTGAAAGAGAAAAAAAGAGAGTTCTAGCTTTCAAATTAGTTAGCGAGTACGAAGCTGTGTACGTTTCATCATGGGGAAATGATTGGCATTAGTCGGGGACTATAAACTGTCATACTCGGTCGGAGCCCACTATAATTTTAGATTTCTCCGTCCTTGGCTCGAATATGGGTAATCGGTGGAACAAGGGTGGTTCGTGGTGGCTTTCTTGTTTTTGTTTCTAGCCTGATTCTATTCCCGTCTTATGCATCATGCATGGGCGTTTTTTTCTAAGGAGGGGGGTTGGCTTTTTTAGAGGGAAAAAAAGAGAAACTAGTGGTAATCGTCAGGACTGTTTTGTCTTTGGTCGCGCTGGGCGATGCCAAAGTGCGCGCGTTATTCTGGAGGCGCTGGCTTAAGACTCCGCCTCTCTACAACGGAGTCACTGGCCGACAAATGAAAAAAAGGCCCGTCGAGTTGGTCGAGACCGACAACTAGTTACAGTTTGCGGCCACAAACTTTGCCTGTTTCATGAGGATTTCATCATAGGTTATGTACGTATTCCGAGAGGCAAAGTCAGGAATCATATGCAAATGTACACAGTCTTACTGCCATCGTGAACGTTCGTACAAGGAAGCTGCACGTACCTGTTGTGAAGAACCTTGGCGAAACTAGTACATCCCGCTCTTAGGGGCAGGAAAGGGAAAAAAGGAATTATGGGATCTCCGTGCCATCCGGGCGATTGACCCCCTAGGCCACCGGCAAATCCACAAATTTTGAGATCAGACGTCTCTCTCTCTCTCTTGATCATCAGTTACTTCAAGTTCAAGTTCAGGAGATACGGCATCCTCTCCCGTTGCCTTTGTTCCCCGCTCGTGGAGCAAATTTAGCTCCTTCAGGTAACGTGGCCGAAAAAGGACACGGGTATATCCGTTTGGTTCGCTTGAGTGTCCACTTCACGCCATCGGTGGGATGGATATGACAGGGGAAGGGAGAAAGGGTGCTCGTTTCTGCAACTTGCCGTGTATCGTGAAGCGCTGGCAGAATCTTCACAAAAGCGCCAATGACGACACTGGATTTTTTAAATCCCCGTCCATCGGGATTGACTGTTTTGGGAAGAAAAAGAAAAAGGAAATAAAAAGGAAATAAAAAGTACGGACCCAGGGGATTGGGACAGCCTGCAGTGAGGTCCAAGTGTCCAGTCTGCAACGCGGGTCTTGTGTACAGAGTCGGTCAAGCCGCGTATTTTGACGGATTTGATTTGAGTTGTTTTCCTTTGTTTTCCTTTTACAAGTGCTCGGGGTAAGTTCAGGAAAAGTGGAGGGGAAAGACTAAATGTATCCACTTGAGGATGTAGAGAAGAATCAGAGTCTACTTCAGAGTACAGAGTAGTTACTCAGTGTTTATTCGATGAATAATCACGTCAGATATACTTTGGCGCCACAAGTAACATAAGTACTTGAGTAAACCTAAGTAAACGTAAGTATTGTCGGGTCAAAAGAGAAAAAAAAATCAAAAAAAATCAAAATTAAGAATTAAAAATTAAAAATAAATAAAAAAAAGGAATCATTTTCCTAAGCTGTTTCTGGATTTTATGGAGAACCTTGGAAACCGAAACATACCACCGACCCAGCACTCTGGAAAGGCCCCATGTGCCCCAAGCTTTTGCCTCCACTTCATACATTACCGTAATTTTATTGAGTTCAGCTGATTGAAGGTTTTTGACACTTTCTTATATACCCCTTCTCCCATCTGCGAATTCGTCTACACTTGGCGTCATTTCCGTTGAAGAGAGAAGAAAAAAATACAACGGGTCTTTTTTTTTTGGTTGATTCCCGCCAACCCTAAACCCGTGCCTATGATTCACCCTTGACCTTCACGACTCAACTTTTTTTTGGGTGATTGAATACTATATATGGAATGGGCACCCGTCACAAGTGATATCGATCTGCGACCCATTCGTCATTGCATTTTTACGCCACTTTAAATCGCATCAAGGCCTACCCTATATTCCTATTATGTCTCCGCAAGACAACCCTGGTCGCCCAGAGGGTGACAAGCCCGAAGGCCTGTCTAAATACCTTAAGCGCATGAAGATTGCGTTGCGGCCGCGCTCCAGTTCCAAACGCCAGTCATTACTAGCGACCCCGGACGTGCCTGCTTCATCTGTACCAACGTACGATCTATACTCCCGGTGACGTACAATAATCCCCTCAATTCCTCTCTCTTAAACAGTGGAAAGAAGAAGAGAGATTGTACACAGCTGTATAACAAACATGACTAACAATAATTTCTTTCTCACAGTGTATCCGCCAATCCAGTCCGTCAGCCCGTCATCGCTGAGCCCACCCTACTCACCGACTACGGTGTCTTACAGCAAGAAAAGGCCCGCGCCCTCTTCACCAAATACGGCCTTTCCCTCGACCCCGGAGAATGGAAATCACCAACCGACCTGCAGCTCACCCGAGTCACCAAGACCGTCCGCATGCGAGTGCGCCGCACCTGCCACCGCTGCGAAACCACCTTCGGCCCCGACAAAGTCTGCGTCAACTGCCAACACCCCCGCTGCAAGAAATGTCCTCGCACCCCCGCAGCCCTCGAGAAGGATCCCAACGAGTACCCCTCCATTTCCAAAGCCAACATCCCCGACATCCGCGCGCGCCTCTATGGCGGAGCCCCGTATACGCCGAATCTGCGCTACACGGGCAACCCAGCCGCGCCGCTGACCATGCCCTCGCGCTCGGGCGGCCAGGATCTCGTCAAGAAGCCCGTCCATCGGCGCGTTCGCAGGACATGCCATGCCTGCGAGACGACCTTCGTCTCGGGCTCGAAGGAATGCGCTTCTTGCAGTCATGTTCGCTGCAAGAGGTGCCCCCGTGACCCGCCTAATATGGACAAGTATCCCGATGGGTATCCCGGGGATGTGGAGCCGGCGACAGTGAAGCCCAACCGGACGTATAGGAAGCCGCGGCGCCGGGTTCATTATATTTGTCATGTTTGTACGACTTCGTACAACGAAGGCGCGAATAGTTGTGGCAAGTGTGGACAGGCAAAGTGCCAGGAGACTATAAGAATTCCGTATGTTCTAAGCCCTTCTACGGTATACCCCCGGGGAGAAATAATTTTCTGGCTAACACAACCTGGTTTACTAGACCGAAGAAAATTAAACGAGAACCGGAACATGACCCTGAAATTCTACGGCGGGTAGAAGAAAAATTAGCAGCTTTGAACATACAGTGATTTGCAACTTTGTACAGAGGCGTCACTCGGCGCTTTTCTATCTTTTGTTTTTCAGCTTGTTCTCCTTTCAGTTTTCGTGTCTATTCCGGTCTCCGGACCGCTTTGGCTTTTCGTTATTGCGATCATAGCAGACATACGATGGGATACACCACCCTCTGCGAACAATGGAATGGTCTTTCTTTCGCTCGGCTAGATTTTTTTCCACCCAGGGTATCAATTTGGGTTGATAACGTTCCAGTTACACCGTTTCATATAACACCTGGCTTATCAGAGTGAACATGTTTCCACAACCATTACTTGTGTACGAACGGCGAAGATTCCAAATCCCAAACTAGCCAGTAACCCTGATATCCACCGAGTCCCAACCCCCACTCAAAAAAAACAAGGACTATGAGTTTCGGGTGTCGGGTCAACACTCCCAATACTACGCCAGAATCCGCGGACAAAATTGAGAGTGAAAAAAAGAAGCTAGCCACTTCGATGGAGACCTGTGGAGACTAAACATGCAGCTACGGAATACAGAGTGTGCTCCGTCCCTCCTGTTCTAACAGAACATAAATGCGGGTCTTAACGGCGTCCGGACCTGATCTGGCCCGAACATGGATTCCCCGCCTGTGCCATCTTTAATTAAATTCTCACCGGAAATCCTACATATCGACATCATTGTGGAGTTACACCAGACGCTGAACCGTGCACAAGCTCCTTTCATAATTCTTATTATTGGCGACTATTTTCAATTAGTCCCTCTTTCCTCCCCGGCCGAAGTGGACTAAAACTAGTATGAAGTTAGATCACGGGAGATATGCAAGTAGTACGGTTGGATAGTGAATCTAACTCACCATTCCAAGATTGTATCATACCACATGTCTACCGTCGGCTATATCATGCGATCAACAGAGGGAAAATAACGCACAGCCGAAATAAAATGTGAGCTCCAAAGTGAGAAGCATACTACTTAGTGGTCCATAAATACGTGGCCTTCTATCGTCGGAATCAAAATGTCGGGAAATGGACGGACCGACCCGTTTGTTAAAAAGTGGACTTGATTAGTGCTCTGTAAATGAGACTGGCCTATTCAAAAAAAAAAAAAAGAATTCGTTCAGCTTGCTGGTTTCCCTCTTCTCCACCTCCTCTTTAATCTGTATACGTCGCCAGTTGAAAAGAGGGACACGAAGTATCTTGACAGGGATGTTCAAAAAGACCAAATAAAGTAAGGCGGACTCAGTGGAGCTCCATTGGCTCGGAGGAATAGTCCATTCTGTCGGGACACGACCAACCCGGCTCCGAGGACAAAGACAAACGCCCCCAACGCCCAGACCTATGCTTACCTGTTTAGGTATAGGTCGGGCTCTGGCCCTTCGCATGTTCCAATTGAGAATGGCGCGTAGAATCTCTCGGCTTTACCTTGTATATACCTACAGCCTATAGGCTATTATGGTATCCGTGTAAGGGACTGAAGCAAAACACAGTAAATTAAAGTAGATTAAAACGCAGAGCCAAACTGCACGGTGTAACCGATTTCCAAGGCTTGGTATGCAAGATATCCCGTGTTTTGAACTTTGAAGCGAAGTGACACGTTGTACCCTGATATTTTTCATTGTATTCCAATCCAAGATTATCCCTGCAAGTTCGAGTTGTCGCATCCCATGTATCCGATAAATGGTCAATCTGGCAATGATCGCAGGTGCAAGGGTTATCCCGCTGTCAATGTCAACCCCTGCAGGTCACCGGACCCAAGGCCCTGGGTCAAGGGTATGTCTACTCTGTACGTTTTGGACAAGCAATGTGTGGGTTAAACTTTTGTTTCATTTTGGGCGTGTCGGGTTTGCCTAAGATAAGAATAACCTCTCCTTGCAAGGGTATCAGCAAGGGGGAAGCCCGATCCAAACTGTCGGGATCTAACACGGGAGTGCTCCGTACTACAGGGGTTGCCCTGGATGAATCCGATTCCTAACGGTCGGCTAACCCAATCCAGAATCTCATGAGAGGGCATGTCTCTCTTTGGCATTTTGTCGTTGAAAAAACATGTATAGATTTAAATATTTTTGTTTTTTGTTTTCACCTTGGAATCAAGCTAGACATGCCATGATCCACGTTACACGTACCATCCCAAAACACGATTCCGGATTTTCGAGGCGCACTCCATAAACGGACGAATGCATAAATCATTACCGTTTCTCTTTTTGTTCGTATTGAAAGATTGAACATCGACTGTACAAGTACCCTGTCAATAATCCCTCAATCCCTGTCACCGTCCCCTTCCCAGATTCCCGGGTCTCAATATTAATATGTACACATGCCAGCACATATTCATCACCTAGTGGCTTTCGCGTGCATGGCTATGGAATCATGCAGAAGCATCCAATAACTCTCCTGCAGATTACTGGACCTTTGGGTTTCCCCACACCTAGGAAGCCCCGAGAGAACAACTCAGACCTCCATCGCCACCCCTGCGCCTCTCGGGATTTGTAACTTGACGTTTTTCCTTGGTATACCGGGATTTGTCCGGGCGGACTTCCGGCACGCCAGCGCATCATGGTCCCAAATAGACAGACGAGCAAAAACGGAAGGCCTTTATTGTGAACTTTTTATTCACTTGCGGGGAGCCGGGGCCACAGCCCGCTAACATTTGAAGCTAGTCGAGACAGGGATCAGTGAGGCCCGCGAGTGGATCTATTTTGAGTACAGAATATGGGCATGGGCAGAACTGGTGGGTCGGTTTTTAGAATCGAGGCTATCACTTTGGCTTCCAACTGTCAGTTCGCAGGAGAGTTTATACGGGTCTCTTTAAAGTTATGGCATAGCCTCAGTGAATGGATCAAAATGGAAGTGTGTCCGTGGTTATGGGGCTTCTGTCTCATCTCCGTTTCTAATATGGAGCAAAGTGGGTTACATACTAGCCTACTCATATCCACTGTGGAAAGGAGCTAATGATTCAGGTGAAGATCTTGGGTCTAGCCAGTGTTAGGGGTTGGCAGCTAATACATACAGTATGTACTAGTATGTCTTTGTCGATCTTCAAATGTTTGACCTGTGTTGATCTGGAGCGTTTCGATGAGAAACGTTTGCTAGAAATCTTCTCGGGTGGGAGAAAGAAATACAAGTTGTAATTTTCAAGGAATCACTTGGCTACGCTTTGCTTGAATGAGAATCTTTCTTAAATTTAATGTTCTAAAACTCTTAGACACCTGGTCGACTCAAACGCTTTTCTTTTTGGTCATCAACCCCGGGGGATACTACTAAGCTTACGAGTAAGGCTCTCGTCCTATCCCCTCGTCCTTAGCCCCGGTCCTCTTACCGACCGCCTCGTCCAGCTCCTGCTTCTCGTCTTATTTCTTCTTTCCGTCTTGCCTCTCTTTTCTCATCAAGCAGCTGGGCTGGGGTTTTCCATGCCTCATTCAATTGATCCATCGAACCTCCAGCGTCTACCATGATCTTCACCAGCTCCTCACGTACTTGGTAAGGAGTATACCAGGGTAGCGATAGATCAGGCTTTCCATCTTCATCCGTTCTTCTCGACATTGTACCATTCATCACCGTATGGAGTGGAGTATTCCCTTTGTTGTTGACCACGTTAACATTCGCTCCCCGGCTGATCAGATGGCGCACAACGTCAATCTGGTTCATGTGTGGAACTAGATAGTGCATCGCTGTAGATCCGGTGGCATCTATGTCGTTAACATCACTGAGATCGAGGAGACGGTTTATAAGATTGAGGCTTATACAGTCATACCCACCGAAATCACACAATCGGTGTAGACATAGATGAGCATCGACTCCCTTATCAAGCAAGAGCTCCACTAGCTCTATGAAAAGTGCATCTGTTACCTCACCACCTCGTCGAGAGTGATGTAGAATTGCATCCTCCAGGGCTGTCGCGCCTAAAGGGTTAGGGGCACTCAGAGTAGACCGAAGCGGGTTGGCATCCAGAAGCAGTTTCAACGTGGACAAAATATCCGATAACGACGTATCGGATCTAAACAAAAAATTGAAGGCTGTCGCACCGTCTTTGTCTCGGGCGTTGATGGTGTCAGGCTTGGCTTCGAGGAGTAATTTGATGGTATCCATCCTGCGAGGTTGCGGCACATAATCGTCATACTGGGGATAATATGAACGGCCCTTAATAGTGATACCAAGTAATGCCCAGTGCAATGGAATTCGCCCATGGTCATCCGCACTAGACACCATCTCTGAGACACTTGCGTTGCAGCGGTGATCCGTGAGAGCCCGAATCCCCTCTAGGTTCGAATACAAGCTTGCGATATGTAAAGCCGTGACCCCTTTGCCATTTATAATGCGATAAGGGTCACCCAGCGGGTACTCATCCCAGTGCTGCCGAGCATGAACTTGGGCACCTCCGGCAATAAGACGAGATACCATATTATAGCTAGCATAGGGAATAGCGGCGCCGAGAACGGTTTGTTCTAGCACTGGACCCAAACCTTGATTGTTTGCCTCGCCCTGTTTGGAGTAGATATTTGAATCTTGAACCAAGCAGCCCTGATCTAGAAGAAAAAAGATAAAGTCTTCATGCATGTTCAGATTTTTAGGCGGGTTTTTATTACCACACCCCAACCCGCTTGCAGCACTAAACAGCGGAGTTTTCCCAAACATGTCCGGATCATTCAATGTTATCGTCGGGAAAGCATGGTTTATCAACCATAGCGTGAGCTCCTTCTGTGCAGTTACACAGGCGAAAGCTATCGGAGTAAAGCCAAGCTGCTTCAAGTACTGGTCAAGTGGCTCGGTGTATCTCGGATCTTCCAAGTAGATCTTCACCAACACACGAAGCGCATCAAAGCTACCTTTCTGCTGAGCAACAATGAAGGGATCTCCGTTCGGCGTCTCGTAACCTCCCCAGAAAACCAGCGTGTCAGGGCCTTCCTGATAGAGTCGTAGAGCTGCAGCGTCGTTTCGTGCAACAATCTCATTTTGAAGGAATCCATATGCAGTCTCATACACCGGAGATCCATCTGTATCATAGAAAGCGGGCTCCCAGAAGATTTCAGAATGTTGGAGTTCCTCATCGACCTCGTGAAAGTTTGGGTAGGCCATGGTGATTGGAAGCAATGGTGAGGTAGAGCGTAGTTGAATCAGGATATGCTGAGAGAGAGAGAGAGAGAGTGTGTGTGTGTGTGTGTGTGTGTGTGTGTGTGTGAATGGGATGATGAAAAGCTTTGAAAGATTCATGGATCAATTCATGTATAAGAGACTCCCAGTAGACAGGAAATGGGGAGTTGATGGTCTTGAGGAGTAAATATTTCCAATCGGGGTCCCAATGAGGTAAAAAATTCAAGTGCCGCTAATCCAGAAGAGGCAATATGCCCCTAGTCCTGGACTACGAACTCGGGACTCAGGATTGGAATCTAGAATCCATTGAAGTGGTATTAAGACGGAACAGACTTCATTGTTTTCATTGATCTTCTCAAAACAACCTTTCGCTGTCCGTTGTCTAGTCCCGAAGTCTGTTTCAGGGCGGGTGGGGACTCTGTTAGATATTCTCCACGGATATAGTCTCATACGACGAGTGCATGGAACCTGTCCCAGTATAACGATGCACAATCTGGTTCGTTGGATGACAATTACTTGACCAAGGTCAACAATGGCAGTGGTGGTACACACATTTTGTGCTTGCTGCGTGCTATGAAACTTTACTGGAATATATTGAGCCAAAGTTTCGTCGACATTTGATGATGCATCTGCCAGATGTGAGTGATGTTGATTTGAACGGGCTGTCTGAGACAAAAAATGGGAGAACTTTGGTGTTGGAAAATACTAGGATGAAGAGGAAAAGATCCGATTGCAGGTTTTGAAGGACTTAAAAACGAGGCTAGGCGAATATCACCCTGGCACGCTTGAGGCCATGCAAAAACCTGTGTGGATCGAGCGGGACCAGGGTATGGAATATGCGCTATATATAAGGGAAAGAAACAAAACGCAAAACGCAAAACGCAAGCCGCAAAACGGCGAACGCGTGTTTCAGCACAGCACTTACCGTGCTCGATCTTGGCGAATCACTTGAATTGGGAATGGAATATTTACTACACTTACTACTCAGTCGTCAACAGACCTCAGGATCGGCATTGGAAGAGCCTTAAGTCTACTATACAAGAGCTGGAAATTTCCAAAACGAGTTTAGATAAAGGCCAGTTGACCATCCTAACAGACTGGCAGAGTTAAATTATCAATGCAATTACTCGGCTCGAACTATCGACCCTGCTGTGTTTGACCATTATAGAAGACTGGGAAAAATGACAAACTCGTGCCTAGGTGGAAGGCGAAACAAGATTCTCGTATCGGTCAAATTCAAAATGCCTCCATTGTCAGACTCATGGAGTGGCCCTGGCGGTTTGATTCTACAAGCTTGAAGCATGTCATGAATATCAGAAATCATCGTGGATTCATAATGCAAGTTGCAACTGCCAACGAATGATACGTGTTCTGTGACGCGGTGTTACAGCGCTAAACCCAAAAAGGCAGGTCTAGCTTGAAAGGGCAATTCAAAGGCCGCGATTTCGATGCCAACAACATCTACAGACTTGTCGAGCGGCGAGAAGTTGAACCATAGAAACTTCCCCCCAATTATGGCTTCTCAACTCACCGTTGGCCTACCAAAGGTCTACGCCAACGAAGGAAACAAATGCGTTCCCCCAACCAACGATTTCCTCGCCGGAACCTGGCATGTAACACACTCGACCCTTCCAATGTGGAAAGACAAACGCAATGTCAACATCACCTACACAACACTGCCTGCCGACTCATCTGGTGTGGTCAAGATTGACGACCTGGTCAAATATCAAGGTGTGAATTCAGAGAAGATCCAAACGATCAATGGTGTGGATACTCCGTCCGCGGGTACGTGACATGTTCCATGAACCCCTGAATACTTGACATGGGAAATATCATCAGAAGAGAGGCGCTAATAATTACCAGGGAACCAAGGTGCTTGGGACTGGCGCGGCAAAGGCTGGTTGAAGGTTGCGAGCTCCCATTGGGAGGTCCTTGGTTTCGGCCATACGGATGATGGTAATCAGTGGGTTGTCACTTATTTTGCCAAGACGCTTTTCACGCCCGCTGGAATCGATATCTATGCCCGGAACAAGGAGGGGGTTTCCCAGGCTATGGTCGATCAGATTTCCAAGGCCCTAAAGGAATTGGGAGTCGATGACATTACAACTCTGGTTGAAAGCATGTTTCCGGTTTTGCAAAACTAGACATGAGGTATTATGCCTTGCGATGAGATTATGACCTATATCTATTTGTTTCTAGAAATCGAATGTGATTCTTGCATCAGGAAATAGATTGATTTTCGGCCTGGATGTATATTGGCAATTATACCGTAATAAACATCATAAGGAGGTCGATTTATCTTCCTATCTGTTCATTCTTTCAATGTTATCTGGTTGTTGCGACCTCGGTGGGGACATCCCCGCGCCTATCTCAGGTACCCCCGCACCATTTCCATGTCTCAACTCTCATCATCCACGATACATCGTACAGAAAAAAACAATTGCCAGTTCAGAACAATGGAAACCCAAAAGATACTTTCGATTTCAGATCTTGAATCTGCAGCGTCTAAATTACTGCCCGTCGCGACCAGAGGTAAACACACCCATTATCTATCCAAGAACAACACAGGGCAAGACTAATGACTCATGAGGGGCGCTGGCCTGGTATAGACTTTTTCAATTCCGGTGCAACAACTCAAGTCACAGTCCGTGAGAACTCTACCGCGTATCAAAAATACCGTGTGCTTCCCCGAGTCCTGAAAGATGTGTCCAATGTGAGCACGACGATCCCTCTGTTCGGCCGGGACATCGCCTTCCCACTATGTGTCTCGCCCGCCGGACTCCAAGGAATGGCACATCCAGATGGCGAGCTCGCGACCAGCAGGGCATGTGCCAAATATGGCATTAATATGGGGGTTTCGTCATACGCCAACCACTCGGTTGAGCAAATCACCAGCGCAGGGAAAGAGATAGGACCTATCCATCATGTCATGCAACTCTACTCAATGAAAGACCGCAAGAAGGAAGAACGCGTGGTTCGCCGCGCCGAAGCAGCGGGATGCAAGGCTATTTTCCTGACAGCCGATAGCCCCGTGTTGGGCGTGCGGTATAACGAATGGCGAAATGGATTCCTGCCGCCGGCTGGCTTGGCCTATCCTATGATGGAGACGACGTCGGAGCAGATTCAGCAGCAGTCGCATGACGATGGATTCAAGGCTTTCAATGATGACTCGCACTCCTGGGCTAAAGAGATTCCATGGTTGCGCAGTATCACTAAGATGGAGATTTGGATTAAGGGTGTGTTGACGCCTGAGGATGTGGAGACTGCTATCGAGTATGGGTGTGAGGGTGTGATAATTAGCAACCACGGTGGCCGGCAGCTGGATGAGACTCCAGCTACCCTCGATGTTCTTCCAGCGTGTGCGAAGGCTGCTCGAGGTCGGATCCGAATTCATATCGATGGGGGAATTCGGTCGGGTACCGATATATTTAAAGCTTTGGCTTTGGGTGCGGAATGTTGCTGGGTTGGTCGTCCCATGCTTTGGGGATTGGCCGTAAGTTCACATTATTTGACTATTAAAGAAAATACTAACCTCTTTTTAGTACAAGGGACAGGATGGAGTAGAATTGATGCTCGAAATCTTATACCAGGAATTCAAACGGTGCATGCAGCTGGCAGGCTGTAAGTCCATATCCGAGATCAGCACGTCGAGCATTGGAATTTTCCGCTCAGATGGCCCGCTTGCAAGACTTTAGATAGATTTTAGATGCGAAATTAGATGTCAATATCATGGATTTAACATTTAATGCTAGGAAGATACTAAGTTCAAGGACCATGGAAAGCAGTAAAAACACTCATAGTTCGGCGTATCTTATCAGCGGGTGACATCAAAAAATTTCCCCAACTCCGCATCCTCCACCAAGTTCCAACAACAGCAACACCCTTTGTCAAATCCCCATGAGACAAAGGTCAAACGAGCCAAAATGACTGACTCTCCCACCCCAAAGTCACAACACATCGCGCACACCCTGCTCGCCCGCGCCCATTCCCCCGACACCGCAGCACAACAATTCACCGAGCGCATAAAGCAAAAACCACTCTTCCTCCGTCCAACCTCCCCCTCCGCCCAAGACAACAGATCCAGACGCCGACTTCAACGTCTCCGCAAGAAAGACTACTTTATCCGCCATCAGCGCCCGCAGCCTCTCTCTGCTCGCGAAAAGCGTACCTCGGGCCTCTACGATCTGCCCAAAGATGAATGCAAGCATGCTATTTTCAAGGGACTGCATGCGATCTGGATTGGATACATGCAGGATATCTTGGATCTAAAGGCCGAGGGCAAGAGTGGAGTTGTGACGCCGTTTTCGCATGGTGCGAAGCTCGTCAGTGCTGATTTCCACGGGGCGGAGGTCGAGGTTGTGAAGAGTCGATGCGCTAGTCGCGTTGGTGTGAAGGGAATCGTGGCGCGGGACACGAAGTTTACATTCGAAATTGTCACGGAGGCGGATGAAGTGAAGAGTGAGTCTTCTACTTTGTTTTTGGACCAGGAGTTACCCCCTGATGTTACTCGTTCCTTGGAGCTGACATTGATACTATAGCAATACCAAAGGAGCACTCTATCTTCCGGTTTGAAGTTCCATTCCCGGCCTCGATGGCATCGGGATCAGATTCCGCTGCTGCAGGTCAGCAGCAGCAAAAGCAACAAGGACCTAAGCCGCTGGTCTTCGAGCTGCACGGCAGCCAATTTGAGAACCGAGCCACGGACCGGGCGAATAAGAAGTTCAAATGGAAGAACATCGACTATCTATGATTCGTCGTCTGTACGTTAAGCATGATATAATGATAAATATAACGGAAGAAAAGCAATCCGCAAATGCTACAAAAACTTCATACCTCGGATCCTCTCCAAATCCTCCGCAGTATCCACACCCAAACTAACAGCCGACTCGGCGATCGACACATGTATCCTTTTTCCATGATACAAAACACGTAACTGCTCCAGCTTCTCAATTCGCTCTAGCGCAGACGGACTGAGCGTGGTATACTGCCTCAAAAACCCAGCCCGGTAGGCATACAAGCCAACATGTCGCAACACGCCTTGGTCAACACCTTCAAACCCACTCGCGTCCCGATCCCACGGGATCATCGCCCTTGAGAAGTACATAGCATTCCCATCCGCATCAAGGACAACCTTCACATTATTCGGATTGTTGGCATCGCTCGCGTCGCGAATCGGCGTGGCTAGCGTAGCCATCTCTGCATCGTGGAGCGCAAGGTCCCGGCCTACCTGTGCTATAAGCTCAGGTTCGAGAAGAGGTTCGTCGCCTTGGACGTTGACGACGATAGCGTCATCTCCAATTTGCAGGATGTCCACAGCCTCTGCTAGTCGCTCTGTGCCGCTTTCGTGGTCATCGCGTGTCATGATGGCTTCTGCACCTGCTGCCCGTGCCGCTTCCAGGACACTAGCGTTCTCAGTGGCGACGATCACGCGCGTGGCACCCGATTCTTGGGCTCGCTTTATGACGTGGGCAATCATGGGTTTGGCGTGGATGTCGGCTAATGGCTTTCCGGGCAGACGGGTTGATGCGAAGCGAGCTGGGATCATGGCTATAAAACTCATGTTTGGTTGCTTTTGTTTCAGTTTGGCAAAATGATGAATTTACGATTAAACTTGAAGGGGTCGCACTCGGTTAAAGAGGGGCATTTTGCTCAGGAGTCATCAGGAGTCAGGCATGCATGGATGGATGTATCGTGCAGTACCTTCATGCAGAGCTCGGTAGGCTCGAGCCCGGCTAGACAACTGGCTCGAAATATAATTGGACTGTTTGTCCCGTTGACTTCGAGCAGATCCACGACTGCGACGAGGATGATTCGTTTCTCTAGAAGACAGGCATATATCCGAGATATGCAGATGAGGCATATGTGAGATTTCAACAATCTAGTACGCCAATACATTCTAGTTAAATTTTGACGGAGCAAAAAGAAAAAGTAAAAGTGGACAGCCAGCGGGCCTTAATGTAAAGTTGGATATAAAATTGTAGCGTTTCATTGTGAGAGAGCCACCTGAGCAGGTTAGCTAGGAAGCTAGATATGATATGATCCCACGAATGATTACAATGGACGTGGCTTGCATTCTGCTCCAGCCAAGGCTCTCCTTTGGGGGTATGCGATGACCACGCGACAAAAGTCGGAACTGAATGTGCAAGTCTTGAATGTCTTGAATGCATTTCTGATAAGACTTGTATTCAGATGCAGTCTCCTAGGGCCATAAGACCCGATAGGTAGGCTGGATTTTGCCTCAAAGGTTGCGACGAGCACCTTGTCTTCAGCAGATGGTTGAGCGACTAGCTCTAGGACAGCAGATGCTTGCCTGCAGTGTCTCTCCAAAGGAGGAGTGGATGTTTCGAAGATGTGATTGTTCGTCGAATTGTGCGCCAAAAACCTTGGATGGCCAATGAACAATTGACCTTTTCAACATGGAGTTGATGTTTGACGGTATGATCGAGGGCAATAGAACCCCTCTTTGTGCAGAGGGGAGTCTACATACCAGCCCATTCGATGCTGAATGTACGTACACTTTCGGTACGCTCGATCTCAGATTCGGCTTGCTCTCTTGAAACCTGAGGTCCGCCCAGAAGGAAACCCTTCTTGACACCGGTACCCAATCGGCCGCCAATGATGATGTCCATTATATCAATCTCCTGGTCCCATTCGGCAGAGACAACAAGGAAATGAGAGTGGAATCGAAGAGGATCACCTGGGTACGCCACATATTGACATCCAAAACGCAGGCCAGGCGAAAGGAAGTAACCGCGCGATTGCAGATGAGCAAAGAGCGGGTATGAAAGAGGGACATCGGGTCTCGGAAGGATATTTTTGGACGACGTAGACGGACGAGGAAGCGGAGGGTAGGATGTCGTTGGGGTCACGCGGTGGGCTTGCTGAGGAACAATGCTAGAAGAGGCCTCTCGGGAGGTAGGATCGTCCTTGAAAAAGTCTGCCACAGAGGCTGGGCTCTCCGTTGCCGCTGGGATGGAGTCGGGTTTATCACCACCAGCTGCTTGGGCAGCTGCCTTGGCTTGAGCCTTAGCCTTCTTCTCATTCTTTTCTTTCATCCATTGGTCTCTTTGCTGATCTTTGCGTTCCGTGAGGATGCGTGAAGCGTGGAGGCCCGTGGATTCTAATTCGCGTAGGTACTGTTGGCGATCCTCTTCTAGAAGAGATTGCATGCCAATGTGTGCCTTGGCTTCGTCTACAATGCAAGCTACACCCTTGTCCACCAACAGCCGCGCTTCCTCGGGCATCAGCTCGAGCGGCAAACCCAAGAAGACATTCTGTTGTGGGATTTGTGGTAGAGTCCCGATCAACACACCACACGTGTGGTATTCACGTCTTAAATACGTGACATCGTCAATGGAGAATAGTAGGTATCTACCAGAAATGAAAGAGATCGGAATAGGGAGAGTAGGTTGGTCCATTTTGAATAAAAAATTGATTTCATGTATTCTATAGCACAATCAAATTAGCAATTGCTCATCAACGGTTGGGTTGAGGTAAAAAGCAGTAAGATGTGTGCAAAGTCATTTTCAATTACGTTGCTCAGTCACATAGCTCAATTTTATAAAGAGCTTCAGGGGATTGACAGATTGTATTTATATAATCATGCAAAGGAGGGTTTGTGTTGGTGTTGGAGAAAGAAGAGAGAGCTTACCATTTGAAAAATCGAGTCTGGTGGTTTGTCCAGCAAATCCAGAGACTCGAGGAGGGGAAGAAAGAAGCACAAGCGAAAAGTGAAATTTTATAAGGGAGCTCCGGCCGCGCTTACCCGCTTTAGGTTGGCGGTGTAGGAACTGAGTAGTGAGCACAGTACCTATCTCAATTCCATGAAAGTTGGACTATTACCAGTTCTGCAGTTGTAATGAGTAAAATGTGCACTTTATACTAGTATCTCAGGTACGTATGTAACCTTTCAGTTCTCTTAGTAGGCACCTAGGTGGAAATATTGATGGCGTGGAATAGTATTCCATATAATTAATATAGGTAAATCTTTCTGCCAGGAGAATCACAAGGTTTGGTATAAAAATATGGGGCCCCCATAGGCGGTGTTGGCTGTCAATTCCACCGCCCAGAGAGCAGATTGGCAGTACTGGACTTCGATCTCCGTAATCAAAGTGCCTCGAGCTGTCAAACACTTTCCATTTACAGAATGAATTTCTTCCTTCTCATGTTTCTGGTCTTCTTCGCCCCATTGCTGCTATATATTGGTCAGACCCCATACCTTGCTTTCCATTTGAACCACATTTGGAAGGACCGACAGTACTGACATTAAGCAGCATGGCTGGCAGCTTCATCCTGCTTAGGCAGTCGTTTTCGCTCGCGCCTGGGTGGATTTTCAGCTCGGTCAGGCTTGGATTCATATGGCCAAAGCTATCTCCGGACGATGGCGAACTCGGGATCTGCCATGTCCGAACAAATTGAGATGGAGGATATGCTAGCGGAGCCAGGAACTCATCGTCATTTTGAAGAAGATGACTGAGCGGATGTCATGGAAATATCCCTCCGCTTCAGAATTCAAGGTCTGACTTCTTTGGCATCCCACCGGATGCAGGTGCGGCCTGCGCCTCCTGATCACCTTCCGCAGGCGGCAAGCTGAACGGCTTAATCTCGAATCGCCGACGACTCAAGTTAAACGCCCAATCTTGCCCCACATTTTGGTCGCTCCCGCCGCCTCGTTCATGCAAAACAGGGATTCGGTGTGTTTTCAACATTCCTTGCGGGGGTTCCTCCTGAGCTGTGGCAGCTCCGGAAGACGCTAGTGCATCAGCGGAGTGTGGGAATGGGCAAAGCTCAATAACACCATCACTGAGAAGTTCGATCCAGCGGATGAGACCGGAAGATCGGGGGAACAAGGATAACGGCAGGGTGATCATAGCCGTGATACGAGTTGCGTGTGCGCTCATTAAAGCTTTCAGGGAGTGCATGAATTGCAGCACATACTCAGGTTGACAAGAGTCGGGTGGGTACGCTGTGGGGTTGAGCAAGGAGGGAATCACAATTCGATGGATGGTGTTTGGACCGGCAGATGAAATTGCGTCTTGGAGTCGTTTGAGGATGGGAATGAATGGCGAACCTCGCGAGGGCACGAGTGGAATAAATGTCATATTGGTAATTGAGGGGTGTGCAAGACGTTTCGTGAGATCAAAGGCATGACAGAAAGCCGTTTGCTTTGAAGCTCCATCAGCGTCTCCGGCCGGTGTAGGGGCTGTAGACCATCAGTATCGAGGCTCCATTCCCTTCATATCTCTGCCGATATACTTACCATCACGGGAGCCAGCAATGCCAGCACCGAATTCGCCCAATCGCTCATATCGCCAGGCAATCTTCATTCGTTCGTCCTTCCGCTTGTCTGACCTCTTATCTAAGGACTCGGCAGTTCCAATAAGACCAGGCAAGCTTCGACCCCATTGCTCTGGCACACCAATCACATGGATCTTTTGTTCCTGGACGACACCTTCTGCAGCGTAGTAGCGCAACAATGCGCCCGCAAAATCTGTAGTTCCATTTTCTTCAATAAGCAAGATCTTGCCCATTGGGAGACCCGCATGCCCTGCCAGAAGTCCATCTAGTGAAGGCGTTCCCGTAGAAGTAGTCGGTCTTCCGTCATCAGGTGAGGGGCGAATGCCTGGAATAGATTCGGGCGGAGTTGGCTGTGCGGAGGCATTGGGAATAGCAGCGCGATCGACGCCAGCCGATAAGCCAATATTTCGCTTGCGGAAGGACATTTTGAAGATTGAAGACCTAAGAGTATCCCCCAAAAACCAGATATGGAGTTTCTCGTGTGGTTTCTTGTGTACGGTTCCCGATCATGAAATGGTTTATCGGCGGGGAACAAAAAACGGCAGAAAAAAAAGATCAGCTTCAAACCTCCGAACTCCACCTCCAATTCCTCTCCGCCACTTTTCCTCGATAATCGCACACTGTCAACTCCAAAGACAGTCTCTTCACCATGTCTGACCCAATCCTTTTCGAAGACTCCTTCACGATCACCGCCATCAATGCCCAGAAATACGATCGCGTCGCTCGTTTGACCTGTAGCTCGAGCGACGGCTCCATCACCTTCACCCTCGATGTGAACTCTGAGCTCTACCCGGCCGCCGTTGGCGAATCGCTTAGCTTAGCGCTGGCCTCGACTCTGTCGCTTGATGGCAAGGAGGATACCCGTGCTAGCTGGAGAGAGGTCAGCATGGGCGACCAGACTTTGGCCAACGACTACGATTACGTCTGCCACGGCAAGGTTTACCGATTTGAGGAGGGTTCGACCAAGGATACTATGTACGCTGACCAAAATCCTTTTCTTTTGATACTATTGAATTCTGTTATGGACATACACTAATCTGATCTGCTCTTAGGGCTGTCTTTGTGTCATTCGGCGGTTTGCTGCTCTACCTTGAGGGTCCCTACAAGAAGCTCGCACCACTGAAAATCGACCACGTTTACTTGCTTCTTAAGAAATAGATGCTTTCGCTTCGCGGAGAAAAATTCAGGATGTACATGATCTGGGCAGGTCATTTTTGTTGGGTTGTGCAGCGCTGGCGTTTTCATTTCCATTTTGATTGATTTGGGTATCCCGATAGATGATCGCCAATACATACGATCTTTATTCATTTCAACTCTACATGAATTTTCGGACGGACATAAGAGACAAAGGCCCTAGTCACCATCCGAAAACTACTATTTATTGTTGAGAGCTTCTTCCACAGAAGACGGGGATCGCAGAGAGGTTTCTTCCTCCTGCAATGATCATTATCTATACCGTCGTGCAAACCTCCGGCCACTATCTGGGCTTCATTTTGACCTCCATGGCTAGTCAATTTATACTGAAAGTATGCCGGTCAAGGAGAAATTTGTCGGACTCTGCTAATGTCGGTCCAAGACGAAGATGGCAATTGGTCTGATTATTTGAGGTTATCATGCTACTGCCAACAAAATTCATTTCCCAAGACAGGGCACGTTAAGTAAAAAAAAGTCGATGCGCAATCTGGCTGTTTTATTTTCTTTCCAGTCGCTCTAGTATGTGCAAGAATGCCTATCACCGCAACAAGGTAATATGTACAGTCGGTTTCTAGCAGTGTGAGACCGTCGGGTATTCCAAGCGACGATGCAGACGAGACATAATGTCCAAATAATCAGGCTCATTTTCCGCAGTCAGAATACCACGTCGAATGAAGAAATCGATCATGACGAAAGCGCAATTGGGCTTGAATTCGCCGCGAGCCAATGCTTCTTTAACTTGGTCCACAGTCCAGAGATGGAATTCTTCCACCTCGTTGTCCCCGGGCTGCGGAATGACCGATGGGTCAAGCTTCAAATCATAGACATACTCGACCTCTGGCTGGCTCAGCCCAGTCTCACCACCAGCCCGCACATCCCGAACATGGCTGTAAGTCACAACGCCCACCGGAGTGATAGAAGCACGCACCACATCCTCGGGAAGGGAAGCTTCCTCCATAGCTTCACGGACAATGCACTCAAATGGCTTTTCGCCAGTGCACATACCGCCCGCAACTGTGTTGTCCAGCATGCTAGGGTAGGTCTGCTTGGTCTTTGAGCGTCGAGGAACCCAGAACTTGATGCCATCGGCGTCTTCCACGTAGCCGGTCATGTGGGCACCGTAGCTCACGACACCGAATAGCGGCGAAGCACATCGTTCCATGTCGAGCAGAAACTCTCCAGCTGGTCCATAAACCGGGTACTTTTCATTTCGCCACCCCTTCAGTACTTCAAAGGCACCGATCTTCACGGCCTCGAGAATGCTTCCTCCGACCAACTTACTGCGGTGCTCCGGTGTTGCGTCTGCCGGCGTGGTCAAAGTTACGGTCTTGGCGGCAGAGTCAACCGCCCAGTAGTCCGGTGACCAGGGGAATTTCTCAACCACTGAGTTCAAAATGTAACCCAGAGTGGCATCATAGCCATTGACTCGGAATGCATGGTAGTTGTTAAGGTTCTCCGTGTACGCAGCACGGTTATCCTCGTAATATGGGAAGCTAGTGCAGGGATTAGACACCGAGGGGAGGGGATAACTGATAAGGCAAAGCAGTTACTTATCGCATTCAACGATCAGCTCGAGATTGGATTTGCCCATTGTGACGAGGATCAATCAGTAAAGGAAGAAACAAGCTCACTGCTCACTGCTCATGTCCCGCGAACAAGACCCAGATGGAGGGGAACGCCAAGCCCTTATCGCCCCGATAAGGGTATTATGTCACTCAAGATCAAAGCTCTGGAGAATCCTGGAATCCGCTGGAACAAAGCGATGAAAAGCTTCAAAGAAAGGCCAATCTCCATTTTCTAAACCCCAGTCTCTCCACATCTGCATATTACACAAACACCCAGCTTAAGCCGCGTCTAAGCAGGCCATATACCCACCACAATGTTCTCCGTCGTCATCCCCGGGCGTCCATGCCAAACGGACATCGTCGCAATCGACCCCCAACCAAATGGCCAAGCCACCAAATACGCCTTCACAATCCCCATGAACCCGCCCTTCAACGACCTAGTCATCTTCTTCCTCCCCGGCACAGTTCTCCCCCCAGACACTGGCGCCGCAATCTACGCCCAACTCCCCGACCCAACAACCGGCGCCCCCACCGACTTCCGCTTCATCGGCGCATTAGCAAACGAAAAGCCTTCCGGCATCTTCAAAGTCCAACCGCCTCAATCTGCAAACAATACCCGCTCCGAAGAACAAGAAGAAGACGAAATGCTCGACGAGGGCTCTGCGTCTGCGAATGGCGTACTAACGCTCGGTATCTCGATCGAGCCTGTGCAAAATATTGCGCCGCAGCTTGCGGCGCTGGAGAACGAGGTTTCGGCGGGCTCGGCGCAGAAACAGATTACGACTAAGGTTCTTGCGCAGCGGATTATTGGAAGCGCGTTTAATTTCCTCGCTAGCTTTTCGGAGAATGATAAAGGCCGGGATATTGTGCCGTTGAAGAGCTTCCGGGATTGGTGGACTAAGTTTGAGAGGCGGATTGATGTGGATCCTACGTTCTTGGAACGGGGGGATCCTAATGCCACTTGAGGGGTGCCAGTCTGTTGGAAGGTTTGGATGATGATTTCGTCCGACTGTGGAGGATTGTATCGTGCACGGCACGAGTTTGGCATATCTTTTGATGGTATATGAGCTTGCATTGTGGAGCGATTTGGTTGGTTATTGTATGTTTTTACGATTTTATGCGTCTTGCTAGAGCACTCAATTGGACTTTCAGGTACGATTAGAGATACTAGTGTTATCGCAATGTATAAAATAATGATCTTTTTTGTCTTTTTACATTGTATGTAATTATTTATGTACAATAGGTAAGGGGTTCTGTCCACAGAGCCAAAAAGAAAAAGAAAAAATAGCAATATACACAAACAGTATGTAGGAGTATCCAAGTCTTTCCGAGGTTGTTTTTTGCGCCTCCAGAACGCCAATCAACAAACGCAACACCAAAAAAAAAACAATCACATATCAGATTTCGGCGACGTATGGAATGCCGAGTCCCCCCGTAGGCGGATTCCGGGCGCATAGCAAAGACTATACAATTCATCAACATAGGTAATAGGCGTCAACGCATTATCACCAGCCGCAACAATAGCATCGTGCGCAATAATAGGATTCTTTGCCGCATTCTCATTCAACCGCGTAATATCCACGCGCACCTCCTTCTGCACCGTAATATCGCCCAAGGCAGTCGCGGGAACCCCAGCTTCGAATAGAGATTCTTGCGAATGGCCCGAGTGTGCTGCACCGCCGAAACTGTGTTTTCGCGAGTGCCAGAGACGGATAATTGCAGAGCGAGTGGAGGAAAACTTGCCTGACTCCGAGGACGTGGAACCGGAGCGGACGTCTGTGCAGAAGAGCTCTTGGCTCAGCTCGCGAGAGAAGCCGTCCCGGTCAGCAACGTTGTCATTTACTTGTTGCTGCACGCGGAACAGGCGGAAGGGGGTGAATGTAAAGTCTGGGTTGGGGACTTGGGTGTTGAGTGTGCCGACGACGCAGAATGTGAGGAGGGTGCACTGCTGTGCGGATTGAGGGACCTCTTCGGAGGGAGGGGATGGTGTTTTGCGGCATGGGGCGAGCAGGGGCCGTGCGGAGAAGGTGGCTGCTGCGCGCATTTCTTCAGAGAAAGATTTGGAGAGGGAGGCTATGCCTTCGATGAGGTGTTGGCGGAACTCGTCGAGGTTGCGATCCGCTTGCATGGCGGGGTCGGATCTGAGGTATTTCAAGCAGGTGTTCATTGACCAGCCCTCCATGTGGGAGATCAGGTCAAGGTGTGAGACGTGGAGACGGGGCATTGGCAGAGTCGAGGATGGAAGCGGGTTGCCGGTGCCCTTGGTGGTGAGAATCTCGAAATGGTCGCTGACGGTGGGACGCATCACGAAGGCAGTCAAGTGTACACCTTCCGAGAAGCCACGGTTTGTAGTGGCATAGTCGCGCATATCGAAGAGATGATCCCTGAGATTCGCCTCGGGGACATGGATGCGGCGTGAGAGGGTTGCGGTGATGTTTTCAATACTGGCGAATCGAAATCCGAACGAAGCCATGCGACTTGCTTCGTATTTTTGGAGCTGTCGGACACTGAACATAAGTTGACCCTTGCCAGTTCGGAGTGATGAGCGACCCATCGCCCGAGAGAGTCGAGAAACAGGGATCGCAGTCGCCAGGACGTCATCGTATAGTGTTCCTAGCTCGTGAAGAGGAAGTCGTAAATCATCCGACAACTCCTGTGCTGATACGCAGAAAAGTTGTTTGAACAAGGTATCGAAATCTGTTTGCAGCTCAGTCTCCTTGTCATTAACCACTCCTCGCGACAATACATGTTTCTGGATGGCCGCCTGTTCGGATTCGAGACGATTTCGCATGAAGGGAATCATGTCCTTGACCACAGGCCAGTTCCGGCTAGCTCTGAAAGCCCACAGGAAGGTCGGATGTGTGCGTGTTAGATCATCGTCTTGGAAGGTCCGTCCAATATAGTGATCAACAATCTTTTTGGTTGGGAGTAGAGCCTGTGGGGTTACCATGATTCGGCCAGCCGGGTCAAAGTATGCGCAGGCAAGGACAAGCTGGTGGGCGCGAGTGGTAGATCGTCGGCGATTCTCACCAGAGACAACAGCGCAAGCAGACAAGATCACACAAGAGACGCAAGCCTAGCGATGGTCAGTTTCATGTCAATTGAAAGAGATCGGAATGGTTAAGGGCACTGACCAGAACAGAGCAGACGATGACAACCTGGGTTCTGGATAATTGCGACCCATTCTTCATAGACTCGTCCCGCCCACGATAAGTTGTTCCGACAGCTGCCATCCAATGCATACCAGAGACAGCCGCGGCAAGCAAAAAGGCACAGATCCCGCGTCTCCACCAACTATCAGTCCAAGTGGCTCTCCACCGAAAGAAGATGCCGAGCGCCGCGGTACTTGAGAAAACTGCGATGATAGCCGATCCGACAACGTTGGCGACATGATATGAGCTTTGGTAGTTGGAGATTCCCAGCTGACCAACATAGTGCATTCCACAGACGGAACTACCAGTAAGCAAACCTCCTATCAAGATACGTAGATAGCCCGCCTTTTCCTGAACGCCGACAGAATAGAATGCAGCGAGGAGTACGACAACAGGTAGTACAAACGATGTTCCAGTAAATGCAACATTGTACATGATTTGAACGTCACTTTCTCCATTGCCGAGGACGATGGCGCGGTTGCCGATGAAATGCATGCACCAAATGCCTATACCGCCCATTGTTATGGAAGAAGTGAGGAGCAGGTACCTATGATTTGCGGCATGTGTCAGTGCGCTTGGTCGCTTTCGTCACGGATAGGTTCGTTCTCTTACCAGTTGTAAAAGCCCGATCTGGACGTTCTTCGATGGAGAAGCTCCAGCGTGGTCGCACATCCCATAGAACTGATCACATATGAGAGGAAGATGTATCCCCCCAAATAGGATACATGAACCAGATCATCATCGTTAGTGCCCGCACCCGACATGTTGAGAACTTCTTATCAGGCAGGGCTATAGCCCGAAAATAAGTTTGGGAAAGGTAGCCAGGGGTGGGAAAGAAAAAGCGGGTTCAGTAAATCGAGTTGATGAAATCTGGAATCGAACCAGACATGAAGATATAGGATTGCGGAAACAATATAAAACAAAATGAGCGACAGTCACAAGAGTGTAAGCAAGTGGGAATTTCTTGTTCTGGAGGCGATGGGTAAACCTTATAATACTAGGCAAACTAGTCTGGGCGAAAAGTAAGTCTTTGGCGTAATGCACCTGGACCAGCACACAAGTCGCAAAGGCCCGCATGGGATCGGACAAATAACTGGTGCCGGAGGCCAGGAAAATGGATCCAGGATGCGATCTAGAAAGACGGCTAGCTCCACCCGAAGCTGCGCATTGTCTGCGAGTGTCCCCGTCCACCATCCCCATAGTTAATTTGTGCACGATTGTACTTGTGGATCAGCCCAGTAACGAGGGCAAAAAAACCCAAGGTAGAGAAAGCGAGCCCAAAAAAAAGGTTTCAGATTGATCGATATGATCCAGCAGACTGTGAAAATGGGTCCCCCAAAATCCCTGTAATTGTGGATGTACTTTGGACTTTTGAAGCGAGGCTTGCATTTTTGCGACCAGCTTAGCCATTGGCTTGGTAGAATCTAGATCGGATCGTAGCGGCAAAAGAACGATGGGGCATCAGCTGTTATCACGGCGTATCAGAGCGCAAGCTAACACGGTAGTAACACCGAGGTCCAGGCACCTAGGCAAATACGAGTTAGACACGGAAATTCTCGGTCCAGAGCAATTCCAGGGGTCGTTCCCAATGGACGAGAATGTGATTGTTGTATTTCCACGAACTCAAATTGATATGAATTATGTTCTTGCTCATTTGAATTCACTCTCCGAGCAGAGGGGAAGGGAAAAAAGTGGCTACACACAGTGGTGCTCGGCCCCACCGAAGAATAGATTGAGCTTCAGCTGGGCATTCGAGCCACACAAGTTTGATTGAAATCGAATGCCCCACGTGTGGAGATAGGACCGAATGGGAATGAAAGACACGCATCCTCATACGACTATGGAGAAAGCTGTGTCATCTGCACTGTGCATCCCAATATGCAAGTCAATTGCTGGCGTCGGCGATCAATCACAAAGTCCCAGGCTTTTAGCATTTAGCGCGTACTATAGCGCCTCACACGACATCCGGACTTCTGGACTGTCGCATGTTTTTTTTTTTTTTTTTTCACCGAGAAATTCAGCCTTCAGGTCCTAGCGAGCCGCAAAAAGGTACCCGACGTGGTGTTCGGACTTGAGTCGGAATTTGATCTTGTGATTTTGGAAAATTGGAGAAAATTGGATCGCTTTTGCCCACCATCGGGCAGTTCCACCGGGCATGATTCGTTTAATTCCAGCGAGCGGGGCCTCAAGATCGATCTATCGGCCTAAACGGGCACTGACCATCCGGTGGTTCGCCGTTGCTGTTTTTCCATTATCCAGGGTTCTGGTGAGCCATGGCATAGAATGTGGAACCCGATAGATCGATCTGATCCGTCAGGGTCGTGATTATATTAACAAACAAGTTTGGGTGTAAGCGAGAGCCTGTCGGTTGATCGGACTGCTTTTGTTTTGTGCCTGAATGTTGTCTTGGTGTTCCATTTTCTCGTATCAGTTGGTCCGAATCAGATTTGGGGAACGCCATTGGGAAAAGTGGGGGGCAAAAGTCCCATTTTTTTGTTTTTTGTTTTTTTTTTCTTATGAGATACGTAAAATCTAGGAATAGGAAAAAAAAAGATCAGTCCAAAAAGTAGGCAAACTGTCTAAGAGCTGTCAAACTGTCAAACTGTCAATCGCATGGCAATGGAACATGTGGGTTTACGCCACTTATGAGATACATGGAAAATTTCCGGCTTCACCATCCGGTGAATTCTCGACGTTCTTGACCTGGGCATACATTCTTTATTCTTTGATGTGGAATCTAGAATCTTGTGTCAGCCACAAACCTTTGTCACGGGAGCGCCCACTTTACGCCATCAGAACTTTGCATTTCTGAGGAATCCGATTTTCCATACCTTGGAATCAGGCTCTCATCAAGGTCTACTATCTATAGTAAGTACGGAGTGAAATTCAGCTGTTTCGAGCTAAACTTTAAACTTGGACTTGGGATCGATATATTACATGGTGTTTAAGGAGCTAAGCCTTGGGAGCTTCGAGGCTCATGCTCAAGTAAACGTGAGCACAGATCAGACTCACTTGGGTAATGATCACGGCGGATCAGATCATCACGCGCATGATAATCACGTCATGTATGACTACTAACTACTAGTAGTGCCGGAACTGAGCTATGCGGGCTGTTATTGACACCTGAGGCAACAATTGGCTATAGCAGGCTTAGCAGCCTACACAAAAGCAATGTATCTATTCCGCAAGTCTATAATGGTTCAGTCTTTCAAAGTCATCTATGTAAGGTTATCTATGTGACCCGGGCGACAAAATTGCCGACACCTCCTCATAGACAGAGAACACAATGCCGCCACTCAAAAGGAGGCGGCCCAGTCGCATTGAACTGCCTTTCCAGAATCCTCGAATTCCATAGTCTTTGATTACACTCCTGGAAGCTTCCATGATGCCGGCTCCCTGAACACCCTGTGCTCGTGTCTTGATTGTGTCAAACGGCTGTGTCGCATAAACAGTCACAACGCCCGCGACTGCGCCTATACCGAATGTTGTAAAAATGTTCGTCTTGATTCCTTTGGCCTTGATGGTCTCCTTCAGCATGTTGTACGTCCCCATACGCACAGCTGATGTGGCCGATTGTTTCATCATTGTGGAAACGAGACCTCGGTAAAGCTCTGTGATGCCATGTCTTTGAACCAATACCTTGGTCGCATGGAGACTGGACTTGAATTGACGAGCCTCCTTCGCGTCATCGATTCTGCGTGTGAATCAGTCAGCATGAAGTTACTTTGAAATATTTATGACAGCGAGTATGTACAGTGCAGTTTTGATTCTCTCTGTGGGCGTTACTGCTAGTACACTTTCTACCGCACCTGCGGTCATTCCAGCCAGCATACCACGGCCAGGTGAGAGAACACCACGCTCATCTGCAAGGGAGTTGCGAATCGTATCGTATGACACAAACCGGACAGCAGCTTTCGCCGTGGTTCCCTATATATTTCATCAACAAGCATTCAGAATAAAAAAAATTATTCAATACTGACAACAACAAGAGTCGAGCATCCGGTATATAAAGCGCCGATTCCTTCTTGCTTGGCAACCTGTAAGATGAGGCGCAGTGGATTAGATGTTCGAATAGCGCTATTGTCCAGCAATTGAACACGAGTCTTTGAATACTCGAATGGATACTGCAAGAAATTAATGATAGCTCAAAAGGGTGTGAAGGGGTCACTAACGGTGATGGCGGCTTCCACTCCACCCGCAATTCCGCCGGACACAAGGGAGACCCATTGGGGCGTCTTAACCTGGACTGGGTTAGCAAATGGGGAGCAATATTGGATGAATCAGCATTACCCGTTGCGGCTTTGTCTCGATTTGTTCTGATTTAGCAACAAGAGCCATCATGTATAATGTGAGTAGATTAAATTAAGGGGTTGGGATTGGTTATCGGGGAAACCCCGACTTATAGACTGATTTGTGGGGAATCTGGGGATACGGGAAGCGGAGTGTGACTTTCCGCGGGCGACAATGTTCCGCGGCTTCCGCCTTCTGTCTCCCGTATTCGCCTCAGCCGTGGCGATTTTTTTTGCCTTGTCGCTCTTTGAAATGGTCATGGTCATGGAAAATCACTCTCCGTCTAAGCCGCGAAGAGCCGCTAAGGCCTGTGTTTTTTGCCGACGTAGAAAGGCAAGTCATTAGGACGCATATTATGATCCGTGGGCTAATATACTACAGTTCCGTTGCGATAACGAGAGACCGACATGTTCCAACTGCAAGACATATGCACAAGATTGCACTTACATAGATAGGCCTGAGAAGCCAAGGTACGTCATTGGTAGGCCATACTTAGCTTCCCCCCAACTGACTGTTTGAAGGCCAACAAAAGCTCGTCTGTCACGACTGGAAGCAGAAAATGAGCAGCTCCGGCGACAACTTGGACGCGTTGATACCCACTCGGAGGATGGTGGTGACTCCACAGGAGGCAGTTCATCTCAGCCACAGCAGGATCAGCAACAACAACAAATACAACACTTGGAGATAACAAATACAGCCCCAAGAACAGATTGGCCCCATTCAGCTGTCTCGCGGATCTTCATCTCACCGAATGGCGACTCAAGCTACCACGGGCTTACGAGCACATTGTTTGATGATGCCCCTACTGATAGACATGGTCACTCCCGGTCTACAGATCCACAGGTTCCAGTAGAGCATATCCGAAAGCAGTTGATGGGAGAAGCTGCTTATCAGCGTAAGCTGCATTTATATCCGAGAGTTTTCAACATCTAATTATCGCATAGGCCAATTAGAAGCATTGAATATGCGACAGGGGAAAATGGACTTTGATGGAGTCGATCCTGAGCTGGGAATGCATCTCCTAAATCTACACTGGAACCGACAACACCATTCATTTCTGATCACATATCGTCCGGCTTTTATGCGGGATATGGCCACTGGCGGACCATGCTTCTCAAAGCTCCTGTTAAACGCTATATACTTTGGCGCATCGAAGTTTAGCAATCGTCCCGAAGTTCGCCGAGATCCTGATGATGCCAGAACAGCCGGATGGAAATTTCGCCTGCGGGTGAAAGAGCTGCTTGGCAGCGCTTTGGATCGAAGCGAAATCACCACAATCCAGGCCCTGCTTGTGATGACCAGCTCTCTGTTCGCATTGGGGGATGAACGCAGTGCTGCATGGCTCTATGCCGGTACAGCGTTCAGAATGATCATTGATCTAGGGATGCACGTTGATGCTACAATGCTGAGCAATATGCGTCGCCTCTCCGATGAAGACATCGAAATACGCCGTCGAGTGTTTTGGGGGGCTTTTGTTGTGGATAAGATCCAATCTTTGTACCAGGGCCGCCCAGCAAGCCTACAGGACTTTGACACGAAAGTGTCGATAACGTTCCTGGACCAATATGAAGAACTCGAACACTGGCAGCCTTTTGCCTATACGGATGTACAATCGTATCCGGGCTCCCCTGCATACAGCGTCTCAACATTTACGGAGCTTTGCAAACTATCATTGATACTGAACGGCATCTTGAATAAAGTATACTCGGAGCGAAGCTCAAACCGGTCATCCCAGGAACTCATCACCACATTGAATGCCTTAGATGGCCAACTCAAAGGATGGTATGATGCGCTGCCAGAGCATTTACGTTTCGGTAGTCCTACAATGCAAGTTACACCGCCGCCCCATGTCCTCTCTCTCTTGGCACTCTACAACGTGCTTCTCATCCTTCTTCACCGACCGTTTGTGGCAGAAGGGCACCTCCATACAACCGATCCGTCAGTTGCTGTCAGTTCTTTCACTACCTGCACGACAGCAGCTAACCGGATAATCCATATCCTCCAAGCTTATGACCATGCATTCTCTATCAGGCGTGCCCCATACCTGATCTCATACGCGACATATGTCGCTGCAACGATTTACGTTCGAGTCGCTGCCCAAAGAAAGGACGGCAGTAGAGCACATTCTAATCTTCGGGCGTGTCTTGATATTTTCCAGAAGAACCAAGAAACAAACTGGGCTGTCCGCAGGGCAAAGAATGTGATTGTTCATTTGATGGATCGCATGGGGGTTGGTTTGAGCACCCCTCACCAGGAACGAGAGGCTAGACCATGTCAGGTTATCAATGGGCAAATAGGTAATTTGGAAACTGGAGTTCCTGTTGAAGATGAGGGTCTGATACCAGCTGCTTCACCGAGTCAAATGACCCCTCCAGAGACAGAGGCATCGGAGTTGGATATGGACATGATTATCCAGAGCTTTATTCGGCAGCAGGCAAGACCGGGGGAAGGGCAAATTTTTGATGAGTCTACTAGCTACAATACTCTGCCTCCCACAGTCTCACTCGGGACGCCGGGTACTTTCACTCCCTCCATGGTCCCAGGGTACCATGATGCATATTTTGATCCTCAGTTCGATGATGATATGTTGTTTGGTTTTAATGGATCTGTGCAAGATAACATATTGTATAATAGAGAATGAATATCTCGATGAGCGTTGAAATACCATATAACATAATTTGGAAGCGATAAAGAATTATCTATGGCACTAAGCTTCTCGGGTGAGGAATCCCCGTGGTTGAATTGATGATCGCCCCAGGAGCCAACATTGTTTGAAAGTTTGACCTCACTGGCAATCGGCAGATCTGTACAATACTATACTACGAAACCTTGAGTATTATCGGCATCTAAATTAGCGCCTCGTGGGGTTGTCACAAGGTTGCGCTACTAGTATTTAGAATCAAACTCCGAAAAATAAACCTTAGACGCCATGAGGCGCTTGCTCACTATTGATCAATTATCGCGCCTCGATTAACTTGATATTCTAGAGGAGTCTGTAGAGTATTGTGATCGAACAGGTACTTGAACAAGTCCTCAATAATATTACCAAACATAAATCATAAATACTAAATGCTTTCAACTTGCTCAATAACACCCTTCTCATTACTTCCTGCATCTGCAGGTGTGTTTCTCATTCTCGGAATAAGCCCCCGTCCCGTGAAGAGAGCATCCACCTCTTCCAACTTCATGCCCTTCGTCTCTGGAATCATAAACCAGACAAAAGGTACAGCCAAGGTAGTACAGGCAGCAAATACAAAATACGTCCCAAATCCGATGTTTGAGATCATATATGGCGTGCTTCTTGCAATCACAAAATTGAATAACCAATGTGTCGCGACACAAATGCTCATGCAGAGACCACGCACACGTAAGGGGTAAATTTCAGAACAGATTACCCAAGGGACGCCGGCCCAGCTGAAGCAGAAGGATACAGCGAAGACGAAGATGAAAACTGCCGCTGCGTAAGAAGTTCCGCTAAGGGATCCGCCTGAAGTGGCTGTAGTCGAGCTTTGAACTTTGACAAACGCTCCGATGAGCCACATCGAGATCGCCTAATGATTTTTCAGCTTTATTCAGAAGAGTAAACTTTGAAGAGGAACGGAGACTTACGCTCATGATACTTCCATATATCAACATCGACTTCCTTCCAAAGCGGTCGACAATGAAGAACATCGCAATGAAGACAGCTACCAACCGAACTATACCATAAATCCCAGTTGATACGAGAGTTGCTTCGGTGCCCTGCAGGCCAATCGATTTAAAAATTCGAGGAGAGTAATAGTTGATACTGTTCGATCCAGTCATCTGGAAGAAAATCATAATCATCACTCCAAGGAAAACACGGTTCCGGAGTCCAGGCTCCATGAGCTCTTTCCATGCGGCCCGGGTGTTTCCAAGACTATCCGAAAGCTCGATCTCAAGCTGATCCAAGATATCAGTTACCTCTTCCTGAATAGCTTGATGGTCAGCAGGAAGACCACGCAGCTTCGAAAGTGTTTCGGTTGCTCGGGCTCTCCCATGGGTCTTTGCTATCCACCGAGGAGATTCAGACATGAATATCAAACCAAGTAGAAGTAGTCCACCCGGGATGAGCTGCAATGCAAATGGCGTCATCCACTGTGCAGAAGTCGGTGCCATATTGCGTTGGACACCGAAATTTATCCAAAATCCCAAGCAGGTACCGAATTGCACTCCGATCTCATATACGCCAACCAATCGACCCCGAATCTTTGGCGGGGCACACTCAGCTGTGTATAAGGGTACCAACATGCTAGCGAAGCCCACACCCTGAGACAGTTAGCAGTGTCGGAAACTATGTATGTTTTGGGTACCTACCACACCACCAAGCACTCTGCCAACAAACATAATGTTTTTGTTACCGGCAGAGACTACCTGCATGATAGATCCCACGATGAAAGCAACGGCGCCAATAGCCAGGGCTAGTCGACGACCTAGTTTATCTCCTACCGGTGCTGCCGCCAAAGCACCGAAGAAACAACCTGCTTGTAGGAGTGATACGATATTTGCTGAAAAGGCATTCTGAACTGATTCAGATGCACCATCTAGCCCAAAGTCCCTTGAAATAGTTAGTACCCAAGTGTGGCTGATTGATTGTGCTACCGGCGTACCTTTGGAATGGGGCCAATTCGATTGATGTGCCGATGAATGCTAAGTCGTATCCAAAGAGGAATGCGCCCATTGAAGTCACTATTGAAAGGATATAAACACGTGCATTATGCTGAGGTGCATCCATTGATGCCACCTGTGCTGGATTTTTCATGTTGTCACGGCGAATGAGACTTTCTTAGGAGTTTTCAGAAAACTCCAATTGCTTTTTTCTCTGCCGCATGCTGCTACGGGGTTTTATGTCCAATATTCCAGGAAGCACCCCGCATTGAATCTGGGGACCCCATATTTCTCAACCGACAAAGAAAAGTGGCGAGTTTAGCGCGTCGCTTGCCATGGGCCATGGCCCATTTTTACCCATGGAAGCTGAGGTGCCGCGGAACGGCAAAGTTCACCCGTTCAATGTATAGAGCATAGTGGATAGACGCAAATGAACGTAAAAATACTTGAAATTGGAGTTGCGTAACTGACAATTATCATCATAAATAGCCTCGATTGTGCGAATGGTCTTGATTTGTGTCGTCACAACAAATAATCAGCACCTTCCAGTATAGAAACATCATGGCAACAGCAGCGACACTATCCATCGCGGAGACATACGCGGCGCCGAATCTCTTCCCACTGAAACCATATGTTCCAGTCCCAACCAGGCACTCTCTGCCCGCGGTATGGATGCGCTCAGGGACTTCAAAGGGTCTCTTCATCCACCAAAAACACCTACCCGAGTCAATAGATCGATGGGCACCTATTTTGCTGTCGGCAATGGGGTCATCAAATGGAAATGGGAAGCAGATTGATGGTGTGGGTGGCGCTACTTCGACAACTTCCAAAGTGGCAGTGGTTGCGAAGTCTCAGCGAGAAAACATAGATGTCGAGTACACCTTCATTCAGGTTGCACCTGATCAAGCAATCGTGGACATGACTGGCAACTGTGGGAACATCGCATCTGGTGTGGCCCCGTTTGCATTAGATGAGGGACTTGTGAAGTCGAAGCCAGGTCAAACTGAGGTGAGTTGATAGACAAAATTCATGTTCCATGTCGACTAATCCCTTTTTATAGGTCGATGTCCGTATTTTCAATACCAATACTGGACAAACTCTAGTGGAAACGATCCAGACCTCTGGAGGTTCCTTCAGAGAGGATGGTAACTGTCACATTCCCGGTGTGGAGGGCACCTCCAGTCCTATCAAGGTAGCATTCCTCAATCCAGGCGGCAGCATGACAGGAAAGATGTTTCCAAGCGGGAAGCCACAGGAGACATTAACAGTTCACTCACGGACTGCCGGTGTATTTCAAGTGCTCGTGAGTCTCGTCGATGCGGCAAACCCATTTGTCCTTGTTGATTCTCGTTCTCTGAAAATCAACGGGCACGCCCAGTGGCCCGATGCAACGGATGCAGAGTTCGTCTCCGTGGCGGAGGATATTCGGAGAGAAGGTGCAGTGCGTTTCGGATTAGCTGCAGATGTGGAGAAAGCCAGCCTTGTTCGGGGCACACCAAAAATCGCGTTTTTATCTTCACCTGCCGATGAAAGTTCCGATCTGGACGTGCTTTCATTTACCATGGGTAAACCGCATGCAAGTCTGCAGCTGACTGGTGCAGTTTGTATAGGGGCTGCTATGGCCATCTATGGCACAGTTCCGTGGCACTTGGCTAATGGAGCACGGATGGAGAAAGTTCCGAAGCATGGAATGGAGATTGAAGGCCGGAAAATTGCAAATGCTGTACCTGTTGGGATTCGACACCCTGCTGGCGTGATACGGGCTGAAACGGTATTGGGCCTGGATGGAAAGGGGAATATTGATGTGAAGCATGTTGCAGTTGTACGGACTGCGCGTCGGCTATTTGAGGGCAAGGTTTTCTATAGGGCGTGAAAGATGAATATGTCAGGGAAACATTTGAAAGCACTCGAGGCTCCTGCTAGATATATATCATCAGCAATAATGATTATCACTTAGAAAAAGGATAAAGAAGGAAGAGAAGAGAGAAAAGGAAAAAAAAGACATGACAAAAGCTGGATTCGAACCCAGATTAGATAGGTTTCTTTACGCACTTCTGACGTACCTTCTGAATAGCCTCATTTGCATCAGTCGAGAAATCAATACTCCCGCGATTCTCTCATTTTAACCCACTTTACATAGTCCAATTGAGCTCAAATAAAGCGGAAATTCAAATTCAGCATGGTCGATTATCAAAAAATGGCAAACATCTAGCCCAGAGGGACCCCCCCCCCTCTGGCGGCCTGTGGCCGCTGGGGGGAGATTTGCTCTGGGGGATGTTTCCCTGTGTAACCGACACCTTCCCCCATGTCCAGACGGCTAACCTTGGGGAAATTGTGCACAGTGGGAGGGCTTTGCCAACTCGACCACACGGATGCCGGTTGATGAAAGAACACCTGAATTGTTCCTTTTGACCCTGGATTTTTGAATTTTGTTAGTACCCTTTTTAGGACTAGTAACAGTATCCCCCCGCCACCTATAGTAGACATGACTTACAAATTTAAAGGTTTTCTCCTGAAATGACTATTAACAAACTACAAAGCCTAATGACGAAGCACTACTGGAGGAAATGAATACACTGTTTTCATCTAAGATAGGTAGGCCATGCCATCTTATTCTTCTTTGTTGATTTTGGCATCAGAATAATTTTATTCATAACAGGTTTGAACAGTCTTGACTTCCTCAGCCACGGTCCACCCCTACTATCCACAACCTAGTTCTGAGCCCTCGCATATAATACCCCCTTCCCCGGGAATACTCTATAGCGATGCTGACTTGAGTTCTTTTTGCAGGGTCCGCCACGACTCTATTCCCCGAGATGCAGCAGTCTCAATCTTACTGCTCTGGTCCCGCATACTCCTGTCGAAAATCTCGAGCGATATCCACCCCTTGAAACCGGTGTCGACAATCCAGGCCTTGGCGATTTCAGTGATAGGGAGGTATGCACCACGATCCTGCTCGTACGGAAATGGTCGCGCATGCCTAGACCAGGTGAACTGCGATGCCTCTCCCTCTAGGTACCAAGGGTGATCCTTGGAAAATGGAGGGTTGAATTTCTCGCCATCTGATAACTGGATGAAGAAAATCTTGTCGACGGGACACTTGGCCACAAAGCGATCGAGTGATTCTTTGAGGACTCTTTCCGCGTCTGGAAACCGACCTGTTTCAGCGAACGAATCACCCCACAGCTTCGTCGCTTCATGAAACGTGTCTAGACACAGACCAAAGTTGGGACGATCGACTTGGATGACATATTCCAAAGCGACTTCCCATGTGGAACAGTGTATTCCCCATGACAGATACTCATACGCGATCGACACGACTGGTTCTTTTGCGCTGCCGATATCAGCCAATTGTTGTAGTTCGCTGATGATCACGTCTCTGTCGCCGATAGCATCAACTTGGAAGATTGATGGAATTTGCATAAATGGCGCGTGTAGGGCTCGCGCGACCTCTACCCAGTGAGTAGCCTTTTTCAATCTGTCGGCGAGAGGCGATCGGTTTCCTTCAAAGTTTTCGAAGGGCGCCAATGACAGGATATCTAAGCTGAGCTCTTGACATAATACCCGGATTTTCTCGGCACCCTCGAGAATCGCGACTCCTTGCGATTTGGAAAAAGCCTCTAATTCGAAGTACACGATTTCAAGCCCTTTGTATCCAGCCTTTGCCGCTGCTCGAATCTTGTGGTCGAGAGAATGAGAAGAGTGCTGGCCCAAAGATAGACTGGCGATGGCCAAAGGATTGGAAAGCATGACGGTGGCTTGATTCGCGTTTATCACGAAACTTTGGTTTATTTTCAACTTCAATTTGATTGACAGGGATTTTGAATGTTGGTCTCATTGCGGACTATACTTGAATACGAAGTTGTTCCCGAACTCGGAGTTTGGCTTCCGTCTTCCCCGCACGGAAGATGAAGACCGAACTTCGAAGTACCCATCTCTCGGCCAAGGACACATGTCCGAAAACTTTAAGCCCCGCTAGATTTCCGGGGTTGGGTCTTGATTCTCGCTTTTCAGAGATGACTTGTAGATGATGCACACTCGCATATGCAGAAATCTAGACTCCTAACATGGGCATGTGCACGACTTCGTAAGTCACTATTGTGAACCAATTACAATTTACTACTTAGTCATTAAGACATGCAAGAATCAATGTGGGATTTTGGTATTGGCTACGAGCCAGCTGGTTAAGGGTGGTGCTAAAACCTTCCATATAATAATATTTCACTGTTGTGAGATATTCACATACATACTAGTAGTAGTGGACCGTAGCTACGTTCTTTGAGACCTCTAGGATGCTCCAGCTATATCTTAGTACTATCGACTATTCAAATCCGGGATCATTACTATTCTTTTTCTTCAATGTTTGGACCCTTAGCCGCTGGACTTTCCTTTCTATCAAATGATATTCAGCTCTCACGGATAGATTAGTTTGGTACACAACGGAAGCCGAATTCCCCTTACATGGCTACGTCAACTGAATCAAGAATCTCGGTGAGCTCTGAAGATCTGGATTTCTTGAGTCTTCAACCTTATAGCCTTGACTGGTTATATGGCTTTGGTACGCTCAGCCCTCCACCAATGGCGGAGAATCGTGTCCGAGTGACAACAACCTGACGAAGCATGTCTTCCGACACTGAAATTGGTATAAATGCGACACAAAATTCAAACCAACTTACAATCTCCCAAGACAAACATTCAAGGCATTAATCTCAAATATTCCAATTTTTTCACTTGTCTTTTCAAACATCCGTCGACTCTATCCATAATGGCCGCCGCCGTTCTTCAACCCGCGTTTTCAAACATCGAAGCTATCTCAGATGATATCGATGCTGTGAACGTTCTCAAATCCCAGCCTTCGAAAGGCCTTTATGATGAATCGGAATTCGACAAGGCCAAAGACACGACGGGTTTCCGCCAATTCAACGATGCGTGTGACCAAGTCAAAAACTTCTACGCCACGCAGCACACTCTGCAAACAGTAGCATACAACCTGAAAGCCCGCAACGACTTCCACACTCAAACACGCGCAAAGATGACCATCTGGGAAGCAATGGAAAAACTCAACACTTTCATCGATGAATGTGATCCCGACACTCAAGAGTCTCAGATGACACACCTTCTTCAATCGGCCGAGGCCATCCGCCAAGAGGGCAAGCCTCGCTGGATGCAACTTGTTGGACTGATCCATGATCTCGGCAAGCTGCTGTTTTTCTTCGGGGCTCAGGGCCAATGGGATGTCGTTGGGGACACCTTCCCTGTTGGGTGTGCTTTTGACGACCGAATTATTTTCGGGACTCAATCTTTCAGCAAGAATGAGGATTTCAACAACCCTGTCTACAGCACCAAATATGGCATTTATTCCCCAGGCTGTGGTTTGGAGAATGTCATGTTGTGTTGGGGACATGACGAGTACCTCTATCACATTGTCAAGGACCAATCTACTATTCCTGATGAAGGACTCGCGATGATTCGCTATCATTCTTTCTATCCGTGGCACCGCGAGGGCGCTTATCATGAGTTGATGAACGAGCATGATAAGAAGATGCTTGAGGCCGTGCGGGCCTTCAATCCATATGATTTGTACTCTAAGAGTGACGAGGTTCCAAACGCTGAAAAGCTGAAGGTGAGAGATGTTCCTTTAGTATTGAATGTGATTCAACATTTGCTAACATTTTTCAAGCCTTACTACCTTGAGCTCATTGATGAGTTCTTCCCTCAGAAGGTTGTGAGATGGTGATTAAGAAGTCAAACTCTTCAAATGTTGACATACGTGCATACTGTGTGTGCGTATATGTATTCACATATTTCTGTTGATTCTGTCAGCCGCCCTTCAACCTTAGAAGTACGCAGGTGTTGTTTTGGAAGTCTGCACATGCCCGCGGGCGTTAAGTGATTTTAATTTTATTTCTGCACATATGAATGTCATGTATTCAAAGACTTTTGAGGTCAAGACTGCAACATTGAAGGTTATCAATTGATGATCTTCTCTTAAACATTGAATGTCTATGCCCAACATTTGAAGTGAATGCATGTGTAGAACATTCAATGTTAGGCCTCAAGTGCTCTCGAGGTCAGGAATATCAATTGTATCCCGACGTCGTCAAAACTTGTCTTGGTGGAACAACGTAGGTAGGAAATAGCTCCAGGACTGGTTTTGGAAACCTTGAAACATCAATCTGGACATGCCCGTTGATTGTATGCGAAATTTCCATACCTCCAAAGCTCCGGTTGGAAGTCCAAGCTTGACTGTGAGCTTCCTCGGGTTCCTTCAATGGTGGACATTTCAAATGTTGGCGTTTTATGATACCTAATTCTGGATACAATAAAGATACTGTTTGTTAAAACATTCGATAAGGATACTATATCTTTCCTGTATCGAAAACATTACTGTATGTTTAAAGATACTATAAGGATACTATATCATTGAGGTATCATAAAACGCCAAATGTCCACCATTGAAATTTAAATACCTAGTAGGCAATGAATTGAGTGAGACCTTGAAGTAAAGATTCTATAGTATGTTTTATTCAATGTGATATAATAATAAATAATTCAGACTAATTGAACAAAATCTTCTCGCCGCTGACAAGACTCTTCTGTAGAGCCTGTCCAATGATGACAGCTTTAACTGAGCTCTGCAGACTGATGGGTGGCGGAGTGTTGTCGAGACAGCTTGCAGTGAACTCATAAGCCTCAGTGACAAACGCGTCTCGGAATCTCTCATAATAATGCTGAGGCAATGCACGTCGCGCTCCCTGTGAGTCATGAATCTCCACATGGTTCTTCCTGACTTGCATGTTCACTCTCACGGAGCCCTTCTCACAAATGATCTCTGATGTGTCTTCCTGTCCGGCTGCCATCATACGAGAGCAGTACAAAGCAGCCATCTTGCCACCCTCAAACTCCACCGTCGCGATTGCGTTGTCCCTGTCCCCGTTTTCCAAGAGTACAGGGTGCACGGCAGCCACTCCGACCGCCTGCAGACTCTTGAGCTTGCGCTCTTCGCCCAGGAACCAAAGCATCAGATCGATATCGTGGATAGAGCAGTCCACAAAGATTCCACCACTTGTCTTGGCATACTCGACGAAGAATCCTGATCCGTCGTACAGGTCGGCTGTTTGTGATCGGAAGAGGACTGGCGGGCCGAATTCGCCGTTCTGAACTCGTTCATGGGCTTCGCGATATGAGGAATCAAAGCGACGGGAGAATCCACACATCACTTTCTGCTGAGGATGCTGCTTAAGAGACTCCTCATATGCATCCACGACAGACTGGGCCTGTACAGGGGACTCAGTATTAGCGCGTCGGTCTCTATGGGGAAGCTTTGGGCTTAACTCACGACTTCGGCATCAATGCTCAAAGGCTTCTCGCATAGAACGTGAAGTCCCTTTTTGATAGCCTTGATAGCTTGCTCGGCATGAGCGGCGGTGATACTGGCAACCACCACAGCATCCAAATTGGCATTTTGGAGCATTTCGTCATAATCGAGGTAGACTTGTACTCCTGGGAGGTTTTCTTTCGCCCATGGGTGCTCATTTTCGTCGGGGCTACTCGCAGCCACCACTTCTGCGCGGGCAGTGAGGTCGTGGAAGTTACTCGCATGGCGCTTTCCTGTTCACAATTAGATCTTTTTCTTTTTCTTTTCTTTTGCTTTCTTTTTACTGGAAATAGATACATACCCATCCGGCCAAGGCCTGAAATGCCGACGCGAAGCTTTGGGGGGGCCATGTTTGCGAGGTGTGAATTGTGGAAGGAAACACTTGAGGGAAAGGATTCAGGAGCGATTATGTAGAAATCTGTGGCCGTTGCAGAACTTTGAAAAACAAGAGATTTCCCAAGTGCAGTCCCTGCTTTATATCTTTATTGTCCAATTTAGGCGCCTTCGGACCTCGGATTATGAATTATCTCTCTTACTGAAGATCATCAAAAAGGCCCGGAACTTGATGTCCGGTCGGATTTCCGAGTTGGACAGAAGCCGCTGGAGGTCCACTGTGAACATAGACTACTAACCAGTATATGGCATTTGAACATCGATTTTCAACCTTCAATGTTGGAAATGTCGCAAGTTTGATGCCTGAGCTCTGATGTTGTGTGAAACATTTGAATGGGTACAATATTCATTGGATTATCCATTTTATGTGAAAATTTGAAGCGAAGATCAATATTTATTGAACTAAATGCTATATACATGTTTAAATACTCGGTAAAATCATTTCCTTTGAACACTCCAGATTTCCTGAACATGTGAATCTTCAAAATTTCAACATTCTGAAGTTGAAACATTCAAATGATGTTTCGTGGTTATTTCCGAGATCTCGAAGCGGGGCATAATCAATGTGGGCACTACGCGATAATCTCACAATGTTCAGCACTCAGATCTTTCTCGCCTTCGATCTGTAAATCGTCGCTTTGGGTTCGAGCAATCCGAGTCGCATCTGCCCAACTCATATCTTTTCCTGCTTCATACTTAATTTCAAAAAGCCTATCGACCTGCTCCAAAGACAAATTTGCCGTCTCAACGTAGAAGTACCAAATGATTGGAATAAAACAGAAATTGAAAATGGCGTAGAGCATGTAATATCGCCATCCAATACTTTCGATAGCAGTAGGCGTGGCCACAACTACCACGTAGACAAATAGCCAATTGACTGTGGTCGCAAAGGATGTTCCGACATTTCGCATCTTTTGAGAGTTGATCTCGGCAGGGTAAATATAAGGAATGGAGAGCAGTGACATCCCATAGAATACGTAATAGACGAAGATGAAAACGACTGCCATGATAGACATGCCCTTGTTGTCTGTTCCACCATATCGTAGACCCACGGCGACAAGGGCAAAGCATACGCTAGAGGCCGTGACGCCCATGAGCATTAATCTTTTTCTTCCGACACGGTCAATCAAGAGGGCCGCAACGGCGCCCCAGAACATCAAAGACATGGAATCGCAGGCGGACAGGATGAGGCTCATGCGAGGGGATAGACCGACAGAGCGTGTAAGCACCACTGGAAGGTAATACGCGATCACGTTCGTGCCGCCAACCTGTTGGAAAAATGCAGTCCCGGCGCCAAGAAGAATGCGTCTCAAAGTCTGCTGCTTGCTGTTGCGAGTAAATATCTCTTTGAGGGGCATGGACTGTTGTACTTCAGCCTCATGCTGGACTGCAGATACCATGTGCTGAATCTCCCCGGCAACGAAAGGGTCGTCATGTGGTTTGGCCAGGAGTCTAGCGAGAATAGACTGGGCTTCGCTAGCACGATTCTTCATAACCAGCCAGCGAGGTGACTCTGGGGTCACAAGAACCAGAGAGATGGTCACTATGCCGAAGAAACATTGGAAAGCTAGCGGGAATCTCCAGCTCACGGGCGAATTTGGAATGAAGGTAAAACCGTAGTTCATCCACTATCACTTTATGAGCAATTGAGAGAATGATGAGTCGGGTAGTTAGAAAACTCACATTTGTGATCACAATACCGAAAATATTGGTGACCAGCTGAAATACCATGAGTTTTCCTCGATCTGTTGGCCGGGCGGTTTCCGCTTGCCAGATAGGAATGGCGATAGTGTTCATCCCGTTTCCAACTCCCGCAACCACACGACCAACTATCATCTGTGCGAGTCCATATGAACTGGTCTGGATTATAGCACCAATAATCAAGATCACACATCCAATCAAAATGGATCTTCTGCGACCCAGTTTGTCGCCAACGTACATGGACACAAGAGTACCGATGATGCAGCCGATGTCGTATGTCGCCACGATCTGGCCTTGAATTGTTGTCCCAGGATAACCAAAAGTCCTCAGAAAGGGCTCATTATCAAGGAGACCACCGAATACACCTTGATCATAACCAAACAGTAGGAACCCGGCACCACAAGCGGCAGTGATTCCATACTGAAGACGGTCGCCTTGGGCGTCCTGCAGAAACATTGCACAATTTTTGATATTGGAAAATGGCCCCGATCAGAGAGAACAAGGGTCTTGTGGGGATTCAGCACTTGAGCCAATCCCAACCCAATTGATTTATATGACCTGATAGACATGTCGGGATTCGTTTGCCGAAGATCATCCTCTTCAGAGTTCTGGAGCCGGTATTATGGCCGATTGGTCGAACTCCACAATCAACGCGGGGTAAAACTATAAACCCCGGATTTCGTTTTCAGTTGCCAATTGAAATTATTTCATTACAATCTATTCATTATACCAATTATACTGGACAATGAAGTCGGACGAGCACTTCACAAAACGGCGACATGCCTCCATGGCATGTGTTGCTTGTCGGGAAAGCAAAGTCAAGGTAAATGACAACTCTTCTATTATTATTTTTTACTGGAACGCGGAACTAACGTGGAGAATATGACGTGCTATATAGTGTGATGGAAAATCGCCATCATGCTCTCACTGTGTTACTAAAAAGAGAGATTGTCGCTATCAAGCTTTTGACAAGAGAAAGTGAGTTCTAGGCGCACAACTCTTGGTGATATTAAACGCTAATGTTACTACTCACAAGACTACCACTGCGTGTCGCAATAGAGCTGTTATCAAGAAGAGTGGATCAACTGTGCCAATTCATTCAAGAAAATGGACTTCAAGCCCCCACGATGTCTGATGAACAACATGCGACACTGCGAACAGTATTCGACACGCTGGGGATGAAGGAAAAAGCAGTTGCTCCAGTGCCGCATTCTGAAAAAGCTGCCACGCCTCCGAATTTAATACAAAACACTGAATTCCCTTCATTTTCCGCTCCTCATCCAGGCCACAATATCTTCACGGGGAGCTCCGGTGTCGGTTTCTCCAACCGGTCGCATGACCTTCATTTCGAAGGCTATGAGACAGGTATATCCGAAGATAGCCCGGACTCCATTTTGAACGCCTGGGATTTCGATTTAGGCGTTGGTGGATATAATCCACCTATTACATCGAACCTCCAGCACATCATAGACTCTTCGCCACAAGATGGTCTCGGTGTACGACCGGAGGAGCAAATTCCTAGTCAGCTATCCTCTACCGGTCTCTCTCGTAGCAATGATGCTTCCACTCCTCTTGAAAAACCAACGAGGTCACCCGACATTGAGGGCCTAGTCGATGAGATATCAGACTGTGTTGGTACCTTAAAAATTGGACCTGGAGGATCGACGCGTTTCTATGGCCCAACGTCCACATTTAATTTGAAAGACATGCAGCTTTCTGACAGCGATGAGAGTGAGCGCAAGATCACTACTTTCAGTTCTGAATCAAATGACGAGATACCTGCATCATTGGAAGCCCATCTTCTTGGCCTCTACTTTAGCTGGCAAGATCCCACATTCCACGTTGTTGATCGACACATTTACGAAGAAGCACAGATTAAATGGAACAATATGGAAGACACACCTTTCTACTCAGAAGCGCTACGGAACGCGATGTGAGTTCCTTGCATCCCAGATCTCTTAACTATTTATTTATTTATCACTGATAACCCTGCAAAGGTGTGCACTTGGCAGCGCTTTTGAATCCCGATATCATCCGACGTTTGTCACATTTCCAAAAACACTCGTCGAGTTCTTCGGTGATCGTGCAAAATCGCTACTCGAGATTGAACTGGACAGACCTTGCGTGGCGACAGTTCAAGCACTAGTCATTCTCAGCAACCATGAGATAGGAAACGGAAAGGATGCCCGAGGCTGGCTTTACAGTGGCAGGTTTTATCTATGCCTATGAAATGACTGCCAGGAACCAAAGAGAAAAAAAGCTAATTAGCACCTGCTTCAGGAATGGCACTACGGCTTGCATTTGATCTTGCTCTGCACCTCGATATGTCGAGCTACGTATCTCAAGGGTCAATATCGGTCGCCAATGCGGATATTCGCCGCAACGTCTTCTGGACTGCATATATTGTTGATCAGTTCGCCGTCCTTATTTTTTCCAATTCGTTCTGCCCATAGTGATTCTAACAGTTCTTTATAGCCAGTTAGGATTCCATCTAGGGAGACCTTTTCGCACTAGCATGGAGGATGTGACGGTTGGTAAGCCCCGGCAAATTACAGGCCTCAGGGGACATTGTCAATGGGTGCCCTACGATTCATCGACGCTTTTCGGACCAGATTCTGGCTTGCTGGACAATAAAGAAGCTATTGGTCAGCAGCTAGTCTCTCTCTGTGAGCTAATGGCACCGTGTGGATACATACTGTAAGAAAATCATCTGCACCTTGAAAGCTACTCTGGTTGACCTTTAATCAATCTTCAATACAGATATGGTACATCAAAGATCTCGAAAGACGTCCTGCAGGAGCTGAACGCAAAGATTGTCTCCGAGCTTCGCAAGTGGAAAGCCAAGCTTCCACCTACATTACAGATCAATCTTGGCGATTTCACAACGCCATATCTTCCGCATGTGCTACTTCTCCAGTAAGTCAAAGACGTTTATACTCAGTAACTCCCACCCCCTAAAACTACAATGACGAGTCGAAGATAACCCAGAAGATGTATTCAAAAAACAGCATGCAATACCACCAAAACATAATCTACGCCCACCGACCCTGGATGTCCAAAAGCCACCTCCAGCCCCAACCCCCAAAAGGCCCCGGCTACACGCACGCCCGCGAAATGTGCATCCAATCCGCCATCGCCATATCCAAAATCCTCACAATGTACGAAACTCGCTACACGCTCCGGCTTATCAACGTCAAAGCCGTCTCCGTAACCTCCTCCGCCATCCTGCTCCTTCTCTTCGCCGCAGTATCAAACCACTCGACCAAGTCAAACGAAGATATCTCGTTCCACCTGAACACGTGCTTCAGGGCCCTGGATGAGTTTTCCCTTTCGTGGAAAAGTGCTCAGCGAGCGAAAGATCTGCTTATCAGCTTGCAGCGGCAGTGGGAGCTTCGGACAAGATCACAAACGGATACAGTCGCTTGGCGGGCTGATGCGGCTTTGGCTTTGTTTACGCCCAGGAAACGATCGAAGGGAGAGGGGGATCTGGGTGCGTTAAGGGGACAGGATGAGCAGATGGAGGTGGATTTTGATTGTATGCTTGGCGGGATGGAGAAGGATGCTTTTTCGAGCAAGTATTGTTCAGATTTTTTTGAGTTGATTTCCAATCCTGGTTGATAATTTGAATGAACTTGGATGACATTGTGAATCTAGATAAAGTTGACATAGTGCTGGAAAATGTGATCATTTAGTACCTGGTAGTAGATGGTAGCACTTGAGAGTATCAATTGATGTATAAGCTGGGATCCGTGTTTTCAAATGCTAGCTATATCTCTGCATCAATTGTCTGAGGCGGAAGAAAGTCCCGGAGCTCTCAACGTAGGTAGCGCAGTACATATACACGGCGTGTTTGGCTTTCGGGCATCCGAAGACTCAATCTCACATGTGCAGACGGGGATTTCTCCCAAGCTTTTCGTGCATGCGTCCGCAGCTGCAGGCCAGTCGTTGGAGCGAAAATTCCCTTCTCTTGCATGCATGACGCATGAACTATGTAAGTGTAGTAGATCTACACTGTGGAACACGAGATATTGATTCGCGCATACATGTACAGTATTCAATGTTGGTGCTGAACAAAGCTCGAATATAGAGTCCAAATTGACTACGAAATCAATATCAAGATCAGGAAAAGAAAAAAATGTTGCATAATGTGAATCAACAAAGGCAAGGGTCCCTAGACCCGGAGAATGAATTGTCCTCCAAATAAAACTTTATCCAACAAAAAAAAAAGACGAATCCTCCATGCAAGTTTCACAATCTAACATTTACTGGGCAGCGACGGCGGCGACAGCCTTCTGGATGGCAGGAGGGTTGGCACCACGGACAGTCTCGAGGAGCTCGCCGTTCTTGTAGAAGAGGAATGTAGGCATAGCGGAGACACCGTTGTCGGCAGCAACATCGGACAGCTCATCGACGTCAACCTTGTAGAACTTGACGTGCTCGTGGGCTTCGGAGAACTTCTCAATGGCGGGGGAGATGGCCTTGCAGGGACCGCACCAGACGGCGAAGAAGTCGACGACAACGGGCTCCTTGGCGTCGGTAACCAACTGCTTGTATTCCGCAGCGCTGTGAAACAGAAACACATTAGTTAGCCACGTCATTCAATGATTTATTTCGATTTCTGCGCTGCGATCATGACAAAACAAACCCCCCCCCCCCCCCCCCCCAAAAAAAAAACCAAAATCGAAGAACGAGTAAGAGGAAAAAACTCACGTCTTAATGTTGATAACCTTGCCACCCATTTTGGGAATAGAGTATGAGAAGTGAGGGATGGGAGTGGAAGAAAAGGTTCGGAGGGGAGTTGCGACGAAGGGAGTACGTTGAGAGACTGAGGAACGGAGCAGCGAAGAAGTGGCGCGGGACAGAGGTAGACGAGCGAGGCGGAGAGGGTTGATCTGGTGGGGAATAAGTCTTTGGATTTTATGAAGAGGGGCAGAGGGGCAGCTTGGGCTTTCTTTATAGGCCCATGACGATCCGGCCGCCGGAGCTTAGGTAAGTAGAATTTGGGAGGGCTGAATAATAGCACCGTAAGGCTCATGCAGCGCCCCCCTGATTATACTACCAAGGAAGCCAGTTCCCAGGTTGCGCCAGGCCTAGCGGTGTATGGTGACTTACGATAGACATGGTGGTAATTCCGGATTAGCGTTGTCGAGGATCAAATTGGGCCAATTGAGAGGCGTCGTTCTGTTGAAGAAAGGAGAGGTGGGCGGTGGAATCTGGCAGTATTGAATGACGTGCTCGGGTGCTTACGAATTGGATTCAGTCTGGACAAGTGACTACAAGCACTTACTAAGGAGAGCTATACACCATGCTTGGTGATATTAATGTTAGAAATTTAAGTACTGAGTAGAGGCTTGGAGAATGATCGATTTGTAATGATAAGTGATGCAACGATGAATGCATGGCTTTTGCTGGCATTTTCTCGCATCTTCATGCACAATATCAAATACCGAATATATAGTACAAACACCGTAATCCAAAGGCCGAAGGCTCGGTCGCCACTTCGTTATCCATACATAAGAGAAACAACTATATACATCGATACCATTCCACGTCTGATCATAAGGATGTGCCAGGGAATCGTACCAAAGAATCAAAAGAGAAGATCTAGCAGAATGGAATCACAAATGGGCAGGAGAGGATGTCATCCGGCGCAATGCATGAAAAGTAGAATTGGGGGTATATTAAAAACAAGTTTTGGGAAGGGAGAAAGACCAATGCTAACCAACGCAAACCGTTCCAGTGCTGATAAACTGGGGTTCTCAGAAGTCGAACGGATGGGAAGGAAGCCAATCGGGGGCTATCAAAACACACGACATGGATTTTATGCGTCTAGCAGGGCTTAAAAAGCACGGGGCAGATGGGGGGTATCAACTAATCGAGAAACAAAATTGTTGGGAACGACGAGCACAGCATGTCGAGGGGGTAGGAGGGGGTAAGGATGTCGTGGGCTGGGGGGAGGTCAACAAGGTGAGTGTTTGAGGGGAGGCCATCCTACGTCACACATCATGGGGATCATGACAGTAACGGAGCGGCACATTGTGCAGATGATCGGAAAGGGGGGGTTCTCAAAGACAAAAGAAATGGAACAAAGGGAAAAAAAAATCTAAAGAAAGTCGGGCTATGTACGAAACAACATACTATGCCTGTTGGGCCAAGGACCCAAGCTCAAGAGCAGATAATAAAACAGATCGGGAGCAAAGCATTAGAGATATTTCAAAACAACCGTCGTTTCCAGTGGGACAGACCGGATTTAAACATGGTCGATTATGCCGTGGACACTGACCACACGTCGGGGGAGATTCTCAAGGTTCTCTTCCTCCATAGGGCTCACGGGGCTATAGTCCTCTTCGCCTGATATTGGCGCCAAAGAGGGGATGCATCGCAGTGCCCCCTGATTAGATTTTGGTCGAGATACCGGGTTGACAAGAACAGGCCGGCGACCGACCTCGCTGTGCCACATTTCGTCCGCTGTGTCGGGCTTCGTGCTGACCAGTTCATTATCAAGATCTGGCTCGCCCATCACGTTACAGCGCGAGTCGATAGACTCGCGTGCTTCATCGAACATCTCGGTGTCATCTAGGTTGGAGGGACCGAAGGAATTCATTGTGGTACGGACGGGGCTGCTGGGTTTCTGGTGCATTCGGCGGAAGAACTGCCCAGACATCCACGAGCCTTCTGAGTCGATAGAGGCCAGGGACTGGGAAAGTGGCACGTTGTCGCAATCGGCATCGAAGCTTTCAGCCAACGACAGGTGGTGGCGTCGACGAGGGTTGACGATATCCATACTGGCACTCGGGGTGGGGCCTTGTAGAAAGGTATCCTGGTCGTGCTCCAGTGAGGATTCGGGTACCTCTTCGGGGATATCGGGAGACTGCAAACGCGAGTCCGGGGGAGACATTGGCTCGTCGCCAAAGTGCTCGGTGAATTTGGATTGGGCGCGTTTGACGGTGCCCGTGGCAATGAATGCGCGAGGGGTGATTAAAGATGCTGGAGGAGGGGAAGACTGGGTCTGGATTCTGTAGAAAGATTCATTCGAAGGATTGGATGCCAATGGTGCAGAATCCTGGAAATGCTCCCGGTAACGACGCTTGAGGCGAGAAGAGCCACGACGGAACAGGTGTGTGATGGTGTTTCCACGGCGCCCGCTGGTATCAGATAATCGACGTTCTGAGAGGTCAGAATTCGAACCCACTCCAAAGGTTTGAGAATGGCTGGGGCTACTGATGCCGTGGCGGACGGACGAGTGGGAGGGCGAAAGTGTTGTTCGGGACATACCCATCTCGTGTGAGGGAGCAAAGCTCGAGCGTGCCGCCAGCCTATGTTCACGGATGGAGGGTTCGCCAGTGTTTTCAACGACCGGAACACTATCTTCGATCGTGTCGGCCCCGGTGGCAGCATCTGCTTTTGATTCATCCTCTTCTTCGTCAATGTGAACCTCCGCAATATCCTCCATGGCCGGTTGAGGGTCTTCAGCGAGGGCGGCCTCGCTCGCAGCAGCGGCAGCAGCGGCAGCAGCCACAGCTTCCTCAGCCTCGCGTGCCTCCTGCGCTTGTTGTGCGTCGGCTCTTTCTTGTAACTTTCGTCGTAGCCTCTCCTGATCATCAATTTGCTTCTTTTCCCGACGACGACGATCTCGGTCCATCAACTCCCGCAGCGTGTTAGCATCCAGCGAATCGGCCAACTCATTTACTCGCCGCTTAGAATAATAAAGATCCTCCTCCGATGTGGTAAGGTTCTGTAGTCGATCTTTGGGTGGGTTGCTGCTTCGAGCCGTGGGAGCCCGTGGCGCTTCGACGTAACGAACCACGGGTCGAGGGGTCAACGCCGCGAACGCGTTGACTTTGAAGGTGTAGGGATCTGTTAAATCTGACATGGACGACGCCGCAGAGTCTCGAATAGATAAGCTGACATCCGACTGGTAGCGGGCGAGTCGGCCTCCAGGCTGCTTCCGGCGCCGGTGATCCATCATATTGTAGTCAGGTTGACCTGTTCGACGCGGGATGTCGATCGGTGTGGAGGACAGCATGCGAATTTCACGCTCACGCATGATCTCGTGCGCCTTACGCTTGCTAAGACGCCGTCGGAGTTTATTGGGGCCATTTTGGTTCTTGCTCCGCAATAACGATTCGGTCCGCTGGGGGACATCGGGGTCGGCGCGGTCAGAACTCATTTGTGATAATCGACGTTCGGCTAATGATAGGGGACGTTGTCGCTGGGACGAGGAACGAGTAGGGCCAGCATTTAAGCTAGCGACCTCTTCACCGGTTCGTGACAGACGATTGTTGTTTTGACGCTTGGAGGGCCGGAGGGAAGGTTTGCGGCCCAACGTGGGTTCGATACCAACGGCGGCGGCAGCAGCTAGCGGGTCATTCGCGATGGATGACTGCAAGGCAGCGGCTTCATCCGGACTCACTTGGATGGTATGCCGCTTGGCCTTATTGCTCCGACCAAATGGCCATATCGCCATAACGCTCGAATGCGGGATACGCCCCGAAAACGAATCAGTGGTCGCAGAGAGGTGTGGAAGAGCGTCGAACTGAAGTCATGGAGATTTTCTTTTGGTTTTGTAACGAGTGGAGACTGAAATGGAGAAAAAAAGGTTTAAACAACAAAAGAAAAAGCAAATAGCGGCGAAGTCAAGCCAGGGCCACCGTCGTCATAAAGTGGGTTTAGGTTTATTGGCAAAGAGAGTAACAAAACAACCACGGGGTAAGATAAAAAGGATTGGGGCGAAAGGGGGGCGCAAGCGAATGTCAACAACCCAGAGTGGCGTTGGAAGAAAAACCAACAGGGAATGAATGAAGTAGAGAAAAAAAAAACAAGGAGAGAAAAAGAGAGAAAAAAGAGAGAAAAAAAAGGTGTTCAGCGCAGAAGAAAACAAAAATCGAGAGTAATGGACATTGAGGGCCCAGACCACGAATTCTCGAAATGTAATTTCCCGCTTGTTTTGATGAATCTCCGCCTAAAAATAAAACTTTTACATATAGAATCTTACTTAGTTACAGAGTAAGTTATTTTTTACAGTCACACAGGTACCTGGTACCTGACGCAGGTGAGAAATTAAGTATGGAATTCCGGTCCTACGGTACCTGGGTTAGGAGCAAAGTAGCACGAATATTATCAATAATAAAGGGCAATATTGATTCCTTTGGAGATCGACAATCTCCGTCATTTGGGAAAATAAAATAAAAAAAAAAAGAGAAAAAAAGAGTAAAAAAGAGTATTTGTGGAGAGATGGTTTAGAAAGAAAAAAACAAATCCACTTGAACAACATCGATACCGAGTACAACCTTGCATTATACAAGTCTAGAAGCGTTCGTCCTCGGATCTCTTCTATGTTGAACTTGGGATACGTATTATTCTAATGGGATATATTGCATCCTACTATATCTATATGGATGCATCGATTTATTCAAATGTTGCGTGAATTGTATATAGCATCCAAATCTCATGTATCATTTCCGTAAGTAATCTATCTGTATTTACCCGATCTCGTGCAGTGTGCGCGTGCCTGAAAAGACCGGAAACTAACCGTTGAGCCAGTGGGTCCCTCTTTCCCTCTTCTTTCCCTCTTCCTCCTCCAATCCCAATTGATTCCACTTTTTCAATGCCACTTGATTCCACTTAATCCCACTTAATCCCATTTAACCCATTTTACTCCGTAATCCCATTTCAATTGTTCCTCTTGACACGCGGGAATGGAGTCGATCTTACGCAACCCTCGGCTCGTGACTGGCCAACCCGCACGCCACAACTTCCTCCCTTTGGTTCTTATGGATCCTTCCTCCCGTCAAACCAATTAATTCCCTAATTCTTCTACTGCACACCTTTACCGACTTCTCCTGCAGGGACTCGGGGGATGTTCAAAACAAAAGCAATAGGAGGAAGTGGAGATGGATCCGCGGGAAAAACCACCGCGTTGGGTCTCAAAGCTACAAGCTACTACTTGCTCTAGTCATGGTCGCCTCGCTTTGCCTGCGAGCTGAGCCGTGCACGGAGGAATGTTGTCATCGAACAGCCGACCAGGAAAGTTGTTCTCTGTAGTGAAAAGAACTCCGGAATACTGTATATGGAGTTGACGGGAATCCATGAATGTGAGATTTGGAAAATCTGACAAACATGAAAATATCTGATCTGATCTGATCAGATCAGATCACGGTTCTAATGCACAGATTTGTTTTACATAATGTTTTACTCAATCCCCCAAAAACGAGAACCGCGATTGAGAATTGAACGAGAACCCGTGCATTTAAAAAGTCAACATATGGTCACACGACATTTTGATAAGATTCGAAGCTAACGAGCTCGTGGTCACGTTGTATTCTAAAGAATTTCTGTAGTAAAAAAAAGGGGAAAAGAAAAAAAAACTCTCCCATTCAGCCTTAATACTAGTATGTACATGTTACATCTCTACATCCATCACACATGTGTAGAACCCGCATATGATATGTCACTTTGAACTCATCCCCCTCCTCCCCCTCTTCCCCTTGAGATGGACACAAAATTGATCCTGAAGAGCCTTGCCGCACAACGCTAGTCTCCTCGATCATTGTTTCACACGGTCGTGGAGCCTGGGCTTTGAAAATGTATTCGGCAAAGTGCGGATCTCAGAAATCCCGCAATGGATCAGAATTCACTAGTCGCTCCCCGCTGTTTGCCGAGACAAACAGATCGGAGCCTGGAGTACGGTTGTCATAGTACCACAAAGTGCATCTCTCTCCTTCTCTCTTTACTCCGCACCTGGTACAGTGTACTATCCAGCTGCCTTTTCTCTCTTGCCTCCCCTCTCTTTCCCTTCCTATCGATCATGTCTCTGATCGCTGCAAGGAGTACCCCGGGCCCTGGAAATTCATCCTGGCCTTGGGTATCTAGGCATGCATCTACACTAACTCCATCTGCCGAGCCAAATCCATGAGCTTTGCTAATTAACCCTCTTTAGCCTCGATCCATTGTGAACCTTTAATTTGGTGTCATGTTGTTCAGAGTCTCTCTACTATACACCTATGAAAAGCCACGCCCGCTCTGACCGCATTTGGGGAACAAACACGGCTGCTCACCTTCCAAGTCGAGACCCTCTTACCTTACCGAGGCACACACATGTTGGTATATTTTATGGTTGGATGGATCTCCACCTTGGCCTCTTCTACGGTCAAGGTGATGGACCTGCGATACCTGCAATACCTGCAATACCTCCGTACATGTACATTGATATTGACAGGGTATCTATGGTGTTCTGCTCACGCCATCGGGAAAACGCCACCTGGGCACGAATGCAATCTACCACCGCCACCACTGGCGTAAACAAATTAATTACTGCTAATTTCTCATTCGAGGAGAACAAAGCCATGAAGAAAAATTCAAATTGCCTAGAAAATCGGTTGCGAACTGTGAGTTCATGACCTATAGGGTACAGTAACGAGCGGAAAGTACCCAAATCCCATAGATCCAACGTCTATGTAAATCCCAACGCCACAAATGCACAACCCTGAGTCCCCGACACATGTATCTGAGGTCCACATGAGTGCGGACTACGGAGTATCCATCTCCAGTAATCCGTACACATCGGAAACACCAAAATAAAAACGAAATCAACATTCCACCCATTGTAATCAACCATATGTATGCACATTTCCAAAAGAAGAAGGAAAAATCACTAGAAAAAAAATTCAAAAAAATGTCACACACAGCGGGGCCATGTGTTGTCCCGCTCACCTCTCCCAAGAGTCCAACACCACTCCTCACTTCTTACTCTATTCGTCCGGTCTCACATCGCTGTCACTGATTGACACGTTTCCGCAGTCGATTCGGCTCCCGTTCTAAGACGCTATACCTGCGGCTACCGCGTCCGCTGAGGAGTCGCTTCAGCAATCTTGAGCCGGCACTATTGCTACTGCTGCGGACATCCGGACTAGCCGGCGTTGAACTTGTCGGTGTAGATTCGAGGGTCGAGTGGAGATTGGATTCGGATGGGAGGGTGGTCAACGGTTGGGCATCCATTCTTTGCGGACCAGATCCTTTGTCTCTTTCAAACAGTCTTTCTGTTTTTGGTTTTGGGCTTTTAGGCGCTTGGGATGGATCCGCGAGTGTATGCGTTGGAGAGTCCAGGTTGGTGATTGTGTTGGCAATATAAATGAAAGGTGAAAGGTAAAAGGTAAAATGTAAAATGTAAATGTCAGTGCTGGACACTGGATTAGGTTACACAGTTCAACAACTTGTGCTTCTGATTTGGTTTAAGAAAATTTCAGGGTTGTCTGGCTTCCCACGAGTTCCACGGGTGTTTAGTGTGGTATAGTAGGGAATCAGATGGAAGTTCTGGAAATCGATCTCTACTAGTCTTGGAGGTTCGTTGGATTCAAATCAGGCAAACGCAAACCACACCTGGAGCGGGGTTGGAGTTGTGGGGCCATGATTGGATCCGAGGTCTGGTTTATCTGATTCTCATGGGCTGGTTTCAATACTATTGAAGATCTTAATAACTTCAGCACTTTCGGGGTAAAGGATGATCCTGGCTTGAAGTCCTATATTTGTTCGAATGTTTTGAAGTGAAATTGTAGATTTGGGTCCAAGCACAAACCACTACATCCATGGATCGCGATAAGCTTACATTTTCCCGATCGCTTATCCATCCATGGATTGAACGAACATTCGCACGTTATCACAAATCTCAACTTCATTTGCATTGACCTTTCTCTCTACTACTACTGTAGTAGGCACCATCAAGACGTCACATATTTCCCCCATGCAGTCATAACGTTCCTCTCGATTCTGGCAGGTCAGGATTCCAAAGATATCAGACCCTTCATACTCCGTATCCCTGCATGTTTTATCCAGGATCAAGGCCCGGACTCTGATTGACGGATCATTAATCAATTTTCCTCTCCCTTCTTCCACAAGTCAAGCATTCACCCACAGCGATCGCCAGGGCGATCCATGCCACATGTCAGCCTCGCCAATAAGCACCCACCACAACTCGAAATAAACAAGAAAGATGAATCATAAGAAGAAAAAGGGTCCAGAAGGGCCAGCCAGGCTTACATACCCTATCGAGTACCCGAACTCCGAACGTGCTCACTGAAAACCTAGAGAAGCGACGAGTCTTTCCAGAGAACCCCGCATGACTGCACTTGCACTCGGAATGCGCCCTCAATGGCCGGCTGTTCCTTCCACACACACGGATCGCAGCTCGTATTGGATGGAATATCTCGGACAAAATTCTAGCCCTGTCAATTCTGGTCGCGTTTTAAACCCCCTAGACGAACGTCATGAGGGGAACACGAGAAATTTCCTCTTTGCATTTAGTCTCATTCTACCTGTGCATTTTGCTTGACTCTAGACTCTGGACTCTTATCTCTTTTCCCCCTAGACAAGCTGGGATTGTCTCACTTTTAAATCGCAAAGAATCAATTCGAGGTTGAAAATATATCCACCGTCCTTCTCATTGGCTTTTTGCTTGGTTTTTTTTTTCTCTCCGGTTCCTCGCAACATATTTCCTTCTGTCGCGTGCCCAGACTTGGGGTCAATCATCCCTGCAGTATATCCAAGCCAGACTGCAAACATTTGCGTCGCAGGAACACCTACGCCGGTCCTCTGGAAAGTGACAACTCGCATACAGGCAAGGCGCGCATGGCTCTACTTTGGATCTTCGTAGCCCTCGGGTATCTACTCCTGTATGCCTTTGCCGCCATACAAACCCAGGGATCGTCTGTGTTTGTCTTGCACCGGATCACGGCGTGATCTATCCATGTATTTATTATGTGGACCTCGGATACTCTCGACCAGAGGTAACGACCTCGTGCAGTGCATGCATTTCATGAAAATGCACGTAAGCTGCAAAATTGATCCAAGCTTGTTCGATTTGCAACCTTGCCTAGGAATGGGAACAAGTTCGATCCCATTCCAAGGTTACGATATCCAGCGAATCTTCACCTGTGATTCCATCGCTGATGACTTATGACCATTTACCGATTCCCGCTATCTACGATACCCCCACATGTGCAAACAACGCTTCAAAACATGACAACAGTTGCTGTATTTTGCAAACGCCCTTTTACGAAACCCCATGGAACCTCGAGGAGATGAGCAAGTTGCGTTCACTTCAGCAGGACAGTATCTGCATTTGGCTGGTTCCGTCTCGAACCCAACATCAATTGAATCGGTTGATGAGTGATGTACATACTATGTATTACGAATTTATGTTCAAAATGTTAAGATGTTTATGAGTGGCAGTTCAAATAGCACTTCAACCTTGGAAGAAATTATGTATTATGTAGCCGTGATAACCTTTAACCAGTGTTTACGTTGATTATCATCCATGGATCCGGACCTTTATCTTTGCGTTCAAATAGGCGTTGACGTTATTCAATGTTCCTCAGAATTAGGTAGTATTGATATCTTAGCTGACCAGCGTTCGCTAGTGATGAATTTTATTTTTGGTAGCGGGTGTCATAACATATTCAGTCGTAGATGGGGCAAGTTCCGTAAGCTCTCGCGTGAGTTATTTTTTGGAAAGATACCATCCAGAAAATCCCTGTACACGGGGCGTTTTGTGGGCAGCGACTGCTCCCTTGTCGCCTGCACATGTGTTCATAAACCCAGGAACTATTACAGGCGAAATATATAAGCGGCCACGTGCTGGAACGATAAATCTCCTGCATGTCATCTTATTCGTAAAGCGTTCGAGCCCGGTTTGAAGTGCAATTTCAATATGCATCTCCATTTGGCATATGGTCTAGAACCAAATCTTAATCAACTCCTCACTGACAGCACTAGGCGTCAAAACACCACTGTCGGTAATCAGGGCAGAAATCAGATGAGGAGGGGTGAAGTCGACAGAGTCCTCGAGAGGCAACTCGACGGGGCGGTCTGCATTTTGATCGACCGAGGATTGCGGTGTACTTTGTTGCGCGATATCCTCCTCGGTCTTGAAATCCACCACATGCTGGTCAATAGGGAGGTCATACTGGCCCAATGGGTACAGTCGAACAAACTTGTGGCTCTCAGCAACCGTGTAGAAGGGCTTTCCGATAGCCTTGGCGAGAAGTCCAATCTGGTAGGTGCCCATGCGAGACACGATACCTCCATTCTCCACAACGCCCTCCGCACCGACAATAACCATATCCGCCTTTCCAAGAGCATAGGCCACCGCGGACTCCGGGATAGTAGCGACCGGCACACCCTTCGCCCTCAATGCGCGCACTATTTCCATTCCCTCCGGTTCCCCAGAAGGTCCCTCAACGACCTTGCTAATCGAAGACAAGACATAGATGACACTAAAGCGCACAGCAGAGGGACCACCTTCCTCATCAGCCACCTGCTGCAGTAAAGATGCCACAGCTCGAGAACCACCATTTGTGAGTACCGTGCAGCCGTCACGGATGAATCCGCGGCCGAATGCGGCAATCTTCTGTCGGCTTTCCTTTGCGCGTCGAATAAAAAGTCGTCCGTTGGACAGCAAGTGTGTTCGGATAGCCTTAAAGTCTCCAGCAGGGCCCAGCTGGCCTGGTCGTTGTAATGTTGTGATCAGATATCGTTGGAAGAGATCGGTTCCGGCGGAGAGACCGATTGGGTTGGCAATAGCTTTTTTCAGATGCTCTGTGGACTTGGCGAGCAGATCAAGGGTCTCGGAGATTGTGGTTGACGGTTCGTGTGTGAGAAGTAGCACTAAAGCTTCAATGGCCGCAATGGGCATGGTAAGATCGGGATCGGAGCGCAGGAGCTCATTGTATGTCGCGACGATACTGCGCCACGGATGAGTACTTGCAATCTGGGCATATTGGGGGTCACTTACTCAAACGGCTTTGAAACAGCAGGCGCTGCCGTCCTCTCTGTGGGCGTCGACATGGCGTTAGGATTGGTGTACTTGCGTAGAGCTAAAGACGACGACACCAAGTTTAGATGTGGAAGAGTCACGATTTCTTTGTGCTGGTGCTATGTTTGACCTGTTTGCTCTTTGCTGCCCCTCCAGCAACGCGCTAAGCCCAATGCGGTCGGCCGTGCGGGCTTTCCTCTCCCAAGTAAACAATCAACTCCGACCACAACAACTGCCTCTTTTGAATTGTCGCAATCCTTCTGGCCAGAGCGTCAGGCCTTTTGACCTTATTCTAATTGTTTTGCGACTTAGAAGCAATGTCTTACAACAACCGCATGAGCATGGCTGGCTCTCAACAGCAACACAATCGCGGGCGCAAAAAGGAAGACGATAATGATGCATTGATGCGCTTGGTCAGTGGGACGCCCGATCAGACTCACATTCGAGCACCCGACTCATTGTGCATTTTTGCTAACCCGCCCCTAGCCTGATAAAGAGATTGCAGGATGCATCAACGATATTGGAATTCCATTCACCACCGCCGACCTCGCCAAACCGAACCCCCAGCAGATCCAGATGGTCTTCGAATGGTTTGCAGAGCTGCTCATGAATGTCACCCGTGAAACTGTCGAACCCGGCATGCATGCAGCTGCAGATGAAATCTGTGGAGACTACCCTGATATTGTCCCCAATGAGACTCGCAACCTCATGGGATTCTTCATTAGTATTCGGAGGCTGTTATCGGAGGTACGTCGCGGCATTAATCACGTTTCAAGGATTGCGGAGGATATATGGCTAACATACTACTATGGACAGTGTGGTGTTAATGACTTCACTTTTACCGACCTGACCAAACCAACCCACGACCGCCTAGTGAAGGTCTTCTCCTACCTTATTAACTTTGTACGGTTCCGCGAATCGCAAACTCCCAGGATTGACGAACACTTCAACAAAACCGAGAAGACAAAAGCACGTATCGACGAATTATTTGCCGAAAACCATGAAATGGAACAACGCCTGGCCGAGATGCGACAGGAACAACAAATCAACGAGGTTCAGGTACGCGAAAAAGTGGCGCGAAACGATGAGCTCAAGGCTCGGTTATTGGAACTCGGTCGGGAGCAGTCACGGGTCGCGGAGAACCTCGATCGTGTCAAGAATGAACGGGCACGGAGGCAACAACAGCTCGAGGAAAAGACGGAAAGGACAGTTCGAAGCCGACAGGAAGCTGAAAAGCTGCGCCCTTATGTTTTGGAGTCCCCGGTCACATTACAATCGTCTTTGACTGAATTAGCGGAGAATCTCATGCGGGAGAAATCCCAAATTGATGCAATGGAGAAGCGAGCACGCGCGCTCCAAACCTCGTCGGATTCCTTCACAGTGGTTTCAAATGATGTACAAGCATGCGTCAAGCTACTGGACGATATCTCTACTGAGATTCAAAAAGAAGATGAAGAAGAATCTCGTGCTGCTCGGAACAAGGAAGCCATCTCTGATCGGGGTGCTAGCGTACGAGAGGTTGAGCAAACAGAAAAGCTCTTGCAGCGTCAATTGGCTCGCTGGAATGAACGCATTGAACATCTCCGCAAGAACGCCCAAGAAAAGGCAGAGCTTGCACAAGCTAGGATGGAAGAGCTCCGAAACGTACAAAAGCAACTCCGAGAAGAACGCGCAGAGAAACAAAGTGACATGGAGCGGAGGCGGATCCGAATTGAGCAAACAGAGAAGAAGGTAAGTTTCTGGAACTGTGTTAATTTAAGAGTTATGCTGATTCATTGGTTCTACAGATGGTAGATCTCAAGGAGAACATCGAGAGCGAGATCCAAGCAGCCCACGATCAGTATCTCAAGCTTGAGTCACATATTAAGCTCTATATCACCGAGGTGGAAAAGTCCCTGTGAGGCTAAAGGCTTTGTGACGTTGTGTATGAATTCAGGAGTTCAGCGGGCGGCTGTAGGATACCCAGGCACATTATCTTTTTTTATTTGGAGTTTTCATATGCTAGCAGTCCTTAGCTCCTTTGGCCCACAAATCTATATCTGTTTCTTTTCATGTCCGAGTCTCCTCATCAAACATGAACCAGCGTTGGACAACTTGCTTGATTGACACGCAATGTCCGCCCCAATTCCCTTCACTGCGAATGCGCACTGAACCATTCAATAGTGGAATTTGGGTATCCCATAATTTCCCTCCCCACTCAGCGCTGGAAGGAATAACGGCATTGACACATTCACAAAGAAGTAAATCCATATCCGCACGAGAGGCTGCTTCGACAGCGGCAGCCAAAGTTCTCGACAGACCTTGAGCCGCAAACTCCATTGTCGTAGCATGTAAAGCCACAAGATCCAGAATTGCAAGTAATGGCCGTGGACTTGGACCCATCTCTGAATTTGTGACGCAACCGTCAATCGGATCCATTATAGCGAGATACGATCTGAGGCTCTCCAGCGATGCACAGAAAGTAAGTCGGATCCTGCCCGAGTGCGCAAGAAGGCCGATGCTCTTGGAGAGCAAATCATGGCGTGGTGAAACGCCTGGTTCAGATCGTTGTGAGCGGATAGCAGCTGAAAGCTGGACTAGAAATTCAGATCTAGTGCCACACACAATCAGGTTGACTTTTTTGTCGGTGTCCAGTAGGCGTTGTATCAGATCGGTCACCAGGTCGCAGAAAGCGACGGCCCGCAGGCCGCCCATGACGTGGGCTGAGTTGTGGTGCTTGTCACGGTAGTTGGCTCAGCTACCGCAGTAGCTATGAGCTTTGGTTCTGCTTGCACATTTGTATTCTTTATTTTGTGGCGGAATCCTGGAGTCAAGAAGAAGACCCAGAACTCAGATGTACGGTGGCTCTCTAAGGCGGTACGGAAAGCTTGGTTCTGTAACTTCTGTTATGGGCGGATGTCCCATCAAACCCAGCAGAGTCAACCCGACTACTAATTAAAAGGACATGGCTACCCCGACTCACCAGGTTCCAAATGGCCCAGCTACTCCTGTCTATATTTTGCGGGGCCACGGAGCCCCAATACACGCGTTGGATTTTTTCTCCCAAAACTTGCGGCTCGTCTCCGGAGACGCCAACGGGTGGATTGTTATCTGGGACTTGGTCAGCAAACGCCCCGTATCAGTCTGGAAGGCACACGCGGGCGCGGTGCTTGAAGTAAAAGGATTTGACGACGGTAATGGCGGGACACTAATATACACGTAAGATCCCTTTCTGGTTATCAGCAACATGTACATGCTAATCCAGGGAAAATAGACATGGCCGTGACCACAAGCTCTGTGTGTGGAATATCCGTGCGGGAGATGAAGATTTCCTCGATAAGTCTCTCCCAGTTGATGTAGCTGAAGGAAGAGCCTCGGAAAAGAGGGCCCAGCCATGGCTGCTTCATTCATTGCCTGTCAATGCGCTGAACTTCTGCGCCTTCTCCATGACATCCGTTCAAATACCGGTTGACTCGTCTTCAAATAATGCACAGACTGACCAATCTTCCATAACAAAAAACATCCTATTCGCAGTCCCCAACGCACTGGATTCTGGCGGAATCGATATCTTTCACCTCCCATCAGAGCTCCGCCTCACCACTATCGCGTCAGACCCTGCCGTGAAAACAGGCATGGTGATGGCCGTCAACATCTTTGTCGCTTCAACAGGCGATGTCTATGTTGCGTCGGCCTACGAAGACGGACATGTTATGGTTTTCGCTCACAAGGGACCTCTCGCCACGACTGATTTTGAGCGTGAGAACATTCTCTCCAAGCCATGGAAGTGGGAACGACTTTACGCTAGTTGCCCGCATAGTCAACCTGTTCTTTCGATCGACGTTTCTCCCAAACGTGACTGCTTTATCTCATCTTCTGCTGATGCGTTGATTATTAAACATCCTGTGCCGATGATTGAAGACATTCCTGTCATCAACTATAAGGAAGAGACACCATTAAAAACCATGAATACAAAGCATTCAGGCCAGCAGGGGTTGAGATTACGCAGTGACGGGAGAATTTTTGCGACTGCTGGCTGGGACAGCAGGGTGAGGGTATACTCGGGGAATACGTTGAAGGAGCTTGCTGTCCTGAAATGGCACAAGGATGGCTGTTACTCGGTCGCGTTTGGGGAAGTTGATCCATTATCACAAACTCTACATCCGGTCAAAACGGGGGGCCAAGAAACGTCTGAAAATGACGAGGGGAACCAAGGAAAGCTGGTTGAAAATAGGGGTCAATCTCTTGCAGCTCTCAAATATCAAAGAAGCCTAAAGATACGACAGAAACATTGGTTGGCAGCGGGGTCCAAGGATGGGAAAATTTCATTATGGGATATCTACTGAGCGAAAAAATGCTAATGCTTTTGTACAATGAATAAGATCAAGCCAGGTTGAATTCACTGGCACCGGCATGCTGTTCTCTCATCTTGGCTCTCATCTTCCGTGCTGCCTCATCGGCATTCGAAGAAGGCATGTCATCGGCCTTCCTCTTACCACCAGCAGGTCCATTCCGAGCCGCCTTGAAGTCCTTCTTCGTATCCTCCTTTCCTTGGCGTAGACCAGGCACATTAATCTTACCTGGTCGGTCACGAAGAGCAAAGGCCTTGGCAAGATGTCCCAAGTGAAGTTCTTTGATGTCGAACATGCTTCGCTCAGCAGAAATATGAGTCGCGTAAGCACGGACATGAGATTGGAATCCGCGACGAGCCATTTCCAGATACTCGGGGTTATCGAGAGCCCAGCGCTCAACATCCATCTGCCAGTCGGTGGTCTTCTCTTCCCAGTTCTTGCTTGTTGATTCGGCAGTGGCACCAAAACCACGTTTCAAGATTTCGTTCGCGTCGGTGCGGGTAAGGGCCTTGCCTCCGTCGCGGTAGCCACGTTTGAGGATCTCAACGTAGTTCTCTTCACAACCGGGCTGGAGGAAAATACAGGCACGTCCGTCGCGGCCCAAACGGGCGGTACGACCGATACGGTGAGTGTGATCGTCGGAACTGAACGCGGGATCATATTCAATGACCAAGTCGACGTTGGGAAGATCCAAACCACGGGAGGCAACATCAGTACAAATCATCACTGAGGCATCACTGCCCTTGGAGAAGGAACCAAGGGTGGCGGTTCGAACGTGCTGTGGCAGCGAACCGTGTAGTCGATGAATAGTGACGGGATTTGTGGGCGTGGAAAAGGACTCGGCAGGAGCAATAGTGCCATGAGGAGAGAGCTTCTCGCGTTCTTGCTTCTCTTCTTCTTTCAATTTTTCTTTTTCCTCTTCATCTTCATCATTATGTTTGGACTTTGGAATTCTTGTGCCATACTTTCTGGAGAATACCTCGAAGAGGAAATCGACCGAATCGGCACAAGAAACGAAAACAATCACCTTCATGACGGAACCTTTCCGAACGAATGTTCGTTTGAGGTAGGCAGTCAATGATACCAGACGCAGCTTCGCGGGCACAATAGCATAGGATTGCTTCAGCTGAGCTGGCACGCGGAAGGATTCCTCTGCATTGTCGGTGCGAGCTTCCCCATCCTCATCTGATGGGTCCGCCTTAATATGGATTGCATCCTTCAAACTGATCTCTCCTAGACGTTGTACGTTCATTTTCAATGTAGCTGAACAGAGAACTGTAGTCCTCCGTGTCGGAATACCAGGAATGTGGCTGGCCTGCTGTCTCTCGTCAAGCTTTTTGACGATACCCTGCAACTCCTCTTCGAAACCCAAATCCATCAAACGATCACCCTCGTCCAAGACCAGCCAACGCACATTGCTGACATCGAGAACTTGTGTGTTGAGCAAATGATCTGCCAGACGTCCGGGAGTGGCGACCAAGATATTGAGACCTTTCCTTAGACGAGCCTTCTCGGATTTCTTTTTCTCTCCACCAATCACCGTACCACAGACGAGCCAGTTCGCGCATCGCAGGAGGTTCTCCAAAACGACAGAAATCTGCTTGCACAATTCACGGGTGGGTGCAAGAATGATCGCGAAAAGACCACTATCTCGATGAACACCTTGTCTGTCTCGGTGAATACCCTCCTTCTCTGCCGCCTTCGAGAGATCCATGATTCGTTGGACCAGCGGAAGCAAATAAGCAAGAGTCTTTCCTGAACCGGTCTCAGCCTGAATGAACGCATCCGTCTCTTCCTTCAACAATTGCTCAATTGAAGCCTTTTGAATCGCAGTCGGTGCCTTCAGCTCCAGTTTGGTGAGCAAGTGTGCTGCCAAACTGGGCGACAAGCCCAGACTGGTAAAAGTATCGATACCATCAATCAAAGCAGCATTTGTCGGCTGCGCCTCTTCCACCACTTCTTCAGGTTTGGGCTCGTCGGCAGTTTTAGATTCCGGGTTGCTGGTGAAAAGCGAGGAGGCGAATTGGCCAGGATGCCGGCGTGGCTGTTGTTGAGAGTGTGATCGGTGGTTAGGCCGGCCGCCAGGAGCGGTGGAATCGTCGGTCCTTTGTCGCTTCGCGGGTCTGTTGAAGGTGGCGGGGATCTGAATCTTATTGGGGTTCTTTGAGTCCGCATTTCGTTGCCCTGGTTCACCATCGCCGGTGGGCTTGTGCTGGGAACGCTTCTTTGCTGAGAGGCGGGCCCGCCATGTTCCTCCCTTGAATTTAGCCTCGGGTTTAATCACATTATCGCTGAAAGCGAAGTTCAAAAGCATTCCATCGTCAGCCATGATTGCGAGTGGTAGTTCCCGTTGCCCGGGCTGTCTATTCTGGAGAGGAAAAAAATCGACGGGGAAAGATAAGTTCCTATCGCAACTTTTTTTTCTGCCGCCAAGAAATCGAATTATCTTGGACCGCCCTACACTAGTACTGCCATACCGCCTACTTACCGCTTTGGACATAGTACAGGCTGGACAGCATTGATGAAAAAGACCAGAGAAGGAAAAACAACGACAAAATTTATGTTGAAAAGGAAGGATAAGTTTGAAATGGAGCTTGATTGAGAATGTAGATGCAGATCTTTTGTGTTAATCTATACTGAAAATGGATGTAGACATATGAAGCTACGCGGGCGCCACACATAATGGATGCTTGTATAGTACATGTAACAGAGTACACATGCATAAAATAGAAATACAGTAATATGATTTTTGGTGTCGTCTACAAAGGCTTACACCCGAGGCTGGAGGATCAAGTTGTCAATCAATCGAACAGCGACTTTCCCATCACCGAGTCCACAGTCCTCGCCAGGGTTGGTCTCTTCTAGAGGCGCCATTTTTAGAGCAGCACTTAGGACTCCCCCCTTTGCTGAGTTGACAAGATCCAGCTCGTCTAAGGTCTCAGAGTCCGCCAGGGAGATATAGTCAACCTCGAATAGTGCTCTCTCTGACGACGAAAGGGCTTGCTGCTCAGCGAGCACCTTGTCCGTCACGCTTCGTGCTGCTCCTAAGATCTCTGCGCGAGATGTCTTGCCGGCGAGATAAGCTTCTTCGGCAGCCTGAAGAGCTCGGTAAATGGTCAGTCCTACAGCACGTCTGCGGTCGCCGAGATAGACATTGCGAGAACTCAGCGCAAGCCCACTCGTTTCACGGGTCGTGTTCACGATTCGAACCTCGGTTCCAATATGGAAATCCTGAACCATTCGCTTGATGACAACGGTCTGTTGTACATCCTTCTGACCAAAGTAGACTCGGTCTGGAGTGATCGCGTTGAAGAGCTTCATGCAGACAGTCGCGACGCCCCGGAAGAAAACTGGCCTGGAACCACCCTCCAACTTGGTTGCTAAGGGGGTAATTGTGACGAAAGAGCCATTCCCATCAATCTCCGAAGAAGGCGGAAGTGTCGGATACATCACCTGGGATGTAGGCGCAAAGATAGCCGTGATCCGACCCGCGCCTGCCCCGGAACTAGACCCATTATCTGCGGAGATTTGTGCGAGCTCTTGATTGAGTGCCTCAAGTTTCTCCACATCGCTATCCCAAGTACGAGGGTAGCTGGATAAGTCCTCATTGACTCCAAATTGAGTAGGGTTGACAAAGATGCTGACAAAAATGTCGGTGTTTTCGCGGGCAGCTGCTCGAATTAAGGAAACATGTCCTTCATGGAGGGCTCCCATTGTGGGAACAAAGCCAACCGTGCGATCATTCTTTAGTAGATTCCGGCGCAATTGGCGCATAAGAGGAACGTCGCGGAAGACTTGGAAGGATTCGGGTTGGCGGACTTTAGCGGCAGCAGTCGTGTCGGCAAGAAGGGACGATACCGCCGTAGCTGTGAACCGAAGAGAGGAGTAAGTAAAAAGTAATAGAATTGATGGGGTATCAATGTGATTCCAGACGTACAAGAAAAAGACCGCACCCCCTTCACCAAACGAGACATGATGCAGATGTGGATAGTGAGCAAGTGACAGCTGCTTTTGAAGTTCCATAAAGAATTTGGCTTGACCAAGCAATCAAATCATGGGTCCCGCATTCACGTGACTTTAAACCTCGGCTCGGGCTGTGGCTTGTGGCTTGTGGGGAAAAAGGCCCGTGATTCGTGAAGTACAGTAAGTGCAATTTCCGGGGTCGATCGCCCCCCGTTTTGTTGGTATTATTGCTTGAAGCTATGGACTGTCCCGCACCTTTAGCTCCGCTCTCTGTTTCATTCATCCCCCGAACCTAACTTGTGTCATCTAATGGACCATATCTCCAGCTTGTGATCTAGAAACCTTCCTTCCTCTATCGCGTCTCTGAGACGTGAACACCCAAAATGCCGCCCTCTAAACCGCCTATCGATGACCACTCCGCTCCGGACCTGGAGATTGTTGGAAGCCAGCTTACTATTCACCCATCTGGCTTCACAGGAGGACCTGGAGCTCAAGATGAGCAAATTACTGAACGAAATCTTGTGCGCCACATGGCCCGTTTCCGCGAGAACCCCTTCGAGTTCCTTCGAGAAGTGAGCCTGTACATGTCTGGAACAGGCTGGCGCGCATACGACGAACCTATTGGTCAACCGGTGTTTTATTCGGGATTCTCCGAACGAATGAAATCTTCTATCCTTTCGAGTAAAATGCTCCAAGAGAAAATACGGGAGTTGGCATCAACTCGATTATCAGTCGAGGAGAGCGAGGGGCTGATTGCGATTGTCGAGGGTCACACACTGGATGAGAAGCGGGCTCGCCGACGACACGATATTGAGACTAGTCTTCGGGAAGTGGTGGACAAAATGATGGACGACATGATTTGCAAGATGGAAAGCAAGAAGTTTATTCGAGGCGCGTACTACCTGTGCACGCAACTTCTCACGCGGGCCTACCACCAGGGCATCCATGTGTCGAGTGAAGAAGTCCTGCGATTGCGCTCAGTTGCTGAGACCGCTGCGAAGAAAAAACAATCCATTGTTTTCTTGCCCTGCCATAAGTCTCATGTGGACTATGTTTCCCTGCAACTCATTTGCTACCGCCTTGGTATCGGCCTCCCAGTCGTTGTTGCAGGCGACAACTTGAATATCCCACTTTTGGGGCCTTTCTTGCAGCACGCAGGTTCGTTTCTGTACTCTCCCTAGGCTTTATTCTCCGCTGACTTTTCTAGGGGCAATGTGGATTCGACGCAGCTTTGGAAATGACCCACTTTACCATACTGTTGTACAGGCATACATCGACACACTTCTCACACAAGGGTTTAACTTTGAATGCTTTATCGAAGGTGGTCGTTCTCGCACAGGAAAGTTGCTTTCGCCGAAATTCGGCATTCTCAGCTTCATCGTCGACAGTGTGCTGTCGGGACGGGTGGAAGACACAATAATTTGCCCAGTCAGCACACAATATGACAAGGTTATCGAAACTGAGTACGTGAATATATGCCTCAAATTAGCTACTGCGATTCTAACATCAATCTAGGTCTTATATCAGTGAACTTCTGGGGCAGCCTAAACAGAAAGAGAACTTAGCTGATCTTCTCTCGTCATCGTCTGTTTTGTCTCTCAAATTAGGAAGAGTGGACGTCCGCTTTCACGAGCCGTGGAGCTTGCGTGAATTTTTAGGCCAGCAGATTACGAGGCTCAATATGTCAGATATAGGTTCTAACCAGAAGCTAGCCCACGAGGAGCGTGGGCGAATTCTGAGGACTCTTGGTTACCGAGTATTGTCGGAAATCAACGATGTCTCGGTTATGATGCCAACTGCGCTTGTTGGAACTGTTTTGTTGACTCTCCGTGGTCGCGGAGTCGGTAAAGGCGAGTTGGTGCGACGGTTGGACTGGCTCAGTGAGCGTGTACGGGCCAAAGGTGGCCGGGTCGCTCATTTCTATCGCTCGCCAACTGAGATGGTCGTCGATCGAGCTCTTGATGTTCTAGGCCCGAAGCTTGTTGGCGAAATCCCAGGGTTGGCCGAGCCAACTTATTATGCCGTTGATCGCTTCCAATTATCCTTCTACCGCAATATGCTCATCCATCTCTTCATCACAGAGGCTCTGGTGTCTGTTGCTATGTATACAAAGATCAAACAAGGTGGCGGGCCTGCCAACCAGCGCATCGGCTACGAGGCCTTAAGGAGCCAGGTGTCATTTCTCTCTCAGGTAAGTGGCCTAGGTTCTCACTCACCGCGATGCTCATCTAACAGAATATCCGCAGCTCTTCCGTGGGGAGTTCATCTTCCCTCCCGAGGGTCTAGCAACCAATCTCGAAAATACATTGAATTGCTTGGAGACTGACGACGTCATTAAAATTACTCGTGACAGCTCCGGAACTCCAGAGTATGTTGAGTTGAGTGAGACGGAACGCCTGTGTGGCCGCGAGAACTACGATTTCTATTGCTTCCTGATTTGGCCATTCATTGAGGCATCGTGGCTCGGTGCTGTATCTCTACTTGGCCTCACACCACTTCTTGATGGCCCCAAGGAGATCTGGGTCAATGTCAAGAAGACACAGGATGGTGCACAACTTGTGAGTGACAATCAATGTCTTGAATCCGTGAATAGAGCCTGATTGCTAACCGTATCCAGCTTGGAAAAACGTTGTATCACCAAGGTGATCTGTCTTATTTTGAAGCAGTCAACAAAGAGACACTCAAGAACTCATACCAGCGATTTGAAGAGGAAGGCATCATTCTTGTTGCCAAGACCAAAGATTCCAAAGCTGGCCCGACCCTCAGACTTGCTCCAGAGTGGACTCCAGAGAGAGATCCTCATACAGGTCAAGTTCTGCCTCACGGCCGGCTATGGGACTTTACTGAACTTATTGCTCAGTCACGTCGTGAAGGGTGAGTCTTTCAATCTTCCTTTAATATTGAACACTTTCTAATTACTGTGCGTAGCAAAAATCGCCGTGATGGTGCCACTGTCTCTTCGCGAGTCTTGACAATGTCTGATCTTGTCGGGCGACAACTCTTCCAGAACGCCGCAGCGCCAGCACCTACCGATATTTCGTCAAAGCAAATGCGCAGAAAGGCTATTGCCACGGACTCAAAGCTATAAGTGTCCATCGATTTGAGTTTCTGCTATTCTTTGGCTCTCAAGAGCTTCGCTACCACTAATATACGGCTATGACGGGTCGATGCTGTTCATAATACGATACCCCTTCACCATTCGGTCCGCCAGTCGTATACTAAAACCGTGGACTGATTGTACATAAATTAGCGTTATCCGTCCGTTACGCAACATTTAAAGTATGCGAATCAATTCTTTGATAAACATTTATCCAGAAATATACACAACACAGCAGAGCTGGCCAACTTATATAAGTTCAATCACTGACGTCGTCTATATTATAATCCTTTATAGTTGGGCGCGAAAAAGATTCACAAAGGCCCGTTCAGCAGCCTTGGCCTACAGTCACAGTAGCAGACTTTGTACCATCGCCCGCGCCACCGACAGCCTCAACGACGATCGAATCACCCTTGCGAAGCATATCAACAAGAATTGCAGTCTCAAATCCATTGTTGACAGCAGTAGCCTTGAGTTGAGAGCCCGAGTGAATCTTCCACGACTGCACGTCTGTAGCTCCATTCCAGCTCACATACACCATAGCCGTTTCACTACCACTGACAGGACACGCCACCACGTCGGGCTTCGTAGAAGGATGGCCGACCCAGGGGTAGCGGTATGCACGATATGTTTGCATGGTATTATCATAACCGAATCGTGCGCGCATCACAACGCTGCCATTCTCATCGTACTCCTCAATCTGCGGTGTTGCACCATGATCCTGGAGGACGTGACCATTTCCAAGCGGCTGGTAGCTACCCTGCGACTGGGCATATACCGGCGCAGCGGCGTCCCACATTCTACGCTTGAGGGTGACTTTCTTTGAGCCTTGGAGTTCGACATCCAGTACCATGCCTGTCGTTAAGGAGGAGCTTCCCGTGAACTCGGTGTTATCGTTATTGTGAAGACCGATTGTCACGCGCTCGGCACTTTGCGATTCGAAGCGCGCATCGTGTTGGTAGCAGAAACTGGTGTCGAGGCTGAGGTTGAAGTCTCCACCGGTGCGGCCCTAGGAATTCGTTACGTAAGTAGATTTCCATTTGAAAAGAATGAGGTAAGTAAGCAACTTACGTTCAGGTGCCATTTAATGCTGCCATCGGACGCCAAGAAGAAGAGAGTGCACATATAGCGTGAAGACACAAGGTACGAGTCCCCGTACTTGGCAATGGAGTTGAGATGAGGATACCCCCACGGGTCGGTCTTGCTCACACCAGAGCCAGCACCGGTCGCTCCGAGAGGAGCAACAGCCCAGCTCATAGGAAGCTCCTTGAGATGCTCGTATGCGCTCCAGCGAAAGAGGACCTCATTGGTTTTGATGTCGATCTCATAAACCAGACCATCCTGGATCCAGCCGTCCTTGGGACCCCCCACGGAAGTCAGATCAGCCTGCGTAACATTGACAGCAGTGACCAGAATCGTTCCGTCGTCCGTGAGCTGGCTCTCATGGATATCGATGCAAGAGTCAAAGGACTCCGAGCCGTAGATAGTCACGAAATTCTCGGCCTTGCAGTCGACAGTTACGCGGTGGATCTCGTCATACGAGCTGTTCAGGATACTAATGTGTCCGAAGCCGAAGCCTTCGGCAACAAAGCCTTCCCAGTAGACGATGACCGACTCGTTGTTTAGCTCCTGGGGATGCAGGGCAGAATAGTTGCCCTTGGCTCCCTGCCACACCAGTTGTCCGTCATCGCTGTAGATTGTGGGGTATCCGTCAACGCGTTCGATATCATGTGGTGAGAAAAAGAGGAAGCCGGGCTCAGTTTGGCCCATCTTTGTCACATTTAGGAACGGTGTCTCGATTGAGGAGCTCTTGTATGTTTGTAGCGGCCATAGTGTCTGCGCTGTGGAAACACCAACAAAGCCCGCAAGAAGTGCAAAGGCTTGAGGGATTTGGGCTAGCATGGATCGGCTCATGGTGGCAGAAGAACTTTTCTACCCAATTACTCCTTGACTATACTATTCCTTGTCAAATGAAAAATGAGAATCTAGAAGTGGAATTCGCTTCATCTTATACTCCAGCCATCATCCATTCATATTGTTCCGGAAGCCCACACATCTGTGGGCCCTCATCTCCCCGCATTTTGGCAATAGGAAACTCTCACATCACGGTAGATATTCTCGGTAAAATGAGCTATACTTTCTCCGCATTTTGATCAGAGAAGCTACTAGGTACTGGAAGCGAGGACCTTGGATGCGGAAAGGCTCCGGGGAAGAATCCCCGCACTGAGTTTGTTCAGTGTTAGCGCAGGCTATAGTTCTTTCTTGGCCTGTCATTTCTCTGGTCATCACAGCTATGACTACATCAGCCACCGGAGCTCACCGTTCTTTGAAATCTTATGCCTCATACTCCTGGGAATACTAATGGCATGCGTGTCAGAGATAGCTACATCGAGCAGGGCCTATTTGAATATATTGACCATATGTATTCATACAATCAATCCATCTCAGCCAATCCAGAGAAACGTTATTTAGAACAAATATGGCTTTGCGAAGACCGTTTATGCGGGACATATCACAAGTCCACATTTAACTTGGTTTTTTCTGTTTTCCCCTGCACCCGTCGGATAAGCCGACGTCATTAAAAGCTCCCCAGAACTGACTTCAAAGGAATAAACATTGTGCGGAAATTTTCCAATGAAGACTACTAGTAATTTGGCGGAATGATACCTGAGAAGAGAATTCTTTCCTCCTCGGGCTTGTGGAAAGTCTCCGATCTGTTGAGAGATTGAGTATTTCCCTTGGCCAGAAGCAAACATCAATTGATGCCCAGCCTTCGTATCGCTGTGGGGCGAGACTCAAGAGGGACGAATAGTGGGGAATCCGCAGCGATATTTCCGAATTTCCCCACGAAATGAAGTCCGGGGTAATTGCCTTGCCTCGATTTGCCGAGTATTCGAAGATGCCCACCAGAATTTGGCAATGAGAGATTCGAAAAGGGACCGACTGACAAGCCAAAAACGTTTGCTAGATGACGCTAAGAGGCTTCATCTCCACTGCTGGACAATCCATTGGGGTTTTCTGTGAGCTGTTGAGAAATATGAGAGTTGAATGGGGGAATGGCCAATTAAACTCTCACTTCCGGCAGTGATATCGGCAATTATTGCTTGTCGGTTAGTCTTCCCTTGACACATGTGAGGGGTCACAGACTTACAGCGTCCAAGTCGTTTTACAGAACGTGCTTTCGATCGTTCACATTTGAAAACTGCAGCTTTCAGCTACACATGTGCACGGTAGGGCGGCTATTCCGAGAAAATACGCCACGGGAAATATGAGAAGTCTACTAGTTATTCCAAGTTGTACTGCTCATAATCCCGTTGAACTTTCTATGTACGCGACCTGTTGCTGTTTCTTTATTACCCCAAATCAACATGTGCATATTAATTATTGTGTTGAGCAATATTGACATGAAAAATCTTACCATTGTCTACTACTAAAAGCCTTGGAAACCCCTCTGTTCCTTTAGATCTGTTGGAAAATGAGGTTCGAATAAAGTTGTACATCGAGTATGGCGAATTTGGCGTTGATATGACGAATTTAGCCAAGCCAGCCCTGGGGCAAGGTGCTCACAACTTCGCAACTCAAAATCAACGAGACCTGGCCATTCAATATTTTAACAAAGGCAGTGAATGAGTTAAGTATTTCGCATTCTACGAAATTGCGCTTCATGATCCACTTTCGTTGTACTGCTAGCAACCTACGGAACCTTGTTTAAATTGATCTGTGCAATCAACCACCATCCATCGAGTAATGTAAGAGTATGTAATGAATACTTGGCACATCTCTGCACATGTGGTCTTGCGTATATGTAGGAAGTACTGGTCAACTCAAATGTTAGATCTAGGTCACATCAAACTTTGGAATTTGTTGCCTCATCTGGTCAACTGGTAGTCATTTATATAAACATCTACTAGTAACTAATCTTCAAAAGTCATTATTCACTTCAATGTTCCATTTCTCCTTTAAAATAATTGATTAAGCTAAAGCCCGTGCGGCTTCAATGTTGGTACGAAGCATCAATAGAACGAGACTCTAACAGGCTCTCAAAACATGCATGTTCATACATATGTATCAATTGATATTTTTTCTAATCCAAAATCTATTTGAAGAATAACTACTTCTACCCTGAATGTACAACACTAAGACCAATCACAGATGGAAAAGTATGTATGTATATTGTAGAAATCCAGATCAGTAGACCTTGAAACCACCCGGCATCAAAGTCTGGAAGACGCCATTGGGATCGTACTTCTGCGCAATCTTAATCAACTTCTGGTGGTTACCCTCACCGTATCCAGGGAACATGGACTGGAATCCAGCCGAGTCACCCATGTAGTTGAACGCATCGTACAAGCCCGCCTTCTGGGTAGCATTGTTGATAGCGTAAGTGGTCTCCTCAACCCACGACGCAACGATGTCATCGTAAGCCGATCCGATCCACTCAACGACCTCAGCGTAGCAGAGGTACACCTTGGAGGAATCCAGTCCCAGGGCGTTTCCGCCGCGGACCTCAGAGGCCTTGAGCCAGTCGGCGCCGATGGGCTGCCAGTCCAGCTGGATGGTGGAGATGTTGGCGGATGGGATTTGCGCGTACAGCTTGGGCAGCTGGCCGAAGAAGGTGGTGTTGATGATGCTGATGCCCTGGTAGAGCTCGGCGTAGGTAGTTCCCTTCACGGTTCCGGCAACGAAGACATCGCTACAAGTCGTTAGTTAGTTTTGTGTGATCAAACGCGAGTGTGATTATGGTGATGGGAGTCGGCACTTACTTGATGCCATCAACAACCTCCTCGCCGGTCTCGGCGGCGAATTCCGCAACGGTCTTGAAGGCCAAAGTGCTGGCCTCAGCGGGGATGTCGGTGAAGGGCTTAAAGATCTCAGGGAAGGTGGCGTTGTCGCTGTCGTAGAAAAGGATCACGGATGCCAGGGTTGAGTCGCCGGGAACCAGCGCGGGCACAATGTGCGTCTTGGCATCGTAGATGTTGGACGCGTATGTTGCGATAGCCTGAATTCGTCAGTGTGCTGGGTTTTGGGTGGTCGGGGATTTGAGTTGACTTACTGCGAGGAAGCGGTCGACGTATTGAGCCGCGACGGTGTAAGAGCCAGCCCACACCTTGCGCGACGGAATGGTCTCCATGTCGAAGCGGGTGACTAGTCCAAAGTTGCTGCTGCCTCCCTTCAGGGCCCAGAACAGGTCCGAGTTGCTGGTGGTGTTGGCCTGGACGAGAGAGCCGTCGGCCAGAATAACCTCATAGTTGACGACGGTAGTGCAAGCAAAGCCGACCTGGTTACCGTAGAAGTTGACACCTCCAGCGAGGAGAAGACCGGGCACACCGACGGGGCCAAGACGACCACCTGCGGCGGTCAAGTTGTATTTGGCAAGGTAGGCGTAGACATCAGACCATCTACCGGGAGTCAGCGTATTGTTCCGTGCACAGTCAGGGTCCTGGGGAGCAAGTATAAAATATTTACCTGTAAGCAGGGCCGACCGAGACAATCGACTTATCATGACTCAATTGCAAGGTAGTCAGGTTGGACATGACAACCAAAACTCCGCCATCGATGTTGTTCGAGCCCTATTGAAAAGTCAATATCCTCGATTCCATTGTTGTATTTGGAGCAAGGTATCTTTGCTTAGCGTGCAGCTTACCCGAATACCCATGTGGCCGCCACCACGAACAGCGAACTCGGCATCGGCAGCAACAAGCGCCTTGAGACCCTCGGCCAGCTCAGCACTGGACTGGGGACGGAACACACATCCCGGCGACAGAATCTCAGTGTTAGACCAGAAGTTCTGGGCTTCGTAATCGTAGACAGTGGACTTGGGCAGGAACACCGCATTGCCAAGGGGCTTCTGCAGCGCCTTGCATCCAGCCGCGACAGACGGAGAGCTCCTAGCCAGCTGAGCCTCGGCTGCGACCGTAGACGCACAGCCCACCAGGGCCAATAGGAAAGATGCGACACGCATGATGCAAATTTGTCGGTTGAAACTTGAATGTGATCAAGGAAGACAACCGGGCAACATGTAGAGGAAAGAATCCAAGGTGACAGTCAAATTATTTGGCCCGAGGGTGTTCCCACCAACGGGCATTACTGGAATAGGTATCCTCGCCTGGCGACGACAAGACTAAGCCTAGTGGCCGTCTAGCCGGTTTAGCCTTCGGTGTTTGGAATGAAAACCAGGAACGATTAGGCCCCGTGGGCGTGGGGCATCTTCCACTTAGCGCGATTGTAGCGCGGGACAGAAACCGTGGAAATTGGAATTGGATTTCAGATATCCGTGCTCCGTACGGAGTCCTGCGTGCTCTGTCGATATCTGGAGTTGATCATCAAAAAGCAACAAGTTGAAAAGAATCACATAGAGTTTTCATGACTCGTGAACAAAACTACAAATTAAAGTTAACCAAGATTTGAATGAATCGTGTGTTGTTAAGACGCCACCCGCCAATAATCGAGTTTCAGGGGTTTGTTTTTTTCTTCAGTTCGGATCCACTATTTTGTATAGAACTCTATCAATCTGATTATTGATGTTCATTCCATGGATGTTAAGCTCGTCATACTTGGTTCTCTTGTTGATCATTTAAATGCGTTTTCATTATATTTAAAATGTACAAATTGTACCCAGAGGGGGCAAATCAAATTAAGAGAGAATATACTAGTAAGTCTTCTATACAATCATGGTACCGCACTGGATGAGGATGTGTTCTCTATGTCAAACTCAACCGTCCGAATAATGCCATCCAGCTCTTTTGGACCACCGGTATTATCCGGGGATAGTATATGCTCTTCGCTATCATTATCGGGGGCATTGCGAGATGTGGTGAGCGTGGTGGAATAGTGATTATCGCGGTTCGAAAAGTCAGGTTGCCCGCTCCGAGGCAATGAGTTTAACGGATGTACTTGCTTTCGGGATTGCGATCCGTAATAGTCGCCACCGGAGGATAGACCGAGGAGACGGGGGAAGTATCTTCGGATAAATGGTCGTATGGCAGTGACAGAGCCACCAAAGATTCCAAGGTTAAGTTCGATTGCGCACCACATAAGCGCGTCGGTGGTTGTCCCTAAATATGATCAGTCAATCCATATTCACACCCGAAATGGGCTGCAATGTTCTTACAAGTAAGATCAACACTAGTCAAAAGTTTATATAAACTAACAAGGCGGATGCAGCTAACAATCCCAACACTATATTATTGTTAGAAGTAGAAATACCATGGAGCGAATTCTGCACTTACGAGCATCCCATTGCTAATATCGCACAAATAGCGATCTTCTGTCGCAATGGCATTTGTAATCGACGGATCCATGGACTGCAAACAATCTGATTAGCCCCCATAGTAACCCAATCATTCAGCACGAAACATACATCGGAACAGCGACAGTCGCAAAGTCGGTAAAAATGCCCAAGCCGGCATTGGCGAAGTAAAAGACAGGTCGGTTCATACAGTATCCAGTTGTTATTGTGGAATCCCAGGATTTGGCAACTGGGTGGCAGCTGAGAATGTTGGCCAATACACTGGCGATACTATATCCCGCCGCAATAAAAACGAGCGTCCAGACAGCGATATGGAAATTGCGACTTGGGAAGATTCGGAGGTAAAAGATGAGGACGGAACATTTGGTAAATCCGGTTGCTGCACAGTAGAAGATGGCGGCGATGAGATTCAGCTATTTGGTATTATAGATTGATAGATTAGTGATTTGTGGAAATAACCGCAAGAATGTAAGCGACTTCACCAACCTTGTTAAACTCCGGTGAGAATTCGCTCAGCGGAACATCCCACATGTGCTTTCCCAGTCCCCAATTGAGCACTGATAACGTCAGCTTTGCACCATTACATGTGCTTGATGTCAGCATCTCTACTTACTCTCTAGTGTCACTCCGCTCAGAACGCATGATAAAATCTGCCAGGGAACATGTTAGGAGTGCTATTGAGATTCACCAAGTTTTAAGGTGGGGATCGCATGACATACAAGAGCAATCACCATTAAATCTAGAAAATAATGTTAACTCAGCTCCAATATTTTTTGGGGAAAAAAAAAACCGGCAGCACTCACAATCATCGGCGCGAAAACTTCGCACAACGAATAATCGCGTCCATGTTCGTATGGCGAGACCAATGATGGCCAAGGGTAGAAATACACAGTTCACCACTAAAAATTTGGTGCCGACATAGTCCGGGTCAACGAAATTGGATGTCAGACCAGCGGGTGGAGGCGAGGCGGGGGTAATAGTGTCACTGGCCATTGCCCTGGCTCAGTGACGGAAGCTGTCCATCCGCAAGGGAGCAGAAAGAAGAGGTGAAAAAAAGAGAGCGAGCCAGCGACAGAGAACCTAACAGGGGAAGGATATAATAAAGGAAAGCCGAGATTGACGAAAAGGGCTGGAAATCAGAATCTATGGTTCTTGAAATGTCAAGCGTCATCAAAGTTTTCTGGAACGCTATGAGAAAGTGACCATTGAACCTTCAGCATCAAAGTACTACCAGTCTCATTTTTCCGGCTGTTCAATATACTCTGCACTTGTGTCTCACGTGTGGAGACCTGATCAATCCCCACTTGTTAAATCCGACCGGATTACACCATCCGTTCAGGAAAAGGCCCGTTCGCAGACTATCGATCCTTTGGGCTTAGGCAGATTGCCCGGAGACTTTTCCCCCTCTTGTGTGTTTGGAGATGTATGGTAACCGCGCGGAAATGACGGGAATGCGAACCTCGATACCCAGAGAATGGCGGAGGTGAAGGGAAGAAAAGAGGAAGTCCTTGGTGCCCTTGGGAGAGAAGACATTGGAGGAACGAGGAATATGTATGCATCAAACAAGGGATGCGAACCACAGCAAATCGTGGACGGAGCCGAGGAGCGTTGAATTGGCCGAACGACTTGATCAACAAGCTCAATAAGGAAGGGATTGACGCGCCATGGAACTCTGGAGCCATTCTTTCGATCGATGCGAGTCCGTGTTCTCCGCTTTCTTTCGAAGTTCGAACCCTATTCCCCACACCATCCCAGTTGTTGACAATTGATTTTTGCTTTGGGGAGGACATTATTGATCCACGGCGATCTTCAGCTATATTATGTCGGTGCACTCCGATCAGTCTCGAACCTCCATGACGCATCGCACTGTATCTTGGGCAATTCTTGGTTCAAAGTACGAATCTTGAAGAGAAATTTCGGAGTTGACAAAGTGACAAATGATTTCCAGAGGTGGGAGGCCTAGGAATGGGTTGAAATGGTTGAGAAAGACTAGGCTAGCCCTCAAATTTGGGAATCAAAGTGCTGACAATGTTCCCTCGTGTGAGCCGATTGCTTCCAGAATTGTTCCTTAATCAAAATAGGTACTTTGTGTCAAGCCAATATCCAGGGGTAACATTTGGAAGACTTGATTTCCCCCAGATCTATTCGTGCCGTGTGGCGTTTATTGATTCATGGTTGAGATAATTCGGTGGTGGAGAAGCAACTCTATTGCAAGATCATCATTTATTGAAAGAGAAATCAGAAAACTGACAGGGATCCCATAAAGTGCATTGTTGCAACTATTGTTCGTGGCAGCTACTTCATACATACTATTTACTAGTACTGAACCTGAATCGGCCACCAGTTGGTCCATGCAAAGTGAGACCCCTCGAACTTCTCAAGGTTAACTTTCCATTTGAAACCGGCTAATTCTGCTGAACCAAGGAATCTTTCATTGGGTTGTTTTCTTTTTTTTGCTTCTGTTTTCAATGTTGCCTTCGTCCCCCCTTACCCGGGAAAAGCATTAACCCCATGTGCAATTCCTATGCAATTGTAATGAATGCATCCCCAATGGCCCCCAATTACTACAATGCACTGCAGCTCCACTATCTCGACTGGCATCGTTGGTCAAAGTCTAAAGCCGAACGTGGCTGTTTTAGTCCGCAACACACGCTCGTGGAAATTACATTTCGCTTCCATGGTCGTATTCGAAGTTTGCCGGGATAATGACTGCCGTGAAGCCAAAATAGAATGGCGCAGATTGTTCGCCAGGGGGTGAAGATTCAGGAGTCACTAATGTATACAGAGAGATGTGGAATGTGGGAAATTACGGACTGACAAGTGTCATATAGTGGCTTGTGACTGCCAATGTGTACTCCATAACAACTTGAACCTAGTACGGAGTACGGAGTACACGAATGAGACTTACCGAGTACCGAAAGACATGTTCTTGCATCCCAAAGGCTTGGCCATGCCAGGATGATCAATCGGATCCGAACCCCTCATTGGACAAGCTTGAAGTTGCCTCATAAGGCTCATTGGCCTAGGCTGTTTCAAAAGACTCTCATTTTTCGGTTTTTTTGCCCAAGAGCCGTTGTGTACACCGTTATCCTGAATTCTCGGCCAACTCTGTACCCTGTTTCTCAACATTCAGTGCGTTCATGACATTCATTTGGGCTATATCTCCGGCCTTGCCTAGGTACTGGGATATCACGAGCTATTCGAATCTACTATTGCCACCTTGAACCCAGCTTACTGTCTGCATGCTCTGCCGATATTGGGAAAATTGAATTTTCAGCGAGACAATCACAATTTCTAGCCTGTCGCTACCCTGTTCGAAAGGGATAATGGTCGAACCTTGTTAGTTCCTCAATTTCAACAACTGAAGCCACATTTGGAGGAAAAGATGGAATATGCAAGATATGGCTTTTTAGGTATGGAACTATAGCTCCTCAATGCTAGTTTGAAACTTGACAGACGGACCACATAACGACACCGATGACAAGATATAAGAATGGCCCAAAATAGTGAGCACATACACCCCCGCACATGAAAGCGAGGTTGAATATGAGAAAATCAAATCCCAGAGGCCCTGGCATGAAAAAAGGTGGAGATTGGAGGAGCAAAGAATAGAAAGGAATACGGGTATTATGTTCAAATGGATACAAGCACCGTGCTGTGCTCACATTTGCATCCGCTCGTCCCCATCCACATCTTCGCTTCCGCCCAGTGCTCCACCGGGTATCCGTCCTTCGCTGAGCTCCTTCTCCAGTCGTGTAATCTCGGCCATACTCTTTGCCTCGCGAATCATCTTCTCCACGCGCTTCCGTTCCTCGTCTGTGAACTTCACCCGGATGGCCTTGTCGGTTGAGGTGTTGTTTGTCGCTGCGGCTATCGAGGCATCGAATGTGTTGGACTTGATGCCCTTGATCTTCGACGCGAGGGCGGATTGCTCTTCAAAGGTACCGAAGAGCTCCTTTGCCTTGGCACGCTCCGCATCCTTCACTTTCTGGTAGTCGAAGAAACGAACGGAGGGAACCAACCAGATAACCCAGTATCGGTAGTTCTGTAATTGGCATGTGTTAAAAAAAAAAAGAGCAAGGCGTCTCTAGGTCTTTATTGAAACATACCTCTTTGCGTGTGACGGGGTTATCAAGCAGAGTGAGATGTGTCAAGTTTGTGAGAGTTCGAAGCGAATCGAGATCCGCAAGCTCGGATAGGTTATTGGAGGAGAGAACCAGAGTTGACAGATTTGGCACTGATGTGCCTAAGGATGGCTGGATGTGACTGATCCGGTTGCGCGCCAGGAGGAGTGTGCGAAGGCGAGGGAAGAGAGGGAAGTTTCCGAGCGATGAGAGGTCGTTGTCGGTGAAATCAATGGCATCTTGGTCCTACAGGTCCATCGTCAGCACATGACTCCTTGCCAATTTTGTAAAAATTGAAGCGTAAAATTCCTTGAGCTTCAGGAAGTGGCATTGAATGAATCGCAGGAGATGGGCTCAACTCACTTTGGCAATACCCAGGTTCTCAATTGCGGGGATCTTGTGTCCTAAACAACGCGACGCAGAAAGACGATGTAAATGCAGCTCTTTTTTCAAAAGTGTAGTATCTGTCCCTTTCAGGTAGATCTGTGATAGTAGAACGCACCTCTAAGATCCAGCTCACGGTCTGTAAGAGGATTGATGTAGGAAAGGGAATGCTGGATGAGCTCGACGGTCAAACGCATGGCGGCGGTAGCTGAAGTCGAATTTGAGGGTCGTGGGCAAGTAAATGGGTCCGGGGAGGAAGTGCTATCACGATAACATAGGCCAGCTGATGTACCAAGGAGCTGAATCAAGCAGAAAGTCAAGGGAAAGCTCAATGGATGAGAAGGCCTGTCGCAAGTTTCTCTAATCAAGACTAGCTTGGACCGCAGCCCTTTCTGCCAGGCGGTGTATCCATATGCCATTCATGTCACGAGACCTGGCCAGCCTCTAATTCTACAGTCTACTATACTATCTAGTATTATTTATCTAGTGCTTTGTATTGACATAAATTGTCAATCAGATGAGTTTCGGGCGGCTCGTTAGTTTACTTGACTTGAAAACTACACCCTTGGACGAGATGTGAAAAGTAATGAGTATATCATGAAGTTCGAGCAATGTATTAGTCTATTTCCATTAAAATAATAGCAGCAGAGTGCCGAAGGGACCCGCCATTACATCCGAATCGCCCGGATCAGATCGAAAGCACCGAAACAAGTGTACTCCTCCAGAGTACAGGATTGGGGGGAAATGTACCAAGAATTGAAAAGCACCGGCCGCAAAGTAGCAGGACTTTGAATGACAATCTCCCAGGGTGTGAGGAGATAAATGAAAGCAAGCAGTGGACTCCAGTGAAAAAAAATGCGATGCAAGAGGGGGAAAGCAGAATGTATCGAAAGTCACAAGGCATAATTCAGTAGATGGGCTTTCCATCGATAGCGTTAATCATCGGCAAGGGGACTCAGGATAGGCGATTTCTGGTGAAGAGATCGCGTGGGACTGCCAGCTCTGGAGCGCCGTCCGTTCGTGGTAGGTCCGAGGGCGATGGGAGCCAGATGATCCCGGCTCTCAGTCCGCACCACCAAACCTGCTCGATCCATAGCAATGCCCGATCCTCCACTAATCCCCAGGCCAATCGTGCCCGATGAACTGTTGTCCAGGGTATACTTCAAGCTAGGAGTGTTGGCAATGCTGCCCCAGCTGGAAGCCCGTTTCGGTGGACGAGGGTTCATTCCATCCACGTCAGAAGCACGGCCTCCATCTAGATCGCTAGCATCAGAGTCCACTCCACCCAGGTCAAATTCCTGAGCCCCATCCTCCATCACGCGCTCATAAGAAGGAGCGTTGCGGTTGAGGAATGGCAACATGCCAATGAAGGGCCGGCGTTTCTTCGGGTGGTTGGGATGAGATGGTCCCCCACGGCGAAGAAGGTTATTGATGTGATGATATAGTCGCAAACGACGGCTGCGGCCGCAGAGAAAAAAGGCCGCCAGAACCACGATGAACAGGAAGAGGAGAAGTCCAGGAATACGGCGAGGGGAATCTCCGTCAAACAATGAGTCATGCCAATGCTCGCTGTGGAAGCCCTCTGAATCAGGAAGAAGTTGCACACTGGGGTATTGGAAATCCTCGGGAATACCGGGGACATTGCTACCAAAACCAACAGGAAGTACTTCTTCACTCTCTGTGGGAACCTGTGACGATGCATAAAGGACGATCTTGCCCAGAGTCCAGCTGACCTCGGTCGAATCAATCTTGTTCACAGCTTGGAAAGCATCTAGATAACCCTTCTCCTCGCCATGAGACAAAACTTCCTTGGTACCGTTATGAGAAGAACCAGAAGTATCTTCAAGACCAACCCGTGGAATTCCGATACCGTCGTGCAGCATGTTAATGATCCACGAGGCCTTGAAGCAAACTTCGTATGCTTTCTCATGGTCGATTTTCTTGCCCCATTTCTGTGCTTCAATTCCTTGTTCAATAGATTCCCAGTCTTGGGAGCAAAATATTTGAACGCGCTCTTGGTAAGTATTGAAGTCGTAGGCCTTGTCCTTGTAACCCATCTCGAAAATCTCATGGGTTGTATGCCAATATTCACTGATCCCAATGAAATGATTGACGTCGAAATCAATGGCCGGAACATGAATACCATGCAAAAGACACGGGGCATCGGAGCAAGGTGCATCCTTATCTAGCAAAGGGAAAGTCTGGCGCAGACATTCATCAAACTTGCCGGTGCCCAGCAAAGTTGGTCCTGCGGGACTGCCTAGAAATACCTCTTTACCATCCAAGGTTGTGCGCAGGCCATTGGGAAGGCACGGATCCGGTAGATCTTCGGTTTCTGAGCCCATCGCCGCCTGCAATGCTTCCACGAAGCGGCGTCTAGCTTCATGGACACCAAATTCCAGCCAGGATGTAACAAATACCCGGTGCTCTTGTTCCGATCCATCAATATTCCGTAGTCGTAGCAGGGTCAAGTCGTTTGCGTGTTTTGCTGTCTCGGTCTCGTTGGGGGCGAACGCAATCTGAGCGGAAGCACCTCCCATGTCTAGAAAGCCATATGTATGATGTCCCTTGCCGTGGTCGTGGGCCATGGGAGAATCAAAAGTGCCCATGAGGTAGTTTGTCGCAATCCATCCATAAAGTCCTTCCGTCACACCCGGAATCACTTGGATATGCATGCCGCAGTCCGGTAACAAGAAATCGGTGTTCGCACGTGCGTAAGAGCAGATCTGATCGAGAAGTAGTTGTCGTTCAAGATTTCCCAGCAGACGCATCCCAGCCGTAGCGAGCAGAAAGATTGGTGTATCCTTAGCATCCTCCTCGGGTATGATATTCCTGGCGTGTTCTAGTAGATCTGCTAGATATTCTGGGCCGATGGAGTCCGGTCTGTCGGCGAAGGACGAAACACCTGGAAGAGAACGAGGTCAGTCAGTAATTGGAGGCTCCGGCGTTGGGCCCGGTCACTCTATCCGCGGACTCACCGGGGTGAACCTTCTTTACCCATTCTTCCTTAGTCTTTATTTCCGGGAGCGTTTTCAAGTGGTCAACATTGGCCTTTTGGCGCGCAATAGCATTGCGCAGCCAACGATACACGTGGACACGAGTCCCCTGGGTTGTAAATTAGCGACACAATTCCCTCCAGACCAAGAAAGTGTTGCTTGTTTTATCAGACGTACAGACGAACCAGCGTCCAGGACAACGCCATAACGCCCTGTGGGGTGGATAACATGTCAGTTCATTCTGGGCTATTTTCGGAACAGACCGCAAGAGATGAGAAATTTGTTAACTTACATTTGCCCATTTGACTTAACTGTATAGCATGACCAGCGAGCGAACGAGGGTATAGAGAGCTCCTAAGAGCAGCGTGGGCAAGTTTGAACGAGTGACGGGAAGTAAACGATGGAGTGATTTGAGAAGAGAGAAAGAGATAAGGAGTCTTTAAATCGGAGACGCGAGGCACGGCAGGTAATACCGGGCGTGACGGGGGGCGAGACCGGCTCTAAATTGCGAGTCAAGTATTGATTGCCTGATTTTACTAGTAAGGTGACGGAAGGCTGCAATCCGCATCTGGCAAGGTACGGTAACTTTACCATGCATGACAAACCCTGTAATTTCAGGACTGCATTTGCTTTCCGCTTTCCGTTTTCTGTTTTTTTTTCTGTTTTTTCTTTGATTTGACACTTGACGTCGCTTTTCTCTCCAACTCTCCACTTCCAATCACAGTTCCATGATGTCTCCACTTTGCTTTCTTTTTCTTGGTTATAACTTATAAGGACCAAACTATATGACCCTTCTACAATCCAAAAAAAAAAAATAGAGAGGCTTTGCACAGACTTCCTCATACAGACTTTCCACACGGGTCACGGAAGTCTGTTCCAAAAGATTCGTCACCCCGGAATGTTTTTTCCGTGGCGTTGCATCTCAAAAGGACGTTGGATTTCGCCCTTCCAACCCCAACCTCCAACCCTTCCACCCTTCCACCCTTCTTCCCCCCGCGCTAAGCCAAGCCTGAGCAGGGAATAGTCTACTGAATCCGTCTACGTCAGCTCTGAAACTGGAACCAACAAGGCCGACCACCCTGCATCGTGATACGCCAGCCTGCACCAGCGGGCCTTGGCATCCCCATATTGCTATCGCGGGGCTGAATCTTGTGCGACCAAGCATCCAAAAATAAAAAAAGATCAATATTTTCCTACCCCGTAAGGGCCTCCTACACACAACAAGAATCCTTGTCGCACTTCATATGTGACCTATGTCGCCATTTCCCCGCTGTTGTTTTACGTTGATTACCGCACTTCAGTAGGACTCCGTAAGACTACTTTTTCCAAAAAAAAATAATTTCTATCCACTTCTTTGGTTTTACTTCGGAGCGATCCTCGGTCGCAGCATGCAAACCCCACCTTTAAGCCTCTGGATTGATTCGCCCCCGTCAGCCCGTGGAAGGATGATTGGAATGATCGGTTCACATTTATACTTATCTGAGAATGACACTCTGACACATTACACGCGGCCTCCGAACACACGGACCAGGACCCTGTAGATGACCCTGTTTTACTACAACCTAGAAATCCTTGGGTCCGATCAGACCCCCAGGCACCTCGTTCACCACACTAACATTGCCGGGTGACGATGACGCAAAGAGATCACCTAGAATAGCACGCTCGCCGATCTGCTCATCCACAAATTGCGCCTGGTCCAGTCCAATCAATTCCGCCTCCTCATTAACCCGCAGCTGCATGCCCGGGATCCATTGCAGGATGTAGAGCAGGATGCATGATAAGGTGAACGAATAAACACTGATGGCGCAAATTTCCGCCAGTTGCTTCCCAACCTGCATCCCGTTGCCGTCGATACCACCACTGGCCTCGGTTGAACCATCCAGAGCAGCAACCGAGCTCGACGCAAAAATACCCGTCAGAAAGGCCCCGACCATCCCACCGATACCATGTAGCTTAAACACATCCATTCCTTCATCAATATTCAACCAGTCGTTGACATCTTGAAGCAACGCACACACAACACTTGTAATGAACCCAATGCATGCGGCTAGCCACACGGAGACGAACCCGGCTGCCGGTGTAATTCCAACAAGTCCCGCGATGGCCCCCTCGCACGCTCCCACGACCGAGAATTTGCCGCGGGTCTTTATCCAATCTACCAATACCCATCCCAGGATGCCCGTGCACGCGGCAGTGTTCGTATTGAATGCTGCTAGCATAGCTCTCACGCTGGCATTGAGCGCGGAACCGCCCTAACGTATTTGAAATCTTGTCAGAAATCTATGGATTGTGTAGTGATGAAGGTGAACTTACATTGAAGCCAAACCACCCAAACCAAATCAACGTCGTACCAAGAAAGACCAAGGTAGTGTTGTGAGGCTTCGCATGTGAGGGCTCATCGAGATGCTTGCGTTTCCCCAACACAAAAGCGTATGCGAGCGCCGACCAGCCCGACGCAATATGGACCGGCCCGCCGCCCGCAAAATCCAATGAAGGCAAATTGTACAACCAACCATTACTATTCCAGGTCCAGCAGGCGATCGGGCAATAAACAACAGTAGCCCAGCAGAAGCTGAAAATCAATGATGGGACCATATTCCCTCGCTCAAACGCTCCTCCCACGACGATCATTACCTTTTATGAATATCAGTATACATCGCTTGGGCCACTGCAGTCCGACCGATTCAAACCTACCGTGCAGGCGCAGAAAAGAAGCTGGTATAGCACAAACACAATCTCAGGTAAAACGGCTGATCCTGGCGACGGGGCAGCCATCACTCCCTTCAATCCGAAATTGGTCAATGTTCCAATGAAAGGGCCTGCATCGCGCGCATAGGCCAGCGAGTATCCCCAAAAGATCCATTGGAACGTAGTTCTATGATCGGACTGAGCATTAGTACCAACTTTGGACACACAGATTTACCAAACAAAGGAATGTCCATACACTGCGACAATCATGAGCGACTGGAACAGCAATGTCAATGCCGACTTTCTTCGCGCAAGGCCGCTGTACAAGAGACCAATCCCCGGAATGATTAACCAGACGATGAAGCCGCAGAATACAATATAGACGTAGTTCCATTCAAATCCTTCAAATTGGGCGTTCACATTGACCTTTGTCGGATCCCCACCGCGAGGGGTTGAGGCATTGTATACGGGCTATTGTTTGGAAGGTTAGTTTTGCATGGAAGTGTCGTGACCACGTCACTCAAACAAATGAGAGATATGCAAATACCTCTGTCAGTGCCATCTTAAAGTCGGTGCGATTGGTCCTATTGGACTTTAACCCTGGGAACCTGGGAAGCCGACAACCTTGGAAGCCACTAGCAAACTGCATGAAAATGGGTATCAATACAATATCCAGGATTTTAATGCTCAAACCAGCTGGAACATTTTGACTCCAGTGCCAGTGAGACTTCTAATCAACCTTGAAGCCTTACAATGTGTTCAAAGCCGATTTGAGAATTTCAATCGTACGAAACGAAACACCCCGGCAAAATTTAGAAAGATTTGGCAATTTTTGGAGTATTAGATGTCCAAGGTGGAAGAGGCATTACAGGTGAATGCCATTCGAACAGCTACATTTCGAGTTCCTAATAAAACAATCAATCTTCTGGCCGTTAAGATGCTAATCTGGCCCCGGAGTAAAGCCTATCAATCATCATTGAACTATTTCTGAAGCCAAGACTACCTTGGCACCATTATCACATCATCTCAAGTTTCTAGACTCGAAAAACAGCCACTCGACAGCGATGTAAAATGTCTTGCATGATATCGCATCGATACTCTGTATTTAATTGCGGAGGAAAGGTGACAAATGATGATAAGGACCCAGCCGGATACTGTTAAGATAACAGCATCCAACCATATGCCTGCATATTCATGTCCCCGGATCTCACTTCCATGTGGGGTTTAGCCTTCACATGTTTGAGAGCAGCTTATCGTTGGTATCTTATATCTTATCGGATACGGGCACTCTTGGCAATGACGCTGGGCTAGACTCCAGTCTCCGGCTATACGGGCCGCTCCCGGAAGATACTAGGTCAGACTCGCAGGTGTAAGCCCTTAAATTCTATTACGTAGGTCTTAATCAGCAAGTCTGTGTATTCGGGTGTTTGCAGGAGACACATGCATGTCGTGTAGCTATTATCAAGTTCCGTGTCAAGTATGTACTGCGTACTAGTTTAAAAAGTCTCTCCTTATGTCTAGATAGCATAGCGAAACTCTTTATCCTCTTTATCGGTCAGATCGGTTCTGGGCAGTCCGTTCTCATCGAGCTCTACTTCTCCACCAGCAAGTTCAACGCCGTAGCTAGCTTGTGTATCACGCGCATTATTATCACGCACACACAGAATGCGATAGATAATGATAGCCAAAAACAGCAAACACCATGTCACGATAGAAGTGATAACACCTTCCGTATACCGCGGTGATTTTGTCCATAGCTGGGGGCCCCCTATACAGCCAGCACAGTAACCAATGAAGAACATGGTGTTGACAACGGCGCGCTTGGTGTTGCCCTTGACATTAGATGCAAACAGCGATAACAGAATAGACATGGTTGCAGTAATGCAGGATGCCTAGAGAAAAGTATACGGTCAATCGACGATTATCACTTATCTCACGCAGATGGAGAGGGACTTACCAGCCAAGAAGCCACGATCAAACCCCATTCAGCGGTTACGGTCAGTTTGAGTAGAAATATAGCTCCAATGAAAGGCGGAATAACCAAAGCCAAAGTAATCAGAGCTCTCTGATTTGGGAAGAGGTAGACAAGCGCAGTCCCAATCCATAATAAGGTAATCTGGACAGCTCCAGACGGTGCCGTATAGAGAAGGGTCTGCAATTTAGAGTAACCAATTGACTCAATGACCAAAGACGCAAAGGTGAGGACTGGTGATTGCATAGTCACAAGTACACCAAACCAGAAAACCATCCATGCTTTAGGATCTAACAAGGCTTCCTTGAGCTGTAACAATGAGAAAGCTGTCTTGTCGCCACCTTCGCGATCAGCGGCAAGACGCATAGATAATACCTTCTTCTCCCTGTCATTTAGAAACCATGCATCTTTGGGCCCATTTGGCATCAGCATGAAGAAGCCAATGCCTGCGACAAGAGTCATTGCACCGCAAATCAGGAAAAGCACGCGCCAAGGCTGCATGGAGATGGACTCGTTTTTGCCTATGCCGTACATGATCAGACAGCCAGTGACTTGAGCTAGACCATTCATGGTGATCCATAGCGCAGTTCGTGCAGCGTGCTCTTTCTTGCGGTACCAGATACTGGTGATCGTCACGAACGCAGGCGAAACTGCCCCCTCGCTGAATCCGAGCAAGAATCTCACGGTAGCAAACCCAGCAAAGTTCTTTGGCGCTGCGAGACACATGCAAATAACACCCCAGATTATACTTGAGTAAATACAACGTCAGTGAATGGTTCCAAAGTTTTTTTTTAAAAAAAACACGAAAGGACATGGCCTAGGTGGAAACCTTCGAACAAATCAATTGATGGGTAATGATCGAAGTGCATACACTGTGACACCGACAAACCTGGTGAGAGGGAATCGACTCATAAGATAAATGAATGGCCACTCGGAAATGAGTTGGCCGACATAAAATATAGAGCTGGACCAGGAGTACTGTTTACTGGTCATGTTCAAGTCTTCCATGAGGCCAAATACAGCAGCATAACTTAAGCTCTGTTTATCGAGGTATTGCAAAAAGAAAACAAAGCACATCTTGTCATCGATTAGCGACCTTTTCAAGCTGAAGGGGGGATTAATGATTTCTCACAAATGGCAAAATAACCATGTCAATCTTTCTCAAGACTGCTTTCTCTTCCTCTGGAGTGTACGTCTCACATTCCCCAAGGATATCACCACTTGGTTGGTGGTCTTCATCTTTGATAATATCTGCGCTTTTGGAGTCGTTCATGTTTGTGGTTGGAATTGAAAAATAAGACGGGGAATTGAATCAAACATCCGGGACATATCCAACTTGTATGTCACACGAAAGAGATAACCCTCTGGGGGTTCTCTCTATGTTTGTGACATTCCCTATCTTCGGACTGGGACTGATCTAGAAAAGATCAACAAGCGGTGATAAACAAAATGCGGGGGTGACTCGGTCCGATAGCCAACCATCGGCAATCTGCCCCTGTGGAATGGACAAGTTTCCGAGCTGAGCGGGGTCCATGTTTTGGAGTCGTCACCCCTCATCCCGCGCGTTATATCTGTCTTCATAGCTCTGAGTTGTTGCGACATTGAGCTTCCATTACCATTCGGCGTGTCTCCATCATGTCTGAGAATGCCGCCGTGCCGGGCTCCGACATCAAGCCTTGGTCTCGACCTGAACCCCAAGGGTATTTATTCAAGAATGCCAACGTGGTAGATGTCAAAGCAGGGAAAATAATTGAAAACGCAATCGTGATCACAAAAAACGGCAAATTTCAATCGATTTCCTCATCCCTGCCGGAGCCTGTTCCGGCCGACCTCACAATCATCGATTGCGAAGGTCGGTACCTTTGTCCGGGGCTCTTCGACGCGCATGTTCACCTATGCGCCGTGCCCGGTTTCAACGATTTATCGAAGGCATTTGGAAACCCAAACGACGTGCACTTGCTGCGACAGCCGTACACCGCAGCTCAGATGCTGCATCGAGGTTTCACCAGCATTCGCGACTGCGGCGGCGCCCAGCTTGCCCTGAAGGAAGCTATCGAGGATGGTGTCTTCCCTGGGCCCCGCGTATTCATCTCCGGCCATGCGCTCTCTCAATTCGGTGGGCACGGTGATCTTCGCTCAGCCCATGAACAAACCGGGTGCTGTGGCGGTACCCACAGCAACAACCATCTAGGCCGCATGTGCAATGGCGTACCCGAGTGCATGGCCGCTGTGCGCGAGGAGATCCGTTGTGGAGCCGATTTCATTAAGATCATGGGGTCTGGCGGTGTGGCAAGTCCGACTGATCGTTTGGAACACCTCCAGTTCACAGCTTCCGAGATCCAAGCCATGGTCGAATGCGCCAACAATGCTGGTACATTCGTCACGGCGCACGCGTATACGATCAAGGCAATTCGGCACTGTATCGATAACGGTGTGAAGGGAATCGAGCATGGCAATTTTGTGGATGCCCCAACTGCCAAGATGATGGCTCACAAGGGTGTTTACCTGACCCCAACGCTGATTGCATATGCTCAAATGGCGTCGGAGCGCTGGAAGGGATACTTGCCGCCTGAGTCGCAGTCAAAGAATTCTCAGGTGCTGAAGTCTGGACTTGAAGCACTGAAGGTTGCTTCTGAGGCTGGGGTCACGATGTGTTATGGTTCTGATTTGCTTGGTCCGCTGGGTTCTGCTCAGACACACGAGTTTGCTTTGCGGTCACAGGTCTTGAAGCCTGTCGAGATCTTGCGCAGCGCTACTGTTAACCCTGCTAAGATGATGGGCTGGGAAGATTCTATCGGGCAGATTCAAGAAGGCTTCCATGCGGACGTGGTTGTTCTCAATAAAAATCCTCTGAAGGATGTTACCATTTTCGATCGGCCAGATGAGCACGTTTTGGCTGTCATGAAGGATGGCCGTATCTACAAGAGCCGCTGGTCTACTCTTCCGGAGGACTCCGATATTCCTGTCAGAGTCAAGTACAACTAGCTCGAACTCATGAATACATGTACTTAGAATGCAAAAACGTGGCTCTAACTTGGAAAGTTTGTATAACCAACATCCACCAAAGTGCATGTACTCTCGTCGTTGAAGCAAAGCTGCAATGTTTGTTCGGCTGACAAATAAACCTCAACTTGAAGCAATCAATAGACTGGTTTGCCATATTTATAGGCTAGAATCACAAGTTTGGTTTTCAACTTCTCACATATCACTACCTACCAAGATTCCAACTAACCTTCATCATCTCCATCTCCACATACTCAAACCATACCCATGCCACCACAGCCACCCGACAAGGTGCAAAGTGTCGACATGGAAGCACTCTATCCTGATAGAATTGAAGAGAAGCCCCTCAAAAAGGAGGTTAAACAAGAAGTTGAAGAAAGAACCGAGGAGACTGAACACGACCACGAAGAAATCAAGAAGGAGAACGAACAAGAAGTCAAGCAGGAGATCAAGCGCGAGATCAAGCAAGAGACCAAGCAAGAGACCAAGCAGGAAATCAAGCAGGAAATCAAGAAGGAGGATGAACAAGAAGTCAAGCAGGAGGGCGAACAAAAGTTCAAGCAGGAGATCAAGCAGGAGTTCAAGCAGGAGATCAAGCAAGAAGTCAAGGAGTGCGAACAAGAATCCAGGATTGAACAGATTGACAAGGAAATCGAAGAGAAAACGCATTCAGAGAGCGACGACGTACCCAACAACGCTGCTGGTGACAAAGGTATGTAACATTTCCACACATATGTAAATTGCTATCTTACATGCTAACGTGTATTATCGTTATCTTAAAGTACATCTATTGACCAAGATTGATCTTGGTGCTTTGTGTTACTATTCAGTGCCCAATATCCCAGTTGACCAGACTTGGGATACACCAAAGAAAGCCTGGATGGACATCAATGGTATGCTTAGAGACTACGGGTATGGCGTCTTTGAGACGATTATACGTTCTGATAGCGCCAATTACCACTACGTCCTGCAATGCGATACCATAAGAAGTCCCAGCAGTTCCTGCAGGGCATGGAGGGGTTTCTTTTTGAAATGCCCCTTTCGAATTGACCAGTTTCCTAAAAATGGCCGGTGTGGCATAATATTGATAAGTGCTTTGCATAATCATGAGCCCTCATCACCGAGAATCCTTCTATCGCAGAGGAGGCTAGACCGCTTGCGATTTGAAGAGACTTTCAAATCGATGGCAGATTTGAAAGCTTCTCCACGAGCGATATTGGCAAAGTATATTTTGGATTACCCCAATTCCACTGTTGAGTCGAAAGAGTATAGCTTGCAATGTATCTCTGGCTTGAAATCTACGTATTTTCTCAAAAACACGCCAATACCTTTTCCAGCACCGAAACCCATACGTCACCGAGGGGGCCCTAGAAATGGAAAGCGAAAACGCGAAATTGAAGCCGGCCTTGAGCCTGTCCAAGGAAAAAAGAGCTTGACGACCGAGGCTCTACAGAATAGAGCCACAAATGAGCTCTACAGTACCCCAAAGCAAAGGGCCAAGAGAGAGGCTTACAAAGTCTCAGAGGAAGAAGACAAGAATGAGTCCCTCAAGATCATAGAGGAAGGGGGGAAAGACAAGTCCTACAAGATTCAAGAGGAGAAGTTGGAGGAAACTGTTGAGCTCTTCAAAATCCCAAAGTATGAAGCCACGAATGAGTGCTTCAAAGTGCTTAAGGAAGAAGACAAGGATGAGTCTTACAAAATTGAAAAAGAAGAGTTGGAGGGAAGTGTTGAGCTTTACAAAATCTCACAGGAGGAAGCAAAAAATGAGGTTCTAAAGACTGAAAAGCAAGAATCGGATGATGAAAAAGATTAAAAGATCACCAGGACCAAGACGGATGGCGAACTGGAGGAAACATTGAATCTGAGCCGAGTCCTAACAACGGTGATTTGGTGAGATGCCATGATACAAAATGTTTTTTAAAAGATGTATATCGGTCAGCTTGATGTTCAGATCTACTACAAGATTGGTATGAGTACTAGTAGCTTCTAATGCAAAATTGGAACAGTGGGATAATGCGTTCAAAACATTTGAATCAAATCTTCACCTTAGCTTTTTTCTTACATCGATACTGCTTGAGGTTCATTACCTACTACTCATACTACTAGTAGTATTTATGTAGAACGCGAAGGTGATTACTGCTATCGATTGATTATAACCACACGCGGACTTATTCCAGGCTTCCAGTTCTTCTTTGTTTTTCTCTACTAACTACTAGTAGCTAATGATTCTGCTCTTCTCCTACCGATTTACTTTTGATGTACATCCCCTTACCAATTTCATACTCTCTAGACTTGCCAAGCCGTCAAGTCATGGATTGAAAGAACTATGATAGTGCGAGTATGGATAACAAAGCAACTGCATATCAATGTGAATACTGCAGTGGATCTACTCAAGTGCTATGCATATGAATCAAGCAGGTCGGTCGTTCCGATTTGCAAGATTTCGGGCATTGATTAACATGAAGTCAAAATCGCCTTACCAGTCCAGATGTCTATGAAATATGCTAAATTCATTCAAATTTTTGTATTCAGTCTAGTTCAATGTTGTATATCATACCTAAGTAGTGGTGGCAGATCCGAACTTCCATAGATGATGACCGGTAGCGACCGAAATATCCGGGGCCCGGAGGTACATGGTAATTTCGGAATCTACTTCCCCTTCAAACCTTGGAAATTATATCTCCAAATAGACTTGTGACTGTCTTGGCTTATAGCAAGCCTTTGATAATATCCGCAGCACGCTCCGCAACTGCATAGACTGTACTTTGCAAATGCCCACAAACCTGGAACGGGATGATTGATGCATCAACAACACGAACATTGGTAGTGCCGTAGACCTTCAGTGATGTGTTTACAACCCCACCAATCTCCTTGGGCATCATACCAGCCGTGGTGATAGGGTGGAAGTTTGATCGGACTGTCAAAGAATTCGTCAATATCAATATTATCTCTAGGTGGGTGGGAGGTTATCCTACAGTTGGACTTGAGGAACGAAGACCAGCCTTCATCACCAGAGTCAGCAGAGACAGTTGAATATCCAGGGCTAGTCTCAGCACCTGCCATGTCTGCAAATGGCTCAGTCTTGAATATGTCACGGATCAACCGAGCAGCTTGGACTTGGGCGTGCAGGTCAAAGTCCAGCATGAAGTATTTCGGGTCGATAGTGGCAGGAGCAGTTGGGTCTGCGGATGAGATGTGGATGTTTCCACGCGAGAAGGGAACAGAGCCCCAGTATTCAGTGTCATAGGTGTATCCGGATGGCTCGAGTAGGATTTCTGCGACTGGAATACCGGATTTGAAGATCAAGTCCCATTGAATTTTGAAGAAGCGCTCGATATCGGCGGCTCGAGTGACGTTTCCATTGGCTAAAGTAACCTGAGCTGCATAGGCGGGAAGCTTGCGGAGAAGCTGAGCGCCAACGGCAGTGGCATTTGGGAAGAGTTGTTCAGCTGAAGGGTACGCGACGTAGTCGGCGGACTTGGTATAATTGATCTTCGAGTCGTAGGCCAGTCCGTTGTTCATTTGGTCTTGGAGGTTTTCGCCGACGGTTGGCAGATTGATTATTGTCTCGATGCCAAACTTGGACAGAATACTGTGAGTAGAGGTGGACCGATTAGTCTTCGACTTGCTGGATGAGGATGATGGGATGTTACTTACTCTGGGTTTCCGATGCCGGACAACTCAAGTAGAAGTGGGGACTTCAATGCTCCAGCTGCGAGAATGACTTCACGGGATGCCTTGACCGATGCAGTTGTGCCATTGGACAAGGTGAACTCAACACCCTCCGCAGTCACGTCGGTTCCATCCTTCCAAATGAGTTTGTTGACATTTGTGTGAAGCCAGACGTGAAGATTCTTGCGAGATTGGTAGGGGTAGTAGTATGCCCGAGCGGCATCCTCACGAATGTTAAGGTCGGAGTTCACGGTCTTGGGGTACAGCGTGTATCCGACCATCTGACCGCCATTCGGGTCCTTGTTGTAAGGAATTGGGTCTGACATATTTTGATACGTGGTGTTCATAACTTGTGCCAGGCCATCGTTCAATTGTGTCGAAGTCCAACCCACTTTCAAAGGACCGTCATATCCGTGGTAGGCAGGATCATAGGCGACACCGGAACCTTCCAAGAACGAATAGTCACTTGGAACCTGAAACTGTTCACCCTTCTTGAAGTAAGGGAACATATTCTCCCAGTTCCATCCTGGGTTTCCAATCTTTTCCCACGCGTCTATCTGACTCGTTTGTGCCCGCAGATACACCATTCCATTGATGGTTGATGTACCTCCTAGAGCCTTTCCAGCTCTAACTGTCTGCTTGGTTCCCCCACCCCATTGCTGATTCACTGTCTCATAGGCCCAGTCAATATCGGTGCCAAATGCGTTACCGTAGCCACCGGTGTCAGTCACGTTGATGTTGTTGAATACCGAGCCTCCGGCTTCAATAACGAGAACAGTTATGTTACTCTGCTCTGACAAGCGGTTGGCAACGACTAAGCCACTAGTGCCACCTCCGACAACAATGTAGTCATATGTCAACTCTGAAGCACTTGAAACCGCACCTACCAGAGGTAGCAGGGCGAGTCTTGTGAGGCTCCTCATAACTGAGAGATGATATATATTATTCGCAAGGTTTAAGGGACTTCAAGGTTTCTTGCAACTCAGACAGCCCGTTGGTGAGTGTTGAAGTCACTGGCTATATATTTGTTTCATGTCCAGTTGGATATTGGTGACACATCTTCTCATAACCCTGGAAGCGGGCTTGAGTTTCCGTGATCGATCAAGACGATCCTCGGTCAACCGTGACTAAATGATTCTTCAGCATCTTGGCGTCGCTCTAGCACTGGCTGTAAGAAGCTTTGGTTGCTCCCAGGGTCCACATCAATTAAGGGTACCTGACTTTGAAGGGAATATCATCTATGAATCGGGAAACTGTCGGCATCCCGATATCGGATATGCTATTAGTGTGGCTACCCAGACGGGTGAAATCAACCTTGGAGATGGTCCTTTACTCCATACCGTCGACCCGATCGCCGTTCATAATGTGTCTACCCAGGTGGATTTCATTGACACCTACTAAGACCGTGACCTCGGGATCTCGGGAGAGATATGGCACCCCACCAGTCTAATCAATAATGGCACATGCATTATGCGCGTGCATATTTATCCCGATTTGAAGTTCAATGTTGGGAATTTTGTCCTACGTTCTTTGAATACTATCAGGTATTTGTGACCATGGAAGGCGCCCGTTGCGCTTGGAATTTGGAAGAATTATCATGACCATGGACTAGCAGGTAAATTTAAGCAATTATATAGACGACAAGCGGAACATATTAACATTTGAAGGGTCTCAGACCCCTGTTGACCTCGGGATGGCGTAGTCAAGCCGTAAAATGGCTATTTTGATAAACTCCCGAAGTCGGCTTGTGAAAAATGCCGATCCTTGGTCGGGATGGGAGAGGCATTTTCATGCGTACGGGACACATAAGTCGAGGATCATGCGGCATGTCAGCATGCAAGAGTGGGGAACGGGGTGAACGGGGCAACATTGAAGGATTTCACCGGCAACTAAAACAGGGCCCATGACCTTGAAACATGGCGTGTAGCTCTAGTCCGACAGCAGTTTCAGTATTCATAAAGAATGATACACGGGGGGTTGAAATTGAAGATGCCAGGTTGTTTGGAATTTGCCAGTTATACTTTTGGCCTTTATTTGTCGCCTTGTTAACCTCCACGAGTACGAATTTTCACCAATTCTTGGTTGATAATCTGATAAGATCCCGCGCGGAAACAGAAAAGTGGAGATGAACTTTAATCTAGACCGAGTTTTGCAATATCCCGAGTGGTCTCATCTGTATGGCGTCATGACGCCTTTCTTTCGTTTTCGAAAAGTGGAGTCTCGCAATTGAAGCTTTTCAAATCTCTTCGGAGAAATGGTCGAACTCGTACATAGACAACTGGGATTTCACCTCAACGTCTAGGCTAGCCTAGGATCATGCGTTTTCAACCTTGGAACATTGGAAAAGCACGACAACATCCATTGTTGTACGAAGAGAAAAAGTGGGTAGGGGGCTGAGTAGAAGAAACATTGAATCTAGACCCGCCACCTGGACGGGATTCCATGGTTTCTGGTTTCAGGATCGTACATGCAAATATTCCAAGGTGGAAATTCGTTTTCCATAAAGAGACAATTTAACACCCTTGGAACCTAAAATCTTCCAAGACTGCCAAGAAAAAGCTTAAACTCTCCGTTCCTTCTAAGATTTGAAGGTTCCGATACAAGTATACCCATATGTAGAAACAACACATAGGTTCTCTGCTTGAGGAGAACTGGTTCTATGCGTACACAAGTTCACTTCAAAGATCACTCCAGGTAATAATTGAAAGCATTAATCGCGTTAATCATGAGCATATGAATTGGAGCATTTTTCACACATCATTTAGAGGGTCCTCTAATATTATCGATTAGAGAATTAGACGTTGACTCGTCGCGGGGTTGAAAATAGTTCATCGGAGTGATGCTTCCGGAGAATTGATGTAAGGATGGAAAGTTTAAATGCAAGAACGGCATGCTTGATTGGGTGGGCGAATTTGGTGAAGGAGTCTAAAAGTCATTAGTTACTAGGTGATAAAATCCAAGGTCCGTCTCCAAATTCATACAATATTCGGCATAGCATCATCAGAGGAAGCCCGCTGGGCAATCAAAAGACCAATCTTGGTGTCAAACATCTTGAATTTCTGTATCTTTTCCACAGCGAGATTGTAGTAATTTTTTTCAGGGCTTGAATCAACAGCGGGTAAAGTGAGCATGGGGACGAATATTGGAGTTTATGAATTGAAGGAATACGCTGATCTCATAATCCATTCCCTAGTTGTTTGGAAGATGAAAACCAGGATTTTGGAGGCGAGGTTCATCTCTTCCATGGGATCTTCTACTGCGAACTTCATCATCTTGCGGGGGCACCACAGAAAAACTTTACAGCTTTGGATATAAACGCAGACGATCATGGCGATCATGGCGATCATTGCGAAGGAATACCGAAGGTGGGTAATGGCCCAATGCACATATAAGTACTTGCCGAGCCACCTTCCCGCTTCGCTGGACACTATCTTATCAGATGGAAAATCAGATCCGTCTTCGGTCGTCGCGCAGATCTCAATTAGACGCTTGTTCTGAGGTTGGACCATCTTTCCCTATTGGGGCCGACGAGTTCCATAGTCAAATCTTGATCCGTTTTAAGTCTTGCCAGTATACCCTGTTTCATCAGATGCTGCGAATATACTAGTACGTGTCAAGTTAATCCGACGTGGGTCCGCGAAAAAGCTCAAATGTTAGAGAAGAAGAAAAACCGGACAATATTTTCGCTCAGGGCGCTTGCCCTCTGGAGTTATGTGAGGCCTTCGATGTTGGGTGGAATATAGTAGTCGCGTGCCTCTTAAAGCAAGCATTTCCCCCTTCCTTATCCATGGGCTCAACCTAATATTCTTGCTTTCTTTCATTTTAAACATCCATTCCTAATTAAAATGACCATCCGCAATCTGAGCAATGGGGACACCTCCCACCACAAGTCATCATCTATCACATCAACAGATGTTTTGATCATCGGAACTGGGCCAGCTGGTGCATCCTTGGCCTGCTTCCTAGCATCTTATGGTTAGCATACCAACTGCTGTCGATAAGCTTGTTCACAACATACTAAGAGCACATCTAGGTATCCGTGGTATAATGGTCAGCGCTTCTCCAACAAATGCCGATACCCCACGAGCACATATCACAAACATGGCGGCCATGGGTAAGTACCAACTTTCAGTCACTGAACTGAACACGCTGACGGCTTTTCTCAGAGTGTCTCCGAGACATCGGCCTCGATATCGAGTGTAATCGACTAGCGACCAATGGCATGAATATGATGCATACACGGTGGGCATACAGCATGGCTGGAGAGGAGTTTGCGCGGATTCACTCCTGGGGCCACGACCCCAAACGCAAGGTATGACCAGTGCCAACTTGCATCCTTGGGAGCCAGTAACTAATCTCTTTTGCAGGGTGACTACGAAACGGCCAGTCCCTGCGATCCCGTGGATCTCCCCCAAACTCTGCTCGAACCCATCCTAGTAAGATACGCCACATTGAACGGCTTCAGCTGTCGTTTCGATACAACATTCGTCGGTTTCACACAAGACGACGAAGGAACCACATCTACGCTCCGCGACAATATCTCTGGATTCGAGTACCAGATCCACTCGAAATACCTCTTTGGTGCTGATGGTGCGCGGAGTGAAGTCTTCCGTCAGCTGGAGCTTCCACTTGACGTGCGCCCAGACCAAGGAGTCGCTTATAATGTTCATTTGAAGGCGGACTTGTCAAGCTACATGCAATACCGTACTGGAAATCTTCATTGGTTGCTGCAGCCCGACAAGGAGCACCCCCTATTTGGCTGGGCGTGTATCGCTCGTATGGTGAAGCCGTGGGATGAATGGCTATTTATTGTGCTCCCGGAACGAGGAAAGGAGCTTGACTTTGAACCTACTCATGAGCAATGGCTTGGTCGTATGAAGGAGTTCATTGGTGATGACTCGATAGACACAGAAATCTTGGGTGTTTCCAAATGGCGCATCAATGATGTTGTGGCGGAAGAGTTCTCTAAGGGTCGAGTGTACGTATCAACCTGTTCCTTATGTTGCTTTCTGGGACCCCTTACTAACTGTATATATTTAGATTCTGTCTTGGCGACGCGGTACATCGACACCCTCCATCAAATGGTCTTGGATCCAACACATGTATCCAGGATGCATACAACTTAGCATGGAAAGTTGCCTATGTGCTAAAAGGTGAGGTGCAATTGAGGTGTTTAACAGAACTTTTCTCTATTCGGATTGATCTAACTTATAGTTGCAGGCCAAGCATCTCCTTCGATTCTGGAAACATATACTACCGAGCGCCAGCCCGTCGGGCGGGGTGTTGTTACACGAGCAAACTCTTCGTTCCGTCACCACGGACCCGTCTGGGAGGCTCTCGGTGTTGCACTACCAACTTCAGACTTACGACTCGAGGCCCTGAACGAGCTGACCGATCCTACACTGAAAGGTCGCGCTCGTCGCGCTGCCCTTCAAGCCGCAATTGAAGAGACAGAGCATGAATACCACGCACTCGGAACAGAGATGGGCCAATTCTACCAAAGTACCGCCGTCTACACTGCGGACGAAGCTGCCTCATTTTATTCCCCAGAAGTTGTTGCCCAGGATCTTGATCTCACCTTGATCCGAGGGACATACCCTGGATGCCGATTGCCTCATGTCTGGCTGAACAATGCAGTGCCCATTCAACGCATCTCCACCGTTGATTTGGCCGGGGGTGGCTCTTATGCACTTCTGACCGGTATCGGGGGCGAGGCTTGGAAGGGGGCAGCTTCACAAATTGAAAAGGAGCTCGGGGTTTCCGTCAAGGCTTATTCTATTGGTTTTCGGCAAGACTTCGAGGATGTTTACTTCGATTGGGCGCGGGTTCGCAGTGTGGATGAGGATGGGTGTGTGCTTGTTCGTCCCGATCGGCACGTTGCGTGGAGGTGTGATCAGGTGCTTGGCGACGACGGGCAATGCGCTACTAAATTGCGGCAGGTTATGTTGAGCATTCTTGGTCGCTCTTGAGAATTATCATCTTGTTAAACCGAGTTTTGGCCGTTGACTGGGCTTTGTGTGATTGTATCCATGACTGGTCACGAGATCAGGGGACATGTGTCAGAGTGTCTGATGTCAGGGTGTAGCCCGACTGCCGAGAGATGGGGATACCCGAGGATGTGGAGACGGAGACGGCGCTGAATAACAAGAACATAGTGTATTGAACAGCAGTCAACTCAAGTCTTTGATTAGCTATGAAATCAGTCTGGAAACAAATCGATGACAACCTGAAGACCAAAACAAAAGTCTGTAGCAGCACATATCCACGGATGCTTATGCCAGGAAATGAAGTCAGTCCCTTGAGATATCCCGAGATATTTCCGGCGCACCATTTCAATTAGGGAAGGTGAATCATGCCACCGGATTGATTCTAGGCAACCGTATTCGATAATATGGGCTCTATATTATTATGTCTCAAAAACCCTGCCCAGATAAGAGAGCAATCGGGAAAAAACGAGACGATCGCCTAAAATTACTCCGTACTTGAGTTTGGGGCTGGACCAGGCATTCCAAGCTTTCCAGGGTTCTAAATCTGCGGCATTTAACTTTGTCTCCCGGATCCGAATTACCAGGCATCATATCCTATCAATCAAATCAATCATATCAATCGATCAGATTAACCATATCAATCAGATAATCTTCAGATGCCAATTGGATTTTTTTAAAAAAAAACTTAGAGAAACTGTCGAAACACGATATTCACTTTCGAATTCCAAGCCTCACACTACTCCATACACGTGCGCCCAGGCTAGTATTATATACGCGGCAGTTGCGGGTGGGGATGATGGGTCCCCCAAGCAAAATCTCTTCCCGTGGCTTGACAATGAACTTTCTTAAACTTTCTTATTGATTTTTTTCCCTTCTCGATTGGCAACAGCTATGAACCCTTTTTCGCTAATATTAAGGTATGATTTGTTGTCAGCTGTGGGCCAATGCAGCTTTTAACCTTTGAATTTTTTTTTCTCCGATTTTTTCCTTGGAGGTCCTTGCAGCTTGAGAAAATGGGGAGGGGAAAAAAAAAGCAAAGGCCAAGAAAAGTCCACCCAACAAGCAAAGGCCCTTGGGAATGAAGCGTTGATCAGATACCGATCAGTGGAACCCGACATTTGCAGGGTTCCGCGCTAGTAATTTTCATACATCCAAAAGGACCTGAACGCATACAGTACGGGAACCCGGTCCTTATCAATCAAATGATTTAACTTCCCACTTTTAGACTTCGCGTTCGCACTTTCTTCATTTTTTATCGTTGAGGCTTGCCATCGAAAAGATCGAGATCAAACTCCCCTCCAAGATGGGAAGCAATAAAGTGTTCGCCGTGACCGGTTAGTGATTGCCCATCAGTATGCGCAGCACGTGGAATGCACAAATCGCTGATTCATAAACAGTCTTCTTTATTTGTTTTCGAGAATGTCTCGAGACCACCGTGGTTATCTCGGTTCTCCTGGCCTTCTTGAAGCAAACCCTCGGCCAGGACGAGGACAAAACTATATATAAGCGACTGGTCAAACAAGTATGGCTAGGGGTTGGGCTGGGCCTATTCCTCTGTCTCGCAATCGGCTGTGGCATGATCGGTGCTTTCTATGGCCTGGGAACAGACACTTTCTCCAGCACGGAGGATATCTGGGAGGGTGTTTTAGGAATTCTCGCTTCACTGATCATCACCATCATGGGTGCGGCGCTGCTGCGCGTCTCTAAGCTTCAAGATAAATGGCGCTTGAAGCTCGCCAAGGCACTGGAGCACGATCAAAACCCCAATGAAACTCGCAAGGGCCGCATGAAGCGGTATATGGAGAAATACGTCATGTTTTTCTTGCCCTTCATCACTGTCCTTCGTGAAGGCTTGGAGGCTGTGGTCTACGTTGGTGGTGTTGGTCTTTCACTCCCAGCCTCCTCCTTCCCCCTTGCCGTGTTCTGCGGTCTTCTCGCAGGCGGTGCGGTCGGCTTCCTCATCTACAAGTAAGGATGCTACAGCTCATCTCAAGCGCGGAATGTCAAGCTAATTGTTCGTCTTTGTTTAGGGGTGGACGGGAAACATCCATGCAGATCTTCTTGATTTTCTCAACTTGCTTCCTCTACCTTGTCGCCGGAGGCCTGTTCTCACGCGGTATCTGGTATTTCGAGAACAATGCGTGGAGCAAGATCATCGGAGGTGATGCCTCCGAAACAGGTTCTGGCGCCGGCTCCTACGATATTAGGCAGAGTGTTTGGCACGTCAACTGCTGCAACCCCGAGCTCGGTGGTGGCGGTGGTTGGGGTATTTTCAACGCTTTGCTCGGATGGACCAACTCTGCCACCTACGGCTCTGTCATTGGCTACAACCTATACTGGATTTGTGTCATGGTAGGCTACTCATTGATGTTCTACCGTGAGCGACGTGGTCCTCTCCCGGTCATTGATCCGGCGATGAAGAAGGTTGCAGGATACAAAGCGCGGACAAGAGCATTTGTGCTTCGTCGTCCTTACACGGACGAGCCTGAGTCTATTGAGATTAAGCCTGTCCACGCGAGCGGTGGAGTCCTATCCGAGGAGAAAGGCATGGATACTTCTACAGTCATCCAACGGACCGAGTCTTGAAAACATAAGATGCGATCAGAGTAATTTTTCTTAATTTGAGAGAAAGACTGCCCAGGGGTGCATTACGAATACAAACTGGAATAAATCCAGTTCAAATTAAAATATCCTTGTACATTAAAAAGCGCACAATTCCAATTTCCAAATGTGATGTCTCATGCAGATTAGCCAAGGACTACATTTTACTTACCATACGTAAAATTGCAATACACCAAATAGCAAATTGTACCAAAATCGCCAAGGTCCCACTTGGTAAATTGGTTAGCGCCTTGACAAAGCTTAGGAGCCTAAGACTTCCTCCCCGCCCAAGGATTCCAGCAATGTTACCCTTCATTCCAGCCAATAAACAACTTCAAACATATCTGATTCTTCCTGACTTTTCCGTAAAATTTCCACCCGTCGGCTCTATTGGGCTAGTGAGAAAAACACACCGGCACATGGTCCTCGAAGCATAACTCTGGGAATGCAGATCCAAGGTCCACAAACACGAGGGATATCCCTAATGCAGCAGTTATCCGCGTATACCAGGGAAACTGAGACAAAAGAAGAAAAAAATCCCTGCGATTGTCAAAATTTGCAAAAGTAAACACTCCGAGAAACGCTACCACACTCTCCACTTCAGGGGGGCTGAGGCACTTCTGTTTTCTTTACCGTAATATTGAACATCCCGTACCGGTCAACCGGTCATTTTAGATTGATAATCTTATCACGGCACGAGAAGTACGTTCGGCTGTTCAAGCCCAATAGCTCGCTTCTTCTGCAAAACTTATTCTCATTAGTCACATCCGGGGACCTCGATGTGTCTTGACTCTTGAACAATTTATTCTCCTCCCCTTCGGACTTCACACCTATCCAAATCTCAGAGGAACCTCCCTGAACATGGCGCATTTCGTGGGAGGTGTATTGGCCCGCCTCGTGGCGCTGCTCTGCCTCTTCCAGTGCGTTCAGGCGAAAACTGTCACCTATGATTTCAACGTCACATGGGTTATGGCCAACCCCGATGGCTTGATGGAGCGCAAGGTTGTCGGTATCAACAATCAATGGCCCTTGCCACCAATCGAGGTGGATCAAGGTGACAGACTGATTGTGAACATGTACAATGGATTGGGCGACAAGAGTACTTCCATCCATTGGCATGGTATGTTCCAAAACGGCACAAATGGGATGGATGGCCCTTCCATGGTCACTCAGTGTCCGATCCCGCCGGGCTCCTCGTACACATATAACTTCACCATTGAACAACACGGTACCTACTGGTACCACTGCCATACCGATAACTGCTACCCTGATGGTTATCGGCAGTCACTGGTCGTGCACGATAACTCCTCATACTTCAATGATATGTACGACGAGGAGTATACGCTCACCATGAGCGATTGGTACCACCGACTGGTCGAGGACATTGCACCGTCCTTTATCAGCGTTACCAACCCCACAGGCGCAGAGCCGCTCCCCCAATCCTTCCTGGTGAATGACACCTTGAATACAAACCTGCCTGTCACAGCTGGAAAGACATATCTCATCCGATTGATCAATATCAGCGCATTCGTGGCTCAGTATTTCTATATCCAAGACCACACTTTCAAAATCGTCGAGATAGACGGTGTTTATACCGAACCCACCGAAGCGAGCACCCTATATATCGCCGTCGCGCAGCGTTATTCAATTCTCGTCACAATGAAAAACTCTACCGACCAGAACTACCCTATCGTGACGCTCGCGGATTCCCAGCTGTTGGATACCATCCCATCAGACTTGAAATTGAACAACACCAATTGGCTAGAGTATAATTCCTCTGCCGCACATCCGCAGGCCGATATCACAGTCTCTTCGGTCACAGAGCTAGACCCGTACGACGATTTCACTCTTGTACCCTACGACAAAATGGCTCTCCTCCCAGACCCAGACATGACAATCGATGTAACAGTCACCATGCAAGACCTCGACAACGGAGCCGACTACGCATTCTTCAACAACATCTCCTACACGAAGCCCAAGGTCCCAACATTATATACCGTCCTCTCAGCCGGAGACCTAGCCACCAATTCGCTCGTCTACGGCGAATACACGCACCCTATGATCCTCGAGCACAACCAGGTCGTAGAAATCATCGTCAACAACGGCGACACCGGCTCGCATCCTTTCCATCTCCACGGGCACCAGTTCCAGGTCATCAACCGCGCCCCGGGGTACGGCGAGCACTTCTACGACTACCTCAACGGCGACCCAGTAGCCTACGACCCAAGCAACCACACCGCGTTCCCCGAATACCCAGCGCGTCGCGACGTATTCGTCCTCCCGCCGCAGGGCTACTTCGTGATTCGCTTCGTGGCCGATAACCCGGGCGTCTGGTTCTTCCACTGCCATATCGACTGGCATCTGTCGCAGGGTCTGGCAATGCTGCTCATCGAAGCCCCGCTGCAGATCCAGGAGCGCATGAGCATCTCTGAGGCGCAGAAGGATGTCTGCAGAGCGGCTGGTGTCGACTTTGAAGGCAATGCGGCTGCGAATACGGAAGACTACCTTGATCTTGCGGGCCAGAATAAGCAGGTTGCTTGGTTGCCGGCTGGGTTTACGGCCAGGGGTATCGTGGCTATGGTGTTCTCATGTGTGTCTGCTTTCATGGGTATGGCGGTTATTTCGATTTATGGAGCTTCGGGCATTCAGTCTAAGAAGCGGCAGCCCGGACCGGCTGATATGGTTGAGGGCAATGATGAAAATGGGGCATCAACTGAGCAAAGTTGAGTTGCCGGTTGTTAATGATTTTGTATTTGCACATAAATTGTACTTTTTGAAATTTGATCTGTTTTAATCATGAATTGCTTCAAATTTTTAGATCAATGTTGACTTTGGAAGAAGTTGACCGTTCAAGTAACAGCCCTTGCGGTGGAAATTTCGTAGAGTTCGTAGTATGTTTCATGGTATGTTTCTAAAAATTTCGAAGTCTATATACATGGTCTATTAAAGAGTCATACGGTCGTAAAGCTGGCCATCTCGAAGAATGGCATACATGAGTATCGCCAGGCGCATCGCATTCCCTCAATCAGAGGAAACCACAATTTTAGGAGTAGTAGGTCCACTAGGCGAGATCGGAGCAGTGCTCACCTCCGATATGTAATCATCCCGATCAACATGCAGATGGTCATCAGGAGTCAGCCCATCAGCAGGGCTCCCCTGCCGCGGCGACGGATTACTACATAAAGTGCGGATTTCAAGAAAGGTAGGTCCCCCCCGCGGCTGACTTCGATCCGCCGGGATCGTATTTGAATGCTGACGACCAATCCTCGCCACAAGCGGGGGTGGAGTGGGTACTGAAGCATGGCGTCCAGGGACTCTGGAACTACCTTCGCCATTGGAAATATCGCTTCCGACAAAGCTGGTAGCTCGCGATCGTGGGATGGGGGTCTGGTTGTAGACATTACGGATTTCATACAGAATCGGGTTTCTAAAAGGCTCGGCTGGGATCTCGGGGAAGGTCGTTCGTTCATGGACTTCGAAGCCCGTGTGTGGGTCGTGCGCTTTTGTGGCTAGGTAGGCGCTTGCTGCGTTGAAGAACTGGGCTACTTTTCGTCTGCCGCCGGGGTCGGGAGCGGATTGACTGGTCATTGCCTGGTGGATGGTTGAGAATGTTGCCGAGTACTCGAGATGCTGTGGGGGAGCCTCCTCTTCACTCGCAGACAGCCCCGGGGACGGTGGTGAGGATGTGCTGTCGCGAATCGCATTCCCGCCGCAATCGGCGCATCTTTGGGCTGGTGTTTCTTTTGGCTCGATTTGCTTTTCCTCGGCTTCCATGTCAGCTGCGAATATCAGCGAGAGCGATCCCAGGATAGCGAGTCCAGTACCGACGATAGGAGCCCATTGGCCTAAGATCAAGACATGTTAGTTACTTCCACCCTGACTTACTCAGATTCACAACAATACCGTACTCACCTATACTTGCTATGGGCTCCGTTTGATAGTCCACGGGTTCACTCCAGAAATTCATCTCTCCCTTGACGATAATAGCCAGTACAGCCGCCATGACAACTGGAATCTCAATCAAGGTCATCCAGTCGCGGATCCTTCCTGCAATACTTCTCATCTGGATCGGCGTCGCACCGTTTGTGCCGGCGATTGGTTCATTGTCCTTCTTCTTCTGCTTGCCGATCAACTTTTCCCAATTGCCGTCCAATATTTTAATCCACATGGATGCCATCGACAGGATCGCAGGGATGCAGCACGCAGCTGCGAGGAGAGTAGCGGTGTTGAAGTCCAATTGGTGAGGGGCTGGAATGACATAAATATTGTTTGCTGAGCCTTGTCGGAGAGGTGATGTTGGACCGTCATACTCTGTACAGACCATGCTGCAATTGCTGGTGTAGTAAAATTTCCTAGTGTCGGCCCAGATCTTTGTCGCCGGGTCATCACTGGGGCACTCGGTTGGAGTGCTTCGGATGAACTCTACGATTAGACTGAGAAGGCCGGCCAGTTGAAGGACAGTCCAGAGAAAGATGATATTTCGACCTTGGCTATTGAAGTAGGTCTTGGAAAGTTTAACGGTGGCTGGGGCAGTCAGGATGCCGATCGCGCATAGCTGGAAGGCCCCGTATACGTCCATGTCCACCGCTCCTGTAGTATAACTTAGTGACCACCTTTTTGAGGGCAATATAATACCTTCTTCCGGAGTCATGCTCACCATCAACATGAAGCGCCGCAAGAACAATTCCGTGTAGGGCCGCGACAGCGGGGAAAAGTAACACGGCAGCTAGGCAAGCATTGCGAATCCATTCTTCCTTGCGTGCGAGTACACAAGCCGCCATCAGCACGTAATATCTGTCAATAAAGATACAGGTCAGTATAATTTTCTTTCAAACTCAAGCCCTTTTAAAACTCATCAGGGGCTCATGCGTACAGATATCGGGTCCCTGGCCCATACTGTCCAGACACGGGCCAGGCGCAAATGACCTCCAATATTGGATCAGTTGTATTAGAGGCCGTTGGGAGTGTGCTACGATGCACAAGTGAAGCATTTTCAAAGAACGCCTGAGGAAAGGGAAGTGCTGGCATGGCTTGTCACCCGCCTTCGGGGGTGAGATCAGGAAATAACAATAGATAAGTCATAAATTCGTCAAGGGCAATGTGAAATTTGACACGTCACTAAGCGGCAGAAAGATTGTGAAAGAATAAAGAGAAAGGTAGCTTGTCTGGCTGTCTTATTATTATTATTACGTTCTGACATGGACGGGGTTGGCCGTCGTAGAGCACGTCCCATGCCAGATGGGTGTTCGTCAGCACCCGGAGAAAAGGCTACTAGAGTCTAGCAGCCTCATTTTGGAGAATTCCGAAGAGCCTCGGATTTGCGGGGTGTGTTTTGACAATCATTCTGATTATTCACCCATTTTCCCTGTCTCTCAAAGCAGGAAAAGCTCCCGTGACAAGTGGCTGAGCAACTGGCATTGACCGGGGCAACTGAATACGAGAAACCGGGCAACATAGTGGTCCCCTGCGTGCAGCTTGTGATTGGCAGCGATTCGGCACGGGCGTTAAATATCGCGCGGTGGCTGGGGCGGAGTGTCCTTTATACTTTTTAAAGCAGATCCCGCTCTTCTTTTGTTTTGTTTTGATTCTGGATGAGGGGCTTTTTGAGAACAATGTAATCGTGTTTGGACTGGAGAATTTTGGATGTTGTTATTGGAGTGTAAAAGAGAAGCTGGTGAAGTCCGGAGAATCAAATGAAGAGTAAGCAAGTGCGGGGGGATTTGGGGCCTTGGGCTACCCAAGAGTTCCAAGACTCTTGGCTTTGTCCATCTTTTTACCAAATTTTACTCCGTCCATATAATTCCCTCTGGGGTTTAAAGTGCACAGACTAATCAACTCTGCCCGTGCTAGCAGGACTAGCGCTGATTGCTCATTCTTCGGAGGCTTAGTGAAGAGATTCTCCTTCCTTTGGTCTCTCGCCTTGGTACAGCCTCATTTCACAGAACTCGTGCAAAAAAAAAAAAAAAAACTTAAAGGTCTTGGTTAACCACAATCCTTATTCCTTGGGGATTTCTTCATTTGTTACAAAATCCTCCAAAGGCCATCAAATCTCTTGTGGCAAACTGAAACTGATGTGGTTATGACGACAAGTCAACCTACAGTCACTCGCGTGCTGATCTCGAAATCCATTTAAAGAGTGAAAAATTATCTGAATCTACTAAGACAAAGAGCTACGAGAGCTCGATCCACCTTGGAGGCTCTAGTTTCAGGTCGCAAGCTGCAGATCGAAAAATGAGTCCAGGTCACACCGGTCGAATTTGAACGTGCGAACTGACCTTCGTTCCTCACATTCCGACTAGCGGTAAGACTTGCCTTCATGCCACCAACCTTGGAAATATACTTGAAAGGCTGACCCTGTCCCCTTTTTAAAATCAGGTTATTGTGCACGCGACCATCGGTTGATTTGCGCCTGAAAAGACGAACTCTTACCATAACCCAAGAAAAAAAATAGACCAAAAAAAAGCGCTGCAGAAAAAGTCGATTATGGCGGCCGATCTGGATACCAGCAAAATTAAAAACTGGCGATCAATTATTACTTTGATTGTTTTTGTCATCACTAGTAAGTGTTGCGCAATCAATCTTGACTTCAAGGGCTAACCGCATTTTGAGTCGGGCATAGATATTATCGTGCTTTTCCCTTTTCATATTCCATTCTATCTACCCCGATGGCTCGTCAACGCAATCGCAGATGGCCTAGCAGCCATGCGCATAATACCTCGACGAAAACCTCAATATGACCGCAAGATATTCGTCAGATTCGACTTCCCGTTGAACTTCATCACGGCACCCTTAATAGCTGACCTATTCCTATTGGCGATTTTGGCCATTGGCAGGCAAGAAGTACACGATGGGACACTGGGTGCAGATAACATTTCCCCAATTGATATTATGGCATTCTTCCTCACGCTCGCCTATATTGCCATCTCCATTGATGCGTCAGGTTTGATTCGATACTTGGCCTTCAAAGTACTCCAAAAAAGCGGTGATTTGGGTCATAGACTCTTCTTCTACCTCTACGCTTTCTTTTTCGGACTCGGTACCTTTATCGGAAACGATCCTATCATCCTGTCTGGTACGGCATTTCTCGCCTATATGACTCGAGTTTCTAGCAATATTGTCCATCCCAGAGCCTGGATCCATGCCCAGTTTGCCGTTGCCAATATCGCGTCCGCGGTCCTCGTTTCCTCCAATCCAACCAACCTTGTGCTCGCGGGTGCGTTCGAAATCAAATTCATCGTGTACACCGCGAACATGATCGTGCCGGTCGTCATCACGGCCATTGTTCTTTTTCCTTTCTTGCTTTATATCCTCTTTGCAGATGTGTCACTCATCCCAGTGTCCATCGAGATGCACGAGCTCTCTCAAGCAGCAAAAGAACGAAAGCCGGTAAATCCCAATATTCCCCATGCGCGAGGTGCAGCAGAGGAGGAAGAGGAAGTGAACAATGAGAACGGGAAGCTTCTTTCTCTGGAAGAAATCATGAACCCATTTTTGGATAAAGGAGGTGCTGCTTTCGGAGCCGTGATCATGGCTACCACCCTCATCACTCTGCTTGCGCTCAACGCTGCCAGCAATTCTGGCCATGAGCACCCTGTTTACTGGGTTACATTGCCCGCGGCTTTTGTGATGTTTTGTTGGGATCTCGTATGTGGTTGGATACACCGACATGATACACGCGAAATAGCCAAGAAAGGTAGACGGGAGATTGAAATTGTGAGGGCGGAGCGAGAAAGGCTACAGTCGCTGCAGAATTCTCCAGAACACGCAGCTTTAGAGGGACCTGGCCCCGAAAACTTGGAAAATGAATCTCAAATCCAAGCTAAAGAAGATGCGGTATCTATTGGTGCCACAGACGCGAGCCTCGGCACAAAAATCGCTCATCAGGACTTTCAGACTGCACTGTCTACCTCGGTGCTGACGGAGAAGGAGCACTTTCCGGACATTTCATCACCTGATATCGTTGTCCGCGATACCCAGGTATCAGCCCTCTCGTCATCTACAGACCCACTGGATGTGCCCCCTGCTATGGATGCAGAGAAATGTGGGGACCTTGACAAGCCCACCAAGCAAGAACACGCCACATTGGTTTCAATGGCGGCCGATACCTATCGTTGGATGCAGGAGACATTCCCAACCGTGACGGTAGTAGTCTCGCACATGCCGTTCCCACTCGTCCCATTCGCACTATCAATGTTCGTTCTCGTGCAAGCGCTCGTAACCAAGGGCTGGGTTCCAGTGTTTGCTTACGGATGGGATCACTGGGTGAGCAAAACCGGTACAGTAGGAGCGGTAGGAGGAATGGGTTTCCTATCCGTGATTTTATGCAACGTGAGTCTAGAAACTTTAGCCCCAAGTCAAACGAGTCCATGCTAATAAATTGTGTGCCGGATATCAGTTTGCCGGTACAAACATCGGAACCACCATTCTCCTCTCTCGAGTCATCCAGTCCTGGCAGGAAATTCACAAACTGAACGGACTCCCGATCAGCGACCGCACATTTTGGGCTACCATATATAGCATGGCCCTCGGCGTCAACTATGGTGCCTTCAGCACGGCATTCAGTGCCTCGTTGGCTGGTCTACTGTGGCGGGATATCTTGGCGAGGAAACATATCCGCGTCGGCAGCCTTGAGTTTGCACGTGTCAATCTTCCCATTATTGCCATTGCGATGGTTGTTGGATGTACAGTTCTGGTTGGTGAGGTCTATATTGTCCGTGGTACCGGGCCTTATGACGCATGAGGAGGATGTTGGGGTAGATGATGTTTCAATGTTCATAGATTATGACTGATATGCCTTTAAACTCACCAAGTATTCCGATACATACACCAACGGACAGCTTGGCAGAGTGTAATGAAATGAATGATTACACATGTTCACCTGGCTTTTCAGGCGTCGGTAACGCAGCGCCCATTGACTCATTGCCCAGCAACATGGAAGTGAAATTCGACATGGTGATATCGGTGTCTCCAGTCAAGAATCATGCAAGGCAGAACAAGAGCCATAAGACAATTAATAAGAGAACGGGCTCCACCCATTAGCATTGATAAGAGCCGCACACATTATGGGCATGTATCCCGATTCCCGATTCCCGAGGTCGGATCTGTCCTTTTCACCTCGATCATGCAAGGGGGTTTAAACCACAAATATGATATGCCTCTGTGTATGTATGCATAACTCTCACGAAGAATATCGAGGTTCAGCCTTCAAGGCTACTATAACGCAAGGCATTGCCTTCGTACAGTGTACGGACTCCGGAGTACACAAATCCCAAATAGCAAATCTTGATAAGACAGCGCACGGACCAGTTTCGGTTGATGTCACCGATCCAACGTTCTCATGTGGAATCAATCACTCCACTAGGAAAGATCTCGTGGTTGACCAACATTGAATGTATCGGTCATTGTGCCCGGTTTCCTACCCTTGAGATAAATCGCATTACCCTTTCTTTGCTCAACCTTCATTCCCCCAACAAACCATTCCAAAACAACCAATCTTACCCCGCCATCAATATCAGAATTCAGCACCAACCGAAGAAGTGCATTAGAAGTCACGCATAGATAGTTGACATATGCCACATTCCGTCAACGCCATCAGTATCAACTCTCTGCATACTATTCCTCGTCGTCTTGGCGCGATCCAATGCCATCTGGGACTCGGCCAACATCACACAACCCGAAAGACTTCATCCTCTTTCTCAACTACAATGTCCCAGCCAAGAAACACACAAGCCCCATGGCGTGATGCGCTAGCCTCAAATCTTGAACAGACCCCAGGCTACGAATTCACCCTTGGAACAGTCGACTATGATTCCAACGGCCGCGCAGTGCCCCGTGTCCGCACCTGTGGCTGCCGTGGTTTCTTCCCAGAGCTCAAGCTCCATCCAAGTGGACAAGAGGATATGAAGCAGCAAGTTGAAGACGGAGGCAACCCTCAGATATACGAGAGTGATATGTTAACATTCACAACTGATACTCGGATGGAGAAGCTTCCCCAAATTGACTCCTCTGGGAATGCCGTTGAGGCTATTTTTTGGCTTCAGGATTTGATGACCCAGTGGCGGGTCAAAGGCAGGGCATTTGCCATCGGAAGCCCCTCTGGCGAAGAGCATGAAGGGGAAAAGATATCTCGGGCGGAAATCAGTCATGGTTTGCGGACCAAAGAAAATTCCAGTGGGGATGTCAAGAAGTGGACATGGGAGAAGGCTGTGACTGAATACTTTGCAAACCATTCTCCAATGATGCGAGGTATGTTGCCGACTTTTGATTGATTATTTGTTTGTTTGACGACATCAGGAAACCAATTCTGTCTTTGTTTTGCGGGTGTGGATATATTTGTGTTTTTGCTAACTGAATTCAGGCTCTTTTCGAAGTCCACCTCCTGGGCAGCCCAGATCCAAGCTGCCTAGTGATTCCCCTTTACAGCTGGGACAGAAGGTCACTGATCTCCATGATACTGTTTCTCGTGCAAATTTCAGAGTAGTAGCTATTGTTCCTGATGAGGTTGAACGTCTTGACCTATCGGACATGAACGATGTTCGAAGAGAAAAATGGACTTTCATAGCGGATTTGGACGAAGGGGAACCGAAGGGTTCTTGGGAACAGATGGAGCTGTGGCCATAAAATAGAACAATGCTCACAGAGTTAAAATTACGGGGTGTTCTGAATAAGAATTATAATAGTCTCCACATTCAATGTTGGGTCCCAATTTCTATTCCGATCCATTCTAATAGATTAACTGACGATAGATTGTTTTTTTGATGCAGGAGGGGTTTATTCAATGTTACTAGTAGATCTTTGATGTAAACCGCTCTGTGAAAGTTCTGTTTAGGGGTTGTATTATGCCGGTTTCCACTTCCAAACCCTGGAGGTTGATATCCCAATCCGTGACAATTGAGCCTCAATCCCAGCTAATCTCCTCAAAAATAGAGTAACATAGATGAAATCCTGTATCCTAGAGAGTCATTGAATTATCAGAATTCAAGTATTTAAGATTCAGCCCGCAGGTGTTTTCTTGCTTTCTTCCTTCCTTTCATCACCCTTTTCTACCTTCCCACTGTGTTTGATACCCGCATCATCAAAGATTTTGTTTTGCAACTCTCTGTAAACGTGCCCACCAGGCCGGGCCTAATGGATACAAGTATGTATACCTCAACGTCCCTCATCCTCTCACCTCCAACTTCATTTTTGGAAGGCTAATAAGTCCTGGCTTTCTCAACCATAGCCGTGAAGACCCCGACGGCCAAGCAAGGGCGGAAGCGTGGTGGCCCTGCGTGTGAGGATTGCAAGGCCAGAAAGAAGCGGTGCATTCACCGTGGTGCTGAGCTTGAGACCGAGGTATTACCTGGGCCCTCCTCTCCTGCTCCGACTCTGGGGGACCCAATGAAGACCCGGAGGCGCAAGAGAGAGGATGATCACAAGGTTCGTTCTTGTCAGCTAGTTCTATCACTCAATTCCTTCACTTTTCTCTTTTGCGAATCTCCTTCCTTACCTCTTCTCTCACCTCTCACTTCTCTTCTTACCTCTATTCCTTCTTCGTATGTCACCTTTGTCTCACCCCATCGTTTCCCTTCTACTCTTTGCTTCTCCATATCATCTTTCTCTCCCCTCTTCTTCGGCTGAGCATCTTCAATATATCTCACTTTCGCCTCTCATCGCGTTCAAATACTAACATCTTATTGAACGAGTCAGTCCCCTGCCACTAAGCCTTCAGGTGCCGCTCCTACGTCCGACACTGACGCCTCTAGTGCGGCCGCTGCCAACAAGCTACATCATACGAAAAGAAGCAGGTCTCTGAAGGCCCCCCAAACTCCCGCCATCACGGCCGCGAAGCCCAAGCCCAGAACAAAGATCAAACGAAAGAGGAAGGTCATTGTTGAGGCAGCTGATGAAGAGATCGATGCCTCCAACAATCAATCCATAAAGCGCGATCTGTGCAAGCCTGCAAAATCTTCATTCACCGATCGTTCTGCTCTCTCCGCTGCATCTTCCGGGAATTCCATCGAAACCGCGGACGATGATGATCCCAACGGGTCATCCACTCCTCTATCTCCTCTTACCCCGGTCCCGGGCTCGGTCCCGGCCCAGCCTGTCGATGCCCTCCAGGGCTCGGCTCAGATGAGTATCCACTTGGTACTCTCGAGGGATTTGGAGAGGCGCCTGGATCGGCTCAAGGCCGACTTCAAGACCGCCAGGGATACGATGGATACCGCCACCGAATCGGCTGGTGCTGTGATCGCGGCTGTCGATGCGTGGAAGGAGACCTGGGCGAAGGGTGGACACTAGTGGGTGAAGGTGACATCCACCAGTGCTTAATCAGGTGCCTTGTGTGTCTGGGCATGTGTGTATGATTTTTGTTGTTCGGAGTTGTGCCTGGTGATGATCTGGATCTGGAGTTCGAATGTGCATTTTATTGATGCTCGGAGTTATGCATGGTGATGATCTGGATCTGGGGTTCGAATGTGCATTTTATTGATGCTCGGAGTTATGCATGGTGATGATCTGGATCTGGGTTCCAATGTGCATTTTATTTATTGTTGTTTGGGGTTTTGTCATCTCTAGGTCCATAGTTATTATTCTAGCATTGCGAGCATTGCCTTTTAGATGGCTTCCCTGTCTCTGGTGCTTTGCTCTGCTTTTGCTCCCTCGGAAGCTCAATCTATAATTGTTGTCTCGTGAAATTTCCTCAATTTCTACTTGTTGAACGTAGGTATAAAGTACGGCATGTAGAGTAGAGGTACTATCATATCAGATAGGAAGGACTTCACGTGCATAGAACTCTAGGCCCAAGCACCTCAGATCAGCCACGGCCTCATTCATGGTTTTGATCTGGTCATTGATAGGGGAAAAAGGAGGCGGTCTAGACTGACAGCCCACGGATGTGTTCCTCTGTTTCTTTTTCGAGTTTGCGGTCGACGTTGACAGACAAGTGTGTCAAGGAGAGTAGAAATCGTAAACCTCGGCAGCCTGCTGTCCAGTCGACGGCAAGGTGTTAAGCCAAGGAATGTAATACCGTATCGATGTAAGCCTTGGCCCATACAGGCCGAGTACGATACCAACTAGCGGACCAATTCGTGTTCGATGGAGGTTCGATCAACCAACCATCAGCTCTGATCGTAACGACGGGGCCACCCCGGCCCCGTCCACGGGCTCTCCCGCGAGAAAGGATCGGCCCTGCTATGGATACCCATCCGTCACAATCGTACGGATTTGATGCATTACCATACGCTCTTTAAACAAAAACAACCATTTAAATGAAAAAAAAAAAACAATGGGGACTAATGGGAGACGCTAAAGGGACGTCAAATTTCCAAGAAATTCCCATTTCGACTTGGCCTTCTCCAATCCCGTCAATGATCCCCATGATCCCCGAGATCCCCGAGTCCCCGACCGTTACGTGTCATGTTCCGCTTAGGTTAAGTTCCCGCTTCAATTGAGTGATTTCCACTTCGCTTTGAGGCTAAACCTCCTTCTTTAATGGGATTGGTGTGGGTTCAACTTCGAGTCTCGCTTCTGTCTCGCCAGGGCCCAGGGGATCTTCTGGCTTGGATAGGGAGGACATTTGTCAATCCTGTTTGCCAATCCCGTTGCCGAGTGTCTCCCCTTTCTAAAAGTAGGCAAGGAATGGACGATCGGGGTTGTTCGGTCTTTTTTTTGTTGGGTTATCCTGTTGTCTGGAGGTCCAAAGTCAAGGGAGATCCGCGTGGGAGAACGTGGGTCATGCATATCATGATGTTGGAGTGTCAAAAGTTCAAAGTCATGAAGGCGTGCATGATGCCTTTCTCACCGCTCCTTACAGAATTGGTGTCATGCAGAAGTACAATTCTTCTTGGAGGGCTTCCAGCACGTAGCGTTGATATCCTTGTTTTAGGCAATTGTTCTGGGTCTTGGTAGGACCAGTATAGAGGAAAGTAGGGAGTACGGAGTACGGAGTAGGGGTAAATTGCGTACTTCATTAGCAAGACAATAAATGAGAATAGTACGGAGTACAGGTGCTTCGTATAGGGTGTACGAGTGTATAGCTCTTACAGCTGGGTGTTTTTTCCTTGCAGATTATTTCCCGTATTGAACAACTTGAACCTCATACAAAATCATACAAAACATACCGTGGGTCATGGAACGATACCGTAACGGTATCATCCCCCATTTCCCAAATTCTGGATTCCCCGTCTTGGAACTTTGGGCTATTTGGGGTCTTTTTTTTCTTCTTTACAACCCCTCAGCGTTATTATTGCACCGTCTCGCCCTCGAATACCCAAATATATTCGTCGCCTTTTCCCAGGGAAGATTAAAAACCGAACAAATTACGCCCACGACGCATTTCCCCCACATTTCCCCTTTTTCCAGAACACGACATCACGACGAAACGAACACATTGAAAATACTCCGCCTATAGATACGTATCATTCTCCTTTTCACCTGCGCCATATCGTTGCGCCGGGCACCTCCATATATCTCTATCTATCGGTCAGGTTCTTGATTGCCGGCAACACTACCGGCATGGCTGCAGCTGCAGCATCCATGGATGCGCTGGGAGCCTTCACCCATCTCCAAACAAACCTGCCCGCATGGATTACCCGCGTGTCCGAGCTGGCCGCCCATACCTCCGCCAAACACACCGAATACTCAGAAGCCTATCGCCGACATACCACAGCCAAATCGCGCCGCCGAAAGAACAGCTCCGTATGCTCCATTCACACCGATACCCTCATCCCGATCGCGCAGCAGAAAACCCCCAGCCCGGAAGCCATTGATGTCGCCACCTCAATGTGCAAGGACGAAAAGGCCATGCCATTACAACACGCCGGACGCAAACGCGGCACGGACGAAGCTCCATCGGTCGACTCGAGCGAACGCTACGATTTCGTCAGCACCCGCCACAACGTCATCATCGATTACGACGGTCACACACAAAAGGTCCTCGAGCAGATCGTGAAGGATATCGGTATCGCCAGGAATAACATTCGCCGTGGCAAAATGTCATTAATGCCCTCTCGCATGGGTATTCGCTCGAACTTGCTCAACAGGACCGCCGGTGCACCGGGCGCGGCCGATTCGTCGCCTGTCGTCTCCCTTGCTTGCGTTCGAAGCACACGAACCGGGACTGGCTTGGTTGGTGTGACAGGGACGTCAAACGGGGTGAGCAAGGACTCGCCCTTTGACTTTTCTGATAAGCAACTGGAGCTCGCGTATGGTCTTTGCGAGACAGCTGCCTTCCAGGTTCTCCGGTCCGGCGACTGCGGGACAGAACTCGATGGCGTTGAGGAGAAATTCAAGATGCTACTGGAAATGACCAACAATGAAGTTGTGCGCCTTGAGGAAGAAAAGAAACAAAAACAGGAGCAAGCGACCGAGGAAGAAAAAGAAGAATCAAAGCCGCCGTCGCCCCCTCTGACTTCAGCAGCTGCTCGACTCGCTCGGATATCGGCCCTTTCGGCAACTAAGCAACCCGCTGCCGCCATAATGGGCCCCATCGAAGTCGACGATGATTCTTCCTTGTCGGCCGAGTCCCTCGAACTCGACATGTCCGCATTCCGAGCCTCGCGGATCCGTGTTTAAAATCTTGTCAAGTCAGGGCATTCAGTCGGTTCCTCTATTAGCGATTTAGCGTGTGTTCAAAGCCATTTTCCAACCGTATCAATGCTTTCTGGTTGATCTTGTTGATATTTCATCCCCGGATACCTTGTTTTACCTTCACTTCTGTCGTTTCTTAGGTGTCTTCAGGGGACATTACAGCCGTCCATGGTACGGCTATTTGAGCGCAAATTACCGCCTGGCTACTGTTTCACCCACCATCTTTATCTCTCTTTCTGGTTTATTCTCGCTCCCTCATATTGGGAAAACGCTTCTTTTGGGTGCCATATACTCATCTCCCGACCATCGTTTTGCATATTCGCGAAGACGCGCCTCATTATATGGCGCGCACGGCGTTCCAATGGCGTTTTACTTGGGTTTCAACATTTGCATATCTTTGGCACTATGGGCTATTTGATTTTTATGAGCCTCTTCTCAGTATCTATCCTTTTGCAGGAAATTGATCTTTCTGGTTTATCGTGTCCTATGGAGCGCACAGGTTGACAGTAGTCATCTACCACACGCCGGGTGTATAGTACGTATTGACGGCATTTATTAAGGCTCATGCAACATTAACACAGAATCAATTTCAATCTGCAGCAGACTCTTGTGGGATATAGAGCCAAGCGAGGTTCGCAATCCTGTTGAATTCGTTATGTACATTACAACAATAAAAAAAATATCGTCTTTGATTTGATTCTTTCCATTGGTTACCAACAAGGGCTGTTCCCATATTAAATTAATTTGGGAGTATGCGTTTGCGGCTCACAGTACATGGCCATTCCCCTTGTCATTCGTGTTGGCATTACGCATGACCATCTCTGATTCGCCCACCACGCGAGGAGGGGCCCTATCATTCCGCCACGATACTCCGTACGTGCATCGGCAAGACTGGAAAGCGAGACTCAGATGCAACACTGGAGATGATCAGTGCCGTTAGGTGGGTTGAGGGGTCCGTATGGGTACCCAACGGCCGTATACTCCGCGCTAGCGAATATTGAAAGGGCCAACGACAACAGAGGCTAGAGACGATCATATACCTACAGTAGGTAAGTAGCTGTACCCGCAACCTTGGCACATTTGAAAGACGTTGAAACTAGTACTAGTGGCTAATGTAGAACTTTTCCAGCATAACATTATCCCAAGGTTGATCCATACATAGGCTCTGTGCCGAGCTCCGTTCCGAGTCGGTTAGTTCGAAAAGCTGAAACAAGCCCCGAATATCACTCAATCGCTCAAGTCAACTCCAATTCAATTAGAACTCCGCAACTACCAAATGTTATTTCTATAATTCTTTTTCGCCCCTGTCCCCCGCTTTCTGAAACATCCAGAAAACTCAAGAAACAGGTCACAAAAAATTCGCTAGGGTAGCCCTGGACGGTAATCTGCGGCATCCGTCGGTGTGGGGAGTCTAGACTATCAATGTATAGTGCCTAGCGTAAACGACAGGGAATATAAAACCTTACCTGTACCCTAACGACGAACTAGCAGGGGTTGCGAGACGCCGAGCGAAAAACAAAAAAAGAAATCGCTCGCGGCCTTTTTCTTTGTCTCGCAATTATCACTACATATGGATTCCGGACGTACGAAATTCATGCGAGGCAAACGGGTTGCGATCCAGATGCGAGACTGGTGCGAGTTCAAGCGAGCGTGACTCAAGACATGCATCTTTTGAGGCTGGCCTATGTACTTCACCTTGGACTACAGACTATTGGTACCTTTGTCGACCTCTTGAAGTGGTGGAGTGGATGCGATGGGTGGAGTTGTTGTCTGGGTGAGGCGCCAGCTAGAGTTCCTTTTCCGCTTCTGTTGCCTGTTAACCGTCGACGATGGGGCTGTAGAACATTCATTTGAGTCCATGGAGTGGACTTTCGAGGCGACGAGCCTCCATGCCCACCTGGGGTGGGGGGACACTTGAGAAAATTGATTAATCACCTACATCAGTGGCTTTTGAGTGAGACGTACATTCATGTTCTAATTTTCAAGGCTCTTGCCTTGTTGCGCGTGTTTTCAAAAGGGTCGATCATGCACGAGTCCATAGGCCAAGCAACATGTGGGCATCTTACTTGCTTTCAATTGAAGATCATGGCAGTATCAATTTTGTACAATGCCAGCGCAGCGGCGGAGTCTATCCCCACACAATGGCATTGGAGATATCTGGAGAATAAAGACACTTTCAAAGTTGAATATGTGCATATAAAATACAGCATGGATCTAGAATAGGATAAATACAAACATACAGCACCTACAATTAGAAATACTGGCAAATCCATACATATGCGAACAAGTCGAGTCATCCTGGCCCCGCAGACCCGTCTACCCGGGACTCGCAAATATCGGCAATTGGCTTGCTGTAGTGGAGTGCACCCCGCTTCAGGCAATTCGCGGAAGATATATCCATAGTATGGACTTTACAGGGTGGCGTAACCTAGTACGATGTACCTGTAGCCTGTATCTAGGAGAAGGGTAGGTAAGCGACCTCAGCTAGCCTCCATATTGACCTCGAGATGGAGCCAATATTGGGACTTACTGGTGAGTCAGGTGGGTGGTCTGTGCGTGAGCTTTTTAAATGGAGAGAAACGAACATGTTCAACAAGATATGATAGATAACCTCTAAAGTAATAACCTTCTATCCAAGTGTTGCTGATATCAGATTAGGCTCGGCTCATTTTCGGGTACCCTTCCAATGCGGATACACATGACAACATTTGAACCTTTGTTATCTCCTTGATTTCAGGGATTTCCTGTGGTCCCCTAATCCATGGCATTCATTTTCTTTCTGGCTTCTCTCAGGGGTGACGGCGTGTCGTAGCCCGGTCTACCAGTCTCCAAGAAATCATACACATCCGGAGTGTTAGAACAGGGATTATGTAGGCTAGTCGCTTTGCGCGTCAAAGAAATAAACAAATAAAGATAAGTAGATACATGATGTTTTTCATTTAAAACCTAGCAATACTCAAAGTTTACTATACATAGATTACTGCGTATCATATACTGGTACTGAGTACTGTACGGCGTATAAGAAACAAAGAGACACAAAAGTCCGCAGTATCTTTGCTCTGCAGCCTCGCTCCTACTAGCCGCATTTGACGGGTGTCAAGGGTATCCGACTAGCCCTGCACCCCTGCAACTAACATTTTGAAGAAAAAAAGAAAAGAAAAGTCCATAGCCAATCAGGCTCTGCCACAGCTGTTTTGATGATGCTGGTGGCTGGCATTCGGATCCTTCCCTGGATAACCGCGTAATTAGCATTATCAATTGAGCTGGAACGTTCTTGAATCGAGAATAGAATAGAATCCTTGTCCGGATACTCTATTAGAATGGTTTTTTGTTGGCTTTAATAGGCAGGAGGGGCGATTTCCATATTAAGGATGTTTGATGTTTGATTATTTTGTGGAGTTCATGACGTCCGCTCGTGGACCCCGTATTGATTATCATCTTCTTGTACTATCAGGTGTGGCGCTGGGAAAGGAAAGTGGGCTTGCTCAATTCTAATCCTAATTCTAAATAATCCGGATGTCTTCAGGATCTGCAGGATGCCCAGGTGGGCTTTTTTAAGTTGGGACAAGACGGGGGCTGCGTCGTACAGAGCGAGCAATAGACTGCATTTGCAGACGGGAAGTGGGCAGGGATCCTGCAGATTAGAATGATGCAGACCGGAAGGATTCCTTCCCACTCACTCATTCAATACCTACTTGATTTCCTTTACCGGGTGGGGCTTTCCTATCCAGATGCCGCCGCTTCAATGATGGCGCTCAGAGCCAGCCACGTGATATTTTGGTCAGGCCCTCTGAGCGCTCAGAGAGTGCTCACTCACTGATTACTCATAGTTTGATCAGAGGCATGTAACTAGTTAACTAACTAACTAGTTACTGAGTAGTGAGCACTCAGTCCACGCTCACTCCATACCCCAAAGGGCACTGTGTCCCAGCTTTCTATTTATGATGGCCCTAAACAGCGTCAGGTTCTTGAGAGGCTCTATGCTTCATTTCCAACCCCCCCCCCCCCCCCCCCCATCTCGGCCCGTTTAAAATACACGATAGGACTAGACGGCGCAAAGATGGAAGGTATAATAGCATCGCGGTGGAAAGCCATACCAATACTCCGCGGATGGAACGTCTTGATTTGCCCAGTTCAAGAGGCGTGCTCAGATCTGCTCAGTGAGCAAAAAGCGGCAAGGTCTGAGCAATACGGAAGGTTTCCTTACTCACTCATTCAATACCTTAGTAACTACTAGTTAACTAGGCTCTTTTTATTGATGTCAAGTGTTCAAATGTTTATAATTTGTTTTTCAACATTAGAATATCTCCGCAGCATAGAAAGTGCATGATGTACTGCTTCGAAGTATAACCATAACACTTTAAATTGTTTTATTGCAGGTAACTGGTTTCTTTGGTCTTTCCTTGCTTTTTTTCTGGGCATGGACGAGGGACGGAATTCCAAATCAGGACCAAGAATCTTTATGCAGTAAGCAGGTGGTGTGGGGTTGTCAAGGTGGTTGGACCCCAATTTTGCTGTGAAGATCGACAAGCGTACCACAACCGCGGAATGGGACCATGAATGTCCAAGTCCCTGGAGGCCAGTGATGATAAAATCCTGCTTTCAAGGCAGTACCTGGGTCAATGAAGGCCGGGAATTTCGGATTACCAGTTGGGATGAAACACGCTAAGCACTGGAGTTACAAGGGAATTGAAATTCTCAAAAAAAAAAGAAGTATTATATGATACACTTCACATTGCATAACAACTCGACAATAACGTATACATCAAGACAAGTGTGTCATGGCAACATTCTCAAACATTATAAAGGACATGACGCGTACATCAGCCATATTACGAATATAAATACGGTAAGTTTCAAGCAAGAACGGCAACCGCAAGCCTAGTCCAAAAGTAGTATGTACAGGGCTTGGGGCCGGTCGCTCTCACTCATCAACGTGGATCGACATTAAGGGAAAGGAGGCACAAACGGCCAAAATCAGAGCCGGGCCAGTTTCCAAAAACTGGCCGGTTGGGTATCAATTGTAGACCAAAAAAGAGAGGCCAAATCCAAAATCCAAAATCCAGGGCATGTGGCGTATACCAGCGCTATGCCTATTAAGGCGTATAGACGGCAGATATGACCAGCTTAGAGGACGTGGATCTCCTCGTAGATGGGGGGCTGGCCCTTGGACATATCCCAGTTGATCTTGTTCTTCTCGTCGATCCAGGACTCCTCATCAGTGATGGGGATGACGCGGCTGGTGTGAGCAACCTCCTGGGCACTAATGCCGAGAGAATCACGGGGAATCCAGAGGAGGGGAGGCTGGGAAGTGATGGCCGGGTGGCAGTAAGCATCACGCTCAACGGCCTCGGGGTAAGACTGGATATCCAAGGGGTTGGGCACCAGACGACGCAGAGAAGCGTAGTCGTTATAAATGTCGGGACGGGCCCAGCGAACCAAGAAGTTGGCCTTGGGGGGAGCAGCAGTCACTGCGTCACCGTTCAGACCCTTCTCGGCAGAGTCCACGTTGCCAACACCGCTGTCGATGTTGGAAACACCATCGTGCTCCTTGTCAGCCAGGGTGGGGGCACCGGTACCGTTGGTCTCATTGCGGTCAAGGGCAAGAAGGGCCTCCTCCTCAGCCTCGAGGTTCTTGGGCAGGTAATGGATGAGAGGCTCCATGGCAGCGTTCATGGACATGTGGTACAGGATGATGAAGACCAAGAAGATGATCATGAGGATCAAGGGACCAACGGCCATGGTGTTGGAGCCACTGGCCATGGCGAACAGACCAATCAAGCACACAATGAGAATGTAGCAACCAACGGTAAGGTGCTGCAGAGCACGGGTGTAGGCCTTGCCCTGAGTGTCGATAGTGGCGTTTGACACGTACAGGACGTTGTACCGGTAGGCGAAGTAGAACAGGTACAAACCAACGCAGGAGAATCCCATAACCAATGGGGCAATGCAAGAGTAAATGATACCTAATATCCGTTAGAATTGGAGTCATAGCGCTTGGCGAGATAATCAAGAGTAAGAAAGGGGAAAACATACCAATAGTGGTGAGCATAGTGAACACAGGGTAGACAGTACCCCAGGTGAGACCAGCCAGGCTGGACCAGCGCTTGTACATCTTACGGGGAGTCTTGTCGAAGAGTTTGCCGAGGATCTTGCCAACGATCAACCCTCCAATCTGCAGAAGAGCACCGGCACTGAAAGAGAGACCTTGCAGAACGATGTATGAAACGTAGAAGTTGGAGGCACGGGGAATGTTGCTAGCAAGCAGAGTGGCAGCAGAGGCGGGCTCCTGGATAATGGAGGTGATGACACTGGTGGCGGCAGAGGCGAGGGTAACCACCAAGAAGACCTGAACAACCTGGAAAGCGAAATAGTAGTTCTGGGTGGTCAACTCAATGGCCGCCAGGCAAGGATCACCGCCAATCTTGGCCATGATACGCATAATGATGGGGACCAAGGCCATCAGGACAGCCATCAAGACAGAGGGCAAGAGACCAGTGATAACACCACGAATGACGCTAGGGATATCGTTGATGAAGCCCAACCAGGGAAGCTTCTCAACCAAGAAGTTAATGTTGGAAATACAACCAACAACAGCGACGGGAATGGCCCAGAAGATAATCAAGGCAATAACAAAGGCAGTAGTGGCACCGTGGCGAACGACACGCTCCCACCACTTGATGCGGAGGTTAGACCAGACGATCTGGGTGGGATCGAGACCGATGTAGCGAGGAGTCATGTGCAAGGGAAGGTTGTGGGTAACAGATTGGTAGGCAGCCTGGGCATCGGACATGTTGAAGAACTCAACAAAGACGGAGGTGACAAGCTTAGCATCACCAGCACGGTGCTTGGCCTGCAACTCCTCAATCTCGGGGGAAAGACGCTCAATCTCGGAACGGGCCCAGTTGATGGTATCGACCTTCTCGCCAATCAGCATCTTGAGACGGTGAGTAGGGCGGTCCTTAGCCTCAACCCAGCGTGCAGCAACAGAGCCAGACTCATCATCGAATTGACCAACAGTCTGCTCGGCGTTACCGTCCTCGGGGATACCCTGCTTCTTGAGAGCCTTAGCGCGGGCCTTGTTAGCAAGCATAATAAGCTTGGTCTCGGCGCCCTCGAGCTTCATGGCAGCAGCGTCACGCTCCTTGACCTTCTCCTCCAGGTCGCTGGTATCGGTAGCAAGCCAAACATTCTTGACCTTGCTGGCACCCCAAATGCCACGGATCTTGTCCTTGTTGAGGTAGTCCTCAGTCACCGCAGAGAACAGAACGGTGCGAGAGGAGATACGGCTGGCGTAGGCGGGAGAGAAGAGGTAGGCCTGGCGCAAGTTGATGAAGAACATGTGCTCGCGTGTGATCATAACAAAGATGAAAATGACGAAGATCCATGCGAGGAAACAGTGAGCGTAGTAGCGGCCATATTGATCGCTGGACACGTTGGACATGCTCAGCAAATCCAATTGACTCTGACCGCCACCGCCAGTAGCATTGACAGGGAACAGAATGGGCCATGTGATACAGCAACCGACGAACATGATCAGGGCGACGGTCTTGAGGAAGCGCAACAGGAGGTACGCGTCCATAGAGTGGTGCTGCAAGACGTAGGTATCGGGCAGCTGGTACATGGAGTTGACCCAGTTCCAGAAGCCAGTCGGGGTATCGGGGGTGCGTTGCCAGTCCTTCAGGTAACCAATGTAGGTGCGGGGCATATACATGCGGTGCTCCTTCTTACGCAGGATGATGAACAGCAAGACCATGACAGCGAAGGAGATCAACGATGGGACCAAGGTGGTCACGAAGGCGGATGCTGAGCTCGAGGTAGCACTTGGGTCGCTCTAAGATTGATTGTTAGGGTTGTCATTTACCTCTCGATAGCTATTGTTTCGCATCGCGCATTAACCTACCGAAGAACGAGCGACCAGCCGGTCGATGTTACCGGCATAGTCCACCATGATGAATTTCGAAACACCGATTACAGTGTTATGCACGAAATTACACGTGGAGGGGATGTCGACAAGGGATTAGATGCTTTTCCCCGGATTGAAATGAATTTCAGAAGAAAAAAAAGGAGAAAGAGAAGGGAAACAGCGAAGGTTTAAGCTTAAGGGAGGGGCGAGTTTGCACGATCAGCGATCTGGGCCTACGTAACACTAGCAATTTTTGAATTTTTGAATTTTTGCAGGGGTTATCTATAGTCCATTAGTTCTACATTTTCTTTTTCTTTTTTTTTTTTCTCTCGCTTTTCTTGCCCCCTTTTGTTTGAAATGGAATAGCTATTCAGAACTCCACTTTTTAAATTGGATGTGGCGAGTGGCTGATCGATCCAGACTTGGCCTGGTGCTGGAACCCCGATTGCAATCCCTGAGCCATCGGCCTTGGACACCGCATGGAGAATCGATGACACGATGAGGACATGTCGCACAGCTCGTACTACATATCGGTTTAGACATGCACCTACCCTTTTCACCTATCTATAGCTCTCTATTTAGCTTTTTAATGCGTTGTTTATCGGAGAAGCCCGAGTGGCCTGCGCCACGTTCTCCCAGCCACAGCAAAAACCAGCACTAACATTTGAACGTGAAATCATCAGAATCCACCCAGAGAGACAACAGGCCACTTTTTTTTCGAGCCCCGCAAGGGATGCATATCACACTTACAAACTCAGATATTTGACCCGAATCTGACTGTAAAAAGACTCCGGCTCTCTTCTATGGCTTTCAACCCTCGTATGTCCACGGTTATTTGACCTCAAGAATCCAGGGGGCGCGAAGCTCACAGGTGACTATCATCCAGTAGTTTGCTCTAGTTGGTATTAATCTCTTTCAGCCCAAGTTTCAATCTTTAGATGCGCTTTCATGTGCCATTAGGCAAACTCACATGGAAAAAAAGAAAGAAAAAAAAAAGGAAAAAAAAAAAAAAAACAACAATCAACAATCAACAAAGATCGCCGACCAGGGCCCATGGATTCGATGATGAGCCGGGTCAAATATGGTTGGAGCATCGGAGAGGCGCTAAGCATCACTAGTGGGATGCACTATTGACCACGCAGAGACTTCATGATTCATATCCTTGTCACCCAATTCAGCCCTAACGAAAGGTAATTCAGTCCTTGGGAGTATATTGGGAAAAAAAATTCACTTGCAACATTTCAGAGTGGACCCCCTTTCATACCATCTGTAAATGTGAACTCAAGATCAAACAAACCCCAGACATCAAGTCCCCCTGTGGAAAAAAGGGGGTTCGAGTGTAAGGCGGAATGATGCGATGATATCGTCATGATAACCATGGATTCGATAGGGGATCGTCGATCCCTGGGATTTCGAGGGGTTTTTAGACGTAGCTTTTTCCTTTTTTTTCCCTGTACCTCTCAGGTACATTTGCCATGTTTTCTCACGTAGATTAGGTTAGGAAGGTACTTTCGGAGAACTTTGCTTTCGGGGGTCCGCTCTTGTTCGACTCCACTTGTATTTGTGTTGTCCACCGCATTTCTGCGCTAGCAAAGTACTTTGTACATAGAGTCGTGGATCGCTTTTTTGCTCGCTTTTTTTGCTCGCTTTTCTTTGGTTCTCGCTTCCAGTTTTTCCAATTCGGTTTTTTCTGATATCCAATCCCAATACTCCGTACATCAGATACCACATACCGCTCATTTTTGCTGGTTAGCTCCACACCCGCGCACGGCCATGGTTCGGCTTTCAGCTCTATGACGATTACACTTGTCCTGGTTGTCGGGTCCCGCCAAGCCCACGTTCGACCCATGTTTAAGTGGCCTATAGCTATAGCAAAATCTTGCAATCGGTTTTAGACTACATGGGGCCACGCAAGCAAAAACCCAAAATCCTTGTACGGTATGTGATCGATCTCTGATCGATCTTGTGCGGAGCGATTGCATTGAACTTGTTTTAATTTTTTTGGTCTTTTCTCTTTTTTTTTGGCTTTGACTTGCTTTCTCTTTCATTGTACATGGCTACTTGTATTTAACTGGACGTCCCCTTGGAACATGTCCACGCCGCGGATCGGAGGGCGTAGTGTCAAAAAGCTCATCAAGATCTCGTTAAAATGAAACTGAAGATCCGGTCGGAGCTGTCGATGGGATCTTACCATCTCACCCACTGACCATGCACGCTCAGGGTTTCGTAGGTCGGGCTCGCAACCTTGTTCGAGCAATAGCCACAGTAGAGTTTCGCAGGCCGGGTGTCGGTCCAATTGATGTTGTGCGACTAGGGCATTGAGATAGATCAAAAACCTCACAGTCTTATCGGCCGAGTCTTTGAATTCCCACAGAGCGGCAGTGATATAGATAAGAGCAGCCGTCCGACTGACTTCCTGAGTTTGAGGGTCACGGACCACGTACATGCGCGACGCGTGTGGCACTTGTGAGGGCCGTGGTCCACTCGAAAGTAAGGAGAAGAGTGGACACTCCATTTGAAATACGTCGCGTCTATGCGGTGCATGTGTAAGAAACTCTGGGGTGCTGTGTTGTCGCATAATATCTTCGGCGGCGCGTAGAAACGCCACTGACCATGGCGGGGCCCTCGAAGCAACCTCTGTAAGTGCCGGTGGTGGCACAATGAGCCGAACATAATGGACGAATGCTTCCACCGGAAGATTAATGCCAGCGCGCGGACGCATGATTCGTACGGCATGATCCAGGTAGCCTTGAGCTACTGGGTTATGTCCGAATCGATCCTCCCCGAGAGCCATGCCCGCTAGGGCCATAGCTAGGTAATCTTCGTTGACCGGTAATGCCCCCGTAGTCGCATCCTGAATATTCTTTAACGCCTGGGAAACATATCGCTGAACTTCCTTGCTGTCCGGGGTTTCATGAATCTGACCCTTCCACCGGGCACAGTAAGTCAGGATGACCGCCTGGAAAGCAACTGGGTGCCCCATGGCGGTTCTAAACATCTGGTCTTTTATGTAGGTGTTCTGACCCGACCAGTATTGTAACTTGCTCGTCCAATACTCGGCAAGTTCCGCATCTTCGGGGCTCTGTGTAAATGGGACACTTGAGAGTGGATCCCTTCGAGATATATCGATCGTCCTCGGCGCGATGAGTTCCAAAGGTGCTGATTGCGCGTATGGCTTGACTGGCGAAAATCGGATGGGAAGCTGGATATTGTGAGCTGGATGAGCACTTATAATTGCCCTAGGGCAACGGGAAATCTTCCCCCGCAGACCAAGTAGGTGGTTCATACCGAAGAGTCCTGCTCGATCGATGCTCCTGCGTGGGCCGATGTGACATCCTGCTTATTATCTGTACTATACGCCGGGTCCTCCCTGGCCTGCCAGGAGTTCAATTCTTGGATCTGCTCCGGGGGTATCGTGCCGTGAGACATCTTGCGTTGCTTTCGTTTCTCTTGGACGTGGTGTCGCATAACGTGGGCGCGTTTTTCCTTTGAGGACGAGCTCGAGTCGACAAAGTAGAACATCTGATTCTTCGCCGGGTTTTCCGAGTTGGCCGGCCGTCGGCGTCTTCTTGCTTTGGCTCCATTGGCATCGTTCGCAGGCCCTATATAATGATGAGTTTTCATGGTGTTGGACAACTTTGCGCCAGGGCTAGCCTACCCGGAACATCCGGCGCAATGACCGGTGAGGCCTCTGAATTGGCCTCTGAATCGACCTGGCGGTCACTGCTTGACATTTCGTGATGGTTGAGAGTTGAGTTAAGTTAAGCGCAGCCACTACAGCATGCCGAACCCACGGATCACCAAAGTTCCTCCAGCCTTAGAACCTGAGATTTAGGAATCATCGCAGGCTCTGAATCAAGAAATGGATCGTTCAAGGGTGCAGTAGTGCACACCCGGCAGGGTTGAAGTGGCGGATAACGCTAGACTAGGCAGGCGATTATATTGACGGCAATGCAAGGCGATGCGGATGATGCAGAGATAGTGCTTCCGACGGAAGATTCGGCGGGGGGCAAACACGCTTCCTTTCGGCCGTGTGAAGGCAATGCCAATCGAAAAACAAGAAAGAAAGGGGGGGGAAGAAGGGGGGGGAGGGGTGTTCAATACGAGATAGATGAAAAGTTTAAGAAAGGAGAGAGTCGCAAGTTTAGTAACATTATAATAATCAGCACCTAATCAAGTCTCGAAAGTCCCGAGTTAACTCCCCGAAGACCCAGCGGAGGGGGGAATGCTATCTGGGTTTAACCTAACGGAGGCTCAGCAACGCCTGTTCCAAGTGGATCCTTCCATTTTGGCAACCGAAAGAAGAAGTTGATCCTTGTTTTTCAAAGGGGTGGAAGGTTGAAGAAGCGATCTGGTTGGCTGGCAATCTCAACCTTCCGAAGTGACCGGGCTTCGTTCGGCTTAGGGTGGAACTTTGAGAAGTTTGCTCCTATTACTGGTTTGGGGAAGGTGCCACTGCCACGTGGCCACGGTCACATGATCCACGGCCCGTGACGTGATTGGAAACCTTGAAGCCTTAAAGTTAGGAGCCTTGCAGCCTTGCAGCCTTTAAATCCTGATGACCTAAGAAAGAAAACCACTTAACGCGTAGAAAAGGAAGGGACGCGACGTGGACGCGTTCCCGAAAAACGAGTTGGCCCCTGTCAATGTGCTTGTGTTTCTATTGATGAGATCTTTCTCTCCCTCTTCCTCTTGTATCCCACTTCCTCCCCCCACCCCCCTCCTCCTCTCTCCCCTCTCTTCTGTTTTATATCCCGGCATTTTTGAGAGCTTAATTTTTTTTTTAATTCTGGCCTCAATTGTAGGCCCTTTACGCTCTCTCAATCATGTCTACCCTATTTGAAGCCGTTCTTCAATCCGAGCAAGGGCCCGGGTCGAGCGCCCGTGAACATTATCGATCCGATAACCTTCCCAGCTCTCGCCGCTCAGAAAGCAATGGTCCCCATAGTGATATGAACAATTTCCCAGATGATCAAGTTGTCGGAGCAGGCACCTCAACAGCCAGCCGGCTACGGAATCCCTACACCGCAGGCCCCCCGCCCGTGATTGATGAGGCTGGAGAGAAGGTTCAGCAAGCATTCCAAAAACTGCTCGAGACATTCATGGAGGAGCCTTCATCATCTGCTCCACCATCATCGGGCGGGATTCTGAGCGACAAGTACTATGTCGCCCAAATCAAGGGCATGAAAAAATTCGAACTCTCCACCCTGTACGTGGATTTCAACCACCTGAGTGCTTGGGAGAACCCCATTCTGGCCACCGCCATTTCCGAGCAATACTACCGTTTCCTCCCTTATCTTACCAAGGCGCTTCACAATCTGGTCGCCAAATATGAACCGGAATACTTTGTGTCGCATCGCATGGCCTCGACCGCCTCCACCAACGCCAGTGTCTCGGTGGCCTCCGCCTACGCCGGTGTCACAGAAAACCGCGAATTGGATAGCCAAATTCGTGGAAAGACTCGCCATCAACAAACCGACAAGTTGTTCGCCTTGGCTTTTTACAACTTGCCATTGATCTCCCGACTCCGACAACTTCGTACCAAACAGATCGGAGCTTTGCTGTCGGTCTCCGGAACCGTCACCAGAACCTCTGAGATCAGACCCGAGCTGTCACTCGGTACCTTCATCTGTGAGGCTTGCAAGACTGTTGTGCCCAACGTGGAGCAAATCTTCAAATACACCGAGCCCCCAGAGTGTCCAAACTCAGTCTGTGGTAACCGTAATGGTTGGCGCTTAGACATCGGCAAGAGTACCTTTGTCGATTGGCAGAAAGTTAAGCTTCAAGAGTCGTCCCACGAAATCCCGACCGGAAGTATGCCTCGCACGATGGATGTCATCCTCAGAGGTGAGATGGTTGACCGCTCCAAGGCCGGTGAGCGATGCATCTTCACTGGTACCTTGATTGTTGTCCCCGACGTGAGCCAACTTGGATTGCCCGGTGTGCGTCCTGAGGCGGTTCGTGATAATGCCTCTTTCCGCGGCAGCGAGGTGGGAGGCGGTGGTGTCTCTGGTTTGAAAGCTCTCGGTGTCCGCGATCTGACTTACCGACTGGCTTTCCTTGCAACCATGGTCACCCCTGATACTTCCACCCCTGGTCAGAAGCCCGAACAGCAACTCAATGGCCAATCAAACAACATTCTAGCCTCTTTGAACCAAAACACCGACCCCGACATGAACGAAGACAAGGCTCAAGAGGCCTTCCTCCAAAGTCTTACTCCGATGGAGGTTCAGGACTTGAAGACCCTGGTCCACTCAGAGTATATTTATTCACGATTGGTTGACTCGATTGCCCCCATGATTTGGGGCCATCGTCAGATTAAGAAGGGTCTATTGCTGCAACTAATTGGTGGTGTCAGCAAGAAGACCTCCGCCGAGAGCCTTCAGCTGCGTGGTGACATCAACGTTTGTATTGTCGGTGACCCATCCACCAGTAAGAGTCAGTTCTTGAAATACATTTGCTCCCTGCATCCCCGTGCGGTCTACACCAGTGGTAAAGCCTCTTCGGCTGCTGGTTTGACAGCTTCGGTTGTGAAGGATGCTGAGACTGGCGAGTTCACCATTGAAGCCGGTGCGCTGATGCTGGCCAACGGAGGTGGTATCTGTGCCATTGATGAATTTGACAAAATGGACATTGCCGACCAGGTTGCCATTCACGAAGCCATGGAACAGCAGACCATTTCTATTGCCAAGGCCGGTATTCACACCACTTTGAATGCCCGTGCCTCCATTCTCGCCGCCGCCAACCCTATTGGCGGTCGTTACGACCCGAAGCAAACCTTGCGCCAGAACTTAAACTTCAGCGCACCCATCATGAGTCGATTCGATGTGTTCTTCGTCGTCCGCGATGAGCCCAAGGAGCATGTGGACCGCAACCTAGCCGAGCATATCGTCAACGTGCACATGAATCGTGACGAGGCAGTTGAGCCCGAGCTGAGCACTGAGCAGCTGCAGCGCTACATCCAGTTCGCGCGTACTTTCCGCCCCGTTTTCACCGACGAGGCCAAGAGTCTCCTCGTCGAGAAGTACAAGGAGCTCCGCGCCAACGACGCACAGGGTGGTATGGGTCGCTCATCCTACCGCATTACTGTCCGTCAGCTCGAGTCCCTGATTCGTCTTTCCGAGGCCGTTGCAAAGGCCAACTGTGTGGAAGAGGTTATTCCCAAGTTCGTTATTGAGGCCTACGATCTCCTTCGCCAGAGTATCGTTACTGTCGAGAAAGACGACGTGGAGATGGATGACGATGCACCTGCTGCTGCCGCCGCTGATGATGACGAGGATCAAGAGATGGCAGACCGTGATCGCGATGGTGACAGCCCCATGCGTGGAGAGGAGGAAGAGGCCCCCGCCCAGCCTAAGCCGGAGCGCACGAAGACCAAGATCACATACGACAAGTACGCGAAGATCCTGAACCTCATTGTGCGCCGAGTCCGTGAGGATGAGGTCAACCAAGGAGAAGGTGTTGAGCAAGAGGACCTGATTCTATGGTACCTGGAGCAAATCGAAGGCGAGATGGATACTCAGGAGGATTATGTTCGTGAACGAGAGCTGGTCACCAAGGTGATGAAGCGTATGGTCAAGGTATGTTGTCTCTTTGTTCCTACACTTTTAAAGCTAATCACTAATCACCACTTAATTTAGGAACGCGTTCTGCTCCGCATCGCATCTGACTTGATGGAAGGAGAGGGCAGAGACGTGCACCCCAGTCAAGCCGACTCGGAGAAGATCCTCTATGTGCTGCATCCTAACTGCGCCTTCGAGGAGATGTGAAGTGCTGCGTCAGCGCCACATGTCTAAGCAAACCTATTCTTGTTGTTTATTTCCTGGGATCGGTCATTTTTTAGCATTTTCAGGTTGGATTACAAAGGAGCTAAGGGGTCATGAGTGATGATATCCGTTTTGTTTTGTTTGTCTTTTTTTGGCGGCTTTATAGTGATTGATAGAGCAAAAATCTTTAATTCAGAGCCAGATATCTTGAATTGAAGCAACTTTAAAACAAAACCAGTGCGCATCGTACTAGGTAGCAAGTACTCCAGGGCTATACGCCAAAAGCTCCCTTTGAACATTGAGCATCCGACCAAACCTTGAAACTATCTATCTATGTAATATATAGCCATCCTTTTGGTCCCAAAGCCTTATGTCTCCCATTGGGCATCTCCCATTGGGCACATATGTCGCAGAATGAGAATGAGCCACACGGCTATTACTTTCGTTCTTGACCCTCTCAACCCACTGTGGAGTCATCGCATCATGGTACTTCTCCCACAACAGAGGCAAAAAACACACGTCCTGCACACAGTATTTCATGATTTCATCCGCAAGCGGACGCTTATTGAAGACCTCATACGACCCACCATGTTCTGGTGCAAACAGCTTAAGCCCAGCATTCTTGTTAGACTTCCAATCTCTTCTTTCCCGGTCGCTCATCGGCCCATCGTGCTCTATGCACCTCGCTAGTCCATTTACCAATCTTCTTTGGCAACCCTTGCGAGCCGCGAGCTCCATCAGTTGCAGATCCTGGACACCGCCCAGTCTAACTTGATAGTGCGCGAACAGGGCGTCCGAGTCGTTGCGCACATCGTGGAAGACTTTTGGGATGGAATGCGATTCAAGAACGGACTGCAGGGTTAGTTTTGAACCTGGTGGTCCTGGGGTGGAGAACGCTCTTTCCTTTAGCGTGTGGATGTCCACTACGTATGTTCGGCCGAGTGGAAGGATGAATATTTGAATTAGGGATATCGTGCCGTGTCGGCAGAGGTTTATACCTTCCAGGTCCAGATATAAAGATGGAGGATCAACGGGCAGGTTTTTCAGGGCTTGTAATAGCTCCTCTATGCCGGTGGGAGTGTCAACGAATACGACCGTGGGGGTTTCTTCAATTTTCAACTGTTTGGAAAAGGAAGATATAAGTTCTGCCGGTTCTATCTGCGTGTTGGCAGATACGCCAAGTGGTGGTTGAGGCGGCGCTTGAGCGTCGCCCGTTATTTCCACCACGCTGGCTGCTACAGTTTTATCGCTTTTGTTGATCGAAGCTTTGTGTATGTATTAAATTCTGTCTGCTGCATTTTTTGAGGCATTTTGTACTTACTAGACATGTTGCGATGAAAGGCACTTCGGATGTGGATTTGGCAAGTTGATTGAGCTTAATTATTTGGATGATATGGCTACAATTTACTAGTATCATGTGAGCTGTACACGTCAGTTTGATCCGTACTAGTAGAAATTCGTAATCAACTTCCAAGGTTATTAACGTTAGCGAAACTTAAGCCATGATTGGATGAATTTACTGTCCCAAAAAGGTAAAAAATCTTGAAAACTTGTCCCGGTGTAATTATGTACAGTGTACTAGGATCGGGTAGTGACCTTGCAAGTAAATAGTGGAAATACTTAGAAAATCCTACTTATTAATCTTGACAATTACCTTGCCTTTTGCTCGCTGGGAATGAAGCCTTTCGTATGCCTGGATAATTTCTTAGTACTCGCATAAAATGAATTCACCTTTGTGGTGAGCTCCCGACTAATAATAAAAATTTTGCATACCTTCATTGCATCTGCCATCTCCCACGTCGAGTCAATAACAGGCGTCAAAACTCCATCTTGGACCAACTTCTTCAGCCGAATCATGACCTCCACCCCAGGCGTCCCACTGATCATCGTATAGGACCGAGGCGTACCGCCCAACCAAGCCGGCCAAAGCAAATTCAAAAACATCGCCCAGGCAAAGCTCAGCAAACTCCCAGTAGCCGACTGAACCTGCATAGCACCGATATTAACAAACCGGCCTCCCTCGCGCAGGTAGCGAGGAGAACTGGTATAAAGCTCTTGAATACCTATCGTGTCTATGATAGCATCGAAACGAGTCTCGGAATGCTCGCTGGATAGGTATTCATGCAGCGGATCATGTCGCCGGTAGTCAATAACCTAGAAGAGAAGAAGTACATATACTCGTCAGCAACAAAGACGTGGAAAAGGTAACCCACACCTTCTTGGCCTAATATGCACATATCCCGGAAAACCATGTACTGTATTCAGCCACGACATAGTACATACCTCATCAGCCCCTAGCGATTTAACCAAGTCAACGTTCGCCTCTGAACAACTCGAAACAACAACCCCGTTCTCCCCAACTCTCTCCCTCGCAACCTGGACAATCATTGATCCCGTGCCCCCACTCCCCCCATTAACGAAGACCTTCTGCCCCTTCTTAAGCATGGCAGCATCAACAACCTGCACAGCCGTGACTCCATTCCCGCCCAGCGCCGCCGCATGTTCCAGGTCCATGCCGGCGGGCACAACGCTCAGCCGCTCCGCCGGACAAGGGCAATACTCAGCCAACGTACCGAGACCACGCCTTAACATGACGGGGATGGACGTGACTCCGAAAACGGGAGTACCGAGCTGGAGCTCTGGTCGAGACGCAAGCACCTTACTTCCCAGCGCGGCGATTGTGCCGGAGAATTCCAGCTCGGGGATGGCGGTGCCGTCTTTGTAGATCCATGTTGGGAGCATGGGGATCATTGCGCTGGCGCTGGGGGTGAGGCCGCTGTAGGCTACTTTGATTAGGACTTCATTTGGGGGGAGCGTTGAGGGGTTTGGTGTGGGGAAGTTGTCTGTGTGGTGTAGGACGGTGGATATGGGGCCCCGGGTTTGGTAGGACCAGGCTCGCATTTTTGGGAGGATTTCGGAGGTCATTTTTATGGATTGGCGCAAAGGCTTCAAATGTTGTGAACCGTGATCTTATGTTTTTAGGTGTTGTCCGTGGTTCAAATGTTAAGCGGGGGTGATGCTTTTAAGCTGAGAACAGACCAGGTTTGGTTGGAACAAATTTCCTGGAAATAGAAAGAAAGGAGAAGATTGAAAAGGCGCCTGTTAACTCAAAGTCCAGTATGCTGTCACCATGTGGCGTTAACTTCCGGAGACTCGGAGTGTTTTCCATCTATCCCGTCGGCCGAAGTTCGTCCGCGTTCGAAGGATCGGGAATTCGGGATTATTGGGGGATAAGCACCAAGGCGGGAAATTTGTAAAGTGTGCACATGTGGAGAAAGAGTCAAGACTAAGCGCTTGAGTGAGGCTCATGATTACCACAATTGCCCATCTGATAAGAGTTTGTTAGGCAGCGCGCATGGATTTTTTTTTCAAATCCACCATAGTTAAGCCAAACGCTTTTTATATACTTTTTTAATAAAAACCCATTTGAAAATCATCCCATACATTACTTTAATATGAAGATCTGAATTTATATGTTTTTTATTTCAACGTCATTTTGATATACATTCTGACTTGGAGTTGAGGCTGAACCTTGGGCCTGGTGGATCAGATGCCTAGTACTATACCCCTGCTGTGACTTTCAAGGTCACACACGACACCTTCTCTCCTATTCTCCAGCATAAAAAGTATTGAAAAAAAATAAAAATCTGACAGTATCGTCTCTAGACTACTAGAATATATGGTAATCGGTTAAAGAGAGAAAAATGAATATTGGTGGGATAAACTGACGAGGTATTTAGTTCTGAAGCTGTGGATGTATAGACCTCTAGGAAATGTTCCGCAGCTATAACCGAACTGTCTTTTTGAATTCGTTTCCCCACCACCATCACTGATTCAAACTAGCTAATACTTGAGGAAACTAATCATTGAGCCAATCAGAGCTTGTATGAATTTTCTGAAGCGAAATTGATAAAAGGTGGGGGATTTATTGAAAGGAGAAGATTTCGACTATCAACTGGAATATGAGGCAATGCACAAAAAAAAGCGATATCCAGTTTCAGTTATCCCATTTTGCGCCATTTTGCATAAATTACTCCACCACCACCCCCAAAACAATTCCGAAAAGCTCAAATTCTCACAGGATTCTCTCAAGACAGGCAGAATATATTCAGTGCAGTTTTATCAAGATCAAGTAATTATTGGTGGGAAAAGTGACTATAAAGGTCTCAAGTTGCCTTTCAAGGGATCCATAACTTTGAATGTTACAACTTACGACCCACGACCAAGCAGAGATTGTGGCAATTACAGACCAGTGGGAAGCCAAGTGGTCATTGAAGATTCTCTGGAATCCCTTGCACAATTCTGGAAGTGAAGCCATACCTGCTACGATCACAGACCAGTGGGAAGCCAAGTGGCCATTGAAAGTTCCCTGGAATTCCTTCCGCAATTCTAGAAGTGAAGCCATACCTGCTACAATCCTCAATTTTGATCCTTTATGAGGCAAATTGGGGTGGAAAAGTGAACATGGACTTGGGAGTGCCAGATGGCTCAAAGGCCGCAGTTGCGGTATGTATATTCAACATCACTCACAAGGGGAATATTGAAGTATTGGAAATGCTAATTTTTCAGATACATTCCAATTTGCATTCAAATGAAATATCCTTGCGGAACCATCGGATAAAGCTACGTTTGAGATCGATGTCGATACACCGGTGCCAGGTCCGTGATCTTATTTGCTCATTCGGACAAGGCCAGATCACCTGATTACCAACATTCGCCTGGAAGAGCAGCAAAACACTTATATCATAACGTCTGCCAACCAATGATTTCCAATATTTCGGTATTCCATGATCAAGGTTCTATGTACTTGCTTTGATCAATTGATGTGTCAACTCATGGTGGATTATGGCTGTAGCAATATAGGACAACATTGATAGATGAAAACGAATCAATCTCATAGACTTCAATACTAGAAACTAGAAACAAATTGCAAAGCCACCGACCCCTCTCCCATAAAAGTTTGCACCAGTCAGTCTAGATATATCCGACAGAAGCAAGAAAAAAAATGTACAATGGAGAATTCTACCTTGACAAGGGGAATTCTACCTCATAAAATAGTTGTTGTCGAACCAGGCTGTGAAAACAACAAGAAGAAGATGATGGAAATAAAGGCGCACATGTGCACAAGAAGGGTGAGTAGCTATAGCACAAAGAAAGGCAGAAGAGGTATCGATGAATCGACGAAGAAAAGAAGGCTGCGTGTCATAATACAGGGATTTGTTGGTGGTAATAAGTGCAGAGACATAGATCAAAGGGGGGTATGAAACAGAAAAGTAAAACGTGAAAAAAGGGAGAAGGGTAGCACATCAAACGATCAACAGATGGGGACAAAGAGGGGGTGGGCATAAACAGATACACGCTTTTTGAAGGGCGAGTCTTTTTTTCGGGGTTGGGTGGAAGTGAGAGAGACCAAGAGAGGAGAGAATATCACTTAGAAGCAGTTGAGAGTGCTCTTCTTCTTTTTCTTGTTGAGGGCATTCATGCGCTCTTCAAGCTGGGCACGGGCGGCTTCGGCTTCCTTGCGAGCGCTGCGCTCTTCCTCGACAGCTTGTAAGGAGAGGCGAGCAGAGTTGCGCTCCTTGCGGAGGGTGGAGAGCTCGTCGTCTAGACCCCAGGCCTTCTTCTTCCAGGCCTCACAGTCAGTCTTGACCTTGCTGCTCTGGGCCTCAAGGTCACCGAGTGCCTCTTCAAGAGTGGCTGTCAATTGCTTCTCGGCGTATAGATGCTTCTCGATGGTACGGATACGAGCTTCCTGCTCTTCGACAAGCTGGGCGTTCACCAGCTCCTTGCTAGCATGGCGAGAGCTGGGAGGGGATGCACTGCCATTTGACCCAGCCGCAATGGTAGGGAGAGGTGGAAGTGGAATGGCGGGCGGAGGCGAGGGCAGAGAGGCTGCGGATGAGCTCTTGCGGAGGTTGGAAGTCATAGAGCTGCTGCGGTCATGTTGGTAACTATCCTGACCGCCGTTCTTGATTTGTAGCTCAAGCTGCTCGATCCGGACTTGGTAAGTTTCAATCTCCTTCTCGAGCACGACAACGCGAGCCTTCGTCTCCTCGAGAGCGCTGTCACGCTCAGCTTGGATAACAGACAGACGGTTGTGGTGCTGGTCAAAGCTACTCGTAATCTGCTCCTCGAGCTCCTCGACCAGGCGGACACTCTTCTGCTTCTCAACGGAAATCTCCTCGATCAGAGCATCCTTCTTCTTAACCTGCTCCTCCTTTTGAAGAAGAGTATCCTCCAGTGTAGCAACCAAGAGAGCCAGCTCATTGACCTTGGCGTCCTGGGTGGTGCTCTTCTTAATAAGCTCATCATGCTCAGCGCTGTTAGAGCTGCTGGCATCGAGTTGCTTGCGAAGGTCCTCGTTGGTATCCATCAGCTCAACATACTTCTCAGAGAAGTGCTGCTTCTGCGCGAGGACATCTTGGATCTGATCAGTCAATGTCTCAGCGGTGACATCTGAGCTAAGCAGACCCGAAACAGCCTTGAGAAGGCTCAATAACTCATCGCGAGACTCTGCAATGTCCTTCTGCAAAGCTGCCATCGACTGGTCATACTTGACATCCCTCTCGGAGAGCTGAGACTCGTGCTCGGCTTGAGCGGCAGCCTTGGCCCGGTCCTCGAGCTCGGCCAGCTCCCGCTTGTGGGTGTCTTGCATCGATTGCAAGTCAGTCTGCTGTGAGTCGATGGCAGACCGGTGAGAAGCGATGAGCTGCTCGAGCTCAGCAATCTTGGAGACATCGGGTGCCCCGGTGGAAAGGACCTCGTCGGTCTGTTGTGCGAGCAACTGCTCCTGAGCAGTGGCGTGTGACTTCTCCAGACCAGAGATCGTCTCAAGCTGAGCGGCAATAGTAGCCTTGTGCTCATCAATGACCTTGGTCAACCCATTCACATGCTCCTCTTGCTTGACACGCTCGCTCTCAAGTTCCTTGGCATTGGCTTCCTTGTCAGAGTTACCGTCGCCAGAAGAAGCAGCAGCAGCACGCATGGACTCAATAGCAGCCAAGGCAGTCTCGAGTTCTGCAAGGGTGGAGGTGAGTTGGTTCTCCGATGACTGCAGCGACTCATGGGCATTTTGGTGCTTGCTCTTCCACTCGGTGAGCTCGTCTTGCAAGACATCGATTCTCTTATCCTGCTCATCAGCTCCCGCATCCATAGCCTTCGTAGCCATCTCTTGGCTCTTGAGAAGTGCGTTGAGAGTTTCGATCTCAGCCATCAAGCCCTTCTCACGGGCCTCGTGGGCATCACGAAGCTCGTTGATCTGGATCTCTTGGCTGACAATCTGGTCACGGAGCTGGTTCACAAGAGCCATGTCGACGGAAGAGGCACCCGACAAGCTGGATCGCTCACGGGTGAGACCGGAAATGATGGTGGCCTTCATCTCCATCTCTCTCTTCACACCCTGGTTCTCGGCCTCCAGTGACTGGAGACGTTCCATGCGAGTGGCCAACTCGTGCATGGTAGCATCCAAGTGGGTCTCGAAGCTTTGGAAAGTATCAGGCTTGTCGGCGAACTCCTCGTTGGCAAGGATCCTGAGGGCCGTGAGAGAACGGTGGGCACGATCAACCCCGGAAAGAAGATTCTGGCTGGTCATGCGGCGGATCATCTTGAAACCGGGTGTCGTAGGAGAGCTGTTCTTGGTGCGCTGAGCCTCGGCTTCAGCCTTCAGCCTCTCGACAATTCCGAGAATTTCCTCGTGCTCAGCCTGGAGCTCGGTATACTTCTGAGCCATGAGATCAGCACCAACCTTGTGCTCGGCAATCATGTTGCGCATCAGCTCGACCTCCTCGTTCTCCTGCTGGACGGTAGTAGCAGCAGGCGTGATAGGAGTAACAGGGGCAGAATCAGTCTCCAGCTTGGAGAGCTCAGGAGATTCGAGCAATGTGGCCGATCCACCGACCGAGGATAATTCCGAGGAGAGCGATTGCGAGAATAAATGTTGTGCTCCAGGCTTCGAGACCTGGATGTCTCCGTTGCCTAAAAAAGACACCGGCCGGGAGGCCTCGTTCTGAGCAACAGGGGCGGGGTGGCGAGCTTCATCAGCCTTGTCTTGACGAAGCGCAATAAGATCCTTTAAGACCTCTTCGTACTTGGCCTCGAGCATATCGTATTCACTCAAGGCTGTCTCATGGTGGAGACGGAGGTCAAAGAGCTCCTGGGTAACAGTTTCAAGCTTGTCTGCAACAAACTTAGATTGCGCAGGGCTGTGGAGGGGCTCTTCGCGGAGGGCTTCAGTCCGACGGGCCTCGAGCTTGCTGGTCATGTTCTCGAGGACCTCCAGGTCATCGCTAGAGGATTTAGAGTCAAGTTCAGGAGTAGTTTCCCTCTCCTCCTCCTCCGGGATAGGCTCAACAAGGTCTTCATCGGATTCGGGAATAGCGGTTTCCGCGGCTTCATTCAAGACATCCAACGAGGGAGTATGTCTGTGGGAAAACTTCGCAGCGGGGGTGTAGGATTGATCAACACCATCAGGGCCATCTAATCCCTCGGGAAGGTTATGACGGTTATCCAGGTCATGGAGTAAGTTATCCAACGTACCGAGACCGCGCTGGCGATGAATGACGTGCTCCAATCGAATCACCTCCCGTTGCATCAACTCCATATCTTGGTCAGACTCGGCAAGGCGGTCCTCTAGCGTAGAGATGTATTCCTCGCAGCTTCCCTCATTTTCACGAGCGCGACTAAGCTCTTTGCGCAACTCGGCCACGATTGCGGCATGCTTCTCTTCGCCAGTGGAAGCACCATCAAGCTTGGATTCCAGCTCGTGCAAGTATGTCTCGTTGCTAGTCTCTCGGTCCAAAAGCTTCTGTACGCGTGACTGGAGCTGTGAGTTAACTGTCTCGACATAAGTACACTTGGTCTCCCGCTCCAAGAGAGCGCTCTCGGAACAAGACAAGGAGGAGCGAGTATCAGAAAGCGATGCCTCCAAGCTCTGAATGGTCTTCTCGTACTCGAGGACAACCTGTTCGACTGATGCGGCGAATGATCGCGAACGCTGCATACGCTCAATCGAGTCTTTGCCAAGGTCAACACTCGCATCGTCGACCTCGGTGGCTTCCGAATCACTTGTTAATGTCGAGATCAGCTTGGTGTGGCGCTGGCTTAAGGCATTGTAGCTCTCCTGAACGTCAAGAAGCTGATTCTGGAGTTGGATCTCTAGCTCGTTCTTTCGTTCGTTGCGTTCCGTACTGATATTTTCGCGACGATCTGATGCCTCGGCATTGCGAATCTGCTGGCGGAGGAAGGCAACCTCAGCCTTGAGACGTTCTATCACAACTTGCTTGTCGGAATCGTCTGCAATATGCTGGATCCGGGGTTTACTTTGAATGGCGCGAGCACGCTGGGCATATTGAACGGTGTTAAGAGTCTCGCTCAAGTGGAACTCGGCCGGGGTCACACAGGCAATCATGTAGGTGATAGCATTACCACCCAGCGAGTCTTGCAACAGACGAGTCAGTTTGGAGTCACGATATGAAACGTGGGATCCAGACTGGCGAGAGGAGAGCTGGGAAATGACCTTGCCGAGAGCAGCGAGACCAGCATTAATGGAAATACCTTCCTTAGCGCGTTCGCCGGAGGCTCCGGTGTTCTTCAGCCGTTCACTACCGGCCAAATCGACAAAGTGAAGCTTGCTGTCTACCGTGATGGACTCGCCGCTAGACATGGAATCCACCGGCATAGACATGCGCTTTTCTTTAGGCGAGCTAGGCTGGCCAGCATTCTTGCGCTGCACCAGGTTCAAGCTGAAGACTGCGTGCGATCGAGATGACTTTGCGTTGATAGCGGTGGAATCGGTCTGACGGATAGCGGAACCGAAGTTCAAAGCGCCAATTAGGTCATCGAAGGAGTTGATGTTCACTTGGTGCAGGCCTGTCAGAAGAATGCGTCCTTTGGCGTCCTCACGGATCGTGACATTGCTGCGATCGACGGTGGCTGTTGATTCTGGCAGGAGCAGATCCCGGAGATGTTCATTGTAGATTTCGACATAGGTAGCCTTCAGCTGCCAGGTTTTCTCCAGGTTCAACTTTCCGAAGCTCGCTGCAGAGCTCATTGAGTATCGCTGTGGGGTTCGAAGTCCAGTGCCGGTTGAACTGGAGCCGTTCCGGGTGTGTTTAGCTGGGCCATCCAATGTATCAAACAAAAGCTGTGCAGCGCGGGGAATAACACCTAGAGGGAAAAAATAACTGCGATTAGCGATTATTCTGGTTCTCACTCTTCTGGCTTCCTTTGTACTCACCCATGGAGTCCTCATGACCTGCCTCGCCAGGGCCTGATGTGCCCATAGTATATGATTTTCCTGCACCGGATTGACCGTACGCCAGGATAGAAACATTGTATCCCTGGAGGAAGGAGTTGACGCTATCGCTCAGGTACTCCCAGACTCCATCCTGGTTGACGGTCTCTGGGAAGACGCGATCGAAAACAAAAAGCTTACGACCTTGTGGCACGTCCACGGCCAAGTTGGTGGAAGCTGTAACGTGAACCATGGAGCGCTGGAATCGCTGGGGAATCAACTCGTATCCAGGGTCGGTTGGTTTCAATGGAGGTCGCACACGGACGGCTATTAGGAATTAGTTCACACCCGGGGGGAAGAGAAAGAAATAGACCATTTATCACGATTTGCTCCGGGGAGGGAAATTATAGTCATGCATTGTCGTGTGTACGAACTATGCGCGACAACCAGACCAGATCCATTTCAAAGGGGCCCACGTACCAACATTGACGGCGGTCTTGCCATCCTCATCTGAGGCTCGACTTCCACCTTGTCTGCTGCTCATACTCATGCGACTATTGCTGCGTGGCGTGCGCATCACCGCGCTGATGGGTCGCGGGGCAGGGCCCGTTGGCGACGCTGGCGGTGAGACCGTCATCTCTCCCCTGGAATAAACCACACCAGGTGGAAGCGTGAAGGGAAGGTATAGGGGGAAATTCAGTGATCAAAGTATTGTATTAAAAAGTAGCAGTCATGAGGCGTAACAAATGTCGGGAATGTCTAGAATGCGGAGGAAGATGTCAGTCGGTAGCCCCTTAATCGGAAAAAAATGTAAAAAATACAAAGGGTACCAAAACTTGGATGGTATGGGGAAACACGAAACATGGAACGCGGACAACTAAGAAAAGAAACACGTACCTGGAGAGATTGTAACTACTCCCCCGACTTTGGAATTCAGAAAAGAAAAAGAATCCCTCTCAGGGTAAAGGGGAGAATAAAGCAACGAAAAAAAGCGTTAACGTCTGGAGTCGAGACCGTGCACGACTAAGACTGGACGTGGTTTAGCTTCGATTAAGATGAAGGAGGATTTGGTGTTGGTTTTTAAGTGGAGTCGCCGGTACAAACCCAAGCGAGGGGGGAATAGGAATAGGGAAGAGAGAGTGGGTTCAGGGGGGATTAAAGAAACATAGATGATAGAACTCGAATTGTGATGTACTATTACAACTATTACAACTAATCAGATGCCATCGCGTACTTGGCTATCCGCATTGTACCGTGGTTCTACTTTGCTCACACATTCCGGAATGTTTGCTTTCAATGCCACGTTTTTTTTAAAGCTGTCAATGACTTTCAATGACTTTCAACTTCTTCTCTCCCTTTTGTAGTTTAGACTTAAAAAACCGTTCGTTTCAGATGTTGCTTTAGGTTATCAACGGTGTGGCTGGGGAACTCCTCACTGTAAGATTATCCTAATGGTTCCTCTGGTTTGCTTTACTTTATCCTTATTTTTTCGAACATTTGAAGGTTTCTATAAAGCATGATCTTGCATCAATATTTAAATCTTCCGTGCAGAGGGTATTTCTGGCCTTGTGAGATCCATGCAAACCACAGGGTGAATATGTCGATCCCTGCTATAAAAGGGGGAAAGGACGGGCCACCAAATCTGCTTATTTCTCCTATCCCGGATGTCCGCCCTAAACCCCGGAGAAGATGGATTTGGGAATTTGGGAATTTGGGAAATTCCAGAATTATATTCCCTAAAAACATGTAATCATGACCCTCATGGAGTTCTGCCATTCAAGGGACATTGAAAGATACAATTATTATACATCCGTCCTTCCTTCCACCAGTCTAAAATAACAAGACCCTTACTCTTATCACGCCGTTCTTCACATCAAGAACGTGCTCCCTATATTTGGGATATGCAGGGGATAAATCTCGCATCCCATCTGCATCGACTCATGCCAAGGCTTTTTCAGATATAAAGGCGTCCATCGGCTCGTAGTTCGCGCAAAAAGATCGACGTCTCTCATGTCACACGCGCTCCTATTACCCATGATACGAAAACGAGATATTAAAATATTTCCATCTTGTGAACACGGGAAGAACTTTTAAAGCTAACTTGGAATAAAATTATCATCGGCTATTTTAGTGCCGATGGGCCTCCAGCTAGAATCAAGTCTCGTGCTTGTCCGGATATGAAGGATTGAATCGATCATCGTTCATGCCGGATCCACTTCCAGCTCTGCCATGAACAACACATCAGCCTTTGAAAGACTTCTCCGTGCATGCCCACCGGGGTCTTTCGGTGATTTTCAAGGCCTCGAAGCGGTGTAGATTAGGTACTATAGACTCTGTAGTACAGTGTAGAGTTCAGATTGATCATCCTGGAGCTTACATGGTTACTAGGTTATACAGGCGTACATGCAATGCAATCATTATCCTAACTTCACCGTCCTCGTGTTTTCTATCCTCGGCCATCATGCACATCCTTGGACCGTGAACGTACCAGACCACACCCTCCAGTTCCTGATTCCACAACTGGGCCCTGCTCCACTCCCCTGGATCTGGCGCCGTTGGGCTGGTCCCATACTGTTCCCCCATCAGCTCGGACTCAAGCCGGTTCTGTGTCGAGACCGTGCTTTTACCAGCCCCAATGGTCAAAGGTCCACTGTGTGTTTCATGTCTGCTATTTATGCTCCACATCCACCACTTGGTGTTCGGAAGCTCCAATGAGCAGTTCGGCTTTCAGGTGCCGAACGTTGGCTAGCTGTGCCTATCGAGGCAAGAGCTACCTGCTTTGTTTACCAAGACCCACTTTGACGTGGTATGCTGGGATTATGTTCCTTCCAAAATAGCGGTGGTTATGACATGGGTAGGCTGCATGTGTGTATGGCGGAAAGGACGGTTTTCCTGTCGCCTTATATCAACACGTCAAGCCTCGGCTGCCTCGCTTATTGAAGACAGTAGCTAGTAAGTAGTACCAACATTTGAAGAAAAATTTAAATAGAGGCCTCAGAAAAACCACAAACTAACACATGTGCAAGAATTCGCTATTAATTAAATTGTATCTCTATCTGTATCTGCAGTCTAATGAAGCCAGCTATCAACAAGTGAGACGATATATACTCTCACAAATACAAAGCAGATGCCATGAATCCGACATGAAATGCAAAAGGGGGAATGATGCCAGGCCGAAGAAAGAACATAGAAAGCAGTGGCCATCAAATCAAATCGATAAAAAAGACAAGATGGAGAACATAGGCGGAATTGACTTTTTTTTTGGATCCGCTTCTAGTTCTCCGTGCTGGTAGCCTGCGACGCGCTGGGAATGTTCTCGCCCTTGAGATAGTTCTCAAACTCGCCAACGACCTTGCCACCTTGGATCCAGCGCTCACGCTTGGCCTCACGGTGCTGCTCGGACAGCTTGCTCAGAGCGGGCCAGTAGATGGAGTGGTCATACTCAAACTCCACATCACCACCAACGGACTTCAAGAGCTGCTGGGCAGGCACATGCTTACGCAGGTCCTCGTTGTACTTGATCTTCTCACGGGTTTGCGGGTCGATGAAAGGTGTGATAAGCTTGAAGAAAGGCCAAACGTAGAACGGAGCTGTTGATTTATTAGTCAAAGTATAGAATAATCATGCGATGCACTAGTTACTCACAGTTGATGATCAAAGCACGTCCCAATCGTTCCGGGTAGTGGTTCTGCAAAATGTAAAGGGTCTCCCTCGCCTGGCCAATAGAAGCATTTTGTCCGGACTTGGATTCACCAAAGTTGATCACAAGCGCCAGTGTCTCCTGGTCGGGGCACATGATGTCGATGACTCGCTCAAGCATGTAGACCAGGTGGTGGATTTGACGCTCGCTCTTCTCGGTGTTTTGCTTCGAAGGACGGAGGTAGAGACACGGGCGACCGTTGTTATCATATCCCATGATGACCTGCTTGCCAGTCTCGTTTTCGATGGAGATGTAGTCGGGGGTCAATTTCTCCATGCCATACTCCCGGCGCCAGATCAAAGTGAGCTTGAGACGGTTCTCGGCCTCTGTCACATTCCATTTGGTCGCACGGAGGTATCGAAGGAGACACTCGCGGGTCAACCACATGCGCTCATCATCGGTGATAGGAGCTGTTGGTGCATTCTTCTCGGCTGTGTTTGGCACGGTGGTCCACTCGGAGACGGTCTTCAGGACGGAGTCATATTTGGCTTGTTGATCCGCAGTCAATTCGGCGGGCTTTGCGGGCTTGGAGATCTCGAGGGGGTGGGCGAATGGCTTCTTGATCAGACCGTCCGCCGCGGAATTGGGGAAATCCTCTACTGTCTTGGGGGTCTCGATCTGGTTCTCGGCGACAGGAGCTTCAATATCCGGCTTCACAGCGCCATTGACGGCTTCGGGAACAGGCACTGCCACATCGGTGGACTCGTTGGCTGACATTATGAAAAATAAGTTGAAATGAAGATATTGAATCCAGGTAAGGGGAACGGAATTGCAGCCGGGGGGAATAGCTATCAACAATCCCGAGATCGTCCCCACTATTAGATTCCCGATTCGGTTTAATTTCACCCAATCCTCACCTGATTATGTCAGCCACACGTTCACGCGTTCTCGCGTCGCTGAGTTGAAACTCTCGATTATTGAGATACAGTGACCGGCTTGGAAGGCTGAACACAACCCTCGATACAACATCCGCCCACCATGGACACTGCGACTGAGCTGAATCAGCTTTTTGCTGGAACTTTTCCCAACGGCCTTCCCAAAGATGTTCTCGCCGAACTCCAGTCCATCATGAGGATATACTCCATCGCCGCGGAGGAGGTTTTCTACAAATGGGAATCCTACAGCATGAAGATGGGAGATGAGGTGACACTGAATATTACTTCCGTCCGCGCATTGAAGCAGGACATCCAGGAAGCTTTGGAACGTGAGAGTCGAGGCAAATCAGACCACCGACGACACGAGAAGAGGTCCGCTGTCACAGCAACCCCGCGTGCGTCGGCGGGTGGTGATATGTTTGGCATGTATGTAAACAGCCACTCCAAGGTTTCTCAAACAAGCGCAAACGACTGACACTGTATTGCTACTTCATAGGCTAGGTGACTTAACCCCAAATGCGTCAAATGCTCGACCGGTAAACGGCTCGGCCGCGAAGCGCAAGGTCGAGTTCTCGTCCCCTGCAACACCCAAGATGGGAAGATTGGACAATATAGGCACACCTAATGGCATAAATACTCCTACTGCCTCAAAGCTTGGCAATGTGATTGTGCCGTAAGTTTATGCCCATACATCAATCTTGGTGATTGGCACCACTGACATACTTGACAGCACCGTTTCATTTGCCGACAGATCCAACGCCGGTCAAATCGTGGAGACACTTAATGAACACCTGTCTCTGCCAGAGACTCCAATGGCTCCGTACTCCGAAGCACGCATCCGGCCCACTGCCAATACAGACCTCAAGAAGTTCGGATACAAGCCAATGGGGATGAAACTGTCGGAATCCTCTGAGATTCTTGATGACCGCATCGACGAATTCACGACTATTTTCCAAAATCACTACGACTCGGAGGAACTCGTTTTTGGAAGCGCGGCTTCCCAGAGCACAAGTGAGATCATTGCCGTCGGCCGTATCGCCTCTGATGCTATGGAGGGCAAACTCAATGTAGCTTCTCTGGTCCTTGAGACCTCGCGCAGAACTGGCGCAGGAAGGAGAGTTCCTTTGAAGGTCGATTCGGTCCCAGGCTTAAGTTTCTTCCCCGGTCAGATCGTTGCTCTCAGAGGCATTAACCCATCGGGCGATTACTTCACAGTCAAGGAGATTCTTCCTATTCCTCTTTTGCCCCCTGCAGCCTCCCCTGCAGTGACACTCGATAATATCAACCAGCGCCTAGAGGGCTCAGGTAACTTGCCACTTAATATTATGGTAGCAGCGGGTCCGTATACGGCAGACGATAACTTGGATTATGAGCCTCTCCACGAATTGTGCAGAAAGGCTGCAGAGAGCTACGCCGACAGTCTCGTGCTGCTTGGTCCATTTTTAGACAAGGAACATCCGCTACTCGCAAGTGGAGATTTCGATCTTCCCGATATCAAGGGCCTGAACCCAGATACAGCGACCCTGAACACGGTCTTCAGACACCTTATCTCAGCCCCTTTGGCCCGACTGGTAGCAGCTGTCCCCAGTATCACAGTTATCTGCGTACCATCTGTTCGTGACGCATTGAGTCGCCATGTCTCGTGGCCACAAGAGCAGCTGCTTAAGAAAGAGCTTGGCTTGCCAAAACAAGTCCGCATGGTCTCTAACCCTGTGACCCTGTCCTTCAACGAGACTGTTGTTGGTATGTGCTCACACGATGTGCTTTCGGAACTGCGCCAAGAGGAAGTGTCAAAAGGCGACCTTAGTGAGAAACTGCTCACTCGGTTACCGAAGTACCTGGTTGAACAGCGACACTTCTTCCCTCTATTCCCTTCTGTTGCACGAGCAAACCTTCCTAAGACTGCGCGTGGTCTAGGTACGGGTGCAATGCTAGATGTACCTTACATGAAGCTGGGTGAATGGTGGAACGTTCGACCAGACATCCTTATCGTCCCCAGCATGCTCCCGCCCTTTGCCAAGGTATGCTATCCCATGTTACCCTAACCTTACCATTTTTACCATTTCTAACCCCCTCTTTCATTTACAGGTTGTCGATAGTGTGCTTATGATCAACCCGGGCACATTGTCTAAGCGCCGTGGTCCAGGCACATATGCCCAGATGGCCGTGCATCCTCGAACAATCCCAGAAGAGGAGCGCGAACAAAAGCAACTCGACCACAAGTTATACGAACGTGCTCGAGTGGACATTACCCGGGTCTAGTGGGGGCACCATGTTGTACAATCATCTCGCATTATCTTATGCTCGGCGTTGAAAGGCGTAATTATCCCGAACAGTCCAAAAGCCTTCTCCAGGACATTTGAATTTAATCATGCTAGTCCAAAGGGACAATACCAATGCAATGAATCAACGAAACCAGCTTGACACAGTCCGCAATTCAGTAAACACTCACTTCCTTCGTATGCAATAAAACCCAATAAACCCACCATAACTCCAGATAAACCCCAATCCACGCTCCAATCAAATGATCCACCAGCGATGCGATCTATACGCCCCCAATGCAAACAAAACACTTCCAATCCCCACCCATCATCGCAAACAAATAACCCTCCGTCCACCCATTCTCCGCCCAGAATCCCTAACCCTAATAGCCGCCGACGCCGCCGACGCCGCACCCCCACCCGTCCCCCTCAGCGTAGCCCCAGGCCCAGAACCCCCCGCAGCCCCCGTACCCCCAGCTCCCCCAACAATAGCAGTCAAAGCCTGCCCGCCATGCCCCTGCCCATTCACCAGCGCCTCAAGCCCAAGGTCCCGCCACACAGGGTCCCGTCTCCGGTCCATTGCGCGCGTGATTCCAAACGCGGCGTGCTGGTCCGGCACGACGTCGTCTTCGTCTTCGGGGTTCGGTGGCTGGTACTGCGGCTGGACGTAGATGTCTTCAATTGGCAGGAACGAGGGGATCGTGGAAGCGGATGAGAAGCCGTATGTTGAGGCTGCGTTGTTGGCTTGGGCTGCGTTGGGGTTGTATTGTTGGTTTGCGGATGCGGCTGTTGAGGTGTGGGGGCGGGTGAATTCTTCAAAAAAATCCGCTAGGCGGGGGTGGTGCATGTGTAGATATGTTGAGGAGGAGTCTTTGCTCTGGGGTTCGTTAGTGATAGAGCTCGGGCGCCAGAGATACTATTGGTAGTCGATGGGTTGGTACCATTTTGGCGAGCTCGGTCTTGGAACCTTGTGGCTCAATTGAGGCGGTGAGGTTTAATTTTCTGAATTTTGAATGGAGCTCCCAAGCTCGTAATTTTAAGGTTGTTATTTGTAGTAGTTGGATGTTGATTGATCCAAGATGACGATGTCAATATTTAGATGTGACGGATTTAACTCACCGCCTTGCAATGCTTGGCGTTTTATCTTGTCAACAATGCATGTGGATACCGAATGGTTGTTCCTAAGCTTAACTATTATGCAAATATGTATGCAGGATATGAAAGTTCATTTCACATAATCTTTACATGAAGGCTAGATCCCTAGGTGGTTTAGCCGATTTTCCCGCTCAGGCCAATTCCTGCATCGTGCTGCGTGCATGCACTACCAGTCTACCACTATGGATTAAGAAGCTCCCGAGGCCTATTTTTACACACGGATAAGGATATGTTTGTATCTCCCAAGGTCGCTTGTTGGAATGCATGTCCATTGAGTCCTCGAACGCAATATTTGAAAATCTCTTTGGATTTCGAATACTCCAAGCCCAAAGTTGATGTCCAAATGTTTAGAAGTGGCCTGCTTCCCTATTTCTATCAGTGAACCGGATGTTTGAACAGACAACAGGCAACATTGGTCAATCCACGTAAATTCCAAGGTGTCAGGTTGTACAGACTTATTCACATGAGACCCTTCGTCAATTGACAGTTGGTCCACAATGGTAGCTTTGGCCCCGGCGGGCGTACTCCGGGCCGTGTCCGCAGTGGGGAAACGAGGGCCATCAACCATTCACAATGTATCAAATGCAAAGACTAGTTGACGAGTCTATGCATGATGAAGTTTACCTGAGGGGTAAATGGCATTGTATTCGAAAATCCTTCTGATAGGGCCATGAGTGAGCCCAGTCGCCAATCATTTTAGCCTTCTTATGGCTTGGGTTACTTCCCAAGTGCCTAGTCTCATGCAGCATGATTCATGAAACTGTTCTTATGCATTACCGAGCGGGGAAGATGAAAGGACGGGAGGCAGTCTGCACAGTAGACCCACACGCCTTATTTGTTATTCAAATGCCCACTTCGCAGAAGGGAAGCTTTTGCAAAATCAGCCATGGCTTCATTACTTTCGGTGAAGGCGTTTGCCCAAGCTTTGACTGCCGACATTCAAAGCCTCGGACTATCAGCTGTGATTTTTGGAGTTTTATCTCATGTTTTTATCTTCCGAACTTTACCTGTAGAAGAATATCTGAAAAGTTTGATTCTTCTATACGCTGCTACGGCTGTCGCGATCGGGGCCACCTATCTTTCTATCTCAGATGTATCATTTTTACAAGCACTTGTCCGCGTGGCTATAATCACATCTTCCTTCAATACAGGCCTTGCAGCTAGTATTGGTGTTTATCGGTACTTTTTCCACCGACTGCACCGTTTCCCGGGTCCTAAGCTATCCAAGCTCTCCCGTTTCCATGATGCTTATTTGGCGGCGCGGAACGTCCAATATAATGTGGAAGTTGAGCGGATGCACGAGAAGTACGGCGACTTTATCAGAACCGGTACGTTCAAGGCCAATTTCAAAAGTTAATGAGAATATTGAGAGTCATCACTGTAACTAATGATTAAATCTAGGACCCCGAGAGATATGCATCGTTCGCAAATCGGCTGTATCGCTCCTCTACTCTGCACAGACTACGTGTGGAAAATTAACTTGGTATGCTCAAGTACATACAGAGTCGAAGCACTGTTCCGTTCAGCAGACACGCGATGCGGATGACCACCGGAGACGCCGAAAGGCCTGGGATCGTGGTTTCAGCATTAAGGGTGAGAGAAAACCTTGGAAAGAGTCCCACCCGATTCATCTAAATATGCACCAAGCAAATATACTGATCAGCTAAACTCAGCTCTGGCATCCTATGAGCCCAGGATCAGACTCAAGGCAGATCAGCTAGTCTCTCACATGGAAAAGAATCTCGGCCAAGGTATCGATATCACTACCTGGGCAATGTTCTTCAGTTTTGACATCATGGGAGATGTTGGATTCGGAAAGGAATTCAACAATCTAAGTACTGGAGTTGAGCACCCAGGCATCAAAGCTGTCCATGACCATATGGCCATTTTAGGGATTGGAATGCACGTCCCATGGGTCCTGTTTCTTGCTACCCGTATCCCAGGAGCGTCAGCCTCATTAGCTGCTTTCTTCCAATGGTGCGAAGACGAGGTCGTACAAAAGCAAAAGGTCTACTACACCCCTCCTATCATTTTCTACTTCGTTAAATTCCCTTTGGACATGGCTTACTGATTTCCTGGTCCCTGTTCTAGACCTGGGATGCAAAAGAATACCCCAACGATGTGGTCTCATGGCTACTCAAAGCCTACGTTGAGAAAGACATCTCGGCACCACCCACTGCAACTGCACTCCACGAGGACTCGCGCGCTGTCTTAGTTGCCGGCAGCGATACCACGGCCAGCATGCTAGCCTCGACAATTTACTTCCTAGCGAAATACCCTGCCGTCCAAGCCAAACTGCAGCAGAAGCTGGACGAGGCCATTCCCGGCGGGTCTGCCGAGTGGTCTTACGAGCAGACTAAGAGCGTTGCTTACCTGGAGGATGTCATTACCGAGACACTTAGATTGCGGCCATCAGTTATGGTGGGCGCAAGCCGTGTTACGCCTACAGAAGGACTCCAAGTCGATGAGGTCCATATACCAGGAGATGTGAATGTTTTTGTGCCGATCCAGTTGCTCCAGACGGATGAACGGTACTACGAGCAGGCTAAGGCGTTCATTCCGGAGCGATGGCACGAGAAGAAAGAGATGGTTTGTGAGGACGCGCCATTTTTCCCCTTTATAATGGGTATGTTGATTGCCTGCAGTATAGTAGCTTTGTGATAAGAATTGCAGATGGTTGGAACTGACCTTCTGCTAGGACCGTACATATGCCCTGGAAAAAATTTGGCACTGATGAGCCTTCGTATTGCGGTTTCAAAGCTGGTACAGCGATATGATATCAAGTTTGCGCCAGGCGAGACGGGTATTGGATATGAGACAGAGACATTGGATACGTTTACGGCTGCACTGCCGCCGTTGCAAATACAGTTCCAGCGGCGTTGAGCTCGAGTTGAAATGATTCACATGATGGATTCGAATTTTGTTAGATATATGGACCGAATTGCCAAATTCACACCTCTGCTGTATAATGTTCCTTATACAGTTATACTGTAGCGAGTGAAAACCTAGAGATTTGAATTTTGCAGAACCGTGGAACGCAGAAGGTATGGGGATCCGAATAGCCTTAAATGAATACTGTTGCTAGTCCTAAAGAGGATACTAACGAAATTCAAAAATCCAGGGTCAAAAGGAACAATTCAGGTGTTCTTTCATCAACCGGCATCCGTGTGGTCGAGTTGGCAAAGCCCTCCCACATGTGCTTATTACCCCCCAAGAGGTTAGCCGTCTGGACCTTGGGGGAAGGTGTCGGTTACACAGGGAAACATCCCCCAGAGCAGATCTCCCCCCAGCGGCGTGCACCCGCCAGAGGGTGGGGTCCCTCTGGGCTTGATGTTTGCCATTTTTATATAATTAACCATGCTGAATTTGAATTTCCGCTTTATTTGAGCTCAATCCGACAATCCATCGTTGAGTAAAATAAGAAAATGGTGGAGTATTGATTTCTCGACTGATGCAAATGAGGCTATTCAGAAGGTACGTCAGAAGTGCGTAAGGAAACCAATCTAACCTGGGTTCGAATCCAGCTTTTGTCATGTCTTTTTTTCTTTTCTGTTTTCTCTGATATCTGTAGGGAAGAATGAATTTGTTGCATTTGATACTTCTGTTTAATTAATATATATATGGGTCTGTTTTATATAACGAACATACACATGCCTACTTCAAACAAAGGGCAGTATTAAATACATACTTGGATGCTAACGAGAAAAACAATCAAACAGCTGGGCCGTACGATATACATGTATAGACATCTAAAGAAAACATTTGAACATTCTCAAGTGCTTGACGCTTGCTAGATGTTTAGTGATGACATCTACCTAAGTAGATGATAAACTAGCCTACGATAGAAGACACAAGAGAAATAAATCCAAAGCCGTTTCCGATTTTTAAGTTATGCTTCTAAGAAATAAGGGGAAATAACGTAATCATATCTCACATATTCGTGCTCATACGGTGCACAATGGGGACAGCACTCGGGGGCAAGCTGCCCATCTCAGTGACGACCATGTCCACATACTCCGCGGGGGTAACATCATACATCAGGTTCAAAAGTTGCAAGTGAGAAGTATCCTTCCAACTAGCAAGGGGCGAAGGAGACGGAACTCGGTCAGAGCCAGCGGGGTCAGTTGGCGCATTAGAGGCAGGTTTTCCACCCTTGCCCTTCTTGGGGTCAACAGGGGGAACAGTGAATGCTGCAGGATCTGGGAGACCAGTAACCTGCTGTGCGGGGTTGGCAGAGACCAGCTCAGCGGCATCGGCGATTTCATTGACGACAATACTGTCGAGAGCAACACGGTCGGTGAACTTGACTGTCTCGCAGCATACAATGACGGGCACTTCGACACCACCGGCTCGTTCCTTGGCGGACATGGCTACCAAAGCGGTTCCGACACGGGAGTAAAGGCGACCGTTGCTGGTCATGGCGTGGGCGCCTAGGAAAACCTTTGTAGCATCCTTAATAGCATGGCTGATGCCATGTACGAGTGAGTATTGAACTTCCAAACCGGCATTGGCGAGTGCGCGGGCGAGGTTCTTGCCCTCGAACAGGGGGCGTGAATCGATGATCGAAACCCGAAATTGTTTTCCTTGCTTGTGTGCCGCCAGTAGAGTCTGCTTGACAAGGGAACTGCCTGCAAATGTCACAATCACATCGCCGTTTTGGATCTTCTGGGCTGCACTGGCAGCAATAACCTGATCGGCGACTGTGATCTTTTCGCGGATAAAGCTGTCAATAAAGTCGCACAATGTTGCCTTGGCAGCCGACTCGGGTGTGGAGGGATCGATGTCGGCAATGGCAAGTTTGAGCGCACGAATAGCATTACCCTGACTGATTGAGAGCGCTCGGCATGTGGAGAGGTAGGTGATTTGGTGGGAGAGGTGGGTTGTCATGTGGCGGGGGAGCGAGGTACCGATAGGTGTGGTGTACGACTCGACGACCTTGAAAAATCGCAAGTCAGTAAAATGTTCTCTTGGCTTTCGTTCCAGGATCCTCATCATTAATATCGGGGTTATCGGAAGAAACTCACTCGCTTGAAAGCAAGCATGGTAGCCACGCATCGCGCACTGCTTCCGCATACCACATAATCCCTCAACTGCAGGCCCAATGCTAGCACTGCGGGATGCACCTCCTTACCAGCACCGGCAATGGTAGTCCTTCGCTGCTGACCGTAGAGATGGCCAAAGACAGCAACACTTTTATCATCCTTCTTTTTCTTCTGCTCCACAGCAGCGCCAGCGCCAACCAGAGAACCACGTCGCGGGGGGAGTGCCTTCGCGCCCTTTTGTGCCGCACCTCCACCAGCAGCATCTTTCCTTGGGGTAGCGGGAGGACGAGGCTGGCCAGGTCCAGGAGCTGAACCGCCCGCGGCACCAGCTCCGCCGTCTCGTTCAAGTTTTTCCTTAACGCGCCGGGCAGCTTTCTCTGCCTTGGCCTTCTTTTTCAACTCCGCGGGACTCAAGGGCTTATCACCACCAGCTGCAGCCTCAGTCTCAGTACCAGCTGCATCTTTGCCCTTTGTAGGTTGTTTGTCTGATTGTGCGGGGTCCTTGTCCTTTGCGCTCTTTGCTTCGCGGATCGGGAGGGTCTGCTGTGAAGTGCTTCCGGTCGCAGGTTGGGCAGAGGGGGAAGGCGCATTAGCCGGTGAGGAAGTCGGCACCGAGTCAACGGGGTCTGACATTTTGAATGACTCAATCTCGAGTTCTGGGGGGCGTCTAGTGGAACCTTGAACCGCTTGGTGGGGAGAGAGGGTTGAGTCACGGAAAAAATGATGCCATAAGCAGCTCAAGGCCTGCCGCAGCCCTAGTCTCCGCGCGCTCATTATAGAAACCACTCGTTACTACTAGTGTCGTGAATTGTAATAGCAAATGGAAGGAATAGCAAACGACAGAGAAAATGAAATAGGAATTCAAATATTGAATGGGATAAAAGAACTATTGAATAGTAAAGCAGCTCACGGTAAATATAATCTTATAGTATAACGCACCCTACGCTGGTACACTGTACATAAATGGGAGTAGGTTGCTACCCTACAAAACATGGAAGGCACGTTTGAAACATGCCTCGTGTCAGGTCTCGTCATTCATCTCAGGGGGTCTCTCGCTAGAATAAAATAGAAACAGAAAAATAATAATAAGAACAAAGAAATCAAGGGAAGCAAGGCCATATGCCTGAAAACATAAAACTGGTCTGCCCAAAGCGTGGCTCCAGTAAGAACAAAGAACACTGTACCGCCAAACCATTAAACTGTATGCGCCAATTAAAATCCACTCAAAATCTAGCGATTATTTGGTGCAATAGAACTCAAGGCACGCCGTTTGGGCGTATTAGTAGGCTTTGACTGTTCATGGCGTTGCCAACGCTCATGATCTGATGCCAGCTTGCGTTTAAACATGCTGAGATCACCAAGGAGATCTTCCATACGCGACTGCATCTGGTGTGCTTCCCCATCCTCATCTTCCCAGGTTATTGTATCATCGTCATCCTCCTCATCTTCCCAGACGTCAGGTTCAGAATCAGAAGGAATAACAGGGGATCCTTCACGCGACACAGGCTCTTCGTGGGGCGGCTGGTTCTCTTCCGCTAATGAAATTAGACTAGTTCGTCGCTGAGCCAGAGTGATGGGCGGGATCGGGTTCTTGAGGCTCTCAAGGGCCAGCTTCAGGTGCATGCGCAAGGCCTCGTTCTCGGTTTGGAGCTGGCGGATCTTGCAGTCACTGACCATCTTGGTCTCTTCCATTAGGCGTTGCATCTTCTCCACTTTTTGTTGGTACTCGTCAAGTTTCTCATCCTGCATTTGGCTGGCACGCTGGTGCTCTGTAGCCTGGCTCACACTCAGCTGCAAGTTCCGAATTGTTTCGGCCATCTCGGCGATTTGCGCATCACGTTCTGCTGCAGAGACGTGGTCTTGGTTCACCCGAGCGCGAGTGCGAATGTGCTTAGCTTGGTCGGCATATCGTAATGTGGAAAGTGTTTCTTCATAGTCGGCTGGCGCAATACACGCAATCATGGCTGTTTTTGAGTTTCCACCCAGACTGTCCTTTAATAGCCAGGTAAGAATGGAATCACGATAAGGAACAAGCTCCTTGCCCTTTCTTCCGCGGGGTTTCTTCGTCTCCGCTAGAGCGGCGATAACACGACCGAGTGTTGTGAGCGATTTATTAATATTAGAGCCTTCGCGGAGTCTTGCACCTGTTGCTTCAGTCGCTTTCGCACGCTCGGACCCGGCAAGATCGACCAGTCGAATGCGCGCAGTGCGCTCAGTTGTCTCGTCCGTTGAAAGGTCATGGTGAATCTGTTTGAGTGTAATGGTGAAAACAGCATGCGATCGAGAAGAAGTATCGTTCATTTTGGTGCTCGCCGTAGTACGGGACATGTCGCCTTTGCGCATAAACTTCATTAATTCGGTGTAATTTCTTGCCGTAACTTCTGTCAAGTCTTTAACGTATGGGCCTTCGGATGGTGATTCTCGAATGCGGAGGTAATGCGGAGGGTCTGTTCGGGGGACCAATAGATCTCGTACGTGCTCATTGTAGACCTCGAAATATGATACTCGGACATTGTAGCTGATATCGGGTGAAGGCGAGTCTTCGATGCGCTGGAACAAATCTTCGCAGGTACGGGGAATCAATCCTGGTTGCTCGGGTGTCCCCATCATCGTGTAACTTTTGCCGGATCCAGTCTGCCCATATGCAAAGATACACGTATGGTATCCCTCAAAATTGTGATCCAGAAACTCCTCTCCCAGACAGTTGTATACATCCTCTTGTTGAGCAAAATGTTCGTCTTCTTCGTCATGCGACCAGAACGAATTATCGAATGTGAAAGACTTGTCTTCGAGAATTTTGCCTCGCGCTTGTGATTTCGGCTTTCCGAGATCGTCTGCACTGGGTTTCGGTGCTGCTAAACGAGTCATTTGCGTGTGAGGGTCCATAGAAATTAGGCATTCTGCCTGGCGTTGAATCTCTGTAACCATTGATTAGAACACCCCCTTCCTTAAGTTTCCTGCCCCATGCCTGCACACGTACCTCTTGGGAGGAACTTGCGCACGCGCACTACGACGCGCACATTTCCTCCTCCAGGCGTCGGACTGGACATGGCATCCTGACGACCCGCCAGAGATACACCTTCTCGGGCGCGAAGGGAGGGACTGGATGCGGTGGATCGTAGAGTGGCGGCGGAGGCGGAGGTGGATATCACACTTGGCGACGTGATGCCGGTGAGGGCGGAGGAATCGGATGAAGTGGCGGATGAGATCGAACCAGGCCCGGCCAAGCCAATGTGGTGGTAAAAACGTGGATCCAGCGCCATTTCCCTGCTATAATCCCTCAACAACTGTACACAATCGCTGACGGCTTCGCGTCGTCGTTGAACAAAGTAATGGTACATGCAATGAATTTGTGGAAATAAAAAAGGAAAGAAAAGGGGTAGAGATCGGATACAAGAGTAAAATGAAGGTGGAAAAAGAGCGAAAGTAAAAGAGAGAGGGGGTTGGTACTGTTGCGCGTTGCTTCCTTGAGAAGTTCAATAGATCATGTCCTCGGGGGTTTGCGGGGAAGTTGGTTTCGGGTTGTAAACAAAATGTCGGAGATCAGAAAACGTGCATGCTGCGGAATGCAACCAACGAAAGGATTGGATTGGAAGAATTGGCAATTGAAAAAAGAAGACAATAACGAAAGTATTCAAAAGGCAGAGGGAGTTGGATTAGACAAAACCTAAGAGCTTTGGCCAGATACAAGACGGTGAACAGAGTAGAGATGGTTGCCATAGCAATGGCCACGTAACTACAAGTACTAGTAGAGATCAATCTAAACCACTTTCCACCTGAGATCGTCATCAAATCATCAACCACTAGTTATAAATTCAATTTTTTTTCAAGACAATTATATTAACACTGCACAATCTGGACCTGAACCACCCCACCTCTAATCAAAGTCCTTGGTCATAGCTTCATAAAAATCAACGTCATCTTTGCCCTGCTTTCCGGTCGGCGTGTCAGGAACAGGATTGCCAGCCGCGTTCATGTGTTCCGCTAAAAGCTGGGTTGGTCCCAGATCCTCCTGCTTCTGTTGACTGGCTTTCGACTTGGCCTGTAGACGAGAGGCCGAGTCTTGATTTTGTGTGGCGCTAGCCAAATTGCGCTTCTGCTCCATACCAGAGTTTCCGCCGAAGCGAGCGTTGTCTTGTTTCGAGGACATTATGTAGGTTTGAGGAAGCCTCTGTCGAATGATGGTAATCAGTATATGATCTTTGTCATACTGTCCAAGCCCGTCAACACGACCAACACCCTCATTCCTCCAACGATCTCCGGCTTGAACAGGACCAGCGACGCCAAAGGACGATGATGCTTACCAGTATCTTATATTTGATTTGAATCGGTTATTGTTATTGAAATGATGTTAATCATGTCTGATGCAGAGAGCCAGAAAAAAACACGAGATCACTCGATATTTATTAAATCTGGTATGGTGGCGGCATGATATTATTATGACGACGACATTTACCACCACCGTGTTCGCTTCTCCACAATCGCCATTCGTGTTCTTTCCTGATCTTTTTTTTTATTGTGCCACTGATTCTTTTTCTTTCTCGAAGGTAGTTGAGGTTAGCTTAGCCAGTGACTGTGGAGATGGCAATGTGGCTCTCTTGGCGGGTTCCATGGATCCTGGACCTTGACACATCATGGGATCAATTGTTGCCACAAACCTCTTCTCGTATGTAGCCTGTTATTCGGTGATAATCACGCAACTTGAAAGTGACACAAGCCGCTTGAAGGCGAAAGAACATTGGTAATTGTTTGGTTTGGTTGAGGGAGCTTCCGTCCAATTGTGCCTCCGAACTACTACCATCATGACAACAGTGAGCCCGTAATCTGGTAGAATCTGGGGGAAGCTCATAGCACTCGACATTTTCCCAAGGTAGGAGCCCAGATGCCCTGGTGCCACCTCCGGTGGTTCCATTCAGGGCACTTACCCTATTGAACCTAGGTAGGTGAATAAATACGAACGCATTTGAAATGAGCGAAAAATGTATGTGGCGGCCATCAGGGAGGACAAACGGTTTTTATGTTCAAGGAAAGAAATGTAGCTTCGAGTGCTTCTGTATCTTAATTTCCCTCTGGTAAAACCATTCCAAGGTTCTCACATGCTCGTAAATGAGTACATACTACATAAATGCAATGCTCGGGGTAGATTTCGCAGGATGATCTAAACAAAAGAACAAGGCCGCCTCTTGAGAGCGCCTTTTCGTCTAAATTCTCGCCTCTAATTATAAGTAATTCCAATTGATCGCTGATCTTTTCTGAGTGATCTCCGCAGAAGCAAACTTTTATCAATCCTTGATAGACGACAGATGAAAAACAATGATTGAACGGGGCGGACCGACATTGGAATGTGGCGTCCCCCGAGCGCCAACCTCAAGTGAACTAGGTGCAAATATTTGTAGTACATACGGGTGCATAGTACCTAATCACCGGCAAGTGCTAGATTTATCAAGCACAAAGCCAGTAATTGTGTATCCCTTGATATATCTATATGGAAGACGTCCCGAAGTTATTTCTATTGTTCAAAGATCCGGACCAAAGACGCAAGCAACATTGCAGGCTCCAGATGTCCATACCATATACATGGATGACCCCAAACCTCAACTTCGACAAGACAGAGAAGTAGAAACCTCAATTATCCTTCCAAGTCTCATTAATCTCATTCGCAATCCTCTCAATACGGCCCCACTGCAATGCACTCCACTCCCCCGGATTCTCAACAGCCTCCACAAACTGCTTAAACGCCAAAACCGTCTGCGCCGCCCACCGCTCCTTACTCACCTTCCCAACACCAACCGCCAGCGGCGTCATAAGCAGCCTCTCAATCCTCGCCGACCCAGTACCGTGACGCCTCTCACTAACTTTCCGATTATGTCCCTCAACCTGACATAGCAAACTCCACGTACACTCGAACACAACCTCGCGGTCCCAATTCACATCGTCCGGTTCCCGCATAGTCGGGCAAAGAGCTACCCAGGAACAGCCGCGCGGGTTCTGTTTGAGTGGTGCGGGGAATTCGACAAGAGTGCAGGAGCCTGGTGGGGCGAAGCCTCGGTATTTGTCGTAGAGGACTAGCTGGGCTGCGCGGGTTAGGGCGTGGTAGTCGTGGTGGGGGCTGAAGGTCATTGAGATTGCGTGGTCGAAGGCGCCGTCTAGGCGGCCGTAGGAATTTGCGGGGGAGACGATTAGGTCGAAGGTTGTTGAGGCCGGGATGCTGTTTAGGCGCTCGTTTACGGTTTTGATTTTTATCTTGTCCACATGGTTTGGCCAGATGTTGGTCATGGCGGAATTGAAGGCGGCAATGAAGTCGGAGTCCATACATAGAAGGAGGATTTCGGGGATGTTGGATGTCATTTTGGCGTTTTGTAGACAAATTGGCGAGTTGAGGGAGTTGAGTTTGGGGGTAGAGCTTAATTTTATAGTCGAGTTGCGCGTGAGAAAAGCGGGCATGAGGCCGAGTCCTGACGAATCAACCTTGGAATTCCAAATTTATCCATGTGCGGCTCTGATCTACCCGACTCAGCCACCTGCTGGCAGCCTTGCGAGTTCAGAAAACCAGACTGGAGGTTTATTCTGTATATAGTAGCTAAGTACTAGTATACATACTATGCATCAAAATAAATGTACATCCTTAGATGAAGTAAATCTAAACGATAGCAAACAAATATCTGAAAAAGACTTCGCTAAATGGGCTGTGAGTTTTGAATCGCTTCACTATGGCTCCTCGATGCCTAGATCTTTCTCCTTTTTCAAGGTCGCCGCTTCGGCAATCTCATCGGTATGGCCTCTTTCTCTAGCACGGGCTTGCTCTTGAGTCGACACATATCGCACCAGACTCTCACAGAGTCGGTCTAAAACCCACTCTGGTTCAGTTTGGTGCGCCAACATGGGACTGTTCTCGCCGATCCAGTCCCAGTTTAAAACACCATACTCATCTTCATCGAGAATGACCGCATCTTCTCTATCCAATTTCTGGCTTGATGATCCCTCTGCTGAAGAAGGTCTAGTCCGAGGGTTGGTAAACTGGATGAGACGAGTGTGCTCCACCCACTCTTCGTAGGTATACCGTTTACGCTTTCCTTGCCGCACTTCTTGGGTAGTATGGCGAATGGCAAATGCAAGTTGTTGGGCAAGCTCATAAGGCGACGGGGTATCACGTGCAAGTTCTTCAAGAGTCCGCGTAGGGTGATTCGTGCTGGTCCGAGGGGTTCGAGATGGGGTCAGGGACGAGGTTCGTTTGTTCGAGGTCTCGGGCTGCCCATTCTCTGGATCGGTCGTGTCTTCTAGAGGATCTGCACCAACTTGGAAACCACGTTCCAGACGCTTTTTCTCCCGGCGTTTCTCTAGGAATCTCCGGATAGGCGGGAAACGAGCGAAGAAAGACTGGTATGATCCACTCTCGGGCATGATGGAATATTCAGCAAACTTCACTGTGCCATGTTTGTAGCCAGCAACAACCGTGTCACTCATCTGGGAGATGAGCATGGTCATGGTCGGAATGGCTATGAGGGACCACACCACAAAGAAGGGTCGACCAGCATTTGACTTGGGGGTGAAATCACCATATCCAATGGTGATCAGCGAACAAAAGCAAAAGTACAGCGCCTCAAAATAAGTCCAGCCTTCCAGCGACCAGAACACAGCAGCTCCGCAACTCCAGACGATCCCATAAGCAATGATGCTGATAAACAAATCGTTCCAACGACGAAAGCGCATTGTTTCGTGTTGAATCCCGCGCATAGCGTCGAATCGGTCCTTTTCCTCTCTCATGATCAGGAGTTTGGGCCGTCGCTCTGCGGAAAGTGCGTGAATGGTGTTTCGGATCGGTTGATGTTTCTTATACCGGTAATTGACACTGGTCTTTTGGGAATCGAGTGCCGGAGGAAGTGTCTTCTCGGGGTTTGTGGAGCTGAGCTTGTCAAAAGTGATAGAGCGATCGAAAGTGTGCTGCCGCTTATTTTCAATGTGCTTTCGAACAACATTGTCATAGTGGACCTCCCGAGCGAATTGATGGATACTCCCAACAACGAGACCAAGCATAATGATTCCGATCACAGCATACGGCCAAACAAGGCCCCTTCCGAGGTCTGTTTGAGCTACTACGTCACCAAAGCCTAAAGTCAAGACTGTGATATCGCAGAAATACAGGGCATCTGCAAATGAGATCTCGAGTACTTTCTGGAAGAAAGCTGCACCAATAAGCAACCAAGCCACAAACACAGTCATTTGCAAAATGAGAGTACGCTGGTCGTCAGTGAGCGAGAAATGCTGTGGGTATCTTCCAAGGAAATAGCCAAGCATGTTAATCATGAGAAGAACACTCAAAATGAAATAGAGGATTGCAGCGATTACAGCACTCCAGTAGGCTTCAGAGTAAGTATCGTTTGGAGGGATGGGAGGATCGTATATTGAAAGAGCCGAGGTCAGTCCAGCCAGCTGTGGTAGTGGTAGTGGTAGAGTTAGCTTAACATATCAAAAGACGGCAGAGGTGTGTCGCATCATACAAGCCCAGTAGCCAAGAACCACAAAATAATTGTCACTGGCAAAGCAACAATGTATCGCACAGTTTGGGTAAAATTCAGGAGCAAAAAAGCATTGCCAACAATACCACATGCAAGCGAAACTGCGTTCAACCCCGTAACCCTAGTATAAAGTATGTCGTTAGTAACAACAATCTGCCAGTAGGCCCTACTAACTGCCTTCAGACCAAATCCAGTACATACCAATGAGGGTCAGAATAAAACGTCTGGGGATCATTTCCAGCGTCCCCTTCTACTGTAGAGAGAATGATGCTCCTCCACGGCATGACAAGCGCAACAATCGACATCAGGTTAGCTAGCGGTCCAGCCGCAGCGGCCACTAACGGGATAGCCGTGGATGCGATCCACCACGACTGAGGCTCGTCATCCTCCGGCGGTCTCATATGAAATTGACTCGTAAAGCGATCCCATAGCGACAATTGGTCATTGTTCTGATCGGCCGTGGGGGTCTCGTGTGGAGGGGGGCCATTCTGCATCGTTCATCGAGGCCTGCATACGCGGGGGTCGAACAGAACGAGAAAGGTACTGATTTTCCGATCTGCCCTCGGAGCGCTCCGATGGGGATAAGAGATGAAACACCCGGGGGATCCGGGGCTTATTATCTGACTTTGAGCTTGGCGGAGTTGGTTGTAAGTGCCGGGTGCCAAGGCCTTATCGCGTTATATCCGATGCCTCTTCCTGCGCGGATTTGGGGTCAACTTGAAGCTGCAGTGATGAGATGATGCAGACTTGATGATGAAAGAGGGTTGGGCAGGCTTTGGGGAATCAATGGGCACGGATGAATGGTATTGTTCTGTTAGTGATGTCAACCGACATGACAGCAAAACCTTCACCTTTGATCTGCAGTCCCGTGACCTGTCCCCCACATTCATCCATGGATTGCGGATATAATTTGTTTGGTCCAACGAAAGGGAAGTATAGAAGGAAAAACAAAGTACAATTAAAGCTGGCAATGATATTAGAGTCTTGTTACGGAGTAAAGAAGATAGTGGAGTGAAGTTGCCCAAAGCCAAGCCTGCTAACCACTGGGCCCAAAGTTTAATGTACACGGCCCGGTGAGTGTGTGAGACATTTCACTTTGTCAGCTTCAACCTGAATTTCTTTTCAAATCCTCCAATCATCTTTTGTGTCTTGTGTCTTTTTCTTCAGCCATCACTACATACTAGTAGACCTTTCAGATCACAGTGGGTTCTATGCCTTCACAAAGAAATCATTCGTCCAAACAAATCCCTCGCTCGACTCCAGGCTCCCGCCATTTGTCCCTATCAAGCCACGCCCCTCTATGGCCAGACTGCCAGTGGGCCGTGGCTTTCCCAAAATCGTATCCAAAGATCCAGTCCTTAACGGCGTACGGAGTATACCAGAACAATAAAAATCAACCCCCAAAGCTACACAGGACTTAGAATTAGCCTCAATACGCATCACACAACCGAACCAACCACCCAACCACCCTCCAGAACGTGTTACACCGAATGATCAAACCCCCACCACAGAGATAAACCCATCACCCAATAAGAGAAAGCAACCCGAAGGATTTAAAAGTAAGAAAATCAGCACGGAGTAAGCGCTCAACCATGTGCTCAAAAAACCTTATCTCATGCAATGCACGACTCATCCTGCCGTTCCTATAATAAACCTGTACGGACCCCCGCACTCGGGACATTGGGAAAAACGCTGCTCCGTCATAGGCTCGCCACGCAATCTGTTGTGAAAAGGGCCCCCCCTCGACCCCGCGCCACTTGGGGGCCGAGGGACCAGTGGCGGGAGTTATCACCTGCAGGATGTATGCAGGCGCTGGCCCGCACTGTTGGGTGTTGGTGGGGTGACATCAGCTATCGTCATTGGGACTAGGTACCTGCTTCCCGGGCGCACAGGGCGAAGTATATTCCATTCTAGAAGAGGAGATGCAGGTGCAGGTGCGGGAGTTAGTACTTCCAAGTAGTGTGCATACCTAGCTGCCCAGGTGTGGTATGGAATGGGTGTAGGTCTAAGCGCGGGTGAATCGTTGCCTTTTTGGGGTGTTGGTTGGTTAGAAGCGGGGATTCCAGGTTTGGTCTTGGTTTCCCAGTGTAGTTAGTTGATGCAGGTTCTCGTGGAAATAACGGGTATGTGGATCAGGAGATGGAGAATTACAGGTTAGCTACTCAGTAAACTACAGTGGAAGGTTTGGGGCGAATGATCGATGTTGAGGGTTCGTGGTTCTGGTTCTATATACAACCCGATTTTTTCCTCCTCGACTCAACATCAACAAATCAATAAGACATCAACAAAGGGAATGACCAAGGAAAATAAAAAATAAAAGACTAAACAAGATTCGCAGATAAAAATCGCGAGATGGTATCATCAAAGCAGAATGACACAGGCATCGACAAACAGAACACCGCATGACGCAACAATGAATAGCATCAACGCGGACGCCAAATCAGGAATCAAAGAATTGGAAAGACGCCACCCCAAGAAACAACAGAAACAACAGAAACAACAGACAGAACAAGAGGCGCCGAAACATAACAGGATTCTTTTGGTGGTTCGCCCCAGCAAGGGGCGGGAAGAGCAGACAATGCAGATAACAAAACAGCAGAAATTCGAAGTAAAAAGCCGAATCCAAATTTAACGCACTGCACATGCAATTAAACAACACTGTCAAATGCTCCGGGTGTATAACAAAGGAAATAAGCGAGAAAACAAGGGAAACAGGATATAACTTCTTCTCTGTCGGATTTGCTCCTCTTTCGGTGTATCGAGGTATCGGAGGTATAAGATAATAATAAGAAATGAGAGAAACGAATGAAAAAGACCGTCTAGATAGCAGACGGTCGGCGTAGAATTTCTTCGCAGTTGGCGTCGAATCGCATGTTCCACAGCCGGATGCTGTTCATCAATTTCTCGGTGTTTTCGAGTTCGCGGTCGCGGCCGAAGATTGATTCGACGAATTCACAGCCTGCATTGCGCCCCATAGAGACGGGAGCACCTTTGCCACCACTTTCCCTTTTAGCGGCCTTCCACATGAAAAGCTCACAGCCTTTGAGCAACTTCTTGAATCGGCTCCAGAGTCGGTCGCCACTTTCGAGGAAGTCCTCGACGACTTCCTGCGACTCGATACATTTGATGCGCGGAAGACATTCGTCCGCTCGCTTAACCTTGCCCGCAAGTTTGATCAGCAGCAGCCACAGGTCACCTGCCACGTCGGCCATGGGAGTTGATGCGCCGTGATGGAAGACCGTCCAATCGTAGATCCATTTACCGAGTGAGCTGGCATCGAAGACACTACCGAGGAGAATAATAGGTGCCTCGGTAGGGTCCCAGTTTTTGATCGAGTACCCAGGTGGAATTCCGGCGCGCTCAGCGTCTTCCTCGGTGGCGGTGGGTGGCGGTTTAGTGGCGGGGGCTGGCTTGGGCTTGCTAGGTGTGCGAGTTGATGTGGACTGACGACGGGCACGGGATGAACGACGAGCTGCCTCGACATCGTCGTAGTTAGGAACCTGGTTGAAGTAAAAATGAGAATCAGCGGCTGGGTTTGGTTTGCGATGAGCAGTTGACGCGTTGCGACGATGGTGGCCAGTGCCAGGGCCATCTTGTTTGTGGGTCGTTGCTGCCGGGGGACGGCCAGGGCGTGGTTTCGGCCCGTAAAAGGCGTAGCGAACATCGAATGCATCGTCAACCACATCTACAAAGATGGGTCGTTGCTGCGATTGCGAGTTGGGTCCGAGGCCATCCCCCGCAGGATGACCGGCCGTATGGTTGCGACGGTGTTTGGGCGGGCCCGCGTTAGAAGCACTTACATGATCGTGCTTGCGCGGCAGCGGCGGAATGCCCTGGTCTTGCGTCGTCTCATAGTAGGATTGCGGTGGGTAGCCATAGTACGACGGTTCTTTGGTGGCCGTGTAGCTGGCCTTGCGGGTATGCCGTCGCGAAGTGCCCCGTGGTGATGTGTAGGCGTTGGCATATTGTGAGGCGTATTGAGCGTAGTATGGCGAGGTGGGTGGCGACTGAGAGTAGTCGTAGGTAGACCACCCTTGTGGTGGACTGGAATAATGATACATTATCGATAGAGCATGAGCAACCGGTACTCAAGTTCAGATGCAAAGCGCTGGTGGAAGTAATAGATCCTTTCTTTCTTTCTTTTTTTTTTCTCCCGGCTTGAACGAGGATATAAATCAAGCAAGGGTGGCGAAGTAGCAAATGCACCCACACAACCGTAGTTCAAGAGAGAAGTAGGAAGAAAAAAAAACAATGCAGTCAACGCACAACCTGAAAAAAAGACCCGAATATATTATACAACAGGGTATCGTATGCACCAGAGTAGAGAAGACGCCGATAAAGAGAAGTGCAAATAGAAAAAAGGGTTTGAGTTTAGGACCGTCACCGTGGTACGGTTTCCGATCGGAGAGAGGAGGGTGGACAGTAGATGTGCTGAGCGTGCATTTGAACGTTATTCAAGTTGAGCCGAGAAGGGGGCTGGAAGAGACCCGTTGTTGACTGGATCTCGCGCTTGAATTTTTTGGATTGAGAACCAAAAGGTCAAGACTTCCGAGGAGAGTCTGTATATAGGAGAGTGGAAAAAAAGTGCGAGATCCACGAGATTAGAGCCGAAGCAGGCGAGAAGAGTGGAGATGGGAAAAATTCAACCCAATATGAAAGGGAAAAAGGAAGAAGAAATGGAGCCTTTAATTGTCAGCGCGACGATTACTGGGGGCGGCCAATCAGGCTCCACCTGGTAGGGGCCGCCGTGGGTTTTGGCGTTCTTGGATGTGGAAATAAGTCTCAAATAACCCCCATTTGGGACCAAAAGGACGATAAATACCGTTTTTCTCTTTCCAGTTTACGCGTATTGTCATTCCACAACTGACAACTGTTCACTGGCCATTTTACGGGCTTATACTTCTAGGGCTATTTTATCACTTGAATCGCATTCTGACTTGAGAAATACGTTTATACGCCAGAGAGGTTCAGGTAGCAAAAATAAAAGTCGCCTTCACCAGTCATCCTATGACTCTTAATTTATCATTAATTTATAATCCATATTTGTTTGACTCATTATGAGGCAACAAGGGAGTGAATCAAGTCTTGATCTAATATTGCTCCTTTAATTCAGTCCGGAATTCATCATTACTCTTACCCTACCCCTCAGACTAGTCCAGATGGAGACACTCGCTTTCGACGCTACTATGCAACTACACTCATGATTCGGGCAGCGGCCAACTGCATCCTGTGCGTTTTGATTTTTTGGTTGGTTTCGGAGAGAGAGAGAGAGAGAGAGAGAGTACTAGAGAAACAAGGCTAAACAGACTAAGTAATACGACTGGCTGATGGGTTGTTTGATTTCCATTTTATCTTATTTGCTGTTCTTACATGGAATTTCATGACTCGGCAAAATGGTGTAAGATGGTGTGTGAAAGCGCATGTACAGTACATGACTACATGAGAGGGGAAGGGAGGGGAAAAAGAGCCACCAACTCAGAATCCCGAGTCTCTGAATGGCTCTATGAAGCGGATAGTGAATCATAGATATTTAGCGATCGTTAGTTTGCATCGCGTGTCAAACCTCTGTTGGATGGCACAGGCCGCCATGTGCCAGACTTCCAGAATCGGGCCAACTTTGATTTCTTGTACAGTTCTGTCTGCATGAACCCATTAGCTGCGTATCAGAAATCGATGCCAGAGCGACCCGAATGGATGACCCCCCCTAAGATTTTGATCTGGACCTGCCCAAACGACATACTTTTACTACCAGGTATGGATACAACCAGAAATCCTCCGAAAGCTTTGGATCCATGGTTGGCTACGCGGCTCTATCGCATCTCCCGGGTTATTCTACGGCTGATCCCGTTTCGTTCCAATGGTTCTGGTGACTCCACTGACTCCATATCGTTCTTTGAAACCATCCGAAACCCACTATGTTGCCATGGCAAAATCCATATACTTCCCAACTTGCTCCCTACGGAAGAGCTATCTCAACATCCGGGATTTTTATTTTATTTTTTGAAAAAGAAAGCGCCATCAGGGTCTACTTTGACACACAGAAACCTTCACCGTTGGGCAACATCACGGACCACACGCCCTTTACCGCCGGTCGCTGGGCAGCAACCACTGTCCCTTTGGGCCAAAATGGATCAAAGACAGTGGAAAAAAATTGTTTTATTAATTAAAAAATTGTTTTCAAAGAGGAGCCTTGCAGACCGCAACTTGCATATCCACTTGGCTGTGGAAGTACTCCGTAGAGAAGAGAGAGAGAAAAGTCTATCAACAGGGCTCACAAAGAATCCGCAAGGTTTGCAAAAATAGATCGAAGAAGCTCCAAGGTTGAAATGTTGGGCTGTGTAAGAACCAAACCGAGGAACGAGACCTGAAACTCTTTCAAAACCAAATATTCTTTGAATCTCGGGAGTTGAAAAAAATGCATCAAAGAGATATAGATATCTCGGCAGTGAGTATCAAACAATAATATTCAATATTATAAGTATAAGGTCAGATACAAAGTGCGTATCTCGAGCCAAACCCTAAGCAATCTCGCCTCCATCGAGATTGGTTCCCACACGCATCCACTTTGCTCGAACTATGACGTCCAATCCTGTCAACACAGCTGCTCTTCAACGAGACTCAATAAGTTACAGGTTCGCATTCAGGGAAATAACAGTTTTGAAAAACGATAATTCAAATAAAAAAAACCCAATATTTTATGACCACTTTACCATACCCAACCCACCTATGGGTACTTTTTTTTATGTTCACGCACCAAAGGGATGGAATAAACAAACCTTGGAAAAACACGTTCAATCCTTACAGGCCTCACCAAGGAATTCCAGGTGCATCCTTGACCAGTCAAGGGTTACCATAATTCTTGTTTTGCTTTTTTGCTTTTATTTTTTAATCTCGATTCTAGATGAGTCAACCACCCTTCGAGAAATGTGCCACCCCTTTACTGGAGAGAAAATCTTGCGCCACCAGTAGGCAGCGCCGATCCTGCAAAGTTGCACATGGCGGACGTACTTTTGTTCATTCAGGTTATGTTGGTCTTGCTAGCCCCGTTAGCCCTGTTAGCCTGGGTAGGCTTCTCCGTATTCCATCGCCTAATGCACATGTTAATTCTAGCCAAAAGAAACAATGTAAAATAAATTAAAAAATAAAAATACAAAAGACGCCTCAAAATCCTCTACCCAATATCATCAATGCAATATAATGTATCTGCATATGTATCGTTCTGCACCTGCCTAATAAAGATACAAGAGAGGCTCTTCAAACCATTTGCACGCACCAGCTGACGAGATCCATGGATCTTATTTGCCTTTCAACCCCTCCAACCAGATATCAACATTCCCAGCTGAGGCGGCCAGTCCAGCTTGACTGTTGTGTAATGTAAAAGGGGGGGAGAGGATCATTCGTAGTGCAGAGATGGGGGGAGGGCAGTTCAACCCGAATCCCATATCCGTATACTCCGTACTCCGTTTCGAACTTCATCCCAGCTGCGTATGTTTCTAGAACAGGGTTTTTTTTTTTAGGTCGGAGAAAGCTAAAGCCCCCCTAGTGGGCGCGGCCCGGTTAGAGTCCCAGAGACTAGAGGGTTTTTTACGCTTTTACGAGTGGGGCGTTGGGGGCGCGTCAACGGCCCAGATAAGCCGGGATGCAGTATATCAGCGGGCTTCTGCTACTGTACGGAGTACATGTTACAGGCACATAGCCTTGCACGCACGGGCGCTCTCGTGCAGAAGTGAGAACTTCTATTTATTGATGGAGGGTTGCCTTTGTGTGACGAGGTTGGGGCCAGTAAGCTCACTTTCTTTGCGAATGCTTACTTTAAATGTTCTATTGTCCATGGGATATTCAAAGATTGTTGTAGATGGTACCTGTTTTATCTTTCCTTTTCTTCGCCTTTCGCTCTTATTCTTTTTGCTTATTTTCCTTTTCGTTGGGGTTCCGCCGTGTCAGAAGGTCAGGGGGGATGCGTGTACATAGTAGAGACCAGGTTTATGTTGGAAAAAGCACGGGCATATCTGTATTTTTGAGACATTATTAATTTCGCTTCCAAGGTTCTTTATTGGTATCATCTGAAATATTGGATAACGAATGAAAACAAACAGGATAAAATTAAAAAGCGAAAAGCGAAAAGCGAAATCCCCGTCGATCCAATAATCTGCCTTGTGTGCTAGATCTGATGAATCATGTACCCCCTTGCACGATCTGAGTTGAGATCAAAACAAGTCCACCTTCAACTGGTACCAGCTGCACGGAATGCCTCACATGTTCTTGATCTCTTACTCTTTTTCCTTTTCTTTTTTTCTCAACAAGGTCCGCAGATATCGGTATTTTTCATTCTTGCAATCAAGGGGTTTCACATGGAATATTTCAATTTGTGTGCGCGCACTGATCACATAGAGTTCAAAGAATGCCCTTACCCTGAGCCCTATGGTCAATGCTTTTTACGCGGAAACTCCAATCAGGGGGAACTCAGTTCCCGTGTCTGGCGGTGTCCAGCGTTCAGCCAGGGGTTTGGATCCTTGAACTGGCATTATTGAGTGCTGTGGCTGTTCCTGGTCGATCTCAGTGGTGCATTGTGAATATCTTCTCCACAGGGGCCAATGACGGGATGGTTCCCGTGGCGGACTGGAAGGTTGGTATTAATATGCACGTTGGAGGTAAATTGGTTCCACTTCTTTAATGGCAGTGTATGTAGGTCTAGGCCTTTATCTACTACTCCGTACATCAACAATATACGTACTCGGTAGAACCTCGTTGATAACCCAGATTTTATGGCACTCAAAGTTCTCAACTGGGCCCAGGGGAGTGTGTGACCATGCGCATCATTGGCAGTCACGATTTAAATTGTCAGTCTAGCGGTCTGGCCATCCTTTAACTTGGTTCAAGCTTTGCTTTAACTCCCCAGTGTGGACATTAGGATGTTTCTGTGCTGCTGCCCTTGGCACTCACTTCCACACTTGTTTGGCAAATCCGCTAAGCCACGCGACCAACAATGCCTCGGCAGAGCTTGGGCCTCTTGAATTCTGACTGTTGGCTGATTATGATCCCGAGGTCGAGCGCCGAGCGTGAGATATATACCTCTGTCGTATGTGGAGGTATCTTTGGAATAGCCTCATTCAAACATTGGAATGCATCAGCCAAGATATTGATCAATACGATGTCCGCGATTCTCTTGCTTTAACCCACCCATATGACCCAATTGAGCTCCAATCGATTGATGAAGCGGGAATTTGAAATCAGCTTGGTTAATTACTAAAAATGCTTAGGGAGGGCTATACCACTCGACCATGCGGGTGCCGGTTGTTGAAAGGACACTTGAATTATTCCTTTTGACCCTCGGTACTGATGATTTATTACGCGCTATTTAGTCATCCCGATGTCTTTTGGGGTTTCTCATTAATCAATCTTCCTCCTGATTGATAATGGCAAACAACATTGAATTTGCTGACTAGTACTATGTAGGTATATAAAGCCAATCTTACATCCACATACATCATTCAGCTCATGTGTTGTACAGTCATTTATCTTACCCTTATAATTTTATAGCGGTGCCTACGACAGCACCCACTGCGCCTGAACTCGATAACTGATCCATGTCAACTTTCAAATGATATAGTCAACCATACTATATTTGCTCATTTCTTTCAAAGTTGGGGGCGTAGGTATGATGTTTACAACATTTGAATATAACTAGCACCAGTCCCCGATATCCTGAACTTTCTATATGTACACTCTCAAATGAATGTATAGCAACCACATGTAGCTATCACTCCTCACCCCGTCTGAGCTCTTCGAAACTCTTCCGCCCAAGGGAAATTCTCAGACCTAGATCCATCCGACCGAACCTGGACCGTCGAAGGTGCAAAAACCCCGTTAAGCATCCACGGATCACCATTCGCAGGAAGAGGCAATTTCCTCAACCTCATAGGACAAAACGAATAAGTAGCAACTTCAAGCCTCTCAGTAGCACGATAGAGACTCATGGCATCGGTAATAAAAGAACGGCACTGCATGTACCAAGGTTCCTGCATCAAAAAGTCCTCCCATTGAATATATGGCCACGGATTCTGCATAGCAGCACTAATAACCTGATAAACTTTGATCCCCACAGGAAACCCATATCTAGCACAGAAAGCCCCAGATACCCGATCAGACAGATGTCTCTTCCAATGCCATACCAGCGAGAATTCGGTCGCCAGGAAGCGTTGATCAGGCCGGATACGCGAGAGGACGTACTCGAGCATGACTCTGTGGCCTTCCAGAGTCGGCATGTGAGGGTGTAAATCCACGCCCTCGAGCTCTGGTCTTGACGAAATGAAGCGCAGCATCCGCTCGACGGCCGGGGTCCTTTTCGCCGGGAGATCTAGTCTGTTTAGGGCGCCCATGTATAATCTTGTTAAGTTGCCGCCGTGTGTGTTGCGGAAACGGATCACAGTATCGGCTAGCATCTCGTAGAAAATGTTTAAACGCGTATCTGCGTGGCCTTGTTGAACTTCAATGAAGGGCTCGTTTCCGATTACTATGATGTCGACTTTGTCCATTACCACGGGGAGTACGCGGTTCAGACGCTCGAGCTCGGTGGCGATTGCGGCACTGTTCACGTTTGGGAAATCGAGGTTGGTGTAGTTCCACTTGAAGCTTAGAATGGTTTGGTATCCGGCATCTATGGCTTTGAAGAGAGCTTGCAAGTTGGGATCCTGAGCAGCATTCAGTGTGTCTATCTGGTGCATGTCGATGAAGCCGCGGATCCAATGGGCGTTGACGCGGTCTAGCTCGCCATGATTGATCCATGTGAGCTTTTCATTGAAGTTTGCGCCCAGAGCGCCCAGGGCCGCTCCTATGGGTTGGGTCATTTTGGAATTTTTTGAAGATTCACTTCTTTCTTAGAAGCAAGCTGTACGTTCGGTGGGTAGACTTCATCGTGGAGACTTGCCGTGGACACGTAAGCTACCGCCTTCAACTTGCCGGAATGAGAACATTGGATGTTGATCTTAAGTACGAGAATGACTTTGCCCAGTTCAAATGTTGTTGAAGACGGCCAGCTTAATAGTGTTTCTGTTGATAATGCTGCACTACGTGTCAGGGCGTCCGTGAAACCCTTGGGAAACCTTTCCAGGGAATGACAATTCCAAGGTCCGACCAAGACCTCGGGTTTCGTTCCTCAAATGACGTCAAGAGATTTGTACATAAGATATAGGTATTCGCGTAGAAAAATTGAAGCTCTATATTCAAAGTTGGAAGGTGATGTGAATAGAGGCTGTATGTACATAGTAAATACCTCATTCCAACCGGTATGTCGCCGCAATGCGGATTAAAAAGGCAAGCCTTGGAAAACCAAGGCATATAGTATCAAAGAATGGTATCACAATCGTAAAATGTCCAAAGCTCCATAAGACGCTCATAAATAAACACCTGTCCAGTCCCAATAAAAGGCAAGCTAAGATTAGAGCAACAAGGATTGCCATGATTATATGCTGAAGTGAGCACTGATTAGCTGGAGAGAATTATGCTACCATATATTCCCCATCGCCCCGCTTGGCCTGCATGACACGGGACCAGCGGAATGTCTGAGATGTGAGAGAACCCGAGCTTCCATCCAGTGGAGGCGGAGGACCAAATCCAGAAGGATAAATTGGGTATGAGGAATCTTCAGAATGCTCTGACCAGATTTTCTCCAGTAACTCCAAACAGGAAAGATTATTCACAAATCCGGAATCTTTCGAGATATCCTTGCAACGATCGCGGATTGCTGCACGGTGATCCTCTTGAACACATTCTGAGCCGACAATAAATAGTGGCCAGAGAAGATAGACATCGGATTGCACGGCACGAAGACAATGCATGGCAAGGTGTACAAGGTGCTGAATGCGCGGGTGTTGCGATGGCAAGCTTGGCTCTGCCAGGCGCTCGCAATAGAGGAGGGCGGCATGACGGAAACATTCAGATATTTGGTAGACATCCTGGAGGTTCTCAGTGGCAACATGATATGTGACTGAGGGAGAAGGATCCGGGATGAAGTTTGGAGAATTCCAAGTTGGCATTGAAGTTGTGGCGGTCGGAGGCGGAGAGGGCATTGAAGTTGTGGCAGGGGGATCGAATCGCCAGGATTCGAGACGTTGACGCAGTGAAAACCATTCCGTCCAAAAGGCCGGGGAAGATGGCTTTCTCGCCTGGTCGCTACTTTGAGGCGGAGTGGGCATAGAGAATCCGTACTCAGGGCCAGTAGAAAACCCTGGCCCGGTGGCTCCTGTGACAGAATCCCAGCCCGGGTACAACATAGCCGGAGGCAGTGAGGTGGTGGGGACAGATACATCAGCTGGTCTAGTTGATTCGGTAGGCTGTTGATCCTGGCTGAGGATATTCAAACGCCCTAACTGGGAAATGAGCTTGAATAGACGGCCATCACAGCCAGTTAAATTCTCAAGGCCCCATTCCCCGTCAGATATGGAGCTGATATCTAAGCATCTTCCACGAAGCTGTACATCACGATCGTTCGTGGTAGCAGTCAATGTATCAAACCAGGAGAACATGCGAATGAACCATTTGAGGTCGTCAGTCAAGACACGAGAGTGGCGCATTCGAATTGCGAGGAGTCTCGTGACACCGGCAAACTGAGACCTAAACTCGGCCACACCTGTGTCGCATCCATGAAACAAGCATAGAACCAACAGAGTTGCTAGCACCGAGTCTGATAATCTACGGTGAGGGTCCGCCAAATCGGCGTTCAGAGCCTTGACTGCCATCGCTCGATGATGGTTTTCTTCGCGAGCGTAGCCCTCGGGGACTGAGATACCATATCGATCCTGGAATGCCTCGTCGGTCAGAGCACGATGAGCCATCGATGACATGCGCGCTGGTAGTGTTCTTTCTGTGGAAAGATGGTTTCGATCCCGCCGCTGGCGCAAGTTACTGGTTGACAACGTAGCAATAGCCTCTTGTAAAGATTCACTTTCTTGTGCCAATCGCAGAACATGTGTCTTGAATGGATTTGTTGGGCTGTCAAAGGCCACGATCATTGGTGAGATGACCTCGGTGAAATAGCTGATGAGATAACGGAGACGAGGGGTGCGGCCTATGGATCGCGCCAGGAGTAATTGAGAGTATGAAGGTGAGTGACCAGCATCCCACCGTATTGAGTGCTCGGGATTTGTCCTTTCATACTCCTCATCGACATCCGAGTTTGGAGTTGTGACATGTGGGACTATCCAGTTGCTGGTAGCAGGCCATATTGGAGTGGCGAAAGTAGCCTCTGGGCTAAACCCAGGATACGGCATTGACGCCTCTGAGCCCACACTTACTACGCTTGCCATACTTGGACTCAATCGATTAGAAGGCACCAGCCGACTGGGCAATGGGAGTCCTGATATTTGAGGCGGAACAGCGGGTGCATTGGACCATGTATGTGGGTCTGGCATGTCCATTGTCCAAGCCATACCCACGGGATCCGACATATTCGACAATGCGGATGGGCGTCGGAGGTCGAAGTCCTCTGTTTTTAATATTCCGGTGTCCATATGCTCGAAACTCATATTAACCGGAAGAGCTGATGTTGAAACCGGAGCTGGCGGGTTTGAGCTTTCAGATTTGATACGGTTTTGCGGAGGGGATATCTGCCCGGGCTGTTTTGTCTGTGTCGGCTTCCGTGTGGTCTCTGGTGCTGATTCCATCACCGGAAGCTTCTGGCCCCGGAGCTTGCCTCGACTTGCCACTCCCAATCCCCATGTCAACGTTGTCTTGTATCCGGAACATTCGCGGCCTAATTCGAGGCACTGGGAGCAATAAGGGCGGCGTCGATCACACCGCGCTCCTCTTTTTGAGCACGCGAAGCAATCATCGGGGGCACCGCTTACAACGGTTCGCTTGCGACGTTTCCGCACCGGGGCGTTCGGATCAGTTTTGCGGGCTTTTCCTTTGGTAGGCTCCCTCGATTGGGTCGCTGCGCTCTCAGACATAATGGGCGAGTAGTGCAGGAAGCACCCTCAGGGGTTCCATGGGGTATTTGCCAAGGGTCTGGCGTTGTCGGCCGTGCGAAACTTTCTCCAAGATGTGTTCGATGGGAGTTTGGAGAAGTTCAACGGGGTTCCGTAAAGTGGGTCCTTTTGCCAACCCGGTCACGCTGTATATAGAGAAAGTATGACGAATATGAGGATTGAAAGGTTGCGGAAGCTATTAAGGACCTAAAGTGACTTTGAGAAAAAGAGGGAAAGGGAGAATAAATAGGGACGATCCAAATCCGGGAGAAATGGAGAAGAGAGTTGGGTGGTGGGTAAAGAGGATCTGCCTCGGTGGAGGATGATCCGCGCTCTAGGCAAATCAGCCAAATTTCGAGGAAAACCCCGTTCGGGCTCTCGCTTGCCAATTTATCCCTCAAACTAACTCCACCTATTGATCTACTTAGAACACTAGAACACAATCGAAGACGCCTTTGAAAGTCTCTTACAATCCTAAGCCCGTTTGGGATTTAAGTCGTGGTGGGTTTATTTCCCCGTTTATTAAGTTTAGTACCCCAATACATCTGTATGGAGTACAATGAGATGGAACTAGTGATATCGTAGAATTATTTATTGATTTAACGGTGACACCATAGAAACGGTTTTACTCCAACCTTTTGATGTGAGTAACTTCTGTTCTATGTATATTTTAACAATGCCATTGTTTGGAAGGAAGCGATATCCTGATGATCTTTATCTGCATTTGCCAAGCATCGCGGTTGGCCCGCCGCTTTTCATTTCTCCCAAATCACTCCCTTTCCTTGTATAAGATCGGAAATCAAAACCTCTCCAATCGCTCGCTTTCCCCCGCTCTTATCTCGAGGCCCAGGCAACTGCAGGTCCCTTGTGATTGCCTGATACTTCCGTTGGGAATCGTCGATCGGCGCGCCCGTGCGCCGCTCGCCCCGAACCCCCTGTGACGAAGGTGTGGCCACCGCGACACGCGCCTGACAATCAATTCAATTCAATATTTCGCAAAAAAAAACAGGCAACCCTTAAGCCCCGGCTCCGCCCGCCAATATCATCCAATATGGGCATGTTCAGGCCAGGTCGGGCAAGGTCCCTGCTCCTTGCCATGATGGCCATGATTTTGGTATGCACGGTCTACCTCTACTGGTCCCCGATCACCGCGTCATCCACCGTCTCCGTTGTTCCGAGCACGGCGTTCGAAGTACCTCTATCAGAACGACAGAAGGATTTCTGGAAAGCCTTCCACCCCTTATTGGAGCGTCATAATCCCAATTGCCCATCTCCGCAGAAATTGGATGATGCGGGGGCCGGCCATTTCGACCCCACGAAAGAAAGCCTGCGGCAGGACATTACAACTTTGGCGGAGCAGGACCAAAAGGCAATGGAGGCGGCCCATGCTGGCTTCGTTGAAGATATAAAGGCGGCCGGAAAGGCCTTGGAACCTGTTCATACCACTGGAAAGCGAGGTTTAGTCTCGACGGCGGGCTCAACGTATCTACCTGTGTTTGTCTCATCATTACGGATGCTCCGTCGGACTGGATCCACATTACCAGTGGAAGTATACATGAAGGATGCAGGTGAATACGAAAAGCGCATATGTAATGACGTGCTGCCTGCTCTGAATGCACGGTGTTTGGTCCTGGGTGATGTAGTAGGAAAGGATATCATTGAGCATTATCAGCTCAAGATCTTTGCAGTACTCTTTTCTTCCTTCGAAGAAATTGTCTGGATGGATGCGGACTGCTTTCCTCTGGGAAAACCTGAAGATTTACTGGACTCGGAGCCATTTATCTCGTCTGGATTGGTAACCTGGCCAGATTTCTGGAAGTCCTCCGCATCGCCTCTGTACTACAAGATCTCCCGCCAAGAGGCACCGCCCATCACAGCCCGTCAATCTTCGGAGACGGGTGTGTTCTTGGTGTCGAAGAAGACTCACTTCCTGCCCCTTCTCCTTGCGGCCTACTATAATTATTATGGCCCGTCCCACTACTTCAGGCTGTTGTCTCAGGGCGGACCGGGTGAAGGTGATAAAGAGACATTTCTCCAAGCGGCTACGGCAATGGGGGCACCATTCTATGCCGTGAGTGAGCGAGTACAGGCCATTGGTCACCAACTTGGTGAAAAGCTAGCAGGCTCAGCCATGGCCCAATCAGACCCTCGAGAAGACTATGCACTCACCTCGCAAGACAAATGGCGAACCAAGGATCCCAATGTTGCACCACCGCCACATGTGTTCTTTATCCATGCAAATTATCCCAAGTTCAACCCAGGCGACAATGTCTTTGGCACAGGCTGGGAAACAACTCCCACCTTGAAGGAGGATGGCTCAGATGGCCGTGCCTGGACAGCTCCTCTCGACACAATCCAGCGATTTGGGTATGATATTGAGAAGACTTATTGGGAAGAGATCAAGTTTGTTACATGTCGTTATGAAAATCTCTTTAAATCGTGGGAACATAAAGCCGGTCTTTGTCAGAAGGTGGAAGACTACTGGACTCACGTCTTCGCTGAGCCACATGATGACGACCCAAAGTTCAGCCTAGATGGTTGATCTATCTCCCGCTTTGTTCAGTTTGCTTCAGCACTCACTTCGGGCAGCTTAATAGGCCCATGCATGAACCGAAGGCCCGGCGCCTCGACATCACTTTGGTACCTGCAACCCAAGGTCATCTTTCATGAATGGATGAAAGAGATATCCCACCACGACATTGCCAGTCTTCACATTCCCGTGGATCTTCCCGGCAGTTAAAACTCCTCCAAGGAGCGACTTCCAAAATTGGGCTCCATAGACTTGTCATGCTTGTTATTGAGCGTTACGATCCATGTACTATAATAGACATTTCCCTTGAATTTTGGGTCTATTGCCCAGTGCAGGTGCACATAATATCTAATATATCCCAATCAAACAACACATGTCTCCACTGATATACATTTACAGTAGGCACAGATCAGATTGGTAACTTGGATATTTTATTTCCGTTCAGTGCTCTCAACAGAACACAGAATTTAAGAATTCGTCATATCATATAAAATACATCCCAGCCCCATGATAACCAAAAGAAAAAACATTCACATCGGGGGTGTGGGTATCATAACATCATGGCAAACTTTTTATTTCTTGATGCCCTTTTCGCGAAGGCGCTGCTCATCCTCAGCCTGGAGCTCAGCATCGATCTGAGCGCCCTTTGAGGGCTTGTTTCCGTGGAGCTTGGCCTATAGAATAAAAGTATTAGAATCGAATTGGCTTTCAGAAATTTTCTTATTATGAATGACTCACAGGCTTAGTAGGGTCCTGCTTGCTCAACTCAGCCTCCTCGTTGAACTCATTGTTGTGGTGATGCGATGGATCGGCCTTGCCACTTTGGGCGGCAAGCTTGTTGCCAATGGAGCGTTGGTCCTTGGAATCCAAGTTCTTGTGGCTACCGTGCTGACCCTCCTTGTAGCGCTCGGCTTCGCGGATCTCAGACTGAGGAGCATTGCGCTGGTCACCAGCCTCATAGATGGCACGGTTACCGACACTAGATTGACCAGACATGTTGGGAAATTGGGTATTTCGGTGGGAAGATATAAGAGTTTGGTGGAATGGTATAGTAGAGGAGAAGAGGATGATTGAGATGATAATGCTTTTGAGAATGATAGAGAAAAGATGTTGGTTGAACGAAATTGTTCTGTCTTATACTTGGCTGATCCTGCCACCAGGTATGGGCAGTGATGTCATGTTGGAGTCACTGAGATCATACTTGTGGGTCGAGGTCCAGACTGCTTGGAAAAGATTCTTCAAGCTGGATGCTTGATCGCGTGCGTCTGAGACCCTTTCTTGATAAGCATTTACATCAGAATATGCTGCAATCAAGGAAGCTTTGGGGGATGTGACATCGTTGATGAACCCTGTGCACAAAGGAAAGCTCCACTTGTATACTCCACTATTACGTTCCCATCAAGTTGACGATTTTCTTTAAGCTTGTTAACAAATTGTCAATTTTTTTATGAGAGAAAAATAACGAATATTCATGCAGATTCTAAACTTTTCTTTGCATACATCTCAAACCTTAGTAGTACCATTCAGGTATTAGGGTACCGCAACTTACTACTCTATTGTTAGTTTCATTGGTTCTGGCTTGTCACCATATTCGACCCGAAGCTGCAACCTGAGCTTTAAATTCCCAATGTCATTTTGAGATCATCTATTTCTTACCAAAGATGAGATTACTGGTCATTGTCAAAGGCGATATTGAAGAGAATTAACTAAGTGGTTGAAAATGATCATTCCTTCTCATACCCACTGGCAAGCATACTAAGCATGCCTCTGAATGGGACTTCGGCGCCACGACCCACTCCGGCAATCGGAGTTAATCACAGCTAGTTAATCATGTACCCCGACACCACCGATTAATGATGCGACCGCATCTATCTACCTTGTTCAGGGCATTAGAGCACAGTCGGATACCCCTCCAAAGCTCAAGTCGATTTCACAGCCAAATTTATTACCGAAACATTCACTCCGCCGCCGCAATGGCCCCTGCACCAACTGCACCACCAGCACCGGAAGTGCAACCCCGCTTCCAACAGCTCTTCACCGAGCTAGAATCCCGCTTCAAAGCAACTAGCCTTGGCAATGACAAGTGGTACATTCTTGCGACGTCCACCCTAGCTGCATGCCCTGATCCCGAGCGTGCCGACCAGCTCTACCTGCACCTCATCTCTCAGCCAGAGTATGCTACGTCGCCAGCTCGACAGGCCTTAGTGCGCCGCCTGCGCGAAGCTCTCATCAAGTCCGTCCCTATTGTCGGTGTCTGCAAGCCCATTGAGGCAATCTTGTCCATCAGCAAAATTGAGCGCGACGAGGACAAGGATTACACCTTCACTCGCGAGAACTGGCAATGTGATGAGGCGAACCATCAAAGGGGCGCGGACTGGATGCAGAAGCTATATTCTCGCAACACAGGCGGGACTTTGAATTTGTTTGCCGCGCATCAGGACTTTAAGTGGTTATCTGAGGAGATTACCTATGGGTTGTACCTCTCGGATCGCCAGATTCTGGACGATGTGGATACACAGCTGGTTGTGTTGCCTGGGATTATGAGCCAGAACTTGCCCCTTGAGACACATTGGCATATTCGGGGCACGAGACGGCTGGGTTTGCCCAAGGAGGAGGTTCAAGTCATTTGGGACTGTGTTCAGCTTGTGGCTAAGTTCTTTGACGTCAAACTGCATAAGGTGCCTACTGTCGAGTCAGTGGAGTATGATGTTTAGATATAGCCTGATTTTCAGTACCCGGATCAATACTTTTTAGATGTCAATGACTTGAATTTAGAAGTTTACTAAATCAAAGTTTTTCTATGCTACTAGCTTATTGGATATTGAAGTACCAGTAACTACGGAGTATCCGAGCGCAACTACACGTAGCTGTTCAATGACATAGTACTAGTGAATCCCCCGATAAGCGATAAGAGGGAAAAAAGTTCGAAAGCGGCCGCGGGGTGGAACAATTTGCCCAAAACACCTCCAATACTCCATTGATTAACACCACACCGATATAATCAAGATGGGAAAACGCAAGCAGGATCTTGGTGATGTCGCCATGGGCGGCACTAAGGACGACGAGTCATCCGACGATGTGAGATCACTCCACGTATAACCTCATTCCGCGCAGCTCACAAGCTAACCCCGTGCAGGACACTGACATGATCAATGTCGACTTTGAATGGTTTGACCCGCAACCTGCGATCGATTTCCACGGCCTCAAGAACCTGATCCGCCAATTATTCGACAATGATGCTCAGATCTTCGATTTGTCTGCCCTTGCCGATTTGATCCTGTCGCAACCGACGCTCGGATCCACTGTGAAGACTGACGGCAATGAGTCCGACCCGTACGCTTTCTTGTCTGTTTTGAACCTGCAGGAGCACAAGGTAAATTCATCCCATATTCTGGAATTGTGGCGCTCCTGCAGAAACTAACTACTCTCACTGTAGGACAAACCGGTCGTACAGGAATTGATCAAATATATTACTTCCAAAGCCGCCGGTAACCCCTCTCTGTCTGCCCTCCACGAGCTCGTCTCCCAGGACCCCATCGCGCCCATTGGCCTGATTCTGACCGAGCGAGTCATCAACATGCCGTCTCAAGTCATCCCGCCCATGTATAACATGCTCTTGGAGGAGATTGCTTGGGCAATTCAGGACAAGGAGCCTTATAACTTCTCGCACTACCTCATTATTTCCAAGGGCTACGAGGAGATTGAATCGAAGCTGGATCTTGAAGAGTCCCGGCCACAGAAGAAGACCAAGAAGGGTGGTGCTGCTGCCCAGCGGTTCTTCTTCCACCCCGAGGACGAGGTTCTGCAACGCCATGCTTTGTGCTCTGGCTCATACGAGTTCACTCACAAGCAGGATGACGGCCACTCGGACTCCAAGCGTGCATTCCAGGAGCTTGGTATTATCACCAGCGGAAGCATGATGTTGATTGAGGGAGCCAAGTTCGAGTCTACTGTTAAGGCTGTGCAGGAGTACCTGCAGTAATCGATGTGAAGATAAAACTTTATGTCATTTCATTTCATGTCCCATTTATGAGAAAAATATACTTTCCCGTGTCTTTAAATTTATGCCTTGCTTCTCCTCTTTGCTTTCCCCGGCGGCGGTATGATTTTATAGACTTTACAACCACAACAAAAAGTTCATAGCGTCATGACGAAAACCATCGTCTACTCCCATTGAGTTCCCTTAAGGCGTTGCATGAGGTACTCAACTTCAACAACCTTGGTGAGTGGGATGACACACTCCTGTCAACAAGTTAGTGCTGTACACTTTGAACTGTAGTAACAATGAAGCAATCTCTCCAAGTCTTACCTTGTACATAGCAACCACGGCATCAATATTGATCTTCTGACCCTTCTCCTCAGGGAAAGCGGGATCGGTTCCGTAGGTCTTCGCCTTAAGTCCCAGCCGCTCAAGCACTTTCTGCTCAACCTTGGCATCAGTGATTGCAACGTCAATACCCTCGCGATCTTCCGCCTTGATCAAGCGCACAAAGGTCTCTGGATCCTTCTGGAACTTCGACTCTGCAACGAACATTCCAAAATGGATTCGTCGCGACAGCGCCTGCAAACACGCAACATCACAGGTTGCAGCAGATCCATAATTCTCCTGTGCCTCGCCTCGGTCTTCACGACCGAGATGCGGGCAAACTGCCGGCAAAATCTCGTTGATGTACCGGGCCTTGATTGTATCGTTGACGTTCACGTCATTCTTGTGCAGAATGTGCGGGTACTGCAAGGGCGCGAGAACAGGCTTCTCGAGCACATCGGGGAAGAAGGGGTACTCGTCGGGCGATTCATAGCGGCGCACGCGCGATTGGAGGCGCTCCTGCTCGCGGAGGAGGTAGTCCGATAGGCTCAGATCGCAGTTGGGAATCTTGACGCCACCGGGGGTATATATCGTCTTGTTGAGGGGGAATTGGACTCGTTCGATCAAATGAAAGGTGATTGTGTCCTCCAAACGGCTGTCGATCTGGTATGTCAGTGAACCACTCTGACTTGTCGATTGAAGGCAACTCTGCAAGAAAGAAATGATGCCGATCGAAGCTTGTTCAGGTAGTCATTTGACTGGTTTTTGAATCTTGGAGCACTTGGCGATCAAGCTAGATTTATAGCGGGGTGCGCGGGGAAAAAAACCGTTGAGGATTTTTTTGTAGAAAAAGAAGTCAGAAAAGAGTAAGAACTCACATGAGCTGGAAGCGGATGTTAGCAAGGTCCAATGCCTTGGAGGCATCGGAAAGATTAATGGCAGTGTCCATAGTTGTAGTGGTGGTGAGCTTGAAGAAAGAGAGAAATCTATGGGGTTCAGCGAAATCGGAGATGGTTACAAGCTCCGGAGCGTATTTGAGACCTCGGGACCAGGCTCCCCATTTATATAGGACAGAATGGGACAATTCAAGTCTTGATTAGAGTTTTCAACATGTAAATACCGATCAGACAGCTCTATTTATTTGATATGAAAAGAGCACGGAAAATTTTGACAATCCCCCACTATTCAGTGTTGGGGCTGACTAGGTACACATTCGGTACTTGGTCAGTACCGAGCTCAGCTGTATGGGACCTCCGTAGGAACCGACAGACCCGAGTGTACCAAAGTACTTTCGAAGTACCAATACAAAGGGCCTTCCAGGAGCACCTTGCAGCAGTCTCACTAGTCTGGATCGGCTTGCAGGAACTAATTACCTGACCCATTCATCACACCAGAATTGGATATAATCAGGACCTGGTTTTGCCAAGGTAAAAGTACCATACGGCCCTGTACGAAATACCCGGGGAACGCGGTAAATCATCGCGTGGACACATGACGATTATCTCTCCAACCTTCTCCGAATCTCTCATCAACAACGCATGGGTTAAGGTTAAGCCCTTAAGACGCCTCCTAACATGGAGAATAACCGCCGCGACGATTCACCGTCCGGTCTATCAGATATTGTCGAGGGCGATGGCTTGCTCGGCACCGGCTTGACGGTAAGTTTTTTTTTTGAAGCCTTGCACCCCTCTTCCATGCTGCGGGCTAGGCTTATTTGAATTTGGATGATAGACCCGTCACATTGAAGCCTTCGGGCGAAAGGTCACAACAACCGCGGGACACTTGATGGGACCGGGCGACCAGAACCCAAATGCTCATTATCAAAATGCCATGACCGACATCCACCGAGAACTGCGCCGGCCAGCGTCGCAACGCAAGGTCTTTTCTCTAACCCAGACCACACCAACTGATCTCGTGCGCTCGAGGCTATCCACCACTGAGATCAAGTCGCGTGCCATCTCCTCCCTCCCAGATGAACTCCTCGCCAACATCCCCGATGATACCAGCTCCTACTCCCTATTCCAGGGCTTCCAGGCTTCCGTCCCTGAAGAAGACCACACACAAAAACGCCACCGCAGGCGGAGTTCGAAGAAGGCTTTGAAGGATAGCGAGAAGGGCGGCGCCCTGACCGCTGGTCCGGTTGGGCTGAAGGAACAACGGAAAACGCTGAGTCGCCGACTGGATCAAATGGGTATCCGAAAGAACATGTGCAGCGCCGAGATTCACGAAATAGACAACAAGGTTGCCAATTTACACAAGATGCGCCAGATTGTGCTCGACCGATTAGCTGGCTTGGAAATGGACGAGGCAGCGTTGGAACATGAATTGACGGAGCTCGATATTAAGCTAGAAGACTTCCCAGAAGAGACACCCGAAACGTCCGCCACCGGCGAAACACCCCAGACCTCCGATGCCAATGACGACTCTGCTGTGTCTTCCAGTGACCCGGCCATGGATGCCTCTTTCATGTCGGAGTCCATATATGAGAAACTTCCCACCTCGTCACCTAAGAGCTTGCGCCATCGATCTATAAGAAAACGCTCAATGCCAATTCTCCACGAACACTTTGCTCCGGGGTCTTTAATCAAGGAGATCCAAGCACACACCGATATGGTTACCGCGATTGATTTCGACTATCCATTCGGTACGATGGTTAGCGCTGCTTTGGACGATACTGTACGTGTTTGGGACATGAACGTTGGCCGATGCTCAGGATTTTTAGAGGGACATCACGCCTCTGTTCGAGCCTTACAGGTGGAGGATAATATTGTGGCGACTGGATCTATGGATGCATCTGTTCGACTGTGGGATCTGAGCCGTGCTCGCCCTGCTACTCGTGACAATGGTCGTTTGAATAAACATGAGCGGGATGCCGAGGAATTATTCGAGCATCCTTCGCCGGTTCCACCATCATCGAACTTGGAAGACTGCCACGTCTTTACACTGGATGCCCATGTTGATGAAGTTACTGCGCTCCACTTTAAGGGTAACACGCTTATTTCTGGCTCCTCCGATAAGACATTGCGTCAATGGGATCTTGTCAAAGGCCGATGTGTTCAGACTTTGGATATATTGTGGGCAGCTACTCAAGCTTCCACCACTACCTCAACGGATGGAAGTTGGCGACCATCTGGTCGCCTTCCAGATGCGTCTGCCGATTTCGTTGGAGCTATACAGTGCTTCGATGCTGCTCTGGCCTGTGGAACAGCTGATGGCATGGTCCGTCTCTGGGATCTGCGTAGTGGTCAGGTTCATCGAAGCCTCGTGGGCCACACTGGCCCCGTGACTTGTCTACAGTTTGATGATATGCACCTGGTGACGGGTAGTCTGGATCGAAGTATTCGGGTAAGCATCTATGTATATTTCCTTTTTGCACAGGGAACTCAAACTAATGTCGACCAGATCTGGGATTTAAGAATGGGCTCGATCTCTGACGCATACGCTTACGAGAAGCCGATTACCAGCATGATGTTTGATTCCAAGCGCATTGTGGCTGCTACCGGTGAGACTGTGGTGAAAGTATACGACAAGGCCGATGGTAACCATTGGGATTGCGGCCCTGGTGTTGGTATCGACGAAGATGGGCCATCCCCATCTACGATCGAGCGTGTGCGACTTAAGGATGGATATCTCGTCGAAGGTCGCAAAGACGGCACAATGGCAGCATGGACATGTTAGAGTGTTCTTGGGATATCCTTCAATTCCTCTGCCCTTCTCCATCACATCCGCATCCTTGCTTGGGGCTCTCCATTCCCCCCTCACCTACTACCTTCCACGCCTTTTGTATAGTATTCCAACCCCCTGCCTAGAGAGCTGGATGGCGCAGATTGGCGCATTTGAAAGAAACACGATATTGGCTGCTGTGTACTTAGTATGTACCATCGTACCATCTGAACATCAATCCGATTTACTTTGTTGGATTTCTGAGACCCAGTCAACCCTCGTCTCTTTTATTTTGAAAATAATATAGATAAGAATTTAAATTGAGTAGAAAGTAAAACGCGGTCTTTGAAAACATCTCTCAGTTGTTAAAAATAGTCATTGGAGATCAAACATGGGAGTGTTGAAACCACGCGACAAAGACCCAGGACAAAGGCTGAAGACATGGATGGCACACTTTTCGAGTCGAGGCTGATTTCCCTCACGGATTCCCCCCTTTAGACTTCCTTTACTTATTGCCTCGCCTCCTTTACAAGAATCTCAGTTTCCCCGAATTTCCCCCATATTTTATCCAACTGCGACTGAAACTAGCTGATTCTGACCCTTATCGCGGATCATCAATAGTATTGCTGATCTCATTCTCGAGGATCCACATTTGCAACCCGCAAGTCACGTTCCGTCGCGCGTCTGCGCGTCTTGACTATTATCAAAGTCTGGGGTCGCAATCTACGAAGCCTAGCCTTCGCGATTATCTGTTATTCAACCGAACTCTGCTAGCTTATTGATTCCGAGTAAGTACCTGAATAATTTTTTCGATGGGGCGATTGCCGAACCTGGACACTGAGCTTCCACCGACAGGGGAGCGCGACATCCCCAGGACCCCAGCTACCTTGCCCAAACCTCCCCTCTTTGGTTCTTTGATTTGCCTTTGTTTGAATCTGGATGGATCTGGAGCTAACTTTGTCAGGCTTGTTGTTTTCTTTGATCTGATATCTCCTGCCAGGAGACTTTGGCTGGTCTCTCGGCACAGTCTGTTTCAGACCGGATACATCCATTCAGCTAAAGTGTAAGTGTTTACGGCTTATTGGCTATTGATGCCAGAGTGATTTGGATCCCAACAAGCACACTTTATTGTTCTCATGCCTCCCGGGGCTCCGTCCTTGATTCCTGGATCGTCTTAAAGGCATTGTCCCCACTTCTTTGTAATTAATTACACTTGGGTTATGTCGTGTTTAGGAGTAACTTTCCTCCTCAATATCACTTGAACATCCCAGCTAAATTAGCTGAAGCCCACTGCGCCGAAAAGCAGATCTCAAGACTTGCTTTTTCATGCCTGGTTATTTTGCTGGAACACGCTAACAATTGCACAGATGCCTCCAAGAAAGCTTCCCAAAGGGTACGTCGAAGTTGAGGAGAGTCCATTCCCATCATTAGTCCCACACAACCCGTATTTGCCGCCCATCCCGATCAAAGCCTCATTTGGCTATGGCTCGCAATTCGGGACAGTCATGCCTCGGCGCTTACCTCCACCGCCGTTTCAAAAGATCACCAACCTCAGACAAGTTGCCGAATCCGTTAACCATGCCCTGGAAAACAGTCAATTGAGAGCTGCCGCTGAAAGGACCGCACAAAATAAATCCCAGAAGATGCCACAAGAAAAGGCAAAGCCAACACCGAAAAAGCGACAGCCTGCTGAGCCTGCTCGTCGAAGAACGAAACGAGAGCCGACTCCAGATGAAACTCAGCTGCACCGGACGTTGCGCGACGCGACTTTGTCACCTACCAAAGAGTACAATAACCAATCTGACTCAACACCTTCACCTCCGGTACAACGGACTGTCTCCACCGACTCAAGTCCTGGTGCTGAGCCTCCTCTTCCGCGCCGTTTATCAGTCATGTCTAGCTCTCCCCTTTACCCATCACCTCTTCAACGCGGTGGACACGATACACATGAAACAAACAGTCCAGGTCGATGGAGTCGCCAAAGCTCAGTGGATAACGCGTCCATGGTATCCTGGAATTTAGAGCGTGATATTCATGAAGATAACCTCCAAAGGACAAGACCAAGCACGCACGGCCGCAACATCACAGCCCCGCCTCGACGCCCTTCCGGGCTATCTAGTATTCTTCCCAGTATGATCGAAGAAGAGGAAGAGGAAAGTCAAGAAATGGATGGAGATATTGCTGAGTCAGTCTCAGACCATCCAAATGAGCGTGATTCCAACTTTGGTGCTGAGCCGATGGGTGAACAACCATCTCCTATAGTTGGTTGGACCACCTCGGTGCGAACGATCATTCCTCAAATTTTTCGCTCTGAATCAAGTCCCGAGCCTCGTGGGTCAGCACCCCCCGAGACTCTACCTCGTGAATGGCACTCTCCAGTCCGACCTGCAATCCGTGGCGTAGGAACCCATCCCGAGGGGTTGAAGAGAACGAACTGGGGCCGCATAGCGGCCTTGCTACTATTGCCCTTGGTTCTCGCTCTAATCTTCCAAATGGGTCTTTGGGAGAAACTTCAAATTCCAGACTTCTCTGCCCCCAACCTATTACCCCCCAATACGACCGATTCTGCCGCCATGTACAAGCTCAAACATCAGGTCTCTCAAATGAACGAGCAGGTGTCCTCCCTATCTCGTGACCTTGTGGCTGTTCGATCACAGCATGCTCAAGACTCAAACCCTACCGAGTATGCAGGCCAACCAAACGGATTTGAAAACCCAATTCACAAAATCAATTTCTTCTCCCCGGCACTGGGCGCTATCGTTGACCCGCATCAAACTACGCCTACAACAAGTCGGTCATACCCGTTCTATCAGCGTCTTGCACTCACCATGTTTGGGCTACGATCGACTATGAGCTCTTCGTTGCCCCCTGTCGCCGCTCTTCTTCCTTGGGAGGAAGTAGGAGATTGCTGGTGCACCGCTCCACGCAACGGGGTGTCCCAAATATCAGTGCTCCTGGGTCGTGACATCGTGCCAGAGGAGGTTGTTGTCGAGCATGTGCCTTCTGGATCCACGTTGGACCCAGGGGCGGCGCCTCGAGAAATCGAGGTATGGGCTCGATACCGTATCAATCCTCTACCTTCCCAAGGCTCTTCATCATTCCTATCTCGATTGGCGCCTTGGAAATCTTCGACTCCTCCCCGGCCAGTTGAGCCCATCTCATCGAGAAAAGAAGGTCTCGGAGGATACACCATCCCCGGCGAGGATTCTCTTCACGAAGTCCTCATGAACTCGTTGGGCGCGACAAATCTTTATGATAAGGAGAGCGCTTACTCGGACGACCCACTTCTTGGTCCAAACTTCTACCGCGTTGGGAAGATGGTATATGATATCAACAAATGGAATCATGTCCAGCGCTTCCATCTTAACACCATTATTGACGTCCCGACGATTCGGGTAGACAAGGTGGCATTCCGGGTGAAATCGAACTGGGGCTCGAATAACACGTGCATCTATCGGTTCAAATTACACGGCCACGTCTGATTTACTATATCATAGCGCCGTCTTCTATGGCTGCTATTTATGATTCTCTGGGTTTTATTTACATTATTCTTTATCTCTCATGGAGACTAGCGAGGTGGATACGAATTTGTTGGCCTGCATGTTCTGCAGCGTGATGATACCATGCATTTAGCGTACGACGGCGTTGGGGCTCATTCGCCAATAGTTTTAATAGCGAAATTGAGTTTCCCTCTGAATCTTTTAGGCCGAAAATTGACTATTTAGTTCCTGCACTTGCACCCAAGGCAGACTGCGCAGAACCTATAAGAACGCTTTGACCTTTATGAAACTTGGAGCGCCTGATGCGCTGTTCGGGGATTTGTGCAATAGGCGCTCACTCCATCCTTAAAGCGCGTAACCGACTAGAGTAAAATAACTCCCTTCCAATTATTTCGCATTCATTCATTTCTGCATCTTCCAAACATTTTCTCCCACAGTTCATACACAATGTGCTGGACTTACTATTACTGTCATCAACGTTGGTCCGATGGACCTCCTGCCGATACACCCAAAACTGAAGAAGAAGCCCTCGCCCGCATTGATGAACTTTACAATGCTGGCGTGCCATGGTTCAGCAAAGACACCCTTCGCTCAGTTCTAGAGCAGATCCAACGCAAACCGACTCACGGGGACCAGATCTTTGTCAAGGCTATAGATGGCGCAGTGGTTGAGTATGATATGAAGATCGGCGATGTCAAGCTCATGCGCGAAGACGACGGCCTCGACACCGAATGGGTACTGTAAGCTCTAACTAAATAAAGCATTCGTCTCCCTTACTCTCCTACGTCCAGCTGGCTAACTTCCTTCAAGCCAGGAACCTGCCATCTCATACAATTGCCGAGCAAGTATGCGGCACCATATTTTCTGGCGCGGCTTCGACGAAGAGGTTCCCAATCTCAGTAGCATACAGATTACACATTCGTGCTTTGTGCGAAGAAAAGATAACCATGAGAAAATTGAGCCGGTCAAGCGGTTACCGTTGGAGGTGGTCGCCCCAGAGTTTGAAAAGTACCGGCAAGCCTGGAACGAGACAGAGATGTGCAAGAAGCTCATTGGCTTCTTGGATTCCTCTGCCACACACCTGGAAATCAGCAAAGTTGTGGCCGTGTCTCTGGGGTGTCTTTCATATCTACGGAATCAGGACAGGCCGGGCCGTTCAGCATATCAACATGCCATGGTCCTCACGTTACGTGACTGGCTAAAGAAAAGAAACGGTGTGGATAAAGTCCCCTGCTACATGCAAGATCCGGAGTACACGGATGTAGATCGGGATATTTTTGGGAAGCATGGTGTTGAGGTGATTGAGGATCCAGTGGCATGGTTGGAGATGGACGATTTCTCGATTGTGGTTTCTATTGCATCGAATGTACCGAGCAAAGAGATTATCACGGATATTGCGAGCCCGGCTATTGTGATTTGGAATAAGGTGGGGGACAATGACTACGATAAGAAAGGCGAAGGGTCTTTGTAAGTGATTTGGCTTGATATATAAACCCCAGGGCTTGGAAGTCCAGCATCCAAATGTGTTTACTTACTGACTTGGGGCATAGAACGGATCCGTGTTCTTCTCGGGTACGGGCGTTGATGGAAGGGTATGATTGTTTTGACTGGGGAGCTAGTGATGAAGAATTCGGAGATGTCATGATGTATGTTCGGCGACCCAAAACCATGTGCAGGGCGAAGTAGATGTTCCAACCAATGGTCAACGAATACATGCGGATTTATGTGGTTAGCCTGGGTAATGGAAATTCGGTTTGAATTTCAGGGATCACTACATAGGTAGACGGGACAATTTGAACTGATAATCTCGACTTTACTAGTATATACTAGGACTACAACTCTTCAAATGTTGTACTTGTTAGTACTCAAGTGCCACCAGTTGACTAGTACTAGTAGTAGGTATTGATTTGGCTGTTCTGCCTGAGGCATCCAGGCATGGGCCCTCTGTGGCAGATTAAAACAAGCGGGGGGAAAACATCTGGAGGTTAAAAATGTTGAGGCTATAAATTTCATCCTTTTAAACTATCGTATATATACTCTGTAATGTGGCCTTGCAAGTATTTTTTATTTTCCTTTCCTTGTATTCTGGGGAATCTGTAGATACAATAAACCCCAGATGTTTCCCCACTAAGTTCCCTTCCATTCTTTTTTTCCCATCTCGCACCCCACTTTGGGCCATGACGAAGGCGGAAGACACTCGGCCTCAACTCACCGGGCCCTTCAACTCCCTCGGTCACGCGCCTTTCGTGCAGCCATCCTCGTACCTTCGCCCTCCAATGGCCTCTGAGAGACCAATCGATCGGGAAGAGCGTCAAGGCCTGGTGAGTTTCGTTAAGGATTGACTTCCCGCGCTTCATTGCTATTTCCTCTTGTTCCTCCCCCCCCGCACTCGGATCAGCCCACTTCAGATATCCTCATGACAGCTGGGCTTCCAAGGTTTCTTTTAAAGATCTTACGGGAACACGAAAAGGGAGGGGCCAGCGAGACCGGAATTGCAAAACCCTCCTAGCTCGTGACGGGTGACCCGCAACATCCAGATCTTGACTAACGCAGCGTCAAACAGCGTGCCATTCGCAATTTCCTGAAGGTCCGCACCAGCTACGATGTCCTCCCGTTGAGTTTCCGACTCATCATTTTCGACACCTCCCTTTCTGTCAAGGAGAGCTTGAATATTCTCATCCAAAATGGCATGTTTTAACCCTCTCCAGGTTTTGACCCCAAAAGTGAGGAAACCAAGGCGCGGAGAACACCCCCGGCTGACTGCAAGAGTAAATCGGGAAGTACAGGCATCGTCTCAGCCCCGTTGTGGGACTCGAAGGCTTCGAAATTCGCAGGTCTTCTGACCACTTCCGACTACATCAATGTCATTCAGTACTATTTCCAAAACCCCGCCGCCCTCGACCAGATCGACCAATTCCGGCTAGATAGCTTGCGAGGTATGTCCAGTCCCCACCCTCTTGAGTCCTCTATATATTTTCTCTTATATATCCACATACTAAACACAGCTCTATAATAGAAGTCGAAAAGGCATTGGGTGTCGCGCCACCCGAGACAATTTCCATTGATCCCGAGCGTCCCCTTTACGAAGCATGCCGCCGAATGCTCGAGTCGCGCGCCCGTCGTATCCCCCTCGTTACCAATGATAGCCAGACAGACCGATCGCATGTCCTCAGCGTCATTACTCAGTACCGTATCTTGAAGTTCGTGGCCGTCAATGTTCCCGACACTCAAATGTTGCGCCGTCCACTAGGAGAGCTTAAAGTGGGCACATATAACAATATTGCGACAGCGTCGATGGACACGCCTGTCATTGATGTGATTCATATTCTGGTCGAGCGCAGTATTTCCAGTATGCCGATCTTGAATTCTGATGGTATGTTGATGTCTTTCCACGGGTTTCAAAAACAAAACAAAACAAAAAACCATACGTAAAGAAGAATTGCTAATGATCCGCCACAGGCGTTGTCTACAATGTGTTCGAGTCGGTAGATGTGATTGCTCTTATTCGGGGTGGTGTTTACGACGATTTAAGTCTTACCGTGGGAGAGGTGCTGAAGAAACGATCGCCGGTATGTAGTCGATCCGCGTTTGATGCGCAGTCAACTAATTTCATGTTCAGGAATTCCCGGGTATCTACACCTGCTCACTCAACGATGGGCTCGACACTATTTTCGATACTATCCGCAAATCTCGGGTCCATCGTTTAGTTGTGGTAGATGAGCATTTCAAGCTTAAGGGTGTTCTCACCCTCAGTGATATTCTTCAGTACATCCTGCTCGAGGGCGAGACTGACGAAGTATGATTGAGATCGGCTGGAAACCCCCTACCGCTCTTATACATAGGCCCTTCTCTTGCATGGTACCGGCGTTTTATTTTTTGTTCTTCGTGTCACCGAGGACACAGCGTTGGGGCTTGAGCCCAGGTTTCTTTTCTTTTCGGTTTGACTTTTGGGATTCTCATGAATGTACAAAGGTAATACCAAGGTCTACACTGTGCACTTAGGTTCGTTATTCGATACGGAAGTCTAGCTTCGGCGCTGGATTGGACAGAAATAGATTTCCTTCTGGATGTTCGAAGTTCAATGTTCGATGATCTAATCAAAAGGCTGCAATTAGTATGTACTACATATTCTTCATACATTTGGTTATTGTTGTATTTGACTATCAAATTGGGAAGGCACGACTGTATGATAAGTTCACGCCTGACTTTCGTGTGAAACCTGTTTGTTTTTCTTCTCGTGTTCTACAACTTGACTTGATTCGTGACCTTTTATACTTGCATGTGAATGACAAAGATGCCTTTCTTTCGGCCTTTTTTTCAAACAAAGCATCGGGCTGCATCCACTCCTCCTGCCACTCGTCATACTTGGCATGGGCTACGTCGCTCAAAGTCCGCTACTCTTCCCTCGCCAGAACCAACCGTCACCAGCGGAGGGACACGAGCACAGTTGGGAGAAGATGGCACCAACGATGCGGCTGGCTACGAAACAGATGAACAGCTAGGGGATTCCATTCATCCGCCGCTGGAGAGGCAGACACTCAGCATAATAGCACGCCATAATGACGATAGCACGGATCGTTCGCGATCTGGCAGACTGAAGCACATTATGAACTGGCTGCACCTGACCAGATCCCCAGAAAGCTCGTCCTCCGAGTCGGCTCGGCATACGACACCAGAAGATACTGCCGGTGACCCCACGACAACTGGTCCAGCCAAGAAAGACATCCCTCCGGTACATGCAACTACCGTTGAAGTTGAGCTTGAGATCACGGAGCCTGCCCAAGCACAGCGAGTTATTAGCTCTCAGACGGTACTTTCTCAAGACTCGATTCAATCCACTACCACCGTCAACCGGCGCCCATCCCAGCACATTCCCGTGCCTATCAGCAAACCGCAAGAAGACGAGTATTGGACAGGCTTTTTGGACGACAACAAAGGCAAAAGCCATGTTCCCGAACCCTCGGATCCCTTCTCTGACGGGAAGAACGTCGAATCCCGGCATCAGGCTGAGGGATCGGCCCGGCAGAGTGTAGATCGCAGCAAGAGACAATCCATGGCGTCTGTCCATTCACCCGTCGAAGGCGAAAGACAGCCCTCTTCAAAACGCGACAGCATTCAACCTGCTCCTCTTCCCAATGCCAGCAGAATTAGCTCTGTTAGCAGTTATGCGAGTCGAGGCAGCAGTAGACTGGGCCGTGTTGACCAATCCAAGGCGGCGGTGGAATTCGATAGGCTTGCTGCTCAGCTGCAATTGCCCATTACCATCCAGGGCGATGAAGGTGATACTGCTGTTACTACTGAAAGTAAGCTGTCCTTATTTTTACCCGCATGCGTTTTGTATCTGACCGTGCTTTCTCCTAGCGGACCAGAGACCTACCGAGGAAACTCAACGTCGGATTCGATTCGGTCGTATGCGCCAGACTAAATCCAATCTGACCTTGGCAGAAGCACCTCAATTGACTTCCAAGAAGCTGCGACGGACCAAAACCTTTGCAGGTCTTGGTCGTCGACCGAGTCCGATGAGCTCTTTACGAGGCAAGACTGTTGAATTTATCGCGCGGGTTGGAGGACACAGCTATCTGATTCTGCCATTGGACTTGGCACCTGCACCCTTACAGCTTCCGGCATGCATTGTGGCGATGGTGATATACTTGCAGCGATCTGGTTTGTGATCCTTCCTACGTCATGGTATGCCCAACTAACCCGGGTGCCTGCAGCTCCCCATTCAACCGAACTTTTCGTCGAACCAGGCGACATGAAAGCCGCGACAAGCCTGTACAATCACTTTGCGAATCAAGTATTATTTGCCGAACGAGATGCTCACAAGATCGCGATGACAACGCGGGTAGTCACAATCCCACACACCCAGAGTGACCCCAATACGATCGTGCTCAGCGTTGGGTGGGTATTCAAAGAGATCCTGGCGGGGCTACCCACTGGCATTCTGGGATCTGTTCGCCTTTTTCAAGTCCTGTATTCCATCTACCTAGCTAGCCGTGCGCATCCAGAGTGTATGCGACTGATCACCTTGGCGATCATGGCATTGACGGGCGAGATGCAATGTGCGCTGATCTGCGCCGTGTTTGGGCTATTCACCAGCCTGCTGCCGAAGACGGATCATGTGGAGGAAGAACCAAGTGATCCTCATCCCGGGACTTGGGTCCGGCCGGTGGCAAGACAGAACCGAGTCGATGGACTGGCGCGGGTGTTTGGACCGATGCTAATCGGCAAGGCGGATCGTGATCGTGCAGCGCATGGCTTGGTGGAACAAGAAGTTCAGGAGCAACGGGTTGTGGGGCTGTTACTGGATCATTGGCGCAATATTAGTCGCCAACTGCGGGAGTTTACAAAGGAATCACGGAAGCGAGAGTAGGAGAGATGGTCAAGGGGAAAGGGGAAAATGGGGGAAAATGGGGGAAACTATGGTTATTGTTATGTTTTTGTGAGAGCTGTATATGCTCTAGAGTTCTAGACTCCCAAGCTCATAAGCTTCATAAGCTAGTAAAATTCCACGACCAACATTGAATGTATACTTAGCTGTTAGATACTCAATCAACTCCACTTGGAACCACAAACCCAAAATCCCTTGGATTATGATTGGTTGGCTTGTAATCCCGCTGCTTTTCTCTTTTGTTTACTTGAGAATGGCTTCAAATCACAGCATTTGTTTCTTATTTTTTTATTGATCTATATCGTTTATTTGTGTTTTGTGTTTTGTGTTTTGTTATTGAATTCCCCATTCTTAAGGAAAGACCAGCAAAGACACAAGCTTGTTAACCGGCAAGGACCATGGGCGTTTGTCTACAATTTCCGTACCACTCAACCCAACTTAACTTTCTCCATCCTTGGCTTTGTCACACATCACAGAAATCTGGTAGCTTTGCTCACCATACCCTTATTCGCCCGGATCTGCTGGACCGTAGGAATTCATGTCCGTGGCAACCGAACCAGCCCATACACTTCTTCAGGCACCGGCCTGAATCTAATCCGTGGTTCTTCCTCTTTCCTACCTTTGACTGATCACCTCAGCATTCGACCCAACTTGACGTTCGAGACTTGGGAAGCTACTGCTTTTGGAAAACCTGAATCTTTCCTGATACACAAGAACAAACCATCTCACACCTCCCCACCCCACTTTCTCTTGTTCTGTTCTTTTACTTTCCCCTCCTGGGTGTTACAGTCAGCTTGAACCCGCCAATTTGAATCTCTTGATATGTCGACGGGAAACGTGAACCCACTGCCGACTGGGTTACCAATTTCAGACCCTCTTAACCCCCTCGGCGCGTCACCGTTCACTGCGACCAACGCATTCGCGGGTGAGTTCTTAGGCCTTCCCATGCCCGACGAGGAACATCTGTGGGGTATCAGTCCCATGTCCCCAACCATGGCCAACAGCGGCTGGGACCCCAAAGCCGATGCCATAGCCTTTGCCAATTCCGCACTGGAGCGGGATCTCAAAAACTCCCAAGTCCGCAATGGTCAACCTACCCCGCCACCATACGAGGACCAGTACACCCGCGAATCCTCCAGACTAGATGTGAGCAGCGCAAGCAAGCGCCGCCGTGCACGGGAGTACCAAACCGCCACGGATAGTCTGAGCCCGGACCTGGATCCGGACGAGGCATTGCCGTATCAAGAGCGTGCGAAGCGGGCCAAGTTCCTGGAGCGAAACCGGCTGGCTGCGAGTAAGTGTCGACAGAAGAAAAAGGAGCACACGCAAGTGCTGGAGGTTCGATACAAGGACGAATCCGAGAAGAGGGAGCGATTGGTTGGCGAGATTGCGCGGTTGCGCTCGGAGATTTTGTGCTTGAAGAATGAGGTCTTGAAGCATGCGCAGTGTGGCGATGAGCCTATCAAGTTGCATCTTGCGCATATGGTGAAGAAGATTACGGATATTGATGGTCCGGCTCCGGCTGCTTCGGTCGTCACGGTGGCTGCGAGTTCGCATTTGGATATGATGGATAATATGACTTCGCCTATTGCTCCTACCCCGACACCGACGTCTGGTCGGTCTCCGACTCAATCTCAGTCTCAGACTCAGACTCAGCCACCGGTGTCGTCTGTCTCGTCGGCATTGTCGTTTGGATTCGATGATCCGCTACAGCTGGAACCGGCGGCTGCGGCTGCAGCTGAAGCATTCGAGCAACAGCTTCGGAGGGACTCCGAGACTTCTTTGGTGACTGAATCGTCATATGGGTTTCCCGCTGACGATAATTTTGACGAATTGATCAACGTTTGATGAACATGACTGGTTTACCCCCTTCTCTTTTCTTATGTTATGACGGAAGGCGCAATGGGCAATTGCTCAACTGCCCGAGCGATGGGGCTCTGTTAGCAACGGCGTTATACGGGTTTCAAAAGAATTTGGGATCTTTTCTGTCTTTTTTTGGTATTCTTTTTCACTTTTTACCCCTCATTTGGATGTCTTATTTGATGACAATCCGGTCTTGACTGGAAAAAAGACCGGAGGGCGTCTGGCGTTGGTTTTAGCATGGATCGGCACTGGCACATCCATGCGCTTGGGCTTGAATCGCCACTTTGATTTTCATTCACCTCTCACTTTCCTAGCTGTTATTGGCTGTCACGGTCTCTTCCATGTTCTTACACTTTTTTATTTTTATTTTGCTTTCCATACTGCTACTCAGGACTATTGGGAAAGGCCGGACTTGGCTTTGCTGGATCGGATGCTTTTTTCCCCTCTCGTCTGTTTACCTCGAGTGTTGAAATATAATGTGCTGCGCAATATAGCCTGTTGCCATGCTCATTCGTCACATGAATTCGATCAATTGAGGACTTCCCCGCCTTCCAAGGTTTCAAGTACTGTAGTACGTGAAAGGCTGGAAAAATTATACTGTTTTAGATGTGTATTTCCACAGATTGAACCTGTTAGTGCGTACACAGGGTGACACTTGTGGCCCGGCATGTGCAGCAGATGCTAATATGGATGCGCTTGAGCTCAGCTTCCGTAGAAAATTTAGAAGCCTAATGTTGCCCAGGTGGGAGTGGGATTCTGCGGGTGGGTGCCTACTAGTAGGTACATATTGATGTGTCCATGCACATGTGCACTGGGGTCTTACTACCAGGGGATCTATTTGGTTCTCGTCAACATTACTACTAGTAGTAATAGATGAATGCCTGGACATTGTCTAATTGATCGATCGATAGGGTCCACGGGTTTCTCTACGTAGCCTGGAGAGCCAAGGTCGTTGTGGCGGGGTGTAGAACAATGTCTGGACTCTGGAGTGCATAGAACTTTGGAAATAGATTTACTACTACTACTACTACTACTACTACTATACTACTACTACTACCAGTATAGATGGATCTTGGCTTTAGAAAGCTGTTCGACTAATTGAATCGGCACGGTACAATATGCATTTGAATACTCTTACTGATATTGAAAAGAACCTTGGAAGGCGTACATACCGTACTGTTGCAAAACCTTGAAGAAATAATAGCGCCAAAAACAATGGTCTTAGAATCTTAATTTCATGAGTCCGGGTTTGGTTGAAACTGAAGAGTTCCAAATACATACATAGCAAAGGGGGTAAATGACATCAGGATGATTGTGACGACCAGGCCCGAACTCCCAGTTGGCGGCAAAATATCCGGTGGGTTGAAACTCATAACTGACGCCCACATGTAATGTAAATCAGACAGGGAAAGAAGAAGAAAGAAGAAGAAAACGTGGTAGATAATATGTCAAGAACTCCAGGTTCCGTCCCGGCCGGCCAACTTTGCATCTTGTAGAAGCATTGAAGGGAATTCACGGAGGCAAGAAGATAAAATAAATGTGCACGATCTAATCGTTTGAAGAACCAAAGTCCATGGTATCGCCAGTGGGCATCTCAATCAAACTCGGATGTCTACTGAAATGATGAAGGCAAGCTACCAGGGGCCGTCTCTGACCCAGGGGTTTGATCTTGTCCTGACTTCTGGGGAATAGCTTGACCGGCTTGCTCTGCAAGCTCATGACTCGCCAAGTTTTTCTGCGCGTCCTCCACAATCTTATCGGCTTCGCTCATACCACGTGAAACATGGGTGGCTGGATCGCCATCCACGCCAATGGGCTCCGACTTATTGTTCACAATATCCTTAACTCGGTTGCTATCGAGGCGAATCACCATGCAAGACAGATTGTCAGTACTGAAGCGAGCAAGTGCGTGATCCACCAAGATCTTCGAAGCACGCTGTGCGTCCTGTATGTTTCGGATCAGATCAACTGCTTCCTGGTCGCTGCAGACATCCCATAACTAGTAAAAAAAAAAAAGTGTTAGTTGACATGAATATTTATTTCAAAAGGGGGAGGTTCCAAAAAGCTTACCCCATCACAGGCGAGGATGATAAACTCATCCGCATCGGGTTGAATGACAGTCTCAGTGGTGTAAGGATGTCCAGTCACCAATTCTTTAAGATAAATATCACCCAAAGCTCTGGTAACTGCTAGCACACCATTCACGCGGTTGTTAAGAATCAAGCCACCAGCGTTGGTTATACGTCTGCCTTCGTTCTCATCGCTTCCTTTATGATCGTATGACAAGCGCAGCGCTTTTCCATTGCGGCACAATACAATTCGGGCGTCGCCCACGTTGGCTGTGTACAGAACGCGCTGCCGAACGGCATTCTCATGTAACTTAGGGAGAGCACCAGATCCTCCCATATGTGTGTCCTGGGTTGGAGTCTCAGCAGCCTCGGAGTTATCGTTCTTATTGGCCGCTGCAACGGCCGGCGCAAGAGCCGCAGAACCGGTGGCCGAATGTGAGCTTGGCACACGATCCTCCCAGCGGAGCACGGCGGCCACAGCAGTGCATCCACTGTTCTTCACCGGTAGCTTTTCCAGTTGCTGATCAACACTTGTAAAAGTTTGATCGAGGAGTTCGGGCACGGGTACGTTGGGGCTCTTCCGCATGATCTCCTCAAGGATCAAATGCAGCTTCTTTCCACACCACTCCGCCGCAAAAGTACCAGCATGCCCGTCAAAGATAGCAAAGTAGCCATTATCGGTTTCTACCACGCTTGACAGCTCTCCAGACTGAGAGTCATTTGACGGGGAGCTGCGATTTAGGTCGAGTAATGCATTTGGTGCCGGGGTTCCCAGGAAATTGTACAAGTATGCATGTGTATCTTCCATAGTCCGACGGCATTTTCTATTGCGGTCTTCAGTGACACCGACTCGGAAGGACGATTTTGCGGTAGGTCCTGATTCACCGGCAGAGTTATTGAACGACCCTTGTGGGACACTCAGGGCCGGGTCCATCTTTCCAAGCCTTTGCAGTGGGCTGTCAGAGCTCTGTGGGCTGCTGCTGATTCCTGAATACTCCCTCGCGTTGGAGCTACCTCCGTTGAGACTCAAGGAATTCCGCGCGTTGCTGAAGAAGCTGGCAGCCTTGTTGACAGTGCTACTGCGACGCTTCTTATCCTTATCGGCGGCGGGGGCCTGGTCTTCACTCTGTCGGCGAGTAAAGAATCCGGATCCAGGCGGAGAGAACCTCTTATCACGAGGGCTGGCGTTTTCGGGCTGGAGGCTCGCGCTTGTGTCGATATCAGATCGTGGAATCGGCGTTGGATCTGTCTTGTCTTTAGGTGGGCTCGAGGCGCCACTGAACATTCTGTTCAGCAACCCACCCTGAGAAGAAAAGCTGCGTCGCTTATTTCCTGCCAGCTTGGATATATCCTTGGTTGAAACAAGGATTGCAGAAAACCGTCGGGGTCAAAGATGGTTTGGGGGGGAGGGGGGTGGATAACGGGGGGTTTGGTGACGTGACGTAGTGTGTCCACTTGAGTAGCAACGAACGAGCTGGATGTCCAGAAGCATGTTAGTTTGAATCTTGACAGCCTCAATAATACATAAATCGAATTCCAAAGACTCAAGGCAGCAATGGAGAGGAAGGCAGCAATGGATTGGGTGTTTCATGGGGTTGATCATGATCAATGGGGGCCGCCAGAGAAGGCAGAAGGCGAGGTGCTCTCGTCATTTCTATGGGGGCGATAGGGTGAATAGCGCAAGGGGCTCATTGCATAAACAAGTGTATAGGATAAAAAGAGGTTGCCGTGATAACGAAACTGGTCGAACACAACGCGCTTTTGTCCATCATTTAGGAATTCCAATTGCGTTCGATCGATCTCTCGGATTGCGGTGGCCCAACCCCACTCGACGGAACGTCCGGGGGTGACAATGTAAAGGAAAAAAGAGAGGTCCAGGGCCACTTACTGTATTATGAGCGATGAGGCTGAAGGTTTGAGTAACAAAGAAAAGCGATGTAAAGGATGAGATGGGGAGAAGAATGAGTGAAGAAAGTAAGTTCTGGTTGATGCGATCCGCATCGGATCCGCATTGAGATGGTCCCCTAACTCCGCCCCAGAAGAAGCAAAATCCCATACAATACAATCTCGTCATCGGTGAGAAATATCACTTTGCTTTTGCTTCTCTTTTCTCTTTGTTCTTGCAACATGATTCATCTAATCCCACTTGAACATTTGACTCCAGCTTTACTCGATATACTCTAACCAAAGCTACTACTTGTCAATAATGCCCGCAACACCTGTTCTCCCCGGTGGATCTCTTGGCTTCCATCATCATCATCGTTCACTGTGATATAACCCCCAACTTAATGTTGATCTTTCTCATTGTTGAAAGAGAGGAATAAATTAGTATGACTATCTTTTGGAGTACTTATTATAGTGAGCTCTACACCTATCCATCACCTGCCCGGGTGGGCATGTCCCAATTGCCGATAAATAACATTTATTTGAACCCCTGGGATACAACGGGGAGAAGGTAACCCAGACATTGATTGTATATACCAGGAGTAATAGAGTAAAGTAGATGAAGGAAGCCAGCAAGAGTTCCGCAGCAACAGAACCAGATGCATTTTTTTCTTTTTATGTAAAAAAAATTAAAAATTGGACTAACAGAAACGCCATGCTGCGACTCGATTGAGGGCGTGCAGTGCACTACTACTATACATATACAAGGTCGGATTTTCCACGGAATTCCCTGTGCGCTAAATAGAAAAGAGGACAAGACATAGATCGATTCTCACCACGAACTAAAATCGCCAAATCCACCCGTACCTTTCATCTTCTTCCGCGCAGGTTCCGGGACAGGCTCTTCGTCGACATATTCCACAATCTCGTCCTCTTCTCCACGGTCGGCCAGGGCAGCCTGGAGGTACTTCCCTACCCCGATAGGAGCGTCTTCGTTTGATTGTGCGCCAGGGCCACGCACGCGCTTTCCTGTCCAAGTCGTATGTTCATCCTCAACGCGACGAGTACCCTCGTCCTCTTCTTGGGCAGCACCGGAGCCACCTTTGGCTTCATCGGCACGCTTTTGATTCAGGAAATCCTCGAATGGATCCACAAAAACAGTGACTTCCTTGATCCGGATTTCGGGCGTGGGGCGGTTGGTGTTTGCTTCCACTGGGTGGATTTCGAGAGCGTTAAGCGTAGTAGACGATGGTGTGGGATCATCAATGAGCCGGCCAAAGACAGTATGTTTGCGATCGAGGTGAGGTAGAGCTCGATATGCGAAAAAGAATTGACTGCTGTTGGTGTTCTTCCCCTTGTTGGCCATGCTCAGCGTGCCTCGCCCGTCGTGCTTCAAGGGCCCATCAAACTCGTCAGAGAAGTATTTGCCCCAGACGCTCTCGCCACCTCGGCCTGTGCCAGTAGGGTCACCTCCTTGCAGCATAAAACCCTTAATATTGCGATGGAAAGTGACATCCTTATAATAACCTTTCTTGGCGAGCTGGATGAAGTTCCACACAGCCTTCGGGGCGTGTTCGGGGTATAGCTCCAAATTCAGATGACCCGCAGTAGTCACAATACGGGCATAACCCTTGGCCTTTACCCTTCCCCGTTTCAGCATGTACTCCTCCTCAGATAGAAGTGCCAGCTCCGCTGATGTGTGAGGTGTCAGTCCAGTGCTGGTAAAAGAGGCTGCAGCTTTTCCGGTGGTAAATCGCGCGGCATTGTAGGGCGTAGCCTTTCCAGTTTGAGAGACACCGGGCTTGGCGGCTGAAGCCACAGTGCCAGTCTTGGAAATCGCTTTGGAAGCAGCAGAGTTGGCCTGCTGTTGTGCTCGGTCCGCGCGCGCTTTTGCGACAGCTTCCTTGGCTTTCAGAATCTTTGCCGAGCTTCCCAGAGCACTGGTGTTGACACTGGCCGACGCCTGTTGCTCCTCCAGAAACTCTGTTTGACCTTCCTTCAGATACGTGAACGAACTGAGGTCGCGAGACTCGATGTTTTGTGGGTCCTGTAAAGTAATGATATCCTTGCGACTGAACTCTTCGTCGGTAACGAGGTCGCGCCATAGCTTCCCCTTAATATTGAGGCGTTCTACAGTATCCCAAGAGAACACGTTTCCTGTATTCCGCAGCGCAACGATGTGGGTATTGTCCGTCAAGACCTTGTATGTCACCGGATCGACATACTCGCCTTCTTCGTTCTTCGCAATCGTAAGCTTGATTAGATCAGAGCTCTTCAAAGGCGACGCATCCACTGGATTGGTCCCATGTTTTTTGATCCACGGAATAATGTTGGTCAGGTCAAAGATGATTCCTGTATGCGTGCAGACTGGGTGGGCAAAGGGCTGGAGTGACAGGGAACAGAAATTGAACGGGAGGCGCTTGAATGCTGCATGAGGACCACCACGTCTAGCCTTGCCAACTCCAGCGCCCGCGCTGGCCGAGAAGGCATCCTCTGACGCCCATTCAGAGTGTGTGATCTATGATCATAACAGAATTAGCAGTCATTCGAGAATGCGATGGCGGGGATTTTTTTTTTGGAAATCAAGATTTCGCATGAGGGCGTACGTAGAGCTTATCCGTTCCTAAAAACGGGTGATATTAGAAATTGTCCGTATGTTCTTCTCTCCTGGAATATACTCAAGCTTACCTTTTCCCATGATGTGCGAAATTCAACGTTGTCTTGCGTTGATTGCCAGTCAAAAGATCGCGAGAATGACGCAGGATGTAAAGCTAACTATTTTGGGACTAGTGACCCGATTGTCATTAAGATTGACACCTTAGAATCATGGTGTTGGCGTATCTGTCGCGTCTCTTCCCCTCCCCACGCGTTGCCAAAAAAAGATAATGAATTGACACACGCAACTTCTCCGCGTCCATTACACCCCCCTCTTCCCTCGGGGCTCCTGTTAATGCATGCTGTCAGAATAAGAGTCCGGCCAACAGAAATAATTCGAACTTCTTCCACCAAATTAAATTGGCCTTTGAAGGCCTTCGCGTATTCATCAGCATCACGACCCGTGGCGGACGAAAGCGCCATGTTCAAGAAAGCTGTCAATGATCACCCGGGAGAGGCGACCTCCAAACCTCTTCAATCCAATCTGCTCCACATGAACGCATCTCTATCATCAAGAAACCCCCCTGCTCCTCTCCAATCAGCCGGTGTTAAACGAAAAATCGAGATGAACCATGGCGGAGGCTCGACGCTCGGCTCCCTCCACAGCACGGTGTATTTCGATGAAAATGACTTTGACGATGACTTGGATCTCGACGACCTTGACGAACCACTCCCCTTCACTGCGCCGACAAAAACCTTTGCGAAGCCAGATCCGGTCACTTATCCCAACATCGAATCAACTACCACAGACGGCAAACCACTCATTGATATTACCTACCCCGATCTGCCACCTGCATCTCAAGAAAACGCCCCACCCTCGAGCAGTTTCCAAATTCCATGGTCATCCTCACCCCCGTCTCATTTCCAAGCACCTCCCAAACCGCGCACTTTACCGTGGTTACAGCCGGGCAGGAATGAGCCAGGCACAGATACCAAGAATAGTCTCATCACTCCCAAACGTACGAAACCTTCGAAGCCTACAGATATTTGGAACAAGAGTGCCAGTGCTATCAAGGAAGAGCAAAAGGAGTTGAGACGAGAATACAAGAAAACTTCCAAAGATGCCACGCAAGAGATGGCATTTCCGACTTTGAAACCTGGGAGTATATGCCTAAGTGAGGAACAAAAGGGCGTTCTAGAGGCTGTCGTCGAGCGTGGGAAGAGCATTTTCTTTACCGGTTCGGCAGGTACTGGAAAATCGGTTCTTATGAGAGAGATCATCAAGCAGTTACGTCTCAAATATAAAAGGGAACCAGATCGCGTTGCCGTGACAGCATCAACTGGACTCGCTGCCTGCAACATCGAAGGTGTCACACTTCACAGTTTTGCTGGTATTGGGTTAGGCAAAGAGGCAGTTCCAGAATTGGTCAAAAAGGTAAGTCCCTGACTTTTCTGCCAACATGGGGATATTGATGTTGACAATTCGAAGATCAAGAAAAACCAGAAAGCACGGAATCGCTGGCTGCGCACAAAGGTTCTTGTCGTTGATGAAGTATCAATGGTTGATGGTGACCTGTTCGATAAACTCGAGGAAATCGCTCGGCGCATCAGAAACAATGGTCGTCCGTTTGGAGGGATCCAATTGGTTGTCACCGGTGATTTCTTCCAACTGCCCCCCGTCCCAGAGAGAGGCCAGGATGCAAAGTTTTCCTTCGCAGCGGCAACCTGGAACACTACCATCCAGCACACTATTCTACTGACTCATGTCTTCCGTCAACGTGACCCCGAGTTTGCGGCGATGTTGAACGAGTTGCGACTGGGAAACATCAGCCCTGCGACAGAGTCAGCTTTCCGAAAACTCGCACGGCCTCTCGGATTCCATGATGAGCTTGATGCGACTGAACTGTATGTCCCATTCCCCTAGGATAATCCCGTGCTTGTACTCACATTTTAATAGATTTCCCACTCGACAGGAGGTCGATAATGCCAATTCCGCCCGCATGGCAAGGTTGTCTGGTGACATGCAAACATTTAACGCTGTTGATTCCGGAACTATCCAAAACGAGGCACAACGCGAAAAGATGCTGTCAAATTGCATGGCTCCGATAACGATCAGACTCAAAAAGGGTGCCCAAGTCATGCTGATCAAGAACTTGGAAGATAACTTGGTCAATGGATCTATTGGCCGAGTAGTAGCCTTCATGGATGAGGCAAACTTCGACTACTACAAAACCAATGAAGACGAGTTTCACCCCGATAAAGACCCCAACCTCGACGATGAAGATGATGGTGCCGCTCGTGCACGGAAAAAACTCAAGCCTTTGACCAACAAGGACGGCCCAGCTGTGATTACACGAAAATGGCCCCTGGTTTGTTTCACTCTACCCGATGGCACAGAAAGGCATCTTTTGTGCCAGCCGGAGGCATGGAAAATTGAGCTTCCTAACGGTGAAGTGCAAGCTCAACGTCTCCAAGTACCCTTGATCTTGGCATGGGCCCTTTCCATCCACAAGGCTCAGGGTCAAACATTGCAACGAGTCAAGGTCGATTTGGGACGGGTCTTTGAAAAGGGACAGGCATATGTGGCTTTAAGTCGAGCAACTTCGCAAGAAGGCTTACAGGTCACTCGTTTTGAGCCTAGGAAGGTAATGGTGCACCCGAAGGTGACCGAATTCTACAAAGAACTTGTGTCAATTTCTTCGGTGGTGACGGGTCCAAAGTCCAGGAAGAAGGTCAAAGCTTCAACCCCAGACGATGAGGAGGGCTGGCTTGATGATTTATAACTTCACTCCACAGGCTATGCTTCTTAGGAAATCTTTATGTACATGTATTGAACTACTACTAGTATCTACTAGTACCAGAGTGATATCCACAGTTCATTGTACGAATCATTTGATTAGCCACCTACCTACCTGGTTTTTTCAACCGCCACTTTTGTACTTTTATCTACAGAATTTCTTTCAAGACCAATTGATACCCAGGTGGCTTGCAAACTCTGAAAAAAGGCGATTCCATTGCTAATGCCGAAACGCTGAAATTGATCGTGAATGACATTCACTGATACGTACTATAGTAGTATCGTACTGCGTGCATGTAGATAGAGTTTAGATATAATTTAAATTTACCAGCTGTTCGAATATTAGTTATGCACCATATAATGCATTGCATGCACTAGGATGTACATTATCAGTCTTCATCCATGCTATCGTTCAAATGGATAGCCTCGATTTTAGAATGGATCTAGAGCTGCATCCCCCCACAATCCTTATCGATAATCAATCGCACGTGATCTCCGATTGTCCTTGAAGCTGCCTGAGCTTTCTTCTCCTACCGAAACCCCTCGCTCCCCTCACCAGACGATAAGACTGGACTCCCCGCCAGACTTGATGATTCAATTGTAACTGCATCCCTCAGTATTCCGTCAGCAGCAGTTCAGAGATCATGGCTTCTGAGTTCATCGGCTATTCGGTTATCGTGAGCTTGAGAGCACCACCCGGCGGGAAGCTTCAGGGCCAGGTTGCTGATGTCGTTGGGCAAACTTTGCTTCTCCAAAATGGTGCGAGGCTGATTGATCATGATCTTGCGTGAGTAGTTTGGCTGACAGTTTTTCTTGCAGTAACTCTTTTATGGAATGATCAACGTCTCCCCAGCTATTCTGTGGATGCCTCTGGAATTACCGACCTCTCTTTGCAAGAAACCAAAGCACCTCTTACACGCCCCCAAAATGTGTCGCAAGAAATTCCCAGGGCTCAATCTGCTCGATCTCAACCCCCCGCAGTTCAATCTGAAACCCCTGCACAGCAAAACTTCGTCGACCCAGCTATTTTAAGCTACTCCAAACCCCCTAACAAACCCGCCAACCCTCCTACCCAGTCTCACCTAGTCCGCCATGGTACTAGCCAGGTACCTGCGCCAGTCGCGGCATCTCTCTCTGAGCCATTCAGTAACCTCGAGTTGAATGTCAAGACTGGTACTGGGAATGGCGCACTGCGAGGACCCTCTCAAGAGACGGAATATCAAGCTTCGCAGAACCTTACTCCTACCAAGCAAACCTCAAAGCGCAACAGACCTGGCAATGAAGGCTTTATGGGCAAGCGTGGTGGTGCCGCAAGCACCAATCCAAAGAGCAAAGGCTGGCGTCAAACTGCGTTTGTGGAGCCTGCGGGTCCGGCTGCCCAAGCATCACCCGAACATATCATGCGGCAACCTGCGAAGCTTCGCAAGAAGAAGGCGCGCCGCCCGTACGCCGAGGATAATAGTGGCTGGGCTACTGAAGATGCGACCGATATTCAGGAGCTGGGCGACTTTGATTTTGAAAGCAACCTTTCAAAATTCGATAAAACGCGGGTGTTTGAGGAGATTCGAAATGATGATACTACTGCAGATGAGGCCCGTCTAGTGAGCTTCAATCGATTGCCAAAGCCCGGCACCAACGACGGCAAGAATCTTCACTGGTCAGAGAATGTCCTTGATAGCCCACCAAACAGTGATACTGGCGATGATGCCGCGGGCATTAGCGATGCCAGACATAGCAGCGAAAATATCTCCGGGCGTGACCGATCCCGCGCAACTGGACGGATCCAACCAACTCGCAAGAGTAGTGCTATAATGGGCCAGCCTTTGATGCCGCAGATCAACGTTTTGGCTCGCAGCCAGTTGAATACTTCTCGCACCTCTAGCCCGCACCCGGGTCGGTCATCTGTATCCCCCTTAGTCAGCTCCAATACATCAGTACCAACCCTCAGATTGACCACCACCAATCGCAGCTGCCCAACTGTGAGCCCTCTCCAAACACTTGAAGTTGAGCAGATTGCGGTAGCTGAGTTTGGACTGAGTGAGGATATTATCACGGAGAATGCCGGCCGCGGAATCGCAGAAGCAGCGGTTGCTCTCTTATCTAGCGATGCTGCTGCGCCGACGATACTGATTGTCACCGGGAATCATCGCACTGGGGCCAGGGCTATCTCTGCTGCACGTCACCTGCGCAACCGTGGTCATCGTGTCACTGTTTGCCTTCTAGGCCTTGACTATGAGAGTGAGTTGCTGGAAAATTGCCGCAAGCAACTGGATATCTTCAGAAAGATCGGAGGCCGTGTGTCAAAGTGGGAGGATCTGTCAACTCGCCTCTCAACTTCTGATCTGAGCCCCGACTTGGTTATTGATGCCTTGTTCGGCATGCACCTTGCCTTTGATGACCTCCGAACCGATGATCAGGGTGTCGCTTTTGAGATAATCTCCTGGGTCAACCGAAGCAACCTAGAGGTGCTTTCGGTGGACATTCCGTCTGGCATGTCGGCCTCAAATGGTAAGTTTCCATCCTTATCAATCCATACCTTCCTCCTACTCAACTAACAAATGCATACAGGTGATATTACTATGGTTGATGGTGGTCAGCTCTGTGTTAATGGCTCGTCGGTTGTGTGTCTTGGAGCACCAAAGACCGGTGTTCTCAATGCTCTACTTTCTGGCGATGGACACTCGTGGAACCTCAGTGTTGCTGACATCGGCATTCCTCAGATCGTCTGGCGAAAGTACGGCACCCGTCGTCGACATGGTATCGACTTTGGCAACCGCTGGGTTGTAACACTGCGATATCAGCCCGCCATTGCCTAATTGAATGCCCGGCGGGCTTTATTCATTATGAACAAAATCATTCCAGGCGTTTGCATTACGAAACAAAACTAAGAACGGCAGGATCTGTATATTATCATTAGCGAGAGCATACCAGCTTAATTTTCTGAATACGAATATTGAAAATCAATCTGAGAAAACGAAATTTGAGAGGATCCAGCAACATTACTGGTGATTTTCACGCTGGCTAGATGGTATCCAGCATCTGCGCCGAGGTGAATCGCCAAGATTTAAGAATACCAATGTACCTTAGCATGCAGTACTAGTAAGTAAATGGTAATAATGGTCAAGAAAATTTCATGATACGCTGAGAATGCCTAGGCAATTATAAGAGACAACGCACAGGCCGAAGCCAAGCTCATGCGTCGGTGTAAACCCCGTAACAAAGGGCTCATGGTACGAAAAGCAAGATATCAAGAGATGCGGAGAAAGGATCGTCATCATCGTCGAAGGCTGTCTAGCCTTGCTTGAAGGTCGTCGTCGTCGGTGTGGCCTCCACCACCAATAGCTTGCGCAACGCGGGTTTCCCCTACTGATTCCTTTTGTATGCCGGATGGAGTTTCGCCAAGCTGTTTATTAGGGTTGTCAGTACATTGAAGCTCATCTGGTCGTCTGCGAGAAGGAACACATACCGATTGTCCCAGGTCAACACCAATTTCGTCCAGAACCTCCTTAACAATATCCTCGCCCTCATCTTCTTCACCTTCCATGCCAGTTGCCTCGTCGATCGCATCGTCCATCATCTCTTGTCGCTCATCCATAACCTCGTTCTCTCTCTCAAACTCCATCGCAATACGCTGCAGTGCTGGGAGGTTCATCTGTCGGTTCATGCTACCGAGAAGCATCGTAGCTCCCTTCATTGATTGCATCATTTGCTCATTGCTCCGAACGGTCTATCGAGGGTACGTGCGTAAGTATTATGGGGAGACACATCACATGGAGGGGGGCGGGGTTATGTAGATCTGGCCGTACCTGAATGCGCAAAGAGATTGCCTGTAATTGTGTGCGCATCTGATAAAATTTCTGGATGTACCTGTTGTTTTCTCTGTAATCAGTATTCTGCAAGACCAATGGTTTTCCAAGAAGAAGGGATTCGCAAAACCGCGCACCGTCGTGTCCGGACCAGATCCTTGGCTTGGATCTTGCATGCGTTGATTTGACCATTCTTGGCACTTTTCTTGATATCTTGCACCAGTTTCTTCTCTTGGTTCTCGAGCTTAGTTCGCTCACGATCCAGCTCGCGCTGTGTTCGGTCCAAGGCACGCTGGTGTTTGCGCAGACGCTCTGCGGGCGTCATGCGCTTACCAAAGGCCCATTCGACAATCTAGTAGACACTAGGTGAGTAGATTGTGAGAGAGGAAGAAAGCCAAGATCACATACATTCATGATGAGATCTGGGTAAGGGATTCCAGAGGTGGTGTTTGGAAGGCAAGAAGACCGAGGTGTGTATTCAGGTCCTCTAGGCACTACTTAATCGGTGACATCAATCATGTAAGATACCGTTCGCCGATAGAGTCGTAAGTTACAGGGTCACATGCACGCCCTAAACCCTTTTAGGCATAAACGTCACCTTAACCTTGGAATTTGATTATTCATTGTTAATTTTCTTGCTTCTTAAAACAAACAAATACCCTCGGATGGCTTTTCAACACACCCCTTTTTCGTCATGAGTCAAGATTACTACCCAGGCGCAGGCTCCTCCAGGTCCGCCTCGTCTCGTTTTGCTGGCGAGGATGAGGAACGAAGTCCTTTTTCTCCTCAAGCCCCGCCGGCCTATATGACCGTGGGCAATGGTTCAACTTCGGAAAGTGCAACGGCTTTGATGTCCTCTCTGGCCCATGATTCGGGATATGGAGGCAGCATCGCAGGTGAGAGTGCTGCAGAGGGTGACTCGAGCGCGGCTTGGCGTGCAGGCTTGATGGAAGACCGACCAACTCCGGTGCATACCCCCACGCGTCCTGGCGAGTATAACCCGGCTGGTGAGTGACATGCAACGAAGTGATCCTTTTTTCTTGAAGATTTAGTTGGCTGAGTAGTTTTTGTCGAACAGCCGAGCATGAAAAGCAGGTCGTCGCAAACCATGTCCACCAGCTTCTCTAGTATGTCGACCATTTCTAGTATATCTACTCTACAAATGGACAGCACACTTATAATATTCGTCACAGCAACTCCAACCGGACCAAGCTTGCTCGCTCAATCTCTCGGACAATCGAAACATTGAAGCAACTCCAGGATATGAACCGCCAGTGGCCCGCCCACTATCCTTCCGTTCAAAATGCCCAAAGCGCTCCCTCGTCCCCTACCACGCGTCCGGAACTCCACCATACCCAGTCAGACTTTAGAACAGATGATTTGAGGCCGACAACCCCCCCTCGGCCCGAGCTGAAACGCGCCACGACTACGATGAACGGAGAGGACATCGGTGAATCTAGTGCCGCTGCCGAACGCCGGGCGCCGCCAGAGCCTCGGTTGATGACTCCGCAGATTGCTCAGGAGTTCTCAATTTTGAAGCTTGATCTGAAGCTTGGGGCTTTGTCGCAGGCAGAGCTGGTGCATTCGTTGGAAAAGGCTTCAATCGCTTCGTTGTTGGATGGGAGGATCAGCCAGAGCGTCAAACACCTTCTTTCTTTGCGAGATCGCATTGAGGATACCTCGAGCAAGGTTTTGATCACAGGAGATCTTAATGCCGGCAAATCAACATTTTGCAACGCTTTACTCCGACGGAAGGTTTTACCCGAGGACCAACAACCTTGTACCAGCATCTTCTGCGAGGTACTCGATGCTCGTGAGAATGCCGGAATGGAGGAAGTACACGCAGTGCACAAAGACGTCCATTACAATCGTAATGACGAGAGCACTTATGATGTTTACGCCATGAGTGAGCTTGAGAATATTGTAGTCGACAACACCAAGTACATGCAGTGCAAGGTCTATGTCAAGGACGTCCGTTCTATTGATGAGTCTTTGCTCAATAACGGTGTCGTCGATATTGCCTTGATTGATGCCCCAGGCTTGAACTCCGACTCTTTGAAGACTACAGCTGTTTTTGCGCGCCAGGAGGAAATCGATGTGGTTGTTTTTGTTGTGTCTGCAGCCAATCATTTCACCCTTTCGGCCAAGGAGTTCATCCTCAATGCCGCTCACGAAAAGGCCTACATTTTCATGGTGGTGAACGGCTTCGATCAAATTCGCGATAAGAAGCGCTGCGAACGCATGATACTTGACCAAGTGGGCAAACTTAGCCCACGCACATTCAAGGAGTCTGATGAGCTCGTACACTTTGTTTCAAGCAATGCCATTCCCGTTGCTCCAGCTGGGGCTATCTCACAATCTGGCTCTGGTGGGGGTTCGGATCCCCATGATGATGACGATGATGACGATAGTAGCAAGGATAAGGGCAAAGGCAAGCAAAAGGAGAAGGAAAAGATCCAGGATTTCGAAAATCTAGAAGGGGCATTGCGACGCTTCGTTCTCGAGAAAAGATCCCGCTCTAAGCTTGCCCCTGCTCGAACTTATCTCTTGAATCTTCTCGCCGACCTCAACGCGCTTGCTACAGTCAATCGTGACGTTGCCCAGTCTGAGCTTACACGAGTCACAGAGGAGCTAGCCGAGATTGAACCCGCCTATGAGAATGGCAAGAAAAAGAAGGGTGAATTGATAGAAGGTGTGGATAGAGCCATCGACGAATCATGCGATGATACATACAACCATACTCGTGCCACCCTGACCGACACCATTGCACGGGTCTCTGAGCAAGACCTAGGCGTTGAGTATCCCGGTCTCTTCTCGGCCTTCCAATATGCCGAGGATCTGAAGCTGGCGATGCTGGATCAGATCTCTGCAGCTCTTGCAGGTTGTGAAGACTATGCCAGAGACAAGACCGTCCAGGGAGTTGGCTTCATTCAAAACATTGGCCTACTGCATGTTGGCGAGGACAAGTTCAGTCCACTCAACTTCCGTGCGGACTTGATGTTCCGCCGGGGTCGTCGTCACGCCTTTGGCCGGCAGGTCGATGCAGAAGTCGAATTTTTGGACTTCTTCGATGTTGCTGGTCTATGGGAGCGCCAAGAGAAGATGGCAGGAACCGGTGTCGCAATGACTGCACTTACTGTGGTAGGCGGCAGAGTCTTTGGTGGCTTCAGCTGGGTGGATAGTGCACTCAGCGCGGTGAAAATGCTCGGACCGAATAACGTGCGCCGAATGTTCATCCCCGGTGTTCTTGCTGCTGTCGCCTTGACTGCGGCCTACATGTTGTCCTCAATCCCGTCAACATTACCCCCCCGTATCTCCCGAAAGATTGCAGCGGCTCTTACAGAAATGGACTATGTTCATTCAAATGCTAACCGCATTTCTACTGAGGTGCGGCGCATTCTTCGTCTACCCGCCAAGAATCTGCAAACCAGCTTGGCTCAGGACATTGAGGATCTCGCCCGGCGCAAGCAAGAAGTAAGCAAAGTCAAGCAGGAGAGCGAGGTTGCCACCAAGTACTTTTCAAACTTGTTCCGCGATAGCAGTGAGAACCGCCGCTCCGTCGAGGGTCTTGATCTCGATGGCCCGCTTCCTGGTGCCATGGGTGCCTTGGACCAATGAACAAAGCCAAAAATGTACCAACAGTCCACATTCTCTCATCTTCCTTCTCGTTGATTACTTTGAAGGATGTATAATTTCTTGATGTCGTTTCTTTTCCTCTCGTCCACGAATATCCCTTTTCTTTATGTGCTCCTTTCTCCTTCTCCCTCTCTATTTGTGATTCTTCAGTTGTGTTCCAAAAGATACACTGAAGCACTACAGCTCTTTACTGCCTTTTTATTACATGGCGTGTTGGTGTGCATCGGAAGTCATTACAAGTTTAGCCCAAGATTCCCATCTGAATTGACATACAAAATTTTTCATAAAAACGGCTTCTATGATCACCTACTAGGTACATAGGCGATCCAGATGTTTCTTTGGGCTGTATGAAGTACTAATAATGTCCAACTGGACGCTTCAGCTGATTGAACTTTGGTTCGATGCTCATGGATCTGTCATGGCAGAAATCAAGAAGTGCATGTGGCAAGCATATCGAAGATCTGACAGCAATTCCAAGGTTTGATTGAACAGATAGCTTAAATGAAAACGCCATGCATTGATATAGTAGTAGTACCCAAAATGCGCCATGCAATACAATGCTATGATTCATAGATAAAATGTGTTTTAGAGCTCCATACCCATGAAAATCGCGCAATACGCTCCGAACTTCCCAAACACCAAATGAGAGATGTGAAAAAAAAAAAGGTAAATCCATTTGCATAATCATTCACCATCACCTCTCAGATGTTTTCTTGTCCTCCGCCTAGAGGCCCATCCAACATCCTCCAATTCTTTGAGCTCCCCTAATAACACGCCTGGGTCAGCCTGGGTAGGCTTCCGAGGTATCTTGCCTGCATCACGCAGGAATTCAGCTCTCATAGCTGCTGCGTCGGCATCTTCATAGTCTAGTTGTGTCATCTGAGGCTCGGTGTTTTCTTCGTCTTCCTCGTTCCCGTTGGCAGGGAGCTGCTTATCAGCCAGGAAATCGAATTTTCCACCGGCACCGCTGAACATTGATGATAGACTTTCATCTTTATTGACGTGACTAGTCGTGCGGGACAGCGAGTTGGCCCGGGTCGGATCTGCGCTCTCAAGTGGTGCGCCGATACCGTCGTCATTGAGAGTGTCAATTGAGCTAGCTCTGGATGGTGCAGCAGCGGTTTCGACTTTAGAGGAGGAGTGTGACGGGGCACGACCTAATAGAGGTTTGCGCTTTCGTCGGAGGGGAAAGTTGCCATCTTCAATGTTGGTTGGGCTTTCATTCGACTGGCGGGATTTAGCAGCTTGGGCTTTCTGAAGGAGGCCCTTGAGCGCGGTGTCCAGCGCGGAGGGTGCAGTGGGTTCTGTGTGGTTTGGATTGGGTTGGTCGGAGGTAGAGCCACTAGTTGTTGGCCTGTCGTCTGTTCTGCTCGGGGATGGAGGCTGAGATTCCGGTATGGACGGCTTGGGCACATCATCCTCGCCTTCATTCGAGAATCCATCGTCGATGACAGACGACATCCGCCTTTGATAGCTTTTGGCGTGTTTCGGATCTTCACTTCTCGGTTCACTTGGTGACTTTGCTGGAGCTTTAGCTCGTCTGTCGCGGACTGTATCCACTTTCTGATGCATATCTTCGCTCTCAAAAGCAGCACCTGGTTTTTCTACGCCGCCTTGAGGTTGGGATATTTGTTTTTGGACCATATATGGCTCAAATGGCTTCTTTTGGCCAGTCTGAATGGAGGCCCACAGCCAACTAGCTGAAACGGCTGGGACACCCCATTCTCTGGTATGGCGCAACTTGTTTTGGCTTGCAGTTTGAGGGTCGAAGCAAACCAGGACAGAGGCTTGTGGCGTGAGAACTTCGTCATAGGAGGCACCCATCAGGTTAGCCAGCTTGGACACGTGAAGAAGATCAATGCCGCCAAATCCAGTAGAGCATATTCGCATTCCTGAAAATTCTGGTATTTAGTTAGTAACGCTCAGAGATAAGTTTTCATAAATCCTCACCTGGAATTGGGAAATCAGGGAAAGGTCTGCAAACAGCGTGGGATTCTGGCGGAACCAGGACTCTTGCATGCAGACATTTCTCTAACCACATGTCTGTTACGACCTCGCATTCAAACGCCAGATCGTCTGTTGATGGAGCCGCCGACCTGAGGGTTTGGTATGGCACCATGATGTATAAGCCACGGCCTGTTTTCGGGATGCTCGGTCGAGAAAATTCTCTCAGAGATGTCACACATTGAGCACCATTGAACCCAAGGTGGCGATGTAATACTCCCATCTAGAGAGAGAAATATATGTATAAGTCACTAACCGGATCAAGGAACGAGTGACAGTGCTTACCTGCTTAGATGAGAACCCTTCTAGATAGAAATATGATCCCCCGAGAAAGCCTTCTGGGGCTTTGGGTGGTTCTTCACGTGCCATGGCTTGACTGAAGACTGACTCACTCGCGAAGGATTTAGCAGCTTGAAGAATAGGTTTTGAAGGTGGTGAGTCGCGTTCTTCATCCTCTTTGTTGGGCGAATCGGTCGTATCGGGATTCGTGAAACCAGCACCAATGATATCACCCCAGATGTTCTCATTTTGGCCAATGAGCTTGGTACTTGCAGTCCTGCGTAGCTTTTTCCGCGGCCTAGCATCCCCCGAACCATTGCTAGAATCACCTCTGTCTTTTCTAGACTCGCTCTGTGATATGGGTAAGGGTCGATACCATGCTCCAACACCTTGTTCTTCCAGTGGGATCAGTGGGTGGTATTTTTCTTCGTCCAGGATCATCCCGCGCTCAATACAGTCGTTAAACCATTTCTCGCTGACAGCTCGTATACCCCATTGTGTCGCAAACTTGTACTTCTCGCCGTCTGCAGTGCGCGAAATAAGATGGGTGACGCTCTTGGTCAAGTCTTTCCGAAACTCGGCCCCATTTTCCACAGAACGGTCGTTCATCTGTGTGCGAAAGCCCATATCCGAGAATCCAGTAATGCATATTGTGAGCCCGACAAAGGTGGGTATCTTGTGCTGTACCTCCAGGGCGCGAATGTCGATATCTTCTCCCAGCATCCACAATTGGCGCATCGCTTCAATCCATTCTGGTCGAACCACAACGACGTCATTCCGTTCGCGCGCGACGAATCGGTATTTTGCGGAGTCTGCAGATCCGACGAGAAGGTGGGTTACTTCGGAGGTGAGGTCGGGTCGTTCAACTGCTCCCATTTCTTTCGCGGCATTTAATAGTTGGGTCTGGGTTCCACGCGCGTCAGTCTCGTTTCTTAAGTCTGGTGTAATTATTGTGCTGAAGAATCAATGCATAACGTACTCTATACTCCAATGTGACCGCAGTGAAGCAAATTACCGCGCCTGCGAGCGGATGCTCCTTGTCTATAGGTTGGCTAGTTAGCAATCCGCGTGTGGACTTCGCTGCAGACTTCGACTTACCCGATTGTCCTGCGCCTGCCATCCTTCATGACTGACAAACACCTCCCACTGCTTAACAACACTCTTCTGGTCCCATTGAAGGTGAAGATAGCAATTGGAGAGAACAAGTTCTTGTCCGATCCCGCGTCGCGAATCGCGATAATTGATGATCACGTGGGCACGCGCCCCTTGGGCCTTGGTCAGCGATCTACAATACTTTAATGCTCTTACTTTCATCTTATAGGCCTTAATATGAGTGCTGAGCTTTATTCTATATCATGACTATACCTTGACATGTCTCGGCATTTAGATCGCTAGTTAGTAAGTAGTAAACTAATAATTAACATCTCTTAATTGAAGGTGAAGACTGGAGGGCAAAGATGTATACATCCAAATATCGTGCGGTTATTGCCACCGCGGGCGGTCTTGGCACTCAGTCCCCGAAGCTCCGCAACTTTCGTCTGCAATTGCAGCTTCATATTGAACCACACCTTTTCCCAAGTTTAATTCCAAGGGATTTTCCTCTCTGCTATCAACAACTTCCACGGTCCTGCGCACGATGCGCTGTGTCATTTGAAACTTCACCGACAACTACTCTCCCCGAGAACTAACCAGGAAGACTCCCATCTATTGAACGTTGATCGTCTCATTCGCGTACACCATGGATAACAAAACCTTCGTATCGGATTCTCTGATCCGCTTGACAGGCGCATCCGACCCTATATCCGTGGACTTCGTGCTTGCCGAAGCCAGCTCCTCCAAGTCTGCATCCTCCCTCCAAGACAAACTGCTTTCCTTCCTTGATGGCAGTCCAGATGAGATTGGCGCATTCTGTAGCCAGCTTTTTTCGCGCGCGGGGAAAGCACCACCTCCCAATGCCTCGTCTAGCCAAAGCACAGCAAGCAAGGCATCTACGAAAAAAAAATACAGCATGGTGGATATGGGCGAAGAGCTTGATCAGGAGCCGGGCTTAGGCCCTGTCAATGTCGAGGCCGAGCGCGACCGACGAAGGCGCCGGGATAAGGAGCGAGAAAGTGATAGAGACCGAGGCAGGACTAAGAAAGATGCCGAGTCAAATAGTCGTTGGGAGACAGACGACAACCGAAAACGAGACCGCAGCCGCGACGCCGAGAGTCGCGACCGTCCACGATCAAAGAAGGTGCGGAAGAAGGATTCAGACTTCGACAATCGGTGGGGCGACGAGGAGATGCCAGAGGATGAAATATACTCCGACACAGCCCAAGACGAATTTGCAGAGTCGGCCTCAAAACGCACGAGGCTTGAAGATGGATCAGCTTCCCCACGCTCCCCATCGCCAGCCGACGATATTGATCCACAAACCAAACAGGAGATTGATCGCCAACGTGATCTCCGCGAGAGAGATGAATTCGCGAAGCGATTGGCCAAGAAGGACGATAAGAAATCCAAAAAGATTGTAGAGGACATGACCCGGGATGGAGAAGCTGCACGTCGTCGCGCTCTGGCTGATGACGCCGATGCCAGGGCGGCAGTGATGCCCGATTTGCGACTTCGTTCCCGCCAAGAATATTTAAAGAAACGTGAAACAGAGCGACTGGCATTGTTGCGACGTCAGGTTGCCGAAGAGGCTATTGAATTGCGCGAAAACCCTAGTCTGACTCGTCGCGAGAAGGAAGAGTTTGCGCGCAACAGAGAGGTTCTACGCATTGCTGAGGAGCGGCTACGTATCGATGACCACCGCGATGGCTACATGATGCCAGATGACTACATCACGGAAAAGGGAAAGATTGATCGCAAAAAGAAAGAAGATGCACTCTATAAGCGATACGTGGAGCGCGACGAATCAGGCCAGGAGAAATTCGTGACAGAGCACGAAGAATGGGAGCTAGAGCAATCAGCCAAGGCCAAGGCGCAAATCAACAAGGCAGAGTTCGTTGATGAAGGAGACTATGAGTATGTCTTTGATGATTCACAACAGATCAACTTCGTCATGGATTCCAAGCTCGAGGGCACAGAAAAGCTTTTGACCCAGGAACAACGACGATTCAAGGAGGAAATGGATGCAGCGGAGAAGAAGGCTTTATCGATGGAGGAGACGCGGAAGAGTTTGCCTATTTATCAGTTCCGTGACCAGATCATTCAAGCAGTTGCTGAGCACCAAGTCTTGATTATTGTCGGTGAAACTGGTTCCGGAAAGACGACACAAATCCCACAATATCTTCACGAGGCCGGCTACACCAAAGATGGCCTGAAGATCGGTTGCACACAGCCACGTCGAGTGGCCGCCATGAGTGTTGCAGCCCGTGTAGCAGAGGAAATGGGGTCAAAGATTGGAAATGAGGTTGGCTATGCCATTCGCTTTGAAGATAACACCAGCGACAAGACCATTCTCAAGTACATGACCGATGGAATGCTTTTGCGAGAACTGTTGACAGAGCCCGACCTGAGTCAGTATTCAGCACTGATGATTGATGAAGCTCACGAGCGGACGGTGCCAACGGATATTGCCTGTGGTCTTCTCAAGGACATTGCTAAAGCGCGACCTGACCTAAAGCTCCTCATCTCGTCTGCGACAATGGATGCACAGAAATTCCAAAAGTACTTTGATGATGCTCCTATTTTCAACATTCCTGGCCGGCGATACCCCGTTGATGTGCACTACACCTCGCAGCCCGAGGCTAACTACCTGGCAGCCGCCATCACCACAGTATTCCAAATCCACGTCACACAAGGTCAAGGTGATATCTTGGTATTCTTGACCGGTCAAGAGGAAATTGAGGCTGCCGAGCAGAGTCTCCAGGAAACAGCTCGAAAATTGGGCAGTAAAATCCCAGAAATGATTATTTGTCCTATCTACGCCAATCTGCCGTCCGAACTGCAGAGTAAGATTTTCGAACCCACGCCGCCGAAGGCGCGTAAGGTGGTCTTGGCAACAAACATTGCTGAGACTAGTTTGACCATTGATGGCATTGTCTACGTGATTGACCCTGGTTTTGTCAAGGAAAATGTGTTCAATCCGCGTACCGGTATGGAGAGTCTGGTGGTGACCCCTTGCTCTCGGGCCTCGGCGAACCAGCGGGCTGGTCGTGCTGGGCGAGTCGGTCCTGGTAAATGCTTCCGACTTTATACCAAATGGGCATACTATAATGAGTTGGAAGAGAACACCACACCAGAGATCCAGCGGACCAACCTCAACGGAGTGATTTTGATGCTGAAATCCTTGGGTATTGACCAGCTTCTTGACTTTGACTTTATGGACCCTCCGCCCGCAGAGACTATTATCCGAGCTTTGGAGCAGTTATACGCGCTTGGAGCTCTTAACGACCGCGGAGACCTGACAAAGGTTGGCCGACAGATGGCCGAGTTCCCGACGGACCCGATGCTGGCAAAGGCGATCCTCGCATCAGGGCAATATGGTTGCGTGGAGGAAGTGCTCTCGATTGTGTCGATGCTGAGCGAGGCCAGTGCTCTGTTCTTCCGTCCCAAGGACAAGAAAATCCATGCCGATAGTGCACGCAACCGTTTCACTATCAAGGATGGTGGCGATCACCTGACCCTGCTCAATATTTGGAATCAATGGGTAGACTCTGACTTTAGTGTTGTATGGGCCAAGGAGAACTTCCTCCAGCAGCGCAGTCTGACCCGGGCACGCGACGTTCGTGATCAGCTCGCCAAGCTCTGTGACCGTGTGGAAGTGACTGTCAGCTCCTGTGGTGCTACGAACATTATACCCATCCAAAAGGCCATTACATCCGGCTTCTTCCCCAATGCAGCCCGTCTGCAGCGTGGAGGTGACAGTTACCGCACGATCAAGAACGGACAGTCCGTGTATTTACATCCGTCCAGCACGCTGTTTGAGGTCAACCCACGATGGGTGATTTACTTTGAGCTGGTCCTCACCAGCAAAGAGTACATGCGCAGTAATATGCCCCTGCAAGCGGAGTGGTTGGTAGAAGTTGCACCACATTACTACAAAAAGAAGGATCTAGAGTCACTAGGATTGGATCGCAAAGTGCCCAAGGGGACAGGGGCCACTGGAGAGAAGAGTCGGACATGATCATTTTTTCGTTCTCCCTGTCATTCTACATCAGGCAAAATATTCAAGAAATATTTAAACATTGTGCAAAGCAAAAACGAAAAACAAGAAAAGAATTTACATAGAATTTCCACAACATAGACTAGTAGTCATATGATTAATTCAGTGATGTTCACACATGATTTCCCCTACCAATGAGATTGTTGATAATCGTGATTTCCCGACCGCGGCAAAATCCATTTACCTCGGCCCCGCTTTACTCCAGACTTTCCCCCATTTAATAACGTCACCTGTCTTTCTCCCTTCAACCCCAAACTTGAACACTACCCACTATACACATCTCTCCCATCATGTCTGAATCATTCACCCCGGCCGATGTTGCCGCTCACAACAACGCCGACAAGGGCTTGTACATCATTGTCGATAACAGTGTGTACGACGTAACCAAATTTGTCGACGAACACCCTGGAGGCGCAAAGATCTTGAAGCGTGTCGCTGGAAAGGATGCATCCAAGCAATTTTGGAAGGTAAACATACTCATCTGGAACATCTTCATGTTCTACGCGCCATCAAACCAATACAGTGAGGGCGAGTCAAGGCTAATTCCATTCTCCTTCATAGTACCACAACGAGTCCGTATTGAAGAAGTACTCGCCCAAGCTGAAGATTGGAGAAGTCAAGGAGGCCGCCAAGTTGTAATTCGAATCTACTTCGCCACTACCACCGTGAACAAACATTACGCCTTGAAAGGAAATCTCCGTCTTTTCCTTCTGTATCCGTGTGATCGGGACATCTCCGAAGATCAGCCAACAACGCGGAGAACGCCGATCGTTGGGGCCCTTCCTCCCGCGCTCTACATACATTGAATGGATTATTTGCTTGCGCTAGCGCTATATCGAGGAGTTTATACCCGCACTTTATTGATGATATTATCATATTAGATTAACATTTATACATGCACAAATGAGTTCAATGTTAAAAACAGACTTCTCAACAATTTTCGTATCTGAATTACAACGGAGGAGCTTGACCGGTTTCTTCTCATGCCTATAAAAACCGCCATTCTGCTCCACTTCCTCCATGAGAAAGACCCACCTGGGCAATGCTGTAGTTTCTCAGCACTTGAGGATATCTGATATCCCATCGTAGATCTTTCCACTCATTTTCCGATATCCAGTTAGCGCGGTGGACGATATTCATGGTTACAGATGCAGCAAAAACCAATACAGCATCAAAGACATAAGACACCCATTCATATTCGGCCAGCGGGCCACTGGAGACTGGTCGACAGACTCTGCAAATCGAAAGATCGACCTGACAAAAACAAGTAGACCACATGCAGTGACAGACATCGCGAAGACCTGCCTTTCAAATGTTTCCAGGGTAAAAAGTTCTAGGACTTGGACCCATTTTTGACAACAGGCTTCCAATGTTCAAACATTGAATGTTATGTATCCACCTGGCGCTGGTTAAAAACAAAATGTTTGAAGGGTTCCAAGGTCAATCATGTATGAGAAGAGTCTTTGCACGTATACTTTAACATTTGAATATTCGATTTGAACGCCCCATTTTCCCACCGCTGCTTCAAACTTGGTGTCTTTTCGTACATCTGGTATCGACATGATCCAACCAACACAATATTTCAGATAAAACAAACAATAAAGATATATAATGAAAAGGATGTAAAGGATGCAAAGGATCAAGGTCAGAACAAAGAATGATCATATATACAGTTATACATGTGAAAAATGAAAGAGGATATATCGAGAAGAATGGAGAATGGGTAATCCGGACCAACGCTCAAAGAATGAAGAAAGTATGAAGAATGAATGGAAAAAGTGAAGGGGGATAGAAATAAAAGAATTAAGGAGGGATTAAAACCCACGGAAAGGGTCATCGGGTCGATAAGAGAGTTCACTGTCGTTAACAGAGGGCGCGTCGTAGTCATAGCGACCTTGACTCCACTGACTGGAGGGTTTGCGTACGTGCTGTGCACGAGGCGGCTGCACACCACGCGGGCGATTAATCTGCTCCGCATGGTGGTCAATGAAAGCCTCCATACGCACAGTGCCCATATCAAACATATTGCTCGCAGTTGTATGAGTGGTACGACCACTAGCCTCAGACGTACGACGACTCGTGATACTGTGGCCACTTCCAATGCCGGGAGGGAGACCCGGTGGCGGGACAGGCGAGAAGTAAGGCTCTGCGGAACCGACCGTGGTGCCGCTGTGGGACGAGGGCATGGTACCCTGGCTGGAAAAGCTGCGGATAGCGTGGAGGGCAGGAGGGCGGGGAGCAGTGTTACTGCGCTTGCGATTATGGTGATTATGATTAGAGAAGCGTGGGACATGCGGTGCATCGGCAGCCATAGAATTAAGGCTTTCGAGGTCCCCGGTAGGTATTTCTGGCACCGGCTCTGCGGTGCCCGGGAAGGAGCGTTTGCCCTTGGGCATGGGACGCGGGCGACCCTTGGCCACTCGGATCGAGTCGCGGATGGGGTTGCGACGCAAGGTGGCTTGGGAAGGGATGGAGGATCCCGGTTCCTCTTGTGGTGCCGGGGGGAGTGATGCTAGATCTTGTAGGCCCATTGAAGAGTGGCTGAGGAATGATAGGGCGGTTAGCCAGACGTAGTGGCGTTCGACGGTAAGTGCGGTGAATTTGAGAGCACGCTGTGGCGTGAGGACTAGAATCGAGCGGTTGAATGTACTGGTATTTTCAGTGCCCTTGGGCAATGGGTTGTCATCCTTAACATCCAATACGGATTGGATAGTGACTAGAATATAGGGTGTCAGCGAATGATAAAAAAAAAGCAAGAATAGGGAATCCCGCTTACACTTTCGACCAGTCTTGCCCAGCAAGGCAGGCCCGCTTGTCGGTTGTTTGCTGCTCCACATGATGGAGCCCTCGTAGGGTGCAAGCCAGACCCATCGCTTATGACGCACTCCACCATTGGTAATGTTGGCTGATACCTCATCGGGGTTTCGGCCCTCCCAGGTATCTTTAGATTCTCCCATGCCGAACGATTTGCGGCGGCGAACGTACTTGAACATCCACTCGCCCACCATGGTCTGAGCAATTGCGTCAACAACACTTGTCGGCTGCACGCCCCCGGTTGAGTCCCGTCGTTCCTGCTCCCAGTTCATAGAAGGCACCGCGGGGCGATGAGAGGCCCGTTTCGCAGGGTCCCGACGCTGACGAGGAGCTGTGATATCATCAACTGGGAGAGGCGGTGGTGGGCGGTAGGGAGGACTATCAAGTGTGTAGGGAGACTCAGAGCGAGTCGGAGACGAAAGAGTTTCCGGGCGCTCCGCCAAGCTGCTCTGGGATGTAGCGGCCGCTGAGCGTACTCTGCGCAATGTGGGCTGACGTGCAATTGTTGTGCGCGCACCACGGTCAGAGAATTGCCGACCTGAGGAGCGAGTCGGGCTTGGGGGTCCATCACTGCCCGTCAAAGGAACGTTACGTGAGCTGAGACGGATTGGAACCGGGAATGGAGGCGCAATGCTTGACCCTGCACTACCGCTTTCCAGACTGGGCTCGCTGGGGCTGCGGGGGCGGGATTTTTGATATGCTGCTGCGCCGCTAGATATCATGGCGATTTTGCGCATGCCACTGGCAGGTTGTCGGCCACTGGAGGTTGTCGTGCCAGACCGGTGAGTTGCGCGAGAGGGAGAGGAGGCACGCCCAACATCGACGGAAGGTCGGGATTCGGGGTCAGATAGGTGTTCATCGATTTCGGGTAGATGCATTTCATCCAAGCTCGTTCTTGATTTCGCACTGACCAACTTGCCGCGCCGGATGGTGTAAGAAGCAAACGGCCGGTTAAGAAGCTCGTCATCAGTAAAAACGTCCCTCTCCTCCGCATAGGGACCTTCATCATCGCTCAGCTGTTCGAAGCCCGCGAAAAGGCTGCTAGACCGGAACGGCCGTCTTAATCCAGATGCAAGTTCGCTCGATAGAGGTCCATTATCATTATTGCCAGGGTATGCCTGGTAAGCCTGCAGTGGCTCCGAAGCCTGTGCGCGAGGGGGTTTCACCGGGCGCTCATGTGGCAAAGGTCGTTGGACTCTCTTGGCCGAACGAGGAGGAGGAACAGGCGCGCGGTAAGATTCGGCATTAGACTCTTGAAGTTCGGAGGTGGTTGGTAGATCAGGAATAGCAGAGGGCAATAAACTGGCTGGAAGTTTGACAGGCCGTTGATCGATTCGGATTTCTTCCGTCTGCATGGCAATAGATCGGCTCTCAACGACCGACCTGAAATTGGCCTGAACAGATACATTCTTAGTCTGCGGAGGGAGAACAACACTGTTCCGGGGTGACGGTGGTTCCGACCCAGGCGGGTGAATAGCTATCATTGGGACATCAATTTGCGCTGGGATATCTTTTGGAGACAAGGTTGCCTTCTCGCTCTCCACAGGCTCTGGAAGAGGAGGCAAATCGGTCTGGGTAGATACCGATGCCATCTGGACTGGCTCCGAGGCCGCTTCAATGGATTGAACTGGTGGCTCCGAGATCTTTGGCGTCCATGGAGGGCTAGGAAGTTCACTGACGGTTTGACAAGAAGAGGAAATCATCTCAGTTGCAAGTGTGAGTGTAGCAGAATCCTTCATCTCGGGGGCAACTTGGTTCTCATCAAATTCATGGCCGGCATTAGATTCTTTGTCCACCAGAGAGAGGTCATTGTGAGATACTATTGAGGCTGGAATTTCGGGCGATGGCGGAGGTGAGTATTGAGTACCCATGTCACAGTAGTCCCCAGAAGACTGGTGCTCGGACAACTTAGTAGGACTAAGCGGATCCAGAGCACGGTAGTCGGCGGCCGTGATTGACCCGGTACTTTGCATGGAAAGACCCAAAATCTTTCGGGCCTTTGATGCTATCGAATGAGACGCCTGCGAATTGACGGACATCGGCCGTTCCTCTGGAAGCGCTTCGGGGGAGTCGGGGGCCTCATCTTCGGACGCAGCAAAGTCATCTTCCTCATCGAATTCCAATTCTTGAGCCAGGTTCAAGCCTGAATCCCCCTTACCAGGAGCCATACTGAGGACCGAGTATCGAACATTGTGAAAAGCGGCTTCATTTCCGCCCTCATCGGATGTCACACTGGTCATGCTCCTACGTCGGCGACCCTGGCTACTTGAAGCCACACTGGTCGTGTCGCTTTCCTTGACCTTGGACTTAGTCGATAGATCATTTTCGCTATGTTGGGAACGGAGTGCTCCCGCCTCGTGGGCAGCTGCAACCTCATTAAGCACCGTCTTCAAGCGGCCTTCCACAACATGAATCTTGCGCTCCATATTTCGTCGTTCATTTTCCCATGTCTCTCTATCACGATCCCAAAGCATCTGTGTCCGTTCAACCTCCTCTTCTCGATGACGGGCCTTCTTTTGTGCATGATCGAGTTTCTTACGAACATCGTTAATGTTCTCGACCGCATCATCCCGCTCACGAGCCAGTTCCGTTATCGCAGATGACGATCCGCCCTCCAAAAGCTGAATTTGATGTTGCAAAGATCGTGTCTCAGCGTTCGATTTAGACAAGTTCTCGCTGAGTGTCTCGCATTCTGTTCGTGATTCATCCAAGCTATCTTCCAGCGAATCGATCGCTTTGGTCTTATGTTCGATATCCCGTCGTAGGGAAAGAATTTCGGATACGAGGGATGCGTGGAGGGTGGGTGTAATTCTGCGGGCATCGAATGGTGAAAGTGTGGACTCTTCGATGACATCGTCGATATCGCTTTGACCATCTGGTGAGAATGCTGGTGTTGGTAGGCCTGGTGGGGAAGAGGATGGTGGTGGGGAAGAGTCTCGCCGGCGCCGTGCTGGTCGAGATCTCGATCTCGACTTTGACTGAGCTCGGGATGAAGTCGATGGAGCGGGGGATGGTTGGGCCATGGAGGCCGATAAAATTAAATCCGTGGTCATTTCGCTGCGTATATAATGGGGGAATACACCCTTTTAAAGCATTCCCTGGGGTTCTTCGTTTCTCTGTGCTGGCCAGAGCACGACACGCCCAGGTCCCATCAAACGTCTACCGTAATTGAATCATTCGCGTGGCAGGGTGTCGATGTTAACTTATATCAATTTTTTTTTCGTTCAATATTCACGTTGATCGGCGTTGTGAGAGGGAAAGGAATAGCGTATAATAATTGGTTCAATGAAGGACACTGTGCAACGACCGGTCAGTTATGAGGTACAACGCGGAGGCGGGGGACATACACGCCTGAGCGCGAGGGGAGCCAATGTGGCCGGGTTTAATATGCACGGAGGCCCCGAAGGTCTCTACTTACCAGTGATGCAGGTGTCAGGTATCAGAATTGAACTAGGGAAGAGCGAGGAGATAGATCATATGTCATCCCCCTAGAGCCAAACTTTGACAAAGAGGGTCGATCGCGATCGCTCGAGGACCCGTACTTTGCGAGAAGGTGGGCACAAGTTGGGTCTTCGGACTGGGACACGATCTTCCCGCTGGGGGGATTTTTTTTCTCTCTTTTCTTTACAAACGAGGCAACGATCTGAGACGGCCAAGTCAAGGTGTTTACGTAGATGGGAGATTATCTTAAGACTTTTAGATCAGCCTTGTCAGCGTCGGAACCGTGCCGGATGTGAGGAGCATAACGGGGTCATGGCCATCAGGGAGGGAAAAAAACATAAAAAAAAAACATGTAGCAGGGGTGTTCGTTAGGGGGCATGGGGAAGCTAGAAACCTACCCGATTAGCCAGGACGCAGGTTGCTCCACCAGAAAGCTGCCACCCAAGACACTAAAGAAGCATGGCTGAACACGGTTAGATCAATGTCCGAAACATCAAATCGATTTGATGGCTTCGTACCCTTCAACCAGTACTTCTGCATATGTATATACAAGTTTCACTGGTTGCTTGTCATTGAAGACAAGGACCTTGCAACAAGGGGGTTGCTGGGATTGAAACAGTCTTAGTAAACAGCAAACTTGTCAAGGTGAAAAAAAGCGAAAAAAGGAGTAAAAGAAGCTTTCGATCCCACGAGCAATTGAAGCTTCTGGAAAGGATTCCAGTAAAAGAAAAAAGAGAGAAAAAAAGCAACGAAAAAAACCCCCCAAAGTTAAAGTGATTAACAAACCCACAATTGCGATGAAGCACTATCAGGAGGGCCCAATATTTCAGAATACAGCGCCCGGAGAAGGCCTCGAGGACTGTGATCGCCAGAGTCCACACCAGCTTGAAGGTGTTCGTCGGGGATGGAAGCCGGATCAAGGGTTCCACCGCGCGTATGAATGGGTCCAAACAACGCGTTCGGCTTCATGGCTGTGCACAAACAAAGAAACCATCAAATTCCTGTTTTGTGGTGATTGAAGCATCCTCAGTGGATCAGCTATACGGAGCAAAAATGACATAAAATAAAATAAATAAATAAAAAGGTACCAGTAGGTTTTCCCATTGTGTTGAGAAACATTTATCATCAAGGCCAATCAAAATAATGCCGGCGCACTAAAAGTCGAATTAATTGGACTAGAAGCTGGATCAGGATTAGAAGGGTTGGTTAGCGTGTTTGGGAATGAATGTTCCCCTTTTCTGGCGTTGGTCCCCACTCTAGCGTGAGGTTGGGCTCACGATGATCGTCGAAGGTAATTTCGTGAGAGCTCGGGGTGGGTGTTTCAGGATGTCCAAGCTGCATCTGATCTTGTGGTTCGGAAGTAACTGGACTTTCGTATTTGGACGTGGCAATGCATCTAACCTTGGGCTTTGTTTGCTGAGTTTCGTCTTTTTTCGTTTGGAATTACCTGGAAGATAACTCCGCAGGCAAGTTCCGATAGTGCATGAGTGAAAAAAAAGGGGGAAACGGAGTGTCCGTTTCCGCAAGATCCATCCGAGGTCTCCACTGAGCTTCAAGGATCTTTGTTTGCATTTTTCGATTTTTGTGGACCACAAATAGTAAAGTGGTACGCGATGCGGAGGTCATCCATATCCAATAGATATCCAGGCTAGGGGAATCCTTCCATCTGGCTGGCTCTAGATATGATTGTGCATATGCAATACCACTTAGTATTGCGTCTTGCTGGTTATCTCTCTCGATTCAATTGCCGAACGTTAGTTGCGGCTAAATGAAAAAAGTCAACATTAGCCAATCAGCCACGACCGGCACACTGGGGGCCATAATTAATTGGCAATAATTTGTCGAGGCGTCTGGACCAGACTATCTTGCTGCATGACACGAGGCGATATCACGCTTAGTCCCATTGACAAGTGGACTAGAACTGACGCTAAAGCTTCTTAAAGGAGCAACAATCTCCGTGAACCATCATGATGGATCCACCTTGGGGGAGGGGAACATAAGACACGGGGCCGTTGACAGGTCTATTTGTGTCGCGAGTTGCGCGACTCGTCATTCGACCAATGCAGGGTCAAACTTGTCAGCTTTCAATTTTTTTAGTTGACAGAATACGACCGGATGGTCGAGGCGGGCAAAGACGGAGATTAAGCGAATGAAGATTGAAAAGAGAAGATTGAAGATTGAAGAAAGAAGTTCGAGAGAGGGAGGGAGAGGGGGAGGGAGAAAAAGCAATTGAAAGTAAAGAGAGAATCTACAAATGCGTGGACGAATAAGGGAAAGAATGTGCAAACATTCCACTATGGAGTACAATGTCCATTCTCCTCATTCATTCTACGCCCCAACGTACCAGTTGACGTTATATGACAAGGCTTTGTCTCGGTCTCTTTCTCCGCATGTGTTATTCGATCTAAGTCATTGAATAAACTTGATCTTCGATACTTTTTTTCGGGAAGAATAATCAGCCTAATCCAATCGCCATGAGTACCACGGTTCTTCTATTAACCTCGGTCCATGACTCAGCCGTAGTGATCGCCTTGAATTATCAAGCTAATAAATACTACAGCAACATAAGATACATCATTTACTGAAGAAAAGAAGAACAGAAGAACAGAAGAAGCAAAAAGTGAGATCTAAAACCATCTTTAGTTTCACATACCACTCTGCAGATCCTCATCATGTTGGACAACCCTCCCCGCGTCTTATTCTTCGACACGTTCGGCACTGTGGTCGAGTGGCGGTCATGTGTCACAAAGGCGCTGAGCGATGCAGCTCATCATGCACTCCAAGATCCAGACAGGGATCTCCCAGCAGATGTACGCCAGCGTGCAGCTACGCTGAGCCAGTCAGATTGGCTTGCTTTCGCCGAGGAGTGGCGTTTATCTTACAAGCTCTTTACACACGGCTTTGATTCTTCTAAGGATTTTGTGTCGGTAGATCAACACCATTACCGCGCACTCCAGGACCTTCTGGAGCAACGAGGAATCCGAAAGTTGTTTAAAGACAGCGAGCTATGGGAACTCACTTTGTGCTGGCACCGGCTCACTCCTTGGCCTGATAGTGTTGCCGGACTGGACCTGCTGAACACAAAATTCATCACGTCGACACTGTCAAATGGAAATGAATCCTTACTCCAGGACTTGAAGCAGCATGGAAACCTGCCTTTTACCCGAATTGTTGGCGCGGAGAACTTCGGAGCTTACAAGCCGTCACCAAGTGTCTATCACGGCGCAGCGAAACTTCTCGACCGCGATTCAACCCAGTGCACCATGGTGGCGGCACATCTCGGTGACCTGGAAGCAGCTAGAGACTGTGGCTTCCAAACTATCTACGTTGAGCGTGAATTGGAGGAGTCTTGGTCTGCTGACCGCATTGCGCAAGCCAAAGAAGAGGGCTGGGTCGACATTTGGGTAGGGTTGGAGGACAGTGGATTTATGGAAGTTGCTCGAAAACTGGGCGTTGAGGGTAAATAGTCTGGTTTTCGTCTGAATATCGTCTGTCATGTAAATTTTCCTATCTATCATTTGTCATTCTACTTAAGTTTTGATGATTACGAGATGACGTGATACAATAAAGCCGATGGCTTTATAAGCCCCGCGACTTTACGCGGGGCTTCGACAGATATCCTAGTTTTAAAATAAAATTTTCTATTCCTTTGAAGGTTATGATTTTAGTTTAACGTGAAGCAATAGGAATCGTATTCTATAAGTCATCCAACTCCAGTACAACGTACTAGACATACTAGTATACGTTCCAAAACCTACTTTACCATCTGGTTCCATCCAGAACACTTTCTGACCATGGCCGACAAAGTGAGTTTCAGGATACAATAAAGAGATATGAGATTAACAACTAACATCGAGAAAAGTCCAAGATCTACCAGCATGCAGACTCAGATGGTCATTTCCGGCGGAAAGATGCGGCGTTTCGATCATGGGTGTCTCGGGACCCCTCGGCTGAATTCCCCGCCGAAGAAGACCGCTACGTGCTTTACATCAACTATGGCTGTCCCTGGGCCCATCGCGCCAATTTGGTCTGGACCTTGAAAGGATTACAGAAAGTCATTCAGAAGGTAGTTCTGGACCCCGAACTTGGTCCGGATGGCTGGTTCTTCTCAGGTCGATGGGGATCGGCGGAGAAAGATCCTTTATATGGGTTCAAGTTTCTCAAGGAACTGTATTTCAAAGCAGATCCGCAATATGAAGGACGCTACACTGTGCCAACCTTGTGGGACAAGAAGAAAGAGACAATCGTCAGCAACGAAAGCAGTGAGATAATCCGCATGTTCTATACCGAATTTGACGACTTTCTACCCAAGGCCTTGCGTGACATCAATCGCCCAGGTGGAGGATTCTATCCTGAGCACCTGAGAGGTGATATCGATGCTATGAATGCGTGGGTATACCCTCAGGTTAATAACGGAGTCTACAAAACCGGGTTTGCAACCAGTCAGGAATCGTATCTCGAGAATATTTACCCGCTCTTCGAGGCCTTGGATCGTCTTGAGGCACATTTGGGCCAGCCGGGGCATCAGCCATTCCTCTTCGGCGATCACATAACCGATGCTGACATCCGCTTATACACAACTATTGCACGGTTCGATGTGGCCTACTATCTGATCTTCAAATGCAACCTGAAGATGATCCGACACGATTACCCACTTCTGGACCGCTGGTATCGAAGGCTTTATTATGATGAGTCTGAGTTAACTAAAGGAGCATTCAAAGAAACAACCTTTTTTGACATTGTAAGTGGACTGCAACTTGCAAAACACACAAAATACACTTAAAGTGCTCTATGCTAACTGCCTACAGTACAAGTTTGGGTACCTTGTTTCCGTTGGAAAGAAGACTGGCAATGTTCAGTTGGTGATTCCTGCTGGACCTGTCCCGGATATCTTACCTCCCACAGAGTAAAGTGCGTTAAAAATTGTCAATCTGCTAGTGATCGGTACATGTCTTCGATGTCTTCGACTATTGGCCCCATTTTTCGTTTGTACTTACTAGTATCTAGTATACAACCCCAAGAAAAATGACAGAAAATATCCCACAACCCTGGTTCTCGTTTTTTGATGAAATAAATACTATTCCCATGACACCTTAGAATATCGTGCCCTTGGTCTGCTTGATATTCTTGATATTGATGTCCTTGATGATCATCATGAAGAAAAGGGCCAAGGTCATGATAGCAGTGCCAGCAATTAACATGCGTTTCTGTGTAGCAGCATACGCATACATGATGGCAGTCCGCGTCTCAGAACCCATAGGATAGCTCAGTTGCAGGGGAAGACTATCATAAATCTCCTGCCACTGATCAACGCTGTCGTCAGGAAGCATAGATTGAAGCATGCCGGGCAAGGTATTTGTCCAAATAGCACCAGAGATACTGCCCCCAACAGATCCCCCAATATATCCAAAAAGTCCCAACAAAGCCAAAAGAGCAGCAACATCGTTGTGGTCAGAAGCCGCCAGCAGAGCGATCTGTTGACCAATGATCATCACACCACCACCGAGGGCAATGAAGATCTGGCACATGATAATATAACCCAAGCTGTGGCCCGGACTGCGGAAATAGATCATCAACCCAACCCCGAGCATATACAGTGGCACCCCCCACATCAGCACCCATTTGAAGCGACCGGTATAGCTGATGAGGGCTCCCACAATAAACAGTTCAATGCCAGAGGTAATGTCGAAGATACTGGAAATATAACCAGAAGTGGCCACAGAGGTGTTGTAGACAACCTGCAGATAAGAGGTAAAGTAATAGTTCCAACAGTAGTAAGCGACCTGGTAGGTAAAATCCAGCAGACAAGCGCCCACAACGGTTCGATTCTTCAGCAGATGCCAAGGAACAAAAGGCTGGCGGGCACCAAATCTCTCCCAAACTCCAAAGATTATTAGGAGAACGAAACCAACGACAAGCATCGCAATGATATAGTCGGTTGCCCAAGCCTGTGTAGATGAGGAAGCGATAGTGAACGGCAATAGGAAGAGGACGAAGCCTGCACATAAAAGTACGACGCCGACGACTAATAACACTTATTATTTCAAAATGTCCACAAAAAAAAAGACTGAAAAGATGATGATGCTTACTGTCAAACTCAACTAGGTAGTGCCAAGTACTTTGGCTCCAGGTACGGCCACTTGACTGTCTCAACACAAGTCCGTTCTTCTTTGCTTGCCGTTTGCCCAGTTGCATCATGACCACCATCGGAATAGCCACAAAGGGAAGAATGATAGCCCATGCACCATATCCCCATCGCCAGTTCTTATCATGGATAGTGTCAGCAGCAGCAGGGCCACCAAATGCCGTGATAATATAGGGAGAAGAGGTAAAAGCGAAGGCGAGACCACGATTTCGTAACGAGGAAGTATCAGAGGTGACCACATCTATGCAGAAAATCATGCCAGTGAACCCGACGGAGTAGAAGATCTGAACTCAAATTTTGTCAGTTGCCGTGTATTCAACCCGAGAAAAGGGCGGGTAACACTTACATTGGCTGCAACGTATAGCTCAAAGCTGTTACAAGCTGCCATGAGAACCATTCCCAATGTTGCAATCATGAGCATAAGCACGAAACCAACGGTTCGATCCCACAGATTGAGAATCTTTGCAACAGGAAGGTAGGTTGCACCGGCCATGACACTCGATACAACGCTGATGACCGGTAACAAAGAGTGATCTTTGAAAGCACTGGAAACATAAGGATCCAGATTTGCCGACAACGAAGACTCAAATGCATTGCTAAAGTATAGAAACCACATACTGTATGTATAGCACTGCCAATCAGTATCATGTTCGTGTACGGTTTCCTAGACAGAAACACTAGAGCAAACATTTGAAGGTTGGAACTTGCCTGATATAGACCACGATCAATGAAGACTTTGACCATGACAAAGTCATGGCTTCAGCAATTCTCACTCCATCCTGCGCATTTGGATCTGGTACATCTTCGGGAGTTTCAAAGTCTTGCGACTGCTTTTCGATCTCGGGTCCCTCGACCTTTATACTGGTCTCATTTTTGGAGACATTCGTCTCTTCGGCAGTGGGCGAAAGCACCATGTCAACCACAAATTTAGAATTGAAAAAATAGTAATTTTTGTATACAAGCGTGAGGATCTTCAAAGCCCTCAAGAGAATGCAACCACAGAGGTGCACTAAGTATAGTCTTGGAAGAAAACCCAAAGTTCTTATAAGAAATTTCCCCAGCAGCAATATTGAGAGATCCATTGCCAAGGGTTGGCAAAGGCCTCAGAGCTGCATTTGGGATTCCCGAAGTTCCCACCGAGGACAGGAAAACATTGCAGATACACTCTGTGTTCAAAAGAATCGTGAGCGAAAAAAAAAATGCCGAAATTTTTTTTTACCAAAAAAAAAGAAACCTTGGCTGGGGTCCATCATCTAATCTGATCCGGATCATTCGCGTCTTAGCAAACATTGCCTCCCATCAACTCGTATTGGCAATCTCTGGGCGCGACCCATGTCTTAGATAGATGCCACCAAATCCGAAGTGCAAAAAAAATTGCCAAGGGAGACCGAAGCGCGAGGAGAGGTATAAAATGTAACCCCAGGGTCCAGATGCCGTGCTAGTGTGGCCCAAGATCTGGGCGCCTAGATAAAATTCCCCGTGGAAAGCATGGCGCCAAGCGGAGACTCAGGTCCCTGAATTTTCCGATCCCATGACGGATGATCAGATAAGTTCGACCCTGAACGTGCGGTCCACTTTGTTGCATCGCCCCCGAGTCGAGGCCGAGAGTAATGGGTACGAGCTTGAAGGTTTCGGGGGAAGTCCCTGGTTGAGCGTATGCTTCCCACCCCACCATGCCAAGAAACTCTTCGAGGAAAGTCGAATGCGTGGAATGTGGATAAGAAGTGCGGATTGTCGTGCAGATCGCCGGAGCTTAGAATTGGAGTTGGTGTAAGCTTGTACACTAGCGCGTTTTGGTTTTGCATAATACCCGGTACTAACATTGAACTGATCAGCTGTAAGGTACTGGTAATATTTCATCATGGTTTTCGGCGAAATTGGATCGTCACATCCTTGGAATGCCATAGCGAAAGATGGTTGAAATCTTTGTACTTTCATACCTTGCCCCGAGTATGGCATTTCCTAAACTATCATCTCAAACATTCAATGTTGATTTCAACCTGGATCTGGCGTTATTCAAGCCATCCGTGATCCATGATTCACATAGATAGATGCCCAGCATTTGAGTGGAGAAAGATTGGCAATCCTGTCCGGCATTTGTTTTTGTTTTTTGAAGCGTCTCTCGGCGCTGGTTATCGTCTCGGGCGTCACCGGTGTCGGCATTGAGGAAATGAACAAAGGACGATCATCATACAAGTTCGTAAAGCAGATATTCTGGGTTTATGCAGACCATAAAAAACGTCAACCCACTAGATTCACTGAAAGCCAAGAAAAAATGAAAGCAAATGTACATTATTATGGTCAAATTCCTATTACACAAGGAATCTCGAATCAAAATTTACATATTACTAGTATGGTCAAGTTGTTGATCATGGATATAAGTTTGTAGATTAGCATGATAAGAGTTATAATTTACTATCCACCCATCGTGGTGCTCTTTTCTCAGCAAAGGCTCTTACCCCTTCATGAAGATTCTTGCCCTCGTTCAACGACATTTCCCAATTCTCACTCAACAATCGACTAGCATTCTCCGCACTCCCGTCCTCCCAGCCCGCCACAATCCCCGCGCGACTGATTATCACACTATCCGGACTATTCTCGACAATACTAGTCGCATAGTCCAACGCGGCCTTCACAACCGGCCGATCTAGCACCTCGCAATCAGCCGGCCCATCCTCCGTGACTGCATTGATCAGACCCCACTCCTTCGCTTCTTCCGCAGTTATACTCTTGCCCGTCAGCGCCAGCTCCATTGCCCTTGGTCTGCCGATCGTCCGCGCCAGTCGTGGTAGCGAGCCCGCCATAGCAACGACACCCCTCTTTGCTTCGGGGAGCGCGAAGCGCGCACCCTTGGCTGCGACCACAAGGTCCAGGTTAGCAACCATTTCCATCCCTCCTCCAAATGCCAGCCCGTTCACCGCAGCAATAACGGGCTTTTTGCCATGGCGTCGGGAAAGGGCTGCAAAGCCGGAGCGTGGCATTGGCGGTTGACCCGAGTGGTCCCCGTCGGCGCGGCGAGCATTCGTTTGGTCCCATTCTTTCAAGTCCATCCCAGCACAAAAGGCCCGTCCGGCGCCTGTCACTATAGCACATCGAAGTGACGGCTCACTGTCATACCAGGCGAATAGTGATTCGAGATCGTATTGTGATGCACTGGTCATGGCGTTGAGCGCTTTGGGTCGGTTGAAGACGACTAGCATCACATGGGGAGCTGGAAAAGAGACAACCCCATGCTTTTGAGGTGGTGGTTGCCGTTTGAGGTTGACTTGGGAGCTCATGATAACTTCACAGATTGGGATTGCTGCTGGGGCTTTTCGTAATGATAAATAACCAAAATGATCGAGGAAATATGCGATGTAGATGAAGCTCCTCGCCTCGCCTGGGTATTAATATCTTTAATACCTACTAGTACTTCACATGTCTGGCCAATACCCCGACTACTCCATGTGCATTGATACTTGACTTCTTTGATACGTGGACACGGTATTACAAGCATCCATGAGTGGAAGTTATCCCGGTAAGCTCGATACAAGTGTGTGGTACCGGGAACATTTGAATACGAGAACCCTAGATGATCTGATTAAAATTATCTTTTCAAACTGAGTTTGATGACTCTTTCCCGAGACTTGCTATTCAAGCCACCCGTGGACCCAGTAGTAACTTGCTATACTTAACTGTAGGCGCAGCCGATACCTAAACATTTGAAATCTTGCATATAGCAGACTTCACTTTTTGAGCACACAATTATTACAACAAATAGGTGATCCTTTCTCCAACCATAAGAAACAATTTTCCGCCGGAGTCACTACTTTAATTGCGTTCAGATCGTCGGGTATGACGTGGAGCACACCACGTAGCTGAGTGGGACTACGCCGATCGTTTCTGTATGGATACCGGTACATCCATGAATCTGGCCCAAGAATGAGACATACAGAACTGTAACAGATGGATTCAATTATGTATTACACATCTGGGCAGTTGCCAAGCCTTCAGGGCCCTCTGCCAAGCTGGCATGTGGCTTTAGACCTGGCTATGATTATCTGCACTGCCGCTATTGGATGCGTCATTTTGGCCCTGGGAAAATATTGCCAATCCACTTTTCTTGTAGCGCGGCATTATCTGCGACTTTCCCTGGCGACATGTTTCCGAAAATATGTAATTTCTGAACTTTAACTTGGTGTCATACTTGGCAGATGGATACCAGAGCCGATTACACATGTGCGTTTTACTATGTTCCTTAGTGGCGTATAAACATTGTCATTTTCATACAAAATCAAGTCTCGCATTGCTTCTTCTACAGGCGAGGCTTGAAAGCCAGGCCAGTACCTGCAATGTGAGGGCTTCCCTGGTTGAAAGGACAAATCTGGAAGAATCGTTCACGGGTACACTTCACAAGGCTAGCCCGCTTGTGAGGCAAATCAATGATCTGATCCTGGTGCAAACCAAATGTGTAGTCATAGGTCAAGACCTTGTCATTATTAGAGAGTGGCTCCCCAATCACGTTCTCAGTACGGTGATCATCGAGGAAAACGTAATGGATCATGCTTGGCCACCACGCCATCACACGATGAGGGCCCCGGAACGCATCATTCCCTACAAGGGTATGACGGCCGCGATCGAAGTCTTGAGACGCGTAGTGTGCACCGATATTATCCTCCTTTGCCCAGAAAATCTCGTAGTAGGAGAACGGGGTGTCGTTAAAGCGCCCGAGAACGGTGAGGGTATGCGGATCTTCGTGCTGTCGGCGCAAGTAGTCGCGGTGCTGGTCCAAAGTGCCAGTCTCTTTCCAGCCCTTCGCGACACGAGGGTCATTCTGCCAAGTATGAAAGAGACCCAGGTGCTCGGGACTCTGGTAGTCCAACGCGACCAGCGAGAAATGTTCATCAAGGAAGGGGATGTAGCGACTGTAGACAACGGAGCCGGGAGTGGGCTTGGGGTGGCGGCGAGGATGGCGACGGTGCGTGGTTTCCGTAGAGGTCATGGTGAAGTCAAGGTGAGGAACTGATTTGGCAGAGTTCCAGGTTGGGAGCCAGATGGGCTGAGAGCCCAGAGGAGACGCACATCCTTGCCAAAAGGCGTTGCGCAAGACGAGGAGCTCATTTGGAGTAGACTGCCACTTTTGAACGGCATTGTTGACGGGAAGTGGATGAGCAATGGCCACCATTGAGAGTTGGAGTGATTGTGCTAAATCCGTTGCATTGTGGCCTTGCAGTTGTAGACGGAAAGTCTCTATCTCTTCGTGCACTGTAAATACGGCATAAAGGAACAGCCAGACTTGGCCGACCGTTGGCGCAGAGCTGCCCTCCCAGCTCAAGAGAGACAATGGACTGCGCTGCGCTCGCGCCCAGGCAGTGTTATCTGAGGATGAGACAGCATCATCTGGGTTGATATTGCGCGGTGTCTCAAAGTAAAGCTTGTTGTTGTCTAAAGCTTGAGGGAATGGGTGAGATTCTTCTTCTTTGGCCTTGTGCAACTGAAGAAGTGGTTTCCCACCGCGAAGCTTGTTGGATGGCTTCAGATAGTAGGTAGTCAAGTATGGATGAGGCAGTCGGATCTTGATAGGCTCCATTTTGTGCGAATGCTGATGTAAATTCAAGGTACTCAAGCAAATCAAAAAGCTAAGTCAATGGCAGACAAGGAGCAGTAGAAAAGGCAAGATTGATCTTGCAGGGACATGAAGAGGACGATCATAAGTGCACAGCCCCAGTCAAGCATTGCTACTCCGTCGAAAGTACTGTCCTAACTTGAATTTGCATCAACTTCCCGAGAGCTACGTGGGGCAACTCGATCCGATTTCGCAGGCTTGTGTGCTGCAGACTCATTCTCTTGGCCCTGTGTCCTATTTGACAGTATCCAGGTACGCCTCGTTTGGTACATCATTCTGTTTTCTACTTATTGACTGATACAATCTACAAGTACAGCACGAAGTCAAAAATACCTCGGATACAATGCCTACTTGGGTAGATTGTGTGGAGCCTCGTGGGAAGACGGCTTGTATCAGATCAAAATACTCCGTAATGTGGTTCCCACGAGGAAGATTATTCAGCGGAAAATTGAGGGTCCCTGGTAGAATGCCAAGCCTGTTTTCCCATACTAGTGCCCGCCGATCATTGTCGTGATGCTATCGTGCATGTTTGCAAACCTTGCCTGCTGGCCTAGATGGCCTAGATACTTTACGCCAAACGAAAGGAGACAAATCTAATAAGTAGAAATTATTCTGTACTCATTACTCCTACTAGATATAGTTGCTTTAAGATTTCATGTCGTACAGCACCTAGATGATTCTTTCTAGAAAACAGGGTGGAGCCTCTGCGCCTAAGCCACGGCACATGAAATAAGCCTTGGTACCCGCTCGAGCGGCGCGGGTATTGAGGTATTATATTTAAAATACCGGTATTTAAATGAATACGTGAATTGATGGGTGCCGTGTTTCATTACAATGCAAGTTGAAAGAATATTTCCACAATAAGATTTGTATTATTAAACATGGAAATATCAAATGCACGGATCTTTCAACTCTCCGGCGCCCGCTATCGGCGGGTTTATCTGATTTGTTTCCTACTGGTAAAGTTATCTGATCCGTTCGGGGCTATCTCGGTATTACTATCTCGGATCTCTGTGAATTTGGCCTGCCGCATATTTTCGAAACACGATTTTCTCCGCCAGTGAATCCACTGGGTTTGTTCATAGCAGGAGGCGCTTAAATTGAAAGTTGGAAAATAGGTGCATCCATGGATGAGGACAATAATTGTGTTTGTTGCATTCCCCGAATGCCTCTGATCCCTCGAGACATGGTCAACCTCTTAACTCTCCCTCACGAGATCTGGAAATATGACGAGGTAGAAAACCGGAAAATGTAGCAGATTCGGTATAGGACAGTGGACCGAGAGAACATTGAAGCCTGTTTCCAAATGCCGGCGCCGGTGGTAGCTAAGGTAAAAGATCGCCGAGATCAACGTGTTTATATCCACTACGTAATGTACATATTGGTATGGTATCTTTATGTAGTACTCTATACATATCGATACTTACATACGCTCTTCTCTCCGCCGTGGGATACGTGGGATACGAGCAGCGGAAGAAACGGTGGTTCTCGATTTTGTTTTCGGGCAGGGTGAGCAGTACACGCATACACCCTGTAGGGTAGTAGGGTCGCGATCAACAAGGACTAGGAGATCAACACACGAAAATCAGGTAGTGATCAGTGATGAGCCGATCTTTCCTCCGGTTTCAGCTCTGATCCGGACAGGAAGTTTCCGCGCGCATGGCACATAAAGCCAGGCCAAGCCCTCGCACGCCAACTTCCAGTCCTAGGAGAATTACCGATTTGAGTTTTATTACGGGTTGATCAACATGGTGTCTCAAATCTGGTCTGCAAACACTAAGATTCGTCTTCCCCATCCGTTTTTGACATCATTTCATCTTGTCCCGTTGAATGATGCCCATTACAATGAATCATTCCAGCTGAGCAGGGAAGAAGGATTTGCGAGCGAAGCTCCTCTCCCTGTGGAACTCCATGATGACACTATCTCATTCACAAGGCCAAGAGCTCCAACCTCGATTGGGCTTCCTGCTATCCCATTACGTCAACAGAGATCCCGAGAAGACCCAATGAGTATCTGTACATGGGATAGTACAGGAGTGGTCACCATAAATCATATTTGGCTGATTCTCTACACGATATTCACCATCGAGCCCAACCTAGAGACCGTCCGACTACAACTCAAGGGGCCTGACAGCGAGACTATTAGTGAGAACTTACGTCTATCTATGGTGGCCCTCAATTCCGATGGTTGCTCCGTCGTATTTCGCAACAGTTTCTGGCAGGGATGTGCCTCGCCGCTGGGACCTCGTTCAATCTGGACATCCTCTGCAAACAATGCCATGCCACATTTAAACTACGTCACCACATCTACAGCAACAATACGTCGCACTCACCCACTCCGCCCTCCAAAGTCTTCACCAGGATCGATTGTGTACAGCCGATACATTCCAAGTCTGGATAAAGTCTTTTCCTTGGCTGTCATTGACTACCAGGAACCTACTCATGTGGAATTCTTCCACCAGTCAAGAAGAACAACCTCCCCAGCCACCCACTTGGGAATTCAAGGAGACTCCTTGGAAGAAGATTATGAGTATCTTCGCCGACAAAGTGAGGATGCACATACGATTGGCCTGCTTGGTCGGTTTGACGGGACATTATTTGGATACTTTGAGGTTTTCTGGGCCAAGGAGGATGTCTTGGGTGTGGCTAGTGATGGTGGCGATTTTGACCGTGGATTGAACGCCTCAATCGGATACTCGTCCTTCAAATCTCGGCGTTGGCTGCAAGCCTGCTGGTCGAGCCTACTCCATTACATGTTTCTTGATGAACACCGGACAGAAAGTATCATTGGCGATGGAGTATGCGGTCATGAGCTACTCGGTGATGCCTCGTTTGAGTTGTTGGAGGATCGTACGGTGGAAATGCCGCACCAGCAGGTACATCTTACAAGATATTCGCGTGAATTGTTCTTCTTGCTCTGTCCGTTTGATGGGGCACTTGAAGATGTCAATTTGCAGCTCCCTTCTCGTTTATAGAGTTGATTGACAGCTGGACTGTAAATAGTATGCCTGAAGCTCATCCACACATTTTGCATGTTATGAAAGTGCGTGTCCTACGTATACTTGATCATCTAATCATCAATGCCTCATATTGATTGATACTATATGCTCCTAGGGGCACATACCTACTAGTTCTATTATTAGCTTTGTTACGTACTTGGGAACAATGCTGTCATTACTAAGATACTTGAAGAAAAGACACATCCACATATGCATGTACCATGCATACAATAGATTCACGACGAAAGTACATTCTGGTCTAGTCGTGCATTTACCTCCTCGACATCACTATTCTTTCCCTTCTAAATTGCCTTGATTCTGCTCAGAAAAGATTATATCGGACGATTCTGAAAAAAGCCAAATCACGGTATCCTATACTGCTTAGCTCGTGAATACAAGATGGGAGGTCGAAGAAACTCACTCCATAGGTTATATCAACCACCGTTGGATCGGGTAAATGAGTGAAAGCCTCACTGGATTTCAGTGGGCGTATCTCCACTCGTTGAAGGTAAGAATCCCCATTTTCGTGAGATAAAAAAACCGCAAGCCTTCGCCGTAAACGAAGTCCAGCCTATGGATTACGGCATTATATGACGGGTTGTCTTCGTGCCATTGACCCAGCACGTTTTGATGGCCATTGAAATTGGTCAGAATCATACCCGTGCATCGGACACCAACAGAACAAGTCTCTAGGCAAGAGATATTCTCAAGCACGGCTTGAGAACTGAAACTTCCCCATGGTGAGCCCCACAGCTGATGAAGCATACGATGATAGGGCGGAAGTGATAGAATGGACTTGGGCTGCTTTTCTGTGGCCCCAGGGGTGCAAAAAACTCCGAAGCTACTAATACGGGCAGGCTTGCCCGGTGAGTCGTCATAGTATATACCAAGAATGACTCCATGGTGTTTATCCGCTAGTAGGCCTGGGTGGACACTAATCTGTGATGTCGGCATCCTCGGAGCTAATATAACAGAATAGCCCTCACTTGTTTGAATCTGATTATCATAATCAGTAGAAATAATGGGAATGCTTCTCTGTTATAACATCTCTCAGCAAGTCATGTAGGATCACTTACGGCTAAATAGGGGTAATCAAATAAACCTCTCTTATAAGACAGTACACATACTGCTGTGATACGCTCGGTGTACTTGAGCCGAGTGTGGAGGAGAACACAGCCTCCGCTTCGACCTTGCCAAATCGAGCGTGTAGATTGCACGCCAGTTCCTGAGCATCGACGAAAGTGCACTCCAAATCCAATAATTCCCCCAGCAGGAGAGCAAGAGACCGTCAAACCGTACATTGTAAAGTTGTTTTCCGTGAATGAGACACACCGCATAAACAGCCTCTCTGTGTCCCTTGTGTAATCCGCTTGGCGTGGATGTAAAAAAAATGAGGCTTCATTTTTGGCGCATAAAAGAGCTACCGGCCAGCGATTTTCCCAAGTAAAGAAGTCCCCAAACAACGACGTTTTGGTCTGTGGCCGACTGATTGTACGGAGCTTGAGACACTGGTAATTGATAAGCCTTGAACGATAATATGGGGTCGCAAATTCTCTTACATCACCATTTACCCTCAAAAAAAGTGGATCTACAGCGTTCGATGATGCAATGTTCATACATCTCGAATATTCCTTGCTGCGGATCGGGGATCCAACGTAGCCTTAATTACCATCCTTCATGAGATATCGGATTCCCTTCAAACCAAAAAGGCCGATGATCGAAGATACAGCAACCACAGGTACGTTGATCTGAATCCGTTCATAGTCGTGGCTGCTATATCCGTACAGTTGGTAAGCATTATGAAGCCCACATATATAGTTTTCCCCATGAAGCGAGCGGAAGAACACGGTCAACCTGGATCCATGCATAAGGAATAAACCGCTCCATTGGCGTGTTGGGCAAATTCTCTGTACCAACTCCACGGAAGTCTGCAGCGAAAATAAGCACCTGATCACCGTCAGAGGCAGATGTTCCCAAATAAGAAGAAGGATTTCTTCCGGGAGATCTCTCCACAGATCGAAAGTCCTTGACAAGCTGGAATTCCGGTCATAGTATTCGTCCTCCTCGGTTTTCTGAGCCCTGCAAGTGTTCCTCTCGAGGAGCTGCAGTGCCTCTGAAGGAAAATACCTATTGGAAAACGCAAAGATATTTCCTTCCAGTTCCACATCCAGGGAGGGTATCATGGCCAAGGAAAAGCAGAAAAGCGACTCCAAGCTTATCTGATTTCCTAAAGCATTCGAGCATACACTATGCAGAGAGGGAACAACTGGGTAATCGCCATCATCGTGGAACTTGTATCTCTCCTCCAACAGACCCGTTCGATTGGAGCCCGTCTCAAGTTTGGCCGACTTGACTGAGACTATCTTTTGTTGGGACTGGTCCCAGACAACTGTGGACACGTCCATTAGTAAATGAAAGTAAAGAAGATCCAGGGAACCAAACGAGCAATGAAGGGCAAATCGCAATAAAATCGCTCGCCACAGAGTACGCAGTGTCGAGATCGCAGGAATCGCTTAGGGGTATCGAAAAACAGGCTCATCTTCTGTGCAGAGTGACCAAACAAATATTGTAACGTATCATAAGCAAGCATTTAGAGTATGCCGGTCGAATATGTCGGATCGTTTCGAGGGTTCACGGTATCTTAACAGGGACGAGCCGGACGGGAGTTATGTTCATCCGTAATGTCAAAATAATATGACAAGTCAATAAAGCCTGCATGTCAGATCAAACAAATGAAGGTCTATCATATTACGTGAGCTGTGCAGCTATTCTTCCGGCGCTGATTTCAAATGTTGAGTTCCTTAATGAAAGTGGTTTTCTCTAATGATTCAGAATACCATATAGTACAAGGCATGTGACAACTTTGCAGTTGCGGAACTCACTCCTAGTTCGATCAACCTTGTGTCATTTTTAATTACTGTAGAGAGAAATTCGTCTAACCACTCCTCCCCTTCCCTTCTCCTTCGTATCTGGATGGCTTTCCTTTTACTCGGACTACCCCACTGGATACCCTGCCGGGAACCTTGCTGGATTGGTCTTTCTTCTGCAACAAAACATATATTATATAAACAAACCCTTAATAGAACTTTCTTTTTTGTTCCTAAGAAGTTAATTATGAATTCAATGTTATGAATCAATAATAGCGAAGAAAATAATAAAGATATAAGTTTGTTTATCTATAAAAGATCTCATCAAAGATTAGACCGACTTTCCTTAACCTTATCCAGTCGACGTGCTTTTGCCTCGATCTATCGACGTCCCACAGCAAAGATCGGAGTAAAATAGTCTATTTTTCACTATCGCCATGGTAATTATCATAGCAACAGTACCTAGTAGGTAATAAGCACTTGAGCACTGGGCGGGACAGAAGCTAAAGTCTTCCGCATATTTGATACTGTGTATAGTCTGTTAACAACGGCCCCCTCTATCGCACCTGGCTATTCCTGGAATTCTCGAGATTTTGCCGTTTGCCATTCCGTTGAGTGATATTTCTACACGGGCCACATGCATGCTGACGCCACAATGGCTACATGCGACGATATGATTGGAAACATTTCAATGATAGCCACAATCTTATTTTATGCGGCCTTAATTTAAGCTCGCTGGTTGCAATGGCGGTCACTAGCGACACTGGTTGACAATCGAGAATTGGAAACAACCTTGGAATAGGGGAAATGGATCGTCGTTCGAATGCAATGTTTCCATTCTCCATTCCAATCCTCTGTACGGGGCGGAGCAGGGATTAGCCAGAACAGGAAGGGATGAGCTCAACAGGCTAAAGAAGCCAGGACCAGGGTGGAATCTCAATGCGAGACCAGACCAGAGCGGACCGTTGAATGCCATATGGCGACTCCATCTAACGGCGGAGAAGGACGGGAGGATCCGTCTTCAACCCTAGTTCCTTCGGAAATAGGAAGGCAGGTTTTGAAGAGGATGAGATTAATGGATCCTTCCCATCCTTCGGCCCCCTTTTTCTCACTTTTTGCCTATTTTCGTTCTCTTGCTACTTCTTTTATTCTCCCGGATTGGGGTTTTGCCATCTACATCTGATCGACCAGTCTTGGCCATGACGGGAGAACCAAACCATTGGAATATGCGACGGTGACATGAAGAAAAGGGGGCGAGAAATCAATTGATAATCATGAGATAGAGATGTATGTAAATCGCTACGATATTAGGGTCTAGGAAGACTTGGTTATTCGGTCTAGACGTACTCCTATATAGTAGTTGGAATCCGCAACATTTCATATCCATATCTAGTGGATTGACGTAACAGCTCATTAGCACGCCTAAATCCAAAGCGGCTGAGTTTTGATTGTCACATACTCTATACATGAGTTTATAATTGCTATACCCAAAAGGGAGTATGGGAGCAAGCAAATGGAAGGAAATTAGCAAGGCTCCACCACCATGCCCTAAGAAAAGAAGGAAGGGGGAGGGAAAACATTGGCAAGGAACAGGAACAGGAAAATGGAGATACAATTCCGAGATTTTTGTGTTTGTAAAAAGTGCAACGATGGGTCACATCGTCATCAAGCGGGTCCTCACTTGGCGGACCAAGGCCGAAGGTCCAGAGCTTGACGAAAAGGATTTCCCGATTACTCCGTTGGCAAGCCCGGTTCCCCATTGTGGGCGCGATAGCGCATCCCAGTCCTGTAGCGGCGGGATACGGAAGCAGCATGCCGGACGCTAATAAAGGCCGAGAAATTGGCCCTATTGGAAGACCAAGCGGCTTGGGCTTGAAGGGGAAATTGGAATGGACAGCCACTTCAAACACCAGTTGAGGGACTCCACCGTGCACCCATCCCAGGCAGGCCTGAGAGACGATCTATCAAGCGGGAATCCGCGCGCCGTTCCGCGGGTGGATGCCTTCAAATGTTTCCTTTCCGACGCTGTTGCGCTGCTTTGGCGGAATTTTTTTTGTGTTTTCTCAAATTTTCGCATAGGGTTTATACTTGTATGGTTCCTCGATGAGAAAGGTACTTGGAATATGGGGGGGGGGGGGGGGGATTCATCGAGAATATGTTATAAGTAAACTAAGTAAAGGGGGCTAAAGAAGAGGAGAAAGAGAAAGAGATTGGAATCTGGCAAAAAGACTCCGTAATGAACCTAAGGAAATCCTCAGGGACAAGAGAACGGTGGATCTAATCCAGTTCAAGCTTGGCTTGAACCTTTCGGTGTGATATCACCCCACCTAGAGTGAAGAGATTCTAGTCTCTTGCATGGAATTTTCTGCAATTTCTAGGTTTGATGCGCAAGGGCCCCCTGAATATTATACTATTATACTCTCGTAGAGGTTTAATATGAAACGCAGTGGATTTGTGGATCCATCAAAGAAGAGTGGGAGTATACGGAGTAATTTAGGATTCTTTAACTAAGGAATCTGCTTAGTGTTAGGGCCCCCGGCACTTTGCTTCTTCCACGTGCTATAAGCCATATTTTAGTGGATTTTGGGGGGATTTGGGATTTTATCTGTTCTCATTTTTATTCACAATTTTTTTGATACTTTTGCTTCTCAATTTAATTTAATTTAATTTTTTTTCCCTCTTAATTAATAGAGATCCTTGTTCCCCCGGACCAAAACGAATCCCCCAAGTCAATTTTGCTCAAAAAGATTCCAATTATCTCATGAAATAATAGAATAACATGCTAGCATAATCTGGTGCAAAGGCACGGACTCGCTTAGCTGGAAGCTCCCGAGGCTCCACTAAGCAGCTTCCTGTCATGGTTTGGTGAGGGTTTGGCCTAATCTCCTCTTTTTTCTGGGCCGTTAGCTTCTGGACCCGGAATGTTGTTACCCACTTGACTTGCCCTGTGCGAGCTGTTTTTTGCTCTTTGCATTCTTCTAAGTATCCCCCCTTTTTTCCCTGCAAACTGGCTATGTATTTCCCCGGTGGGGATAGAACGAAAACGAATGCGAGAGGGAACCTATAATCTATCGTAGAACTATCTTCAGGCCTATATTTTCTTTTTTTTTTTCTTTGCTTTTTTTTGTGCGAATCATATTGCTTTTGATGAATCCTGAAGATTCGACAACTCATTTTAGCACGTGAATGAAGCATTTGGATGTTTAAAACAGACAGATTTGGAGATTGGTGATAGTGGGGAAACTCGGGAAGTCCAGCCTAAGGAAATATCCTGTCGCAGATTTAATACCCTAGGATTATTCTATGATTCTAGTCGTTGATTCTAGATCGGAACTTTTTTTTTTATTTTCATTTAGGGATAAAGGTCCATTCAAACATGAATCAAAATTTGGCAAAAATAATGGCGCATCTACATCCTACACCAATCATTATAGAGCAAAGGCCCGTTTTTGCAGGGATATTTTACCCGTACGTTCGTTCGCCCCTTGAAAGAACCCAATCGAATAGAATGATCTCATGAGACTGTCATTCAAGCAGTTTGATTTCTCAGGTAATAGATGTATCTATATTTTTCTATTTTTTTTCTATGTTTTTCCTATGTTTTTCTATATATATTTTTCTTGATTCCTGGAATTTGACCAGGGTCATCTTTACCCAGCGAACTGGGAATCCCGGCCGACTGGGTATACATAATTCTATTATTTTAGTGATCTTTTAGTGATCTTTTACTCTTTTGCTCTTTTGATTTATTTTCTGGTTTTTTTTTCTATCTTTTTTTCTATCTTTTTTATTTAATCGATTTGGATCTTGACTTTTTTCCTTACGGGGTTTCTATTATTTCCTAGCCTTGGGCTAATCTGATTTCCAAATTGAATTTAGTTTCTTTGAGACTTTTTTTATTATTTTTGAATTTGAAAAAATTGGATTTAATGTAATTCCCCCCCCCCCAATTTTCCTCTATTTTCCTTAGAGAGAAAAGTGCAAAGCGATGCTTTAAACAATTAGGTTCCAAGGTTGTTAACCCCTCCCAAAGCCAGTTCCCTCTCTCTCTCTTCTTCCTCCACTTAGTTCCAGCCACTTTCTGCCAGGACCAGACTTCGCACAACTGGGCCCCCTCTTTTTCCTTTCTACTCTTCCCTTCACACAACTTCTCTTTATTTGCGTCATTTGAGAAAATATATCCAATTGGGGGCTTTGTGTATTCCTTTTTGCTTTTGACACCTTTCCCCGCCCGCCTACCACCCCTCTTGGGAATCTTCATACCCCTCTTAACCCTTTCCGAACACCTGCTCGAACCTCTTCCCCTCCCCAAAAAAAGGACCACTTGCCCACCATGTCGGGGAAAATGACATTGTATAAGTTGGTGGTGCTAGGCGACGGAGGTGTTGGAAAAACTGCCTTGACCATTCAGGTTTGTCCTCCAAAAAAACAGCTCCGACCGTGATCTAGGAACGAATTCCCAAGGGGAATCCGCCCCCGAAAACTAACATCGAGATAGCTATGTCTCAACCACTTTGTCGAAACCTACGATCCTACCATCGAAGATTCCTATCGCAAACAAGTCGTCATTGATCAACAGTCGTGTATGCTCGAGGTGCTGGACACGGCGGGCCAGGAGGAATACACCGCGCTGCGGGATCAGTGGATTCGAGATGGAGAGGGCTTCGTATTGGTCTACAGCATCACATCGCGCGCCTCCTTTTCGCGCATCACCAAGTTTTATAATCAGATCAAGATGGTCAAGGAGTCCTCCAGTTCCGGATCACCTTCCGGTCCCAGTTACCTGGGTTCCCCCATCCAAGCGTCCGGGGGTCCCGCGCGACCAGTACCCGTCATGCTAGTCGGCAACAAGAGTGACAAGGCCGTGGAACGTGCGGTTTCAGCACAAGAGGGACAAGCACTCGCCAAGGAGCTCGGCTGTGAATTCGTCGAGGCCTCCGCCAAGAACTGCATCAATGTTGAAAAGGCCTTTTACGATGTTGTTCGCATGCTGCGCCAGCAACGGCTACAGCAGCCGGGTCGGAATCAAGACCGCCGCCAACCAGGAGGCCGGGACCGCGACGCGGGTCCCGAATACCCCAAGTCTTTCCGTCCGGATCGAACTAGACATCGCAGTCGGCTTCAGTGCAGTATCCTGTGATCGGCCGGGCCCGTCCGGGGAAAGGGGAGCATTGCATATCCTCTGATAACGATATCGATGCTCTCGTTTGCTACTTTTCTTTGCTACTTTTCTTTTTTCTTTTCTCTATTGGTCTTGGGTGCATCTGGAAAGGGTGGTTCTGTCTTTTGGTTATGACCTTGTTCGGCGTCAGGCCTGTTCTCTCTCGCTTCTCCTCACATATACACAAACTCTCACAACCCCATTCTTCGTCCCGCTCTCGCTTTGCCCACCAACACGGAGCTCCTACGGGTGGGGGACCGAAGCCTCTTTCAGCTCTCACATGAGTTTTTGCTGATCCCTCTTGATTCGGGCCATTGAGGGGGGAGGGGAGCACCCGCCACACTGGCGGGATCCACCGCAATACGCTGGTTTGCACACCTTCGCCAGCTTCCCCCCTCCCCTACCCCACCAATTTGTGGGAGGCAATCACTCAAGAAAGTCCACAAAACGAAGGATAATCGGGGTCTGTCTTGCATTCCATTGGAGCACCCGACGCCACAAACAACCCTCCTAAAAAAAAATTCCTTTGGCTACGAAGCCAGAAGATCGCAGTCGCGCATTAGCAGGCATTTCGATATGATACCCTACGACTGAGCTTGTTTATCTCTTTTCAATTTTTGTCGGCCATTTAAGCAAGTATATAGACAAATACAGATCTTTCTATTTTTAATGGTCAATTTTACCAATCATTGGGAAGTTGGGAACGTTTTTCGGGCCGATCATATTTGGCATTTCACCGGGGGAGAGAAGTAGTACATAGTAGGTGATAGCTCCTCGCACTAGCTAATGGCTGTCCAAAAAGTAAGATCATGTTTCAGCCTCTCAATTGCCTCAGTGAAGCTATCGGGTCCCCACTTTCATGTCTCGTGAGTGAGATTTTCTTGGACGGGAATACAAAGCGGGTACTTAGTCCCACAGCATTGCTTGCTCGACCACACATGTATCGCTCGGGTACCAGGGTGCGGGGAAAGCACGGACAAGGCTAGGGCCCTCGGGCCAACTCTCCCCCCCCGCATTCTCGGCCTTCGCTACAATTGTCCCTTCTAGCCTGTTAATAATAATAAGAGAGAGAGAGGAGGGGCGAAAAACGGAAAATGAAAATCGTATGTTGCATCTCCCTCGAACGGATCCAATCGCACCGAAGCTTGCGCCCTGAACCTGGAGAAGTGCATACGGGCTTGTACGTGCGATAACAGCCCCGGTCCAATCAATCACCTGAACTACAATTTGATCCATCCCAAACATGACGCCACATCCACAACAGGCAGCGTTGGAACTCTCGCTTCGTGATCCGGAGAGATTTTGGTCTGGTCCCGCAGAGCGGCTCCACTGGCACCGAAAGCCATCCAAAGCTCTGACACTCCAATCCAAGACCCTCCCTAGCGGGGTCCAGCATGAACATTGGTCCTGGTTTGCCGACGGCGAGATCTCCACGACTTTTAACTGTGTAGATCGTCATGTGCACAATGGTCTCGGGGACCAGGTCGCCATCATTTGGGAGTCACCTGTCACGCAGACAACGGAGAAGTTCACCTATAACCAGTTACTGGATGAGGTCGAGGTCCTTGCGGGGGTCTTACGCGAGGAGGGGGTCCGCAAAGGCGACGTGGTGATCATTTACAGTACGTAGCCCAAGCTCCACCTACTAGCTTCCCCAATTCCCAATTGGGTGTACGCTTTTTTGCCCTTTTCTAATCTACAAACTCCCCATGCAGTGCCGATGATACCCGCGGCGCTCATCGCCGCGCTTGCGATTACTCGGCTGGGCGCCATCCATGCAGCTGTGTTTGGCGGCTTCGCCGCCCACTCGCTAGCGCAACGCATCGAGGCTGCACGTCCCCGCGCCATCATGACCGCCTCGTGTGGGGTCGAGGGCTCCAAGGGCCCCATTCCCTACCGGCCTCTAGTGGAAGGCGCGGTGGCGGCGAGCAAGTTCAAGCCGAGCAAGGTGATTGTTTGGCAGCGAGACCAGCTGCGCTGGAATCAGCCCGATAAGCTGGGTGGCCAGCGAAACTGGCAGAGACTGGTCAAAAGCGCCCGCATGCGTGGAATACGGGCCGGTCCGGTACCTGTCAAGAGCACGGACGGACTTTATATCATCTACACGAGTGGCACCACCGGACTACCTAAGGGGGTACTCCGGGAGGCTGGCGGGCATGCCGTTGGGCTTGAACTTTCGATTCGGTCTTTATTCGGGATTAAAGGGCCGGGTGATGTGATGTTCTGTGCGTCGGATATTGGTTGGGTGGTTGGACATTCGTACATTTTATATGCGCCGCTGCTTGTCGGCGCAACTACTGTTCTCTTTGAGGGTAAGCCTGTTGGGACGCCTGATGCGGGCACTCTGTGGCGCATTATTGAGAAACATGCGGTCAATACTCTGTTTACGGCGCCTACGGCAATGCGGGCCATCCGTAAAGATGACCCGAATGACAAGCTCTTTAAGGAAGTTGCACGGCGCGGCGGGCTGAAGTCTCTTCGAGCGCTGTTTCTTGCGGGAGAGCGAAGTGAGCCGAGTATTGTGCAGTCGTATCAGGATCTTCTGACTCGGTTCGCGGCGCCGGGTGCTCTCGTCGTTGATAATTGGTGGTCTTCTGAGTCTGGATCCCCCATCACTGGACTGGCACTGAACAGCAGCGCGGCCGTTCCCAACAGCGTAAACGCAGGAGCCGTCCGCCCCCTTGCTATCCGACCCGGCTCAGCAGGCCTGCCGATGCCAGGATTCGACGTACATATCGTCGATGACGATGGTAATGAGGTCCCTCGCGGGACAATGGGTAACATCGTCATGGCTCTACCGTTGGCACCAACAGCATTCACAAGCCTATTCCAGGATGAGGAGAGATTTTATAACGGATATTTAAAACGATTCAATGGCCGCTGGGTAGATACAGGTGATGCAGGACTAATTGACGAAGATGGATACGTTCACATTATGTCTCGATCAGACGATATCATCAATGTGGCCGCTCATCGCTTCAGTACAGGTAAAGTCTATCTCCCTGATCACAGCATAACTCACAGTAAAACTCAACTAACCCTTTTGAAAGGCTCAATTGAACAAGCAATTCTATCTCACCCCTCCATCAGCGAAGCCAGCGTTGTGGGTATCCCAGACTCACTTAAGGGTCACCTCCCTTTCGCATTCATCCAACCCCGGGCTGGCACTGATTATCCAGACCCATTGTCCGCGACACCAAGCACACAGCTTTTTAAAGAAGTCAATGCACTGGTGCGTGATCAAATCGGTGCTATCGCCTCATTGGGTGGTATCATTCAGGGTCGGGGTATGATACCCAAGACTCGAAGTGGGAAGACGTTGCGTCGAGTGCTACGACAGCTAGTAGAACATGGCGCGGAAGGAAGATATGATGCGCCGGTTAGTGTGCCGCCGACCGTCGAGGATGCAGAGGTGGTCGAAGTTGCGAGAGGGAAGGTGAAGGAGTACTTTGAGAAGAGAATCAAGGCGAAGCTTTAGATTAATATTCAATGCGATGGGGCTTAGGGCTATGTTGGCGCGAGGGAACACTCAAGTGCACAGCCATTAAACAAGGGCTCAACCTTGGAATCCGCTCAGGGCCAGGCCCAGCAAACATTGAATAAAGTATACGGATAAAAGCTACATGTACTTGAACACCCAAAGTACAGACTTGCGGATATCAGGCGGCCTGTTAAGTAATTTACTAGGTAAGAAGAACATTGGAACAATTAATCGTTCAAAAGATTATAATCAAGAAAAGACATTATATCCAGAAGTATTGCTAAGAGAGAAAGAAAAAAAGCGCGGCATCGGCAAACATAAGATAAACCCGAAGGCCCATTATGTATTATCTGAATAAGACAAAACATATATATCCAAGAAATTAAAAAAAGGAATCCCATACCCAGGCCAAAGAACGCCTGGCATCCAAACCAGCGCACGATCACACGACCCCAATCCCCACCGCCAACAATCCCACACTCAGCAGATGCGCAGATCAAGCGAGCGAGGAACAGACACAGCGACCGCAGCACCAGCAAACATCGGTACCGGAAATCCGCTTCCTAAACTATAAGCTTACGCTTACAGGAGGAGAGCGACGGCACCGAAGACGGCAGCGAGACCGACACCAGCGCCGGCAACGTTGGCGGAACCGGCGTTGTAGGCGGGCTGGGAGGTGCTAGCGGCGGAGGCACCGCTGGCGGAGGAGCCAGCGGAGCCAGCGCCAGTGCCGGCAGAGGTACCGGGGACACCGGTAGCGGCGGCACCGCTGGGGACGTAGGGGGTGGAGGTCAGGACGGCGGAGGAGCTGGGGGAGACGGAGACGGCGGAGCTGGAGGGCAGAGGGGTAGAAGAGCTAAGAAGGGGGTGATTACGTTAGTATAAGCACTAATATAGTATATGCTTCGAATAGATTTGAAGTATCTTGGCGGGGCCGATCGGTGTTCGGTGGGTGTTCCAGATAGATGAAAGTGGGTATGGGTTGCGCTTACCACTTCTTGCACTCGGTCACGGTGGAGGTGATCAGAGGACGAGTGACAGTGTAGGAACCGCCGGACATGGTGAGGTGGCCAGGCTAGGAAGAAATAGAGATGTCAGATATTGTTTATTGTATATGATATGATAGTGGGGATGGGGTTGGTATGCGGGCGCGGATAGCGATATAGATGGTGGATATGGGTGGCTTGCGGGCGCAAACTCGGCAGAATGCTGATAGGGATGCGACTTACGGTGGAGATGCTGTAGGTGGTACCGCTGTGGACAATGGAGGTAGCCTCAGGGCAGTAAGTGGTGTACTTGGTGACAGTCTCGGTGACGGCCTCAGTAGCGATGGCACCGGCAGCCAGGGCCAGAACAGCAGTGATGGAGAAACGCATGTTGATTGATTTAAAGGTAATTCGAGGAATGTTCCTTGAAGAAGTATAGCACTTTTCTTGAATGAAAGAATGTGGGGAGTTTGAAAAGAATGTAATCGGCCAAGAAGGTCCGGGAGTGAGTCAAGAGAGTGTGAATACTTGCAGAAGAGGAGACGGGGGGGGGGGAAGGAATGATTTAATATAAGTCCATGGTCGACTCAGGTACCCGTGCACTAGCGTCTAAAATTCCAGAAATTCGGACCCAAAAAACTCACTTTTCTCCCGTTCAATAACCAAAAACGAACAAGAAAATGACAAAAAGGGGCTATGGAAAAGGCGTGGCAATTAGGGAAATTAAGACCCAGACGCAATTTACCTATACCGTTGGTCCCGGCCATGGTCCTGATGGAGTCCCTGCAGGGGATAGAAACGAATCAGGGGGGGTCGTGCTCCGAACACACTCTCCCCCCACTCATAATCCAGTGACCAGCAACCGACCCTCCAAACCTGATAGAGGACTAGCGGAGTTGAGGATCATTGCTGTTTTAGTAGGTGAAGGCTTGGAAAGTTGATCCCACTCGTGAAAAAAAAAGAAGTCTAGGCCAATGATTGACGGTTTATTGGAGACCAGAATAGAATAGAATAAATAGACCCCCCTGGCACCTACACTATAAGAATGAAGTTATAGAACCTTCTGCCACAGAGTATGTAAGTCATATAAATCAACCAGGGGTAAAGGACTATAGATGGATATCGCCCCGATAAAAAAGACGCCTTTGGCGTCATTGGGCCCTTTTGGTCCTTTTTTTTTGGTCCCGTCTGTGCCGAATTTACTCTCTGGGTAGAAATCGTCTTACGCACTCTTGGCCCTTTAAGTGGGGCTAAGATCGTTATTCTTCCCCCCAAATTACCCATTTGGAGTTGATTTTTTAATTGGTTCCGGACTTGAGTCGATAATGAACCATTAAAAATAACATCGGGAATCAAGAAAACCCGTTCACGAGGTATATGCGGGGGGGGTTGACATGTAACACATGCTAGGCAAGGGCCGAAACATTTGACATCATACATCTCAACAGCATAGACATAGCTTCTCAAGTACATAATTGCCATGGATACAAGAATAATTTTTTGAAAAGAAGCAGCCCCTAAAATCACAGAGATTGACTTTCTCTGCGGAGTAATTTTCTTATCCCTTTGTTTTTTTTTTCAACAAGACAAATTCTGAAGATCCACTATCGTCCAAGCTTACGAGGCAAATCGGCCTTCCTTAACAAGAAAGTGCCGCACAGCACGTGCTTTTTATCAACAAGGCATCAGATATGGATCTGGACTGTAAACTCATTCTAGATTAATATACTAGTAAAATATCTATATAGATGCAATTGTATAATCTCAAAAAATTGTGCCCATCTCGAGTCAACAATGAAATGATACCGAGGGCTGCCCAACACATGCGCATACTAAATCCACCCTTCATCTCACCGCTATATGGCTTGCCGAGGACATTCGGAAATTAATTTCAGGGAGCACAATGATGTGAGGTCGTTGGAATTGAATTCATTTCATTATTCAATGTTAGTCTCAGCATTTGAAACATTCTTAATTTTGAGGTTGTTTTTAGTTCGTTTTCCCGCACCTGGGGCCAGTGGTTTCAGGTCTACATGTGTACGTGCATATACATATGTATACTGGAGACCTAGTAATCTCTAGGGAGTAGTACACGGTTGATTGTATGTCTAAGCATGTCTGCTCCAGATTCCAGCGAGCAACCGCCCTGATGGACCGTGAGTCCTCATGAGTTCCCGAGGTTTATCGATGCATGCCTATTCATTTACCTAGTACGGAGTACATACTAGGCACCGAGCGTAACCCCTTGTCAACTGGTGGTACCTGAGCCTTTGAGTCCATCCGTTGATGTCGGGATAAACGCCGGAGATACCTGCACACAACCTTGGAAGGATAGCGTACGTACACTGTGGCTTTACATATTATCTCCTTCAAATGTCAAGACCTCAGAAAATAAAACTGGTTTTACATATTAGAATTCACGTGTCTAGGTGGAAATATGGGTGTGAAGCTTTGCACGTGCACTATCTCCAAGGCTGTCGTCCTGTCAACTGGTTGTCCGCTGGCCAGGAACCGATGACGAGGGGTGCCGACCGTAAAGGCTTATCCGGGGTAGAACCAAGCACTGGGTGATCCACATCAACATTGAAAGTACACAACAGAGGGGATCAGTCAACCACTTCCAGATGTCGATATGAGTTTACTCGCTATTTGTATAGCATCCTTGCCTAACTCAGGTTCATTGCTAGACTAATGTACATGTAAAGCACTCAAGGTCCTCCCTGGTCTTTCTTGGGAGACAGCTTCCCATCTACACAACAAGTCCAATCAGATAGAATATAGATCCCTCAATGGATGGTGACGGGGCGCGGGATCTCTCAGCAGCGCCCGTCCAAGGCCAGCCCAGAAGGCCAACCCCGACGAGTGCTGATACAGATAGAACGCCATCTCTTCATTTTGGATTTAGTTGTGTGAAGAGAGGAAGAGGCAGGGAGATGATTCTGCCAAATAAAAGGGGAGCAACAGTGCACGGACCAAGGGCCAGGCGGTGACCCAGAACGGGTCTAGTGTGGTTTTCCGCTTTCCGCGGGCAACGGGGAAGGTGCGACCGGCACTCCGCAGTATTAAAAGCTGCGGCTTCCCTATCGACATAGCAATTGTGTCCCTCAATTCCTCTCATAGTCACCATGTCTTTTGCTCGCTGTGCGCGCCTTGCTCGCCTCTCCCTCGGGAGTGTTCGCTCTGCCACAATCTCTCCTCGCGCATTCGTCCCTAGATCCACCCCTCTCGTGCGGGGAGTAGCGTCATTCAACCGAGATGCTCAGCAAAAGGTATGATTCATGTCCAATGTGAACATTTCTACGATTCGAGTGGCTATTCTAATACTTCGTACAGCTTCTATCATCCTCCCTGAAGGATTCGGATCCCGCGGTTTATAACATTTTGGAATCGGTTCGTCGTTTGTTTCCAACTTTATATGGAGCAGAGCATTCGCTGATATCGGAGAATATAGGAAAAAACTCGCCAGAAGAACTTCATCAACCTGATTCCCTCTGAAAACTTCACCTCACAAGCTGTCCTTGATGCCCTTGGCAGTGTGATGCAGAGTATGTACACTCCCGCGTCAATCTTCGCTCAATGACTTATCTCTAATCGTATATCAGACAAGTACTCTGAGGGATACCCCGGTGCCCGGTATTATGGTGGAAACGAACACATTGATGCTTCCGAGCGTCTGTGCCAGCAGCGTGCACTGGAGACTTTCCGTCTCAACCCGGAGGAGTGGGGTGTGAACGTGCAGCGTATGGTGCCACCTTGATCCGTCAACACGAGGAATTTGACTGCAGAGCGCTAACATGATAACAGCTTTGTCCGGCTCACCCGCTAACCTATACGCCTACTCGGCTTTGTTGAACACCCACGACCGCCTCATGGGCCTGGATCTGCCCCACGGTGGTCACTTGTCCCACGGTTATCAGACCCCAACCAAGAAGATCTCTGCCATTTCCAAATACTTCGAGACCCTGCCCTACCGCCTAGACGAGTCCACCGGCTTGATTGATTACGACGCATTGGAGAAGCAGGCTTTGCTATACCGTCCCAAGCTGATTGTTGCCGGTGCCTCTGCGTACAGCCGTCTCGTCGATTACCCTCGCATGCGCGCGATCGCTGACTCGGTGGGCGCATACTTGTTGACTGACATGGCCCATATCTCCGGTCTTGTTGCTGCCGACGTGATGCCCTCTCCATTCCCCCACTCCGACGTTGTTACCACCACCACTCACAAGTCTCTGCGCGGTCCTCGTGGTGCTATGATCTTCTACCGCAAGGGTCTGCGTCGCACCGATAAGAAGGGAAACAAGGAGATGTACGACTTGGAGAACCCTATCAATGCCTCGGTTTTCCCCGGCCACCAGGGTGGTCCTCACAACCACACTATCACCGCGCTGGCCGTGGCACTCAAGCAGGCTCAGTCCGCCGATTTCCAGGGTTACCAGCAGGCCGTACTAGCCAACGCACAGGCGCTGGCAGAGCGACTTGGTGAGTCTACCAGCAATGGTGGTCTTGGATACAACATTGTCTCCGGTGGTACCGATAACCACCTAATTTTGGTTGACCTGAAGAACCGTGGTGTTGACGGTGCCCGTGTCGAGCGTGTTCTGGAGTTGTGCGGCGTAGCCAGCAACAAGAACACCGTGCCCGGCGATAAGTCGGCCCTCAAGCCCGGTGGTCTTCGCATTGGTACCCCAGCTATGACATCTCGTGGCTTCCAGCCCGAGGACTTCCGCCGGGTTGCCGACATTGTGGACCGCGCTGTTACTTTGACCCAGAAGCTGGACAAGGCTGCCCGTGAGCAAGCGCAGTCTCGCGGAGTCAAGAACCCCGGTACTCTCAAGGCATTCTTTGAGTACCTGGGTGAAGGCGAGGAGGTTTCAGAGATTGTCATGCTGCGACAGGAGGTCGAGGACTGGGTGGGCACATTCAGCCTGCCTTGGGTCAAGGACCAGTAGAGTAGATTTCTTTTGATCCCCCATATTTTTTTTTCTTTTTCTTCATTACATGTACATTTCCCCCTACGATTCAACACGAATATGACTGATAAGAACATTCAAATATTTTTCTTTTTTTTTTACTAATCTAGAAATTGTAACTAAACATCAATCCACTAAACCACAGTAAGCCGGCAAACTCAATCGCTGACGTAGTTGGGGAAAGATAAGCGATAAGTGCGGACCTTCTCCGACAAGGTTGCGGAGAGATTACGGGCATTTCGGCTTTGCTTGAAGTTGTTACTTCCCCTCCATCACGGCATTGGATTGAAGTCAGAGAAATTGAAAAATCAGGATCATGAAGGTCAGCCAAGTACGTTTACGTATGGAACTACCTTGAGCAGACTTCTGGCTAACTTTCCAGCTCTATCTATACCCGATCAAATCCCTCCGGCCAACTCCTCTTGACACGGCCGTCCTAACTTCCGTGGGGCTACAATTCGATCGTCGATATATGCTCCTGAAGGTTGAGCCAAGTGAAGATGGCTCCAAATCTACGCTTAAAAACATGCACATTCCCCATTATCCCGAAATGGGACTTTTCCAGACTGCAGTAGAATTCCCCAAAACCAAAGATGACAGCGGAAAAGTCACGGTGACATACAATCCTCCTACTCCGCAAGATACATCAGACCCAAAGCCACGCGAGGCCAAGTACTTAGAGATCCCACTGTGCTCAATGTCAGTGAAACACAAAAGAAAAGTTCAAGTCATGATGCACAAGAGCCCAACAACTGGATATGATATGGGTGCCGAATACAACAACTGGTTCAGCGAATGCTTTGGGTTTCCAGTTATCCTAGCCTACCTAGGAAATAATTCGAGACAAGTACTCGGTACAATGGCCCCAGAAAAGCGAAATAAGACACCTTGGTGGACGATTTGGTACGAAGCATTAGCGCATATCTCGAACAAGACGATTATATTGCTACTTTTTTGGCTCTACTTCCTCGTCAGAGCTGTCAGTATTCCCATCAACATGATGATAGACAAAAATCTGGCTCCTCAAACTGCGTTCCCGGTCGCCACTCTCGTTTTCGCTAGCTGGGTATGGGCCACACATTGCCTATTCGTTAGACTTCGCCGAACGCGTATCAGTTTTGCCGACTGTGCCCCATTTCTCGTGATCTCACAGGCCTCAATCGACAATGTCTCTGCCCGGCTTCCGGAGGGGGAGGAAATGGACCATACTAAGTTCCGGCCCAATATTGTCGTATCGGGCGCCGATTCAGCCTTTGAGGAGGATTTTTGGACCGAGCTTATCGTGGGACCAACGAAGGCTCGTTTATTACTGACGGGGAACTGTGTGAGATGTCAAAGCTTAAATGTTGATTATCAAACTGGGAGCATGGCCGAGGGCGAAACAGGAACGGTGCTGAAGAAGTTGATGAAAGATCGGCGGGTGGACCGAGGGGCTAAGTTCAGCCCTGTTTTTGGGCGGTATTCGTTCCTGCATTGGACAGGACATGGGGATATAATTCGGGTAGGCGATGAGGTTGGGGTAGTGGCGCGTAGTAAAGAAAGGACCATTACAGGTATGAAAGCCCAGGATTTCTTTTACTGTTCTACTTTCAAGTCTGGGTTGAACCACTGACATCTGTTTATAGATTGGCCTGGTCTGACCAATTAGCCTGACATTAGTAGATATACTTCACAGGACCATGGGAACTTGGAGGTAATTACATGTTGAAACCCCAAAATTCTACTAAAAATACTATGTGACTACTGTACTAGAAATCTCCCACGTAGTAGACATCTGGACACAACCCATCCTCTTTAAGAGAATTCTATAAATCACTGTCTGCATTCATTTACTTAATCTATTTCCTACACGTGGGAAATTGTACACAGAACTTCGTCACAGGTTGAAGTTCCCACTTGTTCTCCATAAAAAGAACCTCAGGTACCAATGATAAGCGCTTATCGGTATTCCCGGACGATACACAGCCACAACTACGTCAGGGCAAAATTGCTCAAGTGCTTGTCTTAAACACCGCCACATTGACACCTGATTTCCAATGGCGACTTTGAGCCATGGATTCAATTGTGGATTCTATTTCCAATAATAACTCATTGTCTTTTATTCTCGATTTTTGATTCATCCTCCTATCATACATCTGCTGTGGTCTAACAACTCCTAGAAAGGCTAAAAACGAACTTCGCTCATCCCGCTCGAATTTGTGGCTTGACTAGACTAAGCGGCCCCCCATCAATCGAACGCCGCTGCCTGCTCGGAACCCGCTGGATCAGCTTCCCTCACCTTGTCACACCTGAACTGAAAGCTGGATTCGATTATTTGGGGTATCACCCGTATCACACTTTTACTCCCACGCTCTGCACCCGACCGGTCAGGTGCCAGCTGTCCCGCAACTTCGGTGCATAAGGCGCCAGCCACTAAACCCCGCCGGGGGTAAGTTGCCGCTGCAGGCCTAACAAAAAATTCCCAAGCGATCCTCATCGCTCCAACAACAACCGTCGCAGTCGCCATGGACTCAGTCAATCTGCGTCGCAAAGACACCACGAAGGGTCCGCCGCTGCGGATCCTTTCTCTCGGTAAGTGTGACGAAACTACCTGTGATAAGACTACCCCACGTACACAACAAGCCTGAGGCTGACTGGAATAACAGATGGAGGTGGTGTTCGCGGCTACTCCATGCTCATAATACTACAGGAACTCATGTATCGTACCTACGTTGAATGTGAAGGGAAACCTCCTCGTCGCGACCAAATACCTAAGCCTTGCGAACATTTTGATTTGATCGTGGGAACCGGCACCGGCGGTTTGATTGCGCTTATGCTGGGACGTCTCCGCCTTGACCTCGAGACCTGCAAAGAAGTTTATGTTCGCATGACTCGCAAAGTGTTTGAAACAGACAAGACTATTGCTGGTATTCCTTATCGATCAACATTGTTCAAGGCGTCCAAACTGGAGGAGGCTATCCGAGAATGTGTGCGGGAACATACTGTTTTTGAAACCGAGGGCAATGACCTGCCCAACAATTCCAATGCTCGATCATCCATCGGAAGTCTTCCCTACAGCCCGAACTCAGTGCCCCAGCGCTCTGTCAGCCGAGGGAGTTTTAGCACCTCTGCTGCCTCACATCCTCAAGCCCAAAGCCAAAGAGGGTCGACATTTCTTAACGGGATGCGCTGGGGTAACCCGGAAGCAACACTCTACGACAACCGGGAGCACCGGACCAAGACGTAAGCCTCTCTGTCATACTATACTAAACTTAAAGCTTAAAGCTAACATCGTTTGCAGTGCTGTTACTGCGCTTTTCAAGGGCACCCCACGTAACGGACCAGTAGTGTTTTTACGCTCTTACGATTCTCGTCGAGAACCCCCGCCCGAGTTTGACTGCACTATTTGGCAAGCCGGTCGTGCCACCGCAGCTACTGGACTTGCCTTTAAACCTATTCAGATTGGCCAACACGTTTTCATTGATGAAGGCCCCGGAACCTACAACCCTGCCCCGCAGGTACTCGACGAGGCGATTGTGAACGAGTGGCCTGGCCGGGATGTTGGGGTTTTTGTCAGCGTGGGAACGGGGCGTCGACCATCGGGCACCAATAGCCGTCAGCATGAGTGGTGGGAGGATTTCTTTGGCGACGCACTGGGCACATTCGCCGAGGCGCGGAGACGGCTGATGACCAAGATTGAGGGCTGTGAGGATATCCACCAAGAAATGCTGCGGGACACCCTTGCCAAGCGTAATGTCAACAAGGACAATTATTACCGGCTTAACGTGGAGGTTGGAGTAGGCGAATTCGGCATGAACGAGTGGAACCGCCTTGCAGATATCAGCACCAACACACGACGATATTTGGCAAAACCTGAGGTCAAGAAAATGATTCTGGACGCAGGTGTGAAGTTTGCCAAGATTGACCGCATGAATAAACGCTTGGCAGACCACGCGGCAGCTGGTGGTGATCGCGATGATATGTCATTTGACTTGGAGCGGGAAGAGATCTCTATCTCACAACAAGCACCGGTTTTCTCGGCGCCCCCACCTCCAAAAGCATTTGCTGTGGAGCTACCCGCTGAGCCCGTGGAGATGTATCGGCCTCAGGGATCACCGCCCATCCCTGCCAGTGTGACGGTGACTGCACCACCGGAGGACGACTCACTTCCAACTCACCCTACTCCTCAAGACGGATATACCTCTCCTATCCGGCATTCAAGCGCCGAAATACCCAATTTCTACCAGAATCAACCACATGACATGTACGGGCGACCAGTCTCGCAACCTTCTCTCCATCATAGTGGTGATCAAGTCTTCCATAACGGCATGCCACCACCACCAGTGCCCCCAAAGACACCTATCCCATATCCGTCACAGGATGATTCAGGAGGCGTGTCGATGCCGGCTCCATTGTTCACTCATACTGAAATTCCGATGCCCAGTGGCACGACACGGCCGCCTTACCCAGTGGACGAACCGCCCCCGGTCGTGAACCGGCAACGCAAGCCAAGTTATCATGTGCGGTGATTCTCCTTTCTTTTTGGAAAGTCTAATTTCGGCTCTCGGTTTTCGGTTTTCGTCCGTTTTGTTTTTGTGTGATTCTTTCGATTGTTTTTCTTATCTTTTCTTTTATTCATTTATCTACTGGGATACCCTTCATTTGAGACGGAGAATCGCATGGGTTTGAGAATAGGCCAGAAACACGGTGTCTCGGCGCAAGAACCGACAGGAGATATCTATTTTTCTTTATCAGGGGCAGATCCATCCCCGGTCTTTTTTTTTTTTCTAGGCGGGGACAATGATGAATGATGACACTTATGATCAGAAAAAGGTCTTCTAGTTATGGTGTACAGTACATAATAGATACCGAGGTAGTAATGAAGCGAACGACGGCTAAGTTGACGTTGATTGCCTAGGAGCTAGAGTACTGCATTTACTATTGGACTAGTGAGTTATAGTTGTGTTTTAAACAAGGTTATCTAAGTAGACCAACTAGTTAATGATCGACTACTTTTAATATTCTTGTTATTTGACGCACAGATTAATAACGTCTTAATTATATCATACTCGTCAGTGGCACAATCTGTCCAATAGATGTTGGGGGTATTACTTTTTCTATAAATATCAAAATCGAAGGTAACTTTGAATTCACCAAGATTGGTACATGTAGTACCATGTGTTTTGAACTGGTACCTGGCAGGTACCGCTGATCCTACGGCAGCCCGCCCCACTTGCTTGTACTGTGCAGGTTCCGCTTAGATTACGATTCCTTCCCCCACAGCCCCCCAGCCATCTGTTTTACTATTTCCCCTATTCTCTATTTTCTTAGATTTTCCCTCGTGCCTGTCTTTTTTCAAGTCTCCGGCGCCTTTTCTGCATTTCTTTTAATCTCACTTTGCAAAGCTATCTTTCTCCAAATCAACTTTACTTTTACCGAACTCCTTGAATAAACCTCATTTTGCCCTGCGTCCCCAACGCCGATCGGCCCCCGCCCTGATTTTGGACTCCGTTCCAGAAACATTCCACCATTGTCTTTCCGCATCCAGACCTCAATCCTAAATTCCGCCCAAAACGTGCCGGTTTCGACTATTTGTTGACTTTTGTTTTCAGTCATTCTGACAAAAAGGATTGGTTAAGAATCAACAAAGATAAACAAAAATTCAGGCGTGACGCCGACTGCGCAAAGTGGCCTAAATTGGTGTCTCAGTAGTCGCCGAGTTACGTCTTCGGACGACTCCGTACCTGCGACTTCCATCCCACTGCTGGCCAGTGTGGTCTCTTTTTTACTCTCACCCTCATCACACACACTCCCGCCGCCATGGATGCTAATACATTATCGCACGCATCCACCCTCTTCGCTCGAGCCGACTCTAGCTCTCGCCCATCCTATTACAAGGCGATCGGTGTTTCTCTCGCGGTCGCATCGGGTGTCTTTATCGGTGTTTCGTTTGTTTTGAAGAAGATTGGTCTTCTCAGGGCAAATGTCAAATATAATGAGGAAGCTGGAGAGGGATATGGCTATCTGAAAAATGTTCTCTGGTGGTCTGGCATGACTCTGATGATCATTGGCGAAATCTGCAACTTTGTTGCCTACGCTTTCGTCGACGCTATCCTAGTCACCCCCCTGGGTGCTTTGTCTGTGGTCATCACCACGATCTTATCAGCGATCTTCCTCAAGGAACGACTTAGTTTTGTGGGCAAGGTTGGCTGTTTCTCGTGTATCATTGGATCAGTGGTTATTGCGATGAATGCGCCCCAGCAATCTTCCGTCAGCAACATTCAAGAGATGCAGCACTATGTTATTGCGCCTGGATTCTTGACATACGCCGGTGTCATCATCGTCGGCTCTATATTCACTGCATTTTGGGCAGGTCCCCGATATGGCAAGCAGAGCATGTTCGTGTACATCAGCATTTGCAGTATGGTTGGTGGTTTAAGTGTGGTTGCAACTCAAGGTCTGGGATCGGCGATCATAGCCTGGATCGGGGGTGAGCCGCAGTATAAAGAGTGGTTTCTCTGGGTTTTATTTGCCTTTGTTATTTGCACCCTGCTGACGGAGATCATCTTCCTCAATGTAAGTTGTCTTTATTGCCAAATCTGATTTGATGGGTTGGGGATTTTGTACTGACACATCCACAGAAAGCGTTGAATCTCTTTAATGCGGCCCTCGTTACACCGACCTACTATGTCATGTTCACCAGTGCCACGATTGTGACTTCCGCTATCCTGTTCCAAGGCTTCAAGGGTACTGCCACGGAGATCTCAACGGTGATTATGGGATTCCTGCAGATTTGCACTGGTGTCGTCCTTCTCCAGATTTCTAAATCTGCGAAAGATGTGCCCGACGCCGCTGTCTTCAAAGGTGACTTGGACCAAATCCGTGAGGTCGTCACCCAGGAGGAGCCAGAATCAGAGCCCAGGGCAGACTCGATCCGTGGTGCAGCCTCTATTATTCGCCGCATCTCGACTGCTCGTCGTACCATGGAGTCTGATGAGGCCCGACGCTTCTTCCATGATAAGCATGAAGATACCCTCAAGCCCCCTGGTCAAAATGAAATCATTGAATGGGATGGAATCCGCCGGCGGAAAACTATCCTCGGGGAAGGACCCACAATGTCTCGTGCATCCACTCCTAGAACACCCTCAGTCAGGAGACAACTTCCACCGCTCGGAATGTCACACTTTCCAGATCCAGAGGACGAGGATGATCACCGACCGTCAACCAAGCAAAGTGGACATTCGTTCTTATCTGATATTCGGTCAAGGACTTCAAGTTTGCGCCACCCTCAGCAGTGGATTCCGTTGAAGGAACAGGATGAAAAGCCTACAGGTGCAGAGGATGCCGCAGCGACTCAAGATGGTGACATAGTCGACACGGAGTATCATGGTGCTTCGGCTCGTCAAATGATAGGCCGTGAGAGAAGCGATACTCCTCGATCTATCGCTTGGGCCGATGAAAAAGCCGACGAAAATAACCTGGAGCCACCAAGAAATACCGCGCGCCGTCAGTTCTCCTTCAACAGCATGCTAGGTCGCATGAGAGTCAGCCGTGAGCCATCTCCCAAGCGCCCTACCAGTCCTCCACGTGGAATTCTTCGTCGGCCCACGAACCAAGGAACAGAAGAAGAACGACTTGGACTTGTGAAGGGTGATTCCCGAACAGCACAGCCAGAGGAGAGTCTCAATGAGAAGTTAGACCGGTGGTCAAGCGGCGAGTCGGAGCATAAAGTTGAACCCCAACCCTTGCGCACTCACAGAGACTCTGTGTCATCCATGTCGACCGCAGCCTTCCCACCATATGAAGACCACCATCATGCAATGTATAGCAACCCGGGTGCTTCCGCGTCGAACCCCTACTATCTGCCACCGATACGACAAGCTGAGTCGCCAGAACAAGCGGAAGAGTACGAGGGCTGGCAACTACCGCCATCCAGTGCTCGTGGCCACAATCGCACACGAACAAATTCATCATCCCATGCCCGCGCTCCACCACCCTCCCAGTCCTCCTTCTCTACCCATCGCCACCCCAACCCGCTCCCTCCTTTGCCCGATGACACTGCGGTCGGAGTGCGATCCATCTCGTCCGGCTCGTCCGACATGGGCGTGGCTTCCATGCACTCGTCTACCGAGGGCCAAGACCCTGAGAACACCCGTCCTTCCCAGATGTCTCGCCAAAGCAGTGGTTGGCGTAGGCACATGTCTGAGCTGAGCAGTCACAACGGCGAAGAGGAGCACAGAGGAAGTGGGCATGGTGGTGCATTTGTCTAATCCTCGATTAAGGGCTGAACGCCACTTAACTCGATTCATAGTACTGCATTTGTTTTTGTTTTTTTCTCAAGGCGTTTGAACTGGGTTTATAAACTTTTTGGTATCAATCGATACGAGGGCTAGTCCCCAACAACATCATGTATGAATATGGATATGGATGTCATGATATATGACGATAATGCATTATGATTGAGCACTGTGAAGTTCCTTTGTCTTTGCCTGTCCAACTGCCTACTTCCCCGTCTACTCTAGTTTTGTAGATTAGTTATTTATTTATTTCGTCAAAACATTAAAGAATCAGAGGATCTAGATTTGTAGTAGCTTGGTCTATATGAATGAAAGGGGGTATCTTTGAAGCTTATCCAACCAACGCCATCGGCACACTGCAGAAAGCCACCCAACGTTATGCTATGCAATGTCATATGCAACGCCATGCCGAATGCAATGCATGAAAATAAAACAAAAGTCAAAAAAGTATCGGGCAAACGAAACACAAGAACGTGTTACATTAGTCTGATGCCGCTTACCGACGCCCGAACATCCCAGCAACACTCTGTTGGCCCTTCGGTGCAACGTTCAAAACGCCAAACCGGGACTCAGAAAGCCGTTTCCCAACCTTGATACTCTCCAGAACCCTAGATAGTCGATCGGGTCAGTATTGACATCATCACAGTGGTCCAGCCCAGAGTATTCTAGTCCAGCTGATCCAGATGCAGATGCAGCTGCACAGATCAAATATATAGAGAAAAGTGGACTGGAAACAGAAAATTCACATGGAGGCTTGTACGTACCATTCCACGCCAACAATCCTCACACCCTTCCATCCACCCCTACTAATCTCCTGCTGAAGTTTCCTAGCCGAAAGCCCCCCACCCGCACCGAGCGCAGTCGCATTAGATACCGCGTTCGGCTGTCCAACAATCACATGCGAGACCGTTTTCCGCGCCATGTGAATGGAGATCTGAGCGCCGTGATCGACAAGCAGACGTTTCAGTCTATGATCCGAAATTAACGGGAGGGTCGAGCCGTTGATAAACACCGTCGTGCCGAGGAATATATTGGAACTTTTCAATGTGGCGGCGGTAGGCCCGGACACGGATAGCGCACCAGGTCCAGATGACAGTCGTAGCGACTCCGAGTCCCTGCGCGCAGCGGCCGCGCCTTCCACCTCCTTCTTCCCGTCACCTGTACTCGTAGCTCGTACCGCCGCATTCGCATCGTCGCCTTTCATTTTTTTCGCCGCTAGCCGCGCCTCATAATCCGAATCCAACTTCCGTTTCCCAGAGCTCCCCATGAAGCTGCGGATATCCCGCACGCCCAGCTGCGAGCGTTTCGCTTCCATATCGCTAACCCACCTCCACTCCCCGGCGCCGTTGAGCGTATCCTTCTTCTCGCCATCCTCTTGGTCACTTCCGTAGGTCCCGTCGAATGCGCGCGACCGCGACGAGGGCACATGGTCTTCCGGGCGGAGACAGTCGCCGGTTCCGAGCTGTCGCTCTAGTTTCAGCGAGCGTGTGTCGCGCCATGTGGCTGTTCCTGCGTAGGCGGCTTTGTGTTTTTGGTGGCCTGTTGAGGCGGAGTTCCATGCGTCGAAAAGTTTGTGGTTTTGCGGGGAAGGGGCACGTTTGCGGGGGGGGTTGGGCGGGTTGGTCATGGTTCAGAATATTGTGAGGTCGCACGAGGGGTCATTGGAACTTGGGGTTTTCGGGTTCCTGTGAGGATTTGGGTCGAGGTGGGTGTAGGCTGGAGTTGATGTTGTTGATTTAGTGACATTGTCGTTGAGTGAAGTTCGAATCTTCAATGTTGGCTCGGGCGGAACTGATTCCATGGTTCCTGCTGTGTTTTGGTTTTGCTACTTTGGGATAGGGTATTTGGTGTCACGTGGAACGTCAACTGGTCAACTGGTGGCTTGGGGCTACAAACATTGAATGTTACGATGCTTTGCAGCCATGTTTTCCGTATTGATTTGGCTATTAAAGAATTTTAATTCGAATATTCAATGTTCAAATGATCCACGTTCTGCACGAGGAAAGAAGGATTTCAATATTATTCGAATGTTGCTGCACACATGTGTATCTAGTGAGTCTTGCATCGAGGATATATATGCATACACATCAAGCACTTGAGTACATTGATCAATAGTATATCCATCCAGATGTCCAGATGTCCATGGGACCTGCGCAGTTTCAAGTACCCAAATATCGTGATGTCCATTAACTGACACAAATATTGGTATAAAACCTTGGAATATAATAGTGACATGGACCTGAAGAAATAACACGTGCAGAGCCAGATCGATTCCGTGGTACTAAGAATGTTAGGTCACATGCCCCTGAGGTACAACATAAGGTTAAGGCACAACCCATGGATAGCTTTGTATCCAAGAAAGAAAAAAAAAGCAATGTAAGATTAGATTTCTCACGGCCACATGGCTGCTACATCCATGAATCGCAAAAAAGTCATGTTTCTTTGAGCGACGTATGCATTCCATACCTATCCAATCTAGGCAAATTTAGGGCAACTGCAGCCTTTTGACAGATTTGGCGTACGCCAACGCTTAATTCTATTTGTATATGCTACGACACGAGGATGGATGATTTTCCGAGGTTCAGGCTGCTGGTCCCCCTCTTCCCGAGGCACTCATCTTCCAGAAGGCTGCTGCGATCCGTGACTTGCCCACTGCATTCTGTGTTTATTTCTGTACTCTGTACTTTGTACCTGACTGGTCCCCTGCGGCACTGGCACCTACCCGCTGTGCGTGGGCAAAATGCAATACCTTGACAAAAGCAAAATTAAAAAGCTTTAATGGATGAGAAGTCAAGTACGGAAGGGAAGATAAAAAGAAGAAAAGAAATTCAAGCTCGAAAGCTTGGTGAATCTGGGGGATGACCGAAGTACCCAGTCTACTCGAGCTTATCGCAAGTCCCACCAGGGCAGTTGAAGCGTACTCAGCATATCCCAGCAAATTCCAACCTTGGAAGTTTCGGATTTTCTTTTGTCTTGAGGGACTTTTTTTATTATTGTTATTATTTTTCTTTTCCATGAAATTCCTTTCGGCTTAACTTCTATCTCTACAGGGGAGCCTAAAAGAAAAGAAAAAGAACGGTCTAAAATCTACAGAACACCAGAGCAGCAGGGCCAGACACCTGGGCACCTGGGCACACGTACATGAAACTCAATGCAACTGACGTGCCCGGATCAAGTGCTCTCAAGGGATAGGAGGGGATGGCGGGGGAACCCAAAACAAAAAGCAAAAAGCAAAAAAAAAAGCAAAACCGCCAGCCCAAAGCCGAAACCAGCGAAACCAGCACGACCGCCAGTTCATCCAAGCCACATCTATCCCTTGATTGAGGTTGGCCCGTAGAGATAGCGAGACACTCACCAGTTGAAAGGCTGGACCCAAGCAGCGGTGAGCAACATCCCCAGCATCCCCCAGATGTCTCTAGACCTGACCTGCAGGATGGCATGCTTCGAGAATGCGGGCGATCTCCTCCAAAAAGGAAAGCGGGCTGCAAGAGAGGGGAACCATGAGAGACATGCACATTCTTCTGGAGGACCAAGTGCGAGAGACAAGAGACGGTGTGATGAAAGTTGTACTTTGAGAGAAATAGAAAATTTTTGGTAAATAGAGAGAAGTTGATACGATACGCTAATACGGATTATCCGGGGAAAGATTGCCCAGGTGAGAGTTGAGTGAGCTCGTTTTCCCTGATCTTACTTGATCGCAGATGTAGCCGTACTTCGTACATGCCAGATACATGTGCGTGGACTCCGTCCAAGTACATTAGTTAATTTATTTTTATATTTTGATTCGTGTTTCGGTCTTTCTCTTGCAGGAAATCGAATGTCGTACATAGTATAGACAATCTTATCGCGCTGACGTCGTGCCGATCATTTCTGCAGTAGGGAAGCATCTCCAGATTGACGCAACTCCGGGGCCATCATCATCATCAGAACTTACGGAGATACGACAAGAGAAAAAAGAAAAACGAAAAAGGAGACAGAAGGAGAAAAAGAAAAAAATATCATCCTTGAATTTTGCAGAGTGAAACACCAAGAGTGTGGAAATAATTGACATTCAACCCAGAATCAATGGTTAACTCCACAACCTAGAGTAAGCAAAACGCCAAAACAACTTGCCCCTTCCACACAGCTACTGTACTAAGGGAAAAAAGAGAAAAGACATGGGGAAAAGGAGAAAAAAAAACAAGTATGAATAAAGCTGTGCCACGTCTGCACGCAAGGGAGGGGGAAAAGCAACTGGCGGTGAAATCCACCATGATCTAGCCCGCTACGTGGTGAGGCCGACGACCAGTCATTATCCGGTCGGATCGTCGATCGGCGGGCGGTTGCAGCAATAAGAGGGGCTAATAGCCAATCAACGGGGCAAGTGGAGAAAGCTCTGTCTTTTAGTGTCGTTACACCTTTTGGCCCGGGCCATCCTGGTCTGAGATTTTTTTTTCATTTTTATTACGGCGTAAAGAAAAAAGAGAAGGGAAAAGAGAGAGATATTCGGAGGAATGGCCCAACATGGGTTGGTCCACGATTGTAATGAACGTGCAGTCGATCTCACGGGACGAATGCAATGCGAGGTTAAATCAGGTTGCACGGGCTAAATAGGACGTGGTGGATTATCATTGGTTTTCCAAGGCTGAGAAATGTTTAGGATTTTTGTTTTTGTTTTTTTTTTTTCTTCTTTTCTTCTTTTCTGTGGCGATATTGGCGATATTGGCGATTTTCCATGTCCTCATTCACAACTTGAAATGAGTTGAACTTTTATTCTGCAAATCAGGAAGAAAATCAGGACAATTGACCGATGACTCGATACGGGGAGTAGTTTCTGTGGGTTGTTTCCAGGTTGTGATTTGTGTTTAGTATTTTAGTCTCCTTCGTAGCGTGACTCGTGTGGATATGAATTGATTTCCCGCAACGAATCATGGCTCTTCTGTTACTCCGTACAACGAGGCCAACGCCCAGGGAACATCCCTGTTGATGATTCCAAAGTTCCCATTTTCACTTTTCCTTGTCCCACTTGGTTTGGTTGAGAGAAACCCAAGTCCGATCCCGGAGCTTTTTTTTGGGGGGTACTTATCATGACAAGGATATAAATTGATATGGGGAAAGTTATAGTGAATATAGTCAAATAATCCATTTTCCACCCCCTGGTGAAACCTGTCATAGTCGACTATACAAAGTTTTTTTTTTGCACGGACTGGGCTGCAGGGTAACTGGTCGCTGCAAGGTACGGGACGAACCCGTCGATCGATAAAATCCATATAGAATGGTGGAATCATAGGGGAATTATACTGTGGTTTACAATAGGAATATAATATGAACAAAAAGGAAACTAAGTGGAGGTGCGCCCCGAGCCGGGAATGGTTGAGATTTGATCCCGTGTTATCATTACCCGATGGTTCCACGGATTTCACTTGATCGTCATTCGTCTCCCTTGCCTGCCCCTTCCTAACGGTGATTCGGAAAAGCTGATACATCACACCTTCATTTGAAAAGTGGGGGTTGGGAGTGGAGAAAGAAGAGAATAATAATTGATGGTCATAGCTTTTGCCAAAGTGGTTTTGATTTGATTTTGCTTTTGCTCCTTTTCCCTTTTCTGTTTAATTCCGAGTGCCCCGATCAGCTCTGAAGACTAGCGTCGAACAAGAACAAGGCGGCAAAAGGATAAAAGAGAGAAATGGAGAGAAAAAAAAAAGCAAAAGAAAGAGAGGCGTGATTGGATTTGATGAGCTCCACTTCATTGCCCCCTTAATGATTATATTGAAATTGAAATTGTAATTGATTGTACTCAATTCATATGGAAGAATTATGAGTGAGTTACATTTGCTCTGTGTGTTATGGAGTCATGGCTGATGTACAAATGATTAACTCTGGCGGATCCTCTACTGTACGCTGCGCAGCGGGTATCGGCCCGTCGATAGTGAGCAGCGGTGCAGGGATCTGGGCCCTTTTTTTATGGATTCTGGGAAGTTTTTTTATGGAGTTCAGAGAACAAGTGGTACCTGCTTTTTCCGACTTCCTCCACTTTTTTCCCTTTACCTTGACCTGGTGTAAGTAACCTAGTAACTAGTTACTATGTCACTTTTTTTTTTTTGTTGTTGTCATCATATCCGAGCCCCGTTTCTTCCCGATTCCCCTCTCCCCGTTCCCCGTCCTCCCCGGGCGCCACTAAGAGAGGCCGCTAATGAAGGTAACCCAGTTCCAGGTGAATGATTACAGTCAGCTAGTTGTCAATAATGAAAGTGTAAAAAACAAAAAAACAAAAACAAAATAAAAAACAGGAATAAAGTGAAAAAGGAGAATAAACGATAAACGAGATACGCTGGCGCTTTCCAGTTTCAGGGATAAATGACTATTGCTATCTGGTATAAGCTCGGACAAGGACTACGGGGAACTGGCACCCGGGGTTGACATCTGTCAACCCAAAGAAATCGGATCCGGCTCTTCAAGATCTACTATGCAAGGGATGAACACGACAGATGGCGGTGTAAGAGAAAAGTCACGATTCCCCTTACTGGGATCTAGAATGTCTGGAAAACGGGTTAGTAAAGTCAATGTTACTGATATCGTCACGGGAGCAATTACAATCCGGACGTGGGACTGAGCAGGGATACATTGAGTACATGGAGGAGTAGATGAGAGAACAGACCCTTGATCGACTTCAAGCCACCCGTGTTTCGTGGTGCGTTCTGAGCCACTGGATTTTGCCCCCCTCTTTTATCCTCCTTTTTCACTTATTTTCTTATTTTCCTTTTTATTCCTTTTCTTCCCTCGGTGTGTGACGCGCCCACTCCACCGTTACTCACGGGCCGCCTCTATATCGCTCCAGAGTGGTCTTTTTTTTTTTTTTTTTTTTTTTTTTTCTTTTCTGTTTTTTGAAGAAATAAAAAAAAATATCAATCAAATAAACATAATCAGAGTAATGATGTACCTCCGTTCTCCGTAATCATGTTCATTTCTACACGATCGACGGGCCGCGCTTTCTCAGAGATCCATAGACGGGAGTCCGTGTGTCCTGCTGCTCGATTTGACTGATCGGACCGTTTCTCAATTTCTTAGTTGTTTCTTCCTCTCACATGGACCTTGCATAAAAGAAGAAAGAAAATATGAAATAAAATAAAACCACAACAAAACGGCAGCTCTACATTCGGGATATCAAGTTTCATCTTAACCGACTTCCATCTGAAGAAATTGGCAAAATTACAGTGACGTGGATTATACGGAGTATTAAGAGTATTAAGCGCTGGGGTTTTCTGAAACTCGGGTAATCGACCGTGCAGTTGGTCTGCAGCCGCAAAATGTCTTGCACGGGGAAAAGAGGGGAAAAAACCACACGTCGATCAGAGGTCGAGACTCTCCATCCTCATTGTTTTTTGATCTGGAATTAAATCCAATTAAATCCAATTAATCACAATAAATCCCAATAAATCCCAATTAAATGTCATTTCAAAATGATCTTTGGTATCTTTGTAACTTTTGTAACGGAGGGACCTACTCCGATCTCTTTTCTCTTTCTCATTTCCATGGGTTTTTTTCTCTCTATGGGTTTCGGGTTCAGTGGGGACTCCGGCAGGAGTCAACCATGGTTATACTACTATCTGTATATAGTATGTGGTATTCTTGTTTTTCCCGAACTATTGACCATAGCATTCAAATGTTGCAGATTGTTCCAAATGTGATCTGTTCCCGGTGCGTGGCAGTATTTGAACTAGTGGCGGGGAGAGAGAGACGATCAGCGTTTTTGTCACACAGACCAGGATCCTCCAGCTGAGTGGATCTGGTTTTTCCCTCTTTCTGGGTTTTTTTTTTCTGGTTTTTGTATTTTTTTTTCTATCTTTTCTATCTTTTCGATTTTCATGATTTTCTTTTTTCTTTTCATGTGGTTTTGACCTAGTATCTTGTATTGTTGTTCTCTCTGTCCCTGCATGTTTCTTCTCTTCCGGTTTGTTTAGGGAGACTTTCATCTAGGTACTTACTAGTATTAGAGGGGAAAAGCGATTCAATAGGAGGCTTTTGTTTGGTAATTTGTAATTTCCATGATTTACTCTTTTTGTATTTATTATGATATCCATTATTCGTTTTTTTATTCGTTTTTTTATTCGTTTTTTTATTCGTTTTATTCTTTTATTCTTTTATTCTTTTATTCCTTTTTTCCTTTTCCTATTTTCCACTAGTTACCGTCCTTGCTTGGTGGCGGTTGACTCGATCGCAGTACACCTCCACTTCTCTGGTCCCACACGATGATTCGATGCTATTTCTGTTGAGGGAAGTGGGAAAACAGAGACCCTCAAAAAGGTGGAAAAGGTGGCCGGGATTTCTGCACACATTCCTCTTGTTCTCTTCTTCTCCCAGCCCTTTTGTTTAGTCATCTCTGCGGCTCAGCGTGTTTCTGCCCCTTCCAAACGCTGGAGGTGATGCGTTTGCCTGCCACTTGCTACCCCCTCCCTTTCTAAGGTGCATCCCGCATCCCCAAACACTACTTCTTGCATGCGACCTGCACTGCTAGACTGTTTTTCTTCCCACTCTATGCTTTTTTTTATTTCTTCACGACCTTTGATGAGATCTTGACTTTTTGATGACATTTGCACTCTATTCATTTGCTTGCGCTTCATAATCCGTCTTTGCATCTACTATTCGAGTCAACTCGATAGTTTTCCCCATTGAACGGCCCCCCCCATTGCGACCCTGCTTGAATTCCACCCAAAAAACAGCGATTCATTTCAAAAGGACAAGGAAGTTACATCTACCCTTTTTTAACTCTTCCCCTCTCCACGGACGTCGTGCAACCTACAAAAAGCCCGGCTCTTTGAAAGGATAAAGGAAAGGAAGAAAAAAAAAACAACTTGCTTCCCCCTCTCCCCCAAAAACAAGACGTTGTTTTTCTAGACAAGCTCCGCCGGGAACTATCGATACATTCCTCAGCCCCGAACGTCTCTCCTCCCCCACCCCCTGCCTCTACTCTTCTTCTCCAGTGTTCCCCCGTGAAACCGAAAAGCTGGAGCTGCCGTCGATCTCGCAGGTCCACACCCGCGGCCCTGCTGAACCCCCCTGGTACAACCAGCACGCGGCCGAACGACCGCTACTGTCGGGCGATAAGCTCCCCGCCCTCAGCTTGCCCACGGCCCAAGTTTCCTCTCGTGGTTATCAAGACGCCAGCGTTAGCGGCAGTGCTCGCACCAGCCTGTCCGGCGCCTCGGCCGTACACGAACCCCGGAGTCCACCACACACCGACTTACATCGGCTTTCCCTGGATTCGGAGTATTCTATCGTGCCCAACGAGGCCTATTACCCCAGCCCGACCTCGCTCGGCAGTATGAATCAGGCCCCGCCCTATATGGACGTCCATTCCCATATGTCTTCCGCCCAACCATACGCTTCCCAGGGTGCAACCGCTGGTGCCATGTCGCATTATCCCTATCATCAACAACCGCCTGTATTGCAGCCAGTATCCAGCTATGGTCCATCATATCAGTATGGGTACCCCAATGGAGTCACCTCACCGCCAACTGGACATCCTCCACCACCCGGCACTATGGGTGGACAGATGGCACCTCAGATTTTACCGCTTCCAGGTGGTTAGTGTTTTCCCTTTTGTCTTTTGATCATTTGCCGGTCTTGTCCATGCCCCAGATGACTTTGACGTGAAACTGCTATTGTACCAGAAACGAGTATACTAACAATGTCTTAGTAAGCAACCACCAAGGTCCCGGAGGCTACGGGAACAGTACCGGGTCGCCTTTACAAGGATATGTGTATGATTCAACGGGCCAAGTTGCTCCCCCAGGAGCCAAGCCACGTGTCACTGCAACTTTGTGGGAAGATGAGGGGAGCCTCTGTTATCAGGTGGAGGCTAAGGGCGTCTGTGTTGCGCGACGAGAGGGTGAGTGAACAACGCGATTGGCTTAGATGGAAATACATTCCAGACCCAAAATTCCTAACGAGATGAAACAGACAACCACATGATCAACGGCACAAAGTTATTGAATGTCGCTGGAATGACCCGCGGTCGCCGAGACGGAATATTGAAAAGTGAAAAGTTGCGCCATGTGGTGAAAATTGGCCCCATGCATTTGAAGGGTGTCTGGTATGCTAAACAGCCCCAAAATAACACCCCCAAGCATTAACCTTGCCCCACAAGCTAACTGTAAAATTAGGATTCCATTTGAGCGGGCGTTGGAATTCTCCAACAAGGAGAAGATCACAGACCTTTTGTACCCATTGTTCGTGCACAACATCGGTGGCCTGCTGTACCACCCAGCCAACCAGAACCGGACAAACATGGTAGTGCAAGAATCCCAGCGACGAAGCATGGAAGGTCCTCCCGCTGGCCCTCAACGGACCCCGACCGCGCCCCAGTCCTCGACCTTGCATCATCACCAGGGGTTGCAGACTCCCATGTCCGCTCAGATGTCACAACCACCTTCTATGAGTGGCCAACGTCCTGGAATGGACCGACCCTTTCCCACTCCTCCCGCCAGTGCATCCAGTCTCATGGGTGTTACCAACCAGGGAAGCTCATATGAATGGACAGGCCAATCAATGAATTCGGGAGTCCCCCACACCCAGCCACTGTCAATCGACACCACATTGAACCATCAGCAGCAACAGCGTTCAATGCCCACAACACCGGCCACCACTCCCCCGGGTAGCAACATGCAAGCCATGCCTCCCTATCAGGCACAGTCCGGCTATGATAGTTCTAAACCCTACTACTCTGGTCCCCCTCAGTCTCACTCCCAGTACGCCCCCAACACACCAATGACTCAGTCTGGTATGCCTCAGTACGCCCAGCAACTCCCTGCGGTCAATTATCTCAAGAGTGAAATGGCCCCTCCGACCGGTCGCCCTCCGGGTCCTCCCGAGGGGGAAACCCCTGAGTTGAAGTCCGAGCGTTACTCCCAAAGCAATGGTCCAGAGGAGTCAGTTCCATCGCAGGAACCCGAGTATCTTCAGGACCAGGGATCGACGTACGGTGCCAACCGTGGATCCTACACTTACTCTACTAACCCGTCGGTCGGCTCCATGACTGGCGAACACTCGCAATTGACTCCTGAGATGACCGGATCGCCGCAGCAGAACGGTTCGGGCCGCATGACCCCACGTACTAGCGTGAGCGGACCTCCGCCGCACTGGACTTCCGGCTACAATACCCCTCCCCGCCCATCTGCAGCAACCACCCTATACAATGCCGTTAGTGACACCCGTGGTACACCGGCCAATGGTGTTTCTGATCCCTATTCTATGGCTTCATCTTCCACACCAGTGTACCCAACCACCGTCAACGGGTCTTTGGGTGGATCAGGTGGTAAGCGCAGACGTGATGATGAGGAGGTGATCCGTCCCGAGAGTGGTGATGGCTATGAAAGCAAGCGTCGTAAGACCATCACTGAGACCACCCTTGGTGGCCCTGTTGGCGGTGCTCCTCTCCTGCAGCCCATGAAGACGAGTGGTGCTGTTATGGCCGGCCGCCGTCGCTAAAACAATCCAAAAAAAACGAACGTCAACGTCAACATCAACCACCTCACCACGCCTCGACTTGACTAATTGTGTCATGTGTCTTAAAAACGACATCTTCTCTTCTCTGGCTGGAGTTTGTGAAATTTTTACTCTTTATTTTTTCGGACTTGCTGATAGACTGTGGTGCTTCATTGGATTACCGCAGACCCGGTATGTCTCTTACGATTTGATTTCTTCCGGCTCAGCACACCCAACACGTGCAATGTGCATTCATTCTCCACCATTGTCCTCCAGACCAGGAGCAACAGTCTGAAAACTGTTCTCTTCATGATTCCTTGTTTTCTGAGGCATGCATTTTTGGTTTTATTTTTCTGGGTTATTTTTCACTCGCACACTTCGCCCCGGGTTTATCAATCTCGGGTTTGACGAATTCCATTTCCAGCATGCTTTGATATGTGGAAAAACATCTTTTATCGTTCTGCAAAGTGATGACACGGGAAACGGGGAATGACGCTTTGCTTTGCATGGGCCTACTACAAACCCACCTTGATGACTATGATGACACGAATCTACTGTAACGAATCTTCTATGTGCGATCTTTCCTATATCGCTATGGTTTTCTTTTGATTTATTTTTTTCTCTTTCTTTGCTCGTTTTTAGTGCGTCATTGGTTCTTACTGCTTGGCCTTTCATTTTCTTTAAGCCTTTGCTTCTTCTTTTTACTTCTCTCTGGGCTGAAAAGGGTCTTCTTTGCTGGCATCCGTGGCTTTTCTTACCCTCCATGGTTATGTTTTAGAGAGACGATATGATGGTAATGAATGATCATGAACTGAACTGATTTTATTTTATTTGCCTCTTCGAGGTCGGCGATACATTGTTTCTGGTTAAATCTTGATTAATCGAGCCTAATGAATGATATACGGCTTGAATGACCCTAGTACTTGGCATACTGTAGTGCAAACTCCAATGTGATTTTGACTAGCAGAGTTGCAGTAGTAACGTTGACCCTAGATACTCCCAAGGTACTCACTACTAGTGATATCTGTCGAGATCACATGTGCATAATCCTCCGCATCGCAAAGGAGCATGTCGAGACATTGGGACGTCCAATAAACTCTTTTCACGCCGATTATGACAAGCCACGCAATTCCCATCTATCCCATCTATAGAAGCATCCATCCCGAGCCCTCATATTTACCATACCCAAACCTTTGACATCGTTACACATCAATGACCATGCAAAAATCGACATGAAACAAAGGCAAGGAGCCATAACAAATAATCACATACTGTATCTCATACCAAAACAAACTTCCATGCCGACCCCCATTTCCCTCCCATCCATCCATCCATCCCCGAAGAACCCAGAACAAACATGCAAAACCACTCGGAATCATAATATGTACGATGACAATCGTAATTATAGCAAAACCAAGCCACTAGCATAAATAATAAATGAGATGAAAACAAAACAATGAGACGAAAACAAGCGGAGTTCAGCGCTTGCTACCCTGCGCTGCGAAGATCTGCTGCCAGATCTCTAGCCACTGCTGCTGCTTGTACGAGAGCGGACGATGCGGGTTCTTAAAGGTCGTGGCGAGCAGGTCGCGGAGGCGCGCGTTGAGGAATTTAAGCGCGAGCATGGACTTCCAGTCGCGCAGGGCGAAGCGAATGCGGTTTGCGTCGATGGAGATGACGCCTGAGTGTAGCTGGTGAGGAGGCGAGAGAGTCAGTATGTGTTCAGTAGAATAGGTGGAAAGGGTGAAAGTCCAGGCCTGATGTGATGCAATGCCTGCTTACCTTGAACTCGGCCTCGCCACATAGCAGGGCAATCGCGAAATCATCCACAGCGGTAGTCTCGTGCGCGTTCAAGTTGCGGTTACGAGCTTGCATGATGTGGTAATACGAGAGCCACTTGATAGCGTGATCGGCGCGTTTATTTACAGAGGTGGGGTGTAAGGTGACGGACTGGTTGTTCAGAACGTTGCGCCAGCCCTTTCCTTCGCGGGTGAGGAGCTTGGGGTAAAAGCTCCAGGCGATGACGGAGTTTATAACGACATCGTTCGTGCTGTTGATGTCGTGTTCTTCGGGGATTATGAAGAATTGACGGTTTCGGTTGCTTGAGCGGGCTCTGTGAGAGGGTATTAGTATTGAGTATATGGATTTTTGACAAAAAGTCGGGATGAAAAGCAAGGTAGCGGGCTATCTATTAGCACTACTTACCTGTTTAGCGCAGACTTCTGTGAAGGGTCCAGGCTTAGGAGCCCGGCGTCAGCAATGGATACGATGAGCTGCATTTTAACGTCCTCGATACCCATGAGTGTTTGTGGATTGAGGAAGTTCTTCCGACAGAATGTGAACTCATTTGTGCCGGGTGTGCTTCGTGAGCGTCTCCAGCCGCAGTAGGCATTGTAGACTGTCAATAGATCTGAGTCGCCTAGAAAAGGGAAAGAAGAAAGGTTAGAAGCTGGCCGGGAACTGCGTAGCGTAAAAAAAATGAGAATGCAATTTACCTCTCTGGAAAGAGTTTCGTGCGGCGTCACGTTGCGAATTCGATCCCATGGTGTTGACGAAAGGCGATTTGGAGGAAAGAATGGCAGCAATGCTGACAGCAGCATCAAGACACTTGAAGAATGCTCCGTGGATGATCAGTTTTCCGAGGAATACATCCAGCGGCAGCTTTGCTAATTGACTTCCCAAGGGCGTAAGACTTTCATTGCTGGTGAGAGCTTTCACTTCCTTGAGAGAATCAATAGCACGTCTAATGTTCTTAGAAGATGGTGGGTCCAGAGCTTCTAGAAGGGTTTGTTCAACCTCGCCTAATTTGCAGATTTTAACTCGTAGAACAAGGTCTTGGAGGGATAGTCGGAGCATTTCCGGCGTTTGTTGCCCAGCCAGCTATGCAGTATTGGGTTAGTTGATTTTCAATTGTGAATTTTGAAATTTTGCAATGGCTTACCAGCTTGTCGTGTCGCTGTTTAGTGAAGAGATGGAAGCAGATGCCCTCCTGGACACGGCCTGCTCGACCACGTCTTTGCTTCGCATTGGCACGGGAAATAAATGACTCCACCAGGCGAGAAAGCTGTCTCCTTTCGTCGAATCTGGAGGAGATGTTAGTAGGAATAATTCAAATGTATAAGCATTTTGTGGGTCACAAACCGCATCATCTTCTCCTTTCCTGTGTCAACAACTGCAGTAATGTCTGGAATGGTAATACCAGTCTCAGCAATGTTAGTGGCAATAACGATCTTTCTTGTGCCTGGAGGCGGCACGTTGAATGCCCTTTCTTGATCTTCACTGGCAATTGAGGAGTGGAGAGCATGAACAATCCATCCCTTTTGGAAGGTAGGCTCGGCGAGAAGTTCGTCATTAAGACGACGGATCTCAGCCAGACCAGGCATAAAGACCAAGATTGCCTTGCTGTAACGGTCCATCTCCGGAGCAGTGGCTATCTTGAGAAGCAGTCGCTTGATCAGCTGGAAATCCATACGATACTCGTCAAATCTGACCACGGTTTCCCGTGTCTGCTTGGAATATCCTTCAAGACTGGCTTGTAAGCCTCCAGTGTCGCTATTGGAATCTTCAGCCTCATCAGGGTCATCGTCTGGAACTATCTTTGCATCATCTTCAGATAACCGATAGTTGGTCAACTCAACTGCATCCTCAAGATACTTCATTTCCACAGGGAAAGTTCGTCCAGGGATGTTGAGAACCGGTACACCACCAAGGTAGGTAGAGAAACGTTGAGCTTCAAGAGTAGCAGACATCAGAATGAGTTTAAGATCGAGCCGTTTCTGCATCAACCGGCGAAGAACAACCAGCAAAAAGTCACTATCAATTGTTCGCTCGTGGACTTCGTCCAGAACAACGTGGGTGATATCCTGGAAGTCATCTGGCCGCTCCAGCATGCGCACAACAACACCGGTGGTTCTAGTCAAGTTAGTTCGCACTCAAGAACACAGATAAATTGGACCAAAACAATAGAAAAAGACTTACGCATATACAAGTCGAGTGGAAGATGTGATCTTGCTCTCCAGTCTAACCGCGAAACCGACAAGAGATCGGAACGTCCCCACATCATTCTTACTCTCTCCCAGTTCTTCACTGACTCGACGAGCAAGTGAGATGGCCGAAATTCGACGCGGTTCCGTCACATACACTTTACAAGGGCGGCCTTGAAGCATTTCATGCTCAAGGATAAAAGATGGGATCTGAGTACTCTTTCCACTTCCGGTCTCACTGCAGATGATGATTACTCGATGAGTCTCCAAAGTCTCCAGAATCTCATCTTTGAAATTCCAAATAGGAAGGGTCATTCGGCCCTGCATCATTTTGTGGAAAGATGGGGCGGATGCCTTTGCGTGCCATGCCTCCCTTAATCGATCATCTCCCCCAATAAAGTTGTTGTCCCTGGAGTTACCTTTCATGGGAGTGGCCGGCTTCACACCATTTCCATTTCTCTTCCGGAAGTTGTCCAATAGTACAACATCATCCTCAAAAGTACCTTGATTTTCCTGTACGAGAAGTTTTAGGTTCTTGACTGTAGTTTTGTCCACTTCATCCTCCTGCGTCTTCTTCAGTTCAGAAAACTCGGTCCAAAGATCTCTCCAGACTGCAGGTATCCGTAGATAGGCCTTGCCTTCTTTGGAGCTTTGAGGGAAAAGAATGAACAACGCAAGAGTCGATACGTATCCCTCTGCTTGTTGAGAGTCAGGTGTTGCAAGAGTATCCATTGAAACGAATGTTGCATTTCCATTCGACTTATGCGTGACCGACTCCACCTTCAATAGGAAGGGAGGCTCTTGCGGCTTGGACCAGCGGACCTCGATGGCCTTTCTGTTGTGATGCCCCGAGGACGAAAAGTCTTGATAGACAACCTTGCATGCTGAATCTCTAGCCTTGCAGGTCTCCTCCAAGACTCGGCGTGGACTCAGGCCTGTTGACCTGCCAAAGTCCCGAAGCGTAATTTTGGCTCCATTCTCGGGAGGTGCAAGGCCTAGCACCGAGCCCGACTTTTCAGCCTCGTTCTCGAACATACCACCCAGTAGACCATCCGCCTCATCCATCTCTTCAAGTGATGGAACGGTCAAATTGGGATCTTCGGGCTCCTGTTCCTGGCTGACCACCTCAACTTCTTTCTTTTTCTCAGCTGGACGCCGGAGGAAGGCCGTGTCCTTTCTGAGATCTTCGAGCCTGAGTTGCCAAATGTACTCGGCCTCTCGGCGCTCAAACAGAACATCACGTTCTATTTTGGCAATCTTGCGTTGCAATTTAGCCACTTCAGGGTCCTCGGACGGACTGGGCGCAGATCCGCGGCCCTTTTTGCCCTTACCTGGACGATCGAACAATTCTGGTTGAAGGCCATAGAGCTTGGTCTGAAAATCCAACCATTCTGGAACCATGGAATCGGGGTCAACCGAGCTATCCGAGTCGTAAGAAACAGGAGGCGCAACTTTTGCAGCCTTCCATTCTGCTTTAGGCTTTTCTTGCTTGTTTCCATTCGAAGTCTTATTGGGAGTAGAAGCCCTCGATGGGTCCGATCCTGATGAAGGTTAGTACTTTTTTTTTCAGATCGAATCAGACTCTCAATTTACCAATCATCCATGATGTGACCTCTGCATCTTTTTGAGGTCGTGAACTAGTCTGTGTGTATGAGGGGAGATCTTGCTTGGGACTGTTCTTCGCCAACCATTCCAAGGCCTCATCTAGATTCCACACAGCATCTCGGCTAGCACTCATGGGTGTTTCCCTGAAATACAAGATGATGTGCTTGAGTGCTCCTTCCACTCCATTGTTAGTAAACCCAAGTTTGAAAAGTGTTTCCTGCAATGTCCAGAGCTTCACAAGGAGCTCCTCCTCAGAGCCCTCCTGCTTTCCGCTGACATTCCGTCCATTGGAGATAAGATAATCATGGTCTTCTGAGCCAGCTAGCTCCAGAATTCTATCTTGCACATCTGCCGGAAGCCATTCGAGAAGACCCAAGGTCACCGACTGCTGTCTGAAGACACGACGTTCATTTTCCATTTTGGTAGCTTGGCGCACCGCATCGCTCCTGCATTTGGCCGCATTTTTTTCGATCAAAATTTGTAGCTCTGCTTCCTCCAAGTGCTTCTCAAGTTCCTCGGGTGTGTAGTCTTGTAATGAGGGGCCGCTCTGTGGTGCGCCCGCATCGACCGGACGGTCTTCTTGGCTTGTAGGTAGGGTTTCGTTTTGCGGAGTAGGCTTTGATTCTGTAGCTGTTGAGGTAGGTGTTTCGATAGCCTCTGGCTTCGGTTTGGAAGGTATTGAGACCGTTGCGAAGCCCCGCGCGGGATTTGAGGCGGGCTTTTTCTTTTTCTTATTGTTTGGTGGCATTGTATAATGACACTGAGAGGACGGAGCCCTGAAAAATTGAAATTAGAGCCGGAAAGGTACCAACTGAACAAAATCTTCACTGAAATTACTCACAGATAAACGAGAGGAGGAGGGGCGGAGGTGTTGTAAAGCGTGGAATTAGGATAGTTGAGTTGGAGCGGCGGAGAGGAGCGGCGCGGAGAGGTTCCTCCCCACACAAAACTCTTATGACAGCATTCGGTCGATTCCAGCCCACTTTGAACACACACCACCTCACCTCACCTCACCTCAACCCCTCCCCCCGCTCCCCTGTTTGACCTACCCCAATCATGGATGGAGTTCCATGGGACCAGGTCAAGGCTGGGGATCTGGATGCCTTGCGGGTCGCTCTCTTCTCGAGTTCGACTTTGCGAAGGCTCCGGGCCCTGCAAGAACTTCGCGACAAGAGCGGTAACCACGAACCCGCTTAACCACTCTTCAAAAAGGCCATTGGAAGACTAATTTTGTTTCTGTAGGATCTGACATCCCCTCGGAATCGCATCTTGATATCTTAGCGCTTCTTTTCCAGACCTACCCTCTTTACGTCGATCGAGCCTCACGCCAGGCCGTTCAACAATGCCTCCGCGCCTTTCTCCGAACCCCAAACGCTGCGGACCACCTTACATATTTATCCGAGAACCTAAAGGCCGAAGCATCGAAGTCCGGTCTGGCCTCAGGATCTGCATTCGTATTGTTGGAGTGGTGTTGCAATATTCTGCAGCAGATTAGCGAGAACGAGGACACACCCTTGGCTGTTGTGCTAGATTTGATCGCCGTGGATGCCAAGGCCCTGGAAAACTGTCTTGCTCACACCCCAAAGCCTTCGGTAAGGCAATCAGCTATCACGGTGACTAGACGTGCGTTGCGCGCAACATTTTCGAACAAAAAATGGGGCGAGGACGCCGTGCGTCAGTCAGTCAGCCGACTGGCTACAGATTCGTCAGCAGGCTACAAGAATGCGCCGTTCCTAGGTGTAATCTCGGGCGTATGTGCTCGACTACCGGACAGAAAAGCAGCTCTTGAGGAGTCTAAGAGGCCCATCTTGGCTTATTATGTTAAGGAAATTGTAGGCTCAAAATCTGTCGTGCCTTCTCACATCGCCGAAGGACTGTCAGATTTCGTTACTTCGTTTGTTACATACGAGGATGTGACCGCTGAACTGGTACCTCCAATGGAAAAATCCATGTTGAGAGCACCGGAGGTGATCTTGACTGGCGTGATCCCACCGTTCAGTGCCGCTCTGCCTAAAGAAATTGATCTTTCCGAAGTGGTCCAGACTCGCCTGTCTAAGCATTTATTATCTAGCATGAAGTCGAACAATCCTTTGATTCGTCAGGGAGCTTCTGACTCGTTCAAAGCTCTCCTCTCTCGATGCCAGACCGAATCTGTGATTTTGAAGATCACGAGTGAAATCGTCGGTCCTTTGAAAACCTCCAAGATCACAGCTCCAGAACACAGAGTTGCCTACGCGCAAGCTATCTCTGCAATTCCATCCTCGATAGACGCCTCGAAAGAGATTGTCCAGAGTTTTGGCCCCGTGTTCTCGCGGGAGTCTAACGAACCCGCCCTGGAAGAGGAGCTCAAAGCATTCGGCAAGCATCTTGCTTTCCTTGTTCAGTCTTCTGTCAAGGTCGTGGATGACGTTATTAATACTGTTGTTAAGGGTATCTCCGACAAGCGAATTCCGTTCCGAAGGATCTGGCAGCTTCATGTCGGAGAAATGCTTTGGAACTCCGATAACACAGCCCTCAAGAGCGCCGAGGTTCAGCCTCTTGTCACTAAATTCCTTGGCAAGATGAAGGACATGTTTGGAGAGGTCGCCTCTAACCCTCTCCCCTCAGCTCAAAGCGGCGCATTGTCATCCGCATATATTTTCTTGGCCTTGTTCGAGCGCGTTTCGGACATTGATGGCGCAGAGAAGTCTACCTGGGAAGAGAAAGTATCGCAATCTTTGACTATGGGTGCCAAGCCTTCTTTCCTGCTCAACTCCAAGGCCTACTCGAAGATTGGTTCCAAGGAAGAGATGCAGTGGTTGGTTAGGGCTCTGGCGGCCGTCACTTCTGGATCTAAGTTTACTGGTTCCGAAGTTTCAGCCAAGGATGCGTGGGCCCAGGCATTTATTTACGCCATCACTGGCCCTATTATGCCCACCAGCTTCCGTGACAATGCCGTGAAAGCACTATCTGGTGTCCACATGAAAGACATGGCATCCATCGGAGGCATCGTCATAAATGCTCTCTGGGCATGGATCAATGCTTTCCGTACTGCGGAGAAGGAGTCTGCTGCTGTCTCTGCTGGTCCCGCAAGCGAGCGTCTACTGCATCTTGTCTTGAAGGCCATTTGCCCCCTAGCTGCTACCAAAAATGGAGTCGAAGGTGCCTCTTCCAACCTTGAGACACAGCTTATCAAAATCCTGGTTCTCAGCAGGCCAGAGTTGATTCCAGGGGCCTCTTGGATCGATCTGTGCTTGAGAACTGGCACAGATCCCGGGAACCTAGTTCGCGCCCACCCCGTTGAGTGCATTGAACAACTGACTGGTGTTAATGCCGTAAGTGATATATTTATTCGAAGATGAATTATTCATTGTGAATACTAATCAAGTTGACAGGACCCCGTTCAATCGAGTGTGCCACAAGTCAACTCCGCCGTTTGGAGTGCCGCAGGTGACCTGGCCTTTGTGGCCCCTGAAGTCATGATCCCGCGCCTCGTTGATCAAATTCGAGCGGATTTGGATGGCTCCCGTCTTTCTAAATTTACTGCTACGGATGCAGCCATTGCCCGCACCCCCGAAGGCACTGCGTTCATCGACGTTCTCAGCAGCAAATCGAAGCAGCCTGCTTTTGACAAGAACACCAAAGACTATGACACTTTGAAGTGGGAGGAGGAGCTTCGGAAACAGCTGGCCGAGAAGAAGGGCGCGAAACCAAAAAAGCTCACAGCCGAAGAGCAATCTAAGGTCAAGGCTCAGCTTGCTAAGGAAGCAAAGATCCGTGAGGATGTTCTTCAGGAAGTCAAGCGGATTGAGCGCGGTGCTGGCATCATCCGTGGCCTTGCCACTGGACCCGCTAATGACGTCGAGGGATGGATTAACACAGCTGTCAGCTGCCTACTTTCCCTTGCTCGGGCTGGCGCTGGATTGTTTGTCGGTGACGTGGTATCTCAGGCATTCGTTGTCTGCTCTAATGAGCTTTCTTCGCGTTTGGGCACCCTTCGGCCGTTCGTGGGAATTTCCACTCTTCGCGCCATTGGCAACACCAACCTTCCCGCAGAGCGGCAATTGGAGCACCTCGGAGAGCTCGTGACAAGAATTCTTTACCGTTTGCGGTTTGCATCTGAACAGCGGCCACTTGATACCGCATCTCTAGCCTATGTTCTTCCAATGCTGCTCCTGATCTTGAGTCAGAATGGTATCGAAGAAGTAAAGGGTGATCAAGAAGGCGAGCAAGTTCTGCTTGCCATTGAACTGCTCTCCTTCCACTCCAACTCTTGTAAGTAGCATGGTGGCTTTACCGGTGGATATGATGCTAATAAACATATTTTAGTCTCCGATGTGCGATTGCCACGCAATGAAGTCCTCCAGCATCTTCTTGGCGCCATGCAAAAATACACGCAGCACTACAAGCTGATCAAGGATACGTTGTTCAATTTCTGCCGTTGCATCTCCCCCAGCATCACCAAACAGGAGCTCCAGACTCTTTTGGAGGGTAGTATTGTATCTGAAGCCTCTGTCCGGACATCTGTGCTTCAGGTCATTGAGGCTGAGATTGATCTGACTGATCTCGACTTCTCTGAGCATATTTGGTTAGAATGCCATGATAGCGTCGAAGAAAACGTCGAGATCGCGCAGACAATTTGGGAGGACAATGCCCTTGAAGTGGATGATGAGGCTTTCCCTCAGATTATCAAGTATTTGGACTCCAAGGACAGCCAACTGCGCGGTGCTGCCGCCCGTGCACTTTCTCAAGCGATTGAATCTGACATGGGTAAATTCCCCGGCATATTTTCTGAACTCCAGGCCAAGTATGCCGAAGATGTCAAGCCCAAGGCCCCTGAGAAGGATGCCTACGGAATGCCCAAGAAGATGGACAACCCGGATAACTGGGAGAGCCGTAGTGGTGTGGCCTTGGCTTTCAATGCCATGACCAATTTGTTTGACGGCGAGCAGGTTATCGATTTCCTGCGGTTCCTGATTGAACGTGGACCCTTGGTTGACAAGAACTCTGCCGTCCGCAGTCAAATGCAGGAGAGTGGAAAGTCCGTGATTGCTCAACGAGGCCAGCAGAAGGTTGAAGAGTTGATGAAGCTGCTTGAGACCGTATTGGAAACTTCAGACAAAGCAACACAAACCTCCGATCTGCTGAACGAAGCAGTTGTGGTTCTCTATGGATCCTTGGCAAGACACTTGAAGGCCGATGACCCTCGTCTACAAACTGTTTTGAAGAAGCTCCTTGCGACCCTGCCGACTCCCTCTGAAACTGTTCAGTCTGCTGTCTCGGAGTGTCTGCCACCACTGATCAGACTGTGTGGCCCCAAGGCCTCCGACTATGTCCAAGAGATGCTTGATCAACTTCTGAACACCAAGAACTACGCCACTCAGCGTGGTGCCGCGTATGGTCTTGGAGGTATTGTCGGTGGTAAGGGTATTTCCACTTTGCGAGAGTTCCGGGTCATGAGCTTGCTCAAAGAAGCTACCGAGAACAAGAGAGAGCCTCACCAGCGACAGGGTACTTTCCTGGCCTATGAGCTCTTGGCGATCATTCTTGGGCGCACCTTTGAGCCCTATGTCATTCACCTCGTTCCCCAGCTACTTGGAGGATTCGGAGACCCCAGCATTGATGTCCGCGATGCTTGTCTGGATGCTTCTAAGGCTTGCTTCCAGAACCTCAGCTCTTATGGTGTGAAGAAGATTCTTCCTACTTTGCTTGACGGTTTGGATGATACGCAGTGGCGCAGTCAAAAGGGAGCCTGTGAACTTCTTGGAGCCATGGCCTACCTGGACCCGCAGCAGCTTGCCGCCAGCTTGCCCGTTATCATTCCGCCTCTTACTATTGTTCTCAACGATACCCACAAAGAGGTCCGCAACGCTGCGAACCGCAGTCTTCAACGTTTCGGAGAAGTTATCAGTAACCCTGAAGTCAAGAGCTTGGTTGGTGTGCTTCTCAAGGCTCTGAGTGACCCTACCAAGTACACGGACGAGGCATTGGACTCTTTGATCAAGGTTTCCTTCGTGCACTACTTGGACGCGCCTTCGCTTGCTCTTGTTGTCCGTATCTTGGAGCGTGGCCTTAGCGATCGATCCAACACCAAGCGCAAGGCTGCCCAAATCATTGGCAGTTTGGCCCATCTTACTGAGCGCAAGGATCTTATTTCACACCTGCCAATCATTGTCGCTGGCCTCAACCTGGCCATTGTCGACCCCGTTCCTACCACTCGTGCCACCGCTTCGAAGGCTCTGGGTTCTCTTATCGAGAAGCTTGGAGAAGATGCTCTACCCGACCTCATCCCCAACCTCATGAATACACTCAAGTCAGACACCGGTGCGGGAGACAGACTGGGTTCTGCACAGGCACTCGCAGAGGTTCTCGCGGGTCTGGGTACCACGAGACTGGAGGAGACGCTGCCTACCATTCTCCAGAACGTGTCCAGCTCCAAGGCTGCTGTGCGCGAGGGCTTCATGACTCTCTTCATCTTCTTGCCCGCTTGCTTTGGTAACAGCTTCGCCAACTACCTTAGCAAAATCATTCCTCCCATTCTTGCTGGTTTGGCTGACGATATTGAGTCCATCCGTGAGACCTCTCTCCGGGCTGGTCGCCTGTTGGTCAAGAACTTCTCCACCAAGGCCATCGATCTTCTGCTTCCCGAGTTGGAGCGTGGTCTGGCGGACGATAGCTACCGCATTCGTCTCAGCTCCGTTGAGTTGGTTGGAGATCTTCTCTTCAGTCTTACCGGTATTACCGGAAAGGCCGAGGCTGATGAAGAGGAAGAAGAGGCCACTCAAGCTGGCCAGTCCCTTCTGGAGGTTCTTGGAGAAGAGCGCAGAGATAAGGTTCTTTCTGCCCTGTTCATCTGTCGCTGTGATACTTCAGGCTTGGTCAAGAGTGCTGCTATGGGTGTTTGGAAGGCCCTGGTTGCCTCTCCCAAGATCCTCAAGGAGATGGTGCCTACTCTTGCTCAGCTCATCATTCGCCGCCTCGGATCGTCGAACATGGAGCAGAAGGTCATTGCCAGCAACGCACTTGGTGATCTCATCAAGAAGGCTGGAGAATCAGTCCTGTCCACATTGCTACCACTGCTTGAGGAGGGTCTCCAGGCCTCGCCCGATGTCGATGTTAAGCAGGGTATCTGCATTGCTCTGCGCGAGCTTATCACCTCCGCCACCCCTGAGGGCCTGGAGGACTTTGAGAAGGTTCTTATCTCCACTGTTCGTGTCGCTCTCGTCGATAACGATGAAGACGTGCGTGAAGCAGCTGCCGAGGCATTTGACGCTTTGCAAGATATCATGGGCAAGAGAGCAGTCGACCAGGTTCTGCCATACCTTCTTCACTTGCTGAGAAACGACGAGGATGCCGAGCAGGCCCTGTCCGCGCTGTTGACCCTGCTCACCGAGCAAACCCGCGCGAACATCATCCTTCCCAACCTCATTCCCACCCTTCTTACTCCTCCAATCACCGCATTCAACGCCAGAGCCCTTGCATCTTTGGCCGAGGTTGCTGGTGGAGCCATGACAAGAAGACTACCCAACATCATCAACGGCCTCATGGATGGTATCATCCAGACCAAGGACGAAGACCTTCAATCAGAACTCCGCACTGCCCTCGATACAGTGTTGGTATCCGTGGATGAGTATGACGGCCTGAACGTAGCCATGAACGTGATGTTATCTCTTGTCAAGCATGACGATCAACATCGTCGGGCTGAGGCTGCTCTTCACCTTACCAGCTTCTTTGCTGAGGCTGATGTCGACTTCTCGAGATATTACCAAGATATCATTCGTGTCCTGTTGATCTCCTTTGATGATTCGGACAAGGACGTTGTCAAGGCGGCATGGACCGCTCTCAGTGGCCTCATGTCTCACATGCGCAAGGAGGAGATGGAAGTGTTGGCCATTCCTGCTCGTCAAATTCTGCGACAGGTCGGTGTGCCAGGTGCAGATCTTCCTGGATTCAGTCTGCCGAAGGGAATCATGGCTATTCTGCCGATCTTCTTGCAGGGTCTGCTCAACGGCAGCACCGATCAGCGTACTCAATCAGCGCTGGCTATTTCCGATATTATCGACCGTACCAATCCCAACTCTCTCAAGCCTTTCGTTACTCAAATCACTGGTCCTTTGATTCGTGTTGTATCGGAACGATCGACGGAAATTAAGTGTAAGTTTTTGATTGTCTGCCCTGCTAAATTGATAACATACTAACTTCCATTATCTAGGCGCCATTTTCTTCACTCTTAACAGGTTGCTCGAGAAGATTCCGCTTGCTGTCAAGCCTTTCCTGCCTCAGCTGCAGCGAACCTTTGCCCGTGGTTTGGCGGATACTTCTAGCGAGACCCTACGTGACCGTGCTGCCAAGGGTCTTGGTATTTTGATTACTTTGACCCCCAGGGTTGATCCGCTCATTGCTGGTATGTTATTCTATCTTTTGAACTCGCTAAATTGTATTCATACTTACTAACACACTCTCCAGAGCTCATCGCTGGATCCAAGACGTCTGATGAAGGTGTAAAGAACGCCATGATGAAGGCTCTCCAAGAGGTTGTCGGCAAGGCCGGTGCCAACATGAGCGACGCGTCCCGGTCATCTATTATTGCCCTCATTGATGACGAATCCAGTGATCAGACTGACAAGGTTGCCATTACCAATGCTAAGTTGCTGGGTGTCCTTGTCAAGGTTCTTCCGGAGGCTAGTGCGGTTACTATGATCAAGAACCGAATCCTCAACGGCCAGCTTTCACACTCGTCTGTTCTTGGCTTGAACTCCCTCCTGGTAGAGGCTCCTTCAATTCTGTTGGAACACTTCTCCCTGGAGACTCCTTCGGCCATTTGCCAGGGTATTGCGAGCAAAGATACATTTGTCTCTGATAACAGTGTCCTCGCCGCGGGTAAATTCCTGATGGCTGATGATGGCAACCACACCTTTGAGACACATAAGACCATCTTTGATGCTCTTACGCCCGTCATTGTTCCAGGTGGCCCATCGGATACCCGCCGCCTGGCGTTGGTGGTTATTCGAACCATCAGCCGCCTCCACCCCGAGATGACCCGTGCTCATCTGGCTCTACTGGCTCCGCCCGTTTTTGCCGGAGTTCGTGACATGGTCATCCCGGTGAAGCTGGCCGCTGAAGCTGCTTTCCTCTCCATCTTCTCCGTGGTGGATAGTGATACCGAAGTCTTTGACAAGTACATGGCTGGACCCGGCGCCTCTCTCCCGCCTGGACCCAAGCGCAGCATGTCTGACTACTTCAAGCGTGTTGCCATGCGTCTTGCCCTTCAAGCACGCGAGCGTCGCTTGGCCGAAGGAGGTGTCGGTGGACTGGGCCTGTCTAATGACGAGGTGGATGATGAGAAGGAAATGTGGAGTATTGGAAAGGTGGACCTGGGGCAGGATGCATTTGCTGATGACTAAATGTCAACTTTGCGGCTAGGGATTGAGTCCAGCATCCCAAGGATATGATCTATGCACATATGTATAGATATGGCCTTGGGCTCTTTTATTGTTTATCTATTTATGTTTGTTTGTTTCATGAGTACAAAAGCTGTTTTGACGATTTAATACCTGCCGAATTCCAATAAGAGCCTAGTAGACTTGTAAGAGATAAGATACACATAGGTTTTTCATCTGCAATATGGATTTGAATGGAGATCGCCAAGACTTGAAATGCAGGGATATTATGTTCAATGTTCATATTTGACTGCGGCTATCTATAGTTCACACCTGTGTATACTATCTTTGTAGATAGTGGGGCTGATCACTGACATCATGTGATTCTATCTCCACTTGTTAGGTCACGTGCTCTTATCTCAAGGCAAATCATTGACAGTCAGATCAAGTTCAAACAGTGAGAGTGAACTAGATGAACAGCAAGTTACCGAAATCTCTCACATATGCAAACAAAAATTAAATCTCCTCCGTTTGAAATAAATCATTTGACAGTGTCAACATTTTCCCCCGTCCAATCAAGGCTTCTCTCCCCACATTAACCTTGAAAGAATTGATTTTCTTTTTTCTGATTTTCGAGATCCGGATTACCTGATCGGGAATAGGGCTAAGGGTGCAGCCCTAATACCCTAGTGTGGCCGAAGCACTCGCTTACCAGAAATTAGCTAATCGGCCCGCCCAACTTCTCACTGCCTGGATTTCCCTGTCGAGTGCCCTACGAACATCATCCGCCAAACGACCGTCGATACGCCGACATCAAGATGTGAGTGCCATCAAATACACTTCCAACACGAGAACCCATGCCCTATTATTTGATTCCTCGGAACTCGCTGTGTCTCGCCCACTCGAGCATGGAAAAATGGATCGATACCGAATGAATGTGATTGTGTGGCAGAGGCTGACCTCGACTTTTTTTTCTCTCTCAATAGGGTCAACCTTCGCACCCAGAAGCGCCTCGCCGCCTCCGTGGTCGGCTGCGGTAAGCGCAAGATTTGGCTCGACCCCAATGAGATGAACGAGATCTCCAACGCCAACTCCCGCCAGACCATCCGCAAGCTCGTCAGCGATGGCCTCATCATCCGCAAGCCCGTCACCATGCACTCGCGCTCCCGCGCCCGTGAGCTCAACGAGGCCCGCCGCATCGGTCGTCACCGCGGTCTGGGTAAGCGCAAGGGTACCAAGGACGCCCGTATGCCCAGGTATGCAGGAACAACTCTTCCCATACAATTTTGAACCCCTCAGACGGAGGGGAGATAGATTGTATCCTAGGCAACAGCCATGCTGATCTTGTCTTTTTCTCTCTCTACAGCCAGGTCCTCTGGATGCGCCGCATGCGTGTTCTCCGTCGTCTCCTCGTCCGTTACCGTGCCGCCGGCAAGATCGACAAGCACCTTTACCACGAGCTGTACCACTTGAGCAAGGGTAACACCTTCAAGCACAAGCGCGCTCTTGTTGAGCACGTAAGTACCACCGGATGAACTTCCCACCTCTTGCCCTTTCCCCTCTGCACAATTTGGCAATCGACCTACGAAAACATGATATCCCACCCTCTTGCAAACATCTAGGAATATCCCAAACTGACCCATTATTTTCCTACCTATAGATCCAGAAGGCTAAGGCTGAGCGCCAACGCGAGCGTGTCCTCAAGGAGGAGATGGACGCCAAGCGTGCCAAGAACAAGGCTCTCCGCGAGCGTCGCGCAGAGCGCACCGAGGCCAAGCGCACCGCCCTCGAGGCCCAGGAGTAAATCCTCTAAAAATCCCATTCCGTTGTGTGACGTTTTTCTCTCTTTCGGCGATGGTGCGGAGGTTGAAAGCGGTTCCCTTGTGGGTTTGTTCCGGGATTCGGCCCCTGCAAAGTTATTTGTCCCCCCTCGAATTCTAGGTCGGCCCTACTTTTCGACTCTTCCTATGGTCGGACTCTTTTTTCAGTTGACACGCGGGGCTTTCTGGAAAGGGAATGTGGGGGCAATAGGAAGATGCGATGATGATGTGATACTCAAGCTTCTTGTTAATAACGAACGAGAAAGCAAAAGGAAACTACTTTTTCAAAACAAAAAAAAACTAAAAACTTCCCCCGTCGCGCTTGTTATGAAATGTGATCGTTTCCTTTACCCGTCGGTCCATCTTTTGATTGTAGATTCTACTATATTGCAGTTGCTGCTTACATGCTATACTCCTGATGTACTAGGTAAGCCTTGAGGTATGGACGAGGCCTCTTCATTGAGCCTCACTTGATATCTAATGGATTCGATGTCTTGACAGATCACATTTGCATACAAACTTCCAAGGTTCGTTTATCCAGGTACTAGTATATAGAAAATGCGGAGATTGCCTGGGCAGGTGGGTCTTGGATTCTTCTCTGCACATGTGTGCCTTTTTGACACTCCAGTGCTCAAGTGCTGACAGCTGGAACCAGATCCCGAGGTCCAGATGTGTGCTTGAGCATTCAATGTTGAAAATAAAATCCGGAGACGGATTCCACATGGGGGCAAGGATCTCAACATTGAATGGTCAACTGGTCTTCAATGTTGAGCCCTTAAGTTGGGAACCTTGGAAGTGCTGGAGCCTACATACATAGGTGTGCATCAATAGTCAATATTCAATGTTGAGGTTAAACATTGAAGGCAAGTTCAAATGCACGTGGATTTCTATATCAACTGGTAGATATCAATGCATGTGTAATCAATTGATACCTCATAGCCCTACATAAACTAAGGTATGTGCATAAAGCATTGATATATAAACATTTGTGGCCCGGATCTTCAATATTCAAGGGTATGCTTGTATCCATGAATCTGTGGACCAATGATTTGGACATGCCCACATGTGCAGATGGATATTCGGGTGTTATATAGTTTGTGGTAGGTGTGCATCAGTGTATATGTATCCGTGGATGGATATATATGTGGAGGCCCTAAACACAGGATATATTCAAGCCAGCTGCTTCTCCATCTCCACAAAACACATATCCTCCGGCAAATCCAAATGAGGAAATTTCTCCGTGGGAAAAGGCGACTCCTCACCAGTCTTTCGGTACCCTTGACGCAAGTACCAAGCAATCAGCTCTTGTCGCGTTGAAAGCGCATTCAACCCCAACGTAGTCACGCCCCACGTCTGTTGTGAGTATTCTTCCGCGTAAGCAAGAGCACGCCGACCAACCCCTGCCTGCTGGTAATTCTGGTTCACAGCAACCATCGAAAAGCGCGCACTATTATTCGGGCGCTTGACAGTATCCATCGAAGCCACGAGGATTTCTTGATCATTATCTTTGGTGAAAGCAAGGAGAATGACACTGTCGGGGTTGGTGATGACTGTTTTCACCTCCTCGACGGAGACTGTGAAGCTTTTTCCCAGCTCCATATCTGCGGTCCAATCTTTTCGGGAATCCTCTGCACGGAATGCAGATTGCACGAGTTGTTGAATGGATGGTGCATCGTTTAGTGTTGCGATGCGAAAGTGGAGATCGGCCATTGTGGGGTGAGGAAAGATGAATGATCACTGTGGGTTTTAGGATGTAGTGTTTGCTTTGGGCTTTCTTGACTGTAAGAAATCAATCGAGAAGAACCTTTCCGTCTTTTATAATCACTACTATACAGTCTTGCACTGGTTGATTGTTATAGAAAATGTAACCCAAGTCAGATGTAGTTGAAAGGGCGCGTCGGGCTGAAGAATAAGCGGGAATCGTACTATCTAAGCCGCAATCAAGGAAAATCGCGCAAAATGGCGTTTCCAACCCAACAGTGTACAATCAATGAACATGAGCGAACGTACTAGTAAATTATCAGATGCCTTAAATAAATTATGAGTGATTTAATGAAAATTCATCAGTCGTGATCATTCCCCTCATACAATTTCCACCCTTTAAGTCTGCTTTCTGATTGGCAAACCCTGCTCAATAATTGAAATATTCAACCTGGGATTGTTTTCAGTGGCAGGCAAACAAAAACTGTCTGAGAATCTTATGCTTACGAGTCACGAGTCCATCCACACCCAAGATTGCAAAACCAACTCAGCACCCGCTAGCTCTTATGCATCCTGAGGAGATTCTTTCTAACCTTGGACACCATCAGCAACCTCGGTCTCAGTAACATCCTTCGCCAGGGAACGAAACGTGGAAACCAGATACCAGAATCACGGCGAGGATGACGACAGATCACGGATCATGAAGTAGATAAAAATCTCATACGGGTAATCCTTCGGCGGCACTGGAAGAAATCCACAGTGAGCCTTGATACCCTTCTCCAGAATCTCAGCAAAGTTTTCACTGGTGAGGTCCTCCTCGTCAAATTGTGTAAAATTATGGAAGCAGCTCTCTTCACCAGGCATCCTGGGGGACCAGGTGATTTTGTGCCGATTGGGATCGAACCCTGGACACCGGGCCAGCTCCTCCAAAAGCAGATCGAAATCGAGAGTTTCAGCCTGAAGCCATTCATCCTCGCGGATGTCTTCAATCTGGCAGTTGTAAGTCATTATTTGGAAGGCTAGTTTAGGAACCCCCGGCCAGTAAAAAATCATGATGGACTCTTGGAGCCACTTGATCTTGTCGCGATCCCTGAGCTGGGGGGGGATTTGATGGAGACGCATCCTGATGCGTGATGCGGGATGGGTGGAGATGAAGGTCTGGGTTTTCTTGCTAGTTTTTCTTCAGTGATGTGAGGAAAAGAGGACCTGACGCGTTGAGAGTATCGAAGTGGTTTTCGTTTTGTTACCGGTTTTTTTTTTCGTGGCAGGTGCGTGATGAAAAGAAGGGAAATCTGCGGTTTAAAAAAACGCGTAGGAAGATTTGAGTCGTAGACAAGGTGAGTGAAATTGAACGAAAATTAAAGCTGAATATCACAGTATAAGCTATAGTATCTAGTCTAGTACTACCTACTAGGTAGGCACTAGGTACCCAAGTTTCTCTCTCCTCTTCTCTCTTTCCTTTTTAGTATATGTGTTTGCTTATTACTAGAACTTCTTTTATATCATTTTTCATACTCAAACTGTCATTCTATTATGTTTTCTCTCTTTTTCTCTCTTTTTCTCTCTTTTTATACCTTTTTATATCTGATTATCATTCACAACACAGAGTTTCTGCCAAGACAGAGCTTTGACCGGGATATGCAGCTGACCACGTCCAATCACAAGGATTAGGCTTACAGCCCCTCAGAAAACCGGACCACAGGATCGACGACATTTGGAACTGATCTCACCTACTAGTGAATTCTACCAAAAGGCCATCATGTCGCTCATGGACGATGATTGGGTTCAGTGTCTGTTAAATCCGCAAGTCAGCATGCCTCAATATGGGCTGACAATATCACAGGCCAGTCGGCAAATGCTTTGGCAAATGAAGTTCAAACATGGAGTACCTCTATGTCCAGGTCTCGAGTATCTACTGGGGATGGACTCGGTTTTAGTGAAAATGTGGACGCCGAGGCGATGACCAGCCTTGAAGTTCTACTCCGCACGGTACAGCAGCTGAAGCTCAAGAGATTTCGCGTCGAAGAATTTGGAGAAACTCAGTACATTGCGGCTGGGGAGACTTTCGTGGTCTCTAAATGCAACTATCAAGGATCTGTAATCGCCATAAAGCGCATTCGAATCGACGGAGAAAAGTCGAAGCGTCAACATTTTCTTCGCCGCTTACAATCCGTTTTACGGGAAGTTTTGATTATGTGTCATCCACCACTTTTACATCATCCAAATATTGTCAGCTTGTTGGGATATGGATGGTCTACGGTGGAGATGCAACTATCGCCCTTTCTTTCCCTGGAGTTTGCCACTGGTGGCTCATTGAGAGAGCATCTGAAAGGGCGTCCGCAGTCAATCAGGAGCAAATTAATACTCATGGGAGACTTAGCATCGGGACTCATGGCCCTGCACAGATGTGGAATTGTACACGGTGACCTGAAAGCTGACAACGTTGTGATATTTTCTTCATTGGATCGTCCCTCTCTGTCTCTGGCCAAACTGTCGGATTTCGGGCACTCCATCCTCGTGGGCTCAACACCGGAAAAGAAAGCACACTATCTTGGAACCGCACTGTGAGTTATCTTCTGTGTGGCTGGGAAGCCAGATTGCTAATTTTGCAGGTATAATGCGCCCGAGGTGGCTGTCCAGAAAGACCGGTCCATTCCGATCGAGCAACTTCATAAATGCGACATTTGGGCATTTGGCCTTTGTGTATGGGAGATACTCGCCGATGGGAATTCATACTTCCAACCTGATTGGCGAAATGACGTTGCATTTGAAAAGCCTCCCTCATACAACATCGCATCAATCTCTACAAGTTCGAAGCCTCATGAAGTCTCGGTCGGCGAAGACAATCAAAAATCTTTCGGTAATTTTGATTTTTCTAATTTGAAGAGGCTGTCAGTGCAGTTTTTGGAATCCTTGAAGATCCCAGGTATTGGTTTTGAAAAGGCGTTTCTAAGACCACTATTGAACGGTTCACTCGAGGTAGATCCCGCCAAACGAATATCGGATTTGAGTCGACTGCCAATTATTGGGTTTTGGAATAAAACCCCAGGGGAACATTCGCTCCAGTCAAAGCTTGCTACTTACACCTTATCTGGGGACATCCGATACTCCATCTTCAACAGAGATGGGGGCCCGTACATAATTTGGGAACAACAGCAGCAACTCTTGCAGGGTTTCGAAACCTTGGCGGAAAAGAAAGAGCCCATGAAGGATAACGGCTCAGCAGCATTCCAGACCATGCTGTGCTACGTGAATGCATTTGGAACATCCACGAACCTAGGAAAGGCTACGCGGTTTCTACACAAGACTCAAGAGTCAGGTCATTTGGTGGCTCGTATCCTAGGTTCTCGACTACTATCTGCATTCACCGAAGCGCCTTCTCTGTTATCGGGGGAATATGGAGACTGCCTGGCTTCAGGTTTTCGTCTTATTTCAAGCCAAAAGTCTCCTACAATTTGCCTGCACATCGGCAAAACCTCCACCGAATTCACGGATTACATTGCTCTGCGGACTGCTTTCATCGATGAAGAAGGTTTTGTCGAATTTGACCAAGATGACATTGCGACTGCCAATTTGGAACGAAACAATTCATCCGAGCGTCAAAATATTTTGGAGATTGCTATTCAGGAGGGTGACATTGATCTCGTTGATCTGTTATTGCGAAAACATGGCTTGAAGCTCAACGAAATGAAGACAAGGGAGTGCCTATTAGTACAGGCAGCCCGGAATGGCCACGGTCCCATCGTGAATCGGTTATTACAGGAAGATATTTCTATCTTTCGTGATGACTCAAGTTCGTGTCTCCTCCATTGGCTTTTTTGTTTGAACGACCCTAGTTTGCATCAATTGCAACAACAGCTTCAGAGCCCGAGTCGGAAGGATGATCTCAAGCGGGCACTAGACCATGCTATCACCCAGAAAGTTCCTATCCACCCGCAGTGGCCATTCCAGGTATATGGAACCCCACTTGCTACTGCGATAGCCTCGGGGAACATTTCTGTAGTGAAAGTATTATTGGCACTAAAGGCGGACCCAACAGCTTCTGCATTTTTGAGTATTGAGGGCGACGTGACTCTACCAGCATTGACACCTATCCATCTTGCTATATCCTACCATCTCCCAGAAGTCGTCAAGATTTTATGGTATGCTGCATTTGGAGAGAATGTCATCACTGCAAGCCAATTATCCCGCACCCACGCCTTGAGCCAATTCCCAATTGCATGTGCTTTGAGCTTCAGAAGCAATGCTGAACGATTTGCCATGCACATGAACAACCATAGACTGCGCATACGAGATATTATCCAACTGCTACCAATCGAAGCATTAATTCAGTCCTCCCCCGAGGGCAAAAATGCACTCACCCAAGCAATCGATCTGGAAGACGTTGACACGGTGAATCTAATTTTGGAATGTCATCCCGAGCTTGCTGCCAGAAAAATTACCCAGCCAGGGGCCAACAACATGTTCACGTATCCACTTCACTTTGCCGTGCAAATAGGTTCACTTCGTGAAACCGATGAGTCGATTCAGATATTGGAGTCCATCATCAAGCTCGATCCAACTGCTGTCAATAGGCTAGATAGCTCATCAGCCAAACCAATCCATGCAGCGGCCATGGGTACATCCACTCGAATTCTAAACCTACTTCTTGAGAATGGCAGCACATGTCACGACCTTGATGGTAGAGGGCGAACCCCCCTGTTCTTCTGTCGAAAGGCGACTATGACCAACAGTCTACTGCAAATTGGCGCCGATATCAACCATCGAGACCAGCAGGGGTTTACTCCTGCCCATGCAGCCCCAAGCGAGGGGACTGAAGAAGTCTTGGGTGCACTTATAGAATCTGGTGCCGATTTAAGTTTGACAAATAATAGCATTGGAACGCCCCTGCATTGCGCCGTCCGTGAAAAGTCTCTGTCAATGGTAGGAATGCTGTTAAAAGCAGGCGTCGACGTCAACGCGAAAAACACCTATGGTCGCACCGCACTCCTCGTCGCTACTAGTATGGACACGCGTCGCTCCGACTTGGTTTCCTTGTTGTTTGAAAACGGCGCGGATCCCTTCATAGAGGACAACAACGGCTTGTCGCCTTTCCATATGGCTCTTGCCTGGCCAAATACCAGTATTCTGAGCAAGTTCCAAACCTTGAGCTCGTTCAACACTCTGCAGTGGGAGAGGAAAATTGTCGCCTTGCATTTTGCTGCCGAACGTGCAGAGCCTGCGGCCCTAACCCTTTTTCTGCATAAAGCCTTTGGATCAGGACTCAGTACTGACAATCCTGTCTTCCTATATCATAAAGACGTTAGCATCGCCCTCCACAAGGCGATACTGGCTTGTCGTGCAGATCTGGTTGAAGCAATGCTGTCGTATGGTTTCCAAGTCAACAGCCTGGATTCCAATGGCAACACACCTCTCCTCATAGCTTGCCAACTTGGTCGGGACGGCTCTCCTTCCACCAATACATACGCTCGCACGCCGATTTGTGAAATGCTTCTTGCCCACGGTGCCAAAATCTACAAGACGGAAGGTCGAGATATGACGCCTTTTTTCATCGCACATGCCCACAAAGACTACCCGTTAATGACACTTCTACTTGAACATGCCCTCGAGCTAGGCAACCTTGACTCAGTCAAATTAAGAGCCCGCATGCTAGAGTCAATCAAAGACCTCGAAAAATCATCTCAGTATCCCGACGAGTCTCGAGCCCTGATTGGCGATGAAGTAATTGACCCTCAAGTCGTCCTGCAAGCAACAACAGAGGGAGAATGGGAATTCATCATGACATGCATCGGGGGACAATTTATCAGCAAGGAGGAGCTACGCCAGGTCTTTCGTCGAAGGAGATGGTCTTTCGGCGTGGATAGTCTGGACATGTTACGCTTCCATTCCGCCAGACGGGATCGGGAAATGGTACGCTATCTTCATGAGATGGCAGTTACTGGCAGACTCACCCTGCAAAGAACTTCAGAGATTGGACAACGAAATCTGCAGCTTGAGTTTGGGGGTTGGAGAGTAAGTTTAAATGAGACGCTGTGGCCAAAGAAGATAGATAAGCTGTATGGCGGAGAGAAAGAGGGCTCTCCGAAGCAGAGGGAGCGGAGCAAAAGGTTTATTCTGATGTTGAGAAATTATGGAGCAAGAGAATCAGAGAATTGGGACAAGGAGATGAAATGCGGCTGGAGTTCTGACGAGCTCTCTGATGACTCGGTATCCTCTGATGATGAGTCGGGCTCGGAGGAACCAGGGGATGGCTCAGGAATGCAAGAATCCGGCGGTGGTGTGGGTCAAGATGATGATGAACCGGCCGGCTACGATGTCAAGTTACCAGTGTCAAGCTCATGCTAAATTGGAAGGCTCGCTACTACAAACATTTGAAGCCGTAGAGTTGATGGCTGGTAAGATTCCGGTGCGTCGAATGAGACATAAGCGTATTGATGCATCAATATTAGCTAAGTACTAGCTTTGACAATCCACAGGCCATCCTGTGCTGAGCAAGACGAAGGGATACATGTAGTAAGTTTTCCAATGAGCAACGAGCCACTTGGGCAGCTCTAAGTGAATCTTTCCTTCTCCTGATACCAATCTTCGGCGACTTCTTTTAGTGTGCTACTCTCAAAGACCACATCTCTCTCGGTCGGTGGTACAGGATTACGCCCCATGAGGTAATGAAAATCCAAGAGTAGAGAATTGATCTCTTCGGTAGCTCGAGTATGGGGATCATATCGAACTCCAGAAATTCGAAAGTCGTTGGCGCAATCAACCACAAGTGTTTGTTCATTAAAAGCATAATGCACTTGTCGGTCGTCCACAATCGACGGCTGACGACTGGGATCACGCTTGAAGACATGAAAATTTATCTTCAGAGCGGGCTTATTGACATCAATCATGAGGACAATCCTATCTGGCGAACCGGGAGCTTCGATCCAGGTACGCGCAGAGCGTTCCAACCATGCCGTTGGATCCATTATACCGACTTCGAAGATGACGGTTCGTCTGAAATATCCCGGGGGGGTCCTACGCACAAAGGCCGCGTCTGGTTGCTTTTCCATGGGTCCAAAGTTCTCGGCGGAAATTCCCAAGCATAACGGCCGCTCGTTCCTTTCTAACAGTCTGTCTGACTGGTAGGTTACGTAGATGAGGCTCCAGATATTAAAAACTTGTATGATCGCGATTCTCACAATCAAGGACTCGGAATGACGGTAGTAATTGAGTCGGTAAGATTTGAGATAGCGTTCGTCGTCGGAGAGCTTCTGGAATTCAGCCTCGCTCACACCACAAAACTGGATGAATTGAGACAGGGGTGGCGAGTTGGTGGCTAGTTCCTGACTAAAGCGTGCACGTTGTTTCTCTAATGTTTTCCGGAGTGATCTGAATCCTGTATATGGAACTGGTTCAATGCTTGACAGGACCGGGTTATCAGATTCAAATGCAGACATGTTCAATAGTGTGGACATAGAGATTTGGCAGTTCAAACTTGGCAGGAAGTCGAAGTATTCGAATATTGGAATGTAATGACAGGTGATGACACAAGTCACTTTGACCGCAGCCAAATGTGGATGTGGATGTTCCCCGGTTAATTTCCAGGTTTCCAAGGCAAACATTGAAAGTGGAAACATCAATTGATTGGATTTTCTGCTTGTAAATGTACATGTAGATCGAATTAAATCCACGTAAATTCAAATATAATTATATGATTATAAAACAACAACCTCATTGAACATTCTTCAACTCGGCCATATCATAAACAGCCGCAGGAAGTTCAACTCCCGCCGGAGCTGTCAGAATTCCAAACTCACAAGTATATCCACAATCAGCCCGACTTTGTCCATAGAACCCTACAATCACCTCGCCATCACTCGGCTCCAGTGTGTGAACGGTTTCGTCGTTCTCACTTGCATCTTCACCGTCTTCCCCATTCTCATAGCCAAGGTTCAAGTACCCCCATTTGGCCCCATCACTCAAAGTCATACGAATACCCGACAAACTACCATTCCAGTCGTTGCCCTGATTCCGGACCTGAACTTTCGTGATAATTTCCCCAACAGGAAGCTCATGGCTTTCTGCCGCGTGTCCACCGAAGTTGTGCACTTGGCCGTAACGATTACGGACAGGTCCGCAGTTCTCGTGCCGCCCATCGGCATAGTAAACAACTGCGCCATCCATAGTACAGCCCACGCGCAGGTCGACGGACGTGGCGCGGTACAACTTGCCGTCAACTCCGCGGTGCTGGAGGAGCATGCCCCATTTGATGTATTCGCCTTCCTCGTTTCCTTCGGGGATGGTATGGCATCGCACGGATTGTTTTCGGATAACCAAGTCGCTGCCGGGAATCAGGATGTATGGCCTTTCTTTCAGCAATTTCCATGCGTCGGCAACTATTCGCTCCTTGCCGTTGCTTCCAAGGGCAGTGATCAATAATGGTTGGGCCCGGTCCAGGTTCTTGGCTGCGGTATTGATGTGAAGTGTTGTGCGCAGAGGCGTCGAGTCGGTATGCGCGAGAAGAACCTTGGGCTTCTTGCCATTCTCCATTTTGACTTGGGCGAGGCCAGCCGCACAAGAGATCTTGATCACGTCGCCATCTTTGGCTTCACTTTCTTTCTCAAGGTCAATGTCAATGTGCACGAGGGCTGTCTTGAAAGCGGTTGTCACGGGCACATCTCCCGGGAGGGCGAAGTGGGGAAGAAGCTTGAACCGGAGGACATCGCGTAGATCCCACTTTGCGTCGTTGACCATCTTACTGTTTGTCCTGTGCTCGATGAAATCCATAGCCCACGATTTGCTGTACCCTCTTGCCATGATGCCTGAGGTATGATCGGCACCAAATGCGTGGCCGACTTCATGGAGGAATGCGCCCTGGCCGACAAAGCAGGCACCGCGCATGGTGTCACATTCACCATTATCGTTACCAACAGTATCGCCCGTGAGCGTCATATCAGTCAAACAAGCAGGAACCTCCTCCAGGAAACGGGGCCAAGAGTAAGTCAAGTGACTACCAAAGACTCCTAGTGAAATACCCTCAGACTTATGGCAGCCCAGCGCAGCATGGCCCACAATCATAGATTTTTCCATGGAGTAGTGGGCATCTAAAATCATTCCCGCCACGACGGGACGACGGCTCGACTCGAAGGGGCCACCCGACTTGACCAAAGCTTCCTCAAAGTATGCATGCAGGGCATCCCGGTTCCGACCACGAGAATTCTGCTGCGCAACCTGGGCATCTCTGATCTCCGCGACCGACTTATCCGACCGGATGATATGAACCTTTGCGACGGTACCCAGAGAGCCCTGAGCTCCGGGTGTCGTTTGATGACCGGTCAGGAAAGATGTGTTGGAAAGCCACTCCTCTTCCAGACGGAAAGACCGCCTACCCATTCCCTTTTGGCGGAAGTCCTCGGCCGTAAGAGCCTGCCACATGTAAGCCGACATGCGGAACTTGGCAATCGCGGCATCGAGACCGCTGTGTGCAGTGGAAATGCCACCGTATTTGGCAGGTGGGCAATCGATAAGTAGAGGGGAGTCATTGGCGACGAGGATTGCCAGATGAAGCGGTGGAAGTTGCAGTAGAGGGATGTAGTTCACTGTGATTTCCAGAGAGTCTGAGATTCCTCCGGCATGGTGCAACTTGAAAGTAATCTTATTGCTTCCTGGCGCTAGCATGACCAATGCCTTCCATTTTCCCTTGTTCAGGGGCCAGTGGTGAGTTGGCTGTGTCTGGCTGAGTGCATCGCATGATGAAACGGAGACGAAGTTGGTTTCTTCGGCGTAGTCAAAGGCATGGCATGTACCATCCACCACGACGCAAGTTTGGTGTACGACTTCGCCTTCCTTCAGATTGACGATCTGAAAATGTCTCTTCTCGACGGGAACCGGTTGGACCCTACGTTTTGGTGGGGTCGTGCTAGATTCTTCGAGTGTTCGTTTCGCCATGATCAAAATTGATTGTTTTTCAAGATATTTCAAAGGAGTTGATAATTATTGATTTTAATAGGAAATTTCATAGCTTATATAGCTACAAAGCGATGAAGAGAAGCAGAACATTCTAAGTTAATTTTGATGTGAGATTCTAGGCAACGACAAGCATTTTCAGGCAGGGGTTTTGGTGGCGTCTCTCGGCTGCCGTAAATAGCTTAGTTGAGGTCGCTTCTGCCTATACAAAGCTTTTTCCGCCACTGCTTATTTACCCCTAAACGACCCCTAATTCGCCCCGTAATTTCCAAATTTTCTCAAAATGTGGGGCGACCGTCCAATGCGAATGATTGGAAACGAAGATTGCCATTTTTTTGGTCTTTTTGGCCGACGCGAACAGCCAATAGAGAATGGGAGATCTGACAGGAGCAAGATGTCATTGTTCAAGGGTCTAGAAGCAGATCCACATGGCGCGGTAGGTCAACTTCCAAGAGATCCTAAGCCTAAAATACATTTATGCATGCAAAATCCATGGATGGATGAGGTATGTCCCTATCACCAATCAGGATCTCCTCTTTTACCATGTACCAACGGAAGGTGTCGTGTAACTTCCAGTCACGGAGCTTCCTTGGCATTGCGAAGGAACCTGATTCGCACTAGAGGCGCCCCAGGAACTCGGCACAGTGCCAGCGCGACGATCTTCAGCAGTTAGGAACGCAGCATAGGACCAAGTCAGATCTCCAGCAGAGGTCGGGGTGCCATTGTCTCGGGTGAACTGTTCAGCCAAAGATCCATTGCTAGGCGTGTACTCCTGTACGATGGAGAAAAATCCATCTGCGTATGTCTGTACAGCCCCCGTGAGGGAAGAGTAAGTAGACGAAGAGCTGGAATAATTTCCAGTGGCAGCAGAAGAGACGAGAGCCTGGAAGAAGGGCAGGCTGGTCTGGGTGACAACCAAGGATCCTTGCTTGTTCCACTGGTAGAGAGCATCATATAGTTGCTCAGCTGCGGCCAGAGTGGCTAAATACCAAGGATTGCCGCCCTGGTAAGTGTCCTCCGGGTAGCGTCCAACGGCGACCGCACTTCCGGCAGATTTACCGCTGTTGATGGTATAGATTGATCGGAAAGAGTCAACGACCAATTTATGGTTTGACAAGGCGCGCGCGGAACAAGGCTGGAAAGTCGTGTCGTCGCATGCGGCTTCAGGGTCGAACGCTTGAATAGAACTGATTACCGAGTTCGCATCCAGACCCGAACGTCCGTCGTTTGCCAGGTTCGCGATCACCGAGGTGCCGTTCCAGAAATCTTGCAGGTGGCAGAGAACCTGAGGGGCTTGGGAGTCACATCCGGTGCATGATTGACCCAGAGACTGGGCAAATGCACTGCCTTCCACCAATGCGCGGTGCTGGGCAGCGACCGTGAAGAAGGAAGAGCCTTCGATTTCCTCCCAAAGATCAAATCCGGTTTGATTCCAGTACTGTGCGACGTAATTCAGATCGTTCTGCACGATGGGCCAGATGTTCGACGTGACGACGGACTCTTTCCCAGCCGAGATGAGGTGGTTACCATACGCAATAAGAGCAGTCGCTCGCAGAGCTGGTCCATCGCGCTGGGGGCGACCCCAGTTCCCAGTGAATGCCGTAATGTTGACTTCAAACTTAGGTTCGCCAAGTCCTGCACCATCGGACAGATCACCCGATGGATTGGAGACAGTCTGCAATTGGGCTTGAGCCGAGATGTACTGCTGGATGGTAGATTCCAAAGAGCTGTCTCCTGCGATAAACCTGTCGATGAGGACCTTCAAGGTCAGTGCTGCATCCCGGGTCCAGGTGTAAAAGTCTAGCTATCATTAGCTCTCCGTAGAGTCTTTTGTTTGCTTTCTTTGGGGTAACTCACAATTCGGGTTCACTTTGGAAGGCGATGCCACCACAATCCCCGATGAGGCGCCCGCAACCTTCGACCCGTTGGCACCAATGTTGCTAAGAACACCTTGCTGGGCGATAGACCCTTCAGATTGGATGTAGCTACTCAAGTCAGATTGGCGGCGTACATGGGGCAGTGCTGATGAGATGGCGCCTGGCGCCAACAGTGCAAGCGCCAAGAAATTGTATGTCAACATGATGAGTATCTTAAGGCATACAAAAAAACATTGAATAGGTCGATTTGGTGGGTCCAATACTCCCTTATATGCCTTCAAATATCCAGAATCGGGACTATTATGTCCTTGCAGCCCACGGCGTGCGCCACAGGGGAGAGTGTCGATCCAAAGTTTTGATTGGTCCGTGTCCTGACGATCATTCTAAGTTGTGATGTAACCAGAAAATTGCTTCACCACTTAAATCCCCAGAAAGCGGACAATGGGGAAATTGAGGGGAAATTGAAGGGAGCTTAATTATCCAATGTGAGTTTCTGAAGCACAATTAGCGAATAAGAAGGACGGTTCTTGCCAGGAAATGTCTCAGCGAATACGCTGTTACATTCGGGGAATCCTCAGGATCGGCATGGTCGATCCCGGACCGAGAAGTCCTAGTCCGATAAATGGCCGATGCTTCGGCTTGCATGTGCGTGCAGCAATAACAAGGATGCACATGTGTTTGAACTTGGGCGTTATTTCTGGGAAACATCTCACTGTGGAGAAGATCACTCAGTATGTATTCTTCTTGGTTTTCCATCGACTTTGAAACTTTATTAAATTACATACCCACTCAGTATTTGTTATGGGTAGTGCCACTGAAATTAGGAATGAAATGTTCTTGAGCACGACTCAAATCTGATAGCAAATTGGCTGGTTTAGAGCTAGCGGATATGGAATGCCACTTTCCTTCCTGAGAGATTTCACTTGCTGCATCTTGGGTCAAGTCTCTTTTGGCCAGAATGAACCTTGTTAGAGCTATGAACTTCATTCCAAATTATTCATTTGGCTCATATGTTTCACCCATGACTCTATATCAAAGTTTGAGACTGTGATATCTTCAAACATCACAGTACTATCAAGCTGGCTTGTGTCGATGATAGGCATAGTGCCTGACTCAGGGAGATTGGCAAAATCCCATGAGAAAAGGTCAGATGGGTTTTCAATCTGGGTCTGGGCGGTATTGATGCTGTTCGCTAATGGGTTGGGTTGATGAGCGGTGTTTTGTAGAGCGTATATCTGGGGGTGTGATAGAGATTGCATCTTAAGGTGGCAGTGTTTCAATATCTGCAAGCCCGCCCTGGCCAATGAAATTCTTTCTTGGGCCGACTCGAGACGACGTGTGGCTTTCTCAACTGCATGGTGAATGCGATGCAATATACCAGGATCCGAGGGAGGATGTTCAAGGATGGTGACGGATAGGAAGATCGCTGCATCAACGGTGTAGACAGACAGCGCGTAGATACTATAATATCGTGTAGACATCAGGTCAAAGAGGCGTTCTTGGGCATCCAATGTCGAGATTGCTGCCTCGATTGCAGCACTGAGGCTTGCCACGTGTGTTTTCGCATGTGGCCTGTGAAGGGCCATGAGGAAGGAGTTTGCGGCAGTGGATATTTGCTGGCGTTGTTTTGGAATGTGGGGATGGCTTAAATCCCAGAATGTATCCGGGTTCACCAGTCTGTGCACCGGTGGCAAGTTGCTCAATAAATATAGGACACGATCGTGAAGAGTCTTGACTAAGCTGTAGTCTTCAAGATAGCGCTTGTGGATACCTAGCGACATGGCTTCGTGTATCTGCTGGCAAATGGCGTACTGAAAGAGATGAGGTGTGAAAGAGGACGGAGGCTCGTGTGGAAACAGAGCCGTTGGTACCGTTTTTGCCGGATCTACCGGTATGTCCCGATCCAACGGTGTTGTGATTGTACAGTCGCTGGTATTGATTGCTCGGGGTCGACCTAGGCTGAATGCCATGTGACTGTCTTAATTAGCACCAGATGCACATTTCTGTGAAAAACGCAACATGGCTAGGAGAGCCTAACCTGTCCCAGGAGAATAATTTGATCCATAGCCTTCGCTTATACTCATCATACCAGAGCTGACTGAGTGTTTCTTCCAGGGCATCTGGTGATTTTTGGAAAACTTTCGACTGTTGATGTAGTCCTAAATCTTGGGCCATCCTAATCAAAATTTGTTAGATAATCATATCTGAACCTCGAAAAAAAAGAACCCTACCTTATTGCACTACCTAAGGCGTGCCAAGCTTCTCTTCCCCGACTCGAGTTTTTCAGCCATAGTGCCCTCATCAATTCAGTTTGCACAGTGGATATCGTTGGGCTATCACGACTCACGATGCCTATAATTTGCATACCCACTGTAGACAAATCACTGGAGAGACGGTCGCGTCTGGCAAACCCATCTACCCCTAAATCATGAGCGTGTGGCATATCTGGTGAAGTGAACTGCAAAGCAACGGCAAGAACTTGAAACAGAAGCGCTGGAAAGTGGAGGTTGTCGTGTGACAATTTATCAAATCGTCCATTTGTCATGGGATCGTCATTGAAAGCACACCAAGAAATGTACAGTCTGTCAAAATAGTACTGCTCCAGAAGACCAAAGTACCAGTTGACCTCCCTAAAGTAAAAGTCAATGAGTTCTCGCATGACCGGTCGTGGTGGGAACTTTGCGCAAAGGTCAGAGAATTGTGAGAATGTGGATGCAGACAGAGATGGCGCGCATGTCGAGTTTAAAGCCTGTATCATTATATCATCTCCAATCGTCTAGTTTGGTCCCCGTCAGCTGCGAAATCAAATCAAAAGAAGAGCTCAAGTGCTGCACACTAACTCCATACAGCGCTGACAATGTATTCCCCTCACTAGTACGAGAATATCCGATTTGGTCTTGAAATGGTCGGTCCAACGGTGGCGTTTGGCCTAGACCGTCATCTGTTGTTAATGGTGGGCTTTGCAACGATCGCGGCTCAACTTCGGGTGTCGACCCTTCATCAGAGCTACTACATCTCGTACAACAATGTTAGTACTATTCGGGCGATATGTAACCTTGAAAGAGAAACGCGTGAAACATTTGAATGCTTCCAAGGTTAGTGAGAACTCCTTACATTCCCGAATGATCATAAATGCATCTTCCTGGAACCTTTCTAGCAACACACATATTGCATGGCTTATCGCGATCGCACTGTTAATGAGTTAGCAATCTGAATTATCAATCGATATTTTCTCGAGTATCCAATTCAAGTATTGCGGCGGGGGGCACCTTTTGCTTCCTGCGGCGACATTCTGTGCACGCCGTCACAGGGCGTTTCCGACCGATGATAGATCGAGACTGCATATCTATAAGCAGATATAATACACAGCTCTTTTCCACGGAAAGAACAGAGAGTTTTAAGAGATAATGGATGCCAATGGATTTTTGGAAGTTGGCGAAGTCAACTTTGATTAGTCATTCGCTAAGCTTCCTGCGAAACCAACGGAAAACGAAGGCCGCTGCAGCTCTACATTATCATGTAATGGAGGTTTACCGAAACATTTGAATAATACGTTTTATTTGCCCTGATATAATATACTAATATGTAAATATCGCTTGCAAATACGGCCATCGACATGACTGATAGCAACATTTTCCAAGTTTGGAAGCTATGAAGACATGCAAAGCTCCAGATGTCATGAGCGAGACGGACAATCATTCATCTTGTCTGAAATGCGGATTTGACAATGAAGAGCATACAGCAAATAAATGCTGAAAAAAACATAAACTCCCAGTGAGACCAAATCTCCACCGATTGATTTTCCACCGGTACAGAAAATTCCATCCCGTAGATAATATCCGAACAGCATCGCTCTGCCACTTGATCGAGGTACGAAGGTTCAAATTGGTCACTTTTCCTCCAAGGTATCTCTTTACCCGCATCAGAGCAAAGAGTGAGAATGACATTTTCAAATTCAGAGGCATAGCCATCGAATATCGTATTGTAATCATGTTCCTTCAAATTGATCAGATCGAGGGGGCAGCTCGATAGTGAAGAGTCTGAAGACATGGCTGAACACAGCAAATGGTTGGTACGGATCGTTCTTTGCAGCAATAAAATGTATCTGCCTGGGAAATTGTATATTCTGGGGCTTTTTAACAGATACCGCCCTCAAGTGTAGCAGGTCCTGCAAATGGTTCGGCGAGGTAGAGGAGACTTAAAAGCCCGGTGGGGCAAACGGTAGGTGATACTGGACGTTCTTGTCTATTTCCCACAATGGTTGAGTCAATATTGAGATAAGGTAGACTAGCATTATTGAATATGTTGTGACTTGATGATTATTTAAGTGGCAAGTGTTTGAAGACTATGGCAGCCAAGAACGGGCCAAGAACTGGCCAAGGAATTGCGTCGGCCGATGAGAATTGTACAAGGCATACCTACTCAGTATACAGGAATTTAAACCAAGACTGGGGCTTAGTCGTGGGGTCATCTCGACTGCATCGGCCGAAATTCGATTATTCATGTCTGGGCAGAATAATGATGCCCGAAGAATAGGCAGCAATCTATCTGCTGGGCCATTTTACTTGAGAATTGAGGGTCATCATTCAGGAGCTAATCCCTTTGAAGGTCAGGTTATCACTGGGCAAGAGATTCTCTACTAGTTTTCTAGTTATTGGTGAGAGAAATTTAGAAGATTCAAGGTCAGTGTGGACTTCGGATATCATCTGAAAGATGAGGAGCGTTCTGATTTTCATTCTATAGAAAAACAGTCTTTATTTACTACTAGACACACCAATCCACTTGGAGCCCACATCTAAAACAACAAGATCCGCATGCCTCATCGAGGTATCGATAAAATTGAGCAGTACTGCAAGTAGCTCAGTGCCAATAAATGAGCTCTTTGCCCCGAACAACTCTCCAGCCCTCATTGATTGCTTCAACAACCTCTTCGGGGAGTGGACCATCCTTGAGAGCCTCCAGATTCTGCTCCAGGTGCTTTAGGTTGCTAGCGCCAATGATGATACCATCGCCAATCTCGCCCTTCAACACAGAATGGTGAGAAAGCCAGCGAAGGGCACACTCTGTCTCGCTAAGGCCATGCTTGGCTACAATGGGTCGAAGAATCTCCAAAGCATCAAAGAACCCCTTATTAAAGTAACGACCTTGACTCAGTTGACCCTGCATACGCTTGGGATCAAAGCGGGAACCCTCTTCGAACTCGGTCATATCGCGCGTATAACGGCTCGTCAGAAGTCCACCAGCAAGTGGGTTGAAGCAATAGAAAGAGATACCATAGTGGCGCAGGCATGGGAACAGCTCGTTCTCCACCACACGGTGTAGCGCATTGTACAACCCCTGGTAGATTGAGGGTTTGACCCATCCGTTTTGTGTGCAGAGCTCACAGATCCGTGCCACTTCCCATGACTGGTAGTTGCTGATTCCGTATCGCTCAAATAGACCCTCTTTGTGGAGCTTGTTCACTTCGCGGAGGGTGTCTTCAAAGGGGACTGTTCGATCGGGGCCGTGGAGATACCAAGTCGTGAGCTTGTTGGTGTTCAGCGCCTTCAGGCTGCGGAGTAGACCCTTTCGAAGATCTTCAGGGGAGTGGTGGTAGTGCTCAGCAGACAACGCAGGCCGGATAGCGGTTGGGTAGAGCTTTGTATCAAGTTTGATCCCGCGGCTTGGGCAGTCCAGAGCCCCGAGGTACTCCTCCGATGAACCTTCGCCGTAAACACGAGCTGTGTCGATGGTGTCGTGCCCGTACTTTTGGAATGTGTCGAGCATAGTCTTTGTCTCTTCTAGGGTATGAACGCGAGTCATTTCCACACCTGTAACCCGCATTTAGTATGCATGTCAAAAGAAGTCTGAGTTGTTGTCATATAGCGCACCTGGTTTTCCGATGGTCATGGCTCCCAGGATCACCTTAACACCGACATCACTATTCTTGGTGATTTCAGCCATGATTGTGGTGGGTTTCGTTTTGATTGTGGAAATTGACAGGTAATAGGACAGGGATGTCTATTGTGGCAATAGGAGAAGAGAAATAGCGCGGGAGAGGATTGTTAATGTATGGGGGAGGTTCTTTGTAACTCCTCTCCGAATCGGAGTTTACATGGCTTTAAATCTAAGCTCCGCAGAATTTCGGCCGATCGGACTCTGAAGATCATTGAATCCTCAAACCTTTGAATGACATTCGAATCTTTGCTCTGCGGAGAATCAAGATCAGCGAGTATGAGTAGCCAATAGGCGTCGTTCGGCCGAAGATCCACAGTGTTGTGGGTCCCGAAGCCTAAAATCATCGGGATTTCGGATGATCGGATTGAATATTCGCTACATAATGCGTATAATTGGAAAATAAAGATATGCTAGAGTAGATCCCCTCTTGTACATAAATACGATATCATTTCACGTTTTCAAAAGCAGAGATATCAAAGTTTTATTTTTCAAAGACAAATTCAGTTATATCAGCATAAACATGAAGGTTCTTGTGACTGGTAAGAACTTCCAATTACGCTTTCTTCACACAAAGTTGGCTAATCGATTAACAAGGTGGTTCCGGCTTCATTGCCGCTCATTGCTTGGAGGTAACTTACCCAAATTTCCCGAATATGGAAGCGATTTCTGGGGGAAAGACTAACATAATCGCAGGCTCTACTGGCCAAAAACCATACCGTGACGACAACAGTGCGGAGTGCAGAGAAGGGAGAAAAAATCCTCGCAGCTTGCTCCAAGTTTCCCAAAGCCCAGCTTTCCTATGTGATCGTTCCCGAAATCGCGCAGGAGGGTGCATTCGACCAAGTCGTCATTTCCGAACCTCCATTCGATGCCGTCATCCACACGGCAAGCCCTTTCCACTTCGGCTTCCAGGACCCGAAGGAGCTGCTCGACCCTGCCATTCAAGGAACGCGGGGCATCTTGGATGCAATTCACCGCAACGCGCCGACCGTGAAACGGGTGGTCATCACCTCTTCCTTTGCTGCCATCGTTCAGACCGACGGGCACCCCGCCGTGTACGATGAGAGCCAGTGGAACCTGGTGACCTATGAGGAAGGAGTCGCGGATCGCGCTAAGACCTACCGCGCGAGCAAAACTCTCGCTGAGCGAGCTGCGTGGTCCTTTATGGAGGAGAAGAAGCCCGGGTTCTCTCTCTCCACCATCTGTCCGCCATGGGTGTTTGGGCCGATGATCCACTATCCTGACTCGCCGGCGTCGATCAACACATCCAATGGTTACTTCATGTCCTTGACGCTTGGAGGATGGAAGGAGAAATTACCTCCGACCGGTACTTGGCTCTGGGTTGATGTGCGCGACGTGGCTCTCGCACATGTTAAGGCTATGGAGGTTCCTGAGGCTGGTGGCAAACGCTTCCTCACGACTGCGGGCCACTTTGACATGAAGGATGTTGCGGAAATTGTCAGGGACAACTTCCCCGCGTACGCCGATAAACTCCCAGCCGAGTTGAAGTCAGACAGACCGGATATCCTTTATGGGTATGACAACAGTCTATCCAAGACAGTGCTTCAGCTGGATTATTTGCCACTCAAGACGACAATCACAGACGTGTTCAATGTCTTGGCAGCAAATAGTGCTTGATCCAGGCAAACCAAGATTGTCTGGATGTCATATACAAACATAAGCGAATTGAAGAATATATACAAGATTAAATAAACACTTTACACCCACACTTTCAATGGAATGCTGGTGGTTTCTTTCCCTTGAGCACTTGAGTTTATCATCTCCTTGAGTCTTGACCACTTCTTGACCACGAAGCAGATCATTCGCCTGGTCGCAAACGCGCTCCACATGCCGCAACTCCGCTTTGCAAGTCCCTGGAACAGTAGATTTGGAAACTAAAAAGACAAAAAAAAAATCTCTCCCTCGGGGAATCGAACCCCGGTCTCCCGCGCTTATCGGTGTTAATGACAAGCGGAAATCATGACCACTAGACCAAGGAAGATGTGATAGCTGAGTTTCCGCTCGGCCACTTGGATGGTTGATGATTGTTTTTCTATCTTTGGTTATATAACTTGTTGCAAAACTGATAATACATGCATCATCAAGGAAAACCGCTTAGGGTGATGCCAGGCTTGATTTTAATACACAAAAGAAAAGTGTGGTTTCATTCATACAAGAATGTTATCAAGCTTGCGAAAGAAAAACGGTTTCTACCTATTATCAATCATGTGTCAACACATGTCAACTCACTGGAAGAAAACTTTGAACAACATGGAAGCTACTATGTACTATATAATATATATTCAAAATGTGTGCATTTCCATCCACGGACATCCAGATGTCTGAACCCACCTCCCCCTGGAGGCACATACACATTGATTGATGTCATAGTTGGAATAATCGGCGCTTCAAATTGATCAATTGATGTTTGTTTGGACAAGCTTAAAGTTTGTTTACATTCTTCCCCATCAATATACCTACGGTACTGGGTACCGACAACTTGGAACCTGAGGTTACATGCATTGGCCCCTGAACATTTACTGGCTGCGCATGGCGAATTTGCGACCCGCGCTTCCAGATGTCTGGATCAAATGTGCAGGGGAGCGCTGTTGCCACCTGTCAGGTCGATCGTGGGCGCAGGATGGATAGCTGCTGGGGAGAAACGGGCGCTCTTCGACCAAGAGGCAGCTTGCTGTGGTACTCCGGGTGGGGAGAAAGAACTGCATGTGCTCCTCCAGACCGTTGCGCGAATTCAATGTTTGACCCGGTCTACGTGCTAGTACTACCAGTTGACCTGATGTCCAGACCTCCATTTATGATGCTCTACCCAGGAAGTAACATTCAAATGCACATTTGAATTCATAAATTCAAAATCAGAATATTGTTTATTAAATTTGTGGAAATTATAAATAGCTATACATATCAAACATTGAACATGGGTCAAATCAGAATAAAGAGGTGATAGGAAGGTTTTCCAAAAATACAAGGGATGATCCCGGACAGGAAAACAAGCAATCTTGGAAGAACCCCCTAGTCGAAGAATGTCGATTAGGAGCACTTGGCGGTCTTTGTCGCGGTCACAGTGCTGGTCGAGGTGGTGCTCACAACCTTGGTGGAAGTAGAAGTAGCACGCTCTGTGATAGTGACCGAGGGAGTGTTTGTCACAGTGGATGTCTTGATCACAGTGCTTGTAGACGCAGGGAGAGTGGTGGTGCTCTTGACAGTGGTCGTCTTTGTCACAGTTGTGGTGGAGGCAGGGATAGACAGGGTGCTCTTGACGGTGGTTGTCTTGAGACTGGTAGTTGTAACAGTTGCTCCAGGAGCAGTCACTGTTGACGCCTTCTCCACTACGGATGTGATGGTGCTAGTGACTGTGGAGGCCTTCAAGGTGGTGGTCTTACCGACCGAGGTTGTCTCCATAGTAGTGATTATGGAGGTAACAGCCGGAATGGTAGTGCTCTTCACCTTGGTAGCAATGGAAGTAACAGTCTCTGTAACAGTAGAGGCATCAAGTGATGTGGTCTTCGTGGCGACTGAAGTAACGTAGTCTGTTGCCGCGGCCAGTGTTGTGGTCAATGTCTTGGTCACGACATCGACATCCGTGGTGTAAGCAGTCACAATAACATCGCGAGGCAGGATATCACGCTTCATCTTCTTTGTGGCAGCATCGCAGCTGACTGTTGTGGTCACTGTCTTGGTGGTAGTCTTAGTCGACGTCGAAGTGACAGTGGAAGTTGTTGCCTTGGTGCTGATGGTCGTTGTGCCTCCACTGCCGACAGTCAAATAGGTAGTCGATGTTGTCGTTCCAGCCTTGGAGCTTGTTGTCTTCACACTGGTAATTGTTGCAGTATCAGTGATGGTCGAAGTGGATGCCTTAGCAGTGATAGTTGATGTCGCGGTCACGGTGCTCTTTACAGTTGTCGTGGTGGCCTTCGCAGTGACAGTAACAGTATCCGTAGTTGTAGACTTGGCAGTGGTAGTGACTGTCTTTGCGTCGGGTGTAACTGTCGACTCAACATCGACTGTCATAATTGAGGTCTTGGTTGATGTTGTCGTCGGCTCGGTCACAACCTCCGTAGTGGTGATAGTTGACTTGGCAGTTGTGGTCTTGGAAACAACAGCAGGAGTAATTGTCTCAGTAACGGTGGACTTGACAGTCGATGTCTTGTCAGTCGGTGTGACCGTAGCCACAATATCCGAAGTAGCCGTAGTCAAAACATCAACAATGGTAGTGAGAGTCTCTGTAGAAACAGAGCTGGAGACCAAAGAAGAAGAGGTGGATGTAGCAACAGCGGATGTTGTGGTGGATGTGGTAGCGGTATCCGGAACAAATGGTGTGCCATCAACGTGAGTAAAATCAATCCAGGAGGTTGTGGCAAAGAAGTTGTCCAGCTCGAATTGAGCGACACCGGTATCATTGAGCTGTGTGGCGAATGAAGCACGACCCGAGGTGCTTGAACCAGGGCCGATATTTCCATATTCAGCAAAAGTGACATCGGCCGTCTGTGGGCTGGACGACGACCATTCTTGCCAACCAGCAGACTCCACACACGAGTCAAGATAAGAGTCAATGTAAGCGACGCGAGCGTAGGTGTTCCAGGGTCTTCCGAGCGAGATCTTTGACATTGTTCCCGCACCAGTCGAAGGAATAATGGTACATTGATCAAAGACGAAACCTCCGGCGGTAGTGTCAGTTGCACGCTTGTCTGCAGTCAGGTTGATATCATCCTCATTGGGCGAGATTGTTGTGTTGAGGAAGTATGCGGCTCCGCTTCCCCAGATCATGTCGATATTTCCCTCAACATATCCGTTTGACATCCACAGATATCCATTAATCAACAGAGCATCCTGGTTACCGGTAACTTGGCAGCCTATTCCTCTGAGTTAGTCCTGCCCAGCACGAGAAACAGATAGATTGTATATCTCACCATAAAGGCTAGCATATTTGCTTGACTTGACGGCAAAGCCCAAGGTTGCAATGTCTTTCTCTGTACCATTATTGTTGACAAAGTTGATGTTGATAGCCTAATGATATTATTAGCACACTTTCTGTCATAGAAGGGGGTGTTCAGGCATCACAAACCTCGAAGTAGTTGCCAGTGGCATAAACAGTTGCACTGTCCGAGTTAGACTCATCTTCTTGGGTATCCACACCTCTGTTGTATTGGATGGTGACCTGGTTGCTGGAATAATCATATGTAGATTCAGAGTAGCCAACCAAAATGATGGTTCCAGACTTGCTGATAGTAAGCTGTTCCTCGTATGTTCCAGGGTAAATGAAAATGGTAGGAGTAACCTTCGATGAAGTGGGAACAGCATCAAGGGCGCTTTGAATGGTATCATATGTGGTCGTGTTACCAATGCTGGTCTTTGAGACAATGTAAGCTCCACTTGGTGGGGTTGTTCCATCGTATGCCGCAGTGGCCGTTGCAGTAGCAGAAGATGTAGCAGTGGCCGTGGCAGTAGCAGTTGTAGATGATCCCGCAACTGAGCTGGGGGTGTCAATTGAGTCCCACCAGGTGGTATCAATCCAATCGGTAGAATCCATCACACTTTCCAGAGAGTAATTGTCCTCGGTGAGAAGGGTGGCATAGCCGAAGGCTTCACGAGCAGCCTCGTTATTTTCCCAGTTACCAGGACCCGAGTTGTTGAATTCAGCAAATGTGATATAGTCAGTACGGGGGTCCGTAGTCGACCAAACCTTCCACCCGGAGGGATTGATCACATCAGTCATGTAGGAGTTCTTGATCACGACAAGGGCATACTCGGAGTAAGGGCGGCCAAGATACACAGTCTCGGTGAGATCAACGGTAGCATCGGAAGCAGCAGTGAAAAGAGTCTGGTCGAAAATATAACCCCCAATTGCACTGGATGAAGCTCTGCTCTGCGCTGTCATAGCCGACTTGGCTCTCTTGGCTCCGATTGTGCAGCCCTTGAAGTAGGCCTTGGAATAACCCCAAATGAAGTCAATGGCACCTTCAATGTACGAAGACTCGTAGTACTGATATCCAGTGGTACTTCCAGTGAGGAGGGTGTCTTGCCAGCCTTGGAAGTAGACAGCTTTCAAATGTGTCAGTATAACTAAAGCCTTGGAGAAGAGAAGTTTTAAAAAACTTACCATAGAATGCGATATGATTGCCGTAAATTGAGGCAGCCAGGGTCACGTAGGATGATTCAGAGCCGTCAAGGTTATCAGAGTTGATAATGTTCACATTGTAGAATGCGATCTTGGTCGATGCCGTAGAGACAGTCGCAGTTTCGGCATCAGAGTGACCGGTTGGCAGCGGGGAAACAGAAAGACCACGAGAGAATGTGATGGTAACCTCATTGTCCGCATAGCTCTGACCAGGGTTTCCAGTGGTGTAGCCAATGATCATAACAGGTCCATCTCGATCAATAGAGGGAACCTGCTCGTCGTAGGTTCCCGCGTACATGAAAATCACCTGGGTGGTGGTATCATCAGGCAAAGATGCGAGAGCATCAGTCAAGTTGCTATAGGAGCCGTCGACAGACCCGGAGACACTGACCAGAACGGCACCAGTGGGAGGAGTAGTACCACTTGTGGGGTGAGTCCAGGTAGCGACGGCTGTAGAGGTGGAAGACGATGTGGTGGTAGATGCCGTGGCAGTGGTCGTAGTGCTGGTTGTTGTTGTGCTAGCGCCTGAGGTCAGATCATAAGAAGGAGTGTAGTCAAAAGCATCCATGTCAAGCCAGGAGGTATCTCCAATCCAGCTAGCCAATGTGTAAGCCTCAGCCTCGGTCTCCGTCAAGTTGGTGGCAAAGGATGCACGGCTGCTGGACCAGCTGCTTGGACCGGTGTTGTTGAACTCTCCAAATGTGACATAGTCAGTTTGAGGAGCACTCGTTGACCAAATGTGCCAACCAGCTGGGTTGATGTGCTTGTCCAAGTATGAGTTCATGTAAACAACGCGACTGTATTCGGAATAAGGTCTGCCGAGCCAGGTGTCTTCGTAGGTGCTACCGTAGGTTGAAGTATAAGTAACCACGCAGCTGTCAAACACGTAACCACCGGTCGCAGTGGCCGAAGAACGGCTCATGGCGGCAACACATGCACCCGCAGTGTTAGTCGCGATCACCGACTGGTAAAAGTACGCGGTTGAAAATCCCCAGATATAATCGATAGAGCCTTCAATATAACAGTTTGAGAACACCTGGGTGCCCTTGTTTGCAAGAAGAGTATCCTGGTATCCAATGAAAGAGCATCCATATGCTTGGACGGTTCCGTAGAAGTCCGCAGCGAGGGCAGCGGTGTTGGAGGTCTGAGGGTAGGTGTTCTGGAAATTGATGTTGTATATAGCCAATCCCTTGCCATCGGAGTTCTTCGCGTTGACAACGGGAGTAGACTCATCTTCGCCAGCGCTAGTCAATTCACCATTCGAGTAGGAGATAGTGACAGTGTTCTGAGTATAATCATTCTCAAATGTTGTCTCACCGCGGAGAATGGTCTTTCCAGTGCGAGTAATGGAAATCTGTTCATTGTATGTGCCGGCCTTGACGTAGATAGTGTACTCCTTCCCGTCGCTGGGAAGGGCCGCAATAGCAGCAGTGACATTCTTATAAGGACCCGAGGTAGCATCCACAACATATGTCGATGTAGCGGTAGCGGAAGAAGTCGTAGTGGTGGCGGAAGATGTGGCAGTCGTAGAAGCCGAGACCGTGGTGGCAACAGAAGCTGCGGCAGAGGAAGAAACCGAAGTTGTGACAGAGGTAGAGGTAGAAGCAACTGAAGTAGTTGTGATCACATCTGCACTCTCGATCGCGGCCAAGACAGAAGAGTCAACCCAGGTGGTGTCCGAGGAAGCATAGGTCGGGTAGGCTGCAGCAAAAATAGCAGCAAGGCTGTATTCCGACAACTCAGATGAATCCAAGAGAGAAAAGTACTTCGATCGGGTGGCTTCATTGCTTGAGTAAGCCCCTGCGCCAGTGTTGGAATACTCCGCAAAGAAGTTTTCGCCGTCTTCTGTTGTGGTGTCAATATGAGCGCCAGAGGCAGCAAGCAAACTACCCAGTGCCGAGTCTCGGTACACAACAACAGTTCCAGCACCATTGGCAGCAGCCAGGAAAACGTTGGAGATGGAAGCTCCCGATTTCTCAGTCACTGTAACATGATCGAAGACAATGGTGGAGTTGTAAAGAATCGACGAAGTGGAGGTAGTGCCCTTCATAAAAGTCAAGAGGGCGGAACTATCAACTGGCACGATCTCAGTGTTGTACACATAGAGACTAGCAGTACCGTAGAGGATCTTGTCGAGAGCCTCGATGTAGGAGTTGGCAATAACACCGAGACCAACACTAGCAGTGATTCCCAAGCTTCCGGTTGAAACAATCTCGCAATCATAGAAAGCATATTTGTTTCCTTTCAAAACCATCGCCCCATATGCCGAGCCGGTGTTCAGGAAGTTGACGTTCTTGAAAGTCACCTGCTTTACGTTATTGTTCACAGTGAGAACGGTGCCGGCGTTGGTGATGGTAACCTCGTTTTGAGAGTAGTCGGATTCATCGCTACTTTGGCCGATGACGGTAACAGTAGGGGTTGCCGAGATAGTGACTGCCTGGGTATAGGTTCCCGCAGATACAGTGACGGTAGGAACGCCATTGCTCTGAGCGTACAAGATTGCATCACCAATGGCCGTAAACTGAGCACTACCATCTGTTGCGACGGTGACGGCGGTTGTGGAAGCTGCAATAATGTTAGATTATTATCCACGTAGAGGGCATGATGACGAATCTTGAGTCTTGGAACTCACTGGAAGCAGCCGAAGTGGAAGTAGAACTAGACGTGGAGGTGGAAGTAGCCGTGGAAGTAGACGAGGTAGAAGTGGAAGTGGAAGTGGAAGTGGTCGAGGTTGTTGCAATAGTCGATACGGGTGTCGCGGCAGCAGCAGCTAGACCGGCGAGGCCCAAGATGGAAAGAAGACGCATCCTGACAAGCCTCTGAAGGCGAACAGAACCCCAGAAAGGCGTCAGTCCTAGACAAACTATCTTACGACGATAGTGTCAACAGCCACCTGCACTGCAAAGACTTCCAGGGGGAATTACTTAAAGAAAATTACCGTCGCATCAATGACACTAGGACGTGTACTATATGTACAAGCCCATGTGCTCCACTAAAGAAGTAATCGAAAAAAAAAAAAATCAATCGGAATAATATAATGTGGTGGCGCATCCAGAATTTCTGCTACTTCCACCAGTGACTATAAACTTGTCTCAGGAGTAAATAACCGAAGATTTCATGGAAAGATCAGGAACAATAGAGTTAATGCAGGTACCACAAACCCTTTGTGGTTCCTGGACGGTTCCAGATCCACGACATCGGTAATTATAGACCAGAATAGCTTGTTTGAGCTTGTTTCGTGGGTGAAGATACCTCTTCGTGATCCTCATGGGATCGGTCTTGTCCGATTCGAATCCACAGCTGGACCGGTCTTCTGTCTTCTCGGTTTCTTCTGTCTTCTCGGTTTACCGGGTTTCGCAGGCCCCACATAGCCAATTCTAGAATGCCCCGAGCCTCAATAGTTCAGCTGGACAATCCGTCAAGTCTCCATTGTTTGGGGTCCAAACTTGTCACATGTGGTACCGGTGGCTTGCCAAACCTGCAAGGCCCAATCAATGCCCTTTCGTTTAGCTCGTTTGGACGGGAAAACTTAGGTTCAAATGTTAAATAGCGCTAGAGTTTTGCCGACCAAGCCGCACTTTTGGCGGACTTGAATTCCCATGTGGCACGCAGAGACAGCACGGACTACTCCGTGCGATTGCGAAGGCAGCTTCAGCCTCCTCACCTTTCATGTATCATGATTTTCTCCCAGTCCCTGTGAACCACGGCCCCTTCGAAAGGGAATTCCCTGATCAAACTCAACACGAAGACAAAGTCGGAAATGTGACCGCATGTGCATTAGATCCAACCATAAACGGTGTAAGTTGTGGCGCAGCTTCAGAGATAAGATGATCGTGCAAACGCTAGGGAAAATTCTGTCCGGGCTCTCACACTGTTTAGCGGTCTTGGCATTTTTGGCGCTATGCCAAGCCACGGTGGATTGGATTTTCCACCAAGAGATTTTTTACGGAACTCACGGAGTCCGGAGGACCGGCAAATTCATATCGGAGATCGATCGGGTCTATGATCCGACGTTAAATGAATTGTTGCAACAGCTCCCTAAGGGCAAAATACCCGATCGGCCGTGGGCAAGAACGTGGGAAACGTGTACGAAGACGCGTCTATGCTACTGACTGTATACACCAGCCATGAACCGATCAATCACTCGAATACCCACTTTGCTGCTAAATATTTACACCCACAGAACCAATCACATTAGAAAAATCCTTGGAAATGAAAAAAATTGCTGTTGTACGGAGTGAATTCCAGCCAATTGGTGACAGGACCAAACTGGTCTTTTACAGCAAGCTTGGGAAGGGCCATTGATGATCCGGCATGGGTTCCTGTGCCCTAAAACTACTAATGAACCTAATCATGTGGAGAAATAACTGACAGGGGGGTGAGGATAGGACTCCATACACTACGGCTTCTGGGGGCTTCTATTAGCTAATCTCAGAATTTCAGGAGTTTGCATTCATATCAGTAAAAAGGAGTGAAGTTGCAAATGCTGCATCTTGGAATTCTTTTCTCAATCGTTTTTCAACCATGGTATCCGCAGATCAAGAAAAAGGAGAAAAAATCGCCGAGATAATCGCGAGATCGGATCCTATCCTATCATCATATTGTCTCGGGAGGTGTCCGTGGGGTTTTTTTTCCTATGTAGATTTGCAGAATCTTGAACGCCACCTGATTCAGATGAACTCGCTATCTCTCTACGGAGTACACAGTTCCTCTAATATCGGTATCTGAAGCCTGGAGTCTTCCAGTCCGTGACATCCTCATAATCATCAGATACCAGTCGTACCCGATTCACCATATCGACCACATCGTTCGAAGCATTGTCTCCATCCAACGTCTTGCCACCCCCCACGGCACCCGCATTTCCAGCGCTTCCTTGAAATCCTTCCTGGCACACACGTTTGGCATTGGTCCGTTGCAGATAAAACCGCAGGCATAGCGCCAATACGATAGCGAGAGCGTAGCAAATCATGATAGTCCGAAAGGCAGTTCCATAAGTAGGTGCCTCACTGCTCAAGAAGAACTGGGGACCTGAAATATTTCCCGCACAATATGCCAAAAACAGAAGGGCCGTCATTGTCATCTTCTTCGTGACTCCACGATAATTGGCCTGCACGAGCGACATGGCAAGTGGCATTGCTGCAGATCCAGTAGATAACAAGAAATATCCAAACAGCTGGACGCCCAGAACAACATGAGCGCGGGAGTAGATGATGGCACTACCGATCACACATGGCAGGACGACAGCTACGATTAGCAGACAATTGGCCTGGCGAAAGCGACCGGCAAGCCATCCCGTGCCAGCGATAGTAGCCACGGTAATCAGCGAATATGGAATGTTGATCAGTGTGGACTGAAGGCTTGTGAATCCGAAAGAGACGATGACAAGGTTCGCAAAGTTCTGAGTGCCTCCATTTGGTATCTGAGTCAAGAGTTCCAGGCCAAATATAAGCCATGTTTTAGGGTCCAAGAGGCATTCGACAACTTGGTCCCACTTCCAGATGGTCTTTTCCGTGGTACCTGTTCCCGCGACAAGTACCCTATTCTTTGCAAACTGGCGTTCCTCTTCGGAAAGGAAATTCGCTTTGGAAATTGAATCGGGGAGCAAGTAGCACACCATGAAGCCCCACAGAAAAGTTAAGAGGCCGAGAACAATAAACATCCATCTCCATGGGCCTACACTTCCCTTAATGTGACCCAATCCGTATGCGAGAAGACTCGAAACTATACCACCCATGCTCTGAATACGAGGACGCGTCAGTATATAGACCTCAGTCCTCAATGTATTCAAATAGACACATACGTTACCCGCAAACCATATACCCGTTCTAGTCGGAATCTCGTCACGCGTATACCACGTCGAGGTAATAAACATAAAGGCGGGTGTAATTGTCGCTTCAGCGACGCCCAGCAAGAACCGGACCGTAATGAGTCCCCCGAAATTGGTGCATGCAGCAGTGAGAGCCACCACCGTGCCCCAAATAAGCGTGTTGGCTGTCACATATCTCCCAATAGGTAGACGTGCAATCAAAAAAGTTGTCGGATATGACCATCCTAAATACCCAAAGTAGAAAACGGAAGAAACCCAACTATATTGCTGACCAACCAATCCCTAATTAAAAGTGTGCATATCAGCATCATGACTCTTTCCGACCGTATTGATCCTCAGGAAGACATACAGTATCATCCTTCAATCCAAAAACAGCAGCGCTGGACAGAATTGTCTTATCCATAAAATTTAGCATGTATGTGATAAACATGAGGGGGACCAATCTTCTGTCGATCTTGCGCAGAACGCGTTTTGCAGTGCTGTTGTCCATCGCCTGCTCTACAGCAGGACTTGTGATTGATTCAGCCATGCCTTGCAGGTAGTAATTGGCTATTCAACCCTGGAATAAACGTTGAATCAACGCAAGACAGAGACATCCCTTGCTTCTTATTGACGTGTGGACCTTCCTATTCTTATCTCCCATCGCACTGCCATTGGCTCTAGCCCCGCATCTTCTGTGTTATCGGCTGGATTGGGCAAATCCCCATGTCGATCATTGGATAGGAAAATGACCGAGGACAAAGTCCGCTGCATTAAAGCTTCAAATTCACCAAGCTAACCTCAGGTAAGAAAGAGTTTCCGGTGTCGGGTGCTTCCGACTCGTGTATCTTGACCAACAATCATTTACCAAAATCAACAAAATGTTATTTGTCATCTCTTAAGCTACAATTGCACTTTCTCAGAGATGCACCTGCAACTTGTCTTATACAGATAATCTTTCAATGAGCCCAGTACACCAGCACGCTCCATAATCATGGATGGTCTCTCCATCAGTCCCTTTATAGCCAGCCTTCCCAAGGTTGAGCTTCACATTCACATCGAAGGAACTCTCACACCCTCCCTCCGCTGGGACCTTGCACACCGCAATGGAATTGATCTCCCCTACGCCACACTCGACGATCTCAAGGCTTCGTACGCCGTGACATTGAATCACCGCCCCGAGCTCAATGGACGCCAACCCGGCATCCCAACCTTCCTAGAAGCCTATTTTGCCGGCTGTGAAGTTCTGCGCACCGAAAACGACTTTTACGATCTGGCCATGGCATATCTTACCCGCTGTGCCGCGATGAACGTGCTCTACACCGAGCCCTTCTTCGATATCCAGGCGCACACACGTCGCGGAGTCCCTGCAACCGCAGTCCTTAACGGCTACCTACAGGCACAGCATGATGCGGCGGCGAGCCTCGGCGTGCATTCTCAATGGATCCTGTGCTTTCTCCGCGACGAGCCTGTGGAACAGGGTCTAAAGGCCTATGCGGAGGCGAGACCGTGGGCAGCGGGAAATGTTAAAGATGGGAAAGGATTATTCCATGCCGTTGGACTAGCCAGTAACGCGTATGAGAGGCCGCCGATGCTTTTCGAAGAAGGCTTTGCTCTTGCTCGTGCGGACGGTCTGCATGTTACTATGCACTGTGATTTCGGGCAAAAGGACACGCATTCGCACATGGAAGAGGCGATATACCAGGTGTGTGGTGGCAAAGGGGCAGAGCGAATCGACCACGGGCTTGATGCCGAGGATAAAGAAGAACTTTGGAGAGGGCTTGTGGATCGAAATATTGGTCTTACTCTGTGCCCGCATGCCTACCATCGCAGGACTGCAACCGAGGTTTTGTTTCCGAAAATCCGAAGGCTTTGGGAAAAGCGGGTAAAGTTTTGCATCAATAGCGACGATCCTACGCTCATGCACGACGTTTGGATTGATGGTAATATGCAAAAGGTTTATACGTACGGCGGGTTTAGTAAGGGCGAAATGATAATATTGGTGAGGAATGCTGTGGATATGTGTTGGGCTGATGATCATATCAAGCAAGCCCTTTATGAGAAGCTGGATAGCATCGAAATGTAAGTGTATATCAGAAGTTCTGTCCTCCAAGTGGGCGACATTTTGTTCCAAGCCTACCGCATCAGATATCCAAGCAAACAAAAACCCACAGAAAAAAGAAGGAAACGCAGTTTGTAAGCAGCTTTGGATAACTATTCCCTGACTCGTGTCGAGGATAACATTTCTGCAAGAGAGCCCCTAGTATCAACGTAGTCTAGCGCCTTTTGTATTAGGAGACCCTGGAAATTTAGGGTTGAAAACCGGGCCAATCTTAGGTCAATTTCGAAAAAATCGGATCTCTCGGCACTACCTCGGGAGTTCCGGCCATTTAGGAGAGCCGAGCCAAAGAACTATCTTTAAATGTTTCACACTTGGACCCTGATGCAATAATAGTAGCTCCATAGTTTCTGGTTATTGGCCAATAATTACCTGTGTTCAATGACCCAAAAATCATTTATCCTAATTAATTCGACCTTGCCTTGCTGGGTCGGGAATCGATGCCATCACGTGGAGGGAGAAAAAAAAAAGTGACAAAACGAATAGTAGCAAGATCAAAAAGATATCGTTATTCTTGTTTTCTATAGTGTTGGCGGGGAAACGAATGACCTCGTGTAATGTATAGACCGACGACAAAATTTGAATGGTGGCTGTGTGGTGCATTGCTCACGCAATGTGTGTTTACCGTCGCGCTTGAAATGTACCCAAGCTCAGCTCTCCCCTATCCACGATTCTGAGACACACCTGCACCCTGCTAACCAGAAATCCAGCTACATACTCGTTGAATGGCAATCATGGGTCACTCCCACCATCACTCAAGTGACAGTCTCCTATATGATTCCCATCAATCTTGGCATCCTGGTATTCGCCTCTGTCTACGAATTCATTCTTGCCTTGGATGCAATTCATCACAAGAATAATATCCTTTTATTTGCGATATGCATCTGCAATGCCTGTGGCTTTGTATACTCGGTCATGCAATATCAATTGATGCAAGAAAATACCGCAAGACTATATAGGGATCGCTATTTGTTTCCGACTTTGGTTGATACAACCCGGAACGTCTGGCCCCGAATCCAACCGGCAGAGATTCTGGTCGCAATCTTTACAGGATTGTGCACTGTGGTTTTGTGCCCATGTGTATACATCTTGCATAAAGATTATTCATGGGCAATCTACAAGTCTGTTCATGGCAGCTTGAAAACTCGAATGCGTTATCTGGTCTACGAGGTGATATCTACCAGCTCCAACAGCTTCACCCCGAGTACTGATGCTAACAAAATATGAGCTTACTAGGTATTTTTGGTGCTGATAAAGCTCCTATTCTACTTCATGATCGGTTTCATTGTCCAGTACAATCTGGTCTATGTTCACTTTGTCGAGCCGGAGTATACTCTAACGATGCTTCTCATCCCAGCCACATTTGTCACTGTGGTACTTGGAATTTGGTTTGTACAAAAAGAGAAAACCATTGGCGTGATTGCCGTCATTGTAAGCTCGGCGTTCCTTTCTTTCCCTTAATTTTCGAACCTCTTCGGATTCTGAATGAATGCTGATATCTTAAAAGGTATGCTATCTCGGTTTACTCGCATATCTCATCAGCCGAATCATCTTTCTTCATGGAGCCAACACCGCTGGAAAGGACATGATGTTTTTCTTTGCTTCGGTGTCTGTGGTATTGACTGTTGGGACAATTATCTGCGCCGTTATTTGCATCACAAACTTCGACCGTGGCTTTAAAGCAATAAATGAGTCCAAGCACTGAGCAGCCATGCACGCGACTCATGTTTCTTGCATGTCGTGGATCCTCCAATGGTCACTCACCATGAATCTTCGCGCCCTCCCTCTCGCCTCACACTTGAATAAAATCATGTCCCAAATCGACAGTTACGACCCAATTTATACACTCTGCTGCCATTGTGAAAATCAGCTTGAGCCTACTAGCTATAAGTTGATGAGGATATACCCAGGTGCGCATCACTTATCATTTAATTGGTAATCTCCATCGTCTATCTCTATCGATTGTCTCGATTGCTTAACGTTGAATGTGCCTCGCTTTATAAGCTTCAATGTTGTTAGGATATGTGCATTATTTACAGGAATCGATTGAGAATCGATTAAGAATCGATTGATATTGTTAATGGTCAATAATGCGCATATCCTAACAAAAATACTGTAGGAATAAGGATTTGTGTTTTCGGATTAAATGCTAGCTCCGTGTGTCTGAAGGCTGTCATGGTACATAAGAAGGTTACTAGTATCTATCACTCCCGAGGTCAGCATGGCTGTTTGTACGTAACAGTCAGTAGATAGTAAGGCTATGCGCGAAATTCAACCGTTTGCTCCGTTTGCTCCGTTTGCTCCGTTTGCTGAACCCAAAGCTTCAAGATTTCAAATATTTGTAAGAAGATAGATCTATACCTAAATTGAGACATTAGACATCTGGAAACAACCTTGGTGTGGAAAATCAGGACCATCCATTATTAGATTAGATATCTCATCATCTATCTCTATGCCGTGCTTCGTATCATAAAAAGAGCGTACAAAGAAATTAGGTACATATCGCTGCCAAACACAGACGTAACTTTTTTTCACCGAGCACAGTAGGCGATAACCAAGTGCACTCCAATCAATCAATATACTTGGGGAGCGTCTTCATGATGCCATCCCGAGAAATCAGCTCTATAGCAGTGGAAACTTCCGAAAGGAATCTTTTATCGGTCCGCAAGTCATTTCCAAAAAGACTGTCGATTTGAAGCACGTCGATGGGGTTGGCGCCACATGCACGCGCCTGCAGCTCCACACGCATGGGATCATCAACTTCGAACTTTTCGCCGCTGTCGTCCACTCCATTGATATAACGGAACCAAGCGGCGACGATAAAGCAGAGGTGGCGGAAGGGTCCGGCCACCCAAATGGCTTCAGCAATGGAGGGCATAATAAACTGTGGGATCTTTCCCGAGGCATTCAAGCACAGACGAGGGAGCTGATCCATAATTGCGGGGTTGGAGAAGCGCTCAATCAAGGTTGTACAGTATGCATCGATATCAACTCCTGGGATGGCAGGGAGGAGAGGTTTGACCTCCTGCATCGTCTGCCACACGAATCGACGGTATACTGGGTTCTCCATAACTTCGTGAACATATTTGAAGCCAGCTAGCTGGCCTGCGTAGCCAATTGCCGAGTGACTACCATTGAGGAGGCGGAGCTTGTGCTTTTCGAATTGTTCAACCTCGTGAACACCTTTAACAAGTTGAATTCCGACCTTCACTTGCTCGAATGGCGGGCGGCCATCTGAGAACTGGTCTTCGATAACCCATTGTGTAAATGGCTCGGTTACAACAGGCCATGCGTCTTCGACTCCAAAGTTATCTGCGAGGTTTGCTTTATCGGATGCATTGGTCTGGGGGGTGATGCGATCGACCATTGCATTAGGGAAAGCACCTTGCTCGGCAATCCACTTAGCGACCTCTGAATCGCCACGCAGGCGTGCAAAAGATTCAACCATGTTGCGCGTGATGGATCCATTTTTCTGCATGTTATCGCATGACATGACAGTAAATGGCTTAAGCCCTTGCTTGTGGCGCCGCGCCAGGGCGGCATAGAGATAACCAAAAGTAGTACGCGGAGGATTGGCCGGGTTGAGGTCGAAGATAATATCTGGGTGATCGCTTTGTAGCTCATGGGTATTTTCGTTATAATAATAACCGCTCTCGGTGATTGTGAGAGAGACAATATGAGTATCTGGGTGAGCCATCTTGGCAATGACAGCCTCGGAGTTATCGGGCGCAAAGAGGTACGAGTTAATACTGCCCACGACGTGAGCAGCACTGCCCTTTGCTGAACGTTCGATAACTGTGTAAAGATAATCCTGAGATTCTAACACGTCTCGCATGGCGGCATCGAAAGGTTGCAGACCGACTCCGCAAATCGCGTAATCTGTCAGCCCATTCTGCATCAATTGATCGACATAGACCGCCAGGTGAGCCCGGTGGAAGCCACCGACCCCGACATGAACAATTCCTTCTTTCACGGCCGTGCCACGTTTGTAGCTTGGTACTTTGACCTCACCTGTAGCGGCAATCTGGGGCAGGTTTTTGTTGTTAAGCTTGAGGGGTGCCATTGAATATCAGACGGATGGAATTGAGTTGAACTGAAGATGATTGCATGGAATCCAGGGCGAGCTTGCGTCGTTTATGAACATTTGAAGAATACCCCCTAGGAGTCACCGCCCCCTTTTTTTGGGGCAGGTGATGAACAGAGATTTTTCCGGGTCCAGCATTGCATCACAAGGTCTTAGAATACTAGTTGATTTGGTGGAGTTCTGAACGGGCCTCGCCTTTTCTGCCCAGTACGGAGCAGTGATCTAGATGCGGGTCAGTTACCAACAGCATATTTTTCAGTGTACAGGTATGTTGACAAGATGAAAAAAAGAAATAAGGGATCACGAGTACACATCCGTACATCCTAGAGCTTGGAGGTTATTTTAGCGTGCGCGGGCTCCACTTTCCTCTCCTTTTATGACCCTTGCGGTACATTTGTGTATTGTGGAGGGAAATGTGGAGGTAAATGTGGAGAACAAATCCGGTGTTGACAGAAAGGAAAGTCGGCATTTTGAGAGGGAATCCGGTCATGTTACCTGAGTAAGCAGGGAATCCCGGTGTTATTTCCATGTAATCTATGGGAATTCTACGGTATCACCCCTGTAACAATACACGGGGCCCACCTTCCCTCGCGACGGGATTCAACAAAAAAACTATACAGAGCATAAGCTATGAATGAATCTAGTCGAAAAAAATAAATCAAAAACAATGTGAAAGGAATGAAATCTGAAAGCAGCTGGAAGATCATACCACGATTGAATTCGCCTTTTCCAATTGACCTGACCACTTTCAGTTGAGCTCCAATTGGAACATTCGAAAGCATCTGTTTGCATCTTTCGATTTCAAAACCGGCGAATGCTTAATATTATCCAATATTGCCAAGACGCTTGCGTAGTCGAAACCGATTCTAAGGGATATTCGAAGATCGATCTAGAATTAAATGTTAATAAGCGCCTCTAGCGTCCTTATAAAACATAAAAAAAGTAAATATAAGATATAAAAAGAAAAGAAAAGCACGTCACGAGGATTTGAGCATAAGCCGGGGCTGATTATTATCAATTTAATATCAAACGATACGGACCACATGACGCAATTGATTCATCCTGCAAAGAAAAAAATATTACATTCAAAATTAAGTAAAGATATTCAGAGATTAGAAAATAGAAAAAAAAAGAAAAGCAAAGACAAGGGAAAACTCGGCAAATAGAAAACTTTTTGAGTTGCAGTGAAAAAAAAACACACTGAAAACACGGTTCGATTTCGGCTTACTAAGCTCATGGACTGTCCAGTTGACTTGCATCCTGCATTTGTTGTTCTTCCACCTTTCGGATTTTCTTGCCCGCTTCCCCTCCAGGCAAAGGCAAGGACACGATGTGTCACATTCTCAAAAAATTTTCCTGTGGGGTTTCAAATTAATTATGATTTTGTCTCCAATACTACATATTGTTCTCAGAACATATAGGAGACCTGTCTCAAATGACGAAATGAGAGTGCAGGCTAGAGGCTTCCGGATTATGAGCTCACCACTCTTCCCCAGAACACCTTAGATTATAAGAGCTTCCAGAACCTGACTTCTAGTACTTTTCGTACTAGTCAACTGGCAACCTTGGAACAAATCAGACTGAGCCAAAGCCAAAATCTTTAATTGGATATCTTCAATAGTTATCTAGAAAACCGATTACATAAACCTGTCATTGTGTACATAGCGCCAAACATAATTCGTTGCCAATCATTGTCATCGTAAAAGAATATGCAACCTTGGTGCATCATCGTCAATTCGAATACTAATTGCTGAGAGAAACTTCACCATCGATATTACCGATGATATTAAGATATTCCTCAGTAGGTGCTCGTCTCGTAGGTAGTCAGGCATGTGAAGTCTTGAAACCGCACTTCTCTCCGGGTTGCAAGTGCGTTCACAGGCAAATAATTCCAGGACTACCCAGCTTCAAATTTTGTAATGTAGCATAATATTCGGAATGGAGAATGCCTACTAGTAAGTATGAATTTCTGCGATCTGTTATTGCTTCTACGATTCCAAGGTTGTTTCTCAATAGTTTCACCACCTACAGTAAAGTAAACCCCGGCAATCCGCTGTCTTCAGCAAAGACTGTTTATCTTCCAAGGTTTTCTATGTAAGTTGTTGTATAGTGAAGTCAAATTAAGGCCATTCCCCTCAAGCTGGGCATCAATCGAGTGGATCCTGAGCAACATCGAATAGTCGGGTTTCTCTCCGGACATTCTCCGACACGGATAAAGCGCGGAAATCCAATCTCAATAGAACCTCTTCCAAGATTCAGATCTTTGAAATGTTTTTATAAGATCCAATCTTCCACCAAAATCACAGAAGTGACCTCCAAGGCTCTGTCACACCTCTTAAGTCCAAGAAGAACATTTGAACCCGGGGCCAAAATGACTGCCAAACCCATCGTCCTTCACATTGGCGACGCTATCAAATACAATCACGATTTCTTCAACAACGAATTTACTTCACGCTTCAATGTCATCCAAGCCACAGAAACAGACCGTGATACATTTATACAGGCTTTGAAATCCAAAAAGTAATGTCAATCCAACAATTAATTTCCTTAAACACCTGCTAACGTTCACCAGATACGGCGATTTCTCAGCCATCTTTCGCCCTCACTTCCAAACGGGTGGTTTCATGGGCCAATGGGATACCGAACTCATTTCTTTACTACCACCCAGTGTGCGTATTTTCGCATCCGCGGGAGCAGGCTTTAACTGGGCAGATGTCGATATCCTAGGCCAGAAGAAGATCTGGTACGCCAACGGCGCCGGGGCATCGGATGAAGCCGTCTCCGACACAGCGCTGTATATGATTCTAAGTGTATTCCGGAACTTCACTCGCTCACAGCTAGCTGCACGTACAGCCCAACCAGAGAAGTTTACAGCGACACATAAACTTATTGCGACTATCTCACATAACCCACGTGGCCACGTACTGGGCATTGTGGGATTTGGAAACATTAGCAAGAAGCTCGCTTTTAAAGCGCACGTGGCCTTGGGGATGAAGATCCATTACTTTGATGTCGTGCGTGCAGATTCGCGGGAGGAGGAAGAACTGGACGCCACTTATCATGCCTCTTTGGATGATCTTCTGAAGGTAGCGGACTGCGTGACACTACATACGCCATTGAATAAGCATACGCTAGATTTGATTGACGTCAAGGCTTTGTCTTTGATGAAGCCTGGAAGTCGACTTGTGAATACTGCCCGGGGTCAGATTGTCAATGAGGATGCTTTGATCCAGGCTCTGGAAAGTGGACATCTTTCCGCTGCTGCATTGGATGTGCATTACCATGAGCCGCAGGTGTCGTCAAAGCTGGCTAGTATGGAGAATGTTACCTTGACTACGCATATCGGTGGTGGTGCGCTAGACACGAGAATAAATTTTGAGCTGAATGCCATGAAAAACATCATGCAGGTGGTTGGACAGAATGGCGAGTTTTTGGGGGAACCGATTACACCCGTGAACAGAGCAGCGTTCAATGCGGCGAATTAAAGTTCTCGCACAGTATAGGCTTATATAGAAGCGAAATGGAGTCATTCAGATGAAATTTGGGAGCAAGTGGACGGTCAGACACGAAGCCAGAGCTTGCTGGTCACTCTTGAGGCCGCAAGGAATATGCACGTCACGAACATTGATTAAGGGAAGCTAAACAACACCGATTCATCAGTCAGCATGAACATTTGAAACGATCACGAATCACTTACAATCCGCAAAAGGATTCCGAGGATTACAGTTCCGAGGGAATTACAAGGAAATGATTTCAGTGTTGAAGAACAGTTACGACATCAAATCACCTCAGATTCAATTATAAATAGTTTAACTATGACTTTCTTTCCTGGCCTTCTTTTTTGTGGAAGAGTCGATTTTATCAAGTTCCAATAGTGCACTGCAACTACAACCTGCACTTCGGACGGAAATTCACCGGCATGTTCAACATTTTTGTGGAAAAGTCGATTTTATCAAGTTCCAATAGTGAACTGCAACTTCTACCATTCCTTCACGGTTTTCCGGTAACTGTTGTACATGCCGATGAATTTCCGTCCGGAGTATAGGTTGGAGTTTTGAGAGGAAGCTTAGTGCCCGATTCTCTTCCGTTTCTCTTGGGAGATAGGTTTCCCGAGAATTTAGGTAAGTGTGGAATGATCTTGGGTCCTCGTCATTCCTCTGTTTTGCGGATTCGATTTCATCCCGCATGTCGAATTTCAAAGTGGTGGAATTCTGAATGGTAAGGGTCCAGTCAACTGGTTTTCAAACAGGTCCCATGATTTTTGATATTTTTAATAGGTTCCACCCTCTTCCGGGCCCTTTTCAGAAATAAACTCCACCTTATTCCTGCAATCAGAGTCCATATAGTTGATTGCTCCCATAACCTTTCTTTCCTCTGTACGGTACTTGAAAGGTGCGCCCTTGAAACATATTCCTAAGTTATTTAACCATTCTGCTCTCTTTTGAATTGAGAATTTCATGGTGAACATAGGGACATTTTCAATTTTGATGTCATTATGACGATCAGGGCTTTGGGATTCACTTTCCGGCGTTTCTGTGGCGGATTGCGACCTTAATGGTCTCTTTATTTTCTGAGTTTCAATCTGATCTGATTGAATCTCTTGATCCTGTTTACCAACAGATACTGCTCCCGGATCCTCGTTCTCAACCATCGAATTCGAATCAAGCGTTCCCCCAGGACTATTCGGATGTGTCTCAATTCCATAAGAATCATCCTTGTCCTCACGAATTGTTGGTTGATGATCATTTTTATAATTTTCGAGTGATGCAGCCACTTGTGCACCTTCTTCTCTTTCAAGTCTTCGAACCCTTTCCAACATGTACTGGTATCGTTCCGCTGGTGTTTCGAGACGGTTTGCGTCTCTTTGTACCTCCAACTGAGTAATACGATGCACACGAGTTGTTGATATGGGTCTTCAAAGGGAGGTGGTAGATCCTCTGTCCTAATCGGAGAAACCACCGGAGGATTCTCATCCTTATTTGTCTCGGTTTCCTGATTCTCATCAACAACAGAAGTTGTTATCTGATTCTGAGTTGTCTCATTGATTCTGATCTGTCTCATTTGGAGGAATATCCGGATCCTCGTGAATCAATGGATGTCTATGATTTTCTTTGTATTGCTCCAGTGACGCAGCCAATTGTGCACCTTCTATCAATCAATGGATTCACCTATTAGGCCGGAGGATTTACCTCCTCCCTTTGAGGATCCATACCAGCAACTTATTCATCGTATTACTCAACTGGAGGTACAAAGAGAAGCAGGAAATCTCGATACACCAGAGAAGCGATACGAACATATGTTGGTAAGGGTACGAAAATTGGAAAAAGGAGTATTTGCATCAGAGTTTAAAACTTGGATGTGTCGTGATAAAGGAAGAATATCCTCCTCCGGTGCTGATTTACTTATGCTCTTCCTACTAATTAGTACTAGGTAGGTACCCATCTCGAGGACTGAGTAAATACCCATCCCAAGTACTAAGTACGTACTATGTACATTTCCAGGGGAATATATAAAATTTGAAGAATGGGCACTAGCCTATGATCCGATTCAAGTCTTTTGGCAGAGGAATTCAATAAAACTAGAAATCAGAATGGAGTTAACTACTAGTGTAGACTCGGAGTCTGTAGACATTCCGATCTATGGTAGATGGCACTAACCCACTTTAGGACAGCAGAATTCTCAGGCAGAAACAGCTCTTTCATGTGACTTTTGAGGCTCCTTTCTCTAATCACCCCAAGTGACTTTCTTCTTGTCGCATTCACCAGGCTAGGCGCTGCCCTACGCTACATTCACTCTTTCATCATCCCCATCATAGAGAGTTTTCTTCCTCTGCCAAGTCAAACGAGGTCTTTGAGCGATGACCCACTTTGTCCGTCCTTAAGCCTGCGACCAGAAGCTTTGTCTTCAGATTCGACTTCGACACCCTCTACACCACTTCACTCGCCGAAAAACAGCTCCCTACGAGTGCGCACGCGTCCGAAAAACTTCCGCAGAAATGGATCTTGCTAACACGCTCATTCGGAGCGTTGTCCGCGCCTTCTATGAGACCCGACACATCTTAGTAGTCGATGCGCTTTTCCTTCACTCGGTGTATGATGCCATCCCCCGTGAAATTGAATAAGCGAATAGGAACAGCTTGGCTGATTTATCACAGTCTCCACGCGGAAGACCTTGCCTTCGTGATGGGGATGCAGCAGAAGGATCTTCGCAAACTATGCGCTCGATTGCGAGAGGACCGTCTGATCGGAGTGTAAGCTTCGGACCAACATTTGACTACTGTTATGAGCCAACCTGGTCTAATTTCATCTGAACTACAGAAGCACGCGTGCCGAAATCCGCGATGGGTCCACTCGTCCAGTCAACCGTGAATACTACTATATCCCACTCCACCCAGTCGTCGATGCGATCAAGTACAAAGTCTCGAAATTGACCTCCACAATCAAAGCCCAATACACACCGAGCGAGGAGCGGAAAGAATACATATGTCTCCGCTGTGGAGCTGAGTGGACTGAACTGGATGTGCTGAGCCTTGTCTCCGATGAAGGTTTCGAGTGCCAGAACTGCGGGGCGGTCCTCGAGCGAACAGAGGATGTCAAGGGCGTGGAGGGCATCGATCGAACAGGACACGAGAAGAACAGCAAGCTGATGGCTCAGTTGGACAACATGCTCAAGTTACTCAAGCAGATCGATTCCGTCGAGATCCCCCCCAACGACTTCGAGACAGCCTGGGATCACAAAGTCGAGATCGCCCGGAACCAGAATACACACCCCGTTCGCGCTGCGGTCGCCGTGGCGCCCAGGCAGCAAGACGTCACACGTACCAATCTCAGAACGGACGCCGCCGCCCTGGAGATCTCACTTACATCATCCGAAGAGAAGAGTGCCGCTGAACAGGCTGCCGAGGCTGCCCGAAAGGCAGCTCTGGAGAAGCAGAACCAACTGCCTGTTTGGCATACAGAGTCTACTGTCAAGCGTGAAGCAGCTGCCGACGGCCAGATCAAGAACGAGGCTGGCGTATTTGTGAAACCGGACCTGGGAGACGAAGACCAGAAGCCCAGCCTGGATGCACTGGACGACAAGGTCGCCGCCTACTACGAAGAAATGGCACGCGAAAAGGCCCTGCAAGCCGAGGCAGATGCTAGCAGTGGCGAAGAAGACTCTGACGACTTCGATGAATTCGAAGACGTCGGCATCTCAGGCCCAAGTGGTCCAGCCACCCCTGCAACAGCGGCTGGTCCAACCAGTGTTCCCACGCCCTCTTCTGCCTTGGTTGGCATCAAGCGTGATCTTGATACTGCCTCAAGTGGCGTCCCGTCTTCTGCTGGAACACCGTCTACCCTAGCCGATGATGAGCCTGCCCCTAAGAAGGTCAAGACTGAACCTGGTGTCACCACTGCACCCAGAATTAAGCCAGATCCTGCTGTGAAGGCCGAGCCAAGTGTCAAAGAAGAGGAATCGGATGAGGACGAAGATGAGTTTGAGGATGTTTGAAACGATTGATGATTTGAAATCATGCAATTTGCATCTCAAGAAAACCACAAAAAACCCCGATAATAAGAGACTTTCACTCTGACATTGGCGCTGGCGTCATTGTTGACTGTATTAACACGAAGCAACCTAAATGAAACCGACTTAGAAGAATGTTCTCCCCCCAAAAAATGAACCTTAGGATGACCTTATGCCCGATTCACATTGTTACTTGGAAGAGAAGCATATGATATCTGATGAAATCCGTATTGACATTAGAACACCATGGCCAGTGACCTACTGCAAGACAAGCAAAAAGCGACACCAGGCCCGAAAAAAGATAAAAGGTGCAAATTTCCCATGTCATAAAATCGTAGTTGAATCTTGTCATCACAACTCCATGTCACGCTCGCTCAAGCCATGTAATATCTTCTTCATAAGCAAAGGAAAAAAAAAAAGAAAAGAAAAGAAAAGAAAAACACATAAACAGATTTTCGCCGAGCCGAGGGCATCAAGGTCCATTCCATCTAAGGAGATCCCACCAGTCCCATCTCGGAGTCACTAGCTATGGCAGAAGTGGCATCCCATTCTTCGGGAGATGGTATTTCGGATTCTGTGTGGTACGTTAGAAATGGTGGTGAGGACTTGAGCGTTAGACCGTACCTGAGACAAAATCGTCGGGAATGTCAATTGTAATTTGATCCAGCAGCGCGAGGGTATCTGAAAGGAAAATAAATGTTAGTGGTGATATAAGACTCGTGCAGAGAAAGTGATAATAGACAATACCATTTGCTTGTTTAATGAAGAGTTCATCATCTTCGTTGGTGCGATCGAAATAGTTCTCCAAACAATGAGTAACTGTCGCAGAAATGTTGTAGACTAGCCTAGACTCAACGCTGGTAATTCGTCCAGTGAGGAATGGATCAGTGATTCTTGACAAGCAGGCTTTGGTTAGCTGCCTGCCAATTTCAATATGCGGAGCGCGAGGTTCTTCGGTCATGTTATCGTCCGTATCCAAGGAGAAAAGAAGCTTGTTGCTAAGCTCCAGTGTTTGTTGGCGGACCATGCGTTCGGTATCTACAAGCAAAGTCGGAACGAAGTCCGGAAGCTTTTGCTGAACGATGGCCGCGAACCACAAAGGTTCGAGCGAAAGCCTCTGATTGACCATGCCTGGGTTGCAAAGCTGCGCGAAAAAGTCAAGGTGTTCAATACTACCACTATTGTTGATGGTAGCCACTCCTTTGGCCACAAAGTCGATCATGCAAGTAACGTCTCCTGAACTGGGTGCGTGTTTGCAGAACACCGTGGCTGCACAAAGATAAGGAGCACATGCGTCAGCTGGCGAAAGCCGGAGACCAATCTCCAACAATTTGACAATGCGGGATAGGAAGTTCGCTTCGGGTTCTGCCGCCATAAAACTGGCAAAGATATTCAATGAAGCATCTTGAAGCCCTACATGATCATGGGGAAGCAGTTGCTTCAAAAACGCGGCGCTACCATCGTCGTCGACATGGCGGATGTATCTTCTTTCGCTGAAGCTGAGCGCGAACTTTCCATTTGGTAACTGTGTGCGAAATTGACTGTCGGGCAATGCAGGAACTGTTAAGTCAATGTTCCTGAAGAAGACAGCGCAGAGAGTCATCATGTTTTCATAATTGAAACGACGTCCCTTCTCTAACATTCTGCAGTAACTTGGGTAGGAGTGTCTTAGTCTCATCAAGTCGTCTTGATCGAGCCAAATGATTTCGAGACATCGAGTAAAAATGTGATTGTGCAGCAAGATGGCAACAACTTGTGGTCCACAATCGGCAAGCTGAAGGAAACAGTCGAAATAATCACTCCAGGCGCGTGGAAGACTCTGTATTGCAGGCCATAGGCTTTGCAGCATATCCACAATACATTCAATCAGCGGCTGGGCTTGGCTTTCCAGATGAACACGCTCCTTGTCGTCGATGTCTGAATCTTTCAGGTACACACCAAGTCGTTGAAGAGATCCCACCAGGAGAACAATTCCCTTCTGTCGAATATCCTGATTGGAAGTTCGCAAAATGATGTTACGGAGTGAGGTGTTTCTGTCGCAAACCCATTTCATTGCCCGCAAAATGGCGTATGGGTTTCGAGTGAGCAATTTGTTAAGCTCGTTGAAAACACCTTCCGACCCCGAGCCTTCCTTCGTTCGAGCAATCAACTGTTCGAAAGTATCTAGCCCAACATCCATGGCAAGCATTTCGAGTTCCGACCTGGGTGTATACTCAGGGCTCGCCTCTCGCAATCCTTCAAGAAGACGGGTAACAAACAGGGCATAGGCAGGATCCAGGAGGCAGTAGGTTCGAATGATCAACTCGTTGTCCATGGCAATGAGGTTGGCACAGTCAATTGGTACAGGAACCCGCACCGGGAAATTTGGCTTCAGTGGCTGGTAAGACTCTTTCGACTCATCCATTGTTGATACACGCTGATAGAAAAGCATGTATGCGTTCCATACTTTGTTCATCTGAGTCCCTCCCATAGAATGCATCGATTCGCCACCAAAGCATTGATCTCTGATGGTAGAAGGATCAAATCGGCTAACATCAGAGTCGTTAAATTCAACCCACGAAGGCTCAGAGCCTGCAGAAGGTCGCTCGCGAGTATATGAGTAATAATGTCCAGATTCAGCTGTGCCAGTGTGAACCAGAACACCGACCAACTCAAAAACATCGGGCTCAGCAATCATTTCTGGGTCAGATAGATACTCAACATTGTATGGTGTCATATCAATTCGCTCTGGGAACTGAAACTCATCATTGATCTTGCTTCTTGTCATAGAAACCATATCGAAATCAAATCTTTTCAAGTGGAAGATGACATTATCAGGGACATCTTTCAGGCAGGCTCGTTTGACAGCGTCGACATGGCGGCCACATGCAGTGCAAGAGTATTTGTTGTCGCCTTGCATGATCTCGCCCTCAACATAGGCCTTTAAGCTCTCTTCAAGACTAGCCTTGCCCTTGATGTCACACTGAATGGCGGAAAATGGCTCCAATCTCTCCGAAATGTGTGAGCACTCTTTGGATTTTATCTGCTGGACCAACTGACCACCGTAGAAAGAACGGAACTTTTTCTTATCCCTTGAGTCGACAACTTGTGCTTCCCAGCGGTCGAAAAGAAGATTGTAGAACTCGTCAACATCCATTTGAACGGTAACATCAATGGCTTCATTGTCATATGTGCGAATACTCTCAACAAACGACTGCGGGTCAAGACTTTTTGTCCAGGTATTCTGCATCCATGCAAAGAGCTTTTGGGTTTCGTCTAGCAATCTCTGAGATACATCGCCATCAACAACCTGCAGTCTGAGCATGAAATCGCGGAATTCCACGTTCATGAAAAGCTGCGTCATCAGCGAGTTCAGGTAGCATGTGTTGGACAGATTCTTCAACCCAGCATAACCTTCTGGAGCTCGAATCATCTTTGATCTATCCAGACTGGAGCTTGGGCTGTAAGAAACATCCCGAGGGACAATATCTTCCAGCTGTCGCATCGTATGGTGAAGAATGACGTCGTTTCGCTTGCACAGCAAATTGACGATTTTGTATAGCTTCTGGCGAGTCAACTGATGCATAATGGGAATTCGCGGGACGACTGGGCCATCATCGGTTTCCGACAAATCTGGAAAAAGATAAATGCTCAAGATTTTCTCTGGAAGATCAAATGAATCAAGTTCAATATCGGCACGATCAGCCAGTTCAAGGCAGTTCTCCAGCAGAAGAGCAAATCCCAGAACGAACTCGTCAACTATCTCACGTCCAACAAAATCCTCGGTCTCGTGACGAAACATGACTTGGGTCCATTCTCGGAGATAGCGACTGAGTATAACATCATGAGGCGACCTTTCGGCAACAGAGCGGAAAACCCATAGAACAACTTTGAAAAACTCGGCAGATTGGCCAGCAAACTCTGGCGTGTGTGGGATAGTCCGAGCCAACGTATCCCAAATGGTTGCAAGCATGTCAACTCGGTTAGGGCTTTCTGCAGAAACTTGAGCCTGCAAACCATCTCCAGTATTTTTCACCGATTGCTTCATTGATTTTGAAGGAGTGCAGATCATTTTAATTCGTTCTGCAACATCTTTCCTGATGGACGATACGGATTCTTCGAGAAGCAACTCCCGAATCAGCTGATCGAACTGAGTTTGTTGTTTGACTGTTTCCCAAAACTTGTAGTCACGCACCGAGCCTTCGATAAGGATTGCAAATGAGTTGCATATCAATTTCTGAATGCCTGGAGCAAGAATGCGGGTTGCGTTAAGGGAGCGCCCATTCTCAATAAAATGGAGCAGGCGCTGAGCAAATGGAGCAGGGTCAAAAATCAAAGTCGAGCTGTTGTTCTCCTGATGATAAACAGCAAGGGCAGATAAAAGACACTCGGTAGATTTCGTGGTGAGAGCGAGTCGATTCTGATCGACTGTGAAAGACTCCAGTAGTTCATCGGACATTAAAAACGCCACCAGGATCGCAATGCTGTGCGAGACAAAGCTTTGTTTGGGTGTTTTCCTGAGCTCCTCTTCCCGAAGACAGCTCAACAGCGCGCTCAAAGAGTAAAACGTTAGGAAGGGTTTCTGAAGTGGGAAAAGGGATTTTTCGTCATTGGTATCTGAGCTGACAAGGTCCAAAATTCGTTCTTGTGGTGGGAAAACAACGAGGAAGTCGAATATCTCTCTGGCCAAGTCATCTTTGAGGGAAAGAAGTTCATATATTTCATCGAAATGTTTGAGTACTTCAGAGTCGACTGTTGTGAGGGATTGCTGTCGACTATCACGGGAGACTTCTTGAGCATCCGGTACCTTGTGAAGTAAGAGTAGACCAGTGTGAAGTGACATGTCCTTCACGAGAGCTTCCGGGTCTTTGAGCAAATCAATACGCTTGCCTCCCCAGATGATAGAGATTTTGGAAAACCCAGCAAGCTGGGTCAACCTTTCCGAAAGCTCTGTTGCGGTGGAAAGATCACCGATTCGTAAAGTAGAGACGGGCGAAGTGCCATTGCCGAAAGATTGCCAGAAGATATCGACGGGTTTGCCTTTCAAAGGACGCTCTGGAAGACAGGGAGGCGTCCCTCTTGGTGGGCTGTAGTGTGGACGGGTTCTCAAGCCGTACAAGAATTGCCGAAGGAAAAGAAGAGAGCGCCTGAACTTGAGTTCATTGGGCCCTACTAGTACGTCCCCATTTAGTGTCACGCTTTCCATCGAAGAATCGGCATTGGCTTCTGTGCTTTCAGCAACCTTCAAGGTTTCCGCGGTAGATTTCAGTTGATCAATACAACGATTGACGATCGCAATGTGGGTAGCTTCAACCGCGGATCGAGGGGAGTTGCGAATGATCACATGATCCAGGTAAATCTCGATTGCAAATGCTGTAGCCTCGGCCTCAATCGTACCGGGGAGAGCTGTCAGAATGAATTTCCAAATCCGTTCCATCCCAGGAATGGTGATAACTTCGTTCTCTCCAGCCAAGAGCGGAGGTTTGAATCGGATGTCATAATTGATCGAATGTTTTGCAAATGAAAGAAGTTCAGGGGTGTAATCGCTCGGAGACAACCCAGAAAGATAATCGTGGATGCAGCGCTCAAGAAACGGGTTAGATTGGGAGCTTCTAGCCAAAGCGTTCACCATCATATCCCAAACCGCCTTATGTCCGTCTTGTCCCAACCTGTGCGATAGGAGAATTTCGTTCCAGAAAGAGCTCGCAAGTTCTGGAGTGATTGTATCCGGTGCGATGTCGATCAAGCGGAACAAAATCGCAACACGAGAAATAAGGCCATGGTGTGAGAATCCATCGGCAAAATCGACATGATCGTCATTCACGGTATGAAGAAGATCATGGATCACAAGTCGAGTTAAGTCGAATTCATCAGCCAACTTTCGCATCTCTTGTGAGTCGTGCGTTGGGATAAGGGCACTGAGCACTTGGATACTTCCCGCCGTGAATTGGTTCTTATCGGCAATATCCTGAATACAGAGTTCATATATCTTCATCCTGTCATCCGCACTGATACCGAACTTGATAAAGCGCTCTAAGTTCTTAGTGCCGACAGTTTGCAGGGACTTTTTGCGGTCAACAGACATGTCCTCTGCTGCAGTGCTTTCTCGAATCAATCGCACGCATAGTCTCAACGCAATCGGGTCGATATAGCTAACAGAGGCTGAATCGGTAAGATCGGCCATCCGATTGAGTAGGCCGCCACAGATTTCGATAAAGCCTGCATCAAGACGATCCATGGGTAGCTCCAAGATTTTGTCGCAAATGTATATCAAAGCCGGGGCTTCCCTACGATGCATCCAAAAGGTTCGGACAAGCATGGCTGAAACCTCTGAGACAATGCGACTGTCCTGGCTGTGTATCAAGGTTTCCCAGATGATATCTGTTTCAGAATTGGTATAGTTCGATGTCACAATCAAAAAGCCAACGATATTGCTGCAGCGGGAGATCAACTGGGGATGGGAATCGACGCCGACAAGATAATTGACTATCTTGTTATCCAAGATGAAGTGGACCAGATGTTGGACGAAGGGCAGCGCGACTGATGACGGATTTGGCTTGAGATAATCATTCCAAATGGTGATCAATTCCCCTTGCATTGATTCCACACCCTGGGCTCGAAGTTCCATACGACCCTCCATCGTGTATTTCTTCAAGATTCGGAACTTCCAACCCCAGGTAACGACAGAAAGCTGATTTTGGGAATCGGCATCTTCTGGAATATTAATTGAGAGGTCCTTGGACAGTTTCTTGATAAAATCGCTATCACGGACACAGAGCAAGGTAAAGGAGCGTTGGATGTTACGCAAGAACTGGTCGGCCTGGTCACTCGTGAGCCACGGGGATTTCTTGGCAATCCATTCTTGGAACTTCTCATCAAGTAGGCGTATGGTTTCATAGAGAAGCTTTAAATGAGGGGTGTCGGATGGCGAATCAAGAGGTAATCCTTCAGATAGGGTCTGTCGCCGTTCCAAGGTGCTGTCCACCAGGCTGGTCGTGACGAAGAGGAATGGAACCAAAGCAGCGATCCAGCTCGGGCACTTCGCAGTATTATGCATAATCATAGAGGCGTAGTCTGTCAGCTCCTGAACAACACCGAGGGCGATTGTCTTTGCCCTGACACGAGCCAAAACATCGATCAGCTCGACACCGTAGATGGTTTCCATGGCACGAAATAATGGGATTGAGGAATATTGTAAAATCCAGGCGAGAGGCTTCAAGTAGACAGAAGCCAGGCTATCCGGCATTTCAGTCTCGTCGGTCGCATGGCGTAAGATTTTGCAGTCCATGCGGAGTAAATGAAGAGTGATGTGTACATAATCAACAAGGAGCTCTTCCAGAGTGATGAGAGTGCTCTTTCCTTCACTGATGGGCAGTTCGTGACTGTGATATTAACATTAGCTCATGGATAGCAGGCAAGCATCAAAGGCTGGGTCATACTTTCGACAAAGCACAAGCTCTATCAACTTGGGAACAAGGTCCCAAAACTCAAGTTCCTCAGTACGACAAGGGGTACAGGGAATCCAGTTGCTCGCACAGCCATCCATCCAGGATTTTACCTGTGTAAGTACCCTGGAATCGCGATCATCGCCTGTTCTCGTGATCAGTTATGAATATTAAAAGTCATTCAATCAAACAACCTATGATAGACGGGGGGATCTTACTCTTTTCGATCATGATAATTGCTTTTCTTAAATTATCACGAGGTCCAAGTTCTTCATAAAATCTGGGGAAGGAATCAATCGGTGCCACGGACTCAAGGACCTCAACAACATCTGGGGAGGCATGGTCGCGCAATGGGCCCCCCAAAGATCTCCAGCTAGATTCTTTGGGATCTTGGTCCATATCCTCTAGCTCGGCGACCTCGATTTCAGGACTTTGGGCGGGGGAGGAAGCTATCGAGATCACGTTTGTTGAGTTCGCGTCGGAGTTGTCGGCGGTCGAGGAGTGCGGGGTGGCGGTAGGAGAGTGAGGTAGTTGGGGTTGTGAGGGAGTGTGATTAACGGAATCGGAAATCATGTCGAGATTAGGAGACTTCACGTTGATTGTAACTTTGCTGGGGCGAGTGGAATCGGGAGTGACATCCATATCCGAGGCAGGTGCGGCCGGAGGTGTCGCGCAGGCGTCAATGGACAACAACTCTCCCACAGGATTTCCGCTATCTAGACGCGGACGTTTCCGGGTCGCTTGGGGATCTGTATCTTCCATGAAGTCGCCGTGGGATCGAGAAGAATCGATCAAGGGCGCGCCAGGTGGGGGATGAGAGCTCTCTGGCGGGGGTTCTGCCATGACATTTTCCGCCAACCGCCAAACAATCAGGAAAAGGAAGGCGATGACAAATGGGGGCGGCTTGAGATAAGGAGCAACCCAAGATTGTAGAAGCCTTCCTGTGTTCCAGAAAGGGGAGAAAGTGAAGAAAAAGAGAGAGGTGGTTGGGAGAAGTTGAAGAGAAACAATACAGCTTTTTTTCGCGGGCGGGAAACGCGACGAGAAAATCGGTGACGTTGTACTGTGGAGTCAATCTTAAACACTACACTTAAGAGTCTAAGAACTGGATCAGCGTTGGAGATTGGATTTTAATTCAACTTCCTCCACGATCATCTCTACTTCACCTGCGGTGTTTTAACTGAAAGTAACAGAGTACTCTCTGTTTGCTATTGACCTTGGCTTTCTTTTCTTTATGATCTCTTAGAGAAATTTAAGTGACGGCTTAATACTCCGATTACAGCTTCAAGTACAAACATGGCCTACTAGTACTTTACATCCACAAGTCCAAAGTCAGACAAACCAACACCTTAACTTGCGAAAAACATCAAACAAAAACATTTAAAGATAAATACGGTAGAGTGGATAGCTTCCCCAGAGTGGAGTTTGACCTCTCCACATCATTGTCTGGGCCATTCGTGCAGGTTGATGTAACCTAGAGACTTACTTCCATTCTTCTATATCCATGGTTACTTGCCTACTTTACTGTAGTACCAAACAGGCAGCCCTGAGATCTGGGATACTCATCATCTGGGCACATGTCTAGAAGGGTGCACATAATCTCTCACTGGGATTAGGATCTCACGATCAGATCTTCTGAGTTGGGTGCTTCTTTAAGAGTAAGGATTATATAATGGATGGAAATATCCCTGGAGTGGTATTCCTGGTATAAGGTACTAGGTAGTGGTATATGACATGCTCATTCATTCAATGCAACAATTACTTTCAAAGGGGAACTGATATTATAGCTTACTCTCCGGTGCCACCCCACCAACAGCACCACTCATAAATGGTCCAGTCTCCTCGGCTTTAGTTTCAGCACCCGGAGTAGGCTCGGCACCAAACAGGACCAGCTCACGGCCTCCTTGAGTACTCCACCAATTGACACAGCAGTGGGCTCGGTCAACATCCATCTCACCCATGCTTAATGCTTCCCAAAAGCGATCAACACAAGCATGGCGCATGGTTCGGTCTGTAATGGTATTTATCAGCTCTGCAGTGAGAGGAAGCCAATCCTCCAGGTCATCTACTCGGAGGAAAGATAGCGAGTCAATCAGAGCCAGAGTAAGAACTGCTTGTGCTGAAAGAGGGGGGCCATTTTCCATATCAGACGAGGAGGAATTGCCGGCTGTCGGGGTTATAAGGGTCGTGGAGGCGTTAAGCGCACGATCCCGCACCACCTCAAGTAGAACTGAGGGGAGCACAGGTTGGCTGTTGGCTAATGGCGATGGTGGTGCTGTCACTTGGATGACGGTCTTAAATGCAAGACGGAACTGTCGAGCAGACAGGTTGTCAGGGAATACCTAGGATGAATGAAAATCAGAAAATGAGTACAAAAAATGCATGAAAACCGAACCCACCGCAAATAGGTTCTCAATATAGAAGGGAAGATGTTTGGCAGCCAATTCCGAATTGCGAGGAATGGCGAAGACCACAAGCACCACACTGTGTGCCGCCTCAAAAATCTCCAACAGAAGACTATTGGCCCCAGCTGCAAGATACGGGAATGCAGCAGATAAAAGTAGCTCTTCATTAGCCTGGGGCGTCAAGACCAGAGGGAAGTGTTCGGCAACATTCAAGAAGAAAAGGTCTAGGCATCTTTCAACTGGATGGTCAGGAATTTGACCAAGATCACTGGGCTTGATACTGCGTAGGAAATTCTCGGCCAAATCGGGGTACTGAGATAGGATATCGATAGCGGCCAAGAAGACAAAGCTTTGCTGAGACGACCCGTTCTGGCCGGTGCGAGAGGAAATAAAGTAAAGGTTTCGAAGAATGTGAAGAGATTGCATAGAAAGGTACGGTGCTCCTAGTGAAAGTGTTTCGTTAGCTCCAATTGTAATGGCCACTTTCCAACCGACTTACTGCTGTGGACTGCGAGAGCGGGGTCGTTAATTGTTCGGCCAAGAACTGCACGGAGGACAATGACCACTGAGTACAAGCAATTCCGAAGAACTTTCCAGAGCGCGGGAATAGTCGTTTGTAATGACTCTTCATCTAAAAAGTCCTTCTCTTCCGCGACATCGACTTCAGACAATTTGTTTTGACGCCACTGCACCATAAGAGTCCGAACAAAATCAGCTATGTAATCAACCGTTTGCGCGACTAGTTGTGGATTTTGGGCATTTTCAACGGCATGAGAAATCAGCCGAGACAACGGTCCCAATGCCGACACCAGCGGACGAGAAGAGATGGTCGAGAAATAACCAAATGTCATAGAATCGGCCTTCCATCGGAACTTCTTCCCAGGAGCTTCAACCACATCTTCATCAATTGCTCCCAAAAAGAATCCACCTTCGAGACCTTCCGAAGATAGAAAAGTCGACCGCACCATCACAGGTAATAAGCGATCGTAGTTGATTTTCTGTCGTTGCTGATCTGATAAGAGCTCGAATGTGTAGTTCAACACCATGGTGACGCAATGACCATCGATGCCCGCTTCAGAATCTAGCTCCTCCAGCGCCAATTGGGAGGCTGTCGCCAGTGCCGACTCGAGTTTAGTTCGAATATGCCACGGGAGGCCCTGTCGATTCTGTCCCTCAAATCCCAGCAGTATACCGCCAAGCAATATTATATGTCGCCAACGCGGAGATTTATCATCTGCGCCCTGGACCACCGCCTTAACCCATGCTTCACGTTCTATGCTCCGATTCCGCCCGTGGGGCATGCGGGGTTCTTCGGTGGTATCATTCTGCAGGACCGCGATAGCGGCGGTGTTGAAGACGCTCAGGAGTTTGCGACAAGCGTGTAAATCGACTGGGTGGTTCCAGAGAGCAGGAGCGGAGAGGAGTTGCGATGCAAGAAGTGTCAAGTTCAAAGGGTTCCCGAGAACAGATAAGAAGCTCGTTGCTGTTGGAAGAAGACTATGGAGATACGAAGTGTTAGTTGTCGGCGTTGGCCGAGCATGTATGAATCGATCGCCACTTACCCAGCCGCATCTTCAAAGCTGGAGGTCGACTGCAGCGACCGCAGTAGGCGGGCAAGTGAGCGTTCAGTTGCCATGAATAATGAACCACAATTGGGACAGTAGTGCCCATAAGGTATTCTACATGGCCTAGGGGAGAGAAGAAGATGGGGAGCGCCAAACCGCGGAGAACCCCAGGCCCAGCCGAGGTCCCGGAGTGGAGCCGCAAACAATGCAAACAAGCAGCAAGCGTCATGTGGGCCCAAACGTCTTGAAGATTAATACAAACTCCAACGCGGCTTCTCCTGCAGCACCAGTTCATACCCATCCTGAGTTCTTTATCCAGCAGCACCACTCTCTGAAAATGAAATAATTCTTGCTATTATTCTGCGGTAGCTAAAGCACTGCATCGTCCCGCATACATGGCTAGCAACAGAGTCCCAATCAACTATAACACGCCTTCGTTTCCCTCGTTGTACAACCCGCTTCCTAACGAATACAAAGAAGCTTACTACCTCTACTATACGTCCGATATTTGGCGTTTTACACTTTTCTGGACTTTCATTTTCTATGGAGTTACTCATCTCACTGTTGCCGCATGCGCTATCCTGACGCATTTTCGCAATTGGGGTGTCATATGGCTGGTACCAGTACTGTATGCCGTGATTGCAGGCTTGGAAGCACTTTTATCTGGGAGTTTAGTTGGCTTGGTGTAAGTGGCTAAATTTTGGATGCAGCTCCAAACATTTGCTAATGATAATCAGACTTGGCTCAATATATGAATCGGGCAATTTTAGGATGTCGACTTGGGTGCCTATGGTCTGGGGTGGAGTCAACGTGATGGTCCTCATCTTGACCAGCTTCCCTATGCAAGGTGGACTCTGAAACTACTACATACGAGAAACACATCTTTGATCCCTTCTTTGCGATTTGAAGACACCCGTTTTTCATTTCTATCATACACGCCTCGAGACCCAAGAATATGCCACAATGAGCGCCACCCACCCGATCCACGGTTGCCATCACAATGCTTGATACATACATATATGCCCTGTACGCCCGCCGAAATACACAAAGGAGCTTTCATGACACTATCGACGTGCACCATCTGGCATCCCACCTTGCAGACCGGGTAGACCACCCATTGCAGCAGCCATGTTTTGAAGGTTCAGGTTCGGGGGAATCTGTATTCCCTGAGCCATCATTTGCTTTTGGAACTGTGCCATATCCATATTCATAGGCGGAGCGCCACCCATTCCGGGAAGCATTGGGAACCCAGGCATTCCACCACCGTTCGGAGGGCCTGATTGAGGTGGGGGTGGAGGAGGATGCGAAGACATAATTGCAGCTAGGCGACCAGGGTCCATTCCAGCCATGGCACCCGGTATTCCTGAAGGTGGAGGCTGTGCCGCACCAATACCAGGTAGCAGTCCTGGAACATCAAGCTGCTGGCCAGGGCCACCCTGAATTCCAGGTAGAGAAGGCCCACCAGGTCGTCGCTGGTCGACCAGACTGTCGGCTTCGTCTTGCATTTCTTGTTCCTCCTCATCTCGCATTTGTTTGCGACCAAAGCCCCGATTCCATGTTCCTTGGGCCTCTGCGGCCTCTTCGCCAATATGGAACCGATCTTTCATGTAGCTAGTCTCGCCAGGCCGAGCCCGCGACCAGAATCGAGTGAAGTTGTCCTTGGAGCCAGATGCAAGAATATGGCCTAATGGATGCCAATCTAGTGACCAGATTGTAGCACCGTGGGCATATTGAACGCGATGAGCTGGGTAGATCACTTGCGGAGGGGTATTGGCAGGGTCTGGACTGTCGTATGGCGCCACTGTAGGAACAACACCAGCCGCCAAGTTTGGTTCATCGAGTAGGTAGTGATGCATAGAACCATCTTCGGCACCAGTCGAAATTAAATTGCTGTGGATCGGATGCCATGTCAGAGAAGAAACCGGCTTCTCATGACCGCGTAGAATGCAAATATCCCGCATCATTCGCAAATCAAAAACTCGCGCTGTCTGGTCCCGCGACGACGTAGCAAGAAGGTTGTTGTTGACCCGTGAAAATCGAGTCGCGGTGACTGTATTTTTGTGATTGTGAAGCGTTGTCAAGCACCGGGCGGTCCTGGGGTCCCAGAACTTGACCTGGTGATCCTTAGAGCCGGAAACCAGCAGACCCTTCGTAGGGTGCCAGTCGCATGATTTGACATCCCAGTTGTGTCCCGTGAGGACGGTGTCGCAGGTTCGGGTGGTGAAATCGAAGATCTTAAGTGTCGTATCGTCCGATGCGGAAAGGAATTTTGTATCACTCGGGGCCCAGGACAGATCTCGCACGGCGTCATGGTGAGCATCATCTATCGTTTCAACGTTATTGAAATTTGGTCGCCAGTACTTCACGTCTCCTCGTTGTCCGCCCGAAATCAGCCAATCTTGGCTATGCGCCCATGCTAGCGACGTCACACCTGCTTGAATTTGATCGTAGTGTGCCTAAAGATTGAATATTAGTGACATGGGGTCCGTTTAAGATTGGGAGAAAACGACGTACATCCATGACCGTTTCAAAGTTAAAAGCTGTGCCGTTCCAGAGCATGAACTCGCCGGTGTGGCCGCCGGTCAACAGCCGCCTGCCCTCGGGGGTCCATCGCACTACCACGATGGGTTTCTTAGATTTTCCGATCGATTGATGAAGGTGTCGTACGGGGATTGTGTCAGCAGGCGAATGGGTTCGCGCAACGGGTGGAAGCATCTTTATGGATCAAGTTCAGGTCAGTTTTCTTTTTTTCTTTCTTTGCTCGGCGACGAACTAAACTCAAGGAACAATTTGCGCAAACTCACGTCGACTGTGAAGCTGGGACTGGGTCTTTCGACCTCCATTCGATGTTCACCTTGGTATCGGGGTCGACGGGTGCGCATCCATTGTACCATTGAAGAGCCATAGTCGGTGACCAGTCCTGTGAGAGGGTTTGTTAGTCTGTTCACTTTGCTTGATTTGTTTTCAAGTCCCCCATGGACGAAAGATCATGGTACATACTTGGCCGACGGGGTCCGACGGGGCCTTCAAAGTTCTTGTTAAATCTCCCAAATTGGGCGTCGCCTCCATGCTCGTCGTAAAAAGCCATTGTGACTAAACCCAGAAAGGCTCGTTGGTAATTGTCGCGGGTTCGAAATCAAAGAATCATGGCAAGGGGAATAGTTGTGTTAATAATTTTCTTCAGAAAAAAAGATCGAGGCAGGGATCGTCCCTGGTGGTCTCAGAGATTCAAGTCGCGTAGTGAATTGCGTTGGGAAGAAAGTCGCGGAGCTTTGCAGGGTCGGGACTCCTTGGAAGCTCGACCGCCCCCGCTGATTGGTTACATGGATTATCTCGCAGGTGCTTTGGTGCTTTGCGCTATGATGCCTTGTTCTTCCCCCCCCCCCCCCGCCAAGTTCAACGGTCTCTATTTTGTATTTTTATTTTCCCCTCATCTTACTATGCCAGGAAGTCATAGATTCTCTCTTCCCTGAGGATCCGTTGTCTTTCTGGTTTTGTAACCATTCCGGCTTATCCATTACTTGTTCCTCCGCTTCTCGCCCTTCCGGGTGCCCGCATTGACCCTGTTTAAGTGCAATTGCGTAATTAACCACTGGACAAAAAGACCGAAGGTCAGATTTTCCTCGTATCTCTTTGAAAATGGTGTCCCGGACTCAAGCTGTGACGAGGGCGCATGAGCACCGAAGCTCTTCTATTTCGACCAATGGAGCTACAAAGAAAGCCGAGGTGCAAATGCAGTCAAGTGGGCCAAAACGCAGCAAGTATCGTCATATTGCTGCATACCATTCGAAGTTGCAGCATTCAAGTCTGAGTAGAGACTCAGATGTGACACCAAGCTTTCTGGGCTTTCGAAACTTGATGGTGCTGGTTCTTGGTAAGAATTGAAGCTTCTGAGTAATATCATGTGAAAAAGTAAGCTGACCGTGAAAAGTGGCCATGAATCTACGGTTGATTATTGAGAATTTCATGAAAGTACGTGTCTGCCAACGATTTCTTCTTCAATAATATGCAATCAGCCAAGAAAGCTAACTTACCATGCTTGTTTAGTATGGAGTGTTGATTTGTATCAAATGTCACGACTATCGCAAGCAGGACATAGTTCTTGGCTCCATCCTCTTTGCTTTGGTTCCATGTCATTTGTTTTTGGCATATGTCATCGAACTTACTGCAGCATCCTCTGCAAAGCAAGCAGTGGGTCAACAAAAGAAAACCGTCGAAGAGAAGGAGCGCGACCAGCAGGCTTTCCGTTCCACCTGGCCCTACACAGCCTTCCTTCATACCGTGAACGCCACCTTGTGTCTTGCAGTGACCAGCTTTGTGGTGTATTTCTATATCCACCATCCGGGAATTGGCACGTTGTGTCAGCTTCATGCGATCATTGTATGGCTGAAGAATTGCTCGTATGCCTTCACCAACCGAGATCTGCGTCTCGCATATCTGAACCCATCAGCCGACCCTGGTCTTCCGGAAATCTACGCGACATGTCCCTACCCAAGAAATGTCACCATCAATAACCTCACTTATTTCTGGCTTGCTCCCACCTTGGTCTATCAGCCTGTCTATCCTCGCAGCGCATCGATTCGTTGGTCATTCGTCGCCAAGCGACTTGCTGAATTTGTCGGCTTGTCAGTGTTCATCTGGCTTCTCTCCGCACAATATGCCGCGCCTGTCTTGCGGAACTCTATTGATAAGATTGCTGTCATGGACATCGCGTCTATTTTGGAACGTGTGATGAAGTTATCCACCATCTCCTTGATCATTTGGCTTGCTGGGTTCTTTGCTCTTTTCCAAGCCTTGCTGAATGCATTGGCAGAAGTAATGCGCTTCGGAGACCGAGAGTTTTACACCGATTGGTGGAACAGCTCCAGTTTAGGAGGCTACTGGCGGTCTTGGAATCGACCGGTGTATTCATTCATGAAAAGACATGTCTTCTCACCCCTGGTGGGTCGTGGATGGAGCCCTCTAGCCGCGAGTGGTATGGTCTTTGCGCTATCCGCTATTCTGCACGAGATGCTAGTGGGGATTCCCACTCACAACTTTATTGGTATGGTGTGTTAACTTCCTTCTTGAGAACAAGCAAACTAATTCACTTTCAGGTGTTGCATTCTTTGGCATGATGTTCCAGTTACCATTGATTGCGCTCACAGCGCCGCTTGAGAAGATGCGCGACCCGCTGGGTAAGACTCTCGGGAACTGCATCTTCTGGGTGAGCTTTTGTCTGGTTGGGCAGCCATTGGGAGCCCTACTGTACTTCTTTGCCTGGCAAGCTAAGTATGGCAGTGTTAGTAAAATGCGTGTCTGATTATGTCTTGACTGCTCCGTGTGTTTTGTTGACGAGATCGCGCGGCTGTAAGTACACAATGTCCGGGGGTATGATTGTATGCAGCTTTGGTATATCTTCGATTTTTTTTCAACCTGCTTTTCTTCTTCTTCTTCTTCTTCTTCTATCTTGCGTACAGTTGTTGCATTGAGGTTCTATCTGCCTCCATTCAAGTATGATTTCCAAACTGTCGTTCGCGGTGAAATTGCGTTGCAGGTGAGTAGTATTATATACCAGACTATGTCAGCTTGACGATTGTGTTATTCAAATTTGTCACCTTGAAATCATTACTTAGCACTTGAGGTATTAATATCTGTTGGTTATCAGCGTCCGTCTCTCTTGTTGCAACTTGAAGTTAGCGAGTGGAAGGTGGATTCCGAATCCCGGTGCCCGAATCTCGGACGAATGAAAAGGACAGCTCTGCACATCCACCCCTGGAATGTGCATTGAGTTTTCCGACCAATTACGAAGGAGATTTTATTCGGCTTCGAAAAGCTCCTGGTGGATCGTCAACCACTTGATCGAATCAAATGGCAAATCATCGAAATCCGTGCGCGGAACGGATGGATTGATTGCGCCGGCGGGTGCCAATTAAACCAAACTCCGTAGACACGCCCCCGCAAAGCTATAAAGGAGCCCCATTCTTTCAACCCAAGCTACATCGCAATTATCTATATCGAAACAATACTAGTATACATCATACAAAATGGTCTCCATCATTATCCCCGATAACTACGGGTAAGTCTCCCGCAATGGAATATCTCTCCGGGGTTTCAGTCTCTCATGCATCTCTAGCGCCGTCGTCGCCGTCGCCCTTGGCGCAATCCCTGTCCTGGGCTTTATTCACGGTAGCGTCACTGGCTCATTCCGCAAGCAAGCCAAGGTGCCTTACCCGCACACTTACGCCACTGTTGAGCAGTGCAAGCAAAATGTATCTTATCTCCGAGTTTTCCGATCCTCTCCATTTTGTGCCACTCCAGTCTCTAACCATGATTTTCCTCACAGGCAAAGGCTGAACAGTTCAACTGCGCCCAGCGCGCCCACGCCAACTTCTTGGAGAACTCATCGCAGACGATGCTTTTCACCCTCGTTGCTGGCCTGAAGTACCCGGAGCTCGCCGCTGGCATTAGTGCTTTGTGGGTGTTCTTCCGTGTCCTGTTCATGTACGGATACGTGTACTCGGGCAAGGCCGAGGGTAAGGGTCGCATGATTGGTGCTTTCTTCTGGCTGGCACAGGGTGCTCTTTGGGGCCTGAGTGTGTTCGGTTTCGGCCGGGATCTGCTCTAAATATAAGTCGTCAATTGAGACGAAACACTGTATAATTAATAATTTTATCCCGAATCAAAAGATACGAGAATGTCGAACTTCAATTTCCTTTGATTCCTTGGAACTTAGCCACAAGTCAGACCGGGGATGTGTGGCTGACAGCTCCACTGTGGCGCACAGAGAAAAAAGTTCCCGTAAATGGCAACGATGTAACGAGTTTGACTTGTATGATAAACTCTTTGCTTCTGCTTATATCGGGTTGAAAGAGGTGGTTTGCTCTTTCACGATAAAAACGAACTCTATAATAGGTGACTTTGATTGCACCTCTTCTCCGCATCCTCACCCTACACCCACCACTCTACATATACCCCGCCAACCCCTCCATCATGTCCTCCAAGTCGCAATTGCCGTTTGGCACTCGTGCCTCCAGCCACCCTAACCCACTGGCTCGCAAGCTCTTCCAGGTCGCCGAGGCGAAGAAGAGCAACGTGACAGTGTCCGCCGATGTCACCACCACCAAGGAACTCCTTGACTTGGCCGACCGTTAGTGAAAACGAAATGAGAATTCCCATCACCTTGGAACCCTCCCACTAATCTCGACGATTGAATCTCTCAGGTCTCGGACCCTACATCGCCGTGATCAAAACCCACATTGACATCCTGTCCGACTTCGGTCCCGAGACCATCAATGGCCTGAACGCACTGGCCGAGAAGCACAACTTCCTCATCTTCGAGGACCGCAAGTTCATCGATATCGGCAACACCGTCCAGAAGCAGTACCACGGCGGTGCCCTCAAGATCTCCGAGTGGGCCCACATTATCAACTGCGCCGTCCTGCCCGGTGAGGGAATCGTCCAGGCTCTGGCTGAAACCACCAAGGCTGCCGATTTCCCCCACGGCTCTGATCGCGGTCTCTTGATCCTGGCCGAGATGACCTCCAAGGGCTCCCTGGCTACTGGAGAGTACACCTCTGCCTCCGTCGATTACGCGCGGAAGTACCCCGAGTTCGTCCTCGGATTCGTCTCGACCCGTGCGCTGACCGAGGTCCCCTCGACCGTCACCGCTGCCGACAACGAGGACTTTGTCGTCTTCACCACCGGTGTCAACCTCTCCTCCAAGGGCGACAAGCTGGGACAGCAGTACCAGACCCCGCAGTCGGCTATTGGCCGCGGCGCGGACTTTATCATCGCGGGACGCGGAATCTACGCTGTTCCAGACCCCGTCGAGGCTGCCAAGCAATACCAACAGCAGGGATGGGAAGCCTATCTGGCTCGTGTTGGCGGTGCCAGCCAATAAAAAAGGATCAATCCAGTGCAAGAATAGAATATACCTCCCAAAATCTGACACATGCATGCAATAGCGCTTGTAACTTCCGTCGATACCGCTGTTCGGAGGAGTTCCGCACTGAAAGCGATTCAAGCCAGGTGTTTAATATCGATCGTCAGCATCTTGTCGAACTCCACTGAATTACATGTGTCAGCGATAAGATAGAATACTTTAGTAGTTTCGAGTATCAGATAAGACGAAAAGGCGAACACGTACATGTATTGGCGATAAGACAGGAATCAAGACAACGGCAAAGATCAGATCATCAGATTAAAGCCCCTGTAAATCTCGTGAACGGAATAGATCCCGGAGCTACATCTGTACGCCGAGACAGCCAATCTGTGAAACAATCAAATGAACTTGTTTTTTCTCCTCACATGCTCCTGTGCTCTATCTCGTAACTGTAACTGAGCTCGGCAATCCATCCACTCATCCCCAATGACTTTATTCCACCCAAACCCAAAAGCCTAAGCAGCAGCGAATCGTTCGGCGTTCATTTCCTTTGTGGCACTCGTTGCCGATCCCCTCTCCTCACGCCCCCTCTCGAGATAACCAATGGGTAGCTTGGCAGCTGTTTAACCCCAGATAATCGGGTGCTTATCGCGGGGAGACCCACCAAGAGCCACACCTTGATAGGGAGAGAAAGGTTAACAATGAGAGAGGGAAAGAGCGATAACACTAACAGGAGAATGTAGGTACTATGTCATATTTCGCTGGAAGATGCGGGGATGTGACCTTATTTACATTCCTTTTTCCCATCTCTGTGAGGGGGGCAAAAACGTGGAATCTTTCCAACATTTATTTCCTACATAATTATCTGGATCCCTTTTTCATCCCTTCGCTCAAGTGATATCTACATAGTAGCCCTCTCAAATACCCACAAGCAATCCTTTCCAAAGATTGAACCATGGCAGATGAAGAGAAGGCCATCGGCGCCTCTTCAGCCGTGGACGTGGAGAAAAGTGCAGAGATGAAGGGGAAACATGCCGACCCGACACTGGAAAAGCATGCCCATGATGCCGACGAGGCGATGAAGGCTCTAGAAGAGTTTCATGGTGAAACACTCGAGCTAGACGAATTCACCAACCGTCGACTCCTTAGAATAATTGACTGGCACATGATGCCGATTATGTGCTGTATCTACGGCATGAATTATCTGGACAGTATGTGCTCCGTGTGCTACACGTACATTTTTCGCATCTCCTACGTCACCCTGCAGCCGCTAACTCATGAAAACCCTTCAGAAACAACATTATCTTACGCAAGTATTATGGGCATTAAGACAGATCTGCATCTGGTTGGAGACGATTATCAATGGTTATCAAGTCTATTTTACTTTGGTAAAGAAAAAGCCATTCCCGTCCCTTCCGGACAATGAATACCTATGGCTCAACTAACCGCGCTAAGGCTATCTTGCATGGGAGTATCCGACCAACCGCCTACTGCAGCGATTACCCCTCGGAAAGTATTCCGCAGCTTGCATTCTGATATGGGGACTTATTCTGTGCTGCTTTGCTGCAGTGAATAACTTCTCGGGCGCGATCGCCATTCGCTTTTTCCTGGGCATTTTCGAAGCCGCCGTGACACCCGGCTTTGCATTGCTCACATCTCAGGTAAGTGGATGGTATCTTTTATAGCATCAATGGCTGGTGAGATACAATATAAAACTAACATTCCTTGCTCAGTGGTACACCAAACAAGAACAAGGTAGCCGGGTGAACATCTGGTTCAGCTTCAACGGCGTAGGCCAGATCCTCGGAGGGTTTGTTGCATACGGAGTCGCGGTCGGAACTGCAAAGCATGGATCGGCGATTGAGCCATGGAAGATCATTTTCCTCGTTACCGGACTCTTGACCGTTTCGCTGGGATTGGTCTTCCTCTGGATTGTTCCCGATAGCCAACTGAATGCGCGCTGGTTGAAGAAAGAGGATCGGATCTTGGCGGTCGCTCGAGTGGCGTCGAACCAGCAGGGAATTGGAAATAAGCATTTCAAGATGTATCAGGTTAAAGAGGCGCTTCTGGACCCGATGACATGGGCGTTCTTTTTCTATGCGCTTATTGCCGATATCCCGAACGGTGGTATCACGAACTTCTTTAGTCAATTGGTATGTGGATGTTTGTTTCTACGCTGTAAATGTGAAGACTTCGCTGACAAGATTTGCATAGATTACTAGCTTCGGATACTCCAGCCAGGAGAGTCTGATCCTCGGTGTCCCTGGTGGCGCGGTCGAAGTCATCGCACTGTTGGCTAATGGATACATGGGGTACAAGACCGGTAATCGCATCTTATGCAGTTTGGGTGGTCTCCTTTGCGCGCTTGTGGGAATGATTCTCATCGTGGCTCTTCCCGAGACCAACAATGTCGGTCGCTTGATCGGATACTATATGACTCAAGCTAGTCCGACGGCGTTTGTGGCCCTCCTGGCGATGATCTCGTCCAACGTGGCTGGATACACGAAGAAGACCACCGTCGCAGCACTGTACCTGATTGGGTACTGTACTGGTAATATTATCGGTAAGTGGTTTCCAAAGTTATTGTAAATAAAGGCTTGTTTGCCCAGTGGCAGAAATATTGACCAAAAAAAATGATTTCTCCATTTACTGATTTGAACATTTTCACTACTACTTCAGGCCCCCAAACCTTCCGCCCTGAGGATGCGCCTCGCTATATCCCTGCGGAAATCACCATTATTGTCTGTCTTGGCGTGTCGACTTGCATTATGCTTTTCGTTTACTGGTGGTATGTCAAGGAGAACAAGCGGAAGGCAGAGATTGTGTCGCGACCGGATTATGTGAGGTTGCAGAACCAGGCCTTTTTGGATTTGACGGATCGGGAGAATATGGATTTCGTATATGCCCTTTGAAGGGACTGTCTCAACATTTGGAACCTTGGAAAGTTTCTGCACTGGCTGGCCATGTATGCAGATCTTCAGGGACCGCCATTTATAAGTATATAGCCTTGTCTCGATTTGGAAGGCATGGGATAATGACGACATTTATCTTTATTTGACATCACTGGTACGGTGTAGCTTGAAATGACGTCTGACTGTCACATAGACCCTAGCCCTGACCTGATGATTTCGTCCAAATAACGTTCTAGAGATGGTCGGGGATTTTCAAAACCACCTGCAGGACTCATGTTATACGGCGAAAAAAGGCATGAAAGTTCTGATATATGCATGTTGGGAACGAGCACTTGAGTATATGGGTGGGTCCAGGGACCACGAGTTCCAAGGTTCCAACGGACTTTTCCATGTGGGAATTTTGTTGAGAGAAAATGCACAGACCTTCCAATCATCTCCAACGTGCGAACCACGATGTCAATTAAATTAATAATAAACTTAGGATTATAGCCAACGACTAGTTGGACTCAAGTATGGACTAATGCAGGACGCCACACAAAGAGAGAACAAAAAGACCAAAAATAAAAATAAAAATAAAAATAAAAAAGCACTGTGCGCATTCCTCTAGGGCTTTTCATCTGTGTGACTCCAACCCATGATCATAATTCCCGACCATCATGTTCTTAACAAGTAATTCGCCAAAACTCTGTAGAGATACGGTAAGAGGATCAGCTGTAGTAACCCCACTCTACCAACACACAAGTGACAATGCCATGGTACTTGGAGTAAAGAATGTCATTTCTTCCCCCTCCCTCTTTTCCCTCTTTTCGGTGGGGCGCAATCCAGGGCGGGGGCAAAAGTCTGGCTAAGCCAACTATATACGGAGTACGGCATGTAACTAACCAAGTCTAATCCAGTCTAATCCAGTCTAATCCCGTCTAACCCCGTCTAGCTCGGTCTAGATGCATATCAGTTAAGGGGTTTGAGAGACTTTGTTTTGCCTACGCAGCAAGGGTCTTACTGCAGCGCTTGCTGTAACATCCCGTTGCCCATGAGAACTACAACCTTAGAAATAGAACAGTCCAATAAGCGCCCAGTTTCATCATCAAACCCGATAGGAGAGTTGATTGACCACTTACAATGTAGCCCAGACCCAAAGTTTGTGGAAGTGGGGAGAGAAGGCCAAGTCTTGGCTCTTACTACCTTAATGAGGAGAGAATGAGAGAAATGAGGGAAAAAACCCCACTCTGTGTACTCCACGCTAAGAAAAAACCCAAGAAAATAATATAAGGAGCGGTGTGCACAGTAGACTATTAAAATAACTCGACAGGCGCCATTTTGCTCTTTGTGTATATACGTTTCATCGCTTTCATTTGCGTATACCTTTTTCTTTCTTTTTCTTTCTTTTTTTAGTATTTCTTTTTTTTTTATATGTTTTGACCTTCTAAGCTTCTATACCCCCACCTTGACAGTGTTGATACATTTAAAATCTCACCTGCAAAAGTGGCATGACAGTATGAGATCGGTCTATTCTGGCATCTGAGCCTTAATCTTATCGTGAGATCAAGTGGAAAAGATGGCGTCAGTCACATGTGCTATTCAAAACGTTCACATGGGAGGTCCGCCGGTAAAAACGGCAGTACTGAATTTGGATTTCATCTCAAAACACCCCTCTGAGCTGGCCATCACGGAGATTACTGGAAAATGCTCGGTGGACCTGTCCGAGCCATCCTCCCCGGAGATGGATACACCAAGAGTGAGAAGGATCGACCCACCTCGTTACAGGGCATCTAAGAGCCCCGATTCACCAACATCTATAAGCCGACCTCGAGCTATATCGGTGTCTCGCCCTCCCTCGGCCGCAAACTCAAGTCAACACTCTCGTTCAGCTTCTCGCAGCACAGGTCGTTCCCGACCACCAAGCCGCCATAGCTCCTTCCACTCACCGCGCCGACCAGTCACCAACGCAGGCATCGTTTCGGTCCCAGCTCGTACCCCACAACAAGAAAAACGAGAGTCCCTCCTAGCACTACACCGCGAGTCATGCCGTCTCTTCCAGGACCCACCACCACTCTCAACTTGGACTCCAGAGGAGCTACGAAGAACCTCCTCAAGTGCCTATCAACCATCTCGACGTGAGCGCCGCACTTCCTCAGAGGCAGGCACCGTCTCAGGACCTCCCTCTCCCATCGCATCATCCTCATCCAGCCGCCGGCTCGAGTATGATCACCGCGCCTCAATAAGCTCAAACACATCCCCTCACTTTCTCCAAACAAGAGACCGGGCCAATACCCTCCCCAGCCCACCCAGCCACGCCCACACCAATGCCCACCACGCCCACAGTCCATCCGAGTCCTCCATCCACGTCCCGGCGACAGTAATGGAGTGGACATCAGACACGACCCGACGAGCAGAATACGAACAGATCGACCGCGCCAGCCGCGGCGTCCGGGGCCTCTGGCGCCGCATCGCGCCCCGCTGGTGCCAAACCCGGGACTCACGAACACCCTTCTTTGAAGAGGGGAAGTCAAGTCGAGAGGGCAGCGTGCGTCGGTTCCGGATGGATCTCCCTGACGAAGAAACAGAACCCGATACGAATACAGGCAAGCCGCAGGTGCAGATCCTCGATTTTCTCAACAAGATTCCTCCTTCTCAAGATGGCAGTCGACGCCTCTGGACAGGTCTTCGCTCCAAGACATCTCCTACCTGAGCTCTTTCTATAATCTCTCTTATTATTATTACTCTTTGGCCCAGTATGCCCGCACCGGTGCGGCGCTTTCTTCAACACCACCCATGCCTATGATACTATGATTATCGATTCTCGATTACCGATTGCGGTCCACACTGGTGGCCGGATTGGAATCCCCATTGCATTTTGCTTTGCTTTGCATTGCGTGGCTCCGAATACCCAATACCCTTCTTGCTGGCTTAGTTAATTTTTCTCGAGTCTTTACAAGTCTCAGCCACTTTCCCTAGCCTTTGTTGCATTTCGCGTGCATTGCTCATTGTTATCCTTATCAATGGTCTATTGCTTACCCCGAGAAAGAGATACCCATCTGTTAGTTGCGCTGTATATAGGCACTATGCACTGGTGTTGCCAGTGGAGAATGAAAGAAACTACTATACATATCATATATGACCGGAATTTGAGTATCAATGGATCTCATACTACATATTAGTACCTTAGTACGTATATTATGTATATATGGGATTCCCATCAGACATCGCTTGATAACCACATATGCAGGTGCTTACCTTAGCTTTTGATACCGTGATATGTCGGCTTGAGTCAGGAAGTACTGCTAGTTCAATGTTTAAGTGAATTCTTAGTGCTGGTACTTATCCTCAATTTCTCATGCCTAGAGACATTAGCACATAAATGAAATCTGACTTCAGAAATATGGAGATTGTACTTCTATAGAGTCTCAAGCTATGGACTACGATGGCAGGATATAGAAGTTATACACCTGGAGCATGAGTTCCTTCCAGATGTCTTCATGGGGCCTTTGCGGGCAACGTCATGCCGGCGGTGGGGCTAGGGCCTGCCGCCCCCACGGGCGGGCCCTAACTGCCCTCGAAGACTCGAACCGATCTTTTTGTATGTGTAGTAGTCTGGACTCTGGACTCTGGTATTAGTGGTACGCGGCAGAAACCACATATTTACTTTCTCTTCGACGCGCTTGTTATAATACCACGCGGGCGGTCAGGGTTGTCGCAAAAGTTTGTAAGGATATGAACAAAAAAGGAGGGGCCCTGGTTGGTCCGTGCTAATAAGCCCTTGATTTTACGTGGTATTAATCCATCCACCACTAAACAATCTACTAGAAATATTTTTTCTTGCACACCTCTAGCTTGAATTTTGTTACAATAATATCAATGTAAATTACCCACTACGGATCTTTTTGTCAAGACCAATTTACAATTAAAGTGAAGCATTGGATCTTGTGTTTTCAATGATACTCGTGAGTCCGCACACATTAACAACATGCATTTCAATATTGAAAGTGGAAGTATCAGGTCTCTCTCTCTCTCTCTCCTTCTTCCACTTCATCTATCTACGAAATTCATACCAACACTTTTCCCTTTAAGTAATGTAGCTGCTCGGGAACTTTACCAAAGTCCACCCAGCTCTCTTACATATATTTGTCTGTACATACACCTATGTGAAGTCTAAAATGCCAAGCTATGTTTAACCAACAAATTATGCAAATATAGGAGCGGCATAGATATAGCTGTGAATAGATGCACTTGTAGTGCCTTTGTCCTACTTCGATTGTGTATATATCCATTTTCATCCAAACATTTTGAATGTTTAATCAAATAAACTCCCATCCAGATGTCCATACACCACCATAGGCGATCTTAATTGATTAGCTGGTATTCTCATACATAGGCTCATTATTACTCTCTTTGAAGCTTGTATTAAATTTCCGAAACAAAAATAGTCAAAAGCAGCGATATAATACTAGTAGAGCTTAAGGTAAAATTAGCCTGAGAGGTGTTTGCTGAACTAAAGAATTCTTTGAAGGCGGCGCGCAGTTTTGGCTTAATCCCAACTTTTGCTATTTTATTAGAAATTCTAAGGTAGTGCGCAGTTTTAGCTTAATCCTAACTTTTACCATCCTAACTTTTGCTATTTTATAGAAAATTCCAAGGCAGCGCGCGGTTTTAGCTTAATCCCAACTTTTACTATCCTAACTTTTGCTATTTTATAGAAAGTTCTGAGGCAGTGCGCGGTTTTGGTTTAATCCCAACTTTTATATACATACAAAAATGCTAAGTCATGAGTTTTGAGGTGAATTATTTTACGCGGACGAATTTAAAGTGAATCGGTTTATGCGGACGAATTACATTCCCTTCTGGAGTATCATACTACTTATCGCTTCAAAAGTCGACAATTGATCTACTGAGATCATTTCGGTATTTATAAGTAGCCCGCTAGGCACCCACCGTTCATCGGATCGTCAGCAAAGCACCAAAACAAACAGGTTTTCAACATTTGAGGGGTGAACTGTGGATCGATCGGGATCTAGTACCCACATAGACTTGCAGAGATTTGAAGACATGACGAATTATATCCGGAAATACAAATATCCACGCTTCAGCGATGATTATTCTCACAATCCCTATACTTCAGTAAAATGGTAGTAAACAACAATCGAACAAGCTGAACAATTAATCATTTTGATTTTGGTGCCGAGGTAGAAAAAGCAAGCTTAGAAGGCCCTAAATTTGAGACATCGGAGCAAACATTCGCTCCTGACGCAAAATCAAGCCCCCAACGAACCGTCGTTTCAAGTATTCCATCTCATGTACTCCGTAGCCTGCCAGAGCCGATTCAAACCCCGATTATTTAGTTTTGTCGATCAACGGGGTCGACAGCCAAGCTGCTCTCGTGGCATTCCAAGACCCCTTGCAGAGAAAAGTGCTACAAAACAAGATTATCGAGGGAGAAAAAAAAAAGAACAAACTAAAAAAAGAGGCCAAACGCGAAGTCAAACACTCCCAAGTTCCAATAAACGGGGCTACTCCGGATCCTCGGACTGTTAACGCCAACGGGGGTTACAGCACTATAAGACGCACTATATTATGTCCCTCTTTTCCTCCGATAGTAACTAGATTTCTCCCGAGACAAGAAAAGAAGATGTTATTCGGTACGTCTCTGGTGTGTCTGGCTCTTCACGCTGGGTACGCGCGAGCCGAACCTGTTACGCGACGGGGTGCCCCCTTACTGGATGCTTCATTTGATTATGTGGTTGTTGGGGGTGGTACCGGTGGTAGCGTTGTGGCGACGCGTCTGGCGCAGCAGTCATTCAGTGTCGCGCTGGTGGAAGCCGGTGGTTACTATGAGGTTGAATCTTTGGCTGAAGTTCCAGCTGCTGACGTACTTCCGATTGGATCGGATCCTTCTACCTCGTCTGCCGAGGATTGGGGCTTCGTAACGAGTGGACAGCCTGGAGCGAATGGTCGGTCGATTCATTATGCGCGGGGGAAGTGCTTGGGAGGATCGTGAGTATTGTCACCCTGGGGAGAATTGAAAAAGAAAGATTGCTTACTGACCTGTTTTGATACTGTAGATCGGCTTTGAATTTCATGATCTATCAACGGTAGGAAACGAGACTATGCTGTTCCCTGTTTTGAGTGATGATAGAACTAACTTTAAATGCTTCGATTAAAAGTCCGACTATTGAGTCAATGGAGCAATGGGCGAGTGTCGTCAATGACAGCAGCTACAAGTTCGATGCAGTCCTGCCGTACTATAAGAAAAGCGCCACATTCACCGCACCGAATATGAATGAGCGCGCAAAGAACGCAACGCCAGAGTATAGCACTGCAGGTTTCGATACCAATGGAGGACCCCTGCAGGTATCCTACCCCAACTACGCGCAGCCCTTCTCCTCATGGATGGACCTCGGAATGAACGCCATTGGTATCAACAACACCCAAGATTTCAACCTGGGCTCCTTAATGGGAGCACAATACTGCTCATCAACCATCGATCCAAGCACCGAACTCCGCAGTAGTTCCGAGTCATCTTTTCTCTCCACTATCCATCCATCAACCTTGACAACTTATACCAACACCCTTGCCAAGAAGGTGGTTTTTGACAATGACCTAACCGCCACTGGAGTTGAAGTGAAAGGGGCCCTTGGAAATACCATCACCCTTTCAGCATCAAAGGAAGTGATTATCTCCGCGGGTGCCTTCCAATCCCCGCAACTCCTTATGGTCTCTGGCATCGGACCCTCGGATATCCTGCAGGAACACGGAATTACAGTCATAGCGGATCGGCCCGGTGTCGGTCAGAACATGTGGGATCATCCGTTCATGGCGCCTGCATACCGTGTGCAGGTCTCGACATTAACTCAATTCGTGACAAACCTAATCTACGCCGCGGGACAACTTATTGACGGAGTGATTGGCAAGAATGGGCAACTGACGAACCCCATTGCGGACTTTTTGGCCTGGGAAAAAATCCCCCAGAATCTGCGCTCGGGTTGGTCTCAGAGTACAAATGAATCATTGGCTAAATTCCCGAGTGATTGGCCAGAAGCTGAAGTAAGAAATCATCCTGAACATCCAAAGTCGTGCTCAAAGGGGGGGGAAAAAGAAAAAGAATCATTGCTGACAGAACCTTTTCTCTCTCTCTCTTATAGTATATTTCTGGCGCAGGTTATATTGGCAATGTCTCCAATCTTTATACAAATCAGCCGAAAGATGGGTATGAGTATGCATCCATGCTGGGCGTGTTGATTTCGCCTACATCTAGAGGAAACGTTACTCTCAAATCCGCCGATACTTCTGACCTACCGATTATCAATCCCAATTGGCTAGGCGAAACCGCCGATCAGGACGTTGCGATCGCCATGTTCAAGAGAATGCGACAGGCCTTCCAAAGCGAGGCTATGGCGCCGGTTATTATTGGAGACGAGTATTACCCTGGTACTCAGGTGCAATCTGACTCGGAAATTCTGGAGTTCATCAAGAACAATGTCATGACTTTGTGGCATGCAGCTTCTACCTGTAAAATGGGTACCTCTGATGATGATATGGCGGTTGTTGATTCCCAAGCTCGAGTGTTTGGGGTGGATGGCCTTCGTGTCGTGGATGCTAGTGCCTTTCCATTCCTTCCACCAGGTCATCCCCAGTCTACTGTTTGTGAGTACTTTGTCGATCCCTTGAATGAGTTTGATATGCTAATTTCTTTGTTAGATATGCTTGCAGAGAAGATCTCGGAGGATATTATCCAAGGACAATAGGCCTGTGACGTCTGTCTGTATCTGAAGTGATTTTTGCTTTCATCTTTGCAGAAGTCAAGGTTGATTACCGGATTATATTTTTGGATATGTCTGATACATAAATTTGATACATGTAAATACACATAGAATTTGCAACAATTCAAGAGCAAATATGGAGAGGAAACCTTTAAATGTTCCCCGCGGTCGTATAATGTCCGGCTGGAGCCGGCAAGAAAGCCGACATGAGTCAATGACCCACCATACGCCCTATTCATGACAACCCGGGGGCCGTACCCGCAAAAGGTCCAAGACCCCAATGACTCCAATCCGTTGCCTGATGCAAAACTAGAAATTGTGAGAGCTAGGTGCTCGTCCAACTTAAAAAAAAATACATCAACCTCAAACTCAAAGATGCGGCGGACTAGACAACAAACAGAGCATGAGCTCGATGATCTCAACACCTCTAGTCCCGAAATTGAACACGATGCAAGTGTCAGTCTCGCATTCCCAGATGGTGGACGTGAAGCATGGACTTCCCTGCTAGGCTCAAGCCTAATAATGTTTCCTTCATTCGGATTCCAAACAGCCAGTACGAACCAATCCCCAATCCCGCCAATAAAGAAACGCAAGATCTAAAAAATCTCAAGTCGGAACAATCCAAGACTACATCAGCACCCACCAGCTATCAGCATACAGCGTCGCCGACGTCGGCTGGATAACCGCAATCCTATGCTTCCTAACCCTATTCCTAGGAGTCCAAGTTGGCCCGCTATTCGACCGCCACGGTCCACGGATGCTACTCATAAGCGGCTCTCTCGCCAGCGTAACATCATACCTCCTCCTCGCCCAATGCACCCAATACTGGCATTTCATGCTCTGCCTCAGCATCATGGGCGGGATATCCTCCGCCGTCGTAACAACAGTCGCGATCTCCGTGCTTAGCCACTGGTTCTACCGGCGGCGCGCACTCGCATCAGGACTATGCATGTCCGGCTCCTCAGCCGGCGGCGCAATTCTCCCTCTCCTCCTGCGCAGCCTATTCCAGAAATACGGATGGACATGGTCCATCCGGATTATTGCATTTATCGCGCTCGGGTGCTATGCGTTGGGGATCGCGCTGGTGAAGGGTAGATTGGCGCCGGCCGGGAACGCCAGTCGGGCGACGATTGACTTTCGTGCGTTCAAGGCGCCGAGGTTGTGCTTTTTGGCTGTTGCGGTGTTTGCGTTTGAGTTTATTATCTTTGGTTGTGCGGCGCTGCTGCCGACGTATGTGCGGTATACGGGGTTGGATCTTGATGTGCAGTTTTATTCGTTGACGGTGCTGAATTCGATGAGTCTGCTGGGCAGAGTTTTGCCGGGTGTTGCTGCGGATCAGGTTGGTCGGTTCAATATTCTGCTTTCGATGGCTGTTGTTACGATGCTGGTTATGGCTGCTGTGTGGATTCCGTTCGGATCTCGCGATGAGGCGACGCTGTATGCTGTGGTCGCGATTTTCGGCTTTGGATCTGGAGGCTGGGTCTCTCTTGCTCCGGTGTGTGCGGGTCAATTGTGTCGCACGGAGGATTATGGCCGGTTCTATGGGACCATTTATTGTGTTGCGGCTTTTGGAGTACTCTTGACTGTGCCGATCGGAGGACAACTCCTGCAGTCAACAACCCCTCAGGCCCTAGTGGGCTTTTATACTGCAGTTTTGTTCATTGGGTTGGTGAGTGTTGCTATGTCGCGATGGGCTTTATTAGATTGGAAGTGGAAGTGGAAGGTTAAGGTGTGAAAATCTTCCAAGAATTGTATATACCAGACTGCAGGCGAGTCCATAAAAAAAAGTATTGGCACTACATGTATTAATGTAATGCAATTCGTCCAAATTTTCAACATTCAAAAAATCATAATTCCTCGGGACGCCAGGCCGATAAGCAACAATGCAAAAAAAGCGCCGGGTATATCAAAACAGGACCCCAAAATGCTTTTCCAGTTAAGTCCTTTCTTCACTTTCCTCTCAAGCCGTTTAGAGAAGATCAAAGTCATCGAGCTTCTCGCGGTAACGCATGATGTTACGCTTGATCTTGCTGGAGTCGACCCAGGTCACAAAGTCCTCGAGGTTGCGAGTAACCATGAAAGCGGGATCATTGACGACTTCAGTACCAACACGGACCTGTCCTTGTTCGATGAAAGTGGCAGCCTGCGAGAAAGAGAAATAAGTCAGAATAAAAGACCCTACCGTAATATCCATGTACATCTCGCAGTTCAACACTTACAGCCTTAATAGTCTCAACCATTCCGGATCGAACCATCAAAACCGCCAATCGCCGCCGACAGAATGCCGAAACGGTAACCTCCCGCTCAACACGGGACAAACTCGCACCCTGCTCACGGGACTGCTTCAAGATTCCCATGCGCCATAACTTCTCGATCAATTCTGACTCCAGCTGCTTGCGCACAGGGTCGGTTTCCGGGTCGAGCTGGGAGAGCTTGTGGGCGAGGCCTCGCAAAGATCCGCAAAGGCTGTTGTATTTCTTGTAGTCCATAGGATCTTGGAGGAGGTAACGCTGGCGGATCATGTGCTCACGGTGATTGCCATCGGATTTGTAGGTGTGGAAGTCGACCTTCCGGAGCAACCTGTTTGGCTTCGTTAGATGCTGTCATGAGGGTACAAGATGAGGCCAATGATCGTATGTGGAGAATGGACTCACTTTTTCTCGTGGTGCTTGAGTTGACGAACCATCTTAGCAGTTTAGTGGCTCGTGTAATGTAGGGAATTGAGACTGCACAAGAGCTTGCGGCCGTCAAAGAAAATCCGCGATAACGAAAAATTGTTATCTAGGCGGTGGGGTTCTGCCACCAATGCCTGTCACGTGTATGGATCCTCTTTAGAGGTAAATATAACACACCTACTATTTAATGGCATGTATAATGAACCCAGGTACAAAGACCGACAAGTACATTAATGAGCCGAGGGAGAAATGAAAATATTCAAAGTAATTCATAAAAATAAAATATAATCTGGATGCCGTAAAGTAAGTAATCGCAAGTCAAACTCAAAACAAAACTCATAATAATGACGAATATAAAGATACTGAAAAAGATAAGTAAAGAAAATAAATAGCACTAAATCCATCACTGAGCAAAGTTCGTAAGTCGGGATGACAGCTCAATCTTCTCGCTCAAGGCGCGAATGTTTCGCGCCCCCATAATGTCTAGCAAGGACACCTCTGCCTTTAGATTCTTGACGATCCAAGAAACAAATTCCATGGAAGCAAGTGAATCAATACCAGAGAAGCTGAACCGCTGGACATCAATTTCAGATGCTGGGATTGCAAGTAGAGAGGAAAGCCTCTCAACGACACCATCTAAAATGACAGCCACAGCTTCACCTGCGTCGGATGCTGCAGAAAGACAAGTGGCAATGCTGACAGTCTTCTGGTCATTTCCTTCTACGCTCTTAGCCACATTGGCCGAGCGAAGATGAGTGAACAGAGGAAAATCTAGATACGATGGTATCGGGATATTGTTCTTGGCACACATTTCTGCGGTCGGAAGCCCAAGAACCAACTGAGAGGGTGCGAAGCTGTTGAATCCCATGTCCTTTTTGTATCGATGGTCGATGAGGAATTCAACTGCCCGGTGCACCTCACCCTCTTGTAAGAACTCGAACAGTGTGTCTGTGTGGGTTCGCATTGAGCCTCGATTTTCTGCTACCCAACCCACGCTAGATACACTGCCGAGATTGATGCTTGATGCATTCATTCCGCGCTCGGTACGGTAGGCAGCCAATGCGTCCTGGAAAGTGTTTCCAGCGGCATAATTTGATTGGCCACGGTTACCAAAGATGCCTGCGACGGATGAAAGCATGACGAAAAAGTCTAGGTCCACTGGTAGATTCTCATGCAAGTTCCAAGAGCCTTGAACTTTCGGACGAATTGCTGTCTGCCAATCGTTAAACGACATGCCTGCGAAGGCGCCATCCTGTTTTGTATCAGCATATAAGCGTGCTAAAGATTCCAGGAATTATCAAGACTTACTCGCAGAACCATAGATCCCTGAATACACCCCTTAATTGGTGGAAGTGATGAAGAGCACTCCTCAACGACGCACTTCAGGCGCTCGGCATCGGCAACATCACAGGTAAAGATGCGGGACTCACATCCCATATCTTTGAGCTTAGCAATCATCTCTTTAACTGATTCTGTAATTGTTCCCGACCTCGACAAAAAGATAAGATGCTTTGCACCGCGTGAAGCCATCCACAGAGCCAAGCTCCTTCCAAGACCTCCAAGTCCACCCGCAAGAAGATAAGAAGCCTGACCATCAAACTTATACGGTGGAACGATATCGGGGATTACCGGGATTTTGTTCGAGGATTCAGGAACGAACACAGTTTTTCCTTTCCTAGAATGTTCTTGGAGGGCTTGTCCGCCATCTGTGATCTTTGCGAGACTTTCAACGGCGAAAGGTCGGACCTGACTGATCTTGGATTCTGCAAAGAGATTCAACGTATCATGAATGAAATGATTCATAAGGTCCGGACGATGTTCCATCAATAGCTCAATGTCAAGCATTGTCACCGTCACGCATTTTTGAATAATGGCTCGGTCAAGAGTGACATCAACCGGACTGGTTTTGCTCGGGACATGAATGAAATGGCCCAAGGGAGCAGTGCAAGCGATTGATTCTTGCAAAGCATCGCCTGTCAAAGTGTTGAAAACGACATCAACACCAACTTGATTGGTACATCGCAGTACAGCTTTGACGAAGCTAAGGTCTGCGTTGGAAAATATGTTTTCTGTTGGAACGCCATACTCCGATACAAGAAGTTTTCGATCCTCGATTGTCGGCACTGTAATGTAAACAGAGGCGCCGATAAGACGTGCATACTGGAGAACAGCTTGACCAAGAGCCGTGGCACCGTCGTTAATGAGGATAGTTTGATTCTGATGCAGGCAGGCTACCATGAAGCCGTACATTGCAGTTGCATAGATTGTTGGCAGCCCTGCCGCAACATCAAGCGCAACATTATCGGGTATCTTGACCACCCTCGATTGATCAACGCGTGCCACAGTTCGAAAACAGTGTGATTTCTCGCCGAAAGTTGTGAGAACAACACGATCGCCGAGGCTTATGTCAATCACTTCTGAACCGATGTTCCTCACGAGTCCGGAAGCTTCATTTGATCCCAGGGCGGCGCTGGAGTTAGAATTCAGACCAATGGAACAAACTTCCACTTCTACTTCAGATGGCCCGAGATCTTGGTCATGCTGATGGTCCGTAACCCAGAATAGTTGGCGCGATTGCGACTTGGACTCTGGGAAAGACAGTTCCAACGGCCGACTCACGTCACCCATCTGAAGTAGCTCGGGACTTGGACCACAAGAAGGGAGAGCGAGGAATTGATCCGCGCTATTCCACTCACGAAGACGACCAACATGGAGAGTTTCGTTTTGTAAGAAGTATTCCGCATGTCGTTCACGGGAATTTCTTTCCACAAACTGATGGCTAGCAATCTGATGAATGCGTTTTGCCAAAATCTCCAAATTGTCACCCGAGACCGATAGAGTCACAATATTGGAACCATCTGAATTTCGTTCCCAGCGCACTGTGCGGAGAAGGCCCAAGCTCATATTGGATAATGGCTTATCACGGGGGTCAGGGGTGACCCAGAAGATATTCTCACATTCCGTGAGCAACCTCCTCACAGCTATATATTCAATCTCAGTAACCTGCGAGAGGAACGGTGCTTGGAGGTCAACCAGAGAAATGCAAAGAGTGTTCGAGCTAGGCACGGAATCCAGTTGTGATGGCTGTACCAAAGTCACCTTGGGGAAGGTGGTTTTCAACATATCCTGTAGACGACAAATAGCAGGATTTGCTTCCGCGACCTCCAAAGTAAGAATGAAAACATTTGGTCCAGGATGGTTCTCAATCAACTGGGCTGTAGAGATCATACTGCTTTGCCAAGTCAAGTCCTTGTCGGTAGAACTTGGATATTCGATATCAATACCGGAGAAACCAGATTCAGCGAGAAGGGTATTCCACGAGGATGCAGGTATATATGGACACCACTTTCGAATAGACTCGTCGCCAAGCCACCACCCGGGAAGTTGACCGAATACAAGAGGATACCACAGGAAGTCCTGTCGAATTCCCTCTTGCATGATAAGCTGACCACCAGGTCGGAGCAAAGATCTAAGATTCCGCAGTGCAGTATGCAGGTTCTTTGTTGCATGGATGACATTTCCAGCGAAAATCAGATCGTAAGAGCCCTCTTCAAAGCCTTGCTCAAGTGGTCCCTTTTCGATGTTGAATTGCTGGAACGACATGATGTCGCTCCAGGACTGGAAACGGCGCTTTGCCTTCTCAAAGAAACCAGGTGAGATATCGGTAAAGGTGTAAGTTGAAATGTTTGCTCTCGTGGCATCATTCTCTGGTGCAAGCACGTTAAGCACCTCCGCCGTGACGCTGCCAGTGCCACCGCCAATCTCCAGAATATTCAGCCCCGAGTGCTGATGGCGAAGAAGAGACAGATGGCTCTTCAAATGTTGGGGGAGGTCGTATAAATGGAGCCCTTCTTTGTACACACCTTCCATAACGTTGTCTTGGCCAAACATCAAATTCAATGGGTCAACCTCTTTCCGAACGACAGCAGCAATGTTGCGGCCCATGCGGGCAGTGATGGCGCCCTCGGCACTATGACTTTCGATCTCATCATAAACAGACTGCTTCAGAGTAGAATCCAGAGAAATCTTTTGAAACTCGGCATAAGGAAGGTGGATGATTGAATCATCCGAAAGCATCTTTTGCCAGTGAATCATCCACTCGTGGAATCTTATCATGTGAGGATCAAGATTCGTAACCTCAAGACCTTGAAGTTCGACCATTGCATCGTTAACATAGAGCATAGTCGCCATTTGAAGTTGCTTTACCCAGTAACGATCCGATTCATGATCGACCACGGAAATTGAGCTGAGCCCATTGGCTGTATCAGAGTCAAGAAAGTGAACGTCTGGCTTCCATTCGATAGCGGTGCATAACCTTCTCTCGGCATCCTCAACCAATGTAGACTCGAGAGGCGTAAGCTCGGTACCATCCATTCGAATACAAGGCTGACCCTCAGCCCCCATGATTCGAATTCGACCTTGCAACTTCTCATTCACACCGTTGCAAAGTGATGCATGTCCCACAAATTCATAAAATGGGACAGAATTCAAGTCTGATGAAACCCACATGTCATGGACATATGTGGGAAGCAGGATATGATCCAAAGCCGGTTTGCCACTTAAGTCAACACCTGCAGCAATCATCATGTGTATCATGCTATCCATGGTGGCCGGGTGGATCAAATGTGAGTGCATGTACCGCTTGGGCATGGATTCAGCAATTTCGGGAACTGTTACCACGCCAGTCATCAACCCAAGTCGACATCCACTGTCTTGCACGTCATGGAGGTTTCGGAACAAAGGACCGAAGTCAAGTCCAATGTCTTGAAGATTGTCATATGTCTTCGCGAAGTTGATAGATTTCGTGCACAGATTTCGAACTTTTTTCATTTCCTCTTTCCAAGCTCGAGCTTCTGCGATTTCTTCATATCCATTGTCCACCGGATCAACGGATGCTTTGTATTCAACTGCAACCTGACCATTGCAATGTTCTGTCCATTCATCGCTTGACTCATTGAATGAGCTGATTTGGAAACGACGCCAAGTCCTCGAATTTGACGGTCCATCAGCGGTTGTCATTGTTAGGCTAATCTCGATGCCTTCCTTGGTGTCTGGAACTACCAAGGCTCTGTTGATGGACACCCGTCGAAGCTGAAATCCAGCGGTTTTCTTTTCTCCCGCCAATTGCAGCGAAGCCTCAATGGCCATGACGAGAAAACCTACTCCGGGGTAAATAACATTTCCAGCAACCTGAAATTGGTTAGTTAAATTGGCAATCATAGGACGAAAGGATGAAATAACATACCACATGATCTCTCAGCCAAGGGTTCTCATTCAGACGAATAAAATGTCTCCATCTAGGGGCATTTGAGTCCCAATCGGAAACAGGGGCGCCGAAAAGGTTGTGGCGTGGGAAATTTCTGTTGCGGAGATTTCTGCTAAGTCGACTCTCATACAAATTCCTCTCCGTATGTTTGAAGCTGTACGGTGGTAGATTGATGAGCAACTTTGCGGGCCTGTCTACATGGATACGAGCTGCAAGATTGACTTGATGCAAGTCCAATTGGTAGCCGCTCGCAGCCAAAAGCCCGACTGTGCTAATCACAGGGTTCATAGTTGGATCATCTCGTTTGAGAACCGAGAAATATTTGTGGTTAGTATGGGCGGCATGGGAGGTCAGTGTCTCCTTTATGGCACTTTGCAAGGTTGAATGAGGTCCAATCTCCACAAAGACAGGAAGCCACCCAGGAATATCCAACTCGGAGGATTTTTGCACCGCTCGAGAGCGCATTGCTTGTAGTCCGCTCGTAAAGCGCACTGGAGAGATCATATTGTCCACCCAATACTGAGCAGTGAGGTTCTCTGACACAACCTCCTCTCCAGTTACTGTGGAGAACATGCGAACAAGGTGCGGTGCAACAAATCTTTTTCCAGAAGATAAGTCGCCCATCAAATGATAGTAATCTTCAGAAATGGCCCGCATGTGGGCGGAATGGTAGGCATTTTTCACGTTAAGCTTGCGTGCAAAAATACCGTCAGCGTCCAGCCGCTCCTTGAGAGAATCGATCAAGTTTTCATCTCCAGAGACGGTGTTATTTTTCGGACTGTTAAAGCAGGCAATGACTAGCTCGCCATGATGATCTTCATGAACCTTTTTCATATAGAATTCAAGTTTCGAGACGTCAAGGCCCACGGCGAGCATTGCACCATTGGGTCCCACTTGATTTGATGAGGCATAGCCACGATAGTATGCGGCTTTCCAAGCCCCTTGCCTGGACAATTTTCCAGCGCAGTAAGCAGCGGCTATCTCGCCCGATGAGTGGCCTGTCACGCCAGTTGGAAATATATCCCAGCTTGCTAAAAGATCCACAAGAGCCACCTGCAGTGCACTGCACAGTGGATGCGCAATTTCGGGAAGGCCCACGGAGGAGGATTTCTTTTCCACTAGAAGCTCATCTATAACATATGTCAGTAAAAAGTATTTGGCGATAAAACAGGGAGTGATAGTACCGATAAGTGACCAGGAACTTCCTAGTCGGTGAATATATTCTTGTGCCTCTTCGAGGGAGTTTCGGAACACAGGGTACACCAGCAGCGCTTCCCCCATATTTGCATACTGTGCACCTTGCCCGGTAAAAACAAAATGGAGTTCAGGTACATTGAGTGACCGAACTGGCTTTGAGAAATTGTGCTCGGCGAGATTCCATGAAAGCTCCTTGACCGTGGAACCTGATACAAAGCTCCTCCATGGAAATACTGAGCGTCGCTTTGTGAGCGTGAAAGAAAGATCTTCTAGGAGATGCTCAGTGTCGCTGGGCTGGTCATACTTTTGGCGCAAGTAGGTGGAATATGCACGCGCAGTCCGCGTAACACCGCCTTCATCGAAGGCCGACAGCAAGTATATCTTGGGTACGTTTTCGTAAGTAGGGCATGGGATCGTTGAGCCAATTTCCAGAGAGGCACGAGAATCTTCAGTTTCTGATGGTTCGGGTGTGCCAGTGGAAGCATTGCCACCAACTTTCTCATCTGTCAAATCGGTATTGCTATCAAGATCGGCACTCGTGGCTCTGGGAATGAATAGAATTTGGTCCTTGACTTGACAAGTCTTTGGTACTGTAGCATTGGTTCTGTGTGCAGCTTGAAGGCGGCGACTGTGAAGATAATGGTAGGCGTCGTCCAGGACACAATGGGCATTGGCTCCTCCAATTCCGAAAGAGTTCACAGATACTCTGCGGAGTCCTTCTGATGGCCATGGAGTAATTTCCTTGGGAAATGCAATGCCCCATTCCGCCGCCCGAACTTTTGCATTCACCTCCTGGATATCGAAATTGGGTGGAATGATACCCGACTCGAGGATAAGGATAGACTTAATGAGACTGGCCACGCCGGAACCTCCTTCCAGATGTCCAATCGTAGACTTGATGGTTCCAACGTACAGGGGCGTCTCTCGTCGACACTTGAATGCCCTTGCCAACGCCCCCGCCTCAATCGGATCGCCTATGCTGGTTCCAGTCCCATGGGCCTCGACGAATCTAGTCTGTTCCATATCCAACCCGGCTCTCCAGTACACCTGCCGGATAAGTCTTTCCTGGGCCTCCGCACTGGGGACAGTAAGTCCCGAAGTACGGCCATCCTGGTTGACACCAGTTTCACGGATGACGGCACGGATTGTATCACCGTCTCGAATAGCGATGCTCAAGGGTTTTAAAACCACTGTGCCCACACCTTCCCCACGGGCATAGCCCTCCGCACGGGAGTCAAAGCTAAAACACCGGCCTTGAGTTCCGAGAAGACCATGGTGGCTCATGCCGACCGTCTCCACAGGATTCTCCAGGATACTCACCCCACTAACCAGAGCCTTGGAACGCAGAGTGAATTAGCTACCCATCCCCAGTCACGTCATCAGAGAACGACATACCATATTTGTCTCTCGAGACCGGAGGCTCTGTACAGCCAGATGCAGTGCTACCAAGCTACTAGAACAGGCCGTGTCAATGGTCATACTTGGACCCTTGAAGTCAAAGAACCAGCTGACTCTGTTTGACAAAATCGCATTTACAACACCGGTGGGCTTGTACTTGAGTGCAGTCTCTGGATCGGAATTCAGGATTCCCAGGTAATCATGATTGAATCCGCTGACAAACACCGATGTATTGGAGCCAGCAGCGGTAGCCATTGGAATACCGGAGTTTTCCAATGCATGGTAAACGTTTTCCAGGACCAGCCGCTGCTGGGGGTCAAGTGTCATAAGTTCGTTTTTGGTAATGTTGAAAAAGGAGCCATCGAAATAGGCAGGATCGCCGGAAAGGAAGTGGCCTCCTTGGACGTGAAACTAGTGAATCCCGAATGTGTCCTTGTTAGTATAGTGAAATTATACATATGTAGCGAAATCAGATGTAATGATAGAGCAAATGGAAATATGACCTACTGTTCCTCCATGCTCTGGATCTGGATGGTAAAACGCATCGGCGTTGAATCTTTCTTTTGGTATCGTGGACCAGGTCGAGCGAGCTTGTAGCAATAATTCCCACAGGCCTTCAGTGGTAATAGCTTCTTGGGAGAACCGAGTAGCAAGACCAATCACGGCAATTGGCTCTACCACATCAGAAGACACATTCACATCTTGGGGAACAGCCCTCGGTGGCCGCATGTTGTAGATATAGATAGATTGAGAATGTAGAAGATTTAGAGCTGATTCGAATTCTTTGTGCAAGAAATGAATATATGTGAAAGAAGATGAGAGCTCAGATTGATGAAGGAAAGAGAAAGGTGAGGAGGAAAATCCGAATATATAGAGAAAATCTATTTGAAAGGATCATAGAGACAGATCTGGGTACAGTTGTTGGAACTTTCCAATACTGGTATGAGTAAGTGAATCGCCGTAAAGCCAAATACCAACATTTGAACGTCACTACCGAGGCCCTGGACGGCGTCCCATAGCCTTATGGTCCCCGGGTTGCCTGATTAGTCTACTTGATTGAGAGTTTTAGTAAATGCGTTTTTCGGAACGATTCTGATCGAGAAATTGCCCCTCGCAAAGCCTTTACAAAGCCTTTAATTGGTCCAAATGATGAGATCAAGCCAATCGAAAGGGATCTGGTAATAATATCCGGTTCCCATGTCTGTGGAGTGTTGTCAATGTACTTGATACTATGTCCTTTTGTTGGCCCCACTGTGGCTTCTAACTTTCAATCCCCAAGTAGTTTGAACTTTCAGTCAGAGCCTTGTTTTAATTGAGTCTTACCACTATCGCTAATTGGTTAAATGGTCTGTCAGATCTTTGGATCTATGGCTCTGATCCGCCAACACAACTTTCTTATATCCCTTAATAGAACGGTCACAATCACGATCAAACCCATATTAGATAGGGAGGTTCAATTCAATCATCCGCAATATTGAATCCTATGTAATGAAATCATAGACTACACATTGTTCTGTGTAGTATTGATAGGGAATTTAGTGGCATTGTGGATAACAAAGAAATCGACACCGCCATTTAAGCCCAGGCAAAGAATCAACAACACAAACCCTTGTGATACTACAGGGATAAGTTTGAAAATGATGAATTACTATACTGAAACTCGGAATAACTCCCCAATTACCACATCATGTCCAGTCAATGGCAAATTTTCAACTTGATTTTGTGTCTAGGCTTTACTCTCTTGGGAAATACTTGCGATATAGATTAGCAATGGCTAGGATTCATGAGATTCTCATTTTCGGTGTCAAAAAAAGCCGAGCCGTGTTCATCGTCTAATTATGTACAACCCCCAATGTGGATATGGACTAAGGACAGTTCTTTGTTTTGATAATGGAGTCTAGTCTCGTATAGCGCCGAGTGGAGGCGATCTCAACGATCATATGAACGAGGTCGCGTACAGCATGGGATCGATCTGCGCGGTTAAACTTTACCGGCTGCTATTCCGCAGCCGCCACAGAGCATACGTGTCCAAGATTGGCTAATTGTATTTGTTGGAAGCAGACCGTTGAGCAGCGGCATGAAAGAAACGAACGAGTGGGTCCTGTTAGGTGGCACCGTGGAGCCGGGGAATATCCGGCTGTATGCACCTACGCCTTTCGATCTTCTTACAGGTAGCCCCTACGTCTATGGGGTCTTCTTTTTTGGATAATGCTGGTGATTTTCTTACAAAAATGCCGGTACTTTGATAGCTTCGATTGACTCAAAATTTGGGATTTCTAGTGGCGTTGACTACATACATTCTAGCGTGTATCGGGCGAACTGCGCCCAACATCGACCAGAACCACGCTAGTAGTTGATCTGGGTGGAAAATACACCCAACAAGAAAAAACAATAAATTGATTGGACAGAAATCAAAGGAAGGCATAGATACTAGTACTATCAGTTGATCTATACCCGCTACTGGACGGATTACCCATCCTCTCTTGTAAGCGAATAAACAATTCTAGTTCCATTCGACCGCCCGGGTTTGGGCTGTCACCAATCTCTTTCGCCATATTAGATCCCTGGGGAAATCATACAGCACCCTTCATATTGGCAAGCACAGACTGGCGAAAATGCCAACAATACAGTTTATCTGGCATACGGTCGGGATTGTTTGGATCCCGGCAGACAATGTCCAGGACACGACCATCGACCCCCAGGAATTGCCACCGAAATCTATTATCTTGTACCCATCCCAAATGAACACTAGTAAGTGGTCTATCGATCTTCAAAGGCAGAGTAACTTAGCGAACATCGGGACTGAATTAAGCAAACTTAGTTCCTAATTTAATTGCTATTTTCTCTTCCAAAAAAGAAAGAACTTACTTCGGGGACAGTGAATTTCATAGTCATCTTCTCTTAGAATATCGGTGTTCATGGGCATCATTTCACCTGTGGGTCTTTGACAGATTGAAATAATGACCTCGACACAAAAAAAGGTATCCATCAACATATGAAAGAGATTGGCGTTCGTTATTCATTTGTCATACTCCTGAGATGGTCACCTATGATACCGTCGTAAAAGGTTAGCGTTTCTATCAGCTGAGCGGGACATTTTATGGTAGAAAATACTTGGAAAGAGCGAAAGGGAGAAGGAGCAGGAAACGTGTGGCAATTGAACAGGATTAAGAGAGAGAAAGAGCTTACTGAGTGGAGAAGAGAACGCAAGCAGCATTCGCACACAAGCACCCTCGCTTCCCCAAAAAATCAAGCCTTTCGTCGTAGGATACACCCATAGGATTCCTGCGGTTATCAGATTTTTGATCACAAAAAGGTTCCCACTAATAAATGTCCAGAATGGCGCTTCAAGCTCATGAACGTTTCCAGCCAGTGACCATGAGGAATTCTCCTTAGAGAACAGTTGAGGAAGGAGAAGAAGAAGTGTGTTATTTCAAACCTAGACGTCGCATAAAATTTCTGCTGGCACATAATAATTAAAGATGACATAGGTTTCCCGCTATATTAGTTAGACTTTGTACTTGGTAAGAATTGATATACTATACTCAGGCTTTGAATTAGGAAAATCATTGGCACCATAATGAGCACTATCCCTCCTTCTATCCCGCCCTCTTCCCGCCCTCTACTACTTGGGAACCTGTGTTTTTTTGCAGCACCTGATTGGCTGAGAGGTCTAAAATGGGTCCAAACACTCTTTGAGTCTTTGTCTCTAGATGGCCCTAGAGTCAGTCTTAGTCAGGTGATTCCAATGATACCAGTTGACCATCTCCCTTGAAGGTTTCATAAACCCTAACGCGGCGCGGTACCAAGTCTTGTACCTACTAACAGGGTAGATAGTGAATACTTGAAAAAGGTACATACGCGATACTCACTAGTGCAGGGTGGGTGCATACCTAGTACTCGAGTCTGGAGGATTATCAACCCAGAACTTACCCAGTAACAGCACAAAATTAGTATTTAAGAAATTTTTAATTGATTGTTCTCTATTCTCTTCCTGATCAGTGCCTACGAATTGTTTCCTACTTTTCAACAGCCAACTGGAGGTGATCATGCAATCAATTGATGGGATTTTGCGCAAGTACCGGAGTAGCAAAGGGCGAAAGATAACATTGAATGTACCTAATGAACCGCCGTAGACTAAACCCATTCAGAGTTTACTATACAGTATGAGCGACATGGAAAAAATACATTTAACTTTCGATTCGAGCTTCTGGAGCCAGAAATTTCGATGGTTGTATTCTTTAAGCTCGATGTCATCGTAAAGTAAATACACGTAGATCAGAGACACCAAATAAAGATTCCAATGTAATTCAAAGGAAAGTACTCCTTATGTTGTGGGCGTCAAAAGAGTGAGATGACACCACCCACACAGAGAAGAACTGGCTAGAACCAATAAAACACTTAAGCCTGGCCCTTGCAGGCAGCGTTGTCGGCGGCACAGGTGGCCATGTTGGCATCGGCACCAACGCGGCAGGTATCGTAAACGTCGGCACAGCAGCTGGCGTGATCGCCTGCACATGAGGCCATGTTGGCTTCAGGGGCAGTGCGGCAGGAGTTGAAAGAATCCTGGCAATCGCTGTTGGTCTTGGCCAAGGCACCGGTGGCCAGAGCGAGGGCAGCGAAGAAGATGTTGAGGCGGACCATTTTGATGGGTATGTGGTTTGTTGGAGGACTGGATTGGAAGGTAGAGGTAGAGGTAGAGATAGAGATTGGAATTATAATTGTGATTGAGGTTTGAATGATGTCTCTTTGGTAGTCAATCGGAGCCCTTTTATACCCCAAAGATCTACAAATGTCCTCAAAAATAGGAATTATCCTTTAGGCTCCCGACAATCGGAGATTTCTGTCGGTCAATGGCCATTCAGCTTGTTGGGGCAGATCGTCTGAAACAAAGCCTTTTTCCAGGAGATGTCTTGGATCTTCGATGAGAAAAGGTCTGAGGGACGACCCCGGAATTATCTGAATGTGGTGGTTAGCTTTGCGGATCTCGGGTGGGTTGAAGTGAGACATGTCTAAAAGGAGGGAGGTCCACATGGGACACTGCGCTAGCAACCATAATTAGACCGGAGCAGCGTGGATAAGGTGGGATCCATAGAGTGGGATAAAGTGGGCTTGTACTGATTTCATGAGAAAAAGACGGTGTAGAAAAAGTGGTAAATTCTCTTGGAGAGATCTAAAAAATTTGGGAACATGGTGTTGCTACGAGAAAGAAACCGTCTCCCAGGGCAATAATTGGCATTACCCATGGATGTAGGGAATTGAGTGAAGGCAAAGTAGGTAGAATTTTACTACGAAGTAGTAGCTAAGAGCTGCTGTTTTCCCAATATCTATCAATGATCAACAGCTCAAAAAGTGGACGGGGCTATGCATTTTAGCATTCAATGTTCTTCAGGATCCTCAATAGCCTCCTTTGTCGGTTAGATCCACTTTAAGTACTTTAAAATAGCTAGTGAACAGCCCAAATAGAACGTGAGATACCATTTACAAACCCTCATAGTATTGTAATGAATTCTAGAGAGGTCCCAGTAAACAACAGTCGCGGCTCCTAAAAGATTAAAATTTTGTGAAGACTTGATCGTCGATATGGAACACATCTATCATCGCCAGGAAACAGATCAGGGGAAAGAGTAGTATATTCACTAACTAATAGTAAGCTCAGTTATCACAAACCAATTGGATATCATGTTTGTTCGCCATGCCCAAAACTCCAAGATATGGTAAAAAGGCCGAAAACAGAAAGACAGACAGAGAAATTGCCAGTGCTCGAAACAAAAACAAGGAATTATAAATTTAAACAAATGCTAGTTCACCACTGCTGGCAACAGGAAGCCCCCGACTGCTGAGGTCGCGAATCGGTGGCGGTGGGTCCAAGTGTGTGTTTAAGAAAGGGTTGTTGGAGGTCTTTTGTGGGCTTGCCTTCCGAGACAAGTGCTCATCAAGATCGGATGCTATAGATGAACTGGGTGGCATAACCAACTGTCCCTCCGCATGAGCCATAGCCTTGGAGTGATTGCCAGATTCTCGACGGCGATTGCTGCTCAAACTAGTCTCACTCCAGAATCGAGGGAGCGGTGAGATAACACCCCGATAGTCCTGCGCCAAACTCAACTGGCTTTGACTCTTGCCACCTCCTTCAGCCAACGGGAACAAAGTTTGTGGAGGCTGGAGAGTGTGGTACTGCGACATGCGGTTCTCATCACCATATTCGGAGACCGATAATGCGGTCGAGTGTGGGCGTTCTTGGATCGATTTTCGGAACTCATCGGTAAAGGTTGATACAGACACTGTGTCTGCACGACTGCGAATGCTTCGAGCTCGCTCTAGGGCGCGCAGACCGGATGATGTACGGTGGCTGATCTGGGCAGAGAAGAGTGGGTTGGTGGAGTTACGGTGCTTTGCTCGGCTGTGGACGAATGCTTCTAAAGAATCCGCTTCCGAGATAGTGGACTCATCAGGCTCCACAGCGCGCAGAGTAAACCGTTTATAGTTTTCGGGAATACTTGATGCCATGCTGTGTCTCATTCGAGCGGCCGCAGGAGGTCGGGGGAATAGGGGTGCCATGTTCATCATGCTGCTCTCGTCGCTCATCAGAGAGGCTTTGGTACTCTGCCATGACATATGCACAAGCCCGTGCCCAGGAGGGCCGAATCCTCCGGCACCATGGCCAGCGCCGCTAAACCGCACTGGCAATCCGGAGGCAACAGAGGAAATTCCACTTGATCTTTTGGAGTATCGCTTGGAGCGAGATGACTGCATAGACTCGCGTTTCATGGCGCGGGGCTGAATTGACTTTAGGGGCTCACGTCGCGAGCGATTTGTAGATCGGCGACGACGCACAGGGGGGCTGCTCGTGAATGAGAGGCGTTGGTTTTGTTTTCTAGTGGGAGACTGAGAAAATGGCTTGTCTTCTTCGATGATCGAATCTCGTAAAGGGACAAAAGCACTTCGCTTAGGCGAGCGCGGTGGCGGATTAGGGGTAGGAATGGGACCCATAGAGTCTTCTGGTTTTTCAAAGGATGTGACGTTCCACGCGGGGCCAAGCTCTAGCTTGGGAAGATCAGAGGGAGTGATCGGACTCATCCAACCATCTGAGTCTTGAGAAGCCCTTTCGGGCCCAGGCTGGCAGTTCGGCATATCAGGTCTGACAGGTCGTGGTGGAGGTGACTTGGTTGTAAATTGATCTTCTTCCTCCACCACCTTGGGTTTTTTGCTTCGGCGACGCCAACAGCAGAAGAGTATAATTAGGCTCATGATCACCACAACAGGAATCACAACCGAGATGGCAATTACTCCGGCCTTCTTGTGAGAAGGGGTGGCCTGGTCTGAAAATGGATCCCCGGAGCTTGAATGAGTATCTGATGGCTCAAGGACATAAAGTTCAAAGTCTTGGGCGTCTTCGGTATCTCCTTGATGGGCCGTTAAAGCCATGGTGAACTTCTCCGGCTTGGCATCTGATGGGACATGGCCATAGAGCGTTTTGTTATCAGGAAAATAAGTAAGCCATGATGATAATTCTTCGGGGAGGTCAACATTTAGTTGAACAGAATCGTCGGTGACGGTAGACTGGTTGAACACAAACGTGAAGTCCTCGCCAATGGTCGCTTCACAGCCTTCGATAGTCTCTAAGAAAAGCTTCAAGAAGTCTAAACGCACCATGAGCGACGCCTGGTCTGAGTATGTATCCGTAACCGTAATTGTGATGTTTTGATTGACAGCATCCTTTGGAGGTGTGCCGCTCAGAGAAATCGAATTGTTGTCCATTGACAACCACTCTGGAAGTTCTGCGTCGACATTTGTCAGGTCCTTGCTAGAGATTGGCGAGCCATCCACAGTAAGAAGATCTTGGAAATCGGGCGTGGTGAATTTATCGCCTCTAGTGAGGTTGAATGTCTGTGCAGTTTCGTTGAAAGCGAGTATGTGGGGACCGATGGCGAGCTGGAAGGTCATGTTCGCAGCGCTGAAGCCAGCCACGTCGGAGGCAATAAGCTGGAAAGTGAAGGTTTCTGGCTCAGCTCCTGGAAAAGCCGGAGTGTTACCGACAAATTTGAGGGTCGAAGCATCAAAGCTAATCCATGATGGTAGCGGAGCGTTGTTAGGCGATGTTCCATAGTATATCGTGGAAGGGTGAGTATTTTGAAAGGTGGACGGATCAAACTCGATTGCGAATGGGCGACCAGGGTGGATGAAAAGTGTCGATGGGTATGAAACAGGACCGACAGTCTCCAGTTGCTGAAGAAGAGGCGTGCCTTTGGTTGGTCCTTGATCTGCAGTTACAATAAAAGTAACGTCCATGCTGTCGGACTCTGCGCCATTTGAGGCAACGAGCTTGAAGTTCTTAGAGCCCGCATCGTCTGATCCTGGTGTTCCAGATAGTACACGACTCCCATCTTCTACCGATAACCATGATGGCGCATCCGAGAGCGAGTATTTGGTGTCTGAATCTGAGTTGGCGAAAGTGCTGGCCGCGAACACCCATCGAAATGGCTGTGAAACTCGCGCGACCGGAGGCAGCTGTGAATTAATGGGATAATTAGCAGCAAGCGCTGCGGCATTTACTGCAACCACAAAGGCCAGAACGATGACGAGGAAAGGTGCCATGGCCAGTCGAGATGCTCGAGGTGAGCTGGCGGACAATGATTAGATTTGAAGGCACACAGAGAGCACGACCATCAACAACAATCATAATCTACGCACCAAAAAGAAGCCCTCGGGTGGCGTTTGGGGAATACTGGAGAGATAGAAGGAGATAGAAGCCGAAGATGAAAGAAAACGCCTCCATGATCTCTTGGAAGGATACCAACGCCCTCTCGTGCCAAAGGGACCGATAGGGAGCCATCAAGGCGTGCCCTTTCACGAAAGCCATGCCTGGATATGCTGAGCGTCACTGAAGTATGCAGCAGAGTGCAGAGTGACAGCCGAGAATGGGGGGAAGCGCGTCGGGACTCGGGCTCACGTTTCAAGCAGCAAGGGGTGGCTCCTTCAATCCACCAAGGAGCGCAGGGCCCAACCACCCCCCATGACTTCCGGCCCTTCGTCACATTTCCAAAGGATCGAAAAGGCAAGGAATAGAATATGCACCCAGGAAGAAAGAAGATTAGACCCCGCACGAAGTAGTGTGCTTCGGATAGCTGCAGGTGGCTTTTCATCCATCCAGTTCTAAATCCAGGACCAGTCGAATACCTGTCCGTCCAGGGGCATAATAGTCAGGGATCTCCTCTTGCTCCTTGAATCCACATCTCCCATACAGTGCCCGGGCAGGTTCCCTGGCCTTATCTACCCACAGTTGAATGTACTGGCAGCCCTCCTTCCGTAGGCGCTCCTGAATGTAGGACATAAGTTGCTGCCCGACACCCTGCCGGCGACAGGCCTCTATCACACAGACCTTGTGTAGGAGAGCAATGCCCTTTTGGCGCACATACACTGCATAAGCAATGAGCTCCTTTTTGGTGCCTTCGCCGGTTTGCGTCGCGTATAGTACTCGCGTGTTGGGCTTTTTTCTCCACAACTCCTCTCCGAAAGGGAAAGCCTCATTGGTTGGAAATGTCTTCTTTTCGATCCGTGTTATTTGGGCAAGGATCTCCAGTGCTTCGTTCCTCTTTAAGGAATGAATATCCGAGACGGTTATTGTGGGCGGCATTCTTGATCGCACCGTTAAGATCTGACTTCATTCCAAAATCCAATGTATCACAGCTTTTGATTGGAGCGGTGTCAGACGCGCTGCAGGCAAAAATCTCACGCGACGGTGCAACTTGAGTCTATTCAAAGAACAAATTCTCGGGCTTGGTGGAGGCGTAGTAGTCACTGACTCACTGATAGTGCTCAGATCGATTTCTCACAGGATTGGATTTGGTTTTCGCGCGTCAGGGTTTGTTTGGTCCACAACTCCTGCCTCAGGCACATGTGCAGTACTACCAGTTCCTGAATTGAATCATTGAATCATGTGTGTCAAAGATAGAGAGATGCCTGCATGGTAAGCCGATGCCTTATGATATTATCCAAGCCACAGTTAAATTCGTGCGAAACCCGATTTGCTCAGATCGATACGGAGTATTGTTGCCAGAAACCCGGTCGCACCTCGGGGCTTGGTTGACGAGCCTACTTGGCTAGCTAACGGAAAATATCCTGAAGAGTTTCTTTATTTATTACTATTTAAGGAAACCCCAGCTATCTAAAACACATTTAAAAAGTGCCATTTGTGACCTTTATGAGGAAAGGTAGTTGCTTCATTGGGTCCCTAAGCCAGTTGATGCGCAGTTGCACGAGTATCCGCCTAAACTCCCCACACCAAACAACCTTGGAAACCTACAAACCACGTCCTTCCGACATCACATCAGCGCCCTCGCGTCCCAGGAACGCGAAAGCGCGATTATAGCGACATGCCCACAGATGCTGATAATAAACGCCAGGCTGCGCGCGACGTCATCGATATTCTCGAGGACATCTCCAAGATTTTGGTATGTAGCCTTCTCATCCACTCGGGGAATCACTTGCGACGGATACTAAGCAATGAACCCTAGAACACAAACCTAACCCGGACGGAGCTATCTTTATGTGTCTCCTTAATTGAGAATGGTGTCAACCCCGATGCTCTTGCTGTACGAGATCCCGCCTTGACGATGTGTCACCATCTCGTCTGCCGATCAATGCTCACACTGTGATTTTAACTGACCGAATTTCTTGATTTAGGCTGTGGTTAAGGACTTGCGCAAAGAGTCGGTGAATGTCAATCGCAGCCAGTGATCCAGCATGAGATTTGTACGACTGGTATCACTGTTTCCAGCTTTTGGTGTCTTGAGCAAGAATGCCCGATGGAGTACTTGTTTGACTTTGGTTTATGGCGTTGAATAGTCTACTTGACCTATCCTGAAAGATACCCTTTTGTTCCATACTGTTCAGGTAATGAAAATCGAAACTCAGATTTGATTAAAGGCCCGCTGGGCTACTTTATCCTATCATAAAAATAGAAATTGTAATCTCTTCAGAGGTTTAGGTAGTACCTCAAGGTCTGTCGGATGGGAGGGGCATAGACGGAAATGAATGTCAAAGATGGCTCAGGAACTCGCAAGTCATGAAGATAAAAATCAGGGCTAGCATGGACATTATTCAAAGCAATAATAGAAGGTCCCGGACAACTACTTCGAGGAATCCTCGGTCTTGTTGTCCTTATCCTTGGAGACCGTGTCTTCGGGCACCGCCTCCACTGTCGCGTGCTTGGTCTGTTCACTCTCCAGCGCGCTGGTCTGTTCCTTGGCCTTACTAGGTTCCTTCTCGTCGTCGCTATCTCCAAGGCTGAACGGATCATTCTCCGCTACCGGGGACGGCTCAACATTTGCCAAAGGCTGCCACTTGCTGGACTTGCCACCAGTTGAGCTGCGTCCGGTATCAATCTCAGTCGCTGGTCCATCCTGGAAGGACACCTTACGCCGATCAGGGGATGGCGACGATGTTTTCTTGAGGTTCGTGGCGCCCAGAGGGCGGGGCGGACGGGGCGGGGGAGCTGACACGAGCTCGTTAGTCAAACATCATCTCACCTCCAGACTACTAAAAGGGAGTACAAACCTTCAGAATCCCTCAACTCCAGAGCCGAGAAATCATCTCCGAACACCTGCGGGTCTGCATCATAGCGCTCCCGATCCCCACTGCGACGGGCCATGTCACCACTCCGTCGTGGACGCCCAAATGAGGCAGGCGGCTCACGATTTTGATTGGGTTCCTCATCCAAATCATCTCCGTCGAGCCTTTTCTTGAAGCTTGTGACCCATGAATTAACCTTGGACTGTGTCTCCAAGAAACCCTTGCGCAGGTTGTCACGGATCACCGGCAAATCATCTGTGAACCGTCGTCCCTCGGTCAGCTCTAGTATATTTTCTGGAAGCGAAGCAGGAAAAATTACCATCGAAGAAGCTGTATTCTTTCTCGTCCGAGTCCTCACTTCCTCGTGGTTGGTGATACCGAGGGTCATTCTGCCATCCTGGGGCCTGTCCGCGGCGTCCGGAAGAGTTATAATGTTCGGCCAGTTGGCGCGCATACTGTTCGTCGGACTCCAGTTGGCTTCTAGCAGTAGAGGTGGCAGATTGGGTAGGACGAGGCGGTTTCGGAGGAGGCGCCATATCCTCCTGGGCAGTAGGGTCCGTCATGCCTAAGGAGTTCAGTCTCGTGTCATTCTGTAGAAAGATAGATCCTACGAACCGAGGAGCGCGTTGAATGCTCGTTCGACATTCCAATTGCTTGCAGTCAAAACGGCCTTGACCACACCGGCATCGATTGTCGGGAAAGCTTCCTTGAGCGTATTCTCCGCATGTTGTTTCGGGCTCATGGGTCGGGGCGGCTTCGGCGGGGCAGCGGGGGGAGATTCAGTAGCGGTCGGCTGGGAAGGGATGTTGTTTGCGGCGGTAACACCAGACTCCTGGGGCTCATCGTCAAAGTCAAGGGGTCGCGCAGTGGTAGGCGACTCAGCCCGGGGGCTGTTGAGCGCAGGTACGGCCGCAGGTTTGCTGGGAGTGGACTGCAGATTGAAAGTGAGCCTCCGTATTAACGCTGCAGGTAAGAAGTGTCACATACGGTCTTTTCTTCCTCGGACATTTTGGGTGGTGTCTTTATGTCCAAACTAAAGCAAAGATGGGAGATAACAGACGGAAGCAAAAAAAAAAGGGTTGCCTGCGAAAACAAGAAAAGTCTAGGACGCAGGCAGCACATAAATTGGGGAAGCTCTAAACAAGTGACGTGGTGCACGTGATAGGTCGCGACGGGAGGCTGTCAGGAGCATTTGGAGTCGCAATGGCATCTTTACTGGCACATCACCGCCAGATCTCAAATATCACCTCCATAGAGCTCACAATATGCTGCGCTCTCTTGACTACATGGATTCTACTTGATTCGAAAACCGGAGCGACTTGAAGAATCACGCATACTCTGAATCTAAAGTTTGCATCAAAAAGGGAAAAACGAAAATGGCTTCAGATCAGGATTTCACGACTTCCTTCATTCCGGCATTGTATAAGCCCGCAGCACTTCTACCCATTGCGCGACACAAAGCAAGCCTCTTGTATCTGGTCGAGACATACCCGGTCACCATCGTGGTTGGTCAAACCGGAAGCGGGAAAACAACTCAACTTCCCCAATATCTCGATCAAGCAGGTTGGTGTGAGGATGGAAAGGTCATTGCCGTTACCCAGGTATGTTCTAATCTCTGAAGCTTACGGTAATTCACTGCTGACTTTTTCTTATCAGCCCCGACGTGTGGCTGCCACTACGGTTGCTACGCGAGTTGCAGAAGAGATGCGCTGCAAAGTCGGAGAAGAAGTAGGCTACTCAATCCGATTTGAGGATTTGACCTCTGCTGCAACCAGGGTAAAGTTTCTTACCGATGGAATGCTGCTTCGTGAAGCTTTAGTCGATCCTCTCTTGTCCCGTTACTCGGTTATTATGGTTGACGAGGCTCATGAGAGATCGCTGAGTACCGATGTACTCCTTGGGATATTAAAAAAAATCCTTAGGAAACGTCCAGAGCTTCGTGTCATTATTAGCAGTGCAACATTGCAAGCGGAGGATTTTCTGAAATTCTTTGCTGGGGATGAGTATAAACCTGACGCAGAACCCTCTGACCTTGGCGGTGCAGTGGGCAGAATTATCAGCATAGAAGGCAGGATGTATCCCGTGGATACATTATTCCTGGATTCTCCAGCGGAGGACTATGTTGAGAGGGCTGTCAAAACAGTATTTGATATTCACACACAGGAGGCAGAAGGCGACGTTCTTGTTTTCTTGACGGGCAGAGAAGAGATTGATCGAGCAATTCAATTGATATCCGAGCGAGCTGCATCTCTGCATCCAAAATCCCCTACTTTGCTCCCGCTGCCGCTGTATGCCGGTCTTACTACAGATCAGCAAATGTACGTCTTCGAGCCGACTCCGGAGAACACACGGAAAGTTATTGTGTCAACCAACATTGCGGAAGCCTCGGTCACAATTGATGGAATCGTGTATGTCATCGACTGTGGGTTCGCTAAGCTCCGGGCTTACAACCCTAGTACTGGGATCGAGACCTTGACAGGAGTTCCGATTTCAAAGGCCTCAGCTACTCAACGAGCTGGACGTGCAGGAAGAACAAGACCTGGAAAATGTTTTCGCCTTTATACACAACAAACATACGAGCAACTCCCTGAAGCGACCATCCCAGAAATTCAGCGAGCAAATCTTGCTCCTATCGTCATGCAACTTAAAGCATTGGGTATCGATAACATCGTTCGATTCGACTTTCTGACACCACCACCTGCGGAATTGGTCATTCGAGCCTTGGAACTTTTGTTTTCTCTTGATGCAGTCGATGACTATGCCAAACTCACTAAACCACTGGGTATGCGGATGGCAGAGCTTGCAGTAGACCCTATGATGGCCAAGGTTTTACTTGCTGCCCCTGCATTCAAATGCTTGAGTGAGATTCTTTCCATTGCAGCCATGGTCAGTCTTCAGGGGACTGTATGGGTACAACACAACGACAACAAAAAAGCTGCAGAGAGTCACCGACGTAAATTTGCTGTCGAAGAAGGTGATCATCTCACTTACTTGAACGTGTATCAGGCATTTGTCACAAAAGGCAAAAAGGATTCAAAATGGTGTCGTGACAACCTGTTGAACTACCGGGCATTACAACGAGCAGTGAGTGTTCGTGGCCAGTTGAAACGGTATCTTGAACGCTTCGGTATTCAAGTCGATGAGACTTTATCGTCTCACCAGCATACTGTCGATCCAAGCAAACAGCCGGAACAGATACAGCGTTGTCTCTCAACTGGTTACTTTGCTCATGCTGCCAAAATGCAGCCAGACGGAACTTTCAAGACCGTTAGTGGGGGACTCACCCTTCATGCTCACCCTAGTTCCTTGATGTTTGTGAGTACTGTTCTTTTCTCGATGATATTTATTGTGGCTCTGTTACTGACTTGTTGTGTAGAACCGAAAAGCAGATTGGGTGATTTTTCATGAAATTATGCAAACCGGCGACAAGACCTACATCCGCGACATCACTAAGATTGAAAAAAGCTATCTCTTGGAATATGCACCGGAATATTATAGGGTGACCTAGTAGATCACTCCGTTAGAAGGGAACAAAACAGCAGTGAAAAGATACCCAGGCGTTGGATTTCATGCATACATAATACCAATTTATGACAAAAACCGCCAAATCATACACAATGCTAATCTTAAATATGATATGTAGTAGCAAGTATCAATTTGATCCTTGTTGATCTTTCACTTGTAGTTTTCTTACATTGTTTATCCCCATTAAGCTCATTGTTGATCGACGTCACGGGATGCGATGCGGAGAAGCTCCGCTCTTGAGCATCAACTTGGAGATTTTGCACCTCTTCTCTCCCCTATTCCCATATCTCCTCGCAACGCATTTAACCACACACCATGTCAGGACATGATGGCCACGATCATGGCCACGGTGGGCACTGTCATGGAGAACACGATCACTCAAATGATATCACTCCGGCTATTCAGTCTCTTCTGTATTCCCAAATTGACTTTGATTCGATCAGCACTTTGAATGGTTAGTTCTTACATCAAATCGCATTCCAATTTGCTATACCAACATTTGACTAACTTTTTATCAGAGGCAGCACCGAAGGCCGGGGCTGCAATCGTCAAGAAAACTTGGGCGGAACGACTAAATGACGAGCCTGAGCTTGAGAGCGATGCTGATGAGCAACTCCTCATGTATATTCCGTAAGAGCTCTTTCCCTCTTCGATCCACATTATGCTCTCCTTTATTGTGCGCTTCTTGTTGGGCTTTACGGATTTTAAGAACCCCACTATGCGCCCCTCATTATGGCCGAGGCGCATACTCAGCAGGAAAAAAAAAGCTAAAGCTAATCGAAGATCACAACTAGATTCACTGGTCAAGTAAAAGTGCACTCTCTCCTCCTCTACACTGCCCCCACTTCCTCTGCTCCGAAGACCGTCAAGCTATTCAAAAATCGTGACGATCTTGACTTCTCTATGGCGTCCGAGCTTTCTCCAACGCAAACAATTGAAGTCCCACAGCCCCAGGCTGGAGCCGATGTATTCGAACTCCCTTTGAATCGTGCCCACTGGAATACCACCACATCTATCACCCTTTTTTTTGAGGATAACTGGAGTGACGGGGAAGAGGATGTCACTAAAGTGGGATATGTCGGGTTCAAAGGCCAATTCATGGCACTGAACCGCGAACCCGTAAGCTTCCTGTATGAAGCTGCGGCCAACCCTAATGACCATGTTGCTATCCCCGGTGTCAGTGGCGTCGGGGGCCGGGTCATGCCTGGTCAGTGAGCCAAAAGGGCAAAAACGCAAAGTTGGAGACAAAAATGACCGAATTTCCTTGGATTGGAAAACAATATCCAGTTGGATATGTTTAACGACGTCTACATGCCAAATATGATGAATGATGAACAAAACACTTGTGATATATTCAAGTACCTAAAACCACCAACGCCGTGCAATGATCTGATTAAGGCCATGCAAAAGATTAACCCAAGCTAAATAATCAAATGTTATGCGGCCAGCACAGGTTCCCTCGTCTTCGTTCTGGACTTGGTCGGCTCGTCTACCTCTGCCTCTACTTCTTCTGGTGTGGACAAGACGTTGTTCGGGGCGTTGGGCAGTTCGGGCGCGACGTTGATCTGTGTCTCGCGCCGCAAGGCCTCCAATTCTTCCTCGACATCGTCTTCGTCCTGGTTTGTAAGATTTCCCTCGAGCATTTGGCTTATCTCCTAAAGTTGAACATTCGTTAGATAATTCTATGCATAGAGAGAAAGATATTCTTCTTACCTCTTGATAGGCGCGCGCCTCTTCTGTTTCTCCCATAAGTCTTTCCACGCCTTCGATCCCACCCATCTCCTTGTTGATCGCCTGTAAGACCTCGGTACCCTGCTGCAAGCCAAATAGTACATCCTTCTGCACGAGCGAGAACTCCACCTGGCTAGCTAGTTGCTCTAGCTGTGCGAGCTGTCCATCAGTCTTATCCAATAATGACTCTTGATATTTCTTGCGCCTTAGCGCAAGCAGCGCTCGTCGCCGATCATTCTGTGCCAGGCATTCTTTGGCGATTTCAGTTTCGCGATCGGTGAGGACGGTGATACGTTTGCGATATTGCTTGAGCTTATCGCGCTGGTTCTTGAGATCAAGGATCGCCCTGAGAATACCCTGCGAGTCAGTTACAACTGCCTTGGAGCTGTTTAGGAGGGGTCTCGTGAGGGGTTGGTTCTATCTCTCCGTCGGGATCTGCGCATCCCGAGTGGGATCATCAAGGGGGAATTAAAGACATAAAAACTCACCGATCCTGAGACGAGATCTTCTGGGAACTGCTTGTATTTCCCATTTCGCATTGTATTGTTGTGTTGTAGAGATCATTGGAGTTGGGGATGACGTTTGGGTGTCCACCGCCAATGAGCCGCCGCTAATCCCCGAATCGTCCGATTAATCTTTCCCGCTTTTTTTCCCCAAATCTTTTTTTTCCTTGTTATCGCACGCAAAAAGTACACAATTATGCCTCGGCCTCGTGCGGGAAGACCGACCCTCAGTCAAGGCCTGGACCGTGAGGTATGATCATGTTCAGTATTTTAAAATTGGATTTGTTCGTCTTACTTACGCTCCGTGCAGGTCTACCAGGTCGTGCGCAAAATTATTGATGATCAGCCCGAGACCAGTCGCATTCGTCTTTCTGTCCCGTCCGTTTTTGAACAGATCAAAAAATCGAATTCGAGTTTAAACCGCAGGCCGAAAAGGCTTTTGGAAGACAGCCTGGAGCGCGTACTGGAGGTTGTCAAGGCTGATTTGGTTGGGGACGACGAAGAAGACTCGGTGGACGGTGATTTTGAAGGCTTGGAAGAGCCACCCGTGGTGGTAAGCAATACTCCTGCTTAGGGCTTGCTGGAAATCAAAGGACTGGTATTGATATATCATTATAGGACACCAACGGCGTCAATCAGAGCATCATCGGCATGTGGAATACCCCGAAGGCTTCAGCCAAGAAATCCGAGTCGTCAGGCACATCTTCGAAGCGAAAGAAGGAAGGCGGGGAGTCAGCCTCTAAGAGACGCAAAGCCGAGCCTATCGACCGATCCCCTCCTACACATGTCAGTTTGGCGGATTTGGGTGGCTTAGACGATGTGGTGCAGGAATTGGGTGATATGGTGATCTTGCCCATGACTCGGCCGCAGGTGTATATCTCTTCAAACGTACAGCCGCCGCGTGGAGTGCTACTACACGGTCCTCCAGGTTGTGGTAAGACCATGATCGCAAACGCCTTTGCTGCAGAGCTTGGTGTGCCCTTCATCTCTATTTCTGCCCCATCAATTGTGTCCGGCATGTCAGGTGAATCTGAGAAAGCTCTTCGCGAGCACTTCGATGAAGCTAAGCGCATTGCTCCTTGTCTCATCTTCATTGATGAGATTGACGCTATCACACCAAAGCGAGAGAGCGCTCAAAGGGAGATGGAGAAGAGAATTGTTGCCCAACTTCTGACTTGTATGGATGATATTTCTCTTGAGAAGACGGACGGAAAGCCCGTTATTGTCTTGGCGGCTACCAACCGTCCAGACAGTTTGGATGCAGCATTGCGTCGTGGTGGTCGATTTGACAAAGAAATTAACATGACTGTTCCCTCAGAGCCAGTCAGAGAGCAGATTCTCCGGGCATTGACCCGAAAGCTGCAGCTGGCTGATGATCTTGACTTGAAGGCTTTGGCCAAGAAGACTCCTGGATTCGTTGGTGCCGATCTTAACGACCTTGTCTCCACCGCAGGCGCCCACGCCATCAAGCGTTATCTGGAAATCCTCAAGTCCAACAGTGGAGAGGAGATGGAAATCGAGGGAGAAGACGAGCTTAGCCCCAAGGTCCGCGAACTACGCCGCCTAATCACACACGCCAGAGAGAACCCCATTGGCGACGAGATAGAAACTGTTCTCGTCTCCAATGCTGACTTCTTTACCGCACTCCCTAAAATCCAACCCTCATCCAAACGTGAAGGCTTCGCCACTATTCCCGATACTACTTGGGCCGATATTGGTGCCCTTGGTGGCGTCCGTGACGAACTTTCCACTGCCATTGTTGAACCGATCAGGACGCCCGACATCTACGAAAAGGTGGGTATCACTGCCCCCACGGGTGTTCTCCTCTGGGGTCCCCCTGGTTGTGGTAAGACACTGCTGGCCAAGGCCGTCGCCAACGAGTCGCGCGCCAACTTCATCAGTGTCAAGGGTCCTGAGCTACTGAACAAGTTTGTTGGTGAATCCGAACGCGCTGTTCGCCAGGTCTTTGTTCGCGCCCGCTCCTCTGTCCCTTGCGTCATCTTCTTCGATGAATTAGATGCCCTTGTGCCTCGCCGTGACGATACACTGTCCGAAGCCTCGGCCCGTGTTGTCAACACCCTTCTTACTGAGCTTGACGGTTTGGGTACCAGACAAGGTATCTATGTCATCGCAGCCACCAACCGTCCTGACATTATTGACCCTGCCATGCTGCGTCCCGGCCGTCTCGAGACCCTGCTCTTCGTTAACCTCCCCACGGCACTTGAGCGTGTCGAGATTCTCCAGACTCTCATCCGGAAATTGCCCATCGAATTCAACGACGATCTACGCAGACTTGCTGAGGAGTGTGAGGGCTTCAGCGGTGCTGATTTGGGCAGTCTGTTGCGTCGTGCTGGTTACATGGCTATCAAGCGTCGTGACAGCATTAGATTCGAGGACTTTGCTGCCGCGAAGACCTTCGTTCGGCCCAGTGTTACGGATATGAAGAAGTATGAAAAGTTACGTAGAGACTGGAGCGGCGGCGTGGTCTGAGACCTACTGCATACCTCCATATGTTCAAATGTTCGCTCGTGCAAGTTATATCGAGCTGGTTTTGGTTATCTTCTGGGTACACCTTTTTGTTAGACATAGATACCCTGTGAATTTGCAGTACAGATTTACCTACAGTAAATAAAGCAGGTTCCTCCACCTAAACATGGACTATTTTCCGAGTGTACAATTTAAGTTTTGATAATATCCTACTAATACTACTAGTATGCACAAATTATCCAAGTGGCGTTCCCCTTATATTACTGCTCATGCAGAGCTCCCGCTGAGTTAAATCCCACATCCCACATCCCACATAGTGACATCCCACATCCCACATTGCGGACCCACTGCTGCCAAACCCTTACAGGAAAATAGCTTCATTCAGCAATTGCCAATGACAAATCCATGGCTTATGGATCATAAGGGGGAAAATTCGGAAAATTCAAATTTTCGGTTTAATGCTCAACTTATGCATACACCTCGGAGCCCATTGGTAATCGTGATTCGTCAGACCTTTTTGCGTGGAGCAATTCAGTTGACCCCATGGATCTAATATTCCAAGGTTGAACTATTTAATAGAAGGCTTAGTCCGCAATTCTGTTGATTGAAAATATCTGATTCATCAACTTCTCAGGAACCACTCCAACATACACTTCACAACCAATTGAACGCTCCCATTCACGATGAGTAGAACTACTGTCGTCATCATTGGCGCTTCACACTCGGGACTCGGAGTTGCAAATGGGCTTTTGAAAACCGACTCCGACAAGGTCAAGGTCATCTTGATTAACCCATCAGATAAGGTCTATTTCAACATCGCGGCTCCTCGCATCCTCGCCAAGCCCCAATTCTTCAAGCCCAACCAATATCTCCTCGCTATCGAGCAGTCTTTCTCAAAGTACCCGAAGGAGTCTTTCGAATTCATCAAAGGAACCGCAGCCAGTATCAACACTGCGTCAAAATCAGTCGAGTTGGCCTCGCAGCAATCCCCTATCTCATATGACTATCTTGTCATCGCATCCGGCAGCACCACTTCATCCTCCATAGAAGGAGAGCTGGCTCCTTTCAAGCCCATGAACGAACATGATCTCGAAACCTCCATCTCCTCAATCCAAAAGGCCATCTCCAGCGCGAACAGCGTCATTATCGGTGGAGCGGGCCCAGTCGGTGTTGAATTCGCCGGAGAGCTTGCGGAAGCCTTCAAAGACAAGAAGGATGCATCTATCACTCTCGTTTCCGCCTCGAAACGTGTCCTGCCCATGCTCAAAGAGAAGGCCAGCCTGTCAGCGGAGACGACACTTGTGGGAAAGGGTGTCAAGATAGTCAATTCAACCAAGGTGAAGAGCGCTGTGCGCAGCGCGTCTGGTAATCAAACCGGATGGGCTGTCAATCTGGACAACGGTGAACAGCTGCAAGCGGATTTGTACATCTCTACGACTGGCACGCTTCCCAACAACCAGTTTATTCCAGCGGAGTTCCTCTCGACTGATGGTTGGGTGGCGGTTGATGAAAACCTTCGCGTTGCAAAGGGCTCAACAGATGGCCGCATCTTCGCACTCGGTGATATCACCACTCAGCCACTGCGCACTGCTATCAAAGTCGCAGATCAGGTCCCAGTTGTTGTTTCCAATCTCAAGGTTGCAATTCTTGGCAAGGGAAAGGTTGCTACCTACGATCCTAATGGGTCTTTGATGATGATTGTGCCAATTGGAGAAAGTACCGGAACTGGTCAGATGTTTGGATGGAAACCTTGGGGAATGATGGTTTCGATGGTCAAGGGCAAAGACTTCTTTGTTTCAAAGGCCGCTGGGATGCTTGGATTGAGCTAGTGTTGATTTACTCGTCGTCTCACCTTCCTTCTCTCGCGTTTCGCTACGGCTTGCAATGGTTTTGTTCTGCAAAGGTTCAAACCTCATCTGCATTTGCATCGGTTCCACGGGTTGTTTTATTCCAGTTTATACATGTCTGGTGCTTTGTCTATATCTATTTTTCATAGTGACTTAATATTAAATTTAATCCCATGTCAATAAGTTACCAATCCACGTCTAATGTAACATTTAGAGTACATAAAAACTGGGGGTTCGCCCCGAGGCGTAATTCTTCATTGGAAATAAGGTGGATACAAAATTGAAAACCGACCTCCGAATGCTAGATCAAGTGATGTGTAGAGTATGTACCCACCCTTCCTGGGAATTATTGAGGGATTAGATACTTCTCAAAATTGAAGAGTGTAGTGTAGATTTGGCGTTTTGTATTCTATGGATCCAAAGGAATTGCTTCAAATTCCAGAATTGGTTAGTCCTGTATCAATAATAATTGCGTCCTTTAAATGAGAGAACAAATAAGGATTTATCCTCTGCAATAAAGCATTATAGGTTTCCTCAGCACAGCTTGTCAAACAACAACCTAGAACCATTCCTAACGTGAAGTCCCATGCAACAACGGACGATAGCTCATTCCATCTACCCGATTCCGGAGTACTGTCGAAAAGGCTTCCCACCAGAGTGCGAACATCATGATCCGACCAACCGATAGCGCTGCTGTTCCAAATGTGACTTGGGGCTGGGGCTCGGATTTGCAAAACTCGAGGGTTGAAAAATTCCAAGGGTTTGAATTTAGGGTGATGCTTAATCATGAGACAATTGAGATGGACGTGCGCTTTGAAATGAACAAGGGCAAGTCTATTCGAATGCTTAGCCCAACCTCATGCGGTCCGGGTGGCTCAGGTAAATGGAGGGGTTACATACCTTTGATACATTTCTCGATGTATTGGGTTGGTAATTGCGGTGTCGATTTGTTGCTGGTCATACACACCACATGGATTAAAGACCTCATAGAGTTCTTTATTGCCGATTACTCCCCAAGGAAAGCAGTCTGCTTCCCTATAAGTTCCAATGATAATAATAATAAGGAGTGCCTGGAACTCAGGAAGAAGCTCAGGCGCTGGAGCTCTTGGGGTAAATCCTTTGACTGAAGTTTCAAACTAGAAGTTCGAGGTTGGTTAACGGCCACTCATAACGATATACGGATAGAGAACGCATGAGGGAGAGGAGCCTTTACGAGTTTCCGATCGAGTCCATTCAGAATGGTGTCATGATAAAGCTTTGCCTCGTCTCTTGCCCGGGGGTCTCCTACCATCCATAGTCCAGCCAATAAGACCGCTATTGATAGGGTAGGTATTTGCGCTGAGTTCTGGAATGTTTGGTGGTGCAAAATAGGCCAATGTGGATGGAATTTGCTGAAGTAAAGCTCTTCTAGCTGGCTTCGATTGGCAGCTTGGAGTAGTTTGACAGCGGGGGTTGAAGGCAGATCCAACTTCCATGTTTCGCTTTGTGGAGCAGCTGGCATCGGAACGTCTCTGATAGTAGATTCACCAGCCTGTACTGTGCTGTGGTCATCGCTAGATTTGCTGCGGTTGGCCGCGGGAGAGCCCTCGAACTGAAGCGTGTCAGCCAGGCGCTGAGAATTACTGTGATTTAGTGCTATATGGCGGTTGAGCAAGTCCCTGTGACGGAATTTTTCACGTTACTTCAGCAGGCGTAAAGCAAAATCCATTTGTCAGCTTTAACTAACCTGCGGTTGAACTTTGAGGGACAAGCCTGGCAAGTGAAGGGCCGGGCATTGGTATGATCTCGTTCGTGCCGTTGCAGATGTTCCTTTCTTAGATATGAACGGTTACAGCCAGGTCGCTGGCACCGGTAAGAGGCTTCCATAAGACAATGCTCAATGTTAAGGCTTTGCAGTATTTGAAATGCTGTTTTCTGTCTGGTTTAGGGGCGAGAATATTAGTGATAGCGTCCGACTGTTGGAACCTGGTAGATAAAGCGCTAAACTTCGGCCTCGTATTAGAGAAAAGCTCGAGAGCCGGCATGGCCCATAGGTAATATAGCGGAGCTAGGCAGTGGGGACCAGCAATGTTTAATAGAGGGCTCGAATTCTGCCGGATTTTATTTGTAAGGAGAATTCCTTTATTTAGGATATGTACACTTTTAAATTCGCGCAATTTTCCATTGGCTCTCGTGGCGGGCGGTCAGCTTAGCGTAGTCCAAATAAGGAAGGCGGTCTTGAAGTTTTGGAGCATCATTATAGTTCAAGTTAGTAGTACTGAGGACATACATCAGTGTCATTCTTATTCACAGCTCGCCCTGCAGTCTGTGTTTGCCATATGTGCTGCCTCTTATATGTGAAAATAAACGAGATCAAAATTGCATCAATAATTCATATCTTTAGCCTCTAGATATTTTTCAAAGGTACTTTTAGAACAGTATGGGCTATACAAAAGAACTATGCACACATACAACAGACAACGCCATGGATAACATGATAAAGAAAAGAGAAAAGTATATCATCTGGATGAGCCTCCAAGCAAAATTACATCCACAACCGACATGTACCATCGGCACCAGCACTGACACACCAGGCTTCACGCGGGTGCCAGTCAATGTCCAGGACACCCAATTCACCAGTGACCTTGTGGCCCTTGAGAACCTTGAGTGGAACAATGGTGGCATTGCTAAGCATGTCTCCTGTAACGCTGCCGTGGAAGATCTGAATAGAACCATCGTCACTAGCATCGGCGAACAAGGGGTAGCGGCCACCGGGGTGGAACTTGACGGCACGAATAGCCTTGCGGTGGTAGCGAAGGGTCTTGTAAGGGCGGGGGGACAGATCCAGATCGTGCCAGAGCAGACGACGATCATAAGATCCAATGATGATGTTGTCGCCGCCGGAGGCAGTGGAGGAGGTAGGGTGGATATCGAAGGAAGAGATCCAGCGCGCACCAGGCTGCAAGATCTTGACCAGCAGTTGTCGTGAAAGGTCGTACGCGCGAATGGAACGCTGGTTTGCGACAAAGAGAATCGGTTTCGAAGGATGGAAGTGAGCTGTCTGAGGGGGACCACCACCCTTGAGGCGGCGTCGGAAGGGGAATTGGGTGAGGTGCTTGGAGATGGTGTGGATGGAGATGGCCACGGACGCGGGGGTCGAGGCGCCGGAGCAGACGGTGACGAAGTAGTCACCACGACGGTGCCAGGAAATAGACTTGGGCACGTAACGGAGAGGAATGACAACAGAAACACCGGCTTCGGCCAGGGCAGATGAGGGGCGAATCCACGAAACAGGCTTGTTGGCCTTCTTGGCCTCAACGATGTTAAGGGCAGGGGCAGATGCTGCATAACCCCAACCTCCGTCGAGGAGCTCCAGACTAGCCTTCTCGATCTCGGGATCGGCAATCGGGGGAACTGAAAGGTAGATGTCGTCTCCACAGGCGGCAGCAAGGACGATAGCATCCTTACCAGGACGCCAGCTGACAACATTGACGGCATCCTCATCGCTCATCTTGGCGCTCCAGAGCTGGCGACCAGTCAGGAGTTCCCAGACACGAACTGTACCATCGTCACCACCAGTTGCAAGCCAGATTCCAGTCGGGTCCACAGCAAGCGAGCGAACACGGCCCTTGTGTCCGCGGAACACTGTCGCGCATGACGTGGGGAAAGGCTTGAGTTCTTCGGGGCTGGGAAGCTTGGGGAGAAGACTTTCGGGGTCAATGTTCAGCTTGCTGCGACGAACTCTGGGTGCCAGGTAAAGATCCAAGCAACGCTCGAACTTCTCCTTAATAAAGTTCTCAAAGCCAGGAACCCGACGAAGAGAACCGAAGTCATTGGGCAGGAATTCCTTCTCCCGATCCTCGGGGTCAGTCTGCTCCCACTCCTTGCGCTCCTTCTTATCGGGAAGGTACTCTGGGGGCGGGTGATAACTCTCCTCGTAGCCAGGTGGCGGCAGTTTGGGTGCCGGGATGTGCATGATGTGATCCTTGCGCTCGACCTCGTCGGCCCAGAGATCGAAGTTGACGACGTTCTCATCCTCATCCTCACGCTCCTCCGGTGCTCTATAAGGTTGAATGCGGCCCTCGCGGATGGCCTTCACAATCTTCATCACACGCTTGGCCTCGTGCTTGGATGGCACAAATCTGCGCTTGGGCTCTGGGGCAGCGCTGAGGGGCATGATCTCCTGGTGGCTAGAAAAGTATTCCACCAAGGGCTCATATTGATCGTAGCCATCACTGGTGATCTCGTTCATCTGCACCTTCTTCAACAGCATCAATTCATCTTGAGTCAAGTTCAAAGGCTTGCCAGTGGATGGATCAGTAAGACCGGTCCAGCCCTTGGGGATCTCAATGCTGTCCAACAAAGCATCCAGCGCTTCACCCTTGGCCGGACGCATGATCTTCTTTCCATTGATGTTGTAACCGATGTGAGGGTACTGGTCGTAGAATGTCAGAGGGATATCACCAATGGTGTTGGCGTTTTCCTCAGCCTCGGAGTAGTCTGAATTGTCGTCGGGGATGATTTCGTCGTATAGGTAGCGGTCGTTTCCGTTGGCGTCCTTCACGATGCGAACGTTGGGGTCGTCGGCATTGGAGCGGACAGTCTTCTTCTGCTTCTCCTCATCCTCCCCATCGGAGGGGATCTCATCACTGTCCAATTCCTCCTCATCGTCTTCCTCTTCATCGCTGAAGTCATCAATCAGCTCGATTTCGGAATCGCTTTCGTCTTCGCTCTCCGAAAGTTCGTTGTCATTGTCGGAGAGATTGAGGTTTTCTGCGCTCAATTCATCACCAGAGAAAACTCCAGCTTCCTCCTCCACATCGCGAGTAACCGCCTTGCGCTTCTTTGTGGCGTCTCTGGCGACCATGATTGCCGTATGGACTGGGATACTTTGTTCCGCGATTTTTTTTTCTTTTCTTTTCTGTCGACTCCGCTCACACCGCCCACATGACTCTCCGCCCCCCAATCTTATCGCGTATCAAAAGATCGACTGTATCTGATTCAATCGATTATTTTCATTGTCTGTCTTTGTTCTGGTGCTGGGGTGCGTTAACTTGAACCGCAGTCATGGCAGACGTGGGAATATCCGCTCCTAATGGCGATTCAGCAACAAACGTAGAACCAAAGCGACATGCAGCTTGCGATGAGTGCAGTAAGTCCAGGAAACTATCTTGTATTTGCTATCGGATTAACGCTAATCAAAGACTATTTGAATAGGGAAACGAAAGCTGAAGTGCTCTGGAGATCTTAGTGGCTGCTCCCGCTGCTTGAAGCAGTCTATTCCATGTCATTACTCCATACAGAAGCCTATGGGCCGTCCACCCAAGAAAAGGGCTCGCGCCGATGACGATGCACCTGATCTCTCTACCCAATCCAATAATACTACATTCTGGCCCACTCCAGGCGATACACCATCAAACTCCTTTCCTATAGCTCCAGACACTATCTCTGCAGACGACGCACATCACCTATGTCCACAACTATTCTGGCAAACTCTTAGTCGCTCGTCTTCATCACAGCCCACGCCACCCGATCTTCTACTGGCAGGAGATGAAGACCACATCCAAGCCCTGCAGCCAGATAGGCTGAAGAATCCCAACCTTCCTGTTCCTGCATTCTCAAGTCCTTGGCCAGACTTTTCCACTGTGTCTCAATCATCAGCTATGCCCTTCGCCGCGCCAACAAGCTTCTCCGATATACCCTCCCTCCCACTTACCCCACCATCTATATGCTCGGATCCCGCTGCGCCCCAATGTACATGTCTATCCTATCTCTACCTCTGTCTCAGCCATATATCGTCCATCGCCTCTTTCCCTGTCAACAATCATACCCTTTGCTCCCTCTATATCGCGGCCCGAACAGCGCAGGACGTCATTCGCTGCGAAGCTTGTCCGAAAAACTTTTCCACTGGTGTCCAGAACGTAATGTTCACCGGCACATTGTTGACAGTTGTCGCAGATGCCTGGCTGCGCGTGTCGAATAGTGATCCTGTCGAGCTAGGGATGCAGTCCGCCCCGCCAGATTATGCCTCCCGCGTTCTGCAAAGCGCTGATCCAGCACAGATGTGGAATGACTGGCTGCGACAGATAGTGCGTCGAGCCGTCATTGGTGGCCCATATGATCCTAATGGTTTGAATGCCCACCCCCAGTGCACTGGCCAGCCACCTCTCATCGATCTTATCAATGAAGTTGAGGATCGGCAGCGCCGATGGCATAAGCATGGTGAACATCCGCTCAAGCACAATAATCCTTTTCAGAGTGAGAATTTCGAGCCCCAGTCTGGTGATGAAAAAGAGCTTCTTTGCATGCGTGTTGTTGGTAGTGCTCGCGCAGTTCTTTCGAAGTTCAATTTCGAACCCCATGAATTTCCTGAAGGCCTTACTCCGGAGACATTGAATACAAGGGAGCAGGGAGTCATTCCAGCATCCAATTAATTTTCCTTGGAATCCTAGAAGCATGAAGCATACGAAAATATATTTATCGTAATTTTTGTATACATGGTACATTTTCTGACTTCAGTAACTTTTCCAGTGCATAGTACTATTCAAGTTAATGTTAGTATAGATACAAGTACTACGGAGTACTTACTACCTACTGGTATTATGATTACTACCACGCCTGATTCACAATCCACAATCTACATACTCAAAGCCAGCACTTGAGCACTTGAGCACTTCTTGAATGTTGCTGGAGCAGTCAATGACTGCAGGGCTGCGCATAGTACGACCTTCAAATACTCAACAACCTGAAACATTCAATGTTGAGTCTCGAAATCCCTCTCGTACACTAACAAACCAGTGGAACCAGCTATCATTTCATTACATATAATATTTTTGGTATCGAAAATGACAAATACGTAAGAATCTAGCTATGCCCGGATGGATTCGATGTCGGTATCCCCACCCCGTAAACGTGACGCCAAGGCCTTAATGACCAGATGAAGAGAGAAGAAGAAAAAAACTGGAAAAGGTAGCTATGGTAAGACTACTCCTCATCGTCGGAATCCACGACATAACGATTCTTCTTTCGGGCCGGAGGTGTTCCCGAACGAGGTGCCTCCGGCTTGCGGGCAGCCTTTGCCGGGGCAACCTCATCATCTACCTCGCCCTCCGCATCCATATCTTCATCTTCCAATTCTTCCTCCTCCTCATCATCGACCTCCTCAATTTCTTCATCGCTTCCGACAAGGAAGCCGTCGTCTTCATCGTACTCATCCTCGCGGGAGCGGGCACCACGGCCATAATCATCGTCGTCATCAGAGTAGATCTCACCACGGCGGTTAGGGCGGCGGGGCTTAGCACGAGCTCGTGTAGCCAGGCCATCATCTTCGAGGCCACCAACGCTGAGGCCGCTCGGCCCAGAGCGAGGAGCGGGTGCACGGCGTCCACGGTCTGCTTCGCGATCCGCAAGCTGCTGGCGACGACGTTCGGCCCGCAAGGCCTCCCTCTCCAGATGCTCCGCCTTTCGTTGAGCAAGTTCAGGATCCTCAATTGTATCAATGACGGGCGCTGATCCATCGGCGGTCTTCTTGTTACCACGAGTGGCCGCAGCCAACGAGGCTTGAAGTTTCAGGACGGCATCGTCTGTCTCCATTGTTGTTGGTAAAACGGTGAGTCCATGTGTGACGTGAGAAGTCAATCGGAAGAGCGAAGCAGTTTCTATTGCGGCGCCAAGATAAACATGTGAGTCCAGCTTTGTATCGTACTCGCCGGACTTGGTGAGGGGACAAAGAGGTTTGGATGCAATGCGGTATTGTTCAAGAGGGGCGCACGCAAGCTGAAGAGTCATGGAGCCATCTTCCCATCGGATGAAACGCGCATTTGACTGCAAAAGAGATCCATCTTTGGGATCTTTGCGCCAACAGAGTGATGTGGCAGCTGTGGCATATGGAGGCGCAACGTAGGTTGCTGGGTTGAACTCCTCCGACTCGATCGAGAGAAAGTCCGGAATTCGCATGGTGTATACCTGTCAACAGAAATTAGAACACGCAACGTATAATTCATTTACTGAATCCATGTACCTGTCCATCATTGGTCGCTGGCACTGGCGCCCGCGCGAGGCCCACGTCCATAATGTTAACTGTCTCGGCGAAATCATCCTGATCGGGTGCCTCATCCATGCGGTCTTCGCGACGATCGTATCGGTTCTCGTCATCACCCGAATCCAGCTGTTCGTCTTCTAGGGTACGGTGAGGCTTGCTAAAGTGAGGGTTAGTTTCATTGCGCAATGGTGTTGATATGAGGGAGTAATCCGTACTCATTTTCTCCTTCGTTATCGTCTCCATCCGAGCCGAAGAGATCGGCGTCATCGTCCTCCTCCATATTATCATTTCCTGCTCCGTAGGGGCTCTTGTTCTCATCGCCGGAGTCATGGCCATCATTTTGGGAAGGACTTTGCACGCCATTGCTGCGGCCGGGACGGCGGACAGCCTCCTCGTCAGAAGAGGACATGGTGGGGTGGGTTGTCTGGGTCAATTGACAGGTGCAATAGGATTTCAAACGCAATTGATCAAAGTACTGTACAAGTAGAGAAAGGTGATTGAGGAGGGGGGAAACAAGTGATTGGGAGCTCCGTCCATTCGACTTCAATTCAATCACTGTATCTCGGACGCAGGACGGATCAATATATAATCCGGAGCCGGGCCCGAAGTGGTTAAGTGGGACCCAGTGGGAATCACTCGGGCATCTTTCACCGTTCTTGACCTTCAATCGTGTCTCAGTGTGCAATTGATTGGATATTGAATATATAAAGACACGACAAAAAAAGTCTGGAAATATGGCGACTTTCTTCCAAAGCGTGTAAGTTCTATGGTTTAGAAGATTCGTGTACAGAAAGCATGGGTTTTCCCCTTGAAATCGAATCTCATCCTTATGTTCCCCCCTCATATACACTGGCTCTACTGCTTAATGTTTAAACCACGGCGCCACATAACCCAGCGAGCACATTCCAATTCCCCTCCAAAGTCTATTATTGACTATTTGATCCATTTCCTGATGTTTTCTTTCCCCTCCAACCTCCCCCTTTCTTAATTTTGTCTTATCGACCCCTCCATTTACCCCCTGTCAAACCAGCTGATCCAGCCCGGACCCATTGCTAATGTATCCTCCTTTTCGCAGTCGCCAAGGGTTTGGCAGGGGAGGAAACAACAAGAATCAACCACCCAAGAGCCCCGCGCAAGCTCCGCAAGACCCTCGATCTGGCACCATGTCCAACTCGCCCTCATTGTCGAACAGCTTAACTATTGATAATCTTGCCGCAAATGACCCCGACGCCCCAAAGTACTTTTTTCAGGAGAAGTACGCCCCCCTAAACGTCAGGGGTAACTTCTTGACCCTATGTGCTTGCCCTAAGAACGTCGAGCTGGGTGAATGGCTGGCTCACCAGAGTAAGCATTTCCTCTACAACCTGGAAATAAATATGGTGGATCGATGCTGATATGATGGTTTCACTAGTTGTTGAACAATATCGCTTGCTTCATGGTATGCTACAGGTTATCCAAGAAGTAAATGCCGTGAACGGAATGCCCATTTGCAATGAAGGCACCTGCCCAACAATGTCTGCTGGACGGTATGTAGAACGCTGCGGGGTAATGGAGAAATCCGGGGTTGACAACGAACTGACGCATGCGCTCTGTAGGTTGACTTACACCTGGCTCGTCGATGGCCGTGCAGCTAAGATCTCGGCCCCGAAGTTCATCAACCGAGTTGAGAAGTGGATTGTTAGCAAAATCCACGACCCGGTCATGTTCCCCACCGAGAAAGTCAACGGTATCCCCGAAACCGCCTCTATCAGGGATGCAGCGACCCCTTCGACCACTCCCGCCCCAGAAGGTGCCAATCCCGGAACAAATGGAAACGGCACCGACGAATGGATTGGCAAGTCAAGCGGTTTCCCCCAGACCTTCTATAAGGACTGCCAGGGCATCATGAAGCAGATGTTCCGTTGCTACGCGCATCTGTACCACGCCCACTGGTTGAACCCGTTCTGGCATATCAACAAGCACGACATCTTGAACATGTGCTTTGTCCACTTTGTGACGGTGGCCAAGTACTACCAACTGGTGACAGACAAGGAGATGGAGCCTATGCAGCCCCTGATCGACCTCTTCATCAAACAGCAGCGAGTGCCTCCGGAGGCGCTCAACGGCGGCCACTGGGCTCAAGCCTCGACCTAGATGAGTTGAGGCTCCATATTTCCCCGTCTTTTTTCTTTCTCTACACATGACGACCATAACATGTTCTTCAACCAGGCGTTGGACCACATTGTTCTTTTTTAGTGTTCTTGTTTGTTTGCGATATAAGGGCAAATTGGAATGAATCTGCCGACGATACGACCCAGACCTAGGGCTTTGAGCATTTAGCATGCGTGAAAAATTTATGATGATCTTGCATATCTCCAGTTCCTGCATAAGCTAGCCCAACTGGAATGTTTTTGTCTAGAGGCTTGCAGATAGATGCAGGTCAGCCAAGACCGCTATTCTGGGGCTATGCAGCATCATTGGCAGGGGAGCGACTTGAAATAGGAGATTCAGTAGGACATATAAGTTTCCTGCAACCCAATATCTTCATCCATTGTAGAGTGCGGGCCGCTGTTTCGAAAGCGCGTCGCCTTGTTTTCATGGTTTGAAGAAGCGCTTCAGGCGGTGTGTGCCTTTAGATCCCTGGTCCTCTTTTAAGATCTAGCATGGTTGTATCCCAACATTCCTGTCGCCCGGTGGTCATAGCTGTTGTCATCGAAACGTGTAGTTGATCAAAGATAAACCCCATCCTCCTGCCCCGCATTCGCATTCGCATTCGAGCTCTGATCTCCAAGCCCAGCAGTCCCATTCGACACCGGCGCAGAGGTCTCTTCGGAGGATGCTTGAGCCTCGTCGGTTGAATCCTTCTTCTCTTCAATCCATGTCTGCCCCCGCCTCTCCACCTCAACTTTAAGCAACGAAAGTCGCTCATTCATCGATGTGACCACCCCCTCATTCTCCAAGACATACCCCTCTAGCTCTTTCTTGTCTTCTTCGGTTTCCTGTGATTCCGCAAGAAAGAAACGCATCTCCTCGTTGGAGCGGTGCAGGTGCGCGATTGAGTTGCGGAGCTCGGAGACTTTGCTGTAGACTGCGCTGAGGGGGAGTTCGGCGATCGCTTCGGCGAAGTCGGTGGGGTTTATGGAGGTTGTTTGAGCGGCCATTTTGGTGGTTTGTGTGGTTGGATGGAAAGTTCGCGTCGAGAATGTATGCGTGTTGACTCTGTTGGGAGGTGTTGAGAGGATAGCTTAGGATTGCCTAGAAGCTGTATGTGAGAAGTAACGCGGGCTGCCCTTCGGTGGGGCGCTTTAGCTACCGCCGCTTTTACACTTGAGTCTGGACTCGGTTCTGTTCTACAAGATCCATTCCTACTATTTCCGATCAAAATGTCATTAAGTTAACCTTTATAAATGCGATTTAAAGAGAATAACAGAAGACTCAAGTCTACAAGTCTTACGATATTGAGTCTCTTAGTGGTGGTCTATCTTATTTAGAGCTCCTATCCAATCATATGCAAGGACTTGCAGTTTACCGATGGCCCATGCAAAAGTAGACATTCCAGGTATTCGAAAGCCCAGAATGGCATTTTCTACCAAAGAACCCATTGTAAAGCACAGTATTGAGCTAAGAATAGTCGACATGAGCATTGTATGAACTAAAAATTATCCTGCAGAGGTATGAAACCGGACTCACTCTCTTTATGTCCATGTTCTTTTGTGCTATTCTTACCGCTTCTAAATACATTTCTCTTTTTATCTTTGTTATGGGCCTCTTTTCTTTCTCAGCATAAATACCAGCACAAAGACTCGACCTCGAAACTTTTCAAAGACGTCTTTGTTCTTTTGTCCTCGAACAATGTCCTCGGTTCTCCTTATGCACCGACTATCCTTGGTTCCTCGACCTTGATAAAGAGATCCACCAGCCCTTCTTTGTCCTGGAACAATGCCTCTTCTTCTTTACTATACTGGCTTTCATCGCGACTTTGGACGAGGCATTGTGCGAATCCATTCTTTGCTGAACAAGCCCATTGGCCTATAAAGCCGGCGATTTCCTGCAAAGTTGTATATTCAATTCAATCCATCAATCCAACAATCCAACAATCCACGAAACAGAGCTTCTAGTTCCTATCAACAACTTCATATCATTCAAATTTTATATCAACATCCATTAACCTCAACTAAAATGGCTTGTCCTACTCAACCTCACATCAATTGGGATAACAAGGTTCAGCCGCTGGTTCGGTCTCCCCTTCCTACACCTTCCGTTCCTGTCCTTAACAAGAGCCTAGCTGCTATAGTTCAAGATGCTTCTCGTCACCCTTGGGGCCTAGTTGATCACCACCTATATCTCGCAGCCATTGAACGTGGTAGAGATTGCTCAACCCGACTTGGTAGCTGCATGCTTCAGGAGGGCGAGCGATTCCGTGAAGTTTGCCTCGATGAACTCCTTGATATTAATACTTCCTCAGCTGGATTTTCGACAGATCACCACCTGATTACTTTTATGAATATGCCTATTCTGCCTTTATCTACTTTGGCCCCATTGACTGAGGAGAAACTTGTCCTGGGATTTGATGTCGAGCGACAACATCTCCTGGGTTATTTCTTCAAATCTGCCCCCGACGATCTTACTGACCTATGCTATGTATGGCACGAAGGCGAGCTAATTATTGACATCCACATTGACCGTTTCTTGGAAATGTACCAGTATACCGTGAAGAACCATCTGGAGATCTGCGGAGTCGGCATGTTCCGCTATTTCCGAGAGAGCCAGCGCGAGCTGCCCACCGGTTTGGACCTGGTTGTAACGATCCAATTTGCGCAGTTCCTCCACGACTTTGTTGATCTACTGCGGGGGGGGCATCAAGGATAAAATCCGAAAGGAATACGGTGATTCGGAAGAATATCTCCGCACTCTGCTATCCAAGGCCTCATATGAATCCTGGTTTGCTGTGCGTGACGGACTAACACTTCAACAGTACCGACAACAGAAGATGGACAAGGTGAGCCAGCTGGCCTCGTGTGATTTGCTATTTGACCGGGCCTCTCCTGTGCCAAGCAACTCGTCCACTCCGCCACTTCAGTCGAGCTCGACTCCTCCTAGCCCTGTGATTCCGCAGGGAAATGCCAAATCGGAGCAACTTAGGGAGCTACAGACACAGATGTGCCAGGTTTTCTTTGCATTGGTGTACTTCTATGCGCTGGTCGCCAATTAAGGATTCATTTGAATATAGCCCGAGTTGAAACCGCGGTGGATCACAGCCAAGCCAATAGAGCGGGTGGGGGCTGTAATATTTATCATAAGTATTGATCAAATTTACCACATTTACCACATTTTATCGTACTTCTCGATGTCCAAAGTATTTTTTTTTGAAACAACGAGTATTATTAATCGAGCTGAAGCTGTTACAGCCCTAATATGAACGCATTGAGTAGATCCGACACGTAGCTATGCAGGACACTTCGTATGCAGTAAGCCCTAGAGATCGGCCAACCAAAGCAAGGTGTCCATGCATTCCATGGATCGAAGCTCCATTGAAGGGAGAGAAAAAGTCAAAGAGTCTTGGATCTTTGCACCGCCACTGCCTTAACACCAATCAGGATCTCGATGAAACCGGTTTCTGTGGCGCGACGTGGCTGATGCAGATGTCATTGGTTCGCATTCGTCGTGACTGTCCACTCTGCTGCGGGGAGGTACGCGATGAGGCTTGGCAGCGTCATGAAAATGCAAGTTGCTAATCCCCGTTAATTGGATGGTCGATTATCAAGTGGAGGTTTATAGGATCTTTTGAGCTCCAGGTATGGTATAGTGGGTACTTGATCATTTAGTGACAAACCCCTGCTAATCTCTACGAGGGCCCAAGTACCAAGTACGGATCTGCATCCCCAATCTCGCTTCTTTTTGGATTTTGGATTTTATCTACTTTTAGTTTCATCCTGTCTCGCTTTTTTTTTCTTGGTTGCGATTTTGGTACTTTTCAGCCCTGCAGCCCTACAGTTGGCCAAGCCCGAGAACTTTCTCGGCTTAACCTGACATTCCTCGGTTCTCCTTTCCCTTCAATCGCAACCTGGAAAAAAAGGGTCCCTCCTTTCCCACCGGTCCGCGATTAATTTCCTCTCCTTCACACCCCCTTTAGCTCTGGACAGTTCTGGTGCCTATCTTTGCGAACTCGCCTTTTATTATCAGCAATGGCAGACGCAAATATCCTCCCCGTCAACGGTAGGTTCGGATCAGAAACAATTCCCCGCGCCAGCGCGCCCAGCGAATAGGGAGCTGCGCAAAGCGCACACGGTACTGACAGAACTCTCATAGGGACCAACAATGGCGAGACAGCTCCAATTACACGCAGCGACAATGACCGTTTCGAATTGATCTCCGGCCCGTTGATCAACCTGAAGAATATGCACTATGAGTCCACCCCGATGTGGCATGGAAGTGTGTTGATTGTCACCAAGCCGGGTCAGGACCAACCGCAGCTTCACTTGCGCCAGTTGGGTCCTATCTCCGAAGAACAACTCGAATCCTCCACGAACCAGACCATTGAGGGTCTCAAGCTCTACCAAGATCTCAACAAGGCATTTTGGCGATTCTCATTGGATGTGCCTGTCGAATCATACGAGGCGCGATGGCAATATGAGATTCCGGGTCTATACAATGAGTCCGGGGAGCAGGTCAACAGCCCCTGGAATTTTGTCGTTCCCGCAGAGGACCAATCTATGCGCATGATGTTCCACTCGTGCAATGGATTCTCTGTCGGCACCGACATGGACGCTTGGTTGGGACCAAACCTGTGGAACGATGTCCTGCGTGTCCACGGGGAGAAGCCATTCCACGTCATGATTGGCGGCGGTGACCAAATATACAATGATGGGATTCGTGTGGATGGTCCTCTAAAGCCGTGGACAGCCATTGGCAATCCACACAAGCGCCGAACCCATGACTTCAATGAAAAGATGCGCGCCGAGTGCGATGAATACTACTATGCAAACTACGTTCGCTGGTACAACACTGAGCCTTTCCGAGCTGCCAATGGTCGCATTCCTCAGGTTAACATCTGGGATGACCACGACATCATTGATGGGTTTGGTTCGTACACTGATCATTTCATGAAGTGTGCTGTGTTCCGTGGAATTGGTGGAGTTGCTTTCAAGTATTACTGCTTGTTCCAGCATCACGTTGCTCCACCAAGGTCCACATTCACCACCGATGCGCCCCAGACCATGCACGCGGTCAACGGCACAGCCGGTGCGGACCCTCGCCAATTGGAGAATACCTATGTACTTGAGAACCAGACTGAGGATGATAGCTGGATTGTGGGCAAGCGACCTGGTCCTTATGTGGAGGAGTGTAGTCGCAGTCTGTACATGCGTTTCGGAAAGCGTATTGCTTTTGTCGGTGTGGATGCGCGGACCGAGCGCACCCGTCACCAGGTGAACTACAACGATACTTATGACCTCATTTTCCAGCGATTACAGCAGGAAATTGCTGCTGCCAATGGTGATATTAAGCACCTGGTAGTTCTGCTGGGTGTCCCTATTGCATACCCCCGTTTGGCGTGGCTGGAGAACATCCTTACTTCTCCTATCATTGCGCCGATTCGCCTGCTGAACAAACGTTTCGGAGTGGCTGGTGGTCTCTTCAATGAGTTTGATGGACAGGTTGACCTGTTGGATGATCTTGATGACCACTACACTGCTCGCCAACATAAGCGTGAACGAAAGATGCTCATTGAGCGCCTGCAGGAGCTTGCCCGTGCCAATTCAGTGCGAGTAACCATTCTTGGCGGTGATGTCCACTTGGCTGCGATTGGTCGCTTCTATTCTCATCCCAAGTTGAACTTGGCTGGTGAGAATGATCACCGATATATTGTCAATGTCATTAGCAGTGCTATCACCAACAAGCCACCCCCCAAGGCAGTGGCCAACTTGTTAGCTCGCCGCAACAAAATCCACCACCTGGGCCGTACCTGTGACGAGACTTTGATGCCTATGTTCGATAAGCAGCCCGGTGGTCGGGAGAAGAGTGCTAGCTGGAACAAGGTGACCATGCCATCGCGTAACTTTGCCTGTCTGACCGAGGTTGTCGCCCCTGCTGCCAACGGCACACCCGTGCAGGTCGAGAGCGCCAAGCTTGCACATCTCCCCAAGGATGGTCATTCGCCTCTTCATAAGGGTGAGGTTGCAGCTGGAGCAACTCACGCAGCTGCCGATGGTTTTAGCTGTAATAGCACTATGTACGGAGGCCTGGATGTGGCTATTCGTGTTGAGATTGATCCTCAGGATGTCAAGGGAGCCACAGAAGGCTATGGTTTTAGCAGTGAGTTTTCCTGTTCAATGTTTCCTGCCCGTCGTCAAACTGTTTCATATAACCTAACATCCGATATTAGTTCCTCCTCTGTTGGCCACTGCGGAGCCTCCCTCATCTCGCCAAAGTCTCCGCTCTCGTATCTCGCGTCATGACGTGCGCGGTGATGCTCTTCAACAAGAGGCAGCTGGGCGTCCGTCAACCGCCCAATAATTCGAGCGGATCTATAATAATTACTTAATCTTTCTTCTCTTCTCTTTTTCTGATGGACTTTTGTGTTTTATTTTGTGATACCTCTTCATGTCATGGTTTACGGTTCCGCCGCATCGATTTCCCCCACATTCTACTATACTTTAAACCTTCTCTTCTGCCAATACAAATGCAACTGCAAGAAGCATGTAGATCCGAGAAAGCATCCCGCGTGAAACTGCCTGATATGGTCTAGCAACCTGGTTTCTTGAATAATATCCGCTTTCCAGTTGTTTTCGTATTTTGTTACTCTTTGCGGGTTAGGACGTCTTTCTTATCTCCCCATGATCAGCAACAGATACACATCGTCTCCTAGATCAGACTTGGCTTTGTTTACTTGCTTCAAATGTTGACGAGCGGATCCAATCGACTCAACCTGACTGGCCCAGCCACATCACATTACCAACAAAGAAGAATGATAAGAGCTTCAGGGATTTTCCCTGAGAAAATAAAGCTTGCGCCAATCACTAAGCCACTGAAACCCCCTCTCCCGCTAACTTTCCCAATTTGTACACAGGATCCTACTGCGGAGAGCTTTTTGAGCTCACGAGCTTATCATTTAATGCAAAATATGGAAGCGGAGCCTATAGGCTCGACCTCCGCAATGTTAGCATTCCAGTGGCGCTGCCTGTGCGACCAGTCGAAGTGGCCAATTTGCTTTCTCCGCATGCAAGACAAGATGCAATATTCATATTAATGCAGGGATCTCCTCGCTGCAAATAATTATGCAGGGCCTCCAAATCCTCCAAGATTTGAATAGGTTTTGCTTCTTCCCCCTCGATCTCAATATACCTACTCATCAAATTGGACAAGTTACCTCGTGTTTGTGAACTATGTCACGACTGTCTCTGCGATAAATCTCACCAAACACCATATTTCTGCTCCATATATTTTTGCTCTGCGTCGCTGAGCTACAAGCTTGATGATGGAAGAGATCGGCGAGAAAACCATTCTACCGTCCGATTCTCATGGTGCTGACCATGAGGCTGGCGAGATTGCCAGTGTACATGAACAGGCGGAGCTTGATCGTCTGGGATACAAGCAGGAGATGCGCCGCAATCGATCGGTTGTCACCCTTCTCTTCCAGACGCTTGCTATCGCAGCAATTCCCTACGGCGAGGGCAGTCCTCTAATCAGCGCCATCTATGGTGGTGGGCCACTATCCATCTTTGTAGGATGGATTGTAGTCTGCGTCCTGGACCAATGCATCGCAATGTCACTAGCAGAGCTGGCTTCGCGTTACCCTACCTCCGCAGGCCCATACTACTGGTCCTTCCAAATCGCACAGTCCTCCAAGACCACCATATCATTCATCAATGCCTGGATCTGGGTCATCGGTAACTGGACCATCACTCTATCAGTCAATTTCGGCTTCGCCTCCATGCTCTCCGCAACAATATCCATGTACCATCCCGACTGGAGCGCCAACAGCTGGCAGCTCCTATTAATCTTCTACGCCATCTGCATAGGCTCACTCCTAATCTGCACATTCGCCAACCGCTACCTCCCCCAAGTCGACATAGCCTGCGCCACCTGGACCGCCCTCACAATCCTCGTCATCCTCATCGCCGTCTCCGTCAAAGCCGACGTAGGCCGCCACAGCGCCTCATGGGCCCTATCCCACTACGACAAAAGCTTCGCAGGCTGGGGCAACTTCACCTTCTTCATCGGCCTCCTCCCACCAGCCTACACCTTCTCCGCCATCGGCATGATCTCCTCCATGGCCGAAGAATGCGCCCACCCCGCCATCAAAGTGCCCCGCGCCATCTCCCTCAGCGTCCCCGTCGGCGGCATCGCAGGCCTCTTCTTCATCATCCCCCTCTGCGTCACCCTCCCCCCGCTAGAAGACATCATCAATTCCCCAGGCGCCCAGGCACTCCCCTACATCCTGCACCGCGTCATGGGCTCCCCGGGCGGCGGTCTAGCCCTCGTCTTCCTCGTCCTAGTAATAACCCTCTTTTGCTCAATAAGTATTACCGTTGCGGCATCCCGCTGCACCTGGGCCGTCGCCCGCGACAACGCCCTCCCGCTTTCGCGGATCTGGGCCCATGTCGATCCGCACCTGGGTGTGCCGGTCTGGTCTCTTGTTCTCCTAACCGTAATCCAGATGCTGCTCGGCCTCATCAACCTTGGTAGCTCCAGTGCGTTTACGGCGTTTGTTTCGGTGGGCGTTATCGCTTTGGCGGCTGCGTATGCGATACCTATCTTCCTGAGCTTGTTGAATGGTCGGGAGGAGGTTAATAATGCGCCCTGGACCTGTGGCATGGTTGCTGGGTCATTTTTTAATGTTGTTGCGCTGGCTTGGATTGGGTTTGAGCTGGTTTTGTTTAGTATGCCGACGGCTTTGCCTGTTACGCCTGTGTCGATGAATTATGCTTCTGTGGTGTTTGTGGGGTTCATGGCTATTTCTGCTGTGTGGTATGTGGTTTATGCAAGGAAACGTAAGTTCTCGTCATTTCTTTTTCTTTTTGGATTGTTTGGGTTTGCTCAATACTAATGATGGCTGTGTAGATTACAAGGGTCCGCCTGCATCCGATGCCTTGGATGATTAAGATGGTCTGCCATGGTATCTTTTACTTCGCTAAATATGTCAAGATTCTATACTACTATGTATGTAGTATACGATCTAGTAGCAATCATATCGTTAACAGCCTGTTCTTACCACGTTCCCCCTTTACAACTTTGGAACTTGGATACTTGTGCCCAATGCTGTCCACCTAGGCAAGGGCAGTGATTCATCTACACTTAGACGGTATTTAACATTTTTTTATACATCTCGAACCGTAATCAATTGATCCATTGTACCGCTTATGCGCGCGGGTCCGCAGCTTGTATAATGTATCTAGTATGTATGTCGGTCACAATTCTATAAACCTGAGTCAAAGACCTCATCGTGCAAATCATGATAGCAAGCTAGACTCAATTCCACTTGGAATCTCCATGGCTGCTGGGTTCCAATCAAACAATATTTATGATTCTTCACCAAATGGGCTGCTCTCTTCATTCTCACCCTCTACACGTCGTCGAAGCGGAACCTTTTCATTAGAAGATGGACGCACCGGCGCAGGAAGAGACTGATCACTTGGTCTCCTCCTCCTGACAATCTGATACCCCCTATCGAGTTCAATTTCAATAGCTTCGCGGACCTTCAAAGCACTAACAGCGGGCCAAACGCCTCGCTCGCCTTTAAGCGTCCAATCTGCGACCTGGGCCCGGGTAGGCTGTTGAAATAGTCGACCCAGATCCGAAAATGATAGATCCGGAACAAGGGTGAGATTTGGGCCAGGGATGGTTTCGTCGATTAGGAGGCGGCTGACGGAGCCAGGGAGGAGCCCAAGATAATCTAGTTGGCGCAGACGGTGGCGGAGCTCGACTAAAATTAGTCGCATTAGGGATCGAGATAGGTTGTGCCAGCCGGTTTGGCGGCGGTCGAGGAGGTTGAGTTCGGATCGTAGGAATGGGATTAGGTATGGACGGGCTTGAGAGACGACGAAGTGGTTTACGTTGAAAAGCTCGGCGATGCGGGCTAGAGGGGATTCGCCTTCGTTGTAATGGACGTGTCGCCATGGTCGGAAGACTGCGTCTTGTGCGTGTGGCCAAGGCATGATTGATCCTGTTTCGTCTTTGCAGTAGATCGTTACGGGCGAGGAACGGCGAGAGAAAGATGAGGCGTTGGAGGCAGCAGCCGCCGACCAGATCAACTAATTGCATACCATGTCAGTTGGGCAAGTCCAAATTCAAAGAAGGCCAAAGGTATATGACTGACCACATTCGGCGCCGTTAGGTAATTGAGCAGGTTTGGCGTGCCTGTCTTACCTGCCGTGGCTACCGTGATGTTCAAGATACGCTTCGATCGAGCATACGCCTCTTCAAAGGTCAAATCACCGACATTGGCTCGTACACATTCCTCCAGTAATTCCATATCGAATAAGTGACCCGTTTTCAGGAATCGCTTCATCCGCCGGAAGAACGTCCAGAGCCAACCTTCAGCCTTGTTAGCAGCAGATCCATTCGTATGGCCTTTCCAGCGCCGATCAAAAGCAGATAGATCGATCGTATCTCCCTCCAACAACCCAAGCAGCTCGCTCTCCGGGTGGATGCCCACCAGAGCCGCAATCATGGCACCCGTAGCAGTACCAGTGATGATTCTCGGCAAAAGGCCTTGTAAATGCAATGCCTTCACGACGCCCAAATGACACAATCCAAACGCCGACCCGCCTTGCAAGAGCAGAGTCGTACGCCCAAAGGCTTGGCGCGTATCATGCAGCAGCTCCAGCTTCGCCTGCGACGTGAACCCACTCGCATGCCCAGGCACCGGCTGAAGAGAGGTAATATACTGAATCGACAGTGCGACTTGCGTGGTATAATCGTCAATCAAAAGCTTCGTGCCGGCGTATGCATGCGTGAAGAGTTTCGTAGAAGTGATATTGCCCAGATTGCGCACGAGTCCGGATCGAAGGAGATTAGCTAGCGTCTGTATATTCTCGCTTTCTCGCGCGAGCATGAGCGCCTCCAGTCGGCCGAGGATTAATCGATGATCATAATGTCTACTGATATTGTTTTGGCGCCTGCAAGCGGGATGTTAGCTTGGAATGGACCTGGATGTACAAGTACTAGTAGATGTTGAATGCGCCCATCATACCACAAGTCCTTGTTTAGAATCTCGTCCAGCTCAAACGCAGCGGCTTCCCACTGCTCATAACTCTGCGCTGTTTCGAGGGTGTGGAATAGTTGGGATCGAGGGGATCTGGAGTTCCACCATGATAGGAGCTTCTGGGGATCTTTGTCAGTTTCTTCAGACTCCCAGGGGCCAGGCCTGTTCCGGCCGGAGCTCGGGAGGCCAGCCAACTTCTTCCCCGCGCCAATATTGAGGAGTTAAGTGCTCACTTCTTTCCAGAACTGCGCAACATCCAGCATCATGCCGAATATTGCTGTAAAAATCTTCCACATGTTGAGCCACCAGGACCCCATATCGTGTGGTGGGGAAGTTCGGACTTATGGGGGGGCAGTCGGGGGAACTGGGGCTTTCACATGCTATGGCGTCACGCGCATTTAGAAATTAGGACTAATGGAGAAGACAAAGCAATAAAGGCCGATTCAATCCATTTGGTGTCAAAATAAGCGTAGGTCAGTCCAGGTGCAAGGACTGGACTGGGAAAGTTGGATGGTGGAGGTTAGAACTTCCAAAGAGGAAGGGTTCCCCAAGGCTCGGAAAGCCTAGATCCTAATGGTGGAAATCATGGGCTTCAGTCCACACCCCCAAAATTACTCCCACTTAATCCTAAACTTGAAAAAGTACAAGTACATTAGGAATTTACTATGATTCAATAACATGGAAAATCATGAATTTGTTTGCAAGTCGTTTGATTTTTGTCATTCCGCTTTTTGCTTCCTATATGCAACAGGGCGAAATTGAAAAAAGAAGCTCTCCCGGACACCAGAACCCATCAAGCGTCATTCTTTATTCCTCAATGATGTTGCCCTTCTCGGAAACGTACAGACCGTCCAAGAACTATATTATTATTAGTATATGGAGATTCCAAAGAGGTTGATAATTGAGTTATCACATACCTTACGGATATCCTTGTTGCGAACACGGCAGATCTGCTGAATGTCGGCAGCAGACTGGGAGACACCCTCGAGGGAGTTTCCGGAAAGCTGGAGCTCGTCCTTGACGTTGGTGGAGGGGATGATGTCGACACCGGGCTGGGCAGTCACGCGGCGAACGTACTTCTCACCGAGGAAGTTACTGAAAGAACCAAGTTAGTATTATTGTTCTTGTCTGTTTGTGGGCGGTTCATATCGAGGTCTGTCGTGTAGACAAGACGCATAATCAAGGTAGAACGTACCGGATCTCAATGTCGTTGCAGCCAGTCTCGGCGTTCTTCTCGATGTTCACGTTGATGGGGAAATGGGCATAAACGTAACGCATCTTGTAGAGGAAACCGCGGGTAACACCGATGATCAAGTTGTTGATGAGGGTGCGGACGGTGCGGAGAGTAGCAACTCCCTTGCGGACACCGTGGTGCAGCTCGATCGAGATCACGTTGGGCTCGGGGCGACCGAAGGTGACGGCGATGTGGGAGAGGTCCTTGACGAGCTTGCCACGGGGACCCTCAACGGTCACAATGCGCGAACGAATGTGAACCTTCACTGTAGGAGAAAATATGCATCAGCCAGACCGTTCAATTTTTCCCTTGATGTGCGCAATTCCATCCAAGTATGGGATTTCGTCCCGGTGCGTGTTGAAGCCCCGAAACGAAAAAAATGCCAGTCCCAATTTTTTTCCCGTCCAGTGTCGTTGTTCGTAGTTGCTGGGTGTCTTCCACATATGGAAGATCATCGTCGAGCAATCCTCCTACTCATTTGAATATGAATAGGTATCGCACCCGCCTCCCACATTTTCCTCCACACCAAAATCCTCCCTGGAATCTCGAAAAAGAAAAAAAGTCGCATGCTCACCATTGTCCGGAATGGGCAGCCGTTCCTCGGAGTGAATGTACCGCATCTTGACTGCGTGGGTGGTGTTGGCCGAGGGGGTGAATTGTCGATGTCGGGAGGATCAAATTTCGGGTTGGAGTTGTTGGTGGAGCGAAATTGTATGTCACGGGGTTGTGCGTCGCTTAAACACAAATTGGGTTTAGCGTAGGGTTGCTTATCTACTTAGTCAGCTCAGATAGGCTTATCGTCACTTGACTTGGATCTATCGCCTTATCTTATCTGTTCCTTTATACCAACTTGAAGTGACGAACATCTTTCTTTCATTTTTTTTTTCTTAAATTTTCTGAAATCGCTGTGTTGCTTGATGGCCCAAGAGCTTGTGATTATCTTGACGATATCGGGATAATGGTAAGGTCAATCATTACAGTAGAGCTAAGTTCAGAGCGTTTCAAAGCATTAAATGGGATTATTTCACGCCTCTTCTGGTCAACAATCCGTTAGCTTAGCTTCTGCTGTCCTTTACCAAAAGAAACCCCCATAGTCTGGAACTGGCAGTGATTTGAAAATCTTAGCAAAATGGCCATTACTTTCGCTCCAAAAGTAGCTGCTTGGCCTGAAACAACATCAGCATTCTCGACTACGACAACCACCTCTCATGTATGTACGTCACTGCTCGAATATTATATCACGATTCATCATTCAATCTGATTAATGCCTTTCGAAATATCCTTCCTTCACTTTCAAATGGTCAATTGAAGTACGTATGATCAACCAAACATAAGATTCACCAAAACCTAGGTACAATTTAGGTATCACTATACTTGAAATGTCAAAATTCCACGAGTTGTCAAACCCGATCACCAATTCAACATCAATTATTTACAAGTACAAGTGCAAAACAACGCCGACCCATGATCAAGTGCTACACGCAGGGGAATAAATGTAATCAACCTCTCAAATATGCTCCTTCGCTGGGCCTCGCGACACATCCGCAACCCACTTGCCGCCATAATCCCGCAGCTTCGTTGCCAGGTCATCGCTCTGGTCCAGTGCAGCAATATCATCGCCTCCACCGATGCTCTTACCATTGACAAGAATATTGGGCACAGTGCGACGGCCTGTGCTCTCCGCCAAGAGAGCCTGAAGCTCCTTTCCGATGGGGTGCTGGTCGAGCTCCACGACAAACGGCGCCGGCGTGATGGTATATCCGTCCAATAGGATGTGCTTGGCTTTCATGCTGTAGGGGCAGTAGGATTTTGAGAAAATGATTACTGGTAAAGAACGAGGTAAGTTAGCTTGTGTTTCCTGAATAATGATAGTTGGTGGAACCGAGCCGCAAAAGCATCAAGGCTACGGAACTCGGATTTGGTGGAAACATACTAGGTGCCCGCTTGAGGATAGCATTCAGCTCAGTCTTCGCATCCAACTTGGGTTCTTCCTCTTCTTCGTCCGCCTTCTTGGTGTCGGCTTCAGAGTTCGACGCAGATCCCGAGCCCGAGCCCTGCTCAGACAACAATGCGTCCTGGGGGCCCTTCTTGGGCACAGTCATCTTTGTCCGGCCGGCAATAGAAATCTCCTCCATTTCAACATCGCCATTCACATTCGCGACGGGGATGGCAGGCTTCTCTGCGCTGGCAGCACCTCCCGCCGGCTCGATAACGGGCTTAGCCACAGAATCCTGGATCTTCTCGTGTTTCGCATCCTCTTTCGCGCGCATCGCCTCAAGCGTAGATTTGTAAAACTTTTGATTTTGAATACTGCTCCTTTCGCCCTGAAATTTTGCAAGAATTAACCGTTAGTATCCATGCGGCCGGCTCAGGGTCATTGTCAATCCGAAGTAGGAAAGGCGATCGATCTCCGGGGCCCGGGGGTGTCAATCAACATACCGAGTAATAGAACGTCAGGATAATGATTGCGATCACGGCGATCGCAAGAAGCCTTGTCCGCCGTTGAGAAGGCATTTTGGGCGTATCGATACTAGTATCAATATGGACTTTGAAGAGGACTTGAATTAGACCAAAAACAGGTTGCAGGCGCGATGGAAGACCCGGATAACGTGACGGGGTTCTCGCGCGCCAAGAGCCAGGAAATGCGCCGATCAGGGAGGGTTCCGCACCAGTGTCAGTCTTTGCCCCTCTTTTGGATTTGGAAGAACTCAGACCTAATATAGATTGGGTTCCAGGAAAGGTATGATGTCGTGTGAAATGTATCAAAAATTGGACTCGGAGGAGTGGGGTTGTTTTTCTTATAAAGGGGTGATTTATGGTCATCCCTGAATAGCGGGAGATTTGGTGGACTTGGTCTAAGCCCAATGCTTGGCAGGAGTGAAGTACTTCTACGGTGTACGGAGTACACGGCTCCACGAGGTCAGGGGTTGAGTTATAATTGATGGAGATTAAATTAACAAAAAAATGCTAGCTAACGTGGGTATTATGCAAAATCACAGGGTTTTTTGGGTCTGGAGAACATCTCCACATGTGAAGTCAATAGACGGGGCGTACATCAGCCACTATTAGGTTTAGGGATGGGGTATGTGTATGTGTATGTGTAGGGTGGGGGAACAGTAATGGGAAAGAAGGCACATCAAAGAGCAAATCCACAGAACCAGCTGGGCTTATCAAAGTGAAGGGGGTTAAAAATGGGCGGATGGTCCACCAGGACCTCGTTGCATAGAGCGTAAAGCAAATGCAAATGCAAAAAAAATGATAGAAAAAATGATGAGTCGAGACCAGCGGAGGGGAAACATTATATGAAACTTGAACCGGTTCATGAATAATCAGGTATGGAGGGAAAGCCCGGGTCGGGGAGCATGAGCGGTTGCTCGACGCTTGCCCTGGACAATAGTCGTCCAGTCTTCCCACTCTTTGGCAATCTCCGTCAGGACACTGCCCATCACGCCGGCTGAGGCCATAAGACCGTGACCCTCGCCTTCAAGAATTCGTACTTCACAGCGACGCATGGTCTTGCCCAACCAGTTGACATTCTCCACGGGTACACGGGTATCCTTGCTGCCGTGATGGATCACCACCGATCTGGTGATATCAACGTAACGGAAGCCGATGGTTTGGCGGCGCTCTAGACAAATCAAAAGATCAACAGCCGGATTGGCGTTGGCAGTGGCAAGTTCCCAGATCTTGTGCGTGAGGCGAGTATCGTAGTCTTGCTGCCGCTCGCGCTCCTCCTCGGGGGACTTCGCACGAGATCCAAGAGTTGCGTCACTCTTTCTGTATGAGGCATGAGAAACATTAGAGGGCTTCACACCACTCAATTGCGCAGAGTTCTCTTTTTGAGACTGGGCCTCAGCTATATCTTGCGCAAGAGAAGCGGTATCGGCTATGGGTGCTTCTTTAGCAGCCTTGCGTTTGGCGCGCTTGGGGGATTTGGGAAGACTGGTCGTGACGCTTGCACTAGTAGCACTCATGAATTTGGTGTTGGCCACTTTGAGAAGAGATGTTGGCAGAGCGCGGAGGATGCGTTGCGAGTAAGGGACTGCATTAGTAGGGGCCGGTTCCTTTTGGGAGCCGAGGGTGGAGAGTTGAGATGGAGGAATCCAGGGGGCCAGGAGATGGATGCGTCCACGAATATGCTGTGGGATTCGAAGTGCGGTGGCCAGGGCATAAATTGCTCCGGCGGAGTGAGCCAGAATGGAGAATTTAGTCACGCGTAAAAAGTTACAAACAATAGCAACATCATCTATATCTTTTGTTAACAAAGATTAATTGTGGGCGAGAGTCTAAATGACTTACCAGGCCAGCTGAGAGGGTTGCTCGGTTCATCAAGTTGGTGTGGTCCACTCTCACCAACACCAGGGCGGTCTAGAGTGACCAGTCTCAGGTTGAGAGTTCGAGCCAATTCATCGTAAAATGCCGGAAGATAGCGGGTGAGACCCATTCCGAGACAACATAGAACAACATGACCCTTGGGGTCGCCTACCTCTGAGAATGCGATAGTACGACCCGAGGTAGGATGGATTACTTTTTGGGTCAGTTTAGGAGAAAACGTGTAATCTTCGACCGCCAGATCAATTGAGTCGGCACTGGATGGTCGTTCGTGGGTGGAGGTGCGGCCAGTAATGCTTGGACCCGACGGAGTTCGACGGTGGCCCGGAGTTGGTGAGACGGGCTCTAGAGATGTCCTGTATCGTGATTTTTCATATTCGAGTCTATCAGACGATGATTTAGACATCTGAGGAGCAAAGTTGGTAGGCTTCGATGCCAGAGGAACTCCAGTTTTTCCTGTTCGACTTTTGCCAGTCATGATAGAAGGGGAAGGAGCGCTGTCATTCAAAACAGACTGTTCAACCTTCGGTGACCCATTCGCAGCCCGGTGTTGATCCACTTGACTCGTGCTGCGTGTGGGTTTAGATGTCTTCGCCGGAGTGGTTTTTGAGGATTTCCCCGGGGTGTCATCTACTTCCAGCTCTGTCTTGATCCTCTGTTGCTGGTCTTTCAACTCCTGAATCCTCCTTGTCACTTGTTCGGCATCATTACTGGTGCCTGGTAGTCCATTATCTGCCGTTGATTCTTTGCTGGCGGTAGAGGGGTATCGACTATGACGAGCAGATCTTCGTTTTCCTGATGATTGGCTCTGACTATGTCGGTGTCGAAGGGAAGAGTCACGTGTGGGGATAATTCTACCGCTTCCTATCCCCCCAGGGTTGTTATTGTCCGGTGTGTTCTGGACCGACTGGTTCTCTTGGGCGGGGGGTGTGCTCGCTAAAAAGCCATCATTGGGGTCCTTAGGCCCGGCCTCCTCGGCCACATCTGCCATGGAATGCATGGAGCGCAGACTGGCGCGACTGCGGGGCATGTGTCGCAAACTGTCGTTGAGACTGCTCGTCTTTCGCAAACGTTCAAGCGGGGTGTCCTTGTCGCCAGATAAATCCCGCGATGATGATTTCCTAAGCAAACCAAAGGTACCCTTCAAACTCTTGGTCCGACCCGCCGAGCTATTAGAGGCGACGCTAACCGCGGTTGAGAGGCGGGGACCGGGCTCGGTACTAATTGTGCCAAACACCGGGCCTTCTTCCGGGACTCTCACCGATGACCAGGAGTCCCTCGAAGCGGGTCGGGTAGATGAATCGGATTGTTTACTGAAAGGCTTGAATCGAGGCGATTTGGGGGATTTGGGCGAGGGCGGCGCTCTGGCCATGCGAATGACGGGTGACAGCGCGGCATCATCCGGATGCAAGAATGGGTTATGAGGGGGTTCTGGTTCCTCAAGATGGGTGCCAAAGCTCATTCCAAATCCACCACCATTCTGCTGGGAAGGGGGGATTGTGAAACACGGCGCCGTATGTGGCACCTCGGGCAAGCCAGGATCGGAGGAGTCTTTGGAGTCAATTCGGGGTACGCTGTCGAAATGAGAGTTCAGGGGTACGGAAATGGTGGAAAGAGACGAGATCAGTGACGAGATAACTTCTGGGGAGGTTGGATCGGCCGAGGTGCCTCCTCCCTGGCCCCGTGAAGGGAGAGACTTGCGACGGCGCCGGCGGCTTAACAGGGCCGACTCAGCGGGTTTGAGCGTCGCGCTATCGTTAAGCTGCATGGCGGTTTTCAATAGTTTAAGGGGGACTTATTGAGGATTCCCCGGGGATCAACGAGATATGCAGGGTATCGATAACGAGCCGCGCGCATGATCTACTGCAAGCCAGCTTTGGAATTATATGTTTTGCGCGAGCACCGCGGGCCCTTGCAAAATCAAAAAAAAAAAATCAAAAAAAATCAAAAAATCACCCCTTACTGTCAATAGACGTGGGGCGGGATAAACTGATAAGACCAAATTTTGGAGGTAAGGATTGGAGGGAAAAGGTCAGGGGGAGGACAGTCAAATGTGACCAATAGAAAGAAAGGAGTGTGGTTTTAGTGGGAAAAGAGAGTTGAAAAAAAAAATTAAAGAAAGAAAATGTAAAGAAAGTGACGGAGAAATGGAGGAGTCTAAATCATCCCATACGAAAGGATATTTGAATATGGAGAAGTTTTTCTTTAGCGTTTTACAGCCCTTTCCAGCTCCACCGTGTAAAAATGGATCCTAATTTCCCACTCGTTTGTGCGGGTATGGACGATCGTGATATTTGAAATTCCCCAACATTCAAATGTTGGCATAGCACATAAAGGACGTGTGATTGATATAGTTATGCTACTATGTATACTGAACATTCGCATAGTCAACCTTGGTGGAATTCCACGTGGCATACATTATCTAGTATTCCAGAACATTTTACATGAACCTTGACCTTAACAGATTTTTTATATACAGACCCCTTTTAAAATGCCAAGCCATTTGCGCGATCTCGGAGATTACCATCCCAGTTCTTCAATACGAGATAACCTTATACTGAGGCTCTAAGTTGATTCATGTTAAATATAAAAAAAAAAAACATAAATAGGTCCATATCATTCCCCTGTATTACATTTGATGATTTAGTAAAAATAATAATTCAAGCCCCATTGAGATAAAATGCCTCCAAACATTTGAAGCTAGACCCTTCATGTACTTAAGGTAAACAAGTGGAGCATAAGTATCTAAAACATTCGATGTTCTAGGAATGCGGATATATATCCTCGGATGTACCTAGAGCCTATGTATGTGCATACTGTACATATGGATCTCATCAGTTGATGGGTTGGTGAATGTTTAGTTACATGTGCGGAATAGATTTATTTCAACCTGAAAATTCAGTCTCATATACACATGCAACTTTTGAACATTGAAAATACCTTCAAACGTTAGATTCTTCCAGATGTCAATTTTGTTAAGCTTCGTAACAAAACAATGGAACCTTGGAAAGCAGTCTTGACCGCCCGCGGGGAACACGGCAATACACTCACGGGAGCCCGAGCTTTGGGTGGTTATATTGTCGCATTTGTTTCCTAACAAAGTTAACACCTTCTGGACTCTGGAGCATAGGATCCTTACCCAATCCTAATCTTGGAAAGATCGCCAATTTATCTTTGTCAGTGGCATTGACAGCCCTCCAAGGTACCCTGAACCAAGCTTCTGGCTGAACTAGAAATGCGGTGACCGAGCTCTCGCATTCATACCTGTCCGCAATGGACGCATACCCCGAAGACTACGTAAACCACAACCTCCCTCTAGTCCTGTTGTCAGGACTTGAGGCAGGCGTGGAAGATGAGAGTGGCCCATCTATCGATTACCCTCTTCTTGCTGAGACGGGACCTAAGATCTTCTCTGATTTCCCCCGCTGAGCGGGGCCGTTGCGGAGGAACTGCGGAGTGTACTCTTGGAAGAAGATGGTTCCCTGAAACCCTGGAGGTCGACTGCCACCCCAAACGGAACTGCCCCTCCGATAAGGTACAAGATCAAGAGTATTGGCCGCGTAGGTTCCCTTGCATCATGGAGAGTTTGAAGTTTCCTGCTCATGTATCATCAGTCTTATCAACTACCTCCGCGGAAAGCAACCCCTCCACACGCCTCACCACCTGCAAGTCCCACCAGCGACCCGGATACCAACCCTCCAGTCACCAATATACATTACATACTCCATTCTCCAATTTCACCCTTGTCGCCGGGCTCTCCCACCTTCCCTGATGGTCTCCTCACGCCGCTATGGGTGACCAAACACCAAGATCTCGTTCCGGCCGTGGTGCTCAACTTCTTTCCCTTCTCCCTCGATCCGAACATGAACTCGCTCCGAGATAACCAATTGAAAATTGAGATCAATAGTCTGAAAAAAGAGTGGTCATCGTCAGGGGTCAAGACACAATTTGTGGTGGTTTTGATTTCCGAAGAAGGTGACGGAGGCCTTACGGGGGAGATCGATGACCGCGTGGCGGCAATCCGACGATCAACAAATCTCGATCAAAAGTCTATCTTTATAATCCCGCCGGATGCCACACCTTCGGAGCTGAAGGAGTTTGTGACATCTTTATTCTCGCTGTTGCAGCCTTCGGTGGTGGAATACTATCGAGACTTGTCAAAGCATGCTCGGCGCAAGCGAAATCGGGGTAACATACCTCCCCCAACCGCACCACCGACGAGTGGCACATCCCAGACACTATCGTTTCAGGGCTGGAACGTACGATATGAATTCAAACTTGGCATATTTGCTGAGTTTCGTCAAGAGATGGATGCCGCGTGTCGAAATTATGAGAGCGCTTATGATACATTATTCGGACAAGAGGTCTTTGAAAATATTGCGGGCTGGGATGCTCGCTTCAATGACGCGCGTTTACTGGGTGACGCTCTCGCCATCCGTATTATACGCTGTCTACTGTGGTCAAATCAGACCACTGCAGCAACTCGTTTTTGGGTTGACCATAGACTTCGTACCCAAGACATTGTCAATCGAAGGGGTAAAGGAAGTAAAAACTATGGATGGGAGGCCTGGGAAGCACGATGGTCCATGATCATGGCCCACCTAATACGACGCGCAGAAACATCACTATCGTCGGAGAGCTCTAACCAGGAAGCATGGGAGATCCCTTCGATCTACAGTGCCCCCGAGAAAGCCATCCCTACCGGGGAACGAGTGAGCCCGTGGGAGCATCTGCACCATGAGGGATATTGGTTATATCGCTCGGCAAAGCATACTATGCGTCGACGAGCCTTAGCGGAGCGAATTCCCGATGAGGACCGTATAAGTCCTGGTCAATCTCCTGCCTCTCAAGTTGCGAGCAAATCATATTTGTACGATACCTATCTCTCTCCGCAGCCACATCTTGAATCCATCAAGCCAGGACAAACAGGTTTCGATCATTCCTCTCTGATTCTGAGCACCCTACAAGATGCTCTTGATGAGTTTTCAAAGCGGGGCCAGATCCGAAAGGTGGAACATCTTAGCCTGGAGATTGCTCAAGAATATATGCGAAATGGCTCTTGGTCTGAAGCATATGGTGTGTTGCAGCCTCTCTGGCCAAACCTGACTTGGCGTCAGTCAGGATGGTGGTACTTGATGGAAAGCTTTGGGTGGGCATTGAGAGAGTCTGCCCTCAAGTTACAGGAGTGTGAGACCGTTCTTCGAGTGGATTGGGAGCTTCTCAACAAAGGTGAGTTGACAATCTTGCTTTCTGTGAACATTCTTCTAAAAAATCTATAGTATTCCCATCAAGATCTGCTGCGCACTACGACATCCACAAGAGTCTTGAGGGTGTTTCGATCGAGAAGCCCAAACCATCTGTCGTTCTCCGAGCAGAAGATGTGATCACTAGCCGTGAGTTGATTGCTGCAACTCGTTCTAATATTTGGAAATTGACTTTTGATTTTCTATCCAGTAACCGCATCTCTTGTGTTTGAAAAGTCCGAGGGCAACGTTGGTGAACCTCTTCAAGCTCAACTTCTCATCACATCCTGTGCCCAAAAATCTTCATCTCCCATCAAACTTTCAGAAGTGAAACTGGGATTCGAGGGTTGCCTTCGCCCCATCAAACTCCAATCCGACCAAAATAAGAAACCCGACATCACTACATTATCTTGCATCTCGCAAATAGCTCTGCGGGAACCCAGCATTCAAGACGACTCATCTCTGCAATCACCGACCGGCGGCTTGACCACTCTCGTTGGTGTTGCTGATTTGACCATCGGGCCTGGTCAAACTAAGGTGTTCAATCTAACATGCATTCCTCGCGAAGCTGGAGAGGCCCAAGTCGCCTCGATAGCAATGCTAGTGGAGGAAGAAAAATTCGATCTCACCTACGTTATAACAGAACACAGTACGCACGAATCCTACTTGTGGAAGCAAACCCAGAAGGGACCAACCCGCAGAAGGATCGGAAAAGACCGTGATGTTGGGAAATGCAAGATTATGCCCAAACCGCCCAAGATTCGGATCTCTACTCCTAACCTCAAAAGCACCTACTATACTAATGAACGGGTGGCGCTGCGCATCAGCATCCATAACGAAGAGGATGAGGCTGCTGATGTTTCAGCCGAAATCAGACTGTTTGGGCCTCCGGATTCCACCACAAAGCTCAAATGGCTTGATGAAGATGATATTCCCGAGCCTGAAGAATCAAGGGCGAGCTCCCCGACGGAGGGTGCATCTCATTTTATCAAGAGGGCCGTTGGAGCCATGGAGCGTGCTTCGGATAAAGATCTTGTTGTTGTTTTGGCCGACAGCCAGGAGGCCGCGAAACACACCCTTGAAATCTCCGCGGTTTACCATCTTGTCTCTGACGTTCAAACACCCATCTTGAAAACTATAACAGTGGACCTGTCATTTATTCGTCCCTTTGAAGCCAACTACGATTTCTTACCTCGCGTTCACTCCCAACCTTGGCCGAACTTCTTCTCGGTCGATGACGATCTGGTTGGAGACGATGCCAGCGCAACAGCAGGCGGCTTGTTGCAGAGGTGGTGCCTCAATTCCAAATTGGTTTCGTTTGCTCTGGAGCCTCTCGTGATCGATCAGATGTCTTTGAAGCTTCTTACTGTGAGTGGTGGGGCTATTTGTAGCCTCGAGCCTGAGACCCTAGTCAGTCCAGAAACACCACAAATTGCAGCGGAGGAGCTGCGCGAGTCGAATTTCTTCCTTGACATACAAAAACTCACGCTTGGAGACCGGCGACCATCCGCGCTCAACTTTGCATTGGAGATTGTCTGGCACCGTGCATCCAGTGACCCAGATAATGAAGGTGATACTACTGTGACTATTCTGGAAGTCCCTCGCTTTGTGGTTCCTATGGGTGAACCCCGGGTGCTTGCCTCTTCGACTCCTTCAAGTGCTCTATCCGGCCTTATCCACCTGGAGTATACCATCGAGAATCCATCCACCCATTTCCTCACATTCAATTTGATCATGGAAGCCAGTGAACACTTTGCTTTCAGTGGTCCCAAGACAATGGTGATTCAACTGGTTCCGCTCAGTCGTCACACAGTTCGCTACAATCTTCTGGCCGCCAAACGTGGCCTCTGGATTCAACCCCAGCTGGTGATTGTGGATACTTATTTCAACAAGACCCTGCGGGTTCTTCCTACTGGTGAGATGCGTCCAGACAAGAAGGGGCCATTGGTGTGGGTCGATGCAGAGGACTAGAATTCTATTCTAGTGGCTTATTGTTGTTATTGTCGTTCTACCTGTGAAATATTTTGAATATGATGAGAAATGCATTTAGATTATTTTTTTTATCTTGAAGTATCCTGCAATCCTTAGTTCATTCCAAATCGTTAAGTCATTATCTCATTATTCCACCCTTATTTCCAAACTTCACAGAAGAGGCATGGTAACCCGATTCGTATAATCCACATTCCCCTTCACACTCTCAATCCGCTCATGACAAGTCCCAAAAATCCTATCCCACAACCGAGTCTGCTTCCCATAATTATGGCTCTTCCTCCACCCATACCGATGATGAAGATCATGATCCTCAATAACCAACTCTGCATCAAACACCTCCAACAGCCAATTAACCGTCGACGGAGCACCCCCATGGATCCGCAACCCACTGTGCCCAATAAACTCCGAAAAAGCAATATACTGGAAACAAACCCACCACTCATAAAATCCCATCGGCAACCCAACAAGCTTCATCGTCGTATACGCCAGAAGCGGAATTCCCGTGATGTCCATAAACTCCTGCTCATGATCCGCATACGCCGACAGCAACGGATTCGGATGCTTGGTGAGATGGTGTCGGCGGTGATACTTCCACAACGGCCCGGACGAGTGCATCAGCCGGTGATACCAGTAGAACCAGAAATCAACAGTAACGCTGTACAGGCCAATCTCCAGCGGGAGCCACTTCCACTGCATTGTGCTTGGCGTCTGGTCAGGTTGGTAGGTTAGGAAGATGGCCATGACCATCCGGAATGCCGAGGTGGAGATGAGTTCGCGGAGGACCTTGCCCACGCCGATATCTGGGATGTCGTCTCGGGGGTGCTTGTCGCCGTCTAGGAAGCCGTGGACTTGGCCTAGTCGGCGCATGATGTGCATTTCATGGATCCCGTTTAGCTTGAATGCGGTGGAGTATAGTGCGAAGGTGGCGAGGAGGTTCAGGTTGTGGCCTGTATAGACTGTATAGATGTGGTGCAGGGCGAGTGGGATGGCGGCGTGCAGTAGGATCCAGAGATGGAGAGTCCACTCCCGCATAGCGGGGATTTTGTCTTTCTTGGAGAAGATGGGGACCTCTTTGTTGAGATCGATGAGGTGCAGACCCAGGATTTCGATCATCCAGTGCCAGAATGTCCACTGGGATTGATCCTGGCGCCAGGTAGACGCCATGGAGTCTTCGGGGTTGACCTTTCGGCTCGACATGGTCGTAGGACTGTATATTCAAGGACTTTGCTCACACTTGGCGGTGTTTGCACATATTACTACTATTCAGAGGCCGAGTCATGGATTTCTTATATACCTGACCCAGACCGACAGTGTGCGGCATGTGAAGTCATGATCACCTCCTATGACACATCGAGGAGGTTTTGAGAAGAACTTTAATGCCTTGAACGAATCAGCATAGAAACGGACATACGCAGGGACTCGTCTAAAGATTGTTGGGGTAACTAAACTTCCCTAGCGTGAGAGATCAACAGAACTTGTGATTGAGGCGCTGCCTCGGTTCCCGGATATTGTCAATAGCCTATAGAATATAGGCGGGGAAGCTCCACTGGTTCTCTGGAGACCCCAGAAATGGTCTTGAATGGGAATAGCGCTTGTTAGATGTTGTGATTAGGCCCGTTATGGTATGTGTTGCGAACCTTGGTCAGTTTCGACTTCTGCTGGCTGTCTAAGCGAGGCATGTCGCATGTGTGGTTCGAGATGCTCGATAGAGACAACAGGGTGGATGTCCCAATTGGGAGGTAGAGCAAGTCATGCGGCGTTCGGGTAGCACTTGAGCACTCAAGTGAGGTTTCGATAACTCGAAAAACTCCTTGCTATACCGGTTGGATCAGCATTCTGGGCAGGATGTTGGCTCGCAGATCTCGAGTGCCTCCAAAAATTAACCCAAAAGTCCGACTATGTCAGGGATCTTACGACCTTAGCAGCACACAAACAATCGGTACGATCGTGTGAGTCCTCTATATTGTGATTGGTTGTGGAAATTAACTAAACTATGACTTTTTATTCTTCAATGTTACCCAGGGCTTAGAAGAACCCATGAACCAGCTACCAAGACTGGGACTCCTGTGGGGAGTGATGCCTCTGAAGAGAATCAAAGAAGTTTATTACACACATGCACTTCAGAGGGAATATTATACATACATATTTACATAAGAAGATATCTGTAGCGAAGAAGGGGCAGATTCTTAACTAAGGCATGCTAACTGAACTACTATGTACCCCATATAATGCATATGCTCATCGCATTTAACAATCTCCGGACCGAGGACATTATTGTCCTCGATAGACCCGAGATAAAAACAAGTAAAGCAATTGCAAAACCAGAGTCGCATAAAAACCGTACTCAAACTTTGAAGACCTGGTGATAATCCATACTTGTGTAACTTCCGAACTTGTATCAAATTGTCTTCGAACATCTCATATCATTGAAGTCACTCCATGGATTCTATGACATTTGTCTATTCTTCCAAGCCATCGTGAATCGACTACTCTTCGGGGTTGTCACCATTGAGCAGGCAGGCGCTAGTGTTCCTCGTAACGTCTGTCTTGATTTGATCACACGCTGAAGGCAACTGGCTCCAGTGGTGGTCGACAATCACATTTTGAGTTATTTGACGACCCCATATACTACCTCAGGCAGTTAATTGCTCCAGATAATATAGAGGGACCGTCCGAATGAATGATCTTCCAACATTATAGCACAGTATGGGCAATAAATCCAACTCGATGTTGTAGAAAATGAAAAGGTATTGAAATATTTTATACTATACACAGGCTATGTCACATGGGATGAAACGAAGACAAGATGCCAAAAATAAACAAACTCCTAGGAGATCAAACCAGAAAACACAACAGGCGGAAACCAGAATACAATGGCTCGGCTTCAGAACACCTACCTTGAGGTAGTCTCCTCAGCCGGGGTCACGGCCGAAGTAGCCTCCTTCTCCTTCTTATTCGCAATCTTCAAGTTCGAGATAGCACTCTCCAATGCCTCGATACCCTCCTTCCGGAACCGAGTCACCTTCCGCACGTTCAGCGCAGTAAGCTGATTCAAGTTCTCGATACCACGCTCGCGCTGACGCAGCACGGTACGAGCCGTCATGGCAAAGCGCATATCTTTGGGTCCGTCAACGAGCTCCAAAATAGCGCTGGGGGCTTGGTCATGCGGCTTGCGTACGGGCTCTTCTCTGCTGCCCTTGGGACGGTTGTAGTATTCGTATTTCTGCTTGGGCTCGACACGGAGCACGCGGGTGTAGCCACCGGGGCGTTCGGCGTAACGTTCACGAAGAGGACCGAAAAGTTTGGGGAGAATTTCATGGGGTTTCTGTTGAAATTATCAGTAAATTGTTTCTTGTAGCCAATCAAGGAAAAAGATTCCAGGAAAGAAGATGATGGTCACGTACATAGAAAATCTCCAGAGCCCGTCTCCGGCTAGCCTCAGAGTTCTTCTTGCCCAGGGTGATCAACTTGTCCGCCAAACGTTGAGCCTCCTTGGCTTTGGCCCATGTTGTTGTAATTGACTCGTTCTCGAAGAGTGAGGTGACCAGGTTGCGCAGCAAAGCCTGTCGATGCGAGGACTTGCGACCCAGGTGTCGGTATTTTCCTCCACCACCGGCCATGGTTGCGAGAGTTCGGGAGAGGTGTAGATGGAGAGAGGAGAAAGCGAAAACCCGATTGAGAGGGAGGACTCAAATTAGGGACCTCGCGTTCAAACTGGTTGGGGGAACTTCTCTTGAAGTGTTTGTAGGGGAGGTTTCGGGACAAAAGATTCGAGTTCGGTCGGCCAATCGGAGAGCTGCCACCGCCTTGGCCGACAGCAACTTTTCTCGCGTTAGTTGCGATAACACAGCTGGATTCGCAAACCAATTCTCAGTTCTTACAGAATCAACCTATCGCTGTCTCCAGTAGCAGGCTCTACGTTTTAGACCTGGCGGTTCAACTCCTCCTGGAAACCAATTGCAACCCTGATAATACTGCCTACATCGCAATGGGGTTCTTCGCCGGCTTCGTACGTCCGATGAACCTCCGCATTACCCCACGAAAATAAGATACTAATATTCTTATGTCTGTTTAGTGCAGCGGATTTGCCCTGACCAGCTCCGTCCTATTCATTACCGTCCAAGTCCACCGCACAAACCGTCTGGAACAGCGTCGGGCGATCCGTGAACAAGTCGATCAGATTAACTGGCTCGCCTCCTCCGCCGGCGCATATGACCGTCGCTTTGCTCCACAAGATATTCCCCGACGATTGGAGGATCGCTTGCATAAGCGGGATGAACAAGTTACCATGAAAGAGGTTTTGAAGCATCGGTGGAACCAAGAGGTGGAAAAAGTGGCCAAGAAAGCACACGAGACTCGATGGGAGGACGTACGAGACACAGCAGTCAATGGATGGAGGTCCGCCACAAGCCTTTTCAAGAAAGAGTGATCTATTTATGTTGGATAATTGGTTAAAATGGGCGCTTTTATGCGCTTTTATGCCCTTGATTGACGATGTGTTATCATTTGGACTTGCATGACTAGTACTGGCGTTTGGATACCCCTTCTCATTATATTGAAATATAATTCTTTGACGCAGTGTTTTGCGAAAATAGTACATGAATTAATATGGCCATACGAGCGTCCTGCGCTGGTTCGTAATGGAATTATGCACCCACCATGATTGGCGAGGGAGCTTCAGCTTGCTTGCTTGACGGCCGAGGCTTATGAAGTTGCATTAGTAGGGGAAGCTTCGTCTGTTGTAAGGCTGTCCGTGTCGCTCCAAATATCCTTGCTTTCCCTCTCCACGGCACGCATGGCTCGAGAGACCTCTTCAAGTTTGGCAACAACGTCCAACACTCCTTGGTTAACACGGTCAAAGTAGCGGTCATTTGCCTCTCGCCGCTTACGCGCAAGATTAATATCCTTCTCTGTCTCTTCATCCAGTGTATGGTGCAAAAAACGGTCTCCAGTAGAGCGCTGGTCATTCGGCAGAGCATCTTTAGCGTCGGTCGATGCAGGATGTCGCGCAGTGTTATCTCCATCTGTAGTGTTGCGGCTGGAATCAACGAGTTCATCGTCTGCTTCACTGCGAGCCCAGGCCTGAGCCAGTTTTAATTGTTTCATGCGCAGATCTTCTAATGCCTCAGCGTGTTTTTCGCCAAAAACGTGTTCGCTTGTCACAGCGCTCAATTCGACTTCAGATAGAGCACTTTGCATCTCTTGCCAGATGGCGTCTGACCCATCGACATCGTTTTTTGAGGGGCGCTTAGAGATAAAGGGGGAAAGAAGACCACGGTTTTCCGCATTGGCACGAGTGCTGCTGTGGGACTGATTCCGATCGAGGGGCGGAGGTTGACTGCCCGTTGATGTTGCCAATGTTGGGGCCGGTGGTACGGAAAGGGAAATGTTGGAAGCATTATGGGAAGGAGGCCCCTGAAATAAAGCTGGAGGGGGAAGTCGCTGCAGAGCCGATGGTGAGGCTTTCCTTAAAGGATCCATAGTGGTGGCTTTCTATGGACACTCGGGTATAAACCACTTCAAAGGCTGGAATCAATGTAATTGAAGATTGGAGAAGCTCCATAACAAGCGGATCTAGACGATAACGGGGCTTATCGGGGCTTATCTTCGAATGATGACATAACGGACCGAGATCGATGGGTGGGGGTTAATTTTATCAGGTGACTCGCTTAGGGCAAGCGCACAAAGTCACGAGGGAAAGTGTCCCAAGCAAGCGAGTCGCTGGCGTTCAAGGCAATTCCGAAACCTTCGACTTTTCGACACCCCACGACCCAACACCCATCCCCAGTCGGTACGTTGATACCCCCCTCGCACATAAGAGAAAAGTCTCTGGAAGTTGTTTCTGTGTGCGAAAGGCGACATCTCTTCAACCACCTCGTCCTGCGCACACAGAAATCGACCAGACCCTGAACCCTCATTCAACATTCACAACCAAATTTATCGCCTCCCAACCACCAACCACCTCCCGAATACATTCGAAGACAACAGATATAAAAGAATCGATTTACTAACACCGCTCTCCTCGACTTAGTTGACCGTCAAGAAAATCCGACAATATGGGTAAAGGAAAGCCCCGTGGTCTCAACGCCGCCCGCAAGCTCGAGGCTCACCGCAAGGATCAGCGCTGGGCTGATCTCGGCTTCAAGAAGCGTCTCCTCGGAACCGCCTACAAGTCCTCCCCCTTCGGTGGTGCTTCCCACGCCAAGGGAATTGTCCTTGAGAAGGTCGGTGTTGAGGCCAAGCAGCCCAACTCCGCTATTCGCAAGTGTGTCAAGGTCCAGTTGATCAAGAACGGCAAGAAGGTCGCTGCTTTCGGTGGGTTATATCTACCCCGTGCTCGCTACTTGGTGATGGGACAAATGCAATCCGAAACACGGCGCGGGTTGCATCTACCAACCAACTACAACAACAATAGCCTTAAGCCAGGCGCTAACATATTTTTCTTCGATAGTCCCCAATGACGGTTGCTTGAACTTCATCGACGAGAACGACGAGGTTCTCCTTGCTGGATTCGGTCGCAAGGGTAAGGCTAAGGGTGATATTCCCGGTGTCCGCTTCAAGGTCGTTAAGGTCTCCGGTGTCGGTCTCATGGCTCTCTGGAAGGAGAAGAAGGAGAAGCCCCGCTCTTAAACGAGTCAAAAAGCAATATGCAGGGGTCGGGGAGTAGGATCGGTATCGGACAGAAAGCCCGTCTCATCAGCGCCTGGATTTCATGAGAATTTTTTTTTTGGGAAATACTACCCGGTCGGGCTTTTGTCTGGGATTATGTGTGCGAATTACCAACCACGATTTGATACAATTCCAAAAAACAATGGCGCTATGATCTTCATCTTGTCGGGGCCCTCCAGACCCTTCTCCATCTTGATACCTTCTAGACCTGCTCGTAGGAAAGTAAACCCCGGGGTGGGTCATGCGTTTTCAACATAGCCTTCGTGCTTTTAGGCAATCTCGGGAGATACTAGCTGGAGGAGATCCGACATTGCCACTGCAGCACTCCACAAGGGGCTGAATCCATACTCATGTACTATAAATTCTCCTAAGCAATGTCTACTGAAGTCTGGATCTATTCCAAGATTTGCATATGTGCTAAGTCCTAGACATCGAGTAACTGTACCCACCAGTTGACTAGTATAGGTACCTGGGGGGATACCTACACCAAGACTCAGATACCTACTAGTATACATACTAGCACTTAGTACTACTACATGTATGCATACTACTCATGCAGGGCTGTCAACTGGTATATAGAAATGTATTCATGGGTACGTTCCTCTAGTACCTAACATTCATATTCCACACCTGATACCTACTAGTACTCTATGTAGTTCTCCCATTTTTTATGGATAAGTATATATACACTAGTAGTACAAACTAGTAGTATATGCCCATGTAGCACTTGAGTACTTGGTTAGTATGTATACTACAGCGGCCTGAATAATCTGAAAGGCCTACTTATCCTGGTCCTTCGCGTCTGTTGAATGCTGGTGGCATAGTGAGGCTGCGGTAACGCTTCTCTGAAGCCAGATCTGGCGCCAGATAATGACCGAACGACTGGCGAGTCTAGCCCACCGATGCAAAGGAACAAGTTCGACGACGCTATATTCCATGCTAAATAGGGCCAACTTCCTAAGGATATCCGTATACCGAGGGGCCCAGAGTGCATACACACCCCCGGCCGGAACATAGCGCCGACCACCCCCCAAGGAGAGGTCGTCCACAGAGTAAGACGAGACCTCAAGCTAAAGGGAGAACTAGGTAAATTGAGCGGGCGATTGGAACTGGCATATTGGAAAACGGTCTATGTGGTGTCCCAGGCCGCAGAATAGCCACTCCCTGACACGGGCTGCTGGAGGCAACAAGGACACCGACAACTTCATGAATGGGGGAGCAGTTAGGCGAGGGTTCGATTCCACGTTTACGGTGCCTGGTGGCAACGACACCTTTCCCTTTGGGAACAACCGGGCGGCGGTCATGGGGGGCCCTGAGGTCCTCTTTTTTTACGTTACAGACTAGCCTACTAGTATGGATACTACCAATATCAAAAACAATTTTCGCTGTAAATCCTCGGGTATCATTTTCAGCAGTATGCACTTTTGTATGCATGTGAACCATTCCATTCCATGTCTTGTTTTTTCTTTTTTGCTTTTTTTTTTAGAAGCTGATGTCCTCTTTACGGTAGTGATCAGACACGATACGGTAGAGGTATGAAGGAGCATGGCCACCCCTGTAATGAAAAGGAGACCAAAGGTTAGTACATATTTTCCAGTAAAAAAACCAAGTTTGAAAAAAAGTGAAAAAAACTTACAGGTTGGTGATGTACAGATCAACCAGCTCTGCCGGGACATAGTCGTAAATGGGATTCTGGACATCAATGTTTTCGACAAGGTCTGCATCCTCGAAAGGTAAAACCTTGCTGGCATCGCCATACTCAATGAGTGAGTCAAAGTCGAATGGGTAGACAGGGCTCAGTTTATAGACACCACTGACAACAACGACAGGGGTCTGGTGAACCTTGGCAGCTCGGGCAATAACTCGGGTACCGGCAGCAGCAACAAGGCCACCGTTAGCAAGGACAGAATGAGTACCCAAGATGACCTTGTTGACACGAGACATGAGGGCAAAGACGGCTGAGTCAGGTATAAGAATCACAGTAATGCCGAGAGCGACCAGTGGCTTTTGGAAGGAATCAAAAGTGAGATTCTCGTCATCTCCGGGATTATTTCCGCTAACAGTAGCATGTGTGGCATCGTGGTTATTGGGGAATGATTCAGCGTGAATGACTGTGAACTTGCGCTTAATCGCAGCTTTGAGCAGGAACTTCTGCACCGTTGTGGAGGAGGTGTGTGTGAGGATGACCTCGTTAGAATGAATGTGTTCCAGCGCATAAGCGGCAATCTGGTCATCTACTTGACCCAGCTCATCAATGATCTCGTTGATACCTTCCAGGACTTCAGCCCGTACGTCCTTGCTGACGCTGTGGCCGGCGACACGTCCACTTGGAGATTGAGTGCCGGGAGTGCTGGGGAGAGATGTTTCAGGCTCAGGGTGGGAAAGAAGGCTGAACATTGATGTTAGAGGAGGGCGCGAGGTGCGATCAGAGCTCTCCTGTCGGAGACCGAGCATATCACGATCCAAAGGCAGTGACGGATCTATTGAGGGTTGATGAGTCATGGTTTCTTCAAGGGCGCAGCAAAATTATAAGAAAAGAGATTGAAACTGACCATCATAGGCACGAGGAGTTTGACACTGACTCTCAGAGCCAGCTTCACTAAGAGAAAATTCGGCATCGCGATCATCTTCCGCTTCGTCACGAATGAGGCCGAGGACTCGTCGCACAATGTTGCCCACTACCATCTCCCGTGGCTGCGCAGCCATGAGGCTTCTGCCCACACTCTGCACGCGCTCAATGAGCTTTGCAGATTCGGATGTTCGGCATGCTGACACCACGCGGAGAAGAAGGTAGGCAGTTGCGGTTGCGCATGATCGAGAATGGCGAATTTGACGACGCTTGAGCAGCCTAACAAGAAAGAAGACCAGTAGTTAGTATAAGGGTCGTTAATTCAGCGGAATAGAGCTAGCGCACGAGACCAGGTTCTCAATAGAAGTGTCTATCGGGTTTGTCTTGAGAGACTTCAAGAAGGACGACAGGCCTGGCGTCAAGGCCAAAGCCGTTGACGGCATTTCTTCAGCAGGTGGGATGTCTGAGTCGGGTTCGGTATCGGTATCTGCAGACATAGTGGCGGTTAGGATTGTGGTTAAAGGAAGAATAGATTGAGGAGTCGGAGTTGACATACGAAGAGAGTCTTTCAAATACTTTTGAAATGTCACGAATTATTTTAGAACGTAACGTCACGTCGGCGCTTAGTCGTCTTGTTGGAGTGTGAATCACGAAAGCAAAGTGGGCAAAGGAACCCGATTTTCTGCCGTTGCGTCCTTTGTCCGCTTCCCCACACTTGGACTGTCCCTTCCTCTCTCCTTTTCATCGCATCGTGTCTTCTTAGCTGGGTTGTCATTGATCTAGATCTTTTTCACTATTCTTTTGAGCTTTGGCTGCCCTACGAATCGTCCCACTTGCATTTTTTGCTCCAATATCTGTCTGGAGTCCGCGCGGAATTACATCCGAGGCAAACGGGTGACTGGCGCATCGAGGTCCGTAGAACTTACAAGCTGCCCGGTTTACACCTCCTTGCGATGCCTTTCTTTTTACCCTGAGACATCCTCGACCCTACGATACTCTTCATGGTCTATAAGACTCCGTTTGACCTATTTGCTCATACTTTTGGTCTTTAGATTCCACGCGCCCGTGTCTCCCGTGGGCTTCGCTAGTGGAAGATGAACTCGCTGAACATCTTATCCTCGCGAGTCATTGGCCAGTCTTCCAGCTCGACGCGCCCACGATCGCACTCACAGAGCGAGAAACGCCGTGAAGCTCCGCCCACTGACCTCGCCAAATTTCGATCCTATAGCGAAAATAATTTTCGAACTAGCCTTGTCTCCGAAAAGGGTTATGACGGTAGCGCATCATTAGCGGACGGCGACGGAGAAGACACGCCACATTCATTTGACGAGACAACATCCTTATTACAAGGCTCCCAACACGATGGCGCTATCGTGACTAAAAGCACCTGGCGACTAGTCACCAGGCGGATCTTCGATGCGATCACCGAAACTATCCGGTTCATTCTTTCCACGATCGCGGCACCTGGTGTATATATCGCTCAATGCTTCCAAAACGACGATGGTTATTATTCGCTTCTCGCTCCAGTGAGGAAAATCTGGAGAACGTCTGCCGAATCCAGGATCCGGCCGGTTAAAGGGACCTCTCGGGTAGAAAATCGGCGACGGAGTGGCTCCACCCGCAAGTTGAAACCGCAGGCATCTCGAGACTCTATACTATCCACAACATCCGAATCAGATGCAGATCGAAGAAATGCCAGAGACTCCACGAGCTCAAAGACTCGACCGCATAAAACCGACCACAAACAAGATCAGGACTCGAATGAAAGCACACCGCGGCGGTCTATACGGATCAAACTCAATAACGAGGAAACACTCAATAATAGACAACGACAACGACGAACGCAAAGTGCAGACTTGGGTGGACCGATGCCAGAGGGTGTGAGCCGGGTTCAAGCGACTGTCAACCCGGACAATCTGAAGTCTCCCATGTCCCCATCTGTTCATCGCATTACGAAATACCCTCACTCTCCGAATCCGCCGCGACCTCTTCTCCCCCAACGATTGCCTTCATATACAGCCGCTCCTCGCAATGCCAGGCTCCCTCAAAAGACTCTGGTGCTAGATCTCGACGAGACGCTGATTCATTCGCTTGCTAAGGGTGGGCGTATGTCCAGTGGCCACATGGTCGAGGTCAAGCTTTACATGCCTACTACTGCCTTGGCCCCTGGGGGGCCACAGACAACTTTGGGTCCTCAGCATCCCATCTTATACTATGTGCATAAGCGGCCACACTGTGATGATTTTCTGCGCAAAATCTGCAAGTGGTACAAGCTCGTCATCTTCACAGCCAGTGTCCAAGAGTATGCCGACCCCGTCATTGACTGGCTCGAGTCAGAACGCAAGTACTTCCAAGCCCGATACTACCGACAGCACTGCACACTCCGTAATGGTGCCTACATCAAAGATCTTAGCTCCGTGGAACCGGACCTGAGTAAAGTGATGATCTTGGATAACAGCCCAATGAGCTATATCTTCCACGAGGGTGGGTTGGGATTTCATTGGCTTTAATTCTTGAGCCCTCTTACTGACTTTGACTATTTAGATAACGCGATTCCTATTGAGGGCTGGATCAACGATCCAACGGATAACGGTCTGCTGCATCTGATACCTATGTTGGAGGCATTGCAATATGTCACTGATGTTCGGGCGTTACTGGCTCTTCGCCGTGGTGAAATCGAAGCGTAGCCGTTCTTCGCACATGTAACTATGGGATGCGGTTGTAGGTGTAAAGCGAGTTTTGGCTGTTTGTTAGAAGCGAAGTGACAAGGTCATTCAACGAGACGAAAAAAAAAAAAGCAAAGCAAAAAAACATTGGCTCCACGGAGGACTTAAGGACGATGAATGAAGCTATACCATTGCAGCACATTTATAATAGCATCGAGTATATTGTTTAATGGTGAATGGATCAACGTACATACCCCACTCTGAAAATTTTCATTTCTTGCGCGTGTTCAACAATATGGTAAACTGTTTTTTCGGTATTTACATTCGTCGCCCAGCAATTTCATAGGTCATTGACTTTGTTGTTATACACTGGGCAGAAGCCGATGTCATAACGTGATGACATCAGGCTTTTGATAGACCCCGTCCCAATTTTTGCCCCCATGACCTTGGTATTCGAAATTTTGCCATTTTAAAGACGATCTTGTGGTGTCCTTGCTGAATGGCAGTCTGAGACTGGAGGATATCAGAGGTCATAAAAAAGGCCACTCATTCATCAGAGCGACCTGCTCTCATAGTTGGCAGATCTATGCCCTCCACGAGAGTCCAAGATTCCGATGCCATTGGAACATTCATTGGCAAACTTGGACTAGAGCAGGGGAGAATGCGGCATGTGCATCCATCTGGTGAGGCGATGCGCAAGAAGAACCTGGCTAGCATTGAAGCATTGGCACTCTCAAACCTTTGGTCGAAGGGCATAAGACTTGACGGGAAGAAGCTTAAACTGCTTGGGGAATCCGGTCTGAATTTCGGACTTGATAACTTTCATCCCAGCAGCAGCAAACAACTGCTTGAACTTTTCATCTGTCCTCGTCACACTGCTATCCAAGTCGTCGTACATATCCTGATTCTGTGAATCGGTGGACAAATTCTCCTTCACAACCATGATACCGTTCGGCGTCAAAGAGTCTCGACATCTCTCGAGGAACTCCGTCAATTGAGAGTCAGTGCAATGTCCAACGCACCACTGAACCCAGATCAAATCGTATTTCTTCTGCGGATACCAGTCCTCCAGACCGACGGTGTAAATATCACCCACAACGCCGTCTTGCTTGAGCTTGCTGTCCGCCATGACCTTTGTGAATTTCTCCACGGGCTCGACGGCATCCACAACTTCACAGACGTGGCTTAGGAAGCCTTCTGTTACGCGTCCAACACCAGCACCGCAGTCCACACCTTGGCTAAACTTTCCACTGGTGGGAAGAGAGGGTATCAATCGTCGAACCTTGGTTAAGAAGTTCTTGGATCCTTGTAGCTCGATACGTGTATACCAGGGATAAGTTCCAAGCATGCCTAGCATTTCGGCCGAGGTGCTGGGAACACTGTTCCAGTAGTTGATTGAAGCGGCATGGTTGATTTTTGAGTCCGCAGACTGAGAAGTGGGAGCTACACCCTTTGAGCTCTCATTGGCCTCATTTGAAGACATGATGGAATTGCTTCAGGGTTGAGAATATTGCCTTTAAAAAACAGCGTAGAAAGTGGGGTGAAGCTCCAAATAATTTTTATGCTCACAAATGAGATGACATAATGGAATAAAGTGCAGTAAACTAGCCCCCACTCGTGCACGTGACGATGATGTATATTCAGTCATGACAACATTGAAACTTCAACTTGAGTTCACTCAGCTAACTTGGAGAGAAATCTCATCATTTCCAACTGAGAAACATGAGAAATGAAAAGACTTAGGAAGTGGTCATTGAAAAATATCTGGCCATTCAGACTGTTCAAACGATCGAAATCCAATTCCCATGACGGGTCAACGAACGCCAGGCCAACCCCTAGGCATGTGATGGACACTGCAGAAGATGGGATAAAAACGATATACGATGGTGCTTCACCGAAAGTCGAGTATGTCTAGTTGTTATTGTTATACGGAGAAAAAAAAAGCTAATCGATTCTAGTATTATTGCCGTCCATGGACTTGGAGGCCACAGAGAAAAATCATGGACGGCAGAAGATGGAACGAACTGGCTTCAAAGCCTACTGCCGGGAGACTTGCCCAATTGCAGGATTCTCACTTGGGGCTACAATGCATCACCCAGTCCTAATCATGAACAACAGCCTCTCCAAACTCTATCCGGAAAACTGGTGTTGGATTTGTATAAAATGAGAGAACTGACTAGAGTATGTGCACTTGTCCACTTATGTGTATCTTTCTAGAAATTGATCTGAGCTTATGAATCAATTGCAGACTCGAACCCGACCTATCGTATTCATGGCGCATAGCCTAGGCGGCAGCCTGGTCAAGGGTGTAGGCACATTCGCTTCTGATACGATTTCTTTCTGGAAAAGACTAACCACAACTATAGGCCTTGGTTTTTTCAGATCTGGAGCAGGAGAAGTCCTCCAGTCCACTTCACATCATCAGTGCTGCAACACGCGGAGTATTCTTCATGGACACAACGGAGCTAGGCATAAACACTAATGGAATGCAACAAGTGTTGCGCAGCATTGAAGGCTCAAGCCAAGAGAACAGCGACAGTTGCAAAGAGGCAAAATGGTTGCTAGCTATTTTAAACCAATACGTGTCACACAGTGCCAAGTATCGCAACGTTTATGTCTCGCCTCGACAGGGACAAGAGGCAATTCAAAAATCAGAGACAGAGGTAAGGAATCAGACCTATCGCTAGTAGTTTTCTGGTTACTAGCTAATGATAATTTTAATCTAGGACGTATCGTCGTCGCAGTTCAATTCTTCATATATTGTGATTGATGCTGACCATAGCAACATCATCAAGTTCAACTCGCCCGAGGATGCGGGCTACTTGAAGATCAAGGACGAACTTCTTGACATACTTCAAGTATCAAGTTCGAGTGCTAGACACATATCCTGGGCTAAATAACGATTGATAATTCCACTGCGCATTGCAATTCCGTACCTACTACTTCCAAGGGTTGGATACGCTGGCTTCCATTGGAAGCGGGTCTGGTTTCCTCACGCCAGATTCGAATGGAGATATAATCTACTAAATTCTGCATTCACTAGCCAAATGGGTCTACTCTTTCTCTAAAATATTGGTACATTTGAATGTTAAACCAGCTAGAATAATTAAAATCACATGCTTATGTAGACAATAGGTGAAATTTTCAGAACCTCGGAAAGGCTCCAGGGGCTCCATTGGGCTTTATTTTGTGCTGTGGAAATAATTGTACATAATAGTATACACCCCTCCCATCTAGATTTCATGTGTATAAATCCACAGCACACTTTCCCCCACTATCGACAAGTATCTGCTGTACCTCCTGGCTGTATGACTTTGCCAAATTCAGTGGTGTGCGCCCCTGTGCATCTAGGACATTGATGTTGGCTCCTCCACGAATCAGACAGCGAACGATTTCCTCTGGAGCGCATGTCTTCAAATCGAATTTCTTAATTTTACACCTAGTAGCTCGAATTGGCTGCGGATCACGTATCACATCACGAATCAGCTCATTTTCCATCGGGTCTGTATCGCCATTATTCCCTGACCTGCGATACAATCGAGTTGGAGCTGGATTTTCTGGGCATTGTTGAACAGCCTCGTGAAGAATGGTCCACCCCTCCGAACCTTTCATATTCAAATCCGTGGAGTTGTCAATCAAGAGCTGCAGGAGGTCCCCACGCTTATTTTTCACCACCGTCTTCAGTGTGAGATAATTGGGCCTGCAGCCGTGGTCGAGTAACAGACGTGCTGTCTCAAGATGGCAGTTGAGAACCGATTTCTCGAGGGTTTCTGGAGGAATCTTCGCACCATATTCCAATAGCAGACGCAATTTATCAGTCGTGCTCCCTTGGATTGCTCGTACTAAGATATTTGACCTGTAATCACAATCCATCAAATCCTTGCTTGCTCCATTATCCAGCAAAAATCGCACCATCTCTGTCGAGCAGGCCCCAGATTCTACAGCTGCCTGCAAGGGGAAAATGCCTTCAGGACTTTGGATGTTTAGGTCGAATCCAAATTCAACTAGCAGCTTGAGAAAAGACAGCCGCCCCTTCATTAACGCATAATCAAATAGTCCCAATGAATGTGAACCGAAAGGAGATCCGTTAATTAACAAAAGGCGGACCGTGCTCTCATGACCCGATAAGAGGGCATCGATTACCGGAGGGTTGGCTGTGAGCCATGAAGTGATGCCTTTTTTGGTAGTCGGTTTGACAGAAGCCCCATGGCTCAGCAGCAGGGCTACCAAACTGTCATTTCCTGCATTTGCAGCTACGCAAAGGGGCGTCTGTAGTGGAAACCACGGCTTAATAGGTGTGTTTTTCAAATTGGGTTCACGGATGGCCGCATTGACATCTGCCCCGTAATATAGAAAATGATCAACAGCTGCTTTGTTACCGAGAGCGATGGCTCGGAAGAAGCCGTGTTGACGGGTATTGTTTTCTACATGGCGTTGGTAGAGATGTGGGAGAAGGCCTTGAAAGCGATGATTCACTCTTATCAGGCTGGCGAAATCGGCATCAGAGAGGGAGAGTACGATGAACAGGATCAATTCCATGGGGAGGTCTGACAGTGTCATTTTGCACCAAATGGAGGTTGAACCTGCCCTTCAGCTTTGGTTGAAGAATTGGAAGATAAAACCCAGGGGAATGATGGGAGCACTGAGAAAGGGAAAGAACATTCAAATGAAACGAACTGTCTGGAGGATAGATCGTGCGGGATCGGCTTGTTCCGGGCTGGCAGCACATGGGGCTAACTTAAGGTGGTTAGTGCACATGTGAGCCCAGGGCACCTGTGCTAACTGGAAATTACTCAAAAATAGTAAATAACATGAGTCAAACTGTACTTGAGCCTGGATGTAGTATTCAAAGGAACACCTGGGCAGAAGCCTCAAGCTTGGAGGCTCTAATTGAAGTTACACATGTGAGGATATATACATATAAGCGGCGTGTGGGGTGCAAGGCGGATCGTTTACTACATATGTAGTAAGTGCTACGCGGCCTCCTGAGATCGGGAAGAGACCAGTTGACCGGCCATGACGGCCAACCACATACACTCTAGGCTATTCGATACCTATTCTAAACATTCCGAAAATCTTTCAAGTCAACTGTGCATCAGGTGGTTGTAATGTTCAATGTTGATGTCATTTCAATGGATCCCTTGATGGATGTTCAAGCCTTGGACATCTGGAAGTGGAGGTTCACCACCATCGCGTCCAGGTACATTAGTATGTACTCAAGGAGCAACATTTGGAGCACATGCGCTGTCATATATATTCGTATAGTAGGTAGAGAATTGCCTATGTATGCACATTCAATTGATGTTTATCCATGGATAATTGACTGGTGCATATGAGTAATTATGTAATTACGTTTTTATACCACCTAGGCACGCTATTCTCTCCGAGTCTCCTATGATGTGCTGCAAAATGGCATTCAATAACAATAGATTTTGGAAAATTGCCCTGCTCGATGCCCTGGGTTAATCGGGCGGCAAGTGGAGGTTGAAAAAAAACTTTGTAAGTTGTTCCGAGGTTCAAATATGTATCTTGGTTCATGGACGCAAAAATTCAAGTCCCGACATCAAGAACAGCCCGGGTGGTCTAGTGGTATGATTCGCGCTTAGGGCAGCAACTCCTAAGCACTCCTGCGCGAGGTCCCGTGTTCGATCCACGGCTCGGGCCTGTTATCTTTTTGTTTTTGTGCCATTACGTTTGAGAATTGGACTGTCACTTTTTTTGTGTGAAAAGTTGAAGGTTCTCTCCACTTTGCACACAGCTTAACCTTGATCAGACCAATAAGAGCGGGGCTGATCATTTCTTGAAGTGGAGCCTATTGGTGGTGGATTGCGATTGGCTCGTTTATTTCAAGATACTTGGAGGAGAGTATGAACTGAGTACTAGTACTTGAGATACGCATTTTAACCACTACTCAGTGCCTACCGAGTCACGTGACTATTAAAAGGGAAGAGGGATCATTCCAAAGAGCCCCAACCTCCGCCACCAGGACTGTTGACCTGCATTATCTCCCCAGCTTCCAGCGATAGTGCAGCCTTGCCACCAAGTGACATCTTCTCAAGTCCTGTCCGGCCCTCATTCCACTTGAATGCATAATTCTTTCCAACCTGGCCAGACTGGCCACCATTCATGCCGTACGGGGCAAATACACGCCGATCGCTGAGAATGCTGAATTTAAGCGGCACCCGAGCTTCAACTTCACGCACGGCGCCATTTCCGCCTCTGTATTGGCCATTACCACCCGTGCCAGGGTTGATAGCATGTTTGCGAATAATGACCGGTGTTCGCTTTTCCACGACCTCAGCATCGGTGATCTTTGTGTTAGTTGAGTGTGCCTGGATAGCATGCTCTCCATGCCAACCGGGGCCAGCACCACACCCTCCTCCAACCGTTTCGCCATAGCTCCACCCGGGCTCAATGGCGCCGGTGTGAGAATTCTTGCCACCCAGTCCCCAGCCGAAACTGTTTGCGCAACCGGAAAACGCAGCACAGCATTCAAATGCCTTCAAAATTGTGTCGATAACTCGCTGGCTCGCTAGGGTACTACCGCAGATTGCAACGGAGGCACTGGGTCGTAGGATGGAGCCATGGGGGATCTGAATATCTATTGGTGCCAGACATCCGTCATTGAGAGGTATATCTGTGTCTACCAGACAGCGGATGCTGTATATCACGGCTGAGTGAGTGATGGAGATCGGGCAGTTATAGTTACCCCACATCTGGGGGCCGGTGCCCGCAAAATCGAATATTGCGCCACCTTTTTCGTCGATTGAGATAGACACTTTGATGACAGTACCGTCGTCGAAATTATCACTGGCCGTCAAAGGTAAGGGTCTCGACCGAGCAATCTTTTTGAGATACTCTCTGACTGCTATCTCGGAGTTCAGTTGAATGGCGTTCATGTAACGCGATACAAAATCAAAGCCGAACTCAGAGCACAAGTTGCGCAATAGCAAAATCCCCCTTTGATTTGCTGATATCTGAGCCTTAATGTCTGATATGTTGTCATCCAATCGACGAGTGGGACTGCAACCGGGGAAGTCCCCAGCAGCCAAAAATGCTTTCCGTACGTCGTCTTCAAGGAAGTTTCCACTATCCACGATTTTCATTGAGCGAACATTGAATCCCTCCTCCCATAGCTCTTTTGAGCCTGGCATCATGGATGTGATCCCAAGACCTCCAATATCAGTATGATGACCCCGAGCCGCAACATAGAAAGCTACTCTAGGCTCCCCATCCACAAAAACCGGTGTAATGACTGTCAAGTCTGGAAGATGGGTTCCGCCGCACTCAGGATGATTACTCAAAAGAACATCGCCTGGTTTGAGCTTGCCCTCCCATAGGCGGTGTTGATATTGGATTGCGTATTGCATGCTTCCTAGATGAATGGGGATATGGGGAGCATTGGCTACCAGCTTTCCATCTCGAGAGAAGACAGCACAGGAGAAGTCTAGGCGCTCTTTAATACTTGTCGATATTGACGTACGTTGTAGCGTATGTCCCATCTGCTCAGCGATTGACATAAACCGGTGGGATAGAATGGAAAGTTGGATCGAATCAATGTTTTCGGACATTGAGAGAGTGCCGCCTTGCGAATTTGTAGATGACTTTTCAAGTACTAGATGGTCCGGAAGAAGATAGGCATCGAATCCGGGTTCAACGAAGATGGTCTGAGTTGCATCGATGAGCAAGGCTGGGCCTTGTAACTGACTGGGCCTGTTGACAGAATCCAGCTTAAAGATATGGATATCTTGCCACAGACCATCGATAAAGGTCGGTTGCCTTTCTTTCTCTTGGAGAAATTCCAGATTACGACTCTTCGCATCTTTCAGCAATGGGAATGGAGATTTGCTTTCTGCAGGAATACCACTTTGACCCACGCCGCGCACTTTGACAGAGTCAACATAAATCTTTCGATCGAGTTGGAAAGCGAATTCCCTCAAATGAATACTCTCAAAGGATCTACCGTAATCCTCGTCCTCGGGCTTTAGGACGGCAATGTTGGTGTCAGTGCCCGCGTATCTCATGCTCAAAGACTCTTCAAAGACAATAGAAGACACGTCTGCTCCCTGAGAGCGAAGCTCTTCTTGAACCTGGAGTTTGAGTGCCTCTATTTGTAATCTTATTTTTTCAAGCTCACCGAGATTGAAAAAGCCTGTGAATGGTGCAGTCTTTTCAACTTGCAGGTCGGCTTGAGATATTCCGACAGCGGATAGAAGCGAAGAATGTTTGTGAATGAGAATTCTGGATATTCCGAGCTTATTCGCAATCGCACATGCATGCTGACCCCCCGCTCCGCCAAAACTAACCAGACTGTGACTGCTTGGTGCAAATCCACGAACTTCAGTAGCGTTACGCATTGGGCGAGTCATCGTTTCATTAGCAACATCAAGGAAGCCCGAGGCAACCTCTTCCGGTGTCAGACTCTGACCAGTCTGTTCATTTATCTCGTGAGTTATTTCATCAAATCGTTGTTTTGTGATCTCATAATCCAGACCTTGGTTTGCTTCTGGGCCGAAAATGGCCGGAAATGAAGAAACCACTAGTCTTCCCAGAAACAAATTGGCATCCGTGACTGTGAGTGGGCCTCCTTTTCGATAGCATGCCGGTCCAGGATGAGCTCCAGCACTCTCTGGCCCAACCACAAAGAGGCCATGACGAGCAAATAGCATTGAACCTCCTCCAGCTGCAACAGTTGCAATATTGAGCATTGGCACCGTTATTTTTCGACCCCCTACCGTGGTATCTGTCAAATAGTCGTACTTGCCATCATATCGACAGACATCCGTGCTGGTTCCTCCCATATCAAACCCCAAAATAGGTGTTCCCTCAGAGGGGTCATAGCATGTTCGTGCAATGCCCACAACGCCTCCGGCAGGTCCACTGAGTAAAGCCTCGTTGCCTCGAAACTTGGCAGCTTGTCTGAGACCTCCATCTGAGCCCATGAACTCCACCGAGCGTGGCAGATGGCTGAAACCGGATTGGAACGCCGTAACATAGTCTTTCACTATGGGATAAAGGTATGCTTCGGAGCAAGCAGAGCTACTACGCTGCAAGTACTTGATGACAGGGCTCACCTCAGATGCCTTGGTGATATGTTCGAATCCCATCTCCTTTGCAATCTCGGCAACTTGATCTTCATGATCTGTGTAGAGGTACGAGTGCAAAAACGAAATAGCTAGGGAGTTATATCCCGCCAATCGAAGCTCACCTAGCATATCGCGTACATTCTGAGGATCGAGTGCCTTCAAAATACGGATGATCTCGCCGCTCGGAGTTTTAATAAGGGCCGGATCTGTGATCTCTGCAGACTTATCCAGTGGGAATGGATTGAGATCGTAGTCCTCGATAGTGATGCGCTCATCTACTTCTAGAGAAGTGCCATGCAAGGCAGGCGGCTTTCTGACGTTCAAGTCAAATAGCCTTGGCCTTGTCTGGTCATCGATGAGACAGACATCTTTGAAGCCTTGGGTAGTAACGAGTGCGAATTCTCGGCCTTTGCCCTCAAGTAGAGCGTTTGTTGCTATGGTTGTACCTATGCGACATGAGGCTATTCTGGATCCATCGAGCTTCTCTCCAATTGGGATTTGGCGATCTTCAATGGTTTCCAGTGCCCTTCGAATGGCCTCTGTTGGTGCGTCGCGATAGTTCTGCGGATCCTCGGAGAGTAGCTTGAAAACCAAGTCGTCGCGGCCAGAGGCTTGGACCAGAACATCGCAGAACGTTCCTCCACGATCTAGATAGCTTGTTAGTTTGTCTTATATAGACAGGTGCCTAGTTGTAAGTTACGCACCAATTGAGATGTTGATATAAGGGGCGGTCATGATTTCTCGATGATGATGATGATGGTGGTGGGCCTGGTGGCAGGTTGAGGGTTTAAAACCAGCCAGGAGGGAAATCAGCAACTTGCAAATAGAGCATATGACTTTATTCAATTTTTACATACACGAAAGACACGATGTTTATCTCAAGTGTATGGATCTAGTGTACGCTATCTGGACCAGATTGTTCGTAAGCGGGAATTTGTATCGGGGATGCACCGATGACCCCGCCGATCGGAAAGACCCCGCGCAAGTGTAAAGAGGACTTGTTTTGTAGATGAGATAAACTAACCATAAGCTGGATTCATTGCTCGGATCTTGTAGAATTCCATGCAAATAGCGTCTTTCGCCAATTGTTGTATGGTACCTTAATAGGCGCAAATGGTGTGATCGTTAAGCGTGGTCCGTGTGGATACGGTGAATTCGAAAGCTTCACTTTCAGGGTATATCACGTATCCAAGACAATAATCTATGACAGATGTTGGCGAATCAACTCAATAACTTCCGCATTCTTTTCCAAATGGACGCTATGATTCGCCCCTGCAATAATTTCCAGCCTTGAAGAGGGAATTTGGGAAGCAATCTCCTTAGACAGTCCCGGTGGGCAGATCCAATCCTGCTCACCGACCACTATGAGGGTATTGGCAACAATATATTGAAGACGATCCGTATAATCGAAGAATTTCTCGCCATCAGAATAAAGGTCATCTTCGTGGTTGTGAGCGTCATCCTATAACATGCATCCGGATGGGAAACACTCACTGTGAGACTTGGCATAGAACACCGTTTCGAGGTTGCTTTTGAGTGCAGCCTCAGCGTCAAACTTTTCACTGTACAAAGGGGCAGCTGCATACATGACGAGTCGAAATTCGAGATCGCTGTCGAATCTTCCGAAGACTTTGTCGCGCAGGAAGTTGATAGAGAAACCGGGAGCTCTGGATGCTCTCTGTTCCAGCGTTCGGATGGCTGCCTCTTCATCTACACCCGGTGTTAGAACACGTTGGCCACTACAATAACTTGCACGAGGCTTAGACGACTCACGGTGAAACGAAGCAGCAGTGCCTCTTAGGATCAAATGAGAAACATTTGATGGGTATGTGATTGCATACTGCTGGGCCAAAAACCCACCGAAGCTGCCACCGCAAACAATACATGGGGCGTCTCCAACAAAATATTGTCTTATACTTTCAATATCATTGACAAGTTGATCAAATGTAAACGGTTCCGTTTGTGAGCTTTGACCATGGCCTCGGAAGTCAAAGGAGAGTAATCGATAGGTTTTGGATAGAGGCAAATATGCCTTGAAATCTGACCGATGATCACCTTCCAGCTTGCAATACAGTTAATTAGCCATAGCTGAGTGACCAAGGTATAAGAATGCCTCACCAAATCCCCGGCCACCATGTAGAGTGATTATTAGAGGTGCATTCTCTGGGCCGGCCAATCTATAAGCCAGTTGGGCTCCATTGATGGACGCGTACTCGACCATCATGCCAATTTTAAGATGTGACTCAATACTTAGATAGAGGGAGTAGAGGTTTTGGTATCTCCAAGTCAAATATTTGGAAGTAAGAATAAGCACAAGACGTCAAGGAAGACTAGAAAGTATACGATCAAAGATTCCAAGTGTTTATCTTCCGTCGGCCCCGCCCCGCGCGCTGTCGCTGGATTAGGAAAAGATCTCAAAGCTTCCCCTCAATCTCCAAAACATTTCTTCTTCGTCAATCTCGATCCAGATGTCGTGATAAGCGTGCATTTTTATATTCTAATCGACTGATTTTTTAAGGTCTAGGCACCGGCCTAATGCAGGCCACTGCGACGCCCGAACAACCTTAATAATGTCGTGCCCCCTTGCAAAGTTCAGTCCTTCGAGTTGTTTACGAGAAAAGTCGCCAGCATGGCAAATCCATTGAAAGACGCCGGAATTGACGGCCAACCCATATCAGACAGGAAAAACAACAGCCCTACAGAATCCATCCACAGTCGAAGCGATTCAGGCATAGCATTTGGCAACACCCAGTCAGAAGCGAAGAAAAGATGGTTCCACTGGCACGAGCCCGGCACATCAAACGCCGACAAGAAACTCATCTTCAAGCTCGACTGGTTTCTTCTCAGCTATAGCTGCTTGTGTTTCTTTATCAAATACCTCGACCAAACCAATGTCAGCAATGCATATGTGTCGGGCATGGAGGAGGAACTCGGCTTTGGTGCCGGTAACCAATTGACCTGGATGAACACATACTTTAGCATTGGTGTTATACTCGGAGGCCCAATCAGCAACATTGTTCTGACAGTCGTGCGACCCCGGATCTGGCTACCCAGCTGCCTACTCGTCTGGTCGCTTTTTGTCTTATTCCTATTCAAATGTGAAACTGCATCACAATTTTACGGCTTGCGATTCTGTGTTGGATTGATGGAGTCTGCTGCATGGCCAGGCATCCAATATGTGCTTGGATGCTGGTACAAGAAATCCGAGCTGGCGTCTCGAAGTGGACTCTTCGTCATGTCCGGTGTGCTTGGTCAGATGTTCTCAGGATACCTTCAGTCTGCTCTGTTTGAAGGTATGGAAGGCAAAGGGGGCTTGTCAGCTTGGAGATGGCTGTTTATCTTCGACTTTATCCTTGCTGTTCCAGTCGTGCTTTACGGCTACGTGTTCTACCCAGACACACCCCAAAACACCAAAGCGTTCTACCTGACCGATTGGGAAAAGAATCGCGCTCGAGAAAGAATCGAAGAGGATGGCCGAACTCCGGTTGGAAAAATGGATATGACGGTGTTGAAACGTATTCTGCAGTCTTGGCAGCTATACGCTTTCTCCATCGCTTATGCCCTCTGGTCTCTGACCTGTGGCTCATATGTGATGCAGTACTTTGAGCTTTGGCTCAAGGCTCTAAAGACATATTCTGTGCCGCAGATCAACAACATCCCCACATCTATCGGGGCTGTCAATTTCGCTTTTATGGTGACAACGGGTATTGTTGCTGACAGAATCGGTCGTCGAGGGCCAGTTTTCTTCGCTGTTGGATGTCTTTTGACGTTTTGCTATGCTGTGTTTACAGCATGGCCTGAGTCGAAGGGACTAAAGATGGCCGCTTTTATTCTCACTGGCTGCTACGGGTGCTTTACGCCGCTTCTTGCCACATCTGTGAATATTTCATGCGGGAATGACCAACAGTTGCGAGCATTCGTGATGGCATTCATGGTGAGTCTTGGCTCGGCTGTTGTTATTCCATTTCAACAACTACAGTTCCCCAGCAGTGAAGCGCCGACATTTACAAAAACGCATGGGTGGGTTAGTGGCCTCGTTTTTGTAATAGCCTTGACTTTATGGACTGGGTTTGGTATAGATTTCGTTGAAAAGATTATGACTCGCTCGAAGAAGAAGCAGAGCTTGACTGAGAAGGACAACGGGGTTTAGCTTACAGATTTTACACCTGAGCAATCCCATAGAAAGATATTTGACTATCAAATTCGCTTTGATGATTTAACTAGCTAAACATCATGAGTTTTTCTCACTAAATTTATTTGCTGGACTCTGCGATAAGATAAGAAGCTTCCAGGGATTTTGACTCATTATTGCTCATTGTGACTACTGCCTTGATGCATCAATACTACTAGTGTGTATCTGATCGCGAATTTCTCTTCCACATACAACTTATCGCTCTTTCATAACCATATTTGAAGATGTCTACCTTCACGGACCCCACTTTCACGAAATATACCAACGACCAAGCACAGAATTATGCCAAGCTTCGTGGCACTTATGCAGACCCGCTATTCAACATTATCATCGATCACCATGCGAAAACCGGAGGCAACTTCCAAATACTAGCAGATGTGGGCTGCGGCCCGGGCAACGCAACCAAGCCTTTTGCCCACTCATTTGATCATGCCATCGGACTTGATCCAGCAATCGAGATGATAAATACTGCCCAAAAACTAGGAGGTAAAACCGCAATTGGGGAACCAATTACTTACTGCGTCTCTGGCGCCGAGTCTATTGCGTATTACATTCAAGAGAATATGCCATTTATCGAAGAAAATGGCGGAGTAGATATGATCACTGCTGCTATGGCTGTATGTGTATTCCCCCTGCCAACTAATTACGGGCTAAGTAAGTATCATATGCCTAACCGTCTGGACGAATGATACCCAGGCCCATTGGTTCAATATGCCAAAATTCTGGTCAGAGGCTACTCAAATAGTCAAGTCAGGCGGCTCGGTAGCTCTCTGGACCCATTCATCCCTGTTTTGCCGTAAGCACTGGGGAAAAAGTCGACACTCCGACCTTAATATCAGAATCAACTAACATCCACTAGATCCATCAACGCCAAATGCCGAGCAAGTCCAGAACGCGCTTTTCTATCTCGAACGAGAAATTCTAGCCCCCTACGAGCTCCCAGAAAATAGACTTTCCCGTGACTACTACGATAACCTTGCTCTTCCATGGACAATAACCAACAAGGATGTGGAAAGGGCTTTCCCCAAATCAGGCTTCGTGCGTATGATATGGGATCGAGATGGAGTTCTTACCGATGGCGAGAATTTCTTCAGTGGCTCTGATGAAACGACCGCCAGCAAGCTCGCTGACAGTCTACAGACTGCCAGTATGGTCACTCGTTGGAGAAAAGCTCATCCGGATCTGGTAGATACGGACCAGGACTGCGTGGCATTAGCGATGGCGGAACTGAGAAAGGCTCTAGGGGTAAGCGAAGATGAGGATCCAATGCTGAAAGTTGGAAGTGCGACAGTATTGTTACTTTTTAAGCGAGAATAGTCCACCCAGTATTGCAAAATGTAGTTAAGTTCCAAGGTTTCGGCTCTTCTCAAAATGAGACTATTTGTGTTTATATGACACCAGTACATGACCGTCACCCGAGGAATCAATCTCGGTTAAATAGGAAAGCTTGCAATCTCATCACAAATCTCCACAAGCTTATTCTGTGTACCAGGCTCCTGTATTCACCATCAGTAAGCAAAATCCAGCAAAATCAAACGGAATCTTACAGTGGCTGAGTGTCCGGCATCAGGAACGATGAAAATCTTGCTATTAGGCAACAGCTTATGCAGCCTCCACGCCGCAATTGGCGGACAGATCAAGTCATACCTCCCGTTAACGATGTAGCACGGGACTTCTTTGATATTTTCCAGCTTCTCAGGCTCCAGGTACCGCAGTTCCTTCAGCCATAGATTGTACGCATGATAATGCCACTCGATCCGAATGGACGCAACCATACGCTTCTCCTCCTCCTCTGTCATTGTGACCTCACCGTCATCCTCATTAGGAACAAGCTTAGTGCTCCCCCCAGCCCATCTATCATACATTTTCATTGCCGCAAGCTCAACTGCATGATCACCGCACGAGAACCGCTTAGCATAGCTACCAGCAACATCCTCGCGTTCTTCCTGGGTCAGAGGCTCAACGAGCTCGTCATATAGCTCTGGACGGAAGAGCTTTGTGCGCTGGAAAGCAGCGTTGAAGTTTATCTTTTCCTCGGCCTCAAAGAAGGAGACGCCTCGTAGAGTCAGACTCACTACGGCCTCTGGATATGTTTGCGCGTAGATGAGAGATAGAGTAGTTCCCCACGAGGCGCCAAAAACGTGCCATCGCTGAATCCCAAAGTACTTGCGGAGAAGCTCCATGTCTGAAGCCGAGTGCTGTGGGCTGTTTTCTCGAATCTCGCCTAGGGGAGTGGATCGCCCACATCCTCGTTGGTCAAAGAGGATTACACGGTAGACAGATGGATTGAAAAAGATGGTGTTCTTTGAGGAAGAAGAGCCACCGGGACCGCCATGTACAAACACAACTGTCAAAGTCAGCTCCAGTCTGGCATAGCGAAATGTTCCCGGTCACTTACTTGGTTTGCCATCTTTGTTGCCATATTGCTCGTAATGGATGTTGTGGATCGAATCCACACGGAAAAAGCCAGAATCAAAGGGCGCAGAATGCTTGTAGCTCTTTCTATTAATCTGTGCCATGATGAGATATTCAATCACTTGAGGGTGTGTTGCAGATGAGGAGCATTGAGATGCCTGGAGCTTAACAATATCGGAATTCAAGATGTCGGACTCTCAATCGGGACTAGTGCCCCTCACGTATCAAATCAACAATTAAAGAGCGTATTAGACACGCAGTTAAAGCTCCAGGTATAATAACAATTGAAAGGAGGAAAATTGAATACTATAATGGTCTATGCCCGGTATTCTGGAGCCCAATAACCTTGGTGACATCTCATCTATCATCTATTGTCTTTCTCTATCTTCTAGTCATTGATTCAAGAACAGTAGTTTGGCTGCTGCACATTGCCCTTCAAGAATCCATTTTGGATGAATCCTTCATAATTCCAATAATCCCCCTTATCGCCCTGTCCCTCAATAGTCGCATTGCTCAAGAACTTCGCGGTCCAGTAAGAGCTACCATGGGTGAACTGTCCAAAAGCAGAGATTCCAGCTTTGAGGTTCCGCTCCCTCAGAGCCAACTTGTTGCTTCCACCAGCCTCCATAGCCCACTCACCCACAAAGGTGGGGAACTTCCCGTCCCCAGCACTCACTTTCGCATCAGCACAAATGAAAGTCGGCAAATTCTCCGAAGTCGCATTAGTATACTGATAGTAGTAGTGATGCAAATCGAACACGATATTCTCCGTCTCATTGAAGTGCGGCGACCAGAACGTCTCAGGCTTGAAACTGCCCTGGATCATAACAGGGATCAACGGGTTAACTTCCTTCACACGATCCACGACCTCATTGAAATATTTCAACAACCAGACAGCGCCACGATCTGTCAACGCAGCTGCGGTTCCAAAATCCGAAAAGTTGTGATTATCAGCCGGCTCGTTGATGGGCTCAATACTGTATGCCTCGGGATGACCCGAATTTTGCACAAAGTCAATAACCGCGTCAACGGCCTTCATCGACCATTCGAGCGCTGTCTGATTGTGCCACCAGCCCCAGTGACCCACCGCCTCACCGATATCAAGGCCGTTGGTGCCGCCAGGTAGAGAGTGGATATCGACAACAACGTGCATATTATGTTTTTCGATAGCGTGCGTCGCGATGCGGTGGAGGTGTTTTTGTTGCTTTCCGTGGTAGAACTGGGAGCCGGGTAGGTTGATCCAAGCGGCGTATGTGGTTGGGATGCGGAGGAGTGTTACGCCGGCATCGGCGAGCTTATCGATATCGGCCGTTGTGATGTATGTTTCGTAGCGGTGCTCTAAGACTCGTGGGCACTCGGATCCCAGGTGCTCGCAGAGACCCCATTCGCCTAGATCACAGAGGTCTGTAGCACCGGCGCATTCCTTGGCCCACCAATACGTGTCAATTGTAGACTCCTGTTCGAGCCAGCCGCCCAAATTGACGCCGTTGGCATGGAAATTGCGCCAATTGACATAATCAGTCTTATTGTGGGAGGAGGATCGTTCGGTAGGGTGAGCTGCTACTTGGGCGGTTGAGTAGAGGCCCAACAAGCTAAGGGAGGCGAGGATCTGCATGATAATATATCCAATTGCAATTTTCTTCAAGCTGGGAATCACTGGAAAGGCGCTGGTCAATTGCCTTTTATAAGCTTATTATCGAGCCGTTATGTTTTTCCCATCCCGCCCGGCCCCCATACAAGACGGGATTTATGACCCCATAGTATTCCCCGCAATTGTGGAGACCTGCTGGATCTTAGGTCGGATAACCCTGAAGAATGATCTAAACTCCGGCTAAGCGAAGGGATTGTCAGTGACAAGCGCACCAAAATGGGAAGCTGATCTTCTGGTGGATTGGGTATGGGGAGGGCAATTCGTTCGGACATTCCAGGACGGGATCTGATCGTCCAGGAGCTGTCCTGTTTGGTGTGCCAAGGTGGCCGGGAAGTCCGAGTAGAAGACCCTTATTTGACCATCATATCCTCAAAGAGCAAGTGCCTTGGCCTCTTTCTTTCCAAGAAACTTGGTAGCTCCTGTGAGTAGGCATTGCCTTGGAAAAGCTGGTACAAATAATTGATACTTGTATATAGAAGGTTTGCCTAAGGCCAAAGCTTGAGTCATGCACGACGGGCCGTTCCACTCGTGATTCGTTTTCAGTTTATCTCCGAGTGTGACTAAGCACAGAGTTCCGTTCGAAAAGTTGATAGATAACATTGAGTAAAGGTGGTCCGAGAGCCGAGCCAGGGTTTGGGTTGGATTCTATGGATTTCCATGTGATTCTGCAGTGTTTGCTTAGCTTTCCTTAGCTTTCCTTAGCCTTTTCCCTGTTCCAGATTTACCCGACAAGGCTCCCGTTACCCTTTTCCAACAGAAGCCACCAACAGCCAAGCGCCTTTCGATACGGGTAACTAATGTGATTTGCCTGTGGCGGGTGAGACCTGACCCAATTAGGCCAAGCGGTCTATCCCCCAATCATAGATCGTAATCGGGCCCAGACCACACCTTATCCTTGGCAAAGACACTATTGCTTCTGGATTAGGGAGAGCCGCAAGCATCCGATCAGGAAAAGGATCGGGAATTATTGATGTGAGGGCGAAAAGGCAGGAACAAAGAGAGATGCGAGGGGAATATGAAATAAAATAACTAGAAAGAACGAGCGAATTCCACCCTAACGAGAATTACCTCTTAAGCATACATAAGAACATTTCACTTTAGAGATGTTTGAAACCGATGCATGACGTGTCGCAAAGGGTTTCCACGTCAGTACAAAATCACCCATCACAAATCACACCATGTTTTCTGTTGTTTCCCCCCCTTTTTCCCTTTCTCTTTCCCCCTTCCCTCTCCAAGGTTTGATTTCCCACCCTTTCTCATTTTCTCATTTTCTTTTTTCTTTTTTCTTTTTCACGTTTTCTTTTTCTATTTTCTCTCTCCCCTTTTTTTTTTTCTCCAAAAAAAAAATCCCACAATTTAATATTAGATTCGCCACTCCGTAATTCGTGTTTGGGCTACACACTATTTACGGGGCCCAACTTGACACGGTCGCGCAAGCTTTGTCGACGTCCATTCCTTCTTTCCCCCTTTCTACCAAAAACTGCCACCCTTTCACCGCCATCTACACTTTCCACGACTCCCCAAAAAAACAATACCTTTAATTACTAAATAAAAAGAAAAAAAAAATCCCCACACCCATTCTTCATATCAACCTACCTGATACGAATGATCACATCTTGCCGACTGATTTAACCCGGAAACCCTATTTATGGTCGGACTTGATTGCCATCCTTCGCATGGCATGTTTCGCCTGCTGCCCTGGCCCTCTGCGATCGGAGGGGACAAGATGATGTCGGATGATGGAAAGATGTTGACCTCGAGTTGTGTGAATGTCAACGCCAGTGCCTTGGTCCCTCAACTAAAGCGCAAGCGCATCGATGATTCTTTGACAGGAGCGCCTGCTTCCACCAAGATCAGGACAGACGATTCAGTCGCATCAACACCCGCCTCCGATATTGCCACATCGCTACCGGTCGCTTCGTCAAATCCAGTCGCTTCTACCAATGTGCCATCATCTATTGCCACACCCACGCGTTCACCAGCGCAGGTCGCTGGTCGCACCGTGGACGTGGATCGTCTTCGCGAAACCATCACCGCCCAGTTGAGCTTGGAGGTGCTGCTGAAGCATAACGAACTACGCCTTATCGACCAGGAAATCGCCAAATGTCAAGTCTCACTCGAACAGTTACGACGCTGCGCTGAGATCCCGTACCCGGGCTCCTGTGTATCCGGTGTCTCTGCTGGCGTGAGTTTAGGCACGGGCGCATCGGTGCTGCCTGGAAATGGCCCCGCACCGATATCGCCTGCGCCCTGGGGTGTCACAGAAGGCCCGTATTCGCGTCACTATGCGCGATGGTTGTTGCCTGACCCCCGGTTTGACGGTGGTGTTGACTCAACAGCTTCGGCTTATCCCGTCGAAGGCCGGTCTACTCGGGGGAACCCAGTAGATTTCAGTGTTTTGGCTGGGAAAACGCGTCCATCGCGAACCTCAGGAGGCCCCAAGTTGCAGTCTTTACCAAGTGGATATCCGGTCGTTAAGGAAAAGTCGGGCCCCATGGTCATGCGACGCAAGTCGGATGGTGTCTTGGTCAAGCTTACCTGCCTGGACTGTCAGCGTGTTGACTTCTCCAGCACGCAAGGTTTTATCAACCATTGTCGTATCGCGCACAACCGAAACTTCGCTAGTCACGATGCGGCTGCTATGGCGTCGGGCGAGCCTGTCGATGTTGATGAGTCTGGTGCCATCATCGGTGGCCGTACTGAGTCCGCGGCTCCCCCTGCCGTCTCGGGATACGTCCACCCATTGATTCGTTCCTCTGAACTGCTTACCCCTACCAAGGAGACGGTAACTCCCAAGAAACTGTCCGAGGTGCGCAGCTCGTCAGTTCAAGTTGCAACCCCTCCAGCAACCATTCAACGGAACGTGGATCCGCGTCGCCAGTCTCAGCCTGTCAAGGCTGAAAATCCTTCATTCCTGCCCTCGCCTGCCACTCCTCATCTCTCTGCTTTGATGAAAGCCCGTGGCCTAGGTCTGAATATGGGCAAGTTGGTGGAGGATGCCAAGACTCCTATTGATCTAGATGCCTTCTTCGACGAGTCAGATGTGGACGAGCGACCTTCGTCTTATGCGAGAACCCCTCAGGATTCTCACCAGGACTCCCCCGCTCCCCAAGCGGCGCGTCACCCTATGCGAATGCCTACCGCTCAAGACGCCTCTGATCAATCTGGTCAAAAGGCTTTGCAGATTCCCGACATGACTCCTCCTCGGACTCATTCCTATGCGCCGCGTCTCTCGGATCTTGCCTCGTTGTCTGCTTCAGCCGCACAGTCTTCAATGGATACGCCTCGTGATTCCATGGATCACCCGGCTCATCTCAGTCCTAATACCATCGAATCTAACCAAGCTCCCAGCTTGGTCAGCGATTATGAGGATGACTATGCCATGGCCTCTGATTCCGAAGGCCCCAGCTCGTCGGAGGCGGAGGATGACGAAGAAGAGTTCCGACACATCGAAGTGCAAGACGACGAGCGCACCGGTGCTCCCTCTGCCCCTGCGGAGCCTAAGCCCGGTCCCTCGCTGGCGAACCCCATGTCTCAACCCGCTCCTCCTCTCCCCAAAACCATGAAGCAGAGCCGCCCCGCGCTCCCTTCATTCGGTGACCGCAACCAAGACATGCAGTTCAACCCCATGCGCGATCTCTCCAACTCAGTGAATTTCGCTCGACCTGACTTCCACGCTCCCAGTGAGGACCCCTCCAAGCCGAAGTCGAAGTCCAAGCCGAGCCGGGACAGCGCTCGCAACCCTTCTCCCCCTTTCAATAGATAAAAATATGGTCAGCCCTTTCATCAAGGACTTGATTCTTTTTATCCATGCCCTCTGTATCGCTCTTACTCCTCTCTTCTTTTCTCTACGCCGGGTATGTGTTCATCAAAAAAAATTGGCACACTACCCAGCTGTTCCTGTACACCGTCCCTGTGACGGTGTTATCTTTTATCTCTTCTGTCTGTTTTAATGTTGCGTCCACTGGATGCATTCGCGTTTCAGCCCACGGGCCATCTTGATGATGGCGGATGGTGAGACGGGTGATGACTTTCTTCATGATGTTGTACTTGATATTTTTTTAATGAAAACTTTTCACGGTCGTGGTTTTGTACATAGGGAAAATTGACCAAAAACGCGATTTAGCGTAGAGATAGAAAATGGTCCCTCTGGCTTACACTCCACTTTCTTAACTCGAGCTATGAACTACTACCTGGCTGCTCCGTATATTACTAGGACTCTGTAGTAGTATTAATAGTATTCTAGTGGGACTTACCCCAGAATACCCCATGTAGCCCAGTCCAGCCCAGCCCACTTGAATCAGTGTCAACTGGTCCCACTCGCGCCACTGAAACAAAAATTTACATGATTTGAAGCAATTCATCAACACATTTGCTCATCGCATGAGACAACACAAATGCTTAGCATTGCCCTCCCATACTATCTACCAGTATGGCACTAGATGCCCCAGCACTGGCGTGTTGCCTGGCTGTATACTATACCACGATACGTGACCAGGAAATATTCAAAGAAGAAGAAGAGACCGAAAGAGCCAAGAGCCCGCCGTATAGAGCCATACAAGTCCCCGCGACGCCATGCCCTCGCCCTCCACCCAATCAAAACCCACTCCCGACAACATCAACATCAACATCACCATTGCCATCTGCTCAACGCACCGCGTACAACCCCACTACAATCCCCTTGCTCCAATCATGACCTCCTCTCTCCCAAAACCAAAACAAGAGCCCGACTCCAAAAGTCCCATCTCCGCGCTGCAAGACCCGCAATCGCAATCTTTCCACCCAGATCAAATATCTCTGCCCACCTTCCGCGCCCTACTAAGCTTCTACCCGCAGACCGTAGAACGGGTGCACAGACGAAAGCTCACGCTGAAGAGCAAGGGCAAGTCGACGAAAGGCGCGAAGGGTTCAAAAGCGAACGCAGGCGCAACGCGCCCCCGAAATGCAGATGCTAGCGTCGAACTCGAACTCGAACCCGAACTCGAGCCTGACCAGGCCGCGCAGGTCGAGGCCAGTATGGAAAAGTTTGTCAGCCTTGATTCCTGGCGGTATGAGGGTATGCCTGCTGTGATTGCGGGGCGGAGGTCTGCTGGTGCGGGCGCGGCATTGAGTAAGGAAGAGCTTGTTGATGTTATGGAGTGGAAGACGTGAGTCACATCGTTTTTCTCTTTTCTTTTCAATTTTCAATTTTCAATTTCATCTTTTCTCCTTTTTCTTTTGGTTCCTGAAATGCAGAATGCAAGCAAGGAACTTATCTCTACATAACTACTAGTATACTAATCTTCTCGCAGTACACACGGCACCTTCAGACCAATGCTGATGGGCATGATAAAATCAAACCCCAGCAGCTTCGTAATCGACTGCACGTCGGCCGCCATCTCATCCCTCCCGACAGAGTCAGCGGTCGAGTCGGACAAGGCGTTCCCCCAAGCCAGCATGGATGCCCTCCAACGGCTCCGCGGCGTCGGCGCAGCCACCGCCTCCCTCATTCTGTCCATGGCGACGGCGAAAAGCGACGTGCTGGACCAGCACCCATTCTACAGTGACGAGATGTTCCTGTGGCTGGTTGTGAAGGAGTACCCGGATGCGAGCCCGAGCTCGGATCCGTTGCCGAAGCTGAAGCCGAAGCCGAAGCCGAAGGCAGATTCGAAATTCAAGCGCAAAGCGAATGGGGACTTGGTTCTTGGGTATACGTTGGCTGAGTACAAGGACTTGTGGCGTGCGGCTTTGTGTTTAAGAAAGAGGCTTAGTGAGGGTGTGGAGGGGGGTCTGAAGATTTCGCAGAATGATGTTGAGAAGGTTGCTTATGTTTTGAGGAATATTGGTGTTTCGGGGGTTTATGCGTGGGGTTGCGGTGAGGTTGGTGTTGATGCTGCTGTTGGTGTGGAGAGTGAGGTTAAGGAAGAGATTAAAGAAGAGGCGAAGGGAGAGAAAGGGGCTACTTTTGGGGAAGAGGTGGCTACGAAGCGGAAGAGGGAAGAGGCTCCCGATGTGGGAGTTGTGACGAGGGCGTCTAGGAGTCGGAAGAAGACTGCTTGAGATGGTGAGAGGGTGATTTCTTTTTTCAAAAGTGGGTACCCCTGTTATAAATGGTGACAATATATGTATATGAGTATGTTCAAATTGTTCATTCAATAGGTTCTATCTGGACACATTTTAACGTGATATATTTAATCCATGCGAATATGTTCTTTACAGACCCTTGGCCTGCTTAGCCTCAGCAAGAGCCTCCTTCAGCGCCGCCAGGGCGTTGTCAATGTCACCACGGTTGGCATCAGTAACACTGACACCCATGTGACCGAAGCGAATATACCGGGTAGCAATCTCCTTGTGCAGACCAGCTGCGAAGATAACACCACGCTTCAGCAGACCGGGAAGCACATCGGGGGGAGTCAGACCGTCGGGCAAGTACATGGCAGTCATACCGTGAGCCTGAGCATCAGGGTTAGGAGCCAGCTGCTTCAAGCCCAGCTGTGCGACAGCAGCCTTAACACTGTCCGACACCTGGGTGTGGATAGCAAAGCGCTCAGCCATGGGGCGGGCAGTGATCTGGCTGAGGGTAGTGTGCAAAGCGTGAATAAGCTGGGTAGGCGGGGTAGCAAAGTACGAGGGCTTGTTGTTCTCGTAGTTGCGCATAATGGGCAGCCAGTTGGCAATGGAGGCGTAGTAGGAACCGGGAGGGGTCTGGCGGGTAGTGGCGCGGTTGATGGCGCGGCCGGAGGTCATGACGATGCTCAGACCGGGAGGGCAGCCGATGGCCTTCTGGCTAGCGGTGACGACGGCATCGAGGTCCCACTCGTCGAAGGCGATCTCCTCCGATCCAACACTGCACACGCCGTCCACGATGACCAGGGTCTCGGGGCTCACGCGGCGGACGAGCTGGGCGATGGCCTTGACGTCATTGAGGACACCGGTGGAGGTGTCGACGTGGGTGAGGGTGATGAGCTTGTAGGGCTTCTCCTTGAGGGCCTGCTCGATCTGCTCCTGCGAGGGGCGCTCGCCGATGGGGGCACGGAGCTGGGTAACCTCGGCACCGTAGGTCTTCAGGCATTGTTCGAAGGAGTCACCGAAGTAACCGGTGTTCAGGACGAGAGCGTTGTCACCGCGCTCGATCAGGTTGGCGGAGACAAGATCCCAGCCCAAGGTACCACTTCCTGAGATGATGAAGGGCTGTGCGGAGGGGTCGGTGGACTGGAACAGCTTGCGGGTCAGAGTCAGGGTCTCACCGAAGACCTTGACGAAGCCGGGAGCGACGTGGCTCTCACTATGGAACAAAAAGAACAATGTTAGTTCCAACAGGTACTGGTTGATGTGTAGGAGCCAATGGCAATGGGCTTTGGATGTAACAAGACTCACGCATAGTGGGACATGGACTGCAGGACAGCATCGTCGAATTCAATGGGGCCCGGGATGAGCAGAGTGTTGTGGGGGGCTTGAGAAGACATGGTGGGCTTTGAGGGAGAAGGGGAGTCTGGGATGGTGCGATCGAGGGGTTTATATTCGGTGTCGTCCGGGGGTAGGGAGCTTCTTTCGGTCGAGAAAGGAGTGTTGAGGTTCGGCAACGGTAGGCGCTGATCCAGGTGTCTGGCTATCAGGCTTAAACGTTGCTGCGTAGAGGGAGCCAGCTTTTCCGATTGCGGCGGGGCAGCCGCGGGGTACGTATCTTGTTTTTTGGTTGGTAAGTGGTTGAAAGCTTGTGAATTCCCGAGGGAAATGCAAGTTCGGGATTCGCCGCCGGTGGTTTGGGAGGTTGGGATTGGCTGAGGGAACTACTGAGTTTATTGGAATTCCACTATATTTTCAAAGTAGATCTTCGAATTGTTCTCAATTGAATGATTTCCAAGGGTTATAGAATATAAATAAAGAGATCCGGGGAGGGGTTATTTATAAAGGTGTTCCTTTAATGTTCAAACTCAACCCGATTTCTATGTTGTTGCGGTCGGAGGTGAGCGGCCGGACCCTACCGACTCTGTATATGCTAGAGCCTTCGAATGCCCTAGTATACGCTGTAGTCTCTATTCTATACAAGCGAGATTGTATGGAATAAGCTGATGGAGATTTTGTTGTTCAGAAATTGAATTCATGTATTATAGATACAGTATATACTACTCAGTACTAGTCCTACATATAGTCTTGTACATACTTAAAAAGCAGGTTCTATGCCAGACATACTTAATACATACTACTAGTAGTATACAAAATGTAACAAACAAGCCCTGGTGCATACTTCAAATCTTCAATAATCAGACACTATCATTTCATCCAAGACCTAGCATTGCCTTTCAAAGTTCTCGTATTGGCAACTGCAGTCTCTTATTTGCGCAGTACACAGTCTACTGTCGTCGCGATCCCCCGCTCCCCCGCATAACGGGATAATGTCCGTCAAATTTTGGCTTGGATACTTTCCTTTCGTTTCAGTGCTCTTCTCTTGCCGCTTTTCACTGAACGAGTAAATTTGAGCACGCCCGAATTGCAATCAGGGCGCAATGACTGCATGTGGAGTCGACTCCAGGTACTCCACGCACCATATTGGTGACGCCATATCATATTAAGCGCTGCTTAATACTCGACATACAATGATGATGCTTAGTATGGTTGAAGAGTTTGTTAGGATATGCGCAATATTGTCAAGACTGACTAAGCGCTTAATGATATCTAAGCCCTATCTTTCATGTCTAAGTACTTACAGAAACAAATCTAAACTATACTCAAACTTGGGATATCCACGCAGATCCATATACCTACCTATACTAGTCTATCAGTCTAGTAGACAAGGGGTTGATCAATCGACTGGGGCTAGTCTCAAAACTGTTTCCCATTCATGACCCACAACCACTTGGTTCAATATTGCTTGGTCGGATTCGCTCAACTCGGAAACATTCATTCTCACACCCCTATCGGCAAGGAAGGTGGCCAAAGAAAAGTCATGAATCTGCAGTGCTTCATGTATGTAAGGCCCGACCCCCTCCGGCCTGTTTCATTCGTACTCAAAAAGCGGATGAATGATTTCCATGCGTTGGTCGACATATTACTTAGAAAGAACCCTGGCCTTGCATCTGGGGGATTCTCTGTGTGATAGACATCTATCCCTGCTGCAAGCAACAGCCTCGTTATCTCTTCATTGTTCCCAGCACGCCACAAAGATGTATAAGAATGCCTCTATTCAGCAATTGGGCGCCCCCAGCGTTGAAGATCAATTCTTGTCAGAGGGGGCCAAAAGGAACCACGAGGAAAAATTGTTTAGTCTTATAAATCAAGGTCTCTTAACTAATTAGTAGATAGACTAGTAGTAAACACTTCCTGTCAAGCACTACTTCTACACTATAGTATTAGGTAGGTAGGTATTCTTTTCTTGACGGTAGTCAAAGAGTCCAGATATCTGGACTTTACAAACAATTTGACCAGTCAACAGGAGTGAGTGGGTAGTAAGTATTAGACTTGGGCTGAGTCCCGCTGTGCTGATGTTTACTTAGTGATCCTGACCCTTATAAAAGCGGCGGTAGGTAGTAGTAGTTCAGACAGGGCAGTCCGAACTTGCCTACATCACTGATTCACGGCGACCTCCGCTGCAAAAACAGTGAAGGAATTCGGCGTGTCTATATCATTTCTAATTGAATAGACAAGCCGACATGATTTGGGAGGTTCGGCAGAATGAGCCAATGTCGATTAAGAAGGAAACAAACCTTTGAATCTTTTATCGGGACTCGGGTGGACATCCGACATCCACTTGATAAATCCGATAACGCGATAAGGCCTTACCGCATTCAGGCCAACGGTAGGGTATAGGGCCTGACGTGGCTTCCCCGCGAAGCTCCAGACCCGTCTGCCTGATACGCGCATCTTGTCCCTGCGCAATTGGAGACGCTTTGAAGCTTTCTTTCTCTTGCCCCACCATTTCAGGATGACCGCCCGCCTGGTCCTGATCATCGGTGACTTATTCATCCCCGACCGAGCCCCTGTGAGTGTACCTCATGAGCTCCAGCGTCCCCCAATGGTCCGCATAGCTAACATCCTCTTCTTTAGGATCTCCCGGCTAAGGTACATCCTGTCGCATCGAGCAAACTCCCCTTCACCACTAACACTGTCAACAGTTCCGGAAACTTCTCACCCCGGGGAAGATTGGCCAGATCCTGTGCCTGGGAAACCTGACCGACCGCGACACATATGAGTTCCTCCGCCAGGTAGCTCCGGACCTGCAGATGGTCAAGGGAGACTATGATGTGGACTCCCCCAACCTCCCGCTTTCGAAAATTGTCAATCATGGAAGCCTGCGCATAGGCTTCACTCACGGTCACACCGTCATTCCCCCAGGCGATGCCGATGCCTTGTTGATTGCGGCTCGACAGATGGATGTCGACGTTCTACTTTGGGGTGGTACACATCGGTTTGAAGCATTCGAGATGGAAGGTCGCTTCTTCATCAACCCCGGCAGTGCGACTGGCGCAATGAGCTCAGGCTACTGGGCCGACGGCGAAGAGCCCACGCCGAGCTTCTGCTTGATGGACGTAAGTGATCACCTGCCATGGCTAACCGATCAGAAAAGTATGATATGCTAAATAAGATGGAACAGATCCAAGGCGATGTTCTGGTTTTGTATGTCTACCAACTAAAGACGGATGCGAATGGCGTCGAGAACGTGTCGGTCGAGAAGGTTTCTTATCGCAAGAACCACGCCCCAGCCCCAACCCCAGCCTCGTAATTGGCTTTCCGTTTCTCTCTCTCATCCTGCATCCTTTCAACCCGTGTAAATAACCTCCATACCACTTTCCGATCCTCCTGTTTGTCGTTCAGCTTGGATTCCATGCTTTCTCAAACCTGACTATTTTGATACCTTGAGCTAGTACAATTGACTCAATCCACACATAAATGATGCCCTTGTTAATATGACTACTCGAATCTTCTACGAAAATCATGTCTCTGTAGTTTTTTTTCTTTTTTTTTTTCGCCCTGATATCAATATGCGAAGCTTTATATGCGCCTGTTAAGCTAGTGGGGGTTGTTATGCCGGTTTGCATGCTGCTGGAATTGCCCTCATTTCAATGGAGATCAAAGAAACCTACAATCATTGTGGAAATTTACCTCTAAAATGCGCTTTTTTGCTCTGAAAGTCGTGAATTCTTTGAAATTTAGACTCAGATCATGTACTCTTGATGGTGCAGTTGATAGAAAACAAAGCCAATACTCGTTCAACCACGCTAGTCCCAAAACAGCAAGCCTCATGAATTCCTAATGAATAATGCCATCACGCCTCTCCGCCCCGCAAAGATCCTTAGTGACTGGATCTTGCTCAACACATCCATTAATTTCATTGAAGCTCGATAAGTCTTCCTCCGCGCACCACATATTCAGCCTTTCCGGATCATTCCCCCGGATTTTCTCTGCGCCGTTCGCCGTTCGTTCACTCGGGACCCAACAGCTCCTGCTACTTAAACTTCGCTCTTCACCAAGCTTTTCAAGCTACCACCCAAATTTCCCTACACAATGGCTACCGAGGCGCCCGAAGCAACTCAGATCATGGAGGAGCAGATCCCCCACGAAGAGGGCGGCGAAGAGGAGGTACGTCTTGATTGCGATACCCCGGACTCACGTGCGATGAGCTTGTTTCACCATGACCGGTCCAAACATGGCTGACGTAGTATTGGTTGGATATAGGAAGAAATTGCTGCCATGAAGAGGCGCGTTGCCGAGATGGAGTCAGAGGCCTCTAAGTTGCGTGAGATGCAGGCTACATTGGATCAGCAGTCCTCAGACTTGGCAGAGAACAAAGAGGACATCGATGCACGGAGTATTTTTGTCGGCAACGTGGACTACGGTGCCTCTCCTGAGGAGGTGCAGGCACACTTCCAGACCTGTGGCTCTATCAACCGGGTGACCATCTTGCTAGACAAATTCTCCGGCTCGCCCAAGGGGTGCGTTTGAACTTCTTCCTCATCCTTCGCCAAAAAATTCAAAAAAAGTCACCAGAGAACCCGACTGACAATTGATTATAGCTACGCTTACGTGGAGTTCTCCGAGCCTAGTCTCGTGGCGCAGGCTTTGGTTCTGAACGAGAGTGTCTTCCGTGGCCGTAACCTCAAGGTAAGCCTTCGTACCCCGGTTCTCTTGGATCCCCCTCTACTACACTGTGCTTACTTCGATATCAAAACAGGTCACCCCCAAGCGAACTAACTTGCCGGGCATGACTCGTGGTCGTGGTCGTGGACGTGGTGGCCCGCGAGGCCGTGGACCCTTCCGAGGCTACCGTGGTGCCTACCGGGGCCGGGGACGTGGCTTCGCGCCATACTAAGCGCGTGGCTTTCAGCTCATAGTTTATTTTCACTTGAAAAGCCCACACTTTTCTGCCACCCGGCAGAGATAGGCCGGGACTACCCCCACCCCGAATGTTCCGGCGCGACTATGTCCGAACCTGAAAGATATCAAATTGGCTTTCTGTCAGGATCAAGGAGTGGGATTGGAGTTGGGGCATTCTTTTTTTTTTTTTGCAGTATTTACATGGATTTGTACAATAACCGGGCAGTCAAACCAAGGGAATGAAGCTGAGAGGCTCTCGGCGAATTGTGTAATCAAATATTTCAAAGATTAGAGCTCACAGCCTTACTGTACAAGAAGGGTTAAGTAAGAGCTATATAATCTTGGCTTAGCATGGAATAAAGTCGCTGCCTAGTTCGCCCTGAATCTCACGCTAAGAGAAAAGCACGCCCGGTTTTTCTAATGACTTCCAAGTTACATGGACAAAAGGTACCAAGTCATAGCTAATCATAATCCATCTCTTATTGCCACCCGCAAACCCGCTTTGAAAACCAAAGATTACGTACGCGGGATACAAATCTCTTAACCTTCTAACAATTGTGGCTTAGCCATACAACTAAGAGACTAAGATACAAATAAATCAGAATATGAGAAAAAGAAAATCTCATATAAAAAATACCATAGAAATATTAACAGGTCCAGCCTAGTCTAAAGGCGATCTCCCGTGCTCAGCCCCAACAAGTACCGGCAAGGTATCTGGCTCGTAGTTAATACGTAGCGGGAGTACTTACGCCATACAATTCCGCGAATGAATTACGCCCAACCCTTCCCTCCTCTTCCCATTCTCCTCCTCCAAAACCTCCATTCCACACACCCCTCTCCACAACCCACCTTCTGTCACCTCGCCCGTGATATTGAATTTGGTGGATTGGCCGACTACGCCGCGATTCCGCCCCCCCTCCCTGGATGCGCGCGCCATATTCATTTAAGGCTTGATTGATCGGCCTCTTCGAACCGGTGTGCTGCGAAAAGCAACCAGGGCCAATATGACATCCAATCTGCCACCGTACGTTTCCCCGATCCCCCTCTTTCTCGCCCATCTGGTGCTCTCAAATATGAAAGAATCTTTTGAAATTTCAAATCCTGTTATTTGACTTTTTCAATGCTAACCTGCCAACGTTACAGCCAGCCAAATCTCCGAGTCACGAGTAAGATTGCCTTGTTGCTTCCCTGCGAAGGCGGGACACTGCGGGGCCCGGCCCTGAACTCGAAAACTAACATTTCCTGATCTTTTGCAGTTATCGCGGCAGACGGTCTTTACAAACGCGATGTTTTCCGTATGTCTTCCCCCCCTTCAGATGGTTGATTCGGCCCCAAGCGGGGTCGACTGACGTCTTGTCTAGGATTCCCCGATCCATTCGCCGTAGCTACGGTTGGGGGCGAACAGACCCATACGACTTCGGTGATTAAGAAGACCTTGAATCCTTACTGGAATGAACCTTTCGACTTGTACGTGATGGTGCCCCACTTCATCGGGCGATCGAAGAGACGTTTATTAACGGGTCGATTGTGGATATTAGGAGAGTCAACGAGGATAGTATCCTGGCGATCCAGATTTTCGACCAAAAGAAATTCAAGAAGAAGGACCAAGGCTTCCTCGGTGTGATCAACGTTCGGATCGGAGATGTTATTGATCTTTCGATGGGTGGTGATGGTACGTTGTGTGGTGGGAAGTGGGATCAAGCTGCGATCGGGAACTAACCCTCATCTTCCCGACAGAGATGCTCACCCGCGACCTCAAAAAATCCAACGATAACCTCATTGTCCATGGAAAATTGATTATTAACCTTTCAACCAATCTTACCGCTACACAACAGTCCCAGCAGAATGGCGGAGCTCAGCGCCCCCAAAACGCCCAGTCCTCCACCTCCAGTGGCCTTGTTCCGCAAGTTGCATCACCGGTACCCCCACCACCGGGTGGTCCCAGTGCAGCGGACGGATTGCCCGCTGCCATGTCTAATGTTTCGCTCAACAACCGCACTCCCTCAACTAGTGGGCCTGGAGCCTCTCCTGCTCCCCCCAACGGCGCTCCCCCAAGTGCCAATGCCCCGTCTCGCACCAATCTGAGCTCATTTGAGGACAGCCAGGGCCGCCTGCCAGCGGGTTGGGAACGAAGAGAAGATGGATTAGGGCGGACCTACTACGTCGATCACAATACCCGAACTACTACATGGTCGCGCCCGTCTGCTAACTACACCGAATCTGCTCACCGCACCCAGCGCGAAGCCAACATGCAGTTGGAACGCCGAGCCCATCAGAGTCGAATGCTGCCCGAAGATCGCACTGGTACAAGCTCTCCGAACTTGCCAGATCCTCAGCAGCCACAAACCCCGCCACCCCCGGTAGGAGCTCCATCGGCCGCTCCTCCTGGAGCCCAGGCAAATGCCGTTTCGATGATGGCAACGGGAGCCACCACTGCAGGCACTGGCGAGCTTCCACCCGGATGGGAACAGCGACACACCCCTGAGGGGCGATCGTATTTTGTTGACCACAATACTCGCACCACAACTTGGGTTGATCCTCGTCGCCAACAGTACATTCGCATGTATGGTCAGAATCAAACCCAGGGCGGAAATAATACCACTATTCAACAGCAGCCCGTCTCACAACTGGGCCCTCTTCCCAGTGGATGGGAAATGCGACTCACGAATACCGCTCGTGTGTACTTTGTGGACCACAACACCAAAACCACTACTTGGGATGATCCTCGTCTACCTTCATCTTTGGACCAGGGCGTGCCACAGTACAAGCGTGACTTCCGTCGCAAGCTGATCTACTTCCGTTCGCAACCCGCTCTGCGGATCATGTCGGGTCAATGCCACGTGAAGGTCCGTCGTAATAATATCTTCGAGGACTCTTACGCAGAGATCATGCGACAGAGCGCAGCCGATCTGAAGAAGCGCCTGATGATTAAGTTTGATGGTGAAGACGGTCTTGATTACGGTGGTCTTTCTCGGTATGTTCCGCTATTTGTTAAGCCCGGGAGAGGTCCACAATACTAACAGTTGACAGTGAATTCTTCTTCCTTCTTTCGCACGAAATGTTCAATCCCTTCTACTGTCTCTTCGAATACTCCGCCCACGATAATTATACCCTGCAGATTAATCCCCACTCGGGCGTCAATCCCGAGCATCTCAATTACTTCAAGTTCATCGGCCGAGTGGTTGGCTTGGCCATTTTCCATCGCCGCTTCCTGGATTCCTTCTTCATCGGAGCATTCTACAAGATGATGCTTCGGAAGAAGGTTACGCTTCAAGATATGGAGGGTGTCGACGAAGATTTACATCGCAACTTAGCGTGGACTTTGTAAGCATTTTGATCATTAACTTACGTATACTCTTCCGCTAACAAATCTGCTAGGGATAATGACATTGAAGGGATCGTGGAGCTCACATTCTCGGTTGATGACGAGAAGTTTGGCGAGCGTCGCACTATTGATTTGATACCCGGTGGCCGGGATATCCCCGTCACCAACGAGAACAAGCCCCAGTATATTGAGTAAGTTTTTATTTAATTTCTGATCCAACTGTGTATATTTTATGCCAGGTACTGACTTCTATAGGTTGGTTACGGAGTGGAAGATTGTCAAGCGAGTGGAAGAGCAGTTCAATGCTTTCATGTCCGGCTTTAACGAGCTTATCCCAGCGGATTTAGTCAATGTCTTTGATGAGCGTGAACTAGAGTTGCTTATTGGTGGTATCGCCGATATTGACGTGGAGGACTGGAAGAAGCACACAGATTACCGCGGTTACCAGGAGCAGGATGAGGTTATTCAGAACTTCTGGAAGATCGTCCGCACCTGGGATGCAGAGCAGAAGTCGCGTCTCCTCCAGTTTACTACTGGAACTTCGCGTATTCCTGTTAACGGTTTCAAGGATCTGCAAGGTTCCGATGGACCCAGACGATTCACCATTGAGAAGTCTGGTGATCCTGTTGCTCTTCCCAAGTCCCACACCTGGTATGTCCCTTACAAGCTCTCTTCAACTATGTGCTTCTACTAACCGCTTTTCAGCTTTAACCGTCTGGATCTCCCGCCTTACAAGACCCATGAAGCTCTTGAGCACAAGATGACTATTGCAGTGGAGGAAACCCTTGGATTCGGACAGGAATAGATGCCCGGCCATCCTCTGCGCCATGCAATGCAGAGTATACCATGGAACTCCTTGCTCTCACCTAAGCTCTAGTAACCTACTACTCCCAACTAAACACATCCCATGTTACTTTCTCATCACACCCACTCCTGTCTCGTTTCATACATACCTCAACTGTCTATGTCTACTGTAGCAGTGGTACTATCCACCCCAGAACTCATCTTGTTCTATTCAATCGTTGCTTCCCTGCTTCCGGATTCCCCCACCGGCCCTGATCATGCAGACCAAACCCGTTTGTCATTTTTTGGTCTATTACTTCAAACGTTTTTTCTTGTTTTTGTCCTGAAGTGGCGCTTCTACTAGCTTGTACATAGGTATCTGTATCATCGTGTGATCACGTCGAGCTGAATTTAATCTCGTTTTTGACGGGACTTTTGTTTTTTCGTTCCAACATGCTGAATTGACCAACACCATGTATATGTGGTTTCATCCCCAGCCCATATCTAGTATCAGTGGACACCTTCCTTGGCAGCGCCTAACTAAATGCACTACCCATGCAACGATGGGGATCATCATACCTCGAGCAGGGATATGGTTCGCCAGAACTACTCTGCCCCGCACGGAATATACGTCAATGGCGTATTTAGATTGTTAGGTCGTCGCGCCGGCACACCGTACCGTTTTCGGGTCTATTTTTAGTAACCGGGCTGAATTTTTTGGAGATATGCTTGAGCTCAAGCCGATGATTGGAGGTTTGTCATCTGGTATGCTGGTATCTGTTGAAAGGAGCTGTTGGTGGATACAATGTAGGTACATGTACGGAGAAAGGAGGTACCTGGCCCGGCTTTTTCGGGATGTATGTACTACATTCATTAGCTTGCTTGGGTGCCGAGTGCCGAGTGGTACAAGTGGAGCTGGCGTGGTATATCCGCGTATGTCACGGATGTATGTATACTCGGTGATAACGGCAAATACAGAGAATGATATGTAGAATGCTTGCCGTCCTCTTTTGCTCGTATAAGTGGCCCGGGAAGATGTTCTCCGGTCGTGGAATAAGTAAGGCCCGGATGTGGGTATAGCCGGTGTAGTTCCGACGAACAAAATGTCAAGGCGAAGCCCGGTGGAGGATTTTTATGAAGTAAATATTCAAGATGGATATATCGCTTCCGTGTTTCCATGACAGGAGGAATGTGGAGCTTGGTAGATAGCTCGCTAGTGCCCTGTATTATTTCCTCTTGCGCCGTTGCCTCTTTGAGCTAACGATTAGACGTCTCTGAGCGAGCAAGACCGCGTATCTTTTGATTTTATCTCGCCTGAAAGGGAGAGTGTCAGCACTGTTTTATATACCAGAGATATCAGGATAATAGACTTACATTATAAAGAGGGTCGTGACAAACACGAATGGAATTGCGATCTTCCAAAAGTATCTGGGAATGAGATTAGTATCTCCCCCTGCTTGGTAAATTTTGAATAGAGGAACACATACGAATCGCTGTGGTGAATACCAGGAAATTCTTGACTCGTGAAATTCATTCCAAAGTAAGCCTGGAGTAGTGTCAGCGGCTGCAATGCGATACGCGGAGAAGTGCTGTACATGCCGTTAAAAACCCCAAAGGGAGACACAGACAACTGACAATAGCAAGCTGCTTCATATTCTCATTCTGGTGTGCACCTAGAAGAATACCCATTTAGCAATTTTGCTCCCACCAAGGGGAAAACAGACCAAACCACTAACCAATCGTGTTGAAAATAAGATCAATCATATTGTCCGCAGCCTGTCGCATTTGATCATAAGCTTCCACAATAGTAATACAATGATCCAAGACGTCTCCCAAATAGGTATGGCACAGGGCACTAATCGTGACGCCCTGATCCCCCAGACCGGAAGTACCGATGGGTTGGGACCTGTGGTCCCGAAGCGCATTGATCAAAGCCACCATCGGCTGAATAGAATTGCGAAGCACAGCAATCTCCGACGTCAATATATAAAGGCTTTTTGACTGGTAGGTCTTTGGATCTGTCAGGACTTCCAGCTCGAGATCATTTATCGTATCTTGATATGCAATGGTAACAGGGATAGCAAGATCAATCACGCCGTCTATGATTGCTTGCAGAAGCATGCTTGCATCGCACGATTGTCGGAGAATGGTTTCGGAGGAATTCAAACGCCGCACTATGGGTTCTTCTATATCCTCAGCACTCGTTTCGAAGAACGACGTGACGGTGTTGTCGGCGTGCAGGAAGACGGAAACCTGCTCCAGCGTGACAGAGAGGCCCTTGGATGCGAGCGCCGCGTGGCGTTCCATGAACTCGATTCTGTCTTCGTTCACTGCGCTGCGGTAGCGCTGGAGAGAGCGGGCCGTAGCTTGAGCTGCAGTCGCGGTAGCGATGTCTCTGAGTGGAGGCTTGTGTTGAAAGGAAGATGTGTCGGATTTGGGATGAACGTTAAAGCCAGGTATGACTTTCTTGTGTTCATTTCTGTTTGACAGTTTCTTGAATCCAAGAGTATCCTTGAGAGCTTCTCCAATGATCTGCCATTTAGCAGGCCGCTTTGTATTCACCGTGCTCTGATAGCTCGCAGTTGATTTTTTCCTTTGATATCTCCGTTTGGAGTCCTTTATACCTTTAACATCATCTTCATCTTCATCTTCGGAACCACTGTTTCCCTGATGAAGTTTCACCAGCTTCTGCAGCGTCAAGACAACAAACGTATGATCCAAATACCAATCCGCCTTCACGCGAGTCGTAGGATGAATAATATCCTCAATCGCCAGACGATGTAACCCCTTGTGATTCCCAAGAGCTTTAATCACATCCCAGCTTAATCCATTGACATTAATCCAACGACATCGCGCCCAAGGCTCGCGGTCGCGCAGTAAAAACTCTTCCAGGGAATCATTATCAAGCTCATATTTTCGCATCCGATCTTGCGAGAAGTCAACCACCGTGATGGTACAATATCGTTGTAGGTCTCCAGGTACGTTGGACGCCCATTCGGCGCTGAATGGAGGTAGCGGTTTTGTCGGGTCAATACCGGGCTCTGTACCCGGTTGCCATGCAGAGCTTTGATCAAGTCCTTCGTGCTGATAATGGCGGGCAGTGTTGGAACGTTTTCTGCGCCGCTTATTGGAATCGGTAGAATTGGCTCTTGCCGCGGTGGTGAAGGCGTCCGACGCGGACAAAAGCTCTGGCTGTGTTGAGAGTATGGCAGAGCGGGGCGACAGAGCTGTCAGCTCGAATTCAGTGTTGATACTCGAGTCGGTTTGGAATGTGTTGGGCTGCACATGGTCATTTGAGTGGATGTTCATTGTGGTTGCCGATTTACGGGCCTCAGAGGCCGAGTTGTGATGGTGGATGGGTATGTAAGACCATTAAGGTATGTATATAGCGAAGCTCGCGCCAGGACAGACTCAGTGGATCTAAGGAAGGCCAGGACAGTGATAAAAAAAGCCGAGTTAATGATACTGGTGATGCCGAGGAAGCGAACTGGACAGGTTTCCATGGCCAAGCTTCTGACAGAATGTTCAGGGGCGATCTTATCTTCCCCACTGGGGGTGAAAGCTGGGATAGCTGGTTTGTTTACTGCCCCACTTCCCCCACTCCGGTTTCGTAAACCGTAAGCCTATCATCTACGCTTGAAGTAATACAGTATTTACTGTATGTCTTTGCTAAGCGAACCCGCGGACTACTGCGAGCTCCGGTTGGCTCAAGTTATCATCTTTGTACGTATGGGCCAAAGCATACAAATCATGACAAAATTTGATGTCATCCGGTAATTCCAAACTACGTGACTATTGACATGACAGATGAATCCCATGAAAAGGCGCAACACAATTGGAAGAGACTTGCTGTATAACTTAGAAATGTAGGTCTTTTTTTAATTTTCCAGTTGCTGCTAAATTGAGTTGCAGTAATCGCTTGTTAAGCGATTGAGGAGTTTATTAGGATATGCGCATAATTTAGGACCATTTAGCAAATCAGGTCTTCAGGTCATCAGGTGATCAGGTGAGTTTTTGAGGGGTTTGTTAGGATATGCACATAATTTGGGAAGTGAGTTGATCAGGTCAAAAAGTGACCTGATGACCTGATGGGCACAGACCAGTTGTTACCAGTTATTACTAGTACTTGTAGAAAAGATAGGTAAAAAGTTACTAGATTAATAAAGGACTCTTATTTCTTATAGACCTAATAGGATCCCTTATTTTATCTCTATATGATCTCCTATCTATTCTATAGTAAGTACCAGTAATAACTGGTAACAACTGGTATTTGCTACCTAGCCCATCAGGTCATCAGGTCATCAGGTCACTTTTTGACCTGATCACCTGATTCCTAAATTATGTACATATCCTAACAAACTCCTCAAAAACTGACCTGATCACCTGATGACCTGATTCGCTTCACAAAACTATGCGCAAATCCTAACAGTCTCCAATACTAGCATCGAGCCAACATTGACTACCTCCAGGGCCAGTGGACTTCGACCTTAGAAGCGTCACTGTTGTTAATCTAGTCTTTTCCCGAGATCATGGATGGATGCGGTTTCTAGATCGACCTCAAAGGGCTGAATCTGCTTGCACAAATGACCTGCCCATGCACATGTGCAGTCATATATATTCCCGGATCAATCATTTTCATAACTCATTTTCAATTATTTGAACACCATATGTAATACTGTAATAAGTCCTGCTGCCACTGTTCGTATGCATAAAACAACCCAACGCTAAACATAATGTAAAACGAACGCCATAATAAAAAACCTCGCTAAATCAAATGCAATGGGTATCAGTATCACGCAATCCCCATAATACTCTTAAGGTTCTGAAGTGACAGTGGTTTGATTAGATAATCGTTAATCCCTGCTGCCAGGGCCTGCTGATGCATGGCGTCGGAAGCGACACCGGTCACAGCCATGATGCAGGAAGGAATAAGGCCGGTTTCTTTTTCAAATTGGCGGATCTTCTTAGTTGAAAGGATGCCGTCCATGACCGGCATGGAGATGTCTACGATATGTTAGTAAAGAGGTTAAAAAAGAAGACTCGGAATTTCACACGAGCTGTAGTAAGAGACATACCCATCAATACAAAGTCATATGGCTTGGTGGATGCCATGTATTTTTCCAGTGCAATCAGTCCGTTGGAGGCAGTCTCGTAGGTACATCCGATTTTATGCAAAAAGGTTGCCATGATCTGTTCGCCAAGATTAGCATTCTGAAGATTGATTAGGATTCTTAGGGTTTTGTATTGTCATACCTTGACGTTAATGTCATTATCGTCTACAACGAGAACATGTACCACCTTTGGCCCAGTTGACGGAGGATTGGGGTCGACCTGAGGGAAAGGTGCAACCACTGCTTCTGTAGTTGCCTTGGGTGTTGTTTCTCCCTCGTCTCCGTCGCTTGCGATCACAGACGTTGGAGTTTGTTCTAAGTCTGGGTTGACAGTAGACAGTAACAGTTCATCTGGCTGTTGCAGCTGAGCCTTTTGTGCCTCCAACATTGTCTGTACTGCATCGAAGATTTTGCGCGGCCCAAATCTACTTGAATGTTAGCCTATGAATAGATCAGTGAGGGGCTGTGGAGCTGTATAACATACGGCTGAGACACCCGGACGAAGTTAGTTCCGGCTGTATTGTGCAATGCAGAGTCCCGCTTGCCGAGGATGATAAAGAACTTTATCCCGTAGGCCGAAGCTACTTTCTCCAATGATTGAGCGCGGTCTGTTGTTTCTGCTTGTAGTGTGGCTTCTTCAATGACAGCAATATCCCCATGCACCTTATCAAGAGACTCCGCCAAGGAAACACCCCACCCGAACCGGGACAAGAAAACGTCTGCCAGATTACTCTGGATAGAAAGCTTGCGTTTGGCTTCAGCGGTTAAAAGTCCCGTTGGTGCTTCGGTCAAATCAGGATATCCGTTAAAAGCGACTAAACAAGGGTGAAGATGCGGTATAGACGATTGCAGGGCGGCAATTGAACTGAAAGAATCAAGCGTGCTGCTAGTTCCTTGAATGACACTTTGGACAGGTATGAACACGTCGACTTGTGTTCCGATACCAAGTTCACTTTTAACTGTGATTTTGCCCCCAAGTGAGGTTACAAGGAGACGAACGATGCTGAGCCCAAGTCCAACACCATCAGTCAGGGGATCTTCCTGAGTAAATGTCGAGAACAATTTATGGCGTAAAAATTCAGGCGCAATTCCGCTACCTGTGTCGATGACTGAGAGATGTGCAAGTGCAGACTGCGAGTCTGGCTTGGTTCTGGATTGGGAGAGGGAGACTTCGACAAAGCCTTTCTTGGTCCACTTCATTGAATTTCCGAGGAGATTCATTATTATTCTTCGCCAAGCACCAGCTTGGGATCGAACTTGCCAAGGCAGAGATTGTTCAATGCGCACTATGACTGACATTTCGTTCGAATCATTGCCCGAAATAGTGTCCATAGGAATGGGTGTCTTCGCAGTGGATGTTGAAGAAGAAGCTGACGCCCTTTGACCGTTGTAGAGAATGTTAGTAACCTCTTCAACCAGATCCCCGAGATCAAAGTCCGAGACCAATTTGGAGATTTCGGATGGGATTTCCTGTTCTTTTCGGCGTTGTTTGATCTTTGATGAATTATTTATCTTGCAAAATGCCAAGCTAGATAATTTTGTCAGTAAATATCAGATATGTGGGAGTGGGCTCCGCAACTTACAGTTGATCGGTGGTGTCTAGAAGAGTGTTTCCGGAGGATTCAATCATTCTGATCATCTCACCCTGTACAGGTTCCAAGGACGTGGTATGCAACAGCTCGGCACTTGCCAAAATTCCATGTAACGGCGAGCGGAGCTCATGACTGACGGACGAGATAAAATCAAACTTGGACTTTTCGGTAGTACTCCAGTGGATACGAGCAATCTCCGAAACGATGGCATCACTAAAGACCTTGAAGTAGTGCAACTCATCTGTCTCCAAAGGCTGGCGGCTATTTCGAGTCCATACCAGAGTCCCCGCCATCCATCGGGACTTATGATAATCCCATAGTGGACAGAACAGGACCGATGTAGCGCCAGGAAGAATATGCGCTAGATGCCGAGTAATCATTTCGAAGTTCTGGGGTGGTAGTGAAGCGTCGAAGTGGCACTGGGATTGACCATCTGCGCTGTCTTCTAAACATGGGATGTCGAAGATTTGGCCTTGAGGGAAATGTGTAACCAGAACGTTAAGTAACTTTTCTGGTACGGAAATAGTAGAACCTAGAGACAGACCCTGAGGTTGAGTCTTTAGTGAAGATCCAAGAATTTCACACATCGCGTCAACTTCAACCGTTGGCGCATTTAATGGATCCAATGAGCCTGGCATTGTGGTGGAATAGGAGGCAGCACGTTTTGGAAGTGGTTCCCAGTTTCCTTGATCCTCAGTAGGGTGGCTATAGAAATGTCAGAGTTATCTCCACTGAATCATCAAAAAGATTACTCACAATGAGGGATTACAATGTGCGGCATCAAGAAAGGCCACACCATCCAGACTGATAGATTCCTTCAGAATAACACTTGCGCGGGCAAATATTGTAGATATTTGTTCGGAGATGGACACGACGGGGGATGCATTAGAGCCCAATCTTAGACTAGGACTAGGGTTGAAAGATTCAATAAGGGATTTCTCCTCGCTGGGACTTGGAAATGGACGGTCTGATGTGTTGGACATCAAAGAAGTAAGTTCCGTAGTTCCCGAAGTGGATCCCTGGAAAAAAAGCGAAGATGGCTCCTCGGAAGGTGTTGTTAGAGCTGATTGTATGCTCGGGCGCTCTCCATCCTTGGTTCTGTCGGGTAAGGAAATAGTCATCGGTCGCTGGCTACCGGGGCCATCGACTAAATCCGGGATGAAATTTTGATCCATGGACTGCAGACGGTGATCACTCGAGACCTCGCGCGGATCGAAATCGGAATAATCTTTGACGAAGCTAGTCAATCCTTTGACCAATTGCTCTGCGCGACGATGATAATGCACGGAGCGCGTGTTTTCAAGATGAATTGCGATGGCATCCGACACCTCCTGTAAGAGGGCGATTTCGGCATCTCCAAATTCCTCGCGGGGGCTATCATCGACGACACAATACGATCCAAGCACATATCCCGATGGACTAAATAAGGGAACCTCTGCGTAGAATCGCATATGCGGCCATTCTCGAACATAGGGGCGGTCCCTAAAACAATCTTCCTTGGTGAAGTCGCGGATGATATAACGAGATCGGTTGGCGGTCACGTTGGGCGTATCGATAACGGAGGCTCCTCGGCCGGTGAAGAGGCTAATCGTGTGAGGACACACTCCCCACTCCAAATCAAGTCTCCGAGCTCCCAGATAAATTCCATCGTCGGGTAGATGCTGATCGGTGATACGAAGAGAGACAGACTTGGTGGCTTCGGCGATAATGTATTGGCTATCGCGGTCGATGATGGAGACAAAAGATCGATTGCACCCGAGGCGGAATACTCCGAGTTGGGCTAAGGCGTTAAGGGTGATATCGGAGGATAAGGAGGCAGCGCTTGGCTGTTCATCTCCTGTCGGGGCTTCATCCTCAAATGTTGCGTTGGCAACGGGTCTGTCAACGGTGCAATAGTATCTGTATGCGATTGATTATCGCGATTAGCGGATGCGATGCGGGGGCGATAAGTAAACACTAGAATGATCTACCTCGATAATTCCGCAATTCTCTCGCCCTCGGAGTCGCCAGGAGGTGGGTGAAAGGAGAGAGAGCCGGATGAATTCATTTCTATGAAGACAGCATTTCCCGGTGGAGAGGTGGAAAGGATGTTGAAAAAGATACAAATTTCTTAATCACTCCGAACTTGTCCCCAGAAAAATCCAACGAATCGCCTTCGCGTAAAACTTGATTTTGCTTAGCTCAGGACTAATCTTCCCCCCCCCCACTTGATGCTTATCATTGGATGAGTGGATGAGTTGCCCCCAAAACGGTCCTCGGCACTACGAGCGTGACAGCCTCGACTGCTGGTCTAGACTCGACGTTTGACTACGGATTACAGTCTTCAATTTGCAATTTTCTCTTCAATCTTCCCTTGGTGTCCACTTTACTCTCTCGGCATCTCCGCTTTATACCCGATTCCACTCCTTTCCCTTCATTCATCGGCTCTAGACTCCGCCCTCTCACTAGGAGAAGATTGACCCGATCCCTCGGGTCGTTCCTAGTGCTCCGTTAGTATTTCACTATCGAAAGTGGCGACTGCTCTACTCCGTAAACGCCTGAGGCTAGTCTTAGAACTTATACCGCACATGACCAAGACATAAATCACATGACTATCTTATGAACGGTCTTTTATGCCTTTCATCACACACTCTACGCTGTCTTTCTTATTCCTCGTGCTACTTTACATCTTCTCCACCAGTTAGATATTCAATGTTCCCATAATCTCAACTTGAATATTCCACCGTTCATATCCGTACTTCGCTTCCGATGGCGTGCTTAGACCCCCCAATGACTCCACTGCTGATGCACGACAGATAAAAGCTAAGTTCAGCTTTTCCATCTTCTAGAATGCGGGGAAAGCTTCCAATTTATCTAAGTACCCATAGTCCCTCTTGCAAGGGGAAAAAAGAGAAAAAAAGCACTTGAGGGAAAAAACCCCCCTTAATCAAGGATGAACCCCGATTCAAGGGTCCGGAAGCGCATTCCCAAATCCTGCCGAAGATGTCACCGTCGGAAACAGAAATGCGTGGGCAATCCAATCTGCTCCAATTGTGAATCTGCCAACCAGCCTTGCGCTCGGAGTGAAAGCTCTCTATCGTGGCACCATGCCATGTCCAAGGGCGCCCTGGCTCAACAGATTGAAATCCTCGAAGCTCAACTCGCAGCTGCCCTAGCAGAGAACGCTTCTACCGGTCGGGATGGATCTGATCAATCAGACGCGACGAGCCGCCCGTCACGTCCGCGAAAATCTCATCAAGATAGTCATCTCCATGGGGTGATTCGGTTTTTGACGCTGGGCAATGACCCGAATGGAGAACAGGCCTACCTGGGCCCATCATCGGGAGTCTCGATGGTGGAAAATGTTAGTCGATTGGTTCATGATGCAGCTGGTGCGAAATTGCTGCCCATAGAGCCCGGTAGCCAGCAACCAGAAGGCCCGATGGAAAGTAACGACGAACCGAAAGCGGCTCCACCTGACGATCGGACGGGATCCAAGGTCTTGGACGCATATTTCAATAATATGCATCGACGCCTTCCATTTCTAGATCGTTGTGAGATCCTCAAGTTACATGCCCGTAGAAAGCAGGTCGCGGGGAACATGCCAGAGGAACAATTTGGTCAGTTCAAATTGTTCATGGTCTATGCCATCGGCGCAGTTATCCTGCAGGTAACCGAATCGTATGAATCGACACCCCCAAACGCCTTTCTCGCCACTGCACTCCGGTTTGATCCGACGTTGAGAGAATCAATCTCAATTGCCAGTATAGAGGCAATGTTGTTACTGGTTTTATACAACCTTCGAACAACCTCCAACTCCAGCGTTTGGTATATGATCGGCCTAGCGATGAGAACGTGTGTCGACTTCGGCTTACACAGAGAAGCGCGGTATCGCAAACTGCGACCGCACGAGGCCCAGTTACAGCGCCGACTGTTTTGGAGTGTTTATGTGACTGAGCGTTACACTGCATGGTCGCTTGGTCGACCATTTAGTATTCCAGAAGAAGAGATTGATGCCCAGCCTCCGGTTAACATGGATGACTCGATTAATAACGACGAATTGATTGATCGGATAGTAAACAACCACACAAGCACCCATGGCCAGCAAGGGCAAACTTCACTCGGCAAGTTCATCGCGTCAATCAGACTGCAAAGAATTGTTTCTCAAATACATACACGTGTTTACCGAGTTGACAAGCACATTTCGGCTCTCCTTCCAGAAATTAGTCCGCTTATGTCGGCGCTGCAGGAGTTTAAAGCGACGTTGTCCTCTCTCGACCTTGCCGATGGTGACTTCGTTCACATGCACTGGAATAATGCTATCCGTATGCTATTACAACCGTTTCTCAGCACCTTGAATCCACAAGATGAATTGATCGGCACCTGTCTACACGCGTCTGGACAAATGTGTCAGTTTTTCAAAATATTACGCCAAGGAGATTCCTCCGGTCACTCATACTTGCTAGTGAACTCGGTTTTCATGGCAGGTTTAACAATGTGGTAGGTAGAATTATATTTAGACCATCATTCACTGACTGAGTACTTACTTTTGGTTTCATTGCAGCTTTTGCCTCTTTCGATGTCCCAGCCTCTGGACTCCCGCAGTTTCAAACGACATCCGCGCCTGCTCTTCAACGCTCTGCGTCATGGCAGAACGGAATCCCAGATTGAAAAAGTACCGTGATGGTCTTGAGATCATCATTAACCGGGCAATGGAGTACGTCGAAGATGCATACCAGGCAAACCGGGATGAAGATGGCATATGTTCCTCTATGGCTACTGGTAACGAGCAGCCTATGCATTTGCCCACTCCTGATCCGATATCGAGTTCCAATCATCAAAACAACACGCAGTCGTTGCAATATATTGCGCCGCAAAGTCTCGGGGCTGAGATATACGACTGGCAAAATACGGATCTCTTCTCGGACCTGCCGGGCCTTCCGCCGAATCTGCAGAGTCTATTTACTGGTGAGCATGCAGATGTTCTAGACTCTTCCTTCCACGGTGCTTTTGCGGAGGGCTTTTGGGCTACTGATCCATTTCATATACCCTTTTCAGAGGAAGAAGCACAGTAGCGGCATGAATACTATTGTTATATACACATTGATACCCAAATATAGAACCTTGGAAGTGAGAATAAAAATTAAATCCATTCATCTACAACTGGTACTTGTGTGCTGGCCAGGCATGTGGTGTGGTATTTTCAGACGAGGAGAAACATTTGAACACTCTCCCAAGCACCCTGTGCTAGAACGAACCCCCATTTTCATGTTCCTCCATGAATCGATCATCAGATCTATGGATCCAAAATTTGTATAATCTAAATCCATTCATCATAATACTCATATTGGTAATTCCAGATGTCCACTCTCCTTTATAAATGGCAAGGAGCTAGGTCGTCCACGATTCCCAAGTTCTCACGCCGGGACTTGCTAGATGGGTCGAAGAAGGGTATCTCGCCAACACCAACAGCACGGTTACCACTCCGGGGTCCAAATCCTTCATGATCTCCAGTAGCGGTATGGAAAACGCTCCGGTTATCCCAAATAGCTAGGAATGCAGTTAAGCTTGTGTGACGCAAAAAAAAGAGAAGAAGATGCAGTCTTACCGATATCATTTGGATCATTCCACTTGAAGCGAACCTGTAGGTCATGACCATAGGTAATAAGGTCATGGAATTGCTGCAGCATATTGGCACTTTCTTTGCGGGTGAGGCCATTAATCTCCAGGGGGAAAGATCCTACAGAGATGGTCAGTGCCGGATCATTCCGCTTTGACACACGCAAGCGAAGAAAAGAATTCTTGCAACATACCAGCAGCAAATATGGACTTCCAGCCAGTAATCGGGTTAGTCCGAACCACCTAAAGACGTCAGCACAAAAAACCTCCAAAGGCTCCCGGGTAATAAAATAGAAATAGAAAAAGGAAGAAAGACATAGCCCACTTACAGGATGCTCCGCACAAAGCTCTCCGCCAACATTAACCGGCGCCCCTCTCTCCTTCTCATAAAGCTCAAACTTCCCCGACTGCGCCATCCGTCTAAATCCCACCCCGTCATGATTCGCCGTCAAGGTCTCCAAGAACCCCCGGTAAGGCTTACTCATGCGATCATACATCTCATACCCAGATGCCCAGAGCGTATCGCCGCCCGTCTTGGGCAGCTGTATCAAGCGCAGAGACGAGAAATCCGCGGGGGCTTTCTCGAACCCTATATCGCTGTGCCAGACGGCTGCCATGCGCGTGTAGTCAGACCCCTTGTAGAGCTTCTTGCGGCCTTCCGAGTTGATGGTACTGATGGCTGGATCCGAGTCACCGAACTCGCGTGCGTCGTTGGTGACGGGGTGGATGTGGAGGCCGTGGTCTTTTGGGCGGCCGGTTAGTTCGCCCAGGCGGAGGATGAGTTGTTTTTGGAGGTCGTTTGTTAGGTTGTTTTGGGCTCGGAAGAAGACGACGCCGCGCTCGGCGACTAGGGCGTAGAAAAGAAGGTTAGCGGGATATTGGCTCAGGGGGAGGGTGATGGCGTGACGGTCGTACTCATGATCGCGAGATCGCGAATGCGCTTGTCGGCATCCGGGGCATTCAGGATGTCGTCCACGATGTTGCATGTGTTCTTGGGGAACTCGTTTCCGATCACTGGGGTCACCATGACAGGTTCGAAGTGATCGAGAGAGCCCGATGAGTGTTGGCGTGCGTGGTAGTTCTGCATTGTGGCGAGTTTGGCTTCAATTTTTGACTTGGGGATTTGAGATGGTTGAACGGTATGTGAAATTGGAAGATTGAATGCTCTGTATCTCACTCAAAGCAGAGCAGATGAAGTAGTTCCAATGTTCTTTCTGCCTCCGACACACGACTGCTAGCAGTATTTGTATGTATACTGACTGGATGTCTGGCCACGAGCTGTTAAAAGGAAGCATATCGGCTTTCGGCGTTAACATTTGAAATTGAATGATATTCCAAACCCTCAAAGCCAATAGCACTGACAATTAGTATTGATTAACAAGACAGATCCCTCTGCAGTCACTCTCCATGTATCTTTCTATGGGGCAAACGGACCATCGGCGATAGGAAGTGCTGCCAAAGACTCAACCCCATATGCTTAACGCCGATACGCCGACGCGCTCGATATTCCTGCGGAGACAAGGTTTCAAGCTTGTCCAATTAGAATTGAGATAAAAACAGCAACACCTCTTGATCCATACATGCCTCATGCATTACCCCATAGAATCAACACCAAATCTCCTCATCAAGTCCTCTTGGCGACTCGCATCCGTGTATGACAACATACCAGGCGCATCTTTCACCACAATGGCCATTCACAATACGGAGGAGTTTCTTATATTTGTTGACACCAGCTCGAAAAATCATGTCGAGGTTTCATTGTCCATCAAAATCAAAACTATCGATCCAATTTTCTTCATCCACATCCAGAAATGACAACCGTAAATGAGGGAAAGCTGGGCTCGGAGCACCGTGTGGAGCCGCTCGAGTCTCAAAAACCCATGGTGGAGAATATCGATGATGACCCCGTCTACTCGTATGCGGAGCAGAGGAAGATCATCCGTCGGGTGGATATTCGTCTCGTGCTGATGCTGGGGTTTCTTCATTGCGTTTGCTTGATCGACCGTGGGAATATTGGATCGGCTAAGGTTGCAGGAATGTCCAAAGAGCTAAAGTTGATCGGCAATCGTTACGTGAGTGAAAATGCAATTATTTGTCCGGTCAAGACTAACATTCATCAGAGCGACATTGCCGTATCCTTCTTTCCACCTTATATTTGTTTACAAGCTTTGGGTCCTATACTGATTCGCAAGATCGGGCCTGTCAACTACCTATCGGGCGTCTGCTTTATCTGGGGTGCTGTCATGGTATGGTTCTACGACAGCAAACATCACTCATATTTAATTAACAAGCTAACGTTTCTACTGTAGTTGTCTGCCGGATTCGTGAAGAAATGGGAACAGATGATTGGAATCCGCATTATCATTGGCGCCCTTGAGGCGGGGTTCTTTCCAGCTTCGGTCTATTTGATCTCTACCTGGTATACTCGATATGATATTCATAAACGATACGCTTTATTTTATCTACTGGGATGTGTGGCATCTGCCTTTACCGGTATCCTGTCCTACGGAATAACATTCATGGTATGTGTATTTTCCAAGTTGTTGCGAGTGAGATGGTTGCTATGTTGTCAGTACATACTCACATAAAATAGAATGGACTAGGCGGCCTGACGGCCTGGCGATGGATCTTCATAATTCAAGGGCTTCTTACCTGTATCGTCGCAGCGATTGGCTGGTTTGTTCTCATCGACTTCCCGGATCGAATGAAGACCAGCTCTCGCAAATTCCTGTCCGATAACGAATACGAATTTATCATGCGGCGTATTGAAAAGGACCGAGCCGATGTCGTCCTTGAGCCTTTCAACTTGAAGAAGTACTTTGCAGCAGGTCTGGATATCAATATTTGGGTCTTTGGATTTATCTATTTTTCATCAACCACGACAGCATACGCTATCTCATACTTCCTGCCAACCATCTACCAAGAGGGGATGGGATTTTCTCAAGGTGCTTCTTTGTGTCTTTTTGCGCCTCCTTATGCAGCCGCTGGCATCCTCATGTACGCGACTTCGTGGGTTGGGGACCGGTATCATATTCGAGGTCCCATTTTGATTTTCAATGCGCTCATAACCATTATTGGGCTTCCACTATTGGTACGTATTTCGTATTTCGTATTTCGGGGTTTGATTCTCTTTGGCTGGGTACGCAACACCGGAGTTTCAACACTGACTTTGAGTAGGGTCTCACAAAAGGAAATGCATCTCGTATGGTGGGGGCCTTTCTCACTACCATGGGCTGCAATGGGAATATTCCAGCGGCGATGGCGTACCAGGTAAATTGGGGTCCTCTTCTATTTGCCGGGGTTTTTCTGGTACTGACTTTTGATTCAAGGCGAACAATATTCGTGGTCAATGGAAGCGAGCTTTTGCCAGTGCTATTTTTGTTGGGCTTGGTGCTTCTGGGGGAATGACTGGATCCCTGGTCTTCCGATCCCAAGATGCACCCGGATACCATCCTGGAATTCTCACTTGCCTTGGATTATCATGTTTGATTATTGTGTTGGTTATTCTTCTCTCCATTCGCTTTTACCGAGCGAACAGAAAGGTGGACAAGGGAGAGTTGATAATTGGGAACTTGCCTGGCTTTAAATATACGTTTTAGCCTATTAGGTAGGGTGGAATTTATGTATGGGAGAATCGAGATTCTTCGTTGCGTTGAAAACAAGTTTCACTCTTTTTTTGATTGAACATATCATAAAACATGTAGACGGCAATGGGTAGATCATTGATTCATGCATCATGTGATTCATGTCAGGTGAAATATTGAGGTTCGGCCTGAATGCGGGCCTTATCGCCGACATTTCAACCATGTCCGCGTACCTAGTTCTGATTGGTGCACACGCCCCACAATGCCATCACGAATCACCAATTCCCCAGGTCTCCCGCGGGGAATCACTTCTCACATCCGTAATCTAAGAGACATGGTGGGCGTCGCAGGCCGAAGCAAAGGCTGCAAGACATGCCGAAAACGAAGAGTAAAATGCGGTGCGAGAATATGCCATCCAACGAGCACAGTGCCCACTAACAGCATCCAGATGAAGCAAAGCCAACATGTGATCGCTGCCTCAAGGCGGGCAAAGAGTGTGAGGGTTATGTACAGTACATTGAGTTCCATGATGAAGCCTCTCGAATGGCCAAAAAGCGATCTTCCAAGCAAAATGCGCCCGTTCAACTACCTAGTCCGGCATCAACCGTCAGCCTTTCGCGGTCGGACCAATCAGTCACAGATGTCCCATTTATGCCTTTGATGCTGAATCCGGTGTGGGATGAGCATAGCTTTTTTACGATATATTTGATCGATAACCTTTTTACGTGGACTGAGGATACTTCCTCGGCCGGTTGGGTGTCGATGCTCATGCGCCCGCCGGATAGTAAGGGCGCCCTATCATCGTCCTCGATCTATGCATTGGCGGTATCATATTTTGCCAAGGTGAATGGTCATTCGACTTTGCTGCAGAAGGGTGCGCGACTATATTCGCGTGCCCTCGCAGCGTTGCAAAATGAGTTAAATTCAAAGCGTGTTGTGGAGGACGATGTGTTGCTTGCTATTATTTTCATGTCGGTGTATGAGCTGGTCACTGTGACAGATCCATTCGCTTGGATCAATCATTGCAAAGGACTAGCTCACCTCGTGAGTTTAATTGCTTTTCCCTTTTCCGAGGTCATTTTCACCTTCTTACGATTCGTTCAGACTGCTATAAGGGGGCCATATCGCCACCAGTCAGGGGTGGGCCAAGAATTACTTCGCTCATTAAGATCATTTATTGTATGCAATTTACCTTCCATCTTTCCCAGCACTTTACTGACAATATGACAGGCAATCGCATATATCATCGATCGGAAACGATGTTTTTTTGAAACGCCCGAATGGAAAACCATTCCCTGGGCTCTACAGGGTTTAAATTCCAAGACCCCGACAGAAAAGCTACACGATTTCCTGGTTGATGTCCCTGGTATTCTTGAAGACATGGAGCGCCTTTTATCATGGAAATCAGATGTACCTGGACGGGAAGAATTCGCCCAAAGTCACTGCCAACGCACATTCATGACACTCCAAGGGCTTTATGCATGGCGCTGGGAGTGGCAACGTGAATTTCCCAATGCTACATACCCCATACGACCGGCTGATCTCCACCCCGAGGACTTTTCTCTCCTACCTTCAAGTCCCTTCGAAACAGTCATTTGGTTCACTGAACCCTCTCGCGCTACAGAGCTCATCGGGTATAATGCAGTCTGGTTGATCGTAACAATGGCGCTTGAAAAGGCAGGTGTTGATATAGAGGTTTCTCAGTCATTGTCTGAGGTTAGTGATCCTCTCCTGCCTATGCAGGGGAACCGACATGATGTCGCAGTTGAAATCTGTCGGATGTCGAGCTTCCATTTGCAAAGTTTCCACCAGAGCTCAGGAGCTATAACGCTTCTTTTTCCTCTGAATGTGGCCCTTTTTCATCTAGATGGTGATAAAGGCGGAGTTAAGCCATGGCTTCAGAATGTTCTGGCGATTATTGCCGATAGGCATGGATTTGAAGTTGGGCGACGAGATTTCAAGTCAATGGTCAGGAAGCGCCAACAAAGTCTAAGTAGATAAAAGGTCAAATTCCAGGGCGCTCTATCAACATCTATTGAACGCTAGAAGATCTATAAACAAAAACCAGAGTCCCAATTTTCATCACCAGTATAGCCTCCAACATCAGGCAAGATCACAATCCACGATATCGTGTTCGAATTCAGCGTTCGTTCACTCCGACTTATTCATCTTTTCATTAGCTACTTCATATAAGGCTTGAGACAAGCTGAACCAGAGTGAAAAACATACTAAGCTCAGACATCCATTCTATACTTCTTATCTAGCTCTGTGTATAAAGCGGATCGGTGGTACACAAATCCACCTTGCAGTTTCTTTTGCATAACATATCCAACCGCTCCTTCTTCATCCTCTCTTGCCTTGTACTTCTCCCATTCGATTTCATTTGGATAATCTTGACGGAAGTCGCATAACGCGAAATCGATCATGAAGACCTGGAATTGGTTTTCTGGGCATTTCTGCACAACGAAGCTCCTTGTCTTAACATCCTCGTTGAGTATTCCTCTATCGCCAACAAGATTGACAATTCGAATAGTATCTTCGCAGATGCTTTGCCAGCTATCTCTTGGGGCGCATGTAGCGATATCAGTCAAGGGGAACCCTTCAACGTATTGCAAGAGGATTCCAGGGATATCAATGTATTCGCTAAGCGGATTGTTTTGCACTGGGGTAGAGAGAGGCATTGTCACACACGAAAAGAGTTGGGGTATGTGGCTCCCTTGTAAATCTGCTAGGGTATTGTATACTTGAGTTTCTGTTTCGTAGAGACCTTGCATAAAGTCATGCAAATAGGTTTCTTCTTGAGAAGAATTCCAGACATCAAAATCTCGAGCTGGTAAACCTCTATCGGCGGTAAGCTCAGTAACAAGCTTCGCTGCATCACCATTCAGAATGAACTGATGATAATTCTGTTCGATATCCAGGGACCAAGGACTGATTTCTTCGCTCTTTCTAAACCCCATTGCAAAACGTCGGTCGAAGAGTTTCAGTACCATATCACCTCCCCAAGCGGTAGTAGGGCAGACTGGTCGAACAACCATCGCACAGGACCAGGTAAACGGTTCAAAGATCTTGATGATTCTGGCGCCTATCATTTGTCCATCAGATGATGTCTTCAGCCGCAGCTCTATGACATTTCCGACCATGTAGGGACATCTAAGATGTTCAGTGCCATCAAACAGAATAGATGGTGGGTTGATTTGTTCATGGTCCGTCATGATTGGCTAGTTGTTTTTCAATGCTGGTGGCTTGCGAAAAGGTGCTATCCGAAGCCGGTTGAGCAATCGTAGATCGAGAGAAATCCTGCGAGGTGCCTGGTCTCTCCTTGATGATGGATTATCGGTAAGTGTTGCAAGGTTAAAGAGTTGTGAAGTAAAATAGGTAGCGGAGTAGGATGTTGTGGAGTTAGTTAACTAAAACTTTAAGTTAGTGGGGCGGATTACATATAGATAACGTAATTCAGCTACTTGAAAATTACGGGTAATGTAATCAAATTTTGGAACGTCCAAGGCTTGAAAGTCCACGGCGGAGTATTAAATTCAGTGTAATTTAAGGAGTTTGCTATTCGGACCCCCCCCTTGGCTATTCGGACCCCCCCTCCCCCCTAAACACCTGATCTTTCAGGCATCAATCATGTGACCCCTTACTTTTCCGGCATCAACTCCTTACCGCCTAGTTCTTCCGGTAGTATAGTCTCAATTATGGTACTAACATTATGTTGGCCGGTGCTTTTAGACTTGTATGAGCGTCCGCGGGAATATCCTAGTTTTATTGTCTTAAGAACACCCTTCTTGGTCTTCTTTGACCTTCGAATAACAGTTGCAAAGCCATGCTGCTTAGCAAATCGGTCAATCTCATCGCGAGCGGCCTCCAAAGACTCCCAGATAGTGTCATTGAACGGTGGGGTAGGGATTGTAGCGTTTGATTGGTCGGTGGGACGGGGACGGGGAACCGGTGTGTCTGTAGTGTGCATTGAATCCATTAGTAATCGATGCCAAGCCGGGCTAACTCCACTTACCCATGTCGAGGTCAAGATCGACGTCAATCTCATCAATCTCATCAAGATTAATATTAGTTGATGGTTGTGCTTGGTGTGGGCTATCCATTATGATAAAGAACGTGTTCAAATGTGATAGAAACAGCAGGGGGAACAGTGGTATGGGGGGTGGTCAATTGTACAGATTTACTATGTGAACCAGAATGATTAAGCGAGTTTTCGACACCTGAAAGATTAGGTGTCACTTTAAGGCGGTGAGAGTATACTGCCGGAAGAACTAGGCGGTAAGGAGTTGATGCCGGAAAAGTAAGGGGTCATATGATTGATGCCTGAAAGATCAGGTGTTTAGGGGGGAGGGGGGGTCCGAATAGCCAAGGGGGGGGTCCGATTAGCAAACTCCTAATTTAACAGCCTCCCAATTTGGACTAATATGTGCCTCCCATTAATCTGTACACGGAGGTCCTTTGGCTTGAAGATTGTTGCATTTGCCATTCTCATGTAGCTCTTTGTACGGGCGATGGACCCGTCTGTTGTCGCAAGCGCTCCTAAGGGGACGAATGCCTCATTCAGGCCGTCGATAAACGCTAAGAGCTCGGGTGGGGATATGGCGGTCTGGCATTCGAGCTCTGGAACGTGGGCGCGAACGAAGGGGCTCGTGTAGGATCCGCCGAGTACGTTTGTTCTCTCGGTTCTTGGGTAGTGGGGGTTAGTGCTGAATTGGGGCACGTGTATGTGCATGCTGGGAACAGTGCTCTTACGGGGAATAACACATGGGTTCAGACCCTGCATCGGTGGAGCTTGGAGAGGTGGCTGTGGTGGAGGATAATACTGGCTTTGCTGTGGGATATGCTGTTGATATGGGTAATTTTGGTATTTCTGTTGGTGTCGCTGGTACTGCCCATTCTGATATTGGTCCTGGTACTTTTGGTATTTCCCACTCTCGTATTGATCTTGGTACTTCTGGTACTGGCCGTTCTGGTATTGATCTTCATACTTCTGGTATTTTCCACTGTGGTACTGATTTTCATACTTATCCCGGTATCGGTTTGCAATATTTTGGTATTTAGTTTGGTAGTTGGTAGGTGAGGTATATTGCGCGTTCCCCTGCTGAGGTGGGCATGGAGCCTGATTCTGATATTGCACAGGCTGTGTATAATTCTGGTACATGTATTCCGCCTGCGGGGGCATTGAATGGGCTGAATCTTGTTGCGAGGGCTGGTCAACCGAGTTCGTTGCCAATGGCGTATAGGCTGGAGGAGGCGGAGCCGGCTCGGCCTCCACTTGGCCGGCGAAACCTTTCAAGGTCTTAGAAATAATACCCATTGCTTGTTAGTGAATTGATGACGAATGAAAGAGAATAGAGAGCACCTGAAAAATGAGGAAGTTATATGCCTGAAGAATGAAATTGATTTTGGGGGCGAAACCCTTTAAAGTATTATTTTGTGTCCACTCTACATCACCTGAGCGACGATTGCCTATCTGGGATGATTTTGCGATTTGCGACCCCACTTCTTCTTCTGATATTGTGCTACCATCTTATATGATCGATCGTACGCTAGTATTATCCACTCGTCGCAGAATGTGCCGAATGGGGTTAGCCATATATTTAAATGCTTGTGATCACAACGGATCTAGACAATTAGGCGGAGAATCTTTGCTCCATTCCATCTTCGGGTTGTCTATGATTTCCTGATTGAACAGAATCACCATTAAGGTAATTTAAGTACTCTCTCATTCGTGAGAACCCCCAAGTGCAGCATGGGTCATGTCAATTTGCTGACGTCAGTCTACCAGTACTCACAACCTTGGAGACTAGGATTAGCCCCCATTATCACTTTGAGGTCCAGTCAACTTTTTCTTTCCTTAGAAGGTCCAAATCTATTCACCTATCTGGTTTCTAATATTGTTACTTAACAATGAGATCTAAACAAAGTCCTGTTTTATCAGACATGTCTTCAAATGTAAGTAGGTGCCAAAAAGGAAATCGTACGTTTAAGGGCCTGGATGATACGATCTCATTCTCAGTCGTGACGGTTGAGGCTGAGTGAGTACAAAGTGGGAACTTTCTCTCGGTACTTATATGAATGACTGGAGCCGCGATCTTGGGAGTAACCAATGCATGCGCCTGGGTGGACATCTGGAGTATTTGTCATGAGCGTCGTTCAACATGTGGGGTCCAGAAGCCAGAAGCTGGTCAGAAGCACGCTCCAAATCACCCAAATGGGCCTTAGGATCAGCCATAGAGCCACAGTTTCTTAGAGTTTCACGCCACCCGTGACCTACTCAGCACTGTATCTTCAACATGTTTTCAATCCATATATCCATGGATGGAGTTCCAACATTGAAGGTTGGTGGCCTAAACATGGATCAGAACAGGTTCAACGAAAAAAAACAGTTTTTATCTCGGCCACTTCCTTTTCATAGCCGGACATGGAGTTTTATGGCGACTAGAGATGCTGGGATTACAATCCTTCTTTTCGGCCCGTTGAAATTTACCTAGTGTGTGCCAGTGATTCAAATCTGCCGTGCATCTTGGCTCGTGCGGTTCTGCCAGTCGAGACGCATGAACGACTAACTCAATTCGGGAATCTTGACTTTGCGTCCAGCCAACCCAGTCAACATTTGAAGCCAACATTGAAGGGTTTGGTTGGCATGTTATCATAATTTTATCAGGCTTTCATAAGGCCATCCTTGATTGTAGCCTGCGATGTCAATCCTGCAAACTGTATTTTTAGAAGCCTTGAGTGTTGAGGATCTACTCAATGTTCTTGTTGACAAGTGCATTTCATTTAGTTAAAGAAGCTAGGGCCGGGGCGGGAGTGGACCGGCGGGACTTGCCGTGGAGGCTGGCCCGTGGCGCCGTAGGCACCTGTGGACACGCCTGACGTATGGGCTGAGATTGAGTGCGTAGTGTGGATAGGCTCGTGCGCCAAAGACTTGGGTTCTATCGGTTCTCATTGTGTGATTGACTACTATTGCGGCGGCCGATAGAGGCCACCCCTAGGTCAAATCCCAATTTCAACTTTCCGACCGGCAGAAAGTAAATTACGAGTAATTCCAAATTCATATTGGTTTTTGAACTCCATTATGTTCAGGCAGTTCAGCGCTGCATTATTGTACATTAAATCCTTTAACTCTATTATACATTAGTAATGCTATATTATATTAACTACTTCTCTTTCTCTAGGTAAATTATCAAAGCGACTGGCAAGAAAGAGAGGCTGAGGTCCTAGTCATATAATCCGTATTAAGTCCCTTCTCAAGACTACTCTCAAGTCTATCCTCAAGTCTATCCTCAAGTCTATCCTCAAGTCTATCCTCAAGTCTATCCTCAAGTCTATTCTCAAGTCTATTCTCAAGTCTATTCTCAAGTCTATTCTAAAAGTGACTCGTATTTAGATCAAATCCCTTAAGATATTCCTATATATGATAAATACAATACGGAAACAGGGCGGTGAAGTTAGAAACTGAAATTGGGATATGACCTAGGGGTGGCCTCTATCGGCCGCCATACTACTATGCACTTGTTTTTTTTTGTTTTTGTTTTTTTTTGAACTAATGGGGGCCTGAAAGAACAACCATGATTCGAATGTTTCCTCCTTTGCATCAAAATTTCCTGATTAATCCACTTCAAATATTCTATTATGCAGGTGCGATGGTGAATGAGCTTACTCTTTCTGCAATTTATGCCCGTCAAGTGGAGCTGCTGTCCTTTTTGTGAGCCTTGACACCCCCGGGGCCATATATCAAAATGCACGGATACCAAAATGAAACGCCATATATTTATAGTTATTAGGTCAGTGTGAGATCCTTCGCAGCTAGGTAAATCTGGGGCCGAATATACTAGCTTCAAATGTTCACGAGCTCAGGAACAAACTTTGTGGATATAAAGATGTTCATCTATTCGCTTTACTTCAAAATATTTTATTCCATTCCAAGGCTATACAGCGTTAAATTCTAAACTATCGATCAAAATCTACAACTCCTAACACCCACCATGCGTTTCCCCAGGACCATCGTCGCCGCCATGGCAATCATTCTTCCAGCCTTGGCCTCCAAGGAAGCCACACAACAGGCTCTCCTCAAAACCGCAGAAAACGCCGTTCCTGGTGAATCTGCCTTGTTCACTACTTACACGGGCAAGCAAACGCCACTCGCATCCAACTATACCCAAGTCATCAATGCGACAGGAACTGGAGAGCCCGGTGCAGACGATCTTCTTTTCCAGAACCTGCTCTCTGCCGAATGGGTGATCTACAGCTTCTACCAGCAAGCCGTCGAGATATTCAACGCCTCATCCTTCACCAGACTCGGATTCCCCAACACCACCTACGAACGTATCCGAGAAATCCGAAACAATGAAGCCGGTCACGCCCGCATCTTCCAAGACAACATTTCCCAGAACTCCCTCAAGCCCGGCCCCTGCACATACTCCTTCGGTTTCGGAAACGATGCAATGAAATTCCTCGCTCTCCAGGTCTACATCGAAGTCGCCAGCCAGGCCTTCCTCACAGGCCTCCAGCTCCAAGCTACTCTGAACGTCTCCCGCTCTACGTTGGCAGCTCTTGGACAAGTCGAGGCCCGCCACAACACATGGGCTCTGATCGAGAACTGGAAAGTCAGCCCGTTCTCCGGCCCCTCTGATACGGCGTACCCCTACGCAAACCAGATCCTGGACATGACAAACTCATTCATCTCTTCTTGCCCGTCCGCGAACCCCGAGTACCCGTCTCCCCGCCAGAACCTGCCGCAGATGGTGTTCTGGGCGAACGGAACCACTGCTGCTCCTGGTTCGCAGATTCAGCCCTACTTCTATCAAGCTAGCAATAAGCCTAAGTTTGAAACTGGAAAGGACTATTATGCTGTTTTTTATCATGGCGTCAATACTATTAGTGTGCCGTATGACTGGAAGAAGGGGTTTGTGACGATCCCTAAGCAGATTGATGTTGCTTCGGGTATCATTATCGTCAATATCGCTGATGAGAAGGACGCTCCGACTGAGGCTAGTGTTGTGGCTGGACCTATGGTTATTTTGGAACAACCTACTGCTTTGGCAACGGAGGAGCCTGATGCTATCAGTGAATAAGCTCTCCCTGATCAAATAGGGCGCTACAATATTGGGTCCTCAAAAGTTCACATGTCCCTCTCCTTCACTCTTCTCCCTCGCTATAAGTGAGGACAGAGAGTTTTCTATGCCGATATTGTTCTTGCGATTCCATCATGAGGGTACTATATATGTGACAGGCCTCCTTTAGGCTTCCCCTTCTTCTTTTTCCACTGCCTCATTTTTGGATCCTATTTTGTTCTTCTGTTCTCTTTTTTCCTTTTTCTTTTTCTTTTTTTCTTTTCCTATTTCCTTTTTCTGCCAATGCTGACTATGGTTATATTCTTGGTGGAGCATGGTTGATTGCTTATAACCGTGGCTGGACCACTGCTTCCAAGGTTCAATTTGTGACGAGACAATCATCTGGGTATCTGTTATGATAGTTGTTTTCTTCTTGTGTTTTTCTGTTATTTAAATGTTTCCAATATTGGTTTCAACTTTTCGTTCATAGAGTATCGTAGAGGAGTATATTTTCCAAGTCTATCCGTAAAAACTCCCCACTGTTGATCCATGGATCCGATTGGGGCTTGTTCTTAGTAGTACCATATCTCAAGTTAGGTCTATATTCACACTTAGCACTTAAGTGCTGTTCTCAACTACCCCTAGCATATATTTGTCGATGAATAATTGTCTTGGGCATTGAATTTGAAGACTAGGACTGGACTTTGGACTTATTCCAAGGGTAGTGAAGTCCACTTACTACTAGCACTTCTTGTATAACAACTGGGCACCAATTGATACACCCAAGGAACAGTCTAAGTCTCCAACAAGTTTGAATTCAAATGGCTCCCTAGCAGCAAAAAAAAAACCACACAGACACCAACCTGCAATCTTTTCCCTAACAATCATTCTCTCAAGACTTTCTCGTATTGATTTTCACGATTTGCGAATCACCAACATCAAAAGGCTTATCTAAGCCCCCCGCTGAATCCGACGGACCAACCACAAGCCGCAGCGCCCACGCGGTGATGCCACTCATCCAAAACAATCAGTCTTCCCCGGCCTACTCATATTCTCAAACTTGGCAATTCAGTGTGCTCCATCCCACCTGTGAGTCCCTCCGAGCTCAATCCGAGATTCAAACCCTCTGCCCCGTGAACTAGCAATTGTACATCTCCTCGCATCGCCGACCAACGCGCCACTTCAGCACACCATCAATCGTGAAGTCGCGCGCAATGGCAGCCAAAATACATTTGACTACAAGACGAGAGAACCCATGACTGACATCTGACCTGAACTAGTTGTATTCAATAACCCAGATCCGCACACTACCTCCATAATGGCTGTTGAAGGCTCCGCTCCTGCGTCGGTATGTGGAACCACTCCCCATTGCGACATGCTTAGTCCACGAGCATTGAGTCACAAGCCCAATGGCCTTTCTCGAAACATGCCACTGCACAGTCCGCAATTGCTAATGCTTCTTCTGGTTACCAGCCCATCCCAATCCCCGAGTTGACCCAGATCACCTCCGAGGTACGTTATCCGTTCGCATTATAAATCCGATCTCAGAGGACGGACAAACCCAAGCCCAAGCCCCAGGGGTCATAGCAAAGCCGAGTGATCGACTGCTCACATCTTAATTCTTAGGCCTGTGATGTCGCGTTGAAGAACACCACCGAATACGAGCACGCCAACGTTGGAGAATGGAACTCCCAAATCATTGTGAGCAAGCACAGCTGCCAATATAATTTGTCCCCGCATACCTCTAACCTACTACAATGACAACAGAACGTCGTCCTCAAGGCTCTCATTGCCGCCACCGCCCCCTCTGATTCCTCCAAGCCGGCCCCCTACCGCTTCACCGTCAACAGCACCATCGTGCAACAGGGCGTGATTGACAAGTCCGCTGCCGCCGAGGGCACACAGAACAACGCTGGCAAGCGTGGGATGCACTCCGCTTCTGGAGCTTTCTGGGATGTCAACCGTGATGGCATGTGGACATTCAAGTACCCTGGTGCTGAGGAACGGGGACTCGATGTCGTTGTTAGCGTTACTTGGTTCGCGGTGGTTTAAGTGAATAAAGTTCTTGGGGCTCTGGTTGTGTCTGAAGATGGATCAATCAAGGGATCACATACCATATCCATGTTTTACCCTGTCTTTTTTTTCTGGTTATTCAGTTTATACAAGCTTTTTTTTTGGTTTGCGAATAATTTACAGTGCATCTTCTATTTAGGTTGAGCGACGGCGGGTTACCAGTGTTAATATCAGTACTTACCATGTATCCAGACTGCTGGGGCCAAGTAAAGAAAAACTTTATGTACTGGTAGCTTCTACTCTGTGTTTGAGATCGAATATACTGCACATACTCGGGCACGTGAATTACATTTATAAATCATACTAATTGATTGGAATTGAATAAAAGTTATACAGAAAGGAATACACCAGGAGCACTCGTCCTCTGGTAAATGGTATCTCAGTAGATAAAAGAAGAAAAAACGAAACCAAAGGAAAGATCGACCCCAACTGTCCACTCCTACTTGCGCCATGCTATGAATATTTGGTAAAAAGAAAAAGCAAAAGTGGCCTCATCTCGAAAGAGACTTTGGAGGAACGCGCGGGGTCTTAACGAGGCTCAGAATAGTCGTTCAGGGCAACGCACACGGAACCGCGGTGGTGGCCACTGTACTGGCGAATGATGGTGCCGGAGCTCAGCTCCCACAGGCGGGCGTAGTGATCGCTTGAAACAGTAACGAGGTACGCGGAGTCGGCGGAGAAGGCACAGTCCCAAACCCAGCGCTGATGGTTGGCGAGGGTTGTTTCCAAGAAAAGCGTGCCATTTGCTGGGTCCATGGGTGGCCCATCAGGCTGTGGCGTGAAGGTCTGTTGAGGAGTCTCTGTGCGAGGAGCATTGTCTGAAATGCGAAGCAGCTCTCGGTCTGGCATGGGGGTATCGAAGATACGCAGAAGATCGCGGGCTTGGTTCATCAACTCGGCACCTTGCTGTGCCTGAACTGCCTCTGCAGTGGGTTCGGTCTGTTCTTCATTGGTGGCTCTTTGGGCTTGCTTCTGGTTCCATTCCTGAATAGCAACCTTGGCAGGTGCGTACTCTGGATCTAAATTCCATACCTTGGCAGTGTGATCGGCAGAGCATGTTGCCAGGTGCTTGACATCGGGGGACAAAAGAACTCGGCTGAGGTAGTCCTTATGGGCCTGGAAGGTGCAAATGGGGATGATTCTAGTCGACTCCTCTGTCTGAACCATGCGCCAAATGTAGACATTACCCTATGAGCGAATTATACATTAGCGCACCTCGAGAGATAGGATAGGGAGAATGGTAATACCTTCTTATTTCCAGCACAGAGCAGTGAGCCATCGCTAGCAACGCTCACGCTGAGAACAGCAGTGTCATCCTCCGGAATTAACTGGTGTGTACAGACACTTTCGCCTAGATCCCAGACTCGGACCATACCAGCACGATCACCGCTGATGAGCTCCCCCTGATTAGGATGGATCACAACGTCGTTGACAGCAGCTCGGTGGACGTAATTTCGTTGTAAACTGCCCGTACGAGTATCCCATACCTTCACAGTACCATCCTCAGAGCTTGTGACCATCCATTTCCCTTCGCAGTGGAACGCGACTCCCGTGATATTGCCTGTGTGACCTTCGAAGGTCATCACTGGGTTTGGATTGGTGGACTTGATGTCAAAGAGCTTGACATTATTGTGCCCAGCAGCTGCAAGAAATCGCTTGTCGGGGGTGATACACAGTCGATTGACTTGAGAGTCTGGGTGCTGAATGGTTCGTGAGCAAATCCCGGATAGGGCTTCCCAGAACCTGGTCAAAATGAACGCGGTTAGCTCTTCATATGCTTGCAAGTCTAGCCATTGACGTATGACTTAGATGGCCGGAAATTGGGAGAATGGTAGAGACAGCTTTGAGCTTACCGGATGGTATGGTCATACCCCGCTGCAATGCATCAGCACTGTTAGCCTAGACTCCGAATGCGGGGGGGAGAAGGAGAGGGAATGATTGCTTACCTGTGCAGAGGATGACACTCATATTGCTGTGGAGTCGTTTAAATCTTCTAAGACGATATGCAGAATCGCGAGGGACCACTGGTAGGGGTGGGCGACTGGAGTATGTGACCGTAGGGAGAATGTGGTTTCCAGAATCGTTTGCGACAGGTCCAGCCTGTCGAGGTGATGGAGCCCGCTCCATCGATGTCAAATCACCAAGGCGGTGACCTTATCAGTCACGTGGAGTAGAATCACGTGCGATAAGTAATATAGGGATCGAATAAAATTAAATCGTACGATAAGAAGGCGGTCTGAACTATGAAGTGAAGAAAGGAATCAAAGCATGAATGGAAATAGCCTCCATAGTACAGAGGGAAGTTTGCAAAATTTGGGTGGAAATAGAAAACAGGTACTGTTATTTCAGTTCACGAAAAAGCATATGGAACAATGCAGTCACGTAATTGGTTCGTGGTCCCTGGCTCCCTAGACTGTGAGTCCCGGCCCTTGCCCCGTCTCTAGTTAAGAGAATTATATTGGCAAAATCGATGATTCTAGTGCTGTTAATTACACATAATGTATGTTTATTAGTATTTTAGAATTCAATGTAGGCTGGATTTGTCCAGGTAAGTCTCTACAAGAGTCCGGTTAACGTATTCAATACAATAATGTTATTCACGTAGGATTTAGCTTGATGGGGGTATACTTCACTCAAGGCTCTGTGGTACACAGGTACATCCCAAATAGGAATTCCTCTTGAATGGAGGATACAGTCTTATGCAAGCGGAATGCAGCATTTAATCGGGCCTATCTACGGCCCCCTAGGCACATGATAGTTGTATTGAATTCACCATATCTATCATCTCCCTCCCCTCTAGACTAACCATTTCTCTCCTTCATTTCTCCCAACCCCATTCTCCTACCTTTTCTTTCTTCACGTCCCCAAAGTCTGTTTTCAACCTTTTTATTTCTTCACGCGTTCACAATCATGGATTACTTTTCTCCCTTTGAGCCATCTGTGGAGCACCTAGATCCCACAACTGCCATCCTAGAATACTTCGGTCTAAGCTGTGAAGCTGCCGTCCCTGTATCCGATCAAATCCAATCCTCTGATCAAATCCAATCTTTTGATCAAATCCCATCCTCTGATCAAATCCCATCTTTCGACCAAATCCAATCGTTTGATCAAATTCCACCTCACAACCAAATCCAATTGCTTGACCAAATCCCATCTTTCAACCAGATCCCAGCCCTTGACCAGACGTTTAAGAGCCCAACGCCTCTGGCAAGCCCATATACCCCGGAGGGGGTGTACTGGGTAGCAAGCAACAATTTCGATAACTTGGGCAACTTCAATCACATTTCTAGTAATCAGCATGATATAGAGATTGTGGATTTGGAAGCTGATTTCACGCCACAAATTAATGACTCTTCTAAAGACGACCCAGCCCAATGTTCTCTCAGGGACTTCCATAACAATACCGAGATCTCAGGCAACTTCAATTACGTCTCTGGTGATCAGCTTGCCAAAGAGGTCGTGGATTTGACAAGTGACGATATCGAGGTCTCGAACAACTTCGTCGTCCCTGGTGATAAAAATTCCATGGAGATCGTGTATTTGGAAGCCGATATCACTCCAAACGCTAAAGACTCTTCCGAAGCCGCATCAGAGAAAACAACCCTTGCCGAAAATGCCCTCAAGGACTTCTATCGGACGATTAAGACGAAGAAGATGTGCTGGCTCAACAACTCTGAGACTGCCACCTCCGAGGCCAATCGCACTTACAAGGAGATGAACAAGGACAATAAAAAAGTCCTTGCTAAAGTCTCGTATGCCGCTTGCGTTGGTATTGTGGGAACAAATGACCGCGTTCGACGCGCCTTGGGAGGGACATTCAATAAAGCGGTGACGGCAATCGGCTCCTTCTCAGAAGAAGAAGCGATTCCCTTTTTCATAAGGGACAGGAACGGGAAGGAAATCTGCCAAGGGAGCGGAGTAAAGAAGGTGAAGACAGCGAAGAAAGTGAAGAAAGGGAAGAAAGGGAAGAAAGGGAAGAAAGGGAAGAAAGGGAAGAAAGGGAAGAAAGGGAAGAAAGGGAAGAGGGTCACCAAAAAAATCACCAAAACCGGCGAAGTCAAGAAAGCCCCAGCTCAGAAACCCTACAATCCAAGCATTGACGAGCTTGCTAGGATGTTGGAAGAAGAGTTGGAGAGGGCCATCGAGCCATCGGCCGACGTATATAACCCGACGGACCTTGAGCTGGCGAGGATGATGGAAGAAGAGCTGGCCAGACAGTCGTGAACATACTAGCAGGTACTAGTATTTGTCTTTTCTTTCTTTTCTTTTCTTCTGTTCTTTTTCTTTTCTCTTGTTTCTGTTTCTTATTAATCTGTAAACATCAGACAATTGGTAAACAGGCTTAGTGAGCATGGTGTGTCCTCGGTCTCAATAGACCCGACAAGGATAGTCATGAGAACTGGAGAGAGCCTATTCTCAGTGGCCAAGGATATACTGACCCAGCACATACTAATATACTTAGTACTTCTAGTTGGTTGGATATAAGTACTCGAAAGTCTTACATACTCAGTACTTGGGATAGTATATACTTAGTACTTAGGAGAGTACATACTCGGTACTTGGGATAGTACGTACCTAGTACTTGAGAGAGTATGTACTCAGCACTTGAGAGAGTACGTACCCAGTACTTGAGAGAGTACGTACCCCGTACTTGAGAGGGTACGCACTCGGTACTTGGGAGGGTACGTACTAAGTACTCAGAATGTAGTATATTCTGATTTCAGTACAGGGACCAATTTGATAGTGTGGGTAATTAGAAACCTGAGATAGATTTTGGAATTAGTATAGCATTGATACTACTAGTAGGTACTAATATGTACCAGACTATCAAAAGTACCCAACTAGTAAAGAAGGGGGCTCTATCTCAAGAATGTCAAAGTTGCAAGACAAAGCGCATCCACACCCGATCTCATCGTCGGTTGGATAGCAGGAGCGAAGAGAGCCGAGTGATTGCCTGCAATCTCATCCGTTGGATTCTCCTGACCATGTACTCTATCCCAAAGATCGGCATCGATACCTCCAACAAACCAAAACCCACAAGGAATCCCCCTGCACGTCCCGAGCGTCGAAAAGTCCTCACTAACATTCGTCCTCGGGGTATCAGCATCAAAATCTCCAAAATGGCCCCCAAAAGCCACGGCCAATCGCTGCGCTACCTCCTGATCATTATCCGTCGGCGGGAATCTGCGCGTCGGCACAAAGACCGGCGGCTTGGGCGACCCACTGGCCAAGCACTCGGCCTCAACAATCCTCTTGACTGCCGCAATAATCTTACTCCTCGTCTCCAATTTCACAGTCCTAAAATCCAGCCCGATCTCCGCACGATCCGCAATGATGTTCTCCGTCTGCCCCGCCTGCAAACTCCCAACCGTAACCACCCCCAAGTCACTCGGATCGACTTCGCGACTCACGATGCCCTGCAACCGAACCACGATATGCGCCGCTAACACAACTGGGTCGACGGTATGATGCGGCAACGATCCATGCCCTCCACGCCCGAACACGGTGATCTTCATACTATCTGCCGCGGCCATGATAGTGCCGGGTCTTGATCCCACGCTTCCAGCCCGCAGGCGCATAACGTGCTGCCCAAAACAGTAGTCGGGTATTGGGACTATGCCGTGGTCGTAAAGTCCGTCATCGACCATTGCCTGTGCACCTCCGCCGCGCTCTTCGTTCGGCTGGAAAAGTACCACTACTGTCCCGCTCCACTCATTCCGTGTATTTGCCAGCGTCTCCGCCGCGGCGAGAAGACATGTGATGTGCATATCGTGGCCACAGGCATGCATGACGGGCTTATCGATGCCGTCTGCATCGCGCATTGTTACACTGCTTGCGTAGGGGAGGCCGGTGAGTTCTTTCACGGGGAGAGCATCCATGTCTGCACGGAGCAAGATGGTTTTCCCAGGGCCGTTCTTCAGCACGCCGACGAGGCCGTGGCCGCCGATTTTGGTGTGGATTTCATAGCAGTTGAGGGATGACAGATGAGAGGCGATCTTTTCAGCAGTTGCTTCTTCTTGGAGAGAAAGTTCGGGGTTCGCGTGGAAATATTTGTAGAGGTCTTCGTAGGGAGTTAAGTCGAGGGCGTGGTTCTTGAGGATTGATGATGGAGTTGCCATTTTTGTTGATTGTGAATCTGGAATTGGTCAATTGGACAACCCGAAGGATAAGATGAGATTTGAAAAGAGAAAGTATTATCGCATAATAAGATTGAATGGTTTGGTCTCTCCGACTCTCGACTCTCCGCATGAGTCAATGCACTGTGGGGGTACGGGTTGATCTCCAATTTATCTCCAATCTACCCCAACCACAGTCAACTGGCGAGTGGCATGCGTCACGTGACTCATATATCGTATTTATTATTTCTTTACTGCCAAATTAACCCTTAAACCATCTTATTCGTGACATCTTTGCTTTCGTCGATATGGATGGGACTCATAAGAACGGCTATAAAATCACAATGTTGATAAATATAGTTGGTTCTTCTTTACCGCCGTCCAAATGGCAACCTTTAGTCTTCGTTACACCCCAGTTTGCTTGGCTCATCGCGTGATGCGGCGCATCAGAGAGCCCCAATATGGCTGTGGCTGGATTGATTTCGAGGTACTTGAAGTATTTGCAACCAATCGCGAGCCTTCCGAACATATTTTGTTTTCGATAAAATTCATTTCCGAGGTCGCCATGATCCATCACAGCACCTCAGCAAATATGTACTAACTAGTACTTAACCAGCCCCGCATTTCCTTCAGGAATCAGTAGTACGGTCTGGACTCTGTCCCTGTCGAAACCCGCATATCCACACTTCCCCACCACTCTTTCTCAGTTTTGAACTTTTGTGCTGGCTATATGCACCATTGAGTCATCGCGAGCAATCCGGCCAATAACAAGTACAGCATTTGACTGCAATGTCTTGTCACATTTTGCATTCTACCAATGTCAACTATCCATTTACCCGAGAATCCAGCCTGATGCCGATCTGTATGCATTGGGATGAAAAGCCAGCATGATGAGTGCTTATGTTTCTCGGAGCCTTGCAGTTTCCCCTCCTTTGAAGGTCGGCATTTTTAAGGGCAGGTGAATTCGAAGAATCTTTGCCTCGTTCTGCGTCCCTTTCGAATAATTCAGTACTTCATGAATCACCAGAGAAAAAAAACATAAACCGACCTTTTGAGAAATTAAAAATGGCAGACATCGTTTTGCACTATCCGTCGACGATATACGCTGCTTGCGTACTATTGGTAGCGTTTGCTCTCCGTCTTCTGTCGAATCGGTATAAATCTGGTCTGAGCGATATTCCCGGCCCTACATTGGCAAAATATAGTCGCCTGTGGAAACTTCACAGTGTATGGAAAGGCGATCATCAACATACCGCTATCGACCTGCATCGAGAACATGGAGCATTGGTTCGCATCGGTCCCAATCATGTGTCCGTTGCCGACCCTAGTGCCATTTCAGTGATCTACGGACTCAATAAGGGCTTTACCAAAGTATGTACATACCTGATGTGCTCCAAAATTCCCAAGCTTTCAAAGAGCATAGGGGCCAAATGCTATCGAGTTGATCTAATGGCTGCAGACGGCCTTTTACCCTATCCAATCTATATCATGGAACAAGAAACCTCAAATGAATCTGTTTTCCACTCGCGATGAACAATTCCACCGGGACCAAAAGCGAATGGTGGCCAACGCCTACAGCATGAGTTCACTTTTGGAAATGGAGCCTGCGATCGACTCATGCACTCGAGTTTTCACTTCCCAGTTGGATAAATTTTCTGATCGGAAACAACCCGTTGACTTGGGAGCCTGGTTGCAATATTATGCATTTGACGCCGTGGGCGAAGTGACGTTTGCGAAAAAGTTGGGTTTCCTAGAAGAAGGACGCGATATTGATGGGATGATGGAGGCCATCCGAGGTATACTGGTATATGCCAGTCTATGTGGTCAGATTCCTGAGATGCACACTCTGTTACTAGGAAACCCAATTTTCCCAATCTTGATACCATCAATGGAGTCATGGAATCAGGTTGTCAACTTCACACTCAAGATGGTCAATTCTCGAACATCCCTCCAGCGCGATGGTGAGCTCCATGAGAAACAGACAGAGACCGGAAAGGACATGCTATCTCGGTGGATGACGATCCATCACTCAGACCCCAAGAGGCTCTCCACCAGAGACGTTATAGTCCATCTTTCAGCAAACGTGTTCGCAGGATCAGACACAACAGCCATTGCTCTCAGAGCTGTCTTCTATTTTCTCATGCGTAATCCGCTCGTCATGAAGAAAGTCCGAGACGAGATTGACAATGCAACCCATGACGAGAAGCTCAGCAGTCCCATATCATACCGGGAATCTGTTACCCATCTGCCTTACGTCGGCGCAGTACTGAAGGAAGCCATGAGGCTTCACCCATCCGTGGGATTGATTGTAGAACGCGAAGTTCCTCGAGGAGGGGCCGTCATTTGCGGAAAGCATATCCCAGGCGGGACAATCGTCGGCATCAATGCGTGGGTCTTACATCGCAATGCCCAAATTTTCCCTGATCCAGAGGCGTTTATACCCGAACGTTGGCTTGAAAGCTCCACCGAAAAATTGAAGGAGATGGAACAAAGTTTTTTCTCTTTCGGTTCGGGACCTCGCACTTGTATTGGGAAGAATATTTCGCTCATGGAGATGCACAAAATAGTACCGCAGTTGCTGCGGGAGTTTGAGATCCGCCTGCATAGCCCTGAAAATGAGTGGAGGACAATGAATGCGTGGTTTGTTCAACAAGAAGGCTTGATTTGCGATGTTGTGCGTCGGGGTTAATTGCCATGTTTTGGTGGTTGAGGTTCTGAACCTGATGTCATAGTCCCCTTGGTCCTTGCTCTGGTTCCAAGGGGTGAGAATGGGTGGCTTGAAGCTTCCAAGGTTGTGTTGCGGTAGGAGCCTTGTGCATTTCAGAAACCAGCTCGAAGCTCTATCAGTGGACATCCTCTGTTGCTTATCCATGGATCGATTGTCCAAGTAGAGTTCTTGTGGTTTCCATGTTTGCGATTTCACCGCACCGAATCATAATGCAAAATAAATACAGGACTAATACCATCCTCGCTCCCTCTCATTTTTTCTATTCGCATTCTTCAACTCCAGCTTATTGGTTGAGCTTCAGCAAATGACTCGCAAAGAAATAAATGCAGATGATGCTGTACGTCAATATAGAAGTTTTGCCTTTTAAAAATACTTGAAAGTAGTAAGTACTACACAGTACGGAGTACAAGTACTAGTAAGGGTTGTCATATGGTTGAACATGTAATGTGGCCAGGTATCATGTCATCTTCTGACAGGCTTTATTCTAACGGTAAGTGTAAGAATACGAGATAGAATACGATGTGATCTAGCAGCCTCGTCTCCAACGTTGGGGCCCCCTCACTCTGACATACCGCTTTCGGGGAAGTTACCTGGACATCCGGTGCTTTGTTGACTTGGCATTGCGTTTTCTCAAAAGAATGGGGTCGAGAAAGGATCCACTTGTATGCAAACTTGTTTAATAAGGTTCTAGACCATGTGTGCCAATGCATGTCTAACCTCGATCTACGGGGTAACAGTCGGGTTTACCGATATACATACAGTACATGTATTTGGGAACATTGTAAACGGGCCTTGCTAGTCTTCTCCACTCAGTCGGAATCCTCTTGGATTTGAACGAATCTTTGCAAAATAACTTTGGCAAATACGTTATCCAACTATAAGGAGGGTCGCCTTAAAATATAGATGGATGATTATAATTCGAATAAACAATATTGCAACGAAGAGACTTATGATACGTGGAAAATTAGTAAGAGAATATAGCTAATGTTTGACTAACTGCTAGTACTAACTATCAACTGTTAAATAACCAATGTAACAAGGAGGTTATAACGCATGACGTACACACTGCGGGATAGCGGCATCAAATCGCCATTTTGAGAAGGGGGGTATGGTTAAGGGGGGTGAGGGAGGGTGGGATTTATAGGGCCCCCAACCTATATAAGGATTCCACTCCGGCCTCGTAGATATTCATCAATCATCATTATTCTTCTTTAGCTCATGGCCCTGTGGACCGCACATCGACTTATTCCATGATCTGCAACCATGGCCGGCCCAGCAATCAGCATCAACGCCCCGCAATCCATTATCAACCCAGCTTCCTTCAATTACACTCTCAATCCTATCTGGCCTATCCCACCAAATAGCCTAAATAGCACACTTGAACTTGAACCACAACTCAACCCTCCTCCTATTCAACATGAAAACTACAACTACAACTACAACTACGCGAATACAAACACATACTCAAATATAAACACATCCCCAGATCCAAACCCAAGCGCCCATCGCCCCCAAGTCTCCTCAGGAAGAGAACGACACCTAGAGCGAAACCGCATCGCGGCGAACAAATGTCGCGAAAAGAGAAAACGCGAGCACGCTCGCATGCAAACGGCCCTGGACATCGAAGCCGCACGACACAAGAACCTCCAAGCAGAAGTGGGCGTCCTGCGCGAAGAAATCTGGTATCTTAAAAACGAACTATTCGTGCATGCCAAATGCGACGATCGGTTCATCAATTCCCAGCTGGACGAGATGGCGAGCCGGTTTGCCCACGGAGCAGGCGATCTGCTTCGATGTCCGTCGCCTTCTTTCTCAGTGAGTACGCGGTCGGACCAGTCGGTAGTGGATCATGGGACGGCCCCCAAGACGGCAAGGGATACGGAGAGGGCACGTCAATTCTACGGGGGTGGATTGTTTGATAGTTTTGTCGATGTACCGAATATATGAAGTGGATAAGGGATATGTGATAGTGGCTGGTTCCAATCGACATATCGAAACCTACTTGATGTCATCCAATATGCAACGTGCCTGTATAGGGAAGTGACTACCCGACAACGAAGTGATCTTGTTCGCTGTCCGGTACACTAGTGGTTTCTCACAGCCTCTGGAAAAAGCGCCGACCAGTCAAATGTAACGTGGGGTTTATCAATCGTTGTCCTTGGATCTTTCAAATCCCGAATCGAGATCGGCAGGGCAATCATAAGTACGTATTGCAGGTGGATGACTTAGCCGAGTTTTTGTCAAAAGTTCCAAGGAAGTTGGGCCGTTTCTCATGTACTCCGCACAAAGATTCAAATGTTTGATTCAGCTCCGTGTCCTCCAAGGTCGATGATTTGTCGTGATTTGTCGTGATCTTCGCATCCTGGCCCACCCGGCAGAAACAGCCGCCCACTTATCAACAGGTAAAACGACGATCTTTAATGGAGATCTTACGCGAGCCTGTTTATTCTACAAGAACGGGGAACTTTTCGTTACATGTTAGGTGCTTTAATATACCAAGATCAAAGAAGATTGGTATTGGACAACAGCCGCTGATGTCACCCTCGCACGCGACCATGTAATAATAGCTGGAGGAATATCTACCCCATAAACATTTGAACCCAGCAATATCTGGACTTTTTTTTTTCCCTGGAAATTGCTTAGATGTTACCCAGCCAATCATATCATTGATACATGTGGTGAAAGACGAATTTCAATCCCAGTGTATCGGACTAAAGACCAGGATTCGGTTGTTTATACTTTCCATTAAGCCTAAACTCTGACCAACGCTGACTCGGGGATGAGCTCGGACTCATCAGGGTAGTCCAATCTTAACCCGGGGGAGGCCCATGGCGTAATCAGTTGGGGAAATTACTGGGAATTAAACCGGACGTAGCATGATTCAAACATTGAATGAATAAACTTCACAAGTTGCCTGGGTAATTCCGAAATCTTGATATTCAATGTTGTAAACTTCCAAGGTCAAAGTTCAAATGCTGGGTGCCTTGTAAAGTACTATCTACTACTTTCTATATCCTTGCATACGTGACTTTTCAACAGCAATATCTGGAGTTCATTTCAATCTAAAATGTTGAAAAGACAAAGATAAGACATGTGGGTCCATGCGGTGATGGCGTCCACTCCTATTTAAGGTTGCTTAAATTTGCTTTATAGTTATCTCGTGACGGATGGCTTACACATGACTGTAATAACAACCAATCCCACTTTAATTCCAATGTCGCAATAGGGTACATTCAAGCTATAAGCCTTTGATAGATTGGATTATAGGTAGAATGGGGGCAGGTATTTCGATGCAATGTCTGGGAAGAAGACGTGCTCAGATTTCTTCATTGATCACCAGCGAGTCCGAGGGTCGGGTGAAGGATCAGCAGATGATGACCATCTGTAATTCAAAGGTAAGAACGGCCAGCAGGAGGTTGGGCTATGTATGGAGCCGTATTACTGAAGGCGAAGCCACAAATCGTGCGGCAATTCCTGCTCCATCAATGACGACGTGTCACATAGTTCAGTTGAACCACATGTCGAGTTTTGAGCCGACAGGCACCAAAAACAGGTATGTAATATCCACAACAGCAGACTTGCTCAGAACAGCGATAGGGCCAATAAAGATTGAATCTTGGTTGACGTGGCCACATAATACATGGCCTTTGCATTAATATCTGGGAATATTGCTGGTTCCAACTTCGGAAGGTGCCCGGGTTTCGAGGCAGTGAACAGATGTTTCTACCGCCTAGATATTCAATAATTGTTTAGCTGCACAGTTGTTGAATAGACCACTAGGCTGGCATCCTGAGAAACTGAGGATGTTCCTGAAGTGCCTCCGGCGCCATCGATTCTGCTTCCAGACCTAACATGAAAGTGTTAGCGCTGTACGGGACCCTCAAGAAGAATCTATTGGTTACCCTGATTCTTGAAGTGTAATACTGCATGTGTACGTCCTGCGACCTCGGGATTCACGTTTAACATGCACATTTACAATTACTTGCGAAAGGTTGAAGCCAACATGGTCTATTGACTATCCAATCTAAAATCTAGCATATGCTGCTCAAAAAATAGTACATGAGTAGGTAGATGTATGTACAAAACAAAAACAAACGGAGGTGTGGTGCTGGAAAGATGTGTTTTCCCTCGCATAACAGTAACGGGATGCCAAAATTAGGGTTCATGAGGAATGTTCAATGCCACAGAGCCGGAAAGTTGATCTATGTAGGTGGGTATATAAAGGCCGTTGGTTGTATGAGAGCCAATGCCTTGCCACAACGTGCCTCCTAATGATAGCAGTGGAGTGGATAGGCGTGGGATGATCGAATTTCAAACAAACGTTGCAAATCGTAATGCTGCTGTGCAAGCATATTATGTGAAAAGATTAAAACGCCGACAAGAAGAACTGCACACCAGCTGCCACTAGGACAACGGTCGAGAAGCTGACAGCGGACATGCCGGGCACGGCGGCAGATGCAGTTCCACAGCAGGACTGGTTGTTGTAGGTGACATTGTTCATCTCGGCGGCGACTTCAAAGACAGATCCATTGAAGTTACCATCGTTGTAGTAATCGACCAGGAGGAAGTTAGGGGGGCGTTCCCATTTAGCTATAAAGAAACCATTAGAACACGAACGGGTTATGAAAATCGAAAAAGGGAGAATAACATACCAGAGCAGTTTCTTGCCATCTTACCCAAGCTACCATAGCCACTGACCGCATTGGTCTCGTTGAGCACGGCAGAGTTGGGAATCAGCAGATCAATGGAACCAAGACTCAACTCGATGTTCAAGTTGTGGTTAGCCATGTACATGCGGTTCTTGGCCTGGGCCTCGGTGATACCCGGAGGACGCTGCTCAGTGCAAGGGAAATCGCGACTCGTGGGGGAGAAGGGAGTCTCCCAGAGCTGGGAAAACTCGTCCATCAACCATGGGTACGCGGTTTGATTAGCCTGGTAGTCCATGAAAACCACGACACGCTTGCCGGTGATGATCATCTCGGAGAGAGTGGGCCAGTCGTCCAGGGCCATCGGGACCACCGATGGAGTGTAGACGTAATCGTACAGGCCGGATGACTTGATGGGATCCACGAAGTGGCTTGGTGAGACATAGTCGTAGTTACCCATGAGCAGGGTTACAACATCATAGGGGTTATTGCGGATCCACTCGGTCACAGTGACCAGGTAGGCCTCTAGGGTGCCGACGTCGAGCATGGAACAAGATGTGTGACAGAGTTCCATCGTTCCATTTTGGTTGTGGGCCTGGAATTGCACTAATATGAAGGTTAGTTGAGATTTTCTTCTTTCTCATCCTTTTTCGATCAACAAAAAAAAGGGTATATGGGGTTGTCTTACGCATGCGAACTCCATCGTCCAGTTGGTACTTCACAGTATAATCTTGGTTGGCGGCAGCATTGCCCTTGCGCACGAATGGGCTGTTGTGTGCAGCAACCATGGTGATGTTGGAGTATTTGCGCTCGCAGTACTCAGTATAGCTGTTACATGGGCGAGTGTTGGTAGCCACGGCGGTGGATGTGCTGGAAGTTGTCGCGGTCGCATTCATGCTGGAATTGCCAAGAGTGGTGGTTCCGGCACCTCCGACCAAGAGTGTGACGGAGTTTGAAGTAGTTGTGACAACGGTGCCATTGCCGGAGGTTGTCGCGGAAGAGTTCTGGGTGATGGTGGAGGTGAGATGATCTCCATCGGCCAGGGTAATTGTAGTACCGTAGACCTCGTAGCTACCGGTTGGTACGGCAGCAGTAGCATCGGTTATAGTTGTGGCACCGGACAGGGCTATGGAGGTGTCTGTGGATGTGGAATCGGAGGAGGATGAGGATTCGGATGAAGATGAGGACGTAGTGGATGTAGTATCCTCGGCCCAGGCCACTCCCGCAAGGAGGGCGAGCGCTAGAGACCAGCGCATGATGTAGGTTGACGATTGACAGATATGTACAGCCAAAAGTTCAAAATTTCCGGGAGAGGAGTAGGGTAGATATTAAACCCCCGAAAGCCCGAAGACCGAAACCCTTTCCTAAAGCTGTGCCAAGAAGTAGACCAGGGTTTTAGTGGATCTAGTGGCTTGGGGTGGATCTGGTGGAGCTTTTTCAGGACTGCACTTAGATGACGTCCTGCGCCACCGTTGCTAGGTCGATTGGCCAATAATAGATTTCTCACGTTCACCACAACGTGTTGGTCCATTGAAATAGAATATCAATTACTACATACAAACGGTGGATGATATTTTTTCCACGTTGATCATTGATAAGCACAGGATGTTGGAGCCGTACGAATACGAACCCGATACTGATCTCATACGTGCACGTATAGGCTTAGACCCAATGTCGAATAACTCCCTTTAAAAAATGCTTAGAAAATTGCGAAAAAAAAAACCAGAGAGACAAAACAACATTAGGCTTCTACATGAAGATCTTCTATCTCCCTGCGGACATTATTGAAAGCAAAGGCCCCCCTTGATGCCGTGCCGACGATGATCGGCACGGCTAAAGGTCTAGAGGCCAAGCTAGTGCACACTCCACTGACGATCACACGGGAGGCGTGGATTGGTGTTTAAACGGGGGATCGGATCGAAGAGTCTCAGCCATAAAAAGTTAATTAGCCAAGAAATACAAGAAATAGAGAAGAAAATTAAGAAAAAATCACATTCAATCAAAAAATTCGGCAAAGAAAGTCGGAAAATACCCCAAAATCACCCAAAGTTCCCCCTGTGCCAACTATGGAGTAGGGAAACGTCATCCTTGAAGCTTCTCAAATCTGATCTGGAAAAAAAGAGAAAAAAGGGAAAAAAAAGAAAAAAGGAACAAAAAAAAAGACAGTTCCCTTTACTTCACCTTCTCTCCACCACATATTTCATATCCCCTTAATCATTCTCTCCACGGCCATGAATGGGACAGAAGCTCCCGTCAATGCCAGGCGAAGACTGCCGTTCTTCCGCAGTTCTCGGGCCCAACCCAGCCAGCCCATCGCTCAACGCCGCAAATCCACCGTCCATTGGCATCGCGGCCTCCGCTCTTTATTCTATCTACTCGCCTTTATATTCCTAATTTTGGTCGAGATCGGAAATCTTTCCAACAAACCCGTCTTGCGCAACACCTACTTTCTCTACCTGGATCTCTCCAACATTATCCCAGTCTCCGTCCCAGATGCCGTCCTAATCAACTCCATTGCCCGATCCATTGGTCTGCACGACTTCTACCAGGTCGGCCTATGGAATTTCTGTGAGGGATATGACGATGAGGGCATCACTCACTGCTCCAAACCGGAGACCCTGTACGCCTTCAACCCGGTTAAAATCTTAGTCGGTGAACTCCTATCGGGCGCCAGTAGTACGTCTCTTTTCTTTTCCCTTTTCCCTTTTCCCTTTTCCCTTTTTCTCCCTACAAAGCTTGGAAGCTCCAAACAACTTTTATTTTTGGTCTTTTGGGCACCATTTTCCCCTTGCAGATAATGCGACAATGAGACATTCCAGCTAATCCGATTACCTTGCTGCCTAGTTGCACTGCCCTCCGACATCACCAGCCCACTCGAGCTCGCCCGGCTCGCGTCCCGATGGATGTTCGGCATTTTCCTCGCGGCGACCGTTCTGAATTTCCTGATGATTTTCATCAGCCCGTTCGCCGTCTCCTCCCGCCCGCCACAAGCCATTAAATACCTGGTTGACAAGGATCATTCCAATGGCGCCAATGGCGACTCCACATCCGTCCGCATGCCCCACCGTCGCGGCCGCTTTATCTTCTTCCGCTCCCTCCCCTTTTTATTCCTTACTTTCTTCACGGCGCTGCTGACCATCGTCGGCTCCGTCGTGGGAACAGTCATGTTTGTGATTTTCGCCAATGTCTTCTCGACGGCTGATCCCAGCTTGAATATCAAGGCTCATGTCGGCAAGCAGATGTTTGCCTTTATGTGGATCGCGTCGGCATTTAGCTTAATTGGGTTCATTATTCAATTTGGTGATTGCTGCGCGGCTTGCTGTGGTGGTCGCAAGGCTCGCAAGAAGTTGAAGCAGGATGGAAATGGAATGGCCTTGCGGGAGAAGGAGAAGTCTCCCATCCAGAATGAACTTGGAAATGGAAATGGAAATGGACATGGAGGGTATGCTGCAGCTGATGCGCAGTATGAACCCCATGCCGTCACTTCCGACTAATTGGGCACCTCGTCATTGGAAATAATTTTGGACGATTGCTTTTTTTTCGGCTTACTTACTGTTGGTTTGTGGATATTCTATCTTTTCTTTTTCGGCCTACGATGTGGACGATTGGTTACCTTTGGTCAGGTTCATCTTTTTCTTTTTCTTTTTCTTTTGTCACTTTTGTGAATTTGGTTCACAATCCAGGCGGGCATGGTTCATATAGATTCAATCATATACATATTTACCATTTAGAGTCATTCAATATATGAGATCTGTTCCCAATCAGGATCAGGTACGATTTCAACAACTGCCTAATTGGGAGGATAGATAAGGGAGATAAGGAATTTTCGCGCGTAGCCTTCTAAGTTACAACTTACCGCTATCTGCTACTTGATTCATGCATTTAGATCTTGCCTGATTAGGATAGGCAAGTTCGCAAGTTCTTTTCTCATACATCCTTACAAACTGGGCAGCCCTATATTTCCATGGTTATACCTACTACTAGTACACCACAGTACAAATTCACTTCATACATATGTCAAGTCCATTTCATGCACATCCCAATTGGTCCACTTTCTACACGAAGATACGAACAAAACAACCGAATATGTATACAATGACGTCACGACGGCCGCAGTACATATCACGTGCAGCTATCTGCACACCGAAGATCGAGAGACCCCGCGTTCTCCTGATCGTATAATATTGAATATCTGACCTTCGAAAAGAAAAGCCGTGAATAAAATACACCTTTCATCATGGGCTTCCTGCACCATCACAATCTCGAGCCTGTCGCCGAGCACATCGCGCTATTCGACCAATTTGTCTCAGCGGAGCCGCAGACACTAGTGCTGAGAGAAAAGGTGCTTTCAGTCTCTGGCGACAGCTTCGACGTCAAATTGGCAAATGGGGATACTGTCATCAAAGTCCACGGAGCCTGGGTTTCACTCTCTGGCCGCAAGAAGGTTGAGGACGCCCATGGAAAGCACCTGTTTGATATTGTCAAAGAACACCTGCACCTTCATTCTACCTTTGCCCTTGAGGACACCCATCGCAAGAAGGTCTGCGAGGTCAAGAGTGGTCTTACGTGTAAGTTGTTGATATTCAAGTGTTTTGGCAATGAAGATTTGCCGTCTTCATCACTAAATAGTACATTACTTGATGCTAACTGCACTAGTGATCGGCTCCAAAGCCACGGCCACTTTTACTGATGCCAACGGCAAGGCCGTCGTTTTCAACATGAATGGAGGCTGGTTTGATCATAGTGCTGATATTGTTGATCACCGAAATGGTCAGACTGTGGCTCGTATTGATCGGAAACTACTTACCGGTCGTGACCTTTTGTTTGGTGATCAGACCTATGCCGTTGTTGTGGCACCGGGTGTGGACGCTGCATTGATCGCGGCCTTGTGTATATGTTTTGATGAGAAGAACAACGAGGAGCGTGGAGTATAGTCAGTATTAGGTACTGCTCTTTCTTGAAATGATCCAGAGCAGGCTGTTCGGGGTCTCGAGGCCATTGAAGCAGCAACCCATCAGATTCTGCTGGTTTTATTTCACTAATGTCATTTTTTCTTCTACTAATGTATATGGACTGGTTGAGATCTGACTTTTGAACCACGAGCAATTTCAAGGTTGGTTGGCCTGCTTGAGAAGCTCAAATTGACTCTTGCATATGCATACAGTATGTATGACGAGATCGCTTCCTAAGTTCGCTTCCAGAATTAGGTAAAAGTCTTAGTCCATTTAAAAATAAGGAACTTGAAGAGCATTCAAATGTTTGAACCACCTTGGAATGCATGCCGTTATAAAAACACTTCTATGGATACCAACTACTAGGTATAAATCATGGAAAGTCGGTAACAAATAAAAGTAAATGGCAACATTAGAGAATCAAACTTGTTCTAGGACTGTGCTGTATGGTTTTTTTTTATTCAACAGGTTGAAACAATACCAACACAACATTGAATAATTGCATTCATAGAGTCTACATACATCACATGTGTTAACAAAAATAACAATCAGTAGACTTGAGAAGATCAGATAAACCAGATTCAATTGAACTGCATGTGAGATGTCCCGCCTACCATCGAACCAAGACTCGCAACGAAAGCAAAGTAGAAACGCAAGGGAATCCAAGGCTTTCAGCATTTCAATCACCCCTCGAGTCTTTCAAATACTCCTATGATCTCTTTGAAGTTCTCATGATGGGTCATGGATGAATGCCAAACTTTCAACGTGCAGGGCGATGTCCAGGGAAAGTTTGCTCACGGTTGAATGGAAGGCCACGTTCAGGTAAAACCCGCATGAATTGCTCAACTCGCCTCATTGCATATCTCCGTCTCATCTGATAACCTTGATCCTGGTCGACATAATCGCATTCGAAACAGAATGTAAACGGCATGCGTATCATGATACTGGACCAGGAAACATATCCTACCTCAATACGTCGGTGGATGGCCCATAAAAGGCCTATGTCGGGCAGTGAAGCTTCATGTGGATAAAGCGGAACATTGATGTATTCCAAGTAAATTTTGGACCTTGGGAGGGCTGGTATTCTTGAACCTCGAGTGCTTGAAAACCCGAAGAGTAATGAAGGACTCGGAGATACGAGTGGTGGCTTTGGAGCAGAGATTTTGAAGCAAAGATAAACGCTTTACTTTGACCGCACTTGGCTTCAAGGATGAAGAGAGTATTCAAATATTAGTGCCTTCCAAGCTTGTATGTTCTTAGTAGGTAAGAAGGGACTTTTTTCAACGGTAGATCGAAGTGTTGAAATACGCGTTTTTAAATATTAGGGTAAGGAAATAAGGCCTGGTTAGCAAATATTCACTGAACAATAACATGCACTTTGGGGAAAATGACCAAAATGCAACGATACATAGTGAATTGAAGAGGCTCAGATGACTCGAGAAACATTAAATCTAGATATTCAATGTTAACTACGACTATCAACTACCTTCGATACTTAGCCAATTGCGATGGTTGATCACATGTATCAAGAAACATTTGAAGAGATATTGAATGTCCATCAATCAGTATTCTCTTCGATAAACATTGAAGAACATTCAAATGTTTGAAGACAGTGCTCCTTCCAACATTGAAGATTGAAGGTTATGTACCCATTGATAGTGCATACCTACCAGTATACATGTATCCATCGACAAACATCCATACATAGCGAACATTTGAATATAGATGTCACTAGCACTTCAAATGTTGAGTGGTGTCAAGGCGATACTCCTAAACTCTAGTACTGGTACAATGGTAGATATTTATTATTACATATAGTACCGGTCTACATACATATATATCACCTGAGTGCTATAGATGTCCTCAAATCCATCAAGCAGATCTTGGAATCCTTCGGCAAATTCTCAAGCAAATCCTTAGGTAATATAACTGGAGAATTCAATGTTAAGCACCATTCTTATGTTGAGGGCCGTACCGCATACTAGTACTCTTACTACACGTTAATTCCTTCGACGTAGGAGTGGGCAGGAGAAAAGCTGAAGCGACGCACTATTCATCGCCTTCGCGCCCCCTGGCTAAGGCTACGAGGGGAGGAATGAACACAATGGAATATAATGAATAAGATGAGACTCAATACTTACTAAGATAGGTATTGTAAAGCCTTGGAATGTACTCAGGGGTAAGTAATATGACGAAAAAAGCCGCAGGAGCCCTAGTAGAGGGGGTAGAAAATGCGGTAAGTCCATTTGAACCTCGTCCACGTTCTTCCAAACGTCCCATACTAGACTAGCTTAACCCAGAGAATGCACCTCAAATGATCACTCTCTATGGTGCCCAAGGGTTTGGTGGGAGATTATTCAACCATGGTCACTCAACCATAGCTAATAAAGTGTATTGCAAGCTGGAAGGTTACCATCAGTCCGATTTCAAGGCATATTTGCAAGTACTATACTTCGAGTGGAGCCTCAAGCCTCAGGCCACAATCACATGACCCCGCAATCATCACCAAATCCCAAATCCCAAATCCCACTGCCAATCACCGCAATTGAACCACAACCACCTCAATTGCTCCTCTCATCCCGCAAAAAGCACCAGCCTAACACCCGAGCACCACGCGAGGTCTTTCACCCCTCGCCAAAAACCGCCCAAAATGGTCGACATCGTGCCTCTGAGCTCTTACCCCTCCTACATCGACCTCCTCCCCTCAATCCAAACCTGCAACATCACCAACCTCCCCGAGAACTACTTCTTGAAATACTACCTCTACCACGCCTTGACATGGCCCCAGCTTAGCTTTGTGGCGGTCCTCCGGCCGAACAGCGGATACAAGACCGGATCCGGAAAAGGTGCTGCAGGCGATATCTCGGGACAGTACCCTAAGGTTGTGGGCTACGTGCTTGCTAAGATGGAGGAGGAGCCCAAGGATGGGAAGCAGCATGGACACATTACTAGTTTGAGTGTTATGCGGACGCACCGCAGGTTGGGAATTGCGGAGCGATTGATGCGCATGAGCCGTAAGTTTCTTTCCTCCCCTGCGTTTTCTGTGGTTGTTTTTCGGGCTTGTTGTTATTCATGTTGAGGGACTGCTGTGCCAGTTTTATGGGGGAAAAAGCCATTTCTTTGCTATCTGGTTTTCAAGATCGCTAACACTATTGGTTCTTGTAGAAAAAGCTATGGCCGAGTCCCACCGCGCAAACTATGTCTCGCTGCACGTTCGTGTCTCCAACACAGCTGCGCTCCGTCTATACCGTGATACTTTGCGCTTTGAGGTTGAGAAGATTGAGGACAGCTACTATGCCGATGGCGAGAACGCGTATGCTATGCACTTGGACCTGAGCAGCCAGTGGTTGGATTGGAAGGCCATTGAGGCGCGGGATCGTGAGAACGAGAAGAACGATGACGATGACGTGCAGGATGAGGGCGAGGCTGTTGGTGATCTTGGCAAGAAGGACGATTCTAAGGATCAGGAGAGATTGGTCAAGGTCAAGGTCGGACGTGGGTTGGGAGTTGGTGACTTGGTGGAGAAGAACGAATCGCAACAGTCATAATCTGGACCCCGCTATACTTTTTTTGCAGAGTAATGAGCCTTTTACAAGCTGTCTATGGTCTTTCATGTGCCAAGACCTATGGATGTCTTGAATGGAGACGGGGAGTGAGAAGATTTCAGGATGAACGAGAGAATATATCCGGATTTGTGCTCTCATCAATATTTGTACTTCGAATGGAAGGGATGTACATATAACTAGTATGCTCAAAATGCTCAAAATACAATGTGGAATCCAGTCAATGACCCAAATGCAAGGGAATCGTAACGTCATAGAGCTAGCTTGAGTAGCTGCCTTTTTCAAATCCTGCTCGCCAATATTCGCTGCTGAAACAAAAAGAGAAAGGGAAACAAACAGAGTCTCAATCCTTTGGCTTCTTTGAAGATGACTTCTTATCAGACTCGTGTCGGGATTCTGATGCAGAGTCACTTTTCTGCAGCTTTTTAGCAATGCGCGGCTTCAACTTATCCCTTAGTCTGGTAGGGGGCGCCAATTTCGATTTGCGGTCAGGAGCGGGAGGCTCGGTCGGAAGCGCATGCATGCTAGCCTGGGAAGAAGAAGGTCTATTCGAACTAGAGGTACTGATTCCGGAGCTAGTATGAGTGTGCAAGGGCACAGTCGTCGAAAAAGAATAAGACTCATGAACAGCAGGTGCTGTTTGAGCACGTGGCAGGGGAGCCTGCTGCGACTCATTGAGAGCAAGTCTCCCCATAGCTCCAGTCAGAACACCCTTATCCTTATTTTTGCCGTCGCCCATGGAAAACTGCTGTCTTCCATGACCATAGTTTTGATGTTTCAAGTTCTTACGAGCTTGTTTTCGACTGTGCTGCTCATTACGCGCTCGGCGAACCACATCTCGGAAAGCCTGCTTGGTGAAACGAAGTTCCTCTTTCAAAGCCCGCTGATCATTAACCTGGCGCTGTTGCTGCTCAGGTGAGTCCCATCGACCCCAGTCACTATTGCCGGGTCTTTGAGGCTGATGAGGCTGGCTCTTCGCTCCAGGGCGCCAATTTGACCGCCCGGAAAACCGGGCTTCGCGGCGAGATGCTTGTAGAACGTTGAGTTGTTGGCGCAGATCGGCTGCAGCGTCATATAGTGTGCGGTCATGTTGGTTGTGCAAAGATTGAAGCTGAATGCGGACTGTGGCTAGGTCGGAGGCATCGAGATCAGATGTGGTAGATAGTGAGTCGAAGGAGCTGAGAGAGGATTCGGATGATGCGGAGCTGACGGATAGGCGACGCGGTTGCTCGAAGAGGGGTTTGTCACCGGGAGTTTCTCTAGGAGCGCCTCTAATGACATCCCTAGCAGTATCTCTAGGGCTATCTTTGGGAAGACTTCTTGGAGCATCTCTGAGATCATCTTTAGACTCATCTTTGTGGTCAAATTTGCGATCATTTTGGTTGCCGGTCTGGCTTTGAGCTTCTTGGGCATGAATTTGAGGTGAGATTTGGCTTTGGCTTTGGCTTTGGGCTGGGCTTTGAGTGCTGGTGGCGGCCGTGACCGTGGGTTGCACGGGAAGGTCAAGTGGTGGAGGTGAAACGGGAAGTTCAGTTGACGAGGGTTGACTTGGGGGAGTTGGCGCATTATATAGAGTCCCATTCGCCTGGCTACCGGGCCAAGTAGGCTGAGCATATCCAATCGGAGGATATGCACCAGGCTTTCGCCCAAACCTGGCCTGTTCTTCGACCCATCGACCATGTGCCAAAGCCTGTTCCTCCACCTGTCGCCCATAATGCATAGCCTGTGAGCTTATTTGATCCCCATAACGTTGCGCCTGTTCGGCGAAGCGGTCTCCATACTTCTGTGCCTGTGCTGTAATATTCGAAAACCAGCCAAATGCACCCTTGGATGTACCAGTGTTTTCATTCTGAGGCTGAGAATAGGCCCAATTGTTAGTCCATTGCCAAGGCGCAACACCTGGAGGCGGGTGCTGCGGGGGGTATGGCCCGGGTAGTTGGTTATTGACACCATGGACTGGAAATGGGGGAACACCATATGGCGTGCCGTATGGCATGCTGCCGGGCGGAAGTCCATATGGAGCAGCCGGGGCATAAGGCCAAGCTGTTGGCGGTGGGGTATATTGCCCTGGCACAGGTGACGGCGTGTTCGAGCTCCATGGAGACTGCCCATCTGTAGATGCCGGGGCTCCAGTGCCTTGTGTCGCCTTAGTTGCTGCAGGATAACAAAAGGGGCACAGTGCCGACGAAGGGGCTGCATCCGGCTCGCCGATATAGACAAAACTGATGCTGGTAGCGCGAGGTTCGAAAAAACATTGATTCCATTCATCAACCACAGCCGCAATGCGAGCTTGTCGCTGTTCATCGGTTTCCTGCGGTCTGTCTTTCCGGTCTCGTTGGATTTCCGCCCGCAACTGGCGGGGCAAATGCTGTGAGGCAGCAGCCAAACCTAATTGGGGCGGAAAGAGGTACCGCAGAAAGGTGTCCCAATCCTGTTGGGGTATTTCATTTCGACGGGATGCCCAGCAGCGGGGCCGCCGAGGAAAGTCTTTTGCTTGACTGCGGGGGTATATGGTCAGGTGGTGGTGTAGAATGCTGCGGCTGTCATCCGATACGAGTGGTGGTCTCTCCTCGAAGTAAGCCGCGGCAGAGGTGAAGTGGATTGGCGTGATGGTAGGTGATGTTGATGGAGGCAGATCCGCAATCCGCGAAGTCCCGGCTGCTGAAGACTGTCTAACATTCTCACGTAGGGTTTCGGAAGTCCGCTGGACAGTGTTGTTCGTGTTAATCGTCGGCGTAACTAGTGGATCGACCGCAGCGTATGGCGGTGGGGCCTCCTCCTGGTCCATTTTGAGACCTATTTTCGCAATTGCTGCGTAACAAAAGACGGGTATGCTGTAAGAGGAGGACGCTAGTGGTCTTCAGAGGATCACGAGGTATCTGGGAGCCCGTCACAGCTTGCTAGACATGTTGCGATAGGGTAATTAGGTTACCAGCGCGAAGGCAGCAGTATTATCGGACCTGGGAAATTTGTGAGCGGATAAAGTTTGGCAAGCGAGCTGATCTGCTGCGATCTTCTTACACTGCATCGGATCATCCACCAAGGCCGTTGTGAGAGGCCTTGAGCTCTGTGAGGAAAGATGTCAAACTTGAGATGGTTGGAGAAGTGTTGGAAAGGCGGAGTACGATAAGATAATCACGGGTCCCGCGGATTGCGAGAGAAATTGGCCGAAACTATATGAACCGTGGAATCAGATTGGAGGAAATACGCCCTGGACTGATTCAAAAACAGAATGTTTATTATTCTCATCACTGGTTGAAAACATCACAATCATGGCCTTTGGTTCTAACTTCTGAATAGCGGGGTAGTGCAGATACGTGTATAATTACCCATAGGGCTGAGAGAGTCCACCCGATCGACAAGCCTTTAATGACGATACACATTAATTATTCGCTAGGAAGTCTAGAAGACCCGCCCAACCCACTATTTTCGCTGTTGCCAACCCTGTAATTTGCACACGATTCGTATGTACATCCCTGAGGGTTTCGCCAAGAAGTGAAAAAAAAGAAACGTAGTCTAATCCCACGCATCTCCCCATCCATCATCCTCATCCACTTCCTTCGGTTTCGTATCAATCTTCTTGGCAGGTGCAGCCACGACGCGCGGCTTGGGAGAGACTTTAATGGTACTGGAAGTAGAAGAGCCCGCTTTGCCGAGACCCTTAGGTAGAGGTTTCTTGGCTTTGACTTGGTTCTTGGCAGCCAGCCATCCTGCAAAGTCAGGCTCACCACCGTCGTCATAGGGTACAGCAGGAGATTTGTTCGCCGAGGGATCAGGCGACGATGGGCTTGGAGAGGCCACGGCAGCTGTGAAGGTATCTACGTCGTTTTCATCATCGTCCATTGCGCCCCATGCATCAAAAACATCATCTCCTTCCTCTTCCTCCGGAGGTTCATAGACGACGGGAGGAGGTCGGTCGGACATGGACCGACCTAGCGGCTGGGCAGTGGGGCGTAATGTTTGTTTGGGCAAGTCAAGTTGCGTGGAAGGGGATGATTTGGCGGGGCGAGGGACAGATGCAGATCGGCCAGTGTCGGGTTCGGCAGTGGTAACAACGCTGGCGGTCGGTTCAATCTCACCATCGGCGGTTGCGATCTTATTGGTGAATGATGAAATTGCCCATCCAGCCCAAGACTTGTCATTTGAGTTGGCGGCTCGTGGATCGGGCTTGCTAGGTTCGGCTTCAGTGGGGGCAGCAGGTGGCAGGACTGTGTCTGCCATCGTGCTGCCGAATTTCCGGACTCGTTGGAGGTAAAGATCGAGTGTCTTGTTTGCTTGGTCTCGGATGAGCTTCTCCTTATCTATCAACGCCGGGCAAATGGCTGGTAGAATTTTCCCAGCGCAATCTTCTTCGGTGAATACATCTATGGTGGCACCCAAGGCAAGCAAACCAGCAACGCGGGCATGGGCGAAGGGATCGCGGATGGCCCTTGTAAAGGCAGCAATAAGGACCTTGGACCGTGTCTTCTACGATGTCAGCATCGAATAATCAAGCCGAGTATGTATAACGTACACTTTGTCCCAAATTTTTCGCAATCCGTCCAAGGCAGATAGTAGTATTTGTTCGAATTCCAGGCTGCTCGTCATTAGCAGTACGAGCCAAAAATTTGAGTAGTTCTCCATTAACCACTCGATCGCTGAGCTTGTTGATGACTGAGAGGACAGCTTTGACAGTCTGCTCTCGCACGATTGGCGCAACGTCGGTGAAACCAGAAGTCTAAAAATCCTTTAGAAGTTGTTTTATAAAAAGAATTGGCTGGCTTACCATCTGAGGGAAGATCTTGTCATTGACAACCTTCTGGGGAAGGTTGTCAATCATCAAAGGCAAATTGTCCAACAAGCACACACGGAGAGCTCGATCGGGGTTACCAAATAGGCGCACAACGACAGGGGTCAACTTAGCATTGAACTCGTCTGCCGAAAGCTTGGAACCGATCTTCAACGTAGCACTTAGAACCTTTGGTCCACCACCGCCAAATTCAACAGATTTGAGTAACTCTGGGAGAACCTTCATTTTGAAAAAGTCTTCGGGAAAATCATCAGACAGATTATCAAGTTCACTGCATACAATTAGTATTCATACTCATCAGCTCAAGCTGGAAATAAAAGGCTTACTTAATAAATTCTTCCCTTTCGGCATCACTCTTCAAACCTAGGCTCTCCATGTCCTCTGTCAATCGGATTAAAGAAGTTTGGAAGAACCCGCCATGCTTTTTACCCTGTTCAACAAAGTGACCCGGGCTCAGTCTAAGCTTGGGATTGGCAGTGCAAAGACGTTTGTAGCTTTGATGCATACTTGGGGGAATGTTTGTGGTCTTGCCAATTTGATCTCCACCTGAAAATTGACCATTGAAGACTTCAAAGATCAGAACTCCCAAGCCATAAGCATCCACCGCTGCTAATGGATTGCGCTTAATAACCTCCCATCCTCCCTTGACCACTTCTGGGGGTGTGAATCGAGCTGCATCAGGCACGATGCTTCCATACGTCTATTTCAGGTTAGTACAACAAGCTTTTCTGGCAGTAAATTTTGCAGACCGACATATATAATAGCATCATCCTCCTTCATCGAGCTCAGGATGTCGAATCCACCCAGCTTCCACTCTCCGCTTTCACTGGTATAGACCGACGACGAACGCACAGCGCCATGGACGGAGGAGGCATCTTCATTGATAAACTTTAGTGTAGACTAGTGATTGGTCGTAAGTCAGTATAGGCTTCTCCTTCTCAATAATTCCAAAGCAAAAAAAGTCCTCACCGAGACAGTGTATAAACCCCATTTCGCGGTTTCCTCGCTCAAACTCCGACGCTTGACTTGCCATGGAAGCGGGACGACTCGTTCGGTAACGATATAAAGATTTGACTCGGTCTAACCAGACAGTTAGCGCCCATAACCCAGTATCTAGCCCTTCCAACGCAGAAGGGCTAACAAAAGGCCAATATACCTCGATCGTATCTAGAACCTTGATCACGCCAGGATGGCGCAAGGTCCTCGACTTCCGCACTGCATTCTTCGCCAACGGAAGACGTGACTTATTGGCAGCGATATCGAATGTGAAAACACTGCACGCGGAGCTGTCATCCTATTTATTCCCAAAAAGAAGCCGTCAGCCTTGTTGTTTGAGGTCAAGTTTCACGGGGAACAGAGAACCACCCTACCCGTTTCGTACCGTTGTGCAAAGTCCAGATCGAATCGCCAATGTCCACTCTGTCGCCTAGAGAGAAAGGTTGCGAGCTGCCTTTTGCTATCGCGGAGGCGACGGCGGATTTAAGGAAATCCATGGCCGTGCGGATGCGAGTTGCTGGCCACTCGGAGGTTGCGGTGTTCTTTGGGAGGCCCCGGGGGCTTTTGCGGCTCAATGGCCGGGCACTGTGGTTCGGGGATAGAGGTAGGAGGACGCGAGGAATGAATTCGAATTACAGCGAAGGTGTTTATGTGGTAGGTAATGCGACCAGGGGATTATGTGGTTGAACTGGAAAGTTGGATGCGGGCCCCGCCTTATCGGCCTGAGCTGGCCTTGTGTTAATTTCGCAGGGTCCACCTTGGATTTGTTCTCCAAGCTTTCTCTCCAGCTCTTCATCCACCACCAATCGCTTCCACCTTAACAATGTTCACCTTGCCTCATATCAACCAACTCCTCACCCAACAACTAAGCATATAACAGCGCTCGACAACAACTACCAAAAACTTGGTAAGTTAACCCCCAAATCTCTACCCCAACACCAAAACAAGCGACCCCGTCGCGTCTCCAATGATGACCACCTGGTAAAAGGTCAGACTTTACAAAGAACCGGCGAACCATAACATCCCACCTGATCCGAAGGTACTCTTTTCGATTTCAAACTACTCTAGAATCGTCGGCTTCTCCGCAACGCATCGGCTTGGTTGAGCTCATCCCGCTTGGACTCGACTCACACGCGATGCCCCACTACCTGCTTTACTCTTGCAACTGACCGCTGTGGCGTGATAATTCCAAGCTTCGGTTTGGTTCACAAGCTCGAACCTTCTACCTCAACTGTCAACTCTTTGGTGAACGCAAATACATGGCCGAAAGGCAGAAGATCGAACCAAAAGTCTATGGTTTCCTCACTGAGGCACTGTTTTTTTTTCTCATCTTTATATCCGTTTCTTTGAGATGGAGAAGGGGAGAGAGAATTGCGGTGGGTCTTGGGAGTATCTATGTATACACTTAAACGTCTCCCGTGTTTACATGAGAGTATGTTGGGCCGTTTTCTGGGGTTCCTTAGTCTGCTTTGCTCCCATGAAGACTGATAGGAACCAATGGCTACGGTCTATAAGTGGGATGCGGAGATTGCGCAAAGAGTTGGGGGCTTTGGTGTGAGGAACAGGTCAGGCACTGTTGGAAGTAGGAGATGAGTTGTCAAGTGGTCGGTTATTGCGAGTCGCGTTCCTTGCTAGGGTACAGTGGGCTTGCTCCTTGTTGGTGTGGGGAGGTTGAGCTTTTTGTTGTAATTGAATTCAAGCAGAGCACCGCGGTGGATGGGGTGGGTCTTGCCTGGGGCTTGAATGATGACTCTAAGAAACTGAAAAGACCTGAGGAGACGAGTTTTTGATCCGAGATTCTGCTCAAATTAACATGAAATGTGGCTAACTCTTGTGACAGAAAGCCACGTTTTCCCTCAAATGGCTTGTTCGCCTTCTCGCCAGTGGCTAGTGCGCGGATAAACCTGACCATGTGCCCGTCACTGGCGTGATGCCAGACAACTACGGGTCATCCCAGTCTGTAAGGTCTTCACGACGTGTCGTTCGAGCACCTCTAGGTGCAGCAATGGCATGCCGACGCCATCCGCGACCAAGGTAAGCAGACGGCCCGTGTCCTCGATCATGCGGGCTTTTTGCGCACGCGAGGTAGAATCTCTCTGCAAAAGGGCCTGTAGCCAGCACGAGGCGTTGACAACGTGCATGAGGATGAAGTCGACACGAAACTCGTGCGGTGGCAGCATAGAGGAGCAGGTGACACAAGTGCTTGTGTTGATAACCTCGGCGGCGGCACGCTTCAGGGCCTCACTGGGATCAACCCTCCAGCGGCCGGAGATGGCGGCCAAATTCTTGCCGGCACAGCCCCAGGCGCGGTGTCTCTGAGGCTCTTCAGTAGGGGGGCGGAAATTATCGTCGGCCATGATGGCCTTCCAGCTCTCCTCGGGGGCCTCGAGCGGGACGGTGAGGTCCCAGTCCATGCAGTTGCTTATAACGGGGTCCTTCATGTAGGCACTGTGGGCCCCAAGCAGCGACACGCGGTATTAGGTAGTAATCGACACCACCACGGTCCTGCGCCACTCGAAAAACTCCGTGTACCGCGGGTCGTTATGCACAACGTTCTCGGTCAGACCTTCAGCGAGAATTCACAGCTGTTTGAACTGAAGACCCAACCCCGTGTGCATGATAGCATGCATGTAGGTAGGCATGGCACAGGCGTGGGTATTTGGATTGGGCAAGCTCGAGGTAATCGTGCGGCTTCGTGCCATGTTTGGTCTACGCCGAGGCACACAATCTCATGCTCAAAGAAGACAATGAGATCCTGGTAGCACGAGACTACACCTCGTTCGCAAGGGCGTGTCCGGCTGATCTCGCCTCGAGTTCTTATCTAACATAATTACGGTATCGTATTCTTGTTGAGAACTTTGGTTTTCATCAATATATTCATTGTTTTCTTGCTCTTTAGCGAGCGGGTTCTTCGGAACCTTGACTGGAACGAACGAAAGGAGCTCCTTTCAAATTCTAATAAGCTTGAAGTCTATCCCAGCAATATCACTATCTTAATTTCGAAAATGAGTAGGGCCATAGATGGACTCAATTTGAGCCGGAGTCTGAACGGTCAACGGCGGTGATTTCAGATTTTGTGGGGATCGTACTGGCGACCCTCTCGGGCTCGACAGCTGCCTCTGTGTCAGAGGAAATCGTATTATCACCAACATGTTTCGCTTTGAATAGTTTCTCCACATTCTGTCGTACTTCCTGTAGCTTTGCCAGTTGTTGCTTGGCCTCGTTGGCAAACTTAGAATTGGCGCGGAGCTTTGAGCCGACCCGAAGGAAAATAAAGGGCAGAGGCATGAATGCCAAAGACAAGAAAGCGGGAATTGATGAGGCCCACTGTGAGCCAAGATTCTTATACATGTAGGTTGTGAAAAGGGGGCTGTTTCAAGATTGATGGCTTGTTAGCTGCGTAATCTATCAAGATCAAAATGGGTAACAGAGGTTAGCAAAACGTACAATGCGAAGCCAAAGAGGGCGCGAGCCATAGCGTTGGTAGCCGCTGCTGTGGCAGCAAACAGGCTATATGTATCGATGAGATAGTTTGTCATGGAGATGAAAACAAGAACATTGCCTAGCCCAAAGAAAAGAGTGCCAACAAGGCCGACGGCCCAGTGAATACTAGTATACGATGTCCACGCGAACCAAAACAGGCTAACAGGGAGCATCACAGCACCATATAGAGCTGGCTCAAGACGCATCTCAGGGGTCGCCAGAACACCAGGGCGGGCGATTATTTTGCGGTATTTGACCTCAAGAACAATATAGAAGGGCACAGCAAGAATCTGACCGATCATGATGCCAATATAGGACAAGCCGGATACACCTTGGCTCCAGTGGCGATCATCGATGAAAATAATAGGGAAGGCGGCAAAAATAAGGTAGAGAATTCCATAGATGATGGCAGCATACACAGCCATGGCTGTCGATATTGGTTCCCATATCGCCATGATGATAGGCCTCGTGATGGCCGTGCTCAATGTCGCAGTGAGAGTCTTTGGCGGCAGACCGACATCGAGTTTGCTGACATAGATTTTACCAGTCTTCTTGCTCATTATCATGGCGCGACGTCGTAGGATATAGGGCGCATAGGTCTCAGGCATAAAGACCAGACCGAGAACAAACATCAAAGCGAAGAAGACAGTGCACAGTACATTAACCCATCGCCACCCAGCAGCAGCAGCGAGGAAGTTGCCGCAGATGGGGCCCAGGGTTGGGCCAAGGAAAGGGAACATGGAGTAAACCATGACGGCGAGTCCACGCTCCGCCGGTGCGAAGATGTCGGCAACCACACCAGGCGAGTTAGAGATGGCGGCGGAGCTGAAGGAGCCCACTAAAAAACGAAGTATAATTAAGGCAGCGACCTCATTTGACTTGCTGGCAGTCGCCGCGCCCTCAAACAAAACCGACGCGCCCATGGTAACAAGGTAGATGGATTGGCGGCCGTAAAGCTCAGAGAGCGGGCCCCAAAGAACGGGGCCAAGGGCGAAACCCAGTACATATAGACAGACACTGAGAATGGCTATCTCCTCCTTTACATGGAAGAAGTCCTCAATCTGAATGATTGCACCAGCGAATATTGTCGAAGACAAAGAGCAGGCTAGCGTGCTGAAGGCACAGATCAAGACAATGGTCCACTTGATAGCTGGTGGCAAGTTGAAGCCATTCTTTGGGTCGTTGGGAAGCCAGTCCACCAGGTATGGATCTTTAGTCGTCCCGCTGCCGGGGTAGTCGTAGTCTCGGACTTGACTGGTAATCAAGGTTTGGTCTAAAACTAGCTTGAGATAGCTGGGGCGGCTGGGGAGATGTGCTGCCTCTCTTGCAACATTACTCGATGAATCTGACATTGCTATATTTGATTAAGACTTAGATGAATTCTGACGATGGGAGAGTATAGTTTGAGCCTGATCGGAGGAGAGAGAGAGAGAGAGACCAAAGGGAATGCGAAGAGAGAAAGAAAGAACCTTGGAAAAGAAGACGAACATGAGAGAGAGGCACATCTAAATATACAAGACAAGCACATCCAGAAGAGATTCCCTAGTACACTCAACACGGCCACCAACTCAAGATGGCAGTACTAGTCGTGAGCAAAGGCGAGACGAAAGCTCTGCGGAGATAGCGGCGGTAAGGATCTGAAGCTGGCCCGGAGATAATTCTCTTAATTCCCTCGACAAGAAGGCCCTACAGGCTACAACAAAGAACTAGACACTGACGAGAAGCATCTTCTATTCTTTAATTTAATGTTTCTTGCTTTGGTAACATGGTTGGGTGGACAGGTCGGTTTGTCCTCTTGCATGTCAGGGAGTGAACGAACGAAAGGTGAACGAAAAGAGAGCAAAGTAATGATTGGAACCCCCTATTTTGACTACATATTATAAACTAGTATCTATCTACAATTTCTGAACATAAAGAGACTGCCATTCGAGAGAAGAGCTCTTACCGACTCCCTTGAAAACAGTAGACAGTTTACATCTTATGTGGAGTAAAGCAAGCGGCCCGGCCCGTGAAATTAAGGACTACTTAGCTTCGTGGTATCTCCGGCCTGGTAACTCCGGGTGTGAAGCGTTGGAAAGTAATCGCCGGCGGTTTTCTTTGGGCTTTTATATGAATTGAATTGATGATTGTGGAGTGCAAGGGACTGACCCAGGAAAGCGCTGGTGCTGCTGGGCATGCACTGGAGTCGGACCGGGTCAACCACATCTTTCAAATGTTATTACTAGGTATGACCTCGCCGTAGGCACTGAGTCTGAACCCGGGGTCACGTTTACTCGGTCAGCCCGAGTCTGCACATGTGACTCTGCTCCATGATCGCCTTGTCCTGTCTCTAGTATATGTGTACAATATTAGAAAGAGCAAGGATACTTAGACGTAGGTGAATCATTTCATTGGTATCCCGTGGGAACACTAGCGACCACTTGAGACTATCCGGCCTCCACCCATGCTACTTGCTACTTGCTACTTGCTACTAGTAGTTCAACGTTTGCAAGCAGCTAGGAACTACCACCACCACCACCACCACCACCCGATCCGTTGATGAAACACAGCCCATAAAACATCTCCTTTCGCTCTCACACCTGCAATGCTGATCCCACTCCAAGCTTAAGAAATATCAACAACCGGAAAATAGAAACAAAAGAGACCGAGGTAAAATATAAAAAGTAACATGAGAGCGAGAACATAAAATATAAACCTAAAAATATTGAAAATCTTCAGAAGCACATGCCCCCGACTCAACTGCTCCTTGATATGCCAATGGCTGCGAGATAACAGCTGACAACGAGGCAGCTTCGTGATGGTTCAGTGGTAATCAATAGCAGCGGCTGTATTTGCGCAATACAGTAAGAATTCACCGGCGTGTGAATCACCGAAAATTGGGAGTCGGGGTAGATAGGCAAGATAGATGAACACTCATTGAATCTATAGACGTACATTAGCGAAACTTCATCGATGTAAAGGAGAGCTTGGTAAGAATCACCTGATATGTCACATTGATACTTGCATCAACGCTGCGGACAGTTCTGAGTATCACAGCTCACGGAAAGGATGAAAGCCAAGATACATGAGGCCGGGATTATTTGAGATCCGAAGATTGACAACGGTGCAAATGATCATCGCTCCAAATAATTGGAGCTGACGGCTACGAATATTTGGACTTGGAAGGGAGCGGGAAAGATGAGTGGAAGGCGCCGAAAGTTCATCGCGTGGTTCATTTTCCTTCGTCGGTAGGCTCGGCAGAGTGTGTTGCAGGTCCAGAGGTGGCAGGGTTGTTGGGAGCCATCGTTGGGGTTTGCTGGGAAGTTTGGTTGAAGTTATTGTTAGGAGCGCGATGCTGAGGTGGGGGAAAATGGTGAGCTTGGTGAGGGCTGGAGGAAAAGTGTGGTTGCTGAGGGTAGCCGCCGCGACCGGGAGGAGCTGGAACAGAATAATCAGACAAGGCATTGTAACATAAGATGCGAGATAGATACTAACCGTGTCCCGGCTGTTGGCCTCCATATCCAGGTTGGCCAGGAGACATGAACATCATCTGTTGAGGAGGTTGGCCGGATTGCGAGTTCTGGTGCATCATCATCGGCGCGCCACGGCTTGGGCTGGGAAACCCGCTAGGAGGTGCGTGTTGTGGGTAGGCGTGGCCTGGGGATGGAGAGTACATCTGCATCTGAGGGGTAAAGGGTGACATTCCCTGGGGAACACCCATGTACGGTCCGTTGGACGGCTGCTGTGCCATCATGGGAGCTCCCATCTGGGGGGCCACAAATTGCGGCCCATGGCTACCTTGGTAATGTCTCATGTGGGCAGGTTGGGGACCTCCATAAAATGGCGGCATGGACTGCCCAAACGCTAGCTGTGCAGGAGGAGCCATAGGGGAGGGGTATCCCATGTGGCTTTGTTGCATCCGAGGTGAAGGGAAAACTTGCGACGATGATGCAGAAAGCTGCATACGATGATGATCATCCACGTGAGGGGGGTGAGGGTGATGAGCGTGTGGCCCATTTGGAGGTCCAGAAGCAGATCCCATGCCAGACTGCTGGAACTGGAACGACATCTGGTGCTGAGGCAGATGAGGGTTGTTGGAAGCAGACCGACCCTGGGGAGAAGCGGACGGTACTCCAGGTGGTTTGAGAATTTGGTCATAAGTCTTTTTCTCATTGCCCTCGGGGTCATCCCATGTTGGCAAAGTCTTGTAGGGCGGTGGGATACCGCCGTTAAAGATTACCACCCTTTCAGTCGACTCCGCACTCTCCTTCTTCATGCGTTTAATGGGGTTGAATTGATCTTCAAGAGAGGGTCTGTCAGAGATAGGCAGAGGCTTTCGCACTCCAAAGAATGTGGATGGAGTTATTGCCCGGGACATGGAGCGAGTTCTCGAGAAATCGCGTGGGCTAGCAGCGGGACCTCCCGAGGAAGCAGCCCCACCAGGAGTGAAGGTGTTTGCGGCAGGGTTGGGCTTAAATTCCATGGCTCGCACGTTGAACTTGGCCGCTGCAGAAGTCGTGGTCTGAGCCTGAGTCTTTCCAGGACTCAGGACTCTAGGCTGCTCACTTGATGGACCAGTGGGGGGAGCAGTGGGGGGACCGCGGGCATCCTGTACTGGCACTGGCGCGGGGACAGAACCCATGACAGCAGCCCCCTTCCGTTGCTGCATGTTATCGGCCAGGCGATGGCTGAGCATACCCGTGCCGGGACGGCCAGGCTGCACGGCCTGTTGAGAGAATCGACCGACAGCCCCAGCAAGAGGGCCAGTGGGGAGATATCCTTGACGGCCCCGGGCAAAATTCTGACGGTCGGAAGGCGCGACCGGGGGAGCAGGACCAGTGGGCGCAATGGGACGACTGGCCGGCTTTTGCTCTGGAATCTGTGCAATGGCCTTGGTTGGCGATTTGGTGTTTGCCGGAGTTTGAACTCGGTTGATGATGGCTTCTTGCCTATGCGGATCCTTGGCGAGGATTGGCACCAAGTCCTTGGGCACAGGGGTCGACAGCTTAAAGTTCTTTGAGAACTTCATCAGTTCGTTCAGTTTGATCGTCCGATCATGGGATGCTTGGTTACGCCGACGCTCTTGCATCCGTAGTTTCTCAGTGTTGGCGAACTGACGGAAATGGTCTAGCACCTCGGTTTCCACATTCGCGGTGGCATTCTCGGGAACTGGACGCTTCACAGTATTGGGGATGTGGGCAGGCGTAGCTGCAGGGATGTTGATGCCAGCCAGTTTCTGCTCAATTTCGGTTAAGGGCTTAGCAGTCACCGGAGTCGGCTGTTTTTCCGCCGGTGCAGGTTGAGCAGGTGGTCCAGGCTCCTCAATAATGGGCTTGGATACCGCAGGAGTGGTGGTGGGCACTGTCTGCTTGGCTGGTGGGGCTGGAACCCCAGATTGTCTGCGGCCCGGGGGTGTGTATCTGTTCGGCTGTCCTGAGACAAGAGGTTGGAAGGTCTTGTTGTCACGGTGCACACCACTGTATTTAGCCTCTTCGTCCTCGTCATCACCTGTCGCTGGGGCCACCAAGCCTCTCTCCTCGCGCATGTGGGCATTGTCAGTGTCCGCGCCTTCGATTTCGCGCGCAATACGAGCCGCCTCTACTTGCTTCTGGCGGAAGGCAGGATCCGAGCGATCGATAACGGTAGTGTATATATTTTCGTCGTAGCTGGTCTTGGCGCCGAAAAGTCGTTCGTTCGTTTCGAACTGGTCCCAACCAGAGGAATCGCCGATCGTCTCCAATGACATATCAACATCCATCTCAGCTGGTTCCCAGCGCTTCAATGTACGCTCCCGCATGGCGAGATTTCCAGAGATATCGCTGTCGGTCCTGAAGCCACTTGCTCCTATAAACACTATGTTAGCATCATGACATGAGATAGGGAGTCTTTGTTTCCTTACCATTTGACTCCTTGACGGACACTTCCGCGGGCACAACATTGGGCACTGAGATATCTGCAACATCTCTTATATCAAATGACATCGCATGGTCAATGCCAGTCCCGAGATAAGAACCGGCCACGTCGCTGGCGCCGTTCGTCCTAGACTGATTCTCGTCTGCACGCTGAACCATCTTAAGGGAAAAGGACGAATCGCTGGACTCCAGGGTGGAGGATGAGAAAATACCGGTAAATTTGTCTCCGTTCTTTGTTGTAATTGTGGTGCGTAGACCCTATAGCAACAGCAGGGTTAGTGTCAGTACTGGCTGTGCAATCCTTACAGCCGAGGAACCGTCTTACAATAAAGCTTGCGAATAAAAAGATGAGGCGATCATGGGCATGACTGTCAGGAGTATTAGACTCCTTCTGGTTGGGACGAGGGGAGCCCGACTGTCGAGCCATATTTCCGTTAGAGGAGACGTGGGAGGAGCGTTGCGTGATGGGGTTTGTTCCTTGAGTCCAAGCCTTGTGGGAGTTTGTGCGCCTATGGATAGAACATAGGTCGGTCAGCAGGTGAACCTAACAATCGTAGAATAAAAACAGCGTCGGCGCCTCTGGTGTGAATGATGCCCTCGATCCCAGGGCCCGCAATTGGCTCTTGATGGCACACAATACCTGGCCTGTACCTCAGCTCACAGCGGGAGGGCACGTGCATAGACGCAGTGACCGAGGGAAGGGAGCGAACAAGATGAAAACAAAGGCCTTGGTTTCATGTGCCGAATCTCAAGCCAGCGAGTGGAAGTAGGGAAATCGGGGTTTTTGTCGTAGTGGAGCGAAGGGATGTGGGGGTGGATGGGAGTACTGGAGAGAGGAACACATACCGCTGACCACTGTCCCCAGGGCTGCCAGATGGTCGGCGACCGTCCCCCTTGGTACTGGCGCTTGGCCTCAGTGAGGTCCGGCCAGGGTTCTGTGCATTGACTGCATTACCAGATGAGCTGTTGGCAGCTGGCACAGAGTTGAGAGTGGAAGCCATTGATTGACTCGGGTGGTCAAGTCAGGGCAAGCTTGCGGTCGTGGAACTTCACACGGAAGGTCCGCGAGGATGAGGCACGGAGCCACTCTCACACCGCCTGCACAAACAGGACGTGTTTAGAAAGAGGGGAAAGAGCACGGGAATATAACCACAGCTCAACAGGAACACAAATAATGGGAATTCAATGCCTATGGCAAATTTTCGGAATTGAGGAAGGGGGGAGGATGGATGTTCAAAAATAGGGATTGGTTTGGGGAAAGCAGGTCAGGTGCGAGAACTTGGTAATATACGGTACCGGTGCGACCCTGATTGACAGCGGGATCGAATTGTATGGGGTTGACAAGAAATGGATCTTTATTATGGAGATGCCATGATGTAATTAATACTCTTCAAATACTTTTTTTTTTTGGAGTTTCTTTAAAACATCCTTAACTAGACTCAGCAGAGTAATGATTACCATCTATTCGAATATTACTAGTATAAGGTTAATTTCCAACATTGAAAGGTTTTTTTGCCTTGCCCGGGTGGCTATCGATCTCCGTACATACTACTAGTAGTAAGTACGTACTAGAGTAGTGTGCATTGTCATTCCCCCTTTCAAATGGATGAAATATTGTTTTTCTCCCTTTTGAATACCCATATATTTTTCCAATGGATGGGCTCAAGTGCTCGGTCCAATTACCAACCACGGTACCATACATACTAGTATTAACAATACAGACATGTGCTGGTATTATACAGCTGTAACATCTTCATACTCCGGATATTGTATGTAACAGCCCATAGTCATCGCTGGCAAGGGATAATAGTTCTGTACCTACATTTAGGTAGTAATGAATCATCTCAATTAATATGGTCTAAATAAATACTACACACAGCTCCATATTTAATATTTGAAATAATTGTAACTGCTACCTAGCAGTCAACAGTGAATGTTTGAAGGGTGTAACTAGGAGTGTAAAGAAAGCCAATAAAGGGATCTGCAGGGAACACAACTTTTTTTCTGATGCATATTGGACATTGTAGATTTTCTTTTCTGTGTGAGCCAAGCGACTCGCTTACTTTAATAGGCCAAATATTATCTCATACTCTCAATTTGACATGGATAGTCAATCCAACAATAATTAATGTTGGGAGTAGGCGAGGCGCCTAGCGGGATGACGGTGATGCCCAATGGGTTGCCTAGACGAGGACGGACATCTGGAAAGGTTGTCACATCATTGTAAAGGGGGAAAGGGGAACAATCTATATGATTGACATCAGGGAAAAGATAGAAAATCCAAATGATTTCCAAATATTTCCCACAAAGATGCAAGTCACCGAGTGGATAAAGTGCGGGAGTTGCCGAGTGTAAGCCGTGGTGATACAGATCCAATAGATCCCATGCAATGCAAGATGAGTTAGTACATGTGGTTGATAGTAAAAGAAAGTACTATGTAGTACTTGGTTTAGCGTAGTTAAAACAGTCCGTGCCCTTTGTCTTGGAAATCACATGTGGAATCTTGAAGGTATTATTACACGGTGTTTACAGGTAACTTTGCCATCAGTGAGGGACTGGCCCTGGTAGATCGCCCCGGTGACTGTTTGTACGCGGTATTTGGCGGGAGGCTGGGTCTGGTGCCTTGTTTGCTTGGCATCCCAACTTTGTCTCTCTTTCGCCCCCCCATCATCGCTTATCAATGTCAACACACCCTCGGGCTCTCTGGAGACCCTGCTGAGTATCACCTTTCCTCAACCTTCTCTGGAATAGGTCGACCTCATGGCCTCAACCTCTGGTCGCAGCTCATCGGCCTCTGGCCGTTCCCAATCCGCAAAGGGTGTGGTAGGTATTCGGACTCGTGTGCGCTCGTTCCAATAATCCACAAAGCTAACAATCTTATTTTTATTTTCGCGATAGCCCGATAAACAAATCTCTCAGATCGAAAAGAGTGTGACACATCTGCTTGTAGCAACCAAGCAGCTACTTGAAACCCTGACTCAGTGGTCTCGCAAACAAGCTTCTGAAACGGATGTCTCCGATGTATATGTGCGCCTGGGCTATGAGTTCAATCTAGCCTGCCGTGCTTTCAATGCTATCGGCGTTGAAACTTCCGATCTAGGCCCGGTTCCGGACGTTTTGCGCACCATTTTAGAGGATACATTAAGCCAAGATGCCTCTTCGCAAAGCCTCGACCGATACCTACCCCAAATTCGCGACATCATTATCAACCTTCTCCATGGCTTGAAGAAAAAGCAGGCGCGTCTTCGATCACGACATCAGCGGGAGGATGGGCGAGGACTTCCGGGGAGACAGGCTAGCGCGGGAAGCATTTCCAGCAGCGCCTCCGCAATAGGCCAGCTCTACGATGAAACAGCGGCATCTACCATGCCCCAGTCGAATGTACCATCCCCGAAACGGCCAGCTCGTCGATATGGTAGCAATGGGTCTTTGGAAGAGGTTCAGGCCACCCGTCATGCATCACCACCGGTACCAGGAGATCCACGGAGTTTTTCGGAACGGGACGCGTCAAGACGTGAGGCCCAACAGATGCTCAGCCAGCCACCCCAGGGGGGTGAATTGATTTCTCAAAGTACCTCGCCTTCAGCCCCTCCAGATTTCCCGGCCCCGCCGCCACCTCCAAAGGAAGATGACGCGCTAGGTGCTTTACAGCGAAGTGGGGAACTAGAACGACGAGCCTCCCGGCGGTTCTCTGCCTACCAAATCCAAAAGCATCTAGGGACATCCTCGAATGGGGTACCAGTTCTGCCCACTCAAAACTCCCCAATTCCTAACCGGGGACGGGACGTCCGCGAATCTCTCAATGCGGTCCGTCTGCGTGGATCGTACACCCACTCCCGGCAGCGGTCTTCAAATAGATTACAAGAGACTGCCAAAGCTCCGCAGCCAGGGGCTGGCGTTCCCCAGGTGGTGGAGGAGGAAGAGCGCAGTGAGCCATCTACTCAAGTGGCCGAAGAACCTGAAAACGACGAAACCCCTCGGCCTTTGGATCAAAAGCCCGAACCGCCCGCAAAGGATGATGTCGAAGTTCCAAAAGAACAAGCCGCAACCCCCAGCTTCCCGCGACCACCCAAGGGACCGTCACTTGATGAGGCTTTTGATCCAGAGAAGATCCCTTCTCCTATTACAGAGAAACGCCCGGAAACACCAAAGGTAGCCCGGCTACTTCCAGCTGACATTGCCACGCCTCCTTCGGTCGCCCAATACGCAACAGAACAGCCTTCTCCAGGCAAAGAATTGACTCTCTTCCTGCAGTACAAAAGCAAAATTAAAAAGTTTGTGTTGCCAGACGGCATTGCAGATCTTACTATTGGACGTCTGCAGTTGGCATTTATTGAGAAGTTTGCCTGGAATACTCATAACAATGGCGCGGATCTACCTGAAATCTACATTCAGGATCCAATTTCTGGAATCCGACATGAATTGGAAGATTTGGTCGACGTCAAGGACCGCTCAGTTCTTGTTCTGAATATGGATAGCCTCGACGAGGTCAAGAAACATTTTGATGAGAGCCTTGGAGGCGTTCGGACCTTGGTTGAAAGTGTGAAGGAGGCTCTCGCTGGCCAAGGAACCGTCATCCAATTAGTTCAGGCTCGCCAGCTTGAGGCGGCCAAGGAAATGGCCCGTTTGGCAGCTGCTCCGCCAGCATCTGCGCCCGCTCCTGCCAGCGGTGCTTCTAAGGGGCTGATATCTGCAAGCGGAAGCCAACTCGCAGAACTACAAAGCTTGCGTCGCGATCTCGCCGTCCTGCGTCAAACGTACTCGAACTTTACATCTGATGTCACCAGCTCAATGAGCGCAGTTCGTACCAAAGCAAGCCAGGTTAAGACCGCTGCCGAGGATGTTACCATCCCAACCTACGCGGGAGATGCCGGCCGTGCACGAGTTCAGACTGGCAAGAAGGAGCTTGGGGATGAATCGGAACGTCTTGTTGCACGAGTGGATGACCTCCAAGACCTAGTCGAGGATCTGCGGAAGGATGTTGTTACACGGGGTGTTCGACCTCTTCCCAGACAGCTGGAGGGTGTTAGTCGTGATATCAGCAACGTAATGAAGGAGATCAAGAAGATGCAAGACTTCCTTGGCCGCGAGAAGCCCATTTGGACCAAAATTTGGGAGAAAGAATTGCAGTTGGTCTGCGAAGAGCGGGATCAACTCACCATGCAAGAGGACCTTGCTGCGGATCTACAAGATGACCTTGAGAAGGCGGCCCAGACTTTCGCCTTGGTGGAACAAGCAACCAAAGAACAAGCCATGGAGAAGACCAACGGTGGCGGCGTTGTTGGCGCAGTTTCTTTGCGAGCTCCTTCGCGTACGCTTGGGATCGATCCCACAGTCGATCCGATGAAGGCCAAGGATGGCGTTTTAGGCGAGGTTCGCGCGCTACAGCCCAACCACGAAAGTCGTCTTGAAGCTATCGAGCGATCTGAGAAGGCCCGTGCAAAGGAACTTGAGACTCGGCGCATCGGTCTGTTCCAAAAGGAACTCGGTAACTTTGTGCAAGAGGGCAAGTTGAAGAAGAGCGGTGGTGTAGAGGAGGCGGAACGACTTCGCACCGCCAAGGATGATCGGATTCGAAAGGAAGTCTGGGACAGGCAGCAGGCTCGCAACGCTGAGATGGAGAAGGCAGAGGCCGAAGCCGCTGCAGCAGCGGCGGCGGCCACCATCCCGGACGAAGAAACCCCCAGCGCAGAGACGGACTCTAGTGAGCAAGCGCCAGAGGAAGATACTAAAGATGAGTCCCTCCCGAGTGACAATGATACCCCAGGAAGTGAGGAGGTGAACCCCGATGAGTCCACAGAGCCTGAGCACGCACCTGAACACGCACCCGAGCCCGATTCTATCTAAGCAGGCTGTTTGGACTTGAATCTCTTTATTTCCCTTTGTACGCTTGTTCTCGCCATACATTTAGTCATGAAGGGTTTGATGTTTTTGCCATTTTTTTGTTTTCCGATTATACCTGTGGCGTGTTTTCTATACCATGTGTTCTTGCATTGCCTGTCATTTACTGACGATACCCTGCCGCGTCCTGTGGTCCGTTTCCCTTGTTCATTCACGAAGCATGGAGTTGGTGCCCAGGTAGTTTATTTCAATTGTGGAGCATATGAGTGTATCTTTAAGTAATTCATGTCTCAAATTCTTACATGCACCTACCTTTTTCCCACTAGCTTTGAAGGCCCCCAAACAACTATTCGAACCCAACCATCACCCACGCTGGGGGGGGGAGAAGTGAGTCTCCCTCCCAAATATAATGTCAGTAGTGCGACATTACTACTAGAAATCAAAGATGAATATGGCATAAGCCGATTGTTTCACTACGCATGTAACTTGAAAGTACTAGATACTAGAGACACGAACAGTCAAACAGTCAAACAGGAAGACTGTGCCTATACCAATGGCAAGTGAAGCCAATCTCCTCGGGCTCGCCTAAAGGAATGGGTTTGTAAAGGTCTCCAGGTGTCAAGTGTACCGTGTGCACTCGTACGATTGAGTAGATTGCCTATAACGATTGGAGAATCCAAGAGCAGTCTCTGGTGTCTTCTGGAGCGGTGATTTGGCGGATATTGCTGACAACTTACATCTCCCACAGGCCCAATCAAAGGCGCGGGTGCCTAAGCCATCCTTGTACGACGCCATGCATTTGTCTTATCATGAGAATCCAATCGTGAAGTGCTCACGACAAGCTTAACTTTTTAGCTTTTGATACTCGACACTGACCGTCTCGCGTCCCTCTTGTCGCCAAGAACTACCTATTCTGCTTATCCTTCCATCTTGGCCCCAGTTTAGCCTCAATGCAGCTCATACCGACATTTGCGTTGTTGCTGTTACACGCAGGATCTACCTTCTCAGCAACAGCAACCAACTACGCAAACTCCTCATTGGAAGCAACCCATGTCAGCCCAGCCTCACCATATTTTGAAGATGATATTCTGCGCCGCAACAACGAAATCGAGTCGCGACTCGCCAACGCACCTATACACGGGCTGAGGAAAATGAGTCCCGACGAAGGGGAGAAGTTCTTTCTGGATTACTGGAGTTTCGGCCCGGAGTCGCAGATTCAACACAGTGATACTTCGAATGTTGAGGACGATCTTCCGTTGGATCTATTTAGACCCAGATCATATCCCTTCCGACCCTCGTTTTCATTTGAAGCGAATTATGGGGGTCTTCTTGGCTCTAGGGACTTCAAGTGTCCCACTGGAACGCTCGCGTGTACATCCATTGAACGATCCGATCGGTGTTGCAGTACTGGGGACAGATGCGAAAAGGTCAAAGATACCGGATCGGGGGACGTGGGGTGTTGTCCCAACGGGATGACATGTACGAATTTAATAGGAGCGTGCCCGGGCAATCAGACACTTTGTTCTGAGGCTCTTGGGGGAGGGTGTTGTATTCCGGGATATGAATGTGTTGTGGGTGGCTGTAAGTATACAAAGTTGTTATTGTTTTCCGTCTTAACTGTATATATTTATATTCTGTCTTAACCAACATTGGAAGGCCAAAGTTAAGGTTGAACATTATACTGTGGTTTTACTAACAATTTTCTCACACAGGCGCATTTGTCTCGGTTGTTACAGTAACCATCCACTCGACAGTCACATTGTCTACAAAGACATATTCAACGGTCCCTCAGAGCAGCCTTTCCTCGTCGTCATCAACCAGCAATACAGCAACTACTAGCACCGATAATCTTGTGCCTCCAGCGCGACCAACGGGTATCTCAACTTCTACCCAAAAAACCACAAGTCGTGTTAGTGTCTGCCCGACGGGCTTCTACGCATGCTCGGCTGTTTACCAAGGGGGTTGCTGCCAAACAGGACGTGATTGCGATACGACATCGTGCCCTACCACGCAATCAACTACGTTCACATCAGATGGCGTGACAATTGTTGAGCCTGTGACAACCGGAAACTCCAACAGCGGGAACACGGGGAAATGTGCGACGGGTTGGTTTAGTTGCGCTGATACCGTTGGCGGCGGGTGTTGTCCATCAGGGTACACTTGTGGATCGAGTTGCACGGCTGCGGCGTCGAAGACAACGGTTGCCAAGGAACAAGCAACTGCCTCCAGCGGTGGGGTTTGCAAATTGAAAGTTCCATTTGGATGTTTATTGGGATTGCTAGGGATCAGCATGCTGGAGTGGTTGCATTAAGAGAAGGACTAAAAAGAAAAAGATATTGTACGAATGACGAAGTTGATAATGGAAATGATGATAATGACCAGTGGAAAATCGAAAACCCCACGGGGACCTGTTAGTAATACCCGGCAGTTCGTTCCTGCGGTGAAAGCTCTCCGAATTCATCACCGAATCTCGCCGACACCGGTTAACCTTCTCCGCTCGTACCTCTCTCTTTTGCTCTTTTTCTTTCCCTTGAAGATTTGTGTCCATTCGCTTGGTAAGTTTCCATTGACGTTCTATTGGAACAATTATATTCATCGATATTTCTCTTTGAATCGCCATTCTGACTGACCCTCGCAGGTTATATCTGCCCATCATGTCCGACAAGCCCCAGAAGCCCCTCCCCTTCGTCTACCAGTTCGCCGCCGGTGCGGTGGCTGGTGTGTCTGAGGTATGATTTCCCTTTAGAACCCGGGGTATACACAATTCAATTCCACTCGTAGGGTTGGATTGGATTTCCTCTCCGTGAGATCCTCGGTTGCTAATGTTGTCTCCCCGCACGAACAGATCTTGATTATGTACGATGCCCCGATCGGCCCCATCTCACGGGCGCGCAGCCACTCCCCCAACAAGGGATATATGTATTGCGCTTTCATTTACAAAGGGACTCCGAATTAACATTACGCGACTCTTAGGTACCCATTGGACGTTGTCAAGACTCGAGTGTAAGGATGCCTTTCCGATCGGAATCAGTCACCGAATGCAGCACACGACACTAACATACCCGCTTCAGTCAGCTCCAGTCCGGTACCCCCGTCGCTGGTGTCGATAACTACAATGGCATGCTTGACTGCTTCCGCAAGATCATCAAGAATGAGGGGTGAGTCTTTTTTTTTTTTTTATGATATTCAATCACAATGCTATTGTCTGTTGAGATCAAACCTAACCCGGAACGACAACTCCAGCGCCAAGACACTGTACCGTGGTATCTCCGCTCCCATCCTGATGGAGGCCCCCAAGCGTGCGACCAAGTTTGCCGCCAACGACAGCTGGGGTGCCTTCTACCGTGATCTGTTCAAGGTGGATAAGCAGACCCAGAGTCTGGCTGTTCTGACCGGTGCGACCGCTGGTGCCACCGAGTCCTTCGTCGTTGTTCCCTTCGAGCTGGTGAAGATTCGTCTGCAGGATAAGGCCTCTGCCGGCAAGTACAACGGTATGCTGGATGTCGTGAAGAAGATCGTGAAGACCGAGGGTCCTTTGGCCATGTACAACGGTCTCGAGTCAACCCTGTGGCGTCACATCCTCTGGAACGCCGGTTACTTCGGCTGTATCTTCCAGGTTCGCGCGCAGTTGCCTACCCCCGAGCCTGGCAACAAGAGCCAGCAGACCCGTAACGACCTGATCGCCGGTTCTATCGGTGGTATTGCCGGTACTATTCTCAACACCCCCATGGATGTCGTCAAGTCTCGCATCCAGAACACCACCAAGGTTGCCGGTCAGATTCCCAAGTACAACTGGGCCTGGCCTGCTCTTGGAACGGTCATGAAGGAGGAGGGTTTCAGTGCTCTGTACAAGGGCTTCACTCCTAAGGTGCTGCGTCTCGGACCCGGTGGTGGTATCTTGCTCGTCGTCTTCACCAACGTGATGGACTTCTTCCGCAAGATCCACGAGGAGTAAACACACACCGTGTCAATCTTATGAAAAAAAAAGCATACGCCTTGTTTCATTCCCGCTTGTCTATTCGCCTCCCCAGTGAAAGTTTGATCTATACACGGTCAAAATTGAACCGGTAAGAGGCATTTTGACCGACCCTGCCGCTACCATGGTTCCCATATACCCTGCTTTGCAAATTGCTCAATCTACCAGATCTATATGAACTTGGTAGACCATGTCGAGCTTGAACTATGTTGATTTTCTTGTTTGTTTACTGTACCACAAAGCAGAATAGAGCATATGACTGCCTGATGGATATAGAGAAAACCGCGATTTCGAATCAAGCACCTTTTACCTTACTTCAATGGTAGTTAACATGCATAAACAAATAAACACCCCATAGGCGATCGTCGTAAACAACAGCGCCATCACCTAGTTGAACTATGCACAATCCAATCCCTACTAGGTACCTCGCACACCCCATCTAGGCCCCCAAGATATGAATCTCCCCAGGAAAGTCTCGTGAATTCTTGCCATTCCCCTTCTTATGAAGTTCCGCGACCATCCGAAACACAAAAACACTAAGCAAGAAGGTGATAATGATAAATGTCGCCGACACCATCATGCAACAGTTCTGATTACTCTTCCTCCGCTCGCGACGCTCTTGTCGGCGATCACATTCCTCGCAGTGGAAGTGCACTGGCGCCCCGCTATTAGTGGTAAGGTGAAGTGCAGTTGCATTGACGCTGGCCGGGTTATGTTCGTGTCCCTGGTGCTCGTGCCCTTGACCATCTTGTTCGTGATGGTGATGTCCGTGATGATGGTGATGTCCCTGATGCTCGATATCGTATGGTTCCTCCGCGGTGGGGATGTGGGAGTACTACATAACATTTCATCAGTCAGAGGCTTATGAAATAAATGTATACATAGAATGTATCTGTGCATATAGATTTTCACTATGGCGCGCGCCGACTTGCGCAGTACATGACTCAAACGAGGGCGTCTTATTGAAGTTTCCGGATATCTTTATTACTTACCCCAGTAGCTTGATTTGAAGGGGGCTGCTCGTACAGATCTTCGTAAGCCGGAGCCGCCTCCTGCGCATGCGAGTCCGCGTGTGGGGTTGTATGGCCCATTATGAAAAGTGTTGGCGGAAGGAAGGAGATGGACTTAAAGATTGGAGATTAGATGGATATTCAAGTTGTGGTGGAGATGAGCGATCGCCGCTACTTGATGTACGGCGGAGTAAGATAGAATAAACTGGAAATAAAAACACAGAATGATTCTTGGGAACTTACGAGGGTCAGGATGTGGCTGAGCCAGTGATCGATTCGATGTTGCCGTTTCAGGCAACCATAATGAGTTGTTATTTCTGATTGGGTGGGGGCTCAGACCCTGTAAGTCAGACATTGGGGGCAAATCCTTGCGTCGGATCGTATAGAAAAAGGATAAAAGACCACATGTGCAAGTAAAATCATGAAGAAAAAAATAAAATAAAGTATGTTATGTACTCGTAGTTTTTAGAGTATGTACAGGCATATAACCACACATCGTATAAGAGAAACTCTCGTAATCATCTGTATCATGTATATCCGTAGTATCTATGCAGAAATAAGAGTCGCGTTCACATTCGAACGGAAATCACGACTACTAAATCCAGCTTTGAAAGTGAATTTTCCAGCAGGAATGCGCCAGTCCTGTGCCACAACGTCCCAATAACTAAGATCTCTACGCATCAACTCAAAAGTCACAGTCTTCTTCTGACCAGCCCTCAGCCAAACCTTATCAAATCCACGCAGCTGGCTCGGTGGAGTCCCAGCCGGCGTCGAGGAGGGATACTCAACATACAGCTGCGGCACGGTATATCCGCCCACATCACCGGTGTTGGAAACCTCAGCTTGAAGCGTGTACACAGTATCCCAGAGAGCCGGGTTTCCGCCGGGCTGGACAGGGCGCTGCTCAGGGAGGGCAGTGAGATTGCGCATCGCCTTGCTCTTGGCCTTGAGATTTTGCAGCTCGAACGTGGTGTAGCTGAGGCCGAAGCCGAACTCGTAGCGCACGGGGATATCGTGCGCGTCAAAGAAGCGGTAGCCCACCTCGAGTTCCTCGTTGAACCAGCTCTGCCAGTCGTATGTGCCGTTAGTCTTGACTCCCGTGGTCAGGGGGGCGTTGTAGTCGGACTCGTTGTAGGCGATTACGTAGGGCAGTTTGGCGGAGGGGTTCACGTCGCCGTAGAGGACGTCTGCGATTGCGTTTCCGGTCTCCTCGCCGGCGTAGTGCTGGGCGAGAATGGCGGTGACGTTCTCGTTGTCGGCGAATGGCATCGTGTTGATGCCGCCCGAGTTGGTGATGACGATGGTGTTGTTGCAGAACTTGGCGACGGCCTCGACGACTGCGTTTGCGTTCCAGTCCAGCTCTAGATAGCTGCGGTCTTCGCCCTCTGCGGAGTATGACTTTAGGAAGACGAGGCAGGCATCGGGGTGCTGGGGGATGGCCAGGGATGAGAGGCCGGTGTCGACGATCTGGGTGTTGTTCAGGTAAGACTGGACCAAGGTACCGTCTTTGCGGGCGCGGGCTGAAATGGCTTCGAGTGGGTTGGAGAGGTAGCTGAAGCGGCAGGCGCCGGAGCTTCCTGAGTTGGCGAGGACTCCGAATTCGAAGTCTCCGAGGGTGTCTTGGCCTTGGGTCAGGGGGCCGGCGTCATTGCCTGCCACAATGAGGTTGCGAGGCTTGCGTAGGGGTAATGCGTTCTTCTCGTTTTTCAGGAGAACGGTCGAGGCAGCGCCGTGAGCACGGATCAGGGCACTGTGGTTGCCGCGCACGTCACGGTTGCTTTGTCCCGTGAATTTCCAGTCATAAAGCCAGGTGTCTGGGGCAGAATCCACGTTCAGCGGACCGACGGAGGCGTCCACACTTGGATAGTTTCGGTCTTGGTTAAGCCAGAAGTAGGGTGTCATGATGCGGACGATCATGTCATCCATGCGATCCATAGAAACAGTGCCGTTGGTCAGCGCCTCGGTGAGGTTCTTTCCAAAGTATGATCCCTCAGTCCACATCTCACCGTAGAGAGTGAAACCACCGGGCATAGTCATATCCATACCACTTTCAATAGACGCGACTCCGCTGTGCGTAGCACCCCAGTCAGACATGACATAACCCTGGAACCCAAGCTCGGTCTTCAAGAGATGGTTGAGAACATAAGAGTTTTGGCAAGAATGAGAGCCGTTAACACGATTGTAAGAGCACATGGCGCTAGCAACACGAGCACGCACGGCATTGGCGAACGGCCACATGTAGATCTCATGCATAGTTCTATCATCAAGGTTCGAAGAAACCGAGTCCTGGATGTAGGTCGTGGCATTGGCGTCGGGGGCGTATGTTGGGTTTCGTTGAGTCTCCTGCTCATAGGCAATGAAGTGCTTTGCGTTGGCTTGGACACCGGCATCTTGCATGCCATTGATGGTCTCTTCCATGCAAACACCGGTGAGGTAAGGGTCTGCGGCAAAGCCCTCCCAAGTACGACCATTGTAGGGACTGCGGCCCAATGGTCCACCGATGGGACCCAGAATGACGTGGGAACCCTTGCCCTTGTGCTCTTCCGCTAGAGCGTTACCTCTCTCATATAGTAGCTTCCGATCCCAGCTTGCAGCTGCGGAGACACCACTCACGAAGACACTGGAGTAACTGCCTTCTTCGACGCACTGAGGTCCGTTCTGTAGGCAGAGACCACTGAAGTTCAGGCGGGGAATGGGAAGGACGTTGCCAACGCAGGGACCAGGTTGGCCGGTTGCCATCCATGCCTTTTCTTCGCTGGTGAGTTTCTTGACGAAGTTTCGCGCCTTGTGCAAAGCTGCTTCCCAGCCACCGGTGCCATTGATCTTTGCTGTATCATGTTAGCCATAAATTTGATAATTGACCACTGTTTTTGAAGTGTAGTATCACGTACGCGAAGGGAAGACAGGGGCAGAGTGGCCATCGACGCCCAGAATAGTGGTGTTCAATGGCTGAACATAGCTGAATGCGGTGCCGGGGTGGTTAATAGGAGAAGCCTGGCAGGACTCAGATCCTAAAGCTGGTATTGATAGCAGAAGCCAAGACCCAAGAAGGGTCTGTGGAGATATCATGGTGAAAAGTCGAACTCCACGGCTTTGTCTTAATAAAGCATAGCAGAATATCTGGACCAAAACCTGGGCATCATCTTACTCTTAAATACATCGGTTTGACCCTGCCCAGGTTTCTACACTCCCACCCCGGATGGCTCATTGTTCCACTTGTGGGGGTAAAGGACCCACCGCGATCCGGAGAAAGAAAAACACCTCGTGTCGAGAGACGGTTTAACTACAGTATAACCATAGATGGGTCACTTCATTTCCGGAAAGAGATCGACAGGCCAAGCCCCTGCCTTGTTTTCACTGATTTCAAACGAGCAATCGTGGGTATGCCACAGAAACCTTCATCTGCAACCCTGTGAACTCGGCATCCCGAAGCCAAGAAAACCAGGACGAAGGTTTTATTTTGATTTTCGGCAAACCGTGATGTTCTGTTCATACTGGCACTGGTACCGTGTAGCCTTCAGAACTCCCCAGACTCCGGATAATTCCAGCAAGATAAACACACGCTAATTCTGCAACTGCAGGTGGGCCGAGCCAACGATACGAGTTGTGACGATGGGGTGTTCAATGACGTTGTATAATTCCATGTTCCTGAAGTGCAAATATTCCGGCCTAACTTCGGCTAATTCCCCGATCCGTCTTCATCCTCGCGGCCCGCTAATGTACTCCGAACCTTGGAATCTCCGGTGCATGTACAACACATAGTACACACCAGCTTTTTGAGATTAGATGATCTTAAATCTTTATTTATTGACTAATGAGCATACTATGCTACTGCATGATCTTTATTCGACCTGTAGATATGAGGGGTTTTCCGGACTGCTGACAGTTCGGAAAGATGCCGAAGTTTAACCCGCAAAGGCCCTTTTCCTTTTCCCCACAACCCCACGGAGACCGGCTTTTGCTTTTTGGGCCCCGGGGTTCGGCAAACATTGAAAGGTTCCAAGCTTTGATCCCGTAATGCAACCGGTTATGCTCCGATGCTCAAACACCGCATTGGCCACATTACAAGGCCGCAAGATATGTAGCAACTTGAAAGTGCACAATTAGACACAAGTCACACAACTGACCTTGGGACAATTGCCTAGCACTTGAGTAGGCACCTAGTAGAAGATAGGTACCACCTGGGCAGATGGATACTAGTAGTCTAGATGTCGGCCGTCCAACATGTAGCCGATAATTCTCCGTGCGTACCTCAAGTGCTAAACTAATTGCTTACTCAAGTATCATACGGCGTGCTAAGTTCAATTCGGAATCTAGCGGAGTAGCGGACCGGGTAAGCGACTCCTTTTTTGACGAGGGCTACATAAACGCAAAACCTTTTTGTGGCAATGATCAACATAACGTGGGGGTGGGATGATGTATGTGGTAGATTTTCTCCGTGGTACAAAGACTTGCTTGAATTGTTTTCCCACATGTGCGCATGCACTCTACCTAAACACATTTGCATGTGTAGGGGTAAAGGGAACAACAGCGATTGATTGGTTCCAGAAGATGTCATGTGGAGAGACGAAGATAAGTTGATCAATTAGGTCTAGATATTCCCAATGTATTTTCAAGCACAAACAGCTCAAAGATGCATCGAGCACCCAGGCCTTCACAGTCGATATCAGCCACTAGATCCATTCAACCCGTAGCAGGTTATGAGCTGCACTGAATTATATGATGGCAGTCAGGGCTCAAGCCTCAGACACCTATTTCTATTATTATAGTTAGTATCTTATTAAAGTATATCAGAAGGGAATAAGTAGACTTACCATGTGCCTGCTTCTTACACATATCGAGGACTACTGCCTCGATTCCTCGGGTATGAATATGTCTCCATTCAACAGCATGGCCAGTGACCGCCTCATTTCTTCTGAACAATGCCTGGAAGGCCAGGATGTACATCTCAGCTGAATCTGCATTGACAAAGGCTCGTGCCAGAATAAAGGCTAAAATATAGTGATTAGTATATCAGTTTCAGTAGATACTAGAGAATACTCACCTTGATCCAGGCCCCTACCTCCTTTCAATGTTGTTGCGAGCACAACTTCCTCAAACTCTCCATGGACAAGTTCGAAGGTCATATCCACTTCAAAGGAATTAAGTATAGCCCATTTTGCTGCCCGTTTAGGAGTGAAGCAGTTGCACATGTGAGTCGGCGATTTGTGCCATCATTGAAGACCTCTTGGATGTATTCAATATTGAGTCTCTGGATTGGCACACTGCACAGGTGGAGGTAATCAACCTACACACGTGCATAGACCCATAGTAGCACTTGAGGTTGATGAGCCTTCATATCAAAAGCAAGGCAAAAGCACTGAATGGCGATTGATTGCAGGGTTTACCTAAAAGGTATCCATATCAACATTGAATTATGTAATCACATGTGCAAGTGATAACCTCCTTTGATTATATCAATATAGACTTACCAGTTGACCCAGTCTAGGTGCTCGGAATCACGATCGCAGTAACAGCACTGGGGGTGGAAGCCATGGAGGGTCCATACATATATCTCTGTATATGTATAAGGATCACGCCCCAAGACCAGAAGCAGTCCAAATATCGATATCCAGTAGTCGATCATAGAACAGAGTAGGGTGGTGGTTGTCAGCGGTGGAATACAGCCGCTGCTCAGAGAAAAGAAAGAACGGAGAGAGAAAAGCAATTGGATTGGCTATGGACAATCTCTCTCGGGGGGATAAGGAGAAGAAGGGAGAAGGAAGGAAGCAAGCACTATATATACCCAGAGGGGGTCACCTGACCCCTCTCTGACAGTAGTTTGGGTAGTCATGCATGTGGCACGGAAGGCGAATCCTGGGGGGGAAAGCAGGTTAGGGTCGAACCTGAAGAGAGACACGGAGTCTGCTACTGAGGCAGGAAGAAGAAGAAGAGAAGAAGAGAACAAGCTATCTACAGGAGATGGAGTGAGAGTACGGATCACAGGACAAGTGATCAAACAGAACCAGTATAGCTAAGGGCCACTACCGGGTATAAATGTGTTGTAGATATCCATTTGAAGATATCCCAGAGTACATACTTGATAAATTCAAGATAAAGTGGACATCAAAGAAGGGATCTGGCTGAGGGATGAGTTTATATGAATATATTTCAAGGGACAGAGGAAGAAGGAATTGATGTTAAAGAGTTTAATTTTATATAATAATGATACACTTTTAGGGATGATACTAATTTGACTAAATTATACGGATCTTGTTGATACAGGAAATATTTAGTATCTTTATCAAATATTTTAAGAAATAGTAGCTTTACTGTATCATTATGTATCATGAAACCCCAAATTTCCATCATTGTTTGAAAGAGGGTGCATAGAAAAAACTTCTGGAAGCACAAGCTGTATCAATCGTTCAAGTAACAGATAAATCCATATTTATAGGCATGTGTATACTTGGCTAGTACTGAGGCTAGTCGTTGCTTGATTCTCACCTGTACACCTTCAGACTTCCAAGGGTAGTTTTTCCTTTGGCTCCTCGTGGTCGTATTCCTGAGCCTCATTCCCATGCATATGAAAAAGATACCTTGGGAAAAGTTTACTCCAATACTGCCACAGAAGAGCCGTTGCAATGGTCGTCGGGACGGCGAACACCCAATATATCCAGAGCTTGTCTGAGACAGCCCAGCCAGTGTCCCTGTCGTAGTTGAAAAACGACATACTGAATAAGGCACAAATGAATGTGGGAGGAAGGAAAGTGAGAGTCACAAATGCCAGTGTCTTCATGGTCGCGCTGTCCGAGCGCGCAGCACGACTAATCTCCACAGTAAGCCCAGCATCGTACTGAGCAACTTCGTTGAACTTGAGTTGAATCTCGTTCTGCAATCTCTTATGATTCGATATGGATCGATGCCGGATACTCTCAATATGGCTCTGGAAGAATGACAGTCGACTGGAAATGTCTTCAAAGGAGACGTCTTGAGGGGTATTCGGTGCGTACTGTTCTCTGCGTGTATGCATATACATCTCGTGTTGCCGGATGATATGGTCCACGTTTTGTACAGCCACGTCTAGTGTTTCGGTAACATGGATTGCATGGCGAGCAATGTCGTGTAGTCGCCGATAATCAGGCTTTGGTCTTTTACCCAAAGAATTCGGATTTTTTCGTTTCTCTTCCTCTCGCGCTTTCGCTTCTTTTTCGGCCTCCTTTTCAATATTCCGGACGTGATGGCGAATCTCCCACACGGCTATTTCTTGGAGGCGAGCAACTTCTTGCAAAACACCAGTGTAAATCCAGAAAGGGTCATTGAGTTGTCGTTGATCTGGATGTAGCAGGGGGTCCAACACCTTATCGGTTGGGTCAAACAGGAAAATTCCCATCTGATTTGTTGATGATAACCATCGCGTGGAAATGTTGATCTTAGACCAATAATATTCTGTCCGATCCTCGGGCACATGCTTTACCTCGAAGAATGACCAAGTATCTGGGTTGTGTTAGTATTGATTCGGTTAAACACTCAATGTTAAATTGATGATCAAAGTAACTCACTGAAACCAGTGACAGAGCCTTCATTTCGAGTAGCCTCACAGCCAAAATAACCGTTTGCATTTTTGAGATGGTCTAAGCACCATAACTTGGACATGAAAAATGTATCCACAAACTCCTCGCGATACTTCTGTTGCTCATTTTCACGATCTTTGGGTGTATGTGCAATTCTGCCAGCAATAAAATTAGTTAAATTTCTTCAGGAAGCGTTCACGAATCTAACCCCCACATACACCATAAACACCTGTGTACTCGGGGCGATGATCTTGGGTGCCTCGGTCGGGTTTTCTGTATGTAGATCCTTGATGCTGACCTCGTCTGCGGGCAGCCATTTATCGACTATAATAGATACTGTTATTTCCAAGGCACACTAGAATAGAAACCAAAGACTGGAAGAGGGCCGCTTTACCATTGTTCCACTGGACAACAGATATATTGGCATGTGTCGCACTGCTATTTCCATTCATAGTGGATACTGACCAGGGAGTTGAATATTGGAAACGGAACAAAAATTTCCAAACACTGCCTTGTGGTACTCTTCCACTGGAGCGCTTATGGCCAGAGAGTCAGCACTGGACCCAAGGTCATAAGTGTGCCTTGTCCAAGCATGGCGCTAAGGTCAGTCCTGAGCCCTGGCTCCTTGGCAGACCGACTTTTGTGTGATTGGAATCTAGATTACCCCTCAATTCTGCCATTTTCATTTGTTGGGTATTTTGACACGTCAGAGTGCGCCGGGTGTGAATGGGCATGCGGGATGCCGCATACATACGAGACGAAGCAGCGAATCAGAAGTTTCAAAAGCAGCCGCAGCTTTGGAGCGCGCGGGCATCGATTGACTTGGACGCCTCCTTGGCCCTTTGGTGGGCACCTCGGGTGCTTGTCACAGCCCCCCACCCGGGCGCCAATTGACCCGGGCGCCATGCATGCTCACTCTGGTGACAAAAGAAGATACAAAACACGAGAAAATAAAGGAAAACAAAAAGAAGAACAGGAAAAAGGGACTCCGAGTCTAAATTGGAAATTGGACGGCGGTATTTCCAATGCGTGGTTTGAAATGTTTCAAGAAGTTGAGCTCCTGAGGCCGAGACTCAGAAGGCTGCTTTACCGTTTACCTAATCTGTCACCCATTCGGACTTGAATGTGGAACAATAAAAGTTCGATCAAGTTCAAACTTCATGTGCACTGGAATCGCGTGTGATCACGCCAGCTCTTGGCTGGAGAACACTTCAATGCATTTCCCTCTTGCGAGGACAGTTGACCTCTTTTGGATTTTGCCTCTTTAGATGCAGGTCTTGGGCAGGTCAATGGTGGCCGATATGTCGCCATCCCCTTTGGACATTACAGATAAAAAAGAGGAAGACATGAAAAGTCAGGAGACTGCGCAGGGCGACGGGATAGAGTAAGTCGCAAGTCGCAAGTCGCAATCCGGCAAGACAATCCAGACGGTCAAACAATAATGAGAGCAGATGTTCTGACGAACAAAGTCGTACATGTGTCACCAAGTCAAGTATAATCAAGATAAGCTTATTTCAACGAGACCCGAGCATTAACGGTACTCATAAATAGACTCATATGACCTGCCTTTTCAGTACCGTATGAGGAGGCTAAGGAAAATACGTTGACCTCCAGAACGGTGACAGAACCGCAAAATGGAATGTTGAAGGAAGTCATGGCAACCCGCCCGGCCAATATGTATTAGCGTCCTTATTGGATCTCACAGTATCATGGGATCCAGCATGATAGAATTGCCAGTGCCTGTACATGTCGGATAGGCAGCAGTCGACACGAGCCGACATTGGAAAGTTTTGAATTCTGGTGCTTCGAAATGCTTGAGTTTTCAGACTCAGTTTCCTGGAGTGAAAAATGGAAGTTCTAAATTTTGGTGCTTTGAAGTCTTTGACTCTCTGGGGTCGGTTTCCTGGTGTAAAAGAGAGAAGAGTCGAGGGCCCAAATGCTGGTTCTTTTAAATGGTTGGGTTTCCACACTCACTTTCCTGGCATAAAAAAAGGACTACTATGATTGACTTGACGGAAGAGCATGCCATGCCCCAGACTGGCGTGATCTTTTTTGAATTATTGAATGGAGTTCCACCATAGAATCTCATCACAACAGTACTTTCAGGAGTTATTGAACAATAAAATGTCACTTAATCCCCGCACTTTCGGAGCTTGCCGAGAGGGACCGAGCTCCACATTACCACCAAGGAAGCTCACCCCAGAAAAAACGACCCCAGATCCTTCACACAACCAAAAAAAAATAGCCCACATGCACGCAAAATGTCCGAACGGGCCCTAAAACGCAGGAAACCCATGCCAGGGATGGCCCAGAATCCCGCCGTTCTCACCACCGTCCCGCTCGACAATCTATTAACCGAGATCCACCGTCTCCTTGGTCCAACATGGGCTTTACCCCCCTACGACAATCTATTACCAGACTATATAAAGCCCCCATCATCACATCTGCAGATAGAAGATCTGAATTTCCTGATCAGGAAAGGCGCCTTTGACGTTCCACAAGCAGAACTTGGACAGGAGATTTTGAAATCGTACATTCGTCATGTGCATCCGCACATGCCGTTTTTGGACCTGGACCTATTTTCAAATGCCATCTTCAATGGAAATATAAATTCTATCGCCGCATCTACAGCCTTTCAAGATGGTATCGAGGACGATGGGCAAGAAGCAATCAGTCTCCTCCTCTTCCAGGCCGTCATGTTCGCAGGTGCTTTCTTCGTGGACCTGAAATATCTCTACGCAGCCGGCTTTCTCTCCAGGCGGAGTGCACTGGAGACCTTATTCCAACGCGCCCGGGTAAGTTAAGAGTTAAGACACATGCATAAGACAAACACAAAAACACACTAAGACACAAACACAATGTTTGTGTACGGGGCGTGTATCAATCAATCAATACCCTGCGCTAACACGAACATGGGCATGGTTTCTAGGCCCTCCACGATTTCGACTGCGAAGAAGACGACCTCGCCATCATGCAAAGCCTTCTCCTCATGACATACTGGTACGAGAATCCAGATCGAAACAAAGACGGCAGACACTGGATCAATGTCTGCGTCTCCCTCGCCTACAAAGTGGGCTTATACCCGGATGCGTCGGATGAGACTGCCGAGGGGCGATTCAAAAATCTCCTTTGGTGGAGTATGTTTACTCGCGACAGATTAATCGCCCTGCCTCTGCAAGAGGCACCACTTATCAAAAACGAAGTATACCTCTCCATGCCGGTCCCCACGGCCGCAGACCTGGGCATATTCCCCCCGCGGCCTCGAAGCAGGAACTCCAGATCCAAATCCAAATCCAAATCCAAACCCAAATCTACCGGATCGGGCGACGACAGCGATTCAGATCTTGACTACGACTACGCGAGTGCCTGTTACCAGGATAACGAGAATAGCCTTGCGCTTATCTTTATCGAGAAGATCAAGCTTTGTCGCTGTATAAGGGACGACATGTTCTCGTGGGATCTGCAAAGGCTGTCCTCGTCAAACCCAAGCACAGATAAATTCAAATCACGCAGAAGAACAAGTCTGGCTTTATCAAAGCTGGACTTGGACGACTGGCTCGCGGGCCTACCACCCAAAATTGCATTCCGACCAAAACCCTTCCTCGCACCCACCGACGCGGACGTGATATTCCACGTCCACTGCGCCTGGCTACAAATGGTGTATTGCGAGATTCACAGCACGCTCCATCGACAATTGGAGTTCTTCGCTGAGCACGATGAGACGCCACGTTCTCCACAACAGCAAAAACAGCAGCAACTCTCCTCAAGTCCTGTCCTCCTCGGCGCGGCAGAAATGACAACCGTCATCCAAGATCTATGCCAAAAACATCTCATCTGCTATCTGCCCACCAGCGTCGTGCCCATGGTTCTGCGCGCGGGTATAATTCATATCCAGCAGATGTGTACGGGGGATGCGCAGGTGGAGAGTAAGGGATCGCAGGGATTGTTGCAGTGTATTCGGGCGCTGCAGCAGCTCAGCCAGGTGTATGGGTCTGCGCTTTTTCTGTCGTCGATACTCGGGGGCCAGGCGAAGGGGTCTTTGGGGTCTTCTTCTGCGATGGAGATTCTGAAGGGGTTTGATATGGATACGCTGGACCGGCTTACGTCGGGATATTCGGAATCTATAGCGTCGGCTATGGTTCGGATTACGGAGCCGTATGATGTGGATGTTATTTCTCGGATAAGGAGTAGGCGGGAGAGTATTTGTTATTGAGTGGGCATTGCATAGGGCGGCATATAAGTGGAACCTTAGAAGAGGGGAGAAGGTGAAATAAATTGAACAACGCCTTAGATGGAAGTACGGCATGATAGATGAATCAAGACTCTGATAGAGGACATAGCTATAGTCGCTATCCAGATTACCGAAACTACCAAACCCAATGCAAATATCAGAGTGGGGCAGAAGCCATGATGGGAATAAGGGGGAATATTAGGGCCAGAATAGAAGGCGGAGGAATAGTCAAGACAAACATAGCGATATCTGTAGAGAAATAGGAAAGAATCCAAATTGAAATATGGAAACTCGAACAACAGTTCAAATGTCACAGAAAATTCACGATGTAAGACTAAATAAGAAATGCAATCGGCATATGAAGAGAACATATTCAAAGGAAATCGGGGGTATCGATGGGATGATAAAAAAGAATAATAAGAAAAAAGACCAAAAAGGAATCCGCAGATCAGTCTGGAAAAAAAAAGATAAAAACCCAAAAAAGCCAAATTCAGAATCATGAAGACATGAGGGATCGAGGCTCCAGCAGTAGGTTATGAAAAGAACCCATGGCGAACATTCTCTAACCTGCGATCGTGTATGTGGCCATCATTACCCGATCCGCTAACGAATAGAAAAAGGGAATCTCAAACGCGAACACACAATAGAAATGAACCGTAAAACCGTAGCCACAGAAAATGCGTTCAAATCCCATAAACTCTCTCACTCCTTAGTACGCCGACTAATCGGGACCTCCGTTAGACGCCGTGTATGCAACATGTCAACACAATATGATCGAAATGAGGTGAATCTGCAATCTCAGTTCATCTCCATTCCATACTCGTCCTCCTCCTTGAAGCTCATTCCAGCATGACCAGAAGTACTCCAGTACTGAGCTTGACCTCCGTTGGTGCTGCTGGCACCGCTGTGGTAGGAGGGGCTCAGGTTAGGCGGGGTGAGTCCGTCACCACCCACCATAGCATCACCAGCGAGGTTGGTGTGCTTGGGAACCCGCAGACCGCTACCGGGACCTCGGGTGTAGCTAAAGGAAGTGGGGTCGTTGATCTCCAAGGCATCAAGGATCTCACTGCGCATGCGCTTCTCTTCCTCAGTGGGTTCAAATGGCCAAGTGCCACCAAGACTACTGATCATCTCGGCAAGTTCAGCCTCTTGTTGGTACTTCACGTGCAAGGCCCACATAAGATCGCGCATCCAGCTGACAGCTCCGTTCAAAATATCACCCTTGTTGGGCCCCTTCTCTTTCTCTTCAATGGGAAGACCCATGGTGATATTACCAGGGGTGGCGCGTCGTCCATTGCCCCCGGCCAGAAGAGAGGTGGCAGCATTACCACCTGCGCCAGCCATGGAAAGGGCACTGTTGTTCACGAGCTGTTTCCGGACCTTGTCATCTTCCAATCGGTGCTGTGGCACCAAGTGCGAGAGGTCCTGAATACGTTCGTTAATGTTGTCGCGACGGCGGCGTTCAACCAAATTGTGCGAGGCGCGCCGGCGTCGGCGCTTGGCTTCCTGTGATTCAAGATCTTGGGCACTGCCGGGCATATGGTTATCAACCTTGGCAGGGAGGGAGGCGTGCTTTCCGGACTTGAGAATTTCCGAAATACCAGCATGATGGTGTTGAGAAGGCGATGAGATCGGTGAGTCAATGTATGAGTGTGCGCTGGTCGGAGTTCCATCCCATTGGTTGGACATTGTCTTCTGGTGACGAGGCTGTAGGCCACCTGTCCGAATGGGCTGGCCGGGGAAGCTGCCAGACTCTGGAGTACCCAAGTTCAAGGATCCAAGGGCAGGGGTCTTTGGGGTCATGGGGCTCCGGCCATCCGAGGGAACACGTTCCATATTCTGCAAGCCCGGGCGGTTCTTAGCATAGTTCTGGTCAAAGGAACCGGCGTGCTGCATGTTAGGGTTTTGCTGATTCATCCGGAATTGTTCGTAGTTGAAGCTGTTCTGGACGAAAGGACTGGCCATTGGCGCGTTGTCCGGGGTATTAGAGTAGAGATGCGACATCTGACTTTGGTGGCTCATGGCGATGGCTCCTGTGGATTGATCCTGCATGTAATTCATGTCATTACGCTGGTGGCCATTTGGCGCGCTAATTTCCAAGTCCAAAAGTTCGTCGGTATCAATCCCGGAGTTTCCAAAGTTGAAGCTGGAGGACATGTTCTGCTGAGACCCGTATGAATAAGGCATAAATCCGCCTTGCTGCATGGACAGGTCCGAGGGATCCACGGCCTCGTTGGGGTTCCCAAAGTTCATGGAGTAACCGGAGTGAGACATCATGAAAGGATTGCTGTGACCGTCAGATTCGTGTTTGATGAAAAGACTTGCTTCTGCCATTTTTCCTGGATACCAAGGGTTGTGTATGAGGATTGTGGGGCAGCGCGGGGTCGGCGAAAAGTGGGAGAGAAAGTCGTCGCGCTGGTTTACTGACCCTCTCTAAATGGATGAAATTCAGACTGCACAAAAAAGGCGACTGTCACCACGATCAAATGGTGGGGATCAAAAAATCTGGAAAAAGATCGAAAATCTATTTATAAGATAAGTTAGCTTCGGATGGTTTCACCCGCAGAAAGGGGAGGGGGGGGGGGAAGGTCGGCAAATGGAGAATGCGCTTGCCTGCGTCGGCAAGGCGCGCGAACGAGGCAACTCTTTTTTGGCCACCAGACTAACAAAATTGAAATCGCGAAACCTTACCTTTTTTCAACCAGATGTTTGATGTGTAGATTGATCCGTGGAATCTTGCGGTGTCGAGGATTCCAATCCCTAAAATTGATGTGGGATGGGATGAGTCGACGGGTTCGGGGAACAAATTGTCCGGGGGGTTTGCAGATCGGAGGGTCCCCAGGCCAGATAGACCGGGGATAAAAGAGATGAAGACGGGGGGGAAGGATCAAAGGAAGATCGCAAACTATACCAGAGAGTATATCAATGAGCAAAGTTCAGAACCAAGGGAAGGGAATAATGGGCAAGGTGTTATAAGGGGAGAGATGGAACAAAGGGTAAGAGAAAAAAAGGGCGGGAAGGGGAAGTAAGTAGATAAGCGCGGGCAAAATTTTAAGAAATTAACAACAGTAAAGAAAAAGAAGGGAAAAAAGAAAAAAATAAGGCTAGACCAGAAAACGAGCAAGAGTGACAAGAGACCAAGTAATGCACTTTTCTGAGCGAATCAAAGCCTTTTTTTCTCTTCAATCTTCAATTCACAAGTAAAAAAAGCATTCGAAACAAGTAAAAAGCGGAGAGCGGGGGAACGTCAGAACAAGCGGTGGAGAGAGCGGTGTGGCAGTGGCAAGAGCACTCAACTTTGAACTTCCAGTATGTACAAGTCAAGCTGAAAACGCTCGGATTGCACCAAATACGAAGCACACGTCATCTCACTCGTTTGGAATGGGGAATGAAATGGGAAAGAAATGGAAAAAGAAAATCCACTAGAAAGCACATGTCCTTACCAGATCAACCAGAAACTCTGGGGAGATGAAGTATCTCAAGTTGATGATATCGATGTCGATGCCTGCGGGTAAAAGAGGTTAGTATACAGGTATAAGGGAAAGAGTCATATATAAAGCAGACAAAGATCAAGGGATGAAAGAGAAAGAGACAGAGAAAGAGAAAAGACAGAGCCTCCATGTCGATAACCGCCTACACGTGGCTGGATCCATGGCCCACTGGGCAAGGTACACCCCATAGGCTGGAACCAGGTGAGGTACTAAGGCACCCAAGGGGGCAGGCAACAATGCAGGAACGATTGGGGGAACACCAAGACATATCCAAAGAGATCACCCCTCCTAAACCCAACAAGTAAAAGGTAGAAGGCAACGTACCTGCGTTGAGACAACGGAAATAGCTCTTGATCCACTTGTAGGGCTTTGCGAATCATGAGGCGCTTGAAATGGGTCGTAGAATACGAGAAGCCAGTGATGGAGTGACAACGCAGCAGCCGTAGATGCAGAAAGGAAAAGCACTTGCAGAAAGATCGAGGAAATGGACACTTTAAGAACTCGAGCCCCTCGACTTCTCATTTGATATCATTACAACATCGGTCATGCAGCCCGTCGATCGGTGGGAATCGATGAGGCTTGCCGGCGTCGGCTTCGGACATACAGTACCCTGCTTTTTTACTTCTTTTTTTTTTTTAACTCTTTGGTGTTTTGCGTCTATTGAGTATTTTTTTTCTGTTTTCTGTTTTCTTTTTTCTTTTTCTTTTTTATAAAATCATATTTATCCATTTTAGATTTCAGAATTACTGTTTCTGTACAAAAAGGTGTGGGAGGTAAAATAAAATAAAAAGGTGGAGGGGGTGTGCATGAAGGGTGGCAACAAGTAAACCCCCGAGCCTCTTGTTTTTTATCGTGGTATTTGGGTATTTTAGGGTGGATGAATATGATGGTAGATCTAATCTAGGGCATCTTCGTGAATAAAAGGGAAAAAAAAAGAAGGAAACTGGGACGAAGGGGGGAAGGGTGATACAGCCGGATGGAGTCAACGGCGTCTATCCCATGATGCCGTAGGTGTTTGTCACCTGTATTGGCGTCATGACTCAGAAAAACAAAAATCAAATCAAATAACATAAACATTTGAAAATAAAAACAAAAATTATAAATAACGTTAGACCTTGATTGCACGGGGAAAGAATGTATCAGATGAACATGGGTTACAGAAAAGACTGTAAGTTTGGGACGAAACACCTGAGCCAGTGAGGTCTGAAGGAAAGCCTAATCTATCAAAGATGTGCATTAGTGTCCCCGAAGTATAGAAGACGAAGGGAGGGGGTAACAGGTGGGGGAGTAGAGATCCCCCAATGAGACCATGTGGGTATGGTAAGAGGACGATCTCCATGCAGAAAAGTGTTGCTAAAACCATATCAAACCAAAAGAATAAATTCCATTTTTGGCATCCCTCAAGGAAGGAGTGCCGGAGATCAACAAAGTTTGAACAAGAGATGTACCGGAGAATATAAACCGTAGACCAGAATCTAGGTCAAATGGCACAAAAGCGCAAAAGCGCAAAAAACAACAGCATAAAAAACACAAGTCAAAAGGTGTCCAGAGCGTCGGATCTCACCTTCGTCATTTCAAGTAAGCCCCGTCAACTCTATCCGATGAGTGTGTGCAGGATAAGATGTCGTGCAGACCAGTGACGATCATATTGGGGCGATGATCGGAGCATGGACCGTGCTCTTTCTCTCCGCGAAGCCCCGAGCCTTGAATGCTTTTTCTTTCAGTAGCTTTTTTTCTTTTTCTTTTTGGTTTTTTCCTTTTTTTTAGTGAGCGGTCCGTGTGTCCAGGCTCCAGCGCAAGCCGATAACAGTTCTGTGGCCTGCCGGTGTGGTATTGGCGTACGCGCACTTCGTCGAGGCACGATCTCCAGAATGTGGCGGCAGCAAACGATTGGAGGGGTTGGAATGTGTCTGAGTTGGCCGACCAATGATTGGAAGTAAAGGGCCACCCTCATGGGTCGAACCTGTTTTAGTCCCCTCTTTTGGGAGACTGAGCCACATCGCGAAACTTTTCCATGCGCATCATAGGAATGTGTCTAAGCCACCCCGGGGAGAAGAAAGAAAAAAGAGGGAAAAAGAAAAAGAAATGAGAAATCGAAACTACACGATCATCGCTTAAGTCTTGTATCGTTAGCACGGGTCGATCTCCGCGGTGATGCACGGATGGGAAGGGAAATCAAAATGGGGTCGTGGATCTTCCTACTACGTCCCGTCCCGTCAAGGTTCGGAGGGTATCGCCGAGTATCCACGGTTGATGCAAGGAGACAACTACTTCTTACTTGAGAGATGAGGTTTACGGAGCTGAAATCGGATATACCTCGCACTTGATTCGAATGTGCTATCTTTTGTCTATCTCGCATAATTATCTTCTCCTACATTAGGATGTATACAGGGCACAGGGCCCTGACATGACGTCGCTAACGGCCCATGCCGCACCGATTCATGCATGAATGCATTCATACCATTCATGCACGTCGGGCATAATACGGAGGAATTATGATGAAACTTGGATCGAGCATGCAGAGGAGTCAAAGGAGAAACAAGCACAGAGATAAAGAGAAAAATAGAATAGGAAAGACTTGGAAATTCCACAGAAGCAAAGAGGACAAAACGGAAAGGAATGTTAGAAGCTAGTGGACGCCAATGTTACCCAAGGCCGTCCAGGATTCTAGGGCAATATTTCCATTCGGCTCTCGGATAATTCCATCTTGTCGTACATACGGATAGCGACGTTGATTATAAAAAAAAATAAAAATAAAAAAAAAGGGTATGCAACCTCATATTACCCATTGGAAAGGGAGCGCTTCCGATACGACTACACAAGTGCGGGATGGAGCCGCTCTATAAAGCGCACTAAGCTATACCTAGATAGATGGATTTCTGCAGACTAAATACTAATATAGTGCTCAGTACCCCATGGCCTACGAAATCACTGCGATCGCCTACAGGGTGTGCACCAACCAGAGAAGGATCGACAAAGATGATAGTCTGGGAGACATTATGGGAAGTTTAATATAGCAACTGGGTCATTAAAAATGAAATACTAAATACGTACTAAATATTATAGAATAATACTAAATACCAAATAAAAGGACTGTACTGTATGTATTCAATGTCTAATGCTACCGTATGAAATATGGACTATGTTATCTCTCCACATGTATGCGCATGCTTTTATTGTTCTACTCGATGTTATTCGATGATCACATTAACATTTTGAACGGAAATCCGGTTATGGCATACCGGATCACCTCAAATATTTTTCTTTTTTTTTCTTTTTTTTTCGAGAATATTGAGCTTGTTTTGGATAATGTAGATACAGAAACACTAGTCCTATTCAAAGTTTTCTTTACTCTTTTTTTTTTGCTTTTTTATAATAATTTTTTTATAATTTTGTATTTTCTATATACAAAGTAGTCCAAAATAAGTGGAAATCAATAACAAGTGGAGAGGAACTTGCGGAGTCCATGGCCCGTGCCCTGGGGGTCAGTGACCTCGGATCTTTCCAACTTTCCTTTCCCCCCCCCCCTTCCACACCCCCATTATCTTCCCCAAGGTATGTACCATCTATACGCACTAATGAACCCTAGCTCCGAAACATGTCCATCATCTGACAGCTTCTTCCTCAGCGCCGATCTGGGCTGGTCGCATCGGTAGCTCTACGCCATAACGTCATTCGGCTTGATCGACCTTCGACTCTCTCCCCTCTCTCGAATACAAGCGCTTCCTGAACCAATCATCACTCGGCTCCCTCGTCTTCATTGACTTCCCCCTCAGAATCGATTCGTATTCCGGAAAGGTCCAACGTCTCTCCGCTTGGCGAATCCGCCTTGACGTTACTCTTCAAATCCCGCCTGTGCCGCCTGGGATTAACTCCACTCGCATCTTTTTACCCCTCGTTTGTCCCTCACTAAAAAAGGGCAGCGATAGTGTGGAACAGCTAGCGGTCTGGTCCGTATCAAAAGTCTCAAGGCAAGAATCCACTATTTGGAAGCGTGTGTGTGGATCACCCGTAAGGTTTTTGATCGCCTTGCCTCCATTCTCGAGCGGTGTCCCACACCTCCAATCGGTGACCGTTGTCGTCATCCTGTAGGGCTCGATTGAACTCTTCATCACAGTCACAGCCGTGCTTGATACAAGTCGGGACCGTAGTCAAGTTGGGAAGCCGAATCCGCGTTCGGCGTGGGCGTCATCTGCTCCCTCCGTTGGCTTGCTCTAGTCTCCACACTCCAGCCAATCCTTTGCGATCAGCTCATCATCCGGCGCAGATCATCTGCACTCCATCTTGCATAGTCCCTGCAGACGTTTTTCTACTGTGAATTCTTTGGGCCACGGGCCTTGTCTGCAGACGCGGCCGTGCACGGTTCGTATTTTGCCTTTCAATTGGGACGTCTTTCCCTCTCTTCCATTCCAGCTAGATACTACTAGCCGGTACTCGTCATGGCGACCAACACCTTCCGCGACTCTGTCAACTCGTTAGGCTGGTCGCGCAGAGACCCGGATTTCCCCGTCCGCACTAATGCCTCCTCTGAGACCCCGTTTCTTTCGCGCCTGCAATCTATGAACCCGTTCGGTCAGGGTGGCTATGTTCAACTACCCACTCACAATGAGGCCCCAGGCGCGCCTTTGCCAGCACCCAATCGCCGTGAAGAGGAAGAGGGTTTCTTCGCATGTAAGTTGCTTTGCTTTTTTCAAAAAATGCATTTTCCTCTTTTTCCTCGCCCTTTTTCCTATTTCGTTTTCTTTTTGTTTTCTCATGATTCTGCTCTATCCCGTGATCCATATCTACGATCATCCTGTTTTTGGTTGCTGCCTTGATCCAGGTGACGAAAATGCAGTTCCTGCGCCGGGAAGACTTATCATGGCTATGCTTGTCTATGTGGTTGTGATCCGAGGGGACTTTCTGAAAATACGCTAACGAACGGTATCTGCTAGTGAGCCGATGGGATCGGATGCTCATATTTGGCGCTTGTAATTTGGGCGCCGCCGTTTGCTTCATGATCTGCTTCTTCCTGTTTCCAGTTTTGACGCTCAAGCCCCGCAAATTCGCTGTTTTGTAAGTTGCTTCACCTACCACTGCTATTCCCTTCTGCAGCTTGCGTTCTCAGCCCCACCCACCCTTCCACATGCTGTTCAGCTCGTCTACGGGTTTTGATCCAGCCACCCAAACCCCGAACTACCATGATCCTGGTCATGAGCGGGCTGGGGGGCTCGGACCATGTACCAAAATTATGGCCGGACAAGCCTTGTTTTATTCGTTGACTTCCCCAAAGTCCTGCGCCTCATGCCAAGAATTTAGAAAGCAAGACTGCCCTGGAATATCTCCATGCTAACAAGATGCCTTTCTCTATAGATGGTCTGTCGGTTCAGTTCTGTTTCTGCTATCATGGGCAGTCCTCATGGGACCCTGGTCTTACGCTAGACATTTGGTCTCGGGACCACGGCTGCCATTCACAGCGGCCTATTTTGGATCGATCGGATTAACACTGTACTTTGCTATCGGGGTAAGTCTTTTTTTTTCTCGTTCTGGTATCATTCTTTGTCAATCATTAAATCCACACCCACACCTGCACATCTATTACGTCGCACATCAACCTGGTTGCACAATACCGGGGAAAAGGGGAATCTTGCATTCCTATGGTATATCGCAGTACTACATGACATACACAGTCACGCCGGCACGCATTTTTGCGTAGAGGGCGCAAGGCTACTGTCAACAACACCCCATATCATCGGTTTTTTGTGCAACCAGGCCACTGCGACAACAAAACCTTGCGCCACTTGAGTCTGCGCCAGACACTCAGAATACACGTCTCACTGTCCCTGGCACCGGAGTCCTGGAAATCTTGCAAGATTTCCGAACTCCCTTCCATCCCCCCAGCCCCTATTGCCCCTGTCTTTTACTTTTTGCACCTACTGTTCTTGTTACAATATCTTGAATCTGGCTGACCTTTATCTCATAGCTCCAAAACTTCTTCCTTACTCTCATCTCCTCCATCTTTCAGCTCACCGCCCTGGTTTGGTATCTGGTCAGCTACTTCCCCATGGGCACCACCGGCTTGCAGTTCATGGGTCGCTTCGGTGCGTCTCGCGTGTCTGCTTGGGTGAGCGGTTAAGATACAGTGGTCTTTATACCCCGGAGCGATCGATGGAACACTCAGCGAGGGCAAAGCCGTTGTGAACTGTTTTGCATGGACCTGCAAGCATTATCGCTCCTCCCCCTCCTTTCCTTGTATATGTAATGAAGCCAGCACTCCATGTTGCAGATAGAGATCTTGCTACTTGTCTTCACTCGCGTTCCTGTCAAATAGCTTAGGGGCATGGATAGTATACCCAGTTTATGAAAGAATTCACATTTGAATGTTTACTAGTAACATATTGATTGTACAACTCGAGCGCCATCATGCCTCCCATGCGTACTCTCCTCCAGGGCTTCCTTCGTGCGTACAGATAGACAGTCTCTTTCACCAACTTCAACTCTCGGGCGCACCGTTAACCTCTAACCCTCGCCACATGCATCTTGCCTGCTCCTCACGCCCAAAACTCATTGCAAAACCCGAAATGCGAATAATAACTCAACCCCACGCCCACAGCGACCTCCTCACAACAACCCGCTTAGGGAAATCCACCACCCCATCCATCCCAGTATATGATTCCAGCATCTCCCCTTCTGTCCCCTCCTCGAGCATATCTTCATGGCGATCATAGCCCCCTAGTTCAAAGTCCACGTACCTGGGCGTGAACTCCTCGTTCTCTCTTCGCCGCCGTTGCAAGTGGTTGTAGCACTTTGCGATCAGGTAGTGTATGATGATGCCGCAGAATAGGCCGATGGCCCATCCTTGGGAGGATTCTCGTAGGCACCTTGACATAGGGGCTTGGGGCAGGGCGGACATTGCGATGGGATCGGGGTTTGCTATCTGAGATGGTAGGTTCAATTGCTCTGTAGATGTAAACCGTCTGCTAGCGATGGGACGTTGGAATAATCAAATGCGTCCAAGGTGTTGTAGAACTGATCCTGGAGGAATGTTTTCCAAGGTCTCCATTTCAATGTTGGTGGCCGCTATGATCTAATGGGTTCAACCTTGGGATATTCAAGAGTAATGTTCATATCTGGACTCGGTGGATTAACCTTCATCCATAAGTAGATTTAAGTTCGGAGTATATAAGAGCCCTAAGAAACCAAACCAAGGTTGGAACCAACGAGGCCCGACCCATCTCCAAGCACGCAGCAACAATAGATCAAGTACTATATAGAGTATGTACATACCCACTCTATCAATCAATCAATCCTTCACATCCAAAAACTCCAATCCCTCCAAACTTCCCTTCTTCGCAAACTTCATCCCGGCAAAATAATCACTCGCCGGGCTCCAAATCTCCCGATCGCTCGCCAAAGGCAAATCCGCCAAAGCACGATTTATATAAGTGGAGTTCAACTTCATAAACCTCTCGGGCACCAACTGCCCGGCCTCCTCCTCGCTCAACCTCGGCACAACACCCAAGGCATGCCTCTGCTCAAGAACCCTCCAAAGCCGACAAATAAAGACGGAAGTAGCGTCCGCCCCCAGCGTCCACGACGCATTAGCATACCCAAACAAAAACGCCGCATTAGGCAGATCCTGAAACATCATCCCGCGCCACGTATACTTCCCATTCAACTGATACGGCACCCCATCCAGCGACAGCGCAACCCGGCCCCCAAACTCGACCTTCAACCCCGTCGCCGTAACGATCAGGTCCGCGTCTAGCTTCGAGCCGGAATCCAGCTCAATCCCACTAGCCGTGACCTGTCGTATCGTGTCGGTTTGGACGTCCGCGCGGCCCGTGTGCAGGCTCTTGAAGAAGTCGCCGTCTGGCGCGGCGCAGAGCCGCTGGGCCCACGGGTTATAGCTGGGCGTGAAGTGCGGGCTGAGCGGGATGTGGGCGGGTAGTTGGCGGGCGACGCCGCGGGTGAGGAGACGTTTTGCGGCGTTCGGGAACGACTGGCTGAAGAGGTAGAAGAGGCGGCCTAGGTGGAGGGATCTGAGGCGGGCGAGTCTGTGCTGGAGGGAGGTTGGGAGGAGCGAGGTGAGCCAGGAGCCTGTTCTATTGCGGACGGAGATGATGTAGGAGGGGCTGCGTTGGAGCATGGTGACTTTTGCTGCTTTTTGGGCGAGCGTGGGGAGGAGCGTGATGGCTGTTGCGCCGCTGCCGATTATGACGATCTTCTTGTCGGTGTAGTCGAGGTCTTGGGGCCAGAATTGGGGGTGGATGACTTGGCCGGAGAAATTGGTTAGGCCTGGGATCTGGGTTTGGAGCGGGGTTTCGAAGCTGTAGTATCCTGTTCCGAAGATGAGGAATTGTGTGGAGAGGGATGTTGGGGTGGGTTGGCCGTTCTTGGTTATGGTGAGGGACCAGGTCTTTTCGGTTGATGACCAGTCTGCGCTGAGGACCTTGTGCTGGAAACGCATGTTGTCTTTGATGCCGTGTTTTGTGGCGGCATCTTCTAGGTATTTGATGATGTCCGGGCCGCTGGCGATGGGGTTGTTTTGATACCATGGGTACCAGTCGAAACCGAAGGTGAAGAGATCTGAATCCGATCGGATTCCTGGATATTTGAAGAGATCCCAAGTGCCGCCTAGATTTTCGCGGTTGTCCAAGATGACATAGCGTAGAGATGGAAACTGCGACTGCAGTCGATATGCGACGTTGATGCCCGAGATACCGGCGCCGATGATAACCACATCATAATCAGTTTCCATGATGACTGATTCTGGAAGTTCAATGTTGTAAAACTCTGGCTAAAACAATGCAAATAGTAGTATATATCTAAATATTAGGACCGGGGGGGGCGGGGCTCGGTATTTAGCTGTCTCTAAGATATGGAGTCAAAGACTATATACCGCGGAGCGTGGCACAGGGCAAACCATTTACACCATAGGACTCGGCTGCCGGCATATAAGTTCCAAAGTTGGGATAGATCTCAATATGGCAAGGTTGATGTAAAGTATAAAAAGGAAGTAGATTCGGTGTGAGATCTTACGTGGATTTTGTTCTGTATCAACTCTGAGACTCCTCCAGATTCCTATTTTAGGCTTTTGGGGGCTGCACTGCATCAACTAATTCAGGTGTCTGTTGCGAGGAAATCCACCTCTCTGGTCCAATTAGAAACACGTCTGCTCCACTTTGGTCCTTTTCCGGTTACTCCGAAACCCGTTCGTCTCTATTTAATCTAAAAACGTACGAATTTCCTCATTTGGTACTTTGCTGACTTGACGTTATTGGACTCGTTAGTATACCCGGTGAGTTGGAAACACTTGCCAGTTGAACATTGCCAGTTGGTTGAACTTCTCTGATGACATAGCTGTGCTGCCTGTGCATGCGGCATATTCCAACTCGGGAAATTGCGATGTTGGAATAGTACATATTCGAGTAGCAGAAATCAAGGTTAGTACCTACATAATTGATCTCGGGCCGAAATGTGAAAAAAAGCCAACGAACACCTGCAGTGTCAATAAATGAGGTCATGAAGCGAAGGCTAGAGGCTTGGGGGATCATATCCATGGATACTACATTTAGTATGCATGGGCGCTTACGCGCCCACTGGTACTTTCTTTGTTCAAATGTTCTCCGATGTCTCCAGATGTCTTGTTCTTCTTTCTTTCTCTCCCTAGTCTTAGTTGTCTCATTAAATGGACTCCTTCGTCGTGGATCGACTTGCCATCTTAGCAATTTCCTTACCACCACTTTCAGTGCTTCCCATTCTCCCCTCGTAAACTCAGTCGATAATAACTTTATGTGAAAACATTTCACCAAGAGATTCCGTTCTTTTTGTGTATTTATTTTGAAATTTTGTAAATCTATTTAGCAAGATATCCAGGATAGCAAAACTAGGTTTGTCTATCTTAAGCTTGGGAAATTGAAGAAGGGCCAGACGTGCTTTGACCCAGGAAGCCATCAAACCTCGGGCAGTCGGGCTAGTGTCGAGTCCTTTCCAGCACAAAAATGGAAGTTCTTGGAGTGCGTCCCACATATTATGTACAACACTTTTATCAACTTGTTTAGAGAAAGACAATCAAGACACTGGGGGGATTTTTTTAAGTCTCTTATCAAGTATGGAGGGCCTAGGCTAGTAGGCTAGTAAGCTTGTGGCTAGAGATCGGCCCGGGCCCCGGATGAACTCCATCTATAGCAAATTCTCCGACTCTACGACCGAGGGAACGAACACTTGACAAAACCTTATTGCGAGCACGAATCCATGAATTTGATTACCGATTGACTCCGACATTTCGCACGTGGCTCAGGTTCATAGCTAAGATCTAAATTTGCCTCTTTCTCTCCTGGAGGGAAACGGGGAAATTGAAGAGCCGTCGGGACGGGAAGAAAAAGTCACCTCATCCCGATATTTCACAAGCCGAGGTCGGGATCAACGTGATTGTCGGCATGAATATGGTGATGATAAGCAACTATAAACCAACACTAAACTACTCTAAGCTTGACATGCAACACATTCACATGCGATTCTAGTGATCGTCTCTTATTTATTCAAGTTCAAGCTCACATGTTTTGAGCCGCGTCCCCTATTTCTCCCCTCACATTCCAACTCACAACATTTGACCACTCATCACCAACTTCCATTGATCCCAAAAATGGGTCTTGAAATCCCCGGGTCGATGAAAGCCCTGGTGGGCAACCGCTCAATCATCACTCGCATGTCAAACTATGCATGTGGAAGCTCATACGGCGACGGCGTGAAGATCGCCACCGTCCCCGTCCCCAAGATAGCAGAGGACGAAATCCTCGTCCAAGTGCGAAGTGTCGCTCTCAATCCCACCGACTTCAAGCACGTCGATATCCTGGCACCCCGCGGCGCGATCATCGGCTGCGACTACGCCGGCACCGTCGCCAAGGTCGGAGCCAAGATGACCGAGTCCTGGGCGGTCGGTGACAGGGTCGCCGGATCAACGCACGGAGGCCTGTATACCGACCGTGGCTCTTTCGCAGAGTACTTCAAGATCCCGGGCCATTTGGCCTGGAAAGTCCCATCGTCCCTGAGCGACGAAGAGGCAGCTACATTCGGCGTGTCGGCCGTCACCGCCATGTTAGCCTTGAACACTCGGCTCGGCGTGCCCTGGGCAGACGGAGGCGAGGACAAGGGTCGGTCAAGGACGCCGATCCTGATCTATTCCGGCGCAACCTCCGCTGGTCTTTATGCTATTCAATTGGCCAAGCTGGCAGGATTGAAAGTGGTGGCTACTGCTTCTCCGAAATCGCATGACCTGGTGAAGGAGTATGGGGCCGATGATGTCTTTGATTATCGGTCACCGACGGCCGTTGAAGAAATCATTCGTGCCTATCCTACCATTGACCGCGCAATGGACTGTTTTTCCGAGGGCGAGTCCACCGCGTTTTGTGCAGATGTCGTGCGCAAAAATAGGGGGTGGGTGGTTACGCTTTTGGACTCGGGGAGAACGGATTGGGATGGTGTCAAGATCGACTTTTTGCTTGCTTACACGGCTTTCGGTGCGGAGTTCCAGTGGCTTGCTCCTTTTGGGCCTAAATTTGGCAAGGTTCCCGCGGATATGGAAGCGTTGCGCAGGTTTTATGCATCGTTGCAGGGGATTTCTAAGATTCTCAGGCCGCCACCTCTTCAAACTGTTCATGGGGGTTTGGAGGGATTGTGTTCAGGGCTTGACTTGTTGCGGCAAAGGAAGGTTTCAGGTACTAAATTGGTTGCGCGTTTGGTTTGAATGGGCGGTTTCATTTCTGGGGATTTGGAGGATCTGGGATTTCCGGAAACCAGTGCCGATTATGTTATTTAATAGAAGATTAATGATGAAATATGATAATTCTTGATGTTTAGATTTTTTTGGAGTTTTGGTGCTTTTGACAAAAGTCCTCAGGGTGTTATAATAAAAGCAACACAGTTGAGTAATGGTATCAAGGGGGGGAAAGATATAAAGATTCATCTCAGCCAAATTCATTAGTTCACCGGCCACGCATCATAACCAATCCAACAGTTCCATCGATAACCTCAACCCCCTTAACCTCGGCCTCATAGATACCAGTATTACCACCGGAGCCTTCCTTCAACCAACGCTGAAGAAGGTCATTGCTCTCCTTCGGCTTGATATCAGGCGAAGCAGTGCCAATAGTGATGTGAGGAATGGCATTTGCGCATGGGAGATCAGGTGTTTCCTTCTCGTCCGAGCTTTGCACATCTGCTGTCAGGATACGGACCACAAATGCCATGACACGATTATCCCAAACAAGACGCTCGAGGCGAACGCGTGCAGCACCGAGAGTCGGGGGTTTCTGGATAGGGTTGGGTACTGGATAGGCAGTTAAAGTGTCAACGTATTGCGTCGAGTAGTGGGACCAAATATCGGAGCGGGCCTCGCTCAAAGCACGGTGGATGAGAGTGACATGGCAGGTAGGCTGGATGCGGCGCTGGTTCACAAGCTGGTGGTACATCCGGGAAGCATCCGCAGGCACATCAGCGGCGAAGAGGGAGTGGAAAACAGAAAAGACATCTTTGGGGTTAACGGAGATTTGGAAGAATTCGATTTTGCGAGCTAGAATCGCGGGAGCAATTTCAGCTGGTGGCTCATGGTGCGATTCCTTGGCATGGTGCGATTCCTTGGCTTTCTTGGTATTGTCTTTCTTGTTTTGATCTTTGTAAGACCAACTCAGGTCCTTCTGGACCTTGTATTCAGTCATGGCAGCGTCAATGGCAGCGTCTAAATCGTGCTGGGTGGGCAAGGTGGGCATAATTTTGGGGTATGCAACATGTAGGGCAGCCACGACCGTCTCGAGGTTATCTCTCGAAGAGGCACACACGTCCAAGTCAATTACAAGATTGAAATGCTCGTCTGGGGCTCTGGTAGCGTCAACACCCTGGAATCGGTGTAAGAATCCATCCATAATCCCGATGGTCTCATCCTGGTTCTTCGTGCCGGCCCGAATGGTCTGGTGGTTGTCACCACGTTCCAATACCCGCTTTCGGGTAACTTCTTTGATGGCGGGTAGAAGTTCATTTTTCGGCTCGTGAACATAATGGAGTGCGACGAATTGGGCGGTAGGGATGACAGGGAAAATATCCTCAAACAACTGCTGCCGCTCGCGCGCCTGGTGGTTGTTGCGGTCAGCGATCACCACTGGCGCCGTTGCCATCGCTTTTGTGAGTTCGAATGCGAACTTCTTGGGCTTGTTCTTTTGCTTGGGAATGTCATCGTTTTGGATGTGACCCCAACCAAAGAGATGAACTAGAGCCAGTGCCACGGTGGTTTTACCACATCCAAGAGAAGCAATGGGAGCGATGACAACGTCACGCTCAATTTCTTCGTCCTGGTCCTTCGCCTGAGATTCCATGGCGATGATCTCAGAGCCTTTCAGACCACTCTCCCGTAGAAACTGTTCTCGTAATTCGATGATGCCGTGATTGTGGTTGAAGGCCTCTGCCCTTTTTGGATCCCTGATGAGTTCTCTTCGTGCGAAGTGGAGATACTCCTCGGTGATTTTGTGATGTTTCTTGATATTTGGAAGTTTACCTGAGATGACAGCCTTGGTGCATTCGCGCCACTGGCGGTACATGAGATAAGGCTCCTCGAACTTGTATTTGAAGAACCAGTCCTGGTAGGGACCCCGACCATTCTGGTTCTTCTTACAGCGAACGACAAAACCTTCAGTCTCCCGACCGTCCCATGTTCCGGTCTCTGCAGCTTCCTCCAGGAACCTCTTCACCTCGTCAAGCTCATCGAACTTCACGAAATTCGCCTTCTTGAACCCCCACTTGTCGGCAAATTGATGGACTTCCTCGCTGGACTTTGTGGAAAATTCAGGGAGGTTATAGTTGAGACCATGCAAGTAAAAACCAGCAGCGTCCTCATCATACGCTAGAACATGCTCTTCGAATGCATCATCACACAGCTCTCCGACAGCTGTAAGATTGTTCTCGCGCAGCTCTCGTGCGAGATCCTGTGTGGTTTTATTCACTGTCGCGACGTGTCGCTCCACCCATGCCTCACCAGCCATAGCATGGCTGATCTCAGCGTCGGGGCGATATCCAGTGGAATGCTTGCTGCACACCAACAATTTCCCATCCTCCATTCCAGATATGAAAATAATACATCCATTTTCTTTCACACTCAACTCATATGGGCCCCGGGTGTTGTCCTCGATATTGTTCCAGCGCGTATCGGGGGTTTCGCCAACGTTGTGAAACTTGTCGTATCCACGTACAGAAATTTCGGGAACACCGTTGCTGCGTCGGTGGGTAAAAAGACCACGGGCATATGTAGGGAGGTCGGTTCGCTTGTAGTCCCAATCCATAAACTTCCAAGAGTCGACCGTCACGTTCTCGGTTCCACGGACTGAGAAAGTTGTCTTTTTGCAATTGTACTTTCGCTTCTTCTCTGCCATGCCCATCTTTCGAGCATCCTCTAAGCTTTTCACAAGCTGAGCGACGACATGAGGATCTTGCGCCATGGCTGCGGTGTCGGAAAAAAACCTCCTGATGTGATTCGGTAGCTGCGGTGTGAATGGGAATACTAGGCTATGGAGGGGCACTCGAGGAGTCGAGGTGGGGTGGAGGCGCGGAGGTGTGGAAGCGAATGCAAGAACAGAAGGATCGGGCACAAAGGAATGTATTTATGACAATTCTGCCAGGTGCTGCCTATTTGGTTGTCGGCTCTATTCGCTCAATTAGACAATGAATACGCGCGAGGCCAACTTTTAAGAGTCATAAGGCTGTGCGTCACTCTTGCGGGGAACCAAATAGGAAAAGGCGGACAAATCTTATCGGGATTTTTTTTTTTTTTTTGCCCGCGAAATTCCCCCCCCAACTTTAACATCATTGAGACCTAAACAAAGTCTTTCCTTGGCTTTGATTGACAAATACCTTGGAATATTTAATCCAATCTTGACTCATTCTCCCCACAATCATGGCCCAGCCAAATCCCTACCTCCTTGCTTGCGACAACCCCGCGGCACTATTGGACCTGTTGCGATCCAATCCCGCAATCGCATCCTGCCAGGATGAGTCCGGATACTCGCTTCTCCACGCAGCCGCTTCCTACGGTCACACCGATCTCCTTCGTGCGCTTGTGAAAGAGTTCAACGTCAATGTCAACCTAGTCGATGAAGATGGTGAAACATGCCTGTTCGTAACAGAGCAGCCCAAGGTTGCCCGATGCCTAATTGAGGAACTTGGCGTGGACTATAACAAGACAAACGACGAAGGCATGAAGGCATATGAGAAGATGGAATCCGAAGAAGAGAACCCTGGCGTGTCTGCCTACCTTCGCGAAGTCAGTGGTGTTCCTGCTGCCCCTGTGGCCGACTCACCTGCAGGCCCATTAAATGCCCCACAGCCCATTCCCGGCAACATGCAGGTCAATGTTGGCACTATGTCAGAGCAGGAACTCAATGATGGAGAAGCCCAGGTGGATCCTGAATTTAAGAGAAGGATTGATGAGTTGGCTGCTCGCGATGACTTCCACAGCGAGGCCACCCAAAATGAGCTACGTGAGCTAGTGATGGATGCTATTGCAAGCTCAAGCATTGAGACCAATGAGCGCGAATCCCGCCAAAGGATCGAATAGAGGGAACATGTCCTTTGAATATATCCGGCATACCTTGATTGCCCTATGATTGAGGCTACTATATCCCACGACTATACGAAATGTACTTGTCTCCAACATGAGATTTTTTGAGAGTCATCCTGATACACCTTTAATGAATACAACATTGACCAGAGTGCCAATTGCTTTTGATAGACTCCAAGTATTCGTGATGTAGTATACTGTATGTCCAATTATATAATACGAGGAGAGTAAGAAACAGAGCATGCATACTACTGGTACAATGGATGTACTCTACACAGTTATGAAGAAGGTCTTGTTGGTGACATTTTGAAATGTCCCCCTTCACACAGAAGGCGAAGAGTACATTTTTCTATGGAACAATGGGCCTGATTGTAGTACGAGGCAGTCCCAAGTTCCAACTACTACTAGAGTCTAGTACTAATTTCACGATGTCCTCACGTGACCTGTTTAGAAAGCGCCAGTCCTAAAGGAGTAAATACGACGGCCTATCCCGCCATACGATTTTATTACTCAATGTGTCCTAGTATATACAGCTTGAGCCTTAAGCTGCCCGCTCTCCAATTCCGACCTCCGAAACCCCACATCAACGTTAACAGTCTCGGACACTCACTATACATCATGTCTCAAACACCGTCACCCTTTCCTACACAACCATCTTATTACTCAGCCCCAACAATGACGAATCCCATAAATGCCGACACACCTCCTCCGCCGCCCCCAAAACCCAGCAGTCACGAAGCAAGCCGAGGAGGCACCCCTCAAAACATGTCTTCCCTACCAACGCCTCAACAACCAAGATCCTATGGCTATTCTCCAGATACTCAGGTCACAGGATCCCAACAACCGACATATCTTCAAACCACCCCTCTCCCTGCTCCACCAACGATTGAAGAGGGTTGGCTCCCAGAATTAGTCAAAGCGAAATCGTAAGCTACCTCAGCTCCTCGAACCACAACCACAGGCTAACAAACACAGAACCCTGGATCTCCAAACTATTCTCAAGGACCCAAACCTCATATCTGCGCTCTCAAGCCACCACCCCTCCCACACAGCGCGCCAACAGAACCTCGAATTCCTCCTACAAGTAAATCAGGAGCTTGCAAACCGCGTGCTTGAAACCCAAAAACATGTCGCCGAGCTTCGCGCCTCCACCGAAACCATGCTCCTTCAGCACCAGTCGCTTGAAGTCTCCTGGCGCAAAAAGCAAACGGAAATGGATGCCGCTCTAGCGCCGTGGTCGCCTAAAGCATTGTATCAGCGATTAAGTGCGGCCATCGCGGAGCAGGAGGCTGTTTGTCAAGCCGTGGAGGAGAGTTTCTTGGACGAGGATCACCACGGCCGTGCCACGGAGAAGGAGATTGCAGATTGGGTGCGACGAGTGAGAGTGGAAGCATCCAAGTTGGCATCGAGAAAAGAGGCCAAGGCGCGATGGGATGAGGGGAGAGTTGGAGGCTGGCGTTAATGTGGAGAAAGCTCCCCTTTCAATGATTTATCTTGGATAGACCTACAACTCGGCTATTCATTGCATTTATGATACCATGACGTCTACGAATCTATGAACGTGATCTCTGAAGAGTCTGAATTTGAGCCTTCGGGCTCGTACTATATACACCTTTTTCTCTCGTATAACAAGCGCATAACGTCCAGCGTGCAAGCCAAAACATTCTGATTTTTAAGTCTGCGTTTCCCGTTGCCGAGCTCGCTGGCTCCTCCCCAGGATTACGGTGCTCAAATCACCCACTGGGAGTGCAAAGGGGAAATCAACGGCCTCCAGGATCTGTGCAATGAAGATATGCCAGATAGGGATACAAAGCGCAAAATTGAAGGCACCCGCAGTCTAAACAGAAAGAGATTGTGAGTATGGCATTTATAATCAGGAGACTCACTCCATTGAGTCATTGACATACCATTTGTAACTTTGCCGCAGCAGCCGCATTTCCCAAGGCCATTTGGAAGTATGTGGCTGCGGTCAAGGAAAACGTGATGACGAGAAGGAACAAGGCGAGAAAGAGGCACACATTTGTGCGAATCGAACAGATCAAGTAAACGAATGTGAGGAGGCTCAGAATGACATAGTATAGACCTGAAATCATGATCATATTCAGTTAGTAATGTTTCCCTGCAAATGAATTGTGCCAAGCATTGTAACGTACCGACAGTAGCTACAAACTCCGGCGTTTTAGAACCCTCAAGTGTGTTACCGGTAGTCGAGTAGTTGGTGCCTACCCCGAAGAAGGGCATCAGAGTTGTGCCTTGGACAATCCAGAAGGTACCGTATGTGAAGAAGAGAGCGCAAGAGAACGTGTTTCCAATAATCCACTCTCCAATTCCACCGAAAATCTGGACCATTCCACCAAAGAAAATAAAAACGGGCCTATTGAAGGGTCAATCCTTGTCAGCACCTTATTTCTCTTGCTGCACGTGTTCCAACTTAACCCAATGGAAACTCACAATATAGCACCACCGGAGCCACCAGAGCCTCGCCAGCCCATTGTCTCCATCGCAGCTGGAGTCGCAGCGAGCAAGAATCCCATCAAAGAGATTGGCGTCGGGTTACCAAATGTCCGACGCAAGTTTCCTGCGGCAGGCAACTTTGGACTGAGATACAATTTCTCAAAGGCGTCGCGCGGAATAGGAAGCAAAACACTATCCGCGGTCTGATAACGACGCAGCATCTCCACCGTGGAGATATCATTCTTGTCGCTGACATTCTCGTCGGACATACTGGACTAATTGAAAGGTGGTGGCCGCAGAAAAGATTGCTAATGGAATTTTTACAAAAGCCCAACAGATAATGGGCGATCTCTCAATCATATTTATACGATGCCCACAACGACCCAGACTCCAACCCCCACCAAGGTATGATCCATATTCTCCACATCCCCAGATTCCATAAATCCATATATCCATTGGCCATGTGTCTTACCCCAGAATGACAGCGTGGACCCCGGAGTTACTCCACGAGACCCTGCGCCCAGAAGGTCAAAATCTCAAGTACATCCAGACCGGAATCTTACGTGCCTTGCAGAGACACCATCTTGATTTCTTATTCGCGGGAGTAACTGAACCAAGACCTCCTTTTCCAAGGCAAGCGGGTCCGAAGGAGGTCATAGTGTGGGGAATGAACGCGGGGGATAGTCATTCGAGACCCCGGAATTGGCAGTTTCCCCGCAAATCTGGCGAAAAGCAAGGAGAGACCGAGGATTTTTCGACGATCCCGAGTCGGCTACATGTTTTGTTCGTCGCCTTTATGGGCAGGTTGCTGGTGCAACTTATAAGAAGGTTGTATGGCGCGCCATGGGCTTGGCTAGATGTTTTGTCTTATGCTTAGCTCCAAGGTGGCGCTCAGGAAAGTTTTACTTCGATTCGTTATTCGACTGGGCATGAGTCGTGCATTGGTGATATTCTTACTAGACGGCGCTCGTGTTTGACATCGCATTGTGACCAAGGCTTGAGTGGCGTTTGTTATTTGGGCTGTGTTTGGTGTCTTGGGAAACGGGAACGAACGAGATGGTGATCGGATTTAGACGAGGCTTTATGTCCGTTCTTTTTGGCTGACTTATGCATCTGCATAGACTGTTTGTGCCCTTCAACATCTTATGCGGAGTAACTCCGATCAAGGTACTCGATAGATGCCTGCAGACTCCAGATCAATTAACTTTTGATGCTCGGATAGCAAACTTTCCGAAGTTCGAACCAACACCCCCGCAACCGCGGCACTTGGCACTTCTATACATCCGAGATAAGCACCATGCCAAGGATACATACCCGACCCGTGTCGCATTGAGCAATGAGGTCTGCAATTGATAAGACCTTGGAAGACGGTCGATCTTGATCCAATTAGGAAGGTGTCTATAGCCATGCGGTCAGGGCATTCCATCAATGCCTGACGTATATACCCCCGGCTACCTCATCCGGGTACCTACTGGAACACATTCCGATGAAAAGGTTGGTCACCATCTTGATCCCCCTCTTTTAAACGATAAGATAGATCTATAAGTATACCTGATAAGAGCTATATCGGCCGCTTGGACGAATCCCAGTACATGCTGAGCTGTTTGATCTCGGCCGTGGACTACATTTCTAATCGCTACACGCCCTTTGCGAACATGTCAACGTAATTGCCAAGAGATTTTTTGATGCTAAAATATGACTAGATGCTTGAAAACCCATCGCTTGGAGATGTTATCTCCTATTCAGGTCAAATAAACCCTCACTGGCAGCGATAAGGACAAACTAATGCAGTCTCGATCTGAATTGCCAGCCCTGGAAGCGAGAAGCGGCCGGCATTATCAAAGATACTGAGGTAGCATTTTAACAGCCATTTTCGAAGGCCGTCGGCTCTCATTGTTGGAAATATCATGTATAAATACCTCGATGAAATGGATATGATCTTCATCACTATAGTTCAATACGCATTATATCTTTAAAGTGTCTATTCAATTAGAATAGCCATGAGAGGCTCTATTCAGAACTATCTTCTTCTCGGGCTAAGTACCTCAAGCTTAGCGCTTGCTGGGGTTGTGCAAAGAGATGCTATCAACTTCCGCGGGCCCCTGGATGTGACTGCTGGGTCATTGCATAACATTCATGTGGAATTCAGTGACGAATTCGAAGGTCCCTTGCAGCTTGTTTACGGGGACTGCAGCACTCAACATCCGACACAGGGACACCACGAAGTTGTCAATGTCTTCATCACACGCGATGCCCAACCAAGTCGATTTGTCTGGGTAACGCCTTCGGATGCACCACACGAGCATTGCCTTCATGCATTCTCCGGAAAATCCTTGCTTGGTCGTTCTTCTCCCATCACAGTGAATTCACCAATAAGAAAACGTGAAAGCATCGCTGATGTGGCCGATATGGAGGGTCCTTGGTTTGACGGTGTTGCATATATGAAGTCAAAGAAGAATAGCGATGCCTTCATCACCAAGGCGAAGAGCACATCGGTTGCCATTCTCGGTGGTGGTATGTCTGGATTAATGACGAGTCATCTCCTTGAATCTGTTGGCATACACGACTGGCACATCTATGAATCATCAGAGCGAGTCGGTGGACGAATTCGCACCAAGTATTTGAACAACACACGTCCAGATCAATATCAATACCAGGAGATGGGTCCGATGCGTTTCCCCGTTAGCATCACCTACGCCGATACAAACGAGACACTTGAAATCCAAGATCATCGCATGGTCTTCCAGCTCGCGGGTGTCCTCAACGAAATGAATGCCGGAAATCCTGAGCTTCAAGTCAACTTCATCCCATGGATTCAGAACGGGCCCAATCTCCCAACAGACTCGGGAGGTAATCGCCTGCCAGACGGTCTCATTCCCACCGTCGCCGACATGGCAGCAAACGCATCGCTAGTCTACACGGCTCCCTCCTCCAATGCGACAGCTGTGTCAGATGCCGAAGCCGCTTACGACAGTTATACCACACTTGATGACCGTGCCACAATCCGCAACATTGCTACAAATATGTACAAGGCCCATAAAAAGGCTGTTGAGGATGGTATGTTCCACTGGTCTGAAGCTGGGTATCTCCGATATGCCCTGGGATACAATTCGAACATCACGGATTATGTCGGCGGAACAACGGACTATCCCATTTGGGGCGACTTCTACGACGACGTCTACTTTGCCGCTACAAAGTGGCGCACTATCGATAAAGGACTCGAATCGCTTCCTCGCGCTTTCTTCCCTCATGTCGCGGAGAAGACGACCCTGAACCGTACCGTGGCAGGATTACAGTACAACGAGAAATCAGGTAAAATTGCCGTGACGTGGCGCGATGATCCTCTTCAGATGAAGCCAAATGTCACCAGAGAATACGATTACGCAGTAGTCGCTGCCCCGTTCAGCAAAGTTAGACTATGGGAGCTTCCACGTTATTCATCCCTACTCAGCCGAGCAATCGCCTCCCTCAACTACGACCCAGCGTGCAAAATGGCACTTCTGTACGAAACTCGGTTCTGGGAGCACTTGGAGGAGCCCATTTTTGGTGGCTGTGGATCTGTTGACGTTGCCGGCGTCGGGAACGTCTGCTATCCTTCTTATAATATGAACGGAACAGGGCCGGGTGTCATTCTGGCATCTTATATCTCTGGTACTGAGGCACGGTCTGCTGCTGCTCTCAGTGTTGAGGAGCATGTTTCGCTCATTCAGCGCACTATGGTTGAGGTCCATGGTGAGATTGCGGCTGAGCAATTCACCGGTATCTATGATCGACAGTGTTGGGAGTTTGATCAACATCAAGCGGGTGCTTGGTGTGATCCGTTGGTGGGTCAACAAGAGCTGTATCTACCGGCATACTACCAGACAGAGTTCAAGACCATCTTCATTGGTGAGCATACTAGTTATACGCATGCTTGGATTTTCTCGGCGTTGGACTCAGCCGTTCGTGGCACGACGCAGCTTTTGCTGGACCTTGGGCTGGTGGATGAGGCTAAAACTGTGGTGGATACTTGGATGGGCCGTTGGATTAAATTATAAGTTTGTATATTTGTCCAAATATCAGGCTTCAGGCGAAGTAATTCAATGTTAGTATCCTCAGGTTCAAATGTTTTCTCTTAAGAAATCATTCCAACATGCAATTCACTAGTTCCCATTTTACAGCCATTATTTACTATTGATCTTAATTCCACACATGAGACCAAAAGCATTGAGATTTTGGGATGTAAAATTGCAAATACCTAACATTGAAGTGTATGATTATCGTGTTGCTTTTAGACGCCGACAAAGAAAGGTGAAGGGAATATTCCTCGTAATGAAATATGCATCAGAGACTTGAGGACTCAAGTTCCAATTTAAGGTCCTCATGGTAAAATCTCTTTACCCTTCCAATCCCAACATCGGCCTCGTCCATCTTCATTTCCAGGAGGCAATTGGGTTAGAAAACGCAACAGTAGATCCGCAGATTCCAAAGGTTCCAGCATCTCACGACCAGTCCAAAATTCTTTCGTGAACTCCGTGTATACGGTACCAGGATGCAAAGCCACAGCCAAAGCTCTGTCCTTGCACTTCCCACGGAGATACAAATCAAATGTTTTCGCAATCTGGAATACAGCAGCCTTGCTCGCCCGGTAGGAGTACCAACCACCGGAATTATTATCAGAGACAGAGCCCACGCGGGCTGCCATCATAGCGTAGATCGCATGAGATGGCAGCTGCAGTGCCTTTTCAGGGTCTTCATCAGCATCTTCAAATGTTGGGAAAGGATCAGATGACCTGGTCGGAAGAAATGGAGCGAGATGCTTCATCAATAATAGCGGGCCAACGGCATTGACTTGGAAGCTGTGTAATGCGCTCTCGGCATCGATTTGTGTTGGGGATTTCTCCACATGCAGAATCCCGGGTATGGTCAATGCTATTCTCAGTGGTGTTGCGGGATACTCTTGTCGGATTGTATCTGCCATTGATGCGATCGTCGTTTCGTCTGTTTTTTGGTCAATCAGTTGATTATATGCACCTCCACAGAAACAAACGTCTGCTGCATGCCACATACCTGTTACATCGAGCTTGAGTACTCGAAGCCTTTTTTCGGCATCTTGAGACAGCCCCTTGCTGGATAGCAATTGGTCTCGAACCTCGGTGCAATCTTTGCGCGCTGTTGCCACGACAGGGAGATTGGTCTTTGCTAGAAGCTGCTGAGCGAATGCAAAGCCTAACCCCCGTGATGCAGGGGTAACAAGAGCAAATCCATGCTTTGCTGAAATCATACTAATCAAGATGTTTGATTTTGGTTTAATACATGAAGACACTTGAAGGTTGTGAATGGACATCAGATTAAGAGGCATGTGGTCTCCCTAGTTTGTTGGAACATGACGTCATTATTCACGGAGTTATCGAATACGAAAAAGTGATATTAGCAGTGCAGATACCATTTCAAAATGCATGTTTATTCATTGGATATTTCGAATCAGATTTTAGTCTTGTGTTGTGGCTCAAGTGTGAGGTCATGTGTGAGAAAGAATAAGAATCTTTTCTCATAGAGGCTTCCATGCTGCCTTCTCGGGGTGGCTCTGGGCCTGCCTGCGCCCACCGGCGGAGTCACCCTCCCCGGCGGTCGGGGCTGCGAGCCCCCAGCGCCCCCGGAATTGATTATAAAGGCTATGCGCGGGGAAGAAACAAACAGACAAAACATACAGCCACGAGTAGAAATAGTTGCATGTGGGTTTCCAACACACATTCTGGTATATACAACCTGACATAGTTTTAGATTTCTCACGCAGCTCTGATGATGAGTATGCATCTAATTATTAACATGTAATAGTTTCTTAGTTCGACAAGTCTACCCGGTCTTGTCCTCTAAGTCTTCAAAAAAGTCTCGCCCAAACTCTCCGCTGCTATCATTGAAGCGAAGTCCTCTATTGAGGGCAGAGATCTTCTCCATATCATGAGGACTCAGTTTGAAATCCCCCTCCAGGTTTGATATAATTCGCGACGGGGTCTTCGACTTTGGGACTACCGAGTGACCCAACGACACTGCCCAGGCTGAAAGAAAATCAGCAAGGTTAGCATTGCTTAATCTATATCAAAAACACGAACTCACCGAGAACAACCTGAGCGGGGCGTTTGCCATACGGCTCTCCAATCTCTGCCAGCACATGTTCCTCAATCAACTTTCCAAATCCAGCTTTCATACCATAAAAGGCATTCTGATTCCCAAATGGTGAGTAGTGCGTAATGTGAATACCCATTTCTATATGCCACTCCGAGAAATCACGCTGCTGCAACCATGGATGACATTCCATTTGGTGCACAGCGGGCACAACTGATGTTTCTGCAAGCAATTTTTCCAGGTCGGCCTTGGAGAAGTTTGAGACACCTATTGCTTTGGCCTTTCCTGTTTCCAATAGCTTCTCCATTGCTCTGTATGTCTGGAGTCGAAATCGAATCCCACCGTTCATATTAGCATATTTCCATCAAAGATACGGGATGTAGGCCATACATCTACTATATCAACGTCCTCCATAGCAGGCATACCATGGAGCTTTGGAAATAAACTGTCTCCGCGTTTCCATGCGACAGGCCAATGCATGAGGAAGAGATCCACGTACTCCAGACCCAGTTCATCGAGGGATTGCTGTAGAGCTTCTTCTACATCATCTGGGTGATGTTTGTTATTCCATAGCTTGGTTGTGATGAAGAGGTCTTCTCGTGGTGAACCACTTGCCCTGATAGCCTGGCCGACTGCCATTTCGGTGCCGTAGCTGTAATCGATTTTCACTTTTCATTCCTTTCATTTTGATGATTGCATGCTGACTTACACTGTAGCGGTGTCAATGTGTCGATAGCCGGCTTTGATTGCCTCCAGTACGGCCTCTTCTTGTGCATCCTCATCTTGCCAGGTACCGAAGCCGAGGGCTGGAATCTCAGCGCCGGTATTTAATTTGAACTTGGTTCCCATCTCAATTCTCTTAGGCTTCAGCAGTCGGCATATGAAGAAGACTATTCTCATTTGCGAAAATGGTTATTCAGCTTCAGCTCCGGCATAATGACGTCTGTATGAGAGAATATTTCATGCATACTAGTAGTATACTACTATTTACATATGTCCAAAATATCATGGATATTTGACATTTGACTCACAGTCACAAGTTTCTTCTAACCTACTACCTAGTAGGTATTAAGGCTTTCGCCACCTCCCCACCTCCTCGCTTGCCCGATCGCACAGCACCTTCCATATATCCTCGCCACACATGAGATGTCTCGGTTCCCACAAAATGAACATTTTTGAAGGGTGTAGCTAAATCAGTACCCACTGTCGTCAATGTGCCTGGAGTCATGACTGGACAAGGAGCGCCGAGGAAGAAAGCCTGTTTCGCCCACTCCATCTCCAAAATGTTCACTGGTTGGGGAACTTTGTCAACAAATTGACCAAATGCCTGACTAAATTGCTTCCACACTCGCTCACGGCGCGCTGCCTTTGAAAGCTTTGACCACTGTCTTCCACGTTCCCCAACTATAAAGCAGGTGATAGACCACTGTCCATCTATTGGCACGCTGGTATCTCGTGTAAAGGTGACAGGACCTGCTTCACAGTCCATAACGCCTGAAGATCCAGCATTTTGCCACCACGGTTCTTTGAAAACAAAGATCATTTTGCTATAGTATCCCATCACTGCATTGTCGCTCAAGATTGCTTTGTTCTTTGGGAGTGGAGGGTTGAAGGCAATCGAGCTGTATAAGCTTGTCGGAACTGAAACGATGACTTTACGACTGCGGAATACATTTCCGGGCTCCGTCGTTACCAGGCACACGTCTCCACTTTGGTAAATTGAAACGACAGGCATGCGTAAAAATATGGTCTCCGTTCCCAGGTCTTGGGCAAGTCTCTTGGAGATTGTTTGGTTTCCTATGGATCATTGCATTAGCATGCTGGCCAACACCATATCAAGGGAGATGGTACGAACCTTGTCTGTTTCGGATATATTGCCCTCCGTCTTTCTGGTCCGATATGAGGTTGTCAATACCACAGCCACTTTTAATGTAATGAAGCATGTACAATGCACTGAGCTCCTCACTCTGCACACCAAGAAGGGCGGTGGTCAAGAAGTCCGCGATACCAGCTGCATCCTCCGATCCTGATCTTTCGATGCAGAATTCTTTGAATGTCTGCGCATCGATATTCTTGGCCCCTGGTGATCTTCCAGGGTTGTCTAAATCTACAAGAGATGACTCTTCGCGAAACACTTCCAGAAGTCGTTGAAAGACACGCTGGTCTCCCTGGCAGCGAAAAAACTAGTCAGCACATACCACGGCCATCTAACTTCTTTACTCACCAATGGTTGTCCATATGGTTTCTTTACGGCCGAACCATCTTCCAACAGTGCGACATCCTCTCCACATGCCCTTTGGATCAATCCATCGATGTTGTATCGTTGGAAGAGCGCAAACATTTCACTTTGGTTCGTATCGTTGATCCAGGCCGCACCCAAATCATTGAATCCTCTCTCGCTAGAATGCACAGAGAATGTCTTTCCGCCGACCCGATTTGTTGCTTCCACAACGCATACCTTGAGGCCTGCGGCGCGGACGGTATGTGCAGCTTGAAGGCCACTTAGACCAGCTCCAATCACCACGACGTCATACACTGAATTCGCGCCCGCTGGGACCGTAACTTGGACTGGGTAACGCATACTTAATTATTGATAAATTCCAGAAGGTTTGAGGATGGCGGGGTTAGGATTCGATGATCATTGAGGACTCAACGAGTGGGTAGCTTAGGTGGAGGTGAGCTGGTGCTTTGGACGTTCGGGGCCGCCAATGCCGAGCCAGACCCCACCCTGGAATCGATATATGGTTGAACAGGCAATATCCCCATACTGTACTGATGATCTCCGAACAGAAATGAGGTACACGATTGAGGTATTCTACCTGGGAAGCCTTAAAATACTAATCATGGTCTATAGTATGGACCGTGTGTAGCTTGATCAATGTATAGGGGTAAGAACTTCCAGACTGACTGGTTGCTTTCTTTCTGGGGGATACATTCAATAATCGAACAGGGTGTCCAGAGCATTTCAAGCCCCTAAAATTTATCTTTGCATGTACATAACTATGTATGTACTAATTTCATACCGCTTTGCCTTTGGTATCACTGGATGTGAGAAGAAAGGTTCACCGATCTCAGAGAGCTCGAGCATGTTCGAATAAAAAGTGACTTGTCTCTCCACGCTGAGCAAATTGCAAGTCCCATAAGAACCACCAAATCACACCGATCGGTCGATCTGGAGGTACAAACATGACGCGAATCGTATTTTATTGCATTTGACACAGATTTTCCTCACGCTGAATATTCTGTTGAATGTTCCAGAAGCAGAGTAAAAGTGAAGTGGATATGGAGTGGATAGAAACAGTGGGGACTCAGTGCAATGTTTGACGCGCAGACAAACTGCGGTTGTAGCTTCTGCGCCCGGCCGCACTCTTCGGTTCCATTTATATTTCGCGATCCACCCATAAAATTTCTTCTCTTCCTTGCACATCTCACACTGGGAGCTTCCCAGCTTCCAGCTCTTTTTCTTTTCTTTTCTTGGTTTATTTTATGGCAGAGATCATAAGCAGCAATGTCTGTCTCTTGTTCATCTGCCATCCTTGTTACTGAGGCCTAAACATTAATGTGTGTTGTCGGCCTCGGACCATGGATTTTTTTCTTCTTAAAAGGTAAGAAGACAGAACTTTTTTTTCTCACATCCCTCCCCCTTCGAATGATGACCCTATGACATGCAAAGGCATTCCTCAAGCTTAAGTTATCGTGTGGAATCTTGTCAATATTAAGTTTCAGCCTTGTCTGACTTCGAAACACTCATCTTGATACTTTTTACCAATAATTCTTTGGCGTATCTTTTGCTAACTCAATTTTGGTTAGGTAAATTCAAATCCTCTTCAATCTCTTCCCTCTACTGGCATGTGCCTTGCATGAAGAAAATTTGAACGAACGGGCGGACATAACGTATCCACTTCTCTTCATCCTCAAACCCAGAGCGTACAAACTCTGTGGGTGTCTGAGGAGTGGAATACTTGTTGAGAATTCGTCACCTGATCATTTTGCCCATTGTCACATTTTTTCATATTGAAAATATGTCTTGAATATCCGTCTGACTGTGTGACTTTAGGTATTCTACACTTCTGTTTTCTTCTCCTGCATGCGTGCTTCTTGAACATGGTCATATCTATTATGATGAAACTTGATATTCACACTGTTTGATTCGAATTTATTCGGAAATGAACATTAAACAAAAATTCTGATTTAATGAGGTTCGTCGGATTCCGCCATTCAACTCGAAAGAAACTTATGCTGACCTCTGGGCTTCTAGCCTGACATAGTTACCATGATTTAAACTTGCCGTTTAAGCTTGCATTTTTTTCGAATGCGATTGCTGACTCGATGATGAATCATCTAGGATCTTGTTCTTTGAATATAGATAACGTGGCGTTGATTTTATGGTGAGTTTGAACTATTCCAATGCATCAACCCTCTTTTGCCTGATGAACAAAAATTTTCGCTGTGTTCTTTCAGAATTACATTGACGATACCAAATTTTATTCACTTTGGAGATCTGACCCGCTTCTCTAATCCACACAATGTTCACTCATGATAATATTGTGTTCGCTTGCTAATACGCATTGCAGATTTTGATACCCATGAATAGTTCTTGAAAATATTTGATTCTGATATCCTTCTTTTCCATTCTCTCCTTAGCCCGTAGTCAACTCTCACGTAGTACTTGTTCCATCCTAGCTATGGTCCAAATATCTCATTGGTTCCAGCATCAATTGATATTGAGGAGACTGGTTTTCTCAAGAATTATTCCACAAATAAATCGTGCTCCTTGTGCCAGCCCTCGATACTGGTCTCGCCATTGTAAGCTTCCCGCACGCGTATCTTTCCTTCAGGCCAACGCGCCCACGCAGGTTTCGAGTCAGCCATGACACAAACCATTTCGTCCGGCACAGGCAACTCAGTATCGATAGCCGACGCAAAAGGATGAATCAACTCTGGCCAGTGGTGGTCCCAAAGCCAAAGCATGGAGCTGCAATTGGAACAGAAGTTCCGCTCAGAGGAGCAGAGTTCCTCATTTGGGGTTCCGCGATCTTTGATGCCGCGGTACTTTCTACATATATTGGATTCGTTGTCAGTGTCTGCATTTCCAAACTTTCTTTAATCAATTGATGCTTTCGCATAATCGAACAGACGAGTCTTGAGATTTCTGCATGCTTTGGGTTTTCTTGTTTTGGGTATATTCTTACTTGATTAAATCCTGGCCTTTAAGCACTTTCAGGCTGTCGGCGATACCGCCGAGATTCACAGCGCCCATGTACCCGCCTACTTTGCGACAAATGCTGCAGGCGCAAAGTTGATAAGGTACTGGGGTTTGAGACTGGAGTGTGAATTCGATGCCGCCACATTGGCAACTTCCATCAAGTTTCCTGTTGCAATTTTGTTAGTGCACGCGAATAAGGTATGGAGTAGATGCGGGGGGGTTGACGAGTCCCGAGATCTCCGGGCTCCAGGAAATACATGTATGTACGTACATTGGCATATTTGGAAATCTGGCACGATGCCTTTGTAATACAGAAGGTAGGGTATTAGTACTATTCAAATGTGTATTTGCATTTGATGTTGAAATGCTTTGAATTGAGATTGTTGAACTTGGACACTGGGGAAACATCAATCTTATATATACTGGACCGCTTGAGCGGAGAACCAAATCCTCCAAACACAACAGACAAGTCAAACATACAACTGGAGCTATCCGATTGGATCATCATGCAATGCAAAATATTCTCCCTCCGCTCATTCGTCCGTAAAGGCAGCTCTGGCCCTTTTCCAAGCTGGTCCCGTCGGGAAATACATCATCGGTGGTATCCTGCGATGCTGGTTGGCTGATCGGGTGTTTGTCTCGTTTGTTCTATTTGTCTCGCGGCTTGAGCTTTCGAGGCGAAGAAGTCTCGACTGCATCATCGCCCTCGCTGCACCGCTGACACGAGCTATCCTTCTCCCGGTCAATACATAATTCCACAGAAAATACCGAAAAATGAGTTTTGGAGCCCCCGGAGGTGGCTCGGTGAACTACAAGCCCTCGCCGTGAGTCGTTCTAGCCCGGGATATTTGCGCGCCCATTACCCTCGCATCACAAGGACCGATAAATCCGCCAAAATGTTCTTACTTGGTTACGAACCTTCCGACTAATATTGATTTCGAATCGACAGACCCGAGCGCGGCAGCTTTCCCCTCGATCACGAAGGTAGGCTTACTACAATTCTCCCTCCACCCTCCGCAATCTATACCTCAAGAGCGCCGCTAACCGATTGTCTTGTTTCATAGGAGAATGCAAACATGTTATCGCTGGCTACCTGAAGTGCATCAAGATGAACCGCGGTACCAATGATGAGGCATGTCGCAAGCTGGCGAAGGAATATCTTGCCTGCCGCATGGATAAGTATGTCACCTGCTATGGTACCTATGATATGAAACAACTTCCCGCTTACCCATGGGAATCACGGCACTTGAAATAGTGAGATTGAGTGACTGGGATCGCTGACGTTCGATACTTCCGTGATAGAAACCTTATGGCGCCCGACGAGTTCAAGAACCTTGGACTCATATTCAAAGACGATAAAGAGAAAAACGCAGCGCCAGCAGCTGCCAATGGGCCAGACGCATCACAAGAAGCTTCCAAAGGGAATTGAAAAGGGCATGGGAAATAATTGGATGATTTGTACGATACCGAAGAAGCCAGGCTGTAAGAGTCTGGGCCCCACAAGCGTTCATAACAAAATTGTATATAGACATTGTAAAATTTGAATACACCCCAAAAACAAAGACTGTTAACTTTTGCCTTGCAACTGAACGTCGAGCAGCTCTCTGAAATTATTCTTCTTGAGCTGGAACAGTCCCGCTTTCCTTTGCCTACTATCTGTACTTACTAGTAAAGAGAGCATGTGCTTAGTAGTCAATGGTAGATACTAGTAAGATGAGCAGACTTTGTATGAAGCATCATAATTAAAGTACACAAAGCCAAAGTAATCGCTTTCTCCGATTGAGTATTCTAAATTATACACTGTAACATTGGGTACTTGAATGGGGACTTCATTATAGAGTCATCTGACAGTCAACTTCGATTGGCTCGAGCTTGTTGCATGCGGGGCGGGCGGGTTCCGCCTACAGCGCAAGCCAAACCAAGCTCACCCAGCTTCAGCATTGTCCCAGCCGATCGCCACCCCCACTAAATGTCGTCAATCGCGCGGCCACCAGACCCATGTCTAGTGGCCATCATTCTCATCGTACGATCACGCACCGGCCCCCGTCTCGTCTTCCACTACCCTCCCAACCCACTCAGCGAGAATCGAGCCAAGACAACTACAAAGGGCGGGCGGCGCAGCTCCCGCTCGCGAAATCGACATGGCGCCAAGAATACGGACTCAAGCTCCAGTGACGATAGCGGACTAAGCTCAGACGAAGATGAAGAAGAACGGGAGCGCGAAAACCAGAACCCCACCGCTCAGGCAGTTCCGGGCCAGGTACAAAGCGGCAGCAGCCACCCGACAACGCCGAGCCTGTTGCTAGCACGCCGCGCGAGCAACTTTGGCATCGTTGATGACAATGCGTCTATTGCCTTGTCGCCTGGGACTGGGCCAACGGAACCGACTCGCCCGGGGTCTTTGGGCTCCGGCCGGGGCTCGTCGCTGAGGAAGCGGGGTGGTGCTGGGTCTGATCCGGAGGATGATGGGGCGTCGGATCGGGATGGTGCAGGTGGATCATCGCGGGCGCCATTTGTGTCGCTTTTGGGATTACCGGGGAGCGTATGGGAGAAATTGTTGAGTCCGTCTCGATCATGGCACAAACGGCGGTTTGAAGTGGGGATTAATGATCTCGCCCTTATCGGGTGGCCTGTGTTCGTACGAGAAGATGGAACCTGGCGCAAGCAGCGGCGAAAGAAAAAGAAGAAGAATCGGTCCGAATGGGATGGTGGAGAATTGGGTCATAATGATCTCGAGGGCGCTGGAGATGAGGATGGGGTTGCTTCTCCTGATATGGGGGCTAGTATTGCGACCATTTCGGAGATGACGCTTTCTCCGACTGAGACTAAGCGCCACTCTACGGCTAGTGTGAAGCTTGGGAAGCAGCCGGATGATCCCGAAGACAAAGATCATATGACGATGTTCAATGTGGTATTCGTGATGGATCCTCCTTTACTTGAGTACTCTGGGCGTGTCAAAGAGATCTATGAGAATGCCATCAAGAAGTTTGCCAAAGCTTTGAAGTGGGAGCAGGCTCGAACGGGTTACGTGTGGAACGAGTCGCAGCATATCTTGTCTGTACGGCGAAATGCTAGAGAGTCAAGTATCTTCTCCCCTGACCACTGTATCAATCGGACTTGAGCTAACAACGACATCTCTTTAGAAACCTCGACCCACAAACTTTACACTGACCTGATAAATCAGTCCTCTCTGGCCCGGGCAATCTACACCGTATACACCAGTATATCGGCATCCAAGATTGCCTCTGTTTCATTGAGTCCCCATGTTTCCATCTCGCTGCAGATCCCACCGTTGACCTCGACACCATACCTCGCTGGCCCTGCGGACAAGTCTTATCCAGGTCTCTGGTTGACAACCGCAGATAGCGCAACCCCAGTAGACGAACCCGGTATTGACGAGATCAATTCGCCCCATCAGGTCCTTGCGAAGCACTTTGCACTACTTTTACTGGATAGTGAGGCATCTATTATTAAGGACGTTGAAGCTTCGGGAGGCACCCTTTCCGCAGCATTGGGTCACTATATCCGCTGTTCAAAGCCAACTAAGTCGTTCGCCCAAATTTCACTAACCTCAGGAATTCCACTCTCAACGATCCAGATGCTAGCCAGTCATTTAGTCTACTGGCGCCGTGCCCGAGCCATTCCCCCCATCCATCAGCGAGACACATACATTGTTTCCCCCAACTGTGATCTGAGCAAACTTGAAGTAGCGACGATTGCATACCAGACGGCATTTCCGACAATGCCTAGTCTTCCAAAGATGCTCTCCTCGCTCAGCGGCACGCCCCGTCCGTATGGAAGCTTCATCCCAAGCAAAGACCACAAAGAAACATACTTTTCAATTCTCGCATGGCTTCTCCGCGGCGGCTGGGTCACCCAGCTACGCACCTTTGCCCGCATCAAAGTGACTCCCGAGATCAAATTAGCGGTGGAAATGGCACTGCGAAAAGAAGAAGTTGACCGCTACCTCGCCAAAGGTAATTCCAGCTCCCTAGCAGACCTGGACACAGACAGTTCAGACGAAGATGACGCCAACTCTTCGTCCTCATCTTCACTCGCAAGTCATGGTAGCGGAGACGACACACCGATGCCGGGTCGAGTTGACCCGCATGCACAGCTCCGCACTTCGCATAAGTTACTGGACAGGTCCACCGCTTTGCGGCAGTCATCCTTGATCTTATCTCCGCACCGTGCATCCCCACTTGAATCCCGATGGTTAGATGAAATCGTCGCCCGATTTCCCGACAATCCTGGGGACGAGCAATTGCTCGAAGGTGTCAGTCCGGAGATAGCGCCGAAAGACCTTCAAAAGCTCCAAAGTCTACTGAAGATATACTGGCCCTCGTTTATAAAATATTTCAACGGACATGATGCATTGGAGAAGATTTCCGTGCGGGAGAATCTGAAGCGCAAATTAGTGTGGCGGGTCCTTACCCGCCTGGGCTTCATAGGGCCGACGGGATCAGTTGATCTAGACGCGCGGGAACAGGTGCTTATTAGTGTTCGGCATTGGTAGGATGCGGTTTTTTTTTCTTGTTTTTTTGTTTTGGAAAGCCTGGAGTTTATCGCGTGTAACGGACTTGATACCATTTTGTTTACATTCCCCATGTTCTGTCCTTTGATCTTGTCCGGTTGAATCCTGCACATTTAGTCCTTACCTATGTGTCCTATTTTCCCTTCTCCCCTTCCTCTAGATCGGTCCAGCGGAGTGTATCCGCCGCACAGAGTAATACAGATACCACATCCTACGTTCCAAGGTCCCCTTGTTTCCACCGATGTATTCTGATTACATACTCCACCCAACCCGACGGCTTCCGCGTGCCCTCAGCCCTAATTGTGCGCTGCCGAACGTGTTTCTCGGCGTGTTTCGGGGGCTGGCGGCTGTGATACGGGGTAAGAGTAATGAATTGTTGAAAATGAGTGGGAAACAAATCTCTGCATAAAAGCCACGATCGTCATATGCAGTATGGGTTGGTGTGTATACTACTAGGTCAACAACTCCTTGTGACCTTGGGAGTCTAACGTATCACGTGCCGACAGGGCGGCCAATACATCACATTCTTCGGTGTCGCACAGGACCGCCACAGAGCGATGAGTCATTAATGACTTAAGCAGAGCCTTGTGATGATGCCTGGGAAAGAAGAGTGAATGCGACGAAAAAATAATGAGAAAGACAACCCAAGTACTCAGGTGATTATAATTACTAGTATCTATACAAAAGTACAGTATAGGTCAAGGGTAAGGAGGGGAAGCAACTTAAGGTACGGGTGGGCTAGGGATCCTGCACTGATCGTTTCGGGATCTGTATTACGTATACCAACCATCCTCATTACGGGCCAAGTCAGGTACCCGAGGATTTTTCACGTTATATCCGCTCCACGGCTGAATCGGATCAATTAGAAATTTTCCCCAAGTCGTGCAGAAAGATTGTCTTGACATGGAGATTTTTTTCTGATGTTTTATCTTTGTTTGTGATTTTTAATAGAATTTCCCATTCAGGTACGACTAAGCTCATCGTAAGAAGTAATCCTCGAGAGAGCGAATAATATCATCGAAAAAAGACTAAAAAATTCAATTGACTTCCCGTTGCACCGCGTCAGAGAATTTGAGACGGATATTTGGTCCAAGGGCCAACCGTCGGCCTGGAACGGAGGGGCTCCGGTGGACCCCGCAAAAGGATAAACGCTTTGAATTCTGAAGTTGAATAAGAGTTGTAGAGTTGGAGATTTGAAGATTTAGTTTTGAATGCCAATCACCTGATTAGGCACTAGGTATCAATCATGTGATAATTCTAAGCCGATCTCTGTATGTATTTGAAAACGTCTATACAAAACGTGAGTAGAGGTTGCTTGGGGAGCTGGAGCTGAAGCTGTATTGTCTGACGATTACGTAGTAGTTCCAGGGCTGTTCTTCAAGGAAATTGCCGGAACGGCTTGTTAAGGCGAGAGGTACTGAATACGTACTTCTAGTACACCTGGTACTAGCAGGTATGGATACTGTGACGGTATGCAATGGTTTCCTTCAATGCTCCTAGTACGTAGGCTCTGCCCATTGGCTAGATGTTGGGCCCCCATTCCAGGTCTTCCAGCCTGGAAGGACCCTGCCCAGGCGAGAGTTGGCAAATGGCGATGCCGGAAAATCCATCCCTGCACACTACGATTGGATCGTTCATTCTTTGAGGCTCCGATTCCATATTTCTTCCAAGTTTGGGCACTTGTTATACTAATACATCTTGATCAAGTAGCTTTGGGCAACATGAAAAAAGAGAAATCTGATGTATTGATTCCGTTACCTAGTACCTTCAAGATCATGCCTTGCAAGCAAAAAGCGAAGAGCGCCACGCACCTAAAGTTCCAGGTATGCCAGGTATCTCTAGATCCCTGTTAGGTGCCCTGGATGTATCTAATCTTGAAGTTTATGTACTACTGCGTACTGGCTTAATACCTGGAATGGGTAGTATATACTGAGTACTCAAGATGAGCACCTAGTTACTTGGTACTCAAGACAAGTACCTGCTTAGTACTTAAGATGCGTGCCTACTCAGGACTTGTAATGGGTGTATACTCCTTGAGATGTCAGTACTCAAGATAAGTAGCTGCTCAGTACTTGGGATATGTATTGTACAATGTACCTACGGGGAAATCATATGACGAAAAGTAACGCACCTAAGTAGTAAAGGGGGAGATACTGACTGCCATAGTACTGATTGCGTTTGTACTGGGGCTAAATATAGGAAATCGATGTATTCAATGTTAAGTAAGCGATCGAAAATTGAGCAACATTGCGCGAATTACTTAATATTTTCGCAAAACAAGCAAACTTGGTGAATGATCGAAATTTGTGCATATTGCGCAAATAGGCGCAAATTACCTCTGACTCGCGCAGCGCCCTAACATTTCAACATAGCAAGTTGCAACTGTTAGTTAATGCCAACTGGGGGATATCTCTGTTAGTAAATCCTCGTAGTCACGTGACGACCAATACAGGGTACGCAAGGGCACTTTAGGCCCGAACCAGGGTATCCAACTCGAATGTATGTAGAGACTTGGATTGTATACTGTATTGTAATTTACTGGTCATGAATGGTTATGAACGGTAAAAATCCAGTTCAACTCAGGAGCTAGTCCAAAAAGGGCAAGACAATTTCCAATTCATATTGAATATTGATAATTATTAGAATAATATTATGATTTGAATGTGATTGTCCTGTTGAAGCATCCAGGGTGACTTCTTGTGTAGCAAGGTTTAATGCCAACATTGAAAAGTGCGCTTGTAGTACAAAATGGATCAATGGAAATTCCCCCGGATATCAGATACTTGTTCTAAGGCCGTTCATAGGAAGTTGGTCAATGGGGTCAATTTGTGCGTCCGGCACCGAGGGATTAATCCGCTGGGCTCCATCCACTATACTAAAGAGTTTTTTTTTCTTCTTCTCTCTCTTATGCGAAATTCCACAATAAGACCTACTTGGGGTACACAGAAAAGCATCCTAAAAATTGTTTCTCTAACAATTTCCCTTGGGTCCTAAATTCCAATATCTTGTGTAAGGTAAGAGAAAAAAAAAAGCCCCCGCTACTATTTTGTTCTCTATTACCCAAATGGTTTTTGTCTTCTTTGCTCTTACCCTTCACCATCTCCCCTCTCACCTCCACCCCTCCCCTCTTCTTCCCCCTCTCGCGTGTTTGTTCCTCACCTACCATTCCTCCCTTGTTTTTATTTTCCCAGAGTTGTTCCTTGAATAGCTCTCGGGATTTCGCTCTTCTTTCGTGTTTGTGTTCTTGTAACAAAACCCGAAATCTCGCACTTGTTCCGGCGTCTTCCCCGGAATATCCTCCCTCTCGCGATTTCTGCTCAATCACCACATTTCTTCCCGATTCTCACTGTGCGTGCCTAGTGAATTCCAAAATCCGTCACTCGCGCATCACTCGCCGTTCGTTCCCGTCCTGACGAATCCCACCAGGCTCCCAATTCTGATCCGGAAGTCGAGCTGAATCGTCCTTTCGCGTCCCTGCGTCCCTGTGCATTTGCCTGATCTCACAAAACCTGAGGCTCGCATTGAATCCAGCTATTGCGAACTCTCTGAGACCAAACCGAATCGGACTCTTGCAACGCATCCGAAAAAAAAAAAGTCACTGTGACTTTCCTTCCCTACGAGCCGAAAATCCCACCGATGCGATCTGCGGTCTAGACGGTCCATACCTACAGACAAACAAATCGCATTCCTTTCAACAATTGTCTTCTAGCTCTGCCCGAAGATCATCTTTCCAGCTACACCTCAAGAGTACGACCGATTCCTACAAAAACCCACATACCGTCCTTAAGTGGGGTCACAAAAAGGTGGAATCCATCTTTGTTCCTTTTCCTGTCTTAAACGGTGCCGGAGTCATCTCACGCGTGGGCGTTGATTTGGTTCTCTAGGTTCCCCGCAGGAAATCCCTGTTCTACAGCAGAATCCCCTGTTTACAGAACGGACTCATTTTCACATTTCTAAACTCCGCGAGTTTATGTCTGATCAAGCTACTCAAAGCTTCACATCCAACAAAATGCCTACTTTCAGTTACGCGCAAGCCGCAAAGGGAGTGTCTGACTCACCAGCACCCGCCACGCCGGTATCTACAGAGCCCGAGAAGATCGAGTCCAAGCACGAAGAAACCAACGAGGTCCCCACAGAGCCCGTAACCACAACCTCGGAAACCGAAACACCACAGGAGGCTGAAGTGACGACTTCGAATGTTGACGAGGATGCTGAATTCACCACCGTGACCAACAAGCATGCCTCTAGATCCAAGGCTGTCCACTCCAGGACGTCATCCCCAAGCGTCCGGTCCGCCGCAACTCAGTCCAAGGAAGTTGAATCCTCAAATACTTCCAATGGAACTCAAGAGGTTTCATCTGAGAAGCAGGCTCAGTCTGATGCTAAGACTGAGAAGGCTGAGAATGACGCTGAAGAATCCAAGGATAAGTCTGGAAAGACTGAGAAGTCTGACAAGACTGACAAGGCCGAGAAAAGCACCTCACCAAAGGAGTTGAAGGCAGCCCCTCTCCCTTCAGTGAACATCTGGCTGCAACGCAAGGAAGCACAAGATGCCAAGGTCAAGACCTCTCCACCTCCTACTGCCGGCAAGGCTAGCCTCGCAAAGGCTACTGAAGAGAGCCAACAGGACTCGCCCAAGACAAACTCTAAGAAGAAGGGATCCGAATCCCCGCAAGAAGGCACCAAGGGAGGCAAGAAGTCTGATGCTGCAAAGGGCCGGGATGGTGCCTTGCCCTCAGTCGAAGATGCCACATCATGGCCTACACCGCAGGTTGCTACTGGTGAAGATAAGAAGAAGTCCGAGAAGTCCGAGAAGTCCGAGAAGAGCCCGGTCCAGCGTTCTCATGGCAAGGAGAAGTGGATGCCTGTCAACTACGTCCCAACTGCTGTTTTCAACACCCCTCTACCTTCCGCTGGCCGTGGAGGTCGCAAAGCTACTCGTGGTGGACGGGATGGCGGTCGTGGTGCATCTCACGCAAACGGTGCTGCCACTGGTGAGAAGGCCACCCAGGGCCAGTCTGCCCCCAATTCTGGCGGCAAGCAGGTATCTGCAGAGCGTGGCCGCAATGAAGCTGGCACTGGCCGTGCTGCTTCTGTTCCTGCACAGAACAGACGCTCTGCCAATTCCGATGTGACCACCCCCGAGGGTCACAAGACTCAAGCCGCTGAGCGCAACAACAACAACAATCACCGCCACCAGCGTGCTGCTGAAGATGCTGCTGTCCCAAATGGAAAGCAAGTCAACGGGGGTGGTGATGTTGCCCGTCCCCAGCGTGACGGCAAGCAATTCAACCGCAACAATAACAACAACGAGGCTCGTAATGCCAAGGGTGGTCAACTCGCTGTTGACTCCCAAGCTGCCGCTCGTGCTAACGAACGTCGATTTGACTCTGGCTCCAAGTCAGCTGATGTGAATCGCGAGGTTGGTGCAGGTGCTTTCCAGGATTTCCACCGTGACTCTCGTGCTGATCGAGGAGGTCGTGGCTCTAACCGTGGACGTGGTGGTGCTTACTCTGGGTTCAATGGTCACAATGGCCATTTTAACCCCGGAAACAACTTTGTTCCCAAGAGTTTCGGTTACAATGACCGTCAACGGTCCCAGCATGGTCTTGCCAACGGCGCACAGCAGGGCAACCGAATGCCTTTGAGGTCGCCTTCTATGACTGCCAATGCGAACCCATATGGTGTCTACCCGTACCAGTCTGACGTTAACAACATGTACCCATATCAGCAGGTCAACCCTGGCCCCATGAACGCCATGCCTTACCAGCCATACCCGGAAACCCCCTCGCTTGTGACCATGCTCTCTCTTCAGTTGGAGTACTACTTCTCTGTTGATAACATGTGCAAGGACATGTTCCTTCGTAAACAGATGGATTCTGAAGGCTTTGTTCCTCTCAATGTTATTGCCAATTTCAAGCGTGTGCAGTCCTTGACTGAAGACTTTGATCTCCTTCGTCAAGTTTCCCGTCAACTCCGTACCGTCCAGCACCAGATTGGTGAAGATGGTGTCGACCGCTTGCGCCCTCGCGAGAAATGGGCCCAGTGGGTGCTGTCCGATGCTCCCCCAGCACTCCCCGCAAAGAACGACGAGAACACTCCTTTCAATAGCCACTTCGATAGCCCATCCAATGGTTTTATTAACCCGGGATCACAACAATTCGTTCCCAACGGCACAGCTTCCTACAACCCCGGCACAGCTCTTTCCTCTACGGCCCCAGAGTTCCAGCCTTCGGGACAGAATGAAGTTGCTACTGTAGGACCTCCCCAGGATTTCTTTTGTTTCCCCCCCCTTGATGGCCTCGAAATGGATCCCTTTTCTCATATGGCAACCCAACTGGACAAAACATTTATTGACCAACCTAAATCAGCGCGCGGATTAGATCCAAAGACCGAACCTTATTACCCCTCGGAACTGGCCACACAGCGAGCTGGGTATGCATGCCCTCTAACGCCAGATACATTCGACTTTTCCGTTACTGACATGAGCCTTGCCTTCATTTAGTGACCAGGGTGGCTCGTATGAATCATATCATTCCCACAATATTTTAGGTACCGAAATTGACCAGTCGCCAGAGGTTCAAAACTCCAAGTCATTTGAGTGGAAGAGAAGACACAACTATTCGGAAAGAAGCCGCCATAGACTTGCCAGGTCATACAACGAGTTCCAAAACCAGGATTTTGAAAGCTCGGAACACCGGCCCTTCAATCGAAATCTTGCCTCCCCTGCCGGTTATCAGTACATGCTTGATCGTTTGGAGAAGGTGTTTGATGAAAAAATGTACAATGAATTTAGGCGTCATGCCCTTGATGATCTCCTAACTCGACAAAACAGATATGGTTTCAATTGCCTTCTTGAGTTCTTTCGCCTTTCTCTTACTCCGGACTTTCCTCTGCATCATATTGTCCTTTCAGATCTGATTGGCCTGTGCCACGATGAATCTTTCAAACCTCGTGATGTCATCTTTGGTTTCGCTCGAGATGCCGTCCATCATGATGATACTCCACACCAAAAATCACGCAGGATTCATACAACGTTTACCCGAGAATTTGGCAGGCAGTGGTTAAGACCGTGGAAAGCACCCTTTAATTGATTGAATCGCCTTGTATGCCGCATGTGGATCCATTTTCCGGGAGGCTGTTTCCTTCTTTGCTTTTCTCTTCATCTTGATTCCTGCCAAACCATGGTCAGCATTTTCATATCAAAAGGGGGTTTGTTTTTCGCATACATCATCCAACTGTTCTTTCTATTTTAGTGTTGAATGACCTGTGTTCATCACAACATCACAGCCTTGTTATCATCGTCTATTATTGTGAAGCCTCGGAGTTCTTCATCGGGTTTTACCTTTCATATCCGTTTTCCACTTTCAAATATTTTTGCGTGTTTTCCCCCTCTGTTGGCTTCCTCCCCCAAAAACGTTCTGGAGTCCGGACATGCATGATTTTATGGGCAATATTACCCCCTCGATGCCTGTTACCTTTTCTTTTTTTTTTTTCTTTTTTCAGGTCCAAAAATGTTCGTTTGCCCCCCTTTTCTCCCGATCATAGATATTCTTTTTATGCCTTTTTATTTTTGTGAAGTTATTCAACTTCTTTTTTTTATGTCATCCCATGTTTGTTATCCTGGCTTTGACGCCCACATTTCGACGAGTTCTGAGATCACCAGCACAATTGGTGCAGTGGTTGAGAACAAAGCAACGGTTGAAGCCAGCAATGAAAAAAAAAGTATTCTTTGATGTCATTTACCTTCCTGCCCACTACGACGTGGGTAACGTTTCAACCTCGCATCCATCTACTATTCATGGCGTCTCTTTCTCCATCGGGCTCATATTGAGCTGTACCATTCTGAGTTGCAGGCAAAGTACTGCCAAGTTAGCATTGTCGAAAATGGCGGCGTTTTTTTTTTAAGGGATACAGGTGTTGCTACTTGCATGAGGGCACCATGTTCATAAATTTGGTTTGAGAGGATATATCCTTTGTTGTTTTATCTTTCAATTTTATTCTCAGTTCTTTATTTTTTATCTCTTTCCAAGGTTCAAAGTTATTGGACTAGTAGATATCTGAACTAGTAGTATCCATGGATCATGATCTTACAGTAGGGAAGAGCGGTCACCGAAGAGCGGTGTATACACCCGACTAAGCGAACATCGAACATTTGAATGTGATGTATAGTTAAATATAAGTGCGTTAGCACAGAGAGAAACAATCAGACCATCTTTCCTTCCACAAGCCACCCCTAGGTCTTCCTTCCTTGTCTTCCACTACTCCCACTGACGAACGGCGAGCAGGTTCGCAGACTGTTTCCCTCTTCATTATATAGCCTATGCCCCTTTTTGTCTTTTCAATCACAGCCAACCCACTCATTACATCGGAAAATCACCAAGGAACTCTGCAATTCTCCAATTGTCTTCCCCAAAATGAAGTCCTACGATGAATATGCCTGGGCAATTACTACTCAAATTGGGGATGACTGGCCACGACTTCTGTGGACCGATGAAGATATCTATAATGACATGAAAACGATTCTTTCGGACAAGTTTAGCCACTTGAAATGTGCCTCCTTCGAACACCTCCGAACAGGCGGTTTCAATGTCTGCTTCAAGATGGTGTTCACCAATCAATTCGGCGCTATTATACGGCTCCCTCTGCCCGGCTCAATCATGTTCCCTGAAGAAAAAGTCCGAAATGAGGTCTCTATCATGCGATTCCTCATGGAAAAGTCTTCAGATAAGATCCCAATACCCGTGCCCTCTGTCTTTCGCTGCGAAGAAACAAAAAGAAGTCCACCGGGATTGGGTCCATTCATCATCATGGACTATATCCGTCACGTGGGAAGTTTGGAGGATCTTCTTGAAATGCCGGGCCGCCAAAAAGGAGAACGTCCAGTACTTAATCCGGACCTCATCCTCAACTCGTCCAGGCTAGAAGCTCTGTTTGGGAAAGTAGCCTATATACTCCTTTCTCTGTCTACACTTTGTTTGAGCCGGATAGGATCCGTCCATAAGAATGAAGACTCTACCTGGGTAGTATTACATCGGCCGCTGTCCTATTCTATGAACGAAATTGTGCAATTAGGGACATTACCACAATCGAGTTTACCGACCATAACATATGATACAACATCGTCTTACATTAAAGATTTGGCGGAACTCCACATATTACACCTGAAAAGCCAAAGAAATGAGGCAACTATTGACTTGGATTCTATTGACTTGGATGCCGACCTAAACATGTTAGCGGACGAATACCGTCGCAAATTCGTGGCCAGGTTCCTCTTTCGAAAACTTGCTGAAGACGAAGAGCAGAGAAGAAAATGGATTTGCAATGATAATGGTCCATTTCCAGTTTGGTGCGATGATCTTCGACCAGAAAATGTTTTAGTTGAAGAAGCCGAAAACATCGTTGGAATGGTAGATTGGGAGTTTAGTTATTCCGCCCCAGTTGAGTTCTCTAATGCGCCGCCTTGTTGGCTTGTTCTCCAGAAGCCGGAAGATTGGCCCGAAGGGCTTGATGACTGGTGCAAGAAGTATGAGAAAGCGCTACAGATCTTCTTGAGGGCAATGCAGAAAAGCGAAGACGAAGCGATCCGGAACAAACAGCTAGTAGAAAGCCAGCGGCTTTCTAGTCGGATGCGGCTCAGCTGGGAAAGCGGGAGTTTTTGGATCATGTACGCTGCAAGAAACAATTTCGCCTTCGACAAGATATATTGGGAAAAAATCGATCAAAGATTTTATGGGTCGACCACACATCAGACCGACAACATTTGTGATAATTGGAGGATGAGACTTCATCTGTTGGAGCCTGGAGAGTGGGAAGTCATCGAAGGATATGTAAGATCGAAGCTCGAAGAAAAGCAGGAGGAGAAGCAGGAACAAAAACTCACCTGGAACGCCGGTCAGTACACCGAGCAATGGATAACGCAAATGAGAAAAAAGAAGTTGGAGAGGGAGAAGGGGAATTAGATTCTTGCTCAATTGCTGGCTTTTTTGAGAGAATAGACTTATCACGACGGAGAGGATTATAGGAGAAGCTTGTAGCGTGGGCCTGTAGAGCCTCTTCAGGGGTACATCCTCGGGTACTAGTGCTGATGCTGGCCCCCGGTTAATTCCAAGCCTCAGTTTGGGGGCCTTGCCAACAATAATGCTTGGCCTGTTCCACATTTTGCTACTCCCCTGCAGATTGGGGGCGGAGACGTCTACTCAGGAGCACTTGACAATGAGTGGGGGCTGAGCACCCAAAAAGGACTGTGCCGCCTTCTCGTTGAATATGACGGCTGCTTTGTCGGCTCTTCACCCCGCATAAGTGCAAGTGTTCGCTTCCGCTGCATTTTCCTCTCCGTTGCTCTCAAGTGCTGCTAGAACCCGAAAAAAACCAAGCAGTGTACTCAAACTTCCAAATCCAACGTCAAATGGACCAATCATTGGGCCCAGGAGACGACGAGGTCCTGGATGTTTTCGAACGAGCGCGACAACTGAGGATATGCCCCAATCGAATCTGGGCAGTTGCTGGAGAGAAGCTCCCACGAATGATACCGGATCTGAATTTGCTTCTTGCCGCAGAAAATGGACTCGGCACAGCTCAGCATACGGAATGCACGCCAGACTTTTGCGAACAGGCCCAACGAGACTTTACGGGTATTAAGCAACGCCACGAATGTTCCGACAAGGCTCGATCACGGTGCACCACATCTATGGCGGTCTCTTTCCCACGCTATGCGTTGAATAAAGCGGCCATCGAGGAGAAGCCGACAGCCTGGGCGTTAAATGGAGAGGCGATTCTCCCGCCTCATCTGCCGTACATGGCGATTTCGCACGTCTGGTCGGATGGCACGGGAGCAGGGGCTTGGAAGGACGGGTTGGTCAATGAATGTCTGTATAAGTTTTTCGAAGGTCTCGCAATAAAGTTCGACTGCAAGGGTATCTGGTGGGATACCATCTCGATTCCGCGAGAAAAGGCAGCCAGGGCCCAAGCAATCAAGAAGATGCATGATAACTACGGACAGGCTCGGATCACTCTCATCCACGACTGTTTCCTACGGAACTGGCTGTGGGACCCGCGCACTGCGTGCTTTGGAATCATCATGTCGCCTTGGTTCAGTCGTGGCTGGACTGCGTTGGAATTGATGAAGTCACGTAAAGTCAAAATCATCTTTAAAGGACGATGGGGCCCAGTTATCAAGGATCTGGATGAAGAGATTCTCGCCAAACCAGATGAGCCGGATTGCTCGCTCAGAGAAGCCTCGTTGGTGATTCGGAATCTTCGACAGAATATCACCAAATTAAACGACCTATTAACCGTGCTGCGCTCTCGCTATACATCTTGGCCTAAAGACGTGGCGGTCATCTCAGCCTTATTAGTGGGTGTTCCAGTACAAGAGCACCAGCAAGATATCTTTAAAAGCATTGTGCGAAAGTTCGGACGGATCACTCCGGGGCATCTCTTTCATAATGCAACCACCATGTCAACTGCGTTTACCTGGTGCCCGGCCAAGTTGTTTGATCTCCCGTTAGATACCTCGGAACCGTCGTTGGATATTTCCGAGGAAGGTCATGTCCGAGGATCCTGGCGGGTAATAGCCGTTCAGCCTGCAGTTGAAAAGCACATATGGTGGGATATTACGCACGCGCTGATACGGCGACAGCTCCAACATGCCCTCTTAGACAGCCAGAATTGCCTTTTCTTGGCCGAGTTGGGGCCCAACCCCATCAGAAGAGCCTTGCTTGTTCGAAAAACACAAGAGGCCGGGCACTATCGATACATTGGGGCCGTGCATTTCCATTCAGAATGGAGTGAAGAGTACCACGAGGTGGAAGATATTGTCACAATCTCGAGTTTTCAGGATGAAACGGAGTCGCAGAAAGACGAATATGGGAGCCATGATATCGACCCGGTGGCTCATGACTCTAATGCTTCGCTCAGCGTAGCTGATAAATCCGAAATTTTCCGACAAGCAATCTGGACGGCCGATTATCAGACATTCCTTAACTACATGGAAAGGGATATTCTTGAGTTACCAGATAAACTTGGTCGACGACCACTACATCTTGCCGCAGAGCGAGGAGACATCAAAGTTGTCGATAACCTACTCTTACTTGGAGTTGACCACAACGCTCAGTGCGATCAAGGACAGACAGCCTTACATTACGCTGCATGGGGAGGTTCGGTGGCGGTGGTCAGGCTGTTGAAAGACCGGATAGAGCGAGCCACCAAGAATAAAGAGGGCAATACAGCGTTGCATATTGCAGCACAGATGGGATTTGCACCTGTTGTCGAAGTACTTGGGAATAAACATCTGGTAAACATGGAAGGCAGTAACGGTCTGACACCTCTGCATTATGCGGCCATTAACGGACACACCAGTGTTGTGGAAACATTGACTGGGGGGGATATAGAACTTGAAGCTCGGGATAAACTTATTGGCTGGACACCCCTGCACTGTGCCATTGACAATGGCAATCAAGATATCGTGGAAAGACTAGTCCGTCATGGTGCGAATGTCGATGCCACGGATATCAAAGCCGGATGGACCCCCCTCCATCTCGCGGCCATCCACGGAAACTTAGCACTGATCCAGATGCTACAGGCTGCGGGTGCTAACATGAGAGTGAAAGATAATTTCAACTGGACGCCATTCACTTTTGCACAAATCAACGAGCATGCCCAGGCGGCAGAGCTCCTTCCGGATAGAGGGAGTCCCAGGATCACCGAGAAGGCAAAATTCTGGTCACCCCTGCACTGCCACGCCATCAATCGAGAACAAGGCTTGTCAAACCTCTTGATTGGAAAAAATGGCCACGACCTTCTGTATGTATCAGGCAAAAATTGGATGCCGTTAAAGTTTGCGGTGGAGCACGATCTGGAAACCACCGCTCGGTGGCTCTTGAATACGAGGTCCAGTTGGCCGATTGAGTACGACAACGATACTCCTCGACGCTGGCACAAGAAATACGGAAGCTTTAGTAAACCTGACCCAGATTTGGATGAGAATGCGAGTAACAAAAACCCTAAGAGCGACCACAACGATGTTTTGGCTCATCTCCGCACAAGCGGCGCTCGGCCCAATGGACCCTGGACCCCCATGCACTGGGGTGCCCAAAACAGCTACGCTGTTGTGTTGCGCATTCTAGTCGAGAGGAAAGAAGACGTTAACGCCGATGGACCGGATTCTTGGACACCTCTGCACTTTGCTGCTTATTCCGGACACGTAATGGCCACCCGGCTGTTACTCGCAGCTAGGGCTCGCAAGGATCTGAAAGTCAAGTCCGGGGCGACCCCTTTGACTATGGCGGCCGCAGAAGGGCATATAGAGGTGGTGCGAATACTGCTAGAAGTCGGCGCGCGTTACGACGAGAAGGCCGACTGTGGTAAAACGCCACTTGCATTCGCTGCTGAGAACGGGCACGCAGGGGTGGCGAGACTTCTACTCCTAGCTGGAGCTGCTATCGATACGACAGACGTTGCAGGGCAAACTCCGCTTCTACATGCCTGCAAAAAAGGATTTGTGTTCACCGTCCTATTCCTGATTAAAGCAGGAGCTGGTATGGAGTTTGCAGACAGGGAAGGGTTGCCTCCTATTTGTGTCGCTGCTCGCTACGGGTTCAAGGAGATTGTCCAGCTGATGATTGATCATGGTGCTAATGTCGACACGCGCGACATGAACTGGCGTACACCGCTCATGCATGCTGCCACGTATGGACGAGTGGAAATTATGCAGCTCCTCCTTGATGCTGGCGCAAAGTTGGACCTTCAAGACAGCCAAGGCCGCAGAGCAATACATTGGACTGCTGCGACTTTCACTATCGGCTTTTATGACGACAAATATCATGAGCGTGATGAACATTTGATGGACCGCAACTTTCGCAATTACTATGGCAAATCCAAATATGACTCCGAAGAACCCACCGAAGAACAGTCTGGTGAAAATTCCGGTGCAGAGTCCGATGAAGAGCTCGATAAAACTGAGATGATCTCCGCTCTCCCCGAAAACGCAAAGAAAGGATATCCTCCAGCCTTGTGGGAGTCCCTCGTGCCAGCTGTGCGACTCCTTCTTGATGCCGGCGAGGCGGTTGACAGCAAGGGCCAAAAGGAGTCGACCCCCTTATACCTGGCTTGCATGATCGGTCACAAAGAAATGGTGCAACTTCTTATCGACCGCGGTGCCGATGTTAATTCCAGGGACAGGCACTCTGGAACCCCGCTGATGGTGGCTGGTATGTGGGAGCACCATGAAATCTGGCAAATTTTACTTGATAATGGTGCCCGCGAAAATCTCAAGAGTATTACTGGATTTACGGCGCGTGATGTGTATGGCGCGGGACCGAAAGAAAGAGAGTCAGATTTCAGTACCGAGGACAACCTCTTCATAGAGCAGCTACGAAAGAAACAGGCTAGGACAAATACGAACGGAGAGCGTTCCGAGCCGTGGCACAAGCGCAGGGCACTGGATGTGCAAATCGCGGCTGAAAAAATCAAATATCCTCTTCGTTTCGGGTATGTTTCACCGTTATAGCCCTTTATAATGTCCTCGAGCCAGGCTGACCGCTAACTCCCAACCAGTTTCTTGAGTTTGAAAACCTCAGCTGCTGCAGTAAGTTCAAATATTTTGTCCCTAGCCCTCAACTTCCCGTGATCAAGTTCCACATCCAGCGGTATCACTCACGCATATGCATGCAGCATGAGCGGTTCCTTCAAGTGGAGACATAAATCTGACGTCTGTATCCAACGCATAGGCTCCCGGGGGGGTGAAAAGATATTTGCAATTGTTCCGTGAGGCATCTGCCATTGAAAAACGAGGCGACGAGAGAGATACCTTCAGTTGAGACAGCATTGAGTGGAGTCGTTCATTCCAAGGCTCAAGTTTGGTTTGCATTGAGTTATTTTGCCGATTCAGGAGGTGCAAAAAGGACGATTGTTGGCGTCTGCCCAGGTGCGGGATATTCGAATCTCACTGGAAATAGTTGATTCGGTCTTCAAATGTTGAGAACGTTTCTGCAGTGGGGCTATTTTAGATCTCTAAATGTTTTAAAAGTCTTAGTTTTCTTGGGATCGATCTCTCCGACTTTCAATTATGTATAGTAGCTCTAGCGTCTACCTATCAGAATCAGGTCAATGCGGAGAACGTGTTGCCTGAGGCAGAACAGCGCCTTGTCAACCTTTGTCCCGAGCTCTCGACCAGCTTACTCCTCCACTTTCCCTCCACAACCCATATACATAGCATTCACCCAGTCTCTCAAAATGGAGGGTGCCTCCCGCCAGACATCAAAACTATTACGGTCCCGTGGTAGCCTGCTTCCGCAGCATCACCGTCTTCCCCGACCAGTCACCCGAGCAGGCCTATCCACGACACAATGCCGCGCACTCTCCAATTCGAACCGTTCCCTTGCCCCAGAGTCTCTCTTTGGCCAATTTGGAGGTAGCCCTGCTGGGTCGCACAATTCATCGGGTAGCCCCGCTACCTACTTCACTAGCCGAACCACTCTCCCCGCAAACACGGTCGTACGATTCGTCCCGCAGCAGACAGCATGGATTGTGGAGCGGATGGGAAAGTTCCACCGGATTCTTGAGCCTGGACTAGCCATTCTGTTTCCGTTCTTGGATCGCATTTCCTACGTCAAGAGCTTGAAAGAGTCTGCTCTGGAAATACCCAGCCAGAATGCTATTACGGCGGATAATGTTACATTGGAACTGGATGGCGTGTTGTACACTCGAGTGTTTGATGCATACAAGGCCAGGTAGGTCCAAAGGCTTCCAAGATGTCGCATGATTGAAGTAAGAATGAGCACCCCCTAACATAGTGGGATCTTAGCTACGGTGTTGAAGATGCGGAGTACGCCATCTCCCAGCTTGCGCAGACGACTATGCGATCCGAGATCGGTCAGTTGACCCTGGACCATGTCCTGAAGGAGCGCGCCACGCTCAACACCAACATTACACAAGCAATCAACGAAGCCGCTCAGGACTGGGGTGTCGTGTGCCTGCGATACGAGATCAGGGATATCCACGCCCCAGATGGCGTCGTGGCAGCTATGCACCGCCAGGTTACCGCCGAACGATCTAAGCGGGCGGAGATCTTAGAATCCGAGGGTCAGCGACAGAGTGCGATCAATATTGCCGAAGGACGCAAGCAGTCTGTTATCCTGGCGTCTGAGGCTATGCGTGCCGAGCAGGTCAATATGGCAGCTGGTGAAGCCGAGGCTATTCAGTTGAAGGCTGATGCCACTGCTCGCGGAATCGAAGCTGTTGCGAAGGCCATGCAGGACGGCAAGGAGCATGCCCAAGGTGCTGTTAGCTTGAGGGTTGCCGAGAAGTATGTTGAGGCATTCTCCAACTTGGCCAAGGAGGGCACCTCCGTTGTTGTTCCCGGTAATGTGGGTGATCTGGGCGGTATGATTGCCAATGCCATGGCTGTTTACGGCAAGGTCAGTCAGAGCCAGGCCAGGAGCGTTACTTCCAAGACCATTGATGCTCAGCAATCGGAGGTCAACACTGCCCCGAAGAACGAGCATTCTGATATCGCAGAGAATGATTTTGAGGTTGAGGGTTTGAGCGAGGCGGACCCGGCCAGCGACGTCACACGGAGTGTCTTGGAGTCATTTGCCGAGACAAGCCAGAAGGCTAAGCGTTGATAGTATTGATGAGCCGCGCTTGCAGTGTATTAAATAAGTTTCCTTGGAGACCTTTTCCATCTTCATTCGACCGAGTTGGGAACCAAATCTCGCCGGTCTACATCTGTGTACTACCGTTCCCCTCCGCTCTTATTACTATTTCCCTCCTCTCCCCTTTTTTTCTTTTCTTATCTCTTATGTTTGCTCTGTCCTAGCTTGGATCTACATCATTTCTTTAGGAGTCAAAAAGGGCATCAGCTATTCTCCCATGTGAGCATTGAACGGACCCCGTATCTTTGCACTGTCAGGTACCGCGGGGTATTGAGACCAAGAAAAAGAAAATGAGCAGGAGAAAAAGAATCAAAGATAAATATGTAAGATAGTATGTAGTAGTGACTATCCGAGCCAGTATACTTTGAAGCGAACTTCGAATTTTGTATTGAATTTGATAGAGTCCGTTCTAGGGCTAGAACTTGATTGATATAGATGCTTAACGCGAAAAGGGGAGCTCGGGCCACCGAATCTGGAGATCGCGACTTTTCGGTTTCGCGCCCTGATCAGCAACCTCCCTTTGTATCCCGCAACGCCCACCTTCCCTTTCCCTCCATCATCTACCTTCGATTTCTTAGTGGAATCGCTGTCAAAGTCTCCGCGAAGCTATACGGGGAACCTGCAAGGGGTTGTGTCTGCGATGTCACCTACGATAAACACCTGAGCCTCCATCCATCCGTTAACGACCTCAAGCTCGCCGTTTCTCTTGTCGACCCTCGCTCTAAAGGCTTCACACCGACACGAAATACACCGGATCCGAGCTCAGAAATTTCGAAAATTTTTATATTTGCTTCGTATCGAGGAGTGGCGCACTCCGCCCCGGTTGCGCAATGCACATCATCAAGCCAGTCTGGCTTACACATGGAGGTACGAGCATCTGCGATGGAGTTATTACCGGGGATTTGCTGCCTGGGAATTGAGAACTTGATATACATTGTGGACTACCAGCGGAACTGATTAGATACCCAATCTGGATTCCAGTGCTAATTGCTTCTTTATTCGCATAGGTGAAAGGAAAGATTTCGAGGTTTACAGTTGTGATGTCTCGCCGGATGGGAAGAGATTGGTCACTGCGGCAGGAGGTGAGATTTGATACAATGAAAACATAGTGGGACCTTTGCTGGAAGCACATAGCAGTGCCTGCGCAGCTGGGATGGCCGAAGGATCGATCGCTAATACCCAAGTTTTTGTGCTGCAGATGGATACGTGCGGATCTGGTCCACAGAGGCCATTTATAACACCGGTAATCCGGAATTTGCGAATAAACCAAAACAGCTTGCCTCAATGAGCAACCACTCCGGCACGATTCATACCGTTCGATTCTCTCCAAATGGTCGATACCTTGCGTCAGGGGCGGATGATAAGATTGTTTGCGTTTACACGCTGGATACCAATCCTCTAACACACGGCTCAACATTCGGTAGGTCTTTCTACGGGTGGATAATACGGTGGGAATTGAATACCAGCTAACACCATTTCAACCCCGCGCAGGCTCCGACGAAGCACCACCTGTGGAGAACTGGCGTACGATTCGGCGATTGATCGGACACGACAACGATGTGCAGGATCTGGGGTGGTCGTATGACTCGTCGATCCTGGTCTCTGTTGGACTTGATTCTAAGGTGGTAGTGTGGTCTGGGCATACATTTGAGAAACTGAAGACTCTTTCTGTGCACCAGAGTCATGTCAAAGGCATCACATTTGACCCCGCAAACAAGTACTTTGCTACCGCCAGTGATGACCGTACTGTTCGCGTTTTCCGCTTTACGTCGCCCGCCCCCAACTCGACATCTCATGATCAAATGAACAATTTTGTCTTGGAACAAACTATCTCCGCCCCCTTCGCCAATTCTCCTTTGACCGCATATTTCCGACGTTGCTCTTGGTCTCCTGATGGTATGCATATTGCTGCTGCGAACGCAGTCAATGGGCCAGTTAGTTCAGTGGCTATTGTCAACCGTGGCTCGTGGGATGGAGATATCAACCTCATCGGTCACGAAGCACCGGTCGAGGTGTGCTCATTTTCCCCGCGTCTGTATTCCCGGGAGCCTATCCAAAAGCAAACGGGTGATAACCACGCGGCGCAGCATCATATAACCGTTATTGCTTGCGCCGGTGCAGACAAGTCCCTCAGTGTCTGGATTACTAGCAATGCTCGCCCTATCGTGGTAGCTCAAGAAATGGCCGCCAAGTCTATTTCAGACCTAGCCTGGAGTCCTGACGGCAAGTGTCTTTACGCTACAGCTCTTGATGGCACCATTGTAGCAGTCCGGTTCGAGGAAGGCGAGCTAGGATATGCAGTTGAAATGGAAGAGAACGAGAAGTCTCTGACCAAGTTCGGAACAAACCGTAAGGGTGCCGGTATTACAGAGACCACGGATGCCTTGCTACTTGAAGAGAAGAGCAAAGCAGGCGAAATCAAGGGCGTTGAAGGTCGTATGGGTGCACTCATGGGTGATGGCGCAGAGCCTGCTGTCAATGGAGGATCTACAACGCAACCTGCGAATGGTTCGACACCGGCACGAGCTTCGTCACCAAACCCAGAACCTGCGAAAGCGCAAACAAACGGAACACCGTCAACTCCCGCGGCTAATGAAGCGGACAAACCCGATCCGTACCTTGCTAAGCTGGAAAGACTCAAGTCACGTCCGACCTATACGAAAGAAGGAAAGAAGCGAATCGCCCCTCTACTTGTTTCTGGAGCCGGTGCTGGTGAATCTTCTCTACCACAGGCTCGTTTGATGGCTTCGGTAAGTAGCCAAGCCAAGTCAGATGCCCCGGCATCAATTGTGGATCTTTCAAAACCGTTCGATGGGCTGCCCAAGGGTGGCTTAACTGCCTTGCTTCTTGGCAACAAGCGGAAACTGGGTCAATTAGAGGGCGACGAGGAGGGGCAAACCGAAAAACGTGTGGCCCTGTCAAGTCAAAATGGTGCCACGCCAATCATGGCGAACACACCTGATGGACTTCTCCCAGCTCAAACACAGCCGGCAGTAGCAGGCCAACAGCCTACTCCAGAATTTCTTCGACCTGCAGTCACAAATCCTTGCATGTCCGTCAGCCAACTGCGCCTTGCGGTTCCCAAGATTCGCAGTCACATCCTTCGTGCACTAGATGCAACCGGCAAACCTACTGAGCCTCCAGCTACTGGAGGCGATTCGAGCACCAAGTCCAACGTAGACGTTGTCTTTGAGGCTCGAAACCCCTCGCCAGCCAGTTTGACAGGTCGGGCTGTAGATAGGGAACCTGTGCGCCTTACCCTTTTCCGCGGTGAACAACCACTTTGGCAGGATTTCCTCCCCAAGTCTGTGCTACTAGTCACCGGAAATCAAAGCATGTGGGCGGCTGCCTGTGAGGATGGCTCAGTTTACATCTGGACTCCGGCTGGTCGCCGCCTGGTAAGCGCTTTGGTCTTGGAAGCGCAACCCGTCATTCTGGAGTGTAACGGCCCATGGATTTTGTGCATATCATCCGTGGGTATGTGTTATGTCTGGAATGTGAAACACCTCTCTTCTCCACACCCACCTGTCTCTCTACAACCCGTTCTTGATGCTGCTATCTATGTCATGGGTGCCACACCCACTGTTGCTCCCGCTGTCACAGATGCACGGGTCAATTCAGAAGGCCGGATTGTCGTGTCCTTGACCAATGGTGAAGGATATTCTTACTCACCGTCCATGTACACATGGCAGCGTGTCTCAGAAGCCTGGTGGGCTGTTGGCAGCCAGTACTGGAACTCGACAGAAGCACCCGTGGGCAACCTGCAAGCAAGAGACGCACATCAAGATACGAAGGATGCCAAGGCTGCAGTGTCGGCTGGTATAATTCCATTCTTAGAGCGCAACACGACCAATGAGACTCTACTCCGGGGTCGTGCATACTTCCTGCAACGACTCATTAAGGTTCTTCTTTCGCGTGAAGGCTACGAGACCCTTGAGTCCAGCGTCTCCATCGCTCATCTTGAGAACCGCATGGCTGCTGCTCTCTCTCTGGGTGCGAAGGAGGAATTCCGCCTTTACTTGAACATGTATGCCAAGCGTATCGGAGCCGAGGGCATGAAATTGAAGGTCGAGGAGCTTCTCAAGGGATTGATTGGGGGCTTATTCGATGAAGACGAAGGCTCCGATGCCGTGTCAAGACTACAGGCCAATGAGCGCGAGGGCCGCAATTGGTGCGAGGGTTCGGATGATCTTTGTGGTTGGCCACGGGAGACTTTGCTGAAGGAGGTGATTCTTGCTCTTGGTATGTATTTTGCAATCCTCCAATTTGATTCTAACTTCATTCGATCCTATGCTAACTGTTCTTCTCTAGGCAAATACCGGGAACTTCAGCGCGTCACTGTTCCATACGCTAAGCTACTGGATCTGGTGGACACTACCACAGATGGTGATGCGATGGATCTATGATGAACCTGGCTGGTGGCCTTGTTTGTCACTTTGTTTATGGCGTTAAATAAATGTTCCTTGGGACGGTGCACGGAGGGGTTTTCTGTTGCTGCTTTTCTTATTATCTTAAGCTTTTTATATTCCGATACTCCGATATCCCGGCGTGACTCAGATGATGCAATTGGGGGGTTGTATTTATATTATGGTCTATGCATGAAGCTCACAAAAAGCATTTTGTATTCTCCCATTGGGTTAACCTGTTCTTTCCTTCTTGAAATGTAGCTCTTGTAAAGGATTTTGCACTAGCATGTACCTCAAGGGTTCAAATGTTCAAGTAGTGACGTCAAGGGCGCAGGGCTTCACGTGGGCGGTAAGTAATGCAGGCAGAAAACTTTGATGACATGTTTCTCCCCTTGCTATTCCAGTTGCAAAGCTATCGAGATTCGGAACTACAGCTCACTTACCCTCCTTTACTCTGTCCTTTCTCGGCTTCTAATCAATTCCAATTGATTCCTTACCCGCTGTTTGGTGGGTGCCGCCATAACGTCTCTTCTCAATTCCTCCGTTCTTTTCTTTGGCATCGTCGACCGATCCGCAGCTGGTCCTGCTTTCACCGCGCGCTACTATTCCTGCCGCTTCCGCCTTCGTCCATCCCCCCACCTTCAACCTCCCAAGGTCTCTTGTCGCTTTTACTCCAAGAAGAAATCCAATAAAATGCCTCCCAAGAAGGCCCAAGTTCAAGAGAAGGTCCTCCTGGGCCGACCTGGAAACAACTTGAAGAGCGGTATCGTATGTGAGCAATGACCCCACTTCTGCTGGTTTTTTCCGCGTTTTTTTTCACACAGCACAGTCCACTTTTTAATTCCACACAAAAACTATTTAAGCCTCCCCTTTTCCCCCTTCCTTCCTTCTTCTGCATTTATTTTTTTCTTCTCTTCCACTTCAACAACTCAAAATGATCCTATTGAATACATGATTCAATGGACCTTTGGTTCACAGATACTTACTCATTATGATATAGGTCGGTCTTGCGAACGTCGGCAAGTCCACGCTCTTCCAGTCCATCACCAAGTCCTCCCTTGGTAACCCTGCCAACTTCCCTTATGCTACCATCGACCCCGAGGAGGCCCGTGTCATCGTTCCCGATGAGCGCTTCGACTGGTTGTGCCAGCAGTACAAGCCCAAGTCCGTTGTGCCCGCCAACTTGACCGTGTACGATATTGCCGGTCTTACCCGCGGTGCCTCCACTGGTGCTGGTCTCGGTAACTCTTTCTTGTCTCACATTCGTGCCGTCGATGCCATCTTCCAGGTTGTGCGTTGCTTCGACGATGCTGAGATTATTCACGTCGAGGGCGATGTCAACCCCGTCCGCGATTTGACCATTATCAGCGAGGAGCTGCGCATTAAGGATATCGAGTTCGTCGAGAAGGCTCTCGATGCCCTTGGCAAGCAGACTCGCCGTGGTGGCCAGTCGTTGGAGATGAAGAAGCTCAAGGAAGAGGAGGCTACTGTTGGCCGCGTTCTGCAGTGGCTTAAGGATGGCAAGGACATCCGCCAGGGTGACTGGAGCCCTAAGGAGGTACGTTTTTACATTTTTTCTTTATTCTTCTGCCAACCCTCTCCCTTTCCCAATTGGATTCCATAACAGGATGAATAAGAGCATAGCTCGAATATAACCCAGCTCTTCGAATTCCGCCCCAACACTTATAATCCGTTGCGGGCTGTTGAGAAAAAAACCCTTATCTGAAACGTTTTGGAGTCCTTTTGTCTTATTCACAAATTACTCTCAATCATTTGAAATCAAATATACTGACTCAATTGATTATAGGTTGAGGCTATTAACCCTCTGTTCCTCCTGACCGCTAAGCCCGTTGTCTACCTCGTCAACCTGAGCGAGAAGGACTACATCCGCAAGAAGAACAAGTACCTCCCCCCTCTGTTCGAGTGGATCAAGACCAACTCCGAGGGTGCTCCCATCCTGCCCATCTCCGCTTGCTTCGAGGAGCGTCTTGCCCAGATGGGTGACGATGCGGCTGCCGAGGAGGAGTGCAAGAAGCTCGGCACTACTTCCGGTCTCCCTAAGGTCATCACCACCATGCGCCAGGCTCTTAACCTAGGCAGCTTCTTCACTACTGGTACTGATGAGGTCCGTCAATGGACTATCCGTAAGGGCACCAAGGCTCCTGCCGCCGCTGGTGTTATCCACGGTGACTTCGAGAAGACCTTCATCCAGGCTATCGTGTACAACTACGCTATGCTGAAGGAGCTTGGTGACGAAGGTGCCGTCAAGGCTGCCGGTAAGATCATGACCAAGGGTAAGGACTACGTTGTTGAGGATGGTGATATCCTTCTCATCAAGGCCGGTGCTGCCAAGAGCTAGATATATTTCAAGTAGATTACCCACAAATGACAAAACTTGAACATGACCTAGAACATTCTTCCATCTTATTATCTGTTTATTTTATCTTGAATATCTGAACAAGTCAAAACTCGACGTAATTCTGCCTTCCCACAGAGTAGGTCAATGCTATTTCTTTTCTAGCCTTAGGCCGATCGCCCCTCCATGCTATGTATCATCACGTGATATCCCCGCGGATCCCACTTCCCATTGATAGGAATCCGATACACAGCAACCCTCTCCAAGAAAAGCGTCAACATGTTCAAAAAAGAGTGAGTACATACATTCAGTGCCCTCGCTGTTCTTAGGGCTGCACGTCAAGAAGCCCAAGGAGAACCCCGGCCCCCAGAACCTAGAACAATGGGCCAAATCTCAGCACGCAAAATCAAAAGCTCCACCAGCTATCTCAGCAAGCAGTAATGAAACAAATGCTGCAGAAAGAGACAAGCTTGGGATAAGCCAGTTTCTCATTATATACCACACAGACCTCAGTGCCATATATCGGACCGAGCTTGATCCAAAGTCCGGTTTCCAGAACACATCCCAGCTAACAACCACTCTTACAGTATCCCATCGAGCAACCGCTCCAAGGTCAAGTCCTCAGTGCAGCGTGGCCTGCGCCAAAAGCTGCTGGAGACCTACCCCGGCTTCGAGCCCTACATTGAAGAGATCCTCCCCAAGAAGGCATCCCTAGAGGCCGTGAAGCTGTACGTCACACGAACCAACAACCTCAATTCAATCCAATTGCAAAGCTCTTCGCCATTCCCCATGAACTCGAACTAACAATATCCCCCCATAGTCCCGACCGTGTCACCCTCTACACAATAGACTCAACCCCCCTCTTCTTCCAACCCTTCGACGGCCCCCCAATCCCCCACCTCAAGCTCGTCCACCAGTTCCCCTCCGCGCTCCCAACCATCCAGATCGACCGCGGCGCCATCCGCTTCGTCCTGTCTGGTGCTGCGCTCATGGCGCCGGGCCTGACATCGCCTGGTGGCCGGTTGCCGGATGCCGCAGACGCACTGGAGGCGGGTCGCATTGTCGGTGTGAAGGCTGAGGGCAAGGAGGAGATTTGTCTTGTTGGAGCGCTGAAGATGGGCACCGAGGAGATGAAGAGTAAGGGTAAGGGTGTCGTTATGGATGAAGGTCATTACTTGGGTGATGGGCTTTGGAAGATGCATTTGGATTAGAGGGGCTTATTCAAATGGTTGTATATGGCTGAGCTCACCTGCAGGAGAGCCGGTGGAATTCAAAGTGCATGGTGGAATGAATGAGTGCGGATGGATGCTATTGATGATGGTTTATGACTGGATTTTTGGTTTTGATTTGGGGTGGTTGCATATACCTATGATTTACTTGTTTACAAGTTTTTATGATGATCTCTAGGGTCGGTAACAAAATAAATTATGAAGTTTCTTATGGATTTTTGCTCGTACATCCATCCATAGACAGCCCTGTCAACGAGTGTTTATATTCTTGGCCTTGGAATGTCTATGTGATGTCCCAAAACATTTGAAGGTTCTAACCTTGCATGTGGAAGGTTGACGAGCCGGAGCACTGATATGCACGTGCATGACCAAATAAGATATTTCCAGATTAGATTTTGGATAGGTACCTAAAATTCAAAGGACCAAGTATGTACAAACAAGGTGGGAATAGAACAATAACCTTGAAGAAGATTCAAATGTTCGAAACGGCAGCAGTCCACAGGTGGACCGACATAAAAGCAAGAGGGAGATTGTGAGTTGAAAGCTCAAAGATCATCCCGACTATCGAAAGAATGGGAATATTCATCCGAGACATCTCCCTGATTCGGCGAGAGTGACGACGTTGGCGAAAGAGAGGACCACGACGGGGTCCTTATTGGGAGACTCAGACCAAGCCCCTTGACACCAGCCGCGGAAGCAGACCTCGATCCCAACCCGGGATGAGTGCCATTCCGCGCGGGCCAGGACCGTAGTCCCACACGACCAATAGCACGCTGTAGCATTTCACCCGATGCATCAAGGGCAATCAGGAACCGGGCAAGTTCAGCACAAAGTTCCCAGTCACCCTTTTGCGAGGCGAGACCGATGAGTCGGACAACGTATTCCTCGATCCGGCCATCATGGCTCTGTTCCTCGTCTTCAAATGCTTGAAGAACAAGAAGGTACCCGACGGCAGTCTTGAGGGAATCGAGCTTGAGGGCCTGCTCGAAAAGGTCTTTTGGTGGAGGCAGGTAGTTGAAGAGAGTGCGCCAGGATCTGAGCTCGGTTTTGCGGGTGCACTGCACCACGATGTCGAGATACTCCCGGGTGGGAAGAGAGGCCTGGAGGAAGGCGATAACAATGGGGAGGAGGGGGCCTTCTCGGAGAGTTGGTTCGTCAGATTTGTTGGCGCGGCTCTCGTTGTCTACCTCCTCGTCGAGAACATGATGGAGGAGAATTTCTAGACCGTGTGCAAAGTAAGATAGATGCGAGAAGTGTCGGCATAGAGAGAGTGCTGCTGGTGTTCCATAATTGACCAGACCGTATTGAAGAAAGTATGGTAGGAAGAGGTGTGTCTAAGAAGGATTGTTAGGAACATGTATTCCCCACAGGAAGAAATCAACATACCCGAATGGCGAATTTGAGGGTAGTAAATGTGACGTCTCGCCGCTGCATCAATTCGGATTCAACTCCTAGTACAATGCCCTTGTTCAACAGGACGGAGAGGGGGTAGAAGTCGAGGGGTATATTGAGCGGTGCCGGCACCGTCTCTTGTTGAAGCACGTCGTGTACGTCATTCCATGCGAGCAGGTCCTGACCGCGGAACATCCAGAGAGAGTCACTTAGAGATAGACTGCTATGGGATGAACCAAGAGCCATTTCGGCAGAGGGACTGGCTGGGAGAGACTCGTCTATGGGAGGTGCAAAGTTAAAGGAGAGTTGATCTCGCATCAAAATGTAATATTCGACATCATGAGAAATGACACGCATATCGTATTTGAGATCTCCAGACTCAGTCACTGTTGGTTGCAACAGAACAAGATTGCCGTCGACCAAGAGAATCACAGATGCAACCTTGACATCTTGAGAAGGATCCCCATTGTCTGCAAAAGCATGTTAGTAATTAAATCAATGGCCTTCAGGTATTGGGGACTTAACGCATTTGGTCTTCGGGCAAGACCCAACTAATTGCCCGTACTCGGCTAGGAGCTCTGACAATCCCATTGAACGCGATCTGTCCCACAGGAACAAGGGTTATTTGGGGACGTGAGGAGTTGATGATATAATGGTACAGGATATTATCGTATGTGTACACCAAGAGCGAGTCTTCTCCAGAGGGACCAATGAACACAACAGGGGCTGGAAGATACTCGATGAACATGATCGAGTTGTTGTTTAGCGCGGCCTCTCGCGAGTAAAGACGTATCTGATAGGTTCAGTCAGCTTGGCACTAACACGCCATGTAGATGCAACATACCTCGTACGATGACCCATCACCTTCAACAGCTGCAATCAAAATATGCCCATACCAGCACATTCCTCCTCGAACGGCAAATGAGTTCTCCACCTTGGAATCTTCAAATACCTTCCACCGACCGCTATTCACACTATAGTGTGCCAATCCCCTTCGTCCGGCAATAGCCACGTATCGTCCATCTTGAGATACGACAGTTGACCGAATGGGCCACTGTGAGTGCAGATATGCCGGGGGATACTGAGCATGATGCCATAGCGAGTCTTTGCCCGAAATAGTCATAAGTTCCGGCAAATCATGACCGCGGTAAAGTATCAATTCTGTTCCGGTCTGCAGTAAGCCCCGAGCAAGGTTGGCAGCAGAAAAGCAGCCCGTCAAGGCACTACGAGCTGTCTCCAGAATCCAGAGACGCCGATCATTTTGTCCTGACAGAATGATATCGGATCCACCACCTATCCAGCAGCCAGTGGAAACGCCTATTAGCCAGCCTTCTTCGTTGGACTTGGCTTGAGAAGAATCAACAGTGAAGCTGTTACCGCCAGGTTTTCCAAACACACTCCATGTTGTCCAACCATTTTCGTAGCCAGCAAAAAGACAATATCCGTCCGGCGAATAGCTCATGAAAGTCAATGCACCAGTGGTATTGGGCGTTGCTGGAAGCTGTAGCTTCTGGGAAAGCGGTACATTTCCCGTGTAGTCTTTGGCTGTGTATACCAAAATCTCGCCATTCGCACAGCTGACCGTCAGAAGGGAGAAACGCGCATTGACTGCCACTTTGACCGCCTTTGCCCCATCATCTTTGGGGTCATGGAAGCAGTGTCCATGAAACAATTTTTTATGTCCTTCGGAATCCTGTTGACCCTCAGCCACTCGTTGCACGGCATATGCTTGGCCAGTGCTCGTGAGCCAAATTAAGACGTTCATGGCACGGTCATAAACCATATCCGCAATAGACACACTCTTCGGAATACTCAGAATGCGGCTTAACATCTCCGAAGTAGTCTGTGTTCCACCTGCCTCCGGAGTCCACCGGATACATTGTATGGCTGGCGGTTTGACAGTGGCAACAATGAGCTCCTGATCCAGGGCCAATGCCTTGACAATCCCAGACTCGATCTTGATGGCCATTCGAAACCGAATACTGATATCCCCGACCACATTGGATTCCTCAACAGCCGAAAAGTGCGTTAGTTGTTGGCGCCGCGGATGTGTCGAGTGGTCGAATCGTTGCCTGTAGACTTGCGTCGCTAGGTCCGAGGCTACTGCATATGTGAGCAGGTATCCATGGAGAGTTTGGACAACTAGGATTGTCGAGTCTGGGTGCATCAGAACTGAGGCATTAGATCCGTATGTTTCTAGGGAATGCGAGGACCGCGCTATAGCTGCAACGACTGCCGTTGGCTGTAGTATGTATCAGCAACCACATTCGGAACCAAGACTAAGACATGGACAAACCTTAGTTTGCCACAGCGAGATCGAAGACTCTGTTATGGTTGCAAACATATGACCTGACCGAGACACACATAAGCCATTGATAGCTTCATTCTCCCATTTTGGGGTATCCTTTTCGGCTACCGATTCGGGGATTGGCTCCTGGCCCTCACTGATGGGGGGTTTGGGGCCTTCTGTCTCGTCATTGCTGTCGGCTATTGAGCTGCGAGGAGCCGGTGTTGCAGGAAGTTGTTGGCGATCCTCGTCGTGTGAAATATCGGCGATGTCAGGGCCATTGACGGCATAGACCCTGGGGACTCCATTCGGCCAATACATGGCTCCAGGTCGGAAAGGGGGCGTTTATGACTTGCGATGAAGCTCACATGGAGTCATCTCGTCCCGGAAAGTAACACGATTGGAGGTTAATTCCGTTGTAAGATGGAGAAAAAAGAAGATATTCGAATGCTCTAGATGAAGTTGCAAGTCCAAACAATCAATCCAACGGGGACGATAAGCGGCATCACGTGCGTGAAGCTCCCCGCATTGTTCTTGACACTTTTTTCTTCTCTCCTGAACTCAGTCAACGAATCCTAAATCCTTGTGAGTTATTTACTAAAATAAGCTAAGATGGTGAGCCTGAACTCTTGATTTGACCTTTGATTGTGAAGTTGGGTTTATGCTGACAATGCGAATGTATAGGCTCCCACTGAAAGCAACAAGCGTCTGGCTCTGGCCATCGTCGACTTCCTCGGATCTAGCCTTAAGGACGGCACCCTGACCGCTGATGATGCCGAATCCATCGAGATTGCCCAGTCCTGCATTGCCGATACATTTAAGGTTGACCCGACCGATGAGGCTGCCGTGAAGGAGGCCGTCGGCGGACAATCTCTTGCCAACATTTACAGCGTCTATGAGAAGCTGCGCAACAAGTCCACTCCCCAGGCCTCCAGCGCCGGCGCCCAGCAGTCCCAGGATGACAAGCCCAAGGCCGGCGCACCCACTCCCGAGTCCGACAAGTTGAAGTCCGAGGGTAATGCCCTCATGTCCCGCAAGGACTACACCGGTGCCATTGAGCAATACACCAAGGCCCTGGAGATTGCCCCAGCCAACCCTATCTACTTGTCCAACCGCGCTGCTGCATACTCTGCCTCTTCCCAGCACGAAAAGGCTGCTGAGGATGCTGAGCTGGCTGTTGCCGCTGACCCCACGTACTCCAAAGCCTGGAGCCGTCTGGGTCTCGCCCGCTACGAGATTGGTGATTTCCACGCTGCAAAGGAGGCTTACGAGAAGGGTATCGAGGCTGAGGGCAACGGTGGCAGTGAAGCCATGAAGCGCGGCCTGGAAACCTCCCAGCGCAAGATCGATGAGGCTAGCCGCGGTACTGAGCCCCCTTCTGAGGAACTGGATACTGCCCCTGGTGCCTCCCGTGGTGGTGGCGGTATGCCCGATCTGTCATCTCTCGCCGGCATGTTCGGTGGCGGTGGTGGCGGTATGCCGGACATGAGCTCTTTGATGAGCAACCCCATGTTCGCTAGCATGGCCCAGAACCTCATGAGCAACCCTGATATGCTCGGTAACTTGATGAGCAACCCGCGCCTCCGTCAAATGGCCGAGGGTCTTGGACAAGGTGGTGGTGGCGGTATGCCCGATATGTCCAGCCTTATGAGCGACCCCAGCATTGCCGAAATGTAAGTTTTTTTTTCTAATGCTCATTGTTTTAAATCTACAAATACTGACAGCTTGTTGCTAGGGCCCGTAACATGATGGGTGGAGCTGGACGCGGTGCCGGTGGCCAGCAGTAAATCATGATTCGATGACCTTCTTTTTCGGTTAATGCATGACTAGAGACACGATCTGATGGTATTGTGGCGAGCGTTTCTGTTAAACGAACTATTCCTACTCTGATATCCATTTCGGTTAGTATTCTTATACTCATAGAACGTACCTTAATACCCCTGTATATGACAGGGACGGCAAATTGTTTAACATTTGAATATATGCTTGTTGAAAATGCGCTTGTACCACCCGTTATGCTACATCCATGGATGTATTACCTAGCCCCGGGCCTGTAGGATACATACCCTGCAAACGTGGGCACGGTTCAATGTTCCTTAGTATGTAACGTCAACTGCACATGTCAACTTGAAGCACTCAAGTGCTTGAGATTATGTATGTTGGAGCATTGCCAAAATGTTTATGTTGAAATTTTGCGTGCCTACTTCCAAATGTTCCGTTCAAATGTTCCTTTGAAAAATCAATCAATTGGTTCCAGACATCTGGACAGACTTTGGAAGCTTGAGGGCATTCATGACCAATCAATGTCCATGGACGGTCCTCTATCAATTGATGTATAAAGAACTTGAAGGTTACATATGTAAATGGATTCAATGTTAAATAAATTAACATTTGAAGAGGGATATATTCATTTTGAAGATTCAAACCAGATACATTCTCCGTTGATATATTTACACAGCTTAATGCAACAGTGGTTCTCTCTGCACCCGTGGGATGAGACCCCAGAGGAATGCAAAACAAGTAACCAGAAACTCAATGACCGATATGAACGGCCCAAATGCAGATCAGACAGTGTCGAGGGGAGAGTGAAAAATGCAAAGCACAGGACGCCGTGAAACACCTCAAGCCCAAATGCCATCGAACCAGCTCAAATTCAACGCGCAGCTGCAGTCCGAGTCTATGGAGAGGGAGGGAGTTTTTTGCTTTTCAGCCAGACTCGAGTAGGCTTGGAAAGAAACAATGAACAACCCAGAGTTAACAGAAAGACAAGTGAGAAAAGTGAGAATAGAAAAAAAAGTGAACATTAATACATGAAAGGGGAACGACCTGTCAAGTAGATCGGCCATTACCGTAAACAAGCGCCAGCTCCGCCTGGCCTGATATCAAAGTCATATTGTACAGTCGAGAGGAGGAGCAAAGATGAAAGAGGAAAAGATGATCAAGTGGGGGGGTTTTAAAAAATACAGTTTGAGATGTGGCGGCTGTATGATGAAGGGAGAGAAACCAGTCTGTCTCCTTAAATGTAGTCGCGAGCAGCCTTCTGGAGCTCAATCAATCTCCAGCCACGGGTCTCAGGGTTGTTGACTTCCTCGGGAATGCGAGTCAAACCAATAGCGTAGGTCACCAACTGGACCTTGTCCTCCATACCAGCAGCGAGTTTGCCAGTCTTCACGTTGCGGTACACGTGGACTTCCTGGGCGCGGCAGGTAACGACAAAAACGGGGATGTCACCAGGGTCCAACAGACGAGCGTTGGAAACATCAACACCACGGACGTCCAGCACACGACCATCCGAGCGGAGGCCGGCTGTAGTGTATTGCTTGGCAAGAGCGGCATAGACGGAGAACTGAGCATCGGACAGCCACAGCTTCAAGGTCTCAATGTCACCCTTGACGTAAGCATCGAGAACCTCTGGCAACATATATTCACGGAGTTCACGCAGGAACTCTTCCATCTGGAAGTTCGGGTCAATCTCACGGAACTTCTTGATGACGCGAGCAGTCTCATTCTCGGCAAAGAATCCACCGATACGATCAGTAATGCTACGCGCAGTAGAGATGAGAGGGTTCTCAGACTCCTCGTAAACATTTCGGGCGTCGAAGAGCTTTTGCATCATGGGGTTGGAGTCACGGAAAGTGCGCCAAGATTCCTTCCAAGCAGCATCCTTGTGGAGAGTAACGTTGGTGCCGGCACTGATACATGAGTTAGCTATTATTTCAATCTTATGAAAACAAGCAAGAAAAGCTTACTTGGGATCCTCAGTCATCGACTCGATCTTATCCGACTTTCCATACTTGGCCTCCAACTCCTCGCGGCGCTTGCGGCGCTCTTCCTTCTCAACCCATCCACCGTAGCGAGAACTGCTACCATCGTCAATGGCGTCCTTCACGCTCTTGTAAGCCTCGGTCTGACGGACGGGTCGGGTGGCCTTCTCAAGACCCGCACCAGTGGCGTTAACACCCAGACGCACACCTTTCACGACTGGAGTGTTCCATGTCCAAGCCGCACTCTTTCCAATCACTTGACCAGTGGACTTCAACGCGGCACCAGTGCGGGTAGTGGCAGCTCCAGATGCAGCCTTGTAGGCCTCACGAGCGCGCTTGATGTTCTCACTCTCACTGAACTCATGCGCCGAGGAAGCCAAAGCCTTGGTAGACTCATTCCATTCCTTAGAAGCCTTGAACTCGGTCTGGAGAGTGTCACGGAACACCTGCCATGGAGACTTGTCTCCATGGGGTGGTGGCGGCGGAGCATCTTCCTTCTTTTCCTTCTTCTCTCCCTCCTCCTTAGACTCCTGGCCTTCGGATTCGGACTTGTTCTCCTCGCCCTTCTTTTCCTCCTTCTGCTGCTGTTGCTGTTGTTGGAAAAGGGAGTTGGCGACGTGGAAAGAACGGGTCAAGGGAAGAGCGGCAAACGGCGACACGATCTGGGAGACGGGAAGACGACTGTGCTGGAGAGTACTCCTGGAAGACAACTTCAAGGTCTGAGCCGGCAGGGCCGAGTATGAAACGGCCCGAGAGCCATGCGCGGCTCTGAGAATCGGAGCATGAGACCGAATCGTGGCCGCGCGTGCGGTGGTGGACATCTTTGCGGAAATCATGCTCTGGGATTATAAGGGGGCAGAATAGATAAGAAAAAGAAAAGGAAAGAGGATTCAAGGAAGTGAGAAAAGTATCCAGCCCAGCCCGGATGTTCGGGGTAAAGTATTGAGGTGTAAGGATTGGGACCGGGGAAGAAGGTGAGTAAGGGAAAAAGTCGAGATGCCAAGACTTCGAAAAACTTCCAATGTTTCCCTTTCCGCCTCTTGTCTCCGATCACGGCTGCGACTCCATCCCGGTCTGTCACGATCACCGAGGGCAATTGCACGTTCTCAACGCCATATCTATTTGAACTTAGCTGAAGGCTGTCATATTCTGCGACTTTCCATTCCCGTATACCTTTGCCGCGTGCCCTACATTCGCCGACGCACCGGCATCTTGTCGCCGCGATGAATTCTTTCTCGATGAACACACTCGCCAAAGCTCTGCCATCAGTATGCCGGCAATCTCAATCTCAGGTCGCGAGCTTGCGAACTGTTCGACCTTTGTCTACCTCTTCGAGTGTCTTCGCGAACTTCCGGGACCGTACCCGATCGATGGAGAGCCAAATTCTCAACCGTGACACAGAGAGCCCGAGTGATTCGTCACCACTATCTGCCATCACCCAAATGATGCAGGGAAGCAGTGACTCTGGCTCTGCCGCCCGGGTTCGCTCCGACTACTCCAGATTGGCCGAAAGCCTCGAAGCCGATATGATGAAGAACCCCTACGCCGACCGTGCCCCTCCTCACCACCTCCACGTCTTCTGCCATAAACACAACACAATGATTACTTTGACACGGCCAAATGGAAACCCCCTCATGTCCATGGGCTGTGGTCAGATTGGATTCCGTAAAGCTGGTCGTTCCGGCTTTGACCCTGCCTACCAGCTGTCGTCACACGTGATGTCACAGATCCAGGAACGAGGATACCTGATGGATATCAAGCGACTTGAGGTCGTTTACCGTGGCTTCGGAAAGGGCCGAGAGGCGTTCACTAAGGTATTGCTTGGAAACGAGGGACGTAACGTCCGTGGACTTGTGAGCCGAGTGACCGACTCGACTCGCGTCAAGTTCGGTGGTACTCGTAGCCGGAAGGTTCGCAGACTTGGTTAAGAAAAGCAACTGGGATATATCCATTTCATTTGCAGGTCACCTATCAGGAGGACCCGGAGTTTCTTCTTTTGTCCTTGTTTTCATCTCCGTGTGGGAGATATTGTATTGAAGATGGACTTGGTCTTGGGAGACCATATTTTCTGGGCATAGCTGTTTGCCATGTGATTCTATATTGTACAATATCAAATCGATTTATTTCTATTACCCCGAGTACACCTGTTATCTCAAGTAATAATGAGCGTAATTGTTGAATCGTTTTGCTGTCATTTTCACCTTTTTTTGCATTCAAGATTCACTAAACAATGGAAATCCGGATGTCCCTGACTTACCAAACACGGTATAGCGTGTAATCAGCTCCCGCAGCGATCACGTTCTCGAACTTCTCTACTTCCAAGTCTTCAGCTTTGATGATTTTCATGCGCATTTGACTAATTCTTTCTATCGTGTCATTTTATCCTGAATTGACTTTCATTCTTCTGTCTTGTTCTTGGCGGACGCATCCCCGACCGGCCCTCGGCCTTTTGCAACCCCGGACTGTTGCCTGTCTTCGAATGCGCCGGAGCTTCCCCGCGAAACGATCAACGCACAATCTTCTCCCCACAGTCAGCGACCTGATATCTACGGCTTGATGATTGCTGGAGACTGTTTGCTGGGCCGTCCAATACCGTTTGGATGCACCCTCTAAACCCTTTTCTCCGCGCCTTCTTCCGAAGCACTGTTCCGGGGCAGTGTATACCCGTTGAGAATCATGTAAGTGTAGCTGATGCGAGACCCTTCGGATCGACTCGGACTGGCTGACTTGTGTCAATTTGACTTGATAGGTCCTTCTTGTCCCTACGACAGAATGTCTGGTCGGCTCGCGGGATCGGGAGTCCAATCTGTACTACTCGGATCTTGTCGCGTCGGAGGAGTTTCTAGGGAGTCATGTATTACGAATTCCAATCAACGCAGCCTCAAAGGATGGAAAGGAGGATTCAAATGTGCGGGATAATAGGGGCAAAGCAAAGCAAGTCACGACTTTCAATGGGAGAACAGTTATTATCAAGGAGAACTCAGTCTACAGCAACAAAGGTGGGGAACAACGAGCAACAAGCTGGGGGTTTTCTTCTAATACTGACTTCCATCTTTCCAGGCTTCAAATCCCTTACTCAAGCTCAGTTGTTGTCTGACGCCTTATATTACACACCATCAAGCGAGTCGAGACCATGGCTTATATACTACATCTCTCGCCCGTTGATAGGAACGTTTGATCCGGCCAGGATAGTTCCCGCTGCAGTGCCAGGGAGTAACGCGAAGAAGATCGAGTCACCACCAACAAGTAAGAAAGCAACGAATAGACACACCATCGGGACACCACCAAAGCAGGAGATTAAAACTTTCGGCGAGCTGTTGGCCAACTTTCCAATGATTGCGAGGCAGATGCAGCCTGGCCTAGAAAGGCTATTTCGGGAGTTTGGCAAAGAGCTTGGAAAGCCACTCCCACCACCACCCTCCAGGTCGCCATCTGCTTCTGGAAGCGAAAATGAACATAAACTATCCCGAGCCGAGACATTAATAGATGAGAATTCATCTATCCGCAGTTGGTCATCCCGCCGTGGACGGCTTCCCTTCAATTCCGAAGAATATTTTGAAGACGACGAAGATCTTATGCGAAGGAGCTTGGAGACTGCTGTGACAGCCGCCATTGATCTCTTCCGGTTGGTCGACAAGCAGCAACTATCTCTCCTTGGTGCCACAACCGATCTTACTGGCCCACTGGTAGAGCGACTTATCGAGCGATATGTCGCTGAGCAAGTCCATCAGCCATTATTATTTCCTCGTCTTTGTGCTTTCCGGCAGCCCGAGGATACAGAACTAGACTCTAGGATCCGTCATATGGAAAGTATTGACGTGACCCAAGTTGGGATCAGTGTGGAAGGAGGGCATGAAGGAAAAAGAGAACTAATTCGCCGACTGGGGCGAGCTGTGGATGAATTCCGAAAGATGGGGGAGGCCAGAAGTCCCCATGAAATGCTCAATACCCTGTTGGAGACGGTCAAAGTGATATCATATCCGGGGAGCTATAACCAATTAGATGGTTTGGGATCTGAGAAAGGACGATCCCCAATTACCATCAATGCTGACGTCTTGGTGTCCTTGCTACTGGTTGTTGTGATCAGATCCCAAGTAAGGCATCTGCAAGCTCGTTTACTTTACATGCAACACTTCATCTACATTGACGACGTGGATAGCGGTGAGATGGGCTACGCCCTGAGCACGTTTGAAGCAGTTTTGATGTACCTGGTCACTGATTCAGCTGGTCTTCGTCGCGCAAGCGTGAGAAATCGACGATTATGGCAAGCTACCAAGGCCGGACGGGTTTCGGACATGAAGAGCATTCTCGAGCCCAATGGTGATCACGATTCTATAGATGAAACTATTCCTCGCGAGCCAGAGCGCAAATCAGTCTTTTTTCAAACAGACAGTGTTGAGGATCTCGAAGAGTCCCCATTCGATACATCGTCGATGTACAGCAACTCGGTGTGCACGAATGGCGAGCCATTCCCGTCGCTTGATGTTTCTTCTTCAGAAGCACCGCCCTTGTCTCACGTCTTCCCGTTTCAGACTTGGGATGGGCCTTCAACCCCAAGAGACCCTAATAGGCCAGTGAAAAAAGTTTCCATGGATGTTCGCAGCTTATCAGAGTCGTCCGCTGTCTCGTTCCTCTCCCGAACGACTACTATTGGGTCTATGACGAGCGGCATCGAGGGCGACAGCTCTATTGAAACCATGACCAGGACTCAGGACCCTGCTGGTGATTCGATTCCTATGATGGCCGTTGGAAGACGCCAAGCTGAGGCATTAAAGTATTTGCTGAGCCTAGAGGAATATTATCCCTTGGAAGATATCCTCGAAGACACCAACGCCGATGGGACAACACTACTCAATGCGGCTGTGCAACTTGCACACGGCGAGATAGTTGAGATTCTCTTGGACTTCCTGTTTAGCAAAACCGATAATAGTGTGGTTGCAATGTACCTGACCAAATCAGATGTACATGGTCGAACCGTGGGTCATTATCTCTTCAGTACACCTTCTCTTCTAGCCCGCCTAGGTGGTCTTCTTCCCTGGCGGCAGAGGGATAAACATGGGCAAACCCCGCTCTTTGCCCTTTGTCGGTCGTATGATCACCCCGAGTACAGGCTCATGGTTCAGTCTGCTTTGACAGCAGCACAAAGGGCACAGGGTAATGGAAAGCCCCTTCAACTGGATGACCATGTTGATGCCAAGGGCAACACACTACTACATATTGTGGGAGATCCGGAAATTACTACCCGCATTCTTCAGGAGAGTGACTGCGACCCTAATGCTACCAACGACAAGCGGTTCACACCTCTGATGATGGCCAGCAAATACGGGCGCGTGGATCAAGTTCGAATCCTTTTCTTGGACCCAAGAGTCGATGTGCATGTCAAGGAAGCTCGGGGACTGACGGCTGTCGAGCTCGCCAAAGATGATGAAGTACGAAACAGAATCGATGATCTGATTCTGTTATCACACCCACCATCAACACTAGGTGACCCTTCAGGCCGTGTCACTACAGTGGTACGTTCTTTCTTCGTTGAAGATGCAACGGTACGGTTCATTCTCAAGTCTGGCGCACCACACGCACAAACCCCAGATTCTGTAGTATCATCCCGACCAGGCTCAACAACCTATACCGTTACCACATGCCGTCGAAGCTTTCAAGACTTTGAAAACCTTGCCAAATGGCTGTCAGTCGAGCATCCTGCTTCTTATGTGCCATCTCTTTCCGACTTTAGGAATCCTTTCCAAATCCACTCCAAACCGTCTCGATCTGTGCTTCATGATTTGCAGGAAAAGCTTGATCGCTTCCTGAAAACTCTTTTGACACATCCCACCTTTGCAACTCATGAGATGCTCTGGGAGTTCTTCCTCGTGCCAGAATTGCAACCGGAGATGATGGCAGATAGATCTCGAAGCAAGGCAGCTGTGCTGACTGAAACCATCGCCGATGACTTCTCCCCGATCTCCCTGGAGGGTATGCGTGATACTGAGCAGTTTGTATCCCATGCACAAGATATGGTGCGCGGTGTACACGTCAATACACGCAGTCTGATACGCCGTGGTCATGCGCTTCAAAACTCCTCAGCAGATATTGCAGACGCCGTGTCTCTTTGCTCATCTATGCTTTCCACCCTCCAAGAACCTACAAACGCCCTTCCACAATCCCACATCGACGCCTTCACCCGCTACGGCACCTGCCTCTCCACTTCCAGCTCCGACTCCTCCCCACTCCTGCATTATCTTGCCACACTCACATCAATTGACAACACCACCGCCGCCATCCTCACATCTCTCTCTCGCCCTCTCTCTCTCATGTCAGATCTCACCTCCACAAATCGTAGCGTCGCCCGCTCACGCTCGTCTCTCATCTCCTCATCCCTGCCTCGCAAATTCAACATCAATCTTCCCGGCTTCGAAGAATCACGACAGAAATCTGTCCGTGACCTGGAGCAGAAGATCGGCGAAGGCGAAGCCGAGTCAGCTCGTCTCGCGAGGGAAGTCTCGTGGAACAAAGATGTCGTCGTCGGTGAATTAGCCGGATGGACGACATGGCGCGAGAAAGTCGGTCGCGAGGCCATCCGCGCATTTGTCAAGAATACCCTGGTCCGAGAAAAAGAGCGCGGCAAACGTATGGAGCGCTGCCTGCGCAGTGTGCGAGATATGAAACAATGATTTTCAATGTTCGATGAGCGTTACTTGTTGAATATAAATTTTCATAGATTTGATTTCAACGGAGATCTCGAGCATCTGGCTGTGCGTGTTTTTGAAATTTTGCACATTTCATGACGGACATGAGTTCGGGGTTTTCGTTTGTTCTTTTATCTTTTGTCCTTCTCTCATCTCTCATCTCTCATATTTGCTTTCATCTTTTGTTTTTTCCCTTGGGACGTCGGATTTTTTTTTTTTTTTTTACAATTGCTTTGATCGTACTTGAAGCTTGGGTGCTGGCGTGGATGGATTTTACACTTTATGTCATATCTTTACTTACGCCTATCTGTAGCTTTATAGCCTAGCTGATATATCACGATCACGACCATGAAACTCCAGAGGAAATTTGTATTGAATAACGTATAAAGTTTGCAGTGCATACCACATCTGCACCTCCAGATATCTAAGGCTATACTGTGCTGTACCTAAGCATTTCAAAGTTGAGCTCATCACCATCAATCATACAGGTGAGTTTATCCAAATCCCCCCAAATCCTGTCTTTCTCATCTTAGCAAATTAGAGGCATACAAAAACCCCAAAACCAAAGATCAACCGACTGGCCACTTGAATCACCCTTCTGAAAACCGAAACAAAGGCGACTGATTCGACGAGGTCGACATAATCGACGGCAACTCGGAGGACCTCCCAGACGCACTCCAAGCAGAATCAACAGGCGACTCAATCGTCGATGTACTCTCACGATTAGACTTGGCCCGTACCCTCCGCGAACCCTCCGACTGCTGAATAGCACGCGGGGCAGAGTACCTGTGACTAGCAACCGAAATCCGACTCGAAGCCCGCGACGCATTAGACGGATGAGCCCGTATAATCGAAGACGCCGGGCTCAGCGAATTACGAATCTCGCGACGCGACATGGACCGAACACGCACATTTCTCTCACCCGGCAAACCATGCAAACCATAAGCCGAGTCTCGCGGTGTAATATCCGTCCCGGTCGAGGCCATTATCGTCGACGCACTGGTAGTAGTCCACGTTGAAGACCGCACCGTCGGAGCGATAATTGATGCGCTGGAAAGACGCGAGGGTAACGGCATGGCCAGGACTTGCGTCGAGCTAGAGCCACACGATATCGCTCGCGTGAGATCTGGGAGAGAGAGCACCGTGCTGGCTTTAGATTCTTCTGTTGAGACCCTGGTCAATTTGCCGAGCGTATCCGACGATGCTTCGTAGCTGGTTCGATAGAGTCTTGAGGACGGGCTTCTTTGTCTGTCGTTTTCGTCGACGATAAAGGAAAGCGAGGGCGAGCGGCTGCGACTAAACATCAGGGATGTGCGCTCGGGCTCGATGTCTTTCCTGAGAAAGTCGTCGAGTGACTGGTTTACGACTTCGTTCAGGGTGAGGCTGGACTGGTTAAAAGTATCTTGGAGTTGGTTTTCCATGTCTTGGAGTTGGAGGTCGAGTCGCTTTCGTTGTCTCCTTCGTCTGATATACCATACTATCAGGAAAACGATGGCGAAGAAAGTGATTGCACCGATTATGGAGGCTGCGGCGATTGAGGGTTTCTTCGCGTAGTTCCAGTTGGACTCGGAGGATTTGTGGGCTTGGCCTTTCGCATTGGGGAAACGGTTTTTGGGGGCTTTGAAGCTCGTCTGTCGTCGGGTACTATAAGTGACCAGTTGTTTGATGAGCGTGTTGCCGGGTATCGTTTGTGGCATGTCTTCTTGGAGACCCATTTCCTGAGTCTTGTTCCAGAGTGGAGAATGTAGTATTTTGTATATTCAAATGTTCGTAGTGTGATTAGTACAAGTAGGTTTCAGTCAAACTGACATGTGTGGTTAATGTTTGAATTTCCAGTTATCGCATTGCTAGTGATGGGTCAATCTTTCGCTATATTCAAGGCAAGAGCTGGGCTTGGAAGTGCCTAAACATGCAGTATTATCAGTATATACTAGACATGTTTGCACCTGCCATTCGTAGGTGCCATGCATCGAGGTCTCCTTAGCCTCTGGAATCAGAAGCTCGTTGCTTCCAGATTATTCCAAGGTTACATTAGGTCATTGACCCTGTAGACAATCGATGTTCCCTCGTATTCCAAGGTTATTGATCAGTTACACATACCCACATATGCAGTGGATCAGCTTGGCATCAGCTTGGCAACAAAGCTTAACCTTGGAACGAAAATGTTCTGAAATGCATTTTGGTTGTGGACCCTGGAAATGCAAGCCCCAAAGCTGTAAAAGCTCAAGTGGATAAACTGTAGGGGATAATTCATTATCCCCATGTGACATGTCCTTAGGCTTAGATAATCGCGCTAATGCTTAGATTCTGTATAGCGCTAAATTCCAATAGTCCAATTTCACGACTCAGCCTCAAAAGCCACCAAAATTTCTGCATAATCAATGCACTTTAAAATAACCTTGCAACAGTACATATACTTCAAAGAATCACCGAGTCATTCCAGCTATCCTTTGAGCAACATATCTATAATTGAAAATGGACGATGCACCACCTCCCTATGAAGCTCACCCGTCGGCGCCCACTCCCGCTGCGATATCGGCACCTTCATCAAGCCACCCGGTCATTTTCCAAATCAATTGTCCGCAGAACCGCGACTACTACATCCACGCGAGCTCCGACAAAAAGTCATGGCTAAGAGCACAAATTAATTGGGGCGTCAAGTCCGACCTAGCCCTCTACAGCAGCGATGCGCCAAACCGCGAACTAATGTCCTGCATCTTCAAGGAAACAACCTGCTCGCTCGACATGGGCACATTCAAGAACCAAATGACCGGTGAAAAAGAAAAAATATGGTGGTCAGCCGGACTGGACCCCAGCATCCGATTCCTCAACGCTGTCGAATACCGCTTCAAGGCCAAAGTGCAGAATGCAGCAAACCCGTTCGCCATCATGACCGGAGCCCACAGCGCGACTGCGCGACCTTTCATCTGGAAGAGTCAGGAATCAGACTGGAGGTTGGTGGATGAGTCGACGGGCAATGTGGCTGCTGTTGTACGCGACGTGGATCTTCCCGCGACTAAGTACGGCTCGATTGAGATCTTGATGAGCTACGGCGATATGTTCAGTGTGATTGTCTTCTCGACTTATCTGACGATCTGCGAGAAGGTGAAACGAGAGATGAAGAGCGCCAGGCATTGGATCCGGTAGATTGATGATTCGATATTCGTTTCAACGTTCAAATTTTTTGTATAATATGTACATAGTAAATATATATTTTCCCTTGTCTGGTTGGAATTCATCCATGCATGTGAGTAAGGCTTGGGTTTAATGGACCTCGAAATGTATCGTTTGTTGGATTACGTTGGGTGGGTTGACTAGTCCCTCCATGCTTTCGGCGTCGTCTTGGAAGGATTCCCGCCATCCGCTGGTGACCTGCACCGAAGTTCCGGGACTGAGTGGGGGATCGCCACGGGCGCCGTATGACTTTCGCATAGTTGATATATTGTATTTGTCGGATTTGTGGGCGTCGGCGGGATCGTCGTGAATAGTGAATGCGTAGATATCGGGTTGGAGTTCGACGACTAGTCGTCCGAGAGATGGGAGGGCGGTTGTGATTATGCTCAAGTTCATCATGACTCTGTAATACCATTGCGTTAGTCTTGCGCACGGAGTGGGGTGAGTTAATCAAAACGAGCTATGAGGTATGTACTCACTGGTCCCAGACTGTAGAGTTGGTGCTTGCCCCTGCAATTTGTATTCCCACGGTTAGATATTGCGCCATTTGACTGTTCAATGCTTCTTTAGACAGTGGTCTTACACATAAGGTCGGGTGATGCGAGTAAGTTAAGAACGTAGTGGATCTCAACTCCCGTCGCCGCACATACTCTACAGAAAGTTAGTGTCAGAATGGAGCTTTTTCCCCTCTTCTTCCATTTCGTGGTGTCCTTGACTTACATCAGTTTGCTGGCGATCAATATCATGATTCTAAACCTTTTCCATCGGGACAGCTGCACGTCGCGGAGCAAGATGCATGGGAAAACCACGAGGGCGACATCAGTAATAATATTAAATGATGCGCTGGCTTTGAAAAGAGCGGACTATAGAAGAATGGTGAGATTTCAAAGCTCGTGATAAAAGTGGACACGGGATGAGTGTGACTTACCTGGTTGATGCATTGGTCCGGTACCCATTCCCAGGGAGTTGGTAGAGCGCATCGGAAGGCCATAGCTAGAATGGATGCAATAGACCATGCGGTTATGACCCCAATCAACGCCCAATTTCCCCATGTAAATGTTCGCGACGTAAGTGTACTCTTGAAGAGTAGAGCGGACGAAACTTTGGCCAGTGCTATAGTCACGACAAGGAGAATTTGTGCGACATATTCGTACTAGAGAGAAAAAATTGATGAGCCCTTGAGTGTGGAATGCCAAAGCGAAAAAAAAAATTGTATTTTCGTCTTACCTTTAGAAACTCTTTAAAGTGAATATTGTCGACGGTGGGGTGTTTGCGACCCAGTCCACTGGAGATTGCTAGATGGACAATGATACTTTGCAATAATCCAGATAACTATTGGTAGAGGACAATTTTAGCATTTTGAAATAAATGTTTCAATGTTTGTAAGAAGCATTTGTGTAGGCAGGATAGAATGGAGAACTCACTGTGGCTGCTGCTAGCAAAATATCATCGGCATGGAGAACTCGCCCGATATACCACCTGCTGAACAAGCGGGTGAGAACAACACAGATGGTCAATGACAATAAGGTGTAGACAGTGACGGCAACATATCCACCATGATCCTCGTCGGAAATCTCGAAGAAGGGAGGCAGAGTACCCGCCATGCCAAAGTGACAAAGTCCAGAACTGGACTTCGTTCACAAGTAAACGAACAAATAAAAGAAAAGAGAGAATGAGAATGAGAGATGGAAAAGCCGATCGCAGATCGGCGGACCGCGTGTAGTATTTGACAGGTTCGTACCAAAGCTCTCTGGGCATCTAGACCATACTTGGTAGGTACAGACTTGGGATCGCACTAAGTTGAACCTACACCTGCACCTGCACCCATATTAGGATACTTTCCCTTGAAATTCGCATGTGCTGTTTAGAACCCCTAGAGTCCCTGATTGCCATCTAGACTAGCCATGAAAAAAAGAATGAAAAAAAAAAAAATAGTAAAGAAGGATTCAAATGTTTCAGTAAATGGAATCCTTTATCGCACTTCTCTCGGATCTAAAAGGTCGGAGTCCGGCCGGAGGTGGCGTACTGTAGGAACAGGGGTGAGGGGTCTGTGTTTAGAACAAACTCAATGTTATTATGTTCATATCAACTATCTTCCCCCCGGCTTTTGACAAAGGGTACATTTAGTTTACATGTAGTGATGTTTATTAGAAAAGAAATTAGACATTAATGACTCTTAATATGTGTATCGCTTTAGATTACCCTGTTCTAAAGAGCCTGGACCGGGCTAAGTATTGCCCCTCAAAAGGAGGCAAAAAAAAAAGGGCCAGGGAATTATAGCCTACGCCATGTTTCAAAATGGGGATTTAATTGGCGCAACAAGCTTAGGAAATAAGTTAAAATGGAATTGCTTATCTGTAACTAAGATGACGGTGCCGGCATGAGGCCCGAAAAGAACATACATTGAGTAGAAGACACTAGAAAAGTTAACGAAAAAGACAGAAAAGACAGGAAAGACAAGGAAAAAAAGGTTTTACTCCGGAGATACTTTACAAAAGTTCAGTCTAGTGGACCCAAACGTTTTAGATCGGGATTTCCATCTGTCAAATCGCCTTCACTTGATAAAAGTCATTTGAAAGTCTTAACCCGTGTTTAACTATGGTAAACTGTGGTACACGGGGAATGGTCTCCACTAAAACCTCGCATTTCCACTTTTCCCACTTTTTCCCACTTTTTCCCCCCAACCAAAGAGAAGAGAGAGCCTTTCCCCCCGGGACTCGCCGTGGCCAAAATAGTCAACTGCTCGTGCGCGCGTGGTCCAATGTGGACCGAAATCGGCACTTTCCCCGGTCCCTTCGAAGGTTTCGTTCGCTAGTACCTGCTAGTACCTGCGTTTATGGCTGCTGACTGGGCTAACGCCTCATTCATTACCCTTTGATTGTCATTGATTTGGATTATCACATGGAGATGCTTGTCGATCCGGCTCCGGTGTGAACATACGGGTGAACTTACCTGTGATTCGTCAATATACATGAGAAGGGTATCTGGCCTTGAAAACGGAGACGGAACTGATTGAGTTTGTTTCGATCCCCCCCCCCCCCACATCACTCTCTTTCTTTCTCTCTGGGCTTTTGTGAGGAGCTCCAGCAACATCGCCAGCTGTCTTCCCAGCTCTACTCGCCACTATGGCGAACGACGGGATTGAGATGGGCAATTTGCCTGTCAAGTCGGTTCAGATGAGTGTGTCGCACGCTCGCTCAGGTTCTGATGGGGGGTTTCATGGTGGACTATCGACCTCTAGGTCAAGTAGGAAAAAGATGGAGGTAAGTTGAGACTTGGTGCCGACAATCGTTGACGATAATCTCGTTTTTCTTTTTCTTTTTTGGAAAGATTTGACATTGACATGTCATTTACAGAGGAGTTTTGGTTCACTCTCCATCCTTTCATTATCACTCACCTTGCTATCATCGTGGGAATCCGTCGCAAAGTAAGTCCTCGAAAATTACCACTAAAGACTTGCGGATCTAACCCCCCTCTAGCAGCTTCGAGTCTGGCCTAGTCAATGGCGGCCCAGCTGGTCTGGTCTGGGGCATGGTGTTGTCAATAATTGGCACCATGGCTATGGCATTATCGCTAGCTGAACTGGCGTCTATGTGTCCAAGAGCCGGAGCACAGTACCACTGGACCGCAATGCTAGCACCGCCATCAACTCGTGCATTCATTACCTGGATGCAGGGCTGGATCACGGTCTTTGGATGGCAAGCTGCTGTCGCCAGTATCTGCTACCTGCTAGCGACACAGATCCAGGGAATGGTGATGCTCAGCAATCCAGATTATATCAGCAAACAGTGGCACGGAACGCTGATCATGTGGGCCATCATTGCTGTGGTGGGGCTTGTCAACATTTATGGAATCAAGATCCTACCCGCTTTGCAGATGCTTGGTGGAATCATGCACATCGTCTTCTTCATCGCCATTGTCGTCCCACTCGTGCTTCTGTCGCGTCGCAGTACCTCTGAGTTTGTATTTACCGAGTTGATGACGACGGAGGAAGGATGGCAGTCCAAGGGCGTGGCTTGGTGTCTCGGCATGTTGACGGTGACATATTGCTTTCTTGGTAAGTGGAACAACAATTCATGACGAAGCGAGAGAAAACTCTGACCAAATTTACTCCTCGCAGGATTCGACGGTGCCATTCATATGAGTGAGGAAGTGCGAAATCCCGCAACGGTCATCCCCCGTATTCTAGTGCAGACGATCGCCATAAATGGCTTCATGGCCTTTGTCTTTCTTCTCGTCATCCTATTCTGCATCGGCAGCGTCTCGGAAGCATTGAACCCGCCCTATATTTATCCAATGATCGGAATCTTCAAACAGTCCACCCAGTCTGCTGGGGCAGCTACCGCCATGCAGACCGCCATCGCCCTCATAGGCATGGTGTCGAATACCGGCGTGGTCGCATCTGTATCACGACTGACATGGGCGTTTGCCCGCGACGGAGGACTGCCGTTCTCCAACTTCTTCTCCCACGTAAGATCCCCATCCTCCACTATGTAGTGGCCGGCCGCCATTTAAATTTACTGACATTCATACCACCAGGTTGACCGCAACCAACGTGTGCCGAAACGAGCCATCTACCTTGTTTGCGCCGCAGTCTTAATTCTCTCGGTAATCAACGCCGCCTCGGAGACGGCCCTGAGCGCCATTCTTGCTCTTTCTACCAGCTCACTTTACGTATCTTATCTCATTCCGATCGTCCTGATGATCATCCGCCGTGTGGATACTAGCCGTGGGCCGATCTCATTTGGACCCTGGACCCTGGGCCGCTACGGTATGGCGATCAACATTTTTGCGTTGGTCTTCGGTATCTTCGTTTGCATTTTTGTTCCATTCCCTACGATGATCCCGGTTACAGCTGCAAATATGAACTGGTCAGGGCCTGTGTTCATTGGGGTTGTCATATTGTTGGTTATAGATTGGACATTCCGGGCTAGGAAGAAGTATATTGGGCCCATGAAGGATCTTTTAGAGACGGAAGCCAAGACTAATATTGCTTAATATTATTAAGCTCTTATTAATTAGATATTTTATAATTTATATTGATGTTTTTTATGAAATCCGTTTTATTCATACCTTAGGTTGTGTAAAGCTTGCTTGGAACATGGAATCAGTTGATATATTGGAAGCCGGAATTCACGAGGCCTCAACATCGTAAATCCATTGCGTCAAACATTCAAAAACCACCGCCAAACTTGACTCAGAAACTTTCTAAAATATCTGCACGTCATATGTGTCAACTCCATGTGCCAATCATTAATTAAATCTCCGACTCTGATTCCTGCTCACTGATCCGGTCCTGACTAATCCTCTTATCGGCACTACGTCATCGAAGCGTGTATACATAAGAGGTGCCTGGAGCCTGGCGCATCTTCTCACCTTCCTAACTTCCCTTGCTACCTTTATATTTGAATACATAACTAGGTATGTGTTGATCTTTCCAAACTTTCAACTTGTGAGACTTTTACTTACGAAAGCTCAGTTTTAGAAGCGACTCTTGGCACTTCTCACCTCTTGAAGCTCTTCATATCGACGTTCCCACTTGTGAAAGCTTCTTTCTTCTTCAAAGCTGAAATTTGTTTCTCCGAAAACTCATTCTTGAGAAGTAAATATCAAGTTCATACTAAGCACAATGCCTCTCGTCGTTCCTGGCATCAACTCCTCCCTGGGAGATAAGTCTGAGTGGGTTAACAAGTTGATGGGCAAGAAGATCAGCGATACAGGCAGTAACGAGATAGTGAGTTGACTTGATTTGAGACGAGCCTCTCGAGCTATGGAAGAGACTTGCTAATCACTTTCTACTTGTATAGTCGTTTGCCAAGAAAGACCTCCCTGAGTCTCATCGTGTACTGAAGCCTGGTGATATGAAGTCGATGGATCACAATCCTGAACGGTATGAAATGGAAACCAAACGAATTACTAGAGAATATGGAGCTGACTTGAATGATGACTGACTAGGCTGAACATTCATCTTGGCGAGGATGACACTGTTCGTGATGTGACTTACGGGTAGGATTGATAAGATCGGGACTTGCATCCCTTGGACCTAGTCTACGAGTAATGTCCACCAGGAAAACACATGTGCATGCATGTGTGGCTATTGATTCCAAGATTCAAATGTTGTTTTGGTTCTTCCAAACATAATAGTAGTTCAGTGAGGGAATATTTCCAAGTATGAAAGCAATATGATCATCTATCTTTATGAACATTCTCTATACAAGTTCGTCACCGTCTAAACTAGCCAATCCAAGATCTACTCAACCTTCCACCGCAACAAAGTAAGAGAGTGCTTAGGGAAAACATATTTCCCCGACCCATTCCAAACAGACTCTTCAACTCTCACCTCCTCCTTCTCCTTCATATTCGTAACCATCACATCCCCACCGGTAACAGTAAACACCTGTGCCTCCCCAACAACCCCCTCAACAACAGTCTCAAACGCCTTCTCCTCATGAATATTCACAACCGCGAGATTCGCATACCCATCCTCACCAACACTCGCACTAACATCCAACCAAGGCGTGTCAACAGCACCCCGCAACCACTTCGGCTGCGTCTCCCCCTCATAAACCCCGCAAGAAACATGCGCCGCAACCGTCCACCCACGCATGAACTTCGAGAACAAGTACAACGGCCACCAGGTCGTCTGCTTAATGATCTTCTCCTTGGTCGTCATCAGCGGCGAGATGACATTCACGCTCTGCGCAATGCAAGCCATGCCCAGATCGCGACTCTTGCGGATGAAGACGTTCAGCCAGACGGCGACGGCGAGCGCGTCAGAGAGCGTGTAGCTCTCTTCTGCGCCTTGGCTGCCTTCGGCGCGAATGGGGTCCCAGACGTTCCATTCGTCGAAGCAGATTGTGGGACGGGGCTGGGAGGGCGGGACGTTGTTCTCGATGCGGGCGAGATCGATGAGGGAGGAGGTTATTTCGATGGCGCGCTCGGCTGCTAGGGGGGCTGTGGCGTTGGGGAGGTGGGTGGATGAGCAGGTGTAGAGGTGGATGCTGTGCATGTCGATAAGAGGCACTGCGCTTGTGGAGAGTGCGGAGTGCGCGGGGAGGAGGCAGTGCTTTAGGGTGTAGTAGTCCCATGTTGCGGTGCCGTCTTGACCGCAGAGGATAAGGATGATGCTTGGGTCAAGGAGCTTGAGGGCTGGGTTATTGAAGAGGATCCATTAGTCTTTGTCATGCACTGTAGAATGGCTGGGATGAAGGGTAGATGAAGTGAAGGGAGAGGAAAACTTAGTACTAACCTTTGGCCCATTGGAGGGCTTTGTGTGCGTATGCTTCCTTGGTCATCTGCTCCACTTGCCATGGTCCCCATGTCTCGTTTCCGAGAGCCCAGTATTTGACCTGGAGATGTGAGCTGATGAAACCCATAAGTTGGAGACAAGGGAGTGCTTACATTGTATGGCTCCTCGTGACCATTCTTCCGTCGCATATTGGCATAGTATGTGTTTCCAGTTCCGTTACAGTACTCCAGCCATCCCAAAGCTGAAGAAGCTGTTAGCATCCAAAACATCAGCTTCAACATATGCAGAAGCCATACCTTCATCAAGAGTGCCTGTTCCAAAGTTGAAGCACAGATAAGGCTCGGTGTCAAGCACCTCGCACCACTTCATGAACTCATCAGTTCCAAACTGGTTTGTCTCTGTTCCAAGCCAAGCTAGCTCAGGTCTAACAGCATATCAGTATTGAATGAACATGGCCAAATTTCTTGCATATTGTCAGCTTACCGAGCTGGTCGCTGATCCTTTGGACCGACGCCATCAATCCAGTGATAGGTCGCGCAAAAGTTTCCGCCGGGATACCGAACAACAGGGATGTTGAGATCCTTCAGCGCCCCGAGGACATCCTTGCGAAATCCGTTTTCGTCTGACAAAGGGTTGCCAGGGTCATAGATGCCTCCGTAGATACACCGACCCATGTGCCTATTGAAAGCAGGTTAGCACCCCCCAACAAAAAAAAGAAAAAACGAAAAGCAAAAAAAAGCAAAAACAGTCTACGCCGATTCAAGTATCAAGCGAGCTGAGCTGCACACGCATTAGACACCAACATACTCCGTGAATCCAGCATAGATATTGGGATTAATCTTCGAGATGCGTCGCGAAGGGTGAACAGAGATGACAGGAGCATCCTGCTCCTGCGCATTCAACTTAGTAAAAGAAGTCATAGCAGCGAAATGAATGAACAGCGCAATTCAAATTCTCGATTGGATTGAATTCCTTTGGTCTAAAGCTTCGCACCGAATTCGTCCCGGTGGCTTGAAAATTATAAGTACTCTCTGACCCGATGATCGGTTAACAATGTTCAGACCAAAAAAAAGACCGATCAAACCATTTAAAAGAGCACCAGACCAAAAACGACCCCAACAACGCGTCCCCGAAGCGAATTTATCTCATACCCCTCCACCCGACAGCCTAAAAGCGGCAAATCTCCTGCGGGGCACGAAAGCCTGCCCGCCATGGCGTTGGGGACGCGTGGGGACACGATCTGAGAAACCCAATGGCATACGGCCGTAGAGTCAGCGCTTAAAGACTGACTCATGCAGCTTCCAGCTGGATGTTCACCAATGAATGCCTTTTCTGGTGCAGTTTTCCGGTTTGGATAGGGTCTTCGCCGAGGTCTGGAGATGTTCCATCAATCACAGTGCGGGGAGGTTGGAAGGTACTTGGCACTAGTTTTCGGGTCCCCGCAGTTGTGCTCTGGCTTTGTACTCCGTAAATCTCGTGGCTTTTATGCTTGTGGATCCCGCCAATCGGCAGGGTCCTATAGGGTCCAGTATTGCCCTATATGCCGAAATGTTTAAAATTCTTTGTTTTTTTTCAAGCTAAGTTCAGAATCGCTATAGGTTAGATGAGCTCGGTTAAATCGTAAGATTCTTCCCCTTCCTACCTTTCTTCGTCGTTAAGAAGGTTTACACAAAGTCTTGGCTTCGTGGAGATTGCTCCGGGTTGGAATAGTTCATTTTCATGTGGTCCTTGTGGAATAGTGGTGGTCTGGAGCTGGAGAGTATATAGTATTTAGCTGCTGCCCCGCAAAATGTCAAGTTTTCCCTGTGGAGTTCCCCGGATCTTCTTCTCCATTATTTTATCCCTGGTCGTGGATCCATTTGAGAAGTTCCACTGTTGACAAAGTTGCCCACCATGGCTCTCTCTCCAGCATGGTATCAGGTTAGAATCACCTTGTTTGGCGTTGAAGTATCATATCTCAAGTATATCTGGAAACTAATCATGCTTGAATTAGTTCCTGGTCGGCGTGTTCGCCTCCCTTGGTTCATTCCTTTACGGATGTAGGTCGATACATCCATGCTACCTGCTATACCTGCGAAGCTTCAAATCATGTACTAACATAGCCAAGATGATTTGGGTGTTATTGCCGAGGTCATCGCATGCGATTCTTTCATTGCCAAGTTTGCTGCAAACTCTACACAAAGGTAAGTCGCGAAGAAATCATATAAACTACTACTATATATCATGGAGCTCATATGCTAATGCATGGTAGTGGTTTGGTCGTGTCCATGTTCACAACCGGTGCCTTTTTTGGCGCTGGTTTTGCTGGTCCCAGTGGTGATTACCTTGGTCGCCGAAAGACAATCTCCCTGGGCTGTCTGCTGTTCTGCTTGGGAGGTGGTCTTCAGACCGGTGCTCGGAACCTCCAGTTCTTATACACTGGTCGATTCTTTGCTGGCTTTGGGTGAGTCCATTCTATTCATATGCGCTATAATGGAGCTTGAGGGAAAATATACTCATCTCTTCCAGTGTTGGTTTCCTTACCATGATCATCCCACTGTACCAAGCCGAGATCTGTCACCCTAGTATTCGTGGTCGAGTGACAGCCCTGCAGCAATTTATGCTTGGCGTGGGAGCTCTTTGCGCCTCGTGGATCTCCTATGGCACATTTATTGGATTTTCTTCCACCCAGGATGCCCAATGGCAACTACCACTGGGGCTTCAGATGCTCCCTGCTGTATGCCTTGGTCTGTTGATCATGTTCTTCCCCGAGGTAAATATTTACTTGTCTTTTCCCAGTCTCTTATCATTCTAATTTGCTTTAGTCCCCTCGTTGGCTCATGGACCATGGTCAAGCCGAAGAAGGCCTCAAGACCTTGGCCAAACTCCATGCCAATGGTAATGAAAACGACACCTGGGTACAGGCAGAGTACTCCCAGATCCAGGAGAGCATTACCTTCGAGCACGAGCACGAAGCCAAGTCATACAGCGAACTGTTCACCAACCGGTCTTCCTTCCGCCGTCTGTTCCTTTGCTGTGCCCTTCAAGCTTCGGTTCAGATGACAGGTGTCTCAGCCATCCAGTAAGAAGACCTCCATCGGAATTCTAACACAAAAACTGGGAACCATGATATTAATTTTTCGACCAGGTACTACTCCGTCACAATTTATGAGCAGATCGGTATCTCCGGCGAAGCCACCCTCCGCTACCAGGCTATCAACTCGATCATCGCCCTTGTCGCCCAATTCCTCTGCATCCTGTTCATCGATCGCTTCGGTCGTCGCTGGACCCTCATCGGAGGAAATCTCGGCAACATGGTCACCTTCATCGCCGCAACAGTCCTGCTCGCCAAATACCCTCCTACCACCAACAGCCCAGGCGCTCACTGGGGCTTTATCATCATGACCTGGCTTTACAACTTCTCGTTCAGCGCGACTTGTGGTCCGTTGTCTTGGATCATCCCAGCCGAAGTGTTCGATACACGAACTCGTGCAAAGGGTGTCTCGATCGCGACTATGACCTCGTTCGCGTTCAACACCATGATCGGCCAGGTTACCCCCATTGCTATGGATACCATCCATTACAAATTCTACTTCCTGTTCGTGATCTGCAATTTCACCAATGCGGTGTTCTTCTATGCGCTCCTGCCGGAGACTAAGAAGGTGCCGCTCGAGGAGATGAACTACATGTTCTCACATGCGCCGTGGATTGTGCCCGGTAGCAAGAAGGAGGACTACTTGCCGCATGATCTGGAGCGCAAGGTTGAGGAGCAGGAGGTTAAGCAGAGTGCGATGCATTATGAGTAAGGGGAAAGCTGGAAAAGATAACTCGTTGTGGAGATCCATTCTTCAAACGTTCTGATCTTACCCAGGCGTAGGAGTGGTAGTTGGTGTGGTATATAAGTAGTAGTACATGCTGTCTCCCAGAGCTGGATTTTATTGGCCAGACATAAGAAGACAGTCTTTTTTTTGGGATTGTTGACCGAGGAAATATTAATTTATTCAGAATCCGAATCAGATCCATATCCGACCAACCCAAGGGATGGCGCTGGCTTAGCTGGCTGAGCTGGCTGAGCCTTTAATGTAGTTGACTTGTCCGGACCAGCAGACACGGCCTTGGCAACACTAGGTGCTTTGGGGATCTGTACATCTGGTGATGAAGCCCCTTGTTGAGCTTTCGTAGCCAGCCCAGTACTTTGGACGGGCTTCTTTGTCTCCGGCTCCTTTGTAGTATTGATGCCCTCCATAGAGGCCTTCCGCTTCTTGCCCGGGAGCAACAGATCCTTCTTCTCGCGTCGCCTCTTGCGCGCCGGAATTGTCCACTCCTCCTCCTCCGCAGGGGTAACTTCCGACGACGTGGGTCCTAAAGCAGTCTTTTCAGCTTCTTCCCGTTGCTTGCGAAAGGCCTCCAGCTGGTCGGCCGTGTCCTTCTTGACAGCAGCCTCCTGCGCGCGCGTCGACTCGAGTACCGAATCCAAAAATTCCACTTCATCTTCGTCCAGCGATCTGAATTGGTTCTTTAACCGTGATTTCTCTTCGAACTCTTCTTGCTTGGCCACTAAAAGCCGAACAAACGATCACCCTAACATGTCAGCCACCGATGCCCTTCCATCACTTCTTGCCCGAACGCAACAGCACAGTATAGCAAGGGTCCCCCCGCAACGGAGGGGGAAAAGATCTCACTTTTGTTCTGCTGGAGAACCTCGAAGAGACTCTTCCCGTCATTTTGTTTGCCAGCCTCGGCCTTCTGCCGCCGCTCCTCCTCCAGCTCTTTTTGCACTCTGAGCCATTCGTCGTCCCGCTCGATCGGCTGGTCGGCGGTTCCTGCGGAGACAAATCCTGAAGACATGACGACAGCGGGGGTGGCCTCGGGAAAATTTGGGGTAAGGTGAGGAAGAAGGAAGCGCGTCTCGGGTATAATGGGCGGCGAAGGTGGAGCGTACAATTATCCGGGATGGCGGGCCAGTGAGAAGCACGGGATTTTGGGGGAATTGGTGGAGTCCGGAGTGAGGAATGGACCGAGGAAACCGGGACGGATAATGGTGACAACTCGGCGAAGTTTCTGGAAATATTAATGGGTACGGAGTGCACTTTTTCGGTTTAAACTGGAACTGGGATTAGTAACTCTAAACAAAGAGAGAAGCAGGCCCTGCGTGTTGGAGATACAGAAGTGGGTTTCACATTGGATTGTGATTGGATCAATGTTGGGATAAGCCAATCATTGCCGACCAATGGAAAAAGGCCGTATTTAGCCGGAATCCAAACACATCGTGGCAATAAAAAGTACTGAAAAGCTGGTTTTATTACATCTTCTTAGTTATCCCATTGGTTAATAGGAAGTATTTTCCATTCATAAGGTAATGATATACATTGAGCCTTTCAGAAATTCACCGAGAAAGCCATTATTCACATTAATCATATCCACAGATAACTAATCACAACGTAGCATTGATTCCCCACATTATTCAAAGGAGGGGCACGACATCATAGCTTGGACCTGCCCACTTTATGTCGCCATGGCCCACTGCTCTGATATAAAGACCACCAAGCCCCCCTGTATTTCTTGTCCCTCTATTCACCCCAATCCCAATCCAAATATTACAAAATGTCGAACCAGCACACTCAGTATGGCACTCTTCCTTCCAGACACCTGTGTACAGCTCCAATTCCTAACAATTTTCTTCCTCTGCAGAAAGACCTACACCCTCAACACCGGTGACAAGATCCCCGCCATCGGTCTGGGTACTTGGCAATCCAAGCCCAATGAGGTTCGCGTCGCTGTCAAGGATGCCTTGCTGAAGGGTTACCGCCACATTGACACTGCTCTCGCCTACGGCAACGAAGCCGAGGTTGGTGCCGGTATCAAGGACTCCGGCGTTCCCCGCAAGGACATCTGGATCACCACCAAGCTCGATAACACCTGGCACCACTGCGTGGAGAAGGGCATTGCCTCCTCTCTCAAGGACCTCGATGTCGAGTACATCGACCTGTACCTGGTGCACTGGCCCAGCTCCACCGACCCCGAGGACAAGTCCAAGCACCTCCCCGACTGGAACTTCATTAAGACCTGGTAAGAACTCCAGCCGAATATTCCACTTCCAGGCGCTTTTCTCCCGTCCCACGTGCGGCACAATCGCTAACTCCCAACAGGCAAGAAATGCAGAAGCTCCCTGCCACCGGCAAGGTCCGCAACATCGGTGTCTCCAACTTCGGCATCCAGAACCTCGAGAAGCTCCTTAACGACCCCAGCACTAAGATCGTCCCTGCCGTTAACCAGATCGAGCTGCACCCCAACAACCCATCCCCCAAGCTGGTTGCCTACAACACCTCCAAGGGCATCCACTCTACCGGTTACTCTTGCCTCGGCTCTACCAACTCCCCTCTCTACAAGGATGCTACCTTGTTGAAGATTGCTGAGGACAAGGGCAAGACTCCTCAGCAGGTTTTGCTCGTCTGGGGTATCCAGAAGGGCTGGAGTGTTATTCCCAAGTCTGTTAGCAAGTCTCGCATCGAGGGCAACTACGACATTGATGGATGGACTCTCACTGATGAGGAGATTCACCAGCTGGATAACCTTAAGGATCGCTTCAAGGTCTGCGGCGATGCTTGGTTGCCTGTCAAGGTCTTCTTTGGTGATGACGAATAAAAAGTTGGCATGAGTAGATACACTTGGCGAGACTCGTCATCCTTATGATTAAATGTGTTTTAGATACCAAGAAAATGGAGATTTTTTTTAGATGATCATTATCCACCATCCTTAGCATTATGTAAATATAAACTTCTCAAGTAGTGGAGAAAGATCGGCGCTCTCAACAGCCAAATAAAGTCCTGCTAGCGGGACTTCGACCGGTTGTGGTTTACTACCACCGCCTTTAGCTATCAACAGGCCTGATAGCACTCCTACATGCTAGTACATGCAGTAGGCCCCGCGAAAAGCAAGGCTTGTGCGTCCATGTTAGGCACGTGACTGCAGACCGACATTATATCTTTCCCTTCCTTTGCAAATCGATATTCATTTTCCATGTCACCCAGCAGAAACAAAATGGGATTTTCAACTGACAAAGAGTGGCTGGAAAAATGCCGACCTGAAAATCTTCCTGTTCCACCATTTGATCGATATATCTTTATGCTCGAGAGCCATGTTGTGAAAAAAAGGCTCGAGCCTGGTGAGCTTGGCTTCAATGGTTATGAGCCTGACCTATTGACAACTGCGCAACGGGATGAAAATGAATTACGTACTATGGAGATTGTTCGTCAGTACACAAATATTCCAATACCGAAGCTTGTACACAAGGGAAACGGGTAAGCAGATCAATATTTATGTATGATTAGGAAGTGTAACTAATCAGAATAGATTCAATGTTTTCGAGCGAATCCCAGGTGTAACAATTTTTGAAGGTCCAGTTTGGGATAAAATCTCCTCTCGCCAACAAGAAGGAATTAAACTCCAAGTTCAAGGTTATATCAAGGAACTTGCAAAGGTGCCTAATTACACCGGCGGCGTTCGATCTTTGAGTGATTCCGGAAAATTATTCACAACCAGCTTCCTCACTGTGGACCATTCATATCCACGAGGGACTTTATTCATTCGTATGAAAATGAAGATACACCTCTGATTCATCAAATCAATCCATCTAGCCTACCTGTACTGTCACATATGGATTGGGATCTCTCAAACATTGTGTTGCATCCAAATATGGATGCCGTTGCGGGGGTGATTGATTGGGAAAGAGCAGCTTTCTTCCCAGAAGCCGGAAGAAGTATTCATAAGATGTGCCATCAATGGCATGGATGGGAGGCCTTGTTTGACGGTCTTCAATTTCCACTAGAGAACTGAGCCTAACATTGACCAAAGTCCTTGATTAAAATGGCAGTGTTGCTAGTAGGCATATACATGTACATTTACTACTATTTAAAGTAGAATCACTTGAGGACAGGTGTTGGAGCATGTAGGTTCCCAAGGTGCGAGGTATTTTACCCCGCGGGTCACAGGACATGCCTGAGTTTTCAGCGTGCGACTAGTCCGGATTTGGTAGTTAGATAGATAGTCAGGAAGTCAGGTCTGGAGGTATGAGTGAGAGTTTCTCTCCCCCTTTCCTTCTCTCCTTCCTTTCCTCTCTATCCCGCTTTATATAGAGAATATTATCACTGTCTTCTCTGTGCCTTTTCCTTGATCTATATTATCTAGGGTAGATATTTTAGTATAGCTTGAATAGGTTATGAGTCCTAGTTTGCTCTAAATTAAGTATTCTTTTTCTTTTTATTACTTATTTTCTTACTTATAAATTAATAATCTTATATAACTAGATTATTATTAATAAGATAAACTTATTCTGTGGTGAAGGCTATTAAGGCTACTAAACTTAATATAGAATAATAATCTAAGGGAACTAATATATAGGATCTTTAATAGAATAATAAAGAAGCTGTTTAGTAATAGGAAGATAAGGAAGTCTTCTATAATACTAGAGATAATAAAGAAGTTATTTATAATAATAATCTTAAAGATAATAAAGAAGTAGTTAATAAGACTCTAATTAATATTAATAAGGAAGATATATAATAATATTTAGTATTACTATTACTACTAATATTACTATTATTATTAGTATTATTATTATTATTATTAGTATTATTATTATTATTATTAGTATTAATTAATAATATAGAAGATTTATTTAATATAGAAGAAGATAAGTAGTACTAGAATATCTTATTAATATAAGTTAAAGATAGAAATTAGGCTATAAATCTACCTAAGTTTAATAAAGTAATACTTTTTTAGTTTAAGGATATTCTCTTAAAAGAAGAGGAATATAATAGATTTAAGGCTTAAGTTAAGATAATCTTTTAATCTATAGGATTATTAAATCTAATTAATTATATAAAGAATAAGCCTAATGTTACGGACCTATAGGGGTCGCGCTCCCGCGGGGCAACGAGACCCAACCGAATTGTCTGACGTACAGGTCACGTGGAAGGCATGGTTCCAGGAACCATGGCCATTCCGTTGTACCCAGACAATACAGAATAATGCAGGGTCGCGATGGAAAGACCATGACTTGGGAAAGCAACGCAAGAAAGGTCCCATCGCAGGATAAACGGTATCGTAGGGATCGGGGATCCCTAGGATAAAAGAATATCCTACGACAACACACGGGTCACGGTTTCGCGCGACAATAGCTATCACACGAACAGGAGTATCCTAGGACACACCACGATTAAAGGATTCCGTAGGACACCAGTTGTCCTAAGAATACCGGTATCCTACAATAGGTAGCAGCCACTGGTATTGTACGAACAGCAGGATCCTGGGAGCATCAGGATCCCACGGACGAGGATCACGTGACGACTCATCAGGTGATGAGACCCGCTCATTAACTGATGAGCCCGGAGAATATCAAGTAATGAGTCCCGGACTCATTAAGCGATAGGAAGGATTAGATATATAAGACAGTCATTACCTATATATATTTAGTTCTTCACGATCAATCCATATATTGTTACTTGGAACCTAATAGTTCATTCACCTATCAGTTTCGTACAAGATAAACCCTACTAGAAAGAGGTATCCTTGGTCTCTAGTCTCTCGACTTAGAAACCAAGTATAGCTTAACTAGGTAATACCCTCTTAGACACAGCCCTTATTAAGTTTATTCTATAGACCTAAGCCTATATAAGGCCTAATATTAACTAGTAATAATATAGTTATAAATCAATAACTTAAGGATTAAGTATCTACTTAGTAAGTAGAAGCCTTAATAAATAATACTTACTATGATTATAGAGTATTATATAATATATTAATTATCCTATCTTTGCGGAATATTACATAAAAATAGTACCTACTATATTAACTAGTAGGAGATAACCTATTATAGGAAATAATAAGGACTAGTAAGACTAAATAAATAATCAGCTTACTTAATTAAAGAGAACCTTAGAAGCCTTTATAGAAAGTATTTAAGATAATAGATAGAATTAAACCTCAGTTATTAATAAGATAAGGGACCACTTATAGTAGCTAGATACTCAAGTAATCGCCTCTGCTCCGATTACTAATATCTAAGTAGTTAAGCTACCTAAAGCAGAAAGCTTCAACAGCACTAGGTCGAAACTATAAGGATTCCTTACATAGATACGGATACACCTCGATGTGAACCAATAATGGTTAAATAGCGAAGAAAGCAAGATCATCTTCGTGTCCACCCATCTGAAAGGCTAAGCATAGGACTGGTTCGAAGTACACATCAAAGAATACTACGAAAAGCCTAGATCAGAATAGAGCACGACCACAACCAATATATTCACGAGCTATACCAAGTTCCTAGACTACATAAACAAAATATTCGGAGAAATTAACGCGACCGTCAACACTGAACGAAAGCTAGCGTCGCTACAATAAGTCAACTCCACCAGTGTATACGCCATATAATTTATACAAGTTGCTGCCACTTTAGGCTAGGACGACTATATACTTATTCCACGATACGTACAAGGACTAAAGTCCCATATTAAAGATGAGTTGGTACATATCGACCGACTAGATACTATAAACTAACTTATTGATCTTACTGTTAAAATGGATAACCGGTACTATGACTGATAAATGGAAAAGAAAGAAGTTGAATATTGGAAAAAGAACCTAGGGCAAGGAGGCCACCAATTCGATAATAGATAATCACAACTAAGGGCTCAGGACAGTAACCCCTACAGACCACAACCTATAGAGCTTGATGTAGTAAGACTCCCCGACAAAGAACAGAAGTATTAGAAGGAATAGCACCTATATTTCTCTTATGGGAAACTAGGGTATATGTTATGGGATTACTGGAGTAAGAGTAATTGCCTATAATAGATTAGAGCTACCTAAGATAGAGGAGCCTATGATATTATTAGCCTTAAAAATAAAGAGAAGGTTTAATAACTTTGTGTGATATAGGAGATAGCAGAAAGATATAATAGTAATAAATTCGTAGAAATTGAGTAGACTAATAATATATAGGGAAATATAACTATAAAAGAACTATAACCTAAGACCTAAGGCTGTGTAGGATATATATCTATAGATATATAAGTATTAGTAGCCATAAGTTAATAAATAGACTAACTAGGACCTATAGTAATAAACAGAGCTATAGTATCCTGAAGTAATACTTTTAAAGCCTGGAAGGCCGTATAGATACCTATAGAATCTCCTAAGATTAATAATAATACCATAATGAATAGTGAAGAGAGAGTTAGATAACTTTACTAGGAACTAAGAGAAATATCAAGCTAAGCAAAAGTCAAATAGGATAAGCTTGAGCGCCGGCTTCGGGAACAACCAAGACTAGTTAATACGGAAGGATTATACCTATGCAGAGACGAGCTATGTGCTTGTATAGGGTTTAAGCAACACCTATAACATCGATATATGATAACCAATTATTACTATGAAAAGAATTGTGAAGAGTATAATTAGAAACAAGCGGCATTAACTTACGCAGAGCTAGTACTAAAATAGAAGAAACTACCTAAGTAGAAGCTGGTGTTCTAGTAACTTGTAGCTACTAAATAGGGGGCACACCTCAAAATTGAAGTAAACATCCTTCTATAACTAGTTAAAGTGCTAATTGATTTAGGAGTATATAGAAACTTTATGGATCTATGCTGTATATATCGACTGTAGGTGTAGCTACACTAGAAAATAAGAGTAATACTAATCATAAGACTTAATAGAGAAAGCCTAGGACTAGGGATAACCCATAAATCTGGGCTATTACCTATAATCATCGGAAACTATCTAGAAATAATAGAGTTTAATATTATAAATCTAGGAGGATATGATATAGTACTAGGAATATTATAGCTTAAACGCCATAATCTAGTAATCTATTAGGGTACTCAACAGATTAATTTTGTTAACTATAAATGTAAGACAGTGAACTGATAATAGAGTAGTCAACCACTAATAAACTGAGGTATTAGATTAGGAGTAAGAGCCTATAGAAGACCACAGGATAAGAAGCCTAATATAATCTTTCGACCTAAGGGCAGGGTCTATAAGACTAATAACACGAGTATTATTAAGGAGTTAGAGTAACGACCTAATATAAGTAATAATGAACTTAAAGAATATATCATAGTACACCACAAGAAATCCTTTTATGTAACAGAGGAAGGAGTACTAGAACTGCCTTAGGAATACTAAGAGTTCTAGGATATGTTCATAACACTACTAATTAGCCAGCTACCAGAGTATAGGCCACACAACTATTAGATTCTAATTTAGAAGGGAAAAGAACTAAGATATATACTAATTTATCAATTATCTGAGAAGGAATCTTAGATACTAAGGGAATATATTAATAAGAACCTAGTAAAGGGTTATATTCAATACTCTATATTACTAGCAGGATATCCAATCCTATTTATACTAAAGAAGGGTAATAAGCTATACCTTTATATGGATTATAGATAACTGAACAAGATTACTATTAAAGACCAACACCTATTACTGTTGATCTAAGAGATTCAAGATAGAATTCATAGAGTAAAGTAGTTTACCAAATTTGATATTACTAATATATATAATCACTTATATATTAAAGAAGGAGATGAGTAGAAAACGGCATTTAGAACGAAATTCGGACATTACAAATATATAGTCATACTATTCGGATTAACCAACATACCGGCATCTTTCTAATGATTTATCTTTAGTGTTTTAGAAGAATACCTTAACACATTTATTATTATATACTTAGATAACATCCTGGTCTTCTCTAAAACAGAAGAAGAATATATAAGATATATACAAAAAGTACTAGAAAAGCTCAGAGAAGCTAAAGTGACTCTTAAGCTTAAGAAGTATGAATTCTATATATAAGAAACTAGGTTTCTTAGGTATATCATCAGTAATAACAGTTTTAGTATAGAGGAGGAAAAGATTAGGAGTATCTTAGAATAGCCTTAACTTAAAACTATCAAAGAAGTATAATAATTCTTAGGATTATGTAACTATTACCAAAGAAGTATAGACGGCTTTAGTAAGATTATAGTAGGACTTAACCGGTTAATAAAGAAAGATCAAGTTTGGGAATGGGATAAAGTAGCAAACAAATCATTTAAGGGACTAAAAGAATTATTCCAAGCAAGACCAATCATTTATACCTTCAATCCGGAATTACCTATTATAGTCAAAACAGATATATTAGACTACACAATCAGGGCACAACTCATATAAGAAATTATTACTAATAGGATTGGAGGACCTAAACCAATCACCTTTTGGTTATAAAAGATAATACTAGCAGAACTTAATTATAATATTTATAATAAAGAACTACTAGCTATAGTATTAGTATTTAAAGTATAGAGACTATACCTAGAGGGAGCAAAATACTAGGTATTGGTTAAATCAGACCATATAAACCTAACATTCTTTACCACAACAAAAACACTCATATAATGATAGGTATATTAGGCCAAGATATTTTTATAATACAATTATAGGATTAAATATTACAAAGGAAGAATGAATAGCTAAGCAGATATATTAAGTAGGAGACCTAACTACTAGATTAGAGTTAAGGATATAGTATTAGTAATACTAAAGATAGATAAAAAAGGAAACCTTATCTATAATCATTAGATACTTATAGCAACTAGCAAGTTAGAAAATACTATATAGCTCAAATAAATCTAAGAGGCCACTAGAGATAACTAGTATCTATAGGATATGGTTAATAAGAGAAATAATAGAAAGGTAATCCTAGATAAAGGAATCCTACTTATTTATAGATTAGTATATATCCCATAAAGAATACAAGAAGAGATCATTTAGTAGTATTACAATACACCAAGTAGAGGATACCTAGGGGTAGAAAAAACAATCAAGCTAATCATAAGGAACTTTTATATACCCAATATACACCGAAAAGTCAGGAACTACATTCAGCAATATAATACTTATCAACAAGACAAGCCCTCACAACACTAACCCTACAGAGGAATACAAAACTTAGAAGTACTAACAAAACTATAGGAATGGATCATAATAGACTTCATCACCAAACTACCAATTTTAGACAGATATAACATAATCATGGTTATTATTAATAGGCTAACTAAATACGCCTATATGATTCCGACAACAGAAACTATTGATGTATAATAAATGGCGAACATCCTAATCAGGAACGTCTTTATAAACCATAGATCACCAAGAAAGATCACATCCGACCAAGATAAGTTATTCATATTAAATATATGGCGTTCATTTATAGACCAGATCGGAATAGAGCATAGACTCTCAACCACCTACCACCCACAAACCAACAGCCAAACCGAGCAAACAAACCAGACACTAGAATAATACCTAAGGTACTACATAAATTACTAGTAAAATAACTAGGCAGGATTATTACCAATCACACAATTTACATATAATAACACAATATATATAATAACTAAGGAATCACCATTCTTCACAAATTATAGGTATAATCCTATAATTATCAGAGAACTAATTAGTGATCATACTATAGTAGAATTATTATAAGTTCTAGCTATAAATATCAAGTAATTATATAATTAGATAGTATAAGATATTGACTTCTTTAATCTATAGATAAAAAGTCACTATAATAAAAGCCATAAAGAAGGGCCTATGCTTAAAAAAGGGGAGAGAGTATACCTCCTATAAAGAAACATTAAAACCAAATAACCTAGTAAGAAACTTGACTACCAAAAATTAGGACCTTTCACAATCAAAGAAAGGATAAGACTAGTTAACTACCAATTATGGTTACCAAAAAGTATAAAATAAATATATCTAGTTTTTTATATTTCACTACTAGAAAAAGCACTAGAGAATACACCAATTACTACCAATATTAAAATTAAGGATACTAGTAAATAAGAATATAAAGTAGAAGAAATCCTAGTAGACTAATAGAAAAATAGTTAGTAATAACTCCTAGTAAAATAGTAAGGGTACCCTACCAAAGAAAATATATAGGAACTAATTAAGAATTTAAGGGGCTACTACCAGCTAGTTTAATAATATTACTAGAAGGTAAAGAGGACCCCTAAGGGATAGTAGTAAAGAAAGAATCAAAATCAATACCACTCTAGTCTATAGATATAATCATCTATATTAGAGTAGGATTCTCTAATATAACCGTAAGAAGTTAAGCATCCTCAATACTAATAAGACCAGAATACTCTCTAATAGCCAGAGTAGTCTTAGCTTTACATTTATTTTCAGAATAATCAGTATTAATATATTCCTTCTTAAACTGATCTAGTTTATCCTTTTCACAATACTCAAGTTCTTCTAATTTAGCAATATCTTTAAAATCATAGGTAATAAAGTCACCAGTATATTTCTTAAGTAACACTTCCTAATACTCAAGGCGTATTACAGTGGCTATAACATCCTAGCTAGCCTAAAGAACAGCCCAACACTTATTAGTAATCTCCCCTTAAATTTTAACTAAATAATACTATTCAGCATTAGAATAGGTAGGATAGGATATAATATACTTCACACCACCACCACCTTTCACACAACCACTATAACAATCTAAACAGTCAGACTAAATACATACTTACTTAAGATAAATATAATAATTATAAGGGATAATAGATTAATAACCCTTATCTATAATATATTAGGATAAAGCATTCTTATAGATAGAAGCCTTAGAAGACATAGTCAGAAAAATATAAGAAAAATTAGAAATAGCTAACATTTATCTATAGGGGGATAGACAGTTATAAGAAAATCTTTAAGGATAAAGATCTAGGAAAGGAGGGGGTGATATTACGGACCTACAGGGATCACACTCCTATAGGGTAATAAGACCTAACCAAATTATCTGATATATAGGTCACGTAGAAGATATAGTTCCAGGAACCATAGCCATTCCGTTATACCTAGACAATATAGAATAATGCAGGGTTATAATAGAAAGACTATAACTTAAGAAAGTAATATAAGAAAGATCCTATTATAGGATAAACAGTATTATAGGGATCAGGGATCCCTAGGATAAAAGAATATCCTACAATAACACACAGGTCACAGTTTCGCATGATAATAGCTATCACATAAATAGGAGTATCCTAGGATACACTATAATTAAAGGATTCCGCAGGATACCAATTATCCTAAGAATACCGGTATCCTACAATAGGTAGTAGCCACTAGTATTATATAAATAGTAGGATCCTAGGAGCATCAGGATCCCACAGACAAGGATCACATAACAACTCATCAGGCGATAAGACCTACTCATTAACTAATAAGCCCGGAGAATATCAAGTAATAAGTCCCGGACTCATCAAGCAATAGGAAGGATTAGATATATAAGACAGTCATTACCCACATATATTTAGTTCTTCACGATCAATCCATACATTATTACTTGGAACCTAACAGTTCATTCACCTATCAGTTTCGTATAAGATAAACCCTACTAGAAAGAGGTATCCTTGGTCTCTAGTCTCTCGACTCAGAAACCAAGTATAGCTTAACTAGGCGACACCCTCTTAGACATAGCCCCTGTTGAGTCTATTCTATAGACCCGAGCCTGTATAAGGCCTAACGTTAACTGGCAACGGTACGGTTGCGAATCGACGACTTAAGGATTGAGTGTCTACTTGGTAAGTAGAAGCCCTAACGAACGATACTCACTGTGACCACAGAGCATTACGTAACACCTAAATAAACTAACTCTCTTATAATAAATTAGTTTAAACTATTAAAGATAGTAGTCTTATAATTATATATTAATATAACTTAAGTAATCTTCTAGAAGTATAGATTAATAGGATATTATATATTCTTTATATATAAAATATAGTTAATACTAGAGTAAGTTATAGTATTAATAGGATTATTAGTTATATTAAGCCTTATTTATAAGTTTAATAAGATATTTTTAAAAGATTATCTTATACTAAGCTTCTATATAATTATTATATTAGAAGAATATAGGAAGATATATATAAGATAGGGTATCTTCTATACTCTATATTTTATTTTAGTTAATATATTAATATAGATTAATAATATATAAGTTATTAATCTTATCTTATTAGTATTTATAGTAAATAAGAATATCTATAATAAATATATAAAGAATAATCTTATATAAGATATTAATAATTTAGTTATTAAGTTGTGGAATATTAAAGGATTATTAATTTTATTTATAAGTATAAATATAGTTATATCTAAGTCTGAATCTAAGATAATAATAAGATTATTAGATAGGAAGGACTAGGAGAAAGTATTATTAGTAAAAGAGTAAAAGAATAGATCTTCTTAAGATATATCTATTAATACTTATATAACTAAATAAATAAAAAAGAAAACTAATAATAATTATTATATATATTATAATAGTAAAATATATTAAGTAGTATTATATTTCTACTTAAATATAGATTTATATCTAGAAGATTAGAAAGGACTAAGAAATATATAGTAATATAAATATAGTAAGAAAAAGGCTATTATAAATACTATAAATACTTCTAATATTACTAATACTATATTTTTAGTTACTAAATTATTAGTAAAATAGGATACTAAGTTTATATATTTTATAAAGAAGAAGATATAGTTAGCTTAAGTAACTTATTATAATATATTTTATAATAATAAGTATTATAGAATAATAGTTATTAATATCTATAATCTAGATAATAAAATAAATTAATTATATAGGAATTTTAATCTTAAGTTTATTAATTAATAGGTTAATTTTAAAGATATTTATTATATTAGGTAATCTTAGATTAATAATAATATTTTAATTTAATAGATAATAATATCTAAGGTAACTAACTCTATATTTAATATAATTATTAATAAACTTATATAGGATCTTATAGATTAGATAACTAAGTAGGTTATAAAATATTATTTATAGGATTCTTTTAGTAATTCTAGTAATAATTCTTCTAAAGATATTAATAATATATAGAATACTAAAGATTTTAATCTAGAGTGGTTATTTTTATTTAATATTAATATCTATATTATACTTTTAGTAGTTTAAACTAAAGATAAGATTATTATTCTAAGATATATAGAGTCTATATAATAGCTTTTAGATATAGGATATAGTTAATATATCTATATAAATATATTAATAATTTATGATTATAAGCTATTTAAAGATAGTAAGAAGTATATCTAGAATATAGTATTAAGGGTATTAGGAAGTATAATAGGATAAGGAAAAATAAGACTCTCTCTTATTATATTAAATAGTAGCTTATATAATATTATCTTTCTTATTATATATATTTTAGGATTAAAGTTTAACTTATTCTTAGTATATAAAGGCTACTAAGAGAATAGTATTATATATAATAATCTTAATATAATAATTTATAATAAGGATAAGGAAGAACTTATTAGTTTAGTATTCTTTATATATAGTATATTATTTATTAAGTATATATATTATAGATTAAGTAATATAATAATAGTAGTAATATTATTAATAATAGTATATAGATAATTTATATATATTAGATAATCTAAACTTCTTATAAATTAAGATTAATTAGATATTAATAATAAAAAGAAGTTCTAATATAAAGTATACTTATTAAGTAAATCTAAGAAGATTATCTCTAAGATATTAGCTATATATTTAAGTATCCTAGGCTAGTATCTATATATTAATTTATAATTAATTAAACCTATTAGAATTAGGGGGGTAAACTATATAATTATTATTATTAATAATATAATTAGATATAGATTTATTATATTTATAAAGTATAAGAATACTATATTTATAATAAATAAATTATATCTATTTATTAAGCTTATATATAATTATATAGGAAGCTATCTTTATAAGTAATATATTAATAATAGAATAGAGTTTAATTTCTTTATAGATTAGGCTTAAGAGAATAATTAGAGAATTAAATTATTAGTATTATATATATATAAGTAGAATAAGTTAAGTAAGGTAAGTAGTTATTATTTAGTTTAAATTATAAGAATAATAATTATTAATATAGGTATACCTGAATGATTATAGTCTAAGGTTATTAAGATAGCTATATATATTACTAATTAATTAAAGCTTCTAAATAAGGATAAATCTTTATTAGAAGAATGGAAGAAAGGTATAAATGATT